TAAATATAATATATATAATATTTAAAATTCGAGCTAAATTGACCCTAAAACTAAAAAGTTATTAAATTAAGAAGCTAAAGTGCGAAGAATATCGTAATACTTAATACTTAGGTATTATTTATCTCAACGAATAGTAACTCGATTTATTTACTTTTTTCTTCTTTATTCAGGTCTTTATTAGGTTTATATATATAAATACGCTTGAACGAGAGGAAAAGGTTAACTATTAAGGGAGATCGAAAAATACGTAGTCGGGTAACGAGAAGAAGCCCACTTTACCTGTTTTGGAGCTCAGACCCTTCTGGCGAAGGACTTTTCTCCGAAAAGGACTAGTGCGTATGCACTGTCACGTGAGCCTCATGGGTCTGAGAACTGAGACAAGGTACCTCGGTTAGAGTACGGAGGATCACAGATGAAGCCACACGGGCATGCCTTTCTTGCCTAAAGTACGTAGCTAGATACTCATGTAGGTAAGGTGCCTACGGTCAGGCTAGCCAGGCCGCGTAAAGCACTTGTCACGTACCTAAGAAACTAGGTAGATTATAGGTGCCTTCCACGTATCTGAAGTAAGTATGTGCACAGCAGACATCGAGGCTGCACCTGCATGTACTGTGTAATTGCAGATCCTTTTATGCCGCTCTTGATGAGCCAGAAGCCCGTGCGTGCGGAGAGAGAAGTGATGGCGTGGTCAATTGCGCTTTGGGCTGCGGGCGTAGGCAGAGCGACTCCAACTGCCAGGGTCCAATACCAACGACATCCAAATATCAGGCCATTTGGCAATAGATCACTACGAAGCTAGTCGAGTCACCAACCCGAACCAGCTCTCAGTCTTATCAAGACATCGCGCTCAGTTCCACCGTCCTCTGATAAGCAGAAAGACATAGCCGAATCAGGTGGTCTGAACCCCTCAGCAGAGGCAGATGCTTGCGGCTCACTAGGCGTTGCCCCTGTCAATTGCAGTCCACTTTTGCGGAGCATGAAGAGTCCGAACTTCGAAGCGACGGCAGCGGGAGCGGAAGCCTTGAAGCCAAAACCACCATCCTCGATACACGGCACATGGCGCGCCAGAAACGGACTACGAGGGCTCGAATCATACATATAAGGCCTGGATGGACCATGGGACTATATCTCATTAAGTCCAGTTATACGTCCTCCTTCACTCGCGCAGCACAATGGATTCCAAGATTGAGCCCACCACCGCGGCCGGACAGCCGTCCGAGGACACGTCCAAGAACAACAACGACTACGCTGTTGGCGAGGTCCACGAGCTGGGAGGCAAAACCCAACAGCATGACCTTGCCAAAGAAGACATCGCAGCCGAGCTGGCTGAGATGTTCCGAGGCGGGCAGGGCTACACCCAGAAAGAAGTCTGGCGCCTTCGATGGAAGCTGGACCTTCGACTGATCCCCATCCTGTGGTTCAATGTCCTCCTGCCGGCCATGGACAAAGTCAGCCATGCCACCGCGGCGCTGTACGGACTGAAGACGGACCTGAATCTTGTGGGCAACCAGTACGCCTGGATTGGCAGCGTATTCTACGTACGTCTTTTTCACTCTTGGCTCCTGCGATATTGCGCACAAGTGGACAGATTTGCTGATCTTTCGTTGCGCGCGAGCAGTTTGGTTATTTGGTTTGGTGTTTCCCATCCGGATCACTGCTCCAGAAGCTCCCCATCGCAAAGACCATGTCCGGTGCCATGATGCTCTGGGGCATACTCCTCATCGGCTCCGGTTTCGTCAAGACCTTTTCTCAGCTGATGGCTTGTCGATTCTTACTCGGTCTGTTGGAAGCGCCAATTGTGCCTGGTAACCTCCTGATTTTGTCTATGTGGTACACCCGGCCGTAAGTCTAGGTCCTTCTGAGGCTTCAACTGAATCGCTAACTCTTGTGCAGAGAGCAGTCGCTGCGCTACGGACTGATGTACACCGGCTTGTCTACCTGCTTCACAGGTCCCATTGGCTATGCGTAAGCCTTGAACCACAACCTCCAAAGTCATGGGTAGCGTACTGATACTTTGCTTTCCCTTACAGCATCGGCTTCATCAAGACTGATTCCTTCCACGTCTGGTCAACCTTCTTTTGGATCTGCGGCGGCATGACATTCCTCTACGGTCTCGTGGTCGGCATTTTCCTCCCCGACAATCCCGTCAAGGCCAAGTTCATCAGCGAGCGGGAAAAGGCCATTGCCGTTGACCGTGTCCGAATCAATCAAACTGGTGAGCATCAGCCGATAATCCTTGCACTCTCGCAATGACCGGCAGTACTAATTCGAGCTCGGTTCAGGTATCGAAAACAAAACCTTCAAGAAGGAGCAATGCATCGAGGCCCTCCTTGACATCCGTGTCTGGCTCATGTTCCTCTTCAACATCTGGATCAGCATTCCCAACGGTGGTCTCACCAACTTCTCGCCTCTGATCGTGAAAGGATTGGGCTACACCTCGCAGCGCTCCGCCCTCCTGACCATCCCCAACGGCATTGTACAGACCGCCTCCAGCTACATATGCAATGGCGGCGTTTTCCTCGCCGTCAGGTACATGCCGCAGTACCACTTCCGCGGAGCCTTCATCATGTTCGGCGTGATCGTCGGTCTCATCGCTGCCATCTTCCTGTACACGCTCCCTACGACGGCCTACCACAGCCGTCTGGCCGCCTTGTACATGTCGTTTTTCTACTTGGGTCCATACATTGTCGCGCTGAGTCTTATCGGTGCCAACACTGCAGTAAGTTTTGATTCTCTGTAGACTTGCCGATGTGCTCTGCTAGTGTTTCTTGCATTTTCGAAGGACATTTTCTAAGCTGCCACCCAACAGGGCCACACCAAGAAAGTCACCGTCAACGCTATGATGTTCATCGCCTACTGCGTCTCCAACATTATCGCGCCGCAGTTCTTCAAGACCGCCCAAGCGCCCTTGTACCCACTCGGCTTTGGCGCCATCCTGGGTTCCTACATTCTGTCGCTGCTCACCATCGGTGTCTACATGGCCCTTTGCTGGTACGAGAACAAGCGTCGCGACGCCCGTGACGCTGCCGCCGGTGCCGTCGTGCACCAGGACACCGATTTCAAGGATCTCACGGATAAGCAGAACTTGGTACGTAATCCTCTCCTCACATGCTGCATACACTTTCTGACTGTCATACAACAGCATTTCCGATATGTCTGGTAAACGGAGACGAAAGTCATGAGGAGGATATGGGTCTTGCAAGCGGGTTGTTGGGTTGGCGGGGTTTCGTTGCTTGGATAGTTTTCGGTGTTACAATCTTCTAGTAGGAGACATCTTGGTGGCTGGCTTCGTGGTGATGAAGCAGCGCTGCGAATTGCTACAACATTTCAAATCGTCCCCATGTCTGAGGATAATTCATGTTCGGAAACTGCGTATGTTGTGGCTTCCTCTCCCTGAGTCATTGAGTTGCAGGCTGTCACAAACAAGAACCCCAGGGTTATGGTCGAGAATGAGACAATAAAGGCAGAGTCACATGAAGCACAACATACGCCTGAATCGGGGTGACAAGCGCTTTGCGGCATCCTGTACGAGAAGTAGTTTTGAATCCTCAAGTGTAGGTAGGTACAACTAAATCAAGTATGTAGAAATGACTGTTAAATTTTTCGAGCATGCGCGATGGTCCGTGGAATGAGTTACCCTTTGGTCTGGTTTTACCAGGTATATTTAGATATTGATGGTACGTAAATCTCTTCACTGTTTAATTTATTCTCCTTTTGTGTGGCGCTGGCAGTGGCACATCAACTCTAGCCGTGTCTGAGCCTGGGGCACGCCGATTAACCGAACCTGTTGGCCTTGGGGCCCTTGACGATACCTTCACCCATCAGCAGTCCTTTCTGGGCACCCTCGACGCCCATGGTGGCCGTCTCCAACAGGGAATCGGCGAGGTAGGCACCGGAGAACCGGAACCTGGCGTAACCCGCATTGTCGGCGGCGTCTACCTCTTCGGCCGCATCGTCGATCTCCCTCGCCGTCAGGCCCGGGTAGCTGGTCTGCAGTTCGCGGGCCTGGACGACGTTCATGTAGGCGGCGATGCCGCCCCTCTGCCAGAGCTTGGAGAAGTCCTCAACGGCGCGTCGCTGGCCCTGAAGGGCCCAGATGGGCTGGACGTGCCAGACGATTCCGTACTTCTTCGAGCTGGCCCAGGGAAATTCCTTGACCTCCTCGGGCGTCCAGCCGCCTGCCTTCATCCAGTCGTAGCCTCCCGTGTACCCGAACGCAAACTTGCGGTCCGGGTGCACCTCGCGCACCTTCATGTGGAAGGTGTCAATGTCCGATGGGACAGGGTAGTCCATGCGTGCCCAGGTGACCTCGCCTAGTCCCGCGGTCAGCAGGGCGCGAGACACGACCGCGTCGACGGTGGGTGCAAATCGGTAAGCTCCCTCGGGCGTCCGGGACAGGTCCCAGTCGAAGAACAGCGTGGAGTAAACCTCCTCAGGGAGGTGCTTGGCTGCCAGGGCTCGTCGTTCGGTCAGCGAGAGCTGTGTCTTGGAGTCCGCAATGGCTTTTTTGTAGGCTGCCACGGCGTCCGGCGACGACGCTTCAGCGTGAGCGGCCACGGCGCCATCAAAGGTCTTCAGTTCCGCCGAAGCAAGCCAACTCTTTTGGGCTCCAAGATAGTCCTCGCCAGTGGCCAGCGCTCGGGCCAGGACAGTCGTGAGCGGCTCGACAGGCTTGGTGGCTCCCAGAACATAGGCATGGTCGCGCGGGTCGATCACAGAGGTGATATAGCCGGAGTGGTCAGTGTCGCATCGGCACATCAGGATCTAGTTTGGGATTCTTTGTCAGCTTCTAAGGCTTTCCTCGGATGGGCTAAAAGATTCATGCATACCGTTTCAGCACCCATGATGTCGATCTGCATCCGCGCCATTGTCAAGCGGGACAGGTATTCACTCGTAGGGATGACGGTTCGTCCTTCGCCAATGGTGAATTTCTTGGTTCCTGTTGGTAAGTCAGTACGGGTTACCAACTGTCAAAAGACCTCGGCTTGCGAGGCTGTATATGCATACCAATGGCCAGATCGTCAAGATGGAACATGGCAACGCCAGCCTCAACGAAGGCTCTCGTCATCTTCATGGTGTGGGTGAGACCGCCAAAGCCCATGTCGCCGTCGGCGACGATGGGGGTGAGAAAATCCCAGTCCTCCAATCCTTGTCGCTCTGACTTGGGATAGAGGAAGCGAAATTGACGTTGTCGCTGGTCTTGCCATTGCTGAGATCGGAAGATCTTGTTCACCGTTGCTGGGACCGTGTCCCAAGGGTAGTCCGCATGGTCCATTCCCGGCTGACTGACTTGCGAGTAACCACACAGGGCACCCGACACGTATATCGTCTTTGTTTCCAGTCAGTCATCTTGAATGTAGCAGTCGGAGCGACCTTGTTTGGTCTGGTCCTACCTGCTGGTACTTTGCCATGACGCCAGCTTGCAGAGGGTCGGTGCACCCGAACGTCAGCTCCGAAGTTCCCTTTTCTTCGTGCTCGTTCATCTGCTTCCACAGCTTGAGTGCCATATCGCTAGACGGGTATTTCTGCTTGATGGAACTACGAAGCGCAGCAATGCGTTCGGCCGGGTATGGACTGGTAGTGATTTGTTAGACGATGTCGGGCAGCACGACCGAAGTGTTCAGACTCACCGCTTCAGCTGACGCTGCTTTGCGCTCGACTGCCACCATGCCTTGATATCTGCCACTTCCTGGTCAAAGGCCGCTTGTTCGGCGTCGAGAGACATGTTTGTTTTCGGCATGACGATGGCTGGAATTGGATCCAAGATACAGAAACGAAGATGTCACAAGCGTTGAAGAAGCGAAAGACAAGGAAATCACCAGCGATGTTTTTCCTCCAGGTCTGAGACTCGACAGCACCTGTTCAAGATCTGGTTGCCTTTCGTGTCCCTCGTCCGTCTCAACGATCCACAAACCCATTCGCATTGCGGAGTGGGATCCCGACACCGACACAGACCGCGTGAGCCTGACGGGGGAGAAGCTCTCCGAGGGACAGCCACGCACATGGCGTTCCCAGATGTAGTATCCATGATCCATCGGCCGGCAGACTACTAGTGAAGTCAGGTACAGGACCACGCGATAAGGTCAATGATGCACATTGGGATTGAGGTCGGAATCAATATGACATGACCCAAAGACGCGTGTGGAACGGACGATCAGGGTCCAGGACACGCGATCAGTAGATCGGTCGTGTCGGACCATCAGGACCCCTAAGAGTCCGTCGGAAAGTCACCTTCCAGTCTCCGCCTTCCACCGGCTATCTGCTATCTGCCACGGAAACAGTCTGCGTGTCACAGACAACAGACTCCAGAGGATTGTGGTACCAGTATCCTGTATGGTCTGCTGCAGTCTGGCGCGAGCGTCAGGATCGATGCTGTCCCGCCGATCAAGCAGTGATGGGGACCGAATCCCGACAATGGATGGGAGGTCGCCGAAAGGCAAATCCTTGAACAAAGTCAGTGTCGAATGTCGACAGTACAAATGAAATCAATCGATTGGCTCCCAACGAGGCTGCCGGCTGGTAAGGTGCTCATTCGTCGTTGTCCTCGTTGTCGTTGTGGTAAGAGTGACTACCTAGGTACCTACTAAGTTCGTTGACTCTGCATACCTACCTAGATACTCCGTGCGAGTAAGAAGGCATCATAGGCGAAGAAGGCCTCACTCATCATGGCGATAGCCGCACAGACCTCGAGTGAGATGCAAAAGTCGCCATCAGAATTACCGCAGCCTCACATTGATCTTCAGAAAGGATGGCCAACGCCACGCCTTCTCCCCAGCCAGCCGCTCCGGGCTGCCGCTGAGGCGACACTGTCCAACCCAAAACGTGCCACCGAAGCCATGCTCTATGGGCCCAATATAGGCGACCCTGCGCTGCGCAGAGGATGCGCCGAGTGGCTTTCTCGCCTCTACCGCCTACAACAACCCGTCAGCTCCGAGCGCATTTGCATCACGGCAGGAGCATCGGGGAACCTGGCCTGTATCATGGCCGCCTTCACAGACCCCGTCTACACTCGCCGCGTCTGGATGGTCGAGCCGACATATTTCCTGGCATGCACTGTTTTTGACGATGCGGGATTCCTGGGTCGTCTCGTGGGTTGTCCTGAGGACGAGGATGGCTTGGACGTGGAACTTCTGCGAAAGCGAATTGAGGCCGTAGATCGTGAAGAGGAAGAAAAGGCCTCCAGTCAGGCTTCGCTATACAAGCGTTTGCCTCAGTACCCTCGGGTATATCGACATGTCATCTATCTCGTTCCTACTTTCAGCAATCCCAGCGCAAAGACATATACCCGGGAGCGAAGAGAGGCTTTGGTACGACTTGCGAGGGACGTCAACGCCCTCATCGTCACCGACGACTGTTACGACTTCTTGTCGTGGACAGTCGACCCATCTTCTACCGCAGACTCAACTCAACCTGTCTCGAATGGAGCCACTGATCTGTCGGCTCCAACTCCTCCGCCCAGACTGGTGGACGTCGACCGTACACTGCCCGGTGGCGACGAGGAGTGGGGGAACGCCGTCAGCAACGGATCATTCTCCAAGGTCATGGGACCCGGTTTGAGATGTGGATGGGCAGAAGCGACCCCGACGTTCATTGCCCGACTCAATAAAGTGTAAGTGTAAGAGATCTTCGACCACTAAAGTCCTCATGCTAACAAATTATTTCTCAGGGGAGCCACGTTGTCGGGAGGCGCACCAGGCCAATTCTCTTCCACGCTGATTGAACACGTGCTTCGGACGGGTGCCCTCGAGTCTCACATTCAAGAAGTTCTTATTCCCACCTACCGTACTCGCGCGGCTCGTCTTCGGCAAGTGATAGAGGAGTATTTGGGTCCTCTGGGTGTGCAGATTGATACCGGTCGACCTTATCACGTCACGAGAAGCAGTGGGGGCAAGGACAATGGCAACAACGGTCATCTCGAGGAGCAAGAAATCATGGGCGGTTTCTTCCTCTACATCATGTTTCCGCTAGGCATCCTGGCTGATGAGGTTGCTGCGGTAGCGCTGAAGGAATACAATCTGCGATTCCTGGCCGCTGGGGCAATGGCCGTCAGAGGAAGCAAGTCGACAGGCGGTCAGTTGAGCAGGGGTGCGAGGCTCTGTTGGGCCTGGGAGGAAGAGGAACGACAGGTGGAAGGTGTCCGGAGAATTGCACAGGTGCTCAAGGAGCGATTCATGGACCACAAGAACGGGACATGGGAGCAGGCATAGATGCTAAAGGCCCATGAGCTTGTCCGATCCCAGACTCATTAGCAGATGTCTTAGCGATGATATCAGTACAATGACGATCTCCCTAGTCTATTATTGTTTTTGAACTTGGGTCGTCGACATCTACTGCTGCCATCCCATTGCGGTGAAGAAAGTGCGCGTTGACCTTATGGGTGATCCTCCGTAGTGATGCGGGGAGTAAGGTTTGTGCTTCACCCGACGTGTAATTCTTTTCCGTGATACCTGGCAATCCCTAGGCCCCTGGACGGTGGTCAGGGGGGTTAACATGACACCTAACAAAGTTGTTCTTGCCAACTTTTCATCTGTCTTTCCTTCTCATCTTCATTACTGCCAATCTAAGTCGCTGTGACTATCAAGCGTATTGCTGACCGGTTTTGGTGGCACTCAATCGAAACATTATCGTCTGGGGCTCAGCCATTCTGTATGGCTCATCATCCTATTGTCGCCGCGAACACGTGGCGCGCGTCAACAGGCAACCATCCACGATTATGCCCACCACACGCACAGAAGATTTACTCGAAAAAGTGCATCTCCCATTTTTGAATGTCGTGCTGGGCGACCTACCGATTCTAACATGCTATAGCCAACCAGCGACGTCTCAACGACCAGCGTACCCATGTACTTTCAAGACACTTACCCAATCCCTTGGCCCCCAGTCATCGGAAGGAGAAGAAACATGAAGCCCAACTGACACGCCTTGCTGTCGTGACGGAAGCTCCTTCACCGCTTTCCGATGTCGCTCACACATTATAAGACGTACCCAATCGCCCATGAACGCCCATAAACATGTCTCAACCCATGGACAGTTGCAACTTCACCTCCAATATTCCGGTAAGCCCCTATCCCACTGATACTGGCGCACTGGCAATCGACAAACTCCTGCCTCCTATGGACGGACTCTCAGCACCACGCTGTGACTCAAACGTCGGTCGTGTTCGAATCATGGGCCGAGTGGCATCGAGACGACGTCTCTCTGCTCGCCGTCCTGCATTGACGGTATAAGATTCGCTCTGATACCCCACGGATCGACCCATGTGCGCCACCAGCGCCGCTGGAGGTGATGCCGACGGCGCCTGTGGTGCTCGCGGAATACTGAAGGTTTGTGTCCGCCAGTTGTTCGCACCGGGAAGCAGGATTGGCACAGGGACCATCTGCGTGCGCTTGAATTGGTGTTCGTTGATGATTCTTCGACAATACATCCACCTCATGAGCGCAAAGTCGGTTCTCACAGTGGCTAGTTTCTGGCCTTTGCGAAAATGATCATGCACCAAATGCGACAGCATGGTGTTCCACGCGAATGCCGCGTCATCTTCCAGGCCCTGCGAATACTTGTTGTCGCACAAAAAGCAGTCGGCTATCGTTGGGAGCTCGTGGCCACGAAAGTGCGAGAAGACATGCGTCTTGAATGAAATGATGTCGGCAAAGACGCACTCGCAGTCCAGGATCTGGAAGGGACATAACAAGTCCGCATCCGCCAGGTACCGCGAAGGGATCGTCAGCGCTCCGTCTTGCGATTCGAGTATGTATCCGTCCCCAAGGATGCTGCTGGCCTGATCTGTGTTTGCCGCCGAGGAAGTCGATGACGTTCCCGTCGATGGGGCCCGCGTCAACGGTGGTACCGCATCTGTGGCTGTCGTGGATGCCATTGACATGGTGTCATGGTCCGAAACGACCGACAAGGCTGCAAGAGATCGGACGCTCGTGCTCGTGCCCATCGAGGTAGAGTGTCTCCCAGGATGGTTTGCGGTTTCGACCGCCCTCTTCGCCGTGGGAAGGGATCGCCAGTTACGCGGGGGCCAACTTCAGGATGTCATGGACGGTTCGCGCGAGGGATACTACGGCAACCTCTGGCGGCCATGCTGCAAATGCAAGTCAAGTCAGCCTGCGTTTCTGCGTGCAGCATAGAGTGTTTCTGCACTAGATGCAACCGAGCATAACATACCAAACGCACCACTGTTTGCTGATGTACAGGATTCGCACCAGCGATATCACACTATCGATAAGGATCAATCCAGCGAAAAGTGCGGGGGTAATGTCCACACAAAACCGAAATTATGTGAGTCCGGAACCTCTTGTGAAAGCGCCGATCACAAATCGGTCGACACACCTCCAAAGGCAAGATGGGGAAGCTTCTCTGGCATTTGTTGCGACAGAAAAGAGCGGTTGAAATGGAGCAATATCGACGTTAAGCGCAGACTGACAAGCCCAGACCAGAGCGAGCGTTGACGGGAAAGTCTTCGCCATTTTTGTGACTTGCAGTAAGTTAGCGAGAACACCCCCGCTGCTGAGATATCGGTCCTGTCAGATGTTGCCAGCACATCAGCTTGCATTACCGACCATCAGATTGATTGGTGCGCATTTGCATGCGATTAATGTCATTGCAGGATGGACTGGGCCAATTCTCTGTCTCTCTGTCATCCACATATACTGCGGGTGGACGGATTGCATACTTGATCGAATGTGCATGTTGATATTCGGGTTCAGGCGTCCCCTTGGTGAGCACTACAGCTCTATATAACGCAGAAACTTGACCCCTAATATGCGAGTTTCTGTTGCTACAATCACAAAGCAGTACTCACATCGCATGCTTCGACATGGGTTTAAGATATTCAGCTCAAGAAAGGCTTCGTTTTGGCATCCGCTTTGAGAATGACCTGTCGAAATTCATTCCAGATCCTGTCACCAAATTTCCGTACTTCCTCGGTAGTGTTCATGGGCCCAGTCTCGAATATTCGATCGTTCTTCCACATCTCCCCATGGCTGTTGTCTCCCAGTGTAAGTGCCATAGTGAACGCGTTGACCCCATCTGAGGCAGAACGAGCGAAAAAGGCGTAGAGAATCCAGCTCAACAACTTGACGAATACATTGGTCGTCACCTGGCGTCCCAAGTCACTTTTGCACATCCCAGGGCACGTTGTGTTGACAACGACCTTGACATTCCCCTTGTCATCTTTCAGCGCTGGTGTGGTTACCAGATGCCGAACGGCGTACTCGAGCACCAGTTTCGACCTTGCGTACTGGGCTTGTGCACCAGCGAGCGTCGAGGGAAAGTTCTTCGGACCGTTCAGGTCCTCCAGGGGCGTTTCGCTGTTGATGAGCTGCCCTAGCTTTTCCGGTTTGATGAGCCATGCCGTGCCGGAAGAGACGAAGGTCAGGTGCGGTTTGTAAGATGTGCCAGCGTCTGCTGCTGCTTTAAGGAGTGGTAGCAATAGGACGCCCAGAAGGAAACTGCTGAAGGCGTTGACTTGAAGTGCTTCCTCCCATCCATCCTGGCTCTGCACGTACTTGGATGGCAATGTCCCTGCATTGAGAAGGGCGGCATCGATGCTTGAGAATTGAGCTTGCAATGTGTCGACAAACCGTTGTACTCCTGCAAATGAGCTCATGTCGAGGACTATCGGGACGATCTCGGTGCGCTTGCTGGTGTCTCTGTTGGGTGCGGACTTGACAGATGCTTCGATTGCTCGCTTCGCCGTTTGACCCTTGGCGTCATTCCGTGCCGTGATGATGAGCATGTCTGGACCAAGCAATGCTATCTTCTTCGCCGCCTCCATCCCCAAACCACCTGTAGCGCCTGTTACAAGCACCACCCTTCCAGCGAAGGATTCCGTCGCCGGAGCTGGAGGGTTGTGCTTCTGGTCGAGCAGAGTTTTCAATCCGCCAAACGACATGTTGAAGTTATGTCTTGGGTGTTTTCATGTAGCTTGGGGCGCCGGAAATTGAGAGGCTGTCCGTGGTGTGAAGTAGCTCTCGATCTTCTGAGATGTCAGGCACTTATTTATACTCCGCTGCGTGGACATCTCAAACGATTTGATTGTTTGTCCATTTGTTATCTTGATTAGCTTGAGCTTGCGACTCCAGTCTCATTCGATGGCATTTCTTGATTGTGGGCCATGAGGCGTGGCCTTGAATACATGTTGATGGTAGCGAATACCGGTGTGGTAGCTTGGTAGGTGCTTGCTAGCGGAACGGAAACTCGGATTAGCTATCATCCGGCGCCGTAGTTCTGGAAACGACGAGTTACCGGCGGGCGAGGCTGGATCCCTCATTCCGAGAACAGCTGAGAAAGATATCAAGACCCCCAAGGAAGGCTGGATGAGAACATCTTGGACATACTGATAGCACACGAACATTATCCCCGGTTCGGAACCCAAAATGCATTCTCCAAGGGTCTCCTAACTTGGTATGCCTGATAATGGAATGGTCCTGTAGCTGCACGGCTGTACCTCGGTGACTGCAATTGCCCTGCCCTGCACTGCGGCTCCTCCCGCTTTCGCACTTTCCCCGTTCCAATTGATGTTCGACATCATGTTGTGATTTTGAGATTCAGCAGTGACATTCTCCTCTATTCACCAACAACAGGAACTGGTGGTAGCGGCCATGGTTGGATGCCAATTGGATGAAACAAACTTCACTGTCATCTCTCCGCATAGATAACAGCACGACACCACCCACTTACAACACTGTCAAGCCTGTTGCAACACTGCTGCAGACACCAACAAGATGGAGAACCTCACTCTCAACGAAACACCGCTTGGGTCGCAAAGCCAGACACCGCAACCCAATGCTGTACTACCTGGAGCACCGCCTCAAGGGCCTCCGCAGCTGCCACCTCAGATGTTCACAACCGCTGCGCAGTTGCTCGATTTGACAGACAGTACGTTCCTCTCATGTGTCCACATACGTCGATTCAACACCGGTTCCGAGCACCATGATTGTAACAGCCTCTTACAAGCGCACCAGCTGACTCACGCATCTAGAGAAACTCCTACTAGTGCTACGCGACGGGCGCAAGATCTTCGGCATTCTGCGCTCGTGGGACCAATTTGCCAACCTCGTCCTAACAGACACACGAGAAAGATACTTCGTCACCACCCCCTCTTCGTCCGACGATGCCCAACCACAACCTCGAAATCTCTACTGCGACATCCCTCGAGGCACGTACCTGGTTCGAGGCGAGAATGTCCTAATACTAGGCGAGGTCGACCTTGACAGGGATGACGAAGCGCCTCCGGGTTACGAGGAGGGAGATGTAGAGGAGGTGTTTCGGATACAACGTGCACAAGAAATGGAGAGGAAACGAAAGGACAAAGGCAAACTACGCAAGGTCGCCGAATTATGGGGTGGCGAGATGGAAGGAAGTGGCGAAGTTCTGTTCTGAAAAAAGGGGCCCAGTGCTACATCACGATGTTGCTCTAGCTGCTGCCACAATATGGGCAGTGGCGGTAGATCTGGGGTGCCTACAAGGCATGAAAACGGACAGCAACTTCAGCTTATCGCCTCAAACTAAGCTGATGGATGCTTGCCAGCATTGAAATCAGACGATCATTGCAGAAAACTGCGTGAAACCGGAACAATGATAGATGGAGGTCAGAGCAGAATATTGTGAAATGCTCATTGATCTCAGCAAGGAATAACTTTTGGGGACGAGGTCTAGATACCTCTCAATCTGAGCCACTGTTACCCAAGAAGCCCTTCATAGTACAACACATAACTTTTCACCTGCTGTGAGATTTGTCAACGTTTGGCATGCTGGTTCAGCACGATCGTCATCTTGCAAGGCCATCCTTTGCGAGGCACATCCGAGGGTTTCCCGTCCGTTATCGGTCCACGACTCGGGCAGATTGCCGTTATTTCTCAACTCGATTCAAGCCGACTGAGCCAATTGATCACCATCATAGCCTGGGTGAGTGCCACCTTCTCCGAGAACCTCAACCCATCCCAGCTGCTCGCTTGGACCGTCACGTTCCACATCTTGAGAACCTCGATGTCATTCTGCGCTGCGACATGTGCCAGTTGCTTGTCAAAGTCCCAGATCTCTTGATTGCCCTTGCGGTCCTTAATGTCAATGTGACCCGCCGCCGTTGGACCGATCCAGAGCATCGGTGTCTTGCGCTTGGAAGCGTCAGCCAAAGCGAGGAATTCTAGTATGGACCTTCCTGCCGCTTCGGCGGACAAGGTGGTCGGTGACAGTGAGTGGATGACTGGGACGGGTTTGTAGTTCGATTGAGGCACTTGCGGGACCAGGGTTCTGAACTTCTGAAGCACGTCGTTGGAAGCCGGAGCCTTGTCCATCTGGAGGAAGGCATGAGGAGTGCGAGAACAAGCGTACGGGCTGCTGTGTTCGGCGGTATTTGTATTTCTGACGACATCCTCGCTGGTAGTAACGAAGTGTCCGGTACACGCCTGCACGATGAACTGGTTGTCACATCGACATTGTTGGAGTAGGTCGTTGTCCATGTCCCACGTCTTGAGAGCACCAAAGGCGAGGTCTTGACGCAGCAGGATGTTGAAGCCGTTATAGATGGTTTGGAGACTAAAGTCGCCGACGAAGACGACGGTGTCAAAGCGTTCTAGAATCATGCAGATCTCGGCAACTGTGTACCACCGGTAGTGGCAGTCTTGAAGAGGAGTCAGTCTATACTGTGAGTAGTAAGGTGGAGGATGTTTACCTTTTGGCCAATATGGCGTATCAAATCCGATGCGACCTCCCTGCGACATGGATTCGAGCAGATCTGCACGTCGAGAGCAGTACTTCGAAGCGTCTTGCGGAGGGGTGTAGAGATCGATTGCTCGGATGTTGCAGTCTGCGAAGCCCTGAAAGCCGCCGAAGTAGCTGGTAACGTTAGCCACGTCGACCGACGATACCTGGACTCGAACTCACTTGGTGAAGTCTTGATAGACCATGGGGACCTTGTCAGATTGGTATTTGGTGTCCCAGTGGCCAGGCAAGGGCAGAACAACATATGCCAGGTACATCATGAGACAGAAGTAGGAGTAGGAACAGAGGTAGTAAACGAATCTGATCCAACTGAAGCTGTCGATCAGGTCTTGTACTCTGAAGGTTAGTCTCAGAAGCCATGTCGGTCGTCGACTTTGATGGGTGCTGGGGACAACAGCGCAGACTTGAGCCTCACCGCCGTCTGTTTCGAATGACCTCGCGGACCAGGAAGTATCGGAGCCAGGTGACGACGAAGATCCAGAGGCCATCTTTGACCGTGGGTGAGCGCCCCACGCTGAAGACAATGAGCAGGCGATGATAATGAGATAGTTGTCCGACAGGCGCTCAACGGGGTATGTTCCAGGAAGCACTTCAGGTCTTGGTTGAGGCATATGAAGAATGGAGTGCTGGTTTGGTAGTGGTGTTGTTTTTGTTACTCGCAAGTAAACATCTTTTCACTACAAAGCTCTTCCATGTGCCCTTTCACCACGTTCACATGCCGCCATCCTCAGGACCATTCACGCCAATACTGCCGATGCCTTGTGCGGTGCTCTCCAGGTTCGACAAGATACCTTTCCTCGTTGTCGTCCCGGAGTTCTTCGCACACGACGATATAGCGCCAGTCTTTGACAGACGGAAGGTCATCACTTCTACCACGTAGTGCTACCAGCTTGGATGTAAGGCACCCGCTGTTCTGTACCTGCTGCATCATGAACTTACATCGTCGGTGTACTCCCTGTCAGACTGTGCCACCTTTTCCGGCAATGGGCTCGGCCTGTAAAATTCTTGCTGCTCACAAAGTAATACACCTTCCTTCTGAACACCTACGACTCTGCATATAGACACTCGACAAACAATGACAAGACGACTGCTCGACCATGATTCTACTCACCAAGTGTATGCTTGCAGATGCTGTTTTCTTTGATGAAGCGAGCAAGGTGCGATCTCTCCATGTCCCAACCCGTCAATGGCAGCTTCTTGACTCCGAAACGCAAAGAAATCCTCCCATTACCAGAAAGCTTCGCAAGTCAACAAGTCAACGTAACATGACTGGAAACGGTTCAGTGTTAGCATGCTCAGTCTATCCTGCAGCCAATCGTAGACTTCCGGCGTTGTCTCGTGCTCTTCAAGCTTGGATCCGGTTATCTCTTCTCAGCCTCTACCGATTTCACCCGATCACGCGAGGCTGCCGAAAGACTGCGGAGGATACTGGCCGAGTGGCGAATAAAGCGGCCGCTGTAGGTGCATACTCATAATCAAAGCTGCTGCTACTATCACCAGACGACTTTGGCACGCATCAGTACATGATTAATGGTCGGTGAGAACAGAGGCAGTAGAAGGAAAAAGGCGAGAAGGACGGAGAGGAAGAGAAAGGCAACGGCCACCCCACCGAAAGGAGAAAACATGGGGCTTTTGTTAGGCGGTTCGGCGTCGCGGGCCAAGGGATGAATCGAGGATTTTCGGTGTGGGATGCGGTGGTCTTGGTGGCTGGCGTGACCACTGGACCAGGTGTAAGATACTAAGCTAGGAGGTTCTCCTCCACAATCATGCCGCTACGCACCTGCGGGAATCAAATGTCATTCATTATTGTCTTTTCCCCACAGCTGACGAGGAGCAGAAGCAGACCAAGCGAAGATTCAATAGTAACGGCTCTCACATTGAGTCACCTGCTCTTGACAAGACACCTGCATATTTACTTTGACATCAGTTACGTCCAAAGAGCCTCGCATTCTACATTCATCCAACATCGTCCCGCCCATTGAGTCTTCCTTGAGCGCCCTTGCGCAATCAATCGCAGCAGCGCATTCTCGAGCGACCTCGGCTCCCGTCAAGTGCCTCTGACTCCAGATCTCGGGGAACATCGGACATCACACACTCCCTGCTCGACTCGCATTTTGAGTCACCAAACATACCCTCTTTACACCGCTCGAGTTGTCTTCCTACAGATACCAGGCCGCAAGGCCTGAACCTTGGTCATCATGTCGTGGAAGCCGTCAGAGAAGCTGTTGTCAACCATCGGTCACTATGCCAGCTTCCCGCCGACCGGTGTCAGTCTTCGACAGATGGTGCAGTTTGGGGAAAAGCCCTCGACTGGTAGGTGGACTGAATCACGCGACACCTCCATGCTCTTGCTGACTCCTGTTTCCACAGGCACACTGTTCCGAGCCTCTCAATTCCTTTCCGAAGAGCTCCCCGTGCGTCTTGCACATCGTGTAGAAGAGTTGGGCAAGCTGCCCGATGGCCTCAATGAGATGACATCAATCAAGAAGGTCAGGGACTGGTACGCTCAATCATTCGAAGAGATCACAACCATGTCCCGACCCGACCTAGATCCCGACACTCGAAACCGCCTCCTCAACCCTCCTAAAAAGTCCACCACTAGGCTTTCCTCTACAACTCGAAATCCCAGTCTCAAAGATGACGAGAATGGCAATGGCAAAGCGTCCTTGAACTCGCGGCGGTATTTCGCTGCGCTTGATGATGGCAAGGAGTGGCCCCCAGTCTTGTCTGAATACAATCGGAAATTCGCCCGCACACTCGAGATCATTAAGCGAAGACACGATCCAGTGGTAACCACCGTGGCCCAAGGCATCAACGAGTGGAAGCGCAAACAACAGCGTATGCAAATCGACACCAATATACAATCCTTCCTCGACCGTTTCTACATGTCTCGTATCGGTATTCGTATGCTCATTGGGCAACACATTGCCTTGACTGAGCAACAAATGCACCGCCACCCCAACTATGTTGGCATAATATGCACAAAGACGAATGTCCGAGAGCTTGTGGAAGAGGCGATCGAGAATGCCCGCTTTATCTGTGAGGATCACTATGGGCTATTCGACGCACCAAAAGTCCAGTTGTTTTGCAACCCCAATCTCAATTTCATGTATGTTCCAGGTCATCTGTCGCATATGCTCTTCGAAACCTTGAAGAACTCTCTACGAGCCGTGGTGGAAACACACGGTGCAGAAAAGGAGGAGTTCCCAGTTACAAAAGTGATCGTCGCCGAAGGCAAGGAGGACATCACCATCAAAATCAGCGACGAAGGAGGTGGTATACCGAGATCCGCCATCCCGCTCGTTTGGACTTATATGTACACTACCGTCGATTCTACACCAGAGTTGGATCCGGGATTTAATGCTAGTGATTTCAAGGCGCCAATGGCTGGGTTTGGATATGGGTTACCCATTTCACGGTTATATGCAAGGTACTTTGGAGGAGATTTGAAACTGATTTCCATGGAAGGGTGAGTGTGAATCCGATCCTGCAAAACATGAGCCAACCTAATAACGTTTGCAGATATGGGACGGATGTATATCTGCATCTCAACAGGCTTTCCTCGTCTTCGGAACCTCTGCAATAACAATCAGCAGTCATGAGGGATAGCAGCGGGTCCCAAGGATTGGCGTTGAACGGAAACAATACAGCTAGAACTAGCTCTTTACAGGGCATTAGCAGTGGGCGCTTGGCCGCGTTGCGCTCACGTTCGAAGAATCGAGAAGTCACGGAACGGAAACAGGTCGGTGATGCTGAGAGTATGATCAATGAGGAGCCAAATGTCATGCAACCTGGAGGCGCTTCTCAGTGGTTGGAATGAATATGTGATCAAAGATCAAAAGAGAAATAAAATGAAAAATGGAAAGGGGAAAAGGCACGCGCTGCCTCTTCACTAACATATAGCTTTGCTATATGCTTGAGAGAAGCCATGTATAGAGACAGCAATAACGAAGTCAAGATGCTGCGATGTCCTGTCCACAGGCTATGGTCAATTGCATAAGAGAGTCTTCGGCCATACCAAGTCACATCGAGTCGCTTTGACTTCATCCAGATGGTGGAATCACAGCAAAGGACAACAGGGGGAATCAGATCGGGAAGTTCAGGCTCAGCAGAAAGAGTGGACGAAATGAAACCCTCACATTCGTGTGATTCATGTCATGCTATAATCTTGATTCATTCATCAACCATACATTTATCGACCATTCACGTATCTGAAGCCATCACCTTCTGCCATGGCCCCGACGTCCCGCAAACCTGACGTTGCCCTGCCCTCGCTTCCCTACACCGCCGCCGCCCCTAAACTTTTGCTTCTGCTCCTGTCCCTTGGTCTTCTCCGCTCCCAATGCGCGCCGCTGCTGTTGCGGACCCTTCTTGTTCCCGCCATCTCTTCCCCCGGGCGACCTTGGACTTCCCGACCCTGCCATGATCTTCCTCGCGACCTCCCTCGCCTCCTCGACACCAAGCATGTCTTCGTCGTCCTTCTGGCGCGTCTCTTTCCGCACAGACTTCTGCATCCCAGACTTGACCTTCAGTCTGCCCTTCTGGCCACGGCGCACGGCGTCCGCGCCTGAAACAGCGTCGAGGTATGCATTGACCGAGTTATCCTGAGCAGCACCGGACATGTCGACATCGGCTTCCTCCTCATCTTCGTCAGCGCCACCAAAGATCAGCTTGCCGTCCTCATTGACTCTGGTCTTCTTGCTTGCGCCCGACTGAGTATCCCGGAGGCGGCCCAGTTTCTTACTCGAGATATTTGCCATGCTTCGTGGATCTAGCAAGTCGAGCGGTTCGTCATCCTCGCCTTCCTGTCTGATAAATTGCTCGTTGCGTTTCTTGCTCGCAGATTTCTTGAACGAAACGCCAGACATGGTATCGTCGCCGTCCGAATCTTCGTCTTCGCCGCCTTCAATCTCGGAATCGTCATCCTCAGAACCGTAGACCGCCTCATCGAACGCGGTATCGTATTTCTTCCCTGCTGACGGCTCTCCGTCCTGCTCCTCTTCATCTTCGTCAGCGGCAGTCTTGTTCCGTTTGGCCCGTTCCCTGCGTTTGCGGATGTTGACTATCATCTTCCTGTCCTCACCTCCGACCCAGCTTTCAACCTTTGAAGCGTCAAAGCGCCTCAAGCATCGATCGAGGATGCCCTTAATCTTGGCTCTCAACCTACCCTTATTCTCTTTGCTCCACACCATCAACCCCGAGACGATAGCTGGCATTCTGGGTTCTAACATCTGTGTTGGGAGAACAACCACCATGACCTTGACGAAGCCAAGCACAGCACGCACGATTTCGCGATTATTCGACTGTAGGAACATGGTGACCGTATCGACGAGTTCCTCTTTCGTTTTGTCGGTAAGCTGGTCGTGGTACTCGAACAGTAGCCTACTGAGCGCAATCACACTTGCTGCGACCATGTGTGGAGCCACGCCTGCCAACCCGGCGCTGACCATAGTGAAGACTTCTTCCAAAGTGGCTGGAGCATCTGGAGAGTCGTCGGGCATATGTGGCACTAGGCGGTTTCGAATAACGGTGCCCGCAGGATTCTCAGGATTTGAGATCTTTATGGTAATGGCAATAAGTAGATCAAAGCCTGCCGTTCGAGCCTTTTCATTTGAATCCTTGCAAGCGAGCACGACCTCGCTAATGATGCTGGGAATGAAGTGGAGGTCGGACAAGGGAAGAAACGACACAAGCGTTTCCGTGGCCAAAATGCGATCGCGACGAGCCGGAACTGGTGTCGTTTCTGATGTCGTTAGAATCAGCTGCTGCAAGTCTTTGTTTCGAGCCGTAAGAGCTTCTGCGCCGGTAGGGGAACTGGCTAGTCTGGGTATGAGTTTGTACGCTTTCTTGATGAGTTGAGGGTCGGACTTGAGAACCGCCGAGTTGGTCAAGACGGCGGAGGAAAGTGAGAAAAGGGAGGCGAACGTGGACCGTGGTAGGTGAACAGAAAGTGCTATGACGAGATCAAGTAAGGTGTGAGAAGTTGGCGGCAGTTTGTCACCGGCCGTTGCATTGGTTTCTTTCTTGGGCGGAGGCTGATCGGATTTGGGCAACGCATCTTCCAGCATCTTGGACACTCGCTTGAATGTGTCGACCAGGTCTTTCTCGGGTGTTATGCTAAGATAGCTGTCGATGCACTGCAGGATGTATGCTCGGGATTGCGGCAATGTTTGACTGTAGACGTTGAACAGCACAGCCAGAAGGCTTCCTGCCAATTGTCCTAGGTGCTGGAGGTTCGCCTCGGCATCTGCCCTTGACACACGTCTCTCAAGCAGCAAGACTTCGTCAGACAGATCTGAGGCCAGCAAGGCTTGATTTGATTCGACCAGATTTTGCAGCCCTCTGCAGAGGTCAACCCTGAGGTCCGTCTGTTTGTAAAGCAGATTCGCGATCATTTCCGCAAAAGGCTGGTCCACGGTAGTTCGCAGATCCAGAGGAAGGTCACAATATCCGGGCAATGTGGCCCAAACCTGTTGAACAACAGTCTCGTAGATCTTCACATCCATGGTCTTAGCGGCGCGGCCATGGTCGATAATACGTTGATACATGGCTTCGCTGAGAGGGACCAAGTCTGATTTGAAGTGAGCGAGATATGTGTTTGAAACATGATCTCTCAGCAGTGGTAGAAGCCATGCTCTGCCTGGTTGGCCTGCCTGTGGCTTGATGAGATTATGCGGAAGGACGTTCAAGACCGCGCCAGGGCCAAGGTTTCGAATGGCATGGCCAAGTACATCGTCCGCTTCTTTCTTGCCTTGGAAGCCCTCGTTGCTTCTCAGTTCTCCGATAGCTTTGACGATAGGAAGCAAATAAGGGTCGCCTCGCCAGCGTAAAGCGTCAAAGAGCGCAGCCAATGCAGAGAACACTTCCATCCACGCTGTCTGGTACTTGACAGCAAGGAGACCTAGCGCCTTCTTCGACATTTGTTCCAGCAACTTTTCGTCGTACACTGACGGATCTGATATGACACTGTCGGGAATGCAGTTGGCGAAGAAGGAGATCAAGCATTCTGAAGCTGAAACTCTGATGTTGTGGGATGGACTCGTAAGGAAGGCTGCCACCATATCGAAGAGTTCTGGTAATTTCGCAAACGTCTCCTCCGGCTCTACCACTCCAGCTGTGCCATAACCGCGAGATACAATTGCTATCCAGGGCGGTATCAATTGCGAGTCGTTTTGCGCAGGCTTCAATTCCACGATAGCCTCTAGCAGACGTGGGAGTTTTGATGATGAGACTTCGTCCTGCATTCCCTCAAAAATCACTTCAAACACCTCAAAAGCACTCATGACCAGGAAATCATTCCGCGATCGGGAAATCCCCAGCAACAATTCACAAAGTGCCTCGATCTTCTTGCTTGGCCAACCTCCTGAAGCGACTGCAATAGTCTTTGTGAGTTGAAGAGCGTGTATGACGGCCGGTTCGTGACTATCGTCGGGTCGTCCTCGTTGGCGCTTCGCCTGATGAACTGTGTCTACCGCACTCTTGAGGTTGTTTTGGGTGGCCGCTGCACATAGTTCGGCAGCTTGATGATCGATGGCAGGTCCTGGTGGGGGGTTCTTCAATATGGACGTCAACGCGTCTTGCGCCCTTTTCCTAATCTTCGGCCTGGAGTCAATTGCGAGTGTCAGAAGTACCAGTATAGCCTGCCGAGGGCTGGTCTGGCTCTGGGGAAGATTCCATGCCGCGGAATCCTGCGCTACCAATAGCGACTCGAGACATCCGATTGCTGACCGTAGCAATGAGGCGTTCTTCGTCGACGGGCTCAAGTACGGCGCTAGGAGGGAGAGAATAGTGTTGAACTGGGTGCGGAGAAGGCTTGCGGATACGTAGGAGGTCACCAAGTCTAGGAGGTAGATGGTCGAGGAGAGGATTTCATTCTCGCTGTTTGGCTGCGAGCCGGTCGCCGTTGACTGCTTGAGGAGGGCAAGTAGAGCGGCAAAGTATGCAGTGGCCGTGAATTTTGTCTTCTGTTCCGAGAGGGTTTCTTCGATAGAGGATAGGACGACTGCGGTCTGCGACTGTTAGAAGACGACAAGCCACAGGACTGGCACACATACGTGTTGCTGGCTCTGCAGGTTCGGCGATTTGATTTTTGCCAACTTCTCCTCCAGTGATACGTCCATCTTGTCCACCATTACTATGTAGAGAGTCTGCGAGGCACTTCGCCGGGGCGCAAATGTCGAATGGAAGTGGAATTATTTTTATTTTCGGCAGAATAAATTATAGTTTCACCGCCTTCTCAGCCTCGTCATGTCATCAGGCTGTGAGGCTGTACGGAATGTCCAACAGTCACCATGTTCAAAGGCCATCGCTGAACCAATTCTTGATGATAGGCTCCGTCGCAATGCCTAATGCCACCTTCTGAAAATATAAACGTGTTTGAGGTATGGACTAATTCTGTCAACGAGGTAGGCTGAGTAGTGCGGACAGCAAGACTGACCTTGTCATTTACTATGCCATAATGCATGAGCAATTGATAGTGGTCAAGAATCACTTGCGCCCGCTGTTTCGTCTGCAGCTTCTCGTAATCTGCCGCATTTTTTGGGCGCTCTGGTCTAGCCTCATGTTGACCATGAATCCGCTTGAATTCTTCCCGATCGATTGGTTTAGAGTCGACGGTCGTGACTGAAGTTGTAAACATCCTCACAGTCAGACCTGAATGGATGCAGTTCGACTCATTCGTTTGTGCTCAGATGGTTGTTCAGTATGCCATCGACGAGAGTGCGCTGTCAAATTTGACGCGCTGCCAACAGTAAGAATACATAAGATGACAGGGAGGTATTCCAGATTATGAAGGAACTACATTCACGTCGCGCAAACACACGTGATGCGGTGTTGAGTCCTCACCAAGTCTAGATGAAGCATCGGAACATGTTTCATGCTACATCATATAGGTCTTGGGGAACTTCGTTTTCCAACTATGATTTTCATATTGGAAGTGGTCTGGAGAGCATCGACCCGCTACATGGGCGGCTGACACAGTTCAGATACTGTGGCGATTTGTGACCCTCGAAGCCGTCCAGACCACGGTTGACTATCTTCCTCAGCATTATCATACGTCGCGTCTCTGCATCTTCACGTCGCCCCCTTCGACATGCTGAATTGGATGTGGATAAGAACCACTCCTGGTCTAGTAAAGGTTGTGTGAGTCGCTGAATGTACCGGGAAAAGTCGTGATTCCCTCCTTGGTCATAATGCTAGACAAGATGCATTGCCAGACCGGTGAAGGAAGAAACTCCTTTTTCCACCAAATCCACATTCCCAAATAGATCCTACCAAGTCCTTGACGCCATTGTGCTGGTTTGCCATGCCGCTAACTCGCAAGACACACATACATCTGTACATACCGGCAATTGCCGGTAGCCGACTTTGAACACGGAAACAATTATACAATTATCATTAACAACCATCGACAAGGCTGTTCTTCGGCCAGTCGTAACTAGTATCTGACCTAGATGGTGGATTAGCTTCTGGAAATGGTGTAGATCGCGCATAAACTTACCAGCTGGTGATGTTCGGATTATGGTACACGTCGTAGTGGTTGCTGATGTATTCGGTAGTCGGGTAGCCGTGGGGATCGCACGTCATCTCACCACTATCATCTTGGTAGATTCGGATATAGTCGACTCTCATGGTGGCAGGCATCAACGACGCCAATCCAGTCAGATTGAGGGCAGAGAATCCAGCGGACATGCCAAAGTTGACAACCACCGACAGAGGCTCTTCCGGCACGACGCGCTGGTTGACATTGCCATTCGGACCCAAGGACTGGCCTTCCATTCGCCATACCGGGTTTTCACCCACATACCAAGTAATATCTCCATCGGCACCAGGAGCGTACTCGTAAGCATAGACTTGATATTCATTACCGTCATACCACTTATTGTTCAGGTTTGATAATCCAGACACTGCTTGCTGAAAGGGTCCACCTTTGTATGTGTTCATGGCTGTGACTGAGAAATCGAACACCTGCACAAAGTCATAGTTTGGTTGATACCAAATATCAAAGGGAGCGACCTGGAATGATTGGGACACCATGCCGATTTGGTTTCCTAGGGAGTCGAGTGTGCCGACACTGGCTTCAAGCACATCGATTTCTGGGGCGGACCGCGAATTCCCGGATGATGGATGATCTTCGCCAGAACATGTACATGCCGGTAGTCGCATTCCGGGTAGATAGCTGATACCATCGGGTGAACTTTGATTCGCCGTTATACCGGCGTCGCACACATCGGCGTAGGAATAAGGCCACAGACCGTCGGTCGTCGCTGCATACCCGGGTCTACCCAAATTGCCCATGGACCAAAAGCCGGGCCAGAAACCCACAGTATCGCCACGGCCTGGCAGAGAAATACTGGCTTCCAGTCGGCCGCCCTTGAAGCACAATTGGTTCCACGACTGTAACATGCCAGATCGATAATTGAGTTCGTGGTTCTGGAAAGCATCAAACCTCAATTCCAGCACACCGTTGTTTGTTGTCGCAGCGTCCGGGTCGTACCATTCCAAATCCTTTGTCACACCATACCACAAGTCTACCGCAGTGAAGTATGGATCATCTCCATCGTAGAAGGTCCGCCCAGACGTCGAGAACTCATCGGAAAAGACCAAATTCCAGGTGTTGCCATGATAGTCCGTCTTGGTATATGCTGATTTCGGAGTGTCGCTGTCAATCAGACCAGTACGCATGTTGACCAACAAAGGTTCTTTGCCGTTGCCGATGCAGCCAATGTTGGCCGCGCAAGGATCAGTAGTACCTGTTATCCTTTGGACAAACGTGCTAGCAAGTCATTAGCAGAGACGCGGTTAGAATCAGTATAGGGACATACAAGGCAGGATAACCTATAAATAGGACCAGAATGCCGATGGTCATGAATGCTAAACCACCAACGTTGACGAGTCCTCTCTTCGTGAAAATGTCGCAATCTCGCGGTTCGCCATTGGGATCCGGGTTATGAAGGTAATCGTCCTTTTCGATATCCTCAGGGAACAATAGCAGCCCTGCTGACGGTAGAATGTTGTACTTTTCGGATACTGTTTGCGTATTCACATCGTTGTCGTCACTTCCAGCTCTTGACCCGGGTCTTGACAGGCTGGAGTCTCTGAAGGGATTTTCGTAGCCTCTGCTATCCCTACTGCGGTCTGACTCCCAACTCGATCGCCGTGAAGAATAGCTAGAGCGTGCTGGTGATCTCAAGGGAGAAGGAGATGTATCATCTCGAAATCTGGATCGCCCTCCTTGCGAAGGCGATAATAATCTTTCAGCAGAGTCTTGAGCGTTTTCCGCGCCGTAAACGGTGTTGAGGTGTAACGAGGAAGCCGGTACAAGGGTCCTCGACGAACTGCTAGCAGCGCCCTTTGTGAGGTCTCCTTGCCCTGAATTTAACCGTATGTGTGGTGGGACGCGGGGCGGCACTGAGGTGCTTTGGGACGACATTGTGAAATGGCGATCGACTCGTCGTCAAAGAGATCGATCGCCGAATGTAGAGGAAAGTTTGTTGATACACGGCTCGCGTCGACTTGAGTAAAGGTTCGGAGTCCAAATAGGCTGCAGGTCTCGCAGCCGAAGTCGTCACAAGTGCTGAGCAGACTGATGTGCGTGTCGGCAAGTCGGTAGAGAGATGTGAGGCCGATTGACGAGCAGGCGTCAGATCTGAGGGCTAGGTAGACCGCGTGAGAGAAAGAGGCTGAGGCTGAGAGTGAGACAGATAACAGAAAGCCGACTATAAGCTGTGGTATCTCGTACTCATGTAAAGGGTGGTCTTGTGTGCGTGTGAAGCTGAGGCCGTGAGTCTCGACTCCTTTCTGACCTGCAGGGAAAGAGAAGAGCTGTGGGTTTCCAGCGGGTACAAAGGATCGCAAGGTGAATACTGAGTGTCTCGAATAGCCGAGTTGATACGGGTGTAAGACAAACGAATGTAAGTGCTCTGCCTTGTGGTGAGCCACGAGTAAACAGTAAGTATGAATAAGAGAGTGGTATACACTGAATTGTGTTCGTGTTTGTTGCAGTGCTGCAGGTGCAGTTTAGTTTCCCAAGCAAGCCAGGGGAGCGAGTTGAGTTTCCAAAAGTCCGCAGGCGCTAATGTCGAGTGAAAGACTGGAACAAGAGGCTTGAGTCGCGAAATGGACGCAGGCACGGGGGCACAAGTTGCGGTCCACCAGCCAAACGAGGTCAGCGACAGGCGGTCACACCAGGGCGGACTTTGCGCCTAGAAGTGGCTTGGGTTGGCTTTTGCCGGTTTCATGGGCGCCCCGTACAAAGAAGTGGGCTTTATCACTGTGGTCTCGCTAATTAAACACCATCATCTAACTCAGATCTCGTCGATGACACGAAGGAATTAAGATAGAGTCTTCTGTCTTTTACTAAACGATCAGAATGGCATGAGCAACAAGAACAAATGACCTCTTCTCCTCGTATGCGACCTGGTTACGTATCAATGGTGGTCATGCCCATGGTTTCTTGTTTTTCATCGCCTCACACGTTGATGTGCCTGGACGATCACTTTTAGTTGCAGATTGAGGTCCAGTCGCGAAAGGCGTTCTTACAGTAGTGCGGGCTCCCACTTATAATTATCATGGTACAGCCAATCCTCCATGTCGGCCTGGAAGGGGCGATTTTATTTCGGTCACTTACTTGCATATGCACTGATATGGCAGATGTCTCCCAGTAAAGGATTCGAAGCATGATCTACACCAATAGAAAGAGGGTATGGCAGCCTGGTAGGTCGTCGCCATGGACATCGAATTCTCCGTTTTGCACTGTCTCCAAATTCAACATCAGGTTTTTACCGTGATAAATACTCAACATGTGATCCTGGTCTGCTCTTTGTCGCGACCATAATCCACGCCTGGGAACCACTTTCCTTGATGTCGAGAAATCCGGAAATACATGTCAAGGTGCCTTGCAAACAAGACAAGGACTGGGATCGGGCACCGGGCATCGGAAAACGCTGTCTTGCAGGCATTTGAAGTTCATTATTGTTTGGCCAACAAACAAAACACGGCGCAAAACGAGTGACCGATCGAAAAGGGTTGACGCGTATCCTTAGGCTTTCGTGGAACCGTGGCACAGCCCGGGAAGAAGCCCAATCAATGAACAGGATAGGAGAAAGTGGCGCCGGTCAGTCTCAGATCTTCATTTGCTGACACTGGGTGGAGGTCTAGTCGACAGAGTCGATCCCTGGTCATCCAAATCAATCTGACAGACCCTTTTTCCGCCTCCACTTGTGTGGGATGCATTCAGGGGAATCCTTCGAGGCTGCGGCGACTCGGCCAGTCCTGCTATTCTTGAGATTGCCCTCGTCCGGACATTCTTCCATTTGAGCCTCATCACTTCTGTACGCGTACGCAATAGCTGTTGAGTTCGAACTATTGCCATCGACGAGCACGAATTGAAGGCGATGCCTCGGACGGACTTTTTGCCTACGGCTTAGGACAATCCATAAATCATGATTCATGACACGCGTGAGACCTTGGAGATCTCTGTGAATCCTTCCAAGATGCGAGCCCGGAATTGTTTCACCTGCTTCATCTCTATCAACCATTGGCCTCGGTGTTGACTCGCCTATCCGGGCTCGTCCAGGTGAAGCCTTGATGGCTCTTGTTTCGTTTTCGTCTCGCTAACGACATTCCCCCGATCCACCTCGATATATGGTTCCATGGTCAGAGATAACCTTTCCGCCGTCGGAGGTTGATAAGAGCAAGCAGGCGTCAAAAGGGGTTCGATATTCACTAGTATCTGATGGTTATCTAAGTTCTATACCTCGCTCATGTGGAGTGCTCTACCTTTTCTGCTTGAAACCAATCGGACATTTGCAGGACGTTGCGATGCTTGATTCATGTGATACCTTTCGCTACCTGTATCACAAAGTCCAGATTGGACGTACTTCTAAGCAGTCGATTCGCCTCATCTGCGTCAACTGCCGATAGAGTAGTATTACCTACGCCAACATCATCGTCAACAACCGTGCACAGGTGCAATTGCATATTAGTTGGCGTTCTATCTCGATGTGATAGTGGTGCATGCACTCAATGCACGAAACGACTAAACGTCGTACGTACGGCTTGCCAATGATTTCGGAGTATGCCTTTCTCTTCTTCAAGCAGAATGTCTCAGCTCTCAACCGCCTTAGTTACCACGCCGATCAACTTCCTCTCCCCCAGCGTCAAGATATAGTACTCTGCTCGTGTCCTGCTAACCTCTACTCTAAAAACCTTGACACCTCCACTTCCTGCTTGTTCCACGCGTGCAATAATATCTTGATACTGGTTTCTAGGATCGAAATCTTGTGTGCTCAGCTCCTCCACGCTGCCACTTGTATGTCCCTTATGGCTCAAACACTTCTCGAAATCCGACACACTAGGCAGCTTTGACCCAGAGTAGCTGAAGACGACGGGCTCGAAGGGCGAGTCTGTGTCCGACGTGTATGTTATGTCAGGTAGGGACTTTAATGAAGCCGGGAGAGTTTCAGAAGAGACGTCCGAGGATGACGAAGTGTTGGTTGGATCGAACTTGGTGCGGGACTCAGACGTCGAGTTGGCTTGTTCATGGCCTCCGGCTTTGGGGTCGGCGTTGGCTCTATTGAGGAAAGACATGTAGGAGGCGTCGTCAGACATGATGAGCGTACTTCTATAGTGTCGGCCGTGGATGTAAATCGCAATGTTGGTTTGCTGAAACCTTGAAAAGAGGTTTGTAGTCAGTGGGTGAATGGTTGGCGACCGAGGAAGTGTCGATGCTCCTGTCAATGTATGCGGCAAACAATGTAGGTGCTTGTTAACTATGCGACAGCTTATTCTGGGAGCGTAATGATGGGAAAGAGCCTTTGTGTACGATCTTAGCATTCGAATTGAATGTCTGTGGAATGGTTCAACTTGGGTTGTTCTGCCTGCGACTCTCACACAGTTTGGTTGGAGAAATTTTGAGGGCTGCAAAGTGACGTCATGTTCTCAGCCTCGTGGCGGTACTAGTACTTACTGAGGAGCTCAGCCTCGCTCTCCAACATGATCCGACGTTGCCAAGTCCTTGTACAGGAGGGTTTGACAAACACTATCAGCATCGACGATGAGAGATTCTGAGGCTATCAGAGCGAAGCTATCAATGCATCGGACCAGAGTGCCGTAAAGTGCACCTCGGGACGCACGGCACACTTGCGCAATGAACAAATGTGATGTACGTTGGTCAAGGGTGTTTGTTGTGCCGGCCGCGGAAGCCTACAAAAGATGATTATGCATCTCTCCTTCCTCAATTGGGTTTTGACATAACACTCTCAAGCGGCTGTGAAGCCGGTCGAAACCTTCAACACGAGCGGCGAAGATAACAGCTGCACTCGAGTCGAACGCTGCCGGCGCTACATACTGGAGGATGCCGCTATATGGGATTGTGCGGGGAAACACCTTGTAAAACCGTTGGATTTCTGACGTCCTTCTTATCAACTGCACGCAGACCTTCCTGTTTGGGCTATACTGGTATCTATCCATCGCAAATACACCTGCTTGGTGAAAAACATGAGCAATGCGCATCTCCGTAGATGCAAGAGTCTGCAGTCTGCACGGAAGAGGAAGGCACGGTAGGCACAGAAAGGAATACATTAGAGCACAATGGATGCTATGGCCACCATGAAAAGGTATATATACGATCGTTGACCTCTTCTATCCCTACAGTTCCTACACTTCTACTCTGCCTCTTCAACGTTTGGGTTCCCAGCTGGTATCATCTCAATATGTCCGCCTTCCGGTCGTGGTCAAGCACCCGTTTCATTTACCTTGCTTTGCTTTTCAGCCAGTTGTCTTGGGCTGTCCCAGTGGAGCTAGAGAAGCGTCAAGAGTATGGCTTGACCGGCGATGGGTTCGATGCAGGCACCAAAAAGCTGGGAAATGCGTACAATTATTGGCTCGAAATGCCCAATGGAACCTGGGACCTTACAAGGAGCCAAAGTGCCCCAGTGACCTCACCCAAGGTGTTGCCCATGGAAGGATCCTCGATCATGATCGAACCAAACCGGACAGCCCTGGTCATCATCGACATGCAGAACTTCTTTCTTCATCCAGATCTATCCCCCCACGCAACCGCTGGAAGAGGTGCCGTTCAGCCAACTGTGAATATGATCAACGGCTTTCGCAAGCATGGCATGAAGATCCTCTGGACTAATTGGGGTCTGACGGAATATGATCTACTGACTATCCCACCTTCCTTCAAGGCGGGTTTCTCTACCAACGGGTCAAATTTGGCGAATGAAACATTTGGCAGCGACATGGGCACCATTGAACAAAATGGCACCACCATTGAAGTTGGCCGCAAGCTTATGAGAGGGGCCTGGAACGCTGAGCCATACGGCGTCCTGGGAACCATGAAGAACGAAGGGATTGCTGCAGGAACAGACCTTTGGTTCAACAAGAATCGTTTGTCAGGGCTTTGGGGCCCACAAACTCCATTGGGAATCTGGCTTCAGGAAAATGAGGTGTCGACTCTCTTCTTTGGGGGCGTGAATGCCGAGTGAGTTTTCGCCAATTCTGTCGTGCTACAGCATTCCAGGGCTAATGAGACTTTAGTCAGTGTGTATGGTCGACTTTGGTGGACGCTTACTTCAAGGGTGCGTGATTTCTGTGGTCTCCGCCATCAACTATAAGGACGACTCTGGCTAACCGGGTGCTTAGGGTACGACGTCATATACGTGGACGACATTAGTCAAACCACCAGTCCCTTTTATGCTATAGAGATGACAAGGTATAATGCGCAAGGTTATGGTAAGCATGTCATTTGCACACCGAGACGAAGCATATACTGACTTTGGGTGTAGGCTTTGTGGGCAATTCGACCCCGATCTTGAAGGCCTTGGGGTAGGAGGCTACGTGTGAAACCCCAGACGAGTCCACAGGTGATGAGAGCAGCAACGACCACAAGTGCCGCAGATTCGGTACCTACAGAGTTGCAGGGATTTAAATTCCAAACACTGGGTAGTTGAACTTGCCACAGTACGAGCACGCTGAAAGAGCCATCAGTACGGCAGGCCGTTGTCTTCAGGTGATCTGTAGTCAAGCCCTCTTTCAAGTCGAGGAGGCCATCTGACCATACGACCGCACATAGAAAATTTGCCAACTGATTCCAGTCTTCTTCTGCCTATACCTCATCCCCTCCTGCATGACCCTGCAAGTTGGCCCTTCCAGAGATGCATGCAAGTACTGACTGTACAGTGGTGAACCAAAAACGCCAAGTCTATTTATTTATTTATGCTTTTATGCCTCACCATTACCACCTTCACTTCTTCCATCTTTCCTTTATCCTTCCTGCGCAGCATAGCATGTCTTTCCCTCTGCGATCTCCGTCTTCTTTTCCTGTTTGCAATTAAGATTGTCTTTCGGACTCGCTCGCGACGAGCTGTTGCTACAGCCGATGACGTTTTCTCTTCCAGGTCTTTGCATTACTAATAATAACATTGCATCGTTCCGACATTTCGAACCTTACACTAACAGCTGCTTGTGCTATTCCATGATTGCCTCCCATGGCTCTCACCATGGATGACACCTGGTCTGAGAGTTCATCAGAGGACGATACTGATCCGACAACTATTCCTCCTCTACAGTCTCGCGCTTACCAGATTGAAATGTTCGAGCACAGCATGCAGGGAAACATCATCGCCGTGGTATGGAACGACGACCTCTACTGCAGGCCTGGTGATTATTGACATTCATACAGATGGGAACAGGGAGTGGTAAGACACAGATGTAAGCATATTGATCTGGCCGTCACCGCTTCCGCCTGTCTTTGTATTCATGGCTTATTTCTCGACGCAGCGCCAAACTTCGCATGGAGGCTGAATTGCACCGATCCATCGGCAAGGTCTGCGCGCTTCTGCTCGATGCCATTCAGACACTGATTGTTCGCTTCAGCGTGTTTGGTTCACAGCGCCCAGTGTCGTTCTAGCTTACCAGCAATATTCTTTTCTCTCAAAGCAACTCCCTGCATTCCAGTTCAGACTGATCACAGGTATGGACAATGTTGATTACTGGACCACGCAAGAACTGTGGGATCAAATCCTACTGAATGTTCATGTTGTGGTTTCTACGCCTCGGATCTTGCTTGATGCCCTCAGTCATTTTGTGTCCCTCCAAGACATTTCATTGCTCGTGATTGATGAAGCCCACCACTGTGTTGCTGGCTCCGACCTTAACACGATCATGCGAGTTCATTATGGGCATTTGAAGGCTTCCGCCTCCAGAAACAACTTGCCGCACATTCTGGGCCTGTCTGCCAGTCCCATTGTCAAAAAAAGCACATCCGAGATTGATCAATTGGAGGCTAACCTCGATGCAAAATGCAAGGCGCCGATGCAGCAGTTCGAACAGTACACTGCGTTTGTCAACATGCCCGAGCTTGAGATACTGACCTTCGAAGAGAACCTTGGTCTTCCATCGGCTCTGTTGACTCGCTTGAAAGATGTGACCGCCGCAGTGCAATTGGAGGACGATCCTTATGTGCACGAACTTCGTCAGAGAGCCGACTTATCAGCTCAAGAAAAACTCAAGAAGATCCTGAAAAGAAACGCCACCTCCGGCATGGTCGAGCTCCAAAGATTTTCGAGGTCAAGCGCAGCCATCCATGCAGATCTTGGAAGATGGGCCGGCGACTTCTACATCACTGCATGCATCCAAAAGCTTCGAGCGGTCGTGTCCTCCGACAAAGACAACCATGGACCAGAAGTCTACCCAATCGATAGTTCACAATTCATCAATTCAGTCCTACGATGCTTTCACGAATCAGCGGATTTGATGTACCCAGACACATCTACTCACGAGATCCTGTCACCAAAGGTCGAGCTTCTTTTCGAGCTTCTTACCCGAGAGTCTCGAACAGCGCTCAGGAGCCTAGTCTTTGTGCAAAGAAAAGACACCGCATTTGCCCTTGCAGAGCTTATCAACAGTCACCCAGCAATGCGAGATTTCCACGCATTTTCATTCGTCGGAGTCTCCAACCCTGCACATCAAGGTGCTTTTGATTTTGCGCAGCTGGCTATGCAAAATGAAAACTTGGAAAGATTCAGACGCGGAGAGATTAACCTCTGCATAGCCACTTCAGTGCTTGAAGAAGGTATTGATGTGCCTGCCATGAACTTGGTCATCTGTTTTGATGAACGACCCAATCTCCGCAGCTTTGTCCAGAGTAGAGGAAGAGCACGACAACAAGAGTCGAAGTTCGTTATTCTTCGCGCTAAGGAGGAGACCCGAGCGAAAGAAATAATGTTTCGAGACCTGGAAAACGAGATGAAGAAGGTACGGGGTGACTCGATTCGTGCTTTTGAAGAGTTGACAGCTGTTGAGCAGTACGAGGAATGTGGTGGCGACATGTTCCGCGTCCCCTCGACTGGGTCAGTATTCGTGCACAATCCCGAAGTAACTTGGAAGCAGTTTCACTGACCATTGTAGGGCCACTCTCGCCTTCCACAATGCCCGACCATTACTACAGCGATTTTGTGACAAGCTGCCGAAAAAAGAGGGAGTTGAAATACCCGAGCTGACGTACTGCATGGAAGGTCGGAACGGGGACGCCGTGTCTGCGAGAGTATATCTTCCGACCTCTTTACCACCGGACTTGCAGGTCTTCCATTCCAAAGCACTCTGGCGGACGGAGAAAATGGCCAAGAACGACGCGGCATATCAAGCGTATCTTGCACTTTACCACGCCGGGCTGTTGACTGACAACTTATTGCCCCGTGAATTGCCGAAAGATTTTGACGGTCAAAATGCGCCAGATAACGAGACTACCACGGGAGAAGGTGTGTGTGCCGTACAAAGCCAATATGATCCGTGGCCCATGGTGACGAAGCTGTGGTCGATATCCGGTCAAGTATATGCGCACCAGATCGAGATCAAAGAGGAGCACCACGATCACCCTTCGTTGTACCTGCTCCTGCCCCTTAGAGTACCAGCAACATCCTTCCCCCTCTACATGACAGGAGATCAACCCGTCCATGTTTCCGTGCATCAAGGACAGGAAGTCGCCAGCAACATCACCGTAGCACGAAAAGTCAGCCTCCACTTACTGTCGACCATCCTTGGTAGACGTCTACAGGGTATTACTCCGAGCCAATTTCCATTCCTACTTGTACCCATTCTCGATCAGAGCTTTCTCGAAGACTGGTACATGAAGGCGTGCGACAGTCGGCCTATGTTGGACGTCTTGCAGGATGGCACTTTTTCTAACTCGCAGTACCTGCTGCGATACTGCGAAGAGTCCGTTCCATACCTCTATCATCACCAAAATAACAGTAGCGGCGTGCCAGAAGTCGGCAGTGTTGACAGTGCAAGCATTTTTGCGACAAAGCTGACTCGAAGATTGGAGTTTTTATCTCCACCAGCATTTGCAAAACCGGCCGAAATCGCTGAAAGCAAGCTTCTTTCGGTCGTCGATTGTGTTCTCTTAGGACTTGCTGCGGATTATGGGCGTCTGATGTTACTTGTCCCTTCCATGACTCACATGGTTGAAGTCGCATTGCGTTCTGCTGAAGCATGCAAAGGCCCACTCAAGCGGCTCGATTTCAAAAATCTTGACATGGTCTCGCAGGCATTGACACTGCCCAGAGTTGGCGCCAACAACTACGAGCGCTTGGAGTTTCTGGGAGACGATACCTTGAAATTCTATGCCTCCTTCCAGGTTTTTGTCGACTATCCTCACCATCCGGAGAATCTATTGACTATCGAAAGAGGGCGTCTGATCAACAACCAACGTCTCCAGAAGACCACACGACTACTTGGACTGGATCGCTTCCTTACTCAGCACAAATTTTCCTGTGCCCAGTGGACGGCCGGTGTCAGCCGCAGTCCTGTGACGGACGAGGTCCCGATGAAGACACACCTCTCATCGAAGACGCTAGCAGACATTGTCGAGGCTTTGATCGGTGCTGCCAAGATGGACGACGCAACGAGCGACACACGCGAAGCAAAAGTCATCTCTGCCCTCCAACTATTCCTTGACGAAGTTCAATGGCGAACTTTGGCGGAGAACATAGAGAGACTGACGGTCCGGAAAGCTTCCTCCGTTGCAGGTCTCGACCTTCTGAAGCCAGTCGAGACTCTGATCGGATATCCATTCAATGACCGTTCGTTGCTGGCCGAAGCCTTGACTCAATCGTCTCTCGGAAGAGGTGTTTCGTCCTATGAAAGACTTGAGTTCCTGGGTGACGCCATTCTCGACCACATTGTCAAGACGAGGCTATTCGACAGCCCGCTCATGCTCGACCCTGAACAAATGACACTCCGTCGTCACGCCCTTGTCAGCCATGCCACGCTTGCTTTTTTCGCCTTACAAGCATCACATTTCCGCAGCACCATTGATCTGAAGACTGACTTCCGCTCACAGAAGACAATCCAACAAGAAGCGACAACGACTGTCTTTCTCCCTGACTACATCAAGCGTCTTGGCAGTCGGCAAGACTCGGCAAGCCGAGAGTTGACGCTGGCGGCGTATAACGAGATCCGCGACACGATACTTACGAGCTTCGAGCAGGGAAGGATCTTCCCATGGTCGGCACTCTTGCACCTGCGAGCTCCAAAGTCCTACTCGGACATAATCGAGTCAATCCTCGCCGCTGTCTTCATCGATTCTGGTGGGAATTTTGATTCATGCATAATGGTCCTCGACAAGCTTGGATTCATGAAATTAGTGCACCGATTCGTCACAGAGCGAGACCTGGACGTGCGACATCCAGAAGCACTTCTATCCCAGGCTGCGATGGACTGCAAGCTGGTCGTGAGTAACAGAAAGACTGGGTGGCGTTGCAAGGTCATGCTGAATGGAGAACGGATCGCACATGCCAAGAGAGCGAGTTGCAAGGACGAAGCGCAATGCAGAGCAGCTGAGCATGCACTTCTGGTCCTTTCGAGGAAGAGGAAGGCGGAATCCCTGGAGCAGGAAAACCCTGCGGCGTCCGCTCAGAAAGAGGTGGAGCCAGATACCATCGACGATGATGAGAATGAGTGATCGGGACAGGATCGCAAGTGCCTACGGCGAAGGAGAAAGAGAACGACAACAGGCTTCCTGAAGGGCAGGTATCAAAAGAAACGAAGTCATGAATGGCACTTCCATGATGTTATGGGTAACGAGGTTGTCACGAGTAATGAGTCACGAACGAACCACGAATACGCCACGAATGACCAGAAGATACGTGTTTCAAATGCAGTGTTTTCTGTTTTCCTCTCAGCGTTTATGGCTCTAGCAACTTGTACAGCAGCTTTTCAAGCCCCTTCCAGATGTCGAAGAACAATACTCATTGAGTACAAATAAACCCGCAGTCCATGTAATCGTGCTTGAATGAAGTTCTGCCTATTCCCTAAACGCCACGCTCATGACCATAAGTTCAAAGGATGTAGCTGTGGAGTGTTGTAAGCACTTCAACCCTCCTTTTCGGTAACCGCGACGCCCGTTCTGTTGATTTAGAAATCCATACCAACAAGATACCCCTCGAAGATGCGCATGAACTTGGCCACAAAGGCCTCGAGGTGGAAAATGACTTTGCTGCCCAGATGTATGCGATGCTCGTAGAACCCGGCCCACCTCACCACCTCCGGCTTGAGAGTGTCGTCCACTTCCGGCAACGCCACAAGTTTCCAGCACAACAGCTTTAGCACCATCGTCGCCGGAATACAATGGGAGAGCAGGTCGTAAAGCTTCGCTCGAGTCTGTAAGATCATGGCCGGCGAACGCTCCCTCACAATATCTTTGGCAATCTGCTCGATCAAGATCTCCCAGTCTGGCGGAGGGATGGGTGTCTTCTCGCTTGGTTCCGGGTGTTGCGCGTATACGGCTTCGAACATCAGAAGTGCCTTGCGCAGATTGCGGCCAGAGTCTTTTGCAATTCGCTCGTTCAGCGCCGGGATGACCTTCCAATTCTCCTTCTTGCCGGCTTTTGCGAGGGCGTCACAGATATCGGCTTCAGTGGGTGCAGCGACACGCACAAGCAGCGTACGACTACGGATCGGGGCGATGATGCCTGCCGTGCTGTTCGCCACAAGTATCAGCCGCACGTTGGCACTGTACTTTTCCATAGTCCGTCTCAATGCTGCTTGAGCGTCGCGACTCAGGCCATCGGCTTCATTGATCACGACCACTTTGAAACGCTGTTTCGCCGAGAGGTCGACCTGTTGCGTCTGTGCCACTTCTTTCAACAACTCTTGGATGACCACTCGGTCGTAGTTGCCGACATCGCTGGGTGTGATTTCGAGATGGTAGACAGAGGAGACGACGTTGAATTCGAGTTTGCGATTCGATGAGGTTGTAAACATACGTGCATCGATTTTGATCTTCTCCACCCCGCTGCCATAGATAGCACGGAGTGTTGCTAGGATGCGAGTCTTTTTTCCAGCGCCAGACGGGCCGTAGACGAGCAGATGTGGGAAGTCTGCGGAGGATGCCTGGCAGATTGAGGTTGATTAGCGTCCCCAAGTCATGCTATCTAATGAAGTGTCTTCTTACCAACGACGCGAGACGGTCAGAGAGGTCTTCATGGTATGTGAGGGCATCGAGGGAGCGCGGCCTAAGCTTGTCAACCAACAGCGCCATTATTGAGGTCGTTGATATTGTGATGAACTCGTGCTACAATGACAATATGGAAATGGACCGTTGGAGCGAAAAGAATAGACAGACGCGTTTGGACGCGTAAAGTGCAAGTGACGTAGCCTATTTTCGCTCAAACGTTACAATTTGAAGTCATGGTCAGATGCAGTCCTGCTTCAAGCAGATCATTGTGCCCGCAGTAGCTGGGGCAAACAGCTTCTATCAAGTCGTCCTGGATCAAGGGAGGTATGAATTCTTGCTAAACTACTATGAAAGTCATTGTTGTGCACAGTTACTGGTGACTGTCGAGGCTCGCCAACTGTATGCTTCCCAGGAAATGACCAGTCTTATGGCCAAAAATGCCTAAAGCGTATGTTCTCTCCTGTATCTTCTCTTCGACTTGGGCGGTATAGCCATCTGAGTATGATAAACCGTCAAGTTCAGTGCCTCTACCACTTGATTCTCCGAGTTTTGCATGCCAGAGGCTTGCGATTTCCCAAAAGCCGCCCTTGCTGCTGAGATACTCTGTTCCATGTATGTTACCTGTCGTAAGACATCTGGGGCTTGTCGCATGGCTCGTAGTGTCGGCAACATATATTCTTTCGTGAGATCTTCCATGCCATTCCACCATAGAGTATATTTACTGAGGAGCGACATCAGAACGTCATACAGCTCGTTGATTCGATCCTGCAGGGAGTTGTCGATATCCTGTGCAACAAGTTGCTGATACACGCAGGCGTCGAAAACATAGGTCAACTCGTCCAAAAGCCTCTGTTCTGTCCTGCTGGGCAGTGCTGTGTACCTGCCGCGGTCAGCATGGATGTGCAAATGAATCATCAACCACCCACTTAGCAATCAGCTGTGCCATCTGCCTGTAATTACACCAAAGATCCTGCTGACTCGGCACAATTCTGAAGGGTGCAAGAGTCTTGATGAAGGACATATTGCTGATTTGCTTTTCGACCCTGTAGTTGCAATGTTGCAGTCGGACCAGCAGTGGGCAGCTTTGACACAGGATCATACATGAATTCGGCCCGCATGAGTTTTCAGAATTTCCATATGCTGACAACAACGAGCCCAATTCTATGATCTCCGTCCCAATCAATTCGAAACCAGCCTTGGAATTTTCTGGCATATCCGACTTCTGTATATTTTCCAAAAAGTCTTCAAAAGGAGAGTGCGAATCATGATTGGAGGAAATGTTTGTTTTTGGCGGCGTTGTATGAGCGGTTGACACTGAAACTGTGGAAAACTGTGTGTCGTTGTGGTCGGTGTTGTTCGAGGACGGTGATGAAAATTGTTCCTTCTCATTCAAGACTTCCTGATTCGATTCGAACTGGATCTCGGGATATCGAGCATATAAGGAAAAGAGTTCAGTCTCTGTGAGGTCAATTGACTCGGGCATGTTGTTGACCGCCTCTCTGGCAGAATCGCAGCCCGGTAATGTTCGTGAAGAGCGATGCGGCCAAATGATAAGTCGCCCAGGCCAGCAAAGGCAAGAAGAAGCCAAACCAGGACGTGGAATGAGTGCCATCATGTCACTTGCACCCTGGAAAGTAAGCACAAGGAAGGAAGGAGCACTTCGCAGTGACAAGTGCTGCCACGAGTCACCGTGGTTGAGGTGCTTCAGTGATTCAACATACAGGAGCACAACATTCTAGGAAAAAGATTGAACACTTGAAGCACTTTGATTTCTTTCAGCATCATAACGTGGATTTGCCAAATACATTCCAATACAGGCAGTGAGGAGAACTGCCTGCTTCGCGGGAAGATAAGTGGCCTTGCAAACTGCCTTCCGTTGAGATCAAAAGGCATAACGCCGACAGATCTCGGAAGCAGGAAGCTATTGCTCTTCGCGCATTGACTAATTGGCACCTCACTGAGACAGATGTGACAACTTAAGTTTGGGCGATTCGTGTCCTTTGGAGATGATACTGGCTTTTCAGGTCGCCTCAGAAGTAGACTTCTAGAATGACCACCCCTGACTTCGAGCAGAGTCCAAGGCCGAGCTGTATCCACTGTGGTTGAATGTCCCTGGCATGGATCGTCCAGAATCATCTGGGCTAGGCTCTGCGCTTTCTTTCTGATTCACTCGATGCACCGAGGTACTACCGGCGAGATCTTCTTCAGTGCGGTTGCTCTGGTGCTCCTGACCGACATCATGTTCAGAACGTGTAGCCGTCTCGGTCTCGGCCTGGCTTGGGTTCTCGCCTGCGGGCATAGAATTTTGAGAGTTTTCGGCGGTCGAATCTTTTGGTCCAAAACTGAAGCCTGGTGGAGGCTTCAGATCGTCATCGTCTCCTGGCAAATGAGTGTCCACGATATTGTTACCGATGCGTTGGAGTACCTTGCCGACAATCGCCTGCACCGATCTGTAGAAGAAATAAGAAGCCGACAAGACTCCCATCACAATTACAATCCAGCTGACGTTGACTGCTCGATCCCGTCCAGTGGCAGTCCGTCCTCCAACTCTGCTGGTGATCATTCCAGTGTTCCGAAAATTCCACCACTGAAAGGGATTCAGAATCATGGTTCGCAGGAAACTCAGCACACCCATCCTATTACATCGCGCGGTCAGTATTGTGGCCCCGGCTGTATTTCAACAAGACGTTGGGCTTTGGGTGATACAGAAAAGTGGCCTAGACATGGTAGGAGTAGGCAACTTACGAAACAAGACCTTTCATGAAGTGCTGTGCCCAGCTAGAAAGTCGACCTTTCGACTCATTCAAGTCCACCTCCCGCCAAACATCCTCGCGACCAAGAAAGGTATCGTATGGTTCGGTGTAAAAGTTAATGATCGGATCGGCAATAAATCCTAGAAAGAACATGACAACCGCCATTGCCAACACAGTCAAAACGCCAGAAGCGAGACTGCTTCCAAGAAATTTCTGGACAGCGAGCCTGTTGAAGTTGAACTGGTAGCCGCATTGATGACACTTCCACAACGACCCAGGTCGAGCCACCTCAGTTCTTGATCTTTTAAGACAATGCTCGTGTATGTACCTCATTCCACCCCTGCAAAGACATGGTTTGAGAAGCCGTCCGTAATCATCCTCGTCACTCTTGTACTCAACAATAGGTCGTTGCAAGGCTGGGGGAAGGCCAGGGGGCCAAAGAGAAATTGTAGCAGGCACGTCTTCAAGACATAGACGACAGGTTCTTGTGGGATATGTCCATTCTGGTGTTGGGCCGGGGTCGCCATTTTGTGCACCGCCTTCGCGGGGTACGTTCTCTGTGGATGTCATGCTGCGGAGTGTGAGGGTTCGCCTAGTATTAGCCAACTCTTTTGAGATATACAACAATGTTCCTCGAAGAGAGATCAATAGACATGGTAACAGAGCAAATTCAGACAAGAATCCAGGCAGACATTGTATGCGGACAGCGCGTGTGAATTTCAAAGCCCAGGACCCGCGCGCGGGTCATCGCCCTTGGTTACGCAAATACAGAGAATGCCGAGCTCACACAAAGAGCATATCGTTATAATTGCCAAATGAAAGTGTGACTGAAGGTGGAATGGGTTATTCCAAGGTACCTGGTAGAAATTTGGTTGTCACAAGAAGTGAACAGATGGTCGCCAAACCTTCCTGAGGCGAGCCTTGGTTCTCCGACCACAAAGGACTACGCGCGCTGCTGGTGCTTGCATTGCGCGGAGAGCGTTGCCTACGACCTCCATTTGCATATACCGTCAACTTGCCGTCTCCTAAAGCTGCTGCATTCTCACCGTCGACAGTCTAGTTTCCCTCGACCGCACTTCGAGTTCAACGTCCTGTCAATAGGCATTTGGTCATCCGTCTACTCCCACCGCCCAGAATGGCGGACAGATACTCCTTCTCGCTCACGACCTTCTCGCCCAGGTATGTGTTCTGTTTTCTCTATGCGAGTGTCACCATTGCTAACGCTGCTCAGTGGCAAGCTTGTCCAAATAGGTATGACTGAAGATGCTCGTATTTCTACGCTTGGAAGCTCACAAGGTCGCAGAATACGCCCTCAACGCAGTCAATCAAGGCGTCACGTCGTTAGGGATAAAAGGTACAACCAACCCATCAATATAAGGCAGTCTGCTCACATGGATACCCAGCAACGAATGGCATCGTCCTTGCAACCGAAAAGAAATCATCATCTCCTCTCATCGACGCTCCTTCACTTTCTAAAATCTCCCTGATAACACCCAACATCGGCATGGTCTACAGCGGTATGGGTCCAGATTACCGAGTGCTGGTAGATAAAGCTCGCAAGGTCTCGCATACAAACTACAAGCGTATCTACAACGAATACCCTCCCACGCGGATATTGGTTCAGGATGTTGCGCGAGTGATGCAGGAAGCTACTCAATCAGGCGGTGTACGACCATATGGTGTAAGCTTGTTGGTTGCCGGATGGGATGACGGTATCGAGCCAGAAACGAAGGAGGCCAAGGAGGGTGAGACTGAGGCTGAAGCAAAGTTGGCCAGCAGGAAGACCGGCGGCATTCTAAAAGGTGGACCAAGTCTGTATCAAGTCGATCCTAGCGGAAGTTACTTTCCCTGGAAGGCGACGGCCATTGGCAAGAGCGCGACGAGTGCAAAGACGTTCTTGGAGAAGAGATACAACGACTCTTTAGAGTTGGAGGTGAGTTACTACAGGACCGTTGGGTCAGACTCAGAGATCACTAACGTCCTGTTTTAGGACGCCATCCACATCGCCTTGCTTACATTGAAGGAAACGATTGAAGGAGAAATGAACGGCGACACTGTCGAAATTGGGATTGTTGGAGAGCCGGCAGACCATCTCCTGGGATACGAAGGTGTTGACCATGCTACCGGCCCTCGCTTCCGCAAACTGAGCAAGTCGGAGATCGAGGATTACCTGACCAATCTGTAAGAGGTTAATAGGGTCAGAAATGAGAGAATCACACCCCGCCAGGCCTTCTGGTACTTGGGAGCTGTCAAGGATTCGAAATGGCGACACCGTCTCTGCGTTTTTGTCTGCATTGCTATGGCGCAGGAGGGGAAATGGTCATTGGGGAAACCGCACGGCTATGGAAACCTTGCTTGCAAACAAAATAGTCGAATGAGAACCTCCCGTCGAGAGTGCTGTCTCAGAGAGACCTTATTGTTGTTGTTTCTGTCCCGCAGCATGTGGTGAACAAGCATCAGCAGACCCAAGCATCTTAAGCATGCCCATGGGTACTGATTGGCCTGTCTCTACGCGAGGAAGTAGGATATGTTATTATGCATGATTGAGTTTCCTGGGGTTTCGGTAGCGTGATGAAGCAGTCACGGCTACCATGATATAAGTCTCAAAATGCGGACAGTACAAATGTTAGTGCATACAGCAAATTCAGCTACCATCAAAAGCAACGAGCTGCTCGTAATACGAAAGCATGAAAGTGGAACCCTTCTTGATCCAATATGAGGTAAATGGTCATTCCTTCGTGATAGACATACGCTAAGACATTATTTCCTTATGGCATACAACAGACACCGCTCCCACCAGTCCCGAAGCATAAGCACTGTGGCTCGACCATCATCCTTCCTTTCGGTCCCATCTGGATTGCCCATGATGAGGGCAAACAGCCAGAAAATGGCGACAATCCACGCCGCGATCGCATTGCCCAGGCTGATGATCGGCGAAACGAGGTGTATTAGCACCAGACACACCGGGCTGAATTCGAACATATGAGCATCGCTCAAAGATTTCGCGTAGATGAGTTGGAGATGGTTCCGAAACACCGGCGCAACCATTCTCACAAACGTCGTGCTCGGAGAGCATTCTCCACGACATAGTCGTAGGGGAAGGAGAAGTGTAAAAGTGAGGAGGGCGAATATAGTATACATGGCGCTGAAAATGCAGTGGAATGGGTCAAGGAAGGACATCCAGACCTAGATATATCGTTAGCATAGCGTACCAGGAGACGCGGATGGAAGGACATACCAGAATCCAAAGCGCATGGTCATCAACTTCGTCTTCGTCGTCCACGTCTGACTGAACATACCGCAGGACGGTGGAGTTGTCTTCTAAGTATGCTGAATGTGTGCGACTCCCTGCCTGGGGCATGGTCCCTCTATGCGACGCATAATGTGACTGTCTGGAGATCTTCTTTCCTACCACCCCCTCTTCAGCTCTAGGAGCGAAGTGGTATTGGTGTTTCGCCAGGTAGATGTCACCATCTGAGGCAGCGGAACTTGATCCGTCGCTAGATGGAGAGCTCGGAGCTCGATGAAGTCCTGTCCTTGGTGAGGAGACAGTATGTTGGGTATTTGACTGGAGATGTGCCGCTGGTGGTTGCGCTGGCAGAAGGTTCGCCGTATGGGTCAGATTGGCTTGCTTGAAGTTTCTCTGAGTGTCGTAGTACGCAACAGAATGGCTCATAGGTGGTGGAGGAGGTTTCGGGGCCATACTAAATGGCAAAACGGCGGATGGTCTGTGTCAAGGTAGCACGTTCTCATACTCGCATCGCAGGATGACGGTAGAGATGTGATGTAGGTGCAGCAACAACTGCCCGAAGAGCTGTAGCAGAACGAGAGCGAGAAGACATGGGCAGCAGACACTGATATATCAACATGATCAAGACAAGGAGACACTGCAGGGAAGGGAACCAAGACGAGGGTCTTGTCTGCTCACGAAATCCCACCTTTTGAGGTCTTGACGCCGCTGGCCAAGCAGCCAAGTAGTCTTGGTATCTTGGCCTTTTGTAACGATGCAATCTGAGCGGGTGCCGGCATGATACACTGCTCAAAACCCTTGAAGTCAAGACTTCGCAGGAGTGATGTCTGGGAAGTAGTCTGTAGAGATGCTGCCGGTCGGCTACCTCGTCTTGATAGCCTGTGGACGCCTATTGATTGCTAGCATTGATAGTGAAGGTCAGGTTAACTTATCAAAGACAAGGACACATGCCTGGCATGCCTAGGCTCGCCAAGTGAAAAGATTGATCACGACTTAGGGTCCCGGCGCAACCTGGCGAATTGCATGCCTGTGTTTGGCGGAGAACGTTTATTGGAGCCTTGGGGTTTTCTTGGAGGTTGCGAGGCCTCAAAGCGGAGCGTGTTCAGGCCTCACTTCAAGCACTCAGTTCATGATCGTAGACGCAACACGTGATGACGCAACATATTTCCGGCGGAGTCCTCGCGTCGTTGAGCCTTGTCAATACGCAGCCGTATCTGATGTTTCGTGGGTCAAGGTCACTTATTAGTTGATACGAAAGTGACTACTCGGGTGTGAAGGACATGAAGATTGAAAGTTGTCCTTTTCGGACGGCAACAGCTGCCTGCAATATCTACTGAGTATTGACCTAGGATATGGAAGGAGCCTTTGTCGGTATCGAGAAGGCAGAAGTAGATCCAAGGTTATGCAAAGATTGCTACCCATTTACCGATCCAAGAAGCCCATTAGAGATCTTGGTACTTTCGCCAAGTTCTTTTGACTTCATAGGTCTCGGTGGTGCATTGAGAGCAATTATTTGGCAGTGTTAGTGGGTTTCAAGTTGGCAAACCACATAACCATAGTTCAGGGATGGGTACGACTGATAGTTGCGCTGCATAGGGCCGTAGAGAAGATCCCAGATTCTCCCTCGGCCTTTCAAGCCGGACGATTCCACAACAGATCTTGCAACCCAACGATGGCAGCACCTTACCATCTGCATTGCCGCCACGGCAGCGTGGACGGCCCTCGCACGAAGGAGGGCACACAACAGTCCTCAACCAGGTGATCCAATGTATTGCGAAGAATCCGCACAAAGCCTCTCGTTGGAGCTCATTCGTTTGAGGACGTCCTGTCGTACCACACAGCCGGATTTGAACCAAGATGCTGTGTGTACGACCTTCATGTTTGGTAGCCATGCGGCCATCCGGGTCATTTTCTGTGCATGTGTAACATGTCCTTCGAAAGTCCGGATTGCGCTAACACAGCTGCAACTTACCGGTTGGCCGGATGATCAATTGCAGCACAGAATCATGTGATCTGGATCTGATCGTGAATAAAACTTCCAGGGGACAGACACACGCTGGCAGACCATGGCTTCAGCCAGTCATCATACGCAACCAATATAAGGAAGCTTCATACGCAGCAGTATTCTAAGACGTCTGTTCCAATGGCAGGTGTGAGGTTAATGGCACCAGCACGGGGCTTGTGATCGTGGCGGGCCGGCCAAGTCAGGATCGGTTTGACGTTTTCGTGACACCCATACTGGGATGCAGTCACGATGACGCTTTTTGCTTGCTTCGCGTGGGTGGCACAGGGGGTTGACGCCGTGGCCATTTGTCTTTGCGTGATGTGCGACATGCCACTCTATTTGTGCTGCGACTGCTAATTCTTGTTTGGGAAAGTGAAAACGGTTGCCAGAATGTTAGGTTGAGTTGCCATCTCACAAAATTTTACGAAGACGTGCAGAGGTAGATTATAAGTCGCATACCTGCATCTCCGGGGTCCACTTCAGGTGCCAGAAGCCAGGGAATGTGTCTGACATTTCCACGTCCGCAGTATGGAGATCTGTCGGAGTCCCAGGCCTAACCAGGGGTTGTTATGGCGCCGGCTCGCAATTGTCACTACATGCCAGATGCGCCGTTGTTTTCTTTCCATGGGCAACAATAGCGATGGAAGCTTGTGACACGCGAATCCCATTGCCCATCAATACTATCATGTAGAATGACACCATGCTAGACCAAATACTTATCGTGATCGTCTTCTCGTCGGCAAGCAAACTCGAAGGACGTCACAATTGCGAAAGAGGGGGTTAAATCGTGGCAGATCCAGGTCACCCACGAATACGAGCCTTGGCCTTTTCGAGGTCAGCATAAACGTACAGCGCCCCCTAACAGCCGAGCACGCGAAGCCTACCTAGGGAGCCAGAGACGCTTAGAGATGCCCATAACGTTGGCGGGAAAGACTCTAATGGCATAACCACCCCTGGCACCTTGGTCCGCGGACCATTGTTATATGAACGATCCAGTTCCTAAGTAAAAGTCAAATGGTCACTGCACCGGATTAACCACGGAAAGAAACTTCCAACCCACAAAATTGTGACCCTCTTGCTCCTGATTAACAGCCCGATTTAGACGCAGCCGGTTGATGCCGTACGTCGCTCATCAATCGTTCTGTATCTGCATGCTCTCCCAATGACGGGGAGGAACGAAGGCTGACATGCTGTTAATGATTTCTTCCTGTATGGACAGTTTCAGCCCTCGAAACATCAGGGCGAGCACCCAAGTTGACCGGTTGGCTGGCATGTCTCGTTTTCTTTCCGGCGATTATTTTGCGGCGGTGGCTTGCTCGACGGGAGGACCAGGCTCTCGTAACGGGTCAAGATTGGCAGATGGTCGTGGAGGGACAGAATGACTTCGCCAGGCATGCTAGGCGAAGGCTAACCCTGGAAGCTGTGGAGAAAAATAGGTCAGGAGGGAAGAATGGACATGGAGAGGCCGGCAACGAGTGCGAAGCGAGGGGAGAAGCTCCGAGCGGAGACTGGACCGTGGCATGAAGTGATGAAATGAAAGAATGGGTTCAACGAGCCACTAACAGGCATGTCAGAACGCCAACAGCACGGCGAGGCACGGCCCACTGTTCGTCTTGTTCGTCATGCGGTGGCTGCTTTCCAACAGGAAATCGACCGGACTAGGGGCACCCCTGACAGGTGGGTTTAGCCTCAAAACGAGCGAGGTCCAGTCAGCCTCTTTGTACCTTAGTGTGACTCTCATTCTGATCTCGCGTGAGGGAAGGTTGGGGATGACATTTTACCCAGAAGGCAAACATGTAATGATCCGGACATCGGGTCACATCGGTGGATGATGATTACCTAGGTATGCTGTTGTGCCGTCTTTCCAGCCTCATACGAGGTATATGGTACCCATGGACAAGGTTCAACCTTTACGATCCCGCAAAAGGTATATATAAATTATGGTACACCGCGGGAGCTGCACCTGAACCAGCTATGAACCTGTCCATGCTCTCACTGAAGAAGAAGAGGCGTGGTTGACAGCAAGAAGACTTTGCGCGACTATTTGGATGGAAGGGGGGCTTGTTTCTAATGCAAATCCCAGCTGGGTGTGCACTGTGGTAAGGATACTCCGTAACTCGAGGCGGCTGTCAGTTGTCACCCTTCAAAAATGTCCAATTATCCCACATCCGTCCACTAGTAAGGACCTTAATGGAGCCTGCGCCAGCCCAGGCGGAGCTTAGCAGGCCTCGTGAAGGCTTCATTTTCAGCCGGGGGCGTTGCCAAACGTCAATCAGAGGGGCCATTTTCGAACCCACTCTATTGACTTGGATCGAAAAGTGCCCCCCCAGTTTTTTTCTGCTTGCTCCGGGCTCCACCACGCGCAACCTTTTAAGCTTGCCATGGCGGGACCCCTTGGAAGCTTTGCCCTTCCAGTCGAAGGCGCCCAGCAAAAGAGTGACCCGTGCCCTTGTGGCACACCACAGGCACCACCCCTCCCTGCGGTTTGGACCACGGCCGTCATCTTTTGATCCCAAGCATGGCAGATCTTAGCAGCCCAGGAAACCCTACCGCGCTAGTGGTTGTCGCTGCTGCTTCTCTGCCGTCCCATCTTGTAGTCATTCCCTCCTCATCCTCAGATTCCTCTCCGTCTTCTCCGTCAACCCGTTCCTCACGCCTCACAAGCAAGAGACTTTCAATTATTTTTTTCTTTCCCCAAAACACGCGATCAGGATTGTCGCTGGCCTTTGACTGTCTTGTCTGTTGTTCACCATACCATTGGCATTTATCTCCTCGCGGCCTTTCCTGTGCCGCACATCTCGCGTCACCGTTGTTGCCCTCTGTACCAGCCTCAGTCATCAGTCTTCGTCAGGCGAGGCCCTCGTTCCCTATCAAACCTCATCTCCGCCTGGACACACTTGGCCGGGAACGTCGTACAGCAACTTCCATATTCGACCATCGTTGCTCCGAAGAGGAGGCATCACGGGCTTGAAGAAACATCTTGTCGTCGCTCACAGCGGTTGGCTGTAACATTCGGAGCTTGACAAGACCACATTGGGAACAATCTTTGGCAACAACGATGGCTTTGGTCCCTCATCCGTCGCCCCCTGGCGTGCTGGGTCTGCAGCCACCTCATCTGGGTCAATACAATGGGGCGGCTCCAGTTGACGCACATATGCAACGCCAACGGCTACTTTCCCAACTGAATGAGTCTACATGGCAGCGAATAGGTATGTCACTGACCCATTCCCACCTCCTATGCTTCTGACTGACTCTTCTGCAGGATCGCTCAATGAGTTGCTCGGAGATCATGAAGGGGCTCTGTTCGCATATGAGCAGGCTCTAAGACACAATCAATGGTCACCACAAACGTTGAATGCCATCTCGTGCATACTTCGTACTAAGGAGAAGTACCCCGAAGCAATGGAGTACCTCAAGAACATTCTCAAAGTAGAGCCCGCCAATGGCGAGGCCTGGGGTAATCTGGGTATGTTTTCTTCACAATGTGCTTTACATCAAAGTCTGACTATCCACAGGTCATTGCTACTTGATGATGGACAACTTGCAAGAAGCCTATACCGCATATCAGCAAGCCTTGTATTACCTACCAGACCCTAAAGTAAGTCGGCACAGCCTTTGTGTCCATTCTTGCACTAACATGACATAGGAACCCAAGCTATGGTATGGTATTGGTATCCTATACGACCGCTATGGCTCTCTAGAACACGCAGAGGAGGCTTTCTCGCAAGTCATGCGCATGCAGCCAGATTTTGAGAAGGCCAATGAAATCTACTTCCGACTCGGCATAATCTACAAGCAGCAACAGAAGTTCCAGCAGAGTCTTGAGGTAAGTTCGCCAGCCTTGCGTCATGGGCAGTACTGACAATTTGCGTAGTGCTTTAAGTACATTGTCAATGACCCACCTCGGCCACTCAGCGAAGAAGACATCTGGTTCCAAATCGGTCATGTCTACGAGCAACAAAAAGACGTACGCATCCCAACTTCATAACAAATTTGCCTTCTCTAATCAGCTTCGCAGTTTGAGGCCGCAAAGTCAGCTTATCGTCGTGTGCTCGAGAGAGACCCAAAACATGCCAAAGTTCTGCAACAGCTTGGCTGGCTACATCATCAACAGAGCAACAGCTATGCAAGCCAAGATCAGGCGATCGAGTACCTGGAACAGTCGGTCAGCTCAGGTTTGTAGCACACTTCATCCATACAACCCTTCAATACTAACCTGCTATCTAGACAACCAAGACGCCCAGAGCTGGTATCTTCTCGGCCGCTGCTATATGGCCCAGCAAAAATTCCCAAAGGCGTATGAGGCCTATCAACAAGCTGTCTACCGAGATGGCCGCAATCCTACATTCTGGTGCTCCATTGGTGTGCTGTACTACCAAATCAACCAATATCGTGACGCTCTTGACGCATATTCCCGTGCAATCCGGTTAAATCCTTACATCTCGGAAGTGTGGTACGATCTTGGTACTCTGGTAAGTTCAGTGTCCTCCCCTATCAAGTGATTGCATTGACCCCTGGCATAGTACGAGTCTTGCAACAATCAAACTTCGGACGCTCTGGATGCTTATGCTCGAGCTGCGGAGCTTGATCCCACCAATACGCATATCAAGGCACGTCTTGCCCTCCTCAGGAGTGGAGGTGCTAGTGGCCCCAATCAGCATAGTGCTCCTGTGCCTCAAGATGTCCATCCACAAGCATATCAAAATGGTGTCGGCGTTCCTCCTGGACCTCAATGGGGTGGCCCTTCATCCTCAAACCAACCATCACAACCACCACCTGTTGATCCAGCACGAGTCAATGACTGGACAAGAGGTATTGCCGGCATTCAGCAACCGCCGCCACCACCAAGTAATGGCTTCGACAATCGTGACAGCATGAGAGCTCCTCCACCTCGTGCTCCAAGCCCACGTAATGAACCTCTGCGACCTTATGAATCGTCTCGTCAGACTCCTTCTAGAAAGATGCAATCACCATCTCCCAAGATGCCACCGGGCATGTATCCACCAGGACCACAAACACTGCCACAGATCAATATGCAAGACCGTGGGCCATCATTTGGCGCAGGAGTTCGTCCATCACCGATCATCAATGGTGGTCCTCCTCCACCGACTAACGGCGCAGGCTCTGCGACGACGACTCTCCCACCATATGGTAGACCTTTCAGTCCTCCAAGCGAGTTGAGGCCTTTGCGCGACGATCGCCCAACGTCGCCAGGATCTGCTTTCCGACCGCCGCCATTCCAGAGTAGTGGATTTCCGGGCATCGGTAATGGCGCGTCCTCTGTCGGTCCACCACTTCCTGCCGTAGACGGACCTCCCAGGGAGGACCGACCACCGTCAGCGATGAAGCGTGCCCGCGAATGGGAGGCCGAACCTGGCCCATCCAAGAAGATTGCAAATGACGAGACTCGGTCTCGGTTGGATGACCCTAGCCGTCGAAACAGTCCTCCTGGTCGACTCCCAACGCCAAATGATCATTTCAGACGCAGCTCTTCAGAAGCTCGTCGTGAGAACGAGCGACGAGCCAACGAGAACTACCACCCATCTGAAGCCGCCCACCATCCATTCAGCATGGCCGCTCAGCAGATCCCTTCTATGCAGTCTATCCTGGATGCTCCTAAGGACGAGCGTGCAGAGCACGTAGAGCAGGCTGCTCGCAAAGTAGAGGTTGACGAAGATTACGACGACAACAGTGAAGACGATAAGCGGCCTGCACCAGGAGCAATGAGCGGATTGAGCAGTCCGCAGGTTGCGGGCCCTCCTCCGTCGGCCACTCCTAAGCAAGAGACAACAGCATAATCTGGCCGATTAGATTTTGTCAGTGATTGGCATTTTGGCCGGGCGGCTACGACAGGATGGCTATCCTTGGGTACCCCATGCTGAAATGCCATTCCTGCATTCGTGTCTTGTTCTTATAAATGAGTCCATGTTTGGACGAAAATGATGATGCTGTTCTTCAATGCCATTCACAAGAGTTGTTCCCTTTTAGATCAGTGTTTGCATTTGGTCATACCCTCGCAAGTGCCTGGCAAGCGCCAGAAATGTAACGTTTGTGATTAAGTAATCCAATCCCTCTGCTGCTGTAGCGGTACATTCCCGTACCTCTCGTACCTCGTGTACGATTGGGAGACCTGCAGTGTTTGGGTGATTGATTACTGGTCGCAGGCGCCTCAGCCGCAGTGGTGTCCTCTTCCTCTTCCTCTTCCTCCTCGTCCCGCTCCTGCTTCTTGTACTCGGCTAACCTTCCTTATTCATTCGAAGGTGAATGGTCCAACGAGGCCAGGTACCTTGAGGTCGAGTCTCTCTGCGTCTCCTCTATGATCAAGTACATCAATGTACTATCCGCAACCATAAACTTGCGAAGAAACAGTTGCAAGGAATGATTTATCGACGGACATGGCCTTTGGTGTTCGAGACAGTGCAGCAGCATGGCCACTCGACGGTTTCGAACTGACGGTATATCCTAACAAGGTGTTTGACGGTAAATGCATCGCAAAGCGAAGCCATACTGGCCTTCCTGCACTTGCATCATGGTCATGTCTTGTTTGTCGCTCTTGTACGAATTGAGACTCTTCCAGGTGAATGATGTCGGACGAATCTCCCCTGAGGTTGCCAATGCGTCAATATTGCAACATCTGTCATCCAGCCTCTCGACACCGAAAGCCCAGGCAGCGTAGACAGATTGACTGAGCGTGCAGCACAGCCTCGTTCATGGGTGGGTTGAACAGTCCTCCAAATGGTGTATCCCTCCTTCTTGTGGAGTGCCTTCTTCGTGATGACGCAGTCTGTCATTTTTTTGACATTGGCTGTGTTGGCTGCCTTCTTCTTTCTTCCTGAAGGGGTGGAGGGGGGTGGGGATTGGTAGCGGCGGCGGAATCGATAATCTGTCGCGGGTCAAGAACTCATTGTGGAGATATTGAGAATGGAGTCGGCGAGATGTCAGTACATGAGAAAGGGTCGAGGTCCAGTGTTTTCGGTCGGGGAAGGAGGCCTGGCTGGTCATGGACCTCTGTTTGAAGGCCTCGAATGCGGATGTCTGAGTCTGTGCAGAAGAGGAAAAGGACAAGGCTGAATCATACGATTGCTTCCGTGGGATGATGCTGCCACGGCTTATCGTGTGCTGGGCGATGCTGGGATGGCTGAGAATGTGCTGATGTCATGATGGGATGAGGCTGCATGAGATGAAGCTGCAATGGTAAGATACATACATCGGCGCTACGGTGCCCGACATGGCTGTTTTTACATAGAGGGAAAAAGGCCGAGATGGCGAAAATAAAATCATTATTCTGGCTACCTTATTACATTTCACAACGTGTTCTTCACATCATTCCACGACTTCAGACAAGCCATTCCTTGAGCCATCCATATCGTTGTGAGCGAAGAACTCTGGACTGACAAAGAAGAACGAAATCTATTTCAACCTGAGGAGCAACAGCGGTCAGCCGGTGCCACTTTTTCCGGAAGTAGGCATGCCGGCAAGACTGACCAGTACGTTTCCTCCTTGGGCTCAAATCGAAGTACTCCCTCAATACATTACACATTGAGAGTCCTCTACATATATCGTCGAACAATGAGCGACTCAAATCCAGATGGACGTTGGCCCCAAAATCACATTTATGCTTCTCAGACTAGGTCCCTGTAGCCACTGTCCATATCTGGTAGGATTCGACTTGTCAGTGGATATGCTCTCCATCACGGACCTTAGGAGGCGTCGAGTTGATCGAATCAGTGTACGAAGGACTATGCAACAAGTGTTGCTGGCCGAGGCCTCTGGGATATCATGCACGCGGCAACCTTCCGAATACGCTCGTCAGTTGAGAGGTTGAATTGTCCAGTCATTGCCGTGACACTCTCTGTCTGGCAATGCGAGTCCTTGAGGGCATCATCCACACGGCAAGAGGGCAAGACAGGCTCCAAAATGTCGTGAAATGATCAACAAGTTCAGAGTGTTGAACCGTGGAATTACAGCAGGGTGTTTTCCATACTGTGTTTCACAGTAGCCACTATGAATTAACACTATTAACATGAAGACAAAGAGTGGACGGCTTTAATGGGTGGCTTGTCTAAGTCGTGCGATGACGTGGAGAACACATTTGTGAATTGCGAGTTTAGGTTATAGTGAATTTTCACCATCTCGAAATTCTTCTCTGTTCTCTATCTATGTGCAATAAGTATGTCGGCGCCCGTCGTCTACAACTGGTTCTTCAACGCTGATGTAAGTACCTCACCATTGCAGCTTCATCTCATACCGCCTCGTCCCATTACAGCCTCGTCCCACAGCCTCGTCCTATCACAGCCTCATCTCATACATCCCTCGTCCCATCACAGCCTCATTCCACCACGACATCACCTCCAGAATACCCGGCGTGGCAACATCATCCCAGGGCAACATCATCCCCAGGCAACATCATCCCCAGTGGGCCAGGCAACATCATTTCCAGGCAACATCTTCCCCAGGCAACATCATCCCACAGCAGCATCATGCCATGCCAGCATCATCCCACAAAAGCAATCATCCATTTTAGCCCTGTCCCTTCTCCTTTCTGCACAGACTCAAACATCCACACGATCTGCTTCCGGTTCCAAAACCCAATACTGGCATCTTCCCCTGAGTCTGGTGATTGTGCCAGAAGAGAAACCCAGCCTAGGTTCGAAGCCTTCGAACAGTGCTCCATGGCTACCTAGCCAGGCCTCCCTCGACTTGATTGAAAACATTGGATCTTGATCCCCCTTCCCCTCTCACCTACTGACAACTCTTCAACTTCATTCTCATTGTCGACGGTGTGTCACTAACTTTCAATAGCCTAACACCGCCCCCGCCGCCCTCGCTGCTGCCGCCGGCGCCCCCCCGCCTCCCCCTCCCCCACCCCCCACCAAGGCCGAAGAGGCCAAGAAGGCCAAGAAGGGCAAGAAGAAGGTAAGCACAAGTCATTGCGTTTGCTTTGAGAAGTCTTCCCGCAAGAACGAGGGGATACTCCTTTTGGAACACTGTCTAAATGGTCACCGCCGACGGGACATCGTCTTGCACGGAGTCAAAGGGTGAATGATGCAATACTCAATGCATTAGCGAACCCAGAGGATAGCCGTTCGACCGCATACGATTGGGAGCAACACAAGAGCAAGAACAAAAGTTGGACATGATGCAAGAGCAGGAAGGCCAATGTTGCACGGCAGTTACCGTCAAAATACCTTTCCAGGATACAGCTCCATTATCCCTTGCAATGTTTCTTCTGCAGGTTCCAGGTTGAGAATGATTACTGATATACTGATTGATAGAAGCGCCGAAGCAAGAAGGACGCGAAAAGGGGTAAGCACGACTCCTAATGACAAGTGATGATGACTAATGCGGAAGGATAGCCGAGCTCAAGAAGAAGGCCGACGAAGAGGCCGCTGCTGCTGCTGCTCCTCCCGTTGAAGAGGAGAAGCCCGCCGAAGACAACGAAGGTGAGTTAAGCACTCACACTAAGTCATGTGACTGGTACTAATGGGGAAACTTAGCCGAGGAACCCGTCGCCCACATTGGGGCTTACCCAGTTTACGAAAATCCCTGCGCCGATTCTTGTAAGTCTTTTTTTCACCTTCATTTCACTTTCAACACCACTTCATCATCAACACTTCATCGACCACACCTCGCCGCCATGTCGCACCGAAAATTTGAAGCACCAAGACACGGCTCGCTGGCGTTCTTGCCTCGCAAGCGCGCCAGTCGCCATCGTGGAAAGGTCAAGTCGTTCCCAGCTGACGACAAGAAGAAGCCAGTTCATCTCACCGCCGCCATGGGCTACAAGGCCGGCATGACCACGATCGTCCGAGACCTCGATAGACCCGGCGCGAAGATGCACAAGAAGGAAATTGTCGAAGCCGTCACAGTCATTGAGACTCCTCCCGTAAGATCAGAAAATGTTCATATACGGAGGTTCGGACTGACATTTGCCAGATGATTGTTGTTGGTCTCGTTGGCTACATCGAAACTCCCCGCGGTCTCCGATCCCTCACCACTGTCTGGGCCGAGCATCTCAGCGATGAGCTGCGACGAAGATTCTACAAGAACTGGTACCGATCGAAGAAGAAGGCTTTCACCAAATACTCCAAGCAGCACTCAGACAGCAAGGGCTCCTCAATCACTCGTGAACTCGAGCGCATCAAGAAGTACTGCACTGTCGTCCGTGTTCTTGCACACACTCAAATCCGATCGACCCCTCTCAAGCAAAAGAAGGCACACTTGATGGAGATCCAAGTCAACGGTGGAAGCATCCCAGACAAGGTCGAGTTTGGCCAGGGTCTCTTCGAGAAGCCAGTCGAGATCGACACCGTCTTCGAACAGGACGAGATGATTGACGCCATCGCGGTCACCAAGGGTCACGGATTCTCAGGTGTCACCAGCAGATGGGGAACCAAGAAGCTGCCCAGAAAGACACACAAGGGTCTCAGAAAGGTCGCTTGTATCGGTGCATGGCATCCTTCCCACGTCCAGTGGACTGTTGCTCGTGCCGGTCAAGATGGTTACCATCACCGTACTTCTGTCAACCACAAGGTCTACCGTATCGGCAAGGGCAAAGACGAGAAGAACGCCGCCACCGACTTTGATGTTGTCAACAAGCAGATCACACCGTAAGTTTTTCCACTCAGAGACTACCCAAATGCTAACATTTATCTAGAATGGGTGGATTCGTCCGCTACGGTGAGATCAAGAACGACTTCGTCTTGCTCAAGGGCGCTGTTCCAGGTGTCAAGAAGCGAGTCATCACCCTCCGCAAATCCATGTACCCTCACACTTCTCGCAAGGCTCTTGAAAAGGTCGAGCTCAAGTGGATCGACACCTCATCCAAGTTCGGTCACGGTGCTTACCAGACTCCTCAGGAGAAGAGACAGTTCTTGGGTACGCTCAAGAAGGATCTTGTTGCTTCTTCGTAAACAATTGCGGTTGGTCTGGCGTGGTCTCATTGATGGTGATGTACTTGATGCTCATTTTCAGAGTGAATCGAGAAAAGATACGCCCATACGTGCTGCATGCCGACTTTTAGTCGGCAATACTAGCGGTAGTCAATGGCCGTATGCGAACGAACGTTTCAATGAAATCAATTGAGCTAAACTTTTGTCTGCTCTGCTTTTGTGTTCTCTGCTCCCCATCGCTCTTTTCGTGCTTCCATGCATTGCCACTGATCGAGTTCACATATTCGACGTAAAGCCACGTCTTCCTTCAAAGTCGAGTGTTAGAGACGGACATTGACATTGTTAAAGCCAGGCCGGGTAAGGGAAAACTTCATCTGAATAACATCAACTGACTTGCTTGGCTCCATTTCTGCTATTCCAAATGGACAATCTCTTTGCAGACACCGCCTACTTTGTCCCAAAGCTGGTAAGACCTGGCCAATCTGGAATCGCCAAAAATGAGCATCATACCAAGCATGCAGAGGAAGAAGAGGGAACTCACCAAAGACTGTATAAGTCGTATTCTTCTTCGTCACAAAAACATCTTGGCCCACGCATATCTCTCGACCATGATCGATATCCCGGCAGAAACCATACCTGCCAAAAACAGGGCTGTACTTGGCTCCTTTATCTATTCTGCGGTCTTTGTTGAGCTTCTTCCATACCTGACCTCGCTCATCTTCATGTGTCTTCCCAGTCGCATAGTCGACCGTGATGCTCTGACACCGGTAGCAGTTGGCAGTCAAGGACATTCGCATGCCTCCAGCAAAGGTCAACTCGGCCCAGTAGTCCTCAGCAAATGGTTTTGGACTTCCACACACGACGACGTTTGGCCGAAACTTGGTCACGTCCATCTTGTAGCCCTCAGCTAGACGGGCTGAGACCTGGTCGTTCGATTCCTGCGTGACCACCAGATACTGCGCGATGTCATTGAAGACGATCCGTTCCTCACGTCGCCCAATAAACGGCAGTTGCGCAAGCACTCGTGAGACGAATGGTGATTTTGAAAGCGCGGCTTTGCTGTGTGGGGCGATGGAGCCAAGGACCGTTCGAGAGTTCTGACCGATGTAGACCAGGCGGACTTCGCAATCAAGATATCTCGAAAAGAATTCGGTGAACTTTTCGCCCATGTCGTATGCCAGTGTCGGACTCCCGTGAAGCTCAACCTGTATTTGCTGAAGGCCTTGCAAATCCGGCTGCAGTGGAAAGCGAATCTGATCCTTGGAGTTCGTCTCCGATGCCTCGGTTGATTCATCGTGGGAGTCACCGGTCCAGGTCACTACCACGTTCCTGGTCGTGGTCTTGTCATCGCCGGGGTCCTCGAGAAACGTCGAAAACAGCGCCAGCCGCAGATAGTACCCAATGTACATGGTCTCAAATTTGAGCTCGTCTGATGTTGGAGAGCGGGTGACCTTCTGCAGGCAGAATGTCCTATCACCCTCCAAACCATACGGGCCGATCTTCGCTTTGTCTACCGTACATCCTCGAATGCCTTTAACAGGGTGGATGTGAAGCTGAGGACTGTCAAAACTTCGCACATTTTCACGAGCGCATCACAGACTCACAGACTTGACTTGCAGGCGATCTGGGGATTGCAACACCCGGCCTCGAAAAAGCAGCAGTAGTAACAACGATATTGTGAAGCAGGCGATAACTGCAATCACTTTGAATTGTTCCATTGTGGTAGACCACAGCGTCGTTGTTGCGTCTCTCAACGGATATGAGCGCCTATCGAGTTGTCCGATGTTGAAAGTGTTGTTCATGGACACGCCCCGACGGAAAAGCGTAGACCCAGCATTGTCTGCTCTATGTCGATAACGAGCGTCCCTCGGGCCTCAATAAAAATGAGAGGTAGTAAGAAGATAGCAGAATGTTATCTACAGCGGGTCGTCGGTACCACCACAGTCACGGCTCGTCTGGGGTACATTGCGGTATCTGATTTGCCACCTTGGCCGTAGCCCGTGCCGATATGATGGAGGATCCCGATCTCGGATCCTAATCTTTGGCATTTGCGAGGCTTTAGACCTTCTGATGTGATGGGCCGACCGTCTACCGGTCCGTCAGTTTTTCTGGAAGACAGAAGCTCTTACAACAGACCAATGAACGCAGCACTGTGGTAGCCATATATGCACACGCAAGGCTGCTTGAGCGATACCGCGGCATGCTTAGCTTGAGCTCATAGTGGACTGCGGTGGCCGTGGCATCCAGCAGGACGGAAACCATCCGCCGTCCAACAGGGTACGGGCAAGGAGCCCAGCGACTAGCTTCGAGGCTCCTCAAGGCCTACGCAGAACCTCGCTGATACAAGGCCACACCCCGCATATCGCGTCTTAGGGGTACTTACTGATCCAGACCACGCCTTTTCGGTGAGCGTGGTGATAATCCCTCACTTCAAGCAATATATCATGAGGAACCCATGCTATCAGATGCACTATCGGTCTCAAGATTGCAACAGACAAGATAGGCAGACCTTGTCAAGTACCATATCACCAAAAATAGTGATCGAGGACTGGTCGACCTCATAGCGGCTGCTGTAAGCGCCCAACATTCGGCGCTATGCAAAAGTGACGAACCAGGAGACTCGACCCTCAACTCCTCTCGATTTCTTTCTACCAACCAACCCTTCTTCTCCTCCAATATCCTGCCAACACGTCTCAGCGTCTATCCAAGGAAATCAATGCCATTCTCCCGAGCCTTTGGCGGCCTGCACATGGCCAGCCTCGGTATTGGCTCACGATGTTCACTGACAGACTTGACTATCCCCTGCTGACACTAAAGACCTTGCTCACCGTCTTGTGGTCCAATTGACAATGGCCCGGCATGTACTATTTGTCTCAATTCGTCGACCTGCTCGTGACATTGCAAAGCCGCTCAATGATGTTCCATCCAGGTTGAGACGGGCGCCAACGTTGCCCTCACGGCGCTTCCGTCAAGGCTTCTCTATCTTTCCATCTCTTGTTGACCTCGAGCTTTCAGCGTCCTGTCTACCTCCTCAGCATCGCCGTCGCTGAAGCTGCTGGTCACCGTCAGCATTCTCTCGTTATTTCCTTGACCTTTAATCATTCTCCTCCAGCCGTTGATCGGCCATAGGGTACTACCTTGTAATACTGAACTACCATCTCACAGATCTCTCCCCCTAGATCGCCTCTCGATGAGCGTCTAAAGAAGTACCGATCATCAAAGCGCAAAATCGGCTCTGAAGGCCGGGCCTTACAGGATGAGCGTTTTACCAGCTACAACTTACCAATCTCCGCCACGGCTGGCCCGTGGTCGACAACTTAATACTATTATTGAAGAGAAAGAGGATGGAAGCCAAGGCGCGAAGAGCGATAGTGAAGGCGATGGAAGTGATTCAACAGTGATCGGTCGTCCCGCAGCATGGGACGCCCAGCTCTTTATTGCAGCTCCTCGAAAGAGCTCGTTGGCAACAACCACCTACCCATCTTCTCCAGTCTCTTCTGCCGGCCTCTCTCCGTCCAGCAGTGCTGGCGAGGGGTTCAAGCGCAATTCAGCGCGAACTTCATACTCCGACAGTAGCGATGCAGGGACGATCTTTAGTGACGATGGTGCATCTCTTGCCAGTGATCCTACCACCTTTGCCTCCGACTCCAACAGAAATAGCTGTGCAAGTAACCGATCCAGTCGGAACAGGTATCCAGCTCTGCTGATCCCCAGAGGCTCATACAGTAGTGTGGATGACAGCCCCATCAAAGAAATCACCCTGGGAATGTCTCCAGCGACAAAGATCCGGCTGTCTCCCATGGCATTGTCTGCACTGCCTAGGGATGTCCCTGAAAGTGATGCACCACCCTCATTGGGAGACAGCAACAGTACCACGTCTGACTCACCATGCAACCTCACAACGAGCGCTCCCGTTACTCCAGACATGAGGCAGCTTGAGATTGCGCAAGGGGAGACCTGGGGTGTCCCCCCACCATCAGCTGCTCTTGTATCACAACCTCTTGAGATAGCGCTGGATGACGGCCATAGTGTGATCCTATCACCTGCAGAAGCTCACTCTGACCACCACTCCTCCATTGTTCTGTCACCCGCAGCATGGACGGAGATGGTTGTAAGCTTCCCCCAAGTCCCTGGCGCTACACCTCAAGATCAATCGCCACTGATGCCGACCATCGACGAGCTAAAGACATTTGAGGAGGGCCCATCAGGCCTAAACGAGTCCGACCGGGGAGTAAGGCTGCCTCTAGATGCGTTGCAGGTCCTCCAGCGCCTTGCAAGGCACAGAAGCCTGGACAACAAATCTCCTTCGTCAGGATCTGGATCTTCCAAAAAGTCTGGAAACCCCCAGGAAATGCGTGAGCTTACTGATCCGAGCCCCACAAGCAGACCACGTAGCGCAGATGGCCAGACTCCTATCTCGGATTACAGCTTCACACAGCTTAGTATTCCATCTCCTGGGGGCTTCTTCTCGTCATTGCAGCAAGGCTCGCGACATACCTGGTGCCTCGGCAAGCCCAGAGCCCCGAGCCAACCGAGTACCGCCACGGCTGAAATGTTCTACAATCGACCATTTGACATTCCAAGCCCAAACCACGTGGTCGAAACGGTGCTTACGGTCGAAGATACAGACTTGACAGAAGGCCCACCCACGGCACGGCAAGCCACATATATACCAACAGACAGTGTTCAACAACGTAGCAGTCAGCGGTCCGAGGATGACGACCTGTACGGACCTGGGGATGATGCCGACAAGACCGCGGTCTTACGTGCCAGCTTTGAGTACGATGAGAAATATTTTGATGAGCTGAAGCAAAGTGCAAGCCGGAATCTTGATCTGACAGGTTCATGGCTAGCAGCTCAGACAGGCTACCTGTCTGCCATTCTTGACTCCGACCCCAACAAGGCCAATGCTGAACCAGATGACAAGGCTGAAGAAGCAGCAGCAGCAGCCAAGTCGACTGCTAAGGGCAGTGTCGCCGAACGTCGAACAGTGTCATTCTCCAATGAGATCAAGGTCGACACTGCCATAGTTGTGGCCGAGCCCAGCAACGACAGCCCTGAAAGCGAAGCAGATACCAAAGATCCGATGTTCCTTACCGCATTTCAATATCTTCTCAGCAATCGCAAACGACGGGACGCTTTCATACATGCAAACTCGCGGCTAGAAGCCATTCAAGCCTGCCGGGTGGCCATGCCGGAGAAGCACATCACAAATCTGCTAGGCCAACATATTCTTCTCGAGCCGGTAAGACCCAAATATACTGGGCCCTTTGGTCACAACCCGCGTTCCACAGGAGTGCCTGCGACTGCAGAACAGATAGCCTATAAGGCTGCTGAGCGCGAGCAGCTCGCGCTTGCTTCGGTTGAGCCATCGAATTGGCAGATCGACGCTTTGCGTGCCATGTATGGTGGACGGCTTCTTGCTTCACAAGCAGCTTGTAAACGACTGAAGAGCAAAGCAACCATTCCTCTGGATGACCCGGCGTGTATTGGCAACAAGAGAATTCGAATCTTGGACATCGGTGGCACAGCATCGGCCTCATGGGCTTGGAATGCTGCGCTCGAATGGCCAAATGTCAAGGTCTATACCGTCATCACAAAAGCTCAATCGCAGTCTCAGCGACCGCCAGGCGAACCAAAGCCAACGGCACCTGGTAACCATCGGACCGTCTCTGTGCCGCACCTATGGCAACTACCATTCCGGAGTGGCCACTTCGACGTCATTTCAGCACGATCACTCCACGTACTCCTCAAGAACAACCCCGTACCTGGTGTTCCTGAGATTGACGAATGGGATTTGACACTTCGTGAGTGTCAAAGAGTGCTCAAACCAGGTGGGTACATTGACTACATGATCATGGACTCTAGCATTGCGCACGCTGGACCCAGAGCTGAAGCAATGTCCGTCGAGTTTGGGTTTGAACTCCATCGACTTGGATATGAGAGAGAGGCTGCGCGAAGCTGGCTGCGTCGGCTTAAAAAGGAAGGTTTCGTTGGCGTCAAACGGGCCTGGATGTTCATGCCTATGGGCCGGAAACCACCGAAAGTAACCGAAGAGCACATCCATGGATATATGGGAGGGTGGCAGTCGTGGAGGCAAGGCGCGAAGCCGTTTGTTCCTGCACCCCGACCCATCAGCGAAGTGTCGACGATCAGCAAGATCGTCGGGCAGTACATGGATGTGGAAGCCGTGCAGGGCCCTGTCGGCAGTGTCGAAGACGTGGCCGACCTCACAGGCCTCCTTGGCGCTCGAATGTGGGAAGAGTGGCTCGTCAAGGTCCGCGCAGAGTCCGGACGAGAGCAGTCACGCTGGCTGGAAGACGTGGATGAAGTGATCCAGGAGGGTAAGGAGAACGGATCGGGCTGGAAAGTGTTGGTTGGGTGGGCAAGGAAGCCTAAACCAGAGAAGGGGATGAAGCTTGAAAGGGCGGAGATCACAGTTGCTGTCGAGGATCTAGAGGAGCTGGCATCTCCGGAGGATGAAAGTGCTGAGACGGGGATGATTCGTATGTTGATTCAGGAATGATTTTTTTGCGCTTCAAGACTGTTGAAAGGGGAGCATAGCGAAGGAGTTGGCGGCGGTCGGTCAGCTGGATTGGGATGTACTGGGGCCGGGGATTTGGGTGGTGAAACCACATATCGTACAGGCTTCTTGCATTGTTTCTTTGCCTCGTATATAGCATTCGGCGACCAGCACTCTCGGGCAGCTGGTCAGATAGATGGTATGGCTTGCATATGATTATGGACGTTTGCGAGTTGAACCTGTGCCTCGTGAGGCTATCGATTCGGGATTGAGTTGTGAATGCCTTGACTTAAGTCTCGATTACCTACTGTAGGTACTCAGCCTGCGTCAGCCTTGTTACCCAGGTACTTTACAGGGGTGCCAGCCCCCAAAGGCCTGCCCCTCTTAACCGCAGCCCACTTGTACTAGTAGACATCACTAACGACGTCAGTGTTGGACGATTGGGGAAAATGGCTGCTCCCGGATGCATGCAAGATTTCTTGCGTAAACATGTGAATGATGACTACGAACCAAGCTAAGTACATGCATGTCGAACGAACATACCATACGGTGCTCGTCGCTCCTTGACTTTCTTCACAGCCCGGGTACAGTTCTCTCTGCCCCGCCGTGACGTCCCTGGCCCTCCGATCTAATTCATAATCTGGCGGCGCGCGCAGCAGTGACCTCAGTCCAGCGCAGGGCCAACAACAGGGTGTCCTAGCAAGAGAGAGTGTGACATTATGACCACACCGCGTTGCTTCATCGTCCGCCATGGCGAGACCGAATGGTCACTCTCGGGCAAGCACACGGGCACAAGTGACATTCCGCTCACCAAGAACGGCGAGAAACGAGTGCGGGCGACGGGACGAGCACTGATCGGGGATGATAGGTTGATCGTGCCTAAACAGTTGGTACATATGTACGTCTCTCCCAGTCTCGAAGCCGTGGACAGAATCTCAATACACGATCTTCGGCTTGGTCCTCTCACCGTCGTCAAGTATGAGTACTAATAGGTGGTTGTCAATAGCTACGTTTCCCCACGACACCGCGCCCAACGCACCCTCGAGCTCCTCAACCTGGGCTTCCCCGAGCCCTACCCGTGGCAGACAGACAAGGTCAGCACACAAGGCGATCCGCCACGCAAGACGACCGCCAGAGTAACAATCGACCCGCGGATCGCGGAGTGGGACTACGGCGACTACGAGGGCATTACGAGCGCCGAAATAAAAAATATGCGTGAGGAGAAGGGTTTGGGAAAATGGGATATCTGGCGCGATGGGTGTCCCGGTGGCGAGAGTCCCGAGGATGTGATCAAGCGGTTGGACAGTTTGATCAAAGATATCCGCGACAACTATCACGCCTCTATCATTGGAAAGCCCAAGGACCCTGATTGCACAGGGGATGTTATGGTCGTGGCCCACGGGCATATACTCAGGGCTTTTGCCATTCGGTGGATCGGACGACCCTTGACCGAGACGTCGTTTATCATGGAGGCCGGTGGTGTGGGAACTTTGAGTTATGAACATCACAGTATCCATGAGCCTGCCATCCTGTTGGGCGGTGGATTCGTGGTCGGCGAGGATAAAGAAGAAATTGAACGGGAAGAACAAAAGGAGAAGAAAGAGTCACAGGGCCACTCATGATATGTGTTGCTACTCTGACAGATAGCTATGCTTGCAGCCAGAGCAAGACTAGCTGGATAATATACTCCTGAACAAGACTCCATGTCAGCTCTCCAACAACTCTTCGGTCTCAAATGTGCTTCACCATCCTCCTGCCGGTCCTGGCGGACCTGCCGTATTACCTTCGCTCCATGATGGCGGATCAGGTCGATCGCCATAGCCTTCCTCCAATGGTGGACTCAAGTCAGGAACGCCGTAGCCACCTTTCGGTGGTGAAAGCGGTCGAGGGCCTGCTCCCATCACTGAGGGGGGGCGAGGGCCTGCACCCGTGATCTGTGTCTGACCTCCTCCTACAGTACCTGCGCCATGGAAAGCGATACCTGCTGCAGGGGCGCTTGTAACAGTCATCGGCTTAGTCCAGTCACCACCCTGATAGGCAGAGCCTGAGGGCCAAACTTGCGCCGACCCTGGCGGATTGTTCTTGCTGGTGTTCTTTGGACTGATCGTCGAACTTCGTACCGATTTTGGCTGTTCGCTGCCTTTCCTGGATGTTGTATTGGGTTGAAAGCTGGGCTGTTGTGACCCCTTGTTGCCGCCTTCTTGTTGTCCGTCCCATCCTTGTCCATTGTTTTTGGTATTCGCATTATCGTCTTGCCATCCTGCAGCTTCAGTAGTCCATGCTTGATCGTTGGCCGTGGTCGTATTCTGCTGATTATTGCTTCTCTCATTCGTCCAGTCGGCTGCACCTTTGCTCCAATCATTATTGCCTTGATTAGCGGATCCATTGCCTGGATTCTGACCACTTGATGGATTCGATACTCGAATTCCCAGACCAGGGTTGGCCGCGTTCCGAGCTGGTGGCAGCTTGTATTTGAGAAACTCAAACTCAGGCGGAGCTACTGGGACTGGCTCAAATGTATGGCTTGAAGCTGCCGTGGATGTCTTTGGCGGAGGGTCGGGTATCGTTCCTCCTAATGCACCTTTCGCCCTCAGCACCAATTGAATCAGCTCCTCCTTGTCCAGGTTAGCCAGCTCGTTCACGTCTTCGTTGCCTGTGGGTTCGACGTCGACTTCAATACCAGTTTCGTTCTTGATCTGCTCTTTAGTGCGATATTTGAACACAAATCTCGCATAAGGCTCGTCTAGATTGTCAATGTACTCCGGAATGCATCGCTTCTTGGTGTAGATGTATCCTTTTCCTGGTTGGACCTGTTTTGAAGTACCCTTTGCTTGTGCAACAGCCTGTGGGATATCATATCTGGGCTCCTCTTCGGCATCAGCAGGGATCCTGCTTTCGGCAAATACCTTCGAGGTGTAGTAGGCCCCATAAGGACCGTACAATGCTCGTGTGCTAGGGCCGTTCACAGCAAGAGTGGGAGCCGTAGTGGGAGGATTGTTATTCTGGGTGTCGCCCCAGTTCCCGCCCGACGCGTTGCCACCGGCGTTGTTGTTCTGGTCGGTGCCCCAACCTCCGCCGGCCTGGTTGTTGGTGTCATTGTTGGCTGTATTATTGTTCCAGCCTGCGTCAACTTGACCAGTGTTGCTGCCACTATTCTGCCAGTCCCCATCATTTGCTTGATTATGGGCATTCTGATCCCAGCCACTGTCAGCCGCAGCGCCCTTATCCCAGTCGTTTCCATTGTTCGACTTATCGTTGTTGTTGTTCTCCCAGCTGGCATTGTTATCATCGTTCTTTCTCCAATCGTCGTTGCCCGCTGATGTGTCATTGCGGTTGGTACCACCAGCAGCAGCATTGTCTTGCCATCCATTCCCAGAATTGTTGTTATCTCCCCATCCAGTGCCGGTCGTTGCGCCTTTTGGAGGATCTGCAGGCTCAGTGTGCTGGCCGTTTTCAGGTTGGTGGTTCCAGTTAGGTTGGGAAGCGTCTGATTGCCGAGAAGGCTCGGTGTTTGGTTGGCCTTGACCAGGAGGTGCAAGGCCAGATGTTACACCATTCTGAGCAATCTGGTGACCAGCAGGCGCTTGCGTGTGGAATAGAGGTGCATTCGTCTGGAGCGGATAGACAGGTACATGGCCAGGAAAGGGCGGCGGGACTGAATACGCAACTGGTGGAACCCAGACAGGGACTGCAGGATGACCTGTAAACTGCTGGATCACAGGTGCACCGGCAGTTGGAGCAGCATGTGGATGTGCAGCAACAGGCTGGAAGGCATTCACGGGTGGTTGTTTGGGCATCGTTCCGCCATTTTGAGGAGCCGGCCTGCTTGCAAAGGTGGGAGGTGTAGCAATCGGTCCGGGGCGGTACCTCTCGTATTCTTGATGTCTTCCAGGGTGGTCACTGTAATCTCTTGCCCCAACATTGTATTCGTAGCGTCGATCGTCATGGTACGGATAGTCACTGTATGGATCAGTCGCTCTAAGGTTTCCTGCTTGAGCATAACCGCGCTCTGATGGATGCCCACGATAGGCATCACCACCTTGCCAGCCTGGCTCCTCATATCCCCGTGCTCTGGGCCCATATGCGGACTGTGAAGCACTATAATGTGGATCCCTTCTGTCGCCATAATCAAAGTGAACGCGTCGCTCTTGCCGAGGGGGCCCATACTCGATCGGCGGACGTGTAAATGGAAGTGGTGATGGTTGATAATGGCGCGGTGGTGGAGGCGAGGCACCGCGGAAAGCTGGCCGATAGGTATACGTCGGGTGAAATGACTCTTGCGGACGATATGGGTCAGGTTGGTTCCATCGAGAATAGCCATCGGCGGGCGCATCGCCGTTGGGGCCATGAGAAGAAGGTGGTTGGTCGAAGGCGCCATCGAAGAGTCCAGCCAACCCACCAAAGGGGTCGCCTTCAGGTTCAGCTCGACTTTCGACGACTTTACTGGACTTGTTGTCTTCGAGGTTATCCTCAGCATCACCTCCAAGGCAATCACTATCTTCTCCAGAAGACGTGGTCGACATCGCAACCTCATTTGGGTTGGCGCTTCGGCAACGAAGAATGAGGACCTCGATAGTTCCTAACTCATCAAAATGACTCTGGCTGACTCCTTCCGGCAGTTGAGATACGATGTTGTAATCATCGAAACGCCACTCTCGTCCCATGTATGTTCCATCTCCTAATGGCTTCTCTTTCTGCCGTACAGTGAAGTCGATCTCGGTTCTGTTTTTTGGTTGGTCTTTCTGAGGGGGTCGTAGATTGCATCGGTTACGGTTGCACTGGTAGTTTCCATCGATGAAGATGATCATAGCCAGACCCTCGAAGATGAATCTGCGGGATGTAAGACGAACGGTGAACGCCTGGGGATGATTAGGGATAGCGATGAAGGTCTCGACAAGTCCATCTCCATATATGGTGCCATATTCAGGAAATGGAGAGCCCGTATCAGCCCACTCAACGTGGCAGACCAAATCTTTCAAGGTCGGCATATCGTCAACGGGTTTTGAACGGAGGCAACTGAAGACCACGTAGTGTGCAGGGGGATGAACTGAGCTGAAAAGGAATTCCGATGAAGATGAAGAAAGATGATGGGAAAGGATATGTACAGGTATGGAATTGTTGAGTGTGATACTGTCGTTGGCAAACGCGTAAAACATCAACAAACAGATGAAGTGAATAGGGAATGGCAAGATGCAACGCAGTCGAGACAGCAGAACATTCTCAGCTTCACTGCATCTACTTGTGGTCGTTCATCAACGCTGTCGCCATTAGCATCCTACCAGTCACTGTTAAACAGGCATTCTGGGTCTAACAACAGTGGCATCTTATACTCGAAGGACCGAGAATCGAGAGATGCTGGCTTCAGTTTGGTAATGCCTCTTTTCAAGAACCTGTGGCCTCACACAACTTCGAGGTTGAGGCTCGCAGGTGTACAGTGCTTGCGCGACACATCCGGCCTCCATAGGTCCAGTAGACGAGAAATACAAAAGCATGAATCATGCAACACTGAGGGCCAGGGGATTGTGGATGACACGGTATGAACTCATCTTGGTTTGATCCAAGAGATCTTTTCACTCAGACCGATAATCTATCCTGATTGATATCCCAAGTTGAATCTACGCTGTACAGGGTGTGGGAGGCTGAAAAGAGTAAAGGGGCACCAATAATCAGGGGTCTAGGCCGTCATCTGCGTCGGGACACTCACACCTGCACCTTCTGGCGCATTGGTGCATGCTTCGAGATTCCTCCCACCTGTCAAACAATTTCCCTTGTGCGTCCCTATATCTTCTAATAAACAAACCCTCTCGACCACTTCTGCGCATCAATCCTGCCACGATGACCGCCACAAAGGCTCAATCTCAAAAGATCTTTGAGAAATTAAAATCCAAGCAAGCCAACAAGGTACGCGTTCCGAGACTCCTCAACAGAACGGCCACCTAGCGCGAAGCCGCACGTATGTTCAGCCTGCTCACGATCCCTGCAGATTTGTTTCGATTGCGGTCAGAAGAACCCGACATGGTCCTCCGTGCCATTTGGTGTCTATCTATGCCTTGATTGCTCCTCCAACCATCGAAACCTCGGTGTCCATATCTCCTTTGTCAGATCGACGAACTTGGACGGTACGAAAACAAACATCCCCAGGAAGGGACAGCGTACTGACCAGAGTAGTGTGGCAATGGGCTCAATTACGGACGATGAAAGTTGGCGGAAATGAGTCGGCCACGAAGTTCTTCCAATCCAACGGCGGCAGTGCTGCCCTCGCAAGCAAAGATGCCAAGGTCAAATATACTTCCAATGCTGCGAACAAGTACAAAGAAGAGCTCAAGCGCAGAGCAGCAAGGGATGCTGAAGAGTATGTGACCCTCTACTTTCCATCACGGACGGAATGCTGATGAAGTGGCAGTTATCCGGAGGAAGTTGTGGTCACGGACGAAGCCCTTGCTACGCCTGCCGACGGCGCATCAACACCTGCAGAGCCAGCCGACGACTTCTTTTCTTCATGGGACAAGCCCACCATCAAGCGACCGAGCAATCCTCCATCGCGCAGTGGAACTCCACCCGTGGTCTCGCGTAGCGGCTCTCCTTTCCTCTCCGCTGGTAATGCCAACGGCTCCGCGGCACGTCCAAAGTCGCCTTCTCCGCTCGCGGGCGCTGCCAACGACGCAGAAAACGCCCTCCCAGCTCCTACTGCCATCCGCACGACTTCCTCCTCCGCCATCCGCAAAGGACCCTCCGCTGTGGGAGCCGGCGCCAAGCGTACCAATGTGCTCGGCGCAAAGAAGACACAAAAGCTGGGTGCGAAGAAGGTTGTAGGCGAAGAGATTGACTTTGAAGCCGCGGAAAAGGCCGCAAAGGCCGAAGCAGAGAGGATAGAGAAACTCGGCTACGATCCTGAGGCCGAGAAGGCGCAAGAGCTGGCGAAGAACAGGTCAACGAGTTTGACTTCAACGGCAAAAGAGGCTCCGGCGCCTATAGCCACGTCAAAGGCTGGGGGCTATGGTTCTAGCACGACCCATGTTCGCAGCCCAAGCGAAGTGGAAAGACTCGGTATGGGTATGGGCAGGTTGGGCTTTGGACAGACCGCGTCAAGCAAATCCGCTTCTTCCGCTCCAGCACCAAAGAAATTGGGCTTTGGAAGCGTTGGAGCCAGCAAAGCTCCTGTGGAAGGTAAATATGCACATCCCCTGCATTATGGGAGTCCATCTAACGTGATCACTAGACGATTCCGAACAATATGCTCGCCAAAAGTTCGGCGTGCAGAAGGGTATCTCATCGGACGAGTTCTTCGGTCGCGCCTCTTTCGACCCGTCCGCACAGGCCGAAGCCAAAACACGCCTTCAAGGCTTCGAAGGTGCCACCAGCATCTCCTCGAACGCTTACTTTGGCCGACCTGAAGATGACGTGACAGGTCTAGAGAATGGTGAATACGGAGACATTGAGACGGCCGCGAAGGACTTTGTCCGGAGGATGGGGTTGACGGCCGGTGACGATCTCGAGAACCTGATCAATGTCGCCGGCGATGGTGGGAGGAAATTGAGAGGTGCTGTCGCGCGGTACTTGAACAGTTAGGCCATGACAATGAGTCGCAAGGGGTATGATTGCAGTAGATGCGAAATGTTTTCACTAAGCAACGTTTTCGAGACCATGCAGCGAAGTTGAGAGGATAGAATAATGATGTTCATATGGCAATGCCTCTTTCTTAGTGGTCACGAAGCAGAAGTAGAGGGGATACATAGCAGGATTCAGGCTGACTTACGAATGTACTCAACTGGTCGAGCCGAATGGGGGCAATGAGATGATTTTCCAACGATGCCACAAGTATGGCATCTTGACAACTTGTGGACTCCTAACGACGTGTTGAAGAGTTAGCTTACGGACAGTCTGATGCATGTCATCTTACTTAACGGTGTAGCCGAGGATACGTGCTCCTAGACGTGTTCAAGATGACTACAACAAGGAGACGGACTTCGAGGTTATTTGTAAACTCTTAATTCATTGTATCGTAGTATCACCTATCGTGTGAACTCAACTAAAAACACACAATTCCACCACAAAGTTGTTCTCGCGCAGGTCTCTAGTAGGCGGCGCGCAGCAAAGATCAAGAGGAGTGTGTGGAACAGTCCAGCTCGAGCATTTCTGCTCAATGACTGTGCTCGTAATACAGCTGTCTCCTGGGCTTTGCCAGACCAACGTACAAGAAACCAAGCGCAAGAAAAAGAAGCTAATTGATGTTCCTCATCCATTAAAGATAGTCCTAGTACTTCCCAATGGGGGTACTGTTTCGTAGAGTAAGATTGAACGCCATAGGGTCGTGCCAATCAATCTGTGTCTGGTCATCAAGGTCGTGATGAAATGAGTGGCTGAGTCTTCCAAGAGTACTCGATGGAATGGTAGAAAAGCACTGCCCTGTGCCATCCCTCACAAAATCATGCTCTTGCGTTTCTCAGCGCTACTGAGAACCAAAAGTGGTGTGTTGCGTCTTACTGGTTGCTCAACTTCGACGATAGGACCTCCAATGGCGTTGCCCTCGTCGCTGCTCAGGCTCTTAGCACTGAGGGCTCCGACACTATCGACCGAAGAACGTTCCCTAGACCTCTCCTTGATTTCCGACCCAATTGCACCACTAGCAGCGGCCCTTAGACTTCCGAGGCTTGGTTTGCTTGAGAGGCTGGTGCTACCTGCAAGGACAGAGTCACCGTCGGAGGAGACAGAAAAGTTGAATTCATTCTCGCTACCAGGTGTACCAGCTCCAGAGCCAGACTGACGGCCATCGCTGCGGCGTTCTCTGCCAGCACGCACCAAGTCGTGCACAGCTCGGCGGCGTTGACGAGTGGCAAAGTTTTTACTGCCTTCATGCTTGGAGGTAGGCTTTTCCTGGAGCTCTTGCAGAAGTGGTGGACCTTTGGGTTGTCTGAGTGGGTGTTCTCCAGCTCTTGCTTGCCCAGGGCCAAAAGTTCCGGTCATGGGAGTCTGAGGAAATCCAGCAGACCTCAAGGCGGAACCTTTGGTCCACTCTCCCGTTGTCTTGATATTGACAGATGATGCATTCTTGCGGTGTCCACGTCGGAATGCATTAGCCGATGGGGGAGGAAGAGGTTCAACCTCTTGTTGAGGGCTAGGGGTCGACTTGGGCGGGGTTCGAGAACGGGACTCATTTGAAGCATACGGCGACTCGGTGAATTGACGTTGAGTACCCACCGTTGCAGGCGGAGGGGACATTGAGGAGTTGCGCCGACCAGCTGCTTGCTCCTGTTGCTGATGGAGGGCCTTGTCGACCACAAAGCTGGACTGACCCGTCATAGGATTGTAGACAGCGAAAACACCTGGACTGCCTGGCACAGGCTGCACAACCGGTTGCAAACCCTGCTGGAACTGCTGATTGTAGATGCTCATATTTGAACTCATGGGAGACTGGAACTGCTGGCCAGCATTGTTCATCATCGAGCCATTCATGTTCAAACCACCCAATTGCTGAGCAGCCATGCTGACGCTGAGCAGCTGTTGCTGGAGTGCTCGTTGCTGTTGAGCAAGATAGTTGTTGGTGGCTATCAGTTCATCGTACAGATTCTGATCCATATTGTCTGTTGCGTCGACAAAGTCTAGAGTGGGAGGAGCAAGAACTTGTTCATGAAGAGAGTATCCTTGCTGGTAACCACCATGGTAAGAGGCTCTCTTGTTTGGAAAGTACGTGCCAGTGGCAGTTTGAGGGGCGGGACTGCCGTATTGGGTCGAGGCGTACCTGCTGCCTTCGAGCCCTTGCCCATGAGTGGCAGGAGGAACAGTGGCAGACTTCGGAGCCGTACGAAGACCAGCCAACAGATGACCGCGACTGGTGCGGGGGGTCGACCCGATGTTGGCCTGTTGAGTTTCGTCAATGGTTGAGATCTTGGGAGGAGGGGCCACGCTGAGCCGCTTGATGTGAGACCCTTTTCCACGAGATGCGAAACCAGGGCCAGAAACGCCGATCGAGTTATTGAAAGGGACTTGGTAAGTCATTTGAGCAACACCGCCAGCGTCGAAGCTCATTTTTTGCTAGTAGTAGGTGGATATAATATGCAGACCGTTGACTGGATGTGGTTGTCAATGCGGGAAGCCCGGACCAAGTTATGGACTCGTCAAGAAAAGAATATCCGTGCGCCGCGACGCGATGATTTGAACACAAGAGAAGGGTAAAGGAGCTTTTGGCTTCGTGATTAAGGTATTATCGCGAGGTGCTGTGTAAATAAGTTGATTTTGGAGGTAGGGAGGCAGTGGTGTAGCGATCGTGGTCTAGTGACGTCGAGGTGCGACAGCAAGAAATGCCTGCCTGGGAACAGGTCAGTGAAAGAGACTCGACGCCGCGGTCGTGCAAAGACATACCAAGGGTTCAGCCAGCTGTGGCAGAGAAAGCACAGAAAAGGATGGTTGCTGACAGTCGAAGCCACAGGGGCAGATAGCGGGAATATACAATAACGGTCGTTTTAGTCTGGGAGCAGAATAAAAGTAGGTGTGGAAGAATGAAAGTGGTTGTGATATTGCGCGGCAATGATCGAGTCTTTTTCTTCAAGAGGATAGACGATTAGGAGTGTATGTTGTGGCCGTATGTCTTCTGAGGACGTCGTGTACAGAAGGTTTTTGCTGGCCAGACCTGAAGCAAAAGAGCTTTGGGTATTCTGGATCGAGGTCGGAAACGATTAGGGTGAAACCGCAGGATGGGTGGTAAGGAAAGTCGGGAGATAGCAAGCTTCGCCAGGGATGAGGTCGACGAGGTCGGTGTCGAGAAATCGACCGTGGGAAAGCAAGCTATCAAAGAGCTTTGCAAGAGAAGAGACCAAAGAGCAGGAGGAGGGTGTGATGATGAGAAAAAGAGAGACGAATGGTGAAATGGGATTTGACGATGGATGGATGGAGGGGGGAAACACGACCGACTGGACACGAAAGAAGAGAGGAGAGAAAACTGACGCGGGAAGAAGTGTGAAGACAGTCGACAGGACAGGACAGGCCAGTGACCCTACCCAGAGGAGATGAGTGACCGCGTGAGATTCTCCTTTCATTGGCCTGGGCCATGCCCTCTGGGGCATCTTAGGGACAATTAGGCTCGTCGATAGGCACGGAGCCCCCTTTAGCGGCGTCTTGGCTTTCAAACAGGCGCCCGCCTCAACCACTCGAGTGGCTTCCCACCCGCTACGAAAAAGATTCTTTGCTGGCAACTTCACAAGTAGATCTAAAGTGACAGCACTGCAGCAGACGATCATCCCCTCCTTGCCGACGAAAGAGTTGCTGTCAGCAGCAAAAGGAGTCCAGAAGACTTGGATGCACGGTACGAGTAGCCCAAAGAATCAATACTTTGCCGCCACACCATGGGGACTTTGCGACTGCTGTGTGGTGGTAACGAGCTACTATTAATACCTATGCATAGGTACAAAATAACACCAGGTACACTGTTTTGATTTGCCCACAGCTCCCATTCCTTCGAATACGCTTACAGTAAGGCTTCGATTCCCATGAGGTCGATCCCTATCAGAACCAGTGTTTCAACCTCGTTATCAGGGGTCTGCGTCCACCATTCCCCTGAGATGTGCAGTTCCATATCACTGCTTAATCTGGACAGGAGTGCCTTATGATTTCATGATAGCACAGATAGAACCCCCACTTGATGGTTGTCATGCCTGGAATGACAGCCAGTCTAACGGTTAAGGACATGAACCGTTTCCTCCCCTGCCGAAAGCCTCTCGTACGAGTACTTGCCGACCCAGATTCATCTGCAGCCTTGCCCACAACGCCCAGGAGTAATTAAACCATGCTTAATTTCATCCATTTTCAAGCTTTTATGGAGCCTAGGAGCCCTTTCGGCTTTCTGTCTCGTGGCAGCCAGCCAGCCAAGCTCATCAGCCGCATTAAACGAAGTCTGACCGTTTTGGAGATTGCCTCGTGTGCTGTAGATCTGGAATTCAGACTTTGATCGTTCAGGGATAACGCGACTCATGGTGGGCAATTTATTATTCCCAGAGATGAAAACCCTGACGACATTATTGCACGCGAACGCGTCGAAGACGAATCCCGGCAAAACGGATGGAGGGGACAATTGTATCTCTATCTCACACTCTCGATTGCGAGAGTCAGCTATTAGTTGAAAACTCTCGGCCATACTGTACAAGCTGGTCGTTGTATATAATGGTACATTTTCCTGACCTTTTTCACCATTGCTATGCCAAAAGCCGACAATCAAAGACGACCCATCTCATGATTTGGTGATACACACATACTGTGTAGAGTGTTTAGAGTGTTTTGTCTTCGGTGTCACGATTGACCACTCCAGTCTGTCCACGGGCGTCATGAGCCGCTGCTGGGAGGACTTCCGTTGTCGGAGTGGCAGCTTTGTCCACGGATTTGTCCTGGGGTTCTGAGATAGGTTTCGATTTCTGGCCCTCAGTTATGTTCTCTCGCTCGGGCGACAACGTCTCATCATCGTGCACCTTTACTTTTGCTTCTTCCTGGGGCGGCTTGCTACTCGCGACATGCTGAGTTTCGGTCTTGCCCTGAACCTGCTTTTCTTGAGGTCTTGCGGGCTTTTCTTCTGACTTCGGAGCTGGTTTCTTGGACGATTTCGAGGGTCGAGACGTGGCTGGCTCTGGTTCCTCTAATAATCTGTGCTGCGGTGCTGATTGTTGCTGGTCTGCCGCTTTTCTCTCTGCAATCTGACCGACTAGCTCCTGTCTCTCTGCCTCCAATTCGGCGTCAAGCTCCGCGTCGTCCTCCAACTCGCCCTTGTAAACTTCCGGATGTCGTTGGAAACATTGTTGCATGCCCTGGAATTTATCGATACAGTCCATGCCCTTGGGCTCCTCATTGGAGAACACGAAACACGAGAATGCCTCCCTGAACTCCGTCCCACAGGGCCCATGGGCCATTCCACCAAGACAAGGGCAGTCCCAATTTATTTCGCCGGTTTCTGGGTTGAAGGCGCCTTCACTGGCCGCCTCTTCTTCGAGCTCTTGAGGAGATGCAGCATGTTCATGTGACTCTTGCTGGGCAGATACTGAGGTAGAAGCGTTCTCAGAGGATACTGTTTCCGCAGCCGATTTCAGCACCGAGGTGTTTCTTTCTGCTTGTCGCGCCCGGCGCGAAGTCAGTTCTTCCAAAGAGGTGGTTTCGACGGAGTCATCGAGGGCTTCGAGGTTGGGATTCAGTAGGTCTAACGCAGCGTGTTAGCATGACTTGGTCAAATGCAAAGTTCATCCATTCTGGAAAATCCAACATACTGTGCTGCGGTTGCTCCGCAAAGACAGGACTGGTGTTGTAGTAGTAAATGCCGGCAATGGCAACACCCCATCTTAGAGCACTGCTCTTCCAACTCCGTCGTGCATTGACACGCGATGTGCTAGCAAACCGTTTCCCAGCTGTCGTCCGCGCTGGTGCAAACGAGGATTGTGCCGCGGAGCGCAATACTGTCGTGGCGGCCGGTCGGAACATGGTGTATAAAGTCACTTTCTGGGTATGTCAAGGTCGCGGAGGGTGCAGAGGCATGCTAGGTCGACCACAGAATGCAAAATCTTCCTTGTAAGACTTGCGCGAAGCAAATGGCAACGACGGGCTGCGTCAAGTCAATTGATGTCACAATTATTAATTGAGTAGCTCCGAGTCCTGAGATTCTTTTTTATGCATTCCGAGGGCCTAGGATCCGCCGGGTACGGTGGCCTTTGGGTTGGGCTCCCGCGCAAGGCTAGCATTCAGCTTGTCATCATATCAGGTTTGATCTTTGCGTCCTTAGGTATCACTCTCTGGCTTTTCACGATATCTCAATTAATGTCTTCGACTGTTTGGACGACCTGGCATCCTTGTGGTCTGTTGAGCGGTGAACCTGTCCACCCTTTCGCCATCATTGTTCTAAATCAACCGCTGAATGGAAAGGCTCTAGACGCTGTTATCGGGTCAGCCTCGCTCCTGGTGTGTGCCGATGGTGGTGCCAACAGGCTGTATACATACGACCAGGACAAGAGAAACTTCAAGAACCGCCTTCCAGATGCCATTATAGGAGATTTCGACTCCCTCTCGAAGCCTGTCGAAGAACACTACCGTGCTCAGGGAGTGCCAGTCATCGAGGATTCGGACCAATATTCTACAGATTTTACAAAATGTCTAAAGTGGATCCGGACTTGGTGCCACAAGAGTTTCGACTCTCCAAGCACGACCATGGACGTTGTTGTACTGGGAGGCCTCGGTGGTCGTGTGGACCAGGGTTTCTCACAGATTCATCATTTGTACATGGCAGAGAACGATGAGGCTCTCTTGAAAGGTCGAATCTACCTTTTGTCAGAACAGAGCTTGTCATTTGTCCTAGCTAATAGCAACAATCGTATCCACGTAGTCCCTGGATATTTTGAGGAGAATGTCGGTATCATCCCTGTTCTTGGGCGAACCATTATCACCACCAGTGGCCTAGAATGGGATGTGAACCAGTGGACCACCGAATTTGGAGGCCAAGTGAGCACAAGCAACCACATACGATCCGACAAGATCGAGATTTCGTTCCAGGGTCCCAGACCTCTGTTCACGCTGGAACTCCACAAGACCCTGACCGCCCCTGGCTCTTGAACTCTTCAATGAAGTGGGCATTGTCCGTGGTCTTCTTTCCAGATCGATCCGCTACCACAATTCTACACTGTTGTGCACACTTCACCGAAAGTCAGCCTCGGCTGACAGCACGACTGTTCCAGAGTCGTTGTCGCCGTCTTGTCGTCGTTGTCCACTCCGAAAGCCCGCCACGTTCGGACTGGAGCGAAGCCGCGAGGTCATGGTAGGTCGAGGTGATCGATCAACCGGTCGATATGGTCACAGCAGCGATGCAAGTTGGTTACATCAGCCAGAATGCTTATCGCAGGTAACAGATGAGGATTGGAAATCGCGGCCGTGTTTTCATGTCCTATTGAGACCAAGAATGGTCAATCAGCCTGGCTTCTTTGACAGATTAAGATGTTCCTTGTTTGGTGACTTAAAAGGGCTCCGTAGTGCGCCTTTGCCACTTGGACCATCAGCAAGGGGTGCTGCGTTTTCATACCAGTCCACATCACTCAAATTGAGTCTCCTTGCTCGAGGCACGTGGCGCCCAGACTTCTCAGCGCGGCTGAGAGGCGGGTTGTAATGTTCGAGTCCTGGTTTGGGTCCCTTAGCATTGGAGTTCTTCCCCAGAGGGGGTTGCATAATGGGGCTCAAAGGGGAAGTGTTGGGTATACCATCGGTCTGGTCATCTTCACGCAGATCGTAGTTCAAGACCAGGTTCTTGATCCGCTGCTGCTCCTCTCTTTCCGCTGCCTGCTGCGACTTCATTGATACTGCAAAACTTGAGTTTGAAGGCAATTCGATCGTTCGAGTCTGCCAGAAGGTCAGTTCACTTGTACGCGCTTTCGAAGACGATGCGATTGTGGGAACATGGAGAAAGCCACTTGCCTGTTGGCGATTGCCCTTCTTCGTCATCAGCGAGAATGCCATTGTGTTCGACTGGGTCTCCACCGGTGGTTTTGGCTCTTCGTCTACCGCGTCTATCGGTGGTCGTTGAATCTTGCGGATTGGTAACGGCACATCGAACTGAGCCCTACGCTCAAACTTGCGAGAGTTCAAACTTTCAGCCATCATTTTCTCGAACTCTCTGTCGAAGTCCGCCTCGGCCTCTGGATCAAGCTGTTCTTCTTGACGCAAAACGACGATTTGTTCTTCTTCATCCGAGTCCACATCCTCCTTCTCTTCGGCTGTGTCCTCCTCAACCCCCGCCTGAGTTTGGTTAATCCGACTGTCATTGATGAGTATGGGTTCACTTACCTCGCCTTCTTCGTCCGAGGATTGTGGGAGTTCCGCATCGAGATCCGCGTCGCCGTCACCCAGGCCGTCCTCGGAACCCGACTCCTCGAGATCTTCTGCTTGTTCAGCGGCTTTTTCCGCAGCCGACTGCCTATAATTGGCGCTGACGGCTTCCGCAAAGAGCTTGGCAGCTTCGTCCATTTCGGTCACAAGCTTCCAGTTAGGCCGGACAAGAGTGTAGGTATCTTGCACTAGGAAGTCGATATCCATTGGCAGTGGGTCTTTGATCGCCATATAATACTGAAAGAACGTCAAGAAGAAGTCAAGCTTTTTCCGAGAGCTACCTCGGTCGAAACAGATCCCACATGTGTCGAGAATCGTGCAAACAAGACGGATTCGGAAGAAGTCATCAGGAGGATCGAAGGATGTGTAGCTATCGGGCTGAGGAGTCCCACTCTCGTGGCCGAAAGTGACGATGCGATACAACGTATCAAAAATGACGGTGGAATCGATCATTTTATAGTTGTAGAGCTCTCCCAGGTATTTGACCTCGGCCACTCTTCTCTGGTTGAACTTGAACTCGTTTTGTTCAAGACCTAGGGTGATCTGTTCGAGGATATTGTCGATGGTTCCGATGGCGAACTCCTGGTGGTAGCGAAAGAGGGCTTGAAGCAGGACAGCTAGAAGGTGAATGTTGCTGAATTTGACCTTACCAGGTTTGCTGAAAATCTTTTCCAGTATCCGCACGACTTCTTTCTCTTCCCAATGCAGCTTCCTTATGGTCTTCAATACTTTCATGTAATTGCGCTTCGTCATATCGATATACACCATCTGGCGCACGAAAAGCTCCATGGGAGTTCGTTCCTTCTGTTGAATTGCAGACCGCTGTGGCGGGTCGACATAATAGAGTGCATTCTCAATAAGCATACGCTCTTGACCACCCAAGTGCTGGGCAGATTTCTTACGGCTCAAGGTCTCCAAGAACGATACCATTCGTGGAGATGTTTCCGCACTGCGTAAGAGGTAGCGTCCGCAGTTCTCCAGTAGATGAGCGATGATTTCGATGTTCATTCGTGAGAAGTCATCTAGACTGACTTTGAAACAGTGAAAAATGACATGCTCAGGGACGATGCCGAACTTGGTGAGCTCAGCGAGGTAGCGGATATTGGACATACGAACCTGTCCCAAAAAGTCCTTCGTCTTTCGCCGTTGCAAACTGCGGAATTCGTCATCAAGATGTGTAACCAACCCTTGGACAATGTCTGGCATATACTGTCCCAGAGTTGCAGCCAGTCGAGCGTAGAAGGGTAGCAGATCGGTCCTGCCTTTCGGAACTTCTTGTAGGGACTTGATGAGACGGTTTCGCGATGCCTTGGAATTGAGAAAACAAAAGTCGAGTGCAAGCTGATCCACCATCTCCTTGGTTTGGAGTTCTGGCAGTCGAAGGAGGATAGCATCAACCTGAGCGCCAACAGTTTTGTTTGCGATTGCCGTCGACTGATCATCGCTCTCAGAGGGTTTGGCATTGCCGTTTTCAGGTGCAGCGCCATTCGAGTCTGCACGCTCCTCTGCTTCAGATTTCTTCTTCGAATCTTCAAGGAGGATTGCCGGCACACGCCCTTTGAGATCAACCAGATTTTCATAGAAGCGACGCTCGTCCTCATCCTCCCAAATGCCAGCCCCATCAGTTGACCCCTTGAGATAGTCACCTGTCTTGATCATTCCAACGATACCGGTAGCGCCTGATTCAGCTCCCTCCTTGTCTTCGAGATCCGGCATCTCTTCTCCAAGAATGTCACACAGGATCTGTGCATTTGCGACCAGTTTTTCTTGTGCCTTAGCCTGTCTATCGAAGTTCGCTTGTCTATCCTCGAAGATTTCACCACTTTTGACGTAGGCTTCCGCATTTCGCCGACTCTGGTTGTTCAACGATTTCTGATCTCGAATAACGTGGGTTTTGACACTGGACAAGTAGCGCTCAAGGACGTTGACGAAACGTTGCCGTGTGGGTGGCGGAATGATAGGCGCATCTTCGTCATTTGGATCGTCTGCACCACCAGCTTCCTTTGCTGGCCGTATAACCGATCCATCGGCATCCACATTTTTGCGGCCGTCCTCTGAAGGTGTTTTGAGACCAAGAATATCCCAAGCAAAGTTCTTCACGAAAAGGACCGCGAGGCTCAGATTCGCATGTTCTGGATCGTGACCCAATAGTTCCTTCAGGACTTCCAGTGGAAATGGGTCGTGCTCGATACGGTTGTCACTTTTATTACCGTTGGAAAGAGACGTTGGTCTGACTCCTGCCTGTCCCGATGTTTCTTTTCCCTTGGCTGGAGCGTCGTCCGGGCGGTCGACATCGTCCAGGCTCCGAAGAACGCCACATAGCCAGAACTCGGTTACAATGCGTAGGAGTATGCGATGGCGCTGTAGTCGCTCCTTCTCTTCTCGTTCGCGAACTTCAGCGGTCCATAGTCTGACTTGGGCTTTGTCAGGAGGGGTCAAACCCTTGCCCAGCAGCCACGCCAACTTCTTTGTGAACTCATCGGGCCCGAACCGTTGATGCAATGCACTGACAAGCTCTACCGCTGTTGCGATTTCACTTGCGGTCTTGAGTCTACTCAACCCCTCCGCAGTGGCCGAAATGATCTCAGACAAATATTTCTGCAGCGACAAAGTTCGGACTTCTGAGAGGAAAGTCTCTTGCGCAGAGGAGCTAATTCCAGTACGTAGGCGCTTGATAAAAGCGGTGTTTTTCTTGAGGGACGAGTCAAGGGATCCTGCGACATCGTAGACTTCTATCCGCTCGTTAGCAACGCTTGGTGAATGGCCGTCTTCACTATACCCTTCGCACCGGTCCAGACGCGCAGATTCAGGTCACGTAATTCGCCTGTCCACACGAGTCAGTATGAGAAAGAGAATGCAGGAATAGTCGGCTGTACGTTTTCGCTTGCGGTCCATGACGGTCCGGGGTTTTGTGAGGAGTAGGATAGCGCTCGCATGACGAGAAGCGCAGGCTAAGAGGATTGCATGAATCCACTCAACGATACTGAGTAGCAAAAGACACTGCAGTTATAGTGAACACAACAGTAACTGCTGAAACTTAATTGAACAGACTTGTCTATGTCTGGGGTTCTTCCACCTGCGTTGACGGTGAAATGCGGGCCTGCCATGCGCACCTGCGGTATATCACGCCAAGCCTAAGAGGTCATGCAGGGCTTAACTGCGCCACTAAATCGCGCCTCTACAGGGGATCAGGGCCATGAGGGGTTTCACGAAAAGTCCATCAGTTTTTCGAGGGGTTACAGCCTCGCATCAGAATGTTATGTCTCCAATACAGGCTTACATTTGCAGGCTCCCTAGGTGCCCAGGTATGCTGTGGCAGTAGATGCCGCACTTTTCCAGTACCTAGGTATCTTGCGCCGTCCCTGTATCAACAAACATCGTCTATCCTCAATGTCCCAATCATTAAGTCGTGCAGATGCGCCTACAAACACCACCTCGAGGACAGAAAAGTCATACCTCTTCTCCGAAAATGCGTGCTTTCTGGGCTGCAAGTTTACTCTTGCGGCCCTGCGTAAGTTCCTTCTCTGCTGCAGACTTTTTATCGCTTTCGTTCTCAACTTTGGTCTTCTTTCGAGAACCCGCTTGTGGACCTTTGGCGGTTGAAGGGTTTCTTTTCCGTTTCTGCGTTTGCTCGCTATGATCGTCTTCCTCTTCTTGTTCCTTGACAGCAGCAATGTCCTCTGATTCCGTCCATATCTCGTCGGCCAACCAGAGCGGTACGGCGGTTGAAGATTGCCCTTTGATGTGAATGCCTCTAACATTCTTCCACCCTTTGACGACATGCTTCTCAATGAGATCCTGGACAATTGCCGATATGTTCTCCGCCAACTGTTCTGGTCTGAATGATGCCAGGCCAACCCGCACAGCCACCAGTACACCCGGCCTCAGGTGAACAGGGACCGCATCAAGAGCCTTCTCGATTTCTTTCCCCAAGACAGTTGGTGAGCTCGGCGGAGCAGCCCCTTCCCCCTTGGATGACTTTGAACGCTGATCCTTTTTGTCTTTCTTGTCTTTCTCGGTATGCGCGACAACTATAGGGATTGGCCGCTTGGTAGTCGCTTTGTAGAACACTTTTCCCAGGACCCCGGGCAGACGGGTCACGATACGATCATCGGCCAGGAATATATCGTGCTCGCTCAACAGTTGCCTTCTGGATTCAAAAGTCTTGTATCTCGCCTTCAATTTGGTAAAGCCAATGATTCTGTTGATTCGGGACTTCAGATCTTCGGGGAAGGCAGGATCGGCAACCACATTCTTCACAGCTCTTTGGGGGTCTGCTACAATGAGACATATTCGGAGATCTGAGGATTTGTGGAGCGAATGCGGTACGGAGATCTTGCTCGGTTTTAGTCTTCTATGGTCGACAATGTGGTGTTTGGTGGTCAGGGTAAGCCAGATGGGCTTGTCGCCGTTTCCATCTGCCTCATCCTCGGAATCCGACGACTTGGCAGCCAGGAGATTGCGCTTCGAGGACTCTTGTTGCAATCGCTTGGTCTCGGCTTGTACGTACTGAAGCAGGGTTTGAGATGCTTTCAGAGTCTATAACGACTTTCAGTGAGATACCATCACTAAAAGTCAGTGGACTACAACATACCTGGTCAGGGTCAAGCTGGTACGGAGTGCCTTCGGAACGCTTGTGAGATGTAATGGCTGTCGTCATGGTCGCGGATGTCATGTCCTTGGTGGTATAGGCACCGCTCGATTCTTGAAAGCAAAGAGAACCTCACAATCAGAAAAGGTCGCAAAGGATCGGCGGCATGCTGGAAAAAAAGTGAAACTCCACTTTGACCGGCTAACATTCCTTTCTTGGTCCACTCCGCGTTTTATCTCCAACTCACTGCAGGTAACATGAACAACTACTACCACGCCTACCTAGGATCATCATCATCATCATCCATGCCTTTCTACCAAATGTCCAACAATACCACTTATAGTCGTAACATTGAGGGAAATCGATTGCCGCTAATATGAGGGCGGCTGCGCTGTATAATGCAGAATTGACTTTTGTCAAGGATGTGCTCAGATGTAACAGCTCGACTACTCATCTCTGCATATGCTGTTGTGAGGAGACCACACGTCCCCGGCATCATCTTCCATATAGACCGTTTCCATATAAACCATAGCTCTACGTTTTAAGCAGACTCTATGCTCAATTCCAATCCATATAACCCGTCTGTTCGTCATTCCTGCCATTCGTGCGCTTTGTTTCCATCGTAAGACGCGCTGAAATTGATGGGCGTCCCCCCACCGTGAAAAGAGGAACCGTGCGAGCTACGCGAAGCGCGCATTGCATCGAATCACGCGAGGAAAGTCTCACTTGCACCTCTCCCACAATTCTTCCTCGACCTTTTGCTTGACCTTTGCCAACTCCAACATACATTGTGTGTCTCGTTTCAGCCTGTTAGGTTTCTGCTTGTGGTTTCTCATGAGCATACCTAATCGTCCAGACACGCATCTCCTCCTCCGAGGACGCGCTCTGAGCTGGTCAACCGCCACCTCTGGGCAGCACTCGCGCTCCGGGTAGCTGGGAGGAAACCTCATCATGGCTCCCTCTGCAACTCTCCCTGAGGGTCCTGCGTCTCCTACACCAGGAGCGAAGAGAACTACCACATCTCTTCTTCCTGCCTTCGAGCCCTTCTCGTCTTCCCCGGCTTTACCGAGACCGCTGAAGCGCACCCGAGATGCTGCATTCGACGAGCACACGACATATCCCACTCCTGTACCAACTTCCTCCACGGCTATTCTTACATCTTCACCTTCACGAGGCACAATATCAAGACCAAATCTTCCCAGCACTTCTTCCACGCTCTCGGAGCGTACCCCACTCGGAGCCGTGCCTTCAATTCAACTCAACGGTGATGGCAAAGTAACGCGTATGGGAAGGTCTAGCGCCTCTTGCAACTACCAATTCTCTGCCAATCGCCTCATATCTCGCGTTCATGTCGAAGCTTGCTACAAAGCTGCCACCTCGCGTCTTGAGCGTGATCGTGTGCAGATTACTTGCACGGGTTGGAATGGTATCAAGATACATTGCAAAGGTCAAGTATATGAGGTCAAGAAAGGAGAAACTTTTTCGTCCGACGTAAGAGATGCTGAGATCATGGTGGATGTTCATGACAGTCGTGTGGTCATTCAATGGCCACCAAAGCCGCGACTGGGTGCTATATCATCTGACGAGGAGGACGAGGAGGATTCACCCACCAAACGCCAGCGAGTCATGCTCCGACATTCGACACCTCCAAGCCCCAGCCCATTGCAAGCCCGTCGACGACCGGTTTCCCCTGTCTCGCCATCCCCTGCTGTCCAAGCACTGTTACCTTCATCACCGCCTGTACTTTCGATCAAAGCCGTCACGGAAGTCGTCGAGATATATGAAGATCCGGAACCAGAATCAGACACTAATGGAGCGAATGATGTTGTAGAAGTATCTCAGACGACCACCCAGGTGCTTACAGACAGTGTCCAAAACTCCATGACTTCTCAGAACAACCTGTCAAGCACATCGGAAGACTTCTCTGACAACGATGAGGAGAATGATCCCATCATTCACTCATTTGGACCGTTTGGTGCTAATCTTCTGCCACGAATGGCGGCTTTCACTGCTGGAGACTCTCCCAATCCTAACGAATCTGTGAAAAGTTCTCGATCATCACATACCGAACCACTGCACCCGTCTCAACGTCCTGGCCTCGCTCCAAACCAAGCACCTGAATTCGATGTACGAAGTCACGTCACCAATCAGCTTGCATTTTCCAGACTGTCTTCAACACCTTGGACAACTATCCTAAGCCACCTCCCGGCCGAGGCGGGCACTTTGTCGATTAACGAAATCAAGCAAATTGTGAAGGAGACCGCGTGTATTGGGGAAATTTCTCGGGAAGGCAAAGATGCTGCTGGGAAACCACTCGAGAGTGAATACTACTACCTGCCCGACCTTGACGAGGATGAGAAGAGAAGGGAAGCCGTCGTCAATGATCTCCGAAAACCAAGTTTGCGAGCATGCCGTAAGCAACATAAGGTCAGTTGTCTTGATGTCACAAGTCTCCTTCCACTAACAACTTGCTAGCAATACTTCTGGCGGAAACCGAAATGAAGTGACCAAGGAGCAGCTGCATCTGAACGGACCACCATCCACGGCAGGATCTACGAAAGATCCTACCTACACTTTCCTATTGCCGATCTCCTTTTGTTGCATATCCGTTTGTTGCTCTTCTCATAGGGCCATGTGTGGTGTTTAGCGTTCAGCGATTGTGCATAGCGATGAAACCTGCATGTATGGTTAAGCATTCTGTGTACTCTGGGCTCACAACATCACGGTTGTTAGAGTATCTCACAAAGGAGCCGCACAGTCACAACAGAAGTAGCTTGAGAAAATCAGTCCAATATCAGATCTTTACGGTCACCAGCTGCTATGTGTAAACTCGTCGTCGGAAGAGCCCTGAGGAAATACCTTAGGTAAGCGTGGTAAGGTAATGCATAGTGGTTAGGTCCGGCATGGCCGCCGATCCGCGTTTACCCGCATTCCGTAGCCATCAATAATAGGCGGCCGATGTTCGGCACCCATGTTCCGTCCGAGGTTGACTACGGCGCAACATCAAATGTTCGCCGAAGTGCAGACTTATTGGACTTGGAGTTCATGTTGTATATTGAATCCGCTTGGGCAAGGCCAACGACATACCTTTTCGAGGCTGTAGAGTCTACACGTCTGGCATGATGTTGTCGGCAACCAAACACTCTGCTCTACGAGCGCTGCGAGCTCAGTCTCGCCCAAAGGCCCTCTTCGCACAGTCTCAATCCTCGTCACTCGCGCGACTTCTATCCACCCTCGCTCTCATCGAACAGAAAGATGGAAAACTCAACACGGGCTCACTAGCTGCTGTGACCGCCGGCTTGAAATTAGGAGGCTCTGTGCATGGTTTCGTGGCGGGAAAGTCTGCAAACTCTGTCGCGCAAGAGGTGGCCAAGGTCAAGGGATTGGAAAAGGTCATTGCCGTTGAAAACGAAGCCTACGAACGAGGACTACCCGAGAACTGGGCGCCGCTGCTGGTGGAAAACATCAAGAAGGGAGGCTACACACATGTCATTTCATCACACTCTGCTTTCGGAAAGAGCTTGCTGCCCAGAGTGGCTGCACTGCTGGATGTGCAGCAACTCTCGGATGTCATGGCAATTGAAAGCGAGGACAGTAAGTCTGGGTCACGCCGAAAAAAAGGCGAGGCTTGCTAACGAGTCGCAGCATTTGTCCGACCTATATACGCCGGCAATGCCATTCTGACAGTGCAAAGCATGGATCCTACGAAATTATTGACGGTACGGCAGACTTCATTCGCCCCAGCCGAAACAGAAGGCGGCTCAGCGTCTGTCGAGGATGGTACCGACCCCAAAGTCGAGTCTCCCACGGAATGGATATCAGAGGAATTGGCCAAGTCCGACCGACCAGAACTTGCATCTGCATCGAAGGTGGTCTCGGGTGGACGAGGCTTGAAGTCTAAAGAGGAGTTTGATCGTCTGATCCCACCTTTGGCCGACGCTCTCGGCGCAGCTATCGGTGCCTCGAGAGCGGCGGTCGACAGTGGCTTTGCCGACAACAGCTTGCAAGTTGGGCAGACGGGAAAGAACGTCGCTCCGCAACTCTACCTGTGTGCTGGCATCTCAGGAGCGATCCAGCATCTGGCGGGTATGAAGGATAGCAAGGTCATTGCATGCATCAACAAGGATGCTGATGCGCCCATCTTCCAAGTGGCTGATGTTGGTCTGGTTGGAGACTTGTTTGAGAAGGTGCCGGAATTGACCGAGAAGCTCAAGGCGCAGTGATGATAATCCACCTTGTTATATATACATACTACGGCATGTGAGAGTGCTATATGAGTGCGATCATTAGATTTACGCCCAGTTGCATTGGAGAAGTCTGCTTGTTGCCAACCTCGGGAAAGACCCGGATATGCAATCAGGAACAGATTGCGAACCTTTTGGTCACGACCTGGGGAAAAGTAAATGTACTTTATACCTTGCTTCTCTCTTGTCAACCGCAAAAGTGACGCCCAACATACAAGCATACTAGGCGAACATTTTGCTAAATCGTGTGTTGCAAAACCCGGAGCGAGTGGGAATGATGCTGTCAGCCTATCCCATGTTTACGAAAAAGATGTTCAGACTTCTCCACCCTTGGATGAAATAGAACAACGCACTCCACCACTTAAGAGTCATCAGGCTCCCAGTGTAACAAGACACTATGCCACTGTCAATCCTTGTTCCCCCAGATCCGAATACGATTTTTCAATCACGAAAGTCAGGGACACCCATCGATCCCAATCTGGTAGTTAACAAGTCTGTGGCAAAGGGGTCCCTCCAGCAGGCTTGACAAAGTTGACAAGTTGACGCTTGTAAACGCAAAGGCCAATAATGACCTCAATCAGCGACCCACGCCCCCGAGAAATCATTCCCCTTATGGCATATTTCTGCCCAGTAAACCAGGCACCTGCAACCTGACCGAAGACTATTCTGCCCTTCTCAAACACCTATTGGCAATGGATACGAGATACTCGCTCGCGAAGTTCAATGCGGCTTGACTTTGGTGCGGAGCCACAGAAACCGTGAGTCAGAAGTCTGGGCACCGTTGGGACTATTGGGTTCGCTCCAGTCATAAAGCGAGATGCGTATGATGACCAACACTTGTTATATGTCTGCCTGTGTCTGTTAAAGCTACAAAAGGTCACGACAACCCATGCCGGAGGCTTGCCTATCTTTTCAGGCATCCATCTTTGATAAACTCGAAGGACTACTGTATCCCTGACCCACAACAGCCTTCTTGCACAAAGGCTCCCATCCTCGTCCCATCAACACCGCAGCAGGGCTTCATTTCTCAGGCACGGAAGGACTGGATCTTGGAAGTCGTCGCGGCAAACTTTTCCAGTGTCAGATCAGAAGAGTTGTCGTCAGCATCAGGAGCCGGCACAGTCTGTTAAAGCACCGAGACCTCAGGTCTCCCACAACTTCCCACGCATACCCGTGTCTCACCTCAGCGATTCCGCATATCCGATCAAAGCCAGCCGCTTAATAACGGGCACAACCTCGAGAACAACGCATTCCCGAACACCAGGAATATCTTTCGAACAGAAAAGCAATGGCGCCCACAATGAATGAGAACACCAGCGCAAATACCGAGGCCGCCTCCATCAAGAGCACCTCCACCATGTCAAGCCTGAAGGCTCTCCTTCCCAAGAGGTCGAACAAGCAAGACAAGCCTCAGGCAAAGGAACAAACTCCAGAGCAAAAGGCGCTCAGGAAGGAGGCCTCGGCCACTTATATGTCGATGCTAAGGTAGTTGAGCACTGAGAGGGACCAGGAATACTTGCACAGCGTTGAAAAGGCCTGAAAAGCCTGCACGCCGTCATAATATGCAGATGTCGCTGATATTCCGCAAACATGCCACACTGGTAATGTTTGCTTTGGACCTGATATCGGGCATGATGAAGTCAATGCATCACAAGGAGCCCCGAATTGCAGTAGCCTTTGGCAGTTGATTGACGTTGGCAATCATCGAGGCAGAGCCTCGTTTTTGCCTGCTTTGGTCACACAAAGGCACTTCACGGTACATCCGCGGCAGGTCCCCGGGGCTGTTGAGGGAATACCGTTGTCTGGGTGTGCGTTTCGGATAGAGGACAGTTTTCCGGAAAAGATCAGTTTTTAGGGCGACCACCAAGTATAAGTAGGCTAATCCTCAGCGCCTTCCACACTGGGGATTGTATAAACTGAGGAATGTTCTGTCTGTTTGTCTTCAGCTCACACTTAGAATTACCAGAGGAGCCGCCCCCGAAGTGTTTCATAATCGGCGATCGCGCACACGGACATAGTATGTCCGCAAATGTCGCTACATGGTGATAGTGAAACTCGGTTCCTACCTAACCCGCTCCGAGGGCCGAAGCCCTCATAACCAGCACTTCTGGTCTCCACGGACACCTCGAAATGGGGGTTTCAGAGGTGAGATATCTCCTGCCATGGTCATATTGGAAAGTCAGCGACCAATGCACGATGGCGCCATACCGTATACGCATAAGTCCAGCTTGTTCCCACCAGGTCGCTTGGGGTAATGGTTACGTTCTTTCGTGATCGGTCCTAGCCGGAAATAAAGTCCAGGTAAGGCCGGGCAGGTTACGGTACGCGAGAGAATCCATGTGGCCGTTGACCAAGGTCAGTTGCTCTTCGACATTGACCTCGACGTGAAGAGGCAGCAATGAAGACTCTGCTCGTCGTCGCCCACGGAGCCGAGTCGCTGAATCCCTCTGAAGCGAGGTCTAAAGACCGAAGTTTATGGATCTGCGACCGAAAGAAAGAAAGCGGATATGAAACCCCCTACCTAGCAAGGCTAGGTACGTACATGGCTGACACATGCGACTCGGAATCTACAGTGTTTGGACCACCATAACAAACGTGCAGCGGCCTTTCAGCCAATAAAGGATGGGATCAGTATCGACTGAGATTGTCCTACTGTGAGAAGAACCCGCTCGCAGATGCATCCAGATATTCGTCCGTTTGTTTGCGCGGCTCTGTACAAAAAGACTAAAAGCTCGCGTTTATCAAATGCCGAGCTGCACGTCTTTTTCACGGACTCGGTACGATTGTGTTTTTACTTCCGAGTACGGACATCGGGAATATCCCTTTCCCTTTTCCCAAACCTCATTAATAATTCAAAGCCTTTGGGCATCGAACCTTGTTGTTCTTCTTATCAAAACTTACAGTCATATGCAGACGATTGCCCCTACCTTTGACTGGTTCAGAGAGTACTCGTCGACCTTTCGTCAATTCTGTCGCTTACGATCTCATTTCCACAGCCTGATCGGACGGGTCGAATCACAATAATTTGCCGCCAACATGTCGTTAGAGCCTGAAAAAGAAGTCCCTGTCAACAATGAACCAGAGTCTCAACTTCGAGAAAAAACCGGTGCAGCAGACACAGACTCACCCACCGACAGGTCTGTAACATCTGCAGAGCAAAATGTTCAGGTTGAGCCTGCAAAGCCGGGATACAATCCATGGGCCGACCCTTCTTCTTTCCCCGATGGTGGCACCAAAGCCTGGCTCGCCGTCCTCGGAGGATTTTGTTGCTTGTTTAATTCCTGGGGGTAAGTTGAATCCCTGGTCTGGATGTTGTAAACCATGTCTGACCTCATTCATAGATGGATCAACTGCATAGGAGTCTTTCAAGATTACTACATGGAGGTCCCACTCCGGCAATACTCGGCAAGCACCGTCGCCTGGATTCCCTCGGTCGAGACATTCTTCATGCTTGCATGTGGTCCTTTTGCTGGATACATCTTCGACAACTACGGACCAAGATACCTACTCGTGGCCGGTACCTTCCTGCACGTCTTTGGCCTCATGATGACCTCGCTATCGACGGAATATTACCAATTCATGCTCAGTCAGGGTGTTTGCTCGGCCATTGGAGCTTGCTTCCTCTTCACCCCAGCCATGGCCTGTATTTCGACCTGGTTCTACAAGAAGCGTGGCATGGCCATCGGTATCTGCGCGGCAGGCAGCTCTCTTGGTGGCGTCATCTTCCCCATCATTGTCAGCCACATGATCAATGAAACCGGATTCGGCTGGGCCATGCGAACATGCGCCTTCCTCATCTTGTTCAACTGCATTATCGCTATCCTGACGCTTCGCTCCCGAATCCCGCCAGCGGGCCGTAAGTTCGAGTTCATGGCATTTGTCCGCCCCATGCAAGAGGTTCCCATGCTTCTGACCACGGCCGCCGTATTTTTCGTGAGTATGCCCATGACCTATCTGGATGCGGATAGCTGACCAGTCCAGTTCTACTGGGGAATGTTCCCCGTCATGAGTTTCATCACAGCTGTTGGCAACGGACGCGGCATGTCCCTACAACTGGCTCAATACCTGGTTTCGATTCTCAACGCCGGCTCCATCTTTGGCCGTACACTACCCGGTATTCTAGGCGACAAGATCGGACGGTTTAACGTGATGATTGCATTCTGCGCCTTGACCTGTGTCTTTATGCTCGCCATCTGGATACCAGCCAAGAGCAACGCTGGCCAATTGGTCTTTGCACCGCTGTTTGGGTTCAGCTCGGGCGCAGCTATCGGCTTGACTCCTGCGCTGATTGCTCAGATTTCGCCTATCCGCGAGATTGGTATACGCACTGGTGCTGTCTTTGCTGCCGGCTCCATCGGTGCATTGACTGGCAGTCCCATTGGAGGTGCCCTGATCAGCCGCGACAATGGAGGGTACCTGTATATGCAGGTCTTTGGTGGCTGTACCTGTATTGTTGGTGTCCTATTCTTTTTGGCTGCCCGTATTAACATTGCGGGTCTGGAACTCAAGAAAAAGGTGTAAATCATTCGATATGATTCGATCACGGAATCGCATTGGAAATTTTGCTGTACAATTAGCCACATAATAATAGACTCCTCTTCGAGATACCACAAATCAATCCATGGTCACCACTAGTAATGCTTACTCATCCTTTTAAGTCTTTTTAGCGTGCTTGTGGAATTGGATCATTAGGCTGCGGCACCTTCCGTCTGGGCATTTCGGCAATTTCAACCTCAACTCTGCTTCTTTCTCTCTTTCATTCATTACTTCTCCATATTGTCTCTCGGGTATCAGAGCATGGTATCATTCCAATTGTTCTCAATGTGTCTCTCGTTCTCCTCGCATACAAGCATGCCTAGCCATTCGTTCGCTTTGATGACTTCCTAGGCGCCATTGTGGCCCTTTACTCCACATAGTCAGTGTCGCTGGAGTCGCTCACCGGCCCTTCCATCTCCTCATCTTCGTCCTCGCCAGCGTCGTCCTCGTCGTCATCGACAACCGCCTTCTCCTTGCCCTTGATGCTCTTCTTTCCTGCAGTCGCCACGCTAACCGCTTTCTCCATGTCACCCTCCGTGATGGCAGCGACTAGGGCATCGTTGGCCTTCTTCAGGCGGGCGACTTCTGCCTCAAGGCGCTTCTTATCGACCTTGCAATCGCCGCCAGCGTACGCCGCTTCCAATCGAGCTTCTTGAACTTGTTGCTGCATCTTGACGTACGAGCGGCAACCCTGCTCAATGTCCGAATCCCAGTCTGGCAGGTCGAGGCCGTCCAGGAATTTACCAAGGATGCGGGCGTTTGGTTCCGTCCAAAAGTCTGGAAGGTCCTTCTTCTTGGCGAACGCTTCATCGACATCGCACAAGACAACGCCTATCTTGACCATGTCGCCATCAGCGCGCTTGGCCATGTTGACGGTGAGCCACCACTTCTTGAACGCGACAGGATCGAGGAAGAGACCGCGCGTATACTTGTGGATAGTTGCCTTGGTGAACTCGTTGGTCGGACCATAGATCATGACACCAGCGAACTTGGTACGAGCCGCATTGATGTTGGTACGCTTGAGCTCAAAGATGAGGCTGTTCTTGACAATGTCCCTCACGGCTTCGAGGGTGTTGCATGCGACGATATCGGACTCAATTTCGCGAGTGAAACGGCCAGCTATCGGGGCGGCAACGTGGACTTGGACAGGAAGATACTCTGGCACGAAGGCGATAGGACCAGTGCGGATCTTGTGTGTCTTGATGATTGCCTCTCTCTCCTCCTCTTCTATGGTCTCCCATGTCTCATACAAGGGGAACTGCGAAATCTCGACATTGGTTGCTGGTTCACGAGTATCAGTTTGAGGTTGAGCTTCGGCCGTAGGACCAGCAACATTCATCTCATCGAATTTGCGGCGCAAGCCCTTGTCTTTGATATCCCCCACCCCTCTCTTGGTCTGCTTCTGCTTGTGTCTGGTTCCCTTGAGAGGCATCTTGACTATCAACGATGTTTCGAATCAGGTAATGAGATGGCGAACAGGACCACGGAGCCACGAAAGAGCGCGTTTGATAATGAGCAGCACAGGTATGTGAGATCCCTCTTGACAGACCTCAACGACGAAAGCTTGTACGGAAGGTGAGAAGAAGTGTTGCGGGAAGTCCAGGTGCAGTCTTTGCGCTCTGAATGCTAATAATTCCGCAAAATCTTGAGGCAGTGAGAGTGACACTCACTCTGTCTACTTGACGGACTAGCGCAAGGTGAATGCCTCAGTCGCCCTCCCATTGTCATCAAGATTCATAACCTGGCTCCGCCGCGTTGTGCAGTGACAGCATAGCTACAACACCTTGGCATTACAGCCTCGCCGCCAAGCAGGTATCGGCGAAGTTCACTACAAGGTGCACAATTGAATATCGAATCAACAAAAAAGCAACCAAAAGATGGACGCAATAGCCAGAGTTGAACGCTATATCAAAAAAAGTCACTTCAGAACACCAACCAAGGCAGAGAAAACGTTCATCTAGGGAACCGAAGTTCACATCCTCAATTAGAGCTAGGTTCAGTGACTGGTTATTGAGGCAGAGAAAACATTCATCTAGGGAACCGAAGTTCACATCCTCAGCGAACCACCTGGGCCAAAGCGATAGCTTGTATTGAATTGGTGACAATTATTCGATACTTCAACTATATGAAGGGCAATATTCGAATCACTTCACTGGAGTCATGTGATCAGGGCGGCGACGAGCATTCCTTGGCAGTCAAGTGATTGACATTTTATTATTGAAAGAACTCATACGATGTGCCCTGTTTGAGCACAACTGCCTCAGATCCTCCGAGTCTCTACCTCCCCGTCGTCTGCAGCTTGTCGGGCATGAAAAAGTGAGGATATCTTCCGCACAAGACCACAAATTAAGAAGAAGTCTGGAGAGATCGTCGGCGCCCAGTCTGAGTGGTGGAGAAGACCTGATGCACCCGATCCCATCTTCAACCTCATCGTCTGAAGCTTTGGGCCAAGCTTTCGGAGATGGAGGTAACAGCCACCGGCACTTGAACAACGTCATATTCGATATGCAAGCACGCTCATTGTCACACTGACAACTATTGGCTTGCGCACGAACATCGGACATTTATCATACTGGCGACGCAAGAGAATTCGCCATGCAGTGACAAGGCTCAGAGGCCACCCCTGGCATCACAGCCTCGTCGCAAGCCAAGTACCAGTGGAGCTGACAGCACATTCACGAGCAAGCCAACACTAAAAAAAAAAGGTTGCAAAACGACCAAAAAAGAATGAGAGGTTCCAAACATTTTGCTTTTCAAGGGAGACAACTCCTATCAGTTAAGACCGCAAGCAGCTCGACATGGGAAAGGTTGATCACCCGAGGCAGAAGATCCTGAGATACAATCCTAATTAACCCATCCGTTCGCCACCGAAGGCAGGTACTTGCGACGGGCTGATCGGTATGCAGAGAAAAAGTAGGAAGAAGGATAAGAATGGCAAGGTTTTCTTCCCCAGAGGGTTTCTCCTGTCATATAGAAAAACCTAAGTAGAATTCCCGCATGAGCTATTAGCTCGAATCGGTGTATGAATACAAAAGGCCGCAGCTAAGCTTTCATAGATCTTGGAGCATTGATATCTTGATAGGCAGCCGAATGTCGCTTCTCTCATGCGCCTACGGCACGGCGAGTGAGCTTTCGGCCTATCGGGCTGTTCTGGCTGAAGGGTCGAAACCCAAGCACCGATTAGGATCCGCGGAACGTTTCATGTAGTTGCCGCCCTCCAGGCTTAGGATGATGAATACAAGGGTCCTGAAATGATCAGGCGCAACTCGTCGGACGCCCCCTTCTCACCTTGTGGGAATATGCAGAACCCTACTTGTCAAAGATAATCCCGTTCCCGGGACAACAAAGGGAAGGCCACCGGCCACGCTATTCACGGCTTGAACAGATGTTCACCCCACTTCCAGTTGGGAAAGACGAATTAACGACATGTGCTGGCCAATACTGGCTTCTTTGCAAGGATGGCTGTGATGGCTCGGTTAAAGAGAGCCAAAGCTTCTCATGCACGTCAACTCTCTTGGGTCGGCCCGTCCTGAGCGGGAACCGACAGTACATCCAGCTTACAGTGCACAGCAACTTACCATCACCAAGGCTAGGGTTCAGGCGTGGCTGGTTGCTGTGAGCATGCGAGGATGAGCCGTAGAGCCGTAAAGCCCTAGAACACAATGAGAAGCGGCAGTTCAACTTCGCCGATCCAATGTGTCCGACATTGTTCAATATCTCGCCTACTTCGACCTAGGCCATTCTTTGAACGTTCGCAGAGACGCGGAAATCGGATGCAATGCTGATGCATCCTCGTGATTCGCTCGCGAAGAGTTTCAGACCTTACCAGCATGCAACGTCATGTAAGGCGGTGTATACCTTGATTTTGAGGTCTTAGAGCCCAGCCTGAGGCTCTGTCTGAATGGGGCTCAGCTTGTCGAACGCCAGCTAACAAAACATCAGGGTACGGAACGACACATCAGGTGTCCCCAACCTTGCGGATGAGTACGTTGCCGGCTTCGTTCGCATTGATATCAATGACCGCCTCCAGTTTCCCGCAATCATTATTGACAACGACCTCCTGCGGGATCACCCCTATGGCTGGACACAGTGCTTTTGCGCTGAGCGCAGCTAGTGCTATTCAGGATACTATGTTTTCTCCGTGACGGCACCATTCCAAGAGTGGCATCTTCCGTGAAAAGGTCTTTGCGACCCCCCATACTTTACCGTGACAAGGTCATCGATAGGTGTCTACTCTCTGCAAAGCAGGTGTTCGAGTTTGGCATCTGGAGGAGTATCGGTAAACACTCGTCCCCCAGCCTTTTGTGGGAGTGAGGGCCTATAAATATGATGTTTCCGGATACCCACGACAAAGAATGCTTCTTCTTTTCCTCCCTCAGGTTTTGGAGTATCCAAAGAGCCCACAAAACTCTCACGACTGATCATCACTTCCTTCCATGAAAGGTGCGCCAGAGCCTGTGAGTCTACTGAGTACAACGTCTGTGTTCCCTCACTGATCAGTCACTAACCAATCTAGGCTTCGCAGTGCTCGAAGCAGTACTCACTATGCAAAGTGAAATGCCCATGACCGCGAGCAGTCATCCCTCTGGGTCCGGACAAGGCCCGAATTTCGGGAGGTTCATACCTCAGACTGGTCAAAAGAGAGGTTATAAGAATTGTTTACAGTGCCATCATGCCAAGATCAAGGTGGGTGAGCATCAGTTCTGGTACATCCACCAGCAGACTATCTGACTCAAACCATAGTGTGTTGCAGTGCCTGGTCGAAGGTGCCAAGCATGTCAGAGACGGGAAAGCAAATGTAGCCATGCCATGGACATCTCATTGCCGGCACCCGGCGAGACGGCTCCTCATCTTGAAGAGAGATCTCCAGGTTTACCGCAGCCAATTCGACCTTCATTGAACATGGACCCGGACCCGGACCCGGACCAGGCAATGTATGCTCCACGTGCAAACCTGCACCTTGGTTATGGCGCAACGACGAACGTCGAACACTTCGGAAACAGGCAGCACGAGCACAAGTATGTTCTCGGCTGGTTCATCGTCTGATCCTTACACTAACGCCGGCAGACCCTATCCAGCGCTTTCATCCGCTGCCCACGGTGCCTTGCCTCGTCCTCCGTTTCAGCCTTGGCCAACATTCCAGCAACCATGCCTCCACAGCAGCACATACGGCATGCACCCAGCAGCAGAAGTCGGCGCCATGTGGTCTCCCATGCCCATGGCACCACAATCTGGCTTTGAGCAATACGCAAGTGGTGCGTCTGTGTTCGAGGATGCCAGTCGTATCTACCGCAACCCATTCCACAACCTACTAGCTAATGATCACAACCACATGAGCCACCAAGGAGGAGAGAGCGTGCTTTTCGACGCCGAAGAGGAAGAAGAGGGGGAGGGAAAGGAGGGAAAAAGAAAAGGGAAAAGGTAAAGGGAAATATCCATCAAGCACCAGTCATCAGAAGTAAGGTCAAGTGACCACGAACAGGCAAGAAGAACATCCTTCAACAGGGTGTCTACAAGGAGCACAGTTACTGGGAAGCTGGATGCATCAACACCAGCACGAATCCGTCATGGCTGAGTGTCCCATCATGGCCAGATTGATGCCTTTTCGCGGGCTGCAGATAGGTCATTTCCCATAGCCAGTCTTATAGATTTTCACAACTTAAAAGCTTGACCTCTATTACCCCTAATAGAGAGTGGTGGACCTGTCTCACCTAACGCCTGGCTTGCTTGACGGGAACTGTATTGGATCAGCCAATAAGTCCAACGTTCTCTCTCAACCCGCTCGTTGGGCACGCCTTTTCGCGACTAAAGCCGGAAGTATCAGGATGTCGAACGGTAGATAGCGGTACTCGTTGTGCGATCCGACATACCAAATAAATTAGCTTCCTTGAATAATATCCCCGAGAGGACTTTGGTTCCACGTTACGGCTCGATTTGGAGGTGGTCAGATCGACACCATACCAGAGCCTGGGAGAGTTTTCAGGATATAAGTTGGTAGGAATGTACGAAGGAGGTATTGTGACATTCATATTGAGGAATGTCCCATTCATATGTAGGACAAGAGCTGTGCCCCGTGCTGGACCGACTGTTGCTTCGAAGTTGCTGTTCGAGCTTTCCTTTTTACGGAAGCGGAGGAATATTGTAGCGATTGCGGGACCTGACTCTTCGACTTCCTACATGTTTGCCAACACTTTGGCAACGCGTGACCCAAGATATCTGTAGGTCAGGCTCTCGGAATTGCGGATTCTATATGTTACAAGACTGGCCTTGCTATGGTTAAATCGAAGTCAAGTATACTACGATCTCTCACAGTCCCTAAGTGAGCCCGGCGTCAAAGTGCGAGGCAGTCCTTGACAAGACATGGCAGATCCTCGAGTCGCAGCGGTCGATGGCTTCACGGAAAGGAAGCATCAAGTTGTTCCGTCAAAGCTCGATCCCGCAAAAGTGACGCTCCTGAATACATTCACGGTGTGCATCATCGGAGCGAGTACTGGTATCGGCGAACACATTGCATATTCGTATGCAAAGGCCCGTGCAGCAACTGTTGTCATTTCTTCACGGTCTCTCAGTGATTTGGGTGTTGTGGCCGACAATATCAAGTATATCAACAAAGACGTCAACGTCGAGGTCGTTGAATGTGACGTCTCCAAGGCTGCATCAGTCGAAGCACTGGCGCATTACGTCCGCACACACTACGGGCGTTTGGACGTTCTGGTGCTGAACGCCGGATACGCGGGGCCAGTGACGGTAAAGATGGATCAGGGCAATCCAGAGTGGGTGCAAAAAGCGTTCGACATCAACGCCATGGGTACTTACCTTGCTGCTCATTATCTCGTGCCGTTGTTGCTGGAAACGCCGAGTGGCGCCAAAGGGTTCATTGCCGTTGGGTCTGTTGCTGGATGTATCAGGCGGGGAAATATCGCGAACACAGGGTACACGATCAGTAAAATGGCGCAGATCCGGCTCGTGGAATACTTGAACGAACAGTATGGCGAGGCTGGATTGGTCAGCCTTGCGGTTCATCCTGGGGCGGTCAAGACGAGGATGGCTGAGGGGAACACGCCCGAGGAGTTCTTGCCATGTGAGTTTTGTCTTCCACGGTCAACCAGTGGAGTTCAAGAAGAAATGAGCTGATTCACTCCACAGATCTGACAGACGACGTTGCCCTCTGCGGCGCTGTTTGTGTCTGGTTAAGTACCCGCCTCAGCAACATCGGTTGGCTTAGTGGTCGGCTCATTAGTGCCACATGGGATATGGATGACTTGATGTCCAAGCAGAAACAGATTGTCGATAGAGATTTGTTGAAGTTTGCTTTGTTGACAGAATAGCGAAAGAGAGAACGAGACATTTTGACTGGTCCAAATTGTTATAGGCATTAGGCATGGTGTATCTCGACTAGGGCGACACCCGGAAAAAGAAGTTTGGCCAGGACGTGCTCCCCCAGGCATTTCCATACCAATGGCAAATGCGGGGACTTATTAGGGACTCGCTGCGAACAGCGCATCAAAGAAAATCATTGACGCAGGTACCAACCAAAGTCTGCCACTCATCAGTGATGGTCCTACACCACAAAATTACCAGCGCTGCGACCTGCATTTTGTCCACTGTGGCCAGAGTCAAAAATAGAGTCCAATGCCCACAGGATCAGCATCCTTCGAAGAAAAAGAAGGGTCTGGATGTTACACGCTGCCGTCCACTCTTGCTGCAGGTCTGGATATCTTTTTCCTTCACAAGAAATCCGTATGCAGTATCCCACACCATACTGTATCAAAGCCTCGATTTTTACACAGAGATCTGAGAACAGGTTTGTATGACGACTTGAAATCGCTTAACAAGAACTACGAGACGGTATGATGTTTAACGTAGCAGATCTCATCTCCTGATGACGAACGATAATCGACGACCTGTCATTCGTGTCGAATTCTCCCACGTTTCATCCGAGCAAAAAGTGACGTTGAGAGAGACCTAAACGAGCGAATATTAGGAACCAGACACGCCAGTTGTGTTGAAAGGCGTTGTGGGCGCTGGTGGACGTGACAGGCCACCCCGGTTGATTGGTCTTTATTGGTTTGGTTTGAGGCGGACTCTACACTTGGCGGAGCGGGAATGTCTCAGCATACCTTTGCATGGGTTTCAATCAAGAGCAAAACAGAAGAGAAGAGGCGGGACATGCACATAGCAGGTGATGGTTGCAGATACCTGTATACACCATGTCAAAGGCAAGAGATAAGAGCAACTCGACACCACGATCAACGGGAGACCGGAGGGCTTATAATAAGTTAATGGACGAACTTTGAGGTGGGAGCTGTCCTTACAATCAAGCCCGATCTGCCGCCAGTACCGGTTAGCGAGGCTCCGGTGGCTTAAGTTAACTTACCAGGGCTTTGGAGGGAAGACCGGGCATGCAGGTTTCGTTTTGGGTAGTAGTTTTGGATCGGCTCGCCTCGCCACCTGGATTTCTGGTCAGCAGTTCGATTACGAGTTCACCAGGTTCACCATAAGCTACTCCATTACGGAGTATCATCCTCATCTTTTAAAGAAAGCTGGAGCTCTCACATGCCAGATGCACCACTGTCTTTGAACATTACTTGCCCATATCCGCACACACAAACACACCTCCTGGTGATTCTCCAACCACTGGCCAGTCACCTACGCCCATCCAGAAGCCGAAGTACTGTAGCACCACAGTATTAAACTGCCGCTGCACGCTCGGGCCTCCTGTGTCAGGACTCAGTGGTCGGTATCACTCCATCGTCAGCGTTTTCGCCTGCACCCGCCTGAAGTGCCCCATCCGTGCTCACCAGTCACCATCAGTCACACCAGAAAAAACTCCCGGAACACCAAAGCCGCTCACACTGCCACACATCTTGAGACACCTTACTCTTTCTTTTCTCACTCACTCACACAAAATCTGACAATCTCTCCGATCCTCCTCTCGGTTTTCTCCTCGCCGTTGCAGACGATCCTTATTCATTCTCTACTTGCTTAAAGTACCACCTTCGCTTCAGTCACAATGTTGGGCCTACGGAAAGCATTCGTTTTCTGCACAGTGGTTTTGGGTGCCCTGAGTGCACAACATACAGAAGAGGATGATAACAGATTGGTTAATTGGGAATCGTTTCATGCTCTGCTCGAGACTGTCGATCCAGCCGCTCTACACTCGGTCCTGCACCAACTATCTCCAAAGTTCCAGGATGGCGTCTTCAGCAAGGACCGTGCGGCCATTGAGCATGTGCACTCCGAAAACCCCGTCATTGCAAGCAAGCTTGTTCATCTAGCAAAGAAGAGACAAGCCAGCAATTCCACCACCACCGCCGTTGCTGCCACCACCACCGCTACCACGCCTGTTGAGAGCAGTGCCGAAGCAGAGTCGAGTTCTCAAGCTGCGAGCATTTCCTCCGTCCTGTCCTCCGAGATCCTTGCCTCTACCGTACCGGGAGCGACCACCATCACAGTTGCACCGTCCACGCCTGTTTCTGCGACGGCAATCGCCACGACCAATGGCGCTGTTGTCTACAGCACATACGGTGGTGGCGTTGTGACACTTACCTCCTCTGCTGTGGGAGTGCGGTTCACTCCCAGCACCTCCACTCATCTATACTACACCACCGCCGCCGATGGGAGCATAGAAACAGAAACATCAGTGGTAGTTGTGAATGCCCCAGTGACTGGCACAGATACTTCGGCGGAGGGCGCAGCGGCCACCACGAGCAGCAATCCCTCACTACAAAACGGTGCTTCTTCGAACAAGGTCGGAGGTGTCCTGGTACTTCTGGGTTTGGGAGCTTGCCTCTTTGCTCTGTAAACAGGTGGAAACACGGGACTTGATTTTTTTCCCGGCACGCATAACGACGAAACGCTCAGCATTTCTCTCCTTTTTGCAATCTGCGACGGGCATAGCTTCTGGCGTTCTCGATCACTTACCTGTGATCTGTTGATTTTTCGGAAGAATGATGGCAACAGATATGTACATGGACGGGCTTTTTGGAAAAATGAACATGATAATAGAACAACCTGACTGCGTATGGTGGTGCAGGATGAACATGGTATGGATGGTTGAGGCTGCAGTTCCTGGAGGCATGGACATAATCATGGTCGTCTTGGTCGAGGCACGAAGCTCAATCCAATACTCTCAACATATGGCTCCATTTCTCAAGTTCGTGACTTTCTTGACCTCTCGATGCTCACGTGCTTGGTTGCATTTTGTTGTGGTTGACTCTAGCATTGTGTCATAAACTCGAGAACTCTGCTGGGTGAGTTGTTATGGACCTCTGATTGCTTCTTCGAGACGCAAGACGAAACGAGCCTGTCGCAAGACCAAACACTTCAAGCAAGAAATTTTCTGTGATGACGGCAAAGTATGCCCACAAGGTGCCAGCAAAGCGACCAAAAGACAGAGACTGATTATTCCAAGCCTGCTTGGCCTTCTATAGACTCTTTATATCACTCCCAAGATATCATGTTTGATTAGCTGTGGAGCTTAGTCGACTCCTGAAGCAGAAGTCAAGTTCGTCTCGTCTACCAAGTCTTTAATTTCAACAGGCGGGATTCGAGCACCGCATCTATCCTAACACGAACGAACCGAGGAATGTGAGTGGTGGAAAAGACTAGATTTGTGAAACAAGCATCTGTGGCAGTGCAATTGTTTGGAGATTTGCTTTTGACAGCGGCGGAGTATTCGATGGACATTTGATGGGCATCACTGGGCATCTATCCTCCTATGTCTGGCGAGATGAGCATTGGCAGGTTTCAGGGCCGTCCTTCCATTGCTCCATACTGTCAGCAGTGATAAACTTGAACATAGAGTGATTCCCCGCTGGAATAGCAGATCGAGTACGCGTCCATTTGTTGAAGTATTCAACTCATAAGGCAAAATCTCCGAGTCCTTCTGGGTGAAACTTAGTCCAATGGCTGAAGCCCCATATTCATACCTAGGTAGTTGGTAGGGTGTTGTGGGGCCTGTGAGTGTAAGCGTGATAGGCACAACAGGGTCTTGGGACCGAACGTCAACAGGGGTCATGGATGCGATCTGTTGACGGCCGGAAATCTTGCACGGATCAGCGCGTGCCTTGCCATGCATTATTGACCGACTTCCAACACCCTTTTTTTCTTGAAAATGCACTCCTGCCATTCAATCCTGTAAACCTGCCATCTTCAACCTCCTGTCTTTGCTCAACTTACTTCCCTCGTTCTTCATTTATCAAAAGAGCAGTCACCAGTTTTTGTGTGTCGCTCCTCCTCTCGCTGTTTAATACCAGTCTTCTGTTGAGCATCCTCATTCACTTGGATCTCGACTCCTCTTAAACAACTTACTCTTCTCACCAAACGCGCCCATTACTATTCTCCCCGTGCTTCAATCGAGCTCAACACTTCAGCACACGGATTGTTAATCGTCTACCCTCAATATGCGTACCTCTACTCTTGCTTCCATCGCCTTGAGCGCGGCAACTGCTTCGGCAAGCCTTACTTCCATCACAGTCAAGGGAAATGGTATGTCTTCGAGGTTCTACCACTTGGTGGCGTCTACTAACTCTCATTACAGCTTTCTTTGCCGGTAGTGACAGATTCTACATCCGTGGTGTCGACTACCAACCTGGCGGTTCCTCCGACGTGGCTGATCCTATCGCCGACGAATCTGGCTGCACAAGAGATATCGTTGAATTCAAGAAGCTGGGTATCAACACTGTTCGTGTCTACACTGTGGACAACACGGCAAACCATGACGCGTGCATGAACGCTTTGGCAGATGCTGGCATCTACCTAGTGTTGGACGTGAACACACCCAAATACTCCTTGAACCGAGCCGACCCCAACCCTTCCTACAACGCCGTCTACCTTCAGAGTCTCTTCGCCACGGTCGACTCTTTCGCCAACTACACCAACACGTTGGCCTTCTTCTCCGGCAACGAAGTCATCAACGACCCTGCCTCGTCCGCCGCCGCTCCATACGTCAAGGCTGTCACACGTGACCTCCGACAATACATCCGTGAACAGGGATTTCGAAGCATTCCTGTTGGTTACTCGGCCGCCGATGTGAGCGAGAACCGTTTGGAGATGGCCGAATACATGAACTGTGGTACCGACGACGAACGATCCGATTTCTTTGCCTTCAACGATTACTCCTGGTGCGATCCATCCTCTTTCACCACGTCTGGCTGGGATCAAAAGGTTAAGAACTTCACTGGCTATGGCATTCCGCTTTTCCTTTCCGAGTACGGCTGCAACACAAACACTCGTACCTTCGAAGAGGTCCAAGCTCTGTACAACACCGAAATGACTAGCGTATACTCGGGTGGTCTGGTCTATGAGTATTCTCAAGAAGCTTCCGACTACGGTCTGGTCGAAATCAATGGAGACAGTGTCACCGAACTAGCAGACTTTACGGCCCTGGAGTCTCAGTTCTCCAATACCTCAAACCCAACTGGCGACGGTGGTTACAACTCGACTGGTGGTGCTTCTGGCTGCCCCGCCTATTCCTCACCCAACTGGCTCGTCGCAAACGATTCTCTCCCCGCCATTCCTGACGGAGCCGTCAAGTACATGACCGAAGGCGCTGGTACCGGTCCTGGTCTCACTGGTGATGGCTCTCAGAACGCTGGTGGTGCTTCTACTGGTACTGCCACTGCTGGTAGTGGCTCAGCTACTGCGACTGCTTCTGGTAGCTCTAGCACCAGCACTTCCAAGAGCGGCGCTACGGCTATGAATGCTCCAGAATGGTCACTCGCTCCTATGATTTGCGGTGCTGTGGTGGTCATGTCGACATTCTTTGGCGCAACTTTGTTGTAAGACGGAAGAACAAAAGTGGTTGTACATTCGGATCAGTGAGTACATTGAGATGCTGCATTTGTTTTGGTTGAATCAGAGGCCACCAACGGACATGGTTGACTTTTGTTGGTCTGTACAATTCGCACTTTGGGAGGAACAACTGGTGGCGTTATCACTCAAAGTCATGATATGACATTCGGTTTTCTTATGCAATAGAATTGCCTTTAAACCAATACATTCAAGTTAATCGACCAAGCACATAATAGTGACGATGGATCTCTTACTGGCTGTGACCCTACTTCCTTTATTATGAAGGCCCCAAGCACACGACTGGCAGCTTTGCCATGTTTGTGGTGTCCTGTGATGGTCACCGGAATGCATTTCCGGCGCGAGTCGCACGTTTTTATGCGATCCTTCTGACCTGTTCATCCGCATGGTATGACTTGTACCGATCTAGGCGGTGAGGTTCTCGAGACCCGTGGCCACCATCTCTCTCTCGAAACATACTTGGATTATTCCGGCTCGAAACAGAGCTGTCCTTCCGCGCAGTGCCATCAGGGTGTTCTGGCCCCTCTCCCCGACCGGTTCGATAGCGTGCTGGCGGTGCTGGACGGAGATTCGCCTGTCATATGAGCCCTTTCAGCTCATGCACGGCAATCTTTGGAGCCGCCCCTTGTGCTCTTTCGTGAATGATTATTACTTGACATCATGTTCATTTCAACACCTCCTCTTCCATGATGATCTTCAACTTGACCTGTGAACCCAACAGATCCCATGGCCCGTCGAACCACACCGTCGTCACCACTCCGCCTTTCCGCGGCACGCTGCAGGCAGTAGTGAGAAGCCGTCCTTCGCCGTCAAACTCGACGCCCTCATCGCGCAAGAGGCGGAGTTTCATGCTCTGATTCACGCCCGAGGGTGCTTTCGTCCATTCACCTTTGAAACCGCCGATGTACCCATCACTCGCGATCACGCGGTGGCACGGCACGTCGGGGGCGTAGGGGTTATTGCGTAAAGCGCCGCCGACGGCACGGGGGGATGTCGATAGGGTTTTGGCGATGTGTGCGTATGTGGTTACGCGGCCGGGTGGGATGGAGAGGAGATATGTGTACACGCGCTGTGAGTGGTCATGTCAGTATGGGCGTCAAAGGGGAAGGGGAAGGGGAAGGGTAATGGGGACGGACTTCTTGAAACTCGGTGACAGGCATCGTTGTAGTGAGTACCTAGGCGAGTTGGATGCTCCGGATAAGGCTCTGTAGAGAAGGCCACCGAGGTAAGAGATAATGATAAAGGCTTCGAGTTGAGAAGTTATGGAGATTGGGACTTGAAATGAACACAGGTTAATGGGGTGAGGAAGACTTGTATATCAGTGTCAAGTAAAAATCAAACCCCAGGGACTGGGTTCTTAATGCGGTGAAGGGTAAGATAGGCCTGGATGTGAAAGTAGCCTATCACCAGGACATCGCGCGGAGGTAAGGTGGTCAATGTCACGCATGACGAACAGTAGGTTTACCTGTTTCGCGGAGGAGCATTGTCAGCATTGTCAGGAAAGTCGATAATGGAAGGTAGTTGAAGTCTGTAGTCCGCAGAGAGGAGTGTTGACTTATGCAAAGACGACGAGGCGTACGCGTTGATTGGTCACTTTGACAGCAAGTGACGATAGCCACCCAATCGGACATCGAGGACGGGTTGATTCGATCGTGATTTCTGGACCAAACCTTGACAAGTGCTTTCGGCTGACAAGCAATGGGAATTAGGTGGTTAAGATGAGATGTGAGAGTGGAAGGAGATGAAACTTATGTAGCAAGCCTGGGCTAAAGCAACAACGGTCCGTTAGATTGCAAGGCTGAGCGAAGCCAGGAGGTGAACACTGTGAATCGTAATCTTCTCCTCTGTCATTGATCTACTTGAACAACATCCGTCAGCATCACAAGTCTAGAGCGCTCTCAATGGACAATGGCAACAAATTCCGATCTGCCTCCTGATCTCTTCGAGGCAGAGTTGAGCATAGTGCTGCTGGTGAGGCTTCCACGTCCTCATCCCGGTAGAAACGAGTGATAATGGTATCAGAAGCTGCTTGTAGAACGTCGACTGCTGGGAGACCTGAGATACCGCGTCCAGCATTTTGCCAATAGCAATCGACTCGTCCGTGTCGGCCTTATCCTGGGGACGAACATCTCCCAAAAGCTTAGATATGCGTACAATGCAAGCTTGCTGATAGGCGGTCCCGAGGTTGCAATAGTCTTCGGTATCAGCGTCGGTGGGGTTTCTCCATCCCTGTAACGTTCGTCGACTTTGCGATAGCATCATTCTGAACGTCTCACACGTCAAAGACCCAGCTTGGTATTTCTCCGCATGATCCAGACTGTCCATGACGCTCCTGAGAACAAAATCGGGACACCCGGTCAGGCGGTCAAGACGATGATGCTGAGATTTGTAGGTGAATTCGCGAACACTCTTCGACAAGGAAAGGGATTCGTTGCCCATGAACGCTCTGACAGCATCGATCCTAACAGGCACATGAGATCCTGTGCCCAATATACTCGGGGGAGGAAAGAGTAGCGTACCTTGCCAGTGCAGCTATAGCGAACTCTGCACAGACGTCCACTGGGCTCTGTGAGATAAGCTTTTGGCAAAAGGTGTCTGTACGACATAGAAACTCCAGATTGGCACTGGTGATATCGGAGCCCTTGAACATCTAGTTTCCGAAAGGTTAGCCCGGATGACGCAGCGCTCGTAAGGGCATATACGGACATCTTGCAGGATCAACAACAGCGCCATGATCAAGATTGAGACTTGTGCTCGGTGAGAAAGGTGGCCGAGCTCGAGAAGAGAGTCCAGTATTTGAGTGGCATGGAGACTATACTTCTCTGCAAGACTTGTCATGGAGCATCCATCGCGACCTGATCGGCCACTGTGGTGACGGGCGGAGAGACTCAGCACAGCATGTAGAATGCCAGCGGATTCATATGCAAGAGGAAGGACGTAGTCTCGAAACGGGTTGGCGATATTGTCTTGAGTAATGATAAGCACGTCGCACAAGCACCGATCATCTAGAGATCTGTGTCAGCATTGGAAGAATTTACAGCAGTAATGTCTGGCTGCGCATACAATGAACAAGTAGCTCCTGAGAATGATCCCAGTGCAGAACATCCTGGACCGTGATGGAGTCAACCCGTTCAGCTGGTGATCGAATCCGTACTTGGTCTGTTGCGGTTGATGGAGTTGTCGAGCTCGAGGTCGCGGCCGAGAATGCAGGTGTATCGCCACCAGCCAATTCGTCAGGTGGGGCACGCGATGCCGGTCGACTCGACTTGGGTGATCTAGTCCTCCTGGAAGTAAGGTTTTCGGTCACATTGAAGAACCTGAATTTAGAGGGGTATCCTCCGCAATCCAGTCCGTGAGAGACACAGCGGCGACAGACTGGACGACCGCGGTCGCATTTCCGGGATCGTTTGCGGCATGTGGCACATGATGGGTTTGCTGAAGCTAAGCGTCAACTAGTTGTGCTTGTCTGAGGTAGGGAGAGGCAGGGATGTGGAAGGACTGGAAACCTGTTGATATCAACTCACCTGACCGATTGCCGGGCTCCATTTGCCAAGTCTCGCAAGCCAAGTCACTGGCATTTTCCCATCACGCATCTGCCATCTTGACGCTATCAACTACAGAGCTTATCTCGCCTACTCCCGATCACTCACATAAATCGACTATGATGGGGAAACGATCAAAATGTCGTTGACCAAATAGTCAATGGCGTGGGCTTGTTCAAACGAAGCTGCCCCCACTACAACGCCCAGGCTCGCCAATCACCCTCGGCAAGTTTATCTTACAGTAACTTAAATATGGCGACCACGGCCAACCCTTATCTGAGGTAGCACGGTAGGTGCGTTATTCCAACCTGTACAGCTCTCCTCGTCATCTCTCTCCTTTGAGTCGTTGGCCTTCACGAACTATTCTCGTGGCGCCACTGTACCATCACCTCCCCAACAGTCGCTGTCACATTACTCACCCAATGGTCTTATAACTTTCAGGCAGTCCTGTCATTGGCAATAAGTCTCCTCCGGACAACACTGATGATGGAGTTTCAACGTGAAGGACCGAGTCAGTCCGATTACTGCCGCCAGATGCGTTTGTCGTCCCGCTGAAGTTTGGTCCGGCGGTCCAGCACTTTCTAGGATGCCTAGAACCGCTCAAGAGAGGATCCGGAGAACCAAAACAGGATGTCTTGTCTGCCGTCGCCGCAAGAAGAAATGCGATGAAAGACTGCCAGTTTGTCGCGCCTGTGAGCGAAATTCTCTGGATTGTCTATGGCCTTCCCAGGATCGAACCTCGGCTCCAGCCCCGATGCAAGTCACCGACACACAAAACAGCGTGCATGTAACGTCACGACCAACGGGGGATTTTCTAATCTCGGACCTTGAAGAGACAACTGCACTCCCACATCTGGGGGCGACCGAAACCAATGGAGCAGTCACCGTCCGCAACATGATCCCACTGCCCGAATCCATTGTTGTCTTCCCCATGGTTTGCAACATTCAGATCTCCGCAGACGCCGTGCTTTTGAAGATACCGGACATTACAGGAGTTTTCTCGCAGAGATTCTCAAAAGTGTTCCTTCAACATTATGTTCATCATACCGCCGGCTGTCTGTCCACCATTCAAGCTTCAAGCAATCCTTTTGTCGCGGAGATCATCCCAATAGCCATGAGCAATACTGGCCTGATGCAAGCAATCCTTGCATTGAGTGGCCTCCACCACAGCCAGCAAAAATCTCAAGATATGGTCCGCGAAGCTTGGACTCATTATGCCCATGCTGTTTCTCACATCAAGTCTGCGGTGCAGAGATATCTCGGAGGAGACAAGGCTGACGCACTTGCGTTGTTAGCGTCCATGTTGATATTGTGTTTCACAGAGGTTCGTAGCTCATGCATGCTGCTCGGAAAGCACCCGCCCAGGACTAATGACATTCTCCGCAGAGCGCACGTCAAACTCACGAAACCTCGATGTCTCCGCATCTTTCGGCAGCGCGAAATATCCTCATGGAGATCATTCACTCTGGCCAAGCTGCAGTCAGCCCAAACACACTGGGATTTCTAGCAGAGGCATACACATATCTTGCAACTCTGTGGAGCATATCTTCCAAACCGGCATGGGATGAACTATTGGATGACGCCGAATACAGTCTCTACAAGTCTGATGTACTTGTGCATCGTAGTTCCGGCATGCTCCTTGGCTGTTACCATGATCTCTTTGCTCTTATTCCCTCGATAACTTTGCTCGCGAAAGAACGAGCACTCGACCAAGACAATCTTGGGACATACTCGACGGAGTCCTTCGCCATCTTTGCAACCCTCAAACAACAGATATTGGAGTGGGAGGTCTCACCCACGGTCTCGGATCAAAATGTTATTGACTGTGGTCGGATATACCGCAAAGCTCTTCTGGTCCACCTTGAGACTGCTTTCCGAAGACATGATCACCCACTTTACAAGAAAAACCATCTTCGTCCATGCATCAACGAGTGTCTAGAGTCACTGGCCACGGTCCTAGCACGGTTTCCTGCTGCCGAGGCTCCTATTGCCACCACACTAGTTTGGCCGCTTGTTGTTCTCGGAGCAAGTGCAACAGAAATAAGGCATCGTGACCTGATTCGGGAAATGCTTCAGTCACTTCATCGTAACATCCAGATGCCCGTCATTCTCAATACGTGCAACCTGATCACAGAACTATGGGCAACACATGAGGGAAGGTATGCGGATGCTTGGGACTTGGAGCTCATGATGGGCGCAAAAAACCAGCACATCCCATTCACATGACGATCGTCCTTGAGACGCCAGATCATGGTTTTGCAAGCAGGGTGTAGCCGCGCGGTCCTGAAGCACTCGAGGATTCATCTCAACCGGGTACAATAATGAGCCCAGCACGAGCGGACGCCAACATCCGTTTTCCCGAGATGCTCTAGATGCAATGGCCAACATCTAGCCTCGATTGCTAATGCTGGGGCATCCAGTCGGCTCTCGAATCGGACGTAAGAGCGTCTTATCGTGGACCCAAGTCAGTCTATACCAATTCGGGCAGCGCGGCAAGCAGCAGTAAACTGGCGGTCCCAAGCACAACACCATTGTGGGGCTCCACCCAGCATCAAGCCTGCATATCTACCGAACTGATAACAACAGAGCGCGCGCCTGTAGGAGGTCAGTGACGGGAACAGACTTGGCCGCCGGCTTCTCCAATGTCCTTATCAGCGGCGCGGATTTGTCCTCCAGATTCATGCACATGCCGCTGGGGAAATAAGAAGCTAAATATATGTTATTTGGGCGAGATGCTTCCTCATAGCTGAATACAACCTGTCAATCTCACCAGGATCTGTGTCGACTTATTCTCTTCCAAGGACGGCATCCCAATCACATCCAGAAATGGCTCCTTCAGCGGTCTATGAAGTTCCTCCACAGTCCAAGCAGATCAAGAAGGCTGCACCTCCCGTTCCAATCTTCGCTAATGACGCCGATATTGAGGATGTCGTGAAAGGCCTCATCGTCGCAGGAGGGTGTGTCATTCGCAACGCTGTGCCCATCGAGGATGTCAAGCAGATCGAGAAGGATTCTCAGCCTTGGCTTGACGCGGATAAGCCTTGGGATGGAGATTTCTTCCCACCCGAGACTCGTCGAGCCTATGGACTCCCTCAAAAGTCCCAAACCTTTGTAAACAGCTTTATCAAGAACGACCTCTATCAGGAAGTGTGTGACAGGATTCTTACGAAAAAGAGTCTGTGCTGGAATGGTCAAAAACGTGAGGAGAGTGTTTCGAAGCCACAACTGAACACCACAGTGGTATTCAACATTGGCCCTGGTGCAAGAGCACAAGAGCTGCACCGAGATGATATGTTAGTCGACCGTGAAAAACTAGCGTTTGCCGTTGGCTGACCTGTTGATCGCAGGATCCATCACAACTACCCTCTCCCAGAGATCACTGCTGAACAATACTCTTTCGATCGCGAGGTTGGTATCGGCTGGTTTGTGGCAGGACGGCGCACTACCAAAGCCAATGGCGCCACGCGATTCATTCCAGGATCCCATTTGTGGGATAGCGAGATCCCACCAAACGAAGAGCTTGCGTTCTATGCCGAGCTGGAGCCCGGCGATGGGTTCATCTTGCTCTCCTCGTGCTTCCATGGAGGGTCTGCCAATACTACTACGGATGAGCACCGTCTTTTGTACTGCTGCTTCATGACACGTGGTTATCTTCGCCAGGTCAGCATATCCGGGAGCACCCTTGCATTCATGTTCGGAACGCTGACAAGCACCTACAGGAGGAGAATCAGTACCTTGCGAACGATGGACATGTCCTCAAGAAAATGTACGATGCTAAAACGATGGGGGTACGTCTCGCTCACAAGTGCTCACCCAGTCTTATTGGACCACTGCTAACAGGAATGATTTTTGTAGCTGCTTGGCTGGGATCTCAGCCCTCCTTTCTTGGGCTGGGTCGACCAAGCCAGTCCTCTCAAGCTTTTGTATGGTGATGCTTATCAAGCGGGCACGGACCTGTTCTAGACAATATGATGGATGTTGAATGACTGTAGTTGAGAAAACACTCTCTGGCTGGTAGGGTTGCTTCGAGGATGAATAGACACAAATTCAGGACTATACATGTACCTTGCCTACTGCGTTTCAGGCTTGGACGCTTTGACTTTGAATCGACCTTGAGGACCAACTTCACTCGCTTCGTAACATCGACACCAAGGCTTGCTTCATGGATGTTACGTGGATTCGCGCCTACCGGTCGGTACATAGCTTGTGGCCTACTACTCGAAATTTCACAAACCTAAGATAGCCTGATCTGCCAACTAGGCCGCCAGTGACACAAAGGCGCGCATCGAGAGATAACGTGGGGGAGACAATGTGTGCTGCAGCGTTGAGGAAAAGACATCGAGCTAATCCTAAAGCAGTATATCATTCAACCGCTCTCAAACTCTACAACGCGGACCGCGCTCTGCACTAATGGGTTATTAGTCCCATCCTTGCCACGATGATCATGGAGTCGAGTCGAAGCTTGTTGGCGCTTCACACAAAACTGCCTTTCTCTTCTCAGCCCTTTCTGTCTCGAGTACGGCAACAACCATGTCCGTTGACCCACAAGATGATAAGAGGCAGGATGATGGCAGGGTATATCGACTGCATTTCCAAGATACGGACATCTGCCAGATATGCTGTTGCTCCTGCGACTACGGTTCAGAACAGATCAAGTCAGTCCTTTGATTGAAAAGTCAACACAAATCCGTTCTCGTTTCGATTCTGCTTAAAGGTCGAACGTGCCTGTTGCTACCGCTGTAGTCCCAACCACCAGACTGACTCGGAAGCACTACCACCCCGACTGCTGATCAAACATTCTACAACCACCGACCATGACTACCCCAACGATGGATGACACCGTGCCCGACACTACCGTGTCAGCCGATGAGGCTGCGCTTCGAAAGCAAGGCCACAAAGGCGAACTCCCTCGCCAGTTCTCCGCCTTCTCGGCTCTATCGCTGGCGTTTGTCATTACCAATTCCTGGATCGGATATGCGGCTGTATTCGTGACGCCTCTCCTGGCTGGTGGAGGTCCTGCAGTTTTCTGGGGCGTCATCGTGTCCTTTGTCGTTTGTACACTCATCAGTGAGTTAACAGCATAGCAGAACTACTCAAACAACGAGACTAACAGTCCACCCCAAGCTCTCGGTATGGCCGAACTGGCTTCTGCCTTCCCATCCAGTGGAGGCCAGTACCATTTCACCTTCATGGTGTCGTCTCCGAAGACGAGAGCGGCTGGAGCCTTCGTCACAGGCTGGCTGAGTGCTCTTGCATGGTGTTTGACTGCGACTTCAGGCGCGAGTTTCACTGGTGCGTTAGGATTTTCCTGGCTCGGGGCCGTGGCTGACGTTGAACAGCTCAGATCGTCATGGCGATTGCCTCCTTTGACAATCCCAACTACGTCGCAGAGCGTTGGCAGGTCTATCTAGTCTTCCTTCTCATCACGATACTCGCATGCGCCATCGTCTGCCTGCTGCCGAAGCTGCTGCCTAAGCTAGAGGAGTTCTTCTTCTGGTGCAGTATCCTAGCATTCCTGGTCACGTCCATAGCCTGCGTCGCTATGAACAAGAACAAGGAGCCCGCCAGCACCGTCTTCACCACGTACACGAACCAAACTGGTTGGAGCGATGGCACGTCTTTCATGATTGGACTGGGCTCGTGCATGTACATCTTCGTCGCCACGGATGCTGCAACCCATATCGCAGAGGTAAGTCATCTGGACTAATCACCAACAACCTCTCCAACTGACGTCCCCGTAGGAAGTCCCCAACCCTGGCCACAACATCCCACGCGTGATGTGGATGACCCCTCTTATCGGTATCGTCACGACCCTCCTCTTCCTCCTTGCGACTCTCTTCTCCGCGACCGACCTAGACGCCATCTCCGCCTCAGCCCTACCCATCCTCACACTCTACAGCCAAGCCACCAACAGCACGCCCGCCACCATCTTCTTCTCCTTCTGGCTCCTCCTCAACTATTTCGGTGCCACCATTGGCTGCATCACAACCTCAGGCCGTCTGACCTGGGCGTTTGCCCGTGACAACGGTGTCTGGTACTCCTCGCACGTCGCTAAAGTCGATTCACGCCTCGAAACCCCCGTCGTCGCGACCGTGTGCTGTTCGATCTTCATCGCACTGTACGGCCTTATTTACATCGGCTCGACAACCGCGTTCAACAGCATCGTGTCCATGTCGATCTTGTCGCTGAACCTGACTTACGTGATTCCACAGGGCATCGTGCTCTTCCGTGGCCGCGACAAAGTGCTGCCAGCGCGAGCGTTGAATTTAGGACGGTTCGGACCAGTCATCAACGCCATATCGTGCTTGTGGGTGGCTGTGTACGTGGTGATCTTTTGTCTCCCGGTTTTTGTGCCGCCAACGGTCAACGATATGAACTACCTGAGTCCTGTGGCTGTGGGGATCGTCTTGTTGATTTTGGTCGCTTGGTATGGTGGAAAGAGGAAGACATTTACCGGGCCGGTAAGTCAGATCCCCTCTAAGCTGAGAGCGAGACTAATGAGAGAAAAGAACGTTCAATTCGACCAAGGCCTGGTGACCGAAGGTGTTTCACTTGCAGGCTCTAGCGATGTGCCCGTCGCTGAAGGTGAAAAAACCGCGCAGACCGAGTCCAAAGGATAAGGAGTCATCATATCCATCGTAGCTGCAAGGATAGCTAGGATCAGATATTTCCTGCGTTTATGTATTTGAAGACGAGGCATGCATTTATTTTACTAGCATCACTGTTGCAAGTGCCAAAAATGAGGCATGCTTGTTGTTCTAGACTATCATCGACATGAATTCAGGCCATGAACACTATCCATATCATCGAGACCGTAGCCCAATGGGGGTCTAACCTTAAGCTTATAAGCGATAAGTGTCGCCCGGGCAGTGGTCGATCTGATGCACCGTACTCGAGCAGCTGTCCCGAGTAATTCCCCAATTTTGCAGGTGTCATCATCACAGACGACAGTTCAAGCGTAACCCTCCATATCTTCCAGTAAATCTCTCAACACGAAGCTATTGGTCGTCTCGTACACCTCCCGCACGGCCTCATAGCTAATGTCGAATGGCTTTCCCACCACATTGCTGACGTACTTCCCCACCAGCCGTTGCGGATCGATCGCATCGACCGAAATCGACCGCAACAGCATCTTCCTAAAAGCCGGCATCTTGGCGAGCAAGAAACTCGAGTGAAACGGCACGTCGATGCCCTCTAACGGAATCGTCGCAACCCCACGCTTGAGTTCGATCGGGAACGGCTTCTTCGTCGACGCAGCTGCACATGTCTTGACGAGCGCATCGATCTGCTCTCGGGGAGCCTGGCTACCAAGAGCAAAGTCCTTGGGCTTCCCTGCGATATGGTTGGTGACCGCAGTCAGACAGTCCAGGGAGGTAAGTGTGCCGGCGCACACATATTGCTGGCCGTCGACGTTGTAGTTGACCACTTCGAGCAGATCCCCTGTGGCAGCTGCGATTGCTTGAACAATGCTCTGCAGCACTGACGTGCTCAGGGCTCTGCTGACGCGGGACGGGTTCACCGCAACCATGGAGAAGCGCGATCGGCCAGACTCGTCCCGTGCCACGGCGGACTGCATGGTGAGTCCGCGATAAAAGACAATGGCCAGCAGCTTGTCAAAAGGCATGATATCGCCAATGGTGCTTAGGGCCGTGTACTCGCCGAGTGAGTGGCCTGCGAAAAGTGCCCTGTCCGAGGTCAAACCCTTGCTTTGCAGGTGCAAGAACTGCGCCCGCTCCATGATGGTCAGCGCTGGCTGCGCAAATTCCGTCGAGAAGAGCAGGCCTTGCTTGTGGCGGAAGGTGTATGAAGTCGTTGTTTCGTCAATGGTCTTGAAGAATTTCTCGACGACTTTGTTGGTCTCCACCGTCATGTCGATGTAGGTCTGCCGAATTTTCACACCACGACGGCCGCCGAAATGAACCGTGAGTTCCTTAGGATTGTGCTTGACAATTTCGCTGATCAAAAAACCTGCAAGCGCATTGTCAGCATTGACTTACTACTGAGGGTCAAAAAGACTCACCATAATTCTCAGCAAAGAATCTGTCGGCTGTATCCCAAACCTCTCGCGCAATTTCACTTGTGGCATACAGATCCATTCCCATGTCCGGTTTTTGGCTTCCTTGCCCGGTGAAGACATAAGCAGTCAAAGGTTGATCGACCTCGGCCTCGCCGATGAGCACTTTCTCTCCAGTGTTTATGTTAACTGCTTGGAATGAGAGCACCCTCAGACCATCTTTCATAGCCACATGATTGGCGCTCACCTCAAGCGTGTCCCCCGGAAGGACCATGCTCACAAATGATGCCTTGTAGGACCGCATCCGTACTTCTTCAGACAGTCCGGCGGCCTTCTCCACCAACTGGCGTACTGCTGCGCTCGTGTACATCCCATGGGTGATGGTTCCGGGAAGGTTGGCATACTTGGCAAACGGCCTGGACAGGTGAATCGGATTAAAGTCTCCAGAAGCTCGCGCGTATGCTTGGTTGCTGGCCGGCACAGTTACTCGGAGCCAGTCTTGTTCTCCCAGCTGCTGGGGATTCTCCAGGCTATGGACGACTTCGTAAGGGGATCCATTTCGCTGGAGATACTCCATCACAGGGTTATTGGAGCATTTGCCGGCTTCGTATTCGATCGTCGCAATTGCGCGAAGTTCTTTGGTCACGCGAGGTTGGTGGAACACCTGTCCAAACGTCCGTACACTCCTGTACGTCTTTGCAGAGTCAAACCTGTACAGGCTTGCAGGCTCGAAGATGAGTTTCATCCCGAGAAGATCGATATCGCCGTCGGCAGGAGTAAAGTTGATCCAACTCTTACTCTTCAGAACCGATACCTTGGCCGGTGTATCGAGCTCCACATACATCTTGGTTTCGGTCTTCTTCTCAAAGCACACAATGAAATCCGTATAGGTCCCTCGAAACAGGAACTCGGAGACAAGTTCCAATACCTGTGCCTCATCGCGCTCAATAATCGCAGCCACTTCGACCACTCTTCCGGCTGGCTCGTTCCTGATAGCCAGAATCTCGGCAGTGCTAGTGATGTGGTCGGAGCTTGAGAGTGGAGCACTGTCGTTGAGCAATGTGAACTTGTTGGACAAGTGCACGAGATTAAGGAATTCACCATTGATGGCTTGGGGGAAGATTGCCTTCATCATCGCTTCCCAGCCAACGACAATGGCAAAGTCGAGAGACGCCATGTTCTTGTCCGACCTTGCCGAGATAATGTTGCTAGACTGCTCAATGGAGTCGGCAAAGTCTTGGATGCTGGGTCTGCTAAGTTCAATGTCACGTCCTTTGAATACCAGGCGTGTGGGACTCGAAGTGTTCAATGCCTCTGCTTGTAAGCCCACGGGTGTTTCAGGCTCAGGATGAAGTCGCGGTAGCATCTTTGTTTGAAGAGACAGTGGCTGTTTCTGCCTGGGTTTGCCGGTGACAGCTTGGAGTGCGAGGTCCCACGAGCGTGTTGGCCGTCTAATCATGGCTGGAGATGCTACAGGTGGCCTGTCTGACCCAAACCACAATCGGTAGTAGAACTTGCGTAATCGGTCGTTTCGCCCTTCCATGACCTCGTGGATAGGATGAAGGACGAAGTCTGGCCGATGGGTGAAATTGAATGTCAGTGGCAAATTCACCTTCTCCGCAGTCTCATCGGTGTAGAAGGTGACGAGAATTTCACCGTCCTTGCGAATGACCAACGAGTATCTCGATCTGGATGAGCCTGATGTTGTTGGTTCGGACTCGCCTTCTACAACGGCGACCACAATATCCTCCGGGTCGCTTGCATCGCTTACCTCGACATGCATGCCATGCACGGGTGACAGTACCCTTTGCATTGGGTTTGTGATGACCTTGCGTCCTTGGAACACATCTTTCGACGTCAGCAAAGCATGCAGCCAGGTTCCGCTTGGACCCGCAAGCAGCTCAAGCCAGTCATCCAGATTCGGGAGCTGATCATCGAGGACGTTGCTTGGAATGCGGTAATGAGTCTTGTCTGCGGTCCGGCTTATCAGACAATGTGGAAGGTGTCTGTCCTTTGTCGTTGTCCGGCTTAGATGAGAGCTGATCCGAGACACTTCGTCTGCATTGTCATGGTACCTGTCCTTGAGTATCTGGTTTATATGTGCTTTGCTGATCTTGCTGAGGATATCTCCAACAGGCTCATCGGGAATGGTCGAATAGCGGGCGGCGACAGGACCCTGTAAGATACATGTCCGCTGGGCGTCTTGGCCGACAACCGCCGTCAAATCTTCCGATTGCCACAGGGAATCCTTCTTGAACCAATATTCGAAGTCATCATCAAGATCGGGGACAAAGGTTGGCGGTTTTTGACCCGGCCGTTTGCACAGAAGGATGAAGTACCGCGCATCGTTGAAGGTAACGACCTGCTTGTCGGCCTTCGGGCAAGACTGGAGAATCTTCGGAACTGCATCCGAAGGATTCCTCAAACCGAAGTCTTTCTCAAATCGAGGCATGAAGTCCTGAAGTCGGGAGAACATCCGTCGCACGAAGTCTGCCGTCAGCTTGATGTAGCTGGGATCGATCCACCTTGATTGCGAGCTCACGTAGAGCAATTCGATAAGTCTCCTCAGGACTTCAGCGTATGTCATGTCTGCGAGATCGACAACATTGCCCTGACCATCTCGACCGAACCATACCTTTTGGAAGTCGTCATTCAATCCTTTGACGATATAAGGCTTCAATCTCTGCAATTCTTCCAGTCGCTTTGCTTTGTCTTGGATGGCGAATATCTTGTCATCCATTTCCCGCCACAACAAGACCCCCCGCGTTGCCAGCTTATGTATAGGCTCTCCCATCTCGGATTTGACGGTGATAATGCCACCTATGGGCTTGTTGTAACTCTGCTCCCAGCTGATGGGATCGCTAACACCAGGAGCAGCAACAATCGCCTCCTTGGCACCTCTACTGGTCTTAGCCTCTTTAGCAACCATCATTCGACTGCCGAACAGACACCCATCGAACGGCATTGCTGCATAGCCCAGGTCCACAGACCAAGATCCCGACAGATAAGGATACGTGTCTTCGGCGCCACCGAATCCACTACCTGCCAAAAGTACAATGTTCGGACAGCGCCTGATGCGTCCGTAGAATCTCAATATTGGATCGTGGAAGTCCTCGTACGAATGATGTCCTCCACCTCGGCCCCCTGTCCATTGCAACAGGATTGGATGGGAAGGGTTGCTGCTTGCAATGGCGATCACCTGCCCAATGGCATAGGAAGAGCCCGGTTTGAAACACATATAGCGCAGATTCAACGACTCGATGTATTCTTTTGCAACGTCCACCGAAGGAACTCCGGCACCGAAGGTCAAGCCGTCGATCGGAACGCCTTCGGATCTCAACTTCCGTATCAAAGGTATTTGCCATTTTACTTGCTTGGGGCTAGCATAGATGGCATTGATGCAGATCCCCTTGCCCGAAGGTATACTTTGTTGCAGATGCTTGATGGCAGTCGTTAGCTGCTCGGCATTGTAGTAGCCGCCGCCTGCCAACTCGACGTGATACCCTGACTTGATAATGGCACTGACAAACTCCCACGATACTGTCGTCGGGGTCATTCCAGCTACCATCAGCGGCGGGACGCCCAGCAACCTCGTCATGGCGTTGTCAATCTGCAGTTCCCCTTTGTGGGATTTTGTCAACCGAGGCGCGTATGCCTGTGCCCAATTCTCGCCCCAGATGATGCTTTCTGCATCATTCTGGAAGATCTCTGATCGAAAGCCAAGCTCTGACGAAATGCCTTCGAGGGTACTGGCAAGTATTACTCGAACCCCAGTACCTTCCTTGTTACGGTGTAGCAAGGCACCAACACCTGAGGTGCCACCAGGTCCAAAGTCAAGAACGTGAGAAGCGGAGGGGCACTTCGTTGATAGCGGCCAGTCGTCTTGCTCAATGAGTATCATACGAATCAGTGCGGGTACGATATTCTCGAGTCCGCTTTTCCGCAGATCATCACCTGTTTCACTGTGATAGACCGGTGTATGGAGATCCGAAGGCTTGATAGCAACATTCCTGAGCTCTTTGGTGGCGATTGTAACAGCATCTCCTAGGTGCAAACTGTGGAACGGCGCGGTGATAGGTAGAAACCTGATGCTGAACTCCGGCTTGCGCGAAGAGTATGCAATCTTAGCTTGTTCCAGGCCAGGCGGAGCTTTCACTTTCCTCAAGTGTGCGGCCAAGGCGCACAACGAAAGAACCGGTCCTGATATGACGAAATTGGTAGGACCATTGATCACGCCGATGGCCACCTGCTGGTGCGGCTCTAGATAGCTGTTCACCTCGTCGATATACTTTTGTAGCTGAGATCTTCGGCTCCCAGAAACGTTGAGCATTGGGGTTGGAAATCCTTCACCATTGTTCACCGACTCTGATGACAAACTCGACGGAACAGCAACGTGAGTAGTGGCTTCCTGAGCAGCAGATCCGATGTGAAACAGCAAAGTCAATGCGTTTGTCAGTGCGTTGTCAAATGACTCCCACGTCGTCGCGGTCGCAAGCGCTGCGGCGACGACCACACCTTGAGAGTGGCCGGCCATGCCCAACAATCTCTCAATGAGCTGACCGGGCAGCTTCCCAAGGACACGACATATGACCGCATAATTCGCGAGCTGGACTAATCCAATGAGAGGAAAGCTCACCGGCGCGGAAAGCAGATATTCCGGCACAGGAGTAGCTTCGGGCCGTTGCAACCACAGCAAGACATCCAGTCCTTGTGAGAACAGCCGCAATTGGGTGACCGACGACTGTGCCAGTAAAGAGTGCAGGGTCACGCTCGCTGCCGCGACCAATGGCTCCACGATTGCAGTGTATGTGGAGTAGAGAGAGCATAAGTCTGAAAAGTAGTCGCTGGTGTTGCCTTGCCCGCCGAAAATTGCATAGACTGTGACAGCGGCAGTCTCGGAGTTCTGGCTGAAGAGTGCAGAATCTTGCTGCAGCGCAGGTGACTTCAAGTTCCTCACGAACGCCGTTGCTTCGAAATACGCTTTGACCACAAATTGCCGTTGTGAAGAGCCCCCAGGCAGGCGCGAGGCAACAACGTGTACGTCAACGCCGCGAAGGAAGTCCGACTCAAGCTTGCTCAGGATCAGGGCCACGCAATCTGCGTGTGCTGTTGAAGGGGCTTCCACCCATAGCTCCTGATGTTGGATGATGAATATCAGGAAGCGAGATATGATTTCGAGCAGCGACGATGGCTCCGGCTCATCGTCGAGGTTCAAAGACCCTAGAAATCTGTCTCTGGACCGTGCAGCGTAGAAATGTGATGAGCTGGCGACGCTGAACTGATATTCGAAGTTTCCACGGGATATTTCGAGAAGCCGGAGAGAATACGGCGGCGTGGAAATAACACTGAAGTGCGATGACGAGTCGGTCGGTTCTGTAGACCCCATAATCGCATTCTTGGTGCCAGGTAATTTCAGAAGCCGTGCAAGCACCTGTATGGCAGCGTAGTTGGGAAGAGGCTTCAGGAGGTAAGCTCCTCTTGGTGGCTAGCAGTCAGTATTCTGCCAACAGAGTGTCGTCGAACTTTCAGCCGCAGGGTTGAGAGCAGTGAATTAGAGAATCTTCCTACTTGCGAGCTACCATTTGTCGTCGAACCGGCTTTAAACAGGGACATAGGTCGGCAGGAACATATGGCGGAAGGCGGCTGCTGAGCAAGGATCAGGAACCTCGTGCATGGAATGGTCCTTCCCTCAGTAGCTCCGTAGAGCGATCATGCTCGGGAGGGTCTGGTGCATGGCACCACTATGCATTGCAATTTGCCGCTTGTGTCACAAGCCGAACTTGTCAGCGACCACAACCGCTGGGGGGCCTTGACCGGTGAATTGGTGGTAGGTATGGTTTGGACTTTTGATACGAAACAGGTAATTTTACCAATCGGTATTGTGACGGTTTTGATACCATACGGTCTGACAGGATCCCTGAGGACACGGTTATTTACAGACAGATCCACTCACACCATCGTGCGAGACGACCCATTCAGCCCTGTGTGATTTACCATTGCCCTGCATACAGGTCACTTCCGCCCCCCACTTCTCGTATGACAGGGTGGGTGCTAGAACGAGGTGTGAATATCCCGTCGACCTTAGCCTGCAGGCATCGAGCTCCTGTAAACTCTCCAGCGCTCGGCACGAATGAACTCGTGTGAAGACGATGACCTGCAGGCACTGGAACGCATTATTGAGAAGTGAGCATTGGCATGAGGATGAGTGATCAAACAATCGAGATGTCTGTCTAGCATTAGGTAGTAGATCAACTATACTGGGTATAGCAATCCTTTAGCCCTTCTCCCACTCGAAACAAAGGAATAGCAGTCTACCAACTCATCGTTACAATAGTGCCTATGTCCAACTAAGCATGCATCTGTTCGGGTCTGCATCGCTCGCCTTCACATCATGAGCCTCTGGGGAGTCTTGTATCGGGGTTCAGCAACACTTTCATCTCGTCACAAGCCGCATACGGTGGCTGCTCTTTTGCCACAAACACCGAGTTATTCGACAGTCCTTCATGGAAGCGGCGCGTCGCCTTCTTCTCCCGTATGCGGAGTCGTCGTTCATATACTTGATAGTCCTGCTTTGATATAGTGGCGTAGAGGTATTTGGGATGTATACCGACCATCTGTGCCCCTTTCTGACCAAACCCAAAGGAGGTCATTGAAAAGGCTCTGATCTCTTGCTTCTTTGTACTCTTGTTCGGGTAGACGAGGAAATCAAATTCTTCAAGAGCGTCTTCGATGTTGTCGGCGTTGCGGTTTCCGGGCACCACTCCAGTTTCCATCATCTGGAGGCATCCATTCAACATCCATGCACCGGCAGGGCCTTTAGGATGGCCGGTCACGGACTTCTGGAACACACATGGCACCACATTGCCCTTCTTTCGGCCGAGATGCCTCAGTTGTTCGTGGACAACGGAGGCCTCGTTCTTCTCGTTCGCTCTCGTAGACGTTCCATGGAAGGAGATGACATCGATATCGTCAACAGTCAAGCCCCAGACTGCAAGGGCGCCTCGCATGGGCGCGATAGTCTTGTCGTGGACCCAGAATTGGTTGCCATAGGTATTGAGTGCGTCTCTCTTGTCACGTCGCGTGTCAGCGTCAATGCCAGCCAGCCGTTGCTCCCTGTATTCGTCCAAATCGAAGTCAACCTTTTGTGATTGAAACTGTCCCAGCTCTTCTTCAAGGTATGACAACTGCAGCTCCCGCAACTTCTTTGCTTGATCTAATCTCGCTTTCAGAGCCCGTTTGCGGTAGGACATACTCATCAGTGGCGACTCATATTTGCTTTGTCGCTGGACTGCAGAGCCAAGAATGCCTCGGCCTGGCGCCGGTAGCGACCGACCAGCCTTGTCCATGGCCGTATTTGTGAAGGCTACCACGCCATGGATAGGCAGTCCCATTTCGATGGCGAGACTAGCGGAAGTAATCAACTGGATTCCAGCACCTTCGGCTTCCACGAACCCCTTTCTCGATGAGGTTGCCGGGCGGCTCATCTCCTTGGGCTCGCGGCCACGAAGTATGTCTTCATCCACGTTGATGGTGGCTTTCAGACTGGCAAACTCGTCCGCGACATCCTTCAGCATGTCGTCGAAGCCGCCAACCAAACAGGCTTTAGCCTTGCCGTTTACGATTAGATCATAACCGGTGTCCAGGGATTCAACCGATGTTGCGCATGCCCCTACTGGCGTCTTGTTTGCGCCAGCAGCAGAAAGTAGAAGCATGTTAATCCATGCACTCCCAGAGTTGATGAAAGACTCGGCAAGCACGTCATTGGGTACGGCTCCGTCCTGATACCGTCCCTTGAACATTTTGCGGAGGCTGGAGGCACCCCCGAATCCCGATCCGACGCAGTTCGCCACGTCAGCAATGTGCAAATACTGGTAGAGTTCATACGGATCCAGAATACCCGCCGTCCGCAGTGCCTCGGCCGCGCAAACGAGAGGGTACAGTGTACCTGGGTCGACCTGGTTGATAATCTCCTCAGGAACGCCGTAGGTTCGTGCATCCCAACCAGTTGGCACTTGCCCGCCAACAGTGTGCTGAGTGCTAAGCAGCTTCGGGATCATAATCCTTGCACCTTTCTTGAGTGTGACTTTGACCTGCCCGGACTCGGAGTTTGGAGAGAGGTGGACTAGATCGCCATGTGCCCTCTTCAAGTCGAGTGCACACTCTTCGGAGACTTCAAAAGGACCATGATCTTTCAATATCTCAATTTCCTGCAAAGAGTCCCTTCCATTCCAGAGAGGACTGTCCTTCTTAGGCTCCATGAAGCGAATCCCGGCGTGGTCGAGCATATACTTCCCATACTTGTCGGCAATTCCTTGATCGGTTATGGGCTTGCCTGACTCCTTGTCAAGCCAGCCGGAATACGGCTGGCCATCAACCATACCAGAATAGGCCTTGATCAGACCCATGATCCAAGCGAGTTCTATACATGACTCGGTGGACAGGCGACCGTTTGCTTCCATGTCCCAGCGAACACGGGCATTGCCCCAAGGGCCGACCTCCGCAAACCCGGTAACGACCACCACTCGACTGAGATCGACCATTCCCTCAAGCTGCTCAGTAAGTGGTTGGACTTGACTTTCCCAGTCTGGCAGTGTTGGGAAATTGAACTCCATGTTAGCTTGCCTCTCCATTTGAGGCTCCAGGTTCGTTGGTAAGGCATCGAATTCAGCTTCCCTAGCTCTTCCTCGACGTTCGTCACTAGTCTGGTTGATCGACGTCCGGATGTTGGTTGTGATATCCTTGAGGTTTGCCACATCCCCCATTCCACCACTCAAATCAGCAACCAAGGGGCCTGATACTGCGAATGGTAGGATGTTGGGGCTCATCAGAGCCAAGATATTGAATGCCATCTCTTCCTGTGAGTATGTCCTCATTCCGAGCTTCTCCATCCCTTCTGCAACAATATCATTGTCGGACATGAGAGCGGTGCCTCTAGTCCATCCGATAATAGCGCCGCAAATGGTCAGGTATTCACCCCAATCTTCAGTGTGCCACTTCTCGAACAAGGATTCTAGGCCCAGTTTCGACTCGGCGTATAACCCATCGCCGCCAAACATTCCGTGGTTGGGTGACAGGGGCAAGACAACGTGAGCAGGCCTTGTCATGATTCCACGAGAGGCTTTCTGTTGCTTAATGAGTCCGAGCAGGCGTAGAGTATTGGTCAGCATTAGTCGATGGGCCAATTCGGATTTGGAGTTCAGGTTATCCAGCTCACGACCTGACTCTGAGATAGCGGCGAACGGAATGACAAAGTCGAGATCTGAGGCCAAGCCATCCTTCTCATAGATGTACTTGACCAAAGCATCCATGTCCTGGACGCTAGCTTGGTTGCAAGGTAATAACACAAGCTTCGATCCTCGAGCACCATACTTGGAGTAGACGTCTTGGTAATATTTGGTGACCTTGCTAGAATAGGAGCTCGATGTCACAATCACGTGGGCACCTGCACACAGGAGGAAACGGACGATCTCAGCACCAATCGATCCTGCCCCCGCCCCAGTAACGAGGACAGTATTATCGGCAAAAGCAAGGCCAGAGGACTGGGCATCGCTGAGACATTCATGTAACCTCGAGGACAGAGATGGATCATATTCCCAACATCGCAATCCTTTGCGACCAAGCTGAAGGTGCGTGCGCCCGTCCTCGGCGTCTGATGGCCTGGGCTGTTCCTTGTAGACTATTTTTCCACTTTCTTCAATCTCGGTCACTGGTGCCATTGAGACCGATCTGGGATACGCGGCGGGTTTGCGCTTCATTGTTGCTTCACAATCATTCTGCAGCTGTTCCAGAATGTCTCTCAACTCATGATCTACGGCGTTGGAAGCTAAGAATCGCAGCGCTTCGAGGAGCCTTGGGTGCGATCGATTTTGGAGACTCCGCCTCAGAACCTCGTATTCTGGATCTTTCCTCTTGAGTTCTTGGTTTCGGACGCTTGACACTAGCGTCAAGAGGTCTTGCAAACCCCAGTTCCACCATGAGTCGTAATGTCTAGCTTTCAGAGAGGAGAAAATAGGTTCGATGCCCAAGGCGTAGACTTCTCCATGCTCGGTGTTCCACAAATCTAGCTGCTTCTCCAGTACCGTGATTCGTTGCTGGAGGCCTGCTACCGCCGCGTCGGAGGCTTGCAAGTCTAGACCCAAGAGTCTCGCAGAGAGGGTTAGCTGTTCCATGAGAACAGTCTTCTGTTTCGCTTCTAGAAATTCCAAGGCTTCGGCACTGATAGTAGCCTGGCCAGCGGCCGATGCACCTTCTCTTGATGCATCAGGCGGTGTGAGGCCGTTCTTCGCGATGTAGATTTGTGCGACGCTGTCAAGGAATATTTTTGCCTCGTCCTCGTTTTTCAATCTGAAGTCGGGCGCCGAGGTAACTGCCCAGAGGAGTACGCTGTCCTGCCTGCCTGGTCCAAAGCCCCATCGCTGCTTCAAGTATTTGCGTATGCCAGCACTTTGGAACGTGCCAGGGGATTTGTTAGAAATCATTTTGTCGATCAACGACGACGATTTCTTGCCCAATTTGCCGGAAAACGTAGACTGAATGGTTGCGCATAGCGTATCGAGTGGGAGGTCTTCAGCTCCTTCGGGTATGGTATCAAATTCGGACGCTAGATCGCCGATGATTTCGTTCTGTAGCGTTGACCTGCCACCCGCTAATGCTTTGATCGACTTGGACATCTGAAAGCCATCTAAAGGCTTTTTTAGCCCGACAGCGATGATGGTAGACACAACATCCACGACATTGACAGGCGCATCCTCCACCTCGGCCGTTGGGGCAGTATTGGCGGGCAGGGTCGTGGTTGTTGGTACTATGGGACCCTCGGGAGAGGGAGCAGTGACTTCCATAGTCTTCACAGGCTCCGTATCCGGATTGACCGCCAGCGATCGTGGTATTTCAGGTGGAAGGACAAACTTCTGCTCGTAAGAAATCTTGTCGAGATTTTGCTGAAAGGTCAATAACTGGCGCGATAGATTCTGCGCTGTATCTTTTGTTTGGTACTTCAGGCCAATTGTCCGCTTTGCCATGTTGACAAGAGTATTTCCGGGGCCTAATTCAATAATACGCTCGGTATTTCGAGCTCCCAGCAACAAGTCTTGAGTTTCTATCCATTGCACTGGATAGCAGAATTGGTGTGCTAATAGCTCGACAAGAAGAGTTCTTGCCACAACTTGATCCATCTTTGCGCGGGATCCCCCGTGCATATTGCTGTCTACCTCCTGCATCTTTGCTATCGCGCCCAGTCGCGGACAGGCGAGACGGTCGAAGCTGGTATGAGGGCGACAAGGAGCTGGTGCGAAGTCGTGAAAGGGTCGAGGTCTTCGCTTGCCAAAAAATTCCACGAATTAGGCTGACTAGACAACGACCGAATTGGGCTACAGATCTCAAGATCAAAGTGCGTGGAGGATCTACACTCGACTGAGTTTGACACTCGATGGACTTGCCGCAACCGCTTCGCAGGACTCTTGACAGGCACATAGAAAGATGGAGATTATGCCTGTCCTTCTCTCCTCGAATTGGGCCCAGAGAAGATCTCATGGGACCGGTCATGTGGGACTTCATGGTACACCGGTTTTCGTCTCAGCCACAACTATTCTTTGCTGTGCCAGATGCCAGGGATCAGGACAAGTGGGTGAGGTGAACCTTGTCCTTGGCCATGTACCCGTCACATTCCGGCTGAGGAATTCGGCCGCAAGGGCATGGCTGTGAAGCATACGGGGAAGCCGATGGAGAGGGGAAGCTGTCATGTCGCACGAACACACTCCAAATCCGCGCACAGGGCCACATGCTTCCAGCGCTAGTAGTGATGGCGCTGTTCTGTCAATTCTATGCCGAAACCGACGAACCGGCCTTACACACCTGGCAATTCTGGCCCATCACAGGTGTACAGCGCATATCGGGGTGAGCCGTGGGGGCGGGTAGGGCATTGTGGGTCTAAGCTTTAGCGCGCACCTCGTTAAGGAAGGTGTGGGATATGGACGCCTTACAGCCTGACCACCCTCCTACCTACGTACGTGTAAATGGCCCCAATGAAGGATATGCGGAGCCAATGTACTGATGGAGTTATGAGAATTTGCGGCTGACTAGTGACATGGGAGTGAAAGAAGAAGGAAGTCCTGGCACACGGTGATAATGGTTGTTACGGCCCCCAATCTGCCCAAGTGTTAGCCGTACTGAGACATTCAGTTGACTGCAGGTAACGACATATCTTTGTAATGACATAGCACTTATCTGCCGTCGAGACTACCTGTTATCACCGAGGCTTGACCTCTCAGGCGATGCTGAAGTCAATTTCGAATGGCCCCATCCACGAGGGATAGTCCTTCGTCCAAGCCTCTGTCGAGATATACCAAATCGAGGGGCACATGGAGGCTGAGAATGCATGATACCAAAAGGAACTCGGCCCACCTCACCTACGCCTCCGGCTATTCTGGGACGTCTCTCACAGCCATCAGCGTCTCAACAAGCAAGCGTTCTGGAACCTTCAATGTTGTATGAGTTTAAAGCTCGAGGGGAAATATCATCATAGTCACGATATCGCCAATTCAAGCTTCATGCGTTGCCTGCAGCCGAGTGCCGATTTCCGCATCTTCCTTTACTCTTCACTTTGCATTCCTGCAGCCCCAAGTCCGCATCACGTTGAGAAGGATTGTTGGGGTGGCTGACCTTCGCAAAATGGGCCTCATTGCGTATGCGGCTCAGAGCACTCTCCGGGTCTTTGTGTTCCTGTCCGTACTTTCTGTATTGACTGTGAGTTCTTCTTGAGTACCTTCAGTACAGTTTGCGGAGGGAAAGCTAATCTGCATCACGCTGCTCGGCATAGCTGATCGCATTCTGTATCCGACGCATTTACTTCCACCCCCTCTCCGAATACCCTGGCCCTCTACTTGCCAAGGTGACGGACCTCTATGCCGCCTACCATGCGTGGAAAGGTGACATTCATGTCGACATGTGGCGGCAACATCAACGATATGGTATGTTCTGGAAGAGAGGCTGACCAGCATGAACCAGCGCTGATCTATCGGACCAGGGCCATATGTTCGCTATGCACCATCTCGACTCAACATTGAGAACACTACCGCGTTGAAGGACATATACGTCGGCTCGAAAAATTTCCAGAAAAGTCCCAACTATCGAGTGCTCCGCCATGGCGCGGCTAACAGCTTGACAATGATCAACAAAACTGAACACGCTCGCCGTCGTCGTATCATTTCCCTGGGCCTCTCCGATGCCGCCGTGCGCTCGCACGAGCCGACCATCATGGCGCACATCAAGAAATGCTTCGATTGCATTTCTGACACCGACGAGCGTAGTCTAGGACTGGAGCCACCGATGAGTCCAATCAGCCCGACTTCTGGTCCACGAGAGCCCTGGACACCGCCACGGAACATGTCCAACTGGTTCAACTGGCTGACATTCGACATTATGGGCGATGTGGTCTTCGGGGTCCGATATAATCTGCTGGCATCTGCTCGGCATCGTCAAATACCAGAGGCAATTGAGCAATCCAACGTCCGTGTCAGCGTCTTGTTGCAGAGCCCCATCATCCGCCAGATTGGGCGGCTTGATCGGTGGCTCTTTCCCAAGGCGATCGGAGCTAGAAATCAGTTTCTCACCTTCGTTGGAGGACTGGTGGACCAATGCATGAAGCCAGAATGCACTCCGATCGCGCGGACGGTGGTATCCATTCTTCGATCATCGCATGATCCGCTTACCGGAGACAAACTGACCGCAAAGGAGCTCTTGGCTGAGAGTACCACTCTTTGCGTGGCAGGTGCTGACACTTCATCAACTGCGCTCGCAGCCATCTTCTTCTATCTGTCTCACACACCGCGCGCTTATCAGAGACTGAAGAGGGAGGTCAGAGACGCTTTCGAGTCCGAGGATGAGATTCAAACTGGTCCCACCTTGAACAAACTGAGGTATCTGCGCGCCTGTATCGATGAGGCTCTGCGCATGTCACCACCGGCAGGCTCTTCATTGTTCCGACAAGTGCAACCTGGTGGAGCGGTGGTTGATGGCCAGTCATTTCCGGCGGGTGTTGAGGTGGGCGTGCCGATCTACGGCATTCACCACAATGCGGAGTACTTCCCTGCACCTTTCGAGTTTAGGCCCGAGCGATGGCTGGAAGGGGAGTCGGGCAACACCGAGGAATCTGTGCAACAGGCGCGGTCAGCTTTCTGCCCCTTCTCCATGGGCACAAGAGGCTGCGTAGGCAAAGGTATGGCCATGGTGGAGCTCAGCCTTGCGGTGGCGTATGCTGTCTTCATGTTTGATTTCCAGATTGCCGACGGTGATGAGACGTTGAAAGGGTGGGGTTTCAAGGGCGAGTTCCCGCTTGAGGACCATATCACCGGGTCCAAGCTGGGCCCCATGCTGCGCTTCAAGCCACGCGACGTTTTGAACTCGCCGGTGCGTACACGACCGAAGATGCAGCTGCCCAGAGTGGTTACGCAGCTGCAGCCTGGATTCCGGCCGCGTTCTGCCAGCTCACCTGCCATTGATTTTTCGGCCATGTGGAAGGAAATGCAATGATGTGACATGACTGGAGTTGGCGTGGGATGTATCATATTCGTGAGCAAAAATACCTGTACCTTAGATCTGTACCTTAGATTGATAACCGAAATGCCCGAGATAAGCAAAAGCTGTCGAGAGTTTCTTTCTCCGGAACTCGGAACCGGAGAAACCGAGGTAACGTGACGTGACGTGACGTGACGTGTCAAATGCAGCTCCTCTCCTCTTCTCTCCTCAATTTCATTCTCAACCACCTACTGAATCCAGACCACCACCATTACCCCGATCGGTGCAGACTCATCCTTTCCAGGGCGCAATTCATCGTCACACAATGCCCGACCCAGCGTGACATAAAATACAACAAACAAGATTCCTGCCGTACCGCTGCACCTGCCGAAGCTTTCACAAGTGCTGACATGCCACTCGAAACGGTGCAACACGGCTGGGGAATGGTGCCCGTGCCAAATGGTCCAAGAGCTTAGGGATCAGATATGGCCTTCAAAGCTGCGCGCCACAATCATGGGAGGGGCCGAGTTCAATGAGTTTGGTCCAGACATATTTTTTGATTACGAGCACTCAATGCACAGCATCGTGTCAGGCCCCCAGCCGCATGGGAACACCGCACCGCAGCCGCTCGCTGATTTTACATGTGGCCTTTCACCTGCCAGTCACAACGTCCTTTTGGTTCTAGCCCCCATCCTTAGTGCTTAGAATGACTTTTGGGCGACTTTACGAGGTGCCCCCCGACCATGGTGAATACTGCCTTGCGTGGTAAGACTTGTACCGTGTATGCCACATGTATGGTATCAATACCTGTTGACAGGGTCGTTACGCTATTATACCGCTAACGAAAGAGTGCTTGGTCCATCTCCCAGCTTTGCCCTTACCAGAGTTCCACAGAATGCCTGTGTTCTCACGAGGGACCCCGTTATGCACACAGGAAGCTGTGGTGCTCCTGCAAGCTTCAGCCTTTAGCTTCGCTGATCCTTTCCAGGCAAAAGAGACATCGACAACTTTACGATATCGAGCGCGATTCTGGACCTCGCTGTCGAATCGACTCAGCAACACTGTCTCGAGTGTTGATCCTGAGAACACATTTTGTCGAGGTCCCATTCCACCTTCGCGCCTGCGCTCGCTGATCCTTTTGTACCATACTTTCTTTGACAAGATAGTCACGCACGATCCTTGCAATTCTTCTAGGCTGGACGGAGGGGTTTCGACGCTGAGCAAGCGCACCAGGTAAAATGGGCTCCCAACTGACCTCTAATCCAACCACAGCTGCAACAGATTTCTGGCAACGCTGGCAGGCACACGCCGAGCCGTGCGTCTTCCCTACAATTGTTGACACCACCCGAGCAGCCAAGGGCATCGCGTCACTTTCGCTCCCCGTCGAACCCAGAGTGCTCTCACGATTGCGCAATGTAAGCGCACAGCACAGGACTCCTGTCGAGGTTGTCTTCGCAACAGCCTGGGCTTTGGTTCTGAACACTTACACGGGCAATGCATCAGTTTCGTTTGGTCTTGTGAGTCAGCGGAGCGAAGGTTGCGGTGCAAGGCTCTGTGCAGCATCGACCGTCAGCTCCGACACCGTCCTGGCCATTTCAGGGACAATCGAGCGCGATATGGAGCAAACTGACCACTTTCAAGCCGCAAACCTTGCCGATATTCCCGCCCTGAGGACCACGGACGGAAAACCATTCTGCTCGACTGCACTCAGCTTTGATGCCGCTGTTGGCGACCCTGATTCGCACTTCGACCTTCGCATGGAGGTACAATTGTCCCAGTCGAATCCGACGACGAATCTGGTTTACTCCTTGTCCTGCGTCGAGCAAGTGCTGGCAAGTGACGTTGTGGCAACTTTCCATCAGGCTCTTGGTGAGGTTGTCCAAAATCCAAATGCCAGGCTATCCGGCCTGGACTTGGTGCATCCAAAGTCTTTAGAGAGGCTTTTTTCATGGAATAACGAAATGCCAAAGTCAGTGGATAGGTGCGTTGGGGATCTATTCGGAGAGCAAGCCAGAATGCACCCAAGCAACATGGCGGTTCATTCTTCCGACAAGGGCTTCACCTATGAAGAGCTCGATCGCCTGTCCAACGCGCTCGCGCTTGAGTTGCAGTCAAAAGGCATTGGTCCTGAGGCGGTGGTGCTTCTGTGCTTTCCCAAATCGGCTTGGGCAGTGGTTGCGATGATCGCCGTTGTCAGGGCCGGGGGTACCATGCTTTTTTTCGACGCTGCCCACCCTAAGGCGCGCCTCCAGGAGATCCAGGGTCAGATACAGTCGAAGATCATGTTGACCGCTCCAGAATATTCAGAAATGTGGAGCTGGACGGAGAGTGAAGTTATCATCGTCGACAGGAACTCAGTCGAAAGCCTCCCTAGACCTGATCGTCCTTTGCGATTGGATGTCACACCATCTAACATGTTGTACATTATTTTCACCTCCGGATCCACCGGGAAACCCAAAGGCTGTGTGATTGAGCATCGACAGTTCCTAACCGGGTCTTTGGCCCAACAACATGCGTCCGGGATGCTGCCCACTGACAGAGTCCTTCAACTCGCTTCCTTTACCTTCGACGTTAGCATTCTCGAAGTCATCACATCCTTGATCACCGGGGCATGCGTCTGCATACCAGGAGATGCATCCCGCGCCAAAGGTCCTGCCAGCTGCATTCAAGAGTTTGGCGTTACCTGGGCATTCCTGACACCTTCACTTGTCAAGCTTATGTCACCAGAGATGGTGCCTGGTCTGAGGTTCTTGGTTCTGGGCGGAGAGCCCTTAGGAAGGGTCGACGTGGAGACATGGTCGCCACACTTGCAACTCGCAAACGGCTACGGTCCGACCGAATGCTCAATTGCTGCTACGGGAAATCCCAGGCTTAACCCGCAATCGGACCCATTAAACATCGGATATCCTCTTGGTGCCTTGTGCTGGATTGTTGACCCAGAGGACCATCGGAGGCTCATGCCACCTGGTGCACCAGGGGAACTCCTCGTCCATGGACCAATCGTGGCTCGAGGGTACTTTAAAGACCTTGAGAAAACGGAAGCTGTTTTTCTGGACGATTTCCCTTGGCTGCCGGATCGTGGATTCGGCAAGTCAAGGCGAATGTACAAGACTGGAGACTTGGCCCGATATAATCCCGATGGGAGTATCAACTTTATCTCGCGCAAGGACACCCAAGTCAAGCTACGTGGGCTGCGGATAGAGTTAGGTGAAATTGAACATCATGTCGCTGTACACACGCACGTACGGCAAGCTGTGGTCATTCTTCCTCGCCAAGGACCGTGCAAGAATCAACTCACAGTGGTGATGTCTCTCAAACAGACACCCGAAGGTGAAGAAGCTGGACAGCTGGAGCTGATTGAACCGAGGACCGATGAGTCGATATCCAATTCAATAGCCACCCTCTTTCAGGATGCTTCAGAGCATCTCCCCGCATATATGGTTCCATCAGTCTGGATACCTGTCAAATCAATACCTCTTACCATTTCCGGCAAGCTCAACAGGGTCTTGGTAGCCAAGTGGGCCGTGGATATGGACGAATCCACGTACAACATCATCACCGGGGCTGAAGTAGCACCGCAGCCCTCAAGCCCAACCGAAGAGCAGATACTTCAGTTGTGCAGCGATGTCCTTGATATACCGGTTGGCCGTGTCTACCTCAACAGGTCTTTCGTCAATAACGGTGGCGATTCCATCCTAGGCATGCAACTATTGGCCAGATTGAGGCAGGGTGGAATCAATGTATCAATCAGAGACATGATACAAAGCAAAACCTTAGTGGAGCTTGCCAGCCGGGCACGTTCTGGGACAGGGTCAGAGATCGTTGCATTTCCAATCACCTACAATGTGGACCAGTTCACTCGGCAGACCTTGCCGCATTTGGGCCTGAACGTTGGTGAGGTAGAAGCCGCATATCCCCTTGGACCCATGCAACGGGGCATCATGTTGAGTCAGGATCGGGAAGCTGCCAGCTACGAGCTGCGTATTGTGTGCGAAATCGTATCCTCTGGCAATGTCGACATTGACCGCCTCAAGCAAGCTTGGCAAGCCTTACTTCAGCGGCACTCCTCTTTGCGAACAATTTTTGTCCCAAGCATTTCTGAACACTCGTCTCACGATCAGGTGGTGTTGAAGTCTGCAGTACCCATTGTGTCGGTAGTCAACTGCCAGGACCTGACCGAGATCCACAAAGCCGTCCGCAGGCATAAGATCGTGGCTTCCCCCAATCAACCTCGCGTCAATCTTGTCATCTACAAGACTCCACAAAAGACCTACTGCATGTCTGCGATTGACCATGCCCTGATAGATGGAGTCTCTGTTCTTCTCATGTTCCGGGACCTCAGTGCAGCCTACTCCGGGCTTCTGGACCCTCAAGTCGAGATGAGATACTCCGAGTATATCGGCTACCTTCAACAATTGAATGAAATAGACAGTCTGGAATACTGGAAAGAGTATCTTGCAGATGTCTCCTCCTGCCACTTCCCCGTGCTCAATGACGACGCTGCCATTCCCAACGAACTTCACGAACTAAGCTCCGAGTTTCACGCGGGTGCAGAATTGCAAGACTTCGCTCGAAAGCACAACTTTACACCTTCTAGCATCATCCAAACAGCCTGGGCTATCGTCCTCAAGTGTTACACCGGTCAGGACGACATCTGCTTCGGATATCTGTCCGCTGGCAGAGATGCTCCTGTGCTGGGTATCGAAGACGCCGTGGGTGCGTATATCAACATGCTCATCTGCCGATTGAGGCTGCCCCCAAACGACAACATCATCCAGTTGGTAGAATCCGTCCAGGATTCCTTCTTGAAAGCGATGCCCCATCAACACTGTTCACTGGCCCAGATACAACATAGCCTCCAACAACGAAAGCCGCTTTTCAACACGATTATGTCTTTGCAGAGTGCTGTGGGCGAAGTCATCCAAGTAGCCGAGGGCAAAGAGCACATCTCTTTCCACATCATTGAAGACGTAGATCCCACCGAATATGACATCAGTGTCAATGTCTCTATCTCTCGCAGGTCAATGCACATGAACATTCGATATTACACTTCGAACATCAGCGACGCTATGGCCAAGAATGTGTTCGAGACCTTCCAACACGTGGTCACAGCGATCCTCGATCACCCAAACCGGACCTTGGCTGAGATGCCCGTCTTGAGCGACAATGACCGTCAGCAACTCGAATTATGGAACAACCAGGATTGGGAAGATATTGACGCCTGCGTCCATCACCAGATCGCCTCGCAGGTCTCTCAAAGGCCCGAGACCATCGCCGTCGAGGCATGGGATGGAAAGCTAACATATCTTCAACTAGACAGCTTCAGCACAGCCCTCGCAGCACACCTCAGCAAGCTCGGAGTTGCGCCTGAAGTCCTGGTTCCCCTAAGCTTTCAAAAGTCGGTCTGGACGCCTGTTGCGCAACTGGCCGTCTTGAAAGCTGGCGGCGCATGCGTGGCATTTGACCCCAATCATCCCCAGAAACGCCGAGAGGAGCTTCTTCGACAATGTGATGCGCGAATAGCGCTCACCGCTCCCGCACACAGAAGCCTCTTTGAAGGATTGGTAGACCAAGTGGTGGTGGTAGCGGAATCTCTCTTAGAGGCGCTCGGCCGCACGTGCACAAGCGTACCAAGCTGGAAGATGGCTTCACCAAAAGATCCCGCATTTGTTGTTTTCACGTCCGGAAGTACAGGAAAACCCAAAGGGATTGTCCTCGAGCACCATTCCCTCGTCACGAGTGCACATGCCCATGGGCCTGCCATGAAATACGGTCCAGGAGCAAGGATCCTCCAGTTTGCGTCATACACCTTCGACGTCAGTATTGGCGAAACATTCACTTGCCTGATGCTAGGAGGCACCCTCTGCATTCCCAACGACGAAGAGCGCATGGACGACCTTGCTGGGGTCATTAACCGAATGGATGTCAACATTGCTTATCTCACTCCCTCAGTGGCGAGCATCCTCCATCCCGAGGACGTGCCTGGGCTTGAAGTGCTTGCGCTGGGCGGTGAAGCTGTAAGGGCGGAAAACATTGCATTGTGGGCAGACAAGCTGTACCTGGTTAACATATATGGCCCTGCGGAATGTTCAGTCTGGTCCACTGGGCTGCATCCCGTACCCAAGGGCACGTCACCGGCTAATATTGGTTTCGGTCTGGGTGCCCTGATGTGGATCACTGAAGTTGGCAATCCCGACAAACTCTGTGCCATCGGCTGTACCGGAGAGCTGCTCATCCAAGGACCTATCGTCGCCCGCGGATATTTGAAGGACAAGGAAAAAACGGACGCGGCGTTCATCTCGGATCCGCCCTGGATGCCGCTCAATACAAAGGGCGCCGACCGCAGGTTATATCGAACAGGTGATTTGGCTCGATATAATTCGGATGGTTCGATCAATTTTATTGGACGTCGAGACTTTCAAATCAAGCTTCATGGCCAACGCATCGAAATGGGAGAGATTGAGCACAACATTCTAAGTCACGACGACGTAGCAAATGCTGTCGTGACATACCCGAAAGCCGGCCCGGTGAAAGAGAAGCTTGTCGCAATCGTGGCTCTAAGGGAATTGCCTTCAACAGCTTGTGCCGACGAGATCACAATCGTGGATTTGTCCCGGAGCCATACAGCGGCCGAGCAAGTATCTGGAGCCTACTCACATTTGTCCGAGAGGGTCCCAGGCTACATGATGCCGTCAGTCTGGCTAGTTGTCGAGACCATTCCCCTCTCTGTCAATGGGAAGACAGATAGGTCGAGGGTTTCACGCTGGATCGAAGACCTAGATTTCATTCCAGAGCAAGAGTTTCAGCCTTCAGCATCCCCTACGGAGGTGTCGTTGCCCACAACCCAGGCCGAGGACAACATTCGTGGTGTGCTCAGCGTAGTCCTTGGCCTGCCACTCGACAAAGTCTCCATGGAACAGAGCTTCGTGGGACTTGGAGGTGATTCCATCACAGCGATGCAAGTCTCTTCGCGCTCCAGAGTAAATGGTATGTCGATTACAGTCAAAGACATATTGCTCAGCAAGACAATCCGCCAACTCGCTATGACCGCCACAGTCGCTAAGCAGAAAGATACACTGACGGTTTCCTCGGAGAGCGCAGGCGCTTTTGCCATGCTCTCGGAGACGGACCTCGCATTGCTTGATCGAGAAACTCGCCAAATGGGCCTCGCCGGGCTTGAGGATATTTCGGATGGTTACCCCTGCTCGCCCATGCAGCAAGGCATCTTGATCAGCCAGGCCCAGGCTTCCACCAATTACAAGTTCTATGTCGTGTGCGAAGTGAAGTCGGCCCAGTCGACTACTATTCTTACAAAAGATCTTCTTGCTGCTGCCTGGAAGCGGGTGGTCAACAGACATTCCATCCTTCGCACGTTCTTTCTGGAGAATGCGTCCAAAGGCGGTCTATTCAACCAATATGTCCTTAAGAAGTTCTCTCCCAGGATTGACTTCGTTGAATCATATGATGCACTTGTCACATACCCGTATACCAACCCTGTCGACTATGAAGAGAAAATGCCACCACATCGACTGACAGTATTTGAAATGCCGCAGAAGCTGATTTTCAACCTTGAGCTAAGTCACACACTGATCGATGGCGCATCAATGGCCGTGATCATGAAAGACTTGGCAGCAGGCTATGAGCAGCTTCTGCTTCCCGGACCACTTTACCGCGACTATATCTCTGTCCTGCAAGAACGGTCACCGGAAGAGTCTCTTAACTACTGGAAGAGTTACCTGGCTGGAGCAGAGCCTTCATCCTTTCCCGCCCTCAACAGCGAGCTCGTAGGCTCCAAGACGCTTGAAGCTGTGACGGTTGCTATTTCTGAGGCTACTACGAGAATGTTGCAAGAGTTTTCACGGGGACACGGTGTCACACTAGCCAATGTACTACAGATGGCATGGGCTTTGGTCGTTCGTGCCTTCAGCAGCTCTACTGATGTGTTGTTTGGGTTTCTCGCCTCTGGTCGCGATGTCGCTGTGGCGAACATCGAAGAAGCTGTGGGACCTTACATCAACATGCTTATCTGCCGAATCGATGCTGGAGACCACGTGTCAATTGCTGACGCAGTCAGGCGGATTCAGCACGAATACTTGGACTGCCTACCTTACCAACACACTCCCCTGGCGGAAATTCAACACAGCCTGGGCTTCACTTCGACTCGGATGTTCAACACCATACTCTCACTTCAACGACCTATGGCAGAGGGTGTCGATCCCGGCGGTGAAATCAGTATCAACTATCTTCAGGGCAGCGATCCCACCGAATACGATTTGAGTGTCAACATTATTGCCAGTGACAAGGCGACTGAAATCTCCATAAGCTACTGGAACACTTTCTTGACGAGCGAACAGGCTGATCGAGTGGCGGCGACTTTCTCGCAAATCCTGAGCCAAATGCTTGACCAAGATAGGACTACTATATCGGCTCTGGATCTGCTAAGCCCGGGGGATCGAGAGTTACATTTTCAATGGAACAATAATGGCGTCGCACCTACAAAGATTGAAGGACTAATCCACGCGCAGGTTGCGAAACATGCTTCCGAACGCCCAGAAGCATCCGCGATCGCCGGATGGGATGGCGGCATGACATACAAGGAGCTTGACGAGACCTCAACCCGCCTGGCCCATCATCTCCTCCAACTCGGTGTTAGAACAGGCGACAAGGTGCCTCTCTGTTTCGATAAGTCGAGGTTCGCCGTCATCTGTATGTTGGCAATACTTAAGGCTGGGGGAGCGTATGCATCAATGGATCCCACACATCCCACACAACATCTGTCTAATATTGTGCGGGAAACTGGTGCAAAGCTCGTTCTGACTGGCTCAGCTGCTTACGCGGAGCGGTTGGAAGATATCGTCGACAAAGTCCTGATTGTTGATGCTGGACTCTTCCACCAGATACCCGCCACGGTTCCCGTCCTGGTCACTGCGTCATCTTGTGACGATGCTGCTTTCATTTGTTTCACCTCCGGCTCCACAGGAAAGCCAAAGGCTATATGTCTCACGCACAGCGGATTCACGTCAATGGTCGCATACAACAAGGAAATGGGGATTGTTCCACAATCAAGAGTCTTCCAATTTGCGGCATACACGTTCGATACAAGCAACTCTGAGATATTCACAACACTCACTTCAGGTGGCTGTGTGTGCATTCCTCACGAATCTGAGCGGCTCAATGACCCTGCCGGAGCAATGAATAGCCTCGGAGTCAATTGGACATTCCTGACACCTTCAATGGCCAGCATGCTGACTCCAACTGATGTTCCCTGCTTGCGTACTCTTGCGCTTGGAGGAGAGCAAGTGCGTGAAGACATTGTGAACTCCTGGAAGGATGAAGTACGCGTCATCAACTCCTTTGGACCAGCGGAGTGCACAATTTGGACGTCGATGGCGGATCTTGGTCATGGTAATTCACCAGCCACCATCAGCAGAGGCAATGGTGGTAACGGCTCCCTTCTATGGGTCGTAGACATCTTGGACACCCACAGACTGGCTCCAATTGGCAGTGTGGGAGAGCTACTGATCGAAGGGCCCATCCTCGCCAGAGGTTACCTGGATGCCGACAAGACTGCGGAGGCCTTCATAACCGCCCCGGAATGGCGTGGATCAGGGTATCGATCAATCCGCATGTACAAGTCTGGTGACCTGGTCAGGTACCAAGGTGACGGCACATTGGTCTATGTGGGCAGGAGAGATGGACAAGTCAAACTCAACGGCCAACGCATTGAAATGGGTGAGATTGAGCGACACCTCGCCGCGCACGATCTGGTGCGTTACGCTGTTGTACTTCTGCCAAAGACGGGCATATGCAGAAGGAAGTTGGTCACCGTCGTAGCACCAGCAGAATTCTCAACGAAGACCGTGGCATCCCAGGAACCACGCACGATCAGGGACAAAACTACAAGAGAACAGGCGGCAGCTCAGATTGCGATTGTGAAAGCCGACCTTCGAGGTCATCTGCCGGGATATATGGTTCCATCTGTGTGGCTACTCCTCGAAGCCTTCCCTCTCACGGCCTCAAAGAAGATCGACAGAGTCAGAGTGTCTCGGTGGGTTGGGGAACTCACGTATGAGACATACATCAGTTCCCTTGACGTCGAGGAGGAGCAATGGACAGCGCAGGTTGCGACCTCGCAAGAAAGGTTAATCCAGAAGGTCGTATCAACGGTCCTGAACATTCCTGTTGCGCAAGTCAATATCAACAAGTCCTTCCTCAACATGGGCGGTGACTCAATCCTTGCTATGCAGCTTGTGGTTCAATGTCGTAGAGAGGGCCTCAAAGTCACCGTGAAAGATGTCATGCGCAGCAAGACTATCTCGGCTTTGGCACTTACCGCTCAGTCGACAGGGTCAGACGGTTTCTTGCACAGCGAAGCTTACGATGTTCCATTCGAACTCTCCCCAATCCAATCCATGTACTTCTCTGATATCACGCTTGGCTCCTCGAGCGCTGAATCTAACCGGTTCAACCAGAGCTTCCTGCTCAATGTCAGTCGGAAGACCAGCGAGGGGATGTTATCCAAAGCCATCGATCACGTCGTCAAAAATCATTCGATGCTTCGAGCTCGCTTCCGACAGGACGATGCTTGCCAGTGGTCACAGGTAGTCCCCATTCACAGCGTCGATTCGTACCGCTACCGTGTGCACAGCTCAAACACCCGCGAAGAGGCACTATCGATTGCGGAGCAGTCGCAAGAGGGACTCGACATCGAAAACGGCCCTGTCTTTGCCGCTGAATTAATCAATATATCAACCGACTCTCAGATTCTGTTCCTCGTGGCCCATCATCTAGTTGTCGACCTGGTGTCTTGGAGGGTCATTATACGACAGTTGGAAGAAGTTCTCACCACAGAGACGTTCCTTCCGAGCCCATCCCCCTTCCCGTTCCAGTCTTGGGTGAAGTTGCAGGCGGAGCATGCCCGTACCAACTTGGCCCCTGAGGATGTACTACCTTATGCAGTCCCCGCAGCAGACTATTCCTTTTGGGGAATGGCAACCACGGCAAACTATCGTGGAGAGACGGAGGAGGTCAAGTTTGATTTCAGCCAGAGTGATACTACACTTCTCCTGCGAGGCTGTCACAAAGCCATGAGAACGGACGCACTTGACCTGTTCCTTTCCGCGGCATTCGAATCTTTCAGTGAAACTTTCGGGCGAGCGCCACCTGCCATCTTCAACGAGGGCCATGGTCGGGAATCATGGGATGCTCAGATTGACAGTACCGAGACGGTTGGTTGGTTCACCACGATGTTTCCCTTGTTTGTCTCGTCCGATAGCAGCGCGCCCATGCTTGCTACCGTCCGGCAAGTTAAGGACCAAAGAAAGCAACTCCCTCGAAATGGGTGGTCATATTTCAATTCTCGCTTCTCCAACGAGCGCGGCAAGGTGGCATTTGCTCAACATTCCCCCATTGAGATTCTGTTCAACTATCTTGGCGTATTTCAAGCCGGAAAGCAATCGACAAGTTTGCTTCAGCCGGAACCATTCAACAAAGGTGACACGGGGCCCCGTGTGAAACGCTTTGCCCTTGTTGAGATCAATGTCTATATCCTTGACGGCCAAGCACATTTCTCCATGGTTTACAACCGACACATGAAACACGAAGACAAAATCAAGGCTTGGGCGGATGCTTATAAATCCACTATCATGAAGATTGCCGGATCACTGAAGAGCTCGGATCTCCAGTTGACTCTGAGTGACTTTCCTCTGCTTCCAACAGATTACCATTCTCTACGGAAATTCGAGCTCGAGCAGCTGTCACAGATCGCTACCAATGCTGAAAGCATCGAGGATATCTACGTCTGCTCTCCCATGCAACAGGGCATCTTGTTGAGCCAAAACAGACTTCAGGGTGCATACCGAATTCAAATTATCGTGGAGGTGTTGTCGACCAGCAAGTCTCGGATCGATGTCGAGAAACTTGGCGAGGCGTGGCAGTTTGTTGTTGATCGTCACCAGGCACTACGAACAGTATTCATTCAGAAGATCAGCCAGCGACCCTATGATCAACTTGTCCTCAAGAAGCATGCGGCACGAGTGGCTTTCATCGAGGCATCAGCTGAGAATGCTGTTTCCCACTTACACTCCCTGCAGGGCTTCGATTATGCGGCCCCTAAACCAGCACACTGTCTGACCATCTTGAAAGCGTCCTCCGGCAGAGTCTTTGCCAAGCTCGAAATCAGTCACGCGCTCGTGGACGGAACGTCGATGGGTGTCTTGATGTCCGAATGGCTTCAAGCATTTCAAGGTCCACTTCCAACAGGACAAGGACCGCTCTACGGTGACTATATTGCCTACCTGGATTCACAGCCGCGAGAACAATCTCTTCAGTACTGGGTCAACCATCTTGGCAAAGTCCGGCCTTGCCACTTCCCTGTGTTGACGGATGACGTGATGCAACCAACAAGACATCTCCGTAACGTCGAGGTCCTGACTCCGAATGCAGTACGCATTCGAGACTTCTGTCAGCAAAATAACATCACCCTCGCAAGCATCTTCCGTCTAGCGTGGGGAGTTGTCTTGCAAGCTTATACTGGTGACGATAATGTTTGCTTCGGTTACTTGGCCTCAGGCCGCGAAGTCCCAGTTCCCGGGATTGAGAATGCTGTCGGCGCATTCATCAATATGCTTGTTTGCTCTCTTGACTTCGACCGTATTGGCAAGAGAAAAGCGGTCGATGTCCTTGAAGATCTACAGGACGAATATTTGAAGTCCTTGCCATTCCAACACACCAGTCTGGCTGTAATTCAGCACGAGCTAGGTTTAGCAGGCCAGACCTTGTTCAACACGGTTTTGAGTTTCCAACGTCGTGCACACGGAGACTTCAAGGAAGGTGACATTTTACTCCGCTACATGGACGGCGTTGACCCCACCGAGTACGACGTCTCTGTGAGCATTGCGGACAGCGAACAGGGCATCCACGTTCACATGAGCTACTTCACCAGTAGGTTGTCAGATGGCCAAGCTTTCAATGTCGCAAACACCCTTTCCACTGCATTGGACTCCATTCTTGACACACCTCAATCAACAGTCACATCGTTGAATCTATTCGGCGCACAAGACGCGGAGAAGGTCTATGGATGGAACCAGCACAGACCAGCGGATATCAACAAATGCGTACATCAAACATTCCAGGAAAGTTCATGCAACAGTCCAGATGCGTCGGCTATTGAGTCCTGGGACGGGAATTTCACTTATCGCAGCCTCGACCACCACACCTCCCAGCTAGCCAACGAGTTGGTTGTAGCAGGAGTACATGTCAACGATTTGATTCCGATTGTCTTTGAGAAGAGCGCTTGGGCAATCGTTGCGATGCTTGCAATCATGAAAGCAGGAGCCGGCTATGTTCCCTTGGATCCAGCTCATCCCGATGATCGACTTCAGACGATCATTGCACAAACCGGGAGCAAGCTCGTTCTGGCATCTGAAGCTTCAAGTGATCGCATGAGAAGACTCGTGGCTGCAGTACTGACTGTAGGATCCGCCTCTGGAACATGGTCTAGCAAGGCCACAGAGGCACCTCAGACTTCTGTCTCCCCAGCCGATGTCGCGTACACTCTGTTCACATCTGGATCCACCGGTCTCCCAAAGGGCGTGGTCCTGCCACATCTTGCTGTGAGCAGCAGTATTTTGCACCATGGAAGGGAGATTGGCTGCAGCCCTGCCACCCGAATGTACCAATTTGCGGCTTACACATTCGATGCCTGTATCCTGGAAATCTTCACCACCCTCGCCTATGGAGGCTGCATTTGTGTCCCTTCCGACTCCCAGCGAATGAGCGACATAGCAGGATTCATCACAAGACTGAGAGTGAACACATCTTTCATGACTCCATCCCTGGTCCGCATTCTAACGCCGGAGCAAATTCCAACGATGAAGACCCTCATCTTGGGTGGCGAGGCTCTGGGCAAAGATAACATTGAAATTTGGGCTGACAGACTGCATCTGATGAATGGATACGGCCCGACTGAGACCTGCGTCTTCGCGGTCATGAAGACTTTCAAGAGCCCAAAGGACCGGAATGACATACTAGGAAAAGCCGTTGGCGCGCAGGCTTGGATCGTGCAGTTGGACAATCACAGTCAGCTTGCCCCGGTCGGAGCTGTCGGTGTCCTGTTCCTGTCTGGAGCCACCTTGGCCACGGGATACCTGAACGATCAGGCCAAAACAGACAGTGTCTTTCAGGAGGGTAAAGACTTCTTACCAAACGCTGCTGGCGGTACGAAGCAGCGCATCTACAATACTGGTGACCTTGTCCGCTACAACTCTGACGGAACCATCACCTACCTCGGGCGACGAGATACCCAGGTCAAGCTCCGCGGACAACGGATTGAGCTCTCTGAAATTGAACATCACACCAAAGCTAACTTTCCTGGCGCTTCTCAAGTTGCTGTCGAAGTGGTCGAACCTCAAGGGCAAAAGGAGCGAGCTTGCCTTGCTGCCTTTTTGTGCCTTCCCGACAAATTATCGGGTGTTGACATGTTTTCCCGCTGGCCAGACGATACCAAGGACAACGTGTCTCATTTGAGAAAGACATTGGCCATGCTACTACCACCGTATGAGATGCCTTCACTATACATTCCAGTCAACAGGATGCCCACGACTACAGCGGGCAAGCTCGACCGCAAGGCACTTCGCGCTGAAGTGTCACGCCTTTCTGACGAAGACCTTAACCCTTTCTCCTTATCTGAAGAGATCAAGCGCCCTCTCACCAACGAGAGCGAGAAGGAGCTTGCCCGCCTGTGGCAAGCAGTACTAAAGATTTCCATTTCCCAGATTGGAGCCGACGACAACTTCTTCCGTCTGGGTGGCGACTCGGTCATGGCCATGAAGCTTGTGGCGAACTCAACCTCGAGATTGTCGCTTACAGTTTCAGATATATTCCAGCACCCGGTGTTGTGCGAGATGGCATCAGTTGCGGAAAGAAATGTTACTCCCTCCAGTACGCCAGACTTAATGCCATTCGATCTTCTGCATCCACACGTATCTATGAATGATGTACGGAAGGTACTAGCATTCAAGTGCCAAGTCTTGGAGAGCCAGGTTGAAGACTGCTATCCCTGCACGCCATTGCAAGAAGGCTTGATGGTCCTCTCGATACTTAACCCTGGAGCTTACGTGGCCCAAAAAGTGTTCAAACTACCTGCCTCGATGGACATTGCCAAGTTCAGGTCAGCATGGGAAATGACCGTCGCAAATAATCCCATACTACGCACTGCCATCGTCCAGGCCGACTCTGCTCGCGCGTTGCAGGTCGTCCTCAGAGATTCATTCACCTGGCGATCTGCCGAGACTTTGGAGGAATACTTGGCAAAAGATCAGGACGAGGAAGCAGCATATGGGAAGCCCTTGTCACGTTACGCCTTGACTAATGATGGACATTTCGTCTGGACTGCGCACCACTGCATGTATGATGGCTGGTCTGTTCCGCTGGTTCTCGAGCAGGTTCGCTCGCACTATCTCGAAATCACGGCACCTCATGCACCAGGATTTAACCGATTCATCAAATATCTGTCAAGCACCAGTGACGAGGCATCATACAACTTTTGGGAGCGATACTTGTCTGGAGACAAGGCTTCGACATTCCCAGAGCAGCCTGCTGCAACGCATCGCTTGAGAGTTGATCATGCGGTTCATCATTCAATCGTTATCACCCGCAAAGCTGGTTCAGAAACCCCGATGGCCACCGTGTTGCGGGAAGCTTGGGGGTTCTGCCTTTCTCAATACGCCGACTCCAAAGATATCGTCTTCGGTGTAACACTCTCAGGCCGCAATTGCCCTGTCGCGGACATTGGAAAGATTATAGGGCCTACCATCACGACCGTACCTGTCAAGGTAACTTTGTCCGAAGATCTGACTGTCTCGGCATCCCTCAAGCGGGCTCAAGACCAAGCGACCGAGATGATCCCTTATGAGCACTTCGGTCTACAAAACATTGCGAAGATCAGCGAGGTGGCGGCTAATGCTGTTCAGTTCCAAAATATCTTTGTCGTCCAGCCCACGGTCCAATTCGACGTCCACCACAATGAACTCCTCGGCGCCGACGATGTCTCACCTCCACTGAAGGACTTTGATACTTATCCTCTCATCGTGGAATGCAGCCTGGACGATGCTCAGGTGAATCTAGAGGCACGCTTTGACAAGAGCATCATACCAGCAGAACGTGTCGAACGGATGCTTCACCACTTTGAACACGTTGTGCGACAGTTCAATGATGCATCTGAGTCCCAGAAGCTGGCCGAGATCAGCATGTTTGGCGAGCGAGACATGGCCCAGATTCTCTCTTGGAACAAGACTTATCCCGAGGTACTGGAGACCAATGTTCCCAGCGTGTTTGCAGAGCAGGTACGAGCAAGACCTGATGCCCTCGCGGTCGACGCGTGGGATGGGAAACTCACCTACAGTGAGCTTGACAGACTATCCACTCGCTTTGCTCTCCATTTGGTTGATGCCGGTGTTGGTCCTGAGGTGCTTGTGCCACTATGTTTCGAAAAATCTAGATGGGCTGTTGTTTCGCAAATGGCTGTCATGAAAGCTGGCGGCGGATGTGTCAATATGGATCCCGCCCATCCCCTCGGCCGGCTAGAACTAATCATTCAGGATGCACGAGCAAAGATACTACTCGTTGCGCCTCAATTGCGAGCCAAATTCAGGGAGGTTCAAGGCGCGAAGATCGTATCGATCGATGAGGAATTCTACAAGGCTATGGAGCATTCCATCCCAAAGACCCATCAACTTCCTCATATCGATCCCATGAACACCGCCTATGTTCTATTCACGTCTGGCTCAACGGGACGACCCAAAGGAATTGTCATTGAACATCGCAGCCTTTGCTCGAGCTCCAAGGCGCACGGAACCGAGTGGGACATCGGCCCCAACACCCGCCTGCTGCAATTTGCTGCCTACACCTTCGACGTCAGTTGCGCCGATATCTTCACCACTCTTCAACGAGGCGGATGTATCTGCATTCCATCGGAGCACGATCGGATGAATGACTTGGCAGGCGCTATCAACAGGTTCCAATGTAACTGGGCGTTCTTGACACCCACGGTTGCGAGCTTACTCCCAGCTAAAGGCATCCCCAGCTTACGCAAATTGGTCTTGGGAGGTGAGGCCAGTACTCGAGATACCATCGCTAAGTGGCATAACGTTCTGGACCTGATTGTATGCTATGGCCCAGCTGAGTGCTCGGTATACTGCTCTGGAGCTCCGCCAGCAAAAGCCACAAGCGATCCTGCCGACCTTGGTAAAGCCATCGGCGCTCTCTACTGGATCGCGGACCCCTTGGACTTCAATCGCTTGGTGCCAGTTGGCTGCGTTGGTGAACTTCTACTAGAAGGGCCAACTGTGGCTCGAGGATATCTGGGAGACGAGGAGAAGACGGCAAGTGCTTTCGTCGCCAACCCCGTGTGGGCAAGATCCGAGCCACAAGGGGCTCCGCGACGATTCTACCGCACAGGTGATCTTGTGCAATATAATGAGGATGGCACAATTCATTTCGTTGGCCGAAAGGATACACAGGTGAAGATCCGTGGACAGCGTGTTGAACTAGGGGAGATCGAACACGCCATTCGCGTCAATCTGCCCAGTCTCGCACATGTTACGGTTGAAGCAGTGCGACAGACTAGTCAAGGTGGACAACAAACCGTGGTTGCATTCCTGCATACGACAACCGTTAGCGGTCCGGCGAAGATGTTGACTCTGGACGATAATCTCAGAGAAGATTTGATCAAACTCCGGCGGTCTTTGGCTGAATCATTGCCGTCATACATGGTCCCATCGCTTTTCATTCCCATGGCCCAGGTACCACTGACAATGAATGGCAAAGTGGATCGGAGAGGTTTGAGAGAGCTAGCAGGATCGTTAAGCCAAGAAGACAAACTCAAATACGCACTGGAAGATGCTGCGAAAGAAGAGCCTAGCACCGAGACGGAGTACATGCTGCGAGACTTGTGGGCTCGAATCCTGTCTGTCGAATCATCTACCATTGGTATCGGTGATCACTTCTTCAGACTTGGGGGAGATTCGATTCTAGCTATGAAACTAGTCGGACTCGCGGTCGAGAAAGGCCTCTCACTCTCAGTGAAGGACTTCTTCCAAAGTCCTGTGCTCTCGGCAATGGCAGCGGAAGTCGATGGCCGTACCCAATTCACCACCAACGGTATCACCACTTGTGTACCCTTCTCCCTCATGGGCCATGCGCATTCCGACAAGCTTATTGAAGAAATGGCTTTGCAACTACAGACACCCATGTCAAATATCATTGACGTGTATCCTGCGACAGACTTTCAGAAGACAGCCGTCTCTCATGCCTTGATGATGACACGTGGCTTTCGCAACTACCTGTGGCTGGATGGAGCTTCTGACATCCCACTCGACGTCCACGCAGCGCAAAAGGCATTAGTCAAGTTCGTTGCTGCACACGACATACTACGAACCATCTTTGCCATCCACCAGAATGATATCTTGCAGGTTGTGCTGCAACATCTGGAAGTGGATGTCGATGTCAGGGAGACACGCGAAGACATAGCAGATTTCACGGAGAGTCTGTGCAAGGAAGACACGGCTTTGCCCACGAGGCTGACTGATCCTCTGCTCAAATTCTTTATTGTCACCAAGGCTGGAAGTACTCGCCACCGCATCATTATGCGCATTTCGCATGCACAGTATGACGGTGTGTGCTTACCACACATCTGGAAAAGTCTTTCGGAGGCATTCGCAGGTACAACGCCGGCAACGTCCTCGACGCCTTATTCGACCTACTTACAAGGCCTCCATTCCCTGGACCATGAGGAAACATCCAGGTACTGGAAGGACCTTCTCAGAGATTCGAATATGACAAATATTGTCTCTCATTCGAAACCGTCCTACTCTAACGTCTACAATACTTTCACGAAACGAATCATCCCTTCATCTTCACTCTCATCACATGGCATCACGTTCGCCACGATACTGAAAGCCAGCTGGTCCCTCGTGTTGGCGTCCCTGTCGGCTACTTCAGACGTCGTCTTTGGACACGTTGTATCAGGCCGCAACCTGGACGTGGCAGACGTGGAAAAGGTGATCGGATGCTGCATCAATATAATCCCCGTCCGAGCGACGCTTCACACAGGGACGACGAATGTGGAACTTCTTCAGACACTACAGGATCAGCATGCAGCCAGCATCCCTCATGAAGTTCTAGGAAGCCGCACCATTATCCGGGAATGTACAACATGGCCAAAATATACTCGCATGAGCAGCATTGTACAACATCAAAACATTGAGGAAGAGGGCAGCGTTGAATTGAATGAAACTCAACATAAGGTTGATTTCTTCTGTCCCGAAGCCGACGAAGCCGACCTTGCAATCAAGACTACGCCATTGAAGGACGGCACGACCGAAGTGCTTTTGATCTGTTCGGATAGGACCATCAAACAAGATACGCGAGATTTACTCATTGACTCGTTGTGCACTGCCATCGATGGTATTTGCAGGAAGCCGACCGCAGTTGCTGTCGACATTCTCAAGACGTTGACGCCAAAGGTTCCGATCCTGCCCATGTCTGTGCTGAACCCCGAGACCAACGGGGCGTCCCATGCGAATGGCGGCGTCAATGGGTTTGTCAGTACTGTGGCACCTCACATTGGTGGCGGGGAGCCCATCTTATCCAAGAGCCAGTCCAAAAAGCAGAAGCTCGTCGCAGCATGGATAGCAGTTCTCGGCCTTCCAAGAGACTCGACCATGAAGATCACGGACGACAGCGACTTCTTCGAGCTGGGCGGCGATCTTGTCGCAGCGGCAGTTCTGGCGGCGAAGTTGGAGGAGGAAGAAATAGGCATCATCACCATCGAGGACATTATTGACAGGAGCACGGTGTCGGACATGGTGAATGCTTTGGGCAATAAGTGAGGTTGGGTCCGCATGTGCATGTTCGACTTGAATGGCGCTGCATCGGATGGTTTTAGGATCAGCAATTGATTTTTAGTTGATTTTAGCTCTTTGAATACTAATTCTAATTGAACACATCATGACAACACTCTGGGTCAATTCATCTGCCACAACTAGCTACTGTAGGAAGAGGATCTAGATAGGACTAGTCAACATGCTCAACTCCTCCTCGCTTGGCCCGTTGCCCTCCCCATTGATTGACAAGGTATTCAACTTGGGTGGCGCTCTCCTAGGAGGCTCTGGGAACGGCACTTGGTACAGCCAGCCATGGGGATCGTCGGCGCGTCCACGGATGCAGGCCGTGATTGCGGCGCCCAGCTCCACTGCCGCAGGGCCGGGCTTGCCGGCCGGACAGTACACGAACTTGTCTCCAGTGGACTCGCGCACGATGGCGGCGATGGGCAGTACACTCGCGGCGGTCCCGACGGCCAGCACCTCGCTGAACCGCGACAGCTCGGCGTACTTGACGGGGCGGACCTCGACTTTGTAGCCCAGCGAACGGGCAATGGTGCGAATGCTGTCGCTCGTCACCGAATCGATAATCTGTTTCGAGTCGGGCACCACCAGGGTTCCTTTGTCGGCGCCGCCATCGGTGTCTGACTCCGACGACCCTGCAGAACGGATCACGCCGACGAAGCCGCTGGTGCTGAATTCGTCAATCTCGCTCTGGGTGGCCGAGTCGAGATGCAGCGTCATGTAGTAGCCCTTTTGCTTGGCGGCTCGCGACCACTTTATGGCGGGGGCGTAGTTGCCGCCAATTTTGGCATGGCCGGTGCCGCGCGTGGCGGTTCGGTCAAAGTCTTCCATGACCAGGCACGGCAACGGTTGGACACCGTGGTACGTCGTCGCTGGCTGCACGTAGACGGCGAATGTGAAGGTCGAGGGCGGCTCGAGTGCCAGTTGCGCGCCCGACCCGAATAGGACCGGCCGGATGTATAGCACAGCGTTGGAGTCTGCCGGGCCGACGAAGCCGGCGTTGGCCACCACGGCGTCGTTGATGCATTGCATGAAGAGCGATTCGGGCAGGGGCGGCATTGACACCGTCTCGGCCGAGTGGTTCAGGCGCTTCCAGTGGAAGCTGGGGCGGAAGATGGTGATCTTGTTGGATGGCGTGCGTACTGCTTTCAGCCCTTCGTACGCTTGCATGCCATAATTGAGCGCCGGGGAGAGCCCGTGGATGCGGAGGTACGGATCCGAGACGAGTCGGGGCGCTGACCAGCTGCCGGACTCGACTGTGAAAGTTGCTTCGACGTGCCCGTTGACGCTGTCATTGACTGAAAGCCCTAGCTTCGACCAATCGATGTGGGCGAGAGGTGGAGGGATAGCCATGATTGATTGTCTACAAGTGTGCGAATTGGACGATGATTGTGAAGGAAGCCTCGTAGAAATCAGAGATGAGAGAAGCAGCTGCTGTTCGCAGGTGTTGCTGGCCACTTCCGCCCTAGTTTGGTCTCGAAGGTGAGAACTGTGCCTGTGAAGATGTGTCGCCGATTCCGCAATGTTGAAAATCAACAACGAATTGGTAAGTCAAACGGAACAGTCGAATGCATATGATTATTCAAATTTTATGCACACAACAAGCGACGTCGTAAAGGTGAGCAGTGAGTGACTCGTGATTCTGGACCCCCCGTCGCCCTCATTGCTATGACTCCGGAATCGATCTCGATGCTCATCTGACATTGTGGCTTCACAGCCATTCCAAAGGGGTTTTTGTCCCACATTCGACCTTATTATAGCAGCACTTTCGCTAGAAAAAGACCCAATAGTGGCCCGCTTGATTTTGGACTCAAGGGCGCAGGGCTGTCAGCGAGGGTTTTCGGGCGGCATAGACTCGCGTCGTGAAGACATGTCGAGGTTGATTTGAGCTTGACTTGATTGGTGCGCGGAGTGTGACCGATCGACCGAGGGTGTTCTCGATTACTTTTTCCACATGGGTCGCTTGTACGACTCGGTAAGATGCAAGAATGGGGCGAAGTCAGTCCTGACCGGTGTTGAGGTTCAAAAGGGCATGCTGTAACTTATGTACCGATAAATGAGAGCGGCCCAGACAGGACAGGACAGGACAGAACAGGATAGGACGCCTAAATAAACTATGCGGGTAGTCTAGTGCTTATGGGTAGTACAAACTTAGATCTATGGGGCGGTCAGCGGGCTGGTACTAGTAAGACTGCGCTTGTGTCGTCACGTCACGTCACGTCAATACCGTACATACCAATACGTACCTACCAATACCTTACCTTACCTTACGTCGGAAAATACGTTGAAGTTCCCGATGAGTATGCCGTTACAATTCGATTGACTACCGGTAGTGTATGTCAGTCCATCCCTGTCACCGAGATGTGGACATCGAAATGCATTGGTACCGCTTTCCGCCCGCCCATACTCCTACTGACATGACCTGGTTCTTTGACACAGGGGGCCTCATCGGTCTGAGTCTTGGACCCTTGGAGGTTGAAACGCCTTGAACAGTCTTGCACAAAAATTGGAGCTCTGACGACCACACGGCGAACGACAGGCTATTCTTTCTTGTCCTACCACACTGTTCCGGTCCCAAACATGGTTTGCCATTCGATCCGAAGTGATGTAGTGATGTACGATTCAAAGTCTCACTCTCGCTTTCGGTCTACGACTCGGATTGCAGTCATTGCTCTTGATATAACAGTCAACACGGACCTAAGAGTACACAATCATCGGCTGAGAAAGAGCTAGGGTCCGGCTGCTCACGAGTAACAGCAATACGCAACGCCGGTTGATTCCATTCAGTTCTTTTATTATGACGCCTACCTAAAGAGAACAAATGCATTGCTGGCTACTGACGCCATGGCCCCATATCTTTTGGTCCCCAGCCTGTGTAGACGACTTCACGTACAGCGCAATGGTGTGAATACACGAGTCTGGCATCATGCATCAACCCAAGATGTAGGTTGCGGTGCTGACCGTGCAGGACTGACCCCTCGGCTCGGTGGGTTGTATGCACCCATGGGCCGGAATGGCTCGCGCACATTCAATGTATCTCCCGATGGCTGATATTCGTAGTCGTAAGGCTGTCCACGTCTCTCAGCCTGCGCGGGAGATGGGTCCCTAGATCGTAAAGCCTTGAGCTCCTCGTAATTTGCATTCGACGCTAATCTTTCATGCCCACCACGGGACTTGCCCTTTCGATGGCAGCAACAGCAGAGTTTGCGACTCAGCCAGCTCGGTGGTAACTTCGCATCTGGGCCTTGCATGAATCTTCCCGGATGTATGGCGTTCCATATCAGGATACCGAAGAACATAGGTAGAGCTTCGAGAGCGTAGAAGTAAGCTTCTTTGTGCGGGAGAGGATTGTTGGTGCCAAAGCCACGAGAGAATTCGATGAGGCGAAAAATGATGCGCACGGTGATCGCCAGCAGACAGATATACAAGGCATAGAGAATCCATTTCCAGCGCAATTTGTCACCTGCCAAGCGACCCGTCTTTTCCGCTGTCGTCTGTTCGAAGTGGAATTTGATGACAAGGGCCGAAAAGCAAACGATGAAAAACTCCTGAAGTCCAATGCCGCCCATGTAAATGTGAACACCTTTTTGCTGTGCTGCCGGAGATGCCCCAGGTCCAGCCATACCGCCGCCGATCAGCTGAATGATGAAGGAAGTGATGTCGAGGCTGACGAAGATGAAAGCCAATATGGAGGGACTGATCTTCCACACCTTTCTCGTCGGCGAGAAGAAATGCACTATGCGAGCAAAAACCATGTAGGCGAATGCATTCACCCCTGTTCCCCAGTCAGTTGTCTTCGTTAGTGAATGCTTCATCTTAGTACTCACATATGGGTGCCAGCAACACCAAAATCTGGGATACGGTTGCGAGGCTACTACTCTGCTGATGCCTGGTACCTGCAGTCCGGAAACCATAGGACGCAAATTCCCACAACGATGCCATGACGATGACCCAGCAGAAACCCTTTCTGTACGCGATAGCTTGCGCCAGGTGAGCAATCAGGAGCATGCCGAAAAGGACTGAGAAGACGATGGCTGCCCCAAAAGAAGGATTGTAATCCCACAGCGCTCCACAGCTCCCTGGAGGTACGTAGCCATTCTTGTCCGGCGTGATAGTTTGGACACAGGTAGATGTTGGCAGATGGAGGGATAACGATTTATGGCTGTATGAGTATGATGAGACGGAAACGCCCGTGAATGAAGGGAGAGCAGCCCGAAGTGCCAGTGTAGGCGTAGGGCCCAGTGATGATGGTGCTATTTGTTGAGGTAAAGCCGTTTGGGTAGGAAGGGCAGCGGCCAGGAATGCTGTTCCCCAGAGTGAGAAGGTAAGGAGGAGTGAGGCTCTCATGATTTTGTGTCAAAGTTAAGACGTCAGTAGTGCTTGGGCATCAAATGTGCTTGGAAGAGAGAGGTTCGAAGTCGGTGACATTGAAGATTGAAGTCGGAGGCTTCACTCTTTTGGGCAGTTGCAAATGCCAAGAATAGAAGGAAGCTGCTTCTGTCACTTTCATTCATGGCAGGAGAAAAGGGCCGCAGCAGTGAAGACGGCAAGTCATTCACCGCCTGGCCTGGCCTGGCCGCCTAAACATAGCTATGGATATTTTGGAAGGAACACAGGGCTGTACAACAAACATACTGTGGTAGGTCATGTCATGCAAGCTTGGTGGCAGGCTTTGCGGGAACATCTCAGATCTCCACCCGGTACATACAAGTAGTACTGTGGAGTTTGGACTATGATACATAATACGGTATTGAACAGCATTGGAAATAAATCCCGTCATTTGGGTTCTTGATGCTGACAGTATCGCCATTAAATTACTGACTGGGCTGCGGCTGCGCAAGCCACCAACAAACATCCACTGTCCCTGCCGTGCACTGCCGTGCCACCTGCATTTATTAATGGGAAATCTAGACACCGGTTTTGTTAGCGCTGACCGTGTCATGACATCTTGCACGACACACATTCCATCAAAATACTTGAGTGACAAAAGACGAGCTTAATTGATGCAGTCCACGGCAGTCCAAAATCGTCACCTAAGCCTACCCATGCGCCCGCTCGGCCGTACCGAAGAAACACTGCTCCACGAGTCCACGGCCAGTGTAGCACCGGTTTCCCGACGGATTGGGAAGGCGAGGAGGCAGTGCTCAGGCTGTCGATGGTGCATCAGGCTCAGTCCAGCGCTCTTCAACCATCAGAGTCACTTGACTGGGGGACAGGTCGCCAGCACGAAGAAACACGTCTTTCACCCACCGAACATGAACCAGCAGATCATATGAGGAACTGGGATTACCTTCCAACAGCACAGTCCATGCATACTTTCCCCTGAACGCTCAAATCCTCTACTTGACCATGCACCAACCAGCTACTGCGATCTTCGGTGACCGACCGCCTCGGTAACGTCTTTGTAGCCATGAACTGCACCATTCAAGTCAATAATGTCTTCGGTCCAGCAGTCTCCTCGACATGCCAATATGGCTTTGACTTCACTCTACTCTTCGAAGAAGTCTTCCTTTGTATCGTACCCATTGTGGTTCTGTCCGTTCTTGTTCCCCTTCGTCTACACCAACTTCTGCCTCGGAACAAGGTATTTCGACCTGGGAACTTCTACTACACCAAATTGGTAGGTCTTCTTACTTCGCACTGCCGACGTCCCGGCTGATCGACCCAGGTATTTCACGCGTGCTTTATCGCTGTACAACTCGTCAAATTGATTTTCCTGGTTATCCCTGGATTTGTGCCGAAGACGAGGGCATCTATCGCGGCATCGGCTTTGACCTTTTATATCGCCATTGCATTGACCATCTTGTCGCGTTTCGAACACCTGAGAAGTGTCAGACCTTCGGCGCTGCTTTCTCTGTATTTCGGAATCTCACTACTATTCGACGCCATCAGGGCAAGGACACTGTGGACTCTTCAAGATAATGTCCCCTTCGCTGTGCTCTTCTCAGTCAGCCTTGGATTCGAACTCGCTCTGTTCATCTTGGAGTCCCTGGAAAAGGAGTCAGGCTTTGACCGTTCTTATGAAACTCTGTCCAGAGAAACTGCAGGTAATGTCTTCACCAGAGGTCTCTTCTGGTGGGTAAACCCTCTTCTATGGAAAGGATTCAAACATGTCCTGGACACGGATAATCTACCCCAAATCGACAACGAGTTAAGCTCTCCACAACATCAACAGAAGATTTGGGCAGACTGGAATGCTCTACCAACCAAAACTCCAGGCTCGCTCTTCAAGTTGCTCCTCAAGGAATACAGGTACAGCTTGTTCCAGGGAATGATACCCCGGGCCGCCCTCACCGGCTTTACCTTTGCTCAACCTTTCTTGATCACTAGAGTGGTCGACTTCGCTACGGATCCGAAGGTGGGGAAGCTGGACCGCCAGTTCGGTAACGGGCTCATCGCTGCCACAGCACTGATATACATTGGGCTTGCTGTCTCCAATGCCAATGCGCAGCACAAAACATACAGGGTTATCACAAAGTTACGTGGAAGCCTCGTCTCGCTCATCTATTACAAAACCTTGACCGTGAGCATTCCCACAGCCCAAGACTCGTCCGCCATCACGCTGATGAGCACCGATGTGGAACGGTCAGGGACGGGATTGAGATACATTCACGAAATCTGGGCAAGCCCCATCGACATTGGCCTTGCCATCTACCTTCTTGAACGCCAGCTCGGTCCCTCGAGTGCAGCGCCGGGTGTCCTGTTTCTCTTGTGCAGTGGTGCTGGACTGAAAGTTGCTGCGTCAATGGGCGCACGGCAGCGATCCTGGCTTCAAGCCATTGAACGTCGAATCAAAGCTACATCCGAAATGCTCTCCGCCATGAAGGAGGTGCGCATGGGCGGACTCTCGGCGCGGCTCGAAGGTGAATTGGAAGACTTGCGTCAGAAGGAGATAGAAAGCTCCAGGAAGTTCAAGAATGCCTTGGCCCTCATTGTCTGTCTATCTTACACTACTGCTTGCATGGCTCCGGTGTTCTCATTCGGCATATTCTCGCTCCTTGCCCAGAAAAGTCATGCTACGCCGTTGACGGGAGCACAAGGTTTCACTTCGCTGGCGGTGTTTGCACTACTTCGAACACCTATGGCTACACTTATTGATTCAATCGCTGGACTGGTAGCATCAATTGGGGCGGTGCAGCGAATCGGGGAATATATGGCCATAGAGAGTCACATATTGCCTCACAGCAACTCTATGGCATCGCCGTCGCCACCACCGTACTATCCGTACGACCGGGGTGGAACCGAGCGAGCTTACGACTTGGTGCAGATGAGGGATCTCGGCAACTCGGTGTCTAGCCCTCCCTTGTCTTCTGATCCGCATCTGGTGGTAGCCACGAAATGGGACGTTGGATGGGCAACAGATAAGCCATTCGTGCTTCACGAGCTTTCCTTTTCCATTCTGCGATCATCTCTCACATTCATCATTGGACCTGTGGGTTGCGGCAAGTCGACACTCTTACATGGTCTATTGGGCGAAACGACGGCAACCCTTGGCGACCTTTATACCACATTCTCCAGCTGCGGTTTTGCCAGTCAATCTCCCTGGCTAGTCAGCAACACCATCCGCAACAACATCGTTGGATCTAGTGCGTTTGACGAAGCGTGGTATAACACCGTCATTGATGCATGTGCCCTGCGAGAAGATTTACTCCACATGTCCAATGGGGACCTAGAGCTCGTCGATGCTGGTGGAGGGAATCTGAGTGGAGGACAACAAGCCCGAGTAGGTGTCGCTCGAGCTGTGTACTCTAGACAGCCGGTGATCCTGCTCGACGACGTGATGAGCGGACTAGATGCAAACACGGAGAACAGCCTCTTCAATAACTTGCTCGGGCCTGAAGGGCTCCTCCGCAGACAAAAGACCACCATCATCTTTGCCACGAACGCGCTTCATCGACTTTCCGCGGGCGACCATATCATTGTGCTTGGGAGTGATGGCAGAATGCTGGAGCAAGGCCCGTTTGCTGCTTTACACTCGACAGAGAAGGACCAGCAGGCCGATGCTATTGGAAGCTCGGGCTCGGAATTCGAAGAGGTCACACTCAAGCCCATCGATGCTGAGATGCGAGGCCTGCTACAGACCCTAACCGGTAAAGAGTTGGAAGGGTCGCAGAGACGCACGGGCGATATGACCGTGTACAAGTGGTATGCACAGGTGGTGGGTTACATGAACTTTGCAATCTTTGTTGCATTAGCGTCGCTCTTCGTCTTTGCTCTGGTCTTTCCACAGTACATCGTCAAGTGGTGGACTGCGGAGAATGTACATCACCCGAATAGGGGACTAGGATACTACTTGGGAGCCTACTTTGCACTGGGATGGGTTGCCATCTTTTCCCTGGGCACAGCATGTTTGCAACTGGTTGTCAGGATGATGCCCCGAGCCTCCTCGACATTCCACACCGCACTGCTCCGCACGACATTGGACGCACCCTTGTCACTGTTCGCCGGAAATAACTTGGGCACGACGGTCAACCGGTTCAGCCAGGATCTGCAGCTCATTGACATGGAGCTTCCACTTGCATTGTTCAACACCATCGTCGAACTGTTGTCCTGCATTGCCCAATGCATATTGATTGCCATCACGTCAAAGTTCATCGGCGCCACGATGCCTGTCGTTCTCGTCGCCTTCTTCCTGATCCAGAAATTCTACCTCAGGACAGCCCGACAGTTGCGTCTCCTCGACATCGAGGCCAAAGGGCCTCTGTTCTCGTCATTCCTGGAGACCTTGTCGGGCCTAGCAACAATACGAGCATTCGGATGGGAGAACGAGTACGAACAGCGGTGCCAGGAAAAGCTTGACACGTCCCAACGGCCCAGCTATCTTCTCTACTGTGTTCAACGATGGCTCAATCTTGTCCTTGATTTCGTCGTGGCTGGGGTTGCAATCGTCGTCATATCCATTGCCGTCAAGACAAAAGGCGACAGCAGTTCAAGTTTGATTGGGATTGCGCTGGTGAATATCGTCAATTTTAGCGTCAGCATCAAAGCTCTGCTGGAGAATTGGACCAACCTTGAAACATCGATCGGTGCTGTATCGCGCATCCGATCGTTTGTCAAAGAAACCACATCAGAGCACAAAGCATCGGAAAGCAGCCCACCTCCGCCTAACTGGCCCTCTGTAGGCCAGGTGCAGTGGAATAATATCACTGCAACCTGGGAAGGCAAGTCGACACCGGTCCTCAAAGAGCTCACTCTAAGAGTCGAACCCGGCCAGAAACTGGCCATCTGTGGACATAGCGGCAGTGGCAAGTCGTCTCTTGTGTCGGCTTTGTTACGTCTTCTCGAACCGCAGCAAGGCGCGATTTTCATTGACAACCTAGACATTTCCACGATACCTCGTCAAAGCATTCGGCACGGCCTGAACTGTGTTGCACAAAGTCCATTCCTGCTCTCTGCATCGATCCGCCAAAACGTCGACCCGTTCAGTGTTGTATCCGACGACGACATCCGGCATGCGCTGTCCCAAGTCCAAATGCTAGAAGTTGTCGAAGACCTCGGTGGGCTGGATGCTCTGATAGACGGCGACAAGATGTCTGTAGGTCAAAAGCAACTCATTTGTCTCGCTCGCGCCACGCTTCGGCCCGGGTCGATCCTCGTCCTCGACGAAGCAACAGCGTCCCTTGACCTGGACACAGACGAGCTCGTGCAAAAAGTTATCCGCACCGCCTTTCAACGCCACACCATCATCGCAATAGCCCACCGCTTGCACACGATTGTCGACTATGACAACGTGGCGGTTATTTCCGACGGCAGACTCGCCGAATACGGTCCGCCGTCCCAGCTATTGGAAGATTCAAAATCTCTCTTTGCACAACTGTACAACGCCAGCGTAGGCCACGCCAAGAGCGAGCTCTCGCCATCCCAGTCACGAGCAAAACCTGTGCATCGTCGCAAATCCTCGCGTAAAGGCGGTCTGCCATGGAAAGGAAGCATACATATTCCACCGCCACCAGAGGACGACGTGGACGGCGGCACACGCCCAACAGAGGCAGGTACCGCCGGCGAAGACGTGTATACAGATTGGGTTGCGGCGCAGGACTACTACGACGGCTTCCAGCACGATGACGACGATGGCGAAGGAGAGCAGCCGCTCATTGCACCCACAATCCGCGACGTGGCGCAGACGTTCGGTGATCCGGTGTTCGAGTCCGCAAGTCAGCATTGGACCATGTCGGCACGCAACGGCACCAGCGGATACCTGACTTCGCGGTATGCCAGTCTGGCACGGCTCGACACGGTCCGCAAGCAGCAGCTGGAGAGCCAAAGGCGAGATCGGGAACTACGGCGGCCCGGGGACCAACTGGGTCGCTTTCCCAGTCTGAGGCCTCGGATGGACCATGCATCGTAAGCCAGGAGCAGAAGCAGAGTCGGAGCAGGTACTTGTATATACCTGGTGTACCAGACGCCTTAGGATGGAGATGTTGTAGATTTGCACTTCGGCACATATAAAGCAGACAGACAGTGTAATTGTAGGTTAAGCGTATGTCATGCGTAGGAAAAGTCGTTGGCAGCACTTTGTCGCGACTGTGAAAAGGAGTTGTATGCTTAAAAGTACCGTAGTTGCTACCTCTTTCGACTGCCTAAGTCAGGTACTCACGTTTTGTACTGTACCCACGGTTCATTGAGTTTCAGGCACCCAATCAGCCTCCCTGGCCCCATGAACAAGTCAGCGTGCATCCCCCAAGCCGGGCATTTCTAATTTAGTTAATGCTTCCTGTTTTTACTGTCCCCGTCGCCTTGTTCTTTCCCTTACGCATAAAGAGAACTCGAGGCGGTGGCACCCTCTACAGTAGTTGATACCTGCAACAATTTTCTCAAACCTCAACCGTTCAAAACGACACGGAGACACACAGACACACAGACCACACATATATACGATCTCAAACTCCCTTGAACATGACAATCCTCTCCTGGCCGCTCCTCGCGAGCCTGCCCCTCGTGGTCTTCCTCGTCATCAACCTCAAAGCGATCCCGCTGGTCTGGCACGTAAGTCTTTTTCCTCGTCTTCATCTTCCTCCATTTACGCAGTGCGCTCCATCGCCCCTCCTGGGGAATATGCGGTTGCGGTACTAAGACGTCTGCAAAGTTTCGGCTCTTCACATTCCTGCTCCAGTCGCGCTCGTGGCTCAGGCCGTCACAAGTCCAAGACGGCACACTCGTGGGAAAGACACCTGTTCTGTTTCAACCGTTGATCCTACACAGTCGCTCGCCGCTGCTCGAGATTGACTACTACCTGCACAAGTCCAACGCGACTTTCTTCTCCGACGTCGACATCGCACGGTCCCATCTGGTCGCGGCGTTGATGTGGCCACTTTTGCGCCGGCCAGAAGCGGGCGTACTCTTGCCCTCTAAAGGGGCGGACGTTAAGTCCGGCAATCAAAGGCTGGCCATCATGCTCGGCGCCGTGAGCTGCTCGTTCCGCCGTGAGATCAAACCGTTCGAGAAGTACGAGGTGTGGACGCGCGTACTGGCCTGGGATGACAAATGGGTTTATTTTGTCAGTCACTTTGTGCGCGCCGGCGTGGTTCGAGGCCGCGGAAGGTTCACTTTGCAACAGCAGAGATCGGCGGTTGGAGGGCAGCGGCAGCGGGTTGCAAAGGCCGAGGTTGAAAAGGCTGTCCTAGCCACTGCAGTCAGCAAAAATGTGCTCAAGTTGGGGAGAACGACGGTCCGGCCAGACGATGTGTGGAAGGCGGCGGGCTTGTGGCCGTCGGGAGGGAACAAGGACGCATTGGACCGAGTGGAAAAGGCGAGGCTCCGGGGCTTGCAGGCATTGGCAGAGTCAAAGGATGGTGCCGCTTTACATGGGCTTTTCGGAGACCTTGTAGACCATGAAGACGGGGTTGCGGCGTTAGGTGAATATCATGATATTTTCGCCTGGGCTTAGGTACCTAGGTAGACTTTCTGACGATACGCTTGACCGGGGCCTCGCTCCCTGCGTCGTGGAAGAAGTGAGCTGTAGCGATGTAACTGTCGCTGAAGGTGTAAAGACTGCGCAGACCGAGTCTAAGGAACAAGGAGGCAAGGGCATCCATTCCAGCAACCATTGTCCATCAGGTATCAATGATCAAATTCTTCATATTTCTTGGTAGCTACTGAAAGCAGCGGAGGCTCTAGTCCAACTCCAACCATTGACAATGACAACCAGCCTTCCAACTTCCAGTTCCTTGTAGCGGTTTCTCCCTCAAGGCGACTCAGCCAACTCAAACAAAGCAATCGTCTCACAAAAGTTGGCCTTGTTCACCGAGTAAGGCACGACATCCGACCCCATATAATCAATCATGAACTGTGATCCCTTCGTACTCAACGCCCACAAGTAAATGTCAGTGCAATTCTCAATCTCGACCATGCGTTGCTGACAGCTCTCCGTGCCCAAACACGCGGCCGTATTCCAATTCTCGAAGAAATTGTACAGACCGCCGCCATACATGAAGATGGATGAGGAATTGATCAGCCTCAATCCCCATGTCCGTGGACAATTGGTCGCCGACGAAGCACAGTCCGCCCATGTGGGATCATTCCACGACGCGTTCGGGTAGAAGTTTGTGTTCAGTGAGTTGGGGTTGCCCTGATAATACGCCGTTTCTTGCTGGATGTGGCCCATGAAGACGTTACTCGAGTTGACAAACTCGTAGTTGAACATGGCTGAGTGTTCGAACGCTGAGCCATATAGCCACACTGGGCCTTCTTGACTTTCGGACAGGAAGCCCCTGAAGATTCTGTCAGTGATCTCGCCTTGAAATGTAGCCTGCCATAGCCTGGTCTGGCTGCCAGGAGTCAATGACTTGACTTACCCTTTGTTGAAGATGGTGACCTGGTCCCGCGTGCCCATGTCCAATTCGTGATCGGCCACCCAACCCCAGATATTCTCAAAGTATCCATTTGCTTGGGGCGTGACGTGTAACAGCAGGAACGCGCCAACACAGTTCGTCAGATAGGGGCTTCCTGACGCAACGGTCGCGGTGCTCTTAATGCACCTGTCCATTTGTAAGTCCGTCCCAGCAGAGCCACCAATACGCCAATGAACATCCCACATTCCAGCGTAACCGCCAGACACGGCGGCGATGTTCCATTGCACGACAATGGCTCCGGGACAAGGTCCTTTGACCTCGAAGACGAGGTCCGACATTTCCACTGAACCTGAATCACCGGGGTTGCCGACCTGCCACACTGGCACGGGGTTGGACTGGTCACCGAAGAAAGAGCCCGTGGCCATGATGATGGGTAGACACTCGCCAGTGATTTTCAAGTCTTTCGGCACAAAGACTGTCGAGTTCACGACATAGGCACCTTTGTCGAAGTAAACCACTTGACCCGTTGAACCAGCTTCGTTGAATAGCGCTTGCATTTTGACGGTGTCATCTACGAGCCATGTCAGTTTGGCTTTGTGCTTGCGGTTGCTCCAAGCTTACCTGTGTTTCCATCACCAGCCAGTCCGTAAGCCTTCGCGCTTATGAAGTCAGTAGCCCAACTGAGTGTCTCGTACTGCGGCTTGGACCGAACGATATACTGTCCCGTACTGGGATCTACCAGGTTTGACGGGCGTGGCACCGGCGCCAGTTGCCTTTGAATTGTTGTTTCCTGGGCAGTGTAGGCCGTTTGACTGGAGTTAGCGTAAACACACGAGGTCCCATTGAACGACTGTCCATCAAGCGCCTGACCAGCGGTCGTCCAAGCATTACCTTGGGCATACAAGGCGATGAATTGACCACCGTCAAGTATGACTCTTGCTTGAGTGCCACCGGCAGCAGCGATAGCAGATTGACTTCCGGTGAAATCGACATTCTCCAGAACCAGGGTACCAGCGGCCTGCGGAGAGCTGTAGCCCGCAGCATACGGTGTGATGATGCCCTGTGTTGCTGAAATGATACTGTCCAACACGACCACCGAGCCGGTGGCCTGATTTGAGAAGCCTCCGTTGGTCATGTCGATGCCTACACCCGAATTCTGAATATTGAGCTGAGTAAAGGTCCACAGCCAGTCAAAGTTCATCTTGATGGCCGTGGCGCAGCCATCGAACGAGAGACTCCGCGTCGTGAACTGCTGATTCCCCAGATACATCCCAAGGTATCCGCCTTTGATTGTCACGTCGGAAAAGAAGCCACCGGAGCCGTTCTCCATGTATATGCCTTGCTGCGCATTGTTAACCACGTCTTGGTCGGCCATGTTGATGACGATATTCTGCAAGCTCGTCGCTTGGGCCACTTGCCAGTGTATGCCCGCAGTGTTTAACGGAGCCTGAGTCATGTCGATAATGAAGTTGCGGATCTGCCGGTAGAAGTTGTTCTGGTTGGCGTACCATTCGCTTCCACTGCCACTGGGTATATATATATCTGCGTCCATCACCGCTAAGCCGACGATATTCGTAAAGTTGCTATTCACGGCAATCGTAGGAGGCTTGACTGCATCTCCCACCATCTGAGTGAAGTAGTACATCACAAGAGGTTTGGAGATGTTGTATGTTCCCGGTGGGAAATACACCAGAGCTGGTGTGATCGTCTGAGATTGACAATATGACCCGTTGATCGAGTCTCCGCCACCACAGCGATCACCATACGCGATTGCCGCATTGATAGCGTCCGAATCGTCGTGTATGCCATCTCCTGCGGGCGGTGGTCAGAAAAAACGTGGTGGCTTCTCTTCTGGTGGCGACTTACCGAAAGCCCCATAATCCTTGACATTGCGAAAGACAGGATACGTTGTGTCTGGTTGAAACGCGACTGTACCAACGTCCGGCTTGTTGGCGAGCCAGTATGTAGACTGAGCGGTCGAAGAAGCTATCAATGAGGCGGCATACAGCACTAAAGCAGTATATGAGAACCACATCTCTACGCTGATATTGTCGCCCGGCGGTGTAAATGTAACCTTGCAAAAGCCTAAGTCCCGGGAATCTGCTGTATGTCACGAAGATATATCGAGTAACTCCGGGAACGCGCGAGCAGAGCGCACAGGTCTGTGACGCGAAGTATGGCACATTTTGATACCATGGAATGTTGACTTGGCAGGAATGTGTGAAACAATCTGCCCTTGAGTAGAAAATGGCGCCAGCCGCGCAATTCCAGCGAGCACAAATCGAAGCGTGCACAATCGTCCAGCAAGAAACAGTTCGGCCGCCGGTAAAAATGAGATATTCGGCTTTCTTCCTTACCGCTTTGAGCGTTGTTATCATAGGCACAAGTGGGTTAACCATCGACAAGAGGCAGGACAGGTAAGTCCTCAACTAATCCCTGTGGGTATGTATACTGATTGGGCTCGACAGTTCCAGTGCTGGAAACTCAACGGATGGAGACGTCGCAAGTGTGAATGCCTCAGTCAACTCCACCTCATCAGGCAACCAGACTGCAACCGACCCTCTCTGCAACCAATGTCCTCTGGACATTGGTATATGTTGCCCGGACTCCTGTCAAAGTGATGGACACTGCCCCCAAGCAGATATTGAGAACGCCGGCTGGACCGTAAGTGTTCACCCAAGGCCTGCGCTGTTGAGCAGGACTCTTTCGGGTTACCCGTTTCGCTGCCAGCACAGGACGCTGACGGTTTTCAGATCAATGGAGTCAAGATCACAGCACAGAAACGACATCGACAGCGTTGACGACCCGTTCTCGACTGAAGTGAAGAAAGACATACCTGAGAGACGCCGCCTGCATGCGATTGAATGAGATGCTAGACAAGGTGTTTGTCAGAAACAACTCAGTGGTCGATTGACGGACAGATAAATATTCTTTTCATGTAGACCGTTAGTCTGGCCAAGATCTCGAATGCCTTGTCCGCAGAATGGCAACATTTTAATCCGAAGAGCTTTGATGTTGTAGGAGAGATGTCGTTCGATAGTACAACAGCGTCCATGGGTGATCATCATTATGCTATTTCTTTCGGTCGACAAGCCGATTCCTAACACCCAGCTCAGCTCGCTCGCTAGAAGCCAGCAATTGCAAACCTCCCCGCTAACTGCAAGGCGACATTATTATACAGCTCGATCAAAAGGTCCAGTGAATGGGGCATTCGTGGCAATCTCGACATTGCGCCATCAGTTCTCGTATGCCTCCTTGATTTGCTTTTCATAGTGAGCCTGAATCTTCTTCCTCTGTACTTTCTGCGCAGGAGAAATGAAACCCTGGTACAAGTTAGGCAAATTGTGTCAGTGAGGATTGTGAAAGACTTACGTTCTGCGGAGTCCATTCTTCGTCAGCCAGGACTATACCGTCGACGATCTCAATGCCGGCAAGACCTGCTTCACGTCCAGCCTTTTGAATCTCCTTTAGGACGACGCCATTGAGTTTCTTGTCGTGCACCATTTCCTCTATGGACTCTCCCTTGATTCCATTTGCTGCTGCAACCTTCTGTAGTGCCGCCTCGACCGGCACAATGATTGCAATGGGCTTGGCCTTGTCCTGTGCAGCAAACACACAGATGTTGCCGACAATAGGTGCCGTACGATAAGCCGACTCCAATTTCTCGAGAGCGATGTATTCGCCATTCAATGTCTTGACCAAGTTTTTCTTGCGGTCGATGATCTTCAAGTGACCATTGGCATTGAACTCTCCAATGTCGCCCGTCTTGAACCAGCGGTCCTCGGTGATGGCATCCTTCGTCTCCTCCTCATTCTGCCAGTAGCCTTCAGTAACGGAGGGACCCCTGATCCAGATTTCACCCTGCGGAGGGTTGTTCTTCGCAAAATAACCAGCATCCGGGAAGTCGACCAATTTGATTTCGATGGAGCCTGGTATATCGCCCAGTGCGGTAGGATCCCAGGCCAGGGGATCTTGAATGGCTCCCATGGCGGAAGTCTCCGTAAGGCCATAACCAGATATCATGGGTGTGACTGCGTAGCTGATGAACTTGACAGTCTCCTGCGAGATGGGACCGCCACCATTGAAAGCAATGCGGAGACGGCCGCCAGTAGCATCCTTCAATTTCTTAAAGACGATGGCGTCAAGGATGCCTGCTCCAGGAAGGCCGGCCCCGAGAAGCATTTGCTTCAGAGCGAAAGCTCCCCAAAACATGTTCTTGACCACAAAAGAGCTGCTATTGATCTTTGCAAGGATACCCTTCTTGACACTCTCCCAGACTGCCGGCACTCCGATCAGGACTGTTGGTTGAAACTCCCGGATATCACCTTTGCAGTTCCGCACCGATGTGTCCGAAAGAGTCTTGGGGTTGCCATAACCCATGGTGCCGCCCCAAAACATGCAAACATTCTCGAACATGTATTCGAAGATGTGGGATTGGGGAAGATAGGTGAGCAACGCATCAGCGGGTCCGATGTAGGGGCTGACTATGCTTTGAACACCAGCCATGGCTGCCACCACAGCCTTGTGCTTGATTGTGACACCCTTTGGTGGACCTGTAGAGCCAGAAGTGTACATGATGCAAGCCAGATCTTCCGGAGTAGGTGGCACAGGATCAACAGGGTTATCTGAGCCGGACTTTCTGAGCTCTTCAATGCCGATGATCCTGACGTCTGGATATTCTGATTTGAACTTTTGTAGATCGGCATCCTTGATTTCAGGCTGATCATTGAAGATGACGGATTTGATACTCTTGGCATCCTTCAGGACTTTGATCAACGTAGGAATGAGGTTGGGGTCTAGGAAGATGGCGACGGATCCGGTTTGAACGAGAGAATGCCTCAAGCCTTCCTCTCCGAGGGAGTCATAGGCGGTAACGATAGGAACGGATTGTGATGCTGCTGCGTGCGACATTGCAAGCCAGTGTGCGCTTGAAGTGTCAGAAGAGGCCGATTGCAGGTAGGGATTGACTTACCTCGTAGCACCATAGAGATGTATCTTGTCATTCTTCGAGATTCCCAGGTGGCGGAGACCGGAACCGCAATCATGTGCCAATTTCTCATATTCGATGAAACTCATGTATTCGTACCCGCTGAGCTCGAAATAAGTCCACTTCTTGTCCACCTCTTGTTCCTGGCCATCGACAATCTTCTTAACCTTCTTGATTTCGGTGTGAGTCTTGATGATTCTCCTTGTCCCAATTGCTTTGGCGTTTCCAAATTTTGCGGAAGCTCTTTTCAAGTTGTCATAGACGGTCTTGACGTCGTCCGATGGCAAGACGATGAGCTTGTCTTTAGCCAAGGGGTTCCGCCTCGGTATAGTCTCGCCCTCTACTGGCTCATAGCCGGGGGCGTCCACCGAGAAAGGCGGCCTCTTGACTCGCTGAGGTTGCACGTAGCCATCAACTCGCGGTCGGTCATCGTTCTGTAACGACATGTTCGATGAGAATAAAAAGGGTTCGGGCCTTTGGGGAACGCGAGAAATCCTGTTATGGAGGATGTGAAGTGGTGGGAAGAGTAACAAAGCGGAGTTGAGGATTTTGAAACAGTTGAGTAAGTAGGCAGGAGGGTAGTCTGTAGCGTGCCTCGTATCGACTCGGTGTAGCAGGGGCAGATGGAATGAAAGAATACGAGGCTGTGTATGTTGCCTAGACCGCGCGACAAGGAGTGACAGTAGTGCTGTGAAAATGATAATCGAGACCGAGTTTCAGTAGTGTCCAAAGATGAGATGGATGTTGGATGATCCGCGTGCTCTGCTGACCTCGATCATACGTCAGAGATGCGTCTTGTCACCAAGGAAATGCGGAGGTTGGCACTGGCACTTGGAGGTGTGGCAAACCAGGAGCTCACTTACTCACTTAAGTTAATTCGCTGGTGCCGATGGATGCACAGTAGGCAGCTTTTCAAACATCTGCCGGGTCGTCTTACAGTATCTTCTCTCCCTACCATCCCTCAGTCGAGGGTATTGAACGCCCACCCAGGCCATATATACCTTCGTTTCACCTCACTCCTTGATGTGCGTTTTCAAAACCTCAATGCCGGCCCAACTGGCCTGGGCCCCATGACCCAGACCCTCCCACAATGTCTCCTTGAAGTCGTTACACCATGTCAATCACGTACCACGATAGTAATGCTGCATGCGAGCTGCAGACCACGGACTTCACTTTTATTGGTTACAAGACTGGCTAAACCGTTCTCCGGGTCCGCGAAAAGGAAAGCCTTCTCTATCTCGGGCAGTCTTTTGCGACAATATAACAGCTGAGGTCTGTTCCTGCATGTGCCTGGCATTTTCAGCTCATGCAAGGGACAGCCATGGCGTCTCAGAAACTCCATGATTATCTGGGTCCGCCTATCGAAGACGCATCAGAAGGTAGGCACACATATACTTCCTTTACTGGGGTTAATATTGCTGCGCGTTTTGTCCTAATAACTAGATTTAGAAACTTTTCTTCTGTTCAGTCAAGATATTCCCAGCAACAACCTTGGATTCGTCGATTCTAATCTCAAGGTCATTGAGCTCGAGATTGCTGGACGTGACTTTGTTCTACAACAGTCTCCAGGGCTGCTGACTTCTAGCAGGAGGAATGGCACCACTGGAGCGGTGTTGTGGAAGATAACGCCTCTTTTGGCAGCGTGGTTGGCATCATCTCCAAAGCTACTATCAGAGGTCGAAATACTTCACTCGGGCACAACAATAGTCGAACTCGGTTGCGGAGTGGCTGGGCTGTTAGGCCTAGTTCTCTCGAGGCTCGTGAAGTCTTATGTGCTTACGGACCAGGAATACGTTATGAAACACCTCAGAGAAAACATAACCAACAATGCCACAGCCGTCAGTCATCGTGCAAATAGGTCAAAGAAGGGTGATACCCGAAGAACAATATCTCCCGATAGCGTTCCCAAAACATTGGCGCTTGATTGGGAAATCGACAAGGCCGAATATCTGAACTCGGTCATCGCACCTCAGGACAGCATTGACCTCGTAATACTATGCGATTGTGTCTACAACGATTTCCTCATCAAGCCACTGGTCCAGACTTGTGTGGATGTCTGCAGTCTTCGAGGTCCGGATTCGAGGACCATTGTGTTGGTTGCTCAACAACTACGGTCAGACGCCATAGCCGAACTGTTCCTGGACACCTTGATGGAGCAATTTGATGTATGGCGAGTGCCTGAGGAGCGCATAGGCCCAGGTTTGGGTTCAGGATCGGGTTACGTGGTTCATCTGGCCGCGTTGAAGCATTCGAACGGTAGTGGAGAGATGTAGTATGGCTGGATGTCCTTAATTGTACATTGCACATTTCTGCAACCGATAACTACCTAGGTACACTCCCCAGCATTGAGGATATCAGACTGTAGAGAAATCATCCTGACCCCGTAGACTTATCAGTATCCCATATGGCGTACCTGGCTCGTTGGCTGGTTGGCTCTTGCCCCTTTCTCAGTTTTGAGCCTTGGCGCTGGATAATCGAAACCGGCCTCGTCGCAGGGAAATAGTGGCCCTCCAACGCAACGCGATTTTCTGCCTCGTCCCCCGGTATTGTACTTTGTGTTATCTGTTTGGCCTACTGCGTTTTATGTTAGTCGAGTATTGGCCCTTTCGAGGGCTCAGGGTGCACCATGGATCTCCGCTCGACGATCTCTTCCTCCCTGTCCCCGGATGCCTCGATTCGGCAGCAAGCTGAGTTGAACCTCAAGCAAGCCGAACAGCATCCAGGCTTTATCGGTGCGCTTCTCGACATTGTGCAGTCGGAGCAAGATGCCGGGATCCGGTTGTCGGCCACCATCTACTTGAAGAATCGAGTATCGCGGGGATGGAACAGCGAAAACACACCGCATCAACCCATCTCTGAACCCGAACGCAAGCCCTTCAAAGACCGCCTCTTGCCCATCTTATCCACCTCTCCTCCTCTGATCCGAGCACAGCTCATCCCCATCCTCCAAACCATCCTCCAGTTCGATTTCCCCACAAAATGGCCGGAATTAATGGACATTACCCTCCAACTGATGAACACACAAGATGCCAACTCTGTCTATGCGGGCTTACAGTGTCTGTTGGCCGTCTGCCGAACGTACCGGTTCCGAGCAGGAGAAGAGAGAGCGAACTTGGACAAGGTGGTCAATGTCGCTTTTCCCACTCTGCTAGGCATAGCAAACAAGCTCGTACTAGAGAACAGTTTGGAAGCCGGCGAGATGCTAAGAATCTGTGTCAAATGCTACAAGCACGCAGTCTACTACGGTCTGCCTCAACCTCTCCAGTCACATCAGGCGACTGTCGACTGGTGCACACTATTCTTGACCGTTATATCCAAGACTCCACCCGAGTGCGCCATGCTTGAGGATCTCGATGATCGAGAACGCAATCATTGGTGGAAGGCAAGGAAGTGGTCATACGCAAACCTCAATCGTTTGTTTGTGCGTTATGGCAACCCCTCTGGGCTTTCAACGTCTCAAGAAAAAGAATATGGCGACTTCTCCAAGAACTTCATCACACATTTCGCGCCGGAAATGCTCAAGGTCTATCTGGGGGAGATCGAGAAATGGGTCAGTGGGAATCACTGGCTGAGCAAGCCGTCATTATCCTATACATTGATCTTCTTGGAGGAATGTGTAAAGCCAAAAGCCATGTGGGACAAGCTGAAGCCGCACATGGACAGTCTGATCAAGCACTTGATCTTTCCAGTGCTGTGTCAATCCGATGAGGATATGGAGCTCTTCACTGAAAACCCTCCCGACTACCTGCACCGCAAACTCAACTTTTACGAGGAAGTGTCTGCGCCAGACATGGCTGCAACCAATTTTTTGATTGCTCTGACAAAGTCCCGAAAACAGCAGACCTATGTAATCCTCTCATACGTCAATGAGGTGGTTACACGGTACGAGGCCGCCCCGGACGACCAGAAGAATCCCCGGGAGAAGGAGGGCGCTCTTAGAATGATTGGCTCCCTTGCATCGGTGATATTGGGCAAGAAAAGTCCATTTGCTGATCAGGTCGAATACTTCTTTGTACGACATGTCTTTCCAGAGTTCAGGTCTCCACATGGGTTCCTCCGGGCCAGGGCTTGTGAGACCATGGAGAAATTTGAGCAACTTGATTTCAAAGACCAGAATAATCTGATGGTCATATATCAAAACATCCTGGAATCCATGGCCGACCCAGAATTGCCGGTCCGGGTCATGGCCTCTCTGGCTTTGCAGCCGTTGATAAGGCACGATGCAATCCGGATAGCCATGCAAAGCAACATTCCACAGATCATGCATCAACTCCTCAAGCTAATGAATGAAGTTGATGTCGACGCCCTCTCAAATGTCATGGAAGACTTTGTCGAGGTCTTTGCCGAGCAACTGACGCCATTTGCCGTTGCTCTGAGTGAGAACCTTCGGGACACTTATCTTCGGATCATCAAGGACATCCTTGAACGGAACGAGGCCAAGGCGGCGGAAAGTGGCGAGGCCCCGGGCTACGGTGACTATCTCGACGACAAGGCTATCGCTGCTTTGGGTGTATTGCAGACGATTGGCACACTCATCCTTACGCTTGAGGCTACTCCGGACGTTCTCCTTCTTCTGGAAACCATCCTCATGCCTGTCATTACTATCACCCTAGAGAACAAACTTTATGATCTTTACAACGAAGTGTTTGAGATCATCGACTCCTGTACTTTTGCTTCCAAGTCCATTTCCGACACAATGTGGCAAGCGTTTGAGCTCATGCACAAGACATTCAAAGATGGCGCCGAATTGTATCTTGAGGATATGCTCCCAGCCCTCGACAACTTCGTGTCATACGGCCAGCAAAGACTAATCAATCACCCTCCCTATCTCGCCGCCATAGCAGGCATGGTTCGAGATATCTTTGCCGACCCCAAAGTTGGAGGGGTTGACCGTATTTGCGGCTGCAAACTTGCAGAGGCCATGATGCTGAATCTTCGAGGTGGTCCAATCGACAGCTACATCCCAACATTCGTGACTCTTCCCATGGAAGTACTTACTGGGTCTCAACACAAGACGATCATGAAGAGCTATAAGATACACCTTCTGAAAATGGTCATCAACGCCGTCTACTACAACCCCATTCTGGCATTGCAGGTTCTCGAAGCCCACGGATGGACCAACAAGTTTTTCTCTATATGGTTCGGTAGCATCGACTCCTTCCGCCGTGTTCACGACAAGAAGCTCTGCATTGCTGCAATTTCCGCTCTTCTCACCATTCATGCCGACCAGGTGCCTCAGTCCGTACAGACCGGCTGGCCTAGATTGCTGACCGGCGCAACATATCTGTTCCGGACATTACCCGCGGCACTGAAGCAACGCGAGGACGCTGTCAAAGCTTCTGATGGTGTTAGCGACACGCTATCCGACGATTATGCCTCCGACGACGATGCAGAGGATTGGGCCGATGAGCCAGGCAGCGAGCCAGCTCAGGAGTGGGGCAACGTCAACGCTGCGTCTTTGCCTGATACCAAGGGCGACATCAAGGATGAATCACAAGCATACCTTGACTTCCTTAGTGAAGAAGCCAAGAAATTCGGTGCTCTTGCGGACGACGACGACGATAGTATCCTCGACGAGGACAGTCTACTTGAGAGCCCGCTCGACAAGTTTGACCCTTATGGTACGTTCAAGGAGTCATTGGGTAGGCTTCAGTCCGAGCAACCTCAGTTGTACCAGAACTTGACCTCAATCCTGGAGCCTGGTGACCGTGAGGTTTTGCAAAGTGTTGTCCACCACGCTCAGACGCAGGCGCAGGTACAGAGTTAGTTACACATATCGTTGGCCAGGCGTCTTCAGCTTCGCAGGGAAGGAATCAGAAAGTCAGGTTCCGGGTCCTTGGGCCTATAGACACGTGTTGGAACGGTTGGGTCTTCCACCTGGAGAGGCGCTTTTGCCTGCAGATTGTGAGCCAACATCTTTCTGGGCACGCGATATCGGACTTTCAAGGTTTCATGTACTCCGGAATGTTCTAAGGAGGAGGAGGCCCGGTGATGTTGACATTTTTCTCGAGTATTATCATGGCAAGTCGTGGAGGGAGTGAAGAGCCGCAACACTATATGGAGCTTCGAGATGACGATGCCGCTGATAGCGGTTTTCTCGACGTCGTTCTTTACGATGGTCGAGCAATACGTGTGGGACATGCCGGCACAAGACTTGAAAATTACATGCTTTACATAGAATTCCCAATACCCAAACAGCGGGCTTCGGCCCTTGAGGAAAGCCACCTGTCGTAGTCTCCATGATATACCATCAATATACAGTCCAGAAAATTGCTTCGCAGCCTGTCAGTCACCACTAGTCGTTAGCACCGTAACCTACAGTTTGTCGTCCATGTCTATGACCAACAGCGATGATATCTCCAGTGATACAGTGCTCAATTTGCTTTCTTCTGTCCACTACATACCCTGATCATACCTAGGTAGCCATTTGTCCATATTTTCAGTTATCATAAGCCCGCTCCATCGCTATGCCGACACATTGCTCAAGTGCAACGTTCCTTCTGTCCATATTGTTCATTCATGCCCAGTATTTGTCTAGACCTCGATTGTTCCTATTTCCCCCACCGCCTTGCTTCCAGATCTGATTCGTCATGCCCGAGGCCGCGATGATAGCGTACTGGCAGCGAAGTGAGCAAGCCAAGTGTCTACTTTGTCCGTCCACCATATGCAAAGATTGTTTTCCATTGTCCTCGCTCAAAAAACCCCAACCCGACCGACCCCTAGCACCGCCCGCCAATATTCACGATAACAAAACACACGTGCATGAACCTGCAAGGATATCATGTACATGAGATGTAAAAGAAGTAAACACTCTTGCTCAACATGATACTGTCGTCGAAGTCGTTACTGAATCAAGAAGTTTACGCCGGGGAACGACACTGGGATAATGCAAATCCAGGTCTTTTTGATGAATTAAGCCGGACTTTTCGCGCTTTGAGGGCCACCGTTACGACGAGGATTCTGGTTCTCGTCACCCACACTAAGGTTGCCGAGACCAGCGGAGAGGAATGCGAATGGATCGGCGTTCTGTTCATTCCCGTAAAAACCATTCTGTGGGCCAGGGGCCATGTTGTCGGCCGCGCCACTGAAAGCGGCTTGAGCAGCAGGACCGAAGGAGGAATGAGACAGGTTGCTGGATGCGTAACCAGGAGTCATACCACCCATCTGAGGGAAGGCGGCACCAGGACCTCCCATACCAGACGGCAAACCGTACTGATTTGGTGGTGGCTGACCGAAGGCAGCACCCGAGCCAAATGCAGCTCCTCCAGCACCATACGGAGCTGGACCCGGAGTGCTAGCCATCGAACCTGGTCCCATGCCAAACTCAGAAGGTGGTCCCATTGGTGATGGGAACGATGAATCAACGACGATAGCCGCACCCGAGCGTGGAGCACCACAACGCAGGCAGTTGACATTTTTGGCAAAGTTGTGGTACTGGCATCCCTCTGCACCACATCGCCAATCGCCAGCACGGAAAGGAACAGGGCCAGCTCCACCCCGTCCATGATGTCCCATGCCGTGGCCATGGTGTCCGCCCATGTGAGGATGATGTCCCATCATCTGGGGTGGTCCATAACCGTAGGCATTGTAACCGCCGCCATATGGGTCACCACCACCAGAACCCGCTGCAGGGAAGGAGCATCGGAAGCATGCAGTCCGGCGTTGAAAGTTGGAGAAGCCACAAGAAGGACAGTTCCAATCACCTGGTCTTGGCCTGTTCTTACTCGGCGGGAAAGGTGTCAGTATTTCTGCGGCACGATCGAGGACTCGGCTTGAGGAAGGCGAGACCTCGATGGCCTTTTCGTTGAGAGCGCGTCCGTTCATGCAGAGACTTTCGGCAGCCTACAGACAGTGACACGTTAGTAGACTGGAGAAGAAGTGAGGTGAGGGGGAGATGGTGGAAGATATAAAGGTGCGGCAATACTGAAAGTGAAACATACCTCTTCGTGAGAAGAAAAGACCGCGAATCCTGAACCAGTAGGCTTATGCTGGTCTGGAGTACGAAGAGTCCAGAATGCAATGGGTCGTCCACCGAATTGAGTAAACCAGCTTTCGAGTTCGGACTGAGTCGTGTCGTGCGGCAGGCCGTTCATGTGGAGGACTTTGCTACGTTCTTTCAAAAAGGCATTCACATCGGCTCGAGCGTCCATGGGGCGAGTCAAGACGTCAGGATGTTCCTGCGCAGGCTGTGACTTCCGGATGAGGCCTCGCAGAACCCTGGCAAGAGTGACTGCTTCCTCCATTGCCCGACGGGGGGAGGCAGGTGCCAGGGCCTGCAGATGGAAAGGCAGGTTGTGCTTGATTGGAGCCGAAGATTGCACAGGCTCCACCTCCAGAGCAGCACAAATGTTTGCTAATGAGCTGGGGCCAAACGGCAGGGACTCGGGGTGGTGCTGTTGCCAACGGGCGTACTCTGAGCGCAGATCGAAGGTTCGGGAGTGTTGCAGATAGGCGGGTAGGACGACTGCCTTGTCGCGAGCCTCTCGGGGCAACTGAACCCGCAAGTCCCAGGCATCGAGTGTCACAAAGGAGAACTCCAGGTTCTTGGATGTAAGATGTTCTTGAGCAAAGTGGTCGAATCGAGTGACCGCATCCCGGAAGGAACCGGCATTGCGAACATGTTCCCAAGTCAGAGTGGTGAGGCTGGCTGTGATTACAAGGTCAGTTCATGCGAATCTCCGGTCTCCCGACACAGGACTTACTGCAAAGCGGTGTGATGGGTGTGTTCACTGGCTTGACCAGGACACTCTCACGGTAGATCTGGCACAATTGTCAATACTATGTCTCAGGGTTTTTTCACCACCTATTTTCGACCGGCAAGTCCACACGTACCTCATCACAGGTTTTGCTGTCCAGCAGAATCCAACCCAATTCGATCACTTCGGCAGAGTCTTTGGTCACATAGACGCCATGTTCATCACAAGTCGTCGCCACGTGGATGACCACATAACGGTCAAGCTTCGGCGTCGGTGGAGCGGTAGTGGCCATGGTGGGTTTGTCAGATCGATGTATATTTCACGTAAGTGGATGGTACAGAGGGTTCGCAGGCTTCGGATGGAATATAGACGGGATTTCCACTGTGCTGTGGTCTTCGTCAGCCAAAATCCAGGAGATGATGTCCAATGGTAAGAAAAGTCACCAGATGAGATTCAACAAACGAAGAGCTCCGAATCCGAGTCAGGAAAGCAGAAACCCGACCAACTCCACCAACTTTTTGAGGCCCAGCTGCGAAAGGTAGAAGACACAACAGCAACAGTCAAGATCTCGATTCCCGTAAAGCAAGGTACGCGGATAAAAGAGAGGCAGTTGTCAGGATTGCTGTCGGCTGCGGACAATTCGAGAGAAATGAGGAGAGTGGAAGCAAGATGGAGATTCGAGGCAAAAATGGAACTCCTCTCCTCGTACTCTTTGGGATGGAGTCGGATTTCTGGGCTTACTCTAAAGGAACTGAACTTATCCCACATCCACTTGCGCGGCAAACACCACGCCTTCTACTCGCTTGCGCTGCACAGTATGTATGTGTCTGTTAGCCAGGGCGCTTGAACAATTCTTTTGATTTTGGCCTTTGTTGCCACTGCTCACCACAAACCACCAAAATGCAATGCGATCGCCGTCCATATCACTCAAGTGCGCACAAAAGCTCACACGGAGAACACTGCCATTTCCGTCTTTCCGGGGTCCAAGAACGAGGGTACCCTTGATTGACGACGAAGCACATCTTAGGGGGAACTTAGTGAAGACCGAGTCCTTTGCTATCAGGACGTTTGTATCTATTTATTTTGTCACAGGACGTTCTATTCCGCATCGCCTTCCTATGGACGTCTGCAGCAAATTGACAGCTTCTTCTCGTGCAAGTAACCGTGGAGGACTCGTACAAGCAACATGTCAAAAGTCTCCAATTTGTCGGCTTGGTGGCTGTTTCAGGCATCTGGCTTGCGCTTGCCCACCGACCCTGTTTCCAGAAAAACTGGCAACGTCTGACACGGAGTGCGACGACGATATAAGGCCATGGTCCAGCAAGTCGCGACAGCGAATGCCTTGACCCCAAGCTAGTACAAGTGCACGAGAAAGCTGATGGGCTTCCTCTTATGCCAAGATGTGCTATACCATTGTGCAAAGAGTTCCTGAACGACAAGGCGAAAAGGTATCTATTTAAACCTGAAGAGCTACAACGGTCAGACGGTGCCACTTTTTCTCCAGACAGGCTTGCCACCTAGGGAGCACTAAAGCCTACTCCCCTGAGACAACCCGAGAGGAGCCTTCTGCTGGAAATCCCGGAAATATAGGCTGTGCATATCAAAGGGTTGAATTGTCACCGCCGGCATTTCGATCATAACGAGGGTACCACAAACGCACAGCCGTTGGCGTTGCTTTGGCTGTCTATACCTTGCACAAACTGACAACTTGACCGACAGGAGTCAGGCCATCATACCTGCCGTCTCGGCGGTGTCATGCAACCTGATGTCTTGCCGAATGTGCAAAGGAATGTGCCAAAGCACCTGTCAGGCTGGCATAGGCATTATTCCTAGGCATAAAATCTGTCAATAACTCAATGCGTCCACCCTGGTTCAACGCCCAATCGGCTATTCCCCCGAGAGCTACTGTAAATAAACTGGCGGATATTGACCATGTTCAACGATCTCTCCTGAGCACTGCCTGATGGCTGTTGCTCCTCAAATTCAAATGGATATTGTTCCTCACTGCCATTTCGGAGTCTTTTGCACACAATGCTAGAGCGTTAATTTTGAAAAGAGGGAAGGCAATCGTCTGTAACGTAAAGCCCTACTAGCTTGCTGTCAAGTCACCCGCTGTTGCCAACTTGCTAAATTTTGAACTCATATCTTCCATGTACTTCCCTTTAGACGTTGCCACTTCTTCTGGAAACAAGCTCGCCAGCTACTACAGACGAGTAATCTGGATCTTCATGGAAGTCCTTTCACAAATGTTGATGCCCAACTCTCGCTGATCAGACAGGGGAAATAGGGTAGAGAATTGCAAACAGAGCCGCATTATTCTTGTCAAATCGTGCGACACGATGATCCTGATGCCCAACCCGAAATCCCATAGTCCATACTTATAACGCCCCTACGGATGACAAAAACCTCATGGGAGAATTTACATCACTGACACCTAGGGGTCGACCTGATTTAATGCTGTGATATATGCTGGACGGGGTCGGTCTACTAATGGTCAGCTTCCCATGTCCAAGACAGCCTAGTACCCAGTGTATACGATGCACTTCAGGATAGATGCACATCATTCTTGATCCTGCAAACCTCTATCAGCAACGGCGACTTTGGCAAAGATCCTCATGTTTCGCAGCACTACATATTGGGCTATTCGTTCTAGGGAGTACAAGTCCACTTACTCGCGTATTTGCCAGCGATTCTGAGTCAAGCATCCGAGCAGGTTTACCCATCATGGCCACAGACTTGCACCAACTCTCAACTGGACCGGGTTGACCCTGTTGGATAGCATATTCGAGCAGTTCGACGATACCAGGAGACCGCAGTCGAGCAGTACCCTAGGTTGGCAAAGCGGTGCAAGCTTGACGGGTATCGCTAGCATGAACGATCAATCAACGCAATACTCCTCCACTGTTCCAATGTCGACCGCCTTCCGTATGAGCTTGCATTTCCACTGCTTACTTGCTTGAGGCGGTTATGCAATCCAGGCTTTGCACAGAGCACTCTCCCAGGACGTCCGGAACAGTGGCGCGGACGGGGCACCCATGACCAACTAGAAGAAGCAAGCCCTGCACCCGAGAACCCCGCCGAAGCTTTGCCTTCGTTCATGTTTCGCGCCGAGAATCACATCAATGTCGGGAGGAGACTGACCAGTCAAACAAGATCCTGGTACCAAACAACTCGTCTTGTTGGAGTTTGCCTCGCATGAGTTGCGAAGGAGTATGCTTTCGTTGTACAGTATCATGCATGTGCACTTCAGGTGCAGATCGATACCTTTCCTTCTTGTTGTTCCGGAGTCGTTCGCACACAGCAATATAGTGCTGGCCTTTGACAGGGTGAAGGTCATTGGTTTCGCGGTACGGTTCCCATGACGCGAAGTGAGGTCACCCACGATTGCGAACCTGCTGGACCTCGTCCTTATGTCGTCGATGCAACCCCCTGCAACCCGTGTCAGACGGCGCCACTTTTTCCGAAAACAGGCTCGACGGTAAGCAGAAAGGGAATAAGAATAAGAAATGAAAAAGTCGGCGGTCTTCTGAAGGGGTTGATGTTGCGCTTTGAGTCAAATGATGTGCCGCTGCTCTGCGTCTTCGCACTGATGGTTCTGTGCTCTGCAGTATAAGAGCATCGGCTTTATGCACCCCGGTCTCGCTTCACCTGTCCTGTTTACCCTTACTCTTCCATATTGCCTGCTCTGACTTGCGGTCGCAGCCAGCATCTGTCCGCGAAACATAGGGTGCACATTCCGCAGTGCGTTATACGAGGAAGAATCACTCAATCGTAAAGGCGCCTTGCGTGACAGCGTTGGAGCTCTGGTGCCCGAGGTTTACCATGTCGCTCTGGTCGTAAGTGATTTTCAATCTGATTCCGTCCACCGAAGATGAGGTTGGCCAGCCAAACGATGCGCTGACGGCTTTTCCTTCCAGTTCTTACAAATCACTTTCCCCGAAGACACGTGCAGCCCTCGGAGTCGCCCTCATGCTGAACGCAACGGCCATGTTGATGTTCTCCGACCAAATCGAAGACGCACTGGGTTTGTCCGTGAAACCCGACGAGCAACACAAACTCTTCAAGGTCTACGGCGTTGAGAGGGAGACCAAGAGCTGAGGGTATGCACTGCAGACATTAGGAGACCACTATCTCTGCTCTCATGCTGCCACACCAGACAACCCCATTGCACAAACTTCCACCTCGGGAAACGCAACGATGGAAAAGACCAAAAACGTTTCCCATTGAGCAGACCCGACGCGTGTTCGTCTGATTTCTGGGGAGTAAGACGTTTGTCATCGAGGGGTTTTTGCACTCTACAGCTACGAGGCTATGAGTACAACTCTTCGTCCAAAGCGCCATATCCTTCTCAAACTCAACTGGGTTGTCGAGAAGCGGACGGCTCTGTCAGGAAATGTTGATGGGGAACGTGGGCTTTAGAGTGCCAAAGGCTGAATGAAGAGGCATACGCAGAATCCTTGCTTGCAGGAGACTCAGCCGCGGCTACATTGGCATTGTTGATGTGCCATGCACCCGGGAACATGCGTCGTCCTGACTCGAGGCGTTGTCTGATGGCACATACCTGCGGATCCGCGGATATTGACAACGTTGACGAACATGGAGCGCCTTGCTAGGCAGTACGTAGGACGATTGTACACCAGCTCGTGATCTCCCAGTCCGACTGTGCCCTGACTTATTGAAGAAGACGAGAGCCACCAAGGTCGTGACCCTATACAGGGATATGTCGACGATATCCCGAGCAGGATCCCCCACCGGTGTCAGTGCATTCCAGGGATACAAGTGGGAATCGGAGGAGGTCGACATCTTCTCAATAGTCAAATATTGCATGCTTGTCGTAGGCGCTTTCAATCTCGGACGCCGAATATGTAGACAAGGACCCTCGGACATTCATCCTACCGAATGCCGAGCCCCCCTGATAATCAACACACAGCCATGATGACCAACATGCCCAATAACCTCAATCCATCATAACCAGCTACGAATCCCAGAAGTTCGGGTGCTTCTCAAGTGTAGGCGAATAGGTGCCCGACCCTACGTGGCCGCCAGTAGTGGTGTTGCCAGCCATGCTATCTCAACGACTAACCCGACGAGCCCCTCATCTGGTCCAGTCGGCACGTAGATTCTCATCGACCCCATATGGCAGATTGCGCACCACCGAGCTTTTCGAAGGTGGTCTGGAAACCCTCAAAGTAAGCCCTGATAGGCTTTGGGACACGATCCATTCAACCGCCCAATGGACCGAACCGAGAAGCACACCCGCTGAAGACATCAGAACGGCTGGTCTCGCAAGGTTGACCCTCAGTCAGGAAGACAAACAGGCCCGCGACTGGTTTGTGGAGACCACAAAGTCGCTAGGCTGCAAGACGTATGTCGACCAAATCGGCAACATCTTCGCCATTCGACCTGGCTTGAACAATGGCGATACACCAGCAACCTTTGTCGGGAGTCATCTCGACTCCCAACCCAGCGGAGGAAGATTCGATGGTGTCCTCGGCGTGACCGCTGGCATTGAGATGCTCAGGGTGCTCAACGACAATTGGATCGAGACTGAGGGACCAGTAGGCGTGGTCAACTGGACGAACGAAGAGGGCGCAAAGTATCCCGTCAGCATGATGGGCAGCGGCGTCTGGTCGGGACGAATACCACTGGAGACGGCGTGGAATGTGAAAAGCGTCACTCCCGGTCCCGTCACGACGGTCAGACAGGAACTGGAACGGATCGGGTACATGGGGAGTGTACCGGCGAGTTACAATGGCGGGATACCCATCGGGGCACATTTCGAACTGCATATCGAACAAGGGCCTAAACTTGAGGTCTCCGAGCAGAAAGTCGGCGTCGTCCAAGGTGTGCAGGCTTACAAGTGGTTTACTCTGACGTTTACGGGACGGGAAGCACATGCTGGGACTACGGATCTCGAGCACAGGTCAGACGCCCTACATACTGCTGCGCATTTCATGCTCGAAGTCAGAAGCATAGCAAAGGAGTTGAATGGTCTTGCGACTGTTGGGTTGTTGACGGTATCACCTGGCAGTGTCAATACTATTCCCGGGCAGGTCAAGATGAGTCTTGATGTTCGACATCCTTCTGACGACGGGTTAAGTGAGATGGTCAAGAGGGTCCAAAATCTGTGTCAATGGTATGCAACACATGTGTCTTCCTGGTGCGGTCCCCCTGGTCCTACGGTCACCATGGAGGAGGATTTCACGAGTAGTGCTGTCTTATTCCACGAAGAAGCTATCAAGTGTGTTGAGGAGAGTGCTGCGAGTGTGCTTGGGGACGGGCATGCCAGTCTGATGCAGCGAATGACCAGTGGCGCAGGGCATGATAGTGTGTGCACGAACATGCATTGTCCTACTGCTATGATATTCATCCCTAGCAAGGACGGCGTCAGTCACAATCCCAGCGAGTGGTCCGAGAAGGAGGAGTGCGCCACAGGTGCCAGTGTGCTGTTGCAGTCGGTTCTAAGAATGGACAAATTGCGGAAGGACAGGGGAGACTTTGATTGACTGGAATGTCCACAAAAGTATGATATCCCATGTCTGACTTTTGAAGACAGCATGTTCGGCGATCAGAAGCCCCTCATTGCTGTCTCAGATCTATGTGTGCACAGAAGTCCGACCCTGCATCGACTCTGGCATTGCTGTCCCTCATCTGCTTGCTGCAGGACATATTGCTGTCCGCGGATATGTTCGTTTTTGCCATGTAGGACCTCAGTCAATTTGCGCAGCGGGACCAACTTCTTCCTAAGAGGGAGGAGCATCACCGCGACCACGGCCACGACCGAAACCGCCACGGAAAGTAGGAGCGAACTCGCCAGGAGCACCACCTTCCTTGCCTTCACCGGCATCACGTCGGCGGTATCCACCCTCACGGTCACCTCGTCCACGTCCACCGCCACGGCGCTCACGGTCCTCACCACCCATCATTCCACGAGGAGGAGCGTGCGAGCGTTGCTGCTTGATGTGAGTCGCAGGCACGATCTCAGCTGGCAGATGGAGCCATTCGCGGAGGTAGTCGAGACCCTCAGGAGTCAGGGTATAGTAGTAGTATTGCCATGAGAACTGAGTCTTTAGGTAGCCTCGGGAGGTGAGAGACTGGCAAGCCTTGATGACCTGATCGTGAACATGTTAGTATCTGTTTCTGCGGTCGCATTTCTTTGGTTCCTTACATAAAGGTTGCGGACGTCAATGTCTCCGTGCTTGGGAAGGTTGAAATCCTTCTTCGCGACGAGAACACCTTCCTTAAAGAGGTACTCGTGGATTGCTTTCCTGTCGGCACGAGGAATAAGCATGTTGGCGGCTACCTTGCGGTCGTTGAATGCTTGAAGAAATGGAAATGAAAAGGTGAAGGATTGTTGAAGACACTGAAAAATCGGGCGCCGATCGTTTCGAAAGGCGGGAGGGAAGGCGAGGGATCGTTGCAAGTTCCTGGCGCTCTTCGGGGAATTGCAGACGATCTGATTGACGACGGTGTCTTGTAAAGAGTGAGTGAACGGAAAAGTCACTTTGCGTGGTGTTGGAATAATTGCTGGCGTAGGGCAGTCACGATCGTGGGCTTGGCACGCGCCTCAGCATCCGAGTGGAAGGAAGCGACCCATATTTTTGCCAAGAATTCGCTCCAACTCACACATCGAAAATTGATCCTCGTCGAAGCCGCGAACCGCAGGGCACTTTCAACCTTCAATCGTCAACATCGAAATACTCATCTGCACACCGAAGTGCTAAGTTGCAATCATGGGTATCTCACGAGACAGCCGTCACAAGCGGTCGGCAACTGGTGCGAAGCGTGCATACTACCGCAAGAAGAGGTGAGAAACACAGGCTAGGAAAATCACAAGAAGATGCGGCGGTCTAACACTGTCTAAAACAGAGCGTTCGAGAAGGGTCGTCAACCAGCCAACACCCGTATCGGCAACAAGAGAATTCACCTTGTCCGCACTCGAGGCGGTAACACCAAGTACCGAGCCCTGCGCCTTGAGAGCGGTAACTTCAGCTGGGGAAGTGAGGGAATCGCCCGCAAAGTCCGTGTCATTGTCGTCGCCTACCACCCTTCCAACAACGAACTCGTCCGTACCAACACCCTGACCAAATCGGCCGTCGTGCAAATCGATGCCGCTCCTTTCCGACAATGGTATGAAGCTCACTACGGTACCGCCCTTGGCCGAAGACGACAAGGCCAGAAGGCCGAGACCGAGGACAAGAAGGTCAGCAAGAGCGTGCAGGCCAAGCGAGAGGAGCGATTGAAGAAGTCCGGCAAGGTTGAGGCTCCCTTGGAGAGACAATTTGAGGCCGGTCGATTGTACGCTGTCATCAGCTCAAGACCCGGTCAGAGCGGTCGCTGCGACGGCTACGTCCTTGAGGGTGATGAGCTGGCATTCTACCAGAGAAACATGAGGAAGTAGATGCAGATGGAAGATGGATTGCTCCTGACGATTACCAACTGCTGGGGATGGAGTGTGTCAAATGCAGAGGTTCGGTGTGGCAGATTCTGCGCAAGCATCCAAATGGTGTGTCTTTGGAGCATTGCAGACAGGCTGCTGGTCGACCTCTTACCAATGCTAGTCTTTGCTGAAGACTCGTTGCCGTGGGCATGTCGAAAAGGCGCAAAATGAGTCAGTCCATGTGGGCAAAGCCTACAGAATTAGGCGAACCTACAGGGCTAGAGAAATTTCAATCAACAATGTGATATTCAAGCTGTTCATGCTATCATTCGATCTGCTCTCGCTAACTCCATTGTATACTGGAAGCTGACCAGCTCAACTCAGTTAGCTCGAGCCCATTGCTAGGAGACATCATCCCTTTGACTCAAGTCTTTCTCAACAGTAGACATATCACCTTGACGTCTACCATTCGCATCATGTAGCCCTGTCGCATCTCCAATCGACACATCGCTTAGTCAACTCCTTGTATTCTGTCCGGTGATGCCTTGTGTCACCTCGATATCATTGCCAAGTGACCGCACTTCAATCCGCTGCTCAAATTCAAGAATCGTCGCTGAAAGAAAAGTAATTGTCCGACTCGTTGTGGTTGAAGTAGTCATCCTTGACGTCCTTGACCCAGTCGACAACTTCCTCTTGAACATGGGGAGGTTGTGGCGTCATGCCGGCCCTACCCATCTGACGGTGAAGATTGGCTCCATTGCGCGCATAAGCGGCATTGACTCTGGCCTGTTGCTCACGCTTGCGAAGGACATTGCGACGACGGACCTCAGCCAACTTCTTCTCGCAGTGTTCGATCGACGCAACCAGTTTGCCGTGCTGGGTCCAGAAGGTAGGGGAGGATTTGAACATGTGAAGTGCCTCGCCCGCCTCTCTGGTCTTGTTGCGCAGACGACCCAATTCTCCCACGATCATCATGTCGAATTGGTTGCGATTGCCGACGGTGCAGGTGTCGATCTTGTATTTGGCATCCGGGACATACTGACCAATGTGAGTTTCGAGTTGGGAGTCACAGCGGTCGATGTACAAGGCTTGAGTGATTGTCTTCCAGATCTCAAAGATGATTTGTTCTGCGAGTGCGATCGCCCATCGAGCTTGGAGTTGAAGGAGCTGACGATAAAAGTCCAACAGCTGCTTGCCGGTGGGAGACATGATCAGGAAACCACGCATAGCCGTGAGTGCTGGACGCAGGTTCTTGTACTCGATTTTGGGTCCCGCCTCCTTGCTCAGGATGTACTCCATGAAAGGTCCATTGTTGATGACATGCTTGAGAGGGAGTGGTGCTTTGTTCACGATGAGATGTGTGACTGCCGGTCCGTTGTCCTCATACAACAGTGAGAAGACGGGGTCAAGAGTGACACTTGTCGGAAGCATGAATCTTATTGGAAGGTTGAAAGCGCCGTTTGAAGACATCCTGGCCTTGACGATGAGTACCAGATGCAGGAAAGGCTTCGATCTGTTGGAAGAAGGTTATATAGAAGTGTTTTGCACGAAGATATTGTTGTTTAGAGGTGCAGAGAAGGTTGTTGGGGTGTTGAGAGTGTGAGATTTGGTTATAAGAAAGTTCAGATTCAACTTCAGATGAGATACAGGTGTTTGATCACATAAAGGCGGCCAGCAAGTCACGAGGAGGCTGGGGGGTGCGGCGACGAGACATTTCTTTTGCGAGATGAGGCATTGAAAGTCCTTCACATGCAGGGTTGTCGGTGTTGAGGTCGCCCATTGCGCCGTGAACAAGCAAGACTCATACTGGCACCCACCCTTTGTGTTCCGTCTACCAGATCATCGACAGAACGCAGCTGAACGGCGACGTCGCGTAAGACCTCCAGCAGCCTCGACGTTCCGCTGTAAATCCTTGAACTTCACATCCAAAGACGGTCTCACGTTCAAGCTACTGGGATAAGGTCGCGCAGAAAGTTCTAGACATGGCACAGGAGCGTAATGTTGCAACGCCGTCCTCCATGTACAGTCGCCTGGTCATTCCAGTTGATGGAGTTCATTGCTGTGAGATACCATGTCCATCACTGGTGGTCTGGTAGCCGAAGAATCTTCTTCCTGCAACCATGCCATGTGTGCAACACGAACTCCGGTGGCAATGACGGATATCCGGCAAACTCTTGCCTCAATGATAGTTTCATTCTGAAGCTGATCATTTCGACCTGGTGAATACTTACGAAAGGCCGATAAACAAAAACAGCAAACGCCTAACTTCATAGGCTGAATCATCATCCTGTATGGATGCTCCACAAGGCTCTCGGAAGCTAGGCACAACATTGGGACCGACAGAAGACAAGCACAGTGAAATGGCAGACCATCAATAGAAATGAAGTCAGCCAACGACTCACCCATAGCCAAGGCCTTTGTCAACCGCAGAGTACACGAAGCTTGAGAAAGAATGAGGACCTTGAACAGAATGCAAAGGTTAAAGGATGGAAATGGAACCCGGAGGTGAGTGGACAAGGGAAACAGGGAACAGCCGGGATGATGCAAGGGCACGACACGCATGTTGCATTGCCCTGGTTAATAAGGTACAATACCTGCGCTCATCTCTACTATTCCCTCTTTCTCTATCCATTTCTATTCCTTGATTAAGACACTATGAAATGGGCAGATTGCTCGTTTCCTCTACAATGGACACATCCAATCATCGAAACCTGAAAAAGGATTGGCTTTTACGTGCTCATCTTCGAAAACGGAACGCATGCAGGCAGGCTACAGCGCATTGCTCTAGTCGAACACAATCGCAGCCTTGATGGCACTCTTGTTCTTCATGGCCTCGAGACACTCAGCCCATTGCTCCAACTTGAAAGTCTTGTTGACAATACCCTTGACCTTGACCTTTCCGCTGTCTGTTCGGGGGGGTGTGGTCAGCAAACATGAATTCTCAGAGATGGAAATGCAAAAACATACCGAGATAGTCGATGGCGGCAGGGAATTTGTAGGTCTCGGAGAAAGAACCAAGGATGGTGATCTCGTCACCAAAGATCTTGCTGGGTGGCCATGTGACACGGTCCTTGTTGCCATACACACCGTACACAACGAGCTTTCCACCTCTTCGGACGTAGTTGATGGCATCCTCAAGGATCTTGACGCTACCCGTGGCCTCAACAACGATGTCGAACCCGTATGGGTTCTCTGACTTCAGCTTCTCAAACTGCGCGCTTGGGTCCTTTCGCGAGAGCTCAACGTACTCATCCGCAGCGTCTAGGGACTTGGCCAGTTCCATCTTGAGACCTTCTGGTGCAGCAATGACAACGTGGCAACCACCGTTCTGGCGGAGCAGTTGAGTCAACACGAGACCCGTAGGTCCCGCACCGAACATGAGCACCCGCGAACCCATCTTGGGGGCAATCTTGTCCAAACCGTGGGCGGCGCAAGAAGCAGGCTCGAGGAGAGTGGCATCGACGTCAGAGAGGTTCTTGAATGGGAACACTCTCTTTGCTGGGTAGGCGCAGTACTCGGCGAAGCCACCGTCCATGGTGACACCGTGGGCTTGGAAGTCTTCACAGAGAAGCTCCTCACCACGACGGCAGTAGAAGCATTCTCCGCAAAGCTCGGAGTTGTCGGCACAGACTCGGTCGCCGACCTTGAAGCCCTTGACCTTGGATCCAATGTCGGCAATAACGCCAACAGTCTCGTGGCCGGGGATCAATGGGAACTGGGCAATCGTCAGCTGAAATGACCGGTGATCACATCATCTTTGGTGTGCCTACCTTGGCCAAAAATTCACCCTCGTGGATATGGATATCAGTACCGCACACACCGCAGGCCTTGACCTTGACCTGTGTCCAGCGTCAGCCATCTCTTTTGCATGTTGACCATTTATTCCCATACCAAGACATCGTGCTCACGCAGCGTAGGAAGGGGCACCTCGACAACACTGAACTTCTCTGGCTCATCGTACTCTGTCATGTTCGGTCAGCAGTTGTCAAGCATGGTCCGGGGTAAGCCATACTCAACGCCTTCATCTTGGTAGGAAGCTCTGAGGAACCCATTTTGACGTTTGATATGTGTGGTATTGAATTTAAAAAGAAGTTACAGTTCACGAAAAGTCGATTGAGGTATTGTTAATTGACTGACCAGCAGGAAAAAAGGCAGACAATGACGGTTTTAACGCTGGCCGAAGGGAAACACGTTGAGGGGCATCATCCCGCCAGCTAGCACAGCTGTCTTCTTTTTTTCCCCTGACGATTGAGTTGGAGCTCACGGAGCCACCAACGCGGGCGGTGGGCGAAAATGATGCAGATGCGGGGCGTTCTTGCTTTGAGATTCTGTTTCTACGCCTGGAATCAACACCAAGATAACCCCCCGATTTCTCCCATCGACGTCTTTTCAACCAACCACATCTTCCCTTGACACTCCGATATATCATCGTGGAGCATATCGGCGTCCTAGGCCGACAGCCACCTCGACACCAGTGGCATATCTCAAGTGCTGCAAGGCTTCCGCGCCGCCGAGGGTTCACTAATTCTTCATTCATGCAGGTCTGTCTCATTTTCTTCCGCCACGCACACCGTTCAGGCAACAAAGAGTCGGTGAGTGCACCCCTTGTTTCTAATGCTCACGGTGTTCGTTCGGGTGTTGTTATTCGTTCTACCCAGCGATCCGGACATCGATGGCAATAGCTGAAAAAGTTGTTTGATTCTTTCGAACCCACGCCGCTAACGCGCCGTTCAAGATGGACAGTTTTCAGGGTCTTTCGCCGATTGTCGCCATTGACTCGCGCCGTGAATGACGTCTATCCGAAGATCTAAATTCACACGTACATGCTACAATTGTCCTGCTTGGGATTAGCACGACGCCGTCAAGCTCATGGTATGGGTATCTCGATCATGCTTGCGGACGACAAAACAGATGTTGCTTGCTTTAACATTGCAGTCGTCCACGTTGTCTGATGCGGGGCGCTCGCAATTCGACTATTGTGGTAGAAAGTCCATCATGACATTGCACTTTGAGCTCTAGCACATGGGTGTTCAGACTTCGCGAATACTCATTCTGCGTAACATGGATGCTTTTGCTTCACCCATTGTACCAATATATCTACCAATGTACCTACCAATTGTACCTGGCTTGCACCTACACTTTCATAAATGTGGCGAATCATCGTCTCGGAGGAACACAAAACATAACTTAGAATACAACTTCCAAAGCTTTCATTGCATTCCGGTTGACTCGTTGGGTCGGGCCAAAAATCACGAAAAAATATCGTAGTTGATGCATGAGCGACATACTGTAAATTCGTTCCTACTGTTTTATTTATGCCAAGGTAAAGTGATATGAAATGTCTGAGGTTGCGACTTCGACGCCTAACCTTGCACAACGACAAAAAATGAAACGAGATGAACAAACACAAGTCCTAAAAAAGCAAAAAGGTAAGCCTTATTGTAGGGGTTTGCCCCCTACTGGATTTGAACCAGTGACTTCGACATATCAGTAGTGATACTAGTGTCGCACTCTACCAACTGAGTTAAAGGGGCGCGGCTCTCAAGAACAGTTGAATGATTGCTGGATCGCTCTCATCACAGGTGCTTGTTGGTGACATTTTGGAGAGTATAATACAACTCGTAAAGCTAGCATGACCTCATGCCTTCCCTCAACAGGACTAGCGTCAGGGGTTCGTCTCCTTTTCAGCACACCGTCGACGAGATTCAATATCTGAAGACTATTATTTCATGTGTCAACAATCAGTCAACATACAAACACATTCTCCGAAACGTCTCATGTTCAAACAGGCTGTCGGGTTTCCAAAATCATACCCTCGCAGACATTTGTGAGAGTTCACCCCAGCCCAATCAAGACTCCTACAATGCAGGGAATAAGCATCGAATGACAGCTGCCAAACGGAACTGGTTTGGAAGGGGCCAAACGGTTGAGCAGCAATCTGGATAGAGTGAGTGATTCACGGTGACGCCGGGTCAAACTAGAGGCACGTTATGTGATACATGAGCGTAGGCGACGAGATAGTGGGCGCCACGATCAGGTACTCTGCAGGCACTGAAAGCGAAGTACCACTGGTTCCCACATATAAAAGTCCGCTGGACGAGGTCGACGCCTACAAACGGGATTAAAAAATTGATGTACCGTAGTAGTAGAGAAATGTACTGTGGGATGAAATGGCAGCTGGAAAGTCCGGAATGTAGTGTCCTATGCGACTTATTAGTCAACGGAGGATTGTGCAAGGCACCAAGTGCAGTCTCAGCCTCACTGGGCACGCGGAAAGACGAGTAAGGATCTCCGAAAGTACGACGTTGAACCAATAATTGCGATATACACGCCTTCAAGGCGTCTTTGTACCTCGTGGCCATTACCCTTGCTATCCTTTTCTCCAGCGATATCCTACATGCTACCCAGACATGTCTCCTTCCCATAATGCCATGCTTCCACAGCCATACCGCTCCATGCAATGCCTATGCTTATTGCTGTGCCGAAGTGCCTGAGTTCTGAGATCCCGGCTCAAATGGATTCCATGCATCATCATTATCCCGGTGATCTCGTCCTATGCATGTTCACTCCCAGTCATTACTTCAGCCCAAATCCTTCACTGCCGGTGACGGCCATCCAAAGTTTATGCTCCAACTTCTCCCGACTGTTATATTTGTATATGCTGAGCGTGTTGAAACATGTTCGCGCAATGGGGAAGCGCTCAACCGGCTTCTTGGGTGCGCGACCAAGCCCATCCGTTTCCTCTTTAATTCGGAGCAATTGTAGACGAATGACAAGATTCGTGGCTCCCATGGCAGGTATTCGGTCACTTCCTGTGATGAAGCTGAGAATCTTCCGCTGGTTTGTTGGTGAAGCCTTGGCGAAAAAGTCCCAAAACCAGACCACCTGTGGTTGTTGTTCTGGAGGCCCTTCGCTTTTTGGCCATCCATCATAATTCGCGACCGCCCGAAGGCTGGCGATGTCGAGTGGCTCATCAGACCCACGCACCAGCAGCTCAATCTCCTCAGGCCGGAATAGTGACAATGCATTGCCTCCACAAACAGTGAAAAATCCACGTTTGAATGGTTCGTACTGTCGAACAATTGCGGTGTCGAGAAGATAGTGGGTATAGAGATCGACGAATTCTCTTCGATTCGAAATTGTCACTGGGCGTTTCTCACCACCGGGACACAAGGGCACGTGGATAATTTCGCCGTAGCGATCCATCTCCGCAACAAAATCCCGACAAAACGTCTCTTGTACATCGCCCTCGAATTCAAGAAGTTGCCTGAATCCCCGCGCAAGCGCTGGACGGAACTCAGCAAGGTCTTCTAGCGTGAAGCCGTGGCCAACTTTCGGCGTTGAGGTAAGCTTGTCGCCCGTCGAGGGAGCAGATGCAAGCATTTTCCTGAAGACGAACGGTGGAAATGCAACATCCAGAATCGTCGAGTTATAGATGGCCAGTCCTAGTAATACACCAACCAAGAAAAACTGCTCGGAGGACTCAAAGCAGAATGGGTTGAAATAGCAATACTGAGAGTCATCGTCGTAAACGAATAATCCGTGATTGGGATCGAAAATTTCCCTGACGAGTAGAAGGAACCATTCCTTGCGGAGCCCACCAGCATCGACTCCCTCTTCTCCTTGGAAGTCGATACGTAGTCCTTTCTTTATCTCACTCCCGCCGGATCCCACGACTTCGGAAACGCCACGGAGACTGTCTTCAACTAGGCATTCACGTCGAACCTTGAGCACCAAATACTGACTGATTGCTTTGCGGCTAAGGATACTGTCGAAGAAAGCCTCTCTAGCCTTGACTTCCATTTGCCGTCGAGCATCGTATTCCAGGATGTGGATTTTGGCGTAGATACTGAGGAAGAAAGGGTATTGACAAAAGGTGAACTTGCTCTTGGTGCTTTCCCAAGTGTCAAAGTCAGCTATCAGATCAGCATAGTCCAACATGGTATTGTAGAAACTGTTGATCGGTACAATTTGCCCATGAGCGTTCGCCTGGTGTTTGGCGTTCAGTCCTGGGCTCTGTTGCCGTTGTTCAAAACTATTGGAAGCGTCTCTCTTCCGTGCTGCATGTCCTATATTTGCCTGGAAGAGCAATGCCATGACCCTGGCAGCAACACGGACCTGCCAATCTTCGCTGTAGGAGGACAATTTCGGTTTTCCATCCGCATTTCCGGCCGAGGTTGAGGATTGCCTTCGATCGAGCGCTGCATGAAACTGAGAGGCATGATGCATCCCACCTACTGAGAAGCTGGGTACAAGACCTTCGACAGGGTTTATCGGTTCGTGCACAGGACGTTTCTGCTGCCTTGATAGACGGTAGGTCACAAAGGTTCCCACCAATTCTACAGTGCGCTGGAAGTGCCCATCGGAATATTTTGAGAACCATGAGACGAGATACTGGTGATTCTCGTTGGACAAGTTTGCTAAAAGACCTAGGATCCGTTTGATGATGCCTGAATGATGGCCCAGGCTTCCAGGTCGTCTTGCAGAGCTTGGCACTCGTTTGGCAGGTGAGCCACGTGGACCAACTTCGGTTGGATTACCCAATGTCGTTGGAGGATGCGACATGTTGCTTCCAGATATCTTGCCAGCATCGAGCCTTTGTGGGGTCAGGAGAGGATTTGACAACAGTATGAGGAGGAAGCGGCAATCCTCGGCGTGCTTCAGAGGCTGCCGTGGTCGTTTCAATAGATTTTCTGTGACCTTTAACAGGCTGCGTTGGAGGTGACTGCGTGATTCAATGATGTCTTTCTGGATTTTGTCCAGAGAAGCAGATTGACCACGTTTTTGCTGTGGGGGATCAGCGACCTGGGATTGTATTTCCTGCCATCTCTCCTCCCAAAGGTCACCAGCGTAGATGACTGATCGGTACCACTCAGTGACCTCTGGCCAATTGATTCTAGAATTCCTTGAGCTTGTAGTGCTGCGCATCTTGTCGGGAGATCGGTCGCGTTGTTGATGTCCTTCCTTTCCTGGCACAGGTACCCGTCCATTGGATGCTCCTAGCCACCACGAACCGTTTTCAGCTACGTCGCCCAGTAGAAGCGTCTTCGCATCAAGGTCTGACAAGAAGACGTCGGGTTCGACGAGTGGTGTTGACACGGACTCGGACTTTTGACGCCTTTGATGTGTGCCTGAGCCTGTCCTGGGCTTAACGTCTTGCGGAGGACGTGGTGTTAGAAAGGATTCATTCAATGTAGCGCAGCCAACGAAACATCCTGCAATATAGTTCTCAACCATGCGGAATATGTCAGTGCGTGGCCCAGACGGGCCAGGTGGTGCTTCCTCGGATGCACGTACATCAGCGGTTTTGGGTCTGCTCGGCATGGGAATGGAGGCGGAGAAGGGATCGGCAGAGGAGCCTTGGACGAAAGGAATTTCCCCATTACTGCCCCTTCTAAGCGGTGTCAAAGTTGACTCAGAGGGGCTTCGTGCATTCAAGCCTGGTCGCAACATGGGCGGTGGCGAGTCTTGATCCCTATGAAACTGTCCATAAAGAAGACCTTCAGGCGGAGTACCCCCGGACAGGAACGATTCCTGGGGAGGTGATTGTGTGTCAGTACCGCCAATGTGAACTGAAATGGTGCTTTGCTCTAGGTACGACTCGAGATATTGTCTGAGGCAACGGTCGAGAAGCGCTTTAGTCCTGTCCGCCGACAGTGGCACAACTTTGCGTGGTGGCGAGGACGGATTGGCGGCGTCTCCGCCCCTCTCTGGATTTACCTCGAGGTCATTGATAGTTAAGCAGGTAGTACAGCGGAAGACCTTCAATCCTTGAGGCCATCGTACAGTAGAGTCACAAGTCATGCATTTCCCCGTGACGGGCTGACGATCGCCTCGTTGAGGGATGTTCTCGGTAGCCGGGGCCTTCGCGTTGCTGACATCCGGGTGGACATCACGACTACCACCAGACGTCGTATCCATATCGCTCCGAACATTATGTTTCTTGTCAGATCTCTTAGAACCGAATATCGAAGGAAAGGGGTGGCTGAAGGATCGGGTGTGGTTATGCTTTGCACCATCAGATTCGGTCACATTCGGGAGGGCCTTTCGACGTAGTGAAGGAATCTCATAACTTTCGGCAGACGCAGAAGAGGGAGGGGCGGGTAAAGGGCGATTGAGGTCCGAGGCGGTGGATCTTTGAGAGTTGGTATCTCGACTGATGTTTATACTGCGAGGTATAGAGCGACCCGACTGGTGCTGCGAGAGGGGCGGTAAGGGCGCCATATGTGAGGTACAGGCCTGTAATGAAGCCTCTGTCCTGATTGATGGGCCGAATGATCGCAGGGGGGAGGCAGAATGGTCATGAGTGTTCGCAATTCAGTTTGCTCAACAGATGAGAGAAAGGTTATTGCAGGCGACTGATGTAGAAAGATCGGCTGTAGTGATAATATCGGTCGAAACACATTCACAGAGGCCTGATCAAATAGTCAATCTCCTGGGATAGTATCGCGGCTGTTGTGGCCAAAGAGAGCCAGCATGTTGTCCGTCGAAATGCAGGCAATGCCAGACCAATGCCAGACACACGATGGGCAAGTGCAGACCACACAAGTCGGAAAGCCCAGCAGGTTGAAGGAGTCTCGTGAGGGCTGCAGAGGAAAGGCAGGCCTCTCTGCGGACTATGTCAAAAAGAGTCGAGTGTGAAGAAGGATCGAATGTAGTGTCAGAGGATTGCCGTAATCTGTTAGAAGATGCAAACCAGACTGCGTTTAGTTAACTGCGGGCCTTTGGAGGCATGGCCAAGGCTGGAGAAGTGTCAGGGACAGGGAGCTCGGCATCGCATCGGATGAATCAGGGGTCCTAACCAGCTTCAACTGGGGTCCGCGGTGGTATTCCCGGGCAGCCTTGAGTGCCTATAACAACCCGCAGCCAATGATGGCTAGATTGACGTCTACAAGCTTGGACGACTTCTGGATACAAGGTACGTAGGTGGTAAATCTCGAGTTCCAGTGTAAAGCTTGTATCTACTTAATTTAGATCTCTACTACAACACTTCCCAAGTAGTGGCCTTGGCTGTCTCTTCAGCGAGATTTTTGCATCAGTCGCTACCGGCCCCAAGCATTACCGAGTTCCAAGCGAACCGCGGTATCGCGTGGTGCAAGACAGGCAGTCGGCTCTAGTCATCCAAGCCATACTCGGCAACGAGCTTGTCCCCAGCGGTGAGACCAACGAGGTACGCTGTGGTCTGAGTGTGGTTGCTAAGTATAGACTGTAAGTATGGATTTCTCGTCGACAAGCAAGACATAGTCACTCACCTGACGACAATAGGGATCACGCCCGCGTCGGCCACTCGAAGATTCTGCACGCCAAAGACCTTGAAGTTCTTATCCACCACTGCGTTGTCCTCGTCCCGTCCTATTCTGGTTGTGCCCATCATATGCCACGTGCTGCCAGAGTTCTTCTTCCAGTACTCCAGAATATCAGCCTCTGACTCGCTTGCTGGAGCTGCCTGTATGGCAATGATGTCCTTGCTGAATTCAGGGCTGCCAATCACCTTGAGCACTTCACGGGTGGCCTCAACTGCGACTCGCCTGTCATAGGGATGAGAGAAGTAATTGGGATCAAACTTCAGAGGCACCTTGGGATCAGAAGACTGTAGCGTTGCAGAACCTGTGGACTGCATGTTCAGCACGAACACGAGGATCGTACACCCAGCAGTCGCGTGTTCCGGATCCATGAAGTGAGGCGCGTGGGCCATATTGAGTAGGACCTCGTAATGAGGTACGGTGGGCTCTTCCAAATGTCGTTTCTGATCCTCGGGCAGCTCATGAAACTCCAGCGACTTTGACAGTGATTCCAGCTTGAGCCAGCCTATGCCCATTGCACAAGCGAACTCTGCAAGGGGTCCCGTACCGTCCTTCTCCCACTGTGCCTTAGCTGCGGCCTGAAGCTGCTTATCTCTGTAAAATGTTTGACGCTCAGAGCAATGATCCGATTGCTCATACTGCAATGCGATGTGATGGTGATCTTTCATGTGCTGACCCACGTTCTTGTTGGCTCTCACAATGGGGATATTGAAGCTATCCAGCTGATCCTGGGGCCCGACACCAGAATGCATCAAGATCCTTGGTGTGTCGAGACTGCCACATGAAAGAACGATTTCCTTATTGGCATAGATCTCCTCCCCCGTAACAGTTGTAACGCCAACGGCCTTGGTGCCATGAAATATGACCCGGGAGACCTCCGTGTTGGTCATGATGTGTAGATTCTTGGGTGTGTCGTTCAGAGCATCGGCAGCAGTCGACCTGACTCCATTATAGGCGGTCCATATGCACATTGCGAGACCCGTGGGATCTCCAGAGTTGTGATCCGGGTTGAGCTTTGTGCCGTTCTTGGCCCAGATGTCCATCAAATCTATCGCAGACTGCTCGACAATTCTTGGAAATCCTGTGTGAATGGGACCCTTGGTTCCATGATCTTCCGGTTTCGGGTCGAGATACTTTTTCAGGTTATTATACGCATCAGATGGAGCACCGTGATACGTTTCAATTCGTTTGTATCGCTGTTGTGCGTTGCTCCATTTCCATTCTTCGTCGTCAACGATACGGCCAATTTCGTCGTGGTCATCTCTGGGTCCGACAGTGTAGACGGAAAAGTTGATTGATGTACTCCCACCCAAACCTTTACCACGGTCAAAGTCAATCACACGCCCATCAAACCCTGTGACTGGAGTGCTCTTATATCCCCAGTTCTGTTCAGGGTTCATTTTGTGCAACCACCTCTCAGCATCGATCCGAATGGACTTCGAGTCATTCTTGCCACCAGCCTCTATCAAGAGAACAGAAGGATGCTTCTTGCTGTGAGCTAGTCGCCATGCAACGATCGTTCCAGCGGCACCACTACCAACAACGATGAAATCGTAGCTCTTTGCCATCGCGGATTTCCAATGATCTCGTATCCTGTGGATGAGCAGTCCAAAGAGATGAGAATGACAATGGACGAAAATGAGGGTACCTCAGAGCTTTTATGTTCGACTAAGACTGAGCGATATGATGGACAGCAGACCCATTTGATGCAGTATAGATTTGCCATGCTGAGGCGACGGTGGAGGCTCGTTCATCATGATCAGCACCCCACCTGGCAACAGTATGGATTACCACCCCTGGTCGACTATAGACCTCAATTCGGCAAGTGAGGTGACCGAATCAGCCGTCTCAGGTTGATGTATCATCATAACTGGGGAATACATGGGCAAATGCAGCCAGCCTCGAAAAAGAACACCAGTGGCGTCGTTGTTAGTGGGATACGAAGGGCGGGAAACAGCAAACGGTGATGAGATGGAGGATGTCATCTCGAGCAAGAGAATGGCTGTTGGATACAGGTTCCTGTGCCATAAGCCCTACCAAAGTCTGACCAATGCCGCCAAACAGCATAGTGTGAAGATAGTCCATGGTTTGTCGAACGGTGTGTACAGTAGCCGCATGTATGGTGAAGCTGTCTCCTTCATGAACTCTTGTTTCCAGATCATGTTCCATGGCGTCTTGTCTGCCACTCTCCTCACTTCTCACAAGGCCAACCTGAAGGAGGTGTGGTTCGCAAGCTGTACGAAAAGACGACATGGAACGTTACTTTACTGCTGACTCATCTGAACGAAGATTCTGTGACTCCACCACCTCGTCGTCGGATAGACAAGCGGAATAAATCAGCCTGTCAGACATTGACATCCCGTGCCAAACTGCCGTCACTTATTGAAGAATTTCTGATCATAGCCTTATTGGCAAATACTGATCATTGCTCTATTTTGGCCATAACACTTGTACTTTGGGCGGCAGCAGAGATTACCATATCTGCACGGTTGATTACATGCGTCTGGTAGCAGGAGTTTTCCGACCTTGGCTTCTCACCGCAGCACGCCATGCTCGCCCCAACACCCGCACCCCAGTCCTCCGCACTCGGGTACCCTCAGACAACCGGGCTTTGAGTGCTCAAGTTCCTGTGACAGTTGCGCCTCGCGGAGATCCGTCCGAAATACCTACAGAAGAGACTCGTACTGAGAGCTCGTACTCCGCAACCCCGGACTCACCAACCTTCAGCAGCGCTACCTTCAGCCGGAAGAGACTTCCCGTGTCCTGTCCTGGATGTGGCGCTTTGACACAAGATGTTGATCCTGGTCAAGCGGGCTACTATACACGGTCGAGGAAGGCGGTAAAGACATATCTGCGTGGCAGCGCTGAGATAGCACAGCAGCCTGTGCCTGAAGATGATGGAGCAGCAGACCGCCGGACAGAAAGAGCTGGGTCGAGCAATGGGGATACAGGTGTCCAACAGGACAATGGATATGAAGTGACCGAAATACCTTCAATTCCACCTCCAGTATGCGATCGGTGCCACCATCTGATTCATGAATCTCGTGGAATTCCCATTGCCCACCCTTCCGTCGAAGATATTGCAGATTCTATCGCAGAATCTCCCCATCCCCGAAATCATGTCTATCACGTTATGGATGCGGCGGATTTTCCCATGTCTTTGATACCGTCAATCTACAAGAACCTGTCTCTGGCAAAGCCGCGCAGTCAAAACCGTCGGTCACAGCATGCATTTTCATCCAAGCCGTCGTTGTCATTCATAATTACACGGTCGGATTTGCTTGGGTCATCCAGAGATTCAGTCGATCGCCTAATGCCCAAGTTCAGCTCCATTCTGCGCACTGCATTGGGACGGTCCGGGCAGAAGTTGAGACTGGGAAACGTCCATCTTGTCTCCTCGAAGCGTGGCTGGTGGACGAAAGACATCAAACAAAGTATCTGGGAACGAGGAGGTGGCAACTGGCTGATCGGCAAGTTTAATGTCGGAAAGTCCAATCTCTTCGAAGTACTATTTCCCAAGGCATCCGACGAACGAGCACCTGTCTATGAGGAATTAGAACGACAACAAACCATGGACGGCATTGATACGCCCGCCGAAAACAGCTTCTTTTCGGAAAAGAGCTTGCTCCCTCCACCACAACCTGAAGTACCATTTCCTTCCATGCCTCTGGTCTCCAGTCTACCCGGAACCACTGCGTCTCCGATTCGACTCCCCTTTGGCAACAAGAAAGGAGAATTGATTGATATGCCCGGCTTAGAACGCAGCGGATTAGACCGGTACGTTCGCCCTGAAGACAAGCTGGGGCTGGTTATGACCCATCGTCCCACGGTGTCTCAGCACAACATCAAACCCGGTCAATCTTTAGTTCTTGGTGGTGGCTTGGTCCGTATAACACCCAAACTGGATGAAAGTGACCGCAGCACGATAATGATGGCTTATCCCTTTGTCCCTCTGAAGGCACATGTTACATCAACAGAAAAGGCACTCGGTACACAGTCGCAGGACCGCGAAAGTGGCATTGAGTCCATACTGGCAGATGGTACAGGCTTGGAAATCGCATCAGCTGGTAAATTCTCTCTCAACACAGATGTGACGAAATCCAGGGCTGGGTCTGTGATCAGGGCTGGCGTTGATCCTGCGAAATTACCTTTCCAGGTCTATGCGACTGATATCCTCATTGAAGGTGTAGGATGGGTGGAACTTGTATGTCAGGTCAGGAAAGGACGACGTATGCTGCAAGCCGCTCCCACCGAAGAGACTCCAGTGGCAGAGGATCTGGCCGAACCAGCTGTACCTCGGTCGGACGAGGTCTCCATTGACAATGCTGGGTTTGTGCCTTTCGCCTCTCCGATCCCAAATGCTACCACGGAAAGCACGGAATTCTCTAACTTTCCGCAAGTCGAGATCTTCACGCCTCAAGGAAAGTATATCGGGCAGAGACAATGCCTGGACATCTGGCAGGCATGGAACACAGGAAAGCAAACTACCCAGACACGCGGTGGTCGTCCTAGAAAACCAATGAGTGGAGTGAAGAAACGCGACAAAATGCTTCACAGAGCGAACGTCAGCACGAACCCGTGAAAGAGTGTGTGGATTAAACTGCCATCCTAGATAAGCCTGCTTTGCGTCGACCCAAGGCGTCTTCTTCCGCCCTCTTCACCTACTCGGTCAAGACGACAATCTTGCCTCGAGCAGCATTCTTGTCCATGGTTTCATGTGCCTGAGCAATGTCGTCCAACTTGTACACCTTGCCAACCTGAACAGGCAAGGTGCCCTTCTCGATCTGCTTTAGCAAGTCCGTGAGCGGCGTATTCATGAACTCTTCTGGCCCACCCGAATACCCGGTCAGATACACCGAGGAGGGAATGAACTCCATGGGATTAAAGCCGTCGATGGTCCATTTGTTCCCTGGAAAGATCTTGTCAATGCCCACCCTCAAACCTCTGTCAGCTCAGCAAAGGGTGAACACTTACCGACAATACCAGTCATACAGACGATTCCATGATCGGCGACACATTGCAGTGAGTCTGCCAGCGTAGTCGTACCAATCAGTTCCAACACCTTGTCAAACTTCTCGCCTTTGACCTTCTCAGCGACGTTCCCATCATCAATAATGACCTGGTCAACTCCGCTCTTGCGCATCACATCGGCACTGGCCTGGTTGGAGCTTCGAGTCGTCCCCGCAACAAAGCATCCGTGGTTCTTCGCGATGGCCGCCGCCGCAAGACCAACGGAAGTCGTGCCTCCGCGGATGAGCACACGGTCCTTCGGCGTGATCTGCATCGCCTTGAACAAGCTCCCATGTGCAGTCTGCAACATCTCTGGGACCGCTCCAACGATGCTCCAATCCAGGTCTGTCTCGAGTGCCTGGGTATTACTCGCCTTGACGCATGTATACTCGGCGTACCCACCGTTAAAGTCCCGCCCCATGCCACCCATTGCGGTCGCGACTTTCTGGCCGGGCTTGAATTGCCCGCCTGGACACTTCTCGACGACGCCGGTTGCTTCGATGCCAAGCACCCTTGGGAACTGGACACCGGGACTGTGTCCCTGACGCGTGAACAGCTCGGAGCGGTTGATGCCGAATGCCTTGACACGGATGAGAACCTCATCGTCGCCTGGCGTGGGGATCGGAAGCGTTTCAATCTTGAGTTTTTCTGGCCCGCCTGGCTCGCGGATCACAGCTGCTTTCATGGTCGCCATTGTGCGTGTACGAGTGCGGGTCGGCGATGCTGCTCTGATGGAGACTCGGAATGTACTTGTAAATGTACTATAGATCAATGATGCTGTACTCTTGCCCTTTCTGATACTGGTGATGTTGATGTTCATGCACTCTTTCGTTCGGGCTAGAGAACGGACAATTGGCTGCTTTTATATAGTTCTTGACACCACTGTGTTGTCGTGGCGGCTCCGTGTAGCAAGATGCAGTGTACAAGTTGTTTTACTCAGCTTGTCGGCTTGCTTCCGCACGACCATACACCATTTCTGCCTCGTGGGTCCCTTGAGAAAATAGACCTGAGTATGCTTCGCTTCACGATCGACGGACAGGCCCCCCTCTTTAAGTTTCTCTGGAGTCATAGTAAGCTAACGCGATGAGGCAGGCTTTCAGCTGTGGAAATGCAAGTAGATAGGTGGACGGGATGGGACAGGGGCATGTATGGAAGCTATACGAGGTTGCACTATGCAGACACGGCTCGGCTTTGAACATCAAGCCATATCTAGTAAATACTTGCTGACTCACCTAGGGCGCCTGGCAGAGCCTCGTGCAACAGACCTCTACAGAAGTACGTTCAATGGCCCGATGTACAGTATGTGCGACAATAAAACGAAGAACACCTAGTGATACTACGATCTATCCGCCTATCTGCCCCACAACGCGTATAGGTATCTGCTTTGATAAGCAGCATATCTCGGCTTCACATGCAGTATGCTTGCTCGCATGGCTTCATCTTGATTCGCTTGTACGACCATCAAGGGAAGAACATCTGGCCGGAAGCAAGGAATGTCGCCGGGGTTTGAAGCACCACAGAACAGAGCATACGTCTGATATGACTAATAGCGAAGGTAAGCGCCTCACATCGCGAATGTGCAAAGCGTGGGTGCGCGACTTGTTTCCGGTGCACAGCCGTCGATGGATAACTGTATGACGATGATCAAATGCATGAGATGTGTATTGGGATTCGTTGTCATTAGGGGTCGGAAAGTCAACTGTAGGAGCTATGCAGAATGAGCCTGGCCGTCAACACCAATCCAAAGGTCATTCAAGCGTGTATCTGATGCGCATGATCAGGGCTACTGCCTCGAACTGTTGCAGTGCGCAGTAGCGTGCCATGAACTCCGTGCCATCTCATGCGCCATGGTATATGCATGCGTATTCAAATGCCCACTCCATTGCCATTGTACGTGTCTTGTTGCTTCTTCACCATTCACGCCGCCGCCTGGCCTAGAAGTTCAGAGTCTCTCCGAAGCGGGACGCTTTCATTGTTTGGAAGGCAGAGGTACGGTCCGGACTATATGGCAGTCTGCGCCACTTATCTGGCTTTGATTCCGGCGGTGCTTGGCTGCAAGCTGCTTCAGCTTCTCATCTGTTTCGCGCAACCGGGCCTCGAGGCCTTCAAGCTGATATTTCTGAGATTGGACAGTATCCTTTCTGTAGAGGGTCGAGTCAGTTGGAGGCGGAGCACGTGGTGTTCGAGATCGTACTTCTCCTCGACGGCTTGTTCCAATGCGCCAATGCCATTTAGATTGAACATCTCGTCCAACGCGGCCGAAAAGTCGCGAGCCAGCGTCCTATTCATTGTAAGCACGGTCATGATGTCTGAGAGATGAGGAGATCCTACGACTTGGGTCTACCGTTGGATTTCCACTCGGCGTCCATGCTGCGGTCGTTTGAGGGGCTCATTCTTGGGGCGTTGAGTCACAACGCAATCAAGGCAAAGGGCAATGTAACATCAAACGCGCGTAGCAGATACTTATATAGCCATTCAGACAAGAGACGAAGGATGAAGCAGGCTCACCGGTTCGCGCCAGTCGAGAAGTCAAGAAGTCAGGCGGACTTTGAGGGCAGCTGCTACTGTGTATGGTTTGGTTGCCCTTGCAGACGATAGGCGACACGCATCTCCATCTGTCACAGTTACATACCTGGAAAGGGGGTCATTTCAGGCTGCGACAGGTCCCCTGGAACACATGAGATGCTCCGTCAATACAGGGCGCGTGGATAGGGCTGCAGATCACTCAGGAATCGTCTCGAGAAGGCACCAAGCTGGTCAGTGGTGACTCGTGTGAATTTGTTGACATGGGCATGTGCCTTGCGAACTGAAAAGTAGCGAAATAATCGGCCCCAGATCTAGCCTAGAATGGTGCAGCTTAGAGGCTGCCGAGCCCAGAGGAAATTTCGCCTATCTGTGCCAGTCTCTCGGTTTGGTTTGGGAGGGCACCCCCCGTAAGTCTCTTAAACAATTGGAATACTGTACACAGTATGGTAGTAAATCCCCCAGCCCGCCAAACAATTTGTCTAGCAAGCAAGCAAACTAGCTGCAATTTTTAGTCAAAATTTCAAGCAACCCTTCAATTTGGTGTCACCACTCTGTCCCATCCATCTCCATTCCTTTACAACCATTCATCGATCGGTTCCTTCTCGCGTTGTGGGCCTCCATAACCGCGTCTTTGTAACTCTTTGGATCGATAGGACCGGCCTGCTTCGAAGGAAAGGTGTTGTCGCGCGACTGAGCACAGCGACATTCACCTTTCCCCAAGTTTTGCGACGATGGGATGCCTTCACTAAAAGCCTACACACCCTACGAGACACTTGCTTTCTGCCAGTCCGTTGCACATCATGGCGCCGACTCTGCTGCCTTTGAGGATATCGCGCAGTCCTTGAATGCCAACCAGCTCATTCGCGACAACCAAACATACGATGAAAGTCGACTGACAGCCAGTGCGTTACAAGCACTATACCAAGAGCTGCTGGTGCAAGAGAAGACCGAGAAGGGTCCAGTGGTAAACGGCGACGGTGGAGCGACCGTCAACCCGCGCAAACGAAAGGCGTCCCTTTCCCCTCCGCCGGTCAAGGACAATGATCTGTCTGGACAACAATGGCTTCAATCGCTAGTCGACAGACTGTATGAAAGATTTAGGGAGCAAACAATCAAAGAGATTCGATTGGAAGAAGAGGCATATCACAAGGTCCAGGCTGAGATTGTTGTGCTGGAGAAACAACCTGAGGACGAGCAACTGACGACTGAGGAACTGAAATCGCGAGATCTACCACAGAAAGGAGCGGAAAATGTCGCGCCGAAAGCCCAAGAACCTCAATCTAGCCCGGATGCGGCTGCTGCACAGTTGCAAGCCAGCCTCGATGCCAGCCGTGCAGAACAAGCTGCAGCGAAGGGAGCAGCGCCTGTTCTGGAACCAAGGACATCTCCATCAACTGCTCGAGCTGGGCATCCACAGGCTTTGAGCGTCCATTCTCCCGCACCCACTACACCAGGTGCCCAACCAAGGCCACCAACAGAGACACCCCAAGCGCGAGCATCGAAAACACCAAAGCTTCCTCAGCAACCGTCGCCTGGCGCATACCAGCGTCCTCTGCCGGGGCCGGGACCGTCTCCTCAACGACCGGACTATGTCCAACAGCACTTTCAGCCTTCCCCCCAGGGACATCCTATGCCTATACTGCCGCATGCTCAAGGAATGCCACCTATGCCACCACCAATGGAATATCCGGGTCCGAAACGTGGAACCTCTGCATCTCGACAGGGAAAAGGTTCGCCAGTTCCCATGCAGCCCCAACAGCCATTTCCAGGTTATCAAGGATATCCACAGCCACATTGGCCTCCTCCTGTCGCTCCCCAATACGGTCATTCACAGCCGTATCCGCCCAATGGCCAATTTTACCCATATCATACGCCTCAACACCCGCCGTATCAACAGTATCCGCAAAGTGCTCCTATTCACTACGCTAGTCAACCTTCTCCGGCACATGGATGGCATCCACAATATGGTCAGCCGTATTATGGTCCACACGGTTCGGCCAACGTGACACCTGTTCCTCGAAACACCTCCAAACAGCCAGTGCCAAGAGCTAGGTCTTCGACACCGTGGAAGCGTCGTGCGGAACCACCAAATATTGTGCGCCAGCCCAGCCCAGGTCGGCCTGAGAGAGACGTCAGTCCGCTGACGGACTCGGAGTCGCCTTCTCGATCTAAAAAAGTCAGAAAGTCGCCAGGCAAGAGGGGTCAAAAGGCTGAGGGAAGCTTTCTATCCACCCAGGAAGCCGTCAGGGGCAGACAAGGTGCAAGCACGACTCCGGGCGTTGCTGATTCGAGGTCTCAGTCCATCGCATCTTATGCTTCTGATACGCCCACGGATAAGCGGAGACGAGGGAGGCCACCATCGAAAATCAAGGCTGAACCGCCTAGTACGCCCGCGCCTCTACTTTCTGATACGGAACAACCCCAACAATCAAGAGGACGTCCTGGCAGACCTCGAAAAGACGCAGCACCACCATCAACGACTGAACAGGTGCAAAATACAGCCACGAAACGGAAGCGCTCACATGGTCGGGATACTGCAAGCCCACCATTACCCTCTGCAGAGCCTGTAGGAACGCTGCGGCGTCAAGTTGTTCACGATCCATCACTTGTCAGCGTCACCAAGAACTTCGCAAAGACCGCGCAGCTACTTCTGAACGAGATTACATCGCACAAAGTGGCAAGCATATTTGCCAAACCTTTGTCAGAACGCGATGCCCCGGGCTACAAGAAGCTAGTGTTTCGCTCGCAAGATTTGAAGAGTATCAAGGCTGCGGTCTCCAAGGGTGGGAGGGCCGCTCTGGCCGCCATTGAAAGCCTGGAAACGGATGACCGTGACGGAGAGGAAACGCCTACCAAGAACGTTGCGGCTACCGCGACCGAATCTGGAGAACGATCTCTCGGCAATGGCGTGTATCTCGTGAACCAAACAGAAGATCTGGTACCTCCAAAAGGCATCGTCAATTCCGCGCAGCTGGAAATGGAGTTGGTGAGAATGTTCGCCAATGCAGTCATGTTCAATCCGCTTCCTACGTCGGAGAGGGGGTTTGGGCGGTCCCTTCGCTTGAGGAAACGTGGCGGCGATGTGGATTCCAACGCCGACGCCGACGACGCCTCGTCCAGCGAAGAAGGCAGCCCGGTCGATGAAGGTGGTATCATTTCAGACGCGAGAGAAATGTTCGACGACGTTATGGCAGCGGTGCGCAAGTGGCGAGAAGTGGAAATCGAGCGACTGGGCGGGGACGACGCGGCGGCGGCACCAGGCACGACTTCAAAAGCTACACATCCATCGACGGCACAGGGCAGTGCCAGTGCTAGTGTTAGGCACTCTAGTGTCAGCTCTGCGGTGAACGAGGACGATGCTGCTGGCGAGACACCCGCGGCCTCGGTCTCGACGCCTGTTCCTGCGTCGGGAACGGCGAGGAAGAGAAGGCGGATCGCTGAGTAAGAGTATGTCCAGGCTGCAACGTCTGGCAGGGAGTTGGAAATGTGGTTTTGCGGTGGTGTTTGGATGAGCACGGGCACGTGTGGTTGAGCTTACGAACAGCTCAGCGTGTCTATGTCTTTGCCTGCTTGTGCAAGTAGACAGATATTAGAACCTCACGATTATGTTTTGAATGTAAAGAGTACCTCTTCAATCAATGTTAGCGAGTAGTATTGCCTCGGTCTTCATGTCTGATCGGATCCTGCCTCGCTTGTGGGTTCGTTGAAGATGTCTTGGGTTGCCATGTCAGGGCACCTTGAGCGGGACCTCGACATTGTTGCTCGATCGAACTTCGTCCTTCGCAGCTGGACCTCACGATGCTTCACATCTACGGGATCAACAGGTGTATGCAGCGAGGCGTCCTCGATGGGGAACAGGCAGAAGCTGCTGTCTCGTATGCACGGATGCTCTGAACCTTATTGAAACCTACCAACAAGCAGCATAGTTTGATAGATCGCTTTTCGTGGCGCCGGTCGCAGCTCTTCGGGTCCAGACCATCTCTGATGCGAGTCGATGCTGGTCCGTCCTCCTCGCAACAAGAAAGTTTCATTGCGTTGAGGAGAAGAATACGGCAGCACAGCGAATGCTGGCACCGATACTGAATCGTTCAGGGTTCATCATGCGCAATCAAGGTCGTAGCGTGCTTCGAACCACGACCGTCGCGAGTCAGTATACCAGCAACGCAGAGGTGGGATGGCGGAATCGGAAGGGCCGGACGTTGCCTTGCATGCATGGATGTATTCAAACCTCGAGCGTCTAATTGCAGAGTTGCTGGTACGCGGACCAGGCACAGGAAGAAGTCGAAGAGAATACTCTCATACAATTGTCGTCCGCGCAATCATCGGAGACGCGGTACTGTACTTGCCTTTGATGGTTGTAACACCTGTTTGCAGGCAGCGACCCCGGCGGCAATGCCACTTTACCGTCGTGTCGACGGAAAGTTACCTTGACCGGTTCAGCTAGGATACCATGCCAAACTGCACCAGCCATTCCGTCAAACCGAAGCTGTGCAGCAATGCGTATACGCATGAACATACGTGCGGAGATCAGGGCACAGGGACATTGACGCGTGGGTACAGTACCTGTATGCTGCGAGTCTGCCTCACCTGATAGAGATGCATCCACAATACGAGGTATCGTCACATCGTGGGAGGTTTGAAGCCCGCACGAGCCTGCATCTTGAAACAATGAGTTCTCCATTATCAGCTGAATCTGCGCCGACGCTTTGGCCAAAAGACATAGAATAATTCGCCGAGCTCCAGTTTTGGGACCCTCAAGGTTGTTCGTGACCCACGCCTCAAGTTATCGATCTACGAAGGACCCGTTTCACCATAGCAGTGAGTGGGCGATTAGGTGCGGGTCGGATCATCGCAACAAAATCCAAAAATTTGATGAAACGCTCGGCAACCGAGAAGGTGTGTCACAAAGCAAGAAGCATCAAACGACGACGGTATAGAGATGCTGAGCTCATTGAGACTGAGCATCACGCAACCAGGAAAACAACGGGAGCGCTCCTCTGTTGCGTGGTCGCCAGCATCGTTCGTGATACATCGGATTTGCTCGTGGATTTTTAAAGCAAATTCCGCAATGATCGCAGCGGACTGTACCCCTTCAAAAGTTACGTCCTGTCATGCTGTTTTAGGATACTGTAGGTCCTCCACGAGTCGGTGGATTGGATTGTTGCGATCGTCATATTGTTGTTCTTCTCGCCAACCCGGCATAGCAAATTAATCAGATCCGATGCAGCACCAACGAATAGAGCATACCATGATCCCGTACCTAGGTAGCAGTCACATCGCTGTCCTGGAAGACTTGGCTATGCAAGGCAATCGCTTTTGGAGAATGCAGGTCTCCCGTAGGTCCGTAGAGACAGGCGTAACACGAATTACTTACCGCACCGGGTCAAAGTGAGCGTAACCTTTGTCCATACGAATACGAGGACTTCCGGAGTCCTGGCTTCTCAGATTCAGGATTCTGTAATGGATGGACTCTTCGCGGCGCCAGGATTGGTTAATTCTCATGGGACGTGGGAGATCATGTCCTAGCGGAGAGGAATTTACCTTGTACTGTACTCTGCAACCAGCAGTCCTTGACCATTCTTCGAAGAAAGACACGTGGACAGAAGACCAGAAATCATGGCGCTTAGCGTGACTGCCACGTCGCCAGCAGGGTATCGGTATGTTGTGCAGGACCTTTTTTCATCTCTGATCAGTAGAAATGGCTCCTTTGATTCGCTGGCCTTGGAGTGTTATCCCACGTATCAAACCCCCAATGCATTCCAACCCGGTCCGGATGTTGTCTCGTGATCGATTCCCAGACGGACTGTCCCCAAGGAATGATTTTGTGCAGTCGGTCATTTGGATAATTATAGTCAGCCCGCGAGAGACTCACTCCTCTGGCGGTGTGACAGTCCTTTTTTTGATACTGTGTACTTGCTTGAGAATCGAGGAAAGATTGCTCGGACAGTCAGGGTCAGTGCATTGCACCAATGCTCTTCAGCTGTTCTTGGTTAATTGCACAGACACTGTTGGCAAGGTCCAGACTATTCAGCTGATGTTGACGGATGCGTAAAAGGTAGGAAGTCGCATCGAAGACAATACTTTCGAACTCGTATCCGGCCGTGGCCTAGCACTTTCGCAACCAAAATCCAGCCAAGTAGTTGGGTGAGGCACTATGGCTTGACGCGGTCTCCACGCAGCCACGTCAGAGCCACACCCCCTAGTCACCAAGCCTTGCTTATCGTTGGTCGCACAAATCGATGTTGCGATGCATGCCTTAAATCCGGGGTGCATCTGATTCTCCTTATCACAGCCACTGCAGACTGGTCAACCACTCGGTAAGCGAGGCAGCACGACGTCAACAGACTCCACCGTTCCGGCTATCGGCCTGGCGCCGTTGAACTCCTGAAACGAAAAACAGGTACCCTAAACTTAGCGTATCGTTCATCGTCCTTCTGACAGGCTCTTCGGACAGGTTCTCCCAATATGCATCTCAATGGCACACACGGTGCGAACGAACAGTACGTGTATAGACGATTAAAGTATTTGTGCGAACCCTTGACGATTGGTCGGATGACGCCTCCGCCAAACCCTGTAGCCGAAGATTTGTCCAAGCGCATTCGAAGTGGTGGTGGAATATCTTGGACGCGGGCGGAGCGCAAATGCCGGTGTTAGGTAGGAATCCACCTTTGGGACGGAACGTGAGGAGAGGAGCAAAGCTGCAAAGTCGAAAACCCTATGCCATGTCGATCGAGGAGCGCAAGGTTTGCCCGGATTGGAAATATGCGCGGATGCGCTCGGGTGTTCCTGAGAAGGTTGGCAAGAGTTGGCCGTGCTCCGGTGTGCCGCGTTGGCAATGATGCGTCGTTTTCCAGACACCCGCAACAAGCGTCGCAAATGGGGAAGGGCCAGGAAAAAAAGTCGATCCGGGAAGTGGGAAAAGGTTCACTTGACAGTTGGTGATCAGGATGGACCCGGCAAGATGGGACGGTCCTGGTACAGTCATGATACCGGTCATTTCAGACTGTCGGATGTTCAAGTTGCTCGTCAAGCGTGGAACAAGTCTGACCAGCACTAGAAGACTTTTCTTCCAAGACTAGTCGGGCTGAGTGCACGTAGTGAAGAGGGTGTCTCCTGTCAGACGTTCGCAACCTCTGTCCGCCAATATTGTCCCCTCGAAGAGAGACTTAAAAGAGACATGCAGGTAAACAGCTGCTTGCATCTCGACCTCGAATGTCGTGTATCACAAGATTGCGATCTGGGCCGGGTCTGCCAGGCCGTCGTCATCGGCGTGGGGTTTGGAGTTGTCATGCAGACAGCAGCTGCATGGTGAGACTGGATATGAGGCCTGCCACGTATGCTGTTTTTGCCCAGCCTCATGCATCTCGTTCTCTAATGGCAGGACAACGCGATCTTTTGGACCTCGTGAACCACAGCTGCAGCTGCTCGGCGCGATGCGCGAAAGGCGTAATGCAGCTACGTGCATATTCTATTCCTGTTGCAAGCAGAAAGAGGCAGGTAGGTCGTCAGCAGACGCGAGAGGACGACACAGGATTGAGATGGGTGCAGATCGAACTCGAGTGCAGCCAACTCCTCCCAGCCGAGGGTCCGGACGAAATTGACTCGACGCAGACGGTTCCAATTCTCATGCTGTCAGCTGAAGCACTGCGTTGCAGAGCACGATATAGTCATCATTAAACAGTAACAACGTTTCTAGTCGCCTGGAATTTGACCGGTCATTATGAGTGACATGTCGTTTCGTGTATAGGGTAACTATTCAGTATCCAAGCTCTTTCTAGAATGGAGACCGACGGGAAACCGAAGGTGTCCGTCAGCGCTGATCGATGGAAAGAAGACTTGTACTGATACGGCTGAATACATATGCAGTTCGGTGGGTCGTGGAAAGGTCGGATGGGGGGTGGCCAGGGCGCAAAGTGCGGATGAAGAAGCGAGGGCAGACCAGGGTGCGTTTTGGATTAGCGAAGGAGATCAAAGGAGGAGATTCGCAAGGGAGACACGGCAACAATCGTCGAGAGAAGAAAAGCTGGAAACAACGGAACGAGGGGAAATAACGTTGACAAGTTTGACAGGGGGAGAGAGAGGCGTTGACAGGAGTCAAGCCAGGGATCCAGGGGTCATTCTGAGAAATAATGGTACTTGGAGTATCTGGTCAAGCCAAGCAGGAAACAGAGCCTGGAGAACAGTGGCCAAGAGGAACAGCTTCAATTCATTTCCAGAAGTTGGTAGAAGGGAGTCATTGGCGGATTGCAGCCCCTGTTCATCAATGGGCCTAATTCTTTTTTTATACAGTACTCGTACCCCATGATGGTTACAGTGGCAGGTTGGTTGGCGAGGTGGAGGTAACAGAAGAAGGACAAGTTGGTACGAGTAAGAAGTTAACAAGGAACCCCCAAGGATTCTCTCCTTCGCTTGACTTGGCCTTGGGAAGGATTAATAAAAGTATTAAAAAGAATAATGATAATGAAAACAAAATCGACTCAACTCCTCGGCGACTCGTTTATCATTTATTATTCCTCTTGACTCTTTTTGATCTGACTGATTGACGTCGACCACTCACAGTCGGATTCCGTCTCCTCTGTCATTTTCTTGTCAGGCTGCATGCAATACCACATCTGACAAGACCGACTAGGCCCATTTTTCCACAATTACTCACCCACACCTGCGTCTTTTGGGGCCGTTGTCGGTTTCCTCACTTTATTTTCCACCATTACTTACCTCCTCTCTCTCCTCTCGACATCTTGCTTGCATATTGCAGCGCACCATACACTCCCTTGTCTTCCCCCCCATAACCGCGACTTTCGCGCCTTGTGCTGTGCACATTCAACCCTACTTACCAGTTCATTTCCTTGAGCAGACAGCTGGCTTGCTTCTGTCTCGTCCTTTCCTTTGTTCGAGTCCAAGTCCGACAATCCAAACTCCCATTGCGAACGTCACCACCTCCCACGAGACAATCGCCTTCTATTCCAAGAACCACAATCAGACGTCCTCGAGCCACACCAACGGGTCGGTCGCCTGTTGTCTGACTGCATAACGCTATTCTTCAGTCCTCCATCCGCATATCCTCAGCCTCTTCGCAAGGCCGGCGCGCCCTATACGCATCCCCAATTAGGAACACGCCCAGCACGCGTGGTACTTCCACTCCATCTTCCTTGCATTGCACCTGCAAGAGCCCCGATCCGATCTTCCGCTCTATCAGGCGCTCCAGCATGTCCACCTTTCCAGCCTGCTGATGGTGGTGGGAGATCCGTGTGCAAGACAGTCTGTCGTGTGAGAATACTCTTCCCAGTCACCGAACCATTATGAAGTCGCCCAAGTACCATACCCAGAGCTGGACTCACCTTCGTCACCATCCAACACTACATACTCAATAGACACCTTGGCCAGCCAGAATCTCTGGACAATACCAGTGGCGGCCATGATGTCTGCTTCGGCATCGCCCTCCATCCGGGCTTTTCAAAGCCGGGACAATTCTCCTTCACCTCGACCACGCCCTCTGGCACGGATGCCTTCCATCCAGCGTGTCAACACCGCCTTTGGTCAATCTCACACGGGCAATCCAACATCCGCCAATAGCATCTCCTCCGTTTCGCCAAGCCCGTATCTACAATCCCTACAGTCTTCTCCCCTAGTCTCCCAGTCCAGTCAACACAACCTCCAGCTGGGAAACCCGGTTCCCTTTGAGCTTCCCGAGTCGCTCATCGCCCCTCCTCATGCCTCTTCTTCGGCGAGGGACACGTCCACGGGCTCCAAATCCGTTGGACTAATGCGCAAGTTGTCTCAAAGTGCCAAGGAGGGCGTTTCTTCGACGCGCCAGATCCTCCGGAGAAAGGCCTCTTCTACTGCGCAGAGTCGTCGAGATGAAAGCACTGGACCAATCACCAGACGCCGCAGTGACAGCAAGACGGCCGTCAACAATGGATCCGCCATAGAGTCGGCTTCCCTCGATAACTTACCTCTTGATCTCCAGTCAGGCTTGGGTCTCTATGATACCATGAGTCTCTCAAGTGAGCCAGTCACTCTTGTCGACACGAGTCCTGAGGGCCAAGCTCCTTGCGTCCCAGAGCGACTGGTCGGAGGTTGCATCTTGACCAAAATCACCAAGAACAAGAAACAAGAGAAGATGTTCTTCCTCGATGTCGAGGGTTCCCGAGTCTCCTGGAAAGGCGCTGTAACCATGAAAGTCTTCCACATAGATAATATCAAAAGCATTCGAAGTGGCGAGGAGGCTGCCAGCTACCAGCAAGAACTCCGGGGGGAGGCCGTGGACCCCGACCTTTGCTTCACTATCAACTATGCCACTTCGGACTCTTCAAAGCAGGTCAAGACTCTGCACCTTGTCGCTCATCATCATGCCGACCTCAGATTGTGGGTCGACACTTTGGAAAGTTTGGCCAAGCACCGCGAAGAGCTGATGACCATCGGTTCTTCCGAGCGAGAATCGGTCATGCGAGCCCATTGGGCCAGTGAGATGGCCAAACGGCCCGATGCCACGAAGAGCGATGGTCTGGACTTGTCGGCTGTCCAGTCACTCTGCCGTAAACTCCACATCCACGCTCCAGAGAAAGAACTCGAGGAACATTTTAGCTCTGCTGATGTGGACCATGCTAAACGGTTGACGTACGAGCAGTTCAAAGAATTCCTCAGACGTCTCCGTGAGAGAAGTGATATCAGAAGGGTCTTCAACGAATCAAAGGGCTTCAACTTACCCGGTCTCACTCGCTTCCAATTCACCTCTTTCCTTCAACAAGTACAGGGTGTCAATCTTGCTCTTGTATCCGAGCCAGCGATTTGGGAAGAAAAGATCAACGACCTGATTTCCTTATCGTTCCCAAATGATCCAGAGATGCGTGAAGCAGGCCTCATTGATGCTAATGCATTTGCGGCCTTTCTCATGTCCAAGGATTGTCACGTCTACTCAAAGCCTCAAGACTCGATTGCTGTTTTCGATCGTCCGCTGAATGAGTACTTCATCTCCAGCTCGCACAACACCTATCTCACTGGATGGCAAGTCAATGGAACATCTTCAGCGGAAGCATATATTACAGCTTTACGTCACGGATGTCGTTGCATTGAGATTGATTGCTGGAATGGTCAAGATGGCAACCCGAGGGTAACACATGGACGTACGCGTACCACCTCTGTTCTCTTCTCGGACTGCATCAATGCCATTCAACGATGCGCCTTCGACGTCACTCCATACCCTCTCATAATCTCTCTCGAAGTCCACTGCGACCCAGAACAACAAGCCAAAATGGTCAATATTATGACTGACGTGTTCGGCGACCGTCTCCTGGTTCATCCTCTACCGGGCTTCACCACGAAACTGCCATCGCCGGAACACTTAAAGCACAAGATTCTAGTCAAGGTCAAAGCCACCGAACTTCATGCTGATCTTGAAGCTTCTCGTCATGCCGCAGCTACCTCTCGCACCCGCAGTGCAAGCTCTCCACAAAGAAATCCTCTGCAGTCGTCTATGCTGACTGCCCAGGGCCTGACAACAGCGTCAAGCCCCTCCATCATCACCCCACCTGAAACCATATATTCTCCCACCGACAGATCAGTGACAGCAACAAGTGCAAGCAGTGCCGACGAAGAGAGTGATGTCGCTCTTACATCACCAAGTCTAAAGCGAGCACCCAAATTGAGCAAAGTTGGGCCGTACCTTTCTGCACTTGGTGTATACCTAAAGGGCTATACTCTCCGTGAAGGACGTGACCTACAGTTCAGTCAATACAACCACATTTTTTCCCTGAACGAGAACCGCGCCATAGAGCTTTGTCATTCAGCAGAGGACAAAGCTCTATTTGAGGATCACAACCTACATTACATGTGCAGAGTCTACCCAAAGAATCTCCGCTTCCAATCCTCCAACTTCGATCCCAATACCTTCTGGAGACGCGGGGTCCAAATGGTTGCCCTCAATTGGCAGACCTTTGATGCGCACATGCAAATGAACCAAGCCATGTTCGCCGCTGGTACCGACGCATATGGATATGTACTGAAGCCCGAGTACCTCCGCAAACCTCGCACCAAAAATGGGGGCTTCCAGCACCGCGTCAAATTGCCACGATATAAGATGAAGTTTTCGGTCCAAGTCATATCCGCGCAACAACTACCTCGTCCGGCCAACATGAGCAAGGATACGCCACTGAACCCCTTTATCGAGGTGCAAATGTTCAGCGCCGAAGATCGAGCACGAGGTATTGCAAATGGAACAGGCGGAAGAGAAACTTACTCAAATGGCTACCACGGCATCGGCTCGCCGTATCGTCGGCAGACGCAAGTTTGTTTCGGTAATGGCTACAATCCTCAATTTGGCGAGAACATTGAGCTTTCATTGGAGACAAAGTATCCTGATCTGGTTTTTGTACGCTTCATTGTGTACAATTCCGACGATGGCAGGTCCAATGGCAAAGGCGTTAAACAACTCGCAGCCTTCACGGCCAAACTGGGCAGCCTACAAAAAGGGTATAGGCATCTGCCTCTGTATAACGGGCATGGCGAGGAATTCATCTTCTCCACGTTGTTCTGCAAGATTGTCAAGCAAGATCCCAAGCTCATGCCTTGGTCTTTACAAGACGCGAACGACCGCTCCTCGCGTGGTAATATGTTCCGGGGCATTCTCTCACGTGGATTGTCTGGTGACCGTGGCAGAGAGCGAGCGTCCAGCATTGAGGACCAACGTGCAGCACGACAAGCAAAGCTGAACCGCGAGATTGAGGAGACGGTTGCGAAACGGTGAAGCTGCAATGTAAAATGCGTAAGCATTGATTGTACTATCAACCATGGGGCGGAAATGATTTGGTTTTTCGCTGAAGATACCCCAAAAGCATATATGACTTGATGACACGATATTGATTAGACTTACCTGTCTGGCAACGGACGCATTTCATGTGCCAATACTGAATTGTAAGGAAAAGGTGGAATTGCTATTGGAATTGTCGAACTTTACTATGTACCAATATATAGGCCGAATGGCCATCTTTCTGGAGGAAACTCGTTCTCTTGCAAGTACAAACCCTTGCGGGTGATGTGTTGTTCATTCCTGCAAACCCTGGTTTTCCGTCCGGCGGCCGGGGGCGTCAACTCCACCAGTCCAGAACGAGGCTGAGTTGGCTTGGCCTGCAGGACTGCACTTTTGTCTTGCTTAAAACATCGAGTCCTTGCTGGACAGACACTACTCTTCTTTGGTCGTTTGCAAGGCTGCTTGGTAGGTGGCTGTGTTTCGTGTTCAAACGTTCGTTATTTCGCAGAGACGATGTTGCAAATGCTCTGCTGGCCGTGAACCGTGGGCATCCCTCACCGCTTCTTTTCTGGGATCAACGACGGCGCTCGAGAGAAGCCCAACGATAAGTGCCCTCGGCGTTATCACCATGAGGTTTATTGATTCATATACTTCGAACAATAATGGCTTCCAGCTCGACATTGTCGGTATGTCTGCCTTGCCAGAGTATAGTGGGTAAATATATGGCGGGCTAACATCCTCCTTCTAGGTTTCCTTGCCATCCTTGGAGAAGGTTCCGTCGAAACCGTTGCGCAGGTTGCTACGTTAAGCTACCTCGTCTACCTCCCTCGCCTGATCCCGGCTCCTCAAATCTTTATCCGACCTTCGAGACCGGAGAAACTCGAAACCACCGCGGGAGCAAAAGTGATCGGGGTGCACTCGGGCAACACTGGCGAGGACATACACCATGTGGCCCATGCGCTACATCGCGGGGATAAGCTAACCCCTAACACTGTCACTTGTGTAAGGGTCAGGGAGAATGATAAACCTCGGCCGTCAATCAAGAGATTCGGCCCATTAGCCATGTTGGCGTGGATGGGTTTTGCTATGAGTGCGGTCTTGCTGGGCCTCTCTATATTTTGGGAGGACGGCATGTCTTTGTTGGCCATCGCACTCCTGTCTGCCTTGAGTACCATGACTGGGATCGCGAACAAATGGTCCCCAACACCCAATGACCCCAAACCTGACCCGCACTCTCCGCCTGGTGATGTCGTGATCAAATACCCGCAGGGTGCCTTTATTGTGGTCAAGTGCGACGAACGAACGGCACGATACCTATATTTCAATCCGAGCGAGCGGTGCATTTACTCGGTCGGAAGTACAGCCATATACAGAGGACTTTCTTTGATATCGACCTTGTTACTCATGGGCGGAGTTATATCACTGGCTAATGCGCGGATTGAGACGCAAACGGCCTTTGCTGGCGCGTACATGCTTGTTAATATCTTCTACTGGATTGGGGCTGCGCTACCTCCTGCTCAGCACTGGGACCTGTCCCGGTTGGAAGTCGACCACATCGAAGTCCATGGAGGTGCTCCGCCTCGATCCGCCAAGATAGACAATGTGTCTCCAACGTACACGGAGGCTTTGTGGAAGGCCATTGCAGTCACTGGAACCAGTAATTGGGTGAGAGAGGCCGGCTGGGCCCCGAGGACACCAGCATGGAACGACTGGCTCAATGAGGCCGAGGAGGCTGCTCTCGGCGAGCCTTTGAAGTCGAGTCAGAAGATGGTCGATGGGAGAGATGTTGAAGTTTGGACGATCCGCAATTGGGACAGTAGAAGTGCCTTGTCGACGCTGTTGCGAACCACGACGGACAGAGCCACCAGGTCACCCACTGTTCGATCGCCCACGAATGAGAACAAGGGTAATTTCTGGAACGATCCACGGAGTCCTTAGACGATGCAGCCATGCTTGGGTCTTCTCAGTGAACGGGCCTACGAATGTGTCAGGGTGGCTGATGAAAAAAGAGTATGAATCACGAAACAGTCCCCATGAACGATTGATGATATGATGTGACGATCTATGACTACAGAAAAATGGCATACGAAGAATGATGATCATAGAAATGACATATAATGATATTTCATGAAGAGTGACGAGTAGGCATTCATTTTTCACTCACACAAAGTACCCGTTGACCTGGGTTTATTCATCTTGCAGTCTGTCCTATGGGTGGGGGAATTGCCGTGCGTCGTAAATCATCGGCCTCGAAGAAAAGTCATCCTGTCTGGCTTCAGGAGCTCGTCAGCTAAGACTCGACGTATTCATGATTATCTATCAGCAGTCTTTCGCAGATGACGCCCTAGCATTGATGATTGACGCTCAGAATACCATCAGCTTGACCACCTCAATTCTAGGGAGTTGCTATCGAGGCGCCCGTCACCAGGAGCCTAGCTGGAAGTAGAGGTCCATAGAAGGATGCCCACCATAACGTGCCGCACCCACCAAGCCACCCTTGCCGCTTAAGTAAAATCTTGGCATCTGCGCACTTTCCTTGCGAAGATTTAGACCCTCAAGTAACGCTTCAAGTCGTATCTTTTTAGCAAAGACATCATTGTCGGTGTTGTCCCCCTGGAAAAGATGTGAGTCCTTGCACTCTGCTGCGGTTTTTCTGCAGCGTGCTGATTCATGGAAAATAGTGAAACTCGATTCCACCGGCGCCATGGCCTTCCAAAAGACGTGAGAAATTGGATCACTTCCGACTCGGACAGACTACTGACAATGTCTACAGCGTCAAGAGCTCTCCCTACTACAGCAGATTCCAAGTGAAATACAAGAGACGCCGGGCTGGAAAGGTACGAAAATTGACTGGGATCTTATCACCAACACTAATATCTCTCTCAGACCGATTACTATGCGCGAAAGCGATTGATTGCCCAGGCAAAGAACAAGTACAACGCTCCGAAGTACCGACTCGTCGTTCGCTTCACCAACCGAGACATCATCACTCAATTGGTCACCGCCGAGCTGACTGGCGACAAAGTCTTCTGCGCTGCTTACTCTCATGAACTCAAGAGATATGGAGTTGAGAACGGTCTGACCAACTGGGCTGCTGCCTATGCGACCGGCCTCCTTCTCGCTCGCCGTGCGCTCAAGAAGCTCGACCTTGACGAGGCGTTCACCGGTGTCGAGGAAGTAGATGGTGAATACAAGCTCACCGAGGCTGCTGAGGTGGATGGTGAAGAACGCCGCCCATTCAAGTGCTTTCTTGACGTTGGTCTTCACCGAACCTCAACTGGTGCTCGTGTCTTCGGCGCCATGAAGGGAGCCTCCGATGGTGGTCTCTTCATCCCTCACAACGAGAAGCGTTTCCCTGGCTACGACCCGGAAGGCAAGGAGCTTGATGCCGATACCCTGCGCCGATACATCTTTGGTGGTCACGTTGCTGAGTACATGGAGACTCTAGCAGACGATGATGAGGAGCGCTACAAGTCGCAATTCAGCAAATACATTGACAACGAAGTCGAGGCTGATGGTCTTGAGGAGTTGTATACTGAAGCGCATGCTGCCATCCGAGAGGACCCATTCAAAAAGGACGAAGATGAGGGTGAGAAGAAGGACAAGGAATACTGGAAGGCTGAGGGCAAGAAGCACAAGACCCCCAAGATGACCAAGGAGGAGAAGGATGCCAGAATCAAGGAGAAGATTGCTGCTCTCACTTCCTAAATCAGCAAAGACATGGAGCGACGGATGGACTACCTTGAGTTCCCGTCGCGGAGGCCTGGAATCATATTGCCTGCGTGCGATTGGGACAAGACTCTCACCAAAAGTTCCTAGCATAGTACAGGTTGACAGCTGAGGTACCCGAGAACTTATCTCAGCCTCAACCTGTGGTCATCAAACCAATCTGATGTCAAGTTCAACGCATGAGAAGTTTCTATCATCTCTTGGCCACAGATCCAGGCATTGTTTCCGAGTTGATTGCCCTTCTGACATAATATGCTGACACTGCCTGCGCCTGGGGCTTTAGGCATCCCGTCGAGCCGAACCAAGAACCACGAAATCCCCTGTAAAGTCAATAGTACGGGGGCTTAGAAGGTCGTTAGGGAACAATATGCGCTCTGCTTTACGAAGGACTAGAACATCAGATAAAAAGGGCGTGCACTCTTTTGCTCTCATCTGCCAAAATCCCGAAGCTTCGGAGAGGGTCGTAGCGTCCATATACTTGCTCAGGCCGCTTACTGGAAGTCTGGCCTCGTGACCGATCTCTTTCCCGCATCTTCTAAAAGTACCGCGATGCTCAACTAGCCCCAGCCCTCGAAGCACTCAACGCACCGGCACAATGACACCATATTAGCAAGGGCTATCGTTTTCACCAACAGGAACCCCTCTTCGTCGCTAGAAATCCTACTCCCGTACCTCCTCAGCAGAACCACGCAAAAGCCCAGACCCAAGCGCGAACGCTATTCCCAGCCCGCTATCGTTGCTCGAACCCCGCCGGCCCGAAATTCATCATTGCCTCAGCTATACGGCAACATTGGTCCTAATCGGTCATGATGCCTTCGAAGCAGCCCGCATGACTTGGATGGGACTAGTATAGCCTTTGGATACCCTAAGTCTTTTGCAAGACCGACTTGGGCACAATGGCAAGCACGACCGCGAGCACGCTCGATGTAGACTGGCTGCTGCCATCGAAGAAAGGTATGCTGCCATGCGGTCGCCCTCATGCGATTGCCATGAATCGATTCTGCAGTACTTGCTTATGGCTGACATGCTTAGCAGAGCCCTCTCAATCCGTATCACAGAAGACCAGCCAGAAAGAAGACTCTCGATTAGATACAGCGCAGACCGGATCGACCGAGCCACCTCCGACACAGGCGCCGACTAATATCAAGGCTTCGAAAGGCTCAGAGGATGCATCGTATCCACCATCTGCGGTGCAAAAGCCATCAATAATAGTCAACGGGAAGCAGAAAGCCTCACAAAACGGTGCGCCGACCAATGCGCCATCCCCCCAATCTCAGACCCGAAGCCAGCCGTCCTCTCGGCCTTCCCTGGGGCGAGGACAAAACACAGACGACACAAAGAAGGGTACGAAGAGCAACACACCCAACGCAAAGAAGGATGGAAGGAGGAATTCTTGGATATCGAGTCTCAGCTCCAAATTCTCGTCATCGAATTCTCCTACACCTTCGCATGGGACTACCGGCAATGGACAACCACAAGGTCATGCGGGAGTACCGTCACCTCAACCCAGTCCAAGGTTGGAAGTACCAAACCCATTCAACAAGAAGGAAAATACCAGAGAAACGCAAAATGAGATCAAGAAAGAAGATCCTAAGACAAACCCTGTAACCATTGGTCCACGACGGCCCTCTGTACTGGTTGCTGCAGGCAAGGAAACTAAGTTGGATCATCCGGGTTTCCTATCGAGCGCTCTGCGACGGTTGTCCTCGTCTACAAATACAACCATGGGCAGGGGTGCTGGAAGCGGAGCGCTTTGTCCGAGAAGGGTGATGAATATCGATCACAATCGCGAACGGATCAAAATTGGCGAATTCGACCAGCACAAGTTGAAAAGAGTAGCGTTCTGTGTTGACGTGGAAATTGCTGGGTTTTCTGCTCAAGCAGATGAAGAACCTGATAACTATAGTCATCAACCAGTTTCTAGTACACAGAAGCAGACCATTACAATGGAAAATCAAGCCAGTGGACAGAAGGACGCCAGATCAAAAGATAGGGATGAAGGAGCTGCCTTGAAAGATGCATCGGCAGCAGGTGAAGGCGCTGCTCTGAAGGATCCTACAGCAGCTGTAGAGTCCACAGAAAAAGCACAACAATCGGAACCCGAACCGGCCCCGCAGACCGCAGATACAAAGAAGCAAGTTCCCGTTGACGCTGACGGCCCGCCCCCCAGCGAGCCTCAGGCGGTGCCGTCAACGAGAAAGAAGGAGAAAAAGAAAAGGTCAGAAGCGGAGCGAAAAGAACGAAAAGAGCGGAAACGGAAGCATGCACAAGCCAACGGGTTAGTACCCCTTGAGCTGACGCGTGACGACGACGACTCGGATTCAAGCCCCAGCAACACTCCCCCAGGCGCAACCACTCCTAGACGACCTGTTGATGGCCCTACCACAGATCCTCTCAGAATCTATAAACGCTGTTGTCAGCTTCGAGAGACAACAGTATTGAGTCGCATGAAGGAACAGATCACAAAACCATCTGCAACCTTGGCGGAAGCACCAGGCACAGTGGCGGTCATGGACCTAACGGGTCTTCAAATGCAACTGCAAGATATCGTCACATTCGGCGACTGGCTCGCGGTTGTACCGGTCCGGAAGCTCATCTTGGAAAACTGTGGTCTGACTGATGAAGGGGTAAGGGTGATCTTGGCCGGTCTTGCCAGCTGCAAATCTGCAGAGCAGGCTCGGCAGAACAGAAAGATCCCAAAAAGACACAGCGGCAAACGTGAAATTGAACGCATGGGCGTGATCGAGAAGCTGTCCCTAAAAGGGAATCCTGGAATCACGAACGTGGGCTGGAAACACATTGGTCTTTTCATGCACATGTCACGGTCCTTAAGAGCAATCGACCTGTCTGGGATTAAGTTTCCCGCCTCTGGCGATTTATCCAGAACATCTTCTGCAAATACTTCGGGAAGCTATACTGGCAACGACGCCAATGCGCGAACCCCCGATCTTGGCTCTTTGATCATTCACGCACTGCTGGAAAGGTTAGGCGACAAATTCGAGGAGCTCATTCTCAGCGGTTGTGAACTATCAACCACCAACGTGCGAGACATTGTTGGATGTGCCATAGAACGCAATATCCGACGTTTGGGTTTGGCCTCCAACAATCTGGATGAGGAGGCAGTAACACATGTCGTACGATATATGCAATCTGGCTGTTGCGAAGGTCTTGACCTTGGAGAGAATGACCTCCATGGGTTTGGACATCTACTTGCTGAAGCAGCTGACGACAAGTGCCCGCTCTTCGCTATAAGCCTGGCTGGCTGCAATCTGACCACAAGCGAGCTCAGCCCGATTCTGACTCCATTCACCAAACTCACCAACCTCAAATTCATGGATCTATCTCGAAACAAAGCTCTGTTTGATCAACAACCAACGGCTGTTCCTGTCCTCCGAAAGCTGCTACCGAGGTTGAAACCTCTCAAAAGGATTCATCTGGCTGATATGGACATGACTCCCGAACAGGCCATCGCACTCGCTGAAATCCTCCCGGATTGTCCTTCCATAATGCATGTGAGCATCCTGGACAACGCTCCGCTGATAAACGCCATGAATTCAAAGATCGCAAGCGCTCAAGAGGAGGCTTGCGCACTGTTTGCATCCCTGATGACCGCAGTTCGCGTTTCTGGTACTATCAGCGCTGTTGAGATTGAGATTCCCAGTGCGGACAGCAGTGAAGTCATCAAAGCGTTAGCATCCCAAGTGGTTGCTTACAGTCTCCGAAATATGGAACGCACCACACTCGGCGAGGTTGGCGTTGAGGCTGCGAAGCTGGACGAAAAGAAGGCACCAGAAGTACTGCTTCATCTTGTTGGGCATATGGAAGGCTACTCTGAAAACCACGACAATGATGACCCTGCTCCCGATGAAGATTACATGATTGCATCTACAGGAATCGTCAGAGCTCTTGATGTGTGCTTGACAAGCAAAGATTTCACAAGTCGATCACAGTCCAGAAATATCAGTCCAAGCAGAAGCGGGATGGAGACGCCCACGACACCAACGACACCTAGGGTAGGTCCCCAGCGGGTGAAGCCACGTGACGTTAGTTTGCAGCTGTGCGACAGTGCAAGGAAGATCAGAATGAGGCTGAGGCCTGTACTGGTCCGCGAAGATCGGGCTGGAAACGACTATAACTACCGTAAGTCTATCGGCCACACCTCTTGTCTTTTGATGCTGACACCTCACTCCAGGGCGTTTGTTTCACCTTGACCAAACTCTGCAACGTATGATACAGCGTTTCGAGGACGAGTACCCAGAGACAAAGACGGCATCGGCGTCACTTCCTAATGGCAATGGGGTGCCTTCACCTGATCCCTCAATGGTAGACGAAGCTCTGCTTTCGGCGTCTGTGGGTTCGAATGGGCTTACCAGGATGTTGTCTGCGGACGAGTACTTTCCTGATTCAGAGCAACAAGGTCCTTATGCCGTCAGACTTTCGAGAAATGCTTCGACTGCGTCACTCGCTGCGAAGGCATTCACTGATGAGGAAGGTCGGATGCACCGACTGGGACAGAGTATCCGCAGAGAAGTGCTTCGACCGACAGGCATGGATGACAATCTTCATGGTACAAGCACAGATGACGACCCAGAAGCACCTCATCTGGCAGCTCTTCGAGCCAAACTTGAGCACATCAAAGGCGAAGACCTACGCCAGAGGGTAGAAAGGGAAGGGGCAGATAGTGTGCTGCGAGAACTTGGTGTGAACGCACAGGAGCTATTGACTTTGAGGGAAACAGACCCAGAAGGATTTGAGGCATTCCGAAAGTCTCAGATGGCCGCGCAGATCAATGCAGGCATGATCAATGTCTAAGGAATGTACTTTGGGAGGTCTTTGTGTTTTGTGAGCGCTTTGTCGATGATTGGTTAATGACGGGCACTGTGACCATAGCTGTCAGATTTAATGATGTTATTATGAAGGACTCTTTGTCCAACTTCACAAACACTATCGATGGGACGGGAGCGCTTTAATGGCGTATCGTAGACGAGATCTTAGTTGTTAAAGGCTTTCTACTAGAAAGCATCGTATGCAGCTGACCGCGTTGAAGACGGAGGAGCTCAGAAGCGCATCTTACAAGACGTCTCAGTTGTGAACGGAGGTTGCAACAACGCAAACAGAGGAGTAATTCAGATATAGAACCAGTGGGCGCCTCGTTGTGAACGGCTTCAAGAAAAACAGGCTTGGCAATTCATACCTTGGCATACAAACTCTCAACCCAGGTCGGCTTCCTCATCATCGTTGATTTCACCACCTCATACCTCGCTGTCGCCTTTCCTCTGCCATCGAAGATGGCTTCATCCGATTCTGGTAAGTTTAGCGAGACGCTGGATTTCGGCCCGAGCCGTCTCGGCTGTCGGTGCTTTGTTCTTCCGATGCCGATGTAGTGAATTGAACATCACAAATGAACTGACTTTCATCTCATTGCTAGAGCACCGCGGTCGTCAAAGACGCCGCAACACCTCCCCTTATGGTGTTCCTCCTCGCCGATTCCCTTCTCGTGCCGCCGACGACCAGTTCCTCCGTGAAAACGACGTCGAAGGGCCTGCAGAAGTCGGACCAGTCGGACCATTGACCCAACTGCTACGAGAAGTCGCCCTTCGTGCACGCTCCCGCTCCCGCTCGCAAAGCACTGTGAGAGAACGCTCACGCTCAGCCAGCACTGTGAGAGCAAGAAGCAGGCCCAGGGTTGTCGAAAGCAGATACCAGTACAACGAGAGAACGTTTGCACAAAACAACAACATCGCAGCCGCCGAAATGGCAAACAACAATGCCTTCCCTCCACTTGACACCTCAATGAACAATGCCCCACGCAACGCAGCCTCTCCTACCACTCCACACCCTGGCAGCTCAGTCAACGGCAACGGTGCAGGCCCTGCTAACTACATGGCGACTCTACCAGTTGGACATCAGCAAGATCTGAACTTCCTCTATGCGCAGATTCAAGAGTTGGGAGGCATACTCAGAAGCAATCGCGAAAAGGTCAATGTCATTACCCAAACCGCGGAAGAAGTTGCAGTACGTTCTCCAAACACCTAGTCAGGTGAAATGGCATGCTAATGAACACCACAGCGACGTGCGAATGGCGCCCTGGGCGACGGTGAAGGAATCCCGGAGACCGAACGAGCACGCATGCGAGAGATTGAGCGCGAATTAGCCAAAGCGAAACAGCTGGTTGAAGCGTACAAACACGAACAGACGGAAAACACCAACCTCATCGCCATGTATGAGGACGCTTTGGGAACAGCCACCGAGCAGATTCGCAACTACTGTGGAGGCATTGAGGAACGCTTTTTGGCGCAGCGCAGACACTACAACAATCTCTTGCAGCAGGAGAAGGATGATCACTTGCAGAGCCGCTTGGAGAAGGACCATTGGTTTGCCCAGACTCTCAAGGTGTGCGAGATGATTCGGACTGCGTACCGCCTGCGTACTGAGGAGTGGGGTGAAGAATACACCATCATCTCTGGTTTGCAAGCTGAAGTCCGATGCTACCGACGCTTGTTGGGAATGGAGGTGGAGAGACCTGAGGACGAGACTGGTTGGCCTTATCTCAAGGACTTGCCATTGAATGATCAGGCTTGATTATCTGCCATCCAATCATCAAGGCTTGAAAGCGGAGTGGGCGACATCGCGGGAACCTCCTTCGGAACGATCGGGGCTTCAGACGGCGGAGTTCGATAACATGCTGTCTACAGTGCTTGAACATAAGGGCTATGCACGATGAAGATCAGGGGCGTGCTTGTACCATCACGATAACAGAAAAGAATCGTGCTCATATCAGACCACAAGATAGTGATCTGCAACTTCCACGTAAAGAAAGTGGAATTGAAGAAGAACAAGAATACTTCTTTACGCAAGTGATTGTTCTCCATCTAAAATTCTCGTAAAGATGTCTATCAAAAGTCGCGCTGAGCTGTGTCGAGAGGGGCAGTTTATGGACAGTGCCGATCAAATCACGTAAACGGCGGCAGAGGTATCAGTCTGTATGGCATGTCAAGGCAAGCCAGAAAGTGTACGGGACACGGGCATGAGCACGAGCACCAAGCATGTGCTATATCGTGTTCAACGGCTCACGACTGGGGGAAGCAACTTGTTTTATGTGTCTGCATGAAGTCTTTCGAGATGCAGGGCAAGGGGTTCGCCTCTTCATACGGAAGCGACGGGTTACTTGATACTCGTATAAGTCTTCATGTTGCAGGGATTTATGGTACTTCAGCGAAGTTTTCTTTTCGGATGTCGGCTCGTACCCTGAGCAGTGAGCATTGGGAGGCAAAGGAGAATGTGGGGTGGCCACTATCCATATTATCTACGAAAAGGAACAAGAGAAGGACTGAAAGAGGAAGAGGAACCCCTCTATGCCCCTCATAGCTGGAGACTTCAGATCTTAGCTTGTTGTCGTTCCTGTCTCCGGAGTTGAAGAGAGTTTCTTCGGATGACCCCAAAGAGGCGAAATAGAGACGCGCCGTGAAGTGCCAAAAGGTGTAGAAGCGCGTTGGGTTTGAAATGGCGGGGATGCCAGATGAGTTGGGTAAAGGTAGAACAAGAGGAAAATGCTTATCGAGTCAGGTCAGATCCCAAAAGAGGTTGTCGAGAAGAAAGAAGACACGAAAATGGATTGAGATGGGGGAAGAATAGACGGATTGGATTAAGAGAAGATACATGGATCCGAATTACACACAGGGGAAGAGAGGACAGGACGTACTCTAGTAGTAGTCAAAGTATGCCTCCGTACGGAGTATTCTTTTCCTTATGGAAAGTAGAATAACTCACACCACCACACTCACTCAGCTAGCTCATCTCATCATCTCTTTCATCTTTCCAAGTTATATCACTCTCATACCATCACCATTCTTCCATCTGCATTTCAGTCATCACCATGGTCATCTCTGCCTCCTCGGACAAATACACGCTCCCTCTTTCGTGGATTCTTTTCCGTGCTGGCACTTCACGGTTTTGGTTGGCCAACAGATGTTTTTGACGTGTGGCATTTGACAGTTCACCAACCAACAACCACCACACAGACTGTTTTCTTCAGCACTACTTCTTTGACAGCCTTCTTTTTCGTCTCTGGCATGTCTGGGCACACACACTGTTCGTCCCAAAAAGGGGTCCCTGCCCGTCCAGCTGCAGAGTCTTTGCCCCTCGCCATCTCAATGCAGAGAAACACCACTGACGCGGTGCCACATCATGGCTTTGCTCCTCACGGCTCCTCTTCCCTCAGTGGCGCATGCAGCTCCTGCTGTCAACCCTGCTTCCCCGAACTACGCCATTAACATACTCGTGCATACTATGCTAGTATACTCTTTCTCCGACTCCCACTTTGGTCAAGTCTCCAGTCTTTACACTTCTTCTTTTTGTCAAGAGGCAAGTCCTCGGACCTGCCTCACATGGACTGAGTCGGCTCTTCGGATTTCGATCGCACAGTCCGCGAGATCCCTTCGGCCCACGGCTGCTGAATCCCCCCTCCATGCCCTGCAGGAAAACTGGCCAGCTCTTCCTGGCCTTCCGCCGCGCCTGTACCCGTACCCGTACCCGAGGCGAGACTAAAACGTGGACGGAGGAAGAGGTCGACATACGAGTAGTGGTGAGTATGCTGACTATGTCCGATCCTCCCTCCCCGATCTATCGTTTTGGTTTTACCTTTTGCCCCAGCATTGACGTGTCCTGCAGTCAATGTCTCTATATACACTTATGCAGACCCTTCAGATATGTTGACGTTCCGCGTTAGAACAGCACTGCTGCCCCGGTCATACACCTGTCAACTATAGTCCAAGCTGGGACACATTTCACTGTTTCCGACTTGTCTTAATCTCTTACCCTGTCCCACTGACGCCATGCCTGCCATCAATGTCACGCCTAGCCCAGAGCGCTCGAGATTGTTATGCGCAAATACACTTCTGGGGCCAGTCCGTGTGCCAGCCTTCCCACACGCTCACACCACATGCGAGGCCACACTCACACCCCAGCTCTTTTCATAAATCATGGGCATCGTCCCTGCCATCATGTTTGAACCCTGGTAAGATCTTGGTTTCGATCTGGAGTTTGTTTTCCCTGAATTTTCCAAAAAGCTAGGTCATTGTTCAAGTATTTGTTTACTCTGATCCCTTGACTTCAAATACCAACAACAAATACTTCAATAATCCGTGCCCGATCAGAACACCACAGTATTGTACCATCTGTCACTATCGCTCGTTGCATAGCAGTCATTCTCGAAAGATCAAAGATCGCCAAAAGACTAGTCAAAGAGTCCACCATCCAATCGCAAATATTCTCACTGGGTCTATTCAGCTTCTTGAGATCGTCCTGATACCGGGCTTTTGACACGACTCAGAACGAGAAGCACTGTTCAATGTCTACTTGGCAGTAACAGCTATATGAGGGGCTGTTAATCCGTCATCATCCCGCCTTCGATACTCTCCTTCCCATATCATCATGTCTATCACATCATCAGAGTACCCCCAACTGCTTCCCTCACCCAAGCTCGATGAGCAATCGGGATGGTGGCCGTCAGATCGAAGTACGAAATCTCGATTCAAGGCCCTCTTCAGCCGGACCAAGTCACAGGACAAGGTTCCAAGATATGTTGCTGAAACCTTCCCACCTCACCCTAGTGTGCAACCACTCGAGCAGCAAGGCTCAATCCCGTCCTTAGGGAAGCGATCGCGAAGCACTACCTGGTCCAAGGGAAGCCGGACATCCAAACAACAGAGACCCAGGAATGTGGTATCCTCGGATCCACCTCCATTGTTTCACGCCTACACACAAGCCAAGCTACATGCTATCCTCGACATTCCATCCACCTTCACCGATGTCTTGTTACGGTCTGGCCAAGTACGGAGAAACAGCATCTCCAGCGAGGCTCCTTCAGAGTCCAGCCTTGAGAACTCTCTTTCTCCATCCGCGGCTGAGGCCTTGGGTATCAGCCATAAGCGGAATTGGTCCAGCTCCAGTGTCTGCTCCTTGAGACAGAAACTGTTTATCCTAACCGGCTCAGGCTACGTCCTGCAGTATAGCGCCGACGGACAGAATGATCGTCTCCCAGAGAAGATCCTAGAACTAGGACCTGACTCTGTAGCATTCGCCAGCGATGCAATTCCAGGTAAACACTGGGTGCTTCAAATCTCTCATGATGGACATTCGGAGCACGTAGCTTCGCAGCACAACAAGAGTGGCCGGACAAAATGGTCCTTCAAGAACGCCGAAAATAAGAAGGTCATGAATGATCAGCTTCTGGTCTTCGACGATGCTAAGTCTCTCCGGAATTGGCTCACAGCTGTCCGCAAAGAAATCGAGCATCTCGGCGGTGCGGAGTATCGCTCAGAATTCCACGACGAGCCCAAACCTGAGGCTGGTCACTCTCTGAAAGCTCAAAGGAGTCTTCCAAGCATGTCCCAATCTTCTCCACACTTACCTGTGGCACCATCCCTCAACGACGAACCGGCTTCGCCAACACTGTTACCTCCCATGCCTCGGTGGCATACCGCACGCAAAATCTCCAGATCAACCACTGAGTCATCCATCCAGACTCTAAACGACCTTGATCAACTCCGCAACCCATCCTTCTCTGACGACCGCTCAGTCTCCACAGCGCACACCAGCTTCACGGATTCTTTCAACGAATCTTTTTCGAGCATGGACACCCACGATGCTCCTCCCATGCCTTCTTACCCTCACTCACGCCTATCCACACCGACTCAGGAGGACATAGGCGAGTTGTCCATGTACATGGCTACACCCAAGAAACCTGCTCTACCCAAACGAACGACATCCTTGGAGCAGCGAGAGGAGGCCGATGTGATCCGTCACGATCTTTTTGTGCAACCCACCACCTCGGCCGAGCTGGGGGTCGCTCACGATTCGAGACCCATCTCAACTGTCGCTCCTCTCCCAGAGCCGGGCCATATCAGGAAGATCTCTGCTCGTCACCGATACGATCTTCAAGTTCTTACCGCGCAACCCAACACACCTACCTCTTCTCGCCCATCGAGTATCCGCAGTCGGAGTTCGTCATATACATCCTACACTCAGGACTCGTCACCAGATGGACCGCAAAGACAACGGACAGCATCGTACAGCCTGTTCCCCAAGACTCCGTCCACCGAACAGTCGCAGATTCAGCTTTCCGGCGCCCTGCCGTCTCCGCCCGCCACTACCCCAGGCGCCGCCTACGAGAGTATGTGCAACCAATTGTCCTACTCTTTCCCATCCAGCTCCGAGGATGACAAAGACGATACCAAGCCGCGCCGATCAAGCAGCCGCTCAACATCTCGACGCAACGGCAAGATGGTGTCCATCGACCTCAAGACCTGTGCGTCGGTCGACCAACCTCAACGCTCACCTGCCGTCACCGAAGGTCACCTCGAAACCTGCTTTGGCACTCAGCCACATCCCAGTGGCCGTAAGCGAGCCCCTTCAGCCACAAAGGACATGATCGGCACCATCACCACCACGACCCTCGAGCCCTCTCCCAGGCTCGGCGGACCAGTACCTAGACTCGACAAAGCCCCCTCCCGTAAGCGTCACGTCAAAGGCCAAAAGAGCCTGCCCGCATTGCTTGTCAATCGCTCAGCAACACCGACAATGCCACTGCCTGCTGCGCCCATCGGTCCTCCGCCCAGCGGTCCCCTCCCAGCTTTACCAACCGAGGAGTCGTCGTGTCTTCCGCCACTCAAGAAATTGACGGGCTACAAGCCGCGACCACCCCCAAAACACGCAAAGGCCGAGTCTTCAGACGCGGTGTACACGTTGAAGAAAATGGGCGCCGCGGCGCCGGTGCTTCATGAGATTCCCCCACCTGCTGTTCCGCCTAAATCGGCGAAGAGGGCTGAGGAGATTGCTGCCGCTAAGAATGCGCAGGCTCAGGCTCAGGCTCAGGCTCAGGCTCAGCGACAGGAGTTGGTTCGGGCTGTCACTACCACGGCTGCCAGCAGTACTACCACCATTGTTCCTGCGGGTCACTCTGCTGCTGCTGCTGCTGCTCCCAGCAATGCCACAACAGATGCTACTGCGAAAAGTGTGGCCCACCACACACGAAACCTCTCGTCCATCTCTTCAGTTGGTTCGGTGAGGCACGTCACGGCTTGGCTGGCGAGTCCGCGCGTCGCCGTCTTCTCGGCCAGCTATGAAAGTGACGATGACAACAAGGAGAACAGGATCCAAGGTGACGGCCTGGGTCTGTCGGCGCCGAAGTTGAATGTTCCGGTGCTGGATTCCCCGGCTTTTAGCAAAGGGTTTGAAGCCTTGATGTCCTAAGTGACGTTGTCCATGTGCTATGCTGTTATGTTTGATGATATTTTTGATGGTTGCGCACACAGCTGTGCCAATGCCAATGTTACTTGTTCATGAGTCATGTCGATTGAATGTCGGCAACTGAATTGCGGACTTTGATGTTTTCATGTTTATGATGTCTATGACTTTCTTCGAATGGATATGGGAATGGGGATCCCAAGACCCAAGGCTTTCTGGGCTGGCTGGCATTGGAAAACTGGATGGGATCTGGGAATGGAATTTGGGATACGGGATATGGAAAGGACCTGCTACCGTTTACAGGATTTCCAGATTTGAGCTTTGCTTGGATATGCTATATACGAATTCTGAATATAGATTGCATCCATCAAACCTTCGCTTCCCTCAAATGTCATTGACGCTGGTAAACGTGGATTGATACTACCTGTCTACCCCTGCTACCCGGAGGTGCGAACAATGAGATCTTGACCATGGGAAAGTTAAGACGGCGACGTCTACCGCAATTCAATTCCTCTCCTCTCTCTCGACTTCTGGGCAAGCGCGACATCTTTGGATATCCGACAGACGGAAATCTTTCTCCGAACTGCAGGAAACTCCAGTGCATCGACATTTTGTCGGCTCTCTTCGAGACTGCCGTGCACTAGTACCCAACATGCATAGCTTTGAGCCAGTATTCACTATGGCGCGGTCCCACATGGGAGAAATGCTATGGCAAGGGGAGTTTGTGCTGCTGTCGAAAGGTACAATTACGTACAGACCAACGCGGCATGCAGGTGGTATGCTGCAGACTGCTGTCAAGGTGGCATCGTGCTTGCACAATGCACACTGTCTTGGTCTAACCTACGACTTCGACCGGCTGCACGTCGCAGTGTCCCGGAATCCTTCTCCTTCTCCATCACCATGGGCCATGCCAAATGCAGGCAGAGCAGGGAGATGCCGACGCCAACACGTAAGAGGTAGAAATGCGTAGATGTCCGTGATGGGGGTTTGTATCCTAAACTGTCAGCATTAATCCATGCACGGGTGTCATGTTGACGCACAGAGAAATATCCAGACCTGGTCCTAGCAGGAGACATCGGTCTTCCAGCCTAGTCTGGACTTCTGCAGCATCGCACGCGTGCTTGACATCCGCTTACTTACTAGTAGTTAAGTAACCATGTGTTCGGCCATACTAACCCAGCCACCGCACATAAGGGCTGCAGATTGGCTTATGCCGGTACTTTGCATTTCGGTTTTGGTGGCCTGAGTTGGTCTCAGCCGGCAATTGTTATTCTTCCGATCTATCTGCAAGCCATGGCGAGCAAGTATGGAACGGTGTCCGAGCCCCTCTGTTGAAGTGGGCGATAAATTCCAAATAAGGTCCGCCTAAGGGTCTTCTGGCTTCGGGTGATCACCAGCGCCGAGCCAGGCCGAAAATAGGGAGTCTCAGGGACCTCTTAGGCTTTGAGGATACAAATTGCACCTAGAAATGGGTTTTGGGGTGCCGAAACAACCTTGAGTCAACGCTGCCGTTCCTGGACCCGAGTACTCGGAGCCAGAAGGGGTGTCTCGTGTTTTCTTGCTGGAGTGTTCCAACTACTCGGAATGCAGCTGCAGGAACATGACACTTAGCTTCTATGCTTGCTTGGCTGGTGTGTGGGTGTTCCATGGAACATGCACCTGTTTTTGTCGAAGACACCTACCATCGGACGTCCCGAGCAAACACGTTGTCTTGGATGCATGTGTTGAGGGGTTGGTGCGTTGGGCCAGAACCTGTGGTGGAACTTGATGGCCCTCCACCGGGTTACATGGTTTTATGCATGCTGCACGTCAACCCCTAGCGTATTGATGGGTCTTTTCCTCAGGATTTAGGACATGCAAGAGAAGACATCAGTCTACAATTCCGGTTGCAGGCTCGTTTGGATGACTAGAATCAGCTTGCGTGAGGGATCCGAAGTTGGTGGTCCGTGATTTGATGAGTTGATTGACAAGACATGTCCATCCGTTTGGGTCGAAACGTGAGAAGTGTTGTGAACAGGTAAATTTTGATTCTGGGGTGGATGATGGCAGGGTTTTGTGAAGAGGTGATATGAGGGGCTGCAATAGAGGCCTGATTGAGTGAACCGAGAATGTGGGTGAAAAGATGAGGTGCAGTAGGTCAACTCGCACAGTAATTGCTGTGGCTGCATTAATGATGTCGTGAGATACGAGGAAAAAGCACATTAATATTCGTCATTGTTGATGTACTGCTGTATACCGATATGGCTGTTCGAGTGACGGTTTGTTGAACCTCTCGCTTCTCCTACCGTTACGTGTTGCTGTCTTCTTCTCCAAGGTGTCAGCTGCATGAATCACGTTCTCGCTTTACGGAAAATGTTTGTGGCCACAGCAGCCTCATGGACAACCCCGCGATGAAGTCAATAAGACGCTGACCCCAAATCATCTACAAGTATCTCCGACGAGAAAAGCTGTCTCTCTCTGTCTCCGTAAACTCTTCCATTACAGCTTCTCAACATGGCGCGCATACTAATTACAGGATCTTCTGACGGACTAGGACTGCGTAGTGCTCGCGTCCTTGCAAAAAGAGGTCATTCAGTTGTCCTCCATGCGAGAAACGACCAGCGCGCTCAAGATGCTCGATCTGCTTGCCCCGAAGCCGAAACCTGCGTTGTCGCCGACCTCTCGGACATGTCCCAAGCGAAAAAGCTGGCAGAAGATGTGAACAAGCTTGGACCGTTCGACGCAGTCATTCACAATGCAGGTCTATACACAGGCGGATACCGCAAGACAAAAGATGGGTTCCCTGGCGTCGTCGCTGTCAATACACTTGCTCCTTACATCCTCACCTGCCTGATCCAACCTGCGCCGAAACGTCTAGTCTTCGTATCCTCGGGTCTGCACAATGGGGGAGACCCTTCACTGCAAGATATTACATGGGCACGACGAGGGGAGCGAGCTTTTAGTGACTCGCAAGTATATGGTGACACAAAGTTGCACAATATACTACTGGCCAATGCATTTGCAAGGAGGTGGCCCAATGTGCAGAGTAATTCTCTCGACCCAGGCTGGGTTGCCACGAAGATGGGCGGCAGTTCGGCGACGGGTGACATTGAAGCTGCGGTCAAAACCTATGTGATGCTGGCAGATGGGGAGGGACCTGCGCAGACCGCCTCGGGGAAATACTGGGTCAGCAGTAAAGAAAGGTCGCCAAAGAAGGAAGCAAATGATGTTGCTGTTCAAGACAATCTGATCAAGCAGCTGGAGGAAATTACAGGCGTCAAGTGTCCATCGGCATGATGATACTGTGATGGTCACCGTGCTGCTTTGACGATTGAGAGAACAAGCACGGCCCATCCTGGATCAGCACAGCGAGACTGATATAGGACTCATGTCGACTTTCATCACCATCAATTCAAGCAAGTCAGCAGTCCATTGTATGTCATCGATCTCGAGTCCAATGCGGGCAATGTCAGCTATCTGCGACATGATTGGTGGATTGAGCTGCATGGCCGGTCCGGTCACCTCAGGAACATTTCGCGACGGTGCGGTTTCAAGGCTTCCCATGCTCAATACATACATCTTTCTACCAAACACTCCTTTCTCGAACATGATTTTGTTCTCTATATTTCAGCCTTGACAGACAGCGCTGACGTCATGTTTCTTCTCGTTTTCCTGTCTTTAATTCTCGCATATTTCCTCTGGGCGCTCGTTCGACTCTTCAACAATTACCAGGAAGTCAAGAAGATTGGTCTCCCGATCATTATCCTCCCGGTCGATCCAGCCAGTCCCCTATGGATGTTTACTAAGGATTATCTGAGGCCCGTACTGACACAATTACCCTTTGGTCTTGGTACCTGGGCCGGTCGCGCAGAGGTTGGCTGGACCTACTCTGAAAGATACTCTGTCCATGCCAAACATGGAGATGCATTTATCCTTGTGTCGCCGGGCGAGAACGACATTACTCTGGCCGATCCGGCCGCCACCGAAGACGTGATGCGCCGACGCAACGACTTCATCAAGAATCCCGCAATGTACGGAATGCTAAATATATATGGCGAAAATGTCGACACAGTCAACGGGAAACTATGGGATCGTCACCGCAAAATCACTGTCCCGCCCTTCAACGAGCAAAATAGTGCTCTGGTCTGGCGCGAGTCGGCCGAACAAGCTGACCAAATGCTGGAGGTGTGGTCTGGAAAAGCATCTGTGACAAGCACTCAACCTGACATCCACGCTGTCGCGCTCAACGTCCTGTGCGGAGCTGGCTTTGGGCTGCACAGCAGTTTTGTGGATGCCACGGTAGATCGCGATGCACAGAGTCGTGACCCAACCAAACGACTTGCTGACCCGAAGCGACAAAGACTAGGGTACCGTGAAAGCCTGCAAATGTTGCTGGCCAATATTCTTCCACTTGTGATACTCGGTCTTACCAAGCGCTCAAGGTTCCCGGAGTGGCTGTACTTCGGTAGTCTGGCAAAGTTGTCAATCGCATACGATGAATTTAAGGGATACATGGGGGAGATGCTAGCCCGGGAAAAGATGGCTTTCGAACAAGGTGATCTGACGCGACACAACCTCATGAGCGCACTGGTTCGGGCATCTATGTCTGAGCAACCGCCACCAGGATCGTCGTCCAACGAGCACTCGATGAAAGGCCCGACTAAGTCCACCTTGACTTCAGGATTCACGGACGACGAGGTCTATGGCAATCTCTTCATTTTCAATCTAGCTGGCCACGATACGACCGCCGCAACACTACACTTTGCAATCACCCTCCTGGCCGCTGACCCTAGATGGCAGTCTTGGATTGCAGAAGAGATCGACGCAGTCCGCAACGCCGACGGAACGGGGACGTTTTACTACGAAGAGACATTCCCAAAATTGACGAGAGTTTTGGCCCTTATGGTAGGACCGCACACAGCCAAGCTAGAATGGTCTTTGCTAACATTGGTATCTAGTACGAAACACTGAGGCTCTATGGTCCCGTGGTCGTCATCCCCCGATACACAGGCGACACGCCGCAGCGTCTTGTGATCCAGGGCAAAGAACGCATCGTACCCGCCCGGACGACTGTCTCGCTCAATGTCGCTGCCTTGAACACACATCCTAGATACTGGGGGAATGATCCTCTTGTGTTCCGGCCCGATCGATGGACCGTGTCCGATAATAGCGGTACCAGCTCTAACGACAACAACGACAGTGACGTATCCTGGTTCCAGCCCGTCCCCGGATCCTTCATCCCATGGAGCCATGGCCCTCGTGTCTGTCCAGGGCGTAAATTCTCGCAAGTCGAGTTCACCAGGGTGATGTTCGGCCTTTTCAGTCACGGCACGCGCGTTGAGGTCGTTAGACAGGGCAGCGAGACTGAGATTGAGGCCCAGGCCAGGGTCATGCGCGTTGTCAATGAGGCGAAGCTGGAGGTCACACTGAAAATGGTGGGTGCTGATAGGGCCGCGTTGAAATGGGTGAAGAAGGACAGTCTTGAGTCTTGAGTCTGCTACCTCAAGCGCTAGACTGCCCAAAATTTCCCAGCAGGCGTTGCTTCCACATTCTTCAGTCCACGCGATCAGCCACTCTCGGAGTACTCTGACCTGCGAGTAGGGGGTTTCCACCGTGCCCGTAGACGAAGACAAAGTGATGGATGACATTGTAGAGTGCTAGAGTATCGGCGGAGGAGGTATGGAACCTCATTCCAGGCACGAGTGAGGGGTTCATAAGTTTGACGATATTTGCGAGAGTATATGATGAGCTGAGACCTGGATATCGTTAGTCAAAGCTATGTCTCGCCTTGGCCTAGTACACTTACCTGGTAGTGCCCGCATAAAGTCTCTACATACTAGCCAACAGTCGGAGCGTGGCGGGAGTATTTCGTTTGGGGATCGTCCAGCGGCCTTGACCGTAACTTCCATACATCTGATATCAAACGCAGACATCGACCATTCGGCCAAGAACGTATCGGGACCTAATCCATGATCAAGGAGAATTTGGACAATTTCTTTCGACGTCTTTGTAGGGCCCCTGAGTGGACCGTGCTGAGGACCACGAATCCTCCGGGCCGACTCAAAACTTTTGTGGTGGGTGTAGCCCATGGAGCGCATCATATCCTCAAACTCGGCGTTTGTCATACCTTCATCGCTGATAATGCAACTTACAATTATTTCGCCACTCCCATTCCGCACTGTAATCTCAGTTGGTAATAATGGTAATCCTGGCTCGTGGACTGCCACAGTCTCATAATCGATAATCCGGATTCTATAGGGTGCCGACTCTTTCAGGAAGCGATATTTTTCCGCCATAGGTGTCAAAATCAGCGGGCTTCTTGCGGTATATAGACGAAACGATTCATGGTTTGTAATCGACGAACCAAGACCATATCGGTTACGTGTCCCTAAACGCTTATCGCTGACTCCGAACGAAATTGGAGAGGGTCGTTCTGCGAGAACACGACGTATCCTTGACATCACAAAGACACAAAAATCGCAAGTGTCTGATACTGTAAAGAGCATTCTTGTCGGGACAAACAATAATCGAGTTGTGTCGATACCGAGCGGAACTGAGTCAGCACACACGAAGCGGCGTCTCCCATAATAAAATCCCGAACAGGTACTGCCGTTTTCATACTGAGTATTTGAGATATCAAGGGCATATACTGCCAGGACTTCGAGATTTTGTCGTTCACACTTTGCGCGCCGAGCAGCGGTGAAGAAAGCCAAACTGCCGTTTCGGAATCGATTACGATACTCTTGAGCGGTTGGAAGAGCATGACTCGCTGGTACAAGCTCTGTAGTCCTCAATGTCTGGCGCATACCTGCTAGTGTCGCATTGAATATTGCCTCGTCGTGTTGACGTAGGCGCTGTTCGGTGAGGTGCGCTTTACTAAACCAATGTTTGACCAGAACTTGGTTGCATGATTTGTGTCCGCATTGAAGTGAGGCGCCAACATGGCAAAACATTCTATGCCGCTCTAGGTTCCAGAAATTGCGATATGCACAATAGGATTCGCAGCCCTTCTCATGGCACCACCATTGGCAACCTAGATGGCGGGTCACAAAGTGGCGTGCCATTCGCGAACGTCGATCGGGAGCACCGAGGAACTGACAACCAGGCCAAGGACATAGTAGTTGATACCGCCCGTTGTACGGTTGAACGTCCGCCTCTCCAGCCATACGTGATCCGTCGAGATGGAATCCGGGAACACGTAATCCGGGGCCACAGTCACTCGAGTTAGTTTCTCGCCGAAGATGGGCCAAGACGACGTCCCTATGCTGACTTCCAATCTCCATGCAGAAATTGTGGTAGATTTCAATAATTTCGCGACCCTCCTCAAAGCACTTTGCGTCTAACACGATGTACAGTCGTGTTAATAGGCCAAAGTTTATCTTATATAAATCTGGCCCTAGCTTCGCTGGGGGTCTGTAAAGCTGATACCACTTCATTGTTGTATCATAGTATTGGTTGATGTCGAAATCTTCTCGTCGTGCATAGTCTCTCATCTTGCCAAACTTCAACCATAAATCCCACTCGTCTTTATTGACCCCTTCGAAGAATGCGTAATCTTCTTGATATCTCTCCTCTTCAGTACCTTCGCGAATTGGTAGTGGCAGGAGATTAAGTAGGCTAGATAACTGGGATACCGACACCTCGTGCTTTGGTACGCGACGCACAGCTCGGTGACTATATGCTGAGTTTATATGCTGCGTAGCAATGTGGTCATTTAGCTGTTGCTTGTTTCCGTAGGGTCCCGGTGCTGTACATTCACTTTCCCCACAGAACCACTGATTCGGTCCATGGGCTTCAAGATGAAGTTTAATAGCAAACGGATAGTCAAGATGGTACACGGCTCCGCATTGTGGTACCTGGCAATACCAACCACTATCCTTTCGAAGAGCGAACACCGTTTTCTCCGGATCGATATCCATATCTGCGCACGCGAGTGCTATGATGATCGTCTTCGAGTCTCCGATCATGACGTAAGTAGCAAGTATCGATTTCACCTTCGCCCGATGCTTAGGGTGAATACATTGGAAGAATAGTTTGCTTAACTCTTCCTGATGTTTCCGCTGGAGATCTTGTGCTTGCTGCTGATTGATCGCGGTTAGCGGCGTATGTGTCTGGTGATCTAAGGTCGGTGGGAGTATATGCTCAACCGTAGGTTCATTCTTTTCCTGGTTCTTCTTATTCTCGTAGCAATCTAGCCCCTGATTGAATGATATATCATGATCCGCGTATTCAGACGAATCATCTTCGTTAGAGTCGGTATCAGTATCGACACCAATCGAAGGGGGAACAAAGACATCTTCTGGTAGCTCTTCTTGTCTGCTTCGCTTGTTTCGCAATAGTTGCTTAGGGTTTAGATCAATAATCGTCTTATGTCCTGCAGAAAGACGATGGGTGAAAATACCCTTTTTAGTGTAAGGTATGATGGCGGTCTGACACTTGGGGCAATGATGTTGAGTAGGATTCGAGCTAGCCTCCTGGCCCGACTGAGCTCCCCAGCCTGACTGGGCCTCCTGGGTAGAGTCACTCTCCTGATCGGAGTCAGCGTCCTGATCCGACTGAAGCTCTCGGCCTGACTGAGCCTCCTGATGAGATTCATTCTCCTGGTTAGACTTGCTCTCCTGATCGGAGTCCGTCTTCTGGTCTAGGTGAGGCTCAACGTGTGAGAGAGCTTTCCCGCTTATAGCGGCTTTTGTCTCCGCTTTTCTTTTTCCATTGCCAGGTTTAAAGGTTTGGCGCCAAAACGCATATTTTGGTATACCGTAGGCGGAAGGGTTCCGTTTCCGGTACAGTTTTCGGTAGTACCGAGCTTTCGCATACTCGCTCTTTGGGACTTTCGTCTTGGACGGCTCATATTCAGGTGCCGAGCACAGATGATTCCGAATAACTAATTCCGAGGGATGCGTAAAGCCGCAGTATTCGCAACCGAACCCGATTTGCAGACCATGATCATTCTTGATATGTCTGCCCAGAGTCTGGAGCTCAGCTGCAAATGAGCATGGAGGTTCTCGAGACTCCGGCCAATAGCAAGGAACGGGTACAGGAACGTGATTCATTTCCTCCCTTGTTTTTATCATCTACAGTTGTCTCTTGACAATAAGGGAGGTGATAGCGGTTTCGGGTATGCGCTCACCATACTAATTAGGGGAATGACTTGGGAAGACATCTCTGTACTAGGGGAGATCGTGGGAAATATACGTAACCGCCAAGGTGCCAAGGCTTGAGTTCGTATGTACTTTGCCCCATACAAAGTGCTACTGTAGTTGTAGTACAGAAGATAAAGGTCTTGATAGATGGATTTACCTTTTTGAAGGCGCAAAGAATGCATGGTTTGATAAGAACCCCTGTTTTATTTCATCGTTATTGCCTGAATGTCACTACGCTCTCGAAGGGAAATAGCGTACTGCTGGGGCCTATTCAATAGGCTGAGAATGAGAGCAGCAAATCTATTCCGATCCTAGGCATAAATATAGACGATCAGGCTAACTAGATCCTAGACAATAAGTAACCGCTATAAGACACGAGAAAGAAGACATCATTAAGGTATAGAGTGTAGTGGTATGTCTTTTTAAGAGTAACACTTTAGTAAGGATAAGGAAATATTCTGGAAGAGTAGAATCTCTTATTAGATAGTTAAGTAAGATTATTAATAAAAGTTGTTGAGTCGAGGTTTTGAGTTAAGTGCTCTTATTAACTTCTCGCTACCTCTTTAATAATCAACTGCACCTTTCTTCCGAACGCTCAAAAAAATTCGCAATATTTCCCCTCGACCTAAATTCAGGTCAGTATTTTCTATAATCTCGCAAGATTACTACCCACCGGAATCGAGCCCTGAGATTGGGTCAATACTTATATTTCGTAGATAGCAATATAACGTACGGTGACCTTTCCTGGAAGATGTTAACATACAGTTCGGGCAACCAGGAAGAATTGGAGCATACGGTTATCAATAAATTGATTAAATAATCCTTTACACTTCGAAATGTCAGATATTGCACACTGATCGAATACAAGATGCAGAACTTACGCCGAACTAGTCTTTATTAGTATAATTTCGATCGCAGTAATCCTGGGACTTACCGTGATATCCACTGAAATAGTTAGAACCTAATCACAAGGATGAAAGGAAGTGAAAACTGACACTACACCACAAGGGGGAAGCATTTTTGACACAATTTTGCCGACTTTTGAATATGATCAACGTCTTTAAACAGGTGAACATTGCCAAGCACGCCCAGACGGAAAGATGAATCCACCACTAATTGACAAGAGAATGGGGGAAAGTGGAGAAATCCCTGTTAGAAACGTGCCCTTCTTGCAGATCACCCGAGCCTCTTGGATGTTGAGACCTGTTTCTATGCCTTCCTGGTCGATTGCGAGAAGGAGTAAGCTTTGGCAACGTATGAACTCCGAATCAGCGTCTATTGTACTTTAAAGAGAAGCCACGATAATGCGGCGCGTTCACCAGCGACTCGAGGGAAGAGTATTCCAGCACGTGAAGGAAAAGTTGTCAAGCCTTAAGGAAAGTATCTTGTTGAGCCGAATGGCATTACATGCTTCCAGTGACTATTATAATCTCAATAGCACTTCGATGATGGTATGGCTCCCTTCTATGTCTTACTTCAAGACCCGGTGCCACAATAACGACAACTACTAATGTACCACGATCAGGTCATAGAGTGGCGACATGTCGCGCGTTCCAGCCTCTCGCTCAAGTGGTGGACCGTACACACGATGCAACTCTCTCTCTCTGACTCAGTTGGTTCAACTCCGTAATAGCACTGATCTCATGACGTTCAACAACTTTTCCGGACTATCACTTTCCCAGTTCTGACTTCTCCACGCGATGAAGAAGTCAGGCCGAACCAGCACACAGCCCGACTCAGTCACGTCTCTGATCTTAGCCCAGTCAAGGTATCGATCCTCGTACTCCTGTCGGAAGCCGATCGAGTACACTTCCAACGGCACGCCAAGGTCTTTGCCAACCTTTTCCGCGGCGCCGCGCCAGCCCTCTCCGCCAATGCCCGTGAACAAACTGAAGTGGCCCTTGCCGGCCAGATCGTACGTTGAGGTTGCCTTCGACGGCACCGTTCTGCTGAGCCAGACATGTGGGACGCGCGCGCCAGGGTATGTCGTCGGGTGGTAGTGCTCGAGCGGGTCCTTGGCGAAGGCCGGCTGCGGGCCCTGGTCGGCCTTGTGCACTGCCGTCGACGTGTATCGCTGATTCATTTCGATGCCGAGACCGTGCTCTTCACGGTTGATCAGGCGCAAGGCGTCTTGTAAGTCGGCGCGGCGTTCTCGACCTCGCTCCGAGTCTTCTTTCAGGACATTGAATGCTTCGACGCGCGCCGCGACCGTCGGCTCCAGGTTGCCTAGGACTTCCCAGATCTTTTTGTGGTTGCGCAGAGATGCGTTGGCTCTGAACCACCGTGTCAGTTCTGCGGATCGCCTGGATCTGCGTGGTAAAGACATTTGTACTTACTGCGTGACGACGTCGAGACCGACGGGCTGCCGCTCGACGCTATAGCTGTCTAGCAGTTCCTTGCCAGCAATTCCTGCGCGCAAGACGTTCAGCCTTCGTTCGCTAAAGCTTGTCTAGACAAGTATGTGTGGGTGCGCCCCGGGTTGCTCACCTTTGTCAACATAAGCAACCTTCCACGCGAGGTTGTGGGCGTCTTGTATGCATGTATTACTCCCTAAACCATGGTTTGGAGGATGTCGATGCACGGCGTCGCCCAAGCAATACACATTTCCTTTCGAGTACGCCTCGGCCGCCGTCTCATTGATCATCCAAGTCGAAATGCCCTTGATCTTGACCTCGACCGTGTCATCACCAATGAATTCGTGGACGCGCTTAATGTACTCTGACGGGTCTCGGTCCTTACGTTCGGTGCCAAATGTCGGGAAAATGATACATAACCACTCGTGCCAGGGCTTCACCATTCGAATGCACCCGATCCAGGCGTAGTCTGGGTGCTCCTTGTCTGGAGTCAATAGCCAGTGTAGATTTCCCATTCGGTTCTCCATGAGATGCGACATGTCGGCCTCCATCAGGATGTTGATGGCGTACCCTTGGTCCGGGCGCTTGATCATCGGAATCCCGAGCTGCTTGATGATCGGGCTGCGCGCGCCATCTGCGCCGAACAGATACTTTGACCGAACTCGGAAGTCTTGGCCCATCACCTTATCATGGAGGGTGGTCGTGACGCCTTTGTCGTCCTGCGTAAACGAGACAAATTTGGTGTTCCATCTGCAGCTGAAGCCGTTGAGCGTTGCGTACCTTGTAAGTATTGGTTCCAGAAGCGTCTGAGGCAAGTCCAGCGGATCTGACGGGCTGGCGAGCTCATAGTCACCCTGCAAGGCACGCTTAGGACGATTGTTGACCGCTTGACAACATGCTGGAAACCCACCTTTCGCTTCGGATCATTGCCCCACGAGTATATGCGCGCATACTCTTCGCCAGCCATGCTATTAGACCAGCGGGTGTGTACCATCGAGTCTCCAGATGTCCCTATCGTGTAACATTCTTTGTCAACTCCGATGTCTCGGAGACAGTCTAGCCAGCATTCAGCGGATTGTCACGAGTCAGAAATAAACGCAATGAATGCAATGCTCACCTATCGCTGCCATGTTGGTGATGTGTGCTCTCGGTGTGCCGGCATTGCCGGGATCTTGACTCACAATCAAACCGGTCAACCCTAGCACATGGTATTTAGTCTACATCCCCAAAAGACATATGACCGTTGCACTCACCATTCTGTGCGAGAAAGCATGCTAGTGAAGAACCGGCTGGACCGGTACCAACAATTAGGTAATCCGTATAGACAACAGCGGCAGAGTCTGGATGCCCTCCATTGGCACCATTAGTATTGACATCGTCGGTTTGAGCCATGTTGTTCTTGAATGGTCGACGTGAATGAATGGAAGTTGATGTAGGAATGGTTCAGGGCCAATAGCAGGCTCTCGTTGGAGAGGTATATATTCTTCCTCGAAACATGACTCTTGTAAATGGTGGGATTCCCTCAGGTGCACAAGGCAGCCAAGTTCGAGCTGCGTGATCTACCCCATGGGTTATGGCTCCTGGCGTAGGCTTTTGTGTGCGAAAAAGCCACCAGTGGGTGGCTGTCGTCCGCAGCTAACAGTTTCATTCTTGCCGAGGCAAACCTTGATTTCGAACTCTAAGAATGAATCCCCATAGATCAGCCAAATCCAAGCTCACGGGTCCGGCGCAGTCATCTGGGGAGCATTCCGAAGTACCATTCCGGTCCCGCAGGTTCCCCCTCAGAATCCCTGCTTCTCTGAATCAGACTAGCACATGGGTGCTCCACTAGTCGCGCGACAGGCGAATACCCAAAAGCGCACAACAATATGTAAGTGCTTCGGATGAAATGGGGTAAGCCACATCTGATCCGGGGCTCACCGGAACCCCATGGCAAACCCACAAAATCAGAGTCCGGAATTGTTGCTGCTTTTGCAGAGGCTGACTCAGTCTCAGAATACGCGGTTGACCATAGGGCGGGTGTTCTGCATCAACGGCTTGCTCACGAAGAAGCCTCGGGCAGTGCACTACATTGTGATGCTGGTGACTCATGCCAAGTTTTCAATGAGTAAAGCTGGGAGATCGCATAAGAGTCGGCTGGGCCTCATATCAAGTCGAGCGTAAAGCTTCAATATGATTCACCTCTTCATGAGCCTGTCAAGGGTGTCTGCCATCACCTTGCAACATGGCCAGGGCATCTTTGCGATTTCGTCCTTGTACATCCCGAGTACTTTTAAGCTGCCGTACTTCAAATCAGTGAATGATTGTGAATATAGCTTCTGCCAAACCACCAATGCCGAGTAGAACAAGATGACAGGGATCCAGACGACCATCCTTCGCTGCAGATCTTGTGAGTTTCCGTCACAGTGATCGAGGACAAGCCACGCAAGGTCCATTGCTTTGTCCGGGATATCGATTTGTTCAGGGCGTTCTGCGGAACTGCATTGCCTGCCACTGCAAGCCGGCACGGTTCCGTAACCTGCCAAACGAGGAAGACTTCCGATATCAGGGCAAATCAGCTGGAGTCTAACAAAGTAGTAGAGAGCGAGAATATCACTGCCAACGTAACGATGAAAATGCTGTTCCCAACGAGAAAGCGCAGCCAGAAAGTCAGCGCTCAAGCGAGAGTATTCTGATTGCAAGGACAATGGAGCGAAAGGGTTTCGCAGTGGCGTGCGATCGGTCGAAGACCTAGGGTTGACGTCTACTTGGCTTGTAGAGGAGCCTGGTATTGAGAGATGGCACCGCTGTGCATAAATGATATCGCTCAGGAGCATGGTCAGTAGTAGGAGACCGTCTTCTCGCGTTCGAACATCTTGCGGTAAAGCATAGCCGTGCGTAAGAGAGTTGTACAGGGTGCGGAACTGATGGTTGGATGAGGGCATTTTCATGAACAATTCGGTCCTTGAAAAGTGCGGCACTAAGCCATAGTGTACGGCGTGAACAGTATCAAGCAGTAGTAGGTAGCTGACGAGAGAGCTGTACCCAGTCAGCAATCTGAGATGTCTGATGTGTATATTCTGGCTTGTACCTTTTAATGCCGAAGTCCTTTTCCGGTAGTTCAGGAGAGGCACATAGCGGGGAATAGCCATCTGTGAGGTGCAATCTCCTTAACATCTGCAGCGAGGTCAGCACCAAGGATGTGTCACAGACCAAGGGAGCAAGGATGTCTCACGGTGACCACATTGCAAAGGATCCCAGTTGTTATCCTCCAATGCACCCGATCAATGGACAAGACGCCATAGGTGATGAGTAGTGAGGCCTACAGTAGGTGGAACATCAGTCAGTCGAGGTTGATGAATACGGCAGGTCCGAGTGGCTCAGACGGGCGCGGGACCGTAAGAGGCGAGACTTACCGCGATTACTGCCTCTAGCATTCGAGCTTCGCGATTGTCGACTTCTATGATTACTGTCCACAGCCTTGCGGCAGTAACGAACAAGCCCGCCGAAAGATCGGTTTGATCGGTCCCATCTGCGATGGCATAGCCGCTCGTACTCGTTGCGGGAACTGATATCGACCCCAGGCATGCACGCGCAATACGAAGATATGGAGGGAGCGGGTTCGAAGACGTTCCGGGAATATCGACAGCGTCGATGAAAATCTGGTTGAACGAGGCGAAGTAGGCCGCGTGCAGTCGTGCGATCTCATCTTCCGGCAATACTGTTGGGATGTCGGACAGCATGACCACGGGATATGTGTACGCTCTGGCTGGGTTCTGTCCGGCCATCGTTCAGGGGAAATACTCGTGGCCAAGGGGTCATATCAGGACTTACTGTCTCCAAGTGCTCGGAACTGTTCATCATTGAGTCGGTGTCGGGGGAAGCGCCTTCTCCTGCACCCTCAGCGTGTAGTAGTGCAGCTCGGAAACGGTCCAGGAAGGTGATGGCTGGACTTTCGTTCGCATCGTGCACATCCCATCGAGTTGGATGACGTTCGCCTGGCCACTGCCGCGAGCCAGAAAACCTCACGTCTGAGTCTACTTCGGCGACACCTGTGGCCATGACGAGGTAAGTCTCGCGTACTGACCGTTAGTGAGAGCGTTGACAATAGTGAATAGGAATGAGAAGTGAGGCGAATGACATCCATCAACCCTCATATCTGTGATGGCTTGCTGCTCTTTCCTGCCATGCCAAGACACTTTTAATCTAGCTCTGAACTGCCTAGGTCGCAAAGCTCCTCTCAAGCCGCTTTAAGCAGGCTTGGTGCTCAGGTGTTGGGTGTCTCGGTGTGTAGCCTCGGTTACAGCCAATACGATTGACGATTCGTGCACCAAAGACACCCACTGATAGCATTAGCTTCAGATGGTACCGAATTGTGGAAGCTTGCGTTCTGCCCATTGGCAATTCGTCCTCGCCGTGTCTCATCTGTTGCTCCAATGAAATCTGAATGCTGTCTGGGCTTTCGGCAGCCGTGCCGACACACGGTCCTAAAAATCCTACGCGTTCGGCCTAGTCTGACCGGCCTGAACCATGGCCACACTGAATGTAAAAGCCTCCAACAGGACCCCAGGATCTTACGGGTTCCCCAGCTTCCTCAACTCCTCCGCGATCTGCACTTGGGAAAGACTCCAACTAGCCCAAAGCTGGTGAACCTCACCTGATGGCTATTATCAGCATCACCTCCCCAGGCACTTCCCGGCAGGATAAGAAGGTGCGTTGGAATGTGCAGAGCGCCAACGACGCAACGCATTCCGCAAACAAGCTCGTTCCGATGCCCTCCCATACCATATGCTGACTCTATGGCAGTGTGATATATGCTCCCGGTGCTTTGCCAGATCGGAACATCTTGCAAGGCATCGCCGTACTCGTACGTATCTCGATGTCAATTCTGTCGACACAATATTGACATGGCTACTTGTCCCAGACACGAAGGAGAAGCCATTTACCTGCCCATATTGCCGGAGGTCTTTTCAACGCTCTGACGTGAAAGCCGTCCACGTTAAAAAATGCCATGCGGCGCCCTCGGACCGTGGCGATGGAGATGAGGCCAAGGAAGGCTCTGCACGTAGACGTGTTCGAAGAGCATGTTATTACTGTCGCAAGAGGAAAATGAGATGCGACGGCTGTGAACCATGCGGCCCATGTCAATCAATCGCAGCCGACTGCCACTACAAGCCGACGGCGGCGGCCTCCTCCAGTGCGCCCAGTCAACCATCGCACGCGGATGACGCAACTGGTGCGTACCAGGACCAGATCGTGGATGATTACGACATGAATATCGGCGATGACGAAGGCTCAGTCTCACTTGCCTTCACAGTGCCGCAAAGCAATCTGGGCAACGGTGCCATTTTGGCTGGTGGCTCTCTGAATGCTGGCGTGGGACTTGATCCATCTCTCGAGGCTGGCATGGAGTCGATACAAAGCACTCATGCAGGTGCGATTCCTCTGCCATTTTCAGGACAGCCAGCTTTCCCTACCTACGACAGCATGAATAGTGAGGTCCAGGATATGTCCATCTCTCATGGAAACCTACTCTACCCCTTCCCAGATCCAAGTGGCGTGAATGAATCCTGGCAAATGCCCTCAGTGGTCGGTCCTGTAACTTTTGTATGTCAACTACGTGTGCTAACATGTTTAGAATTCACACTTCTGGTTCGATGGGTCTGATTTTACTTGGAGTGACGGTCTCTTCAACTCGAACTCACCCATCTTGGACCACGTCTTGCCCTCTTCTATGCAAAGCCTTACTGCTGCGATGCAAGAGTACTTTGACCGCAAATCCAGGGCCCCGTCGCCCTCGCTCAACAAAGCCAGTAAGATGTGGTACTCGGCTCCCCCGAATCTGGACGATCACAATAGAGATATCATTAGGGTATTTCTGAAGCTCTTCCGGCGGCACATACCCGAAACCTTCTCCCTGTTCAAAGACTCTGCAGTGACTCGCAAGGGTCGAGCTGAATACACTCTTGCAATGGCGGCCATTGGTGGGCTGTTCTGCACCGTACCTGGTAGTGCCGAAGTTGCCAAGTCAATGTACAACGATGCCCGAAGGTTGTTGCTGGCATCTGTAAGTCACGGCTTCACCAAAATCGCAGTTCACCTAACGCATCTTTAGTTCAATACGATGAACGTTCTAGACGATCTTTCTGCTAGTGTTGAAGACAGACTTACCACAGTTAGAACGGTAAGTTCTAGACATGATAACGCAGGCTATCTACTAATGCGGAGAAAGTTCATACTCCTCGAACTGTACGGGCTTTGTAGCGGTGATAAAAGAAGCTATGAGTTCGTGGAAGCCTTCCACGGGAACCTGATCTACGTATGACCTCAAGCGTGGCATATTCGACTACGAATGGCTGACTCAATCCTCCAGTCAGTACAGCAGTATAGCCAAGCCTTCAAGGTATCTGACATGAACGGCCGAAAGGAAGACGAGAGCGCTCGGTAAGAACAGTGCTCGCCTTTTGCAATGAGATTAAGCTCTACTAACCCCTTACAAGACTCCTCGAAGCGCTATATATACTCGAGTGCTACCGGGTCATAATCATGCAGTGTCCACCAACCTTATCATGGCATCACCCAGACTCTTTTGCTGCTTCGCCTCTTCCTGGGACTCAAATACACCGGCTCCAATCCCTGATAGTAGATCTCACTCGTGGTGCTCCCAAAATCAAACCTGACACATGCAACGAATTCAGCCTGACAAGTTTGGCATACTTGAGTACTTTTCTCTGGCCTGCAATTTATCCCCGACAGAACAGCTACGGTATTGAGAACGTCGTTATCGAAAGTCTTCTTCTCGGCAAGAGTGATTTTGTGGAATTGGCTTGCGATACATGGCTACGTTCGCTTGGTCAGAGGCCTGAGCCTTCCCACCTCGTTGTCTATCACATGATGAACATCATGCTGCATACGAACCTCACTGTTCTACAAAGCTTCGCCCATTCACCGCCTGGGTCCGCAGCACGCGACCCTAAGAGAAGCTTAGTTGCACGAGAGGTTCATGGATGGGCACAGAGCAGGCATTACAAGACTGCAAGATGGCATGCTGAGAACATGCTGTCCTCGATTGAGGGAGCATTCGTGACTTCATTGAACAGATCTGAGGCCGCCGCTCCGCACCAGATATCTTCACGGTCATCATTCTCAACTACAGAACCACGACGGCTGCCGTTCGAAGCGCCTCATGTTCCATATGCAATGTATTATGCGACACTAGTCCTTTGGAGCGGTGCAACTCTTGAAGAGTGTGCTGGTACATCTTCCGTGTCTGCTCAGGCTCTGATTGCACGTGGTGAGCGGATTTTGTCCCTACACAAAGTGCATATCGCGCAGCTCCTGGCTCGCGTGTTGAATGAAGTGAAATAGAGCTCGATGACAAGTATGAGGTCTTCTGAATACCATGATTCTGGTAGTAGCGATTGCAAAGAGTCGGCTGAGTCTTCCAGGTCATGTGCTGAGCGTCTGACCTCTCGACTTTCCATCAACAACCTAATGCAAAGAATAAGCATCCACCCTGCTCGCGCAGTTCCTGAACTGTCTGGACTTCAGGAGCCATGTGACTTCCATGAGTTCTGAATTCTGGCACGAGATGTGGAGTGCTGGGGTACCGTCAAGCTCGATTCTTACCCCTGGCTTTGGGGATTCTGAAGTTGATCCAATCGCTGGCTTCCTTTCCGTGACCACCGGCTTGACGACCTCATCCCGCGTTTGTCAATATTCACCAAGGATTGCACAACTTATTGATGAGGACAAAGGTCCATTTACAGATTTTGCGTTTACAAGGAAGAGACATCGGTGCAACGACAAGAACTTGACAGAAGAAAATGCCTAACAAGCTGCGAGATGATCTTCACAAGATCGACGACACCTCCTTTGACTACATCTACGAGGAGAATGCTACGGTTCAGCTTAAAGAAGGCCGTGGTATTGTTCGATGCAATGTGTTCAGACCGAAAAGATCCAATGATGCAAGATACCCGGTACTCGTCACATATGGCCCCGTAAGTATTTTGCTTCTCGAAAGACCGTGCTATGAGGCCATGTGCCATTGAAGCTCAAAGCTTTCATATGTCCGTTTCTTATGATACAGCTTTCTGACGAGCTCCATAGTATGGCAAGGACGTGCATTATAAGGTGTGAGTACCTCTAGTCGGGCATACCCAACTAGGATGACATTCATACCGGATCTAGGTTCCACGCTGAGTCGTTTGGAGAGGTTCCTGAAGAACACCATTCACCACACTCGGCCTGGGAGACGCCTGACCCAGGATACTGGACTCGCCATGGTTATGCAATCGTACGAGCTGACGAGGTCGGCCTTGGCCAATCTCCAGGAGTGCTCAACACGATGTCCCGAGACACGAGCCTTTGCTTTGTAGACGTCATCGAATGGGCAGCGGCTCAGCCATGGTCTTCCGGAAAGATTGGTCTGCTTGGGATTAGCTACTATGCTGGCAGCCAATGGCGTGTTGCAGCACGCCGGCCCAAAGGTTTGGCCTGCATGGTACCATGGGAGGGTATGAGCGATTACTATCGTGACCGCTGTCGCCACGGTGGCATATTGTCAAACACTTTTATTGACTTCTGGTGGAACAGACAAGTGAGTGTGCTTGCGGAACGACTTGGCCTTTCCGGTGAGACTTCGTGGCTGACATTCCTTCGTTTTAGGTTATTGTCAACCAATACGGACGACCGGGGAGAGCAGCACGGAGGTGGGGGCCAGACACCATCGAGGGCAACCTGGATGAAGACGAACTTCGTGTCAACTGCCATGATCAGAACGTGGATAATGTCAAGAACTGTTTCCTCGACGATGAATATTATGCGACGAAGGACTACAAAGTCTCGGACATAGAGGTGCCTCTACTATCTGTTGGAAACTGGGGCGGTATTCTCCTCCATCTCCGAGGCAATGTTGAAGGATTCATCAACGCAGGATCGAAGCACAAGTACCTTCGGTTCATTACCGGTCGACACGATCTTCCATTCTACACGAAGGAATGTGTGGATATGCAACACAGTTTCCTTGACGCTTTTCTCAAGGGACATGATCCACTAGGGTGGTCACGCGACGAGCAGCCAAGGGTTGGCTACAAAGTCAGAATAGGCGATGTTGGCTTTAATGATGCTGCGGCCGAGGGTGCATATCCAGAAAGATACGCAGAGGACTGGCCAATCCCTACAACAAAGTACACGCATTACTACCTGACTCCCAGCCAGGGTCTGGTCGAGTCTGCCCCTACCGTGGAAGAATGCAAGCTTTCCTACGGGGCTTTAGGAGATCTCAAGAACCAGCATCTGATCCAGTTCACAAGCGAGCCGTTCAAACAGGAGACCGAGTTCACAGGCCACCTGGTTGCGCACTTGAACGTTTCCGTCACTCGAGCTGAGGCTTCAACGAACCAGCCCAGCGACATCGATCTCTTCATCACCGTCCGACATCTGAGTTCAGAAGGCAAAGAGATTCTGTACACTGGCACGGTTGGAGATCCTGTGCCTGTGACGAAAGGCTGGCTCCGTGTCAGTTTACGCAAGGTTAACGAGAAAAGCCCCAGACACCAACGCTGGCATCCGCATCGCGAGTATCTGTCTAGCGATCACGCGCCACTTAGTCCTGGAGAAATCTACCCAGCGGACGTCGAGATCTGGCCGACCAATGTGGTCATGTCGCCAGGAAGTCGCTTGGTACTGGAAATTTCATCGGGCGACACGCAAGGTGCAGGCTTGTTTGAGCATAATTCCAATGAAGACAGGAACGAAGCAACTTTCAATGGCATGAATCATGTCCACTTTGGAAAAGGGTATGAGAATTGGCTGTTGATGCCTTTGATTCCGGCAGGGAAGAATTCTGAATAGGAAAAGCCCGATGCCGCCACTCTACATTGGCATAAGAGCAACAGATTTTAGAGGATTTGTGGCCTTCACACGAGTGGCAAATAGTATGCCACACCCCCAAAGCCGCCATGATCTAAGGCTTATAGAAATGCACCTTGCTGCCTTGAAGGGCCCCGCAGGCCTCCTATTTCCTGCCCGTTCTCGCCGGCCACCAGGTCTTGATTTCTACCATTCTCCGCCAATTTTATATTTCATGCTATCGTTGTTCCATCTCCCTACAGTCGAGCGCCATAACCTGTTCAGATTCTGCAACAACCAAAATATCAGCATCATGTCCTGCCTTCCCCACGGCGCTCGTACTGGCCGTGTGAGAGAGTTCTTGCTTACCCCGTATGTCCAAACGCCCGTAAACATGACCACAACCATAGTAGACTCGACGGGGTTGAAACCTGCCGGCCGTTCCGACAGTCGATGTGACCGGCTTGAGGGCCGATATGGAGGCATTCGTCGCCAGTCCGAAGGCCAACTCGAATCAGGCAGTGCAATGTGTTCTTCTGTGTGCCCTTGGATCTGGATCGTGGGATCTTCTGCAGTGTCATCGTCTCCGGTGAAGTGGGTGTCGTATACTCGAAGTGTTTCTCGAACCGTGGTAGGTTCCACAATGGTCTCTGTTCTTGCCATTCTGCTCGAAGAGGACGAGCAAGTAAGTCCAAGGTGCTACTTGCGACGATCCCTGATGACAACGGCGCAGCTTCTCTTCTGCTGCAGAAGTGCAACTGAACATGTATCGTCGCAATCGTCATTGCCATCCAACCACTGTTGTCGGAATCAAAGGTGGTACCTAGGCGTGCTAGGATCGCGGCTGGGGTCTCAGGCGATCCTTGCCGGCGGGAAATCATGGGGAGATGCATGCTGGAATCTGCGCTGCAGGGTAACCATTTAACCCCTTTGTGGCGGGGTCATGGGCAACCCCATGTCGCCTGTTTTTGTGCCGTTTGTGCGTAAACCCCCTTCCGAACCATGACACGGGGCTGAGATTCGGCAACGGAAATTTGGCTTACTTGGTACTGGTTGTTTATGTATACCACGTTGTTGTTCGGAACTGAGAACAGTTCGCTCGGATCTCATCATGAGTGACCCAGAACATTCGCAGGCACTGCTTGGTAGACTAGTTCCCTCGAACATGATCTTCAAGATGGCAGGCGATTCGTTCTCTCGTATAGAGATATCCAGCCTTGAAGGCAGGGCCCAGTCGACTCGACTGCGTCAGAAATTGTTCCATTCACTGCATACGACGCTGGGATCGTCAGAGAAGACCATCAAAGATGCGATTTTGGCGGACAGTGGTTACAGCAAGTCGGAAGTCAACCTCGAATATGCGCTTGCCATTTCCGACTTGCGCAAGCACTATGCTTCTGTGGACCTCGAACAAGATCTAAAAGCTCAGAAAGCTGTAGAGAACCTCAAGGCGACGACGAACGTTGGCATTGTATATATCGTTCCTGCAAAGCAGAACCTGTTCTATTGTGTCATCTCGGCTCTCACTGCAGCGTTGGCGGCTGGGAACTGTGTCGTCGTTGAGGTATTCGCTCCCTTTTCCCAAATCCACCAGTCACTTGATCTGATTCGAACCTGTTCAGCTACCTCCAACACTGACGCAGGTATCTGGTGTCCTCCGGAAGATCTTACCATCTGCACTCGACGCGGATATCTTCGGCGTCAGCGGCACAAGACCAACAAAGGACTTTCTGTCCAAATGTCATGTTTTGGAGCAGTCCGACGATGGGACAGACAATGCGCAATCAGAGCCGCAGGCTAGGGTTGTGGCAATCGTAGACAGGACTGCAGATATCCTCGAGGCAGCCATGGTGATCGGGGCATCTCGAGTATCATTCAACGGGCGCTCAGTCTATGCTCCCGATGTTGTCCTCGTGAATGAATTCGTGGCCGACAACTTCCTGTACCATCTCGTCCAGACGGTAACATCACCCTTGTCGAGTAAAAGCGCCCCCGCATCACAGAATCAGTCAAAATACCTGCCAGATGGTCATGCCAGAACGTTGAAGGAGCTGGAGAACAACGATGGTGTTCGCGTGGTTGTGTCAAGCTCCAGCGGCAGCATCATGGAGGTCAAGGACCGGTAAAGGCGAGACATTCCGGCCAAAGAAGCCCAGCACTAATCCGCAGCTATAGGACAATGGTACCCCTAAGTCGCAGGATAGAGGGTCGACTGATTATCGTCGTGCGGATAACGAGTTTAGATGATGCTATCGACCTCGCCAACAGGTATGCATTCCTGTGACAGTATCTTTTTCTTCACATGTTTGTACGACTCGCTGACGTTATGTTCGCCTTGACAGCTTCGGCACTCCCTTGGAGGCGAACTACAGCTTTGCAACTCCTACTGAAGCAAATTACCTCGCGAGATTCATCGATGCACGCATTTCCTGCATCAATCATATACCTGCTGAACTGCTTGGTAAGTCTACTGCCAAACATCTTCCACCAGTACGGCTGATAATCTTTCAAAGTTGGCCCGTTGGCACCCAAGCATCCGGCAGAAGCACCGTCTCCGAGTCCACGGTACAGCCAAGCATTATTCCGCACTCCGCGACCGCGACTAAGACATGCCTCAGAGCTGACGACCCTCACTCAGGCAGCTGTCCGCTCTCGGTCAACAGAAGGGTTGGAGTCGTGGAGTCGAGCCATCGTCGAGCCTGCACTGCCGGCAATGAAACAAGGTGACGGGCATGCCGTTGGTTTCTTCGATCAAGCATTTTTGGCCCTAGGGGTCAGCGTTGTCTCGCTCTTGGCTGGGACGGCTTTTTATGCCTTCAAAATGTTGAGACGGCGGTAATAATTGTTCGACCTCTACATTGTGAGAGACAAGGTTTCCCCCAAAACCCGAGTAGTTAGGAGTTGTAACATAACCATCTGAGTTCAATTGTACGCCATGTCTACTTAGGGCGTCGTGAGCAATAGCATACATGGGAAACAGTTTGAATTTGCAAGCAAAATGTATGCAGGTTCTACGCCACAGAAAGACAAAATCAAGCAGCAGCAGTAACCATTCTCGGACGGGGCAGTTTCTCGCTCTCCCTCTCCTCTCTTCCTACAAACTTGTTGCCTGTGTCATCTTTGTATCTGCCGAACGTGAACTGCGAGTTTGCCATGTTGACAAGCTCCCACGTCTCAGCAGCCAGCACGTTCGGATCAGCCTCATCTTCCCAGTCTCCCACCGCACCTGCCGCAAAGAGCGCCGGCATCCAATGGTCGTCCGTGGCCTGGGCCTCGCGGTAGGCAGGATGCTGCATCAGGCGAATCATGGCTTTTCTCAATGCTGGACCTCGATTCTTCGTCACGACATCTTCAGTCGCCTGGCGAAAGTTGAGGGCCCACGCCTCGGGCGGTCTCTCCTGGCCCAAGGACTCGCGGTACAGCAGCATGTTCGTCCATGCGTTACGATACAGGTTGTGCACCGCGCCGCCCGTTCCGATTAGTAAGTATCCCTCTTTCCGAAGTGGGCGGAGCGTCGCGCCCACCTTGACATGGTAGTATGGGTCGTAGCGCGCGTTCATCGACACGATGCTCACGGGCGGGCATTTATTGTAGTCGGGGAACATGCGGATGAGCACCATGAATGTGTCGTGAATCCAGGTGAAATCCGGATTTGGGCCAGCGTTGAATCCTTCAGCTTTGAGCATGGATATGCATCGTTCGGCGGTGGGAATGTCTGGGTTAGGTTTCCAATCTTTATACAGTGCTGGACTGGAGAATGGGCAGAAGCTCTTGCCGGGAGCTGGGTTGGTTGCAACCTCGATCTTGTCCCCGAGACAGGCCCAGTGTGCGCCCTGCGAAGATCGATGTTACTTTGCATTCTCACCATGGCTTCTCCAACAAAAACAGACCATGATGACAATCCCTTTGACGTTGTGAGCAAGGGCTTCTTGTCCGCATTTTGTCCAATATGCCCCAGACTCGGTGTCAGCCTCGAGCATGCGTGTCGAGCCATGTGAAAAGAAGTGTACCGGCGTAATTCCCATGATTGCGTTTCGAGAGACGGCGCAAAAAAATGGTGACAAGATGGTCAGTCGTCATGATCGATCGAACCAGAACTCAACAATATATCTAGGTCCTAGAGGACGACATCATCAGCCGTCGTAAGCTGCCGGAGGCATGAGTGGCGTTCAGCCAAATGACGAGGCAAACCCCAGCGTCAGTCCCCCATGTACTTGTCGATGCAATCGAAGAGGGGACAGCAAGAATCCGGTATGGGGTTCCGGGGACCCTTGTTGCTGGTCGGAAAGTGTCGATCGCCCCGTGTTGCCCCTGAAAAGCCGGTGGAGATCGCCAGCCGAAGCGCCTCAATCCGACAAACGGCACCGTTCTGGAACAATAAAACAACAAGGCAAGTAGCCTGGACGAGCATCGTGTATTGGTGCTTCGTCATCTGAGAATAACAAAAATGACTTCGCAGACACGTTCCCCTACCGAAGGTCAATTGGCCGATAAGCTGCCCGGATTGACGGCATACATTACCGGCCACAAACCAGATAATGGAGACACAACCATTCAAGAGAAGCGACCAGCGAATTGGCGATCAATCGACAAGGGTGGCATGACTTTCCATGAGGTCTTCACAACATCTGAGTTTCCCGTGTCTTTCAACGACGACGTCGACATCAAAAAGCATGACGACCGAGTCAACTCGGGAAAGATGGGTATTGTCAACCCTCGCGGTACCGTACTAAGATTCGTCGACTTCTCTCCCGGGTTCGAGTCAATGATGCATCGGACCAGGAGTCTGGACTATGGCATTGTGGTGGAAGGCGCCATCGAATTGATCCTCGATTCTGGCGAAAAGCAACTCCTGCAACGTGGAGATGTGTGCGTCCAAAGAGGCACCAACCATGCTTGGAGGAACCCAAGTACTACTGAGTGGACGAGGGTTGTTTACATCTTACAAGACTCACAGCCAGTCGAGGTGCAAGGGAAACCTTTGAAGGAGTACCTGGGCCGAAGTGAAGGGGAGATTCCTCCAAGCGGCAACGACGAGTAGATAAGTCGAGAGAAAACAATTAAAAGTCTCAGTAACGAGTGTATACTCACCATCCTTGACAAGGCTGTTGCAAAATTGCGCAATGGTGGACCAAAATATTTTCCTCGCGCAGAACCTGTAACTGACCAGGGGAGAGCTTCCCACCACACTCGTACTTTTCCTCTGTCTCTAAGACCAAGCCGACATGACTGTGGAACGAGCCATTTTATCCTCAACATAAAAGTGCTCCTGTTGGCCTGGTTGAGACCTGGAGAACCACAAAGTCAACACTGACCCCATGGGCTGTAGGTGGAGCCATGGAGAGTCTACAAACACACAGCTACGGAGCAAGCCCCTTTCCGGAAACAGTGGTACTATCTTGACCACTGTTGCCCTTCACAAACAATAGGATGCCTTTCCTCCTCTTGTCTTCCCAGCGTCCTTCGCAGACAGCAATATAGCGCCAGCCATTGACCGAACCGAGGCCATCCACTCTAGCGTATAGACCTATTAAGTTGGAGGGCAGGGAGTCACTGTCGCGAGCCGCTCGCCCCATGTCTTATATCGTAGATGTACTCCTAGGTCAGACGGTGCCAAGTTCTCTGGAAATAGGCTTGGGAGGTACTTCGTATCCTACCCCATTACTTCAGCTAACCGATCTGCGTTCATTGTGAGATTGTGTCTGTCCCTGGAGGTCGTGTTATCCATTCTGGACTGACGAATGATGGAGACATTCTACACGCCAAGGAGATGCAAAGAATGTGTTTACACCGAAGCGGTATTACTGCCTATTGCCAGGACAATGGCCGGAGGTATCTCTAGCTGAAGAAGTCCGCCTTTTCATATTGCGCAAAGAAATTGGCGCAAGCCTCTTTGTACTCCCTCTCAATAGCGTCACGTCTCGCCTCTGATCGCACAGTAAGTTTGACAGGGAAGTCGTATGCACAAGCCGTCAAACCCTCCCTGTATCCAGTGACGACGTCGGTATCCGGCTCAATGGGTTTCCCGGTCGCCGGATCGGTCGCTTTCTCGAGTTTAAAAGCCCACAGGATCTTGGAGATAGCGTGGAAAAGGTTTCGGTCTGCTAAATGGATGCCTGGGCACAGACGGCGACCGTGGCCTGTATCATTTGGTGAGCCTCATGGAACCTGCCACCCAAACGTCATTATCAGGGTCATGAGGATCACACATACCATAACCATAATGATCGCGATTCTCATAGTCGGCGGAATTGGCGTACTCGGCAGCGAGCAGTGTGCGGCCTTTGTAGTGGTCGGGATCGAAGACTTCATGGTTGGGGAACTTGGACTCGTCGTGGTGCAAGCCCCAGACATTGATGAAGCATATTGTGCCTTTTGGCAGGAATTTACCGTCGATCCATTCATCTGTCGAACATGCATTTTAGCAGATCTTTTCGCGAGACAGGGATCGAGGGAGAACCGAAGTTTAAACTTACCTTCAGAAAGAGCATGCGGTACGGACAGGGGGGCGACAGGTCGCCATCGATGGGATTCCTTGACAATCTGCGCCACGTAGGGTAACTTGTCGTAGTCAGACCACTCGGGTACCTTGTCCTCGCCCAGCACGGCATCGATCTCGGCTTGTGCCTTCTTTTGCACTTCCGGGTACACAACCATGGCTTGAACAAACGATGTGAGAACCGATGCCGAGGTATCGGACCCCCCTTTGATCGTGACGCCCGAAAGCAATGTAATTTGGTGGGTAGTTAGGCCACTTTTCTCCTGGTTATCCAACAGCCGATCCAGAACGGTGAACTGAGATCCAATGGCCTGGCGCCTTTTCAGGACGGAGTTTAGGAGACCAGTGTAGAGCTTATGCATCTCGTCGTGGACAACAGTGGCGCGGGTCACCCACTTGCCGAGGAAGCGTTCTGGGATCGCTTTCAGAAAGGGGAATATGTCGACGGGAGGAGTGGCGCCGAACTCCTGGATTCGAGCCCATTTCTGGAGCAGCGCCTCGAGGCTTTCCATGTGAGGTGCCTCAGTCGACGGAGAGCGAATACCATAGACTGAACAGCGTGAGTGCCATCCTCATCGGAGATCTCTGATTGTCAGAACAGGCCGCACTTACCGACACTCATGACAATACTATTCGTGGTCCTCTTGAGGTGACTCGCCCAACTGTCGGGGGTGTCGAGCATGTCGTGGAGCAATTGGACCATCTCGGCCTGCTGAATCTTGGTGTGCTCTTTGTCGCACAGGGTTTCCGTGAAGTCTTGATGAATTACTTTTCTCATCACTCGCCAAACTGGCGTGTTGTTCATGAGAAGTACATGATCGCCTTCGCCGATAATACGGCCCACTTCGTTTGGTGGACGGTTACTGGACGTCGCGCTCTTCTTCTCCAAAAGCTGTTTGATGATCCGTCGGTCTGTGAGGACCGCCACGGTACCAGGTCCGAGCTTGATAGTGTACAAGCCACCATACTTCTTTGCCCATTCGGTGAACCTGAGCTGGTTAGATGCAAAAGTACAAAAGCCAAAGGAAGACTTGCTGAAGATAGAGCTTCTGCTTGGGAAGTTGATGCAAATTACCTATGATAGGTAATGTTGGCGGTCCTGTGGCAGTCTGATTAGCATTTGCAGGGGGGTCGAGGGACGGAATGTAAGTATACCATCTGGGAAATTGTGACCTCGTCTACCTACGAACATGTAGGCATACAGCAAGAAACTAGCTGTGAGAAGAGCACTGGCCAGAAGCACGGGGGACGCCATGGTTGTCAGATAGCAAGTATGGTGCTGAGACGACTAGGAATATTGGCGAATATTCGAACCTCTGGTCCAGATCGCCGGGTTCATGTTTCAGAGTATTATCGTATGCCTTTTGGTGAAGATGTCACAGTCGACATTCGACCCAGTGGTCATTTCCCGCGTCGGGGGAAGCGAGTCCAGTAACGCTGGAGCCGACAATTATATGCAGGCCCCCCATTATTCTTGGCATCTCTTTCTCCCTGATACGAGTACCCCATGCATTGCCGCGGCACTACCCCGTGACGATGCTACAGGCTTGGCCAATGCCTGGCTAGTACCTTCCTGGAGAAAGAGAAAAGTTGGGGTTGCCAGGGCCCCGTACAATGGGTCACACTTTGATTGGGAAAGGCAACATGGCTTGGACCGAATGCAAGTGGTAGATAGCGAGGCGATTGGCAGCGTGCAAACGTCATGCTTCGGGTACAGCAACCATGACGAGGCTGAAACCCTGGAAAACCAAACCACGTGTGTCAGCTCGTAACGGCACGAGAGGTTGAATGAGAGGACTTTCTGACTGGATGAAAACAGCGGAGAAATATTTCACCAATCGTGGTGGCTATATCTTTCGATTTCGTTCGAGCAAATGGATTCATTTCTACTGGGCGGGTTGGAATCTGGGGGCCTTAGACAGTAACCCCCAGCACCAGGCTCGCCCCTGATGGAACTCACGCAAATCTTACCGTCCTCCTCTCCGTGCCCACAAGACCATATCATGATTCGGGAATATCATAGACACATGGCCAAAAAGACCAGGATCTTAGCTGCCTGTCTTTGCCACTGGTACAATCGCAGATGCTATCCCATGCGTTATAGCTTCCACCAAGGACATGTTCTGCAAAGGATATGACACAATCCTTTCCGGAGCCATCCGCATGTAGCGCTGTCGCTCCCGGAACACGATCTTCACGTGTCCCACAGGACTCCGTAGCCCTTGAGATCTAGGCCTTGAGATGGACGTTGGCCAGTCAAAGATTTTTCTGTTGGGGCAGATGATTGGACACAGCATCATAAGCAGGATCTCGCGACGGACGAGTCCAGTTCGATGCCAGCATGCAACCACCTCGTTCGTTAAGTTGGAGTCCGCAGGCTCTCTTGCTCTCGAACTATTGCATCAAATCTCCCTTTCAGCAAGGCATATATGGCTTCAGTCAAGGGCATCTTGACCTCCCACTGTTGTCCGAGGCGAATGGCATTGCCGACAATTGCCTCGACCTCAAATAGTCTGCCTTGCTGAACATCCTGCAACATACTGACAGGTCTGCCGCCTCCAGTCTCGGATCTTCGTTTGGCGATGGCCATTTGCTTTTCTGCGACCTGTTCATCAACATTGGGAATACCTATTTTCTGAGCCAAGGAGATGATCTCCAGCATAATGGACCAGACAATACCATGAGCGTAGGAGGAAGTCAGCAGGAAATCTCCATCGTTACACATTGACAGAGCACAAACTGGACTCCATGCGCAGTTTAGCACCAGTTTCTGCCACCGGGCGATCTGAATATCTTCATGGACCTCGGCTTGCCCTCCACCAGAAATGACCAGATGGGCTAACCTGGAAGCGGCGGCCTTGTGAGACGCAGGCGCATTGGCCGGAAATGTCCCTATTTCCAGACGATTCAACATTTCCGGGTATTCGATGACACCCTTTGCGGTTTCAGTCGCTGGCATATAAACGGCACAGCTAAGGAGCGGGTTGTCCGGAAATGCCTGGGCGACTTCGTCCTCGATTGCAATTCCATTTTGAGCCAGCACAATGGCTGTTCCCGGCTTCACGACAGGTCGAATCAAGTCCGTCAGCAGTGGCTTTGAGCCTGGGAAGGATTTCCTCGCGACAAATATGAAGTCGTATACGGCATCCTTGGGGCATTCATCGGTAGTTCGAACGACGAGCTCGGGGCGAAATTGCACATTGCCGAATCTTTCGCTGAGAAGAGTGAAGCCGTTCTGTCTGACAGCCTCGTAATTCGAACGACAAACAGCGGCGACTCGGCATCCGGCTCGCTGGAATTGATAGAGGTGCACAGCACCGATGCTACCTGCTCCAAAGAGGAGGACGTTGGGAGCCATGTCAGGCATCTTCGGCCTCGGGTACAGAAGTTGTCCACATTGCTATGGAAGATGGAGGAATTCATCAAGGTAAGTCAAGCAACGAGGTGTCGGAGTTGACCGACTAAGCTTCGTGGCTGGTGCTTTGGTCGTACGAGCGCCACAGCGAGTAAGTTGTGGCTGCACACAATCATGTCCTCTACAACTCTACGCGGACATCAGCACTAGAAAGAGGCGTCTGACAGATACGGTCGGAGATATCATCTCCATGTCGTTGTTTTCACACTTCGATTTCTAATATGCAGGATACCATATACCACATCAGGTCAGTACAAGTGCCACAGTGGATGGCTCGGAATCCTCATGGGCGAGAAAAACGTGTCTCAAGGTATATCTATGGCCACAACGTGCCACGGTCTTACTAATTATGGGTGGGTATCGGGAATAAACAACCGTCAAGCCGAAGAGCGAAGAAGCGAGAAGTTCGAAACCTTTGTCTCAAACGTTCTTTGCAACTGCCAGCATAACCCACCAGCAATGCCTCAAAACGGCAAAAATGAGTGACCTTGATGAACATGAACCATATCTAACAGCCACCGACCGTGAATGTGTTGGAGGTGAGCGTTCAGGTCAGAAGGAGAGTTTCCCACGGCTTGCACGACGTGTTATAAGCTTCGAACATGGCTCCAACCCCACGATTCCTCAGATTCCACCATCTGCCGGACGCACATCGTCAACAAATCCAACGAATGACGTGCTCGGACAGCAGAGATTTTCCTCCGCAGCCACGGAACATTGGTTCAAAGCGCGACGCCGGTGCCGTATACCCGGACACTAAGACGATCAAGAGTGGTCAATCCACAACGTCAAGGCACAAATAATAACAGGTACGGAAGGGTCCAGAATTTTTCCTAATGGTGGCCATTTGTGTTTTCCCGAAGAGAGCGTAAATATCTACGTCACGACATCCTCCTTTTCATTTCAATGTTCACTCCAACTTCACAACCATCACCGCTCTTTTCGTCGGCCAAAACATGGACAGGATAGAACGAATTCTGTCGCGTCCGGTCGCTAAACCGTATCGAAGCAGCAAGATCGACCCCTCGGCTAAACCGCACCTCAACCAAGATGGCCATATTGACTTTGCTCCCGGTGACGTCGAAAATCCCAAGGAGTGGTCTGCCCGGCGACGATGGTATTGCACGATAGTCTCTGTCTTGCTTGTGGTCAACGCAACTTTCGCCTCGTCCAGTCCTTCAGGGTGTGTCGGGAGCATATCCAAACAATTCCACGTTTCCGAGGAAGCGGCTGGTCTGGTCGTCACGTTGTTCCTGCTGGGCTATTGTGCAGGACCGTTGGTCTTCGCGCCATTGTCCGAATTTTATGGCCGACGATATGTTTTCCTAGTCACCTTCACCTGCTACAACGCCTTCAACTTCCTCTGCGCGTTTGCGCCCAACTTCGCGTCTTTGCTCATTGGTCGTTTGTTGACCGGCACTTTTGCGAGCGCGCCCCTGACTAATGCACCTGGCGTGTTGGCTGATCTCTGGGGTCCTATTGAGCGAGGGAACGCCATGGCTGTCTTCTCAATGATGACCTTTGTGGGCCCATCGATGGGACCGGTCGTTTCCGGCTTCTTGGAACTCAAAGAGGATTGGAGATGGAACTTCTATGTCTTGCTCTGGCTGGGTGGCGTCACCGAGGTGTTGATGTTGACAATCCCCGAAACGCATCCCGGGACCGTCTTGATCAACAAAGCACGACGCATCCGGGGAACTCGAGTCGAAGAACATGCTCATCTCAAAGCCCCTTCCGAAGCACAAGGCCGGAGTCTGACGAGTATGTTCAAGATCGCCCTCGTCCGGCCGTGGCAGATCTTGTTCGATCCGATCTCGCTTCTCGTCGCCATTTACCTCTCGATTGTCTATCTGCTGCTTTACATGCTCTTCACAATCTACCCTATCGTTTTCCAACAAAAGCGGGGCTGGAACGCTGGGGTAGGAGAGCTACCGCTGATCGGTACCGCAGTGGGAGCTTGTATAGGTGGTGCTTTCGTTTTCGCCGTTTCCGCACGTGATAAGAAGAAGATGCTCGCCGGCGTCCCTCGAAGTCCCGAAGATCGCCTTCCCGTCGCCATGCTCGGCGGCATCCTTTTCGCGGTCACCATGTTCTGGTTCGCGTGGACTGGCGAGTTCAACAGCATCCACTGGTTCGTTCCAACCCTCGCCGGCACATTCCTCGCCGCGTCCATCCTGTTGATCTTCGTTGCGTATCTCAACTACCTCACCGACACTTACTTGATGTACACGGCGAGCGCCATGGCTGCGAACACCATTTGTCGATCAGCCTGTGGGGCTGCCGCGCCTCTCTTCACGCAGTACATGTTCGATGCCCTTGGTGTCGGTGGTGGGGGATCTCTTATCGGCGGTGTGGCCTGTCTTCTCGCGCCCATTCCTTTCATCTTCTACAAGTACGGCCATTCTATCCGGGAAAGAAGCAAATTTGCGCCTACGTCGCTTCCGAAACCGAATGATGAAGAGAAGCAGGATAACGATGTTCCGGTAGACACGGGGAGTCGAAGGTCGAGTACGACCGTCAGTGTCACTAGTAGCCAGTCGTCCCTGGAATCTGGACACGATGGTCCGATCGTCGAGAGACCCGAAGAGGAACATCCTAATGTCATTGCAGAGACTGAAGACAGGTCACATACAGTAGAGCCTTGACTGGAACACAAGAGCATCACTTACTCGTCGTTGGTTCCAACGAGCGGCCACACCTCCAGGCTATGAATCTGCTTCACAGGAACTATGCGTCCTTACCACCGTTACGATCTGAGACCAACTTGGCGTCCCCTCGGTCGAGCAACTGCATCTGATATGGTCGGACGCGACACGCGATTTCCAAGTGCATCCGGGACAGCCAACCCTTCCCGGGGAGTGAAAGGGCTTTCTTCTGGTGCTTGACCAGGCTCAATTTGGGGAAAAGAATAACATTGCCTTTGCTTGATGCTTGCTGTTTCACGAGCGATGGATTTTGGGTTGGCTCTTAGTCTTTCTAGTGACGCATGGCGATAATGAGGGCATACAAGCACTAAGGTTTCTTCAAGAATGTGTATCGACGGTGTAGACATAGCAAGCATCAAGCCTTGGGTCGGGCCTTTGAGTGTAAATATACTTTTTTTTCTACAGCTCGCCACTCCTTTGACGGGCTCAACTTCCCGTCCAGCTTGTTCGGTCATTTGTGTGAACGTCAGTATCCCACACGAGCTGAAGACGACGAAGAATATAAGTCGATTTAGCGGTGACAGCACAAATTTCCCACCGTAGCGAACAGGGAGGGCTACCTCGGAGTTCCTGCGACTGATGCGCAGTGTCTTGCTTGGTCAGAAGTCTTCATTTATCCTATTCCTTCAGCTCACTCTGTGCACTCTTCACCCCACTCAAGTCAGTCCCATTGCTGCACAGAATCGCCCAGCCTGTGAAGCCAAGTGCGAATGCCCAAAGAACTTTCATCAACGTTCGCCTAATGGGAATACCACTCTATGTACCAGGCGTTCTTCTAAAGCCGCCGAGTCATGACAAGTTTGCAAGGCAATCTAAGTCATGATGTATCTGCAGCACGATCCCTCCGTAAGTGGACTCCTCAGATTCCTCGCGCGTCTCCGGAAGAAGACAATTCAAAAGCAACCGAGACACTGCGTCAATCGTCGAGCCTTTCAGCTGTTTGACTACGTTCACCATCTCCACAATCGACCATGTCCTTGAGTGAAGCCGCGAATGTGGAGTATCCGCTTGATACAAGAGAACTTGCCATGCCTTCTCCGGTGATCCATCTTTGTCAAGGTTATGCTCGATCAATCGAGCTTGAGCCTGCATCAACTCGTTCCTCCGCTCTTTCGGTTCGCGAAGTGCAGTATCGCTACCTCCGAGGAGGATGTCAAAGATGAAGAGCAGTATCGACACAGACGAAGCTGACCTCATCAGTCTCCGCATTGGTGTCCGTTGATCGCCCGATGTCTGTGTCAACCGAAGCAACGTCCTCCTCAGAGAAGTGAATACTGCCTCGTGGATGAAACTACTGGGCTGTGAACCACAGGTGGCCGTCGAAAGTATCTGAATCTTCGTCAACCGATCCAAGAGCCGTGCGAAACAGGAATTAGAGGCAGTTGATCTTCTTTCCTTATGTGAAGAATATGTCGTTCTCATATCGATCGTTGAATAGCCGGGAAGAGTCGACGTACACCTACGCATATCAGCCCACATTTATCAAGCATTTGCAGCATGATCTTACCAAGCAAGCAATGACACTGTAACTGGCGAAAGACTTTTCAGGCCGCCGAGAAGGCTTATTGAGCGTTCCAACCCATCGATGTGGGTTTGAATGCCGCCAGGGACAACTTTCGGAAGCTGCCGACCCTGAGTGGGCTCTCTTTCGGGCCCATCATCGACCACATCCATGGTCAACACGGCTTCATACATCCAAAGGTTGACCATCGCTAAGATAATTTCCTCGGACAGCCCTGCGGGTGTATTGATCCGCTCTTTCAGCATTCGGATACCATTCAGCATGAGCCCGATAGTTTCTGAGGTCGGAGAGCGACGGCCCGAGTCCAGGTCTCGACTAAGACTTGATGTTGCGAGCAAAAATTGAGCTGGTAAAGGACGATTGAGGATGTGGCGGGCCACGGTGGTGGCAGGTGACGAGATGTTGCAGAATTGATTTGTTCCAGAGATGCGACGTATCACAACTCGAAATACTGACTATCGTCAGTGCAAAGTCGAGCAAATGATTCCAGGCACTCACGATAGTCCAGAAGCTCTTGATGTTTATGACGAACTTCTGACGAATTTGGCGATCTGCGCAGGTTGACGTTGTCGTTTGCTGGAGCGGACGAAGTGAGGAGCAATGAAGAACGACTTTCGAATGCCGTGCTTGCGCATGTTCTATGCGAATGTTGCGGCGAGGTAGCCGTGGAGATGGACTCGAAGGAAGACTCAGACGCGGCTCCGGTATCCTCTCCAAAGTCGTCGACGTGTTCTGAGGACCGCACCATATCCTCCCGTCGCAGCCACGGTAGGACGCGACTTTGTGATCTTGCGGCCAGCTGATTCTGGCGTCGGATGGAGTCCCTCTTGCGCAGAACTGTCCGATGGTTCAGTAACAGGTGCCGAAATCCTAAGTTGAGCTCTTACATTCTTTCATGACATGGCGACTCTTGCACGTGCCTGGTTGGCTGTCCCTAGATACAAAGAGATACTTTGGGACATACTCCGATTTGAAAGTCGGGTTTGATACAACACCCATTTTGCCTCCAGCGACAGGGGGACTTCGCAGTCAGAACCAGTGACAACCTTCTCAGATAATGCGTGTGCGCCTCGTAAATATGAGCGCAGAAATACTGAAAGCAAACACGCGGACGATAAAGAAGGGAGTCAAGACAAAAAGGCATCGAAGCCATACATAACTACGGCCCAGGGAGTCCCGTCATCGTTACGAGTCCCCTGACCTTCAACCCTGTAAGGCTATCAGACTGATGCTGCGCCAGTCGGACGACCTCGAGGCGATTGTGCGCTGCTGACCACACTCCTTTTCCCGTCAAGTCTCTTCTTCGATGCGCGTTCATTGAACAGAATCTGTTACCGAAAACGGTTTGCACGCTCAACGAATCATCGATCATTGCGCTTCGCGGCTGACGGGATGAGATGTGACACTGGAGATGCAGCTGAAGACCTGATCCGGGCAAGTCTCGACTAGTGCTTACAGACAGTGCTTTGGCCAAATGCATTCAACTTTAGGATAGGAAATCCGCAAGGTCTGACAAAGTCCGATGCCTATCACGTACCTACAGCGCTCGTCTTGATAGCCATACGGCCCCTCCAAACATGGTGCGGCGTTATGTTTTGCTGCTGCTGATGACCTACTTATCAATGCTGGGAGAACCAATGTTCTCCGCCATCGGGAAGCTTGCTGCTTCGTAAAGGAAAAGAGTGAGATAATGGGAGAAGAGTGTCCTGTGTCAGACAACACGAATTCCCGTGGACAACGCTTCGAAGCCGGACTGAACCTGTCCAAGCGAAGCGACGTTGCCCGCTTCGAGGCAATGGCCAAATTGGGCCAAGTCCTGACCTGTGGAACAATTCTACAAGCCCATGGTTGGTAGGAGAGGCCGCCCCCCAAAAAGCTCCTGCTAGGTATGGCTTAGCGTTAATGAACGTGGCTCAACGATTGAACCAACCACCCATGCCCCAACTCGGCACGAACATGCATCCTCTCCTCTTTTGCCGCTGCGATAGGACAACGGATGCATGTCGTTTCTACGGACTTATCATCTGACGACTCAATGTTTCTATTCTGCATCATCGATCTGATGCACATTTGTCTTTGCCTATTAGAGAATGGATGAACGGCGAGCGCCGGAACATATTAAGCGCGACTCTCCCAGTAAACGCACCAGAGGAGTGGTATCGCCAGAAGGAGACGATGCAAGTGAGGCGAGTGCCTCGAGCTCATCGCAAAAAGCCCGAAGGTTGGATCAGGAGGGTTCCAGGTCTCGAACAGATCCCGAGCAAGTGAATCGCTTCTTGTTTGTCGACTCTTCGTCAGCAGGGCAGAGACCACGTTCCGATCAGCGTGCAATCAATGCTCATATCCAACAAAATGCCTACAGAAATCGGCGGCAGGCCGCTCAGAGGCAGCGAGGCTCAGATGGCGCCAACATTGGACGATTTAGACGGGAACCTCAGTTACAACCACGACCGACAGAGCCACATCCGGTGGCGGAGCCTCAACGCGCACCCGTGCAGAGTGTTGAACGTGCAACACCTCCGTCGACGCCAGCCTCCTTCTCTCGTCACTCCTCAGTCTTCTCACCACCTGTACGTCTGGAACAGGGTCAGGTGGAACGATTGAGACATTATAGCAGTGTCCGAGCACCAGAAGTCCGTGAAGCCGTCAATGCTCAACGCGAAGATGAACAACGATCCGCGAGTGAAAGTCGTCGCAGTATCACCCCTGAAGATGATCCATTACTGGTTGAAAGCCCTTCTGTGAGATCGATGCTCACGCAAATTCTTCAACGACTGGACGCAGGTCACGCCGGGCATTCTCTTCCAGGGTCGCCCGGCTCAAGCTCAAGAAATATGGCCCTAGATCCATTCAATCTCAGCACGGTAACCGTCACTCCAGCTATGAATGCTGTCCTACGCCATTGTAAGTGAGATTTGCTGTGGCCTTCCAACCCCCTTCGGGTCGACTGACATATTCATGACAGTTTCGGATGTGATGATACCCAGTGTCTTCCCAACTCGACAGCAAGCAGAGATTCAGACTCGGTGGGCTTTTGGGAAAGCAGCCCAAGAACCGCTTGTGCTGTACTCGCTGTTAGCAATCTCATCAGCAGAACGCAGCGCTCGTTTAGGAGAATTGAGCAGTGGAGCACAAGAGACGACTTTTACAGAGGACGACTTATTGAATCGGCAAGCCCCAGATTTTGTTTCGTACAAAGTCAACGCTGTCAAGCTCGCAAATGAGACCATGAGGTCAATGGACACAGCAGCCAAAGCTTCCACCATCTTCGCCATGATGTGTCTGTTGTCCATAGAAGTATGATGCTATCTTCCCAAGAATGAGCATTGCTGATCTCTGTAGGTCATCACTGGCAACCAAAAAGAAATCTTTGATCATGTCAGTGGACTTCAAAAGTTGATTGCATGGCGCGGCGGATATCATGATATACCACCACATGCGGTCGAGCTTATACTGTCGTAAGGAGTCCCTTACATCCAGCATGGCCTATGATACTAATATCGTGAAACAGTACTTCCTATATGTGTGCCGCGATGACGAGAAGCTTGCCTACGCCTCCGCCTACATCTTCCTTGGCCCGCTTGCCGCAAAACCTGCTCGATGAGATAAAACGCAGTTTGAAGGAAGACACACAACAGATGGGTGCAGGCATCTTGAACCCTGAAGTTGACAACATTCTTTACTGGAAGATCTCACAAGCTTTCCGAGATATGACGGATGTGGTCCAATATCGGGAATATTACCACGAAAAACAACTGCAACCTCTCGAACGAGAGCTCGAATACATCAACGCGAAAAGTTACCAGTTCAGGTATGCGGTGCTCTCGGCCCCCTTTGAGCCACGACCGCCGACAAGCGACAAGGAGGAAGCCTGTCGACTTGCCTTGCTGATTTTTTGCTTCTGCAATTATCAAGTATCGCAGCCTGATTCCGCATTGAACCGAACATTGACCACTCAACTCAAGACGGCTTTACAGGCATCGGACCTGCGCGGACTGTGGCAACCACACCATGAACTCTTGACTTGGGTGCTACTGTTGGGTGCATTCCTGTCTGCTGGACAAAGAGAACGGCCATGGTTTGTCCTGAATCTTGCCAGAGTTTCAGGCGTGCTCGGATTGAAAGACTGGAGCGACGTTCGGTCCGTGCTGTTGAAGTACTTTTACCTCGATCGCATCTATGCACGAGGCATGCAAGCCAGTTGGGATGAGGCTGCATTGCTGGCGGAAACGATGGAAGAACTATGATAATATAATATCCTCTACCATTTCTGCTGGGAACACTACCAATCATCACACGCGGTCTCTTTCGCTCTCTTGCTGCGTAGGCCGACTTGATTGTAGTCCAGATTTAGTCTAGCAAAGCAAGGGGTAGGGATGGTCATCCCTGAAGACTGCCGGACATCTAGACTGCTTTGTTAGGCCGTTGAAGCATGCCCTCTTTTGCCATCTTCCGGGCGGGAGGGCCCGTCGGCGCTGTCATTTTTAAGCCTATTCGAATAGGGCACGGACTAGTCCACCACTTCATTTGTACGTGGTATATCTCAAGCTCAAGCCTAAGCCTCATCTTCACCGACATTTGTTGCCATACTCGACGCGCTCCACGATGGCACACTCAAGAGCCTACAGTAAGGACTACGTGATAGTAGCAGAGTTGCAGACTCCTGCTCAGGATGAGATGCCAGAGGTGTTCTGCCTCCCATCTCTCAATGGGCACAATCTTCATGAAATCACCGTCGATGAATTGCAGCATCTACTGTCATCCGGAGCCCTGACATCGGTACAGTACGTGCAATTCTGTCTGGACAGAGTGCAGAGGGTCAGATAAACTCTTCCGAGTCTTTCAAGGACAAACGATAACAGCATGACAGGTAAATCCATATCTCGAATGCGTCATTGAGACAAACCCAGATGCTCTCGAGCATGCCAATAGCTTGGATGAGGAACGAAAGGCAGGGAAGACCAGGGGGCCACTCCACGGAATTCCCGTCTTCGTCAAGGACGTAAGTATTGCCCTATACATCGACCGTGACGCTATCGAGGTCATTCGCTGAACTACGTAAGTAGAACATGGCTACGGCAGACAAGATGCAAACAACCGGAGGTTCCTGGGTACTGCTGGGTTGTGTCGTGCCCAAAGACGCGCATATAGTCCACCTCCTGCGCGAAGCCGGGGCGATCATCCTAGGCAAGACCAATCTCGACGAATGGGCCGGCATGAGAGGCAGTAATTACTCATTGGGATATTCTGCTCGTGGTGGACAGACCCGAAATCCGTACCTATTGAACCGTTCTGCGAGTAAGTATATGCTGTCCACGATTCGCTTGACTCATGCCATTGTTGACCCTTCTATCACAGACGGCAGCAGCTCCGGCAGTGCCGTTGCAGTATCTGCAAACATCGTGCCACTGGCGTTCGGCACCGAGACTGATTGCAGCGTCATCAGTCCAGGCATGGTGAATGGCGTGGTCGCCATCAAACCGACCGTCGGCCTGACTTCGCGTGGTGGTATTATTCCCATCTCGGAGACTCAAGACTCGATCGGTCCATACGGTCGATGTGTCGCCGATGCTGCGCGTGGGTTGGACGTGATTGCCGGTCCAGATCCCGAAGACAAGTTCTCAACAGTGCCCGAGAGGCGGCAACCAAAAAGCTATTGCGACTTTCTCACCGATCGGCATGCACTTAAGGGCGCCAGATTTGGTCTGCCCATGAAGCGGTTCTGGGATGTTGCGCCTTACCCGCAGAAGCACGTCGCGGAACAGGCACTGAAACTTATCAGACAGGCTGGAGCAGAAATCATCGCTGTCGATATGCCTTGTGCAGATGAGAGACTTGGTACAGATGGTGTCTGGGACTGGTCAGGCTGATGTTATTGCTCGCAAGTAGTGTTCCCTGCTAACACGTCGTCCAGGGAACGGTACGGAGAAGATCGTCCCGAGATCTCCGAGATCACCGTCAGCAAAGTCCAGACATACTATCTGATGAACGAGTATCTGGGCAAACTCAGAAACACCCCCATCAAGACCCTCGAGGACGTGGTTCGGTACAACGACGAAAACCGCGGGTCAGAGGGTGGTCACGCCGGGGATCTCCCTGCGTTTCCTGACGGACAGAAACTGTTCCGCAAATGCGTCGAGACGAAAGGCGTCAAGGACGAAACGTACTACGCGGCGCTCAAGCACATCCAGACGCAGTGTCGACAGAATGGGATTGATGCCGCGTTACGCATCCCGAGTGACCACCGGCGTGACGCCAATCGGGGTGAGTGTGAGCAGGAGCAAGAGGAAGTGGAAGACATGCTTGACGCCCTCCTCTTCTTCGACATCAAAGCCGGAGGAATCCAAATTGCCGCTCAGGCTGGATACCCTGTCATGACGATCCCGATCGGCCTGGACCCAGATGGGATGCCGCTGCCCTTGACATTGCAGCACACGGCGTGGCAGGAGGATAGGCTGATCAAGTGGGCGAGTGCGATTGAAGATCTGCTGCGTGTGCATAACCTCGATGACAAAGAGCAGTCATCACAGGCGCGAATGGGCAGAGTCCCGCCGACGTTCAAGAATCATTTGAGGAAGAATATCCCTATTGATCAGGACTATCAATGGCCTGGGCGGCATCGGGATTAGGGGAACTCGAGAGATTGTAGGTAGGAAGTGGTCGAGACCTTGCTGGGCAGGATATCTTTTTGGTCTCAGCCTCTATGGACTTCTGTGAACGGTGACAAGTCTCCCTCCGGGTTGAGATACCAAAGGTTCATGTTTTCGCCTTGATCACCACCTGACACTGCACCATTGCCCATGCTCATCAAGGCGACTCAGCCTTCACAGTCAAACCGCGGATGGTGATTTGTGACAGAGCTGTTGTCTCACAAAACCGGGATCATGACGATTTCCCTATTGACATGGGGTCGGGCTTTTAGCCATTGCTACGCGCAACGTTGTGTGCTTGTGCCAGGTGGTTGGTCATGGTAACCATTGCCGTCTTCGTTTCGCTGGAAAACATCCTTGCTTGCTCAGTCTGGCTCATTCAAGATCTATGGGACACAGCCATCTGCTTCGCAGTCAGGCTGAAAGATATGCCTCCTGGTATATGAACATTGAGAAGGGCCACAAGTGCTGTTTTCCGCCTTGCTCTTGACAGAGGACAATGCCGCTTCGACTTGCCATACTTCCGTACCAACATCCTGTGTTCGAGACTGCGTCATCTTTGATTGTGTTGTGCCGACGAGGTTCTGGAGATCCCTCGCTCCGGACGACATGGCTCGAGTATCGTCAGTAAGAGAAGTCCACGCAACAGCTGTCGTGTGTCATAGATCATGGAATATCTTGGTCGTCAGGTTACGTACAGGCGTGATGATTTGATGTTGAGACCGTCGTGTACAGTTGGTCGATCACGAAATCTCCCTACCATGGGCAACCACATCACGATAAACATCCTCGGGTAACTCTCTGACGATCAAGACCGTCATCTTGATAACCTCATCTGCATTTAGACTCGGAAAGCTTCGTAGTACCTTTGCAGGACTTGGTTCGTTTAGAAGCTGGTCTTTGAGCAGCAACAGCTGTGCCACTACGCAGATGACATTGAGGTGGACGCCAAACGCGAACAGGAAATCCCACAGCTTGAGGACTTCTGGAAGTGGTGGCGTACACGCACAAAGCGTCAATACAGAGGGAAAGGCGTATATCTTGGCTGGCAAGGATTTGCTGAGCAGGTAGGCAGAGAGAGTAGGATTGATGTAGGACAGGATGCGATCGATAAGGTCCAAGCCTCTGTGGACCCCGGACATGGTTGGAGAGAGGTACGTCGGAATGTGTTCGGTAAGGAGACATGTGAGAAGGGCGTAGGCTTGAGCCTCGGAGCGAGAGGCATATAACAGTGGTGCTGCCAGCACATTGACTCCCTGCAGGTAGGTCGATTGAGAGTATCTCTGTGCAAATGCAACTGGAGGATCGGAGGACTGTTCGTCGTGGATGCGCCAGGCCGTTGCGTTCAACAGCCTTGTTAGGCTGGCATCGGTCACACGCCGTTTGAACAAAGTGTCTGTCGCCAGTGTGCGGAAGACATCATTGGAAATCTTTTCGTATGCAGGACTTCGACTTCGATGAATGTAACTCAGGTAAGTGTCTGTCGGCATGGGAGCAACGTTCAAGAAGGTTGACCACAGATAAATCCTGAAATCTGACATGCCTTCTTTTGTCGCTGTGACACCACTGGTCAATATCGAATGCCGCAGTAGCGACAGGGCTGTGGCTGGAGTTGTGCCTGGAGGAGGTCCATCTCTTAGAGTCATTTCCAGGCTGGATTTGCGAGCATGAGTGGCTATGTGGTTTGAGGAAGGAGAGGTGACGCCTGACTTGCGAGAGTTGCGTGGAACGAAAGGTTGAGGAGCATCGCTATTGGCACGGGCTCGAGAGGAGTTGGTGGCAGTGGTATATGAGGCGGCGGTAGACGAGATTGATGGAAGCTGAGGGAGCTGCTCGCGTGACGGTCTCATGGGAAGTGTTGGTCGTGGCCTTAGGTTTGAGGATTGGGTGCCCATATTTCCAGTGGAGGTCAATTGACTGTGAGATGCTAACCTGCGCAGGCTGCGCGGCTTCTCATTAGAAGTGGTGTGTGAGGCAGGATACTTTTCAGGTGAAGGCAATCCGATGGAGAATGGGTCCGAAGCTGCGAGTTTGCGGGGTGAAACCGATTTCGTGGTCATGATGAGACCCAGGTAGGTATGTTTACGGAGTAAAGAGACAGGGAAGAGGCGAAGACGCGAAGAGAGGCGTGGTTAGGAGAGTGAGGGGTGACAATGTGACCTTGAAATATTTGTGGAAATAGCAATCCTCAAACTTCCCTGCACCCATCTTTGAGAAGTACGAACGTGATGGAGTGTAGAAAATCCCACCACCATCGAACCGAATCCTATGTACAGCCTCGCTTATAAGCGACTTCAATGCAGAGTAGCCTGGAGAATGGCCCTCGATAAGCTCCAGAATGGGGTTGACTCCAATACCCGCAGCGTTGATCACTTGAAAACTTCCACACCGCCCATCCTCCAACTTGACAGACATGCAGGACTTCCATCTTCGTCGAACATAACCACTTGATTCACAGTTGTCCCTCTAGTTCACGTCATCTTGCGGAAGTCATGATACTCCGCATATGACACTGTGGAGAGGAACAAAATTCGAGATTTGGTGACAGGTGAACCTAAAGTTACACAAGATGGCTGGACGTCGTCCCTCCGAGACAGCCGCTCTACTCAACGAGCATGGAATTGACGACTTTAGGAAGTCCGTGGCTCAGGCCGAGGAGAGAAACTATGGTACCGCTGGAGTAGATGAGGAGATACCCTCGAGCAAAGATCCAAACCTCGAAACGACATGGAAAATCGAAACGGGCTTCGTCGCTCGATACTCGGGGCCACTGATATTGACCTACTTCCTTCAATATTCCTTTTCCCTTGTTACTGTCTTTGTGGCTGGGCGACTAGGCACCAAGGAGCTGGGCGCAGCCTCACTTGCTACCATGACTGCTAATATCACCGGACTTTGCATATACGAAGGGTTGGCAACGAGTCTTGACACACTCACCTCCCAGGCCTTCGGAAATGGCAAAAAGCAGCAGGTGGGACTGCACGTACAACGTATGTGCTTGCTGGTTTGCGTGGTCACCATTCCTATCGGCGCTGTTTGGATCTGCTCACCTTGGATTCTGGCAGCTCTGGTTCCCGAAAAGGACGAGGCACATCTGGCGGGCATGTTCATGCGAATCTATCTGCTCGGTGCGCCTGGTTGGGCGATATTCGAGGCAGGGAAGCGACTTTGTCAGGCGCAGGGTGACTTCACAGCATCACTTGTGGTCATTGTAATTTGCGCACCGTTGAACATCCTCTGGAATTGGCTGCTTGTCTTCCGCCTCAACCTAGGCTTTGCTGGTGCAGCTTGGGCTGTTGTGATTTCGAACAACCTACAACCAGTTGTTCTAGCCATCTACGTCGCTGTTTTTGCGAGATCAAATTTGCAGTGTTGGCCAGGACTACAGCTACGACGCGCCTGCGCAAACTGGGGCCCCATGGTCAAGTTAGCCTTGCCTGGTGTGCTGATGACATTCTCAGAATGGCTTGCATTTGACGTCCTCTCCATTGCTGCTGGCCATCTCGGCCCAACCGAGCTTGCTGCTCAATCAGTCCTGATGACCGTCGCCGTTACCATCTACCACGTTCCATTTCCCACGTCGATCGCAGCCTCGACACGATTTGGGAATCTGATCGGGCATGGCGCGTTAAATGCTGCCAGAATAGCATGGAAGACGCATTACATCATCTTTGTCTGCATTGGACTTTTTGACGTTGTTCTTTTGACCTCTTGTCGCCATGTCATTGCGGCCATATTTACCACTGACGATGCTGTACGTGCTGTTATCGCCACAGTCATCCCAATCATGGCAGCGGCACAGCTATTCGACGCCCTAGTGGCCATTTCCAATGGTCTGCTGCGTGGGTTAGGGAGACAGAAAATAGGGGGATGGGTGAACCTGGGCGTATACTACCTGTTTGCTCTGCCCTTGTCGTTTTTTCTGACTTTTGGGCCGGCCCAGATGGGACTGAGCGGTTTGTGGATTGGTCCTTGTGCCGGGCTCGGCTGTGCTTCCCTGACGATGACACTCTATATGCGATTCACCAATTGGGAAAAGGCGGTGGAAGATGCAAGGGCTAGAGAAGAGTAAGGGATGGTCAATCGAGCGATGCGCTTATCTCTGGCCTACGAAAAGATTCTGCGGCTGGCTATCAGCGGTTGAGACGCATATGAGGCGGAGTGTTATCAACCGAGCATAAAAAGCTAACCTGGGAACTGGTTTGCGCACGACCATCTTACAGCAGAACCCCTACCAGAGCTTATTCGACAAGCATAACGATGTCATCTTCGCTGCCAGACAAGGCCGGCAAAGTTGCGTTGGATGCAGGGCGCGTTCTTTGTTATTCCGGAGCCAGCCGCACACAACCGAGATTAACCGCAGTATGACCTTGATCTCTACTACTTTTATCAGCGCACTCGACGCGGATTCAATTCCTGGCATGGACAGGCCCGTGCCCACTACAAACATCAATATCTCTCAATCCGTTTCCGTGCCCATCCATTTGCCAATCATGAACGTCTACACAGTACCCCTCTGCAGGGTGTTGGACGATTACCTACTTTAGTATATATCTTGCCCTGTGCACTCTCTTCCAGCACCAGTTGATTCCCATCAAACCTCCAACACTGTATCCTGTCTTTACGGGCTGTCTAACCCAAAACCTCCTGAAGACTTCGACGATGACTTCTCAAATTGATCTTGCCGAGTACCTCTTCCGCAGGATCCGTCAACTCGGGGTCAAGGCTGTCCATGGCGTCCCTGGAGACTTCAATCTGACAGCACTCGATTATATAAAACCAGCTGGTCTCGACTGGGTAGGGAATGCCAACGAGTTGAATGCTGGATATGCCGCAGATGGCTACGCAAGGATCCGAGGAGTCTCTGCCCTCGTCACCACCGGCGGCGTCGGAGAGCTTTCAACCATCAACGCCGTGGCAGGCGCCTACGCTGAAATGGCTCCGCTAATTCACGTTGTCGGAACACCCAGTACGCATATCCAGGACGGGCGCCTATGCATGCACCATACCCTGGGAGACGGAAACTTCAGGTTTTGTTCAGAGATGGCAGCCAAGGTCACTGTAGCACAAGCCAACCTGATCGACACGAATACTGCAGCTGCACAGATTGACAGGTGTCTGAAGGCCTGTGTAATGGAGAGCCGCCCTGTCTACATAGAATTGCCGACCAACATGGTCAAGGCGAAAGTATCCTCGGAAGGTTTAGAGAACCCTCTTGATCTTTCGATTCCAACCGATGAAGGATTCGAAGATACCGAGGTAGACCTCATCCTCAGCAAGCTCTACTCATCCAAACAACCTTTCATCGTGGTTGATGGGTTCACATCAAGGTACGGCATCAGTCAGGAAGCAGACGAGCTGGTTAGAGAAACACGGTTTCCGACATCGACCACTCCATTCGGCAAGGGCATCGTGAATGAGTCCTACTCCAACTTTTACGGCATGTATGCAGGCACGGCTGGGAGCCAAGTCTACATGCCTTGGGCTCGTGGCTGCGATCTGGTACTCAGATTGGGACCTTTGAACAGCGATGTCAACACATTCGGCTTCAGCACAATTCCTGATCCCAAGACCACTATAACCTTTGAGCGTGACAGCGTTGAGATCTGCGGCACCAAGTATCAGAATCTCCACATCAAGTCGCTGTTACGAAGAGTTCTATCCAAGCTGGATAAGAGCAAGCTTCCGAAATACCAGCCTTCAATGGATCTTGGTGATCCAAGAGAGCAACTAAAGGCACTAACTCCGGCGGAGGACAAAGATATCATTGAGCATGATACCTTCTGGCGACGGATGTCGAACTTCTTTCGTTCTGGCGATATCATCTTGACAGAGACAGGCACACCCTCTCTTGGTGGACGTGACTTTGTCCTCCCACCACATACTTTCCTCGTCAACTCTTCCATCTGGTTGTCGATTGGTTACATGCTCGGTGCTTGTCAAGGAGTAGCGCTGGCTCAACGCGAGATGATTGAAGAAGGTGTGCGCCCTCCAGGACGTACTATCCTCTTCGAAGGCGATGGCAGCTTGCAAATGACGGCTCAAGCCTTCTCGGACATCATCCGAAACCGACTGGACGTGATCATCTTTGTGATCAACAACAATGGCTACACAATCGAGAGATGGATCCATGGCATGAGAGCCGACTATAACGACGTTCAGCCATGGAGATATCTCGAGACAGCCAAGTATTTTGGTGCTCCAGAGAATGACCCCGCATACCCCGTACAATCTCGGCGCGCTGAGAATTGGGGAGAGCTCAAGGCCATCATGGCAGATCCGGAGATCCAAAAGGGCAAAGGCTTCTCCCTGATCGAGGTCATTATGCCCCAGGAGGACGCGCCAGACGTCCTGAAGAAACTGGTCCAGGGCGTCGCAAGAAGAAGCAGTGGAGAGTCAGACACTGAGCAGCCCAGCAATAAGCGACAGAAGCGAGACCAGCAAAGCCGACACGTGGACGAGAAGGCCATGAGGATTTCTGGCTGATGAGAGACGTGTCCCGGAGTCTAGACATGATTTATTGACGGTTAAGGAAGTCGTTCCTCCACCGGTGATGCATTACTCGCATGGCGCTAAGGACGTGGTGGCTGTTTGAACCAGGGATGAGCATTTCGGAGGCATGATATACTTTTGACGGATCCCTTGAAATGTTGCTTGTTGGCTGCCGGAAGGCTTTTTGGATGTGATCAGGATACAGGATGATTTGATTTGATTAGATTAGACAAGCGTTTCAGCTACTCTTTCATCAGACTCATGGAATGCCCTTCTAGAAGCAAGTGGTGATTGGTCTCGCTGCTCAAGATCAATCTGTACAAGCATTTCCGTCCGGAACATTTGAACCTTCTCCCGTTGTTGGAAGGGAAGGCGACGTCGATAAAGACAGGACCATTGTACAAGAACGAAGGTTTTTGTCATTACAAACCACCTGTTGCCGTGCTGCAGTGGCTACCGTGGCTACCTAGGTACTTCGTCAGATTTGCTCCTTGTCTTTCTCTTTCGATTTAATCTACCTGGTACCTCCTTCCCATCCATCACACCATCATCATCTTTGTATCAAGGACACTTCTCTCTATGCTTCTCTACGTAACCTTCCACCGGTCGCGTAATCTGTGCGACTTCAATCACGTCAAGACCGAAATCAAAGTCCAGAATTGACTCCAGGCCGTGTACATGAAACACACATTTCGGTCAAGGTTTGACAGGTCCAAAACGAGATCTCACTCAAGATGGCTTTAAAGTCCACAGTGGCGTCGACAACCGAGCTGAACTTCATGGAGATGCCGTATCTTCGGCACCCGGCTGCCCCCATGCGGCATCCGCTTGGCATAGAGGCGTGTGCCATCCAAAGCTGAGCTCAGATTTTGCTGGGAGATCAAACATGGGATTTCTAATTCTGGCGGCGAATCTTTCCCTTCAACTCAGTTGGCAATAGACATCGACCAGATGACCTCGCAGCAAGCCACGCCGGACAGTCGTCCCATTCATTCGCTCGCCATCCACTGTTCCTGTCGTACAAGGTTGCTTCTCGCCTACTTCTTTCCTCTCAACTATGTCAGCCAGCCGCCATTTTGCATTTTTGGTTTCGCTTATCTAGCGAAGGATGGCCCGATTCTGGCCTGATTTCGGCATGGAAGACGAGGCTCAGAATCTGGATCAGTCCACGTTTATTGAGCCTGGTTGTCTTGTCATTGGTGAAATGGTAACATGTCTCGTGTAGAGATGCTGATGTGCGCCTTGGTCCATGCGACGCACATACTCTGTGAGTCTGATTATAACCATCCTTCTCGCCCCCAAGGTCGGAAAGATAGGATGGCCTTGTCACATCCTTGCTTGTTACTACCCTGTTTTGAATATTCTGGGAAAGCTCTTTGAGCCACTTGCACTTGAGTACCTGTCTCTCGCAGTGAGCATGATTGGAGGCAATATCGACATTCTTGCAAGTCGCGTGTTGGAGTCGATACGAAGCCATTGTCTGTCCCTGCTGAGCGTGAGTCTCGGTTGTTGCATCGTTGTCGCCATCTGGCTGTCCTCTAGAACACGCGGTTACAACTCTGAGAGGCACGTATCTGTAACGGCCATGAGCATACCAGATCTACTCGCGGATGCGAAGGATTGTCCTCCAGCATGCTTGGATACCGTCTCGGCCATGGAAGCCGGCCGACTACCACCTTTGACCAGCGGATATCTCGCCGCCCAGGCTGACATGAAGGCTTTTCATGACACGACTGATGGACACGACCAACGATTCTCCAAAGGGGGCGCACCAGCAGTAATGGGGCCTCCAACATCAGAGGCGCAAACAAGCAGCACCCCCGACGATCAACAAGTCCCTTGGCGAAGGCATTCATATCCCTCGGCACAGAAGCAGGATGGACTGTTGCACGATACCTCCAAGCAGGACGAAACTCAATATCTATTAGACGAGCGCGACGGCGATGTCATTTGGCGGCGACGGACGCTCGTTTTCGAGGGCAAGACTTAGCTGCTGCGTCCTTGCTTGTATCAACATTTTCCCACGACGACCGCCAACTATCGAAGGCAGTCAACCATAGCTTCACATTTGATTCAGGATATCAGTCAGAGTACCGGCCTCGGATGCTACCCTTTCATACAGCGCTCGGTCTAGCGCAACGGCACTCAAAGATCTCAGTGCTGCGGCCGCCCTGGTATGAAGCTGGCAGGGATACTGCACACGATTTCTACTGCTTTCGGACGTTGTAGTTCCTCTGATTGGGTCGAGTTTATTGTCGCGCATTATATGCAGACCGGGCCGGGCGACGGCAACACACGCCCGATAAGTGGGACGGCTAGCAGGATGCGCAAGGTTGGAGACGACGATCCGGAGGTCGAACATACTTTCGATGTGCCTGCTGCGCTAGGCTATTTCTGCAGCTCGTAAAGCAGGTAAACTCAATGACCGGCATACTCGACGACAGTCTAGCAGCAAGGCTCTTTGCGGGCACAGTATATCGATACGAGGAGAGGATCTGGCGATGGGTTGTTTAGACATACGATCTCATAGAAGCCACATTGGGTGACTGACGGGATGTTATGGCTTGTATGGAGTTTGTGTTAAGTCTTCGTATCTCATTTTGCCCATGCCTCGTATACCTGTAGCATAGATTCTCAACGAGGCACTACGAGGCCTGAGCGCCGATGCATGTTCCATGACGAGTGGCAAATGGTTGATGGCAAAAGGCTTATCGTGAGGTATTGTATTCATATATACCTAATTCGAGCCCAATTGCAGTGTGCGATTTGCACCACCCATGCAAGGGCTAAGCACTGAGACTCCCAACAAAGTAGTGTCGGTTCGTGAAGGTCAGAAGACCGAGAGGATTCAGATCGGGCTGCAACGATCCTATCGTCCAAACCCGAACCATCCCTTCTTCTGCTTCTGTGGCTCCTCTTGATTCTGCTTTTGCCATTCCTCTGCCTTTCCATTGACACTGACGTCGGCATCCTTCTTCTGCGACGGATACACAATGTAATTCCAGGCCAAATCGAAGAAGAGCGGCTTGACGGGCACGGGACGCAGCTTGGGCGGATAATTGACGAGATTGGTTAAATCGACGTTCTCGATGTATTCGTTGCGGTTTAGCCGCTCGATCAATGGAGCTTGTACTGCGTTCGGCGCCTGTGTTGTCTTCTGTGGTTGTGATCCAGTAAGGGCTTTCAGATCAGCCAGGGCGCGATACTGGGTAACGAGCTTGGTCAACGTCGATGTTGCGCGTGTAAGATCTTCGGATGAGACATCGAGTTTTGGCGGGTGTGCGGCATCAGCACTGGCGGACGAGCCTTCGGATAATGTGGAGGACGCGGTTTGAACGAGGTCAAGGGCGCGCGCGTACAGACCTAATGCGTTTGTGATGTGGTCGTTGATCGCATGCGAGCGTCCGATGGCCAGACACTTCAGGGCGCGAAAGTATGCTCGTTTTGCGTCGAGTTCGGCAACGAAATCCGTGTCCGCAATGACTCCGGGTAGTTCTTTGACGGCATCGAGACTCTGCAGTATCGAGTCGTACAGGGCGACTCTCTCGCGGAATCGGGCGATCTTGCGGCCCACACTTTCCTCCTTGACTGCGCGAGGTTTGCCGTCCTTGCGGGGTTTGAGTGGTTGTCTTGGTTTTTCCGACTGGAAGAGCAGTCCATCGTCGCGACCACAGAGCACTCTATTCCGGCCAATGCGCCATTCGATGACGGCGAAGTTCACGGCTGTGCGGGTGATCTGGAGGGACTGCATGCGAGCGTCACCTGGATCGACGCCTTCTGAGGCCAGCTCGTCAATGGCGGTCTTTGTAGCGTCCGCGGCGTCTTGGCTGGCTGTAATCACCTCCTCGTATGCGGTTGCGAGGTCCTTGTCACTTAGTGACCCTTGCTGGAAAGACTCGAACGCTGTGGCCAACTCATCTTCCTTTTCTTTGGACGAGCCCAGGGCTTGGGAGATGTTGGCATCTTCCAGCTTTACTTTCCGACTTCTCCAGGAGATTGTGGAAGGGACCTCTTTAGGGCCAGAGCTAGTGGCAGCAGCATCGGTGCTCTGTACAAATGCTTGTGGGTCGACTTGTTCCACCTCTTTCCGCAGAGCTGCTTCGGAGCTGGGAAAGTGTTCAATGGCTATCTCATTGATGGCTTTTGTGCGTGGCATCTTGAGTTGATATGCGGCGTATCTGATGCTGGGCTCAACAATGCCAGACAATAGTTCCTTGTAGACCTCGCTTTTGGACGTTCGTGCCAAAGCAGTGTACACAATGTGGGCGACGGAGTAATTCTCCACGCAAGGTTGCCATCGTCCTTTTTCGAAGTCGAGACTTCCTCGCAACATGAAACGATATGCTCGAGCCTCCAAGTCGTCTACCTCTGTAGCACCCGTCGTATTGCGGTCTCGTAAGATAGTGACGAGGTTATCGGCATAGGCGATGGCTCTCCTCAATCTGGAAGCGATTTGACGTTTGGTGGAACCCGGCATGGGCTTCTGTGTATTTTCTGCCGATTGTGCAGATTTCATAGCCATGGCACTGGCCCAGGCTCGCTCGGAGCTGGCAAGGAGGAGTTGCACCCATCTGCAGCCGCATTAGTATATATCCTTGTGCTTGATAGGAGCGTTCCCTACTCTGCATTCTTCGCGACGCTATCTGCAGTCACCGGAGCTTTTGGTGTATATTTACGGCCACGATTGGCAGCGCCCAGACGCTTGCGCAGGTTGTGAATTTTGCGGGATGCTTGAGAATGGTAGGTATCATAATCCCCTCCCAGCAAGGCTCTGTCTCGTTCAGAGACTATAGAGCTCGTAATATTCATGGCCGCTGATATGGGTGGAGCTGTGTCCGTGGTGGTGTTCTCAGAGAAAGTGCGCTGTTCGTTTGTTCGGCGGAGGGGTTCGTCGACAGTAATTGTGTGTTCGGAGCTGCAGGCGACCAGGATGTCGGGGTTCTACCACAGTAAAGGCCGATGGAGAGATATGGAGACATGGAAATCCATCACGACAATATTTTGCCTGCGATCCGATCAGTTGACACTTACATTTCCACAGACTCTCTCTTCCTCTCCTCACCATTGCCACAATTCCGAGTCCCCTTCCTGTATAACAATTGTCGCCAGTCGTTAACGGATTCGTTATAAAAATCTGAGTCTCGTTGACCCACGCCGTCCACCTCAAACCACCCGATTCTTGAGCAACAAAAAAGTCGCATGACCCTGGTACCTTCCTCCTACGACTCGCCTCCCTCCATCCCAGCCGTTGCAACACTCGACAACTCCATCGTGGCATGCTAGAGCGTGCTCCATCATGTCTTGAGCCTGCATCTCAACTCTTTCTCCGAGGAATCGAGCCTCCCCTGCGCACACATCGTGTCCTTGGCCCGTCATTCTGGAGGAATGGAGGCAATGAACTTGCCGTGCCATCGTGGTGGCCCTTGTATCTCGCCAAAGTCCGAGGATCATCGCAGGACCCCAGACTCGGACGTCGGCCGGAGGGGCATGGGACGCTTCCGGTAGCAGAGCAAGCGGAAAGATGTCGTCTTGTCCGTCCTCAGGCTTCAGAGCATGATTTCCCTACCTGCCAGCCTTATACAAGAGTCCTGAGACAGTATACAAGTCAAGCAAGACAAGAAAAGATAGGAGCTGGAGATAATGCTCATAATGTCGAAGTCACGTTTCCCGCGTCGACGTCAGCATCTACTAAAGCATACGATACTTGGAGTACGCCACAGCATGCAGTCAGCGAGCCTCCAGGCCGGCCTTCAGAGAGAACCGATATCGATATTGAAGAACATCTACGAAGTCTGCTAGCTAGGCACAAGGTCGAAAAGGCGACTCAAGAGTCTGATGGCGGTGACCACGCCGATGCGGTTTGGGCATTGTTCATCCAGCTTTCGAACCAGGAAACTTATGCAAGCTCAGTCTTCCACTTCCTTGCTGGTTCCTATGCTTCGAGGCGGTCCAAGCAGACAATGTGGGCGTTTGAGACCATTCCTGTGTCCCAGCGATCAGCGGCCGATTATGATGCTGCGGTTCGGGTAGCGCTCAAGATGGACGACTTCCGTCTCTGTCTCTCAATCAACACCGAGGCAACAGCACGCAAGCTTAATGCCCAGTGTAGCTCGTTCCTTCTTTTGCATTTCACCTCCAACAGGCTGTGGGGCAACGCCGTCAAGGTCTGGGCCACGTCCTTCCAGCCGCTGGCCACGTCCTCCCATCCGCTGGCTACGGGCATAGGGCTGTTTTCTCAGGCACTTGCACGATCACTCCGGTCGCAGGGTGACAACTACAAAGAGCTGCCACAGGCAATAAACCAGCTCGCAATGCAGATCTTGACGAGATCTCCCATTATTATGCGTATTTCCGGCACGCTTGCACTCATTGGCCGTGAGCTTCTGACCGTGATCCTGAGGAGCGGTAAGCTCATGAGCTCGATTACACCCACAGGACTGCTCAGTATCCTCAACAAATACAAAGCATTGCAATTACTAAGACCGACCATGTATCTGGATGCCGTTGACACCCTGCTCAAATTGGCGAAACGATCAGACAAGAGTGGGCTTGGTACAATGCTATATCGCCATTTGCGACTCACATTCCCAGACTTCAGGCCATCTCGTGCCCTTTTGGGCGCTCTCCTTTCGATTCACGCTGCTGAGGCTGCTCCTCGGGAGGCATACACCTTCTATTTGCGCGAATTCGCTTCCAGTCATGGTGTCGCAGATGAAAAGTCGTATCAATCTGTTTTGTCCGCACTTTCTACGCAGGGGGATGTCGTGGGAGTCAAAAGTGTGTTCGAGCAGCTGTGTCAGGCACACTCGCTGCCGAAAACGCTTGACTATTACAACCCACTCATTTACGTCCATGCTCGCCTTGGCGACGCTGAAGGTGCTCAACGCCAATTTGAGAAATTGCCGGAGTGGGGCATGGTCGCGGATACATATTCGTGGAACATCCTCATCTACGCCCATGCTAGATCTACCAGACCCGAAGGGGCATTCAAGGTGTATGAGAAGATGAAAGCAGCAGGTGTCCGTCCGGACAAGTACACCTTTGGAACCTTGATGAGTATGAGCTCCAGTGTTGGTGATACCGATGCAGTCCTCAGCGTCATCGATCAGGCACAACAATCTCAAGTCGAAGGGTCCTATGAAATGATGTCTGGATTGATCCAATCATATCTGCGGAACAATCAAGCCGATACCGCGGAACGACTCGCAGAAGCAACCTCACAGGCGAAATTTCAAGGCAGTCCTGTGAAGATGTGGAATTACCTGTTGAGGCATTATGCTTTTCGAAAGGACTCTGACGCTGTCCTTCGAGTTCAGCAGCGTATGCACGACTTGGGTATACAGCCGGATGATATGACCTACGCCGCCTTGATGACGGCACTCGTCGTCATTGGCAAGACCAAGGATGCTATGCGAATCCTGAGAAGGTTGAATCTGAATCAGACACTGGTAGCTACGCCTTTTCACTATGCTATAGTCTTACATGGCTACGCTTTGGAAAGGAATCGTGACATGGGTAGCGTTGTCTATCAAGAAATGGCAGAGCGGTTTCCCGACATAGGAGCTAGCCCTCAGTTGGCCATGCTTCACTTACAAAGTCGTCGCAGTCTCAAATCGAACGGGGCGCCGGCCTCCGTCACCGCCGATTGGCTTGCCCAAATACTGTTCTCCATTACGGCAGCAGATCGTGCCACTAAACAGCCGCAGCCTGGTTTCCGACGGCGTGGAGCTCTACATTCGGTGCCTTCCATATACCTTGAACATCTCGTCAACATCGTGCTCTCCAAAGGTCGCGTCGCCCTGGCATCCACGCTTATCCGAAGGTATGAATCCCTTACCGGAACGTCGTTCCTGCATCTGGATTCCACAGCTCTGGAATCGCTTCAATGGCTGGCAGTTCGTATGCGAATGGCATCACTGACTGCTGATTGGAAAGCTGTGGATGACGTCTGGAGACGGATACTCCAGCAGGCAATGCACATTGCGACACCTTTGTCAGCCAAGTTAGCAAAGCAGCACGATGCAACTAAGGTGATTCAGCATACGAACCTCGACAATGGCAAGGTGGAGGATTTGTCAGCTCCACGATTGCCTTCGATCGGAATAGAGCTGCCCTTCACTGAACCCGACTTCCGTTTCGACTCCATGATAAAGCAGTCGCCGAGTCAGGGTTCGCTGCTTGATCGACCTAACATGAAGATCCTTCCTGCGCAAAGATTTGTCCTTGCCCCGGTCATCAATCAATATCTAAGGGCCTTGGATCTTCAACAGCTCCACGCGAATGCTATTGAGCTCATTCCCCAGCTCGAACGTGCGGGATTCATGTTAACTAGCAGGAACTGGAACTTCTACATACAGACGCTGACAAGGTCGAGCGAGCGAATTCACTGGGTCGAGGCCTTCCGCATCTTCGAAGAGAAGATGTTGCCCAATACTCCATCCTGGCGTGTTCTCCGTCGTGGTAGATGGCAATCGTCCGATGCCGAGGAGGGGACTAAGACTTTCCGTCGCAGCGATGTCGAGAAGACCGATCCGGAATTGCTTGTGCCAACCTATACGACCGCCCTCCATCTTGCATTCGTCTTGAAGAAAAGCGTTCCGATGGCGCTTCGCGAGAATCGGACTTTTGTTGCAAGGATCGCGAAGGTGGCACGGGGTACGTACCGCTTTGTTCGGGCGATCCCTCGTATCAAGGACCGCATGCAAGGTGTTCTTCTGCGTGAGAGGTATGTGATCGGGGATTTTCCAAAGCGGCCCCGTAATTACCCAAACCCCGATCGCTCTGGAGTGCTGGGTAGCCGCTCTCCGCTTGACCATATCACTCCAGATGAAATCGAGAGCGTGGATGGCATTGTCCACGGTAAATCAATGGCCACCAACAAGCACAATCAGGACCCTTCCGCTATGAGGAGAAGGACTGACGACATGAAGCAAATCGAACACCTCGAGGGGCAGATCGACCGGTCACCCGTGATGGTTGAGAAATATAACCGTCTGGAGGACGACAACGAAGTTCAGAGACGAGTGCAAAGAGAAGAAGGCAGTCTCTTCAAAAGAATAGACTTAATGCGCCGTGACCAACACCGCCCACGTACAGTGAGCGACGAATGGTTTGGGCACCCTGGAGCTCGATCTGAAGCGAACATAGCCCGGCCAGCAAGAAAGCTTCGCTCGGGGGCGCTGTACGACCCCAACTTTGTCGATCTAGAGCGGGAGGCTTTGGCTCAGAGACAGCTGCACGAAAGATTGGATTCTTCGTTACAGAAGAGGGCTCACCGAAAGGAAGGCGCACGAGTCATTCCCGAAATATTTCGAAAGGTTCAAGGCACTGTGCGAGACGAAACTCTTTCGAACATCGCGCGTCGACTTAAAGACACGCCTCGGTCATCTGCGAACCCACTTGAGGATCCAGCCTATCTTCCTGAGAAACTTCTGCAGGTCAATAAGCTGCGAGAATCTGACCCGATTGTGAAGGAAGATCGCAAACAGGCTGTCAAGCGCCGAGTGGAAGACTCGTATCGCAATGCTCAATCGAGGGCGAGCAAGGACAAGGACACGACCGATCGGACGTCACCTGGAGAGCGCCGAACATGATTGCGAGCCTTTCTATGTGGCCGGGAGCTCTCTGTTGTGTCTCTGCCGGAGTGTGGTCTGCCACATAAGGAGACGTCGGACACAAACAGCTATACAATATCGATGCCGTTGTTACCCTGTAGATAGACGAGATAGATGTGTATATTTGTACAATGATTACATATGATGAGCAGTGCATACTTTTTAGCAAAAGACGACATCGTTATAGTCTCTTTTTCTTCTTATAGATTGTAGTCATTGAGAAACTATCTGACACTCATCGAGAAAATGTTCCTGTATCGAAACAATTCCTAGTCTGAGCCTTCGGGAGGGCCAATATATCATCTGGTACACTGCCTCATTCAGATCATTGCCTTTCGTTCTATTTTTCTCAATGTCCTCGGAGAGATGTTGGATGTGCTGTTCTTGACATGAAGATGCTTGAGGCTGGCATGTACATGTGACGGCGACGATGCTGCGATCCTTGTGTGTGAATGCGTAGTAGTACTGGTGCCGTGGTGAGTATGGTCGTCCACGGGTGGTTCTGAGGTTGCAATTGTGGTTGGAACTGCGCCAAGAGCCGTAATTGTTGCTGCCAAGGTAGTAATAGTGGTGGTCGTTGTCGTTGGTTGTGTTGTCGTGGGTACTTGCCGGATCGTGATCTCAGGAAGAATAGGTGCGGTAGTGGTGGTTGTGACGCAGATGGGAACTGAAGAGACCGATGCCGCGAGGATGGAGAGGACAATGGTGAAAAGGTGAAGGGGTGTCATTCTGGTCTTTGGCGGATATTGATAGGGATACCCAAGCTGTTGCAAATGTGCTTGTGTCGCCGTGCGAATATACAAATGTAGATTGAGAAGGACTGAAATCTTACTGGAGAATGGAAGGACTCGCGGCTGGCTAGCAGAGAGGTCGAGATGGCGATCAGAGTTGTCTTATATCTTGCGCTCATTACATTCTGCACTCAGCGTGAGTGCAGATCGCTGAGTCCAGATACTTGTTGCCATCTCAGGAATGGCATTTCGCACGCGATGGATAGGTCGCGGCCAGGTATCGCTTGACTCGATACTGTGGTACAAGCGCAAGCGAAAAAGGCCGCTTGACGGCCTTATATCCAATCAAGGATCGGACGTCGCGAGAGTTCCGCAGCAAACGCGCTGGACCTGAGTCCACGATGTTGCCCATGCGCGCGCATGTTTTGAAGAGTGTTGCTTCGCGTATGTCATGGTGAACGACAACGAGCTCTGCATCTGAATCGAAGTGTCCTCGGGGTTGCCCCATCATTGGCACACCGTACGCGTGCTTGGTTGCACAAAGTGTTTGAAACCGTCTTGAAACACCAGGGGGTATGAGTACAGCACGTGATGAGGCTGAGGTCTTGAACATCTTCGTGGCATTTCAGTGCAACTCGACTTCACTGCGAGTAAACGCCGGTGTGGGAGCCTGGCAGCCGGGAATATTTGCGGCAAGAGGTCGATTATGCTTCATTGCCGTAGCTTCCGAACCTGCTTCAGTAGTATGTCGTGCCACCTCTTCCATAGTCACCCTGAGTACCCGGAAATGCGCCTACCGGCTCTCCATCTCCATCCTCTTCGTCCGTGCTGGCACCCAAGGGTTGCTCATCATCAGGCGGTGCTCTCATCGCAGCAAGCTCGGGCTCTTCCAGCGTTGTCGGTCTCCATTTGTCGTCCATTGGCATATTCATGCCACTCGGTAACATAGCCAGTAGAGGCTTCCACTCTGGCACGAGATGTACGTTGATAGTGTCGTTTTCCTTGGTCATCCTCTCGTTTAGATACTCCACTATTCGGGCCTCTTCCAGCTTGCCGCCATCGAGGCCCCAATTGGTACTGCCCTTTTCAATCTTCTTGTCCTCCCTTCTCTCGTTCCAGGAGGACTTCAGTTTGCCCAGGCCAGACGACTTTGCACCGTCCTTCTTGACCTCAATGCCCAGTTCATTCAATGCCGCCCTGAGCCAGGCGATACCCTTCCCCGTAGACCCTGCCGCATCTTCGTCTAAAGCTTGAAATCTGCAAGCCTTGGCTCTTGATGCTCTCCGGACACCATCACAATAGTCCAAAAGATCTTTCGATATTTTGTTGCTCTCGATTTTCAGTGCGACGGTAGCAGCAGCGGCATGTTCGGCAGCCCCCATGCACAGTCGGGTCATTACCTGAGCCCGAACTTTGGGGATTTTAGGGGCGCGGATCATCCATTCCTTGTCGTCTTTGTTTCGAGACTGAACGAGTAAAGCTGGGTACGGGTCGTCCTTCAGGATGCAAAGCAGATTGAACTCGGCATGAGACAGATGCTGGAGGGCTAGTTGCACAGGTGACGAGATATCGACTGCTGCAGCAGGAAAAGAAGGGGGGCCGTCACTCGAGGAGTTTGTCCTCAGGAGAAGGTAAGAATGTATCGAGTGAGCCGTCTTCAGGGACTTTGATGCATTTTGTATCAGCGTCGCGCGTTGTTCGGCAGTCGAACTAGCTGAGGCGTAAAGAGCCAAAAGAGACTGTCTGGCAAGGAGATTCTGGACCAAAGCCAAGGTGTGATGGACATAGGAGATTTCGTAGTCGAGCCCTCTGCCCTTGACTCGCTCAGCGTCACGCCCTGGAATGGAGGCCGAGCTGAGATTGGGACGCCATTCGATCTCGGGCTCTTTGACCAGGGCAACGTGGACCTCCTCGCCTGCCACAGGCTTTCCAGATAATGCGAGATCAAGACTTAGGAGGTAGCGTAAGTAGGCCTGAATGGTCGATGCGAGCGACTGAAGGTTGTTTGCCTGGTCCGACGGAGACAGTCTCTTGTGACTCTTCAAAGCCGCACGTAGAATTGCACGTTGAGATGTTGCTGACGAAGGAAGAGAAGGATGAGTAGATGAAGGGTAAATGGATTGAAAGGAGATATTTGAGGTGGTGGAAAGCACAAACGGGAAAGGCATGTTTTCTTCGCCTCCTCTTTGGACCTTGCAACGACAGTCGACGAAAGCTATCGTCTCACCTCATGAACCGTGGGGGATTAGGTCAAGATATACATTCTGGATTCCTGTATGAAGGAAGTACAACTCTGGCAATGTCTCTTCGCCTGCGAATGGAAAACAAGCATTGCCGCCTTGGCATGACTCTTGGACATCATCTTCTGGCCATCTGCATTTCTTCAGATGACAAACCAGTCTTACGATATATATACGATATATAGCAGAAGGGCCCTGTTAGGACGCGCTGCCATCTTCAAACAAAGTATGACTGCAACATGGGTCCAAACCTACAGCGGCAGTGGTACTGACTATGTGCACCGGAGTGTCGGCTCCAGAGGCTCTTCCTCCAGCCTTTCGTCCTTTTGATATACGGGATCTTCGAAGCAGAGGCAGGTGTGCCTACTGTCTTCATTGCCATCTAAAGCCATAGCTTCAAACGACATTGGCCGGAAGCAAGAGAAACAGCGATTGCATCGCGCAAGATGGTGGAAGCTTCTCCTGATGCTGACACTTCAGTTTAGACCTTTCTCCCTATTCCTACGCCTGGCGTCTGCAACCCATCGAGATGCCCCAGTTGACCGAGACACTATAGTCTGTCGACTTTTAGTCGCGTTGGTGAGGGCCAAAGACTAACAAATACTTCGGTAGGTATGTCAGTTGGCACGCGAGCCCCTGTACCTGATTTGACAGCTGTCACATTCTTCAGTTCCGCAATGAGGAACTCCGACCTACTATTTGGTACTTGACAGCGCTGTCACCGTTCAACACGATAGAGTCGCACGCGTCAAAGCTCTACCCCTTGACCATCGGTGTAGTCACGTCCAACAGTCAAAAAGGTACATTTTGTCCACTGAAGCTCGAATTTTCATAATGAAATCGGTTGGCACCACCGCTATAATACCTCTCCTGCCTTGGTTGAAGAGCCGTGTGTTGAAGCGAATCCGCCAACCCAAACCATGACAAACCACGTCTTGTCCCTTGACGGACTCCGAGGCATCGCGTGCCTCGTCGTCTTCAATTACTACTGGGTATTCGAACATGGCTTCGGTAGCCGAACCAAAGACATGGCCATAGGAGTCAATCTATGGTGGGAAATGCCATGGATCAGCTGGATGTACGCCGGGAAGTCCATGATCTACGTCTTCTTTGTCATCTCGGGATACGTCCTGTCCCATAAACCATTGACGCAAATCCACCAGAACAATGGCGCCACAGCAGCAACGGCATACCCGACCATAGCATCATCTGTGTTCCGGCGGGGAATCAGGCTGTTTGTACCTACCATGATCGATACATTCATCACAGCACTCCTGGTCCGAACTCCGATCTACGACTCATCTATCCGCACATTCTTGGACGCCAAGATGAGAAAGTCCTTCCTCGACATCTGGATAGGTCCCAAGAGACCGGAAACCACCTTCTGGCAGGAGATGTGGGTCGCACTCAAGACGTGCTGGGGCTACATGGACAGTGCCATGATCCCGTGGAGCGATAGCAACATCGACGTGCGAGCATACGACGACGTGCACTGGACGATCCCAGTCGAGTTCAAGTGCAGCATGTTACTGTTCATATTGCTTCTTAGCACAGCCAGTCTGCGCACGAGAGCTCGCCTCGTCATCCACTGTCTAGCAGCGCTGTATGCCTTCACGAACGACCGCCAGGCACTGTTTTGCTTCTTCGCCGGCATGATTTTGGCAGAAACAGACGTGATGACAAGACTGGCCGAGACAGCGCGCTCGACGACGGAAGATGAAGAATCTCTGCTGCTCTCGGCGGACCTGGAAGCTGCAGACCAAGACTTCACTGAAACGGAAAAGGAATATCTGACAAGCGCGGGCAGGAAGGGCAAACCTCGTTGGCAAAGACCACGTCGCGCAGGGCTGTTCTTCCCTCAGAATCTGTGTCCGCCAGCAGGACTGTTCTGTGTGCGGTCCGGTTCAGCGATGGCCTGGATCATCGCCCTTGTCGTCGGCTTGTACCTCAACGTCGCATCCGTGAAGCCGCTTGCACAACCCTCCTTTGGGTATGCCACGGTCGTCACCAGGATTGTGGCATCCCTTTGCGGGAACAGCGATCCCATCGAGGCCACGCGAAGTATCGGCGCCGTGCTGATCACCTGGACGGTGGCCAATAGTTCTGAGTCATGCGTCGGTGCGTTGTTTTCAAACAGGCTTGTGCAATGGCTGGGCAAGATCTCCTTTGGCATCTACCTGACGCAGCTGGACGTGATTCGGATATTGGGGCTCACGATCATCCCAGTACTTTACCGAGTCGGTGCTGGAGTCAGCTCCCTGCCTAACCCATACGAAGCAATGGAAGGAGGCGGCCTTTCACAAGGGCAGATCTTCAGGATTGTCATTCTCGGCTGGGCTGCTTCTCTACCTTTTGTCTTGATGTGTGGCTACTCATTCTGGTATCTGGTTGACCGGCGGGTGGTAAAATTGTCGAAGTATGTCGAGCAGAAACTCAGGCAGCCCAAAGTTTCGAGGGGGCGGTGATAGCAACGACGCCATGTACATATCTTACTTTTGGAGCTCGGATTAAAGTCGGGAAATCTGAGCACGATAACTGTTGTTCTTGTCTTGTTTGTTCGCGTTCGTGGTCCTGACGAGGCTAGCCTGAGCCTTATGGCGTGATCAGTCCACAACCCGGCTATTCATTCTCCCATCCTTCTCCAACGTGGCCAGGAACTTCGATATTCGCGTTCCCTTTCTATCCTCCGGCATGCAACGAGGCAGATAACCGGCGAGGGGCCATTTGTGTGTTGATATGTTCCGGGACAATGTCGTGCTTCCGAACCAGGATGTCACCTTCAATAAGCAATCCCGTATCTGTGTGATGCTCTGATTGGCCCCACCTCCTCCTCTTGAGGCTCGTTAGGTCCCGATCCTCTTACTGGAGCCTCCCCCTGGTGCGATTTGACACGACATCGACGGCCATTGTTCAAGTGCCGATGCACTGTCTCCCCGGATGAGGACATCTATATTCGTCGCCGCATTGGGTAATTTTCGCCTCATTCTCGAACATAGGTGGTGCCTCTTCCAGGTCGTTTTTTACCCCACTTGCAACGATGCGCGTCTCTTGCCTGGCTTACCTGATCCCACACGGTGATGTGGTGACTACCGCGCTATGATCCTTGCCTGTTCAGTGAGACTCCTCACATCGGCGGGGTTCAAGTCGGTTATAAGGTGCTGGGACCGCAGCTTCGAAGGCTGAGGTATCTCCCTCGACCTGCTTACCCTGAATAGTTGTTCTCACGTCTCTTCTCCGTATACAAAATCCAATCGATCTATATTCCCAAGTTCAAAATGGTTTCCCTCCACCCAATCGTCGACAAGGGCCTGCAAAAGGGTGACCCAAACTTCCAAGGTGGCACCTTGAAATGCCTCTGCAGCAGCAACCCCGTCGAGATCAAACTCAAGGGCAACGTTCTGCACCAGCATCTTTGTGGATGTAGCCAGTGCTGGCGTCCCAAGGGAGCCTTGTTCTCACAGGTTGCTGTCATCCCCGATGGCAACGTTGAGGTGACCAAGAACAAGGACAAGCTCGAGATTGTGGACAAGAACGCAACCATCCTGCGCTATGCATGCAAGGACTGCGGGGCTCACCTGTATGGGCCGATTGAGAAGGACCATGCGTTCAAGGGTCTCTCCTTCGTAAGTTGTTCCTCGTGTATTGCTAGCCTGATGTTGGGACTTCTTGTGTTGAGAGACATCCATTGAACCTCTTCACGGATGACAAGCCCGTCACTTGAGGTGGTACAATCTTTGTGGTTCCTAGCTCTCTACACAACCTTGCTTGCTATTATGGTTTGGACGCATGCTGACACGAAGTCTGAAGGTTCACACCGACCTCTCCGACGACAAGGGTTGGCAAGAGCCCCAATTCGCCGCGTTCGTGAGCAGCCTCACTGAGCAGGGCTACCCGCCCGAGAAAATGGGCGAGGTGCGAGAGAAGATCAAGGAGCTTGGTATTGAACCATATGATGCGCTGTCACCGCCGCTGATGGATGCATTGGCAAACTTCGAAGCTGAGAAGTCGGGAAACAAAAGAAAGTTGTGATCGAAGCACCAAGAAATGAAACACATGTCTTGAAAGCAGTGTTTGACAGAGTGAGGCCACATCCCATGGCTCAAGGAGAGTGATGTTGTAGGAGTGCGATTGTCTCTTGTTAGAATCAGAGAATAAAAGTTGCATCGAAGTGGGCATTTTGAGGACCTTAAGATGCATTCGATATGTGACGAAGACGACTAATCAATGGCGGATTACTTATCCGTCATGCCACACATGATGCTACGTCTGGACAGTAGAGCGCAGGTCTTCATGAAGCAGTGTAGCAGATGGGTATTTGATTCAGCAGTTCATGTGATCAGTCGAATAAATATTGGTATTCCATCTGCACTCCCAGACTTCGTCGCCAGTCGTCCAGATAATATGTACATTTCTTCCCTTGAAACTCCTTGAATGATGTCCTCGTCTTAGTAAAGCGTGTTGCCTCCTTGACCAGTGGTGTTACCAGCCCGGTAATCGGAACCTTTCGCTCCTTTGGCTTCCTGTGCTGAAGGGTAGTCGGTATGAATGGCTGGACCACCCGCAGGACCATCGACGCCTGGAAGGTAGTTCTGTTGTCGCCCACGGTAACCTTTCTCTTTGTTCGATTTTAATAGCTGCAGGTATCGTTCTGCATCGTGTCAGTAAGAGCTAGTCTTGCAGCATCTTGGTTTTCGTTCAACCGCAAAGTCGTACCTCTGTATTTGCCGCACTTTTCAAGGTGGTTGACGCCCTCCCGTAGATAGCACTTTCCTATAGCTCAATAGTCAGCCTTTTCCCTTTCGATTGCACAAGACATTGGTGCGCGCTGAAGGTGGACGACGCCATGGTGCATGGTATACAATGCCCGATGACTGAGCCATCTTCAGATCGCACTTTCCGCCTCTACAATGCAGAACGACATCACTCTTCGGCTCAACGTACCCATCTCTTCGCCCACTAATCTTTGCATCATCTGGCCCACCCATTGTTCTCGTACAATCGCATCTCTGGCATCCGCAACAGCCTGATTGTCGGAGAAGTCGACACCTTCAAACGTGGGTGGTACTTTTGGTTTCTTGGCCAAGAAGAGCTCTGACTCGGGAGTAGGCATCTTGTTCGACTGTGAAGTGAGAGAGAGGGTGGCTGTGAGTGTAAGGCGAAGGTGATGTCGTTGGCTCGGACTCGATGATGGGGGTCGAGTTGCAGTCAGGCCGCTTCCTCCACCAACCGCTGCTTTCAATGCAGTGGACTCTTGAATTCAAGCGACAAGGGTCGAAAGCGCTTCTCCGAGTAGACTGGAGCAGAGTTCTTCAGAACTTGTGCTCTACAACCTGCAATGACCTCGTGCAGGTTCAATGAACTTGGAAGCCGAGCTTCTTGCAGGCCAAGACTGATGTCCGTTTTAGGTTTAGTGTTATTGCTGACAATCTACGAGGACAACAGCCTCTCTTCCATCGAAGTTCCATCAACGAAGTCCCATGAATGAGATGTTGCAAATAAGCATCGTCTATAGGCCTTGATGTCCTATTTTCAATGTTCATGGCGTGTCAAGTGGCGATGATGCAAGGTGAAGTCACCGCGAACAATGAAAGCTGAAAGCGGAACGGCTGCTTCGTTGCGCCATCGCTTATGCATCAGCTAACTCTGCAGCGTCTCCAACGCTACGTCTGACTGACAATATTCTCTTCGGCAGCCAGAGCCAGGAATGAAAGCCTCGTCGGCGGCCTCTCAATTTCCTCCACATGACTTGATGGAGCTACATCCCTTGGTGATAAAAAGCTTGACCCAGCCTGATCCCATCCCACCGCACCTCGAAATCCATCGACGACTTTCCTGACTTCGCTCGACCTCGACAATACGCTGAGTCTATTGTTGGACTCTTTGATCTCTGGTAGCGGCGGCTCCATCATCATGGCCAACGTTGTCGATGCGCGGAGAAGTCTCCTTCTACCGTCTGAACCGCGCTCATTCCTCTCTGCAGATTTAGTGAGTATTCTGCCCTCGATGTCGTCTCCAATATGTGCTGTGAAGAGGTCGACCCGTGCGTCGCGCTCGTCTTTGCACGCCGGACACAGTTTGTCAATGCCAAACGTGTGGAGTGGGTGGTTGAATCTGTCTGTACAGGTAGGCGGCGTGGCAAGGCCTGCTGCGGAAGCTAGACTAGGGCACCGCGACCTCGCGACTGGCTTGCTGGAGTAAGAGACGTGCCCACATCCAAGAAAGAAGTAGGTATTGTAGTAACACATGGTTTCGAAGGAAGAGTGGTTGGTTGCGTGTGATCGGTATGTTGAAGAGGTGATTCCGAGCAGCCAAGACCAAGCGTGTCTATATCAGCGGCTATTACAAGACAAGAAACACAAACAGACGAGACTCGAAGTGACATGTGGTGAGTCAACTTCGGCTGCGTTTCCATGAGGTTATTGAAGGGTTGTTCTTTGTCTTCGTTCTGCACCCATACGGACGGGTTCAGTCACAATCGTGGATCCAGCGAACAAAGACCATTGACATGGAATGAACCATACGATTGTCACCCCCACTGGATGTTGCCGAATGCAAGGTTGACCGTGCACAGTTCATGTGGTAGATGCTTGATGCTTTGCGGGCTTTGGGGTGCGTGATCGAGCGGCACAGGAAGCGCATCAACAGATTCCAGGCTCCATTGGTTCTCGGAAAGATATGAACGTGGTGCATGGTTGGGGACCTGCGAAGCTTCTCCTCTGATAGCTCGATTCCTGTCCAGTAGTCATACTACCCAGCTAAGCTCGAGCCATGTGCAATATGACGGCTATACCAAAATTCCCCACACTGTGCGCCTCGCTCTGCTCCGAACCATGGATCTGTATCTGCATCTGCATTGCGTGGAGAATTGTCTTCGACGCTGTGACCTGTGGTCATTCATTCCTCCGGCGCAAGAACCACCTTTGGCCGGTCCGACTCCTCGATACTCTCACGCCCACCACCCAAGGCACTCGCAACGTCCGCCTTCTTCCCCGTCCAGTCCTCCTTCTCCTCCTCCTCGATTTCCTTGCCCGTCCGCTCCCCTCGTTTGTGCAATTCCGCTTCATGCTCGGCTCCTTGTCTGTCCAGATCCGAGGTAAGACTGGCCTCTCCTGCGTGTCCACCGCCACCATCTCCTTGAACTGCCTTCGCGACATCTCCCTCGCCCGGCATGCGCATCTGCTCGCCGTCAAGCTCGCTGTTGGGATTGTAGTGTTCTGCGTCGGACTCGGGTATCAGCTTCTCCGTCAAGGGTCCACGCTCCCCTGCGGCCATGGCGGTGGGCTCGGCGGCGTCGCCGTGCTGTGAAGGTACATCGCCCTCCTTGCGGTGGTCGATTATCTTGTCATTTTCTCCAGAAGTGTCTTTGCTGGTGGCTTCTTCCGTGGAGGTCTTGGAGGCAGGGTTCTCAGCCTGGTTCAGGCCCGTTTGTTGTGTAGGTTGTGAGGGTGCGCTTGGGTCAAGGGCCGACATGGTGGCGACGTTGTGTAAGTGCTGTCTTAGAGGCTTGGCTCTGCTTTTTAACCGGAGACCAGACAGGTCGGTCCACGCACGCTTTGAAGAGAGTCGCACAGAACTCTGTTTGCTTGGGCTGCGGAGATCAGCTAGGAGAGTGGCGTGAATGCTCTTTCGTATTGCAGCTCAATGTTACAAAGTAGAGAACTGCCTAGGTATTCAAACAAAGGTTAGGTCACTCTATTGTCAGGCTAAAATTCACAGCAGTGAGGGAGCAGGTAGTGAAAGTCTGAGGAGTGACAGCGTTGATAGCTGCTGTAAATCGGCGAACTATAATTCGATCAATGCGGTCACTGACACTTTTTGATAGTCTCCAGCGAAGGGCTGGCTCAATGACGTAATTCATTCATCGTATAGAGCAACTTTGCCGAAAAAGCCCTTGGCGGCCTTGTGAAAGTCCAAAGAGGCAACATAGCCGAGGAGGTATAAGGGAGATAGATCTATTCATTAAACCAAACCAAAACCAAACACCTTCGGGTCGTAGAGAAATAAATATATACATTTGCAAGACCTGGCGGCGTCCTGCCTTGTCGCGTCGGCAAATGTCTCGACATCATGGCAAATGACCTGGGTTTGTCCAGTCAAGACAACATGAGTGTTTTCACCACCTGTTTGCTCAGGCACTCTCCTCATGAAAGACAGACGACAACCCTCCCGACCGCGCGACAATGATGTCGTGCGACGACATAAGCGACGACATCATCATGAAGTCGTCGGCTTGGCTGGAGACTCGGCGCCCACACCTGGCTTCAACTTCGTCTCGCTCGGAATCCTGCTCTTGTCGAATTGAGATTATTTGAACTCAAGCACTTGACATTTCTCTCTCGGCTGCTCAGATCCCTTGATACAGACAGGCAACACCGGCTTGAACCTCAGAAACCGATCACGATGGCTCATGCTAATCCCGCTCAATTTGGGTCAGTATTTCCTAGTCGCTCCATCTCCTGCTGAATCTGACTGACCTGTTACTTCATATCAGAGCTCAACTAGCAACGCTCAACAATCTCCAGACGGAATTTGACTTGCTATCGCAAGCGCTTGAGGGGCACCTGAGACTCGCCAAACGGATCAGAGGTGATCATCCGGTGTTCAAGGTGACCAAAATTCCTGAAAAGGTCAGTTTCCTTTCGTCTTAACATCAAATGGCAACTTACCATTTCTTCTTCACAGATCTACAAGAAAGACCAGAGGACCCAGGACAACGATGTACTTCTCTCAAAGCTTCCTGCCGATCTCGCCGCTCTCGTCTGGAAAAATCTCCCAACAGACGCCGATCGAGTTACGCTGGCACTGACTTGCAAGGCTCACGCCGAAACATACGAGTACTTGAAGATGAAGAAGGTCAACATCATGGTCAACAACGTGGAGAAGAGTGTCATGTTTCTCCCCCGTCCGATTCGTTTCGCGTACAACCATCGCCTCCAGGTGCTTGTTCGGCTTCCAACATGGTTCCCAGCCAACTACCAACTCTGCTACAAGTGCAACCAATACATTGACAATACTCACCCATCCAGCCAGGGCACTTGGGAAGGGGACGCAAGAGAAGTGAGGAATTTCCAAGCCGACCGACAAGCTACGATCGTTGGTCCACGTTGCCGACTCTGCCAGATCGCCGACAACCTCAATCTGGTCAAGGAGACCCCCGAGGCGAAAGAGTACGAGCGAAAGGCCAAACTCGTCAAACAGACTTTCTAGATTGGACAAGATGAAAAAGCAACACGCTTGATCTGGTGATGTTGAAAGACAAGATCTGAGGCCCAGAAGCGCAGGCATGGTCGCAAGTAACGCAGTCCGTAGAGACTACTCAAGTATTGAGACTTGAATGCAACATATTGTTGAAACACTCTTCAGTAGCTTTCTCTTTCGTGTGGTTTCAAGATTTCTTCGTCGTCCGCGTCCGATCCAATTTATCAACGAACGGCCGGTAAGGAGCAGCAATTACGTGAGGCTGTGGTATATCTGGACCATCATGGTGGTGATCGGCATAACCCGGATAATGTTGTTGTACTTCGTGCATCCGATCAAGGGGCTCTCCAACAACATGATACTTTGCCCATTCCACAGGCGGACACCGGGTCACGTCCTGCGCGCTTGGGAATGCGCCAAAGTTGGATGCATGACCTCCACTGCTTTCATCTATTGAGTCTTCCAGATCATCGACTGCTACACCGCCTTTTGAAGAGTGAGTCAATTTTCCATCCTCAAGATCCTTGACGAATTGCTCGGGATTCTCCAGTGCCGCCTTTTTCATCTTGTCGAGGTCTCGCATATCTTGCAACGCACGTTGACGCTGGATCTGCAAGATTGACAAAGCTGCTCTCAGCGCTATGGCATCGGAATTGTCATCCAAACTGACAGGTAAGGAGACGGGCTCTTCGTCCATCCACTGTGGCAAGTCTATCTGGTGGCCATCTTGGGGTGGGAGACTGGCTTGAGAGAGTGTTGGAGTTACCGGCGAATACGAAGGTCGCTCTGGACTACCACTGGACTCATGTTTGAGTGTGCTGACATTTCTGTTCTGCTGTTGTTCCTTTTCACTACCATCACCAGGCATGATCAACCTCAAACGAACGGTTGTGTGTTGATCGGCAGCATGTGGCGGAGTCGTGGTCGTTGACCGCATCAAAGAATGATCTGCTCTCTTTCAAGTCCCCAAGGGTTCCCACACAGGTACTTCGTATCCCAGGCCTTGTCGACAAGGATAAGGGAAGAGTTAGGCTGAAAAGGCGTTGGGAAGAGTGGGGACAGGGAAAGATTCGGCGTTACTGATGTACTTTTTCGTCCTACAGAGTGTTGCCCAAGCCATGCGAGCAGACAAGACTAGCGTGCAACGTTCCAGACGATTGCAAACACTTGGTAATGTTTGTTTGTGTATAGTCTGTGAGGACGATGGTGGGCGTGGACGAGAAGTGAAGAGTGTTGGAAGGCAAAAGGGAAACAGGCTGCCGGCCCATGATGATTGGTAAGAACGGGCCAAGAAGAAGAGGCAAAGCCGACGGAAGCTCTTTCCGCCAGCCTAGAGCCTTCTCCATCTCCATCTCCATCTCCATTTCCTTCGTCTCCTTCATGCATCAACAGCAATAACTCTATGACTTTGGACGACAAACTATCTTATTTCCCTTGAAAGAGTGGCAAGATGGCATGTCTATTGCTACGATCTTTGCATCGCCCTGGTGCTACAACATACTCTGGTGTCTTCCACGTGCTGTGCTTCTCTCAGCCACGTGGCAAGCGAGGTTCTCCATAAGGACCCCTACAGTTCACGAGCCTGTCCCTGAGAAAGGATGTGCCAGCCAAGCCTTTCTGTGCTGTCAAACATATGATGCTAACCAAATCAATTGGAGTGTTTGAATTGCGCAGTTGTGCTGATTGAAGCAGTTCGCCTGGGTACAGGAGAGACGCCCACCATGTGTCAAACGATAGCCAGCCTGAAGGTCGAGAGCCTGGCGATCTAGTCCGATTTACAAAGCCAATGGTCGCCTATGCAAGCCAAGGACAATTTCCAGAACTCAACAGTGCAACAGGAGTCAACATTTCATGTCACAGGCTGAGTCTGCGAACGGCAGACGCCTTTCCATTCGCGTTGAAGAAAAAAAAGGACAAACTGCCATTTATCGCTCCAACAGGAAGGTGACGCTTTGCAAAAAGAGGAGACTGTGTGTAGCACGCAAGAGAGTTCAAGGCCAGTGTGGAGAAACACGAGGCCGCAAGAGTGAGATCCCTGATCGAAGCACGTTTTGATGCACGTTGTGACGGGGATACTTTTACGTGAAAAGTATGATCCTGGAACATGGCAAACAGACGACTCGGTTTCTTCCCGACAGCTTCAAGGAGACAGACGTTCATTCGTCTGCCATCCGCATCTCTTCTCCTTGCTGGCTGATGTCTTGACTCTTGTGATACGAAATTCCTGGCAAAACGGCTTTCTGTCAGGGAATACTTGACTTTACTCAGCCTCCAAAATCTCAACTTGACGGAAGGAGCCGCTCCACGTACCTGTCAAAAACCCTTCGATCGAAGATCCAAACGCCACAAATGCCGTGTGAACCCTTTTTTCCCTTGTTGTTCAACGTTCTGTGACCTTCCAAATAAATACCTCCATTCCAGTTTCTCTGTTTTTCATTTTTGACTGCAGATCAAGTTGCTTTTGCTGGTGTATTCCATTTGACATGTCTCTTCCATATCAAAAGTACCAAAGTATCACGTACAAGTACATCATCCCAGTCACGATCCCCGCCTCGCGTAAATAAGCGAGGGAGAAACCCCAGTTCTCGTCATTGTCCCTAAGCGAAGGCATTTGCCACGAAGTGTCAGAAGGCCAACCTTCGGTCGCAATTACTTTCCCAGTCGCACAGTCTCCATTGGGTTGCGACAATCCATTCCCACCTCGTTGGCAGTTCCCTTACCTTGCAATGTCTCCCTGACGACACGCTTTCGAGTCTCTGAATCCAGTCCTCCCGTTGCCAGAGATGCCACCGAATGCTACAAACGTACAGCCGCCGAGTGCTCAGGCTGGACGTGTACCCAATTTGACCTATCGAAATGCCAGTCCTGAAAAGGACCCAGGACCACTGCGCGATATCTCGAACCTGAACGACGACCCGGTATCAGACAACCACAAAGGCAAAGGGAAGGAACCAGACGTAAAAGAAGATGCTGCCGAGGGACAAGGAAAACCTCGACTCACGATCAAACAATTGCGGGAGGCGGCTCAAAATGCCGTTCAAACTCAACAAGAACAAGAAGAACAACCAACATCACCGCAGCCACAGCAGAGGAAACGATCTTCAATATTCGGTTCACTCTTCCAGGTCAAAGAACCTACACAAGTGGCTTTGAACCAGGTCGCTGCACAGATGAAAGCCCAGCATGGCTCGACCAATCCCACCAAGGTTCCAAACGTGAGACTGGAGAAAATGCCCGAGTACGTTCCCAAGGTAAACACAAAATGGGACGGGATACCGGAGAGCGTCAAGAAGATAGAGAAGGAGAAGAAAGCAAGAGACAAGGGACAGGCTTCCAAGCAAGATACACTCGGTTTCTCCGACTACTCAATGTACCAAAACCGCGGGCGTGGACAGCTCAACAGCCGAAATTCCAGCTCGACCACAGGATCTTTTGGAAGTCGTGGAAGGTCGAGTGGATCTTACAGCAATTCGGCACGCCCTCATTTCTATGCTCACTCGGTCAACTCGTCTGGCGACCTGGCTTCACAGCAAAGGACAGATCGTCCGCCCCACCGTGCTGCTTCTCTTCATTCTCAAGCAGCCAGCAATACGTCTGAAGCGAGCTTTCCGGGTCCCTCACCTGAAATTCCGCGCCTGGCTGGTCTTGCGCCCATTGATGAGCCGCCTTCCCCCAAATCACGACTGTCGCCAGGCATCGATACTGTACCAGCGCGTTCGACCTCCCCTTCAGCCACACCACAAGACAAGTCTCCCTTGGCACCGTCTGGATGGGACTCTCTCGATCTGTACTCCCAGCAGACTGCCGATATCTCGGGACGGGACAAAGTCACTCTAACATCGTCTGGGCCTGGTGTTCTCGGGCCACCTACTGCCTTGAAGAGCACACGCAAATCTGTGGCTTCGGGATTCATTGGTGGCGAGGCACGAGGACTGCTTATCTCTGACGACGAGGATAATGACAAAGGGGGAGCACCCAGGTCGGACTTGCCACTCCGAAACAGGGACGCAGGTGGACGTTCACCAGCAACACCGTTGCCAGCAGGTCCCCAAAAGCCAAGTCAGGAGAAACAAATCGACAATTCTCGATCAAGGCTTGCTTTGCGATTGAGAGACGATGATACACCACGGGAAATGAAGAAGTCCCCGGTTGGTAGTCCTAGACATGCATCTGAGAGTGGTGTGTCGAGTCCACGCACGAAGCTGTCCAAGTCTTTCAGTCTTCTCGGAAAGGGAAAAGAGAAAAAGGCGACATGACATTATGTGTGTGTGTTATGAATCATTGAGACTACATTTACTTGACGACAATCTTTTCATCATTGCACACTTCTGACGACATCAACCATTTCAGCGATAGCGAGGGGGCAATTTAAAAGATGGTGTGTTTAGCAAGGCGCCTGGAGCTGGGATGATATGTTTATGCTTATGAGCGACGATCGTTTTATGAGATGTGATGAACGGGGCAGCTGTTGCAGATAAGTCTATAGCACGTCGAGAATGATGATATGCTTGTTGTGTCGGTGAGCACCTACATTGAGGCATGTTGAAATGCAGATCCATCTGTGGCGTGATAACATATCGTCGACTGATCTTCAAACTCATCTCCGCAGCACAAGAAATTTTTCTCCGCATTGCCTGCGCTATATTTTTATTTCATACCCTCAATGGTAAACAGTCAGTATTTTACCCTCAATTGACAATCCGCGACCACCAATATGAAGCGCAAAGGAGTCGGAAACGGAGACTCTCCTTCCAAAAGGCGCAACACGGCCATCGATGGCCCTGAAGCCTTGAGATCAGCCTTCCGACCTGATCTCTTCGGCAAAGACACTCTTCAATCGTTCCGCAAGAGTTATGCAGGTTCAGGACCCTACCCTCATGCGGTTGTACCCTCCCTGATCCAAGAATCCCTTCTCCGCTCCGTTCGCAGCGAGATCATAGCCCACATTCACTTCACCCAGAAAGAAACGGACATCTACCGAATCCACCAGTCGGGCGACCTTGCGAACCTGTCTAACCTCGACGCCGAGTCCCTCAAACACCTGCCCAGTCTTGTACATTTGCGAGATGCGTTGTACAGCTCCGACTTTCGAGAATGGGTCTCCACAGTCACGGGTGCAGGCAAAGTGTCAGGGAAGAAGACGGACATGGCTGTCAATGTGTATACGCCAGGCAGTTACCTTCTGTGCCACGACGATGTCATTGGGAGCAGACGAGTCAGTTATATTCTATACCTGACGGATCCCGACCATCCCTGGCAACCAGAATGGGGCGGTGGATTGAGGCTGTACCCAACCGAGACCAAGCAGAACAAGGCGGGTGAGAACATCCAGGTCCCGCTTGCGGAGCACAGCTTGAACATCCCTCCATCGTTCGGACAGTTGAGTTTCTTCGCGGTACGACCAGGCGAGAGTTACCATGATGTCGAGGAAGTGTATCATGGATCTGATCCAGAGGCGGATGGTGGACGGATTCGCATGGCCATCAGTGGATGGTACCACATCCCGCAAGAAGGAGAGGATGGGTTCGAAGAAGGCATCGAGCAAAAGCAGGTGCATAGGTCCACTCTCGCACAACTCAAGAGCGCAGACAATGAATTCGACGAACCACAATTGATATACCGCCACTTCGATGAGCCACGGAAAGTCATGGACAGCCATGCAGACCACGAGGAAGTGGACCCCGGCGACAAGGACGACACGGACGATGACCTGCTGACGGAGCAAGACCTGACGTTCCTGCTGCATTACATGACGCCGCACTACCTCACGCCGGATATGATTGAGGATTTTTCATCATCCTTCGCAGACTTATCCATGCTTCAGTTGGAGCAATTTTTCAACCCAACCTTCGCCAATGAGCTCAAGGAGTATATCAGCGCTGTGGAAAATGAAGAGTCCGAGCCGAAATCGTCGAAATCGTCACATCCGTCTCACTGGGGTGTGGCTCGGCCTCCGCATAAACATCGCTACGCGTATTTGCAGGGCGCTGAGGCACTGCACCGCGATAAGACGCCCATCTCTCGTGTTCTGACTGACTTGCTCCATTCTCACGCGTTTAAGAAGTGGTTGGCTTTGGTGACGGGTCTCAAAACCAAGAGTCTCATCCGCCAGAATGCGATTGCCAGGAGATTCCGGCGCGGAAAGGACTATGCATTGGCGAATCCGTTCCAGGGCGAACAGCCGCAAATCGAATTTACCATTTCCATCACGCCCACCGAGGGATGGGAGAGGGCCGACGAAGATGGGGAGGAAGATCAGAAAGCGAAAAAGGCCAAAAAGGCTCTAAATGGCCAGAACGGCCATACTGATAGAAGCAAAGGAAAGGGTAAGCAGAAAGCAGTTGAGCCGGAGAAAGTACAGGTCTCGACGTCTACGGAGATCGAATACGGGGGTGAAGAAGTCTACATGGCGGGCGACGACGATGACAATGTCTCGGTGCATTCAAAGTCGTTGCCCAATGTTGGAAAGAAGACTGATCCGGCGGTGTACAAGTCTTCTATGGGCGAGACTGATGACGATGATGGGATCTTGTTTACCAATCCGGCCTCTTGGAACCGGTTTAGTATTGTGTTGAGGGACAAGGGGACGTTAAGGTTCGTCAAGTATGTAAGTCAAGCGGCGGACGGGGATCGGTGGGATATCAAAGGGGAAGTCGAGGTTGGAGAAGATGCTTGGGATGATGGAGAGAATGGAGAAGGACTTAATGTTGACTTTGATGATGAAGACGAAGATGAAGAGGAGGACGATGAAGGGATAGATGATGATGATGATGAGGACGAAGAAGATGACGGATGAAGATTGAAATGATTGATGACTCCTGAACATGAAGCTGATTCCCTTGTCAAACCTCTTCTTATCCTGCTTCGCCAGGTCTGTCCCAGCAGTTCGTTCCACTTGCCAGCCCCTTTAAATTCGAGCCTCACTGTCACTGTACCCAACTGCATCGCCCTGGTCACGCATGGTGTGGACTGGTCAGGACATGTCTGGTCAATACAGCTTGAATCTTAACGCGCGACCGTGAGAGACTCATTTCCTACTCTCTCCCCACCCCTGAAGATTCACAACCTCAGGAGTGCCGCCAGGAGCCCGTACAATGACCCAAACAACCTCCTCCTCGCCCTCATTGACCTCCTGGTGTTCCCTGTACGCCGGGATCAAAGCCCAATCTCCCGGCGCGAGAACCTGTCTCTCATCCCCATCTTTATCATTACTCGACGTGACGACTGCTCCATGCCCACTCACCGCATACACAATCGTATCTTGGTCGCCGTGGTGGTGTACCGCCGATGATGAATGTGGGTGGGCGCGCATCAAAGTTCCGCAAATACTGGGAGATTTACCGACTATTGCTGCTTGTCGTTCCATTCCTTCAGTTTGGCCATCTTTGCCGGTCTTGACGTCCACGGCTTTCGTGAAGTGTACTGTCCGAGGAGACTTTTTGTCATCTTGAGTCTGGGACATTTTTGATATTCAAAAAGCCGATACCCTCACGCCTTCTATGCAGGAGCAGGTTGGGAGGAGAACCACAAGTCTTCGTCCACAAGATGTATAGATTCTGATATGTGTTATCCGACACCACGGCAAATGCTCGACCAGAGTAGTTGTGCAAGAAGGTTGAGAAGATATTAACTTAGATATCACTGAGGGACCGCTGGTCTTTCAGGCAAAACAAATTCATAAAGATATTACCAGATGGAATGGGGAAGTAAACGTCATGCTGATGCCGTCAACACAAGCATACGCGCCGGATGCGGAGAAAGAAACGGCCTTCGCTCCAGAGTGTAGAACAAGTACACGCTCTTCTCATACGTACGGACCGTAAAAAACGGTGCTGCAAGTCGATATCGCTATGCGAACAAGGTATCAGCAGGCGAGCACACGAATACAACGTGGTGGAGAAACTAAGGTCGGTTCAATATTTCAAGTAGTACGTCCTCGTATCTTTTCTACCTATCACCAACGGAATGAATGTCGCTGTGACATCCATCCCGTCTACCATCTGCCGACACTGACATGTTCGTCAGAGACTGAAACGACCAAAGGCCGTCTGTCCGGGCATGTTCGGCATCAGCGAAGACCACACATCCACCTGCAGTCTTCGACTCGTCGAAAAGAACCCCGTCTATCCCGAACGCCTGTAGTGCCGCATCGAATTATCTTTGCCAATCAACAGAATCGTCGTCAATCTCGTTCCTGATCAGCAGTCTAGAGGCGTCGCAATGCAATTTCGTGCAATAAAAAAGAGCTCTTTACACCTGGCCAGTGGAAACCATCTTCTTTCGCAGATGGTTCTTGTACTCGCCAATAGTGCCGTCCCATCGGGTTACGGTCTTGTTCTCGCACACCAGAATATCTTTGGCGATCTTGTCGAGCAATCTGCGATACATGTTAGCCTAGACACAAGCAGACTGGAAGAGTCAATACATACCTGAAATCGTGAGAAACAACTACCACACCACCAGAAAAGGCGTGGATAGCATCGGCCAAAGAATCAATAGTGGGGATATCGAGACCGTTGGTGGGTTCGTCCAGGAGCAACATGTTTGGGCTTTCAATCGCCAAAAGAGCAAAGACGACACGAGATCGTTGACCTTCTGACAGTGTACCCATCAAGGCAGTCTGACCCTCCCCAGTCAAGCCATACCGACCAAGCTGTTGTCTCCAGTATTGGTAGTCTTGTGAGATGCTGGAGTACTTGTCTCGAACGAAGTCGAGTGCTGACTTGGTCAAGTCAAGCTGCTCAGCCGAATGCTGAGAATAAAGACCAAGTTTCAAATGGGTGTGTCTGCTGACTGAACCACTGGTAGGAGAGAGCTTCCCTGTCATGATTCGAAGCAATGTGGACTTGCCGACACCGTTGGGTCCCACTAGTGCTGTTCTGCTGTCCATGTCCACACCGAGATCGAGATGTTCGTAGAGATTGTCCTCTGGCTTTCCAGAGTAGCCGAATGTGACATCATCAAACGACAGGACTGGAGGTGGCAACTTCTCCACGTCGGCGAACCTGAATGTGAAGACACGATCTTGAGCCACCGGTTGAATGAATCCATCGGCTTCCATCTTATCCAAAATCTTCTGTCTTGACTTGGCTTGTCGGACCAAGTTGGCGTAGGTACCTGCAGAGGCAATGAACTTCTTGATATGTGTGATTTCGTCCTGTTGTTTGACATAGGCCTTCTGCTGATTGGTTTCGTTTTCGGATCGAGTCTTGCTGTACGAGTCGTAGTTACCACCATAATACATGAGTTGTTTTGCTCGCATGTCGATCATGTTGGTGCAGACACCGTTCAAGAAATCCATCGAGTGAGAAACCAAGATGAGGGTTCTGTCCCACTTCTTGAGGTATTCTTCCAGCCACACACAAGCTTCAAGGTCGAGATGGGCTGTCGGGTCATCGAGCAAAAGTAGCGAAGGCTTGACGAACAGTGCTCGTCCAAGGGCCACACGCATCCTCCAACCACCGGACATATCTCTCGTCTTCTTGTGGATGGTCTTTTTGTTGAAACCCAGCCCAGTAAGGATGAGGGAAGCGCGAGTCTCGAAAGTATTGGGGTCCATAGATTCAGAACGCTGCAATATTTAACATGCAAATCTTGTTTATATCAAGCATGGCGGACTTACCTCATAGATTTCCATGAGCTGAGGACTTTCAGGACCATCTCTCTCGAGGATCTCCTCAGCCAAATCGTCCAGTCGCTGAACTTCTTTCTCCGCCTCTTTCACGACCCATTCAAGAGCGCCTTGATCAGTGAGAGGGGCGCCTTCATTCAAGAGGTAGATATCGACATGTTCAGGGAAAGGATATTCTCGCCTATCAATGGACTTCAGCAATGTCGACTTGCCGCAGCCATTTTCACCGAGCAGACCATATCGTCGACCGTAGTTGATCTCGAGTGTTGAATCTTGGATCAAAACCTTGCCGTGGAAAGTGAGCGAGGCTGAAGTGATTTTGACGTCCCGGCTGGCTTCCAGGGAGGCGAGAACACCAGTGGTGACTCGATCGGAAATACCGTGTTTGTCCATCTGTTCGGTCAATTGCTTGACTTTGTCCATCTTATCGGCGGTGGTAGCGGGGGTGTCTTCTTCATCTTCGTCAAGCATGGGCGGGCCGTCGTCGCCATTGACTGATGAGGCTTTCGAGCCGTTCGTGGAGGCATTCTTAGACGACAACTTGGAGGCAGCGGTCTTCTTAGCGCCTTCTTTCTCGGCCTTTTTGGCCATGCGGGCCGCCTTGGAGGCAGAAACAGGAGCCATGATTATGGATGAGTGGACTTTTTGGTTGAATAGGTGAGGTCAGAAAAAGGTCTCAGGAAGGGATGAGTGTATCGATTGTTGCAGCACAAATACCCAGCTAAGAGTCGGCTGCAATTCGAACGGAGGAGGAATTAGCAGAAGATGCGACGCAGTCTTCAAGCCAAAAAGAAATGTTGGTGTTGAAAAACAGGCAAAGCAGATTCCCGCAATAAAATCTGCAACTGCGAAGTAATAAGTTCTTGAACATGCGCTACGTAAAGGCGGCGGGGTCAATTCGCCTCCAACGGAATTTTCGGGGGCTAAGCTTCAATTGGATTAGTTTAATTCAATAATCGATAGAAGGCTGAAGCCCCCTATTCATAAGATAACAGCACATATGTGTTGAGCTCACGGAAGTCCTCTTTCCCATAATTCATGGTATCACGATGACATCTTATGCTGACGCTGCTGCCAATGACCATCTTCAGGACAGTGCAATCGCGGTTTCGACCAGAACAGAGTCATGCTACGTGTGACAAGAGAGCTGGGAGGCCTCCCAAAACACCGAGGTAGGTCAACTTGCACCATAGGAGGGAGCCTTACAACCGGGACTCTCGAGGGTGTTCGCTACAATGAAGTCCTCTGGCTACAACGAGACTATCATGACCGTTGGTCGTACTGAAGCCTTTCGGTGTTATCACCATTACCACAGGCGGTCACCTTATGAAGCACTCCAGCGCCATCGCTTGTTCAGATCAGCGACAGAAGCGGCATGCGCCTCGTCTTGATCGGTCCACCACAAGTGAATGTCCATGAGGCGATCGTGGGTGTCTTCGCCATTCACTGTCTCTTTATACTGCCTCACCTCTCCATTCACACCACCTTGCTTGTTGTGCATTCTTTCAGTTTCCCTTCACCGCCCCAACGATGACTGCCTCGCTCTTCCTGCCCCTATCACAACCGCTGTCACCCCCTCCTAACCGTCTCTATCCGACTGCCTGTATTGAATCACCATGGACTACTCGTCTTCTCATTACCGACTTCCATCTCTTGGAACAATGCTTCAAACCACCGAGCATGGAAGACGACCATTCAGCTTCTCCACCATGAATGCTCGACTCAATACAAACACCGCAGCTATGCCTCCCTCCTCCTCCCCTCGTCCAGACAGCCGTGCCAGTAGCGACGTCAATCCAAACGCGCCTGTGTTCGTCCCTGGATCTACCTATCATATTACAAGAACACAACCTCCTCGCCCTGCGACTCTCGCGCGTCCGATGCCTGATCAGATGGCTCAACCGCACTTTCGGAACCTCAGCACGGCTACAAACCCCTATCCTCACGAGCCTCACCCCTTTCGCAGCTCAACCATGGGTCCTAGCACTTTCACAGGCTTGATCAACACCAGACGCACCGAAGGTCACGTCAGAACAGACACAAACCCATATGCCAACGATCCTCGCCCATTCCAGAGAGAAACCACCGCTCCTAGCACTCAGATGGGCTACACAAGAAGCAGACAGAGCGAGGCTCGCTTGAGCACAGCTACAAACCCATACCCGAACGATCCTCGCCCCTCCTACGACAATATCACCGGTCCAGATGGCCGTACACGCACCACCAGAGCGAGACAGGGCTCAGCTCATACGAGCACAGACACAAACCCCTATCATGGCATCCCTCCACGCTATGACCCAAACATCATCGCTGAGCTGGACCGTCGTGTGGCGCAGGCGCAGGCTCGTCGTCCTTGAATAAGGAGAGAGCGTCAATTGGAACGAGGGCTGTGAACACGTTGGAGTTGTTGGAGTTTATTGGCAGTAATGGAATGGAGTATCTCGATGCCTGGCCTGTAGGAGTACCATAGCAATGCAGAATGACACCGACGGTGTCGATGGCACGCGCCATCAATGAAACGAATGCGATACACTAGATACTACACTGTCCACCTCCACCTCCATCGTAGGCACTCTCACTGTCTTGAACATGTCCTGCTTCAGCTGCATCGCGACCGCGTCTACTCGTTGGGATAGAGTCCCTCCTCAGGTTCATCACCAGTGTATCAATGCAGAATAGATGTTGTAAAGTCATTTTCATTGTATCATTAAGACCTCATATAGATATGCTAAGATGTTTTGTTCAACTGACATGACATGAAGGAGGGACGACAGTTGGTACTCATTGCTTCCTTTTGTTTTTCTGCACTTTTGACATAAGAGAAACCCTCGGGACTCGTGACTCCCTCAGCGTGCTCATGCTCGTCTCCAACCTCCTCGTCTCCAGGATCCCGCGGAAGTGGCCGTGGAGGTAGGAGAGGCCACAGAGCTGCTGGTCCAGTCGTCCCAAACGGTTTGGGTTTGTGTGCAGGAGCCAGTCTCCACCACCGTACTAGTAACGATAGATGTCCCTCCGGAAACGGTGACCGTGGTCGCTGGCAAGGTCTCCGTCGAGACAATGGTTGATGTGCCACCAGGCGATGAAGAGATTACGAAAGAAGTGATAGTAGGTCCTGGAACAGTGACAGTCTGACCCGGTCCGACTAAACTGGATACGGATGTTTCCGTCATGGTTTGTGTGCCACATGGTGCGGTCTTTGTAGTCGTTCCACCAGGTAGGGTGACTGTAGTCGTTCCAGCTGGAATGGTTGACGTGATCACAGATGTCCCACCAGGCAGAGTGACGGTGGTAGTGCCAGCTGGAAGCGTCGATGTGATTGTGGTTGTACCTGCTGGCACCGTAGCCGTAGTGATAGAGGTTCCGCCAGGAAGTGTGACAGTAGTTGTGCCAGCTGGAACTGTTGAGGTGATTACAGACGTTCCGCCAGGAAGCGTCACGGTGGTTGTTCCTGCAGGGACAGTTGAAGTCACGCCAGGCAGTGTCACAGTAGTAGTGCCGGCTGGTAGGGTGGACGTGATAGTGGTGGTTCCTCCGGGCACAGTTGAGGTAGCGACAGACGTCTGGCCAGGTAGCGTCACTGTAGTGGTTCCAACCGGAAGTGTCGACGTGATAGTGGTGGTCCCTAGAGGTACTGTCGATGTCACTCCAGGTACGGTCACAGTTTTAGTGCCGGCGGGCAAGGTTGAGGTTATAGTAGTCGTTCCTGCTGGACTGGTTGACGTGACTGTGGTGGTGCCAGCCGGGACAGTCGATGTCACGCCGGTTAGCGTCACCGTGGTTGTGCCAGCTGGCAGAGTTGAAGTAACTGTGGTCATGCTAGCCGGGAGGGTCGACGTAACAGTAGTAGTGCCGCCAGGAACAGTAGACGTAATGCCAGGTAGTGTTACTGTCGTGGTTCCAGCTGGCAGGGTGGAAGTTACAGTGGTCGTACCTGCCGGAACAGTTGAAGTGACTGTCGATGTTGTAGCTGAACCTGGGATGGTGACTGTGGATGTTGTAGCGGAGCCTGGGATGGTGACTGTGGCTGTTGAAACGGCACCACCGATGGTGACTGTGGATGTTGTAACGGAACCTGGGATGGTGACTGTGGATGTTGTAGCGGAACCGCCGATGGTGATCGTCTGAGTACCACCCGGTGTAGTCACAACACTCGTGGTAATGCTAGTGACGGTAGCTGACGGACATCCAGAATTTGGCTGGACTTCAATGCTTGTTGAAGGACACGATGATGGCGAACCTGGAACAGTCACAGTGACGGTGCTTGGAGAAGTAGGACAGGACGATGGCGAACCGGGAACAGTCACGGTAACGGTATTTGGCGAAGCAGGACTCGTTGCTGAACCTCCAGAGGAGCATGAAGGGACGGTCAAGGTCGTGGTGGCGGTGATTGTGCTCGGCGATGCACTTGGTGGACACGATGAACCTCCGACAACTCCAGTATTTGATGGACACTGGGACGGCACCGTAATCGTAGAAACTATGGTGGTCGGAACACCACCGGAAGGACAGCCGCTGCCAGTGCTGCCGCCACCAGTGCCGCTGCCCCATGAAGTAACCGTCACGGTTCCAGCAGGAGAGCATGAAGTTCCACCATTGACGGGGCCAACGGTTGCGGAACAAGAGGTGACCGTCGTGGTGGGCCCTGTCGAGCCGCTCCCTCCCACAGTCGTAGTAACCACGCTCGTGGTCGTGACGGTGGAAGGGGATCCGGTACAACCGTCCGTGATTCCAGTGACTGGTGTAGACTCGCCCGAGGAACTTGTAGTGGTAGAGCTGGAGATCCAGTCACTCCAACTAGAAGCGTCCTGACGAGGCAGCAACGGATTGCCAGCAGCAAAGACGCTATACCGAATTAGCAATCAAAAACATGGAGCAGACATGAATAGCTCACCTATAGACAGAGCTCGCAACCAAGGCCGTGTGCACCAATTTGCTATACATTGTGGAAGAGTGGTAACCTTGACTCCTTTATCTTGTTGAGGTTTGCCAAGCGAATGGAAGACAGATGAACTCCTGTCGAGGTGAGGTAAAGAGGACTGTTTGCGCGGGAAAGTGCTTCATCTTTATAGACATCAAGCGGTATCATTATTTGCGCAACAGTCAAGCAGGAACAGATGGTGTGCCTGAAATGGTGTTGCTTTGTTTTCGACTCCGATCTATTCTGTGTTCTGTGTTCGTCATGCCAGGAACAATCCAAGGCTGGGATAATTAGTTGCATATGCAGTTGGCAAAACAACCAATATCCTGTGGTTCAGATCCGGAAGCAAGGTACACCAGCATGGATTCCTGTAAATGCCGTCGAATGGCAATATTCAAGTGGCAATGCTTGGATCCAATTTTGGAGTCGATACAACGACTTTGTTGTGTTCGGCGCATTTTCTCTCGTCGTACTGCAGCTGCGACCTCCAGGTAAATGTCTCCAAAGCTGCTCAATCATGTCCCAGCACTCCCAGTTGTGAGGACAATTACATGGCAGCCACTTCCGAAGTACCGACGGCAGGGTTCTGGAGAGGTCAACACAATCTGCGAGAAGGCGGGGCCAGCGGTGGATCAGTGGACGAAGCGAGCTGCTGCGTCACGAAAACATGGACAAAAAAGCTTCCACGAGAATCCATGCGGCTATGAAAAGGCCGGTGATGGTGACACAGGCTGGTACCAGAAGCACAACAATCCTTCGCATCAAAGCCGTTGTCTTTCAAGTAGCTCCTTGGAGTAACGGCCAACGCTCTAGTGTCGAAGACCTGATGAGCCAGACCTTATCGTCGAGCATTGAGATGGGCGAAGCAGCAGCAACAAGTACTTCTTGCCAGCAATCGTCACTCAGTCTCTTGGTGTTCGACCCTTGTAATTTGTAATCCTTGCATTGGTACAACTGATCTTCTTGTTCAAAAGGTTCTTGGAGGGCTTGGATAACCATGCACGGCAACGCAACATGCGGTGAAAGGTGACTGATGGGAGAAGTACAGTCGGAAGGTAGCGGTGGGCAACGTGCAAGCCACTTACCCTGGTGGATGTACGAGTACGTTAGCGTGAGAACCCGAGACTTACCACTACGGTAACCATTCAGCATGAACCCGTGTATCGTGATACATCGTTATTCGTGTTCTTGGACGTCATTGGTCCTTTTCCAGAGCAGAACTACATCGTCTGCCTTGTGTTCAATGCTTGCCACAACCAAATGCAGCCCAAATTCGACTCCGGGCTCAGAAGAATATCGTGGAAGGCGGGGGCGGCCTCTGCCCTCTGGTGGTCAAGGATCGAAGAAAAGTAGGATTATGCTGGTCGTGGTACAAGCCACTCAGACTGGCATGAAATGTCTAAGACTGAGCGTGCATTGTGAGAGCCTCGGGCGTCTGGGATCCCGTACAGCCTCCGTCGACACCAGCCACGCCATTATGTGCACAGCTTCATCCTTCTGAATTTCGCCAGTAGGACGAAGTTGGCAGTTCAAGGAGTGCAGAACCCAGGCGTGAAGAATATGATCTCTTGTCGGCCCTAATGATGAAGGGGGACATGGATGGACATTAGCGGAGCCTACCGGAAATGCAAGCCAGCATTGGAGTTACCTAATTGTAACTCTACATACTTACCTATACATGGTGGAGGTTGAACTCCATGGGTGGACTGATGATAGAGGAGTTTGGTTTGGAGGAAGCCTCGATGACGTCGGCTGGTGGTAATGTCCTTTTGGAACGAATTTAATGATTGTTCGTGCACTTGTCTTCACAAGATAAAATAGTGAGAATTCCAATCATGGCCATGTCTTCATAAAAGGTTTTATCCAAGGACAGTTCGTGCTGCCTAAGTCCAAGAAGCAACAAAACCTCCGCAGTGCAACAAGCAGGTTACAGCCTCCAAGAAAAGTCGTACTCGTGGCAGTCGTAAGTCATATCATCCAATCGCCAATTCAAGGCCCCTAACCGTCCTATATAACGATGCTGCTGACACCCAATTCACCCGTCAGCATTGCGGGCATCCTGCTCAAATCGACATATTCCGAACCCAACTCGGCAAGCTTTTTCAGACCTTGAAAGACATCGTTTCCAGTGAACGTCAAACTGATGGTGGCGGCTTCCTCTCCCAAGACGTCCGGAGAGTTGTCTTTGTCACGTTGTATATCTTTCTCGAGTTTGATATGGACTCGATCGAGTGCCGCATGATGCTGTCCTGTCATGGTGCCGAAGCGCTTCTCAACCTCGAGCAGACTTGCACGCTGATCGGGCTCTTGTTGCAAGTCGATTGAATTGCCGTCAATATCTCTAGATGGTTCGGAAAAAGAGCTGTATGCTCCACCGGCTGAACCAGGCTTTTGGTTTCCTCGCAATTCGCAAATGCTCTTTAGTGATCGTGCATTGAGCTTCGTGGACTCTAGTGCCCATCTCTCTTGTGGCCGTGAAAAGGCCTTTGGGATTGCCTCCAGAACAATCTTCTTCATCGCGGCCATGTCCACTTTTGCCATTACTCTTCCTTTCGAGTCTCTTGCTCCTTTGGCCCGTCCGCTGGAAACCGAAGCGCCACACAGCGAAATGTATACGTATGGACAGCTGCCTGGGAAGGCGATATACATGACTCTTCCCGCTTCGACGGCATGTCTGACATTTCGCGGTATGGTAGTCCGGCGAGCGCGGAAGGTAGAGCTGGGTGTGATGTACACTCGGACGATGTCGAGATTCTGGTATGAGGACATTCTGTGGAGATGATAATGGGCTTTGACCATCGGGGAGATTTCCTTTTTCAGGGCCGAAAGAAAGGATTGAGCTGAAATTTGAGGATATCTTGGAGTGTGCTCGTTGCGGCTGATCCAGCATTTCTTCTTTGGCGGTTGACTATCAGAGTCATCGGACATCTCCTCAGCTGAGTCTAGAGGTACCAGCCGCAAAGCAGACCATCTCAATGCCGCTTCGTTTTGTTCCAGATAGGCAAAATCGATCATGGCATGTTGATGCAAGGATAGCCCTCTCCGCCAGTCGCCGTCAACGATGCGATCGATGACATCTCGTTTTGTGCCGAGCCTGCTGTCTTTCTGCAACGATTTGTATGTTCGGCGCAATGCTTCTATACTTTCAGCCGGCGTATGGAGGTAGTCTTCCTCATCGGCTTCAAACAGCCTGCGATTACTGGTCAAGTATGGTGTTGCACAACGGTCATGTTGGAGCCAGTCGAGTGCGAGATCAATGAGGGTATCGCGCGACAGCCTATTGAGCGACTTGGCGAGTACAGGCGCCATGAGGATGTATGGTTCGGTTCATTAGAATGGCGCAGGCATGTTGTTGTCAAGCACAATTATGCTTGTTTTGGAAATGTCAATAACATGAGTCAGTCGCGGGACCGCTTTGCCTATAACATCGAGTCATGAGACTATCACGTGACTGCTCTCATCGTCAAGGAGGGGTTGATACGCAAGCACTCAAATGGCGTGCTCACACTTCAACAAGCATGCCGCAGCGCGAAACCCCACACTACGATGCACCAGGTCAAGCTATTCGTAAACACCACAAGGCATTCAGCCTATGCTTGATCTTGGTTTCGTTATCGGTGCAAGCGACCCATGTGCTGCAGATCGTGCCGCATAGAAGGAGGGGAAAGGGCAGACCACTCAAGCCTGAAAAGGATCTATGAGCGGCTGATCACCAACGAGGCTGCACATGCAAACGATGAGCGTATCATGACCTATCTTTGGTGCAGCGGTGATGAGCGCCCATCGCCCGTTGGCTCGCCCACCCTTTACCAAGACCCCTGCGGCAGGGTCAGGAAGGCTTCTCTTTGATCTGTACGCACACAACGTCAACATCCATTGGAGAGTTCTATGATCTCTGAGACCATGAGATCATCGGTGACTCTCCTCGTCATCATTTCATACCCAAACTGATACGAGTATGATTTGGTTCATAGGTAGTTATCTCTAGAATGGATACCCGAATATCGTGAACAATCCATATCCATCAAGGTGACAGACACAGGGAATGTCAACCATCGTCCATGTGGCGTATTGTATATTAATAATAACAGACGGCATCATCTCGGCATAGGCTTCAGTTGTGAAGCCGTCTGTATTAGTTTGGAGCTTAGACCATTGTATTACTCTTCTTGAGTCTTCTCCGGCCAACGATATCGGAGCCGGAGGGCCGACTAAGCCTAGGAGAGACACTTTTGCCCTTCCACCTGCTGCCGCTTGGACTCTTGGCAGCGAGTTTACGCACCTGCATTCGAAGTCACCCCCCATCCCACTCATACCAACAACCCTCTTGGGCCCCGCTTCGCACCTTTCCCGCCCACCACCATCGGGAGTCCTCGCGCCTTTCCCACCCGCGCAGACTTTTTCCATCCTCCCCTTCTTCCCTTCCTATCACCTTCTTCCACCCTAGGCGGTGGTTACTCCCTTGGTATCTTGTGACACTTGAGCATACTCGCCTCTTGTGTTGCTGTCGATTATCAACACTTGAGCGCAGTCACCACATCCGATGGTGTTGCGACTCACAACTCCCTCACCCGATTTGTCATAAAGCGCCCTTTGTCACCACAAGCTCTACTCGACTCACCCGCGCACTCTCCATTGAACCTCTCCCAACATCGAACCCTCCTCCCCTTCCCATACCTTCAGGTCAAATTGGCGCAGTAATATCGACGCGGTGCATCACATATCATGTCATCTTACCGCGGCCGAACTGGGCCGAACTTCTCAGAGTACCTGAATAACCTCAATACTCTGGCGTCGCCATACGAGCAAGACAATTTCTCGCCAGAGGAATTCGAGTTGAACCAGGACCTGGCTATGTTCACCAACACCGACTTCACTCACTTCGATATTCCTCCTCTAGCAGAAGACGGTTCCTTCCGCTTCGAAATGAACGAGAACAAGAATAACCCCGCCACAAAGTACGAAGACATCCTCCCAAGCTCTGATGCTGTCCACAATTACCCGCCTCCACCTGTCGAAACATCCGTCGCCGAGTCTACTCAATACTATGCTACCTACAATACCCCCATTCAGCCTGCGCCAGCGCAAGGCTTCAGCAATGTCGAAAACCTCGGTTCTTCCACTGCTGCGCCATCAGCTACTGTTGGCCAAGTGTCCCGCAGAAAGGGCGAGTCAGTCGATTCCAACCTGAACGGCGAGGAGAAGTCTCGCATGGTTGCCGAAGAGGATAAGAGACGCAGAAACACGGCCGCTAGTGCACGTTTCCGGATCAAGAAGAAGCAGCGGGAGCAAGCTTTGGAGAATACTGTCAAGGATGTTCAAGACAGAAACGCGAAACTCGAGGCCAGATTGAACCAGTTGGAGATGGAGAACAAATGGCTCAAAGAGCTTATCACGGAGAAGAACGGCCTTCAATCCAAGGAAGAAATGGCAGCCGCCTACCGACAATATCACAAAGAAAGCGAAGAGCGCGATCTAAAAGAGACCAAGCACACTACCGGCGTGGGAACTCAATGAATATCAACCAAAGTGAAAGTTAATTTGAATTCATTTCTTTAGAACATATCTCTGTTGGTACATATTCCCTATGATACCAGATAAACCACACCAGCAGACAATGAAACTAGTACTCTTTTTTCTTAACACTGTTCTTTTTGAGCCTCTTAATAAACAAGTTGGATAGATTGTCTTCGATTCTATCAGAGTGAATGAATGGCAAGGCTGGCAAATATCATTGGTAGAATTGCAGCCTGATCATGCTGTCATTAGTAATGCAGAACTGCGGCGGTGGCAGAAACTTGCCTATGCCGGATTCAACCACTTGCACTCTATCGCGCCCGCTTTCGCTTGTTGCCTCACATCACGCGTGCTGGCTGTTCGTTTTTACACCCACCGAACCAGTTCTTTTGCGCTCTCACGCCTCTCGACAGCACAGCCCAGCCCATCTCTTTCATCCTCCCCCTTGTGCCTTTCATCGCTTTTCCTTTTCAATTTTTTCACAGCTCTTCAGCGCAAGCGCAACCACCACAGATTCATCCTCACCCTCCTCTTACACCTCCGATAACGAACCAACAGAATTCGTCAAGCCTGACCGAAACCCGAAGAACCCCGCTGCCAACTGGTACACAACCCGTGCATCCGAACGCTCATTGAGCGCTTTTCCTTCTCTTAGATTCGCAGTCATGTCGGTCTCCGTAGAAGAACTTGATGCCACCGTGCGGGCTTTTCAACAAGGCAAGGGTGAACAACAGAAACAAGCTCAACAGAAGCTCAACGAGTTCAAATCCAACCCAGATGCCTGGTTGATGGTGGACAAGGTTCTACAAGAATCTACGTACGAAGCAACAAAATACTTGGGTCTTCAGGTGCTGGATGATGTTGTCAATACAAGATGGAAGGTCCTGCCCCGTGAGCAGTGCCTGGGGATTCGAAACTTCGTCGTCAATCAGATTCTGGCGGCCTCGGAGACTGAAGAATCCCTCAAAGCCAACAAACTTTTCCTCAACAAGTTGGATCTGACTTTGGTCACCATCCTGAAGCAAGAATGGCCACACAACTGGCCCACCTTCATCAACGAAATCATTTCTGCATGCCACAGTGGATTGTCCGTATGCGAGAACAACATGACCATTCTGCGGCTACTGTCTGAAGAAGTCTTTGACTTTTCGCAAGATCAAATGACTTCCACCAAAGCGAAGAATCTCAAGACCACTATGTGTGCGGAATTTTCCTCGATCTTCCAGCTGTGTAACGAGGTTCTCACCACGGCCACCTCGATTAGCTTGGTCAAAGCCACCCTCGAGACGCTCCTGCGCTTCTTGAACTGGATCCCACTTGGATTTATCTTCGAGACAAAGCTCATTGATACGCTAGTGACTCGCTTCCTCGAGGTCGACCAGTTCCGTAACATCACCCTCAAGTGCTTGACTGAGATTGGTGGCTTGCAACTAGGTCCACAGTCCAATTACGACGACAAGCTGGTTCAGATGTTCACCGAGACTCTCACCGTCGTTGCAAAGACCATTTCTCTAGAGACCGATTTCCGAGAGGCATATGCCAAAGCTAAGCCTTCGGAACAAGAATACATCCTCAATCTCGCCATATTCCTCTGCAACTACTTCTCAGCGCACCTGCAAACAATCGAAAGACTGCCAAACACCGACTACCTGTTACATGGTCACTTCTACCTTATCAAGATTAGTTTGATCGATGACCGGGAAATCTTCAAAATTTGTCTGGAATACTGGAACAAGTTGGTGCAAGAGCTCTATGAAGAAATGCAGCAATTACCCATCACGGAACTCAATCCACTTGTCAGCATGGGTGTGAGTGGTTTGGCTAACGGCGGCGCACCTCACCCTAGCACTCTCGCCAATTACCCGTTGCGGAAACACAAGTACTCTCAGGTTTTGTCAAGTCTGCGACAGGTGATGGTCGAAAAGATGGTACGTCCTGAGGAAGTGCTCATCGTAGAGAACGACGAAGGAGAGATTGTTCGAGAGTTCGTCAAGGAGAGCGACACCATTCAACTCTACAAGACTACCCGCGAATGTTTAGTTTACCTTACACATCTTGATGTGGTTGACACGGAAAATATCATGTCGGAGAAACTCGCGCGACAAGTAGATGGCACTGAGTGGTCCTGGAACAACTGCAATACTCTCTGCTGGGCGATCGGCTCAATATCTGGTGCTATGAACGAAGAAACCGAAAAGCGATTCCTGGTGACCGTCATCAAGGACCTCCTTGGTCTGACCGAGATGAAGCGGGGCAAAGATAACAAGGCTGTGGTGGCCAGTAACATCATGTACATTGTTGGACAGTACCCTCGCTTCCTGAAGGCCCACTGGAAGTTTTTGAAGACTGTCGTCAACAAGCTCTTCGAATTCATGCACGAGACACACGAGGGTGTCCAAGACATGGCCTGCGATACATTCATCAAGATTGCCAACAAGTGCAAGCGCCATTTCGTGGCTCTGCAGCCTGGTGAGACTGAACCGTTCATCGATGAGATTGTGCGTAACATGCAGAAGATCACTTGCGATCTCACTCCTCAGCAGATACACACTTTCTACGAGGCTTGCGGTTATATGATTTCCGCACAGGGTCAGAAGAGTGTACAGGATCGTTTGATTGACAATCTCATGTCTCTTCCTAACCAGGCATGGGACAACATCATTGCGCAAGCCAACCGTGATTCGACCATTCTTCAAGACGGCGAAACCATCAAGGTCATTGGAAATATCATGAAAACCAACGTCGCTGCATGCTCATCGATCGGAACCTACTTCTATTCACAAATTGGCCGCATCTATCACGACATGCTCAACATGTATCGAGCGTCGAGTCAACTGATCTCGGACTCTGTCGCTGCTGGAGGTAAGTTTAGTCTTTGTTAATTCCCGGCTGATCCTAATTGAGCATTCAGGTAATGTTGCGACAAAGACTCCTAAGGTCCGAGGTCTGCGTACAATCAAGAAAGAAATCCTCAAACTCGTCGACATCTATGTGCAGAAGGCTGATGACTTGCAAATGGTCAATGACACTATGGTGCCGCCGTTGCTCGATGCTATTCTGCTTGATTACCAACGCAACGTGCCTGATGCTCGAGACGCCGAAGTTCTCAGTGTGACAACCACGATTGTTCACAAACTACATGTACGCTGGACCCCCCGTAGATCTCGGCATCTGGTCAGAGATGTGGAAGCCCTGAAAGGAACATTCGCTAACATGTCACAGAACCTGATGGAGGACAAGATCGCCCCAATTATGGACTCAATCTTCGAGTGTACCCTTGAGATGATCAACAAGGATTTCCACGAATACCCCGAATTCCGAGTCGAGTTCTTCAAGCTGCTTCAGGCAGTCAACCTATTCTGCTTCCCAGCACTGCTCAAACTTGACGGTTCACAGTTCAAGTTGATTATCGACTCCTGCATGTGGGCAAGCAAACACGACAACCGAGAAGTTGAAAACACCGGCCTGTCGATGTGTCTGGAATTGATTAACAACATGGCGGAGACCGACCCGCAGACTTCTGCCATCTTCTTTCAGCAGTTCTACGTCCCGATCCTGCAAGATGTTTTCTACGTTGTTACGGATTCCGACCACAAAGCTGGCTTCAAGTCACAGTGTATGCTGTTGGCGCGCATGTTCCAGCTGGTCGAGGCGAACAAGATCAGCCAACCACTGTACAAGCCTGACCAAGCAGCTCCTGGCACGTCGAATAAACAATTCGTCACGGAGTTTACTGCCACACTCTTACACAACGCCTTTGCCAATCTTCAAGATGTTCAGATCCAACATTTCGTCCATGGCCTATTCACTCTCAACGAAGATGCAACCAAGTTCAAGACTCACTTGCGCGACTTTTTGATTCAATTGAAGGAGTTTGCTGGTGACAACGCAGAATTGTTCGCTGAGGAGCGTGAGCAGGAAAAGCAAGATCTTGCATCGGCCGAGCGTGAACGTGCACTGAAGGTTGGCGGTCTTATCAAGCCAGCAGATTTGGACCAGGATGATGAGTTGTGACTAGAAGAAGAATTACGAACAGAATATGCTGTTCACGCAACGCAAGAACCGGAGCCTGTCGCACCTTCGGTGGAACATTACGCGATGGAACAACCATCCGAGGACGAGCTTGGGGATGGGTGGTTGTTTTACAAGTGCTGAAAGTACCGTTGTAAGACGATTGGAGTGGATGTGGTGATTACCTACAGTGCGAACACGATCGGAATTATGCCATGCGACGTGTTTCGTTCCAGTTTATGTTGAGATACCAAAAAGCATGGACCTTTGGGCAGAGTATTTCATTCAGAGACTCTCTTCTTGGGCACTGTCTTGCCATGGCGATGGCTCGGGCTGGTGCCAAAGGAAGAAAGACGTCCGACATACAGATACACTTCTCAGTCAGTGTCTTTAGAGATTCTAGAAACGAATCAATCAAGCAAACCTTCTATCAAGATTCGATTGCATTGGGACCCTGAACTTCTGTTAATGCGGCTGACGCTGAAACAAGAATCAGGATCGATCTAGATTCTGGACCTCCTCATCTGTCGTAGAAATAGCGGTGTGTGAAGGTTGTTGATTCCGCATTGGGACTGCTCATGTGAGTAGAGCACGGACGTAAATTACGAGTCTGAGTGATAGCTTTGTCTGCCGTACATGTAGGTACATTTCAGTGAAATGCTGGATGATTGGATTGTGTGCTCTTGACGTGCTTTAGCTAGGTGTACTACAGGCAACGCGGCACAGTGACAGGGAGGGGCGTGTATAATAGATCAACGCCGAGGGTGTTGTATTCCAAGGTTATGGTGGACAATCAACAAAGGACGACGCGGTGGAGAGGGACACGAGTACGGATTACTTTGGCGGTGAACAGTCTGGTGTGCGTGGTCTGACAAGTCTTGGGCTCTTCGTTGCGGCCTTTTCGCCTATTCAGAAGCCCTGGAGCGCAGGCGTCTGACAAGCTTCTTCCAGTGAGTTCGGGCGGTCTCTGGCACTTTGGCTGGGGCGTCTTGGGGGCGGGGACCTGGGAATTGCGATTGTCGCTGTCTCGTGGTCCTGAAATTTAATCCCGCCTTGCTGGTCCCTGCATCCCGCCTGCATCACACGCCATACTCACATCATCCCGCATTCTTCCATCTTTCCATCCACACCTCACGCAGTACGCAATTTATCTCATCTCACTCTCCCGCCGAGTGTCTGTGCTGCTGGTAATTTGTTTGTTCCAACAACACACGTTTAATCAAACTTCGGCCTGCTGATCCAATTTGGGTTTGTGCTCTGCTCTAAAACGGCGAATATATTCTTCAGTCATCATTATCACCATCAACCCGCCGTTCTTTTCTCTTGTTTGAATCGAAACAAACGACAACTAGCTACAATTCGCCAAACGAGTCACGTCACTTGACACAGTCATACACCAAGCGAACAGCATCTTTGTTACCATTACCATTACTCAATATCGAAGCGCAAACACACACGCCGCCTGATGCCCTCGTCCGCAAATACCACCGCATCTACCTCACCGAACATCATGAGCCGCACTAATTCACCCAGACCATCCGTAGGAGTCGGTGCGAGACAATACGCACGCCACCAAATGGCCACACCTGCTCGTCGCGCCAACGTCGGCTCTGCGACGCAAACAATCACACCACCCGACTCTTCCTCAGATCGATCAATATCACCGGAATCGTTGGTCCTACGACTTCGCGGCGCCCACGATGCCTCAGGCAGTTCATCAACGAGGCCCGGACATCGGCGGAGAATCACGTGGGCTGAGGATGTTGTTGACAATGAAGGACTGGGACGAAAATCGAGCAAAGTGTGCTGCATATACCACAAGCCCAGAGAATTCGGCGAGAGTTCGAGCGAAGACAACAGTTCGAGTTCAGACAGTGATGTCAGTGATAGTCCCGATGACGGCGGTGCGAGGATGGTGGGTGGGAATCGAAGAGGCAGGACGCATCATCCACATGGACATAAGCACTCGGATGATTGTGGTAATGGGAAGGGCAAGGGCAAGAGGAGGCCCAGTCCAAATGCGTATGAGAAGATGCCGAAATACCCGGGGAAGCAGCAGACTGTGAAGAGATGAGGGTTTGACTGCAATCACCACATATTCTCATCCGTCGTGAGTTGTCACGCGTACGGAGTACACTGATTGCATTGGCTTCATTCGAGCGATGGCGTTAGTGAAACATATCCGCAGACTTGAACTGCATTACCAACGGATTATTACGAACACACATGATTCTTCAGACTTCAATCATACGCATTGTTCAAGCAATCCTTCCTCACCCGGGTCTAATTCTTTAGGTGTTCCTCTCACGCATGACATACATACCCTGACTCAGAAGAGTTTGCGTGATCTTTTCGTCAACGCTGATCTCGATGGCAGGGATAAGTCAGTCATGGGACAGATGCTGGCCGGCGTTTCATGTCTAAAGAAAGATGTGAGTTGTGACCATACGGAGATCTTCCTGGCCAGGTCTAGCAGCGGGGGAAACGGTGCCCGTTAAGCAGTGAAGCAACCTCGATGCGGCTGGCGATGCTGGAAAAAAGTGCTACAATCAGCCAAATTTGTTGATCGCCTCTGTTCTGTAAGGTTGAGGTCGGTCTTTATATGCGAACAAGATCACTGATGGCAAACAGCAGGGTTCAGACCCTTATACCAAAATCAGCAGCGTGGGAGCTTAACAATACCATAGTGACCCATCGCGACTCTCACCGGAAATAGCATCATGGTCTTCTGGAGATGTAGAGAGGAGCAGTGGTGGACAATGGGTTCGTTCTTCACAAGGAAAGTGCTGTGCGACTTGACACAAGAATGAAACGGCACGAAGAAGATCTGCAGGATTCTTCATGCATGCTGCCTATCCGCGCAAAGGTGAATCTTTTTTGCCGGTGACGAACATGCTCGAAGAACAGGCGTGACGAAGTAATTCTGAAACGAACGAGGTGCAGGGATCACAATCCTTCTGGTACGGATCTCTGCCACGCAATACCTGTGGCTGGTTCTCCTCTACATGAAAGACTCGTCGCTGGGGATGCGGGAACACGCACTTCTTGAACATGTTGTAAATCTGCTTGCTATGCGGAATGTATGAGCAGCTGCAGGGTCAAGGTACGTTTACGTTTACTTTTATGGCACTAAGTTACTCGTACCCCTCAATGAACCAAGTTGAGTAGCCTGCCAGACCATCCTCGCCTACAAGATAGGCTGCAGTACTGACTGACTTTTCTAGGCTACACTTGCTCTCGGAAAATGTGCGCCAATAGACTGCAAAACCGTTTTGCTGGAGACTCGGTAGTTTTGGGTCAGTGGAACTGGGGGCCTCATAACCAACTACCTTGGAGCCACACTGGGACTCGGGAACTTGGGTAACTTGTGGACTTCTGTCAGCCGGAGCGGTCCGTAAAGTCTCCTAGGACTTCTTCATCACTTCACCGAAAGCATCAACAGACCTCGACATTCATATCACAGTTTTCTCCTATGTCGCACCAATGAGTAATGGTCTAGGTCTTGACCCGAACCGCCACTGGACAGTTCGTCCCTGCATTTCTTGTGCTCATACATGCTACAAGGCATGCTTAACGCAACCAGAATGACGTCTCCTGAAGGCTCACTATACGCAAGCTTTTCAGGATCAACAGGCGTGGACGCGGACGCATGGCCTGACCTCCGCAGACACGGCGACTATTGGCCACAAGTGCTACTGCTATGCTACTATGGTATGTAGTACATTGTACCTGATCGCCTAACAATGCCCAATCTAGCCGCCTTGGGCCTCAGTACCTTATCAATATCGCTTTTCTCAAAGACCACCATGGATTCCGGATGCTACTCCCCGTCAGAAGTTCTAGGTTGTTTCAAAATGAGCTTTTCCCCGTATTTCCACTTTTCTACTCGTTCGAATCTTTCCCTCTTCTGCTCATTGGGACTGGGACATGATTCGTCAGGACTACTCGAACCATGGAGAAGGACCAGTGATCAACAAACGTGCAATGGGTCTCCATTTGAACAACAAGGATGATCCTGGCAATGCTTGACTATTCTTCTGGTGAATACTGGAGCTGGGGAGTGGCATCCTCCGTACAGTCTTCATCAGGCACTGTAGAACCCTGCCCTACACTGGTCCTTCCGTGCCCTACCTTGACCCATGGATATCAAATACACAAAGGTAAGTCCCTCCCCAACGGGCTTTTGCTCATTCAATCTTATCAACGACCACTTCGCTGGGTCGGATTGCTTGCCGTCGCCGTCAACATGTCATTCTCGTCGTCAGAGAATCGGGCCTTTGACCTGGCTGAGAAGATCACTTCTGTCATCTCCGTCGTTGGCGCTGCATTCATCATCGTCACCTTCTTGTTTGATGACAGGTTTCGCAAGGCTATCAACAGACTGGTCTTCTACGCCTGTTGGGGAAACCTATTTGCCAATGTTGCCACATTGATTTCGCGGTCCGGCATCAACCTGGGAGTCAACTCTCCGCTGTGCCAGTTTCAAGCATTGCTGATACAATGGCCAGTATTTCCAACGATCTGAGAGGGCATTGTCTGACTTTCACCAACAGGTTCCTGCCGGCTGACGCGTTATGGACTTTTGCCATGGCTTGCAACGTCTATTTGTCATTCTTCCGCCGCTATGACGCCCCAAGGTTACGCACACTGGAGTGGAGATACCTCGCCTGTTGTTACGGTATCCCCTTTGTCCCGGCGTTGGTATTTCTGTTCATCAGCACACCGGTGCGCGGCAAGATCTATGGAAATGCGGTGGTAAGGATCTCGACACTCACAGAGACACCTATTGACCTCTTTCAGTTGTGGTGTTGGGTATCCGAGGAATGGAATGCCTTGCGGATCGCCACCTTCTACGGTCCGGTATGGCTAGTTATCCTAATGACATTCTTCATCTATCTCAAGGTTGGCATGGTCGTGTTCCGATGGCGCAAGCAGCAGCTTCGCTCTTTCGATCACAACAGCTCCGCCAATATCGACAAACCTGGACGTGATTACCCTATGGGAGATATGGCAAGAAGGAAATACGAGAGTACCGACAACTCTGCCTCGACTGGATACACACATCACAGATCACCGTCTGTTGAAGAAAATACTGTTGGCGCCCTCCCACCAACTGTCCATGTCACTCAATCGAGTCAGCAAGTCGTCGATGCGAACAGAGCGACCTTGAGTTATTGCAACACGGCAATGTTGTTCTTTGTCGCCTTGATCTGCACGTGGTATGTATCAATTCTTTCTCTGGGGGTACGACTTGCTGACTTTCTTGTGCTCAGGGTACCCTCTACCGTCAATCGATTCTACACGTTGGTCCACCCGAATGACCCGAAATTTGGACTCGAGTTCTCGTCTGGATTGGTGCTTCCGCTTCAAGGATGCTGGAATACGGTCATATATATTGTCACCAGTTTACCTGCCCGTAAGGCGCTTTGGGCGGATCTATTCGGCCAATCGCCGCGAGATGACCCCGGTTCGTACATCAGGTCGCCGCCACTTACTCTGACCAGGAGTAACCATCAGACATTGCCATCGCATGATCAAAGAGCAGACATCATGATGAGCTTTGACGGGAAGAAGAGAGTCATTCATCACGACTCGAGGGCCCAATCGCGGGATGGTGATATTGCTCATGGCATCATTGGGCAGGCTGCTTAACAGGGAAAAGGGATTTGTATATTGTCATACCTTGTACATTATCGAGGGAGGATGGGGAAAATGGGCAAAGGCGACTGGACATGAATGATGAATGTACTGTGTAATATCTAAATCAAAAGTGTCGAGGTCGTTGATGAAGAAGAGGGCGACGTCGAAGCTGATCGTCGATCGAGACCCAGTCCTCATTCCACGTTGTTCCACCCGTCAACGGCAACAACAAAGATTCTTGGACGACATCATCACCGCCACTTCCTCTTCATAACAAACACCAACACCAACACCCTTTGGGACCTATACTCACTTTATCGATCTGTATACTAACCTAGATTTTCCATCAGGACGCCTCTTGTCATTCCTTCTTTACTGTTTACTCATTGCTCACCTCCCCGCACCTCGGCATCAATTTCCGGTGTGTCTAAGTTAGCCTTTCTGGACTAGCCAGTGCAGCCACCCACAACAACAAAATCAACAAGGCTACCTACAAAGACAACTTTTCATACCGTCAGAAAACGCACTCAAAGTAGCATCGGAGACGGTCATCAATGTCCTTGGCCCAGCATGTCTCTGTCGTCGAAGGCTTCGATGAACCCATCGAGGCTGACTACGTGAGCTTACGCCTCTCACGCCAACCGAGCCTGCAGTTGAGTTATGATCCTATCCCTCCGACACACGGCCCAGGCCAGGTCGTCGAGAAACTCGAGAACATCGCTGCTTATGAGGTATCTGTGGGCAAACGAATAGGTAGGAGCAACCGTCTCGACATCCGAGTACCAATGGCTGATTTTCTTTCGAACAGCCCAGATCCTGGTGGGAGTCATTTCCTGTGTGCTAGCTTCGGGGATTGTATTTGGCTTTGACGCTCTGAAGACCATCCTGGTCGAGGAGGGCGTGTATCGAAAATACTGCACCGAAGAAGAGCTCCGACACGACCTTCGCTTGTGCTACTTGCAGGACCAGAAGTGAGTCCCTTCAACATTCCATTGGTCAAACCACAGGATGTAACGCGTCTCTCAGACTCAACCTCACATTCATCATCGCGTCCGTCACCACCAACATCTCCGCCCTGCTTGTCGGGAGAGTGCTCGACACATACGGCCCCCGGATATGCGGTTTGATCAGCTCGGTGTTTCTCCTGCTCGGCAGTCTCTGCATGGCTTTTGCCCAGGACGTTACGGTCGATCTGCTACCCGCAGGCAGCTTTCTTCTATCACTCGGCGGCACATTCACCTTCGTTCCGTCATTCCACCTGGCCAACGCATTTCCTCAGCATCAGGGCCTGATTCTGGCGTTGGTGACCGGCGCCTTTGATGCCTCTGCTTCAGTCTTCTTGATCTTCCGAATGCTTTACCAGTCCACCAACGGCGCGTTCAGCCCTCGCCACATTTTCCTGGTGTTCCTCGTCGTTCCGGTGTTCATATTCATCACGCAACTCACCATAATGCCGACTAAGAGCTACGAATCCCGCGGCGAATTGGCGAACACCCTCGAAAAGGCCAATGACGCGATGCGCGATGTGCACGACTCGGACGACGAGCTCGACACGGCAATGGAGGTCATGCGCATACGGTCTGAGCGCGCCCAAATGCGGAGACAGAGCATCACATCGATCAACGATTTGTTGGGAACACCCGCGCAGCAGGAAGTTCGCGAGCTGAAGGAGGACCAGATCCGCGTCAATAGTGGGGTCTGGGGCGTGCTTCACGGCGTTCCGGCCTCCAAGCAGATACGCACACCGTGGTTTATACTCATTACGCTGTTCACCGTCCTGCAGATGACGAGGTTCAACTTCTTCATCGCCACAATCTACTCGCAGTATGTGTACATGCTAAACTCGACGGAGGCTGCGATCAAGGTCATCGAATTCTTCGATCTGGCCTTGCCCATCGGTGGGCTGGTTACGGTGCCGTTCATCGGTGCCTTGCTCGACCATACCAGTACGGTCGCTGTGCTGAATCTCTTGGTCTTGTTGAGCACCATTATCGGTGTGCTGGGTGCCGTACCGACGTATTGGGCTGCATATGCCAATGTCACGCTGTTCTGTCTGTTCAGGCCATTGTACTACTCGGCCATGTCTGACTACGCTGCCAAAGTGTTTGGGTACGCCACCTTCGGCACCGTCTACGGCGCGATCATCTGCTCATCTGGTCTCTTTACGTTTGCGCAATCCGGCCTGCAAGCGCTCTTGCATGACGGTTTCGACGACGACCCGGAACCGATCAACCTGGGTCTCGCGACCGCCGGTCTAGTTCTTGGGGTGGCGTTGGTAATGTACGTCGATATCCAGGGACGGGCAATGCAGCGGGACCGCGCGTTCGCCGCAATGGACGAACGAAGGCCTTTGCTACAACAGCAACGCAGTTTACGAGGACGACCAATTCCAACGAGTATGACTGCCGGCGCAAGTATAAATGGGGAGCCCGGCCTCTCTTCGAGTCTGAGGGCAAGTGGTTCCGGTGCGACTGCTGGATTGGTAGGCGTAGGGATCGGTAATAGTACTGCCACGGACGACCCCGAGCGACATCGACTGCTGGACAGGCCTAGTCGGCAGGCCTTGTTTGATCGCGCGTTGTCGACAGTGCAGGAGACGAGGGAGCCGGAAACTCCGTCTGCAGAGACCGAGGCCTTTCCCGCTTTTCCATTTTGATAGCTGAGGTCTGTATCATATTTCGAAGTCTGCCGTTCAACAGCATGTATTGTTTCACATTTTTGCATTTGTTAGCGTCGTCAGCGCGAGCGTTGTTCTCTTGGAGTGTTTATCTACCTGTGTACCACTATATTGACAGCAAGCGTTGAGCATATTTGACACATGATATAATCTAATGCTACTGAATCTACGAAGCGTAAGGACTCTTCTCCCTCAATTTAGCTCCATATTTCCAAAACACCACTGGCGCCGGCGCAAGTAACGCGGCAACGCACCCCAGCCACGTCATGGTCCAATGTACCCCAATGCCCTCATACATCGGTCTCGCAGCCATGACCATGCCTCCGGAAATAAGGTACCGTACCATAGTGATACTAGCAAGGGCGACAGCTGCATGCTCGCCATATGCATCGATAATGTACTCGTAGCAAGAAACATACATGGCCGTTGCGACGATGCCAAAGACGAAACAAGCCCCGAGTCCAGACCATATCGAGATACTCACATAATTCGTCCATCCTAACCAGAAAAGCGAGACGGGCAACAAAGGTGCTGTCAGCATTGCCGGCCACAGTCGAAATTCGGGGGCCACGGCCGCTTCAGCCACATCCCCGGTTTGATGTCGGGAGAAGCGGTACAATAGTGGAGCGCAGAGCATGAAAGTGGTAGAGCCTGCAGCGATGCTGCCGAAGCAAGACCCCGTCATGCCCGTAGAGAGGCTATAGGTTTCTTTGAAGGTGTAGTCGAATCCGGAAAGGAAGGAATACTGCAAGATGTAAAGGAGGGTGAGATATCCGCCGAACACGGCGATGACTGGCTCTGAGGTGAAGAATGTCACTGGCATAGGAAGGACTTGCTTGAGTCGGCCCCAAAAAGAGGCTGTTTCGGCATGTTTGGAAACATAGTCGTCTGACCCGCTGACGGATCGCAAGTGTCGCGCCTTCCAATCGATTAGGATGGGGAGGTACGTCTCTGGCAAACATATAAGGGCCACAACGAAGGCAAATGCCGATATGATCAGCGTGATCCATTCGCACCAACGCCAGCCAAGAGAAGGGGTCGATGTGATCCAGCCACCTGCAATGGGAGCTATCATCGGTGCAGCAATGTTGGCCCAGGCGATGATCGGAAACACAAAGGCCCGTTTCACCGGTCTGTATTGGTCGCCCACACTAGCTCCATTGATGCCTAGTGTTGCACTTGCGAACAATCCCACGAAAACCCGGCAGACAATTTGGCCGCCGAACGTTGGCGTCAAGGCTGCTCCGAGGACAAAGAATAGGTATACGAACGTCGCAGTTAGAAACGTCGGGTTCCGGCCCACAGTCTCGGACAATGGTCCAACGAACAGACAACCACAGCCAATGCCCCACAGGTACATGGCTGTGGAGAGATTCTCGGCGACCTTGCTGACGTGGAGGGCCTCAGAGATGTCGGTGTTGGCCATAGAGTCGGCGCCGCCAGCCCATCCTTGCGCGAAGATCAGCAGTGACAGGACGGCGATATTTCCGTTGCGGTAACGGAGTGACCAGTTGTGCGGGTCGATGGGGTCATCGTGGCCTTCCTTGCCAACCATGACTTTGCCGGTGTCTTTGTCCCGATGTTGGTAGTCAGGTTCACTTGGGTGTCGCCGGAGAGGGGTGTGTTCTCGTTTTTTGGCGTCATTTTGTTGTTCGGCGGCGTTGGCTTTGGACAATGCACGACGAAGAGAAGAATCTGAGCTGGAGTTCTTCTCGAGGTCTCGTTCCGGCCCAGACTCAGATGAAGAAGGTGCATGGAGTTCGGACCCTGACGGCACGTGCTCTGGTTGTTGTCGAACACCGGTATCCTCAGGGTTGTCGCTCTTTTTGTGCTGCCAGTCTTGTTCGACGTCCCTCCTGATCTGCCTGTATTGAACTAGCGACCACATTTCTCGTCGTCATATTTAGGAAGCTGTTGATTGGTAAAAGCCATGCCCTTCCAGTATTGAAATTCACGGCCACATTTTGGAGCATCACCTGAGTTGAGACAAAGAGAGAGCGGGACAAAGGGAAAACGGTACTTATGACAATAGGGTCAGCCAGCGTGGAACTCCTACAGGGGTCGTCATGCCATCAAGCCATTTTAGGTCAGCGAGAATGTTGAGAAACGACGCGGCCATGATGCAATGACCCGAATTCTGGCAGAACCTCGGTCGTGGATGTGGAGAATAGCATTGAGATGGTCGATCGAAAACACATAAAAATTCACGTAAAGAGGAAGGTCGAAGTAAGTCGAACCGAATTTGGTCACGCAAGTGTCGTGTGCTAGATTTCCTCTTCCGGACAGTGCATATACGGATGTCGAATGCCGAACGAGTGAGCGAATTGCATGGAAAAGAAAGAGATAAAGGAGGAAGCGAAGATGAGACATGTGAAATGAAAGATGGAAATATCATTGCATCATAACTTACTCGTACGGAGGGAGACATTAACAAAATGCGAAAAGGCATGATTGCCAAGCTGGCTTAGTCATCTTTTCACGTGACCAGGTTTTGGCGCAAAGCAACGACAACATCGTCTTTCTGCATTGCACTCGTTCCAGTTTACCATTCACCATAGAAGCAAAAACTTCTCTACAAGTTCTATGTTTTCTCGAGGTTATAGGTAAGTGAAATCTTGGGTACGAGCTTTTGGTCAAATCGATGTGGTCGAACCACGAACTCTAGCGATTCCAGGGGAATCGGTCCTACTGAAAAGCAATGCACCTCGCAAAGCAAGTTTGATTTGGAGTTTCATTCGGGGACATTACAATCAGCCAGCGACAAAAGTGCTATTGCATGTCTCTCGGCTTCACCGTGGATTGACCCTTGATGTTGAGATAAATATGCGACCATTATCTTTTCACTGCCAGGGAGCGCTCTCAGCACCATTCGTGGTGCTGGCCAAACGATGGACTGCACGTCCTTCTACATTGCAACGCCTATACTTCGGTCAGACTGTGTCCTTCGAAGCTAGGAGAGGCATGGCCGGTTCCGATTCACCCGCTTACTGCAGGCTCCAACACCCTGGATGTGCCGGGGACTTAGGAAGGTGGGCTGATAAATGTCTCCGCGACAATTGATTGACAGCAACAAAAAGTGAGGACACTAAAACACAGGAAAGACTGATAAAGACTGCTCGCCCAACCTTGCATCTCACAAAACAGCTGCAAACAACAACGGTCCAAAATCGGCATCCCCTTTCCTCAGTTTCACCCACGATGAGCAACTTGGAGGCCACCAACCGCGAACATTTCGAGTAAGATGCCCATGCCCTTTCGCCAGTTCGAATTCCTAATAAATCCTCTAGCAAAGTCGCATCCAACTATGAGACCGACTTTGGCGATATGCTGCGCACCGCTATCGCAGAGTTTCAAGCCAGGCGTCTCTGGATCCGCAAAGATTTGACCGAGAATAACAGCACTTCCGAAGGTGATAATCCCCATACGATCCGGCTCCTGGACTATGCATGCGGGGCCGGGACGGCATCCAAGGTGAGCGTCACTCCCATCCAAGCATATTGCTCAACTGAGAGACACTTACATTGAACAGGCATTGGCGCCATACGTCACCCAGATCGTCGGTCTCGATCTCTCAGAGAACATGGTATCCGAGTACAACAAGTACGCCCGCTCCATGAGCTTTGACCCGCAGAAAATGCAAGCGTACCGTCACAATCTGCTGGACGAGACTGACAAGCCGCCCACCGACGTCGAGCTCGCAAACTTCGACGTCGCGATCATAAGCATGGCGCTGCACCACGTTTCCGACCCAGGCAAACTCGTTCAGCGTCTCGCAGGGTGTCTGAAAGTCGGCGGCGTCTGCGTGGTACTGGATAGAGCACCATCACCTACAGACACGGACTTGGAGACCCCGGATATGCATGATCGGCCTAAGGTGCTGGATACCATTAATCAGCATTCTTTCAGCGAGGAACAGATGCGCCAGCTGTATGCTGATGCAGGTTTGACTACAGGTTTCGACTATGTGCGCATTCCGAAACCTTTTGAGTTTACGCTGAAGGGGGAAAAGATGTTGGTCAGTGGATTCTTTGCTAGAGGAGAAAGGGTTGAACATTAGGAAACCCACCTGGAATATGATTGGTGGAGGCTACCACACATACTGGTACTCATACTCCGTACATTCCTTTGCATCCTAAATCTAACCAGAAGAACTGGTATGGTAATCCCTGCTTCACGATCTGAAAAGACTGATACTTTGCTTGGTCTTAAAAGTTGCTACGGGTTTCGATTCTTGTGCCATGTGTCCGATGGCCAGCGTAACATCATACGGTGGCATTTGTCTACAAAACTCGAGGAGCAACAATGACTTAGCAACAACTTAAGAACGATGACAGCGGCAAGGAATGTATTCATCAAGCAGACTCAGGTCGACGGTTCAAAGATAGATAGGTATTCGATATCAACTTCGCGCACCTACGAAGGCCTGTCCACTTCCCCTTCACCCAAGTCTAGTCCGCAGTCCAGCTTTATCAATGTTCAGATCCATTGTGCTTATACCACTGCCTGCCAGTCAAACCCAACTTGCATTGCCTATTGTTTGTTGGATTATTCAGTGCTTCCCTCAAAGTCAGCCAAGGCCTTTTTTGATGAGATGGAAAAGAGTGAGGATCATACAGTGCAGCAGGTGCAGCCCTTGCAACCAGAGGAAGCATGCCCGCAGGTCGAGCAGTGAGGTTCCATGGTGAGAATCAGGGGCTTGTTCGGTTTGGATGGGTAGAAAGAACACTGGTACGGTATCGAGACACTTGAGGAAGATGATGATTGCTAATGAAGATAGGAAGACAAGACCTGACTTGACCTGATATCACCACCTTTATATAAGTTTCGACCAGTATGCTCTTCATGTCGGCTGACATCCTTACATCAAAGCGTGGGGTCTTACCATTAGGTAAATGCCCTGCTCTATGCGAGCATGATCGTTGATCCCTTGCAGCTTTTGCCCTATGCTCGTGACGACGAGCAAGAGTGAGTGGGATTATGGAGCACCTGGCTGCAGGGAAGAGTAGTAGGTGAACCCTATTGCACTCACGGCACCTATTGCTGGTACTGGCCTTGCCCACACACCCCTCTCCTGCCATGCAACTATGCCACCTGGCTCACTGTCGTCCAATCGAAACTATCTTTCCTTTCACCTATCTGTGGAACGGCTCGTAAGGTTGGTATGCGCCTCTACTCGGGCTGTGCCGGGGGATCCCAGAGCCGCCTGGTGCCTAGATCCATCCGTTGCGACACCGCCCACTCGTCTACGAAGACCATGTCCAGCAATCTCTGCCTCATTGGAGTTTATTTGGTGATTTTGTGATGATAATGAGCATGGGGAGTTCGTATCACCTTCAAAAAGTGGCTGGTTTTGGTCAGTGAATGGATACACGCACTACAAAACTACCACAGTCTCAGAAGACACTTCACAGGTGAAACCCTGGATTGGAGTCGCTTCTTTTCTCCTATTCTCGTACCCATATGGTCAATCCAAATGAATACTGACCATGATCAAAGGGCCGAGATGGCGTCCACGAGTTGCATGAATGGTTAAGCTGCTGGCTCACCTGATTGCTTGGTTTTTAACTGGTGCAATGGATGGCTTACAGCTCCTCTAATGGCCCGATAGACGTTTTGGCTGTTTGGCTGATTTCGCAGCACTCTGCCCAACCGCTCCACTTTTGGGTGTTGTATCGTTGCTTGTCGGAACTCCACGTGGCTCTGTGCCGCCCTTCTGTATGCTCATGACTACGGCCTTCTTCCGCCAACTTTACAATATCTCCAGGTTGGTGAGCGCGAACATGAGAGCCGTGGCCCTGGTCGTGGAGGAGCAAGAGACCGAGAATGTCTGATGCAAGGCCGAGCCAGCCATCAAGTAGGACAAACTTACGGTTCGAGACAATTTGTGGTTGTAAAAAGTGCTGAACAGCTTCCAGGAACATGGACGACCACAGGCCACGAGGAAGACACCATTCATTGATGCTCCTAGGGTGTGCCCCCAGCTCTTTCATCTTGGTAGGATCAAATGTCCCGGTTGCCTCAAGGATCCACGGATTTTTCAGTCCCGGCGACTTCTTGAGCTAGTGGAAGGCAGGAGCTTCCTTTGTTAAGGCCGGACGAGGACGACCTCTCGTTTCCTCCGTCGCCGGCCACATTGTGAGATCTTGCTCATTTGGTGACAGAGTATCCTTTGCTGACTACACGAAATCTAGTTGACATTCAGAGCGGGAAAGTTACTGGTTGCCCTTCTGCGAGTCAGCAAGACTAGTAGTATTCGTGGTAGGTCGTGGGAGATTTGGCCCGGTGAGGAGGAAAGAGCGACGTATTACTTTGCAATGAGAAGGGATTGTGTATAGTCCGCGATCTTTCCAAAGAGCCGCCAACATTGTGCTGACCTGAAGATGCTAATTTTCACCGACAATCGCAAAAGACAGGCATGAATCAATGAAGATGCGCAGGCGGCGGTTACTCATATCTATAGGTCATCTACTGGTTAGATTGGCTGTACCTTTCGGACTGGATGCGATATAGTGTTCTTAAGGTCCTCGATTTCTCGGGGTCGATAGACGATGCTGATTTGCTAGATGTCACGGTACTGATTGACACATGCTACAGGGATAGGGACGTCTACGTCTTGTTCCTTGTCCCATGCGCCTGTATGAGAGAGCTGGGCCTGCACGATCGGTCTTCCAATGGGCATTATTGCTGTATAAACGCTTCCGTTGTCTCTGCAAGCAAGAGTGGTACTCCCCCCACCAGGCTCCATGCACTGGGACAACGACATTCGACAACGCAGAATCCATGCAACAACCACTGACTGTCTCATTTGTACATCTTTATCGCCAGCCGAAAATAACAGTCTAATCATCCAACAGGTTCGCTTCACCGTTAACTTGCTTGCCGTCTTCCTGGTTATCCCGTGTATCCTTGTTACCCTTCTTTTCCTTGCCGTGACTCTTCCTGGCATAGAACTCGTCAAGAATCTTCGGGTTGATTCGGTTGAGAAGTTCCTTGGGGAAGATTCGAAGTAGGTTCCATCCAAGATCCAGACTGTCAAAGATCGATCTCTTATCATACGGGCTTTGCGAGATAAATTGCTTTTCGAACTTTTCCAAGAATTCCAGCGACAATTTGTCTTCTGAACTCAAAGCTTCCTCACCGACGACAGCTTTCATGGCCGCAGCGTCACGGCCAATGGCGTATTTGGCGTACAACTGATTCGACACATCACCATGGTCTTTTCTGGTCAAGCCTTCGCCGATGGCAGACTTCATCAACCGTGACAAAGATGGCAAGACGTTGATAGGCGGGTAAACACCCTTGTTGTGCAGTTGTCGATCAACGAAGATCTGACCTTCCGTAATATATCCAGTCAAGTCAGGAATCGGATGAGTGATATCATCGTTAGGCATAGTTAGAATAGGGATCTGCGTGATGGATCCATTTCTGCCTTCGACACGGCCTGCTCGTTCGTAGATGGTGGACAAATCAGTATACATGTAACCAGGATAACCACGTCGACCAGGCACTTCTTCTCGGGCAGCAGAGACTTCTCGGAGAGCGTCGCAGTATGCCGATAGGTCTGTAAGGATGACCAGAACGTGCTTCTCCAACTGGTAGGCGTAGTATTCTGCGGTTGTGAGAGCAAGACGAGGTGTGATGATACGTTCGATCGTAGGATCGTTGGCCAAGTTCAAGAAAAGCGTAACTCTCTCCATGGAGCCGTTCTCTTCAAAGTCGCGAGTGAAGAATCGAGCCGTTTCCATGTTGACACCCATGGCAGCGAAAACAATGCTGAAATTCTCTTCGTGACCATCGTGGACACCCTTGGTAGGCTTTTGCACCAATCCAGCCTGCCGACAAATCTGAGCAGCAATCTCGTTGTGAGGTAGACCGGCCGCAGAGAAGATAGGGATTTTTTGTCCTCGAGCAACTGAGTTCATGGTATCAATAGCAGAGATACCCGTCGAGATCATCTCTTCGGGGTATACCTTGGTCTGGTTAGCATGTAGCGTTGAAATTGAGGGGAGCAGACGTACTCGTGAGTAGGGGTTGATGGGACTGCCGTTAATGTCGAGATAGTCCTCTGCAAGCACTTTAGGACCTTTGTCTATAGCTCTTCCTGATCCATCAAAGACTCGACCAAGCATGTCCTCGGACACGCCAATCTTCAGACTGTGGCCTGTGAACTCGACTTTCGTCTGCAAAAGGTCAGCAATGACCGATGTGAGATTGACAACCCTTGTGTACCTTCTTCACATCGATGCCCGACGTGCCCTCAAACACCTGCACAACAGCTCGGTTTCCTGGAGCGCCACATGTCAATATTCCCAATCCTTTGTATTCGCGCAGTGGTAGCACACACCTCTTGCTTCCAACACCTGACCTGACCTCGACGAGCCATCGGGGAGTGTTAGACTGACAATCTCGTTGTATCTAGGGAATTTGACCTGGCGAGGAAATTGTTAGATATGGTCTCATGTTACTCCGCGGAGCTGCACCGCTGTGCGAACATACATTGTCGAGAATGACCAGAGGACCATTGACGCCTCCAATTGTGTTGTATGTCAGCCTAGGCTTGACACTGCCCATACGATGGTCTATTTCGGCCATGTTGGCGGTCTGCTGGTGGATGACGAGGGATGGGGAAGCAGCAGAAGGTTCTTTGCTGGAATGGAAAGCTCTCCAGGAAGATAAAATGGATGAGCGAATCGGCTGGGAGGGATGATGCAGGCAGGCAAAGCTGGGGAGGATCTTGACGCTTGAGAGAGATGGCGCCAAAAGATAATCTCTACGACCTGCTGCAGCTGCAAACAGTTACGTTAACGTGCAGTTGGACAATTGGAGCTGCCAATGACGGTGACCGCAGCCAAGATAAAGATGCAGGTGGCAGCTGCCGGCCATCCAAATCAGACACGTGAGTCCACGTGACTGGCGTCATCGTTTAACTGATATGTCCTGCACCATCAATACCTACCTGGTAGGTAAGGTAGAAGACTTTGTTCCACGTCACCTTGACATACCATACTTATCTTATCTATATATGAAACATATGGTGGCATGCTTCCCAGTCCGCGAATCTCAGCGAAGCTTGCCATGATCTCTCTTGCTCGCAGGGATCCCCCGGGTATTCAGCAGCGTACCAATTGTACCTCATTTCTCCTCATCAAAGCGCTATTTGATCATGCGGCTTTCCTCGTGCCGTGCGCATTGGAGCCAGAATTGCACCCGCAAAGAGGCCGAACGCCTTATCGCGGACAAACAAATACATAGCCCCAAGTTTAAGCATTGCCCCGGGACGGCCTCCGCGTTTCGTGCCGCTTGACGTGAGCTAATCATGTCAGTCCTAGCTGGCCGCTTCCAATGTCTATACTCCTACCAGTGCAGTGGCGCAAAATGTTCTCAAGATTTTGTTCAGTCCATTGGATGAAGGCCGCCGACTATCACAAAAGGACTGTGGCTCATGCCGCATGGCCTAGTAAGTAGTAACACAACTGTGCGCTGGAAGGATCGTCATGTAGCGTAGCCCTTGCGGCTAGCCTCAGGCCTCCTGTTACTACGGTACATGGCGCGACCTGCAGGGAAGCGTGTGTGCCGCCCTCAATTTGGGGGCGACTATAAATAGAGGGTTATACATGTACAACGTACGGACTCACTCTGGTACTTCTTCCAAACCTGTCGGCGACCCGCCTTCAGCATTCATGGTTGCCAACAATCCGCAAGGCAAATCCCTCCGACAGCATGGCTCAATCTTACCAACTCCGGTCTTTCGAATTCGAGGATGATGCAAGTAGGAACACCGATGTATCTGATTTCTCCTACGTCAAACCTGGCTTGTCGACACCTCCTCTAGGAACAACAGCCCGAAAACCGCACATGTTCAGCAACATCCGTGGCTACAAACCTGTCGACAACACCACGGACGAACTGCCAAAGCGACAGACACGACCACGGCCTAGGCGAACTACCTTTCTGCGATGGTGGATGCCCGAAATAATAGCGTCGTTCCTCTCGATCGCCTCATTGCTGTCTATCGTCATTGTCCTGATAATTTATGAAGGAAGAGGCATTGACGACTTGAATCTGCCCAATTGGCTCACGCTGAACGGTCTTGTCGCCACGCTCTCAACTTTCAACAGGGTGTGTCTGATGGTCCCTGTCAGCTCGGCTCTCAGTCAAGAAGCATGGCTGTGGTTTTCCAGAGCCAGTCAAGATCCCACAGTTCCCAGCCGTTTGCGGGATCTGGAAAGGTCGGATCATGCGTCTCGAGGCGTCTGGGGAAGTATTGTCCTGTTGGGAATTCCTTCAAAACGGTAATAAGCCTGGTCACAAAGTCTCAAGCCGACGAAGCTGACATCGAGCCTGACAGCTATCTCGCCCATTTCGGTGCCATCATCACCATCCTGTCTCTTGCGGTCGGCACTTTCAACCAGCAATTGATTTCCTACAGCCAATATCCCACCGAGACCACCAGTCTACAGCCCGGCAATATTCCGCGAGCTGAGGTCTGGCAGGATTTTGAGGGGAACCCCGCCGAGGGTTGTAAGTGATGAACGTCTGAATAGTTTGGATGCGACTAACAATTCATTCCAGCCTGTTTCCCTTCCCTGGACTTTAAGGCCGCTGTCTATAACGGCATGATGACCGAGAACATTGCGCCTATCACCGCAAATTGCCCAACAGGTAATTGTACATGGCCAGCCACGCCATCGATCGCCGTCTGCGGTGAATGCTCGGAGTCCTCCTACAAGAAATCGTGCAACGAGACCAACTGTATGTACACGGCACCCTCGGGTTCCGTAGCAACCTTCTTCAACACAAGTGGTAATGACGAAGGGACGGGGTTTCAAGTCATACCAAGCAAAGGTGCCAAATACAACAGCAGCATCTATGACAAACTTTACGTTGCCAACTTCGATGTCATGGGAGCGCCGTACGACAGTTACAGTGGAGAGTTTGAGCAAGACAACATTACTTCGCAAGAATGCGCCCTCTGGATGTGCATTCAACAACTTCAAGTTGACACCACAGACGGCCACCAAACCGAGACCATTCTCCAGACTTTTGACTCCATGAATAGCACCCCAGTGGGTGGTAGTGGCGCAGATAATTACACATTTCCTACCCTACCGGCCAACATGTCCGCCAGTCCAGACACAGAGGTGTACAACATCAGCCTACTTGCAACAGATGCGCTGGAAAGTTTCCTTGGTCCATTGTTCGAAGGATCGGTCTTTTTGAACCTTGAATCAAATACACCATCGAGCGATGCCGTCCAGGCAGTGTGGAATGGCACGAACGATTTGAATGGCTGGATGCAGAATCTCGCGCTCAGCATGAATAACGTCATGCGTAGCAAGACGCCCATGACTCGGGATGCGTACAATGGCAGCACTACCGAACTGGGCGTCCGAATTCGATGGCCTTGGATTGCCCTCCCCATAGGCATGGTCGCGGGTTCGCTGATGTTGTTGCTCGCTGTCATTGTGGAGACGGCAAGAAGCCCTGTCGAGGCCTGGAAGGGTAGTCCCCTGGCGTACTTGGTGTTTGGTGTCGATCAGGAGACTAGAGGTAACCTGGAGAACAGCGCTGGTGCTGATGGATACAGAGACCTTGGAAGTACCGTGGGAATGACCCGAGCTGTGCTTCATCCTCAGCCTGGAGGAAAGTGGACTTTTAAGGCTGCTTGACAGAATATATCGACAAAATCTGATGTCGTGTCTTCAACATATTCATCGAGTCACTTCCGCTTGGTCCGATTCATCACTCGCCCACAGGTTCTGGTCTTCCACTGAATAGCAGCCTGAACTTGACGATATCGACTATCTCGAGATCTTCGTTATTGTTGTGTCCGTCATGCTGTTCAGCCTTTCGTATCACTGCGAGTGGTTTTGCCAGCTTTTTCACCTCCCCCGTCAATCGCTGATACTTTCCGACATATAGGTAGACTTTCTTCATCCATTTGCCCTCGTCCGCCTCTTGAGTTTTGTGGAGTGGAAACTCGAGTCTGCCCACGGACGTGGTAACCTCAGCCTGTTCGTTGGGATCCTGAAGTGCGCCATGTATTGTGCCTTGGATTTCGAGGATCGCAAGGCCAGAGGGGGTTTGGAGAAGGGTCGGTAGCGGATTCGCATCTCGTCCGCTGGTCTTTGATCTCGTGGACGACGGTGGAAGGAGTTGTATGGATGGCATTCTGATCTGCAGAAGCACTTCTTGTCTCTGCGAGGAAGACTACGATCTTGAGATGCACTTTTGGCAAGAACGTCGACGATCGTGTAAAGTGCAAGTCGCGTCAACGCGTCGCGGTGCCGTTATCGATAGCTGATGAATGATTAGCCGATGATTAACCGGGGCTTTCACTACAACAGACAATTCAGGTCCCAACTTAACGACAGCATGCCCTCTTTATACAATAAGGATTCATCATTATCCCCAATGACCTTGACAGACAAGCGAGTCACTCACTCTGACTTTGGCAAATGCTAACTTGACAGCATGTGAAAGAGGAAAAGGTGAGTGCGATGGAAGGTGAGATCTCGTTGTGGGCCACAGAAAGCAGCTGGTGTTGATGCGACCACAATCGTATAAACTAAACCTCCATTGTCGACAGAGGCCGCCACAAGACGAGCCTTTTCTCTGCCGGAGATAAGCCATGGGTCAGTGAATATGTCGTCGTGGACACCTCGCCGTTGATTGCTGAAGGTTTGACTCGGAGAATTTACCATCACTTCGCCCAGTCAGTATGACTCTCTTTGGACGGGTTGATCGGAGTACGTTGTCGCTCCGGAGAAGATTAACACCTCAAGATCTGTTGAAGCCGGGATGAGTGAAGCTGTCCTATTCATTGTATTCAGCAGTCATAACAATGGCTTCACCAACGACAACCAACTTCACAAAGAATCCTGATAAAAAGGCACAAACGAACAAGGAAACTGCCTCACTCGACAACAATGTCTTTATGCGACAAGCATCTTTAAAGAGACTCGACCGAGGGACATAATCGACGGCATCAACACCAATCCGGTAGTGTAGGCCTCCAACGACAACGATCCACCTCGGAAGTCTGTTTTTGCTGCACCCATCGCTACCGATCTCAACGGTCGACCACAAGAGGTGAGATAAGTCGACACGACAAAGGCTTTCATTGAGAGGCGAAGGCGAAACTTTGGTGTTGGACTCCTCTGTCGCATCATCCCTCGTCCTAGACAACGAAAAGGTGCGCAGTAGTGACAGTGAATACCCTCCATCTTCACGACAACACTCGTTACTCGGACGACTTCGTTTACTGCCGGCCGGCCTTCTAGGCTGCCACCACTTTCTTTATCTCCGCGACCACAACTACTGAGGCAGACAACCACTCAAAAGCTCATACATCAGCAGGGATCGATAGCATTCAGGGATTGATAGTTGCTAACGAACCGGAGAGAAGATGATGGCTCAAGCAAGAAATAGACGTCAGTCGTCAGACGCACTTTCGGCTTTCACGATAGATGACTGCACCAGTGTCAACAGCGGCGATCCTGTCAACCAACCGTTCTTCAGCAAGAGCAAGAAGCAGCCACTCCCTCCATCCCACACAGCATCGACAACATGGAAGAGTAACTACGTCAAGGAGCAGGAAGAATTCGAACGAGTCAAGCACCGCGTCAAACACATTGCCCCTGAGCATTTCAAAGCGGATGCAAAGCCAGGTAGAGGACCATCGGAGATCTTTCCCCAAGATGTGACAGAATGGACGCAGCACAAGAAGGAGATACTTGCCATTGCACAAGCAGAGCAGCAGAAGAACTGCGAGCTGTTGAAAGCCCAGATCACCGCTAGAACCAAGATTCCTAAACAGCAGAGAAAGATCAAGTCGGTATTTGGTGTCGATGGCAAGGTCTTCAACGACAGTCGAGGTCCTGTACTTGCTGTGCCTACTATCTGGTCAGACGAACACAGCCAAGTTCAAGCAACATGGCCGACATTAGCCGAATTGAGGTGGAATGGCGACAGCAGAGAATGCAAGCTTGCTCGGACCAAGTGTGGTCGATATCTTCCTCCACCTCGCGATCCATCTGAACCATCCTTGACGTGGCATGACCAACCGTTCTTGAGAGCATCGCCGCTCGATCAGACCGGACCAGTATACACTCAAGGGCCTAGACCGGATGAGGTCTACGAGGCCAACGATGATATGAACAACGACGCGGAGTTTGAAAAGCCAGGCAACTTCTTTCTCGGAGACAACTTGATGCAAGAGATTGGTGAATGGCGACCAAGCTTCGTACCAGAATGGCGACAGGAACAACCAGGTATGCGCGGAGAGCTTTTTATTCAGGATGGTCAGCTGGAGCGTGAGCTTGTCCCTGGCATCAGCCATGACAATTACGCTGAGACACATGTTGAGGTCATGGAGACTCTGGACTTTGGGATAATAGGGGGTCACCTGAAACGTTGAATGGAAGGGGAGCTGGGAACTTGGCAGCTTGATGTTGATGAGATACTTCTGACAGCTTGGATAGGCTGAGAAATTGCTTTACGTGGTGGCTATATGGCAATTAGGTGAGAGACGAGTTTCTTTTTGACGGAGCGGTTGCTATCGATAACATGGAGCTGGCATGATTGAACTGCTCGGCATCGGAGCTGGAAATGATCTCTTTGGCAAGACCTGAACAGGCTGACAGGATATGCGGGATCAGACAAGGTTATGAACTTGGATGGATTCTGAACATGTGCTCATTGATGGCTGCATCATCATCCCATCATGGCAGCAAGCGAATACGTATACTTGATGACAGATTGTATGAGTATGAATGAATTCCGAGGCTGGTAGTTGTTGTTGCTGACAATCGACCTCATCTCGCTCCACATTCCTTGTTTAGATGGCGCGTGCTCTGCTCTGCCCTCGGCTCTCCCGTGTTTTTAGGTCCACTCTCTCCGTTCTTTGTATCATAGACTTCGGAACGCGGGTGGTAGTTGCGGGGAACCAAGCTGCCTCGGTCTGAGAGCGGCTCACTCGTAGCTGAGTACGTATCTGACCTTGGGGCAATATCTGACGATCTCGAAAACATGGATTCCTCCATCTTCCATAGTCTTTCTGGACTGTCCGTCGCTTCAGCATGGCAGTCAGTCGTGAGTCCAACCCTTCCTCGTCGTGTCGACCGACCCTTGGCTAATAATTGTCCCAGTCCCTACAGTCGCAGCAGCTCTGGCCGGTGGGCTAGCCACTGCTGCGTACCTTGACGCAAAGTTTCTTATCAGAGACGATCTCAAGCAAGGCAGTCTAGCCGGTAGCACCCCCAAAGCCGTCGCATACCTCGCGGAACGAGTAAAGCAAGATAGATTCTTCCTATACCACATCATCGAAGACCATGCCCTGGGCAAGAACGCAGACAATCTCTTCCTGATCTTCGAAGACCGTCAATGGACATATAAGCAGTTCTACGACGACATCCAAAGAGTGGGACAATGGCTCCTGCAAGACCTCAACGTTCAGATACAAGAAATTGTTGCAGTCGATGGTGGGAACAGTCCAGAGTTCTTACTGCTCTGGTTCGCTCTCGAAGCCATCCGTTCATGTCCGGCTTTCATCAATTGCAATCTGACATCCGGCCCGCTCATCCACTCCGTCAAGCTCTGTGACGCACGATACATCCTCGCCGACCGCGGAACGCAACGTCTGGTGCAGCCCTGTGAGAAAGACCTCGAAGCAGCCAACATAAGAACCATATACTACGACGACGCCTTCATCAATTCACTCCCTAGCCGCGGACCCCTTCCACGATCCCGCCAAATCGGTGCCGACCCATCAGAACTATGCAGTCTGATCTACACTTCCGGCACGACTGGCCTGCCAAAAGGCGTTGTTATGCGTCGTGGCCGTGACCTCAACACCGCCCGTGGTATATGCGAATACCTCGACCTCAAACCCGGCAACAGGATGTACACCTGTCTCCCTCTTTACCACGGCGCAGCTCACGGCCTCTGCATCTCACCCGTCATCTTCGGCGGCGCATGTGTCGTTCTTAGCCGCAAATTCAGCCACAAGACTCTATGGCCCGAGGTGCGTAAATCCCGTGCCGACATCCTCCAATACGTCGGGGAACTATGCCGATACCTTGTCAATGCACCTCCGTCACCTCTCGACAAGCAGCACAATGTGAAAATGGCCTGGGGTAATGGCATGCGCCCGGATGTGTGGGAAGTGTTCCGCCAGCGCTTCGGCATTGAGACCATCAACGAATTGTACGCAGCGACCGACGGCCTCGGCGCCTCCTTCAACGCGAATAAAGGCGACTTCGGTCGCGGCGCAGTCGCTCTCCGCGGAGCATACTGGCAATACCTCAACTCAGCCAACGAAAAGCGCGTGCGCATGGACATTGAGTCAGGCGAGATCGTGCGAGACGCAAATGGATTCGCCATGGAATGCGGCGTCGACGAGCCAGGCGAAGTGCTGCATCGTATTGACCCTACCATGGCGCAATTCACGACGTACTACAAGAACGACGAGTCGTGGACGAAACGTCAACTGCACGATGTTTTCAAAAAGGGAGACATGTGGTTCCGGTCCGGCGACATGATGCGCCAGGACCGCGATGGCAGAGTGTACTTCGTGGATAGGCTCGGTGACACCTTCCGCTGGCGCAGCGAGAACGTTTCAACAAATGAAGTCAGCGACGTCATGGGCCGATTCGACCAAGTTGCTGAAGCAAATGTTTATGGCGTCGCCGTGCCTCATACGGACGGACGCGCGGGTTGTGCGGCAATCGTGCCAGCCGACAATGTTACAGCTGACACGCTCGATCTAGCTGGTCTGGCTGCTCACGCTATATCCATGCTGCCGCGCTATGCTGTGCCTCTTTTCTTGCGGGTGGTTCCGCAGCTCGAGTACACTGGCACCATGAAGATGCAGAAAGGTAGATTACGGAATGAGGGCGTCGATTTAGAGAAGATCACCGCGTCAAGTTCAAATGATCGCATGTTCTGGCTGCCTCCCGGTTCAGATCGGTACGTCGACTACACACAACAGGCGTGGGAGGATCTCAAGGCCGGGAAGGTGAGGTTATAATACGGCAACTTTACCTCAATAGAGAAATTAGATGCCCTCCCTACAAAGGTACACGGCTTTCTGGTGTTTCGTTTCGTTTCATATGTTATTTGCAGGGCAGCCTACGGGCCCATCCGCATCCGTATCCATATATCATGCCTACCATTTACTGATAGCTAGAGTCTACCACGATTCATCAGTCGCAGGACCACCGCCAAGAAACCTCAACCAGGAAGCCCCCATTTGGTTGAGCATCATGTTCAGACATCCTGTACGGAATCCCTTCATCGGTCGCTCGCATTTCAGTGTGGCGTTGTCCTCATCCATAGCAACCTTTCCACCAAGTACGATATCATATAAACACAAGAGGTGTCTTGCCTCGGAAAAGAGAGGCTATCAGACAAGTATGGCAACAGAATCGGTAAATCGCTTTTGTCGTCGTTAATCATGGATTATGGCCGTCACAGGATCTGTTCATTCAAGAGCTCGCTTCAAGTCGTTCCACTTCTGCTTGAGCCCTTCGTGTTCGCCGTTGAGCTGTATGCATGTCAGCAATTGGCCTTCAAGATCTGAAAACCTGCAAAACTCACCTCAGCATATTTTAACTTCATTTCCACGAGCTCCTTCTCCATTTCGGCCATTTGCTCTTCCATGTGACGATTCTGGTTTTGCACCTCGATGTTCCGTTGCATGACCTGTTCTGTACCTGCCCTCATTCTTTCTTCGACATTGGTGGCCTCACTTTCGGCGACCTTGCGCAATTCTTCCACTTGTACACTCAGACTTTCATTTCGGTCTTGAAGTTCGCTGTTCTCGACCTTGAGCCGGACCAATTCATTTGCAATCTCAATGTGTTCGGTGTCGGATTGCTGAGCACGGTTCTCCAGCGACCGAATTTGAGAGGCTTTGGTGGCGCAGTCAGTCTTCAGATTTTCGAGCTCAGTTTCGCGCGCTTTTTCGGCTTTGGTGGACGTTTCGTATTCCTCTCGATATCGGTTCAGCATCTCCGGGGTAAGTTTGACAGCGCAAGCGTCTTGCACGAGTAGATCAGCTCGATAGACTTCGGTGTCTGAGCCACCTGAGCTGCCAAAGAAGCCAGACTCCAGTAATGACTTTGACGATGGAGTCGCATCCATATATACGTCGAACACCTTTTCCTTGAGGAAATTGGTCAGAGCCTGCATGTCCTGCATCGCCAGTAGAGTCTGGACATTGCGTTGAATGACTGCCATGCCGAACTTCAAGATTGCTCCTTCGAGACCCTCGCACAATATCAGATCGAACACACGCATAACAAGTTGCAGAGGGAACCTGTATGCGAACAGCGTCAGGAACCATTGGGTGGCATAAAGTTTAGGTGTGACCTGCCGCCGATTGAGGTGACAGTATAAGGCGGGTTCAAGGTCTTCCAATAATCTCTCAAACTGGTAAAGGTGAAGATGCAGCCCTGGCATATCCTGAATGAACAACTCTCGTAGCTGGTATTTGTTCATCAGCCGTACCAAAAGGCAGAAGGCTTCTTCTTCAGGCATCGTGAACAACAAAGGCATGACAATAAAGTTCATGCCTTGAGGATATCCGACGGCGTCGTCAAATAGTGCATAGGCTCGGCATACGTGGAATAGTCCATCCTGCAAGCCTGCAGCCGCTGCATATTTCGAATAGCTCGTTCTTGAGCCCATGTCTCGCTTGATCATCTTTTCGAGCTTTGACATTGCCGCGGAATCTTCTTTCGCCTTTTTGGCCTTTTCCGCTGCTAATTGGGTCTGCAAGCGAGCAGCAGCCATCGGATCGGTTTGTTCTTGAGAAGGCGACGGCGATGCCAGACCAACGTTGGCACTGGTAGCCGGGGTAGAATGATCTGACCGGATAGAAGATCTCGAGGATGATACAGACTCCTTTTCTTTGACACTACCATTGGCGTGTCCGTTGAGGAGGGGAGACTTTGGCGGAGGTTCTTTCACTTCTCCGTTTGTACCACGATTTCGCAAATCCCAGTAAACAGCTTCTAGATCCTCATTCTTGCTACCAGCGAGTACTTGCCAAATGACGGGTCGGATTGTTTGTGGAATACCGCCACTGATTGCTTGGGTGAATTCATCGGGACTCGTTCGAGCAACGGCTTGCGGTCCTTCGTTTACAACGTTCTGCCAAAAGTCCCAGTCAATGGGTGTCGCCGTGTCGGCCGCGGATGCTGCCACTCCTGCTACGGTTCCAGGAGCAAGGTTTGGATTGATTGGTATCGATTCACTGGTTGGGGATGTTGGCGACAAGACTGGGGTTGTCATAACCTTCTCGTCTGGACCAACACTTCCAGGAGTAGCAATTCCAACTCCCAGACTTGCGGAGCGTCCTATCAACCCTGCTATAGCACCACCCTCAGCCGATTCTGTTCCTTCTAGACTCGTTATGCCCGCTTCTTCTCGTAATCGCAACATCTTGAATTGTTCACGTAACGACGCCCTTGACGGCTGTTTCGATCCATTTTGTGTGTCTTGCGTCTCATCCAAGGCTTTCAACGTGAGGTCAGGATTGCTTCCCAGAGTTGACAAGGATGCGGCAGTGTTTCGGCGCGCGTCGGCTTGAGTTCTCGAGGGCAAGGGCGGGGATCGAGTTTCCTTTGGTGCTGAAGTGGCCCGACTTAGCCATCCGAAAGGAGTGGTAACCTTGCGTCCAAACCCCGAAGTAGGTGCAGGTGGCTGCGGTGATGGTGCTCGTGCATCGGAAGCTTTCCTCGCAGGAGGCGCACCCCAAGGCACTGAAGGTAGGGCTGCCGAGAATCCCTGGAACCTGCCGCGAGGAGCTTTGGGTTGATCGATCTTGTCGGGCTCGACATGATCATCTGAGGATTCTGGTGCGTTCAGTGTAGGTATTTGCTGCCCTTCAGGAGATGCCTTAGGTGTAGATTCGTCGCCCGAACTGGGATCCGCATTTTCATCGGACTTTCTCTGCTCTAAACTACTCGTGTTCTCGTGATGCTGTTCAGGGTCAGGTTCAGGTTCAGGTTCAGGTTCGGGTATAGAGGGTCTCTCGTGCTCGGGTGTCTCGTGCTCGGGTGTCTCGTGCTCGGGTGTCTCGTGCTCGGGTGCAGGTCGAGGTTCGTGGGATTCAGGATTTGTCTGCAATTGGTCTTCATGGGATGAGTTTCGTTGCGAATCGTCGTTAGTATCATTCGCATCCTCGAATTTCTAGTTTCGGTGAGACTTGTCGAATCATGATATCATGGGGTCATGTCTGCATACCTCTTCAAGGTCGGTATTGTCTGCGCTGGACTGCACAGTCTCCATGTTGAATGTTTTCAATGCGAGGAGGTTCCGCTCATACCATCATCACCAACATCCACCGCCCACGGCTACCACACCTTGAAATAAACAGGTAGACTGGGAATATTTTTAGAGATGTAGATCCGCAGATGTACTGAAGCAGGTTTCGGGTGAAGATCGCTTGTTGGTCGGGTGCAGGTTTCGCCAGAAGGCTGCAGTAGTTTCAGACGAGTGTGTGGACGTGTCACTATTCAGCACCACTCGCTAATCGTCATAATGGGATAAGTGGAGGTATTTTGTGGTTAATGGTACGATGTCTCGTGGTGTTGAAGTCGTGAACGCGAGTGGTGTTGAGGCTCGATTGGTTTGCCGTTGAGATCAAGGTGCCCTGCCCGTTGAGATCCTTGCTTGTCAGATGAACTCAATAATATCCAGTGCCTGCACTTTTTTTCTCGGCGATGAGATTCACGTTTCGCAATTAAAGTCGCTCGACTTCAGCCTTGACAAGCACAATTTGATTTCCCCGACCACAATTGATCAAAGACTTAGCTATCGAAGATACAAGAGGACATTGTGTCTTTGACACCTATCATGCAGCACCGGAACATTGTACAACACAACCCTGACTCAGACTCGTCCATGCATCGCCCCATGTCAAACAACAAAGAGGCCCGTCCTGCGTTCGGCACTTTGCCCTGTCAAAACCTGTCCTTAAGCCACATTGGCCACGTTTAACCAAAACGTCCCCATTGTACCCTGCAGCGCCAGTACTCTTCCATCCAAGCAACTCCGCTCTCACAATCCTTTCGCGTTTCAGAATAGCTGCAACTCCCAAGCCACCGTCTGCGAGTCCGGACGCGGTACGGGGATAGTGAGTGAGGCTCCCTAGGCTTTCGCGCGTGGCCTCCCTAGGATCAAAGGGCCCCTGTTCCGCAAGTTCTCCATAGCCGTCTTTTCATATTCATCTCGCTACCGACACGTCGTTCCAACTCTGACACTTGTCCTGACTTCGGTGCATATCTCCGATCGTCATTTGCTTAAGCATATCTTAGTTGACGTCCTTCGTGTTGCCAACCAGGGAAGCGCATAGCTTGAGACGATCGAGCCGGGAAATTTAACTGTGACAATCATTGAGTATTCATGTGTCTTTGACAAGCGACTGCTCCAGATCAAGCCATCTGCCCTTTCTCAACAGGTCACGCGACTTCAGTTCGTTTGTCCATTTCAGCACTTTCGTCTTATCGACCTCCGGCAGCCCGTTGTTTAGTTTGGCTTCCAAAAGTGTGCATTCGATGAGCGATTGATATGCCCATTTGCAATCTTGCGCATCTTCAAGTACTTCTTCAATGTACTCACGCTCTGAAGCAATGTATTCGAGTCGCTGTGCGTTCGAGAGGTTTGGTGCCATGCTCTTATTTGCTTGGTCGGGGTCAAAGGCGCACATGAGGGTTTGATGGTAGAACCACAAGGATTGGTCATAAGGGTCGAACAGGGCTTTGTGTATTAACTCAAGCTCTGGGCAGGATTAGCAGCAGTCAGCGCTCAAGATGGACGTGGCCATACCTTCATCCAACATGTCTTTTCTCTCATTGTTACTAGCCTCCTCCTCGTCCAGGATCTTTAGGATGAGTTTGCTCCGGTTGTGCCACGCCGAGAAGTTTGAAAGATTCGTGCCGATCATCTTCTTCGTGTACGCCAGTTCCTGGCGTGACATACTCTGACCTTGTAGGGCTGAACTTTCGAGGCTGCTGACCACAATTCTCCGGTAGCCCCAGCCATGGAAGTTTCTGCTATCTCGACTGAGCATCTTTCCGACTAGTCCAAGCTCTTCTTCCCAGAGTTTTCGAGCCTGGGTTGCTGGTAAAAGTGCCGTTGATTGCTGAAGGAGCCACAGTCGATGATTCCATATCCAATAGCATTTTGGAAATTTGAGCAGAAGTGGGAACAAGAACTGCAAATCCAGCTGGATGATGTCCAAGATGTTACTTATCTTAGTGTCGTCCGTGATCTTCCTCGATGCAACCTCGTTTTCGAGATCATGAAATTCGTTGACATAGATTCGACGGCGGTGATTCCAGATAGTGTAGTATTCGGGGTTCTTTTTGAGCAAGTCGGCAGTCTTTTGCAATAAGGCCGGCGTGAATTCTTTTCTTTTGATCTTGCCTTGATGTCAGCATAGCATTAATGAATGGGCCTTCGCAAGTAGTGACCTCTGTATTGACTTCTTCGACGAGTTGCTGGTATTGAGCGATCTCTATGAGTTCTCGTTGTCGTGCTTCAACCGTCCGTTCTTCACGATTGGCTGTTCGAGGAATTCCGTGCTATCACTCAGTCAGCCAATACACAGCTCTTCGGGGTTGAATCCTCACGCTCGACATTGGCAGTTGCTATGCCCTTGCGAGGGAAGGAGAGATGTTGACGTGGTGGTAGAGAGAAAGAGCGATGATTAGATCAGACATTGGCAATATCTCCAACTTAAATCCAGGCAACACCATTTCACCGACCTCTTCACGAATGCACTACATTCCTTCCAACACATACCTTAGGACAAGCGATGGCTTGTCACTAACATACATACAGGTTACGATGTTCTAGGCGTCGTATGAGTATTGAGTCCGCCGTCCAGGGCTGTTTGTGGATTTCATCTCGCCCTCTACCAAACTGGTACCGGGTCTCGCAATACTAGGAGTCCATCAACCGGCCGACTCCATGACAAGAGACTACGGCACTCTTGAGCTCAACAACATCCTCACCAGGAGTTCCGAGTTACAGCAGTCTCCATGGACGACCACAGTCCGGTGACAAGCTCAACCACTCTTGGAAGTCCCGCCACTCCACCCACTGTTCCTCACAATGACCTCCCAGCTGCAGATCTGTCGGGATCCGGTGGAAGACTCGGTCCTTTCGAAAGGACGCGACCCTTGCTCGGAGAGCTAGAACAACACCAATCCACCTCCAACCTTCAATCCGAGTATCACCCTTCGCGAGGCGAGCTACATATCAGGACACGTCCCTAGCAGGGCCGGTCTGCCAGTGTCGGTACACCTTCACATGTGCGAGCCCGTTTCACATCACCGGACAGATTCATACCTCAACGATCTCTCCATGCAGATAAGCGAGCTTCCTATCAGACCACCAAGCCTCCCGTGTTACTTCAGGGTCGTGAAAGAAATGATAGGCAGAGGGACAATTCCGTTGACCCTTTCCGCTCGGTTAGTGAGACACGATCGAGATCACTCGTCAGACAGAGACAGCACCACAATGTCTACAACCTCCGTCCACCGCACTACACCCCGTCCTTTGTCCATGGAACAGATGCCTCTCCACCACGAATCGACGGGAGGCTAGCAACGACATCGCTTCGCCAAGTAAGCGGCGGGTTTTGGACAGTCGGCGGGCAGTTGACCGTCCAGCTGGGACAATTGCAGGCAGTGCCTTCAGGCAACGGAGGCTTAATCGCCAGTGGCACAACTGCACCCCTACATACAGCTTCATTTTTGGATCAGCCTACACTGGATGACAAGGTTGTCGAACATGAACGTCGTCTCGCTTTGGCACTTGATATCGATCAAACAAATCGAGTCCTACTCCAAAATCATGTCAATAGAGAAAATGGTCCACATTCTCTGCCACAGCACAGTCCTTTCGTTTGGAGAGATAGTAGGTGGACTCGGGATATAAATATTCGATGTAAGTAAGACTAAGCTTTTGGAGTACCGACTGACGTTGAAGCAGCTCATGCCCGAAAGACAGAAGAACAGCCTGCAGCCGAGAAGAACATACCGACCGTCCCATTCAGAGTGCTTGATGCGCCCAGCCTGAAGGATGACTATTACTGCTCCATTCTGGCCTACAGCTATACTTGCCACACCTTGGCTGTCGCGCTCACCCACAAAGTATACCTTTGGACGGAGCAATATGGCGTCCGATACCCGCCGCTGCCTCCAGCCCGAGTGACCAACTTCGTCACATCGCTGGCCTTCTCCTCAGACTCTGGTGGCCGAGCAATCCTGGCTGTGGCTCGAAACAGTGGCGCTGTTACGCTTTGGAGTTTATTAGAAGCAAGACCCAGGTTTGATGCCCCACATCCATGCGCAGCGTCCTGCGTGGCATTTCGACCGAGTGAGACGCACCGCCAATCCATCAATGGCGACGATTTTGTGCCGTGTGAAGATTTACTGGTTGGTGACGACGCTGGCAAGATTTACTACTACTCTCTCCAGTGGCCTGAATCAATGACGCTCCTTGCAAAAGTTGATGCACATACTCAAAACATATGTGGTCTGGCGTGGTCTCCTGACAGCGAGCTATTTGTTTCTGGAGGCAATGACAATCGCGCGTTCTTGTTTGATCCCAAAATCATACTACAAAATCAACCGGAGATACTCGCTTCTGGGAACAACGTCGAGCATACTCCGACGGGGCACATGCCTGTCGACCAGCAAGTTGATCCGGCACAGAGTGGACCGACCACTCCGCCAGCAATCCAGACTATTCCAGTACCATTCGGCATGCTGACTCCGCCCACGTCGCCGGAAAGGAACCAGACCGCTGCCCAGCAGGGAGGAATATTTGACGTTCTTGCCGTAGCGGTCAGACAGACAACTGCTCGACTCACAACTCCACCTGTCAGCCCTACCAGGCGAGTAAGTGGTCTTGCTCGGGCCCCTATTGTGGATTACCGATGGCCACCCAATCGTACTGCCAGCCAGAACCTACCTGACATCCGAAATGGCCTGGCAGACCCAAGTATTCCAGGTCAGACCAATGTACACGTCTACTCATTCTATCATTTCGCCGCCGTCAAAGCAATTGCATTTGCACCTTGGCAGCCATCTCTACTGGCGACTGGTGGAGGCAGCAATGATAGACAGGTTCATTTCTTCCATACCGGCTCGGGTGCAACGCTAGCCTTGATCAACATCTTTTCGCAGGTCACAAGTCTGGTGTGGAGCACTACAAGACGAGAGATTGCCGCAACGTTTGGATATTCACAACCAGAACATGAGATTCGGATTGCCGTGTTCAGCTGGCCAGATTGTGAATGTGTTATGAGCATACCATGGGATCGGAAACAGAACGGCGAGATTGGACGTGCTTTGTGGGCCGTTGCATATCCAGGCGGTCCGAATGATGCTGTACCAAGCCGAAGGCAAAGTCACGATTCTGATGGGTTTGCCGCTTAGGAGGCTGTACGACACAGAGAGGCTGCGCGGGGACGATCTCGAGAGAGACGTAGTCCAGCACCCAGCCCAGATAGACCTGTGACGAATACTCCAACTCGCCCCAGATCGAGTTCTTGGAGTCGACCACGGGACACATATCGCAGAGATCTTCGAGGCGAAGGCGAACCATGGGCAAGTCGGACCGAAGAGGAAGGGAGTTTGATCATCGCATGTTGCGACCAGACTGTCAAGTTCTTCGAGATCTGGGCGGGAAAGAGCAAGGGCAAAGGACGTGGACTCGGAAACAAACATGGTGTGTTGGGTGGTAGTCGTGTGCTCGAAGGATGGTGTGAGAACGTGGGTGTGGACGAGATAGGGTTTGGCGAGGAGGTCATTCGATAAGCAGGGTCGACATTGTCGTGGGCGTCTCCCAACGTATGACTATCAGTACCTAGGTAGAGGTGTGATGACACAAGGCGCGATGACGGTACTGTTTTATGCTATTCCTAGCCTTCTTACTTCTGCCACAGCGAGATATTCATTTCGACCGACACCGGCCCCTGAACAATGCTTTTCCAATATGCTCCGTCAACACACCACGAGGCATATTCAGGTTTATATCCACGTCCATGTCCAACCGTCATCTCGACTCCCTGTACAACCTTGAAAACAATGCTGATGCTCTTGCTATGCGACATTCATACTCAATTTTTCCGCGCCTTCTTGACCTTGACCTTAGTAGACGTGGACACCGGAACCGGCTCGGGCTCGGGCTCACTATCGCCCTCGACATGCACATCGTCTTCCTCGTCATCAATATCAATTTCCCCATCGTTGATGAAGCTGTCCAAATCCGAATCTTCCTCTTCTTCGTCTTGATCTTCATCGTCTTCAGAAGATACGCCGGACTCATCTTCATTTTCGGGACCATCAACCCCGTCCGCATCGTCTGACTCATCGGCACTTGACACCTCGGCTTCGACATCGACTAGGCCAGTACCGTTGATGCCGATGCCATCTTCATCGTCATCTCCGTCCTCGTCATCCTCGTCTTCCTCTCCGTCAGATTCGTCCACGCCGTTCTCGAGGGCGAGGGCATCATCTTCATCATCTTCATCTTCATCCTCTTCATCGTCATCTTGACCAGCGACAAGCCCTTCTAACGATTTCCCAGCTTTTCGAGAGCGCTTAATCGGTCTCGCGATATCCTCGTCTAGGTCTTCATCATCGTCGCTATCCCAGTTGTCCTCGCCCTCAATATATATCATGCCGGGCTCATCCTGGCCATCACGCCTGAGAGGTCTTTGCGCGGCAAGTTGCTTCCGGTAAGTCAGTTGTGCATCCAGCATGTCCAGCTTGCCCTTCAGCAGCAATAGACTGTCAAGCGTTTTGGCTCGTTGGCCGAGGACCTGGTACAGGGTGCGGATTTTGGCGATGACATCTGGCTGCGCGGCGATGGCGCCGCCGTGGGCGATGCATGTCCACTGCACCCAAGTGATCAAGTTGCCGTAGCGGCCTGGACGACTGGCGAGGCGCTCAGCCAGTTTACCTAGGAGTACGCCCGCTAGGTTGCTGTCGAGACGCTGGATGGTGTTCTTGACAATGTTGATGTCGAGGGTGTGCAGGCAGCGTTCGAGGAGGTTGTGGTCGTTGGTGCGCAGGGACTGTGTCAGGACTGTGCCTAGAGACATGCCTGATGGGATGGGGAGACCGTTCTTTACGGTCAGAGCTGTGGCGGAGGGGTCAGATTGTAAAGCGGAGGCGATGGAGATTTCGTGCGGGTGTTTCGAGGCAAGAAGTTCGCCGAATGTGGGTTCTTCTGGTTCTCCCATTTCTTCGTCTTCGTCCCCGTTGGCTTGCTCGATGGCGTCCTGGTCATCGGCCTCGGCCATGTCTTCGTCGGATTCTTCTTCGTCGTCCTCCACCTCGTCGTCCTCTCCTGCTCTGACGTCGGGCTCATTCTCTTCGTCGTCCTCCTCGTCATCTTCATCATCGTCTTCGTCTTTTTCACTGTCAGAGATGTCTATTGTTACCGGCTGAGATCCACCATTGACAACGACTGTCTTGGACTCGTCAAGGTGTGATTTCCCGGTATCCTTGACGCCGTTGAGCGTGGCTGTGTTCAAGGTAGATGCCGATTTGACCTTGACAAAGTCTTTGGCGCCATCGAAGAGTAGCTCTCCGTTCCCTTCGTCTTGCCATCTGATCTTTTGGAATGAGAAGTCCACACCACCATCCGCAGATGCGACAACAACCTCAGGACCTTGTATGGACGCCGCGAAGATCGGGACAGACCTGGTCTTGGAATCTGAGCTGACCAGACGGATGGACGCACCAGATTTGCGCGTGAGGTTTTTCTTACTCGACTTCAAGTCTCCATTGACCTGTTTTGGCTGGGAGAATGGTCTCCAAAACAGTTCAACCATACCAGCTTCCGTGACCACGGTCAGGAGCTGTTCCCTCAATATCGGTCTGACCTCTTCTGACGGATCGTAGAGATCCGCGGCAAGAACCCCGCTTCCAGCAATCAATGTCCGCGCTAACCGCTTGTTCTGCAGGTTGAAGACATTGACATATCTGTCCGAATCGGCCGCAAGAAAGAACTCGTCTTGTGCATCTTCGTTTGTGCCGGACCGAAACAAGGAATGAATGGGGTTCTTGAACGAGTCAAAGCGAGATTGTTGGTAGTTTCCATCTTTGACGAAATCATATGCAAAGGGTGTATCGGACGCGCATAGGATCTGGAAGGGGTTCGGTGACGGCGTGGCAAGCACATGAGCGCCATCTGGGATAGAAATTGTCCTGTTGAAGTTAGCTAGGTTTGTCGCTGGCGCACGACATAGACTGACCGAATCGCTTTGTTCTTGCTCAAATCCCATTGCACCAACTTAGCATCCTCGCCTACGCTCCATCCTTCCTTGTAGTCTGTCGCAGGAGAGAACTTGAAGTCTGCAACGGCTCTCTCATGTCCACCACTGAGCATACCAACAACCTTGCCTTCGGCAGGTGAAAACATGCATATGTCGGATGTGCTCGTACCGTACGCAACGACTGCGCCTTCGCTGTTGTCTTGCCGCTTACGCTTCTTCTTTTGTTTTTGATCCCGGCCATTGAAACCCCAGTCTAGAGAAGTGATTCTCGAGCCAGGTCGAGTCTCGTGCTGGCAGCGCAGTCGACCGGTCGTCGTCTCATGTATGCGCAGTTGTTGAGAGTCAAAGCTCTGAATGACTGAAGCAAAGAGACGCAGTTGGAATTGAGAAGGCGAAAATGAAGATTTCAATATCGAGGACCCTTGGGCAGTTGTTGACGACGAACCAGTCGTCAAGGCGGAGGAATTTTTGGACGCTGCATTGGAGGAAGATTTTCGACTCATTTTGACGGTGTATGGTACTCAAAGAATGAAATTGGAGGGAGCAAACAGTGCTATCGCACGAAAGACTATCGGACAGCGATAGTTATCGAGATTGTGTGCATATACTGTGCTCCCTCACAGTGGTGGTGAATAAGTTCAGACATATAATTTCTCCAGCGTCTTGAACTTTTTTTGTCGGCCGCTGCAACAATGTCATTCAGAAAAAAATAGGCGCCATACCACTAATAGACTAGACCTGAATTTCCTGCTCTATTCCCCTCTTCTGTTGTTATGAGCCCCCTTCACATTTCCTCACTCTCTGAATATTGCTATTTTCCATTGCATCGACTATGGGGTTCGTGTCTGTATCGGTGTCTCCAGAACACTCTCCAACGACAATGGTCACAGACCAAGAAGACTTCAACATCCCTTCTCTGAACGACCGGGTGCTGAGGCCTTTGCCTGAGCTCGCAGCATCGATGCCTGGCACATCTTCGTCCTGTCTTGCAAGAGAAAAAAGGTCATGATGACTCAAGGCCAACTATGCAAGCTGCAGCAGTACAGTCCCTCGCAGGCAGACACACGACATTCACAACCTTGAAAGGCTACAGTCGATCGATGCATGTCCTACCTCTATGTCCTGCACCGAGTAGGACGTTACAAGTTATTCAGGTGAGATGCAGCATTGAGGGTCTCTACGTACGAGACCACTGTCTTGGTTATTCCAGACCATCCTTGTGGACTCTGGACGGTATCCATGCCGCTACGATTCTCACTGATAGGGGTGCGGCTCGACCGGTGAGGCGCGGGAGCCTGCGGATATTGCTTACCGATAGGCAGCACCGAAATCGCATACGGAAGTGTCAGCCAGTGATTATCAGCAAGAAAAACGAAGATGCTATCAGCAGCACATGTTTCAAGCGTTGCAATAATGAGGTCGTCGAGTTGGATGTTGTTTGGGACAATTTCTCTGCCCATCTGAGTACTCATTCCTGACTACGAATGGTTTGTCATTATCTGCCGAACGACACGTGACCTGATCAAATCATCCATGATTCTTGAGAACCAGGATGACGCGGCGACACAGCGATGATGATCGTGTGACACAGACAATTTTCCGGTTCGCGATGGGACACAGGCAGATCACTGGACGAAGATTCATGCAGGAAGAATTCTACAGGGATACCTTGAGGCAGCAGCAGCAGGATAAAAGGAAGTCATTTTCAGTAAGTACGGAGGAGTAGGGTTTGGCACAGAGGCAGCAAGGGCAGAAGAAAGGGGAGACGAGAGGAACAGACGAATAAGGCGATCTGGTCAGAAGTGGAGAAGTCAGAAGCGAAGCAGAGGAAGAGAAGGCGAAGAAAATAATGAGAAGAGACAACAGGAGGGAAGAGGAAGGGAGAGTGGGCGGATACCAGAGTGGAAGCTTGGGCAGGAGCACCAGAAAGAGGAAAAATCGAATGCTTGGCTTTGATCTAGCCGTATCAGGGCATGGTTGACCGATGGCTATTGGTGGCGAGAGATCATGTACTCCACCTAGCAGGGCAATGATTGGCGGAATGGCTGGAGTGCAAAAACACTAAAATTGACAGGGTCGCACAGGGACGGAGGCACGTCGCCCTCAACTTCCGAGGCTACTTAAGGATTTCGCGCCCCTCGCCCATAAATTCGCTGCTCTTAAAAGTGTGATGCACCTTTTTCTCTAGGTCTTTCTCACCAGACGCGTTCGAAAGAGCCAAGACTCGTTTTGATTCGCTCCTACCTCAACACGCGTTGTTGTAGTATTCGACCAGGTCACTATTACTTCCTTCCTCCATTGGGTGGCTACTATTATCTATTTCTCTCATCAACGGAAAGCATCGCATCAGCCATTCATCATACGGATTGAAAACAGCTTTGCGACAACAGCCATTGCGACAACAACACCCATTGACGCGGCTGAAATTGAAAGAAACCACCAGGTAGATTCTTCCAGGTCACATGACAACAATCTGTCACATGACCTATTGAAGGTTTTTATCTCCGACGACAAGAATATCAATCGACTTTGTCCTTCCACCAACCTCCTTCGCCATCGATCCTTATCACCGTTCGTCGTCTCCAGTGTTGCCACTTGATTGTGTCAGCACTTAGCAACCTCAGACCTCGCCCGCCGACTATAAATTGGCAGTGCGACCAAGTTCTCCACTGCTTTCATCATCTCTGCGACAACTCATTCTTTTCGGCGCGCTTTGTTCCTGGCCAACATTATCCGGCTTGTAAGCCCCTTTTCAGCTTCTAATAACTAATTCAATCACTTCGGCTGGTCCGATATCTTGGCATCGCTTTTCCACTGCCTACAAACCTCTTGGCATCATGGACGTCGAGATGCAGATGGAGGCAAATGGGTATGTAGGCCTTGGGTCACTTCCGTTGCCTCACTTGTCACTCGATCTGACCGTCACTAGGCTGCCTGCGCAGTTCACTTCAAGTTCAGATCGACCTGAAGAATCTCACATTGCCGACAACCTGGCAGCATCAATATCAAATTCCGAAATGCCTACTGAACCAGTCCCATCAAAGGCAGTGCTGACTGAACCTGCGCCTCAAATAGAACCCATGGCGACAGTATCAGAGTCAGCATTACAGGCAGTACCTGAGGCAGTGATAGAGTCAGTCACTGAGACTGTATCTGAACTGCCTACACTTGCCACAAACGGCCATATGGACGACTCTTTAAATCAACCTCTCGCGGCTGTTCCAGACTCTCAACCTCAACCATCTCTTGATAGTATTTCAAACGCGCCTGCGGCACCCACAGCGTCAGTTATTGAGACCACTATGACGGAATCATTCGTGCCTTCATCCATTCCTACCGAAATACAGTCCTCAGCAACACCGGCTGATAATACTCAAACGACCATGGATCTCTCCGAACTTGCCGCAATTCCACCTCAAGCGCCAGAATCAAACCTGCGGACGTCACCTCATGCTGATGCTTTAGCCCCTGAGGCTGTCGCAGAGATCGAAGCACAGAAACATGAACTGGATAACTTAGCCGACGCGCCCACGATCTCTGCGAAGGCTGATGCTATGGACATTTCTTCATTCAATGAATCAATAGCACAACCAGAACAATCTACAGTTGCCGATATTGGTCTTCCCTCCCCACCTGCACAGTCACCACCTCCTGCCCCTCAACCAGCTGCAGCTACATTACCAGCAGACCAGCCAGTCGAGCCCGTGGTAGAGCCGCCAACTGCGTCCGAGCCAGTGGCAGAGACTGTTGTTGCGCCAGAAGCCGAGCCTGTAACAGCTGAACAGCCATTCTCGGTACCAGAAGCTCTCCCTGTACCAGCCGAAGAGCCAAAAGCACCAGCGCCTACACCAGCAGTCCCAGCTCCTGAAGAGCCTGTCGATACAGACATGATCGATGTGCTCCCTGCTAAACAAGCTCGACCGCGGGACGAGGATGGAGACTCTGAACGCGCCGCCAAGCGTTTCAAGACGGACGAACCAACGACACAAGAACCTGCATTCAAAGTCCCAGATGTACCTGCAGCTGCTTCGTCCCCAATAGCAAATGGCGATGGCAACCCTGCCGCAAATGGAATTGGTGATGGTGATGACTCTGTCACACCAGCTCGATTGGCACATATGAAGAAGGTCATCTCCAATTTGAAGAAGAGTTCTGCTTCTACAGCGTTCAGAGTTCCAGTGGATTATGTCGCGCTCAAAATTCCTCTGTATCCTGAAATCATCAAACATCCCATGGATCTCGGAACCATCGATCACCGACTGAAGCAGAACCAATACACTTCCATCTCCTCCTTTGTCAGTGACTTTGAATTGATCGTCAACAACTGCGTCAGATTCAACGGTCCTGACCACGGTGTCGCACAGCAAGCTCGAAAGATGCAGTCCTCGTTCAACAATCAGATGAAGAACCTGCCATCCGCCACCATCGAGGAACCGTCAAGGGAAGCCAAGAAAGCGGCAAAGAAACAAGAGCCTACGAGACAAGCACCTCCTCGTCGACCATCAGTGACCACTCCCACACCGACTACCGCTCCAGTTGCTGCAGCGCCTTCGCCAAAGTCTGTTGCTGCTCCGCCCACTCCATCTTTTGCTCCTGGACCTGACGGCATCCCACTGATCCGTCGCGACTCGAGCTTGACCGATGGTAGACCAAAGAGAGCTATCGTTCCTACCAAGCGGAACCAGGAATTTGGAGGCGGCAGACCAAAGAAGAAGAAGTACGAATTGCAACTTAGGTTCTGTGACGAGGCTCTGAAGGAGATTGCAAGCCCGAAACACTGGCAGATGAATCAGTACTTCACTCATCCAGTGGATCCGGTCGCCTTGAACATCCCAACCTATTTCCAGATCATCAAGAAACCTATGGACTTGGGGACAGTTCGAACCAAGCTCAACAACAATGTTTATGAAAAGGCCAGAGACTTTGAAGAAGACGTCCGCCTCGTATTCAAGAACTGCTACAAGTTCAATCCTGAAGGCGATTTGGTCCACAATGCCGGTACTCAGCTGGAAGGTCTATTCAACAAGAAGTGGGCCACGAAAGATGACTGGATTGCGGCTCGTGAACCGGCTTCCGAGCCTCAGTCTGAGGCAGATGAAGACGAAGAGGATGAGGACGAGAGCGAAGATGATGCTGAGGAGAGTGAGGATGAACGAGCCGAGAAGATCAAATTGCTGCAGAGGCAGATTGAAATGATGTCCAAGCAGATGGGTGAATTGACCCAGAAGAAACCCAAGAAGTCCAAATCTCCACCTGCAAAGAAGAGCAAGTCCAAGTCGAAGAAGGAGAAGCCTGCTGCAGGTGTCAAGGAGGGCAAAGAAAAGAAAGAAAAGAAGAAGTCTGCACCAAAATCGAAACCGGACAAGGATCGCTATGTCACGTTTGCTGAAAAGCAGTACATTTCGAATGGTATTGCCATGCTCCCGGAAAAACAGATGCAGGAGGCCCTCAAGATCATTCAGAATAGTGTTCCATCTTTGGCAAACAGCGACCAGAACGAGATTGAGCTGGACATTGAGGAAGTGCCGAACCATGCACTTCTCAAGTTGCTCAACTTTGTCAAGAAGTATGCTGGGCCACCGCCTGATGAGCCAAAAGCCGAGCCGACCGAGTCATATGGTACCACCACGACCAAGTCGAAGAAGAGCAAGCCTATGAGCAAGCATGAACAGGAGGCGCAGATTGAGGAATTGAAGGGCAAGTTGGGCGCATATGCTGGACCAATCTCTCCAAATGCGGTTCAATCCATTGAGACTGGTGATAGCAGTGATGATGATGGAGATTCGGAGGAGAGTGAGGAAGAGTAGACCATGAAAATAATGCTTACGGAGCGGGTGCATTCAGGAAGGGGCTGTATGATGTATTATGAATCAAAGGGGTTTTGGCGATAGATATTATCGAGTTGAGCCGGTCTCAAAGGGGTGAGCACGCTTGGGGTTGCTGTCACCAGATTGAGATTTGAGTGATGAAGATTGGCGAGCAGTGGCAGGTTATGTAGCTGAAGTTGATGAAGCAAAGCAGCGTTTCTAGCTGAAAAGCAAATCGTGTAACAGATGTGGTCGAGGATCCTGTAATGAAGTATCTTGACGTCCCATCACAGTGCAATAAAAACGCACGATGACCAAGGCGTTTGTAGCTTTCTCTCGTTTTCGGCCTGCACGCCACTCCACAGTCAGGAGAATTTGTATCTGGTCTTGATCAGTAATGGAGTGCAACTTGATGACCGCGCGTGCAAGACGCGATAACGCGTAAATTGTGATGTCTTCACTGGAAGGAAACGATTCACTATGGCAAGAGCGAAAGCAGTAAATCGACAGAGTGATAAATAGCGGAAGACGCGTATCATGCAGGACAGAGGCTCATCAGAATCTGATTGAACAACGCTCTGTTTCCCTTGGGAGTCATGATTCCTCCACTGCCACAAGCTGCGCTGGACGCAAATCCCGCGTTCGCTAGGGTATGGCAGCATGTCACAACAGAGGTTCTCGAAGACGATGGGTCAAGGAGAGCAACGAACGAGGTGAGGACGCGGAGATGGAAGGAGAGTGTGAGTGCCAAGCGACGTGGATTGGAAGGTTCAGCAGAACATGAAGATGGACAGGACGTAGACGAACATACGCACTGTTCGAGTGGGAGCCAGGCTAAGGACGTGAGATTCGAAGATGAGTTGAAGAAAGCCAGAGTGGCAAGGGTGAGCATGGGGCTTTTGAGAGAAATACTGCGAGATATCGCGTTTGTGGATCATTCTGGTCAAGTACAGGACGACGGCGGAGAAGTGCTGAGCACGGGATCCGAGACAGGTGTGGCACGGCAGAAGAAATCAGGTTCATCGAGCAAGTTGGCTGGATTGAAGGATGCTATGCTGATCATCTCCGCGTACATCGATGCATGTTCATCTGGATCCGGGTCGAGCCAGGACCTTGCAGATGGAAGCCTCTTATTGGAAGACGATATAGCGCTGTTCAAAGAGAACATCGATATTATTGCAGACGCCGTGGGAACGAGACTTGTCGAGCTTGAGCAGGAGATATCCGATATTGCTGCGCACGCAGACTCAAACGAGACGGACACGCAACATGGAAACACAGACACCATCATCACCGATGCAGTCGACAGATCAGCACATGGACGGGCACCAGCACAGATACCACAGCAGCAATCCCTGGTCTCGACCATCACGACACAACAAGCCCACCTCGCCGCCCTGAACAATATACTTCCCACAACCCTAACAACCCTCTCATCAACCCTTACATCACTCCAGAGTCTCCACCGCGACACGCTGTCTCAGCGAATCCGCACCCTCGAAGCAAGCAAGCACGGCGTCCTATCGCGCTGGACCTCCTCCCGCGCCCAGTTCCTAACGAGCGTCGCGACTGCCATGAGTCTGAAAACGAGGATACTCGTGCTGGAAGAGCAGAACAAGGTCGAGAACAGTCTCCACACGGCGGGCATCGTGGAGAGAATGAATAGTCTACACGAGCAAGAGACAAATCTCGATGGGAGGATTGAGCAATTGTCAGACCTGCTGGGACAGTACGAGACGCTCGATTCGGATCCGCGGCGTGGAGTTGATGTGTTGAGGACGCTTGGAATCCGCTATGGTGAGATTGAGAAGGAGATTGAACTTGTGAGAGAGGATATTGAACAACTCACTCGACAGCCGGGGCGGGAGTGTCGACGATAACGATAGACACTGCAGCACAGAACAGAACATAACAGAATGCACTCTCACATACGTTACAGTATGGGTCATATCGTTCATCATGTCATCGGATCACCTTCTAGAGTATCTACCTATATATCTGATGATTTCATCTGGCAGGTATTCCAAGGCCGGGACATTACTCCCAGGCCTTGGCTGGCCGTGGCCAAAGACGCTTATACAGACTCACACCGATGGCATCCATAGGATTGATCTTGCCATCGAATGTAGCTTTGAAGTACCCGTGCGTACCAAGCGGCTCTTTGATGAATCCTTGACGACCACGCTTCGTCCACAACGGTAGCGCGGCAAACCACAGTACGTCCTCGCGGTTGAAGAACATGTATCGTACCGTCACTAATTTCTTGTGGATCTTGAGAGGGTGGCCTGTCAGGATGGCGCGTTTTGCAATGATGCGTGATGACGATGGAGCGATGGTCGTCGCAGTGCCGATGAGTTGCAATTGTCCTTGCGAGGCTGGCACATCCGGTTGCATTGAATCGACCAGCGCGGGTGCGGCATCCTCGGAGGGTGTCTCGCGGCGGAAAACGAGAACAGGTACAGATCCCCAAGTCATTGGCCCTGTGAAGGTTGCGATTGCTGTTCGTCCAGGATGAATATATCGGTCAAATTTGTGGACGTCGTTGGGTGTGTTTCCCGAAGCCGAAAAGATTGGATTGACAATGAGACGGCGATGGCCAATCTGCACGATGATTTCGTCTTTGGACTTCAACGGTGCTTGCAGATCCGAAGATAAGGTCATGTTGAGGTTGATGACGGCATGTTTGTGCTCGTGGCGCAGAAGAGAGAACATGCACGCCGGAGGAGGAGTGGAAGCAAGAGAGGCAGGCACATTTCGTAGCTGTACCTCAACCCTCGTTCCTGCAATCACGCCGCCTCCCAATGACTCCTTCAGCGCTGCACTGTACGATTTCTTGTAGTCGGCGACCTGGAGGAGGCGCTTGTACTCAAATGGTTCGTAGGGTGCGTCTTCGGCATGATTCCACTCACTGGTCCTTAGACTCTTGAGACCTCGATATTTGATCAGTCTTTCTCGAGCCGACATTTCTGGATGGAGTTCAATCTCGTCCGGAAATTCGAGGTCGTCTTCGGCTTCTTGCTTTTTGTTGGCGCGATATTCTGCTAATTGTCGAGCTTCCTCTTCATCGTCGGCATCCACATGCATTTCCGATTCGGGGTATTCTGATGGTCCCCCTTCCGTCATGGCCTCTACCCCATTCGCTACCACGCCATCCTCTGGACCGAGAGATTCTGCATCCATGGCAACATCGCCGTCGTTGTCTTCGTCAAGCATGTCAGAGTCGGAATCTGAAACGTCATCCAGGTACCACGCAGCCTGGTAGTCGGAGGTACCCTTGGGAAGTTTCTTGGGTGTAGCAGGAATATGAGAGTTGTCGTCAGAGAAATAGTGGTAATCGTCGAGTAGTACACCTTTGTGCTCGGTGGTAGCCGCCGTGCTGGCGATATCGTGCATTTCGGCTTGTTCAGGCGCCAGTTCTGCCAGATCGTCCTGATTCTCTGTTGGTCTCCATTCTTTGACTTGTACATCCGCATCCATCTCCTCAGCTATTCGCTTTTGTCCTTTCGGTAACTCCCTGATGACCCGGATCTGAAAATCTCCCCAGCCTGGAACGTGGACTAATCGGTCCGGGTTCATGCCTTTTCCACGGACTATTCCCGACACTGTGACTGTAGTCGTATCTGCTCCATCAGCGGCGCCTGACCAGTTCAAGTTCTCGATCAACATCCAACTTCTGTCATCACGCCACCGGATTCCTCTCGTCGACGCAGTGCACATACTTCGCACCAGATTTGAACAATCCGATTTGCTATCGAGACTTGACAATTTGTCCAAAGCTGGGAAGTACCGGCCGATGGCGATCTTCAAGTCTGTAAGATGGCGTGACCTCTTTGCCACTGGAACCTTCGCATCAAGATCGTGCACCACAGCAGTGACATTTGTGATTCCTTGTCCTTCCAAGGCCTTGAGAAACGAATCCTCCTCTTCACCAAACGTCTGCTCTGCATCAAGCACGAACACAACCCAGTCGGCCAATTTGCAAACGTCCAGCGCTTTCAGCAGATGCAAGGAGCCTGGTAGGTAGAGGAGGTTGCGGCGGAATCTGTCGACTCGAACAGGGACAGTGCCGCTGGTCGATTCGGGCCCGGGAACATCGACACTGTTGTTCAGGGTTTTGATGGCGGAGTAGGGGTCGATACTCTTCGATAGGGGCACGATTGCGATGTGTTTGGCAGCGGCATCTGCACCCTGAAAGATATTTTCTTCTCCATCTCTTTTATCCTTGTGGTTCATGCGCAGTTGCTTTGCCTGGTTGCGTCTGGCTAACTTCGACATGACTTGCTGATGGGGAGTCTTTCTCTGGCCCTTTTCTGGCCTTTGTGTTTCGATTTTGCCTGCGAACATAGTCAGCGAGACTCAGACCTCAAATTTTTGGTCTGCCCACCCTTTGCTTTATCCTTGAGAGCGCTTTTAGAGGCAAACTTCGATTTGAACGGTTTGTGATCTGTTTTTGTGGTACTTCTGTGATGATGAACAGAAGTAGAAGTGGGAGCCATTGTAGCGTTATATTCAGAACCTCCAGCTTTGAACCGGAAGGCCAGAGACATGTCAATCACAATGTACTGTACAAAGAAGGACGGCGACGATGTTTCTCCGCAGTCCCAAAAAATTATTTTTCGTTTACGAAGTGGCGTAATGAACCCCGGTTCCTAGTCCGTCCGAACTCCTTGGCGGAGATTCACCTGAATCTCGACTACCATTTAACGCTATCACACTCTTACTTGAGTCCACTCAGGGAAATCCAGGTCCTCCCTCTTTATCGACATCATGTTTCGATCATCAATGTAGTCCTTCAAGGGTAATGACTCGAACTGGCTCCTGTTGCCGATATACACACCTCTGGATTGCATCATCCGGGCATACTCCATTGTTCTTCTGACAAACTCTGCATGATTCCCCGTCTGGAGGTACTCGACAAGCATCAAGACATCGAACGCAGCTTGACTCGTCGAAGCCACAGTATGCGGTCTGAATCCAGCAAGGGCATCTCCAACAAGAACAACCTTCCCATTCATGTATGAGTTCTTCAGGGTTATAACGTCCGTAATGCACTGGACGAACGGCTGACGAGTCTTCTCAACCATCTCGGACATCTGGGGCGGCAATCGGTCTCGGCCTTTCATCTTGACCATCTCCCACGCTTCCTCTCTCATCTGCCCTGGCGGTATGGTGATTCTTCGTCTCTTTCCCTGTTTATCCGTCATGACCTCTTCAAGGTCCTGATCTCCTTCTGGAAAATTTGTATACCACACAAAATTCAACAACCGCCCTCCCTTTTCCATGCTTCCATTTGTGCCAGGAATGGTATAGGTCAGATTTTGAATTCCAGGAGCGTGGAAGAACGTAAATCGTTCAACAAAAGCCGTCTTTGCTTCCTCGGAGGCTTCCCCTTCAGGCACTGTGCCTCGAATGACACAGTATCCGGCGTACTTTCGTTCAACATCAGGGCACAGGATCTTTCGAATTGTGGAACTTGGTCCATCCGCGCCAACAAGCATGTCACCAACGACGCTTTCTATTTTACCGTCTGCGCTATCATAAAAGACCCTCACCGTGTCGTCTTCTTCCTTGAAGTCTGTCACCGTACAGCCATATCTATAGTCAATTCTGCCATCCCCAGGTTGTGGACCGGGAACTCTACAGTATCCACTGTCTTGATGATCATAGTTTGCCCGGAGCATGTAGTAGCACAAGTCCCAACTTGTCATCGTCTGCTTCATGACTTCCTCGTGGACAACCTCGCCAGACTTATCGAGGTACATTCTCTTTTGCGATGCAACAGCGACAGGACGTTTGCAGCGATCATAGCGCTCGAAGAAGGCTAACATATCACCACCGGCAACGATTCCGGCCCCCTGATTCTCGAGCAGATTGGTAGGGTTACGCTCGAGGATTGTGGTATTGTAACCATGTTGTTTCAAGGCGACGCCTGTGAAGAGGCCGCCCAGGGAACCACCGACGATGATGATGTGTTTGGGCTTGGAATGCGACGACGCCACGTTCAATTGGGCGTCAGCAGTCATATTTGTGATGATGAGACATCATTGCAGACTGGGCCAGCACAGAGGGGGAAATAAATAAAAGTAGGTTACGCTCCGGGCGAACGCCGTCAACAATGGGGTCTCAATCTGGGGATACTGCGGGGGTCATCTTGCATCATCGAGACAGAAGCGGAGGAAAGAAAGTATATCGAAGTTCTAGAACGTGTTCCCATCAAGCTGATCACAAGGCACCAACTGAACTACTTATTCTTGAGTGATGAACGGTATCTGCTCCAACGAACAAGACACTACGTTACTGCTCGCAAGACTGCTGTGAGTCAGCAGCATAAAGTTTTGCGAGGTTTGGAACTACTTCTAAACATGGTGGATGAACCAGAAAGAAGTTCGTTCACGGTGTCTTAAAGCAGGCACCATGGTTTCGGAACAACCATGTGAGGACCTGTGTGAGTTGTTGGATACCGGCCTTCGAGAAAACATCGACCGTGGGTACAGTTAATATAAAGGCTGTCTGCTTTCTCCTTTCGCTTCATCTTTTCAGTTATGAGCCCCGCGACCTCCGTTTACTCGTCCAAGGGTGCATCACCTTCAAGAGCAACCATTTGATGATTGTACTGGGTCTTCCTCTAGACACAATGCCTCCCCTCCTTTGGACCTCGATCACGATCGCCATAATCGGCACCTCGAGATGGGTTGTCCATTTATTCCATGATGCCGTATCCATCGCCATCCTCGTCTGTTGCGGACGGGACACCCTCCAGCAACGAACCCCTGGTCTTTCAGAGCCCAGAGCCATAGGGAAGGGACAATGTGGCGAAATTTGGACCCGCGTTGGATCTGTGGTGGTCACCAAAACTAACAACCCGGGAAAGGAAGATCAACTCTGGAACGACTCCTGCATGCATCGACTGATAGAGGAGACGATGCGAACGACGCCTACCAGCCTCCAACGTGACATCAATATCCCCAAGTTTGAGATGTTGGCGAGTTTAACCCACAAATTCTGGAATGATGTTCCGGAGCACATCCGGCCAAATATCAAGCCAAAATATGGCCTCGTTTCGAGTAGGATCAGACCTGTTACCGAGGCATTGAGGAGAGATATTGTGAAAGCCTTCGCACCATCATCAGCCAACAAACGAAGTGCTCTGACAGAGCTGGAGAATCAAGACTGCTTGGTACGGTTATATCTGGGTCGTAGAGAGAAAAGATTTGACAGGCAAGCTTTTCGGCTTCGTAATTTCGACCTCATGGTCAATGAGATGGAGGAACTCCAGCTTGACACCTCAAAATTCGCAGCAATCATGGGCAAAACTCTGTCGATACTGCATTGGTCCGCCCACGTGGACGCGGACGATGTGGAATTCGTGTTGGGTCGGAGTCCAACCCTCAAAATGCGTGCCTCAGCAACGGACTGCAATGACTCAAACAAAGACGATGTGTGCCAGGATTTCACCTCTGACGAGCGTCACAATGTCATCTGGCTATTGGATTTTGATCAGTGTAAGTCACTTGACGACAACGATGCTGGTATCAAGCAGTTGATGCAAAGCTTTTACTTCAACGACCCATATTATCCGAGGCCAGAGGCCAACCATCCGAACGACGTTGCTCTCTGGGCGACCTTCAGAGACAACTACCTTGAGGCAAGCGGTCTGCTGACTGCGATTATGATGCCCGCCCGGTTTATCGAAGCTGTCGAGACCGAGGCCAGAAGGCGAAAAGCCGGCGGGTCAATCTTTGGGCGAAGTGACAATAATGCAGGTTACAGGAAGTGAGTGGTTTGATAGACAGAAAGGGGCAAGGCTGTTATCGCGATAGGCTCGGCTAACTTTCTGCGAGAATGTATGCGGTCTTGACCTCGTCACCGGGGGATTGTCCATCTCTACACATTGTTACCTAGAGTGATATCCTTTGATAAATGATGGATCGGTAGACTCGTGCACCGCTCTTACAACTGATTGAGTGGTCAATTCTCCGGAATGGCGTCAAACCGTGACGGTCTCCTGTCTGAAAAGCACTACGACGACGATGCCACCCTTGCCCTGTCCGACGACTCGGGATTCGAATCTGAAGGCGACATAGCAGGCGAGGATCCAGTGAAAGACGGTGACAGAGACATCCTCGAGGAGACAGAAGAACATGAAAAGTTGTTGCGTAAACCAGGCAGACTCGATGCAGCCCGCGCGGCATTCGGACTGCGAAATGGCGGCAGCAGCAGCAGACGCCGCAAGGACAAGACGAAGAAAGCAAAGAGGACCGGCAAAGAGTCATCGGATATGATGATGGAAATGGAAGGCGGATTCAAAGATACAAGTTCACAGTCATCTACAGATTCTGAGATCGAGGGAACGAAATGGGACAGAGATGCTCCGAGACAATCGCACCGCGGACGGTTGACAGTGATATACCTCTCAATCGTTGCCTTGTTTGTGGCTCTGGTCTTTGGCGCTTACAAGGCTTCTCGAAAGCACATCTCACCGTCAAACGTTCATCCTCCGACACTCTCCAACGGAACACATACATTTCGTCCGACGACGATATTGGTCTCCCTGGATGGGTTTCGTGCCGATTTCCTCAACCGGAACCTCACACCGGCCCTCAGTGCATTCATTGCAAGCGGCGTCTCTCCGAAATACCTACTCCCATCTTTCCCGTCCGTCACATTCCCAAATCATTTCACCCTGGTTACAGGTCTGTACCCAGAAAGTCACGGAATCGTCAGCAATCAGTTTTGGGATCCTGACTATGAAGAGGAGTTCTATTACACACATATCGAATCCTCTATGCAACCTAAATGGTGGGATGCCGAGCCACTTTGGGTGACAGCTGAGGACCAGGGTGTCCGATCCGCAATACACATGTGGCCTGGTTCGGAGGCACACATTCCAGACGTGGAGCCAACATTTATGGACAAGTATAACGGTACGGAGGCACTGTTGCGCAAGGTCGACCGCGTACTGGGCTGGCTCGACCTGCCAGGCGACGATGACGGTATTGAAGGACTTGCCCATAACGAGAAGCGACCACAGTTCATCGCAGCATACGTACCTAACGTGGATGCTGATGGACACAAATACGGACCAAACAGCACCGAGATCAGAGCCACCATCGTCGATGTCGACAGTATGTTCATCGAGTTGGTCGAGGGACTGTATGCACGAAATTTGAGCGACATCGTCAATTTAGTAGTTGTTTCGGATCATGGCATGGCTACGACCTCGAATGATCGCCTGATTCAACTTGACGATTTGATGGACGTGTCTTTGATCGATCACATCGACGGCTGGCCCTTGAGGGGTCTGCGCTTGAAAAATCCCGACCGTGATGTTCCAATCTTGTACGAACAACTCTCCAAAGAGGCCGAGAAAGCTGGGAGCTTTGACGTCTACACACTCGAAACGATGCCGGAACGCTATCACTTTACCAACAACGACAGAATAGCGCCGCTTTGGGTTGTTCCAAAGACTGGATGGGCGGTTGTTGAAAAGGCCGATTTCGATGTTGCGGATGCCATTGCGACTGGGAAGGAGTTTGCACCCAAAGGCTTGCACGGCTACGACCACGAACATCCTCTCATGCGAGCAATATTCATCGCCAGGGGTCCTGCATTTCCTCATGAACCTAATAGCCGTCTACCCGTGTTTCAGAACACTGAGGTATACAATATTGTTTGCGATTCGCTAGGGATTGAACCCCATCCGAATAACGGCACTTTCAGACTCCCCTTGACGACGGAAGGAATGCACAGTGACGCGGATGCGCCAGCGCTGGAAACACCTGCAGATCCTGTCGATCACGAGGATAAGACCGAGGAGGTGCCTGAAAGCACTGTCCCGGGCGATGCAGCGGACGCGACAAGTCCTGGTCCGGAGGACGATACTACGGGCACCGATGGCAAGGAGACTGAAGACGCGAAAGGTAAATGGTGGCAATTTGTACACGATCAACTCGAGAAAGCCAAGCAGTGGGCTAAAGAGTTCGTCGACTCCATCCGAGGAAACAAGAAAGGCCAAAGTGATGATCCTGTTTGAAGAGACTTACGATTTCTCTCATCACAACTCAACACGACGTCTCAAGCGTCACATAGGCACACATCTAGAGACGAGATGCGCTAAATCATTCGCATAACCGGCCGTGCTAATCTACAGTGAGGACATTGGCAAGCGTCAGTGCAGATTCGGCGGGACTAGCTAGGCTGCTTGAGAAAGTCATTCGACGCTATTTCGCCTGTCCCTCACGCAAGGACGTTTAGTCGAATCCTGGCGCATATGGGACAATCGCAACTGGATAGTAGCGCTGTCGATCCGGCCGGACAGGCCTTACTCACGGCAGATCAGCTTCGAGCTCCCATACTTCACGGCGGAGAACAAGCGACAAGAGTATTGATGAGTTCGAATACGTGAACGTCTTCAACATTGCTTCCACGCTGTCTGCATAAGGTATCTGCACGAACGGTGTCCACTAGCACAGAACCGTGGCGATTTCTCGAGTGACGAACAAAGCATTGTAAGGAGCACATAAACTCCCTTCGAGCGTTACAGAACGACATTATCTATTCTCTGATCATTCCATACGCCGCCGAATGCCTATCTATGCGCGTCTATGGGTATCACGCGGACATGAAAATCATACAAAATGGTCCCCGGTCTCTCTAAACTTTCTCCTCCACGCCTTTAACTGATCCTTCGCTTCCCTCTCCTCCCTAATCTTCTTCTTGCGCTCATAAACAGCCCGTACAGTCCTCTTCGTGGCGTCGGCTCCCTCTTGAAAATTCGCCCTCGCCAGCGCCACGACCTTGTCAATCTGTTCGGGGGTATAAATAAAATTCCATGTCGACATGTACTCGCTCTTATCCGGATCGACGCCCTCGACTTTTGGATTCGGTAGCAAGGGGAAGTAAACCACCGCAATACCGGCCTCGGGCTGCGACAGATGAAACGTGGAGTCGTCGGGACTACTCCACGCCAGACGTTTCGACGGCGGTGGTTCCTTATCACTTGATCGTTCGGATTTGGTGCCAACCCAAACACTACACGGACCCAGGGCGGTTTCGGCATCAGGGGCATTGCCTGTGGTCGGACTCTCCGTGTCTGCTTCTGCCTTCTCCTTCCGGTCTTCCTCCCGTGCTTCAGCAAGTTTAGTGGCCGCCTGTTGTGGAGACGTTTCCTGTGCTTCGGCGAGAGCCTGCGCATTTTCCTGCGGTTTCGACGACGGTCTGGGCCAACCCGCGCCCAAGGGCCACCCTTTGATTCCGCGTTGCTTGGTATACCCGTCTACCACGGACAGCCAGTTCTCCTTTTGGATGTCAGCCGAGGCGTCAAAAGCAATCAACACGTCGACGTCCCGACCCGGTCGCAACAGAGGGTATATGGGGAGGTTATTGCTCATCCCGGCGTCCATGAGTTGGAGATGATCGTTCTGGAAGACCGAGTCCGGACACGTCGATGGCAGTTTGCCTTTCATTCCATAGACAAAATTTGGGACGGTCGCCGGATCGATTGGGTGGATCTTGATCAGATCGTCATTCTTGTCTTCCAATAATCCATCGAGACCGGCGAATCCTACTATGCCGCCCAATGCAGGCTTAACCTCCTTGTAGTAGTGGGAGAGAGTCGCGCAAAATGCCGACCCCCATATCCCGAGCAATAGACTCTGTCGGATCTCGGGCAGGGCGACACCAGTTTCGATAATTTGATTCTTTCCTTCGTTGAACGGCCTGCCTAAACTCCAAGTCGGTATGCCGGCGCCAAACTCTTCGCACCATACCTCCCAGGGATGCATCTCAAACCATTGAAACCAGGCTTCTTTTCGAGCCTTCTCCCTGATCTTTTCTTTGAGTTCAGGGTTGTCTTTCGCTTCCTCCTTCTCGTCCTCGTCGACAGGAATCTCGTGACGCACAGCAGTGTATATGGGCATTGGGTATTGACCGTTTTCAATGTACATGCGTTGATTGGACAATTTCAGGTCGTAATCGTGCACATCGAGGTCACCGTGCGGCACCAGGAGACGCGCTGCGAGAAGAAGACTGTAAATGTCGACCATTCCGAAGGACGCATTCGGATCTCCCTTCAGTCGTTCAATGAAGCCGCTCAGGATGAATTTATTGGTCGGTGCACTTGTGACCAGCTTCAGCGCCGCTGGAGGGAAGGCTATGTGCGTTCCCAATCGTGACTTGAAATGCTTGAGCATCGTCCTGTGATCTTGCCTTCCTATCGACGAGTAGAAAAGTGTTTGCAGCCAGCAACTTCCACTGACTCCAGCGGTGTATGTGACACAGTCGAACAGACCGACCTCTTGAGCGGACAAATAGCTGCTGGTGCCGGCGACCAATGCTCGCAGGCCACCTCCACTTCCACACATGGCGATGGTAGGAACATCGTCCGGGTGGATTTCCTGCTCGTCAATCTCCAAATACTTCGCCAGCGCCTTGACGACATGCTCCTTCCTCTTGAGCCGGAAGTTGAGTTCGTCCTGGCCCAGCGTGTCGCCAACCCGCACTTTTGCATTCCAGAGGATCTCTTGGTTTATGGAAGGGTCATGAGCTTCTTGCCATATATCGTCTGCAAGAGATCCTGGCTGCATGGACAATTCCATCTGTAGTTTGGTAATGCCGTCCGGGATTGCCTTTGCCCAACTTGGGAGGACCCAATCGGTAAATCTGTCCCCTAAGGAGCTCCACTGTATCTCTGCGATGTCTACTCTTAGATTGTCGAATTTGCGCGAAAAGGATTGCCATGAATTTTGGTCCTCATCTTCAAAGGCGGGAGAGTATTGTTCATGCTCATCGGGTTCGCCAATCAGTCCCGCGTCGCCTCGTTTAGTGGTATTTTTGGGGTCTTCCACATGGGAGAGGTTGCTCTGCAATCGTCGCCCATGCCCGACGAGGACAGCATCTTGCAGAACATTCGAACCAGGCGGGCTATCGAGCTTGATCGGGGCTGATCTTCGAGTAGAGGTGTGAATGCCGGTGTACGCAGCCGCAGCGAAAGCTGTGACCCGGAAATTCCGGCTTAAAATCCTTGCAGCGCTCATGGCGAGCGACGGGAGCGCTGCAAAGCGTGGAAATGTTTAAGAGATGTCGACTTCCATATCGACCAGAACTCCCTGTGTTTCTTGTTCTGCCGCCTGCGCGATGTTGTATGCAAGTTTATTTTCTGATGACCGGAGATGACGTCGAGAAAACGGGTCTTGAATCCGGCCGGCTTGTGCCTGGCACTAGTCCACGAGTGAATTAGTCGTAGTTTCACGTGTTCGACTCCGGACATCGTATCGTTTCTACATACCTAGGTAGCATCCAATGTGACAAGAGTGATATTGCTGAAGTCCCTACGACGACATATTCTACCTTGTATGTTGATGGTTGATTGTACACAGTGTGTCATGGAGTGAGGCCGATAGTGATGCGTGCCTACGACGTCTCAATCTAGTCAGCAGCCTGACCCTGTCGGTCAAGAACCGAACAGTGACACACCACCATCATGGTCGGCACCAGGAATGCCGCCTTCGCCGAGGAGAGCGCCGAGGTGGAAGTCCTCATTGCGTCTCTAGGAAAGACCAGAGATCTCACCAAACGAATAGCCGGAAGCTTGTCTCGACTCGATGCCAGCGGCAGGATCGTCAAGGATGCCATCGGTCCCATCTACAACAACACACAACAACTGCAAATCACAAGCCGAAATATCGAAAAGGTCAACGAAGCTATCGAAAAGCTGAGACAACCACTAGATGCTCGAGGTCGAGAAGAGAATATTATTCGACAAGGTCCCAAAGCCGCCGGACTTCCACAGTACCTCGGTGCACTCAAGCGCGTCGACAAGGCCTTGACGGACTTGAACTCGTCAAATCTGAGATCTAACCAGCAAGCCATTTCTGATTTCCACAGTTTGCTGTCAACAGGCGTCAATCAACTTAACGACCTCTACCGGCAGATGCTCCAGGAAGATGCTCAAACCATCGAGCCTCTCCAAAACATCACGAAAGAAATACCCTTCCCAACAATAACCCAAGACAAAGTTCAGCTCCTCAGCCAGATATCCATGGCCATCCTTTCAGCCGGGACACAATCGGCACGACTAGGTCAACAAGATGACGACGTCGCAGCGCGCATCTACGCGGAAATCAGAGGAGACTACCTTCAGAACAGCTTGCAAAATCTGTCCACAGCGTCTATCAGCACATCCAAACGTCGTGCCAACGACTCATCCATTTACCGCGAAGGCTCAAGTGGAATTGGTGCGTACGCAAAAGCAGTCGAGGGCATGTTCCTCGCCGAAGCCGAAAACACATCACGAATCTTCCGCAACGTCAATGACGCTGGCCGCATCTTCACCATGACATGCGCGAAAGCGCTGGCGACGTTTACCCGAACGCTAGCAGAACTGAACAACTTTATCAAATCTCGCATCTTGACCGATTGCTTCCTCGCTTATGAAATCCTTGACCTCATTACCCCATTAAGCTACCGTCTCGACTCGCGGACGGGACAACTACGGCCGCAAATGGCCGACGCCCTTCGACCAATCCGCGAGACCGCACGTTCGTCTCTGAGCGATTTGATCATTCAGACGAGAAGGCAAGCCGAAATTGTCTCGACACTGCCACCTGACGGTAACACCATCCCACTAGTCTCGCAAACAGCGACACGCCTGCAGAACTTGGCGCTCTTTGACCGCCCCTTACTGGCTCTCCTGTCATCTATTGGCGACGGTAACTGGCGGTCTCCTCAGGGCATGACATCCCAGTCAAGCCTGAATCTCGAATTGACGCCATCATCCGAGAATCCCAATATTCTCTCCCACTATCTTCTCGACATCGTCGATACACTCCTAACCACTCTCAACACCAGGTCTCAACCACTGCATCCAAAGAAATATGTCCAGGGTATATTCCAACTGAACAACGTTGCAGTGCTGTCCCGTGCTGTCCAATCCTCGCCCGATCTAGCGAGGTACATCGGAATCAGCCCGCACAACGCTAAATTCGACACGTACCGTAGAACGGCATCGTCGCTGTACATGTCTGCGTGGAGGGAGCCGACTGCGCTGCTCTTCGACAGCATTCACACCGGAAGTGGAGGATCACGTCCCATGTCCGGCCAGGCCATCGACAGTACGAGTATCATCAAGTCCCTATCGTCCAAGGACAAGGACAAGATCAAAGAGAAGTTCAGGCTCTTCAATGCCAGCTTTGACGACTTGGTGGCGCGACACAAGTCGTTACATATGGAGAATGAGGTGAGGAGTTCTTTGAGTCGAGAGATTCAGGGGACCATCGAGGCTTTGTATGGCCGGTTTTGGGATAGATACCATGAAGTCGACAAGGGAAAAGGGAAGGTCGTCAAGTATTCGAAGGAGGATTTCTCGAAGTTGTTAGCGGGCTTGTAGGAAGAGCGCGTGGAGGACTTCTGATGGGTTGGCACTTGGGTATGTCGCATCGGATAGGCATCAATCCGGAAATTCCTGTAGATTGCTGCTGTACATGCAGGGCCTTGTGTCGAACGCCATACGCCTGCGCTGTGTTTGATATAAGAATGCTCCCGCCTTTTCCGATAACGCGCCAATGTTGTCCCAATGGATGATCCAAAAATGCAACCAAGTGCCGGCACTGTACGTGACAACATCTGCATCAATATTGACAGGTCACTCGCGCCTGTACGATTCGACAATACTCTTCTCCTCCCGCTCTCTATCCGGGTTGAGAATGAACCTGACGGTACCCTCTCGTCCTCGGTCACCAGCACGCTGTCTCAACGCAGCCGCATTGGCAGCGGCACCGGCCAAACTCGTCGCGGCAGTACTCACGGAACTGTTATTCGTGCTAGGACTCGTAACGTCTTTCGGACTGACATTCTTACTGGACGAGCGTGACCTTCCGTGTGATGAGCCATTCGTTGCACCGTTGGCTGTAGCCTGACCGTGCGGGCCGTCGACCCACACTGTGTACCGCGGAATGTTCCTATCCTCGGACTCAAGGTTCAGTGGGATGCGTACGGTGAGGAACGTATCGACTGGAAAGTCTGGCCCGATCGCCGTTGACGTGCGGTGGTGCGTGTAGAGCTCGAGGAGGTCGAGAAGGGTTTCTTTACTCCATTAGTACATCATCTTCATACGTAGACATGATTCTTACCCATGACCATTCCACGAGTAATCTTCCAACTCCTGTAGTCCCTTCCACGCCAGATGTCCTCATGTTCTTGGCCCAGGAGGCGGCCGGATAATTCAAGGCAGGCGAACGCCAGCGTTGCCGTTTGTTGCTTGAGCGGGGCGAATGTGCGGTACAGATCCAGGCTCATGCTGTAGGCATTTTTGACTACAGCAGACGTCCTTTCGAACTTGTACAGCTTGGCCAGCTTGATTAGAAGTTCTTGTGGGTGTCGGTTGCGGAAGTCAAATCCCGATGCTTCGAGCATGAGTCTTTCCAGGCCGATTATAGTGCGTGATGATTGTTCAAAGACCTAAGACAGGTTAGACTTTTCTGACGGCGCTTCAGATTCACAAACCTGATCATCTGGAGAGAGCTGTTCGTGACGTGGGACTTTCAAATTATGTGCTGCACAGAGGATGTCTCGGGACTTTTTGAGCGTATCCTCGACCTTGCAAGCTGTAAAGAGTGATGCGGCTGCTGCGTCCTGCAGTAAGGGTCAGCTCAACGACCCCCGAACAGCGTCCGCGAAACTCACCACAAAGCTGTACTCGCCGTCTGAATGCTGTAAACGAAACTTGTGGTAGTATACAACTGCGGTGTTGAACGTCTTGACTGGTCTGCATACACGGTAAGGATCAAAATCCACAGCAGATTGAGGGGATAATTCAGGACTTACAGTTTCAGTGCCCTTCGCACGTTGTCGATCCACTGCACGCCAGCAAGCCTGATGTTGTCCTCTCTGGCTTGACTGACACCCGTGTCCCGCAAGCACTTCTGGATCTCCTGCTCAAAGACATAACTTTTGGCAATCTGGACATAGTTGGGCAGGCGACCATTCCGCCTGTTCGTCGTCGAAGGCGTGGCAGGCTCACTACCGCCAGCCCCGTTCATCGTGATGTGATGATTGTGATCTCCTATGCCACCACATTCGCACGGACGGTTCCAGACTTCGGGAGACTGCTGTATTTGAAGGTGTGCTGTGAAAAATGTCGGCAATCCTCCATTATGCTGGTTCTCGTTCTTGTCAACTTTGTCGAGGCTCGAAGAAACCGACGAGACAGCGGAACCGGAGAAACTTGGCGCCGAGCTTGGCATATCTTCATTCTCACATGCCATCACTTGGACTGGTGGCAACGACATGGCTGTGCATAACAAGTGTAAAGGGAAAGTTACAGCTCTTTGTGGATTGTGCTGTGGGGTGAATACAGAGTGAAGCATTGTTTGTTGTGGATTGGCAAACACGACATACAGATGCATCTAAATGAGGACGAAGTGATGGGCGGAGATAATACATCTTCACCATGTCAACAACAAACAACAAACTCGTTGTGCGATGCTGATTTTCAATGTGCATTAATGTCATGTCCCTATGATCTTGATATGCCTCAGGATCAGCCTCACCATGAGCCCCATGCAATCAAACGCCGAGTTCAAAGGCCTCAGATGCCCAACGATGGGCTTAGAAATAGCAAGGTCTGGTCGCTCAAAGAATAACTCGAGCCGCTCGTCCAAAACGACCGGAATACCATCAAGAATGTTGTCAAGATCCGTTGACTTCAGACTTGGTATCCACTTTCTTGATCTCTCGTTCGGCCTCGCCATCATCGTCCTCTCGAGCTCGCTTCTTGCCTGTAGTTGCTTCAACATCGGCCTCCAGACTTTCAGTAACGGCGTTCGCAGTACCAGTCGTGGCATCGGCTGTTGCATCTTGCTCTGATGACTCCACATTGTCTGCGGCATCCTGCTCGTCTTTCTTGTTCTCAGCTTCAACTGCCGCCCTAGCCTTTGCCAGAGCGTCATCACGTCCAGAATCTCTTGCTGAAGACTTGACTTTCGGAATGCCCCTGCGAGACCGTTAGTATGTGCAGAAAACCCGCTCACTTGAGATGAAACTTACTTCTCGTCTGTCTCGGGTTCTCTGAATCTGCCGCCCCGTCCACCACGAGAGTCACGATCCCGATGACCTCGCTTGTTATCGTCTCTGAAACCACGTTTCTGATCCTCTTCTCTTCGTGTTCTCCAGTCGCGGTTGTCACCTCCATCACGCTTGCGCTTGCCATCTCGACCATCACGGCCGCCTCTGTCGTCTCTTCTTCCCTCTCCTCGTCTATTGTTTGGGCGGACCTTGCCTGCCTTGATGTCGTCAACTTTCTTTTCGCAGTATTCCTTCTTGCTCATGATCTGCAAGTCATTGCCCTTGTACTTTGGTTTGGGGTCCAATGCCAGGAATGCATTGGCCAATTCCTCGGTCTCGAATTCAACAAAAACACTGCTTTTGAACAGCTTCTGATCCGTTCGTCGCAGGCGCACAGCGTTGGTAGGACCGTATGGAGCAAAGAAAGCTTCAATATCGAATTGAGTGCTGGGAACCTCCTCGCCAAATCCTTTGACGTAGACGCTGCGGGGCATGGCGCGGTCCTCGAATACTCTGATCGCATCTGGATCTGGACCGTCGTTGAGGTTTTCTGGGAGAGGTTCCTTTCGGCGGATGCATGTATCATCTTCGGTCAAGTCGAGGAAGTCCGATTCTCGCAATGCTTCTACAATGGCTTCGAAGGGCTGGAAGTGACGCATACGCTTGAATTTGTGGATGGTCTCAATCGGGACGGATTTGTTCTCGCTTCCAGCGACTGACTCAAGTAGGAATTTGTCGTGTGGGAGGTTGGAATCGGAAAAGTAGAATTCAACCTGCGCAAGGTCAGCAAGTTGTCAGCACGAACTGTGAGAGCTTTCTGACCTGCTTGCGGATAGCCACAGGATCACTGCTAATCTCCTGCGACGTCAGGTCTGACTTGATGTTGTCACGGTAGTTGCGGTTTCCGAGGCCATTTCGACCACCTCTGCCTCGCTCTCTACCACCGCGGTCGAAGCGGTCGTTTCGTCGTTCACTTCTATCTTCCTTCTCTTCAGAAGCGTCCTTCTCGGCAGCTTCCTCTGTTGGCTTGTCCGCGCCATTCGTTTCTTTCACCGGCTCGTCTGCGGTCGTCTCGCCTTGCAGCTCAGCTAGCATCTTTTCTGCATCTGCGGCTGCTTGAGCGTTCTGATCGAGGGGTGTCTGAAGCCCCTCGGTCACGGCTTCTTCTGCCGACATCTTGATTCAGATCTGTACGGTGCGCGGAAGTATTGCGGAGGATGATTCTGGCACGAGGACACACGAACAAATGGTCCGGGTGGTCCAAGTAAATCTGCGGTATTCGAGGAAGTGAAGGATAGTGACAGTCAAGTCCTAGCAAGCATATGTCAAGGTGAAGCTGAATATCTCACACAGTGAATACTTCTTTACTGCTTCGACCGAAATTTTGGGTCCTCACTTAAGAAATTTTGCGGGGCGCAACCTTGGCATTTCAAGCCTCGTTGAACCTACTCTAGTGTGGTGACAGTACTCGTAACTTGCACTTATAACAACCTCGAAGAGGACTATTGGTTGTATCCTAACCCCACACTTAGCGGTTGCAAGGCACCAGAACAGCACTCAGAACAGCTTTTAGGCATCAATACCGCGATTGAATCCTTGCAGGATCGCCCGATTTCCAGCCTCAATGGTACGTTATGTGACAAGGTATCGCCTCAGTATCGGCGCTATATGAAATACCCCGATAAGCTATTCTCGTAATAGCCATCGTCGTGCATGGCATTCTAGCATTGCCTCTTCAGCCTGATTGACGACGACCTCTGCCAAAATGATCATCTCTCTGTTGTTGCCAGGCTCTGCAGACCAAATGGTCTATCGCCATGGATGACTATGCTACAATCTGGACCCCGCTGAATACCGCCGAAGCGCAATTTCGTGTTCTTCGTCTCGATCCGAATCCAGATATCAGCGCCTGGCCCGCCGGTCAACTTGAAATTAGGTCCTTGGATAACTGGGTCGAATATGATGCCGTTTCGTACGCCTGGGGAGGGGCATCGCGCGTCTATCCGTTGTTCCTTGGAGATGTCGAGCTACCGATCACCGAGACCATATGCGCAGTGCTCCGTCATTTGCGGCATCATTCGAGGCCGAAGCATCTTTGGATTGACGCTCTTTGCATATCTCAACGGGACCTCGAAGAGCGTGCCCATCAAGTTGCTTTGACGCGACGAATCTTCCGTGGGGCCTGCGAGCTATGCGTTTGGCTTGGCTACGGGTCTGAAGTCGTCAGCCGTGTTATGGACAAGATGTGGCACCTCGGAAACGAGATTGATAGATATGGCAGCAGTAATATCCGGCACGACGACTTCTGGTGTGAGCCGGAGGGAGCGGCTCGCCATGGTTTGCACAGCTTATCTCGAGCAGCCTTTTGGGACCGGTTATGGATCATACAAGAGATCGCTTTGGTGAGACACATTTCAGTACATTATGGAAAGATCCGACTTGGTTCCCGAGTGCTCAATGTACCTGCGCTCATGAAGCTCTGGAACCTTGCGGGAGGACAAAATTCGTACGAAAAGAAATGGGCAATTACCTTGCTGTTGCGTCTGGTTCTTCTCAAGGGCACACTGGCACAGACCACAGGACTACCTGTGCTGGAGCAGGCAAGAGCGGTATTAGCTTCCTTCCATAGAGCGCGACGCTCCATCGCCACAGACCCGAAGGACAGGGTTTACGGACTCCTCGGAATATGCACTTCATACTTTGGTCCCAAGTTTGTTGATGCCGACTACACATTGAGTACTGCGGTAGTCTACACGAATTTTGCTCGCCGCTTGATCGAGTCAAGTGCCTGCTTACTTGTGTTGACTTAAGCTACACCATATCATAACGCACTTTCTTCTCTTCCTAGCTGGGTACCAGACTGGTCGTCTTCTTACGACCACGACTTTCACGTCGCACACCTCGCAAGATGGAAGGCTTATCGAGCTTTCCCCGAAAGTGGACAACTTACCTACCTCTTTGTTGATGGGAATGTGCTCCGCTTAAGGGGAGTCTTACACAGTACAGTGGCCAAGGTGGGCGAGGTGTACCATCCCAGCTCTGCGGGTTTGTTACAGGCCCTTTCTACGAAACGACTGTCCCACGAATTGTCCCACGAACTGTCCCACGAGCAGACGATTGAAAGCTGGAAGACTTTATACGAGGAGTACTGGCTGGCTTCCGTGCTTGGACGCGAATTAGAGACTTGGGTTGAAAGAAGTTTGGTACGAACAGTGCTCTCGGATCTAGACCCGGACGCGAACCATCCCGAAGTCAATCGCACACCGTACTATGGCATTGTTGAGCCATACTATGAATACAAGCGGATCACTGCTCAGCGACTCAACGGCATCCTTTCCCCGAACGACCGCATACGCCGCTATACTTCGATAAGCATGCACAAGACATTGGGTCGTTTCTCTACTGAACATGCATTGAGCAATATTGAAAGAGGACTCGTGAACAATCGTTTCTTCATCACGAGCAAAGGTATGCCTGGTATGGGGCCCGGAACACCCGGCCGGGCGATGTTGTCGCTGTCCTTAACGGGGCGAATATGCCCTTTCTACTCCGCAAAGAGAGCGCAGCTAGTCAGACAAACACGTACCGCTTGGTAGGTGTCTGCTATGTACATGGCATCATGGACGGCGAGGCTGTTAAGGAAGCTGGCCCGGGAGCCATAGAAGAGATCATACTGAAGTGAGCAGAACGAAGAATGACATATTGGGGAAGTATAGAATGGATACGGTAGGGTGGACAGTTTCAAGTCGCCCATTCAGGCTGTATCGGACTCTAGTCCGTCTGGCAGCAGCTTGGTCGGTTGAAGTGAGGACATTCTTCACACTTCGCTAGCAAGCGACCTCATCCGATGCGAGACGATACACCACATTCATATCTCTCTGCCGTAAGGCTGGCCCTTCCGCTCACCCTCTGTCGTTGTCGGAAGTTTCTCTGTCCAATAAAAATGCATCTCCTTCACGGCCTTCCAGCTGAACGGTTTCATGACCCGATTGAATCGGTTGGGCGGGCGGTCTTTGCTTTCTTTGGGGTATTTGTCCAAGTTCTGTCCATTGTACTTGTCGATGATCTTTTTGCAGTCTGCTTCTATTGCAGGCCTCACTTTGTTTGCGTACCATGCGGTCTGGCCTTGATGGTCTTCACGATGCTCTGTGTAATAAGCGGTGTGAAATGGTGGTCGTTTGCTGTCATCTTTCCCTCCAACAAGGGTGTTTTCTTCGTCCCACTCGCTCTCGTAGATGTACTCGTAGTAGAAGTATCCCTTGGATCTATGGGGCATGGTCGGTGCGGAGACTGTGACGGTGATTTCTGGCGTACAGGTTTCAGTGTATGATAGTCGTCCTAGTTTCCAAGGTATTGTGACAAGCTCATGTTTTGGACTACAAGGAAAGTAGATCTTGATATGGTGCTCTCTTGATGATTAAGTACCTCCAGCCTCAACTTTGTAAGCGAAAGCCCTTTTATCTTCCAATCACCTCTTGCAGGTACTTAAAAACAGGGTATAACGCTTTCGGTATCAATTGGCCGGTGCCCTTGGATAACCCGTGCTTGCTTTTTCTCTTGTAGAAAATGCGCTTCTTATGAGAAGACACGCGGCTGCGGAGGTCTTACTTGCATTCTCTGTACATACAAAGAACTTGGGCGACCTCAAATGTCCCGCCACGTCAGCCAGCTCTGGGTCTTGTGATATTTTCCAATGTGATGCATTGTTGCTAATTGACCGCATCAATAGTCAGCCGCGTCCCCAGATGTGATACCGGTTTCACAGCCCAACAGTGCTCGCAACGATATCGTCGTTGGTGATCCTGCATCACCTCTCGTGGCGTTCTCTCGGCGATGCTAGACTTTGCATGCCACCAATCAGAGTCATCCATTCTGCTAAGGCAACAACTTGGTTGCCTGTTCAGCAGCGGCGCGATAGGGTGCTAATGATATGGGAACACCACCAGAATAACCAATATCTCCCTGTGCAACCTCAAGCTTCTTGGTTACCTTTCCGACCAGTTTGGCAATCCACCTATCATTCGCAACAGCGTCGACCGCTACTCTCTTCACGCCTTTCCTTACATCAGTGCCCATTTTCCTCACGTCGGTGCCCACAGCATGGGCGAATGCCCTGATGCTACGCTTGGTTGACTCATTCATGGAGCTGATGGAACGCTTGGACGACGAATCGTGAAGTGACTCGCTGATGGAGTCCGCATCGTTTATCGATTCTGCATCGGAGTCTGCAGCGACGACATTATCGGGCACATCTTGCATCTCGATGATCTTAGTCGCTTTGACCAACGCAGCTACGAAGTCCAACAGTTCTTGGTCGAACACAGCGGGCAATCGAGCATGTACCGACAAATTCATGTTCGTTTCGTCTTTTTGGGTTTGCTCAAATTCTTGCTCCGCCTGGATCGTTTTGGGCTTTCCATCCGCTTCGGCGATTTGCGCCTCTTTCTCTTCTTGCACGGCTTTTGTCGGAAATGTTGGGAGTATATGCTCGTGATGAGGTAGAAGGAACGAGGGTACGGTGATTGAACAATCGGCGCCTCCCAACCGGACCACTTGTTTCAGGTCGACTTTCTGAGGGAGTGTTCGGTAAGCCATGACATCGTCAAAACGCATCTGTGTGGTAACGTCGAACGCGGTGGACAAGGGAACCTGGGCTAGTCCGACTATGTTTGCTATTTCCAACACAAAGTTTGCATCTGCTAGCCAGGATGATAAACGTTGCTCGAGTTTCGCGATACCAGTATCATTAGCACTGTGCTCCTTGAAGATCATTTCGTGCAGCGTGTGTTGCAGCCATTTGCCGGACCCGCCAGCTGTGATGGATTTGATATGGAGAGTGTGGAAATATGCTAACGGGTTCAACAGCAGACGTAGGAGGAACGGTAGTCGGTGCATGAATTTCCGTACATTTGGTGGTGTCATGTTTTGCAGTGTCGTGACTTTGATTGATCTGTGTGGAGGATGAGGCACTGAGGGTTGGTCGTGTAGTTCAGAACATATCGCTGCTCGCATATCCTTAATATCCTTGGGATCAAAGATTCGAGTATCCGCGTTGGGAGCAAGGCGGGCATTCGATTGCACTTTCTGCTCGCTTTCGCGGATGACACTTGTTTCGTTGATATATTTTAGGGCGTCAGCATACCTGGATGTCGCCTTATGCGCATCGGGCGTAATCTGTGTCATGGAATCGATGCCTTCATCTGGCGATACAGATTTGGGAGCGCTTCCATCAGTCATCTGGTCCATAGTAGAGACTCGTTTTGGCTGAGAGAATTCCCCGTGTTTTGCCGCAGCCTGTAACAATGGTGTGTCGGCCATCATGATCGAGGCGCCATCGACTTGAGTAGCATCCGCCAGGCTGCCAAATGTCATCTCGAATTCACCGCCTTTGAGGTTACCGAAGACATCACCGATGTCTATTCCTCGAAACAGTCTGACATTGACTTCATCTACCTGCAGAGCAAGTTCCAGGTCCTCTGAGAGCTTGATGCCCACTTCAACACCATGAGCGACCAACGTCAGATGCGACAAAGAGAAAGTTATCCCTCTGATCACCATGAGACCGCTAACCTCGGTGTCGATTTCCAGAGCAGGGATGTTGAAAAAGGCGACTTTGTCGTTAATAAAGTGCAACTGATTGAGGAGCCCACTGAGAATGCGTCGGACAAGGTTGGCAACTCGGTTGGATTGGTACAGACTCGAAATGAAGACCGTAGTGTAGCAGGTTGGTAAGAAGAGTCCATACAGAAGCCATGATGTTGCTGCGACGGCGTAGCTCGAGTTGACAAGGAGGATCAATGTCCAAAGAGGAGCGAATGGCAGGACTCGATAGCCTGTACCTTCTCCCAGCCAAAGACAATATGTGAGGACGGGTGCTCCTGACAGTAGCCATCGTAGAGGCCATCGATACAGGCTTAGCAGGGCGACGGTCAATCCTAGGAAAATATGCGCTTGCAATAAGACACTGGAGCGATATGCACGTTTGTCTCTTGGCTTTGAGGCGACGGCATCTTGCGCAAAGATTGATTCCTCCATGATATGCCTAAACTTATGGTCGTTGTTGGGATTGTAAAGATACAATATCGATAAGGCGGCGGTGAAGTTGGCCGTGAAGGAGACCAAGTATCGTGAGGCTAGTGATCAAACAATGACGTAGATCGAAAACATGACGAGATGATCTTTTCGTCCAGTCCAACTTCAGGTACCAGCGAGCACGGACCAAACCAAGTTGTCGTTTGTAGGGTATGAGAATGTACTTACTGATAGTGAATGTCTTCGTCAATCATGTCGAAAGGTGCAGCTCGTGAAGAGGATGAAAATTCACATGTCTCAACGACGCCAGCTTGAGTAGGCAAGCGACGACTTCGGTTTGGGACGGCAAGAGTGGTCGACCACGCTCCAAGACCTACCGATATCCAAGATGTGCCATCCTGAAGGCCACAGGATGCGACCATACAATGGGTGAAGTTGAAGCTGGTGACGATACTGAAGACGTTGCATAAGCGACATGTTGCCATATGGCCATATCCCTGTCATCCCTGGGTATGCTTACGTGTAAAATCCCTGCCCAGATCCAGATCTGAGACGGAGAGTTTTCCCCACACAACGTACTTCAGACTTCAAACATGTTTTCCGAACAAAGCATCAGATGGCAGATATCGCCTGTTAAATCGACGAGCAGCAACTGAGGGCAGAAATGGGCCTCGAGGATGAGCTTCGGGTTAGCACGATGGGCGCTGAAGCTGCTGCCTTGCGGGAGCATTACCCTTAGGCCAAGGCCAGAAGTCTGATATATGAACCTGGTGCCCCCCATCTCAGAACTGAAGTCTACAATCTCTGTACCTAGGGCAGTACACCTGCACATTCAAATCGCGGCCAATGCCAGTCCGGATGCACGTCAAGACTGCATCGACGGTCTCTTCAATAATGGTGGGCATGGTCATCCAGATACTTCGGATGAACTCCTTCCCCATATCGCTATCACCGATGGCCTTCACAATCCGTTGATCATGGAGTCCGACAACCGCACATCTAAGACTTTCCGACAGCGATAGCGACGACGTGTTGAGTGGTGGTTCTGTGGTATGCAGCGGTTGTCTGTCACTCCCCCTTGTCCGCATATCGGTTCAGATTCTGCACAATCCCTCATTGTCCATAAACACCATACCAACGCATCGCCAAGCGGTCCTTCTGACCGAAACAGGTGAGGCACGGTGTCAAACATTTCAGCATTGATATCGCGAATTCCGGCATTTTTGATCAACAATCACCTATTCGGGTTGTTAGCTCAGCAGGTAGAGCGCCACGGATACATAGCAATCTCCCGTTCCGGTTGGTTATCCTTCTGGTTCGAGGCGACGCTAGACGTGGAGGTCGTGAGTTCGAGTCGCACACAACCCAGCAGTGATTTCTTTTTTTGTTCGTGCGATCTTTGTGCGACGAGGCACTACACCACAGCAGAAGGCTGGTGAGGGCAATGTCGATATCGCTTGGCGGCCAGCGATCACGAGATCACGCGTCTCTCTTGTGCTTCATTGTTACTGTGCAGAGATGAGTGGGAGCAGACGGGGCGTGGACCGTTGGCATCCAGTCATGTGAGTGCATCAATGGCGACACAGTTGTGCGCTCGCGAACAAGGGCGACACTAACACAGCGAGAAAAACGAGGCCAAAGCATTGGCCGTGCACCTGTCGTACATCGATGCCGAGCTCGGGACTCCTATTACGCCTGCCTGTAGGTAAACAAAGAATCTCATGCGGCCAGGACTGTGCGTTCTTTCGATCTGAAGGCGGCAAGCCATCGCGGCAAGCTCTGAGCGGAACAGAATTGATCAGGATCTCGCAATGTGACATTCAACGTATCATTGACGCTATGTGCTTTTGAAATCAAACATGCTCAAGATTCCAAAGCCACCCTCCAATGCTGACCTACACTTGCTCATTGACAAATAGACCAGCCATTCCTTGACCAGAGCCAATGCACATGGAAGTGACAAGAATCTTCTTCTTCGTCCTCCGTGCTTCACTGAGGATAGTGCAGATCTGTCTGGCACCGGTCGCGCCCAGAGGATGACCAAGGGCGATAGCACCACCACGAGGGTTCACCTTGGCATGATCAAGACCCAAAATATTCAAGCAGTAGACGGCCATTGAGGCGAAAGCCTCGTTGATCTCGAAAATGTCAATGTCGTCCTTGGTAAGTTGGAATTTGGCAAGAAGCTTGGGGACGGCGACCGAAGGACCAATACCCATGATACGGGGAGGCACACCGGCAACGGTTGCACCGCAGAACTTGGCCACAATGGGTTGACCCAATTCAATGGCCTTGGATCGCTTCATCAGCAGTACAGCAGCAGCTAGATTCTAGTCAGCGAATGACCTTCCTCAAGGGCAAACACATACCTCCGTCGGTGACTTGACTCGCGTTACCACCGCTAGTATGGTCCCCAAACTGTGGCATGGCCGGTCTAATCTTGGACAAACTCTCAATGGTTGTTCCGTATCTCGGACCCTCATCTTTGGTCAAGGTGATTTCCTTCTCCTCGCCAGTCTTGGGATCCTTGACCTTGGTGGTGATGGGTACGATTTCGTCGTCGAACCAGCCAGCCTTTTGAGCGACCTCGGCTCTTCGAAACGACTCGCAGGCGTACTCGTCTTGCTGTTGCCGGGAGATGTTGAAGTCATTGCTGACGTTCTCCGAGGTCTGAATCATGGGTTGTGTGCAGTCGGCCGCTTCTTGGTTCTTCATCAAGGCTTCTGAGAATCCTGAGTCTGCGCCACCACCGCGGTAGTTGCCAGTCATGCTCTCGCCACCCACAGCGATACCGATATCGATGCTGCCATTTGAAATCTGGTTGGCAATGTCTTGTACGGCTTTGAGACCGCTGGAGCAGAACCTGTTGACGCTGCTGCAACCGGCTGTGTGGGGGATTCCAGCTGCAAGGGAGGCAGCTCGAGTCTTGTATGCAGCTCTGATGTCGCCGACCTAAGGATTATCAGCGATGGGCTCCATTGAGTGTTGCTTGAATCTCACGTTTCCTAAGCAGACATCCTCGACCAACGAGGGGTCAAGCTTGCTCTTCTCCAACACCTGCTTCAATAGTGCGTACACAATATAGTCGAGGTCGGTGTCCTTGAAACCACCCTTGTTTCCTTTTGCTAGAGGAGTTCGAGCAGCGAGGGTGATGACGATATCATCGGGGTTCTTCTGCGTGCTGGAGATAGAGTTAGCTTCCATTGAGGTATTGGACAGCCCGGTTCACTTACATTGCGGCGACACCGGTCTTTCCGCCCGACAACTGCGAGAAGATCGACCCCAGTCTTTGCGTGGTAGTGGCCATTGTGAAATCGTTCTCACCCGTTTCGTAAAGTACAAAAAGGTCAGAAGTGAAGTAAGGTCAGGCGGATGAAAGATGGACAAGGGAAAGCGGCAGGGAAGATAGAATCTGGAGTCTGGACTGCGGGATGGACTTATTAAATGTCCCTTGTCCCTCATTTGATTTTCCCGTTGCAGCTTTTACCTCGGCATGTTGGAGTTCTTTTGCTTACTCCGTTCTCAGAATTCGCCGCTTTACGTTCGACGTTGAATAACATTGCTTCCACCGAAAGCGAAGAACTTATGATCACAAATTCTATTTCACTATTCGGCGCCAACTCGATCTCGTATGGAGTCTGATAGTATCAGTCCCGTGGATCCGGAACCCCCATGAGTCCACGACAATCTCAGCAAGGCTGAAAACCAAAACCCTGGCTATCCATCGGTTATGACACCCATGCAGATGGCATTTGAGTAGCATTTCGTTTCCTGGCATTTCTATTCAGACATCATACGCTATCTATTATCTCTGCCCTTCCCGGAACGTTTCCATTCGCTATGCATGACCATGACCACGTTTCAATTCCCATAAAAGCCCGTTAGGTATGTCCCATGCGGAATCTATTTTTCTTCAACGCTGTCAGGCTTCACAGCCTCGCCATCAGCATCCTTCATCTCCGTGTCCGGTGCAGAGGCTTCTTCTTTCTTTGGTTCTTCCGTCTTCTTGCTCGCTTCTTCAGCCTTCTTCTTGGCTTCAAGTTCGGCTCGTTTTCGAGCAGCCTGTTCTTCTTGTTTTTGTAGCACCGCTTGACGCTCTTCTTCTACCTTATCATTGTACCGCTGGATCACAGGTCCGGCAACGAATCGGATTTCATCCATCTTCGCCACATATTGTGCTTTGGACGCATCTTCGCCATCCTCGTACAGCCAATCCTGTCATCATTGTCAGCATGGAACACTTGAATAATCATCGGAATATGCTTACCTCGGTCTTCTCGAGCTTGTCCTTGATCTTCTCCTTCTCTTGCTCATTGGCGAATTCGGAATAGATGTCATCGATCTTGCCACGAAGCTCATAGATGTACGCCTCAAGCTCGTTTTTCTTGTCCTCGGTGTCTGTGACAAGCTTGTCTTCCATATACATGGCATTCTCCTTTTCGCCAGCCGATGACTTGTCCGCGTCGGACATAGACGAAGTACCAGCCACAAGCGACAATTCACCCTTTCGCACTTGCTTCTTGACCTTTCGCATCTTGGGCTTGGCTTCTGCGGAACCGTTGGGCTGGTCGGTCTCCATAGCGTCAGCATCTTTGGGCTTCTCTGGCTCAGGCTCTTCAACCTCGACATCTTCGACGTAATAGCCGCTCTCCAGGTTAAGGATGCCATGAAGGTTTAGTCGGGCCTTGAGCTTGCAGATCATGAAATCGTCCTTCTCATCAGCCTTGACACCTTTGACTGAGAAGCGCCCAATCCATGGGTTGACCTTGCCGGGTAGCTGATCGGGTTTGGCGTAGCGAGCCTCGAGGTCAAAAGGTTGTTTGCGGTAGAAGGTAAGGATCTTGGTTGACGGCATGATGTTACCCTTGTTGAACACCGTCAGACTCGTGTCCTCGTCGGGAATATCTGGTGATTGCTCCCAGATGAATTCGATGGGATAACTGACGATGTCGTGAACTGAAAAGTCACGAACTCGGAAGACTGGCGACAAAATGGCGCAGCTGAAAGCACAACCACGGGCAACAGCCTCGTCTTGGTTGAGAGTGAATGAAAGGGGCTTGCCAAAGAATGTGGAGATCCGCTCTTTGATAGACGGCACACGCGTGCAGCCACCAACCATCTCAATGGCATCGATGTCTTCGACCTTGAGCTTGGCTTCTGCGAGTGCTTGTTCCAGTGGAGCGGTAACACGGTCGAGAAGAGGCTTGACAAGTTCTTCGAGCTCTTCACGTTTCAAGACGGCACGAACGTCCTTGTCGTCCATAAGAGACTCGATGTTGAGAGGAGCTTGAGCATTCGCAGACAAGATCTTCTTCAGCTTCTCGGCTGCAGCTGCCACTCGAGTGGTTGCCTTTGCATTGGTGGTGATGTCAACCTTGAACTTCTCCTTGAACTCGGCGCCAAAATGGTCAACAAGAGCTTTATCGAAGTTTCGACCACCGAAATGTCGGTCAGCGGCGGTGGATTTGATAGCAAGTTCGCCCTTGCGGAATTCCACAATCGAGCAAGTGTAGTCGCTGTAGCCGATATCGATAAAGCATACACGACGTGGTTTGGCATCACCTTCCGGGAGATCTGACTTTGTGATGCCATATCCAAGGGCAATAGCAGTGTTGTCATTGATCAAGCGTAGAAGTTTGAGACCAGCAATTTCGGAGGCATCCAGCATAGCTCTGCGCTGAGAGTCTGTGAACCAAGGCGGGCAGCTGATCACTACATCGGAGACAGGCAGTTTCAATTCATGGCTAGCAGTGTCTCTGATTTTTCCCAGATACATAGCAATCAGCTGGACTGCGGTGAACTTTTGCTTCTCCCCTCGGTATGTGACCTCTGCGCCTACTTGGCCATTGACGTCCACAAGAGGGGCGGTAATGTATTGTTGCTCGATGGCGACTTCCGGGTCATTGATCGTTCGGCCGGCGAGACGCTTGAGCGACGAGATTGTGTTCTTGAGGTTTGAGATTTCTTGTGTCTTTGCGGCTTCACCTAGGTATCTGCTTTTAGGACCGAATCCGACAAAGGATCTGTACGTAGTGAGTCAGCATTTGGTCGACTGATATCGGAAGGGAAATACTTACGGTGTTTGTCGATTGGAGGTTTCATTTGCGATCTGTCGCGATGTTAGTCAAGATTGGCTGCAACCAGACGGCAAGGTACACTTACGATGTCTATTCCCTTGTTCCGAGCAACACCGATCTTTGTGCTCTGAGCACCGAAATCTATACCGACGACGCTCATGGCGGGCGGATGTTCAATGCGGGACGGATTGCGATAACAATGGGCGGTTCGAACTGGCAGATGTTCGTGAAATTGGAAAGACAAGATGAATAATTCTTGGTCTAGTGATCCGGTAGACTCAACAACTCCAAATAGAAAAAGCAGGTATTGACGTTGATAGATCGACAGCGACAAAAAGGCCAACAATGGGTTCCCGCCTCAGAAATTTCCATAGAGCCTTACGTCGCAGCTTCCTGAAGTTTCCCGTCCCTTCCAATCCTCTTGGCGGTGAACTCGATACGTTGGATTGATAGCCACGTCACGTGCACATGAGAGGAAGGCATTCGACATCACTTTCATTCTTCGCCTCACAGCCTCACTCCCACGCTCGACAAGAAGATAACACGTGTTGCAGCAAATCTGTGCTGTCTATATTTCATGTTTCGGTCTCACCACGGCTATTGGACAAAGGCTACGAAATACTAAGCCACCACAGTGCATTCAATCTCCGCCCTATCAAACCATATTGGCAAGGGTCGTACTTCTCATTCGCAGCCGCTTTTGCTGCGATGTCTTGTGCCAGACCTGTTCCACCTCATTGCTATGCCTTCGCAGTCCTTCGTACAAACGGGGTACGTCTTCGTCCACTGGCATCGCAACCACCGGACTGATACGTCCCAAAGGACTGCGATCATAGAGTTGGGTTTGCTTGTCTGACCCAGATTCACAGGCGAATTGTTTGGGAAATGTTGTGGCTGCACTTCGACCCTCGTGATCACTTGACAAGGCTGCTGGCCGGTCTTGAGTGATGGCTGAAATCGTTGCATCGTCGAGCCCAGATAGACTGGTCATTTGTCGAGGAGTATGGATAGACATACCTTCAGAGTCACTCAAGTCAAGAGAGTCTTGCTTCGTTCGCTGCGGATATGTCGCAAAGCTTGTCTCAAATTTCCCATCTGAAGGGCTTGCTAAGATCGACTCCTTTTCCTTCCACTCCTGCTCTGGTGGTGCAAAACGTCCCTCAATACTTGGCGATGGTAGAAGTAGAGATGGCCGAGTACGTCGTCGTCGAACTTCCATTGCTGGCTTGAACGTCTCGGGTACAACATTCAAGTCATCGCCCGTGGCAATGGCATGTTCGATGGCTTCCTGAGGGGTGACTTGTGCATCTGCAGCACCGGCATCCGCTCTAGGACCTCCCCAGGTTCTTTGGCCAGCGGTGAAGATTCCATACACCATGTATACCCAGTTCATGAAAGGATTGATGGTGAACATGAGCGGATATAAAAGTGCCTTCCAACGATGCAATTTGATTGCAAAATAAAACATCAACAACCAGTTCAAACCGCAGGAGATACACATAAACTCCCATGGCAACTGATCGACACGGCTTGATGTAGTGGCCACCGATATGATTGTGATCAGAAACAACAAAGCTGTCGTCCTCACGGTGACCGTCATGAACCGAAGGAGACACAGTAATGGATACTTTCTCCACAACCGAGCATCGGTCATCATGCAGACCTCGTTTGTGATGAAACCTAGAAACCAACGACGTCTTTGTTTCAAGAGCGAGCGAAGTGTTTGTACTGCTTCGGTCTTGCAAAAAGCGCTGGTGCTCAATTGGATTTGATAACGTTCTTTGGCACCGAGCATAAAAAGATGAGTCAGCCATCGATCTTCCCCCAGGTGAGTCTTTGCATAGTCGAACAGATCTTCACACTCTTCCGCCCTGTCAGAGAAATAGTATTTGGCCATATTTCGGAAAGCCGAGAACCGGAGAAGAGTGAGGGCTCCCGGAAGACAAGTGACAGCACCACAGCCTGATTCAACCGATCTCTCGAACAATTGACCATGAACATATTCCATATCCTGCAGAATGGTCAGGAACGAATTCTTCTCGGTGCAGGCAGTTATGACTCCAGTCATTGCCAGCATGTTATGTTTGTTTCCAGGTCTCAATTCCATGTCGTACATGAAGTTTTGTATGCATACAGGATCCAGGATGCAGTCCGAATCGATGAACAAGATGAAGAGGTCATCTTTATGCTGCAAGTACCGCTTGTAAATTTTGTCGATAAGGAGAAAGGTCGCTTTCTGACAATGTCGTTTGCCTCCGTGTGGGAAGCGAGAAACGGTGACCCTCGCACCATTATAAGCCACATCGATTGACTTCGGGAAGTCCTTCAAAGTCACTGGAATGCCTAGCCGATCAATGGTATTGAGGTAGAGTTCATCAATGTTGTCTCCGTCAAATGACACAAACGCATGGATGCAAGCAGCAGGGTAGTCACAATCTACCACAGAGTTCAGAGCCTTCAATAAGGACTCCGGAGGTTCTTTGTAGACAGGCATGACCACAACCACCTTGGGTGCAGTTCGTTCGTTGAGAGGATACTTGATGAGCTTTCGACGTCCCAGCGGTAGAATAACAAGCCGGTATACACAGAACAGCCAAGGCACAATAAGCATGGCGGCAAAGCTGTAGAAGGCAAACTGTTGAAGGAAGTTCACAAACGGACCTGGGAAGTATTGTGTAATGCGAGAAGGTAGAGGTAAGGTGGCGATCATCACTGGTACAAATATTCCTCTGGATACATTAGCCTCGTCTATCGCCGAAATGATGTCTAACATACCTGAGCAGGAAGAAAGCTATAGTCATGATGACACATAGAACCTTCTGTGACCAGTGATCCGCCTTTTGATATGCCTTCACCAGGCAATAGCAGAAAGCTGCAACCCATAGGAACGACTCAAGGAACGCTGCAAGGACAAGTGGTCCAAGGATGGACAAGCAAACAATCTGATATATTAGTGTATGTCATGAATGCGGTGAGAGACTCACATCAGGTATTGACCAAGGTCCCGTTACGTAGTCCGGCATGGTTGATCAAGGGCTGACCTGACTCTCGGTTGGAACTCGTAATGAGTCCTCTTACCATTCCGCTGTCGAAGAAGGCTTAATGTGACCGCATCAGTCAGGTGGTATCGAAAGAACAATGTGGCAGTCGATCAATCGAGACGTCAGCTGGTTGTTCCTGAGTAACGACGACCGCCTGCAACTGAGCAAACAAAGTGGTGAAGTCAAGGTACAGTGACTGACATTCATTCTGTGAGACACCTGAGCCAGTGAATGGAAATCGAGGTTGACCCACACAGAAGGTCGACAATTGCAGCAGTAGAGGCAGGTGCGAACGAGGACCACTAAACACTGGGCAGCGACATCTCAACCCCGAAGGACGGCAGCATGCATCGGCGGTGAGCAGATTCTTGTCCGGTGGTCGAGAGCACAATGGACTTGCATGCCTTTGTGACCGACGGCAACATGCAGAAAGTAGATGCAGGACAGATTGTAACCATGAAGAACTTACATGCTATCAAGCATCTATGCATGATCAGTTTCCAGACCATACCGACCAACTCCATACCATCCAAACGCTATCAAACACCACACTCCATCGTTACAGCATCTTCATCTACAGGTGATGTTCGCCACTAACCGTTGATCCCACATCAGTCCAAACACTTGCAGGTGTACGAATGCCATCTCCCATCTCGCTGAGCATATCATCCGAGTTGTCGTCCAGCTCGCTTGCATGAATACTGCTTATACTCCCATCAACGGATGGTGCGAGAGAAGCCGAGTTCGGTCTGTGCGAGGAAGGGTGGACTGCTGTTGTTGGTGGGAGGAGATGCACACTTGACCCATCTGAAAGAGTGTGAGTCGAGTTTGAGGCCGCCGCTGAGAAATAGTCTGACGGCTCAAGTCGATGCAGATACTCTGCAGATGGGATCGAGATCTCCGGATCAGGAGCATTTTCCGTGGTTGGGGTCAGGTCGATAAGACTTTCTGAGGCATGACTCGAGGGAAGTTCGATTCGTCTGTCGGATAGTGGAATATTCCACGCTTCACGCATCTCTTGTTCGTAACGTGATTCCCAAACGTTGTCGTCTTGACTTGACGTCAAATCACGCGAAGGAATGACCTCGTCGACAGTTTGGTGGACGTCTTGTGCCACAGAATGGATGCCACGCTGCTTGATATTTTCGTTCGATCGATCAACACCGGACGCTTGTGCTGCAGTCGAAGATTCCGTACCGGTTGGCGACCGCAAGGCACCGTTATCGTCTACCAAGTTGTCGAAACTCGGACTTCTTGATTTCTCATTATCTGAAGACTTTCGTGTCTTCCTTCTTTCTTCCATCACTCGGCCCCGCTCCATGATCTCCGCAATCGCTTGCCGCCTTCGTTCTTCTGCTTCTTCACCTTTTTCTGCATGCATTGAGGCATCATTTGATTTCTGGCGAGTCGGCCGTGGTGGGTCTATTTCATCACCAAGGGAATGAAGGCTCATGGCAATCTTCTGCCTCGTCCGATCGATCCATGCTCGCACGTGAGGGTTTTCGTATGCGGCGAGACTTGCCGCCACCAGTACAGAGACTGTTAATATGATACCTGCTGAGGGAGACACCATTGTTAGTCTCAGCCAGATAACCTTACATCCTCAGTAAAGCCTCTCAGGCTTTGTCGTCGGCCCTCGACTCGATGATGATATAAGGGAGTATGCAGCATTGAAGGATGCTTACCGCGAACGGGAACCGGCATCTTGAGGTTGAAGAATGCAATGTCACTATCACAATCTGGTCCGGCAGAGGGAAGATGATGTCCTATTAATGTCTGGGAACTTTGGAGGACCGAAAAGCGTCAGCCTGCTCGTCCGACACTTTACGCCACCCAAGCCCCACTGTCCAAACTCTCCCCCGCACTGCGCTACGCGTTGTCTTTTCCGCAGACGCGTCCAAAGTGGGAGCACTGTTGTTTTCAGTCAATGACATACCACCCATCAATGTCTGAAGTCACAAATTGACCATCATGTCTCGTATAAGTTCTGCAGCGCAGCCAAGAGCGCTGACTCTAACGGAAGAGTTGGAAAAGCTAGAACAATCCATTACTCTGACACTGCAAGGTATGCCCTCCGTGCCCTTTCCATAGAAGACGATTTGACGTTTGTAGAGATTGACCACAATTTCAGCCGTGCCCATCGAATAGTCACCTCGAGCATTCTACCTGTCGTTGAGCAATATGCGACCCATTCAAAGGAGGTCTGGGAGGGGTCGAAAGTGAGATACCTCATGCTGTGCAGAGGAAACGTGCTGAAATTGTTACAGTTCTGGAAGCAATTCTTCGAGTCGAGTGCCAATGTGTCTCTCTCAGGTTACGAGGAACAACCATCGCAACATGAATCTACAGACAATACCTTCACGGAGGATTCCAATGCCACAACGAACGAAACATCAAACTCATACGAGACACCGTCCGCACAACACATTTCAACAGATTCAATACAAGACCTCGACCTGTCAAATCTGACTGTATCCCCGTTCCACAGCACACCGCGACCTTCTAAGCCTGCACAGGCAACCTTCGCTGACTACCCATCCCCGTACGAAGCACTGAGACAAGAAGTCAATAGCACGACAGTGGATGCTACATCAATGACTCAAACGATGCCAGAGACGCCAGGCAGAGCCTTCTTTCCCGTCGACACTATCGAACAAACCCCAGAATCCTCGCCGTTTCTACCTCCACCACCTACGTCAATCCCTCGACCCTCTCCGCAGCGCATCAAGACCGATCCTCTCCTTCATCGGGTCCTCGATCGAAATTATCGTGTCCAAGCCACGCCGATGACGGGCAACCGCTTCACAAACAGATCCAGGGCAGCGGAAACACCACAGACCGCAAAACGCGCCGTTGACCCAACGTTATCGTCGAGCCCGGAGATGGCTCCACCAGAACTTCATGCCGAAGTATTCTCGTCTCCAGAGCGCAAGACTCGTATTCCAGGTGTCAGTGTTTTGACTCCGGGCAAGAACAAGATCAAGGCACCTTCACGAACACCTGGGATTTGGGACAGTGATGACGATGAGTCGGACGATGATCTAGCGTTTGGACAGAGCCCGCCGAAGACTATGCAGTTTCACGTTCCACAACACCGGCTCATGCAAACTCCAGGTACGTATGTTCCCAGTAAGTGCATGGTGGCAGCTGACTTCTAGACAGCCAAGGAAGCGTCAAAACGTATAGTGGAGGACATCCTTACCAATGCGGGAGTGGACTACGACGACGAAGAGATAGACTTTGAGCACGGACTGGAGACGCAAGGATTTGATCTGGAGGACGCCACAAGTCCCAGTGTCGTTCGCAAGGCTGTCAATATCGAAGATGAGACGTTTTAAGATCAAATACTCCGACTGGCACATGACAGATCAATGGTTGAAGAGTGAATGCTGAACGTCTCAGGGATGCTAATGGTGAGTGAGAGTTAACCCGTCTTTGAATTCACACACCAGAAACTCACAGGTGAAAGTGACATAGCAGAGAACGATATCTAAAGCACTTCGCACATTACCGCCAATTGTCACTTTCTAACTGGAGGAGCCGCGCCGGGGCTATCAAACTTTAAGCCGATGGTATGACCGACTTAGAATCTGCCATCCTTACATGTCGTCCGGGACCACCTGAACAAGTATTTTTGGCTGCAGGGTCACTTCTTCCCAGGTGCAGGTGGCTGTGGCTGAAAGAGGGCACGTCCTGCCTGTCCTTCAGGCAGACTGCCAGTGGTGACTGACCCCCATCAAGGCGCGACTCCCATTGCCATTTGCCGCGAATACTTTCATCCGTAGACGGAGCGTCAAATCAGAATGCGAGATGGAGTTGAAAAGATCAAGGCTGCATGGGCAATGCATCGTGGCTGTGACCTCTGTTGACGCATGCGGACCCCGAAAAGGTCGCCAATTCCCCGCAACCTCTCTCACACTAGAGAGCCTAGGACAACATGCGTTTTCGATCAATTGCCACGATCACATCTACCTGCTGCGTCGTTCTTTCTGAAAAGCGCTCCCCGGCCAAAAGCCGTCATCAGGCTGACCTTCAGTGTTGCCGCGTGCCCCTGCACAATGGATCTGTCACTGCGATCGGCTTAGGGGTCAACATAATCGAACTGAGCAAGCTCTTTTGGAAGGTCACTGATCTATGCATTACCTGCTATAAATATGGTACAGAGCCACAGTTTCGAGAGACCCGTCTTGCTGCACAGGACCTGAAAGAGTGCACGATGAAGCTGCAGAACGCATCGAGCAGCTCTCCCGTCTCATCACCGCGACAGCCAGAGACTTCCAGAGAATCTGTCAAAGCTGTTGCGCCGTCGCCCAGAAGATCACTGCCGAAACCGATAAACTCAAGGTCGTTCCAGGCACAGGGACAGCTTTCCTTAAGGGGTTGAAAATACTCTCCATGAAGAAGAAGAAGATTGAAGACCTCAGGAAGACAATGGACGAGCAAATGATGATTCTGCACACGAAAGTCTTGGTTGATCTCAGGTGAGCAACAACTTCTGCCCATTCAAGCCTGCTCCCGGGAAAAGTGGCATCATCTGAAAGAGGTACATCGACGGTGTAAGCTCGGACTCCATCACGACAGCGACTGCCTTGACAGCTAGTCATAGAGGTATATTGATACAGCTGGCGGACTTCCCACGTCAAAGGCTGATGCTACAATATCAAGCGGGAGAGACTCCGAATTGACAACCAGAATTGATATCTATTGAACCTGGGGAGCGACAGCGGCCAGACAGTACCACTTTTTCTGAGAACCAGGCTCGCCGTCCCGTGCTAGACCTGAAGTCTCACTCTCCGATTATTGCATTCTTCAAGGCAGTTCCGCTGACCAATAGAAGTCTGAAAAGCGAGGCCATGAAGACTGTCTCTGTTGAACTAAAGGGCATGCTTGTCAGGCTGGATCAACCGCAGCAGGGTCTGCTCCAACACCTTGGCGATCGACACAACTCGCTTACGAGAGAAATACGTATAAGCAGTATTGCAACTCAGACATTGCTCGAAACCATAGTGCAAGACCTTGAAGACATAAAGGATGACAATGTGGCTCAACACATAGCGACAAGAACGCACGACACAGTCGAGCACGATAAGACGAGGTCCGCGATGAAAGTTTACATTGACCATGCTGGGCAGGAATCGCAACAACGCAGTGCCCTGGCAGTGTTTAAGGACTCTCGGCACTTTCCCGGGATTGAGAGCAGGCAAGACTCGATCGAATAACACCACCGGAAAACGTGCGAATGGATATTCGCTGGCTGCTATGATGACAAGCTACCGTGGGACAACTTTCTTGACTGGCTCAGAGACGACCAGCTGTTGTATTGGGTCTTCGGAAAGCCTGGCTCAGGCAAATCGACCCTCATGAATTTTCTTGTCCAGACGAACGGACCAAGACCACGCTCACAGTCTCTGGAGGACCAGTAATCATCCTGAAATTCTTTTTTTGGGAGCTAGGAGACGATTTGCAGTAAAATCGAGCTGGACTCCTGAGGTCCCTACTGTGGCAGCTTTTCACAGAAGTTGGAGAACCGGAGGCGATTCGACTCCTTGGTCAGGTGCAATCTACTGTATCCAGTATTGGGGTGGAATGGAGCCAGAAACGTTTGTTGTTGTGCTTGAGATCGGCATTGTCTCACACTCGCCATCGCTTATGCATCTTCTTAGATGCCCTCGACAAATGCAGAACGTGGAGGACGATTTATCTCTTCTGCTCGAGGTGATTGATATTTTCGTGGGCTCCAGAGCGTCAAGATTTGCATCTCGAGTCGACCGTCTCCATTCTTGAACGATGAATTCGAGGACTGTCCCAAACTGCGACTTCAAGATTTTACCAAGCGGGATATCACTACATGTGTGCATGATAACCTCATCGAGCATATTGCCAAGAGGTTTTCAATCGGCAAAGACTCAGAGCAAACCTCCTTGCTCGTCGATACAGTCGTTCACAAAGCTGAAGGGGTCTTTCTTTGGGTACGTCTGGCCGTCAAATCCCTGCGACGAGGCATCGGAAAGAATGACAGGGTGGATGACCTTGAATGGCGGCTCGAGCAGATGCCTCAAGGACTAGACCAGCTCTACAGTCACATGTGGAAGCGCATAGAGGCCGATCACGCTATCTACGCTGCCGAAGCTGCCACATACTTGCAATTGATCCTGCACTTTGGCTCAGATAGTATGTCTCTACTCCAGCTGGCAGTTGCAAGCGACAAGGATTTGCAAGATGCCTATTTAGATTCTGGCTGGGAGCAGCCAGAATCCTGGCATAACCTGGGCCAGGATCTCGACAGTGTTAGATTCGAGACAAGGCTCATGGCGTGTTGCGCTGGTCTTCTGGAAATCCGCGATTGGTACGATCGTGACGAGCCCGACGACGAGTCTCTAAGCTGGAATTCCTCCACCGAGGCGTCTCTAGACGGGGAGTCCTCCAATACGGTGTCACTGAACGCCAGTTTTCTGGGCCTGCAGAGAGATAGCCCCCTAGCGGAAACCCCTGACCTCCTTCAGCGATTGGGAGGATTGCGAGACATACACGAGAGAACAAGAGTATCTTTGATCCACAAATCGGCCGGAGGGTATTTTCGCCAAGGCGATGGCAAGGCGTCCCTTGATAAGTATCCTCTGTGCAAGCAGGACATGCGGATGAGAGCTTTCAGAGCTGTAGAGGTGCTACTCTTGCTCCTTGTGATTCCAACCACGCCAGGGGATGTGACAAAAGCAGTAAAGGGAGCTGAGATATCTGACATACTGCTCTACTTGGTTTCACAATCAGCTGTCACCCTGCTCTCAGATCTGGAGCGGATTTGCGAAAGGCTACAGTTGGTATACCTGCTGGATTTTGCACGGTGGCCGCGTGTGGAAGGCTCCAACGCAGTTGACTATATGTTGGTCTTTATGGGCCTCGATGCTCCTGACTATACTTCCTTCAAATTGAATCAACCAGGAACGATTCGCTCACAGAAGAACCTCGATGGGTGGCTCTTTCAAGCTATCTACAGTTTCTGCATGTCAAGTCGCGACAGGGAGTACGCCCTGTATCCACCATGGCCAAGAGCGGCCACCAACATTGAAGTGCTTCTCCAATGCAAAGCGGATCCAAATGCTAAGAAACATCTACATCTGGCTTCTCCTGGTGCCACATTGTGGCTCACTTTCCTGGTCATGAGGCACACGGTAGAAACTGACTGTAAGGTCGACCTGTCCCTTAGATTGCTGGAAGCGTTCATGCGTGCTGGCGCCAATCCAAACGATTCTTGCAATCTATGCCTGACGCCTGATGACTTTCACACATCGAGTCGATGGTCAACCTGGACTAGCAGTGACACTCAAGTCGAGGGCCTCGAAGATAAGATCTATATGCGGTGGAATGTTATGGATATTCTTACATCTTTCGAATATGGCAGCGAGGCGTTGGCATTGATGCAGGGCTATGGGGCCCAGTCATGCTGCGCCAATGGTGTTTTGTATCGTGGCCCCAGCTCGTTGATGTCACTGTCTGATGAGAACCCTCGAGAGCTTTGGTCTACTTTCAAATTAGGGTCGTTCAAAGTTGCAGAATGGCGTTACTTGAAACGGTCCAAGTATTTTTCAACTTCGATTGAACCATGGTTCAGCCTGGAATTCACGGACTCAGGGCTGGGTACATACACAGCGGGCTTCGACAATCGAAATGATGCTCTGAGAGCTGCTGGGTGGCAAGAGGAAAGCATTGAGTGTACGGACAACATTGAGAGTATGGGTTTCGAAAGTGGGTTCCTTGATGGCGCACCAGTAGGCATCATTGTATCTTCGGAGAGACGGCAAAGTCAGCAGCACGGCGCATGAAGGACTTAGAGTCTATTAGGAAAGGCAGTAGCACAATGCCGCATGAATGAGGCACGTTGGCGGCATAGCTGCAAGACAAGGAGTCTCTATGTGACATTGCGTCTCAGGTGAGGTCCGAAGGGAATGCACTATGAAGGTCGTTATAACGCTGTCGGCCTCCATCCCCAAATTGCTGTTGCGAAAATCGTCCTGTAGAGGAGTATATCAAGCACGACAACCAGTGTTCGCTACACAGCTTCTGGTACCTTGACCTTCGGTAGGCCATGCCCTTCCTCCTGCGACGATCCTTCAATGGCCTTCATCCAGCTCGGCCGGTTCCTCACGAACAGTTCGTGCTCCGGACGTCCATTCTCAATTGCCTCAAGCCCATCGATGCCGCCGATCATGACTGCCACAGCCTTGTCCGACATACTGGATTGCCTGTACAGCGTCGACCCGCATTGGTCGCAGAAATAGCTGGTCATGTCATTTCCACTTTCAACGGTCTTAGTGTAGGTTTTGAGTTGCCCTTTCAGGACCTTCAAGCCAGCCACGGGGACTAGGAGATTGTTGGTGTTGGTGCTTCCGCTGAACTTGCGGCAGTCGATGCAGTGGCAGCGCATCTTTTGTCAAGGGCGGGTGCGTCAGCAACGATGGCAATGACCACTAGCAAGGTGTCCGGACTTACTTTCAGGATGGAATCAGCTTCGAAAGAGATGCGATTTGCTCCGCAGAGACAGCTAGACTCAAACATGTTGCTTGCAAAGGGGGGGTGACGAGTGGGATGCTGGTCAGTGTTTATCACTAGTTGCCGAGTTTGTATGGCTTCATTGTCCAGGTCCTCCATCACACACTGTCCAGGATCGGATTTATATCAAGTTTGAATCGGGGTTTACGGTTCATTGTCCAACGACAGATTGAAGCCATTCACCCGCGTCGGCCCAACTTTTGTTGGAGAGATAGTACTCACTGTAAGCTGACATTGACATCGGACAAGCTCAACACCGTGAGCAGCGCAATGGTGGCCCAACTCCTGGACTCCCGGCCATCGAAGTTGGTCTTTCGCCGTGAACCATGCCGGGTCACCCTGTTAGGATACTGAACTGGCTGTGCTCCATCGGATCGAGATGACGAAGGTGTAGTCACCGACTCGGGGTCTATGATGTGGCAGTGACCATACAGATAGCATTTATATTTCTTACTGATGCGATTGCATACTGTAGCAATGTCCACCTGGGCGAGATGGAGACGGAGGAGCAGGGAGATAAAGACTTAACTCCGCCACGCCTTGGCTTCACGATCACCTCCTGCCACACCTGCGCTGTCTCATCTTAACAACGAACATGGCGCCCAACTGTGATGTTAACATGAGGGAGACGTCGGTTCGAGACGACGGCCACTTGCTTCGCCGTACGCTGGTTCCCTTACACTCGCTATAATGGTCTCCCTGAACACCATATGGCCAAGGCATATCGTTATGGTTGAGAGAGGGGGGCATCCCACCACTCCAACAAGGTCTCTAACATCATTCTACCTCATTGCTTTCACGGCTCATAAGGAGCCGAAGACATGATTTCCCAGCAGCGTGCGCTGTTTCGTTATCGTGACTCTGCCCCGGACCGACTCTTGGCCCCCTCCTTGAACATCGTGCACCTTGACCAGATTAGCATTCAGGGAGGATGTTGTTCTGAACGGTGAAGCCTACGGCAATCCGTCCTCTGTAACCGCCTCTCGGTATGCGTCAGAAATAGCACTTTCCATGGTTCACCACGTGGTGTCAGGTGAATGACAAAGGTACTCATGTAAGTCTTTCATAGACAACCCTTTCTTTCACTTCTTCGTCACAACCACGACATCAATCTGGCATACAACAAACATGGAACTAGATACTCAATCACCAAACGCTCTGCCTCTCGGCGTTGCATGGCGTCCTATCAAGGTACAAGTGACGGCGACGCGAGAATTCACCGTGCGCATCCATCCAAACGACCCTGTCAAGGACATTGAGTATCTGGTCTTGAGTCAAGTAGCGGAACAAGGCCTTCAGATCACGGGAATCACAGAGGTCGAAGTCAGTACTGAAGAAAAGATCATCACCGCTGGAAATGAGATACTATCTACCACAGTCAAGGGTATACCATCAGATCAGCTGCTCACGAATGAATGATCTAACAAATCTCAGAGCGTGCAGTGCTACACATGTTCAACCCCGACGTCTCGTACCCAGCCTGGAACAGACTGCGGGCAAACCAGCCAAATAAGATCCCGCTTTGGAAGGATGACGATGAACAGCAGTCGGCTCAGCCAAAGACGTTACAAAAAACTCAGGGCAAGGGAGGCAAGAAACAGACTCTCCTCACTGTGAGTTCCTGCGCTAATTCCCGCACACAACTGACTCTCCCGCAGCAGTATGCCACTCCAAGACAGTTGTCTCAAGCCACACCGCAGACGTCGTCAGGCGCAGGCAAGCTTGAGAACTTCTCTAGTGTGGGTCCGAACCGTGGCTGGAACAGCACCGTACTCTTCAAGGACGGTAATGGTCGAGAAGATACATACGTCAAGTTGTCGGCGAGGCAGAGGAAGAAACGGGCAATGGCTAGGGGCATGAACCTCACACAAGATCAAATGCTCAATGCTGGGTTCGCGAGGCGCGCTGAACGTAAGAATAATCCAGGGCTCTCTTCTGAAGATGCCGCCAACTGAACATGCATGCAGGTCAAGGTATTGCCAAAGCGCTGGAGCATCGATCCAGAAGACGGGCGAAACGCGTGGAGAAGCGATTGAGCGCAGCTGCGCAGAGACGCTGGCAGGGAAAGAGCCTGACCGAAGAAGCCAAGATCGATGCTCTCAATGAAGGTAAGATAGCCCTGTTGTCCGCGGAGTATCCAGAAGATATGCCTAGTCTAATGATGCTGACTGCTGTTCTTTAGCTCTGGAGAAGATGTGACTTCGCTTTGGTTGATTTTCAGCGTGGGCTTGCAACAGCACCAGGCCAGGGGTCGAGCACTATTACCACTCGACACGATTGGACCGATTTCTAATAGGGGCCTTACACGGTCATCATGCTGCTGCGTCTTTTCGAATGGGACAGAGAGCATTGAGAAGAAGCAGCGCACTTGCAAGTGTTGTTACATCAGACCAGCCCGATGCAGGCAAGAGGTCACCTCATACACACAACGCACAATGGCCAAAGTCTGCAGCGGGCTGAAGCATGGAGCACTTCAGAGTGACTAAACACTATGCAGATGGGCTTTCATGAGCTGATGACACCGGTGGAGATCGTTTATCTAGGTCTAGATCATCACCAGGCATACTCGGGGGCAGATCTAGATAGCCAAACCATTCATGTTTGCCGCATCAGCTTTCTTCCCATCCAGATCTTTCTTTAGCCCGTCTTCCTCGCTGTCCTCAGGCATAGACAAAGCCACATCTTCAGGGACTTTGATCCCGTAAACATTACATATCCGTCTCGCAACACCCTCGCCACTCCACCATGCGCCCGTCGTGGTCCCCAGGGCGATGAAAGGCGCCGTATGCTCGCCCGCCAACCATATTCCGCGCTCTGTAAGCCCATCGGCAGCGCGCATGACTTGGATGTCCTCGTCGCCTCGCTCCAATCCGACCTGAAAGTTGCAGTAACTGCCATTGCCTGCGAAGCGGTCGTTTTGCCACTGCGTCATCAAGAACGATGTCGGTGTACATGCTGGATCGGAGGATGAGTACGTGGGAAGACGGGAGTAGAAAGGTTCGGCGAAGACGCGCAATACAGCGTTATATCGCTCGGAGTGCGGGTCGAGGTCCTTGACAAGATTGACAGCGTGCGTAGCGCAGGGCCCGTAGATGTAGAAGAGTAATGTCGGGTGAGCGCACGGGGAGGGGAGGTGTGCTAGCGAGACGACGGATTGATTCCATGCTTCGGTCTTGGGGTGGTCGATATACGATGGGTCGTGGAAGTGTGTGAAAACAGGGAAGTTCTCTTTGTCTTCACTGTTGCTCTTGTCTACGGCTCGCAGCCAGAATGCCGAAGGGAATGTTACGTAGAGCTTCTCCAGGCGGCCATAGTTGACATTCTCTATGGCATCGGACAATCTGGGTGGGAGCGCCGGCGTAAAGGATGCGCTGTGATTGCGCTTCAGCCAGCCTAGAGGACATGTGATGACGACTTGGTCGAATGTTGATTTCTGCCCTGTCGAGGTGGTGACGGTCACACCACCGGCAGCTGTGGTATCAAAATGTACGACTTCGGTATCGAGGTGTAAGTCGACTTTATCCGTCGCGGTGACCGTCTTGCCGATATGGTTAAGTATGTTCTTGTAGGTACTTGCAACGAATACGTTCTCGCCCTCGATACACTCTTCCAGAAAGAAGAATTTGAGACTTTGTTTCTCGACAGGGTCGCCGACGAAGGGTCCCCACATCTGCGCTTCGTGCAGGAGGTCGTTGCATTCCTGCTTATCGTTGCCGGCTTTGCTGAGCTTCTCCTGGAAGTACTCGTACAGACTTATGCGAGAGTCGATCGTGGCTGAATGCTCGTCTGAATACTTGAATGCATCGACGACCATTTCCCAAATTTTGCCGGACAATTGTACAGCTTCGGTGTCGGTGCGCCGTTTCCCGGATGCGTCGTAGAGGGCGCCGCCCTCTTCGGGATCCAGGACTTTCGTCCCCGTCTTTTCGGCGAGGCTCATTATGGGATTCCCTTTCGTCCCGTGAATCCAATTCGCGCCCAAATCTACCAAGTGCCCGCCAGTTTCCTCCTGATGGACTCTCCCTCCTATGCGGTTGCGAGCTTCGAGCAGCGTCACCTTGCATCCGCTGCGGGCCAGGACGTCTGAGCATCGGAGACCTGCGATGCCAGCGCCAATGACCGCGACGTGCGGCATCTTGAGTGAGGAGAGTGTGCTTGCGTGGCGGAGGGATTGCATATTGGATGAAACTGAACCGTTGATCTGGACATTGTGTGGACTGCTAGCCAGGTCCCGGGATATTCGAGACATACAAGGCTTGCTGCAGCTGGCGAGGGTCATACAGGGGTATATATGTATCAATAGGCAGAGGTGGGCTCTGTGACGAATAGAATGTTGATGATCTATGCGTTGCTACAGCACGTCGAAGTGTCTTCAGTATTGTTCTCCAAGATGAGACTTCTGGGTATGGATAGCTACTATATATAGAACAAGCCCAACGGATGCCGCAGACGATATAGTGAGAGCCACCAAAGATGCCTCATGTGGATAGATATCCAGGTGTTGCTCTATCAGTGTGTGTCATGTCGCTCCTTGCAGTGGATTCTAGTGAGGTGACGTCAACGGGAGAAGGCAATGTCTTAAGCGGACATCCACCTAGTAGGAAGGAAGAAACGTTACTTATCGAGACTTTCAGGGCATTCATTATGCCAAATAACCGTACAATAGCTTTATGGCACTGACTGAGAACAGTGGCCAGCTAGAATGCTACTCTTCACATCCAAGGGAGAAGGCCATCTCATGTTTCATCGAAACTGGGCAGCCCCTCATGATAATAATCAAACAAGATTCTTCGTCTCCATGCGTATGTGCGTCGTTGTTCATGAGCCATCACACAGCGCCTCAACTCCAAGCTCCTTGGCTTAACGACAACAGACTCTTCACACAGTCCAGATCATCACCCTTGGCCTTCTCTTTGGTAGGAGATCGTTGTGGATTCAACACTCCATCACGACGCTTTCGTGAAGAGCTTGCGTCCGGGAAGATCATTTCTTCATTCACTTGCAAGATCGGTCGCTGACGTCCACTAGGCTGAGTTCTGCGCAGAGCATGCTCTGACAGTTGCGTTCCCGGTGCCCAATTCTCCTTGTCCGAATCTGACGGTGATCTTGCGTGACCAGACTGCTTGCCTTTCTTGATGATCTCGTCCGTGGCACCATCAAGACCTTGCAAACGGCCCAACGACGACTTGGCTCGCGACAGTTTTGGTTTGTCGTCCTTCGATGATGGTGCCAGCCGACTGTTGGTCTTGGTCACCGACGGACTGAGAGCTTTTGTGCGCGACTTGAGACTGTTTGTTCTGAGAAGATTGATGGCACCAACAGCCGACCCTGTAGTTTCAGCTTCGGCCTGGGTCGAAAGAGCATCTTTGGCATTGCTGTCGCAATAGAACTCCCAGGTTCGAGCATCGCGGGATCGTCCGAAACCAGCTTTTGACTGTGCGCCTTGGCTAGACTCCCGAAAGACCTCCACCGAGTTCATAGCACTCTTGCTGCGAGCAAGCGCGCTCTTGGTCTTGACTTGCGATGATGGAGGTGCAGTTCGAGGCTTCTCCGGAGATGGCGTCGGTTCGTCATTTGTTCGGACCTTCACCGCTCCGTCGACGGTCATGGCCAGGCGCACCGTACTGGAAGATCTTGCAAGAGGTTCCTTGACCCGAGCAGGAGCCTTGGTGGGGTCTCCGGTTGCATCAACACCCTTAGTGTCTGCGCCAGTCATCTCATCGTGGTCTCTCTTTCTCGCACTTCCGTGCTCGCTGTTTGCCATCTCTTCCTCGCCCTGGATCCTCGACAGGTCAGCGTCCACCTCTTGTGCCCTATCCTCCGTTGGTGTGACGGTGGTATGGTCCTCGAAGCTCGATGGAGGAGTGCTCTTCTCAGCTGTGTCTTGGCTGTCATGAACGGCTTCTTGACTACTAATACTCGGGGATGACGAGGTAGGGTTGAGGAGGTCATGAATGCTGGAAGCCCTTGAGGCAGGGCGAGCAATGACATCTGACTGTGCGCGAACGAGAGCTGGACGAAGAAATGAAGCAGGTTGTACTCCTTCAAGCGAAGGTGGAGTAGGCTGAACCTGAATGGGACTTGCGGTACGCGTATGCAAATGGGCTACAAGCTCATGAGGCTGCAGTGGTTTTGATCTTCGACGATCATTTTGTCGACGATTCTGGAACCATATCTACGACAAGGTCAGTCTTGGGGATCATGCTACAACAATTTTCAGTACGGACCTGAACCTCTTTCTCGGTCATGTTGACCAGACTCACTATCTGTGCTCTTTCACCTTTGTCCGGTTTGGAGTTGTTGAGGTAGGCAGTTTCGAGGACCGCATGGTCTTGAGGGCTATACAAGGTTAGTCAAGCTTGTGAGTCCGGGTCGGTGACCTTCATACCTGGTTCTCTTTCTCTTGGCTTTGGACGCAGAGGTTGACGTGGAAGACGATGCGGACAACGTCATCGAGTCATTTTCGAACGCGTACTGAGGTTTGGTGGCTGCATGGACAGCAGGGTCTGCCACGCCGTTCGCAGTCTCCTCCATTGTTGAGGAGTCGCGCGAAGACGTGAGTATTGGTGAGAGGAAGGCGACGAGGTACAGGTGAGGTACTGAGGTATGGGGAGTTGAGAAAGACGGGGTTGTTGTACACTGTCATAGCGCCTTGTCAAAGTCCAACGCGCCAGCGCGTCTCCAAATGAACTTTGACGCCATTTTAGGGCTTGGCGGCTCAAATCACCTTCAACATTGAAACCATCGGACCAGTAAATGAGCAGCCAATTCATTTCCCTTTCAGCCTTGCATTTGGCATAATCTGCCCATCAAAACACTTCAAAGAACCATATCTGTCAAATGAAATGCATCGTGCATTCGCTGTCCCATGGAATGCCATGTCGCGATGCACGTGATGACGACGACATGCAGCTCATTTACTGTCCTTCGCGTCAACGACCGGACGAAGTAGTTTGGTTTCCCATCTAAGGTCTTTGGCTGGAAGCGGTTGCTGTCCTGGCAAGAGATTCAGTGATCTATTCTATGTCGACGGCAGGTTATCTGGAACGACATTGATTCATCTGGTCAGACTGATGCTCTCAAGGTTCAACGCGACGCCGACACGAAATCACGTGGGTGCAGCGGCTCCGGAGATGAGATATATCTCATACAATTAATTAGCCGTCGCTGCCGTCCCCGCTTCAAGGCTCGCGGTGCGGCTGAAGACACAGCTCGCCTGACAACGATGATCCTACTCACAAACGTACCCAAAATCCGAAGAATTGAGTTGAGTCCTTCTCCTTCGGGTGTTTGATCTTCTCGTTCATCATGACTCGGAGCTATTGCACTTCGTCGTATCCGAGTCTGCTGTTCCGGCGAGATGGAGCCTCACATCCCGTGCGGTACGACTGCTCGGAAACCAGGGAGACCCGGCCCCTGCTGCAGGCAGAAACAACCACCCGCTGCTTGGGCCCGATTACGATTCAGCGAGTCAAAAGTCCTTTCGGTCCTGACCGCAGGCAGTTAGCACCAATCCCTTTGGAGGCCTTATAGGGCTGACTGTGACTACAACAGAGCCCGATACTGCGGTAAATGGACATGTCCTTAACTTTACCGCTACCACATACTGGACTGGGCTGAGATCTTCGAATGTCGACACCATTTACAAAAGTCCTTTCCTCAAGCAGGTCATCACACCGACAATTGATTTTACGGTAGGTCTCGTTAAGGACCAGACCGTGGATGAAGCATGGCTTGCCCTCTACGACCCACGCGACAATTTCCCTCACTCGCCTGTTCGAGATTCTCGACCGACCAACCTATTCCTGATAGTATTCAGCTATGACTGCATCCATGGTGATACCGGTATCGCAAATGCTCCAACCAGCGCGATCTCGGTTGTCGTTCGGAGCGGTATTCTCCTTGTGGTTCTGGCCGTGAGTCATTTGCACAAGACCTGTGATGCCTGCTGGGCCTGCAGTGACTCTACAGCAATACGCAATCGTTGGCAATCGATGGACGAAAGTGTAATGGACACTGCCGCTTCATGTTCCATGTCGTTATTTCTTTTATCCCCGTCCCAGCCTTTATTGGTCATTCCTGCCTCTTCCAATTATCGTCGCTACCTTTGCCTAAATACTCTCTTGCACCCCCTTGTCCCCAAGCAGCAACTCATTTGGTATTGTCGGTCCATCTACGGTCTGGCCAGGCAGCTGATGAACATCGGCATTGCATTCGCTCCTTGAATATAGTACTGACGACAGCAATGCGAGTTTTCTGACTCATTCTGTCACAAATACTCCTCCCGGGATGGCTGCTTCCAGCAGATATATTCCCAGGTCTACAACGAGGATTTACGATGTCCTAAGCAGAAGACCGTCATGATCAAAATTGCGATTGTCGGCACAAATGGGCTTGCACAATACATCGCAAACAGCCTGGCTACCCAGTCGTCCCATCAGTTCGTTATCTTGTCAAGGAGGGTAGGTGCTACTTTGTGCCAGAAGGGCAATAACTAACAAATGGAAGCCTAACCCAGGTCTGACGGCCAAAGGTTGGCAGGTACTTACGGTAAGTCGTTTCCACTCCTCGTTGTCATGGTGTGCTACTTTCACAGCGTGTCTACAATTGAGCACAGCTAGCCACTCAGTCTCCATGTTCTTGCCCGGAAGCAAAAGCCCTCAACTTGAAGACTGACCACATTCACTTTTGTAGGTAGACTACTCTAACTCAGCAGACTTGAGGTTCAAACTGGCTGGTGTCGACACAGTCATCTCGACCATCAGCGGTACTCCACAGCTCGCCTTGATCGATGCCTCAGCAGCAGCACATGTCCGGCGCTTTGTCCCTTCAGAGTTTGGCGGACCTCCTTCCTTGCGACCTCAAAATGACCTCTTAGACCGTAGCCATCGAGCCGCGATCCTCCGCCTCCATCAACTCGAGCCGACAGGCATGCGATTCACCATCTTTACATGCGGCATCCTCTACGAACGCTTTGCTCCAGGTGGAATGGCTGCGTCACAGATAGGATTACACAGTGACATTGGACAAGAAGGTGATTATCTGATGGACTTCCGGCGACGAAGAGCACAAATCCCTCACATGAGTAGCGCCGGACATCCTGTCACAGTTTGTATGACTTCGGCCCATGATGTTGCCAGGTTCGTTATTGCTGCGTTGGGTTTGCCTACATGGCCTCGAGAATTCAGGTTGCGAGGAGACCGGATGAGCGTTCGAGATATCATTGCTATTGCTGAGACGATTCAAGGTGAGATTGACTTGGAAAGGGTGTTCTCTCCCGCTAACTTCACAGGGCGGTCGTTCGAGACCTCAGCCTACACAAGGAGCTCGTTACAAGACGCATTGACTTATGCTCGAGCCGTTAGCGATCGTCGTCGCGAAATCCAAAACCACCATTTGATCGCTACGGCTGAAGGTCGCTTTGACTTTGCGAACGCAAACCTCAATCACTTGATCGCCATACAACCAGAAAGATTTCGAGACTACTTGGTTCGCGTCTGGTCTGCTGCTGGATCTCGAGACAGGCGCCAGGCGCCAGGACAGTGAATTGAGGACAAGGCTGATTCAGCGCAATATCAGCCCCCCCGATTTTACGAGAAGTGTCTCCCACCCATCACCACCTTCCTTTCTAGACAGATTTTGGCGAATCTACGGAAATCACACCCAGGCCGATATTGCTTGTAAACACCTCTGTTTCCGACATGCTGTCCAAGTTCACAAATCAAAGCTCTTATGTCTTCTGAGTATCTGACGGGCCAACTGTCGCCCATACCAGGGACACAGATACTACACGGTGTATGCATTTGTCAGCACCCTCCTCCTTCGACCCACGGCCCGAAACCCGAGGTACGGAGTTACCAACACGACACACTTTCTCCGCTTCAGCTTTTTGAATGCTTCATCACCGGCGAGTATTCGGCATGTTTTCAGTGAAATTGTGCATTGCGAAGGCGTTGTGTTCGATTCAGATAATGTGTTTGACTACTTTCGTTATTGCATCCGGTTATTGGATCTCGGCAGTCGTGTCATTCTAGAATTGATATCTGTTCATGATATCATGCGAACGTCATTTCCACTCCATATTGATCTGTGAAAAGTTTCCTCGACGTTCGTACATTTAACAGTCTCCGTACCACGTCGCGCATTTACCCATTCGAGCGGACCCGGGCCAGTTTTGTCCGTACATTTGCAACGGTCGTGATATAAAGGCTGCCCCGCGCTTCGATGCTTTCCAGTGCCCTGACAAGGACCCGACTAAACATCTTTCCACCATATCCATCAATTACACGATCAGCAACAAGAATATCAACAACAACAATGTCAACAATGAAAGCCGTCGTGAACCGCAACAAGGAGCCCGTCCTCCAGAAGAGCCGACCGGTCCCCAAACTGCGAGATGATTACCTGCTAGTCAAAGTCAAAGCCGTCGCCCTCAACCCAACAGACTGGAAACACGCTGCATTCGGCCTCGCCAGAGAAAACGGGTTGTTAGGCTGCGACTTTTCCGGCACCGTCGAGGAAGTCGGCAGCAAAGTCACCAAGTCGTGGTCGAAGGGCGATGCGATCATGGGTGTCGCCCATGGCGGCAACGCAAGTCAAACCGAGGACGGGGCGTTCGCCGAGTACATCGTGGCGAAAGGAGATGTGCAGATCAAGAAGCCTGACAGTCTGAGCTTTGAGGCCGCGAGCACGCTGCCGCTAGGCGCCACGACGGTGGGACAGGGCTTGTATCAAAAAGCACTGAAACTCAAATTGCCTACGGACCCGGTCAAGGATAAGGAGTATGTTTTGATTTATGGTGGAAGTACCGCGACAGGAGCGCTGGCTGTGCAGTATGCTACGCTGTAAGTTCACCTGGTCGTCGAAGACGACATGGTCATCAACCCCTTTCAGTCCCCGCGAGGTGCCCTAACAACCACCATCACCCTCTACAAGTCGCCGTGAGGTGGCCAGGAGAAAGACCGTCCCCTGAATGTCGATGCCTTGTGGGAATATGTGACTGACATGATGCTACCGCATTCTAGGTCCGGCTACAAAGTCATAACAACCTGCTCACCCCGCAACTTCGACTACGTCAAATCGCTCGGCGCGGCCGAGGCATTCGATTACAACGACAAATCTGCCGCCTCGAAGATCCGTGAATTGACCGAAAACAAGCTCAAGTACGCATGGGACACAGTCAGTGAGAAAGACACCGCACAATTCTGCGCCGATGCCTTGTCCACGGAGAAGGGATGTCGATATGGTGCGATTCTGAGCGTGAGCTCACCCAGAGAGGACGTCGAGAGCGTGAGTACGCTCATGTACACTGTTTTCGGGGAGGAATTTGAGTTTGCCACGAATAAAATCCCCGCGAGCTCTGAGGACTTTGAGTTTGCGAAGAAGTTCATGGGGATCACGGAGAAATTGTTGGCTGAAGGCAAGCTAAAGCCGCATGCTGAGAAGGTGGGGAAGGATGGATTGCAGGGAGTGATTTCGGGTCTTGAGGATTTGAAGAGTGGGAAGGTCAGTGGAAACAAGTTGGTTTATAAGGTTGAGGAGACGCCTTGAGGACAGAGAAGTAGGGTTGGTGGTAGGTAAAAATGAATTAACGTTTCTAACAATGTTTGATTGAAGCCTGCTCTAGGTGCATAATGTGTTACGTCGTGTTGCAGGCTTCGTGTACCTCATTATTCGTGTCGTAAGGTTTCTTAAGTATGTAGGAAGTCCGGCCGTATGTGGCTGTTTTGAGATGATCCCTGAACAAGCTGGAATTCTTTAACCATCTGGAGGAAGACCGGAAAAGGCTGAACAGGGACTTCTGCCTGTGCCGTCGACTGTAGTGTGCTGTGGGAAAGTCGAGTGCTGGCTGAAAACTTGGTCAGGCGTGGAGAAGGCAGCATGTCGGTGACACCACAGCATATGATAGAGAGGGAGGGTTCACGAGACAGGTGGTTGCATCACTAGCCATCACACTCGACATATTGTCCCTAGTTCATAGCATTAGCGTCAGGAACAAGAAAACATCTCAGCGAAGTAAGCAGATGCAGTTTTGAGTACGTGTCAGACAGCAGTTGGTACAATTTGTATTTCCACAAGGTTGAGTTCAGAACAGGTCTGTGTGAATTGTGCTTCATCATCGTAGTACAAAGAGAGGGGAAGGAAGTTGAGAGTAGCACATACCTGTTTTGCTTTGTCCTGCGTGTTCGGAGAAGGTGCATAGCCACTACTTTCTGAATTATTGCATGCTTGATGTCCCTTGGGATTTGAAAGGCAGAGCTCTTAGCGATATCGAAAATGTGTACTAGACTTGTCCGAGATTAGATATTCAAACAGGAATGCCTCATCGCCTCATCAGCCTGCTGCTCCGGAAGCAGAGTCATCTCTGGGACGTTTGAAGAAGCCGTCCAGACTTTTCTGTTTCGTATCATATGCCGCCGAACCAATACCACCTCTTGCACGCTTCAGATCAAAAAGATGATCTCTGCCGTTGACGGCATGGACAGTCATGGAGCAATCGTAGAATGGCATCGAGTAGGAGTGTTGAGCCTGCGTTGACTGCGCTTGATCTGCATCGTCAGTCTGTGTATCACCGGGCGCTCGCCGAATGGTCAGTTCGAGAAATGCCGTGTTGTTCCAGGAGGGCAGATATTCGAGTGGTTTACCGTAGCTGAGAACCTCAACGTTGGCGCCAAGCGCGACGCTGCCTGTGTTGAACTTTGCAAGTAGGGCATTCCACAGCGCGGACAAGAATAGACCATGAGACACTACCGCGACACATTCGTTGGTGAAGTCCTGTTCTGTTGCCCAGAGAGATGTAGCGAGAGGAAGAATAAAATCTGCAATAAACGTTTCTGCTCTGAGCCGCATAGCATCCGAAGTTTCTTGAGGACGGAAATCGGGATCTTGTGGGTTTGGCACGCGAGGATCGAGAGCATTTTGAGCTCGCTTTGAGGCCCACGGTACGAGCTCGTAAGAGCCAAAGTCTTGTTCTCGTAGGACTGGCAGTCTGACGACCTCCGGAGCTCCTCTATCAGACCATTGCGCAGCTTGATGTCTTCGGATCTCATCTGCCGTCATGTACGCACGTTGGAGGTCTGATGCATAAATGCGTGTGAAGCGAAGGTTGCGATGGGTGGCAAGATATTTACCTAGCCTCTGCGTCTGCTGAACGCCATGGTTTGTGAGCCTCGAGTCAGAGACTCCAGCGAGAAGACCTGCAACGTTGTGTTCTGTTTCACCATGACGGATGAGGAATATATGCATGGAACCTGGGCAGAAAGATCGAAACGATGGATGGAAAGCAAAAGAGAAAAGAACTAAGGTTGAGAAGGAAGGCAAGATGTTTGCTCGCTGAAAATTAAATTTCAAGTTTGAAATGTTCGTGTCACGTGCAGCTCAACCTTTGCTGCTGTATGTATTGTGGTACGCTTCAAGCCGAGGACTTTGATATGTGCCCTCCTTCTTGGTTCATGTAATTTTTGCAGTGATGTATGCAGCTGGGAAGAGAGCTGTCAAGAGATTCAGAGCCTCGTTCTGCACATGGCCTGCACATGGTCTGCAAATGCAGATGCCAAGGTCCTTTTCCAGTTTTTGTCCACCACGATCACACATGCCACTGGACTGAATGGCGCTTCGTAGAAGGTGCAGATACCTTTTCTATCTCATACGCCGGAGGTGACCACAGAGTCCAGAGACTCACCCGGACTGGGCTCTCTCATACTAGTTGTTGTGGGACTCACGCAGCGACACAGGTCTGCGGGACCATCAAGAGCCAAGTCTGCAGGATTCTCCGAATATTCCGGCAGCATTGCGTTGCCGTCGCACAGCTTACATGTCAGTACATGCACTGGCATTCGTAGTCGTATTTCTAAATGCTTTCGACTGTTCTCATTGACTTCCACTTCGGCAGCAATGGTAATCTAGTGGGGCTGTTAGTCACAATTTGATTACTATAGCTTCTTGCAGCACCTACCAGAAGGTAATGTCGGACGTACAGACACTTGTACGCAGTGTCTGCCTCTATCTTTGAGCAGGAAGGGAGAGTGAGGATGGCTTTTTCATCCATCTGATTCAAGTCGCCGTGTTCCAGGTGTGACACCGACCCGCTTCTCCGAGGCTCGTCTTTCTCGATGATAACGCTGCCGGCATATGTGGTCGCCATTTTCTCACCAGCAGCACTGATGCGTCGGAGTGCTCTTTGATGTATAGGTTCTCGTTTCGCACGCTTTGTGTACAGGACGGCCTTGGATCGAGACTGTTCCCGATGCACCAACCCGTCTCGTGTACGATATTGCACGTCTTCGACCAATGAGACATTGATGCTCTGCCAGGACCGATCCGTTGGAGATGATATCCTAATTCTGAGAGGAAGTTGGCCGCCGACTCGACAGGACTTGGCAGCTAACACGAAGCTGTACTTCAGGCCGTGAAGCAGGCCGTGGACTTCATAAGGCTCAGTCAGCTCAAGTGAGCACGTGCATGGGATCCGTATAAGTGTGATGGTTTGGGTGAAGCTCGATACACTGCTGTGGCGGCCTGCCTCGGTTGCTGAGGCTGTCAAGGTGTAGCTGACCTTTCCCATGGGCAACTCGATTGTCTCGGGGAGCGAAGACTCGAGTGGCAGCTCAAAGGCATAGGTATATTGTCCTGATTCGAATATGCGCGGGGCGTGCGACCGATGGTCATCCACAGTAGGATCATGCCTCAAGTAATCCCAGGAATGATGCACTATGTCTTCCTCGTAGGTCTTCTTCAGACGCCGCACCCTCCATGCTTCAGGCCAAATCGTCCGGCTTACACCTCGGAATGTGACTGAAAGTTCAGATAGAGACACTTGACGCGATACGTCCAAGTGCATGAAACCCCTCAAGACTGCAGACCTGTGTGCCGAGTTGTGCGGATAATCGAAGCCCTCCAGGTATAGGATAGGTTCAGCGAGCTCGAGTGCGACTGTAAAGGCGTCATTGCTGGTCATGCTGACGCTATCTCCTCCACGACTTTTCAATTTCGGAAGGTCTCTGCCACGATCCCGTACTGATACACGATGGCGCGGGCGTTCTCCATCGCTGACGAGTTCATGTCCTTCTTTCGTGCTGATTGACTTGGTTTTGCCTGAGATGTCTATGCTCCTTGCGAAGGGTGAGAGCCACGAATCCACCATCGGAAGTGTTTCGGGTCGGGACTGAAAGTAGACTCCATTGTTCTTCTCGGCTTCGTGGTGCTTCTTGGTGGAAACGAAAAGACGTCCTTCAATCGCTGAAGTCACTTCCTTGAAGCCTTCCATTGCTGGAGAGAAAAAAAGCCACTATCGTCGGTGGTCGTTCCTCAGACTAACTCACGCAGCAGCCAGGGAGACTGCTTTCATGTTGGCAGTCATTGTAGCTCAGAGCTTATCATCACTGATGCTTATCGACTCGGGATTGAGACTGGTAAATAGATACTGAGGTCAACTAGGTGTCAGGGACGAAACAGGTTCGAGGCTATTAGGCTCAATAACTCCAGTTTATGATAACAACAACTTATGCAAGTTGTGCCAGCCTAAGTCACAGATGGTTAAAGCTACCCGCGTGCTTGCTGAGGTGTGGTTGCAACGAGCAGGGATTTCGTTGAGGTTCTAAGGTACGGAAACAGCCGCAACTGTTGAGATAAGCGTATGATAAGCGGCACCAGCAACGCTACTTGCGATGGTATCATCACGAAAGCGGGCCTAACACATTCAGTTCGGTCAGGGACAACACCGAGATGGATCAAGTAGTATCTTATGAATTTATGAAGATTTCGCTATGATAGCATAGGGTATGTATTCATTCATTGTCAGTGCTTTTCCTGGCCGCCTATCTAGAGTATCCCTGCACATTGCTTCAAAAAATGGACAATTGACAATTGCAGTCTTGAAGGTAACCACCCATTTCCTCCACGTATCTCCTCGTCTCGAGGTGCACGTTGTGCTTTCATAGCTTGGGAGAAGAGCGGGGGCCCGAGCGTAGTCTTTACAACAATGTTAGTAGACTGGCATGCTGCGGAGTGCAAGAGAACATACTAATCCTCCCTCATGTTCACGACACAACGGATACAGTCTCCAGCGTGCATGTCGTGGAAGGCATCGTTGATCTTCGCAAGTGGCTGTCTGTGAGTGATCTGTGGTGATGTTAGCACAAAGCCCATGGATCACAGGACGAGGCAGACATACAAATTCGTCAACCTTGAGCTTGCCGTCGAGGTAATCGGCAACAAGGCCTGGCAGCTGAGTTCGGCCCTTGACACCACCAAAGGCACATCCTCGCCACGAACGACCAGTAACAAGCTGAAATGGTCTGGTAGAGATTTCGGCACCAGCGGGAGCAACACCGATGATGATCGATTCACCCCAACCTTTGTGGCATGCCTCAAGAGCGGCTCTCATGACCTGGACGTTACCAGTGCAGTCAAAGGTATAGTCACATCCACCATCGGTCATCTCGATCAACTTCTCCTGGATAGTCTGGCCATTCAACTTGGTAGGGTTGACGAAGTCGGTACCACCGAACTTGTGGGCCCATTCCTCTTTCTTGTCGTTGACATCGACAACGATGATCTTGCCGGCACCGTTCTTAACGGCACCCTGGATGACCGAGAGACCGACACAGCCCGCACCAAAGACGGCAATGTTGGAGCCCTTCTCGACCTTGGCGGTGATGACGGCGGCTCCGTATCCGGTGGTGATACCGCAGCCCAACAGACAGGTCCTGTCCATAGGAGCCTTGTCGGTGATGGCAACCACCGAGATGTCGGCTACGACGGTATACTGAGAGAAAGTTGATGTGCCCATAAAGTGCAACAGATCTTTGCCCTTGCACTTGAATCTCGAGGTACCGTCGGGCATGACACCCTTGCCTTGAGTGGCCCGAATCTTGCCGCAGAGGTTGGTCTTGCCAGAGATGCAGAACTTGCACTCCTTGCACTCAGGGGTACTGCTGGAAGTTAGTCATCTGCCTCGTTCCCTCACCGGAGGCCTGCATACTAAAGTGCCACGACATTGTCTCCAGGCTTCACATTTGTGACACCCTCACCAACAGACTCTACAATACCTGCGCCCTCGTGGCCCAAAACCACTGGGAAGGCACCTTCCGGGTCTTTTCCGGAAAGTGTGTAGGCATCTGGCACATGTTCAGTTTCCGCAACCCCTTTCTCTTAGATGGCCAGCATACCGGTATGGCAGACACCAGTGTAGTATATTTGGATGCGAACCTCGTGGGCTCTAGGAGGTCCTACTTCGACATCTTCGATCGAGAGGTCCTTGCCAGCTTCCCAGGCGACAGCAGCCTACAATAAAATCAGACACTGACGAAATCTGGAAGGGGCATATCCGGGTCGCACCTTGCAGGTAATGGTCTGTTTGAAAGCATCTTGTCAGCATCATCCAGGCAGTCCTGTCCCAATTGAACGCACCTTTCCGACGGTATCAGCAGGCATTTTGATTGTTTGTACTTTGATATTACAGGAATTGTAAAAGGTAAGCGAAAAGAGGAGATATCAAAATATACTGTCAGGTCATGGATGAGGGCAGCTCCTCAGTAGAAAATATGCCGGGAGAAGGTGGGGGCTTTGTTTATGACGGATAGAGGAGGGACGCAAGTGACGGATGTGGGGAGAAACGCTGTCGAGTCTCGAAGAGGAGGGACGAAAGGCTTCCGAACGGATATACCTGGGTTGCCCTAACATCATTGGAGTAGCCTGGAGCACTCCAAAAGATACCTGCTCTCATGCCCCTATGCTTTAGGCGTTGTCTCGGGAAATGTCGCTGCCATTGTGCTCTTGCGTGAGCCCTTGTATGCGACAGGATAGAGGGGAAGGCAGTGCCACTGGTTCTACAGCTTTCATCCAAGCTCCGCAGCGGAGAACATTTCCAAATGTGGCATAACAACGAGGCAATGGTGGGAGCTGGACATTTCCCTGTCCGTATCTCGCCGTGTCCTGCCTGGTGGAGGGGAAATAGTTTAGCCGCCGATTAAATACTTTGTATACAAGTCGCTATCATTATTGTGAGCTGCGTGTAATCTCGATGTCGAATTGAGCATTATTCTGTCGACAGGGTTATGCTCTCAGAACACCCCCAGATGAGCCCAGGGCGTAATCGCCGGCGCCAATTTGAGCAGGCCATTTCGAACATAAAACCCTGTCCGCAATCCATCCTGATTGTAGTGTACATGTTTTATTTTTTGAAAGCGAGCCGAGACTTTTATCTGCCTGGCAAGGCGCCTGACTGCATCATTGCTGCGTTTTGCTCCTGGAAACGCTCTCCTATCCGCTCATTGCTCCTCATATACTTGTCAACGCATCGCAGAACGCAATTCTCCTCTCTCGAGATCAGGGATTTTGTGGTGAAATCGTTGACGCAGTGGTCGAAGCAACGCTGAACGAGTTTTGAATACATCTAGAAGGGAGATTATAGTCAGCGAAATGTTCTGCGTTGGAAAAATGTTGAGATTGCAGGTGCACAAGGGTAACCTACGGTCATGAACTCTTTCACCTGCTTCCTCTCTATCCGCGAGTTCAACTCCCTCTGCTCTGCTTGCGTAAGGCTGCGATGAACCATGAGCATGTAACCGGGCACTCTCTGATTGAACAAGCATACCTGTCCATGATGACTTGAAGTAGCTCGAGCGAGAAGCGAACGAGACCGTAGGTACCTCAAAGAATTGTTTGGGATAGACTCTCGATAGAGGTGACAGAGAAGATGCGATGACGGGTACTAGTGTTCGGACGGCAACTGTCGTTGATAGAAGTCGTGCTGCAGATGATGTCGATTCTGTTGCTGGAGGCTCAAAAGTAAGAGGCTGCGGCCTTTGCTAGATTTCCTGCCCCGGTTAGTCCTGCGACCGCCAAGATCCTCCAGGCGGCTTCCTTGATTCGTCAGTGGAGTCCTAAGGAAGTACCGACAACAAGCAGGACTCTAATCTATCAACCTATTTCCAATTCTGGTGGTCTTGTATACTCTGGAAAAAGCCATTTTAAGACAAGCATGACCAGAACAGAGATTTTATGACTTCGCAAAAGTCCTTTTCATCTCCTGCAACCTCCGCCATTACCGGGTCGACGAGGACTATCGCCTGTCGAACTCGCGTCATCTCGCGGCTCATAATCCAGGTCTCTATGCCTCGAAATTCTCCCCTGCAGCTCATGATCTCTTCACAGGTCTGTGACCTTGGAAGCCGCCTTAGCCCGCACATTCTGGTCCCGAATGAACTGTTCAGTCGTCTCCGGGAATTTCCGCCTGAAGGGAACCGAGAAAATGGTAATCAACACCCATACCCAAAGCGTGTATAGCGATTGCCACAAAGTCATCCTTGCAAGCTTTGCTCGCTCATCGTTCCATTCGTCGCAGATCTGCTTGAACCTCTTCGGATCGTCGGTGATGACGCCGTCGAGCTCTTTTCGCACGCACCATCTCATCAAGTTCTCTTCGTTAATCGTCCAAGCATAAAGGGGTCGCTTTGCTCTCCGCACATCTCGTATGAAACGAGCGCCAAATGGGCCTATGAGGACTCTTTGCAGCATGTTGAATGACACATTTGGCACTTTCAGGAATTGCCTGGCGTACGTAGTTGAGAAACCGATGTGCGACACCGGATAGCCCGGTAAGTACTCCGTGCAGAGGGGAAGAAACTTCGCCGCCCAGATTCCTAGTACAACCCTTCGATTCCAGGGTGTTTGACCAGGGTGTACGGACTCGAGTGTCTTCGCAATCAATCGCATAACGTCGTCCGCATTGTTGTCCATTTTGATGTCGAGAAGGATCCAGATATGCTCGAGACCCGGCTGTGCAATGTACTCTAGCAGCTCATGGAGTTGTGGCATAGGTTGCTGAGGCGATTTGAGCGTGCGCAGAGTCTTCAGATAATCCCAGTCGCAATCAATGATCTTTTTCTTCTCGACGCCAAAGCATCTTTTGAGATCAGGATCCTTGGAAAAAGTCAGTTTTCAATTCCTGCTGCATCTGTAGATTACTGACATGCGATAGAACAACTATACCGTCTTTCGATAAATGGATGTCAGTTTCGAGCGCATGAGTTCCAACCTCCACGGCTCCCTCGAAGGCTTTCATTGTATTCTCCGGATATACCGCTTTGTAGCCACGATGGGCAATAGTTTGCGGAAAGTGTTTGGACGAAATATAAGTCTTCGCCCAGGTCCAGTGTGCTGCGCAATGTCAGCGAGGATCTGGGTGGATACTATGGTACCCCATTACCAACTGGGAAGGCATCCTTTGAATGTTGTTGACTGTTATCCTTGGTGCCATAGTGTGCGTCTTTCTTGCCGATTGAACGGACCCCTTGCTTTAGGAGTGGCGTATCAGCCTCAACGGTATCCGGATCCGGGCGATGCATTGTGTTCCAACGCCTGCAATGAAATAGAAGTGCTTTCTGGCAATTCCGGGATGTGTATAGTGTAGGGACAGTCTTCTTGGTCGCAGCCAATAGTCAACATGAATATGCCATCAAGTGGCGGCGCAAACGATATAGTGGGCGTCACCGCAGGTCCATGATTGGAGTGCAGTGTCAATTATCCATTGCAACACGGAGGCTGCCGAGCGAGATGGTTCCTGAAGAAGTCATATTATAACGTCGTCCAGGGACAGGAGGAACATCCGCTGTAGGTAAGGGACGGAACAAAGATGTACCTGTCTCAACTTTAACTCCGTGCGGGCGGCATCTCGGTCTCGAAGAAGAGGATACGACGGGACAGCGCCAGTTCAGGCGCCTGGCCAAAAGAGAGCTCGTGGAAAGAACCCAAAATTCCAAATGCCTCGAAACGGCGGGCGATACGCCACCAGATCCTGTTTGTTTGACCTTGACAGGTTGTTTCGTGGGAGGAGCTCCGCCAATTGTCCCGGATCGATGGGAATCCGATGCACCAGGGAGCAAGCTCCGCTTCCATTTCGGGAGCATTGCGACAGGTCGGGCGTCCAATACACGACCACTTTTGGAGTCCACGTGGAAGTCGACGTCTAAATCTCCAGCATCGTCGTATCGGGTCTTGAAGAAGGCATTGGTGAAAAATAACATCGAGAGGCCACGCACTTTTCAAAGCCTACCAGGGATGCCTGCGGAAATTGAGATTCCTCCGATGTCAGTTGCTGACTCTCAGCAGTCTACAAATTCGTGGGAGGCGCACAATACACGGATGCACAAAAACGTTACGTTCCGGCGCCGCAACATATCTCATGAATAACCACGGCAGGGACAACCTGGACTTGCAGGGCCCCAAGCAGGCAAGATGAATAGAATTGTCGTGCACGTAGAATGTCTCATGATTTCCCTGTATGCAGCAATAGCGAATGACCACGGGCCTATAAGTAGCAGACATGCAGGTCACAACGGTTCGAGTGAGAGCTTTTTGATCCGCTCTAGCAGATTCGCAGACACCGTAGAAGTTTCGTATTACGATAAGGCCTCACGAGAACGAGGATGCGAAAGATTGAAGTACAAAGGCACAGATCCGAACTGAGGCCTGGAAGGGATCCCCTATTGTATGTGCAGACTTCCCCCACGCATTGGCGCACCTCGCACGCGTCAAATTATTGACTTGGTGACCCACGCGTTTCTTGTTACCAATCTTCCCTCTACCTACACAATCATTACTATCCCAGCCGGATATGCCTCGCGAGATCATCACAATCCAGGCAGGTCAGTGCGGAAACGCTATAGGTTCTAAGTTCTGGCAGCAATTATGTCAAGAGCATGGGATTAGTCGCGATGGAACGTTGGAAGATTTCGCGACCGAGGGCGGTGACCGCAAAGACGTCTTCTTCTATCAGAGCGACGATACACGCTACATCCCTCGAGCAATCCTGGTCGATCTTGAACCACGAGTCATAAACAGCATCCAAACCGGCCCCTACAAGAACATTTACAACCCCGAAAACTTCTTTGTTGGTGAAGATGGAATGGGCGCCGGGAACAATTGGGCGGCCGGTTATGCTGCTGGTGAAAGAGTACAAGAGGAAATCTTTGACATGATTGATCGTGAAGCGGATGGGAGCGATTCGCTGGAAGGCTTCATGCTGCTGCACTCCATTGCTGGCGGTACTGGCTCGGGCCTGGGCTCTTATCTACTCGAGCGCATGAACGACCGATTCCCAAAGAAGATCATCCAGACATACTCGGTATTCCCGGATACAGCCATTGGCGATGTCGTTGTCAATCCATACAACAGTCTGCTCACCATGCGCCGGTTGACGCAAAACGCGGATTCGGTGGTGGTGCTTGACAATGGCGCTCTGTCCAGGATAGCATCCGAAAGACTACACGTTCAAGAACCCTCATTCCAGCAAACTAATCAGTTGGTCTCGACGGTCATGTCAGCTTCTACCACAACGCTCAGATACCCAGGCTACATGCACAACGACCTTGTGGGTATCATTGCTTCGCTCATTCCGACCCCTCGCTGTCACTTTCTGATGACAGCTTACACCCCGTTTACCGGCGACAATGTGGATGCCGCAAAGACGGTACGAAAGACGACAGTATTGGAGGTAATGCGCCGTCTGCTGCAGCCCAAGAACCGAATGGTATCCATAACGCCGCCCAAGTCGTCCTGCTACATTTCCATCCTGAACATCATTCAAGGCGAAGCCGATCCAACCGATGTCCACAAATCGCTTCTGCGTATTCGCGAGCGCCGAATGGCCAACTTCATTCCCTGGGGTCCAGCGTCGATACAGGTCGCCTTGACAAAGAAGTCTCCATATCTACAGAACACGCACCGGGTGTCTGGTCTGATGCTCGCCAATCACACCAGCGTAGCGACACTCTTCAAGCGAATCGTGGTGCAATACGAGAAGATGAGAAAACGGAATGCATACTTGGAGCAGTACAAGAAAGAAGCGCCTTTCGCTGAGGGTCTGGGCGAATTTGACGAGGCTAAGGAGGTGGTTATGGACCTGATTGGCGAATATGAAGCCGCAGAGAAGGACAATTATCTCGACCCTGACGCTGGACAAACCTAGAGTGACGGACCCTGAGACGGGCCAGACTCAGGCTTGACAACATATGATTCACGAAACATGTTTGCACCTTACGACGGCAATGATGATATGCACGGAATATGATATCCACGCCGATCGACGATGACCAAGTTCGATCATGACGAGCAGGACAGCTGCGGGCACGGACGAGTATACTGGCACTTAATAATGTCGATCTCTACTGACAGCACGGGCAAACTCCTGGTCAGAGCTGAAGAACCTGAGATGGCACTTTCGCAGGCTTTAAGTTGCATGTCGGGGATGACTCCATCATCGGCTTGGAAACAGCGGCTTTTGCAGAGCTTGAGAAGGTGTCACGGTTCGATACGTTCTCAAGAAGACGGTTGAGGTTGTGGACCAACCCTCCGGAAAGTCTAGCGCCAGGGTCCTCGGGAAGCTGCATGCCACATGCAGGTTGAAGCGCCACACATCGATCGAGGTTCCGGTCAGAGTCTCCTTGATGCACATGTCCGCATGACTTCCAAGTGCATATCGAAAGGCGGCCTGTCACAACAGCGTAGAGATTCGAGAATGACTGATTGATTTTACCTATGAAGTCACCCCCACCTGGGAAGCATGTGCAGGCTTACGACGTTGGTTACGATGCCCAACGACGTGGACTCGAACGGAAATGAGGGGTCAAACCTGGTGCCAGGTCGAGGTCTATCCTCAAGCGGGTGACGGAGTGAGGCGGCCGGGTCATGGATGAGACTAGATGGCTACTATTTAGTTGGTATCAGCCGAACACTAGTATGTCGCTGTTGGCAGCGATGGTGCAACAAAGGCAAATGGGTTGTAGCTTTCCTGGCTTTGTTGGGCACGCATGCACCTGCTGGCTTTGGTATCCGAGTGCCTCGTGTCAGCACAGACATTGAGCACAGACGAAGGTGGAATCGATGAAGACGAACCGTGAACCGGACTCTGGGATACTCGTAACCTTATCGAGCTGGTTGGGTTCGAGTTCTCTGGTTGACATCCTTCTCGAACGTGCAATTCAATGGTAACGAGCACGCGAGGAGCACACGAGGCGACCATGTGGTTCAGAAGGAGGTTGTATACGTAGGCAACCAGCGGTCGACTCTGGATGAAACGTTGGACAATTGAATCAATGCCATCGAAAATCCAGCCACATATCAGGGACGTATTGGGGAGTGATAGTCAGTCATTTCCCTCAGTACTACCACAGTACAGTACAGTATTAATGCAATGATAGTGCGGTATGAGGTAGTCTCTTTCATTGATTGAATAAGCAAAGACCTCTTGTTCTTCTTTCTTCTTTCTGGCCGTGTCCCGACTGCAGTTACATGCAAGCAATAGTACGAGTACAATTCGCCTCTGTGGCCTTTGCTGTTGCCGCATGCAAAGCTTTTCAATGAGAGATTACAGGCATCAATTCTTCTTGCGTCTGCGATGTCCTTCCATTAGCTCCACCTGTTGTTTTCTGATTTACAATCCACTCTTAGGTGTCGATTAACTATGAGAGGCTGTAACTTAATCAAAATCCCTCTAACTGTTTAAACCCTCGTCCCGCACTCGCCGCTGGGGGTCCATAACTGCGTTCTCCGTCATCGGGTCATCCGTCCCTTTGGTTTCCTCTGACAGTGGTACCAGGTTCCCTCCGATTATCCGCCCGCCAGACTGCTCCGAACCAAGTCAAGTCAGTACCAGACACTACTCGTTTAACTGTCAGTCAGTGGATTGCCTCAGGTCACGCCTCAGCCACCCTGTCACCATCCCGAGGCTCCAACTACTACAGTACTACTGTCCTCAGGTTGATAACTATGGACGCTAATTACCCTACGTGACACATCTTGCGCTTCTGATCATCTTCCCTTCCTTCCTTCTCATCACTTCCCAACAACCACCTCTGTTTGCCATTGACAAACCAACAACAACAAAGTCAACAAGGATAGTCGCTTTCGACGACAGTTGACATTCATCTACAATAACAACTCAACACATCAACTCCTCTCTTCTTCCTCACTTTCCCAAGTCGTCATCGGTCACGAGCCTGCACCGAACACCACCTCAGCCTCTTATCTGCCGCTCTGCATCCCACTCATAACAACACCAGAACACTACAACATACTCAGCAATACACAATCTCGCCATCATGCGTTCTCGATCAGGTTCCGCAACATCCAACACCTCCAGCAAGGAGCTGCCTGCAGATAACATGGTCATCCATGTCACCATAGCTGGTGGCAAGAGTGAGTTTAACCGCCAGCGATATATCTCGGCGTCGGTTTACTAATATGTCCTCTGTAGCAATCAAACTGAACGTCCGTCCAGTCCACACTGTCTCTAACGTCCTCGAATTCCTCTCAGCCTCTACGAATCTTCCTACGGACGTACAACTCATGCTTGACGGCAAAGCGCTGGAACCTGCTACCACGGTTGCAGAGCTCAAGCTCGAAGAAACATCCACATTACAGGTTTCCTCACCTTCGAGAAGCGCAACACCTACCTTATCGTCAGCAACTGTGGCGGCTACAGATAAAACATCAATATCATCTACGTCGACACCAACACCTTCTGGTGCTGCTACGCCTACCAAGAGAAAGTCAAACAAGCCTCGTTGCTCGAAGGACGGCTGCAAGGGTCCCGCTCAACCAATTGTTGGCGACTGCGGTTTCTGTCAAAAGCGCTTCTGCGGCAAACACCGCATGCTGGAGTCTCACAACTGTGAAGGTTTGGAGGATGCCAGACAAGCAGATAAGGACCGAAATGCTGCAAAGCTGCAGGGCGAAAGAACCATCATGCTTCGCGGGCTATAGGAAGGAGGCACTTCGTGTTCTCACGAACGCAATCAATTTAGCCGGGAACTCGTTAGCAGGAATCGCGGCGAGGCCGCTCGTCTATGTTTGTTACTCTTTATGTGCTGCGGCGTCTACGGACCGGAATGGCGATTACCAGGGATTATATGCTGCTAGGTTGGGTCCGGACAAGGATTGCGTCAATGGTATCACGGTTGACTTTTGCAACTCTGCGAATATCGCGACAAGTGCTGGCAATGCCACAGGTTGAGACAATAATATAAACTGGCTCTGAACTGAATTTTGAGAATGCCTGAGCCCTTATGATGTGATTTGAGATACACGAGAAAGACGTTCTCGGCTGAACATGTATGTCATATAACATGTACCAACGCAACGAAGTACTGCATGAAAGAATCCCAACCTAGGTCACCGACAATTCTGGTCGTGCTCTCGGTCAGAGGACTATTGCTTCTCCTGTGACGGATATACGCGTATGTAGATCCCACCAGCGTTGCAAATGGGACGACTTGCTCGTGCGATCAGAAGCCGAGGCGTAGTGATTCGTACTGCCATACATGTATGGCTCTTCTGTTCTCTCAAATCATCATCAGGTCTGAACTTTTATGTCGTTGCTGAACGACGTATTCGGAGGACATGCCGCAGGTTTTGCAGTGCCTCTTGCTCTCTTGGCTGCGAAGTGGCAGCTGGTCCAGCACATGCCGGGGTTAAATGTCCACGACGGAGACTCAATGAGGTTAAAGTCTCTTCCACTCCGGTCCTTTCCTGCATGAGCGACAATGCGTCTAGGGGGAGAAGATACCAGTTGTTCCGTCATCAAATCTGACCTCGGGGGATCCGAGTGGTGGCAAAGAAAGGTGAGACTACCAAGTCCCAACATGTGTCGATACACGTTCAGGCCGTAGTTTCCCTGTTCTCCCAGAAATTGAACGTACTTATAATCTGGTCATTCCACTGGTGGTTCCCACCACTTGCATCCTCGATAAATCTGCCAGCATCCCGTTTTCGTTTGCAATACTTTCGAGCGCACGCCTCGACGGCATTCCAGTCGTCGGTCTTGAGATAACTTTTGACCGATCTGCTGTCGTCAAGTAATTTGATGAACGCTTCGCGGACCCACGTGTGGCAAGTGTACGCCGAGTCGTCCTGTCTGAGAGAAATATCCCGGAGCAGAGCCTCCAGACGAGACTCGTCGGTGACTTTTGCAACGGCAATCCTTATCAAGACTGTTTGGGCGCCCGCGTTGGATGGGATGTCCTGTTCCTCGTAGACGTATTTGTTGGTGTCGTCGTCGACGTGCGCGATGTGGTAGCGCGTGCCTGGATCGGTGCGGAATGCCGTTTGTGGACCGACGATAAGCGACCAGTGGTACGAGTCGCAGTTGAAGCTGTTGCGGAAAAAGGAGAGACCTCCTCGCGGGTACAGCGCGATGTATAACCGAGGTTTGTCACGGGTCGAGCTGGACGATATAGTGCGGATGAACTGTGGGCGTGATGTGCTTGATATTGGTCTCGTCGACCTCATGGTTGGGATGCGATGTGAATGCGTGCGAACTTAAAATTCACTCGCATTGCATGTAGATGGATTGCTGCAAGCAAGCAGGTGCTGTCGCAGTTGCTGTCGCAGTTGCTGTCGCAGTTGCTTTTACTCGTTCAAAGAGTAGGATAGTCATAGAGGGCCAAGTCAATGTCTGGAGCAGTAAAGTGAAACTTATGATTGACTGTGCGAGATTTCCAGAGAACGGTCTTTACCGATCGGATTTGCATCGAAGGATCGAAAATGGCAAACGCGCCGTTGGGTGGCGACGATGGGCCTTGCATTTACCGGCTAAACCGGTGGCATGATAAGTCTCGCCAAGCGGGGTGTTGGTTACGAAGTGCTGACTGCTGAACCGACAGATCTGATCGTAGGACAGCCGTAGTATCTCTTCGGCCGTTATACATAGTATTCGAAATCCGAGATGTGGCACAGCGACTGATAGTGGACAACAGCTCGCTAACATAGTTTCTTGCTAAGAGAATGAATTGACTCGAGAGACAGGAAAAGGGAAATGACCCCTTGTCATTTAGAAAATCATGTGTCACGCGTGTTTCGTACATAAATACCTAGGTAACTATAATGCGTACATCGTATATAGTCGTTACCATATCAATCCTCTCCGTCACATATATATTCCATCATCAATTATAACAGTATTCAGTGTAACAAGCGGCGCATCCACTTGGTAACGTCCCGCCAGCCTTCTTCATAATACCACATGCTAAGCACAGTGGCCACCCCGGGTCACCACCCTTGCTGGCAATTTGCTGTCCGTTCGCAATCATGGCGTCCGTCTCGGCCACAGTGTACTCCAGCTTTGCCGTCGATTGACCCGAGTCATAAGTGTAGTCCTGGTTGGGCAGATAGATAATTGTGATGACATCGGCATCGTTGCAGCCGAAGAACGTCGGCCGAGTATCGAAGCCGTCAGCGATAAACGTGGCGACATCCGGTATGACCGGCATCCGAGTGAGACTTTCATCTGTAGCACGTTGATAAGTGGTGTAGATCTCTGAGCCATTGGGATAGTTTGCGGATGTGTCAGCACTGTTGTCGTTGACGATTAGCACATCCACCAGGGGTCGATGCAAGAACGGCCAGATGGGATTGTTTTGAAGAGCTTCGCCACCGTCCACTAGAAAGAGGTCCTCTTGACTTTCGACAAGGGTCGACGGGGAGTACTGGAAAAATGGATTGGGATATACGGCGTAATTGTCGCGGGTCGTCACTACATGGACGGTATCAACGATCACCGAAAGGTCTTCGGCTAACCCGAGTATGGTTGCATCTGTGCTGTCTTCGCTCACGTCCTCGCTCGGGACCGCGACGCAGAGTTCGTTGAAGAGGTTCGACGACGTGCCAAGGACATAACCCTGATTGTCGTAGTTTGTGTAGCAAACACCTGCAACGGTAGGGCTGCCACCAGAAAGGGATGAGCCTAGATATTCAGTTTGAGTGAAAGCGGCTACTCCTTCGTCCCAGGATCCAAATTCATACTGGCATACATGTTAGACAACTTCATATGACGAGCACGTTATGACCTACCGGGTGGATTTCGTATTGTGTGCCATTGGGCGGCGGCGTACATTCGCCTTCGTTGGTCTGCACACCTAGGGAAGTGAATATAGGGTATGGCACATTGTAGCTGGTGAAGTTCGACAGGCTGGTGAGGCCGGATGTGGTCACTGTCACACCTCCATCGTCCCCGTAGAGGAGCTGGTAGGATAAGAGCCGGCCGTAGGGATCAGTAAGCGTGGGGGGAAAGCCTGCAAGGTCCTTTGCGAGGATGTCGGCCGTAATATCGGCATACGCTCCAGTAGCAGCGACGAGGTTGTCAGGTATCAAAACACTATCCTGGAATGCTTGTTCCCACAGGCCTGTTTGTAGAGAGCTGATTGTTGGCCAGTTGTTTCCCGCAATGCTTGACAAAAGCCAGGCGCCTCCAGAGAGACCTGCTTCGTAGGTGAGGGACTGATAAACGCCAGAAACTCCTGTGTCGCTGTCCCTGGCGTCGAACCCCTGAATGACACCGGCACCTGACAAAAGAGATCGATAACCGCCACCACTAGTAGTCAATCCGATCAAGGGGTATGCCGTGGGCTGGAAAGCTTCGGTACTGCAGACTGTAGAAGTGCTGGTCGAGCTGGTTGTTGAGGTGGAGCTAGTGGTCGAGGTCGAACTGGTTGTAGAGCTGGTAGTTGAGGTTGAACTGGTAGTCGAGGTCGAACTGGTTGTTGAGGTAGAGGTGGTAGTCATCGTGGTGCTAGAAGTAGAGCTTGTGGTGGTCGAGGTAGTAGTAGTGGACGTGGATGTGGTTGAGCTGGTTGAGATTGCAGAAATGGTCAAGCTCGAAGACGTTGAGAGACCTGATGTGCTGGTCAAGGTTGTCAGGGTGGTAGACGTCAACGGTGTGGTAGTAGTTGAGACGCTGGTTGAAGTGGCAGGGGCCAAGGAGCCTGTCGTTGTCGTTGTAGTACTGTTGGTGTCCTTCATCGAGGAGGTCGTCGCTGATGAAACAGTCGTGGTCGTGGTGTCAGTTGCCGGCGCCCCTGTTGATATTACTGAGGACGTTGAGACGACAGTTGTGAATGCACTCGTCGATGTTGTCGCGGAGGTCGTGGAAGATTTGATCTTTGTAGATGTGGAACTTGATGAAGTGGCTTTACTTGAGGTTGAAGTCCCCTCATCATCGTCCACGTCAGTCCATTCGGTCCAGTCCGGGGAAGCTGCCCGAGCAGCGACAAAGTCGGACCTAGACCGGACTGATCTTTTACTTGCCGCCGTCGAGTTGCAGGTTGCATGCTTGACCGTCATTGCAAGCCACGCAGCGAGATTTTGAGACGCGATTGTGTATCGATTCGCAATGAACGCAGCTTCTGCACTACCAACACCGCTGGCTGCTCTGACCAGAGGAGTAGCAGGACATACTGCCAGGACAGGTGCATAGCCCGTTGACTGGCGACGCACTGGCGTACTTTGGACGAGGGGAACAGACCATAGCAGCACAGCGACCAGAAGAAGAGTATATTTGTACATGGCTGATGGGCGGAAGTGAAGGAGGTGAAAGTCACAGGAAAGGCTCAGCAAAGGAAACAATGACAACGCATCAGGGGCGGATTGCAAGACTTTAACATATCAGCTCGAACATATATTCCTGAGAAAGGGTCTTGCGACTTTAGTCGCTTTTCACGAACATGTCGTGCATAGCGCTGCAGAAACAGCAGGTGGCCAACGCGGTCCATATGCGACGAGTCACCGACAGTGAGGAGGACTGGCTGGCAGTAAGTTCAGTCAAGTGTCTTGGAGTGTGGTTGGAAATATGATTGCGGCTGGCGACTTGGACGCGGTTGGGGAGATTGCGCCCTGGACGCTCTTCTTGTCGGCCTGCCATTTTTCCCACGTGCAGTCTACGGGGATTGTCATTACTGGCCCCTGATATGTGGCTTCCCTAACGATGTGCAGGGACCAATTTCGCCAGCAAACGGCTGATGTGCTAGACGGATTCTTGTGGTAAGTAGGGACACGAAGGCTCCGGATTTGATATCGAGTAAAGAAACGATTCAAGTCGATTTTGTAGACAAGCCATTCTTATGTAACGCGTTGAAGCCAACAAAATGACGTATACGCGCGAAACGCAATACCTACCTAGGTATATGCTTGAGACACAAATCAATGTTCTTTTCATGTTTGCGCAATAAGCTGTACTGGAGGTCATTGAAGGTCGGTTGGTATATGTCGCCATCACCGTCTTCGCATGTTGAGAACCGCACCAATTTGTGAACTGGCTGGTTGCGTATGTGTAGCTCCAGCTCCAGCTCAAACATACTTGTCTGCTTGCATAGGTGGATTTCATATTTCGTACATAAGATCATCCAGGCTGTGCCAGACAATGTCCAGAGCTACACTGCTCTACGGAAGCAGAAGCACCATATCGCACGCAGCAATGTGCATATGTTGTTACCATTGAATGTGCAGAGACCCGCGTTACGGTACTTAGCTTTATGCACCGTCTGCAAGCGAGCGTCCAGACTCCCACGCAACTAGGTAAGGCTGAAGTTTTGTCCCCGTCAAGAGCTCACCCTTATCTTCCGTGATAGTCTTTTTTGAAACAGGTTGGAACATCCCACAACTTGAAAGTCCACGCAAGATCCTTGATATTGACTACTGCGCCACATCTACGCACGTCAAGGAGGATACCATCGATAATAGAGGGCGAATCGGAGAAATAGAGGGAGCCTCAAAAGAGGCGTCAAGCCACATCTATGTCGTGCATGTGGCTGTGCAGGCGACGAACTGGCAGATGTACAAACCCAATGAAGGAAAACGTGGGACGATGAAGTTGTTCTGTATCCAAAATTAACCCACGTAGAAGTTTGTAAAGCAATAATGACGATAATGGATGGGAAGCTCGGAGTTAAAGCCCAGGCATGCGACGTCATATGGACGTGCAGCTGCCAAGGAAACACTTTGAATGGCGTACTAGTAGTCCGGCCTGCATGGTTTCTGCTAGGCTACTGGATTATCAACTTTGCGCCTAATTGATTGCTATTGGGAGTCACCCGGATAGCTGAATCAAGCCTAATCAAGCCCCAGCCACGGAATACTCCCTCACTTGTCTCTTCTCCATAATAAGAAGCGAAGTTCTCCTCTGACTTCTCTTACATCTTTCTTGTTCGCGCTCCAATCTCTCGTACCGGTCTCTCGTCCTCAAGCAATACCCGTCGCTCACAGACAAACTCTACGTCTTTTTCAATTCTACACAAATCAGTGTAATCCCAACACACAATCACCATGCCTTTCACCGCATCGTAAGTCTTGTGCTTTCCGCCGACTTCCGATCTTTCTTTTCCCTATCTGCGCTACGAGAAAAGCTGACAATCGCCTCTTCCAGAGACATCTGCAAGATCATCCTTGCCATCATCCTCCCTCCTCTCGGTGTCTTCCTGGAGCGAGGATGCAATGCTGATTTCTTCATCAACATTCTGCTCACCATCCTCGGTTACATTCCCGGCATTATCCATGCTCTGTAAGCTCGGTCGCTTTAATACCTACCTTTGTGCACTGAAGCTAACTGAATTTCCCAGGTACATCATTCTGAAGTACTAAGCGGAGCTTGACCGATCTCTTTACATCACCGACAATGTCACTACCCGCACGGGGACCGACCCAACCTCGATTGCAAATCTTGATATCCATTTGCCCGTCCCTTTGATTCCGAGAGTATGATACATCAGTTGTCGCGTTGAGCCTTGCGCGCATGTCCGTCTTCGATCCGTCGCAGACTTGGAGAATGGGCCATTCCCATAAAGGGCGAGCGCAAGGTGCGAATGGACCGGTGTAAGAATACAAATCAACAACTCTTTTGCTGGACGGATAAGAAGTGTTCCATTCGAAATCGATGCACGAGGCATAGCGCCTTTGCACGCAGGGATGGGACGTGTAAAACACCTTAATTCAGCATAATGAGACAGCTATCCTTCTAATATTCGGACCTCTTATCCCATTTTCAAGTTCTCGTATTGATTTTACTTTATAAAGTCCCCTGATTCAGCCAGCCCTACGGATGAACCGCATCAGTAGGTAGTGAAACCCAAGTCTGGGATGCGGAACTGGTGTTCCGAAACCCCTAGATTTGTGTTATTGTTGCGACTCGAAATTCCCGGGATATCGTCCATCAAACACTGATGTATGCCGTTTGCTCCAAGATTTGACGGTCACTATCACGGGTAATCTCGAGAAGACTCAAGCGCTTATAGAACGACACAAACATCGTCATTAGGAGACCCGGAGCACGATGATATCATGCTACTTGCCTGGGGCACAGAAGAGACACGCTCTCCTATGAAAGAGTAGTGGCGTGTGTAATGAACAGCGAGGCGGCTCTAATTCATCAAACAGAAGCATTTCAAGTCGCCAAGCGAACAGGAGGTCATGGTCAGCATGCAGTCCTGCTACGACATGTATCTAGTTGCAAGCGCCTTCGCATACAGGACCTAGTCTGTTGGAAATGATTGATGGGGTCTTATAGTGAGGTTTCACGATCCTATTGGCGAGCCCCTGGACTCACGTGAGCTGCATACTAATGACCTGATTCTCCATCCCTTCAAAACGCGCGGTAAGACCTTCAACCAACACTTTCCAACCGTAGCGCTCGTCCATGATACTCTGCAAGTTTCAGGATACACGACCTATGATGTTTCTCATGGCCAAGCCGCCATCGTCATCGTCGACCGGTTATGTTTTCTTTGTCCCGAAAAGATTTGCTTCGAATATTCTTCGAAGGGGCTCCAGGTAGGTCACCAGCAGTATCAGATCCTCACTTTCCTTGCTGCGGTCGTATATGCTTCTCGAACCCCCTTATGAGTATTGCAGTTGCTGTAACTCGGTAATTTTCGTCTATGACTTCTATCACCTCTACGCGAACAGAAAAGAAAATTCCATCGCTTTCAGACTTACTTCCGCAAACGGTCACGTCCCCGGAAACAACATGAACCATCGACAATGACAAAGGCCTACCACTCGAAATGCGTTTTCGACCATGGACATCACCTAGTGCAGCGCTGGCCGCGGCCGACGGTGCCCTGCTACGAGCGCGAACAGACTCGACAAGTACTTGCCTTCCCGAGTCCCTCCTCTCTATCGTCCCCCAGTGTGCAATCGACTGCATCCAATCCTTCGCATTCACCTACTATCCTGGAAGTACCTGCGAAGACAATCAAGACCTCAATCGCCTTTGCACACAAAAAAACACGTCGGGCCTCACAATTGGAGAAGGATCATTGCAGTGTGTGGTCTCATTTTGCGCAGGGACAGATCAGGTAGACCTCGCAGTATACGGGATTTGTGATGGTATAGTGGGTTCTCAGCCTGAGACTGCCCGCACCATAACAGCGACTTTGTTAGCAACTACTTCAGCATCGACTTCAGCAATGGAGACGCTGCCGGCGACTATAGGCACTCCAGTGTCTACGGAGCAAATAAGCACAATTGTCATGGCTACTAGTACTCCTCCTGTGGCAACAGCGACAGTTAACACCGCCTTTCCTGCATCAACGGCATCTAGTCAGCCATCTGGGGTCAATTCGATGTCTGCATCTTCGACCAACACAGTCTCCGGCATGTCAACCAGCACCCAGGCTACCGCTGTGGCTACAAACATGTCAGATCAGACGAAATCCACACCTAGCCTCAGCACGACACAGATTATCGCAATCGCGGTTGGAGCTGGTGCGACCGTCATCGTTGTTTTTGCACTACTGATGCTCGTCTATTGTATACGCAGACGACGACGTGAGCGACGTCGCAGCCACAGACGGTCACGTGTGGTCGAGACAACTCCTCCCCTCCCGAACTACCAGAGTCCTTTTAGCAGGACAAGTCCAACATTCGAGGAGACAAATCCTTCACTTGCGGCTTCGAATGCAAACGGCCGTTTCTATGCCGCCCAACCACCGATGGAAGAGAAGCGGAGAAGTTTCTGGCGGAGGAGCATCAGACCCGAGGAGATAGGGGTTGCCGTGTCCCCGAAGCTGGGAGTGGAGGACTCTCCTGTGAGCGTCTCTTCGCAGCAGAGCATGTCACGGCTTTTACCCACACTGCCTGCCAGAGCTTTGTGGCCAACCCCTCTGGATCTCGAAAGCACGAGAAAGCGAAGGAGATACACGCAACGGCCGATCAGTGAGGCAACTGTGCTTGAAGAGGACCCAGAATGGACTGCGACCGGTCCTGAGTCAATCCTGATTGATAATCAGCCTTTCATCCTCGAAAGACCCCCACCAGCCAGGAAAATGAAGTCCATTCCTCCCCCTTTGAGACTCCCTATCGCCACGCCAAATCGTGCCAGAAACGCTCCTCAGGCTGTGCCGATGCCTCTCACCCCTACGTATGATAATGGGAATGTTAAGCTCATGTCACCTGCTGGGACGGTTTTTACTCCGCCGTCCACAGTTGCAAACACGATGCAGACATTCGCAGATGGCGCGTCGCCTCCTCCACTACTCGAGCGCAAGTTGGCACCTTCGTCGACATACGCAAACAAGAACATTATGCAGAGCATGCCTCCCGCGCGACTCCCTCTTCGTGCAATCAACAGCCAGGATACTGATACAGTTGTGCGGCCTCCCTACAACACAGCACCTACGGCATCAAATGTGGCCGTGCCTGTGCTTACCAGAACAAATTCTATTAGTTCTGAATATACCGAAATCGAGGAAGATACGACGCCAGAAGAGATCAATAAACAGCTTGGATTAAGTGCTAATCCGCCGACGCCGTCCATTTTTGCAGGCAGCAGCATATATAGCTATGCCGGTCAAAGAAGTCCCATCAAAGACCTGAGATATCCTTCTATTCCTCGCTCCGCTGCCGTCTCTCGCCAGGCGGAAAAGCCGTCACATATGCGAGGAAGTGTTGCCATCCCCTCACATCCACGATTGACAAGGAATCAACTAGTGCGCGCAGAGGCCAGTTTCGTGCAGACGGATACGACATCATCTGACGGCTATCTATCGGATGACACGATCGACTGGCCTGTACCTCCGATCCCGGACAGAGATTCGAGGAGGGGCACTTTGGCTGCAGCGGAAACGCTGAAATCAAGTATGGCAAAGCTCAGGAACAACCAAAATAGTGCCAACAGACAGCCCCTGCCCCAGATGTTAAGCCCATCTCTGAATGAGACATTGAGATCAGAAACGAAAAAGACGACGAAAGTCGTGGTCCCACAGAGGTCGCCGTCAACCAAAGCCCGCCTGACGCCGAGCAAATCGAAGACAGGCGATCTTTATTTGACGGTAGAAATATGAGAGTGAGGACCAGGCTTCCTCTGTCTGGATTCATGACAATGTACAAGTACTATGATTTTTGGATGAGACCCATGTTCGATTATTTCATGGCGAGATATGTACGATATGATGATAGAATATACCCTTGACCTCCGGTTGCAATAAATTGCTTCCAATATAGGAACTATACAATATATCCTTGTTCCTCGACATGCTGAAGGCGAGAATCTATATTTCGTGGTCCGGCGACAGCAAGCTGGCAGTCCAGCAAATCGTAAACTCGAGGCATTTTGCTTCAAAGGGATTGCCACCACATTATTTGGGGTCAGCCAATGACAGCCACAAAGTTGCGACTTCCTACAAGTTACAACCACCATCGTTCGTCCAGTTACTTCTTTCCTTTGAAGATCCACCCCTTCTCTATGGATATCCGATTATGAGAGTCTTTGTCGAGTACTGTGCAAGATGTGCACGGCCATTGGGAGTCATCGGGGCTCGATCGAGACAGAACATTCCTGGAGTGGCTGTCCGTACGTTCACGACAAAGTCTACACTTCGACAAGATGAATCTGCTGTCCCTATATCAGAAGCTGAAGCTGCTTCGCCCATGAAGAGAGTATTTGACCGTCTAAAGCGTCATGCCAGCCATCTTTCACGACAGGGTCAACGTTCATCGATGACCTGGATAGCACAGGGTAATCCTGCTCTTGTGGTATGTACCAGTTCTCTCATTTCATTCAACCATTTACACACAGATAAGAAGCTTACTATGATACCCAGAAACCCGAAGAGATACTACCGTATATTGTGGATTACTGCGATGAAAAGCCTGAAAAGATTCGCACGATTGTACTACTGGCAACTCCAGCCTTGTCACATTTTCTGGAACCGGAACGGTTGCTCAAGCCTCTAATCGAAGCGCTTTATCGCGATGTGACATATTACAAAGGCAGGCCCAACGTGTTCCATGTCAATACTGTCACTGCTGTGGTTGACGCAATACCTGTGCCTCGCAGTGCCGAGACCAAAGCAACCCTTGCAACCGCAGAAGGCCTGTCATTGTTGATGAGCGGCGCACCTCCCGCCAACAAAGCAGTTGATGATGAGGACAACCCTGCTAATATGAGGTTCATCTCCAACGCTACTTCTACCAGCTTGACAGGATCAGGGAGACCTGTCAATCGACATGTTTCCCTTCCCGTCGCGAATACACTCTTCGTCAACGGGCAGAAAACCACATTTATGCAACACGATTGGAGAATCAGAGCCCTGCGCCTTGGATCGTCGGTTTTCCTGCTCTCGCAAAACCACCGTCAGTACGTGAAGGTCCGGATACAGTGTGAGGCGGACGAGTTTCTTGGCGGCCACATTCCTCTACAACCGTTGACGTCCGAGCGGAGGATCACCAAATCAATGGGGAATATCCTGGCACAGATACAAATCGATGGAAATGCCGTGCCTGCATCAAAGGAGCTTGAGACGGCGGTCCCAGACTATTTAGCGTCAAATTCAGGTGTTACGCAGGGCCCTGGTCTCGTCTATGCCTTGATTCGACCACCCAATCTACAACAAGCTGCAAATGAAGAAGTCGCCACAGATGGGCCTTCATCCGCACTGTCTCTAGCACTCTGGCGAGGTGTAAGGCTACACAAAGTGACGGGTGGCGGTGGTGGCTGGGGCAAGAAGCAAGGTCTCCTGTCGCTAGACGCTGCATATGACTTCAAGAATTCCAGTCTTGCTGGGAAGACTATACACTTTCCCGATCCCGACGACGATGACTCCATGCCAACTCTGAAAGTTTCCCAGGATACGATCCCAGACGGGAGTACTGTGGAGTTTCTGGTGAGGACAGATGCTGAGACATGGAGGACCGAGGCCGAGGCCGCGGATCCCAAAGAACAGCCACCAGTCCATGACAGACAGTCCGATTTGCCGCACAAAACAAGGAAATGGGTGTTTGGCACGGCCAAAGCACCAGAGACACATGTTCATCATCCAGAGAACTCGGATGAAAAATCCTCTGGGGTTCTCTTCTTCCCTAATTACTTCGGCATGGTCTCATTCTCAGGGGCCGCCTTCGGCTCTGAGGAGGTGCCTCACCCAGACGAGGTCTACTCCCCCGATTGTCCACCTTTTCGGCGGACTCGAACCTTGGTTGATGTTCCTGATGTACGCCTCAACTTTGTTTCATAGTGTGGCCACGTTGAGCGCACTCCGTACAGGTCGAAGGGGCTCGCACGAAGAAGCCGTATTGACGACGTTTCTCGAGCCAGAAGTCAGCAGGCCTAGTGCTGCGTCACTGCAACACCCTCATAACCAGGAAGGGTGACCTGAGATGGACGTGGGAATCCCGTCGTCGTCAAGTCACACATTGGCCATTAAGGAGCCATACGATTGCCGAAACCTCATGACTGCGATTCGAGCACGTCCACATCGAGTTCTTCCATGACCTGGAGGACCACGCCGAGGGATTCCATGAAGCCGTTGACAGCGACTCGGAGCATGCGATTGGTTGTCGCACTGTACTCGGTGCGCAAAATTGTATAACTCTCATCTTCAACTTTACCGTTTCCCTCAGTATCCTCGGCGCGCATTGAGAACTTTCGACGGACGAGGGGAGACAACTCGGCGTCAACTCGTAATGCGCGCATAGCGGAGGAGGCAAGGCGCCGGTTTAAGAGAGGGACATCGATGACTCTAAGCAATTGATCAGCAGTGTCTATTGTATATAGGATGACGCAGGCGTGCACGCACAGTGAGCAGGGAAACTCTGACGTGGCTGTCATTGTCAAAATCCAGAATCCTGGCTGCGCAGAAGCTTGTGTATGGCGATCGAGTCTGAGACACACCCTCTATGGATCAGGCCTCGCTAAGCCGGAAAGGTATCGTTGCCGTGCTGAAAGTCGCTTGCGACAATCGTCAACAGGCCTGAGGATATGGGGTAAAAAATGGGTTGCACGGTGACGAAAAGGCTGAAAATCTTGAGACTGCGCCAAAGATGGTTGCTGGGCAGCAGATGGCAACAATACCTTTCCGCTTCGCTTCGCTTCCTCCTTGCTCTCAGCCCGCATTTCTCTCGGACCATCAAATACTCTCTACCACCCGCAATTGCATGACCATACGCACATCATTACTCACTGCTGTCGCTCTTGAATCCCTTCATGATATCCGTGGCCTTCTCCAGCTTCATTATCTCGCGCACCTTTTCCAACGACATGTTGTTGCAATAGGAACGGCGACAACCATCACGCGGGCACCTGTTTATTTTTGCCCACTTCTCCCGTCATCGACGTCCGAGCTCTCCCACCAAAAGCCACCAAAAGCCTCTCGTCTTCTGACTTTCGAACTTGCATAAAGCTGCGATCTCCTTCAGAGACTGCTTCACTGGTTGTGCCCTCGACTGCTCAGAGATGGCGCCCGCAATAGTCCATCCCGTCAGTTATGGCCAGGTTATTGAGTACATCCAGGGTATGAAACATAAACATTGCACCCCCTTGCAGAACAACAAAAGACTGACATATCTTCCAGACCGACTATACCTAGCATCGTACACTCAAGCACCCAACGAACATACTCCATTCCCATATCCCACACAAGCAAAGAGATCACCTCACAAGAAGTCATCAAGAGCACAGCCAGGACCGACCCCCGCCACTCTTCGACCTCCTCCAGTTTACTTCACGGTTGATGACACACTTCTTTACAATGCTTTCCATGCCGACTTTGGCCCGTTGCACATTGGACATTTGTACAGATTCGCGGTTCAATTTCATGACATCTTGGGAGACCCAGCAAACAATGACAAAGCGGTGGTGTTCTGGAGTCGGGCTGATGCAAGAAGTCGAGCCAATGCTGCATGCTTGGTCGCGTGCTACATGGTTCTGATTCAAGCTTGGCCACCACATCTTGCTCTGGCACCCATTGCACAGGCCGATCCCCCTTACATGCCCTTCCGAGACGCAGGCTATAGCCAAGCAGATTTTATTCTCAACATCCAAGATGTGGTTTATGGAGTGTGGAAAGCAAAAGAGGAGAATCTATGTCAACTTAAGGAGTTCAACCTGGAAGAGTATGTTGAACGAGAACTGCCAGTGTCAAAACATCTTGCTAACCTTTGCCAGATATGAGCGATATGAGAGAGTAGACATGGGCGACTTCAACTGGGTTTCACCACAATTTGTCGCATTTGCGTCTCCTCAATCAGAACCTGTAGCACCGATACCCATATCATCTCCAGCTTATGCGACCTTGCCGTCCTGCGTCCCAGAGATTCCGAATGCAAGAATATCACAACCGTTCAAGAACGTTCTCACACACTTTGTCCAGCGAGACGTTGGTCTGGTCGTTCGACTCAACTCGGAGCTCTATTGTCCATCATACTTTACCGCTCTGGGCATACAACATATCGATATGATCTTCGAGGACGGCACTTGCCCGACAATGCCGATTGTACGCAAATTCATCAAACTGGCTCACGACATGATCTCAAAGAACAAGGGCGTTGCTGTTCATTGCAAAGCTGGTCTGGGCAGAACCGGTTGCTTGATCGGCGCTTACTTGATCTACCGACACGGCTTCACCGCCAATGAGGTTATCGCGTTCATGCGTTTCATGCGTCCCGGAATGGTGGTTGGACCACAACAACACTGGCTACACCTCAACCAGGGCAAGTTCCGCGAATGGTACTTGGAAGATCAATGGAAGGCGAAGCTTGAGCTTGCCAAACCTGTAACTCCTCGTGCTATGGCGACCAAGACGCCCATGCGCATTTCCAGTGGCGGTGCCCAAATCGCAACACCAGATCGATCTAGTGCACGACGATCTGCTCTGGGCGAGATTGACGGCAACGACGTGTCGACCTACCAAGACGAGAACCTGCCAGCCCCGACACCTGGTCAACCAAGAAAGTATGCACGCATGGATCCTCGAAACCACCCATACTCACGGTCCACTTCTGGCACCGTCCGGCCAAATGCCAAAGCCGACAGCGAAGTCACTGTTGAGACACACCGCCACAGCACAAACGGTGCGGAGAGTGAAGAGGAGCTCATCCTACAGAGAGCCGCATCTCGTCGGAGTCAAAGCAAGAGTCCCGGAAGCAAGGGCAAGGCACGCAGCGTATCGTACACGACGACCACAACGACCATGACCAAGACCTTTGACGTCGGTGACACGAAGGGCATCTACGAGGACGACGGAGACGTCGCTTTCCAATTAGAAGACACGAATGCCATCTGGGACGAACTCGCGCAAGAGCAAGAGAACCTTAAACTCAGCACTTTGAGCGAGAAGGGCGGTGCACCACGACAAAAGACGCCGAGGTCGGCCAGTGGTATGGGAGCCATGAGCGTTTCGAAGACCAGATCATTGCGTGAGTCGCCTAGGCGCAGCGGCGGTGAGGACAAGACCAAAGTCAGAAAGACGAGTGGACGGGTCGGCAGCGCCAATCATGGTCCTGTGGCTGTAAAGCGGTAATGACGACGCGATGGACTCTACAAGATGAATCGCCTCTTCGCAGACGACACACTTCCAGTGCAATTGTCAAGATTGTACGACGAGCTTGACACTCAACATTGTACGATTTGAACGGCCGAAAATGCATCTCCGCCTACTCTACACAACGAATCGGGCTTACAAGATCGGGTCCAGTTTGCAAAATCCGTCTTTACATTGAGCTGATGGGATGTTGTGTGTCTCCTGACATGTCACTCTCGATTGGAGGTGAAGGAATCGGTCAAAATTATTGGACTGAGGAAAATGTCTAATGTTTTTTCAAGTTGCCTTTGCCTGTGTATGATGAACTGAGGCTTGTTGAGCTGGGGCCCCGTCGAATCTTGGGGCATCTGAGTCGTCGAAGGCGTCCACAAGATGAAAGCACCGACATGAACATTGAACGATGGCGTTGGCTTGGGACATTGGCTTTTGGCATGGGCATGGGCATGAAGCTTTCAAGCATGGCGCTCATAGCAGGGGAGTTTTGTCAATCAGTACATACGCTGGATAGCGAACATGTTTCGACTTAGCCTTTGTTCGTTCACTCTACTTTGCTCCAACTTCGCTGATGAACCCCATGATCTCTGAGTGGTATAGCCTGCACGTGCTTTCACACGCATTTTAAGACCCGTGGCACTTCTGTGGGGGAGTGATGAATACTCACCCATGATAAGGAAGTGCTTGAAAAGAACTTGGGATAGACTTGCCGTGGACGGGTTACTTTTTTGGATCTCTTCTCGAACAGCAGCACTTGTCTGCTAAGTGGACTAATCTAGACAGCTTAGTTAAACTACTGTTTACCAGCAATATGAGAATGAGCTCCGTCTGTCAAAAGCTCTGGGTATGTCTTCCTCCAGTCATCTTCCATATCCTCCGAAAGCACCAAGTTCATCCCATCAACCCAGCTCAAAGTAGCTCCTCTCATGCATATGAACATATCTTTCCTGTGCAGCAAGAGGGTAATATCCGACACGAGTTCCTCAATTGTTGCCCGATTGTTGCCCGATATTCTGCGATTCTGTTTTTGGGTGAGGGCCTGGACCTCAATTTGGTGAAGCTATTGTGATAAAGCTGAGTGGTGATATGTCTGAGCGTGTGCTCAGACCACAATGATGAAGCTGCACCAGCCAAGAATGTGTGTTGAAGAATGCAAATCGCAGTGATTGATTTGAGTGAAGAATCCAAGGGGGCACTCCAGGTCCAACGACCAACTACGGTCCCTTTCGTTATCATGTCGTAAAAGTGCCCATCAAGAAGTCGCGCCAACAAGGCCAATGCAGTAAAATCATGCAAGCTCCAACAGGAGCGCGTGTTGTTCGTAAAGCGTAAAGGGTTCTGCACTTGAGAGAATGCCAGCTCTTGATCATTTGTCGATCTTTTCTTTCGACCGCCAGAATTGCATTAATCTGCTGATCCTGTTGGTTTTCTTTTTGCTCTTCTCATCAAGGACGCCGGCATTAGGAACAGTCTCAAACTTGAGTTTACTGCCGTTGGAAGAACCAGGTATGAGACGATTCAGACTTGCCAAGCTTGCTCGCTTCCACGCTTGTTGGTTATTTGACCTCGAAGTTGATGGGTCAATCATGGAATGCGACCGCTGCTCGGTAGACGAACGAGTGCCTGCACTGCTGGAGAATCGTGGCAATGCTGCGCTAGAGATGCTGTCACTAAGCGATGGCAGATCGTCGTTTGACGCCCGAAGAACAAAGTCTGGACTAGGTTCATTTAAAAATCGGCTTGGCCGAGAGAGGGTCTCAAATGAGATGTGGTCCACATCCGGCGACGACATCATCGAAGCTGATGTGGTACGGCCATCCGTAGAAGATGCGTAATGTGATTGAGGAGCCGGATATGCAAAAACCATGGGCGAAGACATGACAGGTTTCTGTGATTCCAGGTTTTGAAACACGGGTGCCTCAATGGTAGAGCTGGACGACCGGACACCTGCTCGAGCGACATCCTCATCCAGATCAGCAATCATGACTCCATCGTCCTGTCGCCTGTTGAGAGATAAACCAAGGCCTCCAGATGCAGTCTGCTCGGAGTTGGTGAGAGCCATATTCGTGTCCATGATAGTGGCAGCAGCCTGCTTCATGAAATGCAGACTTTTTTGGTCACCTGTAGACGCGCGTTCGTCGTCCTCACCATCGTTTTTTCCAGCAAGAAAATTGTCTTCCTCTTGCTCGTCGAAGACATCTTCAGCCAAGGAGGTATTGCTGCCGAAGCGATGGATGCTAAAAGTGTTGCGATTCACAGCGGGCATGGTGGGTGCTGACTCGGTCCTCCTATGGGCCGTGCCAAAAGCATCCACGGTTCCCCTTCGCTCACTGCTGTGTAGTTTTGCGATTCGCATCGATTTCATGTTGCTGTCATGCCCCAACTTCTCCTCGCTTCCAAAGGGTCCTAACGCTGCGTCCAAGTCGAGTACCGGGCTGGTAATCTGTTCTTTAGGCGAATCGCATGCTCGAGCTTCAAGTATAGTCAAGTTTGGCAAAGGAGCACGAACTTTGGTCGAGATGGGTGAAGGATCCCGTATCACAACGGTATCATCGGCGTCAAACACCTCATTGAGTCGATCGCTCGGGCGTCTGACCAGACTAGGTACAGCAGGGACATCTTCCTTTGCCTTGACCGGCCGCTTGTCAGATTTTCTGGAGAAGATGCCAGAGGTCCAGGTATGATACTTTCTCTTCTTCGACAGGTTCGGCTTGCTGGTCGGCGTTTCTAGGGGTTTCGGCTCACTGAGTACCTTCGGTTCCTGGGGTAAACCAGCAGACAACGAGACATCCATAGGGTCACTCTGTTCGGCCTTCGGCGTAGACAACGGTGAACCATTGTTGGAATGAGTGAACCAGAAATGTTTCCTCTTGGTGGGTGGACTGCCTGAGCTGAAAGTACTGGGCGAACCCGATGCCGAAAGAGGACGTTTTGGCAGGTTGATGATGGACAAGGCCTGGTCTTCAGATGTCATGGTGGGTGACAGTGTAGAAAGAGCATCGGCTGTCTGAGGACGTTCCGGGGAGATGAAGACATCGCTGGATGATATGACGACTAAACCAGGACGTGGCGTTGGACTCGCTATCGAGTTGATACTCCCCGACAGAGAGTGACAACCACGGATAGTTGAGTTGCTGCCTTCCGTTTCAGACGAGATGAGCGATAACGGCCTCGGAATCACGTCGACGTGTTCGGAGAATCCGACACGGGGCCGCACTCCTGGAGCACTGCCTCTTCGCCTTGGGGAAGACGGTGGGGTCCTGACAATGTTGGACATTGACTGCCGCATGTGAGGGCTGGCACGCGGGAAAGAAAAGGCCAGTGCGCCGTCTGACGGGGTGGTTGGTGAAGAGTCCGCCCGTGCTTTTGACAGTGCGTTTGCCTTGATAAGCTCGGACGTGTCAATGTCTGAGATAGAAACAGCTTGGGAACGGCGGTGTACGTGACCCCTGGATGCTCCATTGACTGAGGGTGGTGGTCGATATTCCGCCTTTTCCGGGCTGGTACTGACCAGTTGAGGTCCGTCATTCCCGCCACCAACAAATTCACTGACACCTCTTCGATGACTATTCCGTGGAGGTGGCTGGACGTCGCCAAAACTCGATTTGGTTGGACTAGCCGAGCGTTGTGCAGCGGGCGCATTCGGAGCAAATGTGAAAGCTGGTAATGGAGCAGGTCTCGCAGATCGAGCTGCACGTTGTTGATTCATAGCCATCTCCTGCAGGACTGGATGTGTTGGACTCGGGCTTCTTTCAGAAGGTAGATCGGCACCAGGGTTGAACTTGAAGTCAGGTAGAGCTGTTCTGGTAGAACGACGACGGGCTTCCATAGCGGCCATGGCAGAGCTGTTTTGATCTCCCAGATCATGGCCTCCTACCCGGGCCGAATTTTCATCTGCACCAGGGTTGAATTTGAAGACCGGTAGAGGCGAGGCATTCGGGTTGCATGATGTTCGTCGTCGGTGGTGAGCGGGAGATCGAGGCGGAGTGCTGGGGGTGGAATCGAAGGGCGACAGGACAGGTACCGAAGGAGGTAACGAAATCGAAGTCATATTCAATAGAGCAGCCACCCAATGTGTAATTAGGTAGTGGTGTTGTGTTGCTGGCCAGCAGGCAGGTGCAATCAAGACGATTGATTTTGAGGTGATCCGGCACCTTGCTGTTGATTTGTTTTATGAGGCCTTTGGCAAAAGAACGACTGCCACCATTACAGGGGTTGGGAAGGGTCAATTGCGCTGCAATATGTCCGTAAGGAATGACTTGTACAATATTAGGGAGAGTGACTGTCGGGTAGTATTGTCTGAGATCGTTGAGGACGTCCTTTTCACAAACACAGTCGCAGCTGAGTTGGAAGTGAGGTTTGTTTGAGGCGGATGGGATGACCGGTGCTGGCGAGTGAAAGAGTGTTGAAGGAATGGACGGCAACCTGGAAGAAAGACCGACAAAGGATCTCTCTTCTATCAGGAGCCAACAGCTGATTAAGGCCGCGGTGAGATAGACGATGTGTGAGGATAGAGGGTGGTGGAGAGGGAGAAGTGCAGGAAGGAGGAGTGAGGATGATGGATGCAGTATGTACCACGGATGGAAGAGGCCGGCAAAGCAAAGCAGGGCACAAGGAACAGGCGCAGGCACAGGCACAGGCACCACACACCACAGTACCAGGTAAGTTACAGTAGTGCAGTGCAGGCAAGGGAGCGGCCCACAGGCCACAGGCTGGAGCACCCGGGAAACTTGGGTTGCTGGGGTCTTTTTAGGCTAGCTAACCAACTGAAGCGTGACCTTTTTAGGGGCGCTGTGCATGCAGTCACTTTAGCGACATGCCCTTAATCCTCTTTGGGCTTTTGACAGAGACTCGACTTGGCCTCGTGCCAACATGCTGGACGAACTACTGAAGTCCACTGACGCGACAGGAACGAGGATGACACCCAGACACACCAGGGATCCTCCGGATGTTGGTGCGTCTGCCGGTTGCAATGCTGTGGGAGATCTGAACATTCTATCGCACTGACGTGTGCATATCCATCCCTTCCGGCGTGCCGTTATCGCATCGTCGATACAGGCAGCGCGGGTGACCTCTTGAAGGTACGTGCACAGTGCCTCGAAAGCAGGGCACGATGTATGCACGATCTCTACTCGTGCCTAACCTTACGCAGGCACAAAGAAGACAAGAAGCGTACTATCGATGGCTGACATCTCTCAACCTCTGAACCTAAATGGCTACCATTTGATAGATGCGTTGGCATGGAGAAGAAGAAAGGAGATGGTCATCCTGGTCTTCCAATCTCAATCGCGATCGCCCTTGATTCCACTTTTGCCTTCTTCCACCGGGCCGTGCTTTTCTCAGGATTGTGTAACTTGACCTCTTTCTGGTTCGGCGGAAGTTCTCGAGGAGTCACATCTGAACGGTTCCGGAGCTGTCACCACTGCTGATGGCGACCACTTGAAGACCAAGCCAATGCAACCTCTTAATTCAATTACTGTGGGAGAAGATCATTTCGATAATGATCAGCAGTAAATCCCCAGCCGAGAGAGCCTGTTAGTGCGCGTACCTTTTCGGCCGGCCATATCAAGCTTATGCGCTTATGCAGGAACTGCAGGCCTGAAAGCACTTCAACTGGCCAGCCAGAGAGACGAGGCTTTCGGTCCAGACACCTTTTTTGGTCCATCATGACCTCGTGTTAGGAGCGTGTGGCTTTTGACTTTATAAAATCTTGGATTCTCCCACGGATACAGCCGTCGAGTCGAGTTTTTGCGGGAGAGGCGTTTGTGTGGAATTATTGTGCGCAGACGAGTCATTCAGACCGAAAGAAGTCACCGACATGAAGGAACAGCCATGGGTGCGATGGTGAGACTCGCTTCTTGACCGTCACCTTGACAACACTCCGCTCTTGAATCTCGGCTGTGCATGAGACGAGATAAGAAATGTCGATTGCCACGCACACTTCCCCATTTCGCATCGCTGACCTGCAACCTCACCGCCCATGAGGGGAAGGATGTGGGCCAGTAATTAGTAGTGGGTGACCGTCCAGAGCTGAACTTTTTGCGAACCAATACGATTTGCACTTTGAACTATATCACGTCAAGGTGATGGTGGCCTCAGAGAACAGCTTCGTTTGACTCGGTAAAGACTTTGCACGCATCCTGCAAACCATTTCACTAGCGTTATGCAACTTGTTCTCGTGACGGTTGCTGCCAATGCAAGCACATGTCGCTCTAACGCACGATAAGAAAAATTCTCCTGCGTTGTGCAACCTTTTGGAGGCCGACGACACTTGACCGAATATTCGCCTTACAAAGCAACGAGGGGTTCGAGTCTCGACCATCGACTAGCCGCATGAGGCCGAAGCCCACTCGATCTCACCAAAGCACTTTACGATAGTCAAGGGTTTCCAGATTGGGCATTTGCGACACAGTCAACTATTTGCCCTTGCTAAAGAAATTTCTAGGACAGTGTCACAACGAGGATTATTCTTCCGCAAGCAACTCGTGGCATCGGGAGCACAGCAGCAAGTTCAATCTCGGGTTTTCCATTCATGCTGTGCTCTTGTCTTCACATTCTGTGACACAGTCTTGATGATCAGGCTGAGACTGTAACCACACTAGTCACCAGAAGGACTCCGATCGTCAACTTTTTCTCCGCATCTGCAGATGGCGCCAGCGAGAAAACAAAGAGGTGGTAGCACCAAGTCCGCTCAGTTCCCTCCAAAAGACGCCAACATTGCACAAAAACGTCCCGGCTCCGTGGCTTTCCCGATCGAATTGCAACAATTGATTTTGGATGTGTTCCGCCGGGCTTTTCCCTTTGACGATCAATCCGAAGTCCAGAAGCACATCCAAGAGGTGAAAGGCCACCTATTCCAACGGGACTTTATCAGTGCTTTTGCTAAGCAAGCATATCTCGATGCTTATGCATTGAGGTGGAGTGCCAGCCGTGCACTTGGCTATAGCGATATCTTACTGCACCACGACCTGCAGCAGATATGGCTCGCCAAAACTGTGGATTCGACAAGCGCTACTAGAGTTGCTTGCATTGGAGGTGGCGGAGGGGCGGAAGTGGCTGCATGTGCGGCTGCAGCACGATCATATTCGTTGTCCTTCAAACTCGAAGTCCACGCAATAGATATTGCGGACTGGTCCAGTTGTCTTACGAAGCTAGAACATGCCATCTGTACGCCATCTCAACTATCACCATATGCAAGCGAAAGCGCGAAGGCGACGAACAAACCGTTGGTCCCCAATGACCAATTTGCAGTCCGCTTCTCTCAACGCGATATACTTGCAGTTGAGGAAGGAGAACTCCGCGACATACTCGGTGGGGTCAGATTGTGCACCATCATGTTCACTCTCAACGAACTGTTTACGACCTCGATATCGCGGACGACTGCATTCTTATTGGCGCTTACCGATACCATGCAGCTGGGTTCGTGGCTGTTGGTGGTCGACAGTCCTGGTTCCTATTCCGAAGTCAAGTTGGGTCAAGGTATGGAGGCGAAAACGAGAAAATATCCTATGCAATGGCTACTCGACCATACGCTACAGCAGGTTGCACAGAGTAAGTGGAAGAAGCATGTCTCCGATGATTCGAGATGGTTCAGATTGGACTCATCATTAAAGTACCCCATGGAATTGGAGAACATGAGGTATCAAATCCATCTCTACCAGAGGGTAGAGGAAGGGGTATTCTAAGCGGCTTTTGAATGATGAACAAGAACAATTGCTAATCCGTCTGATCATACATCTATTCGTCATCCTCATCACCCTCGTCGTTGACCACGTTGAAGAATCGCAGTTCGTAGACACCCTTGCTCGTAGATACAACACGGAGCCAGTCACGGAGTTGTTGCTTCTTGAGGAACTTCTTTGTCCTGTTTGCCTTGTCAGTATTACTCCAGAACCATCAATTCTTCAGTGAACGTACAGGTACTTCAGGTAGCGACCCGAGAAAGGAATGTGTGTGACCACCTCGAGTTTGCCATCTCCAACCTGGGAGATGCTGACGTCGTCGCCGAGGTTGCCGGTGCGGCCCTCGACCTTGACGCGATCGTGGAGGAACTTCTCAAAGGCAGACAGATCAAAGATCTTATCGCTGACAGGCTGGCTGCAGTTGATGGTGTACTGGTGGAAAAGTCAGCAACGAGGCATCCATGCGCAGCCATAGGGATGACATACCTTCTTGGTGACTTTCTGGCTCTTGCCCTTCTGGCCGCCCTACAATAAAAGAGAAAAACCTTAGCCTACTGTACATAACTGGTCCGCTGATCTCTTTTCGCATGCGCAGGATGCCAAAAGTCTTCAGACATGCCCAGATACAGCAAAGCGATTCGGTTGTCTTACCTTAGGTGCGACGGTGCGTTGAGGTCCCATTTTGAATGATGTTGTGTCGGTCGCAAAGAGATCAATATCCTGCGCCTGTGGTGTGTGTTGGTGGTTGGCTGAATCAAAGGTCAATCGATCAAACTGCGATCTTGAGTTTTCAAGATTGTGGGTTTCGATGCCAAGATTTCAGTCACGTGGATTGTGGCTTAGCCTTGCCAACAAGGCTGCGTCGATCTTCGAAAAAGGGGTTGAAGCGGCTTGGCGAGACTTTTCAATCATTACAAAAATAGTTTCTCCAACGACAACATTCACCTCCCGCCCTTGGTTGCGCCAAACTTTTAATTCCAACAATGCCACATGACGTTGACCGCCCGAGATCACCCTCACAGTATCTGCTTAATTGAACGGGTCTGAGGAGAAAGGTAGTCATCCAAAGCGTCATTGTCTTTTCGGTAAATAACGGAGCGACACGTGACTATACTAACTATCCCGACGATGAAGTGTCGGTGTTCTCCATTAGGAAGCTCCTTTGACCGGCCGAGTGCCAGCAACTGATAAGCGTTCAGGGAATCTCAATTTCATTTCTGTTTAGCAGACACATCTCTGACTCACATCGTTTCTCGGTCTCAGAGCCAGGTCCTCCATAATGTCTCACTGTGGCTATTTCTCGCACGCGCGGTCCAAGGGGGAGAAGTTGGGGTACTACCGGGCTTCCGTTGCATGTGGTGAGTGACTGACCTGCCCAAGCCAATCCAGTTGTGAATGTTGTGGACACCCTGCTCATGAAGGTAGGTCATTGCCGAAAACGCAAGGCTAGATGCATGCCTGCAACCGGAGATGCCCAAGGCAGATGTACCAATTGCGTCCGCTTGGGCCGCCAATGTGTGGCAGTGAAAGTGGAAGTCATGGAAGCCCTCGATGTACTGGGGGGAGATGAAACGCCCGAGAACATTCTACAAGTCCAACGGCTGATTGGTACGTATGATGACCGCCTCAGTCAAATCAACAGCGGTACCTAATATGCCTCAGGACACGTTAGGGACGAGGCGCCTTCAGTGCCACCTCGCCAGAGAAGGAACAGGCTAAACCCGTCGCGCACGGCAAGGTTGAAGCCAGCGCCTTACAGCGGTGTCCTTCCTGCTATATCTCAGTCCCCACAAACGTCAGGGTGGCCTGAGCAGCCGCAACAACTCTTTCACCTTACTCCGTCCACCCAAAACGACTCATCACAATTTGGGGCCCAAGCTTGCTCAGAACCAGTATTTGAGGCCCACAGAACAATAATGTCTCTATGGACAACAACTTCGGCTACAACGAGCGATGCCCGTCACCCAACAACGGCCGAAACTCCGTGTAGTGATCAAGGACTTGTGCCCCCAACTTCGCATTTCTACCATCCAGAACCGTGGCGGACGGCAGACTTGGATCACGACAACAGTGCTCAGGCCACTACGAATGTAAAGTCAACAGAGAGTGCATCAGCTTGGCAGTTCATGATTTCGACTATGAGCAACCTTCCACCATTTCCTGTATCGGATACACCCTATCATATGGTCCATGACCAGCAGTGCCGTGGTCAAGATTGGTCAGGACCTACCAGCGAACACTTTTCCGCCAGCAGCACTATTGCTTGGTTGGATCCTGATCGGTAGAACACTCGATGCGTTCAAGGCGCTGGAGTGCTGGGCAGCCAGCCAGCTGACTCGGCCGCATCCTGGGGAATGCTTCTTCAGATACCAAAGACTGCGAATTGGAATCTCGATTGACGATTTGCATTGCGACGGTGCATGATGGAAAAGTTCCATTGCATCAAGCGACCGGAGTTTCTCAGCGACAAATGCTGACCTTTTCTCATGCTTGACGTGTTCCAAACACATGAGCAATGGTTACAACTGCATCAGCCTCGTTTCATGTTTCTTTTTTTGTTAATCGACTGCGCGATGCCATGCTTCATCGAGAGGTGTCTTTCGCTTTCAGTTGATCATCATAACGCAGCACGCTTTCCAGCAACACCTGCGCTCCAAGGGCACTGAAGAACAAAAGTGTCAGTCTTCGATTGGTCTTGCGGGGATGTGGTGAAGTTGGGGGAAAGGAGACGAAGGGAAAGCTTACCACTGTTCCGGGGAGGAATACTCATCAGGATGATGAGAAATACCTCCCTTGGAAGGCACAAAGACCATACTCGTGGGACATCTGTCGGCTGTGTGGACACTGTCGTGTCCCGCTCCTGCCATCATTTCCTTCACATTCTCCTGGCCAGCAACACTTCGTGCTGCCTCGCGGACACTGCTGATGCAGTCCTCGTGGAACTGCACTGCTGGACTGTTCCAGATATCCTCGATCTCGACAGTGCATTTGTTGGCGTGCGCAATATGCCCAAACTCTGCGCGCGTGTCGGCTATCATGCGTTCTCGCACCTCAGTAGAGTGGTGGCTCAAGTCTACGCTGAAGACCACTTTATGCGGCACAGTTGCTGGTGACTGCGGCCACGAGTTAATGACGCCCACCGTCGAAAGACCTTCGGCAGACAAAGCGATCTCTTCTACACGCGATATCATCCGAGCGGCAGACGTCAGTGCACACCGTCGGCGGTCCATTGGGCAGGTGCCCGAATGCTGATTCGCGCCGTGAACGGTCACGACGAGCCAGCCCATGCTCTGCACGCCAGTCACGACGCCGACTTTTTTGCCCTCATCCTCAAGCACCGGGCCCTGCTCGATGTGCAGCTCGAAGTGGGCGCTGAGAGGGTTCGCTGTGTACGACGCAGGCACCTTCCCAAGAAAGCCAATGCGCTCCAACTCGCTCCTCAACGTTGCCTTCCCGGTCTCGTCCTCCTCCACCGCCGGGATTGCATGAGCGTAGTCCAAAGTGTACCGCCCGGACCAGACCCCGGAGGAGACCATGCCAGTGTTGAAACGCGCGCCTTCCTCACTCGTCCAGTCAATGACTGTGATGGGCGCGTGGGTTTTGACTTGATTCTCCTCCAGCACTCGGAGAATTTCAATGCCTGACAGAACTCCCAAGATTCCATCGTAACGACCTCCTGCTGGTTGGGTGTCGAGGTGGCTACCAATTCCAATGGGAGCAAGGGTAGAAGACGTGCCGGGGCGGGTGGCGAAAATGACTCCCATTTCATCGACTTTGACGCTGCAGCCCAGTGACTTGGTAGTGGACATGAACCATTCACGCACGGCTTTGTCCTTGTCGGTCAGGGCAAGGCGCCGTACACCTCCATCAGGTGTTGCTCCCCATTCAGCCGTCTCGTGGATAGCATTCCAAAGTCGCTCCTTATTCACTGTGTACGAGGGGACGACACTCCTTGTCCCGATCGCGCGACGCGCGAATCTGTGGGTATTGGGAGTTGATCGTCTGCAAAAAGCCAGCCCGGCAATGACGGAGTCGACTGTGCAGGATAGCAGGCCAAGTGGACGCGCCGTTCCTCGAGAGACGATCATGGTTTTGGAGAAAGACGGAGTCAACGACGCTCGTCAATACGAGTGTGAGAGATGCTGTGTCGAACGGTGTTCATCAAGACTGAAGGACCTGTTGTGTACGAGGCCAACTTCGGCATACGGCACCAAAGACGTCTTCAAGATATATGTTATATGTGTACCATCCTATCCTTCCTACCTTGGCCGTATGGCTGGTGGCTGTGGGTAAGCTCCACTATGAATGTCGCATGCCACGACCATACCTGGTGGCAATCTTACTCTTGATTCGGCATGAGAAGAACAACACTGCAGGCGCTGAAGTAGGCCTCCGTATCATCGTCCCAAAAGATATGGCTTGAACAGGGTCGTCCCCACGTGGCACACGAATCAAGTGCGACGGAAAGGGATCGTCGCCGCCTCTATCCTTTCAGGAAGGTGGTGTTCTCCGTTGACTCTTTTCTGGGTGATCAAGATTCTAGTGACCCATTCTCCCTGGATTACCGGGACAGTATCTGTGTCTCTCTCGAAAGACTGGACTGTTTCCTCTCTCGCATTGGCAAGAGGGGACTCTATCTCGCGCATGACTTTCATCTTCCTCCATTCTACGGTCGGGACTGTATCTAACTTGTTGAAATCCACCTATCCGACGCGATCTGTATCTTTAAACCAACGTTAGCGTCGGGACTGTATCTCGACCTAATGCAGCCAATCAGCAATTCGGCAACGGCCATTCTCCGCCCGTAGCAGCCTCATCGATATGGAGACTATACTAGTTTGATATAGGTCTATATGTAAGTGCATTTTAACAGCGGCGAAACGATTTAACATAGTTTGAACGTCTAGGCCGCTTCTAGCCACTGCTCTGCTCTGATCTTGCCCGACAAATAATATATAACCGCTCCGTTGGGGCCATGATCATTTGCAGGACGCACACACATACTCATACAAGAGATATCCTCTCAGACGCATATCGCCTTCGTCCGCCATTGCCCCATACCGACATTTTGGTATCGAAACAGCGCCTATCGAGCAGAGAAGCAAGAACAAACGGCATCCATGGCAGCAGACGCAGAAAAGATCGTAGGTGCCAATGCGCCAGCAGTGCGGCAACCCGTGATCGAGATGCCGAGCGAGAAATTGGCCACTCGCGAGGTCGACGGTGCCCTTGCCTTCCTTCGCAACGAGGCCGATGCATCTATTGCCGAATTGGACGAGAAGAAATTAGTCCGTCGCATTGACTGGCTGATCATGCCCATGCTCTTTGGAGTCTACGTTCTCCAGTACATTGACAAGAGTTTGAGTATGTTCACAACTGCAGCCTCTGTACACCCATGTTGCATTCCAAGAATGCGACCTGTGAATCATGCTGACTCATTTGCAGTCAACTATGCCAACGTTATGGGTATCAGCAAGGATACACACATGACTGCCGCCCAATTCTCTTACCTGGCCACTTTCTTCTACGTTACCTTTGCCGTCTTCCAGCCTGTACATGCCTACTTGATGCAGAAGTTCCCCACGGCACAGTACCTTGGTGTCAACGTTGCCTTGTGGGGACTTACACTGGCCAGTATGTTGTGCTCCAGCCTGAAATACGCATGGATGTATGTTGGGTTTGCTGACACTTGTCCAACTTTCAGTCCATAGTGCCTGTAACAGCTTCGGAGGGCTCATCGTCGTGCGTTTGCTCTTGGGAGTGTTCGAGTCGGCGAGTGCTCCCTGTCTGATCTTGATCACGGGCATGTGGTACAAGGTATGAACCAGTGAATCGCTCACCCTTTTCAGTGGACTAAGATCTTTTTCTAGCGTGCAGAGCAGCCTTTGAGAGTGGCCATTTGGTATCTAGGTGTGGGTGCCGGAACTATCATTGGTGCCTTGTCTTCATTTGGCTTTCAATTCTACGAAGGGAAAGCCTTCAGATCGTGGCAGGTGAGTCTCACCCAGCTGCAAGATAACTTTCTGGCGGGGAAACCAACATACCTCCATAGATCATGTTTTTGATCTTCGGACTCATCACCATCGTCTGTGGAATCATCGTCTTCCTCTTCTTGCCCAATTCTCCCATGGCCTCGCGTTTCACGCACGAGGAGAAAGTGCTAGCCATTGAACGACTCCGCGAAAACATGACCGGAATCGAAAATAAGACATTCAAGACACCGCAGTTCGTGGAAACAACCTCAGACTTTCGCACCTGGCTCATCGCTGTCATCATTCTTGCAGGCAATGTTCCCACTGGCGCCTGCGGGACATTCTCATCGACTCTCATCAAAGGTTTCGGGTATACGTCTAAGCAGTCCGCCTTACTGAATATCCCCAGTGGCGCAATCTCGATGATCTCCGTCATCTCCGCATCGTGGTATGCAGGCAGGTTCAACGGGCGTGCATTTGGCATCTGTGCTCTTCTCATACCTGGTATTCTGGGCGGAGGTCTGATGGCCTTTCTCCCCAAGAGCGACAAGGCAGGTAAACTCGTTGGTATCTATCTGACGCAGACATTCGGACCAAGTATGGAACCTTCACTCTTGTTAGTCGAGCATACCATATACTGACCTGTTTTCCAGACCTTTCGATCATGTACTCCTGGGCTGCTGCCAATTATGCAGGCCACACCAAGAAGATCAGCATCAACGCCATCATTCTCTTCGCGTACGGCGCCTCAAACATCATCGGTCCTCTGACCTTTACCGGCTACACGGCCCCACAGTACATCCCTGCCAAAGTCGCAATCATGGCTTGTTTGTCTTTGGGTGTTGTGGGTGCGTTGCTCCTGCGTTTCGCCTATGTGTGGGAGAACAAGCGTCGAGACCGTCTCGCTGGCCAGGGAGCTATCCCCCATATTCAAGATGCGGAGTTCATGGACTTGACCGACAAGCAGAACATGGAGTTCAGGTATGCTTTGTAGTAAAGGACCAACTTGCGAGATGACCAGCATGTTTGCAGAAAAAGTGTTACTGTCCGACCCGTTGTGGCCCTTCAAGTTGAAAAGAATATCATTCCTCGTTGTTGTCTCGGAGGCCTTCACACACAGTGATGTAGTATCAATATCTGGCGAGGGGAGGACCACTAATGCCATCGTGTATTCTCACTGGCTTGCTGTCAGGGTACGCGCTGATGTGGACCTGCTGGACTTCGAACTTCTCGAGCCTGTTTCCAGAAAAGGTCACATTGTCGACCGGTTTGGCTCCTCAGGTTCAAGTCGATATTGTTCTAGTTTGTCAATCCAGAGACCTTCACGCACAACAAGATAGCTTCATTGATCTTTCCCCGTGTACATGTTTCATCAATTGTAGGTCGCAGATCGTAAAACGTCAATCAGTTCGACATGCCATTCCACCACAGCATATCTAAACTGTTATGTGTTGCAGGTCGCAAGTCGCCAATCGCAAGTTCTAGATCAGAAATGGTAAGTCGTGAATCTTCCAGACATCCCATTCCACCACCATGATGTCTCAATCGCAAGTTGCAGATCAGAAATCGTAGATCGTAAATCGTTCCAACAACCCCTTTCCATGGCAAGATCGTACATGACTTAATCGATATATGTCGCAAGTTGTAGGTAGTAGATCATCAACTGTAAATCGTGAATGGCACATCGTCAACCGTAAGCGTCAATCGTCGACAGGCCCTGATTGGCGTATATTGTAAGTGTAGACAGCAGTATTGAGAGAAGAGCAGACAAGCCTCGGTGCTGAGAGGAGAGCAGCCATATTGAGAAGAGAGCACCACTTCATGGTGTCCAGAATACTACTCTTCCTGATAACGTCAAAGGAGACAACCATTGGAGTTGGGGAGTGCATCTGGGGGCTTGCCATCAAAGCTCGCATTGTGACCGAGTGAGCTCGTCCGGGTTTCACTATGTCGATATTTAGCCGGGGTCCTTCGCACCTACCTTGAAAGACAAGCCCCTGATGTTCGGAAGGCCGTCAGCTCAAACGATATTGGATTATTGTATTACAGTCCAGATGGCCGTTGTGTATATCTTGGGGAATTGAAACCATGATGAAGATGTTGTCCTCCTATCTAACGTGTCATGTTTCTTGGTGGCCGCTAGCGCAAGCAATGGACTGAGTGCAGGCATTAAACTGCAGGCGCGGAGAGCGCAACTCGAATGGTGTACAGAATACTTAGCTGACGATCACTCAAAAACAATCAGATACTCCCAATGCGTTTTTTGATCCATGGATACTGCTTTCATGCGGAGCAAGCTGGCTGAGTCTACGTTCCATTTTCAGAAGATCGTGACTATTGTGCGTAGCCCATCCTGTTATCAGCCGCTTCTGCTTGTTTTCTTGTTCCCGTTCTGCATGCTTCCCATGAACCTGCTGCCTACGCCTAAGCGCCCCATGCCCCAAATTTGGCTATGGCAATGTCTCGAGCCCGCCCAGGTAACACAAACCGTCCATCGACGTCTACCATCACGGCAGCTGAAATGATGCTTGTGTCTCGTGCAAACCATTGTCATACGGTGTACGCATTCTAAAGTTCCCGCAGACCTAAGTTTAATATGACGACTGTGACCTCTTCGCCTATGCGACCTGTTTGTGCCTTCCAAAGAGCGTCGACAGAACCTGCTTCTTAATGTATCTCGCTTCCTGGATCTTGTCCTGGATTGGTGCATTTGCTGCCACGAATGTCATTCTTTGATTGTCATGGTTCTACTGAGTATCTCCTCTACGAACCCAACATGGCACCTGGCATTGTGGACTTGACATGTAGACGCGTGAGGTCTCGTTCGTTCTCTCACACTGCTCCTCACATCAGAATGATTCAGGAAGACTTTACCAGCCGCCCACACCAACACGCACCAACAACGCCTACTGACAAAGGCACATGCCCCTAATGTCAACATATGCATGTCCCAGATCTCTCTGACAACAACAATGGTCCTCTTCCCAGCGCAGTCATGCAATATTGACCAGGTACCCAAGCATATCAGAAGTCAACACCAGGAGAATTCAGTCGTCCTCAGTCATGTCCTGGTCCGTCATCACCTCCTTGCGGCGAGTCTCTTCACGATGCATCTCCTGTCTCGAGGGACCATCTACGTCACAGGCTCGACCAATGTAGGTGTTCGATCGTGCTGGAGACGTTCCTGGACTCTGGCGACTGGGGATACTGTAGTAGACGTCGGAGGATTCAGCTGCTGTGGAGTCGGGAGATGCCGTGCGAGATACACCATGGGAGGCCGTGGCCGCAGAAGTTTCGGGTGGCACCAGTCCGATCTCTCGTGCGTATTGATCAAGGAGCTTCAATACATTGTTGCGCGTGGCTTCTTTGGAAAGTCGATCGTCCTTATTTGGATGCTTCGACATGCCTGTCTCCACTCAGATGGTGCGATAACTTCTCGGAACGATGACCTACCTGTTGAGTCTTGCACAGCTCCTGCATCCGAAGCGGAGGTAGTGGTCTGGCCAGTTTCTTCATGGACAGAGGAATGTGTGTGCTCCGAGCCAGACATGCGTCGAGATCCAGCTCCTGCCTGTGGCGTATGCTGCGTCCACTCTTTGGATTGCGCCATCGTGATATGCGGAGAAGTGGAACAGATGAACGGGGATCCTCAAATGGGTCAAACGGGTCGATCTGAGGTGGTTTGAAAGGCAGATGATTGCGTTAAAATCCGAGTATCAGAAGGTCGCGGTAGATATATCACCAGGCTTGTCGATTGCTGTGATTGCGACATCTTGCACTGCCGCTCAATAACAATGGGGGTAGTGAACGCGAGTCTGCTGTGAATGTTCAATGACTGCCTTGTTATTGTTGTTTGAGTGACAGCAAACTGCCAAACTGGGAGCTAGGCTGTGTCATGACCATTGTATCATGACATGGAGTGTATCTTGACGGAAGTCCTAAGATCTGCTCTGAGCCGGTCGGAGAGAACTTTAGTCCCGAAGTATTTCCGAAAAGGGGTTGCCAGCCTTGTTCCCAAATAGCCGCGGTGTTTCTGTTCCACCTCTACAACTTCCTTTGACGGTGCCTACGTTCCGCCCTACTTTGATCGTTCTGCTTCTGAACTTCTCTTGGCTTACACCTTCACCACCACTCCTCCTTGGCGATCCTGGACCCTCAGATCTAGCTTTTCTGCCTGTCAAACAAGTGAAGCAATCTCCTGGCTCTCCAAGCTCACTGGCTGCACTGACACCGCCTGGAAAAAAGTCCATTTGCTTTTTTCGGCGGTGATGAGTCCTTGGCAGCAATTTTTTTTCTCAGAGAGTATAAGTATCTCGCTCCCCCTGGATCCCTTTCTACTCTGAAGCTCTGAACGTCCCTCCGTTTTACCCCCTACATTTGATCTTTGGCTAATACTTTGTACAGCTTTGCCTTTTGGCTTAGATCAAGTGTAGTATCTGTTCTTTTCAGTTTAATCTCTGAAATCATCCTACGGGATGAATACTTTGATTATTCTCATTTTTGGATCTCGCCGGTTAAACTCCTCTGTGCTTGCGCAATGGGTTTCTGGCACCGTGTCCTTGGCCTTACACTACCGCCTTGTGATGCAAACATCTATCCTTTTCATCATTCGTTTTGCCTTGAGCAAAGCTTTGGAGAAGAGTGAAACCATAGTCCTATAAGAGCAATCCTAATAATGTTAAGGACCCAGGGAAAAAGTCACACATATGAAAGACATACAACCTGGCAAGCTGCCAAATTGTTTACATGTCTACACTCTGCTTCAGTAAAATAGAAATAAATCCCACCTGCTACTGTTGATATCCCTTTATGGTACAGGTCGCATATGCCGTAAAATGTTCCTTCCCAAAATGGCCAAACATCGACACAACGGGAAGGAACGACTAAATTTTTGGTTAGAATTTACATCGCGACTTCCACTGCCAAATAACCCTCTGGCCATTTGTGCCTAGATATTCATCTGAACCGTTCTTGCTCTCCCAAACAATCCTCCCGTAGCAGGATGTCGGCCGACACCACCATGACCACGCCTGCGCCGGCTACTTCATCGCACAATATAGATCCGGCCATCTTCACTTCCCTACAAACCAAGATCGATGAAGAAAGTGCCATCCGCGATGAGCTTAAGACCTTTGTCGAGACCCTTTCGAAACAAGGTCGCCTTACACAATCCATCCTCTCCAGAATCCACAACACACCCACCGCCGAATTAGAGGCTACAGTCCTAGGCCCTTGCTATGATGCGCTGTCCCAGCAGGCAGCTACGGTCAAGGAGCTGGCGCAGTCGGCGTCCAAATTCCCTTTCTATAAATGGAACAATATATGGCAGCGCGACATCCAGGCATTTATTAGCAGCATGCAGATCGCAGACTGGCTTAAGAGTGGACACCTTCTGACGCTCGAAGAGGTCGGCCAGAGGTTAGATGGTAAGGTTGATGCTGTAATACTCACAGAATAATACTGACTGATATCTAGTCCCGGTCAACCTCAAATCTGAAGATGCTTTCCATGTCACAGTCGAAGACTACCTCCTTGCCCTCACGACGACAATCGAAGAGTTGGCTCGTTTAGCCCCAAATGCGGTGACCTTGGGCGACTATTCTCGACCACTACAGATCTCTAAATTTATTAAAGATGTCCATGCCGGCTTCCAGCTATTGAACCTGAAGAATGATAACCTCAGACGGAGGTCCGATGGAATCAAGTACAGTGTGAAGAAAGTGGAGGATGTCGTCTATGATCTCAGTCTACGAGGTCTAATACCAAAGTCGACCGACGCAAATTGAAGAGGTGATGGGTCTGCACACATACCGACGTTCACGAGCCTGAGATACCTCGCTACACAATGAGAGCAGTTCCGATCCAGCTGACCTGCCCACACCAAATGAGGTACGCATGCCGACCGAAATACCGTCAGACAAACAGCGCTTAAAATCCCACTGGAGGGTCTCTACGCACTTCACAGGATGCACGATCGAGACAAGATCATGTAGGACGTGAAAAGCTGAGCTTCAACAGGTCTCATTTTAATGTGGATCCCTCCGGGTTATATACACTTGACTTCAAGCTTTATGCTTGCATGGCATTTAAGTGTCTTCACAATTCCTCCTTCAACAATACAAACTGGTGAACAATTAACGCCTCGACCCTGTTTTTGCTCCATTTATGGTGCAGTCTCCTTCTTCCACTCTTCGCCATCGATCCGCGCGCTGCTTTCGGCGGTTGCAGGCTCTCTCAGACCATTACTGGAGTGCGTGCCCAACTTGACATTGACACCACCACTGCCAACGTTGACGGTACGTTGGTCTGCTGACTGAAGGTCTGCACTGGCTCCTCCAACTGGTTGGTCTGGTAGAGGTAGGTTCGCCTTGACACGGTCGATCTGGTCTTGCTTGCTTTCTTGCTCAGACAGGATTTGCTGTGGAAAGAGTCAGCTATGATCCAACGCAAAGCTTCAAGATCGCCTTACCTTCATGGCAGAAGTATCAGAGTCGGCTGGTGTCTTGCCATCATGGAACTTTGACTCTTTGGACTCCATCTTCCGAACATCTTCGCCGGTGACGTGGAAAGTGTTGTCAGACATCTTGAGTGAGTATATAGGTTGTCTGTGACGTTTATAATTGTTTGGTAAGGCTGTAGACTTGTGATTTTGTGTTTCTCGATATGCCTAGGGATACGAATTGAGAAGAGAAAGCTGAAATATTTGAAGCAGTCAAATGTGAGCTGCAATGCAAGAATACGTCATCTGTTGAGGTTTTGAATGCCCACCATACCACAGTAATGAGTACACGTATCTCGAAACTTCGCACGAGACCTTTTTTCATAGGGACGACCCTATCGACGTCATTATGAGGCCCATCGTGATGAAATTTGCGGAGTAAACAAGCTGGCCTTAATTCGGTTTAGGCAAGAGACACAACAGTCCGGATACATATCACCGAGCGAATCACGGACAATTAGTACCTGGCTACAGACGAAGAGCCTCATAGTGCTGGTACTACTTTGGAAAGTAGGAGCTATGAGAAAATGGCCACCATTCGTACCTGCAGAAGAGACACGAGTTCATTCTATGGCAAGCTCTACACTTATATCATCCACGCAGAACTCCCAATCCATAGCGACATCGTCGTGGTGGAAGTCAGCCCAGAGCTCGACCGACTTAAGCCTATTCCAAGTTTGCTTGCTGAAGTCTTCTATCTGCACGTAAAGAACATCATGAAAGCCGGCTGGAAAGTCGACACTCCATTCTAAGGGGCCGTCAGCTGCAGACCGGTAGCCTTGCAGATTGACGGTGACCAAGCCCAGAGGCGCATCCAAGGGTTTGATCTTGAGGGCATGCAGTGTGAACGTGTCGCTCGTGTTTGCAGGTCGTATCAGGGGCTTCCTTTCAAACGAGGAAGTCTGTCCAACATCGAAATTATCCCTTGTGCCATACAAAGCGTTCGGCTTAGAGACCGCGCAATTCAAGTCGTGGCTGGATATTCTGCCCTCGAACCTAGGATGTGCTGGGTTGAAAGCGAAGAAGCCTTCGAAGAGGAAGTCATTGTATGGCGTCTTGATGTCGGCGAAGCCAGCTGGAGTCTTGATATCGTCGAACTGATGCTATCTTCAGCCATGCCCGTCTCAGTCTGCCTGACATTACCATGGAAACCTACCTTGAGCGGTTGTAGGTCCGTCCGTAGAAGTGCTTGCGCGGTGCTGGCGGAGACGGACTTGAAGCAGAGAGCCAGCGCCAAACACATCAGCATGACAGCATGGAGCTTCAAGCTGCTTCGCACCACAGCCTCTCTTGAGTTCGTGAGGCACCGGAAAGTCATTGTCATGACTGCATCAAGCAGATCATTCCACCGCAGATATACGAATGCAGTTGCGAGATGTGCAATCAAATGACAGAGCCGGTGTAACAACATCTCTGATTCCGACCCAGGGCTAGCCTTGCTGTCAGGCGGGGATCCCTTCCACTGTAAATAGACATGACTGTTAGACCACACACACCAGGCCACGCGGCACAGGGTTGCTGATTAGACTCGTTCAGGAAGGAACGATACAAGATCCCCGAAAAAATCTCCAGGGCCTCATTCAAACAGCCGGATAGCCTGTAGGAACGGGCGATCAAGCGTGAAGAAGAGTAAAATGATTCGACCAAACGCACGTCATTTGAAATCATGACATCGCATTCATCCCTCCATCATTTTTCGATTTGCGGGATGCCGTGTCCTGCGAGCCTCGTTCAACAACCTAAACAAAACTTGCCTTGGCCCGCACCTTTCTTCGTCTGGCCCTTCGTAATCGGCAGCTGATGTCCTCTCCCCCTTGAGGCCGTCTCAGGCCGTTTGACTCACCTCGACGATGCCCCGAGACCCTCTCATCGGGTTGGTAGGAAAACCGTCGTCCGGCAAATCTACCACACTGAACAGGTGCGCTTTGCGACAAACATCCAGTGCTCTCTGCGACTCTTAACTTACATACGAGACAGCTTGACAGATGCTAGTTCGAAAGTCGGTCAGTCTCCGCCTCCGCCCGTCGCGATCCTAACATGATGTCCTCGTAAAAAGAGGTGGGATTTCCTACGGTAGTGGTAGTGGCTGATTTTGTGTATTTCCCCGGGCGCAGGCAACTTTCCGTAAGATACAATCCACCCACCTGTTCTGTTTTTCTCGGATGCTGAAAGAAACGCAACAGTTTCACAACAATAGACCCTCAAAGGGCAGTCGGATATCTACAGATCGACTGCGCCTGCGTACGCCATGGTCTGACCGACCGGTGCAGACCCAACTATGGCTCCTGCATCAATGGCAAACGCTCAGTCCCTATCGAACTTCTCGACGTAGCAGGATTGGTACCTGGCGCCCACGAGGGCAAAGGTCTGGGCAACAAATTCCTTGACGACCTGCGGCACGCCGACGCCCTGATCCACGTCGTGGATGTGAGTGGGACGACAGACGCCGAAGGGAAAGCCACACGAGGCTACGATCCGAGCGTGGATATAGAATGGCTGCGCGGCGAGATCGTGCGCTGGATTCAGGGTAATCTGATGGAGAAATGGGGCAGTATCAAGAGACGGCACGTCGCGGTCAAAGCCTCGCCCGTCGATACATTACAGGGCCAATTTTCGGGGTATGGGAGTACCAGCGCCACTGTCGCGCGGACTCTGGATAAACTCGCGCTGAAACAGCCGCTGGAAGAATGGACCGACGAGACGATATCGAAAGTGGTCAACACGTTTACGGACGAGAAGTTCCCGACTGTATTGGCGCTCAATAAAATCGATCACCCGGACGCAGATCGGAATATCGCTAAGATCGCGAAACAGCAGCTTCCTGAGAAGATAGTGCTTTGTAGTGCCATCTCCGAGGTCTTTCTCCGCCGGCTAGCTAAGCAGGGATACATCAAGTACAAGGAAGGGCAAGAGTACTTGGACACAAGGGAAGATCTGATTGAACAAGGAGATCCTGACGGAGGAGGCCTCAAGGAGATGGACGACAAGCTGAAACAACGCATCGAAAATCTCAAAGACATGGTATTGTACAGGTTCGGGAGCACAGGTGTGGTGCAAGTGCTCACCCGTGCGGCCGAGTTATTGGGCTTGGTGCCTATCTTCCCGGTCAAGAACATTCACACGTATGGATCAGGCACGAGTGGGTCGACGGCCGTGTTCCGCGACTGCGTGCTGGTCAAGAAAAACAGTACGGTGGCTGATGTGGCGCGGAAGGTCATGGGCGATGCACCAATTGCGTTTATCGAGGGTGATGGTGGGAGAAGAGTGGCGGAAGATCAAGTCGTGAGTGTTGGGAAGAACGATATCCTCTCGTTTCATGTTGGGCGGTGACAAACCCATGAATGTAACGGCAATGCCTGCACGCCTCGAAGCTCCAGATGGATACCTTGTGATGGTGATTGTACATTTGATGCCAGGCTCAATATTTACATTTGTTTTAACGCCATGAATTTGCGTCTTGTCTGACTCGTGCTTTCTTTCGCCTCTCCTACTCGCCGCATACTGATGTTCGTACCTCCACCGTAAAGCCGGATCTGGATCTAATGTCCCTTCTGTGGCGACTTGTCAGCAATCGTTCAGATCGATGGAAGGAGTAAAGACGTACCCCTCCCCGTTCATCGTTCATCCCCAGCACCGGGCCCGGCGCCTCAGGATGGTCCTCCTTAGCCCTCTTATTGCTGTCACGGTGATCACCCTGGTCAACGGCCTGGCTCTGCGAGTCCTGCTGGTCGTGCTCTTTCATGCTGACATCCGCGTTCTTGCTCTGCGGGTCGTGCGGCGATCGATTCACGGCGTGGTCCTCTCCATGGCGTCCTTCCCAGCCTGGTGTGCTGTCAGGGGCTTTGGCGCGGAGGGGAGAGAATGTGCTGAGGGGGCGTGACACAAATCTCGAGGCGCGTAGGGTTGAGGTGTGAAGGGCGAGGCGAGGCATTTTGGCAACACCTAAGTTCTAGAATTCGAGGGTAGGTTTGTTCAAGGTATCGATCACGGTCGAGCGTGAGGTTGAGGTAGATGGGTCAGTGAAGGTGATGAAGCTATTTCAGGAGCAGTATTGTCTGAATGGAGCTGATATTGTACGACACGTCTTGTAGATGTCTTACTGTTGGAGGTGTTGCTTCGTGCTGCGGATGAAGTCCGAACACTTACCACAGTACTATGACATGCACCTACATGCGGAAATGGACTCCCTGTCACTGGTCACTCGCTTTCACACCTATCGTCATAGTCGATGACCAGTGGTTGGTCTCGGAAACAATATGTCGAAATTGTGACGACATTGATCGTCTGGCTCAACCTCGGCATTACATAACACTCACAAAGTGCTCCGTACCTTGTACGGATTGATGCATTTACTCCAGATCACAAAACCACCCACAAAGTGCTACAAGCCATGAAATCTGAGGTGCTTAACATAGGTGCAAACAGATACATGATACATGCACATTGCAACACAACACACCATCTGCCACACCATCAAACCAATATACCCAGTTTTGACTAACCATCACATCTCTCCAGTACACCCACCCACCCCAACGTGGCCATTTCGAGCCTGGTATCATTGTCGTAGAATATCATTCAAAACATGTCGGCCACCAAATTCGTCCAAGACCCTTGTATCCCTACAATTCACCTCCTCACCAGGTTCTTGTACAATCACTGATCACCGCAAACACCAAACCCTAGGTACAGCGCCCAGAAGAAATCCTTCAAGCTAAAGTGTCATGAATGTCAAATTCGTCGTCAACAGGGATCGTAATCCCACGGTAAGCCTCAGTCAGGTCAACGCTGTCGCCCATAGGGCCTGACCCGTTATTGCTGGGCGGAGCACTGAAGAAAAAGTCGTCGCCGCTGGTGAGAGATTCGTCCGAGAAGCTCAGCAGACTTTGAGGCACGGGCGCTTTGGCCGGAAATTCCATGCCTGAGATGTTCCATACATTCGGAGCCCACTCATTGCTCGGGACTTGATAGAGCCCGTCTGATGTCACGTCCGGATAGAACGCCGTGTTGTTATCAAGGTTGTTCAGAAGTTGATCCCAGTTGCTGTCAGCCAGTGTAGGTGTCTGCTGTATCTTTGGTGGCAGCATCGTGCTTGACGACCCTCTCGACTGGGAAACGTTTTCATCTCCAAAAGGAAGATAGTCAAGATTGATGGCTGAAGTGTCAATGGTCCTCGATGTCGTCAATTGAGCTGGAGACGCGCTGTTTATTGGCATAATTGGTGCTGAGCGTGTTGATGACAGGCTAGTTGTGCTAGCAGCCCGGTTGACTTGGCCACGGGCAACGGTAACAGGTCGAGTCTCAGGGACAGTTGCTCGTCGCGCAACATCCTCGGCCTTCGCCTTATTGCTGAACGTCGACCACTTGGATGCGATTGCTTGCAGTTGCTTTCTCGTCGACTTCGACTTGGAATCCATGACAGGTGCTACGGATGGTCGTTGGCTTGTGCTGTCTAAGGACAACTTGCCCACTGACAACGCCGGACGCGGCTCAAGTGTGACAAAGCAGGCCGTCATCTTGTGGAACTCCATTGCGGCGGCGGCATTCTCGTTCTGCATCATGCCGAGAAGATTGTTCAGAGACTTTTGGTTGTCCTTGACGAGTTTACTGTCTTTTTCCAGATCAACAGACTGCCAAAGAATTGGTAACCCAGAATTCATGAGAAGTTCGGTTTTGTCCATTGGGAAAGTGTAGTTCATGCGGCGCTCAAGCAGCAATTCATGGATTTGCAAAACATGCTTGCCAGACGTTGCTAGGACGATGTTGGCTGCAGACGACACGCTGCCAGACCCATGGCAGAGCAACGGTCGATGAATCAAGCTCCGTATATAAAAGTAGGCCATTGACTTGGAGAGATTAGCGAGGTATGCAGGTAACATGAAAGGGGCAACGTACCAGCAATGGTGACCGGTCACTAATCATGTGCGTGGCTGGCTTGTCGTTGCAGAAGCGTAGTCTAAGGTGCTCTGGAAGCTCTTCAGACCACTGATCAAGTTCATCGGAAAGTCCATGTAATTTGTTCAGTGAAAGCTGGTAGGTCGCCTTGGCTGGGTAGAGGTTGTCCAGCGTTTTTGACAGGATCTGACTGACACGCATAAGGGCAAGCGCGCTGGAAACCTTGGTACGTTCACCTGGGAGAGTGGGAGAAAAGCCTTCGTTGGTGATGTTCTCGTCGTCGACATCAGCCGGGAGTTCAGTCGTAATGTCGCTGTCCCGGAGGAGCATAGGAGTACCCGTGGTAGCGGAGGTGAACCTAGCGTTGTGTCAGCAACCATGATACCTGTCATGTCAGAAACACCTACTTGTCCAGCACGTATTGGCACCAGAAAACTCTCTTTCTGGCTTCGGCTTCCAGCGGTGACAAGCTGTGGTATCTATGACTCTGATGAAGTCCAAGTTCGTGGCACATGGTCACCGCAATACCCCTATGACGAAGCAGATGGGTATAGTCGGCTCGCAGCATATAGCAGATCTCCGCCAAAACGTGGCATTGCAGGGTACAAAGCGTCGCATTGGACGAAGTCGAATACAACGCTTTACGCCATTGACTCTCATAGGTGGGCGCATTCCTCTTTGATGTCGTGATCTCGGACAAGGCGGAAATCTCAAAGATCAGGTATAACTGAGCCAGCGCTTGTTTGTTGCTTTGCCAATTGCCCGAGTCAGGGTTGGAGATGTACTGCTCATACACTCGAAGGAATGTAGGTCGATGCAGTACAGGCAACAAAGGTTGCCACTCTTGGAAGAAGAGATCTGTACATGGTCAGTTTTGTGGCCAACGAAAGGTACATCAAACGTACTGATATATTGATCCGACTGGATCCTTGGAGGCACCTTAGGTCCTGCGCTGGTGGTTTGCCTCGACGGCTGAAGGGCCTTTTGAAGACCCGATGAGGAAAGTGCAGTAGCCTGTCCGCCAGCTGCTTGAACTTTCTGGTCGAAAGCTTCAAGGAAAGAAGCAGTTGTCGAGGAGCCCGTAGAAGTTGCTGTTGAGTTTACTGGTGCAGGGATCTCGACATGTAAAATTTCTTCCCTGGCCGACTCGACTTCAGCCTTGACTTCCGCGGCGTGTGCGGGTGACAATGAGGCCGAGCATTTTCGCGAGGCAGGAGAAAAGCTGTGTATGCGAGACAGCATGTCGATTTTCTCATCTTTCTCATCCAGAAGGTCTTTCAATTCTTTCACTTCCGCTTCTAGACCTCGAACACGGTCTTCGAGCGACTCCGTATATCCTCGAGGAAAGGCTCGTCGACTGAGTTTGTCACTGGTTTTGCATTCGAAACCGACATTGCCACATTGGCCACAACATGGTCGTACACCATCACATCGAATCTTCTTGGAACGGCATCTGTGGTTGATTTTGTCAGTCATAATGCTTGCTTCGTCCACCAACGTATTCGTACCTATCGCATGCTTGCGCAATCCGACTCTGCGCGCTACTCCCCACTCTGATCATCTTCATAGGTAATATACCAGGCATGATGCCGGCGGTGACAGGATCTGTTTTATGGCCAAGAGTTCTTCAATATCAGACACATAGAAGGTCAACGACTAAGATGGATCGTTCGTCGAAGGAGGATGATGGTGTCTGGTCTTGAGGTTGAAGTGTAAGGAAGTCCAATGTACTGGGTATACTCATAGGCAGAAAGAGCGAGTTCCGAGAAACGAATAGGCAAAGAGTGCGAAGGTGTCTAATTATGACAACATGCGACTCGAGTCTGTGGGATGATACTCAGGCGACGATTTCGAGGAGGGATGGTCAGGGTTGACTAGGGCAATTATTAGTGGAAATATAAGACCGCCACGAAAGTTGTTTTCTGGTCTATGAATTGACAGGGAAATCAACGACGGGAAGACCAGCGGGATATGCAGGATCCTGGAGAGTATGGTTTGTCAAGGAATGGTGGTTGTTGCAAGGAGGAAAAGATGGTCGCGGGATGCATGAGAAGGAGGGGAGCAGAAGCACAGCCGCACCTTCTCTGGGGAGAGCAAATGTGTGGATTGGCTTAACTGGAGAGTGCGGATTGCGGGCTAAGGCCGGGGAAAATCCAGTTCGGGGGCATCAATCGCGAGGAAGACCGCCAACTCGCTAGGCTGGGCGACGCAATCTGTCCATTAGGGTCTATGACTAACTGGTTGCAGGCAGCGCAAACACCACTAACGGCCACCTCGAAACCTTTCCTCACCTCAACAGTTTTTGATACCTGGAAATCACCATCCATCCTTTCCCTATGGAAGGACCTCCTCAGCAACCGCTTGGCTTCTGTCAAGCAGGAGGTTCCGTTACCCCGCAAAACGTCTCGTATTTGCAGTCATAAGCAGATCGACGTCTCAAAGCGTCGAATTCGAAGCACTTCGAATCGACGTGCTCGACGCAGCCAAATGATCAGCCTATCACATCAAAGCAGCTTCCACTCATTTCCATCCATCCGAGCTTCGCCCGCTCGATCTAGAACCCCAGAAACCCCTCGCACCTTGCGCCTCCTGCACATCTTACTGTCACACATCATCACATCTCTTTCTCCTCAGATCCTTACCTCTTGTATCCAGGAATTAATTGAGCATGATCTCCATGATTCGCTTACCAGTAGGAATTGTCGGAACCGCTCCTCTACATACCCCAGATTCAGGTCAACATGGCTTGTAGCGAGACACGCGACACATGCAGACAAGACCCCGTCAATAAAGTGTCTGTGTAGCTTCAGCAGAAATAAAGCCACAGCTCTTGTTTGTGAGCACTGAGCATTTCATGGACGAACGGAATGTAACGACGGCAGTTGCCAGCAAAAGCACAATCTGGCATACGCCATGGCTGTATATCCGTACCCCAGAGACAGATCGTGGAAAGACTGGCGGGTCAAAAGGACTACTGAAACCAATCAGTGCATGAAAGACAGGATAAGCTTTGCCCTGTTCGTTGACATCAGCCCATGCAGTGTACTGCGCCTAGCACAGTCCGTCTCCATCATACCACCTGAAATAGGTGTTCCGGAGTCATCCGATAATCATAAGAAAAGTTATGAGCAATTGTTTGGCAATTCAAATGCCGACATGCAGCAGCCACGAAAAGTGTAGTCTTCACGAAAAGTCGTCTGGGGAATCTGGGACATCCGTGCCGCTACGATCCTGTCCCAGATATGCACGGACGACTGGAGATTCCAGGAGCTGATTCTTCTATGACAGGCATTAGTAACCACTCCTAAAGTCAGAATCTGATCGATGAACTTTACCTGTTCCTCCAACGTCTCGTAAGTCCTGGTTAATAAGTCCATTTCGAGCTTCCGAAGTCTCCCGACTGTCTCGTAGACGTATGGCCTGATCTGCGCGTTACCAGGCAGAGCGTTATCAAAATCATCTTCACTTGCCGCTAGGCGCATCCCTTGCTCCTCAACCCTTTGCTGGAGCCTGACAGTGGCACGAAGGACGAAGACATCCCGAAGGTCGTCTTGGAGAAGCTTAGCCTGCAATGCACTTGGATCAAGCTCATTCTCCTTCCATAGAGCCTTGAGCTCCGTATCTCCGTCCACGGTTTGCTCCACCCGAAAATCTAGCCCGTCTTCCTGGTTGATGCAGGCCCACCAGACGAAAGTACTGTCCCATTGTACTTGGTCTGCCTCATCGACGTAGATTCTTACCCCAGGGGCAGTTTGGGCGACCCGGATCTTGGCCATCTTCAGTGGATCGTCGGCGGGTATGGACAAGGCCAGGAACATCTCCCTGGCACTGCTCGCGTGCTCTTCCAGGAACCCATACGAAAAAATCATCTCGCAGGCCCCTCCACATCCGTACATGATTGTGACTTCATCTCCCTGTTTGATAGATTTGCCGTCACGCACCACAAGCAATACCGAGCCTGCATCTTCGTCCACTTCAAATCGGGCATTATACCGATCGTCAGAGGCGTGATTGGCCATGTCTACGACAGGTACCATTCCCACGCTTGCTCCGCGCGGCAATTCAAGCGCACGAGATCGATAGACTGCATCTGCAAGCTTCCAATCTGCAAAGTCCAGGCATCCGGTAATCTCGTCCCACCAGGCTTGCTGGCACCAGGTGATCGACTCTGTAGCTGCTTTTAGACTGTCAAACTCGCGTTGGAGGCTGATGAGCTTCTGGTCCAGGGCTTCGGCAAGCGAGGTGCCTACCAACAGCTCTCGTTCGTCTGCGGTGTAGAATATGGGCAGTGGAATATCTTTCGGCAAGAATTTCACATAGTCTGCGAGAGGATTGTTGAATCCAGGAGCGTGGTCACTGTTGTCGGGGCTGTTTATCGTCATCTGATAAACCAGGAAGAGTAGCACTGCGGTGCGGTCATTCTGCAGACACCGCATACGATTAGTCTGCTGGATGAAAGGTGGACCTACCTGAAGGAAGTCACAGACGATGAGGGTGTCCGGGGGTGGCTGGTTTACCTGGAATAGAGTCGGAGCAGCATCAACCAATTGTCTTAGGCCTGTGTCGACTTTTGCAGCTTCTTCGACGCGCTCTTTGGACAGTACGAGTTCTAAAGGCACTGCCACCAAAGGTTCTGTTTCGGCCCGATCAGCTTTGGCCAGCATCCCACCGCCGTGGTCGTCGCCATTGTCGGCAGTTATATGAGGCTCAAGTGCAACGTCGAAAAGTTGAACGTTGTTGAGACGGGACCATGCTTGCAAATTCTCAAGCGGCAGAGATGTCTGTCTCATGGTCTAGTCTACTCAAGACAGTCGATATCGTATTGTCGATTCACCGGCGTGGTGAGAGTTGTTCCATATATGTGCAAAATTTGGAAGATGTCGGCGATACGTCGGTTCCTTCCACGGACCACAAGTCGTCGATGACATAATGCACTCATCTTAAGACACCGCAAGCAGTTCCGATCTATTCTCCTTATCTCATGGAGTGATATCCATAGGGCGTTTCGGGAAGATCTCAGAACATTAAGCTGAAGGATGATGAAACTCTTTTCTGCTAGAAGACACACCAGATCCTCCTGTGATCAGGAACGCTCAAAGTGTTTCCCTGGCGAAAGACCAATTTCTGACTTCACAATTGCCGCAGCCTTCCTTGAGATCAGCTACCTGGACAGCAAGGGATGCCAAACCTCGTAGGCATCAATAGAAGTCGTGGCACAGGCAGTGGACATATACCTACACGAGCATCTAACAACTACTGTGAAAATTGCTGCGCGATTACTTCCAAATTGGCACGACGGCCTCCTTATTATCTCCGTTCTGCCACCATCGAACGCTCTGCAAAACGGACAAAATCATGAATATGTAATAACTTCCTTGAGTTCAAGACTAAGACTACAGCTAGAACAGCATGATAGGGGACCCGACAAAGGAAAACCCGACAGACTCTGGAAACATCACATGCTGCTCATCTTCTGCCGAGCGATGAACGTACAAGCTTCCCTCAGCTTCTTATCCATAGTCTCCTACCAACATCACTATGATACTGGTACACAAGACTACGCCTAAGCAATGCTGAAGAGATAGTGCGAATGCTTTAAAATTGTCGTATCTTGAATCTGTCAAACATTTTCAAGGGCATATCCTAATCACCCTGCTACAAGCTTGAGCATCGACCGTCCTCTGGCAACAAATGTCAAACATCGAACGAGCCTTGCAGCACAGATCGCTCCCATCCAATCGCTAGGGATCAAACTCGAAGCCTTGATCATCCGCGCCAGATCCATCCAATCCAATTGATCGCTGTAGAGTAACAGGTGTGGTCATGCTGGAAAGCAGACAAGGGAAAGAAGAAGGTGAAAACCAGACGTCAACGCCGGCAGAATATGCGAGTCGAAAGCAACAAAGGTCATGTCGTGTACAATGGTTGTAGACAAATTGTCTAACTGGAGATCACGTAGGTTGCAGTGCCCGATATTACCGAGACCTGATATCAAGTTAGCACGTATTCAGCAAGATAAGGGCTCGAGAGACTTACAGTGCATCCTTGCGAGTTGCATCCACTGGCGCTGCAGTACTCACCGTTTGAGTACTTGCAAGACCCGGATAGGTTGCCCGTCAACTCTACCGTGCCGGAGTACTGAGCGCTGGTTGTAGGCGAGTTCTGGAAGATGGAAAGCCAGGTAGTACCGTCCTTGGCACCAACACCAAAGTTGATGGGCGCATAGTTGCCCAGGGGTGTTCCAGCAGAGCCCCATTGACAAGCTTTAGACGCACCATATCCAATAGGGTTGAGGTAGTATTGAGCAGATGTGGCTGATCCCTCCCAGGTGTAATAGGTAGAGGCATCTGGTACAGCCAAGGCTTCTGTCGAACCAGGTTGAACCTCTACCGGAATGGTCTCGGATTCTGTACCAGGGTAGTCGGTACGGCAGATGGCCACAACCCCATCGGCATTGTTTGTCGCTTCCACACCACCAACACCAGCAATGCACAGGCTTGATGAGAGGGCTGAGTTGGTCAACTTCAGTTTGCCGTTGGAACACTCCAGACCACCAACTGATTGCCCACTGGCGCCTTGAGTTGATGGCCATTGGGACTTCTGGTAGCCTGGTGGGCATGCGTAGGAACACATCATTCCATCCGTGCATGTATCACCGGCCACGCCAGTCACAATGTTGGTGACCTCACTGCCGGAGATCGTGACTTGCTGCAGACCGGCCCAGCCACCCAACTCGAGGTAATCAAGAGCGATCGCACCATAGTCGGATGGGAAAGTGCTGCAGTCGAGTTCACCATCGGGGAAAGACGAAGTGACTCCAGTGCCAGAAGAAGAGACAGACGAGGTCGATGAGGCTGATGAAGCAGACGCACTCGAGCTCCAGCTGCTCTCACCCCATGAGCTAGCGCTGCTAGCGCTGGCGCTAGCACTGGCAGAGCTGGTACTACTGCTGGCGCTTGATGCCCACGATGATTGCTGGTAGAATTCGGCTGCCGAAGTACTGGCAACGGAGAGGGTCGTGGTGGTAGTGCTGCTGGCAGAGTACACCCAGGTTGTAGTGGGACTGGCTGTTGTCGAGGCTGCGGTGCTGGATGAGGACGCGGACGAGCAGACGCCAGGATCCGAGCCGTCTACAAACTGCAATTCGTGGTCCGTAAGACCTGCGCAAACTTCTGATGCAGAGATCTCCTGTCCGTCCAAAACGTAGGCGTATTCGGTCGGACCTGCAGCCCAGCTGGTGACGGTCGATACATCGCGTGCTTTGTGCTCGTGGACGTGGCGGTGAGCGTGGTTATGAGGTTGGGCGACAACCACTGTGGCAGTGGCTGCCGTCAAGGCGATTGAGGTGATCCTCATTTCGAGCGATCGGTAGAGAATGGACGCAACAGTCTATTCGAGACCGGCAGGATATTCAGTGAATGAATGTGTAAGGGTCAGGTGGGACTGTTCAATGCGAGAGTCAAGGAATCTGTTAAACCCGGTGGTTAGTATTTCTTTGTTCCCACGAAATCAAAGAGATAGAGAAAGCAAGGGCGCTGGTTGTCGCGTGCCGTTCGCAGGGTCACAAAGAGCACATACAAAGCCGAAGACTCATATGATCAGTACTGGAATGCGAGGTCGCGCTGGTGGCTGAAGGGGCAGCGGTTCAGAGTCCGTGAGTATCGAACGAAGGAACGAAGAGAGTCGGCGGTCGCAGGATATTCGATGCTGTTGGTAAAGGAATGGAACGAGAGAAAAGTCTCTCTGTAAAGAACGTAAGCCCACTGAGGGCGAGAAGGAGACGATAAGAGTAGCGGTGCAGGCAAATTTGACTATAGATGCTGGTGTTGAAGGAGGAGGAGTAGAGAAAGGGTGAAGACGGCGAAGGGGAAGTAAACTCTGGGCGTTTGGCTGCGGATGGAGCTTGATTGGCGCCGTGGGCCTTTGTTTCCGCTCTTTGGCGGCGCCGCGACGAAGCAAGAATTTCAGGAACAGGCAAGGCGCAGACGCATGACTGAGTTTAGTGGCTGCAGTGCCCCTGGCCTTGCAGCCCCTGTCTCTCTCAATGGCCCGCGCTTCACAACAAAGAAATTGCACCCCACTGTGATCGTCCACTAAATTCAATCTCTACCGTAGCCTGGAGCGCTGCTATTGGCTCTGGTGTCTGTTTGGCTCTAACCAAGGACGAAGACGGAATAACAGCCTGCCTTGGAATTGAGTCAAGCGTACCTTCGGCAACGATGATAAGAAGCGAGAGTGCCCGGTTCTTAGAGACGGTGACGAAGCAGCTAATCAGCAAGCCAGGGATCTTGAATTCAGGGCATAGAGGATCACATCAGATAATATACAAGGGCCACGCAAACCAGTCCACCGTGGACTACTCTCTTCCCTGGCTAGAGAAATTGCACATCTCGCAGTGGAAGCAGAAAGGACCTTGTTGATGGCTATTCTTTATGTTCACCACTGACCGAACCGCTGCAGTTGCTTTCAGTGCAACACAGCAGCATCTCGATGAGCGGATCAGAGTGGATGGTCATCATTTCAGGTCCTGCAGTTATGTTGTCCTCTCCACATCCTTCTCTGCTGATGAGCACCCTGGGATTGATATTGTGTGTTGTCGGTGTTCGATGATCGAAACCAAGGTGAGCCGTCCACTAGATCTGCTACGACTCCTACGAGACTCCCTCTCAGCTGCATGTCCATCCGCTTGATCCAAAGAGTATGGTGGTGTGAATTTCTTAAGTAATGGACAATGTACAAAATGTCAAACCCTGACCTTCGGGGTATAGCATATGCCAGCGGCAAGTCTGATATGCACTGACAGCCGTCATGGTTACTACGTTGGTCAAATGTCTCTCGCCAGGCTACACAGCAGCAATAGTCAAGCAACATATTTGCTACTCGTCCTGTCCAGATGAAGGAGACATGCAACTCTATCTGGACTGGTACAAGGCGTCATGATTATTGGAGCCGGGGCGTCAAACATCGTTCTGTGTGACCCGAAGATCGCAACGACAACTGGTGACATTGTTATTGAGAAAGAGTCCACCTGACCGACGTTTGTCTATACCATGGGTGTCATGCGATCACTGGCGCAACTTTTGATTACTTGCCGTGCTTTTGACGTACGACACACGCGCTCTGGGGTTTTGACCACGCGTTCTGGCAGTCTTCACAACCTTGATCCCCACCAGCATCACAGATCACTCATGGCGATGCTTGAGTGCGCCAGTTAAACAAGGTGTGTGAGTGTGCTTCGACCACCAGCCGCATGGATACCAGGTACTGCCCCATCTTTTGCAGAGCCTCTCTCGTATCCAGGGTATACTCCGCGCAGGACGAGTCCAACACAGCCTGACCAGATCAGCAAACCAGAGTTCCAACGAAGACTCAGCGAAGATACCTTAACCTGATGGTATCGGCGTCCCTAAACAGACATTTGTTGTCCCCTATAAATCTTGCGTACACTATAGCTCGGCCCCCTGTTACTTTCTCATCCTCGCCTTATCGATTGTCCTCGTGCCTCCCAAACCATAAACAAGATTGGCACCTCGAGGCTTTGACTGGAAAAGCTTGGAACTTCTCACCTGCAATGCCTCTGTTATGGCGCTTTTTACCTTGTGTTTCAGCCTCCTACGTACAAAATCCCCCCTGCAATTTTGGCCAGTGCGCATTTTTGACACAGAAGCCCCTGTTCAAGCATCATCCCTGTGACTGACTCACTCTGTTTTCGATGGCAGAAAAAAATGGTGGCTGGGCAGCGGGAGAATCCATGGGTCCAAGACAACAATGACTTGCAGCGGTGCAGTGCAAGCGAAAATATTCCGGTCCAGACAATCTACAGCATACCCCAGCGAGGCTGGCTCCGCACAGAACGGTTTGTGTCATCATGCATCACTGCGGGAGTTTGCTTCATGGACCTCATACTCTGATGACAGTCTGGTGATGTCTTCCCAGGTCCGCATGTCCACAGAGCCGTACAAGGCTCCCTTGACTACGCAGTACCTGTGCAATGTGTGCATAGTACGTGTGGTAAAGGATCTAAACCTCAGCTTGTTGCTCCACAGTAGAAACAACTTGACTGTGGAGGACACCCAAACGTGCGAATCGGGATCTCTGAATACATGATGCGGATCATAACGAGCCTTCTTACGTCCACGACCTCGGGACACCGGCTGTCACACCGGCATCAATACCAAGATTTCCAGCTGGCAGAAGGGGTCCAAAGCTATCAGACTGCTGTTTCCGTCAAGGAGACAGCTTTCCTGTAACCATGAACAAACATGGTCTGGACTAACTTAGCTGGACGATCCATAATGAGACCTACAGTCATGTACATGCCATGGTCCAAGAGTGGCTTCTCCAGAAAGATGCAATAGCTGACTTGCTCGAGGCTGACGGGAAACACCAATGGCATCGACGATCCCAATCTCATCAAGCTATAAGGCATCCTGAAATCCAATGCTTTTAATCTGAACCTTCTTGCCTTTGAAGCTTGATGACGCGGCTGTTCGATCAATCTTACAACGTCCCACAACGAAGTCCCGCCGAGAGGGACTTGCTCTGGGGTGAGAAAATGACATGATTATTGTTCGGCTTACGAGTACTGCTTCCAGGTGACGCTCGATCGATGGCCGGCGCTCATTTCAAGCCGAGCAAATGTTGCTGAAGGTGTGAACTTTCTTGCGAAATGAGATATCCAGGGGCTCTGAACATGGAGGAAGAGGGGTCGAGAGCGAAAAGCACTTCCAAGGACGCGCGAGGAAGAAGAGTATTTGCCGATCCATAGGGAGGCTGTCCCCATTGATTGTGGATATATGAGAGAAGTACATTCAACTCGGCTCTTGTCGTATGAGGAACAACACGCTTGAGACATTCAGATGAGTTCATGAATGTGCAGCTGTTTCATTGCGGTCGGACAGCCCCAGTCATTGCAGGAGCTTGATCTTGCCATGTCGCTTTTTTTAACATGGTGATAGATGACACATTCAGCAGGTTCATGAGCGCACATGCCACATGTTAGTTGTTCCCTGTCCAAACAAGCATGGATTTGCCGCTTTGAAGATAGCTCGTTGGTCTGTCTGCATCCTAGCGTTGAACCGTCTGGTGTTGCTCCGGAGTCGTCATATGACAGAACACTGGGCTCATTCGTCTCCAAGTCCGGACGCAATGGAAGTGCCAACACTCCTCGCATCCTTGTTCGTTGACACCTTAATCCCTTTGGGTTTCCAGTGTCATTTCTTCTCGACAGCGGTGGGCGCAACTGCAAGAACGACCGCCAGACTTGCGACAATCAGCGATCCTGCTATAAAGCCGACAATGAATATACTGCCACGACTCGCGGGGAACTTCCCCCGCATGATCCAGTATTGTGACTCGAAATACCGATGCAACCCGATGAACAAGATAACAATGGATATTCCAAGGAACGTGGCACCCAGAGGTTTGCCAATATGACGGAGTTTTGCAGCTTGATCCTGATTGATTTGAGCAGCGGCAAAGTCGTCCCTCCTGGACACCTGCTGGCCGTTGACATCAGGAGGTCCTAGCAAGAGTATTTGGTCAAGCAACGTAGGCCCTAGTGTCGGCACAGCGGATGCAGCAGATTCACTGAGTTGCTGAAGATATGGTACCAGCTCAACCGGTATTGACTTTCCGACAAACGGCGAAAATGGGACGTCGTCTGGTGTTACCATGGTGGCCGAACTCGATCCTGATCCACTCTGAATCGATGTGTTAAGTCGAAAAAGCTGTGTGATCGCGATTCCGATACTGGCGAAGGCTAGACTGGTTCGAAGCCAGGCAAGAAATGTCCTCTCTAATGCCAGGTGATCCCTAGCCACTGACCCTTTATTCTCCAAAGACACCGAACCATAGTTCCCAGCGAAAGTCTTCACCTTTTGCAGCCAAGTCGGCTTAGTCTCCTCCTTCCCTGCAGTATCCTCCTCTTCCTGAGCGGTTACAGACCCCCTTGATGATATTTGTGAGGTACTTTGGGTATTGTATCGACGATCAGACTGGCCATCCGCACTTCTGATTGGGGTTATTTCGTCAGAATCGTCCGATGTCCTGGGATAGCGAGACGACATTGACTGAGACTGCGCAGGAGGTTTGGTGCTTTCTGAGAAACGAACACTGGACTGTCGTTCACTTGAACGCTGTGCGGGGTGCGCTGGTTTCTGCTGCGTCTCTACAGACTCTGAAGAGGAGTGAGCATCTGAAGCTTCATGTTGTTCGCTATGGTGGGAAGCCATAAGTATATAGCTTCTCGGACAATAGCAGCAGTCACATCCACAGTGCTCTCGAGCTCGGAACGAGTAAGACTTCTGATGGGGCCTGCCCAGCAAATCTTTGTCGGCTTTTGGTTTGCAGCATCAAATTTGAGTAGGTTTGGCTGGTACGGAGGGGCTTTTCAGTGGAAAGACAGGGATTAGAGACTCCCAGAACAGCTAGGAGAGAGCCATGGCATCAACCATCGAGGTTTGCCGACTGGAGAGCCCGCGTTGGGGTGGTACTGATGGTATTGCTTCCTAGAGGGTAGAAATTGCGTGATATGAATCTGAAAACACGACATCATTATGGGTGAATTTAACGATCTCGGGGCGCTTCCGTGGCATGCCCGTCATAGCGCACGTCTTCCTTAGGGCACGGGGAGTGCAGTTGGAGATCGTCCCCTTGGAATTTCAAGCCTGCGGGGTTGTCGGAACAGAAACCAAACAATTTAATAATCGCGCCTGCTCAACGAGATATGTTATTCTGGAGCAAACCAGGCGATTGCCGAGACATTACAGTTGACTTCTACTGTGTAGGACGCTGCTCAAGAGCCTGACCCTTCGGTCGCTTTGGTACAAAATTTCTGATGATGGATTCGGAGCAGAATGTCAAGCCGAATCCTTCCAACGGGCTCTCAGCAGCTCTACTGAACGGTAGCAAGTCTCAAACGATTCCAAAACTGATTCCACGTTCGCAGAGAAAATCTTCAGGATCATCAGGTCTTCAAGAACCAGCTCCAGAAACACCTGCCCTACCGTCGCCGCCCTCACTTGAATCTGTGAATTTCAAGACACCAGTCAAGCGCATCCTCTCACCTTCCGACCACCAGAAGTTTCTCGCATCTCCTACGTATACGCTGATTCGAGCATGGATCTTCACGTTAGCCGACAGTGTCCGCGGCCGTCCAAGTTCATCGCTGGATCTCTCCCAGCTATCTGACAACATCAGACGGCTAGATGCAGCTTTCGATGCTATTCAACTTCTCCTGGAACGATATCCTGCCTTCGAGACCGAATCACGATTTGGCAATCCAGCCTTCCGCGACCTGTACAAAGCTATCGTTAGAGACGCTGAAAAACTGCACAAAGAAGTGCTCGGTCTACAGAATGAGGCGGCCATACAAGATATCTCTGTATATCTGCTCAACTCCTTCGGCTCCGAAGAACGACTCGATTATGGCTCTGGACATGAATTGAACTTCATGATGTGGCTGTTGTGTTTGTACCAATTGGGGCTAATCCATCGAGATGACTTTCCAGCTATCGTCATGCACACTTTCACACGTTATCTCGACCTGATGAGAAAGATTCAGAGCACATACTATTTGGAACCAGCTGGGAGCCACGGTGTTTGGGGACTAGACGACTATCAATTCCTACCTTTTCTGTTTGGTGCGAGCCAACTGATCGGGCACCCCTACATCACTCCGAGGTCCATTCACAATAATGTCATATTGGATGAGGAGGGCGACAAATACATCTATCTAAATCAAGTCCGGTGGGTGGATAGTGTCAAGACTGTCAAAGGACTCCGGTGGCACAGCCCCATGCTGGACGATATTTCGGGCGCAAAGAGTTGGCAGAAGGTTGAGGACGGTATGAGAAAGATGTTTGTCAAAGAAGTACTCGGCAAACTGCCCATCATGCAACACTTTTTGTTCGGAGGGCTGATTCCTGGCACCGAAGATATGGGCCAGCTAGACCCAGAGACGCTTCGGCTACAAGCTCAAAGAATGGAGCATGTGAAAGAATATGGCCATGAAGCTGATTACTGGGGTGACTGTTGCGGCATCAAGGTGCCCAGTACAGTGGCTGCAGGAGAGGAAATGCGAAAACGATTGGGTACATCAGGCGCACTGCGACCAATACCTTTCGACTAGCAGGACCCGATGGTTGCTTTTCGAAAGTATCAAGCTGCTACATTGGGAGCTGTTGTGCAGCGAGGCGACCCAGTTCCACGAGACAGGCCTGACGGTCTGCAACAAGGCGTTTGCGGAGTCGTCGCCTTGTAGCATGCACGGCCACGAAAAGGGCGCTGTGTGGTGGAACAAGGACGAATGAATTGAGGTTGGAGCTATAGGGGTGGAGATCTTGAGTACGGCTCCAAGTTTGGGGAAGATCCGATCAAGGTTTGTGAGAGCTTCACCGGTTGACTTTCAATGCATGAAAAGCTCTCACGGACTTTTCTTGGACATCTAAGGTCTTCAAGCTTGATTATTGGGTGACCACCATATCAAGTGACCACGGAAGAGTATCACCGACTCACCATTGTTGATGTACAGCATTGGCATCTGGGCACTGGGTGCCCTCGGTGCCCCAATGTGCCTGGAGGACGCCTGACAGCCCTTAGCAAAGACGCCTTCACAACCTTGAGTTCCAGTACATTAGATACTGGCCACTAACCACGGAAAAAAAGGTACATGCAAGCAGTTTGCAAAGATAGGGAAGGCGAGTCAGAGAAGAGAAATTCAGCCTTGCATACCATCCATTCAAAGGCAACGCGCCGCATCCTTGACTTCTCACTTACCCCTCCATTGTGTAAAAAACCTGAAAAGGTGAATCACCTCACTTCCCTGTCACTACTTCTTCACTTCTGCTGCTTGTCCATATGAGTGAGGCAGTGATAGGTATTCGTTTGTACCTTTACATCCCTGTCAGTCTTTGCAACCACTGAGATCTTTACACTCTTTTCCAACCACTCTCTCTCGGTGTACATCCTATCTCAAACCCTTCCAACACAACCGTCAGAGCCTACAACCATAACACCTCCCAAAGACAAAGGCCAAGATGTGTCCGAAGTCGACAAAGAAGCAATCATCTTCACCCTCCATGGCATTGCCAAACGCACCACTCGTCTACATCAACGATCCAAATGAGGACCGGCGATATGCACACTACTTGCGAGACCTCATTCCTAACTGCACCTTCATCAAACTGCCTGGCAGGGATCTGTTGAACAACTCGCTCGGCACGGAACTGGACAAGCTCAGTGTTAAAGTCGCCGAAGGCCTTGTTGGCGATGGCATTGTTCTCCTATGTGAATGCTGCCCAGACTCCAAGCCTGCCCAGAAGATCAAAACATCCAAACTTTTCCGAGCAGAGGCGATCAGAGGCGGCCGCAACTTTGTAACTGTGAATCTTTGTCTTTCAGAGAGCGTGGCTCCCGCAGGCAATTCAGGATGGGGCACCAACCATCTCGAAATGATTCTTGGACCAAAGTCAACCGAGGACGTGGCTGTCGAGGTGTATCATTGGCTGTGTACGTCATACTCTCATTCTCTTTGTCGTGTATACTAACAGCAACAAGTCACAGCATTCACAGTTCAAGAAACACTCCACCTCATTCCAGAGTCTGAGATGCTTGCCGTGGACAAGGCCTTCCCGGACTACGAGTATAGCACGATCGCCGATAACAAAGCCAAGTCGAAGAACGCCAAAATTCAATTCGTTGCGCTTATCACCAGTCGTCCAGTGGTCAAGGGTCAAACACTCTCATGGAGTGTGGCCGACAGGACTGGCACTGTGAGTCTCACGTGTCTTAACGTCTGCTTCATGTCCATACTAAGTTTCTGATCTAGGCCAACTTCTACTTCCAATACCGCGGCGAAGCCTCAAAGTATACCTGGGAATGGTGCCAGGCACTCAAGGTTGGCGATCGTCGAGCCCTTCCACGCATGCCCATGGTCGAAATCAAAGAACGTAAGCGCGTGCGCGTTGCTAAGGCTCCAATCCGGACTGTGGCTGCTGCTATTTCGGGTGTCGGACACGTCGTACGTGCCGTGGGCCATGGCGTTGTGAAGCTCGGCGAGTTGGGAAAGTTGGGAAAGAGCTCTGAGTGGATCCCTGAGCCCGACGTCGTGGATGGCAAGAAGGTCGACTGGGCGGACATTCTTAAACAGCAAAGTGCAGACAAGGTTCTGCGAGCTGAGAAGGCGAAGAAACAAGTCCAGGCTAAGGTGTTCAACGAGAAAGGAGAGAAGGTCTGGGCGGATGATGATAGCGTGGCGAGCACTACTGCTGGGGGAGAGGAATGGGTTGAGGAGAAAGCCAAAGACTTCGTGTGAGTGTATTTCTACCGTCGACATTGCACCAAATAAGTGTTATGTGCACACTGAGTGGTGCTGCTGCTGTCGGGTGCTGGCGCCGGGACGTTGTGAACACCACGGAAGGGAAACCTAACGAGTCTGTAAATACGTTATGCTACAAGGATCGAGCCTTGAGCTTGGTGGGTGGTGGTCTTCACGAGTGGCCTTTGCACTACGCATCTTACCGTGGATGAACTCGTGGAAGCTGCGAGAAGAGCTGAGCTGAGTCTGGGATGGCGAAGTATTGGCGAGTCGTGGGAGAGAGAGGAATGAAATGGCGGGTTGGTGTCGATTGCGTTACTAGTACTGCAATAATCAATTCATATCGTGAGTGCCTGGGGTGTCAGAGATTCAACACAATGCAATACAGATTGGGTCCATTCTACGATACGCGTTCAATAACGTGGTCTCTGTATCATAGTAGAGCAACATTTTTCCAACTAGGGAGGGTCTCGCCCTGACCTCAAGGGCCAGGCAAAATCTCACACCGACAAGAGGAGAGTCTAGTATCGTTGCCAGCCTTGTGGACGATGCTGCCGCATTGCACCGTCACGGCATGCCCACGAGGACCATCACCACGCAAGCGCAAGGCGCAAAATGTAGCAAGGCGCGGCAAGGCAATCGCCCCAAAATGTGCGGGAGAATATAATGATTGCCTCGAAAGTCAAATGTACACGATCAGGCTACACCGGTTGTAACATGCACTAGGGCGCAGGGCGATTAACAAGATGACCTCGGGTCTAGCAGACGCCCGCGGTAAGATAGCCTCACAATGCCACTGGGTTGGAAACTGGCCATATGTAGGAGACAACGTACAAGCACCGAGTACGGCGAGTGTACGGAGTACTAGTATTTCCTCGGCCTACCGAATCAGCCGGGTAAAGCAGAAGTTCGCGAACATAAGCGTGGATATATAGATTCATTTGGCATTTGGCGATACAATTACATGACAAAGCGGTCCATTCGACGGATACCTGATCGACCGGAACCTCCCAGATAGGAAAAAACAAGCGGAAACACCATACACCTTCGCTCAGATGGTCGCTCTTCTGCACGAAGAATGACGGAGTGCATCGTTAATCTGTAGATCTTCTTGACTTGTCTGGAACAAGTATATCTCAATCGCAATGCAGCTTGCGGATTATAGCATAGCAGAGCTCTTCAATGTCTTGGGATAGTGTACGCATACGATGGAGCTCTTGTGACGACGTTGACACCTCGGACTCCGAACCCGGTATGATAGGTGCCGTAGGAGCTCATGGGTGGTGGTGTGTATGGTTTCATGGTGACAACACGTGGCTCAGGCGAGTACCTGTAGGGCTCCGTCTTTGCAGTCAAGACTGTGTGGCCGTGGCTGTGACTGTGTTGACCAGGTGAGTTTCGCGAACTGTAAGACCCATATCCGGAGTCGTAGGGTTCATGATGCTCATACGTGGTGTGTGACGCTGGGCCTGGCTTGTATCGTCGATGCTGATACTCCGTACTGCTGTGGGGGCTTCCAAAGCTCTCCTGGCTACTTTGTCGGCGTCGATCATGAGTCGGGCGACGACTACCGCGATCGTAGTCGCCATGCGTGCTTCTGAGCTCGATTTTGAGGGCTCTAGAGGCTGTAGATGGTCGACGATGATACTCATAGTCGTCACTCTCCTGCTGAAGGTCTTCTTCGTACTCGTACACTTTCTCAGTCCTGCCGATGGGAGAATGGACGGTTGATGATGCTCTGTCGGAGCCGGAGATCGATTCTCGGATAGTTTGCAAGTCAGAGTTTCTGTCGACGTGCTCTTGCAGCCAGGCGTCATCTGCCTTCATCCGTGAAGGACTGTGCCACTCCTTCTCGCGCTTGTTGGGGTTTGCCCATGGGCTTACTCCAGAGCCAACGTCAAATGACTCGTTCGATGATTCGGCAGAGTGATTCCTTCTGCTCAGTCCTTGCGCGTATCGACCTTTACCCTCGCGACCTCGCGTGATTGCATATCCACCTTCTTTGCAGTTCCGACAATCACGGCCCTTTTCGTAGTGGTACCTCTCCAAGCCTTGACATCTAGAAGAATGACATTCATTGGTGGTTTTGAATTCATGTCCACAGCCCCAAGACGTCTTGGTACGCACACACATCTTTTATCTCCTCTGCTGCAAGATCAATGTGAACTTGGGGCTTTGCTTTGACTGACTGGCGCCTGTCTGTGATGCGTGCAAGTATCTTCGAGCGCAAGTTCCACGAAGTAATGCGATGATTTCGCTCCCCACGAGACACAGATAGTCGCCGAAGCGGTGGAAGGTTTGTGGAAACGTTCGGGGCAAAGCCACAAACATGTACACCGTGGAGTGCAGAGAGCAAGACACCAGGCAAGTCACGCACAAGGTCTCAATTGTTCTTAGAGGTGACGTCGAGGTACATTTGAGACCTAGCCCGGTTCGCTACAGCAGGTTACTGCATTTCGTGGATGACAGAGTCTGTCTCACGCTGGTAAGGGAAAGATGCATAGAAGTGACCGCCGACGAGATACTGTAGTGAACAATAGATATGGACTTCTGTGTGATGGTATCTGTAGACGCTCGTGAAGTGATCCAACTTCGACGTAGATGTCTCTGTGATGGCGAGGTCCTGATATTTGCTATTTCGTTCATCACTAGTGACGAAGGTCTAGGCAAGTCCCGGATAGGTTACTTGAACTGAACAAGAGGGTGTCCGTCGAGATGCAGCATGCAGATTCTTGCCCATCTCGCCTCAGATTTACCAGCCATGGACGCACTTATGCGCGGAGCACGCATGGCTCGAATCAGTCGTTGCAGTTCTAGGCTTAGAAGCCGTCGAGAGATGTGCATAAGAAGGCGTGAAGTAGAAACATCGGCGGTATTCTTGGGCTGGCGTTTGGACCAATGCAGGCACCTGGTGCCGCGGGCACGGACCAGGGCGTCCGTAAACAAGGGGAAGGGGACCAGTGTGAGAGGTGGTCGGCTAACGGTCGCAAATGACTGGCTTGAGGCCAGGATCTCGGCCGCCATCTTCAGCCTGTCACAGGTGGTTTCACAATGTCAGTGGTGCCCCAAAAGTTGCCTTGTGGATTGCCTGTCTTTGGGAGTGCTGTCGAGCCTGCTGAGCCAAGGACCTCTTTTTGTCTCGCTTTTCCAACAGCAATTGCAGGCTCCTTCGTTCAATAGATCCCCACAGTCACAGCAGCTTACATTGGGCGATGATGCTGATCTTGGGGCTACGAATTGGAATCTCATGCAGAAGATCAGGTCCAGTTGTAGAGAAAGATTTGTAGAATTCTGGCAATGCGGACCAGCGGTTAGATAACTTGCACGTTTATCATTCGCGGCCTGGGCATTTCCTCGTAGCACAGAGCCATGAGAATGGACAAGTTTTCAGATAATTCCTGCCGGGCCTGTCGTTGTGATAGGTGCAGCAGAATGCTCGACGGTCGATTTTATGATCCCGTGCCGTTCGTCAAGGGTACTCGGAGTGGGATAACGTTAATGAGGTGTGCTGCTCAGTCGAGACGAGGACGAGACGCCCGAAGAATCGGGAGAGCGGCCACCACGCTGCAGCTAAAGCTGACAAGATAGTATACATGAGGTGTTCAATGGTGTCCCCATTTCCTACGCCCAATCCTCCTCGTCCAAACGAACTCCGAGATGGGCCACGATCCAGTGACTGAACTCGCCGGATCGAGCGGGCGGTTTTCTCGGGCTGTTCTTTGTTTACTGGTCCTGTCTCTTCATGGAGAAGACGAACATGTGCAGGGACGGAACGAATGTCAGCTGAGCACGACACGGTGTTTTCTTTGCGAACTGCTGTTCGTCGGTAATGAATGACAGAATGCTCGCTGATACCGTACTTAGGCGATGGAGATAACACTCAGCCACGAGAAACGGGTGGACGAAGCACGAGCTGCCAGGTGTTTTTCACTCCTCGGCGGTCGTACATTCCGCGAGAATGATCTCCTGCTAGACACTTTGGTCGTCCTGGCCAGTACCCCATCCAAAGCGAAGACCTCCTCCGCGGTTGCCTGGGGCTATGCAAAATTCCTAAGATAGCCTCTTTCAGTGAGACTGGCGAGCGTCTGGCAAGGCTTCTGGCGAGAGTTGCAGATGTTCTGAATGACCGAAACGATAGCAAGGCGCATTAGGTATCTCTTGTCGAGTATCTTCAGCGCTTTGAGCTTGCCTCAGCCGTGAATCGGATACTCAGTCCTCGAGGTATGGATGCTATTGGCACCTCTTCGTCTTTCGAGACCTGCAACCTCGGGCACCGAAGCCTGCGATTGCTCCAATGAGGATGGTCTTGACATTCATTCGCGTTCCGAAAGTCAGTGGATATGGGAAGAGGAGTGGTGCTTTTGATGTGAATGTATGCCTTCACTTCCAAGGACAGCGTTACCATGAGGGTCGAATTCGGCCTTTCCATTGCACACACCCTCCCTGTGACCTTGAAAAAGATGATAAGGCGTGCAGCTTCCATTTGTGGGGGATGCAGGATCGCTCCAGCCGGCGCACCGTTGCTCTCTATCTATGTCTATGTGACTTGAGGTCTCTCAGAATCCGTCGTCGATACCATTGGCCTTTTCTTCCTTCAGTCTCTCGTCGTTCATCTTCTGCCACCATCGATGCGTTTCATCCTCGGTTTCCTCGGGTTTCTGGTCCCATGGCTTCGGGCTCAGAATGTAGTGGATGTTTTTGACCTGATCATCCCGCCATATGGCGTCATGAACGCCTTTCCATCTCAACGTCTTCAAAGCATTATATATATAAGATAGGCCAACCCAGCGACCGTAGAACCGATCCCCGAGCAGGCTTTGGTCAGCAAAGTCATACGAATCCGTTAGATCGCCATTTTGCATCGCTTCTAGGATTTTATCGTAGACACCTTGACTCGGATTGCAGACGACTAGCCCACCATTGGGACTTCCTATACCCGCGGTAGGAGGTGGACCGTGGATTTGCGCATCGTCGGGAGTATCGTGCTGGGAAGTGAACCCACAGTTTGCAGGCACCCAGTGTTTTGGATAATGCGGCTTCTTCAAGGGATTGCACGCACAAGCATGGCTCGCGGCGTACACCCTGTTTCCGTCGCCATTCATCTCGGGCGGGTCCAGCTGGAGCTCCATTAACTCGTCCATGTTCTTCAGCACCAACATATCACTATCCAATTGCACTACTCGGTCATATTCGAGGAGACTGAACGGAGTAAGCTTGCTCCAGCAATCGTAAAAGCGAGGATCGTTGGTGTATTCTTTGGCCACAGAAGGTAGGAGGTATGGAATATGTTTAGAAGGAATGTTCCGACTCTTCAAGGCTTCGTGTCCTTCGGAAGGGAAAGTGTCGGTGTAAAGAGCGATCAGAGGATATTTCGAGCCCGCCTTCTTCAGAGAATGATCGAGCATCAGCAGCCCAGAGAGGTACTTGGTGTTGGTAATGAGCGTCGTCCACACTCTCTTGGGTTCTTCATGGTTTGCACTGGTGGTGCCGTTCGGGCGCTCCTCCTCCTGTGTCTGTGCCATTTTGTTTGGAAGCTTTTCAGTATGGATATATCTGCGTATGGCGAATTTAAACCGAGAAGCAGGAGATAGGTATAGGGGATAGATGGGCAAGAATGCCCTGCGGCGATAATGAGGACTGCATGGCGCGATCCGCTGCGACGTAGTACACTCTCTGTCTGGTCTGGACTCTCGATTAGGCGGCGTCGATGTACCAAGAACTTTTTATTTTTAATAATCCCGCGGCTCTGCCCCTCTATGCAATGCCCCTTGCCTTACCGACGAGAAAGCTAGATCACCGCTGGACCAACCCACGGCCTCTGTGGCTTACTAGGCCCAAGTGCACCAGTCATCGACGTCACCATGCTTATCGGGGAGCCTAGATGAGCCCCGGAGAGACAGTCCACCATCGCACTATTCCGTCCGCAAATCGGTGCGGTTCGGTGGTGGAGGGCAGCATGAACAGCCTTTGTCGATGTGCTTGGACGTTTCTTCGAGTATGCATATCGAGATGCTCGCAAGGCAGAACTCATCTTTCTTGGGGGCTCCGCTGAACGGTAGTTGAGGCATTGTTTCTGCATGGCCCAGATATGTCGGCAAAGTTGACGAGGTGAGTACACTGCAGGCATTAAAACGCCTTCCTTTGGAGTCGCGATGTACTGACCCTTCTGCAGTTCTCAAGACGACTCCGATGGAACCTCGCCCTACGACCGAACGCGCTTGTTGGAGGAGTCGCCTACGCAGCCTCATCCGAACAAGTCTGTGATTAAGAATTACAAGGGTTTTGTCGCAGGTGTTTTCTCCGGCATAGCCAAATTGTCTGTTGGTCACCCCTTCGACACGATCAAAGTGCGTCTACAGACCTCGGAAATATCACAGTTCAAAGGGCCATTGGACTGTTTGCTGCAAACAGTCAGGAATGAGGGACTGCAAGGACTATACAAGGGCGCAACGCCACCTCTGTTGGGATGGATGGTGATGGATTCTGTCATGCTTGGTAGTCTGACCTGGTATCGACGCTTGCTATTCGAAAATGTCTTCTCCAATCCGGCTTTCCGGGCAGGGAAGTCGGCGGCAGAGTTGGCGAACGAAAAACTGCCGGCTTATGGTCACGGCATCGCTGGTATGATGGCAGGGTCGACAGTGTCCTTCATTGCGGCACCAGTTGAACATGTCAAAGCACGGTTACAAATCCAATATGCGGCGAAGAAGAGCGATCGCTTATACAGCGGACCCATTGATTGCACGAGGAAAATTCTGAAGGCCCATGGGTTTCATGGATTGTACCATGGTCTGTTTGCAACGCTTCTGTTTCGATCGTTCTTTTTCTTCTGGTGGGGATCGTACGATGTCTTCACGACCCTCTTCAAGAACCATACTTCTCTATCGACACCAGCAATCAATTTCTGGGCTGGCGGCCTCTCAGCCCAGATCTTTTGGTTGACGTCTTATCCATCCGACGTTGTCAAGCAGAGAATCATGACAGACCCTCTTGGAGGCGAGCTGAACGACGGAACACCTCGTTTCAGACACTGGAAGGATGCTGCCGCTACGGTGTATAGAGAGTCGGGCTGGAGAGGGTACTGGCGTGGTTTTCTACCTTGCTTTCTGCGCGCATTTCCTGCAAATGCTATGGCACTAGTGGCCTTCGAAGGCGTTATGCGCGCATTGCCTGATTAGTTGGTTTGATACCCCAGGTTGTTTTGATAGATGTTGACTCTACTCTTTGGAAATATATTGCCATATAATTGTCAGCTGCTGGCTTAGAATATGAAGAGAAATGGCGGGCATTCAGGCTTCTTCCGGCGCTGTCTCCCTGAATTTCAGCCTTGCAGATTTGGAGTTTATTTAGGCCACCATCCCACAACCTCATCGTCTCGAGACCACACCGCCATCTGTCACAAGTCTTGGTCATAGCATGATGCACTGCAGGAGTACGCGATGGTCACATTATCACATGCTTGTCACTCTCTTCTGCACTCAGTGAATAACAAAAAGTCGCATTCACAGCCTGATCACGTGGTGCCAAGACTTTCCAGGCATAAAACTCTCCTTCTCACCAGTATTTGCTCCATTGCAGCAACCATTAATCCTCAATATGGCACAAGGAACCATGGGTGATCCTCCTCAGGCTGTCTTGCACACCCTTGCCAGTGCAGATGGCTCTGCGACATACAATGCGCCGAATGGTGGATTCAAGATTGTGGCCGGTGTAAATTACCCGGTCGAAGTCCCATACCGAAGTGATGAAATTTCTGAGTCTACCTTTCTTGAAGTCAACCTGAGGCCACACAATGGGGTGAGCATGGTCAAAGAGCGACACGTCGAAGATCTCATCAAGAGAACTATCCAGACTATAGTACTCGGCGAAGAGACTCCCAGAACCATGCTTCAAATCACTCTGCAAGTGGTGAGTGTCGAGACTGATGAGACATTACCTGGTGGTGTCAAAGGTGGCGGTCAAGCTGAGACCTATCTCGACATTCTCGCTTCTTCCATCAATGCCGCAGTCCTTGGCTGTTTAGACGCTGGTGTGCAAATGAGAGCAGTGGCAGGAGCTGCACTTGTTGCAATTGGTCAAGATCGGCAACTCGTGGTCAATCCAAATGTCCACCAGCGAAAGCACTCCAACAGCCTGCATGTCTTCTGCTTCAGTAGCGATGGCAAGATCTTGCTCATGGAGAGCGAGGGCAGATTCGCCATGTCAGAATGGAAAGAAGCAGAACAAGTCGCCAGGTCAGCTGTTGTGGGACATAATGACCCATCCAATATCAACAAACAGAATGGGGATGTTTCCATGGAAGGCGATGATACGTCGAGAAGTTCGGCTACTTGTGTGTTGGATGTTGTCAGAAAGGCCATGGAAGCTCGGGTGATTAAGGACGAGAATTGGCGACAGGAGTCGTGAATGTTACAGCATTGGCGTGAAAGCTGAGACGGTCACAGAGTGGGCGGCTGACGACCACCAAACGGTGGTGAGGAAAATGTGTGGAGTTCAACAAGGCTCTCAGCCTTCAGGGCGTCAATAAGGGGTTGATAGGCGATAAGAAGGGAACATGCAGTGGTTCCTGGCAAGATCTGGGCGTTGATGGGGGCTGTCTTTGGTCGATCTGCGCCCACCGGCAGTCCCCACGTGCCTGTCTCAGCATCGTTCCCGGACACTCTGCCGCTTCCGAAGGAGCTATAGGCTGGGGTCGAGCCTTGTATCCATGCCTGTCGTGGATCATCGACAACAATCCTGCCTCCTGAGAACTCAGCATACATATGCTCGGGCATCGACTTCTTTTGCATCATGTGCAAGAATATCTACCAAGCACCAGCAGCACTTGCAACCAGTCTTGTCCTTACAATTTTCGATTTTCGATTCTCTTCGACCTAACGACAGCATGCCCTTCTCCTCTTCAGCATAAATCCACCGACAAATACAAGCAAGAGGCAACGGAAATCGCCCTTCCGTAAATCATTTGAAGGTCAACCATCTGGCTTAAGTCCGGTGCTGTGCTGCTTCGGACTACTTATTTTTGGGCCGGAAAGTGCCCAGGTTGCAGGTCAACCCCCCGCGGCTCATTGTTGTTCGCTTGAGCGGCGTGCTACAAGTTACTCTGTGTCCCTGGCCCCGCCTCGGTACACCGACTGCATTCACTGTGTGACGCCCATACCCGCCGGCTCGGGTTATCCCTTACGTCCCCTGCAGGTCAGGCCTTTCACCTTCTCATCATGACAAACGCCGGTATTGACAACGTCCACTACTCCACCTTATCATCTCCCACAACCTCCGAAGCGACCAGTAACGGCAACTTCTCACCGCCGACTCCGGCACTTGATAGTCACCACCACGTCCTTCCTCATGGCATGGCCACTTCCAACCCAAAGGCCACCGTTGGAGACTCGATCTTGAGACAGTATGCCCACGATTTAGGCTCACTTCACGCTGATGACGAAACGCATGCCGTACATGACTTTTGTGCACAAGACACCAAGGCTGTCGACCAGACAGCCTTGAACACTGCGCTCAACACCGCGAAGATTCCTGTCATCGAGTCCATACGGTCCTCCTATTTCGCTCATCATCCCACCGTCCCTGTCCCGAAACCTCTATCACTGCCGAAACCCTTACTTGCGCACCGAAAGAACGCAAAATCTATAGACCTCCCCAAACAAACAATTATGAAGGCACTTGCATCAAGAAGGCCCAGTGCAGGCCCTACCACAGCTCCTCTGACTGCTGGTGCGTTCAAAAATGCCGGAAGTGATGCAGACGTGGAACAACCAAACAACTCTTCGACATCATCATGTTTCACGGCCACACTACCTGCTCTGCAGCCGAGTGGTCTTTCTGCGGCCTCTCCGACTTCGACAAGTTTCCTTCGCTCTCCCTGCTTCTTCCATCAGCGATTCGAGGGACTTGTGGATGTTCAGAAAGTGCTGGACGAAATTGCCGAAGATGACTACTCGCATTCGAGATTGATGCAGACCGCAATAGGAGTGCGGGAGGTCTCGAAACAGCTGCAAAGAAAGCCTCTCAAGCGAGCTGTGCGAAATGTGATGATTGTCACCAAGGCTCGCGACAATTCTCTGGTGCATCTCACACGCGATCTCGCTGATTGGCTGCTGTCCACACCTAGGTACGGCAGCGATCTTGGTGTTAATGTATATGTCGACGCCAAACTCCGTCACTCGAAACGATTTGATGCCGCTGGTCTGCTCAGAAAGCAACCCAGATTCGAGAACATGCTGAAGTATTGGACTCCCGACTTGTGCTGGTCATCGCCGGAGAGTTTTGATCTTGTTCTTACGATGGGAGGTGACGGAACAGTCTTGTTTACGTCGTGGCTATTTCAACGGGTCGTCCCGCCGGTGCTGTCTTTTTCACTGGGCAGCTTGGGGTTCTTGACCAACTTCGAATTCGAGAAGTACAAGGAACATCTCGATCGGATAATGGGGGACGTCGGCATGCGGGTCAATCTCCGAATGCGATTTACTTGCACAGTGTGGCGAGCCGACCGCTCTCCTGGAGCTGAAAAAGGTGCAGCCGAGGAGGGCGAGCAGTTTGAGGTGCTTAACGAGCTCGTTATTGACCGTGGTCCCTCTGCATATGTTTCCAACCTGGAGCTGTATGGTGACGACGAGCTGCTCACCATCGTGCAGGCGGACGGGTGTATCTTTTCAACGCCCACAGGGTCTACGGCTTACTCTTTGTCGGCAGGAGGTTCTCTGATACACCCATCCATTCCTGCCATTCTTTTGACGCCAATTTGTCCCCACACGCTCTCTTTCCGTCCGATGGTCCTTTCGGATACGCTCTTGCTGCGGATAGCAGTACCTAACAAGTCCCGATCATCAGCATATTGCTCTTTCGATGGCAAAGGGCGTGTAGAGCTCAAGCGCGGAGATTACGTGACCTTGGAAGCATCACAGTATCCCTTTCCCACTGTCATGACAGGTACGAATGAATGGGTTGAAAGCGTACAGAAGGCTTTGAGGTGGAATGTGAGGGGTGCTGTCCAAAAGGGTTGGGACGATGGTGACGAAGAGGGCAAAGATCAGGCGGAGGAGAAGTGGGATATCGACATCGATTCCAGTCCTTGTGGTGGTACTGACAGTGGTATCGGCCCTAGTGAGGACGGGGACCATGTTGCCAGTCCCACAAGAGGACAGCTGAGTCTGCTGAATCTGTGAACCATGGGCTCCAGGATCTAGTCGTCGTGACGAGATGTCATGATACGAGGCTTCAAGAGAGCTATTAAACACAACAATACATCCCCTTTGTCGGTAAGCCTTGCGATTCCTTTCTGGCCTTGTCGTTGCAAAGTCCTTGCTTCCACTTCTCTGTCCAGCCCTGTTTTGGCTATCGTTGCTGACCCTCTTGAGCAGGACAACGTTGGCGGCCGCTGTAACAGACGCTCATTGGGACGATTATACCGCTCACCAGTGTGAAAATCTCAACAATCAACACAGCTCATTTGCAGGTAGCGCGATTTCGAAGATGACAACACCTTCGTCTCACTTTGTAAATCTTTCGTCGCGACGAAAACCTTTACTTTATCCCAAACACCTCGTTACAAGCTGTACCAAGCTCGCAAAGCAACTTGTATCGTCTCTCGTCCTTGTAAACATCATCTCAGTACCAAAACCCACTCTCCAAGCACGTCGCCGTCCTCAGACCTAGTCGAAATGGATTCACCAGGAAGATCATTCGAGCAAAACCCCGCTGAAGGTCATCCCAACGTGGAAGATCAAAGCACGAACAACCTTACTGTCGCTCAACCTACCTCAGTCGATACAGTCGTGGACGCTGTGACACGACGTGACGAGCAAACCGTCGGCGTCTTTACATTGTCGGATAATGGAGACTCTGATGCTAGTGTGGATGGCGTTAAGGATGCTACTGCACAAGCCAATCTCAGAACTCTCGGCGACACACCTCTCGGCAACGATTCTCTCGGCGCTGCCCTTCTCGGCGACGACATCATAGCTTCTCAGAATGATCCGGAATCTCTTTCTGCCGCTCCTGAGAATTCAAACACAATCAACAATGATCTCGCTGAACCACAACCTCGTGTTTCAGGTTCTCACAATCTCACTGAACTCAACACAAACAATGAAGCTCCTGCTGGTGAAGAATCAAATACTGAGACTGCAGAATTGGGTGGCTCGTTTAGACGCGTTCCACGGACTACAAACTTGACCCAACTTGCAAGTCTCGGCGATTCTCAACTGCGTGGACAATTCTCGAACAACACTATCGCTGTTGCTTCAAGCTCAAACTTCACGAACTCTGCTGGTACCAGTGTCTCTCTTACAGTAGACAGCAATGGTTCAACTGCAAACATCACGGACTCTTCTGCCATCACCGATTCTCCTCCTGTGAACGGCAACGGTTCAATTCCAAACCTTACGGACATTACTGCTACTGCTGGCTCTGATACTGTGGACGGCAACGATCCAATCCCAAACATTACGGACTCGACTGCTACCACCGGCTCTGGTACTGTGAACAGTAATCGCTCAGCCCCAAACAATACGAACACTGCTGTCATCGCTGACCCTCAAACTGTGGACGGCAACAGTCTAACATCAAACATTACGGACTCTGCTCCTGTCACTGGCTCTTCCGCTACGGATGGCAACACTTCAACCTCCAGCGCTACTTTGCAGGCTATTCAACAGACTTGGTCTTTCGGAAACCTTACTATTGGTGATGATGATCAGACAGAGAATATTCAGCACACTTCTCCAGCTCTTGGACTTGCTTCAGTCTTCGAAACCGGTACAGCTGCTCCTGCTCCTGACCAAACTTCTCAAACTCAACACAACATTGAAATTGCCTCCAGCTTTGTGGGAGCGCCAAGCACTCAGACTCAAGGTCCTGCTCAGAATTCTGCCACTCATGGACTCCCGCCTTTGGACGACTCAGACGATGAAGATAACACCGCACCCGAGACTCCGACTCGTGCCTCAGGCAGAATCCGCCCAACTCTTCCATCACTGGCTTCTCTCAATCTTGCCGATCGACTGCGAAACGTCCGTAACTATCAAGCCGACGCACGCGTCCGCAGAGCCTCAGAAAACCTCGATGCCAGATTTGAACGCACTCTTCACGGTGGTGATCCAGATACTCAGCCAGATCTCACTTCAGACTCCACCTACACTCCGTCTGTCCTCGAGACAATCCCTGAATCTAGTTCGAGCGGTGAAGAATTCTTCACTCCACCAGAGACCCCTCCTCGTCGCCTGCGGCGCGTGCAGCGCTCGCCCTCTCTTCGCTCCCTGGCTAATAGCCCAAACCCAATTTTGGGATCCCCGTTGCGACGGGCGGAGACCTGGTCTCCAGAGCCAGAAGAAGACGAAGACGACGAGGAGGACGAGGAGGAAGAGGAAGAGCTCGGCCTCATTCTGTTTGGGGAGTTCGCTGGCTTTGCCCCGTTGCCACCACCGGTGGCGGAAGAGGAGGACGCTGCTGCGGCCGCTGCCAACGAGTGGCATGCCCCCGACGACCACTACGAGGTGGAAGAGGAGGACGAGGACGATGAGGTGGTGGAGAACCTCAACTTCGAGGGCATCCCCGCGGATGCTCCTGGCGTGCAACGTCTCCGGGCTGCCGTAGGGCACCTGGAGGACGTGCGTGGCGAGATCGACGATCTCGACGGTGACCTCCCAGCCGGCAATTTTGCCCCTGGCAACCCCGCCGCGGTTCGCGCCCGTCTGGGCCTCCTCTTCATGGAGGAGGAGACCAGCGGTGCGTTCCGCGAGGTGTGGGAAGCCCTCAATTTCGAGAGGGAGGTCGCCGGCGCTGCCCGCCAGGGGCTCCGCCACTACCAGGAGGAGGCGCGCCGTCTTGCGGTGGCCTTGGAGGAGGCCCGTGTCGAGGCCGACGTCGCGAGGGAAGCTGCCCTCTCCAACGCTGTCTCCCTTGAGGAGGCACGTTTGGAGTTGGCGCTCCTCCGTCGGCTCACGGGTCTCTAAAGAGACACTGCAAGCGGTGGCGACCTCTTGGTAGAGGAGCGTCGATTGTTGTTGGTTGGTGTGGGTGCCCCGGCCTGGTGGTGGCGGCGGCGGTGTTGGTCTGTGTGGTTGGTTTTTGGTGTGTGTGTTTTCTTGGTGGCCTGGCGCCCTACGGGGCAAAAATCTGTTTGGAGTAGATAGAGAACCGTTTTTCCTTTCGTAAACACCTTTTCTCATTCCCACTGTTCTTGTTTTTGTGAAGTTTGTGGTGCTCAAATGACCTGTGACCAGCATGAATACGAGAAGAGCGTCACTTACATTGAGAGCAGACAAGGCTGAAGAGTACCATGAGTACGCCGCGGGCAAGGACAAAGCAGCTAACTGTTAAACAGGTGGGATGCCGCCGCTGTTGGTGATGCGAACTAAATTACTGCGGTATAGGCGCCACGCGCAAAGGCAGGGAAGGAGATCTCCAGCGACGGGAGCGCCTTGCTTATTGAGCTTGTTACGTTCATCAAAAGCGCCGTGGGTATCAGGGACTACATTACTAGGAGTCTGTGGGACGCCACGCGCACTCATGCAGCCAATAGAGCTAACTGTTTGAGCACCCCTGGCCACAGTGAACCAGCAAGCCAATGACCGCGACTAACAGCCACATGACAAGTTTTGGGTTGGGTGCGGGAGCAGCACCAGGAGCAATCAGCGGCTGGGGGAAATGAACGTGGTAAGCAACAAAGTGGTAATGCTGAGTATCTGAGAAGAGGATGGCATGCTCGTGGGAAAAGCGCCACGAGCAAGGAGCTCATTGAACAAACAAGTACAATGAACGTGGTGGACAGCGACAAGACATATAGTGTGGTGCCCGCATTAAAGGCGCCACGTACAAGAAGGTCATTCTGGAACAGACTATGATGGACGTGGTGGACTGCGACAAGTCATGCAGTATGATGCAGACATCAAAGGCGCCACGGACAAGAAGGTCATTGTGGAACACGTCCTAATGGGCATGGTAAGGGCGCTGCGGACAAGGGCAAAATTGAAAATATAGCCACACTACACGTGGGAACAGCGCCACGGACAAACAGGTCATTGTGAAACAGACTGCAATGGACGTGGTGGGCAGCTACAAGATATGCATTGTAGTACGTGCAAAAAAAGCGCCATGAGCAAAGGCGACAAGGGGAGGGGATGAACGTCACGGGCAACGACAACAGGTAGGACTGATTCTGCGCGACATGGACGCTGCGGACAAGGGTTAATAGGCTGGCGTACCTGACGTGGTGGACAACGACTGAATATTGAAATCAATGCCCGAAAGATGAGTGACAACAACAATAAGTGACTGGCGTCACAATCAACAACGAATGGCGACGGCGATGTACGTGGGCAGAGCGTCAAGGAAAGATGAAAGAGGCATTAATGAGCTTGAGAACTGAGAGGTAATGTCACAGATTATACCAAGAGTATCTTTAAGTATATGGGATTTCGGGGGCAGACATATGGTCTATCCAGATGGCGACGACACGGTCTGATATACAGGATGCAAATGTGGGATCCGGCAAGTCAATACCAGAACACCAGGGACCAGAGAATCAAGCGACTCCGGGTTGCTAAGATGTAGAGCTGACAGAAAATGCCCAACTCAGTGATGGACAGACTTCTCCTGCATGTCGACCTCCACCACCTCATCGACCGACTTGTTGGCAGGAGCGTCATCCAAGCCGAGCGCAGCCTTGGCAGCTTCGATGGAGATATCTTGAGGCAAGCGCTTCTCGTTCTTGACCGGGTCTCCGGGCGTGGCGAAGATGACATCCAGCTCCTCCAGCGACCGGCCCTTTGTTTCAACAAGGAAGAAATAGATGATGGGAACGAAGACCGCGTTGAAGACGGCATAGTAGATATAGGTCTTCCAACCCAAGTTGGCGAATGAGGCTGGAATCGTCATGACAACGAGGAAGCAGAATGTCCAGTTTCCGACTGATCCTAGAGCTGCGCAAGGAGCACGAGCGCGGAGCGGAGCAATTTCAGCCGCGTACAGGAAAGGACCACCGACCCAGGCCAGGCCGAAGAACGTGTTGAAGAGGAAGAGAAGACCAGCGCCAGCAAGTTGATTTGATCGCGAGGTAGTGGACAGGAGTATGGGAATGACAATGAAGCATCCGGCCATGCCTGTCGCAGTGAACATGAATGCTTTGCGGCGACCGAGACCTTCAATCAGAAGGACAGCCAGAAGTGAACAGATGGCATATTCTGTGCCTCCGCAGGCGGCGATGAGATGCGACATTCCGGGGCTGAGGTCGAAGCTGTTGGCCAGGATCTGGTTGGCATAGGTCGACACCATGTTGATTCCGGAGAGTTGCTGAGCAGCGTTCACAAACACGCCGAGCATCATTCTGCGGAAAGTTTGGGTCTTTCCATTCTGGAAAAGTTCCTTGTATTGGAATGGAGCCTCTGCCTTTTGCGCCTCGTGACTGGCCAAGATACTCTCGTATTCGAAGAGGAAGTCGGGGTGGTCGATGGGAAGGCCGCGCAGCTTCGAAAGGACAGTCTTGGCTTCTTCGAACTTGCCGTGGCTGACGAGCCATCGAGGACTGCGAGGTATTGGTTAGTGGATCATTAAGTCAAAGTGAAGTGAGTAACTCACCTCTCAGGAAGGAACATGATGAAGCAGAAAACAATGGTCGCTGGGATCAGCTGAATGGCAACTGGCATGCGCCACTGGATCTGGCCGCTGGTGTAGAAGAAGCCGAGACCAACCCACTGGCCGCAGGCAACGCCGGAGGTCTGGAGACCGCCTTCAATCATGACCCATCGACCTCTTGACTTGGGTTTGGCACACTCTGACTGCCATGCTGGGATTGTGGCGACTTGCAGACCCAGACCGATGCCGGACAGCAGTCTACCGACGACCAATTGGCCGATGGACCATGCTGAAGCCTGGAGTGTGCCGCCGACGACCATGAACAGCATGCCAACCCACACAGTTCCCCGTCGTCCCCACTTGTCACCCAGGAATATACAGGCAATGGCACCGAAAAGAGCGCCGAGTTCAAGGGTAGCGATGACTATGCCTTGGATAGTAGAATCCTTTGTCTGGGGAAAGACCGAAAGAAAGGGATCTTCTGTGATAACGCCGCCCATCTGTAAATCATTAGAAAGCTGTATCGGTACAAACGACGACAAAGCGAAAGACTCTTGCTGTGATGGCACAGTTTTTCGCCGCGTAGAAGACGTACCACGGACATATCGTATCCGAACAACCAGAAGGCACAGGTTGCTATGGTCGCAATGGACATCTGGAGTGAGAAACCCTCCAGACCCATGCAATTGGTGTAGGGCGTGAACTTCATGTCGAAGACGCCCATTTTGTATATGAGATTGAGCTTTGAAGCCGCACAAATGAACAGAATAAGTGTAGGAGAATTCTTGCTGTCTTCAAGACGACTCGTTGATGCTCTGAGAGGAGAAGAAATATCTGCGTCCGGGGGGGTGATCAACCCCAGATTATATACAGACTGACATGATGGAGCCCCTGCAGGGCAGATCCAGGTATTCGGAGTAGCAACCGCGTGGTATAGATCGGAAAGAGTGTCAACCCGCCACGATTACCCTGGAAGGAAGGTCTTTACGGCGGAAGTCAATGCATAACATAACAATGAGGGGAAAGCCGGAGACTATGAGAGTCGCGGGATAGTGATGGTATCAGATGAGCCGTGGTGTTTTTCTTTAGTGGAGGAAAGTGGCAAGGGAGGGTGGTCGATATTCGGATTTTATTGAAAGTCAGTCAGACAAGATGTTTGTAACCGTATATGGTCAAGATAATACACTTGGGCCAATCAGGCTCACGCTGAGGAACTATATTCAACCTGTCCGGCAACCAATATCCGAATTCGGTTTGGGTCTGTCCTCCGCTTCATCCATGTTTCCATCCTCCACGGGGCCCTTTTTGTCGGCCCAAGTGACGGTAAACATGTTCCGGTGGTTATTTCACCATGTGTCTGCAGGTCACCGGGTCTCGAAACCTCAATCCAAGGCACTGGTCTCTGGGGCAATCTCCATTTCATCATTGAAGTATGGGGTGTCATAAAACTTTGTCACCGGGATCCCCTACCTTCCAGGGTAATAATGCTTCCGGACCCTGAGCAACGACCTTTTTTCGAGACAGAAGTGGGGTGAGTACTCATTTGAAGCAACCTTAGTTGCAGATCTTGTTCAAAAATCTCTCTTTCCAGCTCAAGGTCATTAGTTCCTTGTGATCCTCGAACAACTGTTGCGAAATGCGGGTTTTGGTTGAAATTGGTCGATATCATTTGACTGGTCGGGCGTGGACCCAACGTTTGGATGTATCGCTCGCTGTAAGTGCTCGGAGTACTCGGGGAAACATGCGTCGCCTGGGATGGTAATGCAAGCCGGTACCCTGGGGCAAGGCAAGGCTTCTTTCCGGATATAATGTCTCTTGAGTTCCTTTTTCTGTTTCCCTCAATCACCGCAAACACAATAAGACCTTTCACTTTCTTGGACTGCTTGTTTTGTTTAGCCATTACTTCACAGATACAAGATGGCCATCACACAATGGACTGGAAGGCCGCTGAGCCTCAAGGTCCTCGGCACCAATGCAGGTACTTCAATGGATGGTCTTGATATCACACACATGCATTTCACCCAAGATAGTCCCGACAGTCCGCTGAGGATGCAGCTTCTTCACGCTGGTGAAGTTGCGTTCGACGGAGAGCTCAAGAACCGAGTAATGAGGCTCATCAAGGAGAACAAAACGACACCCGAGGAGATCTCAATCGTAAACATCCAGTTAGGAGAATTTGCAGCAAACGCCATCATCCAATTCGCACGGGAGCAGGGGTTCAGTCTGGAGAACGATGTCGACCTCATCGCCGGTCAAGGCCAGACCATCTGGCATTTGCCCTTACCCGAGATGTTTGAAGGCAACCCACAACGAGCCCATCTTGACATGGCTGAAATCTCCATCATTGCCGCCAAGACAGGCATTACCAGTTTGTCAAATTTCCGTGTCAGCGACATGGCTCTTGGAAGGCAAGGCTGTCCATTGTTCGTTGCTTGGGACGGCCTCTGCGCCACACACCCGACCAAGAATCGAGCTGTTCAGAACATTGGAGGCATTGCCAACATCACCATGCTGCCCAAAGGTGATCCTCAGCTTGGCTATGACTTTGATACCGGCCCAGGCAATGTTTTCATTGACGCGTAAGTGTATATCATTCTCTTTTTGAGCAACCACTGACTCTGTCTCAAGCGCTGTTCGGTATTTCACCAATGGCGCTCAGCAGTACGACAAGGACGGAAAGATGGGTGCTGCGGGCAAGGTCGATCAATCCATCGTCGACGAAGTGCTGAAGGGACCCTATTTCGTCCATGACATTCCCAAAACGACTGGACGAGAGACATTTGGTGACACCATGGGCGAAGAGATCTGCGCAAGGATGCTGGCCAAGGGTGCGACTCCCGAAGACTGCGTCGCTACCATCACGAGAATCACAGCAAAGGCTCTTGCAGATGCTTACGAGAGATGGGGACCGAAAGGAGGCATCGACGAGATCTACCTCGGTGGAGGAGGCTCGTACAACCAGAACATCATCAACTACCTTCGTGAACGCATGCCGAACACCAAGATTGCTTTCCTGGATGAGATTGGTGTTCCCACAGGCTCAAGAGAAGCCATGAGCTTCGGTTTCAAAGGACTCGAGTGTGTTGTTGGGCGGTCGCTGATCGTTCCTCAGAGAGTCGAGTCTTCCAAAGCCGGTATCATTGGCCATATTCAACCCGGTTCTGGCCTCTCATATCATCGCCTTATGAAACATGTTCAGGACTTCTGGGGGAACTATCCTTTGGAACGCAGGATGGACCCGGTGCTCCAGATGGAAATTGTCCGAACAGCCACGAATGGCGCAGCAAATGGGAATGGTCATGCCTAGATGGACCTTCGAAAGGAGTTGTATCTTGGTAGGAGTACGGCGACATTTTCGGTTGGATCGAGATAGATAGGGCCAGGCTAGCAAAGGAATCTAGATTAGAACTGTCAGTATATTCAAGGGCTGTGCAACATTGCCGTGCTCGCCTCGAGGAGGTGTACACATATTCGCAGAGAGTTCACACAGCGTTCCGTCAAAGATAAGAATCGATCTAAGTAAGTAATGCTGCAAAAGTTGCCGAGCCGAGATGTAAAATAGATTGTAGTGTCCAAGGGATAATATCCAGTTCACAGGCTCGGTAGAGAGTCGACATTGCCCTGTCCTCACCCACCGTGATAGATCTGCCCTTTGGCCGCCCACGCCAAGCTCTAAGACCGCATTTCCAATAGCAAATTTACGAGGTTGATTTCGTGGAAGACGTCATCTGAGGCAGCCCAGGTCCGTCGATCTGAAGAGATGAGATAGGGTATTGATGAGCCGCTGGAGCCGAACCGTAAACAAGAACGATTGCGCGGCGGACCTGGTGGCGAAGCAATCATGCTATCGAGCCGATCTCCGTCTCTTCCGCGGCCAGGTTGTCAGAGAGTAGAAGTAAGCCTTTCGCTGCTGGTCGGCTTGCCCGATGTCGCGTGTGTCTTAATGCACAGCGCAGATGGGTCTTCCTCCTCGATTGTCACTACTCCGCGCAGATGAAATTGGCCGTAGGGCAAGAAGGGCAAGCTGTAGTGAGTCTAGTGGCTGTGGTGTTTGCAAGGCTCGACAAGGCTAGGTTCAGGCTTGGCATTTCGGCCGGTTTACTCGATCACATCGAGTCACCAATTCAGTGTCAACCAAACAAAATCCTTCTTCTACCCTATCGTTCTTTCCAAAAAGCTTTCCCTCATCTGGTCCGTGGCCCATGTCTAGCGTCTCGAAAAGGGATCGCAATACTACGGTTCCCATCGCTTCCAGGACGCATCCATCTCGCAAGCCTTGCTGTCTACTGTGTTCTAGGCCAAATGGTGGTAGGTGGATGCCCGGGATACACGGCTTGCCCTAAGGGCAATCTAGTGAATCTACCTGAGGCCACAAGTTGCCCTCAGGCCAACACATCTTTTTACGCGGCCAACCTGCGATCCAAATGCTGTCATTCGCTCACCAGGCGTCTTATCTCCCGTCCTCGCTTAAGTTGACCCCAGCTTTGACCAAAGAATACGTTCCGTACCGAATCGAGATCGGTTCCCCCTGCTCTTCAGAGGTATACATCGCCTAGAATTGGAGTTCGGCTCTTGAATCGTCAGAATTCTACGCTATCTCGCAAGGCACGATAACTGCAAGTAAGATCCCAGCCAGATTTGCAGATTTCGAAACAAACTTCACCCATGGACCCAATCGATTCTGTCACGATCCTGGCGCTTATCTTCCAGGACTGTGTCTGTCATAGACCGGTGCATTACTAAAAAGAAAAGAGCCAGTCAAAAGAGCTTTTGATGCTTATCAGATCGACGTGCCACGAAATGTAAGGCTTGCGACGACCTAGACTTACACAGTGGAGTGCACGTCATTAAGCATTTGGCCCATTGGGGAAAATAATCCCACTTGGAATGAAGAGGTCGAGCTGAACCTGTAAAATATATATGACTACTTTTACTTTCCTTCGTTCTGGCTTTTGTCTGCATCGAGTCCACTCGAGATATACCAGGACCACCACCATCACTCAACATGGAGTCTCCCGATGAGAAGACCGTCTACGATGACAAGAATAATACCTCCTATGAGCCTGTCGAGGCTGGTCGCGTGAGCGGCCTCAAGAGACGCCTGCCCGGCTTCAGCCTTGAGGTCCGTCAAGAGGAGAGCAGCTTTGCTGCCACAAAGGGCGCCTCCAATGCCGACTTCGACCCGATCCCACCATCGAAGCGCACCTGGAATTGGGGCGCTTACGTCGCCTACTGGATGGCCGATGCCTGGGCTGTCTCCAACTGGGAAGTCGCTTCTTCCATCATCGCAGTCGGCCTCAGCTGGAAATTGGCCATCGGCGCCTGCGTCCTCGGCAACACTATCATGGGTCTCGTCATCACCATCAACGGCAGAATGGGTGCCACTCTTCACACTCCATTCCCGGTCCTCGCACGCATGCCTTTTGGTTACTACTTCAGCTATTTTGTCGTCGTGTCCCGCTGCGTCCTCGCCATTGTGTGGCTTGGTGTCCAAACCACCACTGGCGGCCAATGCATGACCGTCTTGCTCACAGCCATCTGGCCCAGCTTTGCCAACATCCCCAACCACATCCCCGAAAGTGAGGGCATCACCACTGGAGGAATGTGTGGCTTTGTGCTCTATTTCCTGCTTCAGCTTCCCTTCCTGTGCATTCCTTACACCAAGGTCCAATACTTCTTCGCTTTTAAGAGTATTATCGCACCGATCATCTTCTTGGCCGTTTTCGGGTCCACTTTGCACAAGGCTGGCGGCACCATCAGTAACAGTACGGTCATCACTCAAGGCACCACTTTGAAAGGTTCCGCTCTTGCATGGGCCTTTTTCGCCAATCTCAACGGAGTCTTGGGCAACTATGCCACCTTGGGCCTGAATATCGCCGATTTCTCGAGGTACGCCAACAAAACCAGCGCACAGAACATCCAAGCCATTGTCATCCCCGTCATTTTCACCATCGTTGGCCTGCTCGGCATCTTCACCGCCGCAGCATCTCAGACAGCTTATGGCGAAATCATCTGGAACCCCATCGTAATCGTCGGTGACTGGTCCTCGTCCGGGTCTCACGGTGGTCGTGCCGCTTCCGCATTCGGCGCCATTGGTTTGATCATCGTCACCCTTGGTATCAACATCTCGGCCAACTCCATCAGTGCGGCCAATGACCTTATGTCTTTCGCTCCCAAGTACATCAACATCCGCCGTGGTCAACTGCTTGCCGCCGTCATTGGTAGCTGGGGCTTTGTTCCCTGGAAGATCCTCGCATCAGCCGCAGAGTTCCTTGCTTTCCTCGGTGGCTATACCATCTTCCTGGGTCCCATGACCTCTATTCTCATGTGCGACTACTACATCGTCCGACGCGGTAAGGTGTCTGTCCCGGACATGTACAACTTCCACGGCATCTACCGCTACTCACCAAAATTCGCTACCAACTGGCGCGCTGTCGTTGCCTTTATCATCGGCTGTATTCCTCCACTACCCGGCTTCGTCAACAACATTGTTGTAGCAGGTGGTAACAAGACCGGCGTGTCTGTGGGCGGCCAACACCTTTACAACATCGGCTACATCTACTCCTTCGTCGCCGCCGGCCTCTTCTACTGGGGCTTCAATCGCTTCTTCCCACACACCGAGTCCATGATGGACCACGCCGAGACGGGTGAGGACATCATTGCGGCTCAAGATGCCAGGAATGTCCAGCAACGTCGGGCTAGCTACGCTGAGCGGAGGCCAAGCGTGGTTACCAAGTTCTTCGAAGTCTAAATATCCCGTACAACTCTGCTTGGGTACAATCTGCCGGAGCACGATAAGTCTTCCCTTTAAAAGGTTGTTATCATCAGGAACCAGGGCGGGTGGATAACGGAGGGGTATCTTTTACTATTTATCACGTACGGCTGGCGCACAGTTCGGCGGAAAACTATAGACATGCTCGTATACGAGCTTCTCGTGCTTGTGTGGCATAGCTACGAATGAATGTACTACCTTTATTTCCAGAACAGATGAATCTATGTTTTCGCATCTTCTGAATAAAGCTTCTACTCGATGAGCCTGGACAATCTTTGTACTGATATATTGAAATTCGGCGCGAAGAGGGCGCAGGAGAAGATGTGGCCGCCCTAGCCTCACAATCACCAGCGTTGGCCTGGGCAAAAGCAGCAGTGAGCCAAGATCTGGCAAGGCTATTACTTCCTGCAGGTGGTCAGTGCCCCATTCAGTCCACTCTTGTTTCCTGCATATCGAAAGCTCACTCCTCTTCTCATTCCACCTGAACGGCACAGTCTGTTCATTGATTGTTGTTTCCCGAGATGGGATCGTCCCTCTCATGAACCTAAACTCTGTATGAAGCGCTCTAGAAGAGGAACAGACTCCAGAACCAGGATATCCTGCATTGAATGCAGGAAAAGGCATGTGAAATGTGATGGTCAACAACCCTGCCAAAAATGTTGGCAAGATAACTTATCCTGCTCTTACAATGCACTGGCTCCGTTCCGAGCAAAGCAATGGGATCCTAGGGAGGCTGGCCTGCCAGACCTCCCCCCTCCGAGTGAGCCAGTAAAACGAGCATCCAGACTTTCATTTGTCTCTGAGAACGAACGTGTCGAATCACGTTATGAAGTGATTGAGAGTCAACCAAAACCAAGGAGCACCATATATGACACCGCAGGCCTTTCATCTCCAGCTACTTCCCGAGACGGACCATGGGCAAGTCCCTCCAGTTCAAAGGCGGGCATACCCACTCGCATGCCTATCACCGATTTAACAGAAGCTTTTTTCCTGGAACGGTATTGTCGCATTATTGGACCATGGTTTGACATGTTCGACATGAAGTGCAACTGGTCTCGAAACGTTCCGCATCTGGCACTGTCCAATATATCACTATTCCGAGCTATCATCGCTAGCTGCGCCAAACAGTATAGCCTAGTGGCACGCGAGAGCTCCATCTTCGCTCTAGATTACTACAATCATGCCTTGAAAGAGTTGACACAAGCACTGGACGACCCACAACTGATCGGATCGGCCGCAGTATTCGCCTCATGCCTTCTGACCGGTTATTGTGAGATGATTGATGCAAAAAGTCTGGATTGGCACACTCACTTGCGAGGGACGTTCTCTCTATGCGCAAGCCAAGGCTGGCATGGCTTGTGCGGAGGCGTTGGTCAGTCTTGCTTCTGGGTCTACTGTCGAATGGATCTGTTGGCCTCTGTAGCCAGAGCAGAGAAGACATCCTTGGATACGACGATGTGGCTCCCCGAAGGTGGTTCGCTTCGGCCAGCCGACCCGAGGCAGCAGTGGGAGCCTGATTCTTGGTGCAATCAAGTTGTTCTGCTCCTCGCCGAAACTCACAACCTGCTGTGTGATGCGCGACAGTCTTCCCACCAGTCGACAAACCAGCCATACCTGCTTGATAGATGGCGCAAGCTGTCAGCGAACTTGAGTGAACATGAGTCCGGCCGACCGCCTTCATTGCATCCTATCATACATTTACCTCCAGAAGGCCGGTCATGTCCGTTCGAGAGACTAATTTACGCGTCGCCTGCTGCTTGTGCTGCGACACAAATGCTTGAAGTGGCGTCTCTGCTGCTGCTCGTAGCATCTCCGAATCATGGTCCGGCCGAAAGACAAAATCGGTCAGTAGCTGATGAGGTCTCTGAGCGTGCACTCGCTCTCAGCCGCAAAATCGTCAGTAACAGCATCACCAATCGCCTCACCATTGCATGGGCAAACGCAGTACAACTACTTGCTACCGCAGGGCTGGTTCTGGTGGCAGAGGATGAACGAGCAGCACTGGTCACCATACTGGAAGATATCAAGTCAGAAACAGGATGGAGCGTCGAAGGCCACATCCAGAGTCTGAACAGCTGGTGGAACTCAATTGACCTTCGCTTCAACCAAGTGTATGGTGCAGCTGTTGAGGGGACCTCCAGCGAAGACGTACTGCTCAAACGAGTCGGCGACTGCCTTGTGACCCTTGTTACCGAAACGATGACATATACATGATGAGGTTTATGTCCCGATACTGTCAGCTCTAACATAGCACTTAGCAATCAAGGAAGCCGTCCTGCTTTGGCTTCTCGAAGGGCGACAGCAACTGCCTCAGCCCGCTCAGGAGACCTGGCCACAATCTCAAAGTCGAAATGGCGCGGTTGTACATTGAACCCGGCAATATAATCATATTCCGGGATGGGAAGCACCTTTCCTTCTGCATCCACCTTCCTTTGCAAGTCCAATGCCCAAGCAATTCGCGCAGTAAGGATGTTCATCGACCGCTCCGCAATATTCTGTCCAGGACAAATACGCCGCCCAAACCCGAAGCAGGAGAAATTCTGCAAATTGGGAAATTTGTTCAGCGGCTCACGATAGGTCTGAGGGAATTCCGAACTCAACCACCGCTCTGGTCGGAAGGCCTCTGGGTCTGGATATAATTCCGGATCTCGATGAATGGCCCACTGGTTCGCGTGGAAGACTGTTCCCGCTTCAAATAAGTACCCCTGGTATTCATCGTCCTTGATGAGTTGGTGCGGCACTCCGCCTGCAGTGACCGGTCTCCAGCGCATGACCTCCTTGATGACAGCACGTACCGTCGGTAGCTGTGGGATATCTTCGAAGTCTGGCATGCGGGACCCAGCGACGCTGTCGACTTCCTCTTGAATCTTCTTCTGCCACTCTGGATGCAGGCACATGGCAAGACAGAACGACATCATGGCCGCAGCAGTGGTGCCGGTGCCAGCCTCGAACAAAGTCCCAATGACATATGCACCTTCATCGTCCGAAAGTTCGTAAGCTTTCTGGTTCTCGAGAAAGGTCTTGGTGAACGAAGTCACGGCCGAGCCGTTGCGCATTTCTTGCCGCACGTCATTCTGAAGTTGTCTGAAAAGGCTGAGCTCTTCAGCACGCAACCGTCGAGCCTCTTGCTTGAATGGAGCCAGGGTGGTTGGAATGTACTTCAGGAACGGCAGGGTATCAACAAGATATGCACCCGGACTGCCGACTCGCTCGACCTCCTTTCCGACCTTGACGATCCGGAGGAACTCTTTCTCCCTGCCCGTTTCGATCCAGCGACCGAACCCGATCCTAAAGACCACGCCAGAGGCGTATTGCTCCAACCAACGCTCATATCTGGTCGGCTCTCTCAGCATTGCTGCCAGAAGCTTGACTGACTCGTGTTCTTGGACTGGTTGGTAGGAGTCGGCCGCGACAGGCATGGTTAATTGATGCATAAGTTTGCGTCCGCGTCGCCAGAGGTCTTCACGTGAAACGTCAGTCAATATTCAGACATGCTCTGGGTTAGGCTCACCATTATATGGCAAGAACAGTGGTCGAAGGTTATTCGACAGTAACTCTGATGCAAAAGGCAGGTACTCTCTCGATGAGTATAATGATCCTCGCTCTCGTAGAAGGTCATTGGCGATTTTCTCTGTGGACAAAACGACATGTTTTCGACCGGCAATGTTCATTCGAAAGATAGAACCGTACTGGTCACTCCATTCCTTGAATTTAAGCCAAGAATGGTACGGCGGGACCTGTAGGAGGTTTCCGAGAATTGGGATCCCTGCAGACATTGGTTAGAAGTGGCACATCGTTCGACAAAATGTGTCATGCTAACCGCGAGGTCCTGAAAGGGGTTTGCCACGATTGCCTTGCCTGCCGCGCACAAATAGGACGACGCCGAATGCCATCAACAGAAACGTCCAGCCCGCAACTGAAACCATCTTTGCAAACACGTCAATACGACTGCTAGGGAACGCTTGAAGTCTTATGTTAGACACTGTAAGAAGAAGGCTTCCGTGTGAATCCGAGGATTTGCTCGTAAGTACTTCAGAAATTGCCCTCTTCCGAGTCTGGACCGTTATCTTTTCAGCTTCGGTGCGCCCATCATATATGCAGGGAAATATTCCGACCGAAGGGCAACGACAAGCATCAGGACAATATAAGCAAGCGCCAAAAGATCAGGCCGTCCTCGAACCCCACAGGTAAAACCCCACAGTTATGCTTTAGGGGATACTTTCAAGCAACGACCCCTCACGATGCCGAGGTGTATCTCTCAAGCCACCCGACTGTTACCCATGATTGTGCCACAGTTCTGCCGACCAAGTGGTTGTGCTCGGTACAAGTGAAGATTGTCTTTCGGACGAGACATCTATAAACGAGGTGATGGTCATCCATCACTTCGGGTCATGACCGTTGTACTGGCAGCTGATGAGGTGGTCGACTTCCCCTTCTCGGAAGCGCCTCTTGCTGGGGAGGAGCGTCGTGCTTTCAAAGGGCTACATCCATCTGGCTTCTTCATTCGTCACCCATCGGCTCCTCATCATCTGAATGAATTCTATACATCTGACGACGACCTGTTCCAGACGATCCATATGGGCGCTGCCGTGGTGGACTGCGAGGATTGGCTTCTGACGATCGATGGATTGGTACAGCGTCCTTTCGCACAGTCTTTGGATCAGCTTCGTCAACTGCCTCGAACCACTCTCACTGCGTTCCATGAGTGTTATGGAAGTCCAATAAAGCCTCCTACGGAAGCTGTCTCGCGGATTGGAAACGTCACATGGACTGGAGTACCACTGTACACGCTGTTGATGCACGCCCGCCCATTACCAGAGGCATCCTTCATCTGGTCGGAAGGCCTGGACTCAGGCGAGTTTGCGGGCGTCAAAGCCGATCGTTATCAAAAAGACTTGCCATTGAAGAAGGCTTTGAGCAAAGAAGTCCTTGTGGCGTATGAGATGAATGGTAAGCCATTGACCAAGAAGCGTGGTGGACCAGTCAGGTTGGTCGTGCCAGGCTGGTTTGGGACAAACAGCACCAAGTGGCTTTGCAAGATCTCTCTGCAGAGTGTTAGAGCACCCGGTCCATTCACAACAGTGTTCTACAACGAACAAGATCCGACTGATCCGCATGGCCTGAGACGGCGACCAGTCTGGCAAGTCGAAGTCAATTCCATCATCACGTGTCCGGCACCTGATGCTGTGGTGTTAGCACCCAATGTCCAGATACAAGGATGGGCCTGGAGTCACGATGGTGTTGGAAGCGTCGAGGTTAGTGCTGACCAAGGTGGAGTTTGCAACGATGCGCATGTTGGGAAGCAGACCGACTTCAGTTGGCAAAAGTTCTCGGTGACTTTGCAGCTGCCTGTGGGTGATTGTAACGTCACGGCTCGGGCCACATCTTCCAGCGGCTTGCAGCAGCCCCTTCGTGGTCGTCGAAACCACGTACATACTGTCCATATTGTGGTCGAAGCCGCAGACGTCAAGTGAAAGAAGGCATGGGTTGGTCTTCGATAAAAGAATCTGAATGGAGCACGAGGCTTCATGCTACCATCTCTCATGCTAGCTATAACGACAGGGAATGAAGAAAGCCATGGGTGCTACAGCAAACCTGAAGCGCGCAAGGCGGAGAGAATTTGGGGCATAATGGGACATCTGCCCTCTGCACTGGGACAGGGCGACAATACTTTGCAAAGTGAAGAGAGAAGCGTCGGATAGCCTCGAGGCAAAATTCTCAGCAGGGTGCGTACGCAGAAGATCAAACTCGCGCGTAAAGTTGGATGCCAACATCAGGCTTTCAGCAGGTCGAGTCGGTCGTTGACATCCAAGATGTTCCATCTGTAAGGGTCGAGACCTTTGGGGTCCCCATTGGTACAGTATCTCTTGTACCAGTCCTTGAGATCTTCTGGATCACGCGCTCGTGGTTTGGTGAGCACTGATTTGAGGTGGGCCCAACCTGGTGCTCCACCACAATCTTCAGCACACGGATGGCCCTGGAGAGGTTAGCCCAAGTAATAGCCGTCAGACAGTACGGTCAGCAAAGATCATACTTCTCCACCAAAACACAGGGGATGATTGTACTCGGCATCAGGCATCAAAGCTTTGCGAAGTCCTGGATCCTCAATACCGAGGAATATGATGTCGTGCTCCCAATCATCGCCGAAGTCGTACATGTATCTGAGGTTGGCTTTAGAACGATACTTTTCGTTCTCGAATATGTCGGAGAGCTTCCAAGAAGTAGGTTTGAATGTATCTGCGCGTGAGGGATCTATTGAGGCCCTATCTCTCGGGTCATTCATGAAAGTCAGTAGCGGCATGTTCCCAACCTGCAGGGTCAAGTGCTCGTTAGCGTGATCTGTTATCCCTGGGAGTATCCTGCGGGAAGGCTCACCATCTCGTAGTCGTCATCCTCCTCGTCCTCGCTAGAGAAGATGCTATGCAACTCAAATTGCCACAGATGGGAATTTTCCCATCCAAAAGAAATCTGCATGACATCGTGCATCTGGTCCAATGTGAAAGTGGAGGGCACTGACAACATGCGTGTTATCATAGGGTCTTCACTGTCGACCAAAGCACATTGGAAAAGATACTTTGGCGGGTGGTCTTCTGAGGGAGGCTTGCTGGCTCCATTGGTCTTTGCTGTCGATGCAGACTTGCGGGTACCTTGGAGAGGGTCCTTGCGCTGCGTTTTGCCTGATTTCGGGACTTTTGGCATGGTGGGCGCGAGTCAGTGGGACACGCAGGAAATAGATGACTGTGAGATCAGTGGATGGTTGAAGCAGACTTTACAACCTGATTCGATTGATTAGTACGAGTAGAGACAAGATTGAGCGAGCAAGCAGGAAACGCGATCAGATGGAAGGACATCGCGACGCGACTCTCTGCAAGTATGACGTTGATCTTCCAGAAGCGCGTTGAACGCTTTCACCAAATCACGTGCATTTACCGTCACGTGACTGTATCTTGCGGCGCGGACTTTTTTCTCTGTTGCGACTGCGATATGAGGCTTTGAACGCACCCATCAACTCTACACTTACCTCTTCCACCAACAAGTTCTCAAATTGGTATTTGTCTTAGCATCAGAATGGCGGAAGGTATTGACCGCAATGCGGAGGGTAAGTAATGATCCAGCGACGACCCATTCCGTGCTCATTCAGACTGCAGACCGCATGGAGTTCTCGACCTCGAAAGAGGTGACGGTTGCGCCGACCTTTGAGGACATGCATTTGAAAGAAAACCTTCTGCGTGGAATCTACGCCTACGGATACGAGTCCCCATCTGCCGTTCAATCTCGAGCCATCGTTCAGATCTGCAAGGGTAGAGATACCATCGCGCAAGCGCAGTCAGGCACGGGTAAAACTGCAACTTTCTCGATCAGTATCCTGCAGGTGCTGGAAACGTCAGTTCGTGAGACACAAGGTACGCATGAAGCCTACGTTGCCCGGGTCTATATTGACAAATCACAGCACTGGTCCTGTCTCCGACTCGAGAACTTGCGACTCAAATCCAAAGCGTGATCATGGCTTTAGGAGACTACATGAATGTACAGTGCCATGCCTGTATCGGAGGAACGAACGTGGGCGAAGACATCAGAAAACTCGACTATGGTCAACACGTGGTATCAGGTACACCAGGCCGAGTAGCAGACATGATTCGACGACGACATCTCCGAACAAGACACATCAAGATGCTGGTCCTCGATGAAGCAGACGAACTCCTTAACCGCGGGTTCAGAGAGCAAATCTACGATGTGTACCGATATCTTCCCCCTGCGACGCAAGTTGTAGTCGTCTCCGCCACTCTACCTTACGATGTTCTCGACATGACCACCAAGTTCATGACCGACCCAGTCCGAATCCTGGTCAAACGTGATGAACTCACTCTTGAAGGACTCAAGCAATATTTCATTGCCGTCGAAAAGGAGGAATGGAAATTTGACACTCTCTGCGATCTCTACGACACGTTGACAATCACACAAGCCGTCATTTTCTGCAACACTCGGCGCAAGGTTGACTGGTTGACCGACAAAATGCGTGAGGCGAACTTCACCGTCAGTAGCATGCACGGAGAGATGCCACAAAAGGAGCGTGACAGTATTATGTCTGACTTCAGACAAGGCAACAGCAGAGTCTTGATCAGCACCGACGTCTGGGCACGTGGTATCGATGTCCAACAAGTCAGTCTGGTGATCAACTACGATCTTCCCAGCAACCGAGAAAACTACATCCACCGTATCGGTCGAAGCGGCCGATTCGGTCGCAAGGGTGTTGCCATCAACTTTGTTACGAGTGATGATGTTCGAATCTTGCGCGACATCGAGCTCTACTATTCCACACAGATCGATGAGATGCCGATGAACGTTGCTGACTTGTTGACTTAAGAGTGGGGTCGCAGCGCAGAATCTCAAAGAATTATGCTATGATGGCATGCAAGAGAAGATCTCATCAACTCAGTCCATTGAAATGGATCCCAATAGCCGTTTCACTCAATTCGCCGGAAAAGTGCTTCAAGTTCAGTCGGGACAGGTTTCAGATTTTGGATCGACTATTATACGGGCAAATACAGCTTGTACAGGGGCACGTCGGCCGAAAAAGGGCTCCTTCTGGGAGCCTCTGGCGCTATCACTATTCACCAGACTTCCCGCGCCGAGCTGGGAATATGGGTTGGTCGATTGTGGCCAGGATCTGGTGCTTGTCACCTCAAAGTCTTTCATTCAGGTATCAGAATGTTAGGGATGGAAATGGGCTGAAAGCTAAAAGGTTGGTTCTGCATTGTTCCTTCACCAAAAGCGCTGCTCACACATTTCAGAATGCTACTTTTCCGAACCGCAAAAAGCTTTTTGCTTGCACGGCTCAAGCTATCGTTCCCAGTCATCCAGTTTCAGGTATCTTTTCACCCCAACCCAATGACCCCACTGTGCAGCCTCTTGTGTTCCGTGGTTCTGAGTTGACATCTAGCTGTCGAACGATGCGAAGACGTCTCTCTTTGCCTCCTCATACTCCTTGTGGATCGTTTCACGTCTTTTATCTGATCGGACTTTGACATCCAAAGCATACGGCTTCGCGCAGACCAGGAAGCCTTCGCTGTAGCCTGTGGTAGGATCGATGTCTGGCTCGACGACATTTCCCTTCTCATTCTTTCCTGGTGCAAAGTCGAATGCCCAGAGCAACTTGGCAATGGCAAGGAACAGGTTTCTTTCTGCAAGGTGAATGCCCGGGCACAGACGCCTCCCTGAACCGTATCCGTAATGATCCCTGTCGTCTGGATTGCTGGCCTGGGCGAGTTCAGATGCCAGTGCCGTGACACCTTTGTAATGGTCTGGATCGAAGACGTCAGGGTTGGGGAAGTATTTCTCGTCGTGGTGCATGCCCCACGCATTGATGAAGACCACAGAACCTTTGGGGATTTTATAACCGTCAACCCAGTCCTCTGTTGCGATGTCAGCAGTGCAATACTTGGGAGTTCTAAGTACACACCTTCGTCAACAGCATGTGGAAATGCTAGCGGAACCACTGGACGCCAGCGCATTGCCTCCTTGACGGTGGCAGCAATGTAAGGTAGACTCGCATAATCCGACCACACTGGTGAGCGGTCTTCTCCAACAACACTGTCGATCTCCTTTTGTGCTTTGTGCATGACTTCAGGCCATTTGATAAACGCCTGGATCGCAGCAAGAATGATACTTGAACTGGTGTCACTGGCACCTTCCATCATAGTCCCGCCCAAAAAGTACAATTGATGCCTCGTCAACTCAAGCTTGTCCTTCTGATCGAGCACTCTGTCCATGAAACTGTACTTGGGTCCCACGGCTTCGCGCCGCTTCTCCAGACCCGTCAGCATATCACCGTAAAGCCCATTCATGGCATCGCCGACGTCACTTGCTCGCGAGCGCCAGTTGCCGAACACCGCTTCGGGGATGTAGTGCAGGAATGGGAATATGTCAACTGGTGGGGTGTTACCGGGTTCCATGACTACCGACCAGTGTTCCATCAAGTCATAGAGGCGCTTCATATGCGGAGTGTCGATGTCTGGGCTGCGCACGCCCCAGATGGTGCCGCATGCTATGCTGTTTGTGTACCGTTTCGGATGCCACATGTGCTGGGAGGGATTGACCAGGAAGTCGTGCAGCAACTGGCTTGCCTCAGCTTGTTGGAGAGGGAGATGGTCTTTCATCACGATGCTTTCCATGAAGTGCTGATGGATAACTTTACGATAGCGCTGCCACACTTTGCCGTAGTGCGCGATCAGGACGTGGTCGCCTCCTGTGATCAGGTTGTGCGAGACGTAGCTGTGGGGACGATTGCTGTAGATGCCAGATTTCTTGTCGATGAGCTGCTTGACTAGGTGTCGGTCCGTGAGGACGATGGCCGTGGCCGGGCCGAGTTTGAGTGAGAAGATGCCGCCATAGGTCTGCGATGGTTTAGAGCCTCAGGTCTGACGCACGGAAGGAACAAGTAACTTACTTTGGCCCATTCTGTGAATCTGACCAGCCGTGCTGGTTAGTCTTAAAGTAGGAGAGATACTGCATGGTGGCATGGGTGAACTTACTTCAGATAGGATCCTTTCGTTGGAATTTGATGAGCGTTGCCAATGATTGGAGCGGTAGGCGGGCCTGTTATGGAAGCGTTAGAGACAAGCCTGCGTCAGGCCGAAGCGAACGCCGAAGGACGTTGACGTACCTGGAGGTAGACCTTTCTCTCGTCGCCCGACGAAGACAATGGCATAGAACAAAAATGCGCAGAGGAGGCCACCTGCAACTGGGAGAACTGTGGTCAACGCCATTGCTCTGGCTCTGGATCGTCAACTTTCAACGGGAGATGTCGAAAACAAAGTTGCGCCAAAGTCCTGTTGAAGAACAAGACAATGGTCGTGCACAAATGGTAGAGACTGGGGGCCATTGATGACGATCGCGGGGAGACCTGGGGTATTTCCAGCTGCCTCTCCCCACCAGAATTGAGGGTTGTTCCTCCCCGCAGAGCTCCGGGTCACTGCATTTTGCAGTGTCCCACGATGCGTTAGGCTGGTCCCAGTCCGTGACAGGATTCTCCCCGTAACGTCCCACAATGAGGCTTCCAGGGGGACATTTGCAGGTTGAAATCCGCCTGTACCCAGCATAGCTTTGCAGCAAGGGCCATGAATCAGTATTGTCCGTGATGTTGTGCTGCTGATGGTCTCGAGGACAGTTTTCACTGTAGTCGTAGTTCTCTCCGGGACTCTGGGGCGAAATCAATATTCGGGAATCCTGTCCTTCAGCCGTGTTTGACCTATGGTATATCCTGGCACATGAAATCCCGTTCACTCTGAGGTGTCACCATCCTCATCACTACTGACCCCTGCCTCCGCGGAAGTGGTAGTCGCCCTAACTGTTAACCGTTGTGCCAATTGGACTTTGAGTCCAGCACGGATGGTCTCCAAGGATGCCCTCAAAGTAGGGGTCTTGCACTGCTCAATGCGCACATCGAGCTGACTGATTTGCTCTTCAAGTTCTCTGATGGCCTTAGCATCACTTTCATCTTGCTCGTCGATCTGTTCAGGTTGGTTCCTGGGCACTTCCTCGACTTCCAGGTTCTTGTCAAGGTATCTGGCAAAATCAATGGCCATTCTTCTCTCCTTGATTGCAAAGACAATCTCTTTGAGATCACCCCAGTCATTTCCCTTCAGTTTCTTGGATTCCTTGCCGTCGCCCAGAATAACCTTCTTGAAGGCTCTTGCAACTTCCCCAACTGGATTCCCATAGGCCCCGCAGCCCCAGGCACCCAACACACATTGTTCCACCCCTTTCGATCTCAGAATCTCCATAACACACTTGATTTTCCTGACTACAAGGTCTCCGTCTTTTGCACTGGCGTACCGGGGTTCCTCGCCTTCATCGCCTTCCACATCAGGGAACCTCAACATCCCTGCGCTAACGACATCGACCCACCATCGCTCGTTCTTGCTCAGGTCGTCCCCGGCTTCATCGCGGAAGACGCACACATCTTCTGTCCACACTGCGCCTACCTCCGGCAAACGGTAAAAGTCGTCCTTCAATGCCGGATATAGGGTCGTACGAAAGCAGAGACTCTCCTCTTGAGCGGACGCTCCATTGAGGAACCCACCTCCGGGCAGCAAAGGACTTGCCATGTTGAGTACAGCCACGTTTCTCTTCGGTTTGATTGATTGTCCTACACGATTCGCGGTCTGACTTGACATCCTCGCCACAGTGAGCGTGTCACCCACAATGACTCTGACCTTGAACTTTTCATTCGCAACGACTTCAGCTGCACCGTCTTCATTCTCACCCTTCTTTGGACGTTTGGCACCAGTCTTTGCGCCGCCTGCCAAAGGATCAACAACAAGCGTGCTGCCCTCAACGCCTTTCCGAGCTCTCGTGCTGCTTGCCAGTATTGCAGGTATGGTTTTGTTGACGGTCATTTTGGCGGCCTTGGCCCGAGCATCCTTGCGTTGAGCTGGTGGCGCCAGTCCTAGGGAGGGCTGGGTACGTCCCATCGCGATTCGTGATTAGACGTGCCCGAGAAATGATTCAAGCATGGATGATGAACGACAGAGGCGTGGCGCTCCAATGTTTGGACTTTTGAAAAGACAATGCCGTCATATCACATAAGGTCACTTACGCTGCCCACCAATTGTCCTCACTTCTGAAGTACGGCCAAGGAGGGGTTACAGAGCTTCTTGACGACACTTTGCAGTCGTGCTGAACACTGCATTATGTACGCCTGTCACATAATGAACGTAGATGTACTCATATTAAGTGTCATTCCGCTCGAATTCAGAAATAGGAAGGAGGCAAGAACGATGATTTCCGGGCCTAAGAAAGGCTTCCGCCCTGTGCCAAGTAACCACGTGGCACCCAGATCAACATCACCTCTTCCGAACTTTTCTTTTCAGGCTTCACTAGCCATTGACCAACTTTGGCATGGTAGGCTGCGGATATCATGCCAGAGTCATGTACCCTCCAGACCTAGCCAGACCCCATAAGTCTCGGCAGCTCCAGATCAATTCGCGTTGAGCGACATGATATCTTGATGTGCGTTAGCAGTATGCATGATGATCCCATTTTACACAACCTGTTGACTTAGTATGCTGTTACATCAATCAGTGACACTATACCTCATTCAGTCAGAACTTTGTTCTCCTCTGTTGTCCTACAACTATAAGGAATCGAGTCAACAACCTGGAAAGCAAGTGACAAGCACTAGTGCTCTTGGGCATGCCTTCGCGTCCTGCCTCTACGAAGGCTCCCTCCTTCTCGTCACGCTCATATTGGGATGATCGTTTTACGGGAGATCAGATCACATTTGAATGGCTTCTCTCGGTGGGAGATACCATTGCCATCATCAACGGGATCATCGTCAACAGCCGTATCGATGGACAAGGCGTCTCGAATGACCCCAAGCCAAGGATCCTGCACATCGGTTGTGGGACATCGGACCTGTCCCTACATCTAAGAGAGCTTGTGCGGTTGCCCGCTCAGGTCCATAATGTGGATTTCTCCGAGGCTGCCGTAGAGCACGGACGGATGAAGGAGCTGCAGAGCTTCCATATCCATCCTGCTTCCATTGATGCTGACAGGGGTAGAGATGGTGGAGTCAGCGGACCGGCAGCAACAGAGGTTTCTGAAAGGGAGAATTGGATGAGCTGGAGCACGGTCGACCTTCTTTCGCTTCCAAGCGTGGAATCACTGGTCGGCGACGGGGGCCAGCTCTATGACCTGATCATTGACAAGAGCACCAGTGATGCTATCGCCTGTGGTGATAACATCACCGTTATGCCACTCTGGGTGCAACCTGACGGGCGGGTTCCAATATCGATGGATCCTGTGGACCTTCTCGCTCTGCACCTTGCCGCAGTGACTGCTCCTGCTGGTTATTGGATCGTCATCTCCTACTCAGCAAACAGGTTTCCCTTTCTTGAGAGCGAGGCCGAACAGCGGGATCAATGTGCAGAGAAAAGTCCATCGCAACATGACACCAGCCGTGGTGTAGCACCAGGTAGATTTTGGAGATTAGAGAGGAAAGCACAGATAACAGTGCCGGCAACTGAAGAGGCCGTTGTTGGAGGGGCGCCAGGCCACACCGTGCACCGACCAGAGATATATCATTGGCTGTATGTGCTTATACGGACCGAGGCTCTCTTAGGGCCTGGTGTTGAACCCCCTCGTCAGAGCTGAGAGCTGAGAGTATGGATCCTTCCACAAGCGGGCGCGGATCGTATTCGGAGGAATTTCTATGGCAAAATGACGGTATGGTAAGAGGTAACGGTCCCGGAGCCCACCATGGTAGGAGCATCGGAATTTTATTACGATGTCTCGGTGTCGTGTACATGCTGCGTTCAAGTTCGAAGAGTAAGGCAAGGTAACCCTTTCACTATTCCGCTTCGCTTCGGGACAACTCCGGCTTCGTCCGAGTCAGGGGCTGACAGCCTTGTGTGCAATAAAACCATATCTGATCTTTTCAACACTGTGTTAACACTGTTAACACTGTTAACACTTTAAGGTTCTAAACTCACAACCTCTGCCATTCCAAACGAGACGAACGCTTCGTGGTCCCGGACCAGGCTTCAGGATCTGGAGATCTTGAGCCTTGTCAGCATGGGGTGCATAGCGTCCTGGTGGGTCATTCGCAGACCACCCTCCATTCTTGTTCGTCATACAGGAGGCTGCTAACTCGTGACAGTACCGATCTCATGCGACGGTGTCCCCGTGTAACTTTTTAGTGAAGTGCCGTACGCGTTGATTGATTCCGCAAAGCAGCAACCACTATATATGCTTGTTTCGGCGTCCAGTATTGGGCTCCATTGACAAGCATAATTGACAAGTCTTCCCGCAGTTTTTCGACACGATCCCGAAAATCCTCCATGATGCGACTCCTGAAGCAATGAAGACTGCTTATTTGACAGTCTTTGAGTATGCTCTGGACAGGGCCAATGAATTGGATCCCATCGCCACAAAAGCACGTCTCGAGGAGGCCTGGGAATGCATGAATGGAGCAAGCTTTGGCTCTGAGCGCGCCGATGCTGCCAGACAGTCATCCACGTCGATTGGCTTCAAAGCTGGCTCTGGCAGAAACATCGTTGAGAAAGTGCACAAGAATGCAGAGCAATTGGGGCAGACTCATGCTTCAGGCGTCATCCTCCCCTATCATGGCCCATCCGACAGCAAGACCAGGCTGCGTGGAAGGGGGACCACGTCGAGCATGTGTGCCGATGCTCCACACAGGGCTTCGCCATCAACGATACCCGAGACTCAGTCGAGCCTGAGTGATAGTCCTTCGGAGCCTGCCACGCTAGAAACCGACCGTGTCAGAGGTGCGACTGCAGGTCGCCCTGGCAGACAACAATTCCTGCGTCAAGAACTAGGCCGTATCAGGATTGAGTTTTTGAAACCCAACAGGAACGGAGACACCCACAAAGTGCTTGACCGAAAGGACATGAACGATATTGACAAGATTTGGACCGGAATGTTTGCGGGCGATGGTGTGCGCGCCCTCAATGAACTTATCGAACAATACAACACAGAACTGCGCAACCGGGATGGGCCAGAGTCTGCCGCGCGTGTAGAGGCCGCAGCTAGGGACAAGGACACTCCACCAGAGGCCACGCCACTTCTATCCGTGTTTGCAAGGCTGATCAATGTCGAGTCAACGAAGAGGCAACTATTGACGTCGCTCAGGCAGCATCTGGACATGCTTGCATTCTATCAATACTACAATGAGCTCAACGAGGAGGTCCGTAAAGGAAGTCCTCGCTACGATCCTACTCTTGCTGAGGGCCTCCGAACGACTCCAGGTCGTGGAACAGCAAGTCTCGTGAGAGACTTTCTGGCTAACCAATTCCCCCGTAGGAATCGAACAATGGTTGACAACTGGATCGCGAGGTCTCGTGCACTGTACGACATGACGGATGCTTTTGGCAGCAAAGGTATTCTATGTCTAGCTGAGGGCCCAATGTCTTGCAAGTACGTGCTAAGCTTCAGTCGCTGCTTCACATTGCTAATTGTTGCTAGGCTCAAAAGATGGGGCCTGAACGTCATGCAAGAAGTCTGGCCACTCGTCAAGCAATACATACCGCATTCTGAACAAGTGTGCGAACTCCTCCAAAATCACATCCTTACACCAATTGAGAATGGCAGGCCGATAAAGATCGATCATCCGCGGAAACGTGGAGGGGATGTCTATAGACATTTAACACATCTGTTCGTGCAATGTCCAGAGACCAGGCAAGGGACAAAGCGAAAGCGCCAGAGCCAGGAAAGTACTGCGGACAACTCTGACCAACAAAGCATGATTTCCAGTGCTGCTGATGGGTTTTGATGGAGCAGTGAGTTGGGTTGATATAGATCTCGGTTTCCTAGGAACATCAATGTACTGTGAAACGCGCGAATAAATAGGGGCAATACTAATCATGCGCACACGAAAATGAAAATAAAACGAACCAGAAAGAGAGGAAGATGACAGGTTAAGAGTCATTAGTCTTGATAATTGGGATGTCGAGATGGAAGAATGTCAATGAGTAACTGCACCGTGCCAAAACTCGTGTCTAGACGGGCCCTCACCGTCTATTGAGCGCTCTCATGGTGCCTCAACTAATGCGAGGGTCATACAATCCTCAAAAGGATTACTTCATTCGTGCCGCTATGGTGTCCGTAAATAACCACCTGCGGCAATAGCTTGCTCCTCGTGCAGGAAGGCGTATCCTGCAGACCAGGACGTTCTCTGGGACCGAGTAGAGGGGCAGAAAACGTGTCCTAAGCGAATCATCGCCATAAGGCTCTGGAATGACTTGTGATCCGTACCCGTATGTCAGTTGCGGCACGAGCCGCTGTAACAGACCTTTCCACATGGCTAAATGACGCAGCAAAGGCACTTAAACCCGCTAGCAGGCAAAGTGGTAAGGACCACCTCAGGAGGACCCTGCTGACCTCATACTGATATCAAGCCAGGTATTGCGTGCTTTGGGTGGCCATCCAGAGAAACCCCAAAGAAGCGGTGACAAGAGGGAACCTGGCCTCGTACAGCCTGGACGTTCTCCAGATCAACAATTCAGATCCGTTCAAGAACAAGTTACCCGCGAATGACAGGCATGCAAGCAAGTACAATTCGCGATTGTTAATGTTGTAGACTGCCAGCAATCGAATGGCTCCCGTATAGACGTTGTGCATACCGTAGACGTGAGCCAGCACCGGAGACGGCGGAGTAGCTCGAGGACCTGAGAACTGGCGCATGGAGCTCAAAGGAGACATGTAGCAAACAACGCTATGTATCAGCGCGAGCACGCTCATCTGCAGATGATCAGCACTCTGGAGGCAACCCACTGATATGAGCTGCTTCGGCTGCAATGGAGAAGGGACATTGTCATAGGCGTACCAGGAGGAGGTAATATGGTAGATACCCTGAAGACTGAGGGAATATGCTGGCTTCCATTGTGCTGTAGTTGGTCCCGGATGCACCATTAACCGTGACATCAATCACGAAAATCACGTTTACTTCCTGTCAAAGTGATGCGCTCTTCCGAAGACTAGGAGTTCCTGAGAACTAAAACGATTAGGAACATCAACAGTCGAAGAGTTCCCACAGGATCCTCATTGACGCGTCTACATGCGGTTTGCTACCCTATGATTGACCAGAACGGTGGCGCAAATGCCGCCTAGCGCTAATATCACATTCTCAGACTGAAAGTTTCAGGCACTTTTCTTTGTTAGAGAGGCCCGACACAACTCAGAAGCCAGACCCGATGACTCCCAGCGACTATGCGTCCGCTGGCTCCGGCAAGCTGAAATTGAAGGGTGTCAAGGACTCAAAAGTCGACAAGAAAAAGAAAAAGAAATCGAGCAGCAAGTCAAAAGACGAAGATGGGACTGGCGATGGAGGTGAAACGTTCCAAGACAGATCCGTCATGTTGAAGAATCTCGAGGACGAAGATGCGCAGCTGGCCAAGGAACAAACCAGCAAAAGCAGCCTTTCCAATGGAAAGGAATTCGAATCTGCTACTGGGCTGGCGGATGAGGAGGAACGGGAAATCGTCAAGACCGAGGCGGAGAGGAAGTACGACGAGCAAAGACGGAAGCGGGTACGTGGAACTCTACCATGGGTCTTCTGGCTTTCGTGTTGTTCTTCACGTCCACATAGCGCTGACTTATCATTTGTACTACAGCTGGAAGAACGATTGAAACGAGAAGGGGTCAAAACGCACAAGGAACGGGTAGAAGAGCTGAATCGCTACCTGAGCGGTCTCAGCGAACATCACGACATGCCACGCATCGGTCCAGGATAACGGCCATTCCCTGGCAATGCACACTCGAACGACCCTCAAGACATTGTACCGCTAGTGCACAGTCTCCTTGAACGGGTCGAACGTCCGCTACGAAGCCTCACGATCATGGCACTTGATCTCCAATTCGCGTTTGCAATTCAGACACTTTCAGCAATGGTATCTTTCGGTATTGGATCCTTTCTCTCCCGCTTTATGTACAATATTGCATTTATCAATCAGCACCTTCTGGCACCAAGCTCATTCCTCCTTTGCGGCCAATCGTCCGGGTTTCGAGTTCAGGTATTCGTTTCTGCGTTTTTTGTCAGTTGTCCGTACCCAGAATCAGCCTTCGAAGAACCCACTTCTCAATAGCCCAGTCCATTAGGTAATATCCGAGAACCATAGGAGGAAGCCAGTAGAGGATCTGGTTGTATGTGCGTCGGTAGGTGTTGAACACGGCAGCTTTGTAGGCTCCGGCCATCGGATTCAGTCGGTTTGGTGAGACGGAATATGTGATGATGCCCTTCTGTTTTGGTGAACCTGTTCCGTCGCGAGGTTAGCCTATTGTTCTTCATGATGCTGTTCCGCATTGTGGCTTCGACAGCCACCGTCGAACCACAATTGCCGGCGCAGATTTGCGAGCTCTAGAGAACAGTCGTACCTAGGTTTCCCCACCAACCCATATATCTGCGTCAATCGTCAGCATACCCTTCCCTTGATGTGTAACTCGATTGCGAGTTTCGCAGCTTGTACATACACGCCATTTTTTGGGTCGGCACCGTGTCCGCGCAGGGCCTTGGTGGCCTGCATCATGAACGCTTGTGAAGGTCGCATCTTGGTGATTCTCGGACGAAGAGGTAGAGGAGCTGTTGGATGGCGAGCGTTCGACAAAGAAATCAATGATCGCAGTCGGGCGCAGGAGCTTTCGCGGGAGCTGCTAATTCGGCTTGGCCGCTGACATAATGCCTCTTTCCTCAATTCGAGGCCTTTTCATTGGCTGTCTCATCACACTTCATTGATTCACCGTACAAAATATGTACGGAGAAGCACAGAAAGCATTTCTCCACATCCGGGCGGCAACTCCAAAAGCTGCGCATTGCATCAAAAAGTCCATTACGAGTAGAGCTACCTCGGACGGCAACACGACCAGGCACAAGCCACTTCTATCTAGTCATCAACCTCTCGTCCCTCGAACTCCGTGTCGCCAACCATGTCTGCGCCAGCTGTCCTCAACGTCGTCTCAAGGCTCGCCATCCCAGTCTTCGTCGCCGTCTCGCTCGGCCAGGCGGCAATATACGACGTGAAAGGCGGTTCGAGAGCAGTCATCTTCGACAGACTGTCCGGTGTACAGGAGACGGTAGTCAACGAAGGCACACACTTCCTGATCCCCTGGCTACAAAAAGCCATCGTCTACGATGTTCGGACGAAGCCCAGAAACATCAGCACCACTACCGGAAGCAAGGACTTGCAGATGGTCAGTTTGACGCTGAGAGTGCTGCATCGACCAGAAGTCACACAATTGCCCAAGATCTACCAAGTGAGACTAAACCCATATTCGTCTCATACTGAACAGCAATACTAATAAAGAACACTAGTCTCTTGGTCAAGATTACGACGAGAGAGTCCTGCCATCCATCGGCAATGAAGTCCTCAAAGCCATCGTGGCTCAATTTGACGCGGCCGAACTCATCACCCAGAGAGAAGCCGTCTCTAACAGAATCCGCACCGACCTGATGAAGCGAGCGGGAGAGTTCAACATCGCTCTAGAGGATGTTTCCATCACACACATGACCTTCGGCCGGGAGTTCACCCGCGCCGTCGAGCAGAAACAAATCGCCCAACAAGACGCCGAACGAGCACGCTTCATCGTCGAGAAGGCCGAGCAAGAGAGACAAGCCAACGTCATCCGCGCCGAGGGAGAAGCCGATGCCGCCGACATCATCAGCAAAGCTGTGGCCAAATCGGGCGACGGCTTGCTACAGATCCGAAGAATCGAAGCCAGCAAAGACATTGCTCAGACACTGGCCTCGAATCCCAACGTCACATATCTTCCAAGTGGTGGTGATGAGAATGGCAAGGGCAAGAGTACGAGTTTGCTGCTCGGGCTTAGGTCGTGAAATCAGCATTTTTCATGATGTCCTTGCGAAGAAAAATTGTATTCATGACACACCACTATTATCCCCAGCTGGAGTTCTCCAATGTGTAGCATTACATAGCGATTCAAAATGTGGACGGAAATTCTCAACTTTCAGTTTTCGTTGTTTCTTGCCTAGTATGTGGGTTTCTCGTTCTCAGCCATGAACAAAGCAAGCATTCACTCCAGCTATAACAAGCTCAATTCTACTGGAACAAAGAACGCTGCGAAGCTGCAAACGGAGACGGCTTGTACGAAAAGTACTCGGCTCTCGAGAGCTAAGCAGTTACATTGACCCCAAGCTAAGGAGTTACCGCCATCGTAAAGGCCGACCTGGCCATGCAGGTAACCAACGTCCAATATAAAGACAGGCATCAGGAATCGAAGAGAAAATCGTCCACACCAAGAAATCCTGTACATAGAAATCACACAGGCCGTGTCAAGTCAAATGATCAAAACATCATCTTCCGCTCATGTCTAACCAAATGATTCGTATAGCGCCTCTCCAACTTAAACTTGCTCGTCGCCGTCTTTTTCCACACGCTCAAAGCCGCTGATCCACCACAGACTTCGTTCGTCGCACCTGTGCAGGGCATACTGCACTCCGCTTCGTCGAGCTTGGTCGATGAAATGTCGTCACCACAGAAGCACTGGCCGCCGTACTCGGTGCCGGCGACCGCCAATCCAGCGTTGTCGCAGAACGAAATGCACCCGTCGTTCGTCATATTGTTGCCATTGAAGTTCGACCAGGTAGACAACGTGCGAGGGTTGACGGTGTCAGTGAAACAGCCGTCGTAAGACCAAGAAGGATTGGTGGCTGTCGGCGTGCTGGATGAAGATGAGGCTGGCTAGAAAATAGGAACGGCATTGTTAGATATCAAGTTTTTGGGATCTTTTGATTAGAAAGTGAACGGAGAAAGTAGATTGCAAGAAAACGCGCGAATGAAGGGAATACTGATGAATGGTGTCGAAAAAGCCTCTGCTGATCTAGCAACTGATCGCTTCATCGTCGTCTGATCCACCTGACGTCGAGTCAGATGTAGGAGACGCCGGATCTAGTTCGGGTGTATCGCAAGATGAAGTTGGAGAGGAAGAAGTAGTTACCGAAGTCGTAGATACTGCTTGAACCACTGTTTGAGGCGCAGATGATGTTGTTGCAGAAGAATTGGAAGTCGTCACAGTCGTAAGCGTAGTTGGTGATGCTGCCATTGTAGTCGATGAAGCAGCTGTAAGAAGTGTAGCGTTTGACGAGCTGGCCGTAGAGGCGGCCGCAGATGACACCACTGCTGCTGAGCCAGAGGCACTAACGCCGAACTGTGCGTTGGTGCAGTTGCTGCTGCTGGTGCACTTTTGGTAGAGGGAGATAGCTGCTGAACCACCGCAGAAATCAGAGCTTTCGCCAGCGCACGTCATCTGGCAATTTCCGACAACACCTGCGAGTGGCATGCCGCTCGAGGGGATCGAGTTACCACCTGCTGTACGTTAGCACATATCATACGCAGAAAGAGGAGGGTCAACTTACAGTAGCACTCGTCGGAGTACTCAGTGCCAGCAACGGTGAAGCCTTTGCTCTCACAGAAAGCAATGCAGACTTCGTTAGTCATGTTGCTATTCGACTCGCTCGCACCGGTCAAGATACGGTTAGAATAGTTGTCAGTACCGCAGCCAGTGTACGACCAGCCTTGACTAGTCAGGTCAGTGAAGAAGGTAGCATTGGATGGGCTGATTGTTGTAGTGGCGCCACAGCCAGTTTTTACTGTAGCTTCAGCAGGTCCAGACTGGACAGGGTTGCAGCCAGGCAGCGCAGACATGAAACCGCTGACCTGCTCATCGACTTCAGGCTCGATTTTGCAACCTTCAGCTTGAGCGTCAGGAATGAGCTTGAAGAGCGGGCAGTCTTCAACGTTGCCACTTTCGGCGGTACATTGATCGATGGCATTTTGTAGAAGATCAGTATCTTCCCAGCCATTGACAAAGTCGCCGTGGTGACCATAACCAGTCGGATCTCCCATGGACCAGACGAAGGGCTGGCTGTTCCCATACCATAGATCGGCGAACTTGTTGGTGTCCCAGATGACTTCATAGAAAATGGAAACGAGGTGGACGGGGAAGTCAGAGGGGCATCCGCCGGAGTTGTAGGACGTCGCTGGGTATGACATGTGGGATTTGTGGTCGGCAGAGTCCAGGTCTTTGCCATTCCAGCAGGAAGGGAAGAAGACTTGGGATCGAAGACCATCGGGACAGTTGTAGTCTGGGAACATTGGAGTTTCTGCTGTCGCTGGTCCATTGTAGTTAAGACATGCGTAGCTCACGGCTTGCGAGGCAAAGTCAGTACCAGCGCTTCGTTTGAAGGGGTCTCCGGCAACCATTCGAAACCCAGGGGGAAAGGCTTTGAGAGTCTCGTTGTCGCCAGCACGTTGCAAATAGTAGACAGTTGCGCCTCCGATTTGATCGACGCTTTCGAAGGTGCCATTTTGATGCTGGAAGAACAACGCTGGAATCCAATAATTGCTGTTGTCTCCAGTGACGGTGCATGAAGAACATGTGGACGCTTGAGTCGAGTTGTATGTCATGGTGAAGTCAAACCCATTACCTCCCATGATAGTATGCAGGTGATTCGAGACCTGGCCAGGACTGACAATTGGGTCGGCCCGTTCGACGACAATGGGAGACTTGCATGGTAGCCGCCAGAATGCTGATACCGGAGAAGCGGCAAATGCGGCCAAGAGACCAGCAGTAAGGAAAGCAGACATTTTGTCTTGGGTAGGATAGCCGGGGGATCGGGTTGAGGCAGGGCTTGGTGGATGAGGTCGGCAGCAACGAGGGACGAAAGTTATAAAGAAGGACTGGACAAAGGATTGGCTGTACGATTCAATCGCACCAAAAATAATGAACGGATAGCGAGAGTTCCCGAACTCGAGCCAATGAATGAGGGTGAAAAGGAAGGACAAAGAAAGTTGTATAAATATGCAACAAACGATAGCCTTGCGAATGATGGGAGGGGTAGAGAGATGATATACAAACCTAGGAGCCTCGTTACTCCGACGTCATTGTCGCCTGTCTGATTCAGACGGGAATGAAATTGCAGGCATATACCGGTGCATGGCCTGTTCAGACGGCATGATCTTTCGTGGTAGTGGAGGCCTGGAATATGGAGTTGTGGCGCAGATGTGTTCCACCTCAATGCCTGTTGGATAGTAGACGCTACGTGGTGCTCTCAAGCATGAGTGGCCGAAGGCGGGCTGTGGCATACTCAACAGTCTCCTTGTCAAAGGTAGAGGAGAGCGCGAAGGAAGTGATGCCAATGTAAGCATGGCGGCCCAGAAGTGCCAAGTTCATGTTGCAGCCTCGTGCTAAAAAGTGTGTTTTGCGTTAGGCGACAAGAAGCGACCATTAGTACGAATGCGGAGAAGTTCGTGAAGCTAGCAGGGTCGAGACGGTATGCCAGATTAGCGGCCTGTTTCAGGAAGATATGATGCTGACATAAAAGGCCGGCTGGAAAATTACTGTGTATATCGTCAGGGAGAAAGATCGGTCTCAGATTGTATCCGCAAGACGTCAAGGGCGGTCCAGATCACAAGGTTCCAGAGGAGGGGGTCAATCAGAGGCCAGGCAGGACGAGATTCCTGGTACGGAGTAGAATGGTGTTTTTGGTGCGAGAGATGGTCCCTTTGCACCTCAAAATTCGTTCAAAGATCATGTTTGTTGGAACAGAAGCAGAAACTCCCCTCTTTCCTCATGCAGAATTTCGGGAACAGAAGAATAGGCGTCAAATCATCCGGCTGACATTGCGGGTCGTATTGTGCTTTGGCTGATCCTTACATATAAAATAGGCTTTTCAAATCTGTAAGCTCCCTATCTCCCCTTGCGCCCGAGATAGCAAAAGGGTCAGTTAAAATCCATCGACTCGATCATTTTTCTGCCCAAGACCGCTGGACGTCATCATTATATTGACTCACTCATAAGCCATAACCTTTCACCTGCATTTCTGATGAACCAGGACATTCCCGCACGTCGCTGTGGCCAGCTAAAGGTCGGTGTACCGGCGTGCACTCCGTGGTATGTCATATCCGCCTCCTCCTTGTCATCGAATTACTCCTCCTCATCCTTGATCGGAATGTCGACTAGGAATTCCGAAGAATCCCGCTCAATCTCACCTCTTAATACAGCCATCGTCAAGATGTCCTTGTTGAACAACTTCTTGCCTAATCGTCCGATAAGTGCACCTTGAGGATCATTAGGTGTACCGATGATCAACAGGTCGTTCTCACTGTACTTCCCTTTGTCTTTAAGGGCCGGAAGTCGATTTCTCACTGCATCTGCCCCCAACATTGTCGCGATTTGTGACATTTCTCGTTCCAGGTTCCCAAGGTCTGTTCTGACCTGCTTTGAAAAGATGACGGTCGTTCCGGACAAAAGATGGGTAAGGCCGGCCTTGCCTCTTTGGAGTGCTTGCTTGAGGTCAAAATTCCACAGTTGTTCTCGTGACGGATCTTGGGGCAGGAAGTCCTCCACCGCCGGAAAAGATCCTGAACGCTGTGTCTCAACAACCCAGCTCTCTGTAACGATATCAATGCCTCTGGCTACCGCCATGATCAACTTGCTTGTCTTCTTCAGTGATCCGTCTGGGACGCAAAGGATGTTCGCCTCATTGATGGATTTGGTGACACGACCTCCGAGGTGTTTGAAAGCTTCCATAGCGGTTTTGTCCTGATCTACCACCGTGTTCCCGCTGAAGACGACCACTGGCTTGAAAGCATCCTGAGTTGCCAGGGATGAACCTGAAGATACCCTTCTCATTCGCTTTTTGGGTGAGCCTCGGTCCGTCGTGGCAAAGCTGCTGGAGATATCACCGTTTGGGTGGATTGGCGTGCGAGGCGACTTTCGTTGGCCCCTCGCTGACCCACGACCTTTCTTGCGTTGCTCAGCATCCACACTACCCTCAGACTGAATACTATTGGCGAAATCTGCCACTGGAGAAGGATTTCCGTCATTCTGATCGCTTTGACTCTCGACATCGTCTGATTCTATCTCTGCCAGCTTCCGCTTCTTGAGGATTGTACTAGATGCCTGTGTCCTGTCACCATCATTGGAGGAAGTCAAGGATACGGGCGTTGGCAATGTGTCATAGGTTAGGCAGGCATCGGCAGCAGTTTCAGCATCTCTATGGGCATGACCCACATCGACGAGGTTGGAAGATGTCTCGGCAGTCTCCAGTTCTGACGAAGGAGGTGACGGTACAGCTTGGACGCTGGGAATGGGTCTCTCAGCGGCCACTTCTGTCTCTTGACAAATCTCGTCGGCTGCCTGTCCAGTTTTGAGGATGCTGCCTATCGAGGCCAATCCATCCTCAGACGTGCATCCTTTGGCGTCATTGCTTGTCATTGATATGTCTCTTTGTGATTCAGGCCCATGTCGTGGGGGTGTTGGGGACGCGGTGTGTTGTGAGGAACTGTCTTGGGGTGGGGGCGTGCAGTTGCTTTGCTCATCATCCAAGAGCTTCATTATGTCTTGGTTTATCTGTGCTTGGGATGGGGTCTCGAGGTTGACAATAGGTAGGGGAGGCGGTCTCATTGAGTTTGATTTGCTGCCACTTTCGTCGTCCCAGAACACTGCCCACCTATGTTGCGTTGAGGTCAGGAATTGTGTGTCACTGCGGAGCAATACCGATTTGAGATGCCCTGAGGTCGAGTGAGGGACGCGGAACTTGGAGCCCGAGTCGCCAAGCACAAAACACTCGACGTGCTTGAACACACGAAGCAGAACAACATCTGAATGTACCTCTGAAAGGGTGGTCAGTCCAACTCTTCTTGAAAGAGTGGTGAAAACCTACCAAGGCATATCAGAGAGTGTTTTTCGTCAGATTCAGCACTCAACTCGATCGGACCACCTTCTGGGTCATTAGGCAGATACCAAATGCTGGAGTCGCCATGCAATGGTAGCTCGGTGACGCTATTCTCACCAACTGCAGAATGAACAACAAAAATGGCAACCATCTTGTCAACTCACACAATATACAGACCAGCTGTGCGTCAACTCAAACTGAAGGAAACAAAGGTTGATCGAACGTAGGTGCAGGATGCATGAAAGAGGTCAATGTGAATCAAGTGAGATGCTTTGATTGCAAGGCAGTCACATGTCTTGGCATCAAACAAGGTCAGTCACCAAGCCACCAGTCGGACAGCCCTCGTTCCTGTTCACGATGATGAAGAAGAGTATACTAAGTAGATTGAGACAACTGTTTGCTTTCTTGAAAGGTGCCACGCATTATCGGTACAGTGAACAAAGGAGTGGTTGGCACAAAAACCTACCGCTCCCCAGGGGTCGAAAATGAGACGACTTATAGATTTCCCACAGGTATACTCTGTCACCACAAGTATTCACTGTGTGTGCTGCTTCTGGAAGTCACGATGCCACGACTGAAGATGCCTTCACTGTCCTGATATGAGGCAGTAATTACTTATTCACGACACGCAGTGACTGCACGTAGGCAGTGGCTCAAGTCGCCGTGACACGGTCAATCCAAACAACAGTCTTAAATATGTATATACCGAATGCCTCCGTGGATTCTTGCTCCCGCCCATCAGCAGAGTACTTTCGAAATTCGCCATAGACAGCAGCATTCAGAGGTCTTCAACATGTCTGACAACTCTACGGTCGAACACCAATGGAGCAGTTCTTGGGACGCAGAATATGATGGGGTCGATGATCATCAAGCTTTCCATGATGTGCCGGAGGACAACAGTGTAGCGGACGTTGACAGTGTATCCGAAGAGGGCGACTACAACAACTCCGAGTACAGCTGGAACTCTGCCGCTTCCCATGATGCATCCATTCGTGATGGAGGAGACGATGTGTCATCATCTGTCGGGAGCTCGCGTGACGAAGTGGTCGAGACAGTCGACAATCCCGAGAGCAATCTTAGCTATGAGCGAGTTTTGTCCTTGAACCGCCATGTAAGTTCATCCTTACTATCTACCCAGCGAATGCTCACAACTGCACAAAGCCAGCTGAAATCTCTGGACCGTCCGAGAATCCTGATTTACAGCTACTCAGCCTCCCGATCGAAGTGAGACGACCGATATGGCAGTATGCAATGACAAAGCTATGGGGTGATGTCCGAGTTTCTTTCCTAATGCTTGCCGGAGCAGATGAAGATTACAACCGCGGATATGGCCCACTCCGGAAAGGGCTCTCTGTGGGACTGGCATTAGGAAGAAGAAACCCCGTGGCCCTCTTGTATGTTTGTCGCAAGATATACCAGGAGGCGGTCCCACACCTGTACGGGGAAAATCGGTTTGTGAGCTTCAATGTGCGAGGCTTCCAACACTGTTTCGTCAACGACTCAGACTATGGCATAGGAGGAGCGAATACCGCCATGATCAAGAAGGTCTCTTTCGGCGTCCCCGAGCCTGTCAAGCAGGACCCTGCAAACAACCTTCAGGGATTTGTCGACTTCATGAGCAACACACTCATGGGAGTTGAGGAGGCCGAGCTCAGCATCAAGTACGAGTCGTACTATGTGGACCCACCAACCAGCGGTCAGCGTTCATCCTGGTCTCAAGAACGACGATCTCTGTTGCACACAGTTGCTTGCCTTGCGGAGTCACACCCTAAGTTGAAGAAAGCTATCTGGTGTTCCTCAAGCGGCGGTTCTATGCAGACATTTTGGCATGGAACAAAGATGATCGTGCGATTCGCTGTCCATATGGTACCCGTGGGAAAGGATTTGATGTGCTCAAGCGTCGGCGAAGTACTAAACATCAGCGGCAAAAACATTCAGGGCAGGGTAAGTGTTTCCAGCTTCTCACAGGATCGACTAACAATGAGACAGAGTGTAGTCTTGGACTGTGAGAAGCTACGCAAAACATCGTGGGACGACCTTCTTGACAAAGTGCCAACAGAGTTTGAGCTTGTCGAAGATGCAGAAAGCTTTGAAGTCACGGTGATTTAGGAATCTAATGGTGAGGTTAAATGAACGAGGTCAAGGCCTCCTGGAAGAATGGCTGGTTGTGAAGCACTTGATGCGCGGGTGTCGTCTCGCAGGCTTCTTGCACGAATTGTACACGGTATGAACGGGACGCATGTTGGGAGACAAACCTTGAAGAATACAGGCTGCCTAGTCATGTAGCGCTCCTTAGCATGGGGGTCTCTGAAGCAGCGAACGAACGGAGTTGTAGGTGGAGACGGGAGAGGTTGATGGCGACTCAGCTCATATTTCCGTGTCGACATTGCACCGGCCTGACCAATATGACTTTACCAGAACCAGATATCATGTACGGTGCTTTCCAACAAGACCGACGTTCTTTCCCTGACGTTGAGGATGTACGGTGGAACAGAAAGCACATATGTAATTGGAAGCTCAAATTCTTTCTCTACCCCTTTTCCAACGTCACTTCATCCATTTATTCAGACTGAGTACACCACTTGCCTTCGTCATGCCCTCACACTCAAGGGAACATACTTAGCTCTGATTTGCTGTCTGCTCATGCACGCGACTGAGCGAGATGATATTAGGCTTGTGAAACCTAGAACACAATATCAAGCTGTTAGTATTGTTCTCACTGTCTCTGATATTGCAACTTGCTCGCCATCTCCTCGATGCCTGCTTGAATGAATTGAAACAAGACGTGCAACTTGTGGCACAACCACTGTGCAGGTAACAACTGGCTCGCAGTTTGAGCCGTGCGGGTACGCCCGTCGAACTGCGCATGATCTCTGAGAAGACCACTACAAGGTGCGAGCCGGAGAGATGTCGATGAAGCAAATGAATGTCCTCTTCATTGGTAACAAATTGAAGACGATGTTGGACAACTCCCTCCCGTAACGCAGTGAAGGGTTTCTGCTACTGATTCTGTCTCTGCATCTTCATTCGTGTGCTTTTGTCTTGACCTGCATTCACTTCACTTTCAATTCACTCGACCTGTCACGGTCTTTCTTTCACACCCACGACCTTCTTGACCTACCTTCTCGTTCTTTATCTCCACCACTTCGCGGACGACGACATTGTCTGCATCGACCTCCCTACTACGTTCGCTTGCTTGACCTCGTCAAACGCCTTCTGACCGCCAGAATGGCCGCAAATGTGTCTCCCACAATGTCGTCAGCTGCACCGACTGTCTTTCCAACCGCTGGTGTCGGAGGCGAGTACTACGACACCCCGTTCGAAGTTCCAACCTATAGCACAGGTGCAATCAACGAGGTCAGCTGGAGGTACATCGACGACTTCAGTCATATCATCGCCAATTACGCCGTCAGTGAAGGTGTCGCAACCGGTCTCATCTGGGCCACGTTCATCTACCTGCTTGCCCTCACTCCCGGACGCAAGAGAACAACTCCGTTCCACACATTCCTTCTTCTCGGCTTGGTCTTCATGCTCCTCTACCTCATGCTGGACATCATCGCGGTAGTCACGCCAGGTCTCTCCACCAATTCATCTTATGTCGTCCTGACTACTGATGTGGCCTCAAGTGTGTGGACAACTCAATACATTGCTATTTACACCATTGCCAAGGTCGCAAACTGGTTGGCCTTCATTTTTGCTACAACCTGTCTCTGGCTTCAGGCAAAGGGTCTCCTGAGCGGAGTGAAAGTGCGATTCAACATCATCTATAGAATCATCCTCACTTACCTCGCCCTCACTGCTGTGGCAGCTCTGGTCTGCAGCATGTCATACTGGATCCACCAGATCATGGTCATCAAGATGGACCCAACTGGCGCTGTGGACCATGAGATGCTGAAGATGAAAACCATCTACCTGGTCACCTATGCAATCAGCATCGGCAGCTTTTCCCTTGTGTCAATCTGCTCGGTGTTGGACATTGTCTGGAGACGACCATCCTCAGTTATCAAGACCAACAACGCGTTCTCCTCGGCCCTCAACCTTGTGGGTCTTTTAGGTGCTCAATCCTTCATCGTACCTTGTAAGCTCGTCCCAAACGCAAGATGTTTTTATGCTGATTTTGACTAGTCATCTTTTGCATCCTCGAGATTGCCTACTCACAGAACGCGTCTGCACTGCCGGAAACCATACTCCTGCCTTCGGTCTATTTGATACTGCCATTGGGATCGCTCTTCATGACGGTCCATACATACGACGTCGAGAATCAAAAGGGAGCCGAAGAACCGAAGTCCTCGGCCAGTCCTACCAAAGCCTACTTTCACAAGTCTGCAACCATGACTACGGGTTCAATCACGATTTCCGGCTCCGAGCCCGATTCGTCCGTCGTTGAAGAAACAGCGATCGAGACTCCAAGCAAGCCAATCTGCACAATGAGACGCCACATCCCTACGGTCCCCAGTGGAGGAAGTGAGGCGATCCTGCTCGGTGACATAAAGGAACATGGACAGGAGAGTTCGGTCAAGGAGGTGTGAAGGCCTGCCGACTGAGGGAAACAAGGTGTCCTTTGTCGCAACCCAAGAAACTCGAACGATTGAATATGGTGCACGACACAATCACTGATGAAATCGAGCTGGGAGCTACACTGATGACAATGAATGAAAGTGCTATATGACGTGGAAGCTGGATCGCAGAGTGATGCTTAATCTATGGTCCGCAAGATTTCCTTCATATGGGTGAAGAATCGATGGGGTTTGGATGGCACGCTGGCATACATTCACTTATCATGGTATTAAATAGCGGTCATCGCAGTGGGACATGCATACAGTAACAAAATATGGGCTGCATCAACCAGAGTACGAATGAATCGCTGTGTACATCAGGGAGAAGCAGTATTCGCTGTTGAGTGCAAGAAAGACCAAAGAATCCCTTTCGCTCAAATTCAAGACATAACATATCTTCATCTTACGTTGTGGTATCGACAGGCTTCCTTTTGACCAGCCTCACCCACCGTCTGCGCCTCCATTCGCCCGTCCGGCCCTTGTTATCCACGATAGTCCCCTCCTCCCAATCCTTGATTCGCTTCTCGGCGTTCTTCTTCCGCCGCTCACCGTCCTCCTTCATATGACTCGTTGAGGGCACATCATACTCGCCATACGCAAGCCATAGGTCATCCTCGCGGTTCGCACCACTGCCCGGGACTGGCGGTAAATCCCAGACCCAGCCACCGAAATCGGCGTTGATACTGTCGCGACGGTTTGTAGCGATATTGGGATCATCGTCGTGCTGCAGAATATCGTACTCGACGCCCACGACGAGGCGGTCGTTGACCCACTCGCCGGCTTCGAGATCGAGTTCCCATTTCTTCGAGGCCCATTCCCATCCCTCGGGCGGGGCGACGTCCTCGAAGAAACGTGTCCCATGGGGGCGGTCGCCTGCGATACGAGATGGCGAGAGAGGATCGTAGGGCGCTGAGGTAAAGACGTGGGGTTGCCATTCTGCGGCGGCGCTGGATTTGCTGGTCATGGATTGGAGGGGACGGTGCTGGAGTTCGAAGATTTCGACTTCGCGGGTTTCTGGGGTGGAGGAGAGGGTGATCTCCGAAAGAGATGTCAGCGCCGACTGCATCCTGGCTGGGGTGGCAGGGAGAGGGATGCCCTGGATATATGCTTGATGCTTGAGGGTTGGGTCGTTCAAGGTAAGCTGTGCTTGCTTCTCTGCGCGCTTTTGCATTTTCGCGAGCCACGATTGCGCGGTCGGATGGTTGGACACGACGAGCGACCAGCCTGTAAGTAGGGAGATCAGGCGCCATGGGAGGAGGTGTGCGGTGATGAAGGATAGAGTGGTCAGGATGGTGAGGTACAAGAATAGCTGGGAGGAGAATGTTTCGTTGCTGAAATTTGTGGCAGGGGCGACGGTGGTGACCATTAGGTCATGGCCGTTGCTGAAGTCGGCCATGCTGTTCTGCAGGTCGCGCATATTACGGAAGAAGTCTTTGGAGGTCTCGCTCACGGGTTTGATGGTGCGGGCGGGCGCTATGGCTGGGCCGGTATATGCTTGGTGGTCGTAGGGCGTAGTGCTGGACAGGGCGGAGTGGCGTGGTGGTGGGGGATGACGGGAAGTGAATGCTGGAACCATGATAGAGAGTAATGCCACGGCGAGTGGGAGGACGACAAGAAGATAAGGGTCCAGACAGACGAATGTGTAAGTGGCCAGGAAAGAAAGGGTATGCGTTGGTACACGCCAGGTGAAGAGGCGGATTAGTTGATTTTGGAAGACGAAGACAATCCCGATGCGGGCGTTGAAGCGGCGGAAGTTGTTGGTCATCAGGGGAAGACTGAAGGCTGGACGGGAAACGTAAGCTGATGAACGTTTTTCCGCTGGTGATGTTGGAGTGGTTTCGTAGTCATCGTCTTCATCGGCGGGGATGACTTGTTGGAGAATCCTGTGACGGGTTAGTTGATTGATATCGAAGGGATAAGTAGTGATGCTTGCTTGGAAAAGACTCGGTCTTGTAGGGACATCGAATTACCGGGTTTTATACGGTTTTCGTCGAGTTGAGAAGCTACAATACCTTGGGCTTTGTTCTTCATGTTCGTTGCGGACAGATATCTCTTCATTTTGTCCCGCCGGCGCTCCGAGTCGGGAGATGAAGGTTCGCCCTCATTTTGAGGAACGGCCACGTAGGGAATGGGTTCTTCCCGATTAGCAAAAGCGTCTGCTGTGAATTCGTCCATTCTGCGAGGATTGTTAAGATGCTAGATGATCGTCATTGTTGAATAAAGCGATGTCAATGTTGTACATGGATGATGCGAAGGATATTCATGAGTTGCCTAGGCATGTCGTCGTTGGCATGTGAGCGCCACATGTGACACTAGCCACGTGATGAGGAGATCCGTGGCGTTACACATGTGGCGCTTTTCCTCGAGAAAGACAGGATTCAGGGGTTGAAAGAACTGGACTGAGATTGTGGAGATGGCTTCAAGCCTTCCATCGATCCCTCCCGTGTCTAAATTATCCACCGTCCATGGATTGTGGCATCATGATCTGGGGGATGTGATGCGTATTGATGCTTGCGGACAAAAGTCAATGCATCTCATCACTCCTGAAACTCGCATATCAAGACGACATCCTCGCTACTTGGATTGTGTAACTTGTTTCCATGCACATCTTGTTAATTACCCGAGGGACTAACGTGAAGACGAGATTAACCAGAGACTGCAATCGAAATACTCCGTCTCAGCAACCACTTTGGCAGTGTGGACAGGTGGTGGACGAATCACCAAGCAAGATCACTCCTAACCATCACCAGCGAAACCCGAATAAGAAAGGCCTCTTTTGCGCGGCAGTAGATCGTATGGTTCAAGTGTGGTGTCTAATGCACGCCTGGTCTTTTGCAATATTGATTCCCCGTAAATCAGCGCCAGTGTCGAGTCCTTGCAGGTAGGTACATTAACGGTCTCCCGGGGGGCACCCTTTTACCCCTGTCAAGCGTAGGCCCAGAAATCTGAACTCCCACGCCAATCACCAGGAATTGTAGATTATTGTCACCGCAACAAATCACTCTTCACCCTACTGTATACACAACTTATTCCTCCACAGTATCTCTGTCATTGACACGAGGTGTCTTTGGATCAGTGCACCAGGGCAGATCATCAACCGGAGCACCCGGATGCATCCTTGACGACATTCCAATATACGCGTCGACGCTGCTGTTCCCTCCCCTAGCCACAGTCGACTGGTCAATCCTTACTGTACCCCGAACCTGGTAGCTGCATGGCCGCGACGAAGGCCGTCTGACCTTCAACCAACCCAACTCTACAACATTCGAAATGGCTTGATTGAGCACCTCTAACGGTGTTCAATGCCGACGCAGCGTCGCTGTATGCGAAAGAGTTGGGGAAACACATAGCGCAGGCACTGTCAGGCTTGGAATTGCGGTCACAACGATGCCTTATCGACAACATGCACCTTCCACGTTCACAAACCCTGCAGACCAGTCCAGATACACAGATTCTGTCAGGGCCACTGACTTGGGGAATGGTGGTACGAACTTCATGCAAAGGATGCCTGCAGCACATCAATCTCGACTGACACCCTCCCCTCTTGTAGGAGATAATGCCCCGGCCAGGAATCTAGCGTTGACTGCCTCCACAATTGCAGCCTCCAGACGCGACGCCGTTGAAAATGCCACAGCTTCGACCTTCAGTTCCCGGAGAAGGCAGTCGTCGATCCCGAGTGCCAAAGCTCCCGTAGGTCCGCGACCTCTGGACCACGGTACTGGGAAAAGGTTGGTGTTGGCCCGTCCGCAATTTCCAAAACATCACCACGACCTCTGACTAACTCCTGCCTCGTCATGATTTAGGTCAATAAGCAACTCGATGAACCCTCAGTTCAATTCTGTCCGTGGAACCTCCACCGATGCATCCCAAGAGCCCGAACTATCCATCAACGACATCTCCAGATTCAGCTTTGCATCCATACAGGTCAATCCGTCAGCGCAGGACCATGGAAATGCGTCACTGGACTTTGGCAATTTCCTCGAACCGACGTTCAACTTCGACGACTTTCAAGATACAATAGTTGGCACAGACCCTAACCTGAACAATTTCCCTCTCCCTGGTCGAGGTGCATCTGTGAAAGGTGCTGACCCCAACGGAACCTCCGCAACCGTGCAGAAGAAGCCCATATCGCAACCAGCGATCCCTATACCAACACGCAAAGGGTCTGGGGTAACGCCTCTCGCGCGCAAAGGTTCGACAGCCTCCACGACCTCAAGAAAGTCCTTACAGTCCGATCCAATGACTGCAACTACCACATCCATCCTCCGAGGTAGACGACAGAGCCACTTCCCTCCTAATTCTTTCAACAACCCAAACACTACTGGCAAGGCGCCCAGAAAGTCAGTCGGTCCGGGTACGTTCATTGCCCCAGAAGCAGCAGAAAAGACGGCAACAAAACAACGACCGAGCATTGGCGGAAGGAAATCAAGTGCAGAAAGTACAAAGAGTCTGACGCTGAGGCATGTCAATCACCGGGCCGAAGAGAGTAGTTCGGAGGAGACAAAAACTACAAGAGCAAGAGCCAGCAGAGCCTCTTTGGCACCAAAGCGACAGGCGTCAAAAGACCTGCTTACGCCGTCTAGGACGCCGGATCATTCGAAATCGGCCACATCAAGCGCTCATCAAACTCCGACTAGAAGAAGTGGCACACCCGGGAGGACAACGACGCCTGGAGGCAACGGTGATCTTGCGCGTCGAATGTCAGTCAAACCCCACCATGCAACGGGGCTAGGTGCCCGAACCGTAAGCCCGACGGATGCTCGACGCATGAAAAGAATGTCTATCGTTCCTCCAGCACCACCTATACCTCAAAGCCGGATATCTCAAGCACCGCCAACTCCTCAACCTGAACCAGTCCCGCAAATACCCTCATCTGACCTGCAGTCGCCCAGCTATCCTAGTCGCAAAAGCCTAACACCATCTTCATCAAGGACGACACCAGATCCGAACCGCAAGTCGTACAGCTCAGGTCAATCATTGTCGTCCAACACTAGCTACAGTTCGATCCGAAACACAATTAACAATGTGGCACGCCTCTCTCAAGCATTGAATTCGTCCAGGTTACCAACACCAAAGCCTCGACTGGACACGTCTACAAGTACGTATGAACTCGAGGTACCACCGGTCCCAGCTATACCCAAGGCGTATGAATCTCCTGGAAGCGAGCAAGAACAACCTTTCTTCTCGGCCAGGTCTTCGGGGTTGCCACCATTTGACGGACCGATATCTGCAAGCCCGATAGTCTCTGGCTTAGCTGACGCCATGAAAGCATTGGAAACGCCTCGAGCACCTAGTTCATCGTCACATATGTCTGGTGTGCCTTTACAGGCCGAGATGGAACTCAAACCGAAGCCACAAGCCAAAGCCAAACCAAAGCCTGTGCAGAATTTACGACTTCCGCCGTTGACCTTATTGCCGCTGAGTACACCCACAGCTGCAAAGATCAGGTCGCTCAATGCCAAACCTGAGACAGGCGAAGGAACCACCACGCCGCCTGGAGATCGCGCCATCATGAAAACTCCGAGCACCCCGATGACCGCTTCCAAGGCGACTTTCTTCTCCAAGGGACACCAGCCTACCGAGCAAACTCTGGTACTGCGAAGTAGCACTTCACATCATGCTCTCCGAACGGCTGACGCCCGCGCTCCTAGCGATATCAGTCCGGCTTTGCCTCCCTTCGCATTTGGTGGTGATCAGGCTAACCATCGCAATATATCTCCCTTTGTATCCTCATCCTTGCCCAAGAACAATGAGGAGTTTGGGAACTTCATGAGACCCAACTTCATCACTGAGTTAAGTCGGAATCCGAGTCAAGCGAAACCCAATGGCCCGAGAGCTCCGAGCTTCTCTATGAGTCAAAAGGTCGAGGCTGCACCGAGCCCCGAGAAACCATCCGAAGTCCCATCTACATTCTCGACTTCATCACTCAGACGAAAATTGAGCCGCAAACGGAGTGAACCGAAAATGGCAGAACAAGCTCCTCAAGAGAATGATCTAGCCAAATATGACAATATGCCTCCGCCGAAATTGCCTGCCTCGGCAAGCTGGACGAGTACTCAGATTGGAAATTCAAGTCCTCAAAAACCGTCATACCTTAGGTCCAGGAGACAGGCGTCTTCTGGTAGTATGAAGAGTGTACCGGAACGACAAGAGAGCTTCGATAGCACATTCTCACAATTCTCCAACAACCGACCGTCTGTGGAAGCAGCCAGAGGCCTGATGCAACATGCAAACAAATCCGGCTCTCTGTCTGCGAGTACCCCCAGTCTTCTCTCGACAAACACACCTCTGCACAAGCAACAAGAATCTGCCTTGGACCGTGATGACATGCTTGCGGAAGAAGAGATGAAGAAGTTGGCAGCCAAAAGAAAAGACTTTGAATCTGCTGCACGTGAACTTGACGCCCTCAATGCGAGGGCCAAGCCTGTCAAGCGCATGTCGCACGAGACAGCCAGCCGTATATTCAACTTGAACCTCTTTGAACGTGGTGAGATTGTCGACTACCCCGACATCTATTTCACCGGCTCGTTGAGCGGCAGAAAGATTGTGGGAGACTTGAACTCCGCAGCTTCCAATTTTGGCTATGATGACGAACGAGGGGACTACAACATTATTGAAGGAGATCATCTTGCATATCGATATGAAGTTGTCGACGTGCTTGGAAAGGGCAGTTTTGGTCAAGTTGTGCGCTGTGTGGATCACAAGACTGGTATGCTTGTCGCTGTGAAGATTATTCGCAACAAGAAGAGGTTTCACCAACAAGCCCTTGTGGAGGTCAACATCCTTCAGAAATTGAAGGAATGGGTAAGTCAAGACATTCTCGAGTAACAAAAGTGTGCTCACATCAATTAAGGACCCCCACAGGAAGCACAGCGTCATCAGCTTCGACCAAAGCTTCTACTTCCGAGGTCACCTCTGTATATCCACCGATCTTCTAGGCATGAACCTTTACGAATTCATCAAAGCTCACGATTTCCGAGGCTTCTCTTTGAAGCTGATACGACGATTCACGAAGCAATTACTCCAGACTTTGACGCTTCTGCAACAACATAAAGTTATTCATTGCGATCTCAAGCCAGAAAATATTCTGCTTGCTCATCCTGTTCACTCCGAAATCAAGGTTATCGATTTCGGTTCGAGTTGTTTTGAAAATGAAAAAGTGTACACCTACATTCAGTCTCGATTTTACCGGTCACCCGAAGTCATCCTGGGCATGTCTTATGGTATGCCAATTGACATGTGGAGTATTGGATGCATATTGGCCGAACTGTTCACCGGGTATCCGATATTCCCGGGTGAGAATGAGCAAGAGCAATTGGCGTGCATCATGGAAGTTTTTGGTCCTCCAGAAAAGCATCTGATTGAAAAGAGTAGTCGAAAGAAGCTTTTTTTCGACTCAATGGGAAAGCCTCGCCTGACAGTTTCATCCAAGGGGAGAAGGAGACGGCCTAGCTCCAAAGATCTGCGACAAGTCCTCAAATGTGATGATGAAGCATTCCTTGACTTTATCGCCAAATGTCTGAGATGGGACCCCGCTCGACGAATGGGTCCTCTCGAGGCGAGCAAGCACGAATTCATCACCGGAGTCAAAATCACGAGCGCCACAAGAAGGAACCTTTCAGTGGCGAACTCCCCCATGAAGAGAGTCAATTCTGTGACTGGCGCTGGTGGTGCTAGACCCTTGCCACAACCTCCCACCGCTTTGAAGGCTCCTATTATAAATCGACAAGAAACCTCCCCAAGCAAACCTGGAGCAAGACGTCAATCAACCGTGGCACAATCACACGCCAAACGAGCTTCCCATGCAGCAATGACGGCTTCACAATCGAACCCCAATCTTACGAGGTTGACGGCAGGTCAAAGGAGCTTGAGTGGGAGATCTGACTTGGCAACTGCTGCTGCAGCTGCAAGCCTGATCAAGTAGGGGGTTGATGCCGAGGCTTCTTCTTGGAGGAAACGAATTTCTCATCATTAATGAACATATAAAGATCAGCATAGCAACAGCGGAGTTTAAGTCGTTATCATTGGCCAGGAGGATACTTGTCGACCCAGCAGGATTGAACAGACTGAAACAAACAAATAGGTCATCATGACTTGCTTGAAATGTTGTCGAAGGACTTGCCGAGTGTGACACTACAGTATATACCCCATGGCTCTTTGAATCCTATGGAAGGACAAACTTCAAGGAACGGTTGGTCAACTCAGGCGGTGCACGAGCAGATGATACCTAGGTTGCAACGTTCCAACTGAATGTTCACCGAGGCACTACATTTCATTGTCATATATTCTAAGCCTCACTAGCCTGGCCTCCCCGAAATTGATGAGGTCAAGTACCTACGGTACCTAGGTAGGTAGGTAAGCTTCGACCGGCTTGGCAGCAATTGTCGATGCATCCGTTATTGCCTCTAAGAATTTCAATCAAATTGCACAGCAGGACTCCAGTCTTTGCGCAAGGCGGTTTCCGGTACCCTGGTTACTGCCTTCCAGGATTTATCAGCGGATCATCAGGTAGGTGCGCGTGAAGATGCCTTCCGCACGTCCAAGCCATTCCTTCCTGAATCACCACGAGACTCGGAGACGATCATAGGCCCGGCTGTGTAACGACCTCTGCAAGGCTGGAACAGACACCGCTTCGACCTCCAATTGTTATCCACAGCTAGAGCCTAACGTATCGCCAATGTCGAGCGCTCCCCTGGTTGGCGTGGCCATGTCTCCCGTCTCTCCGTCGCTTAGCCGGGAAAGGGCGCTTCCCAGGTCAGCTCTCATTCGACTTCGGCGCTTAGCGACTTAGCATTGCCACCACAACTGAGCCTTGCTGTCTGCCTGCCCGTTACATACTATAGCAGCATGTTAACATGGCGTACTTCTTTCGTAAAACTTCATCGAATGCGACGGAGTGCTCTTGCTACTGCTAAGGTTTGCTCATTGCTCCACGGGAAACCTTGTCGTTTTGCTGAAGTCCGCCGTCACAACTGGCGACTACTGTTGATGAAGCATGGCACTTGTCTTACGTCAGGCTGCCTCTTCGAGTCCCAAGAACCGCCTTTCCAAAGCCCTGGACGACTTCGAAGCCCATCTGGACAAAAACTGCAAGGTCGTATTCGAGAAGGAGCGCCGCCAGAGTCAACCTACTCTCGAGGATGTCTTGAGCTTCACGGAAAGACTTGACAAGGAAAATGAGCAACGTCGTTGTAAAGGCGTTGGACCACGCCTCAATACGATCCTCGAAGCGGTACACCAATTCTCGGGTGTGATTGATACGGTGGTAGGAGGATCTCAATCTAAGCTGGCCGGTCTCCTATGGGGTGCCATCAAAACGACCTTGTTAGTTATGCAAAATTCGTCCTCCTATTTCGACAAGCTATCCGACCTTCTCATGCACGTCGGCAGAAGCTGTCCACGCTTTCAGGAATATGGTCTTCTATATTCCACTTCGGCCAAGTTGCAGCTTGCCCTATGCGGTTACTTCACCGTTGTAGTAAGGCTCTGCCAGGATGCAGTCAATTTCATCACGAAGTCCTTGGTTGCACAGCTGTCAGCCACTATTTTTGACCCTTTCCAGACCGGATTTGGGCAATACGAAAACGAACTCACGCGCCACGGCAAAGCCATTCGAGATGAGGTACGTCTGGCAGGCATTAAGGAGCAACAGCTCGTCAACACGAAGAACGAGAGCTTTCATCGCAAATATCTTGCGGAGAATCGCAAGAACAAGAGCGAAAAAGCAAAACGCCGCTTTCTCGAAGCCTGTTCTCAGTACGACTATAAACCAGCATTCCTTCAAGCTCTTGGTCGTGGTCAGAGCAGCTGGATACTTCACACCACAGAGTACATGAAATGGACTGAACCCGCTTCGAGCATTATCTGGTGTATTGGTAAACTGGGTTCGGGAAAGACTGTTCTCACAGCCAATCTGGTACGGAACATTCTCCGCATGGCATCGAGTCAAAGACCGTCTGCTATAGCCAGTTACCACTTCTGCAGGTACGATGAGGCAAGGTCGCTCAATGTTCGGACCATTGTCGGCAGTATCGCACGACAGCTGCTTCTTTCAGCACCACCAAAAGCCTTTGCAAACTTGGAAGTGGACTGGTTTTCCCTTGACTCGGACCAGATTATGGAAATTATGCGAAAGTTGCTGCCTCCTGGTACTCAGGAATACTTCGTCGTCATCGATGAACTAGACGAATGTGACACCCCCGAGTCTCTCCTTGTGTATCTCAAAGAACTGCTCACATTTGATCGCAGAATTCACGTTTTCTGCTCGTGTCGCCCAGATACGTACCAAAGGCTTTCCCCAGACTTGGAGCCCAGATACACCGTATCAATGTTGAATAACACTGAACTTGAGGGGTACATCAAGACCGAGTTGGAGAGGCGCGTTGCGAATGGTGTCCTGCGAGTGGGAGACAGAAGTATCATTCCAAAAATGCGCGATGCTTTAGTCCAGGGCAGTCAAGGAATGTAAGCATATCTGTCCCCCATCCTGCCTCCAAGACCTACTGAACACGCCTTCAGGTTTCTCTGGGTCGCTTTTCAACTTGAATCGATATGCTCCGAAGAAACAGACCGAGGGATCATGGAAGCCCTTGGTCTATTACCAAAGGACCTACCAGAAACATATGACCGCATCCTCGGGAAGTTGCAGCGCGGTAAGAGGGGTGCAGTCCTTCGAGAAGGGTTGCTCAAAATCCTTTCTACAGCACGGCGCCCATTGAAACTAGAGGAGTTTCGCGAGGCGCTGAGTATAGATCCTGGTAAAACGATCTGGCCAGCGGATAGCTTGATCAACGATATCGAAGGGGCCATTCCTCGCCTATGCGGCAGTCTGGTCATTGTCGCCGAAGGCGAGGGTACTGTACATTTTGCCCATCACAGCGTGAAACAACACCTGCTATCCCACGCTCAGGGACGGGCTGGCCTCCTGCGCATTGACTCTTCGCAGGCTGACTCGTATCTTGGAGACATTTGTGTAACCTACCTGAACCTCAATGTCTTCGAAACACAGATTTTCAAAGTACAGACGCGTAAACCATTGGTGGTGACGAATATCTCCAACACCATAGCTCGAAATTCCTACTCTACAACTGTGCAGAACCTGGCGTGGGCCTTTTCCAAGGTTAAAGGGCTCTCGCAACGAGACTCTTGGGTCGACCTACACATAACGCCAACAAGTTCGTCAACACCGTTTCGGTACGAGTACGCTTTTCTCGACTATGCAGCATGGTTTTGGCTAGATCACATTGAAGGCTTCCGACATGCTACGAACACGGAAACATACGAACTCTTCCATCGCCTGGTTAGGGACCAGGTGAGTATCTCAAAGCCACCGTGGGAATTGACTCTCGACCATGAAGGTGGTCTAAAACCGGTTCCGCGGTTGTGCTGGGCTGTATCAAGGGAGCGAGTAGATTTGGTTGAGGCGTTGCTTAACATGAACGAGGTCGATGTCAACCTCCAGGACTCCGATGGAAATCCCGCGTTGTCCTTCGCTGCGTGTTCTGGTCAAGACGCCGTGGCAAGGCCACTATTGCTGGCGGGCGCCGACGCAGGTTTACCAAATGCGAAAGGGTGGACGCCGTTGATTCAAGCTGCGAGATATGGTCACGAGTCGACTGTACGCCTCCTGTTGGACCACGTCAAATACGATGCCAAGGTAATTGCGCATAGAGACTGGTATGACTGGACGGTGCTCCATCATGCGGCCGCGGCGGGTCATGAAGGTGTCGTCAAACTGCTTTTGGGACTGGACGGTGCCTGCATAGATGCTGCGGACAAGTCTGGCATGACGCCACTCGCGAGTGCCGCAAAGAACGGGCATGGAGGTGTCTGCAGCCTGTTGCTCGCTCGTGGCGCAGCAGGCATGGACCAGAGAGACCGCCAATATTCGAGAACGCCGTTGTCATGGGCGGCGGTTTCTGGCCATGAAAAGGTGGTTGCAATTCTCCTCGAGCAGGATGGCGCCGACCCTTGGTCGAAGGATATTGACTGTCGGATGCCAATGTCACACGCAATGGAGCAAGGCCACAAAGGAGTGGAAGAGCTACTCAGAGCCTTTCGAGCTGCTGGGGGGTCGAGACGGGCAAGTCAACGTACCAAAAATCAGGGCCTAGCAATTGGCCAAACGATGACATTTTTGCGCAAGCCACTTGCAACAAGACAAAACAGCCACGATCGGTGAGGAGACGATGTTCGTGTAGATAGCGTGGGCAATATACACAGAGAGACCAAGGAAAGGAAAAGCAAGACTTGCATACCCTCGTAAAGTCTGAAATGATACAATCAATTGTATGTACTGTTGCCATGCGCCCAGGCAAACGCCATCGTCACATAATAACGAGAATGTCTGAAGCAATGCCTTGTCGCATCCGGCTCTCCACGCAGCTCTCCGTCGTCACTCCGTTCCTCGGTTCAGCAGCAGGTTCCGTGGTAATCAAATCTTTAACAGCAGTCGGCAAAGCACTCGCAGCAGTCGGCGCAGCATTCACATCCTTCTTCGGCGACGAAGCAGCAGCACAGGGCGGCAAGACTGTGAAGATACTTGTTAGTCTTATGTAACCGTAATGGACGGACTGTTGGAATGTTTCTTACCATGCCTGCAAGCATCCTCCACTTCTCTTCTCCCTCACAACGACAGGAGGTTGTTGTTGGTATCCCATTCCACCCTGTTGTCCGTACTGCTGCGGAGGCCCTTGCTGATAATATCCTTGCTGTGGAGGGCCGTTGTATCCTCCTTGTTGGCCTGGGTACCTGTGAGATTGTGTTAGCATGAGTGTCGCAAACGCGCGAAGCCATTGTCATTACGATTGAGCAGGGTATTGAGGGCCGCCCCCGTAATAGCCACCCTGTTGTTGTTGGTTGTTGTAATATCCTTGATTCGACATTGTGAAGTGACTGTGTTTGATGCGATGAAAGTGAAGCGAGTGGAAAAGTGGTGATTGATGAGGTGTGTGTCGCAATCGATGAGAAAGAAGGTGGAGGTGTCAACGGATGAAGGATGTCAAAAAGGAAGCGAGAGGAAAGAGAAGCTGTTTCAGGCGGTGGACTGCGCTTGGTCGGGCCGGGTGAGTTTTAGGCCTGAATGATGATTTGCTTCAGGTGCGATTGCCACGGTGCCACCCACACTTTGGGTGCTTATCTCCAACTTCCCGCGGCACGAAGCGATGCGATTGTCTTTCTGCTGTTACAGATCCGGGTTTGAATCAGATTATGGAAGATTGCAGATTCCTCTTTCTGCCCATCCTGGACTTATATCTCGGTTGCCTTCCTTCTACTCCTAAATGATTCCGGAGGCGAATCGCCCTCATACAGTCCAGACTCTACAAGGCACCAGTGGCATCTACGACCGAGCCGACATTCCAGCTTGCATTCGCTCTTGATGCGCAATCCGTCCAGGCGCAGCTGAACAAAAAGACCGGCCGACGCTCGCTCAGCCACACCACCAAAGCCAACCGAGCACCTTCGCAACCAATCATGCTCGCAACGTCGAGCACTTCCACTACGATCACGGGCTTTCATATGATGCCGCTTGCAGAGTCATTGGTTGCCACAAGCACCTCTTCAGCCACTCCGCCAAGTACGGCCACGAAGCCATCGGTCGCAAGCAGCAGAGCCATCGGGAGGCTAGACTCTGGCAGCATAACACACCCAGTCCTACGCACACAGTGGCAAGTTGATCCTGAGTAACAACGAAAAAGGCAATAACTTTTAGATACATCCCAATCGCCGCGAAACGTTGCCAGCAAATCCAAAACGCCTCCCTCAAAGGAGCATACAATGCAGCCGGCAAAAGCAGGCCTCTGCACCTCGAACACAGCGTCAAAAGGAACACATCCTCCCAGACATGAGTCCACTGTTGTCAAGAAAGCCTACTAGTCAGGCTGATACCAAACCCATCACCTAATCATAATGTGTCCACCACCCTGAAACATCTGTGTACAACCAAGAAGATACAAGGTATGTCTATTGCACCCACATACAGCAAGACAACCAAAACAGGTAATAACATATCCACCTCTTCATAAATTATGTCCAGTCATCATTCATCAGGTCGTTCAATATTGCAAGCCAGCCTGCTCTGGGAGAAAATAGCCAGTCTGCCCAAAGACAGGTTGTGCGACCATATTGTCGTAATACACTGGCTCTTGCATGACTTCGAATCCAGGCACGCCGACTTGTTGTGCCATATCCCCCGTGATATCAAAGTCGTTGGTGGTCATATTGCTGGGGTGGGCATTGATCATTTCATTGACGGCAGCAGTCTCGAAGGTCGCGTCGGGAATGATATCCTGGACCACGACTCTTCCGTTGATGTTCAGCTCCAGCTCTTCATACATCCAGTGTTTGAGCATTTCCATAGGTGGGTGATTGCCTCCACCCATACCACCACGGCCTTCACTCTTGATGCCACGGCCACCACGGCGATGTTTACGTGGGTTGAAGTGAGCTCGACGCAGATGAGCGGCAGCATTGTAGTTGGCGCCGTACGTCTTGCGGTTGCGGCAGGCTTTACAATTCGACAAGAAGCTGCCGTCGACAGAGGCGTCTTTGCAGATCCATACTCGTCGCACTTGAGCATGATGACGTTCGATGTGTCGACGCAGTTCGTGATCACCGTGAAAGCCAAGCGGTTGAGCATTACAGAAGCGACAGAAGGTCGTCTTACGTGGCGGCTGTTGTCGAATGGCTCGTGAAATCTCCGCCTTGTGCTTTACTGTACCATCTTCAGCTTTGACGGCGACGATCTTCGGTTCAGGAAATTCAGCATCAGACGACAAATTGTTCTTGATGCATTGCATCCTCGGCGCCAAAGGTCGCGAGACACTGTTACTGGCACTTCGAGGGACCACTTCTTGTGGCAGCCCTCGAGCCGATGACAAGTGAGACTGAGAAGAAACAGAAACGGATGAAGCATTGCTGCCAGACGATGGCGAATTCTTCATCTCGTAACTGGAAAGAGAAGACGATGACGCAAAGTCATCATCGTGAAAAGACATATGAGAAAAGTTGTTGTAGCCAGATTCGGCTGCAACAGAAGGAAAAGGAAAAAATTGCGCAGAATCAACATCATGAGCTTGAGACATATGTGTCTCAAGCATGTCAACCGTTTGGGGGAGTTTCGACATCGACGTTGAGTCCATGCGAAACATCCCAAACGGTTCACAGAGCACATCATTTGTGTTTGTCCGAGTCATAGGCTCGGACATGATTGTCGATGCGACCGTGAGGCCTGCATCGCTAGTAGCAGTCAAGGGAGTATAGACTCCTGGTGACTCTATTGCTGGGGTATACGGTGATGTGAGTTGAGACATGTACTTTGTTTGCAACTCACCACGCTCCACAAGTGTGGGTGGCGTCGAGGACAAAGTCTGTGGCTGTAAGTCTACCGACGACTTGGCGAGGAAGTCTGACGGCGAGAAGTCCTGGACCTCTTCGATGAAGTTGAGATTGGATCCATGATACCTTGTTGGGTAGGACGCAGCGGCCGGTGTGCGGCGCTGACCGCTCTGCCGGCGTGGAATCAGCATAGGACCTGTCGTATCCGTGGTCGGAAGACAAGGTGAGGTGTGCGCGGAAGTTCGACCAGACTTCCTCGAGGCGGTGGAACCAGCAGGTGCCGAAGTATGTCGTTCGAGGAAGGGTGCCGAAGGAGGCGAGGACGCCATGGAAGCCTTTTTCTCGATCCGTCAAACCAAAGCCACAAAGTAAAGATCACAAGGAGTACATACATGGCCAGCACGTTTGGAAGCGGGCTCTGTACCAACAACCATTGCACTGGACGCAGATCGTTTCTGGGGAAGTGAAGTACCGTGGGTCGGACCTGGATTGGCCATGGCAGCGGAGCTGATGGAGGTCCAGTAGGCCGACCAACGCTTTTCCCGCTCAGCTGGTTGAAGGTGTTGGTGGTCCTGGTCATAGACTGCCCGACAAGAGCGCACAACTTCGATCAGAGCGTTGGTATTGGGATCCATGACTCGTTGACAAAGGTAAGATCTCCGGACCAAGTTGAGAACGGCTGAACCAATCTAGGCAATGGTCAGTCCACAGAAACCTGTCAAAAGCATTGTCAGGTAAACTCAATACTGACTCAAGAGATGATGTTTCGAAAGAGGGCGTGAAATGGTGAAACAGGGTGCAACAGAAAAATCCGTGGAAATGTCAGTAAGTGAAGTTAGCAACAACAAAAGTGAAGCGGAAGCAATATGGGAAGGGTGGAATTCGAGTCGGAAAGAGGAATGGGGATTGGGATGGCTTCGGGGGGTGTTATACATAGTCACGATCACGTCTTTTGCCGACAAGGCATATCGGGCGATGCGATAAAGGGCTGAGAAAAAGGGTTGCGATACCAGGCGTGGGAGCAAGGTGCTTTCCAGACTATGACGATGCGAATGTCGGTGGGAAGCAGGGTGTGAAAGTTGAGGACAACTCGAATTGGGCAAAGAGCTGGTAGGTTCATGATCGTGAAACAACCCTGGTGTTTTGAAATCGACTCTGGATGGACAGCAGAAAGTTCCGGCCTGTGGCGGCCCATGTTGGTGGCCTTTCTCTCGACCTTCTAGGCACGCTTCGGGCCTAGGACAGGAGCCACTTCCCGAACTTCCTATGGCCCACGTTGCCTATCACCTTACCTGTGCGTTTTCGGGCGTGGGCATCTCCCTCCGGGCACGGCTCGAACCCTGCCACAAACCCTTTTTCCAGTCGGAACTGCTTGAAATGTGCTGAATCTGGCCAAGCAAGTTACGACACTGGACTGCTTGAAAGTTCTGGCCCGTCGATCATTGTGATTGGCGGTCTGCAAGGTCCTTCTAGCGAGGTTTCCTGCTGGCATCGAGAAGGAAAAGATCGGATGGGTGTTGATTGGCGTTTCAATTGCAGCTGCAGCTGTTTACTGGTCGCCTCACTTTCGACCTTTTCTTGTTTGCGTCCTGTGGTCATCAACGCTGGTTAGTCGTCTGACTAGATCGGTGCCCAACCAAGCCACTACAACTATTGTTGATTCGCCAACTGAGCAAGCACTTATGCATAAAGCACGGTCTGTTTATCACATGAGGGACGTATGCGGGCATGAGATCTTGCCTGTGCCGCGTGGGTGTTGTGATCGCGCAACGACAACTGGACTTGACCGTTTGTTCGGCAAACATGATAGAGTTATACAAGAAGACAAATGACCTGCAGCCTTTCAAGTGCAGTTTGGGCTGCAGACACGGAAAAAGGACGCTGCATCTTCTGTGGAACGTTGACCGCGGTCTGTAGCGATGAACAGATGTTCCTGTGTCACGTTTCGCGATTCGTCCCGCCCAACGGCAGTCGTTGTAGAGCAGATGGGAGTTAGGCTTCGTAGAGCCTCAATGTACATTGTGGAAGGAGTCTTTGTCGTCTTGTGCTTGCAGAGGAACTACTTGCTAGCACGATGGGCTCTTCTGCCCAACGTACTTCTACTGACGTACCGACTGCGGATGGACGGGAAAGTGTTTTCCCTGCTGACGAGGCCGCGAGACAGGCCAGCTGCAGTGATCGATGGAAGTGATGGTAGATTTTGTGGCTGAGAGGTGAGCTGTCATCTAGCATGTGAATCTTGCCGGCCTACACGCCTACCAGGACGCTGCAGACTGAGAGTTCAAGGATGTGAGCAAAGGAGAGTCGGGAAAGATGCTTCCTTCGTACGGCCAGCTGTGAATCTACCCAAAGTTGGAGTGTCTCTTGCAGGTCACGGATGAGACACAGCCTAGATCGATAAAGAGTTGCAGCACCATTCCGAGTGTCTTGTTCAATAATCTAGAAGCATTTTGTTTGGGATATGATCTGTCAAATGTGCAGGAAGGCCGAGACCATATAAGATAGGCACGTTATATGAGACGATCAGGGCCGATGCTTGATCCGAGATTGGAAGAATTCGGGTGATGACCTTCGATTTCCAGAATATCAGTCCCTGTTGATCATGATTTTGTTGAGGATGATCATTGCTGGCGATCCAGTAACGTGGAAAGTACTCGACATGCGAAGCGTGAAGGCTGAAGCAGATCAAAAGCTCAAGATAGGAAAAGGAGCAAGGCGAAATATTGTTCCGCCTTGCCGGAGTATTGCCGCATGGTCGCGATCTGATTGGCGTGAGTGAGGGCAATGTAAACAAACACCTTCGATCACTGCTTGATTTCTAGGAGCCGAACACCACCACATCGCAGTTGTTGTTAGAGTCTCTCGACAAGATGTCTGTCGGCGAACTCTTCGCGGACGCGCAACGCTCCCTCGTCGGGCACAAGTCTCTTGCGAAGCGACTGCGCCGGCTCGAGAACAGTCCCAACTTCGAAGCGCACGTCAAGCAATGCGTCTTTCGACTGCTGGACGTCAGCAAATCCGAAGTCGCCGGCAATCGAGTCATCAAGTTCCTTTCCATCTATCTCGAGTCGGCAGATGCATCAAGCCGAACCACATCCTCTATTCTGCTCGCGTTACTGCCCTTCCTATGCGCGAAAGACAAGACAGTGCGGTACAGAGCAACACAGATCATCTCTCAGATTCTGGGAGTGCTAAGTGCAATTGACGATGATCTATACAAAGTGATCAGACATGAGTTGATTAAGCGTCTGCGCGACAAGGTTCCTGCGATCCGTCTGGAGGCCGTTCTCGCTTTGGGGAGACTCGTTCTAAATGAAATGGAAGAGGAGGACGAAGAGCAAGATTCGGATGAAGATGTCGCGCCGGGTTTGCTGGAGAAACTTCTCGATGTGCTGCAAAATGACACCAATGCTGATGTCCGGAGAGCACTTCTTCTGAATCTTCCGTTGACGCCGAAAACATTGCCATACCTGCTGGAACGGGCGAGAGATCGCGATGCGCCGACTAGGAGAGCACTGTACTCACGGCTGTTGCCTAAATTGGGCGACTTCCGCCACTTGTCGTTGTCGATGCGAGAGAAGTTGTTGAGATGGGGATTGAGAGACCGCGACGAGAAGGTCCGTCAAGCTACAGCTCGTCTGTTCAGGGAGCGCTGGATAGAAGATTGTGCTGGGTCGAGGGTCGAGCAGACTATCGTCGATGACGCAGATCAACCGAAAGAGAAAGTCGGTTTCTACGACCCTGATATTGCGGCATTGTTGGAATTGCTGGAAAGAATCGACACTCTGAACACGGGCAACGAAACTGGTATTGCCAGAGAAGCCATGAAGGAGTTTTGGACTGGTCGACCAGACTACCTTCAGGCAGTGTCCTTTGATGACGAGTTTTGGGACAATCTGACCCCCGAGTCTGCTTTCATGGCACGAACTTTCAATGACTATTGTCAACAACAGCAAGAGCCCAAGTACCAAGCCATGATCGAGGAGAAGATGCCTGAAGTCACTCGCCTTGGATTCCACCTACAGAAACACATCAACGAGCTTTTGGTCAGAGTGCAGGCCGCTAACGAGACCGACACTGACGAGAAGCTCGCCGAACAAGCCGAGCAAGAATTCATCGTCGAGCAACTTCTCTACATTGCGCAGACCCTAGACTACACTGATGAGGTCGGCCGGCGGAAGATGTTCTCTCTACTTCGTCACGCCCTTTCAATGGCAGATCTCCCAGAAGAATGCACCAGGCTTTGCGTGGAGGCACTGCGACTGGTCTGCAACCGGGATGCAGCGGGCGAGAGGGAATTTACTTCTGTTGTCCTCGAAGCCATCGCCGAAGTGCACGATAATATCGCCTCTGACGACCCTGAGGATGAGGTGCCTGACAACGACGACGAAAGCTTCGTCTCGGCTCGCAGCGAAGTCAGCGACCACTCGTCTGATTCGACGCCTACGAACGGCGGCGTCAGCAACGGCAAGAAGAACAAGAACAAGAATCTGTCAGAAGAAGAGCAGGAGGCGCAGGCCATCAAGGAGATTGTCATCAACATGAAATGTCTGCACATCGCGCAGTGTATGCTTCAGAACGTCGCTGGCAATCTGCAGTCCAACATCCACCTGCGCACGATGTTCGATAACCTCGTCATCCCTGCTGTGCGGTCTCATGAAGTCCTTATCCGCGAACGCGGTGTCCAGTGTCTGGGTCTGTGCTGTCTGCTTGAACCGAAATTGGCCGACGAAAACATGCGACTGTTCACGCATTTGCTCAAGAAGGGCCATGAGACGCTGCAGGTCATGTCGCTGCAGATTCTGTGCGATATCCTGATGGCGCGAGGCCCGGCTCCTGTTGATGGTGGTGCGGCTGCTGCACCGACGTCGCCGAATACTAGCGGCGGCGAGATCGAGACGAGTACCACGAACAACAATCACCACAGTCAAAATATGACGAGCATGCTTGCGCCGTTCATCAAGGCCTTGTCCCAGAATTGTCCGGAGGAAGTGCGCGCCACGGCTACGACGAGTCTGTGCAAGCTTATGCTGTGTGGGTTCTACAAGGACAATGAGGAGTTGTTTGACCAGATTGTCGAGAGGGCAATGCAAGTTACAGCTAAGGGGTGGGAGTTGCTGGAGAAGGTTAAGAACGCTGTCGTCGTGGATAGAGAGAAGGAAAAGGAGAAAGAGGGCGTGACCGTGATTGGAGCTACAAGGTTGAGCACTGAGGGCATCGGCAGCAGCACACCAGGGAGGCCCAGCGTTACACCAGGAAGAAAGAGTGGCATCACACCAGGCCGAAGGATCACAACAGGGAGAATGAGTGACGAAGGGTTGGATATATCGGCATGATGCTGCATCACCATGACCTGGAAATGATATATTGTAGCATATTCAATCGGTGTTTCGCGTTTTGAGCCCAGGGTATCACAATTCTTTTTGACGCATGCCGCCACGACGTTGTCTTACAAAATACCCTGCTTTTGCAGATCCAAGTAGATCCTCTCGGGCATGACGTTGCCCTCTCCATCCTCCATTTGGACAACTCCGTCCTCTTTACTCTCCTTGTCGCGCTTCTCCCGCTTGATCTTCTCCCACAGATTCAACGCCTCTTGAATTCCGGTGATCTCGCGGAACAGACTCAACCCGCCGGTGCCTTGGCCCGTGATGCCCAGACACTTCAAGCCGTAAATGTGCCGCGCCTCGCTGAAATGCTTGTCGAACGCCCGCCTGCCCATGTACACGAAATTACCACATATCTCGCACGTGAACTCGACGCCCAGACCGTGCAGCTTGTACAGCCAGTAGGGGATGGGCTTGCCGTCCCAGGCGAGTGGAAGTTTGAGCGGATTGTAGATCCTCTCGTCGCTGTCGGAGTCACCGTCCGAATCGTCACCGCGTCGGTCGGACGCGGCGATCGCGGCATCGTCTTCGGCGAAGAGGGCGTCCAGCTCGGCTTGTCGTTCTCGCTCGGTCATGCCTTGTTTGCGTTCGACGTTAACGCGGGTGTTGCTGCGTTCGTTAGAGAGAAGGTCGGCGAGGGCGCGGATGCGGAATTCGTGGGAGGCGATTACTCGTTCTTTCAGATGTGTGCCGGAGAGTGAGGTTGCGGAGGGTTGATTTGTTGTGCCGTTAGTTTGCGACTTTTTGGCCTCGGCGTTGCGAATGTGCTTTTTCCCCGTGAGATGGGCTTTGTAGACGTTCGCATTACCGAACTCCTTCTCGCAATCGGAACACCAAATTCCAGAACCTGTGCCTTCTGTCTGCGGTCCGGCTGTGGAGTTGGTAGGTGCTGTCTCTTTCGTCCAGCCTGGAACTGTGCCCGCTTCCCATGCTGTTTCAAACTCTCGTTCCATTCGCAGGAACAGTTTTGCTAGGTCATCTAGTGGTCTTGTCCTCCGCACGAAGCCTTCAAGATAACTGGCTAGATCCGCCACGTATTTCAGATATGTGTCTGTCACCTTACTCTGTCTCTTGATGGGTAGCCGAGGAGGTTCGAAGGCATCGAAGTTGTCGAGATATTGGAGGTACGTGAGGCGCTTGATGCCGGGAAGGTTGAGGTAGTCTTCGTGTAAGGACGTTAGGTCCAGGAATCTGCCGTTTGACTCTTCTCCGGTAAACATGTTGTCAATTTCAGAAGTGATGGGTTCCCCTTCTTCGGGTCGCCGGCGCTTGTATGCGCGTTCGAGATTCTCGACCGGTTCATTGGGATAGCGACGGTGGAAGTCCTTGACCTCTTCTAATTGTTTGTAGAATTCTTCTAGCGGGTCTCCCGTGGAAAGGCTTTGCACTTCCTTGAGCCGCAGTCCTTCAGCATCCTTGTAGATGTCTAGTAAGCGCTTCGACTGCTCTTGGATGCGTGTGAGGAAATTGTTTATTTGGTGGTCTCGGTTTAGACGGTCTTTGATCTGTTTTGACGTTAGCCAGGATATTCTTTCGTTCATGTCGGGTGATGAACATACATTCCTGGGATCTTCTGCAACACGTTCGGCAATGGCTTGCTCCAGACGCTCCAGGTCCTCATGGAGGAATCTCTGGTCTTCTAACAGCATATTGATTGCCCGTGTCTTGGTGTTGATGTCTAGGAAGTTACCTGTACCTCCCGACGACTCTTTGCAGCCTCGAAATTCATTTCCGCGAGAATCAAATCTGGTAGGCTAAGCGACCTATGACAGCCTTGCACGGGACTCAGCCTTGCGCCTTGACGAGGCTGTACTTTTGTATCGGCACACCTTCCTGTGCAATCACTCAAGTGTATCTCGACCTCCTCGTCCTGACCTCTTCCTCTTCCAAATCTTACAGGTTTCGTTTGTTCTGGTCGGACGATCCCTGCGATGTCTGGCGATGACATGCGATACGCTGGGTGGCTTTGCCATTCGACGCATAGTTTCAAAGCTGTCGTCCTGCACTAATCCCAGATCCTGGAAGCGAGCGTGCCTGGAAGCAGCCTCTACATGAGTACGTCGGTCACGCCATTTGACGTCTATATTGTCCCATTCACGAACCATTTCCCCTTTGCGTTCCATTACGCTTTTCTATCGAGTCTCCATCGTCTCCACAGGCCAGTGAGAGGTGAGGACCTTATCAGAAGTACCATTCCCCAAACATTCCACGGCTTCCGAATACCGCACTCGTCGTCCGATGAACCCCTCAGGATCACGTTCTGTAAGCTATGCGAATGAGTTCATGTACTCTAAGCACATTTTTCGCCTCTAGTGCGCCGCCAGCGACTTCGGCCAAACTCTCAATTTGACTCAGGCTGGCAGACTGCATGCATTCGAAAAGCTTTTACTTTCTACTGATGAAACGGTCACCATGGCCTCCGCCAGCAAGAGGCAAGCGTCGTTGGCCGCCACCAATCGCGAGACATTTTGGAATAGCATCAGTAAAGCCACAAATGACGAACTCGGGCCTAGATTTGAACGGATTTTGGTGTCTGTTATACTGTATTGTCTATATCATGAACGAAACTGCCTGTTCTTCTCTCCTCATTCTGTTCTCGGCATCTCTTTCGACTTTCAATTCCAATTTCACTTACTACAGCTTGAACAATGGGTGAAAGAGCTCCGTCGATTGCTCCTTCTGTCGCGTCTTCCACACCATCCAGCAGTTGGAAAGGATGGTTGTGGGATTCTGCTGATGTCTCGAAAGAGGAAAGAAGATTTCTCTTAAAAGTTGGTGAGCTTCCTACAATCTCCAGGCCCTGTGCTCACTGGATTTAAAGCTGGATTTCACCCTTTTGACATTTGGAACACTTGGAATGTTGATCAAATGGATCGATACCTCCAATATCACGAATGCGTTCGTCTCTGGAATGAAGGAAGACCTCAATCTATATGGGAACCAGTATAACTATATTGTCGTTGCATGGACTGTGGGCTACATCATTGGGCAATGGGTAAGCGTCTGCTTCGATACGGACCAGCTTTGACACTAATGATGGTGCAACACAGCCATCCAACTTCATCTTGACTCGAGTCCCTGCTCACAGTATGTATCCGGATCTATCCCCTCCTACACAGCCACCGTGACTTACCCATCTTTTTCAGTTTGGATCCCCTTCCTCGAGATTGGTTGGACAATCTTCACCTTCAGCCTTGCTGGCGCAAAGTCATACTCGGCGATGCTGGGTATTCGGTTTGTCGTCGGTCTCTTCGAAGCAGGTTACTGGCCCGCTCTATACTATATCCTCGGCAGCTGGTACAATAAACGTGAGTTGCTTGCTTGATTCCACAATGACGAAACTGACACTCACCAGGTGAACTTGCAAAGCGCAACGGTATCTTGCAATCGGCAGTATCAATTGCTCCAATTTTCAGTGGCTTCTTGCAAGCTGGAATCTACAAATCGCTCAATGGTCATGCTGGACTAGCTGGATGGAGGTGGCTATTCGGTACGAGTTACAACCTATTTCCCCATCCAGTCTGGAGATCTGACGAGTATCACAGTCATCAACGGTATCATCTCACTACCAATTGCCATCCTTGCTTACTTCTGCTTGCCCGACACCCCCGGCACTGCGAAGCCGAATTGGTTGTTTTCCGAACGTGTAAGTTGCACCGAGAAAGAAATATCGACACTAGCTGACTTCGTCTTCCAGGAAATTGAACTTGCCAGGGAGAGAATGGCGAGAGTTGGCCGTACCCCTGAGGGCAAGCCTTATTCCGCCAAAGTCATCCTCAGCTACTTCCTCAGCTGGAAGACGGTGCTCTTCACGCTCATATTCAGTAAGGCCCCGCCTCAGCTCTTTGGTCATTGATGCTAATCTTGCCCAGCGATGCAACCGTTTGGAAGTCAGCCATTCACTGCGTTTGTCTTCTGGCTCAAAGCACACAACAAGAAGGGCCAACCTGCCGTCTACAGTGTCGCCCAAATCGTAAGACTACCCATCTCTAACGCAGTATACATCTACTAACCCGTGCAGAATGAGTATCCGACAATTGGCAACGCCTTTACTTGCGCGTACTCTCTGGTTGCAGTCTGGGTTTCCGATGGACCTTTGAGAGGCCGGCGCTGGCCGATCATCATCTTCTCGAACCTCATCGCCATTGTCGTCTTCGTGCTACTCGCTGTAACACCTGTGTTCGGCCCGTTCTCTCATCGAGCACCTTTGTATATCGTGTCATCGATTGGAGGAAGCATGGTCCCACTGACCATGGCGTAAGTCTCCCACGTCACAATTTCAGCCATGGCTAATGTTGAGCAGCTGGATGGCAGAGTTGATCTCGGACAATGCTGAGCAAAGAGCCTTTACTGCCGCCGCCATGAACACTCTTCAATGTAAGCTTTGCTGCCTGTTATGTATGTGCTATACTAACTGCTGGTGACAAGATACCTTCACTGCGTGGATACCTCTCGTTTGGTTTCAACAGGTCCACCAGCCTAACGGTATTTCTGACTCCTTCCTCTTTGACCATCGTACTGACCGTGAGATAGTCACGGCTGGTAACAGAGCAGCTGCAGTAGTGGCCGGCTTCAACGTGATTGTGTTCGCGACTATTGCCGTGCTGGCCCATCGGGAGAAGCTACAAAAGAAACAGAACCACGAACTTGCACCGCCTCCTACTCCATCGGATCTACCTTCGCCCATCATCTCCGACGGCGACGAGAAGAAGGTGCATTTGGGTGTCAATACAGTCGAGATTTGAGATATACCACGTTGCAGCTTGCCCGCAGGCTAGGATAAAAGACAAGTTCGAGGAGGGGACGATGCAGAGAGAGTAGTGGTAAGGGACAGGGAGTTGATGAGATTGTATGGGGGTTGGGCGTAGTGAGGAGCCTAGTACAGATGACTGCATTTGATGAATCGAAAAAAAAGATGTGTTGTGCTTTCATATCATTGTTTTTCACTCGCACACTGACGACGTTTGATCTGGACCCTAGCGCCAATGCAGTCCGAATATGGACGCAAAGCGATACTGAACAATACGGACCGACAATCAAGAGGTTCTCCTTCAGTCGACGAGACCGTACGTGACTGCACTTACAAGAGTCCCTCCTTTCGTCTCTTCAAGTACACCTCCAATCCTTCTTGGACCACGAAAAAGGTGGAATGATACTCCAAAGGTCTTCCCGGATGCACAATCTTGATATCAAATTCCCTCAAGATCTGGATCAAGACCTTGTTCATCTCAAACAGCGCCAGATTGCGACCTATACACAGATGACTTCCACCACCAAACTATATCGAGTCAGTCATTGTCTGAATACGGTGTCGGCGAAAGCTTACATTGTACAAATGTCCGGTCATCAATTTGTTGTCACGTTCGAACCACCGCTCCGGGCGGAACACGTCGACATCGTCTCCGAAAATGGTCCTGTCGCGATGTAGCACCCATCCGTTAACTGCAACCTCGGTTCCGCCGGGGTAGAATTTGCCGTCAATCATGACTCCCTCGGGTGGCACGTTACGGTAGATCCCCAATCCGACCGCAGGCCGCATACGGAATGTCTCTTTGAGGCAGGCCTGGAAATATTCGAGTTTCATAGCCTCGGCGTATACGACGATCTCGGAAAGCTCTCCTGCTTTTTCGGCTTCCTGAACTTCTTTCTGCAGTTTCGAGTACACCTCAGTGTCGTTCAGGACCTGATAGAAGAAGGACTGCATGGTGGAAGCTGTAGAGTCGGATCCAGCGAACACAGCGCCGTGAGCAATGCTGAAAACATCCTGTACGCTGAACTTGTCAGGATTCCCTGCATGTGCTCTCAATAATTCTGCCAGCAGATCAATGCCTTTGGAATCGTAGGTTCCGTCCGACTGTTTGCGTTTCTCGAGCTCAGCAACTGCAATCTTGGTCATGGTGGTTGGTTCAGGTTTCCAGAATGGCAAGTATGGTCGCAGTGGGTTGTTTCGGAAGAGGATGTCGACTTCTGCGATGTGGCCAACAATACCGTCATACCACTGTACGTCGTCAATGTTCTTGATCGAGCCCTCAATGTCGACCTCGGCATCCAAGAATCCAAATGATTTGGAGAAAGCCACTTCACCAAGGACATCGAATGCAAAGTAATGCAACAAGTTTCCGAGGTTGGTGGGTTTGGTGGAGTCGTCGGCGTGCTGGTTCAAATGCACCATCAGTAGTTTGATCATCTCCTCGATTGGTCCTGAGCGTTTCTGCATCTGTGCAAGACTGTATGGAGTCACGGCATAACGTTTCATTTGGGCGTGCTTCCATTCTCGGACTTCGGTGAAGATATCTGGTGCATGCTGTAATCTCGTGAGGATTGGCAGCCATACCTTCGAGAATTCGACATACCTTGGGAGGAAAGACGCTGTAGAACATGGTCTTGTGGAAACCCTTGCCTACTGCAAACATGTCTTTGGCCGCATTGCAAGTACCGAACGAGACCTCATTGGGAGCAGTCCGGACCACCGGTCCTATCCCATCTACGTCAGAAATGCTTGCAATCGTGAAGCTGGTTTCTTACCATATTTCTCATGCAGAGCTATATGATCCAGCTCGGTGTGACCGTTGTAAGTGCTCCATACTATGAGGATGTCAGCAGTACTCCAAAAGACGACCTACGCGGAAGTGCTCACCCTTCCAGAGACGGGAACATGACGCCAAAAATGGTCCTGGAACACCGCGAAGAGGAGAGGCGTATTTCTTGTACAGGCCTCGGCCGAAGATGACCAGGACCGTTACGAGAAGAAGATTGCCCTTGATAAAGGCGATAACCTGAGCGGAAAGTGATTCACTGGGATTCACCTTTATGCTTTCCATCTTGAAAACGCACAAATTGAGGCTGGCAAAGCGCTCAAGTTTGGAAAACAAGAATGAAGGCAAGGATGGAGTAAGGTGTTTTGTCGCGTGGCCTTTGTGGTAAGCTATATCAAGAGGTTAACTGCCATTGTCCGTTCGATTGTCTGCCGATGCTCCTCCAGAACCAGACCCTTGCCCTTCTTTTGGCTCTGATCCGTTCCTCCTCGTCATCTTGCTTTGACTGGCTGGGAAAGGCAACTGTTTGTGCCCCACGATTCTCCTCTTCGGAAAACGCCCACTTGCAGTGTTCGGCAGTGGCACTTCCAGGCAACTTTGCTCGGTGTGGGGTAACTCGTAGGCATCACAACGAGGTTGCTGGCCACCTGTGGGGTAACGGCACAGTGCTTTTTGATCATTATTTGGCGTGGATATCATTGGCGATTGGCATTTTTGACCCCAACGATGCATCCCCAGTCGTTTGACGAGCCATGGAGAGCCGTGAATACTTCAAGAGTCTTTCCCCAGGACTGATCTTGAAGGAGAAGTTCAGAGGGTGGCAATCGTGCTGCGGCAATTGGGTACACTCTGATGCAGATCCGTTGGCCGAGATCTTTGCGCATTCTTGAACAATGTTGCGGTACTTGAACTCATTCGCGTTCTCGGCTCGTGTCGTGGTCGTTCCGATGGAGGGAGCTGCAACTGCCGAGATCACCAGACCTGGGGCTGTTCTTGTAGGCTTTGCAGCAGCCAGATGTTTGGTTCTTTGTCCCAACGTATATTTCCACGGACTCCGGTCTTGCTACAGCGCAGAGTCGTTGGCGACTGCCTATTAGGAAGGAGTAGGAGCATGAAGGATGAGTGAGGCACTCCCAGACCACCGGAGAAGAGCTAAAATGATGTTGAAACTGAGTGTTGGCATAACGGCAAGGCCTCACTGCCTCAGCCAAGAGAGGAACGACCAAGGTCAGAACAGACGTGAAGGTAGGTTCGTGAGAAGCATGATCCAGGTAGGTAGATGCCAGGTATTGTGGTGAGAAAGGAAGCGTGCCACGAAGTTGGAAAGAGGTACCATGGTAGGCGTAGTTGCAGCCTTCCACCATCATCATCACAAGAGCAGGAACTACTGTAACATGGAAGTAACGCCTTACAAACTGCCTTACTATCGACTCATTCACGCCTCACTCTTGATACCTATCACACGTATTCGGTTCTCAGTACTCAAACCTCAACCATTCAAGTATACATCCACTGCTATGGACAGAACAAACATCTTCACGTCAGCTTCATTAATTCCTCACCACGATGGGCCGAACTCCTGCCACCAACTCGACCGGTCTCTCATTTGACATTGACCGTCCCCGTGGCATTTACCGCCCGGGCGACATCATCAGCGGCCACATTATGCTCGACACGAACGCCGACGTACACATTGGCAACGTGTCCGTCTCATTCTGGGCTCGCTCAAAAGTCAAAATGCTCCAAAGCGCCGGCCAAAGCGTGCCCGTCCACCGTGGTCGCACGCTGTTCTTTCACACCACTGAAACTCTTTACGAAGGCCAATATACCCACAAAGCAGGCTCATCCGGCTGGCCCTTTCATTTCGTCGTCCCTGCTCAAGCAGACCCGACATGCCTGTCGGGCCAGAAATCGAAGGGCAACGGCTACTTCCGGTCAACAGAAGGAAATCAGTTCGATCTCACACTCCCTCCAACAATGTACCACTTCCGGAACGGACCAGCCAACAATGAATGCTTTGTAGAGTATGTCCTCGAAGCCAGGGTGACCGAAGCTGAAGACCTGCATCGGACTCGCAGCCCCAAAGTCAATAAATCGACATATCCCATCGTTTTCCACCCGTCATCAACCCCGAAACCGATCGAAGAATACAACCTCCTGACGAAAAACCAACTGTTCTCCATCACGACGATGAGACTCCTCCCCCAGTATACTGGAACAATGCTGCGTATCCGCGACCGCGCCCGTTCCATCTTCCGGCCCCGATCCATGCCCAGGTTCTCCTTCATCTTGACCGTGCAGAGTCCGACCATCATCCAACTGTTCCACCCAGACCCGATACCCTTCCTCATCAGCGTGACGCTAGATCCGTCGAGTGAGAATAGGAATATCGCAGAGCCCTATCCTGAAATAGTGCTGCGGTCTTTGAAAGTCGACCTTCGAAGCTGGGTCGGATACCGCGCCGACCAGTACTCCGAGTTGACATGGGCAAGCACTCCCATTCATGCGTGTAACATGCTCAACCAAGTTCTGGCACCCACTGAGGACGGCGGCGCCCCTCTCAACATCGGAACTCTTTACAACTTTCGCCTCGGCAACGCCATACTCGGGTCACAGGCTGATTCACAGCTGTATCCGACGTTTACCAGCTACGACATCGTCCGCAAGTACCTTCTCACTTAGGAAGTGGAGGTACAATGCGCTGAGAAGAAAGTGGAGTTCAATTCCGGAGGCAATCAACCTGGTTGTACCGTTATTGGGCCTCCTGCTAGCGTCTTGGTTGACTACCAACCAAAGAAATCGGCGATGAGACAAGGCCACACGACAGACTGCAAGACGGAAAATGAAAAGCCTGATGTTGTTGCATCTCTAGAGGGTGCCAGTAGGACCAAGACCAAGGAGGCAGCCGGATCCCTCATGGGTACTAGTAGGATCAAGGCCGAGGAGGCAGCAGCGGAAGATCGTCAGTCAGATTTGGAAGAGCGTCCTGTTCCCGACACCGACAGTGACGCCCAGGACACAAACACAGGGAGTCGAAAGAAAGCACGTCACACATCACCCAACTACGTTCCTCGACACAGGAGATTGAGAACATGCTAGGTCGTTGCACCTCATGATATGGTAGCCCAATGGCATGCAACCTTTGGTATTGATACATAGCTTTTGTCCGAATATCATTTTCGGGTCATGAGCAGACCTGTGTACACGGCCAGCCACAAGTCATAAACGTACATCTTTTTGTTCTTCCACAGTGCCACCATCAGCTCAAGCATACCATATCAGCCTTCGACAGTGCCGGCTTTCAAGCTTTGCCCTTACCTTTCCTGCCACCTCTACCACCACCGGCAGCAGCTTTCTTCTTCTTGGGCTGTTCTTCACTCTCCTCGTCATCCTCATCGTCCTTCTTTCTCTTGGCTTTGCCCTTTGGTGCAGCAGTAGCGGCTTTCTTTTTCGGAACTTTGACATATTTGTCCTTCTTCAAATCCAGTTCCTCTTCCTCCTCATCACCCGGCGCCACATCTGGACCGAGTTCTGCGTCGACATCGGAGTCATCCACCGCCTCTTCGAGATCCGGCTTGTCTCTCTTTGTCGCAGCCTTTGCCATGCCCAAAACATTGCTTGCCTTGACGAACGGCATTGGATGACTTTGTTGGTTGTACAGTCTAGTGAATGCCGCCTTGGTCGCCGTCTCGAGTTTGACCTTCTCAATGTCCATAGGACCGACACCAAGTTCCATAAGTGCCTCAAAGTCTTCCTTGGTCAGATAGTATGAGTCCATAAAGTCGATAACTTCTTGAACCGCCTCCTTGCCGTCATGTTGAAGAGTTCCCACGGTCTTGTTCCAAAGTGCTGGCAGATATTGTTGGCGGACCTCGTGACGATCAGCTGACGATCGAAGTCGCATATGACCCTGGATCTCCTTGATCAAGCGTGTGTTTTTGCCTAAGGACGTCAGTATAGCACATCCATGGGATCGACAAACTTACCTTGCTTGCTATTTTGACCAAGCCAGCCAGCGAAGCTGACGTTCCCGCCGCTGAAGTTGCCATAGACGTAGCTAGCAGGTCGAACAAAACTGAAAATAGCATGAGTAGGCATCAAACTCCATTGCTGTTGTGAACCATGGATCATCCTATCAACCAGGTCACCATCACTAATGCTAGAAGCTGCATTATCAGCGAGCTCCAGGAGCTTGAGGTTTCTTTCCTGGCCAGAGTAGCCATTTGCGAGAGTGGGTTGTGTTTTGAGGTAGTTTTCCTGGAGCATCAGATAACTGAATTCGTGGTCGTTGAAGTATAGTTCAGTCTTGTCGTTCAGAGTGGCAGTTGAGCTCTGCGCGAACATCTGCGGTCGCAGGATCTTGCTAACAATGTCCCATGGCTTGAGAATGACATGTTTCTCCCACGCTTTCGACATCGCCTTCGTGTCAGTAAAATCGAGGTCCTTGTCCTTACTGTCAAGCTTGATAGTCGATATCATGTTGATGATCTGACGAATGTCACCATTGCATCCCTCGATCAACGCGTTCAGAATCTGTGGCGGCAACTTCATGCCTTCGCGGAACAATATGGTTGCGATACGACCACGAATCATGTCTGTTGTTGGTCTTCTGAACTGGAACTCCGCTGTGACGTTGTAGAAAGGTTTCATCTTGGGCTGATTTCGTTCGTTGCAGATCATGATCATGGGGATATTCGTCTTTTTCGCGACGGCTGCAAGAGCGCCGACACCACCACGGTCGCCTGCTGACATGCCGTCAACTTCGTCCATGATCAAGAGAAGCTTCTTCTTGGAGGCATCCACTTTCTTGCCATCACCCGCAAAGTAACCGAGAAGAGATGTCGTGTCCAGCACTCCAGTCAGGGCCGATTCCAGCAGTTTCTTGTTTCGGGTGTCGCTTGCATTGCTCTCAACGACATCGTATCCTTCAAGCTTAGCCACCAAATGAGCAGCAGTGGTTTTGCCGACACCAGGTGGCCCATACAGCAAAGCGGCACGCAGGTTTCCTTTTCCATCAGCACCGGCCATTCTGAAACCAGTTTTGGCACTTTTCGGCCAGTTGCGTAGCCATCTCTGCAAGCCATCGACTTGAGCTTTATTGCCGCAGACACTGGTGGTTGAGTCTGGAGCATACTTGTCAACCCAAAGCCGGTCATCAACCTTTCGTTGTGCAGGTTTGGCCGGTGCTTGTGCTCCACCTCTGACTGCTGCAGCTTTCGCTGCCTTCTCGGCTTCTTTCCGTCTTTGTACTTCTCGTGCTTCCATCTCTTCTGCTTCTTTCCGAATCTTGGCCTCTTCCTTCTTTTGCTTCTCGGCATAAGCTTCACCAGCTTTACCATCACCACCATTGGCAGGAAGTGCCTTGATCAACGCAAAGAGCCCATTCTCATCGATTGTTTTGATGCCCAGGTTTCGAATCGTTTCCAGCTTCTTCGGACCGGCGTCGTTACCGAGGACGACGTAGCTGGTCTTCTTAGAAGGACCGGTGGTAACCTTGCCGCCGTACTGCTTGACGAGACTTTGACCTTCTTCTCGACCCAGGGAATTGAGTACGCCTGTGAAGACGAATGTCAAACCTGCAAGACAGTTGTCCTCGCCGACGGGTATTTCTGCACTTCCTGCTGATGGTGGTGCCACAGCGGCATTACCTCCTCCAAACGTGAATTTTCTATTTTCATCCCTTGGTGGAGGAGTTGGGGCTCGGACGGTAGGAATGTTGTCAAGGATAGATTTGATCTCCTTGCTTTCTTCTCGCTCCTCCTTGTTGGCTGCAGCCCGGGGTTTCTTCGCTGCAGTAGCTGCTGCCTTCTTAGGTTTCTTTTTCGGTGTGGCGTCCTCGTCGTCCAAGAAGTCATCTTCTTCATCCTCTTCGAGATCTTTAGACTTTCTCTTCCGACCAGCAGTTGTTGCAGCAGGTTTCTTTCGTTTGCTGTCCGCTGATCCATCATAGGCCGGTATCTCAGCCATTTCTAGGTCATCATCGGAGTCAAGGACCTTCTTGGCGTGACCGTTGAGTGGTTTGGCGGTCTTCTTTTGTGGCTTCACCTCTTCTTCGTCAATTTCTTCCTCGTAGTCGTCATTGACTTTCCTGCTCTTAAGGTCACTGAAGATATCGTCTGCTCCTTCATCTTCATCTTGTAGTTGGGCTACCGGCTCATCGTTGTCTTCAGCATAAGTTTTCGTAGCAGTCTTTCTGGAAGATCTTCGGCCCGTAGATGGGGTTCCGCCGTTGACCTGTTTCGTAGGTGTCTTTCCTGCGCCATTGGTGGTCGAAGAGGCCTTGACGGGCGTAGATTTTGCAGGTTTTGCTTTAGATTTGGATGATGCAAAGTAAGCTGAGCTTGTAGTCTCCTCCTCGGCTGGTTCAGGCTTTGTCACTTTCTTCGTCTTTGGGGTGTTGACTTTCTTGGGCTTTGTCTCGACCACTTCATCGTCTTCGTCATCGGAGACAACTTTCCGAGATCGTCCACGTTGGGTGCTGCTGGACTTGGACTTGGGCTAGATAGATGTCAGAGGTGAAGATCATTGCACACGACATACTGACTTTGGCAGTCTCGGTTTGACTGGACTTTGCCGCTGGGTTCGCTCCTCCACCTCCGCCAAAGAAACTCCTGATGTCAGATGGCATTTTGCCTTGATCGAAGAACAGAATCCCGAGACAGAATTACAATTAAGCAGACATTTGACAAGAAAGGAAGCGAAACGATTGGGAACACCCGAAAATTGCCTGGCCGAAAGAATGATAGCAGCAGTGTCTTTGTGAACAGTCAGTCGATCAATTCTATCAATTAAACTACATGACGCGCTTTGGCGACTGCCCTGAGTGAACGAACGCGATTGCCCCACTTGCGCATGCTCTAAGCCGGTTCTGGTGCTATATCGGGCCGCTATATTAGCGACTGAAGTTCAACGACGTCCTCCCTTTCACAATACATAGGTATCGACCTTTACTTGAACACAGGGATGCCATGAACCCTTCGGCCGAGATGGACATGACCAGGTCCTTTCACGGGCCAATATTCGTGCGCTTCAGGCGTGCCGATACTACGCTGTACTCATCTTGGATGACCTAGCAATCCCGAGCGCAACAATTACTCGGTATATTGCACAAATGGTTGGATGGCTCCCGAGCGATACCGAGGTGTTCGCCGCCCCTAAAGGCTATCACCGCTACAGTAAGTGCTCGCCACGCCTACATTAATAATTCATTTAGGCGTCCACCGCCCCTAAATAATACTTGTCCTGTCTATGATACCTACGTAATTTTATGCGCGATTATGTCTAACCTCTAAATAGATTTGTGCTTACAATAAATGTCTGTCGCCTCCAAATCATTACAGTTTTTGCTACTTATCTACTAGGAGTGATTCACACTTCGGCGGTCACTACCCCTAGACGATTTGAAGTTTAGGTCTTAAGGGGGACATTCCTAATTACGGTACTTACCAGGTATCCAGGTATTGCACAACGATTTGGCAGATTCTCATACCGGAAGGATATTTCGTGTATCGCTCCCTCCGGAGTCATCCCTAATAGCCTGATCACGGGCAATCAGTTTAGCGACTTGCTTGAAACTCTGCTCCGCGTTGCTGTATAAAGGTGAGCATGCGTCTTACGTCTCGATACCTTTCAACAATCTCTGCGTTGTGTTTGGTCGTCTCTTCAATATGTCTAGCATGGACAGTATCTTCAACATGTCTGGTTTAGACAACCTCATCAATATATCCACGTTGGAAAGAGGCCTCCAGCTGCTCGGAGCAGTCACAGCTGCATCGACTGTGTTCAAGGTCTTATCTCTTGCGCGATTATATCTATCGCCGTCCAGCATCTCAGTCAATCGCTGGAAGCATGGCAACCCTTATGCGCTCGTCACAGGTGCAACTGATGGAATCGGGTTCGGCATAGCTGAGGCACTTGCTGCTCGAAGCTTCAACATAATCCTTCACGGTCGAGACAGAAACAAATTGGAAGCTCGCCGAGCAACATTGCAAAAGCAACATCCAGGCCTTAGAACCGAGATTCTTGTTTTCGATGTCCTGAAAGACCCGTACGACGACATTGAGAACTTGATCTCCGGCATATCACATCTAAACATCACCATACTGGTCAACAATGTCGGCGGAATACCCTTCATGCCCGCCTACATCAATTTCACCGAATTTGACTCTTCCCAAATCGACGCTGTCATCGACATCAACGCTCGCTTCCTGGCACACTTCACACGATACATGATGCCTATTCTATCCAAGAATGGCCCGGCGCTGATCATGAACATTGGATCTGCGGCACAAATCGGCGTGCCTGGGGCGACGATGTATTCAGGTACTAAGGGCTTTGTCCTCAGCTTTTCGGAAGCACTAGCCCGGGAGTGCAAGATTTCAAAGACTCCTGTTGATGTGCTCAACATCAACCTAGGCGACGTGAGTAGTAAGTCGACTCCTACTCCAGTGAAGTTTGGGAATCCCCTTGCAAAAGACTTTGGGAGAGACGTTATCGCTCGAGTAGGAGCAGCAATTGCATCGGACAGAAATACGGTCACTCCCCACATACCGCATGCTATACTCTTTGGAGTCTTGAAATCTTTACCCGAGTTTGTGAAGGTTGCTTTCATGCGCAACATCATTCAGGACGCACGGGCGCTGCACAGAAAGATATTCAATCTGAAGGAGGAATGAGGGAACTTCGTCAGCTTAGCGGTTGTATACCGAGTGTCTATTTGCTTCGGGTCGGCGCCATAAATGTGACGAAGCTAGGAACATGTCTGGCATAGATAGATGGTTTCCGCTGGTTGTCAATAGGTTTACTGACATTTGACGCGAGAACAACTTTTTATAAAAGGACCCCTGATAGTTACTAGAGATTCTTTGGTGATACGCACCCGACGTCGTGTTCGCGGATTGCGGTTGTAAAAGCGGCACTTCGTTACCGATTCATGACTTTCAATGCCAAGCATCGATCTGCTCTCAGATTCACCTTTCCGCGCTTCGTCTCATAGCTGCAGCATTGAACTGTCGTCAAGGAAGACGCGTTCGCAGCAGTTTCGTGGGCGGCGTAGCATTGTCCGACTGGGTCTTCTTGCAGTAATACGGCCAAGTGCGACCGACAATCCCTCTTCAAGTTCCTGCGATGGCTGGAGCACCCATCAAACCCTCGGGTACAGTATTTCACCCTTTAATCGGTTCACAGTACTAACGTACCAGAAGCTGCATGCCTTCGATACCTTCGCTCGAACGTCATGTCGACCCCCTCAATGCTGTTTGCAGCTAAATCCTCCTTCGGACAAAGACCGTCCATTCCTGGCGCTCCACGGACCTCATCAAAATGCAGTCGTCTATTCTCCACAACCTCCGGCCAGCAAGATTGGCTGACGCCGAAGCGGCCAGAAGTAAGAAAGTCTATGGTAGGACGACCTCGAATGCCAACGGGAGGATCGGTACGCGGCACGACCGTAGTATGGGGAGATTACGGCCTCAGGATGAAAGACCATGATCGGAGAGTATCAGCAAAACAACTCAAAACCGGCGAGGAAGCCATCCACAGAAGACTTCGAGGAGAACGTTACAAGCTATACAAAAGAGTCAGCGCGAATATTGGTGTCTACACAAAAGGCAGTGATGTGCGTATGGGAAAAGGAAAGGGTAAATTCGATTATTGGGCAGCTCGAATCCCCGTCAGCAGAGTCATCTTCGAACTCAAGGGCAACATCCACGAGAAAGTTGTGAGGGACGCTTTCAGATTGGCCGGCCACAAATTACCCGGTCTATGGGAGTTTGTCCAAAAAGGCGATCCGCCCGTGGTTGGAATTACCAAATTGGGCAACGGAGTGACCTTGGAAACGCTCAAAGAGGCCAAGAGAGAAGTGGAAGCAAAAGACAAGGAGCCGCAGGCCGTCGTTCCTCCTATGATGGACGTGCCGCCCCAAACAATCTCAACCGACCTGGACAGCCCACCAACGACTGTCCATGTGTCGCCATGAAGAGCAGCTATTGATACATATACTCATGAATGTTCATCCTCCAATCTCGGTGTTGCTATGGTCTGACCCAGGGCCATAGCCTTGTGCGGCACGTGCGCCTTCGTCGGTTTTGTTGTCCAGGAACTCACTGCCCGAGCCGCTTTTTCCACCTGCGGAATCATCTGGGGGATTGGTCATTCCACCCATGCCCGACTCGGAGATGTTCTGGCCATATCTTATGTTCTCTGCGGTCTTTTCTCCACGTTCTTCGGAGGCTGGCGCTTCTTCAGATGTGTTCGGGCCAGCTAGAGGATGTCAGCTAGAGTGCGACAATGGGTGGAAGGGCGGCATACAGCCCAATTGACCTCTCTGTTTCGAGGTAGGCTCTGTCACGGTCTTGATCGACTCATATCTGTACATTTGCGAGTCAACTCGCGCTCAGAACAACAGGCAGATGAACCATACTGGGAGGTCTCTCCGCCAGTCTCTGTATCCATAGTATTATCGTCTGAAGTCGACTGATCGGTACCGTAGTTCTTGAAGGTTTCGTACCAGTCGCAAGTCAGTACGTTGTCTAGACTTTGAGTAATTGTGTGAAAGAGGTCCATCTAAGTTGAAGCATCATTAAACATTCTTTATGGTGGAAACTGAGGTCTGTTGAGCTGCGGACGAGGGTTGTCAACTCCACATTCAAACGGCCATTGATTTACGTCACAACTTTTGAGTCACGTGCGGGGGATTCGTGACTGAGGGAAGCAACGAGTTTCACATCATCTTCAAGGACGTCGACACCTCCAATCCACGTTGAGCGCACCTGACTCGATATTGAATTCAAGACAGGTCAGTGACGGCGTAACGTGCCGCCCCTCGTACTAGTGTCAAGGGGCAATAGCTGTTTGTCAAACCGTGGTGGTTTGGTCGGAAGGCAGGCACGTGTGCATCACGAGCAGCATCTTCGACTCGACCCTGACCAACGGATCGTTTGCTAGATCATAAAATCCCAGCGAGTTCCAATACATCCAAAGCGGCAGCCGTCATTGCATCAGTGAGGGGTGGGCGTTGCCCTATACTAATCAATGACACCCTATACAATCGACGCTGACATGCAATGGCAGGGAAGGCTGAAAATGAAGTAGAGATGGGACATTTCGAGTTTATCTTTTCCTCTTCCTTTCGCTGTTGTCATCATCCTCCTTGTATCTTTCCCCGGCTTAAGGAGCATGGCCAAGACACCAAGAAACACAGGCTCGTTGCTGCTGAAGGGCCGACGCTCAGTGCCGACATGCACACGCTTGAAAATATGCTGATATGCTTTCAGAAGATTGGAGCAAAGATTTCGTAGCTTCAATTCATCCCATGCTGATCCCGAGCGATGTCAGGTCCGAACGCCGTCAGCAAGTCCTGATCTGTCTCCTGAGTACTTTTGCGAACCCTCAACGGCATCCAGAAGCTCTCTCTCATCCCTGTGAGCGATATCGGAGGCATGTCGAAGCAGATATTCACCGCGAGCTTTTTTCCAGCGGCAACTTGGAATCCTGATTCCGGTCTGCCGTAATCACTGAGCCGCACACAGGGTGTACAGGATCAGTGGGCGCTATGGTCATTGACAGACCTCTAAGGGAAGATCAGACTTTCACAACGCGACGAGGGCTAATCGCATGCTGCCCGCCTTCCGGTCCTATAAGGTGAAAGAGAGTGGAAGCTAATCAGTCCAGAACTGATCAAAAATGGACAGAACGATTGATGGACATCCACAGGCTTCACCCTCGCGAAACCTTTCCTCGCAAGGACAATAATCAGATCATCAGATAAGATTCGATCAGCAGACACATGCATGTCTGGAGGATTACAGCAGAGAGCTGACTTGAGTGGATTGACACCAAGGTCCCTGCATGCCTGGGCACGGGCGAAAGATTATCTGATCGACTCAGACGGCTTCCGACCAGTTTTCGTTGGAAGCGAGCCATCAAACCCTGCCCACCAACCCAGGACGGTAGGCTGACAAGGACAGGGACTGGCTATCAGATGAAAAGTTCCTGACCAACTTCACCTGAGCAGTGAGTAGAACTAGAGACCGGACCAGGAGCGCAATGATCAGTTAACGATGTGGGCACCTGGACCCGTCGATAATTCGCATAGCAGAAAGGTGGGAAGCTTGTCCAGCCGAGCGAAGGAGAACCATGTGGCACACGCTCAAGGTCGTGGAGTTCAGAGAACAAGATCTCCCTGGAAAAGAGCTTGTGCTCTTTGCTTGTTGGGCCCATCATTGCTTGTCTTTCCCTCCACTTACTGTGTCTTGGTATTGCTTCCCGGGAGCTTACCATGCCTAGACGCTACTCACAAGCTAGGTGGACCCACGTCTCAAATGCTCGAGTTGCTTGCAAGCGACTGCCTGATCGATACCTTGGAAGCCAAAGCTACGTGCTGCAGGGTCTCACTGTCAGTAAGCCGTGGGAAAAAAGACTCACTCTACACGAGCAAGGTAGGGCCGACTTCTGAAACCTAGCTCCGGTCATCCGTGTGCATCGCGCTTCTCTACGTTTCTCGACACAGTTTGAAGTGCAATCCTTGCGAGAAATGGGCTATGCAAGACTGTTGGTAGGCTTATGGATTTGAAGAGCATACGTTGCACGGTCACAAAGGTTGGGATGCTAACAGACTGATTTGCAAATGCTGTGTCTTTTTTCTCGAGTTGCTTTGACCTTTTCTTGCAACCCAATGACTCCTAACCTCTATGCATGCAATATCAAGCAGCGGCTTCCACTTGAGGCTATCTATTTTGGAGTTACAGGACCCTGGAGCCCGTGGGTGAAGACACTTGGATCAACCTGATCAACGACATGCCCGCTAGTCTGCTTGGGGGCGAGTTTCCGAGAGGCATAGCGTCTGAAGCCCGGAACCTTTGACAGGAATCTCAAGAAAGGTTTTTGAAGAGGAAGAGCACCTGTGCGTTCTTCGTACAGCATGCAGGAGATGGCTATCATAATGAAGATCCAGTAGACATTGTACGAAATGACCGAACCATATGTGGCAGTGTTTTGCCAACCAAGGATTGCGTTGAAGACGTCCCAACCATTGTCGGTTTCAGGATTGCAGCAGTTGACGTGCCAGACAGTCGTTTTGATGTCGTATGACCCAGGGCCATCACCAGCCTCGGCGACATCAGAGCCTACTTTCTGTGCAAAACTGTGGAATTGCAAGCTCCAGACGGCCTTTGAGAACATTCCAGCTGCGATGAGGTAGAGGATACAGGTCGAGGCGATCAAGAAGTATTGGATGGTCATATGATTGCCTCCGCTGTAGATGAGGTAGCCGACGAGGAGACCGGCTAGAATACCCGTGACGACGGGGAGTGGGAAAGCAGTGGCTGGCAGACTGAGGGAGACACCACCAACAAAGACGACAGCCTCAAGAGCTTCTCGAAGAGTGGTGATGAATGGGAGAATGAACATAGCGTATCTTCTGCTCCATTCACTGAATCTGGAGGCGGCATCCTTGTGTTTGGTCTTCGAGATGAGGGCATGTGCAATCTTGACCCTCCATTTTTCTTTTGTCTTGTTGATGCGCAGGATGGCCAGCCCCATGATGGTGATGATGATGCAGGCAACGAGATAGAAGATGCCTTCCCAGAGATCCTCAGTATTGGACCATATATCATGGCCGAGACCATAGAAGACGCCAATGAAGGCGCCGCCGATGATGAGGGCTACACCGATGCCGGCCATGGACCCCCACCATACTTGTCTTTTGAGCCTTTTGTATATAACCTGGTCCTGAGAAGGTTGGCCCAAGGCTTGCTTCAAGAAGGAGAACAACACCGAGATAACGATGACTGCTTCGAGGACTTCTCGGAAGACAATGAAGAAGACTTGGACACCAAAGACGTCTTTGGCCATGGTGGGCGATCTGATAAGATTGATCTGATTAAAAAATTGATGAAGCTGATATCGAAGAATCGGGATCTCAGAAAGTCTTATACCCAAGCGGAGAATCAACGAAGAAGCTCGGGAAAGCTTGGGAAGGATAAGACCTGAGGAAGATGGATTCTAGCTACTTCGTCAAGAGTTCGGATTGCATTATTTACGGTTTGGCAGGAGAATCGAGGGGTTTTGACCCGCCGCCGAGTATCGGGACCCTCAAGGATTTCTTCTTCAGGTGATTGATCATCTGATAACGCGAAAAGATAAGATAATCGGCAAGGACGGAAGCACAATTACATGAGGCAGACCCGAAATTACGAGACCAATGCAGGGCGGTGGATGTTCTGGGTGGTTGGTATTGGTGGACAGTGGCCCGAAGCGACATCAGATAACTTTGATGTCACGTCTGGAGCATCCATGGCACCGCTAATCAATCTAATCGCTCCATCAGTTGTTCCACGGACCTTGGTTTGGCTGGTCTCATTGGAGGAGAAAAACACCTCTCCCATGCGCACCACTAGGCAAAATTTTCAGACTGCCCACTTCTCCCTCGAAATCAAAGCGTCAGGAAAGAAGCAAAAGTAGTTCTCAACAACCATGGAGGGGCCGCAACCTGAAAGACCGGTAAGCCTTGCCGGCATCGGGCTGTCACCGACTAGCTTTCCCAATGCTTGTACGATGATCGATGTGTTCTGATTCTGGGTAGGTCTTCCCACCTTTCGCATATAGAAAACAGTCCCTCTTCCTTCCGGACCATAATGCCCTGTAGGTTGACGACCACATCTTGAAGCCTTGGCGAGCTTCTGCTAGGTTTCACAACACCATCGTCTCACCATGGCGAGGGCTATTCAATCAATCTTCGTCTCGCTTGTAGCTCTGCTGCTTTGCGGATGGGCTGCTGCTAAGACAGTCACATATGACTTCAATGTCAGTTGGGTCCAGGCCAACCCTGATGGTTTGTTGGAACGAAAGGTCGTTGGCATCAATGGACAATGGCCACTCCCCGTCATTGAGGTCGACAAGGGTGACCAACTCGTGGTCAACATGTACAATGGATTAGGAGACAAAAATGCCAGCATTCACTTCCACGGCATGTACCAGAACACCACCAGCAATATGGACGGTGCCAACATGGCTTCACAGTGTCCCATTGGCCCGGGATCCAGCTTCACTTACAACTTCACCGTCAACCAGAATGGTACTTACTGGTACCATTGCCACACCGATTTCTGCTACCCGGATGGCTATCGTCAAGCATTGATTGTACATGACGATGATGCCTACTTCGCTGACGAGTACGACGAAGAATTCACCGTCACCATCAGCGATTGGTATCACGATCTGGTTGAAGACATCTCATTCCTGTCTTTGTACAATCCTTCCGGTGCCGAGCCTATACCCAGCGCATTCCTCTTCAATGATACGATGAATTCGAACCTCGCCGTGGAACCAGGGAAGACCTATCTGATAAGATTGATCAACATTGGAGCCTTTGTGGGGCAATTCTTCTACATTGAGGATCACACTTTCAAGATTGTGGAGATTGATGGTGTATATACTGAGCCCACTGAGGCCGATACACTCTACATCGCCGTTGCTCAACGTTACGCGATTCTCGTCACCACCAAGAACTCTACGGACAAAAACTATCCAATCGTGACCATAGCGGATTCCGATCTTCTTGACGATATTCCCTCAGACCTCCGGCTCAACAACACAAATTGGCTTGAATACAATTCCAATGCTGTACATTCAGAAGCTGTCATCATTTACGATGTGTCTTCAGATATTGTACCCTTTGACGATATCACCTTGATCCCTGCCGACCACATGGAGCTGCTGCCGGAGCCGGATTTCGAGATCAATCTGACTGTCAGCATGAACAATCTGCGAAATGGAAATGGTTATGCCTTCTTGAACGATGTCTCCTACGTAGCACCCAAAGTGCCTACACTCTACAGCGTCATGTCAGCCGGCACACTAGCAGACAACGCCACAGTCTATGGAGAATACACACATCCTATGGTCCTCAAGCACAACGATGTTGTCCAACTTGTCCTCAACAACGCCGATTCCGGATCTCACCCTTTCCATCTCCACGGACACAATTTCCAGGTCATCGATCGTGCTCCTGCTTATGGAGCACATTTCTACGACTATCTTGCTGGTGACCCGGTTCCTTACGACCCTTCCAACCACACGGCCTTCCCAGCCATCCCAGCTAGAAGAGACACCTTTGTCCTACCACCTCAAGGATACTATGTCATTCGTTTCGTGGCTGATAACCCTGGTGTCTGGATGTTCCACTGTCACATCGATTGGCACTTGTCCCAAGGTCTGGCCATGGTCATGATCGAGGCTCCTAACAAGATCCAAGAAACACATCACATTCCCGATCAGGCGTATGAAGTCTGCAAAGCGGCCGGCGTCAAATACGAGGGCAACGCAGCAGGCGACACCGAAGACTTGCTGAACGAGTCTGGCCAAAACAAGCAGGTAGCATTCTTGCCCGGTGGTTTTACCGCTCGTGGTATTGTGGCTTTGGTCTTTTCATGTATCAGTGCCGTGCTGGGTATGGCGTTCATCACTGTCTACGGTATGTCCGAGCCTAAGGTGCTGCAGAAGGATGATCAGGTTGATGATGAAGTTACACATGAGACTGTCGCTGCTGGTGGTGCAGAGCCCAAGTTGGCTTCTGCTCAGGGCTAGACATATTTTGTAACCCTAGAATTTTATGTTTGCAACATCGAAATTGTTTCCCAATGCAAAAATGCGTCAGCGGTATCTCGCTTCACCGTTGTCTTGATGAGGCTAGTTTTGCGGACACGTGAGTGTGACCTCAGGCATCCCATTGCAACCTCTCTTGGACTTCTGTTTCTTCGCGTATCTATTCTGCGTGTCGCTATTCGCTCAGTGCGGTCTTTGTTGTTCAACGGGCAATGCGGATCAACATTGGAGCCCTGTGAGGGCCCAAAAATGGTTCAATGATCTACATGCCCCGATGCATCGCGGATCGCTTCTTCAGCTTTGAAGCCATGGCTCTTCCTCACATGGCATCTTGTCCATTAAATCCCTACCAGTCTGCTTTCCAGAGCGCTAAACCTGGCATCTCAGCGATGTCAAATTGGAGGAACCGCTCGACTCGGTTGGGGCGAGGAAGACAAGATCACTGCCATGAGACTAAACTCACCGCCCCCCAGTCGAAAATAAAAGGGGATGATTTTCCAATACTTGTCACTCAAAACACTTCACGAAGAGATCTTTGGCGGACATAGAAGCAACGGAAATCAATATGCGAGGTGGAAGAAGCTCCGGCTGCAGGACATGCAAGCAACGTCGGATTAAAGTAAGAGACCTTATCCTGGACAGATCCCATGGAAGTCGTGTTCGTCTTTCGCAAATCTAACCTTCAACCGTTTAGTGCGACGAACGTCAACCCATATGCTTTCAATGCGAAAAGAGCAAACGTCACTGTACAGGACCAGACTCCCCATTCCGATACCAGTATGCTTCGGAGGAACAGCATGTACAACTGCTGGTTGCCCTCCAAACAGTCTCGTTCGATGTGAATGGCGACGACAAGATCAACCACAACCCCTCTCCGGTACCCATCAGAGGTGTTGTCCAAGAAACGAGCCGTACACTGCACGTCATTCCATACACCCAATCCGAGAAGCTTGCGGCCTCTCTGATCGAAGCGCTTGACAGGCCATGCAGCTTTGGGGCTCGTCTCCAACAGATGGGCCCGCATTTCAGGTACCTGCCCTACCGACTTGGACACAGCAAAGCGCTCGACGCCTCCGTCAGCTGTCTTCTGCAGTCCTACACGCTTATCTCGAAAGGGCAGCCACGCAACCACGCCCTCGAACTCGCAAGCTATGGCAATGCCATCAGATCCTTGCGTATCGAACTTTCATCCGCAGATCCTAGCAAAACAACGCCGGAGACTCTCTGTGCAGCTTTGATCATGGCGCAGTACGAAGTATTCAAGCCCAGCCCGACTTTCTCATACGTTAGCCTTGCAGGCGGCGTATCTGCGATGTTCCAAGCTTGCGGAGCGAAACGCATCCAATCTGATTTTGAACAAGCCACGTTCACCGCACATTATCCCGGAATCATTTTGCAGTGCCTCCTGCGTGGAGATGACTGTTTTCTCAGCAGGCCCGAGTGGGTCGACGTTATGCGTCGGAGCGAGCCTATTGAGGGTCCACTCATCAGCAACATATGGGTCTCCTTCACTCAGTTGCCAGGCCTGTTAAGTCGAGTCCGATCACTCGATTATCATTCAGATGACCAATACACTTCGGTCCTGCGCGATGCTTATGCCCTGCGGAAAGGAATCGTGAAGAATGCCGACGAGGTCACCCGCAAATTGTCACATCCTGGCGTCCACACCATCTGTCCGGGCGTGTACAAAGGTGCACTCCCAGCGCAGTCATGGACTCCAGCTTCACAAAAGGACTACCTCACTCCGAACCGTGCCATTAAACAGTCCGCCTTCTACCACGGTGCTGTCATTCTCGTCAACACCGTGATCCAGCGTGTTTTGCAGGCAGAGAATCCTTCATTGGCCATCCAGTCCAGACAATCCGCCGAGTTTATCCTGTCGACCGTGGATTTTGCCTTGAGCAATGCGCGCCCATTTGGCGCCATGTACATGACTTTCGCTGGGCCGATGGCCTACGGGGTCTGTAGACCTGATGAGCGTAGCTTCTTGCTCGCCAAGATGAATGAGCTGTTTGGGCAGTACTGGAATCAAACAGAAACGAGTATGATGGTTGTGTTCGAAGCAGTCACGGGTGGCGCAGTGTTCAAACATAACAGTCTGCGGTTGGCTTCCGATTCGAGGTCGGGATCGCCCAACTCGCCCAAGTAGGATGCTCGGCCTAGAGCTTAACAGCCCGCATTAGGCACGACGGTCGCGAACGATGATAAAGGGAACGCCTGACAGATTTGGAAGGAGACGTTCCAATTGATGCTCAATTGTGTGATGCTACCTCGGCTGGGGTGCGTTTCAGCAAAACCCACAGCGCGAACATAGCCAAGTCATTTTGTCATTACCCATACTCGACGGCCGACGACACTCCCGCCAGAGGTCTCTCAGGTTTCATGTCCAGCAAGGAGTTTCCAAACGACCTCTTCGGGTGCAATGATACAAATAAGTGCCAACCTGTCTGACTGCACATTCTCCTAAATGCTGCGGCGCAGCACGGTCTCTGTCAAGAATCTCGACGCGACTTCGTGTGAGGTTTCTGTTCAGCTTTCACTGTGTCGTTGCTTCCGGCCTTGCTCGAAGCCGCACTTTCAGAGTGTATTGTCCCTGCATTATTCGGACACGTCTGGCAAACTCTCTTTGTTAGTGAGGCGCCATTTTTGCCTTCAGTCTTTTTCCTTGGTGCAGGCCCGTCTTTCCTTTTAGTGCTGCAGCTGGATTGCAGAGTGATTGTGGATTTTCGTGGTCATCGTGATTTCTGATTCTTCATACCCCTTTCTCGGACGCTGTGTCGGAGCCGCGCCGGAGCGGCTGCTTTTTTGAGAGCCACCATCCTTCCTCTCGAGACCGTAGCTGCCTGGTAGGCGAGTCGGGGGCTTTCCGTGGTCATCGTTATACCTAGTCTTTGGTTCCTTTTTCGACTGCCACGCCGGTGTTGCAGTCATTCGGCACGATGGCTCGTGTTCATACAGAGACCGCCCGAGCGTGGGCCGGTCAAACCAAAACATCTCAATCCTGTCCTTTCGACCATTCCCTGCACATGCCGAAAAATGTGCGACAAAACTTGCCAAACTCAGCCTTGGGGTTGAAGGAGCGCCAACTCCCCTGTGCTTGATGCCAGACTCGTGCCGCAGGATGCGTGACCGGCTTTGAACCCATGTTTCCGTATCGCCCACGGCCAGGGCTGAAGGCCGTGATCGGAAGGATCAGGACGTCTTCGACGAGTTTAGCGCGTCCACCATCATGTAAACCTGTCAGGGCGTTCCAGCGTAGACCGGCCTGTTCTTCGAGCCAATCCTGTGTTGCGACGGTGACGGCTTCAGGACCTGTCAATGTTAGTGGCCCGAGGAATCGCAATTGTTCAATGGCGCTAGGCGATGTGATTGTGCCGCCGTTCTCGTTTGCAACATGGGCCAAGCGGCGGAATAGTATGTCCATGAACCGTAAAAGGACTGGGTGGCCTGTCGATGAGGCTAGGGCCCATTGCGTGAGTTGGATTGGGGACGAGTAGCCCATTCGCCAGTAGTCGTTGGACTTTGGGGAGGTGTCGGCTTCAATGCCCAGAATCAGGCTCACGGGACTGTTGGATGTGAATGTCGTGTCTGTTATGGGGTCTGTCCAGGGTGCGAGATCTGCTGCGGAGATCCATGTTGCAGGTTGGCGGAGTGGTTGAGTGTCAACGTCGGCGTACTGAATCGCGTTAGTTCGGATTGCTTGTGGATGGGTGGTCCTTACAATTCCGCCAAACCATTTGACAACCAAAATGCGAAAGACGTCTGTGCGCTCGACATTGGCTGGTAAGTTTATAAAGTCCTGGACGAACTCGGGCTCAAATTCCTCCAGGAATTGCAGAATGCCTTCATCCTCCCAGAAGAAATAGGCCATGTCGTCAGCGACCACGTAGGTTAGCCATTTCTCCACACTGTTGCGGAGGAGATCTGTCCAGGTGTCGACATGGCGATCCTTCCATGTTTGATGCATGATCAAGGGGATATTCGAGTGATCCATCAAGCGGCCTTTGGTGTTTGCGGCTTGAGATGCCAACAAGGCGGCATCGACTATGTTTTCTGGATGCACATCTGAATGTGACAACCAGTGAGGTGGAATGTACCATGCTAGGCGGGAAATCAGTAAGCCACAAAAGGGTAAGGAGAGTTTCGACTCACCACCTCCAGTTCCATTGAAGCTGTGCACGTGTCTGGAAAGCAAGGGGTATCTTTGTTGTATTTGGATTGACGAGAGAGGGCGTGGCTCATGTTTGCGCAGTGGCACGAGAAACCAGAAGAGAGATGCCGAGATCAACAGCGACACCAAGATTCGACGTTGATATTGACGCAGCGAAAGGCACGCGACTCTCATTATTCCGGATATTCAACAGGCATGAAGTAATCAAAGTACCGGTCCCGTGTTGGTCGGAAGTTTTGTGAGAAAAGAGGCACAAGGGAGGAAACGCGTTGACGTGGTAGAACAAAGTATGCAGTCTAGTCTCGCATGCCAAGTAGGAACGACACGAAGACTCTTTCCGATTTCTGGGGTAATACGATAGTAGCTGAAAGGAATTCAATCTTGAAGGAGGTGGGAAAAAGGGGAATGAAAAGTGTAACTGAGGCTCTGGCGGGCTCTGGGCCGTGTGGCAGTTGTTTGCCGTGCGGCAGGCGACAGTAGCTTTAGAGACGGGAAGAGTTGGGGATGTTGTTAGTGGTGACACCGGTGAAGGTTCTGCAGAGTTGGTGGCTGTAAGGTTCGGGAGAAAAACCAAGGAATGCGCCGTAGCCAGGCGTCGGTTTAAAGTCCATGACGGATGGGCTGTTTTTTTCGATAGACGGGCTCGAAGGTGTAAGTGTGTCACTCAAGTAACTGGCTTCGACCAAAAGGTGCGTGGTTGATTCTGGCCAGATTGATTGGCGGGGAAAGAAAGCAATCTGTCACTGTCACTCTCCTTCTGCTTTGAGCGGGGGGAACTTAATCTTTGCTGCCTTGCACAGGCCCTACAGAAAGGCTGAATAGCAGTCCAGGCCTTGGGTCTTCCTTTTTTGCCTATAAATCAATTACCCAGTTTGGGGTCCGTGAACCTTTACAAAAAGCAAAATCTGTTACTGTTTGATGTTGATATTCAGATATTGATGTTGCAATTGAGTTAGAATAAGAATAAGAGTACGAAAAGCGAGCAGGGCACGTAAGCAAAGAGGCGAAGAAAACTGCGGAGCCTGTGGAGTTGAAGTCGGAAAAGAAAGCCTGACACTCTGACTCGTACCTATGGATGAGCTTCGATATGTCATTGCTGACTTCTCCAGTATCCTTGCCAAAAGCCATACGACCGTCGTATTGTTTGTCATTCTTGCGCATACTAACAATCTCAGCTCTCTCTTTCGCAACTTGAGACTCAGTATCAACACAAATCAAACTCCCCAGCGCCATGCATGCTAACAACAAAGCCCGATCCGCTAAACAGGTGTGTGGCCGGTGAATGCAAAACACCATCACGCTGATGGCTTGACTCCATTCTCCAACAACACTCTCTCATTGCCAGGAAACCTCTCGTTCATAAAGTGGGTATAGAACCGGAAGTAATCCTTGACAACATCAGCACCGCCGATTCCCTCCTCATCGTCGTCTGCACCAGGAGCAGCTTTCTGTGCACCCTTGGAAAACGCCATGATTGGGTACGACTCGACCTCTTTTTCTTCTTGCAGTAAAATCAGCTCGAGAACCTTGGCTTTGTGGGCGATACTGTCGAAACGCCACACCTTGCCGCGATATTTAATGGACGCGTCAGCATATTTCAGCGAAATGATTTTCTCTGGCTGTGTCCGAGGTTTGACCTCTGGAGAGGCAGAGGTACTGCTGGCCTCTTTGTAAAGGTTGTTCAGCGTCGATTTGGATACAGTAGACTTGCGGTGGAAACGTTGTCTTTTGTTTGGGGCAACGGTGACAGGCTCGGTTGCAATGCTGTCTGGGATTTCCCGCTTCTTGGCTCCTGAAAGCGTACGATAGTCATGGCTCGTTCTTGGTCTCTTCTTGCTCTCGAGTGTGTCTGGAGTGTTTCCTCTGCTTGTGACATGGTGGATGCTTCGGACGTCGGACACTTAATGTGCGTCAGCTTTAGTTGGGTTTACTGGTACGTATATGTTCTTACCATCAGATGAGTATCCAAGATCGATAGGACGGTCTGGGGCGCCAAAGTCTGTCGAGGTCTTCGTCGGGGCTTTCCCTGCTGGATGAAGCAGACAGCCAGGGCAACTGGGTGCAATCCCATCTCGTCGATGTTGTCTGCTGAGTCGTTGGTGAAGTACATCAATAGCATACCCTCGTTGTTTCCTCATGACAGCGTTTATATAGCGAGTGATAATTGGACGATGCTCGGCAGTCTCCCAGTGATAGTTGAGCGCAGCATTCTGTTTGAACCAGAAACGACCTTCCCCTGATTCGAGGTATTCTTTAGCGACGGGCTCGATACCTTCGTCTGTGGTGGTTGGAAGGTCGGTCCCAAACTTCGATTGGAGATAACCTCGAGTGTGTTCACGAAAGTGTCGTTGGGTCTCAGCGTTCATGCCCAGCTCGCTGCACAACGCTCCAACGGATTTGGAGCCTTTGTCCGCGATGCTGACCCGACTCATGGTGGACCTTGGTGATAGATTCTAAAGACATGAACTGGTGAGATTGGTCAATGCTCAAATTAGCGAGACGCGTTGAGAACAATTTTCGATACAGGGCTCAACACAAGCTGTCAGCATCTGCGGTGTGTGCTTCGATATGAGGTACTCATGGGTTGTTCGAAGAGTTGTTGATAAGAGCATGAATTCGGTGGCTGGGATCGTCGTGGACTAACTTAGAGACAACTTCACTCTTTGCGGGGTTCAGGACGCGATGAAGCTCGTTGTTTTAGGCGCGTCGTCGATAGACCTTTTTGGCAATTTTGCAACCAGGTCTCAATGTCCATGAAAACTACTCGTGTTCATCCGCAGAGAAGCTTACAATTCGATAATGATAAACCTAGAACGAAGACTAAATGCTACCTAGGTATGATGGCTCGCAATGACGCTTTTCCTGTTCTGCTCGTATAGTCAGTCGACTAGGTGAACCCTTGGATCATGGTTCATATCAGCATCGCAGCTAAGTCGTACTCATTGTTGTTGAGCATGTTTCAGACTGTCTGTGTAAGAATAGCAGATACTCCACGCACTGCATCTGACATTTGGTGTCGCTGTCATCGACTTCATCGTTGCCAAGCCGATATTGATCCGTCCCTGCGGCGAGTCATGCGCATCACCTGAGGATTCGAGAACTTGCTCGCCTGCCTTTTTCCACGTCCTCATCCTCGTCGTCTATCCTCCTCCTACCCAATGTCAGTCGCTAGAAGAACGTTATGAACTCCTCCCTCCTCTTCTCGAGACTGGGAAGCTCCAGCATCCTAAAGTCCACCCGCTCTCTTCGTCCCTTTCAGTCGAAATTATGCTCTCGAACCATCTCGCAGACAACCCCAAAATCTGCGACTGCCACACCATGGGAAGCTGCTAAAGCTGAAACGGACAAGAAGAACCAGACGGTGTTGTACGTATTTTGACCCAAAAATTCGCCCAGCAACTCACAGCCAGCAGATACTACGGCCTCAGTGCTGGCATAGCCCTCCTCGCCCTCTCATATGCCTCAGTCCCTCTATATAAAATGGTCAGTCAAACGTGAACCCTCATACCATCCACTGCTCACGTACCCTAGATCTGCCAACAAACCGGCTGGTCTGGTCAACCCATCAAAGCGCACGACAGCGCCGGCGATCCTGCACTACGTCTGCGACCCGTCGAAGACCACCGCCGTCTACGCATCACCTTCAACGGTTCCGTCTCAGACATCCTCCCCTGGAAATTCACCCCCCAACAACGTGAAGTCCGAGTCCTCCCCGGCGAGACCGCACTGGCATTCTACACAGCCAAGAACAAGAGCGAAGCAGACATAATCGGAGTAGCCACATATTCAGTCACACCGGCACAAGTGGCGCCATATTTCAGCAAGATCCAATGTTTCTGCTTCGAAGAGCAACGGCTCAACGCGGGCGAGGTCGTCGATATGCCCGTCTTCTTCTTCATCGACCCTGATTTCGCCAAGGACCCTACGATGAAGGGTATCGACACCATCACACTAAGCTACACATTCTTCAAGGCAAAATACGACAAGAACGGAGTGTTGACAACAATACCACAGGCAATGGCTGGGGCGTGAACAACAGAGTTACCTACTACCGATCCTTGAGCCAGGCAATCAAATCGTCGACACCTCGATCCGGTGGAAACACAGGATACCACCACTTGATCACTTTCCCGTCCTGAATGGCGATCATCGACCGCCTGAGGACTTTGTTGCCCTCCCACTCGAACGTCGGCAAATTCAGTCCTTGCTGGAACTCCAGCTTCTCATCGCTGAGTAGCTCGTACGGCAAATGCAGCCGCTCATGCACTTCGGCCTGATACTCGGGCGATTGGGTGGCAATGCCAAAAATCTGAGATACACCGAGGGAGTGCAGTTGGGAGAGATTGTCCCGAAAAGAGCAGGCTTGAGGTGTACATCCACGGGCGCCGGCAATGGCGTTCCACGAGTCTGGGACAGTCTCGTTGGGCGCACCTCAGACACAATCAGCCAGAGGCAGCAAGCTGGAAGAGTTGGAGATACCGGTTCGAGGATAACAAAAGACCACAGTGAGACCCTTGAGTACAGACAGGTTGACCTTTTTACTTGGGGCACGCGCTACGGGAAGGCTGAGATCTGAGGGGATAGTGAAATTCGTCAAGTGGTTGTACAAGCCGTCGTCAGTCGGGACAGGCAGGTCGGAGGGGAATGAGGTATCTGGAAATATCAGTACTGCTGTGAATGGTTCTGGATTCACCTACGAGCCATGGTGTTATGATCTCCTCTCACGGCAATGCGGCCTTGACGGATGTATTTTTACCAGGGTGTACACTGTACAGAGTACTGGTCTCGATTGCTACGACGGACGGTGGTCGAGCGGGGTTAACGAGCCGGAGTGAAGAAGTCCGCGATCTACTCAATATATGTTCTCTTCTCCAGTGTAGCTGTTTCCGGTCAATTTTGGCCTATACCCTCAAATCGTTGCCAATCATTCTCTATCTCAGTCACACTTCCCTTCTTCATCACGACAGCGCTGGACGGCTACCAAGCCCATCGGCGAACTTCTGAAGTTCTGCGGCAATCATCCCCATGATAAAAGGCAGCTGAGACGTGGAGAACATATAGCCACGGCTTGTGTAGCGCAGCTCCATGATCAACGCGGGGTCCCCAGCCAAATAGCTCCCAAGCAGATTGTATGCCCGAAAGAAAGATCCATACAACAGTAGTCTTGGACTATCCTGTCCACCATGTATGTTACGTGGGCATGAAAATGTGCCTACACCTTTCTCATCGATCAGCAGGATTGTCATGCCGGCATGCTCGCCCAAGGCGCGGTTCATGAAATCTTCGAGATGTTGTTGGTCAATGATCTCTTGAGACGTCAAGACGACAGTCGCATAGGTCGAGCGCGATCGGAGACAGCGCATACCGTTCGTCAGTGACTTGAGATTGGTATATGTTGTCACTTCCGGACGATGTGCCCGGGGAGCCACGCGTATGCCATCTTCGACTGCAGCCGGCATGTCCTGCGGCACGAAGAGACAGTGCTTTTTGTACCCGTGTACAGGTCGACAGAGTGCAGCAACCGTGGACATCAGACCAATGTAGCTGTCTTGGTAAGTCAAGGCGTCCTGGGCACCGGTGATTTCGACAACGAGCTCTTCCACTTGGACATGCAGCTCCGTTGATCCCACCACCCACCTCGTCCCGCCTGCTCCGAGTCCATAAGTACTCAATGCATCATGTCCGGCTGCATGTACGACCCCCTCGCGTACTGTGGGGACGGTATCGACGGCGCATGCTGCAATGAGGTCTTTGATGTGCTTTTCCGTGCTTGAAGCCTCCCAACTCTCCTGCTCTCCGAGGATGATATCTTCAATTTTGCATGGTGGAACAGTTGTTGAGGTGGTGAGCTTGATCAATCCCACACGATGTGCTGCCTCCAAGATAGCCTGCAAAAGACGGTGTACGGTGCTGTCGTCGAACCCTGCTGAAAGACACAGTCGTACACGTGACTCCCAGAAAGGAACAGCAGGTGTTGATACTGGACTGGCAAGGACTCCCTGCTGCCTCAACACATAGGACAACTTGGCGGCCACACTGGGGCGACCTGCGTATATCGGCAGGATTGGTGAGGAGTCACAGCCATAGATGTAGAGCCCTGCCCGGTGAAGTGTTTGCCGGACAAAAATCGTAATGCTTCTCAATCTCTTGAGGCTCCGATTCAGCATGGTGGGCTGACCAAGGACATATAGACACTGCACTAATGCGGATGTCGGAGGTGGGTCGAAGCCAGCTTTTACCATCTCGTCACGACGATGTGTTAGCCTTGGCCCGAATACCGCTTTGGCACACACCGTTCCTCCAATGGATCCTATCGCCTTGGAAAGTGTGGCAGTTCGGATGTCGATGAGGTCACTGCTCACTGGAGTCGCGGTCTCGTCTTCATTCCATAGTTCAACGCATCCCCGGCCAGTCGCACCCAGGGCCAGGAAGGAATGAGCCTCGTCCACGAGCAGTGTAAACCCAAAGCGTTCCTTTAGTGATGAGAGGCCGGCAAGGTCTGGAATGGTTCCATCCATGCTAGTACGCATTAGTTTCAGCTTGGTAGCAGCAACGAAGAGCGTTAGGGGTTACCTGAAGAAGCCCTCAACAGCCACGAGAGTATTTGTACATTGTCCCATACACGCATCGAGAATCTTTTCGAGGTCATTCATGTCATTGTGGCGGAACTTTCGGATCAGCCCAGGTTGACTCTGATAAGCTGCAACAAACATCGAGTTATGGCTCTTCTCATCAAGTACAACCATCCAAGTTTTGTCGAGGATTGCTGAAAATGCGAGTAGATTGGATCCGTATCCTGTACTGGTAAACAAGCAGAAGTCGGCTTGCCAGAAAGTTGCAACCCTCTCTCGTGCTTCCTTTTCGATTGGTGACACATCAGAGCAGTTGACGACTGGCAATTTGGCCAGAAGGATTTGGTGGAGGGCGATGCCATCTTGACTGCAACCTAGAAAGCCAGCGTAGTTGTGAGACGCAGATTGGATGACTTCTTGTGAATTGCCGTTCTTGTCACGCACCCTGGCCAAAGGTTTTCCATGAGATACCGAAAGTATGACGCGCTCGTTCTTGCCTTTCTGTGTGAAGAGCGGATGGACATAGTGATGGTTGAACTTGCCAGGCTCTGATATAGGCTGGGAGCTGGTGTCAGAGTCTCGAAGCACGACTCTTGCCCTGGTATACAACAGCCTGCCACCTTCTCGCACCTTGGCCCAAGTGCTAGTCCTTGGTGGCTGATACAGGACTCGCAAGATATCGTTCGGCAGAAGTGAGTTGACCTCGGCACTCTTGGTTGAGATTGATGAACTGCTGTCCTATGAGAGTCATTAGCATGGAAAGCTGGAAGCTGAAATACACACCGAGCCTGTGTTCCTTTCGTGGATCTGAATGCGAATCTTCTCGAAGGAGTACTGTTGGTACGGGATAACCTCAGAAGCCATGTTGTTTGACACGCGCGAATCATTCATGACTTTGGTAGCAATCTTCCAAGACTCGCCAAGTCACCGAGACGAGGGATAGAAACAACATATTTATGGACCGTGCTGCTACTGAAAAGCAAGCTCGGTGCTTCGCATGCAGACTCATGTGGCTGTAAGTCTGGCCGGTCGGAGTACAAGGATTGCTGGTAAATAGGTGGTCTGGAGCCCCTTGAAGCAAGCATACCTCCAGGGCGATACATGCTCTAGATCGTGGCCTCGGTCGAGAGTGTATGAATCAGGCAGCCACTGCGGCATGTCAACAGAGACAATCATAGACGTTGAGCAATCATGACCTGTAGACAAGTAAATGGCTGGCTCAAAATGATCATTGGCTGGCTGAGGCAAAGGCTTAACGGCTACTGTAAACGGTTTAAGCCATGTCGGCTAGGCCCTGGCCGTCCCCTTTCCGAGACAGAAGTGATCTGGACTATCGGTGCTGACGTTCTTCACCCGGCAGTATGACTGACACGCTATGAGAAAGCTGAGGTCTGATGGGAAAGCGGAAATTCTCCGGTGGTTGTACAGGCTATCGTCAATGGGCGCAGGCAGACCGCAGCTGAATGTTTTCTTGGAAATGTCAGACAGTCGTGCAATGTCTGGGGACGACCCACGAGACATGTCGTTGATGCAGCTGAATAAAGTGAAAGTAGTTTATGCTAGAATGTTTTTGTTGTCGAGTGGGGTTGATATATGCTCTATCAAGGCGGAGCTGGACGAGAAAGTCCGAGACTCGTTCACTATATCATCTCTACGGCGAAATATTGTATTCTTCATGCATTGTATTAGTAATGTCGTTTTGTTATGCCAACGCTATGCGACTAGTAATACATAAACTGCTGCAGATACATTATGCAGCGATCTTGTGACTGTCTGGTCGAGACCTGCAGCCAAAGCTTTTGAAGATGTGGTGAGGTGATGACCTCCAGCACATTCACTCTTCGGTTGTGGTGAGATTGAGTACAGTTAGGATCTTTTCAAAATCCGGTGTTCCAAACCCACTGGCAACATCCCATCCCTCGCCGGCACTGAAACCAGGCCCATCACAGCCAACACTGCTTCCATTGACAACGTCGGTGAATGCCAGATAACCCTTTTCATACAACCAGGGATTCAACCAACCCATGGGGGGCTTACCCGCCGCCGTCAGGGCGTCGTTGACCAATGAAAAGATACTTGAGATTGTAGGCGCTGCGCAGCTCGTTCCATCGACTGTCTGGACCATGGATTCCAGGAAAATAATGTACCGATAACTCTGTGCGGCGAGGTCGGGATATGCACGACCTTCACAGTTGTACAGACCTTCAAATTGGTCGCCGGTGGTATTGAGATATCGTTCTATGACACCATTTTGCCAAGACGGTCGTGGAAAGTAATTGCTAAAGCCAGATCCCGATGCAAAGCCATTTGTCGTGTCGTATCCTACGACTTCAGGATAATTTCTGGTTCCGCCGACGGTGGTCACATAAGGACACGAAGCTGGAAAGACAGGAAGAAAGGTAGTCCTGTTCTGGCCGTCGTTGGAGATACAGCTGTTGTTCTTGCCGACACCACTGTCGCCTGAGCTAAAGAAGAGGGAGATTCCCTGGGCGCCGAGAGCGCCGAACTGATTGCAGACTTCTCTGGCGTAAGACTCGGGGACGGTTTGTTCATCATCGCCGTAAGAAGTGGAGATGACCTTTGGGAGGCTGTTGCTATCCTGGCTGGTCATCCAGTTGACCCATTCTAAGTATGGTTCATTGGTATTAGTTGTGGTGGCACTATCTGCCTCGAAGGGCGGCATTCCGCCCGTCGAATAGAGCGTGACTGGAATTGGGTAGACTAGTCCAAGGATGGTCTGGAGGTCAAGATTTCCTTCATTGCCAGGCACAGCTGTGGCATTGTCGAGGGGGCCGCTGTCGATAGAGATCTGCTTGACGGAGAATGAGGAGTTGACAGCTTCAGGCCGGAAGTTTTCAAGGTAAAGTTGGGCATCAGATCGATTCGAGACTTGACCGAGGTAGTTTGTGAAACCGATGGAGTTGTTGTTCGGTACTTGGACCCGGTAATTGACGGTATTGTACAGAGTTCGCAGACATTTCGTGGTCATTCCACCAAAGTTGCAAACGCCTGCCAACTGGGAGGAGTTTAATTCAGAGGTCAGGTCGGATAGATCTACGTCCGCAGGTACGGTGACGACATTTTCACCCTTGGGGTTGGCTCTCAAGAATGCCGTGGTAGGTTGGATGGTGGTGATATGATCATGAAGCGAGCGAGGGAGAGACCAATGGGTGGTTCGAACGAGTCTGCTACCATCTTCGTGCTGGTAGACTGAGTATTTCGTGTCGAGAAGACTTTCGATCTTAGCGACTGGTAGGGTGAGGGTGATCCAGTCTCGGGCAGAATTGAATTGGCAGTGAGATGAGTCCAGGCCATTTTCCAACAACCACTCTTGTACCAGTCTGGCTGTTTCATCAGTTGGTGACATTAGGTCGTAAACTTCTTGCTGCGACAGATGTTGGCCATAACGATGGTGGGAAGGGCTGGAAACTAGCAGGGTCAGTGAAGATGGCCTGAGAGTCAGACGAACCAATTACCCTCATGTAGATGTTGCTCAAGCAGGGCGAAGTTGTTGTGTTTGAGACCGATGTTGAGCTTTATGGGGTGGAGAGGATGGGGATTTCCAGCAAGAGACCATCTTGGAGGGACATTGTTGGTTTCCTTAACGGCGTACTCGGAGCGGGAGGGATGTACTGGCGAAGCAACGATTGACTGGAGGTTAACCAGGACGGCCAACAGCAGGCGGAACGAAAGCATAACGAACGTTAAAGCGATAAAAGCGCAATGCAATGCAAGCAAGAATAAAGAAAAGGGAGAAAAGAGTGTTGATGAGAGAGGCTGATGGTTATTCAGACATTCTCAAGTGAAGTGAAGTACTTACCAGGTACCAACTTTCCAATGCCGTCATTGGCAGGCGGAGTCGAGAGATTTACATTAAAGGGCAAGGCAGACGGATCCGTGAACGGCACTAACAAATGAAATATGGAGATACTGGTTGATGTGTAAAGTATTGGTTTTCTTTTCTGATCCTGTTGTCCTAGGAGATAACAATAGAAGTAGATTGTAGGACAGCGCCAGATCACGAGTACCTTCGACGTTACACGGACCAAAGGTACCAGGTACTGTTCGTTGGTGATGAGATTTCGTGGTTCGTCTCCGAAAAGTGTAACAATTCGTTACATTCTCTGCATGATTGGATCATATAGAAGTTGGTATACTTTTCCCGCTAGTTCAATTGACTTGATTCAGAATGTAACGGAGATGTTGCTTGGCTGTCGATCGATTTGACTCCGTGTTTCGCATTGAATTGGATCTACAAAAATCCTTACTAGAGCAGTGTCTGACACATATTGTGCAGATGCAGTTCTGGTATGGAGACTACACCGTCAGACGGAATGTCAGAAAGTAAACAAATATGCCACCTCTTAACATTCAGCCCGTCGTTCTCTTTCCTCGACACCACGACCATTCTCTTCAAGGTGACAGATTTCGCACTGAGAAGCTGCCGCGAGAGAAGATTTGGTGGTGGACCGATGCAACGGGCGTGCTCTCAGCCGAAACATCTCTACAAGCAGGTTATGTTCATTCTTGTGCCGAATCAAAAACCTCAGGTACCGTCCAAGGTGGTCACTGAGTCCACCCTCTAGATGTGAAGATGCGATGTTATCATTGCGTGACTTCCTCTTCATACACAAGTCGAGTGAATTGTCCAAGTATTTACCACCTTGACTGTCTCATAGCAACACAACAGTCACTATCTAGCACTGCCTTCCTTCACGGCCAGAATGGATTGTTTTGTCAACGATTCCTCAATGCATCCTCTGCAATCTTGTTCTTTCTGCCACCCCCCACCTTTAGCAGCTCACGATGGCAGGGAACCGAAAGCGAAAGCAGCCATCTCCTAATCTACATGAAATCATTGCAGCTAAACGAGAGGAGAAAGAAGCAGCTCGCCCGAACTGGTTTTATATCGCCCGTTCGGCCCATCCTCAAACATCTGCATATGGCCTGAGACTCTTCAAGCAGCAGGAGAAGCTTGAGAAGCAATCCGAAACACAGACTACTGACGAGGGGAAATGGGCGGCGATCGAGCAACAACTACGTGGCGAGCTGCCCGAAGAATTGAAGGCACTGGATGCTCTGCAGCAACATGTCAACACATTCACCGCGTGCAACCCGACCATCATTGAGAAATTGTTCGCTGGACTGGAAACCGAAGAAGAACGACTTGCTGTTATCCTTCCGCATATCAAGTTTCCAGAACCTCAGACAGAGGGCACCTCAGGTACCTTTACATCGAGGGCAGTCAATACTGTCCAGTGACTAACAGGAACAGGTCTCCATGGCGAAGACGGAAACGACGAAAGCGAGGACAGCGTAGAGATGTTATATCAGAATCTCACTGCTGCCGAAGTAGAGGACGCCAAGCGGAAGAAGAATGCCGAGAAACGACGTCGCTATCAGGAGAACCTGAAGAAGCGCAGAGGCGATCCTGAGCTTCAGCGAGCTGCTGAGGAGGCAAGACATGTGAATGAGCACAATGCTGAGATGAGACGCCGAAGACACGAACAAGGTGAAGCCGAGGACACTGGAGACGATGAAGTTATTCTTGACGAGTAGGTCGTTGAAAGGGCAGCGTAGACGACCTACTTAGTAAGACACAGAATGTCAGTCTGCAAGTCCTGGGGAGGAATCAGATCCGATGATGACGGAAGATCAATCAGTTTGTCAGCATAGGTGCCGCCTTTGGCTCGTAACATGGTCGGCTAGGTCTACAGCAAGCGTCTGTAGCGGTGTACGAGTACAAGTTGTAGAGCGCATCCTAGCAGATCAATGCTGAATACAATACCTAGGTAATGATTGTTGCCGCTGACAGGCTTCACATGCCAACCCCTATTCCGTAGTCTGGTGCTGTGCCGAGGTTGTAACGCCAAGAACGGAAACAATGTCAACACTGACGATGACGAAGGTGTTTCCATTCTATCCTACTATACACGTTCACCTATACAATGATTGATAGACAGGGAATACGCACTCGCAAGGACCAGAGCTGAACAGCATGGATCATGTCGATTTCAACGCCATCAAACCCCTCCTTCGCGCTTATGCGTTAGGACATGTCACCTTCACGGGTCCCAGATTGTTCGGTTTCCTAAGAAGTCTACGAAGACAGAAACTCTCGACGCAAGAGAACTTGAATATACTCTGCACCATTCTCAAGACCTCCACTCAGCCCAATCGATTTCCTACCGCGGCGGCAATAATCGTTGGAGGAGCTACGGCTCTCCCTCGCCTCGTCCGTGCAATCCTTCAAAAGGTCCTTTCCATTTACAGCAATGGGCCAACTCGTCTGAATGACAGACTCACACGCCGTATACAATTTGTTTGCTCCCTGCTTTCGGCATGGCTGGCCTTCGATCTTCTGAACCGCGATGAAAACTGGTTCCGAAAACGTGGTATCAGTAGCCTCGAATCGCCCAACAAACACCACCTCCCTCCACCCTCGTACCAACCTCAGTATGCTGGCAAGACTATCGATTTCACACTGTTTGCATTCTGCCGAGCTCTAGATATCGTCATAATATCTGCATGGACACGAAGTCGCTCGAAGCCATGGCATCTCGAACAACGAAACCCAGGACTAGCAAACGACCTTCGCAGACTTGCAGATCCGACCATTTTCTCGATTTCAGCAGCAATCATCATGTGGTCATGGTTTTATGCTCCTGATCGACTACCTCGCGAGTATAACCAGTGGATATCAAAAGTGGCCGATATAGATGCTCGACTCATCGAAGGTCTTCGGCTGGCACGCCGAGGAGAGTTTGTGTATGGGGAGGACACGGGAAAAGCTGGACTCCTACAGCCATTATGCCAGAAGCTCGGTCTGCCCGAGGGATATGGTGATCCAACTAAGACTATCCCGATACCATGTGAGTTGTATCACTCTGGCACCGGCAAAAGCTGTGAAGTGCATGCTGCATCGAGGTTCTCGCGAAGCTGGAAATTCGCAATGGAGATTTACGTGCCTCTACAACTGCTTGCGCGTATCCGGACTCCCAACTTGAAGTCTGCAATGGAGGGTCTCAAGGCCGCAGCGAGGTCGTCATCATTTCTGGCAGCATATACCGCTTTGGTTTACTACGGAATTTGCCTTGCTCGAACCCGGCTCGGGCCCAAGATCTTCTCAACCAAAACCGTAACGCCGCAGATGTGGGACTCTGGGCTCTGTGTTCTGGCAGGCTGTCTGGCATGTGGATGGTCCATACTCCTAGAGAAACCAAGTCGACGACAAGAAGTTGCTTTCTTCGTTGCTCCAAGAGCATTAGCCACTCTGCTGCCTCGAGTGTATGACAGGCAGTACAGAATCAGGGAACAGGCCGTGTTTGCGACCAGTGTCGCATTGGTCCTCACCACACTAAAGTCTGGCAACGAACGGAATGTGAGAGGCGTGCTCGGAAGGCTATTGGGCAGTATCATGAGGGAGTGAATGACCTTCTCTCATCCGTCGAACTGGCTTTCGGACCCAGAGACTCTCAATTAAATTCCATGCTGAGGTTTGAGAACACATTGTCATCTCACACTCCGCGCAGAAGGTCACTCCCAGAAACAGACTGAACTCATCGAAGCATGTGAAAGGACCTGCTGTCAATAATCCTACTCCATCTGTCTCTTGCCGGTCTTTCATCCACTACAACCACGTCGCTACTCTTCAATCACCATTGAGTAGAAATCCTGGTCGCTGTCGATCCATTCTTGGATACGCCGCGTCATGCCTCGCAATCCAGCTGCAAAGATGGTTGGCTCAGGTACGAAGGACACATCTCAAGGTCCTGCTTCAGCAACTCCTCCTGTGTCTCAAAAGCGACCCTCAGCAAAGCTTGATCCCCTCACAGGATTAGCGGAACATCTGGCGCCGAGGACCTTCACTGTCAAGAAGTACTACGATACTCTGTCTGGTACTACATCCGACAACTGCTCCTTCCATTTGAAGCCTCAAGATGAGGAATTCTTCATCACCGGAATACCTGCAGAAGTACAGCATCACTTCCGTGACATTCTCAACGTCATGTGCGGCAAAAACACTGGCCTACTGGTCATGTGCTTGAAAGCCCCGGAGTCACCCTTTCGACGCTGGCTGGTCATGGATTTGTGTCCCACTCGGTTGCTTGGAGAGTCGGAAAAACCGTCACGACTTGGGGAAGATGGGACGAGGTGGTCAAAGTTTTCAGCGCCAAACCACACAAGGAGGAAATCTATAATGATCTCGCAGTCGGTCTGGGTCGACGCGGACATCCGATCACAAAGAAGAAGGCAAGATCGGAAACTTTTGATATCCATGAGGAGAAGGGCATGGCAGCAGGAGAAGGAGTCAATACATGTTCTGCAGCTGCTGAAGCCGTTTCCCACGAGCAACGGTCCCGCTCAACATCTGGAGCGAAAAGTGGGAATGTAGCAGGAGACGCAAGCCCCATTGAGACCCAGCCTCAGACGCCAATGCATCCTTCAATCTCCCCACGGCCAACAAAGCGTCCGCGCCCAGACGAGCCTGGAACGATGTTCGACCGGGCGCTGAAAGGTTTCGATCACTGGCGTGACACGCTCAGGGAGGCATGTCGCTCTAGCAACGACATGACCGAGGAAGTTGCGAAACTGAAAGCCGATAATGCGCGACTGGAAAAGGAGAAAATTGCTACGCAGAAGGAGAACGAGGCCCTTCGGGCGAAGGCCACAAACAGCGCGGAACTCGAGACCGAACTTGCCAAAGTAAAGTCGGAGGACAGTCTGCTCAAGGCTGACATCGAAGCACTGCAAGACCTCGTTGGAATGTGGCTGGCTGGGGTGAACGTGGACAACTTCTTGAAGGAGGTCAGGGAGGGCAAGGATGTGAAAGGGCCTTTCTTCGCTGCCAGCATGAACAAGTGAGATGACACGATGGCAATGGTCACCACGAAGAGTAGATATACGAGGCTTTGAGAGAGGTTGGATGATCTTCGCCCTCTCGGTCGAGATGCATTGGAGCCAAGGGAAACAATATCACATCAAAGAGCTATAGCATGACGGCTTACGAGGGCTGGTGACCGTTTGGGTTGGGCATATCGAGCTTCTTCAGCACGCATCTTGCACAAACTTATCAATCTCTGGAACAGTACGTGCCTGCCACTTTGACGCAGGTCTTGCGATATTGAGTGCGGCTGAAACATTCACTGGCCACGGAAAGGATTCCACTTCACTTACCAACGAGACGTGTCTTACTGGTCTTCACTACTAACTGTTCATGAAACCATCACTTCACTTACACTGCAGCCATAACGCGACCGGCCCTGGCAACCCCATACTACTTTTTAGCGACATCAATTCTGCAGCTCTTGTTCATTGATCATCTTTCAACGAAACGGACAAGGCAGTGGTCAAGTGTTGTCGAAGTCAAGCGCGTGCCAGTATTGTAGCTCGACTGCCTCCTTCGAGTCACTCCTGCGTCTTTTCTCGCCGTCCATACTTACATATTCAAACCGCACGAGGAACCATGCCAGACAATACAGCTGCAATTCGATCCTTCTGGATCGCGGGAGATGCAACCTACGAGGGCTGTGAAATTAGCTGGAACACAGCATCACATGCCTTTATCGTCTACGACCCTCTACTTTTCAGACCTCCTATCATACAAGAATCATTTCGGTCGATCCAGAAAGTCCTCCACGAATCCGTCTCGCCATCATGCTTGACACTGGTACTGAATTTGAAATGGATCCCCGAGGAGAAATCGGTGAAGTCTCCTAGACTAATTTTCCTTTTCAACGACGTCTCATCTGCTATTGAGTTTCACAAAGTCCTCCTTCCACTTGACAGAGACTATGTCAAGAATACAACTGGTTGCTCGTGGTGAGTAAAGAAAGGGACTACCTTGTGTCCAATTACTGACTCTATCTAGTCGCGAATCCTTAGGTTCTCAAAAGATAGAGGCATCACCTCGAGCTGGTGATAAGAGAGCGCACGATGAAGATGACGAGGAGCCAGCCACTAAGCGATATCGTCCAGCATTCTTCACCACCCTCAAGATTGCGCCACACCTCCAACCACGACTTGCTGAACTTCTAGCAAAGACACCGCAGCCTGCGGTCACAGTTCACAAAGCTCAAGCCTGTAATGACGATGAGGTGGAAGAGGAGGAAGAGGATCAAGAGGATACTATTGTCATAGGTACTCCCCTTGGTCCCAATCGTCGCCATGTCCGCCAGAGTGCCCCATCGCCTTCGCGTCCATCAGGCCATACTGGAAGACTCCTGCGTCGCACGACACTCTCATCTCCACGACCAGGTTTGGCCTCCTCTGCGACCCTTTCGATTCGTGGAAGAGTTTGTCGAGGTTAGAGAAGAGAATGGAAAAATGAAATTGGAAAAGAGAGAGCTCCAAGAGAAGATTGTCGGATTGCAAGGACAAGTCGCCGTCGCCAGAGCCGAGCAGTCTCTTGCTGCAACGCAATTGACTCAACTTCAAGCAGACATTCAGCTATTGAAAGATTTGGTTGGACGCATCACAAGACCGCTGATCCAACTTGACGTCGACGGCTATTTGACTCGAATAAAATGGGGCGAGGATCCAGATGCCGCAATCAAGAACTCACATCTTTATTGCTGGGGTTCGTGGATGAAGAACGACGGTGACGATGCTGCTCCGAAAGTCACCATAGAGTGACATGCTCCTATGGAATTCTTGCAGGATGAGGATGTGAGAGTGTATCGGTGAAGCTGATTTGGATATTGGATACGAATAAGAGACCTCAGCTAAGCAGGGCTGCACCGATGCACCATTCTCAAAGTCATCTACGCGCAACAAGCTTGGCGAAGAGGTCAGATTGACTTGTGCATAGGTCATCAAAGACGGTCAGAGTTACGAAAGAATATGCGGTGTGCTGAGATTGCGGTTGACCTGAACCGGCGGAACAGGATAGCGGTGTGAATTGTACGTGACGGAATGCTTTGTCGGGTTATCGTACTGCACCTAAAAAGTATTCTTGATAGGTTGGGTAATGTTGAAGAGATAGTCGTCCAGTAACTAGAACTCGGTCGTTGAAATGTCGAGGTTGACCACGTGACCAGCCGAGAAAGTCTTGATCAACCCCGAGCTCGCTTCAATTCGAAGCCACTGACTGCACTCAACATCGCTCGAGAACAACCATCATATTCACCCAACGTCGACAGTCATCATGTGTCGCATCTGTGGACGCGTGGTAAAATGCATATTTGATTCAATGCCGTCAAGGGTGCCATCGAGATCGATGAGGTACATACTCTCAATTCGAGACTGTACAATGATTAACAGTGGTAGGACTCTACGGCAATCCCATCAATCTCGATCACACCATGTGTCTTCGCGCTCTCTCGTTCGAAGCGCATTGAACACCTCCTCGAGGTCGACAACGCAACCGCCAACATTCCTCCTGCCGTTCCGCGCGAGACTACATCAAGCGGCGACGCAGCAGGCCAGTCCGGCGGCAGATTTCCAGAGCACACAACCCGACATCCCTCCCACACTTCTCACAAGCACAACATCTACATCGATATCCGAGTCCAACACAGTCGTCACCCCTCCCTCGACAACACAATCCCTCTCGCGTCCGCTCGTCCTCTCAAAATCCCTACAAAATCTACTACCAAACATCATCCTCCAGAAACCTCACTACATCGTGGCGCACGTCCATCGCTTTCCATATTTAATCACGGAAGGTGACATTCTCCGTCTCCCATTCCACATGCACGGCGTCTCGCCAGGCGACATTCTGCGCTTCAACCGCGCCAGCATCCTCGGATCGAGAGAATACACGCTGAAAGCGGGCATGGCTAACACCGAGTCCTACGACACCAAGCGCACGGGCGAGCCAAACTATATTGACGAGCGGCTGTTCGAATGTCGAATGCGCGTGATGGGCATAGAGACAAATCCCATGATGGATAAAGAGAAGAAGAAGCGGAGGAATCGACATCGGAAGGTCGTCCACAGCAAACACAAGTACACCGTCCTGCGAGTCATGCAGATCAAGATCAAAGATGTAGAGGAGTTGAAGAGGGAGAAGGGCACGCTTTTGCTGGAAGGCGCTGCACAAACGGAGCAATTGTAACACTGACAGCAGAAATGCAGTAAGAATATCATTATATACTGCTCAAGAATGTCAAGAAAGGGTAGACTATCAACATACAGTATTTCAAGTGTGCGCCAGCCCTGTGGTCTGCTAATCGATCCGTGAAGCCCGAACCATGGGATTTTGTTTTCGACGCCAAAAAGCTCCGCACAAGATGACGCCGTCGCACCAAAATTCATCAAGTTTCATAAACATACAGTGTCAGTCGCAAGCTCATCTGAACTCGACGGCTGGGAACGTCATACGGTCGCGCAGGTTGATTTTGAACTCGTAAATACCCTCTTCGGAGCCGGCAAAGCTATATTTTGTCAGTCGGGGCGTCAAACAGCGACTCCGGTGCGTGTGAAACTTACAGATATTGACCATCAGGACTGAAGCCAATGCCAGCAGTCCCAGGTCCCATCTCGCGCACAGCATCCGCTGCCGTGGTGGTGGTCGGAGGTTCTCGTGCTGTCAGAGATGATGCGCCCGCCAGAACCCTGTTCAAGCCTGCGCCAGCCGTCCAATTGCCATTTGCATCCGTCGCGCGATTGCCTGACATACCTGACAAGAACATCATCCTGGCCAGTCGCAGATCCGAGTCTGGGATGCGACTTGCAAGGTCGGCGAGAGTCTGACTTCCTCGGTCGTGGGCACGCCGGGCTGCTGCAGCGGCGGCGGCAGATCGATTTCGTTCGGACGGGTTCAATCCGGTACGCCAGCTTGGAGGGTTGACTGTGTTCCACTCGCCCGGCCTCCGTGGTGTAGTATCGACCTCGGTTTGCTCCTGACGACCGAATTCACGACGTATGGCGTTCTCGAGGGCTTGGATGTCAGCCGTCGCCAATGCCACCCGTGACTCAGCGCGACGGACTTGACGCTGCAGATGTTCTATATGCTGAATCCGTTGGTTCCGAGATTCGCTGTGTTCGGACAGGACGCTGGAGAGACTGTCAGGTCGCAGAGTGGTAGGTAGAGTTGTGCTGCGAGCATCTGGAGAATTTCTTTCGATGGGAAATACTGGCTGAAGCTCCGTGGCTCTTTCGGGGTTGGCCATTATGAGACGATTTCGTTCTCTGGTGAGTCTTTGCGCATATTGTTCCCCAGCGGTCATCTGTTCCTGTAGCTCTCGGGAGCGTTGCTGTAGGAATTGTTCCTCGCTGGCGAGTTGACGTTGAAACACTCGTTCAAGAGAGGCTTCGACGCGGGCATTGGATTCTCGGGCCACTGCGCGAAGATGGTCCAATTGGGTCGAATTCTCCATGAGTAATCGTTGTTGAGTGTCGAGTTGTCTGCGCAGAAGAGCTGACAGCTGTCGTTCGTCGGCCAGTTGACGCTCCAGTTGGTTCCCCAGCTGACGTTCGGACTCCAGAGCAGCCTCGATTCGGGCCAGATTCGCCCGGTTGCTGTTGTCCGACTCTCGTGCTGTCTCGAGAGCGGTTTGTATTACGTGCCAAGGATCACTTGGTGGAATATTACTCGACAGGATTCGGCTGGTGTGTGCCGGAGGATCTGGTGATCGTGTGGTGGCGTGTTCGTCCTCACCTATCCTGACAGGAGATGCAGACAGTCTGGTTCTTTCGTTGTTGTTGGGATCAAGGAGTTGATTGCCAGTCGAACTAGATTCCGACAGTACCACCGAGGTCCTCCGACGAGGTCCATGGGACCGACTAACTTGGGATCCGCGGAGAGGAGCTAGCAGATCAATATTGTACCCATGAGAAAACTGTTGTTCCCTCTGTTGTGGTGAAGATGTGTAGTTGATACTGAAGGGGCGCGTGGCGGTTTGCTCTACATTGTCCATTGTGGTTTCCAGCGCATCGATAACTGATCTTTCTCGTGCGTCTAGATCCAGTCCTTGATGATAACTCAACAAGTCCTGCCGAGTATAACGCCGGCCAGCCTCAGTTTCTTCGTTATTTGTTTCGGATACTGTTTCGGTGGGGTTTGAACCTCGAATAGCTCGAAGTCGAGCCAGATGTTGTTGTTTCAGACGCTCTTTGACTCCCAGATTTCGGTAGGTGACGGGCGTGCCATCCTCAAGATCTACCGTCTCGGCCTTATGTGAATCCAATTCCAGTATCTGTCGCCGCATGAAACAAAGTCTGACATCTGCCAGACCTATCCTTCCATGATCTTCAGCCCAAGCAAGGATGTCCCACGGTGCAGGAGAAAATGCCATGGCTCGAACACAGCCCCACAATGTAGGCCGAGAAGACCGAAACGTACACAAGATCGAATTGCCAGGATTCTTGTCAGAATGAACAAGGCGCTCCATGTCGAAAACGGTTATCGAGCCACCTTGAGAGGAAGACGCGCATAGATGTCCAGACGGTGAAAATGCAACGGCGAAACTGTAGTCGTCGTATACAGGGTCTCCCGTGGGAACAACCACCTCAGCGAATGGAAGCCAATCGAACTTGGCATAACCATTCTCTGAAAAGCGGTCGAGGTGACGCTGGTAGAAGTGTACCTTGTCGGAATCACCCACTGCCGCAATAATCTCTGAGTCCGGAGACATTGCCGCAAAATTCATGGGTTGCTTGTGAGACAAAGTGGTCAAGACCTGCCGTTGTACAAGAGAGTATACCTTGATGGTCTTGTCGTTGTTGCTGATCAACACAATGGGCTCATCCGGCGCCTTAGGGCTTTTCATTGTGTGTATATTCATCGAGTTGACTATTTCTCCCCCAAGCACATCCACCACCAGATCGTGTCCGAAGCATTTCGGGTGACCGTAATCATCTTTCTCAACCTTGATGAACGCGCAGTCGCCATTCATCTCTCCACCCACACATACCCACCCCAGGTCCGCAGCAAGACATCTCGCCTCGAAGGGTATCGTGGCTAGGAGGGAACTCTGTTGGGTTTCGAGGTTGAGTACAAACACATCGTAGTTTGTGACATAGTAGATGAGATTCCCATCTGTCGTGCTGATGTAGTGTCGCAACTGATGGTGAGGTATTGATATCTTTGCGGGATAAAATTTACTTGGTTTGGCTAGTCCTTGAGTAGGAGTCAGGCATTGTTCGCGATCGGTTGCGGTCATTTCGCGGAACGAGATTCTAGGACACGAGACATATGCCTCTACCGCTGGGGATCGTAGCGGAAGACGGGGAAGAGCGCGGAGGGATAGTCTCTCATAGAGAAGTTGGGAAACGCATGTGTGTTTGTAGGTGTATAGCAGTAAAGTGTCAATATGTATTCAATTGGTTCCTGAGTAAGAATGACAGTGCTGCACGGTCTGTGATGTCAATTTGGTGAGGCTGTTCTGTTTGAGTCTAGTTCGCAGTACCCGTCAAAAAAAGGTCTGTGGAGTTAGATCCCGGCATCATCATCTTGCCTAGCACTGCAGTCTCCGTAGGTCTTTCCGGTCGAATCTTGGAGAATCTCTTGCCAAGACTCGAGTAGCGGAAGAGACAGGCGGCGCGAAGGAGCTTCTGCTGCGAAACATTTTTTTACATTCGCCTTTCCTGCATATCCATATCACTCGTACTCATCCATCCATCAATTGATTGATTCCTTTTTGTTTCCATTGGTCTTTTTACTATCGTCGTCTTTTCTCAACATCGGCAATCATGATTTCTTCAAGGTTGTCCCGAGCTGTAAGTACTGATCTGCTTCTTCATGGCTCACATGCTCATTGACCATCTACAGGTTCCGCGCTCAAGTCCCATCTCTCGCCTCTCTCAGATTCGAGCACCTCGCTCATCAATCATCTCTCGATATGCCTCCACAGACGCGCCCGAAGGCACCGAAAAGGTCAAGGGCCAAGTTATTGGTATTGATTTGGGTACCACCAACTCGGCCGTGGCTATAATGGAGGGCAAGACGCCCCGAATTATTGAAAACGCAGAAGGTACACGAACGACGCCCTCCGTTGTCGCTTTCACTGAAGGTGGCGAACGTCTTGTTGGTATTGCCGCCAAGCGACAAGCGGTGGTGAATCCCGAAAACACTCTGTTCGCCACGAAACGTCTGATCGGCCGCAAATTCACCGATCCTGAAGTTCAAAGAGATTTGAAGGAGGTTCCCTACAAGATTGTGCAACATACCAACGGCGATGCCTGGCTTGAAGCCCGCGGTCAAAAATACTCGCCGTCGCAGATTGGTGGTATGGTTTTACAAAAGATGAAGGAAACTGCTGAGGCCTACCTCGGCAAGCCCGTCAAGAACGGTGTCGTCACCGTGCCAGCCTACTTCAACGACATGCAGCGACAAGCCACCAAGGATGCTGGTCAGATCGCCGGTCTTAACGTTCTCCGTGTCGTCAACGAGCCTACTGCAGCTGCGCTCGCTTACGGTCTCGAGAAGGAAGATGATCGCATTATCGCAGTCTACGATCTTGGTGGTGGTACTTTCGATATCTCCATCCTCGAAATCCAGAAGGGTGTTTTCGAGGTGAAGTCCACCAACGGTGACACTCACTTGGGTGGTGAAGATTTCGATATCTCTCTCGTCCGACACATTGTCCAGCAATTCAAGAAGGACTCCAACATTGATCTGTCCAACGACCGCATGGCCATCCAACGTATCCGTGAAGCTGCCGAGAAGGCCAAGATTGAGTTGTCCTCTTCATTAAACACCGACATCAACTTGCCTTTTATCACTGCCGACGCTTCAGGTCCCAAGCACATCAACTCTAAGATGACCCGGGCTCAACTCGAGAAATTGGTCGACCCGCTCATCTCCAGAACCATTGACCCAGTGCGCAAGGCCCTGAAGGATGCCAACCTCCAGGCCAAGGAGATCCAGGAGGTCATCCTGGTCGGTGGTATGACTCGTATGCCCAAGGTGGCTGAATCAGTCAAGAGCATCTTTGGTCGCGACCCTGCCAAGTCAGTCAACCCTGACGAGGCTGTCGCTATTGGTGCCGCCATCCAGGGTGCCGTCCTTGCTGGTGAAGTGATGGATGTTCTTCTGCTCGATGTTACTCCTCTGTCCCTCGGTATTGAGACCCTCGGTGGTGTCTTCACCCGATTGATCAACCGAAACACTACTATCCCAACCAAGAAATCCCAGGTCTTCTCTACTGCTGCCGACTTCCAGACTGCTGTCGAAATCAAGGTCTATCAGGGTGAGCGTGAGCTTGTTCGCGACAATAAGCTGCTTGGTAACTTCCAGTTGGTTGGAATCCCTCCTGCTCACCGTGGTGTTCCTCAAATTGAGGTCACCTTCGATATCGATGCCGACTCGATTGTTCACGTGCACGCCAAGGACAAGTCTACCAACAAGGATCAATCTATCACCATTGCTTCCGGATCTGGTCTATCGGACTCTGAAATCCAAAACATGGTTGACGATGCCGAGAAGTACGGTGTCCAAGATAAGGAGCGCAAGTCCGCTATTGAGGCCGCCAACAGAGCCGACAGTGTCTTGAACGATACCGAGAAGGCCCTCAAGGAGTTCGAAGATAAGCTCGACAAGGCTGAGGCCGACACCATCCGCGAGAAGATCGCTTCTCTGCGTGAGTATGTTGCCAAGAACCAGTCCGGCGAAGGTACCGCCACGGCCGAGGAGATGAAGGCCAAGATCGATGAGCTGCAAGGATCTGCTCTTACATTGTTCGACAAGATGCACAAGGCTCGTGAGGAGCAACAACAACAGCAACCGCCTTCTGGCGATGCCGGATCTCAACAAGGAGGCGAACAGAAGCCTTAGACTGGTTGAGGTCAAAAAGCGACTTGTATTTTAATGAGATATTCCCCTGTACTCAACTTTTTTTATTGGTCATGTGGGCCGATCCGTCAACCTTCTTCTCCCATGTATGCAGAGCTGTTTGAGTAATGGGGATACAAATGGTATGGGATCGGCATGGATGAAAGGCCATTGAGGTATGTGGATGAAACATCTCGACATACTTTTTGCAAACACATTCATGAAACGTGGAGTGTGTTTGAAAGAGAGGAAAGATGGCCTTGTGTATTTAGCATTGTCTGGACAGTGTTCGTGTCCCTTATTGGCCCAGAGACCTGGAGGACGGGGTTCGGTGTCGTGTCTGAATAGAAACAAAATCTCCTCTCGTGCAATGCATAAGTTTTCTGTGTCCGGCTGTTACCAGTGGAAGTCCAGGGGTAACGCGCATAATACATCATTGATCAGTATTCAGTAAGTGGAGTCCGCGCGCAATAAGCAATCACCGTATTAAGGTGGCGGCTGGGTACATGTATGCGTCTTCATTCGGTTTCAGACGGATATGAAGGATAAATAAAGGGGGGCTCCGCTGACGATAGACCCAGGCAGCCACAGACCAGGGGTGAAGAATCCTATGATCATTATGATGACAGATTGGTGGACGACGGGATAGGAAGGTCTTGGAGGGAATGAATCCTGGAGCGGGGAAGAAATTGTGTCCTTGCATGATCATGATCAACTCGTGTAACGTCCTCCCGATGATGTAGATGGGGTAAGAGAGACTTTCCCAGATCTCAGACAGTAAAGCATCGACACCGGATAGGTAAGAATTAGGAATAGCTTTGGATCTTGTTAGGTTGCACAAACAGGGTTTAGTAAAAAATCATAGTCACAAACAAGACACATTTGTGACGATCGAAAAAGGACGAGATCGGAAAGATACTCGACCAGAGTGTTTGAGAGCAAGACATGCTGATACTCATACGAACTGAAGAAATGAAACTTCTGGATGGCCGGAAATTTATCGTGATTGACTGACATTTATGCGGTACGACGAGAGAAAGCCATGGATGTGTGCCTGTTTTCCATACAACATCATTGCTTAAACTGAGGCTGACCAGTGCCTGAGGCATTCTTCCATCTACTACTACCGGGCCTAGGTAAAGGCAAACTGTATACCGGATTTTGTTTTTTTGCCACCTACCAGTAGGCTTGGGGGAAAGCTAGCCCGTACCTCAGGTTGGCACTGTGCAGGCCTCTTGTTTCATTCTCTAGCGCGCGGCCTGACCAGCTGCCCGGTGTGAGTGTGACGATACTTGGCCCCAGAATTTTTACCTAGGTATGCGTATAAATACTGGAGTATTCTTGTTAGTGTTTGGAGTCTGAGAGTCCAGAGATACTACCCTCGCACGGAGTACAGTCATAGGGGTGCAACCTTCCTCATCGGAATATGCAACTCGTATCGTTGGCGAGGGTTGTAACGTAATCTTTGGGATAGAGAAGTCGTAGGAGGCTTAGTCGATCAATCTTGCGACGATTCGCTAGTTAAGTTAATGGGATGATGTTGTTGGCGGCGTATTCATCATTGGCTGCGTCTTAGTGCCACACATCAAGCGAGAACCCGCCCGCCTCTTTGCCTGTGGGCATTCGCATCAGTTCAATTCAGTTCATCTTCTTGTGTTCGGGCGCGCATCCACCGTCTTATTGACCACTTACCGTTTTCCCTTTTTATTTGCTTTACTCAATTCACTCTGCCTAGTCCTTCCATACCGTGCCCAGCCGGCGAGACATCTACACAGAGGACACTCTAGACCAACCCTTTTACGCCGCGCAACCAATCCCACATTTTCCCTTTCTCCCTCCTCCCTTCTCCTTCCGCCATTATTCCAGCTTATCGCGTCTTTCTGGATATATACTTTGATCCTCCCCCTTCACCACCCCCTCCCTCTCCCCAAAACCTGTACATCACTTCTTGTGCGACACTCTTTTGTCATTCTTGATTTCCACTCCTTCGTTTCTGACTGCGAGGCCGTATCCTCGATGTTATTTTCTGAAACTCGACTATCGCCGCAACGAAGATGTTTTCGCGGCCATCACCAGACCATATGCGCAAGGTCTCTGACCTGGGGACAGAGGTACGTTTGAATTTTCTACTGTTTGGTTCTCATGCAAATCCCCTACCATACCCGCGCTGCATCATACTATGGTCATACGAAAAGCAAGACGCGCAAGCTGGGGCACCAGGAGTTCCAAAAGCTGTCACACGTCAAACCACCACCGAGGGAAAACGTACCAACCTCCACTTCAAAGTGATCCAGAATTGCCGACTCGATCAGCCTTTTTCGTCTATTCGCGTGCCCATGCGATCTAGGGCAAGGCATGTTAGACGCACTGGCCTCCACATTTCGGCTGTCTTGCTTATCTAGGCCCGAATTAACCCAGAGAGCCTTTACCCTATTTCACCATCCAATGCGGCGCTATCTCAGTCACAACCCACTTATTTTGTTGATTGCACCCAATCCATTATTCTCTTTGGGTCACTGGTATCTGTTGTGTATCTTGCCGGTTATCTTTCCTTGGGCTTACCATTTCATCACCTCATCGTAATTGGTATCTCACTGTCAGCTTGGTACTCATGACCTCGTCACTAATCAAATCATGTCTTAGCGGCCTCGTTCATCATGGGAATCACCCTATCACGGCATGAGGGCTTTTCAACCACCACCACAACGTTCACCTACTGTGCGCGACACCATGGATCCGGAGTCTTCGGATAGTGATGTCTCTGCTGCTGGCTTGGATAGTTCCAGCTTTGCTAGTCCGATAACAACACCAATTCCTCTACCGCCACCACCTTCGAAACATGCCTTGGAATCACCCGAGGCTATCGAGGCTCGTCTCAACGAGTTGGCAAGGGTCGAAGCACACAACATCAAAAAGTACGACCTTCTCAAAGCGAAGCGTGTTCGCAAGGATGAGAAAATCCGCCGCAGACGTGAAGCTCAAGACAAGAAGTGGGCAGCTATTTTGCAGGCTCGCGAACGTCGAGATGCCAGGATCGAGTCTCGTCGCAGAAGGGAAAATGCAGTGTTTTCTCAATTCTTCGACCGTGACTTTGACGAGGAAGATGATGTAAGATCAGAACCACCTGACTTCTGCTACAGCCGTTAATCTCTGAATAGAATTTGCGTCGCCGTCTGAAGCGTCTCAAAAGAGGACTTCCAGCCGAAGAATCCCCGAAACCCGCCTCGCAGACTATCCCTTCAACACGACCTTCAACGGCGATGTCTCCCACAGGTCCGTCACTCTCGACTATTCCTCCACCTGCCAAACGACATCAAGTTGGTCCTCCAGGTCAATCTCAAACCGAGTCGAGACCTTCAACCCAATCCAGCCTTTCTGGTCAAAATTCATCAAGTCAGCCCCCAAAAAGCTCGCTACCAGCTCCTCCATATTCGTTTTACCGAGATCCCGGCGCATTTTCTAGGCCATATCAACATGGACCTTCTCCGTCCGCGCATGGACCGTCCCCGTCACCCACTGCAGCCACAAATGGGTTGAGTCAGTCAGGTCCTGAACGACCACCATTGGGTATCAACACGGTTTCTCCCAGACCATATTCGAGCACACCATCAGCTACTACGCCTCCCACTACTAATCCTGCACGACAGACCTCGTCTAGTTACGATACGCGACCACCCCCGACCACTTCTTCTGGGTTTGCCTCTGTCAATCCACCATCAGGTTCAGGCTTTGCCACAATTAACCCCAGATCTACTGCTACACCACCTTCCTCTCATGTTGCGATATCAAGGCCCACAGAACTGGATCCGAATGAGACACCTGCCAGTCAAATAGCTAGTCAAGGTTTGGACAGCCGTTTCCAGCAGTACGGAAATGCACCGAATAGTGCCTCACCAGCAGGGTCGAGCACTAGCAAGAGAACACCATCAACAACCCATCCCTACCAAATGTCGGAAGCTTTTGCAAACAGACATCACCATTGCGAGCGAGTCGACAGTCTGAACCGTGGTATTTGGACCTCTTATGGTCTTGGTGGGACACAGGAAAATCCAACTGCACAAGCCGTCGAGATGTATCTGCGGTGCAATCATGATGATTGTCGGCGCATCGACTGGCGTACGGTTCACGGATTGCAGTGTCATATTGTTAAGAACCACGTACAGCCTAAGGGAACAATTGGTAGTCTCGATAAGGCACTTGAAAGGTATGGTGTACCGGTCAAAGAGGTTGAAGACTATGAGCGTGAACATGGAAGAGGATCTGGTGGTACCATGGCCGACCCAAAGAACCATAAGATCAAGGTCAAGACTAAGGAGGCGTTGGAGACCAAACCCTTTGTGAAGACGAATACTCCAGGTGCTTATGATCCGGAAGCGAGACCTGCTGGCTACAGACCTAGTCCGACCGAAAGTCCTACGATTTCTGAACCAGTACCGAAGAGTCTGTCAGCCAGCACTAATGGTGCACCAGCAGATGAGAAGAAGGTGCCGCCACCGCAACCACCACCACAGCCACAACGATCTCCCATCAATCCAAATCCCTTTTCAGCGATCAGATCGAACTGGTTAGGTCCTGGCTTTAGGACTGAACCTCCGAGGACGGAACCTGTGAGGAAAGAGCCTGAGCCTAAGAAGTTGCAGGGCGATTTTGGCGAGGCAGAAAAGCCTATGTCGAATGGAGTTGCTGCGGCGCCTCGAACATCTCAACCCAATACTGTTCATCAACGGGATTCGAGCACCATCTCCGTGGCTGATACATCCAAAGCGGTGGAAAATGTTACTATTCCACCTGCTCCACCTGCTCCACGTGCAGAGGAACCCAAGCCGCAAGAGAAGGAAGCTCCTGTCGCACCAAAGGAGGTTGCCAAGGACGAAGATGTGCAGATGACCGATGTTGCGGACGAGAAGAAAGACGCTGTGACTGAGGAGAAACCTGAGTCGAAGCAACCAGAGGCGGAGTCGCCGGAGGATCATTCCGAGACAATCGTGGTCGATGGTGATGCGAATAAGGATGTCAATGCGTCAAAGCGAATTTTCCAGTCGCCAGTCATGACAGCAGCGACGGTGCCAGCCACCACTCCGTCCAGTGCAAGACGGCCGAGTCGGCGGTCGAGTGTGGCTAGAAAATCGGTTGATTCGGATGCTCAGGACGGCAAGGTTGAAAATGAAGACAAGGACGAGAAGGAGAAAGACGAGAAGACTGAGAAGGAGACGCCCAAGAGTGAACCGAGACGGTCGATCGGTGGACGAGTGCTTAGGAAGACGAGAGCTTAGACGGCTCCTTCTGGGGACGATGGACCTTCCCGAAGAACGAGAAGTAAGAGTAGCGGGCCCGGACCAAGAACGAGAAGTAAGAGCAAGGGAGGCTGTATCGCGAATTGACGTGAGTTGCTTATGGAGTGAGCGTTACTAGGTTGTACGGTTGTTCATGAGTATGGTTCGCATGGTAATGCTGGTTTTCCTTTTTGTCTGAGGGATCACGGTCAGGGTAGGCTGGAGGGACCAAATAGCAGCAGTTTCAGTGTCAGTGTCTTATTATGCGATGTGTCACAGTGTACAGAGTATGGGTTACGGTACATAATGCTGGGAGTATGCAAATCATTGTTTTTTGTTGATATGCGAGCTTCACCCTTTCCTTCCAGCCAGACATGACATGGCAAATATTTTGGCGTGCTCAGGCGTGCTCGTCCATGACTGCGTATCGGAATGGCGTTACAGAGCGTTCCATTGCATTGACGAAATGCTCACAGTATCTCCTTTCTTTGACGTGAGCCTCTACGGCATGTGACTTCCGATGCCTTACTCCAGCATTGGCATTGAAACGACCATATGCACGCAGTCAGCAGTATTGGAGACCCAGCTCCGCATGGCACTGTTCTCATTGTCTCCGCCAAAGCTTGCTCAAGCTCCGTCCTCTTTCTCTTTCTCTCAAATGCCCAACCGGCTTCTCACTCAGCTCACTCCGCTCGCCGCATCATCGTATAACACCACCCACCCCCGCCCACCCCAGGACAAACCCACTCAACGCCTCCGAAAACAGCCCGCCACCAAGCCATATCTCCCTCCACGCGCCTGCACCCTGACTCCGGCCCTTTCCTTCCTCGTTATTGAGGCCTCTCGTCCCGGCCGACCCAGCAAAGTACTTCTGCGGATTTGCGCCCGCGAGCAAGAAATAAAACAGGCCTGATAGTAGCAAATTCGAGGCGAGGTAGAAGCCGAAGCCGTATAATGATTCGAGACCTAATATGCCTGCGGCAATACCTAGGAGGAGACCTGATATTGAGCGGATGTTGGAGAGCGTCTGCACTCGTCAGTACGGATGATGCGATTCAGGTGCGCGAGAAACTTACTCTTGTGTTGTGCGTGAGGGATTCAGGAACCAAAGGGTCCAGAAGGAGGGACAGTTCTTGTGGTGAGGGTGCCATGGCTTCGTCTGTCGCAATCAAACGTGCTGTATCGAGGTATCTCTACAGACTGCAGTCGACTTGGAATTGGAGTTGCTACGAACTTGCGCTGGGACTTGGCAACCCGAGACTCGCGGCTCCACTCACTGCAGGAACAAATCGCGGGGAAGACATTGAAAGTAGAATGTGCTTTTGATTCGATTCCACAGTTACGGTCATGATGGAGAGCTTATGATCTCGGACAAACACGCTATATTGGAAAGACATTTCCCAGAATCATCATCAGTGGCTTGCTCGTCGGGAAAGAACATGGTAAGGCCGTCACGACACATGTCGAATTGGTAAAGATCTCTCACAAGAACACCAGGTATGTTGTTTGACATCCAAGACCGAAGAACCCAGCTTCAATCTTTGCTGTCCGTTACAGTTTCCCCTCCTCTTGAGCTTCTCGGACTTGTTCGAAGACCTGCGTGACGTTAGCATACTTCCAGAGTCTCGTCGAGCGAGGGTAGACCTACCTTGATCATTTTATTCCTCGCTCCCAGCGCATTCACTCCACGATTCTCCAATCCTTTATCATCCAGTTGGACGAGTTCATCCCACTTCAAATCTTTCAGGTTGTCGGTGTACTTGTGCAATCGCAACGACCTCAACCATGATGGAATATCCTGCAAGAGACTTGGGTCCGTGGGATCCTCGGGAGGCTTCGAACTTCCGCGACGACCACGTGGAGAACGACCACGAGCAAGTTCCGAGTGATCAGACAGATATCCCTCATTTCCACCAAACGAACCCATTTGAGGAAGTAATCCCGACATTCCTGCTCCCATCATGATTGGCGCACCATCATACGCAGCCAGGAATCCGTTATGCTGTGGTGAAGCAAATGTCGTCTGTCCTAGCGGAGTCTGCAAGCCTGGAATACCGGGAGAGTTGGGTCGTGATCGTCGACCTTGCGCCGCTGCGATCTGTTGAGCTTGGATTGCTGCAACTTGTTGAGCATTCAATATCTGACCTTGATCATTGACCATGATAGTGTTGATGCCTGGGATACCCGTCGAGGTGACTCCAGGTGTCATTGGCTGAGCTGGTTGTGGTTCGTTTGATCGGGCCCGTCGGTACTTCTTTGCGTCATCCAAAGCTATGCGATTGTTCACTGTGGACAGCGCGGCTAATTTCATGGCCGTAGCATTGGCAACCATGTCGCTGTGAGCAGCTGTCTGATTGAAATTCGGTACCATGGGTGTATTTGTCATCGAGGCCCAGCTTTGATTTCCTACATTATAGGGTGAAAGCGCCGGAAGATCGCCCAAGGTTGGCTCGGGTGCAGCCAATGTCGTACTTTGAATGTTGCCGGACGCTGTTCCCAACGGACGCGGAGAGCGAAGAGTAGGTTGAGGTTGACTGAATTGACCCATGGGTGGTTGGCCTGAGGACGACTTTGGTCGCGAAATGGGCGGCTGATCACCACCTTGGCGCCAGCTCATCGCGTCCGTCTTGCTGGGAGCAGATATCGTAGGCGCGATTAGTGAGCTGCGATCTCCAATGACGGTGCTGTTTCGGTTGGACGGAGGTGGATTGCCTGTTTGCTGTGCATATTCGGCCCTTTGTTGTTGAATGGCAGCAACAGCATCGGGGAACATGGCATGAATAGTTGATTGGTCCAACCCTGAATTGCGCTTGTTTCCTGCTGGCGAAACTGGGGGACGACCCATTGATGTCCTTCTGTCATCGACATTCAATTTCGACATAGCATCGCTTAGCCGGCTTGACATGGCATCTTTCTCTCCAAAGTTGGCTGGAGACAGAACTCCAGAAATGGGATGGCTTTTGGACATTTGGTTGAGCACCTGCGCGAAGAATCGTTGTTGCATTTGAGTGGTTTGTTGAATCAGCGCATACGTAGCAGCCGTGCGTTCAGCCTCGCTGAGGACTCGAAACCACTGCTCAATAGCACTCAACTCGTCCTTGAAATCCTGATCCAATGTCGCGGCAGCCATCTCTTCCAACATTGTCTCGTATTGTTCGATATCCTGGATCCATTGTTCCCCCAACCTGCTAGAGTCATCCAAACTTCCCTGCTGGGATTGTTGATTGTACAGGACTTCAGAGGCAGGGCGAATGGATCGCGCCGAGAGAGGCGAAGTGAAGGACATGTCGGCGGAAGAACGAACGGTCGAAGTGTGAGTGCCTGAACTGCCGATGGTTCTCGAGGTGGGCGGGCGTAGTGAGGTCTTGGATGCCTCGGGTGTGCTGTTTCTATTTCCAATAATATTGCTGGCCATGGCGAAATGTCACACAGACAGATTCAAATCATGTAACCTGTTGACAAAGAAGCCGAATGGAGCCAGTCCAAAAGGCTATTGACGGAAAGGAGAGTCGAGGGACGCGCTGAAGGGTAGTGATCGTTTTGGCGTGGGCGGCACACGAGGTGTCTCAGACACTCGAGGAGCCGTCGGTGGAGATTAGAAGAGACACGCACAATAAGGCGAACCGAGAGGATAATGTGAGAAGCCTCTCGAGGAGGGAGTTTGGAGATGCAGAAAATATAGCACACGCAGCGAGCTGAAATAAGACACTGGCGAAGAAAGTGGAACCAAGGTGAATGAACCGGGCAGCAAAGGCTCCAAAAAAGATGGTCACGAACGCTACGCTCGGTTTCTTCCATAACTTCGGGATGACTGTCAAGTGTCTATCAACCATCAATCAGAAGGACGCCTGATTTGCATTTACGAACAAACCTTTACTTTACCTTCACATGTCGACAAAATCAGCACAACTTTTATGCTACGTCGCATCTTGTTCGTATTGTTGAAACGCTATTCATTCATCTTTCCATCCTAAACTGCGCCTCAGTGTGGCGCTATTCATCTTTTCCAGTCTTATTGGATAGTGTTGTATCCATTCAGCTGGAAACTCATCACTTGTATGCCTCGTGGCCAACCTATTTCATCAAAATACCCTACAGCGAACGTAGGACAGTCGATCCTAGCCCGACAACCTCATCTTCATGCACAGTAAATCAGATCCGGACGGGCAACATTTCGACAGCGGAGGTTGACAATCCAATATGGACAACCCTCACAATACCACACTTCCTGATACTCCACTTCCGCCAGCCACGGCAGATCAGACCTCTGAAGCACAAGTCTCCAGTGCCTTGAATGGCCACCCAAGGCAAGGATTGCCTCCCCATCCTCCGCATCATGCATATCAACATCCCGGACAGGTGAACCCAAACTACTCCCAAGGCTACCCTCCGCCAAATAATCCGCCTATGCAGACAGGACAACAGAATACTCAGCATGCAGGACAAGTGAATCAGATATTTCAGAGACCACAGCACAGTGTTCAACATCTAAGGCAGAGCGAACCTTACATCTTTCCACAGTCAGGCCAACTGAGTAGTGACAATTTCAACGACCGACATGTCAATAGGCCGGCACATTCCAAGTACGATATTCCACCAGAACACATGCCTACTCAGCCGCCATATGCGCAGCAATACCCGAGACCTCCAATTCACTATCAATCGCCAATGTCTTGGGCAAATTTCATGAATAGTCCACCATTGATTCAAGGTCCTCCTAAACATCAGCCATTTGATCCCCGAGTGTTGGCACCTAATTACGTTTCCTTTCCGCAGCAAAGATCGACTGCCACGCACGAATCTCGTCAGGAGGAAAACCTGGCAAGACCTACCAGTCCGAGTGTTTCCCAATCTCAACCACTGAATCTGAATACTCCAAATGTCAGCCGTAATGCCGGTTCGGTCACGCCTGCGTCAAATGATCGCCTGCCATTTCCGGCTTCGAAATTGCATGAGTTAAGCACAACACGTCAAGCAAACAATGTTCCAGACGTAGCAGAGGAGTCGAGTGATGATGAACATTTTCCTGGAGCCGAAACACCCGAGGCAGAATCAGAGACAGATGCGGATGACGATGCCGACACTGGTACGAAGAAACGAAAAGGCCGCCCCAACTCAGCAGACACACAACCAAGAAAACGGAGGAAGAAAAAAGGAACAGGCGCTCGTGGTGGGTGGAGTAAAGGAATGAAACTGGGACCCAGGTATGCCATAGATCCTGGTGCTGAGTTCAATCAACTACACAAAGAAGCCAATGATGCTTTCATTGACCAGGATACCGAAAATGCTCTCGATCTCATTCTCAGCGCTATCGCCATCAACCCCGAAATTTACGCAGCTCATTCGCTACTGTCCGAAATCTACTTTACACGAGGTGAAGATCACAAGGCCATTGCTGCTCTCTTTACTGGTGCACACAGTATTCCCACAGATCCAGACGTGTGGGAAAGAGTGGCTCATGCATGTCTGGAACATGCAACTGGTGACAAGCAGAGAGCACTACAGCAGGCCAGTTACTGCTATTCGTGTATCGTGCGGAACGATCCCAAGAACTTCGACGCTCGTTTCAAACGTGCCACAATAAGCAAACAGATCCAAAATTACAGAAAAGCAACGACGGACTGTGAGACTATCCTCGAACATATGCCTCGCAACTCAAGTGTTTTGAGACTGCTTGCTGAAATATGTATTGAGACGAGAGATCTCGACAAGGCAAAGGCCATGTACGAGGAGACACTGGATTATTACCGCGAAAATGGTTTCGAGGGCGAGGAAGACTTTACGTGGGCCGATGTGCTCGTCTACGGTCAATTACTAGCACAAGAGGAACCTCCGGACCTGGCATTGTCAAACGCCATGTCGACGCTGAAAAGATTGTCGCGATGGCTTCTGGGCAGACAAGATGAATCCTACTGGGACGAATACACGGAAGACGACAGAGAATGGGATTCCGAGGATGATCCGCGAAGAAGTCTTGCTGCTCAATTCGTCCCTGGCAAATATTCACTCGACGCGTATGGTACTGGGCTTCCATTAGAGCTCCGCGCTCGACTAGGCATACTTCGTCTGAAGCAGGACAATATGTTGGAAGAAGCTCTTGCACACTTTGAATGGCTTGAACCAGATGCCAGAGATGAAGAAGCGAATGTCTTTGAATACCCTGATTTGTTTCTCGAAGTTGCCCAGGCATTGCATGATGCTGGGGAATACAACCAAGCACTGCGGTATCTGGAAACATTGAAAGATATCAAAGCTTATGAGCATAGTGAGTTTTGGGTCCTCATTGCCGAGACCTCGTATCTCTGTGGAGATAAGGAACAAGCCATGGACTGTTATGATGAGGCCAAAGCAGTGGACGATGAGTGTATCGAAGCCAGAACTCAGCTGTCAAAGATGTATGCCGACCTTGGTGATAAGGAGCAGGCTATGGAAAATGCTCGAGAAGCGGTTCGCATTGTGGAGGACACGATGCCAACGACGGACAAGCGCAAGTATGAGCGAAAGGAACACAGATTGGCTCGTGAAGGCGCTGAAAAGGCATTGAAAGCAGCATACAAGATGCAAGGAACGGTGACCGTGGCTCCTCCAGTCAATGAGCTTGAAGCCAAGTTACAGGAACCACCGAAGAAGAGAACTTGGAAGACGAAGAAGACCTTGGCACGAGAAGCAGCTAGAGCAGCAGCTCTTGAGGCAGGTCGTGCTGTTGCGGACGAAAAAGCTGATGCGAAGAGGAAGCGGCGGCAGGAACGAGAGCGAAAACGGGCAGAGAAAGCTGAAGCGAGGAAGATTCGAGAGCAGAACGCTGAAGCAAAGAAGAAGCAAAAGCAAGATGCTGAAGCACAGAAAAGTCTGGAGCGAAGTGTCGAAACGCAAGAAGATGCAACTCCAGCTACTGAACCCGAACAGAAGCAGGAGCCAGTCAAAAGAGTCGCAAAAGCTCGACCAGCGCCTCTTCCCAAGCCGAAGCGTATGACAGCGGAGGAAAGAGATGCACACCGTACAGAAACCATTAACAGACTGTACCAAGATCTCGTCGACAACACAGAGGATATGCGAACTGGAGACGAAATTGCTCGAAACACATGGATGGATTGTGCAGACTCACTCATAATCGACTTCAGAACCAATCGCACGTTCTACCCCAAAGAAGCTCATCAGGCGTCTACCATGTACGATCGTGAGGTTCGCAATGCCAATTCTCGCAAGAAATGGGAGCAGCACCAAGATACAGATCAGGTTGACCAAGACTTTCCGATCCCAACAGTCGAGTCGGCCATGCCAAAGGAGTACCGAGAAATCGCATTCTCGGATTGGCTTGACGTCTTTCTCGAATATGCATTACTCCTGGCCAATGACCCGGACCCGGATGCACAACGTCGATGCTACACCATCATCAAAGGTGCATCGGATTGTGTGGTTTGGTCTAATGACCAGAAAGCGATGCTGCAGATCTACATCACCTACTTCACCTGTGCGATTGCAATGCGCGACACGAACACCCTGTTCAACGTGGTGCTGAGATGGTTCATTCAGACATACAAGTTCTGTACAGACACTTATCGACTATTCGCCGCTCTGAACTTCTTTTTCCCGTACGCCAGCGACAAAGGTGGAAAGGAAAACCAGATGTCTAATGCTCATTTTCGGACTGGTCCAGCGCAAAAGTTCATGTTCAGACAGATCATGACACACGATGCGAATTTGCCAGAAGACTACACTCCTGACGGTTTTGGAGGTGTACCAGAATTCATGCGCATTGCGAAGTACCAATTACAGCAAGACGGTGATGGTCAATTCGCCGGCGACATTAGCACTCCCGAAGAGATGGATGCCGTGCTGCTGACGCTATATGCTCATATTCTCTATGCTGGTGGGAGTTTCCCATCTGCGTTGTCGTACTTGTTTCGTGCGCATTCTTTGGCCCCCAAGAATCCTGTCGTCTTGCTCAGCATTGCACTGAGTTACATGCATGAATTGCTGAAGCGACAGATTGACAACCGACATATGTACTTATTGCAAGGATGGGCTTTCTTCGAAGAGTATGCTGACGCGAGGCGCGAGTGGGCCCAGGCAAAAGACGACAGTGAGTTGCTGGCGGTCATCGAGCGAGAGATCGAATACAATCGCGCTCGGTGCTGGCATATGTTGGGCATGTCGGATCTGGCCATCAGATCGTACGAAAAGATGCTCTCTATTGGTGAATCTGCTGATTACACCATGGAAGCGGCGTATGCGATCCAAACGATCTATGCATTGAGCGGCAATGCCATCATGGCCAGAGAAGTCACGGAAAAGTATCTCGTCGTTTGACGGGAAGTCTGCAAACCTATTTTATGTACACCACCCACAGTCCTTCGACTGTTTAATCACAGATTCGGTTGCTCATCCGCAGGTTGTCAGCATCTATTGAGCTTTGCTGGAAACCAATTTCTCCACATCAGCAACACTCTGCTGCAGAATCTGTTGCAGAACCTTGGGGTTTTCGAGTTCCTTGGTGACCTTAGCAATAATGCTGTCGGCCAATTCTTTCTGTTGACGCTGCTTGACCTGTCCCTCGTATCGCACCCATGAATCCAACACGGTCTTTGCTTCGGTGGCCAACGCGGTCTTTTGTTCCATTTCGAAAGCTTGTGCCTCGAGTTTGGCGGTCTCCTGTATCTTTGTCAGTCATCCGAAAATCGAATTACCACGTGAGTCCCACCTTTGAAACCTCAAAAAGCTGCTTGGTGATCTCAACGACGTTGTTCAATGGCTTGACGTCCTCGATTCTTTCCTTGACTGAAGCAGCATGGTTCGATCTCGCTTCATAAAGCAAATCCTTGATCTTCTGAACCTGAGTGTCCGCCCATTCCTTGTACATCGGACCTCCGTATCGGAAAATGCCGTAGAACACGCTCAACAAGCAGAATGCAACGACCGTCTCCTCGTTCATCACGTAAAGTTCATTGCTGATGGCCCAAACCGAAACGCCCGCACCAGCAGAGAGAATTGCGGTCTTGCTGGCGATCGAGTTTCCGGGAAGAGAGTCGATTATTGACTGTGCCTTCTTCTTGGGGTCTTCTGAGGGAACATTGGAGGCATATCGGATCGAAGTCAATGGTGTGCTGAGGGATGGAAGAGATCGGATCGAGAGGGTTGGTCGGAGTCTGGTGGCTCCTGCTGCATGGTCAACATCGTCCCTAGCTCGCTACGACATCATCTTCTTACCTGCTGCACTCCTCGCCAATCTGGACGCCATGATTGTCAGTGATTTGTCGGTCTCAAGGTCAACTTCTGAGCTTTCCCTGACGTTTGATGCAGGAAGGAGCTTCCCTGAGGTACCTTGGCGCGCTAAACTGTATCAGGATTAGTCTACAAAAAGTTCCCAAAAATTGGTATTTGGAGAAACTCCAAATCATCTCTACAACTTTCTTTCCTGCATAGCGAAACACCCACGAGACCACCTCACTCATCATGCCGGCCATGGATTCCTACACGTCCCTCATTTCCGCGCCCATGACGCTGCAACAGCGGAAGAAACTTCTCAAACAACTACAATCCCCCGACACAATCTCCAGTCTCCGTCGACCAGAAATCCTCATGGACTTCTTCACCGACAGCCTCGACATGGGCGACTTGGGTCTCGCTGTCCCAGCTCTTCAAGGAATCTTCCACCTCATCATGACCAGCAACCTCGACTACCCTTCTTTCTATCCTCGTCTTTACGCCCTTCTCGACGGAGACCTCCTCCATAGCAAATACCGCTCCCGCGTCCTTCGACATCTAGATATCTTCCTCTCACCAATGAACCATCTCCCCGCTGCGACGGTAGCCAGCTTCATCAAGCGTCTGTCCAGGTTATGTCTGTTCGCTCCACCGTCCGCAGTCGTCGCCATCATCCCATTCATCTACAACCTCCTCAAGACGCATCCTACGACGACATTCATGATCCATCGCAATCCTTACCCACCGTACACAAAACCCGGACAACACCTCGGTGTCGACCCGTACAATCCAGCCGAACCCAATCCACAACTCACTGGTGCGATCGACAGTTCGTTATGGGAACTCGAAACGTGTCAATCTCATTACCATCCCACAGTGGCGAGCATTGCGCGCATCATCTCTGAACAATTCACGAAACAGCAGTACAATCTTGAAGATTTTCTGGATCATGGCTATGCAAGCATGATGGAGAGTGAACTCAAGAAGAAAGACAAAAAGCCTCCTGTCCTGGAGTACAAGATACCAGAGAAGATTTTCCACACAGACGAGAGAGATCCATTGTCGGAATTGTGGAGTTTCGAAGACTGATTGAAATTGATTTCTGAAGCGTTCTAGCGACTGGCGTTGGTGGGCACCGGGAAAACAACGACCATGACGACGATATGACCAACATCTAATTCAACGACACAAATATCACCTTCTGACTAAAATTGCCTTCTATGCTTCCTCCGATGAGCCACATGGACATCCAAATCCCTCCTCCTGGCTCTATCCTGCGCGTTTTCGTCCGCTGTCGATCTGACCCTTTTGCGCACCTTCTTCTTTCCAGCAACGTCCGCCGTACTGTTCATCACTTGCGCGATCAGGTACCCGTTGATGGTGTTGCCCGAGTTCTCAAGCGCATATGTAGGACACTTGCCGTCCTGCTCACCACATTCTACGGTTGGAGGACAACATATTCCCGCGCTGTTCTGACATTGATTGCACAATGGATTGTCATTTTCCGGATGTGCGGGCACCGTGTAGTTTGAGTTACTGTTCATGCTAGCAGGCGAAGTGCTAGTGTTGGCTATGAACAAGGCAATGTCGTTCATCGCTGTCGGACAGTACGAGACGAACACCGAGACCGTTTTCGAGGGTGTCGATGACGGGACCACAATCGTCGTGGTTGATCCGCCTGTGGCGACGAATGTGCCTGAGCCAGTCTTACAACTGTTAGCGGGTGTTCAAAAAGGGCAATGCTACATACCAATGTTCCACATCCCGAAAAGCTTCCACTTCCTGATACGATGCCGGATGACACGATTGACGATATCATACCATAACCAGCGGCTGGCCAGACAGTGCCAGTGCCGGTGAGTGTGCCGGTTCCGGATCCCGACCCACCTGTTTCGTATTAGCTACGACATCACATGAAGAAGATCACTTACAGCCGATTATGGTAGCCGAACCAGTGAATGTACCGGATGTTGCGGTGATTGTTCCACAGCCTACAACGCTCGAAGCATAACCTGCGATTATTAGCGTCGATCACCGTCGCAGAAGCACACATACCGCTCGCAATGCCGGAACTGACGATCGATAGGCCGTCCATGTATATTGTGCCTGTTCCTTCAACAATTCCACTTCCTTCTGCTGTACCACAACCCTCGATAGTATTTGAGACGACTATTGTGCTGTACGAAGCGGATGATGTGGTCGAAGGCGTTGCCGTGATGACCATGAGCGTGGATTGTGTTCCGCGTCCAGTCGTTGTGCTTGAGGCTGTTAAAGTGATTGTTGTGCTTGATACCACAATAATTGTATAACCGGACGTTGAACTGGAAGACTGCGACCCGTAAAAGCTGGACAATACACTCGAGCTCGACGTTGAGGTACTTGTGGGAGTGCTCGTGCTGTATCTCGAAGTCGTACTGGTACTGGTGACAGTCGGTCGGAAAACGCCGCTGCTGAATGTCGTTGAAGTGGTACTGGTGCTGTTCCGATTCAAGCATGATGCTGGAATGGTGAAACAACAAGGAATAGTACTTGTCGATGTGCTGGTAGGTTCAAATACTCCAGAATAGCTCGAATCATAGCAGTACGATGTGGAAGAAGCCAAGGCAGGATCCGGTGAACGAAAGACGCCCTATCAGAGTCAATACCAGCTGTGTTTCAATCATCCACACTCACATCGTAAGTCGGCGTGGAACACGACAATGTTGAGCTCGTCGGAGTCGACCTGGTCGTGGTTGCATTTCTCCCACAAGGTGTGCATGTCGAAGTCGGTGGATCACCTGAAAACACGCCTCGTTTGAATAATCCCTTTCCTTGACGTGTCTTGCTAAAGTGGTGATGGTAGTGAAGGCTGTACAGTGTTTGCCTCGTTCCATTTGCTGCGAAGGAAATTGAAGGCGCCACCGCCGTAATCATAGAAGGAAGGATTTCATAGCGGAGACCGTCTTGGGGCAGCTGGTTCGGTCGAGGTGTGGGGATGGTGAGTAGATCACAGGGAAGGGTAGCCGGGCCGAAGTCAACATATGCACATGTAAGATGAAACAAGCTCGCAACGAAAAGAAGGACAATTGAAGCCATTTTGCCGTCGACGCCTGACGGTTGAGTTCAACGAGACAGGAACGATGCGCCATTTGAAGATGAAGTCCTCAGGGATCGCGTTGTGGTGCGCACAGACCGGGTTGGAAAGAATGGAATGTTGGGTTAGTAAACTCGTGTACTTTGGTTTGCCGCAAGTATGCAGCGGAGGATTGGAGATTTGAAGTCAGCCGCGACTCGGCTGTCAATTTGGTACTTCATTTTGCGAATTGGGAGCAGCGTGACGGAGCCGCGAAGGTCGAAGATGACCCCTTTGAGGAAAATCATTCAGCTGGATGTTCGGGCAATCGCTCGGCGATCTCAAGTATATACAAAGCTTTTATGTTCCCTCGAGGACTTTCTTCCACCCCCAATCAATCTGTCTTACCTCGTATGTCCAGGTCAAACAGTTAAGAGTTGTTCGGTAAATGCTCCGATCTCCAGATCACGGTCGACTAGATGGATTTCCAGAATCCAATGTCGTTTGTGTCCGTTCTTTCCAGGCAGGCCCATTGATTCATGGTTCCCCTTGGTGATGTACAATGAGATCTTGTCGTTGGGAATACGCTCATGAGGGAAATCTCCAACCAAATGCCCAGCAATTTGACCGCCAAATTCCCATCCAGCTTTCTTTGCGGTTTCGCATGCAATATCGTAGAGCTCCTCGCCAGTCATATCCGGGTTCTGATGATACTGTGCCTTAACCGCGTTCCATACTGGCTCGAGCGAGTCGCGTAGTTTCTTCTTGGTAGGATCATCTCCAAGGACGAATGTGCGTCCAAAGTCGGCTTCCCAAGCCTCGAAGACTGGCCCAAGATCGACGAAAAGAATATCATCAGGTTGGATGACTCGGTCCGGCGGATTTTCAGCGTATGGTTTCAACGTGTTGGGTCCACTTCGAACGACCCGTTTGTGCCAATTTGTACGGACTGCATGTCGTTTGGTCCCGAGTTCATGGATTTCATTGCTCAACTCTTTCTCGGTGACTCCTGGTCGAATCAAATCTCTTCCAATCTCCTCGAAAAGCTGAACAGCCTTGTTTTGGGCGTCCAGCAGGCACGCAGCACGTTCCTGTTCCACTGTGACCGTGGTAGTCGCCATGTTTGTTGATATGAAAAGAAGAACAAGAAAGAGAATGATAGAGACAACCCGAGGAAGCAACACAACCCCGCGTAGGCATGCGTAGGCTTATTAAGCGGTTTTCTCCGTCTCTTCAATGGATCTTGCTAGCGTTTTGACTTTACGACAAGGTAATCATTTTCCGTGTGATTGGTAGTCTTCGGGTGCGCGCCCTGGGAATGATCATGTACAAGGTGACCCTGGAGAGACAGCGAGGAAAATCCTCGTGCTTACCGTCGAAATCATTGTCGAATAATATAAGGGGTAAATAAACTTGCAAATCGTTGGGGGAACATGGTAGCAATAACCCATAAGTTAGTCGAAAGCCATCGGTTCTTCCATATCTGGATGATTGTACATGAACCCTGCTACGCTGATCTTGTGAGATGAGCGTCAATCGTCAACTGTCCCGAATCAATGAGGTGCTATGAGTTCTGCTAAGACAGAAGAATATTGATGTCGATGGGTGAGTTGCAACTGCAAGTGAAGGTTGCCCCACAAACTGCCAAGCCTGCGCCCATTGGATGCAAGTGTACCTGATCGGAACTGTTCGACAACCAGCACCACTGCACTGCGTTCTGCAACTCAACCTCGATCGACGGCTGGCCAATATGACGGTTCTGGACAGTGTCAAGGAGGCGGTCGGGCTGGGAGACCATGGTAATTGAATCTTCCGTGCGGACGATGGCACGACTAACACTTTCGCAGCAGCTGCAGCTCCAGCATCCAGAGAAGCTATGCGCGATGCTCGATTACCACTCCAATACCGTGACAGCTGCGCAAACCTTCTGATTCCTCTCAACAAATGCCGACACGAGAACTCGTTCCTGCCGTGGAGATGTGAAGTGAGTGGGCGGACATGCGGATGCGAGCTGGGCTAACAGCAGACGACAGGATGAACGACACGGTTACGAAAAATGCCAATACGAGGAGTTCAAGAAGAGAGTGGCAAAGATGGAGGAGATCAAAGCGGCCAGAGCTGCAGCCAGCACTGCCTGAGGGACCAAGAGATTGTCACTCTTGTACACATATCAACAGCCTCATTCTGCATCAAAGGGCGTTCTTGGAGAGGAATCATGGCGAATGGAAGGCACAAATTTGAGCCTTGATTAGTCTTTGACTCCGCATCACCTCGCAAACCGCCGTAAGAGCGAACATACCAAATTAAGAGACTGCGCAACTACTACAGTTGGTAGTATGGGTCGACCTCACGTGAATGGGTGTGCTGCTCTCCGAGAATGATTCCCTATCTGCATGAACACCCCACGTTTCTGATCATTTGGCCGGACATAAGTGGACTAGTCAATATCCTTTACGAACCGCAGGAGATGAACGGATATCAGCGGCAGAAAGAGCACGGCAATGTGTATATAGCTCCCATCAGAGGTCATCTTTTTGCTGCGTATCGGATACAGGATGACTAATGCTCGCAAGAGCTTTCGATCTAGAAGTACGGAACTTTGGCCCAGTAGAGTTTCTCCATCCGGCACATTTTCGCAAGCACCGGTTCAAAAAGAATTTTCTAGTCTGTATTGATACCTTTCAGCGCTATCAGCGGTCACGAGAGAATCGCAAGTCGTACGAGTATATATTCTGTGGATACTCGACGAACGGCTAAAAGTTACGGGGAAAAAACGTCACGACCGCGGCTCGGATTTTCTCACGCTCGCATAACGGCACTCGACATCTATCATTCCTTTTATATACCCACATATTCCCGACTGACTGGAGCTTCAACATGGCTTTGCGGTGATGGTCTCGTTATATCCTTAGACCCGATCTTTGCCCCCATGGGGGAACACTTACTCGTTCCACATTTCGGCCATTTCGTCCGTCCTAGAACAATTTAATCACCATGGGTCTTTTACAGTTGGGAACCCCTCTGGCCTGGCCAGAAGCCAAACAAGCAGCAAATCAAGTCAGAGAATGGGGTATCGAACAACTCTTGACAATCTGGCGCAAAGCAAAGGTCAAAGAACGCGATGCCCTTCTCTGGGGCGACGAGATCGAATATCTCGTCGTCGCAATGGATGACAAAGAGGAAAAAGTCCGCCTCTCACTATGTCAAGCCGACGTCCTGAAAAAACTGGCAGACGACCATGACCTAGCCAAACAAGACACTCTCGTCCCCGATCTCCAGGACAACACAATCCGAAGCGGCACACTACCAACATTCCATCCCGAATTCGGCCGCTTCATGCTCGAAGCCACACCCGGTAAACCCTGGGGCATCGGTTTCAAAGACCTGCTCGACGTCGAGTCCGACATGAAAAACCGCCGAGTCATTGCAAAGCAGCATATGGACCCAGATCAATACCCGATCACTCTTACAACTTTCCCCCGTCTCGGTACTCGCGACGATTATATTACACCGTACTACCCACCGTCCGGCCCTGCGCTACGCTCACAATTCGTACCCGACGAGATCGCCAACCCACATATCCGCTTTCCAACTTTGGCCGCTAACATCCGCTCGCGACGCGGTCGAAAAGTCGAACTCAATGTACCCGTCTTCAAGGACAAGAGCACGCCCAGCCCGTTTCACGATCCCACAGTAAATTATGACCTACACATCTGGCCCGAGGACGACGATGTGCGCAACGGCGCCGCCAAACAAGATTGCGTGTACATGGACGCCATGGCTTTCGGAATGGGCAGCTGCTGTCTGCAAATCACCTTCCAGGCCAAGAACATTCGCGAAGGCCGGACATTGTACGACCAACTCTCACCATTGGGCCCCGTATTACTTGCTCTCACCGCCGCGACACCCATATACAAAGGCTTCCTAGTCGACACGGACGTAAGATGGAACCAAATCTCCCGTGCCGTCGATGATCGCACGCCCGGAGAATTGGGCGAAAAGCCCCTCAAGAACGACCGCTGGCGCATCCCCAAATCCCGCTACGCAAGTAACAGCACGTACATTGCTCAAGATCCACGTTTGCGCCCAGAGTACATGGACCCCAACCTTATCGTCGACGAGCGCCTCAAACAGAAGCTGGTGGATGGAGGCATGGACGATCTTTTGGCGACACATTTTGCGCATCTCTTCATTCGTGACCCCTTGGTCATTTTCTCTGAAGATCTGCTAGTTCTTGATCCCGAAGGTTCCAACCACTTCGAAAACATACAGAGCACAAATTGGCAGCACATGCGATTTAAACCTCCCCCACCCGACGCCGACATTGGCTGGCGCGTCGAATTTCGCAGCATGGAGATTCAAATCACCGATTTCGAGAACGCCGCGTTCGCCATCTTTATCGTGTTGGTCACCAGAGCCATTCTCAGCTTCGATTTGAATTTCTATATTCCCATTCCTCGGACGACAGAGAACATGGAGACCGCCCACACGAGAGACGCCGTGATGAAAGAGAAATTCTGGTTTCGAAAGGATCCCTTCCCTCGGCGCAGTCCCAAGGCGAGTCCAATGTTGAAAGGAGTTAATGCAAGCAAAGAATCATTGGGTGCTGTCGACGACGAGTATAGATTGATGACGATCGATGAAATCATCAACGGCATTTCTAGTTCTTCGTCAGAAGAGGAGGATTATTTCCCCGGCCTGATTCCGCTGGTCGAGTCGTACCTGGACAGCGTCAATATCGATGTCACCACACGTTGCGAGTTGGCGAGATATCTGGATTTGATACGAAACCGCGCTAATGGTACACTCTGGACGGGAGCCAAGTGGATTCGAGAGTTTGTCAGGAGTCATCCTGAGTATAAACATGACAGTGAAGTCAGCGAGCATGTTGTTTATGATTTATTCAGAGCAGTGGATGATATTGGAAAGAATGAAGGAAAAGATAAAACTGTCGGATGGGAGATGTTGACTGCAACGGAAAGGCAGAAAGGGTTGGATGATTAGCATGGCAATTGAGCATTGCGAAAAGATTAGACGATTAGATTTGGAGTCCGATACATTGGACATGTCGTGGTTTGTCGCATGTCTCGGCAGGGCTCTCGCATTGGATGGTTGATATCAATGAATATATATATATATTTGACGACACAGGAATGGTGACGGAACTGCAAGACAGTTTCTGGCCTGACAAAATCAACACTGCCTGTCGAACCTTGTGGTCTGCTCACTGTATGATCAGCAATCGTGCAATCAAGTCCTGTCACTATTCAGGACCTCCTTCTCTTCGTCATCAGAGAAGTCATCCATAGCGGTCAAACGTTCTTCATCGTACGCTTCGGCATCAGGATACATTACCGAAAACTGTCGATCCGCTTGCTCGAGATGCTCGCACCAGACTCGAGATGTCGCAGGCACAGGCTTGATCCAGCACAAGAGGTAATAAATCGCCATGGCGACGATGAAGCCCGCAAAGAAATTGAAGCGATAAATATATGTTGCTTCCACGGGAACCTGTCACACATCAGTCTTGTTGATTTCGGTCTGAAGACAACCTTACCTTGACACCGACAGCCCCGACAAAGCCCACAATGTTGATGGCGATACCGCAAAGATATGCGACGTATCCTCGCCATGACCATCCGAACCAGTAAAAATAGGGCGACGACTTCTCAACTGAATACAGATCTTTCAAGGAAAAGTAGCCCTTCCGCACCAGATAGTAGTCGCTGACGATCACACCAGCGATCGAAGACAGAAAAACGGAGTATGCTGATAGATATGTCGCGAAGTTGTTAGAAGAACTGAGCAGATTCCAAGGACACATACACAATCCGACAAGTGCGCAAATGTACCCGCCACGACGAATGTTGATGTACCGTGGAAACAGGGCTGTCATGTCGGTGCCCGCGGAAACACTGTTTGCTGCAACGTTGGTGCCGAGTTGGGCAAGCACGAAAGCACTGGCGATGAGGAAAACAGCGAAGCGTTCGGCGGATGTGGGGTCGTCGAGGAGGAATTGAGACAAAAGATCCAGTGGGTTCCAGATAGCCGTGCCGTAAATGGCTTTCGACGACGATGATACGACGATGCCGATGAATGACGTGACTGCGTAGCCGATCGGAATTGTGAACAATTGCGACCAGAGAGCGTCCTTGGGGGTTTCGGCGAACCGAGTAAAGTCAGCGTCGTTAACAATCAGGGTCGCAAAGTTGGCTATCGAGCTCATGATTCCAGCAATCCAGCCCCAAGCGAGCTCAGAGCCGTGTGAAGTGGCCGGCTGATGAACAATCGGTCCAATTCCCTTTGCGCGTCCAATTGCCCAGCCGAAGAACACAATCCCTGCAACAGGGACAAAGTATGCTTTCACTGTGAATAGATGCCTGATCTTGTGAACGGGAAACCAGATAGCCGGTAATGATACGACCCAAAAGATGAAGAAGCCGACAAAATCTCGAGTATTCGTGCCGGAGGCTGGAATGCCATTGTGAAGTGTGTAGAACGATGGCCAAACAGCTCTGATCATTAATGTGACACATTCACCTCCAATCCAGCATTGAACGCCATACCAGACACAAGCCATACCCGCGCGATTGAATACGGGCCACAGCGAACCCCAAAATCCGAACGATGCTCTGCTCAACACGGGAAAAGAGATGTGATATGTTGCACCAATCCGACCAGTCAAGCAAACGAAACAAGCAGCAATGGAATAGCCTATCCATACCTAAGAGTTTGTCAGCCGTCGATCCTCCCTCCAAGGGTATCGACTCACACAAAGCCAGGCGTGCCACCATGCTAGCCCACTTCCCGTGATCATACTGCTGGCGATCATCCATGTGTTGATATTGAAGGAGTCGGCAACCCAGAACCCAACAAAATTCCATGGCCCCCATTGACGTCTGGCGGGTTCCACAGGCTTAAGGTCATGGTTCGTCAACATGAGCTGAGCACTTGTTGAACCTGGTTCGGACGCTGTCTCCAGCTTCGACAGCAAAGAAGCGCATTTGGAGTCCTTGAATCTGGCCATGATGTCGGTGAATTGTTGTTGCATATGCGGGGGTAACCAGGAGAACAGCCGACGGAGAACAACATCGGAAAGGCTGACCTCGGACTGATCGGGCGATGACTGGAGTAGAGGTTCGAAGTCTGGACGACATGAAGCCGATGCTAGGAGCTCGAGTTCTATGTCGGCATAGTGGGACGAAGAGGACATGGAATCGATCCTATGTCGGCTGCATGCAGGGCCAAAATCTAAAGGACCATAATCTGGTAAACAGCTTGCTGTCACAGCCGTCACGCAGCAGGCCGGGTGGAACCTGTAAAGCGCATGGACAGGAGGAACTGTGTGGGGAGTAGCGCGTGGAAACAGTAGATTTGGTGAGAGTATGTGCACATCCAGATGACCAGCGTAGACGCTTTGGGAGTTGTATGTGGGTTGCGCAGAGGAGTAAACGAAGTTTTGCTCGGATTCGTCCCCGCAATCCGCAGAAAGGCCAGGTCTGCGCTAGGCTTTGAGCCCGCTTGAACAGCCTCGTCCCACATAGAAAATTGTGGTTTCGATCTCGAACACAATTCGTAGCTTTATTTCCTGTATCTTGTGGCCCCCTTTAAAAAGAGAAGTGTAAAGATCATCGTACCATGGAGTTGGTAACATTTGAAACCAAGTGTCTCGAGCCAGATGTGCGTTTGCAGGCTCTCTCGAGGGTTTGGACATGGAACCGACATGCTGAATGAATTACGCTATGGCGCGGAAGGTAAGGTAAGCCAGTATTGCATCGATTCCGGCAATCGACGTGTCAAGCGAGAACAATATAATATCGCTAGATAGCATAGCGATAGAATGGAAGAAGTGACACTGTTTGGTTAGTGGAGAATTTGTAACTCGGTGAGATCGAGTAGACTGGCGCTTCGGCCAGTCGTTAGCTAACGTCAAGCCTGACCCCGACTTTGCTGGCCAGCGGACGAATTGTGGTCGGAGTTGTCGCCGAGATCCGGTACTGAACTGTGAATCGAACATGGCGTCTGCCTGTTGATGCTGCTGCCGCTGTCGCGTCGTGGATATGATGACCAACATGCGACACACTGTTAAACGTTCCGGTCAGTCGAGTATCGACATCGAGATCATCCACACAGCATTTTTAACAGCTTGTTAATGATCTTTGCAATTAGATTTTGTTGTTGGCTTCCGTGGTTTTGTCCTTGATCATAATACTGTTGCTGTTGTTGCTGATTTCCGTATTGCTGTTGCTGCCCATGTTGTTGCTGCCCATATTGTTGCTGCTGCTGTTGTCCTCCTGGATACGACTGTTGGTATCCTTGTTGTGATTGATATCCTCCCCAGTTGTTGACATGCTGCATATTTACCTGACCACCAGTCAGATCAACGTAGATTCGTCCTTCATTAGGCTCGACGTGGTATTGCAATCCCAACTCTTGACAAACTTGTTCAACACGGGGTTTAATCTTCTGAACGTGGTTGACGCTGTGATTCCCCTTGCCGACAATTACATGAAGATGATTCTGTCCATGGGACTGAGCATATCGAATTCTCTCCTCAAGAATGTCTTCTGCCTCTTCAACGAACTGGCCATGCAGATCAATAGTGTCTGCTGGTACTCTACCATCGGCATTGTTCTCTCGAAAAATGTATTCGGAAGCCTGTTTGTTGTATTGTTCCATTCTTGCTCCATGGTCTTTTCCCTGCTGAGATAGTGTATGTGCAGCAGCCCCGTCGCCGTTGGAATATGCTTGTTGTGATTTGGCAAAACATGAAGACCGTTTTCCAGCTTCCTGTCGGGCAAGGTCTCGAAGACGGTCGTATTCTTGTTCAGCAGCTTGAGATTGGCTATGATTGAATGCTATTGCGACTCGTTAGTCAGATCATAGAAACCGCAGAGAGACACTCACGTCTTGCTCCAACGCGAGTCGCGTGTTGTGTCGACATTTCATACGACATAATGGCCGATTGTAGGATAGAGCTCGAGGAGACTATGCTGGGAAGCGCGATTCGTCTGGTAGAAAGTGAGATTTCTGCGAGAGAAAGCAAGATGCGTGTAATAGGCAGTGAGATTTCTATGGTTCCCTCGTGGTAGGATATGTATGGTAAGGAATAAGATGTGTTACGATAGGAAGTGAGCTGTGTCTGTGAAAGAGAACGCGCCTTTTCACCTGTACCTAAGTACTCACTACTGTAGAGTGAGGTGCAGGGAGATGAAATGATGACATCTCTGGGGTATGGTCGATGCGACAGGCAAGTCCCGGCAGCCTAAGTTAGGGTGCCCTGCATTGGCGAGATCTCGGTGCCGCGCGCTCCGTAACTGACAGCGATTTGGGGTCATCCCAAAGCTCAGAGTCAGAGGTACCCCGTACCTAGCAAGCCTGTTTCCATAAAAGGTGGCACTATTTAGCCGCTGTTGCTCTTCAAGTTTAAAGAGACACCTTTCACCTTGCTGTCCAGGAGCGCTTCGCACACAACGATATATCGTTGATCTGACTGTAGGAAGCTCATCAACTCTATCGTATATACCTACTAGCTTGCAGTCAAGGCACCCGCCTTTGCCAACCTGCTGCATCATCATTTTATGTCGTCGATGTACTCCGCGTCAGATGTTGCCACGATTTTGGCGACCTGGTGTTCTCTGCCCTGTCTGCTATGCTCTTCAACCCTCTGTCAGCCGAAACCTGTCCCACGCCTTTTCCGATTTGTTGTTCTTCAAGTCTTCCAACCAATCCCTAAACTTTATCGGCTCTTCACCTTCGATGCGCAGGATTCCCTCCTTGATACCTTTCCACCCCTCGACCGGGCCTAGGACGTATTTGTGATTGAATCCACAGTACTCGCGGCCTCCACCGCATTGAATCCCGCGATTGTACTGTTGGCGCTGGCGTCCTCCATCGCGTTCAATACCACGATTGTACTCTTGTCGTCTGTCATAGCAATCCTTGCAGAGGGTTGTGTTGCAGCATATCACACACATATAAAGCGGGGTGTGCCAGTGGGACCATTCAACCCTGGGATCACACTCACCGTCACAGCAGCAGGCGACGCCCGCGAGATCACCTTGGTTCTCTGGATTAGGCTCATCCTTGTCCGTTGCCCGACGCCTCTCATTATCTCCTGGGTCGCCACTATCCTCATCCGGTTCATTGACAGTGTTGACACCAGCACCCTTCCGCTCCATGTCGTCCTTGTCTACGACATCAGGATCCAACTGCGAGAAGAATGCGGAGACCAGAATCTGGGCTTCTCTCTCCAAGCCGTCCAACATGGTGAGCACCGATGCAAGATTGCGAAGATTGACAAGATCGTTTCCACGGACATTGTCAACTAGGCCATCATAACAAATGTCAAAAGCACGCTGCAGAGTATCTTGGACTTCCAGGGCCGACGCCATCCTGCGTGCCATGCGAGCCACGATTATTGAGTGGTTTCCATGTACGGACCGGTTACTTGCGATAGAATGCGCCATATTCTTGGACCTGAGGGCCTTCACTTCAGCAAATAGCTCAGTCTTTCTTGCCGGGTCTGCTGATCGGCGAAACTGTTCGTAGATGATCTCGCTCATCAGGAGAGTGGTCGTCACTAGTGTCATTGATGGATCTTCATTCGTAAAGCTGTATGGTATTCCAGTGGTCTTCGAGTCAAGAACTTCATTCAACAGCTCCCTCGCGGCATCAAGATCACCGCGGACCTTCCAGTGAGCAACTACAAGCTGGTATTGCAATGGTGGTGCCGCCCTGAGATTTGCAAGAAGTTTGATGACTTCTTCATATGCTTCGACCATGAAAGTCTGCTCACTGACCTTCCCAGCACCCCTTTGGAAGTGTTGATGCCAATCGCTATCCCAGTCGTACTGCCAGGTCATTGCTGCGAGTCGTTCGAGTGGTTTCCACTGCTTGACCAACTCAATAAGGCCAGGATCGTCTTGTCTTTGGATAAACAGTTCGGACTCATCCTGGAGAATATCTCCAGGCATGGGTTGGTCTGGATCTGCTTTGCGAGCTTCTGCATAGGCCCAAGTTGCCGCATCTAGATCGTCGCAAAAATTCTCGACCCTACCCTTGGTCAACAGAGCATTTCGAAGGAGTTGTGGGGACACATTCTCAATAGCCAAACATTCGTCGATGCTGTTCCTAACGTTGTCCACACTTTCCCCATGCATATCCAAGCGAATCTCAGTCAACAAGATCAAAGTCTTGACACGTGTTCTGGCCCAAGATCATCTTGGAGTGCTCTCTGCGCGTATTGAAGGGCCGAACTTGTGATGCTTGCAATGATGCAGGAGGGCGGCTAGGCACCAATGAGAATGACCATCCCTGTTGAGTTCCGGGAAGGCGTCGAAGATATCAATGATTTCTTGTTTCGAGTACGGGCACGCCCGCTTCATCTGAATCGTCATCGAAGTCGGCCGATTCATCCTGCTCAGCAGTCTCCTCGTTGACAAGTTGGCTGTAATGTGTCTGCATACCATTGTCAGCCTGCGCCCTTCTGGGGCGTAACGCTTACCAGTTTTAGTGCACTTCGTGTAGATCTGTAAGCTCTCTTAATGCTCCTGAGATCGTCTGCTTGCAACCAGTTTTGGCAATGACCTTTTACCAGTGGGATGAACGCCGACATTTTGTCCAGAACCACGCTGTTCGCCCACTTCGAAGTCTCCGCGTTTACTCTGGAACCAAGTGTTTTGGCAAGCTTCGCCCAGAACACAAGGTTGTCGAGAAAGTCTCCTTGTTGAAGACCTTGCCTGATCTGGTCGTAGTCTATCTCAAGTGTCTCGAATACCTTCGCAATATTATCTCTGTTGGTCATGATCGCCCCAAGAGCTTCGAGTGCTTGAATCCTATCACAGTCGGAGTCTTCAGACAACTTGGTCCAACTCAGATGCGCCATCCAATTCCTGCAGGCATACATTTTCAGGGCATGAGGAGCTTCGCTCGACGGAGTGCAGATCAGCTGAGAACAGGCAATGAACATCTGCCGATGGGCTCCTGTACTAGAAGTTCTCAATCCAATCTCACAAGGGCACGCATTGCGGAAGAATTGTCTCATTGACCGTTCTTGGAATTTCAACGGTAGGTCGTAGTCGTTGTATGTAGCAGGATCTTCCGCATTCTTAGGGGCCAACACCAAATGCTCTGGCGAAGCGAAATCTAGACGCTCCTCTAAACGCTCCTCAACGTCCGCAATCTTCAGAAAATTCGTCAGACATGAACGCTGAAGCTCCTGTTCGAGGTCGAAGGTGGTGCCCTTGTCCAGTCTGATCAACGCAAGACATTCACCCAGAGATAGGGGTCGGAAGCTGAATGCAAGCCAGCAGAGCAGGTATTTGACAGTGGGAATTGATTCCTCCCTATCGTCTTCTGTGAGTCATCCAGCATAAACTGGTATAGTTGTTGTAAATCTCGGGGCATATTGCTGTCAAGCATTCTCAAGACAAGGTGTTCCCGTCCCAAAGTATTGAAGTATTGAAGGAACGGAGTATATGCTCAACGTAAAGCAGCCCTGGGATTGTCAACGCTACTCTCTCCAGCTACGGTTCAACTTACCACTGGCCTTTTCTTCGAAGGTATTGGAAACTCGTTCTTTTGTGTATCTGCTGAATTTGCGTAGTCCTGCGTCGTTGTTCAAATGGTTCCAAATCAGAGTCTTCATGTCCGCCAGCTACTTTTCTTTCGTTACGGTGAGAAACCCAGCGTCGACTTCGGTCAATCGACCAACCAAGACTGGTCGGGTCGTGCATAGCACGCTTACATTGAGGTCGGTAGATCCTTGAATGAGGCTGAAGCACTGGAGGAGCTCGTCCTGCGCTGTCTCTTCAAGCTCATCCAAGCCATCCCAGACGATTTGTAGCCGAGCTGGGGATGCACCACTGAACCAAGGTCTGACGAGTTGATCCCACATTTGGCGCCAGTCCAGTGGATTCCAGTCATCGATGTCTTCACGCTCTAGTTCGGCGTTGATTCTGTCACATAGACTTGTATTCTGTTCTGCCAGCTGAATGATGGTCCAGTTGATGGCATGATGGAAGAAGTTCAGATCGCTCACTCCTTCGCGGAAATAGAAATGTGTTACGCAGGTGTTGGGATCAGACCTGGCCAGTTCCACAAGATGATCGTAGGCACATGCTGCTAGATGGCTCTTTCCTGCTCCAGGGGGGCCTTCGACCGCGAGTATGCGCGACGTTCGACCATTCCATGCCTCCCATTCAGGTTCATCGAATAGCCAAGTACATGTTCCAGGAATAAAAGAGTACACGATATTGCCGTACTCATGAATCGGGTCGATGGCATCGGGGAGGTAACTGCGGACACGGCTGGAAGTTGCTGGCTTGTTCATGGTGCTTTCCCTGGTGTCATCTTGTCGCCGTTCCTGAAACACCATGAGAAGCTTTTGGATATTGACGAGATCATTTCGGACGGTCTCCTGGCTTTCAAGGACACTTTCAAGCATTCTGGTCTGATCCTCCATCATCTGAGTCTGCATGTCTTGATTCTGTTGTAGATCCGAGTTCATGCGTTGCAATTCTTCCGTATTGCCTAGAATAGCGTACTCTGTGGCGGCCTGAAGTCGTGACAAGGTTGTGTCCATTTTCTTTCGTGCATCTCCAAGTTCGCTGTCCGCGCCTTTGATCATGTTGATGACCCATTTCTCTATGCTGGATTAGATCTATCATGGTAACCTGGCTGAAGACGTACTGAATCTGCCCAGTTCGATATACTTTGTGGAGAACCCACACATTTCCAGCACAGCTCTGAATACATCCATCAAGCAATTACGATATGCCTGATACTTAGGTAGTCTTGATTCAAGGATGGTGATTCGTCGGAGGAAAGCATTCATGTCCTCAAAGAACGCAGTCACGACATCATAATCGGCGGACTGTTTCTTGCAAGCCTAGAAACGGTGTCAACATATGAATGCGAAGTTGCGTAAAGGGGAGCCTTTTTCCAGAAAAAGTGGCACCGTTTGAACGATATAGCTCCTCAGGCTCAAGGTGATATTGTTCATTATTGCCATCCAAGAGTCCTTCACACACACAACGATAGAGCGCTAGCGTCTTGAAGGGTGTAGGTCGTCACTTCTACCGTAGAGCCCTACTGGCTTCAAGTTTGGGCACCCGCCGTCGCGAGCCCAGTGATCCTTGTACTTGTATCATCGATGGGCTCCCTGTCAGACGGTGCCACTTTTTCTGGACACAGGCTCGAGAGATGCCTACCGTCAGCATTAACGTCAGTGCCGTTCCAATGGCTGCTGCAGGTGGAAACGCAGGGGTGGCCGCAGATACGAGTTGGTCTGCTCCCTTTTGAATATAATCGAGATTCTGAGCAAACAAGCTCCTCAGCTTATCGACTTTCTTCTTGTTATGGCGGAAGCGATGGAGACTTTCCATTTCGGCAGTGCCGGTTGTCATCATGTCATCCACCGACTTGAATGTAGGTTTGAGGTCCAGGCCAACGATGCCTTTGTAATTCTTGATGGCATCATTCCAAATATCGGAGATATCGCGTGTATCCTGGGCGAGCTCCTCTTTCATTCGCACTACATTGTTCTGGTCCCCTTGATCGGGCGCCATGATCAAGGATGGAAGAAGGAGTGGATGTGCGTTGGGAATGACCTCTTGTCAACAAGGCTGAACGTGACGTCCGACGTATTCCTGCAGCGTCGAGCATCGTGGCGGGTTGAAAATGACGGTTGAATAGCACGAATTTAGGCTGTGCACTTTGAAACGCTGGTTGGAAGAAAAAGTTGGTGCGGTGGAACATGTCAAGATATAAAGCCAACGGCCGTCCTAAGCAAGTCAGTAAAATTTATTGATGGCGTCGAAACCCTTCTGAGGGCGAAGGACCAGCCCGGTCACGATGTCCTTCCATTTGAACAGACAAGCTCCTGGATCAAGTTTCTGCGGTTCGTCTCCATGACCTCTGGGAGTCCACCAAGTAAATCCCACGATCACTGCAATATGATCCGGCATTGTTTAGGAACGAAGAGATGGCCAGTCGAACTTAGCAGCTAGCAGAAGAATCGAAACAAAACGCAAGAAGTCGAAGATAAGAGATGGAAAACGAGAAAAGGAAATAGCAGCAACGAAGAAAAGTCGTTGTTGCACCAAGACTTGTCCGGAAGCAACAAGCTGGAAAAAGCGATCGTCACAAACCTGAACAACATCATCAACACCATTTCCTCTCGGTTGATTAACAGCATCAACGACTCGTCGACGTTGACGTCTTATCAATTGGTGCTTCCAATTTTTCTACTTCTCCACACACCCTTCAGTATCCGATGCAGGTTTGACCACGGGTTACCCACGGGTTGCCCCAACTTCGACACGCACTCGACGCCTCGGTACTCGTACCTCACGGGCCATTCCCCAAACCCTGCCCAAACTCTCTCCGCAAATGTGGTCGCTTCGCCGCCCAGTTTTTCGTAATCACATGCCCCCGAGCCGTGCCCTCCCCAGGCCTGGGCTCCTAGACGATGGAGAGACCCTCGAGCTTCTTCTTTTCCCCTCCTACTCAATCCTTGCCACCAAAATTGACCACTTCAGATTGTTGTTGCTGCCGCTGACAACATGACTCTCTTCAGCAGTTCCGTGATAGTGTTCCCTCGTCTGGATCCTAACAAAGAGGCTTCACAGAAAGCCAAGAGAACCCACGTCTGCAATGTCTGCTCAAGAGCCTTCAAACGAAGTGAGCACTGCATTAGACATCAACGAGGTCGTAAGTTGCATCTATTCACCCTTGTGTGTCCGTCTCACAAACCTACAGATACTCAAGAGAAACCATTTGGCTGTCGAGTTTGTCGCCGCCGGTATAGTCGGAGAGACCTTTTGGTTCGACATGAGAGAACACTTCACACGCCAGAACAAATTGCCAATGCCACTGACGAACCATCACCGAAGAAATCGAAATCTCAAGATTTACCGACACGTCAGTTAGCCTGGTTGCAATTTTGGACACTGCTAACACATTTCTCAGCCGAGAGCAGCCCTCGTCATACCGATCCAGAACCGGAACAACAAGATGTGCCCAAAAATACTGAAGCTCACTCAAATGACCAGCCGCCGGACCTGCCGCCTGTTTCGACTCCTGTGGTAGAGACGAATTTGACCGTCCAACCGCTAGAGACCGCCGTCATTGACTCGACGCACGATACCATGGAAATCAACATGACGGACTTCACCATGAGCATGCCTGACCTTGACAAGATGCGTACATTTCCAACGTCAGTGCCATTACCTGACCTTGATGGTGATCTGGAATTCCTCGATTTCTTCGACCCCTTCCTGGGAATAGAACCAAAGCAGATGGGAAACTTTGCCTTCCCACCAATCAGTGGAAATTTGGAAGGATGGTCACCACTAGAGCATTTTTCAACTTCCAGCCACAGCTCGATGCAAGATTATGGCTTTCAACACATCTTACCAACTTCCACAGACCTCCAACCTTGTAGCGATGTTGACTTGTATACCACAACTGCACAAGCACCCAGCATCGATGTTCCGCCTGAGATGCTTCAATCCACTATCTCTGAAGCAGCGTCCACCCCGAAACTAGTTCACCCAGTACCTACAAAGACTCCCGCCATGCTATTCACCGAGCAAGTGAGATCAAACCTGCTCAAAGATCTATCAAACCGACTTCCTTTCGATCAAGGCAATTTCAGGCTTCCGAGCGCAGTTGCTCTGCAAAAATGCGTCCGCACCTATGTCGAGGCCTTTCACGTTCATTATCCAATGTTCCACCTTCACACCTTGGATCTCGAATCCGCCCCCTCACCGCTTTTGCTGGCTATTTGCGCTATAGGTGCTCTTTATCGACTGGAGAGAAAGATCGCCGCGTCACTGTATTCGAAAGCAGATCAAGCTCTTTCGGCGGCAACCAGTGAAACGAGAAAAGCACCGCGCCTACTAGATAATTGGAGTCAGCCTCCTTTACAGACGCCAAAAGTAGACGAACAGCTTCTTTGGAAGAGCCAGACAAGGTTTTTATTGGCAATGTTTACGACCTTCAGTGGGGATCCTGAAGCTACATCAAATGCGATTGCACACCTTTGCGATTTTACCATTGTGAGTTACCACTTGAACTCTGCGGTTTATTCTTGCTGATCTCCTAGTACTTCCGTCAACTCGCTCCAGGGGTGAAAGCCGGAAAAGCCGTCGAAAACCTATCTTGGGAAGAATGGGCCAGGAGGGAAAGCGTTAAAAGGTTCGTCCACCTCCCCGCTTGATCGTTCATTCACTCATTTTCACAGACTGCTCTACGGGCATATACTCTACGGCAATCTGGTGACCATGACGTACGGCATTCCCCCAGGCTACTCGGTCGTTTCCGACGGATACATCGAGATGCCATGCGATCAAGCTCTGTGGGATGCTTCCACGGCGGAACAATGGAGTACTCTTGTGGCCGTCAAAAGCAAGAGTTCTCCTCTCTCATTGAGAGACGCAGTATCAAGAATCATGTACGGTAATTGTGCGAGGACGGTCCCTGAAGAGTGCTGGTCGTGGTCTCCATTCGCCGTCAATGTGGTGATCAATGCCGTCTCGATCCAACTATGGCACATTGCACAAGGCTCCTACTTTTTCGGCGAACTATCTGGTGTCGGAAAGCCCCAGGAGGCGCAAAGATCTCCAACTTTGGCCCAAGCAGAAGCAGCACTGTCGAGATGTCGAGCACTTATCACACAAGCACGAACCGATGCTGACTATGCATGGACCGAGGCTGAAGGACCTCTTCTGTTTAACTGTCTTGCCCTCCTACGAGTCAGTTACTGCCGAGCATTTACGGGCACGGGAGGTGCAGACCCCACGCTATTGCTGAAAGAGAGTCATGAAGAGGTCATGGCTTCGATTGAGGACTTCGTTGCTATGCCGCAAGAACGGAGCGAGTTGATTACCAGGGCCGTCAGCAGAGCATTTGAAGGTATGCTCATTCCCAACAAAATGGGAACATCATTGCTCAAGAAGACGGCCGCCTTGACTTGGGCTGTTGAGCATGCTCTTGCTGGTTGGGATTCTGGACTATTGGTCACCAAATGGGTACATGTCATCGAGATTGAGACTGCCCAGAGCAATGGTGCCTTCATCAGCGAATTGGAGGATCAAACTATGCGAACGATCAAGAGTCTTCTTGCCGAAGTTGACGACGACTATTCTGACCAGGCAAACGTCTCTGTCGCCGCCAAGTTGGCACGGTATTGGGCTGGGTATTACGATGATACATGGGTTTGGGGTGTTACACCTCGGATGGGATGGGTTTTGCGTGAATTGGCCAACTGTTACGAGAGCAATTCGCCCGTATCATGAGGCTGCAATGTCAACCCCACATTGCCCTGAAAGGGTATGAGGGGGTTTCTTTTATTGCAAGGCTGAGGTGGGCCCCTCTTATGGGCAGCTTTCTCAAAAGTGGGGGAGGCCCAACTGTTCTCTCTGCAAGGATCTGGACTTGCTGGTTTTGACAGAACGAGTCAATTCGATCACCAAGCCGAGGATCTGAGGCAAGTCTTGACGTTTGTGAGACAGCGCAAGGATCTCAAAGGTGTTCGGTAGATTCGCGGATGCAGGAGTCTTTCTGCGCACATTGCACGTCGGTGGCTTTCCGGACCTCCCATGACAGGTCACCAATAACTGGTGCCAGCACTTTGGTTCGAATGCGATCATCATTCTTTCCCTATTTGTGAATCTCTAAGACGATCATTACCTTTTGGGAATGACATATTCGCCGTGTGGGATTCTTTTTGCAGCTGAATATTGGGTGATGTGCGATGCATTCCGGACTGGAATGATCAATCACAGCACAAGTCGGGACTGAACAGATGAGACAGAACATCCGTGGCGCTGGATCTTCAATGCAGAACACCGCAACGCTAGTACAGCGAGACAAAGGATGAGTCTGCCAACTACCAAAGAGGCACCTAAGATCACCGGGAAGGTCCAGGCTGTTTTAGATGATCCACTCCCGACATAAAACGATCACGATGCCGAACTCCAAAAGACCGAACGCTAAACACGGCTTTGCAGTAGCTGAGATGTTCTGAAACGAGAAGTTGTGAGCCTTTTATGCATCTGTCTTGTTGTCCAAGTCATGCCACTGTCTACCAGTGTGGCTGGGAGTATAGATTGCAAGGGATTCCAGGTCAGCCGACTTCTTGCGTCCCTCGAGTCTAGAGATGCTCTAGTCTAGAGATGCAACAGTGAGATTTCTTCAAACCGTCTCTGCATTTGGAGTGTTTCGCCATCGTTCGCTTAACATACACCATTGCGATTTAGTCTTGCATTTCCCGGATGACCAGCGGAAGACGGGGGTAATTAATTGAAGCGAGATTCCTATTCAATAGGGGTATGGAACACGCTGGATTTTTTTAAGAAGCATTGATCGATGCTGGTTCAGGAACCGTATGATGGCACTTTTCAGGTCAGGAACAACTTGTCAATTTACTCACCGCAGTAAAGGTTGATGCAATATATTTTAACCCGAAGCCACCTATCAGCCCCTGCGCCATAGATGCAGTAGAGAAGGGACAACCCTGAACAGATCCTTCAGAGCAACCAAGTGGGCATCTGAACTGTCAGTCCAGGTAAGCTAAGAAGCGGGAACCAGTAGGAATGGACATCTTCGGGACGGTACAAGCCCGGGGGAAAGAGAGTTGAGTTTACGGACAGAGAGGAGACCAAAATGAAGTCAATAATTGCAGAGGGCTTCCAGGCACATCATGCAAAAGCACAAGTTCCCGGAATCTATGCTATAGGCGATACGAGGTGGTAGACAAGTCATAGCCAGGGTGGCTTTAGCTTTCAATTAGTCTAGGGGTGGCCACTAAAGATGTTCCAGTCGGGGGGTCCCAGCGACTCGATTTTTGCCTTTGACCAACTTCTTCTTCCCCTGCCCGCTGCCGTATTCTCGCTTGGGATCCATTCATATCCAATCCCAGCTTCGAATTCGTTCCCATAAGTCATTCCCCCGTTTTACCAATCCATTCGAGATCATCTATTATCTTTTTCCTCTTCTCCTCGTACTCTACAAGCCATCACAACCTGCGGCCTGGGTTGACAGACGACTGTGCAGACGACACCTGTCGCGCACAAACCCAGTGTTCAGACAATAGACACCTGCCCCGTCCACCATCGGCCTAGGTTGCGTAGGCTTCCCAGTCAGTGATCGACGCCGACTCTTTCCACTTTTCGCTCCTTCCCGCGCCGATCACTCCCTGCGGATTTCTATCACTTCCAACCTCCACCGATCTCTCTGTCACCCTCTGTCGCTGCAAACGAATTATTAAGCTCAACCAGAGGTGATTGCGCAACAATACACGAAAAAGAGTCACGACTGACAATCTACAGCTACTCCTCACAGACTCGACTTGCCTCACTCCTGCCCAGAACTCGAGGACCGTCAAGATGGGGTGTGGTGCGAGTAAAGAAGATACGGCCGGCAAGGCAAGGAACGATGAAATTGAGAATCAGCTGAAAAGAGACAAGATGGCGCAACGGAACGAGATCAAGATGCTCTTGCTCGGTAGGTTGAGACCGAATACTCTCGTGCTTGAGCTGAACGTAGACAGGCGCCGGTGAATCTGGAAAATCCACAATCCTCAAGCAGATGAAGCTCATACACGAGGGAGGATATTCGCGGGACGAACGCGAATCTTTCAAAGAAATCATCTTTTCCAACACAGTCCAGTCGATGCGCGTAATACTAGAGGCTATGGAATCACTGGAGCTTCCTCTCGACGATCAACGTGCAGAATACCACGTTCAAACAATATTCATGCAACCACCGCAAATAGAAGGAGACAGTCTTCCTCCTGAGGTTGGCGCAGCCATCAAAGCTCTGTGGCAAGATGTTGGCGTTCAAGAATGTTTCAAACGGTCGAGAGAATATCAATTGAACGATTCTGCAAGATAGTGAGTGCGACGCTCAGGTCTGGGATTCTTCTGACACATTGCAGCTACTTTGACTCGATCGACCGTATCGCTGCGCATGATTACCTACCCAACGACCAAGACGTCCTTCGATCTCGAGTCAAGACGACGGGTATCACAGAAACGACGTTCATTATCCAAGATTTGACATATCGTATGTTCGATGTCGGTGGCCAACGGTCAGAACGAAAGAAGTGGATTCATTGCTTTGAAAATGTCACAACAATTCTGTTCTTGGTCGCCATCTCGGAATATGATCAATTGCTCTTCGAAGATGAGACAGTCAACCGAATGCAAGAAGCGCTCACACTTTTCGACAGTATTTGCAACTCCAGATGGTTTATCAAGACAAGTATCATTTTGTTTTTGAACAAGATCGACAGGTTTAAGGAGAAGCTTCCAGTCAGCCCAATGCAGAACTACTTCCCGGACTACGAAGGTTTGTCGATGCTATTTCTCCTCGAGCTGTAACTGATTGTGTCTAGGTGGACCGGATTATGCCGCGGCTTGTGATTATATCTTGAACCGATTCGTGTCGCTCAATCAAGCCGAAACAAAACAAATCTACACCCATTTCACCTGTGCGACCGATACCACTCAAATACGGTTCGTCATGGGTGCTGTCAATGGTGAGTCTCCTTCGCTTTTCTTTTCGAACTTTCTGACAATTGTAGATATTATCATTCAGGAGAACCTCCGAATGTGCGGTCTCATATGATGAGATAAGCGATTGGCGTCCGATTTGTCCACGACCTACATATACCACCGGCGTCCAGGTTGTCTTTCGAATCCAGATTAAGTGAGTGCGGTCAATCATGTCTTAACGGACTTGGAAGTGTTGGGGTCTGTTTTGGCAAGTGATGGATAATGGGCCGCTGGCCGCAAGCTGCATACGATTGCCCCCCTGTACTGCCGGTGTCAATCATGACAGCAGGCGATGTATATTTTTCTTCAAAAGCCTGTGAAAAGGAAGGGAGCTTTTCTTTATGGTTGGGCTACGGTAGGGAAAGCGATGGATTAGATTTTCTGCAGTATAAGTACCCGCTGTATGGAAATCAAGGACATAAATACAAAATTCTCAAAGACCAGACTATCTTGGAATGGAGCTGTATGTTAATGATTGTTAGCTGGCGACTGAATAGTGTCCTCCGTATGGCCAGATACATCCCCTTGTAAATGTGGAGAGTACGGAAATGTTCATCCGCCGTATTACTTCATGCCACGATTTCGACGACAATACTTTAGCTATCGATTCTACATCTGCTCATCTACCGCGACAATGTCTCTGACATCCGCGCTGCGACCTGTAGGGTTACCCTTCGGCGCAGGTACGAACCGCGAAGCGAAGTCAGACGCGCAGCAGACGCGCCAATTCCATCATGAAATCGACTACTTGAATCTAAACAGAACGCTGAATCGCTTTCAGCATCTAATCCTGCTCACACCCTCGCCTTCCTCTGGAAACCCTTCAGAATTGACTCCTCTGCAACGACAGATACAGGCCGAATTGTGGTCCCCTTTACCTTACCACCGAACGAAATGGATGCACAATGTCGAAGGTGCGCGGACTCTACTCTTACAATTGGAACGAAAAGCACAGACTATTCGAGTGCAGCGGACAAAGTATGAAGCCATCAAAGATCTGGCAGAGAAGAGAGCCATCATCAAGAAATTGAGACATCGGATTGAAGAGATCGGGCGCGAGGTTGAGACAGGGGCGCAGCAAATGCCGATTGCTGAGGAAGAAGGTGATTCTCTGTATGACATTCTGCAGCAACAGTCTCGCCAGACAGAAGAGAAGAACGAATTGCTGGAGGGAAAGCCTGTCTCGCAGGTGGAAGAAGAACCGGCTTCGAAAGATGATCTATTTTCATCGTCTACAACCCGGCGGAGAAGAGGTCGGGGCGAGGAACCAAACGCGCAAACAAGTGGCTTCTCGAATATGCAATCTACAGAACGAACATTGTTGGATTCTTCTCGTGAACAAGAAGATATTACGGTCAAGTTGGTCGACATGGCAGTTCGATTAAAACAACAGAGCAAGAACATGCAATTCTCTCTAGAACAGGACAAGACGTTTTTGGGCCGAGCGACACAAGCCATGGAGGTCAGCGTCAGTTCGATGGAGGCTGCCAGCAAGAATATGCAGTTCCTCAAGCGTATGAGCGAGGAAGAAGGTCTGTTCGGTCGATTGAAGTTGTACGCCATTATCTTTGGGATGTGGGTTGCAGCATTCTTGCTGGTGTTTGTGTGTCCGAAATTGAGATTCTGATCATCAGGCTTGTCACGATGACCATCTGTTGAGCATCATGGTCATGCATGCTCCACGAATACGCCATTCATTGTGCCGAGATTGAGTGTGTCAGTTGCACAACAGGCCAAACCTGGCCAAAGAATCCTGGCGATTGCCGAAGAAGGGTGCCTGAAGATCTCATTCAACAAATAATGAGGCCAATGACCAGCTTGAGCGGGCCACGAGGACTATTCTTGGAATCTGGATTGGCGATTTGTTGCTTTCGCTTTCACATGAATGAAAAGCTTCTGGCGATTGCGTTTGTCTCTCTGTCTCAGATGACGTCGATTTGCAGGTGAAATCTTGATGAAGAAGAGGACAACATTCCAGCACGAACCACGCAGAACCACGCATGACGTCATCGGCAAACGCGTTGACTCGCGGGGCAGGGATCGGATTCATCTTGCGGTCTATATATTAGACTGAATTGTCCTCTAGTCAAGAACCGACACAACTGCACGACTACGAATTGGAACGATACAAGATCACAAATCCATACGACTACCTATCAATATGTCCTCCAACGATAACACCTCATCTCTCAAGTCAGTGCTTGACACTGCAACCGGTTATGTCAACTCTGGCATCGCTGCCTTGACTGGATCAGCTGGCGACCAGGTGAGATCACATTTCATGAGTTACAAAGTCCCACACTAACACATCCTCCAGGCCAAAGCAGACGAATACAAGAACAAGGGTGCCGCTGAATCTGATCTCTCGCACGCCGCCGCCAAAGCTGGGCCTTTCACCATCAGTTCAACTGGTGTCCCTGCCAAAGACGATCCAAACCGAAGCCAAGGCCAATGGGATCAGACAGTTGGTAGTACTAAGGAGACCGTCGGCAACCTCGTTGGCAGTGAGGACTGGAAACAGGCCGGTCGTGAACAAAATCTTCAAGGTCAACAAGTAGAAGCGAAGGGTCAGCTCAGTGATTACGGCAAGGGTATCAGCGATCGAGTCCAGGGTGCCGTTGGCGGCGCCGCTGCGTCCTTGACCGGTGATCGTACTGAACAGCAGAAGTATGCTGATATTCATGACGAGGGAAAGACCAGACAACGTGGTGTCGAGCTTGATCTGGATGAGAAAGCTCGTGCTCAACAACATTAAAGCTAGACGACATTGAAGTCGACAACATTAAGGTGGCTGATTAGTTTATGATACCCAACAATTGATTATATTTCTATCGATCTTCCTGTCCGTGTCCATTGTCCTTCGATGCACTCAGTTGTAAACCATTTGCGGAGTTTAGTCTTGGCCAATAACATCGATTCCGCAACTGCGCCTTGAATTCCCTCCATACACATACCAACGACAGACAAATGGCCGGCTTGCCACAGAAGACTTTGAACTGGCTGTATGATGTGTTGAAGCGCGTGAGTTGTTATGTTCTTTGTTTGGGACGTACTGATTCGCATAGGAATATCGTGATGCAAATCGAACATATTCCGATCTCGCCCATGTGCTTGCCCGCAATCCTGGGTTTGCACCTCGAACAGATGTCTACAGTAGGACGGCAGCAGAGAGAGAGGACGAAGCTGATATTGGACAGCATCAGAGAATGGAGTCTCAGCACTCCTAGTACATTTCACAGGCACGATACCGGTCAACTTCAGGGGGAACACATACCGATTTCCGATATCATTATGGATACCACATGCATACCCCTACGAACCACCGATATGTTATGTCACCCCCACGGAAGATATGGTGGTCAGACCAGGTCAACATGTAGGTGGAGATGGAAGAATATATCATCCATATCTGGCACACTGGAGGGAAGCTTGGGAGGTCAGTTTGCGCATGATCAGCAAGGAAGATATCTGACAGTGGCAGCGGTCCAATACTGTGGACTTCCTTTCGATTCTATCCGAAGTCTTTGCGAAAGAACCACCAGTCATGTCTAGAGGACAGCAGAGAGCACCGCCTCCTGTACCTCCGTTACCGAGAGAATCCTCAGGACCACCTCCTCCACCAAAACCTACAGTACCATCAAGTCCTACACAATCTCAAGGTAGATACGATGTCCCACCTGCGCAGCATCCAGGCAGGTATGATGCTCCACCTCCATTACCTCAGCCACCCCAACCACAAAGTCCACGACCGTACGGAAATGGTGATTACATGCCTCAAAGAACGAGTAGTCTACGACAGTCAATGCTGCCACAACAACAATATCGACCTCCACCGCAGCAATATGCCAGTCCACCGCCCAACCATCCAAGACAGCAGGTGCAGCAACAGCAACCACCACCTCCGAAAGCTGTTGATCTTCTCGACTCACCGTTCGACGTATCTCTTCCAGCACAGACGCCGACACCAAGCAATATCCCTGCACCTCCGATACCTGTGAACCCTGAAAAGGAAGCCTTGCTTACACATCTGTCGCATCAAATCACCCAATCCCTGCATTCACAAATCGCTCAATCTACATCAGCACTGCCAGCTCTACAATCTCAAAATGTTGCTCTGCAATCGACTCTGCATAACCTCAGCGCGGAGTTGAACAATCTCCAATCACTGCATTCCACACTGACCTCGAATCTGTCCCTTTTGTCGACCTCACTTTCCAAATCGGACAATGTGATCTCCTCGGCCAAGAAACGTGCGGCTGAGAAAGATATCCCCGCTGTAGATGACATGCTTGTTGCCCCGACGGTTGTCGCGCGTCAACTGTACGACACGGCATGCGAGGAGAGGGGGATCGAAGCTGCCATACTCGCTCTACAGGAAGGTTTCGTCAGGGGAAGGGTTGGTGCCGACGTATGGAGTCGTAAGACTAGGGAACTTGCCAGAGAAGGCTTCAAGAGGATGTGGATGGAGAAAAAGGTGGCTAGAGGGATGGGATTGGATTTGAGTATGTATGGATCTTGACGTCTACTTTCTATTACGACATGATGCCCGACTTTGAGCTATCCATGTATCCATGACGACCGACTCTGAACTATCCATTCTGCATCCATGATACCTGACGATGAGCTATCCAACCTGAGGCTATTTTCAGTTCCAAGCGACGCTGTCGAAGTCGAAGTTGAGGTCGATTTCCACAGTGGAGAAGTCGATGTCGCCAAATTCGGGATCTGGTGGAGAATAGTTGCCGTCGACTTGTGGTGGTTGTGCATCGAAGTTGATGACATCCGCCCCAAGGGCACGTAGGGTAGCAGCAGTGTTGGTTTCGACTTGGGCATCGTCAAAGCTGAGTGCAGGAGTGGTGCTGATGGCGATCGTGGTGTTGCTGCCATCGTCGTCGCTTTGATTGTTCTTGGTGGTCGGCGACACTTGCTGCATTGGAATCGGCTGCTGGCTCAACACTCGACGAGATTCTGGAGTTGGAGTCGACGAACGAGACTGGACTTGGGCAGATGTGAATCGATAAGCTGGACCGGAACGTGGTGTGGCAGGTGTAGCAACTGTTTGCATGACTCGAGTCTGTGGTTGTTGCGCAATTGGAGTGCGTGGTGGTTGCATATTGAGCTGCTGATTCTGCATTGCTGGAAGTTGAGCTTGCGGGGTTTCGAATTGCGGGAAGAGATTCGCGTAGCAAGGCGCAACTGGACCACCAATCGAGGTGACTCCCGGGTTGTTCGTCGGCTGCTTCTGGTTGCTTTTCATGGTCAACATACCAGTCACTGCCGGCACAGGGAAGTCATAGCCAGTCTGGCGACAGAGTTGTGATGGAGGTGGTTCAGGATCATCCAAGGTGCGATTGAGCCATTTGAAGTTGGCGTGTGCTTTGGCATCTCTGAAATACGCGGACAAGGATCCGGTTGGAATGATCTGGTAGGTTGGACGACCTTGCTGGGCGTTGAAGTCCGCTAGGAGAGCCTCATCGTCAATTGGGGTGCGGTTGGCGAAGAGTTGCTCAATGTTGGGCCGCACTCGCTTAGCTGGCGGCGGCATAGTTGGCGAAGAAGTGGATGGACCTTGACGACGGGTTGGAGTGGTTTGAGGGGACGCCTTGACAGGGGAACGACTTTGACCATTGCTTGCTCGTCTTGGGGTGGCCGCAGCCTTTGGAGTCACAGACTTTGTCTTTCCATTGCTTGTGTTCTTCTTTTCTGGGGAGGTAGATCCACTGCTTGTGTTCTTCTTTTCCGGGGACCACTCTTCGAAGGCAACGCTTTTCTTTCCTCCGAACGCATGCTCAAGACCCTCGGGGATGACGATCTTGGTACTGAGAGCGTCTCGAATGAACTCTGCTGGATCGTCGGTTTCTGGAGTGGTGAGAACTGGACCGACATGAGTGGTTGCAGACTCTTCACCGTCACCAATAGCTGATTTCATCATGTCGACAAATTGCGTGTCGTCGCTGAACATGCTGAAGTCGTCAAGAGTTGGAGATTCAGGTTGAGTCTGGTTTGGAAGTTCAGTGACATATTGGTAGGCGTTTGCATCAGTGAGGGAGGGGTCAATCATGCTGGGAAGATGAGATCCGATCTCACTTGGGGAAGAAGTGACGGAGGTGGGATTCTGATCGAACGCAGAGCTAAATGCTTGCATGTTTGAGTGTCGTCGCTTTCTGATTGGAGTTTCCATCTCTACAAGGCTTGACAGACAGAATGGTTGTGGGAGAGGAAAGGACTAGAGAGAGACAGAGAGAGACGGTCGAGGTTGAAAAGATATACACCGACAGTGTGAGAATATCGCAAAGTGAGATTCGAAATAAGAGGTTGGGGTTGCGAGACTTCACATGAATCTCACTTCGTTTGGCGATGTTCACACTGCCGGCAGATCGATTTCTCCGGTCGAAAAAGAGAGCGGTGAATCAGCTGCATTGGGCATGGGCTTTGCAACTCAGGAGGACTCCAAGCAGAACTCGAGACGGCGCCAAACCCAGCATCAGGCGGACTCCAAAGGCATCCGGCGTGCGCATCGATCTGAGCATCCAATTATGGCAGAACGATCTGGAAACAAGAATGAGAAATTGTTTGATCACGGAGAGCTTTTGTACATATAAGCGGCGAGCTGTCGTCGACTATTCGACAATCCACAAGTCCCCAGCTGTCTATGGCATGCAGACTTCGAACTGAATGCGCCCCAATCAATATCGCCCAGTTCATGCATGACAGACTTTTCCCACCATTTCAGCTATGCAATGAGTTGAAGAAACCTCCCGGGCTCTGTTGAACCGTCCTGAAAATGCATCGCTAAATCAAACTAAACGGCGCAAAGACCACCTCCAGAATCTTCCATATTCCATGCTCCAGCCAGACCAACAATCTGTGGTTCTTCGGCATCCAGCTCAAGAGCTGTAATTCTACTCTCGAGTGCAATCTCAGCATCAGCGGCCGTCCGACGACCACCCATAAGAAGTTTCCGAGCCCAGTCATCAATGGCAGGTTCACCAGTTTCGTCTCTTGCTTGCTTCAAGAATGGAATGAGTGCCGTTCCACCAGTGCCGCGCATTTTCTTCTTCGGCGCTTCAGGTTGGTAGCGGATAGACGCAATTCCTTTGTCTCTGGGTGCGTAATCCGAACTGCTCTCTCGACGATGTCTGCTCAGACTTCTAGATTCTCGACTTTTGACGATGATGTACCTTGACACCATCTGTATATGTTTATCCCGTAGAGCTCGGAGCATTGCCAAACACGCATCATATGCAACGCATAATTCTCGATTCGACTTGTTGAGCTCCACATACTCTCTGATGTTTGCGACTCCCTCAACAGCTTGCAAAAACCGTCGGTGCGGTCCGGGCATGTACTGTCTCATTTCATGAATGAAGTTATGTCGCGGTTTGGGGGCTCCTTCTGTTTCTGATTCGGATGTTTCGTCCTTTTTGGATCCTGTCGGTCGGTGCTCGACTCCTAGAACGGTGTCGAAAAATTGTATCATACTGCTTTGCGCATTCGAGCCACCTCCGTATTGTCGCCACGTCGATCGACTGCTGCCATCGTCGTAAAACACACCTTGAGGTAAACCTGCGTCTTTCATGTTTTTGCTGCCGGCCAGGAAAGGTCGAATGCGATGATAGAAAACGTGTGGGTCGCAGTTTTCGTACATTCTGATCAATAACGTGCCCAGCTCGTCCAGCGTCTGGGCAAAGGATTGTAAAGCTTTGGTGACTATCGCGGCGTCATCATCTCTTGCGGCTTGTATTGCTTTGAGCATAATCGGTATACATGGTCCACCTTTTGCCTCCATCGCCACACTGACCAAATAGAACCATTGTTCGTCCAGCGAACCGGTAAAGGTGGTGAGTGTGGAGAGGTTGTCGAGGACCAGCGATTCGGAGAGGAAGATGGGTTTAAAGTTCCATAGACATACACCGGCGTAGGTAGCGACTGGAGGGAGGTCGAGGTGTTCGCAGACTTGAAGGAGTGGGTAGGTGATTGGTGGTGGTAGTCTTTCTGCCGGTTTGTCGCCTCCCCAGATGTAGCCGTGGGCCATGAACGTGAGGACCGAGTATGCTCTTCGCCACTCTGCCTCTGTTTCTAGGTGGACTGCGGGGAGGATGGGTAGGCGGTCGATGACCACGCGCAGTCTCTTTGAGAGGAGGAGTGACTGGAAGTTGTTCATGATCCGCTCCCAGCGGTCGTAGACTGGATGCGGGAGACATTGTATAGGGTTCTCTGCAGGGAGGAAACCTCGGTCGGGCGAGAGACCGTAGTCTTCGAGGCGGGGGATGGGTGGGAGCATGGTTGAGCCTTGAGTAGAGTGAGCAGGGTGGACTGTGAGAGGGGTGAGGAGGCCGATATAAGGAAGAGATTGATCAGCGGGGTCGGAGGAGATGGAGAGAAAAAGAAACTATCGGGTTCATCCGGATGGGTTTAGGGCTGGCGGATGCGGAGTTCGCGGCGGTGGGTTTATGGGATGAATCGAGGTGTTTATTATTATGATGACATTCACCATGTTCGACTTTGATTCATCAGCAGCCTCGTCATACTAGTACTCACCCACATTTTGAAAGAGGCGAAAAGATTATGGCGAGGCAGAATCATGCATGCATTGACAGGGAAAATAGTGAGAACCCCGGACGATGATCCTCGGCCCATCGGAACGTTCGGCAAGAACTTTATTTCAGCGACTCAGGTACCGTGCACATCGTCAAGGTCAACCTCTTCAATCTCCATCTTAAAAAACAGTAGCCCTTATGATAGACCCTAAGAGCAAGACAATCGACAATATCGTCGATGAGGCCTCATGAATTCTTAGGTCTCCGTCGCAATTGTGGACTCCATTGAAGCCAACCCATCTTCGTCTATATTCAAACATTCATCTCCTGCCAAACTCCAACTCCAAGTCATCCATACAATTAGCCACCATCGAGGCACTCGCGTTCATCATGTCTGCACACCAGGTTCTCTCGCAATCCAGTGAAAGTGTTTGCCGAGTCGACCCAGACTATCCTGCATGGGGATGGTGGCTGTGAAGTCCTCGGGCCCCTAGCGCAGCGTGATGTGGTAGTCAGAACCGATCAACTTGTAGCTGACAGATTCGCGGCGAATGAGATCAACACCGTAGAAGCTCTCGCAACCATGACCATCGATTTCATGGTGGATGACCGCGCATTCAACTTCATCGAGAGGCACAAGGCTACACTCGGATTCGAAGTCGAGACGAGCATCGTTCGCTTCTCTGAGTAGTCCTTCACCAATTGAGGTTCCGGCCTTGAATTCTTGACAACTTCGCTGAACATTGTGGTGTACTTCGAAATGTTCGAACCCCTCGGAAACGCGCTTGATCAGGACCCGGTTGAGCAGATTGACAGAGTCAAAAAATGGGATGCGCTTCTTGAACACCGCATGCAAAAATTCGCATCGTCCGTTCACAATTCTTCATATCTGAGAAACGCGCCCAAGAACTCGAAGGCTCGTAGAGTAAAGGTAGTCAACTTGGCTGTGATCATTTCCTGGCGTGCCTCCGCACGTCGACCGATAACGTGAAGCACTACTTCAAGAAGGGGGACTGAAGAGCGCTCGAAGCGTTTCGAGTCAAGGACGAACATGACTAAGCCGGCAAGGTGTTTGTGGCTCAGTTGATTGGGGTATGACACCGCAGTGAGGAAAAGAATGCCGGCAGGTGTGCTGTACGCACACAGTCCGTTGTCTTTTTCGAAGATTGTCAACTCGTCTAGCCACGGGTCTACCAATTCCAAGTCCCCAGCCTCCACACCTGGAACATAGTCGAATTGATGTTGGGTTGTGTCGAGGTCAAGATACGGGCAGACTTCCTTGAGGACCAATTGCAGGGGTTCGCGACCTTTGAAATGTTGCTGCTCTCTAGCCTTGATAGCCTCAAATTCCTTCTTCACTTTGTCAAGAAACTCTTGTGCTGCACACGCTTCGTCGACTGTTCCTGCATCCTTCACTCTCTTGTCGAGTATTGAGAGAATTGTTGGCAACGATGGCACCAATGATGGAATGACCGACTTGACCGCGTTTTCATCATCGACGTCCAACTTGTTCACCGGCGCCTCCTGCGCTTGCATTCCCTCGGAGAAAGGCTTCAGACGAGCAAGTTCATCATTCAGATCATCGACCCTGGCTCGCAGCCCGCAGTTTTCATCCTCTAGCTTCTGTATCTGTGCTCCAGTAGGTGGCAAGTCGGCCCAGGTCACGGACTTCATTGTAAAGGAAGCGATGGTTCTTGAAATGATGAATGTTTGGATGTGAGAGAGTCATTCAAAAGAGTGAGGTTGTGGTGTTGTGCTATCAAAACAGAGCAGTGACACGGCAACTCGCCAGTTCAATTCGGGTTCAAGGCAGTGTTATCAGTTTCGATGAAGCTGAGTGACACCCGCCGAATGCGAATGCCATTTCACATGTACCGTCTCATCTGCAGACAGCCTCCAGCCGAGCGTTTCTTGATCTCGATTAGCATTCTAACAGTTCTTCATCGTTCAGCACGATCCTCTTTTTACACCTACTCATACGCACGCAGTCATGGCTGAACCAGGGTTTGAACCGGTCCGACCTGGCAATCCAGCTCTGCACGAAGATATGGCTGAAATCAATTCATGTCTTCCCGCCGTCCTAACCCTCTGCGACGAAGCAAGTGACAAGCTCAAAGATCACGACGCTGTCCTTCAAAAAGACCCACAATCCGATTCTAGTCTCTTCCTCCCCTGGACAGAAGACATCACAGCCTTGCGCACGATGGCAGACATTGCACGAGCAGGTACCAAGCTCCCACCAACCGAGAGCATGGGTAAAGTGGCTATTACACTGCGAAGAATGGCCGAAATCAAAGATACCTTGCGAATTATAGGACTGGTACCAGATCTCGAAATCGAAGACGTTTGGAAACTTAAGGATCTTGTGCGGCACCTTGATGAACTCTCGAACCTGTCAAAGGACGAGTCAGACGGCAGAATCATGAGCGGAGCTGAAGACGAAGCCATGTATCACACCTTCGATGCGCTTGACGACATCAAAACTCGGTGCCAAGAACGTCGCGCAGCTGCCGCAGCAAGAGAGGCGAAGGAGCAACAGGAAGAGACATTGGGGAAGGAGTTACTGCAACAAGTTGAGACTGGCGGAGAACATCCAACCATGTTCATGTCGATGCCAAATCCGATTTGCGAGGATGACGAAGAATGGCTAGTTATTATGCAAGGTCGACAGGACCCTTCTGCAAATATGGCATGCAAGACCTGGTCTTCGAGAGACTGAAAGAAACCTTACTGGTGTAACGGGCGATATCAACCAAGTGCTATTCGAAGAAGTCCCTGGTGCAACGATAAAGTCGATGAGGTGATATTCGAAGTCTTGAATGATGAAGTCGATCATGCTTCATAGTCCGGCTGTTTCTGGACAGACCTGACCAACAAATCAGATCAGGAATGAGATTGACTTCCTACTGGACGCACCTACTTGCAATCCCCATATAAACGACGACCAGTGCGTGAAAAATGAACTTCGTCGTGAACCCATCAGCCAAACGCCAGACATTACTGTACAACGACGGAGCGCGTCTTAGTACTCCTATCAATTCGAAATGAAACGCCTTGACGCTGCTGCTCAGTTCTTCGTATCCCTCGACATCATTGTCGACCCTCCAGTCTCGAAACTGAGCCTGGGACTGCAGTCGACTATACTGCTCTCGGGCGTGTCGTCCGTGTTGCTAGGAGTATACCGGAATCCGTCAACCACGGTGATCTCCCCCTCCAATTCGTCCTCATACCGGGGTGGAGGAGCTGAATAGGACGGCGGAACGTCCGACATTCGACTCGGTCCGACGCCAGCTTCGACGTCGTATCCTCGTGCCCGACCCTCCTCGGCACGGACTATTTCTCTGACAAGATCAGAAGCATTTCGGAGACTGCGGATCTCATTCTGCATGACATCTTCCAAGATACCTTCCTGCTCCAGGATCATCTGTCTCTTCTCTTCGTAGTCGCCCGAGCGTTCACGGTGACTCCTCCACCATGTTGACCACTTGTGTTTGCATGCAGCTTTGCGATATGCCTTCTTTGTCCGACGTTCTTCTTTACGAGCGGCTCTTTCAGCTCGCCGTCGAGGGTCCTTATACCAGGAGCTCTTTGATTTGATGAGACGGAAGATTAATGCCGACAATATGACCAGTAGCAGTAGTGAGATCACAGACAATGATAGTTTATATTCGAAACTGCGTCGTCCTCGGAATCCAAAGATTGCATGTCTAGGAGGCCCACGGGGAGGACCGTGAGGCCCTGGTGGAGGCGGTGGGAAGCCTTCAGGAGGGCCGTGAGGAGGCCCATGGTGGTCTGGTGGAGGACCTTCAGGGGGACCGTCGGGAGGGCCATGGTGTTCCGAAAACTCCTCTGGGTGACCATGGGGAGGGCCATGGTGTTCCCCTTCAGGGCCATGAGGAGGGCCATGGTGCTCGCCTTCGGGGCCATGAGGAGGACCGTGAGGTGGGCCATGGTGTTCGCCTTCCGGACCATGAGGAGGTCCGTGATGTCCCTGAGGTGGATGTTTCAACCCTTCTGGACGACCGTGTGGGGGTCCATCTGGTTTGCCATGATGTTCGTGTTCTTTCCCCGGTCCATCATGCCCTGTTGGCTTTCCTTCAGGTGCATGATGTGGCTTGTGCTCCTTCTCAGGACCCTTCGAAGCCGACGGCAATGAACGAGACTGAGTAGGTGACGGTACATCGACCTGCTTAGGAGGACCGCCCATGCCATGCATGTCTTTCTTCGGACACGTCGGTCCTTTGCATCCTTCCTCATGGTGATGTGAAAAGTGAAGACCAATGAACTTCGAGATAGCAGGAGCTTTCTGGATAGCAGTCCGCCATAGACACTGCATAGTCGAACACGCTTTAAAATCTTGCTTGAGAATGGACATGATTCTGCCCTCAGTGTGTCGAATACGTTCATGCAGTTCTCCCATTTCAGCCTTGAGGTTGTCCAGATGCATATACTCGATCTGCAGAAGGGCATCCAGCGAAGGTTTAGGGTCTTCCATCACAGGTGTGACTGACAACCTCTCCGAAAGCCACTCATCGCAAACCTGTGACGAGACATGTTTGAGTGGTTTGTCTTGAAGACGGAGGACTGCGGGGTGGCCCTTCTGTTTGAATGATGTAGTGAACCCGGAGATCTCCTTGACGGAATTGTGGCCAACAATATCGTCAAATCGGACAGAGATTACTGAGGCCTGACCCTTGAGACATGTCGACTCCCAAGAGGCCAGAACTTCCTTTTCGCCCAGACCATTGGAAGCCCTCGATTTGAATGCGATACGTCCATGGGCCTCTTTGTTCGTCAAGGAAAGCGGAAACCCGTTCAATCGTGGCGGAGAACTGCTACACTCCTCATCGGCCGAGTCGATATCCAGGGTGATTTCCTAAAGAGTTAGAAACATTGAAAAACGAAGGTTGATAAACTCACCAATCCGTCATCTGTACCAATAAAACATCCTTGGCAAGGTGCTCGGAAATGTATCGAGACGTGATCAGGACCTTACATCGGTCAGCAGCTGATTGACAACCCACCAGATTTCCTTACCTGTTGTGCCCGCAACGGTTGTGATATCCTTTGGTTCGGTTTTAACTGGAGAAGAAGGAATGAGAGCGGATAAAGACAAAGAAACGAAAAGACCTTGAAGCAAACAGTACTTCATCGTGAGGTTGTCGAAATGTGAGCTGCCTGCTGGCCTCGAGATCAAGACTCCATTGAGCAAATGCCTGAGGAGAGAAGGTTGAGAAGAGGAGGGATGAGCGGGTTTTGGCTGGTGCCTGACACAAGCGAAGAGGGAAACACAGCCCGGTCCCTGGCAAAACCGTATTTTGGCAGCCGCGTCAGCAGATTCGCGGCCGATAACTAACCACGTGATTGATAAGATCTCGCAATCTTATCACGTGTCAACCATCCGGCTTACATAATTCTTGCCAAGATATCAAAACATCACTGGTCGAAGATGACTTTCAGACAACATCAACCACCAACTGCCGCATGACAGACTCAAAGATCACGATCTCATCATGGTAAATACCTCGATCCGTTATTGAGAATCACGACTGACCGGTAATAGCTCCCCTTAGGCCTCCTGACCGCCGCTCAAGGCCACCCGATGCTTGTTGAGCTAAAGAACGGCGAGACACTCAACGGCCATTTAGTGAATTGCGATACCTGGATGAACCTGACTCTCAAAGAGGTTGTCCAGACAAGTCCAGAAGGCGACAGATTCTGGCGGCTCCCTGAGGTTTATGTCAGAGGAAACAACGTATGTTTTTATCGATCTCTCAATTCTTGACTAACTGTTTAGATTAAATACCTACGTGTACCTGAAGAAATCATCGATCTCGCAAAAGAGCAACAACAAAATCAACAAAGCGGGCACCAACGTGGTCGTGGTGGTCAAGGACATCGTGGAGATCAAGGTGGCAGAGGTGATAGAGGACGTGGTCAAGGCAGAGGACGAGCTCGTGGTAGAGGAAGGGGACAATGAAACCGCATTTGCTCATACAGCTCGACTACAGCAGTTACTTTTCATATCGACGCTCCAGGCTTCACGCCACCGCTATGCTATTCCAGAACGATACCCTCGAAACACAACCTCACCGACGCGGAAGCTGCGATGTGATACATTTAAACACCTACTACTGTTAGCATAGCACGGAACTCAAAATCGGCAAACGTACCTCTTCTGGGACTATTCCCTGGTTGTACAAATACTTTCCTAACCCTCTCACCACTTCGATTTGTTCTTCAGGGGTCAACCCCACAATGACAGTTTCGATAACACTGCCGACACTGGTTTTGTACACGGCGATGAAACTTTGATAGTACATGTATGAGAACAGTCCCATGATGAATTGGCAATCCATTCGGTCGGTCATTCCTCCATGTCCAGGAATACTGTCGCCAAAGTCCTTGATCTTGAATGTTCTCTTCAATCCCGACGCAAAGAACCCTCCGAAAGGCGCGATCAAAGACGCAAACGTGGCAAAGACCAGGATGTGGAATTGCATTGGCGCGATCCAGAATGTGTGATTCAATCCGACCCATTTCCCAAGAACATAGGGTCGTGGGGTAAAAACAGGATTTGGTGTACATTTGAGACCTGTGTAGATGTTCGCTCCCAGGTCATTGACAGGACAGATAAAGTATTTGTAGCGCATCAAGATGTTGCACATGGCGAAGCCGAAGATAATTGTGCAAACCCAGGCTCCCACAAATCCTTCAACGGTCTTCTTGGGAGAAATCTTGATGAGTTGTGTCCGACCAAAGGTGATTCCACAGATGTAGGCGAAAATGTCGTTGGTGATTACCAGAGACACCGGCATAAAGAACCACATCATACCCTCGAAAACGTTGTTCATCATAAAGTGTGCTTGTACGACGATCAAATATAGCGCCATGTGAGTCCATGCAAATTGGGTGAATTGGAATCGGTAATGGCCCTTTTTCAATGAGGCAACGAAGAAAACAAACCCTATATCAGTCAGCAAAGTACAACAATCTTTGAGAGCCACAAACCGAAGAGATACATCATGAGACTGATGAATCGGTGGTGTGTTGCGAAAGGAAGCAAAACCCTATCCACCAGGAGGATATGTTTGAAGTAGTAAATGACACTTTCGCCGTACAGAAAGTACATTGTGATTGCCAGGAAGTACCAATTCAATGCTCGAGTCAATGGCAAGTTCTTCTGTTTTGTTGGAACTTGGGCGATCGCAATGACTTCCTTGAATGATACAATCTGTACTATAGTGATGATCATGAGGATGTAGACATGCCCGGCGAACATGGCGCCAAAGAAACCCCCGATCATGGCCAATGTCCATATTGTTCGTGTGATGAATGTCGCCTTTTTCTTTTCATATTCCGAAGGTTCGACTGCTTTTGCTCCTTTGATCAATGTTCCGTTGCTGTCTGCCTTTTCTCTGTTTCGACTGGGAGGATCGGATACGGTTTCGCTCGAACTGGAGGACTCCTGTCGTCGACGGTCGCTCGCATTGGCATTGCCATTACCTCGATGCTGGAATTTGACCGATCTTGGTTTTGTCATCTTGATTGAAGTCGTGTGTCGCAGTTGAATTTCCAGGAATTCCGGGTGGACGATCGAGATAGGAGGTGGTGATTTGACACGTGCTGTTGGGTGTATGCCCAGCGTAGGTCAGCTTGCACGAAGCTTGTTCCACGTAACGCTGGAACTGCTACCTGACGCGATCAAAGGCAGGACGACGTCGTCGTTGATTACGAAACTGCCTCAATTGATCGGATGTGAGGAGTTACAAAAAAGCCAAAGTTGGAAATCAGGCGCAGCGAAGCAGAGCAAAGCACATGGCTGGGCCCAAGAGAATTTGCGTCATAAAGTCTGTTACTGTACAAGTAAGTCACTTCGGGCATAATTTGGCCGGCGAACATGCACAACTAAATTGACGCTTGACGTGCATGCGACCCGCACCGTGTCGAGGGGAAAAGCGCGTCAACACTTCGACTCAGATACTCATTAACGACAACGGTGTGATGATATTGGGCAGTCTTCCTGATGGAGGTCGAAAATGAATGGCATGGACGACAACGAAGACGAGACAGATCTCTTTGATGATGATTTCGACGGTTTGTCCGAAACCGCTCTTCAGGAATTAGAACAACATGCATTACTCTCTACACAACAACAGATTCACATTGGGGCGAATCCCGCGCAGCCCGCTGTTCGACAGCCGCAACCATTAAGATCCGCCGATTTTGCAGATGACAGTTTCGAAATAGTAGGCGACGAAGGAGTGCCTACACCTGCCGAAGAATATGATGCCTACCCGCTTCGCCGAGAGGCAGCAAAGGCTACTCCGCGAGAACAATTCCGTCAACACAGGTACGGCCAGGCTTATGATGGAGTGCAGAAGACACATAATACCACGGCGAATACTATTCAAGATGAGGTGATGTTAGACATTGGGGAAGATCGAGACGCATTTCGAGGTGGGGTCGATGAGTTGCTGAGAGAGAGGAACAATCTCACACGAGAGCTGCGAAACGTCAAAGATGCAGCACTCATGCAGAAGGGGGAAATCTCCATCATTCGAGCCAATTTCGACAAGGAAAGCAAAGTTTTTGACCGACAGATTGGCTCACTGAAAAAGACCATGGAGGAGGAACAAGCCAGACACACAGCTGTAATGAATGCAATGGTACAGAAAAACAATAATCTGACCACGCAATACAATTTTCTGCAACAAGAACACCAACAGGGTTTGCAAGAGACGAGAACCCTCAAACAGCGTCTGAAGGAGAGGCCACAGTCTGAAGGGGGTCCTGTTACAACACCCAAGCATGGTGTGATGAGTTCGCTGAGGGATGGCTTCGAGGATGACGATGTCATGGTCGTGTCGCCTTCAAAGTCGAACCGACGATCGAAACCTCCCACTCCGAGCAAAAGAAAGCGAAAGGCTGATGGAACAAGTCCTATCAAGCCACTAGTTTTGCGACCAACAGCTCCCAGTACATTGGAGAAACCGGCACAAGAAGCACCACAAATGGAACGAGTGATTCAAATAGTCAGGAAGGACAAAAGAGCCGAAAAGAATCTACGATTCCTCCAGTCAATCCTTGACTATCGTGCTAAGGGACACAAAGAACCACTCTTGGAATCCTTGGTTCAGTTTTCTCTGCCTTCGAGTCCAAAGACGTTCTCGACTATCTTGCTTGAAGGTACAGCACACTTGAAGCAGGATCACTTCTGCGGCGACCTTTCACAGATATTCATCGACCTGTGGTCGAAGTCAATCAAGGAACAGTATTACCAACCTATTTCATTGCTCGTCGAGGTTGTCAACCATCTCATCGACGCCGATATGACTGCGGTAGATGCCGGAATCGTCACTACATTGACTCCTCTCCTGCAATCTACTGTTGCCATCAATGCAGAAAAACGGGTTAAGCACTCGCCAGTCAATCATTCCACTTTTGGCAAGTTCCGACAAACTCCACAATCAGTCTTGAACCATGAAGTCAAGAGTACGCCATGCCTGGAACTTCTGCTGACAATGGCATACATCATCTCCGACGACCACGACTTGCTTACCCTTTTCTGGCGCCTCGTCAATCCCGAATTTGTCTTGATGATGCTGAACGCCTGGCAACCAATTGCGGACATTACACTAATCCTACGCCTCCTGGCAACCAGCACTTTCACACAAACATTCGGCAGCATCTGTGTCAATGACCAACAAGCACAGATTGAGCAGCACATCATGAACCGCATTTGCTATCTTCTATGGGAGACTCCCAAGGTCGATGAAGGTCTACCACCAAACACAGCCATCGAAATTGCTCAATTTCGCGTGGAGGTGATGGATCTTCTAGTCAGAGTGGCCATTTCATCCTCGGCCCATCCTCACGACGACCCAACCCACCACGGCAGCCAACTGATCGCCAGCCATCCGAGCGCCATTGCCCGGATCGTTCGAAGTCTGTACGACGAAGTTGCAGCCATGTACGATCTCACGCCGTCACACGCTCTGCATGCCGAGATCGTGAACAAGGGTATCCAGGTTCTCTTCCGCGTCTTGGAGTTGCACGGTTCGGAGGTAAATTTGCAGGAGAAATTGTCGGTCATCAATGGTGGAGTGCACAAACATCGTGTCGTCCTGACGAGGCTGGCTTTCTCCGAAGGCTTTTACATCGACCGATTGATTACCGATGATACTGTGGCTATGGCGACAAGTATGCTGGAAGAAAGTGTCACACCTGATGAGGCTGATGAATTAATCGAGGCTTTTCCCGGGTTTAAAGGACGAGGACATGCTGCAGATGATGAATGACGTTTTAGTCTGGTAGATGATTGCATAGCGACGGCGTTTGGACATGTTGGACATAGTGATTGTCCTTTGAATGACACGAACTTAATGTCAGTGTCATGAAATAAGTTTAAACATTACTCTAATCGTGATCTCGTAAATAGTGCCGAAAGGATAGTTCACTGCGGAACTTGAATCGTATATGGCAGTTCGTGCCCATCTCCCGGCCTCGCCAATCGAATGACACTACCATTCGACGACCTCGTCCTCGTTCTATGTGGCCTCAAATCCGACGAAGTGGTCGAGCGTAGGGATTCGCTTGCGTTGCTCGGATTGCGACTTCGTCTTGACGTAGCAGACACCATTCGTGAGCTGAGTTGAGGCCTGGACCGTGAACGCGTTGCTCTTGTCGGTGCCGTGCGTAGCGAGTGTGTATCCGTCTCGCCCTCCGTGTACACACGCTCAAGCGACGACAAAGATGGAGCGGAATCCTCTGACACACGACGTGGGATTGTACCATGGTATCGGACAGAGCCGCCATCTGAGAACGTAGAGGCTGCTGACGTTGTTGGATTGGTTTGTTGTATGCTCGAAGTGTCTGACGGCTCGTCGAGATCGTCAAGGTCTAGCATTTCCATGTCCACTGGCGTCATGTTTCGAAGGATTTCAGCAAACATGCGCATTAAGGCTTGAAATTCGTCTTCGGTAACGGGCTGTGGTGAATAGCGCGCTCGCTCGTAGGCTGCGAGAAATGCAACGGTAAGAGACCTATCCGGTACGACACCCAGCTCAATCAGATGTCGAAAATATTGACGCATACCCGTTGTCTCGGGTCGAGTAAGTTCATCAATCACCCTCGGATTCGGACCCTCCTCGAGCGGATCAACAGGCGCGAGACTCACTGCCTTTGCCTCAATCAGGTCGATCAACTCATCAATCACCGTCGAGTACTCCAGATTAGGTAGGTCTTTTCCTGCGGGCGACGACCACCCCGGGTGTTCAATCTTTCCCCATGTCGGTGCGACATTTTTGTTCGAGCTTGTTCGTGATTTGGGAAGGGCTAACATCCTCGTGTAGCCAACGACCGTGTCGTGCTCAATTCTTTTACTACGTGGACGCGCTTGGTATGCGATCACAGCACTCCTTTCCATACATTCTTGGATCAATCGATGTACTCGTCGACCAGGTAAATCCTCCTTTTGGATGGGCATAAACGTCTTGGGAATATCTTTGAGTACCGTACGGTTCGTATAGATGCGGGAGGCGTAGATGAGCGACGCGATAAGTGCGGTGACCACATAATCGCCCGTTATCAGGAAGAGATCGCGAAGGCGATGACGCTTGTAGGACTCATAGAGGGCATCGGCGGGAGTGACGCAGATGAAAATGATGAGGAGGAGAAAGACTATTGTAAATGAGGTACTGTAGAAGATGCGAAAGACGATCTGGCGTGCTCGCGGCATGGCGCCAGTATCATCGTGATTATGAGGTGTCGATTAATGTATTAAATGTATTGGTTAGACGACCAACTGGGAAGAGTGTTGGACGAAGAGTCGAAGAGTCGAAGAGTCGAAGTTGATGATCGTCATCTAAACATGCCAAGCTCCGGGGATTAAGCATAAATGTGGAGACCTAATTGTACATCCGCACTCCAGTGACATTGATTGACAACCTCCGCGGTTCTCCATCCTCTATTGGATACGATTGGATCTTGATATCGTGGGTATCGTCTTTTGTCTGCCATCGTTCTTTGAGTACCTCAATATCTCTCTCACCTGATGACCGCAACATCTGAGCCACGAGCAGGGAATGAGACTGGGTGAGAGACTGGCAGCCACAGATGAAGGAATGGTATCTACAGCAATTGAAGTCATGGACAGGAGTCTGCTATTGCACGCGAGGAACAGCTCGAGTGTCCATAGATAAGCAGAGGCATACATCATACATGGTGCTGAAGGTTATCCCCCTGCAACCTCCTGAACACTCACAGCCTCGTCCCGTCTCCTGAAACATGCCAAGACTGTTTGGAACATTTGCTCCGCCCATGCGCAAGGCTTCGTTCGTGACTACGATTTCGAATCTAGATTGAACTTGTTGCTCGAGGAAGTTTGACTGGAGAAAGGGAACTAGTCAAGCATTGTCACATACAGATCATCCACTAGTCGCCTCCCGTCCCGTCCACGATGGCCGAAAAGTCCCCACCGTCTTTGGCTGCCGTCGCAGTTTCATCACTTATTCTCGGTCTGCTGGCGGGCTACTTTCTCGGTCAAGGCTCCAGCATTGGCCTCTTTGGTCAAGGAAATCCTGGTGACAAGAAAAGCTGGCCCAATAGCTACGACGTCAAAGTCCATGCCGACTCAAGCGACGAACAGGCGGACGATGAAGACGAGGAGGAAGAAGAAGAAGAAGAAGAGGAAGGCGAAGGCGATGGAAACGAGCTCAAAGACTTTCGGGAGTCCACAGAGGAAGTGAAGTTGGTGTTGGCAGTGAGGACGGATCTAGGGATGGGCAAAGGTATGTGTTCTACAAGACTGAAGAAAGTCGACTGACGGTCTCTGCAGGGAAGATTGCAGCACAATGCTCTCATGCCACGCTAGCATGCTACAAGTATCTGGTCAACCATCCTCCATCGGCACCTTTGCTCAAACGTTGGGAATGGGGTGGACAACCGAAAATCGCAGTACAAGCCAAGTCTGAAGAAGAGCTGGAAACTCTGCAAGCACAAGCATTCAGTCTGGGTTTGTGTGCAAGAATCATCCACGATGCTGGTAGAACACAGATTGCTGCTGGTAGTGCGACAGTCCTTGGGGTGCTCGGACCGAAGAGTGTCGTCGACCAGGTCACTGGTGGCTTGAAACTGTTGTGAGCGAAGATTGTGCAGCATGGACACCACTGAAACGGCAGAGAATCGTCGACGACTTAGTGCGCCAGAAGACGAGCATACTGGCATCATTCCGGTCTATGAACCTCGCTTACGAAAGTCAGCGACCATATGTGAACGATGCAAGCGTGCCAGGCATGACTTGACTCGATAGCACAGACTCACTGCTATTACTTTCTTCTGCAGCGACGCAGAGATGCATCACCTAGTGATTCTAGCATCAGGAGAAGATCACCAGACACCGGAACGGACAGTACATCGTTCACTCGACTCGAGAAGAGAATGCCTTGCCATTTACAAATAACTCTCTCGAGTCCCCTTCTCGTCACTCCTATAGATGGCCTCAATCATCTTATGCCTCAAGAGAGCATCCTCAAATGTCGTCACGGTTCCCGAACCTTCTCCCGCATATGCATTCCACGCCTGTCCTACATTATACGAAAATTCTGAAGGGGCCTCAACTTCAATCTCCTTGAGCTTGGCGTCCTTCTCAGTGGACACGAACTTGATGGTGGGATGGAACATCTGGACGTGTCCACTACTTGCCTCCAGCACAAGACTGCCTTTGGTGCCGTTGATCTCCCAATAGAAGTTGTGGCCTGTTAACGACGTGGCGGGCTGGTACACCACTGTGGCGACACCACCACGTTGCAATGTCCCTGTGAGAGCCAGATGATCATGCGAGGTCTTGTCGGCTGTGCGGAGATGTTTGCCCGCATCGTCAACGACGTCAATCTTGGGTCGATTGTTTGCCAACGTGGCTTGAAGGTCCTTGAACTCGCCGAGCACATAACACAACGCATCAACGGCATGACCAAAAGGAATAGTCACCAAGTTGGCTCCATTCTCAACGGGGAACATGTACTCAAAGTAGGGTGTTGCTTGAGGACCGAAAAGACCGCCATGTCCAGTCATGGTCGTGCCCAGAATGTCGCCAAGGTTGCCGTTGAGCACCAATTCCCTGGCCTTAACGATACTTGGGTCCTGTCGTGCTTGCAGGCCAACAAGGTTCTTGACCTTGTGGGATTTTGCCAGGCTCGTCAGTTCTTCAGCTTGCTTGAGGTTGGCCGCGAGAGGCCACTCGATAAAGATGTCCTTGCCGGCTTCCAGCGCTGGTTTGGCAATCTCGTAGTGATCGGGTACTTTGACCGCAACGGCTACCAGATCCACATTGCTATCCTCGAGAAGAGAATCGATCTTGTCATAGTAGGTGACGCCAGAGAGGTTGTATTTCTCGGCAGCTTTCTTCCCTGACTCTACGCTGCTGTTTAGCAGTGCCACGATTTCGTATTTGTCGGTCTTGGAAAAGTAGGGTAAATGAGCACGAGAGGCCCACGAGCTGTTCTGTGTCAGCAAAGATATGCAATCGAACGTGTGCGAACTGACCCTCCTGCAGATAAGCCAACTAGGCCCAACTTGATGGGCGCCATGGTGTTGTAAAATATTTAAGATCTATTCGAATGAATACGAGATGGCGAGCTTGATATATAGATTTGTCATCCGAATATCCGGGGAAGCAAGTGCGCCGATCCCAGCAGAACTGCCGTAACAGCCCCACGTTCAATGACGAGGTTTGGAAACCTCATTCACGATTGGCCTGCGCCCGTATCAAGATATTAGAAGTCATTACCACATTTGGTAGATATCTCGAGCCGGAGGTGACGGATGTGTTCGAAACGGCATCGCATTTCAAGGATCCGGCCGATGTTGGTCGTGTAACGATGCCATCAACTCAGCACTTGTATTTCGCAGCCGCTGCTTCACTCGACTCTTGATATTTTTTTTTGTATTTGTTAAGCAGCTCCAATGAGATCTTCGAACCGCCGCAGACGATGATGACCACCTTAGTCTCGGGAGAAAACTTGCCAAGGTAGTGATTTAAACGTCCATCATAAGCCAAGGCGACACTCACTCCGCAGGCAGGTTCGACGAGATATCGTTCATCGTCGAGAAAGCGCCAGCACGCCGCACAGGCTTCGGCATCATCAAGGACGATAGGCTTGACATTGGGCCGCTGGGCTTCGCGAAAGGCATGCTCCGCGACTCGAATGGCACCCAATGATGTCGCGACTGATGTGATGCCTGGAAGAGTGACCAGCTCACCATTGGTTACTGACTGTGCCAACGAGTCTGCCCCCAATGTTTCGACCGGCAGCACTTGGACATCTTCACCCCATCCGACACGATCCAGACCCTGCATGATCCCGGAAAACAAACCTCCTCCACCTACAGAACAGATTATGACATCTGGTCTTTCAGGCATCTGTTCCTTGAGTTCATCAATCATGGTACTGGCGCCAGCCCATATCGCCGGACGGTCAAAAGGATGGATGTAGATGCCTTTCTCGCCGCGTTCCTCGGCTTTGGGGATGACAGTCTCCCGGAGATACTCATCTGCATAGAACCAGCTGTCACCATGGATTATAACCTCGCTTGCACCGGAGGCAAAAAGCTTTTGCACGGTCCAGTCATCAGTACTGGTCGGTACAACGACTGAAGCTTTGTAGCCTAGAGACTTCGCTGCCGTGACACACGCGAGGCCAGCATTGCCTCCGGACGACGAGAAGAAGTGAAGAGGTCTATCATCAGATGAGTTCTCTTTGTGTTGGTCGATACTCGTCAGCACCATATTGCCAATACCGCGTGATTTGAATGAAGATGATGGTTGGAGGTTCTCAAGCTTCAAAAAGATTCGGCTGGGAGTTGTTAGCAAAGAGAACGGATATGCTGGAGAGACCATACCATCCAGCGATCTTTGACAACACGCCTGATTCGAGCAGTGGTGTCAAAATCCATGGTTTAGTAGTTTCAGACATTCTTGCAATGGCCAGCTTTCGTGACTTGGTGTATCCGTACAATTTCTTCTATCTCGAGGGCATTTTCCGTCGTCGATCCTGCCGAAATAAATTCTTTTTATATCACCGGCCTCCCGGAAGCAAAGCACGCCCTGTGACAACGACACGTTGTTCAGTATATGATTGCGCTCAGGAAGGGCCTGATGTTTTATATGAGATACTTGTCGATGCTTCTCGGTTAATCGTAGATTGGATTGGTGGAACAAGTAGGTACTGAAAAATGTACTGTGGTAGACGTACCTCGTATCGAAAATGGAAACGAAATACGAAGATGAATTCTGAGGAGATGAGCACATGGGAGATCAATCAGTCACTTTTGGAGTCATAAGGTCGACGACATCCAAATACCACTTTCTCTGCCTCGATTCATCTATGTCTACTCAATAATACCCATCTTCGCTACCCATCATGGGTTCATCTCCCCTTCCCGTCAGCTTGCAAAGCAAGTTACAAAAGCCTCAGCGGTTCTCCCGATTGAGAGACATTCAAGGCAATGTCAACATGTATGCTCCCCGCAGTCCCGTTCAGATAGGTACCAAGTCTCACACCTTTACAGATTGCGCAATATCGTTTTCGCTTTCTTCTTGTTGCGCGTCTTCCGTAAATCCTTCTACTTCCTCCGCGGTCATGGCCCCATCGGCTCAGTCCTCGTTCTATACCACCAACTTCACAAGACCGCCTACACGCTATTCCTCAACATGCCGGGCGTGAAGCAGCAGGTGTCGAAACAGATGGAGATCGCGAAGAAGGACATGGAAGAAAAGCTCGTGCCTTCAGGACCTGGCACGACCCATTACCGGAGCCTACCAAAGGAGCCATGGACAAAGGAACAACTTCACACCGAACTAGAATCGCTCGCTGCCATGAAGCGGACGAGATGGGAAGAAGGCAAAGTGTCCGGTGCAGTCTACCACGGCGAAGATTCGTTGCTGGACGTCCAAAGTGAAGCCATGAGGTTGTTCAGCGTTGCCAATCCGATTCATGCCGATGTGTTTCCTGCGGTAAGGAAGATGGAGGCAGAAGTGGTTGCAATGGTGCTGGCCTTGTTCAATGCGCCTGAATCGGGTGCTGGAGCCACGACATCAGGAGGCACGGAGTCGATCCTAATGGCCTGCCTATCAGCGCGACAGAAGGGATATGCTGAGCGAAGGATCACCGAACCCGAGATGATCATCCCGAACACAGCCCATGCTGCATTCCACAAAGCTGCCAGTTACTTCAAGATCAAGTTGCACACTGTGGCATGCCCGGGACCCGAGTATATGGTCGATGTCAACAAAGTCAGGAGACTGATCAACCCGAATACTGTCCTTCTTGTCGGATCAGCACCCAACTATCCTCATGGCATCGTCGACAACATCCCAGCCCTCTCCAAGCTCGCGCTATCTTACAAGATTCCCCTACACGTCGACTGCTGTTTAGGTTCATTCATCATGCCATGCCTGTCCAAAGCTGGTTTCCCTTCGCCATGGGCCGATGAGGGTGGTTTCGACTTCCGTCAACCTGGTGTGACGTCCATCAGCGTTGATACTCACAAATATGGCTTTGCTCCGAAGGGAAATAGTTGCATCCTCTACCGTAATCGACAACTTCGAGAATATCAATACTTTGTCTGTCCGCAGTGGGCCGGCGGTGTGTATGGATCACCCAGTATCGCTGGCTCTCGTCCTGGTGCACTCATTGCAGGCTGCTGGGCAAGCATGATGTCAGTCGGCGAAAAGGGCTATGTTGATGCTTGCCACAAGATTGTCAGTACGAAATTGACCATCGAGAATGCGGTCAGGGAACATCCCGTACTGAAAGAAACGCTGCAAATAATGGGTCATCCAATGGTCAGTGTTGTGGCGTTTGATTCCTTCGATCCGACTATATCAATCTACGATGTTGCTGATGGCATGTCGAAACGGCATTGGCATTTGAACTCGCTGCAAGATCCCGCAGGTGTACATGTCGCTGTCACTTTGCCTATGACACGGCCTGGTGCGGTGGATGGCTTGATTGACGATCTTGTGGCCGTGGTTAGTGATGAGAAAGAGAGGGCAATTGAGAGACTCAAGGCTGGTGGGCCGATCGAGACAGGCAAAGGCACCAGTGCTCAATTGTATGGTGTTGCCGGAAGTTTGCCAGACAAGAGTATTGTTGAGAAGATGGCGGTTGCTTATTTGGATACCCTTTACAAAGCATGATTTCCTAATGGCCAGAGGCAGGGAACGGTTGATTTCCCGATCATGCGCGCATCGGAGACAGGACTGACTCTTTTCCCAGACAGGCGAATGATCTTACTTTTTTCTCTCATGCATGAACCCCGCCTGAAGCGAATCGAACCACGTTGCTAGTCGTTATTGGACGATCTAGGTGATCCTGTGTGGACATGCACAGAGCCTCAGACAGGTCATTCGCCATTGGAGAAGATAAAGAGGGTGCCGCTGGATGCCTAGGTGTTACAATGCTCTTCAGCCTTACGGATACGCGACATGATGTGCCGTTTTCTCCTTACTGATCGCGTGTTACTCTTTCCCCCCATGCAACAGCAACGGACATGTGAAGAAGTCTGAAAGCGCATTTCCTTTTGGAACCATATTTCTTGCTCATATCGCATCTTGTAATCGTCAGCATCGATTCAATCCGCTGAAGCATGGCAGAGTCCTTTGCATACGAGGCTGTGAGGTTGATATGTTCCATCCTGCCTGACTGTACCGAAGCAATCATCCTTTTGAAGCAAAATGGCATTCAACTTCGAATCGTGTCGGATATAAGTGATGCCTTGCATCGTCGATTTACAGATGTCAAAACCAGATTGCTGAAAATACTGGAAATAGATCTGTAGTCTAGCAACCATTTACACATCTCGATTCAGCAAGTCGAGAGAGACTCATCCGCGCAATCTTCAAAGGCTCTGCGGCCACCGTTTTTATTGTGAGGCGTAACCTGAAAGATTTAGCAAGTGAGGCTTCCGATGTCAAGATACCATGGGATCAGACGCTCGGGTTTTTGGAGACCTTTGATGGGTGCCTCCAAAGACTCGCTTCCATCGGGACAAGGTGACCTACGAATTGAATTTATTATGCCGAGATATGACTTCTGACTATTTTCCAGATCAAGTGTACGATTTGAGAACTCGGACCGAGATGCCATTGAGCAGCATTCTTCGCGTGCTTTGGACGCCAAGTCGAAGTTCGGTAAGAGCGAGGCACGCAGCCCGCCTCAGCCAGTCCGTCAGTCGTCCAAACATGAAAACGGGGCGCCCAAACAGCCAACACAGGCACACTTGAATTGCGAAGGCTATAAGAGAGGCCTCGAAGAAGGGCGCAAAAAGCATTATGCAGAAGTTTGCGACACACTCAAAGCCATGAACATTGTCAGTGGTGGATCAAGCAAAGAGGGAAACGTCACTTTGTTAGCACAGGCGATCCAAAAGAACAATATCAAAGGCGTCAACCTCTTGCTGGATCTAGGCGCGGATGTCAATGGACTCTCACGAGCTGACTCTCAAGTTTCAAAGAACCTTCCACTATGCCTTGCGTCTGCGAAAGCTTCCACGGACGTCGTGAACGCTCTTTGTGGCAAAAGGAGCCCGGATAGAAGCTCGGAACGTCTGGGGAAGCACGCCTCTTATTTCAGCAGCCGCAGCAGGCTGGATTACGATGGTCAAATGCCTTATCGAAGACCACCACGCTAATATCGAAGCGACAAAGGATTCTAAACCATGGGAGGGTTGCACTCCATTAGCGGTGGCCGCTGCCTGTGGTCATCTGAAAACTCTACAGAGCCTTATAGACATGAAGGCAGACACAGGAGTGCTGAACAGGGAAGGTCAAAATCTTTTACAGATCGCCGCGAATCAGGGTCGTAAAGATATCGTCGAGTATCTTATTCAGACTGGATCTCAAATTGGTGACCAGAACGCCTCTACCAAGGACACTGCTCTACATTATGCCATCAGTAAAGGCCACAAAGAAGTGGCCGGGTACTTGATCGACCGGACGCAATCGATACTCGAGATTCCGAACAAGAAAAACCAGACTCCGTTACACACTGCCGTCATTTCTAAGCGGCCTGGAATGGTCAAATTGCTGTTGTCTCATAAGGTGGAGACAAAAGTCAAAGATGAACTTGGAAAGACGCCATTACAGCACGCAATGGACATTCAGGATGATAACGGGAACGTTTCACTGGCGATATTGGAAGAGTTCCTTGCGCAACACAGACCAGGCGTCTACTTCGTTCGAGATTTCCACGCCTTGTCACATGCGATTCGGGATAACAAACTTCAACATGTAGAGAAGATTGTAGGAAAAGATCCGAGCCTCATCACGGTCTTGCCTGCCTCGGAAAGCGGATTGTACCCAGCGTTGCATGAGGCTGTCAGGAACGGCCGGGCCTCCATCGTCAAACTGCTCGGACGCTGCTCGGAAACAAATCCTAATCTTGCCGACAGAAATGGGCAGACGCCATTGCACCATGCTATACTCAAAGGACAAGACAAAATGCTTGATGCTTTATTGGCGATGGGCGCAGACGTGACCCGAACAGACACGAAGAACGGATATTATCCGCTACACTATGCAGCTCAGCAGCAGAACTTTAGCGCCATGAAGAAGCTCGTCGAAAGAGGTGCAAAGCCAAAGATCCGGATCCCAGGTCCCGCATGCCAGTTCTATAAGGCCAAAGGCATTTCCACAATGGACGCAAGATGCTTGCTCGTGAATCTTCCTGAAAACAAGCGCAAGAAGGAGTTTAATGAGATGAAGAATTTCCTGCGCGATGCTATGAAGCGGTAATCATGCTGCACATTAAAATGACGGTCAGCCTGGCAACAATATGGGAGGAAGTCACTCTGACCCAGAACATCTTCCATCTGGTACGGTAATATCACAATGCAGCAGCAAACCAGCTTCAACAATCTCAACCAGTTGACCCACCTTGTCTGGGGGATATTCGTGGCTTTGAGGGGCCCTCGACAGTCTTCAGCCCGTAATACGCCCGAGACCAACCCCCCGGGGCCCCTGAAAATCATTGTCAGACAGAAACATCGCTGTCGCCATCAGCCGTAGTCCCGACCAGACCAAGCAAACTCTTGACCTGCTCGATCCGTTGCCTGACTCTAGTCGTCCGTCTGCTGGGCTCCTCGAACCACAGACTCGCCTCGGTTTCGGCGTCGGTGAAATGTGCCAACGCTTTCTGAAGATGTTTCTCTCGTTGGCTGAGCTGCGACTTCGATGATGAGGACGAAATTGGCGTTGACTGTCCTGTGCCTTGACTGCTGCTGCCATTCGACGTTGAAGTGCTTGTGCTCGAATGGCATGAACCATTGCAGCACGTCGTGGTACTCTTGGGGCCTAAATGCAGTATGTTCGACACATGCTGCATATCACGAGTCGCGCTACGGTCTGCCGCCGTTCGAGCTCGAAGTTCAGCCTCTTCCGCTAGCTCAGCTTTTCTCACCTCACACCTCCCTAAGCCCTCGAGCGCAGCGAATCTAGTTTTGGCGCGGCCAAACCCCTCCGAAGTGTCAGCCCGCTCCAGTGCTTGTCGAAAGTATTCCATGGCTGTATCGACCCGGTCCTGCTCGAGGGCATCATCCGCGACATTGGTCAGCGTCCAGAGGACATTACGCGCGTTCAGTCCATACACGCATTCCTGGTCGGCCAACAGCCTGGCACGCATGAGAGAGCGTTCGGATTGGAATTCCGTTCCGGAGTGGTAGAGGCCGTCGCACAGTCGTTCTTGGAGATAGAGCGTCTTCCAGTCGTAGGGATTGTGCGTAGAAAGATGTGCCGTGGCTAGTCTTAGACTGGTGAGAACCAGATTGATCAGATTGAACAGATCGGAGGTGACGAGTTGTTGGATAAGGATGGAAAAGTATATGCTCAGGGCATGCGTCGGACCGAGGACGAGTCTCGACATTTCGGCCGTGTATTGGAGAAGTTGGGTCTTGAGACCTTTGAGCGCCGTGTGTTCGTGTCGTGACAATTCGCATATGATGGTGAGCATAAGAGATAGACTCATTGGGTGGTCGTTGGACAGAATTTGCGAAATCACGTCGAAGCCTTTTTGAAAATTGGCGAATGCTTTGTCCGATCTTGAGCTGTATGAAACGCCTGATGCTGAGAACGCGAGCAAGGAGATTCCATCTTGCATTCTGGATGCGAACATGGCGTGGACGGTATGTGCGTGGACTGCTGGCTCCGTATGTGTGAGTGATCTGGCGGAGACGGTGTAGGATGACATGTACGCGGACATGCTATAGGTGAGCTGTTCTAGGGAGTGAAAGGTCTGCGGACGGAGGAAGGTGGGTATTGCGGTGCATGCCAACGTCTTTGGATCCTGGTTATTGGACGAGTAACGCCTGGTCTGGACGACACAAGATGGGTGCTGCTCCTCAGGATGTTCATTCGCCTGGACGTCTGGGGATACGTGCTTTTGGCCGTTCTCCCCAGCGTCCGCCACATTCGCATCCTCATCATGTCGATCACTGTCCGCAGCTTTGGACTCCGGTGTCGTCGTGCCGGTGACAAGTTCGACATCGTCGCTCAAAACAAAGTCGTCGTTCTGCTGTTTGACCCAGTTGACAGGATCGTTGATATTCTTGCGACGAAAGTACCGCAGGAACTCGCTGTGGTCAACGACTTCTCCTCGGATCCTGAAACCAGGTGACATGGTACGCTGGTTGATAACGTGTCTGTCGAGGTATTGTGCGAGAAGGTGGGCTGCCGTACGCATCTCGGGGGATTTGTGGTTGCGACCTAGTTTCCAGCGTCGGATGCGGGTGTGTAGCATTCGCTCACTGGGGTTGAAGTCAACGAAAAGATTCGAGCCAAGTTTATATACATGCATCGCCAGACGTCCTTGTCTGAATGCAATCCTTCAAGCCGGCACCGGGGCCCCCAGCTGAGCCCACAGTCTTCCGACAACTGTACTTCTATGACAAGGCAGATAGGGAAAGTTAGACGTACTTGACGAAGAATCCCATCTGATGCAAGCGTCGTAGCACTTGCGCCAAAGGTTGTCTCTCGTCCGCATACAAAAGTGTTATTGTCGCTCGCATGGCTTCCCATTCCGCATTGGTGTAGGATTTGAAAGGGGGGGATTTGTTCCTTCCTGGAGCCGCCTGGCAGGTGAACGACGCATTGGCATTGCCAAAATGGACATCATGGACCGGTAAGCCTAGAGTAGCCACAGCCATTCTTTAGTTCGTCTTGAGTTTTGACTTCTCTCTAATCGATGGTAAAAGAGAAGTGGACTGAAGGATGAAGCTAGACACGAAGCCGCGAGAAGGTAAGGAAATTAGGTTGTGCTAGATGTACGAGCCCGCCTGTTAGCCTCATCTTGACTGTATATATCGCAGGACGGATCAAGGATGACATACCCATAAGAGACATATCGTCGTAGCCTCGTGCAGCGGGGTGGGGTGCATATCAGGCGGGGCAGTGCCAGTTACACCCTTGTCGCGAGGCGGTGCTTCTGCAGCCTAATGCAAGGTGGTTTTGTTGGCTCAGGCGCTGAGTGATGCTGTCTGGGTGTTCAAACCTGTGGGCAGAGTACATCATTTGAAGGTGCAATGGTTGGTCCGCCTATCGTCGCGACATAAATACTCTTGACAATACACGAGTGTTTGCCTGCTCTTGCTGTAACAACGCTCTTTCCTTCAAACCACGGCGGTCGGGCTCTGGATGTTACTCTTTCTCCCACCTGGTAAAATACTGCCTCCAATCATGCTCCTCCCGGAATTGAAGCAGCTCCCTGACCTTGCGGTTGCTTATTGGGGCCTCTGTAGGCTCTATCGCCCTTGTATGAGGTACATGCGGGTACAACTTCTTGAGAAACTCACTTGTCACAGCCATATTCGTCATGGTAGTATTTGTAGCGTTGAACACCTGAAAGCCCAACCCAGACACCTCCAGTCCGCGATGACACATCAGCCCAAGATCTCTTGCATCCGTGTAGGACCACCCATGCATATACCACTTTTCAGGTTCATGAACGTATCCGTAGAACATATCACTGTTGTATTCGTCCGGTGTGAACACTCGCCCGATTCGGAGACAATAGATGTCGACGTTGAACTTGGCCGCTTAGCTTCTGGCGATCTTCTCTCCACAGACCTTGGACAATGCATATGGATCTGTCGGGTTCACATCAAGCTCTTCATCGATTGGGAACGACGGGTACTCGATGTGACCTTGACCGAAAGCAACGCCGTAGACTGTGACGCTGCTGGCAATGATGATCTTCTTGATGCCGAGTTTGCACGCCGCTTCGATGACATTATGCATGCCTAGGACGTTGGTGCGGAATGTTTCGCTGTCCGACGCGATCATCGGCGTGGAAAGGCCGGCAAAGTGAATGACCGTATCGACCACTCTTGGTGTCTCTGCAGGGAAAGGCTCTCCCAATCCCATATGAGTGTTCAGTGCGCTGAAGACCTCGCCGGCGTTGGTCATGTCGACTTTCATGGAATATACACCGAGGTCTGGCGCTGGCACCAAATCAAGGTTGATAATTTCGTGACCATATTTGAGTAGCTCTTTGACGACATAACGTCCTACCTTGCCGCTTCCGCCTGTGAATGCTATCCGCTTGGGAGGCATTTTGGCAGAATTCGATCGAATCTTGAGGTTGGCAAGATGGCGAAGAGGCCTAGTTCGGTAGAAGCTTCTCAGCCGTCACCCCGCAATTTATATAAAGAGGCATAGGCCCTTCGTTTCAAGTATTCTCATTATCGTACCGACCTGATCATTGCTTCCCAGCAAATCGCTTTGAAGCAGTGTCTGATCATAATTATACAACTGTGAATTGATATCGACCGGCAAGACTTGTTACCAGCTCGACCCCTTGAATGCGTCTAAGAGATACTCCATCGCTCGAGATCCCAAACCCTCCGGATCCCCTTTTACCCATGCCGAATAAACGCCCAAGTCTGTCTGTAAAGTGCTAAACGTTGATGCTGAAATGGAGTGAAGATGGACAGATGTTTACATGATGATGGAAGGAACCTCGACATTAGCTTTGATGCTCTTGTGAGGCAAGACACTTCCACCATTGACGTAAATCTCGTCACCAATGGTAACATCATCACCGAGAACAGTGACATTCTCGAGACGAGCCCAGCGACCGACGGTTGATCTCCAGCCTGGAACATCATTAGCATTTTTATCTTGCATGCACTCTGCTTTTACTCACCAACAATGGTTGACTTGATCCAGGCGTGATCCTTGACCTTTGAATCCTCGAGGAGCACACATCTTTGCAGTCTGACACCATCACCAACGACGCAACCAGGTCCAATCGTGACATTGGGTCCAATGCGGCAGTTCTTGCCGATCTTGGCTGTAGGATCAACCAAGACATTTCCGCCGTAGACGTATGGCTCCGAAGGAGACACAAGAGCCTTGGGGTTGTTCTTTTGTAGGGAAGAGAGGTACAAGCAAGTTCCGGCGATGAAATCCTTTGGTTGACCAACATCCATCCAGAAACCCTCAAGATCAAAGGAGTGTAACAGACCATCTTTGCAAATGGCTGGGAAAGTTTCTTGCTCAATGGACGTGGGTCGAAGTTCGATTCTCTTCAAAATGGAAGGGTTGAAGATATAGATACCGGCATTGATACGGTTGCCGACGAACTCGACGGGCTTCTCGACGAAACGGTCGATACGGGAAGGGTGGTTTGGCTTGTGGACAATGACACCGTATTTGCTGGGCTCTTCGACCTTTGTGACCACGATGGTACCCTCTTCACCGTGGGAGTCGTGGAACTCGGCAAGCTGCTTAAAGGGGTACTCGCAGATGACATCGGAGTTGAGAACGAAGAAAGGCTTGTCGTCCTTGCCCAAAATCTTCTCGGCAAGCTTGAGAGGACCGGCGGTGCCCAAAGGTTCGGACTCGACCGAGAATGTGATCTTGACGTTGTACTTCTCTTCGTACTTCTTGAGAGCATTGGTCATGACCTCGGGCCGGTAGTTGACAGCAAGGACAATGTCGGTGACACCAGCTGCAGCTAGAGCCTCGACTTGATGCAGAATCATGGGTCGGTTGGCGAACTCGACCAAAGGCTTAGGGAGGGTGAGGGTGAGAGGTCGAAGTCTCGTGCCGAAGCCACCGACGCTGCAAGAGGGTTAGTTGGAGTTGTCGACAGGTGAGAGACGACATACAGAATGAGAGCTATGGAGTAAGTTAGCAATTGCCGGTCAAGAGGGTGGTGGTAGACTTGCCTTTCATGTTTGCTGAAGGGTTGTTGAACGAGTGGAAAGAAGCTGAAGCGAATGTAGTTGGTGCAGGACGTTGATGGTCAAGAGGTTCAAAGAAGAGAGAAAAGAACCGGAAGAAGAGAAAGGGAGTGATATAAAGATTGGTACAACAAGGTGGTGTGAAGGGAGTAACAGTGGCAGCAGCCGCAACACAATTGTTTGGTTCGACTCCGTTCCGTACCTGAATCGACCTGACCTGACTGCGGTCTTGCGCAACTCGAGCCACAGTTTCCCTTGATTTTTTATGGTGGAGAAACTGTTAATTTTATCGATAACCCGGAAATGGAGCTTGTCTGACACGACACGTGTCACCCTCCACGCCTCATGACCGCCATTAAGCGAAAGGCTGAGTTGTCTGTCAGACAAACACTTCAATCTCGGGGCTCCTGAAATCTCCCGGCACCAAAACTCTCCCTCCCCCCTTTCTATCAACCCACAAGAGTACCAATTCCACATGGCCACGCAGACGGGCAGCCCATCGGGATTGGTTACATGGATCAGATATGCGAGATATACTGGAGATTAACACACCGAGGCGTCAAGCCGATGCGAGTACTCTCTACCGGCTGGCTTTTCCTTTTTAGCCTCCGGGTTTGCAGCGGAACGAAGGCCATAAATCGATATCCACGGCGGAGACTAGAAAGGAGGCTCCGGTGCACACTACCATGTAGTTCAGCCCTCCTTGCGCCGCAAGACCGGATACCCAGCTCTAGAACATGCATCCGCAGCAGAAGGTCAAGGAGAATAACTTACCTAATTCTTGAGGTTGTCATGCCATGTCACGTTGCAATTCAAGGCGCGTAAAGTGTCACACAGCCACAGAGCACTCACACTTTTTCGCCGCTCCCAAATTAAGTGAGACATAAAAGTAAAATGTCGCGCCCATGTCACCGAGAAGCCTTCTTTTCCAATTGGATCTCATTTAACTACATAGCTATTTGATCGCTTGTCAAAAAAGTAACTCAGCCTGATCAACGCTGTCATAACCTCGTGACCTTTTTGGCGTGTACAAATACAGAGAAAAAAGGGGGTATTCGCCGCGGTGGTCCGTGTAGTTCCCTAATGGTATTACAATGCAATGCAAGTGGACAACATCACTGTGACTGTGTATCCTCGGGCAAAAATCCATAGTCGTGACCTCCTCTTCGCCGCCTCGATGTCGATCGGTCTCGATCCCCTACAAACTCCATCATCCAGTCTCTAACCTTCTTGACTTTCAACACCTGAGGATCTTTCGCCGTCCGAAGATTCGACAGGGTGTAAATCCCTCCAATATCATCGTCGTCGACTTTCTTGCGAAACAAAAGATCGATCTTGGTCACATCGCCCTTGAGGCTCTGTCCATGGACTTTGCCGCGGAACGAGCTCAGCGCAACATTCTGCAACAGCACCACATCGCGCGGTCTCATAAATCGTAGTGATCTCCTCAGAATACTTCGTGACCCTTCCGGCGTGGCGTGCGCACCGTCCTTCCAGTTGACGTGCATCTCGCGTGGCAGCCACATACTGATAACGAAACCCGTTTTGGTGTTGTCGCCCACAACCATCTCGATCAGTTCCGTCTCGCGTGGTCGCCCATATTTTGTCCCCGTCACCACCATTCGTGGCGGTGATATCGATAGAATGCCGACAATCAGGTTCACGGTCATGGTCTGCGGCTCTATTGACGACAAATACCGCGCGTTGGGAATATCCTCTAGGTCGCTTAGATGTTTCGGACGTGGCGCTTGACCTAGTCGTGGTTGTGAAGGGCTGCGAATAATTCCGCCTCCCGAGCCGGGCGTCTGAGGAAACATTTCCTGATTGCTTTCATAGGTCGGCGTGCCCGGCGTGTAATCTGAAAAGCCGGATAATTGTGATGACGGAATAGCTGTGTGTATAGAATATGAATGCTCGTAGTAGTCTGATAGCGCCTCGGAAGTGGTTTCGGTCGATCCTCCTGAAGGTTGCGATTCGTCGCAACTCACATCGCTCCCGGGTGTTTGCGTGCCGACATGCTCTTCTGCACTGAAGAATTCGGCACCACTACGATCGACATCGTCTTGAGTCGGTCGAGGTTCGATGTTGAGTTTGGGTAGTATCGGTCGCATCTGGAGTTTTGCGTTGGTGATTTGTCTCCATTGAGCACCAAATTGTGATGACGGTGAAGTTATCGATTCGACGTGCATGGATTTGGGTAACAGAGCTTTTTCGCTCCAGTCGAGCTTGTTGGACTCTGGGGCTCCCGCGAGGACAATCATCCGTGTCATGCGAGCTTGTAGAAACTTCGAAGCTGTGTGGAAGGTGAATTCCAAGCTTTGCGACAGCTTCAAGAACTCAAGTTGTTGTAAGACGGACTGGTGGCGGATCAAGAAAGGTACTCGAGGTAGCTGTACCTTTTTTTCGATCCCATCAGCCTAGCCTTTTAGTGCCTGTCCTAGCGCTGGACAGGGGATGATGACCGATGACCAAAATTGAACCACTCCGCAAACCCCAGGTGAGCGAACGTTGTTAGGGTCGTGACGATCGTCCTCTTTGGAATTTGTGGCGTGGTTCGATTGGAAGGCAGCTACCAAGAGTGACGATGAACGAGGAACAATGGATATTTTAAGATTTCTGAAGACGTTCCTGTCGTGAAGTTATGTCTATCCATTTGTTGAAAACGATGACTTAAAACCGTGTTTCAATAAAGGGTTGGGACACGACCATTGGTCCCCGACATTGTTTAGCTCCCGCTTGGAATTTCTCTCCCCAGAATTTTCCCAGAGAAGACGCGATCAAAAACAAGATTAATGGGGGAATCGACCCGTGCGGCGGCAAAGTACTTACTTACAGGTACCAAATTCCACGATCTTCTGTTCCCGAGTGGGTGGCGTCCTGATCATAACGTGTCTATCAATCTTGTCATCTGACCACTTACGAAAAACGAATTACGTACGACGTACGGAGAACAACCATCCGCATATTCAAGCTTCAGGCAGCCGCAAAACATTTACGACTGGACAGACAACACGTCGATTGGTTATCAAGAGATTCAAGGATAGTGACTGCCTGATCTCATACCTCGTATTCAAGTTTCATACCTTGATACCTCGGCTGATTCTGATTCTGCGTTGGCGATCATCCGTCCAGGGCAGTGACGGAACTCCGTTATGCAACTTATGCTAGATCTACCAAACTCCACCTATCGTTTGTCTATGTCGACGTCTTGTCTTGACTGTAAGCCGAAGATCATGTCGCAGTTGTAAGAGTAAGCCTGTTTTCTTTCCCTGTCATAACTCCATGCTCGTCGCTAATGCTGGAATAAAGGTGCTTCTCTAATCATCAAACTTGAATCCTTTACCACCGCTAATATCAATGGGTCCACCGCGGTAGCTGCCACGCTTCTTCTTGTTCTTCTCCTTGGTAAAGCCTTTGCCTCGAGTCACCGAAAGGTCGTTGTATGCACGTTCGGCGTACTCGTAGCTTCGATATGCATTGCTGATGTGGCTGTCTGCACTAGCTTGAGCGGACAGCTGTGCCAGTGGTGTTGGTCGGGCTCCCGTATGCTTCTTCTTGATTACAGGCGTCTGTGTCGCGGTGATCTGCTCTGATGGCTCTTCGGTGTCTGGTGAGTCTTCTTCAGGCATCACAGTTCCTGATGAATCCGACGAAGCCTTCGCGTCGGATGCACTGGCTGGCTGTTCGACTTCGACTTCCTCTTCCTCAGAAGATGATGAGGTGTCATCCGAATCATTTGAGGAGGATTCGTCTTCTGCGGCACACTGCTTGGCTCGTTTTGCAGGTCTGTCGTCGGCTGACGAGTCTGAATCCGACGCAGACGACGAATCTGATGAGCTCGACTCGGCTTTTCGTTTGAGGGTGTTCTGGACGGCAGCCGGCTTTTGTTTCTTTGTGACTGCGACGGGCTTCTCCTCTTCGCTCTCTTCGTCATCGTCTTCATCATCCGCGTCACTATCAGAAGAAGACGAAGATGACGGAGAGGCAGCTCGCTTTTGCGCCTTTGTCTTTTGGACCTTGGATGTCTTTTTCTCAGTCTCGTCCTCAGATGCCGAAGACTCTTCACTGGAGTTATCCTCGTCACTGGCCGACCTGCTTGCGCTTGTGGCTTCATCCTCACTGCTCGCTTCTGACTCGGAGGTGGACTGGTCGTTGTCGGAATCACTTGACTGCTCGCTGTCCTTTCCTGACTTGGCTTTCACCCATTCCTCGAACAGTGTTTGAAGGTTGTCCACATTCTCCGCATTCTGTGGAGCAGGCCACTCCGCGGTCTTCTGTAGGCGCTTCAATTCTTTAGAGAAGGCTTTGTTCGTATTTTCCAATCCATACTCCGTCAAGAAGGATCCAACCAGTCCAAGTACTTCCGGTGCTGGGACGGAAGGACCATTTTTATTATTCTTCTGTTTGACCCCCATCTTTGTGCGCACGAGGTGGAAGGAACAGGATCCTAGTAGATTCACCGTAGGAATCTTCAAGCGAGGAGTCGGTAGGATGGATCACCTCGTTGGAGGAATTAGGTATACGAGTGTAAGAGCACTGTCGAAGTCCTACTTGCTGTTATGTGAAAGTCGAAACTGCGACTGGGAGAAAAATATTTATTTTAGTGATTTGCGGAGGAAGTTGCGAGGCGATTGGCTGAATGGATTTGAGACCAAAAAGACTTAAGTTGACGTGTTGCTTGTAACCACTTAACAAACAATCTGAGGCGGGGTGCACCATTCTCGGGTAAACTAAGTACCTCCTGTAGGTACGTACTCTGGGTGACCTTGGAGACTCAAGTACACTCTTGCTATCGATGCGTCAAATGCCTCAACGCAACCTCCAGCTTCAACGGTGAGGTGATCTATAGCTCCCATCACATGGACAATTGACCTTGCCATCAAAAATGCCTCCGAAACCCTCAGTCCGAGGTGAATACATCGAGACTGTACGTGCACCATTCCGCTTCCTAACCACCATGCGCGAACACCACCCTGATACTTCCTTCAGGAAACAGGGAATAAAATCAGCCGGAAAGCTAGTGTCCTAGGTCCACGACACATCATCCTTGCCGGCAAATGTGTGATTCAACAAGATGTCGTGATCCGCGGCGACCTCGTTCGTCCTCCTCAAGCCAAACCTCCCCCTCAACAAGGTGATCAGAAGTCGTCAACTCAAGATCAAACATCCATACATCTAGGCCGCTACGTCTTCATCAGCCCCGGCTGCACACTCCAGCCTCCCTCGCGTCTCACAACCGTCGCCAATCCCAACGGAGGCGAGCCGCCGCAGATCTTGACATACTTCATGCTCAGAATCTCGGACTACGTCTACATTGGTCCAAATACGCATGTCCGTGCCGCGGAAATCAAGAGCAATGTATATATTGGTGCGAACTGCACGATTGGAAATATGGTCATAATCAAAGACAACGTCAAGATTCTGGACGGGACGGTTCTACCTGCGAATACTGTTTGGGCTGGAGGCACCATCATCGCAGGGAGCCCTGGAAGAGTAGTAGGAGAGATTGGTGAAGGATGGGCAGCAAGCGTTGCTAGTGGCTCTACTGTGGACGAAGGCGTGGGAGTCAAGAGCAGAGAGAGGTGGGCAGCCGTCGGCAACAAACGTTAAATAAGTCGATTTGAAGATACTTAAACAACACCGTCTCGACGATGATGAGTGCTGATCTCATTGATTTCGGATCCGCCTCTCACACGGAACATAACACGAATGCTTCGCCCTGGTCGAACAAGCATTTCCTATCGATCGATCTCAGCGATAAATCCAACTGTAAGGGAAGGCCTTGATGCTTTCTCTCGCACCGGCGCCAATGCCTATGGCAGAAGTCTCACAAACACAAAGGCACGCTCTTCCCGACCATCTTGCGTCAAAGCATGCTAAACCATCCCAGGCATTCCTTTCAGGCCATGCACGCTGGACTGTGGCAGCACCCCACTGTCGACACGAGCGCTAACAATCTTAGCATTTCTACTGCTCTCGAAGACTTTATCGTCATAAATGTTCCAACCCCATCTCGCCGAGTCGCTCGAATATAGAAGCTTCTCTTCAAACCCTCCGACGGCATTCACATCCGATGAAGCCCTTCGGCAAGATTGTTGAATGCTCCTGAAGTGGGCCTGGCCCTTCACCACGTTTTCTTGAGTTTCCTGCTTCTGAAGTGGCAGACTCATCGACACCGGATGCGATCGAAGTGGATGAGGGTGCAAGCAGTAGTCCCCTTCCGAACTGCGATAGATATCAACGTCAATCATCTCCTTTCCATCGCGCTCTTCACAGGGTCCAGGAGTCTCTTGTCGCTGTGGTTGCGGTCGGAGTGGCACCGGAACAAGGCTGGCATGCAGAAAGCGAACCTCGTGAGCCTGATAGATTTGACCTGGGCTCGGAAGGCGTGGCATGTTGTCCCAGCTTTGGGCTTCGACGTCTGATTCCCTAGGGACTTCGCCCTTAATCGAAGTCGGTGTATCTGAAAGATTCACTTCCACCGATGACGTGGTCGATGTTGTTGAAGGTAATTGAACACCGTGTGCGTTGTTATTTTCCGCTTGCTCTGCGACTTGCGCTGCAGATCTCTCTTCGAGCGTAACGTTTCCACACGATCTGGCTGTCACAGATCTAAAGACCCAATTGTCGTCAGCGTCGAATTTGTCGCCGCTGTCAGGGGTGGCTTCTGCTTTTTCGAAATCCTGATTTGAAGCTCGGTCTCTCCGATATAGTCTCAACGACTGCAAAATGGCGACAAGGACAATCATGCCCGTCAAAGTGCATAGAGCTATCGTCGCCGGCTGACTCATCCTTCCTCTCTGCTTCTTTGACTTGACTCGGTACTGGCCTTTTCCCAGGTAAGGTGCAGATACTCCTCCTTCTGCGCGATTCTTGGGGTACAGCAATGTTTCGATGAAAAAGCGATGATAGACTACAAGACTCTGGTAAGAAGATCAGCCGGAGGGGGTTTGCAAACGTATTGTTGACAATCCTAGTGAGGGATCATGAAGAACTTGAACAGCCATAATATACCAATGCTATCCCAGCATCGGTGCGGCAGTGACTTCCTAAAGCCTTGAAGCTCTGCAAATGTCTCAAACACGGTCTTTTGTCAACATACACAGTCTGGAAGAGTCCTTTGTCCATGTCTCCCAAACATCTGAAATGCATTGTGCCCGGGCTTCTGAACCTAGCCATGCTCGAAACATCCCACAAACAAGTTACCAAGCAGCCTCAAAACAGTTTCTGGTGAATGTTCAATCAGTTGAGACCCCTCGCGGGTATCCTGTCTTCTTCTTCTTGACTATTGCGTCGAACGATACCTGAGTAATTCTCGAGGTCAAAACCTTCCGCCTCGCGGGTGTTTTGTCTTCCTCTTTGGCTATCACGTCGAACAATACCCGGATCATTCTCAGGCTGAAGGTCTTCCTCCTCGCCGGTGTCTTGCCCTTGCCTTTGGCTATTACATTGGTTCACACGCGGGTGAGTCTCGAGCTCAACCTCTTCCACCTCACCGGTGTTCTGTCCTTCTGTTTGGCTATTGGGTCGGACAGCGTCTGGGTAATTCTGGAACTCAATGTCTTCTACGCGTCTAGCGCGTAAACGCTCCCCTCGTAAAGGGAACCTTATCGAGGGCCAATGTCTCAAGGCCTGCTGTAGCGGGTCACGGTCCATTGCCCAAGGATACAGTTCACCGCCTCTCCGCCCAGCTATCTGGGACGAGAGCCTGGTTTGCTCCGATAGCCTGGTCCAACCTTGCGAACTGACGCGAAGCTGACGCCGCTGAATCTGGGCTGTTCAATTGGTCCTCATCATCGTCCGTTGCTTCGGCCAGGGCACCAATGCCGGCAGTATCGTGCGCCCAAGGCAATCGCTCGCCGGCGCTGCTCGTTCCTTGGTTCAGAGTTTCAGTCTGGCTAACGGTCCTCGAAGACCGTCGAATCGCTGGCGAGCGCCGCAAGCCTGGCGCCGCCGACTCTTGGCGAGTAAAGCGATCCTCGTCTCCATACACTCCGTCGGTCGAGGCAGTGGGACTAGCATCGCCGGCCGTCCTCGAGCACTGACGAAAAGCTGGCGAGCAATGAAGACCAGTCTGGCGAGTAAGATCATCGTCTTCATTCAGTCCCCCACTCGAGGCAGCGGCAATAACGTCCGTGTACCCATGCGGAGACGCTCGCGGATCGTATCGGCTGTAAGGAGGCAGCGGAAGATGTGCGACCGATGGTAGCAGTGACAGTTCCGCCAGCCTAGCGTGGGTGTTTCCCTCATCGTTGGCGTTGCCGGCAACAGCTGTCTGCAGATGAACAGGTCCGCGCCGGACGTTGACGTTCTGAACGTGGTTCACGTTGTGGGCACCCGTCTGGACGATCGTTGGCGAGCCAAGAGCTTCTTCTTGACCAGCGGGAGGCGTGTATGGCGGCGGTTGTTCAGTCGGCGGTGTAGTCGGTTGTGCAGGCTCTTGTGCTGGCTCCTGTGCTGGCGGAAGTGCTGGCGGGGGTGTAGGCGGGTGTGCAGGCGGGTTTGCTGGCCGGACATCGCTTGCTCCGGCTGTGTTCCTGCCGGGCAGATTGCGTAGCTGGTCTGCCTCGTTTTCTTGCCCGGGTGGAGTGGCATTCGTGGACCGCCGATCGTTGCGTCTTTCTTTCAAGCAGTAATAAGCCAGAGTTAGGACCAGTGCGAATCCACCGGAGCAGATGAAGATGGCTGCGACGACCTCGCCTTTCCCCATGTTGTACGAGTATTTCAAAACGAGCGTCTGATGGACAAAGGCTTGTGCTGTGGATGGCAGTCTCTTGAGAAGATAATGTACCTATTTTGTAAGTGCTGAGAAAATACAAATCTGTGAGAAGAGCAGAGCAGGACATGCCGAAAATAAAGGCTTGCCCTAGGGCAGGTTCTCGCGATGAAGTCTGGTCGAGGATCTCTGAGAGAGGCGTCCGTCGTCGAACCATGGAAACATGTTACCAGGTCCTCAGCACGTCGATGGCTCGAACTATGCTTACCTTGTGGCTCAACCACACAGAATCATGGTATGAGCCGATACTCGGGTCCTCACCGTGCTTGTGTGCGACAGATTTGACATTCCATGTATAGAACGTATGCATGAGCTTGCTCTTGGGAGGGATCCTGCGTTCGACCCCGTGGAAAACATTTCGCAACCATCAACAATGATCGCAACATTGCCACTGAACTTGATGGTGGAACGTTTATACACCTTTGTGACTGAATTTCATCAACAACCAGACAAATTTCATCCGCTTCCTGGCCGGTTCGAAGGCGGTTCCACAATTCACGGCGCTTTGAAAGAAGGGCTGTTGCCCTCGTCATTCGTAGACCAACCTGTAGACTCGAAAGAAAACCTACCGCAATAGAGTGGTTTCACTCCTCATGTGCGAGATGGACCTTGGCTCAAATCTGCTTTGTGCAAAAAGCTTTTTCGGCATTTGAAGGGAATTGCTCTAAGAAAGCAAACTTGATTTGTGGATAGAGTGCGGCAGTATTGATTGTCTTGTGCTTGTTCTGCCGCCTTAGGAAATCGACATTGCGAAACTAGAGGTTGTACCATGGCGCAGATTATTAATCTCGGCAGGACGCCCTTGTGGTTCTTGCTGCTTCTAGTCTTGGTCCTGAACATCCGAGAGCCTGTGGCAGATGTTAGCTTCGAGGAAACATTGTCGACCCTGCTTGCTGCGTGATCGGCCTTCCAGCCGACCTCATCGTCCGTGATATGTTGACTACTACCGAACATGTCATGTCTAGCGTCCCAAGATAGATACCGAACGAATTTACCTTGCCGAGGGTCTCGAACGTTGGTGCTGCACATAAGTCAAGTTATTTTGACGACGAGGATCGAATGACTTGCCACCCCGGGGACCTGGCTGCACAAAATTGAGATTAAACGAAAGTGGTCGTTTCTTTAGACCTATGGAGGGTGCATTGTCGGTCGTAACGAAGAACATGAGCAAAGGATCCGAGATAGGCCATTACCTCTTAGCACATAACGGCAGGAAGAAAGTGAGCTTTCCGGCATGTCATGATCAGAACAAGCCTTCGCAGCGATATCACGAGCAACGACCATCAAGCACTGCACCGCCTGACTGGGATATCAGATGCACATCCGTATGCGCGCGGGTACCGGCGTATGGTGCCTGAGATTGGGATCTGGTGTGGATGGAAGGGTCAGCCGCAATATAAGTTAGGATGCTCCCATGACAGGATTATCACAGGTTTTGGTCAACTGATGCAGACATGCCTTGGTCACCAGAGGCACCAGAAACAAACGAGGTGGGAAGAAACTCAAGCGAGCGAATTGTGGCACAGACCCTCAAGTCCAGCCACTTGGTTAGCTTTGACCATTAAAGCACCGCCACGACCGTCGTCTTCACCGTGCCCTGGATAAGGAGTTCTGAGCGTCATCATTGGTGGCAGGGTGGCCAACAACGCAAGAGTCTAGCATTGCGGTAGACACGCAGGGCAACGACGATCATTGGGGCTGGTATTCTCGTACCTACCAGGTATGTATGTCTCATGAAGCTGAGATAGTCTGCATTTCGTATACTCAAACTGGGACAAGATCATCAAATCCAGTCTTTCAACCAAAGAATGCAATAATCCGGGAGGCAAGACGTTGGTTCAGCGCAGTCCCATGGGATGAAAGACTGCATCCGAACCTTGCATGACCCAGGGGTATGGAACGTCGTGTGCAGCACCAACACCAACACCAACTCTTTGTTCACATGCATTTTTTTATTTCTACCTCTTGGGGTGTGCTCCATAGGCAATGACTACTGTCCATATGACTGGTAGGGAGGAAACCACAAGCTCAACAATGGAAGGCAGGATGGAAAGTTCGCGGGGGAATGGCATTGTGGCTGTGTCGCATGGCTTTTTCTGCTGCAAGAATGGTGGCAGACGTGTGGGTTTCGAAGGGTTGTGAGACTTGTCAGGAGGAGGGAGAAAAGCTGAGACAGGACGGAAGAGAGGTGGTGAGTGGCTGCTGGCAATTCTCCGAGAAAGCAGTCCAAGGGAGAATTCTCGAAGCAGGAGGCGTGAGGAGGTTAACGTTAGTGGCCGCGCGCGTCGAGGCGAGAACATTTGCCAGCGTGTGTGTGTTGGTTTCAGTGTTTCACCAGTCAGAAGTCTTGCCAAATATGGTGTTGGATGATAGACGAGCCTACCAGAGTAGCATTTTTTACGCGAATGTCGGACCCCCCTGAAGCGCGTCTCAGTGTCTCGACCGATGGGCCAACGTGTGGCCAACCAATGTCATCAGAGCCTGGATGTGTGTCAGAGCGCGTTGGGCGGCTGTCTCGACTCGTATAGGCCTTTCGGTGAAAGTGGATGTGAGGGGCAAAAAGAAGGAAGACGCGAGTAGCATAGTACCATAGTATCCTGTACGTGTAGCAGTTCTTCGTTCAGCGCAGGCAAAGAAGAAAGAAGATCTGGTGTTTGATGATGCTGATGGTGCAGGCACAGGTCACACCGCAAAAGAGAAGATCATGGTCATAGTCAGTTGGTCACATTCATTCCATGCGTAGAGACGTTGTTAGCTGCAGATTCAACCCCTTCTTCCCCTGCTTCCGTTCGTTCTTTTGATACTCTCGCCTCACATCCGGGAAAAGCCAAATGATGCCACCTGCCAGGCCGTCTCATACGGACTGGTCAATCGCACTGGTCAGCGGCCCTTTACTTGACCTTCAGGCATGCGCAAGGGTTGAATACGACTTAAAAAGGGATCAGATGGAGTATGTCCTGCAGCCGCCCAATCCGCATACATTTCTTACCAGCCGCCTAGTCGGTACGAAACAAGATCCATCGCCATTGTGCATCTCATTCGGGCGATTCTGAGCCAACTGACCTACATATCTGGCCATCTTCTGGCATCCAGATGGTCCCATTCATATCTACCTGCAAGCGCCCACTCTCCATTGTGGCCATGCCAATTGATACCTATATCCATCAGGCACCGCTCATGAATTTATGATCATCCTTCTTCTCATCTCTGCTTCATCTCCCTTCTCAACAATTAACGCGCCATCTTCATCCCGATAACACGCCATCTCAACTCAGTCACCCCTGTCTTACCCAGGTCAAAAAACATATCAACGCCATCTTGTCAATTCTGGGGCCGGTCTCCCCACCTCATCAAGCCTCTTGGAGCATCAGAGCTTTGGTTAGAACTGAATTTACATACAATCGCAAGAGCCAAGAGGAGGGGACAGCCATCGACAATCCTGTCAAAAAGGCCCCTGCGCTCCAGAATCCAGGGGTTGGTCCAGCCTACCCGTGGGAAGTTGGGAACACTAAGGCACTAGAACCCTAACGGCACAAACCTCAAGCCATCCGCCACACGCTCCAGGTACCTGGAGCTTATCGATCCGCCTATCCACTAGCCTTCAGGGCCTCGGACTGGGACTTCTCCACCTTGCTGCAGTTGCTACATCACTCTTGTGCACTGTTCAGGAGGTCTCGCTCGACAATACGCGACACGCTCAAACACAGGAGCTTCATCCTGGGCCGTGCCCTGGACTTTGCTTCTAGCTACCCGCGTGCCCGCCCTTTAAGTCGACACGGCTATATCCTCAAAAGAGCTCAGACATCTGTCGTCTTGCTGGTCAAGACTCTATTGCACAGATCTGCTCTCAATTAATACCAACCACCTACAGGTGTCAAAAACCTGTCGCAGTGTCCTGTCATTCACTTCACCAGTCCTTCACTTTGATAGCCCAGACCATTGATAAGGGCGACCAAAGGACTCATAACCCTCCTCACCTGGCCATCTATCAGTCACTCACTTCATCTTCTTTCGTTCCAACTTCGTTGACCTTACAGCGATCTTGAAAGAAGTTGACTCTTGATTGAGCCGATAACAGCATACACCATGGAGCCTCATCATACACCAGCCCAGAACCGGGCAGCTCTGGAGGAATTCGTCCGACAACCTGTACGGTCCTACATGATCCAGTATTTGGCAACGCAAGCCTCACAGGTCATTCGATGTGATCCTGAGCCTACACCAGCAGATGGCCTTCTCACTCCTCCTTCAACACCACCCCAGAGATCTTCGCCAGAAGTCGGCCTTCCTCTCCTACCATCACTGGAACAATTCATCAGCTCATTGGTCCACAAGTCATCCGTCCAAGTCCCCACTTTGATGACCTCCCTGGTCTACCTTGCCCGTCTTCGGTCCAGACTGCCTCCTGTCGCCAAGGGTATGAGATGCACAGTCCACCGCATCTTTCTGGCATCCTTGATTTTGGCCGCCAAGAACTTGAACGACTCCAGCCCCAAGAACAAACACTGGGCCAGATACACTTCGGTCAAGGGCTTCGAAGGATTTGGATTTGGACTGGCAGAGGTGAACTTGATGGAGAGGCAGATGCTTTACCTTCTGGACTTCGACTGCAGGGTAACCGAGCAAGACCTCTTCGACCAGTTCGAGCCCTTCCTCGCTCCAATCCGCTTTCAATTGGAGCTTCAGCAAGAGGAGGCAGAGCTTGCTCTCCACCAGAAACAGTGGCACTCTTACCAGAGCTCATACGATTCCAACATCTCATTGCCACCCCCGGCACGCAGAGAGCACATCCTTCCCAGTATGGCAACACCACCTCCGCGGGTTGCAGGCGTCTCCGACTCTCCAGCTTCATACGTCGACGACGATGTCGCTTGTGGAAGATATCCACGTCACAAAGCCAACAACAGCTCCTTGTCACTACCTCCTCCAAGCCACAGACGCTGGCCTTCGCCATTCCGCCACTACAACAGCGGCCGATCTGTATCGCCACCATCGATCCGGGATCTTCCTCCCCTCGTCTCCTCGAGCAGACCTGGAACAATGCACAGCCACTCGAGCTCGCGATCGTCCTCAGTAGCGCCCTCAATGCGATCAAGATCATCTTCCCTTGCACCCACCAGCCGAGGCACACCATATACTGCCTCATCCAACGTTGACGACAGCATCGTGGTGGTCGACCTCACGGAAAGCCCCGATGCTTCCTACCACAGTGCCTACGGCAAGACGATGACAGCAAGCAGACCTAGCCTAAAGGGCCATCAGACCAGCTTCACTGGCGAAAGCCAACAGCCATCTAAGAAGGTCAAGGCTGACTCCACTGTGGGCGGTGTGATCGGTAGAATCTTCAGCACAGCTGCCAACAACTACAGAATGGGAAGAACACCTGTGCAGGTAGCTTAGGAAGCTCGGCACAAGGCTGTTGATTCCAGGCGAAGAACCAAACGGCGACGACATTATCACGGGCATGCAACATGACTGAATGAGCAAACCCCAGGTGTTTGATGACAACCAAACTTGACGACGAACTGCAACTGGCTCACGGTTGCATGTAATGTACTTTTATGCATGGCGACGGCGTTCTTCGAAGACCACAATTGGGGACCTATCTTGGGTATCGCAATGGTCAGCCCTCTGCGAGGCTTTTTCTTGGAAAACAGGATGATACTACTTGTCTTGTTTTATGATTTTTACTTGACAAATGTACAAATAGATGGCTTAGCTCGGAGTTGGATTTCAAAGAGCTGAAAGACCAAAGATGAGCACAATACCTTTATTGGACTGGTTTCCATGGGGTTTTGGAAAGCGAGAAGATGAGATGAAAGATTATGAAGACATGCACTCACAAATCCCTTTTGGATTGTGCATATCAGCAGTGAAGCTCATAGCATTGGAGTTGGACAATCAATTGCATGATATGACCCTCATAAAAACCTGACTCTCCTTTTAATTCATTTTCCCAGTATCTCATTCCTCATCAAGTGGACGTGATCCCCAACCGTGCACCGAGGCGTCGTCATCCTCCAACCACTCCTTTCCGTCACATTTGATTGACCTTCCCAACTTTCGTCATCTGGCTGCGTTTATGCCGCCAGTATTCCTTGTCAGGACTCAGAGGGAGGAGGCCACCTATCGGTAGTCCACACACTCGTAGAACCTTTGTTCGGCCCATGGTCGAAGAACATGGTGTCTCTGTAGATACCGTATGGATTAGGCATAGACGGCGTATCACCTTGAGGACGTTCGGGTCTTCAATGTACGGTCCTGCAGCCCAACTCTTGTGTTCCGTGGTCTGCCGTAGGCCGTACGCCATACCTCGAGGTCGGTATGTGAGATGCTGGGATGCTTGCTGCCGCAGCACAATCGGTGCATCTTGCTCGTACGTACGCAGTCGGACTCGGAAAACGCTGAGCTGGTTCCATGACTTGGCTGAACTCTGCTCGTCTCACTCAGGGTCAGTGATTTGTATCGTCCCGCCACGGACTGAGCAGCCATTGACGCCGTGAGGACCAACCGTTTCGGCCTGTGGCAGAACCGCACCATCTCATGGCAAGAGATTTCCTGCAAGTTCCGGCCCTCTTCAAAAGCGTAACATTGTTTTCAGCCATCGGTCAATCAATCTTGCCATCAGTCACCATCTTGCCTGTCGTAGCAGCCGCAACACCACCCGCAGGAATAACCTCATCTCGCTCCTCGTGTTCACTCAAATTAATCCTCCTCCCGATGCCCAACCTCAGGACACTCGTAAGAACCCTTCCAACCGCCCACCCCGCCACAACCCCCCAAAGCACCGTACAAGGCCACTTCTGCCACTCCCGGTCCCAGTCAAGAGCCATGGGCACCGCACCGATCCACCCGCCGACCATCCCACCTACAGTCCCTGCCCACACACCCGCCTCGTCAAACGGCAGCCACGCAGCAGCCACGTCGCGCCAGGCTGGACTTGACACCCCGTGCGTATAGAAAATTGGCAGAAACCCGAGAAGTGAGACATGCACAGCCAGGACAAGCGTCGTGGGCAGGGAGGAGGTCGGATACAAAGGCGCGCCGAGGACGAGGGCCATGACTGCCAATGGTATGGGAGGTAGGAAGAGCGTAAGGACGAGGGAGAAGAATGTCGGCTGTATACCACGTCAGCACACCACCTCGGTAAGAGGCTCAAGTAAAGAGGACTCACCATGACCCGTGAATTGAAGCTCCCACTCGCAGCATCGGTTTTGCTAGACCCGGCTTTCTTCCTCAGACCACCGCCTGCGCCTGCAGCACCGCTGACAGATCTATTTCCACTCTTCGAAGGTTTCGTAGCAGTGGCAGTCCCCTCCACGATCTTGCCCCCCGTAGTCCCGCTGACCCAATACCCCGCGCTGGGCAGACATACTGCGCAGAAAACGGCTTGTGCGAGTCCAATGACCAGAAGGTCTGTGAGCATAGTCGGAATAGGGTCGGCGACCAGCGCCGAGGCACGGAGATAGTAGTAGACCGGGACGAGCACGGTTTGCGCATAGCTGTACCTCTTCGCTAGCTGGGAGGACAGTAATGGTATAGGAAGCGTGGTCGGCGTAAGCAGACGCGAGGAAGACATCGCCTGCGGTTGAGGTTGTGGGGGTGGGAGGGTTTGGGTGAGAGAGGACATCGCGGACGTGAGAGGATCTAATAAGAAAGAGGAACAAAAAGACAAATAGATCAGAGAATGCAACGCTCAAAGCTTCACGCCATGACAGAGTGTAGGCGTTCGTACCTGAGGAAAAGACAACGTAGACGTTCGAGATGGAAACATATTCGGAGTGGTAGATGCAGGGAGTTGCACGTTCTCCAATTTGTTCATCGTAGCTTTCTTTCTAAGCTTCAGGATTGGCGGAGTTAAGCATCCACCCCCCGGAGAGGTGAGCCTCGTCTGCCACTGGAAAGTGTCTATCAAGTCTCGAATTGTACTGATGAGCAGTTCAGCAGAAAAATTCCAGTCAACAGGTGTTGATTGAGTAGCCACAATGGTTTCCATGAATGCTAGTCAACAGACATCTCCAAGACTACCTTACTTTACATATATATCTCACCTCTATGCACTTGTTATATCAAAGCCATCATCACCATGGCAGGGTATCTCATGCCAAAAAAAGCCAGGCTGGACGCCGACTCAAATGCGAATGGCACTGTATAGCCAACAGAAACGTACCAGAGAAGTGATTCCTCCTTCAGGTCATCGACATCAGGACATATGAAAGCAACACACAATCCTCGACAGTTTGCCAAGTTTGTTCGTATCCAAAAACGTTACGCATGCGAGCAATAGCCTCACACGGCCAGCCGTGGTGAGTCTCGAGCAGTCTCAAAAGTGTTTCTCTCTTCACGTGGGGTCTCGTATACATCTTGGAATCCTTCCTCAGCGTCCGAATCTGGGTCTGTTTCGCTGAATCGCGATACATCGGGAGGTGGATATTTTAGTTGGAAACCCTGTGTCCGATGCAGCGCTCGAGGCGTGGCAGGGCTCGTGTGTGTTGATTCGGGACTGGGAGTTGGATAAGCTTCTCTGATCGTGGCATAGACTGGAGTTTGCAAGCTGGCCACTTCTTTTTGTAGTTCCATGACTTGTGCTTCTAGCCTGATGCGAGCGTCTTTCTCTTCTTTCATCAAATCCAGTAGAGCCTCAAACTTCTCGACAGGAATATGAATAGATGTCGGCGAACAATCCCGAGAGCGTCCTGGTGACTGGCGTCTCGTCGTAGAAGGTCTGATGGTGGCAGTTGTCGCCTTGCTGGCTCGTTGAGGACGAAAGAAATCCTCGTCGGGAGAAGCGAACCGCGGAGATTCTCCTGGAGAGGACAAGAAGCTGACGTCGTTGACGGTGGCTGGAGAGGCGAGATAGCTGGTCTCCAGAGACGGAGGTGAAGTCAACGTTGGGTTCGTGTTGTTGTCCGGGAAGACATCGTGTACCGAGCCGCGGGTATAAGGTAGGTTAGGTTTTGGGATGTTGTTGCCTTGTAGTCGTGCAATGGCGTACTCGAAATCGAACAGCTTGATCTCCAAGGTGTTGACTCTCTGCTCCAGGCCTGTTTTATCCCGGTCCACCTCGAGGCCGAAGTCGAACGCATGCATTGGGTCCGGCCTCGCAGAATCTCGCTCAGACTCTTCTACCGAGCTGACCCGGCCGAGAACGTGTGCCGGGTCGACGGATATTGATTGTCCACTATAAACAGGAACCGGATTCTGCGTGGCACTGTTACGCCAATATGCAATCTCACTTTCGCGATCGCGAGAAGAGATGGACTCGACACCTTCTGACCGCAGCAGTTTGTGAAGCGCATCCGCACTCCTAGAACGACGTTTCAATTGGCCATCAGAGACGTAGTCCTCTTTGACCCACTTCCCTTCATGGTATGCATCTCCATTCGGCGACTTGCCCATAGCTGGTGCGAATCTCATTTCCCGATCATCGAAGACCAGGGTTGGCAGTGTATTGCGGCGCGCGTGCCGTGTTGGATGGGGTATGCTTTGGACGCTCTCTGACGGGCGGTGATTAGACGAATGCGATCCAAGTGCAGTGTCTGCTCTGACGGGCACCATCGGAGGTGGTGGATCTTCCCGCGGTTGATTCTGTTGCTCGGTCACGGGCCGGAGATGGTATGGATCGCTGTGTGCATAGTGATTGGTCTCCACAGGTGCAGACCTATGTCGTTTACTGGTGAACATCCGTTTCAGTGTCGCTCGAAGTCCTCCAGGCTTCTTCTGCGTCAAAGAGCCCTTGGAAGGTATGGAGGACATGGAGCTGGGAATGAGAGACGGGCCCGCGGAGTTGCGAACCGCGGCGTTGACCGGTGCATCGCTGGTATGGCGAACATGGTACTCCTGTGGAGGAGAGGTTCTGCGTGGCCAGGTAGTCTCGTTCGGTAGGGGAGCGAGGTCGTATGCAGATGACATGGCTGGAGTTGGCTGAGGAAACATGTCTCGTGAATCAGTGAAAGGGATGGGGTCGGAGATTTTCAGATCGCCTCTGCGCAAAGCGGCCCCCGTGTTCGTCGTACCCAAGGATCCCCTCGAGCGATGGTTCAGAGAGGGCATGGCGAGTTGTTCGGCAAGGGCACTGATTTTGATCCCTTGACGACGGCAAGAACATCACCGTTCAGTCAACGATGAGCGAGTTGGCGTCATGTCGCATCGCCTGATTGCAGAATGCGATGATCTGGTATAACGACGTCGGCCACCAAGTTCAGAGACTCTCATCCAGAATGATCGTGCAGAAATTCCACACGTGCTGCGATGTCTGCCAGAGGAATGTCAGTCAATGCCATCTTCTCGCTTGCATCCGGATAATTTAAGGAATATGACAAGTATTCCAACTTGCTCTTACCAAGGAGTGGGTATCATAACCCGAATTGTTGGCTACTGAGGATGATTAGAAGTTGAAGGACTGTAGTATCCTTAGTCGACGAGCATTCAATCGCACCAGCAGGAAGTAGCAGTTTCAGACTCCGCGTTAGGTCTCACGAGGGAACTCGCAACGACGAAGATCTAGGCGAGGTGAGAGGCTCGCGAGGGACAGGCTCGGAGATGTGGGAAGATCATGGAAATGAGGTCGCAACTTGTTCAAGTAGGAATCCGGTCAAGACCCAAGACGGAGGGGAAAACGTGTCGCCGTTTCGCTTCCAACCAAGGTCGGCACGAAGGAGGGTTGGGTCATCGACCAGATCCTTGCCACGACATCAGAAGATCAAGACCAAGATCACCGAGATATGGGTAAATCCGCATCGGCGTCGCGGCCACCCGCAAGCGCATACTGGCGTACGGGGAAGAAACGTTAGACTGACATCTTTGACTGACAGGTGGCAGAGTTCCACTGCTTCCTTCTTCGAGATTGATGGGCAACCCTCTAGGTCGTTTCAGTATGGTACCATGGCTGGAATGGCTAGTCGTCTTAGGGTCTGGAGGGAGAGGGTGTGAAATCAAACCAGGGTATATTCGAGAAAAGAGGAAAGTGGGCTTTGAGGCTGCCAGCTGTAGACCAGTCAAAATGGAGGAGTCGCCGGGCACGTTTGGCTCGGGCGTAGGCATGCGCTTAGTTGGGTATAGCTGCCACTGATAGTCTATCTAGGTGTAGATAGTACGGAGTGAGTTACGCCTGGAGCACTCGGAATTTAGAAACAAACCCCTCCATGTCCTCCATCCATGGACACCTGCACTCGGTCATCAAAAGACTTATCCATGATTCATCTATTATTGTTCCTAACCGAAGTCTGCTGCCATCTCTACGGAAGTACAGTACGTACAACCATCTCAATCTGGAGATTCTGGCCCTTCTGTTTCCATGTACGATCGAACTAGCCTCCTGTCAACCAGTTCACGTCAATCGGTCCGAAAGCCAACCAGGACCATTCCCTGCGATTTCATCTCCGACCTGAATCCTAACCGCTGGATTCAGCCAGAAAAGGAACCCTCTTCACACATCTGACTGGATAAACCCTATTTGCCCTGATGCAAGTCGTGGTATATCAAAGTCTCACCGCCACAATCAGAAACGAACCTATTCAGTGTTGCACCAGTCTGGGCCAGTGTCAGTGGTCTCTAGTTTACGAAATATCGGAACGGCCTCGCCGGGAAAGATGGCCAGGGAAGAAACAAGTAGCAAAAGAGCAAGGATTGAACGAAGGAATACGAATACTGCGGCACAGAAACAACCTCGGGTGGCCCTCCCACTAACTACCTATGTAACTAGCACGGGGGACCGCCCGCCCGCTATCTCCCACGCACACGTTTCCCATTGTCTCCTGCCTCGTGACTGGACCACCCCTGCGCCATGCATCGCTGCGAGTCATTCCTAGCGTGGAAGCAGTCCAGAATCGGTTGAAGTCCTACGCATCGAGATTGCCTGGAGCTCGCATCGTCGTTTCGAAGCGACACACCCAATTTGAGACCTAGGTTTGAACAAAGACATGTCGATGCAATGATGTTCAAGAGACATAAAACATTGGAGGTTGATCTTGCGCCAGGATCAAGGTAAGGCTGGCCAACTCTGCGAAGATCCGACAAGGCCGGATAAACTCAGTGTGCACGCTTACGCCACTGGTCTCTGCTAAGGCCCCAGAATGATTGACCAGTGATAGACTATGCTGGGGGCAGTCCCTGCAAAATCGGACGAACCTTGTTCGCACTTCTTTACGTCGCTCTCTCCTCATAGAGCGTATTGTCAGGCTTCATTGGCTTCCCTCACAATCAGATTGACTTCAAAGTGGACGAACACCTCTCTTGGCTACAGAGCGCTTGAGAGATGACAACGATGACTTCTCCGTACCATCATCGCCACCTTCCAAGAGCTGCGTTCTTTTGCATTTGCATACGAACATTCAGCTCGAAATTCGGGCGTCCCGAAGTTGCCGATCACTAGCCATTTACAACGGGGAAGCTGACCGAGCATTCAAAACGGTGAGTTTATGCCCGCGAGCGCATTTTAGCCCCGATGTTGAATTGCGAACAGAGTGCTTGGGACCATGCACGCATGGGGACGCCTTATCAGCCCGAGTTCTATGTACGGATCACTCCAGTCAAGGAAGTATGTTGCCGCGTCCAAGCTGATGTTATAGATATCAAATTTGATGGTTTGCTCCAATCCAATACAAGGCAGCTAATGGATATTCTCACATGGATACGAAAGGTCGCTGCATAGTTACACCGGCATGGTCGAAACATCTGGAAGAGAGTCGTACAGCCTTACCTCGTGAGACGATCGGCCAATAACGACGACATCCTCGCTTCATTTGCTCGGAATCGTCCACGTCAATTGCGCCATCTTACTTGAAACGTCTTCCGCCTGGGAGCATGCGTTTCAAGCGCTTGAGGTCCGAGCCAATGTGATTCAATGTCAGCCGTTTGCTGTGGGCAAGTACCATTTCGCCTCATTTTGGGCATCAATAAGGCTAGGGCACACTCAGCCTAGCTTCAAGTCTTCAAGAGTCGGGTATCTGAGGTCAGCGTTATCTTCAAGATACTTCATCCATCTTTTGAGGAACGAGCTGCCCCTGGATACTGTTTCTGAATCGCCAATCACGCATAAGTGCCGCTTCGGTCGGGTCATTGCAACTGTCATTGCCGTCAGGACTGGTCATACCAAAGAAGATGTACTGGACTGCATATGCGTCGCATTGCGTGTGCGCAGATAGTAGACCGGAACAAAACTCTGGGAAATTGCTTACCGTTTAATCTCCTCTTCTCACCCAGAAAGCCAACTTCTTTCTGCGCGTTGCTTCTGACCAAACTGACAATGACAGCCTCCTTTTCTCGTCCTTGGAACCCATCCACGCTACCCAGCTCAAGCTTCGGATATTTCTCTCGCAACATTGTGCTGAGGACAGAGAGTTGTGCATTGTAGGGCGTAACCACTGCAATGTCTTCGTCCCTCACGCCGGCTTCTGTAAGATTGCGCACATGCATCGCCACCACAGCGGCCTCCATTTCATTGCTTTTGCTGTCCCCCAAGAGGACTGACGCTTTGATCTGACCGCCAGAATCATCTTCGGTCCTTTCGGGGAAATCTCCGCCTTGGGTATCGAAGAAGACAAGAGGTTCCACTGTGTCATCCGTCTCTCGCACCTCGTAGGGCAAGTCTTTCAGCAGGCGAGTCTTGACAGAGTCAGCCGCCATGAGTTTCCTGTCGTACAGCTCGTCGCTGGGAAAGCGCATGATTTTCTCGTGCATTCGATATTGAGTGTTGAGGAGTCTTTTGATTTCGGAACCGTACATTGCCAAAAGTCGATCGAACAATGTCGTTTCCAGAGACCAACGGGTGGCTGTTTTGATCTCATCGGCCTTGACAGAAAGCTTGGCTAATTCTTCTTCGAGAGACTTTATCTTCTTTTTCTTCTCATCCTTGTTGTCTTTACTGTCTGCGCTTTTGACTGTCGGTGGTAGTTGCAGGTGGTCTCCTGCCAACACGAGTTTCTTGACACTGCTCCCGGCAAAGGCCAATGGTATCCAGCATTGTGGTTCCAACGCCTGGCTGGCCTCGTCAATGACCACGACATCGAACTCCTGGTTCTTCGTTTGATGGCCTCCTGCACCATGAAGTGTCGCCAGGACGACTTTGCTGCTTCTGACAAGGCCGTCGATACATCTGCCCTCTCTCTCGCGGTATTCCTTGCGCAAGTCTTTGAGGTCAGTATATATCACCCGACGTTCGCGGCCGTTCCGTGTCTTGCGAATCGAGGCTTGCTTCTCGTCCATTTCCTTGCGCACATCGTTCACGATGCCTCCCGCTTCACTCGTGCGGGTTAGTACCTCTAGAGAGTGGTTCAGAACGCTGGGCAAAAGGCGAGCGGGATGTCCTAGTCGAACGATAGGCGTGCTGGGGGATGTGAGAGCCAGGCGCTCGACGATGTTGTCGACGCTGATATTGCTGGGGCCGCAGACCAGGACACGCTGGTCTTGTTTCAGCAGCTGTAGAATCAGCTCGATCAAGGTGTAGGTCTTGCCGGTGCCTGGTGGGCCATGGATGAGGGCGATCTCTGGTGAAGAGAGTGCAAAGCGAATGGCATCTTGCTGCGAAGGATTCAGTGTCGGGTCCGAGAAGACCAGATCTTTCGTTTTCTCGAGATCGGGAGTTCCTGGCGAGGAGAGGCCTAGGAGGACGCGTTGCAGGCTCGTGTATGACGATGATTCTGGTGCCTTGAGCAGTTTAGTCAAAACCTGGTTCATTCTGTAGAAGGCTCGTCAACATGTGCTAGGACCAAGCTTAGGGGATTCTGCGCTTACCGCTTGTAAGTGACGTCGTTTGCAAGCTTGACCCTGAAGCACGAACATGATTGTCAGCCCTACTCTGCCATGAAACACCTGATTCACTCATCAATGATATGACGGAGGTCTTACAGCCACAGCTTTCTGTCAGGCACATTTTCAACTTCGTCACCGCCTGTTGCTTCCTTGCCCAGCGCCACCCATACTGCTCTCTCACCGATTCTGATCACGACTCCCTCGACTCCTTTGGTCTTGAGCTCAGCAACCTCTTTCTTCTTGGCCGTGCCCTTGGGCATCTCACCGAGCCGGACAATGTCACCTGTCCGAATGCCATGTTCGGGGAGTTCGCCTCTGGAGTCCTTGCTAACTACTGCAGGGTCGAGGCCCAGCTCAATGACTGAGCGACCTCCTAGACCAGTCTTGAGTGATTGGACGGCTAGATTCAGGATGGCTAGACCGGCCCGTGCGAGCGTACTAGGAGGTGTAGACGATAGTAGCAATGAGGTCTCGACGATCTCGGAGTCTTGTTCGAGCGATATCAGGGTCTGAAGAGTATTGAAGAATGCGGCTGGTGGGAGCATCTTTGGTGGTGCCATGGTGATGTCAACGGTGGGCTGACGTCCTTTTGCGCTGTTAACTTCAACGGTCTTGTCGATCTGGTCCCTGATCAGCGCTGCACGGGTCAGCCTCGTCGTGTTCGGTCTGACCCTGATCAGCCTGACTGTGTTTCTAACGTTTTGACGCTCGGACTTCTTCTGATTGGAGCGCAATCATAGAACTTCACGAGCGATGATGAAACTCGGCGATCAGTCCATCATAGCTTGTAAACCTCGCAACGATTCCGAAATGATTTCGAGGTTCGGAACTCCTGCCATCGAGATGGACAATTTCAGCAGAATTTCATCAATTCTGCTTGATCGGGATTGCGTAGTGAGGTATTGTGCCGATAGTGACCTCACCAGATAAGTACTTGAGTGACGATGATCAATCACTAGAAAGACCTGAGAGACGTCACAAGCGCTGTATCAACCTCAGATCAGGTAGCGGGTGCGGTGTAGAGGACGACGTGGGTATCGTGTCGACCATTATTGTCTGCTGTGTCTGCACATACGAACATCAGTAAGAAATTATGTAATCAAGATGACATCTGCCAAGACCAAGGAAAATCATATCTCCGCTCCGGGGAACATTTGGTCTGAACTTTGCGGCTCTTACGCCTCCTCGTATTCAAGGCGCAATGGCTGAACTCAACTTCTACACCGTCCTTGACATGTTCCTCTAACGTGCTTTCACCTGAATAACGCATTCCCACACTCATGAGAATATTTATCACCATACCTCTACAATTATTCGCATTTGGAACAAAAGTTCTTGGAATGGCAGCAATGTGCGACTGGAATTATATCAATCGATGTACCCGAACTCTGATCTCCAGGTCACAGCGAACTTTTAAGCACTTGGATGCAAACTTTCTCTGTTCACCACATTCGGCGCGTCTATGAGCGCATCAATGCGTTACACGTTAAGGTACCATTCAATGCGGCTCCGACTCCTTGAATTTGCATCTGCTCTGGGATGGTGATTCTGTCCTTGCCTGCATCTGAGTTGGCAAAAGGCCATCTCGTCGATCCGATAAGATTTTGACTGTCCAGCCGCAAAGCTGAGCTCTGGTAAAGTCTGGTGATATTCCATATATTCCTATTTACCGGGGAAAGAAAACTCTGCCTTCAAGTGAATCGGCCGATCTGCTCAAGCTATGAATTGCCGAACGGACAGATCTCTACTAATCCAACATGCGACTCACCTGATGTTTCTACAATTGTTGAGACTGAGGCCAAGACGAAGAAGAATTTCCGGCTATACGTTTGTCACGGTGAGTCTAGGCCTCAGTTGTCAGCAGACAGAGCGACTATGAGCTTCGGCACGACTTGTCGGCCCCGCGTATATTCGGTCTTTGGACATCGCTTCCAATCAATTGGCCTTCAAAAATGTGGTCGGACACTTTTTCGCTGGCCTCTTTGGCTAAAGTGGGTACACTGTATAGTGCTTGCAGGCGAAATGTCCTCCGCAGAAACTGTTTCGCGGCACAAATTACCCGACTGCTCTTCGAGACCTGTTTCAAACCATGATGTTGGACTGTGCGGCGCCTCTGATGCGGTGGCCTGACGCCCGTCCCAAGTACTGATCACCTAACCCCGCCAGAAAACTATCCTCTGTCCAATCCCGATACTTGTTGATGTATTGGGCAGGTGATCCCCACAGGCAGAGGCGGGCACGGTCTTTGTCTGCTGGCGAGGTCTCGATTTAGGTGAGATAGAAGGTGGTCCGTAATTTGGCCGTTGGGATGACGCCGGAAAGTAGGGCGTGGGAGAAACCATTCGTCGTGGTGAAGTCGATCACGAAGCCTTTCGAATATTCTCTTGCATAGCACACGTTTTGATCGGCACTGTCTGGATTCACAGCCTGGCGCAAGAACGAGCATTGCGGGAGATCGGCAGTTTCTCGACCGTTGGCTGAGTTTGCTGGGGTCACATATGGGTGAGAAATGTCCGAACACGAACGTCTAACTTCAATTATAGTACAAACGGTACGCACAATGATCTGTGCGGCACTATTGTCTTAAGCCATGCGGCTGATGGACGGGCCCGTGCGAATCACAGTAGTTCGAGCAAACCGACGGCCCGTGCTTCAATAGCAGGGTATTCGAAAGAGGACATGCTGTAAGGCTCGCGCATAGTCTGACGAAATGCAAGCACTTGAAACTCCGAAAAGTGCCTCGGACAATCGCATAGTCTGACGACTGCCAAGTCAGCAGTTCGTCGCTCCGGACCTACCAATACCGCGCAAGTCGACGTCAGACTGAGCAGTTCTGTCCTCAGGGTCGGTCAGGGTCCTACTATCGCTAACCACAGACCAGCTGGTCGTCAGACATGGCATTTGACCATCATCACGAACTGGACTTGGTCCCCTTTGAGTTACCGTCAACTCCATCTTGTATCCCAATTCAGTATGGAGAGGTCTATCTGTCGATGCCTGCTGCCGATTTGGAACACGTCCTTGGCAGAGATGACTGATCGATATCGTCCAGACCGACGGGAGTGCTTCCCGACTATGGCTGTGGATACCTGCATTGCACCCTATACCGTTCTGATACCACCAGAGTATCCAGTTCGTCCACCTCTCAATATATCGTGCTCGCTTAGAGTTCTGAAGGCAATCGACTCTGGCCGGCCCTGATACGGAAGAGCAAGAACAAGCGCATGCCTCCTTGCGTCCTTCCCGGGGAGGATCGCGCGAAGGGTTTTCAATAACACAGATGATAATGTGGATATCGGGATAGAACCACCGAACTAGAGCGGGCGAGACTTTCTTCAGATACCTCGAACAGGTATCAGGCGTAAGAACACTGCAATCCAAAAGAACATATAAGGTCCTTGAGTTTCCTCGAACTCAACCTGAATCTTCCATCAGCACATCACAAGAAGTATCTCCTGAACTCAACTATCTTACCTTTGGTACATATCTCATTCCATCTCTTCATCTACCTCTCTCCTTTCATCTCAAGACCGCAACCATGGTTACCGATACGATGGGAAAGGTCTGCATCGTCGGCGTTGGCTACGTTGGCGAACATCTCCTTGGAGCGTTCGCCGGTGTCCACCCCACCATTGGCTTTGATATTTCTGACAGACGTATCAAAGAGCTCAGCACCAAGTACGGGGAGTTGGAGCATGTCACCCTTACCACGGACGAAGCCCTCTTGGACCAGGCCCAACATTACCTCATCTCCGTCCCTACCCTCATCAAGGCTGACCACTCTGTCGACTTCTCACACCTGAAGTCGGCCTTGTCAACGGTCTTCCGTCATGCGAAACCTGGCAACACCATCGTCATCGAGAGCAGTGTCTCCGTTGGTACCACTCGCCAACTCTTCTCATCAGTCCAACACCTCTTCAACTGTGGCATGTCACCAGAGCGTGTCGATCCTGGACGGACATTCCCAGCCGCCTGCGACATCCCCAAAATCATCTCAGGCCTCTCACCCAAAGCATTGACCGTTATCACGAAGTTGTACTCCAGTGTCTTCAACCACGTCGTCCCTGTGTCCACACCAGAAGTTGCGGAGATGACCAAGTTGTTCGAGAATTGCTACCGATTGATCAACATCGCATACGTCAATGAGATCAGCGACTCCTGCAGAAAGCTTGGCATCGACCCCAACGAGATGATTGACGCCGCTGCCACCAAACCCTACGGCTTCCAGGCCTTCCGCCCTGGCTTGGGTGTTGGTGGTCACTGCATTCCAGTCAACCCATCATACCTCTTCCAGACATGCCCTGACCTCCCTATCCTGGAGGAGTCAACGAAGCTCATGAGAGACCGTCCCTTGAAACTGGCAAGAGAACTCCATGCTCATTGCTCGTCGAGCACCCTCGCCTCCACCGACCTCCAACCACGCGTACTGGTTGTTGGTGTAGGCTTCAAGCCTGGACAGTCGGTGATCTCGCACTCGCCAGGTATTGACTTTGCAACTCAGCTCAACGAACTTGGCTGCGACAGACTTGCCTTTTATGATCCTTTGGTTTCGCAAGCACAGCTATCCTGGATGGAGAAGCTAGAAACCGTTGATTTCACACCGGAAGAGCTGGCTGCGGACTTTGACGTTATTGCCATCTGCAGCCGACAGCGTGGTGTTGACTTCAAGGTCCTGGACCAGCTGCCATCCGAGATGGTTTGGTCATACGACTGATCGAGACTCCGGCAACGATATGGAATGAGCATTGTTTACAAGGTCAGGCGGCAATTTGGCGTTGATAATGGGTTTGCATTGGGAATGTTCAATTATGAAAAGTATGGCATGAAAAGGGCCAGAGATACCCTTGTAGGAATGAAACTACATACTAGATAAATGCAAGGCAGTTCATAGGAATTATCATCCTTATCACTATTACAACACACTTTTGTTCTCAAGTACACTGTTATGCTGTCACAACTGTCATCGCTGTTGACAGCACCTTCCTTGTGCTTGTAATTCCGAGGTTGCTCCTGTCTGACGACAAGGCTGCGCTACATCCTGGGCGATTCTTGGGAAAATTGACAGTCAGACAAGTCTGGGCTTCATTGGCCGGAGTCGCCTTGCATATTCAGACTTCATGTCATGGTCCTGTCAACCCAACTCTTTCATCCGAACTTCAAGCATGGGTGAATACAGTCACCCTCGCAACCAACACCTCGGCGAGTGTTGACGGCAATCACCTGCAGCGGTTCTTGAGCCTTCATCATCCGTGCACACAGAAATTCCCGACTCTACGGACTAATCGTGGATTTTTGCTGACATCGGAGCTCAATGACAGCCTCTGGATCCTACAACTACCTTTGAGTTCAACAAACAAGCAAACATACTCAAATCTCGCCAGACCATGGAAGTTTGTGACGCAATTAGAACTGGAGTAACGGAGAAAATCTTCGAATTGAGTTCGTTTTCGTTTACTGTTGGATACTGGCCAGGCTTTGAGCTCGGCCCCCTGCACTGATCACCCTGGGACCAACCTTACGCACGGCGTTCTACTAGTGGCTCAGCTTGATAATTGAAGTTCAGCCCCAGCCAATGAGTCCTGCACAAAAGCTGCTTCTTCAAGCTTGGCAGAACCTCGCCGCATCATGTATGAACTGTCATCGCAAAAAAAAAAACGGCTCATGTTGGCCTGTGTTCGAACAAAATGCACCACCAAATATTGGCCAAGCCAGTCGACTCTAGAGCGACCGTCAATAACTGGGGCTGATGCCATACTTGACGTGTAGGCGGCCTATTGCAGCGCGCACTCGATGCCTGCTGGAGTCAGGCTCTCGTGACCCTTGGAAACAACACTGGGTATACCACACTATCCGCCTATTGAGACTCTGTGCAATGGTCGACTAGGGCCAATCAATAACAATGATCCCAACCACCAGCATTAGGTAAGGCCTGGCAATTCCCATTGGAACGATGCGTGATTCGACCGGGTATATCCCCCTCGTGTTACCGAATTCCAGAAGCATCTTGCGACGGACCAGCGAAACGCCACACACATTACTGATTCAAACATTGCGTCTGAGGCGTGGGTTTGGGTTCTCAGAGGTCGCGAATTGGGAGTTTCGCAGAGACGTCTTCATTCACAAACGTGTTGGTTGTGCAACTCTCATCCACGTATGCCGGGCTCAATTCTATCGCGTGCCGCATGACAAGCCATAAGAGCAGCTCTATGGAATTGGTGCAGCATTGGAGACAATTTGTGCAGTAGGCACAGTCCGCTCAAGCATTGGATATGCCCATCCCCTGGCACAGATACATCCCAAACGCACTTCAAACGCCTGGCAGGGGCCCCCTCCTGCCTATTGCAGAAGTGCGAGAGAGCCCGACACCCCATGGCACTCCTCTTCCGCAAGACGACAGCTTTCAAAATGGCTTCTACGACAGAGTCGTGGAGCCACAACAGCGCCACGATGATGCCAGCTCAGAGAGAACCCCCCCTTCACCGGGCGGCGAGGAGCTGTATGCCGAACTTGGAGAGGACGACATTTGCCCACATGAAATCGATCCGGAGAAAGCTGTTCTCGGTGCTCTCGATGAGGATGATGATCAGATCCGGCCCATTCAACAGCAGGGCAAGTTCCTCTTCAGCGATCCGTTCGCTGACGGTAATGAACTGCCACCCTCAACCAGCTCTGACGGCTCCGTGAAAAGCATTCACGGTGCTAGTCCAGGTCGACGAGATTCTACACTCCCGGAACGCGTACGGAATTTCTCATTGCCAGTCAATATCGTGAATCCAAAGGGCCTAACATGGATTCCCGACCCCGAGACATGGCCGGCCTACGACGACGCAATCTTTGGTGGCACCATCAGACCAAAGAGTATGAGAACGATGTCCACGATTAGTGTGAAAAGTGAGTACCCGCAAATCGTCGAACCAAAGGATCCCGCAAGAAAGTTATCACCCAACAATCTCTTCTTTCAACGCTGTCTATTCTTCGGTACCATCATCGGGCTCAACGCGGGGTGCTTGTTCGCTGCTCTGTTTGGTCATCAGGGGACATGGGTCTTCGTTTTCATCCTTTTGGTGAAGAGCAAGGACGTCTTGTCGTCCGTCCTCTCTCCAACATGCATGCTATGCCGCGCGATATATCATTTATTTAAGCCGCCTAAGGAAGTGCCAACGAAATGGATTCTGTCACTGATACCGGCATATTCCGAGAGTGAGGAGCAGATTGTCAAGTGCATTCTCTCACTACGGGACAATGGCGTCGAACCCCACAGGCAAATCATGTGCGTCGTGCTGGATGGCAAGTCCCGAGATATCAAGTCGCACTTCACTCATACGATTGCCAGCTTTGAAAGACCGTACGTTTCTTTCAAACACAAATTGGGCGATCTCGTGGTCGATGCGGGCTTCATCGAAGACGTGCCTGTCATTGTGATCGAGAAGAAGAGGAATGGTGGCAAGAAGGATTCATTGATTCTCGCGCACGATCTGTTCAACTATCCGCGAGAGAGTATGCCTTTGTACACCAGACTCTTGCGTGATGAGGTCTGGGAGCATCTTCTACCACTTTTGACAGAGGACTACGTGTTTGAAGGGTTCGACATGGTCTTTTGTACGGATGCAGATTCTGTAATACACCCTGGCGCGCTGAAATCGTTGACCGATGCGCTTGCTCGAAAGGAAAGCGCCATCGCCGCCTGTGGCTTGGTTCTTGTTGAATTAGAGCCTGGCTATGAGTGGTCGATGTGGAATCTATACCAGCAATTTCAGGTAAGCAGGTCTTAGACGTGACCTCGAGGGATTGAACTAACCGCGGCACAGTATACATTCGGCCAATACGTGCGCCGCCGAGCTGAACACTTCTGGGGCAAAGTGAGCTGTCTTCCGGGGTGTATCACCATGATCAAAGTGCGACCTGAATGTGCGGGAGCCATCGAAAAGTACGCCGAAGCCATTACCGTCATGCCCGTCCTCCATCATCAGGTCCAGTACTTGGGCACCGACCGACGTCTGACGTATTCGATGTTGTCGCAGAGCAAGAAACTCACCACCATCTTCGTGCCGGAAGCGGTCAGCGAGACCGTGGCGCCCCGGTCGTTGAAACATTATCTCAGCCAGCGCCGGAGATGGGGATCAAACGCTTACTTCAACAACTACTTCTACATGATGGGCCACAACATGATCGCCATCACACGCTGTGCGGCATTTGTCGAAATTCTGCGTCTCAGCATGGTGTATTACCGCTTTTGCAACACCATATTGCTGATTAAGTTCATCATTGAGGAAGTCCTTCGTGGCACCTTCGACACTATGAAGCTCATTCCGCTATTGTGTGTCAGCCAGTTGCCGTTGGTGTGGTACGTCGTCAATGTCATCATCGAAAAGCCGTTGCGGGTAAGGGCGCATAAACTCCTGCTGGGATTTTGTATCAACAAGTTCATTTCGCCACTCATCTCTATGACGACGTTTTTCAATGTCCTCCGCAACGTCGGGTCGCAAGGTATGTCATTCGCTCCCATCGTGCGAGTGACCACGATTACTGACTTGCGATATAGTATGGGGCATGTCTGGCGTCACGGCCACATCAGTGGCTGCTGCCAATGCTAAGGATCCAGCCATCACAATCCCGACCGTGGAAGTTCCAGCAATACCTATTTCTACCGCAGGTCCGGGCGATGAAAAGACCCTCGTACCCGCCGCTGCTGTGCCGGGAGAAGCAGCTGCCGTGATCGCTCGGGACAGGAGTGGCTCTGTGCCTACTGTTACGGTGCCCGCTATTGCCGTCCGGACCGATGCAGTCCCAGTCGTCTCAGCGCCTGAAACGACAGTGTCGCCCACCGCAAGGCGGGTGTCCTTCGCAGAGTTTCCGGTTATCCTCGGGCCTGAAGCGGCAGCCACTGCAAGGCGAGTCTCTTTTGCCGCGTTCCCTGTCATCGTCGAGCCCGAACCGGCTGCGTCACCCTCTGGAAGGCGGTTTTCGCATGCATGAGGGCCCAGATGAGTTCTGACGGACGAGAGCAGTCATTGACAGACAGCGTCGTCTTCTTGTTCCGCCCTGAGGCAGTTGTCTCGTGGTTGTTTGATTGTAGCGTTGGAGCGTATAATAGAAAAGCATGGTGTTGTTTCCAAGAGTCATTATACTCATAGATAGAAAGATAGCCACAAAGGCAGAATAATAAATGTATAATACCCCAGAAACCATGTTTATGTCCGATACGTCCTAACGTCGATACATGATCCCAAACACCATAACTCTAGTGTTCGCGCCCGATCGTTTCGAGTCCGTCGCTGCGCTCTGACCAGAAAAAGAGGACGATAATAGACCAAACAGTGTTTTTACAATAAATCAGTGTATCGATTCAGAAAGATGGCCCCCAGTCCCAGGCCTCCGTTCAGTGATCCACCCAGCCTTGCCTTCACCAGCCCACCTCTTCTCGCCCGTCCAGAACCTCACCAGACCCTCCGCGCCGACGCTGTCGTTCTCCCGGTACAGGTTCGCAATGTCGACATTTAACGGGCTGTCCAGGCCCGGAGAAGTGAGCAGTTGCTGGATGGCTCCTAGTGTTGTGGCAAGCGTGTATGTTGGCGCCCAGTGTTCGCCGGACAATAACGTCAAGCAAATCTCGCCGGAAGAAAAGTGTACGTTAGGATGGCATATCGGTGTTACAAAGTGGATCTTGGGAGGGGCGAGAGGGTAATTTTGTGGGATAGAGATTGAGAGTAGCCAGAGACCGTTGAAGTATGGGGATGATGGCTCGCGGGGGCCTTTGAGCACGGCTTCCCATGTGAAGAGGTCCGAGTCTGTGGCTGGGCCGAGGTGCAGGGTTGACTCGCAGGGTTGGCGGTCGAGGTCTTGGAGTTCGTGGGTGAGGCGTTTGAGAGCGTTGGTTGAGGAGGATTTGTCGCGGCTGCGGGAGGAGGACATGATGGTGCGCGAAGAGGTGTAAGTTGCTGAGGACAGACTGCGATGCGGCGGTGGTATGCAGGTGGGATTGGAGGTGGACTGGAGGGAGGGGAGGTTATCTCGTAGCTCTAGTGTAGGCGCAGGCAAGAGTGACTTGGTGGTCTGTTTGAGCGAGAGTTCGATGCAATGAATGGAAGCAAGCTGAGTACCTACTTAGAGTCCGTCGTCCCGGATATGTTGTCAGTCGTCCTCGTATCGGACAATGTAAGCTCGAGTTTAGCCGAGGCGATCGACACCTAAAATTCTGGGGAATAAAGTGCAGTGCAGGGGTCTAGCCCGTCTGCGCCCAGGGGTCAATAATCGAGACGGCACTTTTTGCGCGGCCTTCATCTATGTTATTAGTATCCTTGTTGGTGTGCGTCGCTTAGTCAAGATGCGGACATCCAAGATCTCGCAGGAGACTACTAGGATATTCGACGCGATATCGCCGAATGCGCGCACAGGTCGAACCACCAGGAGTGCCAAACGGATCGCCTCGTTCGCATTAGGATACAATGGAGAAATTGAGGTCAAAGAGGAGGTATCATCGCCGTCAGATCTTGACAGTACACAAAGAGGCACACCAGACATCGAGGATGGCTTGAGCACGCCGGCGCGCGCCAGTCGCAAGAGAAAGTATGGCTCCAGCACGCCGGTTGTTGTAACGGAGTCCGTTGTCAAGACGGAACATGAGTCGACTTGGACACCGGTTCGCCGAACAAAGGAAGAAGAGGCAGATGAAGGAGACGAGCAGGATGATACAAAGCCGCCGGCTCCAGGCCGCGCAAGAGCTAAGCCCAAGATACCTGCAAGAAGGCAGACTTCACCGTCCGGGCGTGTTCAGGTCGTGCCACCCTCGCATTGGGATGAGATATACCATACAATCAAGGCCATGCGGCGTCGAAACCCTACCGCGCCTGTCGACACGATGGGCTGCGAAGACCTGTTCTGGAGAACTGCTCCGCCGCGGGAGAAGCGGTATCATACGCTCACGGCGTTGATGTTGTCATCGCAAACCAAGGATACAGTCACGGCGGCGGCCATGCAAAGACTACATGCGGAGTTGGTCCCGCAAGTTCCGGACGAAGATGGGAAGATCCAACAGTCAACTTTGACAGTTGAGAATATGATTGCGTGCGACCCCAAGCATCTCGACAGTCTGATTGGGAAAGTTGGATTTCATAATAACAAGACGAAGTTTATCAAGCTGGTCGCCACGATTCTAAGGGACGAATATAACTCGGATATACCAGACTCGATAGAGGGATTGGTCCGCCTGCCGGGCGTGGGCCCCAAGATGGCATATCTGTGCATGTCTGCTGCTTGGGGAGTCGATGAGGGTATTGGAGTGGATGTGCATGTTCATCGGATCACGAACCTCTGGGGGTGGCACAAGACGAAAACGCCTGAGGAGACTAGGGCGTGGTTGGAAGGATGGTTGCCCAAGGATCGATGGCATGAGATCAATAAGATGTTGGTCGGCTTGGGTCAGACAGTGTGTTTGCCTGTGGGCAGGAGATGTGGAGAGTGTGATCTGGCCGGGACGGGGTTGTGTAAGGCTGAGATCAGGGGATGGAAAGCTACAACCAGAAAGGTCAAGAAGGAGAAGGTGGAAGTCAAGATCGAGGAAGGAGTTGAAGTGGTGAAGAAGGAAGAGGAGGAAAGGGAGATTTTGCAGGTGAAGGAAGAATTGCTTGATTCTTGACTCCATACAAGCTATGTTACAGGCGGTGTGAAATTTATGAGGCATGCTGTCTCGAAGCGTTATGATGGCCCGTTGCTTCCTTGCTGAGAGCCTGGGCTGCGATGGGATGATACTCTGGCTGCTCAAAGGTGTTATGGAGGCGGTGGCTGGTTGCTGTCTCGATTTGTGCTTGCGAGGCTGCAAGCCTGTTTCCAGAGGGAGTGGCACCGTCCGGCAGGGAGTACATCGACGATATAAGTACCAGACAGCGTCACCACGGCGGGTGCCTTGAGGCCGAGCCAGCACAACTATACTGATAGAGGTGATGACCTTCACCTTTCAAAGGCTGATGCAATACTGGTGTGTGCGGAAGATCCTGGAATGACAAGAAGGAACAATATCGGTGGAACCCTGAGAAGCTACAGCAGACATACGCCGCCACTTTTCCTGGAAACGAGCTTCCCTGTTGTGCCTGAGTTGATGAGTGTCTCTCGATGCGGGAGTCGTTATTCATTCCACTTCAGAAGCCTGTTGGACTGCAAGATGCGTCAAATCCGCCCGTCCTCGTCCTCTTTGATCAATTCTTCCAAATATATCAGGTTTTGAGTTGGCAGACGAGCACGGCGTTGCCTTTCTGAGTATGTGGTAATGAGGTAACAGGCGAAAGTAACAGGGCCGTAGAGACAATTGTTACGAGAACGGATATGCCCAAGTTCCTGAGAGCATACAATGACTCCATTGTTCTTCATCATGAGGTCCGGAGCGTGGGTATGAATGTAAATCTTGGACGACTTTGGTTCTTTTGCTTCAGATGCTGTGGGCATGGGCGAAGGACCTACGGAATACATGCATGAAACTTCATACACGGGTTCGAGACGTATTCATTTTCGCGTATTCAGGGCGGTGTATGGTGTGTAACACTGGTGGAAGGCTGTGCAAGGCTGGATGACTTACACTATCCAGATTCGGTGTCGGTACGAGCCGCAGTAGGTATGGATCCTGTGCCGTCTTGCTGTGTACGCACTGGCATCAACACCGCCTCAACTTTAAACCCCCATGACATAACGCGTCTTTGCATTCGAACACTCATGACTGCGCAAACCCCTCCTGGCGGCGAGCTCCTGACAATGTGTTCACGGAGTCGGCCAGCTACATGGAAGTTGTGGTGCGGACACGGTCTGGTATCTCCCGCTCGAGGAATGGGTGCAGTACCTGCAAGTAAGTTAACTCAACTCCAGGCCGGCTGTGGCGTGGCTAAGGGATTAGGAAACGGCGTGTTAAATGTGACGAGGCTCGCCCAAAGTGCCAGCGATGCAGAGTAAGTGGTCATGAGTGCCAATTCGACAGCAGTCCGTCCGCCGGGCAGGGTGCGTCCGTGACATTCATCAATTATACTCCAGGACATTTACAATCCCAACTCACAAGTCATCCGAATGCCGATTGTCAGGAGTTGCGAGCTCTGGAGTTTTTCCACGAGCGAAGTGTCCCCGAGATCCCAGGCCAGACTTACACCGACCTATGGGGTAAGTACTTGCTGCCAATGGCTCATCATGAGCCCGCCCTACGGCACGCAATGGTTGCGCTTGGGAAGCTGCACGAAGGTTACTTGATTTCGGCTTCAACCAATCAGTATGCTCTACATCAATATGGCAAGGCTATCAACCTCATCACTAAAATGGACTCTTCGAGCCCCAGCGCGTTCGACACTGCACTGGCAAGTTGCGTTCTGTTTGCGGCAATAGAGACCTTGATGGGCCACCCCAGGAGTTCTGTAATGCACGTGTTGTCCGGCATGAAGATACTGAAACAAGGTGGACGATATAGAGATGGCTTCATCCCACGAGATCAACTTGCTGGATTATTTGATCGAACCGCATGTCAAGCTCTGGAGATAGGCGACTTCGAGACTTTGTCGCAGAGTTCTCCTCCAGAAGGCTTTCCCGTTCCGGACACGTTCGCTTCGACGCGGGAAGCAGTTCGCTCGCTTGAAGCTTTCCAGTACTATACGCTACGGCTGTTCCAAGATACCATGATGATCCCGGATAGCACCATGTCGGCGGAGGAGGAGAAGATGGCACTGCTTGCTGCGACGCTTACAAAATCTCGAGATCTTGCCGGAAAATGGACAGCCGCTTGTGAGCGTTTTCTAGCCTCAGAGACGACAACAGACCATCCAGCACATCTGATCCTCAGGATCATGATCGAGGCAACATATATCCAGCTGAATGCTCCACAAGAATGTGATTTCGATCAATTCACCAGTAGATTCAAGCGGATAACCGAGTGGGCAGAGATGTATCTGCGTAGGACAATCACGGCGCAGGCGACTGCTGAGCGACCTCGTCTATCCGATGCGGTCAAGCAGAGCTCGCTTTCGACGTCGACATCTTCGGTGGGAACATTCATCGCATCGACGACGCCTTTGGACAAGGAGAAAACGATACATCGAGACAGAAAGCTGCTTCCAAGACCAGAGGAAGTGATGCGTCCTACCTTTACTATGTCCTCAGGGGTCATTCCACACTTGTACATGGCGTCTGCACGTTGCCGCGATCCAGTTATACGTCGTCAAGCACTGCGACTGCTCCGCGCCAGCAATCGCCGAGAAGGGCTGTGGGACTCACAGCTCACAGCCAGAGTTGCAGAAAGAGTCATGCTCATCGAGGAGCACAATGCAAGACGCATCCTAGGCTTACAGGAAGATGGACCCCTGACGGATTGCTCCCAAATCCACTTACCTGCTCGGATCACCGCGACGAGCGTACAGTTTGGACAGAACAGGGAAGGTGTGGTTACATATGCGTCGCGAGACCCAAGTGCTCCGAGGGTGCAAACAACAGAGAGAATATCTTGGTAATAGCACGTTCACAGCCGTAGTCCTCTTCTGTCCTGTATTGTTATTCCAGATCAGGGCATAACGGACGTCCTCGACTTCTAAGGGTGAAGCTTACCTAGATCAGCTCCCAACAAGCCTTGCTTGGCGGGCGTCATTGGCAGCTCCAGCCCCGGAGCACTCACAGGCACACTCGAACTGCTTACGACCCGCATCCACGTCGCCCTCACAATTGAAGATCCGTCCACAGCTGCTTAGGCCCCTCTTTCGTTGTACTTCTGTGTTTTATTTGAGCGGTCAGCATACAGTAGCATAGTTCTTTCTTTGGCTGTCCCCAATCCAACCGCCCACCGCGTGCCGCGAGCACACATCCTTATTGCCCAGATCGAACACACCGAGTTCTTTGAGACTTTACATCCACCACGATGTCAGCAACAAAGCGAATCGAGAAATGGGAAATCGACCGGTACTGGGAGATCTTTGGATCACTTGTATCAGCCCCCGCGACACCAAACTCGCGCCTCACGAATCAAGCAGCCGCCAACGTCCTCCGTAACTCGCAACTGCGCGACGACCAGCTTGAGCGGGTATGGGATCTCGCGGACGTTGACGGCGATGGCGAACTGGATTTTGAAGAGTTCTGCGTGGCCATGCGCCTGATCTTCGATCTCGTCAACGGCGAGTACCAGGACGTCCCTAAGACACTGCCTGACTGGCTTGTGCCGGAGAGCAAAGCGCACCTTGTCGCAGCGAACCGTGCGCTGTCCGGTGACCAGGGGTCACAGTTTGAACGAATCGAAGATGACGAAGAAGACGCTGGTCTGAAAGATGGGTTCGATTGGTACATGAGTCCGGAGGACAAGCGCAAGTACGAGGAGATATACTCGGCGAACAAAGACCGGCGAGGCGAAATCAGCTTCGACAGCTTACATAGCCTGTATTCGAGTCTGGACGTGCCGGACACAGATGTCAGGAGTGCGTGGAATTTGGTCAATACGAGTGGACGGGACACTATATCGAAAGATGCTTGTTTGGCATTCTTGCATATTCTCAACTACCGGCACGAGGGGTACAGAATACCGAGAATCGTGCCTCCCAGTCTACGATCGAGCTTTGAGGGAAATCAGATCGACTATCAGATTGATAGCATGCGGAACAGACCGAACAAATACGACGAGGACACCTCTACGGGGCGGAAAGCCAAGTTTGGAGACGCTTATTTGAGTCGCATTGGCGGAAGAGGCGGGTCGGCGTATCAGCCGAAAGGCACTGATTTCTCCGATGTGGTAGAAGACGAGGATCTCGAAAAGGTCAGGCTGTTGCGGGAGCTGCGCGAGCTGGAGAGTCAACATGATGCTGCGATTGCAGCTTCGGACCGAAGGCGAAAACAGAGACAGGAGAATGGGGGCCCCAGACAGCCTGGGAAAACGAACTGGGCTCTGGTCAAGCGAGAAGCACAACAGTTGCTGGAATACAAGCAGCGACAGTACGTCGACCTCAATTCGGAAAGTGCCAACAAGTCAGGTGGTGATCTCAAAAGACTGAGAGACGATCTTGCACTGGTTGCGGAGCAGATTGACGGGCTGGAATCGCATCTGAGGAAGCGGGAGTCGGAATTGGACAACATCCGGCGAGAGATTGAGAACGAAAAGTCCAGCAAGTGAGGTGTCACATGTCCAGGAGGATGTGGTCGGATAGGCTCATAAGATATCAGTTGAACCTCCCAGGAGAGGTGCTCTGCACATGTTGTACAATTGTACCTCCGGGTCGCAACGCTCGATAAACAACACTGCCCATTCCTCCCCGCACCCAGCGACTATCGTTCCGTCCGTACTTTCCGGAAACCGTCCGTCATGAATGTGTCTCCTTTCTTGAAGTTTGCTAAGGGGTTGTTAAGATATGTTACTGGTGTTCATAATTGCGGACGCGACTGACCATCAGCTGCCTCCCAAGCTCTTCCAGCACCGAAACCAGTTCCGATCCACACAGGCCATGCTCTTCGTTTGAACAATAGGACTGAGAAAATAACGCCGAAAGAGAACCCGAGGCCGGACTTGATCACCAAGTCAGAGATCGCACGATCCCACTACATATCGTATGATTAGCATTGTTTGGTTTCATGCTGGTGATCGCAGTCTTCCGGCCACCCTCGTGTGAAGGGCCCGCGAAGTATGCCTGCCAGGCCTGCCGGAATTCTTCACGGGGGCTGGAAATGTACCTTTTCGTTCAATAGTGCTTCGCTGGCTGGTTTGGACTTCGGTGTAGGTAGGGGAGGCCCCGGAACATTGTCGGTTGACATCGTGAACTGTCGAATGAGAGTGTTAGTGTACGCAGACACCAGTCCTAGGAATAAGCGCCCTACCAAAAGACCTGTTGGTCTCTCTGCACGACGTTGTATGTGTGTTGGTAGTGGTCGCAAACAAGGTCAAGCTTGATCGAAGCTCTGCTCGTGCTGCGCAACGGCAGCGGGAAGAGCTGGCGAAAAAGGTACCGACCAATCGGAGTTAACCTTCATTCAGCCTTGGCAAATTTTTTGATATTGAAGGGCAAAAAGTAGAGACTTGAAGAACAGACATACTATCATTTTATGGTCGGAGGGCAGTCTACTGAAACTTGATGAAGGGGAAAGATAGTCATGGTATTCATACCATGTCTCAAAAATCTTTTGAGGCAGCGATTGCTGACCTGGAAAGAGCGGATGGGCCTCCAGAAACAGTACTAGAGGCCGCTGCCAAAACTCTGCGACTCAATCTCGAAGAAACGATTGAACGCTCTTCCCTCGAGGTGAGGTTTCGAAGTACACCACAGTCGTATGGATTCAAGGAGCAATGGTTGCTGCGTTGGCTTCTGAAGAAATTGGGTTCTGCCTCGACTACTCAAGCGAAAAATGACGGACAGGACATCGAGAGGTATTCACCTTCAAGACCTCGCTTGGTTTGGGCGAACGACACTGACCAGCGCTGCAGATATGCTGTTTCTCCACAATTCTGGTCGCTGCTTCTTGACCTCACAACTTCAATTCCAAGCAGCGTTTGCCTTGAGATTCTTCTCGAGCGAAAGTTCTTCCCTATACTAGTCCAGCTAATACAAGCCTTCCGGAACGCTCGACAACTTCCGAGCACCGTCGAACCGCGCATCACCGCACCTGCTGACGAGACGCCGCGGCCGAGGAAGAAGCGGCGATTGAGTCCACCGGAAGTGACGGCTCCCAGCGCAGGATCCCAGCATGAAAAACTGCTGTGGGTTCTCCTACAAGCGGTTTGTCGATGTCTTGACCTCTTCTCCCCACGCTCCTCACAAAACAACCGTCAGTCGAGCCAACCCCTTTTGGCTTCAAATCTATCATGGGATGAGCAGGCGTCCATAATGGGCGCGGTTCTTGAAACTGCCGTGAATCTTCTGGATCATGCAGCCGGACCGAGGAACCAAGGGGTACTTTCCGAGGTGCTCACCGTTGTTCTCTGCTTTTGGCATGGGGACTCTCTAGCCAACCAAGCGCAGAAAGAGGGTCCCGACCGAGCCTTTTCCTCTTACTGTCTCATGCCAAGCTTGGCTATACTTGAACATCTGCGACGTCTGGACTCTGCCGACAGGTCTATGGCCACCCAGCAGAAGGCACTGGAGCGTCTTGTTGCATTACATGTTATCTTCCCGACTCGGTCGTCATTCAACAAGCAATTTGCAAGGAAGTGGGCAGACATACGAGATGTGCCACCATACCCCCAGCTGGAAGCGACGTTAAATGATCTTCAGAAGCGCATGTTCCCTGACGAGCGACCCAACAAGCCTCCAGTCGTCGCCAGCAAAGTCCCAAAATGGATCATTCTTGACATTGCTGCACGGTTAGTTCCTTCATCAGATTTCCGCAGGCGCCAAGCGGAGCAACCCTGGATTGATGCACTTTTCATATACCTTGCTCATACAATCTGGCCTCAAATGTCGCAAGCGTCAACTGATGTAAGAAAGCCTTTCAAGGGATCTCAAGAAAGCCAGCAAACTTGGGCAGCCTCACTCGAAAAATTGCTGGACGTTATCCTCGCAGAAAAGCTACGCGTGGGTCTGCCCCTGCTAGGTTATCTACTTAAGGCGGTTCTCGCCTTGGAAGATGAGACCATTCCATGGAGATTGTTGGTGAGGATACTCCAGGTCGATATCGGTATCTTAGTTCCAACTTCTAGCTTGTCGACATCCGAGGAATTCGTGCGACAGCTCATCGAGAAGCTTAGGGTGCCCCTCGTGCCAAAGAGTACCTATGACAACATCCGCGACGACATTATCTTACCATTGTTGCGCGGCTTCGCCCAGTCCCGGAATCTACCCAGCTTCCTTACTCTGTGGCAGCAGAATCTGGCAGTTGCCGTTCGTACACCTCACCTACCCCAAGGCGGCACGGAAGATGTTACACTAAAGCTTGTGTGGGAGGATCAAGCTGTTTTCGATCAATTCAAGGCAATCGCTCAAACAAATGCGCCACCGAGCTTAGGCCAAAAACTCCTCGGCGATCTCATAGAACCTTTGACCGAGCTGGCTGAGGCGACCGGATCACGGGCGGGCGTCTTTGCACAACTGGCAATATTCTCTGCTTTACTTGAGACTACCGATACTCCTATCGAGACTTGGAAGCTGGACAGTGGTCAACTTATGGCCGTACTCGACACGATTGCGATTGCTCTGCCTCAGGTGTCCGAAAGCCATGGCCGGAGGTGGCGGCTATGGAAGGTTGCGCGCCAACTTGTCTGCTGTCTTGGAGTCGACAAGATCTCGCAGATTCCAAAAACCATGCTCGACTCCCAAACTCGCTTCATGTCTCTCACCGATTTGGCAACCCTGCCGGGCCACCCAAACCCGTCTAAGATTCTAGAGTGCTTGGAATGCTTCTCCTTCCTCCTGGAGCTTGTTGCACAGTCTGCTGATTTCGAACAACATTTCGGGCGCGAAATGGAAAGTTTGGCAAACCTCCTCCAGCTGTGTTGCGCAAATACAGGAGCCGAACTCAATGTCTGCGTGGGACCGCATTTCCAATGTGACAGTCCAAAAAGTCTGCTAGCTGCATGTATTGGGAGTCTGTTGGAGAAGCACAAGGTGTTTTCAAAGTACCCAGACTCATCCAAGCGACTCGTTGAGATGGCTCTTCACATCATGGCAGCTCCCGGAAGGGAAGCAGGCGATGATGGCGATATACCAAACATCAAAGCCCTTCTTCGTGCTGTGCTGACTGCCGAGGAAGTCATGAACACCTCCTTACTGCGCCAATGCATCGTGCATTATATCCTTGACAATTCAAAGCCAGGCGTGGCTACTAAGATCGACCAAGCTATTCTCCGGCATTATTTGTCTAAGGGCGTCATCCAGAGGTCTCAATTGAAAAGTCTGGCGAACACGACGATGGAGCGTGTGTTTGATGTGAAGGCTTCAAAAGCTCTAGATGATGTTGTCGAAGACCTGGCTCTCCTTAACCTGCTCGATGTCAATGCGACAGGATCCGTCATCAAATCCGAGGATTGGCTCACATGGGTCAATTTCTCGAAAGACATAACGGATTATAAGCAGTTTGGACAATCACCGGCAAGCCTCTCGGCGGTTGAGATGCTCGAGCATATATTGAAGAGGGTATGGGAGCGTGCCGTGACAGCCTCGCGAAATCAAGTTCTTTCCGACATCATCTCATGGTGTGGCACCTGCATTGAGGGGTCACTAAACACAAAGCAAAGCCCACCATTCCTGATAGCTGTCCCAATCTTCCTTGAAAAAGCTGCGCTTCTCAGCAGGGCCACACCCAGCACCACCATATCGAAGAAGGATCTTCAGAAGATGACGACGAGCTACACATCAACAATAAGCCGTAGGCTTGAGTCATCTCTTTGTGGCAAAACTGATTTCTCCACTCTATTGAACCTCAGACTTCTCCTCAACAGTGCTCGGCAGACCCAGGCTTCTGAAGTGGATGAGGCGTTGTCAAAAAATGCGTTTGAGTTTGCACAACGATTGCATGCGGAACAGTTATCGTTAGAACACTCAAAAGCGACCGCTGCTGTGCACTTTTTGCGGGCTTCTGTGGAAAAGCGATGCTGGGAGCTCTCGACACCTCTCAACAGGATGCCATCTGACGTAATGCGACAAGTGCTCGCATCCATCACACGGGATGTAGCCACTCACACGAACGAGCAATTGAATCTGCTAAGCATTGAGGCAGACACTCTTGCAAACCACATGGCACCAACAGAATGGGCTGATGTGCTGGGAAGACTACGACAGCACTCAAAGGAAGGAAGTGCTGGGGAATTCCGGCAGCTATTCATCTCGTCTGTCATCCTCCGCATCAAAGATCACCACCTACAACATGACCCGCGACTCACAGACGAATTGGCAAATATTGCGAGTCTGAACACCTCCGGCCAGTACACTCCGACCGAACTTTTCCTAGCATTGGAGAACTGCAGAATGGTCCTACAATCGCATCCACTCACTGTGAATCAGGCGACGCTAGATCGGTTACTTGCCTGCCTCTGTCTCGTTGACGTGTCTCCGCATCACTACGAATCATCTTACCCACAGAACTCTCAAGAACAATATGGGCCCCAACCTGCAGATATCTATGAAGAACTGTGCATGTTTCTGGGAGTAATCTTGGGAAGACACAGAAGACGTATATCCGACCGGTACCACCTACTACTGCCAGTAATGCAAAGGCTCTTACGATGCCTATTCTGGCCGGGTACGCATGCCTTACAAGATCGACAACGTTCAGCCGCCGCTAACGACCTCAACGCTTATGGACGGAGTCTGCCACAGTGGATACGAGGTGCTGAGCAACCTTTACCCCCATCTTCGGCAGAGAAGTTCTCTCGCCTTGCATCTTCAATATGCAACCCGACCGTATCTGCGGCACGATCGTCCAGGAAGCACGGCCATAACCAGCTGAATGATGAGACCAAAAGAGCTAGACTGTTGGCAGGCCAGCACATGCAGTACCTCGTGATGGAGTACGCACGCTGTACTCTCGACGGACAAATAACACCTACGGTCAAGGACAAGCTGATGCCAGGGATGTACAGTGTCTTGGACTCAATGGGCAGAGACCTCTTGAGAGCAGCGAATGCAGGAATGGATCCAAGCAGCCGGGCCATCTTCAAAGGTCTCTACGACGACTTTACAAGGTTTGGTAGGTGGGACAAGAGCTAGAACAGGTCATCACTGCTCTGGGAGAAGAATTCACGGGTCTGAACGAGAGGTAATCTGTATTGCTGCGGAAATTCATGGTGCGCTCGGCATCGATATCAGGCGCAAAATGAACTGATTGGGGATGCACTTCAGCCTATCAGGAAATGGCTTCGAGAGGCTGATATTCTGACTCGTGGGAAGCCACGTATTCCGAGCGCCCAGACAGTACGGCACTGCCAGCCTACGAAATCTGGATGGTCTCCGCGAACGTTCACTGCGAAAACCAGGCGCAGCTACAACCGCGTTTGCAGCCGATCTGATTGGTAGACAAACCTACCTTGCGTTTCGTGGATGCATGCTGGCACCAACACGGGTTCTGCGGTTCAAAAATTGTAAAACAACACAACGCCTATATGAATTCGGATTTCGTTGACGCCACATTGATTGCCACGATATCCCAGACTCGTGAACATCCATACCGACTCTTGGAGGTTATTACCAGTCTGACAAGCATTGGTCGCCTCGATATTTACCCAGCATCGCGATATGCACTGCAGTCACCGACAGACTTTTCTTGCTGAAAGCTTCTGCTAATCAAATTGGTCACACGCTACGGAAACTTTGACTCAGTGAAGCATCCACTTAGGCAGCTTGCTGAGGACCGGGATTGACTTCGTTCTAACAGGACTCGGTAGACGGAGCAACGTCGAGACCGGCCTTCAGAAGAGAGAGATGGCGCCTCGGACGTCTTGCCAACCGGGGAACAACGTATACCGTGAAGCGAGCCGTTTGCCATTGGAACTAGCCAGACCAGACCGACTTTCTAGTAAGCATCAAACGAGTTGGTTTTACTGCGTAGTGCATACCTGGGTGCGCAACCAGGCAACCTTGCTTTGTTTTCTGCACACTCAAGGAGGCTGAGGCGGATTTGCCATTGGGGCAGTATCAGGTTGGAGCCAGATCAGGCTGAGGCTGTGCGAACATTAATATTGAAGGATGAAAAAGTGACGTGTCAAACTCCAATCAGGCTGACTGCCGATGTCGTGCAAGGTCTGCGGTGTGGTTGACGGGAAGAGCAATTCACGTGATCCATCTGATCATCATCATGCGGCTGAAAAGCCTTTAAGTGGGATTCACCAGCAAGGGCCCTTCGCTTCAATTCTGCCCGCTTTTTTGTTTGTTTCCAACCTCATTTCTTTGTTCTAGCTCCTCCCACTTCACGCACTTTGTTCCCTGATTCCAGCCTGACCGTCAATCAGTCTTGCGTTCCTGCTGAAGCCCCTTGCAGCATACGAGCAACGTGCGGTCCAGAGCTCCGCGGCTGCATGCGGTAAGTTTGATGTACGGGTCAATGCAAGCTTGGGCTTTCTGCTGCCAGGGTGACACTACGCCCTGTCACCCGCAAGCAAGGTCAGTCGATGCGGCTCTGCGAGGATCCTTCGCGCCTCATCTTACCCACAGTATTGTGAAGGCTCCTGCTCCTATATGGCAAGCTTCGGCCGTCATGTATGCTCTCATCCCTTGTTCGAGGTACGGCATGATCAATGCAGGCTTTTAAGCTGTCTCTTCCACTCTCCTCAGTTGGCGTTAAGGTTCACCGCGACTTCACAGTTGGCCGAGTGTTTGCTTTACGCGAAGCTACTATATCCGTGCTCAACCCTGAGTTTCGATACCGGGAATGTCCTCTGGTCTACACCTTTTACCTTTCGATATTGTCCATTACATTGCCCGTCAACTCGACGTACGCTCCTATGATAATCTCGCAAAGACCTGCCGTTCACTCCATCGGGACCTGCAAGATGAGAACACAGCTAAAAGATCAGTCCAGGTGACTCTTACCCACACTCCGGATTCCTGCGTCGTGTGGATGACGTGTGATACAACCGTCAGCTGACCACCTGGGAATTCCATCAGGCCAGTATTTCGTGTTCCACTTGGGCACGCCTTGCTCTGTCAAGCCCCTCCTCGTTGCCCGAGGCCAGTCTCCGACGAACACTTGATCGGTGTAACGACTACAACCATGCTCTACAGACGGCCTCGCCGTATTCTGCGGCTATTATAGCACACGCCACCAGCTTTTCGTATCACGCGGGCATCTTGTGCTACACAACCAACACGGGTCTGAGGGTGTTGGACTTCAATAACTGCGGTCGAGGCCGGGCCACGGAGAAGGTTCTCAGCAACGATGTATTTGTCGAGCATCTCGTACGTGTTGCAAAGGCGCAAGGTAAAGCCGAGGGTCTTGATCGTGACTCGCTGAGAGGGATCAAGGTTCAAGGGTATGCTGATGATATCGTGACGCTGGTTGGTGACTTTGGTACTCACGGCAATCACTTGTTTGCTGTGAATGTTTCGCAGAAGTTCAATCAACCATTGACGACTTGGCGTTCTCGCATGGTGCTTTGCGTTGAGCTTAGGTCGACGAACAGGCTTTTCGTCCGGCATAACAGCCGATATCTGGTCGTTGGCACACACTCTGCTACCGGCGATGATGACCACCATGAATGGCTTTTGGAGCGGTACGATCTTGCATCGGGTAAACCCGTGACGAAGGAGCCATTACAGCTTCGTAATCTCTTTGGATCAGATATCGGATCTACAATTTGTTTCGGGCTCTATGGGGGCAGGTTCTACGCTGTAACGAATCAAACCAGCATAGAGACCGAGGAAGTCGACTGGACGAGCTACTACGAAGTCATTGACATTGATGTGAGCGACCCTCATCCGGATTGCACGATCTGGGGGATTTGGCGGAGACAACATCTCGAGGGACCGATCAATGACGCTTGGACGGATCTTGGATTTCAGATAGATCATCGGACAGGTGAGTTGTTGATTGTTGAATGTCGGAAGGAATGGGTCGATGGCGGAAGTCGGAGTATCAGGACTTATTATACGCAAAGCTTTCAGCGGGCAAAGAAGGTAGATTTGAGGTTGGCTCGGCGCCATCCACCTGGTGATCAGATGGCGAGGACACTAGACGAGAAGAGCAACAGTCGCTATGAAGAGCCGAATACGCGGGTCGGGAGGTATGTGCATGCTGAGTTCCCTTTGGAGCAGAATGAGAGCAGCGGTGGTGGTGAAGGAAACGTGAAAGAGTACATCCGTGCCAAAACAAAATGGAATGGATACCATTTCAATGCGCAGTGTTTCGTGGATTTGGTTACCGAGGAAGTTAGAGTTGATGGGGAGTGGAGGCCGAAAGAACGGATCAAGTTGCGTGTCGTGAGTAGGGATGGGCTGAGTCCTCTCGTCCCAGATGTGGAGGGCGTGTGTCCGGAGTCAATTCGTGCTGTGGAGGGTGCCTGGCCAAACAGGATGCTCGTGCGGCCTCGCGTCAAGGACCGTGACAGGGAGGAGATGGAAGATGGCGAGGAAGCGTACTCCAAGAGTCGTGTGTACTTGTGGCCTCCAGATGATTTGGGGTCGCAGGATTTGTTGGACGTTTTGTGTCCCGGTGGGCGGGCCGGGGATGTCAAGGCTTGCCTTGGGGACGAAGGGATCGTGTATATGGCTGGTCCGGTTACGGGCGGTGAGCGTGCACTTGTGTTCGTCAGTTTTGATCCGATGTTTGGGTTCGATGGGATGAGGAGGGTCGATGGGAGTCCCGTATGCGCAAGGGGCGTCGACGTGAAGCCTCCTGCTCTGGCGACAAGGGTCGGCATGAATCGTCTCCCATCGGTCAACGTTGTTGGTATGGTGCGAGGAACAAAAAGGGCGAATGAGGATGGGAGAAGTGATGGTCAGGAGATGGCGGACCGGACGAAACGAGTCAAGGTCAAGACTGATTGTGATCATGCTGGATTTGATACAGCGATGATTGTGGGCGGAGGTCAAGGTGTATCAACGACGGCGCTGCCATCGCCACCGTTGACCATGACCTCGTCCTCTCCATCTTCGGTCGCGCGAGACGAACACTTCCCGTCGGTGTCGCCATCACAGCTAGGCAGATCTAGCGATCCAGGAGGGAGCCCAAACCCGATTATGAATGGGAGACGGTTGACTCAATGGCGGGAGAAGGCTATGTACCTGAGTATCAGAAAGGGATTTTGGCTGCGGTGACGGACACATTGATCATTGAAAGAATGAGAGGGAAAACACATAAGTTACATGAGTCTGTAGGGGTCTGGATCTTATTACGCTATAGACTACCTCTAACCGCACCGAACCTTGCAGTCGTCCCATGAGCACAAGAACGAACAGTGAACGAACCAGCCCAAACGTCCAAGGAGATCAATCCAGGGATAGCTGAATGCGAACTGTCGAGAACAAAGCCCCCTAGCCAGCCGAAGCTTTTTATATAGCCGGAACACCTGTACGATTGCTGACTACTGTAGTGCTAATTCAACCGCACGTAATTACCTGTTTGACATAACGAGTCAGACCATGTCGTTTTGTGATTGACTGAAAAGTCGACGAGGAAGGGAAAACACATACCAGGGAATTGACCTTGTCGGCCATGTACGCGACCTGTCCACCATTCATTCTCATTCTGTGTCCTCGTGAGGATCTCAATGACATCTCCGGTCATGAAGCTCAAATCGCCTTCTGCTTGGGCTTCGTAATCGTAAAGCGCCGTCACCGTCTCTGCAGCGGGCACACCACTCAGTCGACTCGGCTTCGGCTTGGGTGGAGGTGGTTTGCCCTTTGCGGCGGCTACTGCGCCGAGAGCTGGGCTGCTGGGCATACTACTTACAGATCCGGCAGGAGAATATGGTGGAGGTGGATTTGACACGCCGGCGTCCGGATCGGTGGATTTTCGGTATGTGCCATACTTTGACACGCCACTGGCTTCTGCTTCCTTGGCTTTCGCACCGCCGACGCTGTACTTGGAGGCTCCGCGTGCAACCTTCACTCCACCAGTTGACTTGAAATGGACTATTGTGAGCTCCTCGGCTCGATCCTGGACATCGCCTCGTTTCATCTCAAATGCTTCTTCGATGTCGAGGTTTAGGTTGAAGTAGCCGATGTTGATACCCTGCATTTTGTCATGCAACGTATAGAAGACATTCAGTTGCATATAATAGAACGATTGGAAGAGCGGTCGAATGAACTCGGCTTCCAAGGCAAAAAGCTTGGGCAGTTCGTCCTTGAGAAGGTTGTTAAAGTATTCATAATCTTGGGTCGCTTGTTCAACGTCGTTTTCGGCTTTGTACATGGCCTTTTCGTCCTTCAATGTCTTTTCCTTCTTGTCCTGCAGCTTTTTCAACGTTGCCCGGTGTCGGTCGTAGTCTAGTTGTTTGTGCTGACGCTTGAGGGCCACTTTCCGGATGACCTTGATAACTTCTAGCAATTGGTCGGCAGGGGCTATAACACGTTGTTCAATCATTTCGAGTTCTGGTTCCAGTGTCGCTTGTAGTTCGCGCACAATGCTTTCGTATTCTTCGCAGGCACGGATACCTTCTGGATTTCCTTCGGGTATTATGGAATTAGGATCGGACACGCGGCCTGATATAGGTTTGTAGATTTCCTGAATCGCTTTGGAAAATTCGATCTGATGGTTCAGCATGCCTATAGCTTGTCAGTACAATTCTACATTCTGGCGAAGCCCAACCCTACCATTGATGGCTTCAAAGTACTTCTTCGATTCATCGTGCAGTTTCTTGGTCTCTTTTTCCAGGTCGGCAAAGCGTCTTTCTGCGTCGATATAGACGGCATCTTTGGTGTTGTCACCAATATTGAAGCGCTGCTTGAATTGTTGCGGCGCTCGAGTAATACTCTTGGTGAACCCTTTTACACTCATTTTCGGTGGCCGCTGCCTATTGTGAGTATCGTGTCGCACACAAAATTGAGGAGTCTGCTAATTGACTAGATGCTGGTTATGCTGTAGGGTGATGCTTGCCTGAAAGTTGACAAGCGAAATCACACGCAGGTCTTTGGGTCTGTATCGTTGGTACCTTGCTACACTATTGCGAACGGTCGTATCGATCTGAGTGATTGCGAAAGATGGAGGGGTTTTAGGAATGGAGAGAATGGTGCGGCGGGATCATCTACAGCCAATAAGTGACTGCCTGAGAGAATGAAGACGAATGACGCAGAGCGGCTGTGGTCGGACCAGTGGATCGTGGCTGAGTAAGTAGGCAAGCTGTGTGAGGTGGAGAGGTTCTCTTCGTTGGGGTGGTAGACGTCTTGAAGCAGTCACCAAGGTCGTCACTGGGGGCACGAGATGGTGACTGCGTCGATATAGCGGATTGAGTAGACGAGGAAGACAGAGTCAATGATACGAGCGGAAGGGCTGTTGTACTGTAACTGTCAGAGAGGACAGGCGGGCTGCGTATGGGTGATGGTCATGGTAGATGCCGGTAGTGTGGTGGGCTGTTTCCGTCACCTCCGACTTGGCCGACCGAGATTCGCTTCGGACTTAATATCTTATCAGATCAATTATTTCTCATCACCCATTCGCCTCCTTCATCAATTCAATTCACATCATCGACCTTCGCCGCAACACTCATACAATATTTGTTGAATCATCCGACTCTTCAAAACGCTATAGTCAGCTGGTCTGACTGACATCAAGAATGTCCGGTCCAGCATCCTCTGTCGTGAGACAGGCTTCGAGAGTCTGTTCTCGACGCCTTTCCTCGAACATAGTCGCAGCGACTCCAAGACCTGCATCCGCCGTGCTCAATCAACGTCGGAACTATGTGTCGCAGTCGAAGCCTACCCAAGCCTCGGTCACTGATATCGACTCTGCCATCAAAGCAGATCAGAAGAAGTTCATCAATCAAACTGGCGACCTTCCGTCGCAGAGAACAATGCCCGGAACAGACATCAGTGCAGATACCATGATGAGCCCTACAGCAGGCATCCTCACACAAACCACGATTATGGACCAAGGTTCCCGACCTATCTACCTCGATGCTCAAGCCACCACTCCCGTTGATCCGAGAGTCCTTGATGCCATGTTACCGTTTCTTACCGGCCTCTACGGCAACCCCCACTCTCGAACCCACGCTTACGGCTGGGAGAGCGAAAAGGCCGCGGAACAAGCAAGAGAACACATTGCCAAGTTGATCGGGGCCGATCCAAAAGAAATCATCTTCACCAGTGGTGCTACTGAGAGTAACAACATGAGCATCAAGGGTGTCGCCAGGTTTTTCGGGCGATCGGGCAAGAAGAAGCACATCATCACCTGCCAGACCGAGCATAAATGTGTGCTCGACAGCTGTCGACATCTCCAAGACGAAGGATTCGACGTTACCTACTTGCCAGTCGACCACAATGGCTTGGTCGATCTCAAGCAGCTTGAAGACGCCATGCGACCAGAGACCGCTTTGGTCAGTATCATGACCGTCAACAACGAGGTAGGCGTCATTCAGCCAATGAAAGAAATTGGTCAGATGTGTCGGTCGAGGAAAATCTACTTCCACACGGACGGGGCTCAGGCGGTGGGCAAAATCCCCATCAGCGTCAATGACTGGAACGTCGACTTGATGTCTATCTCCAGTCACAAGATCTATGGTCCAAAAGGTATCGGCGCATGTTATGTCCGGAGACGGCCCCGTGTCAGGCTTGACCCCATCATCAGTGGTGGTGGTCAAGAACGAGGTCTACGAAGTGGTACTCTTGCTCCACATCTTGTCGTTGGCTTCGGCGAAGCTTGTCGCATCGCTAAAGAGGAAATGGAGGTATGTATTGTCACCCGGTCATTTCTGCTCACTTGTTCGATGATTATACTTTGCTTCACAAACATCTGCGACTCAGTGTGGCCTTGTTGTACGTTCTGGGTGAGCACGATGCTGACCAGTCCCTTTCTAGTACGATTCCAAGCGCATCGAGTTCCTGTCGAAACGCCTATCTGATGGACTGCTGTCTATGGAGCACACTTCAATGAACGGCGACGCCACCAAGCGTTATCCAGGTTGTGTCAACGTTTCCTTCGCCTATGTTGAGGGAGAATCTCTATTGATGGCACTCAAAGACATTGCGCTATCCTCTGGTAGTGCTTGTACTTCTGCCTCATTAGAGCCCAGCTACGTCCTTCGAGCTCTCGGAAACAGCGATGAGAGCGCTCACAGCAGCATCCGATTCGGTTTGGGCCGTTTCACCACGACAAGTGAGATCGATTATGTCTTGAAGGCGGTCCGCGAGCGCGTCACATTCTTGAGAGAATTGAGTCCATTGTGGGAACTAGTTCAGGAGGGTATCGACCTCAACTCCATCGAATGGAGTCAGCACTAAACGATCGAGGTTTTATTGAGCCAATTCAAATTGTACATCATACCTTTTGTCTCATGTGTACAATGTCGATTCGCTTCTCAAATGTGGCAACTTTTGTATTGAGGGCACGCTACCAATGGCGGCTAACGAGCCTGTACAGCATTACCGACGCCTTATAAGTGGGCAGCCCTGGTCGGATCTCCATACCCATAGCCTCGAATCATATTCTTGATACCCCTGCCTTGTTTGGTTTCTTCCCATGCATCTGTGGCATGCTCAAAGTCAAAAGTCTTCGTTCTGAGGCGTTCGAGTGGTATCGTGCCAGCCTCCAGCACATCCAACGCAACCTGGTAATCTCCAGCATTATATCTAAACGATCCATGCATATGCAACTCTTTCTCGCTCATTGTTACAATAGGAAAATTGATCACCGGTTTTCCGAGTCCAGTCTGAACGAAAGACCCTCCTGGTCTCAGGACATGTACCGCGGTGACGATTGAAGTTTCTGCCCCTGAGGCTTCAATCACCGCATCAGCACCCAGACCAAGATCATTCTCCGCGACGATTCTTGCGGCGTTCTCTTCCGGAGTCAAGTTCATATCTGGTTTGAAAGTGGCGGAGTTGTTGAAGCTCCTCGCGAAGTCGAGTTTATGCTCCAGGACGTCCACCGCCACCACTCTTTTTGCGCCGTATAACTTCGCGACAGCACCACATAAGAGTCCGATCGTGCCTGAGCCGAATACGACGACACTGTCTCCAGGCTTGATGCCGACCATTCTTACGCCATGTGCGGCAACAGCAAGTGGTTCTGCGAGGACTCCTTCCTGCAGACTCACGCCGGGTGGCAGCTTGTAGCAGAAATCCGCGGGGATTTTAAAATACTTGGCCAGACAACCTGGGTTGTCCGGTGGACATGCCGCGAATTTCATGTCCGGACACAGATTGTATAGCCCTTCCTTGCATCGCACACAAGAGCGGCATGGTTGGCCTGGTTCAATGGCGACGTTGTCCCCAGGTTTGAGATGCGTGACGGCTGAGCCAACGGCGTGGACAGTGCCTGAAGCCTCATGGCCCATTGATAAGGGTTGCGACTCGGAGACGTACTTGCCATTGATGCCTCCGTGGTTCCAGAAATGGACCTGAACAGCACTATTAGTGCTTTTGCGTGCAGAAGGAGCGTCGGAGTTACATCGCTGCCACAAACGCCGATGTACTTGATTCGGACGATTGCGTCTGTGGGATGGGTGATTTCTGGCTCGCGCGTGTCTTCGATATGTGCCCTTCCTGGGCCATACAGCATGACTGTTGGGTTCTGTACCTTGTAAGCATGTCTTCTGGTTCTGTGGGAACAGTACGCACAGTCGCCATAGTGTTTGAAGTCTCTGTGTCTTGTGCAGCACCACAACGTATTCGAGATGGAGGCGTCAGAGTCCAAGAGATCGTAATATAGCCCAGGGTCCATGGTTGAAGGCAGACTTGAGATGTTTATATGATGCTGCATCACATGTTGGGAGCAGTGGTGCAGAGCATACCGGTAACAACGGGCCATGTTGTGCCGGCATTTCCGCTAGGGTGATATGCAATGCAGGGTAGCAATACGAGGAGTCTGGCCTGCAGATACAGATATGCGGGGGTCGTCATCGTTCAAGCGCCCACAACTGGCTTAGCTGCACGACCAGCCCTGATCCAGAAAAAGTGGCACCGTCTGACAGAGAGGACAATATCGCTATAATGTCAAAGCCCAGCATGTTCGCGATAGCGAGTGCCTTGACCCCTATCTAGTACGACCATACGACAGAGTTGGTGTCTTCCCACCTCCAGGGGCTAGCCTCTCGTTGTGTGCGAAGGACTCTGAGACGACAATGAAGGGACGGTAGCTATCTGAACTTGGTGGGCGGCAATGGTCACACAGTTCCATTGCGTCTTGGAGAACGGCTGGCTGGTCAGAACTCTGCTCACATCTAACATGTCAAGTTGCTGCCGAGGTTTCAGTTTGTCCGTTGGACGTCGCTTTGTATCCGCCTCAGATATCGCTTGATATTCTTGTCGATGGCGGTCAAGAAAATCCACATATCCTCGATGGTCTCACGGGCCCATGTTTTGGCAGAGTTAGTGAATCGAACGCAACTGACTTCCGGATCCTCTGAGCATATGCCCTGCCTCGTCCTTTTTCTGATACCCATGGCTTTAAGAGATCCGTTCCAGTCATGGTCCGGCAGCCAAGCATTGCCTTTCCCTTCCAGATGGCCTTTCGCGAAGCTGGTGAGATCATGGACTATAAGTGGATCTGTAGTTTTAGTCTTGCCCTTCTCATTATACGCTGCGTGGAAACACTGTAGAATTTGTTCAGCAGCTTCTTTCTTGAAGCCTATGAATCGTATCGCCTCGACGCTGTCAAGGAATACTGGTACTTCAATCTCCTCATTACTACAAGCGCCTAGGATCTCGGGGCGCAGTCGGCGTATCCTCTGGTCACTTGACAGCGTACCAGCCATTTGGGACTCCTCTAGCATCCGGAGCGCTTCGTCTGAGATAGTGTGTATTGTAGACCCGAACATCTTGACGTCGCCGGAGTCGCTGCTGATGATGGTTGATGGTGGATGGTTAATAGGTAATGAAAGAGGATGAGGAGAGAGGACTCTCTGTCGGAAGTAAGCTGTCGATGAAGACGTGAAGATAGGAGGTGGGCGAAAGTTAGCTGAGAATATTTGAGGGTAAAAGGTCTTCTATCAGAGGAAAAATCTACCTGCAAATACCTGGTAGGTACAAGTGCCAAGGCCTTTCCATGTCAATGAAGTGCTTTGGCACCCAAGACTGACCATTTCGAAGTCATTCGTACCAATGATATAGTCTTAGCCTCTGACATGGTCAAGCCTGTCGGCTCTCCGCATAGTCCTACCAGCTTGAAGTCAGGGCATGAGCTGTCGGCTTATGATTTCCTGGTCTGTCGCTCTTCTCTTACCGCCCAAAAGGCAAATTCTATCTGGCTCAGAGGCGTAGGATCCGCAGTTCGGAGAAAGTCAAAGCTGCTGGTCGACCTTGTCCACAACTCAAGAGGCAGCCCATGGCATAACATAACCATGTCGTGCGGGCAAGAATCTCTGCTAGGTGACTGCAGCCGTGGAGCCGAACCCCGTTTATGATCAATGGTCAGATATGAGCTTTGGCACTTTGGGATACAGATCTTCCATTCCTGTAATGTCGAGGCATGCTGACTACTATCCGAAAACAAGCGATGTGGTATTAAATAGGGGTTCTATCTCCGAAAACTCCATGCTCTAATCAAGCATCGTCCCAACCCTAGGGCGCCTAGAGGCTGGGCAGTGGGCAACACCTCGGGAGTATCGGAGATACTGTAGGGTCCTTCTTAAGCAACACGATAATATATGAAGAGTATCTTTTCAAGGGGGTTTCAGCCCACGCTCTTTGTTAACCAGGTATCATTACTTCCATCCAGTTTCACCAGCCCACGTAATCTCTCATAAAGAACACTCTTGCAGAAGATGGCGGCGTTGGAGGATTTCAGTCCTTCTTCGCGAGTCCTCGTAACAGGCGCCAATGGCCACGTCGCCCAACATGTTGTGTCCCAGTTGCTATCTCGTCCAACGGCATCTAGACCCAAAGTCCGCGCCACTGTTCGATCTGAATCATCAGGTTCTGGGTTGGCTACCGTCTTTCATCACCATATTGCCTCCGGCGAGCTCGAGATCTTTCATGTACCCGACAATTGTCGCTCCGAGCGCATTCGACGAGGCCATCAGTGGCTGTACCCACGTTGCACACATAGCGTCACCATTAGTCGTTGGTGCCAAAGACGTCGAGAAGGATGTTCTTGTTCCCGCCATCCAGGGTACACTCTCATTGTTAAAGTCGGCCGCCCGGTCATCATCTGTGGAATCGGTAGTGATCACCAGCTCCTTCGCTGCCGTGTTTGACCCGGCATACGATTTGCGACCCGGATGCACCTACACGCCGTTGGATTGGAACCCGATCTCCTATGAACAAGCTGCAGATCGAAATCTCGATCTTACTGCATGGCCTGCTAGGTACTGCCCTTTCATCACCTATATGGCATCGAAGAAGTTGGCAGAGAAGGCTGCTTGGGATTTCTACGCCGACTACCTGGGCAACGGTACCTCGCAACCGACATGGCGCTTCAGTGTGATATGTCCAACGTATATTGGCGGCCCTTGCGTGCTGCCATTGTCAAAAGGCGCAGAAAGCCTCAGTTTCAGCAACCAGCTAATATGGAATACCGCGGCTTCAAAACCCACTGGGTCACTCCCTAAGGTGGACTTCCCACACTGGGTGGACGTATGAGATGTCGCCAGAACACATATACTAGCTCTTGTGGCACCAGAAGCTAATCAGCAGCGATTTATTCTTGCCCCAACCAAGAAGACATACTCAGATATGGCTGCAGTCGCGCGTGAACGATGTGGAATGACTCCTTCCGATGAGCAGCAGATACTGGAGTGTTTTGATATTGCATCGGAGAATTGCTCGAAGATTCTGGGAATGACTAGCTGGGTGACTTTCGAGGATATGTTAGCCGAAGTAATCGAGCAGGTAAAGAGCTCGGCCACGTGTCGATGCTGGAACGTCTAACATCTCCATATTATACTTCGCTGTTATCCATGTGGAGGATTTTAACCCAGAAGATATTTTAGGAAGGTATCCTAGACATATGATGGCGTTGAACACATGTCAATAGCGGTAGGACGATGTAAGGCATTGTGGAAGCAAGGCTTTGGTTGGTTCGCACGGCGCATGCTGGCGAGTGCAGTGTCCGAGCTGTGTTCGCACTGCTGCGTTCTCGACGCCGGCATTGGCATCTTGGCTTGATGTTGGAAGTGCGTCTCGCTTGCGTCGCTGAAGTAGGAGATTGGGTTTTGGTAAAAAGGGGCGATAAGGCTGCTGCCCCGGCTTCCCCCGGACACCAATCAATCCCAGAAAGATCACCAAGGAATGTCCCGGTCATAGTGACTGACTGCCTTATCGGTGGTCGTGTGGTCCCATTCTGTCTTCAGTAACACACGCCTAGCCTGACAACGAATCCCTAGCGAGGCACAATGACTACATATACGGACCCGTTCTCGCAACATGGAAGCACGCGATCAGTCGAACACTTTTGACCTACACCTCAATCGCACAGCTTTCCCAAATCACCCAACATGGGAGTCAAGGAGATTTTTACACAGTCAACGCTGGCCAAATATGGCAAAGCCATCAGCGCCACCCCTCGCGAGGTCATCTTCAATCACAACCTAATACTCTCGGCTGCTCTTTATGCTATGGCCGGTATTCCACTCTGTATGTTCGGCCCCTGTACAACTTCGTGAGGAGTGGTGCTGACCCACCGTGAAAAAGGCTGGGATCAAGGGTCGACTTCTACAATTCCCTCTTTACCTGGATTTCAGCACTTTTTCGGCCTCACTTCGAGCGCAAAGGAGATCAAAAACTTTGTATCTCTTGTTTATATTGGCTGCGGCGTGGGCGCGGGATTGAGCTTCTTCATCAACGACAAGATTGGACGACTATGGTCACTTCGTCTATATATGGCCATCTGGATCCTTGGTCAGCTCATCGCGACAGCCGCTCCGAACCTGGCGTGTCTCTATGCTTCTCGAATCATCTCGGGCTTTGGCATCGGTCCTCTGACAGTCATTGGACCAGTGGCTCTTGCAGAGATCGCTCCAACGGAGATTCGTGGACTGATTACTGCCTGGTTCACCATTGTCCTCCTCATGGCATTGTTTGTCGCAGCTTTCACAGTCTTTGGCGCCTACACCAACATGGCAGCTACAAGGCTACAGTATCAGGTTGTCTGGTTCTCCCCTTGCATTTTCTTGTGTTTCTGTATCGCGGGCAGCTTCTTCGTCTGCGAATCACCCAGGTGGCTATTCCTCCGCAGGCGTCACGACGAGGGAATTAAGATGCTCACCAAGCTTCGAGGCCTACCTGCCGACCATCCTCGGGTAGCGATCGAGATCCGAGACATCGAAGAGTCTATCTCGCATGAAATGGCAGATTTTGAACCAGGCCCAGGTGGTCATAAGCCTTTCGCTCGTTTGACTGGACTGCTGAGAGAGACCTTCCTGGTTCCGGCCAATCTGCGACGTGTTCAACAAGCAATGGTTTCCTATGCGCTTGCTCAACTTTCAGGAGCCAACGCCGTCACGTCTTACTTTATACCTATTCTCAAGATCATCGGCATTGCCTCCAGCAAGAACGCCTCACACAGCTTGTTTTTGAGCTGCATGTACAGTATGGCGAAGTTCTTCTTCACCGTAATTGCATCCTTCTTCTTCATCGATGCATTGGGCCGACGCAAGTCACTATTTGTCGGTATTATCATACAAATGTGCTCTGATATATACATTGGTGTATATATCAAATACAACCAAGCGGGTCATGTCAGCAATGCTGCGTCGCAAGCAGCCATTGCAGCCATTTTCCTTCATGGTTTTGGATACGCAGTTGGTAAGTCTCGCATTTACTTGGGCCTGGAAGTAAGATGATCACACTCTCTGACAAATTCTCAACAGGGCTCTTGATCCTCCCATACGTTTTTGGAGGGGAAATCTGGCCAAATCGAATCCGATCTTTTGGTGCTGCTATTACTCAATGTTTCCACTGGCTGTTTTATTATGGTGTCAGCGCTGGGTTTCCCTCGATCTTATCATCAATGGACAATTGGGGAGCTTTCCTCTTCTTCGCAGGATGGTGCTTTATTGCACTGATCTATGTCTTCCTTATGGTGCCGGAAATCAGCGGTTTGAGCGTGGAAGAGATTGACGACCTTTTTAAAGGACCATGGTTCAACGCCTACCGGCGGTCTAAGACGCCGACAATAATCGCAAGCAGTGACTGTGAAGACAGTATTGTCGAGCAATCCATGTGAGCGACCTGCTGCCCTCTTTCTGATTCCTGAGACTGACATATTTCTGGTCAGGACAAAGCATACTGACAACGGCAAGGATGTGACGGAAGTCAAGGCCTGAAAATCTCTCAATGATCAAGAAAGACATAGGGAGAGCCATTGTATTTAATCGGCGGACCTCTCCGGTCTCCTGAAGTGTGGAAAACATTGACCTCTCAAGCGGGGTGTGGCTCGGATTGTGGATGTGTGGCGTGTCTTTCATTGTATTCCTTCGCATCATGTATATACTGAGTTCACTACATGACAGACAAAACAAGACGATCATCTATGCAACCAATGTTTGACGTGGCACAGGATAGAAGGCCTCCATCTTCACCTTGAGCGTAAAGTATCCCTCAGAGCGAACGTGATATTGGCTGCACTTCTCACACCTTGCCGCTCCCGATTCAGCAATGGATCTAGGAGCAATCACAGTGAACCTCCAATTGCGTGATTAGATGCATTTCTACTGGAAGGCAGGATCCACTCAAAGACTCTGTGGCTGTATTTGGACTTTTTCGTACCGTTGTCACATTGACAACACATGAGTGGTAATTACAGGACGACAAACTACCTGCTGCAGGATTGCCACAGGAATCGCTACGCAGCACGTTTTCAAGCTGCCAGATAAGCCGATGTGTCGTGTCTCGGATTCTTCCGAGAGCGATCCAGTGACTGGTCTAACTGGACTCTGCAACAAGTTTATCGGCATCGACGGAGAAGTCCTTCGTGCCGTGTCTGCAAGGTCACGCTCTCAGGCCGGCTACTGCCATTGCTTGCGACGGCTAAGAACCACGATAGCACTCGTCAAGTGAGCGCTACAGCACCATCGACAAGGGAGGTAGACCACTTTGATCCACAAGGTGGCGCTTCCGAAGATATCGCCCACGAGATCCGAGCACATTATCTCGCGTAGACATCTAGGTTGAGCTATTCGAACTCCTTGTTGCAGCCCCCAGAGAAGCATCGCTCGCGTCTTTACACTGACCCCCGGAGCCAACATGTCGAGGCCAAGTACACAAGCCGTCCCACCGTTGCAAGACAAGGATGTAAAGATCAACATTGTCGGAGCGGGCGTCTTCGGGCTCAGTACTGCCATTCATCTAGCACAACGAGGATATAAGAGCGTCACAATCTTCGACAAACAGCCATACCATGAATCCCGGTATTCTTACTTCAATGGATGTGACGCTGCGTCGGCGGATATGAACAAGATCTTTCGTTCTGCATACGGAGGGCAAACCGAATATCAGTCCTTATCCATCGAAGCCTTCGAAGCCTGGAATCAGTGGAACGCAGAGATTGCCTCAGGGGAAGTGCCGCCGGGCATGACCAAAGACGACAAAGTCTTTGTTAACAATGGTAATCTAAGCCTGACGGATAAACCCAGCCTTCCGCCATTTGAGTTGGCGACTGTCCGAAATATGCATGAAGCTGGCTTTCCCGACTCGCAACTTATAACCTACGACCCGAGCCATGTTAAGATCGCCACCGAGCGAGGTTTGGGTTTCGCCATCGATCCATTTGACCGTCAAAAGCGAGGGCAGGAGTACCTCGGGGTGCTCGACACCACGGGTGGGACTACGCTGGCCGACAAGGCTTGCTCCTTTGCTCTATACAAGGCAGAACGACTCGGTGTGCGGACGGTGTTTGGACCCACGTTGGGGGCCTTCGAGTCCTTTCTACGGGCGGACGGAGAGATTGTCGGTATCCGCACCCTCGACGGGAAATCTCACTACAGTGGCCGCACGATAATTGCCTGCGGCGGATGGACACCAACGTTGCTTCCCGAGCTGGACTCTGTTTGCGAAACCACGGCCGGTTCCGTCGCTATCATGAAATTACCCACAGATCTCGCGAGGCGATATTCGGCAAAAAATTTCCCTTCGTGGATGTACAAGATGCGCGACGGTGCCGAGGGAGGACTCTACGGCTTCCCCGCCACCAGCGAAGGATACATGAAGATCGGATATAGAGGCACCAAGTACACGAACCCGAAGGTGCAGAAGGATGGCCGTGAACGTAGTGTCCCTGTCACACGGTACACGGAAGCTGAACGAATTGTCGACCAGATTCCCACGCAAGCCCTCGCGGTGATCAAGCAGTTCATCGCAGATTTTCTACCAGATCTGCCGGCGAACGGCGTCAACATCGACATGACCCGGCTGTGCTGGTACACGGATTCTTGGGACAATCACTTTGTAATAGATCACGTTCCTGAGCATAAGAATGTCCTGGTTGCCTCTGCTGGGAGTGGTCATGCGTTCAAGTATTTGCCCAACATTGGCGCCTGGGTTGCCGATGTCTTAGAAGGCAAGGGCCTCGACAGACAGCTGATTCGGAGTTGGCAGTGGCGCACGCGCCCGGATCAAGAGGATCGCATTATCAACGAGCTGATGCAGGGCAGTGCTGGCCGAAGATCGCTGAAGAAGACAGAGTTGTCGACGCCGCGGCATTTGAAGCTCAGGCAGACAGCGAACTTGTGAAAGAAAAAATGCAGCTAGATAGTTTTATTCTCCGGCCTATTTCCCAGGGCCATGTCTTTCTGTTCATACGACTTTTATGGTAGTATGCGAAAACATGAAGTGACACCAATCCTGACCGTGCTCACAGTGCCCGCTATGAATGCTTCCGATTTTCAATGTTGGTAAGGAACGCTTTCCTAGATGGTTGAAGCACCCCCTTTTGGATGAAACGAACTCGATCCCTCATGGCTTGGAACCGAATCTCGCAATTCAGACCGCTTGATTCTGCCATCACAAGGAATTATCCTCCTGCGAGAGCTACATCTTCACAGCACCATCTTCTTGACTTCCCGGACCTCGTTTACCGGCGCAACAGGTCTTCCCGTTTTGAACAAAGACTTAATGTTCTCAAAGCACTCTCTCTCCGACTTTTGGAAAGCCACATCCGTCAAGCCTCCCATATGTGGCTGAACGACAACCTTGTCGCTTGTCTTGAAGTACTCGTTGATATGTGGTTCATTGTGGAAGACATCCAATCCGGCGCGTGCCACTTTCCCAGACTCCAGAGCCTGGATCAGGGCTTCTTCATCGACCACGGGTCCGCGAGCGGTATTCACGAAAAAGCACCCGTCCTTCATGGCGGCAAATTGAGCATGAGAAATGAGACCGGTCGTCTGCTTGTTTAGGGGACAGCTGATGGAGACGACGTCCGACACCGCGAGCAGGTCATTCAAGTTGGAGTAGTAGGTCAGACCATACCGTGCTTCTTCCTCCTGGGATAGCTGTCTCCGGTTGTGGTACGCGAGCTTCATGTTGAACGCCGCGGCCTTCTTGGCGAGGTACTTCCCGATCGACCCGGCGCCGACAATCCCCAGAGTCAAGCCGCTGGGGTCTCGTGCCGGGACGATGTTGGCTTTCCATGTACCGTTGCGAGCTTGTTTCTCGCCCCGTGTCGTATCTCGCAATACGGCCAGGGTCAGAAACATGGCCATATCGGCCGTGGACTCGGCAACGGCGTTAATAGTGTTACAGAACCAGACCTTGTTCGCCGTCATCCACTCAACATCGAATTCGTTCTATTTTCACTGTTAGCTTCAGGATGCATGCAGGAGGGGTTTCGATGCCCGAGGACTCACATAGCCAGCTGAAGCTGAAGTAATGATCTTGCAGTGTGGTAGCAAAGATTTCAATAGATCCTCGTCAAACGGCTCGTATGGTGGTGTGCCCATTCGGATCACGAATGCGTCGATTGGTCTCTCAGCCACCATGGCTGGAAGCATTTCCTGCGTTTCCTTGCGGTTGGTCGCCTCCAGGACCTCAAAGTCGAAGTCTTTCGAGAAGTCTGCCAGGTAGTCATCGCCGACGAACCTGGGGTTCCCCAGTGCCACTACCCGCGGCTTGTCCGAAATCTTGCCTGGCGACATGTTGTAGATGAAGTGTTGTTAGTTTGTTGGTAGGAAGATTTATTCTCTGCTGGTGTATATGATACCAGCACAATAATGTTCGTTGAAGTCCTTCCAGTATCGTACTAAGCAATGTGAAAAGCGACCTCCCCTAATTTGAGTAAGTCAATCTGAATGGCCATGCACTACAGCTTGCAGCCTTCTGTCATGGCCAACCTGGGCCCACTTATCATGCAATCATGGGAGACCCTGATCTGGGATGGCAAGGCGTAACCAAGGCTTCTTCCGTGATTGGCTCGGCGGCAACCGTTCAGTCTGGCACAACTTTGAAGGTGACCTTCTCCGAGACGTTGGGGAAGACCTACAAACGCGAGTCATCATCGCGGACGAACATGACTTGGACTCTCTTGCAAAACTTGACTGCCACCTACCTTCCCCAGAATGTAAGTTAGGTGACATTGCAAAGAGGAGATCAGCTTCCAACAAATGTGACACGACTCCGCCAAAAGCACAATGATTGCGATGTCGCCGGAAACAGACACGCCGTTACCACCCATGGGGTTTATCGCGGTAGAGTGCCACTTCACTCGACCAGCGGGTGATGCGTTTAACGAGCGTACTTGGCCGTTCCCGCTGATTCGAGAAAGAGCCCCGGGTTCCTTGGTGACTGATTTGGTGACCAGGGAGGGTTACGATGCAGGTTTTCTCGACAGATTTGTCCAAACGGGTCAAAAGCTCGCCGAACAAGGCGCAGTGGGCATCATGACAAGCTGTGGCTTCCTAGCCATGGCCCAGCCAGAGCTTGCAAAACGCTTACCTATCCCCGTCGCGACGTCGGCGCTGCTCCATATTCCATCGATCCTGGCTTTCCTGCCGGCCGATGCGTCTATCGGCGTCCTCACTTTCGATGACACGAAATTGGGTCCTTTGCATTTGTCGCAGCTCAGCATCAGAGATGTTGATCGTGTGCATATCATCGGCGCTCCCAAGGGCGGAAGTCTGCAGCGGCTGGTGTGCGACGACATTGAGTATTCGCATGAGGATATTGAGAAAGAGCTCGTCGAGGCCGCGTTGGAAATCGCCCAGCGTCACCCGGAGACAAGGGCAATATTGCTCGAATGTACACAGATGGCCCCTTTTGCTGTGGCGATCCAGCAAGCAGTCGAGTGGCCGGTGTACGACGTATATACCATGGGCTGTTGGTTCTACTCGGGTCTGTCACGGCACCGTCCGCAAGCCTGGGGACCTATCGGTTCAGATAAGACACGAGGCTAGCCTGTCATTTATTTATTTATTACTAGGGCAATGAAGTGCCTGAATGCCACCGTTATCTTTATTTCTGTGTTTCAATGCTAACGTAAGGGTCATGAGGTCGTCGAAAATGAACTTCATTCGAGGAATTCGCCGCCGGACTCCTTCAGTATCAATTCGTACTCGGGCTTAAACTGCATGTACATGACCTCTGGCGTGCCAGTTCCCCTTTTTGTGTACTCTGCCTCTTCTTCGCCCACATACGTCTTTGTAACCTCGTTGCATGACATCATGTTAGTGACGATGATCTGGTTTTGGCATGCCCGCTCGAGGGCGATGAAGAAAGCCGCGGCCTCGTCGACAGTGCCGCCTGCAGTCAAGATGCCATGGTTCTGCAGGATGATATTCTTCTTGGTAGGGCCCAGAGCGGCCGCGATGTGTGCACCTTCTTCCTTTGCGAACACCACGCCGCCGAAGCCTGCGTAGACGGCCAAATCATTGTAAAACATGCATGAATCTGACACAAAGAGAGAATCAGTTGGGACCTTGGGACTAATGAGAGGGACTTCTGCTGACCTTGATTCAACATTTCTATCGGCTTGCCAAAGGTTGACCAGGCCCTCCCGTAGGGACTGTGCATGTGGCACGCCGCATTGATGTCTGGGCGAGCCTTGTGGATCTGGCTGTGGATGATGAAGCCCGCAGTATTCACAGGCTGATCTCCACCACCAACTCGGTTTCCTTCTTCGTCGACTCGAACCATGTCAGATACCTTCAGCATACCGAAATGGACTCCGTACGGGTTGATCCAGAATGTGTCAGGTTCGATGGGATCTGTTAAATCATATCGAGTGAGTACGTTTCACCTATATTGACCGAATGCAAGCGAGGACGTTCGACCGACCTACCTCGAAGGCTGATATGTCCGCTGCCACCGTCCGCATAACCAAGTTTCGCGAAGACGCGGAAGGCGCCGGCCGTATGCTCAAGTTGCCATTTCCGTTCTGCTTCTTTGGTGGACGGCTTTGGAACGTAATGCAATCGCCGACGACCAGATGAAGATGTGGCTGTAGTATTGAGGATAGACTGACGAGTACCGGCAGGCGGGTTAGATCCCGCAGAAATTGTGACTGTTGCAGTGGACGACATTGTGAGGAGCGATCTAGCCCTGCCACTCAGTTGCTGTCTCAGATGTGGCGATAAGAACACCCTTCAGTTTATAATTTAAAGGACGATTGAAGATATACGCCGTCTCGAACGGATCATATCTGGGCGTACTGAGATGGGTTTTACCCCTCAAGACGGCGGACTAACTTAAGCACACAGCCGCCGAAAACCCCCTCGTGCAGACCAGGCCTTCATGCTTAGGAGAGGCTAAGGCAGGATTGGTGGAAGGTCGGCTTCCTCCGGTTGTGGCTCTTTTGGGGTGGAATGGATAAATCCGAACGCCCAAAAATTGCAGCAAGGCGTCCCCGGGCGTCACCGTGCCGAACGAAGACTCCTACGAAACATTGCATGGCATTGACTTACTCCATTGACTGAACGACCCGTCGGCTGTACCACCATGTGATCAGGGCAATCCGGACATATCTTGCTCCTAATATAGATGTAAGATTAAAACGGATAACGTAGTCTTGGAGTATGATCGAAACGACGTTGCACACTCGCTCTAGTCCGGCCTGTCTTCGCTGTAGATATACTCCGCAAAATGACCCCTATGGCGACCATAATGCAGACACCCTTGGCCGGTGGCCCTCGCCAGGTCGACCAGCAGCCTTTCGTCGGCGAACATGACCTCCGCAACACATTCGCTTTGGCCATGTCAGCCATGTACAAGACCGAGGTCCCTCTCTATGGCGACTTGGTCAGAATCGTCATGGAAGTCAACCAAGCGTGCCGAACGCAAATACCACTTGAGGAAAGACTTGACCTCGAAAGGCATGGCGCCATCCGTCTGGGGACACCGTACGAACTTCGAATCATACGTCGAATCTTTGCTTTGATCGGCCTGCACCCAGTCGATTATTACGACTTGTCAGTGGCAGGACTGCCTATGCATGCCACTGCATTTCGCCCAGTCCGCCCGGATGCCCTCAGAAAGAACCCCTTTCGTGTCTTCACCACACTTCTGCGGCCCGAGCTGCTGAGACCTGAACCTCGAGAATTGGTCTTACGCCTTCTCATCCGCCGCAACATCTTTAGTGACGAGCTCTTGAAATTGGTTGGCGTTGGTGAAGATCAGGAAGGGTTCTTCGCCCATCAAGCGGAGAGATTCATTCTCGAGGCCATGAAGACGTTCAAATGGCACTCGGTTGCCGCCGCAAGTCTCGATGATTACCAAAGGCTCGCAGCCGAGCATCCTATCCTAGCGGACATCGCATGCTTCAACAGTGCTCATATCAACCATCTGACACCCCAGACGCTGGATATTGATCGGGCAGAAGCCAAGATGAGAATGGCAGGACTCGCGGTCAAGAGCAGGATCGAGGGCGCGCCTGCTCGTCAGTATCCAATACTGCTGCGACAGACGAGCTTCCTGGCACTCCGCGAGCAGACCAGCTTTCCTGTGAAAGGGTCGACAGCCTTGGTCCAAGGTTCTCATAAAGCACGTTTTGGCGAAATTGAGCAGCGCGGAGCAGCACTGACGACCGAAGGACGAAAATTGTTCGACCGAATCCTGTCAGAAGCTCTTCAGACAATGGCATCTGCTGAAGCTGATGTTTCAGAACAGATGTTTAAGCAAGCTTTCCTGGAATTTCCGGACGAGTGGGAGACTATGTTGAGGAGAGGCCTCGCCTTCTTCGAGTGCCGATGTACGATCAAGGCTCGTGGCTGGAAGCAGTCGACCACAGGTTCGAGGGTTTCTTTGTGGACGCTGCTAAAGGAGCAGCTGGTCGAGACAGTGCCGATTACATACGAAGATTTCTTGCCAATCTCTGCAGCAGGAATCTTCCGCTCAAACCTTCACTTGTCCGGGGACGACCAGCAAATTTTGGAGTCGGCTGATGATCAACACGGTCTAGAGTCCGCGCTCGGCTGCAAAATTGCACAGTCGAATTAGTATATGCAAGCCTCCAAGCGCAGAGCTTGGCTCGATGTGCGAGTACTCTTGGAATCCAGGAGATAGTTCTTGATAGTCGTGCTTGAAGCGTATTCCTCCAAGCAAAAGAGAGCAATGACCTGCTCTTGATACCCCTGAGACCCAGGTGGACTGTGCAGTGTGCGTGCTGTAGATAAGGCATACATTGTGTGCCAGAGACACTGGATTATACCAGAATACCTCAGAGGGTGCCGAAGAAGTTGTCGTCTGGATGGCTTCCAAATCCTCGAATTAGATCTTGCACGAGCCATTCCGACTCGTCGGGAACATTCATGTCCTCCAGATTGACCAGCCACTCCTCTAGCTGTAAATCATCAAACGATGTTTGAGATGCTGGCTCATTGGCGCCAGCATCCTCCGTCGTAGGACCAGCCAGCTGCATTGGTGCGGATGATGAGCTTAAATTGTTCGCAGTATTTCCAAAGCCTCCGAATATCATGCTGATCGTTCGCTCCGAGAGTTTTTCGAACAGATCTCGATATGAAGCTGCAATGTCCCACCGTTCTGCGATGATTACAAGGACCATATTGCAGGACGTACAGGTATTTATGACGTCCAATTGAGGAACACTCTTCCTCAAGGATTCACTACTCCACAGACAGTGCAGGTAAGTGAGCCCAGCCAGGAAAAGAATATGTAGGGAGCCCCAAGTATACCGCACTGGGGATCGCTGGTACGTGCGACGATACAAGACGCAAATCTCTCGCGCGCTTGAGGCGCACTGTTGAAAGGCAGCGTCGATCTGGGTTTTGCTGCAGTGTGCGTAGAGGGAGGCGATATTCGGGTGTCGATAATATTCGCATGTGAGGCAATGCCGGTAGAGTAAGATTATCGTGTGGTCGTAGGCCAGACGAAACCAGTCTTTTGATGTAAACACTGAGACTGGGCCAGTATCCTGATACTGAGATTGATCTGGGGAATCAGCAAACCACTCATCGAGAGCTTGTCGCAATTGAGGTACTTGTGTGGATATGGTTACACACGTCCTGGTACCGTCGGTCGGACCGCCTGAAACCGCTGAATAGATGGAGTCGCTAATCTTTGACCACAGCTGTCGAAGTTTGATGATGTGAATGGCACCAGTCATCTGCGTGGGAGGGGTTTCTGGATCGTGACGGACAGAACCTACGATGCCTGTTCTGGTTATGCCAATATCATCGATATCAAGTGGAAGCTAGTTACAGACGTAGTATAAGCAGTTGTGAACGGGGATGGCTTGATCCGAAGGCCATTGGGATGTACATACCTCGATGTCGATTACCTGATCTGAAATTCCGAACGGTCGCCCAAGGATAAATGCTGCAGCGCGGTCGATATCGTAGGTTACCCAAAAGACCCTTTTCGACATTTCACTGGTCAGAGCATCAGTGTTGGGACGAAACTTCTTGACACTTCGATGGTAGCCGAGCTCAATGCAATGGCGGATAACCATGCCGGACAACTTCCTGCTTGAGATTTAGTATGATGCCCTGCGTCTGCAAGTGGTCAAGCGGGTAAAATCACCATATTGATGCCCCAACAGGAGATCTAATGGAATAAATGGCGCATGCTAATACTGCCTGGATAGACTCCATGCTGTCCATGTCCATCATAACATTCATACAACTTAGCGAGGCGGCGTAGTATGCCTGGAGATTTTCTTAGATTTTGCAGTTTCGTCCTGCCTGGTCGACTTACCTCAGCATCGTCACTTCTGTCTCCATTCTTGTTGATGAGCGACCCTATGGCGTACACCTATAGATATGTAAGTATCTGATGGGATTACAGAAAGGGGCAATCTCATACCATGAGAACGAAAAAGCGAGGAATTTCCTTCACTGATCCAACTTTACCCAATTGCTGGGCTTGCAAGCACTCTTCTTCCCACGCATCAAACGTAGGGCGATGCAGGAAGGGGTATTGCGGATGCACGTGATTGAAATAGGCGGCAGACAGTGCGTGGCCGACATTCGCGGGAGGAAACAGTACTGCTCTACCACTTTGCACACCTGGATGACCATCGACATCACTGTAAACACTTGGCTGAGATCCCCCGGGCCGTTTTCTTGTTTTCAATGCAGAAGAAGCGACTCGGGAGAATGAAAGGGCAGATGACGGGCCAAAATAGTGCGGTTCCCGGCCAGACGCACTGAGTGCAAGCAAGGCAACGTCAGAAGCAAGGTCGTTTCCTTCGTCATCGCCATCGTGAGATTCGTGCTTGCTGAGACCTGGTGACACCATTGCGTAGTTGGAAGCTTGAGCAGTGTAATTCTGGTTGGCATCCCGCCCAGCGATAAACGGTACATCGCCGACGAGACCTTGATGAGCGGGATGGTCCTGGTCCGGATGCCCGAATATGTTGAAGTGATCAATGGCGACTTCTGGATTTGTCTGTCGAAGGAGGCCTTCAAGGAAGGCGACGTGCGATTCCAGAGACTGCAAATAGTCCCGAGGTCGGTGGAGGCCGGTGGCCGGGTCTTCCACAAGACAATCTTGGTATCATGAGCATCAGTCACAGTGGCCAAGACGGTCAGGTCGACTTACCACGTCCTGCCTTTGCGCAATGCTGACATCGCGGAATTTGTCCATCGCACTAGAAGCAGTGAGTTACCCAGGCTTGATGGTCGACAGCAATGCCAAGCATACCTTTAATTTCTTCTGCTTGCATATGATGCATGCTAGCGTGGTTCTGTCCCCAAGGCGAGGTCGCTTTGTCGAGCGCGAGGTAGCCATTCCTCAATAATGGGCATTGATTTGTCTCAGTTCTCAGACTGGGTATGGCTGCGCGCCAAGGGCGCGGATTGGCGAGCCAATCAAAAAATTCAGCAGAATTGTTTACCAAACGAGTCTAAGCTCTAATACGTCATAAACCCTATTCTTAGCACTTACTTAGCAATACTTTCCCAAAAGTTTTTGATATCGATATAGAAACTTATAATATTACTCTAACTATCCCTTAATGTACTCGATTTTATTAGTAATTTCGAGAGTGCCAAGCTCTTCTTAAATACTTTATACCTCGCTTTAAAACTATAGTACGAGAATTTTTTCTTATATACTACGACCTTTAGAAAATCGTATTTTTCAAAAAAATCTTAGATTTTTAAAGATATATAGCTACTCTTTAAGTATTTTTATTAACGCTTTTAATATAATATAGATATATATATAATATATATAATATTTAAAATCCGAGATAAATTGGTCTTAAGACTATAAAGATATTAAATTAAAATGTCTTAACGCGAAGAAAGATGGTACTACTTGATACTTAAGTAAGATTTAGTTTTACGAGTATCCGCTCGATTTTTTACTTTTTCTTTCTTTATTTAAATCTTTTTTAGATTTATATACTTAAACACGCTTAAACGAGATGAAAAGATTAACTATCAAGAGAGACCGAAAAATACATAGTCGAGTAACGAGAAGAAGCCCACTTTACCTGTTTTGGAGCTCAGACCCTTCTGGCGAAGGACTTTTCTCCGAAAAGGACTAGTGCGTATGCATTATCACGTGAGCCTCATGGGTCTGAGAACTAAGACAAGGCATTGATGGCTTATCGCACGATACAAGAAGAAGAGACTGGGCCGAGAGGTTCCTATTGGGCCAAGTCTCGCCGATGACCTACCTGCATTTCCCCTCCCGCGTCTTCAACAGGCCATGATGCATGTTGCGTGTGGAAAACGACCATACACTCTTCTGATCTCAACACTTCCCTCACCTTCATTCTCAAATCATGAAATCCACAAACAAGAGTCATGAGCAGTGAGTCTCCAGAGTGCTCCTCGTCCGAGCGCAAAAGTTCTACAGTGTGAGTTCTCAGCATTACAGTTGTAACGTCCTCCGGTTTACACCTCGCGCAGATGCCACCTCTGCCGGCAACGCAAGACGAAATGTGACCGACTATTACCCAGGTGCGGGTTCTGCGTGAAGGCCCAGGTCAATTGCAAGTATGTCGCAAAGCCAAACAAACGTGGTCTGCGAGCCGGCTACGTCTCTCAGCTCGAGTCTCGCCTAGGTAAGGCCGTCCATGCATCAAGCAGCAGGCAGTCGCTCACCAACCCAAGAATCGCTCGAAGAGCAGATAGCAAGCCTGAAGCAGCAGGATCACACTGCTCCGGTCGAGGTCATATCTCCTTCACTTACAACGCCTGCGCCTGCAGCAACGTCCGCTCCCGATCAGAGCATCCTTTCACCCACACAAAATGCAGCTTTCCTTTCTCCTTCCAATTCAATTCAAAGCAACGTCTCCAAGCCTCGCAGTCACATGGAGTCCGACGCAGCTGTGGCAGACTTGATGACTTTGCCTCATACCTATATGTATACCCTGGTCGATTTATGGTTCAAAGAAACCCAGCCGTGGATACCGATCCTGAGCCGCAACTCCTTGCTGAATGCTCTGGACGCACTCCCACATCCACTCACTCACATTGACGACGTTGTACTGAAGGCTGTCATTGCCCTTGAAGTCGCATATTCGAGCCAAGCCATCAGTCTCGGTTACCACGGCCGACTACGCCTGTCGCAATACCTGCGTGGACAGGTCATTAACGAAGCCTTCTCTCAACCATCCCTCAACTCTCTTCAAGCACTGTTGATCATGGCAATCCTCGACTACGGGTCAGATAACATACCGAGTACTTTCAGTTTGCTGTCTGTTTGTCGTCGAATGTGCGAAAATATCGGCCTGTTTCGAAAATTGCTCAATCAAATGGCCCTGCAAAGTCCGGCGCAGGTTGGGCCACCTGCGATCGGAAGCAACACAGGTGATGAGCTTGCAGTCCCTCTAACCTGGGCGACACTTGGGTTAGATGCGGTCTCCACCCTGGGCGTTACGTGGAGAGACGTTTCGGCTGCACTGGTCGATCACTTGTCCAGCGTCGCCTATGTCAGTACACCAGACTTGAGGGACAGTTTTCGCAGCCATGTGCATCTCTGTGCTATCGGGTTGCAGCCATTACATACATTCCTTCACGAGCACCAAAAAGGGCTGTATGAAGGCAGACAAGCCGATGCGTACGCAACCTGCGACGAGATTTATAACAATCTGATAAGTTACGCGCAAGCGCAGCAGGCCGAAAGCTATACCCTGCTCGCGGACGGCCTGATTGATTTCGACCCCAATCTGTCGTTGACGAGTATTCTGGCTCATGCGAGTGTGATTACCCTGTACCAACGGATGGTCGAATGGGATGGGTACGAGATCCCGCTGCAACGGTGTTTGCAAGCGTGTGAACATGTGGCACTGGCTTTGAGAAGCATTGGCGATATTGATGCCGAATTCAACTCACCACTGTTGGGCCCGGTACTGTTTTGCGCGGCGCGATTCAAGCTGATTTTCTACCGAAAGAAAGAGCAACAGCATGAACCGGTATTTGATGTCCTGATGCATGGAGTCAACATGTGTGGAAGGCGTTGGGCGGTCGCACGCAGACTGGATATTGTACTCCGGGCAGCCATTGTGCAGGTGTATACGGACAAAGGGTCGGACGTTGTACCGTTGGGTTTCTGGGATCTAAAGAAGAGTCACCTGGATATTTCGGAGGATTTGAAAGAATGGGTGGAGGGATATAAGCATACATTGTATGTAGGCGCTTTGAATGGGCCGTACATGTAGATGGGTCACGGCTGTTGGTTGAATGCTTGCTAGATCGTGCTGATTGAGTATGCGAAGATAGGGGTGGTTTGTTCCTTTATGACGCCACGCATATGACGCCACGCATATGACGCCACAAAGATCTGCCGCTTGATTGTTGTGGCTGGATGACAGCTCGTTGGAGATGGGGACCCTTATATTGAGGTGCCTGTGTCCCTTATTGGGATGTTAAACATTCAGGACATGTAAGATCCTCCAAACCATTCTTCGCCAGCACCTTCACCTACGACCGAACTCACAATGGCCGTCCAAGGCAACATGAATAATCTTACAACGCTGATCAAGAGGTACGTCCATAATAAACGCATCCTCCGCTCCGTACACGCACAGGCGTCACATGCGCCATTGAGCCAAACACCTAACTAACTATTCTGCGTGATCAGGCTCGAAGCTGCAACCTCACGGCTTGAGGATATTGCAACTACCATAGATGGTCCTATTGCTCCTACGAACGGTGTCGTCGCTGCCACCTCTTCAACTCCCTCCATATATGCCACTGCTCCTGAAGCAACTCCACCACCTCCCGAACCTCTACCAAGAACCGTCGAAGCCTTTGACCAGATTATTCAGGAGGATGTCTCCGGTTTTGTGACAGCCAGCGGAAAGATTGGTGGTCTCGTGGAACAACAGGTTTGCGCGATATCCAGTTCGGTTGGCAGGCTGGTCTAATCTGTTCACAGGCAAAAGCAGTCAAGGAAGCATTCGAGGCTGAACGGACATACCTGCTTGTAGCTTCCAAGGCCAAAAAGCCCGACCCTCAACCTCCTGAGTTGATGACAGAACTGCACCGACATACCTCAAATGTCGATGAAATTCGAGAAGCCAATCGTCCTTCTCCACTGTTCACTCATCTGAGTGCGGTATCTGAGGGGATCGTTGCTCTGGGATGGATTGTGGAAAAGAGGCCGGGTGACTTCGTGACGGACACTCTCGGTGGTGCACAGTATTATGGAAACAAGATATTGAAGGAGTACAAGGACAAGTATGTTATGACGAGTCACTCCTGAAATAAAACCATTTACTCACAATTCTTGCAGGGACAAGTCGCATGTCGAGTACATACAGGCATACTACAAGATCTTCAGGTCGCTTGCGGCCTACGTCAAGGAACATTTCCCCAGCGGTCTAACATGGAACAATAAAGATGGCGTCGACGCTGTTGAGGCTCTGAAGCAGATCCAAGCCGGCGCAGCAGCGGTTCCAAAACCAGCAGGTACCGCTGGAGGACCCCCACCTCCGCCGCCTCCGCCGCCTTTGCCAAATTTCGACGATGATGGGCCCTTGGCTCCTGCACCTGCGGCTTCACAAGGCGGAGATATTTCTGCAGTGTTCCAGCAACTAAATCAAGGTTCCGCCATTACGGCTGGCCTCAAGAAAGTGGACAAGTCTGAGATGACGCACAAGAATCCCTCGCTCAGGGGAGCTCCCCCTGCGCCTCAACGATCAGAGTCACAGTCATCACGTGGTAAATCACCGATACCGAAGAAGCCTGACAGCCTGAGGTCTAAGAAACCTGGCCGAAAGGAGCTCGACGGGACAAAATGGATCGTTGAGAACTTTGACAACACTCAAGGTGAAATCATCGAGATTTCGGCGGAGCTGAACCAAAGTATTTTGATCTCGAAATGCAACAAATGTGTTCTGAAGGTCAATGGCAAAGCCAACGCTATAGCCATCGACAATTGTGCTGGTCTGTCAATACTAGTTGAGTCATTGGTTTCGAGTTTGGATGTCATCAAAGCGACGAAATTCCAGGTTCAGATTGATGGAGTGGTGCCCACTCTGCTCCTTGATCAAGTGGATGGTGCTCAGATTTATTTGTCGAATCAAACTTTGGCTACGGAGCTGTTCACCAGCAAATGTAGTGCGCTCAATGTTGTACTGCCTCCGAAGGACGATTCAGAGGACGACAGCAAGGAGTTGCCGTTGCCTGAACAGCTCAGGACGGTGGTCAAGAATGGAAGGCTTGTCAGTGAAATTGTGGAACATGCTGGGTAGGGAAATATTTTCGATAGCCTGTATCATTAGCGATTAGGAGTTCAGGATGTGTCAAGAGGTGGGCGAAGATTTGTAGCGTTCTTTGTGAAAGAACATAATCCATATACACATGGCGCATTGATTGGCTGTTCCGAACTGTTGTTCGATGACCATCGACCACATATAAATTCCGAACGATGTGGACCATACAACTACAACCTACATCTAGTAATGAAAAGACCCCCAAACCATTGCACTAATGCTGCTTCAGCGTCCTGCAGTGAAAGAACCAGACATATGAAGTTGGATGACTCATGACCGACACACCTTAGAGTCACAGCTACGACAAGGTAATTCTGAAGCAACCTTGTCTGTTTCACTGCAGTGCGCAGATCGAGCTTCACGAAATCACTATTAATCGAGACTTTGAACACTGCAAAACAACCTCTAACAACAGATTGGCCCTGGTACCTGGTATCTACAGTGGTGAATCGTCCAAAAGTTTGCCATCGACATCGACATACAGCGGCAGCGGCGACGTTCGGTGGTAGGCGTCTGTCCTCGACATCAACGTTAGCAAGTGACCTCACTTATCATCGGCCATCATCACACCCATCCTTGATACCATATCTACCCAGTCGGCCAGGCGATGAACGACGATACCTCTCCAACCATGCCCAAAAGAACAATCAAAACACGCATCCTAATCCTCTCCGACACCCACGCCGCCGTCCCCGGATCCAGCAACTCAAAGATCCCCTTCCACCAGCCATTACCATGGGCCGATGTTCTCTTGCACGCCGGCGACCTCACCCTCAACGGATCCTTAACTCAACACCAGAACGCAATCGACTTGATCCACAGCGTCGATGCACCGCTCAAGATCGTCATCCCAGGAAACCACGACGTGACGCTCGACAGAGAGTACTACTCCCAATACCCAACTGACCACGGCCCTACAAGTGTCTATTCCGACGATCAACTCGACGAGATTCGGCAAATGTACGACTCTCCCACGGCACGTGAAGAGGGTATTTACTATGTCGAAGAAGGCATTCAAAAGTTCAGGTTAGAGAACGGCGCGAGACTGAATGTTTATGCGAGTGCGTATCAGCCCGAGTTTTTCAACTGGGCGTTTGGGTACAAAAGGTCCACCGATAGATACAATTCCCAACCGGGGACCAAGAATCCGGTTCCTGATCATCATGCCCCAGCCCGCCACGGTAATGGTGACGCCGCTAAAGAACCAGAAATCGACATCATGCTCACCCACGGCCCGCCACAAGGCATCTTAGATTTGACGAGTGCAAACGAATCCGTCGGATGCCAACATCTACGTCGAGCGGTGGAACGGTGTCTTGCCCGTCTGCACTGCTTCGGGCATATCCACGAGAGCTGGGGTGCTATCGTCAAACGCTGGGACGGGATGTCAACGAAAAAGACATGGAAAGGTGTGAACGAACAGCGCGACAACAGCGACAGAGGAGGTTTCAATACCGACAAGAGGAATCCGAATATGTACTATCAGGACCTATCATTCAGGACTCGGGTGGATGGCGAGACACTACTTGATCCGGGCACGTATGAAGACCAAAAGAGCAAGATGGGCGCGTACATTGATATGACTGGGCTCGAGGCAGGCAAGGAGACGGTGTTTGTCAATGCGAGTGTCATGAGTTTGGGGTATAAACCCCTGAACGCACCATGGGTGGTTGATGTTGAGTTGCCTGTTGCTGATCCTGGAGACGATGACCACGGTCAATGAGGTGACATATCAACACAAAATTGCAGCAACCGTGCATGAATTGCCGGTGTCATCATTGACGAAGAACTATCAAGACTTGATCTTCGTCTCGATGAGCGACTCCAGCGACTCATTTCTTCCGCCAGTCCCAACCCTGCTTCAGCGCCAGCAAAGGGTCGAACCTCGCGCCTCGTAACCCACCTTCCTCGCGAAACAGCTTATACATTACAGCTGGGTTCTTTCGTCTGCGATCCGGCGATATTCGAGGGTCAGCTCGCACTTTTCGAAGCAACTCGACAGCTTCCGTTGGAAGCTTACGTGGGGGCGGCGGAGATGTGGGACCCGGTAGAGACGGCGGAGTAGAGAAGGCGATGGCTCTAGCATCTGAAGACGACATGTCGGGATCGTCTTTCGGATCTGCAGGACTAGGATGACCTGGGAGAATGGGTGAATCGAAGGTTAGACCATAGATTTCGTGTCTTGTCAATGGCGGTCCATCGTCCAAGCTGGGCGGGGTGGTTATCGTGTTACCGGCGACACTTTCGAGAACGATGGCGACCGACTCTGCTAGATCAATGTCCGATTGTGTCACGGCGAAACGTAGGACATCCATACAGATTGCTTCGTCGGGGATAATGTGCATGTTTTCGACATAAGTGAACCATATCCACTTGGCGAGTGCCGTATCGCCGTGTTGACTCGCTTGAATCAAGACGTGGAGTAAGGTCGGTCTCGGAAAGGGGACGTCGGAATCGTACAGCTTGTACAGTATCTGAAGGAGGGTGTTGAAGTCGTGGCTATCGCAAACGGCGTGGATGTAGATGATCCACACCCAGTTGGAAACAAGGACACCCTTCTGCTGCATGTTCTCTAGCTCGACTGTGGCCAGTTCCAGTTGACCTTCGCGGACCATCGAAACGATATTGACCTCTTGAAACTCCGGGATATCTCTCGAAACCCATTGTTGCGCAAGCCTTTGTAGAATGGCTGTGCGGAGGTACGTATCTGGATGCACGGTCAAGACCTCCAGTAGTGCATGGCACACGCCCGTGTCGATAGGTATACCTTTCCTCTCCATTTCGTGCAAGATTGTCTTGACATTCTCGACGGAGCCCAACTCCGGGAAACAGTTCCCCAGAATCAGAACTCTGTAGTATTCAGAGTCCGGCTTCTCGTTGCGGTCACGGATCAGAATTTCGAGCGTGTTTCTGATAGCTTTTGGGTGTGGACTCATTTGCGCTAGCCATCGCAGTTCTTCTTGGAGTGTGGGCGTCGATACCACTGATCGATCGAGAGAGTTTGTAGGACGACTTGCGTTCTCTTGCAATCCATGCTTCTTGATCTCTTCGAGTAGTGGAGGGAACCGTTTCGGTCGTGGTATATGTCGCTTATACTTTGCTGGTTTTCTTGCATGCGGCTTTTCTGTGGTCTCCTGGAGCGACGCTTCAAGGCTTACGGTTTGGGGGGCATTGGTAGAGGTTTGAAAGGAAGTTTGCACAGGATCTACCGACGTTTCATTCGCGCAAGACTCTCCATGTTCCTTGTCGCTAGAGGCTAGGGAGGTTTCGACGGATCGGGAATTTGTATGATTGACCGCATCGGCGGCTTGTGAAGCTGCATGGTCGCCAATGCCATTGTCGTTTGGGTGGTCTCCGCGGTCAAGTCCCCGTTCAGTTGAGGGTCGCGTTCGATAAAATCGCGGCGTCGACGGACTCTGGGTCGTCCAGCCACAAACGCTCTGTTTCAGTCCATTGCGAGTGAAAACCCTATGCATTGGCTGTGCATAGTGAAGTAACAGTGATCGATACCACCGCGAAGAAGCGGACAGCAGACGGTGATATTTTGATGTTTCGAATCAATTGCTGCTTCAAAAGACGCAGTATTATGTCAGCATCGCCCGCAAATGCACGTCACCGGCAACACCCGACTTTCGAACAAGGCAAAGACCTCCTCCACATTCCCTGTGAATGTTGGACTCGATCTTCGACGAGTATGTGTATGATATCGATAGGTAGAGGACGAGTCTCCCTGCAGAGTCTCTCGAAGATCTCGGTGTCGCAAGAAAGGCTCATGACTCGCTGTTGGGGCTATATCTCGGCGATGACCGCCGATGAGGTAAGAGAAGACTTGACGAAATCATTCATTGATTCACCTTATTCTCGCCCATGGAGCTTGGAATGCCTTGAACATCGTCTAATCTTTGCCGTTATCTACACCTTACTGTTGTTCTCATTATGGCAGCCCCCACAGAAGTCGTCAAATGGCAAACGTCCCAGGATGAACTTGACCATCTGTGGAAGACCACAGGTCCCATACAAGAACCAGGACGATGCGAAGTACTTGTGGAGATACATGCAGTATCGCTGAACTACCGGGATACGGAGGGTGAGTTCCTTGGAGATTGCTCAAGGCTACCTCCAGTAGGCCAACGCCATGCACTATGTACACCTTTAACATCTCGAAACAGTTGCTATGGGACTCTATAATCATCACAAGTCTGTGAACTCTTCTTCGGCCATCGTCCCTTGCTCAGACATGTGTGGCGTTATCGTCAGTATTGGTGAAGGCTCCAAGTCGTGGAAAGTTGGCGATCGCGTCCTTTCCATATTCAACCAGACTCACCTCGACGGCCAAATCACAGCAAAAGATATGGTCTCGGGGTTGGGTTTGCCGCTTGACGGGGTGTTGCAGACTTATCGTGTCTTCCCCGAGATGGGCCTAGTCAAGGCCCCAGACTATCTCACCGATGAAGAAGCTTGCACTTTACCCATCGCTGCGGTCACGGCTTGGATGTCAATCAATGGAATGAGACCGATGAACTTCCCAGGCGGAGAGGGAGAGGTCGTCTTGCTACAAGGCACTGGAGGAGTAGCCATCAGTGGACTGCAGATTGCAGTAGCCGCAGGAGCAGAGAGTTAGTATCTTCCACCAAGACATGCTTCGATGACTGACTCGTCAATCAGCGATCATCACATCCTCCTCAGATGCTAAACTTGAGCGGGCAATGGAGCTGGGGGCGACATATACCATCAATTATCGTACAGACACAGAATGGCAAGACACTGTCATGAAGCTCACCAATGACAACGGTGTGAATATCATCCTCGAAGCTGGCGGTGCAAAGACGTTGCGGAAATCTTTTGATTGTATCGCATTTGGTGGTTTGATCAACTGTATAGGCTATCTTTCGGGCAAGGAAGATGACCCAGGCGACCGCGTCAATGCAAACGTGTTGGCATTGAGGAGAAATGTGACACTGAAGGGGATACTCAACGGTCCGAGGGACAGGTTTGAGGAAATGCTACAGTTTTATGAGCATCATAAGATCAAACCCGTTGTTGATCGAGTCTTTTCGTTCGATGAAGCGGAGGAGGCTTTTCAGTATTTATACAGCGGCGGGCATTTTGGCAAGGTTGTGATTAGGGTCAAGTTGTAGTTAATCATTTGGGTCGCTCATCACGTCGACCAGAACTGCTTGATATTGAGACAGGCATTATCAATGCAGAGTAAATGTTTTCATGTGGGAAGTGTGCTCAGGCGATATCCAATACCTAGGCCGCCTATACCTTACCTGAGCTTATGCAGGCTCTTCGCTTAAGTTAGTGCGGCTCGAGGTTGAACTAGCAATCGCTTAGTGGGCGCTCCAGGCTCGCCATCGCTCTTTCCAGGCTAACCAGAGGGGCAACACTGCCGGATTGAGGCACGAGGCTGATAATCGAGAACCTTAGATTATTTTAATCTCTTCAATTCATACAGCAACCCTGGCAAGATCGAATCATCATCTGCTGCGCTCGTCAAGCTGCTAGCATGCTGGGTCCAAATGACGGATAGACCATCAACACAAGCCATTCAACAATGTCGAGAATGCAAACGGCGCAAAGGCAAGTGCGACGGCAAGCTGCCAGTCTGCTCCATCTGCCAGCGATACAAAAGACATTGTCTGTACGATAAGCACAGTAGATCACCTCTGACCAGAAAGTATGCCACATCTCCTTTATCTTCGATGGTTCATTACATACTAAGGCTTTTGAAGACACCTAACGGAGGTGGAAGAACAATTGGAAATAGCCAAAGCCCTGTTGAGGACCCGTTTCGGCGATGCTCAGCTCAACCAGATGCTTGCCCATGGTGGCTCTGATGGACAAGCTGTGACAGAAAACCTACCAGTTGCATCAGACGATGTGCCGCGAACATTTGATGCAAGCTCACAATCCCCTGTCACACCCGCCAACAATGCGCCAAACGACAGTGCTCCTTTTGAAAATCTGCCCGCCGCCGACGATGATTTTGAGTGGGACGAGCGAGAGCATTCATCAAGCAGCATCAATCCCGATGGCCATTCGGCGGATTTAACACAGGAACCGGATCTTGATCGCATCACGGACGGGATGGCAACCCTGACCGCCGACGATTCCAACACTGGATTTCTTGGTTCAGTGTCTGGAGCTGCGCTGCTTCGCCTCATATGGATGGGCAACAATGACACCGAAGGAACAGGTGATAAGCTTGATACAAGGAACGAGCGTCGAGACGGTCTTGAACGAGTCTTCGCCGATCGTCCTGAAGTTCGTCTGTCTTCTTCGTTGTCGCTACAATCTCAACCCCAAGTCACTCGACTCGTCGCCGATACCCTGGTCGACGCCCACTTCAAGCTATACCATACAGCCTTTCCCATCCTTCATGAACCATCCTTCCGCGAGCAATACTCGAAACTAGATGGCCGACCAGGCACAACCACATTCCATATCCTGGCGCGACTTGTTGCCGTCCTTGGTGCCTTTGTGTCCGGAACTGGCACCGATGAATTTCACGCCACCTTGTTCAATACCGTTAAAGCAGACTTGACCATTGGCTCGCTAGAGACAGGAAACCTCGGTCTTGTGCAAGCCTTTGCCCTGGCTGCAAACTATTTACAGAAAAGGAATCGACCGAACAGCGGCTATATTTATGGAGGTATAGCCGTACGACTGGCTGTCTCGCTCGGTCTACACAAGGACTTTCATGGCCGACATGCCACTCCATTCAAGCAGGAAGTACGTCGGAGAGTCTGGTGGTCCCTATGTGTGTTGGATGTTGGTGCAACAGTGACCTATGGACGACCCCTCAATTGGCCTCAAGTTGGCGTTGAAACAGCTTTTCCCCGTAACATCCACGAAAAGGACCTCGAACCTATGTCGCCTTCGTTCCCCCCCGAATTGCACGAAGTTACAGTATACACCTACCTCCGCACACAATCATTATATCACCTCCGCACTATGCGAATTTACAACCGTCTTATCTCCAGCCCTCTGCCTTCAGCAGCCGAAGTGATCTCGCTTGACGACGAGCATATCGAAGGTTGGCGAAAGAGTCTCCCTCCATACTGGAACGACCGAGACCTGCCCCTCGAGTATCTCCTCGGCCATTATATCAGTCGATTGCGTTTCCGACTTCTTCGAATTATCATGTATCGACCCTTCTTGATCCGGTGGGCACAGAATGGCTTCAGCTCAATCAGAACCGAAGACTCGGCCACCGAAAGAATCGCCATTACCCGTTGTTTTGCAGCTGCAACAGAATCCATCTCCTGCGTTTACTATTTCTGGTCAACAGGCAGGCACACAAGATTGGCTGCTTGGTATACACTGTAAGTTCTTCTCGACCTACTCTGGCAACGATGGACGCTAAAGAAATGAAAAGATACTTCCTCCTACAAGCCGCACTCATCCCGATCCACTGTCTCCGCCGCAACCCATCACACCCCGAAGCACCCTCGTGGCGCGAACAGGTCGTTACATCCTTGAATATTATCGACGCCATGACAGCTCTCAACCCGAGTGCCACCAAATGTCGAGACATCATCCAACGGCTTTGCGGCGAAAGTCTCCATTTGCACCAATCGTATGGACAGGGCCGAGATCAACCACAACCAGTACCTGTGATATCGCTCAACTATCCTACCGAAGAAGATTTTGCAAATGCGAATGATTTTGACTTCTCCGCTCTCGAATACTCGCACGCTGGCATCAACCCATGGGACATTGAGGTTGACGCCGCGGTCGATGGGTACAATAACTACGTCCAAAGTCTGAGCAATAACGTGGCGATGGCAGGGACAGGTACCGCATCAGTGAATCAGAATGCAGGAACAGCTAGCACCACAATGTATAATACCGACGACAAGGAAACTGGCACAGGCGTGCCTGACTGGGAATGGGGTCTTTCTCATGGGACATGAATGAAGAAGTTATGACTGTATTGGCGAACACACTGAGATATCACTTTAAATTTTTGCGACAAATCTAAGTATTCATTGGAAAGGTCTACTTTTGAATCTTACGGTCTAATCCCTTGAATACATTGTCCGCACCCCACAAGCCAGTCATCACGTCCAAACGACGATCTTGACGAGCCCTCGTTCAAAAGAGCCCATCATAAGGCTCCATCAAAGCATTATGTTCAACATCATGGGGAAACTTCTCCGTTGAAGCCGTCGTATGACACCAAGGCTTGACGCTTACTTCCTCCCGGATCTTCGTGGAGAAACACTTGGACCAGTTGCGTCGTGGGTAATGCTTGACCACATCCTTGATTGTATCGGCATGGACGTAATCTGCTCGATAGGCCATGTTGTCTGTTCAGCACGACGCATCAGAACCAGTAACAGTACATGTGCAGTGGGTCACCGTGGACCCAGGTGACCCAGGGGTTCTGGCTGTACATACCGAACTGCGTCGCCAACGGCACCAGCAGCCCGACCGTCGTGATCGTCCCGACCTCGACAGGATCCTGATGGCGGATGATCGCTTCGGCGACGCTCTCTGCCTGCGAGGCAGGACAATCACACTGGTTCTTGAGCACATCCAACGCCAGAATCCCGCCATAGAATTCAAAGGACATGAGCGTGCCGTGCGTGTGTTTGTCGATGGTGGCGATGTCGTGGAAGAGACACGTCAAGAGCCAGGTCTCTGGGCTAAAGGACCACGTGGGGAACTGTTGAGTGGCGATGGCCATTCCTACAACACACATACGCCGAGACATGTTCAGCATGTTACTCTTTCCCAGACGGGTCAACGGTGTCGAGTTGTTCAGCACGCATTCACCTTGTGACTGGCTGGGAGTCCAGCCCGGAAAGCCTTCCCGGACGACTTCGCTCTGGGAAAGCCACGCACAATGCCTGGTACCCTAGATTGGACCGCGAGGAGAGATTGCAGATAACTAACCATAGTAAAACACCCGCATGCTATGATTGAATGTATGCTCCGGAAGTTCTTTCTTGACGTAGGCCAGTGCTGCTTTGACGATGGGCGTGTCGGGCAATGGGACATCTGCGCATAATTGAGGGACTGGCGGAGTATTGTGTTTCGCGATGCCGCCCCATTCTTTGGGGTCGCAGGAGAGGGCGGTCCAGCCGTATTCTTTGATTTGTTGGTCCCGTGAAAAGGCCATGATATTTATATTGCGTCAGGATATGGTGAGACTGTTGTTCGAAGGGATTGGGCCTCGATCAATATTATGTTCGAGTGCGCTTGTAGAAAGGGAATTTGTGTCAGCAAGGGATGCAGCTGGAGATCTTTGCTCTTCTTTGTACATTTTCGTGTTTCGTTTGTTATCAGGACTCTTTCGCTTTCAAAGACTCTGACTCGTGGTGGATGGTAGGGTTCCCCGCATCTCTCAGTGTCGTCGATACGTGCTCGCGCATGTCTACCTCAAGGCGTGTATACATATACACATTTTTTCTTTCACCTTATCAATGACATTGTAGCTGTTATCTTGTTGAGAGGCTACACAAGATGACGAAGTTTAAATCCTGCCTGGTCTCGGAAGCGCGCGATGTAAACGGTGGACTTTGACGCAGGTGGTCTGCCATGTACCGATTGGAGCGGAAGTCGTCGTTGTCAGGGCGTGCCTAGAGTGAGTATTTCTCCTATCTCGGGGCACTCGTCTGGGGTTTAGCTGATCGTCGTCTTCAAGGCGCAAGGCTTTCCGATCCAATGTGGCAGGACCGCTTAGTGACTTGGTTGTCCACTGATTGGCCGATGTCAGGATCATTGCCAGGGCGTGCATGGGCGGACGTCCATAGTAAGTAGTAGTGTCTTCGAGCTCAAACCATGTCAGCCACTATCGCTCTCAGAACATGGTGCTAACGAAGACGCATTGTTGATAGCATGATACTGCAAGTGACAACTGATAAGAAAACAAGAACATATGATTGAGTGTCGGAAGTCGTAAGTTCGTCAGTCGGGCTGTCATGGTAGGTGCGGAAGGCATCATTTTCCACAGAGACGGACAACAGATCATCGTCATGGGCAGCTAACTCGAGTCACACTCAACAAGTACAAAACTCTTCGGTCTTCAGAAGTGGAGCAGCTTGAGCTCGAACTGGACCGGGAAAAGCATAGCTTCCCGGAAATCACTGGCACAGATTCCTGCGCGAAGAGCAGTCGGCGTCTCGACCTACCTACCTCGGACAAGATGGACATTGAAGCCATTCCAATAAGACTTATGAGTTGCATGTCAATCCAAAAGCAACTGACACTATTCGGCGCCTCAGCATGCTAGAAGCTTTGAGTCGTCCGCTTCAAGTCTCCGATAAGCCGAGATGGAAAGCCCAGCTCTCTTGTAGATTTGATACCGAGGAAAATCGGGTATGCCGGCGCTGCTGTTTGAAAGGTGTAGTGAGGCGTCAGCCGTTCTTTTACGGCACACAAAGTGTTTCGCGTCTCGGAATGTTGAGTTGGCCTATTTGACCAGGCGAAGCACGAGTCCGGTGATTAGTTCGCCTACCAGTAGAGCGAGCCGCGTTCCAGGCGACGCGGCTGCTGCATCTCGTGGATATCATGTGAGTCTCGGAATGCTTGACGGCAATGGCAGTAGAATCGAGGTTGTCAAAGGCGGGGGGTGACCATGGACTGACTCACCGGTCAGAGTTTGGGAAGCCACCGGGCGACTCTTTGCAGAAAGTACTCGAGCCGAATGACTGGCCGTTTTGTTCTGCGCGACGGAGTGAAGCTCGTCTGTCGACCGTGATGAAACCGTAGGTCTAGGCCTGTGCCCGATCGCTCACCCTAAAGTTCGTGAGCGAGCATCGGGCGAGCCCGGAATCGCATTCCAAAAGGCAACCTCGTGCGGTTGATGTCAAAGTTTCGAGGCGAGAATTACGTCGACCTCCTGGTGTTTCGGACCTCTAGGCGTCCTCACTGGCAACAGAATGATGTTGCGATATGTTGTTTGCCAGGTATGGTAGAAACAACAAAGATGAAGAAAGGGGGAATGTCGGAATCGGACAAGCCCGAGTTATTTGGTGCCCAGAACTGGCTGCAGCCGCATGGTTTGATTTTGACAACGGCGAAATGCCTACCTAGGTATGCAGGTCATACATGTAGGTGAGGGATTAGCGAACCACATAAAGAAAATATACTGTGTTGCCACTGGATGAGATCACATCCGGGGTGCATTGCATTTGCTGCAGGCCTCATTGGAGGCCATTTCATCAATTAATAACTTGTGTATGTCTGAACACTAAAACATTCGCAGTGTCGCAGAGAGCAACCTATGGTGGTACAAAATGAACCGACCTGTAGTGGCCCAAAATAAACGCTGGAGGTATCGCCAGGGATCAAAACATCATCAAAGATCATAAGCATCATCAACCAGAATCTTAAGTCATTAACTTCTCCTCCGCTCATGACGGTCCTTCCGCCTCTCACGACTCCGGCTGCGGCTTCTCGATCTGTCCGCGAACTTCCTCTCCCATCTGTCCTGTTCGCGGTCTCGCTTGTCTTCTCGCCACTTTCTGTGTTTGCCGTAATCCTTCCCACCGACCCATCCAACAAGAGCTCCTCCCACTGTACCTAGACCTGGGAAGATCAAATCGCCAATAAGTGATCCTCCAGCTGCACCGAGCAGGGCATCAGTGTTTGAAGACCGCGAGTTATCTGATATGCGCCGTGACCTGCTCTTATGTTTCCGTCTGTGCGTTTCAGGGTCTGAAGTATACCCGGGCCCGTATGCATCGCTGGCTGAGTAGCTTGGGCGAGGTTGATACTGCGGCTGCTGGAAGGTGGGTGGTTGCTGATAAGGATAGCCTTGAGGAATGTAGGGGCTCTGCTGATATGGAGCCATTTGTTGTGCCTGGTAGTTTGGCTGGCTTGCAGAGAAGGATTCAGGTCTCGGTTGACCGCCGAAGGAAGGACGATGTTGTCCACCGGGTGAACCACCTGGTGTGAAGTGTACGCTGGGTTTATGCTCCGTGTTGACAGGCGGATATTGTTCGCTGTTCAACGGCTGATATGGAGGCGGAGGATAAGGTGATTGAGCAGGATTCAGAGGACTTGGATGGCCCTGATGGATGGGAATCCTTCCATAAGTAGGCTGCGAGGAACTTGCTCTTTGCGGTTGTGGAGGCGGATATAGACTGTTGCTCTGCTCCAACGGCGGTCTTGCGCCAGGAGCGAAGTAGTCTGCTGCTGCCATGGTAAATAGTGTAGTCAGTGTTCGAAGTAGGCGAAAAGCGATAGAGGAAGAAGAACAGTTGGGGTGGAAGAATGATATAATATGGGAGTCTCGCTTCTGCACTGTGACTACAAAGGCAACGAGCCGGAAGGTAATCCGGGGGACATGAGGGACTTCTGGAAGAGTGCCTAGCGAGGCGCAATCCCTAGCATACTTGAGTTCATACGAGTGTTGGACGAGTCACCAGGACAAGTCATACGCCTTGAAAGGCGATATTTTATGGAGAGATCCGACAGGCCTCCCATTTTCGGATCTTGTCAAACACCAGGCATTATTCTGGGGAGCTTTGATTGACCTGATTCGCGGGGGCGGTATCGATCGTTGCGTGGCGCGGTGTTGAGTTTGACAGGGCGACTTTTGGCAATGGAAAAAGTCCCCTTCAGCTGGAAGCGTCTGGACGCCTATGATTGGTGTCAATCTTCCCGGGTCGCAGGGTGTCCGAACTTTTGGAAACGAAGCGGTTAGTGTTAGTCGAGCTTGTCATCATTGTCAAACAGGGTCGCTTTGATGGTGCATGTGACGCTCGGAACAAGTCGAAGATGCTAAAGATGCTACTCAAAAGATGGTCTTCAAGGCATCAAGAACAGGCAGATCGTCGACGTCATCTTTAGGACTAGCCAAGCCTTATATTATTGTATCTTGATTGGCGGACAACCAAAATATCAGAAAACGGGATTGTGCCAGGAACAGATGGAACCTATTTGTTTATATCCTGCCTGACAGCCATATACTCAAGCGAAGCCGCTTCAAGACCGGCATGTGCAGATGCAAATCACGGTCGCAGGAAGACTGTGTAGCCTTGAGTTGAAATGGAATGGTAGAAACTCGTGTGAAGAGAACATTATACCATAGGTAGGTATGTGCAATTCAAGTCCATTGACTCAATGGTCATTTGCCTTCCTGTTCGCCATTCTTTTCCTTCTTCACGCCTGGAAATGCCGTGCTTGAATCCGATATATACGAGCAAATACCATACAAGTACATCCCATCCCACATGTCGGTAATAAGAACAAGTTGAAAGGTCGAATCTAGTTCGCGATCTCGCCCGCATCGACCAATAGGGGTGTCCACGGCTTGGCGCCAGGCTCTTCCATTTCACTAGGCAACCGGACCTCGGTCGGACTGTACAAATACCACCCTTTCATCGCTGCAACTGCCGCGCGTGTCCGGGCTTCGTCCAGACTGGCGCCGGCGCCTTCCCCAAGCAAGTCGCTTCCCGAAAAGATTCCCACAACGAAAACCGGCGTCCTGCTCTTGCGGCCTGTTTCGCTGAGTATCTTGGCCACTGGTGCCTGGAATCCCTCTCTGGCACATAATCGGCTCAGATCTTTCGTGGGATTCTTGAACTGGAATAGATTGCCGATGTTTACCTGCCGCGAGGTAATGTGGTCGTTGTAAAGTTGCTTGGCAGCTGTTCTGCCTGCATGGAGATACACTGCACCAAAGACCGCCCGTACAAACTGTGTAGCGGCTCGCTGTAGGGTGACACCTTTTTGCTCTATTTCACCACCGCGCGTTTTGACCTCGCCAAATTGGTCATCGTAGACTGCTCTCGAGCTCATTGTTCGTCGAAACTTGGACTTTCCTTCTTCCCTGGTCTCGATCACTTGCGTCTCGGGTTGATCAGGTCTCGGTCCGGGTGGAAGCCTCTTAAACTGAAGTAGGCCGGGGTCAACCTCTCCGCCAGGCTCCGCAGCCGCTTCCACGCCCCATTCCCTTGCCACTGCAGTCAACGTCGCAGGGCCGTGATATGCATACATGGCGGCGAACACGACAGCCATGGGTAATCGAGGGTATTGACTCAAAATATGTTCGGAAGTATAATATCCCAATAGATCGTTCCCTAGCACGGCAAAGGGTTTATTGTTGAATCGGACCGAAGGATCCGCAGAGTCGTCGACAAGCGTCCTCGCTAGAGTTTCAAGAGGTAGCCGTCGAGGGAGGGCAAGTCGAGCATGTAAAGCGGCAAGCTTCGCAGAAGTCTTCGCCGCTGTGACCGGAGGCGAGGGAAGGCTCGTGAGCGCATCTTCTGACAAGAAAGGAGTCACCTCGATATCATCGTGAGGTTCTGATTGTAAAGCTGCTGTAGCTTGACATCGTCGGAAATTAGGGATGGCTGATTGTAAGGACTCGGGTCTTGTCCGTGGTGAGAGTACACTGCCGCTCCATCGCAGGAGCCTCAACCTCTTCATTAAGCCACAGTAGAGTTACTCCTTCCTCCAGGTGTTGCTTTGATCAGTCGCAACGTCTTGGAAGATGAAATGATAGAAGAAGTGTGCCTGAAGGGCATCAACAATTGTCTATTGTAGCAAGGACTTTGCACGAGACCAGACACGCGAAAAGAAAATCCACAACGGGAAGCTGCGCTGCGCTCAATGACTTTTTGCCAAGATGGACATTGAATCACGTGCTTGAGCTTCAACCTCAATGATCACCGTCCAGTTTACCTGCATCTTGCTTGAACATCAAGCTACTATTCAGCCCAAACACTTCTCTGTAGCAGCACTTCCTGTCGAGGGGCACCCATCGGTTTTCCACCCCCTCTTACTGCGACAACCGCAAAGATGGGCGGCGGTGGTAAAGTCCCCTACCCGAAACACGTCTGGTCACCGGCTGGTGGTTGGTATGCGCAACCTCACAACTGGAAGTCGAACACGATCATATTTGGGGCGGTCATCGCAGCATGCGCAGGTATTGCTTGGAGAGTCTCGGCGGAAAGAGAGCACAGATACAAGATGCCGGAGCGGAATGCCTTCTTCCCCAGCCGATAGTAAGTGCATCCAGCATGCCAGGATTAGGAACCGCGAACGATCGGACCACCTGGTCAAACGACTCGAAGCCAGGTCTTGGGCTAACCTCATTGCAGTTGGAGCAGACAGATAATCGAGCATGAGAAGGCCCAGAAATAGATGCCTGATACGATTCACCATACGAACTTCACCTTCGCCGGGCGGAAAAATATTCAAAGACATCCAAACAAAGACCTCGTCGAGTACAGCTCAGGTGCCGCAGTATATCAGATTTGTCGACTACGAGCAGCCGAGTTGACGTTCAACCGCTTCGATTAGAAGCCTAGCAGCCACTTCAAGGCGTTACAGAAAGAGGAGTTATTATGCGATCCAACTCAGCTGCGCCTAGGAGATGAGGCATTACCCTGTACATATTGAAGTTCGACCGTCACCCAGATCACGAAAATGAACATTTCGAAATATTACGCATTTTCCGCTCTTCATGGGCACTCGTCAGGACCTGATGTCTAAGAGAGCGTTCTAAATGTTGTGCAGGTCAGTTGTCTGCTGTGTCCGTTCCCGGCAGCTGTCCAATTATATGTGCCTTTTCCTTTTCCAGAAATGACATGAAGCGCTTCTGGTACGGTTCGCCGTTCCAAGCATCGTCTGCCGACGTACCTGCCAATAAAGGTAGACCGGTTTGTTCGATGGCATAACTAGCAGCTACCGTGGCATGTAATACTGCGAGAAGGAGCCTGTCGTCCACAGGTCGAGACGAGGAAGAAAGCACCCGTGTAACAGTGTTTTCAGATGGAGAGGCTGTGCCTGTCATCGCAATCGCCAAAGCGCCCAACTGCAGCTCGTCAGGATCACACCCAGGTTTGAAGATTCAAGACTTACAAATGTGTTGCCCCCGCCCGTGGGATCTATAACCCGTTCCGCACTCTGATGAAACGCGTGCAAATGTAGCGATTGTGCTCTCTGATACATAGTGCAGCCCTGAGCACCTTCTCGTACCACCAGGGCCACATCCAGCGGTGTCGTGTCTCGTAACGCTAGAAACTTTTCCACCATGGCCTGTCGAGGACTGCGCCCCGAGTCTGCTGCGAAGAATGAGGCAAACTCGTCGGCATTTGGACTGACGATGTCAACTATCCTAGCCGCTTCCTGAAGCTTGTCGAACTCCTCTGGCGTGCACAGCTCAGGCACAGGTTCCCACACAAACACCGGACGAGGTTCATTGGGCGCCACTTGACTCCGCCGAGCCATGACTCCTTCCACCAAGGATATACAGCGTTTAGGTGAGCATACCATATGGAATGATCGAGCCAGAGCTTGCTCGTCGGATAGTGAGTATTCGTCAAGGCGCAGCTTTGGCGTTAGGTATTTGAATGCTTTTCGAACATGATAAGTCAAGGCTACGGCCAAGAGAACGAACAATCACTTACTTACCTCGATATTCATTTGGACCATAGCCATTCCATGCCGTTGTAGTCAACCTACTCGTATCCAGCCGAAAAATGCAGCTCGTCCGCCACACGTCAATCATGGCCTTGAACTCTGGCGGGAAGTCCGAACCCATATCAACGATCCATGACACGAATAGGGCGTTTGCTGCGCCCGCTGCGAGACGAGCACCAAGAGCGGCGTAAGTGCCAGCTCCACCAATGATTTTCTGTTCAGACGCCTTACCATTGAGATACTCGATCTCATCGATTATGAACATGCCGAACGTGATGAACGCGAGCCTCTCCCGCCTTGTCGCCATGATGAGAAACCACTAGAACGTGTTGTACAAGTGAATGTCATTACGAGAAGACATCGAGATGTAAATACCTAGGTAGATACGAGGCTCAGATAGCGTGAAAGGGTGCCACAGCCTTGCTCAGCGGAGTGAAGTCCTGCGACGCCTCTAACCTTATCGACCCACCTCCGATACTCGACTTGACCACGATCTTCGAGCTGGAATCAACAATTGTGCCACAGAGTCACCACAGTAAAACTACAGGTCGCTGATAATCTGCCAACGATGGCTGTAGTGTGGATTACTCATTGACCATCTCCACGCGACTGGCATGAAAGAGCGTGCAGCGCACGCCTGACAATCACCACCGAGCGGCGACTTCCCTACCATGACGAAAACCAGCTTCCCGACTCCAACATGCCATTCTACCGCTTCATTGACTCAGACGTAGAGTCGGAGTCAGATATTGACCTGCAGCCACAACAGACTCAACGACAATCTAAAATTCAGACCCCTCAGGCCCAAACTCTCCAAGAACCGGTTATTATTGATCTTGCGTCGGACGAATCGGACGCGGAAGGACGTGGAGCGCATATCGTGCATGACGTGTGGCCGGGGCAGTGGTTAAAGAACACGAAGAAGAGAGTACGGGCAATCGGGATGGCGATGCGAACGGTCCTAGTGGTCAACGGCGCATGGCACACCAGCAAGGAAGTAGAGGTGAGATACGGCAGCATATAGGCGACCTGGTGGACAGTGGGATATTCATACCAGAATGGGGTCACGATCAGGAGCAAGACAACCATTCCAAGCACGATGACAGTCGTAATGGACGAGCTGCAAAGGCCGGAGACGGACTATTGTCGACTGACGATGGACAAGATGCAGATTCTCGGCAAGAAACAGATCTTCTGGATAGTTTCATGACCAACGTCCTGCGTAATCACAGGATCGAGCCGATCAAAGACCGCATCTCGAAGGGACAGCAGTCGCCAAGTGACGCAAACTACAAGGCCTCGAAGGGGCCACGTCCATTGAAGGTCACTTCCAAGGAAATTGACGAGATTCTAGCCAGACCCAAGAAGAGGGAGGCCAGCATAGTCTCAAATCATGCGCTGCACACAAATCGTAATATTCCCAATGGTGATCTGGTCAAGAGCGATGTCTCCAACGGTACACCCCCGGCAGAGAGAGCCAGTCACTCCGCCAACAAACAGCACCAGTCTCGAGCGACATCCACTATGACACGGGCTCCCTCGATCTCACGGAGTCCACAGACACCAATGCCTTCCGATTGCCAGCAATGCCGGATGTACAACAGACCGTGCAACGGGATGATCCCATGTTTTAGCTGCCTGAATCATGGGCAGGGCAAAGTATGCGTCTACAGAGGCGGACGTGGTGGAGGTGCCATAGGTGCCAAATCGCTGTACAAGGCAGCAGCGCAAACGTCTCGACCTTCGGTACTGCGATCGTCCTCTGCTCTTTCAGGGCCTGAGCAATCTCATGGGACAACCACTTCTGGAGTCGCATCGGCAAAGCCGGAGCTGAGAGAGATACGGCCTGCAAGACCTCGCTCTCCCGCGGCAGTTTCCAATGCGTGGGTGACATCACAAGGTTCTGCTCTCATCAGCCAGAAGCCAATGCCGTCTTCTCCTTCAGGTGCAGCAATATCGCCAGAGCCCATCCCAACAGTGCGAATGGAGAAACGATACCCCAATACAGACAGGAGACGCGTTTTATGCGAAACGTGCGACAAATGCCACCAAGCCTGCGACGGCCTGCTCCCCTGCAAGACATGCAAGGCTAGCGGCAAGGGTGGCCGATGTCACTATGATGAGAAGCGCTATATGCGATCGACTGCACCCATCGACGCACAACCGGTTGAGCCTAATTCTGGCCGTACCATTACCGACCGTGCACATACACGTTTATCACCTTCACCGTCAGTACCGGTTTCGATTCCGAATGTGCAACGACAGTCAGCACCTGTAAGGCAGGAGGAAATTCCCGAGTCAGATACCGAGGGCCAGGGAGATGGTGACATTCCATTTAGAGATGAAGACGACATCGGCGACGACATTATCGCTGTTGTTCCTACAGTCAAGCATGCTGCCACACGATACGCAGAAGATTACCAAGAGACTAAGAATTCTACTACAAGAAAGAGACGGCATTCTGAGATCTCTGACAACGATGATGACCCATATCCACCTCATGACGCCCGCCAATTCAACCAGCGAGGCACACGCACAAAGCGCAGTGCCGACGACGAACCCTGGAAAGCGAATGGATGGGTCTATGCTGGCCCAGAAACCACGAATAGACCTACGACCAGACTCTCGACATCGACTCTCGAGCGACGCTCATACACAGATCAACCTACTCGAGGGAATACCGATGCTCCCAGCAATCAAAAACACAAGCACTTCCGCACGATCAAACCGGAGCACGTTCCTGACGCCGTAAAGAAAGCTTTGGCAAACGTACGCGAGGATGTCGTGCTTGATATTGCGCCTAATGATCTCGCGCACAATATGTCCCCTCCTCGCACCAAGAGTGCAGGCAGAATGAACAAACTGGAGACAATCCTGGTTCAGCGCGAGCAGGCCGACGCCACTGCTCTTCGAGGCGCGCTTGAAGCTCTCCGGCAAGACCCGGAGTACATGTGGGACGGCACCTCCGAGCAGGAGCGAGCAAACATCGTCACCCACCGACGAAAGGTCCTCATGGATCGGCGAGAGAAGGAGGGAGTGTCGGCGGTTCATTATATGAGTCAGTTGCTCGATCTGGCGACGTCGAGTGTAGGTCCGGACGCGATTCTGGGGTATCTGATGCAGTCGCGGCGGAACAAGCTCAAGGTCATTGGCTTGCTGGACGGGTTGGTCAAATACGATGTCGAGGATGGGAAGTTGAAGGTCCCAGCTACGCGTACTAATGGAGAGGGATGATTGTGATGTTTGGCCTTTGTCTGTCGAATGCGATAGACGACAGTGTCTCGAGAGGCTCTGCGGAATATCAAGGTCAAATTGAATGATAAGATACTACACTAGACTACAGTGGGTGCAGAATGCAGAATTGCTTCACGGTGCAGCATTTCAATCTAGACTACCCGCAGTGCAGAATGCAGAACTCCTTCTAGTGCAGGATTATCCTGAAGAGGAAGTCTCGCGACGTAGACTACCGTCAGTGCAGAATGCAAAATTGCTTCACGGTGCAGAATTGACATCTAGACTACCGGGAGTGCAGAATGCAGAAATGGTGCACAGTGCAGAATTCAATCTAGAGTACCCGCAGTGCAGAATGCAGAAATGCTTCACGGTGCAGAATTATCCTAAAGAGGCAGTATCACCATCACAGACTATCGTGGGTGCAGAATGCAGAATTCACAAAGTGCAGAATTGACATCCAGAGTACCGGCAGTGCAGAACGCAGAATGCAAAATCCTTCATCAACAGTATTCGCCATATAACTACTTCCAATCCCAATCGTAGTTGTAATAGATGCCTTCCTTGAACCTATCACTCTATGCAGAAACTTCAGCTTGGCCGACAATCGATTCATACAGTAGATGACTTATATCCATTCGCTCGATAGATCGTCCTAGTATCTCCTCAAGATGCGAACCGCTCAGAAACACCTATATTGGAGGTCTAATGCATCCGCCACCACCATGTCCCAACCCAGTGCCGCTGCTATTTGATCCAATATATGCCCACGCTCCGGAGATCAATATGAATAACGCCTCCCGCAATGCTTTTCTGTCGACAATATCCCAGTTCATACACTACATGTTGGCCAACTCATTGTCAATCGCCCTATCCAAAAACTGCCGTCTCTCCCCAACAGGCACCTCGCATTGGAGTCTCTGCTCGACGAGAGCCCTCACCTGCTTCTTCGTAACGGTCTCCAAATCCACTTCGCTTAGCACCGCGCGGATCGACTCCACGATCTCCTGGTCACCAGGCCCTGCGGACGGGACAGTGCGGAAGTCCATGACAGTAGAAGCGGGTCGGCTACTGGCCATACCGAGCAGACTCGGTCGACTCATTGATTGCTGCATGCCGGGATATCCGCTCTGGTACGGACTGCGCTGATTGTCCTGGTAATAGTGGTTCGGCGACGGGGACTTGAGACGCGCTGCACTCCCCAGACTCATCATGCTCATGTTCCGACCGTGCACACTGACCGGTTGATCCTTGAATTGGGTCAGTCCAGTCATGGTGCTAGCGCGATGATTCATGCCCATTGGGGCGGGTGAGCGTGGCGGCGCCATGAAAGGATTCTGCTGCATGTGAGGAAACCCGGTCAGAATCGTGCTGGCTGGTTTCACGGACGAATACGTCGAATGAATATCGTCCATCTCCATCATGCGTGGGTCGTCAGTGTAGCCGGCCTCGAACTCCTTCTCCTGGTAGCTGCCAGGGTTTCCACGTCTTCCAGGAAGATTGTTGAACGCTGCATAGTCGTCCCATCTCTGTAGCGGAATCGATCTTGGATCGAAACCCTCGTCTTGAATCGCCACGACCTTTTCATCACCTTTTTCGCCAATCACGATTCTTGTGTTACCCCATGAGAAATTGTCCTGATTCCAGAAGGAGTAAATCGGGAGAACAAAACTGTATATCGGGAATGCGATAATGTAGATAATCATCCAGCCCACGTGTTGCCACTGTCTCTTGACAATGAAGATGATCGCCTGTAGACCATAGACGGCCGCCAGCAAGACAATCGAGATCAGCGGGAATTGACCAGTGTGGGAAGCCACTCGATAGATGAGGTAGCCAAGATAGACGCAAGTCGCCGGAAGAATGAGTGTGCCGAACAAGTCGATGAAGACAACGAACCTCATCGAGAAGCAGCAGAACCCGCAAAGATCGTCTAACCACACGAGCTCTGCGAGATTGTGGATTGTCGAGTTGATCCATCTTCGCCTTTGTGAGAGCAACACAGACCATGTCTCCGGGGCGGCCGTCAGGGCGTAAGCGTCCGGAAGGAATTTGTATGACATCGCAGGGAAATGCTTCGTCATGAGAGTCGTAAGATAACGATCTTCACCGAGCGATAACAGATTCTTCTTGTGAAGAGTGTCGACATCACAATCGGAGTACTCGTTGATCACTTTATCCGAGATTATCAATGGCCGCCCTTTGTCAGCCGTTCGAAGACGATACATGGAGAAGCTATCAACAGGTCAGCAATAAGACATCACCATTGCGGCACCTTGACATACCATCCGGGCAGACAAGTGACGCTGCCAAAGAGTGATTCGAACGATTTTGCCAGGTGATGCGAGATATAATACTCATAGACTTGGATCATAGTCCACCAGCTTCGGTCTTCGTTCTCCAGACTCGTTTCACCGCAAATGCCTGCAATTTTAGCGTCGTTGGCACAAGCAGCGACCAAGCGATTTAGGGCTTCCTCTTTGACCATAGTGTCAGCGTCAACCATAAGTAGGTATTCGTACAGCTCTGGGTCCACACCAATGATGTTGTTGATCTGGTGGAACATTTCCAGCTCGAGGGGTGACATCGGTGATCTGTGGTGAACTCGGTTCAAGAACTGCATAAGGAGAATCTGAGAATCTCGCTTGCCACGGTTGCCAGGTTTCGACTTTGACTGTTCAGATTCCTTTCCCACTTTGACTACCACAATATATGGCACCACGTTGCCTTCACACTCGTACAGTCCAGAATAGACTTTGCCATAATTCAATTGTTCACTCCCATTGCCGACAGATCTGAAAGGGAGTGCAGGTGGGTCGATTTTTGGATCAACACCGAGAATGTCGAGGACGATTTTGGGGGTTGGCCTGTCATTGCCGCCGCCCACAATCATGCCATCGCAAATTACGCAGATCAGTTTTCTCTTGTTGTCGTATTGGAGAGCAGTCAACGAGTCGAGGGATTTCCGAAGATGATCTTCACCTTCTGTGTATGCAGGCACCTGGCAGATCACAAACCTGTCCTGAGGCGCTGGTCGGCGTTTCGATCCCAGCTGTAGAGCAGCCAAAAACTTGACAAGAATAACTGCACAAATGATGATAGTGAAAGCTAGCAGAATGTAGTTGTTGACCTGGCATTTCACCGTATCTCGGAAATCCACCTTACCGACATAGAAAGCATCGTTCATGCAGTTGAGACTGTTCTGGTATGCTGCAGTCGTTCCCCACTTCTTCGTGATGTCAGAACCTGGATTCCCGGAGATGAGGTCGCTGACTTCGTCAGGGAAGAATTTATACGTCGGATAGTCGTTCATAAGTGTCAAAGTGTAAAAGTAGTTTGTGAGATCGTAGATTTTCTTGTCGATGATTACCCAGATTCGGTCGTCGTCATTGGCCTGACTTTGAACGTTATCCCTCGTCACTACCAGATCACCCTTGTAGTACTCTTTGATTTTGGGCCGGAACGTATCATGATACCAATTGATGCTGTAAAGTGCCGAACTCGAATCAGTCTGAAATTGTGGGCCAGAATAATGCACAGCATCAGAATAAACGACAGCATCCGTATTGTTGTTCTGCAGCTCCACAGTGGTGTTGACATTGAGTCCCGGACAAGCTACACTGAGGGGCACAGGGAAGTATGCGTCAAGATTCAGCCCAGCGAACGGCAGCATGTTGGTGGAGTCGGTTTGAGTGCTGGTGTCGCTATGTTGCGTTTTGTAGAACTTGGTCATGTCGTAGACGCCGCCTGCAATACTAACGTAATAGTCATTGGTGCCTTGATGCTCACTGACCTCTTTGGTGTTCCAAGCTTTGTCATAATTTGGGCAAAGTAATCGACCAAACTCGATGATATAAAAGACGATAAAAGCGTTCAATAGTGTGATCAACATGACCAACACTATCTTTTCTCGCCAAGCCATGCGGACATCTGGACGCTTCATTCGCCCAATGTACCTCAAAAAAACAGACGGGACGAACCATGTCAAGGCCCAGACGAGAGAGGCCCAGGCTTGTCTGCCCCTAGAGGTCTTTTTGGATTCGATGTTCCGAGGATCGCCAAACTCTGGGTCCAGCTCGCCAGTAAAGCGACCCAGATCTGAGTCGTAGTATTGGTCTTTATTAGGGTCACCTTTTGGCCCAAGGCCATAATCACCACCTATGGTTTGGACTGTCCGTGCCATGGTTGGGGCAAATGATCTGGCTCGGTCTGGGGCTCCTGGTGCAAGGAGATTGTCCTTACTGTCCAGAACGCTCATAGCATCGCCCATTGGAGGAAAGAAACCACTGGCATTGTCAGGGGCGTTGCCTGAATAGCTCGATAAGAAGGGGTTGGTAGGTTGGCCGATTGCAGGCTCATCGGAATAGGACGGTGGCATGGGTTTCTGATCCAGTATGGTCTCAGCTTCCCACCAAGCTGACTCTCGCATCCAGACGCGCTCGCGGCCAATCACGACTTCTCTATTGGTCCAGCCACGTTCGAGCAGAAACGACTCTATTCCATCTTCGCCATCTTTGCAACCGAGCCTCGAATACCTCGTAACAAATTCCTCCACGTCGAAATCTGCTGTGAAATCGAGATGTCTGTTGCGATGGTTAGCCCATTCTGGCAGTCTCCAAGCCCGCAATTGCCGGGACACGGCCCCCGCAGACCATGCAGAAGTTGGGGAGGCTAGGCCAGCCAGAGTACTAGGTGAGTCATCGGTAGGGTGAAGTGAAAGCTGATACCAGGCTCTGCTGCTGGCAAGAGTCATTCCCAGATCAAACCGGCCGCGTTTTCCAAAGTTTAGCGCATCTCCATTGACGGGATACAGCAGAGTATGCAGAAACCCGCCACTTTCAGCTTCTGCGCCGATCTTTTGGAGAATACTTTCTCGTCGGTCTCGATCATGCTCTCTTTCGCGACTGAGTGGCCCGCCAGCAATGCCCAAGTCTGCCTCGGCATGAGACACAGCCAAATGCATTTCCTTTAGGACCGAGGAACCCGCCGCTGCCACCTCGAGGCCGTCTTCTTTCATTTCAGCATTGATGCCGAAAGTATCGTCAAAGACGTTTCGCAGTGCCACAGCTTTACCAAGAGCCTGACCAGGAATCTCAACGATCGTAACGCTGACCTCGTCCCCATTGCTGGAGTCGGGTGTGAGGGCTCCCGCCCGTAGTTCTGCGGCGATAGCATCATTTGCCTTTGAAATGACCCAATCAACAAGTGCTTCGTACATTCCAGCAATCAAGACTTCACGGTCGTCGGAGTTGCATTTGTTGACTAGCACGTCGGGTTCCAAGCCAATCAGTGCTCCTATATCTTCGCAGATGTCTTCAAGAGTGTCGGAGTCGACCAATAAACCGGTCGTTTCACCGAGCTTGAGTAATCCAGCAAGGCATGATAGAAGACCTCGAAACGAGGCACCCTTGATGCCGATCGATTTCAAGGCTGACCGGAAATCTTCTGCTGCTGCCACGTCGTCGGCAGTTGGTAGGTAAGATGGAGGCCCGTACGTCCCAGATCCGTTCAAAAGCGTATATCTCGAGGCAGGCTTCAAATCCAGAAACTCACGCTCGGCCGGCGTTGAGGCAGAGGTTAAGAGATAGTAGAAGACATCGAAAGCTCGGTAGCCAGGCTCGGAAGGTACTTTCAACAAGCCTTTCTGAACATCGATTCCAGATCCTGATAGGGCCAGGTTGAAACCAGTAATTGTGCCATTGAGAGTGATGGTGTATTTGGCCGAAAGGGATGAGTGTCGATAGGTCGTGGGATTGGCCGGCGTGACGCATGAGAGAAAGGGCCGCAAGGCTGACAATGCGGTAAAGGCAAGAGTCGGAGTGGGCACAGGAATGACTTGTAAGAATGGCTGAAGTAATGACGGCGTTGATGGGTGGAGCGATCCAAGTACAACGCAAGCATCCTCAGCTCTTCTCCTCGCGTGCTCCCAGGCTCTTGAGGCAAGGTCGGTGTCCACAGTGCCACCAGTCCGTCCTTGCGCATCTGGATTTACTGCGGATAGCCATGTGTTGACTGATATACTGGTACTTGAGTCAAGTTCGTACGTCTGACCTGAAGCGTATATCGTGTGGAGAGCATTCAGAAGAGTGGTCGTCGAAACTTGAGTTGACTGTTGCGCCGCTGAACGTGCAGCCCCGACCTGAGAGGTTTTGTTTGAGTAGGTGGAATATCGGTTGGCCATGTCGAGGGTGATTCCGGGCCCTTGTCGAGCGAACTTGTCGACAGGGCCTTGTAATATAGATTGTGTGAAGAGACTCTGCACTGTTTGTGATATATGCCTCATGCACTGCCAGTCCTCCTCTTCAAGTCATCTATATCCCTTTTGTCGTGATATTGTGGTCTGGTCGTGCCGAAAGTGGACAGGGTCAAGGACGGAATCGCTCAAGGAGTACTCGTTCAAATCGATATCGTGGAATGCAATATTATACAACGAGCGACGAGGAATAGCTAATGATGGACGGAGAAACGCAAAACATGCTAGAGAATAGAGCGAGTCAACAAGCAAAGAGTGAGAATGGTAGGTACGAGATGTCAAAGGCTGAATGCAGGGACGGCAACAGGGAAGGAGTCCAACAATTGTGTAAGGCTCCGGGGGCGCGTTCAGCGCGTAACAGCTATTGACATTACAACGAGTTTTTCTTTTAGCCGAGTGACAGGTTTGAGTAGCCCAAAAATAGGAGGAGCCCCGACTAGCTAGACGTCAACAAGCACGGTCGGTTTGAGGCAAATGGACTGAGACACTCTCGGCGAGGAAAGACATTAACTGTCTTGCTTTTTCTTTTGTGCACAATTGCCTCTATATCTAGACTACTTGTCGCACATAGTAGTGTTGTCCTCTTCCATGATTCCTGTTACCACCAGAGTAGTCCTTCGTCAACAGAGACGCGGTCGCTGTGGGTGACACTCTTGTGTTGTTCCCAAGAACCGTTACTGTGGGACGCAAGGTTGCACGATTGGCCCATCAGCCTCAGGTCTTTTTTAAACCTTGCGGAGGCCCTTGCAGTAAGCCGAAGTGACACGAGGAGAGACGACGCCGCTACAGCCTACCGGGATCCTCCATTTCCTCTATACACTTCCTTCTCCGGGCGATCGCAAATCCTATCTTGGGTGGCGCTGCGCTTATTGTCTCCGTATGAGTACACCACAGCCCATCAGTTTGCTGCATGTCTCGCCGGTGACCGTGAAACAGTGACTGCATGCTGGTCCACGATTCGCTACCCGTATTCGTCTTTTGTCGACTTTATACATGGAAAGTCCGTGGGTTCCTTGAGATCGGAGGGACCAAAATCAGCGGATACCCAGACCGATGATTTTTTGATTGTGCCCGCAGGTGCCTCGAAAGACCTCCCCCGGAAGAGCATGAACCACTCATCGGAAGCCTATCCAGGACCACCAGATACGGAATATTCTAGCCTTAAGCTTATTGGGTGGCAGCAACATATGGTACGGGCGTCGAGTGGGGATGCGAGACCCTAGAAAATCTGGAGCGCGTCCCATGTTTACTTAGAGTGTTTATTAGTCATTAGAATCACGCCTATTCTTGACTTGTCAACAAATCCGGGGGCGCGTCTCTTAGACTTTTTGAGCCCCCAATTCTGAAAGTTTCTGTTTCTCAAGTACCCTTGAAGTCAGCGTCATCAGCCAACCGCCCTTATATGCAGAATATCTGACACTGTCGTGGAGGATCGAGGCATCGGACGACCACGACCTTTAATGCTGAGGCTCGAAGAGAGTGGACTCGGCAAGCCAAGTAGCGTGGCGCAGTCTCCTCTGCAGCCGATCCGAATGGTCTCAAAACAGAATTGATCAAAATCCCTGCATTGGTGCATCTCCTGCATGTTTTGTAAAGACATTCAACTTACCGCCCCCATATCTGCAACCCCCGTTGTGATCCCAAACATTTTTTGGATGCCGGCTGCGGCTCACGTTTGCTACGAAACACCACTCTCTGCTGCATTTTCCTACTGACAACATTATACTCGACATCCTGCAGTTACGACCTGACGACCTTTCGCTATCATCTTATATTCTTATGTCCAAGTTCAACTGCTTTTGACGCTCGTTTGTCGCCACACTCGCTACTCGATGCTACGTATTCCCTGAACGGTCGAACCGTGTCGTCTAGGAATCGCCAACGCGTTCAACGTTCACTGAGTCTGATATACTCAAAAAGACACTTTGAGAACATACACGACCCGATGGGATCACTATAAGAGGCCCGCACCAACATCTAGGGTCGCTACCATTACCATGGCAGGTCGCGCAAATCTCCCGGCCCATGCGCAGGCGTCATTGCCCGGCCTTCCGTCTCATCTACAATCGGACACTCATTTGACAGCGCATTTGGCGAGCAGATTCCATGTCTCTCTTCCAACGGCCAAACTCTCCTCACAAGCGTTGATATGCCTCAACACGTACACCTCTTCGACGAGAGGGCCCAATGGGGACACAGAAGGGAGTGCCATGGGAGAGGCTGAAGATCTGGCAAGAAGGGCTTGGGCAAGGCTCGGAAGTAGAGCAGAAGATCAAGCAATTGTGTTCTAGTATGAATTCACAATGTCAATGAGGCTGTGGTACAACACTAACTGTGCAACAGCGGAGAATCGGGCTCAGGCAAGACCACCGTCAGGTCACACCTCCTCTCATCGTTTCTTTCGTTCTCGTCCACACCACTCTCTTCAAAACTGTCCCTCGCTGCATTTGTCTTCGACACCCTGACCACAACCAAGACCACCACGACCCAGACAGCCTCCAAAGCCGGGCTATTCTACGAACTCCAATACGATGCTTCCTCTTCGATACCCACGCTCATCGGAGGTAAAATGCTCGACCATCGCTTGGAACGGAGTCGTATTTCCCACGTCCCGACGGGCGAGAGGAGTTTCCATGTTCTGTACTATCTGTTGGCCGGAACAAGTGCAGCAGAAAAGTCTCATCTTGGGCTCAATGGTCATACGAATATCACAACATCCGGGACTGGGCTGGGCCGATCTCCCTCTGTCTCCCAGAAGAGATGGAGGTATCTGGGTCACCCCACGCAAATGCGAGTCGGCATCAACGACGCTGAAGGATTCCAACATTTTAAAACGGCCCTTCGCAAGCTTGAGTTTCCCAGAGCAGAAATTGCGGAAATATGTCAAGTACTGGCAGCTATCCTTCACATTGGCCAATTGGAATTCGGCATTGGACAGGCCACACTGACCGCTGCAGAAGAAAGTGGTGGCTACTCTCACGAGGGCGGTGAGAGCGTGACTGTGGTCAAGAATACTGAGACCCTCGCCTTGGTCGCAGCCTTTCTCGGATTGAGTGTTCAGGACCTCGAGGAAAGCTTGCGATACAAGACCAAAACCATTCATCGTGAACGAGTGACAGTCATGCTCGACTCCAAGGGCGCTCGAGAAAACGCCGACGAGTTGGCAACAACCTTGTATTCCCTACTCGTCGCTTATATTATCGAAGGTGTCAACTCGAGAATTTGTGCCGCGGAAGAGGCCGTCGCGAATACTATCTCGATCGTCGACTTTCCTGGCTTTGCGGATCATGCCTCGACGGGCTCGGTGCTTGATCAGTTGTTGAACAATGCTGCAAACGAATCTTTGTACAACATATGTCTTAGCAGTTTTTTCGAGAGGACATCGGAAATGTTGGAGAGCGAGGAGGTCAGCGTCCCGGCTACAAGCTATTTCGACAATTCTGATGCTGTTCGCGGGCTTCTTAAGCATGGTAATGGTCTTCTCGCAATCCTCGATGACCAGACCAGTCGTGGCCGGACCGATGTTCAATTCTTGGAGAGTATCCGGAAGCGCTTCGAGAACAAGAGCAAGGCCATCAGCGTCAGTAGTGCCATGTCTACCATCCCCGGCAGCAACTTCGCCACCACGAACCTCGCAGCTTCGTTCACGGTGCGTCACTACGCCGGAGAGGTCGATTACCCTGTAAACAAGCTGGTGGAGGAGAATGGCGACGTGGTATCCGGTGACCTGATGAATCTGATGAGGGGAACGAAGAGTGATTTTGTGGGCAATTTATTCGGACAGGAAGCCCTCAATACTGTCAGTCATCCAGCGGAAAGGACCGCTATTGTTCAAGCCCAGGTCAGTTCCAAACCACTGCGTATGCCTAGTGTCTCGAGAAAGAAGCACAACGAACTACGTCGTATGGCAAGCCGAAGAGCTGATCGATCACCGGCACCACCAGACGAGGAGGATCCGATGCCAGTACTGGAGGAGCAGAGATCTCGACGAACCAAAACTACAGCAAGTGGACTGACTCAAGGCGCGGCAGCACAATTCCTGTCGGCTTTGGACAATATCGCAAAGTCATTGACGGCGCCGAATGTTAACAATTATTTCGTGTTCTGTCTGAAACCCAACGACCGGCGAATTGCCAATCAGTTTGACAGCAAATGCGTCCGCCAGCAAATTCAAACGTACGGAATTGCAGAGATCAGTCAGCGGCTGCGCACGGCCGACTTCAGCATCTTCCTGCCATTTGGCGAGTTCTTGGATCTTGCTGATGCCGATACTGCTACAATCGTTGGGAGCGACGCTGAAAAAGCTCAACTGGTTCTAGACCGCAAACAGTGGTCAGGCAACGAAGCTCGCGTTGGCAATACTGGGGCCTTTCTCAGTGAACGATGCTGGGCGAGTATCGCGCTCACGGGCTCTCACAGTGCAGCGTATTACGGTGGTGACGTTGCACGTCTCTCTAGGCCAGGTACTCCGAACCCGTTCAGCGACTCCAAAGCCAGAATTTTACCTCCAGGCGAAGGTACACCAGGTTCATTCGGAGAAGAGACGAAAGGGGGTGGCTACTTCGGTACTCGAGAGTTAGACGCCAGATCGGATGCTGGCGCGTCAGCATTTAACTCTGGTGACATGTTCCGCAACCTTGAAACAAAGGAGGAACTGGCGGAAAAGGCCAACAAGAAGAAAATGCAAGAGGTCGATGTCGTCCCGGTGAGCGGCAGTCGAAAGCGATGGCTTGCGTTGGTATACTGCCTCACATGGCTGTTACCGGACTTCGCCATCAAGTGGTTTGGGAGTATGAAGCGAAAAGACGTAAGGATGGCATGGAGAGAAAAGTTTGCCATCAACCTGCTCATCTGGTTGAGCTGTGGCGTTGTGGTCTTCTTCATCCTCATCTTTCCTCAACTCATTTGTCCCAAGCAGCACGTCTTTTCGGCAGCTGAGTTGTCGGCCAAAGACGGGAAAGATTCTGCCGGCAGTTATATTGCCATTCGAGGCAACGTCTTCGACCTGGGTGCTTTCATGCCCAGTCACTATCCGAGCATCATTCCGCAGTCCTCGCTCAAGAAGTACGCCGGCGTTGATGCGACGAGTCTCTTCCCTGTCCAGGTGTCGGCTCTCTGTCAGGGGGTCAACGGATCGGTCGATCCAAGTATACAACTGGATTACTCTCAGACCAACATCAGTGGTTCTGCGAGCGTTATCAGCTCAACAGACACAAATTCAAAATACCACGATTTTCGCTATTTCACCAACGATTCCCGTGCTGATTGGTTCACCGAGCAGATGATCATGCTTAAAGCGAACTTCCGGAAGGGCAATGTTGGGTATACTCCCAAATATGTCAAAACCCTTGCAGGGAAATCGAAGTCGATTGCGATTCTGAACAGCAGAATATATGACTTTACCACGTACAACGCGGGCGGACGGACCACTCGGGCTCCTCCGGGGCAAACAGTCCCAGACAACGTTGATACCAATTTCATGGATCAATCTGTCGTGGATCTATTTACACAACGAGCTGGTCAGGACGTCACCAAATACTGGGATGCGCTTACCATCGATGCTGACGTGAAGAGTCGGATGCAAACCTGTCTGGACAATTTGTTCTTTGTGGGTGTTACAGATACTCGCAACTCCGCCCAATGTCTGTTTGCACGGTACATCCTGCTCGCTGTTTCTATTCTCCTCTGCAGCGTCATCGGCTTCAAATTCTTTGCCGCCCTGCAGTTTGGTGGAAGGAATATGCCCGAGAATTTGGACAAGTTCATTATCTGTCAGGTACCGGCGTATACCGAGGACGAAGACTCACTCCGCCGCGCCATCGATTCGGCAGCTCGGATGCGATATGACGACAAGCGCAAGCTCTTGGTCATTATATGCGACGGCATGATCATCGGTCAGGGCAACGACCGTCCAACGCCACGCATTGTCCTCGATATTCTAGGCGTAACTGAGACCGTTGATCCTGAACCTCTGAGCTTCGAGTCTCTTGGCGAAGGCATGAGACAACACAACATGGGTAAGGTATACTCCGGACTCTATGAAGTGCAGGGACATATTGTTCCGTTCATGGTTGTGGTCAAGGTTGGTAAACCGTCCGAAGTGAGCAAGCCCGGCAACCGAGGCAAGCGAGATTCACAAATGGTTATCATGCGGTTCCTTAATCGTGTTCATTACAATCTGCCGATGAGCCCGCTCGAGCTCGAGATGCACCACCACATTCGAAACATCATCGGAGTGAATCCTACCTTTTACGAATTTATGCTACAAATTGACGCGGACACTGTGGTTGCGCCAGACTCGGCTACACGCATGGTGGCAGCGTTCCTCCGTGATACTCGGCTGATAGGAGTCTGTGGAGAAACGTCGCTGAGTAACGCCAAATCGTCCTTCATCACGATGATGCAGGTGTATGAGTATTACATCTCCCACAACCTGACCAAGGCATTCGAGTCCCTGTTCGGCTCGGTTACGTGTCTGCCCGGTTGTTTCACAATGTACCGCATTCGGGCGGCCGAGACTGGCAAGCCACTATTTGTGAGCAAGGAGATCATCAACGATTATTCCGAAATTCGAGTCGATACGCTGCACATGAAGAATCTGCTGCATCTGGGTGAAGATCGGTACTTGACGACTTTGCTTATGAAATACCACAACAAATACAAGACCAAGTATATCTTCCATGCCCACGCCTGGACTATCGCTCCTGATAGCTGGACGGTCTTCATGTCTCAGCGACGTCGGTGGATCAACAGTACGGTGCACAACTTGATTGAGCTGATTCCTCTCCAGCAATTGTGCGGCTTCTGCTGTTTCAGTATGCGGTTTGTGGTTTTCCTAGATCTGCTCTCCACCATTGTGGCGCCTGTCACAGTGGCTTATATCGTGTACCTGATTGTCCTTCTGGCGACTTCCTCGAGCGTGGTACCAATCACCGCGTTTATCCTTCTGGGGGCCATTTATGGTCTTCAGGCCATTATTTTCATTCTTCGTCGCAAGTGGGAGATGATTGGGTGGATGATTGTGTACATCCTGGCCATGCCCATCTTTTCGTTTGGCCTGCCGCTGTATGCTTTCTGGCATATGGATGATTTCAGCTGGGGAAACACTCGTCTTGTCACGGGCGAGCAGGGCAAACAAATCTTGATCTCTGACGAGGGCAAGTTCGACCCCAACTCGATCCCGAAGAAGAAATGGGAAGAATATCAAGCCGAGCTGTGGGAGGCGCAGACTCAACGAGATGACACCAAATCGGAAGTGTCAGGGTACAGCTACGGCACCAAATCGTACCATCCTGCAGCCTCTGTATACGGTGGTGGCCATGATACGCAGCACTTGATACCTCATTCGCGATCTGTCTCACAGCTCGATCTGCATCAGTCCATGTATGGTGGCGGCTACAACCAGTCACGAATGTCGCTCGCACCATCGGAAATGCTGGGTGGTGAGATGCTGCCTAGTGGTCGGTCGGTGGCCGACATGGAGATGGCCGACTTGACCGGACTTCCTATGGACGACACGATCCTGAACGAAATTCGAGATATCTTGAGGACGGCCGATCTCATGACGGTGACGAAGAAGGGGATCAAGTTGGAGTTGGAACGCCGCTTCAACGTCAATCTCGACGCGAAGCGGGCGTACATCGGAAGTGGTAAGTTTTAAATCCCAATCCACACCATGAGATTGATTGCTGACTATTTTGTGCAGCCACCGAAGCCATCCTTTCTGGACAATTATGAGGTGTTTGTTACACGATTGATAGCGTTTGAGTATTGGGCTGATAGATATAATCCTGGTGTTTGGCAAATGTGTTTGACTTTGCATAGAAGGTCAATAGCATTTAGCATCGATGATTTGCAGCGCATCAAGGGACTTTGTAGCATAGCACTGCGTTATGTTGGATTTGGAGGATAGTGAGAACAGTACAGTCTTTGTGGATGCAGAGCATCACCAATATCATGGATGGCGGGATGACGTATTATCTGATCCTCAGGGAGAGAGTACCTGAGTCCCTGACATATGGTCCTTGAAGACTCATTGGTGACACTCATCCAGGTGTTAGTTTCCTCTAACTTGGAATTAACGGTTACTGTAACCCGCTTTGGTCTCGATCGACGCTATTGATGATTTTAACGATAAAAGATAAAGATAGGCTCGCCTAAAGTGGTTAAACAGGGCACTGACTGGATTGCTTCGGGGCCAAGCTCAACCAAGCATTTGCTTGTCAGTGCTTGTCCTCGGTGCCCAGATTTCTTGTCTCGGTGGAGGTCTGACATCATCGGCTCCGACACCTTTGATTCGCGGGATTCCATGTGCCTCGCCTTGAATCGCCTTCAGGTGGTGCGTGGCCTCACGTCTGACTTCTGTAGCCCAAGTTAAAGCGAACGGCCATTCCTTGAGATCTCACTCTCTTGTCATCGTTATTCCTTTCCCCTCAATCTCTATCTCAACCACTTACCTGATCACGCGACATCTGAGATCGAGGACTTAAAAGGGCTCCACCACAGTTTCCATCGAAGCTGTTCTCCCTGTTCCGTACTGAACAATACCCTGGCTTCAATTTCATCTCTTCGACCTTCAGCCATGATCCCGAAGACCGTTCTGGAACTATGTCAGAGCGGTGCATCCGTCAGCGCCGAGCTGGCCAAGGAGCCAAACTTGTCTCCCCATGAGGCAGCGAAGAAGCTCTTCCATTATGACGCTGGGGACGAAAAAGCAAACAAGAAACTGACACTGGGCGATGAAACCGATGCGGATCTTGAACAGGCTCTCGCTTGTGGCAACTGGGGAACGTCAAAGCCGAGCCCACTCTTCCTACGAGTAGGTCATGTTCTTCGATTTCCTTATCCTTGCGGTCTTCGTGCTGAACCACTGCTTAGATCTTTCATGATGTCTTGTGCACGCTGGAGAAGAACCCTTTGGCTGGCGTCTGCTCACCCTCACTCATGGGGAGCAACGGTGTATGCCCGTTGACAATCTTTGCGCCCATCCCGGACATTTGCCGGCACATGTCCAATGTCATCGCTCGAGCAGAGGAGGAAGTCTACTTAGCCACGAATTTCTGGATGCACTCGGAGCCGACCATGTTGATCACCAATGCCATAAAAGAGCTCAACAGAAAGGCCGGCGCATTGAACAAGAAAATCGTCGTCAAGATCATTTACGATCGAGGTAGCGCGAAACAGGTGAGTGTTCCAATACCCCTGAATAATGGCCCTACCTAACATCAACAGTTCATCCATAACCATATTGTGGTAGAACCTAAGACATATGCCGATCCAAATGGAGCCATCCGACTGCCACATCCTGACGATATACCCCATCTCGATCTCGAGGTCGTCAACTATCACCAGCCTATCTTTGGCACTTTCCACTGCAAGTACGTGATCGCAGATCGCAAGATCGCCATCATTCAGAGCAACAACATCCAAGACAATGACAATCTGGAAATGATGACTCAGTGGGAGGGAGCGATTGTGGATTCCTTTTACGACATGGCGCTCATTTCGTGGCACAATGCCTTGCATCCTCCCCTCCCTCTGTTGAACCGCCCGGCTGCAGGACAACCGACACCCACATTCCACTCCGACTCTCACGCTACACTGTTTGACCAGAGTGGGCAATTGAGAGAAGTCTACCATTCGTATGATGATCTACTTCCGACCCTGATATGTACATACTAAACTGGCCGCAGGACCGAGACGATGCCCGATGGCCATGATAATTTGCGTGAACTCGCCGCGGCTGGCTCACAGACGGATCTACCTATGCACACGTCCAAAGACCCGCACTATGACGAGGACATCAAGTCTGAAGTCCTGCGTGCTGCAGCGGCCCTGAAACCTCGTCAAGGCGAAAGACGCATTGATCCTATCACTCGTCTCCTGAATACAACAATCCAACCAGATACCAAGGGCAGCGCACCAGACATTGAACCCGCTGATTCCATGACGCCATTCATTCCCATACCTCAGCACGATCCCGTCCCAGTTGCGATGGTGTGCAGAGAGCCATGGGGAAAGCCTGGCAAAGGTTCACTGCACGTTCCACAGAACGAAGCGTTTGCGTCGGCTTTACGCCATGCCAAGGAGTCTGTTTTCATCCAGACACCCGACTTGAATGCTGAAGATCTCATTCCTGAGATTGTCAAGGCATGTCGTCGCGGTGTGCACGTGATATATTACTACTGTCTCGGATACAACGATGCTGGTGAGTTGCTGCCGGGCCAGAACGGGCATAACGAGATGATTGCACACGGTTTCTACAAGGAGCTCGAAGAGCAGTACCATCAGAACCTGGATATTCATGCCTATGTGGCCAAGGATCAGGTCCATCCGATACACAACAAGTTCAAGAAGCGATCGTGTCATATCAAGGTCATGATCGTCGATGAACATATTGGCATTCAAGGCAATGGCAACCAGGACACCCAGAGCTGGTACCACAGTCAAGAGATCAATATCATGTGTGATAGCGCGTTGATTGTGGGCAAGTGGTTGGAGGGCCTGAGGCAGAATCAGAACACTCATATTTATGGCAAAACGGAGAAGGAAGGACCTGACTCTGGATGCTGGAAGGATCCTCAGACTGGAAAACAAGCCGAAGCTGCCATCGGTGTTGATCCAGGCAAATTTGCTTGGGCTAAAGGATTTATTGGAGCGGTGCAGCGAGTTCGTGGAGCTGGAGGCTTCTGAGAGCAGCTTTATGCTTTGGCGCAGGTACAACTCAGGGTGATTGAGAAGGATTGTTCGGAAGTATCCAGGCGTTGTATGACGCAGTTTTATGCTTGAGAGATTAATGCAAAAGATGTTCGAAGCGCATATCCCATCATTGTTGTTTTGATATCCCCTGGTCGTACGGCAGAAGGATTCCCCGAATTCCGCTTCGCAGCTTGATCAATTCCGCAGGTTGGAGAACAGGTGTTTGCAGCTTTCATGTAACACAGCAGCAACAGCGGAGAAATTCTGGATGTCTGATGATGTCGACAGGTTCATGAGCACATGCTCGTGCTTCATCTGTTTTCAAGAACAAAGCCTCTCATATCGACTGGCGGAACTTGTGAAAGCACGAGTGACATACAAGTCGCAGCCATACCTCTTGTATGAATTCACATACCTATTGCCATGTCGAACGAGGGCCCCACAGAGCTGTGTCTCCCGAACTCTCCGAGCTGTCGACGAAGCACAAGTGTAGCAAGTATGAGTATGATATGTCTTGCCAGCGGAAGAGATAGGATACACAAATAGCTTGATTGTCACAGCCGATATCGGGTGGAATGAGGTCGCTACAGCTAAGTTTCCCCCGCAGTTCAACAGCCGACGCAAACAACCGCTTTCTCCAGTTTGGAAGTTCGGCTGTCATCTCCCTCCACAAATCCATCAATGGGAAAAGCGCGCTCCTCTCTCGCTATAGGATGGGCCGAATTCGTGCGCCATAAACGGCAGGAATGGCATAGTCCGCTTGATGATGAGCGGCACAGCTCCGCACTTGCCAATGCCTCCAAGTTCTTGGTAGCTATAGAATGCAGCAGGTTCTCTTCTGACCTCCAGGAGTGTCTCTCACTAATCTAGCATCACATACATCTTGTGCCTCGGATTGAGCTTCAGTGGCATTCGCAGCTACCATCCTACTGATTCTCACAGAGCCGCAACTGAACGGCAAAGTTTACGCCCAACATGGGTTCAGTTTCGAAGAAGCGCAAGATCGATGCCACGGCTGCGAAGCAGTATGAAACGATCTACTGTAGTCCCATGAGTATGCGACTGACATGACCTTCAGAGACTACACTACTTCTTTCGCCTTCTTTGAGGCTATCTGGGAGGTAAGGCATGCTCCCTAACTGTTCTACTGCTCCACACTGACTGATCCCAGGCTGGCATCACCCACGTCTTTGTCAATCTGGGCTCCGACCACCCTTCCATAATCGAAGCCATTGTCAAGGGCCAAAATGAAAAGCAAGGAAACTTCCCCAGAATCATCACCTGCCCGAACGAGGTATCACACACCCACAGACTCAAGATCGCATGACACTGACAAGCATGTATAGATGGTGGCCCTCTCAATGGCCGATGGCGTGGCCAGGTTGACCAACAAGCCCCAATGCGTAATCGTCCATGTCGACGTTGGCACCCAAGGTCTAGCCGCTGCTGTCCACAACGCCTCCTGCGGCCGAGCCCCCGTCCTCATTTTCGCCGGTCTATCCCCGTACACGATTGAAGGCGAATACCGTGGCTCAAGAACAGAATACATACACTGGATTCAAGATGTGCCGGACCAGAAACAGATTGTCGCGCAATATTGCAGATATACGGGTGAGATCAAGGGTGGACGGAACGTCAAGCAGATGGTCAATCGTGCCTTGCAATTCGCGACCAGCGATCCCCAAGGACCGGTCTACCTGTGCGGCGCTCGTGAGCCAATGGAAGAGGACATCCAGCCATATCAGCTCGAGCAGGAAGTATGGCAGGCAATCTCACCCGCCGCCCTACCCCAGGACGGGGTGAAATTGATCGCAGAAGAACTTGTCAAGGCAAAGGAACCTCTATTGATTGTGGGGTATACTGGTCGCAAGGTCGAGTCCGTTACCGCAACGGTAGCACTTGCAGATAAGATCCCAGGTCTGCGAGTGTTGGACACTGGAGGTAGTGACATGTGTTTCCCAACGAATCATCCAGCAGCCCTGGGTTTGAGATATGGTTCTGAACCTGCAATCACGACCGCCGACTTCATTCTCGTGGTGGATTGCGACGTACCTTGGATTCCCACGCAATGCAAACCCAAAGCCGACGCAAGAATCATCCACATTGACGTCGACCCACTCAAGCAGCAGATGCCGGTCTTCTATATTCCGGCATTTGCCCGGTTCAAAGCAGATTCAGCGACCTCTTTCACACAGATCAGCGAGTACCTTGCGTCTAATGAAACGCTGACTACAGTCCTTTCTGAAACGGCACATACAGTCGGTGTGAAGAGACAAGAAGCACATACTGCCCGCTGGAGTCAATTCAAAGAGCTTGCCAAAATTCCCTCCGATCCTGCAAACTCTTCGATCGACCCACACATCCTGGGCGGACAGCTCCGCGCGAGCGTTCCAGAGGATACCATCTTCGCTGTCGAGGCTGTAACCCTCACGGGTTTCATTGCCGACCAGATCGCGCCAGTCCTGCCAAAATCGTGGATCAACTGTGGCGGGGGCGGTCTAGGGTGGTCCGGCGGTGGTGCATTGGGGGTCAAATTGGCGTCAGACTTTGAGCACCGTGATGTAGATGCGGGGGATCTTACAGGAGCGAAAAAGGGGAAGTTTGTATGCCAAATCGTGGGCGATGGGACGTTCATGTTCAGCGTGCCGAGTTCGGTGTATTGGATTGCACAGCGCTATGAGATACCGATTCTGACCATTGTGCTAAACAACAAGGGGTGGAATGCGCCGAGGCGGTCGATGTTGTTGGTCCATCCGCATGGGGAGGGGAGTAAGGTGGATAACAAGGCTCTGCATATCAGTTTCGAGCCGACGCCGGACTATGCGGGGATTGCGAAGGCGGCGAGTGGGGGGCATGCTTGGGCTGGGACGGTGAGTACGGTGCAGGAGTTGCTGGATACTTTGCCGCAAGCGGTGGCTGCTGTGAGGGATGAAGGGAGGAGTGCTATTCTGGAGGTCAAGATTGGGGTTGAGAGTGCTGGGAAGCAGAATGGTGAGATCAAGGGCAAAGAGGTGGGCGCTACGAGTGGGTAGAAACGCATAGGTCAGTGTCAATGTGGGAGATGAGATGTCACCGTGTTATTTGAGACTGGCATAAGTTATGTATAGATCGTAAGCATCTGGAGGTATGGCTGAAGCGGTAAGGATGAATATTATTGAATAAAAATGCATGGCACTTATAAGCATTGTCGTAACAAATATAATTTAGTCTGCCGAGTCGATTCTTGATTCTGGCGGTGATAGAAGGTCACTGCTGCCATCTCATAGGCGACTGAACGTGTCGTCGTCGCGCGCGCAGAAAAAGCCTAGACTGTGCATTATGTCGTCTGGTACTTTGGTAGTCGGATACTGTGAATCGAGTACTGGCTACGGAGTAGATCGAGTGGAATGAAATACTGCCTATCTAGGAAGTCGGACTTGCCCGATTGAATTTATTTTCCCCTTTCTCGTGACCCAATTTTGATTTATGTTCGCAACGGGGTCAACGATGGGTTGGGGTCTTACTTCTTCAGGTTAGACACTTTCTTGGATGTATTGCATCTGATTACCTATCCCTCCACGTCTTTGAAGGGTTAGAGGTCGATCAAATCTCTTGTTACTATGCTGAATGTACTCGCAACCCCAGGGTGCTACACGCGGAGGAAATAGGCCATCGAGAGCTCGACGCGTGAATCAACTTGAAGTTATCGAAGCCGGACCGTGGCATGCTCTTGGTTGCTACTCATGAAAGAGTCGTCGATTCCAGGGTTTGTGCATAATACAGCACCACCACGATCCACATTGGGAGGTGACGCTGGAATGATACTAAAGCAGGCTGCCTGTACGGAGTACCATATCAGCCTTTGCCCTCGAGTGTCCACTACTGTAATGCTCTCAGATTTGATATTGACACGTCGGCATCGCTGGTCTCCTTGTCCGGCGGCTGAGGGTATGATCGAGCTGCGAAGGCAAGGGGAGGGAGATTGGGAAGGACAAGGGATATTGCGGATTTGTAGTGTTCTGGCCGTGTCCCGTAGCTGTCTGATATCCCATGAATGGTTGGTGAATATAAGGTTATGTCGAGACTCGATAGGCTTAGGCAGTGATCACTGATCTTGTAACCTGGTACACGGTAACCACACTGAGGCTTCTTGCAGGCGTTCATGCCATTACCCAAGCTGGCGAGGGTGTGGGGTGTGGGATACAGTGGGTGTATCAAGATTGGTCATCCGCCATCCGCGATCACCGTCAGACACCAGGTGTCGGGACGTACCTAGATTGCCGATGCCGTGAAAGGTCTTGTTGTTCTTGCACTGGCGCCAGCACCTCTCACGGCATCGCCGACGGAAAGGTGCAGACGCACACACAGATGCAGCCAGGCAGGCCAAGCGGATCGCATCGTCCGGTCTGTATCACCACGGACACCTGCGCCGCACCCTGCAGGGTCGGAGACCCGTACTGTACTCCGTACCATATTTGGCACGGGGACTTCAACCATGACGCGGAACAGTCGGTATTGAGATTGAGTGTCAATGGATGTATGATGTGAGCAAAGACCTGTGGCCTTGTCGAGGCTGCGCAGGTCCAGCTCGAGAATCAGGGGTTCTGACCTTGTACACTGACTTCGAAACCGATATATTCACAATAGACAAGGATTGAAGGATTGGATCATAGAGTATCAAGATTGATACGTGTCTCGCTATTGAATACTTTGACATCAATATCAATATCAATGTCAATGCTAATGCAATGCCAACTCAGTCTATAAAAAGACTAAACCAACTGCTATTACCACCCCAAATCAACTTCATTCTCTCCAAACATTCCCCAAAACCCACCACAACCCTTTCAACAAAAACCAGGTCTGTTGATCCTGATCTTTATGCACAAAGTACTAACATGACGTTGTGTACATTGTGATATGACGTGTAACCCCCTTCTTTGTGCAATCAGACAAAGCCCAATAGCTGAGACCAATCTCTAAAAGGCGGAACCCCGACGCTCGTTAGCGTCGACAAGCTCCTTGTTGAGAACACCACCCTCGCTTCCCATGTGTTGAGCAAAGGTCTTTGTAGGAACCCATTTGGCCGAGTTACGTGGGGTAGTCTCTTCCAACATCTTGTCAACCTGCTCCAAGGACAGACCCTTGGTCTCGGGGACGAGCATGTACGCGTAAACAAAGCAGCAAGTGCAAAGACCACCCCAGACGAAGAAAACGGAGGATCTCATGTTGCCCTTGTCGGTACCGACCATGTAAGGAGTAATGACGGAAATGATCTGTAGATGATATTAGACATGCGTGAGAAGAAAAAAGGAGACGAGGACTTACAGTGTTCCACAGCCAGTTGGAGGCGGTCGACAAAGCGACACCACGGGATCGAATGGGGAGAGGGAAGATCTCGCCAATAACGATCCAGGCACCAGGACCCCAGGTAGAGGCGAAGAAGAAGATGTAGATGGCGATGAAGGCGATCTGAGCATTGACTGCGGAGATGTTGTTGGCGATGGTGTTGCCGGCAGCATCGAGATGGGTCTTGTTGAAACCGATTGTGACACCAATGATGGCGACGAGGAACTCGCAGACCAACATACCGAAGGCACCCCAGATCAACAACGGGCGACGACCGAACTTCTCAACAGTGTAGAAGGAAAGCGGGGTCGAGCCGACGTTGACGCAGTTGAAGATGAGGGAGATCAAGAAGGAGTTGGAGATGGCGCCAGTGGACTTCAAGAAAGATGTCGAGTAGTAGAAAATGAAGTTGACACCGGTCCATTGCTGCATCATCTGGAGAGAAGTACCGAGGATGGTGCGGCGCAGGTTAGACTTCTGGTGGCCAAGACCTCCCTTGAAGCAGTTGTACCAGCTGCCAAACCAGCCAGTTGCTGGGATCATTTGTCGTTCGTACTCATCGTTGGCAATGATTTCTGCAACTTCGACCTGGATGTACTCCGAATCGGGAGGTTGGCCACGAAGGCGGGAGAGAGAGTCGATAGCCCGCTCAAGCTGGCCTCTCTTGACAAAGTATCTTGGCGAGTCTGGGAGGAAGAAAAGACCACCGGCAAGGATGATGGCCCAGGCAAATTGGATGGCGATTGGAATACGGTAGGCACCGGTGTCCTGTCGGTTCTTGACGGCATAGACGACGCAGGAAGCCAACAAGATACCAATAGTGATGCAGAATTGGTATCCAGCCACGAGAGCACCACGGACCTTTCTTGGGCACTGCAGAAGGATTAGCTGGATGAAGCTGTACCTCGGTGGCTGCTGCGACTTACGATTTCTGACATGTACAAGATGACAATGGCGCTTTCAAAGCCGACACCCAAACCTGCGATCAGACGACCAGCGACGATGGGACCGAGAGCGTGACCGGGACCGGTGATCATTTGAACGACGACACCGAGAGCATAGATCTATTGCGAAGCAGATTAGCACATGCATGCGCTGTTACAGGCCAAATCAATCAGACTTACAAAGCAGCCAATGATGACAGTCCACTTGCGACCAATCATGTCGGCGACATCGCCAGCAATAAGAGCACCAAAGAAGGTACCGCAGGATAGAATTGAGACGATGAGCGAGGAGTGGGATGAGGTCAGCGCAGTCGCGTTGGGTCCTTCGATGTAGTGAATGAACTGCGTGTTGGAAGTAGCACCGTTGATGTAACCAGAATCGTAGCCAAAGAAGATACCACCGAACGACGCGAACGCGCAGATCAGGTAGGCCTTCCAGGTGACAGGCGCTTCGATGCGGTTGACATCGTTGGTCGTAGAGAGAGCTCGAACGGGGGCTGCTCCGCCAGGCATGGTTGCGGTGTTGTCTTGGTAGAGGATGGGTGAATGCAGAAGCAGGTGGTTGTACCTGAGGAAGAAGGGAGAAAAGACAGGGTGCTCACGAGGACGAGGAAGACAAAGGCCTTTATGCACGGAGCTTGGACCGGAGAGGAGGCGAAACAGAACCGCACTCTTTGCTGCAATGGCACTCTGGAGGAGCTCGTACCAGGATCAACAAACCGGGGGTGACAGATGGCAACGGACGAGTGATATCACAAATTCCTATTCGGAAGTGGAATAGACTGGTCGAGAAAGCAGTGTCCATTCACTGTTTAGTGCCTGCTCCAGAGAAAAATAGTGAAATTCCTTTGGGAGGGGTCTCGCGACTCAAGCCACTGGACGGGCAACCGACGAGTAATGCAGCGAGAAGTGGATAGCAGCGTGGCATTCAATGGATCGCCGGTTATCCCATGATATGTCAAAGATTGGACGCTCGACCAGATTTTTTTCGCGGAGTGACGGAGGTCCCAGGTCCAGAAGAGGCCCCCAAGGAGCAAGGCAGCTCTTTCCCATGGGAGAGTCTGGTGAAGGTATGGCCCCTGCGGGGGCTACTGCCGGTCAATGGTCAGGCGGCAACCTCAGGCCAGTCATGTCACCTGGATGGCAGGCACTAGCGGCCGGCTGGCAAATAATGGATACCATAGTACAATGGGAAACTGGTCGTTCGGCGACGGCGACCTGCCCAGAAGCGGACTGGACTTGCTGGAGATGGTGGAGAGACGCCTGGGGATGTTCCACCGTGTCCACCAGATTATTGTTGTCTTGCAGCTGCCACAGCCAATCGCAACCCAAGCGCGCCTTGCGATCAGATGCCTCGGCTTGAACAGAGAAATATTTGCATGATCTTCTGCCCCTTCAGAGCCTTACTGGTCGGTGGGGACTCAAAAACGAACAGTCTGGAAAACGAGCCTCTGGTGCCTTGTGACCTTTCGTCTTGAGTCATGTCAGATCCTCTGAATCTAAAAATCCTTAGCTGGAGATCCCCTTGAGCAAGAGAAAGCTTGTCGCGCAGTTTTGACGTAGTTCATTTCTCTCTTAGGATCAATTGATCTTTGCTCAAGCTGTTGCGGCTCGGTTCAGCTCGTTCGCCTGTCCTTGTGTACGACGCTTGGTGTTGCCAGTCACAGCGTCAACCCCTCCTCTTGCAAAGCAGCGTCCCCGTGGGAAGCATTGGGCGGTCTGCGGGGCCTAGGAGTTGCATGCAACAATGACGGCTAGCGTGCTGTAACGTCGGCAAGGAATGTCACTTGGGTGCATTGGCTGGGAAACAAGATTTGGGCGTTTTGGCTGAAACTGAAAAAATTCTGCGAAGGCTGCGGCGACGGCGTCTGACCAAAGACAGGAAAGGGATGCGCCGAGATTAGATTTGAGCATTGTTCCTCATTGCCGGAGCTGATTGCCGAGTTCTGTGTTTTATTTCAACCATGGTTCAGTGGCGTTCTGTGTTTTATTTCAACCATAGTTCAGTGGCGTTGCTTGGGTAGACAATGTCATGCCATAGCACGGTAAAGTCATGCGTGATCAATCAAATTACTTGGTAATGATCGATCATGACGCGGCTGAAGTGAAAGTGTAATACAGCGTTCCAAAACCCAAAGGTGAGGGGAAAGAAGGCATGAATCTCAGATCGTGTGCATGTGGTAATAAGTTACATGAAGGCAAGGTTGTAGCATGGTATGGAATACCCTGTAAAGGACAAGGAAGTGGACAATAGAAGCGAGCCATTCAGTTGATTGACAGGCCTCCAAATGCTGACAGAGAGAGAAGCCACAGGAGTCAATTCAAATCAATTCAACTCGACTCGACTCAAGTCTCACGGCCATTAATCAGGCCCTCAATCCGTAGTTTTGCCGTGAACAATACCCGTGATTTTGTAACTCTTTAATCATACTCCGTAATAGGGATGTCGACATGTCTAGATGTCTCTCGATGTCCATGTTTTTGGATCAATAATGTTCAATCATTTATTCTCCATTATTCTGTCTCATCGTCTGGGTCTCATGAATTTGTCCGTGTACGAAATCCACTGTTCAAGCAAATTTGCTTGTACTTGTGACCAATGTTGGGACTATGGAAAAAAGTCCCTGTACCAAGAGACATCACCCATATCGTCACCATCATGATGATTCCCAGACACATTCTCTTTTCGCCTCTCGCTTCCCGCGACCACTTGACTGGATCTGACAATTGAGATCGCGTTGGATCATCGATGAATCACTACCCCTTACCCGTTTCGACCTCGATTCTCTCCTTCTAGAAGCTGTTCTCTGCATCTTCTGCATCTCAGCTGTTGTTCTGATTTGATAATGGCCTCCCCCATGGGTAGTAATGGATCATTGACTTTTTTCTCCCTTGCCCCTCCCTCTTCCCCCTTGGGAATCCCTCCGATACCACAGTCTCTCCAGAGTCTCCACGGCCACTGGCAACCTCTAGCGAAATCTCACTAAGCGGACGCCTCATAGCGAGGTTTCGCCGATGCAACTCTACCACATGGAATGGCGCATGCGCGCGCACACTTCGCGTGGACGGCATATGCGCGAACCAGAAACGCGAATGGAAGAACTACAGTGCGGACCAACAGTTCCTCGTCTCTCTCTCCGTGTATGTCACCTGCATACGGAATCCTCCAGAACTACTAAACGGACTCTGGCTCCTTGCCCGAAATTGAACACCGTTCTCGTTGTGGTAGCATACCAAGACTTTGGGATAGTCCACTTATCGTTCCTTTGGATCTGCTTGTCCAATGTCCTGTAATCCGCTGATGATTTCTTTCTAGCCTTCTTCTATACTCGATCCGGCAGGATAACGCTACAACCTCAAAGTTACACCATCGCGTCTTACGACCTCATGCGATGCGATGCAAACGTCCCCACGTCTCCACGACTCGACCTCATCCCGCCTCTACTCACCCATCACCTCACCCTCGCTTGGTGGTTCCATTCTTGCAGTCTCAAACCTAACTCAAACACCCCCGAGGTGGAAATCATTTCCTCTGTAGGTTTCGGCGACCGGCTCTTCGCTGTCTTCTCAAGTACAAAATGGCGCCCAGTCCAGGCACACGGACTATGCCGGGCGCCCGCTACCTTGGTCCAGATTCCCTCCGCGTACGCAATCCTTGGAACGACAATTTCTCAATAACTTCCAACAAAACTCAGTTGGGTAGGTGATTCCATGCCGAGTAATTGCCGGCCAGCCATCTCCGTTGCTCTTGAAGATGAGGAAAACCAATTTCCAGTCACCACATATTTACCAAATTCACGCAGAGACCACTGAAAGCTTCCGCATCAGAGCGCTGCCCTTGCCGCGACGCAAGACGGCAAGACTTGACAAGGTTTTCATTGTCTGGTATTGCTGCTTCTGTCACTCGTGCCAAGGTGGGTTCCTTCCAGAATGATCATGCTACTCCAAGGTAATGTGAGAAAAGCCTCACCTTCAAGGCGCCAGCATGGAGTCCTCATAAGTTGTCTCTTTGAACCTCTCCGATGGTCACCCGCATGAAACACGGGCGACGGGCGATATGGTGCGAAGACCCCGGGATTATGTGGTTCGTCTTATCTTTGAGACGGAAAGAAGTGTCTGCGGTCCTAACCTCAGACGTCCATCAGGTGTTTCCATTTCCTCGCAAACCACGGTGCCACAGCCCAACTGGCCCTCTCCCAAGGATGTCCACAGTGCCGCTCACTCTCGTCAGACGTGATCTTCTCATCTCGTCTTAGTTCACCTGCACCACGGAATCTGACTCCTTGCCGTACATAGACATCCTTTTTGAGCTCCTGAACACCATCGAGCAATGATGATTTCGCACCAGCTTGCTCTTGCTGGGCACGAACAGTCAGCATCACAGCCATGTCCCTCAATTGTGGTAGTGGCAGTAAGTCTAGGCATGCGTGGTGAGGGAAGCTGATCTGGGCCAAGCACGGTTTCAAAGGACCCAGGGGTGGCAATCGTGATTCCGATGCAATGTCGAGGTTTGTCAACGGCGCCGCGGATGGAGGACCTTCACGCAGCGCCAGAGGCAAAGAGGGTCGATAGAACGGCGACATATACTGTGGATCCATCACTCGCTCAATGTCAATGCCCAGGACGCGAGCGTTGAAGAGGCACGCTGCGAGGGTCGCAGTGGCTCCATGGGGCCAGAGCGCACACCTTGGCCGCTCTCGTACTAATGTCAACAACTGTGTGAAAGGTGTGCAAGGCTTTGACATGCATTCCTCGGTGGGAAATAAGTTCTGTGGTGAGGAGAAGGTGAACATTTCCTCGTCCGCGGTGTACTTCTGTGTCCAGTCCAAGACCTGCGTATCGGGCGACCTTACCATCGCATCCGCCTCAACTTCTGGTGGAAACGGCGCAAGACGCCTGGGCGCAGTATCCGGCATTATGCGCTTTCTTAACCTTCGCCGTTCTCCTTATAACACGTCAGAGACATAACCACGCCTGCATTACCTACGCAAAAGTGCTCACGAAAGGCTCTCTGTGCACGCCGATTCTGCTCCTTCCGCGCCTCTGTAATGGCAGGTTTCGGTTGTTCCTTATCTCTGTACTCGTCCTGGCAATTTGGCGCAGGTAGGAAGTTTCCGGAACCCATCTCGAACGCAATGTATCGGTTGACTCTGCTCGTAAGCAGGTAACAAGGTGAAACGAAGAATTCTGGATAAGCAAAATTCATAAGAATGAGGTCGAGATGAGGTCGGGGTTTATTTGTTCCTCTCCCACTTGCTTACTCTTTTCGGCCAATCAGAATACAGGCCTGGCATGGAGAGAGACATATTCGGGACAACTCAACCACATCCAAAGGTGTAAGCAAGTACGGGAGTACAAGAACCCACGATCACGATCACGATGTCGATGGCTTTGGACTATCTAGATGATTCGACTGCTACCGACCACAGAAAAATCCCACCTGGTTTAATATTCAACCAGGTTTCTCACTCCAAATTATGCCAGCATCGAACAAGAAAATCATCGCCATCGTAGGTGCAACGGGAAGACAGGGAGGAAGCGTCGCACGTACCTTCCTCTCAGCACCTCTATCGTCGCGCTGGCACGTTCGCTGTCTCACGCGGAACCCGTCGTCCGAAGCTGCCAGGCACGTACAATCAAGCTCGTCTACAATGTCTGGCCATGCCAGTGTGCTGACTGTCAATTACTTAGAGGTCTCGCCGCCCTCGGCGCCGAACTCGTCCAAGCCGACCTCTCCTCGACCGCCAGCCTCGTCGCAGCCTTCTCCTCCGCCACCGCCATCTTCGTCAACACCAATTTCTGGGAAGTCTATCGCAGCGCTGTGGCGTCTGGCACAAACGACGACGACGCCTCGCAACTAGCATACAACAACGAAATCACATGGGGTATCAATGCCGCAACAGCAGCCAGCCAGATTCCTGAGCTAGAGAAATTCGTCTACTCAGCCTTTGGCTCGATGAAGGTCGCTTCTGGAGGCAAGTACGCGCGCTGCTACCACTTTGAAGCCAAGGCCGTTGTCGTTGCGCATATTACCGAGAAGTTGCCCCAGCTGGCGGCGAAGACGAGCTATATCTATGCGTCCGCATACGCTGATAATCCATTGCTGTTTCCGCACAGGGTGCCCTATGGGACGTCGTGGATTCTGTGGATTCTGATGAAGTTGCCATTTCTGGTGCGGTTTCTGCCTCGACCAGCTCCAGCTGCCCCAGCGACTACCAAGGCCACCGAAAAGAAGGTGCCGACTGGTGGTGAGCATCTCATGGTTCTTCCGGGGAAAATGTCAACGAAGCTCCCCGTCTTCATCCCGGATGTTTCGACGGGTGGATACGTTCGGTGCCTGGTTGAGGATGAACCGGCAAGCACGAAGCTTCTCGCGGTCGACTGGTGGCTCGGGCTCGAAGAGGGAATGAAGATGTGGGAGAGAGTCACGGGTCGGAAGTCAAAGTCCATGGAAGTCACTGTGCAGTTGCTCTGCCAGTTGACGGGTCGGAGGGAAGAGGTCATTGAAGGTGCGGCTTTTCTGGCCGAATTCCCTTACATGTGTGAGGTGAAGGGTTGGATTGAGCCCAGTGGACTGAAAACCCCACCATCTAACGCGATGAGCTATGAGGAGTTTTTGAGGACCAGAGACTTGCAGGAGCTGCTGGCCTGATAGGACCTCAATGGCAGACGATTCAATATTTGCATTCTCTCTATCAGTTCCTCAAGTAATGAATCATGGTTTACTTACGAAGTGTTGTGCGGACAGATACCACTTCGGAAGCACTCTGGCATGACATCAAAGTATTGAATGAGTAATCCGACCATGAAAATGAGGTTAAAGAGCGACACCCGGCTTCAAGGTGGGTGGTAACTTCCGCGATATGTGTAACGAACTGTGATTGGTCCAACCACGAGAACGCGCGCTAACAAACCACTTTACGCGCGACGCGTTTGGCAATTGAATCTCAGGGATAATTCCATCCTCATTATCATCACATCACAACCAAGTCCTCACATCAGCTGTTAACTCACCTCGAAAGGCGCCCGAGAAATTCAACATGGCCCTCGATACATTCCAGCTTCGTGACGAAGCAGTCCGAGACAGAATCCGACTTGCAACAGAATTCCTTGACCCTACAGACGATGCAGCCAGATCATACCGCGGAGACATTGTGCTCATGCTCAACCGTGGTCTCCGAAGACTAGTGGTGAGCATCGATGACATCCGAACTCACTCAAGAGAACTCGCGGACGGCATTCTTTACAAACCTTTCGATTACTCCCTTGCCTTCGACGCTGCGCTGAAGAACATCATTGGCACAATTCCCAATCGGCCTCCCTTCGAGCAAGATGAGGACAGATTATACTATGTGGCATACTCTGGCTCATTCGGAGAAAACACCTGTAATCCTAGGACTCTGGGGAGCTCCTTGTTGAATAGAATGATATGTCTGGAAGGCATTGTCACAAAATGCAGTTTGGTACGGCCGAAGGTCGTCAAGAGTGTACACTGGAACGAGAACAAGCAGACTTTCCACTTCCGAGAGTACAGAGATCAGACCATGAGTGCGAATGCCCCGGCAAGTCTGAGCGTATATCCCCAGGAAGACGGAGAAGGCAATCCTGTAAGTGAAAACCCTCGCAAGCAGCATGCGTTGTATTAATGCATCTCCAGTTAGTCACTGAGTACGGCTACTGCACCTATCGAGACCATCAGACGATAAGCATACAGGAAATGCCCGAACGAGCACCGGCAGGACAACTTCCCCGCGGCGTCGACGTCATATTCGACGACGACATGGTCGATCGAGTCAAGCCTGGTGACCGGGTCCAGCTCGTGGGTATTTTCAGATCGCTTGGTAACAGAAATGCTGGATCTGGGTCATCAATATTCCGAACACTCATACTTGCGAACAATGTTGTTCTATTGTCCTCGAAATCAGGAGGAGGAATTGCAGAAGCCCAGTATACCGATCAAGATGTCCGGAATATCAACAAAATTTCCAAGAAGAAAAACATCTTCCAGCTGCTGTCTCAGTCTTTGGCGCCCAGCATCTACGGCCATGACTACATCAAAAAGGCCATACTGCTAATGCTGCTCGGTGGTATGGAGAAGAATTTGCCCAATGGAACTCATCTGAGGGGAGACATCAACATACTCATGGTTGGCGATCCGTCCACAGCCAAATCACAACTTTTGAGATTCGTGCTGAATACTGCACCCCTCGCCATTGCTACAACCGGCCGCGGATCCTCTGGTGTCGGTCTTACTGCTGCCGTGACTCAAGACAAAGAGACTGGAGAAAGACGACTTGAAGCAGGTGCCATGGTTCTAGGCGATCGAGGTGTTGTCTGCATTGACGAATTCGACAAGATGAGTGATGTTGACCGTGTGGCTATCCACGAAGTTATGGAACAGCAGACCGTCACCATTGCCAAAGCTGGCATACATACCTCGCTCAATGCCAGATGCAGCGTCATTGCAGCAGCAAATCCTATCTTTGGTCAATATGACAGCAACAAAGATCCTCACAAGAACATCGCATTGCCGGATTCTCTACTTTCGCGTTTCGATCTGCTCTTCATCGTCACGGACGACATCGATGACAAGCGAGACCGATTTATTTCTGAGCATGTTCTCCGGATCCATCAGTACCGACGACCTGGGACAGAAGAAGGAGCACCCATTCGTGAAGACGCCACTCAAATCCTCGGCATCGGCATTCAAGAAGAACAAAATGCGAAAAAGACCTCGGATACGTACGAGAGGTACAATGCTGTACTCCATTCAGGTTTTTCCATAACGGACGAGGTACACCCACACCCACTCAGCATGCCTTTCTTGAAGAAGTACGTCCAGTACGCCAAGAGCAGATGCAAGCCCAACTTGACCAAAGAAGCCAGCGACTCTATTGTCAATGCCTATGCCGAGCTTCGTAACGATCAAATCAAAGCCAACGAGCGCAGAACAAGCCCGCTGACTGCCAGAACACTCGAAACACTGATTCGTTTGTCAACGGCGCATGCCAAGCTCAGATTGTCAAGCCGTGTTGAGAAACGAGATGCCATCGTGGCGGAAGAGCTTCTCAAGTTCGCTCTCTTTAGAGAGATTCCAGAGAAAGAAGACGGACGAAGAAAGAGACGCAAGACACAAGATGCCGACAGCTCTGAGGAAGGCAATGACTCTGGGAGTGATGGCGATAGTGATGATGATACGGCATACCGTGGCACAAGGCCAAGCGCCGCCCGCGGCTCAAAGCCTCAGACGCGAAGCCAACGGTCACCTCGTACCAATGGTGCGACGAACGGCAGAGCTTCTGGACGCACGAATGGAGATGTCGAGGAAGAAGAAGAAGATGATGAGGAAGAGCCAAGCCCCTCGCGAAGGCCAAGACAGACGGGTGCAGAGTCGCAATTGTCTCGCATGAGCATTGCTAGTTCCATCCCGAGCTCGCAATTGCCGTCTACGCAAGGTGATTCTCAGTCACAGTCGAGAAGAGGACAGTCTCAGCCCAGCATCTCACCGTCACGGCTCGAGGCGTTCCGCCGTGCTCTTGGTCCTCTGATGGTTACATCCTTGTTCCAGAACGATATGGCCACTGTGCCGGACGTGACTGCAGCAATCAACCACCGCATGTCAGAGAATAACTCGCAGGAGTTCTCGGATGTAGAGATCACGGCTGCATTGAAGGAGATGGGAGATCAGAACTTGATCATGTTCTTGGAGGATAGTGGGGAGGTGTACAAATTGTAGGATTTGATTCTGGGACGGATGAATGTTATGTCTGGTGTTACGGTGGATAACGCGGCTGCTGGTATCATGTTTAGTGTCAATGAGCAATGATGAACAACCCTTTCGGTCAAAATCGAGCCTGTTATCCAGACAAGGTATGCTAGTTGAAAGTCGGTGTGCTCCATGATACTCCCCGGTGTCATTTCTTGAACACCGTTGTTGCCTCAAGCGGATTTCAGGAATGGGACATGGCATGACGCTGGTGCATTGAACGATGGTCTCATCGACGTTGTACTCGTTCTATTTGAAGACACCGTGCTCAACAACAACGCTTCCAAAGGACCTCGATGAATGAAGCATCGATAGGACGGGCGGTCTACGTAGGGTCATCGCTCAATTTTCGGTTTTGTAGAGCGCCCGCACGGCCGTGATGCAAATCTCTTCAATCGACGCGTCATTTGGAATCGGCTGGCCGAATTCCTCTGCTGTCTACTAGAGAGTGGTCAGGGAAAGGGTTTATATACAGTCACGGATCAATCTTCCCCCAGAAAGTAAGCTAACCCTTTTCCGGCGACTTGGCAGCTCTTTTATCACAACGACGTCTCACAACACACTTCACTTTCATCTGTCTTCAATCATTCATCATTATCAGCGTACATGAGTCTCATCTCATACAGCACTTGATTTCAAGTAGATCTCTCTCAGTGCTATGACAATGCTGTACCTGTCCGTGTCCTCAACAATGCCTCGGGGTATCAATGACGCCTCGAATGCAAGCATAAAACGCAAACGAGTTCTGTACAGCCATGTTCCAGCATGAATGTCCCTCCATTCAGAGCCAACTGGGTCCCTCAACACCGACTACGGCTGACCACCAGCCTGTCCGTTCCCACCGCGGGCCTGAATGAGCTCCTGCTCCGCTCTCTGAATCCAGCGCTGCAAATGCGTCAAGTACATGTGCAGACCTGCTTCTCTTCCTCTCTGTTGCCATTGCGCAAAGTTCTCTGGGGCCACCCATCTGTTTTGCTGGCACCAAATGGTCTGTAACGCGTCGACGATAATCTCAAACGACGATTCTTGCCCAGGCTGGGGTACACCAAGCATCTGGTTGATCTGTCCCAGAAATAAGTTGTGTTGCATGGTCAAGAATATACGGGCGTCTTGCTGCGGATGAGGCGTTCCCATGACCTCATAAAGCTGCTGGACGACCTGTAAAGCGCGCTGTCTCTCGAACCCGGCGAATTGCTCAAGTCGCTCGATCTGATTTCGTGGCACGGGCAGTGGAGCTGGAGCTGGCGGCTGTGGTGGAGGTGCTGCCGTCGATGGCGCAGCTGGTCTCCGTCGAGGCTGCTGTGGGCCTCTGTGATCCTGCCACCGGGTCCCAGTTCGCTCAAAAAAGACGTTTTCCCGCTCCCGGGTGAAGATCCGTTGGATGTAATTCCAAGGTCTTTCTCGAGCACTTTCGTGCCGAGCATCCCGTGGGAGTGCCTCCCAGATACGACGGCCGTCCCAGCCCTCGGCCTCGAACATTCGCAAGGCGGAGCCCCAAGCGTGGTTGGGATATTGCGCGCAGATTTCGTCCAGCGTCAGCCTGGCCGGCAAGATTGTTTTTGACTCTGGGTAATTGTGGAAGGCAGCACTATTGCCTCTGCCCCGTGCCCTCTCGATTTGCAACCGGTATCTGGTCCGCGGGTCGTCGTCGTTGCCAAAAACTGCGAGCAGGTTACGTCCGGCGTCATCTCCTTCGCCAATGGACCGTGCTTGTGGTGGGATAGGATCGTCTTGTGGCAGGTGTGCGTGAGGATCCGACCTCCTCAGCCCTGGGCATCGCTCCCGGGGGCCCAAGCGCTCCACCTCACCAGTGGCCTGTCTGTCGTCCTCAACGTCCTCCTCGACCTCTTTCTCCACTTCTTCTTCAACATTGTCCTCAACGGCCTCCTCGGCCTCTTCCTCGACTTCTTCCTCAACATCCTCCTCAACGGCATCGTCGAAGTAATCCTCATTCAGGTCAGCACCTGCGTCAGCCTCAGCCCAGTCATCCTCGTTCATGCCAGTGGCATTCAACTCGTACTCCCTCATTCCAGCATTGGTGGGTCTACCAACGTTGAGGTACTGGCCTGGTGCCTCAGCAAGCACCTCTCCCATTCCCTCAACAAGCCTCTCTTCCATTCCTCCAAGGAAGTCATATGCCGGACGCAAGGCGTTGTTGTCAATCATCTGCGCGCCATCATTAGCTGCGGTGCCTGGTTTCGGTCGACCATCTGGGTCGAAGCTCCATCGCCAGTGATCCTCTTCCTCCACTTGTCCCTGTTGGCCAGCGTCGGACTCGTTTGATTCCTCTTCCCATTGGTTGTCATGACCGCCATCAGGGTCAATCGAACCGTCCTCTGGTTCAATTTGTGAGCCTGTTGTATCTTGGTGTATGTCACGACCCTCATGGTCATCTGATGGAGGGGCGGCATCATCCTCAAGCGGTCCACTCTCGGGCTGTTGGTCGTTGCCAGCATCAGAACTTGCTTCTGTGTTGTTGAAGCTGCGGAGCCAATGAGGTTCTGACCCCGACTGGCTATGACCGGCGCCAGCGTTGTTACTAGCCATGGTGACGACGATTTGATTGAAGGGATGCGCGATAGGATGGTGTTATGATGCTCGCGACAACTCGCTTGCAGTCCTTGTTGTGGTGGAGGGACCAAAGCGTTGATCCGTTGATTGAAAAAGATCTGAGAGCAACATCGGTCGGTCAGCCACCAATTCTCGCACTGCGCGACGAGATGCAACTTACTTTCAGGTCTTCCCAAGAGAATCCGCGCTGCCACGGCTCCCTAACTGTAACACTGGTCAAGGACAGTCCGAATGAGATTGAGGCTCAGTATGTTGTCCTTTGAAGGGTATGAAGGAAAATTCATCGGCAACTGATCGCTTGACATCTGATTCACGAACGATTGTGAACATGTGTGCGGTGCCGCTATATCAGATTGGCGCGGGTGCGGTAGAATTCGATCTACACAACTCAGAAAGGTTTGGTGGCTTGTGTTGGAAATTGTGAGGACAGCCATGCGCAAGTGCAAGCACACAAGAGTGCCCTATGGGTTTATAAGGGCCAGGGGGCCAAACAGAGGCATGCTCGAATGTCCATGACAATGTCGGCAGATTTCAAACGACGACGATATGTCACCTATATCACCAACGCACCGCAGTGTCGTTCGCTTCATGGACGAGCCGCTCCGTATATTCTGGACATTGAAGGTTGGTTTGTACCTTTGAACTGAAGTACAATTTGGCTTCCTTCTCTCTGAAGGGCTTCTTCGCTCAACACCAAGGCAAGTGGTATACCTCCAGCATACAGCTCAAAGCATGATCGGTACAAGAATTTCCCACTTTGTTACGGCTTTGTTCCTCCTGAAAGTTTTACAATGAGTGGATGGAGTGAAGAACCTTGCTCGGCAAACTATTCCATGCCAACAAGGCTGTATTTGTCAGGAGTGATACCCTTCTTCCCTGCACTTATACGGCTGGCGGCGGATGTGTTGCATGCAGTTCTGATACATGGGCTTTGGAAAATGGCACGAACGAGTGTATCCGATGTTCAGTGTCACCATCTCTATCCGCCTTAAACTGCCTGGCTCTATGCAGAACAGCTTCTGGGATTCACAGGAAACAGCCTCCTGGATGGGTGACAAGTAGCTGCGGTCTACAAACAGTGGGCTGAATGGGAAAGCTACAATACTGGACTACTATTACGTGGATGTATCCAGGACAAGGAAGATCTTGAGGGTTCAGCATGCTCATTTGTACATGTCTTTGTGTACGAACAGAGTGCCCTTTGAGTCCAAAGCACACCTATTCCATTCTCCTCCACACATTCTGGACAGGCTGTGGTATCCTGACAGCCAGCTGCCATCCCAAACGCCAACACAAACCCAAAGACAAAGCCGCTCGACAAAATTCTGCAAAACCAGACAACAACACCTTCTTCGCGACATTCTCCTCCATGTCGTCGCTCGACCGCGCTGAAATAGGGGTGTTCAATGTGTGGTCCGGCCAAGATCGACCGCCGAGACAAAAAGTGCGCCGAGCCTGCTCACGCCTACCATCCTACCTCCATATAAATTCCCTCCCTGCTTCCCATTCAAAACGTCATTCTTTCACACCTCTCTCTCCATCTTGCGCTCTGTCGATCTTTGCGTCTCAAGAGTAAGACAGTTTGCGGTGAAGACTGCGCAGGTTTAGATCCATTTAACCTTTCTCATTTCTTTATTCCTCCTCAATCACCATCAACCTCACCCCTCCAACAATCACCTTGCCCTGAACAGCCGATCAACCAGTTGAAAAGTCTTCACGCGTTGTTGAACATGCCATCCCAGAATGCTGGGTCGTCCTGCATCTGTCGCAGCTCACTTGCAGTTAGATCCTCAGACCCAAAGTTCCAATCCTGATTGACGTTCATTGGGTCGGATGACGGGGCAAGATCCTCAATGGCTGCGTCGAACATACCCATACCATCGTGCGGAACCTCCGGTTGAGGAGGATCTTGCACTGCGAAAAGTTCAGGATACTGCATCGAAAGATCAGAAGTCTGCGCAAGAGTCTCGTCACCACCAGGAAGATCTGTCCAGGGAGTCAAATGAGCACCTTGCAAGAAATATTCACCAGTCTGTGCCAACATATCAACATGCTGTGGAAGATATGCGGTGTCTGTTGCCACCTGGTTCTGCTGCGGCACGATGTAAAAATCCGTCTGATCGTACAGAATTTCAGGGGTCGGAGGAAGACTTGGAAGCATGTCAATGTACTCCTGCAGAATTTCATCTTCGGTCCTCGCTTGAGACGATGGGTCTACTTCGGTTCGACTGGTCCCTTCAGCAACAGCCATACCAAGTGTCGGAACCATGTTTTGCGTTTGCTGCAGGGAGGACATACTTGGGACGGCGACTTCTTCTGTGGGCTGGCCATGCTGATGACTGGGAGCTGACGGAGCCGTGGAGCCGCCGTATATTTCCTCAAAGACCAGGTCGAAGTCCCTGCCGAGACCAGGAGCGTCTTCAAGTCTGTTGCTAATCCCAACGGGTTCGAAGGCTTGCTGTGTGTTGAACACCTGTGGTCCTGGCTCGGCTCCGAAAACTTGCTGCATACTCTTTCCGGCCAAGCTGAACCCCGGAGTCAGTGCCGTCTTCGCGCGTTTGTTGGAGGCTTCTTCAGCTGGTGTCTCTTCCCGGACTCGCTTGGGCCTCTGGCCATCATGAGCGGTGAGACTCAAAGTACCACTCCCGTCGTGCGCTTCATGCAAGGCATTGAAGCTTTGAGCGGCGTTGCCGGGCTTCCCGGTGCGTTCTGCAAAGGCGTTTGTGACAGCTTGGATTGCCTGCCGTACGAGACCGAACTTCAACTGGCCGCTCTCAAAGGCCGAGGCAGCAAGTGGAACAAGCTTCTGCAAGCTGGTCGCAATGATCCCCTGCTCTTGCAAGATTGCGTCGACAGCCTTGTTTCGCACCTCCAACGAAGCTGCACCAGTCTCGCGTGCCCGAAGATCATCAAACACGGCTCTTACTTTGTTGTCAATGAATGCGGCGAATGCAGCGCAATCCTCGATGCGTTCGAACGTCAGGAAGGTCTCAGTCATGCTATTGACCGGATATCGAAGCATTTGGAGTACCTGCTGGACACGTTGTCGAACATCGGCATTGGCATGAACAACATCTGCATTGACAATCGTCTGCGCTGCTGAGACCTGTTTTCTCCAATACCCAGCCATGGCGTACTTGTATTCTTCGAATACCTCCATGGACTCCCACAATGTGTCGGATCTTGCCTCCGCCTTTGGCTTCTTTGCCTCGGGCTTTTGAGGGAGGTCCTCGGCTGCTTTTCGCTTATTGGCTCCTGACCGAGGCGTGTATTCAATATGGCGGACGGGCTGGGCGTTTGGGTTGTTGAACTTGCCCATCAGTTTGCTTTTTCCCTTCTTCTCACCACCGTTCATCAAGCAAGGACGAAGCTTCGGCTGAGTGCACAGTTCTGCGATCTCATCATCAGTGTGAGCTTTCAGGTATGCTTCGAGCCGCTTGGAGATAAAGTTTGTTCGATTGTTCTTGGATTTGCATGTTGCAATACCGTTGTCGATGAACTCTTGCTTTGCAACGTCTGTCAGACGATTGTAGATGTCGTGCGAAGTCCAATGCCATTGAACAAAGGCGGCAAGATATGTTCCTCGAATGTGGTTCGGGTATCTGATGCAAATCTCTTCAATCGACGCGTCATTTGGAATCGGCTGGTCGAATTTTGGAAACGAAGGCAGCTCTCGATACACCTTCGGTTGATTATCCCATCTCTTTCCTCCTCGAATGCCATCTCTTGACACGGTCGCTTTACTGGATTCCGCTACGCTGGTGGTGGGCCCGGTAGCTGGATTGGAGGTGGTGGAGACTCGAGCCGCGGAAGCCATTGGAGCCTCTTCTCTGCTCGACAGGATCGATTGCGTTGAGGACCCTTCGATAAAGCTCGAGGCTTCGACGTAACCGGCAGGCAAAGGCTGTTGTTGTGCTGGTCGCATGATGCTCGACTTTCACTTGGAAATGAGTAAGAAGGCTGGTAATGCTGCTGCACGACTTTCAAATGTCTTGAAAGGCTATCAAGAGGTCACAGCCTTGTATGATCCTTGGAGTGGTAAACAACAGTATCTTTTCGGAAGCCAAAGATTGTGTAAAGAGTTGAAAGTCGATGAACTGCTTTCAGACGAGGGTTTTGAAAGCCGAAGGGCAGCAAATGTTTTGGAGGAAGTTCACTTCAAAACAGGACAGCAGTTGCACTTGTCGGGCTGCCTTTCACATCGAAGTGATGTCTCGCGCGGCGGACAACTTCGAGCCTCGCGACATCGCGACATGTTCCACCTTGGCAAAGAATGCTGCGCAACGTCTTGTCCGCCACGCACAAATAGCGTCATGCTCGATTCCTGCGCGAGAGTCGTCGAAGCGGTTTTCTACTATATTTTTACGGTATCTACGGTTCGAATGGTGGTGGAGAGGAAATGATGCGCAGAACGTGCTGAGTCGAAAGCATCATTTTCACTGTCCTGACAATATCAACCGTCGAGTCTTCGATTTGGCGGTAATCTACTCTCTCATTGCTCGAAAGTCCCGGCATTTCGTGTCTCAAACCCTCAATAAGCACGGCCATTGAGCTCGAGACAACAAAGACCACACAAAGCGCAAAAATCAACAACAAAGGAAAAGAAAGAAAAACCGTCTTCAACCAAGGGACAATGGAACCCCTGAATGACTCAGCCTTGCCGACCAACTGAGACATCGTCGAATCCTCCGCAAATACCTTCCCCCACAGCTACCAGTAAAGATGAGCAGCTATTGCTGCCAGCCTTGTTCGTTGTCGACTCCTTTCGACTTCTGTTGACATCCTCCTCCTCGTACCGAAATTACCAAATCCCTCCTAGCTGATGCCGAATGTACGGCAAGTGCAGAATGTGTTTTCATGCTCCTCCAGCTCGGCTCCTCTTTGCTCAAGCCTCTCCACCTTGATTGCTTCTCTTTTGACCACGTGGAGCTCCAAGCGGCTGCTGTGCATCACTCCGGACACTGTCTGGGTCTATGATTGTGCCTTGGACAGGTGCATCTGACATGAGATGCGCTGGAGGCGGCGGCGCAAGACTCTGGATAAGCTGTTCTTGCAGCATCAACCATTGCCAATTCATGGTTTCCACTGAGCGATCTCGAGCGTAAGCTAGGAGGTCGCCGTTGCCGTCGAAGTCTGATTGCCTAAAGCCACCATGTTGGGTGTGAACCGGTGAAGTCGACATCGTTACACGCACTGTGTACAGCAGCCATAAACAGAGGTATTCTGGCACGCATTTCTCAAATGCAGAGAGAAACGCGAAGTTCAACCAGGCGTCTTTCTCGTCCTGGAATGGTGTGAAGCCTTGCTCCAGCAAGCGATAGAACTCAGCGTCGTATGTTTCGAAGAACATCTTTCGGAGCTCAAGGCTCCAGCCACAGAGGTCAAGAGCGTTTTCGAAATACAACCAAGCTGGGGCAGAGTTTGTTGTCGGATCGATGTCCACCACGCATCTTGCCGATTCAAAACTGTCCCGCATTTTGGACTCAAAGGCTTGGTAGAAGGCCTGAAATTGGGCGTCGGACTTCCAGAAATCAAGACCCCAGAAAGATCCACGAGGCTCTTGTTGCGTGGGAAAGACTCGGACATTTTGGTGGAATTGTGCGTTGAAGTCTTGTTCGGACAAAACCGCCTCTCCAGATTTCGTTTCTGTGTGCGCATATCCCTTCACGAATGGGGCCCCATCGCCCGGAGTTTGGGCTGCAACTGTAGAATTGTCATGACGACGTCTCTCCCTGGCTGGCTCCTTCTTCTCGCTCTTGATTCGTTTTGGAGCCAGAGGATTCAAGCCAAGGTTGAGCGGGTCGCTCTTGCCGAAGACCAAAGTGCCCTGGTCGTTGCATTTTGGCTTGGGGCCCGCAACCAACCGACGGACACCTACCTCTCCGAGGTCTGACCATCTCTTAAGCATTCGTTTCTGCAAGAAGTTTGATGGTGTTTTGCCCTCACCGTATGCAGCTATCCACCCGGCTTGGATGTCATCGGTGGCTTCTTTGAAGATGTCGAGGGCAGTCCAGAAGACAGGGGTGAAGAGATCCAAGACGTCTTCATTTTCCAAGTGATTTGGATATTTCTGGCAGATATCCAACAGGGTCAGGCCTGGTGCAAGCGGAGTATCTCGTTGAGGATAAGCTGGTAGGTTGTACTTGCTGAGTCGGCGGCTTGTGGTGTTGCTGCTGCCCAGTGTCGTGCTGGTGCGGGCTCTCTTGTTGTTCTCAACAGGGGTGTCCTCTCTTTTACGTTTGAGTCCTTCCTCAGCTGCGTCGGTGTTGGATCTCTTGCCTGAAGAGGGAGCTATGGCGGCATTGATTACCAACGATTGGCTTGGTGCTGTGCTACCGCGGACTCTCTGCCGGTCCTCAACAGGAGCGTCCTCTCTCTTACGTTTGAGTTCCTTCTGAGCTGCTTCGATATTGGATCTTTCAATTGAAGCGGGGGCTGTGTCGGCGTTGATCGCGAAGGAGTGATTGCTGGCACTGGCACTGTTCTGCACATCATATATACTGATATGTTGATATGATGGGAACGGTGCAGGCTTGGACAGGTTTGGTTGACTTAAGTATCCCTCCTCCTGCTCCCCAATTGCATTGAAGCTTGACTCATTGCCACGGGTGTTCTGCTTGCTTGCAAGCGGCTCCCAATTGAATGTAGGTGGATTGTTGTTTTCCTTGGTCTTGTTTGATGGATTGGGGACGTGTGAAGGCGTTGCTTCTTCCAGGGAGTTGCCAACAATACTGTTGGAGTCTGACTGATGCACAACGTCGCTATTCACCAGCTGTCCGGTTTCTGCTTGACGGTCAGCAATGAAGCAACCATGCAGGGCAGGAAACACTTGCGATTTGCTTGATTGTCTCCGTAAACCGTTTCAAGGAACCATTGCGGAAGTCCGGTAGACATCTTGGTGGTGTTTGTCTGAGATTTGGATCAGCCTTGTTGGACAAACCTTTCGATAAAGACAGCAAATACCTGATGAAGATCGCAAACAACGTGCGAAAACTGGTAATTGGGCTACTGGAACCAGATTGCAGGTAAGGAGAGCCTTTGGCGATGTTTGAGAGACGATGCAAAGGATTTTTTGGATAGAATTGAGCTGCTAAGTTCTCGTTTTCGAAGTATTGATGAGGGATTAGATGAGTACGAATTCAAGGAGATGAAAGATGGAAGGTTATGTTGATGGACGTCCTTCACTCAGCACTTGATCGCGTGTTCTCGTGTTTCTACCACACCCATCTTCACCACACTTCTACTGCGTTGCCAGGCTTCACAGGTGAGGCAGTATGTACTAGCGCGACTGCCTCCGTTGCGTTCTGCATTCTGCATCACGAAAGCCGCTGATTAGTGCAGGAGCTCTACAATTGGGATATGCAGGACTGTGAGCATATTCCCATTCTACCTGATTGCCATCTTCGCAAGAGGATGGGCGACCATAGACCACGACCTGCGAGGTGGTATGGTCTCAGCCTTGTGGCCGATCAAACCTGAATATCCGCCGTTGCAACACGGGCCACGTTCGAAAGGGGCAGCAGAACGACAGCTGCTCGAACTATCTTCGGGTGCACCTGTGCTGCCTCTAGGAAACTATGCCCACGGGTTCAATCCCAATGTTTGGCCTGCAGAGAGCTGTGATGTCAATTCACCAAACAGTGCACCTCGATACAAAGAAACGTTGACTCCCTCGACACGCAGCCTTTATTATCAACTTGGCAAAACATCCCGTGTCCCAATCCGCACAGAACACACACTCCTCAAGAAAATTCCATCAGATGGTATCTTGTGGCCTCCAGCGAACATGCCGAACGGGGCTGCGGAGACCTCGCGCGCGCTCGCTGTTCCCAAGGCACTGACGCCCCTTGGGAAAAGGGAAAGCAGATGACAAAAGAGATGGGGAAAACATAACACCCGACAGATGATTTGCGGCGTTGCCTCATCCTCCACACAACTTCAATCGAGCCTCACTCTCCCCAAGCCAATTGCTGCTTCCTTGATGCGACCTAGTGGCATCTCTACTACTGTTGTACCTTAAGAGCCTTGCCGCCAAAATTCAGGGGTTGGGAGCCTTGCCAAGACCACTTCAAAATTGCTACAGTTGTAGGACAAATTCAACGTACCATCGACATTGATGAGATCCCCGCTTCCAGCAGCCGTATCCCTTTGCTAAAAAGCATCTGACCCGCTCTTCAATGCCTTGTCCTGTGGCCTCAACCATTGCCCGCTTCGTGTTGATCACTTCTCGTTCGCTCACGTGACCGTTCAATAATATCGACCCGTATGAAGTCTGATCAATACAATACATTCATGGCCTCAGAAGATATCATCAGTTGCAACATTGTAAGATTCAGCCAATTGGGAAGGAGTGGAGAAGATATTGCTATTCTGAATTCGTATGAAGAGCTAGACATTTTCAAAGAGTGGACATCTCCATCGCATGCACATTTCCTCTCGTACCACGATCCTGACAGCATCGCTGACTCTGCAACAACTTGGGGTGTCTTTGCCAGATACCTACTCTTGCATCGGACTGATCGGAACAGAACTTTCAGACTAGATAAGCAACGCGGAAACACCGTACCACTGTTCTTCTATCCATGAGATGCGGTCACACTAAAACACCTCTCCTTGCTGCATCATGCCTCTCACCTGCAATAAGACCCTAAAGAGATCTTCACGCGCCTGAGGGCGCAACAACTGCACCGTTTCGGCCCCGACCACCTCGTTCATTACTGAAGGTCTTCCACTCGTGGCCAGCCGGTCGTGATAGGCTCCTGCTGCACTGGAGATATAGCGGTTCCATAACTCGGACCAGGCGCCGATCCTGGTGTAGTCGCGGGCCGGTAAGGGTTCGATATTCAATGAGAGTCCGGCAGCCACCCTCGCTGCCATAGACGCCAGATCATAGGTAAAACCACGCCTGTTTCGGTATCTATCCGCCAAGTTGCAGAATGCCAATATGCTCAGTTCCAACTGCCTGGAAAAGCGTGCGTTGTGTGTCCTTTCCAGATTTGATGCATCAACAAACCCCTGGCCGTACAAAAAACATAGACGTCTTCTTTGGTAGTAGGTGTCCAAAGGCACAGCGGGCACTGTATGGCTCTTTTGCAGCTTCTGTAGCCTGTCGGCAAAACCACTTCCAGGGATTGTAGCCCATCTCCTGATGTCAGTCTTCACCTGCGGCTGAGGTTCTCGTGGTGAGGATGTCGTCCTCTGCCGCTTTGGAGGGCGTCCTAGACGTTTGCCGGTTTTAGTGAAGGTAGGTCCCGTCTTCTTCGTTTTCGCTTCACCATCGGGCGTATCAGTAATGGTAGCTGGTGTTGCCGTCTTTGGAGTCTTGCTAAGGACCTTCTCTTTTCTTGGTTGCTTGGGCTGTTTGGTAGCAGATGGGGTTTGCTTGTGGGAGGGTGGCTCCTCGCCATGCGACAGATTGGGAGTTGCTTGATTTGCACGTGGAAGGAGCGCGTTTTCGGCGATTGGGACGACTGAGTTCGAATCATTGGTTCCCGCAGTGTCCTTTGTGGCACCTTTCCTCTTGTACGTCCTTCTCTTCTTTTCAGGTTGGCTAATTCCGGGAGTCGAAGTCGCATTTGGAGAGAAGGCCTGAATTGGTGATGCTTCACCCTTTTCGGCGGTTGGAACGGCTGTGTCCGAGTAGTTGGTCTCCTCGGTCTCGATCGTGGCACGCTTTCTCTTGTACGTCCTCCTCTTTATCTCAGGTTGAGTAGTGTCGGGATTTGGAGTAGTCATCGAGGGAGGAACTTGGACCGGAGTTGTTTCATTCTTTTCGGTAACCCTGCTGACTGGTTCGATGTTGTTTGCAGTTCTTTCTGGAAGTTTTGGTGTGCAGGTAGGCGATTCGTCGGGACTTCTGACGAGAGACGGTGGGTATTGATGTGCAAGGCTCCGCCGAAACTGGCTTTGAAAACGGAAAAATTCCAGACGGCCCATCTTTAGACCATGTTCAAGCAGTTCCATGGAGGCGTGGTATTGAGACTCGAAATATTTTGCACCCCAGACTTCGAAAAGAGTATAGTAATCGTTTCTGAAGACAAGCAACCTGGCATAAGGGTCCCATACGTGTACTGGATCACCCTGGAACTTGAAGCAGAGATCTCCGTAGCGCTCACATAGGAATTCTAAGACATGTTCAGCAAGAAGAACTGCAATGGACATTGTACTCACGTCGCTTCCTCCTCATTTTCTCGTCCTGAGCCAATTCGTCCCAATCCGAGGGCTTTTCCATCGCAAAAACCAGGCTGTTTTTTGTAAGCGTTGGTAAGTCACCTTTGGAATGTTCTGCATCATGGGTGTCTTCTTCATGTAGCTCGTCTTGCCATGCATAGCCTGGTGGTATGACCGTCTGTCTGAAGGACGGGGTTTGGACAACGCGAGTCATGGTTGTCTCTGATCGGGCGGCAAGTTCTGATCAGAAACTGTAAGTCGTTTGGGATGTAGATGGCGAAAAGAAGACTAGAAAGTCGTCTGGATAAGAACGTAAGTAAGTATTCACGGACAGATTATTCACTTTGCAGACTGTCTTTTGTCGAGGCGTCTGCTCGCGTGTTGACGCGAAAAGTACTGCCACACTCGAATGGAAGGCACCGCGCATTCCAGTGAAGGGTTCGCAATTGGAAGCTGGATGGCTCATGCCTGATTCTACCATCAGTTTCTTGCTTTCCTTGACCTATATCAGTATTGTCCCATTTCACAGCGGTCGAGCTTGGCTTCGAGGGAACTCGACAACGAGACGACAAGATCTATTAGCACTTCGAGGGAGAGAACAGTCACGCTGGAGGAAAGAAGGGACGGAGAAAAAGCTGGGTGAGGACCTGAGGACCTCGATTATGGATTAGCCAAAGACACGAAAGCTTTCGCATTACCAGCTGCATCTTCCGCGATGCTCCAGGCCTGAGCATTTTGCCAGCAGTGACTTCTTGTACAGTAAAATCCTGCGCAGAAACGATTGCGAGTCTATGCTTGATGTACGCGTGGAGAGAAGTTATCGAAGCGACGACGGGCTTATGCTCTTCCCGAAAAAGGGGATGAAAAAGATAGGAGGTTCTCCGGGTACACGTGACTCGCCATCCTCACGTGATGCTTAAAGTGACCTCACAACTTGCAGCGGAGTTAACATGGAGATCCGAGACAGAGCGGAACCGCGGCCGCAACCTGGGCGATAAAAGCATAAGGACTCCCCCTCAACCATATCGTCACGAAGCTTCGACGAGCATCAGCAAAAGCCGACCCTATCGCAAAAACCCGAGCATTGACCAATCTCATTCCGCTCAGAATCGACATCAGACTTCTTCTACGCTGCTGAATTGAAGTTCATATCACCTCAATACACCAAGACACCAGGATGGAGTATCAATACCTCGGAAAGTCGGGTCTCAAGATCTCCAAGGTCGTCCTGTAAGGTGCCATCCACTCATCCCCGAACCTAGACTCTGACTGCAGCAAGTGGAACGATGAGTTATGGAACTCCCGACTGGCAGGGATGGGTGCTCAATGAAGAAGACTCTCTTCCACTCCTTGAGCACGCCTACAAGGCAGGTATCAGAACGTGGGATACCGCCGATGTCTACTCACATGGTCAATCTGAACAAATCATTGCCAAAGCCATCAAGCAGTTCAATATTCCCCGAGAACGTCTGGTCATCCTTAGCAAATGCTACTTCGGCGTCACCCCAGAAACCCCGACCAACGCCATCGGTGCCAGCTCTATCAATGATGGTGATATGCTCAACCAAGTTGGACTCAGTCGCAAGCACATAATCGATGCTGTCGATAAGAGTGTTGCTCGATTAGGTACCTACATTGACGTTCTCCAGATCCACCGCCTCGATCGGAATGTTCCGAGAGAGGAGATCATGAAGGCTCTGAACGACGTGATCGAATCTGGAAAAGTTCGATACATTGGAGCATCAAGTATGGCCGCCTGGGAGTTCCAGGAGTTGCAGAACGTGGCGGAAAAGCATGGCTGGCACAAATTCATCTCCATGCAGAACTACTACAACCTCCTATACCGAGAGGAGGAGAACGAGATGATTCCGTACTGCAATCACACCGGCGTCGGACTGGTCCCATGGTCTCCAGTGGCTCGAGGAGCGTTGACCCGTCCCTTTAGTGGTCGAGACACGTTGCGGGAGAAGACCGACAACTACTTGAAGACGCAAATCCGGTCGAAAGAGGACAAGGTGGATGAGGAGATCATTAGTAGAGTAGAGCAGGTGGCACAAAAGCTGGGAAAGACTATGGCTCAAATATCCATTGCGTGGTGCTTGAGTAAGAAGGACGTCTGTCCAATTGTGGGCTTGAGCAAGAAAGAGAGGATTGATGAAGCTGTGGAAGCGACCAAAATCAAATTGAGCGAGGAGGATATCAAGTTCTTGGAAGAGCCATATCAACCAAAGAAGCGACAAGGATATTGATCTGCTGTCTACAAAGAGGACATGAAACGCTTCGGGCGTCTTCCGCGTTCAAAGTCAAGCGCAGCTGTCAACTAGTGTGCACTGGACAACAGTTGAGAAACGAGCTGTAAAGATGTCCTCATGAAATAGTTTTGTGAGTATGGTTCGTTTGCTGTTTGTCACTTGGACTGCACTCTTTTGTCTTCACGCTGGCTCTCAAAGTACTATTAGCGACTGCCTCTTTGTTCTCCGCCCTCTCGAACGGCAGAAAGATATTCACAATTTGCCTCATAACACTGACAGTGAAGAATTCACTGGATCGTCACTTGAATTTCACATCTCGTCCTTTTCACGAAGTTGCCTCTTCTACCTCTTGACTTTTACCTTCTCAAAAACAAACCATCATCCATTTCGCGCCGTCGAGGTACAATCTGTCTCGGAAGCCATCTCATCTCCCACCACCCTCGCGCGAAAGAGTCAATCAATTCACGTGCGCGACACCCTACCTCACAACCTCTAATCGATCCTGCTAATTGCAATCTCTCGGCAAAAGTTCAATCATGGGAAAACCAGGCTCTTGGTCTATGACTGAGTTGACTGCCGACAACTCCACAGATGATGATCTCAGTGACTTCAATCTTGATGATCCTGTTGACAACGACATTGACGAGGACGCCTATTTGAGCACCATCATGGCAAAACGCTCAGCTGCGGATGGCGGAAAAGGCAATGCTCACTCAATGAACAAAGGTGTGGGCAAAGGCAAAGGTTACGCAAGAACCCCGCTTCAGCAAGAGGCTGTGTTCCCAAACATGAAAATTCCAGTCCGCATGCAGGAGACCAAGAAGGGTCGTGGACGGAGCAAAGGAGCTGTTTCAACTAACGGGACTGAGCGACCGCCTCTCATGCAAGTTCAATGTCCCATGCCTGGCGGTACAGCTGTCACAATGACAACCGATCCTGTTCAGAAGGTCAGCTGGGGACCACTCACCAGAGTTGAAGCAAGCCAAGAGGCAAGAGATTTGATCAAAGCATACATCGCGAATCCTGAAGACAAAGACGATGGCGGTGAGAAAGAACCCAAGAAAGAGAAGACAAAGGAGAAAGACGTGGCAAAGTTCCCAATTTCAACCCAGTCGACTCAGCAGACAAGCATCAGCACCAAGGACAACAATACTGTAACAAATGTCACTGGCATCTCGCGCGTCAAAGCTGATGCAAGTAGTCTGGCACCTCGGGCACCACCCTCAACCCCACCCGATTCCATCTTTCAACATGCCTTTTCCATGCCGACTCTTCCTGTCCTCAATCGCATCTCCGACATCACTCTGGTCGAGCAGTATCGTCTCCAACGTGCCGCCGACCCAGGACTATTTGACAGAGACACTGCCGCGATCAAGCAAGGCTTGTTGAATGCCAAGCTTGAAAGAGGTGGGGAGCCCAGATTGCTCGAGAACGAGTACACCGTCAAACTCGCAAGCAGAGAGGATGCTGCCACTGCCGAACGTTGGGCCCATGGCAGGATCGTTCAGATGCGTTCTCGTGGCAATACCATCACAAGCACCCCAGCCGCCAACCCCGAAGATGTCAAGATCCGAGGTGGTGAAACCGAAAAGCGTCCCAAGAAGAATACCATCATTTCTATCCCGGCGGACGACAAGGTGGATCCCCTCAGAGAGGCCGAGATGCGGCGTCGCGCTCACGAACTTGCACCTACAGACGAGGTCCTGCGGCGTCTCGCTCCCGCCCGTCCAACATACATGCTTCCACATAACGTCGAGGATGGACCTGCCCCAGTGAAGGGAACTGATACCACCACTGAGAAAGAACCAGGCGGACTCTCGCTTCTCTACCATGCGAGACTTGTCCGTCGTGAACTCAAAGAACGCCTTCAGTCGGTCAATCTGAGCTCCCACGTCAGCAAGGTGACCAGCTACGGCACAGTCCGCCACCAGAGCAGTGTCAAGCGTGAGGTCGGCGATCATGGCGAGAAGCGCACCGTCAAGACATGGATCGAGATTACCGAGGTCTACGAGGTTCCAAGTGCCGCTGCATTGGATTGGAGTGATGTCGTCCATGCCGTTGATGCCGACGAAGATGACAGCGAAGACGGCGCGAAGAAGAGAATGGCTGTCGGCAAGGACAAGAAGAAGGACTCCAAGGGCAAGGGCAAGGCGACTGGACGTATTGCTAGGCGCTATCACAAGCCATCCGTCAGTGAGGTCGACTCCGATGACACAGACGGCGACTTTGGCAGCAATATTCCAGATGATGGCTCGGCCGGAGAAGAGATCTTCTACGATCCGGACGAGACTCGTGCTGAATCTCTCTTCGCCTCAATCACTGGCTATGGCCGAGTCACTCCTGTTCACTTGAACAGAAAGCTGCAGAGTCTTCGTGGTATCATTGCTGAATTGCGTGGCAATAACAAGGTCAAGGAGACTGAGGAGTGATCGAACTGACGCACACATGCATCAACCACCGAGTGTCAAGCACTGACACAAGGGGTCGAAACCGTTTACCATAAGAGATATGGGTGTTGGTACCGAGGCGGAATGGTTGAGCTGGGAGAAGTGGTGTGCTGTTGTAATTTGCTGCTACGTTGCTGTGATCACGGAGCTGGAGACACGAAAGGAGACCTGACAAAGCGCTATCAGAGTGCATGAGCATGAGATGCGCGAACAACAGCGGACTGGGTTGTCGGTGCTCTCGGGTTCTTGCTTGCGAGCAAATGGGCTTTTTCAGATTCAGCACAAGGCAGATCGATCAATGTACGAGGTAGTCATCGTCGCTAGCCTAAGCAGATAATGGAATGCAGAAAAAGTGAGAAATCATCCGTGCGATCCCCGAACCATCCAGCTCATCAAGAGCTGTTTTCTTTGGACACCAGCGGGCGTACTGAAGAAGATGAATTAGACGAACGAGTTGCATGCCTGTATTCTCATGGTGCTGATCGACGCGTGCAGCACAACGCGTCCCGCATTACTAATTCCTGAGTAAGACATCATCAAACCACTGCTAGTGGCTTGGCCAATTTACCTCGACGGCTCAATCTTGGTTTGACAATGCTCCTCGTTGTCGCCGTCTGTCCGAAGGGAACGCGAGGCAGACAACGAATGGTGAGTTGAAGAGCACTGTATCAAAAAAAATGCACCTGGAATCATGGTATTTCATGAGGCACATTGTGCTCCCGAGAGAGTGTCCCTAACCTTTAAGGAAAATCAACACCAGTCATTGTTGCATCAATAATGAGGCAAGCCAGCTTTGGTAAATCAGCAACAACTTCTGCATCATTCATGGTTTGTTAGATTTGCTCGTTGTTCAAGATTTCGTGAACTGCTAGAAAAGCCGCGAGAAAACGGTCCACTGATATCCTAGATCTTCGACGCCTCAATTTGAGAGTACCCTGCACCCTTGCGAGTCTTGATCAAAATCCACCCAAAGATAACCAGACTGGTGATCTCCAGACCAGCGACGACAGCAGACGCATAGAAGGAGTACTGCTGGGTCAATGTAAGCCTCCGAATTTCCAACCGCCATGTCAACTCACCATCTCAATGCACATCTTCTTATACGACATTTTCCCATTCGAGAGATCCTTGTGTGTACAAGTCCAAGACCACAAAGTCCAGTCCGCCTTACCCTTCGTGAGTTGCAACTTGGAATATACCGCCGCTGCGACCCAAGCTGCGATGCCCAGCAGAGAAGTGGAAAAGACAATCCACGTGTGGAAATTGGTTTCGCGAAGACGTTGTACCCAAAACACATCGAGTCAGCTGAGGCTCCCGAAGACAAGGTAGGTCATAGTTCTCGGCATACCGGTCCGCACAAGCTCAACAATGCAAGGATTGAAAAGCAAATTGAAATTACGGCAGCGCCTAGCATGACCCAGGTCGGCCACAAGTCCATATGGTCTGGCCATGCTCGTTGCCGCGACCCATTTGCTGTGTTGGAGATGACATTGCGAGTTTGAAACCATACGATTGACGTGTGGCCGAGTGTACCGATCAGAGAGATGGCGACTCCAAGGGTGACCACTCGGATGAGTAGACGAGAACTGCGTGGCGTGGCACGCACTTCTTTAATAGACTTGCGGACTTGCTCTTGGGTTGGGACGTAGGCTGATGCATTGAAGCCGCTTTGGCCTGGGTGGTGACGGAGTGGTTCCATGGCGCTGGCCTGGTACAGGTGGTGAAGGTGGTATTCGGTGGAATCGGTGCCTTGGGATATTCTCGAACGTGCAAAAGCGAGGATGGAAGAATGTTCTTGGGATGTAGCGTGCCTGATGTATGGATTCGATGGTATGACAGCCGAGGAAGCTGAAGAATGGAAAGTGCACGGTGAGTTTGGGGGCCATATCTTAGTAAGTTGTTAAGAATAAAGCTACAGCAATGTCAGCACTATCAACAGCCAGTGCCATGCAAGGCATTGCCCTCGGGTGCTGTAATCAATATTTCAACCCTTTTAGCGCAGTAGTACCGTGGTACATACCGCCCCTTGACCCTGTGCAGCTACTGCTCAGCTTCAGAAGGGAGAGCGAATGACGCAAGCAAAGATTCGACGGACCGGACGTATCAGGGTATATTGAGCCTTTGCATAGGAAGACACAAAAGGTTTATCCTATGCATACATATAGAGAATGAAGTGCAGAGACGCCAAGTATGCTCAGTCCACCAGGAGATCAAGACTATACTCTTTTCTATTCCGCAACCCAAACGGCAGCCATACCCATTCCAGTTCCAACACACATACTCGTAACTCCAATCTTCTTGCCCGTCCGTTTGAGCTCAGTGAACAATGTGCTCACTTGTCTCGCACCAGTACAGCCCAGAGGATGTCCAAAGGCGATCGCACCGCCCTTAGGATTGACCTTTTCGAAATCCAACCCAAGCTCCTTCACACACCAGACAGCCTGACTAGCAAACGCCTCATTGATCTCGTAGATATCGACCTCATCCTTAGATACGCCAGCCTTTTCCAGCGCCACAGGAATAGCCTTCCAGGGTCCAATACCCATTAGTAGCGGCGGCACACCGACCACGGATGAAGCGACGAATTTACCGAGAATAGGTTGACCCAGACGCTCGGCGGTACTGCGCTTCATTAATAGCACGGCGGCTGCACCATCGGACACTTGGCTGGCGTTGCCAGCGTGGATGGATCCGTCTTTGGCGAATGCAGCGCGAATCTTGCCCAGAGATTCAGCCGTGATGCCGGGTCTGACGCCGTCGTCTTTGGTCACTGTCACGGTCTTCTCTTCCTCCGTCTTCGGGTCGGTGTACTTGACGGTCACAGGAGCGATCTCTTCATCAAATAGACCTGCCTCTTGCGCCTTGAGTGCTTTCTGGTATGAGCTGGCGGCAAAAGCGTCCTGGTCTGCACGCGTGACTTTTCTGTCCTTGGCCATTTGCTCTGACAAGACGCCCATGGGAACCTTGCAGTTTGCAGCTTGCATGTGATTTTCCAGCAGTTCCGAGAATTCGGTGACCGCACCGGGACCGTATTGTGAGGACATGCTCTCGACGCCGGAGCCGATTCCGATGTCGATCATGCCGACTTTGATGGCGTTGGCGATATCAACGCATGCCTGGAGTCCGCTGGAACATTGTCTGTTGAGGGACTTAACGGCTGTTGAGTCTGGGAATCCCGCGACCAGGGCCGCTGCTCTGTATTCGGTAGCACCGCCACCGGGAGCAAGGACGCAGCCTGTGGCGATGTCTTCGACGAGATTGGGGTCGATTTTTGAGCGTTCGAGGAGGTTCTTGAGGGTCAGAGCCAAAAGGTCTGCGGCTGCGGTGTCTTTCAGTAGACCCTTGCCACCTTTGGTGAAGGGAGTTCTGAGGGCGCAGGTGACGACAACATCGTCAGGGGATCTCGTGAGGACGGATGGTTTGGCGTTGGATTCACCAAGGTGAGAGGAGACTTGGGAGAGACGTTCCTGGGCTTTGTTTGGTGCTGCACATGTCAGGGTCAGTACCGAGTCGAAGAGGGAGAATGCCGGCTTACCTTGAGCCATTGTGATTGTGGATATTGTACAGTGTTCAAGTTTAGAAGTAGACAACCAGCAGCGCAGTAGAGTTAATCAGAGAGTGAAGAGAACAGAGAATGGAATTTGCAAGAAGACAGTAATCATCTGAATCTGTTCTTTCTCTGCAGTCCATGTGCTCACTTCTCTCGTTGGAACGAGCCGAGGCATGTGCGCGAAATTGACATTGTTGCAGCGCAACAAAACGCGCCTCAATAATGACGTAGAGACCTATTGTAGATACCGTAAGCCGACCTTTTCTTTCACGTGAAATTCGAAGAGCAGGACTGAGAATCGCTTTCACAGGACGAATACAAGGTTGTAATTTTGGTCATTGCTACATATTACATATCTAATGAATCCCTATTCTTCCCAAAGGGCAAAGTGGTCGCTTGTTTTTGTCTCCCGTCCGGTCATAAAAGCCCAATATACGCCAGGTCATCAACCATCAATGATGGCGCCATGTCAAGGAACAGAGGAAAATCGTGCACATAAGGTTGAGGTTGGTCCTCAGGTTGCCATCACAGGCGATCCTTTCGAGGAGAACACTCGTGACCAGGCTTGAGATGTTTTTCTGCTGATAGACAGCCACTTTCTCGGCGACGGTGACCTAGCCGACCTGGGTCGAGGAGCTTCAGCAGGATCGGCCCAGACTTGTACTTGTGGTCTCCGTAGCTGATAGTCCTCCGGGTTCCGCGACCTCTTCCACAAGTTGAGGGCTTGGCCCATGTGTTGTTGTTCATTGTGGCCAAGGATATAAGTGTGAAAGGATGCAGCTAGTCGAGGATTAGTCTTGATTCCAGGTCCCGGGGTAGAACCACTCACTGTCAAAGTCCGTCGCAAAATTCCTCATATCCGCCTCAGACAATCCCCTCGTGGTCTGTTGCACAGCCACCGCTCTCTGCTTTCGTGTAGTGGAATATAACCTCAAGCGATCCTCAAGCTCGTCAACTGGAACGCCACGTTCGAGGATCACACCTAACGCCAGAGCATCTTCCAAAGCCATGGCAATACGTTGACCGCAATACGGAGGCATGGGGTGAGCAGCGTCTCCCATAAGCGCCATGCGATGTGACGTAAACGTCGTCAAGGGATCCATGTCCCAGATCGGCTGATCTTGTAGGTCACGGTCACATATCTTCTCGAACAAGGCGATGCATTCTTCCGGGAGATCTTGAGCGAGACGCATCAACTTCGTCTTGCTTGAAGGATCTCTCCAGTCCTTGCTGAGATTCTTAAAGGCCATACGATCCTCGTACAGAAACTTGACGCAAACCTTTTGGTTGTTGGTGGCCGGCGTGATCAGGAGACTCTTGTCGTTGTGGTTGTAACAATAGGCGTGGCTATCATGTTCCACGTACTTGGCCGTCCGAGGGTCCTTTGCCAAAGTTTCTCGCGGAATGAGGGCACGAAAGACATGTCGCTTGATCCGGAAGCGGGGGATGCTGCCGCCTGGTACGTATGACCGGCAGACAGAGTGAACTCCATCAGCACCGATGATGACATCTCCAGTGGCCTCTGATCCGTCCGAGAAGTACAAGGTGCCTTTGGTGGTGTCTACTCGGAAGACCGATTTCGACGTGTTAACCTCGATCTGGGGTCCGGATTTCGAAGGAACATGAACCGCTTCCCACATGGCGACGAATAAATCAGGATATGTTGTGTGATGCCACGGCTGAAACAGTTAGTGTCTGAATCACAGCATGATCGGAGGGACATACCCATGCCTTTTCATCAATATCACTCTCTGCCACATCTGTCTCTCCGTCGTCCTCGGTTGTGACCCTCGTGATCTGTGGGTATGGTCAGTACAAGTACCGAGACGAGTGAACGATGCTCTTACGTGTTTCACTCTGGTTGCTTTGACAGCCTGAGAGTCGATCCCCAACATCTTGAGCGCTGATAAGGCATTGGGGAAGACCGTTATGCCAGCGCCCTTCGTCTCTGGTGTAAATGCTTGCTCGTAGATCTATCATCACCCGTCAGCCAAGGTCGATGTCAGCAGTTCTTCCGTTTCTTACCTTAACGTGGTGTCCTTGTGCCCTTAAGGCTAGAGCTGTAGCAAGACCTCCAATGCTTCCACCAGCAATGAGGACTGTCAGTGCTCCGGACGTGACTATCGGAGGGGCAATCATCTTCAACTTGAAGTCTGCGGGTTGAGACTTGATGCTGGAAGATAGTGACGGCTATTGTCGAAGAGTGTCCTTGACGATAAAGTCGAAAGGCGAGACTTGATAGGGAAGACCCTCGAAGGAATCAAGTGTATCTCTGTTGGACCCTTTTCTTGAACTTGGTAATCTCCACATTTTGGCGAGGTCATTCAATCCCCTTATATTGATAGTCAGTGATAGTCATAGCAATATGACCTAGGCGCATTTTCAGCTCTTCCAAGGAAAACTCTCAAAAGCATTGCATCAGGGTTGTATCCACCGCGCGCGGTGTTTTCCGTAGGTGGTGTATGGCCCATGAATCCAAGTTTTGCGCACTGACGAAGGCTCGATAATGCTGTATCTGGCGGAGGTTGCCCTACGAGGCGTCATCAATGTGCACTATTTGGCGTGCCGAGGAAGAATGATAGTGCATGATTTGCATTTCCATAAAGGTCGATCAAGTTGTTCTGCAAACTCAAATACCCTCCTTGAAAGGCCCGTGCCTTCATGGAGTATCGAGTATTTGGTACCGGCATTCCCGTGCAACGAGATAGCAGATTTCTGAACCTCACGTAAGAGGAAGACTGTACATCATGAGTGTCGCATGTCTAAAACCACACTCGGTGTGAGTGACTTTGAGAGATAGCTTGCATCAGTTGTGAAGCTTGGAGTACTCGTATTTTGGGAGGAAGATACTTTGCTGCATTTCGGTAGCTCGGGTACGTCAATGTGCACAGTCCAACATGGTAACCCCTCTCGCCTAATATGTGCCTGTGCGCGATGCCACCGTCGAACTCTAGATCTTCGAGATCATGTCCATGCTCAAGCAAAACTATTGCTCAGCTCGCGTCTTTACTCTCAATTGAGGTTGCCGAGCAAAACGTAAGGCCGGATGGTCCGCGCAATCGATATGGCGCGGCTGTTGCTGTTACACCACATCTAGTGACCTAGGCCAAGCAACGAGCCACGTTCCCACTCACCGGAAACTTCCTGTAGGTTGACCTGAGTGCTTTTCATGATTTTGGACCCGAGAGTCTGGGTGTCAAGGTATCACTGATGAAGCGTCACTCGGACTCGGATCTTGAAGACCCGTTAGAGGCCCCCGCATGATCGACGATCAATTGTGGAGGCCAATAGAAGTGTCCCTGGTTTCTGTCACTGCAAAGCCGTTGTTCGACCCTGTCAGGTTCATACAGTCAATGAAATAGGATCCAGTCAGGCGATCAACGGGACAATCATCCCTGGGGATCATCCGGATATGATCGACCTGCTTAGACATCCCCGGAAAATTCGAAACTGTGGTTATGACTCGTACTCAGCACCCGTTGACCTTTGGCGTACCACCGATGCTTCGGACACTTCGTGAAGTCACAAAGATCGTTTGCATCTCCTCGGTCGTGAGTATAATTCTCACAACTTCTTCCCGAAGTGGCCCATGGCAGTGCAGATAGTCATCAACGTAACCAGTTTCTGGCACGCCAGGGAAAAGTATGGTCCATGGCGAGGCATCGTTGACCATCCGCACGTAACAGTGGATATAGCAAACATGCTCAAGAGCGGAAGCTACCAAGGTCGCAGCGCTTTTGCGCCAACATGGTTGGGAAAGCTCTCAAAGGTCCATAAGGGCTTACCTAAGGCTGGCGAATTCCTGTCTTCGCCCTTGGCAGTCCATCATCGTTGTCTCCGTTTCGTACCTCGGCCTAGAAAATCTGCTAAATTCGAGAAAGAAGGAAGAACGCTTTGACCAGCACGGAATTTGGCATCTCAATCCCCGCGCATACAATCTCGGAGCGAAAGCGAAGTGTTGCATCATAGACCTGCCTATTTGGGCGAGCATTCCAAATCCGGCCTTCGAAAATCTTTGGCAGTGTGGACCTTTCATGAAACCCGGTTCCACAGCCTCGTTAGCGTATTGCAACTCGAGAGCATAGACCTGAAATGGTTTTTGCGGCGCACCTAACCGTCAAATAGCGTCCCACGTGCTCTCGGTGCCAAACACCATGTAACAAGAGAAAGGCTTGACGTCGTTGCTTTTGTCGAGACAATAGGCAATTGCAGTTGTTTTTCGTGGTCTGATCAAAAATGGTGGGCGCTTGGTGAATTCTAGGCTTTCCTCTTTCAATGAGAAGGGAATAGAGGCTGACACTGTCGGCTGAATCAGCCACGCAGGAAACAAACAGCAGCAAAAGTGAGAGGTGGTCTGATATGCGAATCACCCCTTGGCACAGTATTACCATGGTAGCCGATGTCGCCCTGCAGGATGCCCATCAATGCCACGCCAACCCAGGGAGCGGAACATATCGACGCTCTGCGCATTTGAGACACTTCATCTGTGGTCGATGTGCTAGCTAGAAGGGTGGCGCTGCTGGGTGTCACTGTAGGTGCAACTCAAGGTATAGTACGTCAATCCTGCTTGTTCGTCAGCACTGAGATATTCCATGCTGAGAGTCAGATTGTCAGATATACGTTCGTCCTTGCTTGAATCCGACCCCCTTCAGCCTGGCAACCTCCTCGAATCCCCAGCGCTTGTACCAGTCTCGTAAGGCCAATGCCTGCCCTTGAGCGCCTTCATCCACAGACATAACAGCGATCACTTTCCGGACATCGAACTCGGTAGGGTTCTGTTCGTGGCCAACTTCTTGGCAGACATGTTTGGCGGTTCGCAGTGTGTCGATGAGCTGATTGATGGGACAACTGCCGATGCCTTTGCTGGTGTAGTCTGGATGGCAGAAGAGGCTAATCTCTACTGTTTTAGCATAGCCTAGCTTGGAGCCTGTGAATAATGAGGCATATGTGTAACCAAGGACAACATCGTGGTCATCAACAGCAACCAGATGCGGGAGGCCGCAACAGATCGAGTCTCTGAAGCGACCTACAATGTAGGACAACGGAGGTTTATTGATGAGTAGAGTCACGACAGTGTTTAGAACGTAATGAGCAAAGATTTGGCGAACCTGAGGTAGGTCAGCTTCAGTCGCAGGGCGGATAGTCAGAGCCATCGTGTCGTGTGTTCGCGCCTGGAGCGATTAGGGACGCAGCAAGGGGAGATTGCTTGAGCATGATCACAGAGTGAGATACCATATCATTTTGCTTCAGCCCTGGCGGGTGTGTCGGCGCAACTGGCAAAGCAGTGATACAGGCCAGCTGGTAAATGACTTAGTCAGAATGATAGGCCTACCACGTGACAGCTGTTCCCCCGCATTCTCGGTGACGCAGTTGGAGTTGCGCAGTCAACATCTTCAAGTCGAGTACTTAGACATCATTCACTATTATTTTCAATTCAGCACTTTTCACTTCACTTCCTCCTTGATAAGGTGTCGCCTTGTCTCATACCGAACTTATCCGTGTTTTCAAGAGACATAGTCACTATCTTTCTTGTATGTTATCGCGCCTTCAGACACGCGCAATGTCTTCCGGACTCAGGACCGCGAAGGATATTCCGTCCATCACTACCCTCTATCGCAAAAAGATGCTTTACCCTTCTCAAGGCGAAGATCTGCCTACCCCGAACCAGCAGTACAGTGATAAAGTGTGCCTCATCAAATACGATATCACGAAACTCGAGATCGACGCCATCGTCAATGCTGCAAACAGAGGACTTCGTGGAGGTGGTGGTGTCGATGGTGCAATTCAACGTGCCGCTGGCCCAGAATTGTTAAGAGAATGCGCTACTCTAGGTGGATGTGCAACTGGGTCTGCAAAGATCACAGATGCTTACAACCTTCCCTGCAAGAAAGTCATCCACGCCGTCGGACCTATCTTCGACAGCATCGAAGAATCAGAACCCTTCCTTCGCGGTTGCTACCGAACGTCCCTGGGCCTTGCTGTAGAAAATGGTTGCAGAACGATCGCTTTCCCCAATATCTCCTGCGGTGTCTATGGCTACCCAGGGAGAGCCGCGGCTCATGCAGCCTGTAGAGAGGTCTATGCATTCTTGAAGAAACCGGAGGGTCAAAAGCTCGACAAGGTGATATTCTGTAACTTCACGGACAAAGATGTCGAGGCGTACAAGGAATTCCTACCGTATGTTGATCTCCGAGAGGTAAGTGTACTCGAACTGTGACTGACATTTCTGTAGGACTCTATTCCCACCAACCGAGGATGACCTGTCCCATACAGGTGAGTATGCTCGTAAAGAGAACGTCCCCCCTGAGGATGATATGCCAACCAATGAACAGACTCGTCAGATGGAAACCTATGAACTACCTTCTAACGACGCACACTGCCAGGCTTGGTATCACGACATGTTCTCTGCCCACCCGAATAGTGACGGCTACTCCTCCGACGATGGCTGGTCTGCAAGCTCGAAACGATCCTTGAGTAACGATTCTCGAGCCAGTCTACCTCTTAAGAAGAGAAGGTTGAGCATCCAAGGTGTTGACGAAGCACATGATCAAGAGATGGACCTTGAACTCGAAGGAATCGACACTGGAGGAGACACCAGTCCTACTGTGGACCAGTCGACCGCTTCTGAATCTTCTGTCCCGCTGGACAATGATGTCTGCCATCACGAGCTTTTCTTCAAAGATGACGGAATGTCCTCGTACGGTCTGTGGCCTCACTGTGCAATGATATGCGAATGTCGCAAGAGAATCATTCAAGCAAGAGGTACAGACATGCCGTCAATTGGCCGTGGCTGTCCCAGCCAGCTGTGAAACTGCGACAGGGAGAGCGTGATCAGCAGGATGTGCCACAACCCTGGCAAAATCCGGGAAGACGCAGAACAGTTGCAGAGACAGATATTAGATGAGCTATGCACTTGCCGTAGGCCGTCTCTTTCATCTGAGCGGCCAGAGTACAGCCTCAACTTTGCAGGGCTGTTTCGCTCGGAGGCGTTGCTACGTGGTTTGCCTGAGGTGTTATGCGCAAGGCTGGTGCATATCTTGCGCTCATCTGTACAGGAGGAGAGAAATCGCCCACAGTGGAACAGATAATCAGCGTTGAAGCGTTGAAGCGTGCTGTGGCCATGTATTTCAATGAAACAATCATATTGTGACTGGTTTTCATTGCCTCATTGCCTCTCCTACCGAGCACATAGTGCTGCATGGCTTTTAGGTCCCAAGATGACCGCTTTACTGCAGGAGTTTTGCATTGTCGCGTTGACCTTCACGGCCCAGGCCTACTTCCCCTTCGATCCAAAACCTCTCTGTTTGCCAATCTGCTTTATCTCCTCGCACACGCTACTCGTAACCTCCTCGGTGCCCGCCTTCCCACCAAGATCCCTCGTCTTGACACCCTGACCCAACACATTCTCCACCGCCTCCATCAACACCTCGGCCGCCTCCTCCTGGCCCAACCACCTCACCATCTCCGCACAAGTCCAGAACGTGCCCACGGGATTCGCCACACCCTTCCCCGCAATATCCCACGCACTCCCGTGAATCGGCTCGAACATACTAGGATTCTGTCTCGTCGGGTCAAGATTACTCGTCGGCGCAATCCCGATACTCCCCGCCAGCGCCGCTGCAAGGTCACTCAGGATATCGGCATGCAGATTCGTCGCGACCACCGTATCAATCGTTTCGGGCTGCAGCGTCATCCGGCATGTCATGGCATCCACGAGCATCTTATCCGTCTTGACGTCGGGGTAGTCCTTCTTCACGAGTTCATGGACGTCATCCCAGAGCACCATCCCGTTGCGCTGGGCGTTAGATTTCGTCACGAAGGTTATCTGCTTGCGCGGGCGTGACCGGGCCGTCTCGTATGCGAAGCGTAGAAGTCGTTCAGCGCCGTGCCGCGTGAAGATGCTCACATCCGTCGCGACTTCCCAGGGCTGATTGGTGTGGCTGCGGCCTCCGTGTCCAGCGTACTCGCCCTCGCTGTTCTCGCGGATGATCACCCAGTCTAGCTTACTGGGGTCGGCCTGACATGACGACAAGGGGGATGTCACGCCCTTTAGAACTCTAGTGGGACGGACATTGGCGTATTGTTGGAATGGTTGGCAGATTGCCAATCGCAAACCCCAGAGCGAGATGTGGTCGGGGACACGCTGGTCGCCGACCGCGCCGAAGAGGATGGCGTGGAATTTGCGGAGTGAGTCAAGCCCGCCTTCGGGTATGTACCGGCCCTTTTCGATGTATTTGTCGCTTGACCAGTCGAAGTGCTCGAATGTAAAGGAGAATGTGTTGAAGGTTTGGGCGAGAGTGTTGAGGACCTTGATGCCTGCTGAGATTACTTCGGGGCCAATGCCGTCGGCTGGGATTGATGCGATGTTATAGGTTGTTGTTGAGGGTGGAGGGGCGAGCGGTCGCTCGACGGATATGGAGCCCATTGTGCTGTGATTGAGTGAGTATGCACTGCTCAACGTGGATGTCACACCGTCTCTTCCGTACTATAGACTGGAATTTGGCAGACCAGATGTAATGATTTTTCTACGGAGAAGTCACAGGTTTATAGGTTTGATCATCGTCGTCCTCGGTCGATGCGGGGGTTCATTTGTCGGCTAATCTTATACCCGTACGGCGCAGGCTCCGTATGTGCCGGTGCCATACAGTTCGGGATTCACGTATAGGAGGCTGTGTCTGATGTTTGACTCTTACTGTCTTATTCAATGCAAGGTTGCGTGATTCAAATATCATTTCTTCTCGATCTCAGCAACCCATTCTGCGGAGGACATAACTCGCGCCTGCTTAGAGAAGACCTTCTTGACCAGGATCTCATGTACCTCTGGGAAACTATCTGCACAAAGGTCCTCCAGGACAATCTGTCTGTAATCCAAATCTGCAGCCTGCCGCACAGTTGAGAGGACGGCGCCGCTTGAGACCAGTCCGGTGATCACCAGCGTCTCGGCATCGAGGCTGCGAAGGACAAGGTCGAGTTCTGTCCCGTGAAAGGCAGATACTCGTCGTTTGGTGATGTGAATGTCACCCTCACACATTGCCACAGCAGGATGGATCTGCGTAGACTCAGACCCTTCGATGAAATCTCCCCGCGCCTTGACTCTGCTGGTTGACGAATTGCGATCTGATTTTTCTGGGTAGCCTGGTCTGAATGCCACAGATACGTAAATGACTCTGAGATCGGCCTGGCGTGCGGCGTTGATGGTATGAGCCAGGCGGTCGAGGTAGTTATCGGGTAAGATGCTGCCGGCTAGATCGACCACGCCGTTTTGGACGTCCAGAACTAGAAGGACCGTCGTGCCCATGGTATGGAGACGTCTGGGTGTTCTGGGAGCGTAGGGTGAGTATTTGTTGGCGAGGAAACCACTCGTTCGGACACGAAAGAACATCAAACTGTAACGTAGGCTGTACTTGAAAGCGTTAAGAGGGGTATAGAAACAAGGCAGCAAATGTAAGGAAGTAACATAGCAGCCGGCCCGGCGGCGTGGCCAACATAGCTGCACTTGATGCCGGTCAGGCCGGTACCGGCTTTGTCAGTCTACCTGGACCACATATCAGGTATTTGTTCTCTGGCTTGCGTTGGATAGCAAGTGATGATCTGTTACGAACTCGGATCGTTTTTGCGAGGTTTGTGTCCTGCTTCCCTATGTATTCTGTGAGAATTGTTGTGACATCTGGTCACTGACTTATCTTTTTCCCTGGCGACTGGGCACTGTTCGCTTGTCTCGTGTGTCATTTTGCTCGGAGCCCATCAACATAGTTGCTGTGGTTTAGTCTGGCCTTTTCTCGTTCCTTTCTCGATGCTTTCATATTGTGTTCTTTAGGGCTGGGATTGCGAATTAATAATGGTTGAGATGGCGATGACATCGAACAGACTGGCGGCCATCTCCAACGGGACGGATAAGAGCGGCTTGCTCTGGATATATTGCTACACGTACGCCCTTCTGCCAAACTCAAATCACAGTTGATATATCCCCCACATCAACTCCCAACATAATTTGATGTTTCCTAACGTTGAACCTCATCGTCGTTGCCTATATCTTGACTACTTGCGTTCTTGAAGTTGACCAAAGCAAGTCCCAATATCAACATGTCTTCGAAAGCTAGAGTGCTGCTGGTGGGTAGCGGCGGCATCGGCACGGTGACAGCTCTGAACCTCGAGCAAGGTGGCCATGCCGAGGTCACAGTCGTATGCCGATCCAATTATAAGGCTGCCAAGGAGAAAGGCTTCACGATCGACTCTTGCGACCACGGTAAATTCGAAGGCTGGAAACCATCAGAAATCCTCAACAAGATCCCAGACGTCTCGGCCGACAAGTCAAGCAAGCCATTCGACTATATCATTGTCACGACCAAGAACATCCCCGATGTACCTCCGACGGTGGTAGACTTGATCAAGCCAGCTGTGACACCAGAACACTCGGTCATCGTGTTGGTTCAGAACGGCTTGAATATCGAAAAGCCTCTGCACAAGGCGTTCCCCACCAACGTCGTTCTCTCTGGTGTTTCGCTCATGGGCGCTAATGAAATCGCACATGGCCACATTGTTGAGGAGGATCCCGACAGATTGTTCATAAGCCCGTTCTTGGGATCAGCGATCGATGATGAAAAGGAGATTGCCGCCGCCAAAGAATTTGTCAGAATCTACCAGGCATCTGGCAAGGTACAGTGCTCATACGAGGCGGACGTGTTGTTCGTCCGCTGGAGGAAGCTCATGTACAACGCCGTCTGGAACCCAATCTGCGCGTTGACAGACATGGACACGACTCGTCTTCGCCTGATGGCGTCTGAAGACGATCCTGCCAGCCCGGTCAATCTGCTCGTTCGACCGGCTATGAACGAAGTTCGAGCTGCGGCAAAGGCTGCAGCGAATGTGGACCTACCTGAGTCACTGGTCGAGGACATGGTCGAGGCCGACCCCATGGAGATCTGGTGTTGCCCGAGCATGTTGCAGGACAAGCGGAAGAAGCGGTACATTGAGTATCAGAACATCGTGGGAGAAGCACTTCGGGACGGCGAGAAAGCAGGAGTGGCGATGCCAACTGTGAGAACCATCTTTGGGCTTTGTAAGGCTGTCCAGTGGCGGACGATGGACCACCATGGGTTGGTTGATCCTGAAAAGATGTTGAAGGAAAAGACAAAGGCATGAAAATACCTTTGACGTACAAAGACATTTCGGACGACCGTGTAAGCTCTCCAGTCCGATGATGCAACCAATTGAAAGAAGTTAGTAGTGGTACGAAATATTGCTTGCCATACGTCTGTCGATTAGCCATATTCTTGCCCATCTGAGAGGCATACCTCTGCTTCTTTGATGTGATGGCTTCGGAATCTCGGAATCCTCAATAACAACTTTCTACACTCGTCTCACAGCATCCCTCAGCACGAGAGAGCATTGCTTAAACGTGTGCCTTGGAGCTTGCACGCTTGCAGCGTTTCACGGTATCCAAACGGTTAATTGTTGCTGGTAGATTCCCGTGCCTGTTGCGTGACCAGATTGCCGGGCCTTTCGCTTGACTCTCATCAGCCGGGAGAATAAACGCTCAAGCACAATAGTGAAGCCACAGAAGCGTCTCGAGGCCAGCAAGGAACTTGTATGAACCGTGCGTGACGATAGGCAAGGTGACTATCTAGGCCTCCAGCCTGAAATCGACTAGCCTCGGCTCGTTTCGCGTTTTTTTTGGTTTCTTGGGTGCAATTCCCAAGACTCCGGGAAAAGGGGTCGGCGGAGTCTGGATCCCCATTCATCAGCCACAGTGTAGGGCTGTAGGCACCCGGATCTGCCCTGATAAGTGATAAGATGTGGAACTTACATACCTGGTAGACAGGCATCTGCACCCCTGACCCCTGGCAATCAATTTCATGCTTAAAAAACACCTTAAAAGAGAGGTCCAATTTGCCGTCAAAAAGTGTCACAGCACAAGCGATGGGAAGTTACCATTGCTCGAATGGCCTGTTGAGTTCGCGAAGATACTTTTTCGCAGCATGTCATACCACATGGCACCTTGTTTGGCTTTCTTGTTCTTTGGTGTGCTGACCTCGGCGCCGTACTGGAATAGTTAAACAAGCGGTCTTGGGAATGTGGCACAGGCCTCAAACTGATCTGTGTAACGTCACAACGAGGTGTGTGCACGGAGATGAACAGGGATGTCAGCCGCTCGTGTAATAGGCTTCAACCAATACCAAGTCGTGTTTTGTTATAAGCGTTGAACCAAGCTGAACCTTGACGCCTTTAATCCAACTCATTTTTCATCAGGTCGTGGCACTCGTATCTTTCTCGCGTCCTTCTCGCCTCATCCCTTGCCTCATCCAGTAATGCCTCTAAGAAATAAGAGGTCTAGTCTGATCCCAAGGCTGGGCAATTAAACTCCTTGCAGATCAGATTTGCATATTCGCCTATCACATTCACTGGTAAGTCCCCTCAGTCAGCCACCACGAGGTATGGGGAGTATCGCGTCGATAAACTCGCCCCGAAACCCAAGGGGAGGGTCGATGACATCCCGTGTCATCCCTCTGGAGCCCTTGTGATATACTAGGAAAATGGTACCACTCACTGTTTCGCTTTTCTTTTCTGTCCTACCTATCTTGTAAGTTGAAGAACAGTCGCCAACCACCACGCCGAGTTGCATCCATCGCGCTCGCATCAGCCGACAAGATGCCGATCTCTCTACCTCGAGGCGTTGTGGTGCGGGTCCTCATCATCTTCGGCGTTGTGCTCTCCCTCTTCATGCTACGCTCCTACTATACGCCCTCCTCCCATCCCTACGACGATGCTGTCTCGACCGCCAAATCATGGTGGACTAGCTCCAGTCCAGAAGCATCCGATGTCGATCACGACCGTCAATTCAAGTATTTTTCCGACGGTGACCACCAGCAAAATTACGACAAGGGACCTCATCTGTCCTCTGAAATCACCGACTTTGCAGACCCTGTCGCGCCTGCCACTGTGCCACACTGGGCCACTGCTGCGCCGGCTTCGAAAGCTACGCCGTCTTCCATACCCTCATTTGACTACTCGATCCCCGCCTGCCGTCAACTACCTGGAGCAGACCAGGTCGTGATCATTGTCAAGACCGGTGCCACCGAGGTGCTAGCCCGACTCCCCGAGCAACTCCTCACGCTTGCAGAATGCGTGCCGAACTTGATGATCTTCTCCGACATGGAACAGGACGTGGGTCATTTCCATCTCTACGATGCATTGGCCGATATTGGGGAAAAGTGGAAGAACACGCACTCGGATTTTGAGTTTTACCACGATGTCCACAAAGCACATGCCATGCATGGAGATCTGAGCGCCCTGGACTCAGGCGGAGGATGGAGTCTGGACAAATGGAAGAACATCCCAATGCTAGACCAGGCTTACGAGAAGTACCCGGACGCCGACTGGTACATGACCATTGACGCAGACACGTATCTCGGCTGGACAAACCTCCTACTCCTACTCGCTCGCCTAGACCCCAACGAACCATTCTACTCTGGCTGTGTCTACTGGCATGGTCCCACAATGTTCGCTCAGGGCGGTACCGGCTATCTCCTGTCCCGAAAAGCGGTGCAAATGTGGGAAGGTATCAGGACCTCAACAAACATCGAAAAGTGGGAGAAAGAAACCTCGACAATCTGCTGCGGCGACGTCATGCTCGGAGTCTCCATGCAAGAGGCGGGAGTCAAAGTCAGTGGTGCCTGGCCCATGTTCCAAGTCGATCCTCCGTGTGATTTCAGCTGGGGCGCTGATTCTTGGTGTGTGCCCGCCATAACTTGGCACCATTCCCACACCTACGACATCGAAGCGCTGTGGGATTTCGAAAAGGATTGGATCAACAAGACGTGGCATGAAGGCAATCAGCCTGGTACAGTGCCGTACATGTACAAAGACGTTTTCGAGTACTATGTCGCGCCCAACATTGCCGAGAACAAGACGGACTGGAACAATTACTCTGGAGACAGAATTTTCACCAAACCCACAGAGGATCACGTCAAGGAGCATCACGATTGGGACAACAAGAGTGATGAAGAAAAATTGGAGATGTGGGAGGGTTGGTCTGAATTCCAAAAACAATCTGTCGAATCGTGCGAGAACTGCCGAGCAGCATGTGAGGCCGATCACGGTTGCATGCAGTTTACATGGCAACCGGGGACGTGCAGACACAACTGGTCCGTCAGAATGGGCCATGCGGAGGCCTCGAAGAAGAAGTACACCTCTGGCTGGATGATGGACCGTGTCGAGAAACACAAGGAGAAAGCTGGTACCTGCACAGAACCGAAGTTCCGGATCGACAGAGATTGAGGAGTACGACAACATCATGCCTGTTGAGTAACATTTACGGACAACTTGACAAATCTTTCCCGGCACGCAGCGTATGGATTGTGCTATACTGCACGCAGGATCAACCTGTGATACGATCGACACGGGTCAGATGAGCGAGTCGGGGGACTACCACGGAACAACCTCGCCCTTCCAATCTCTGAACTCGCCGCTCGACTCCATACTCGCCGAGTCGATCTGGCTCATCAAGCCATCGCAGACCTGATCAATGGGCGTAAACCGCTTCAGCAAGTTGGGATCCTTCTTCACCCTCTCTTCAAACCCCGCCTGGAACACTCTCATCAAGTCCGTCAACACCGGTCCAGGCGTCAACAATTCAATCACAATCTCGGGATGATCAACGCTCAATTTGCGAAATGTATGATTCAGCGCAGCCTTGCTGACTCCGTACGGCAGCGTCTGCGACTGTTTGAATTGAGGGATCTGACCCGTGGAGCCGATCGCCGAACTGATGGCGATGAATTTCGGTGCTGGCGAAGCCTGCATCAGGGGAAGGCACGCACGGAACAAGAGCAATGGTCCGATTGTGTTCACTGTGATGGAGTCGAGGATGGCGTCGCCGGGCGTGTCAACAGCTGGACCGTGCCAGAGAAGAGCGCCGGCATTGGCGATGACGACGTCCAGATGCTTAACTTCATGTGTGGTCTCGAGCGTGGAGATTGCGCTTGAGGCTGAATTGGGATCTTTTGCGTCGTAGGGGAGGATCAGCAGTCTTTTCGGGTCTGGGCTGCTCGCTGCAAGCGACTTGCTGGTCTCGTCCTCCGGGTTGCGGACCAGACCGATCACCCTGGTATCAGGGCGTTGGAGAATGAGGTCTGTCAGCCCCCGACCTATGCCACGGTTTGCCCCAGTGATGAGATAGGTGGTTGTCATTTTGGCTCAAGAAGACGCTTGTATATGGCTAGACTTCATAAGACTTGAGTTCTATGCAATCTACCATGTCCTGCAAGACAAATTTCAGGCCCGCTCTTTACTTCTTATACACCTAGACATCATGCACGAGTGAGGCTGTTGAAGAGAAGACCGTTTAACTCCGCCCTAAAGCCGAGGATATGTCCACGCCCACAGCATACCATGTGTGCCATGCTAGCCTGGTGGGTGCCGCACGCTGGCAGCCGCCTCTGCTAGTCCGTGCAGTAGTGCTCTTCATGGCAGACGATGTTGCTTCCAACTTGAGAGAGGCGTGGTCACTCGGGGTATGTCAGCGTGCGGCGGCATTGCCACGTGATCAGGCTGTCCGTCCAGGGGCTCCGTTAGTATCGGTCTCTATTCCACCCTCGAGGTCCTTCACCCTCTTCATTTTGAGTAGTCGCTCTTGACGCCATTTGTAGAAGCGTTCGAGCCGACCACGCCAGAACCACAGGCCTAAGGTGACAAATGTAAGAGGAATGAGGGTGTATATGAACGGCCAAAAGATGTTGGAGATGCCGTGAACGTCCTGTTTGTTGAAGATTCCCGATCCGAATGCTCCCTAGTCACACCAGTGCATGCATCAGTTGCCGGGTCTTGAGTACTGGGCAGTGCAGCGAGCCCACGCTGGAGGATGGCTTACCGCAAGAAATGTGCCTGGAAGAAATACCAAGGTGAGGATGGTGATGGCGTGCATTGAAGAGCTATGCCTTGCAGTTTCGTGGGCAATGTCAATGTTGACAGAGTTGTCTTGCTGCGTGACAAGGTTGTAGACCTGGATGTGACGAGCGACTTGATTAGCTGCTGCCATCGCAAGATGATTGATTTGATAGGAAAGCATACGAAATTCATGGCTGTGTCTTTCCGAGCTTTGTAGCTGATCAGCCAGTTCTTCTGGCAGTGCCACGTCTTCAAGACCCATCCGAGAGAGTCTTGGAGTTGCCTCCGGGGCTCAAGAGGTGGTCCCTGCAAGGTATCACTCTTCGAAAATGCGGCATAAGCGTCAAGCATCTCTGTGCAGAGCATGATAGACATGTCAGCATTTGCAATACCCGTGTCACATGTCTGCGAGACAAGATGCAGATTCTTGGTAATGCTCTCGAGCTTCTTCCGCCCATCGTGCGCTCCAGGCTCGCCTGGTCGCGGCGCCGCATACGACTCCTTGGAGTAGTTGTTCACCTCTGCAATCTCGGCCATTAGCCGCCCTCGAACGTCCGCGAGGTACTGAGTAGATTGCTGGTACGCATATCCCGACACGATGGCATGGATCAGGAAAGGGTCTCCCGTGGCCTGGCTCGTAGTACTTGTGAAATAGGATGTCTTCTGTTCAGGGACTCCCATCTCTTCCAGAAGCCCGGTCATGCAACTGTCGTTGGCTGCGGCAGAAATGACGTAGTATGAGGTGTTCAACGTGGCGTCGTGGTGTAGGTAGACGGAGCATGGAGCGCGATGCACTTTCTTGTCGTAACGCCCGATCTGCAGCCACCGTGGATGCTGGCAATAGAACTCGTAGCCCACCGCCTGCTTCCCCTGTATGTCTTTCCGCCGCCAGAATGCAGACCAGTAGTCAGGTCGACCGAGAAGGTTCTGAACTGCAGCGTCATGCACGCCGATATGCGCCGTGAGGTCTTGAAGGCACTGTCTTGAGATGCTGGCCTTACGCTCGTACTGCGCCGCTTTTTCGAACTCGAGGTGGATGAAGAACACGACAAGAGTGTGCTCCGGGCAAGAAGTATCGACACTTGGGGACGAGGACGGTGTTGGCGACTTCCAATGATGACTGATCTCCTCGTCGGAGAGAGCTGGCGACCAAGAAGTGCCATGTTGGTCGATCCTCAGCACCCCAACCTCGGATGTAGCTCGGAAGTTGTTTTCGTTCGAGAATGTTTGCTCCAGAAGATGAGGGTTCCAAGGCCTTAGGATGAGTGGTGATTTAACAGATTTAGCTGTCAGTAGCGTACTGAAAAAAGAGTACGATTCTTCCTTCAGAAGTGTACCTTGCTCCTGCGGGTTGTTTTGCGTTGCAGTTGAGCCAACCTCGGTCGCGCCAGACAAGAGGCGGTTCAGCCTTATACCCTCAGCTACACTTGAAGAGGTGGAGACTGACATGTCGTTCTGAGATGGACGTCTAGGTGATTGAAGACCCCGGCCTGATATGTCAGCGCATATATACCTCGCTATCAGGCAACGCGAACAGCGCATAACGCTTCTCGTGATCCCCAATCAGGCTGTAGCGGACCATTTCGTTGCATATGCAACGTATGTTCGCTTTTGCTTACCGCCAATCATAAACCTCGATGCCCAGGCTACGAGTGTGACGAGATAGTGCAAGGCATTCTTGTCCCTTTGGAGAATATCGGTTGCAAGGCGACCTGACATAGCCCATGGCTCGCATCGACCAGACTAGGCCTTCACCAGCTTACCCCGATAAACCTCCACCCCGGGCGGCCACAATCATTCCCGGCATATGAAGTGTATGCCCGAGTAAGTGCATGTCGGGTCCAGACAAGTCACATTATCTCTTATGTTATGCGCCTTGCAGCGAGCATAAAAGAACTTCAGACCCGACGGTTTTCCTCCGTGAAGTCTTGTCAGTCTACCCCCCATTTAGGATGTTCCAGCTAGGGTACAGCCACCAATTGATCAGAGACCCAAGTTTGGGCCAAAAAGGAGTTGGCGTCGGCGGGGATTGCGTGGGGACCTTCCTATCTAGGGCAACTTAAGATTGGGGTGTTCGCCTACGACTACGGGAGAGTACTGTATGCTGTGGCCTGTCACTCCCGTGTAAACACGATAGGCGTTGCTCCCAAAGATAAGTAGATAAGCGGCAAGTGCCATCAGGTGGTCTTCTCTCACTTTTTCACGCTCTCGAGCTGCAATCCTCTTAATCTATGAGGATCCTTCGAGGCGTACCTCTCCGGCCACGAAATCCACACGTGGATTGTCCTCAAATTCTCCACGATGCCGAACCCCTCGGCTGAAAATATTGCAAGATATTCAGACTTCACGGCATTGTGCGTGTTAGTCGGATTTCCATGACTGTGCGTGTCTGGTTGTCTCGACTGTACCCCGCAACCGGTAGGCTCGCAAGGCTTCGCGGTGTATTTGTTCCCCAAATTCCAGGCTTGGCTCGAAGCCTGGTCATTCTTTGACGAGTCAGTCGATGGCGGGGTCCAACATCACGGGCGCGCCTAGTATGCCGAGGTCGATCCTCTGTATGCAAGAGCAATGACAGCCTCAGGCTTTGTAAAGGCGAGTACGAATATAATCGTCAATGTCCCGGAGAAGAAGTTTTGCGTCACCGTCAGAGGCATTGGTGTCATCACTGTTGTCTGTCCATTAACAACCCTCGACCACGATCATGCCGGACAACGTGATGGAATGGCAGCGACCTCCGAAACGTGAGTTGCTCGGTGGTGATTTGGTCGCACAATCCTTGAAACAACTCGGCGCTGAGGTCGCTTTCGGCTTACACGGCGGACACCTTGACGCCTTCCTGATCGGCTGCACCCTCATTGGCATCAAGATTATCGACACCCGGCATGAGACCACGGCTGTCCAAGCAGCGGAAGGCTACGCCAAACTCTCTGGGAAAGCCGGATTTTGTTTTGTGACGGCCAATAGCGGGTACGACAGTATAATGCTCTGAAATATCCTGACACTGACAGAATCTTTATAGCTTCAGCAATGCTCTTCCCGGGCTGGCAACAGCCTTCGCCGACCGCTCACCTATTTTCGTGATTACCTCGTCACCACCACTTCGCGATGCTGAAACGAATTGCCTTCAAGGCTTCCACGACCAGGTCGTCCTGGCAAAACCAATCACGAAGTTCGCCCATCGTGTTACGAGTAAGTAGATTCATCTCTTTTTGGCCCATTCGAACCCTTCCGTGCTGCAAATTCAAGAAGATGTTCATCCTGCTCCACCGCTTCGGACAAAGCTGACCTTCTTGGTTCTCCAGACGTCGAAGAGATCCCGCGTATCATAAGCCACGCCTATCGGACTGCTATTGGAGGTATTCCCGGTCCGGTCGTGATCGACTTCCCCATCGACATACTCTTCCATCCACCACGGATGAACGCTCTTTCATACGGCTCTCTTACTGGCGCTCCCGCCATCACACCTTATCCGGATCCTGCCGCTCTCGATGAGCTGATCAATCTATGGAAGTCAGCGTCACGACCCGTCATCGTTGTCGGCACTGGAGCAGCACGAACTACCACTCGAGGCTCCAAGTCTAGTGTGCTTCTCGACCTTGCTGAAGCAACCAATACACCAGTCTTCTACTCTCAGAAGTACTTGCCAGCCCTTCCCTTCGACTCGCCTTTCCGAGGTGGCTATGCCGCTTCCCTCGCTTCGCTGCCTTCAATCCAAAAGAAACAGCCAGATCTCGTCTTACTTCTTGGTGCGAGGACAGGGTTCTTGCTAGGCGGACGGTCGGGGGTCATCATTCCCAACTCTGGCTGCAAAGTGGCTCAAGTCGACATAGATGCCAGTGAGATCGGCAAGTCCAACGCTATTGAACTGGGCATTGTGTCAGACGCGACAAAATTCGTTGTGGCCTTGCTAGAGAAACTTCGCAACAACAACCCGATTCAACGCCAGGACTCGTGGCTCCAGGACCTCCAAGACCTCAAGAACCATAAATCACCTCATTCCGATGACTCAGAAACTCTCCCGGACGGCCGCTTGCACCCATTCTTCACCATGAAGACTATCTTTGAGACTTTGCCGGAGGGCTCAATCATCATTATCGACGGAGGCGAAGCTGGAATCTGGGCCGCCGAACTTCTCGAACAAGCTCGCCCCGCCGGCGGCATGGTTGCGACAGGCTACTTGGGCTTTTTAGGTAATGGCTGGGGATACAGTATAGGCGCTGCCCTCGCAGTACCAGACCGTCTGATAGTGAACATCCACGGAGACGGATCTGCTGGATTCCACATCCAAGAGCTCGACACCTTTGCCCGCCACCGACTTAATGTCCTAACCATTATCATGAACAATTATTTCTGGGGCATGAGCGTCGCCGGTCAGGATTTGATCTACGAAGACGAAGATCCCGCACGCGTGGCGAGCACCTTGTCCGAAGATTGCCGGTACGATATCGTCGCGCAGGGTTTCGGGTGCAAAGGTGCCATTACGCGGAAGAGTCTTGATGAAGTGCGAGATGCAGTGAAGTCTCTCACGGAGACGAAAGGACCGGGACTGTTGAACGCGATCATCTCGAGAAATCCAATCACGATGGGAACCAGGGGTATGGTCGGTAAGACGGACGACAAGAACTATATTGTCGTGCCGTACTACGATAATGTGCCGAGACCATACTACAAGGAGGACGCTCCGACGACGAATGGAACAGCGGACAAGCATTGATGGATGGTATCCATTCGTTGCAGATTGTTATGGTTGCAATTGCGAAGCATGGCAATATTCCCCCTCTTGACAGCACGAGCTATGGAGGTGTTGTTGATTGTGTGTACTTAAAGAGTGAACTGTAACACAACAACAAATGTCTAGATGCTTTCATCGTCGTGTCAGAGTCTCGGTTTGTTTGGCGAGTTTTCGAATTCTTCTTCAAAGCTTTGAATGTCCGCTGAATCTCATGGTAGAGCAGAATCGTGCACAATTCATGTATCGAGCGATCTCAGCCATACTTATATGCAATGGATTAGGGAGGGCCCTTGAGTATTGTATCGTCCCAAGTGGACCTTCCGCATATATTGTCTAGCAGAGAACAAGCGCTCCCTGTCCTTATAGCGGCACAGTTGCTACGGCCGCCGTCAACTCTTCGATATGTTCACTCACGACTTTCACCTCCGTCTCTCCGTGCGGAGACAGTCCATCTTCATGGCCCTTGACGCTGGCATCCTTCTTCCCAGGTCGCGGACCCTTATTGATAGCTGGTGGAACATCCACAGTATCAAGATATCCCGTCGTCTTCTCATCGTTCTCTTGGGCCGTGGTCATCCCGTTACCGAGCCAGGTCAAAATGTTTTGCTGAGTTTCGGGCCTTTGAACAAATAGAAAGTCTTCAAATCTTGGACTTTTAAGTGCTTCCTGCGCGTGGACGGACGAACCAGGCCAGAGCCCGACAATGCGCCCGTCTTCGTTGTTGCGCTTGAACCAGGATTTGCACTGCAAAATACGTTGCCTGTCAGTCTAAAGTACCCTTTGGCAAGAAACGGACTTGAATAGACATACCTTGTATGTAAATATGGTTTTGGCAAAGTACCGATCCACATGCTCCGAGAACGCTTTCTGTGCGGTCTCACTAAAGATTGAAAGTCAGCACACTGCGACCAAGTAGACTACCCTTGAGGACGGTAGGTTACTCACGAAACTTCCATCGAAGCGACGTATTCTCTCTGCAGTTTTTGGACACACTGAATGACATAGTCGACCACGTTCTCGAGCATGGCAATGAAGGATCCGGCGCCGGGACCCCCATTTGGGCCCAGGAAGAAGAAGAGGTTGGGCATCTTGGGGGCGCATAACGAAAGATATGCTTCTGGATGTGGTGTCCAGACTTCTTCTAGTGTTGTACCGCCTCGACCTATAATGGGTGTGGCGGCCGAGTTGAAGGAGCTGAGTTGGGGTGTTGTTAGCATATAGAACGGGGGTAAGGAACAGACATTGGTCGTCTCACTAGTCAAATCCAGTGGCGTAGATAATGGCGTCGACCTCATGGAAGTCGCCGTTGTCATCTACGAGGCCTGTCTCTGTGACCTTGCGGATTCCTGTGCCGACAAATTCAACGTTGTCTTCGACCAGGGCTTCGAGGTACCCAGGGCCAGGAGTCAGTCTGCGACATCCCGGCGGGTAGTCCGGACGCATCGATTCGTAGATCCACGGTTTCTTCTTGAGTTTTTCCTTCATCGAGTCGTCGCTCATTTTCCAAAATAGCTTCTGAATGTCTGTGTCGCGGAATGTCACGAGCTGGCTCTTGTTCATGCCGCCTTCTATCTGGTGTCGGTACTTTTGATAGATCGATGGGTTTTCTCTGAAGACTTTGCGCTGCTCTTCGGAGATCTCGACTGTATAAGAGGTCAGACAATCAGATACATGAGGCACACAGAAGGGCGTAGCGTAGGGGTGCATACCTCCGTCGGACTCCCCTTCTTCTTCGGCCCCATAGCCCACAGGCGAGATCCACGTTTTGCCTTTCATGAAATGCACGACCTGTTTGGCCTTGGGCTGGATGTTTGGGAGAATCTGGATGCCGCTGGACCCTGCCCCGATGAGTGCAACGCGCTTGTCAGTCCAGTCAAAGCTGCTATCCCAGTTGGCTGAATGCATATAGGGCCCTGTGAAGTCGTGAAGGCCCGGAATGTCCGGCCATTTCCATGTGTTGAGGAGTCCAGTGCCTTTCAGAAGAACATCACACGTATCAGTAACCGTCTGCATGTGTCGGTGCTTAGCTCTTGGATCATCGTAGATCTGTCTCGGCTTGACTTGTGCTTACCTTGTTGGTATTCAGGTCGGTCACCTCAATCCGCCACTGTTGGATGCTCTCGTCCCATTCGGCTCGTTGGAAGTAGTGTCGGAAGCGGACGTATTTTTCAACATCGTACTTCCATGCCACGTCCTTCAAGTACTCTTGGATTTCTCCTCCTGTAGCGTAGAACCGGGACCAGTTTGGGTTGCTCTCGAAGGTGAATTGATACACATGAGATGGGATATCTGTACATGAGGGATCGTCAGCAGGCCCGTTCTTGAACAACGCCGGACGAAAATGTTTTACGGGAACGTACCACACGCTATTCCAGGGTAACTAGCAGTGTCAGAAACAATCTGGCTCCATGATGTCGAAAAGGTAGCAGCTCACCGATTCTCATACCACGTCCCTCCTATATCTGCATTCTTCTCGTAGATGACAAGCTCGAGGTTGGGAATGTGCTGGGGAAACCGAATAGCAGTCAAAATGCCAGAGTAGCCAGCGCCCAGACACACCACCTTGATCTTCCGATTCGCATCAATGGGACGGTCGTATAGAGGTCTTGAGTCTGAAACCATCCTTGCTGCTATTAATTCAAGCTGACTGGGGAAAGGCGTCCAAAGGCCGATATTGTGCTCTTGGGGTATTTCGACCTCAACAATGCGAGTCTATAGCAGGATTGGGCCTACGAGACGAGGGTACGGCCCAAAATTGACTTTCATCAACTCGCGACGGTGCATCATCTTTACTTGAGGTTGACAGACCATGCGAGGTTCGCGAACCCACTTGTGAAGTGCCAGCCTGACCAGACACGCTCCCTGGTCACGTTGGAGCACACCCTCAATCCATTTCCGTGAAGGTAGGCAGATGGTAAAGTGAAGAGTAGGAAGGGTTTCCTTCGTCAGCAAGTGCTGACAGGTGGATTTCCTTGAGGTTCAACATCCCGTCAGGGGTCCCCATCTCCATATCTGGAGGCCCCGGCTAATGGTGTGATCCCCGCTCTTTCCCTGCGGCTTCTGTTTGATTGCTTCGCAATCGTGCATTTGCTCAGGACCATGAACACGGTGAACGCAGCTCGAGTTGCGGTTGCCTCCGCTGGATTGCAATAGAGCTTGTTCAAGGCTTGTGCTTTGACGAAGCGAAATGAGACCACCAAGCTCACCGGCATTGACCATAGACTATCCTATACTATAATGACCCAACTGTTATCCGTATGGCATAGCTTCAACGACAAAGTCCTACGAAGCTTGCAAACCCTGCCTATAATGCGTGTGCTTGTGTGTATCTCTGAAAGGGCCAACAGGATTCTTGAGCCTCTCCACAAAGATACCCTCACGTACTTCGCCCTCCACACCACCTAATGCACCAGTCGTACAGTATCCCAGAAGCTTCCGGACTTTGTCTGACATAGTAGCTTCCACCTCCGGTCTGATTGACAAGAAGTTGTTCTCCTGCTGTCTGATAAAGGATCGCATGAAAAACATAAGAATGACAGGTCGCTCGCCTGAGGTCATTTCATTTGGGCCCGTAGCGTGCCACAGACGACTCTCGAAGACCAAGGCTGTCCCAGCAGGGCCTTCTGCGGCAAGGGTTCCGTCGATGTTGAATGGGTCGTCTGGCGCGACATGTCCAACGTGGCTGCCTGGGAAGATTCTGGTGCCGCCATTCTCCCGCGTAATGTCCGTGAGGAACCACATAATGTTGAGGCCGTAGAAAATGCTCCTCAATGGTGGCTGAATGGCCACTTGGTCGGTATGCAGCATCATAGGCACGTTGCCTGGCCGGGCAATGTTGGCGCTGTAGCTGTGGAGAAGCGCGTGCTCACCGAGTAGTTCAGGAACCACCTCGTCTATCAATGGGTGCTCGAGGAGATCATGGAATTCCTGGCCCTTGTTGATGAGTGTCCAGATTCGCTGGTTCGGAGCGTGTGGACCACCGTCCTTCTTAGCCACGCCAGCTTCAGCTTCTCCACGGCCTTGCTGCTCGACGGCTGATCTGAGCGTCTTAATCTGTTCGGAGTCCAGTGCGTTCTTGACCAGTCCATATCCAAATTCATGAATATCAGCCATTACTTGATCCAAGTCTTCGGTAGGACTTGGGAGCTTGCGACCAGTTGGTATCTGAGGATGCACAGGTACATTGGGACACAGATAATCAGCGAACTTCACCGCAACCTTGATTTCTCCTTTGGGCAACGTTGTGTGGTCAAAAAAGCCGTCTTTGAACAAGCCATACCGTGGCTCAAGCTTGCCTTCCACAAATAGCTGGATGTACTCGGGCTTGACTTTCAGGCTGGAGTTCGGCTCGCAGTCAATCTCGCGTACAATGGTGGGTTCATTGCGTGCGTCAATATAGATGGGCCCGTCGTCGAGCCCAATGTCCACACTGAGGACAGCCTTGAGAGGCGCCATTTTGGGCAACTTCTCTTCAATCAGTGATAATGCCACGAGTCGTTGATCCTTCTTGGTTGCATTTTGCAAGGTACGAATACCACCCTTCTTGCGAGCCCCATTTGTCTGGCCCTTCTCTAAGGTGATCTCGTGTCCGTTGGTGGTTGCTTCTGGTGCCATCTTTGAGCTGGTCAAAATCTTCTGTGAAGAACAACTTCGAGAGAAGGCGAACGGAATTTCCTGGGATGGACGCCCATCTTTGAGGAAAAACACTTGGCCAATGATTGAATCGAAAGGGGGCGCGTTCTGTGTCAGCATTCGTTTACTCAGTCTTCCCCAGATTGGACAACCATCCAACCTCCACGGCAAAGCTGTCTATCTCCGCATGACAATACTCGAATGCCACTCGCACTCATCTTGGTAGTGGTATGTGCCTCGTGTAACACCCTACGAGATGGTATGAGCCTCCCCGCATGCAATGCGTGTCTTGCTCAGATTGGTAGAGAAGGATATGTTTTCTCAAGGAACTAGTTCGATATTTTCGCCAGGCCTGTGGTTGGGGAGGCCGTGGAGAAAAACGTCGGCCTATGAGCATCAGTCAGTAAAATCACAACGACAGCGCTCAATAAAGCCTTCAAGTGCCCTCCTCCTTTAGAATTTTCAACATATCGCTATGGTAGAATTACATTTTAGGAAGTCCCATGGCAAGGTTCCTGCTGCCCATTTCTGAAAGCTTCAACACACGCCCAGCGCCATGTCAACCAATACTGGCGAACATACACATCATCTGCAACAACCTTGAGTGAGTCCTGATAACTCTTCAAAACGTCGTGGAACTATGACGAGATTCCAAGGCCGAGTCTATCAAGTATCTGGACATTTCCTGGTATTGTGCGACGACAGACACCTTCACATCCTCGGGACCAATGATGGGAATCTGATTACCAAGTCCTGGTCGCAACGCTACTCCCAGCGCCATCAGATCAGAGTTGTTGTCGTACAATTCAGGATGTCTTCCGAAAAAGGCAGGATCCAGCCTGAAGTTAAACGCTCCATTATCGACACCCAGCACTTTGAAGGCTTGTGCCGCTAGCTCTCGTGAAGAGAACAAAGTGTTGGCATCTTTAGCAGGGAGCGTTAAGTCGCCGAAGGCATTCGTATTGTCGTCATCATGCCACTGCCTGTCTTCAGACGTTGGCGAGGGCTCCGGTGATCCTGTGGCTTCAGGGGCGATCGCTCGTACCAGATCCCAAGCGCCAACGTAGCCTAGGAGAGCTTGAGGACATTTTATCAGTAGAGAGAGGTCTGCAGGAACGACGTAAGAGTTCCCAATGTCGCATATGATGCTGTCAAGGCAAGGGTTTGCGGCATGATGCATTATGAGCTTGTCTCGCAATTGCGGAAACGGTATCCAGTCGATGATGCTGGGATATGGCACACTCATCTGCAGTCTTGTTGGTTGATAAGCTGGTGAGACCTTCAAATATCGGTCCGGCGTCCTGCAGATCCGCCATGCCATCAACTCTCTTAAAGGAATGTGCGCTTTGGTGTATGTGTGCCATGCCGTCATCGGTTGCCATGACATGCTCACAAAAGTCATCAAGATCGATCCGATTGGATTTGTCAGTCTGGATAATCAGTCAGCCAACGCCATCCATCCTGCCGACAATCTGCATTGAGATCGTGCTCGGTACGTACCGATCGTCGAGCATCTGTGATGCGCTCCAGCGAGAATAGCTCCAGAGCACACAGCGTTCCAATGCATCGATGTGGTCCGAAAATGGCGAATTTGTCTTTTTCAGGTCGAAAGATTTACATACGAGAGAGGGCGACATTTCGAGAACGTTTTTGTATTTTTGTGGCCCCAGATCTTCGGAGAAGATAAGATCCATCGAAAGGGGGTCAGCGCAGTATCCGTTGCTTACGACGAGCAGGCGGTTATCGTTCGACATGTCAAACTTATCAGAATCCTCCATGGTCGATAGGTAATCTAGGTTAATCTCTGGGACTGGGTGATTGTCTGATGGATTCACGAAGTCCATCTGACTACCGCTTAAAGTCACAGCAGCTGAATCTTGCGGAACTTGGAGCTCTTGATCATCAACGAGGTATTGAGCATGGTCGGCTTGGTTGTTATTATCACTGTTGGCGCTAAGTGGTTCATCGACCGCGCTGTCGCTCAACTTGGGTCGTTCGGTGTGAACATCTGTTTTATTCGAAGGCAACGGAGGCGTGATATCGAGGGGATCTTCATCTTGTGCCACTTCAGCACGCTTGCACCTCGCACACAAATTGCCAGAAGACTCAGACTTGGAGGCAAAGTTAGCCGACTGGAGAACCTTGTGATCGGAGAGACGTACATCGTTGACGCCATCCAGGCTGTCTATACCTAGAGCAAGTGCGCTCGCATTGGCAAGAGCCTTCATCGACACTTGTAAGCTGGTAAACTTCTTATGGCATTCGAGCAGCTGCTCGCGCAAAGAAGAATTCTGGTCTTGCAAGTGTGTCATCCACTCGGCGTCTGAATAACTTCCATTGTGCAGCCGATCCTCAAGTTCTTTCATTCGCATTTGTTGTCGAGCACGAAATGCCTTTTGAGAGATGCGATTGCGCAATTTCCTAATCTCCGTATTCTCGTTGCGCTTCGCGGGCTCAGAAGCCGACAATGCTCGAGCCTTTGTTTTGCTGGCCATTCTGTCGGATGTTCTGGATTAACACTGCACGCGTTTCGAAACCTGAAAGCGGTAGGCCTCTTGATCATGCAAATCGGACGGATGTCGAAGTCTTTCCCGTGGACGAAAAGTCTTACGAACCTACCCCGCAGGAATCCCCTTTTCGGGGTGGTGACTGGGGGGGAACGAGGTCCTCCCAGTGGTTTTTTGTGCCGGAGTCACCCCAGGTGACCCTAATGTTTGTGGGGATACCAAGCTGACTTAACCGAAGTCAGGCTGGTCCAGGGTGGCCGATGTCAGCAACGCCAATTTCGGCCGTCAGAAGAAAGCACTCAGACCCCGGAGAATTGTCCAGCTCTCATATGCCCGCTTCACTCAGAGGTCACAAATAATGGTGTGTTACTGCCTCCCTTAAGCTATATGAGGTGTGGCTCATTCCATCCAAGTTGACCTTTATTCTCCAATCATTGATGAACAGACGATACGTGGAAATGGGCAACATATCCCAGAAGCGAACCCAATCGAGTCAGGCAAGGTTCACGGCCGAGCAGCAGTCGCGTCAATCTAGACCTAGTACGCCTGCCGTAGCCATATGCACCAAGGCCATCGTCTTTGTCTTTGGGACTTGGGCCACGGGATCAGCAGTCATCGACCAGTGAAACTACGAAAGTGTTCGAGTAAACCTTGTTATGTCGGACCCGAAGTCTTCCTGAATGTCATTGGGGAACTATGGTTTCTTGAAGTTTGTTAGGCTCCTCGGCTGTCGATTCACCTCAATCGACTTGTTGGACCCAGGCCAAAATACGCCCTTGCCCCGCCTCCAAAGCCACGGAAGACTCTTCTCCAGTCCGGAGAACTGAGGGGGCGCCTAGGCGGCAGATCAGGCCTTAGGCCAGAGTTGGGGGCAACTTGAAGCGGAGAAAATCTGGAGCCCGCACACAAGTCTGGGGTGTCAGTCAGCATTGTCTGACTCAACCAGATTCACCCAATAACCTACCACTTGCAAGAAACGGTAAACATGACTTAGCATTCGGACAAGGACACCGAGTTCCAGAGTAGCACATAGCCTTGTACGAACAAGACGTCGGGAATCGGTTGCATGCAAGCATTATGATAGTCTTTCATAGATCCAGCTCTATGATATGAACGACTAAGTCTTCGACATTCAGGTCTAGATTTCCGACATGGCACGAGTGCTGGAGCGGCAGGAAGGCCCCCAGCCCTGTCATAAAGTAACTTGTCTAAGATTGTGTTCTTCTGGGGACTGCATAGCAGACAATCACACGCTAAGATTTGCGCCGTCCGATGACTTCTGCAGGCTCGCATCCCATCCTGGCCGTCGCACAGGCTCATCCGTGCACTGTACGCATGGCTTCAAACATATACAATGTTCATGCGGAGGGGCAGTGCGTTGCTGGACCGGCGTGTTGAGTCCAGTGGACCATTGCAACGATCATGCAGGCGAGCTGATCATGCAGGCAGTGATCATGCAGGCGAGCTGAAAGTCCACCTGGGGTTGAGCTCCTGCGTCGCCCTGATGGACTCAACCGGACTTCGAGGCGGCTGGCCCTAAGTGGTCGCGAGCCGAAAACTTTTCGAATGTACCGTAGAGGGAGCCAGGCTGTTTCAGCCACGTATCTGCCGTCGCAGCTCGGACGAGGCGGCTATCAATATGTGCAAGTGCAGTCTCGAATGCGGGCCGCTCAGCTCTGCGGCGCGCGAGTTACGGATCGGTTCAGGACTGTCTGAATAGCTCAATCGCAAGAGAGAAAAAGGAGGTCAAATATTCTCATCGACCACTTCTTCATTCTTTCGCACATACTTCGTCCCATCCTTTGTACTTTTCAGCTCCCTGCGCAACGATGTCGACCCAGTCTTCTAAAGGGCAAGACGCTCCTGGTCCATCTTGGCAGTTAGGTATTGGACGAGGTGCTGTGTTGGCAATGAAACGAATGTATTTTCCCTCCCTGCCAGGTAGGTCTTCGCAGCTCATTTGCTCCATACCCACGTGGCCTAGAAAGGGAATCAGGTCACTCATCTTCCAGGATCGCACCCAGTTGATACGATCCGTTGGAAACTCTTCCACCGCCGAGTTGGACGAATTGAAAATGCCAATGGCCGTTGCAACGAATGGTGGGACTTCGCGGTGTGTGAAACTCAGGAAGAAGCGCTGGCCTTCGGGCCAACCAGGGCCAGCGTTCGACGCGGTCACATCGTCCGGTGTCGTGTCAATCTGCTGAAAAAGCTCACTCTGCGCTTTCAACCATGGAAAGCCCAGATAAGGCGACAGATGGTTTAGTGGTCCGACCATATGGGCGTATTTAAGGTCCCAGGCGTATTCGTATGCCATCCATTCTGCATCGGTGAAGACCTCGCACAACGGGCTTCGTTTGCCATTGGTGGCGGATTCGTAGCCGCATATTCCTTGGAGACCAATGATATCGGTATCGCTCAATTCAAATGGAGTGTAGGGAGCTAGCCGCTCAGCGACATGGCGAGCATAGTGGTGGACAAATTGGGCCATCTCATCGGTGCCAGGATCTTTGGTGAAAGCAGCGCAGGTCTTATGAGGAACCAAAGAGTCCAAACTTCCATTGTGATTATGCCTGAGGCGAAGAACCTCGATATCTTCGGGATGTGGGAATCCTTTGATCAATGCTTTTGCAGTATCATAGGTACGGGACTTCTTGTCGGTAAGGACCGTTCGCACCGTGTCTACAAGTTCAGGATAACGTTTTCGAAGATGATCACCAACTTTTTGAGCATCTCGTGCCCCAGAAGGGGTGAGTTCTTCAAGTCTATCCTCAAGTATAGGCGAAACCCATTGCGACATGAACTCTAGGGGTCCTGACCATCCATCACGCTGTTTTTCTAGCTTCCATAAGAAAGGCTTGATGTACTTCTCATACTCGGCGTCATTGCTGTAGATGGCACCGTGTCGGATCAGGTAGGATGCAGCCGTGACCGTGCAGCCCGGTGGTGCAGTGTGCTCGAGACCGAAGCCAACAGCATCGAAGTAGGGTGAGATGCCAGGAAGATGCAACAAAGGATCGAACTCGTAGCCTTGGGAGTGTTGCTGAATGATGGGTGCTTGTGTTCGGTCTGCCGGATAGGTCTGAACACAGGCTATTAGTAAAAAGAACGAAGCCCAAGTGGTGACGGCAAAGATGGCCATCTGGTACAAGAAGACCGCGGGTTCTATTGCACGAAACCTGAGCACAATGGCAAGAAATCAGATGCTGGTAGAAAAAAGATTGACTGCGCAAGCTGCGCTGTGAACAAAAAAGTCATGGAGTAGCTTTATTGAGACCATGACGTCGCCATTGGCTTGAATCGTCTTGATGGTACCTGCAGATCGCCAAGGCCAGCCTGAAACCCACCAAATCGAGATGATGATGACGATGTCGGTGATATGACTTTAGGCGCTGCTTTAATTGAAAGATTGGATGCTTTAACGCCTAGAGTGCAAGTCCCGGTGCTCGAGTTCGCCTCCTCCCGTCTCTCCGCTATTCCTTATGACCAGATCTCACGGGACTAAAGAGCATCTCAGCCGGCTTCGGCAGCGATATACGCTTGCTCACACTCTCCGCAGATGCCCCAGCCTGTCCTTCTCCAGAGTAACCTTCTCGGGGTAACGTGGGTGGAGTAAAAGATGTTCGCAGGTGCCATAGGTGTTCGTAAGTAAATGTTGACTAAGTGATATGGTCGACCACACCCAATGGCCGCCTCCAGGGTGTTCTTGTAAGAGGATGGCTAGGCCCATGGAAACTGAGAAACATATCATCTGAAGATCTCAGCCGCATTCCTCCTCCAGACACGCCTTCGGATCCGATTGTTTTTCGAGAGTACGTCTTCTGAAGGTAACAATCGCTTCTTGGTCCCTCTTAATCAATTAGTCTTTTCAAAGATTACAATGAGTCGTCAACGATTCGAGAATCAAGTGGTCTTCGTGACTGGTGGCAGCTCCGGACTAGGAGCGGACACGTGCGAACTCTTCCTCCAGGAGGGAGCGACACTGTTTGTGACGGACATCGCTGAGCGAGACATACTCAAACGACTAGGGTCAGGAAAGACCTTCTTCCACCAGTGCGATGTTTCCAATCCTGAAGACTGCGAAAAGGCGATTACTGCGTGTATAGAGCACTTTGGTCGACTTGATGTTTTATTCCACAACGGAGCACGACTGGGTGGAGTCTCGACTGTCGTCGACCACGATGTGACCCTTTTCCAACAAGTCATCAACACCAATTTATGCGGATTGTTCTACCTGGCGCGCGTTGCACTTCCTCAGATGAGGAAACAAGGCAAGGGTGCTATTGTGAGCACGGCTAGCACCGCTGGGCTTGCGGGTGACTTTGGACTGTGTTCTTACAGCGCGGCCAAGGCTGGATTGGTCAACTTGACCAGAACCATGGCACTAGATCATGCACAAGAAGGCATACGGGTCAATTGTGTCTGTCCGGGATACATGGTCACGCCAATGACCGTTTCCTTCCGGGAAGATAAAAAGGTCTACGAAGATCTTCTTGAAAGCATCCCTATGCACCGAGGCGCAGATCCGAAAGAGGTGGGACGGGCAGTACTATTCCTGGCATCTGACGATGCATCTTACATCACTGGGCAGGGTAAGTGTTGGCTACGAACAGCTTCATGTGGCCGATCGTTATTTCCGTCTTCCATTGGCCATGCGCTGACCCTCCTCTCATAACAGCCCTGGTTGCAGACGGTGGATGGCTCGCTCACAGTGGTAGTCCCAATTTCCTCAAGCATATGGGACCTCAGGTGAGTAGGACCTCGTCGAGATGCCTGTGAAGAATAGCTGCTGATTAGCTTGGTGTAAATCAGGTCAACGGAACTTCGTAGAGTCATCAGGCAGTGCGATCTCGAAGAATGGTTGAGACTCCGCGGTGTTAGCCTACTATGACCTAGGGTGACTTAAATTGAAAGCTTTTCAGTACACATAACTCCTGGGTTTACTCTGCCGTACATCACGAGTCACGATCATGATTAACTTTGACCTACGACCACTCAAATCCCAGCGTGATTAGGATGCGAAGGTCTCTTTAATCGGAAATGCCTTGCCAGCAACTCACTTGTTGATGGGTGTGGTGAAACCCCTGCTCAAATCTAATGCTTCTATCCAGGCTAAGACTGCTGATACGAACTCGATCCCCTGGAACACAGCTCGTGCTCGACCAATCCCCGACGAGGTGAGACCGGCAGCAACCTCTAAGCAAAGGTTTTGTCATGGGTTGCTGACAATTCAGGTTCACGAACCTTGAAGCCTTTCCCCGACAAATGGCCCACTTCCAAGATCGCGGGGCCCCGGGCCAATCCAGTATAAAGCAATACAGCATTCATATTCGGTACCCTGGTCGGGGCTCTGAGGCCTCTATTTCATTCTACATTGAACTTGTCACTGTCTTCATTTCTGGGTCTGTGCACAACTTCGAGCTATTCACAACCGTCCTTGACCATGGCATCCGAAGAAGGCCCTATAACCAACCTGCAGCGCCTTGAACTTGAGCATGCTCAACATGATCAGGGCACCATCGAGGACTACCAGGTCTCGAGGACTCTGACAACTGATCAGTCCAGGTTCGATTTCAAGTACCTTCTGAGGCTCACCTCTGCAATTAGCAGCATTACCATGGGGACCTTGGCGTCGTATTGGGGCTTTAGTCCTCCTGCGGCCATACTCACCTATATTAGCGAGGACCTTGGTCAGTCTTCCAAACCGAACTATGGCTCTTATAATGGCTCACAATTTGATAGGAGGCGCCGAGAATGCCAGCCTATTCAGCATCGTCTGGACTGCAGCTTGCGCCGTGGCCATCATCTTATTTGGCAGACTCTCTGACAAGTTCGGACGCCGGTATTTCATGATTGGAGCCTCCGTAATCGGCATCATCGGAGGAATCATAGCCTGTACGGCCAAAAGCATGAATACTCTTATCGGCGCAAACGTTCTGCTGGGTCTCGCAGGCGGCGTAATGACATGCTATGGCCTGACCGTCGGGGAAATTTGTCCTAATCGATGGAAGTTGCTCGGCATCACTATCTGTGTCATTCCCAACATCCTGCCCACCGGCTTTGGTGCTTACCTCTGTGAGTTGCTACACTCTCGCCTCTTGTGAGGAGAGACTGTGACTGACCATAGCAGCGCTGCGGCTCGTGGAAACTGGCGCTGGATGGCGATGGTGCTATTATAGTTATCTAATGATGATGGGCCTGGCACTCCTCCTGCAGATACTGTTCTACCATCCGCCAAGCTTCCAGCAGCTCCACGGTGGAAAGCGGACCGTCATGCAGGAGGTGAAACGCATCGATTTCGTCGGAATTTTCCTGATGGTTGCCGGTCTTTCTATGTTCTTATTGGGCATTTCGTGGGGTTCGTATGCCTCTAGTGTCTTCCCAACTTTTTGCTAACCCTGGTCTTCATAGGTGGCTCTCCTCTTCCTTGGACTTCGGCTAGGATTCTCTGTCTTGTTATTCTTGGTGGGGTCACTTTGATTGCGTTTGTTCTCTATGGTAAGGAACTTCTTCGTTTGGGCCACAACTTTCGCTAACTGCTATAGAAATCTTCTCTGGGGTCCCAAATCCGCTCGTTCCAATGTATTTCTTTAAAGACGTTCGCGGTTTTGACTGTCTGGTGGTCATCTGCGGTGTCTCCGGCATCTCATACGTCGCACCAAGCATCATCTGGCCCTCTCAAGTTGCCTCGATCTACGGCCTGAATGCAACATCCTGGCAAGAGAATGCATGGCTCTCGACCACCATAGCCTTCGGCATCATCGGAGGAATTTACATTTGGGGGCCGTTGTTCGCCATCATCAAACACGTCAAGTGGCAGGTGGTCGTACTTGCCATCATGGTCTTGACCTTTTCAGGAGCACTGGCATCGAGCAACCAACACAACCGAGGACAAAGTGCAGCCTTCTCATTCCTCACAACATTTCCTGGTGGTATCCTTGAACTTATTCCAGTCTCCCTGGTTCAGATGGAAGCGAACGACGCTGATCTTGGCACCGTCTTTGCCATTCTCTTCTTAGTCAGGACGACCTTGGGATCCATCTTCGCGACGATATACATCGCCATTCTTGATAATAAGCTGCCTACCGAGATCCTTGCCAAGGTTCCAGCGGCTGCACTTGCGGCTGGTCTTCCGAAATCATCACTCACAGCTTTGCTGACGGCCACCGCGACTGGTACTGCGGCTGCGCTGAAGGCTGTCCCAGGAATGACCACCGAGATTCAGGCAGTGGTAACGAACGCTCTTCTCGACGCTCGTGCGTCCGCCTACTCATACATTTACTATGCATCGATCGCAGTCAACCTCTGTGCTGTCATTGCCGCTTTGTGCCTACGCGGCTATGACCATCTACTGACCAGCCACGTTCCTCGCCAAATCTACAATCACGGGAAAGGTGCTGACACAGCTCAAGCACAAGCAGCTGACATTGAACAAGCAACGGAAAAGGGCGCAAGAGAGGAGGACACCGACAAGAAATTGTGGAGGGAAGTTGAGACCACGCCTTCGGAGTGATGGGCACAATGGTTCTTTACAGTACAGACAATGAGAAGGATGAAACCACAAGTGGCACTTTGACATTTGAACCGCAAATCACCGAGTCTGAGTGAAGTTAAAATTTGATCATTTACCTGCGCCAGCAAAGTCTTAGCTAGATGTCCGTTCCTCTGGAATCCAAGGCAGCACGTAATCCCACAGGTTTTGATGAGCTGCAAACTGCGCACCATCAAACTGCAGATCCGGCTTCGCTCAGTCTGGGCCGTGACAGACTTGAACATCAGTAAAGGGGACACCGATGATATTAGAGCTGTGGTGAGGCTATCTAGACACCGTTGGGAAACTGATCATCTAGATATTTCAGATCCAGCGCTCGTCCTAGGTTCCCATTCACACCCAAGCCCAACCAGTTCTTCATCTCGTCACTCAGACTCTCCCTCGTAGCCTCATCCAGTTTCGCAGTCCAATTGACTTGTTGACGCAGAAAGGGCGCAGTATAGTATCCGAACAACAAGGCACGATCTTGTTTCGAGATATTTTCTCCACTGGTATGCCATACCCTCCCATCCATGATCACAATTGATCCAGCCTTGGCCGTGAATGGCTTCAGCAGTGTCCTCGCATCTTTAGGAATCTGGCTTTGGTATTCCCACTTGTTGCTCCCTGGAATGTACAATGTTGCTCCATTCTCGAAATACATGTCTGTCAAGCACCAGATCACATTTAAAGCCCAAATTTCCTTCCAGGGGTCCGGAACAACCAGAGCCATGTCGGAGTGAAGACCCATGGACTTCGAGCCAGGTCGGGCAATGTTGGCCGTGAAATTTGAGATGAGAAAGTCGTCACCCAGCACAGATTTGACCATCTCGATGGCCATTGGGTGCTGAATCAGGTCGAGGAATATCTCGTCCAACTGCATCAGATAGAAGACTCGAACGTTACTGGCATTGGGATCCAGGAAGTCCAGTCGAGTTGGATCTCCCTGCTTCTCGCTTGCTTCTTTGGCCTTCCATAGTCGTTCCAAAACTTGCGCAGTCTCTTCTGAAGTCAGTATGTCGGGTACGACACACCATCCTTCTTCTCGTAGATGTGTTCTAGCTGCTGTCGTATCCAGAGAGGACTGATTCGATTTGAGATTTGCAACGAAGGAAGGCATCTTGGTATTGTCCAGGATCAAAACTCAGCAGCAAGTTCCAAGAGCACAAGCACGAGTGTCTTCCATCTATGTACATTTTAGTAGAGTTCTGCTGGAGACTCTTTCCCCGCACGAAGTGAGATGTTACGATTTGCACCTCTAACAACGAAAGCAAGCACAGTCCTCTCAGCCGAGGCTTCAGAGCATACCCAGCACTACTGCAGTGGTGGGGAGGAAAGTAAGCAAGCCAGAGAAGGAAGCCAGAGAAGGAAGATCTCACGGTGGCTCAAAAGTTTCTTCGTTCCCGATCATCGTCTCCTGCGTGATGACTATGAAAAAGCTGACTGAGCGGAAATTCTTCGGTCGTGTCATTCCTGACTCCACAACCCCTGACTAAGCTCAGCCTTATGCTTCAGGGGCGAACAGAGGTCTGCCACGTCCTGTGTACCAACCCTGGTAATTGGAAAGTGCCTATACGGGAAATTGTTCAACATCAACACATGTCTCATCGGGTCGTTTACAAACTTCATTTGCTGTTCGATTACGCGTGTTTCATACCAGATCACGTGAAATTTATTTCTTTGACTCTTGATGAGGTAGAGCATGCCACCCACAAATACCACACTGTCAATTGGCAGTCTGAGCTTTTGTGCAGCTTTTCTTCCAAGCCTATTTCGTCGCTCTCTTGGTGTAAGACCTTGAAAGAGTATTGCGACTTCGTAGGATGCACAACACCCTAACATACTCTTCACCACAAGTCTGAAGCTCGACCCTATTTCTCTGACTTCGTTCCCACTAGTCGATTGATTGAAGCATGGAGCTGGGAAAGGACCCGAAGCTTTTGTCGACTGGCCTGTCTCGTACCACCATCAGGATTAAACGAAGAGCCAAAAACGCCTGTCGTCACTGTCGGGTAAGGAAGGTGCGGTGCGATGTTATCGGAAGCGGTGTTCCCTGCAACAACTGCAGACTCGACGAAGTGCATTGCATGGTTCCGGAAAGGAAAAGCCGGGGCAAGGACCAACAAAAGGATGAGAGTCTTCTGCGACAAGCAATTGATCTAGTGGAGAAAGACGACGAATCATCAAACCTCGAATCTATTCTCCCGTCTTTCGAGATGTTCACGACTCCTTTGAACCTTCCCGGGGTCGTTACACCGTTCGGGAGCACTCTCCCAGCTTACATTCAGCCAATACCCTCAAGCATTGCCGTTGAGGACCTCGAATACCTCCACAAAATGGAAGCTTTCACTGTCCCAGACACAAATTTGCGCAACCAATTACTGCATTCTTACGTACAACACGTACATCCTTATCATCCCGTCATCGACCTAGAGGATTTTCTCCTCGCGGTTGAGAGAAATAACCTAAACAACACCGTCAGCCTTTTCCTTTTCCAAGCCGTAATGTTCGCTGGAGCTGTCCACGTCGATATTGAAGACTCAGCATCGTACGGCTACGCGACAAAAAAGGGTTTAAAAAGGACTTTATTCAAAAGACTTAGGCTACTGTATGACTTCGACTATGAGACCGACCAGATCACGATTCTTCAAGGGGTGCTGCTGATGACTTATTGGTACGAAAACATGAACGAGCCCAAAGACGTTACGTATTGGTTGGATATTGCCATCTCCATGACGCGAATGATCGATTTGACGCCTCAGAGGTCCGGATTCCATTCTGACTCTAAGAGCTTGCGGAGCCGCCGCCTATGCAAACGCATTTGGTGGTCATGCTTCATCCGAGATCGACTGATTGCCCTTGATCTTTCTCGCTCCGCGCGAATGTCTCTCGCAGCCGGTGACGTCCCAATGCTTGAAGTCTCAGACTTTGAGACGAGAAAATTACCTGCCGAACTTACTCAACTATTGGGGGGCTGCTCTACGGTGGAAAGCTGCGAAAAGCGCATGGCCTTGGCCCAAATGTGCATTGCCTTGGCTCAACTGTGTGTTGATATTGAACCGATACTCAACAAGCAACTTGACCACCAGCAAGAGCTGGGAGTGCTGCAAACCAATGTCATACACCGGCTGTCGAAAACAATATCCATCAGTGTCCATGAAGCCTTTCGGTACGATCAACAGCTCAGCAAGTGGTGCCAGAATTTGGATCTGCAGAATCTGCATGACTTCAGCCCCAGCACCTACGGCCGGAAGTCCGCCATCGATTGTAAAGCTATACATCTGCATCGCGCTCTCCTGGCTAGCACCTACCACGCGGTGATGATTGTGCTTTATCGTCCATTGTGCTGGGACTCGGAGGTTGCAGCCGCGCCCGAGATACGGGCCCTGGCCGAGAGGAAAGTTCGCGAAGCTGCGAATCGAATCACAACGATCTATCGGGATCTACTTGCTCACGAGTTGCTGAGCCACCTGCCCTACACCGGAGTCACCTGCCTTCTATATGCCGTAGACGTCCATTTGCACGACATGGACTCCGCAGATTCCGCCATTAACGTAGCTGGCATTTACAAGTTGCGGACCTGCATACGAACGCTGGAGCGACTGCGGCAGAGGTATTCTTTGACCGGCCTGAATTCCTGGCTTATCAATACGCCGACCCGACACAGTCGATTGAAATGCGACACTTCTAACACTGCCGAAATAGACAGGATGAGTACGGTATCGTCCAGAGATTATTCAATAGAGCCAGACAAAACCCCGGCAAAGCGCGCGCGCACGGCTTCCCCAGAGGAAATGAAGACGGACCAGTATCGCACGCACGGCCCAATGTGGTCATCAGAAACACCTGATAATCTCTCGGCCGTCACGACTCCCAGTCTGGAAGGTTCGGACGGGACTTCGTGCTCAACCGGCACGGAGAGGGGGACAATCAACTGGGTCAACGTTGGTTCCCAGGATGCACATGAGGATCAAAGAGCAATTGACCCACGGAAGCTGACGCCGATTGACGAATTCTGTGCAGATCTGCCAGATGGCTCCATTTTTTGCGCTGCGGGCGAGGACAGTCTCCACGCCGGTCTGCAGTGGCTGCAAGAATTCGATTTCAACATGTCAGACGAGGCAAACGCAGATTTCGAATTGAGCACTCAGCAGAGTCCGGGTTGATATGTGGTTGCATTTTCAACTCCATAACGGTTCTGAGCCAAGTCTAGTCGCATACTCTTGATCATTCGATTCCACGAGCAAACTTGAACCCTTTGCGGCTTGCAATTTGTGTCTTGAGTCTCCGGCAAGTTTCCGTCTCTGGCTCAGAGTTTCTGAACTGGAACGTAGCCGCCGTCAGCGGGAATATTGTCCTGCTGGTTTCAAATTGACCCATGTTATCTTGCACAATGAGTGGGATAGACTGCAGAATACAATGGCCGACGTGGTTTCGGACTTCATCTCCAGAGGACGCTGAGATTCGTTTGTGGATTCCGGCGACGGGTGGCGGCAGATGTTGAACAATTGCCTGGGTCTTGAGCGCAAGTTGACTGCCGGCCGCCATGAGAAACAGCTTGATCGCCCACCAGGTTATCACAAGTCCTTCCAGGTGGAAAGACATGTCATTCAACAACGTCGACGCTTGGGTCCAGTCTGAAAGCGGTGGCTCTGATTTGGAGAGGTGCAATAGCCTGGAGTCGCGCAGATTAATCTGTTTGTACTGTTCTAGTTCGTTGTCCAATTGCAAGATCGACTTCATGGCGTCGATGAACAGTGCAGGGTCTCGATCTTTGCCCGGGACTTGGGCTGCCTCAGCCAATGTATCAAGCTTGTGGAGGACAGCTGCTAAAGAGAAGCCATAATCGTAAAGGAGTTGCTCAGGACCCTTTATACTGCTGGTCCAGGGCCCGTCCCGCCATTGGGCCTCTGAAAAGGGATAGCCTTGATGTAGCATAATGCATCTTATCATCTGGCTTAATGTCAGCATCACTATGTCCGATCAATGCATCGGCTGTCTCACGAGTGGATATCGCACTTCCTCAAAGACGGCCCGAGCTAAAGGCGTATCGTACATCTGCGGGCCTCGAGCCACTAGCATATGGGAAAGTCCAGTGATATGGCCGAACCAAGAATCGGCTGTGCTGGAAGTTGCCTCGTATAGCTGACTCACGATTAGCCTCTGAACAAATCCCGGTCCGCATCAGCTATACCTCATATAGTACCATGGCACGGACCGCAGCCAGATTTCCTTCGTGCAAGATCTGTTCCCTGTCCTCAAGTATTCTCTGTAGCATCTTCACAGCCTGACCGTAAAGCCGCTGGCCTTCGACGACGAGCGAATTATCATTGCTTGCCCTGCCACTGCGGACGACAGCTAAAGCCAATAACGAGTGGTGTAGAATTGCAGTAGGTTATGGAATTCGCAGTGCTAGGTAGAGCCAAAGAGGGCCCTTAGTCGGCACATTTGTGGATGCACCGCGTGGTGAATAGTTCGTCCAGAACCACGACAAGAAGCCCTTTGTCCAGATTGCTTGCGCGGAGGGGCTTGCTATCAAGACATTTTCGGCAGGCATTGGATCAGTCGCGGACGACTGATTGGCCGTTGGACCGATAGACAGCGGTGGAGTTGACATCGACCTGGGACTTTCCGACTTGGCTTCTTCCAGCGGTTTACGCCTCTCGAGCCCGCTGGCAGTGTAATTGAGGAAGACAGGGTAGCGCTGGTAACCTTCACAAGCTCTTCCCGTTCTTATGCATGTTGAGCAATGTGGCTTTCCCTCGTCGCAGCGGATCTTGCGCCTCCTGCAAGTCGTGCAGCCTTTGGACTTCCCTGCTACTCCAACCATGGCGACCTTGACGACGATGATGTCCTCCCTGGCAGTCGAAACAGGATAACAGGTTGCGAGACGCAGTATAGATGCGCCAATTGAAGCAGATCTGACTCAGATGGAGATCGAGATGTGTCCGTCCGGAGCAATGTCCAACTTTTTAAGTCCCGCTGAGCATCAGGCATCGCTGATCAAAGGCTGTGTAAGGAAGTGTTCTCGAAGCATTAAGGTGGAGGCATCTGCTGTTTGCGGGTGTGTGGCGTCATGAGACCCTGAAGAAAGCTCGCAAGTTGGAAGCCTGAAGCAGTCAAGCGTGTGGGAACCCGTTAGGCATATACAGTAACCAGTCAGGGACTTTAAGCAGCATATATTCAAATGTCGCTAATGTCCAGCCGAGGCTGTGCCCATGCTCGCCTATATCACTGCACTTCAGTATACCACATAATCAAGGATCTGCACCTCGCACGTTTTTAGGTTGTTGCTGATCCAAATGCACGCAGACACCCCCAGTTGGTTACAAAAATACAAAGCTGGTCCGTTCCAAAAGAGGGTGAATTCATGGGAACATCCATCATATTCCATATCACTGCGACAAAAGCAGAACTGGAAAGAAGTGAAGCAAGAACACGGTCCCCCAGGGAACCAAGACTTTTACCGAGAGCGGACGACACTGACTATGAAGATGTGTGGTCAGAGCAGAGTGATGAAGCTAAGGCTATCTCATGCCCGTCTTGTCTTGACAGAGCGCCATTCGGTAAGTGCGGAACCAATGACTGTTGCGGCAGCCAATGCCACAGGGAGATACAAAGTCTGGATGACCGCTTCGTCGTAGCCGAGGAGGAGATCCTTTAGCCGATTGGGGCCAACAAGGGTTTGGATCTCTGACAGGCCAATGTTATTCACGTTCAACTGCGTCGTGCTGTTGCCGCTGAACGTGGTATTGGGTAAGTACTTGTGAAGCTCGTCAACGAGTCGATTTCGGAACAGGGCTGAAGAGGCCGACACGAATAACGACGAGCCAAGGCCTGCGCCGAAGAGGACGATGGAGATTCCAATTGAGATATCTTTGGCTGGTAGGCTGGTCTGCACCACGCTGGAGGGTCCAGGAGCGCCAATACCAATCGCTGCACCAAGGAACCCAAGTAGGGCAATTATCTTGCCCAGGCTATCGTCGATCTTCAATGTCGTGAGCAAGCCCGCAGCGACCGGTGCTAGAACAGTTGTTGCAATCATGAAGGCTGGGGCAGACGAGCCGAAAATTTAGCTCAATCGCACAATTCAAATATGTGGAAGTAGGATCAGATGGAATGAAATGCTCACGAGTATAATATCCCACCAGTGTGGTACCTGCGCCGGCAACAACGCAAGCCGTACACAGACCAACCATCATTGGGACAGCCAAAAGGCCGGCTTTGGCAGGGCTGTAACCTCTTACACCTTGAAGATAGATTGAGATGCAGTACTCGGTCACTGCCAGGGTTCCATTGGTGCAAGCACAGAACCACGAACTTGCCATAATGCTCCTGTTCTTCAAGAGTCTCGGTGGTATCGTGGCTTCTTCTTTGAGCCGGTATTGTAGAAAGGCGAAGATCGAAAACAAGACGATAGCTAGGATGATGAGAAGAATGATGCGGAAGTTTCCCCAGCCATAAGTGATGCCTCCCCACTGCGTTGCGATCATCAGACATGTCACGGCTGGCACCAACATGAGTGTGCCGAGTGGATCGATTCTTCTCCACTTCTCCCTGAAGGGAAGTTTCGTGTCTGGATTCTCCACGTTATCATTGAAGCCATATGCGAATAGAGCCAAAGATATGACACCGAGGGGTAGATTGATCCCAAAGCAAGCCCTCCAGCTCCAGGCGTCGATCAAGGCTCCACCAATCATTGGGGCGCTGACCAAGGCCAGAGTTTCTCCAGCATTGGCGATACTGGTATACATCGGTCTCTTGGGCACCGGAAAGCAGTGGGTGATGATGATAAAACCACCAGATGTCAAGCCGCTGGCTCCCAGGCCGGCCAGCGCACGGCCGAGAATAAATTGCTTTGAGCTATATGCTAGCGTGCATAGAAGCGAGCCACCTTCGAATATCACAAGGGAGATCATGAAAAGAGATTTCAGGTCATAGACTGTATAGGCTTTGCCAAAGCTGATCGGAGTTCAGTGATTGTGGAGTTGGAAAATGCATCGGAAGAGGCTTCAACTCACAAGAAAGTGGACGCTGATAGGATAATTCCACTATCACGGGTTAGCAAACAGATCAACGTTCGACAACTGTAGGTACCCACTAGATAGAGGAATACCACCCTATATCTTCGAGGGTTTTGAATTGATTCGTGAGACTCGGGATTGTGACGGCCACAATCAATAAGTCCTGAAAGCCTGAGTAAGTTCTCCCCACGGCCATTCCAGAAAGGAGCCCTACCAGTCCTTTCAAAAGAAAGCAAACTCCAACAGATACGACCGTTAACCATAATTTGTAGCCCGTGGGATATTCGATGTCGTCTTCAGGCTGCGCATTTTCTTCGACTGCAAGTTGCTCTCGTGGCTGTCCTAGAACAACAGAAGGTTCCCCCTCCACAGGGTGTGTAGGACGTCGATTTGAGAGCTCTGCCATTCTTTCAGATGCTAAATGCAACTCGGTGTGTCCTTCAACATGCGCGCAGTGTCGGCAGCTTTATGTATGCAGTCTGATATTGTGTGCCGTCATTGCTCGCGGGGTAGAATTCTGGTTGCCTAAATGTTGAACCTGTGATAATATGCGACTGGCCGAGAGCTTGCCCCAAACGCCTCAATAGAATGTCATTGGATACGATGCAACATGCCTTGCTGGGCCATGGTATCTCGATGTTTAATTTCAGTTCTCCGCAACGACGGGTGGTGGAATCTCTTGAGTCTTTATCGTGGTTATCTCCGCTTGATCGAACTGGGGAATTAAAACGGGGGTTTGAAAGGGGACTTGGTTTCCTTTTTCGTCAGTGTCTGGGGAATACACGCTTCAGCGAAAGTAATTCCGCCGTTTCCCATTGATAGCCGCAATTTTATGCCAGAAGTGGAAAGCTGCTGAAGGTGTTAATATGTTTATCGTGTTCGCCGATGCACCATTACCTTACCAACACTCTTCTTGGTAGGTGCTGTTGCCTATAGTTGACGACCTACACCTGGCGCCGAAATCCGTGCGGGGAGAAGAGCCAAACACCACATTTGCAAATCGTCATAAAGTCCTACCAGAATATCCATCTTTTGAAGGCCTGTCAGACCAACACCGACATCATGGTGGTGGTCAAGAAGTATCAGTTGCCGCCGACGGAACTCATCCCCAATTCTCCACAACCGTTGCTGCACTATCCGGGACTCCTGAAAGTGGGAGGATCGCAGAACCTTGCTGCCGAGGTCTACGACCTGTTTTCGAGCAACGGGTGGCAAACACAATGGATATTTCGGTATGGTCCGACGCAGACATCGCACTACCACTCAGAAGCCCACGAATGCATGGCCGTGCTCACGGGCTCTGCAAAAATCCGTTTTGGAGTTGCTGATACCTCTTCCGATCTGGACGAGAGCACATATGGCTCCGGCAAAGAGGATGGCGGAGTCGTGGTGGACGCAAACGCTGGTGATGTCTTCATACTTCCGGCAGGAACAGCGCATAAAACGTTCAACACGAGTCCGTCCGCAGAGTTCAAGCTGCTGACGCCGGGAGATGGGCACAATGTCGCCGCAGACGACGTGAGAGATGCTCTGGCCAACGTAGAGCTAACGGGATTTACCATGATAGGTGCGTATCCCAGGGACGGCGGCTCTTGGGATTTTGCCAAGGGTGGTGAGAATGCTGGTGATTATGAGAAAGTGTGGTCCGTTGCAAAACCGGATCACGATCCTGTACTGGGCATAGCAGAAGAGGGTCTTTGTGGACAGTGGCATTGAGGCGCGTTGCAATGGATTTGTTTCTGCAGGTATACAAAGATCGTCCAGTACTGTACCAATTCTTTGATGTCAGCCGCCATGATATGGCAGCTCATACTGCGATGTCAGTTTCACCAGTAGTCTGCTCCAGTCAGCAAATCTTCAGAGCGTTCAGATTTCGGCGCGCGGATACACACAATGTTCTATCAGACTTGCACATTCACAGCTCTTGTCACGGGCGCCCTTCTCTTCACCACCCACCACCGACACCGCCGTGTGATTCACTCACCAATGCGGCAGAAATAATTCAGGCTTCATATCTTTAATGCCCTCATTTTTCCTCAACAATTGCTTGTATCTATCCCGTGTTTCAGTCACTTCCACACTTGGTGGCTGAGGCGTGAGGGTGTTTCACCAGATATGAGCCAGCTGTATCTAAGATCACACGGACTAAGACTGGTGTGGATCTTGACTGCTAGGCATTTAATTGCCAAAGCTCTAATCGGCCGGCTGCCCTCTATCTAAGGGGTATGCTGGGGTGCTCAGACACCCCCATAGGCGGTTATCTTGCAGTTCCTTCGCATTCATGGTTACTCAGTTAGCAGAGTATTCCTAGGCGGGAGAGCACCTGACCTGAACAAACAAAAAAACCTCTTATACGACTGGGGGTTTCCCTCGACCTGAACCTACCATGGTTCGGGTTAGAGTTTTTGTCTCTTGACCAAGGTTCGAAATCGTGCTCTGTCTTTCTTTTTTGACTGTTTCCTCCGACATTTCTGCGCGGGCTTCGTGGGCGGACAGAGAAGTGTGTGCGTATTCACCACACTAATACCGCACCCGTACCTACAGATTCAGTGTTGGCTCGCCAAGAATGCACGGCGGCCTGTATCACCACTGTGGTCTGCATTAACTCGATGAATCGGATTTGACCCACCGACGCACTTGGTCGTTGCAGGAGCATACATGTATGCTTTTGCTGATCTCTAAGGGGTGAGGGCTGCCGTCCACCTGGAAAGACATAGGCATTTTGTGACGAACAATCCTCGGGCCACCTCGACGTTCAGATACGTCTTTGATCTTCGATACTGGACACCCGCAGATGATACAACTGCCGATAAATCCATGGTGGCGTCTACTGCAGCAATAAAGGGGACGAGTCAATAGACGTCGCAAATCGTCTCGGCAGACCTTCCCTTGCCTGACCCGTCATGGATTCTTCTCCGCATTACGGAGTTATGCAGACTTGCATCTCCAAAGCTGCCCTGCTGTGCCTTCTGCAGGTACCTTTGCGAAACTCATGCTCCGCGCTCACCAACGTTCAAAAATGGCAGTATAGCATTTTCTGTGGTCACATTGATCTTAATCAGATCCCAGAGATTCTCTCCACAAGCCCAAGTCGGCGGTTATATTCACAGTCATGCCTCCAGCATCCAGAGGCCTACAAATCGCATTCCGCTTTGTCCGATATGCCTCCAAGACCTCGAATCCAAAAATACCCAAACCTCTCGCGAGACTGAAGGAGAAGGTCGCGCCCCAACTCACGCCACGAAGAGCAGATACATCGTATCAAGAAGGACACAATTCCAGTGGGAATCAACGTTCGGGACAGCAGAATAGCAAGACCCGCTGGTCGTTCTTCAGCTGGATAAACCCCACACATCGACTCTGGATATGGAGACTCTTCTTCATCGGTCCACCCGTGGGCTTCGTGATCCTCCACTTCCCTCTCGAAGTGATGAGAGTCACCGGCCCGTCCATGTCACCTCTGCTTAATGCAGACTACGAATCGGGGTTGTTCTCCGCATACGATCGAATCCTGGTCCAGAAAGTGATGTTTCCTCACCGTCCGGGCGCAAGACCAACACTGCCGAGATGGCAGGTCAAAAGAGGACAACTCGTTGTATTCCATGCACCTCACGATCCAGAAAAGGTGGCTGTGAAAAGGGTGGTTGGTGTTCCTGGAGACCGCATCAAACCTCGGGAAGGATACCCAGGTGGAGATGAGCCAGTCGTGGTGCCGTATAACCATATCTGGGTGGAGGGCGACGGCAACACGACCCTGGACTCGAACGCGTACGGGCCTATCAGTCAGAACCTGGTGATTGGGTTCGTGAGACTGATGTGGAAACCCTGGCTCAATTGGCCTGTTTCGATCGATTGGGAACATCATGACTACCCGGCAAAGAAGAACCGGCGAGTTGAAGAGGATGTCGTGCACCAAGCTAAACTGGATCCGAACCAGATCAGTAACACCGAGGCGTTCACTAATGGCGTTGCGGCACGGGAGCTGGAGGCGATGAGGAAGTTCAGAGATCAATTGCCTATCAGGATGATGAATGAGCAGAATTTCCACAAACTGCGGTATATGTATGCTCAGGCGAAAGAGGAATTCGAGTTGCAGAACCACAAGTCTACGGAAGTGGCGCAGGGCATTATGGAGGAGCTGGGCGACGCCTTTGAAAGTGTTGGTCTGGCAAGAGATGGGAACAGGCTGCCTCTGGCCATAATGCCCGCGGAGACCGAGCAAGAGGTCAAGCAGAGAAAGCTGAAAGAGTACCTTGAGAGGAATGCACCCAAGGAGGTGAAGAATGACTGTGTCCCAACAATGGGATATTTGACTCCGTGAAAATGAGGCATTGCCCAATGTACAGATTTTTGGTCTATGTGTAGTCCTGCATAGCGAACGGCGCATGGGAATCAACTTTTTGGCCATTGGCCAACAGGGCATCGTGACTGTCCTCTCCTCATGGTTTCGTTGTTCTGTGCCCTGTCTGGTGCTTCACAGCCCATCAGAGGGTGGTTGAATGCATGTCCTGCCGAAACGACCCTCGAGCTCGCAACATGTCAATCATGCATACAGCTCGTCGTACCAATATCTGAGCATAGCAGTGTCGTCTCTTTCACTTTTACCATTTACCCTCGGGGCTAGCGAGGAATGTTTTCAAAATGCCAACTCTTTGCTCCAACGCAGCCACCCACTTCTCAAGAGCCTGGCTCGCGGTCTCCGGGCTTGTCCCTTCTCCCACCAATCTCGAATACATATCCTTCCTGTAAGGCGTGGCACTCATGGCTGCACTGAAGATAGGCTTAACCAAGAACCCGTGATGAGGCGCCAGCGTGTTTTTGTATGCCGCTCTGAAACTCTCGGACAATTCTTTCGTGGGTTGCTGGGCTGTCGTCGACACACCGGCGTTGCTGGTGAGGTCTGCCCGCAGAGCTTGGGCCGTGAAGTCCAGGCCTCTGACCAGCCATAGCAGGCCTTCGGTGGCTTTGTGAGATTTCGAGGCCAGTTCGGTCTTGACCAGCGATTGCAGCGTGGATGAGCCCTCAGGGGCTGCGAGCTGCCTTTCCCGCACTTTCTTGATGTTGCCTAGCATGTCATTCTTCACGGGCGTGAATGCTACCGAGCCCAAAACGTCGAAGAGCGTGGTCGTGGCTACGGATGCGTCGAGGAATTCGCTCGTGGAGATGCCCTGGTCGGCGCCAATTGGGACGTTCTCGAAGGATACTTTGTGCGTGTCGAACCAGGTCTTGCCGGCGGGGATCTGAGAGGCAGACATGTTGATGCCTGGGCGTCGAGGAGGTCTGTAGATGGTCCTGGGGAGAGGGCGGTATTTGGACTACAGCAGATATAAGTGCAATGAAGTGTCGGTGTGTGCCGTATGCTTAATTCTTATGTGGTGGGATGGAGATGCATGTGTACAAATAACACGCGAGTATGCAATGCGGGGTGATGTCAGAATAAAGGGGCTATTGACAACAAGACATCACACGCCGCACTCTCGCTGCTCAACAGAGTCGTCTCTACGTCTCCAGTCCTTTTCCGCTCGTTTGCCTACACTTATATGACATTTAGATTGTCACAACTAAAACGAGTGAATGCAATCTTCGCGGCGAATCACTACAATGGACGATGACCAGCGAGCTTGTGTCCAGAACAAGTGACATAAAGTCTGACAGAAAGTAGATCCATGATATAAGTTCAAGGTCCTGTTAGGTTCACTACCGTGGGGACCTTGACTCCAAGGTAATAAAAATGTATCCTGGAGCTGATGGCCTTGCCCTTGTGGAAGAGTGTAGCTGCCTCATTGTGTGCGAAGGCCTCCAGGATAAAACGAAAGAAAAAGCACCTATTTTGAGAATGAAGCCCAACAGCGGTCAAATCCTGCCACTCCTGAGGGTCACCGGCTTGCCAGGTACATCGCGAGAAAGTTCTATCAGCGCCTCCAGCAAGTCCTCGCTGCTTGGACCATACGGTACGTCGCGCTTTGCCTTCACCGGCACAGTTCCGTCCAGACTGATAGAATCCAATGCATCCTCCCATGTGGCATTGGAGAACAGTGGCACATCCGGTTGGCAGACTGTCCCAGAAGCGGGAAGAGTGCCATTGACGAAATAAGCCTGGATGGCTTCCGCCGTGCATAAGGACGGTTGCGCCAAGGAGCAATGCTAGTTGCCTCGTTAATCCATTTGACCCGAAAAGAGGCAGCAAAACTTACACCATAGCCATTGTGCTGAAGCACAACACTACCCGGGAATAGCGCACTATTGGCCTGCGCCGCGACGAGTGGTGTCACGGGATCCCAAGTGTTGCCGATGAGCATCAGCGGGTTCTTCGTCTCAACGTTCCAGTCTCCCGAGTAAACCTCCTTAGCATTCATCAGCCATGAGGAACATATTATCATGTTGTTGAGACCGAAGTCGAGTCCTCCCCACGTGCTGGTTGGCACGATTTCTTCCTCAAAAGGAATGAAATCGGCCAAAGAATCTGCTCTGTAAGCGGAGTCGCCACATTTTATTGCCGCGAAGCCATCTGTGAAATTGCCGGCTGTTGCGTTTCCGGTCAGCTGAATCATGGTCTCCACATAGAGACCAGGGTTGTCGTCGACTAAATAGCTGAGCAACGTTGCTATTGTAGGCCACGATGCAGGCTCATACAAATTCCCGAACATGAAAAATTTGACGTCGTTGTAAGTGACAATGGTAGTCTCGTTGAGGATCGTCACAGCAATCGGGTTGTATTTGAGCTGCGTAAACAATGCTTCAACAGTGTTGTACACATCTTCTGCTGTCTCACCGTCGCCTGCCAAGGGGCAAATATCGGGTGACGCGACGCATCCATCGAAGAAACCCTGAACGGTGCCGTCTAGATCGACATACATTTGAGTCTCCCTATGGGGCTCCAGTCAGTATCAAATCGGAGATACTATCAGATCTTGCTCATACCACCCGGCGTAGTATTGTTGGACGTTGGCATTTCCATCCAGGAGAACCTTGTCGACCTTTTCAGGAAACATCGCTGAGAACGTCGCCCCCAAGACAGTCCCATAGGACAATCCTGTTTGCAGTCAGCGACAAGTTCCACTGGCCAGTCAAAGTAGCGAGACCACCTACCCCAATACCGAAGCATTCCATCTTCCTCTAGAGCGTCGACAATACGAGCCATATCACGAGCAACGAATGCGGTACCGACTAGCTGCACAGTGTCACCGGCCCTCTGAAGGCAGTCGTTGGACTCGGACTGTGCGCTGGCAAAATTGTGACCCAACGCAACATCTGACGAATTGCCTAAGACCATTGGAGGAGGTTGGTCTTTGACACGCTCCAAGTCTGACAGGCCTTCCAAGCAATCGAAACGCAGCGTCTTGCCCGTAGCGCTGCTTCCAGTGAGTTTGATGCAAAACAGACAGGCGAACGTGTGAGGCACTCACCGAGGGTCAAAGCCAATTAGGTTGAACTGTCCCCCAAGCATACTGTTAAGACGTATCAGTATCTCTCTTGCTACCGGACCAAGGATCGTACGTCAAAAATTCCGCGCTGTGACCAAGGATAAAGGGGGCGCCACGACCACCAGGTCCACCAGGGTTGAAAAGCACACTTCCCTTGGCTGGTTGAATAGTGGCATTGATTTTCGTGAGGGTGAGGGTCAGCGTCTCGTTTGAGGAGGGATCGGTATAGTCAAGCGGGACGCTGAAATTGGCGCAGCTGTATGATAGGTCACTGTCGATTTTGTATCCTAGGTAAGCACAGTCTGTACTCCATTGGATCTCGCTATCGCCAATGTCGGCCTTGAGCTCGCGGCGATAGGACTCTGGTCGCGGTAAGCCGACCACTCGACCCGCGGCCGTTGCAAGGAGAACAGAAAGGAACAACATTCTGCAGGGCTACAGATTTGGGGAGGAGTGTGCAACGAGGGTGGACGACCCTCGTGGAAAAGGGCATACTTATCAATATGCTGTGCATTCTGACCTCCTCAATGGCAATAAAAACAACGCTGCCCTACTTTCGGAACGGGATCGAGGGTCTGTGACTTACTCATGGTTAAGCCTCACCACGCCCCCATGATGCCTCGAGCGCCAAACTTTCGTGAGGTCTTGCAAGATCTACACTTGATAAGCGGCCGTACTTCTGCTGTTTCAAGCTCTGATGTGCTTGAAACGTGCAAGTAATTGAATGCATTGTCCCCTGCCGAGAGATCTGATATGACCACAGAGCCTGACTCGCCGGTGATTAACGAACTCTCAACGCTCGGCCCACAGCAGGTGGTGTTATTGGAAGCAAGGACCTTTCGGCGCAACCTTCTCCTGCGTATACCCTATATGCCCGTCAATGAGTTCAAGTAAGCTTCAATAATTTGAAGAATGCATCGGCACAACGGTCAAGCGTATCCTTTCGGAGATTGCTTCCTGCCCAAGAATAGGCATGCCTCGAGGGTAACGTGGTTCAGGGCCCGTTATGGCGATGCTCGAAGTCTCCCAGAGACATATCAATAGGAGAAACTGGTAACAACATGTTGCAAAGTATGTCAGCGGATCTGACCATGGCTGCCCGGCAACTCAAGCCATGAAACCTTGGGGTTGGATATAGGATTTGCCGCCGAATCTGACAGTTGGTCCCGCGGTGAATCAGTCTTCGAAGAACCTTTCCCCCATATTGTACCCCATGTATGCCCCATAACAAAATCACGCTCCCCTTCCGAGCTGATTATGTCCTTTGCGATGTTGATGTATGCTTGACAAACCGAAATTTTTGCCTTCTACTGGAACGTGTGTATAGTGATATTTGTCTCTTTGAGCTCTTCTACTAGCTGTCTTGTTCAGCAGAATGGTCCTATTGATGTCGACAGCAAACGCGTATCTGTACTGAATGCGTTCGAAGACCGTATGGGCCATGCATGGAAAAGTCCCAAACCAGGTTGCAGTCCAACCTTGGGGGAACCATGAGCTCTCGAATACTGCACGACAAGAGTAGTTACATTGCCTCCAGCATTGTCTTCCGAGCTTTGCAAGAAGCCACATCCAGACAAACTTGGTGACTGGCTGGAGATGGGTTGCTTTGCCCCAGGAACTTCCCAAATGCAGCAGCCCTGATCAAGTGCTCCGTATTCAGGTGACCAGTTCTAAGAGGTAGAAATTCCTACCTGTTCAACTCAAGAGTGAACTGCTGCTTGAGATAGGCACGATTTCACTGATCGCGCACTGGGTACTCTTGGTCAAGAGTCGAGGCAAGAGCTTTCTTGTCTGAGACTAACAACAGAGAAAATGGGATGGGAAGGCGGTTTCAATTGCGGTTGTAAAGCCAAGGCGAATTCCTGTGAACAGCATGGAAAGTCAATCACTTTCAAAGAAATCGATTTAAAGAACTCGATGGGTTTGGCCAGGCGACATTTTGGCAACGTTTAGGCGAGCCTGGGCGCATGAAGAGCCTAGGGAGCCTAGTCATAGCCTAAACTTACCTAGACGTTGCTGTTTCCGTTGACGTCATTTACTCAAAATTCCAGGCGGGCGCCTGCAGGACGCGTTGCAAGCAGCTGGACTGTAAAACTCGACGGTGCATCGGCCTCTATGATAGACGCTTGCATGTAAAATGTACAGATGTACACGGGTAATATGATACTCGCGGCCTTACTGAGATGTCGACCTCTCAAGTATTGCCTGTGGGCACCCTGACGACTACCCACGACATTGACGCATTGAATCCAGACTCGTACACTGCGCATCGCCTGAAGCATGCATCTCCCGAGCACCTGCACCTCACCTCACGGCGGTTCTTCATTGGTCCTATCCCTGAAGGATGGCTCAACAGTAACAGGAAGTCATGGTACAGGAGAAGACTAGAGTTGAGCACATATTCATCCAAGCAGGCAAGCTTTGACGCAGCTGTGGACGATGGCCCTCACCATAGGACGATGACAGGTTTGGGCGGCCCATCAACAGCTGCACGTATGGCTTTCAGCTTTCCGCAGCCGGAAGATGTCAATAATGAGACCTCGAGCGGAGCAGACGCAGACGAAGTTGAAGAGCCCCTGGACGAAGAGGACGTAATCGAGACGACAGACATTGAGCCCGTCGCCACGGCTGAAACAACTGATGTACCACGGATAGTGGGTATTGAAGAACACGACGAGACTGGACATCTGGCTCCGAAAGCTATACCGGTTCCTGCAGACAAGGGCATCAACGGGACTGGAGACACGAAAGGCGAGAGTTCAGCAGGAACAGCAAGATCGCATGAACCGGAGTCATTTTCAACGGCCAGAGAACATGCTCTTGGCCCGTCTACAACAAATTCGCCTTTGATAGAAGCTCGACGATCGGGGTTCGACACTGACCAAGAAGAAAGTGACGGCCAGGGCTTAGCAAGTTTTACCAGACATTCCAATGTGGAGACGAGCTCTAGGACAGCTCTCTTGCCACCTGGAGGTGGTACATCAGGTCCAAAGTCGCTTCGGAAGCACGATCCTGCCCCGATGGAAGACGACAGCTCTTACCAGGTGAAACGCTCCGACACAGGCGTCAGATTCAAGGTCTCGGAAGGGGTTCAACAAGGTAGGCGGCGAATGGAGAGCAAGGCAGGCCGAGCCATGGACCGTGTAGCGCATCAGAGGATGCGACGGAACACTCTGAAAGAAGGGACCATCGTGAAGATGGAGAGAATGTTGGTCCGATGCGACATCACCATGCAGCCTGTTCCCGAAGATTTCGACGAGAATGAGAGTCAGAAACTCGAATTGAGACTGCTCGAAAAGTGGCGGGAATACATGGTCGTGGTTCGAAAAAGCAAGCAGCAAGACATCGATGATTTTAGGATGCAAATCTACAAGACGAGAGTGATCCCTGAAATCGATACAGAGTCAACGAAAAAGAGACCGCAGCATGAAATCAGGCTGGACCCAAAAACGACAAAAGTCAATTTGTACTCCTCCTTGGACAAGACACTCGTCATTTGGCATCCATACAAACGAGGTACTCGTATCTTCGTCATGCGACCTACTTCCACAGCCCATTCAGTCGAGTGGTACACTTTTCTCAGAGATGCCATAGGGTGGCAGAGGCCCAGCGTACTGAATATTAACGTACCGGACTTGAGTGTGGTACTGAAACTGGAGCGGCCATTCGAGGAGCTTGAGACTGCTGGGTTGAAGGCTACGGACGAGCAGACAGCGCTCGCTCAGACTCTGGCAGCCGAGAAAGCGGTAGCTGGCAAGATTATCTCACAATGTATTGAGATGCTTGAAGGCGACCCAGAATGGTCCAGTGTACTTAAACACTGGAATGAGACGGCGAAAATGGGGCTTGCGTGGAAAAGATATGACAGATTGGAATGGGTCTATGGTGCTAACGAGCAGAAAATGTACGGATCTGTTGCTCTGCAACGATCGCATGACCTAGAACTGCGACCTAAACATCACTATCCGACATCCACCCATGGGAGAAAAGGGAAGCTGCACGACGAGCCACCACCTATTGAGGGGTTTCTGATCCGTCTGACATCTCAAAAGGGAGTTTCACAGCGCTTCGGAAAGGCCTTTTTCAAGCGACTGTATTTTTCTACCCACGACCAGTTCTTGATGTTCAATCGACCTGCCAAAGCGACTCCGCCGCATCCACCTCGATTGGCTACCATCAGTGGAAGCGATGTGCCATCTTCGCAAGAGATCATTGAGAAAACACCAGCCATGTTCGATGTCGAACCTTACAAGTTGACACACGGAGATGTAGCGTGGCTGGCTTCCGGGAACAAAGCGACCATGCAGAGTCACGATCGTGAGGCTGTTGAAGAAGCTCGACGGAATGTGGCCAATATCCTCGACTCGGATGGATTCATCAATGTGTGCAATGTGCGCAAGGTACGACCGATCCATAGAGGCTCCTCGCCAGCGGATGATACGCTTGACGCTGGTTCTGACTCGGATGTGGATTTCCATCAAGATGTCTCCGATACCAGGGCTGAAGACGGCACAACCAAGCAAATCGACGACGAGCGTATTTTCGAGATTGAGCTTGACAATGGACTGGTAATCCGCCTGCAGGCGTATTCGAAACAGACTCGAGATGAATGGATCAACAGGTTACGGCACCTGGTCAAATACTGGAAATTGCGCACCGCTGCAGAAATGGACACCTACAAAGCCATTCGACGTGCCAACCTACAAGAGCTGAACATTGACGAAGAACTCGAGGCAATTATAGGACAATTTGCCAAGAAGTGGGAAGTCAGCCATAGCCAGGCGAGTCCAGAACTGTACAACATGTGCGGCATTAGCAGTTGCCGAAGTATTACAATGGCCGGGTCTCTTTATTTGAAAACGAGACGCCGAACCACCTTTCACCGCAGCCACATCGTCTTGACTGGTGGCAAGCTTTTGATCTATCAAGCCACACTCAGAAAGCGGACTGGTGAGCAGGTTCGACACATTCATCAGGAGAAGCAGCAAGCTGTCGACCTGAAGGATTGTTATGTCTACAGCGGCTTGATCGTTGATGACGATCTGTTGTATCAGAACAAAACCTTTGATGCGAATCACCCTGGTATCGCCACTCTCCCACGTGTCTACTTGGAAGACGGCTGGACTAGTGCCGATGTTGACGTGATGACCTGCTTTGTTGTGTGGATGAACAGAAAGAAAGGGTGGTTCCGGACTGCGGCAGCGACAGTCACAGATGTTCCTTCAAGCGGTACAGCCGAAGACGGCAAGACTCATGGGAGAACGAGGGCCAGGCTGCGGAGGGTTGGTCAACTTGGTGTTCCTGGTCGAGGCATGGTGTTCAAGTGTCGCAGTCGAGCCGAACGGGACCGTTGGGTCCTGAGCGTTGCAAGTGAGATTGAGAAGGTGGTAGAACAGGAGGCTGAAGAACTTGGAGACGAGGGTGAGTTCAGGTATGATAAGTGAGCACTCGCAATTGAGTCTCACTCTATGGCTTTACTGCCGACGTATATATTTGCTATTGGCATCTTTAGCATTCTCATTCAGCATATTTCAGCGGTGCATCTAGTGGATAGGGCTGCTCGCGGCGAGCAGAAAAGTGACCAGCAGAGGATGAAGTATATTGTTAAAGGAGGGCTGCAGGAGTGCATATATGGTTTGGGACACAGTACATAATACGGATGCCTGCTTAGCAGGACCATAACAGCATTGATGCACAATACTGGAGTACAATCATGACGAAGCCTTCGACTGCGCCAACGTACTCGTACACTGCGGAGGAGATGCTGCGCCACGGTGGCTCCATCCCGTCCAGCCGTCGAACCGTTGGCCGGGTGGCTGCACTGGTTTAGCGCAATCCAACCACCTGGGTGACGGGTGTCAACAGGGTTTTGGTTACCTGGGTGCTCCGTGCCTAGGGGCGATCCGATCGGCGTCCCCTGATGCAGCCGAGCTGAACAACACGACACTCCGCGCTCTTGTTGGTTCCAGCCTCTGTGTATTCCGTCCAATGCTGCCCTTTCAAAGGCTTTCATCCACATTTGTCCCCTGGAATAGCAACTTTCCACCTAGGGTCATGTCTCAGCCTGCCTAGGACGGATTCTGCCCTGTGCTACACCCTGCAAATCTGTGCTGTCATGCGCGACTACCGTGCAGTGTCACGTCGCGGTGACGTTGGCTTGGATTGACCAACCTCTTCAGCACTATACTAGTATTCTCGAAGACTTGGATTTCTTTCGCTACTCGTACACTCTCACTGACAAACACCATTGAACTTCTGTTAGCAGCAAGTATCCGTACTCAATCCCACCGACTGATTGGAATGCAAGGGAACACGCGCTAGACTTCACGTGTCCAGCCTTTGTTTTCCTCTGTCTTTCCTGCATTGCATCGGCGTTGAACACATTTTCTCATCCTTGTACAATATGTTGAGCTCACCTGCGGAGTTCGTGCTCACTGCACTCATCCTCACCTCAATATCACTTCCAGCTGCGGCTCAAACATATACGTCATGTAACCCGTTGACGGAGAGTAAGTCCAGAAAACCCTTTTCTTTCGTGGCAGCAGCACTGACAATTACACAGGTGGATGTCCAGCCGACACAGCTCTAGGGAAGAGTCTGACTATCGACTTTACCTCCGGTGCCTCCTCCCAGTTCAACGTTTCGGGATCCCCAACCTACGGTGACAAGGGCGCAGAGTTCACCATTAAAGAGTCTGGCGACGCTCCCACAATTACCTCAAAATGGTACATTATGTTTGGTCACGTCGATTATGTTATTCAGGCGGCTCCAGGAACGGGCATAGTCAGCGCCGCGGTTTTGCAATCGGATGACTTGGACGAGATCGACTGGGAATGGATCGGAGGCGACGACACTGAAGCGCAAAGCAACTATTTTGGAAAAGGCATCACAACAGAATACAACCGTGGTGGTACCCACAGCGCTCCGGACAATCACGACGAATTTCATACCTACAGCGTCGATTGGACTGCCGATGAGATACTCTGGTCAATCGACGGCACGACCGTTCGAGCCATGACTCAAGCTGAAGCCGACTCTGGCCAATACCCTCAGACACCCATGTATGTCAAGATTGGCATATGGGCTGGAGGTGATCCATCAAATTCGGCTGGAACCATCGAGTGGGCAGGTGGTGAGACGGATTACTCGGATGGTCCTTTCACCATGTACCTCAAATCTGTCACTGTCAAGGATTATTCGACTGGATCTTCATACTCGTACTCGGGTACTAGCGGCACGTGGGAGTCTATCGTTTCGGACGGTGGCGAGGTCAACAGCTCAGGCAACAGCACGTCCGACTCAACGAGCACCGCCAGCGCTGCTGCCACGACATCTACCGCCTCGAGCAGTGCTGGACTTGCATACAGCAACAGTGGGAGTGATAGCTCTAGCTCGACAAGCCATACTGGTTGGCCGTGGGTGACAACATCAGGAACCGCAACCGCTACAGCAAGCAGTACGAGCGTCACCGTGGTAAGCTCTTCGACCTCAGGCTCAGGGATGACATGTTGGTATCCCTTGCTATGCACACTTTAGATTTCCTCACTAACATTGGTACAGTCCCCATCCAACTATACGTCCTACTCGGCAGTCTCTGCGTCGGCTTCGGTATCGTCCTCTTCCCCTGAGTATACAAACACTTCTCAAACCACAACCCTTCTCCAGAATTCCACCACCACGAGCGGATCTCAATCATCAAGCACGCTGGCTACGACAAACACCACTAGGAGCGCTGTATCAGCTTCGCCCGCGGCAGCCTCCGCGTCCTCAAATACAAATACCACCGTTACTCGAGGACCTTTGTCAGCATCGTCCACGTCTGTCGCAACATTCGGCATGATAACCACTACCAAGTCGTCGACGACTACTAGTGGTGACACATCAACCTCTGTATCAGGAATAACGACCTTTGTTCAATCGGGAAGCTCGTCGACGGCTACGGCCTCAGTGACAACGACACCGGCTGCAGTGAATACTGCGAACGGATATTTTCCCCTTAGTCTTTGGGGTATGCTTGTGTGCTTGGTGGCCACATTGTATTTTGTTTAAAGAGTTGGCCAAACGAATTACGGCACATTTGTCAGAATGCTTGGTTTATTGATGGAGGGTGGCGTTGGAAGGATTCTAGAAGGCCAAGAAAAAGCCGCATTGCAGGACCAGGAACGGGCAGCAAGGCTGCGAAAAAGCCTTGGATAAAAGCGACGACTATGATACCCATGTAAAAAAGAAGGGGCTCCAAGTGAGTCTACTATGTAGTAATATTAGATACATGAATCGAAATATCAAACCAAATTGTCTACCAGTCTGGTGTTGTTTGGACGAAATTGTCTCTCGACATGATATTCATGGACCGGCAGGTTCGCAGGATTTGCGTATACGCAGGAATCATGATCAACACTCGTGGCTATCGAGAGAGCCGGCCCCTAACCATCGGTAGTAGGTCATGGATAGGCATAAGATAGCGAATGGCTAGCAGCACAATTCCCTTTCATGAGGCCTCAAGGCCCTCAAAGCCTGCATATCTCCGTACCTACTGTAAAGGGTGGAGTCTCGGGGCTGGAAATCCTGACAAGCGGTCGCACGTCATTGGAAAGGCACGTAAGGAATCTTTTTTCGTCCGAACTGCGAGCGCCACAACCGGATCTTTAATCGCTATTCATCCCACTCTTCAAGTTCAAACTCTCCTCGGATTGATAACGTTTCTTACTCTCTCAACCCCTCTACCCTTCTCCATACTCTCTACTACCTGCATAAGTTCTTCCTGGCTCTTCAACCACTGTTGATCATGGCCCCGACCGAAGTCTCCGATGTCTCGCAAACTCACCCTTATACCTGCAATTCTTGCGCGGTCGCTTTCCGAAACAGCGATGCCCAACGGACACACATGAGAAGTGACTGGCACAGATACAATCTCAAGAGACGGTTGGCAGAACTACCGGCCGTATCATCGGAAGACTACAACGAGAAAGTCCTAGCCGCTCAGGCGAGCACTACCGCCGCGGCCGCGCAAGCATCCTTTGCGAAGGCATGCACGACCTGCCAGAAAACCTACTACAGCGAAAATGCATACCAAAATCACTTGGCCAGCAAATCACACAGAATGAAAGAATTGTCGGTTGGTGGCAAGGCATCAAGGACCGAAACAAACACGACAACCGACTCCGAACATCTAGACCCAGAGGCAGAAGCCGAGTTTGAAAAGGTGGTGGCGGGCATGAAAGATACATCCATCCAAGAAGTCCCTCCTGTAACACGACGGCCATCCGCACCACCACCAGATGCCGAGCCTCGAGAAGACCACCCCATGTCACCCGAAAAGCCTACCGCATCCTCGATACCCCTGACCAAATGCTTGTTCTGCAACTACGATTCTCCCACCTTTAAACTCGGCGTAATGCACATGATGAAGATTCACAGCCTGTTCGTTCCGGAGAAGAGCTATCTCGTCGATGCTGAGGGTCTGGTCAAATACATGCAAGCCAAGATCTACGAGAACTATGAGTGTTTATACTGCCACCACCTCGGGAGGACCGCGGAGGGCATTCAGTCTCACATGCGTGACAAAGGCCATTGCAAGATTGCATTCGAGGCCGAAGAAGAAATGATCGAGGTGGGCCAGTTCTACGACTTTTCAAGCACATACTCGGACGCTGGGGATGATTCTGATACGGAGATGAACGCTCCGAGATCAGGACGGAACGGAGGAGTCAAGATTGAAAACGGAGAAGATGACGGATGGGAGACTGATTCCTCATTTTCATCTCTCGACACCGAAGATCTTGCTTCCGTACCAAACGACGACCGTACAGGATCTTACCAGCGTCTACCTTTGCACCGACACCACTCGAACCTGGTCGACCCTAGACCGCACAGAAATGCTGATGGTTTTCACTCGCATGCTCACAATCACGCCAATGCAGTCTTCTATGATGAACACGAAATGCACCTTCCTAGTGGGCGGGTTGCTGGTCATAGGAACTTGCGAAAGTACTACAAACAGAATCTGCATTCATATCCTACGGCTGCGGAACGGATGGAACGAGCGCAGAGATTGATCGAAGAGGGTTCCGATGCGGAGATGGAAGACGCCGGAGTTACTCCGCCCACTCCTCCTCGAAACAGTCTTATGAGACGCGGCGAAGCCGGCATGATAGGTACTACGAGTCAACAGAGAAAGGACGTGCGATCACAAGAGATTCGAAGCAGACAGAAGGAGCAACGCACACAAAGTCGGTACCAGGCAAAGCTGGAGAAGCAAAACAATTCCCAGAAACACTTCAGGGTGAGTCAATTGTCAGAGATGTTTGAACAACCCATACTAACGTTGTTTTCTAGGATCCCTTGCTTCAGTGATTGTCTGGTTTGGTTATCGAGCCTTTTTGTCCTTCGGCCTACGTGGCATTTTCGGCCGGTGTTCGAGAGGATCATGTGCTTTTGTCTTCGCGGCATAGCGTGCATTATATGGACATGGACATGGTTAGAGAAAAGGGGGGCTACAGATAGATGCCTGCATCGATCCACAATGGGCCATCTATGGTGGGCGATCGACCTGGTTGATAGAAGTACTGCTGCCAGTACTCAATGTGCATGAGTCGAGTCAAGCCAGCTGGTCTATATGGTTATTCCCCGTCCTGGATGCTTTCATCGAGGACACCGCTTTCTCTTTATTTTCCAATCTTTTATAGGACCCGTGATTCTGTGATTAAGAGTGTGAAAAGCGAGAGTCTGACCTGCGAACCTCACGGCATGGGGATACGGCGAAGCAAGTGCTCTGTAGATGTAGTCTTGGCTTTTCATCTCCAATTCAACCTCCAATCGACAATTCCGAGCTTCAACGCGACGGCGACGTTTGGACAAATCCCTGCGAACAATATTCTTTGTTTGGCGAGCATTGGCAATTGTGTCGGCAGTGTCTTTTCCTTTGTGGTCCTCGAAATTGTGATAGTTGGCCTTGACCTTCGACGACTCCACCAGCACACGCGCGGATCGATCAGCTAGCTCACGCCCAGCAATTGTCTTTCTCCTCTGAACGAAAGAAAAAGAATCCCTCGAACGCGACAGCATCGAACACCCACACATCGAACGCTTGAAGATTCGGATCTCATTGAGCTGGGTTTGTTGGTTCCATCAGAATACTCAGAGGAGGTGTCTTACAGATGGCGAAGAAAGGTACGTTTCTGCCCATGTCTGTCTTGCGGCTTGAGAAGATGGGGTTTCAATCGAACGTGTAGCTGATAATGTGTTAATAGCGAAATCTCGGACCGTGGCAGTCCGCCTGATTAGTATGGCCATGACGGGCTTTTACAGGACCTTGGTCCGACCGCGTGCGAGTCGGCCTCTCAGCATGATGAAGTACGATCCTGTGGTTAAGAGGCAGGTTTTGTTCCTGGAGCAGAAGAGAGGTGGAAAATAAGATATGTCACGAAATGGACTTTTCGCTCCTATGCGGGATTGACCGAGAAGAATTGGAATAATTACAGTCATCGGCTTGTGGTTGAGAAGAGAAGGAATATCAGACTCATGAGGTGCGGATCAATATCAAACATCAAGCCGTTGATACGAGTTGCTATCTCAAGGCCGTGGGGATGGGCTCGATAAGAGATGGTATATGAGTTTCCCAGTAAAACGAACCGACAAAAAGTGGTTTGTCAGACTCTTGGAGAACGGGGTGTCCAGAGTTGCGACTATCACGCCTGTGGAGAATGGAAGAAGGACGGAGAGACTACGACTCAACGGTCGTGAATGTGCAGAGTCCAGGGTCTGCGAAATGTTCTACTAGCAGCATGTGGTGGCGACACTGCTGATGGAACGGCCTCATATGGCCATGTGTGGTGAACAGGGCAACAGCGCGACCATGCTGGTCCTGTTGCGACAAGGTTTGCTAGGGCCACATTGGTACGACTGAAACAGGGATGGAAGGGGCCCAGCATCAGATCATCGTGATGATGAAGAGCAGAAGACCATAGCTGTCACGACCCAACGATTATGGCTTTGAGCGCCAGGAAAGGGCACGATATTGGCGTCAAGAAGGTCGAAAGATGGATATCAACTTATGAAGTGGTAAAGATACGGAATGCAAGCTTGCGAAGCCGATCCAAGTGCCGTTCCCCTTCCCAATGATCGCCGGCGCAGTGAGGTGGATGGGAGTTGATATATCAGCTACCGAGGATATTCCGTCAATACCCACGCATTGCTCGGGGTCGGTCGGGAGAGTTCATGAAGCGAATCAAGACATTCATGCCATGTAGGGCACTTAACACACTTGGTCAGTCTTTGGCACTCTCACCTCAAACCTACCACCGTGCAATAGCCGGCTCAAGATATTTGAGTAGTTCACGCTTTTGGTGAACGGAGGATCTCGACATTAGCAAGACACAAGTCACATTCCTCGTAGATCTGGCAAGTCAACACTGTGACAGGATGACCGCGCGACGGTCTCCTTCCGCAAAGCCGCTGCACGGACCGGCTTCTATATTTGATCTTTGGACCGTCGATCGACGTGGTGGCTCATGTTTTCATGTCCTTCGCCCGCCTTACCATAATGTACTGCGACGGGCCTTCCGCCACCAGTGATTCGTGTGATGCTTACCTCGGGATCCAAGATATCTTTGCCAACAAACACATAGACCTCTTCAGAAGCAGACGAAGTTCAAGACAAGTGAAAGGGGGAGTCGGCAAGGCCGCGTCAATCGTCCCTTCCCAAACAGGCATAGTTTCTCGTGATCCGATATCGATACCCGATCCTCTCTCTGTATGCAAGTCAAAAGGGGTCCGTGCCAACTTGTATCCCACCTAGAACCAACGTCAAAAAAAGGAGACAGCAGCGAAAGACAGGAGACAGCGAAAACTCTTCCAAGGTTCGTCTTTGACATCTCGATGGCTGGTTTCATCTCTGCATGTTCTGAAACAGCAACCCTCTTTTTTGCAGGGTCTCCATGATTCTGGATCTGTTCCCACCCCTTCGCGGTGGCTTGCTCTGGGTGGACTGAACTCCCTCGCTGAGTGAACTCTTTCATCGAGGGAACCTGCAAGGAAGAAATGTTCGGCGACGACCTCAGAGTGAAGTGCACCCCTAGGAGAGAGACTATAGTAGACTTCCAGAGAATGTCTGTGCGGCATGAAGCTCAAACGTTCGATCTTCGACGCCTTTGTGCTACACTGTAGCCATGCACAGCATCTCCCAGGATCATCTCGCCATTGACTGCCCGCTTTCTCTTCCTGCGGCTACGGCTGTGAACATCCCATACTCGTAGTGCACGAACAACCCTCTAGCGCCATAGACAATACTATGTAGTATCAATCCGGGCTGCATCGCCGACACTGGCAAGCTTGAAATCCATCCCAGCACCGTGAGCAGTGAACACCTTACGTACATAGTATAACTGGATCTACGGCCACTACGATACTAAGTTCTCCGCTCGCCTTCGCTTCGTGAAGTCGCCATCGTACCTGGTACGTTCCGCAGTACTAAAGCAGTTTTTGTCGTCGTCTCCGCTCCCTTAGTAAGTTAGTAGGTAGACGTATGCCATTGCGTAACCCCCTTACGGAGTACTCCATTGCTCCAGCGACTACCACAGTAAACGTTAACGTCAGTAAGTAATTCTGTCCTACGCGAGTGAGACATACATTCAACCCTCGCGTGCGTCGTTCACGTGGACATTTCCAGATCCTTGTACTGTGCAATTGTTCGTATGCTAGGGTTAGAGTTGTGATCAGTCGTTTTGTCAAGCCCTAACAACCCCTCCGTGTCGCGAGTGATGCTGTAGATCAACAAGAGTCGATCGGACCGATTTCGCGATCGGCCTGTTCATTTGTCTTCTCGAGAAATTGTCAGTGCAGACAATGTTTCTAACGTCGTGGATATGGCCAAAGAGATGAGGACATGAGATAATTTTGAATGTTTTTGGTTCATTTGAAAGCATTCTCTGAGAATGCCTATGCTACTAGAACTATCTTATGCTTCACACTTTGGAGCCTGTCTGTGGCTGATGATGCTGATATCTATAATTTCCATACAATACAATATATCCAAATCCATTTTTTCCCGTTCCATATTTCATCCTCGTTGGATGCCCAGTTCGCTCTCACGCTAAATGAGTGATTATGAGAGTTGTCGTAAAAGATTGTATCGTGTCGTAGTCATTAGTTTATCGAAAAGTCGTTGTCGAAAAAGTACAAAGAACCCGAATGTGCGCCCAAAGACATGCATTTGCACAGTTTTGTGTGGACTTTGCGTTATGATTTCCCCAAAGATGGGCAAACAGCCGAATTGGAAGATGATGCGCTTAGAGCATGGCAGCTACCACAATGGCAGCTGCAGCACCAGCAACCTTGTATGCTCCTGTAGGCAAGCTTGCAGCGGCACCAGTGAAAGTGCTAACGGCAGCAGCGGATGTCGACGATGAGCTAGTGGTTGTCGAGCTAGCGGTGGTGGCTGCGACTGACGAAGAAGCCGTGGTGACAGCTGCCACGGAAGAGGAAGAGGTGGTGGAGGTAGTCCACTCTTCCCAAGCCGTGGTTGAAGTCTCCGCAGGAGCGACAGAAGCAGAGGTTGTTGTCGTGTTCCAGTCTCCCCACGCCTCGGTGGTCGTTGTGCCGGAGGTGGTGGCGGAGATGGGGGCCACGGATGCGGAAGTAGTGGTGGTGGTGGATGTTGTGGTCCACTCACTCCATTCCTCCGAGGTCGTTGAGCTGGTGGTGCTGGTAGTGACTGAAATTGGGGCGACGGACTTGGAAGTAGTAGTGGTGGTGGATGTTGTGGTCCACTCGCTCCATTCCTCCGAGGTCGTTGTGCTGGTGGTGACTGAAATTGGGGCTACGGACTTGGAAGTAGTGGTCGTGCTGGTAGTTGTAGATGTCCAGTCAAGCCATTTGGTCTCGGATGGAGTTGTCGTTGTGGTAGTGGTTGTGACGGAGATTGGTGCGACAGACTTGGAAGTCGTAGTCGTTGTAGTCGTGGTCCATTCTACCCATGCTTCGGTAGTAGTGGCCGATGTCGTGACGGCAGCTGGAGCAACACTGTTAGTCGTTGTGGTAGTAGTCGTCGTAGAAGTCCAATCAAGCCATTTGGTTTCAGAGGGCGTCGTTGTTGTGGTAGTAGTAACAGAAATTGGGGCAACGGATTTGGAAGTGGTGGTTGTGGTTGTGGTGGAGCTAGTGGTAGATGTCCAATCCAGCCACTGGGTTTCTGACGGGGTTGTGGTTGTGCTAGGGGTGGTGGTGGTGGTAACAGAAATGGGGGCAACGGATTTGGAAGTGGTAGTGGTAGTGGTCAAGGTAGAGGAAGTCCAATCGTCCCAACCTGCCGCACTTGACTCAGTACTCTGAGTAGTTGCGGAGATGGGAGCGAGGATGGCAGACGATGTCGTCTTCGTTGTGGTTGTGGTGGGGGCAAGAGTTGTTGTCGTTGAAGAAGTCGACTGACCATTTTCACTAGACCAGTCTCCCCAGCCGCTACCGCTGGAACCGCTCTCACTTCCACCATACGAGTATCCGCCACCATGTCCTCCAAAACCAGGAGCTGCGACAGCAAGTGTCGCAAGGCCGAGAATAAGAGCCGACTTCATCTTGGCTGGTGTTGTTTCGAGATTACTTTGAGATCTTGCAAGTGTGTTGATATAAGGGTCTTGTTGATATCGATTGACCTTTTTCTTCTGTGAACGAAGGACTCTGTTGTTTAGAGCTAGTGAAAGAATGTGCAACGAAAGGATGATGGAGAGGGAAATATCAACAACGACTGGGAAGCGAGTTCAAATACCCGTTGAACGAAAGAGACGTCACTGTAAGCCATGGGTGACAGGTTCGGCTGTGTGACTGGGAACAGGTCTCGAGCCATCAATACTCCTCCTGTCAGGGGTGGCAGGCGAAGCCAAAATGGATAGAAAAGACCCATGGCGACGACGACTACAGCCCGATTGGGCGTTGCTCTGCTGAGGGATCACTGTAAGTGGAGGTATAGAAAAGGGGAACGGACCACGCTGCAGCTGGGGGGAGTATAGAACAGCGGGTCCAATGCAGCAGGGAAGAGAAGGCTGGCCGCGGCAACTGCGTGGTGCGTGGCGTGCTCGGTCCTCACATCGCATGGTTCTCGTGCTGTCAAACGCAGAAAAAAAAGTTGGCTGGCGGCAGTCGAGGCCCAAGCTGCAGCGGAAGTTGAAGGAATAGACTTCTTCGCGTCCCCTGCATCGCGCCGCCAACCGAGCCCACCCAGCGCGGGCTGTCAAAACATCCTTGGCAAGGTTGGTGCCGTTTCACCTCTTGATACCCGCCTCCGATTTGACGCTCCGAGCGCCCATCGCGCATGGTCCAGGGGAGGCTGAAGGTGGGGCGCTATCGCCTATCGATGGCGCCAATGGAGTTCTCCAGCCCTGGGCTTTAGGTCAGGGACTCCCTTCGGATCTTTGCTGAAGCTCGGAGCATGGTGAAATCTTGCAGGCTGGTTCGTCGAGCTCACCACTATCACCAGACTGAAGGACTCGGGCGTCGAATCCTAGTGTGTGCGCTTTCGTCTAGAAGCGGGCGCAGTTGTTCTTTGAGATCTGTGCATGGTTCAAGCCTCAAGCTGACAAAAGGCGTCCTCCGAAGCACAGCGGGATCTTGATGCAGCGGGGCACAAGGTGAGGAGAATCCGTTGCCCATGTCGGACTTTTCGAAAGATGCCGTCACCGACCTCCATCTTGTCCTCGACTGCATTACGAATGCAAGCAACAACGTGGATGAGCTGTCCACTGCAGTTGACCTGTAAACTCACGCACTGTGTTGACCGACCTTGATTTTCGTTGTACTTCGGCAACTCGCAGAATTCAGCCCGGCATCAAATATGACGTACGAATCGCAAATCTCGTTCACCTTGGATACCATCTGTCCTTGGTAAGACATTTGTCGGCCTTGATCCTAGAACATCTGGTTGCACTGGCAATCCGGACGTCGAATTCGTTTTCATTTACGCTAATTCGTTGCCAGGACATATCTTGCAAAGAAAAGGTCTGCTTATCCCGTTTTGTGCTGTGCGTTTGCGTCGGAGTCGTTGAGCAGCTGACTCCCGTTGGTACGATGCTGTAGACTGGATGAGGGTCTGTACTTCCACCCGCCATGTTGTGCATAGCCGGGGCGCACTGTTCACTCGGCTCGAGCATAGCCTTCCTCTGACAAAGTTGACAGCCCTGCGACGTTTTCGCCAAAGCGATGACGCCAATTTTACCACCTTCGTTGTGAAATATTTTCCGTATCAGCTGAATTCTGACGCCTCGAAAGAGGGGGAGGACAAGTATTCGTGGTATAAGAAATCGCGCTATGGGGACTCGGATGAGAAGATGAAGATGGTGAGTTATGGCCATCCGCACGAAATTTCGATGAGGATGCAGGTGGTTGGGGAAGAGGCTATGTCAAATAAAGCCGTCCCGGGACTTGATGCTTGCCCTCGCTTGTGTCGTGTGCTAACCATTCCCTGTTGCATGATGACAGTATATCACATTGATGACAGCATATGGCAAAAGCGCGGGCATCAACTTCAAATTTGGCGGCACTGTCTCCAACACTCTTGATGCGCACCGAGTCATCCAGCATTTCCAGGAAGAAAAAGGGCCCGAGGTTGCGGACAAGATAATAAACTGTAGGTCAGCCTTGTCTGGGATGCTCACGACTGACCGACTGACCTGTCCCCAGCGCTGTATTCTCAGTACTTCGAGAATGAGAAAAATCCTTCAAGCCTCGAAACATTACTGCAGGCGACGGCAGGCGCTGGCATCTCAGAGTCCGAGGCGAAGCAAGTCATTGAAGATAAAAACGATGGTCTCCTGGATGTGAAGATGTTGATACGTGAGCAGACGACCGACGGCATAGACAGTGTACCTTATGTGGTTTTTGAAGGCAAGAGGCGCGACTTTACACTGGTTGGAGCAAAAGAAGTCGAAGAGTATGAGAAGGTGTTGCATCAAGTTGTGAAGGAAAGCAAGTGAGCGGAAGAATGAAGAGAAAGTAAGATTGTCCGCTTGGAATGTGGTCAATTTTTTCGCATCATTTGACAACCGGACTCGACCTTACACCTTGTGAACTCGAGCACGCAGGCTCTTGCTATGCCTCAAAATATACCATGAGAATCTATAACATGCTAAACATCAAAAATCTCTCCAAACCCTACACCGGCACCAGCCCTCCTGGCATCGACCAGATCTAACCTCCATCCAGCCCATTGCTTCAACCCTCTCTTGACCTCTCTCACATGCTCGACCATCTTACGGGCCTCTTCCTCTCTTTGAGCCCGGGCAAAGGCATCCTCATCAAAGGCGTCATCTTCTGCAAATTCCTGAAGCAGAGAGTCGTTTCGAGGACGGTTGGTTCGTTGCTGCGCTTCAGGCGAGGTCGTGCTCACCCGGAACGCAGCCAGGCCAGAATTCAACACCTGCGAGAATCCAGAATGTCGAACCTGTTGTGCTTGATTGCCACCAATACTCTTCCGCCCGTTCGCGTTGCCAGACCCAGACAGATCAACCTCGTCAAAGTCTTCGCCAGGGTCCATCGAAGTTCTCGACCCTTCGTCACCACGTGGCTGCATTTGTACCCTCTTGTCCCGCCAGACACCACGCCGCAAGTCGAACACCTGCGCTTCCAGGTCTCTAATCTTCTTCTCGAGTTTCTGGCGCTCTTCATCTTCGAGTTCGTCCAAACCTTCACCTCCCGCATCGCCACTCATGACACGCTTGTGCTTCTCTCTCAATCGTGCATTCTCACCCTCGGCCTTCTCCACCTTTGAGCGTAGAGCCGGCAATTCTCGAGCGCTGGCTTCAGCTGCCGCCAACTTCGAAGCATTTCTTGACTCCGCTTCTCGATGCAGTTTGTTCATAGCCTCAATCTTCTTGTCCAGTTGCTCGACCTTCTTCGTGAGTTCGTCCGTTTGCGACACAGCTTCTTCTAGTTCTCTCTCGAGACTCCGTAGCTTTGTGTCCTTGCTTGTTCGTTCTGTGCCATCGAGAACAGCCTTCTCGCTCGCTTTGGACAATGCCTTCTTGGTGTCGGCCAACTCGGTCTCCAGACTGCGCAACTTGTTTTCTGCATTCGCCAATGAAATCTGCAACGCCGTAACTTGCTCTCCATGCGACTCGCGTCCTTGCGACTGACTGGATAATTGACCTCGTAAACGAGATATCTCAAGCTGCATGTCGGCAATCGTCGAGTCTTTGCTCTCAAGCTCAGCTTTCAACGTGTCAACTTCCTCTCCTGCACCATGGGTACTATCCTTTCGACCACCGGTGCTGGCCTTGCGCCTTAATGTCTCAACCTCGGCCCTCAGCCTGGTAAGCTCGTCGTCGGTGTCGCCTGCAGTAGACGCCGACTTCTCAGCATTCTGTTCTCGAAGCTCTTCTAATTCTTCTTCCACCTTGCGCCACCTCTTCTCATGTTCTTCCGCCTCTTTCGCCAGCCGCTTGTTCTCTTTCTCCAGCTCTTCTACCCGGGCCAACATATTAGCACTTGCGGCCGGACTAAGAGGGCCATTGTCCCTGAAACTCGTACTTCGAATCTTGCTCTGGAGGCTAATGCTCGGCTGTCGTGTTGTATGACGAGGTCCTCTCGTAGACGAGGAGTCCTGTTCTGCCGGAGGAGTAACAATATCTGGGGATTGTAGTGTTTCTGGATCTGCGGGTGCCGCGTTGCCCGCTTGGATGGCTTCGTTGAGGGCTGCCTCGTCCGCGTCTATTGTTTCTGCCGTAGTGTCTTGTGCGCCTGCTTCTTCTACCTTTGCGGCATCTTCGCCATCTACGTTGGCTTCCTTTTCTTCAGTGGCCGGCTCGGCTTCTACTTCAGGCTCATCTTCCTTGACCGTGGCATCACTCTTTGGCTTGTCTTTCGCACTCTTTTCGCCCGTGCTCGTTCCGGCGGTCGCTGCTTTCTTCTTCTTCTGCAATTGTGCAACCTGAATCAAGCATGTCAGCAGGAGTCAGACCCACGATGATTGCCAGGCCATATGCTTTCATCACATATGGCTCGTTGGTAGTGGCATACTCTTTTTTTCGCCGCTGCGAGCTTCTCAGCCTTTTCTTTGTCTTCCTTTTCACCCATACTATTGTTTGGCCTGAGTTTGAGGTTGTGTAGGCTTTGTCGGTGTCGAAATTATATTGCTTGATATCCAAGAACGCAGTACATAGAGCGGCATGAGGAGACGTGGTTTGTACGCGACTTTGACGGCCAATAGTTGGAGTGCATGTGCTCCGCACTGGGGATGCTGCGGGTGTCAAGCACTCTCAACCAAGTCTGTATGACAAGGTCACCTATGTATCGAACAACACCGACGTGGAAGGCAAACAACTTTAGCAAAGGGCTCGGAAAGCCATCATTAAAGTAATACATGAAGCCTATGATCAATGTTGCCAGACAGCGCGGTGCCCACAGTACCCAAACAGACCCGAACCTGCTTAAGCCGAACCCCCAGCCATAGCATAGTCCAAATCCCTCCAGAACCCCATCATACAAAGTCATAACCCAAACACTGATCTTTGGTGGCAGGTTCATCAAGCCGCTCCCACCGGCTTTTTGAACGCCGCAACATTCTGGGTATCATTACAATATCAATAACCATAAAAACGCCATAACCCTGGAGCCAACACTGACGGAGTCATAACCCTGCTCAGACTTCCAAGGGGCCCACAACTTCTTCGCTCACTCCTCTAATCGTACTTTTGCTGTTACTTCTGAGACTTCGTACCTCTTCGTCACTCAAAATGTAGTTGTCATTCTCGTCGACAACAGGCCGTGCTGGCGGTGGGAATCGTTCTTCATCGATTCGCCCGTCCGGGGGTGACTCGGTCATCGTCTTCTCAATGAACGGCATCTCGACATCTTGGTTTTCGGCAGCCTCAATATCGTCTCGATCTCCCAGCCAGTATCTTGCTCTTTTGTGAGCACCAAGGTCGGGAGTGATCCACCCATCGGATTCCTCGTCGGCAAATCTTTTCGTCTTGACTGGCTTCCTGAGGCCATCATTGGTTGACACGGCCAGAACGCTGATTCCACGCAAATAGAGGTAGCAGACACGCTTTCTCTGTTTGTTGAAGAAAAAGTAATTCATTGACCAGATCGACCCTTCATCGTCATCCTCGAATGGGTCGAAGTCTTCTGGAGCGTACCGATAGATACTGCAATCACGTAGGCTCATTTGCTGGTCAATCAGTCTCCACATTCCCGGACCCCAATGTGTCTGGCTTGATGGAGGACATGCGGATTCTGGTGCCAGTCCCGGTACACTTAAGAATGAGTTCAATGGTCGTGGCCGCAGATTGTACAGTGCTGTGTCCAGAGTGTTCATAACCTGGCGCAAGCTCTTCTCCCGTTTGAAGTCTGTCGGTCTCAGCATATGGGAGAAGTCATAGTCTGGATGGCTGGCGTTCAGCGTCGCTATCAAATACGCATATGTTCTCCTTGAGCTGATCATCCCTAGATTTCCAAACGGGCTGCTTCGACTCAGATTTAGGCTGGAAGCGAGCATGTGCGCTTGAGGTGGGGAAAGCGAGTTTGAGAAGTGCAGATTGGACTTGTATTGCGCTTCGAGGCCATTTTCGATGCTTTTGTATAATTTCTTGTCCCCTCCTGCGGCCTTTGTCGTATACAAATCACATCCACCAACAACATGTAGGTCGGGCGTCGTGAAATTGAGGGAGGACGTGACAATATCGAGATCGCGATTCGGCATAAACTGAAGATGAGTGTTAGCAAGGACAGAGACGCGGAAACTATGAGAGGCCCTGCTTACCTTCATCTTGGCTAGGCCGTGTCAGATCACTGCATAGCATGCGAGATACGTCGTGTAAAGTCAAGTCTAGTCGCTGTCGTTTGCTGCTGTACTGGAGTGCAAGCGCGGCACAGCGTTATCAAAGCGGTCCGGCTTGCGCCGATGGCGTAGGCGAAGGTAGTGATGTGGTGAGTTGGTTGGCCTGAATAAGCTAAGTGATCGTTGACAGAGAGATATCCAGGCTGGCTGCAGAGACAGCTCTTGGGCGATTCAAGTAGCCAGACGATTGACGTCTAGCAGGTCAGTAGAAGATGATAAGAGGCCATGACGATGCGGTGTTGGTTGATGCGATGGAATGAAGTTGGAATCAGCCTGCGGGAGGGTTGGAAGTTAGAGGTTGCGAACGGACGGGAATGAGCCACGCCACGTGACTCGCGGGCGGCCCACAAAACAACCAATAAACGGACAGTGCCCTTTCACGAGCCGAAGCAGGCAGCGACAGATGGTTCACACACGGACTCGAACGGTGGTAGAGCCATGAGGTCAATTTCAGCCGATGAGGAGAAGCTCACAACGTGTAAGAGATGAATGGTCTGACAACATTCCGAAAGACAACTGTTCGCGTTAGCCTTCAACGGGAGGTGGTTTGTGTCAACATGCTTGATTATATCATCGCCTTTCGTATCTTCTCATACACTGTACATGATGCTTCTGACGCGTTCGTGCATCTAGAAGAATAGACCTTGTTTGCAAAGTCCATGTATCATTCATTTCTTGGGTATCAATCGGTGACGCCTTGCCCCAACTCCATGTAGGTTCATAAATATTGTCGTCGCAGATCATATGAGGCCGCCATCTTTGAGTGCTGTTTCGGTGTCCTGTCAAAGGAATAAAACTGTCAACGAGTGCATCATCGCGTCTTGTATCGACGTGATGCAGCCAGGCTCACTCCTTCTGGTCATCGTATTCTACATGAGTTTCGTAACGTCTTCTTCGACCTGAGTATTCCGAACGCAAACAGTCAGTCGGAAACCCAATCAAGAGACGGGACCAAGAGTCAATCCAAGATGGAACGCGTACATGACCTTGGGCTTTTGGCAGGCGTACTCTGGTAGCACGTGGCAGAGGAGGCAGTCCAGAGATGGCGAATCGCTACACATAGCGGAGGGCAGGACAGACACAGGGCGACTTACCTCCATATCTTCCAGACTGTCCTCCTGGCTTATACATCTGAGGACATTTTTCTTACTGCTCTCTTGCAGTTCTCCGGCCAGGAGGAGTTCATCCAGTATGAAGTATGCCTTTTGAAAGTTGAAGATGATATCCAACTCGCATACGTTTCCATAGTATTTGTCCATTTGCTCCACGTAGCGGTGTACGATTTCAAGAGTGATCAATTCATTATCGGAGGATGCACATCCGGCGATGAAGAAAAGAGAAGCATATCGACGGTAGACAACTTTGGTGTCTGATGGGTCAAGAAGTGTCAGCTTCATGCATCCAGAAGAAAAAAGGACAAGCGCTTTGAAGGGGCAGGTGATGGGGGATGATCAGCATCGTGGACAATCCGCACCCTTATATTCAAGAAAATTGCACATTCGAGTTCGGCGTGAAAGGACAAGCTGAGTAACATCTTTTATGATTTTGGCCTTCTCTTTGGGTGAGAGAGTTGTAAACCATTTTGCCAGCCTCTAGGAAGATTACAGATTTGAGGTCAGCCAAAGTCCGATGGTGGGCGACCTTTCAAAGGGAGATTGAGCATACCACTTTGCCCTGACGAGACAGCAAGATGAGATAGCTATGGCAGTGTTAATATCACAACGACGATGATCAATAGATGGTATCGCCTCACTTGATGGGCATCTTGCTTCCCTGCGTGTGGTGCAGGTGTTGTCTGTCGAAAGAGAGAGTGTGGAATGAAATTACAGCCTGCGACTGAAAGGAAGCGAAAAGTGGAAGCGGGTCGGAAAACTGCGGCCAAGCCCTCCCGTCTCAAAATGTGACGTGCGGTTGAGTAATATCGGCAGACACCTCGTGTCTCTGTTCTTCAAGCCGGTAGGAAATACCCTCGCTTGATATCGACCACATACAAAGTACTCGTCAGACAATACACCCTTACCTCTTGAAACTGTCAAGATGAGACACTTATGAGCGAGGTCACACGAGAAGTGCCATACCGACCCATGCATACCACTCCACGCGACCTGCCAGTGCCCCTCCGTCCAACCATCGCATCTTGGAACCATTGAAAGATATACCTCTGCATATACAACATATCAGCTTGAAAAAGGCACTCTTTAGCCTAACGTAGCGATCTCTGAACCACAATCTATTAAATTGGCCGATAGAGCATCTCCGCCAAAATGAAGTTAATACTATCCACATCGTACGTATTACTGCGTTGGCCAGCATTGTTCTTGAGCCCGATCTAACTCTATGCTTGCGCAGGAATATAATGTCCTCTGGACAGCCAATTGTCCGAAGACCGCTGTTCTCAAAGTCCAATATCGAACTCATCAATTCCTTGCGATCGAATTTCGCCTCGTTCCAGCACCATTCCTCCGGCATCGCGAGTTCGCAAAGACTCGACTATAGCCAATGGACTACACAGGAGGACGACAGTCTTTACGTCCCGACGTGGCAGCCGACACCGCTCTCGGAGCCCCGCGACTCATACGATGTCACAGTCAAGCTCTTCTTTCTTCCGGGCATTCCGAGTTCAAGAAGATGCAAACACACCCGTGAAGCAATCGATTTGGTGCTAAAAGAGTTGGGGATTGGGAGTGTAGACCTCCTTATTGTCAGCTATCCTGGTGTGACTTTCGACGCCGACGATGAGGAGGACGTGTCGGCCGATGAGGATGAAAGCGCCGACAGCGATGAGTCGGAAGGTCTGGATGCCCAAGTGAGAACATGGCGAGTCCTGGAATCTTTGCATGACCAAGGTGTCATATCGCAATTGGGCGTTTCCGAATTCAGCTCCCAGCGCCTCAGCAAGTTCCTACCAGAGGTACAGGTGCGGCCGACGGTGGACCAGATCAACGTCAAGGACTGTTGTGTTGTGCCCAAGTCGCTGATCATGTATGCGAAGGAGAACAAGATTGAGTTGCTCACTCATGCAGACTGCATGGACATCCTACCACCTGGAACGACCAGAGAACTGCTTGGGCCCGGCAGGGATGGAGCGGGGATACTTGCCGCCAATGCTGAGGTTCGGCCAGAAGAGCCCGGCTTGAAAGGAGATATCGAACCACAATGGGTGGTGAAATACACTGCCGTCGTCAAGAATCGAGGCGTGATCGAGAACAAGGGATATTTCGCCCTCGCTCAGCTTGGCAGCTGCATCGAGGAGAAGCCCGTTGCCAGTGCGTGAGCATGGCCGTTATCGCTTGAAAGTTGACCTTTAGCATGGTGTTGGATACGTGAAACGTTGCATCGTCTTTTCAACCAATCATACTCCGCTTCCTTCCTCTCAATCTGACGTCTTCGAGCCGTTTCAGCACGACATTGGCACCCTTGTAACTCCCTCGGTAACCGTCTTGGCTCTGCAGCACTTCAGCGTCAAACCAACCCTCCTGCCTCGGGTGTGTCGATCCGAACGCCCGCTCCAGGACGTATAAATCCACAGCGCGGTCCTCGTCTTGTATTGACTGTGTCGCCAGCCCAAAATCAATGAGCACGATTTCGCCATCAAGATCTGGCGGCGACGAATGCTCTTCGTGTGTCGTAGCCTCGCCGTCCGTAATGCCGCCGGACCCATTCTGCATGTGACCGTCTTTGAAAGGTCGAACAAGAACATTACTGCTCGTCAAATCGCCATGGACCACGCTGCCCTTGTTGTGCATGGCCCCGACCGCCTTCCCAATCCTGCGCAGCAACTTCTTGATCTCGTCTTCCTGGCGTGCCAATTCTTCAGGTGTCACGTTCTTACCCGTATTCTTGTACCACCCATCCCACTGTCTCAATAGGTCTTTGACGCTGCGCCCCTCGATCCACTCCATCAGAAGCCAAGCGCCGCCACCATGGGATCCGCGCTGCTCCTCGCCTAGTGCCTTGACTTTGCGCGCCGAATCCCACTCAAGGCTCAGCACGGCGGGGACATGGACCTCGTTGCTAGGGTCACCTGCGAGGGCAGAGAGTTTGACCAGGATCCTGGCCTCGGCGAGGACGCGCTGCTTGGTCAAGCGAGCGTCGAGGGTGGGGTGACGGTAGGGTTTGCTTGGTCGGGCTTTGAGCGCGGCTGGGTTCGAAGGAGTGAGGAAGTGTGTGCGGTATAGTAGTGCCTCAGCGCCTTGGGCAATGAGTTCTGGCGGTGGGACGGTGTTGGTAAATGGTGCGGGAAGAAAAGGCTCGTCTTCCCGCTGTGAAGTGCTCGTTGGCACAGTCATGATAAGGCTACCACAATCGAGCCTGAGCAGTCGCCCGAGAGAGGTCGAATAAATTCTCGAGTCGTTCCAGGCCAATGCTGCTTGACTCTCCTCAAGGCTTGTAATAGTTATAAGATATCAGTGCATCAGTATTGGAAAACTGCGGAGTGCGGAGCAGTCAGGCTAGGAATTCTGAGTCATGTAGACGAGGCTGAGGAGGACGCTTGAATCATGATCACACCTCCTCAGTGACCACTGTCCGTCTACCTACCTAATTGAGAAAGCAAATAGACCTACTCTCCGTACCTAGGTACATTCCAGTCTGTAATGGCTATTATCACTGTCAACAGCACTTTCACGACATTACATATTCACCCATGCGTGCCGCCTAGGGTCAGGCCTCTCCTTGCTGGCGCCTAGCTCGGGCTTTGTCCTCTCTGTCAAACTCCCCCGTGGTAAAATTCATTTCTGGCTGCTTACAAAATGACACCGACAAATGGTATCGAGTATGGAGCAGTGCGCCCGTCTTCCACCCGTGTATTTGATCTCCTTCCCGGTTACAGATCGGCGCCTATCCGCTGTCGTTTTCGCCACATCGACCTCGATGACCCTCCTCCGTATGAGGCCATAGCGTACGTTTGCGGAGACCCGAGTGCCATGGTTCCAATCAGATGTGATGACTTCAAACTAGTTAACGTCTATTATAACTTGTTCAGGCGCTTCGTCAATTTCGATTTACTGATACGCGACGCACGCTCTGGGCAGACTGCATTTGCATCAATCAGAGAGATGTAGAGGAACGAAGCTGGCAAGTCTTACTTGCGGGCGATATCTACTCTAAAGCCTCCCAAGTCTTGATATGGCTTGGAGATGAAGATATGGAGACCGAAATAGCCGTTAGCGACATGAACCTGATCCAGCGCCAGATATGGCCTCGACGCAGACAATTGGAAGAGTACGAGGAGAAATCCATCTTCTTCCGCACAGACGATCAAGCAGTGACCACTCTGTTCTTCACTCACGATTGCCTTGTACATGTTTTATGGTTCCCATGGCAGTGTATTGCATTTGAGGATGCTTGGGTACCTGAGTTTATAGTACGAAGAATCTATTCTCTCTCAAAGTCTTTCAATATACCTCATGCCACGGATACTAGAATGGTCAATTCTACATTGTATGTTTCATCTAGATCTACCCACTTCCCTCGATCGATCGGAACCTTCTCCACTCCCTCTAACGTCACCTGCCCTCAGCATTACCTTTCATCACGCCTCTATGTACAAAGACCTCCAAAGCTTATGGTTGATGATCAAGCCATCTTCTGCGAATCCACCTTATAAGCTTCATAAAGCAACAAGCCTTCTATGGCGCAACAAAGTATCCCCAAGACAAGGCATCGTCTCGCAAGAAGGTCGCTTTCATCGTCAACTCGGCCTGAGTAGGCTCCGTTACGTTGAGTTGACAAATCTCCGGATACGTGCCAGCAGGGGCCGTCTTGTTGGCGATGAGCGCCGCGTACGTGTCCAGTGGACAGGACTGGCCAGGTCCAGATTTGCACGAAGGTACAGCTGTAATAGAAAAGTCAGCTCTGCTGGTGAACGCAATAGATGGAGCACGACTTACAGTAGACGACATCATTGAGGACGAAGGAGCAACCATGGTGAAAATGTGGTGAGCGGAATTGTTTACAAGAGACCGTCAATGCTAGGTGTAGCTGCGACGTTGCCCTTTTATAGATCCTGCGTCTCCCTCACATGGCTTGACCGTGGTCCAGGAGTCTGGTTGCCCACGTGGGATAGCGAGTACCATCACTGATCCTTGTCAGGCATCAACAACCTGTGGGCCACTAGGACGGTCTATCGATGGACGTTCCTGGGCTATCATGGAAGTATACCTATGTTGTTCTCCACGGCTAAAGCAAACGACCTACAAGGTGGAAAGCAAGGCTGCGGATCAGAATTGCCGTTTTGGGGCTGCTGGTGTTGAACATTCTCCAGCGTTGATGTTGCTAGCGGTACATGTGCTTGTTGACGTGCCTTTACTGGACGGGATAATTTCGGGCAAGATGTACGAGTATCATAGTACTCCGTATATCCCGTCAGTACTCACCGAGGGACGTCATCCCTAATGGTACATCATATAATGTATTCTCAAAGAGACCTACGCAGACATCAAACGACCTAAAAACCGACCCTAGATGCATTGCTGGAGCGGGCTGTCCAAAGATAAGATGTGATATGGGAACGTTCCTCCTCCTCACGACAACCGTTTCAGCCTGCAGTTCCGTACTGCTCTAGCCTTCCCCTTCTTGTACTCGACATTGTCAACCGTCCTCATCTCACCGGGCCAGGTCAAAGCATTGCCCCTTCCCATTCGGCCGTACTCAAAATCCAACAGTCGAAAGACGGGAGCGATCTAACCTACTTCACCTCCCTATAAAGAGTATCCTCGACATGCACCGCACCACCCTTCGCGGCCACCGGCACCGCTTCGCGCTCGGCATCAACCGCCACATGCTCCGTAACATACTGACTGAACTTCCAAGTCGGCACCCTATTCTCAAACAACTCATCAAGTTGCTCCAGACTCCGTCCCTTAGTCTCCGGCACGAAAAAGAAGATCCAAAGCGTCAGTATAGCATTACTCCCACCCCAAATGTATCCATACTTTGGACCCCAGTTCAGTGAATCCGGATTGATAAAGTAAGGCGTGCAAAATTGACATAGCCAGCCGAACACAAAGTTAGACCCTGCGGCGACACCAACTGTGGTAGCACGCAGTCGTTGTGATGGCACTTCCGCCGCCACGGCCCAGAGCACGGGACCCTGGCCGACGCCGTAGAACCAGGTGTACACGATACTGATCCCCACCAAAGCTTTGCCAGCAGAATCAGACCCGACAGTCGACTTCGTGTAGACGATGGCCATGGCGAGCATGAAGATCGTCGAGGCGATGGACGTGCTGAGCAGCAAGAACCGCCGAGAAAGGTAGCGCATGGCGGGAAAGGAAGCCATGTTTGCAGTCAGCGTCAACGCAAGACCGACCATGACCCAGATGAAGGGCGAGCCGATGCGGGCTTGGACATAGAAGTACACGCTGTAGCCTGATATGAAGGTAATACCGGTCGCGGTCTGGCCGACAGCAGCACCCAGAGAAATCAGGGTACGACGCAGATCCGGACCGCGGATCATGTCGCGCAGATGGACACCGTTGTGTAACTCCTGTTCGGCCAGCCAGGTACTCTTGATATCAGCGACTTCCGCGGCAATGCGTGCTTGATCGGTAATGCCGCGCGTCTTGCGGATCGAGTTAGCTGCCTTGTCATCTTGTCCACGGGAGATGTAGTAGCGTGGAGTGTCGGGCAAGAAGATGATGAAGACACTGATGAACGCTGGGATAATGTACATGACCCCCAGTGGAATTTCGTACGACTTGCGTTGAAGATATACATCAGTGTAGTTATCGACGAGAATGCCGAACAGGGCACCGAGCGAGATCTGAAACACCACCATGCCGACGATAGAGCCGCGTAAATGAGCTGGAGACACCTCACTCATATACGTCACTGAGTATGGGATGAAGAAGCCGTTTGACAGACCGAGGAGTAGACGACCGGCATAGAGAGCTCCTGTGTGTTTGGAGGCGATTTGGATAGAGATAGCGATGACACCAATAAGGCATGCTATCCATAGCCCAGTACGACGACTGATGCGGTCACCGATGGAGTAGACGAAGATGGAGGCAGCAAGACCACCAACGTTCATAAGGCTCTGGATCAGGCGTTGGACTGAGGTGCTGATGTTGTATCCGATAGTCGTAGCAGGCTATAGAAGATTGTAATTTAGTGCTTGTTGTCACCCAAATATAAGACAGCACTGCAGTCAGGGAGAAGAGGATTGGCGATAGGTAGGGCTCTCTTACATCTGGATAGCCGTAGACGCGCAGAAACCCAGGCATGCTCTGGAATCCAGAGACAGCCGCCGAATCGTATCCATACTGGAATTGGGCAAACGCGATACAAAGACAGATGGCAATAATTCGCTTCTCCTCCCAGATAGTAGTGAGGCGTGGTCTGGCGACAGGCGTTCCTTCTTCCATATTGACGGACCTTCTGACTAGGTGTCAAAGATCCAGGTATCTTCATACCATATGAAGTCGTGGTGAGACTGCATGGCCCCTATATTTAATGGAAAGCCGAGCATTCTTCAGTGGGTAAAGAGCTGAGTTCGCTGGCTCATGTCCATGGTTCACACGACTCCTCAACTTCGGCAACAACATCTTTTGATTTACAGTTTGGCCTCTCGTGCTTGCTCAACTGCCGAACAGTACGAGCAGACGAGCAGTCCTACAAAAGGTCAGAATTTGTGGGGAAGTGTTTTCTTGCGGAGATATTTGCGGGGTGGCTGCTCAGGGCCAACGGCGCAGCGTCGCCTCCACTTCCCGGCCTGGGGGCTCAAGGTACTGTATGCATGAAATAACATTGGCTCTTGGTACAGTACATCCCTTGGTGTGCTCCTATACAGGCAAAACTGACTTTGGAGGTCTCTGCTCGGCAATTGCTCCTGGACGCTTTAGGACAATGCAATCGCTGACTTTTGCCAAATCAGAGAAAGGGACCCATGGTGGGCAGAGATTGTTTTCGCTGAGCAGTCTTGACTCCCAACGGACCTGGCAAGGGGCATTATCGACTTATGGCATCGCCCTCCATTAACATTATCACGCCTGAACTCCAACACGGCAGCATAGACCGATGCTTTATTTGTCTCCCGGTTCGACGCTCATCCCCCGTATCATGTCTCGTAGTTCGTTGATCTGCGCCTTGAGCTCTCTGATCTCAACCACATCTGCGTCCACCTCAACAACAGGCTTGGTCGATTGCACTTTCTTGCCCCAACCTTCACTTTCGAAATCGACCTCGCCCTGAAGCTCTTCCCATTCTTCGATGGTGTCGTCGTCTTCCTCGCCTCTCTTGCGATTGTCTCGGACCGAGTGCGCCTCCCGAGCTTCTACGGCTGCTGTGATGAGCAGAAGAGGAGAGTATATGAAACCCATGACGTAGTTGTTCAACCTCTCGTAACGAGCCGAGTCCATCCACCATTCAAACGGTATGATCAGACAGAATAGCTCGATCAGGTTCAATGGCGCAATGAAGACATTCTCATCAGGCGCCCGTACAAACTGAAGAGTTTTCTGTGCAAACATGGCCATGTACTCGTCAATTGCATTGTCGGTAATGTCTTCATAGGCGGAGTTGTAAAGAGCGATAAGAATGTTGAGCAAGATGACCATGACGACAAACGTGAAGATGTAGTACAGAATCAAGCCGAACGGATGAGCGTAGTTGTCGAAGCCTTCAAAATCTGGCGACTGCATGATCGCATTGGCCATGGAAGTAACAATAAATGTGGTGATTGATGCAGTGCCTTCCACCTGGTTCAGACCGATAAATGCTTGCAGGAAGCCGACGCAGACAACGATCAGCAGTAAGAAGAAGATGAGGGACTCCCTCATCATGACCTTCAGAACGACCAGCATGGCGCCGAAGAACCGGAAAGTATCAAGATAAAGCATGAGCCGCATCCAGAACATGGGAGCACAGACACAGAATATATGGTACCCAAGTCGATTTAGGGCGACTCGCTTTTCGTCATGCTCGTCTGGTGAGTGTGCCAAAGCTATCACTCGGATGACGAAAGATGCTGTGAGCAAAGCGTATAGGCAGTTGTTGAATGCGTTCCAGAACCCAAAATAGTAGATGCCAACCTTCCAGAGCTTCGCAATCTCATCACAGATAAAGCCAAAGGTCATAACATAAAGAATGCCTTCGACCACGTCCAGATCGCCATCTTCGTTGATTGTGTTGACTGCACCAGTGAAGAGACCCAAGTATATCAGCGAAATCGAGATTTGGGCCACATTCTGATAGAGAGGTGTCCGCATACGGTCTGGGTTGAGATGGGCCCAATAGTTGGTGTTGTCCCGTTCCTGATAGTAGCAGAAGTTGCCAGGTGCCTTGTCATCTTGTTGAATCCACCCCCGCCAGAGGTATTTGATACATTTTTGGTAACCAGACGAGCCTATGACCGTCAGGCAGTGCAGATCGACGGCCCTCTCGATGACGTTTGCGGGCGCGGTTTCTTCATCTTTCCGGAGGACGGAATATCTTTGCAGGAGAACCTTCTGCATGAGGTATTCTTGATCCTCCTCGTCCTCGATAATACGCTTAGCAATGATCTCGCAAGCAACTGCCCGAACATCGTGAAGATCAGCATCCCAGAGTTCAAGGGCAGCCTGACGTGTGAACCATCGCTTGCACACCAACAGACAGTATACGACACATGCTGCGTAGTCTTTGCCTCCAGCCTCTTTCGCTGTCTCGACGACCTTCTGTGTTATGATCCCACTATTTGCAGCTTCGACTTTTTCTTGGGGGAGTTCGATTGGAATCACTTCTTCGATCTGGTATTTAAGGCGCAGAGCGACCTTCGTGACTTCCTTCGCCGGGAAAGCTGAATCAGGAATTTCATCTCTGTTGGTCGGAAGCACTGATCGATGTCAATATTGGTTGTAATGCAGTAGAAAAGGCTCATAGAAGCTCACATCTCCGCATCTCATCTTGAATATGGCGCGAGTCGCGCTCACTCCGGCCGAACAATCGCGACCATTTTACCATGATGACGTAGTCTGGACACTTGACACTTGGAGAGCTTTCAGCTTTCTGATACCACCTCCTGCACAATGAGAAATGTCGAAGTATTCGAAGAAGTAAAACGAGAGACTTTCGATGCGACGACAAACTGCACACCAAGACACTAAGAACGCCGAGAAAATGAGACCTTATCGAAAATTGTGCTTTTGACGTTAATGGAGTCCTGAAAATCAGGTTCTCAAGCCCCCGCATTACGACATGACCAACTTGGCATAAGGCTTGTCCCGGTTCCTTTCTAGGCTCAAGATCCTTAAACAGTCCCCTGTCAATCCCAGCCTTGTTGGTGATCTATCAAAATGATCTGAGCAAGGTTTGTATCCTCAGACGTTGTGAGCAGTGACCATGCAAGCGCCGTATTATGCAGGCATCGAAGTCATCCGAACCCAGGACGAGCGTGAGTTCTCCCTGGCAGAACCCCATCCCGCATGCTGCTGGACCTCTTGTCCTTGTGAAGGTGTTTGTCGCCGGAAGCAGGATACCAGGCTTTAGCGATCTCGTCCACAAATCCTGTGCTTTTACTTCTTGCGGTCCTCCTTTTTGCCAGGGATTCATGGTCATCGTCAAATCGACATAGATGCTCATGCGATTTCTGGTGCTTCGTCACTTTCACTGATATCTTCATCACCACTCACTTCCTCATTCTCCTTCGCTCTCTTGTCCATCAATGCCTGCAGTTCTGCATCATCATGTTCTGTCACAGCCTTAGGAGCCATCTTGACCACACAACCACCACCGGCTCCCTTGATCGTCTCCTCAATGTCTTTGATAGCCTGTTCCAGTAATTGAATGCCCAATCCTTTGTCGAGGCATTGACTGGTCAGGACATAGTGAGGTGGAGAAACTAGCTTGACCTTGACCTGTGTCTCCGGGGTGTTTTTGGCTTCTGCTTTTCTGAGGGCATCCTTTACAGCGTCGATTCCATCATACTTGAAGCACGTTACTTCAACGTCGGCACGGACCTTCGTAGGATGAGGCGTCAGCTTCTTGCTGATGTATGATATCAGCTCCTCCTTGACAACATCGTTGGGGAACGTAGCATCGTTCCAAACGTCCGGGTTTGTGATAGACAGCTTGAAAGCGTCGTTGGCGTGACCATACTTCTTGTTTAGCGGCCAACCGATCTGTTCATACAATTGCAGTATGGGTGTTTTCGTCTTTTCAGCCACATGTCGCATGATGGAGTGGACTGATTTGCTCTTGTTGTAACGTTCTTCGCAGCGGACAATGTCTTCGGCGGAGACTCTTCGCTTCGACAAGTCGATATAACCCTTCTCCTTGTCCACACGTAGCACAACCACTACTTCATTCCGGCCAATTCTGATGAGCTTTTGTATTGACCTTATACGTCGTCGAGAAAGTTCTGAGAGGAGAATCATGCCATCGATATTGTCATATTCTAGCAGCTTGACGTAGGCGCCCATTTCTGCTATCTTTTCGCCACGTATTAGCCTTCTTTCCCATAGACGCGGTAAGATTGTAGACCGGTACTCACCTGCTTCACATTCACCATCACGAAACTTTCGATTTCTGGGTATTTTTCTTCATAGAAGCGACAGTTGGTCAAGGAATCTGCGTCGGTCGACATGATGGGGACTGTTGAGTGCTTCGCGCACGGGTAACCTGAGTATGCTGGTGATTGAGTCTTCTCAGGGCCGCACAATGGATGAATGCCACCAAACTAAACTCATGCCGCTCGCTATTGGTCTCATGTGCGGCGAACTGCCTGCGCCGGAACTTTTTAGACGCCAAGAGCGATCCGAAGAACCAAACGCCGCTATAAGCGTGGCAGACGATGTCACCTCCGCGGTGCAAAACGTCCATGCCTCACAATGTCAACTTCTGCTTAATGATTGGAGAGAGTGTGCACAGTCAATTCTCAGACTACACAACACACTTCCTCCCTGGGCTACCACTTTTTGATTTTATGCTATGACATATGTGCTCGGGACTAGTATTTCTGCGCCAGTAGCTGCTGTGCAGTATCTATTTAAATCCACACGCTTCGATATGGAACTGCGGTAACATAGAAACATTTCTCAAAGCCATACGCCGTCAAACCTGACCAGCATGGCGGACAATTCATCCTCCTCCTCGCAGGGCCCAAGTCCCCCGACTTCCCCCCGACGTCCTAGCTTCCCAAATGCTCGCAATTCATCACAGCACGCACCGGCAAACCCAAGCCGACTGCGAGAGACTACAATCATGTCTCCAGATGAACGCATGGCTAGGTCAAAATCCAATGAAAACTACCTACCAAAGAGTGACGAGAACCTCCTCCCGCCAGCCCTTGACCCAGGCTCAACGAAACCTATTGTCGCGGAACCAGAATCTTTGTTGGATAATGAAGGTGAAGACAATACCATTCAGGGACAGATCGAGGAGCCGTCCACAGAAGAGGTGAATGCCAAAACTAGGCTGTTAGGGGATTACCATCATAACCGCATATGTGGAATGAAAGACTGTAACCATGGTACTTTTTCTCCGAGAGCTCCTTCGCTGTCAAGCGATCGGGACAGTCTCTACAATACTCCTCGATCCTTTGGTGGAGAATATCCAGGTGCTACTGGAGAAGACGGCGACCCAACCTACCCTGCTCGCGGAATACTTGGTGACTCTGTGACCGATATGTTCGCCGGAAGCAAGAGTTTGAGCACTACTCAGTGGCTTGCCAGGAAACATGGTATCAAAAGTAGAAAATGGATGTATTTCTCCTACTACTTCCCATTTGTCAAATGGGTCCGCCAATATCGATGGAAGTGGTTGCAAGGGGACCTGGTCGCCGCTCTAACCATGGCGTCGTTTTACATCCCAATGTCTCTGTCTTATGCCGCCAATTTAGGTCATATACCGCCCGTCAACGGCCTGTACTCCTTTGTCTTCAATCCTTTGATATACGCCTTTCTGGGCAGCTCACCGCAGATGGTTGTGGGGCCGGAAGCTGCAGGATCACTGCTGGTTGGCCAGGTTGTCAGAACTTGTATAGACCAGGGTCATTCTGGGGACCATGATGCTGTACGCAATGCCCAGATTGCTGGCGTTGTCACAGCTATCGCCGGAGCCGTGATCTTCGTTGCGGGACTTTGCCGGCTCGGGTTTCTGGACAGCGTCCTAAGTCGACCTTTCCTCCGAGGTTTCATCAGTGCTATTGGCTTCGTCATCCTGGTTGACCAGCTGATTCCTGAACTTGGCCTTCAAGCAGCGGCCCAGGAAGCCGGAGAAATCGCTCACGGTAGCAGTGCTCAGAAGTTGGTATTCTTGGCAAGAAATGTGCGGAAGTCGCATGGCCTAACAAGTGCTGTGTCTGGGGCAAGCTTTGTTATCATTATGCTGTTCCGGTCACTCAAGCGCAGACTTCAGCCTCGCTATCCCTCGGTTGCGTACTTCCCGGATCGCTTTCTGGTGGTCGTGCTCTCAGCTGTTTTCGCATGGGCGTTCGCGTGGAACAAACAAGGTGTTGAGATACTTGGCGACGTCAAGTCCACGGGAAGATCTGCGATCCCCTTCCACTGGCGATTGCAGTTCAGCCACATGAAGCATATCGATACTGCTCTAAGCACATCATTCCTCATCGCGCTGCTGGGCTTTTTCGAATCCTCTGTGGCTGCCAAGAGCTTGGGTGAGGGCACTCACGGCCTACGTGGCATGGTTCTGAGTCCCAACCGAGAGCTAGTGGCGCTCGGTGCCGCGAACATGGTTGGAGGCTGCTTTATGGCTTTACCAGCTTTTGGTGGGTATGGTAGAAGCAAGGTCAACGCCTCAACTGGCGGAACCACCCCTATGAGCAGCATACTCCTCAGCACCATTACGCTGATATGCGTTCTGTTCCTGCTACCATATTTTTACTATATACCAAAAGGTGTACTCTCGGCCATGATATCAGTTGTGGCATACTCACTCATCGAAGAGGCCCCTCACGACATCAAGTTCTTTCTCAAGATTCATGGCTGGACGGAGTTGTTCTTGATGACAGCCATCTTCTTGGCCACTGTATTTTATTCTTTGTCGATGGGGATTGCATTGGGTATCGGACTTTCTCTCCTACAACTGATCAGGCATGCCACCAAGCCACGAATCCAAATCCTCGGGAAAGTGCCAGGGACTGCGAACCAGTTTGAGAATGCGGAGCTTACGCCAGAACACATCGAGTATATCGAAGGATGTCTCATCGTCAAAATACCAGAGCCACTGACTTTCGCCAACACTGGAGAGTTGAAGACAAGGTTACGCAGGCTCGAACAATACGGTACAAACAAGGCTCATCCGTCGTTACCACGTGTTAGACATGAGGACAACAACAGGAACATCATTTTTGATGTGCATGGTGTTACGAAAATTGACGGGTCTGGAACGCAGGTGCTGGCGGAACTCGTGGAGGACTATGTTAAAAGAGGGATTCGGGTCATTTTCTGCCGTCTCCCTCGCCGACGAAGCAAGGTATTTTTCGCTTTTGAGCGCAGCGGTATTGTAGAATTATGTGGTGGTGAGAGACACTTTGTGGGCAGTGTCGAGGAAGCACTGCAATTGTCGGAAGCAGAGGATCTCGAGCAGTACTTTGACGCACGGATGAACGGTCACGACTCATCGCGCGATACGCAGTGGTAGTGAAGAGATGACTATACGAGACCAACATAGTTTTTGTCAAATATCCGCGTTCACTTCTCCCGCAATACATATCCTCCTTGCTAACGCTGGTATGGCCACCTTTTCGTTGACAATGCTCCTGATCCTCGCCTGTGTGGCAATTCGTGGACAATGTGCCATTCACTTACCGCTGTACAGAAGAGGAGAACGTTTGTCTACACACAAGTCAGCGAACTTGACATCACTGTCAGCTATCCTCGCAGACGCTGAGGCTCAGGATGCACGTACTTACCGTGAAGTCGAAGGCAATCGACTGGTGCGCAGCTGGCGGTCTGATGAGACGAAAGACGAGAATGATCCCTATCTGATCAACATGGCTGGCGGGGCGGGTCGATGGTAAGGATGAGCCTCTCTTACCCGACAGCAATGAGCTTGAAATGAAGCTGAGTGTATCTCGCAGGTACACAGAACTTCATGTCGGCGATCCGCTCCAGATCCTCGAAGTCGATATCGACATGTTAAGCCCGGACTTCTACACCGTCATGACGACCAGTGGGAGGGGCTCGAGATACGACACATTCGCATCGAAAACTCATGGTACGTTAATGCGAGACGTCCATCCCTACCGTACCCAGCGGTCAGACCAAACCACTTGCTGACCTCTTTTCCGTCGTTAGGCCACAGTGACGAGCATGTCCACCCCATATGTCGCCGCCCCAGCGATGAGTTCATGCTTCCCGGTCTCAACAACGCCATCCGCCTTGACTTTCCTATCTGTACTCCATCCAAGGCATCGCGCCAAACGCTCGCAAACTCAGGTACGGTTCTTGGTCTCTCGCCTCACAAGTCTCTCGCGCGGCTGTCCTCGCAACCGCTCTTATCACAATTACTGGACAAGAACATCGTGGCTGATAATGTGTGGTCCGTCACTCTCCTTGACGCGGACACCGGTGTTCTCAGTCTGGGAGGTACGATTGCCAGGCAAGTCGAAGAAGCCAAGATCAGAGGAGAGATTGAGCTCAAGCATTTTGGGGACCCGGTTGCGAATAGCCCATGGGTCACGCAGCAGGTCGAGCAGCAGATGAGTCTCGCCATGCCCAATGATACTCCCTGGGATCATCACTTTAAATGGACGAATGTGCAGGGCGCGGCTGGATGGTGGACCGTGTTGATGAAAGGCGTGTGGATCAATGGGGCGAAGGTATGCAACTCCCTGGCTGTGGAAGAGGAAAGGAGATGAGACTGAAGCGTTTCTGCCATTGTAGGTCCTCAAGAATCAGCCTGTCGTCATGGACATCAATGCCCCGTTCATTCTCGCACCGCCCGTTGCAGCGCAACGTTACTACGACTCGATAGGCGGGACGAAGAGGCTCGAGGCGCCTTATGACATGTTCTTCGCGTTTCCATGTCTCAACCGTGTGAACATAGCCTTTGAGATCGGGGCCTGGAATTTTCCTGTTATGCATGGTGAAGGGACGAGGGAAGATGCGCTTTACGGTCCTGCCGGCGGGACATTCAGTCTGGGGAAATTGAGTGACGGGACGGGATATTGTGTTGGCGCTGTCGTGGAGACGAGTATGGGTCTTCGGAAGAAGTGGTCAAAGAGTGGCATGAAGAATATGTGGGTTCTTGGAGAGCCGTTCTTCAGAGGACTCGGTGTGGCATTTGACATTGAGAATGGAAGGGTTGGTGTGAGGACGTATTGAGCGTCTTGCTCGCTACAGTCCATCTGTGAGATATGATACCAAGCGCTGGCCAGTATCCATTACTATCTTAAGATGACTTGAAGGTAGTTTTAGTCCTTCAATTGACTGACTTTGGGCAAGATGCCCTCTTTCTCCAACTCCGCGAACGTTTCGTCAAACGCAGTCCAAGTATCTTTATATCCTGTCCAGCCTAGACTTCTGGCCTTACTCATGCTCACCACACACGAAAATTTCCTTCCTAGCAAGAACGTCAGGAATCCCCACGTGGCCTTCTCCCACGTCTGTTGATCGAGGCCAGCTTTGTCACGAATCTCCTCCCACTTCTTCACCACCTCCGGGCGTTTCGCCCACTTAGTCGTATCGATCTGCTGGTGGATAACGCTGTGCTTGCCCTCAAATTCGTCCTTGAGCCCAATCTTCTCGGCATATTCAGTTAACGGCATCGGCGTGGGCAGCTCCGTATGCGCCGCTTCATAGTCCTTGTAACTTCCGTCATCACCACCGGGAAACATGTTCGGTGGGATCTTCGCGCCGTATCGTGCCGCCAGCTGGGGCCACAGGTTCTGCCAGCTCTCGGTATCGCCGTTGACGACGTTAAAACCCTGATTCCCTGCCTTGGGCTCCAGCGCGGCCCAAAGACAAAATTCGGCGTGAAGATTCGCGGATGTCCAGTTATTGAAGCCCAGGTAGTTCGTTTTGCTGCCTGGGAACGGCAGCTCGTGGTCCGGCAACGCCGCGGATATGCTGGCGTACAAGCCCAGCGCGGTGGCCAGGTTCATGAAGTTGGCTTTCGCTACGCCGATGACATCTTGAGGGTATGTGACGACCCATGACCATTTGTTGTCGTCCTTTTTAGCGGCGTCGGCCAGAATGTGCTGCTGCGTGTAGTAGAAGTTGGGCGGCCACGGGTCTCCTTCGAGCCAAGTGTCTGTCTCGTGCATTGGCTGCTTCGCACGGCCGAGGTGTACGCCGTACTGTTTCAGGCCGTTTACCAGGATCAGCCGTTTGAGGTGTTTGATAGTGCCAGTGTGGTGCAGCGCCTCGATGAAGTTCTGGAGCATGGCGCCATTGACTTTCGCGGCTTCGCTCTCGTCATCCCGCGCGAGGTACGCGCAGAAGAAGACATAATCTGCATCCACGTCCTTGAGGTCTTCTGTCATTGTGTGCGCTGAGGATTGCAAGTCGATTGTTGCGTGCTTGAGTTTAGGGTTCGGGGTGGGTTGTTGAGAGCGTGACATGGTTGTTACCTTGGTCCATTCTGGTGCTTTGAGCAGATGGTCGACGACGGCCCGTCCAGTGATCCCCGTAGCACCGGTCACGATTGCTGTCGGCATAGTGTTCTGTTGTCTGTTGCTGTCGTGTGGTCGTCGTCGCCGCTGTGCGTACTGTGAGCTGATATAGTATTTCCAGCTTTGGATGGTCTTCGTATGATGCTTTCAAAGTAAGAACTTGACGCAATGACGCCGAGGACGGCGAGTATATATTTGGCAGAGTCTACAATAACTTGCTCACTCGTTCTATGATTCTAGTTGATCACTGTGGTTGATTGTTATTAACATGACGTCTAACCATCACTTTTTAACGTCATGCTGGGGAACACTTCCGGACTCTTCTCCCGTGTCATGAAGTAGCTATATGGAGCATGAAGGCCAACCAAAAAGGTAAAATAGACCGAAGGTGATTGATTGGATGCTGTTTCTTGGAGATCTCCGAAGCCAGGAAGAGCATTACCCGTGGGAAGTGCCAAAAGGTGTCGATCCTGTTGAATGCACAGAGTATGACAAGGCTGACCTTGGTATGGGGTAAAGCAACGCGAAGAGACATCACAGTGACCAACCGAAGTGGTAGGAAGGATCCGAGGTCGATATTGTAACCTTGTTGTTATTGCGAACGCCGTCTAATATTGTCTATATAAGGTGTGAGAGTCTGGTGATGAATACACTTAGAGTGTTCCTCCGGTCGCAACCACTATTTCTTCATTGGCTCTGGTGGTGCGGTACTGTCGGCCACTCCACGCTTTCTTTCAATCTCCAGAATTCGCTCTTGCTCTGCCTTGTTAGCCAGTTCCTGCTTTCTCTTTTCGTCCCTGGCGACCTGATCAGGTCTCTTGATCGCGATGTCCTTGGGTCTGAAGTCGCTGAACATGTTCTTGAAGATTTGTTCCACCACCCAACATCCACAGTAATCCACAACCATGAGTGTTGTCAAGGTCCACTTGAAGTCGCGCGTGAAAGGTACCAGCCGCAGCCTCTCATTAAGCTCAGGGAGGAACTCAGTGCTACCTGCAAAGGCCACGAATGAGCAAGCAAGAAGTCCCCAGTACATGCCACGGTTTTCGCGAATGCTTTCACGGAAAGGTCGGCCTTGGTAGTTGATGGCAAAGGTGGAAACTTGCTGGATGAGCTGCATCAGGTAGACTGCACTGTTGAGCAGACTCGGTTCGAATTCACCTTCCAAGTCGACTTCGTCAGACGGAGGAACAATGGAGTAGACGACCCGGGAAAGGTAAATGAGAGTGGTGCAATGGATAGCGAATTGACCGAGGACCGATCCCAGAATGTACATATTCAGGATATTGGGTTGTGGACGCTCTTTTGACAACGCCTCGACAGGCTTCGCGCGAGAGACTGAAAGAAAGCAGACTGACATCAGCATACCACTGATCGTGACTTGCCCATCACCGAACTTGATGCCTGCGAGGTAAATCACCGAGAGACTGTAGGCACTGATCAAGCAGTTCAGAGCAAGGATCTTGTACATCTGAATGGTGGCGACCAATGTGCACCGCCCTTGTCGGATGATGTTCGGAATAGCCACGACATTGGCCAGTTTGCTGGTAAATGGTGCAGCAACTGAAGCGTCACCGAGCTTGATTGTAGGAGGCTCATGTTCATCGAGCTCATTTTCCATCATGGAAGAGGTGAACTTGTCAGCCCAGCCTGCCGCCTTCTGCTGTGCTTCAGCTTGTCGTCGTTCTTTGGCTGTCATGTTTGCATTTGACTGCTGAATAGCTTGAGCTCCCGGTGAAGTAATTGTCTCAATGGCTCCATTTTCGGCGTTGCCGTTCTCCAGTGAAATACCCTTCTTCTCGGCAATAGCCCTTACTGCTTTCTCATGGTGAGGGTTGCTGGGACCTGGCGGGTATAGGTGAGCGATACCAGGCGGAACAGGCGGTGCAGGTTGATTGAACCGCTTCATCAGTTGGACCTGCTTCTCATAAATTTCCTTCATCTTGGTGGTTCTGAAATGTTCGCCGATCTTGGTAAGATCGTCCGGAGAACCATTCAGCAGAGCAACACCAATGTGCGCTTGTTTCAGTGCGCCAACATCGTTGGTCCCGTCACCAGCCATCAGAGTCGTATATCCCATGTCTTTCAGTCCAATGAGGATCTCCTCTTTCTGCTTCGGCGATACTCTTGCATATACCCAGGTGTGTCTCAACAAGGTTTTGAAGGTTGCCCGCCCGCTGTATTTGGCAAGCGCATACCCTGTAAGGCAAAGATCTTTTGTTTCCAGGATCTGAGGATCGATGTCCGCGGACGGGTCGACGGGGATACTGGTCTTTTCGTCGACGCTACGCCAGACAAGTTTCGTGCCCGATGCATCGTGTTCTGGTGCGTCTAGGATCAAACAATCTCGGTCCACAATCTCGACTTGTCTCGCAACATGCACGGCAGTCAAAGGGTTGTCTCCAGTGATCATCACGACACGATGACTGCTCTCATTCAGCATCTGGACCGCCCTGATCGCATCCTCCTTCAGCGGAGTCTGCAAGACCAAGAAGCCAGCGAACGTGAGATCGCATTCCACCTCTTCACGCTTGAGATCGTTGATGCGTTTTTGACCAATCTCAGCATCTTTTTGGACGTATTTGTAACCAAGTGCCAGCACGCGAGCACCGTTCCTCGTGAAGAATTTGAAGGTCTCCTCATATTTGGGCGGGATGTCCGCCAACATCTTTTGGATCGTTTCCGGAGCACCTTTCACACCAACGAAAGTCCCCTTGCCTTTTCGTCCAGTCTTGGAATCTGTCATCGTTACCGTGGCCACAGAGCTTTGGCGCTTGAGAGCAGATGAGAATTGAAAGCGTCGTTTAATCTGGACTATGTGAGACGCACCAGCAGTCGAGACAGCTTTCTTGGATTTTGGAGGGGGATTACTTGATAAAGTGTCGTTGTCGCCCAAACTCCAATTGAGGGCTGTCAAGGTAGCCTTCTCCATAGGATCACCGACAATATCACCCTCGTCGAGTTTGACAAGGGCGTGGGCGGTGGCCAGAACGAGAGTGGTGTATACGCCACAATCTGGAACCTTGGTGATTGTGGAGTGGGCGCCATCTGATTCAATTTGGGTGTTCGACTTGCCCAAGTTTAGGCCGGCGATACCCTCTACGACCAAATCTTCACCGGTCAATGTACCAGTCTTGTCGAAGCAAGCAACATCGACCCGACCTGCAAAAGGGATCCGGAAGGGCTCTGTGCAGAAAATCGCAAATTTGCTAAGAGCCGCAAGACTGGTGTTGACAGCGAGAGACAATTCCATGGGCAGCTCAGGCGGCACAACGCTAGTGACAATCAAGATGCAGTCGAGCAGCAACTTAGATCGTTTCCGGTTATTCTTCACACCTTCTTGCCAGACATACCCGGACGCTGCCAAAGCAAAGACCAGCAGGAACAAGATGAACCATAGAGCTTCAGCATTGTTCGCCGAGACACGTTCGGTAGAGTAAATCATGGTGCGGACAAGGCTTCCCTGGTTCGTCTCGAATCCAGTCTTCAAAACAACAGCCATGGCTCCGTTGTCCGGGGGTGAACGAACTCCTGAATTTACTGTTGGACCGGTGTCGGCAGCGTCCGCGCTGGCTGCGGGATGCGTGATTTGGAGCACCTTGGTTCCTCCCCAGAGTAGTGCGTTCTTGTCCAAGCCTTCAGGCTCGATTGCCGCGTCACCCGGACGCAGCATCACCGACTCTTTCAGAAGTGGCGTACTTTCACCAGATAACATCGCTTCGTTGACAATAGCAGTACCTTCAATCAGCAGCATATCGCAGGCGACGCCAGAATCCTCCCCAGTCCTACCGACTGATACCAGATCACCCGGCAGCAGCTTGTCACTTTTAATTTCATTCCATTTGTTTTCGCGGTACACCCAGATGTCATATGGCTTGATGCTCATTCCTCTGAACTCGTTCAGTGTGCGCTGTCGTTGCCATACAACGGTGCTTTCAAAGGCTACCAGCATGAATAGAGTGAAAAGGGAGTAGTACCAGTAGTCGTCAAGTAACCAGAGGCCGACACAGAAGATTTGGAAGATGAAGAATGGTGCAACAGCGTGCTCCTTCCACAATTCCGTGAACGTGGGAACAGGAATGTCAAATGTGTTGTCTCCATAGTGCTTGTGGGTGGTCTCAATCTCAGCTGTAGACCTGAGACCTTTGGACAATTGGAAGTCTCGAAGGAGTGGTTTTTCCTCCGCATCGAGAGGAAAGGTCAGCGTGGCGAATGCGCCTTTCTCTTGAGAATAGTCGAACCGTCTCTTTTGGAATAGAAAGAAGATCCTTCCGTCCGCTCCCTTCTCAAGCTTGCAGATGGCTGGGGATCCCGAATTCACCACAGGTATGACCTTTATCAAACGCGCTTCTTCCACTTTCTTCGCTTTGGTCGTTGTGAATGTGGTGTCTAGGTTGACATTCCATTTGGTAGATAGCCAGGCCAATGACTGAAGCGTAATGATGGTAGCCATCCACAGGAAGGTCCATTCCTGGCCGTCGATGTATTCGTCGTAGAGATCCTCATTGAAATAGAGGGCCAAGAATATGGGCCATAGTATCGTGAAAGGCCAGACATAAGCCTTTAGGTAGATGGGTAGGGGATTGTGAAGACTTGCGCCTTGGATTTGGTCGTTATCCACGAGTTTAGATCTGCATGGATGATTAGGGAGTATTTCACGGACGGACTGGTGGTAGACTCACGCTTTTTGCGCCATGGCGAGCAGGCGAGCGTCAACCAAGAGCTCGACGGTCCAAATTGAACTGCGCAGAGATATCTATCTCCAGTCGTGGCGCGGTTAACCTTGAACAGGGTGTCCTTGGGAAAAAGTTGGAGCAAGCAATTTAGTGACATCGCCAGGCAGTATCTCGGACGAATGCAGCCCGCTAAAGTCAGCTGCGAGCCGCCACGAGGCTTGCCCGCCACAATGGCAGCTGCCACAGTCGCGCCACGGAGCATGAGGCTTGGCAAGTTTGTCAGTCAGCCTGGGGAGCCAATTCTTCATTTGATAACGGTTGACTCATTTTCATGCTTACACCTAGAACGCACAGAAAAACTTATACTACCGAAGCTGAAGAGACACCCATTTGGTCAAGCACCCCGACGTCTATCAGCGGAGCGTGCAAGTCAGAGTCGTTGTTGGTGGCGCCATCACAACCAAAGTTAACGCTTTCAATCATCTCACGTGCCATCGACCTAGATCTCGGAACAAGATCCAGTCTGGGGGCTTGAGAGCCATCCGCCTCACCCTGAGTGGCATTTCCGATGACAGAAACCACGGACGCAAGCAAGAGCTTGCCAGAGCGCTTGAAGGAGACTGTCGAGAATGTAGTTGCAGAAAAGAAAGCGAAGAAGGAAAAGGCACCAAAGCAGCCCAAACCACCTAAAGAACCAAAACCACCTGCCGCAAAAGCCGCCAAACCCGCCAAAGCTGCGAATGCGGCACCTTCAGCACCGGCAGACCCAGATGCTATGTTCAAGGAAGGATGGTTAGCAGCTGTGAGGAAAGAAAGACCTATGGATGAGCCAGTCGTCACTCGATTTCCACCCGAGCCTAACGGTTACCTCCACATTGGCCACAGCAAAGCCATCGCCATCAACTTTGGCTTTGCAAGATTCCATGGCGGTAAATGCAATCTACGATTCGATGACACCAATCCGGAAGCCGAAGAAGAGGTCTATTTCACTGCTATCAAAGACATCGTGAGATGGCTAGGCTTTGATCCGGCATTGATTACGCATTCCAGCGACTTCTTCGACGAACTGTACGAGTTGGCGGAGAAGCTGATTACTTTGGACGGTGCTTATATCTGTCACTGTACGGACGATGAGCTCAAAGACCAGAGAGGAGGGACAGATCCAAAGAAGAAGCACGAAAGATATGCCTGTCGGCATAGGGATCGGCCAACCGAAGAATCTCTGGCAGAATTCCGAGCAATGAGAGATGGCAAGTACAAGCCAAGAGAAGCATTTCTACGCATGAAGCAGGACATTACCGATGGCAATCCGCAAATGTGGGATCTTGTTGCATACCGCATCCTGGAAAAGCCTCATCATCGGACCGGTGACAAGTGGAGAATCTATCCCACATACGACTTCACTCATTGCTTATGCGATAGCTTCGAAGGCATCACCCACTCCTTGTGTACCACAGAATTCATCCTATCACGTGTGTCATACGAATGGCTGAACAACAAGGTCGACGTACCACACAAACCGATGCAGCGAGAGTACGGACGACTTAACATAACCGGCACTGTGTTGTCAAAACGAAAGATCAAGAAATTGGTGGACGACAAAATCGTCGGCGGGTGGGATGATCCAAGACTGTATACTCTTGTCGCCTTGCGGAGACGAGGCATTCCTCCCGGTGCGATTCTGTCCTTCGTTAGCGAACTTGGAGTCACCACAGCAACAATCAACATCCAAATCGTGCGTTTCGAGCAATCTGTTCGCAAATATCTCGAAATGACGGTCCCGCGTCTCATGGTTGTCCTCGATCCTGTACCTGTCATCATCGAGGACCTACCAGACGACTATCATGAAGAAATTGAGAACGCTTTTGGCCCCAAGGACGTGGATATGGGAACACACAAGCTGCCATTCACGAAAAAGGTTTACATTGAGCGGGATGATTTCAGAGAAGTGGACAGCAAGGACTTCTTCAGAATGGCGCCGGGCAAGCCTGTGGGTCTCTTGAAGGTCCCATATCCTGTCATAGCAACAAGCTTCAAGAAGGACGAGACGACAGGCTTAGTCACAGAGATCTATGCGAGATATGACAAACCACCGGAGGGCGAGAAGATCAAGAAGCCAAAAGCATACATACACTGGGTGGCCGATGCACCTGAACACGGTTCTCCGATCAAATGTGAAGTTCATGTCTTCAACCCGCTCTTCAAATCCGAGAACCCCGATGCAGTGGAGCCGAGCTTCCTGTCCGATCTACGCGAGGACAGTCTAAAGGTCTACCCTAATGCTATGGCTGAAGTCGGCTTGAAAGAAATCATGGAAAGAGCACCATGGCCGGAGGAGGCAGGTGAGAAGAAGGACAAATCCGGATATGAGTCGGTCAGGTTCCAGGCAATGAGGATGGGTTATTTCTGCGTGGACAAGGACACGGATGAAACGTCGGGCAAGATCATATTGAATCGAATCGTCAGCTTGAAGGAGGATGCGGGAAAGGCATGACGGGAAAGCCACAGGGATGGCTCTGTTGACCTTTGGGGTTGAACGTGATCCGCGTGATATTGTTAGGGTCGTCTGTGACTGTGTAGCGCTCGTACTTAGCGGTCTGTCCTTTTTCTAGGCTGGAAAGACACCCCTGGTCTGACTCGCAGAGTACAATAGGAATATTGTTTCAGGCGTTGTTTGGCACGGGAAATGACTAAGCGCCTTATCGATCATTATCGGTGCCACTGGCACTTTCCGACGACTCCCCTCCAACTTCGTGGCTCCATCATTTACCGCCTGCAGCATTGCACACAACACTTCGACTCGTCCGACTTGATGGAAGCCAGAGTCGAGCGCAATGTCCAAGCGCACTATCGGCGGTGGAAGAGTACTAGGAAGCGGTAGAACTCTAGGACCCCCCATCCCACCGCCGAAGCCAACTTCACCTCTCCCCACTCATGTACTCTCCCCTTCTACGTCCAGCCTATCCTTGAATACCTCAGAGAGCGGAGCCTCAACACCTCTTTCTTCCGATCCTCAAGACATCGCCGCTCGAGTCTCGCTCGATCATGGCACTCCAGATCTATCTGTTGCAGCGGCGGCTGCTGGAGACCGCTTGGTCTGCCCAATATGCAACGAGGAAATGGTGACACTGTTACAATTGAACCGACATCTAGATGACGCACATAAGGAAATAGAAGAGGAACAGCAAGATGAAGTCAAAGATTGGTTCAAACAGCAAATGGTCAAGGCAAAGAAGTTCCAACCGCTTGCAGTCTTGAATCAGAAACTCAAGGGTTTAGATGTTTTCGAGTCGAATCATGACATGTCTCGAAGTAGCACTCCAACCCCTAGACGAGAATCTGTTGCAAGAGAAGTGCGAGATGCTGCCCCGGCTACACCACCGAAGCCGGCGTCAACTGTCATTGACCCAGAAGATATCATCACCAAGCAACATTGGCAGAAGAGGACAGGCTATGATGTATGCTCGGATCCAGCATGTGGGAAGAGACTTGGTGGCACTTCAACCGGTATCGTCAATTGTCGACATTGTGGTAAACTCTTCTGTGACGAGCATACGATGTACCAGATGAAGTTGTCGAGATCCGCACAGCACGAACCCGTACGAGGCATGTGGTACAGGGTTTGTGAAACCTGCTACAAAAGTCGTGATGGATACATGGACAGGCATGGTCTCGAACGAGACCAGATGAGCGCTTTTGAGAGTGTAAGGCGAAGCAAACTAAGTCAGAAAGAGATGGAGGTTTCTCGTCTGGAGAAAAGGCTCTCAAGACTGACACAGCTGCTTGCGAATCCCCCAGAAGAGGTTGTCCAGCCAGCTACTAACAAGAGATGGTCATTGAATTGGACTCAGACCGACCCTCGCAAGGTACTGGAGCAGAGTATCGTGGCATGGCAAGATGACGCGGGAGTTCCACGCTGTCCGTATTGTCAGCAGGATTTCTCTCAGTACACGTTTCGGCGGCATCACTGCCGAACATGTGGCAAAGTTGTCTGCGGCGATCCAGTGACGGGCTGCTCAACCGTTGTCGGCCTCAGTGTTGCAACTAGTACGTCTTCTCTTCTTCTATACCGTTTATCCATACTGATTCTTCGTGACAGCTAACAAACGCCTCTCCACCACAGAAAAGCCACCTCCGAATAATACGGTTTCACTTGATATTCGGCTCTGCAAGGAATGCAATCATACCATATTCTCGGGTCGGGACTTCCAAGCTTCATTGACATCTCCTGCAATTGAAGCCTTCACACGATCTTACAGCAACCTGCTGCAATTTGAACGTGGCATTCGTCTTCTGTTGCCAAAGTTCCAGAAACTGCTGCAAGCCCTCCAGGATCCTGACCATCCGCCATCATCCACCCAAATCTCCGATGCTGCACGAACACGTAAACGACTTATGGACTCATTTACGCAGTACGATACGGCAGCACGACGCATTAGAGACCTACCCAGTCAGTTACCAACCCAGCTAAAACTGCAAAAGGCGATCTATCAGAATGCAACACAATTCCTGCATCTGCACATGCTCCCTTTAAAGTCACTTCCCAAAGTTTTGAAGCATGCTACGCCACACGGCAATAGTAGCACCCCCAAGCTGGATCCGAACAATCCTCGCTCGTCCCTGGCCGTCCTCAACAATAGTCACATGCGGCATGACAGCTCATCTAACATGTCCGTTGCAAGTTTTGCATCTTCCCGGGTTAGCGAGCTCGAAGCCGAAGAGAAATCGCTACGGGAGCGTCTCATTGTCCTCGAAGAGCAGAAGTTCATGGTGCAAGAAATGATTGCTGACGCCAATCGAAGGCGCAAATTTGACGAGGTGGCAGCTTTGGCCGGTAATGTCGAAGACCTCAGTACTGAGATTGACAGTGTCCAGAAGATGGTTGACAATCTGCGTGGTGAGTTCGAAGGCGTTTATACTGGGGGCGGTGGTCTGGGTAGTGGCGTCAATAGTCCAGTAAGAAGGCCGTCGGATATGGGCACCAGTTTGGGAAAGATCACCTAACCCCGGAATTACGACCCTGCGGGGCCCTTGAGGCCTATTGAGGCTGATATCTGAACAACACGAGAAGCCGAGGCCGATTATGGAATTGCTGGGACAGCGGAATAGTGGCCGCCCACCACGGAAACCGGCACTGTTCTTCACTATGGCACCATCAACCTCAAACTTCATCCACCACATAAACGCACGACGAAGTCCATCCCTCCGGGCAAAGGCGCTTTGTGTAGACACATACGCTTCCGACATGCCACAGCATTGTAGCACTTTTATCCTTCTCGTACGCAACGATGGCAGAAGTCTCGGGGGAGATCGTGCCAATCAGCAACACACAGCCTGCTGCAGCTTATGCAGCAAATGATGAGAAAACGACTCCGGCAGCACAATCATTCCAGACACCCACGTCGAGAACCAGTATATCGCTATGGCGACTCGTCTTCAGCTACACAATCATCTCGCCAGCGGTCCTCACGCATGTCTACGAGGGTAAAGGTCGGGACGACGACCCTTTCATCGTTGACTACCTTCTCGACGACCCTGTTAACCCGTACAATTGGCCCACATGGCGAAGATGGATGTCTGTCTGTATCATAGGCTTTGGGACACTGGCTGTGGCGGTGTGCACGTCCTCATACCTTAGTGCCTTACCTCAACTCCAAAGTCAATTCCATGCATCGGAAGAGGTCATTACTCTGGGATTGTCGTTCTTCATCCTTGGATTTTCAGTCGGACCTCTTTTGTGGGGCCCATTGAGTGAAGAATGTGAGTGCCACTCTAGCAACGAGACGTAGACGAAATAGGCACGAGGACGCCTGGGATGGCTCACAATATAGAATTTCAGAATTTCATACTGATGGCTTTGTGTGTGCAGATGGCCGACAGCCACTCTACTTTGGGACCTACGCCATGATGGCGGTCTTCAACATTGGTGCAACTGTCAGCAACTCCATTGGCGCCCTGATTGTTCTTCGGTTTTTTGCCGGAGCATTCGGATCCTCACCACTGGTTGTGGCTGGAGGCGTCATTGCCGACATGTTTGAACCCAGATTACGAGGACTAGGCATTGCAGCATGGTCCGCTTGCGCCTTTACCGGACCCGCTGTAAGTTGATGCTCTCCTGACGGGCAAAACACCTCTCAAGAGGGTATGTCGGATTTTCATCTACTCATGCTAACTGACCTCGTTGCCTAGGTAGGACCCATCGTTGCAGGCTTTATTGCCCAGTTCGCTGGATGGCGGTGGACGCTGGGCTTCGTTACGATATTTGCTGGCTCCATGTGGGTTATTGGGACGTTGACGATCCCTGAAACGTACTCCCCGGTTATTTTGCAGCGAAGGGCACGCAAGCTGGCGAAGATGACCGGTCGAGCACATATCTCAGTGTATGAGAAGAAAGCCGGTCATAGGTTGAGCGCCTCCAAGAAAGCACGCCAAGTCCTGTTTAGACCTTGGTCCCTGCTCATCCACGAACCAATCGTCCTAATGATCTCACTTTACATGGCAATCTTATATGCCACGATGTTCCTGCTGCTCGGAGCGTTCCCGGTCGTCTTCGAAGAGAAGCGTGGCTGGAGTCAAGGCATTAGCGGCTTGCCGTTCATTGGAATGGTCGTCGGCCTGGTCTCTGGAGCCATACATATGATGTTTGACAACAAGCGATACCTCAAAGCCATCCAAAAGCCGGACAACGATGTGCCGGAAGCCCGCCTGTTTCCTGCGCTGATAGGTGCGGTCACTGCACCGATAGGCATGTTTATCTTTGCTTGGACCAATGGCCCCGACATACATTGGATTGTCTGTATTGTTGGGATCGCCATTTATTGCCACGGATCAATTGTAGTTCAATTGGCAAGCATCAACTATCTGATCGACAGTTACACTATTTTCGCGGCATCTGTTTTGGCTATCAATGGTCTCCTTCGCGCCGTTCTGGCTGCTGCCTTGTAAGTGTCACGGCTCACGGCTTCGTTGCGCAGTCCGCTGACCTTGTTCGTCTTTCCAGTCCTCTCTTCACCACGCAAATGTACCATAACATTGGGATTCATCTGGCGTCGTCGATCCCAGCTCTCCTCGCACTAGCATGCGCGCCGGCACCGTTTATCTTTCGTCGTTATGGGAAGCAGATCCGCTTGAAGTGTAGATATGCTGCACAGGCTTATGAGTATGGTCTCATTCAGCGGAATGCGCAAAGGGTAGGGACCGAGGTTGAAGTAAAGGAGCCTGAGCCCTAAGAAGACTCATCCTGTAGGGGAAACACATCAAACTTGTTCCTAGCAGAATTGGTACCATATTACGGAGGATAAACCAGGGTACAACTCCAGTTCTCGGCGGCTTCGAAACAGGCCTTGCCCTTACAGCAGCTCATCGGAATCGCTGTGTTACATCTATGTCGACTTGAAGCCAATCGGCGCCTGCACACCGACAGTGCCATTTGCCCAGACAGTCCTATTCATCCAGGCAGCGCCGTTTGCCCCGGCAAGTGGCTCACCGTGCCCTTCTGGACCCTCATATAGCCAATAATAGGCCTCCATGTACATAATAGCAAGAACATAATTTGCTGATATCCTGGCCATTTCCTTTGACCACTTATCAAACGTGGGATGGGCCTGCGGCTGTTCGAACCCCCGCTGACTGGCAAAATCTAGTGCATTTGCACAGAAGCCACCGACAAGGGCGATGAAGACTGCGGATCTGTTCCTATACTCACGTGGTGTTTCGGGTTCGGAAAATGCGAAGTAGAGGAAAGCGATGAGTAATGGTGCGACCAGTAGAAGATGTTGGAGCCAGGAAAGAAATTCCACGTCGTTCGGGTGAAGAGGAGCCTGACGGTGTGCCGCTTGGTTGCCCCGGATGGACGCCATCTGGGGAGGGGATTGTCTCTCTGCCGTGTTGTTGTCTTTGCTAAATGCAGTGTGATTCATATCTTGTTGAAGTTGCGGGATGGACTCGATGGAGTGACCGGTCGGGACTTCGGCCATGGGTAGTCTTTCCGTCATCTTGCCGGTTGCAAGACTCCTGGTCATCTGGAACAGTGAGGAGAAAAGCAATGCAAGCGACTTTTGAGGACGGGGGGGTCTGTGGTGAAATTGATTTAGGAGGCTGCATGAGATTAAATACCTTGTTGACAAGTCTAGCGATTTCGGATTTCCAAAGGATGGCGAAGTCAACATCAATCAAGGAATCCTTCGAGCACGATGTTGTAAGTCATAACTTACCAACAGCTTTTTCCTCGACAATCGGAAAGCTGATGCGGTGGTAGTCCTATCATTGTCAAGTTAGTAGGTCTTTTTTTGGCGATCCACCCATCTAACACGAGTACGTTCTGAGTGTATTAGGCAACCACCAAACGATCGGTTCGAACATCCTCAACAAGGCAGACTTCCATTCAACCTTGAACCTTTATTTGACTTCGGTTCATTTATATAATGGATCGCCAATCATAGACTTCAAGTGTTCGATAGAAACTCACTTCCACATATCATGGCAAAAAATCAAGCAGCATTCCTGGACGGTGAAGGCTCCCGGCTTCGGGTCGGTGAGGCTCCAATGCCCCAGGCGGAAACCGGCCGCATAGTCATTCGCAACAGATTCCTCGCTGTCAATCCAGCAGATTGGAAGGTCCAGGACAACGGCTTCTTCATAAGGCGGTATCCAATTGTCCTGGGCGAAGATGTGGCCGGCGATGTCGTGGATGTCGGCGAAGGCGTCACACATGTCAAGAAAGGAGATCGGGTGATCGCGTAGGCCAGCCCTTCCACCTCAGAGTTCGGACATCGTGCTCGAGACCCTGTACTAATGTTACCCGTGATGATGAAGGCATTTAGACAACCTTGCAACACAGAAGGTCCAGCACGGTGGCTTCGCGCTTTATTGCTCAGCACCTGCGGTCACTGTGGCCACCATTCCGTCGGACATCTCTTACGCCGATGCGTCCGTGTTGCCGACCGCCTTTGATACCGCTGCCGTGGGGCTTTACTCCCCAGCCTCGGAAGGCTTTCTTGGTTTGCCATTCCCGTCCGCTAATCCGCCGTCCTCGGGCAAGATCATTGTTGTATGGGGTGGATCCTCTTCGGTCGGCGCACTTGCCATTCAACTTGCTGTTGCTAGTGGTGTCAAGGTTGTAGCCATAGCAGGTGGCCACAATTTTGACTTCTGTAAGAAGTGCGGTGCATCAGAGGTGAGCAGCCTTTGAGTTCGTATGCTTCTTGAAAGGAGCTGAAACTCTCTCAGGTCATTAGCTACAAGAAAGCTAGTGTTGTGGACGACGTTGCCGCCGCCGTGAAAAGTGTTGGCGGCGCTTTCACTGGCGTGTACGACGCGGTGTCGTTACAGGACCAGTCGTACAAACACGTTCTGCCAATCCTCGAGAAGCTTGGTGGAGGGAACCTGGCTACAGTTCTCCCGGTTCCTGATCCAAAGGGCGTCGCCATCAACATAAAATGTGGTAATATACTGTGCATTTCACCACTTACCCATCCTCTGTGGAAGGATTACGTCGCCAAGGCTTTGGAGAGTGGACAACTCAAGTGTCTTCCGGAGCCAGCTGTCATAGGCAAAGGACTGGAGTGCTGTCAAACTGGCCTGGATGAGAACAAGAGGGGAGTTTCAGCCAGGAAGGTGATCATTGAGCTGTGATGATCCGCATGTCCAGGAAACAATAAGTGTCAACCTACCTAGGTCTGGAGATGCTGGTCACGGTCGAAAGTGCCATCCCAGTCTCTGCCACTATAGGGCGCATAACAGCTATAGCAGGGACGTAGTTCTAGCATAGATTATAGCCGTGGCGGGATGGAAAAGATTCGTGAATGCAAGGTGTGTAGGTTGATGACATCTACTATCGAGGCCTTCAAAGGCGAAGGTGTCGGAAGAGTCAGACAAAATCAAATTTTGGCTTTGCTCAGTGCAATCGGCAGCGATTAATCCAGAAGGAGATAAAGGAGTTAGTCTGACCGTCATTCCAATTCTCTCTTGGCATCCTTCTTTGACTTCAATGTTTGATTTTGAAGTCATTGTCATTGTCACCTTTAGATCACCACTCATCCCCACGATGCGAAACTCATAGTCACATTGCGGCTCACATTGATTTGGTGGTCCATGCATGATCTCGGTGCCAGGTGGGAATAGAAATATGGCGCGAGCACTATACACGCAACGCTCGCCTGACCAGATCAAGCAGGATCTGGAGAAGGAGTTCTTGTCGCCTCCAACCACTTTCAGTCCGGAGTGGTTAAACAGATTGCAACAGAGATGGGACTATGCAACACCGGGCTACTCTGATCTCTGTCAGCTAGCGCCGACGCAGACAAGAACCATTACCCGCTTTACACGCGAAGGTCTCGAAGGCAGAGTGACTGGTTACAAGCAAGTGACCGTTCCTGCCTCTAGTGCCACCGCAAAGAATTCCACCTCACTCCTTCGGAGACCTGCAAACAGAGCCGACTTTGTCCGTGGAGCTGCTGGCTTCTTTCCGTTTGCCCCAGGTGGTTTGGACGGTGTTGATGCAATCCAGGCCTATGAGGATCAGAGCAGGCTTGAAGAGGACAATCGCACGACGGGGAAGAAACCCAGAGGCCTTGATCGCATCATCGACTTCGCAGGCGATAATGGCCTGCTCGAAATTCCGCCAGGTTTCACGAGGGGGATTAAATTTGAAGAGCGAAAGACTAAAGAATCTGAAGAGGATGTCGAAGAAGTTGAGAAGGCCTTGGACGAAGACGACGGCATACCCGTCAGCGGAGATGATCAGGGACACACAAATGGGGAGACTACACCGTCGTTGGTGAATGGAACTTCGGAGAGCGAAGAGGAGGAGGATGACACCGACCTCAATGACCTCTTGCCCGTGGAATTTCCATCGCTCCAGCCACATGGCGAGTTGTCGTCATCATCCACAAAGAAATCTGGGAGGGAATGGGCGCATGTGGTCGACATCAACAAGGAGATTTCCAACTTCCACGACTTGGTTCCGGACATGGCTCGGACGTGGCCTTTCGAACTAGACACCTTCCAGAAAGAGGCTGTCTATCATCTTGAGAGTGGTGACTCGGTATTCGTCGCGGCACACACTTCGGCAGGCAAGACGGTCGTTGCGGAGTATGCCATTGCTCTGGCTGCCAAACACATGACCAAGGCCATCTACACCTCTCCAATCAAGGCTCTTTCCAATCAGAAATTCCGCGACTTCAAAGGTGTTTTCGATGACGTGGGCATATTGACTGGCGACGTCCAAATCAACCCTGAGGCTAGTTGCCTCATTATGACCACCGAAATTCTCAGAAGCATGCTTTACCGTGGAGCTGATCTTATTCGGGATGTGGAGTATGTCATCTTCGACGAGGTGCACTATGTCAATGACCTGGAACGCGGTGTCGTCTGGGAGGAAGTCATCATTATGCTGCCGGATCATGTGACGCTCATCCTTCTTTCAGCCACTGTACCAAACACCTATGAATTTGCCTCTTGGGTTGGCCGGACCAAGAAGAAGAACATCTACGTCATATCTACACCGAAGCGACCAGTGCCATTGGAGCATTACTTGTGGGCTGGGAAGGATATGCACAAGATTGTGGATTCCGAGAAAAGATTCCTGCAAAAAGGCTGGAAAGCAGCAAACGACATCTTGTCAGGACTGGACAAGGTCAAAGAGCAAAAGGCTATCGAAGCGCAAACACCAGCTCGAGGTGGCGGGGCACAGCGTGGTCCTGTCCCACAACGAGGTGGTCGTGGTCAACAAGGTCAGCGTGGAGGCTCCAACCAACGAGGCGGTCAAAACCAGAGAGGTGGCCAGCAACGTGGTGGACAAAACGCCAGTCGGGGTCAGGGAAATATTGCACGTACTGGTCGTGGAGGTGGCAGAACGACTGCAGCTCAAGATAGAAATATTTGGGTTCATCTCGTCCAGCATCTGCGCAAGGAAAATCTGCTCCCTGCTTGTATCTTTGTCTTCTCCAAGAAGAGATGCGAAGAAAACGCGGACTCACTATCGAACCAAGACTTCTGCACAGCGACTGAGAAGAGTGCAATTCACATGATCATCGAGAAGTCAATTGCCAGACTGAAGCCTGAAGACAGAGTCTTGCCACAGATCCGGCGATTACGAGATATGCTGGGGCGTGGCGTTGCTGTACATCATGGTGGTCTTCTGCCTATCGTCAAGGAGATTGTGGAGATCCTGTTCGCGAGGACGCTGGTGAAGGTACTGTTTGCTACCGAAACGTTTGCCATGGGCCTTAATCTTCCCACTAGAACAGTTGTGTTCTCGGGCTACCGCAAGCACGACGGGCGCGAGTTCAGAAACTTGCTGCCCGGAGAGTACACACAGATGGCCGGCCGTGCAGGTCGAAGAGGTCTCGACACCGTGGGAACTGTCATCATCGTTGCGGCTGGCAAGACGGAGGCGCCTCCTGCTGGTGAATTGCAACAAATGATTACCGGTCCAGCCACCAAGCTACGCAGCCAGTTTAGACTACACTACAACATGATACTAAACTTGATGCGTGTCGAAGCGTTGAAGATTGAAGAGATGATCAAGCGCAGTTTCTCGGAGAATGCCACCCAAGCTCTACTGCCTCAGCACGAAAAGCAGGTGGCGCTATCCCAGGCGAATCTGGACAAGATCAAGCGAGAACCCTGCGATATCTGCGACATTGACCTGGAAGCCTGTCACGATGCAGCCATGAAATTCGAACAGCTCACGAAAGAACTTCATATCAATTTGTTGTCGACTCCGGTTGGTCGCCGCCTGTGGCAAGCGCGTAGAATGATTGTGTACAAGAAGGTGAGATGTCGTCGCGCTTATTGGTGCGAAGTCCCCACTGACATGTGTAGGACGGTATACGTAAGGTCGGCGTACTGATCGAAGACGGCCCTCGCGGCGGACCCAGCCCCTATGTCAATGTCCTGGAAATATCCGATATCGACCCGCACCGATCGACCAGAGATTTACTCCCATATCTCCCGCGGTTCCGTATGATGTTTACGCCATTACCGAACAAGGCGGCCCGAGTGAAGAGTGGACGGACCCAGGTTCTGTTGGACGACGTGGAATGTGTTACCCAGACGGTTGTCAAGGTCAGAGGCCCTATATGGTATTTTAAAGTTCTGAAAGGTAATACTTACACTTCTTCATATAGGTCGATTTGCGGTCGTTACTAAGCTCACAAATAGTTCAGAAGTCATTCGCTGAAGAGGAGTTTGTCAACGTATATTCGTCTTGGATCTCCTCGGCCTGGGAGGAACAAGATTGGAACAAGGTGCTCGAATTGCCTGTTCGTGAGCTGCTTGTCGAGAGGACTAAGGTTGCGGACTTTGTCGAGAACGCAATGTGTCTTTCGTGTCCGGACTTTGTGAAGCATTTCGGCATGCAGCATGACGAATGGCTGATCAAGGAGAATATCGAGGCCTTGAAGATGCTGATGTCTGATCAGAATTTGGCTCTGCTGCCGGATTACCAGCAACGGACTGAAGTCTTGAAGGATCTTGGGTTTATTGACGAAGAGTCTCGTGTCCAGCTTAAAGGGAAGGTCGCGTGTGAGATTCACTCTGCAGACGAGTTGGTGCTTACGGAACTTATTCTTGAAAATGTTCTGGCACAGTAAGTACTAGTCTTGCCTCGGCTCTTCGCATTTTTCTGACAATCACAGGTTCGAGCCGGAAGAGATTGTCGCGCTGTTGTCGTGTTTCGTATTCCAGGAGAAGACGGACAGTGAGCCTCAACTCAGCGAGAGCCTCAAACACGGCAAGGAAGCGATCATCGCGATCGCGGAGAAAGTCAATCGCTTCCAGATCTTGCATCAGGTCATTCTTTCGTCCGATGATGCCAATGACTTTGAATCTCGACCTCGGTTTGGGCTGGTGGAGGTTGTCTACGAATGGGCCAGGGGAATGTCCTTCAACCGAATCACCGACTTGACCGATGTTATGGAGGGCACGATTGTCAGAGTTGTCACGAGACTGGACGAGACCTGTCGAGAAGTCATGAGTGCTGCACGGTTGATTGGAGACCCTGGACTGTATCAGAAGATGGACAAGGCTAGGGAATTGATTCGACGAGATGTGGTGTTTACGGCGAGTTTGTACATGTGAGCGCTAGGTAGCGGCAACACTATGCTGGCGAGATCATGCTGGCAAAATCAGGTTTGCTTTGGCAGATGTATGTTCATCCTTTGTATGAAGAGGCTGCCTGGATAGCAACAAAGCATGAGCTGCAGGTGTATGAATGACGGGTGTCTATCTCGAAATACACTACTTTCGGCCAGCCATGACAATGAGCATATGGTGCTGGTTCACCCCACTTTTGACTTTTGATATCCGGCCCCTTCCCGGCTCACAGCATGTAGACGACTATCTCGTTTCGCGACGAGCAATATAGACTCAAAAGGCAGGTACTTCGAGAGTGCTGCGTAAAACTTTGCCCACGAGTATGTCGACTCCCAAACTCGTCACGACAGATAATCTGATCGTCTGCAACACATGCGGCGCTCAGTATGACGTCAATGAGAGCGCTGGGAAGGACGAATGTCGGATCTGCGAGGTACGTTTACGATTCCTTTCCCGTCTGATCAGGCTTGGTGCAGAAAAGGCCGGGAAGTCTGGGCACTCTCGGCCTCGTATGAGGACCCAGGGACAGATACTTGTTCAAGAGTCTTGACAGCGTACTGACGAGATGATGGACGCTTGTAGGATCCCAGACAATTCGTCCCGCCTGAAGGCCAGTCCTTCACGACGCTAGCCAAACTCAAGGACTCGGGCAAGTACAAGAACGTGTTTGAGCAATGCAAGCATAATGACACTGTCACTGAAATATGGACGGAGCCGAAGGTAAGTGACAGAACTCTACCATGCGCAACTCGTCAATTGGCCGGTTGCGTCAAGAAGTCAAGTGGCAGCACTCACGACTAATCCAGAGCATATAGTTCGGCATCGGGCAAAGTGCACGACTGATACGCACGCCGCATGGCAATGTGCTCTGGGATTTGCTTGCGTATTTGGACCAGGATACTGTGGACAAGGTATGCACACCACAACACTAGTTATGCATATGATGAGGGACAAGGCTGATATACCCAAACAGATCACGCAGCTGGGCGGAATAAAGTTTATCATCATTTCTCATCCTCATTTCTACACGTAAGTACCTCCCACTTCCTGCCTCGAGCGTGGTAGGATCTGTCCTCATACCAGCCTAGAACATGGGCAGACTGGTCCGCAACGTTCAAATGCCCTGTGTACATGACTGAGGTAGACTCGGTATGGGCGAATCGCAAGGACTCTCCGCATGCAACATTGAAGCTGTTGAAGGAGCCGGCCACAGAGCTTCTTCCTGGCCTTACCGCGGTGATATGTGGTGGCCACTTCCCAGGAAGCATGGTCCTGCATTCTGCACCACCAAACACCCCGATCCCGACGCTGTTTGTGGCAGATGCAATATTCGCCGTGGCTTCGGGACATAATCCGGACCCTGGGAAGCGGGAAGACACAATATCGTATCAATTCCTGTGGAGTATTCCCAACTACATTCCCCTGCCGCCCGACATTGTCCTGCAGATTTGGAAGGCCCTGAAACCGTTTGAGTTCAAGGCGACTTACGGGGTTTTTGCGAAGGTGTCCAACGTTTGTAAGTTGCTCCGAAAAGCGCTTGTTGTGAATCCGTTGCTGATGTGCGTAGTCGAGAGGCCTGGTGAGACCTTGGGTTTGAGGGGCAGAGTTCTGCAGAGCGCAAAGATCGCCGTGAAGGCCATGGGCTATTCCGATCATAGCATTTTCGCCGAGGAATTGTAATTTAGATGCCATGCGATCGAACGACAGAGCTGTGACCGTATGGTGGAATCTGGATGATTCCGACCTTCAGTGATTGCAGTCGAGCGTTGCGTTGTTTGGACGTCGGCGAGGGTCCGAGGCGACTGCCGTGGTATCCGGACAAGGTGTGCCAGCATTTTAGGCTGGGAGCTCTTTCGCAAATTGCTTGTTCAGACCAAAAGAACCGCATTCAAACATCCGTCTCGGCTAGGATCATTCGTGACTTGCGCGTATTTACCCCAGACCACCTTTCCTCCGGTCGTGACAAGTCCAAGTTCGCTGACATTCACCTCGATAACCGTTCCTTTTGACAAGACGCCCAGTTGGGTGTACAGGGGATTCTGGGGATTCTTCTTGACACCCAAGATCGGGAGTTGAACAGTGACAGCTAATTCTGGATGTGTCACGTTCGCCTTTTTGTAACGGAGACCCATAGGGCGAATGAAGCGCTCAAACTTGGGTGCTCGGCGGGTGAAGTCGGGTCCAACGAACTGAAAGCATGTCAGTGGTGGTTTTTTGACGTCTCATGAGTGTACATACGGTAGGCTGCGTGATCATTCGCTTCCAAGCCTTCTTCTGAGTTTTCTTGCCAGTCTTCACCACTGTGTTTAGACCGTCAGCACTAAAGCACCAAACACGGTATTTTCCGCTTTACCTTTGAACATCTCATCCTCCGCTATTCCACGTACTTTGGGCAACGGCACAGCATACTGCGCGCTGCGTTCTTTCCGACGGTTCTTGATAGCACTCGACAATGCCTTTGCCTGGTTCGACTCGGAGCGATCGAGAAGGTAGTTGGGTAGAGGCGTTGAGGATGGCTCGCTGGGCGCCGTCGACTTAGCGTTCCTCTCTTCTTGGACCTTGATGGCTTTCTTCATCTGGATCTTTTCCGAGTGTCGCTTCTTCTGATGGAGCTTCGCTCGCAGTCCTGTGAGCTTCTGGGCCTTCTCCGAGAGGTCATGACCTTCTCTCGCCGTTCGCTTTCGTACTCGCTCATCGTGATCGAGACGCTTGCCATGTAGAGCAGTGTGTCGTTCCATGTACTCATTCTAGCCATGCCGTCAGTATGAATAGCACACTCAGACACAGGAGCACTTGCTTGAGGCATAATGAAGTTTGCGCTGCTATACAGCAGACTCTGTTATTGGAAGGTTGGTAAATGGTGATGCGCAGTGAATTTTCTTCGACAGTGGCTCTTCGACAAGACGTATGCAATGGCCTCAAATCCGCAGACGATTTGATTGTATGGTGTTTGCCTGGGTGTCTGCCTGAGTGTTTGTCTGGGAGTAGGGCGTTGTTGACTGTGGTTTGAATGAGTCTTCGTGAATTTGCGTAGAGATTTTCGAGAAGACGCATGGGAGTCGGTGATCGGCCGGAGCCTTGTCAATCCCAGCACGTGATGAGCGGCGCGCCAAGATTTCGGCCTGCCTCAGGCCGTCCCTGGGCCCATGATGCTGAACACGACCACTCTGCATGAACGACTTCCGACCTCGCCGACAACATCACTACTGGACGACAATGTGCACGGGATGCCGGACAAATTGCTGACAAGCTGACAGCCCTCAGGAATGTCTATTCTACGCATGAACACCCGTTCATCTGATGGCTATGGCTCAAGGCTAGAGGCACCGTTAGGAAAGGTCTGGGTCACAGCGTGGCAGACCTCCTTTGCCCCCGAGGCATAGCCAACGAATGTGGCCTCAGGTACAGTATGGACCAAGGCGACGGTGGGCTACGTCTCGAATCCAACAAGCAAAAAGGCAGTGCACGTCACCGCCTAGCACGGCCCTATGAACGACCTCGTGTGCACAGTACGGAGTACACAGTAATGGTGTTACGCTGACAACGCTAGACCGGATCGAGGATGGCGCATAGATAAGAACGAGTACCTATATTTCCTCGCATCGTCGCACAACGCTGAAATCACAACGTTCCCGCGGATCTTCCAATAAGGGACGTGTTGATTCGTCCTGGTTGGATCGATATTGATCGAGACATCTTGCAAATAATGTAGCGTCATCATCCATCGCGCTCTGATGAGCAGTTTCATCCCACATTTTGTAAGTGGCTGTCTTTTTGTTGTCCCTGTGCTTCTTTCTCTTCCAACCTCACTCGGTGCGTCTCTCCCAACACCTGGAGACGCCCTTCTGGCTATGGGAGACTCCGTCTATCTATACATACATCCAACTCTCTGATCCCACTCGTGAAATATGGAAGATCCAAAGACGGATTCTCAGGGCATTCCCGAGAAGATCGAAACCTTAGATACACAACAAGCGAAGGACATTCTACCTCCATCACCTCCTCCCACAGATGATAACGTCTCAGACCGGGACGATGACAATGTGGATGTGGAAATCCCTCTCCCACCCCCGACCACAATCCCTACCAAGGTCCTAGATGTCGACCTCAAAACACCGGACAGTCATGTACCACGAGATCCCAGGCTGATCAGACTGACTGGTGTCCACCCGTTTAATGTTGAAGCACCCTTGACGGAACTCTTCAACGAAGGGTTTCTGACGAGTCCAGAATTATTTTATGTTCGCAACCATGGAGCAGTCCCGCAAGTCCAGGATGAGGACATCATGGACTGGGACTTTACCGTTGAAGGCCTCGTTGACAACCCAATGACAATTTCATTACGACAACTGATGACTGAATATGACCAAGTCACCTATCCCATCACATTGGTTTGTGCTGGCAACAGGCGGAAAGAGCAAAACATGGTCAGGAAAAGTAAAGGTTTCTCTTGGGGTGCCGCTGGACTTTCCACAGCACTCTTCACCGGTGTTGTAATGTCAGAAGTGATTCGACGAGCCAAACCCAAACGGAAGGCAAAATACGTCTGCATGGAGGGGGCCGATAAACTGCCCAATGGATTCTACGGCACGTCTGTCAAGTTGAACTGGGCTCTGGATCCTAACCGTGGATTCATGCTCGCCTACAAAATGAACGGCGAGACATTGAGGCCCGACCATGGATTGCCACTGCGTGCTGTTATCCCTGGACAAATTGGTGGCCGATCTGTCAAGTGGCTCAAAAAGCTCATCGTCACAGATAAACCCAGCGACAACTGGTACCACATATACGACAACCGAGTGCTGCCGACGATGGTGTCACCAGAGGAGTCTGCAAATAATCCCAAATGGTGGACAGATGACAGATATGCAATTTACGACCTCAGTCCAAATTCAGCCATTTGCTACCCACAGCATGAAGAGCAACTATGCCTCACTGGAGGTCCCAGTACCTACCGTGCCAGAGGTTACGCATATAGCGGAGGTGGTCGACGTATAACACGTGTCGAAGTCAGCCTCGACAAAGGCAAGACCTGGAGGTTGGCCGACATTGAGTACGCCGAAGACAAATATCGTGAGGTTGACAGAGACCTTTTCGGTGGCAATATCGACATGCATTGGCGGGAAACATGCTTTTGCTGGTGCTTTTGGTCAATCGAGCTTTCGCTGGAAGAGTTGTCTGGGGCAAAGGATATGTTCGTCCGGGCGATGGACGAAAGCATGAACGTCCAACCACGAGACATGTATTGGTCAGTTCTGGGTATGATGAACAACCCATGGTTCCGTGTCACAATTGCTCTAGAAGGGGACTATCTCCGCTTCGAACATCCTACGCAGCCAGCCCTAATGCCTGGTGGCTGGATGGAACGAGTGAAGAAGGCGGGCGGTAACCTTGCCAACGGCTTTTGGGGTGAAAAGCTCGAAGGCGAGGACAAGGTTATACCCGACGAAGAGCAAGCCAAGGAAATATCTATGGTCAAGGAAGGCCTCAAAAACCCAATCACGATTGACGAGCTCAGAAAGCACGACAACGAAAAAGCACCTTGGTTTGTGGTCAAAGGCGAGGTCTACGACGGTACCGAGTTCCTCGAAGGACACCCTGGTGGTGCACAGAGTATCATTTCAGCAGCCGGGCTCGATTCGAGTGACGAATTCATGGCCATCCACAGTGAAACTGCGAAGGCCATGATGACGAAATATCACGTTGGATCTCTAGACGACGCAGCAAGGACCGCATTGACAGAAGGAGACGTTGAGGCAGATCAGTCCGGCGCTCCCTCAGAGACATTCTTGAATTCCAAAGTTTGGAAGAAAGCCATCCTCTCCGGCAAGAAGATTGTCTCTTGGGACACACGTATCTTCACCTTCAAGCTGGAATCCCCCGAACAACGCCTGGGTTTGCCAGTAGGACAGCATCTCATGGTCAGGCTAAAAGACCCTGCGACCCGCGAAGCCATTATCCGCAGCTACACGCCCATCTCCGAGATCAACGACAAGGGATACATGGAAATGCTGGTTAAAGTGTACTTTGCCAACGCATCGACCAAAGGCGGAAAGATGTCTCAAGCCATGGACGCGCTTCCCATCGGGCACTTCATCGAGATGAAAGGTCCCATCGGCAAGTTCGAGTACCTCGGCGACGGCAAGTGTCTGATCCAAGGCAAAGAGCGGTTCGTGAGCAACTTCGTCATGATCTGTGGTGGAAGCGGTATCACGCCTATCTACCAGGTCTACCGGGCCATTATGCGCAAACCCGAGGACAAAACAAAATGCGTCATCTTCGATGGCAATCGATTATTCGAGGATATCTTGTGCAAAGAGGAGTTGGATGTGCTGATGGAAGGCAACGATCATCGGAGTAAAGTCTTGCATACCCTCACAAAAGCTCCGGATGATTGGACCGGTTTGAAAGGACGAGTCACAGGTGAATTGGTGAAAGAGCACTCCGTGAGGAACGACAATTCTTTGGTCTTGATTTGTGGTCCCGAGGCTCTGGAGAAGACTATGCATAAAGCTCTACTGGAGCAAGGGTGGACTGACGACCAGTTGATGTTCTTCTGATCTTGACGCTGACGCTGTATGAAGGGATGCAAACGCAAAAAGCAGCATGAAATCTATTTTTGGGCATGGCGATGGCGTTCTTGGGTGTTGAAAGCGTTGAGAAATTGATTGTCGCCACCAAAGGCACAGATAGTATGTAAAACAGAAATCTACATGAACAAGAATATGAGCGTTGGATCTCCTTGGAGATGTCTTTGTGTACAGCTTCTCCGGCGGAGGCTCAAGTGGCTACGGAAACATATTTGTAGTAACCCACCAGTAGGTCCATACCTGACCCACCACAGATGAGGCTGGACCTTTGGTCAACGATGGGTGTGAAAAGTCCAGGTGTCTGACATGTCATTACAATACATGGCATGCAAGTATGATTGGTCCGAGCAACGTTATCTCGAACTTTCTCGGCACCACTCACAACGCGCTTTTTGTCACAGATCTTTCCCACCAAACTGAGCCGTGGAGATAACGCATTCGATCAGGTCCTTCCAATTCTGTATCTTTGCCCAGACTTGTCAAGCCGTAGATGGATACCTAGGTATCAACTGACGACAGAAAATGACAATGCATCGTTATCTATTGGCTGGACGACACAAATGGATATCTATCACAGATGATCGCAGCCCTGGCGCGCCGCTCGCAGATTCCCCACGGGCATTGGATGAGCCGCAACTGATAAGGGACGAATTTGGTCAATTCGGTTGGCTGACGACTGGATACTCCTGTTCCGCGGACTTTTGATATACACAAGTGGCGTCAGAGGTATTTTTCCATGGGACATGCTGCCACCCGTTCACGACAGCTATCGTTTGATTTTCTGGCTTCTTTCGTTGATCTCGTTGTTCTGCGTTGATCTCGTTCACAACGTGGCCTCGAGTGTGTCCCGGGTGCTCGTAACAGTTGATCTAGTTGTAGGGCGAATTGAGTAACCGTCAACGCCAATTACAGCAGCCAACAACTCCAAAATGTCGAACTGGACTGCGGATGGGTCGCCCGGCATGGCTATCAGCCGGGAACCAAAAGGTGCTAAAGCTGAAGGAGATGCAAAGGCGCCAGTACCCCAGGAGAAACGGAAGAGGGTCGTCGTTGTTGGTTTGGGAATGGTTGGTATTGCATTCGTGTAAGTCGTCTTCGCGAAAAGAGCCTCACAGGCTTGGATTATTGATTGTGCTGATATCTTTCCAGCGAGAAATTGCTCAAGCTGGATGCAAAGCGTCATGAGTACGACGTTGTGGTCATTGGCGAGGAGCCACATCTGGCATACAACCGCGTGGGCTTGACGAGTTTCTTCCAACATCGACAGGTCGAGTGTTTGTACCTGAACCCCGAGGAGTGGTACAAGGGCCACCCCACCGAGTCGTTCAACTACCATCTCAACACCCTCGTCACGGAGATCAAAGCAGACGAGAAAGTGGTCTTGACGTCAAAGGGCGATACTGTCCCGTACGACATGTTAGTTCTCGCCACAGGATCTGACGCCGTCCTGCCGAAGCATACGCCTGGCCATGATGCCAAGGGTGTATTTGTGTACAGGACGATTGACGATCTGCAGAAACTGATCGAATTCTCTGCAACGGTTAAAGGGTCGACCGGATGTGTCGTTGGTGGAGGACTTCTAGGTCTGGAAGCCGCCAAGGCGATGATGGACCTCGAAGAATTCGACCAGGTCAAACTCATCGAGAGAAATCGATGGGTGCTGTCAAGACAGCTTGACTCTGATGCTGGTAATATGGTTGTCGACCTTGTCCGCGAGCTGGGATTGGACGTGATGATCAGCAAACGAGTCGGCAAGATCCTGACGACAGACGACAACAGAGTCAAGGGCCTTGTTTTCGAGGACGGCGAACAGATGGACTGCACGTGCATCATGTTTGCTATTGGAATCAAAGCGCGAGACGAGCTGGCCCGCAAAGCCGGCTTGAAGTGCGCTGACCGAGGCGGCGGTGTCACCGTCGACAACAGCCTCCAGACCAGCGATCCCAACATCTACGCTATCGGCGAGTGTGCAAGCTGGGAGAACCAGACGTTCGGTCTTATCGCGCCGGGCATTGAGCAGGCGGATGTCTTGTCCTTCAACCTCACACAAGCGAAGTCGCACAGCCCACGCACATTCAAGCGACCGGATCTGAGCACAAAACTCAAGCTGCTTGGTGTCGAGGTCGCCAGCTTTGGAGACTTCTTTGCTGACCGAGACGGTCCCAAAGATTTGCCCAAGAGACACGTTAAGAAAGAACAAAAAGAGACCGTGCCAAAAGACCAACAGGACAAAGTCAAGGATCTGACCTCGGGTCCTCCACCACCCGCCGTCAAGGCACTCACCTATCGGGATCCTTTTGCGGCGGTCTACAAGAAATATCTTTTCACCATGGACGGCAAGTACCTACTGGGTGGGATGATGATCGGCGACACGAAGGACTATGTCAAATTAGTGCCCATGGTCAAGAACAAGAAGGCTCTAGAAGTCCCGCCGTCCCAGTTCATCATTGGTGCGTCGAAAGACGGCGAAGAGGATGCGGATGACCTTGCCGATGACACACAGATCTGCTCGTGCCACAACGTGACCAAGGGCAATGTGGTTGAAGTCGTCAAGGACGGCTCGTGCAAGGCGATCGGTGAGGTCAAATCTTGCACCAAAGCTGGCACAGGATGCGGTGGATGCATGCCGCTTGTGCAGTCGATCTTCAACAAGGCTATGAAGGAAATGGGCAATGAGGTCACCAACCACATATGCCCTCACTTTGCGTACTCACGCTCCGATCTGTACAACATTGTCTATGTCAAGAAGTTGCAGGACTTTGGCCAGATTATGCGTGAGGTGGGCAAGGATCCCCACAGCCTTGGGTGCGAGCTGTGCAAACCGGCCGTCGGGTCGATCCTGGCTGGAATGTTCAATAAGCACGTCATGGAGAAGCCGTTCCATGGCTTGCAGGATACCAACGACCGATATCTCGGAAACATCCAGCGCGACGGCACGTATTCAGTCATTCCTCGTGTCGCTGCTGGTGAGATCAGTGCTGAGAAGTTGATTGTTATTGGCCAAGTCGCGAAGAAGTATGGCCTGTACACCAAGATTACCGGTGGTCAGCGCATTGACATGTTTGGTGCAAAGAAGCAAGATCTCCTGGCCATCTGGTCGGAGCTTATTGCCGGAGGCTTGGAGTCGGGTCATGCCTATGCCAAATCGCTTCGGACGGTCAAGTCTTGCGTCGGCACGACCTGGTGTCGATACGGTATTGGAGATTCGGTTGGTTTGGCCGTCAGATTGGAAGAGCGATATAAATCCATCCGATCACCACATAAGCTCAAGGGTGGTGTCTCCGGTTGTGTGCGAGAATGCGCTGAAGCACAAAACAAGGACTTTGGCTTGATTGCCACTGAGAAAGGCTTCAACATCTTCGTGGGAGGCAATGGAGGTGCGACACCAAGACATTCTGAGCTCCTGGCAAAGGACGTTCCCCCTGATGATGTTATTCCTATCCTTGACCGCTACCTTATGTTCTATATCCGAACAGCAGACAAGCTCCAGAGAACTGCTAGATGGGTTGAGGGTCTCCCTGGAGGTATTAAATACCTTCGAGAGGTTGTCCTCGAAGACAAACTCGGTATCTGTGCCGAGCTTGAGAAGCAGATGCAAGAACTCGTTGGCACTTTCTTTTGCGAGTGGACCGAAGTTCTGAACGACCCGGAGAAACGAAAGCAATTCCAACAATTTGCCAACTCGACCAAAAACCAAGAACCTGCCGTTGAGAAGGTGGAGGAGAGAGGTCAATCAAGACCCGCGTACTGGCCAAAGGATTCGGTTCATGAAGACTTCAAGGGCACAAGATGGAGCGATTTGACGTGGCAGCCCATTGTCGAGGCGAAGAAATTCCAAGATTCCGACACCGGATCTTCGCAAACTGTCCTTCGTGGCGATACTCAACTTGCCGTGTTCAAACTCAAGGGTAAGTACTATGCAAGTCAACAGATGTGTCCTCACAAGAGGACATTTGGCCTTTCCGAAGGTCTTGTCGGTGAGACAACTTCACCTGATTGTAAGGACAGCAAGTTTTACGTCAGCTGTCCTTACCACAAGAGGAATTTCCAGCTCAATGGCGATATCGACTTCGACAAGAAGGATGCTGGTGCTGGCTCGTGTTCCAACGACACCAGTATGTCAATTGCCACATTCCCAGCGGAAGAACGAGAAGATGGAATGGTATACCTTAAGCTTCCTCCCGTTCATGAGTTGGACAACGTGCTTGGAACGACCAAGTATGAAGTCAAGGCCGATGAAGCTGCTGATCCATTTGCGAGTCTCGACAAGAAGTTGGGATTGAAGAAGGGTCTACGGGTTGGTCGAACGGTTGGTGCGATGCCGGGAACTGGTAATGTGAGCGCTCGACCCATTGGGGTTTCAGCGCAGAGGAGGATTGATTGGTGATTTTGTCGGCAAATGTAAATGTGAATGTGAATAATGAAGTATAACAACCGCCTGTGGGCGGGATGCAGGTGTTTGCCTTCGGGTATCCGTGTAATCTATGTGGTCAGCCATGAGAGACTTGCATGAACCCAACAGTATCGCAGTAGGTGATTTTCCTGAGTTCCGACATGAGGTATGAAGCCTACCTAGGTAGGCCCTGAGGGTGTGCTCGAGTCGAAGACGTGTATGCATAAAGTTAAAGCAGCAGCAATAAATTGTCGAAAACGGACTACCTTGGCGACCGAGTCCGTCCGCCAATCACACTCACTCAATTTGGAGCTTTCTCGATTTTGAAGCTCCTCCTGCACGCTCGACTTTCTCAGACAACTCCGGTTCTGAGATCAATTTCACGACACTGAGCAGTCTGAGAGAGTGCTGTTGCATTCTACTGTCTCAGCTTTCACCTCCGCCAATACCGACCCATTCTTCTCTCCAGCCGGTAGTCAAGATGGGGATCACAGATTTCTTCTCGGACCTGCTAAGCTCGGTATCCTTCGTACAGGAGGTCCACGCCGAAGCTCCAGCGGAAGACGACGACAAGGAGGAGGGAGGAGATGACGAGTCAAAGGACGACAAGGAAGGTGATGATGACAAAGAGGATGGAGGTGACGACGAGAAAGAAGAAGGTGATGACGACAAAGGAGACGATGAAGAGGAGGAGGAAGAGGAAGAAGAGGAGCCAGTCGACCCCAAGCCCAAGTTAGAAGAAGGTACGTTTTTGGTCGTCGGACTGCAATGTTGAGAACCGGGATGAGCTGACATGAACGCCATCAATAGACTGCGCCAAATCGGCCCAATGCGCGGGCTACAAGCACCACTTCGACGAATGCGTTGAGCGCGTCACATCGGCACATGAAAACCCTGATCATAAGGCACCCCATGAAGACTGCGTCGAAGAATGTACGTATTCCAGTGTTGTTTGATTCGGTTTTTGCCAGCAGCATGTCTCTGCCAGTGTGGCGAACGACCAGCTAACTCGAGCACAGTTTTCCACCTTCAACATTGCGCCACACAGTGCGCTGCTCCTAAGCTATGGAAGGCCCTGAAGTGAACGACCCTCTTTGCAGCAACCCGTCCGTCGATCCCGAACCTCCGCTCGAGCGTCTCTCGTATCGTCGTGGGAAATTCTGGTACAATAGAAGGTGGCTATACGCTTGTCCTCGAACGAGATTCTACGATAGGATGTGGCCAGCACCCATGACATACTCTGGTGAGTAGGATCTGGGGAGCTTGCCTTTTACGTTGTCAACATCATCCGCCCAACACATAGTCGCGCCTGTACAGCTATTCATCTGAAATAAAACGCAAGACAATTGATACACATGCATATGGTTTTTGAACTGGACGGTTTTCTGTGTCTTTCTACTCGGACCCCATGAAACGTGAATCAAATATTACTGCAATCGTCATGTGCAGTAGAAATTTCTATGAGATATATACTGATCTGTAGGCACAAGATTCTGTCCTCTTCGTATGTCACACACCTCTAGCAGGAGCGACAGGCTCAACATCAACGGGCAGCTCATCATGATAAGCACCGTCGACCACCGTATCTACCGTACCGACTGAATTCCGATCAGCCTCCCATCTCAACCTTCTCACCCGCCCAGCACGTCCGAATAGTCCCAAACACAGCGGCAGCGGCACAACCGCCAACCCTAGTACAGCCTGAAAGATCAAAGCACGCTTCATGCCGAGAGGCGGGTCCGCATCCTTGCCATTCTTCAGCGCGTTCATCACGACGATGAAAATGCCGCCCAATAACTGCCCACCACACCAGCATAGACTGGTCCCCAACTCCGGGCCCAGCGGGTAGTGGATTTCGACCAGGAATTCCAAGGCCACAGGGACCAGACCGAAACTTGCAGCGCCCAGCACCGCGCACACGAGGTCGACGTACGCTATCGAATGCGTCTGCGGGGCCCAAATGAAGATCAGATAGAAAATGCCCAGGACCGGAATGGCAGCTTTGATGTACACGAGGTAGAATTTGTACCGGTCGATGAAGGGCGAGGATATTGCCGAACAAACCAGGCCGACGACGATCAGCACCGCACCAGCGATTCCGGCATCGGTCTCGCTGAAACCATAGGGCTCGAGGATCTGGTTGAGCAGGCTGGAGAAGGCGTTGAAGAAGCCGACGTACACAATAAAGGGGATGAATAATAAGTAGAATTCGAGCGATCTGCTGAGGATGTGCATGTCTTTGCGCAATGAGGCGCGGTCCATGTGGTCGGGCACAGAGCCAGCGGAGGGCGGCGTGGGTGGTTTGGCGGGGACGAAGAATGCCGGGAGACATGCGGCGGAGGAGATGATGGAGATGTACAGGATCATGTTGGGGATGTCGGACGGCTTGTTCGCCCAGAAGGGGGAGATAAGCTGGCCGAGTGCGGCGCCGAATGGGTTGGACAGTGAGGCCAGGGCCGTCGCGGTGGTGCGTCCGGCAGGGCTGAACCACAAGTTGCTGTAGCTTGTGGCGGTAGACAGTACAAAGGGCTGGGCGAAGCCGATTATCAACTGGCCGACCATGACACCGGGGAAGCTGTTGGCGCGGGTGGCGCCATATTTGATCCAGTTGCCAATGAGCAGTAGCACTGCTGTGATGATGATGGCGGCTTTGGGGCCATGTTTGTGCAGCACGTAGAACGTGGGCGGCGTAGCGACGCAGAAGGCGAAGAGGAAGGCTGTTGATACCCAGTTGATGTTTGCCTCGGAGGTGTTGAAGTACTTGGCTGATGTGGACGAGACGGGTGCAAAGGCGATCCAGTCCCAAGACACAACGATGTTGAGGAGGACTAGAACAACAAGGCCGTAGAAGCGGCGCTTGTAGACTTTATATGTGACGGTGGAGGTCGTTGATATGCGCGAGAGCGTGCGTGTTGTCCCCGTCGTTGGCGATATTTCTTGTACATCAGCCTCTTCAGGTGACTGGGATGGATCGGTTGTGCTGATTTCTGCGCCCTCGGATCTCTGCTGCACGGCTTTGTTGGCGGTCGCTTTGCCCATCTTTTGTGTTTGTTGAAGATGACGATCGCTCAGGGGGTCGTCAGATTCGTCACGCGCCGATGCTCCAGTCAGGGGCTTGAGCAGCGTGTATTCTGTCCTTTGCACCATGAACTGCTCAGACTGGGAGCAACAAGCTGCAGAAGCTCGTCGCCATTCTCTGAGAAGAGAAGAGGTCGAACAAGCACGCGCCTTTGACGTTAACAGAGGTTGGCGATGGAGAGGGGGTTACATAAGTTTGGTAGAGATAAGGTCACACTTTGACATCTCATCCCTCAACCCGCAAATTGACCGCAGTGGATCATCGATTTAAGAAATCTAGACTGACGAGTAAGCGGGCCGCCTCTCACAGCCCTGCTCCGTGCCTGGGATGCCCAGAAATCATATCTCGGAGTTGACATCGTTACCGCCATCATAGACTTACGCTGGTTTTCATTTTCGTAGGATCCTCTTTGCTAGCACAAGGACTGCCCAAGGCTGTGACATTGCCTCTCTTGGAAAGGTTCTGACAAAAGGCTTTCTGCTCATACGAAATGAATGATGGCGTTTCCAGCCAACGAATCATCTGAAGATGAATTGGAAGGGGTTTTAGAACGCCACAGTCACAATCACAAAATGAAGGATGAAAGCGTTTTCCGTGCTTAGGCGCAGTAATGGAATTTCATTGAGACAATCGCTGGGATGGTAGCATGGGGTCGATGGACGCACCATCTTGATGCTCATCAGCTGTGCTCCTGTACATTGCATCTGAATGCATAAAGTCTTTTCATCTGGAGTTCCGAGCCAACATCATTCAATGTGAAGCTGGCCTGTCGATGGCCAATCATGGGATGTAAAGGCTGTGTGCTCTTCAAAATCCATAAGGAGGAACAATATAAATATAGGTGTCCCCATCACCAAAGCGCGAAAGGAGTATACCTCCCGGTCGCACAGCAGAAGTCTTGCATTATGGCCCAAAGACTCGAGGAAAATGCCCCATCGGAACCGTCCTTGTCGTATCTTTCTGCCTCTGTGATAATGCGACGTATTCCTTGGTAAAGGATAAGTCATCCAACTGTGCATGGCCCAAACACTTTCTGCTCAGTGTTGGACAAGCCAGCACTTACCCCTGTGCATGATATAAAAGGAGAGCAAATCGAAGCCGACCACGCGGCACAACAACGTGGATAGGTAAGACAATGGAGTCGAGGACGAGTCTTTGTCCACCCGTAATCGTACATTTTTTGGTGTCAACGGTAGCCGGCGGGGAAGACATTACCGGGCGGCTTGATGCAGGCGAGAGTTAAACCATCACAGCCACATTCCTTGCACGTCTCTCCTCATTTCAAGGGCTCCATTCCTGCCCCGAGGTCGAGATTGGTTGAATCATCAAAGAGGAACTCAGGCCACTCAGACCCATGGACTGCGCCTACCGAGTCACCTAAACTTCCGACGCGTCTCCAGTTCATTTCCAGATCAATTCCGTGTCTTCTCCTGACAGCCTGACACCCCAGTCGGACTCTTTTGCGATAATTTGAAGTCGTGAAACCTCGTAATTGCCGGATCCAGCGCAGAATCCGATCGCTCCTTCAGTACTCGAGCCGGTTGCATGTCTTTGTCCTTACCTGATCACTATTCGACCGCCAATTCAACCGCGCTGCTACACTTACAACGTGTACGACGATGACCGCGTTACCATCGAAGTCGGCCCCTTTGACGGTCATGATATGAGCGGTGACAACATTGGCAGTTTGGATAAAACTAAAGAGTAGAGGTTAGAAGGGCGGAAGACAAGGTCAAGATGCAGTCTTATAATTTTGCCCTCCGGCAGTCGACCGCCGACAGCGTCGATGACAATCGCAGTCGATATGTCCCCAGTTCAATCTACAGCGGTCCTGGACCGATTGATGACTCGCCAGCCTTCATCCAACCGCAAACTTTTATGACTGGCGCTTTGCGAAGCCAATATAACGATGATCAACCAACTCCGCGATTTGTGCCCGTGAGTCTCTGGGACGCTCCTTTCCTAACAATGTAGCTGATATGCCAAATAGCCGATGCCGACGCAACCGCGAAATTCGACCATGCTGAACATCAATGATCCTGTCGAGATGCACCTGCTAGCCGAAACCGCAATGAGTGACAGCAGGAGTTTCGAGGTACTATCCTTCGACGAGATCGATGAGCTGAAACGAGAAAGAGGAGTCTTGAAGGCCAGAATTGAGACGACAAGAAGGAAACTGGCGCTGGAAAGCAAACTAAGGGATGCGGCACAGTCACTCAATCGCCTATACTCGGTTCGCGACAAAGGCCAAGGTTCTCCGACATCGCCCAAAAGAACGCGGCGGAGTTTTCTGGGTAACAACAAGACAACTCAGTCTCAATCTCCCGGAGAAGCATTGAGCCGCGTGGACGATGAATATGCTGCGAGTACGAAGAAGGTGGAACAATTTACACGAGAATTGTCGCAGCAGGAGAAGCAGTTAGAGCAAGTGGAGAAGCGCATTCTGGAACACACTGCTGGTATACTTCAGATGACGCACAAAGGATTGAAGAAGAATGTTCGACGTGCAGAGTTACCCAGAAGTCCAGAGAGTATGAGCAGTCAGCCAAACGGGCGCAATTCAGGAATTGAGAGCATCGACGACTTTGACGAGCGCAGTCTATATCAGGTTCCAGATTATGTGACGGACTTCGGTCACGTCCCTCGTCATCTCAACAAGGGCAAAGCCGCCAACAGAGAAACGCAGGCCATTGACGACATCGCTATTCGCTTGCAGGAACTGAACAACAGACTACACATGATGATCACACGGTCCTCATCACAGGCGCATTTCGATGCTCCACCTCATTCCACCGATCCGGACATGATGGGTCGGATAGGTGTGCAAATTCAAGCTCATTTGGGCTACTTGTCTCAAGGACTCGATGCAATGGAAGCCGCGCAAGCTCGGACTAGCAGAGACCAGAACGCAGTGTTCGATCATGAAGAACAGTTAGAAGACGTCAACATTCGTCTACACGACATGCTCGAAAGGACGAATAGTGTTAGTCAGAGCCCTATATTACCACAAGACGAGCCGAGAGGAAAGGATCTGCAATCTCAACTGGCCTTTTCTTCAACAATCCTTGATCGACTGAACCAAAGGGTCGAAACTCTGGTAGAACAGAAAGATATTCTCACTCGACAAATTCAGCAGCAACGAGAACTAAACAGCAAGTCTGATGCTCAACGCGATGCCAAAATTCACGACTTGATGAATGAGATAGAAGAGCACAGGAGTTTGCAGGCTGACAATGAGGAAGATGCTCGACATTCTCGTGATCAAATTAACCTTCTTATGGAGCAGTTTGATATTGCCAAGCAAGAAAGCAATTTGATCGAACAGCAACGAGGAGTGGGCGATAGCCAGGCTGTCGAAGCTGAACGTGCTGTGCGCAAGCAGACGGAGGAGAGGCTCCTAGCTGAACTGCGAGCCAAACAAGAAGAGTACTCCCAGCTGCAATCTGAAACGAGCCAGTCACGCAATGAATCCGAAACGAAGTCACAACAATTGCTTCAAGAGCTCGAGGAGGTTAAGAGAGCCAAGGCGCAAACCGATATTGACCTAGAAAGCTATCGAGGGAAGCTGGCACAACTTACAGCAACTCTAGCCCAAGCTCAGTCGGCACGAGACGAGAATTCTGACACGTTACGCAGGCAAATCAGTGACTTGGAAGCCGCCAAAGCTGCTGCAGAAGCTGAGCTTACCAAGGCTCGGCCAGAAATGGAAGCTCTAGAGTCTGAAGTGGTAAGAGCGCAGACAGAGCTCACCTTGGTCAAAGCTGAGCTTGATGGTGCTTATGGTACACGTGCTCAAAGGGCTGCCGACGTGTCAATGAATCCGGCTGTTCAGAAATCGCTCGATGACTTGAATGCACGGAATTCAGAATTGGAAGCTCAGCTTGACTTCTTGCAAAACCAGCACGAGACGAAAGGCGCAGGTAGTGCGGACCTCCAGAACAAAGTCAACATGCTTCAAACCGAGCTGAAGGAGACGCTTGAAGAGTATGAAATGATGACAAAGCAGAGCATTGACGACGAGAAAGAACGTGAACGCCTGGAAGAACACATTGACGCCCTCGAACAGCGCTGCGAGAGCCTGGAATCACAACTCAACGACGAGAAGCTCAAGGGCCTGGGTGCGCAGGCCGGGTCGCCTACTGGAACAACATCTACCATGGTCTTGAAGAATGAGTTTAAGAAGATGATGCGTGAGACGCGCGCAGAAAACCTCAAGGCGCTCAAGGTGAGTCACTCCGACCTGCAATGACGATTTCATTTATCTAACTTCTTTCCCAGGCTGAACAAGAAGAAAGACGTCGACTGGAGACCATCATCAAGAATATGCGGAAAGACTTTCAGCAGCGCCGATCTCAAAAAGATGTCCCTTCAACACCGAATGGGCTGTCAGAGTCTCTTTGATGTAATGACGACCACCAACGAACGACGCCGATGACTTGTTCTCAATAATGCCTGCTTTTTGTAGCAGTTTCGACCGTGTGTCGGTATTGATAATCCCCATTTTTGGTATAATGCATTGCGGGTTCGGCACCTTTGTAACAACAATGGGTTATTTGGGATGTTATCTGGGCCCAAAGATATCTTATGTCTTATAATCCTATATTGGACATTCAGCACTACAGTATTGGGGGTTGGCAAGAATTGGGCGAAGTTGAGCAGTTCCGGTAGGAAAGACCAGTCGCTACCAAATTCTGAAGAAGAAATGATGACTTAGTCGCACTTCCTCTTACCATGTGTCCAGTTCACGCTCTGCCTTTTTGCTCAGTCCTGAAACACTCTCAGTCCGGCCTCAATGTATCCCTATGGCCATACTCACTGTTTGATAGACCAGCAGATCACTTAGTCCAGTCATTCGTTACAGGAAGATCACCTCGTTGACATGCCGGAAGAATGGCATCTGCGGGACCTCAGCGCCCTACCGCAACCACCACCAGTCCTTTGCATCAGATCAACAAGGAGAACACATCACCTCGGTCTTCTCATGGTAGCCACGATGAACCACCCCAAAAGACACTTCGAAGATCAAAGTCACTACGCTTGTTGAGGAGGAACGTTGCTTCCTCCGACAGCCCTCCAGATGATGACTCCATATACAATGCGGAAAGAGTTGGTTCGAGTGAGGATCTTGCTTGGGGAGAGGAGCCACAATCAGAGAATACACCAGATGCTTTAGCAATATTTCCTCTTCCTTTGTCCTCTGCCAGTCCTCCAAATGGAACCACGATCTCACACAGCCGATGGCCCGCGCCACAGCTCAACACGATTCTCGAGGCGAATAGCGTCTCTTCTCTTCGTACTTCACGCTCGTTTCCACGATTGAAAGCGAGTCCGGGACGAACATCACGAATCGTCCACCCACAGTCATCTATCAATTCAATTCATCCTAAGCAAGCACCCCCGTCTTCGAAACAAATCTTAACGTCAAGTCACGGGTATCGACGTCGCTCGTTATCTCTCAATGACTTGGACTGCATCTTGGCATTGTCAACGCGGAAAAGTCGCTCACCACAATCGTCTTCTTCCGATGACGCCCTGGAACAATCAGCACGGGTTCCATCTTTCCCGAACAAGCCAGTGGAACCTCCGCCATACAGAATTCCAACCCCTCCGGGGCTGCCGCCCTTCGGATCACAACAAGCGACAGAGTACCGCCTGCGCCCACTGAACCACAGATCTCTCTGGAACCGTTTGTGGCACGACAGTCACGATGAGAGTGATGAGCAACGGGCACCCAGTCCACGATCTATCGGCTCGTCCTCACCAATCCCTCCGAGTCAATCGGCAAGTCCATCCGGTGAAATTTTCAAAAGGACATTGGCCATGATAGGGATGTCCAGGGTGGTCTCCCCACCACCTTCATCGGCTGGACCATCCAGGGCGCCGCTACCCCCAGGAGTCTACACTTCGAATATACCCGGGCCACTAGCTCGCGCCGATGATGGTACATATATGAGAGGCCGATTCGGTCCTCGAACCAGTGGACACGGTATAGGTTCGAGGAACCTGGAGTCCCATCCTTTGGCTCAGCTACACTCTATTGATAACACAATCAGAGAAATTGACAAAGCATGCGAGAGAGGAGACATCCAGCAGGCACTTGCTGGAAGCCTCGAAAGCGAAACAGGCCCTGGTGATACAAGCCATGCTCAGAGGAATGCTCCAAGGGGTGAAGCAAGTCCGCGATCGCGACGGTCTTCTCGAGAAGATAGGGACGCATATCATTCGGGCCAAAGTCCGCCGCTGTTCTCAAGTCCTTCTATGCCCGCATCAGAAATCGACATTCCAAGCTCGGCTCAAAGAGAATTCCGAAACATCAATCTGTCACACCGACCTAGAGTTGCTCAACTTAGATCACCGACGGACTCTACCATGATGCGGTATGGCCCTGATTATACCCCGACGACGGTTGTATCTCTCCGAAGTCTCGGTAGTCACATGAGTGGTATTCCGGAGGATGGACGGCCGAGTGAGACTAGCGAGACCTCGTCGGACGAGCAAAGAGACCAGATGAGGACGGCCTGGAATCAAATGTGGTCCGCCTTTGATGACTGCTGTCGTGTCTTTTGGCGTGGAAGTTGGTGTAATCGGGATTCACCAGACTAATGACATGGGCTGCGGTAGAAACCCCCAGTATCCGTAGCATCCAGGCGGATTCTGTACATGAGAATCGTCGCTTCAATGACATTCACGCCGAGCTGCTCCTGGAGGGTTCGTCCTCACAAAATAACCAGCCTGATGTGTATGAATTGTCTATGATAACATTGGTGAATGTGCATTGCAGGCCGATATCTCCATAGCATAGGTGGCCTCATGATGAGTTATGAATGCTCGCTTGAACGCTGGACTGTCAAAATACACACAAGGCAAGGTGATTGCCCACTTGTCTCACCGCATCTCCACGAGCTCATCTCTTCCGAGAAGAGCCGCCATAGGATCATCAGCCGCCACACGATTGCGCTTGTATGACTCGAGATCCTCCTCTGATATCCCGGACTGTAGTTCCTGAAGCGTGCGCTTCTTCGCTTGAGATCCCGCCGTTGTCGTGTGTTGCGTGGTATCCGCCTGCTCGTGCGGCTTCCTTTCCGCCACATCCTCACCCGCCTGCTCGATCTGCAGCTGTTCTTTCTCGTCGCCGATCACAGCCTCGGTTCCGCTCCCTTCTTCAAGCGCCAGCCCTGTCCTCATACCCTCGGCCTCTTCAAACGCCACTTTCCCAGACTCGCCTGTACAATAGCTGTTTTTTACGGTAGAATGACAGCACGCGTAACCCCAGGTGAAATTGCGCCACCAACTGCCCCATACAAAAGTGTGGTTGTTGGTCAGGATGTCCTCGGCGTATTTTGATCTGGGGGTGGCGCGGATTTCGCCCTTGATGTGCCCTGACTCGTCGTACTCGATGTATCGTTCGTTCGTCAGGACTTGAGGAATTGACTTCTTGGCTTTGTCGGCAAGGTACTCGTCGCCGCCGTACTTGTCGAGCAGGACTTTGCGGGCGGCGGCTTTTTTCTCCGTGGCTTCGGTCGTTTGCTTTTTGCGCAAGATCTCGCCTTCTGTCGGGTTCGCTTGGAGATGGAGTTTCTTTGCGGTCGGGTTGGCGTTTTCTTGTGTTTCCCAGGCGTATTTCTGGGCGCGCTCGAACTCGGCGGCGGGGTCGTCTGTGGGCCGGACGAAACCTTCTTCTGCTATTGAGGTGGAGGGGTTGCCGGCGAGGTCGAGAGCTTGTGTGTCCATTGTGCGCGTTTTGGGGTCGTACTTTGCTGAGTCTAGGTCTAGGTTTTTGAGGTAGTTGGCTGTGTCTTCGCGGAGACGTAGTTGGCGGGTGGAGGTGGGTTGGGAACGGCCCATGTCTGTCTCTTCGCCGTAGCGGGCGTCGGCGTCGGCGTCGGCGCCTTCAGCGTCGGGTGTGGATGTGTCGGTTTTGTCTGTGATCTTCTTGAGGGCTTCGAGTTCTTCATACTCGCGCACCACGGCGGTGTATTCGCGGTTGTCGTAGCCGTTCCAGCGATCGCGTTTAGCGTCCCAGCCTAGTTTGACGTCCTCGACGAGTTCGTCGGCTTGAATATCCCGGCCCGTCCACTTCGCGCCTTGTTTGCGAGGTCGACTTAGGCATTCTTTCGTCTTGTGTGTCATGGCGCCGCAGTTTTCGCAGGCGCCTTTGCGGAATTTGGTGGCTGCGGGCCCGGCTTTCTTGCCTCGGTCGTACCATTTTGCTTTGTCGAGGGTGTCGTTTGATTCGGTTTGGAGACGTTGATGCTCGAGGTAGTCGGCGTCAGAGGTGGTTTCGGCCCAGAACGGTCTTTTGGATATGAAGGATGGGATGTACTCGTTGCGGGATTGATCAGGCCCTGGGGGAGGCTTGTTTTGCGCCATGTTGGAGGATGGCGCGGGAGGTTCGGAATGAGGACACGGGTGTCGTGGCTCACACTTCTACCGCTCGTTGGGATATGCGCTCCGCGAGTTCTGCAAAAGTGAGAGTGCGTCCTGGGAGAAGAGTTGTACACTCCGATCGTTGATGTTGATCATAAACTTTTGTTTCTCCGCATGAATTCGAACTGGAGTGAATGCGATTTCCTTGCCGCTTTATGCAACAATCACTTCTCCGCCTCGTTGCTTACCTGGTATCTTATGGGTCTTCCTATCAAACTCACCATAGCTCCTTATTGCCCAAAGAGTGGCATCAAAATCAACGGCTTGAAAGGCTCCATCTACGGTATTCATCAGAATCTCCGATGCAGTTTTTATTCGCTCCTCCATCTTACTCCCCTGCATCTTTCGCTCCGCGTTCGCGTGAGGTGAGATCTTCGAAGCTGCATACTGGACAGTCAATGGCAGAGACAGCCGAGCAGGTAGGACGAGTACAAGTATCATTCTGCGGTACTTGTGCGTTGCACTACTATGCCATTTTCTAGAGTACTATTCCAAATGACTCGTGCCGTGACAGGCGTCTTGACGGCTTCTCAGATGTTCAGCTGCCCGCGCTAACCATCTGTTCCGGCTCAGTGATGGTCATTGCAGCATCTCTCAGAGACGCTCAACAGCTTGGAATCTTGCCTTGTTGCCAGAAATTCCCGGCGTCGTTGGGTCTTTCTTGGCATTCTGTGAGTTTACAGCTTGGTGCGCTCTTTGTAGATTGGCGTTACTGATCCATGACAGCTATACATCTATGCTGATCGTCTGCGTCTTTCTTTTCCTTTACGGCCTCCTTGGACAGGTTGTCTCCGCAGTGACTCTAATGTCCTTGGGGCTCGGTGCTGTCAAGCCTAATGTCTTCTTAGTGGGTTGGTGTATGCCCTCCTTTGGCAGCTGGGCACTTCTTGCCAATGTGTTTGTTGCCAATTCGCCGCAAGTCCTACTGTCGACAATCTATTTCACTTACAACAGCCTATTTACCTGCTACTTGCTAGCAGTAGAATGGAACTCCTTTGCACACCAACGGAAGGGCATACGAGTCAGCAGTGATACAGTCGGACAACAGAGAGCAAGCTACTTTCTACAGTTGCCTCTTCGGTGGGGTATACCGTTGATGACGCTCAGCGTCATACTTCACTGGCTGTGCCCACAGAGCCTTTTTCTGGTCAGCATCGGCTTCGATCATCTGGTCACGCAACAACTCGACACCTCCGGGTCTGTTATCTGCAATGTTATCGATGATATTTCTGGGCCTAGTACTGTTGGCGGCAGCACCACCGAGTGTTTCAACACTTTCATCACCTGTAGCTATCCCCGGTTACGCTCATCATCTTGACCATTGCCCTGGGACTTCTCATGATCTGTTTTGCGGTCTTTATCTCATTTCGGCGGTTTCCGAATGCAGGTATGCCTGTGGCTGGCTCCTGCAGCGCATCTGTCGGCGCCTCGTGCCACCTCCTGTCCAGCGATGGCGTCGATGAGAGCTGAGTTGGGCCAGGATGATCTCGAGCCACTTCGAACGGACAACTGCGCCGCCGTTTCGGCATTGCAATGGGGAGAATTGGACACTCCGCTGTTATTCAAAGGCCGTGCACAGAACGATGTGTTCGAGACAAGCGCGTTCGGGTCTGTGGAGGAGGTGGCTCAGAATCGGCACATTTATCATTGTGGCTTTTCTCACCAAGAAGTCACTTGTCCACGAGAGGGTCAGCTCTATGCCGGTACATCACTTGGCCCGCCAAGGAAACACTGATTGCTATACGCAGCTGCACTCTACAAACAGGTGTTGAAGACATAATTGAAGAGATAAGGCGGGAGATGAGTGCACGCTAGTTTGCAGTCCTCCTTTTTGGACCAGGCAGTTCTGCACCTCGCAATCGAAAACCCTTCGGCGGCCCACGAGATCGATCTAGAACTTCGCCAAGCAACAGTCCATGGGCAGTTTTCCCTCTCCTGCAAGGGATGATCTGGTCGTGCACTCTGACGTTAGATGATTATGTTTTCGACTCAACATTCGTGTATGTTGATCTGGATGATCTGTTTTCCGCGGGTTGTAGGGAATCATAGGGAAGACAGGTTTTCGATTGGTTGCTAGCATGGACCCCTGGGCGCCTTCATGTAGGTCCAAATGCACCAGCTTCCTAACATGTACAGCATCCCGTTTCGTCCCCACCGCCGACTCGTGTGGCCTTTGCAGATTGATCCTCACAGCCAACTGCATTGAACTTGCTCTGACTCCGTCAAAAGGGTTGTCAAACTTTATCCAGGATAATTACTGCTAGTATCGGTCAAGACGACCCCTGCTTCGATTGTCCATGATCCGTCTTGCCGACTTGTTAGTCAGGCTCAGCCACCTCCGCATGACATCTAGACAGTCTGTCTCAGCTCTTCCGAATCTTTTACAGCGCTCATCCGGCTTTGACGCCTGCCATGGCTGAAAACTGACCGGCAGATTAGACCTCCTACACCTTTCTGCAAGGCACACCCCTGCCTACGGGCCGGACAGACTTTTCACAGGTAATTGTCATGATTGTACGTTCCTGCAGAATTGCAAAACAGGGCATTAGCACCGTGTGCAGGCCTTTTCAACGGTTTATTCTTGGGAGGTTTGTGAATAGCATGATTGTCAGCGAGGAGTGGACAAAGTACGAGGTTTCCTGTCGTTGCGATTGTCTTTCGGCCGACAACCTAAGATCAAAGTTATACCCACCCTGGACTCGACATTCCCCATCATTTCAACCGTGAATGGCGAGACGATTAGGTTTGAGTTGCGGACAACAAAGCTTATGCTGATTTTGCCTATTCCAGCATTGACCGGAATCCATATGGATCTGGCTGATTCAACGGTGGCATTACATTCTTCCCACTGGCGGCATGAGACGAGACCAGGCGCTACCTGTGGGGAAAGCAATCAAAAGCATCGTCCGTATTTCATTTTATAGATCACAGAAAACATCTTTGAGATCCACACGAATATGATCGTTTGCTTGTACATGAAGATGAGAAATGAGAAAAGGAGACGCACGGAACCCTGTGTGGGCCCTCAGATCTGGCGATCGAGCTGGGGCTTGAGACGATCACTAGCGATGACTGGCCGCGATACGAGCACTGGCGCAACACTGGCCGTCTTCCTGCACTCCATCTCGTGAACGGCCCCGCAGTGAGAAAGGTAGGACGATCATGCGCTCGGCATTGCTGGCGTCCGGCTGGAAATGCCAGGATGACCACTCATTGATGGGCAAGCCACTCTGTAAGCACCTGCATGCAAATGGGTCTACCAGTGAAGATGTAACGGTATGTACGACCTGCACAGGCGGATCGACAGTGCTTAGCACCTCCCACAGAAGGCTAGCCTACGTTGTAATGGCTTGATAGGGCATCTCTACTAAGTCTTTGCTTCTTATTTGTACTTCATGACACAAACTAAGGCCAATATTCGAGCGCAAAGTGCTGTACCTTCCTAATCCGCGTCCCGAATATCTGCATTTGTTCTTGCAGATACTTCATTGTACATCAGTCAACCATGTTGGATGACAGCACACTTCACTTTCGATGAGAAATACCAGTTGAATCCTTGACTCATTCAAAGGTCAGTGACCCTGTGGACCTATTACTTGCCACCTCTTCTGACATCCTGTGGCTCATCAACAACGCTGAGAGACTAATTTGAGGTCAGCCCCAGGAAGTGTTGCCCCTGGTCTCTTTTACAATGGGTGGCGTAGTCCATGCTCGTCGCCCTACGGTTTGAAGACCTGTACTTGCGTACACCATAGGTCTTTGCCCTCTTCGTCAGAGCCTGTTCCCGAGCTCTCTCATTCTCGAAAAATTGTGCATGTTTCGGATCTATGGGGATGGTGCGAACCACTACAAAACGTTCACCCAGCGTCTTCGAAGCATTTCGTGGCAGAATCTCTTTCTGACAAGATGTGTGGCAGTATGCTTTAGATTACCTTCCCCGACTGTTTCTTGTCCCACAAGTGGAGCTTCACGACCTTTTCAAGATGCGGATGACTACCTGGAGAGCGGTGATCACCTCAAACTGTGGTCCAAGCAGTGAGTCTGTCTCAGGTGTATTGTGCGAGACAGCACCCAAGTGTCCGTGTCTGGACTCAAAAGCCAGCCAGACATGATCTCCCTGGATCTAGATCTATTGGTGACTCCATCCCATCCTCCGAGACTTCACTTTCATCAATGGACAATGCGCAGGTCTCTACATGCTGTGATCCCTGGGCATCAGTCATGCAATGTGCTCTGCGAGGTCAAAGCCCTTCGTCCCTCCCTCCCCCTCATGGGTTGTGGGATTCGACACCCTTCGGACATGAGTAATGAATACTCAGGGCATATACTGACAGTGGCAAGCGACACTTGGTCAAGGCGGCAACGCTCCTTCCTCTTTCACTAGTTGAGTACATTCTTCTCATTTGAGTGTCGTACTTACTGATTTTATTGAGATTGTCTTATACACGACGTCAAGGTACCAGCAATCTAAACGATCAAGCCATGTTCAGGAGCAGGAGTCAGGGACTTCTGGTGATCAAAGCATTGAACCTCTGTATCGATCACGCAGAGAAGTAGTGGACAACATGGAGCTCGAGAGGAGGTATAAAATGTGTTTGGAAGCCCTCCTTCATTCTTCTTGCTTCATCCGTAGTCTTTTGTCTGATTCACTGGTGGCTGTCGTCCCCTCCTCTCCATTTCAACAGCCATTCCTTTCGGTGTCGAATTATGACTTTGCTAGGGTGGTCGGTCGTCAAGGTCGCGCTGGCCCTGCTCGCCGCCAGTGGGGCTTGTGGCAATCCTCTGACCACGATTGAGCCATGCCCCGAAGCCAAAGAACTGAATCTTGCCCCCATTACGGTGTCTACTCAGTATCAACCTGTCTCGACATGCGAGCCTACTACTGCGTGTATCAAGGGCAAATGTTCGACAAAATATCCCTTCACGACTTACCCCTATGTTTCCACTGTGGTTCCCTGCGCATGGAACGGAACGACAACCCAGATGGCTACGGTGACCGACATCAGCCAACCTTTCAAAGTCTCTGAATACCTCGAAACCCTCACCCAAGTGACAACTATGCCGTCCAACGAGAATCACAATCGACACGGCCAAAAGGTTACAGCCTACGAAACCGTGACTAGGCGAGCGATGGCACCATTCAATGAGGTCGCTCCTTTTATGATACCCGGTTGGCACGGCAGCGGACTGTGCAAGAAATGTATACAAGAAGATGGAAGTCGTTCCCAGCTGTTGGACGTCATTGAATGTCGGTCTGGCACCAGCAGCTCAGGGAAGAAATACAAAGAGTGCGTTGAGTGGTATGAGACTGTGGTCGCGCAGCCATCCACCTCTGTCACTACCCAGGCTCGCTGTGCCAGCTCAGGAACTATTCGACAGGCTGGCACTTACACGTGGACCTTTCCTCAGGTCGCTCCTGCTGTGACTGTACCAGCTTCTCCAACCACGGTCACTGTCACTATTAATGGAAAACCTTCAGTCTCTGTTCATTCAGGCGTGCAGGTTGTCCCGGGCCAGCCTTGGAATGCCTACGTTACCAAGTCATTCTCGCATCCAACCACTTTCGAGTTCGACATCTATGTTACGAAGGTCGTCGTCTTGAATATCCCATATATGACTCACTCTGCAGACAGCTCTCGCAATGTCCCCATACCGACCGGTTCATCCAAAAACAATAACGGCAACCAAGCAAACGGATGGTGGCCATTGCCTGAAGGCCCTGCAAGCTGGCCTACTTCCTATGATGGTGGGCAGGCCTGGCAGGACTGGAATCCAACATCCTCGTTTGCAGCTACTTCTAGCAGCCGTCTGAACGGTGTCAGCACCAAAGCTTCCTCGACTCCGTCAGGAATCGTTGGCCCAATCGGTGGCAAACCATCCTCATCCAGAAGCGCCATCGGTCTGAGCACGACAGGTACCGTTACTTCGTCAGGCATCGTCGGCCCAATTAAAGGTTCAGCATCATCTTCCATTAAGAGAGTAACAAGCAGCACTTTACTCCCTTCGTCGGCATCCCGTCCCTTGACTTCCAGTCACTCGGCACCCTTGTCGCCAACTGCTTCTACGATAGGAGCTTCGATCACCAGCTCCTCACCCTCATCCTCCCTCAGCACCGTGACTGGTATCTCATCGGTCTCAAACCCTGGCGGTATCACGACAGGCAGTGCCACATCCACAACGGCTGTCACCGCTAGCGGTACAGGGTTCTATCTACAGATCAGCGGGACCGCTGTATCTGCGTTGCGCCCCAGGCAACAGGTCACGCAGTACCTAGCATTCGACTCCAACAGTAATGGCATTGCAGTCAACGAGCTATCTTCCGCGGCCTTCGTCTTCAGAGGTAACGACAGTACTTCGTTTTTGTCAAACAGCCTGTTCCTTGGGACCTCGACTTTGACTGAATCCCCTGTCCAACGCTTCTTGAACCACCCGACTGGATTTGCTACCTGGGACATCGTAGGTGTTTTTGCACAGCTCCGAGACACGGCAGGATTTTGTTTCGATAATGGTTTTGTTTATGCCTACACTGCTTCTGACACGTGTGACAACCCCATCGTGATCATTGTTACCAGTGAGTCGAATACCAATGAGGCCAGTCCAGCGATATTGACTATCCACTAGATCCCACTACGACAAGCACGACAAGCACGGCTTCAACAGGCAAGCCTTCGACATTGAGCACTTCGACCAAGAAAACGTCGACCAAGAGCACCACAACCAAGAGCACTTCACATAAGACTACCACAACCAAAAGCACCACTACCAAGAGCACTTCACATAAGACTACCACAACCAAAAGCACCACTACCAAGAGCACCTCACATAAGACCACCACAACGAATAGCACTTCGCACAAAAGCACTGCAACCAAAAGCACTTCAGTCACAACCTCTGCGTCAACCTTGGCAGGAAGCACCTCGAGTCTGCACTCTACGGTGGCACCAGTCAGTCAGACGACTACTTTGTCGAGTGCAAGCAGCACAACCTCAGCAATTTCTTCCTCCTCAACTTTGGTAGACGATGGAACAACGACCCCGTCAGTGTCCGTCATGTCAACCGCCACTAGCAGTGGGGTATTCTCTTCGACTTCCAGTGTGTTGGTCGGACCAATCAGCGGGTCAACGACAAGTGCAGTAGGACCATTCACCTCAAGCATGTCAACAGCAATCTTTACAACCATGTCGTCGCTCTCATCGATCACTGGCTCCACAACATCTTCCTCGGCAGCCACCACACCATCAACGTCGCCGATGTGTAATGTGAACGTCAATGTGTGCTTGAATTCAGACTTAATCACAGCCAACACGGTGGCTGCTTACAACTGTCCGCTCCTCGGTGGTGTGCTCTGTACCACTAATGACTTACTTTCTGTGATTCCTCAACTTCTAGGGTCCAACCCAGATATCGTCTCTGTCCTGGTTGGCAACAATGAAGTCCTTGGGTTAAGTCTGACACCACAGCAAGTGACAGCTGCATCTGCCGCAGGACAGTTGACTGGAGTTTGCGATGCTTTAGGTGGACCAGTCACTGTTATATTACGGGATCCTTCGTGCCCGAGCTCTTCGACAAGCGGCACTTCTTCCACGAATGGCCTCCCATCGATCGGCCTCCCATCGATCGGCCTCCCATCGACCGGCCTCCCATCGATTGGACTCCCAACCAGCATCCTTCCATCGATTGGACTCCCAACCAGCATCCTCCCATCGATTGGACTCCCTACCAGCATCCTTCCATCGATTGGACTCCCAACCAGCATCCTTCCATCGATTGGACTCCCTACCAGCATCCTCCCATCGATTGGACTCCCAACCAGCATCCTTCCATCGATTGGACTCCCTACCAGCATCCTACCATCGATTGGACTCCCAACCAGCATCCTTCCTTCGATTGGTCTCCCAACCAGTATCCTTCCCTCAGTTGGTCTCCCAACTAGCATCCTACCATCGATTGGTCTTCCGACGTCTATTTTGCCCTCGATCGTCCTCCCGTCGAGTATCTTGCCAACATCTCTATTGCCGTCGATCGTTCTCCCTTCGAGCATCCTACCGCCTCCTATCTTGCCGACGTCTCTCCTGCCAACATCCCTGTTACCAACGTCCCTCCTACCAACATCTCTTTTACCAACGCCTATTTTACCAACATCCCTCCTACCGACTCCTATTTTGCCAACATCCCTCCTACCGACATCCCTCCTACCGACATCCCTCCTACCGACATCCCTCCTACCGACATCCCTCCTACCAACTCCCATTTTGCCGACTTCACTTCTACCAACGTCCCTTCTGCCGACCTCTCTTTTGCCAACATCTCTCCTCCCGTCGCCGATTCTACCAACATCGATTCTCCCACTGCCAATTCCGTCGTCAACCACCTCAACAACCCGGTCTACTACAAGCACAACGACCTCGTCAGCTGCAGCCACCAGTACGCCTGCGGCACCAGTGTGCAATACACAAGTACAACTCTGCGCACCGTTGGTAACCTTGAACGTCGTGAAGAGTCAGGCTTGTCCCAACGTGCTTGGTGGATGTTCGAATGCCCAAATGGAAGCCTTTGCCAACTCTTTCATTGGCCAGAGAGGGGTCTTGTCTGTTGCATATGGAACCAACATAGCATATGGTTTTAGTCTGACAACTGCGCAACTCCAACAACAGCTCCTCGCAGATGGGCCAGTCAACACGGTCTGTACAGGGGTACCCATTCTTGCACTGCAAGTCTCGGATACTGCTTGCCCTGCCTTTGTCCTTCCCACACAACAATGCGACGTGAACGTTGCATTCTGCGCGGCCGAAACTATCAATTCTGCCGGTCTCACAACGGCAAATTGTGGCACCGTTCTCAGTCCTTGTAGCGCTGCCACAGCTTTTGCTAACGGTGCCACAAGCTGCAAATCCAAGGGTGCAGCATGCAAAGCATACGGAAATGATGGCAGTCTTCCTCTCACTGGAACACAGTCCGTGGCGCAGGTCCAGCAAGATATCGCAGCTTACGCTTTGGCCAGTGGCTGTGTTGCGAGCTCGCTCGTCACGACTGTTACCTTGAGTGATGCTTCTTGCGCGGCCCCGGCATAACTCGGCCATAGAGAGGGCACAGGGTTTAAGAAAGGCTGGCGTTTTTGGGTGCGCTTCTGGAAATGGCTTGACGGTGTCATCGTTGTCACATTTTCGACTTCTTTTTCTTGAGGACGAGTTCTCTTCTTCTTTATTTCTTGTGGACGCAGGTACTTTGGCCTCTCCCACATCATCCAATTGTCCAACGTCACCGACCTCCCCGGACAAGGCAAAATGTGGTCTGGGAGAGCACGCGACTTGGGATAGGATGTTATTTAGATTATTCTACTGAATTCAATATATTGCAAGCTTCAAAATCTATTCAATCATGTGGATTAGTGATCTTGGAACCTGACAAATTTGCACACGGGGAAGGGGGTGAAAACTCCAAACTCTGTACTACCAGCTCATGTGTCTCCATATCAAGCTCCGCACCATAACGGCATGATTTCTCCGCACGAGGCTGCGACCTCCGTTTTTCCTTATCGCTAACGCCCAATGAGCTTCTAAATACACACCAGTATCATGTTTCACCGTAATCCTTCTCACATTCTAGTTCTCAACGGACAAATGCACTCTTGTAACACAGTTTGCAAGGGCACTTGGAAGGTGGTTTGCTCTGACGAGTCTGGCAATGGAAGAGTCTGCGAATGATTTAGTCGTATGTAAACAGGTTCAGTGTCCACATCCTGCATCCAGACCATCATTGTAGTACCTCGGATCCGTGGTTATATATGCGTAATATCTCAACGACTTTTCGTCATGCAAGCTTGTTGGGACCGAACCTCGTTCTCAGCCTAAATTCAGGGTGGCAAATCGAAGAGCGACGGTATCTTGCAAGCTGTCCGTTTGGGTTTGGTCTCGCAAGCTCCTTTCTGTGACCTCGACCAGGCTAGTGTGGCTGATTTCTCCTTCGGGTGCAGGTCTGGCCGTTCTGGATTTTTAGGACGATGGCGCGTGACGGCCGAAGGTTCTGCTGCTTGACGACTTGCTCACGTCGCGTACACAGTGTGCTATGGTCAATGAAGTCGAGCACTTTGGTCGATCCTTCCTTGATTTCCTGGATTTGCATTATCAATTCAGCTGAGAGCGAAAGCTTGTAATCATTCAGAAATTCGACAGTGTCTCTCCAGAAAGGTTTGAGGTATCCGCGCCTGTCATAAGGTTCGGCACGCTCAATCCACTGTGCCCAATGGCGCGCAACTGAGCTCGCGGTCTCTACATCAATCTTGAACCATTCAGCATGGGATTGAACATGACGTTCGCACCACCCCTGCCGATACCAATGTTCCAATAACTCGAAATGGGTCAATAATTCGACTCGTTTGGGATGCCGTACATGGTAAAGGGAGTCAAGAAGTTCGGGATACCCATGGCCGCATTCAGCCCAGAAATCCATGCGAGACTCGATCGTACTGGCAGTGTAACCAATTTTGATCATTCCGCAGAAAGTATTCTTCGTGTGAGTGTAGAAGTACAAAGATCCTATGCTGCTCTTCTCGCTCTCGATAGGTTCCATCAATTTTGACATCAGTGTTTCTCCTTCGAAAACCCGGTGCCTTTCGAAGATGACTTGCTTGTCCGTAGGAGAAGGTGCAAAAGCCGAGTCTGAAAGTGCAAGCCTAGCAAATTTGATCTGCACATCAGCGAATGGGTTTATAGATTGATTGCTAGGCTTGCTGGCGTACTCAGGCGTCGTGGGATTCGAGATTGACACACCTGATAGGTTGATGCACTGAGCAACCAGGCAATTCCCCAGGGGAAGGGTGAGTTGTAGCTCGTTCCGCCATCGAGTCGCCAGCTTCTTTGCGAGGCCACTCCTGCGGATCTTGTTCCGATGACATCGATAGCAGCAGCTTTGCGCGGCTATATCCGCCAATAGCTGAAGTGTTTCCTTCGTCTGCGGACTTGCATTTGAAAGACTTTCCGCCGACTGCTTTGCCCATTGATTGTCCCCGGGGTCTATGGGGATGCTACACAATCGTCTCTTCTTAGGGTCAGGCAGGTACCAAATGCACTTGAGTGATCCTGTACGTAACCATGACAGTGTTTGAGCAAACGTCGGGAATTCATCAACAGTCGGCGAGACGGTGACTGTCATCTCGCCTGGTAGCGGTGTATCGCAACCCGTCGCAGGCAGGAAAGAGTAGAGCTTGGAGTCGTTTATACGCCTTGTTGTAGAGGATTAGGGCGCATCCTGATGCCGGCTGGGTTTATCTCGTGATGAATATCTGAGGCTGCGCCTTTTACATCATGGGGCGCTACATGGGACATCCTCATTCGATGTAGGTTGCGTATGAAAACATGCTTGAACTTCAGCCTGATCATCGATATGTGCCATTGGCGCTTTAGTATCGTTCTACCCAATCATCAAGTTTTCCGAACAATATCACACGCCCACTGTACGTACTTTTATCAATTCCTCGAGAAGATGGCAGAATCAGCGTGAGACCAGACGTTCGACCCTGCGGCGATGCGCTCGGTCCTTGTATGAGGGTAGTCATAACTCCTAATTCATGATATCATCTCGAAGACATGTGTGAACCTGCAGGTGCTGGATCTGGCCATCTCAAGGACTCTTCTCTAAAGTCAACATAGCCTGGGTAAAGAACAAAGAAGGACCGGAGTATACATACCACTACCATGCTTCACCGTGGTTCTTGCAATACTTGTCTACGAGAGAAAAGCTGCGTACTCACAGACCCCAAGCTACCTACATCTACATAGCTCCCCCTCCGATGCCGAGCTCCTTCATTACACTACTCCTTTTCGGAAGCAGGTCGAGAGGTCTTCGAGCAGCAGGAACGACGGCTAAGTCGGTCAGTTTTGCACATCCTGATAGACTCAGAGCACTCACTTCTGATGCCCCTTTCCGTGCACAAGCTTTGAAAGTGATCGAAAGGAAAGACTCGGATCACGCATTGGGCTGGTATCCAGCCATACACGAGAACATGGGCCCACCAGGCATTGGCGGCTTCCTCCAGGCCAACGTCTTCAGTAAGGTCATCTGAGCTTTGCCACAGTATTCCGAGGCGATTCAATTTTGGGACACTAATGATTGCGACCTGACAGTTGGCACGACTATACTCCGGATAGTAAGCACGGTGAAGTACGTCTTCCATGCTACCCCAGACAGAAATCCAGCGAGAAGACTTCTTAGTCTCAAGGTGATTCGTCAAGCTCTGCCGCATCTCATCTCCATGCATCTTGAACTCGTCAAAAGATGCAGCAGGTGTGACGTTCTTCCAATCTGAGCATTGAAATCCCAGCGAATCGCTGAACTGGGAACGAGAGTCTTCGTTCCACATTCTCGTGAAGAAAGGCGGCCCCTCGATCGGGGAAGTGACAGCAGCGTCTAGCCAAAACACTTCAGGTACATCGGCAACTCGGAAAGTCATATAATCGTTGAACAGCTTGAGGAGATGAGCAGCCCGATCTCGCCGATACTTGAGCGAGGCGATCTCATCCTCGACTGATGTTTCACTGCTGATGTTTTTCGGCATCGTGTCAATGGAGATCTTCAGATGTTTTTGGAACCATGCCACCACAAAGCGATGTTGTTCGAGTGCTGATACCAGACCTGGGTCACCAGTCGCAGCTCGAAGCCGTTCCTGATCCGTGTTCCAGATCGCAATCCTTACGCGTTCATCTTCGTCGGCCGAAGGGCTCTCGATTCTTGAGAAATCAAAAGGCTCGGGGATTCCCAGGCGGTCTCGTGTGGACGCACAGGTGCTCAGTGATCGCGGGGTCTTTGCGTCCATGGTCAAATAGTCAGGACACACAGCGATATGATGGGCTGTCAGAAGTCCGACATGTACAGGTTCATATACCTTGACTTCCGTCGCAAAGTGCGATGAACTTCTTCTGACTGACCTTCTCAGGCTGACGCGGTGCAAGATTTAGGCGACCAGCAACCTTTCAGATGCTGCCTAGAGGCAGCGCTCATGGGCAAGCGATTGGACTGGCAATGCCAGTGTGATGCCCACGTTTCGTCTCGGCAGGAAGTTTTGATGCGCATTCGACTTTCGACGCCGAAGTAGCTGCAACGGGCCCACTGGGACCATCTTTTGAGAGCGGTGTGTAGGTCGCGTATTTCGAGGTGAAGCATGGCGCCGGTCACAAGATGGTCCGAGCACAATGAGATTTTTGAACAGCACTTATTTTTAGGCGTACCGAACTGTAATCTGCGCCACAATATGGCTGAACACGAGGTTCCATCTGCTAGTTTGGAGCAGGACCCTATGTCGCTTCTGCTCAATAGAGCACTTTCATTGCGATGTGATATACTTGGTCGGTTATATAAAGAGGAAATATGGCCACGTTAACGGTGAAGTCAGAACATTTTGAGTCCGCTTACCAGGAACAACTGGCGGACCTGTAGATATAAAACCCGCTTCGACATGGAAACTTTATGCTTCCTAGCCGCTTTTGCTTCGTGCCTGCCCGGTATCATTGCCTCTGCGCTATGGCAGCCTGCCGTTGGCACAACATGGAACATTCAATTGCAAAATCCACTCTCGAGCGCAACGACCAACGGCCTAGCAGTGTGGGATATCGATTTGTTCGACAATACTGCCGAGATAATATCCAGCATGCAGAAGAAGTCAAGTAGAGTGATCTGCTACTTCTCTGCCGGGAGTTACGAGCCAAACCGGCCGGACACAAACAGTTTTCTGAAATCCGATCTGGGAAGTGAACTGGATGGATGGCCAGGAGAATACTGGCTCGACATCAACTCGAGAAATGTCGGTAACATAATGCTCGATCGCATCAAGTTAGCCAAGCGAAAGGGCTGTGACGGCATCGATCCCGACAATGTCGACGGATACGCCAACGACAACGGCTTGGACTTGACATCTGCAGATGCGGTCAAGTACGTTACATTCCTGGCGGACGCGGCACATGCGCATAACATGTCCATCGGCCTGAAGAATGCCGGTGACATTATTCCAGATGTGATCGACCTCATGCAATGGAGCGTTAATGAGCAATGCCATGTATACGACGAATGCAGCACTTTTGAGCCCTTCGTCAAGCAGGGCAAGCCGGTCTTCCATATCGAGTATCCAAAGGGTGACAAAGACAATGATAAGCCGGTATCGACCACAAAGGCGGACGACATATGCGATGACAGCGCGGCGAAGAAGTTCTCAACGGTCCTAAAGAATTTAGACCTCGATGCATGGATGCAGACTTGCAAAAATGCTAGCTGAGCTGATATGAGGATGGTGGATGGATCATTGACAATTGAGGTAGTCATTGAAAGACACGTTTCGGTTCTATTGCATGCAAGATGGGTCCTGGTGCCACATTCACCTTGGTTGTCGTCGAGCCGTCATCGCTGCCGTCCTCACCCGCTTCTGGGTGGGAGGCTCTCAGTTGCTGGATTGTCTTTTGCGCATCTTCTTCGATTCTTCGCATACGTTCACGAAGATGAAAGTCTCGATCTTTCCATCGCGATTCCCACAAATCTTCAACCTCATTCCTTGCCTTTTCCAGCATAATCTGCACATTTTCCTCGAGATTCGTCAGCCGGTTCTTGAGATCATCCAGCAGAAAGTCTTTGGCTCGTAGTTGCTGCCTGAGTACCGTGTCTTTCTCATGTAGTCTTTCCCGGAGCTCTGCCATTTCCTTGTCTTTGAGATGTAGAGCTTTGCGGTACCCGTAATCGAGCTTCCGCATCATTCTAGCGTAATGCAAGCTGATTTCATTCTCACTATCCATTGGCAATGGACAGTGATTTTGGTTGGGCGTCTGAATGCTAGTCTCGAATGGAAATCTTCGTTCGTCCAATGCGTTTCTGGTCTGAGATGGGCCAGTCTCGTGCCGAATGGTGTTCTGCGATGAGGTAGATCGCATAGGCAAGGGGAAGGCACCGGTTGCATGGCGTCCAATGTAATCAGGTGACCGTGGCTCGTCGTGGTCATCTATGGTGGAGAGTATGGCACCGGCCGAACGGATTTGTATCGGACGTTGTGAGGTTGCTTGCAAATCAGCTGCATACCTCTGAGGCACACCGACAGCCAGGGAATGTCTGTCTGTTGACGTGTCAATTGCAGGCAGCCGAATCCGTGACCTTTGTCTCGAGAAAGGTGAAGGGAGTGTTACGTCTGTTGAAACCGGCAGCCCTGCCTCAGTCGACCTTCTCTGCGGTTGTGCAAGAGGCCTATCGACAGAAATCACATCTTGATCGGCTGCGTTGAACGACATCCTCTCCGAAGGTTGCACTACCTGACGGGACCGCACAGGTTCAATCGACGTTGCGGACAGTGAGCGGCGATGATGTCCATCGTGTCCGATCGGTGAGGGCATGTTGAACTCTGCAGGGTTAAGGATATTTGCTCTCACACTGGGCTTGACACGAAGTGTAGCCAGAGTCGACCTTGGTGTCAGTGCACCACTTTCCGGTTCGGACACATCATAGTCCATTTCATGTTCATTGTGGATGCTGTTAGAGTCTACTGGTGTTGTCTCCCCACTTCGGAAGCGGATTGTCTCCCCAGGAGCAGAGTATGGGGGTGGATCGTCAGTCGTAGTAGTAATACGAGAGCCATTCCGACCAATTCTGAAGGATCGCCCTCCAACATCAATGTCTATACTCCGTGCGTCATCTTGGAACGTGGTGGTAGAGATCTTCGTCCTCGTGGATATTATCGATGAGGCACGACTGGGCCTAGTGACCCTCGAGTTATTTATCTCACTGACCCATGTAGGGACAGGAAGGCCGTCATTCGCGTCATGGGAAGCGAAAGCCGCTGGACCAGTCAACGCGGAGACGTGGTCATCCTCTTCTGCTGACACTGTTTGGACAGGAGTTCTACTCTCCGTGGAGCGAGTATGTTTGGGAGCAGTCTTGTTTGTTGAGTGATTGAAGCGAAACATATCTGAGGTTGACTGTGTCAGGATGCAGATCTCCTCGGTTGCGGTGGCCGCTCTCTTGTAAGCTGGCCAGACGGCGGTGGCCATGGCTCATATAGTATTTCAAGCGGCTGAGAGTGAGTAAAGGCCAGGTGGGACGGTGACATGCATTCCAGGCAGAAAGATATCTAAAGGGTGACTGTCTGACGATGTGATATCGGGGCATGCCTCAAAACTGTGCGTTGCTGATTGAGAAGAGTGTAGAATATGCTGTCAGACAGAGAGGCGGCCTGAATCGCACTTGCAAAGCCTAGTAGCCTCAGCCTCAGCCTCACAACCTCATCGTGCAGCATCGCACGGCAGTGCAGTCAGTCAGAGGCGTCCCCGTCTATGTCTTTTTCTACTTCACTCTCAATCCTCCTCTTCTGGTGTCGTGTCTTTCTGCAGCTTTGACAGCATGCCGTCGAGCGTTGTCTCTACTTTGTCCAAACCTCTTGTCTCCTCGTCAATTCTGCCTGAAGAGCTGCGCGTTGCTTCTGACTCATCCAGAAAAGTCCAGCAATTTAGGGAACTTTACATCTTGTAAGTAAAGTGGAATGCCTGCTTGTTAGAAGCTAGGATACCTTGGCCAGGAAGAAATATGGGAGTGAAAACCGATTGTCGCTTTTGTGAGAAAGTGTAGGCTCTTCGGAATGCACTCGTTATGTATGTTGCAAATGACATATCTACTGGTCAATCCGAGTTCGTAAAAGGCTCGACATGGGTGTACATTCCGATGGATGAACGGTTTTTCACCTCTTTATATACCGCAACCTCCGACATGACATCGTTGAGGATATGCATTTGCATATGATGGTACGGTACTGTGAAATTGAGGCATTGTTTGGTGATTGGCTACAAGCTGATCTGGTTAAGTTCCAGGGCTTAAGAGGAGATGTGCCGCCTATTGCATGTCTGTTTGGGTGCTGCCCGCCCCCGTGGTGACGGCTGGGGAGAAAGAGTTGGAGAGGGCGGCGGCTGCCTGGGTCAACCCTTGCAATGATTGTCCCCAGATCAGGGAAAAAGTGACTTCATAGCATGCAACGCGGAAAGAAAAACACCCCACGCATGCATCGAGTAGATTCTACAACTCAACATTATCACCCAACGCAGGAAGACTCCAGTCACATCTCTTCTTTCCTCACCATCCTATGATATCACCGTTGACGGTGCAGTCTTCGTCTCTTGCTCATCATCGACAATTTCCATGCAACTGATCGAGCCTCTACACGTCGAAGTTCATCCCTACGAGCCCAACACGTGGATTCCTGACCCGAACTCCGAACATTGAAAAGGCCAACTCACATGCTTCCTACCACCTAACAGCCCCCTCCCCTCCATTGACACCACTCTCGACCCTGATCTGTCGTGCCTCCTTCCCACTTGTCTGGCCGCGTTCCGCGAACATGCCAGAGCCTGTCAATGGCGAGACAGCCAAGCCGCGCAAGGCTCCTCGGAAAAGCAAGAGGAGAGGAAACCAACTGCAGAAGCCATGGCTTTACGACCTGGTCCTTTGGACTATGTCAGTCTTGATTGACTTGTTCTTCCGCGAAGTGCATCCCCGTGGAGCTTGGAAAATCCCTCGAACGGGTCCCGTCATCCTCGTTGCAGCACCACATGCCAATCAGGTATGGAGAGTCTATGGTTGGTCATGTATGATGCTGACATCTAGCAGTTCGTAGACTCTTTGATTCTCATGAGACTACTCAAGTCCGAGGCCAAAAGGAGGATATCATATTTAATAGCTGAGAAGTCAACCTCGCGCAAGTTCATTGGAACTCTTTCAAAAGGGATTGGGGCAATACCGGTAGGACGAGCTCTTGACAAGGTGAAGCCTGCCGAGGGCAAAGTCTATCTTCCAGATCCAGAACATGATCCGACCCTGATCCGTGGCGTTGGAACGGACTTCAAGAATGGCTCATTTGAAGTCGGTGGTCTCGTAGTCCTGCCCAAGGTCAACGGGCAAGCACCCAGCACCGAGATTGCCGAGATCATATCCTCCACAGAAATCAGACTCAAGAAACCTTTCAAGACGCCGGAAGCCTTGGAGTTTCTGACAAAGGGCGAGGCTACAGAAGACGACGGAGATGGATCTCGTGGCACTTCCTTCAAAGTGGCACCATTTGTCGACCAAACCAAGGTCTACAACGCCGTATTTGAAGAACTGGATGCAGGCGGATGTATTGGAATCTTCCCAGAAGGCGGTAGTCACGATAGACCAGACCTCCTTCCTTTGAAAGCGGGTGTTGCCATTATGGCCCTCGGAGCCGAAGCCAATCATCCTGGGTGCGGTGTCAAGATCATTCCCATCGGCATGAATTACTTCCACGCTCACAAATTTCGGTCGAGGGCGGTGATCGAGTTCGGTCACCCCATCGAGGTCCACCCTGATCAAGTTGAAGCATACAAAGCCGGCGACCGCAGAAACGCTGTCGGCTCACTCCTCGAAACGGTATATCAGGGTCTTTTGTCCGTGACACAAAGCTGCCCGGACTACGAAACCCTGATGCTAGTGCAAGCGGCCAGAAGGTTGTACAACCCATGGGGGAAGAAATTGCCCTTACCCTTGGTGGTCGAACTCAACCGACGTTTCGTCAAAGGCTACACCCGGTACAAGGATGATCCACGAGTGGTCGCTCTCAAAAAGGACGTCCTGGATTACAACCGTCAGCTCCGTGCACTAGGTCTTCGCGACCATCAATTGGAATGGGGCAACCCTGCGAAACGACCTTGGTGGCTGATCTTCGGCACTTTGATATACCGTCTTGGAGAACTGCTGGTGTTAGGCATTGGCACACTTCCCGGTCTAGCCATGTTCTGGCCCGTCTTTGTCACCACCAAAGTGATCTCTGTCAAAAAGTCGCGCGAAGCACTTGCAGCCTCGACGGTGAAATTGCAAGGTCGAGATGTCATTACCACGTGGAAGCTGCTTGTCGCCATGGCCTTTGCACCTGCACTCTACATCTACTACACCGTTATTGTGACAATGTGGCTGGTCTACAACCGACGTGGGGGATACTACACAGACAGGGTTCCGTGGTGGATGGTCGCTCGCACATATGTCCCTGACTTCGTGCCTACGTGGCTCTTTGCCATTTGCTTCCTCATTTTGTGTATCAGTATTACGTTTGCGGCACTGCGAATTGGTGAAATCGGCATGGACGTTGTCAAATCACTTCGACCACTTCTCATTGCTCTCAATCCACAATCGTCAACTCGGATTGCAAGGCTTCGAAAAACCCGGGAGAAGTTGTCCATCAAAGTGACAGACCTCATCAATACTCTGGGACCGGAGGTGTTCCCCGACTTTGATGCAGAGAGAATTGTTGCCGATCCATTCAGAGAAGGTGCTTATCAATCAAGATATAAGCAAATGCCGGAAGAACCTGCGATGGTCGACACTGCTGAGCCTACCACGCCAACATCTGGCGCGTTCGAAGCAGCACCTGAATCGCCAGGCTCAAGAACTTTCAGCTCATTGTTGCCATCCAACGAGTCATTTGGTAACATTGGTGGATTCGGATTCTTTGCATCTCGGCCTACCACCCCGAAAAGCCGTAGCAGGAGCAGTTCGGTGGGTGGGGCGCTCACTTGGGGCAACATGAAACCTCTCAGCGCCGTGAACAATAAGGAGAGCTTCGACGAGGTCAGTAAGAGGATCCGCGGGGCAATGCGTGAAAGAGGACGCAAACGGGAAAGTGAAGGAGCCGACACAGGGACGGAAAGCAGCTGGGATATGGCATCGGATGGCCCAGCTACCGATGACGAGGAGCTCAAGAAAAAAAGATAGAAGTAATGCAATTGCGCATTCTTTGATGACGGGATGATTAACGAGGTTTGACGAGGCATACAGACCAGGGTAGATATCGGAAAAGACAAGGCATATTTACATGAGTATCATTTTTCCAGTATCATGAAACCACTGACACGGAATTGGTGACTAACGAGCGACGACGATCTTCTTACCATCTCGGATCTCGGGTTGTGGTGCAACGAGGCCGAAGCTGAGGAGGACGCTGGGACCTTACTCGTATGGTGGGCGAGTTTGGGGAGTGTTTTGAGGAGGTGGAGTTTGGTGCCGGGCCATCAAAACAAGGCAAAGGCAACTCAATTCGCAGCCACCACAAACCTCGCCGACATCGACATCATAGTAGCCTTATTCGCTATAGCCCGGCACCACCTCTCTCTGTTGTATCTTCATGTTGTCCTTCGGCGTGTTGTTTCACTAAGGTGTTGTCTGCCTTCTCTTCTTATTTCTCTGGATGCATGTTTCATCTTCTAGAACGCACGAGCACGCCTTCCTCATGACCAATCTTTTGCTTGGATTGTATACATGACGACTACCACGAGCTGATGATCTTTTTGACCACGAGATCTCATTGCAGCCGCACTCTTCAAGTCATCCTCTGATCTCTCGTCGCCCGCCACGTCTGATTCCGCAAGAACCTTGTCAACCTCGTAGTCATGGATCCTTCCAAGCAGTCTACCTTTACCTCGTTACCCTCCCCATATGCGTCCGGCTCTACGCATGCACCTTTCCGTTTGGATGAAGGATTCTCGGAAGACACTTCGAGTCAGGATGAAAATGGCAGAAATATGTTTGACGCCACAGCTGCACGATTTCAAGAATGGGTTATGGCTCAGAACGAAGATGCCAGGGCCGAGATTGCATACGAAGTCCTACGAACACTACGGACCTCCAATATTGCAGCCGTCGTCGATCGGCTGACACCCTTACTGCACATGGACCCGATAGAAAAACTCCCTGCGGAGATCACGTCACAGATGTTTTCGTATCTCGATGCCAATACTCTACTGATAGCATCGCTTGCCTCTCAAACCTGGCGCGCACGAATCGTGGACCCCATGCTGTGGCTGGACCTCTACGAGAGTCAGGGTTGGGCTTATGATAGAAGGGAAGTCAGAGCTTTCGAGCATGCACACAATTCTCTCATTCGCAACGAGTTCAAGAAATCTCGAGGGCAGTTTCATAGCCAGCCTACGAAGAAGCGTGTAACAATGGAATGGCTTGAGTCGAAAGGTCGAAAGTTGTCAGCCGATGTATCTCAGTGGCGAGAACAGCATGGTGTGATTGAAGCAGACACGGATATAAAATCGGAACCCGAAGACATGGAAATGCACGATGCGCCCAATGATGTACAGAACTCTCCACCACGGCCAAACAAGAGGTCGAGTCAGGAGTCGGGCGATGAGATGGACTACTATTCAAGTCCTCAAGAGATCGAATATGAAAGTGACAGGGGAAAAGGCAAGGCGGTTGATAATCATACCCATGGTCCCAGATCACAGCTCGCCATCACTGGTTCTGACGGGCGAGAGCGATTGAATTGGCTGCATCTTTACATGCAGCGTCAGAAATTAGAGCACAACTGGACAAAGGGTTTGTACTCTACTTTTCAACTACCTCACCCCGACCACCCGAACGAGGCACACACCGAATGTGTATACACAATCCAATTCTTTGGCAAGTGGTTGGTGAGCGGAAGTCGCGACAAGACACTGCGTGTATGGGACCTGGAAACTCGACGGTTACGTGGAAAGCCTTTGGTCGGTCATTCACAGTCTGTCCTATGTCTCCAGTTCGACCCTACGGAGGATGAAGATATCATAATATCTGGTAGCAGCGACGCGAGTGTGCTGATCTGGAAATTCTCAACGGGTCAAAAGTTGCACGAAATCCCTTCGGCACATGAGGAATCTGTGCTCAACCTCAAATTCGACAAACGGTATCTTGTGACTTGTTCTAAGGATCGCCGCATCCGAATATGGAACCGCCGCCACTTGACTGCGACAGACCCGGACTATCCAAAAGTCAGTAAGCACAGCTCAGCAAAGGTGCCCTCTTACATTGTCAATACAACAGACATGGATCCATCTCTACTTGAAGCGAGGCTCCCCAATGGTACCATCCGAGCCCTGAAGCCCTACATGCTTCTATTGACGCTAGAAGGACATAATGCTGCAGTCAACGCCATCCAAATCAGTGGTGATCTCATCGTCTCCGCATCAGGTGACAGGCTCATCAAGGTATGGAATGCCAGAAATGGCAAACTCCTCCGCACATTGCAAGGGCATCAGAAAGGCATTGCTTGCGTTCAATTTGACAGCAAGCGAGTTGTCAGTGGAAGCAGCGACAATACCGTACGAATATACGATCCATATACAGGAGCAGAGGTTGCAGAACTCAAGGGCCATAACAACTTGGTGAGGACCATTCAAGCAGGATTTGGTGATCTGCCAGGCTGCGATGAGGATGACAATCTTCGAGCCAGAGAAGCCGAAAGAAAATATCTCGAGCGTCTGACGAACGGTAAAATTGTCGAAGACAGACAATATAGGCGAGAGATCAGGAATGGTGATCATGGGAGCTCTCGACTTGCTCTGGGTGCGAAATTGCCCCCTGGGGGAGGCGGCAGCAAATGGGGCCGGATTGTGTCGGGCAGTTACGATCAAACAATCATTATATGGAGAAAGAACGCAGAAGGTCATTGGGTGATTGGAAAACAATTGCGCCAGGAGGCGCACGGTCAGGAGACCGCCACTGCACGACAGCGTTCTCAGGCTCAAACTGCGGATATGGACCCTCAGTCCTTGCCAGCATCACAACCTACCAGTATCCCAAATCCAGCTGTCCCTCAAGTCCACTCCGCGCCAGCCAATCTCGGTCCCGCTGGCGCTGCACATCCGGCGGCGATGTCTGCATCGCAAATCGTCCAACAAGCCGTCGGAACCTCCTTCGCGAGTCTGGGTGCCGGCCTTACGAATGTCATGGGCATCGGGCGGGTGTTGAATCCTCCTATCACCGGTCCCAGAAACGGCGCCAGTCAACAATCTAGCTTCTCCTCGAGTTCGACGATTAGCGGTACACCCCAGAGCATCGCTTCAGCCGCCGCGGCGCATACTCAGGCTCTCGTATCTCAGTCTGTACAGCAAGCGTTGAATCAAGCCGCGCTGCAACGCTCTTCTTCTCGGAACCAGACCGGCGGCCAGAACCAGAGCCAGACCATACATGTGAACCTAGGGCAGCCGCTGAGTGCAGCTTCAGCGACTGCTGGCTCGAGTTCGAGTTCGCATGGCCTGCCACAAGTACAAGGACAAGCGCAGGTTAATGTGGCTCTCCATCCGCAAGTAGCCGCGGCTCAGCAGCAGCAACAACATCAACAAGCGCAGCATCAGCAGGCCGCGGCGTCGAACCAGGGTCAACAGGGGGAGCAGCAGTCCTCAGTGTCACGAGTGTTTAAACTACAATTCGATGCGCGGCGGATAGTCTGTTGCTCGCAGGACAGCAGGATTGTGGGCTGGGATTTTGCAAATGGTGATCCGGACGTTATTGAGGCTTCTCGGTTCTTCATTGGACCTTGACCTGCCTTTTTTTTTGGAGATCTTCTTTTTGAGACCAGGGGGTTGTGACCGCCAGTAATATACTCACGAGTCTCCGATTTGAGCATCTAGGATTTGTTTTTGACGTTTGGCTACGTTCTCGGAGGATCAGTGTGGCACGTCACCAGGCATGGAAGGTTTGAAGCATTAGCATTCAGGGGCTTCGGTTGTCACAACGCATGAGACGAGCATCTAGGGTAGAACGTCCGCCAAAGTAGTGTCTATGAAAACTTTGGTAAACAAAATTTGGTATCCAGTAGGGGTAATTGCAGTACTCTTACTCCGGCACAGTAAGGACGCCGCTTATTGCTCAAAGCCGAGCAGTATACAGTTTCTATCGATGCAACAGCTCTATATCATGAAGCATGCACTTTGACCGGACTGACCGACAACGACTCAGGTACGGACGAAGACTTGCTTCCTCTGTTGCCGACTTTGTTTTTGCTTTTTGTGCTCTTCGGTCGCTCATCCATGTTTTCTTCATTTTGGGCTGCATCGCCCATTTTCCGGACGCGCCACTGCCACTCCCACAGGACGGGCAGGAAACTCCACAGGTCAAAGTCCGGCCACAGTACATCGAGAAAGACGATCTGCGTGTCCTCATGGCACTGCCAGAGCATGAAGTCGGAGAGACGACTTACGCCGCTGGTGCGGACGAGGAGGTCGATCGGTGGGTCGGAGGCGGTGTACATGTGTGAGGTTAGTGTGTCGGGGGTGATGAGTTCGGGAGAAGGGTATTGCGGTGGCGGTTGTTTCTGTTTGTCGGGCGTGGTCAGTCCCGAGGAAGTGATGTCGTCGTGTTGGAGGGTTGTGGACGTTGATACTGAGGATAGGTCGTGGTCGTGGTTGTGGTCGGAAAAGGAGGAGGACAAGGATGTCGTGCTGGAGGAGGGAGACTGGAGGCCTTGTCTGGGCGTCTGTAGATATGTGGAAGATTTGTTATAGTGCTGTTGCTCTTGTTGCTGCTGCGAGCGAATTGTGTCTGTGATTCTGTCTTGTCGGAATGGGCTTGGTCGTTCCTTGTTGGCGTCAGGGACCGGTCGGGAAAAGTCCTGGACCGTCTCGCGGATAGCTGAAGTAATTTCCTCGCGGCTCGTATAGGGAAAGCATACATTGAGTACGCATTTTGTATTATGAGCTGTCATGGCCACGGCCTTGTCGACCGCTTCCAGGACGTCGGGCTTGATCAGCTCGCGCTGGCCAAGGATGCGGATGCGCGCACCGTATCGGTCGAGGAGGTCGCCGTGCTGGACGAGCTGTTTGAGCTTGATTTTGGCCATGTCCATGAGTGCATCGACCTCGTATTTGGTGCGCTTAAAGTTCTCGATGCTGAAGGCATAGATGGTAACATGCGTCACCCCGGATTTGTAGCATACTTCCAGAATCTGTGGGAGGCTCTCGTTAGAGCGGTGAGGCTCAAAGGGTTGAGGGGATATACTCTTGCAAGGGCTTCAAAGCCCAAGTTGTGTCCTTCCACGGTTTCTATGCGGTGCGTTTTGGCATACCGTCTGTTTCCATCCATGACAAAAGCCACATGTTTCGGGACGGGGCCCTGGCGGAGAGCACCAATGAGCAGTTCTCGGAGTTGGTTGAGTGCCCATTCTGCGGGCGGAGAGGAGAGGAGCCACCGGCGCACATGGGACACGTTCTTGGAAGGCATGGTATTTCTTTATCTTGGAGAATTGGAGGAGTAAGATGTTTACCCGCGTGTAGGGAGGCGTCCGTTCAGACGAGGTCACCGAAACGAAGCGGCAAGCATTGTAATCGCGACTTCTGTGAGGATCAGGATCGTTGGGTCACAGCAGTGTAGTCGTTGTTTGACAGAGCGTGGACAGAGCGTGGAGGGTATACGTGGCAGAAGTGATGGTGGTTGTTGACAGGCTGCGCCGACTCGTTAACATAAATTCGGGGGATGTGAGAGATGACGCAGCGCCAAAGGTGGTCAATTCCAACGGCCTCGGCAGCCAATCCAGATTTAAGGGTGCCTGGCGAGGCTGCGTTTGTGGGTATACAGTACAGTACGAGGATCAGTATATCCGTACAGGTACCTAATGATGGGAACAATTGATGAAAGAGATTCAATGTCAATAGTATACCCATCAGCACTAATAACAATTCAACCAGGATGCTGCTGAAGTTTTCCCCCGGTTCATCCGCAGCCAAATAACCCCATACTCAAGAAGAGAGTCTTTGTACTCGCTAATATTGCACAAAAGAGATCAAAGACCAATTGTACCCTCAAGTCCACTCGACAATCAGTCTCGTTCATCCATGTCATCTGCCCGAGACTCGAGCAGCACCCTCCTTCTCGCCTGCGCCGGTGGTCGCACCAGGAGGGAGCAGAACGTCAGGAAGCTTAATCCCTACACCCCCTTTGGGACCGACTTCCTTCCCCTTTTTGATTGCCGGCGAACTGCCTCGGCCACTGCTGTTGTTGCTGTCGTTCTTGTCGTCATCTTGTTGTAGCTGCACTTCGAGTCGTTCTAACTTCTCACCGCGTAGAATCTTGAGGATCTCCTCGCGGTCGAGCGTCTCAAATTCCATCAGGGCGTCTTTGAGCGCCTCCAATTCCTTGCGCTTCTCTTTCACAATCTTGTCGGCTCGCTGTCTCCCGGCTTCAACAATGTTTCGAACTTCGCGCTCGATTTCCTGCTTTGTCTGGCTTGACAGATTATTGTAGTCAGAAGCCAAGTCAACGTTACCAAGACTGGGCGAGAAGCCGCATTGCGTCACCAGGTGATATGCAACTTGTGTGGCGGCTTGAACGTCGGACGAGATACCGCTTGTGACCTTGTTAGGACCATAGATCAGTTCTTCAGCCGCTCGGCCACCCATGGAGACATCAATCTGGCTGAGATATTGATCGTATCCCATGCTGACAGCATCCATCTCGGGTAACTGGTGGGTCACACCCAGAGCACGACCTCTAGGTATGATTGTCATCTTGTACAACTCCTGGCTGCCTGGTGTAAAGAGGTTGACCAAGCAATGGCCGGCTTCATGATAAGCGGTGCAGATCTTGTCCTTCTCGCGGATCACTCTAGACTTGTTCTCGGCTCCCATGATAATCTTATCTTTGGCCCATTCGAAATTGTGCGCATTGACCTTCTTATACTTGAGGCGAGAAGCGTGGACTGCAGCCTGGTTGCAAAGATTCTCTAGCTCAGCCCCAGACATGCCACTGGTCGCTCGTGCAAGCTTGGTAGCGTCCACGTCAGCGGAGATAGGCATATTCCTCATATGGTGCTTGAGGATCTCAACCCGGCCTCGGACGTCGGGTAGAGGTACGTTGACATTACGGTCGAAGCGGCCAGGTCGAGTGAGTGCTTTGTCGAGAGATTCTGGATAGTTGGTGGCAGCAATGAGGATCACCCCAGTACTTGGGCTGAAACCATCCAGCTCTGTCAGCAGCTGGTTGAGTGTCTGCTTGGCATAGGCTGGATCACGCGCGTTTCGTTTGCCTCCCACAGCATCAAGCTCGTCAATGAAGATGATAGCTGGCGCCTTGTTCCGGGCTTGGGAGAAGAGATCTCGAACACGTTTCGCACCAACGCCGACATAAAGCTCATCGAATTCCGAACCAGACATGTAGAATACCGGGACTCCAGCCTCTCCCGCCACAGCACGAGCAAGCATGGTCTTACCGGTACCAGGTGGACCAACCAGAAGAACACCCTTGGGAAGCTTGCCACCCAACCTGTTGAATTTTTCCGGGTTCTTCAAGAATTCGACCAGTTCTTGCAATTCTTCCTTGGCTTCGTCGCAACCGTGCACGTCGCTGAAACGTACGGTTTGGTGCTGAGGTTGAACTTCGTTGTTTTGCCCGCCCCGGGTACGGAAATTTCCGGTAAACTCGACCACCATGGTGAGGACGACTAGCAAAAAGTAACCGGAGAGACCGACCCAGAGGAACATTTTGACCCATTTCAGAATTGTGGCGCCCCATGATTCTTCCACCACGACATATAAGGGTGCTTCTTTTGCGCCTGTACCCGACTTTGTGCCTGACATGACGAGTTGTCCACCATAGTTCTGTCCGGCAACCGCCTGACCTACAGCTTGTAGCTTGTCTTGACCCAAACCACCACCTTGTACCATGTTGCTGGCACCTGCAAACCCAGGTGCGGACCCCGGTGCAGGCACAAAGCCAGTCATTTGGAGAGCTTTGAGGTAAGTGGCGTCGACCGTGGGATTTGTGGCATACCGACCGGACTGGTATCTTTCGATGACAATCTTGGGCATGTTGGAACGCAACAGAGCGGAGTAGAAGGCATTCTGAGCAGTGGCGCTTGTAGGGTTGTTGTTGGCTGTCTTTTCAGCATGCGCGAGCATGTTCTGGCTTGCAGGCTGAAAGGTGGTGGAGAATTGCCGACGCGATGTGAAATAACTAGAGTCTCCTTTGCGTGGAGGACCAAACAGGAGAGATGTCATTGATGGCTGCGTGCGGCGGGGGGCGAGGCCAACGGCTCTGGCAGGCGATGTCTTCGCTGCGGCTCTGGGCGCACCTGTGGAGAAGGCTCGTCGAAGGGAGGAGAGAGGGGTCTGGTGTGGTATCATGATACTTCGGATGCTGGGCAACATCCAAGGTAGAGATTGACGGGAAGTAGGATATAGTGGTCCAGACTGTAGGCTGCTCGTTGCGACGGTGCTCATGAAATCGGGAATGACGATCTTGGACGGTAGCTGGCAAGTGTCAGGGACCTCTCGCTCCTCTTTCGACGATGTATCACCCACATTTGACTTGTTGGCCGACTGGCTAGATGTCGTGTGTAGTTCCCGCGTGCCCGCAACATCTCCTTCTGCCCGCAGCCGGGAGAGGCGATAACGACGTATGGAGTTCATCGGAGAAGTCATGAGCGAAGGAAGGGCCGTCCACACATCTGGGCCAATTACGGACAGGCTCTGTATGGACATTAGTGTCAGTGATAGTCGAACAAGACGGGGACAAGCGTTGCGCACCGGGAGTTGAGAGAGCGAGACCTGTAGGGCCATCTTGACAATTCGAGCGCGAGGCGCCGCAACAAAAGGGTTCGACTTGTATCAGTCTTGAAAAGATACTCAGTGACCAGATATATTTAAAGAAAGGATAGAATAAGACAGGAGAGACACCTTTGCCTTGCCTTGCCACGCCAAAAGTTGTCGAATATATGGGTGGTGGGCAGGCGTTTGCGGGCGATGGATGACGGTGACAAGGGCGAACGAGTAAAGGGACGAAGACGCAGGCAACGGCAACTACGAATGAGTGACTGACTGACTGACTGACATAGAAATTGAGTTGAATTCCACCCAGTTCGCTGGAGTCAAAACTGACCGACCAGACCGACTTTGGCCGAATCCGAATCCCGCCACTATGAGATTGAGCACGTGCTTAGACTGATTAGCTAATTTCTTCCTGAGGCAAGTCAACCGGATTCGTCAGTGCTTCAATAACATGCATTTTCATTATTGAGACTTAGTCATTTACACATCCCTCACATACAAGCTACACACGTAGCGGCACACTTCGAAGACGTCAAGCTGTATTACATTTTCCCTACATATTTGACTTCCCAGGTGACTCCTTGATCGCTGCAAAGTGCTACTACGGTAAACAAAAACTAACATCAATTCGACGCGTGTCAGGGTGAAGCGTGAGGAAGTCTCGGTGACCCCAGAGGAGACACAAACGACGGACTGACCGTCCCCGACTTTGGCGTCGCTTCAGAAAAGACTGGCGACCTCCTCCCACCACCGCTTGATTTCTGCACGGGTGTTCGTGGCGGAGATGCTGGATCGGCTTCTGTCGATGCTTCACTCCCTGAAAATGCTGGATGATGTTCATTGATCCACGTGCTTCCCGGCAATTCCTGTGGCACACTGGGTTTCTTAGGTATTGGCTTGACTAACCTCTCTGGCTCGTACGCTGGAGGCGATGATGCGGGATTGCTAGGCCAGCGCGAGACAGCCCCTGGCGACTTTTGCTGCATTTCTGGGCTGTCCAGCTCGTGGGTCACCGGTTCTTCTTCAAACTGTATGAGCGCCGGCTCTTGTGCCGGGAACGTTGATGCTCGCGCTGATGCCGCTGCCGCTGCCGCCCTAGCTCGCCGCTTTCTCCACCATATGAAGACGATGATGAGAATTATGAACAGCACTGCGTTGACGACGATGCCAATAAGACCGCCTATAGGCAAGCCTCCTGGACGTGCTGCCTTTGGAGCAAGGATGTAGCGCTCTGTGAAGATGTGGTCGGTTATGAGAGTCAGGCCTGTCACAGTGGGTGTGATTCCCGGTATCAACGTCGTGCTCAGGCTGGAATAACATGGCGTCTGCCCTCCAATGGCGGTATAGTATACCTGATAGCCACTATGATGGTCAACTGGTGCTTACAAACATATTGCAGGAACACTCACTATGGACAGCAGGCACTCGACGTGGTGAAATAGTCCTGTGGACACCGCGTGATTTCGGCATTGATCTCTGCCTGGTTCGGGCAGCAGTCACCTCTCCCATTGGAACAGCCGACCACTGGGAACTCGGTCACCATGTTGTTGGACCCTGTCACCATAGCAAAGTACGGCACTGTGCAGCTGCCCGTCATCAATGGCCGCCCAGAAAAGGCGGCCGTTGCGGGCTTGGCTGTGGTCGCTACAGCCGCTTCGGTGACCACGTTGTCTGTTATGGTGCTGAAGCTTGTGTTGAGCGCCGACATGGATGAGGTTGTCGTTGAAGTCACGGCAGATGTGGCAGCTTCTGTTGCTGTCTCCGAGCTCAAGCTGGCAAGGACACTGGATAACCCTGCCGGCGAACATCCCACAAAATCTGGGGCGGTCTCACTGACAGCTTCACATTCTTGTTGATTGAACTGGATTGCAGCTGGCTCATTATCAGTCTCTATTGGCGTCAATCTGGATCTCTCAACATACTAGCTTGCTCCGTGGAGTTGCAATTGGTGAACAGGCAACATGACAAACTTGCGACATAATTGTTATTTTTGCAAAGACAGCCGATGTCAATGACGGCGCAGGATGTCTGAGACGAGGTAGAGTTCGACAGGCAGTTTTGCTAATGACCAAGTCAATGTCTGATAAGTTGCTCTCAGAATGCTAGCCACTTACCGCGCAAACAGGGATATTTCCAACATCAATAGCCTGGATAAGGTGAAAACAGAAGAACGAGAGAATGACTGTGATTAGGTCCATCTTGGACAACGCTGGACTTGACAATCACGATGTTGCTTGCTGCTTCTCAACCGACATCCCACGGGCGACCTTGTAATGAGTTGAAACCTTGATCAGATGTGGCATCATGGGAGAAGAGGTCTTGCACCGACACTTGGGCAAAACCTTTGTCTCTGAGCCGAAGTTCCGAACACAAAGAAAACATACCTGCGGTAGCCATGGGCGACATTTTTCGAACAATGAGGCCACGAGGCGTGGAGTTATCGTCGAAAGCGGTTGTCAACGTCGCCTGGAATGTGGGACAAGCATTCCGCAAAATGTCAGTCATAGAAACTCTGGAATGTTATGCTTGCCGCGGCCGCATGATATGACAATCGACCTCGGTCCACCACAATGATCGTGGGAGACATTGATGACAGCGAAAGCCCTGTACTGCGCTCTTATCACTTTGCCATCAAATGGCAATGCCATACATGCTGCATCGTCCAAATACCGACATTTGCACATTCGAGTCTCCGCGCCATCCATCGTACTTCTGATGGATTATGATGACCCCATCCGTTGACGCCATCCCCTCCTGCAGCCAATCAGATTGCCAGCCTCTCGTTTGATGCCATATTGCCCAAGATAACACCATACATCAGACTGCTCATTCACCCAGGAGTTCCAAGCCATGCAGCTGATCGCTGTTCCGGGCCTCTGGAGTGCTTCCCATGACAATGTGTCCTTCAATGAGCTGCGGGCTATCTCTTGAGATGTCGTCTCAACCATAGCACGTGCGACCACCAATTTGCCAATCTTCAAAGGCGCCCAAAAGACGTTGTAACTTTCGTCTGTTGTTGCCTTGCACTTGCTACGTGGATGTTATTGTTGTTAATCGAGCTAATCTTAGACTTCGATATCGCTTTAACAATGGCACACTTGGAAGCACGCAAGCATATTTCTCCGGACTCGGGCTTTCCTATCACACTCCACCCAGTATTTAACCCAAAGATCAAGGCGCACACGCCCCCAGAGCCCATACGAGAAGAGGTCACTCCGGCCAAAGACAGGGCCTTCTTTGCTGATCCCGATAAGGACGCACTGTTCTCAGTAGCGAAGCGTGTCGACCTGACCGAGTCCATTGGCACCGTTCTTGAGAATGTGCAACTCTCCCAACTGAATCCCCAACAACTCGACGAGCTCGCCCTTCTGGTCAACGAACGCGGTGTCGTCTTCTTCCGGGATCAAGATCTTACGACAGATCAACAGGTGAAACTGTTCGAACACTACGGTGTTCTTGACAAGCATCCTGCCCAGAAGGATCAACGACACGTCATCATCAAAGGCAGCCGAGAAGACCATCGCGAGATCCTCTCTTACACTCCTTGGCCATCCGGCGACTTCCACGCCGACACTTCTTTCGAGGTCAATCCGCCTTCATACTCTCTCCTGCGGATGGAAGAGCATCCCGCTGTCGGTGGAGATACTGCCTGGGTATCACAATACGGCTTGTACGATGCACTGAGCAAAGCACTCAGAGGGTTCCTCGACAGCCTTCATGCGGTGCACACCTCCAGACTGCAGTATGACACCATCCTTGATCTGTGGGGTGTAGGACCGAATCGGCCGCCGATCGACACTCATCATCCAGCCGTCAGGACACATCCTGTGACCGGGCTCAAGGCATTGAATGTGAACCCAGGCTTCGTAACCGGCTTTGCTGAATTATTGAAGAAGGAGTCAGGTAAGCCGACATGGTATTTCTTAACGCAAGCAATCAATTGACTGTGTAAAAGACAAGTTGCTTGAGCTCTTAGAATACCATATCCATTCTGCAGATGATCACTACGTGCGTTGGAAGTGGGCGGTAGGTAGTGTCGCCATGTGGGACAACCGGTGAGTCTTATCATCACCAGCACTGTATCCATGCTGACAAAGTCTAGCTGCACTTTGCATCGTGTCATCCCTGGGACATACGAGGGGAACAGAAAGGGCATTCGGACCACCGTGTTTGGCGAAAAGCGTACGTCTATAGGCCTCAACGTTTGAGTAATACTAACCCCATGAGAAGCATACCTGGACCCAAAAAGTGAGAGTCGCAATGAGCGGGCACAACGGCTCAAGGCAGCCGCTGCCAACGGCTGTTCCGACAACGGAGAGATCAGGACAAATGGCTCGGCTGATGTCCCAGCTTAGTAGGATTTAAGGCAAATAATCCAAATGTACACAGTACAGCCAGAACACAACTGCAGAAGAGTGCAATGCGGACGTCAAATTCTCTGTCTTGCGCCTATCCATCCAAAGCCTGAACGACTTGGGCCCAGTCCTGCTCCCCATACGCACCAGGGACACTGTGTCCATCAAACAAGCTAGCCAGAATCACCCGGTCCTTCTGCTCGCCCTGCCACGGCTGTCTCCCATGCTGAGCAATAATATTATCATACACCAGCACATCACCCTGCTGCCATTTATGCAGCACGCGAATGTCGTCCGTAATGTCCGCCAGCTTGGCAAGGTACTTCTCCGGGATGGGCGTGCCGTCTCCAAAATACTGAGTCGTCACCTTGTTTCTCGCTGTAGCTGTCTTATTGTGCTGTGTTGTTTTATAGTATGCGGCCAAGCCCGTGAACAGTGTCGGCAAGTTTGTGCTAGGCTGCGTGCGGATCGCGGGCAATCTGTGCGTGAGGACTAAAGTGTTGTCGTCGGTCCAGTCCGAGGTCGTGTGCTTACCACGGCCATACCTTGCGATCTGGGCCTCGATCTTGGACCGGCGCGTGGCTTCGTCGTCATCATCCTTGATGTCCTTGCCGAAGGCCTGGCGCAGAGTCGACCCGCCTTCGTACTGCTTGTCGACTTTGTACGTGACTTTGCTGAGGATGCCCTTGGTGCCGAGCTCGGCGGTGAACTCTGGGATTTCTTGCTGCGCGCGGTTGAAGAGTTCTAAAGATGACGAGATGGGCGTTTCGCCGCCTGATGCGGGGGCCTTGTTGCAGTAGAAGAAGATGTACTCTGGTGCGTGTGGGACTTGCGGTGACTCGTTGTGGTTGTAAATCAGGACTTCCTTGGGTGCTTCATTAGCTGGTGCCACGTTGGGTGCTAGGAGCGGTCGGTCGACGACGATGCCGATGATCTCGTGTGGCTTGTATCCGAATGCGTGGGCGAATCTGCTGAAGTCGTCGGCATTGTGGATGGGGAGACCACGGAAGAGGAGCGTGCCGTGTTGTGCCAGCTTTTTGGTGAGGATGCCATCTTGGGCTTGGAGAGACTTGATTGTCTCGATGGCTCGATCTAATGTGACTTCCTCATTGTCGTAGACTGAAGGTCGAAGTGCCAATGGGATCACTGCGCCAGCGGGATGTGGTGCTCCAAGAATGCGCTGGTTGCTTGATGGAAGGTCGAATGCTTCGAATGCCACGGACGCGGAGGATGCGTCCAACTTCAGCGGGTGCGCACTGGTCTGCTGGATGGAGGCTGCCATTTTTCCTGCTGATGTTGATTTGCTCGATGAGATGAGAGAGAATGCGAAAAGAAACGAACAATCTACAGGCAGGGATTGGGAATCGAGCATGGATATACGGACTTTACCGACAGCCGCGGTTGATGTTGAAGTTGAGACGGGGAAGTAAGTCTATTGCGGCAAGACCGGCTGGTTTACATACCATGGAATCTGTCGATCCATGGTGCCATCTCTACTAAAAGCACGAAACACCACGCTCGACGTATCACCGTCGATTCATTCTATACATCGCGTGCTACCAAGAGCACTACCAAGATGTCCAAAACTCTACGATGTCCGCTATCACCATGCTATCACCAATAGTTCTTCCGAGTTTTCATCTTGGTGCCCTTTTCGGGTCTATCATGCCACGTGTATACGCTTGTTTCATTGCCTTGGGAGCGTGGCAGGGTCTGGGCGACAAAAGTAGGCTGCTATGGCGTATGTTTTGATGCGACTTGCGTGCTATTGCGGAACCAGTCCCCCGGGATACCTCGGAGCATGGAGTTTCTATCGTTGACATGTGGATGGTGTACTGGGTATCTTCTGGTTGATACTCCTTGTTATATAGGGAGATGAAGTCGCCTGCATTTGCATTCCTATACCATTCCTTCTGCTCCTCATCTAACAATACACCCTTACATCCATCGACATGGCACTACCCTCCAATGGCAAGGAGATACTGGCTGTGACTGGTCAAGCCATCCAGGAGCCTGCAGCACCAATCCTGGTGGAACAACCGGATCCAACCACAAATCATGGTCGCCATCAATTCTTTCGCACCACACTCTTCCAGCTTCTCGTCGTCGGCTCATGCGCCTTCTGCGCGCCCGGAATATGGAGTGCCATGAACGGCCTAGGCGTCGGCGGGTCTCAAAGTCCCAACCTCGTCAACGCCGCCAACGCACTCCTCTACGCGTTCATGACGGTAACCTGTTTTGCCGGACCCTGGCTGACCAACGCAATCGGCTTCCGCTGGACACTGGCTGTCGGATCCTTAGGCTACCCACTGTACGCAGCAGGACTGTACGTCAATAACCGTACGGGGGCCACCTGGTTCGTCTATTTTGGTGCGGTTGCCTGTGGCATCAGCGCCGGCTTCTTCTGGAGTGTCGAGGGAGCCATCGCAACCGGATACCCTGAACACCATAAACGAGGCCGCTACCTCGCCACGTGGTTCACCTTCCGCAACTTTGGCAACGTCATTGGCGGAGCAGTGTCGCTGGGCATCAATCACAAAGTCAATCACAAGGGCAAAGTCGGGTATCAAACGTACCTGGCATTCATCGCAATCCAGTGCCTCGGCTTTTTCCTAGGTCTCCTCCTGTCCAACCCAGAAAAGGTCCAACGTGACGACGGGACACGTATCGAAGCGCCACGAAACATACATTGGCGCACCGAGCTCGAGCATATGTGGAGGCTCATTCGCAGCAAGCCCATCTTGCTACTGACGCCACTGTTCTGGTATTTTGGCTGGATCCAGGCTTATCCAGGAACATATCTGGCCACATACTTCACGGTCCGGTCTCGTGCACTGGGCAGTTTCATGTCCGCTGTGGTCGGGACGTTAGCGACATGGCTTGCCGGTACACTTGTCGATCTGCCCTGGCACAAATCTCGCAAGACCCGCGCCGTCACCACGTACGTTCTGATCGCCCTACTCAATAGCGCGACGTGGATCTGGGCGGTTTATATCCAGAACGAGTACCGTCACACAAGGCCCACGCTGGACTGGGGTAACCACAGGTCCTTTGGCCGGGGGTTTGGCTTGTACCTGTTTGAGAGGATTAGTCTCGGTATGGTCGAGAACTACATCTACTGGTGCATTGGCAATCTATCGGACTCGCCGGGTGACCAGATTCGATACAGCTCCCTGCTCAGGGGAATTGAGACCGCTGGTGTGGCTGTGGGCTTTGGCGTTCAGGCTGTGCCTACCGCGCTGATTGCCACTGCCAGTATCAATTTCGCGCTTTGGTTCCTGGCGCTGCCATTCAGTTACTATGCCACGTTGCAGGTGGTGCGCAAGTTCAATAAGTTGCAGGAGAAGTGGGGGAGCGGCGTAGTCGAAACAGATCGAGCAGTGCCCGAGGTCAAGGAATAGAAGAGCGTGTGTCTAAGAAACGAAATCGACGACGGTCACTCGGACAACTAGGAATCTACTCTGCGTGATGACCGACTCTGGACAATTCTCTCAAGGGACTTGCAGCAGGGAAAGTTCGATCGAACTCGATATAGGAATCGCGCCAAAAGAGGTTTTCATGAGACCACTTCACTTCACTTTCCACGAGACCACTTCACTTCACTCTTCACGAGATGAGTCCACTTCACTTCACTCGACCTCGAATATCCAGCCTTTATATATGCGACCCTTCCAAAATTAGTCAACAATTAAGGTGAAAGACTGCCCTTACAAGACCGGACTATATCTTTAGTATCTGGCTCAGCAAATGACTCTATCACTAAGCTCATAACAGGGCACCGAGACAAATTCCAGAATAAATCTTGTTTCTACCTAGGTAGAGACTAAGTGTCTGGCTCTGGTACCGACCTGTGAATGAAGTTTACATAGAGCCACTGAGATCCGGAGTAACATCTTCAGAGTGGTCATTTGGTCTGGCATTAGGCACGTCTGGAACCTACAATTGTATAACCCTAATAAACCCCCCAGGGTTTTCTCGATCAACCCTAAACAAACGGGTTGACTGAGTTTTTGCTTTTTTTCCCGGACGACGGACAGTCGTCTGAATACTTGCATTATTGCTGGTGGTGAGTGGAATGTTCGAGGAATGGGAGAAGCTTAGCCTTATCGTGGGGGCACTGCTTACAGTGTCCTATCACTGCCGGAAGAGCGAGACAAGTCGAACGTGCTTGAGGGCACTGGTACATATAGGCGGTGCGACTCGTGGGAATTTTCAAGGAGAAGAAAAGAGATCAGGAGGTTCAACAATTACGGCAAACGTTTGGGTTCAAATGCTGGGATGTTGGTGGGTCGCCCACAAGGAGTAACTATCTTCGAGTCCTATATCACAGCCCTTGCTGTTCCACGTAGAAAATGTTGTACGCTTCTATCTTAGCAGGAGTTCTCATGGTGTCTTGGATGAACTGCAGCCTTCTGCAATTCACTCTCTGCCACGTAGACCCGATACGTCGTAGGTTCAGCACCAGTGCCGTGACTTGTTCTTGGTGCTTCGTGTAATGAGTGATCGGACGCTGCCACGCACTCCTGGGTCCACAGTACATGACCAAGGCAGCCCCATCACCTGTAGGAATTGATGTGTGGATGGTATGTACCCCGTGTCGTAGGTCGACAGAATCCTGGTGGGGGTCGTCCCTGCGATACCGCCCACGTAGTTCGAGACCGATGCTCGTCATGGTCGGTGGGATCCAAGGAGTTGGATCTTGAGGAAAGACGATTTGAATCATATTGCCGCTGTCTGCGAAAGCAGTGGGCCATGTTGCAAGTAAGCCTGAACTATCAAAGGGAGCTTTCCATGCATAGATTGAGTCGTCGTCGCTCTTCTTTAGAATCTCCAGTTGCAGACGCATGAATGCCCTGCCATCGCATTAGAGTGAGGGACAGAGTCACAGAATACCTCGAAATTTAGCAAATGGGATCCGAGCCGCTATTGGTATGAAAGCAATAGTAGTACACATGCGTCCGCAAGAGGTATGAATGCAGGCCAGACGGGGAAGATTTGTAGGAAAGGACCTATTGGCCAACCTACTTTCGGCCCTCGCCATAAATGAGGGGCATGTGTACTGCGTGTAAGGGTAGCATATCAGCGATCACCACCACCAGAACGTCTCAGGCACTTACCATCGAACAGTCCGAGCATACAATATGCCATATCCTCGATGCGAGTTGTCTGACGGTGTGAAACCCAACTCATCCGCATCGCAATGCTGCAAAGCTTGTTATCCGAAGCCGGAACGGTGCCATCGAGGAAGGCCAGGGGGATTTTAGTGATCTTTGACAACTCCTCCCCTATATCAGACTTTTCGGCAATGACCTCCCAGGTATTGTCACAGAACAATTCTTTCCTAGGAGCAAGTAGTTCTTGAAGAGTCCATCCGCGTTCGAACCATCGCGCCTTTCTAAATTGCTCTCTAGTAGCCTGAGTAGCCTCGGAGCGCAAGTTGTCAGGTGCGATATCTTCTTGTGACCTTGCGGAGACATCGACGAGATACACGTAGCATTCTGCCGCATCTCGATACCAAGCCCACATGGAATTGATGGCTTCCGAAAGTTCCGCACTGCTACTTTGGTCAATACAACAGGTGTCGATCCAGACCCAGTCATAACCCCTGCTCTTCGCCAGTTTGCAGCAATTACGAATCTTTCTGATTCCTGCGCTGTCGGCTCGGGGAGTTTTGAGCAACGCATGAATGACTCCCACGGACGTGACGGGCAGGTTGCTGGTGAGGAACAAGTAGTCCAGATACGAGACTTCTTCGTCTCCCCAAGTATGAGACAGAATTGCATAATGTGGACGTTGTGAATCCCAAAACGTCCTGAATTCGCCGGTATGGGTGTTGATGAGTCGCATGTCGTGATTACAACTACCGCGGAGGACGATGACGGTGAAGGAGAGTACTCGGTTGCATCATCATGCGAGCAGTCAGTTCACATCAGCTCTATCACGTGCTCACGTGAATCAGTAAAAGCCGCAGATGTAGTGCTCAAAGAGTATAACGTGATGTTAAATTAGATTGAGAAACTTCCCGATTACATTAGAATATGAAGTATAATGATGCACCAGAAATCCACCCTTGGCCGTTGCCGCGATTCTTAGATCATCAACGCAACACCGCCCGCAGCGATCATCAATCCGAGGCCAGAGACGCCATTTGCGACGGCACCACCAGTGTATGAAGCCACCCAGGCAGATGTCGTAGATGTCTTTGAGCTGGTGGCGCTCATCGAGGTAGAGGTCGAGCCCCAGCCAGTCGCGGTGCTTGTTACCGATGAGACACTGCTAGCGCTGCTGGTGGTGCTGACACTGCTGGCCGAGCTGGAGCTAGATCCCCAGTCGTTCCAGCTTCCCACTGAGGTCGAGGCCGTTGCTGATGAGACCGAGCTGACCGAAGCAGTGCTGGTAGCACTTGCTGAGCTTGCCGAGCTCGATGCAGAGCTGGCCGTGGAAGTAGAGCTACTGGCAGAGCTGGTACTGCTAGTGTACCCAGCCAACTTCAAACCCGTGATAGTTTCACAGTTCGCAATCCCGCTTCCTGAAGGCTCACTGGTGCTGAAACCACCGACAACGGTGCCGTTGATGACTCCATATGGCTGCGTAGCATTGACGTCGCACACCCACCAGCTCTGCACGCCGGTGATGATCAGGGTGCCGTCGTCCTGGATAGCTCCGGTCGTAGGGTAGCTGCTATCCGAGTTGGCGCCGCATTCCAGTGGACCACCGGTGCCGCCGGCGATGCTGCTTTCTTCGATGACGTAGCATGGCAAGGCTTGGCCCGAGTAGATGGAATTGTCCATATAGATGTTGCTGGTATCGTTGAAATAGATTTCGCTGGCGCTCGCTCCGGATCCGCCTGCGGCAAGTGCCACTTGGTAGGACTGGGCTGCACCGACATGGTATCCGGTAATGGCTTGGCCGCTGTATGTGCCTCCGACGATGGTGACGCTGGCACCGGCGGCCGAAGAGGTTGCGGTAGCGAGCGCGGCACTTGCGCCGGCCAAGGTAAGAACGGAAGCCTTCTTGAGCATTGTGAGTTTTTGAAATGAGTGTGATTTCTTGTCTGAAGAGTGAGCGTGATGAAGAGCGAGGGACAAGCGACAAACAGTTGTAGAACAGCTGAACTTATATTCTTCATTTGAAATTGGGCGTTGCGTGGCGTTGCTGAGACCTGCCACGGTGACGATACGATTCATCATACGAGGACCTACCGGAACACCTCGTGAAGCAGATTTAGCTTGTGTCGCTGTGCACGACATCTCAATATGATCAATGCTGCAACGAGATTAGCTTTGCATCATTTCCCGGGGACCGAATGCGGGTTCTGCAGCGGCAACGGGACGTGGCCTTTGACAGAAGATGAACCGTGCAACCCCGCGTGAAAGTTTTCGAGGCGTCGTATGAAGCGTATTCTGTGTCTAGACTTCGCAAAAGCAATTGGGAGTAAACAAAGGAATGACTGTAATCAAAGGCATTGCGTGGCAGCGCAGTACGACACTCGATGTGAGACATTCGGTATTGATGAATACTAGTAGTAAAAAGGAAGACGAGGTGGTAGTGGTAGAAGACAAGAGTGTAATAAGAGATGTTTTCAGATTAGACATTCCGGCCACAAAAGCCTAATGCTCCACCGCACTACATTCGTGCTGTTGTGTTTCTCCGTATATTTGTTGCTAAGCAAAATAGTGAAGTCATTGCTTCTCCATGCATCACGATACATCTTCCACAAACCTTGACATGACCATCGCTCAGAATCTGACATACGACAAGACTCTCTTCCACATGGGCTGCGCGAAGTAGTGGTCGAAGAACGCAATATCCTCCTCATTCAATGGTCGGCGGCCATACTGAAGATCCGCCTCCGCAGGCTTGACAAACTTGGTCCTGTATACGAGCTTGTATCCCAAGTAGCAGGCAATCCAAAGAGGTACACCAAGGAATGTCTCGAAGAACGTCGAAGCATTAGGCGCCGCACCTCCAATTGGGAACAGCGAGACATAGGCCGTGCCAAAGAGGACGAGGAACGATGTGACGAACAGGAAGATCGCGGTGATGGGCCAGCCCTTGAGTTTCCATGCGTATGGCTGGACCCAGACTGGGTCGCCTTGAGCGTTGATAGCCTGGTGCATTCGGATGTTGGTGATACTGATGCTCATCCAGGACATGAAGTACACGGTGGCTGAGACGGAACTGAACCAGGTGAAGATGACGCCACCAGTGCTGGAGCAATTGATGTAAGTGAACATGACCGAGAAGGCAGCGGTGATGAGCAAAGCCCAGCGCGGACGGCCTTGCTTGTCAATGTTGGCGAGGAACCGAGGGAACATGCCCATCTGGGCCATGGCGACCATAGCGCGGGACGAGACGTACATGGACTCTGCACCGATGGCGCAAAGACCGAGAAGGATAATGGCGTTCATCAGATCCGGGAGACCCTTGATGCCTGCATTGACCATGGCAATGACGAATGGGGAGCTCGCGACGGTGCTGGTCCCGAGAAGCTTGTCCGAGTTGTATGGCACGAGGAGCGTCAGGAAGATGATGGAGAGCTCGTAGAAGAGAACGATTCGCATGAACAGATTCTTGCATGCTCGAGGCATGTCCCATCGAGGTCGGGCGGCTTCCGCGGCAGACAGGGACATGATCTCTTGGCCTCCAGTTGCCCACGAAGCCAACAAAAATGTGGTGCACACTCCCTTCATGCCGTTGGGAAAGGTAGGACCTGTGGTATAGTTGTAGCCTTGGGGATCAGGAGAAGCCTTGCCAGCGCCCGCGAGCAACGCGATACAGGTGATAAGGATGATGATCATGCACATGACTTTCAATGCGGCGGTCCCGAATTCGAACTCGGCAAACCACTTGTTGGGCAGGGCGTGGATACCCAACACGATGACAAGGTAAACTGTCATTGCGGCGGCGGTCGGAATAGCTTCAGTCCAGTACCTATTCGCAATCAGCTTTGACCTGGTTTGACATGATCACAGGCACACTCACGTGAGGATGACTCGAACAATTGCTCCCTCGGCTGCAACGACAGTGACCCAGGCAAGCCACTCGGTGAAGCCGCATGCAAAGGCCATTGCAGGATCGACAAATCGGTTGGCGTGCTCAATGAAACCACCAGAGGTGGGCCAGATGCAGGTGGCTTCCGATAAAAGGTTCATGGTCGCCAGAGCCATGATACAGATCAAGGTATAGCCGATCAACATAGCTGCCGCGCCGCCATTGTGAAGCGCTTTGCCAGTACTGATGAACAATCCGGAGCCGATACAACCACCGAGCGTGATCATCTGAATATGTCTGGCCTTGAAGTTTCGGTGGAGCTGGCCGCGATGCGTGCTGGGCGGCTCGCCAGAGTAGCTAAGGACCTGTCCAGCACCGACATCGTCGCTCGCGGTCTCTTTGTCAAAGACTGCCGAGGGGCCCTTGTAAGTTGTCTTCTCATGGACGTCCATGGTTGGGATATCAGGAACTTCGTCGGGTAGAGTGGAATGAGGTGAGGGATTGTCAGTCGAATGCAAGGTGGAATTCTTACCAGCTTATATACCGCTGATAGTGCCTTTGGACCGATCACGTCTATCAAGGTCAAAGATAACCCAAGAATATGCTTTCGGGACTATAAAGCGCGTGGCGATCCATTGCCTTGGACGTGTCCAGGCCGCACCTTTCCCGTGAGCGTTGTTCACCGTCGTCGTGTTGCGATAAGGTCTTGCGTGTTCCTCGCAGAAATCAGCGTATTCTCGTTGGTCCGCTGTCGCCTGCCCTTTTTCAAGAGTGCATGCGACAGGTATCCTGGAGAAATGGCATGTGGCAGGGGTTCTAGAGATAACGGACGACATGGGCTGCGCTTGACTAGGACGCATTCGGACGGGTCTAGATAAGAGCTCGATCGGGCCCAGATCAGTATCACTCGAGAACAGCAGATCATGGAAAACGGCTGTTGTCGTTCAAATGGAGCCGAGCATTCAGCCGCTCTCCAGATTGAGTCGCGGTCTAGAACTAATTATGTCATTCTGGTGCGAAGGAAGCCGGTGCAGTTGGCAGGTTGGTGATATCTGAAGTCGGTACGGAAGATACCGCACGATACTCCAAGCTTGACGTGGCTCGCTTACCCTCGGGCAGTGCCAAGTATGTTACCCCCAGTACCCGTGCGCTACGTGGGTACACTACATGGTAGGCTGGCGTAAGGCTGGGGGCTAGATATGCTGAGAGTTCCTAGGCCCCTATCACCCCACTGTTTACAGGCTGCATACAAGAGGACCTTTGATAGCGATACGGATGCAATTCTCGGGACTTTTGCACCCATCTCAGACCTCCTTGCAGAGTGCGATCGAATACTTTGGTACTTTACTTACGAGATCTGAAGTGCTTTTGGTCCTGAGCCTTCTGAGAGGTATCAGCTGAGCATGAGCTCGATCTGTCTCTCCTCGGCAATTGCTCGCCACTGACTTGTGACTCGAGCTTTGGCTGAACTATTTTTGTTCCAGACCTCACGCACTAGGGAATTACCTCCCCATAATGAATGCAATCCGTAAATCTTGGCTCGTTCGAACCATGTCGTGAATCGTGCTTGTAGGGACGGATCGAATGCCTCCGATGCAGCAATGAAGGCTGGCCAAAAAAGTGTCCCTGCGAAGACATTGGAGCCATCCTTGATTTTCTCGATTTCCTCCAAATGATGCAGAACGCTCTCGACATATGGCTTTAGATGCCGATGATGCATGAGTCGTACGTGCTGCGAGAAGTAAAGTACGACAGCATCATGAAAGGCATGGGTTTGGTGGTAAACGATTTTTGAAGCGTCATCTCCGCGGGCCATGGTCGGGCATTGAGAGAGTTCGTGATCAATTGGCCAGTCCAGGATTTCTTCGTCAACCTCGTCGCACTTGTTGGAGAGACTGGCCGAAAAGAGCAACCCAGGGTTACGCCGCCGGAACCGTGCGACAGCCTGGACAACCCGGATGGCTTTCCTTGTGAGCACTAAGAGGCTTAGAGGAACGCCGTAGACGTAGTCACAAGAGGTCATGTCTTTGGGCATGCTCTCTTGCATCTCAAGCCAGCTGTCGTCGTCGACGACGAGATCTCCCTGGAAGTCGTCGTGTTCAGAATTCTGGCCGGACGCTTCTTTGTCGAGCGTTGTGCTTGCATGAATAGTTCGAAGGTAAAAGAAAATGCGATGAAGTGCTCGAGCCTTGACCGAGTATTTTGTCTTGCTCTTTCTTGCACTGCGAATGAGCTGTTCGCAGCCTTTCAGATGTACGCCACACGTGCCTGTATCGCCGGAAGCAACCTACGGTAATGTTAGCTCGGGTTGATACTCCCGCGTATCTTTACTTACATCGATTGTCACCATGGACAGCATGGTTGCCAGAAGCTCTTTGTACTTCGGCCTGTTTTTTGAATGAAGGTCGTGATCCACAGCATCCCTCAGCAGGCCGATAGCCTGGTAGCGAAGTTGCAGTGCCTTCCTCGACCATTTGTCGATGTCTTCGGTTCGTCCCTCAAGTCTCAAGTTGTTCACCAGACTGTAGGCGCTTGTCGAAAGCAGGGCATGCAGTAGGCAGTTGCGGGTGTAAGACGTTGCCCCTAGCGCGCTCGACTCGCCACAGCTCTGCAGCGCCCGAGGCAGATGTAAAGTTCTCCAAGGGCTCTTTGCATTGTCGACAATGCAAAATATCCGCAATACCTTGTGAATATAGTAGTTCAAAAGAAAGCAGTCGTCGTTAGATAGAAAGGTCGAGCGTGGCTTTGACCAGGACAGTGAAGACACTGTCTCGGTCTCATCGTCCTCGTGGAACGTGGTGTCCTTGGGCGGTGACCAATCCAGAATCTGCTGAAGCGAGGTGCTTCTAGAATGTGGGCTTTTGCCGTGGGACTGGGGTTTTCGTTGGGATGTAGGGCTTTGAGGAGGCGTCCAAGTACTAGTATCATTGGGGAATTGTGTGATACCTTCAATCGTCGAGTTCAGATCATCCTGACCCTGCGAACGATCCAGTGACAGGTTATGAGAATGAAATGCAGGCAAGGTTTGATCGCGGAGTACTGAGGTTCCGGCGTCTGCAAGTCTCTGAATACTTGGGCTCTGGTCCTTGGCAATGCATGATGAAGCCGGTGATGGTGACGTTGTTGGCGGGATAGATGCGGAGGGTGTTCTGAATACTGCAAAAGGACCTCGGACTATGGTGGTCTCAGCCTTGCTGTCCGTAAAAGGTTGGTCGGCATCGATGCGGCCCAAGATCCGGTCGATCTCCGCAGTATCGAGGACGCATGTCGTAGGTGCTGCATTTCAACCATGAGCACTCAGAAGAAGCACGTAACATGAATGGCGCTTGCCTGCCAGAATTTGACGCCTGGAAAACCCGGCGGTGCGAACCAGAGGCAAGCTGGCATCAAGCGAGTCTGTCTCTGGTGGCAACCACTGAAGACTGACACCGTATCCACCGCATTCCAGACCCTTGTTTGCACACTGTTGGCATGTAGGTTGTTCTTCAGAGCACTTTAACTTGCGTCCGCGGCAGGTCCAGCACCCTGTGAAGGTCTTAGTGCGTTTTCTGGAGGAGAAAGCAGGTGCCGCCATGCGAAGACATGAACCGAGCGATCCTTTTAGAAAGTGCTAGGGATCCGACGGCGATAATTCCCTCCCCAGTAAGATTTTGGGTGAATTGAGGTTGGGCACTCGGTTTCATGAGGTTGGGGAACTTATTGCGTGATGATCTCTTTCGTGGGTCAACAGTGGGGATAGGCTTATCAGAGGCTCCTTTTTAGCGTCTTCTCGCGCCGCCTCGATATCAGGAACGACCACAGGCTTGACCCCTGGTGCGGAGAACTGCGGGTACATGCATAAATAGTATTCGGCGCTGATCGACTGCTGGCGGCAATGAGCATAGCACTGTGATAAGGCTGTATATTGATCAAGCAAAGGGCGCGAATGATCATCTGATATCGAGATGGCCTTACGGCAGTTCCGGTGGAACGAGAGATACTCTTATTGGGGTCCGACAACTCGTGGTCTTCGAGTAAAATAATGGTTTCGGACCGCTGCAGGATCCGATCTCGAACGCAGAGCAACGTCTCGCCCAATCATCACGTCGCCACCTATGTAACAAATCAGTTCCTCTTTCAACAGTCATGGCAACTGTTACGCATTGGCAAGCCTGGGTAGAGAGTTCGGGGGTATTAGAGGCGTATTGGGTGGTGAACGTTCTGTTGGCCCCCTCAGTATGCTCTATACAATTCTAATGGGAGTGCAGTTCTAGCCGTACAAGCTTCCTTCATGCCACTTGGGGACAACCAGTCCTTTGGCCTCCATCGTCTCCCACTGCAACCCTTTCAAAATGCCATAGATTGTCTTTAGCACTGGCGTAGCTACTCCAAGCTTCTCTGCTTCGCGCATTGGCTCCCCTACGATGTTCTCAAACTCAATATAGTTACCCTGGACCACGTTAGTCTTCGTTATATCGGAGGGGAAGTCCTCGACATACCTTCTCAATATCCTGGCACATACTCGGCTTGAAGAAAGTGTCCTTGGGATCGATCCTGATCATGACCTCTGCAATATCCTCCGGCAACTCAACACCAGCAGCTTTAGCAGTAGCCTTGATTTCCAGCATGGCTGGCCGGATCAAGGTATCGATGACGTGCTCCGAGATTCTCATCCGAGTGGTGTCCATACGTAGTATCGTGGCTACCGAGTTGAAAGACGAATTGTAGATCAACTTCCTCCATCGCGTGAATGGCACGTTGGTGTCGAATTGTGCATCGACTTTACCACAGGCGTTATAGATGTCGACAAACTCCTTGGCAGCTTTCTCGGATTCTTCCAGACTCACATTTGGTGATTTGTACGGTCCAACCTTGACCGCATCGCTGTCGTCGTGTCGAATCTTGCCGTGAGAGGTCTCGGTCGCTCCAATCAATGAGACACCCGATAGTACGGCGTTGCTCGGATATTTGGCGACGACGGGCTTTTCAATGTTCAGCCCATTTTGGACCAACACGATGACAGTGTGGCCTGGAGTCACAGCCGGCTCAATGATCTCGGAAACGGTTGGCTTAACATCGGGAACGTTTTTCGTGGTTACCACGATGAAGTCGAATGGTTTGATGCCTTCTTCCGCCACATTTGGGACTTTGTTGACCACTGAAGCGAGTTAGTCAGGTTGAGTACCTTCACTCGGTTCGGAAGTTCGGGCAGGACTCACGTTTTGTTGGCTTCCAGCCTTCGATACAGTTTCCGTGCTCGATAGAGTCAATGAAGAAACCTTGCTTGGATACCACATCGAAATTCGATCTCAGCACGGCGGTGACCTCAGCCTTGCCTCCGGTCTCCAGGGCGTAGGCACCCATTGTGCCTACACCACCGCTACCAACGAGGAGGACATTTGCCTTTGTAGGTTGGGAGATCATCTTGACGGGTTGTGATGTGTCGTTTGCGAGAACTGTGCTGTGGTAGTGCGAACCTCAATATGCCCTGCTGTTTCGACTGGAATGACTTCAGCTTGGGTACGTATATCACTGGTGGCACGTGACTGTCCTGCTGGAGACGGTTCGACTTGGCCAGGCGGTCTCGGCGAGGCTCCAACATGACCGTGTTCAGCTCCAATGTTATCTGAAGTGCATCCTTCATGAGGCAGTCGACGCCGTCGGTTGCTGCGGGGCGCCTGCATTGTTATCATTGCGTACGGAGATGAGCGTTGCAGAAGGTAAAGCCCGGTGGCCCCGACAAGAAATGCATGCTTATCATTCGTTCTTATCCGGAGACAACTTCTCAAATTGCATACCCTGAGAGGTTTGGACATCCCTCCTGTCGCTTGATCGGTGTTGGTCGGAATTGCTTGCCGAAAGCGGTATCAAGAGTGGCCTGTTTGGGACGCATAGCCATGTCAAAGCAGACATCGAACTCGAATTCACTCGACACACACCGTGATCGTGAGTGCTTCGAAGGTCAGGAAAAGAGCTGATACATGAAAGTTATCACAATTTGGCCTGCTTGGTCTGCAACGTCTCAAGCACTAGACGCTTCACTTGGGCAGCAGCTCCAAATGAGTAAACGTAGCCAGCGCCCTTGAACCCGTAAGCATGAACGATGCTGCCATCACGCTCAACCCTGATCCCTCCTTTACGCCCAGGCCGCACGCCAACCATATCTTTGATCGCATCCGTCTCCAGGTTGATGTTGGCGAAAGCGTTTCCAGTCATCCTGTTCACCCTGCGCAGGATGTCCTGCCGCAGCCCTGTATTGACAGCCCCATCAATGTTATCTTCCTGGCTGATGCCTCCTAGAATGACTCCTCCAGAGTACATGCGTGGGATGACATAGGTGTACTCGTGACCATTAATCAGCTTGACCTCGTCGTAGTCGCTCTTAACAAACATCGTCTGGCCCCGATATGCCGCCACAGCTTCGTCGCCAGCGAGCAATTTTGCTCCAAGTCCAGAAGCGTTGACAATGATCGAAGCACCAGTCATTTCTCTGGCTTCCAGTAACGATTCGATCTCTTTGCGAATGAACCTGGCTCCCAGGCTTTCCAGCTTTTCTTTCAGCCACGGAAGGAAGACGTCTGGATTTGCCAGGCATGTTTGAAAAGAATATCCGACCTTACAGCCAGGTGGTAGCGAAGCCTGCGGAAGTAGTTTGTAATTCGGGATGAAGTCTTTGTACCATATCGAATCGTCGGTGTCTCGATCTGTGAAGTACTCTGTTGCCGTAACGGTCTGACCCACACTATTTCAGCCATAATGTTGCAGTAAAGAGCACAAGAGAAACATACGCGGACACCGCTGCTGGGGTCTTTCTCGGCGAGCCTCTGATACCAGGCGATTGACTCCTTGGCCATGTCTTGTTGACCCATTTCTGGCGGAGGAATCAGCGTGGCACCCGCGTAGGGGCTCGCCCAGCCAATGCCGCCATCTCCTGGCAGATCTCTGGCGATGACAATGACCTTGAGGCCTTCCTCGGCGAGTAGAAGGGCAGAAGCAAGGCCAATGATTCCAGCACCGACAACAGCGACCTTTTGCGGCATTTTGTCGTGAAGAAGGTACGTCAAAACAACGACAAGAGCTTTGCTAATGTACTGTTCTAAACCTCAGATGACTCAGTCCAAAATGAGGGAAACTAAGCCAGGTTTCGGTGCACAATATTGTTGGAGTGGTTCGAAAAATGACAGGGGTCCAGTAAGACCCTGTATTGTTGGACTGTGGGCATAATATAAGGTTGCCAACCACCTTGCCGCCACCCCCACCTTGTCGCCAATCGCATTTTGATGTCCTTCCTACCCACCTGTCAACTAAACTCTCATATATATCAACCAATTGCCCTCGCCGTCTCTATTTAAGATGGATAGGGCATCACGGGCCCTTGATCTCTTTCAGGAAGGCCGTTTCCGCAACGTATCGTAAGCCGCAAAGTGTACAATCACACCACGATCGACGATCCGTGACAGGCGCGACGGTCGCGTACTACGCGGTTTAGAAGAGTAAAAAAATGTTAGATTATTAAGGACATAAGAGGAGGTCTTATATTAATATATAAAGGACTCTTAGCTACAATACTCGCCCGTTAATACTACTTAATTATCTATTATCGCGTAGGTACTGGCGCGTTAAAGAGAGCCTAATATACGCCTCGATAAGAACTGGATTTCAAGATTCTTGAATCGATATCCTAATCTTAAGCGTAGTCGTAATAGGTCTTTCGAGTAGAGTCGTATAATAGCGGCTATCCCTAGTATACTCGAGAATTGGTTTTAGTACCTCGACGAGACGATTTCACGCTATAATATACGTCCGGAGGATCTCTAGAATATAGACGAGATCGGCTTTTAAATGAGTTACTTATAGAAAGAGTCTATAGTCTTTAATCGACGTATAGGACCTTCGATATTAATTGCTAGTGAATCTACGAGTTAGGTATCGATTATAGAGGCGATCTCTACCTTTAGCGATACGATACGGCCTCTTGTTATTCACCGCGACAAATTACACTATTAACTACTTAATTGCTGATTTCTACCGTTAAACGAGTGCCCTAACTAGTATTAGGGCTTTATAGAGAAGGGCTAGATTAATAACGACTATACGCTCGAGTAGTTAACGATAGTGTTTATCCTATAGTCCCGACGAGAACGTTATTAAGACAATACCTCTTACTAGCGAATACTTGTCCTTAATAACTACGGTAATTATACTATAGAGGTATTTATCGTAGAGTATATTATAAATTAAATTCTATTGATTTATCTCTTACCTTATATCTCTTATCTTTATTAACCGTACGATTTAGGGCTATTTAGTTAGCTAAAGATATTCTATTTAAAATACCTTAAGAGCTATATTGTCGCGGGCGATACGTAAGTGAATCGTACTTAATTTAACTTACTATATTAACTTATACGGGAATTAGATATAATAACTTAATATATTAATACGAGTTGGCGCCGTAGTGGCCTTTAGCCTATTAACGTTAGAAAAGTACTCGATATACCTTAAGTTTTACGATATCGATACACTACGCTAGAGATCTTACCTTCTAAACGGCCTTATAGTTACCCCTCACGAGATACGCACGAGTATAGTAAGATAAACAAGGAACTAGCGGCAAGATTAAGTCGATCTAGTAAGGCTTTTATACGATAACTAAATAGAGTCTATTACGAGGTCTCTAGCGCCTATTAAGTACTATTAACTAAGCTTTTAACTATTAGGAAACACGTACTAGAGGACGAGGAGCGAGCCGTATCAAAGAGACTTAAAAAGCAAGATAAAAAGCGTATCTAGGATACGATCGAAGTTATATAGGGTAGGGGGTACACGAAGGAAGATACGGCAGTGTTATTGAGCGCACTACCTAGTAGAGATATTATCTACGATATAGCCAACTCGGTAGGTTCATAGGCAATCCCCATACAAAGTTATAGACTCTCTATCGTCAGGATGCATGAGTGGCTACCCTTTGCTACAACAATATGCGAATTCATAAAATTGGCGACAAGGTGGGGGTGGCGACAAGGTGGTTGGCAACCTTAGTACCTTGTACCTGGGTACGTTCATTAGCGCCCTAAGTCCGTATAGGCACGCCGAGATGATGCGGCTTAGGTGAGGTTTGACTAATCATCTTGCCGCCAGTCCTCGCAGAGCCTCACCAATCTCCTTGAATTTTCTATTGATATAGGTGACAAGGCTGTAGTAGATAAGACCCTAGGTTGCCTAGGACGCCCCCTAGCCCCTATCGCTCCGCCACAACCGGCATTCACCCGCGACCTCTAAGCCTCGCTACAACCCCAGCAGGTCAGCACTTGTACACCGCTCTATACAGTGCCTGATCTTCATAAAGGTCCCCGTCATGGAACAAGTAAAATTCTGCCTGCCTTTTCGTTCAATCGGCACATGGGACACGAGATCTCTGTCCACGAACACTGCGAAATAGTGTCGGAAACCAGATGGAATGGCCGATCTCGAGGCCCAGACCGAGGCGGAAGCGCCAGGCTCCCAGACAACAAAACGTCTGATACCGCGCCGAGAACTCATACAACTCATTCAGATGCTGGCTGATTCTGTCAAAGTGGTACAGTCAATTGTTGAAGTCGAAGATCAAGCAATATCGAACGAAAACGACAAGCAAAATGTCCCTCAAGAGATGCAAACAACGTTGAAGTCGGTCGATCAGATTGCCGTGGAAGGTTGTACCGCTGATGAAGAGAAGGAAAATGTATCCAGAGTGATCATCGCCACGCCAGAAGAGATTGCCAGTCGAAAGACCCAAAATCTCCGGGAATTTGAGAGTCTGTTGTCTACTCATGTGTGAATCGTGAAGTTAGTGCTGAATTATGATAGGGCTTTGTACGGCAACCACTCGCAATGAGGACACGATGCTGGATCCTTGGAGAGCCTTTCAGCACCTTGACTGGGAGCTCACTTCCAGGGGATATCGCGTTGCGAAATCGCGAACGGATGCAAATCCCAGCGAACAAGACGTCCCTGCCATCATCCGTCACTACATGGAGAACTCTGAACTGCGACTCGAAGTGCAAAAGGAGTTATACTATGGTCTGTCTCGATGGTGGTGGTCTTACAGTAGCTATATTCCCTCGACGTTGGAGATTCGTCACCATGGCATTCTTGACCTGGCTCCATGAGTTGCCCTCGTTGGCATGCGCCTCCCGGAGGTTCAGACAGGAGCAGCAGTTGACATGACTGGCTCCAAAGATGTGACCCTTTTACGCATTTTGACGATACTCCTAGACCTGCAGCCCTCTGAGGGTGCGTCTGACAGCTATGGCCCATGGAGAGAAGGAGAATACTGGGGAGATAAGGTAACCGTCGGTCAAGCGCTAGATCAATGTTATCGGTTCAAGGTCCTCGAGGAACCAGACAAACAAGACACCGAAGGGTTTCGAGATAATGTCAGCGATTTGGTCCTGGCACTGAGACTCATGAACGTCTGGACTTCCCTTCCTGTTCGCCGAGTGGGGCCAATTGACTCTGTTTTCGGGGCTCGAAACATGAAGGTGTCGACACTTTGTAACTCCATTCACTACCATACTGCTGATGGTCAACAGCCACCCAGGTGTCAAGACTCTAGCTTCCGGTCGTTGAGATGAGCCTGGAGCTTCTACGAGACGTCGGCAAGCTTAGGATCGAGTGGACTGAATTTCTCGATCAACACCTACGCTTGGACGTGGGGAGTGCAACGCTGCAAATATTCTGGTTTGGATTCTCGATCCAGGCCAGCCCAATGTTCCAGTGAGTGACCCATTCCCACCGTAAGTGATGACTTAAGGCTTAACGAGGCCCTGCAGTGTGGGATGCCAGCAGTATCACAATATGTACACTGCGAAGTCCTGCCATCAGTGGGACCTCTTTCGAAGTCCCGTCTTCGACGAGCTCTCGGATACTTATTCCCTGCTCTTTCGCTCACATCGAGATACGTACAAGGAGAATGTAAGAGAATATGGTCGACTTCCCGCCCCTCTTTGGCTCAAGATCTGCTATGGAGACGAAAAAGGAAACTTGTCAGAACGAGTAGTCAAAGATTTGTCTTGGTTCTTGCACCCAAAGCGCCCACGGGTCAGTGACATTGAATATCATCTACAGAATGCAGACAAAATACTCCTGCCGACTCAGCCTTTCGAGAGGTATCTTATCTGGGGAGATCGGCTCAAAGAGTTGAAGGCATACATGGATAGCCAGAAACCGGGTGGGATACGGGGTCTGTGGGCAGACAAACGAGACAGTGGACAGTGGTACACATTCTGGGCTGTCATAATCATTGGAGGCCTTGGACTCTTGGTATCTTTCCTGGGGTTGGTTGCGGGAATAGTACAGGCAGTAGCAAGTTTCAGAGCTCTGCATGACTAGCATGGTAAGGATATGAAAGTGCAAGGGCTGTTCTCGTAGTCACCGAGCTTGTTTCCAGAAAAAGTGGCACAGTCTGACCGCTGTAGCTGGTCAGGTTCAAATCGATACCATCCTTATTGTCATCCCAGAGGCCTTCACATACAACGATATAGCGTTGGCCTCTGGCAGAGAGGAGGCCATCAGCTCTGCCGTACAGTGCCCCTATGTTGCTGTCGAGGTATCCGCTGTTGTGAACCAGCTTGAGCTCGGCCTTGAGTCTTTGATATGCGCCCGATCAGACGGTGTCACTTTTTCTGGGAAGACGCTCGTCACATAGCCTCATCAACTACAACTTGCGAGCCTTCAGTGTCAAACCAATACACAACCCCACGACAGCGAAGCTTATTGAAACTCCTATCACGGGTCAGCAGACATACCAACACAGACGATAGGGGTCGTCCTGCTTACCGTATGAATATGTCAAGCTGTTGAAGTAGGCCCGGACCACTAGCTTCCTGACCAAAGGAGGCATATCCCAGATGTAGTCGATGCTGGATATTGCTTGCTCAATGATCTGTGACTGACGTCAGTATATATAGACACTCAGCTCTGACGGGAAACGAACCTTTGCTCTGTCTTTCACATCACCCAAGTCGTGTTCCAAGGACACCCGGAGACGACCCTGCAAGACCGCCGTCGCGACTTGAATGCCGACCAGCACGAAGATGTTCTGAGCCAAGTACAAAATGGTTCCTGCAATCGCAATTTCGCTTTGATCCAGACTGGCAGCCAAATGGACGAAGCTGGTCGATTGAATAATGCCCGACCCGAAACCACCAAGCGAGAAATAGATCAGTTCAGCCCAGTGTGTGGTACCATGCCACCGTATCAGGATCAACAGGTATCCAATTGAAGCTGCTGCGCTTGCTAGAATAGTCAGCGCCTTGTATCGACCAGTTTCCGAGATGATGTAGCCGGACAGCAGACCGCCGATGGCGTTGCCGACGACAGCTGGTACCAAACGCAGACCTGCAGCCGAGACCGAGTAGTGCGCTATCTGGAAGTATATCGGAACCGAGTAGAACATGGCGAATTGTGCCGCCATTTGAGCACCAGCAATCATGTATGGCGTCAGCGTATCTCTTCTGATGATGAGACCGAGCGGAACAATGGGCTCGGAAACCCAATGGCGTTCGATGACAACGAAGAGGACGATAAGGGCGAGGAAAGACAAGCCGGCAGCCAGGGCGAAGTACCAGGGCATGTCATTCGTGAAGGATTGCAGAACAAGCAGAAATGCGCAGATGGCAGCAGCAAGGACCAGGGCGCCAACGAAGTCCACCCTGCGAAGCTTCTCCGAGAAGGACTGCGTTCCATCCTTGCTGGTGTGATTAGTTCTGTGCGGGAGTTTCCACAGAATCAAAAGCAGGCCGATGAGTGTCAATGGACACTGGCCGTAGAAAGACCACCGCCAACCAATAGTGTCTGTGAGCCAGCCTCCAACAGGTCCTCCAAGAGAACGTCCAAGAGTGGCCGCCACATTGACATAGCTTCTCCAGGCGGCAACACTGCGGACTGGTACCATGTCTGCTATGATAATCGAGACCAGCGCAGTCATACCGGCTCCTCCGATGCCTGAGATGGCTCGACCGGCAAGGACATGCCAGTATTGACGGCCAATGCCGCACAGAAAACATCCTGCGGCAAAGAAGACATATGATACGACTAGATTAGCCTTGCGGCCGAAGATGTCGCTCAATTTGCCGTACAGCGGCTGACTCGCGCACACGGCCAGCATGAAACTCGTAACAAGCCATGATGCCTTGGACAGCTCGTGAAATTCCGAGGCGATATGCTGACTCGACGCAATGACAAGGGAGCCATCGGCATTGGCCACAAAGACGCCAATGAGTAATATAGGTACCACCGTCCAGATTGCGAGTGTCGACGATGGCTCTTCAGAGGAAGGATATTCTTCGTGGAAAGGAGGAAGATGTGCAGATGAATGTCGACGTATGGCGCTTCCTATTCCACCGTATTCGGCTGGGCCATTTTCTACGGTCGATTCTTGTTGCGCTAGTTGTCGTTGTTCGTCGGTCAGCGGTGGAAGCAGTCGACTCGTCTCATCTGTCGGTGCCATGATATATCAAGCAATGAAGTCCCGTATCAAATTGTCATCGCTTCGGGGGAAAATATGATGATATGATTTGAGAAGTCTTCTCTTGAACCCCACGGACACGAATTCGAGTCATCAATCTGAGGTGCAGTTGCGCCAATGTACATTCCGATCACGCAATTCTCAACCACCATGCAAAAAGTCGTGATTCGAGCAAAGATAACCGAAACACGTAAGTCAAGGTGGAGATCCTTGCTCGGCAAATATATAGCTTTGCAAAAGAACCTCTGAGAAAAATGTGCTTGCCAACACTTCCAGGGCAACATGTTGTCGCTACTGTTGGTTTCGGCGCTTTGCTTAGCGGCCCTTACCGATGCTGGCTCAAATGTATACAAGGATGACCAGCTCATTCTTCAAGACGGCACGCAACACAATAGCAAGCAGCCCAACATTGTGTTCATCCTGACCGATGATCAAGATGCACGTATGGACTCGTTGTCCTACATGCCCTATGTTCAGAAGCATTTGATCGACAAGGGAACGCAATTTCGACGGCATTACTGCACTGTTGCACTCTGCTGCCCATCTCGAGTCAATCTGTGGACTGGAAAAGCGGCGCACAACACCAATGTCACTGACGTTAACCCACCGTACGGTGAGTCGTGATGCACGGTAATCCGCTGTCAACACCATCACTGACTCCAGGCAAGGCGGATACCCCAAGTTTGTCAGCCAGGGCTTCAACGATGCATGGCTCCCAGTCTGGCTCCAGGACGCCGGCTACAACACCTACTATACCGGCAAACTGTTCAACGCTCACACCATAACAAACTACGACTCACCCTTCGTAGCCGGGTTCACGGGCTCAGACTTTCTGCTCGATCCGCATACCTACGAGTACCTGAACGCCAGTTTCCAACGGAACCACGAAAAGCCCGTCAGCCATGAAGGCGAATACGCAACCGATGTCCTGGCCAAAAAGGCCTACGGCTTTCTCGACGACGCAGTTGCAGCAGACAAACCGTTCTTCCTGGCGATCGCCTCGAGCGCTCCGCACAGCAACGTCAAATTCGCGGATTCATGGTTCGGCAACAACCTTACCGAGCATTCGATAGAAACATCTCCACCCATCTCCGCCGAGCGACACAAGCATCTTTTCAATGACATTGTGATCCCACGAACACCCAACTTCAACCCAGACAAGGCCAGCGGCGTCTCCTGGATCTTACAGCTTCCCAAACAAACCCAAGAGAACGTCGACTTCAACGACGAATTCTACCGCAACCGTCTCCGCGCCCTCCAAGCTGTTGATGAGATTGTCCACGATGTCATCACCAAGCTCGAGACCTACAATATCCTCGACGATACCTACATCTTCTACTCGAGCGATAACGGCTACCACATCGGCCAGCATCGACTCCAGCCCGGCAAAGAATGCGGTTTCGAAGAGGACATCAACATCCCACTGATCGTCCGTGGTCCTGGTGTCCCGCAAGGTGGAGTCAGCGACATCGTGACTTCGCACACCGATCTCGCACCAACGTTTCTGTCCCTCGCACGAGCCGAGTTGCGCCCAGACTTCGACGGCGCTGCAATCCCGCTGACCGCCTCAACACTCGATGCCGCCAAGGACACACGCCACGAGCACGTCAACGTTGAGTACTGGGGTTTCGCGCTGGCAGAAGGCAACTTCGGCACCAAGATGTACTGGAACAACACATACAAGGGTCTCCGACTGATTGGCAATGGATACAATTTCTACTACAGCGTCTGGTGTAGTGGCGAGCACGAATTGTATGATTTGACTGTATGCTACACTCCTTACAGCTTTGGTGCCCCTCACAAACTGACATGAGAATGACAGAACGATCCCTACGAACTTACCAACCTGTATGCCACGAGTCATTCGCTCCCATACACATTCGCCGACCAACAGAAATCCGTCAAGCTGTCCAGTCTGCTCCCACGGCTTGACTCGCTGATCCTGGTGCTCAAAACGTGCAGTTCCCGCGAGTGCACTCACCCCTGGGAAGTACTGCACCCGTCAGGACACGTCAAGGACCTCCACGATGCTCTCGATTCGCGGTACGATGAGTTCTATGAAGTGCAGCAGGAGAGAGTCAGCTTCAGCAAATGTGAAAAGGGTTACATTCTGGAAAGCGAGGGTCCGTCTGACATCAAGCGGTTTTCTCTTGAGGACATTGGTGCCAGAGGAGGAAGCAGATGGAGCGAACTCGTGTAGCAAAGATTGGCGTCTCTATCGAAACATTGTGAGAAAGTCCGCAGCTATCCAATGTACCTGATAGTCGGCTTGTAGGTCGTATCCTTAGAGATGCGACAGGCTGACGCCGTGGAATCCCAGATCTGCTCCGTCTGTCCTCCGAATCCACTCACTCACTTGCTCAGCAGAAAACAGACACATACACGCAAGGACAGCATAGAGCTTGACGAAGACGTTCAAGGTGAAGGTCTGTCCAATAATTAACCGCCCTTGCAATACTTCGGCGCGTAGCGCATACCACGTCTCCTGGGTCATTGGATGTGTTAGTCTGGCTGGAGTATCTTCTCGCCCATCTTCGGAAAGATGCAACATCCCTTGGGTTTCCCCAGGCGTGGTGGTTGCAGATGCCCTGTCGAAGACTAGGCAAGGATGCGGCTCAAATGTGTCTAAAAGTTTGGGGTCGATAAACTCCACACGGCCACCACAGGCATCGTTGGGGTAGATTTTGTTGTCCATATAGTTCTGGAGTGTGCAGAGCGTCGCCGTAGATGCCATGCTCGCATGAGCATAGTCCTTATTGCATGGGTTCGAAGTACATTGGCCGCCCGACGGAGGTCGCTTCTTGAGCCGGATAGACCTTTGCATTTCTGCTTCGAGTGCACAGCGGTAGCCATCCAGGCCCTGGCGGCATTTGATCCAGTCCGCCTCCAGATCCGGAGCAGCTTGCCGCAAATCTTCAATGTAGTTGTATCCATATTGCAACCATTCCTGCATCTCTTTGAATGAGCCTCTCTTTTGGACATGCTCAATCAAGCCGCTCAATCCATCTTCCCAAATACGCTCTGGTACCCTGTATTTCTTGGCCAAGTTGCGGAGTGATTCTGGAGCCAAGGCATCTTAGCTCACGCGGATGAAGTCCCAGTGGTTGAGAAGTTCTTTTATGCAGGCAGCCGCGGTTGCCGCCGCGGCTGCCTGCCAATCAGACTTGCGGACGATATCTGGATACACATCAGTTCCGACACTTGCACGATATATGCTTTGGAAGCCGCTCCAACCTACCATAAGCTTCAGCAACTAGCGTCCGCTGAGCCTCCGTAAGACCAGTGTATATGTCCTTTACTTCCTGGACCAACTGCTCATGCATTGTGAGTTTGGTCTCGAGAACTCGGAGCAGCGATCGGACCTCATCCTGCTTGGTTTGCGGTATGTGATTCGTCGCGAGCTCACAAGGCTTGCGCATAGCAGTTGGTGGGGCAGATAAACCCATCCCGTCCAAAGAATCTGAGGAGGTCGCAATATGAGAGTCTTCAGACATGGAAGCGCGGCCTGATGGAAGGTGTCGAATAGGACACGCAGCGGTTGTACGAGGCGTCTTCCCATAGCTCTGTTCGACACAGTCAGATGCAGGACGTTTTGCAGAGATAGTAAGGCTGCACGCATCAGAGCACGGTGGCATACCGGTTGCATCGCTGGAATTTGCTGTGCGTGACGTCGCTGCAGGACCTTTCGGCTCTCGAAGTTGTTTCATGCAACCATCTTCGTCCAACTTGAAGGCGAATTGGCCTGTATATTTGGGCTTGAATCGCTGTCTGAGTGATTTGGGGCGTTCATGCGCGAGGTTGCTTGTGTCATATTGTGTGGCTACCATTGCCGCATTGCTTTCATGTGACATCTTTCCTCTTTGTCGGGGGCAGATGTGTAAACGTCGAAAACCTCAATTGTTGTGTCACCCGAAATAATCAAGATCAATGATTGAAAAAGAAAGAACTTCGAAATGAGGTCGGGCTGCCGGTATAAATGTACCCGAAAAGGAGGATGTAGTGACGATTTCCAGATGTAGGATTGCCATGTCTAGGCTAGTCACGGTCTCTTTGCTAGACATGCCAACATGACACCGGATGATCGTCCTGAATCAAGCTTACCTGTTGGGGGAATCGTCAGGGATCAGGCGGCAATCTTGTCTATTTGGATTGGCTGATTCGGCGCATCATCCTGCTTCGCCGCTGCAACTTGCATGCCCAACTCCATTGTGGTGTAGGTCGACGTGTACAGTATTGGAAGCAAGGCTGAGAACGGAAACAATCGCAAAATGCATGGTGTATGTGGTATCGTAGGATTGAAGAGGGAAACTAAGAACGAGCAGTCGAGAACGTTGACGATGCCTCCAAGCTGGCTCCGCAATCCTGGGCATCCGAGTCGCGCCATGGACATTTCGTGTCGCTGTCGAGCGTGGGTTCCATATTTTAGATTTCCACTTTCCCCAGACCTGCAACAGATTGCAAAAGCCTCAGCTCGATAATGAGAGCCGAAAGCTCATGTCTGCACCAAACCAGTATGTGCTAGTAACAGGCGCGAACAGGTAATGAAATGCATCCTTCCAACACCGCATTGCCTACCGCATGCATCTCCACAATAAGCAGCATCTCAGACTGACTTTGTTGTCTCGCTTAAAGCGGTCTAGGTCTAGGCATCTGCTGTCGTCTCATCGACGAGTTCCTCGCATCACCCAACAATGCAGGCTCGCTAACTATCATCTTCACCACACGAACCTCTCGCAAAGCCTCCGAAACCCTTACAAGCCTCGAAAACCACCTTGCCCGGCATGGCCCCAGCAAGTCCGACCGCCAGATCTACTTCCAGCCCGAGAACGTCGAGTTGACGAACCTCCTCTCCGTTCGCGCCCTAAGTCAAAAGCTCCTCGCATCCCACATCCCGCAGCTCGACGCGATTGTCCTCAATGCAGGAATCGGCGGGTGGTCAGGCCTCAACTGGCCCGTGGCCATATGGACGGTGTTGACGAATATAAGACAAGCCACCACATGGCCTACCTTCAAGCTTGGGCTGGTCGGGCTCGTGACAAAACCACAATTCCCAGAAGGCACAAAAGCTGCTCGTGACGAGCCTATACTAGGGGAGGTGTTCTGCGCCAACACCTTCGGACACTACATGCTGGTACATTGGCTTATGCCTCTGCTCCGAGCGTGCGACTCCGCATCCCCAGGAAAGATCATATGGATCTCTTCCGTGGAAGCTGCAGCACACCACTACAACCCAGATGACCATCAAGGATTGAAGTCTTCCGCAGCCTACGAGCACACTAAGCGCTTGACTGACTACCTGGCGCTGAGCTCGGTACACCAGCCCGCAACAGGAAGCTTGGTCAAAGAATATATTACATCGTCTGACTCCGAAGAGCAGCTGCAACCTCGGTCGCAAGAGTCGGAACCGAGTTTTCTTCTGGCACATCCGGGTATCTGCACAACGACAATCATCAGTCTTTATTGGATCATACACGAATGCTACCGTCTCGGCATCTACCTCGCACGTTGGGTTGGATCGCCTTGGGCGAATGTGACGAGCTATTTGGGAGCTGCCTCAATGTCATGGCTCATTCTTGCATCGCAAGCCGAGATCAAAGCCAAAGCGGTGTCCGCCACGGGCAACCTAGGTGGACCCTGTAAATGGGGTTCTGCGATTGATCGGCTAGGTCGGTCCTCCGTTCGCGTAACGGAAGTTGAAGGCTGGGGCATCAATGGATCGGGCAACGCGTTCAAAGACAGATGGTGGGGTGGTCAGCTTGGACGAAAAACGGGCTCAGTCGATGCGACGAAGGAGGATGTTGACAATTTCCTCGCACTCGGTGCAGATGTGTGGAAGAAAATGGAATCCTTGAGAAAGGAGTGGGAGATGCGAATAGAGGAGTTCGAGGCTGACGACTCCCACAAAAGCAAGAAGGATATGTCTTGATACAAAGAGATTCATTCACCTACTTTGATAAGTATAAAAGGGTATTCCCAGTGTCACCACGACATTTACAAGTTACCCACTTCCTTCTTGCTACGTTCCTCCTCGTAGTCTTCCTCATCTTCCCAGCCCTTGCTCATCTCGACGGCCTTGCTCCACCTCCTGTACATCTTATCACTCTCCTTCTGGCCGACCTGCGGCTTGAAAAAGAAACGTCCTTCAGAGTTGACCTCTTTCAACTCGTCAAGATGTTTCCACACTTTGACGGCGAACCCTGCGGCAATGGCTGCGCCAAGAGCGGTCGTCTCGCGCATCTTGGGCCGGTCAACGGGTATCTGGATGATATCGGCTTGTGTCTGGACACGTTCTGTCAGTATGCCTGATTAACAGGTATGGATCATGGCCGCAAGCGGCGCAAACTCACCTGCATGCACAAATCACTGTTACTCATGCCGCCATCAACGGCCAACTCCTTGAGCTTGACTCCCGCGTCTTTCTCCATGGCGTCCAAGATAGCCTTGGTCTGGAAGCACGTCGCCTCGAGGGTCGCGCGCGCAATATGGCCCTTTTTTGTGTACGCGGTGATACCCCAGATCGTGCCCTTGACGTCGTCGTACCAGTACGGTGCAAACAGGCCGCTGAACGCGGTCACGAAAACCAGTCCGCCGTTATCTGGCACCGAGCGCGCCAGCTCCGACACTTGGGGACTATCGGGGAAGAATCCCAAGTTGTCGCGAAGGAACTGTATAGAAGACCCGGCCACGGCGATAGAGCCCTCGAGCGCGTACACGGGCTTGAGACCCTGTGAGGAGAAATCGTACGCGACGGTCGCGAGTAAACCGTGCTTGCTGATGACGGGCTTCTCGCCTACATTGTACAGCAGGAAACAGCCGGTTCCGTAGGTGTTCTTTGCGCGGCCGGGTGCAAACCCGCATTGTCCGACGAGCGCGGCGGACTGGTCGCCAAGACAGCCTGTGATTTTCGTGCCTTTGAGTTTGGTGGATGCGAGCTTGCCGTAGGCTTCGGGGTCGGAGGACGGGACGATCTTGGGGAGATGGAGTTTGGGCGTCTTGACATCGAGGTCGAAGAAGGAGATGAGCTCGTCGTCGTATTTGAGGTTGTGAATGTTCATGAACATCTACACAGAACCAGCGTTAGCACATGGAGAAAAAAGGAGGCGCAAGCTTTCTTCAGGGGAGCCCCTTACCGTGCGAGAAGCATTGGTCGGGTCCGTGACGAAGACATCGGCCTCAGCACCGCCATTCAGACAGTATGTAAGCCAAGAGTCGACCGTGCCGAAAGCCAGTCTGCCTTCATTGTACGCCTGCTTGACCTTTTCAACGTGTTTCAAGAGCCATAGCAATTTTGTCGACGAAGGGTACGTCGAGAGCGGCAGACCACAAAGACCCTGGAGTTTATCTGCGCCGTCGCGCCTCTTGAACTCGTGCACCATGTTGTGCGTCCGCGTGTCGGTCCATACGATTGAGTTATATAGTGGTTCGCCGGTTTTCTTGTCCCAGACGCAGGTTGTTTCGCGCTGGTTGGTAATACCGACGGCCTTGATATCCGAGAGCGAGTAGCCCTTTGACTCGAATTTTTCGCAGGCCTTGTCGATACACTCGGCTGTCGAGGAGACGAGTTCGAGGGGGTCATGTTCGTGCCAGCTGCAAGCAACATATTAGCTCCGATCATCCTGCCACTGCACCAAGCTTACTGACCCTGAATGTGGGTATATCTGCTTGAACTCGACCTGATGCTCGGCTATTGGGTTGCCCGCAGGGTCGAAGATGAGGAATCGAGTGCTCGTCGTGCCATTGTCTATGGCTCCGATGAAGGTCTTTCCGGAATGCCCGGCCTACAAGATCGTAAGACAGTGGCAGCAAGGGGGTTTATTAGGGTTCTACCATTGCGAATGATCTTGGAGATGAGGAGAAGAGGTGGTTCAGCTGTTGTTTGAGTCGCGTGAGCATGGACCGCAAGTCGAAGCAACAGAAGATGGGCTAGGCCTGTCGCCGGGTATAAGCATGCGGCAGCGGCAGCAGCGACGATAGTACTTGGATTGTTTCTCTTGTGTCCAGCTGATTTCCCTGAATCTGGTTCACAGTGTGCGGGATATCCACCGATGCGGCACTCTGCGGGGTGCAGCCAGCGACTTAACAGTTGTAGCATGATATGACGTCCCCACTCGCTACAATTTTCCCGAGTTTGTGCGCTGTTGTGCCCTTTCTTCGGGCTTGTCCTTACCGAACAGTTGCAGCAATTTCCAGCCCGCCAGCTCGGTTAACGGCAACAGTACCTGAATGGCCACGCCGGGTCCTTCCGATATTGTGGAATGGGTATATAAGTGCTCCAGAGACGGGATACTTCATGGTACAGAATGGAGACAATGGAGCAGTTTCGGCGCCAGCTCGGCCTCTGTGCTCTGCTTTCTCGTGATAAAAATCAGATCATCACGGGGCGCCGTGGGGGAAGAAAACGCTCTTCTGAAGTGACTTCTCAAACATGTTGAACAATCTTTGCTTCCTGCCTTGATATGTACAATGACGGATCCTGTAAATACTTCGCGTCTCGCGCACCAGCCCCGTCACGTGAATTGCATTTGCATCTGCAAGTCGGCTACTCGTCGTCCTCATCCTCTTCTTCCTCCTCATCACCCTCTGGCTCGGCTTCTAGCTCGTCCATCTGTTTCTTTCTGAGCTCCCTCATGCGATCAGCAGGTCCAGGTGGTCGTGTGATCAAGTCGGCGATCTGACCACGTCCAATCAAGGAGGCGACAATGCTGGCACCAACGATGAAGGTCAGGACAAATCGATATGTTCCATACCAGTTGGGAGCCCAGCCGTTAGCAGCAGCTCTGGCATCGTTGTAGTACAAGAAGGTGAAGGCCAAGAATTGAGCAATCAGACCCATCTCCGCGTGCAGCAGGAGGGTTGGCCATGCCACGGCAGTAGCAACAATACCCATCGAGTATCGGGGATAGCCTTTCTCGCCGCCGTAACCAGCCCATTCCAGGCCCCAGTGAATGGCGCCCAGGAAGGAAATGATCTTTATGCATGTCAGTACAGACGTGATATCTCGTTAGAATGGACCTACAGAAGCACCATAGCCTAGCTGGATGGGTTCGATGATGTGCAACAGCGCCTCCGCCGTCTCACCTGACATCATAAAGCCCGCGCCATGAGTGGCCGCGTATTGAATGTCAAAGGACAAATACACGGTGGTAAGGGATGTTGCAAGATATGGTACCACGCCGGCCAGGCCAACGTAAAGAGCTCGCCGGGGAACATCTCGCAAGCTGAAGGTGTCCACAATCGTTGTCTGCTCGCAATCAGTGAAGTCCGTTTCAACACCTCCCCCTCGGAAAACCCACAAAGTCTGATCTGATACCAGCCATCATATCCACATCGTCTTCGTGATCCGATGTCATTTCGCTAGCAGCCGCACGAGTACTTGACGACAAGCTCACAGCGTCCGGAAATGGCTTCATGGTCTGCTCTCCCAAGGTTTTCTCGGCTTTTTTGACATCGTATTGGGCGGCCTCGAGACCGGCTTTCGACTCGTATCGGACAAGGGATGTGTGGAAGGGACGGGCGACCGTGAGAGAGAGAACGCTTGCAGCTTTGGCAGGGCGAGCAGACGTTCGGAGAGAGGCTTTCAGAACATTGTTGTAGAGGCTCATTCGTGACTTAGGAGCTTGAACACTCGCAAAGGACCGGGGGATGGACCGGATCGCGGTCGTGCGGAACATTGTGGCTGACATTTTTGCAGCTTATGGTCGTCTAGAGTTGACTTCGATCTCGTTCCGACCGGAGTCAACTGGACTGCAGCTGCAGGACCAAGGTTAGGGAGTGGAGAGCGGGTTTGTGTTGTTCAATTGCGAATATTGAATCAAAGTGACAATTGAGGTCAAAAGGAGCTCAGCGGGAAGCTTGGACATCACCTGATTTTTGTGAGGTGACTGTGGCTGCAGCTGTGGCTCGAATTGTGGCTGCGCTCCTGTGGTGGGCACCTTACATAAGACCTTACGGAGGGGCAATTTTCAGTTGTAGGGCGCATCTTACACACCATTATCCGTACCTATCTAAATCTACATTTCAGACTTCATTGTCAAACACCCTTTGCCCCTTGTACCAAGTCTGTCTTACCTTCGCATGTAACAAGCTAGCCGGATCCCATTCCATGTCCACAACATTAAAATCGGCGCTCATGCCTGGCGCAATACTGCCGGTCCACATCTCCGCATAACGCGTGTAGGCTGCCCCAATAGTTGCAGCTTTGATCGCATTGGACAAAGAAACGGCAAAGTGCTCGTTTGTCGTGTCGAGACAATCAGGCTCAATCGCCGACCGTCTGGTGGTCGCATTGTACAGGTTCAGCAGTGGATGATGAGCTGCGGTGGGGACATCAGTACCAAATGCCATGGGTGCACCAGCCTCGAAAAATTCCCGGTAAGCAAACGCCCGCTTGCATCTGTGACTGCCGATGAGGCCTGGCCACCCGCGAAGAATAGCTGGGTCGGAATGAACAGGTTGGACAGACGCAATGATCCCCAGCTCTCCTAGTCTCTGTGCATCCTTGGCCGTGGTCAGTTCGAGATGCTCGATTCGGTGCCGACGGCGCGAGGATCTCTCTAGGCGTGCAAACGCATCAATCGCTTGGGTGACGGCCCTATCACCAATGGCGTGAACGGCGCATTGAAGACCCGCCGCGTCCGCCTGAGCCACAACTCTTGCCAATGTCTCCGCAGGCCAAATGGGCTCGACAGGATCCGCCTTGGCCCCGTACGGCTTGCTCAAAGCCGCTGTACAGCCATCGACCACTCCGTCGGCAATCAACTTGATGCCTAGCACGCAGAATGACGGTGACGTTGAAGGGTGGAACTTCCGGTGCATCTCGATGGCTTTATTCAGGTGGGTCTGAATCTCCTCGTCACTGGTACTATATGGCACAAGCCAGTAAGCACCTATGTGGAGCGGAACCTGCTGCTTTTGCCTGTACAGTTGCAACGCCGACCACTGCTCCTCATCCATGGCCATGTCGATGACTCCGGTGTAGCCCGCTTTTGAGAAAGTGGTAAGCGCACGGTGCAGGCCCGCTTGCTTTTCATCGACGGACAAAGCATTGAACAAGTATTGCGAAGCAATCAACAAGAAAGCACTTTCACTCAAGAGACCCGAAGGTTGGCCCATTTCGTCGCGATGAATCGTTCCTCCATCTGGGTCCGCCATGGAGGCAACTCCAAGCTCGTCAAGTGCAGCTTTATTGCACCACACCGAATGCAAATCTATAGCCTCGATGTAGATGGGTCGTGGATCTAGATCGTCAAGCATGGAAGCCAATGCCTCTGAAGCGACACAGGATTGCTGCCAGCCTTTGCACAGTATTCGAGCCTTATCGGGGTGGGCGCTTGCCCAAGCTTTGATCTGGGCTCGGATGTCTTCCAATGACTTGCACTTCATGACATCCAGCTTTCCAAGCGAGAGGCCGAAGTGTAGAATGTGCACATGGCTGTCGATGAAGCTTGGAGTCACCACGCGACCTTCCGCGTCAATCCCAACGGCTCCAGCGGCTCTGGCTTGAATCAACTCGTCGGAATCTTCTTCGCCAACGTACTTGATCAAGCCATTCTCGAAGATGATCGAACCCGAGATCAAGTCTTCTGACTGTGGGGAGCACGTAAAGATGCGTGCATTTCGCACAATCGTTGGTCCCACTTTTGGCTGGTGATAAATCATTTCGGGATATCTGAGTATCGCTACAATTTAGCAAGCAATGGTCGTGGAGGAGGCCTCCCTCCCAGACCGAAGGATATATGTATGTACGCTTTGAACAGACAGCCCCCATTTATCTTCGCCGCGCAACTGGCCTCTATTGGGTCTCTTCTGCTTTCCCTATCTGGACGGTGTCTGGGGCACCGACTCCCATGTGGCTTAAACTCTAAAGCTGCTGCCACGACAATACAAAGCAACATGGCGGTGCTTCTGGTTGCCACCGAGAACAAACTGCGCACGGGCGATTGCCTGCCTGGCAGCGCGATGCAGACAGCTATGGACAACACTCGGCAAACGACGAAGGCGAAAGGACAAATCTTATGTATTTCGCTTCCGTCAGCGTCCGCCCAAATTTCAATAAAGTGTCGAAAACATCTCCTAAGGAGGTCAGGCTCCTGGCGCCACAGCATCATGTCCCTTGCAGGGGCTTTTCCTTGCGTTGCCCTTTACCGGCGACGGTCTACTCGTGTTTCGAGAGGTCTTCAGCGTAGTAACGATACTTCGCTGCGCTATTGATGCGAAACCTTCTACCAAACATGATGAAGATGATGTTTCCGAGCAGAACAACGACAAAGATGACAGTCGCGGTGATGAAGACGTTCGACAAGCCCATAGCATTGATCCACGGCGTCATCGCGAAAACAAGGGCCGTTGGGCAGAGGTTTTTGACGAAGACGACGGCGACCAGGGAGTCTGAAATAATCTGGAGAGCAGGACTTCATTAGTATTCCGATGTTGCAACGCTACATTGGCAGTACTCACCTCACTGTAGGCATCGGTCAGATAAGTCAAGGACAGACTGATGGCCGGTGTCGTTCCGAAAGCGGACAACCCAAGTCCAATGCACACCACTGGCCAAGGCAGGCCGTCATTCAGACCAATGCCGAACATCAACAGCCCGGCGGCCACGAACGGTGTGAAGACCAAGATCAGCCACAGGCGCATCTCGGGCTCGTAGATTCCATTGTTTCGTTTTGCAAGGCGGAGTATCAGCCAATCGCTGAGGGGACCGCAAATCAGCGCACCTAGCATTGTACCGATGAAGCTCGGTATTCCCAGGAGACCAATCTGCTCGGGGCTGAAGTTGTACGGCGGAAGAGTCATGTATATCGAGTAAACCGTGATCGGAATGAGCACAGCCGATGCCATTGCCCCATTGAGAATCGCCATGTACATTACGCCAGGGATGTTGATGAGAATGAGGAATGGTCGGTAACTGTGGCGGACAAAGGACCGAAGGGATCCCGGCGAGGAGGACCAGAGGGCTAATTTGCTTCGATACGACTTCACTGGTATTGTTGGGTCAATCGTGACCTCGGTGGCAGCGTGTTGAGCCTCAACGCCAATAGCGTCATTGACCTCCGGATCCTTTGAGGCATCTCGTTTTGCGTCTTCGGCCTTGACCACAGGAGCGGCTTCTTCGCCAATGGACGTGGTTCTTGGGATACCGACAATGGTTTGACCGTTCCATTTCGTCTCTTCGTAGAGGAAGAAGAAGACAAGGGCACAAGCTCCTTGGAGGATCGCAAGCCACCACCAGACCCACCGCCAACCCTGGCCCACTGTTATGTAACCTGCGGCAAGAGGAGCCAACGATGCTCCGACGGTGAGGGTCCAGACATAGAAGCTGTTCATCCTGCCACGTTGGTGCACAAAGAAGACGTCCACAACGGTCATTTGAACCATGACCTCGGCCAGGGCACCCACGAAGCAACACAAGATATTGACCAGCATGAGATCGGCAACGTTCTGTTGTTTTGCGGACCAGACACTGACCGCCGCTTGGACAATCAAGCTGAACATGTAGACAGGTCGTCGACCATACTTCAAGGCGAACGGTAGAAGAAAGATGCCGCCGAGAGAAAGAGCGCCGCAACCTGCGGCGTAACTGTCGTTGAGTATAGCATAGCTGAAGCCTAGATCTAGGTTCATTGACGCCCAGGTGACCGTAACGACGTCAATCCTTTCAATGATGTTGTCAGCTGTGGATCACCACATCAACACCAAGCCACGGGCACTTACATGGCATAGACGAGGAGGACGTAAAGCGATACCAGGCCGAAGTTGAGGTTCTTCCTCCAGGTTGGCCAATTCTGCAGGCACAAGTCAGACCAGAAATGCGAAGCCTTGCCAAGGAGACTTGGATGCCATTTACCAAGGGGTCATTAGGATCGCTGGAAGGCTGCGGTTGGAGGATGACCTGGGCATTTTGATGCAAATCTGTAACGAGAATTGTAAGCCGGCATGATACATCGAACCAATGCAAAGAGCCAATGGGGATGCAACATACCTTCAATGAGATAAGTACCAGGAGGATGTGCCATGGTGGACAGGACCTTTACCACGACGAGTGACGGAAGGTACAAACTTGTGGGAGGGAAGGAGATCGCAGGTCCATGTCTCGATATCGCGGGTTCTTATACTTGACGCCATCACCGCTCGCAACGCCGAGTCGTCAGATCAGTCGCGGAGCAAAGTCCAACAGGCTGCGCGCTTAGGCAAATCTACAGATATCTGATTTGGGAATCTTCTGCCGTACTGAATCGAAGACAGTGACGAGGCTTGAAGCATTGGAGTTGATAAGGAGTTGAGTTTCGGTCGACGCCACCATTTTCGCGTAAAGCGTCTCAATTGGTCAGTTCGACAGATAACGACGGGTTCTCATGGTCTGACTTGACGTTCCGTGATGTCTTAAGAAATCCCTTGCACTCTTTCGACGTGTTGAACTCAGTGGACTGGAGCTGACAGTGCCATGATTATGTCGTGACCGAAGATGCCGCAATCGCACTGGGAGCTGCAATGAAAGAGGTAATACCTGTGGTCAAATCTTATCGGGCTCCTCGACGGCGGCCCGCCCACCTGCGCACTAAAACAGGCTGTCTTACTTGTGAGTACACGATCTCGCCAGCCAGGTTGCTGACCAAGTGGCGTTGTCTGTTGAGTACATCTTCAATTGCTGCAGGGTCCAGGGCAGTTCTGCCTTGATCCAAAGCATGGCGCATGATGCTGTGCATGAAAGACTCCGGAAAATTAAAGAGGAAACTTACCTGTTTGGACATGAAGAGCTACAGCAAGCAGCAATCAGACAATGCCACTTTTTCTGCAGATGTGCTCGCCTGCCGATATTGTTGGAAATTGCTGACAGACTGTTCAATCAGGCCGACAACGGAGGAAGAAGTGCGACGAGACTCCAAAATGCTGCCAGAATTGCACCAAAAGACGAATTCAGTGCATCTGGCCTTCTGATGGGCAGCAACGAGATGTGTCCGCGATTTCAACTCCAACTGCAATTCCCGAACAGACCGACGAGAAATCCATCCCTACACCTATACCTATAGTCGAAGACTGTGACGATGTGGTATCGCAGAGGTCTTCCAGTATCGACAGACTGGAGTCGGATGCCTCGTTAGAAATTTCGTCTTCGATATCTTTGTCGGATTCTGGTCGACGTGAACATGGTGGTTCTGCCTCACTCATACGATCTCCTTACTCGACCCCGTTAGTAGAGGGTTTGAGTTCTGGGAGTGTGCCTTTGTTCGACTTCATGCGGAGGGTCTTTGTTCCTCATCTTGTTCGGCCCGCATCCGATCCTCGCTTCATTGAGGGCTATACGTCTCAAAGTCTGCAGCTGGCATGGAACGTTCCTTTCTTGATGCATGCTTTGATGGCTTGTTCCGGTGTTGAATTCCCTGGAGATACCGGCTCCAACCGCAAGATGAGTGAATCTTATTATACTAAAGCTCTCGGCGGGTTTCGAGAGCATCTTGCTCAAGATCACTCACAGCAATCGGAGGCCATTGCTTTGCGCACAATCTTTATTCTTATCATCTACGAAGTTAGTGTTTTGAACCTCATTCCGCAACGTCACCGGGCGTAAGTAGCTGACTGTGTTTGCAGCGATCACGATTATACCCCTCAAAAGATGTCCATACTCACCTAATCGGAGCAGCAGTCCTGATAAAGTCTTGTTGTGATCACATAAACCGAAAGCCGCCAGGAAGAACGCCAGATACTTCGAATTTGGCTCGCATCCTTGCCCTAGAGGCCTTCATATTCCACACAGCTACGAGTGTTCCCTTTCAATCGCCGGCACGCCATTCAGACATCGTGGACGACGCCTTCGATAGCGCGGTCAATACACTGCAGCAGCTGCACTGGAAGGGAATGATGGATTCCCACAATTCACCCGTCTTAGGCGCTCCACCAAGATTGTTCGCATATGTACGGCAAACGGCCTTGCTCTATCAGCGATTCAAGAGCAATAATGTGCTCAAGAGTCGGCAATGTCTCAACCTCGATAAAGACCTGATGAGTTGGGACGATAAGTCCTTCGTCGCTGATTTCTCGGATCAGCATTCTGACCTTACGGCATGTTTCGTTGACGAAACCATTGGAAATCAGGATCTTTGCTTGTCAACCCGACTTCCAAGCAGCGAAGTGCTTCTTCCAGGCCTTAAGCTCTACATTCTCACCACACGAGTTCTCCTCAACCATATGATGAAGGCAGGGGACACCATGGACCGTTCATTCGCCATGTTAACTTCCGAAGCTCTGTCCCTCGCGCTTCGTATAAATCCCGCAGAGGATTACTTCGCCGACTACTATGTCTGGCCATTTTTCTGTCTAGGGGCAACCATTGCCAGTTCACATCACAAAGACATGATAATGAATAAAATCGTGGCTTTCTGGGAGGCTACCAGGAATGGTCCTATGCGACTGCTTGGGGATATGCTAACGCACGAATGGAAACAACCGAAGAGGAAATGGTAGTAATACTGTGTTAATAGCCAATATCCAAACTCCGTAGGGTTGAAGGTCGAAGTTCCACGTCGAATGACCTGAAGTCTCGACCGGAAAAATGATGCGAAAACAAAACATGATCACGTGAGACTATTAGTCATTTTGCCAAGCCAATGAATGATTCGGTCAGAGCTCATTCGCAACCGCAGCTTCGATGGCCTGACTTGACATGACTTGACCTTCGATTCTGCATCTTCCTCTCTACTCCTCAACAACTTCCAACAATGTCGTTCCAGCGTGTCGGATTGCGCTTCGCGCAGCAGCTACGCGGCTCTGCTCCTCGTTCCACCCTCCGAACTGCCCTCCAGCGACGATTCGACAGCAGCGCTGCCCATGCACCACCTCCAGGCCAAGCAGGACGCAAGTTGGTCGGCACCCAGGACAATGCTTTCAACCGGGAAAGAGCTGCGGTCAAGGCGCACGCCGCTGCTACCAGTGGTACGTTGACCCTTTTGTGAGAGAGTCCAGGAAGTTGTGGAGGCTAATGTGGACACAGACCTTTGGCGTAGACTCTCAATTTAGTACGATTCCTTTGCAACCGAATGCGTGACGACCTCATTTCTAACCTCTTTATCAGTGTTGTTGTCCCCTGCCTAATCCTCGGGGCCATCAATGCCTATAACCTGTGGACCGAGCATTGGGAACACTGGAAGCATCTTCCTCCCCTAGAGGAGCGAATTGAATACCCCTACCAAAACCTCCGGACAAAGAACTTCTTCTGGGGAGATGGTGACAAGGTTAGTAGTTTGGAGAGCTGTATGGAGACGACCGAAGCTAACGTTTGGTTTGCGCAGACCATCTTCTGGAACGACAAGGTCAACTACCACAAGAAGGACAAGCAGACCTAGATATTACGCAAGAGACAATTTTTGGCGGCTCGAATGTTGATGTCCCGTCTATGTATATATGGAGTTGAGCAGGAGCACGCACGAACAAATTCGTAGCATGGTACTGCTAGAATGCATCGATCATCATTTCATACAAACACAACCTTGGCCGCCAAGGTGGATCGTTGTTCACTTCGACCCGTTGCAAGCTAAACCCGCTGGGACCTGTATTGCTTTTCCAGCTCGAGATATTGAGTGGCAATGTCGTTGGCCAAGGTCAAATCTCCGCGCCAGTGCATGATGGTTGCTTTCTTCTTGAGCATCTCCAGCTGACCCCTCAAGTCTTCAATGTATCGAAATTGAAGATACGCATGATCAATATTTTCCATGGCTCTGCTGATGAACTCCTTCTGCTTTGTGGATTGATCTTGTTCGATTCCAGCCATTCCCATATTCGAATCCGCCAGCACTGCATGCGATCGAGCAGCCATCTCGCAATCCTGAAACTCCAGCACCTGCGGCAATACTGCCTGCAACAGGTCTGCAGCAGCCTCGAACTCCTGCAAGTCGTTAAGAATGTTTGCGAGAAACCCAACTGATTCCCACAAAGAGGGTAAGATCCTCCCTCGATACGCAATTTGGGCCGCTCGCATCACCAGGGAAAATCCCTTTAGTGCATGTCCACTCTCCGCCAGAATCCTGGCCTTGAGGTTCATCAGGCGAGTTTGAACCGCGACATCGTTAACCTCCTGATGCATATTGTGCACCACGTACTCCACTGTATTGAGTGCCTTCTCGAGATTTCCGCGACGCATCAACAGGTCAATCTCCAACAACGAGAGGGTGAAACCAATCTCTGCTTCTGGGACGCCTTGGCCGCGCAGACGCTCAAGTAAATGCTCCGCCGCATCGAGGTCATCACGATGCAGAAACCTACGGACCTTGAGCATTCCGGCATAGAAGTTTAAGTAGTTCTGAAACTTCAACACCCTCAGAACATGAGGCGGAAGACTGTCGAGCATCTCGGTGGCTTCGTTGTAGCGACCTCGCTGGACAAGTAGACCAGCCATGCGGCAATTACATTTCAGCAAGTCCTCGATCGGCGCATCTTTGGCGTGACACTGTAAAAAGGCCTGACCGCACCACCAAGCCAAATGCGTCAATCCGACACGACTGTACGCAGCACCCTTCATGAGCAAAGTCGGCCCCGTGACGCTCTGCGCTGACTTGACAATATTCAGATGCGACGCTTTAGTGATGTTCTCGAAGACAGTCGCCAGACTATCCCCGTACTGCAGACCGAGCTTGGCCTCGCTGAGCAATGTCGTGCTCAATAGACTCCACATCTCAGCATCCTTTGCTCTAGACTTGAGGAACGCCAATCCTTCGACCTCGCTTCCAAGAATGCCAGTGTTTCCTATGGGTTTCCTCTCTTGCGGAAATGACCGGCCGAAGTGGTACACCCAACTCATGCAGAAGTTGAGGCATGTGATATCTTTGTTCTCACGAGCGACAGCAATGGCTTCCTGCATCGCAGGCAATGCTTCGGCGTAAGAACCAAAATCTGCCTGCAGGATGGCGAGATTCAGAAGCGCGTACTGATAGAATGCCCGTTCGCGGGTTTGCATGGCATAGTCGAAGTAGCGGTGCAGATTGTCCAGTGCGGACGCGAAATCTCCGGCCCGCCACGAATCCAGGAAACTCAGATAGTGGCCCAGCTTGGGTATGACTGTGCCCGACTTGGCCATCTGATCCAGTCTCGTCTTCATGCCATCTGGCAAGCGGCCGCCAAGTCGCTGCAGCTCTGCGACCTGAAATTCCATGAGCTTCTCGACGTCGTAGATGCTGAACGTGCCGGTCCCAACGTGGTCTTCGTCATCGTCGGCGAGACGACCATACATGATCTGTGCGAGAGGATGTGTGGAATCGAGTTGCATTTGGGCGAAGTTCAGATCGAGCCCTGTTCTGGCGTCGGCAGGGTTCTTCCTCTCGAAGGCCTGTCGGGTTGGTAGTCTATAGGAGATAAAGTCCTGCCAGAGCGCGATGCTGTCTTGGAATTGCAGCCTCGTGTACTCTAGATGACAGCGACGGATGAAGGCGCCAAGAGGTGATGTTCGGAGAATGCGGCCGTGAGGTTGGTCGGACTCTTCTCCTGTCTCGCGTTCGCGCAAGATCTGTTCCCTCGTCTTTGTTAAGAGACATGGCAGGTTGGTGATGAAGGCGTCAAGAGCATGGGAGCAATCGATCGTCCATAGTCTTCTTAGTAGGAGATCGTATAGCGATCGTCCTGGCCGCCACGCGGAGGGGTGAGGGGCCAGGGTGGACTCGAACAATGATACCGGCAATGCATAATCGTTCCCCGTGCCTTCAAGCGAAGATTCAGAGACTTTGGATGTCGGTGTGATATGGCTGAGCAGGAATGTTAACACAGTTGTGGCTGCTGATGTTGGGACGAGATCCTCTGCATAGATCAAGGCCACCACGAGTAATGTAACTTTCGCTGGCGTTAAATAGCGGCCCATGTTGTCGTCAGTGCTGCGATCATGACAGACTCTCTACTAGGCCACCAGCTGCAGATGCTTTGCCGATCTGCTTCATCCATCAAACACCATGATTTGTTGTCGGGGCTGAATGTTGAGACTTCCAGATGTATTCACTCTGCGCGCTCAAGGGAGACAATCGTCGCCGACGCGTTGCTGAAAGATGATTGGCGGACGTGAAGTTTGCTTTGTTTGCACCAATTTTTTCCTTCTCTTGTAACAGTGTTGATGATTCCCACGAGACTTGCTGCAAGCACCGTACATCTAGTCGTTCATCCTGTATACAGCACTTCTTGGAGACAAGTTCGCCATATCCTTCCGCCATGGCATTTGTCAAGCCCGATTTTGGGGACGCTCTGCCTCTAGTAGCGTCTGGCAAAGTCCGCGAACTTTACGATGTTGACTCGAAATCTTTACTATTCGTGGCTTCGGACCGAATATCTGCTTACGACGTGATCATGCAAAATGTGCGCCTTGACAGCTTGAATTGATTCTATGCCAATCTCTCATCAGCAATTAACCTCTTCTAGGGCGTCCCAGACAAAGGGCTGGTTTTGACACTCATAACTGCGCACTGGTTCCAGTACCTGCAAAAGCAAATCCCAGACCTGAAAACACATTTCCTATCCCTCGACTTGCCGTCCGCCGTACCGCAGGACCAAAAGTCTGGCCTCAAGGGCCGGAGCATGCTTGTGCGCAAGCTCAAGGTATTCCCAGTCGAAGCCATCGTCAGAGGATACATTACGGGCTCAGCGTGGTCTTCATACAAGAAAACTGGTGAGGTGAATGGAAAGAAGATGCCTGAAGGGCTAGAAGAGTCACAAGAGTTGCCTGAGCCGATATATACACCTAGCACAAAAGCAGAACTTGGTCAGCACGACGAGAACATCTCCACAGAGCAAGCGGCAAAGCTTGTGGGAGAGAAGTATGCGAAGCGCATTGAGGACCTTTCCCTCCAAGTCTACAAGACTGCAAGGGATTATGCCAAAGAGAAAGGGATCATCATTGCGGATACCAAATTCGAGTTCGGACTGGACGAGGAGACAGACGAGGTTGTGCTTGTAGACGAAGTCCTGACCCCGGACAGCTCAAGATTCTGGGCCAAGTCAACGTACAAGGTTGGTCAAGGTCAGGACAGTTTTGACAAGCAGTTCCTTCGAGACTGGTTAACAAAGAATGGGCTGAAAGGCAAGGAGGGCGTGTCGATGCCAGAAGACGTGGTCGAGGCTACTCGCGCCAAATACCTTGAAGCGTTCAAGATCCTGACTGGCAAGTCCCTGCAGGATACATTGCAAGAGCTCAAATAGAAAACATATTGCATCTGTCGTTGCAGTCCCAGTATCCGTCGCTCAATTTGCTCGCTTTAGAAGCACAAGCTTTTCCTCCTAATTCCACAGTTCGTCACGTACTTGTTCATCTCATTCCTGATCTGTCCTGCGTTCCAACTTTACCAAAGTGTGGCACTCTTTCGCGGAAGCTCTTCTTCTCCACCGGCATGTTTCTCTTCTCTTCTTCCTTTTGTGCTAGCTTTTCCGCCGTGACCTCGCCTAGCCTTGCACTTCCCTGGTCGCCATCTTCCCAACCAGTCCGTCCGTCAACCTGACCACGCTCGTTCAAGTTCGTAGCCCACATCGCCGCGATTCCCAACTCAAACGGACCAGGTTGTCTGTCGATCAGCCCAATGCCGAAGCTCTTCACTTTTTGCCGTAGCATCTCGGATTGCGGCTCCGTGACAACGCCGTGGTTTGTTCGCACGAATTCGTGTAGTTTTATCCAAACGGTCTCCCACTGTCCCGGGTCATCCGTTCCTTCCGCTCCTTTGTGGTGTTTCGTATACAATCTGTGTTGGTGTATGTCTGACTCCACGATCGAGTCTGTTTGTACATTGACAAAGTATTTTCTTCCATCGCTCTTCACCCGTAGGGCCAGATACATGTAGGTATCCACGTTCCACATCAGTTCGCCCCATAGTGTTCTTCCTCGATCTTGATTCCTCCATGCCGCATAGCCCGTCCGGTTGATATCAGGTCTGTTCGCAGGAAGTTTGGTGGAGATGTTGCCACGAAAGAGGATGTGCGCTGGAGTGTTTGACGAGGCGTCTGCAGGCTTTTGCGTGAGTTCGGCTGTTGAGAATCCACCGACTGACTGGTCTGTCATGGTCTTCAAGGTGCTGGTGGTCTCTGGATCTGCGAAATCGAAGATAGGATAGGGCGTGAGAGGTAGATGAAGTCCTTCCAGGTTGAGAGCTACCACCATAGCATGTCAGCGCCATCGTTCATTCTTCATAGCACACTCCGTGCACCCAACGGCTTCGGGCACCCGACTCACCAAACTTGGTTGCCCGCTTCAACTCTGACGTTGTATTACGCCAGAAGCCAGGCGCACAGCGCCGCACACTGGGGACGAACATGGTGTTTGCGATGGTGCGCACCGTGCTTCAAAGAAGCATGGTCATTATGAAGGGTCGGTTGTGCATCCGGGTCGCGACCGTCTCAGTCGAATGTTAACGTCACTTTGACTCTGGTCGCCTTCCTTTCGTCCATCGTGATGCGATGTGCCTCGGGTAGAGCCGCTAGCGGCCGGCGCTAATGCACGTTTATTCTGACCTGCCCCTATGTACCTTCCAAAACTCGTTAGCGTGATATCTCCGCCCGGCGAGGCTGAAGAATGTCTGTACCCCTTTATTCCCGCCTTCTTTGCTTTGCTCTATTGTTTGCAGCCCCAACAGACAGCGTAGGGACTTGTCCACCGTGCCAACAACTATTTTCTCTGTTCCTGCACCCCCAGACATGGTTTTCTTTGTGTTTCTCGTCCCACAAGAGCCCATAGGGTGTCTTCATCGTCAAAGGTAGGGCGAGACTGTGAGTTCCAATGTTTCTTGCTGTTCCAAAGATAGTTTGATGATTTAATGTCCACTTCTGGTGGAAGAAAACTGAAAGGGCCTTTTGCGAGCCTGGTACTGATCCTTGTGGACTCTAAAAGGATCCCAGAGGGTCCAGTGCCCTATTCAAGGTATTAGCGATTGCTAAGAGCCATAAAGAAGATATACAAAGCCCTTCAGGAGATAAGAGCCGCCTGGTCGATTGATATCCCGCTCCCGACAACCTATACTTACCTTTGCCGTTAGGGAAAGATATTAATGACCCCGGGACGCCAGATACAGTTACTACTACCTACCTAGGGCTCCTAGGGACTATATCTGATGGGTATGGAGCAAGAAAAGGAGATCTTCGTCCTGAGGTCGTCGTCGACAGCCTGTGAACAATCGACATAGCTGCGCCCCCTGATACTGGTCTTGCACCTTCGGGAAAGGTGGTCTATGAGGGCATTCACCTGATTGAAGCGCATCTAGGGTCCGAAAACCGGAAGGACATGCTTCTCTGGCCTATAGGAAGAGAGTCCGGAGCCTGTTGGGGGGCTGTTAAGATGAACAAGTGAAGGGAAGTCAATGCCAAGCCTCCGCCGGTTTGGGGCCTCTCTGTTTGACTCTTTCACTTTCTTCACCTCACTTTCCTCTCTCTTGACCTTTACCATCACCATCACCTTCTCTCGTCGTTTGCAGCTCGTTTCCTGGGCTCTACAAGCTTAAAATACCTTCCAAACGCTTTTTTCGGTGAGTTTTCCTATACAAAAGGTCGAGGAAGCTCTTCCGCGACGATTTCAGGTTATTTTCAGCCTCTAACCAGTGATTCTAGTCTATCAATACCTCATTTCGGCTCGAACTCTTCTCTAGACCTCCTCCTTAACAAATCGTCATGTCGGCAATGCTTCCCGGCGGTGATCCTGCGCAGTCCGCTGCTAAAACCCCTCCTCCACCTTCCGCCGCCCCAGAAAAGGCTTCTATTACTGAGGAGAACGGTGCTCCAGAGGCTGAGATCGTCCCGGAAGCTGTGCCTCTTCCAGGTGAGTACTTCTCCGTCTCTATCACCCTCCTTGAGAGCGCAAAAAGGATCGACGTCGACGATTTCAGGGGCTAAAAGGGCTTGAAGGTCTACTAAAACACCTCTAAGGACCACGTTCCACAAGAACTCTTCCCTGTTTATACCATTTACTAACATTTTCCATCGTCTAGACTCTATTCCCACTACTCCTGCCCTCCCAGCTGGTCCAGAGACCCCTGTCGGTCCAGGAACTCCTATCGAAACCCCTGTCGTCCATGGCAAAGCTGAAGAAACCCCTGTCGTTCATGGCGAAGCTGCTTTGGACACCATTGCGCCTCGAGCTGACGACGATGTCTTTGCTTCTACGACTCCACAAGGTTCTGCTCCAAACACTGCTGCTCCACATCCAGTTGCCGAACGTGTTCTTCGCAACCTTCAAGCTCCATTGATCACCTACAAGGGCTTCATCCCTCGTGCAGACCGTGCCAGTCACGTTCCAACTGCAAAGAATGCTCAGGGCATCTATCCACCAGATGCTGCTATGTTCGTCGCCAAGTAAGTACACAAAGGAGCGGACCAGAACACCATACTGACACTCCACAGTCTCTCTGACCATCGCACCGAGGATCAATTGGAAGTCTCATGCCACGAGGCCTTTGATGGCTTTGGCCCAAACTTCGTGACCATCAAGGCCGACGGTCGTGGCCATCCTTTCGGCGTTGTGCAGTTCGAGGTACATTCTCCAGACTGCATTGCCCGGCGTACAATGCTAATTATGAATGCAGAGCATCGAGGATGCAAACAATGCTTTCAGCTCTATCTCTAACCTCATCCTTGACGGTCGCAAGATCAGATTGGAACGTCTCAAGGCCGAACGTGCTGTCATACTCAGCAGAAAGGACGGAACGCCTGCGACCGAGCAAGAAGCTCGTGGTCTGCTTGAACAATACGGGCCAATCGAGACTATTGCTGCTGACAGCTCTGGACGCTTGTTCATCAAGTTCGTCTACTATTTGGACTGCCGTGACGCTTTGAAGGTAAGGACTTCTGCTTATCTTCTACTTTTTATGGCTCTAACACGGCAACAGGGTCATCACAATGCTACCAGCGCGTTCATTCTTGTCATGGCTCCGTCTGAACAACCACGTCTCATTCCAGGTCGTGGTGGCTCTCCCATGGTTCGCGGTTTCAATCCTGCTCGCTCTGCTGTCGACCAGAAGTCGGTCTACGTCGGTGGCCTCGGCGAAGGTGCGACCAAGAAGGAATTGGAGGATCTATTCAGCGAATTTGGCAAGGTGATTCAAATCAACATCATCAGAAAGACCTTCAGTAAGCCTCCTGTCCCCTTCCACCGTCTTGCAGCACATTCTGACCTCCTAAACAGTGGATAATGGCGTCAACATCTTCGCTTTCATCGAGTTCAGCAGCCCACACGAGGCAGATCGTGCTGCTCAAGCCGAACGCTATCTGCATGGCTACAAGCTTCGCATCGAGGCAAAGGAGTACTCAGTCCGTCGTCGCTATGCTGCTCAAATTGGTGCTCCTCGCTCTGTTCGTGCTCCTGAACCCAGATTCGTCGAGCTCGATCGCGGCTTCTCTCTTGCTCCTCCACCAATGCAGTACAACTACGAGTACGGCATGCATCAGATGACCCCTCCCTCCCACCATGGATATGGTGCTGGAGCCTACAACTACGGCCAAATGGCCTACACCACACCACCAAACCAGGGCTACATGCTCCCAATGGGCATGTTTTCGCCAACTCCGCCACAGACCGGTGCCCAGTATGGGTACCCCGCTCAGTATTACATGGGCGCAATCGACGAGGCTGATGAGAATGGATATTGACCAAGTCCCGGCGTTAAAGGCGCAAGTTCAGGCGTTGACATAGTGAAAATGAAGTGATCATACCTTGGGCTGTTGCTGCAATTGCAGCAATTGCACAATCGTGCATTTACATAGGGCTTTTGCAAATGAAAATGTCGATTTTACAGATGATGTGTTTCGCTCATGTTTTCCCCCATACATTTTGTATGTGAAATGAAATATGCCGTACATGATAGTTGTAGTAGTAATATGCAACTCGTTAGTGTTTGGATATGACTTTGTAGTTGTTTGATTTTACCTATTTACATAGCGATCCGCACGATTTTACCCCCTTAACGATGGCGCAAATCCGTTGGACAACGATATGAATGTCTAAACGATTTCATAGCGTGTTTTTTCCGCCAACGAGGTGCACCGTTCGCTCAGGTCGACGACAACGGCTCATTCAATGTGATTTCCAGCTAATTTCAACCCTTGTTTCTTCCGGCTTCTAGACATATCGTTATACTGGGTGCGCTACAACGGTGTATCGATTATATTATTCTCAATAGTCCCGGTGCTAATTTCACTCTTATCCTTTATGTTTTACTCGTTCATATAGACGGACGACAATAGCACACCGCAACTAACTATATCGCTATAATAGGCGTCTAACAACTGCATATCGAATGTGCTTAACTCATTAGTCTCGGTGCTAGTTTCATTCTCATTCTCTATAGTTTAGTCGTTGAGGCGGACATACAATGAATACACAAGTCAGGTCGATTGTATCGTTAAAACAGGTGTATAACAACGGTATATCGATTATCTGATGCTCAATAGTCTTGGTACCGGTTTCATTTTCATTCTTTATAGTCCACTAGTTGAAGTAGGCGGACGACAATCAAACACCGCAGAATAGCTAGGCACTAAGGTCAGAGTGCGACAAGAATATATCGAATAAAACTATAGCGTTAGAAATAGCGGACGACGAGTATATAATAGCTCATGATTGAGTTGCTAGGATCAGCGGACGCCACCAACACTCCGGGCTATCACTATAACGTTATGATAAGAGGACGACACGGACGGATAAGCCTATATCATATCGCTGGCATAGGCGGACGATAGACGGATATTAGGCTATAACTACATCGATAGAATTGGTGGGCAACAACAATACATTAGTGTAAATATATATCGTTGATAATGGCGGAGGACAACTACGCACCGGGCTATGACTATGCCACTGAGCTGGGCGTGGGACAGACTTCAATCGTGTAGCATAACAAAGATTGACGAAGACAGTCGCTTGGTTATCAGTTTGTCAACATCCTCAATGAAATACCGTCGAGCCCCCTTGTCAACTAAGTGGACTCATTGTATGCCTCCATGTCTCACACCGTTGGCAGCAACAATATTATCAAAGCGATCACTCAAGAATCTGCCATGCCAGAAACCACCAGGCGGTTCCGTCCCAGAGAATGACTGCCAAAGCAAAGAGCCCATTGAGATGATGGGATTCATGATCTGCAGCATAATGGACAATCTACTACTTTGACACTTACGGAAGAGCGGTCAAGTTGGATTATCAATTCCTGTCCCAGTCATCGGCCCCAATCACGCACATCGAGGGAGACTGAGCCCTTTGTTTGTTGACGCAGCTGAGTCTTGATCCGGCGCGTGTATTGCCCGCGCTATGTTCTTCCTCATCAAGAGCTGCTCCCTAGCAGCTGGATGTTCTGGAGCTTCGAACAAGCGATGGGGGTGTCGAAGGACTCTTCGACTACTTTGGCCTGATCGCAGAGCGTCTGCACCAGGCAGGTGTGGACATGGGAGATCCAGTATCTCGCGCCGAGCAGCGCAGTGGACAGAGGGATGTCATTTACGTCTTGGCTGGACTGCAACATTGTATGTGGCATCCTCATGGCTCAGCGTAGTCATCAGCTCAAATGCAGGCTGTCCTTAGAGCATGTGGAGACATTTCTCAGCGCGTTGGCACGAGAAGCCACCGATGCTCGACTCAACGCCAAAATTGGTCTCCAACAGACACAATCTTGTCAGACTTATGCATTTCCAGCCCTCTGCATTACTAATCACGTGACTCTCTGGCCACCTAGGTGCCCTCCTATAGTATATAGTTGGCTCCCTCCCAGGAGCCCTTGTTATCCAATAGAGATTCTTTTCCACTTCTCATACCTATGTCTTTAATAGGTTATGAGCCCGGTAGGCGCTAGCCCTAAGGGTATCTTTCACTCCGTTATAGCTACGTTACTACCTTCTACTTAATACTATATTAGTACTATAAGACTAAGTTCTAGGCTCTCCTAAACGATTAGATACCTAAGACCTCTATCTTATACTTCTATATAGGCGAAGTCTAGATATTAATATATCTTAGACAATATCTTAAAATCTCTTTAAATACTAATAGAAAGTAGTTTAGTACCACTAAAAAATCTTTAAAACCTCCTAAAGCCTACGGTCTAGGTACTTAATAGATAGTCTTAATAAATATACGCCGTATACTACGCCCTTTAATTAGCGGAAGTTAGTCGCGTCTTAACTTTAAGAAGACTATAATACTATCTACAAAAATTAGAGGATAAGGCCTAATACCCTAAAAAATCTTTAACTTATAAGCCTAACCTCTCTAGTTTTTTTTATTTACTAATCTTTTAACTAATGATTAATAGCTTAGAAAAAGCTATAGTCGAAGAGTTCGAATTTACTATTCTAGGGCCTTTATAGGCTAAGAGTAAGTACCCTAAACTATTTGTTAATAGGCCTTTAAAGAAGACTTAGAAGAGTAGTACTAGAAAACAAAAGATAAGTAGTAAAGTCTAGTCTTTTAACGTTGATAAAGAGGCCTAGATAATAGGCGATATCTCCTAAAGATATAAGAAGTTAAATATTAGTTCTCCTTATATCTAAGACCCCTCTATACGCGAACGCTCCGCTTCTATAGACTTAGAAACTAAGTCTAATCGAATCGAAAAAGTCCTCGCTAACGTTATAAATAAATACTCTAATACCTCTCTTATAATATCGTTCGAATCCTACGATCGCCTAAACTAAGCACTCCCTTTTAGTATCGTTACTATAATTCTCGAAGATATCGAGACTTACGAAGTATAGTTAAAAAAGATATTATAGTACTTATAATTTATTTAAGTTATATTTCTTATCGATAATAACTATATTATATTCGTATTATTTACGAATAGGCGCTCGTCTATAGACTATAAGAAGTACTTTATCTATAACGATAAAGTATAGACTACGATACTATAAACTTTAGGCGATAAATCTCTTACTATAGCTAAGTACTTAGTCACTACTAAAGAGATTTAGAAATACTATAAGATTTACCGAAAATCTAGTTTTCTCGCCTATAAAGAACTTTACGAAGATTTAATAAATACTAAGCTCGATACTTACGATAACGTTACTTACTATAAAGAAAAATTATAACGAATTACTAATAAAATAAAGCGTCTCGAGCTATAGTATAAACTACTCGAAACGTTCCTAGTTATATATTTTATTAAAGGTCTAGGCGAAGAATTCGCTATATTTATTATAAGCTACGAAAATACTACGAATATTATAAGGGAAGATAGTTTAATAGAATTAATTACCTTAAAAGTAATCGCTACTAAGGCTACTATATACGAAATCTTTACTATACGAAACTAAAGCTTCGTAATAGCTCGATAAGCTAGAGACTAAATACTACCTAAAGTAGAATTACCCTTAGTAGTTAAATATATCGCTTACTCGTAGTTAAAGACCTATACGAATAAAGAGTATAGTCGGCACTAACAATCCAAGTCTAATATCGACCTTAAACGTAAGAGTAGCGGCGGAGGCGATAACTTAAATAAAAGATAAGCCTAGGCTAACTAAACAAAAGGTTCCTTAATAGAATAGATTTTAGCCTTCGAAGAGGACCTAAAAGATTCTATCCTAGATTCTAAGTACACCTAAGGCTAAATAGCTATAATATCACTACTAGCTAAAGGCTCTTATATTTAGTAGCTAAACGATATCGCTAACTTTTATATATCGCCTAATAATAAGGGCTTTATCGACTTTAATCTCTCCTTTAAAGATTAAGTCACGACCTTCTATAAGTATATACTACTTATTATTATATAAGGGCGAGATACTATAAAAGTCCTTATTAAGACTCTTAGCGATATAAAGTATTTACTACTTCGAGATATCTAAGTTAGCGACTAATTTCTAAGTCGCTTATTAAGCGAAGCTATAATCTTTAGGTAAGGTTACTTCTACTAGAAGTCCTTAAATAGTTTACGATTTTATATCTAGGAAGAGAGTATTATAGTTATCTTGAGTATATAAACTAAAAATAGCCGATAGTTCCTTAATATTGTACTACCCCTATATTACGAAGGTTAGGCGGCTACTTATATCGCGTATACTCTTTTAAAAGACCCTATATTCTAGCTTTAGTACTAAAGAATAACTTACCTTACGATAGATAACCTTAAAAGACTCGAGAGTATAGTGTATAGCGTTACCCTAAAAGGGGATACTACATTACTAACTTACGATACTTATTAGCGAGCCAAAGCTAAAGAATATTAATATAACTACTCGATTCGCCTAGCTAAACGAAAAATAAAGCTACTATACGTCGATATTCTCGGACCCCTTAAAATCCTAACGAAGCTTTCTACTCTAGAGTATATTATGCTTATTATAAATAACTATACGCGCTTCGTTAGATACGAGATTCTTAACTCTCGCGCCGAAGCTATTCCTCGCCTAATTTAATAAGTAAGGATAGTTAACTACGATAAAAGCTTAGCACGAATTCAAGGCGATAACGAGTTTAATACTAGGTCTTTATAGAATTAGTATATCGAATAAGAAGTCGCTATCGAACTAACTATACTATATACGCCCTAATAAAACGAACTTAGCGAACGCTAAAACGAGACTATAATAGCACGAATTAGAATAATTATAATCGCCTCCGTAATTCTCGCTAGCGCCTAGCTCGAAGTCGCTAAAGGCGTTATTTAGCTTAAAAATCGATCCTCGATAGCTAACCGAAACAAGACCCCTTATAAGCTTTAGATAAGCTATAAACCTAACCTAAGTTATATTAGGATCCTTAGATCGAAATATTACGTTCGAAGACTAAATAAGAAGTTAAAAAAGCTTTAAGACTAAGCTATAAAGCGTATACTTATCGAGTACGAAAGTAACTTCTTCTATAGGGTTTAGAACTTTATCGCCAATAAGGCCGAACGCGCCTATAGCGTCGAATTCGAGAAACTACTAATATATAAGCGACTCGCGATCACTAATTAATAAATTATCACTAACGAACCTAAACCTAAGCGATCGCGGCTCTTAAGTTTAGTAAGAGAAACGAAAGATAGGCTATAAGCGATAAAAGAATTCTATACTAATAAATCCTTTACTAGAAACCTTCGAATCTCGAGCGGACACGAATATCTAAACTAGAATAATTATAAGATCCGTCTCAAATAATTTAAGAACTCGAATACTATTAAAGTCACTACGATACGCGCTATATATACTAAAGTCGACTTTATAGCGCCGCCTACTATTCTTAGAATTACTTAACTAGTGAGAGCCTCTTTTAGATCTTATATCGAGTAAGATTAAAACGATCTCGGCTAATAACAACGCCCCCCGATAATATCGATAGAATAAAACGATCCTCCGAACCTTCTCGCCGCTCGCGCCTTCGTCGCTAACGTATAGATTCTCGATAACTAACGAGAAACCTTTAGTTAAAACAAGATTAATAAAGCGATAAATAAAAACGAATAGCTTATCGTAGCCTAGGCGAAAGTTAACTCTCTCTAAAAAATAAGTACTTAGGAACTTATCGATAAACCTAAAGATAAAATAGTGCTTCGAGATATATAGGTCTTTAAGCGTAAAATCGACGCTTAAGGCCGAGAACTTAAAAAGAAAGCTCGATAATACGCTCGAGGAGACCTATAAGAGTACGACCTTAACTACGAAGAAACCTTTTCCTTGATTATTCGATTTATAGTATATAGAATACTCTTTAATCGAGTAGCTATAGAAAACATAGAAATCGAGTAAATAAACGTCGATATTACCTTCCTAAATAGTAAAATTAATATCGAAGTCTATATCGAATAGCCTCTCGACTTTAGCGACGGCTCTAGGCGTATATATCTACTTAAAAAGATACTTTACGAACTACGATAAAGTCGTCGCGCCTAGTATCTTACCCTTAAAGGCTTCTTCTAGGACTAAGGACTTAAGATTATTAGTGTAGACGTTAGCGTATTCGCCGGGAATAGTCTATATATCGTAGTCTATATCGACGACCTCCTTATCTTTAATATCGATAAACAAGCGATTTAGTAACTTAAGGAGGCCCTATTTAAACGATTCGCGATAAAAGACCTAGGACTATATAAGTAGTACTTAAGTATCGATATTATTCGCGATAGAGATTAGCGTAAACTAACCTTAAGTTAAAAAACTTACGTTAAAAGTATATTAGTAGCTTTTAAAATATACGACTATAACTTATATTTAATCCCTATAGAGCCTAAACTATAGCTATAGCCGACTATCGTTGAACTCGACCTAAATACTAAGAAAAGATATTAATTAGCGGTAAGCTCCTTAATATATACGATAATAGAAATCTAACTAGATATCGTTTTCGCTATCTTAGCGCTCTCTAGGCACTATTATATACTTATCGACTATTACTAGAAGGCTATTATCAAGGTATTTCGGTACCTTAAAGGAACTAAGGATATAGTCCTTATATTCTAAAACCTAACTATAACGCTACTAACGCTTACTAGATACGCTTACGAGATAGGACTCTCGGGCTATATAGACGCCGTATTTCTAAACGACTACGTAACCTCTAAGTCTACTTACGAGTACATTTTTAGCGTCGAAAGTAGTGCTCTTAGCTAGAAATCGATATAGCTAAAGTTACTAGTCTCTTCTACTTACGAAGCCGAATATACGGGTTAATTCGAAGCCCTTAAAGAAGCTAAATATCTTCGGAACCTTACTTTAAATCTATAGTTTAATTTAGTATAGGGACTAACCGTTATCCGCGCGAATAATAAGAAGGCTATTAATCTCGCCTATAACGCTCTAAGATACGCTCGAAGTAAGCATTTTAACTTGAAACTCTAAGCTAACTAGGAAGCGTAGAAACTAGGTATCGCTAACTTTCTTTAGATATTAATAGTAGATAACTATATCGATATCTTTACTAAAGCTTTACCTAGGGATTACTTTTAGCGCTTCGCTAAAAAGCTTGGTTTATAGGGTTTCCCTAACCTAAAGCTTAGTATATAAATAAGCTTACTATTCTAACTATATCGCTTAGGTTATTATTAGGTAATACTTAGTTAGTAATACGCTAGCTAAAGGATACCTAAAACTCTTGAATAATCCTCGTTTACTATCGACGCGTACTAAAACTAAGCGTTAACCTATCTATATATACCTTCGACAAAACGCTAAGGAATTATTAAAAGTAGCCCTAACTACTATACTACCTATACGCTTTAGCGTTCACTAAATATTAAGAGGGTTATATAAGGACCCTTTTCCTTAGGCTTTAGCTATTAATATATAGGCCCCTTACGTAGGTTTCCTAGGCGCTAACCAAAAAGGCTTAATCCTAGGATCCATTGTAAAGGCGCCAAAATAACGTGGGCCTAGAGATTTGCACTCCTAAACCCTCGTCGTACGGCATCAACTATTAAGGACCACACTAAGGTTCTCTCTATATATACCCACTACGCTCAAATCGACACTTTTTTCGTCAGAATATATTCCATGTTCAAAAAGGGTCTAAAAGGGGGACTCATTTGTATACCAAAGTCGGAAATAAACGTCGATCGCGGGCCCGCAACGTGTGAGGACCAAATTTCACATACAGGAACCCCATGGGACCTGGTCAGAGCACCCTACCAGTTGACCCTCCTGTCAGCCAGTTGACCTTGCTATCGACTACCTAGCTATTGGCCAAGTTCACCTTAAATCACGTGATTGGCATTCCAGGACATGGAATGAGTGGGAGTGTCAGACTTATGCATTTCCAGCCCTCTGCATTACTAATCACGTGACTCTCTGGCCACCTAGGTGCCCTCCTATAGTATATAGTTGGCTCCCTCCCAGGAGCCCTTGATATCCAACAGAGATTCTTTTCCACTTCTCATGCCTGTGTCTTTGACAAATCTCACCTGCGGGGTGTGATGTAACCTCTTCATCAGCATGACTTACAACCGAGTCACTGTCCCTCCAGAAATATGAAGCCATATGGCTGAGAGAGGTGGACAGCAGCTGCACACCGACTTATGACTATATTGTGGGGATAGGAGTACACCAACGACATCTCAGGTCAGGACTTTGTCTACACTGCTATTTGATGTACTCGATGGTAGGTTCATACAATGCTAGCAGCTTCATAAAGTCGTATTACCACGATGGTGAAGGCGAAGATGTGAAAAGAAACACTTGCCCTTACGTCCTTACGGTTTCCGTGGTAAGAGTCGTTCGACGTCAAATTGTCCAAAGCTGACACGCAACCAGCCTCCATAACCCAAAGGCAACTCATACGGTTCCACCCAGTCAATGTCAGCAGTCCTCAGATTCCAGGTTTGTCGCTTGGTAGGGGGACGTCAATCTTATGTGAGCATATCACGAAATCACTGGGAACAAGCGGACGACAATTACACATCGAGTCATGCCTGTATGGCCAGTTAGACTTGCGACAAGGTCTTTCGAGTCGGCATATGCCATCCACGAGGCGCTGATGTTGCGGCTTCCTTCCATTAGGACGGCGGGCATTGTTGCCGATGCCCTGCTGTAGCACTGCCTCCACCTTGGTTGTTGTCTGGTTGTTGATGCTCTGTTCTATCGTATCTTTGATCTTCTTCACCACTTGGTTGTTGATGCCCAGCTGCATCGCTTGTTCCACCATGCTGACCACCTGGTTGCTGCTGCCTCTCTGTCGGCTTCTGCCCGTCTGCTGGCCTTTCATGTCCTGGTGGTTGTTGACATCCACAACAGAATAATGTCGAACGCACCTCTGAGCGAATTCAACTCACCTATTGGCCCCAATACATAGCACCATAGGCATAAAAGGGCGCTCCAGAAGGGCAACACCGAGCTTGCGAAACCGGAGCAGCAGATACCTGCGTATTGTAAGAATCCAGCCACACACCAAACTCGTACATGGTATCGCGGGCCAAGGTCCTCGACGACTGGGGCCTGGCGCAAAGAACGGACTGTTCAGATTCTTCAGGGACGATCCGATATGGCCGAGCGGTGCGGAACCCGGTAGTGACGAGACTTGGAAGCCTTGTCTTGGTCGTACAGGGAAATGACAGCAACAGATTGACCGGTATTCGCATTCTCCTACACATTTTCCCACTCCGGATGATCTACTCCTGTTGGCGGTCGATGAGGTTCACAACAAGAAAACCCTCGGTCTTTGGCTGGCACGCACCCTAGCTTCCTGCGAGGTAGAATATCATTGCATTTCATAGTCTCGTTCATGTCGTAAACATAACATCTGAGCGTACACCACTTTACACCATTTGCGGAGGAGTTTGCGGCGTATGACCCTGATTGGCCTGCAAACTCTCCAGCAGCTCTTCCGACATATTGTCAAGCTCATCTTCCTTCATGCCTGTCGCTATTGCCACCAGTTTTCTGTGTTTGCCCACTTTCTCACTTGTCCCTGCCTCTCCCATCAACTGAGCAATCTTCTTCACCCAATATTGGCGCATAGCCTGTTGCTGGTTCAGCTCGACAGCCCACGGCAATGCCGCTCGCACCTCATCTGGACTAAGCGGCTGAGGGTTCGTGTAGCGGAATGCTTGCGGGTTGGCTTGCTGGTCTTGCTGGAATATCTCGTTCTGAAGCGTGTTGTGTTCTTTCTGTTCAAGAAGTGACTGCATGTCGTTCAGCAACACCTCGTACTCCTGCCGAAGTGCAGGGAGCTTGGAAGCATCTTCAACCTTGGCCATGAGAAGAAACGTTTCTTGCCGAATCTTGTGTCGCTGGCCTTCAAAGTCAGTCAATGCTTGTTTGGCCTCTGTGATCTCGGTGTCTTTTTCGGTCATCTGCGAGTCGTACATATCGGCCAACCTGAAGCTGCCCTCGTCCATAAGGGGTCCGATCTTATCGAGGACCAGGGAAGCTGCACGTGACACAGCATCTTTTTGACGCTTCCGTCGTGCTTGCTTAGCAGTGAAAGACTCTCCCGTACGTGGTGGAGACGATCCAGGCTGTTGCAGGCTTTCTTTCTTCTCGCGTAGTGCTCTCAGGTATTCATTTGCGGTTTCACCTTTCAGGTTTGGAATATCACCTGCTTCCGGACAGTGGTTCAGAAGAAATGTTGCCACCTTTACACAACCATTGCGGATGGCGCGTAGTGCTGCTGTGTCATGCTGAGCGTCGACCGAGGTGAGCAAGGCCTGAACATAGTTCGAACCCATTTCTTGCATTTTGTTGATCAGGACCTCGCAGTAATAGCGCGCACAGTTCCACTTTGCGCGGATACGTGCTGTCTCTGCAATGTGGTGGAAAACAGTAGCCCCATGCCAGTCACGCTCGACAATGGTCCCTGATAATGCCTGCACTATCTTTGCGAATGTTCGCTTGTCGTAATTATTCGTGAACAAGACAGCTCGAATCAATGGAGTTTCTCCCGCACTCCCGTTTTGGGCTGCAGGGCTGGCGCCTCGTGCGAGAAGGTCACGAGCAACTTGAACATCACCCATTGCACATGCCCAGTGTAAAGCATTATTGCCGAGGTTGTCAATCGGTCTATCCACGTCGAAATCCGAAGGAGGTTCTGGAGGTAAAATGTTCGACGCAGCAGGGTCGTCACCAGCAGTCACGAAGTAATCCAGCAGCTCGTCGCCATACACGGTGTGGTCGAGATCCGAAGCAGTGACGATCGTTTCTTCCAGATCTCGTTTCCGCTTTCTTGAAGCAGCAGAATTCTGTGATAGAGGGAGAAATTCTTCGTCTGCCATGAATGATGCAGTCTCGGGCGAGCGCTCACGACTCTCTGTTGCGTTATTTTGTCCGTTTGCGCCGTCGAACGTGTCGATCGGTTGGTAGTATTGAACTGATAACAATTAGCTCGAGTATCTCGGAATAGGCAAAGCCCCACTGACCAGGTTGCGCAGCCACCTTCTTGGGAGCAGACTGCTTGGTTTGCTTTGGACGGTTCGACGCAGCAGTAGTATGCTTCGGCGCCGGAGGTGGGCTTTTGTCGCCGGGGACGAAATCGAAGATGGCAGAGATGCGATCGAATATGCCATGCTTCTCGGCAAGCGAACGACCTTCTGTCAAAGGGATCCATGTGCCCTGATATTTGCCATAGCCACCCTGGATCTTCTCGTGTACGCCCTTCTGCACTTCTCTTTCCAAGATTCTGGTTCTTGCTGGTTTGTCAAAGCCGGCAATCTTCAGGATGTGAGTAGCATTGACCCATTCGTCCGACCGTCGTCGCATGACATGGTCATTGCCGATCTTGAGCTCATAGACGGGAACCTGCAGATACAGTGTTAGCTGCTGTGCGGTGGAGAACAAGGAAAGGTTAGTCACATTGCTGTAGGTCGCAGAGAAAATGTTCTTGTCGATTGCCATCGCGAGTTTGTTGACGGTCACAGGAACGACGCGTCAGGCGAGAAGCTGACGTGCGTTTTCAGTTCAAATCCCACTACCGCATCGGTGAGGTCAGTGTTGGTAGTGCTGAGTTCAATTTGCGCGTGCGCAGCCGGAGAGACGCGTCGTTTGATAAAGGGGTTGAAATCACGCGTAGAATTACTGTCCGCAAATGTCAAACTTGCCAAGGCGGTGATTAGTCCAAGCCATGGCAAGTTTGCGGGGTAAGACTGCTTCTCAGCCTTGCTTCACCTGATGACGGGCGCATCATCCTTTGCTCATGCACTTTCACACTGTCTAAGTTTCGCCACAGGCAGTTTGAGTGGAACGTAATATTCATTGTCGCAACACAATCAGGTTGTTATGCGTAGACTGACTGCAAGAAAGGTAGGGTTCCACAGTCTTTAGAGGGTATGACATTTTGGCCAGTAACCCAAGCCGAGGCCTTACTATGACAGCTGCATCTGCTCTAGAACCACCTCCATCAATACCAAAAAAGCAGCGATTAATGGACGGTGAGTGACGGTGTTAAGTAGCAGTAGATTTCAGCGTTAAGGCACGTGATAGCCAGGCTGCGACCCCTGACAACCCCACGTATTCCGTATAGATTCTGCAATGCTTCAACCTTGAGAGTGCTGAACATGGCCGAAAGGGATCACAGAGAACAACACTTTCCGTGATAGAAAACTACTCCTGAGTACCCATATACGAGCATACTGGTGGCTGAACTGGTCGGATTCTTTCAGGGTTGTCCCATCCCGGACCTGCGCAAACTTGCCGAGGCTGAGTGAGACCTTGGCGAATTTGCTCATACATGTCTCGTGGTTCCGTCTTTCCGAGACCTCCGCCACCGGGGTTCTTGTCCTTGTCCACAGCATTGGCAGCCTTCTCTATCATTGGTGGCTCCCATGTCGCAGGAGCACGACCAAGAAGCCAAGACGAAGGGGACTTCCAAAGCCTTTCGAAAAGGGCACCATAGACGGTCACCACGGGCGTGCGATGAATGCAGATTACGTAAAGTGAAATGTGACGGGCGACGACCATGCCAACCCTGCACGCTCACTCAGAATAGTAAGCTATGCCCTGCGGCCTGCTGTCATTATTGTCTTGCTCCTAAGGACAGAATGAATGTTACTGACACTCACAAGTCTGCTCGTACGAGTCTGGGAAGAAACCCAGGCAGACGCCTACAGAGAGGATTCGCATACTGGAATCACGGCTGCGTAGTGTTCGCACGGCATTGGAGAACCTCAAAGCCGAGAATGCGACCACTTCGTCATCTGCAGTCGACAAGATCCTCAAGACTGTGGATCTGTCCTTACCCGCGCCCAACGACGGCTTTTCAAGCTCAGACGAGGACGAGGCCAAGTCTTCTCGATTGAACAGCATGATGGGCAACTCTGGTCGAAGCTTTGCCCACGGTCCCTGGCAGACCAGTTTCTACGGATCTTACTCTGGATGCTCATTTGTCTTGCGTACTCTCGAACTCTTTCGGACGACGCCAGAGAATGTTGCCTTGATGGTCGACATCAGGAAGGTGATCACTGATTTATTCGAAGCGCCATTCGAGGGGATGGAGTCACTGGCGGTTGATGCGAGAAGTCAGCCTCTGCCCAACCAAGCTACTACACTGGACCTGCTTCGAGTGGTGTTCACAAGATGCCATCCCTTAGTGTCGTTCCTGCACGAGGCAAATTTTCGGGATATGGTCTACCGGCTTTACAATGAGGCGGCGGTCGCCTTTAGTACGTCAAGCCAGGCTTTCATGCCATTATTCCACGCTGTTGTCGGCTTGGGCCTTTTATTTGACATCGAACCCCGCAAACAATATGGATGCGAGTATGCTGTTGCAGAAGCGTAAGTCTTCCTCAAAGGTGCATAAACACTTGCTGACCGAACAGGACTAAGCATTTTCTTCTAGCAAAGGAAAGACTCGATATCACTCAGTGTTCTGACCTGATATCCCTACAGACGCTGATGTGTCTGACCATCTTTCTGATCTCCACGTCGCGCATAACAGCGGCTCACGCCTATCTTGGTGTAGCCTGCTCCACGGCTCTGCGACTGGGTCTGCACAAAAGAGTCGAGGAAGGGATCATATTGTCGCCCGCTCAGCGAGACACGCGAAACAGGTTGTTCGTCAGTCTCCTGCAGCTAGATTTGTATGTGAGCCTGGTATTGGACATACCAGGCTTCGTGGATCTAGAATGCATCGACCCTGAAATCATGACCAAGCTGCAGCCCAGCACGAGTGGGCGATCACCTTACCCCTTCGACGTTACGGCGGAAAGTCGCGCCCAATTCTCTGCCTCGGCGAAACACCTTGAGCTCTTGAGCATCACGGCCACCGGTCTTCAGACAACGTTTGCTGGGGCGGATCGAAAACACAATCAGGCGGAGAACGAGCTCGAGTTCACCGACGTCGACATCAAAACGCTGCACGGTGTCGAGGAGAAGTTTCGAAAATGGGCAAAGGGGCTTTCGAGTCTGCCCTCCCTCCCAGAAGATCCTGAGGCGTCTGCAACGTAAGTTCTACATCTTGCGGTGGCGTTACTTTGCTCATTAGATTACAGCATGAAATTCGCACTGGAAATGACCTTTTATTTCGGCCAACTGGTCCTATACCAGCCATTCCTGCACTACCTCATCCCCATGGCTAAGGGCTCAGCCATCACCAAGACCCAGTCCGAGCATGCGCTGGCTTGCATCAAGGTGGCGGGCACAACCATCTCCCGTACGGACGTCATGTATCAACGGGGCCTACTGTGTCCCGCGTCCTGGAGCACGATTTACACGCTCTACCTCGCTGTCTCATCGCTGTTGTTTCTCATAGCTACGCATCCTGGCACTTCACGACCGAGCAACGCGTGGAAGAAGTCGGAGCGCGGCATCAGGCTGTTGGCTACAATGCGCTGCTACGACAATGGTGCCGTCAAGTGCCTTCTGATCATCAAGGTAAGTCACCTCTGAGGCTGCATGCCGGGCACTACTGTATAATAGGCCGAAAGCTAATTCTTGTGTTTGAAGATGCTCATTCAACAGCTATCGCACACGGTTCTGTTTGACGTCGATCACATTGTGGCAACCACCCCCGGGTTATGCCCATGCAGTGCTTCGGGTTCTCTGCCTGCAGACCCTCTACGACGCCCTATGTCGAAAGACGACGCGGTAGCACTGGGTCTATCAACAGGTTATCCCACCCCTGAAACGAATCTGGATGTACGACATCCCCCACCAGTCTGGGCTGCAGTTGCACCTGGACAAGAACATCTCCAACCGTGGTACGCCGCCAGCCACGACTCCCCATACCGAGACGCAGATTCGATCTTGGCTGAAGCGCAGGCCATCTCGCTGACAGTCCCGATCGACACCCTTGATATTTTTGGCGGAATATGATATTTGTAACGCTGGACATGAATGCAGTTTCTGGCACATAAGCAAGCCGAGAAGCCGATCCGAATCATAAAAACTTCATGAGTCGGCATTTACTCATCTAACCGTTTGGGAGGCTGCGTGATCGTTGTCAGATAATCGCCATTCAGTTTCTTGATAAGTTTGCCGAATCCTTCGTGGCTGTAGTCTTTCTCGTTCCACATGTCTTTGTGATATCTGACCTTGCCTTCCTCGTCCAGGCCGAGACTCACCAGGCTGTCCACCGTCTTACTCGTATGTGTGACCCGCGGCGTATACTCTTGTCTCAGCTTGAACACGATTTCCTCGGGGGTGTCCTTGACTACTTCGGTCTTTATGGTACGCAGACTCGCAAAGATCTTGGGCAAGCCGTACCACTGACCGGCAATCTTGTAGCGGGTATCGCAATACGAAAGAGGGTCGTCGTAGATGGCTTTGGCCGCATAAACTTGCATGTCATCCTCACTGGCGCTGCCGCAGTATAGCCGCGTTATGGTGTCGACTATCTTCTTGTGCTCGGGCGAGATGGACACTGAGCGCTCTGGATGTGGTTCGTAGTCGACATTCTTGGAAACGTTACGTGGATCGGCGTCGTCGCCGGCGAGCTTGTGAGGGTTTGGGTGAGGCTCGTAGTTCTTGTGGAGGTCTTGTGTGGTTTGATCCATGGTTGACTTTGCCTGATGACTAGCTGTACGGACTCGGACGTAGAATGCAGGTGCTGATTTTGGGGGGATGCCGTATGATTGTAGACGAGACAGACTTACCAGTCGACGCATTATCTGATCAAGCACGGAGACCACTGTCAAAAGAACGAAGTGCACCTTAGTGTCCGATGTTGATCAAAGCCCGTCATGACGACATGTTTTGTGGTCGGGGCGTCATAGAGAGTTTCTACTGGTAGGCATACAGCATGTGAGCATTGCAGTGCAAGGCCTTCTATGCCAGAGTATATCTCGATCAAGCACACTCGCGACAGATGTCCTCAAATGTAGGAGCACGCACTTCAACAGACTTCTTGGAGGTCGTTGACGAAAGATATAGATGCGCCCCCACACCATGTTTACGCGAAACGCGGAGCGCGTCAACTGTGACTTCCACTTCCACACCAGCTTGGTCGCCTTCGAATGTCAAACAGCAGCGTCTGCTGCCATGATCATGATGTAGCGACGGACAAGCACTGGAACACTTCATTCTGAGATCCTTGCGTGGCTCACAGCGATGCACATGTTGTTTCGGGCTACTCAATCTGGTCGAACCTCCTGAAGACAGGCTCCTACTGGGCATTCATATGCAGAGGAAGGAATAAATTCGTCACTGCTGACATCTCTCTGCTTCACAGATGCGAAAAATGGACAGTCATTCCAGCATGCTCACTGCCTCTCCATCAGTGCCCATGCCTGTGGTAAATGCAACGATCTCCCCAAACCCTGCAGTTCCGAGGACCCTGCGGCGCCATGAACGGCGCGACTCTGCTTCTTTCGATGTCCCCTGCACAACCTATCAGCTCGAACACGTACCTATCTATATCGAGGTAGTCCACCCCCACTGACTCCAGCCTCTGCGCGAACAGGCTCAACCGCATGCCTAAGATCTGCTGATTGTAGTCCGCACACTTGGCAACATTCTCCTCGATGGTGTCCAACAGATGCCACAAGCGTCTATTGCAATCCTCAACAGAGTCCAACACAGCCCATGAGTCCATCCAGAAGAAGCTCGCGTGATGAGGGATATTGCCACTACAAACATGATAGTCCAGCCCACGCAAATTGAGGGCGACGTCCGACATCACCTCTAAGACTCCCTTCCATGATTTCTCGATGTGGCGTACAGCTGGGATATTCACCTTCTCAAGAGCTATGGTGATTGCTAGCTGGGCCGCTCGCAAGCCGTCAATCATCTCGTATATCTTGGTGCTCAAGGATTTCCGATGCTGCAGACTTTCGGATTGAGGCCAGGGATAGCTAGGGGTTTGCAACTTGCCAATTTCATGCAATCTGGGGCTTTCCCGAAACAGACGTGGATCTCCTGGTCTGAGAAACAGAGGAGACGGAGGTGGCACTTGTCTGCTCGAGGTATCGTTGGAGTCATTTTCACTGGGTTTATCTTCACTGAGGGTGTTCTCGCCGCCGTCGCTCGCATCTGGGTCGCTCTCACTGGCGTCGCTCTTATTGACATCTCTATCACTAGAGTACATTTCATCGGAGTCGCCTTGACTTGTCGCCCGTCTGGTGTGTTGTGCTGCCAGCATTTCATCCAGCTGGTTATCGTCTGGGCTTTGATCATCGAGAGTGCTTTGTCCCGTCGTACACTCGATATGTTGTGTCCATGGCCGCTCATCTCGCCGCTCATCTAAAATTGCTGAAAATTCTTCATATGAGAACGGGCTAGTTGAGGAGTCATTGTCACCAGAATGTCGATCTCGTGCATTCGCAGCCGATGTTGAAGGAATGACCACGACGCTCGACCAACTCGAAGTGTGAGAGGCCATCTTGACACTGACGCTGCGTCTTTATGTTTAGTTAAGACAGTAAAGGTTTGCTATTTGATTGTGACGAGGGATGAGATGGTCTCTTGACGGCATCAGGACACTTTATACTTGGACCCTGAGGACCTTTCCTTTCAGCACCAGTGAGACAACTTTTTGGTCCTCATGTACCCAGGTTGACTCTTCATTCCCACCCAAGCGCAAAAGAAGGGCACGACTAACAGTGGTCTGGGGTGACAGTCATGTCCCAAGAGATGGGATGTTACATGGTCTGCTGTACTGCGTATGAATAGTGACCCAACAGAGACCTCGTCGTGAGGTCCTCATGATGTTTGGGCGTACCATACTCTGGGTTTCACAGCTGTGTCCACGCTGTAATGACTCCGATCCATCGAGAGTGTACTCGCTGTCATTTCTGGTCCAGGCGACGATGTTTTTGAGAGTATTTGCCACGGGAGAGCAACAAAGGAGATCACAGTCCAAGGTGGTGCATGTAGTAAATTATGGAATCGAGCAATGTTATCTTAGAAATTTGCATGTGGAACCATGACTGAGGAGTGAGGACTCATACTGCCCACAACCTTGACAAGGCTGCGCGCAAAACTTCTCGACGAGGCTGGATGATAGACGTGAACCGAGAATACCCGAGGCAGCAAAACCAAACATCGTCATTCTTCTATCGCCGAAATACATCCCTAAAGTCCCCTGACGCAAACCGCCATAGTAAACTCCACCACTTCGTTTCTTGCATAATGATAAATCTAATAGAACTGGCTTACTAGCGTCTCGTTTGCAAGTCGTGCTGGTGCGCGTCGAATTTCCTCTTTTTCTACAGAAGGATTGGGTGCGAGCTGGATACTTTGACAACATGGTCTCCGGTGAAGTACGTCTCGGACATTTCCCGGAATTCAAATATCCCAATGTTCATCGCAAGAGATGGCTAACAGCTCGGTATCATTGTAGGGCGCTGAGAAGACGCCGCTCGTCTCCCTCATTGCGGGAGGAACAGCTGGTGGTGTCGAGGCGACTATAACATATCGTAAGTTACGAACCCAATCTAGCTGTCCTGTCGCAGCGGAAACCACTATTCAAGCTTGATCTCACGTTGCCGGGTGGCTACTAGCATTCGAATTCGCAAAGACCAGAGTCCAACTCCATGATGATAGCCCCACCAAGAATCCATTCAAGGTGATTAAAGCGGTCATCGAAAAGGAAGGTCCGCGATCCCTGTACAAGGGATGCGAGACGCTCGTCGCGGGCACGATACTCAAGGACGCCATCCGCTTCATATCGTTCGACAGCATCAAAGCCGCGTTCAAAGACCCGGAGACAGGCACATTGTCGCCCCTGCGTAATCTGCTGGCAGGCATCTCAGCCGGCGTGGTGGCTAGCACATTCGCCGTGACGCCCACAGAACGTATCAAGACGGCACTGATCGACGACGCGCGGCACGACAAGCGCTTCACGAGTCCCTGGCATGCTACGAAGACTCTAATCGCGGAGCATGGCCTGACAAAAGCGCTGTACCGCGGGTATGTGACGACTACGCTCAAACAGGCGAGCACGACGGCGGTGCGGCTCGGCACATACAATACGCTCAAGGACTTTGAGCGACTGCGAGATATTCCGCAGACGACTGCGACGACGTTTGCGAATGGCGCGGTTGCAGGGACAATCGTCGTGTTTGTCACGCAGCCTTTTGACACGCTCAAGACGCGCGCGCAGAGTGTGCGTGGAGCGGGCGTCAAGGAGGCTTTTACAAGTGTTATTACGGATTATGGCGTCAAGGGTTTGTGGAGGGGGAGTACCATGAGATTGGGTCGGACTGTGTTGGCGGGTGGTATTCTGTTCACGACCTACGAGTGGGTTGCTGCTCTGATACAGCCTGTGCTGGATAAGAAGCTGTTGCCCAAAAGGTCGGAGTAAGGGAGATCGAATGCGGATGGGTGCATGGGAACGGAACAAGATCAATTCTTTGCATGCACCACAAGCTTCCTGTGGGAACAGCAGGTCACGTTGATTAACGTCATCTAGTGGTTGACTTGCGCCGTCCATCACAGGCGGAAGGGCAGACCGCCAAGGGCCGAGTATTGCTTGTGTGATGCGGCTTCTCAACTGCACGCCGAGAGGTCTTGGTGACGGCAGAGATAACTCCTGTTGGATCTTGGCCTTGACCCCAACGCGCCCTCCGAACCCCCTGATGCGGCGCAAACGAGGCGCGGAAGACCTTTGCGCAACGGCACAGACTGAGTACGTTGCACCGAGCGAACGCCCCATATGTAACATAGATTAGAGCGAGATCATTGATGGCAGTCTCTTCGATGGCAACAAGTACTCTGATGTTCTTGTTGAGGCCGGGCTTCAGGTTCTCAACACAGCCAAGCATGTTTATTGGTGGTAGAACCCGCTATGTACAAATTCCTCGTAAATGCAACAAGCACCCGATGCCCAACTCACCAATCTATGTCCCGGAACCCTCCAAGGCCAACGACCGCATTTAGTCCACCATGCATAGGAGTTCTTTCAGGCGTAGACCCCGCCATTTCCTTTCGACGAAGGGCGATGGACTGCGCCAACGCCCGTGCGAAGCATCCGATCGAAGGGGCGTCCGTCTAGGTGATACTGGCTCGACCGTAGTGCTATCCGCAAAAGCGACGTGTCGTGGTACATCTGGGGCTGGGGCTGGAGCTGGAGCACCCCGTGGAATCTCCTGCCTTTCCGACTGGAGGTCCTCCGAGAACTTTGAGCCCCAGGCGTTTTTCTTGCAGGTGCCCATCACGGTGCCATCGCGTTCCCGGGGAGCGTCAGCTACATGTCCCTTTGGCGCCCCATTCGTGGTGGAGAGCATCTCATCCGCAGAGTGTCGTCGTCGATGAATCGATTTTGGTGGTATAGGAGGTGGAGTTGAATCATCTAGGCTGATTCCACTGTTTCCTTCCCAGTAAGAGAAGGATTCGACGAGAGTACTCTCGCTAAACAAAAGGTGATCCGGAATGACGAATTCAGGTCCAAGGGCAACACTGAGACGGGGGGATTCGTCGTCTATAAATGTATACCCTGTTGATCTTGACACGGTGGTGGACGGTCTTGTAGCTGTTGACGTTCGGGCTGAAGGGTGCTGGGAGTCTGTCTGGAAAAAGCCGTACATGTTGCTGGAGGGTGCTGTGAATCTATCGTTGCAGGCAGCATAGTTAAGGAGGCATTAGGGTTGGGATGCGCGTAAAGAAGACTGGAGGTCGCTTTTTAAATAACACTTGCCTGTAGAATGAACGTGGTATAGGTCCTTTATGTGGTTCAAAGAAAGAATCTGGTTCCTTACCTTGATGCACAACAGAGAACCAGAGTTCCCGAGTGGCGATGGGGTCTTCGGTGCTGGTGCGTATATTAACGGTACTCATGGACGAAGCCTCACCCATGAAATGGGAGTGGCCTAGCCGGTTGAGCGATCCAACGGATGCAAAGCTCAAGGCATTCAGTCCGGATTCTCAGTGGCTGCCCGTACGAGCTCTGTTCTGACCAGATTCTTTCCACAGTCCTAGAGGCAAAATTTCTGCCCGTATTTTCTTGGGACGCGGTTCAGGTCTTCCCGGAAGGACCTTGATTGCCCATGGTGTACACAGCAGATGGCGGCGATGCATCTGCGGAGACAAACAAACCTGACCAGGCATCATTATGAAGAGCCTGTCCGCAGGTTGGCGTGGACTCGCATTTAAAGCCCAATAAACCTGTGCCACGGTATCCCTTCATATCGGTCAAGCATGGTACCAGAAAAGCCGGGCGCGAGTGCAGAACAGACACGTATTGCGGAAAAGTCTTGGAGATACCAAAGAAGTTCACCAAGCTTTGCTGGATCTTAGTAGAGTCGGGAAATTGCGGACATGACTCATGGGGCCTTGGAAGCCAGGACCTTAGCACCACTATCCGGCTATTCAGAGCGAGGATTTTCGAAGGTTGAAGGACTTGAAGCACAAATACTCCAAGTACTCCTCTTGTGGGATCCTGCTTGTAGAAGACAGAGATCTGTTGACCAAAGTTCTTGTTCGATGCACCCGGCTAACTTATCATATCCGTTTCGTGCGGACGGTGTTCGTAGGCACCATACAGACGAAATGCGCGGACGAGGAGAGTTATTCTGCTGCATCCTTGGGAGAAGAATGAGCTAGGCCTGTAGGCGGCCGAGAGCATTGTAACAGGGACAATATGCTTCTCGGGCATGTCAGAGACGGCAGAAGGATGTTGGCATTACGGGACACATGGGCCAAGTTGTCACCGTCGTCGAGAGGGAAGTTGTTCGGCTGAAAGTGAGAGTGGAATAGAGATCCCAGAAGGTCTCCGGCAGAAAACTCGGCAATAAAGAACACTGCTTGAAGCTTCCGTGGAGTCCTTAGGTCAGTAATGAAAACTTTGGCGTCCGCGGCTGCCATTATGCACCACGGAAGATTGCGAAGCTTAACCTAACTTAAGTACCCTAGGTAGCCCTTCAAAGGTCCGATCAAAAGTGCCGACCAGGCCACAATGATGATAAGCCAAGTTAAGTGGCGTCTGGCCTGCACACCGCCAACTCCGAGCACTGGCTTTGCCTTCACCTGTTAAATTGCATGGACTACAAACGACAACCTGCAATATGTCGTATGTCATGATGGGGCAAACAACATTGAATCAAGCATCAGAATACGACGGCTGCAGCGATTACAGTGATTACTTTCGTTGACAGAAAGCAATCGAATAAGTCTGTATTCATCAGCTTCCTGTAGGATCCCCTCGTCGGTCCATCGGCAGCAGTCCTTGATACTACCTTGACAGCTCCAGGACTCTTCAGTCATGTGCCAGTCTCATCATTTGTCGCTCCATAACAACCCTAGCAAGCCCCCCGCAGCATCACACAATAACTCCGTGGTTAGTGGAATCTCCAGCATTGGCATTGTAGACAACACACCCATGGCTTCAAGCGCAGGCCAATCACACAGACCACCCGTCTGTACAAAACGCCCACCATTACTGCATCCTCTTGGCCGATCGGTTGCCGTCCTACCCTGGAGAGATAACCGCTTTCACGCTCAGATGATCCTCATGACCACATTCCCGTTTCAATCGGTTAAAAAATCTGCCTCGTTGTTCCTACAAAAGACCCTCCCCGCCTTCCCCAACTCTACAATGACAGTCGACAAAGACGGGCGTCCTACTTCTCACGACGTGATCACAGAATCTTCTTTTGATCGTGCCAACCCTGCTTGACCGTCTGGCAAGCCCGTCTCGCCAGAATGGCCAACGTTGACATTCACCCAAGGTCAGCTCATCCATTTCCAAAGACCCTGAGGGATGGCCGTACCTACCACAATGACGATGCGACAAACGAGCATATGTCTGCAGGGAGGTATGCCGCAACTCGCGTCAGCACCTTGAAGCCGCCAATGGATAAGGTTGCCAACCCGTTCGCGCTGTTGGCGATGCTCAACACTCAACAATGGTTGTTCTTCCTGGTTGCATTCCTTGCTTGGTCATGGGATGCTTTCGACTTCTTCACCGTGTCCTTGACGGTCTCAGACTTGGCCGAGACCTTCAACAAGTCGAACACGGACATCACCTGGGGTATTACCTTGGTTCTTATGTTTCGATCTGTGGGATCAACCATCTTCGGTATCGCTGCGGACCGATATGGACGCAAATGGTAGAGCACCGCCTTGTTTTATTCCTCGGGGGCCTGCTAATAGTTGCTGACCAGGCCTTTTATCATCAACAACGTCCTTTTCATTATCCTCGAACTGGGAACAGGCTTCACCCAGACCTATGGCCAATTCTTGGCCGTGCGTGCCTTGTTTGGTATCGCTATGGGTGGATTGTATGGCAACGCTGCAGCTACAGCGTTGGAGGATTGCCCCGCGCCTGCTCGAGGTATTATCTCCGGTATGCTTCAACAAGGCTACGCTTTTGGCTATCTTCTCGCCACCGCCTTCTCCCGTGGACTCGTGAACACAACCTCCCATGGCTGGAGACCTCTTTTCTGGTTCGGCGCATGTCCGCCGATTCTTATCATCATCTTCCGATTGTGTCTTCCTGAAACCAACACTTTCCGCGCTCGTCAGGCGCTCCGACAACAGCAGGGAAGTGTCGCCGGCACTTTCCTCTCGGAAGGACGTGTCGCTCTGAAGCGGCATTGGCTGCTGTTGGTCTACTTGGTTCTGCTCATGGCGGGCTTCAACTTTATGTATGTCTCCGAAAGATTGTCGCATTCAAGCACAAGCCTTGAGTTTGTCCCGTTTTTACTGATGCGGCTATCTGACGTTTCACAGGTCTCACGGTTCGCAAGATCTGTATCCCACCATGTTGACGAATCAATTCAAGTTCTCGGCCAACGCGGTCACGGTCACTCAAGTCGTTGCCAATCTGGGCGCCATGACTGGTGGTACCATAGTCGGATACTGCTCTCAGATTTTTGGCCGACGTTTCAGCATCATTTTCATCTGCGTCATCGGTGGCGCACTGCTATATCCGTACACGCTTACATCAAGCAAGGCTGTCATCGCAGCGGCGTTCTTTGAACAGTTCTGCGTCCAAGGTGCATGGGGCGTTATTCCAATCCACCTGATGGAACTGGCCCCGGGCTCGATCCGCACATTCGTCGTGGGGACTGCGTATCAGCTTGGAAACCTGGCATCCTCGGCTTCTTCCACCATTGAATCTACCATTGGGGAACGATTTCCCCTCGAACCACTGCACGGCAAGAATGGTAAGATCACTAAGCGGTACAATTACGGCAAGGTTATTTGTATCTTTATGGGCGCAGTATACGCCTATACCATCCTGTTGACCTTCTTGGGCCCGGAGAAGAGAGGTAACACGTTGGACGCTGAGCACGACCCAGATATGGCCGAGGTCACACACCGTGATCTCAGACATCAACATCACACTGATGTCGCTCATGGAGACTCCAGCGAAAACGACGAGAAGACGGTGAAGGAGCAGGAGCAGGTGGCCTAAGGCGCATACGGGCTGTTGGTAGCGGGGTCGATGTACTGAAGAGGGAATGGTATATCCTGAATCTTGAACGATGTCATGACTGTTGGCGACGAGGAGAATTGACCCTGCCAGCCCCTAGATAGAGGGAGAGAGATGACTGGAGGGAGCAGACGATGCCCTGTACGAGAGCGAGATAGTCCTAAAGTGTGACTCGTTACAGTTGAAATGGATAGGCCATGTTTACAGCATCATTATAGACCGACGGACTGTGCGTCTTCTCACCGCAAGCGTGCATGGGGATCTTAGATCTCCGAGTTGACGCCTGTCAAACTTATCGAAAACCTGCTTGGCACATCACGCAGAATGCGGTCAATACAAGATGCAGTGCGGAATTGTTCGGAGTCCGGAGGTTGTATCATTACTGTATGTTCGGAACTCATGTTGGCATTCGGCCCTGGCAAGATGCATGTTGGTCTTCTAAGTATCGTCAGAGTGAATACTAACTTAGGGCCTCGTCCCAAACCCTATATAAACTGCCAATGCGCAAGACGACCGCCGAATGTAGAATGCAGTGCACGGTGCCCTCACAGAGAGGGCAATATCTAACAATACAGGTATCATACAAGTAGAGATAAAGGTCAACAATATTGGGTGCAAAACAGCAAAGCCTATTGATCGGAACTGCAAAGACTGCTCCACAGATGCGGTAAAGAAGATAAGAGAAGCTCCTTCATCTCGCTTCTTTCTCCGAGATAGACCTGGTTGACATGTCCTCTCGTCTCGTGGCCGTGTAACTTACTATCTTGGTGGCTGGAAACTTTGCATGATTATGCTGCCGATGCACAATGCCGGGGGATTTCATGTTGACGATAGGGACCAGGAAGGGTTGTACTCCTGTTGTTCCAGTTTGATAATCTCTCTGTAATCTGCCACGTGCGGCGGTCAATATGTATAGATCAGTCGCGAAGAGCGGCTATGCAGCCCAATTTCCATGAAAGTGCATGTGTGGAAGGACTTGTACAACCCTCATGTATCAAATCTGGGTCCTTGATTTGGGCCGCTACGGGTCGATCCAATGCATGTGGTTATCCCGAGTGGTGATCATGGTGTTGTGGACTCTGGTGGCGCAACCGGACACAATTACGACGGGTACGGTTGGCTTCATGATTGGTGTGCCTGGCGAGGCGTTCCGTCTTCAATCAAGCAGTCAATGGTCCTTGAAGGAATGCGGTAGCTAGGCACATGACCATACTTTGTAGGTGTCTTAGTCGCGATGCTCTTCGTATGTGTTTGCCAACGCAGATATCTACGTGGGTGTCATGTAGGTGATGATACACTATGACACAGCATTGTCTAAGATTCGTCGTTTCCTGACGCGTTCAGCAGCTGCATCTTGGATAGGAAAGTGCGTGCTCCAGGGCCACATCATATATTGCTGAAACTTCAATGTTCACCTGCAGCACCAAAGCTTATCTCTGGTGGAAAATCATGGTCCAAATAAAGGTGTCACGGGCGTTTAACGGGCGACAGTTTGACTGGCTGCAGAATGGACTTGGAGGGGGCGAATCTGCGGTGATGATTGGCGTCTTTAGCGGCAGCATACCCTAGTGAGATGGTTATAGGCTTGCCCCATCTTCATTAGCCGGCACCTAAACTTGGGGGTTTGCGCTATCTATCGTGGACGAAGATCCAGTCGAAACTGCGCCCTCTGTTCTCGAGAACGCTATTGATCCGTCTTGTATCGCAATCCTGTCACCTCTTATTCCCTCTGGAATCTGCTGTGTCTTCCGCCTGGTCTCGCCAGTAGTGTCTTTCTTATCATCAACTTCCACGGTTTCCTCTCGCTGGGTTCACTCGGTCGGAGACCTAATCAGACTCCAAGATTCCTGTCACTTCGCGTCACTGGCACTGACACTGATCGCCAGCAGTGTCCAGCATAATGTCTTTATAGAATCCTCCCGTGACACCTGCATGATCATGAGCATGCCCAACAGGGTTCCGCCTTCCTGAACATCTCCTTGTCAACGACTCGCGTGGTTGGCCTCCTGCTGCCGTTGTCAGCACTCAAACCATGGCCTACGCTGCGGTCTCGCAGGCTGAGCACGATGACCTCTCCAACGATTCCCCCGATGTGACTGCACAGGGCCTCGTACTCCCTGAAGTATCCAGTCCGCGGTTGTCGCTTTCTTTCGACCGCGTATCGCGAGAAGACAATCTGTCGAGCGCACCCCACGGTGGCGAGGGTGCTTTAGGGGTCGGGAATCTGCTCAAGTCATTCACTTCGTCGCAGTCCTACGAGATGGTTGAGGAGGAAGACTACGAGGCGGTCAAGACGCCATCGCCTGAAGGACTAGGTCTAAATATCCAAGACATTCCTTCGCCACAAAACGACAGCACGACATACGAGTCAGAAGAGCCGCCAATCAGAACCGCGTCGATCAGTCGGGACCTCCCTTTAAAGCATCCTACCCCAGATCTCCACGCGCTGCAAGGGGCTTTGGTCAAGAATGTGGAGAGACTGGAAGAAAGCGCCGAACGCTTGAGCACGGCCTCGAGCCTGGAAGAGGAATTGAACAAGATGAAACTTGACCAGAAGCGATTGGAACGACAGTCATCTGCACCTGCTGCGTTACTGGACCACCCTCCCCGTCCGTCAGTCCAAAGACAGGTCTCAAGTAGTTCGTGGTCGAACTCGATCCTCGGCTTGAACCAAACGGCAAGGCTAGGGGGTTACTCACCTTCCGGGTATATTACCTCGCCAACCGGCTCCATACAGTCTGGACGATGGTCACACCAGCAATACCTCGAGCATCGTCCTTCCAGGGGCAATCGTCCTGATCAGCCACTGTCACGATCGCCCTTGGAGAACCATCCTTTGGACCAGCAGTCTGTCCCTCAAACGAACGTTCCTACTCTTCCTGAATTCGAAGCCGTGGTCAACTCTCCTCGAGTCTCGAACGGCTCTAGCCGAGAGGACCGGCCAGCGACATCTTCCTCGAACGATACCCACCGCCAAGCACAAGCAGCTTTTCATGACTTTGACGGTGTTTACTGCGCGCCCGGTGCGCGCTCCATTAGAGAATCCTCGCTATCACGGCGCATATCCTTACAACAGCCTCCGTTGGCGCGTGACTCGAAAGCGTACAAGGAACCTCAGCCAGGGGAAAATATGATCTACTATCCTGCACCAGTCCCGGTTATGCTGAACCTACCGCAGAGATTGTCAAAAGTGGATTTGGCTGGGCGGGAACGGCGTAGACTCCAGGGTTTGAGCACGATTCCCGATGAGATGCGACACTCAGCACCATGGCTGGCAGACCAAGAGAGTGTCAAATCACAAAGTCAAAGAGATAGTCTGAACCTTCCACCACAATTGCGTGCGAATGCTTTCTTTGAACAACCAAGTATGACACAGAACTTGCAGTTGAAAAATGGCTCGGCTGTTCAGACGTTGGACAGCATACTGGATGCAGCTGCATATGCCCCTGTCACTGGATTTACAGATCATCCGATAGCGGGTCCTGTTGGGAAAGAAGTGTACGGACAGAACAAGTCACCACGCAAGAGCACGCAGTCGGCCGAAGAGAAGAGCAAGAAACGTCGAAGCTCGCTGAGCACAATGCTGAGGAGGTCGAGTACTGGTTTATCAATATCCAGACTGAGCCGCACAAGATCGAGAGACTCCAAGACGATGCTGGTTGGCGACGGCTATGCCAGTGGAGACGAGGTTGATCGAGCCGCCGCGCAATCTATAGCACCAGACGCCGATGAGATACCTGACGACAACGAGGAAGTGGAGGACACCGGGCCTGTCGGATTTTCGACGGCGCCTACCACCCTGCTTGCTGAATTACAAATGCGCAAAGCTCAACAGAAACAGCGCAACCGGACTGCGGCAGACGCTTTCCCGAACGGCATGCACTCGACTCTGCTAGAGCTGGACGCCGTGACCCAGCTTCAGCAGAAGTCAAGGAAGTTGAAGCACGTCACTCTGGCATGGGAAGATCATGACGAAGCCGACAAACACAACTTTGATGATGATGATGTACCGCTAGGTGTTCTTTTCCCCGAAAAAGACCGAGCCGCCATTTTCAACGCCCAGCGGCCGGTTGGTCTTCTTGAGAGACGTGAGATGGAAGACAACGAGCCGCTAAGTCATCGACGGGCGAGGTTGCGGGGCGGGCCAACGTCGATGAATGCGCGAACAGACGGCATTCCCGATCTCCTGGATGAACCAGAAGATGAGACCCTAGCTCAGCGTGCCGCAAGACTCGCGTCAGCAATACAGACACAGAACGTTGGCACGGCCAAGGTGAGCCAAGAATTTGGCTCAGGTGAGACAACTGCTCAGCCATCAAAGACACCTGATGTTGAAGAGACCTTGGCTCAGAGGAAAAGGAGGCTGCAACAAGAAGCTTTGCGCAATGGCCGGCAGAAGTCTGGGAATGGTCTTTCAAGACAATCATCGATGCATAACTTGGCTGATATTCTGCAAGTTCATCCTGTTGGTGTCAGGCAAGTTTCTCAGGAGTCTAGAGCCTCAGGACTCGGAAATGCTCGTACGCAGAAACCACTGCTGCAATTCGACAACACGCCCCAATATCCGCACATGCAGATGAACATGCCGCGTCTTCCAGCTCAAAGCCTGAATTGGGGTTCTACTCAGCAAAATGGTGTCAATATGAATGGGTTGTACGGAAATTTCTACCCAAACAGTGCACCATACATGAACGGGTCGTTTGCTGGACTGACCCGCTCAATGTACAGTGCCCCCATGCCTATGCACATGCAACAATCTATGACGCAGAATCCGTACGAGTATAGTCCTCAGCCGTACGTCCAGGATCCGATGATGGGACCACCTCTCGACCCGAAGCAGAGGGCGCAAATCGATCAGTGGCGGGAAAGTATTGTACAGTAAAGCCTGGATGTTTTCTAGAGACTTGTTGAAGAAGTGGCCTCGCTGACCTCGTGTTGGGTATTTTTCACATGGGACCTCACAGAGAGCAACAGATGTTGGATGTGGTGGCATTTCTCACTTGGTATAGATTGAGGTCCGGGAAAGAGCCATGTCTGTATGAGTATTATGAAACACCGAGGTGCTGTTCAGCATATCGATACAGCGCTTACGACTGACGTTGAGACGAGTGGTCTCCATTTCAAGAATCTGACTGATGAACGCCATCAGAATTCGGGACAATTATTATGAGATTGAAGTGTTGCACGTTCACGCTTAGGACTTTCGAGATGGTTTAATTGAATCGGTGGTGATGTCAAGTGTGGGGCGGTAAAAATTCGGCGGTTGCCGTGGCAGTTGCGACTGGTAAACAATTCAGTAGGGGAGGCGGTCGAACTTCACCGGCCATAGCAGACCACAGATCATTCTGGCAACCGTGCTCTACAACTTTCATACATTGTACCAATGATAAGCTGTATGTGAATTAGGTACCGTGCTCATATATGATTTCTGTTCCGCCATGGCACCAAGCGTCCATCAGGTTGCCCAAATCTTCGAGGACGCTGAAAGCGAACCTCAACAACGAGGCCGGCGCCTTAATCACAATCGTACACCTTCTGCGGGCGAGGCTCTGAAAGGCCGACGGAAAGAAACTTACAGTCCTACAAAGCTGTCGAAACAACCGGCACGCGAAACACTTGGTTCTGCAAGTCCCCTTGGTGAACGACACATCAACAGCCCTCCCCCACCGAAGCGAGTACCTACCAAAACGGGTGATGAGCCACTGCCACCTCAACGGCCTGCCCACAAGAAAACTGGAAGTTCGGTTTCGCTGAAAGGCTTTCTACGGGGTAGAGAGAGGAACGAAGGTGACAACATTGCATCAACAGAAGAACAAGTGGTAGAGAACAAGCCTAAGAAGGTCAAATCTGCCACAAATTTGACAGGTCTGCTGAAGCGCAAGTCCAAGAAAGACCTCAAAGAAGAAGCAAGAGACCGAGAGAATACAGCACCTGCGCAACAAAGTCCATTCGAACTTCCAACACCCATTTGGGCTCAGTTCGCGACCCAGCCAGTTAAGGATACAGACGGCACAATGTTGTACCCGGTAGCAAAGAGAAGGACTGTTGAGGAGGAGATCAGGCTGTACACACCCAAAGACTTCTCCGAATTCCGGCCAGCAGAGCAGAGAAACTTCTACGGGTACGGTCCGGCTACTCCTTCATCGCTCGATCACAAACCGCCGCAGAGACCTTTCTTGGAGCACAAGTCTAGCAGGAGCTCTATATTCACAGAAGAACTGGATGATGAGCCCAAACCTGACCTCAAGCGGCCCAGGAGCCGAGATCAAGAGAACAAGCGACCAGAGTCATCCTCATCCTCGGCTGCACGACCAGGACTCGAGAGCCGATCCTCAGAATTATCTCAATCATCACAATCACCAGACAAGAAGGCGAAGAGAGGCTCACGAGTGCTTGAAGCGATCCAGAGTTTTAACATGAGGTCTCCTCGCAAGGGTGGGGCGGGGGATGTAAAGGCTACTGCGGCTACACCGGTCAGCCCTCAGGAGATAGACACTGCATTTGAAAAGGTGCTGGACTCACTGAATATACCCCTCAACATGCGGGACAACATGCGAAACCTGAAATCAGACGTCAAAGCCGGTCTGATGAAAGGAGAACGCGTCGGCAGCGGCTCGTCGACGAACTCGGCAGGTTGCGATGCAAGTGACATCCGCTCATCGGCAAGAAGTCCTCAGAAGAAAGACAGCGAAAGCGGAGAGGCTAAAGAAGGCAAGAGATCAAGCTCGCGTTCCAGACCTCGAAGCCGAATCTTGACATTCTCAAAGCGGGAAGACAGCCTATCTGAAAAACCGGACAGACCGGGATCATCGTCAAGATCTCGTAGTAAGAGCAGAAACAAGTCGGCTGACATGACAAGCACCCGGCCAACATCTTCACGCGCCATGGCGTCAACTATGTCACTCGCGTCTGTAAATTCAGCTGATAGTGCGACGACCCCAGGCGATTTCATCCACTACCTTCAAGAAGTCCAGAAGCCAGAGCTGGTCGAGGTTAGCAAGCTGCACAAGCTGAGGATTCTGTTGAGGAACGAGTCAATCAGCTGGACTGATCATTTCGTGACCAAAGGTGGAATGGACGAGCTTGTCCAATTGTATTACCGCATCACCAAGATCGAATGGCGCGAAGAGCATGAAGATAGCCTCCTGCACGAGACACTCTTGTGCTTGAAGGGGCTGTGTACAACTTCTCTTGCGCTTCAACGACTTCAACAAGTGGAAAAGGAATTCTTCCCTGCGCTTCTGGGCATGTTGTTTGACCCGGAGCGAAAAGGACCAGCAGAATTCAGCACAAGAGCAGTGATAGTCTCGCTTCTTTTTGCCCACCTTTCAGCTGCCATTGATGAGGACCATGGGAAATTGCAAGAGCGTGTTCAGACGGTCCTTGGATTCCTCAAGGACCCAGCTCCAAAGGACGACAAACAGCCTCTGGAATTTGTCTCACAAATGCATCTCCCTCGACCGTACCGCGTTTGGTGCAAAGAGGTTGTCAACGTGACCAAGGAAGTTTTCTGGATATTCCTGCATCACCTCAATGTCGTTCCTGTTGCCCAGGTTGACGAAAGTGTTGGGTATCTGCGAGCACATTATCCAGCTCCTCGTCCACCTCATCCGGCAGCTCCCTACGTAGGTGGAGTTGAATGGGAAGCTACTCAGTACCTCGCCATCCACTTGGACCTACTGAATGGAATCATCGCAGCCCTACCGACAAGAGAAGCACGCAACACCCTGCGAGAAGACCTCAAGCAATCTGGATTCGAAAAGATCATGGGCGGTAGTTTGCGCACATGCAAAGAGAAGTTCTACGGAGGTGTTCATGAAGGGTTGAAATGCTGGGTCTCGGCGGCCAAGGCAGATGGCTGGTATGTGGAGGATGTCAGAGCCGGGCCACCACGCGAAGCAGCAAGTCCACGAAAGAGTCCGGTCAAGAAGAAGGGGGATGCAGCTCCTCAGATTGCTTTGGATGTTGGCATGCAGCAGGTGGAGATGCCAAAGGTGGACGATGTATGGATTTGAGAGTGGAAGCCTCTCCAAGTCTTCCCAACGGCAGGACTTAAGCGGCCATGACTTGACGACGTGTGATTTTCATCGTTACACTGTGAAGGAGTAGGATTGGATTGTTGGTGGTGTTGTAGAGTGAGGGTTTCGTTAGCAGTAGGCGCAAAGTGGTCTATGGCGATGGAATTGTTAAGATCTCCAGCTTACCTGATAAGTGAGGGTGTTTTTCCACGTGATAAGGGTCGGAAACTGATGTCACCAACCGCCGATTACCAGCGATTGGGGGGACCACCAACCATACTCCGTACTGTGAACAGTAACCCTGAGAGAGGAGATGCGCGCGCGCAGGAAAAGAACCTCGCTCTCGGTCACCTTTGCCCTTCACCCTCTTACGCCTCAAACACGATTCATTTTTGTCATTGTTCATGATGCTGTAAAGGAGTTGAGTCTACACTTTCAATTAACTCAACTGGTCTCAGTTTTTGAAGCCCTCATGAGGTGAATTCGCCTCGCGAAAACAAGTCCTCCTAGCCGAAACCTCTCGCCGAGCGCACAACTCGACGACCTACACCCACCTCCCAAGCTCTCTCATGTCAACGGCGACAATGACCACGACCCTGGGCACCTCGAATGTACGAGGTGGATCATCCGCTCGTCGAGTCAATCCCGGCAGAACCTCCAAGACCATCGGCTCTTCTCTACGCCAAAATTCACTCGTGTCCAACAGTGGCATGCCTCTGACCTCGTCCTCTGCTATCGCAGGATCAAACCACCAGATCATTCCAAGCAACGAGCCTCTTGGCATGTACCCAGCCATCACCCACTTTGCAGATGCGATCGCTGCATTGCCACGAGAGTTTCGCAGACACAACTCGCTGTTAAAAGAGGCGGACGCAAAAGCCTGGGCTCTTGAGGAGTCGCTACAGAATATTCTGCAACGATGTGTGGCGGACACAAGAAATACCAGCTACGATACTATACCTACGCAGAGCCTTGCAGGCGGAGAAGATGCCTTCAACAACAGTGAAGTTCACAGTGTTGCGGGCGCCTCTTTCGACAATGCCTCTCTCGCGTCTGCTCTTTCGGCGGATCCTGCTTCCGCACAGCGCAGACAGCAGTATTACAACTTGAGACAAAACTTGATGTCCATCATGGTGACTATGGACGAGAAGAACCATGTCATCAATACTGCCAACGAAGAAGTGGCGAGGCACATCCGTCGGATGGACAGAATCTGGCCACACATTGCGGACGAACTCTCGGAAGAGGCAAGATTAGGAAGTTTGAAGCATTGGGCATACACAGACATAAATCCGGTCAAGAAGCCCACTGCGCCCACAACAAGGAGAGAGGCTGCTGCCGCAACTCTGGCCGTGATGGGAGAAGGCAACGAAGTTTCACACAGGAGTGAAGCTCGTAGAGAGGCCATCTTGGCTAGGAGACAGCGGACGGGTCAGCATGTGGATTCAGACTTTGACGAGTCGCGATCTGTGGCCCGGAAAGCCAACAGCGGCAATAAAAAGCGTGTTGTTGCTGAGCAAATGCCAGAGCCACCTGGGCTAGGTATTTCGACCGCTGTAGCCGGCAAGAGGAAGAAACCCGAGAAACTTGCAATCGGAGGAATGGGCATGGAGCGATCCATCAGCAGCGCGATGGGAGGGCGCGCAATGTCCAGAGAAAACTCTCAGCAAGAGTCAAAGAAGAGGAAGGCTTCTGCGGCTCCAACGACGGTAGCTCGAAAAAGGTACGCGTTGAACTCTTCTCAAGTCGTGGATGTGCTAATCTCTGTGTGCTCAGGCTCAATGCATCAGCCCTAGACTCTCCCAAACTTGTTTCCTCGCCACTCGCTGGAACTGCGGGCAAAGAAGCGTACAAACGAAGTCCGGCACTCTCGTCTGTTCGCCCGGCGACAGGACGAGGCCGTCAGAATTCTACGCAGAGAATCGAAACGGTTCGAGAACGTCAGTCGTCTATAGCCTCAAGCAGGAATGGCAATAAGCAGGACATCACGGCCAGCACGCCGGAGGTGAACAGTGTAGCTGCGTTGACGGGCAAGACTGCGAACGAAGTCAGGAACACGATGAAAGAGACGAAGACAGATAAAGGAGATCGCTTAATTGAGGATGAGCCTGCGGCCGTGAATGGTGCCAACGGAGACTTGCCATTACGCGGCGCTTTGTTTCTGGAAAGATCCGCAAGCAGGCAAAGCGGCAAAGGCGACCCGGGCTTATTGGAGGATTTGTCGACGACGAAAGCAGCGCCCTCTCCTCGCCTCACGCCTGCCCTGCAAACGCTAGAGTACAAGCACGAGCGCATTGGCAGGGGTCGTGCGTCCAAGACGTCGACACCCATCGTGACCACGTTTGCTGAGGCCGAAGAGTCCGAGGGGGCGTCGACGAATGGACACCATGGCAAACCCAAGCGTCCTGCGCGGCCGCGGGTCATGGACCACGGGTTGCATGACTCATTGTCGCCAAAGGGTCTGCCTATGAAGCGATCGCACAAGAAGAATGGGAGTGTCATTTCCGGGTTTGGGCCTCTACCCGGGGGCCCGCAAGGTCAGGGAGACAGGCGGCCCAAGGACGAGAACCATGAACTAGCTGGAACGCCGGAGCTTATGGGCCCAGGGCGGCCCGGCGACGAAGAGGAGGAAGGTGAAGACGACAATGAGGCCGATGACGAAGAGAGGTACTGTTACTGCCAGGGTGTGAGTTACGGGGAGATGGTGGCTTGTGACAAGGATGATTGTCCTAGGCAGTGGTTCCATCTGGAGTGCATTGGATTGAAGAGCGTTCCGAAGAGCGCGAAGTGGTATTGTGACGAGTGCAAGGAGGTGTTGGCTAGGAAGGGGAAGGTTGGGAATGGGGGTAATGGAAATGGGAGTGCGAGTGTCAGTGGCAATGGGAACGGGAATGGTAATGGCAATGGGAAGTGAACGTTAGATTGCGGCCAGAGGTTGTGGTTCACGGATACAATTATATAACGAGACAGCGTTATGGCACGAAGGGGGTAATAAGTATTCCTTCGTTTCAGTGGCAGGTTGTCTGGCATCACCAAAACCCTGGACTGCGAATCCAGCTTCATTCGTCATGAGATGTCGATATCGGTATCGGGAGGGCTGGAGTACCGATGAGACTGTGAGTCTGGTGCTGTCTCTGCTTCGCAGTCCCGGCTTCGCAGCCTCCCTCCCTCTGCACCTCAGATTCTGCCTTGGTGACAGCGTGGAGAGAGATTGATTTGTCGATTTTGCTTCCTCTTGGAGACCCATATCACACATGTATAGATGGGTCTGAATCCAAAGCCTTCCATCGTGAAGAATGGTCGTCGGAGGCGATTGCTCAATAGGGGCCTCGCCTGGTCCTCCATCGCTTGCTGCTGGCGGGCAGGATGGTAATGAACAAAGTCGACAGTATTCGTCAACCACTGTTTCTCCCTTATGACACTACGCTCTTGACTAGACGGTAGCCGATATGTTTTTAGGCAGAATAGGCCGTGTCGTCCTATGGCCATCTTTCGTGGATGGCAAGACGAAAGACTTACAATTAGGCTTGAGGAGCATGCCCGTCGCTTGCAATGCGCACCTTTCGTGCTGCGGTTGGCGACTTCCTGTGATGAAGCGAAGGTCCCAGATCCGTGGGAACGGCTGTAAGGCTGAGCATAACACGCATTCGTGCGAGGAAAACGAGTCCAAGCACAGATCCGTCGCGTCTCCGAAGTCGTCGACCGCCTTGCTGAGAGAGGTTGACTGGCAGATCAAGAGCCTTCTCAATCGTCGGTTCATCGTAACCTTTGTCTTCACCCTCAACCTCCACATTGATTTCCTTTTCCGGCAAAATTCCAGTGAGTCTGGAGAAATCGTCCAGCCTCGTCAAAGACCTTCCACTTCGACCTTTTGCCCTCATCGTCCAGGAACGAATCAGGAAACTGGGTCCACCCGTGCACCACACCCTTGACCTCTTCCACGATCAGATCCTCACCTCTCCCTTCATCACGGACCTTCTTGATCCAAACCTGACTCTGGTGGTTCAGGGTGTCGAGCTGCGGGAGCACCAGGAATATCTTGGCCTTGGGGTGCAACCCAGTTTTGGACGCTTCATCTTTAGATTTGATGTCCGCCAGTCCGGGACTTGCCCTTGGGAACCCACTCATAGAGACCGGGAGGTACGTTGGCATCAACTCGGCCTCGATTTTCCACCGCTCCACCCAGCTCTTGGGCGCGTTCACGTTCCACCCGGTTGGTTTGGGTCGTTCGTGCGGCAACAACCGCGTGTCGAGGGACGGGTAGAAAAGCAACACGGGAACCCGGTCCTTGAAGTCCCAGGGCACCGGACTCAGCCAATCCGCCTTGGTCGTGGGGTCATTCTTGACGCTCAAAGCCATGTTAAGCGCGAGATTGCCTCCGGAGCTGAATCCAGAAAAGGCGATTCTCTCTTCGTCCAACGTGATCGGTTTCCGACCCTCCTTCTGCAGGTGTCGATGAATTCCTGCCCGGAGCGCCTCGTATGCGGGTTTGCTGGGATCAAGGACCGCGTGCACCGCGTCTTCGGCATCGTGGTGCGCGGCAGGGAACTGGGCGGCGGGACCGAGGCGATAGTCGACGGAGATGACAACACAGTTCAGTGTCCTGCACATCTTGGCGCAAAAGGGCGCCTGTTCCTGACAGGACCCTAGAACGAAGCCGCCACCATGAAAATCGATCAGGACAGGCAATTTGACGTCGTCATCTTCCGGGTCAGGTTGGAGCACTTCCTTGAGATGTGTGCCCTCTGAGGCTAGCTGGTGGTGGTGCGGGTTGCGGTGCGGAGGGACGAAAACATAGACAGGGATTTTGTGCGAGCCTCGCGATGGTATGTCGAACACTACCGGATGTGGTCCATTAGGCGAAGTGAAGTGCAATACAAAATCAGGCACGAGGCGTGGGAGGCTAACGAGTGTTTTTTTCCAAAATACGCCAAAGTTCTGGGTGGACATGGCGGCGCTGTGCAAAACGAAATGCTTGATGCTAGGTGGACATGCCCGTGATGACAATAGGGTGAGATGCTTCGTCGGCTCAGAGAGTGAGCGCAAGAAATCGGAAACAAGCAAAAGAACAGACGGATGCGAATTTCACGAAACTGGACAATTGTTGTTTAACAGGAGTAATAATAAAGTCGCCCGGAGCATTATATAGACATCCACGTGTACGGAACTATACTGTATACTGTATACTCGTACTATGTTGACGTCACATCGAAGGTCTGAGAATAGGGGTGCGCGAAGCCTTGTCAATGTCAAATGAATGGCCACTACCAAACATTGACACATCGAGCCAATTCCAGAAAGGGTGGCACAGTCTGACAAGGCGTACATCGACGATAGAAGTTCGAAGTCAAGCAAGTTTACTTGACAGCAAGACAAAAGCGCTGTACGATGGAGGACTCTCGTGGAAGAAGCATTGTCAATCGTTCACCTTCATCATGTACATTCCGGACTTATCAGTCCCCAGACACACCACACGCATATATACAAACCATCGCGGTCCAAGTGGCCGGGCCACGATGAAGCGCGTTCTTCAATCTGCAATTGCCAGCATGCTGTAAGCTGGACTGCCGAGTATCAATAAGTCCATCACTCAGTCGACATCATTTAAGTCGAACTGACCAGCCAATACCTTGGGTCGCACTTGCAGAAGAAAAGTGCCCATCGATTTCGACAGCACAATGCCATCCTCCAATGCCATCAATACGTGAACCATTGACGCTCAACGCAGCAAGCAAGCCATATTACCGTGGCTCCAATCCAAAGCACAGCTGCCACCGAATGCAAGTCGTTGTGCGGTATGTCGCACCTGTACGTGCCAATCGTAGTTGCACAATTCCATGTCTTAATCATAAACAGTCGTAAGAAACGTCTCTGTCTTGACTCGCTTGCCAAAAGAGACGCGCTCATAATCTCCCCTGCCAATTATCGGGTATATGGCTGAGTGCTTCCTTGTGATAATCCAGAGAGAACGAAATGCATCTATGCATCTGCGCCGCCTTCCACATCCAAATAACTGCCATCGTCATTATTGGCTTCGAAGCCGTCCGCGTCGACAACGATGCGACGTCCAAGGTTGTGTTCGGGCACACCATCGCGAGCAGCTCCATAATCGAGCACCTAGACAAACGTTAGCTCGTGAGACCTGAATGCAGAATTCTCCAACCCACCTCAATATATGTCAGCCCATCCCGTTGTACAGCAGCCACACAGCGTCGTTCATCGAACTTGACTTGCCACACTCCACTAAGATCCGACAGCAGGTCTTTGATACATTCGCCAGTCTTGATATTCCACAACTTCAGGGTGCGGTCCGAGCCGGAGATGACTTTCTGACCATCGTGTTTAAAACAGGTGATGGCACCAGTATGCGCGCTCAATGTTGCCTTGCACTGTCCATTTTCCGGATCCCAAATCCTCAAGGTCGAATCAGCTGCAGCAGAGACAAGCTTATCGCAATGCAGATCCAACAGACCCACGAGGGAAGTATGTCCTTCCAAGGTGTATTTCAGAGAACCTGTGTGGAGATCCCAAATGCGTACCATGTTATCCATGGAACCGCTTATGCAACGATTGCGGGCATGATCCAACACCACACTGTAAACTTTCTGTGTATGGCCCTGAAGTCGGTGGATCGTTTCGCCAGTGGAAATCTTCCAGACACGCACGGTGCAATCGTAACTACCGCTCACCAAGGTGTCGGCATGCGCAGCTATCGCTCTCACAGAGTGCTGATGCCCAGTCAGTGTTCGCACAAAGTAGGGACAGTCATCCACATCTGTCTCATTTTCGGATTGTATGAAGACAGGATCTTCTGGCTTTGGAAGTTTCCACACGCGGAGCGTCGAATCACGTGAGCCGGTAATGATGAGTGGCTGTTTGGGCATCATGATCGGCTTTCCTTCACCAGTCTCGCCAACCTTGACCGGCATGACGATTTGCAAGCACCGTACGGTCGAAGTGTGTCCGCGGAATACTTGAGTCTCGCGCGCCTCTTCGATATTCCACACACGTACAGATCGGTCGGTCGACCCTGAAACGAGCGTATTGCCCTCATATTGCAGAGCCCAAACCCCGCCTTCATGACCGGTCAAGATCGCCCGCAAGACGCCAGTCCTGGTCTGGTAAACATTGATGTTGTTATCATCACTTCCAGTCGAGATTTTGTCAGTATCAAACTGCAGGCAGGTCACCACGTGCGTATCATGAGCACGGAAGGCAAGGTGCTGCGGCTTTGTGTCTTCAAACATCCAGTTTCTTCGGATGAGGTGATGTCTCCGATACAAAGACTTGTACAGGTGAATGCCTTTCAGACTAGGCAAACCGACATCAGGATGGGGCACCGCCAAAACTGCGGCATTGGCAGCATTATAAGGGCCTTCGGCCGTTGACATGTGGCTCATCCAGTCGAAAGTGACGTCAATCGAATCTTCACGTAAAGAAGAATCCTTGTGTTTGACCTGCTTGTTTCGATTCGACAACATGGTGGCCGCCTTGCGCTTTGATCGACGTAGGATGCCGCTAAACCTATTTTGATAAGGTGGTGTTGAGGGGGACGATGCCTGTGCGTTAGCCTCGGTTTCAGATTTGGAGTTTTGCATGTAACTGAGATTCTGCTCGTAGCCACCAGGGCCATGAGGGTCTTGCCATCCCCACCCTTCGGTGATGGCCCGCTGCAGTTCGCCGTCGGGAAGTGTAAAGCCGTCGGCATCAAAGAGTTCTTTCCATGCCTTCTCGTCGCTATTAATCATCTGCCGCCATTTCTTGGATACCTGTGCTGCCCTGCACAAACTCTTGAGATCAAGGTATTTCAAGATGTTGAGGCTCAATTCAGGTGGAAGTATCGTGAGAAAGTCGCATTTCAGGGCTGGATTGACGGCATCTGCTACCACCTGTAGAGTCGGTTTGGGACATCGACGGAGCAATTGGTGCATCACATAGCTCTTCAACTCGTCAGGAATGGCTTCGAAATAGTCGAGCATTGCCGGTATCTCAGTGATAGAGCCACTGGCGAACCGACCAAGCTGGCGTGTCACATTCTGTGATTGCCAATCCATCACCTGTGAGCGACTGGCGCCGTTGGACACCGGCCTTTCCAGAGCGGCCATGGCGGACGCCATATCGTGCTGGGAAGCGATTTCAGCGTTGGACTCAATATCTGCGAAATAGCCAGACTGTTGCATCGTAGCCGCTGCCGTTACAGGCGACAACGATGGACTAGGTAGTGAGCCATCCAATCCGGAAGGGCTCTCAGCAACGTGCAATCGAGCAGGTATGGAAGATAGCGCTCGTCGACTCGTAGGTCTTGCCAAAGAAGGCGGAGGTCGTTCATCGATCGGAGGGGTAGGAACAGCAGTGTCTTGAGAGGTGCCTCGACATACGTTCCGCCCAAGCACTGAATGGTCAACAGTGAGGGCGGAATCTTCTTCCAGATCCGTCAGAGTCTGTTGACTAGGTTTGGGTGTGATAGCCTGAGGGATGGGAAAAGTGGACTGCTGATCCATATTTGGCGAGGGAAGAAGTGTTGTCGTGTTTCTGGTGTCATTGCCGGCATTCTGAGGACTTCGTCGATGTAGCCTGCCCAAAGGCTTCGGCACACTTTCTGGTGTTATTGGGTTTGAGCCCTGCGCTTCCTGAGCCCGGATAACAGATGGTATAAGAGACCGTTCTCGTCCCCCGGCTGATCGGCCAGGCGGACCACGTCTGCTGGCAGCAAAGGTCGCCCGTTGCAGGTCAGCACGGTCTTCATCCTCAGTTATGGATTCTGGCGAGGCTGGTCTGTTCTGACTGCGTCGATGTAAAGATGCCAGGTCTAGTTCGTCATCTGGAGTCTCTGACCACGGCTGCAATGTCTTGACTGTCCGAACTGTCCCGTTTGCACTCCTCAGGGTCCGCCGTTCTTCCTCCAACTTTTCAAGGGTTAGCACATATCTCTCCACATTATACTGCAAGCCTCGTACCTGTTCCAAGGCCAGTGAGGTGTCCTCCGCTTCGCTGAAGATTGTCTGTCTTCCTCCAATCTCGAAATGTATCTTTCTGAGGCTGACAGGTGTTGGGCTGCCAGCAAGAGGGTACTGCTTCAGGTCCAGCTCTTGCATCTGGCGTGGAGGACGCATCAGGAAGGGCGGAAATTTCGTCGTCGTCGTTGTGGTCGTAGTGACGACGGTAGTCTGCGTGGCAGGGGCGAACGATAACTGTCCCAGCAAGGCATTTCTGTCGATGTCGCGGGGATAACCTGACGTCTCTCTGCTGTGCGGTCTCTCGCCATTCACACTCCCAGACGGCCGGCATCGGCGGTGCTCTTGGAAGCCGGCATCCATTAACTCCTCCTCGTCCATTGTCTCCTTAACTACCGGGCTGTCTTGGTCTCGTATCAGACGCGAGCATCTGGTCGGGATGAGGAGAGTGACGGTTCGAGAAGGCGCGTTATGGCAAGGGATCTTTAGATATTGAAGACTCGCTGCATCAACCCGGGGACAGTATATGGATGCAACACAACAATGTGCAGTTTCGTGCAGAAAACGTTCGTGTCGAGTGATCTTTGGCGAGGCGAGGGTTGCGTCGGTTCGTCTTAACTGGAGTCGTAAATTCAAAAGAACCACGAAGTTGGCTCATCTATGAGTCGTGAGGCCTTGCAGAATGTCGAAACACACACGACGAAATCCAGGCAATCTAGCAGCAGGGAGTTGTTGGGCAAAATGACGCTGCTCGAGCAAAAGAGCGATGGGAAGAGTGGTGTTGGGTACGTTCCGTCCGGCGCTGGCACGAACCCGAAGACTGACTGTCTGTCGAGAGGCAAGGCGGGCTGGCCAGACTTGGCGCCCCGAGGCCCGCCAGTGGCAGTCAGGGTCACTAGGCCTGAACACGCTTTCACGCCTCCGCCTTCGCGCAACAACAGATATTTTCCTCCTTTGCCAGCGCGCCCATCGCCACCCGCCGCGTCAAAGCGTTCCAATTTATACCTAAGTTAACACGACCCCCGTACGATGCGTCTATGCTTTTCCTCTGAAACAATATATGAGTGACAGTCTTCCAGTTCGCCTATATCATGTACCTAACAGCGCTGGTTTGGGTCACGTTGAAACACATCTTCTACCCTTTGTTGTCACCTGGGTTGCCCTGTATTGGTACCAGAAGCCAACATTCATCTACCTTACTACGTACCTCAGTACATACCTACAACAGATCATGTGTTGAAACGGTGGCGGCAGTGCGACTACGATACCTCGCTGGGGAGTTTCCTTACTGCAAGGCTACAGGTACGGTGTTTCCAACGTTATGGACGATGCTGGCTGCTGGAAACTCGCTGCTGTGCTCACAGCCTTGCAATTTTGCCTCGCTATACAGGTTTTGGGCTTAGCCAGTCTTGCTATTGTGCGCAGCTGTTACTTTCCCCTCGATCCTCTGTGCTTAATCGTACCTACATTGTGATCGTGCTTGATTTTCGATGGGAGTCCGAACAATATTGGCCTTGGCTGCGATGATATTGACTACCACTTTCGCTCGATGACTTTTGCTTCCGAATTGTTTCGCACCAATCTTGAGGGCCCTGCTTTGATCCATTCGTTGCCCGCTAGCCCCAACAGCTCAGTGTGATGGCAGAGCACTTCCTCAATCAAAGAACAACCAGTCTGGCGTTGGTCCAAATATTCCTCAATGCCTCCCTGGCCTGCATCACTCATACCCGCGAGCTCATCCCTTGGACGTCTCCGTGCTTCCGAACCCGCTACATTGATCAGATCCAGCCAGCAGCCATCACAGAACAGGAGGACCTGTACACAGCTTTTCAGGGGCTCGATCCAAAGGATGCCAATAAGGGTCAGGAGATCAGGATTCTCATTCGTGGTGGCCATCCAAAAGCTGATCAGCTCCTCGATATGCTGGTGGACATTTCAGTGCTTCGAGATGTTGACCTTCTTGACTGACTGTTATTGCAGGAAGATGGGATCTTCGAAGCTCTGCAATACGGTTATCTAGACACGCTTCAAATCTTTGTCACAAAGGCCGGCGAACCTCTTACCGTTCTCGAAACCTACTCTTTCGTCTTCACATACACGCAAGGTCAAGTCAGTAGCATCGAATTGACTCCGACCAAGCGATCCTTGGTGCTTGAAGACTTTCAGAAAAGCTTCAAGGCAGTCATACGTACTCTACTTCGTTCATTGAAAGATCTGCCGCGCCTTCCTGGTTTGTTCTTGAAATATCACCTTCGAGACTTGACTGACTCGTAGTAGCGCGCCGCAGGTTAGGTATGAGCCTTGTTTACAACAATGAGTGCCCGGTAGGCTACCAACCACAAGGATTTGTCGACCAAGGAGACCTTGCAGACATGCATGGTGAGAAAATATGCGACATATTGTGGACAGATAAAGGAGAAGAGGTCGGAAGGCTTGATGCTGGGAAGCATGAAGTCGCTGTCTGCGTCCGCTCTCTCCATCGCGAAGAAGATGCTGCACCAGTCGACCCAGGGGACACGACCATGAGCAAGCAACTACAGGCCATGCAAAAGACATCTTCTCAGCGCAGCAACAATCTCGTCTCCACCTTGCAGGATCCAGTTTCTCGACCAAAACGATGGAACGATATGCCTGCTCCGAAAGCGAAACGACTAAAGATGGCGGGCGCTCAAAAGTTGCAGGTCAGCAGCAAGACGCACTTGCGGAACATGGATGACCTTGAGCGTCATCCCAGACAGAACACAATTCAGAAGGCGAGTCCTTTACCGATTCAGGAATCGGTGCTACCAGAGGAAGAGACACCCATCAGAGGCTATCCAGCTTTGGCTGCTACCGATGCATGCACTCCATGGGATGATTCTGACAACATGGACATGGCGACAGCAAAACCATCACTTCCAGACTCGTCTCCTGTAACACCTAAAGTTCGCCGCAAGATTAGCATCTCCCGAATGCTTATTAATATCGACCGGTCCCCTTCCGTTGCGAGCATGAGCATGGAGGGATCGTGCCGAGTAGAAACTGACATGGGCTACGCCAGCGATTGTACGGCTCCATCGACAGTCGTTGCCGAATGAGGTCAAGTAACTTGATATAGGAGAGCTCGCCGAGAGTCTGAACGCAAGGGTCTGCACGTGTGCTGATCGGTGCCTGGACGACAAAGACGTGCTTAGTAGGATGAAACGAGATACACTCCTTATGAAGTGTCGATCATGAAGAAACCCAGATCGTCACACAGAGGAAGTATAAGAGGTAACCACCTACTCGTAGTAACTTAGTGATATCAGCGTGGTCCTGACTTTACTAGACTCATCATAAACATGCTCCTAACTTTTTCCATCTGACCTCGTTGATCCACTGACAACATTGTCGCCAAGGTGCAATGACGGTCTGCAGTCGTCGCGATCTATCGAGGTGCTCTCTTAGCAGACACCGCTCTCCCGAAGGTCAGGTACCGAAAAGCGTACGATTAGTCTCACATGGTACAAGCCGACTATGCATTGGGCTCTGTGGGGTTCCTTCTTGCAGCAATCCGCAGGGCATTCTTTGTTGGTGATGATCGACGACTCGTAACGAACGGCAAACTCAACACGGCGAACCATCGTTTCTCATGCGGATGCCTAAGGTTGAACTAAGTAAACGGCTCTTGTAAACTCATCTTGCCCAGCTTTGGAGGAATCTATTCTATCCAAGGTCGGGCAGAGATTGGCGGCCTGGCGCCCCGGTAGGCGGCGCTAAAGACCATACTCCCCATAAATTTGGCGCCGCCCCCTGGACCGCTGGATTGAAATCATGCAGGAAAACGGAGAGTCTAGTAAGCCTCAGGTTCATCAATCCTTTGTGCTAGCACTGCTAGCCACTCACCGCTCGCGAAAATGCCTTGGAAGTTAGCGCCAGCCCTCCGGAGGATTGTGGTTGTCAGGTGCCGAAACCCCTGAACTTGGTAGCCGTCTGCAACGGGAGATCCCATGGAGGGGCGTCGTGCTGGGAGTCTGCCACTGGATGGCCAATATACAAGCAAGCCTCGCAATACGAGGTGTACAGGATACGAAGCTGAAAGCGTACCTTTGATGGCTCTAGAGTGGGAGAAAAAGGAAAGCCACCACCGTCCACAATGCAACATGAGAGGTGTCGGCTGATGAATCTCTTTCACCATCCGACAACACCATGGATCGTCGCTAGCTGGGGTTGTTTAGGTCCAGAAAGTCCCCAACTAGCTCTTGGTATCCGTTTTCCCTCTTCAAATCGTCATCATGGGCCAAAGGTGCCGTGGTTCCACCGCCCTATACCTCCAGTCCTGTCTTGGAAGTCCTCAGTGCTCATCAATGTTATAGTAGATATCCGCCCACATCGCTAGAGCACGGAATGTGATTAGGACCTCCTCTGTGCCTTTCAAACCTCTCCTCCCTCTTTTCCCCGTGAACCTCCTTCAGCCAGACTCCCTCGACGTTCACAAGGATATCGACCGCCTTTTGCGTTTGCGACACTACTGTTACAGGTTCAAGGCTGAGGCACTTCAATCGCGCCATCCCCACACAGACCGCCCAAACCTTCCCAGACCAGCAACCAGAGAGCGAACTGCGGGACTTCTGCAGCAGACTCCAAAAAGACGGTGTCGAAACAAACAGGAAATACGACAGGCGATAAGAGATGGTTTGCTGAGTTGGGCAGGACATAGCCTCATCGCCAAACCTGTCTTTCCATGTACACTTAGGAAGGGCTCTCCTCTCCTCATACCAGGCGAGCAAGTCATCATGGGTGGCGGGCAAAGATTTCAGGTTCTGGGCTCATTGAGAAGGGGCAAATCCACTGCACAGAAGCAGGAACGGAAACCGGACGGAAAGGAAAACAAAGCACAACATATACTGGGTCTCAGCGAAGCGGCACTCGACACAGCGCGCGCTCAGAGCATCAGCTCTTCGAATACGGCAGGAGTTCCAGCGTTGTCGCTCTCAGATGCCACGACCGAATTCGGCTCGTCCACGGCCTCTACAGAACGCCCTGAAACGACCCCAGAGCTCAAGCTGAAAGCATCATCTGTGTTGTTGCATGAAGAATTCTGCAATAACGCAGAAACCGGAAACCTCGCTTTCTCACGGCGGCTAACACCCCACGGGTCGTCTTCCACACTGAACTCTCATTACGATGCCCAGACACTGCCCTCGTCCATTTCACAGCAAACATCTGAATCATCCAGGAGAGACTTCGCCCTCCGCAAAGGCTCACCACATGTGATCAATTCCACCACGCCAAATAAAGATTCACAACGGCAAACGCGACTCCTCAAAAAGCCTAAGAAAGCCTCAAAGACGGAGGAGAACAAGCCATCAAAGCTGAGCCTTCGCTCACCTGATTCTCCTGCACGATCTATATTCGGTAACCAGCGATCCACCGCGTTCTCAGAGGTTGGTTGGAAGTCAACACCAGCGCTATCCACACAGGTGTCACTCTCTAAGGATGAACGCCAGCACGAAAACCCCCCTCGATCTAGCCATGCGATGACCTCCACCACCAATAGCCCTCATAAGCCCACAACATCCGCAAAGCGGATAAAGTCCCAAGCTGACACATCTCACATTAAAGTCAATGTTCGACGGCCCAAGGTCGGAGTAAAACATTGGTTCGACGGATTCGAGTGCGATAGCAGCGAAGACGAGGCCATCGACGAGCCTGAACTAGATGAAAGTTTTGTCACTGGAATGGAGGCTGCTTTCGAGAACGGCAAGATAGGGCTGCTGTCAAAGGCATGTGATGCTGACGAAACCTATACCCCAAAAGGCTTGAATGGAGACTCTGAGCGAGATCTTCCCAAGGTGTCGCGTCCGGCTTCCAAAAAGCCAATGCTGGCACCCGATGCTATTCCACCACGTGTTTCGACATTAAATGCCAAATCTTCCAAATCGACGCTCTCACAACCGAACCCGCAGCATCTTTCTACAACTTCGACGAAAGCCAAGGCCAATTCTCTGGCTGCGAATGACTTACACCATACGAGTGTCCTTGACCTTTCATCTTCGGATGACGATGAACCCGACCAACCTGAAGCAGAAACAAGTCAGGAGACTTTGCCTCAGCTGCGAGATAGCATCGCGGTCGAGTCTCTGATCGACTCGGACATCGTCATTGGAACGGCGAAAACTGTCGACACGAAACAAAATGCATCCATACAAGCCACTCCGAGTTTGAAACGCGTCCGCCACAATCACCCTAGAACAGCTCCGAGACCGTCCATCGAACGTCCTCATGAGAGAGGACCTCATGACCGGGCCACGTATCTTAGCGATCAGTCGTCAGAGACAACCCCAGAAGAAGCTGATCTGCTTACATCATTTCCTCCAACCCCTACGGACATGCCGTCATCAGCACGTACCTCGATTCTAGGCTCCCGCTTCTCGGACAACCTAAGCATAGAGAGCACGAGGCTAGTCAGCGTCACCAAACACGAAGAATCGTTGTTGACGGCAATGAGACTGAGGAAGGCATTGAATCAAGTCAACGGAAGCAGGATTGACCCACGGATGCAAGCACTCAGAGGCTCGGGGAAGGATCCCACAAAACAAACACGGCAACCACAAGAGTCGTGCGTCGTGCCCAAAGAGGCAATGCACCCGCGAACGCGCAGTCCAGACATGAGGGGACATATTTACGCGGACGTTGTGTCGGACGGATCTTCTATCACAACATTTCAGACCAACAGATCAATCGAACAGAGCACCAGCTTTTCTTTCGCAAGTTTTCGATCTGACAGTTCAGTGGCTCTTGAAGACAGCCTCTTTCTTAAGGTCTCACCGAACCTTCTGGCGACCGCAAATGGTACCAGTCGCCTAAGCCGGGCAACATTTCTCTCCACGTCAACAGACAATTCGAGGGAGGCATCGCGCACCCGGCGAGAAAAGAATTATAGGAGGACGCTTGAGAAGCTGTCCTCCGTACCGGATCGGGACGACATTTCTTCACAAGACTTCATTGATTGGCCATATCACGGGTGGGAGGCCAGGACGGCGCTCACAGCGGCCCATTGATCATCATCAATTTGTATTTGTTCCTTTTGTTCACCGATTGACCGGCTCCTGGAGTGAGAGAGCCGAGAACAGGCCGGCACGTTTCCTGACTGTACTATAATATATTTTTCTTCATACTGATGAGTGACGACGAGGAGGTTGGATTCCAGTGACTGGATCGGTTGATGCACGATAGTGGTTTGTGGGACTGGGGCCCAATGACTGACTAATGACCGGTGCTAGACCTCGATGTCAGTGCATCTCTTACAGGTCTTTGCTGGATTTGATGACGATGCTGGCTTATTACATAGTAATTATACGCAACGTCCCCAGTAGGTTGGGTACTCCGAAATCGTGGAAGTCGACACCCTTCTTTGCCGTAAGCACATTTATGTTCCAATCTTCTTTGGCACTCGTCGTCATGGCCTGCAGGATGATTTGGGTAGACAAGTTGCGGGTACAAACTCCTTTGGGAGTTCCCAGCGCCCGAGGCGGCAAATCCAGCGCCCACAGTTAGTTTTAAGTAGGTATGGTGTGTTGGGTCATGACGCAGGCAGGTATTGAATCGGACAAGTTCTCCCAGAAAAATGCCTTGAACGGAGATGCTTTTTGGAACAACACCCAATGGACGCGCCAGGCACAAAGTCCACCCTTCGCCAATCGTTTCCTGTATTTTGTGTTCGTTATTCGAGAATCAGTCATTCATTCACTCGTCGTTCCGCGGTGTCGGGTGACCTTTTGATCATTTCTACACTACTGCTATCCTTGTTTTATGGTTCAACGTGTCGAAGGACACCTGCAGCTGGCAACTCCTCACACAAAGAACTGTCCACTCCTTAGGTCGACCGCCCTGTGTTTTGTAGCGACCAAGCGCACTCTGCCTGGCGCAGAGCGAGCCTCCAAGAAATTCGACGACAAGATCCTTTCCAAGTCCGCGGTCGATATTTTAGGTTACATACAGTGTTTTCACCGCCGACATGGGATTAGACCGCATGGGCGGTTCGCCCAGGATCTTGGGAGCGTCGTTACGGAGTATTTGTTTGAGCACTGTAAGCAGCTAAGATTTTACGAGTTTCTGAGTAGCACTGACAATGATCGCAGTTGACTGTTCAGTTTTCTGCATTCATATTGGTACGCTATGACCGCGACATGATCTCTCAAAATGCTCCAGACTAACCCTCAGCTCAGCTGCTCCATTATTCTCGGGTTATGCCCACCCCGGACGGACACCGCTACCTTCCCTCGACCGCCGTTTTCCTGGTCGAAGTTCTCAAACTGGTAGTATGCCTCACGATCGCCCTCTACGAAATCTCCCTATCCTTACCGCAATCTACGACCGCGACGGTCCTGCTGGGCGCGTTGAGCAACGCCATCTTTGGAGGCGATTCATGGAAGATTGCGATTCCGGCATGCCTTTGGACATTGGCAAACAGCCTGCAATACGTTGCGATATCCAACCTTGATGCGGCGACGTTCCATGTGACATACCAATTCAAAATCCTCGTGACGGCGGTCCTGAGTGTTCTGATCCTGCGAAGGTCGATTTCGGTTAGACAATGGATCTCCCTCGTCTTCCTCATGGTAGGAGTCGTGATCGTTTCATGGCCGCACGAAGCCTCGCCAGCACTCGCGTCAAGCCATCATGCACGAATCTACGTGTCGAGGTCTACTAATCCCTTGCGAGAACACTTCAAATTGAGTGGAGCTGGTTCTCGCCTTGCGAAAAGATCAGCCACCTACGAAGGCATTGAAGAGGACGAATTGGCTCTGGACACACCTGGCATGGATGCTTCGGCAGGACTTCTCGCGGTAGTTGGTGTCTGCGTCGCCTCCGGTCTTGCTGGCGTCTACTTTGAGAAGGTCATTAAGGAGTCTCCCAAAGCTACGTCCATGTGGATTCGTAATGTCCAGCTGTCGATCTATTCACTTTTCCCGGCGTTCTTCGTTGGGATTATCTTCCTGGACGGCGAGACAGTGGCCAAGTATGGCTTCTTTGCAGGTTACAATTCAGTTGTTGTCGCGTCCATCCTCGTGCAAACAGTCGGCGCTGTTGTTGCAGCTTTTGCAATCTATTATGCGGACAACATCTCCAAGAACTTTGCCTTGAGTATAAGCATGGTACTCAGCAGCTTGGCGAGCTTTGTATTCTTTGACTACACTTTGACTGCTCATGTACTTGGCCCCTCCCTGTGCCCCTGAGAGTTCTGCTAATGTTTTTATAGTTTCTCCTTGGTGCGTCCATTGTGCTTGCCAGCACGTTCCTGTACAACGCCGAAGCATCTCGGGTACAAAGAGCGCCAGCAATCAGGATATACAGTGACGAGAAGTCGTCCCTCGACACTGTGGCAGACATGCATGACATGTCAATACAAATCCCCAAGACTCCATTGAGTCATGAACATACCGCACTGGCGACATCACGGCCCGGGTCACCCAATCACAAGAAGCGGAAGAATGAATCGATGGGTTATTTTATGAAAAATGACGATTGAAATGATATGAATGTCAGGACGATGGGTCTACGATTGGAAAAGCAAAGCACTCTGGATACACTACACGTGCTCGGGAAGCAGAATGCTTATGATGGATGTAATAATACTCAGCAGGCTTTCCACAGATTTGTACTAGGTCATCGCTGGAGTACAAGACACGAGAATGTATCAATAGGTGAGAGATGGTCACGTGCTGCAGTGGTATGTCCTTCGCACCTTCCTCTGAAGACTTATGCATCTCGCCCACCTGCATCCCCCATCTCGGCCTGGATGACAATACTTCTTTTCTGCTTGACAACCTTCTGTGCTACACTGGTCGGCATCCACACTTGCACAGCCTGTCCATCCTGGCAGCCCACATACTGCGTCATGGATCCCACCAAACGCATTCTCCCCAATTTCAGATCTGATTCTATAGCTGGTTCGGGCACAATGCCTCCGATCCAGCGGCCGGAACTCAGATCACGGACCTCTTATACTGCCGCTGAGCGGTACTTCTCTCAGACTCTTCCGCAAGCACGCTCAGCACGAACCCTGCTCAATCAGCCATTCCGTGATGAAGCCGACAATGATCTAGACGAGTTCGGTGAGACTTGCTACCACGACCTGCCGTGTCCGCTCTCACATCTAAGCAGACAGACGGCTCCTTGCAGAGGGTACACAAACCTACAGCTTCCATCCTTCTCAAGTCTCCGCACGAACGGCTCTATCAAAACCGCCACAAACACCAGTCATGAGCAACACAGACGCCTCGGCAACATCATCATTCGGTAAGCTTCTACAATCAAGAGTGATAGCATCTTACAGGTGTTGAAGGTGGCCGGCGTAACACTCTGACACTACAACCTCCTACCTCCTCACCAGGTCAGCCGATGACAAGCCCTACCACACACGTCCTCGGTAACCGCCAGAAAAGCAAGAACAACCCACCAAGAGGCTTGAATCTCCTACTGGAGCAACCTTATACAAGCCACGAACAGAGATCAAAGGTTGACCACCCAGAACACCGTCCACTTTCGACTAATATGTCTGGTCACCCCTTGCCCATTGTACAAGGGATACAGCTGGTGCCCTCTACAGCACTACCTGACCAGCTTCGCTCGGTCTTCAAGTTTGAGATATTCAATGCGGTTCAGTCCAAGTGCTTTGCTCACGCTTTCAAAACCGATGACAATCTTGTTGTCTCTGCCCCGACAGGGAGCGGCAAGACGGTCATTATGGAACTCGCAATATGTAGAATCATGGGCGAATCGCGTGGCACTGACTTCAAAGTGGTCTACCAAGCGCCTACAAAATCGCTATGCTCTGAAAGATTTGCGGACTGGCAAACGAAGTTTGGTGCTCTCAATTTGCAGTGTGCTGAACTCACTGGTGACACCGAGCAGAAAGATTTGCGGAACGTTCAAAGTGCCAACATCATCATAACAACACCGGAGAAGTGGGACAGTGTCACTCGAAAGTGGAAAGATCACGCAAAGCTCATACAACTTGTCAAGCTCTTCCTTGTGGATGAAGTGCACATTCTGAAAGAGTGGCGAGGTGCAACGTTGGAAGCAGTTGTGTCACGGATGAAGTCCGTCGCATCTAGTGTTAGATTCGTAGCGTTGTCTGCTACGGTACCAAATTCAGAAGACATCGCTGCCTGGTTGGGAAGAAATTCCACTTCCCCCCATTTACCAGCCATCAGGGAGGTTTTTGGGGAGACCTTCCGACCAGTCGAACTTAAGAAACATGTCTACGGGTTTGAGGCAAGAGGCAATGACTTTGTGTTCGACTCGACGTTGACGCAGCGGCTGCCCGAGATCATTTCACAACATGGACGTGGCAAGCCTGTGATGATTTTCTGTTCAACTCGGAAATCATCCATCGCCACCGCGAAGGCGCTGGCAGAAACATGGTCAAAATCGAACCCAGCACATCGTCTCTGGAAGGGCCCGAGCCGACCGGTGTCTTTGACGTGCTCGGAGTTGAGAGTCACATCTCTTGCCGGGGTGGGTTTCCATCATGCCGGTGTAGATCCGGTCGATCGACGAGCCGTTGAGCAAGCATTTCTTCATGGACAAATAAATGTCATCTGCAGCACTTCTACGCTGGCCGTTGGCGTCAATCTACCATGTTATTTGGTGATCCTGAAAGGAACTACCGCATGGACAGCCAATGGCTTCCAGGAATACGCCGACTTGGAAGTCATGCAAATGCTTGGGAGAGCAGGGCGGCCTCAATTTGAGACGTCTGCATGTGCAGTCATCCTCACGAGGAAAGAAAAGGTGACTCGCTACCAAAAGATGGTGACAGGAGAAGAAGTCTTGGAAAGTTGTCTGCATCAAAACTTGATTGAGCATCTCAATGCTGAAATCGGCCTGGGTACGGTATACGACCTGCTCACAGCAAAGCAATGGCTTGGGAGTACCTTTTTGTCTGTGCGCCTGAGGCAGAACCCTGCTCACTATCAACTCAAAGAGGTGGTTGATACTCCTGGTGATGACGACCTCCTGGATCAGCTATGCCGAAAGGATGTAGCATTACTTACCGAAGCGGGCCTTGTCAACAAGGAACCTCGCTTGACGCTGACGGAGTTCGGAGACGCCATGGCACGATACTATGTCAATTTCGACACCATGAAATCTTTCGTCGGGTTACCTCCTAGAGCCAAGATGTCAGAAATTGTATTTCTACCTTTCTTCTACAGGCAACAGAAGCTGACTGGTCTTCTAGTTGACGGTGCTAGCTGGGGCGAAAGAGTTCCGAGAGGTGCGATTGCTGGCGAGCGAAAAGTCCTTCTACAGGGAGATCAACAAAGCCCCTGAAATAAAGTTCCCCATCAAAGTCGATATTGCCCTTCAGGAGCACAAGATTTTACTGCTCATTCAAGCAAAATTGGGCAATGTCGCAATTCCCGATGCTGAGAACTACAGAAAGCATCATCAACAGCACCGTCTTGATAAAGTCACAGTCTTCATTCATGCGAGCCGTTTGATACGATGCATAATTGACTGTCAGATCTATCGGAAGGACGCCGTCTCGGTCAGAAATGCTCTTGAGCTAAGCCGGAGTCTTGCGGCCCATGTATGGGACAACACTGCAAGCCAACTGAGGCAAGTTGAAGGGCTCGGTGAGGTTGCAGTTCGGAAGCTTGCATCAGCCTCAATCAACAGCATTGACACACTCATCAATACCGAAGCTTCTCGAATTGAACTGATACTGGGGAAGAATCCACCGTATGGTCAGACTCTGCTGAAGAAACTCGAAAGCTTCCCTGACTTGCGGGTGTCAATCAAGGAGACCGGCAGAAAATTGAAGAGTGGCCATGGAGCAACAATCAACGTCGTTGCGCAAGTCGGCTTCCTCAATAACACTGCGCCACTGGTCTACAATCGTAGGATGATCTACGTCTGTTTCATCGCAGAGACGTCTGATGGTGAATTGGTCGACTTCCGGAGATGCAATGCAAAAACGCTGCAGCGAGGCGAAGAGTTTTTCCTCTCTGTGCAGCTTACAAAACCCACTAATCACATAAAGTGCTATGTGATGTGTGATGAGGTTGCAGGAACATGCAAGTATGCTGAGTTATACTTGATCAATATTCCCAGTTCGGTGTATCCCAGGCAACCGGATGTACAGGTTACTCACAAGGCTGTTTCCTTAGAGAATGGCAGGAACCCGCCACCCGTTCCATCGCAAAATGACGAGGAATTCGACGACGGCGGGATTGATGACCAAGATCTCCTGTTCATTGATGCAAAGGATTCCAAGATTGGGGTGATCGAGGATATCGATGACATACTTGACCGCGGAGCCGAGACGAAGCACCGCAAGACTTCGGATGGATGTGCGAGGGTCAGGGTCCAAGCAAAGTATGAGCCGGACGATGACACCGATGTGTCAACCTATAAAGAACCAATGCGACTCCCCAACGGACGGTGGACATGCCAGCACGATTGCAACGAGCGGAACAAGAGTTGCAAGCACAAGTGTTGCAAGGAGGGGGTTGTCAGACCCAAACGCCGTCCGAAGGAAGAACCGAAGATCAGGCATGGAGACAAAGCACAAACCAAGATTACCAGCTTGTCAAGCACCAAGCAAAAGAGCGACTCGTCAACCCAGGAGGCTTTGCAAGCAGGTATGGCGGACGACCTCGCCGAGAAGCGCAATCATGGCATAAGAAGGGTCCGGAAGGCCTCGACTAGTCATCCTGCAGCCAAGAGGCCGAAAACGTCGACAGCTCAGGATCCAATGGACCTTGACCCGGAACTCAGCCTCGAGGGGGCCAAGTCTGGAGCAGAGACGAGACTCCCTGCGAGGGAAGATGAAGATCCGAGCCTGGACAACAAGAAGAAGTTCAAAAAGTCTACTGGAAATCTTGACGACCCTCTCTTCCACTTCTCGGACGACTCGATGGACGACTGTGACTGTGATAAGGTCCCGCCAGGCATCAGCACGCACGCGGAGGGTGTAGGTTTTGACGTACCGGAGCCCACTGACGCAAAGTTATGTCCGATAGACGATATACCGGATGGTTTCCTGATGTCTCAAGTCGACTTCGGCGGATTCGAACCACCACTTGAGCACGTTGCTCTGTCAGATGTCCAGATGTCTGGTGAAAGCTTGTTCATCACAGGCAACACGTCCAGTCCAATCAAAGACCACTCTCATGAAGAGCCAGCTCTCGAAGCAGAGGAGGCTTTCCTCGAAACTTTGGTAGACTTCAGCGAATGTTTGACGGAAGAGGTTGAGACCAACGGATCGATCACTCAGACTGCTGCCGCGATGGACAGCAGTGAGACCTCTCCCGCGGTCACTACTCCGGAAGACTCAACATGGCAAGATGACAGTGGTCCCGCTGGAGAGCTCGTGTCTAGCGTATCCCTAGACGAAACCGAAGAAGAGAGACGGAAACGGTTGTACGAAGAAGACCAGAAGAAGAAGTGGGAAGGCATTGATCAATGGCTGTATGATGAGTTTCACGACTATGTTGAGATCATCTAAGATGACCAAGAGCTCGGCTGATGGAAGACGATGAGATGTGGTTGCGAGGAGGTCACTCAAGCTGGACCAGTCAGCTGTTATGGGTAGAAAAGAATGGGAGACGAGCTCGCATAAGAGTGCTCGCAGTCAGTTCTAGAGAAGATGATTTGATATGGTGAATGCGCTTCTACAACGAGTCGCACTTCGCCTTTGCGGTCATTCTATATTTTGTGTCAGATCAACTGTGCATCGTGGTGACTTGCAGTGAAGCCGCAGTGGCAGAAAGCATCAGATATCTGGGAACACCCTCCCATAGCAATGATGATGAAAGCAGGTTTGGTGTCGAGACAATGTCAAGTGGCGACTTAGTACATGGAAAACTTCGAGGAGATATGGACTTTTTGAGATGCCGAAACAATCCCGGCTCCACGGCCAGGTTATGTAATATGTACGGCCAGGGGTCGGGTAACTTCCTTATCCGGCGGAGTGCATATCCGGGCGGCACCAACGTCACCGGGAATAGTTGAAGAAAGCGCTTTCAAGCCTTCAAACCCTGAAGATCTGGTCGCTGTTTGTCATGAACCAGAAGATATCGTGTACGAGATGATAACGAGCCTCCAAGGAAACGAATGCACACGGTCTGTCACGTCCAAAGTAGCCACAAAACGGGCTGGCCTGTAGGAGATTGGCTTTGTACTATGCTCGCTTCTCTCGCTTGTCTCGAATCTCGCCTTATCATGTTGTCCCGGGGTTTGCTTCCTCTGCGCAGCACCTCAAGCCACGAGCGAAATTGCCCTCAATATGGCGATTGCTCCGTGACAAATGCATGTGTCACAAATCAAGCCTATGCAGGCAGATCGAAGACGTTGTTATGTGGATCCGAGATGCGAAAAAATGCATTGTTCCCCAGAGTTTACGTGGGTCGTGCTCGGATTTTTTCTACTCGAAGACTTGCCGAAGCATACTGCGCGCTTCCCCTTGACTTCAGCATGATGTCAGTCAATGGCACAAACCAGAATGCTGATGAAAGCAGAAGAAAAAGATTCCGGCTGTTCAGGGTTTGTTATGGATCTGCCTGTTACTAATGTTGTTTTCTTTGGTCTGTAGAGAGACTTTGTATAAATACTCGGAACACCCTGACCTTTGAGGCTGCTCCGGTTTCCATTATTCACAAGACCACGAATAAGACAGACCAAACAGCAAGACTTGCTCCATATACCACAACTCCATACCTACACTCAACACGTTTGCAAAGATGGTTGACTTCAAAGTATTCAAGGGCTCCAAGGGGAGCAAGATCGTGGAAGGAACGTCGCATAGGGAAGTCGGTCCCAAAGAAGTCCTGGTCAAGGTCACGCACAGCGGCCTCTGCGGTACCGACATTCATTATAAGGGCGCCGATATGGTTCTGGGCCACGAAGGCGTTGGCATCGTCGAGGAAGTCGGCAGCAATGTAACCATGTTCAAGAAGGGCGATCGAGCAGGCTGGGGTTACGAGCACGACGCTTGCGGTCACTGCAAGCAATGCCTTCGCGGCACCGAGACCTTGTGCCCACAGCGCAAAATGTACGGCGACGCCGATCTGGACCAAGGTTCCATGGGAGCGTACGCGGTGTGGAAGGAAGACTTTCTATTCCAGGTCCCCGAAGGCATGAAGTCGGAAGATGCCGCCCCATTGATGTGCGGAGGAGCCACGGTGTTCAACTCAATGCAGCAGTACAATATCAGAAGCACCGACCGTGTGGGCATTATCGGGGTTGGCGGTCTCGGACACCTTGCTATTCAATTTGCTTCGCGCATGGGTTGTCAGGTCGTGGTGTTTTCGGGCACGGAAAGCAAGAAGGACGAGGCCATGAAGCTGGGCGCCACCGAGTTCTATGCCACCAAGGGTGTCAGCGAACTTGAGGTCCCGGAGCCTATCGACCACTTGCTGGTTACTACTGCACAACAACCGGACTGGAACATGTATCTCCGCATCATGGCGGCTGGGGGCACCATTTTCCCTCTGACTGTCAGCATGGAGGATCTAAAGATGCCTTACATGCCTATCATTCTGAAGGAACTGAAAGTGCAGGGTAGCTTGGTGGCGGCCAGACAGATTCACAGGGAGATGTTGGAGTTTGCGGCCAAGCATGATATTAGGCCCATCATCCAGACGTTCCCTATGACTTTGGACGGAATCAACAAGGCCTTTGAAACGCTAGAGAACGGACAGATGAGATATCGTGGTGTGTTGGTCGCATAATCATGGGGTTTGCAGCGAGATCTTGTAAAAGTACTTTGAGCGCAGTCATTTTTACCTGGGAGGGAATACTCATGCTAGACTTCTGAAGACATATAATACCTGATTTTATCGGTTCATTCACGCCCACTCTAGGCTGTCCTATAACTCACATTGTAAACATAGTAGCAGCCATGCACGTCAAGCCACGGAGAGACGCGGGCATGACGCGTCAACTGTATGTGGTGATTGAGTGAGTGGCTTAGCCAGAAAAGCGAGATTTGAAGTTGTACCAAGTACATCTGCGTTGAAGGTCATCCTCAAAACACCATTGGATTCAACACAGTTGCAGTGTGGTGCGGACCGTGCGTCTCAATGTGACACTCATTGACAAAAGGAACGGCAATTGTCGTGTGATCGAAGTCGCTTGTCCAAGCTTCTCGATATCTTTTGATGGCATTTTGATGGATGATCAGGATAAGGACCTTGGAAGCCAAGCGTCACTAGCCCAATTTGTCGGAACAGCGTTATTCCGCCCCCAATTCTGCCCGAAATCGCAGGTCTCCCGATTCCTTGTTTCTTCGCTTGCGCTATCTCATTCAGGTCGTTCTCTACAAGAAAGGTCTGACCACTGTCCTCGAGGGCTGGCTCTGGCCAGACGTACATCGGCGACAATGCTGCTGAAGCCCAAGCAGGAGGTGGGCGACAGTCAATCCAATGCTGATGTACGTGGCCTTCGCAAGATTCGAGCTCAGAGCCCTTGGACATGGCGGCCATTGACGCTCATTACCACGGCCCTCGCGCTCCTGTCGCTCTCTATCATTGTTAGGTCCTCCCTCAAGCTCCAACTCGACCCTCAAGGGTGTGTCATGTCCATGATGACGCCGACATACATCAAGCTGTCCGGCTTCGATACCGAACACTCCCGCTTTGCAACAAAATATTCATTATATCTGTATCGGGAAGAGGGGGTCGACGAATATACACAAGATAACATCGGTTTGAGGGGAGCCCCGGTACTCTTCATACCGGGCAATGCTGGGAGCTACAAGCAAGTCCGTTCGCTATCTTCCGAAGCGTCCCGCTACTATCACAACGTGCTGCGGCATGATGCAAACACCATGAAAGAGGGCGTCCGGGCCTTTGACTTTTTCACAATCGACTTCAACGAGGACCTCTCTGCGTTCCATGGGCAGACACTTTTGGATCAGGCCGAGTATGTCAACGAAGCCGTCGCCTACATACTCTCATTGTATCATGACGGTAACCGGCTACGCCGTGATCCGCAGTTGCCAGATCCAAGCTCCGTCATACTCATAGGTCATTCGATGGGTGGAATAGTGGCGCGTACAGTCCTTGTCACGCCGAAATACCAGGCGAACTCGGTCAACACGATCATCACCATGTCGACTCCCCATGCGCGACCACCAGTCACCTTCGATGCAGATGTTGTATCTCTGTATCAGCAGGTCAATCAGTACTGGCGAGAGTCTTATCTCCAGAGATGGGCCAGTAACAATCCTCTCTGGCATACAACGTTGATATCTATTGCCGGAGGAGGACGAGACACTACAGTTCCGTCGGACTATACCAACATTGCGTCTCTTGTTCCAGAAAGCCACGGTTTCACTGTCTTCACGTCGAGCATACCCAATGTCTGGACTTCTATGGACCATCTAGCCATCACATGGGCGGATCAAGTGAGGAAGGTCATCATACGCTCACTGTACGATGTTGTGGACGTCCGTCGGGCTGGTCAGACAAAGCCACGTGCCGAACGAATGAAAGCCTTCAGGAAATGGTTTCTCACGGGCCTAGAAGAGGAAACACCGAAGACTATTCGAGAAACAACACACGAAGTCCTGCTTACTTTAGGTGATCAGTCCAGGTCATCGGTGGCTAAAGACAACAATGTCACCTTCCGGCAACTCGGAGCACAGGACCAGCAATCCGCCGTTCTGCTGCCTATTCCTGTGGTCGACAACTCTACCTCGAAACGCTTCTCGTTCTTGACAGATCAACGGATGGATGCACAGGGTAGCTTTGACAAGATGGAGGTCTTGTTCTGCAGCGCTTTTCCACTTGCAGGAGGCCTGACATCCATGCCACTGCCGGTCCAATTTGACTTCTCCCATGGGGATGCCAGTGCAACACGACTGGCTTGCAAAAGACCAGCTGGTGATGGTATCCTGCTCCCAGCATCGACCAGGAGCTCGCAGAATGCCTTCGATACACAACAGCAACAACCTTTCACCTATCTGAATTACGACCTGAGAGATCTCCAGGACTACCAATTTGTCGCCATTGTTGACAAGTCAACAGAGATCAGCAACGGCTGGGCATATGCAGAAATCGTGTCAAACGCCGACTCTGTCATCGATGCGAGCGTCGGCCTTCCGAGGCTTTTGCTTCGCGGCTTGAACGTCGAACTCCCACCTACGCGTCCTGTGGTGACAGATATTCGTGTGCCCTCACTACGATCGAGCTTATTGACCTATTCGCTCCAAGTTCGTCAGCACGGCTGTGGTGCAGACTCCGAGCTGTTTACGCCACTGGTGAGGCAACACATCGAAAATCCGCATGAGTCGAAGTTCTTCGTCAACTTCAAACAAGGAGACGTCAACCTCCACGGTGTGGCCCCGTTCATGCCACCTACATTGGATGGGCGTGAGCCTAAATCTGGCGTTGCTTTCCAGATCTGGTCAGATCCTACCTGCAATTCTTCCTTGGAAGTTCGCCTGCGAGCAGATCCAGTGGGCAGCTTGGGCAAGCTCGTGGTCAGGTACAGGACTGTCTTTGCAGCCTTTCCTCTGCTTGTGGTAGCCATGGTCTTGAGGAAGCAGTTTAGGGTCTATGACAACTCTGGGGTCTTCATCTCGTTCTCGGAAAGTCTGGACCAAAGCCTGAGACTTCCTTTACCAATTTTATTGCTGTCGATGACATTCTTCGCGACTGCCTTTACAACGGCGGGTACCGCCAACATTCAACCGGACCATCACCCGCAGGCTAATGGCACAGCTGTTAACTTTGCGCAAAACGACCTTCTTCTTGGATCACAGGACACCTTTTTCTGGTTTCTCGTCCCGCTGGCTGGTCTACTCAGCATAGGGGCATGCGTGATATTAAATTACGCTATCTTGGCCCTGCTAGATGGCGTTGTCAACATCACTAGCCTCGTTTCTCAGAGTAACGTCAAGCTTGACGACGGCGAAAAGGGCGTTGCTTCCGCCTTTATTGCCAGGACACCACGACGCCGGGCTATCAACACGGCAGTCCTCTTGTTTCTTGTTGCAACAATTATACCCTATCCTTTCGCGTATGTGGTCGCTTGCATTGTACAGCTTACGACTTGCGCACGCGCGTTGCGCCATGCCAAAGAATCTAGATCCGGAGCGGCGCATAATTTCTTCAACTACACCTACTCGATTCTTATACTAATGCTCTGGGTCCTCCCGATAAATCTACCGACCCTGGTTGTTTGGATCCATAATATGGCGGTACACTGGTTGACGCCGTTCTCATCACACCACAACGTCTTGTCGATAGCGCCGTTTATCTTGTTGGTTGAGACTCTGTCCAGCGGCATGATGGTGCCCTCGGTCAGATCGTTCAGGTGGGCGACGAATCTATTGTTCTTCGCTCTGGCGGTCTACTCGGCGCTGTATGGCATGACGTATGCGTACAGGTTACATTACATTGCGAATATCATTGCTTTGTGGTTGGTGCTGTTACATTTTTCGAATTACCGGCAGCGTATCAAGACCTGAACAGCGGTCTGGAGGGATTGAAGAGATGGGAACACAGGCGTTTGTGTGAGTACCGAAGCTCGTTGTGGAACTCTGTGTATCGATGCATTAGTCCTTCAAGGCATTCTAATGCATCTGTTCGCCATGAGCAGCTGTTGCATGGAGTGTTTGCACAACCCCGGACATGGACTCAGCATCCTCCAAGTCCCCGCAAGAGGCTGCATTTGTATATATATTTCCAGGATATATGGAAGCCCTAATGAACAAACGTTTAACGTCTGTCTTCCATCTTCGCTCTTTGGTTTCTAAGCTACCCTATGTTGGAACAATGATATACTTTGGGTGCAACTCTCGCCCCACGGCAAGCGCGATTGTACCCATCTACCTCGTGCCTTCGCTTGTCGATGGTTGTAAGGAGCCCTCCGCGATCTTCGCATGCGGCCGTTTGCTCAAGCTTGTTACCGTTTGTTGCTGGCTGTTAATGTTAATGCGGACGCGTTCGACGGATGTGAATATATCCTTGCTGCTTGACGTCTATAACTGACAATATCAATAGGTGACAAGCCGGATCAGCACCCCGGAATCACTAAATACAAGGACTTCGAGGTCTCTCCCAAGTCCTACCTGGATATCATGTTCCTTATATCGAACAGATTTCTACCAGCTCCTTTGTGACTGTACAAAAAGGTTCAAGAACTTTTTTTATGATAATATAAACATGGCACGACCCTTCCAGCCTCGTGCGGTCGGATTCACCACGAATACAACACCCTATATCCATCCTAGACAGGACGACGGCTCGGGTTCTCATTCCAGAGGGTTTTGGGTTGGTGTGGCCTTCTTTCTGGTCATCACGCTGTCACTGGTGCTGAGATCCTCCTACCTTGCGGATACGTACCGGTTTCGGCGCTGGAGAGCCTGCCTGGGACTTCATCCAGCAAACCAACCTCCCATAATTCACGGCCCAAGTCCCGACTGGCGGTTTACGACTATCAAGCGGCCCGAAGCTGCCTATATTGGGTGGAGCTCTAGCGACACTCTACCTTTATACGAGCCTACAAGCAACTTCAGCACCGAAGTTCTCGCGGCGCTGATGAGATTCGGTGTCCAGCCGGGAAAACGTTCGCCTTCATACCGGTCGAGACTGACCTGGGATCTGGAGGCGGCTGTTGGCGAAGGCTTGGTGGAACAGAATCGCAAACGTACACTTCAGCCGTCGCCCGAGCAGATCGAGATCGATCGTCAGAAGAGTGGTGCGAAGAACAGGGCCATCACAGAGTCGTCCAGCTGAATGAGACATATCTATGCAAGTGCTAGAAATTAACATGTCCAAAGGGAGATGTCGATCTGCTGCTCAGGATGAATTCGAGTACGATCACTTGAGGGAACGCCAGTGCCGACTTAGGTACTTTCGACCCCGGATTTCTGACTGATTTAAGCTTAGACGAGAGATGGGGTTTGGTGCTTGGCAATGAGCTTGTTCTGGATTTAGGCGGTGGGGGAAGGATTATTAGTGATTATCTCAGGGTCCAGATGACGGCCATAGGCGGGAAGAGGGGAGTCCAGGCCAAACTTCGGCTCGCGCCATTGGGGCATGATTTTTCCATTTTGTCTCGTGAGCGATCGATGGTTGCGTCAACCTCAAACCTCCACATTCATCGTCGCACAACTACAACCACACTCAATCACCATTTTGATCATTTCATCGTTCAGTCAACTTCTAACCTTCTTTTTCATGTCTAATGATCACTTATGAATCTGCCGCGATAAGCTCTTCACGGCCTCATTTGTTTTTCATCCGAAAGCGTCCCCCATTACCTGGCAATGAGCCCATCCGACACGCCCGCCTCCTCCCCCACCAGATCCTCTGCAGTTCAACCCTCACCACGACCATCAATCGAGTCGCATAACTCCCACGCGAACTCCTTCCTCCACAATCGCTTAACGCACCGTCTAAGCAGAAGGTCCAGCGCAAGCTCGCAATCACACGGCTCCGAGGCACTTCCGCAGCCTGACCCGGTGACGAAGACGCAAGCTTCCCGTACGGCAAGGAAGATGCTGCTGGCTATGGTCAAAGATGACTGGGAATACCCGTCAACAACAGTCAAAGACAACAATGGCATACCACGCCGAGAACCACTGGGCTACCGACTGCGCGATGAGTCTCTCTCCGACATTGATGCCGAAGAGAGGGCAGCGGTCAAGCACCGCGCAAAAGCGGATCCGTACAGATTCGAGAATCCCGATGCCGTGGGCAACCTGATCGCCGAGCGCAAGCGCAAACGGCGGAAGGTTGTTGAAGAAGAATTGAAATGGAACGAAGGTCTAAAGACATGGACGAATCGCCGCGACGCCTGGACGGGAGCCGTCAAGCAGAAACCTTCCGAACCGGCGCGGCCGGCACCCAAGAAAAAGACAGACCGTCCTTCGGGGATCTTTCGTCGCCATACATCGCACTCGTCAGGGAGCTGGCCGGCCAGTCCGACCATGCCGACCCCCGAATCCAGCTCGATCGAGAGTGTCGACGAGGGAGTCGAGAAACCAGACGGACCCTGGCTGCCGATATTCCAACCGATCATGCCGTCCGATGATGTGATTCGCGACCGCATCAAGCCGCAGGCCTACCCGACCATCTACAGTAAGATTGTGGTGCAAGGGCTAGCACCCAACGTGCCCATCCCGCTCAAGCACATGATCCCAGCACTTGTCGAGGGCTGGAAATCAGAAGGCAATTGGCCGCCGCAGCCTGCCTCCATGGCGCCGCAGGATCTTAAGAAAGGCCGTAGATCGTCTACGTTTGCAAAGTGGAGGAAGGAACACCATCATGACTCCCGTGCTGCGGAGCATGTTCATGGCGGCGAGGATGGGCGGTCCAGGGTGCGGAGGAGTATCAGTATGATGAAGCGGGTGATGGGTGTGGGTCCGGGCGAGGAGGAATTGGATGATCTGGGCATCGAGTTCCGTGAACAGGATGAGGATGAGATGGCGAAGAACGTCACACTTAATAAGGGGCTCTTGGAGCAATAACGATGGCGAACGTCTGGTGTGCAAAAAAGGGGGTATCGTATTATCGTACAATCATGACTATGATGTCTTCTTTATGTCTAACAAGCTCTTTCTCCTCCTTGATGACGGTCGCTGTCATCGTTGTGAGCAAATTGCTGTCCAGCGATGCACTGGTCGTCCTTTTCCTGTCCGAACGACCCCCGTTGTCCATGCCTCCCTCATACAATCCTGGTGAATGCTTCGTTGAGCAGGGTTGCCGACACACCGGCACTGGTCCAACCTGGCCATAAAGCAGCGAGATTGGTTATTGGCGGATCGGCGATAGCCGGGAAAGCAGGCTCGGTGTACCCCTGCATTTCAACCACCTCTTTCTTCTCATGGTCCTTGAGCTGGGCGTGCCACGGACGCATATCTGGTTCCGCAACTCGTTGTGCACCTGGTGGAGGACCTCTATAGCCCCAGACGAGGTCCACATAGCGGCCGGTGTATGTCTGGTCCGACACCGCAGGATTGACGCCGTTGTTGATGATTGAGAAGCCGCAGTCGCCGAGCGTGCATCGGTGCTGGAGGAGTTTGGGCATCAAGTTGCCTATCATGGGTCCGTTGAGGACAATTCGGCGGAGAGACGGGGTGTGACTGGCGGTCAGCATGAGGCCAACGTTGCTGGCTGGACTGGTAGCACGGTGGACGAGCATGTCGATCAACCGAGATCCTTGACGGCCAAAAAACTCGTTGAGAGCATGGTGCTGAGGTGATTTTTCGCGGGTGTGTGGCGCTCTGAGAAACCAGACACGCAGGCTGAGTTCGGGGGTGTTGAGGAGGGTTGTACAGCGAGGAATAGCCATTGATATATCGAGGGCGGCGGCGAGGAGCATCCCGACGTGGTCAAAGCCGAAGAATAGCTCTCCGAGGGCGGGCAGATTGGCTGTGAGGTTGCGAATTCGCTCTGGGTAGCCCCAGACCGTACGTGGGTCGATCACGACAACGAGTTGAGGCTCCAAGCCGACAGTGCAGTCGACTTCGAGGTATCTGAGCGATTGGCTGAAGATCTGATTGACAGGAGGTCCATAGCAGAATTTGCCCCAGTGGAGGATGAAGTAATTCTCGGTGTAGAGTACCTGCAAAGCCTCCTCACTGACTTGTCTGCAGAGTACAAGCGCAGCGAGGTTGACGTCTTCTGGGTATTTGGAGACAAGGCGGCCATTGAAGGACAGGAGGAAGATTGGGTGGTCCTGGACGAATATTGCTTGATATATCGCCTGGCGAACTTCGTACGAGAGCAAGAGAAAGCCGGGTGAGAGGACGAGAGGTGCTGAGCGGACAGGAAGAGAAAGAGACATCGTGAGAGACTGTGATGGGAGTTGACGAGGCTGAGATCTTGTCGCTGCTTTAGCTGAAGGAATAGGAGATGATGGGCAGTCAATGAATTTCACGGTTATTGAAGGGTTCGTAAAAGCAGCGAGCATTTTGTGAGAATAGGAAATAGTCATGTTAGCCAAGACGAGACTGTTTGTGTTGAAAAAGTGACAGTCGGTCTGGGATTTGTACCTCACCATGGAGAAGTGTTTGTTCAGGCTGTGAAGGGCGGAAAAGTGTGACAAGTGTCGTGGGATACGGGCAGTTCCAGGATTCTTGATTGCTCTTGCCAGGTCAGCGCCTGGGGGGCCCCGCCGGCTGCAGTGGACGTCTTTCTTCATGTGAGGCTGAAGGACCAAGGAAAGATATAGAGAACAAAGGCAAAGTTATATACTTGAGTCATGCATTGTGTGGAGTTTCAATGGCCCTGACTCAGGGGAGATCTGGGTTGGATCTGCGGAGGGATCTGCAGGTACCAGATCCCACAAGTGGTTTTGTCTGACGGAAGCCCTCTCATTCAAAGGTTCCAGTTCTGGTAGTTTTGGTCCGGTGTATTCCACAGGTCTTTTGGTCAGAGATAGATTAATTGCACAGAACGGGCGCCTGAGTTGATAGGTTGACTGAATGCCTGTTTTTTCGCCCGAAATGAGATCTTGATGCCTACGATTTGACCCTGGCGTCCACCTGGGTCAGACCACGGTTAGTTGCCGTCCTTAGGCATAGTGGGCTCCCGACTCCCAATCATGATGTCACCACCATATCTCACAATTTAGTATATGTCTGGCTACCTCTGATTGTATACTGTCAATACCACTCACCCATGTCTCGACCCACAAGAGCCGCAGCCTCAGCTGCGAAGAGGGTGACCCGAAGCAGCCTTTCGGCGGGTGGTAGAGTCAAAAAGGAGGTCAAAGAGGAGGATTCAGATACACATATCAAGGAAGAACAAGAATCGCCCCAGAAACCTTCGCGCGCACCCAGAAAGCGAGCCTCATCCGTCCAGAATGGAACACCTAAGAAGAAGATCAAGACCGAGAAGAACACAGGGTTGATCAGTCCATCTCCTTCTGACGCCCTTTCCTCGCCTTCTGCTTCTGCCGGGAAAGACACCAAGAACACGAAGACCAAGAAAAAATCAGCCGCAGACCTGCAGTCCAAGAAGTTGAAAAGCTTCGCCCAATTTGCCAATCAATCTCCATTCCCCGACTTTCACCATCCTACGCCCGAGGAATGCAAGCTCGCACACAGCATCTTGAAATCCCTACATGGCCCGCGAACACGTCCCAAGGAAGTAGTTGCGTCCACGACGAGGGCAGGATGCGGCGACTCTCCTTCAGTTCTTGACGCGCTAGTGCGCACCATCCTATCACAGAATACAAGCGACACCAACTCAACTCGAGCCAAGCTAAGCATGGACAAGATCTACGGCGGGAGTGATAAGTGGGACGCCATCGTGGAGGGTGGTCAAGCCAAACTGCAAGAGGCGATAAAGAGTGGCGGTCTGAGCGTCGTGAAGAGCAAGGTGATCATCAGCATACTGAACCAAGCACATGAAAAGTACGGCAAGTACTCGCTGGACCATCTGCACCAGGCATCGAGCGAGGACGCGATGCGCGAGATGTTGTCCTTCCAAGGTGTCGGGCCAAAGACAGCGAGTTGTGTGTTACTGTTCTGTCTCCAGCGTGAGAGCTTCGCCGTCGACACGCATGTCTGGCGTATCACAGGGCTGTTGGGCTGGCGGCCGAAAAATGCGAGCCGCGACGAGACCTACGCGCATTTGGATGTCATGATACCTGACGAGGATAAGTACGGATTGCATATATTGCTTGTGACGCATGGCAAAAGATGCGAGGAGTGTAAGGCTGGTGGGAAGAACCTTGGAAAATGTGAGTTGAGGAAAGCGTTCAGATCGGCCAAGATCAAGGGTGAAGCCGGTGAAGATGTTAAAATGGAGGAGATGGAGGAGGTCGAGCATGAAGAGGTGATCAAACAAGAGGAAGACACGCCAAAGAAAAAGAAACAGAAGAAATAAGTGTAGGATTCTGGCCACGTGGTGCTCGTATACTAGGATCGCAACTTTTGTATCATATGCGCTGTAAGTTATTGACCTGTAAAACCATAAATCTATCTTGTACCCAACACTGGTGGCATTGGACCTAAATGGGTTGATTCATTTGGAAGCCTCGATATCTCTGCTCATTTCGTATTCCTCAACCACAGGCAAATGACCCCTCATGTCATTCTTACTGAGTTTGCCGTCGCCGGTGTACTTTCTTCTGAGCCAGATCAAGCCCTTGACCAGAAAGAAGATGATAATGATGGCCGCAGCAATTCCAAAGCAGTAAGCCGCTACTCTCCCCTTGCCCTTTGATGGGTCCAGGAAGTCGTATACATAAAACCCTTCCGTAGCTCGCGTAAGGTATGCCAACGACAGATACAGAAGAAGCAGAACAACCAACCCGACAAGATGCAATAGTGGCGGAGCGTTGGTCGCTGGTATCGTGAGTTCGAACAAGGCGAATAACGAGTTGAGGGCGTGTCTGGAGATATTGGACCAGGCATTGAACACGACTGGGAACCACGGCCCTTTGTACAGCACACCCCAATACACGATCGTGACTAGGAACGGTAGCGTCACGATCGTGGTGTAGAAGAATGAGTGGAGCGCCTGAAGTGTTCGTGGCCAATTTTCGAGCCAGGAATGGCCTTTGGAGGCGTAGACCAGAGTATGCACGCCGGCGACTAGACTCCAGAACAATAGGCCGAAGTATGTCAGGATGGTGAACTTGAGAACCGCGTTAGGAGGATGCTGTTAGCACTGGGGAGGATACTCACGTAACTAAACTCCTGCCCGATAAGGTAGGCGGTGGAGTGCACGCCATCGTAGATCCAGTTGGTCAATTGCGTTGCCAAGCAGTAGGTGAAGAAAAGGAGGCGTAGCAGGCCTAGGAAGAGAGGAGGGAGAATCCATGAGGTCGCGAATGGACGTGTGTCCGATGGGAAGAGGTTCTGGAGAGAAAAGGCCTTCGATTTGCGCATGTTTGGCGTATGAAGATCGCGGGCCTCGTTCAAACTTGTATACCTATATCCATGCTGATCGCCGACAGGATGGCGGGAGCTGCTCATTTGTAGCACAGAGGAACATTCGCGAATGAGTACCGAGGTCTGGCCTTGAGGTGGGCGTGGAAAGGCTGAGCTGAATCATGATGGAGCTGAGATGTAAGACCGGACCCGGAAAAGTCAATCTAAGAAAAGTGTCGCGTAGTAGGGGCGGAAGTGTCTTGCTTTGCGGGGGAGGGACTGCTACTTACAGTACCTAGCGACCTAGGTAGCCACAATACCGTAGCCTCGCCACCAACCTTAGGTACCTAAAACATTCCAATGCCCAATTCCGTAAGTTTTGAGGAATAATGAACTTCTCGTTGCCTGTGTTCTCACGGTGCAAAATGATTTTCATTGTCAAAGGGGTATAGAGGACGTGATTGGTCAAAAGTCTGCTCAGTACGGATATTGTTCATGACACCAGTAATCCTATGGGATGTGGTGGTCGTGTGCTGGTTTCTTCCAAGATGTATCTCGTATTTCCGCGAGATTTGGCCAGGGTTTTGATTGGGCAAATCGGTCTTTGAGGCTTAACCACTGTGTCTGTTGTTGGTATAGTTCCGAAGGACCTACAGTACCATCGATCAGGTGGCCTTTAAGACTTCACACGGTTTCTTGGATGCGCTAAGTCAAGAAAGTCAGGTAGCTATTGCCCATCTCATCTCGTCTGTGTAAATGAGGGCATCGCTTGGCAGTTGGAGTTTGTGATAGAACAGCTCCATGGTTGTTTTTATGACACAAGTCTCGGCCTTTACTCGTGTGGATCGATGTTACCAGGTTTCTCGAGTCAGTGGAGAAAGCCCAAGTCGAAATATCAAGCCAACATGACTGGCCATTCATTTTATTTTCCGATGCTCTCATCTTGGTCACCCTGTTTGATGTTGGTGGAACGCGCCAGGGAAACACCCTGTCACTCTCTGACTTCGTCGGGGGATTTTTGTGTCGCAGTATGCCACCACGATGCAGACATTGTTACACATGATCCAGATCCATGCTTGTAGAAGACGAACTGACGTTGCACCAAGGGGACACGGACGCCACACTTGCGGCGAAGTGATCAAGTGGTCATCGAACGAGGAGTGATGGCTCAGGTTCTGGATCGCCGTCAAAACAAATGACGTGCAAGATGCAAGAGGGCAAGCATCAAGAAGAGTTCCAACTTCCAAGGCCACCTGAATGGAGTTCGCACCTTCTGTCCGGGCGACAGAAAGAAATCCTTTGGCGCACAGACTGGCTTTTGATGCGAGATGCACCCCTGATTTTCCAAACATCAAAGCAAGCCATCTTTAAGCCTTGGTGGCCGATGTTTAGCGTGCTGGAGTGCAGCATGTGGCGCAGCCCGGGAGCAAATGGGCTGCAGGTGTTACCATTTGACTTTCGGGAGGCCAACCGCCTACGACTGCAACCATAACCAGGCCAAACCTAGCTGGCTTAGCAGCAAACCAACCCAAGAATTAATGGCCAGGGGGTGGGTGGGTGAACCCGCCGTAGTCTGTGTGTCTGTGTGTTGGCCGAGGGTCTCAAAGGAAAAGCCTCCTCCTTCATCATTGCTGCTGCTGCATATTACTGTTTTTTTATTCCCCCTCGATATAGGATACAGCGTATCATAGACAGCGGGTTGTTTGATATCTCTAGAAGACGAACACTGCTACTCTGCTACTCTGCTACTCACTACTTTGTTGTACGCATTCCTAATCCTCAGGGTCTATCTACCTGTACTTTGTCGAACCGCTCCTTCCAGTCACTGTCACCTCTCGTTCGTTCGTGCGCTTGTCTTTCGCATTCCACAACAGACTGATCGAGTTCTACATACTACTGTATGACTATTATCGTATCTCACTGTCATCAATCATCTCCGGTACCTTCGTCACATCCAGTATCGCGCCCGCTACATCATCATAAAAGGCCGCCGAGGTCAGCTGCGACTCCAACTGGCCCCCAGGTCACTCGTTGACCTACCAACTTCAGCAAGCCTCTGCGCTAGAAATCGACTCAGTCACCGCTTCCTTGCAAGAGGACGTTCAACATAGCCTAGGAGTCTCCGGTCGAAGAAATCCTTTTACATGATTCTCTCAACAATAATCGACCATTCCTCCGAAGTCGTAAAGAGCAAGCAATACACTCTACTCAAGTGAACCCCTCTTCCAAGACCGAATTGGGCGGTCATGGACCGCCCGAACTACATTGACCTTTCTGGGGACTTTACTCGCGCACCCAGTGCGCTATCGAAAAGTGGTCACATTTCACCCAGGATACAACATTTTGATGGCGACGTTCCTCCGGCCCTCTCGCCGCTCGACGCCATTGCTGCCAGGAGTCGGAGATTGGCCAAAGAGTTGGAAGAGACCCGGTTAGCAGGCGAACGGCGCATGAGCAGACTTCCACCCCAGGTCGTGACCGATTCCCTGATTGAACACCAGAACAACCGTCCTACAATCTTCCGTGCCTTGTCAGATGGCGTGGACGCTGTGCCTCCTTTGCCAACCCTGGACAAAGACTTCGCGGCCAACTTCCCTCGAGTGGCAAACCCGTCCCAGCGCCCCGAATCCCAGCACGTCCGTATGAGTGCTGTCTTTGGTCCCAAGGATGGACTTAAGGGTAAGGGGCTTCCTCACGCCGAGGACTACTTCGGAGCACGTCGAGTCGAGTCACCTGCCCCTATGGACCACAAAGAGCCTGTTTTGTCATCGCAGAGCATCCCAAGCCCGATACTAGGCCATCATTCGGCAATCTCGCGTCAGATCTCCAATGATTCTCAGACAGATCTAGGCTTGGCACCACCTCGCTCCTCTTTCGGCAGACTACGACCATACCATGACGCTTCAGATGACGATTATACCAGCTCAAATGCTGGCTCGACCTTTTCGCAGTCCAGACAGTTTTCCGCCAGCAGTGGAATGTCAGCTCCGCATTCGCCCATGTCACCGTACGCCACCTCTCACAGCAGGACACCGTCCAACATTTCACTCGGCTCTCCCTCTCGAAGTGGTTCGATGCGTAACTTCTCGCGACCAATGAGTTCATCGAGCATGAACAACCTCAAAGCCGAGCCTAGCCCTACGAAAGGTCCTTTGGCCATACAGATGAGTCATCTTCGGAATGCCAGTTCTTTTGACGACACCAAGCATGCAGACGGATACCTAGCTGGGGAAGCTTCTTCATACACCCATGCAAAATGGAGCCTGCCACGGGGTCGGCAGGTATCAGACCGGAATTCAGGCGTGTTCCAGAGTCTTTCCACACCACATTTTGAGTGGCAAGAGCCAATGTTCCCGGGGACCCCTCCCTTAGAAGGTAAACGGAGCACTGATCTGCCTGTGCCATCGCCAATAGCATCTGCACGACCAAGCACGGAAGAGACCAGCCAAGAGAGAACAGGCTTCTCCTTTGAATTCGACTCTGACGGAACGCTTTCTTTCAAGGAGAAGCCTAGCGCGCCAATAGTATCAATAACGGCCACAGATTCTCTGAAATCAAATAGCTTCTCTGACCCGCGGCCTTCGACCGGTGCACCTCCCATCGTCGCCATCCGACCACCACCTGCGCCACTGTCTCCGGTTGAGGAAGCATCTCAATCCTCACGATCTAATAGTACGATCCGGCCTTCCACAGCTCGCACTGTGAGCAACTATCAAGCCCTCTCCGCAGATGAGCACGTCACTAAAGCGATCGAACTTCATGAAAGAGGGCAACTAAACGAGTCTACATACCATCTGAGAAAAGCGGCGCATAAAGGTAATTCGACGGGAATGCTCTTGTACGCACTCGCGTGCCGTCATGGATGGGGTATGCGAGCAAATCCGAAAGATGGTGTGCAATGGCTACGTAAAGCTGTCGACTGTGCCATGTTGGAAGTTGCGGAAGATGAAGATCCCGCCACAAGAAAACCGGGGACGGATTTCAACGACAAAAAGACACATCGAGCTCAGTTTGCTCTTAGTATATATGAGTTGGGTGTTTCGCATCTCAATGGCTGGGGCATTGAACAAGACAAAGCACTTGCCTTGAGATGTTTTGAGATTGCTGGAAACTGGGGCGATACAGACGCATTGACAGAAGCTGGCTTTTGTTATGCTGAAGGTATCGGATGCAAGAAAGACATGAAGAAGGCTGCCAAGCTGTACCGCATGGCAGAAGCGAAGGGAGTCAGTATGATCGGAAACAGCTGGTATGTATCTTATCCGTTCGTGTGGTTCCTGGGTGCTAACAGTTCGAACAGGATCCATAAGGACAAATATAACGACACTGATGATGAGAGGGAAGATCGATCCAGGTCTTCGAGGAAGACATCCTCGGACAAACCACGCAACAAGTCCAAGTCGCGTGGTCTCTTTGGTCGAAAAAAGTCTACTCATGTATAGATTTCTTCTGACGACCAAAATTGACGATTGTGGAAGAGTATTTGAGGAGGTAATTCTAATGCGCTCGGAAAGGGTGACATGACATTCCGAGACTTCAACGATGACATGTATTATGAATATTACGAAGGGTGCTGTAGCTGGGCAGTCATCTGGGTGGCATTGATGGCCCGTTGCATGACTGTAGCAAGTCCTTATTTGGTGACAGCTGGAGCCGAAGTTCTGCATTTGGACTTGAAAAGAATCAAGAGCATTGACCATCGTATTCTATACTGTTTTCGACTTGATAATGCAGTAGTGTGATACGTCTTGGTTTCAACAGTCATGGTTGAAGTCGCGCCCAACTGCAGTAGATCAATGCAGAGCGATTAATAACAAATCTACAAGATAAAGAATAATCGCACGATAATTTCGTCGATAAAGAACACTTCTGCCAGCATGTCAATAATGACTCACAATGTTGTCGAACGACCGCATTTATAGTCCTTGATGATCGGCGCAAACACAGGGCAAAGCCGAGTCAAATATTATCTGCCAGCCTTCACCTGCGACGAGAATTTGTGGTCGATCTGCCAGTGAGGTAGCCTTGTGGACATGATGCATCATGATAGAGCGACGATCAAAGGCGCTGCTCTGTCCCAAGCACAACTCCCAAGATTCCTGGAGAAATTAGAGCCACTGTTACCTTATTCCATCCCTCTTGTCAGAAGGATTCAATTCCATCTGGACCATCCCATCTCGAAGACTGCAAGGATCTATGTGGCTGTTGCCGACACCGGGGTTACTGGCACCACAACTGGCACTGTTGAAGGCGGGAGCTGGCTTGATGAATGGCTCCATGATGCCACGACGACAACGGATTCTGCCTCGCCATGGGTCGCAGCGCACATCGACCTAATCAACTACGGCCAGACACAAGGCTGGGTTTTTGGCAGCTGGGAACATCCTTCGAACCATGACCCCGACAACCACACGATATACAAAGCTCTGATGGACCAGCTGTACACATATATCTACACCGTCCTTATACCGGAGATGTCGACCGAGCCGCCAGAGGACTGGCTCCTCCTCAAGCGCACGGGCAAACGTATCACGGAGCCTTTCTCGCGAGTCAAAGTCCTGTTTGGGACCCTGGGTGACAAACTATGGGAGTACTTTTACGAAAAGGCGCGGTCGCGAACGGACCCAGGGTACTACAAGTACATATTCACGCCGGAAAATAAAGCTACGCAACCCGACGACGACAGTTTCCCGCTGCCGGAGGGGTATAGGTTCGGCGAGATGCAGCCGCATGATTTACAAGCTGTGCTGGATCGGACTGATATCCCAAGAACACTGCACACGCTGAGTCAGTATGTCAGTGTGAGTTTGTTGTACGGTGACAATCCGACGCCAATTGGATGGGGATTCCTGGGGAAGGATGCGAGTATATCCAGTCTACATACGGAGCCGGAGCATCGCGGCAAAGGGCTGGCGGCGTGTTTGAGTAGGGAATTGTTCAAGAGGCAGGGGAGGGCGTTTGCCGGGCAACAGAGCTGGGGGCATGCTGATGTTAGTAAGGAGAATGTGCCTAGTCGGAGGGTTATGGAGAAATTGGGTGGGCAGCCCATGTGGATGGTTATGTGGTGTGAGATGGATCTAGAGATTGTCTGTGGGGAGGCGAAATGAAGGGTGTCGTTGATTGTGATATAATGTCACTGAGGGCTTTGAGAACAGAATGGATAGATAGACTACGAATAGCGGAAAACCTTGGGGGAAGGCAGAGTGGAAGCCATTCGGGGTCCTCTTCGGTCACTACTGTACTACCTAGCCCGATAGTTATTAGGTATTCATTCAACTCTTCTCAACCAACAGAAGGATTCTTAGATTCCCCAGGTCTACCATCGTTGTTTTTTCGTGCAACCTGACGTTGAGCCTGGATCAATCATCACATTTGAATATATTAGGAATGTCTCAGGAGATCTACCGTGTACTGTGTATCAGTGGGCAAATAGGGTCTTTATTCAAATCGGTTACTGAATAATGGTAGCATGGGGTGATTTTACTAATACCGCATATATCATCTAGCTATCACAAATATTAATCTATTCCCATAGTATCGAAGAATTCACCACGCTCACCTTGATTTCCGTGCTCTGAATGGAATTTTCCCCAACCGATCGAAAGCGAGTATTCTCCTCGGTGGGTTCTAACATCTGAAATCCGACGTTATGGCGGAAGAGCCACTCTTGTCGGCGATTGAATATGGAGGAGGATTTCCAATTTTATTCGTCCACGGATGGACAATGCGAGGTCAGGCCGAAGCATATGACTTTGAACCCATCTTTGAAGGCAACAAAGATTTTCGCCGGATCTATGTCGACCTCCCGGGCATGGGATCGACGCCGGCGAACGGAATCCAAGATCTCGACGACATCTTTGAACGGCTGACGCAGTTCATCGACGAGCGATTCAGCACGTCCTCAAACTTTGCGCTCGCTGGTTCGTCTTGCGGCGGCTACCTCGCCCGCGCGCTGGCACAAAAATACAACGACCGGGTCGACGGTCTACTTCTGCGCGTACCGCTCATGGAGCCGGACGACCGCCTGCGTGATCGGGATCCCTTCGAATCGTTGGTGCAGAACAAGAACTTCATGGCGAGCTTGCCTGCCGAGCATAAAGCGGTCCTCGGAGATCATGTATTGATTCAAACGCCTACTTACCACCAAGCTTTGCGGAATAAGTACAAAGACGTCTACCTACCAGCTACTGAGGCTGCCGACAACAAGGTGCTCGAACCCATCCGAGCCGATCCACGGCGGTATAGTCTGTCATCCCCAAACTTCGACCCGGCGCGTGAAAGACTTCTCGCGCCCACTCTGATACTGGTCGGAAGGCAAGATGAAGACGTCGGGTATCGAGACAGCCTCCGGCTCACAGAACGCTACCCGCGCTCGACGCACGTCGTCCTCGACCGTGGCGTTCACGCCCTTCCTGTCGACGAGCGCAACCTTTTCGACGCGCTCGTTCGCGACTGGATCTACCGGATCAAGGAGTGGCGGTCATCCCGAGATGCGCAGAATACGACTGTTTCTGGACGACGCAGTTCGAGAACCACCTAACTTTCCCCTCTCGATGTTGACGCTGTTCACGAGGCAGTCAATTTTGTCGTCCGGTCTCATGCAGCTTGTGACACTGACCACGAACAATGACTCATGAATTTCGATGTTGGAGCCATGATACAGGGGGACTTACGAGTCTTCCAACCAGATACGTTATATCGCGAAGGAACGAGGCTGGGAGCAGATACAACAAGTTGTCGCACGCAGCCGTTGTTAGGCTGAACCGGAGATGGTCGCCACGCTGCTGCGCTCCCGGCGTAGGTCCCTCGCCCACGTACTATATATTCCAGGTAGAGATAAACCGACTTTATGTTACCATTACTACATCACAACGATATATACCCGCTAAAATGACACGCACCGCTGCCACGCGTGGCCGAACGCTTGTACGAGTAGAGTCTTGAGGAGTAACCCAAGATTTGGATCGTGTTTTGACAGGTATTTGTTGACGGCATGGTCCGTGGCGTCCGTGCTTATCAACACGAACCATACTCCTTATCAACTCCACGACTCTCGATGAACACTAACGTACTCCCATCACCGCGTCTATACTTCACTACGGAATCAAGCAACTACGCTGACAACTATGGAGCCTACGATGTCTTCTCGAAATGGTTATGATCACGGTGCCATGGCATCCTCAGTCTCAACGATGTCCCCTCTTGCAGGCAACCTGGCATACTTCTACATCCTCCAATTCATCCGGATGTTCGCGTCTCATCGCATCTCCAAGCATGCGCTGGACCTCATACAATCGTTGCTGGAGTTGAGGAGATTCTGGGACGCGTTTTGGACGGTGCTGTGACGGGGCATCAGACAAAAGCGGCAGCAGGTGGTCGACGATAACAGTGACGAAATGTCATCCTGGGTCTTAAATCTCATGTGCGATAAGACCCTTCGTGAGCCGAATCTGGATGAGTAGCGCAACACGCGACGAACAGACGGTTGCAGTCTTTCCTCTCAAACAGTCCTGGATGTACGGATGCAACAGATGACCAGTCAAAAGGCGGGATTGATATAACTATTTCAGATGGATCCGGGAATGTCCCAGACGGCGAACAAGAGGTTTCGGCATTGGTGTCCGGCGAAGAGGACGTCCTCGACCTGGACATCCAACATAAAAATGACTATGGTCTATGATATTTTCATAACCCTATACGCGGTGTCTCGACGACAAGGGTGCTCAAGCGGCGCCAGCCTTGGGGCAGAGAGGATCCTCTAAGAATGTTTGCAATGCGCTTGTGGGCTGCCTTGTCCAATCCATCCCTCTCTTCATCTTCTGTTGACACTTTGTACTGGACGACCATGGTCTTGTCGGCAAACCAATGTCTAGTAACAACCTTTTTCGGAAGATTCACCCCAGCCGAAGGGAGAATCCAGCGCCACGTTCTTCGTGCTCGCGACCAGCGAAAATGCCTTCGACTTCGGCCTCATCCAGTTTCGGTGCGTTGCCACGGGCAGGAGCCTGCGGAGAAGCTCTACGCCTCCTCTTCTCCTGCCCTGCTTTGCTGGGAAAGGTGGGAAACATCGCCTTCGCTTTTGGGCGCGGGTCTTCTGTAAAGTACATATCCGGGAGAATCTCACCTGCTGAAGGTCGGCCCGCCGGGTTCATGGACAATAGGGACGACAGCAAGGCAAGGCCAGAGGTGGTCAGATATAGGAATTTGGAAAGTCCTAGGGTAGACGGCTTGCCCTTTCCTTCCGACAGAACGAGTTGAAGGTCTTTTGCGTTAGGGAGAGATGTGACACTGGGCCAGGCCTGCTTGGTAGGCGTGCCAAGTAGGTCGAAGATTTGAGAGAGCTGGTCGACCTCGTTCCTCCCTTGAAAAGGGGGCTTTGTCGTAAGTAGTTCTGCGAAAATGCAGCCGATGCTCCAGATATCGATTTCAAAGTGGTAATCTTCAGCACCTAATAGGAGCTCTGGTGCTCGGTACCACAATGTCACTACGCTTGTAGTGAGCTTCGGGCGAGGACTGCTTGTATAGCGTGATATGCCAAAGTCTGCGAGCTTGAGCTCGCCACGGTTATTGAGCAAGATATTCGATGTTTTAAGGTCACGATGAATGATCCAGTTCGAGTGGAGGTATTCTACACCCGAAACGATCTGTAGCAGGAGAGCCTTTGTTTCGGATGGTGAAAATGGCTCGATCAGGTCTTCGAGGAGGGTTTTGAGATCGTGCTCGAGGAACTCTAATACGAGATAGGTACTGTTGATGGCGAGACAAAAGACATGGTTAACAACGTCTGGTATCGGCGCTTTCCAGGGCAGTAGGGGGTTTTTTAAGATGGCAGACTTACTCGTTGAGCTTGGATCTGCTTTTGGATCCGGGTTTCGTGACCACCTCAAGTAGCTTGACAACATTATCGTGTCGACATGCTCTGAGTATTTGAATCTCTCGTAATCCTGAGATCGGAAAGCCGTCGCGTGGTAGTGTCATCTTCAACTTTTTGAGTGCGACGATTTCCCCCGAGGCCTTCGTGCGTGCTCGCGAGACCACACCGTAGCCACCTTCTTCAATGTTATTGAGGAGCTCGTACTCGTCGACATGTCGGCATGCACCGAATTTCGAGGTGGGAAAATGTAATAGGTGCGCGCCTTCTTCTGAAGTGCCATTCTGCTCTTCAGACGTTCTTTGTCGCTTGCTCGGCCTTTCGCTCTCTAGAGTAGGTTCTTGTGAGGTGGAATGGTCGGCAGCCTGTGATGCAGCTGCAGCTTTGCGAGCCTTTTCTTCCTTGAATCGCTTCTTCTCCTCTTTCTCTCTCTTGCGCAATGCCAGTGCTGCCGCGGTTTCTTCGTCGTCGTCATTAGCCCATTTTGAGGCGTTGGATGTCATCTTGGCCTATATACGTGCGTAATGGTGTTGTTATAGACGAGCGGCTAGGTATGGGAGGAAAAGCCTTCATAAGGTGCATATTGCTGCACTTTCAATATATCCGATAGCACGTGACACCGCATGTTAGAGCCGCTTTAACATCATTATCCATGCAAGCCTAATGCTCTCCGACGGCTTTCCGGGGCTGTGGTCACTGTCCTGCCGTGTGGAGTGGTCTTGGTCGATCATTGAATATTTATTACCAAGCAACATTGACTCTCCATGTTTCGAAGGCATACTATTCCATTCTAACTACTGTAACACCCAACACAAAAGTCGCTTTGCGATCAACACAACATAAACAGCATCTGCAAGTCGAGGGTCCCGCTCAACAGTCATGGGAAGCATAGGGATTGAGCCGTTTCAGGTGAGGTGACAAAGCCCTTGCATGTGCAGGCCGCCCGCTGACTGTCCTTCCCAGACCACGTTTGCCGTGCCTTTGCACTGCGACTCTTGTGTTAAGGATGTTACTGGAGCACTAGAGAAAGTTGAAGGTATAGCCATGATGTGTCAGCCCCAATATGACGACGACTGACGTGCATCCTCAGGCATTAACAAAATCGACTGCAATCTAAAAGATCAACTTTTCTATATTGAAGGAACGGCGGCTCCGTCATCTATCGTATCAGCCATTGAATCTACCGGACGAGATGGGATCTTGCGCGGAAGTGGGAACGCCAACTCTGCTGGGGTGTGTATTCTGGAAACTCATGCGAATTCCGTGTCAGATCCGGTGCGAGGGCTGGCAAGGATGGTCCAAGTGTCGGACAATCGAACACTTGTAGACTTGACATTACGTGGCGTGTCTCCCGGAACATATCACGCTACCGTGCGGGAGAGAGGCGACATCTCACGTGGTGCAGTTTCAACTGGCGGGATTTGGGAAGCAATCAAGTCTTTGGGAGGCTTCAATCAGCCTCGTGGGGTGTTTGGTAAGGTCGAGGTAGGCAACGATGGCCGAGGAAGCGCATTCCTGGATCGGCCTGTATCAATATGGGAGATTATCGGTCGCAGCATGGTCGTGTCGAAACAACAAGAGGGCCCGTTTCAGCACGATGACCCAGATACCCTAGTCGGAGTGATTGCACGCAGCGCAGGTGTCTGGGATAACGATAAGACTGTCTGCAGTTGTTCAGGGAAGACTGTATGGGAAGAACGCAAGGAGCAGATAGGAAGAGGCATGATATGATGTAATGTACGCTGGTGATGTGATGCCTATAGAAAAAAATATTATCGATCACTGTGCATATTGATGTTCGGAAATGTCTCTTTATTGTTGCCGCACCGGAAGCATTCTGGTTTGGGCTAACCTTGCTGTAGAATGGTTGGAGTAACCCCCGATCCCCCCTGCAGGCGGCATGAGAATGGGAAACCCGATTGTCCGGCTTGGGCCGTGTTTTGGGCTTGATCATGAATCTCTCCCGCTGGATGGTTGTCATGCATGCAAGATCCTGAAACAACTTGAAGACCGAAACATCGTCGGATCGAGCCCGGTCCACCCAGGCGTGTCGCAGACGGATAGGAAAGTCCCATCAAATCGACCAACAAGTCAGTCGACATGTGCAAGGAGAACAGCGTAAGAGGAAAATTCAGGTGATGGACTCAGGCCACAGGACATGGCTGCATTGATAGAGGAGCGCTCCTTGGTCACATCGTGTCGACGAGTGAGGTTCATTGAAACGATTCCAGAAGCCCAGGGCACGTCAGAGGCGAAGTGGGTGACAGCTGTAACAAAGCTTTGCAAGCATCGTAATGTGAACAATGCGTTTTGTCCCAGCCTCCCGAGTCCCGGCACGTCTAAAAGGTGGTGTAAAGTGCTTGCAGGTGTTGGTTTTTCCGGGCGGTGGGCGCTCAAAATCATGCTTAAAACTGTAACCGTGCTTATCTGGCTACCCTATTTGACAGGCGCCATGCCGTCAGCATCCTTGCGAGGCAATGCTAAACCCAGCCAGGCCTTTTTACTCGTAACCCCTCGCTTGTTAAAGACATGTCCCTGATGCTTTGAGGTGGGGAGTACATAGTCACCCTGGTTGCTTCTGCTTCCATCAAGCAAGGGAAAAAAATATGTGACAGAAAGTGCCCCGAGCAAGCGACTGATTGAATGAACACCTCCTTTCCTCTCAAACAGTCAAAGTTTCCGACTCTTCCTCTCTGCCTCCAACCAAGTTATCACTTACTCTCTGCTGTATACGTCCTCTTCTGGCAACACTCGTTCAACAATAACCATCTCCACGCCGGTCGTTACTAATTCCCTTCGTCAACTCAACTGTATCTTCCATTGGCCGCCAGTCGTTGACGCATTGGCGCCGAGAAAGCATACCGACTCGATTGGGCGCTTAATCCCTGGATAATTGAGTATCTCGCGAGTCGCGGGACGACCACTGGGCCGACCCTCACAAGCCTCCCAATCGATCGGGACCATTCACCTGCAGCCACTTCTAGCGAGTCTGCCACCGCGGACAAGATTTCCCATTTCAATATCCTCTCCCAGCGCCGCCCCTTTGGTCGCGGAACGGTGTTCTGTCCTGTCCTTTCGTCTGGAAATATCCTTACCCGCATTAATCGAGCTGCATCTTCCACGAACTCGAGTATTTCATCTTCGACTGCGGTCGGCGCGACGCCATGTCGCTCAAGCAGGTGGGTTATACCTCTCCAAGGCACATGAGTTCTTCTGACCTTGATTCGGATAGGAAATCGAGACTTGGGTGGAAGCCCTTGGCCACTATGACAACCAAGAGTTCGAAGAAGCCCTCACGATATTCGATGCTATCGCAGACACTTCGAAGATCCTGTTCAACTGTGGTGTTATACATGCAACAATTGGAGAACATGAGAGAGCGGTGGGTGCATATATAGGACACTAGATTGAGCGCCGAAACTGACGCGTAAACAGGTGGAGTGTTATCAACGAGCCATCAAACTTGATCAATACCTCGCAGTTGCATACTTTCAGCAAGGCGTCTCCAATTTCCTTGTGGGCGATTTTGAAGAAGCATTGGCCAATTTCAACGATACCCTTCTATACCTCAGAGGAAACACCTATATCGACTACGAGCAGCTGGGTCTGAAGTTCAAGTTGTATTCCTGCGAGGTTCTATTCAACCGTGGATTATGTTACATGTATCTTCAGCAAGAAGATGCGGGCTTGCAAGATTTTACTTTTGCCCAGAAGGAGAAAATGACCCCTGACCATGATGTGATCGACGATGCAATCAAGGAGAGAGCTCAGGGCTATGTGGTATTCAGCATGTGAGTACACAGTATACTTGTGCCTGTGCTCCACACGCAAGTCACCGGTATGGAGTGAGTGGCTAACCCGCTATCCCTGTCTAGACCCGTCGGATGCGTGTACAGACCCAATGAAGCGAAAGTAAAGAATCTCAAAGCCAAGGACTACCTGGGCAAGGCGCGATTGATAGCCACGTCGAACAGTCAGAACACTGGCACCGGTTTCGAGGGGGCTGAAAGACGGCAAGCCATAGCCATCGAAATGGCCCCAAGGGACGACAGGCCTCCTGAGAATATTAGTTACGCCGCAACAAATCTAGTCCAGCGCAACTTGTCCAGCAGGCTTCCCAGAGATCAGAGTGCTCCCCCAGTCATGAACCGAAACGTCTTCCCACCAACGCCTCCACCAGAGGCTGAAAAGCCCAGGGTCAACAGTGGTGGTTCTCCAGCTGCTATGCCAGTTCGTTCTGCATCCATGCGCAATCCACGAGCCATGTTTCCCGGTCCGGACATGACTCAACGTCAACCTGGACCTGGCATGCTACCACGCGCAGCTACTATCGATGATAACGGAAACCAACAAGCACAAATTCAAAGCCGCAGTCGAATGCAACAAGGACCTCCTCCTACAATGGAGCATGTGTGGACAGAAGACCCAATGATGATGGATCGTCAACCTCAAATGGAGCGATCGCGATACGGTACACAAAGAACGGCTTCTGAACCGCGTGGACCTGCCCCTCGGCGGCAAATGCTAGACAGGTCAGGTTCACAGAGAGCACCGGCGCCATTGTTCCGGGAGACGACACAACCCAGATACGAGGAGCCCATCGACCAGGTGGACGATGTCTATCAGATGTACGCGAGTCCTCGAACAAGACGCCATCAACGTCAAGAACCGGAAACATATTTTAACGAAGAAGACGAATACATAGACGAAGAGGTGAACTCTGAGGACATGAACGGTTTTGAGCCCATCCGGCGTGAGCCATCACGATCGGGACGAGGGAGCAAGCGTCCCGAGATGCGCAAAGTCCGGGTCAAATGCCATTTCAACGAAGATACGAGATACCTGATGATCGGCGCAGTGATAGATTTTGGCGACTTTGAAAGCAAGATACGAGAAAAATTTGGAATCAAAAACCGGCTGAAAATTAGAATGCAGGATGATGGGGATATGATAACTATGGGTGACCAAGATGATTTGGAGATGTTGTTGAGCACTGTACGGAATCAAGCCAGAAAAGAGAGGAGCGAAATGGGCAAGATGGAAGTTTGGATCTCATCACAATGATAACAAACACATCGACCCACCATATCGCATACAGAACGAACACAATCCGGGTGCGTGACATGGAGGCTTGAAGCAAGATACATGCAACACATTTGTTTGGATACGACGAACGACCATCAAGAAGCGCCTTTTCGGCGAAGCGCGGCGTTGGACACATTGTGCGACTACTACCTGGGACATGAATCTGCGGGGATCTTGCATAGGCTTCGAAGCACACAGCCTTGCCATAACCGACTCTTCACTTCCATACTTCCTATTTACAGACCTATATATCTATCTGTAGCAACGTTGTAGTTGGTTAGGCACCACAAACACGGATATATCACCGACTAACTTTTTTCGACCATGTCATATGGAACAATCCTCTTCGTTCTATTGGTATAGCTACCTAGGTACCACCTGTTGTCCAGTAAACGCCTATGCTAAATCCAGCTCCATTCCATGCTTTGGCCTGATCACCATAGCCTACATTCTAATTTCTTGCATATATTCCGCTGTTTCGCTCGGAAGACAAGTACTTCAACAATACAAGTCCACAGAGAGATCCCGAAAGTCGCCGTCTTGCCTCTAGGTTGCCAACTTTGGTTCTAAGCCCACGAAACTTCTGCCTGGCCCAGGACTGTAGTCCCCAACTCGTCTATCGGACAAGTGCTCTGATTCGCGCCGTCACCCATTCCTTGCTGACTTTGACCTTTGGATATTCGGTTTCGAAGAGGATGATGATGCTGGTCACGTCTTCTCCGTTGCGTGCTTGGCGGCGGATGAAGGCGTCATGCTCACCGGACCAGTTCTTTGGCTGGTGTGCCGAGGCAGGCTTGATTTGTGAAGGCATTGTTGGACTGACGTAGGAGTTGTTGCGCAAAAAGAAGCTTGGTATGATCTGATTGAGGTTCCAACTGCGGCTGGCCAGGCTGGATGCTTGCTTGCCGGTCTCAAGCGAGTTGGACCTGATGTCGTGCAATGTAGAACAGGATCGGTATCCCTCTCAGGAAAGTCCTATGGTCAATTGTCCACTGAAAGTCGATGAATGCTTTGCGTCTCACGTTTGTTGCCTCGAATCTGGTCCACGGGCAGGGGGTGTTTGCAGGAAGGCAGTCGTGTAAGCAAGTCGAAACTCGGTGGTGGGATGGTTTAGAGATTGACGAAAGGCCGCTTTGTACGCAAACGAGTGAAGAAAGAAGGAAAATACTGGCTTGTAATTGTTTCAAGCAACTGAAAGGGGCGCACAAGAGGAGGCTTTTGTACTTCTTGCACTTCACCTCTTTCTGCAAAGAGGCAACATTTCTGATGAGACTGGGACAGGGAGTCCATCCAGACTCTCATCAGCTCAAGTCACTTTGTGGCTCAGCGGAAGTGTCAAACGGCAACAGAGACATTGCAACAGACGACGTGAAGAGAGGCCTCGACCAGTCAGTTCCAAAACTCAAATAGGGACACTTTCAGATGTTCCGCCTCGAAAGAACATTTATCTCTGGCCCACTGGACAAGTACCGGAAGCAAGCGAAGTATGGGCCGTAGCATTGGGTTTGATATTGATTTGAAGTCAGTGAGTATGCCGTTGACAAATCCGGCACGAAGCTGTCAAGTGCAAGCAACCAACAAGACTGACCGCCACAAGATATGCGGCAGCTCCGTCTGTGGGAGTCGTCCAGATCGTCATGTTGAGCCGGGACCACAGGAAGCTGACCTCAGATGCAGACTGAACGAGTGGGAAGCTTCCCTTTCAACCCATGATATCCACGCCAGAGGAACACTCCTGGTTGGGAGAATCTACTCCTTTGCATGCGTTGTAGATGGTGTCTTCTTGCCATTCCAAATCCGCAGTTGACACGGACGTCGTTGTCCTTCCCCGATCTTGAACCATTATGTAGGTTTCCGTCTATTCCACAGTAACCCGTTTAGACCACTCCACCCATGAACGCCTGCAATGACTTTCCTTTCCGCTATGCTTTTTGTATGATCCGGCTCGTAAACATTTCATCCGATTGATTTCATTAATCGCTGATTAAACGCAAAGTATATTGGCAGTCGTGGAGTGTTCATGAAAAAGCGCCAAATCCACGAGCAAACCAGGTAAACGACATGACTGTAATGGCTGCGGTCATCAACAAAACGCCAAATGCTTGCTTCTCGTGAATTGAAAGGGCACCGCTGCAGGTGGCGCACTTGAACTCATTGAGGGGAGTGTATGGTTGCCTTGATGCTCGTTAGCGTTACGTTCTTCTCTAATTCTGCCAGCCAAAACGTACCCAGTGTACATCCCAAAGATATATTGGTCATAAGCAGCCAGGTAGCCCGCGGACGCGACGTCCGTTACCTCTGACGCAGCGTCGTAAACTACGAGCGTATAACTTGCAACAGGAAATGGTTGTGTATTGGCTCCGGCGAAATTGCCCGTGTCCCAAGTGAGTGCTCCCGTCGCTTCCACAGACATGTTTCCAGTAATTGTGTATGTAGCATCATTCAGTGAGCATGATGCCAGAACGTCAATTGCCGTAGGCGTCACGGAGAGGGAGGTATAGTTCCATTTGAATGTGATGTAGTCTCCAACCTTATAGTATTGTACTCCATCGGTTGCAGCCGGCGTTATCATTTCGATGCCACCGGGTGGTAGACGGGCGTCGATCGAGGTGGACTTGGAACTTGTCGTCTTAGTGGCATTTTTGGATTCCGATGCTGCCGATTCGGCTGCCGATGTTATTGTGCCTGAAGTTGACGCAGATGTTGTTGCAGCTGCAGATTCAGTCGTCGTGGCTGCGGCACTATCTGTGTCGGTGGATGTCGAATCTTGCCTCTGTAATATCAACGCATCGATGTTGTGATTGGGGGAGCCGGGCCATGGCCAGGCGGATGAGATGGAGGCGAAGACGAAGAGGAGGATGGAAAGGACAGGGAAGAGGCCGGAGCCCTTCATCTCGGATGGTCAGAAGGCAGTAGCGGTCGAAGTTTGAAGAGTCGATGAGATTTGGACGCTCTTTCTCCTGGCGTCACAGAAGTATGCAGAGATTCTGGGCGGTAGCGACCGAACGCGGCTCCTGAACCGACTGGAGGAGGATTGAAAGATAGCGAGAGGATGCACAGAGGCAAGAAGACAGGTACAAAGAATACAGAGATGATGTTGAAGGTGCGCAGGAGAGGCTGTTGGATTGGAAAAAGGATGGTTTCAATCGTGTGTGTCTCACTCGCTTCGGTTCACTCACCCCGGGCGACGGCGACCCTGTCGTCTCGGAGCCACTTAACGGGCTTTAACGAAAAGAGACTTGCACAACAAAAAAGTCGCGACTCAGCCTCCGCACGCCGCAGTCTAACCGCCTACGGATTGGCCAGTTCTTAATTTGGTTCATATGGTTTTCAATTCTCGGTAACAATTCTCGCCTGCCATAAGCTTGCTACAAACCTAGAGTTCATTTATCATGGGCGTGAGCAGGACTGACATCCTTCCTTACGATAATGATCGAGTAAGTTGAATGTGTCTCCGGACTTCGATCTCCAAGGCAGTGCGAGTCTTGTCATTCATGAGCACGAACGTTTGGCATTCACCGCAGTACTGCTTCCTTCCAATCCAGCGTATCCTCGGCTCGGTCTGACCTCCATGTTTTGTTTCGTTGCTGACTGTTTTTTGGTTGTCGCGAGACAGAAGCACGCAATTCCTTGCTCTTCTCACAAGCCTCAATCACCGCAATTCGGCGTTTCAGAACGTCCATATCCATGCTCAATTCCACGTGGCCGGGTGCTGCTTCCGCAGCTCCATGGAACAAAGAGCGTTCTAATCCAGACAACTCCCAAGTTTGCTCGTCTTTCATGCTGCCGTCCACTCTCCGCTTCAAGGTTTTCTGAGGTGCTTCCCGTGCAGTGTGCGCCAGCGACATCGGATGAGCAATTTCATTTGTCATTGAGTTCTTCTTGAGACTGAGATTGGCACAGCTCGAGGTCAATTTGCTCCAGGATTGTTGTCGTACATGGTTGGAATCATGCATTGGTCTGGCTGTCGATTCGGCTGGCGGTCGTCCAGATTTGAATGGAGGATTCAGCGACATAACGTCCCGTTGAGCGTCGCATGGCGCAAAGTCAGATTGGAAGCAATGCGTGATACAACTTAGTAGGCGCTGGCATAAAACGATTGCTAAGGGTATTGCTTTTGCCAGACACGTATGAAGCCCGTCGAATTACGTAGTCTGGTCAGGGTGATGGTTGGTTGCTTGCATCCTCTCGTCTTTCGACCGAGAAGCTTTGCCTTGCTTGATACGCACGATGGCCCGTCTCCATTGATTGCTGCCTGGTCTCATTCACTGTTCAAGTAGCCAAGGCGTATGAGTGTGCCAAGATTCCCCAAATACCATTGAGCCGGGTTCAGCCCAAAGTCAGACCGGTATGTCGTACTCGAAGTACGAACGACTTTTCGTCATCTGGGACTAGCCATGCTTTGACACATTGAGTGGACTTGACATAACCTCCTGCGAGCGTTGCGCAACTCGGTGATCTTTGGTTCAGCATTGCCGTCTGTCTCGGACTCTGGCTTGGCGTCAGTTTAAGTCTTGGACATGAGGGGGATGTCAAAGAGACCGGCTTACCTATCGATGTGACTTGCTCTAACATCACGGAGCACCACCTGTCCGTCCATCGATGTTGCCGGAGGGTAGCATGAGTCCCAACCACCAGCCAGGGTGATTATCAGTCGACAGTGTCCCTGGGTACTGCATCTAGGCGCAGCTTGTGAATATACACATCAGAGATGGTAGAATCTGTCGATACATTTAGACGCTGTAAACGCCAGGCTCTCTGTCTTTTCACACGCAATCTTGATGAAGCGCAAGAAATTCAACATGTTCATTGCTCGATTCAGGCTTGAGTTGTCTGACTAGCGGCAACAGTAACTCGTTGTTCACAAGCTTGTTGCACTTATCGCAGTGCCTGGTTTTCACATCGCTGTAAGCGGCGAGCATTTCCTATGAACAACTTAGCTCAGTAGTAAGGACGCACAAGTAGGGAACCTTTCATACAAGGAAGACACCGAGGTTACTTGTGCCCCCGCTTTTTCCAATCGTGTCGACGATGCTATCTCGGAGAGCGAATGGCTCGGTATTCGGCTTTCCAGCCACCGTAAAAGCTGTAGCACCAGCTGTCTGATTCTGTTCGACACGAAGATCCAGCTGAGCAATGGTGATGTTTAGTGGCAAGGGGTGTGCTTCATCTGCCACGTCGAATTTGATGTCAGGGTGTTTTGCGCGAAAGTCGCTGACAATCCTAGCCAGGTCCGCATCGGTCTGGTGCTGCTGTCCGCTGCTGAGTCCATTGACCATGGCAGAGTGAGAATGTTGATTTCTGGCACGAATGACAAGGTCGCCGTAGTCCACACTCCAGGCATCTTCACCCTGGGGGGCGTCTCCTGTGTTGACAGCATGCCAGAGTTGTCGCACGTCCTCGCTGTGCCAGTCTTTCTTGAACTGTACTAGGTCCTGGCTACCTGCAAGCGCTGCATCTTGCAGGTAGTCCGCGAGCTTTTCCGGATCATACCCAAGCGGGTTTTCCAGAGCGAACCTGGTCGGGTTGATCAACTTCTCGGGCAACAAAGTCCGCAAAGCAGTGATCTGCCACATGTTCAGCAAGGCATTGCGGTATTGAGTGCTTCTGAGCGAGACTAACTTGAGTGGACATGCTCTGGAGTTTGGCTAGTGTTTCCACGATCTCACGGTCTTCCGCATCCGTGGTCTCGGGCGTAGTACTTGTGGCCGACATGATCGTCACAGCAGATTGTCTGGAGGCATGCGACAAGCCTCATGAACATTTAGCGATCCGTGATCACTGCTGAACTGCAAAAGTACAATTGAGTAGATCTTGCCCCAGAAGTGTGTGGGACAACCCTTTCGTAAATTGATAAGACCAGAGAGGGGTGCTGCGTCAACTTTGTAACACGATGGTCGATTCAAGGGTAAGGTACTTTTGGTCCAGATCGGCTAGGGACAGACAGGCCAAGCCAAGAGGGAAATTATAGCGATGATTACCTAATGGCATTGGAGATGTCTGTCAGGGGAAATGCTCCAAACACGCCAAGTGCACGTCTCAATCACGTGCTCGCATCTTCCACCAGAAATAGCTAGTACCTCGAGCTCTTTCTTGGGATCCAAAACGTTGTCAAACATTAAACGCCATATCTGAATGCGCTATTTGTGGTCTATTCCAGACCTGAAATATTTGGGGTCCGCTCCCCTCCCTTCCCTCATCTCGCTATGCTGTCGATCCAAGTGAAATACGCCCGTACGAGTGTCCCTAAGGGCCGATATGAGCCATCTTCGCGAGCATCTCTGCCACGACCCTTTTCTCTTCAGGATATATACACGTGGAGTCCCTCGCATTCTCGGGCCCGCGTGACCCCAACGTACTGACTCCTGCACTGTCTGGCTTCGAAGCAGGTTTTGACCAACTGTAAACCCCCTCGAAGACCTCGCCGAAGGTACCCTTCCCAGCTCCCGTGCATCTCTTGTAGCTCCCCGGCAGCGTCCCTGACAAGTTGACAACAGTGATGTTTGTGGAGACGTACATGTCCGAGTCAACAGTGGACCAGCTGTACCGTGACGTCAATAACTTCGGGACTCTCGTATTGTACCTTCATATGGAGGCTTGTTCGAAAAGACAAGTACGAGTACAATCCCCGACGGCATGACACGTGGTTTTACATGCGTGCTTTTCCCATGTGCCCACTGGAGTCATTCACTTACCGCGTCGAGCTTGTACCCGTCGAAAAACAACAGCTTCTGATGAGGTGCCATAGAGCTTCAACCTCAGAACAGCACACAGCGGTGGCCATTCCGTGATTCTAGAATGCTGAACCGGCGCCCAGATGGAGTTTTGAGTGCTGGACATGATGTTCATTTGAGTATCTCAATGGGGGTTCCATCACGAGGCAGCTTGTGATCCATGTGTTTTCAACGGGCCAACCTTACTTACAGCGTCCGCCGTCCGGAAGCCAATAAGGAAAGGGCGGCTTGTTCGACCTCCACACCTCGTTCATTCGGTCGGTTATCAAGCCAAAAGAACATGCTCAGATATGTAAGCTGCCGGGATGAGGTGGTCGGAGATGTTAAGGGGTTCAATACTTGCCGTCTCGCTGATTAGCGCGATACCCTACTTCCAGATGCACAACAATAAAGGAATATGACCAGATCGACAGTTACACTCACCGCATGCATCGGTGCTCATGCGGCAATAAGTTATCGTCGTATGCAGCATACCCGACTGGCATTCGGGGACCAGATTGCATGGACGAGTCATAATGGTACACTCCAGACCCCAGGTGAACCCAAAGAGCCGCGATACCAGATCAGGGTATTCAGCTGAGTTCGGGATCGCTGCTTGCCGGCGATATCAATGTGCACTTGACGTACATTGACTGCTTATCAATTCCCAGATTCTGTCCAAACTTCGAGTGGGTGCGAAATGCTATGTTTCATTAGCAATACTGGCCCCGGACTATGACTCTGAAAGTGATTTCTAGAATCGGCAATAATCACGAAAAGGGGTATAGTCTCGCATATAAGCGTCCTGGCCTTGGGCAATACTACCCCAAAGGCTCGGTTTTATGCCACTATCGGGAGTATTGGTCAGTGCCGAACGTATAACCAGGGCAAGTGGTTGAATGCCACAGAGCCAGAAACATCCCTACAGGCATCCCTCTGGATCTCACGCTCGCGCCGGTAAACGCGTGGTGAACAGTGATAGGATCAAGCACGCATTTTCAAATCGCGCAGTGCAGCGGATACCCCAATACTTGTCGTGGGGTTACTACTGCTTTGAGGACAGAGCGCCTCATACCCCCAGGTTCGCCCAGTTCCGTTGTGGAATCATGCTTACATACGACCCAGACGGTCGGGGTTAGGCCCTTGGCCACCATCAATAATAACGCTGAAGAGCCCAAACGAATACGAATATGGCCATGGGCGGATGTCCCATACCAAAACCGACGGACGATCAGGGTCGGAGACTATCTCTACCACCAGCGAATATCTCCAGCCTGTCGGAAACGGCGATGGACTATTGGCCGGACACCACACGAATAGTGCCTGCGGGACAATTTCAAACCGATGACGCAGCGAATCTCGTTCAGAGTGATGTTTCTGTTAATTCAGCCTGTCGATCGTGCAAGGCTTAGGAGAAAATCCAAGAAAGCTAATGACTCTGTAGCCTCCGCTGTTAAGCGGGTACGGATGTTAGATGAGATCAACGAGCTCGGGCCGATAGTACTTCCTGGGCATATGTCGCGACATCGAGCTGTCTAGGTATCGGCGTGACCTGAGACGACTGTCACGGGAAAGGAAGCAGAACGGAAATCCACCAAACCGGTCAATCTTCCACAAATTGCAAGCAGGACCATTGCATAGGTATAAGCTTCCCGCCACAAACTGTGTGTACATAGTATATATGATTTGAGGGGAAAAGACCAGTCAGCAAAGCTGGGACGTATTCGGACGAGCAGACTTCGTCCGAGGTGACCACTTGAAACGGCCAGAGATCAAAGCGGCGCAGGTGGCTTTGTCAAAATGCAAATCACCCCTATGGCCCGGGATTTCAGTCTCACCCACAGATTGGCGTCCACTAACTGGGCCGCGAGCACCGCCTAGCATGGGTCAAAATTAGCCCTACCCGCGGCACTGGTGTCCACGCTACTGCAGCCCCGACCGCGCTGTGTCATAGGGCGAAAACGAAGGATATGGGCGAACAATGTGAACTCTCGTTCGATACCATACAGCGCTAGTAAACGAAGCCCACGTTCAGAACGTCGCCATTACTGCGTTACCTTCCGACTCACCGCGCCAGTTCAGCAAAATGCCTGGCCCCTCCGCCAGTATCACCGTCTGCATGTGTATCAGCCTACCGGTACGAGCCAGTTGTGCCTCCATTCTCCAGTCCCAATCCTTGGATTCCACGCTGTTTGGGACATTTGTCCAACTGACCACTGACCACGCACTGACACTATGCATCTGTGGAGCGTTTCCACCATCCCTGAGCAATTGTGTCTTGACCGTATTTGTGGCAGTATGGCTCAGCAGCCCTGTGAGGGACCCACCACCTCGCTCTTAACACTTTGACTTTCGTGCAGAGGTCCCAGTACGGTCAGCAGCGAGGAGGGGACCAGGGTGATCCGTAGCCCTACAAGGTAGTGCCCACCCATGGGACCTTTGCACACAGGCACCAACACGACTTAAAGTTTCGAAAGCATTTCGAATCCTACTATTCATATGCCTCTTCGCCCCCAGGTAAGGAGCTCTTGATTTCAGTCCTATCGAAACACCTGTTGCGAAATTTCCCTGATACGAGTACTCTGTCCGAGACCGTGAATGGAAGCCCAGTCTGGTCGGCCAAGAGCAAAGAGAGAAAGCATATATATGCATCGACGACCTCCCCTCGATCCTTCAACTTAATAATATACCAGTATAAGGTCATCCATCTCACCCCTCGGGCAACTTGCAGCAGTTATGGCCGTTGATACCGAAGCAATCTTCTCCATCACACCCCCGCCCAGCGAGTTTGACGAATTCGACAAAACCGGCTTACTGAATTGTTGCTCACCTTCCCTCCCGGCCTTTACTTATCCATCGCCTGCTCCATCGAGCAGTCACGGACACACTGCGTCGGTGTCCTCCGACTCTCTATTCATGTTGCCCGGAATATCTATGTCTGAGCCCCAATCTCACGACCTGCAGCATCTATCATCTTTTGACGACAATCCGTCTGATTCAGCCTCCTTTTTCCCAGTGCCAACGGTTGGCGATCCTTCTGGCATGGCTCACTATACTGCTGCTGCGACCAGCAATTCCACCGCGACCGCCAACACCCCCTACAACATGTATGAACAATCAGGTCACTGGTACCAGTTCCCCAACTACTCCCAACCCACACCCATGATGCCCTACGAAACCACCACAACCACGCACACACAGTTCAACAACCCATTTGAGCACCATTCAAGTCATCACTCCATGGCCAACATCATCCCCCCGACTCCCCAGGACATGCACCCATCATTCGATTTCAATGCGGCGCCTCTCCCCTCCAACGCCCACCTGATCGCTTCACCATCCTTCTCCGTCGTCTCACGTCCAAGCCGCAGCAGCCTGTCGTCGCTGTCGAGATCATGCAGTCCCATCCCCTCGCTCACAAGAGGTCTGTCATTAGAGTCGTCAAGTTTCCGCCCGCAGATGCGCTCCCACTCCAACTCCTCCAGCACGTCCCTGCATCAGTACGGCATCCCCGTGATGGAGCAGCATCCACCGTCAATGATCTCGACCGCCAGCCTCACACCATCATCCGGCGGCGCAACCACGCAAGCCTGGCGCTGCGCATATCCCGGCTGCACATCGCGCGCAACCTTCACCCGCGGCTGTGACCTGCGCAAGCACTATAATCGCCACAGCAAGCACCTCTTCTGCCGGATCGACAATTGCCCTCAAAGCGAGGCTACCGCCGCTGCACGCGCAAAGTCCGCCGACCAGCCCCTGACCGGCGGCTTCTCCAGCAAGAAGGACCGCGCCCGCCACGAGGCCAAGCACAATCCAGGCATCAAATGTGAGTGGCACGGGGCCGACGGCGAAGAGTGCTCCCGCGTCTTCTCCCGCATGGATAACATGAAGGACCACGTCCGGCGCATTCACAACAAGGGCCAGGCCCAACCCCAACAGCTGCAACAGCAGCAACAACAACCAAAACCAACCCAGGCGCAACGCTCAAATCGAAAGTGAGTTGGCCTCGGGAAACCCACCCTACACAAGATGGGTTGTCTTGCGCGCTGCACGTTTAGAATTTTTGTCGGCCTTGCAAGAAAGACTGCGAATTGTCTCAACTCTACGTTTTGTCTACGTTACGACCAATCATCACTATTGATATCTTACGATTTTCCTATCCATCGTTATTGGGAAAGAAGGGCGGCGGGCGGCTTTTCTCCTTTCGGAGGTACAAAACTGGACGAACTTTACGGGTTCTATGTGATCATATTTTAATGCCATCCTCCCACCTTCTTTGACACACTGAAATGTGCTGAGCAGTGTGGTGTGGGAGGACGCTGGGCAGAGGGAGGGAGGACCTTGGGCAGGACAGGGCGTGCCTGGAGCATGGTGTTTACTATTAGTCGTTTTGATACCAGGAAGTCTTCGACGAGAACAGTCGCTACGTTACAGCTTTGCACGAAGGAAGGCTGACTGGGAGTTGAGGACCGAGATAGCCAAAATCGTTGTGTCGCGGGAGTCTCAAGATCTAGAACCCATATGCATCATGACATGCTACACAATAATCTTGAGAACTTGTGTTCTCCTCCATTGCATGGCACTTTCGACATTCGCGCGATATGTTTCCGGGTGCCAGACTTGCACAGGAATAGAAGACTTGTCGTTGCACAGCCCAGGCAGCAGTGTCACTTCGAAGGGCTTAGTTTCCAGCCCGCGAAACTATCCCATTTGGGTTATTGACCGGTAGCGCCCTAAGAATATGTCTGTGTGGCAGCTCGGTCACAGGTGTCGCGGATCGTCGCGTTACGGCCGAGTGTCATTTCTGGTGACTTACCATAAACGGATTTGATAGCATACGCATATGCTGTTCAGGCATGCCGTAGGCCGAGTAACAAGTGTACTTGCACAATTGTGCATAGGGATCTCCAAGTTGTGCGTGTGTGTCCCTCGTTCAGCCCTACTGCAAGGCACAGCAATTGGGCAAGTGCCCGTTTCTTGGTTGTCAACGGAGCAAATCCTACTCCGTTCCCACATGGTGCAAAACTGTGGGAAAAGGCCAGCATGCTTGGGTGAGCAGTGACATTTCAGCTTGGGTTCCACAACATCGAAAATGGGGGCAGGGGGGTGACCCTATGCACCGGCGGAAGATATGCCATTTGTTGCTGTCAGACTCAGGTGTGCAAATCGCGAGTATGAGTGCAGTTCCCACGCCATTGAACGAAACCGGTGTTTCCAACTAATAGAATAGTTGCTGCATATTACTGGACAAAACGGAAAAAATGCCAGCGCGTCGATGTTGCTTTCCTGGTGGGGGCCAGAGTTCGAAGCAATCGTTGCTCCAGAACCGTGATCACGATGTTGAATGTGATAGATTTCATAAGCAAGATGTACGGTGTATAGGTCGTACGGTAGACCCGTTGGCAGTCAATCTAACCCCATCAGTTGCAGGAAAGCGAGTAGTCCCTTCTATAGGAGCCAATGGCCTCACCCCAATTGCGCGGCCATTCCATCAAACGGCTCCTGATATACTGAGACCCACCGGACACGGCACAACCCTGGTCTGTTCCTTTGTCAGATTTGTTCGTAGCGGTGACCATGCCTCATCCTTGACCGTAATTTGGAGGCGCCAGTCCAAGGATCGGCAGTCGCAGATTTTTGACTTGTTCGCGATGATCTCCTGATGGCGACCGGGAGGCTGGAGCTTGTGAGAGGGGGGTCTTCTTAGTGCGTTATGCAGCTTTGACTTTACACCTTGCCAGCATCGCAAAGCTTGAAGATAACGTTACCAACAGCTATGGGGCGTCTGCGGAATGACGGAGTATGGCTTGTTGGTATTGAGATGAAAAGGCTATGTCTGACAACTCAGATTCCGATGTGCGTCCCGTACAAGCAACGAATGCGAGTATGTCCAAGGATAGGCCGTCAGACGAGCAAACCTTTCCCCAAGTGACTATCATCACTCTTTTGAGTAGCATGACTAATGACCCTGCGGCCCCCATGTTAGATCGACGGAGCTGAAGCGTCTGTGGGCACGGACTTAAGGTGTTTGTGACCTTCTCCTTCAAGATCCGAAAGCAGTGAGATTGCCTATTTCAGAGAGTATGGGTGAGAGCGTCCATAGTCACTCGGTACATGAGTCTCTCCGTATGAACGAGTGAATCGCGCCCATTTCTGATCAGCTAACCGGTGTAGTCTGCAGACCAGGATATTCCTGTACTCCAGTTCAGTGGAACTCTGGGCCGGGAAACCGACGAGTCCCTGCCTGACTTTTCCGACAGCTAACCCGGAATCTGATCAATGAAAGAGAGCAAAAGGACCAGCGGGGGGATAGCGGAGGTTACATCGTACCTTGACAGCACCCGCCCGTACGATGCTAATGGATGGAATACTTCGGAGGTTCCCAGAACCAACACACTTTGGATGCTTTCGTCTAAGCTAACTTATTTTCGCATTCGAGGAGTCGATAAGAAGCTCGCCGAAACTGTGGAACTGGCTTCTTGCGAAGGGCTTGCGAAGGTGAGCACCAAGTATTGGTGGATCACGCCGCTCGCGGTATCTTTCCCGTATTTCGCAGTTTTATACGACCCACAGGCTCCTGACCTCCTGTCCAGGATCTGTCGCCCTGGTGGATTCCGCAATACAGCCCAGGCCACTTTGGGTACTGGCCTACCCCTTCGTTATTCGTTGGGACTGTAGAGTTTTCGTTTATTGATGGCCCGCCGCCAGGTGGATGGACCAGTTGCCGTGCTCCATCATGAATTTGGCCCCATATTCCTAGCAAGGAAGGTGCTGGTGCTGCTGCACAAGGTACGAGTTCTGTGTTGGAGTACTAGTGACTTCTCATCCATCCACGTGGTTGTACCTCCGTACCATTTTCCCGAATGCGAAAGAGACATCGGTTTGGAGACGATATCGATGGAGACTCCTATGTCCATACGTGAACATCCTGGAATCGTCCTTTCAGTAGCTGCACTTCATCGTTCGACCGATTGTGAGACTCGTGGCATCGGAGACGAACCCGAAGTAATAAGTCGCTACAAGCCACGGGAAAGGTACGGGGCATTGCGTACTGATCTCGACATAAGCGTGGGAAATCCTCGGACCATGCTCGGTCTAGGCTTCCGGGGATTTGGGGAGGGTCCAACACACAACAGGATATTTTGTCTCCATCGTGATTCATGATATGTAGAAATGGTCGGCATACCTGAAAGACTGATTTGGCGCAGGCTGGGTGTCGTCAATCTCCTTTTACCCGCAGAGCTGGCTGGCAACAGGTGAAGGTGACCCTGGGCCCTGGCACCATCTTGGATGAATGTTCTCCTGAGAGATAAGACTTTCGGTACGTCCCAACCAGGTTCCAGAGGTCGTCCAGGGGGGAGGGCTGGGATCAATGTTGCGATCTGCATCATGCCTGTCTTGGGCAGTGCACATTCTTGTCCCTGGACGATGTATTGCCGTCGCGGACCCAGAGGACTGGGTCTTAGCGCGAGCTCGCCCCAGCAGTCAGCAGCTTATTCGTACCGTAGGTCGGGACCTGGACTGCCGGGTCTGGCCAGGTAGGAATGCCTTGAACGATCAGCTGTATTCCTTCTCTTCCAACGTATAAATTACCATCTGGGGGCGGAATCGGCGTGTTTTCCGTCTAGCCAAAGTGGCTATTCTCCTTGATTAGGTGATCGATAACGAAACACAGCATGTCAAGGATGCTCGCCGTTCAGGATGGCCAACGGCACTATATCGTGTCCATCGTGGCCTTTACACAGTCAGCACACTGGATAATCCTTCGTCTCGGCATCGTCCAAACCCTTATCGTACCGCACAAAGGTCAAACATGGCCAGGTCGAGAACGGGCTGGAAGTGACCCAAGCGCGCTTGAAAAACGGAGAATGCAGCAGGAAGGAACCAGGATGCAGATGGTAGGTTGACTGGAGGCATGTGGTGGTGCCTTCTCTCTGATATTTACGACACGTGGTCATTTCAGGAGCGCAGAAGTTGTCACTATTGGATCTACAGCTTCACCTTGGCCCCGGAGGTCTCCTGCAATTGTTTCACCAGACTATAAGCCCACTCACCATACGGGCTCATCTGTGCAGCATAGTTTTTGGCGGTCGTGCCACTTGCCTGGCGTTGAGCATACCTCGCTGCGATGCCCTGCATGATAATGGCGCCCCTGTATCCTCCAAAGGCGTTGCCCCAAGCCAGTTCCGGACGAACATCATAACCAGAATCCTCAGTGTACCATTCTGTTACTTGATCCAACGAAGGCAGGCCCGGGGTTGCGCCGGATGCAAAGTGTTCCACCTCCTTGCCGGAATGAGCAGAACCACTCACCCTTCCCACCCAAACCCATGGCGCCGTCACATTCACGAAATCTGATAATGGATGTCCGATGGTGGCCATTTCCCAATCGAGAATTCCAATAACTCGTGGTTCAGTCTTGTGGAATACGAGGTTGTCGATCTTATAGTCTCCATGGATCAGGGTCGTGCGATCCTTCGGTTGTGTCGACTTTTGTTTGAAGAAAGCAACCATGTCATCGAAATGAGGTATATCGCCTACGGGCACTTTGGTATCCACGTCTGCAACAGCAGCTTGCGCCTTCGATAAAGTGCCGAAGGTCTTTAACTGGCGGTCGTAAAACCCGCCATGTCGACCAAAATCTGAAAGACCGACCTTTTTGAAGTCAACTCGGTGGAATTTTGCCAGTGTCCGTATAGCATCGCGCCACCTGTGGTAACGTCAGATCTGGTCTCATGGGCCAGTACAGCGTTGACCTACATTTCTGTTCTCTCCTCCGCACTGAAGCCGGGAAAATGTGGCTCAGTGACCATGCGGCCATCCAGGAATTCCATAACGTAGAATGGTGTTCCAATGACACCACTGTCTTCGCACATGCAGTATGCCTTCGGTACAGGCACATCCGTCTCTTCAAGAGCCTTGATGATCTTGTACTCCCGATCTACTCGATGTGCAGTCTTTGAAAGCAGTTTGCCCGGTGGTGCCTTTCGCATCACATATTTCGTGCCAGTCGAGTCGGTGATCTGATATGTAGGATTGGACTGGCCAAAGCCGAACTTCACAGTGTCAGTCACAGGTCGCATGTACCCACGGTTGCAGAGTATATTACCTGCTTCAGTTCCAGTGGGGTCTTGATCTCAGCCACATTCTTGTCAATGTAGCGCTCTAACGAGGGCAAATCGATCGGCTGTCTGACTTGGCCTGCCATCTTCTCGACTATAACATCGTCAATTATGGGAAGAGGATTGGGCTCTGAAGCAGAGCGCAGGCAGGTCATTGAAGTCAGAGGCTGGTTCCGAGGAACGGCTCGCGGGTTGCCATTTCCAGGTCTTACCTCGGCTCAGGCATTGGCCGCTTGTCCGCGAGTCACCGAGTTCAGGTACCTACCTACAGTAGGTAGCGACTCCAAGTACGTTGAAACATTGGAGCAACTTAAGCATCAATTGCCGGCGAGCATAGGCTCCAAATTCGCTGCACGCGTCGCCCTGTACTTTACGCGTCTTCCCCCATTAATTGCATGTGGGACGCCTTTGACATTTTAATTCACCACTCTGCGCTATCAACCCCAGAGTCTCAGAGCAGAGAATGACAAGAGCTTCGACACCTCCAGCAGCCGCAACCACGAACGGAGACCATCAAGCACCATCGCTGCCCAATTCACCACTTGCCAAACGCTTAAAGCCCAACGAACCAGCCTCCAACATGGCACCAGACACTCCAAGCGTTCCTTCACTTTCCTCACAACCTCCTTTGCTGATCAAGAAACTGTCTGCCGATGCATCCACACCTACGCGAGGCTCAGCGTACGCAGCAGGCTACGATCTATACGCCTCCAAGCCCACCACCATCCCGTCCCGAGGCAAGGCACTTGTCTCGACAGATCTGTCAATTGCAACACCGGAAGGAACATACGGTCGCATCGCACCCAGGTCCGGTTTAGCATCCAAGCACTTTATCGACACAGGAGCCGGTGTCATTGACGCAGACTATCGTGGGGAGGTCAAAGTCCTGCTATTCAACCACAGCGAGGTGGACTTCGATGTGAAGAAGGGAGATCGAATTGCACAGTTGGTCATCGAGCGGATATACACTCCTGAAATTGTCGAGGTAGACAATCTAGAGGAGAGTGTAAGAGGAGCTGGCGGTTTCGGAAGCACAGGACACTAAGCCTGCACGGAGCTTTCAGAAGCGGGCTGTACTATGGCGTCTTTGGGCATCACAGATTCAAGATAGACGACAACTTTACAATATGGAACCCCACGATTGATGTAGAAACGCCAGGCTGTGACACGATCACCACATCAAAGCAACAAACGCTCCGGGACCCAAGTCTGTTGGCTTCCCATATTATACCTCCATCGCCACAGCTTTGTACCTCTCCTCAGGGTAGACCAGATCTTTTGCGTTCCTCACCACCCTGACCTCCGCAGCCTTGGTTTGCGCCAAATACGTCCTCTTGTCCTCGCTATCACTGTCTGTAGCCCCAAGACCTTCCACGCCGCCCACGCTCGCCCCAGGACTTAGCCCGAACTTGCTCATCTCCTCATCCCTTGCGGTGATGGTTTTTTCCAGCACCATCTGCATACTGCTCAGCACCTTCTCCGTAGCTCTGGCTAGTGGTAAGTCCACCGCCTCGACGTCGTCATCGGGCATCCACCCTGCCCGATCGAGCAGATCCATCTGCGCGCACGCCTCGCGCAGCCTCCCAACCATCAACGCCGCAAACATATCCCCAGTTCCGCTGAAGAAGACATCCAGCTTTGGTACCTCGACCTTGAAGAGTCGCGCGCTGCCGTCGCGGCGCTTACTGCTCCCCACGACTGTCAGAACACCCTGCTTTTGGGTCTTCGCGTCCTCGTCTGCCACCGCAGCATCCCCAACCGTAACACTGGTCACAACCACATGATTTGTCCCGTAAGTCTTGTGCAGTGTGCGCACGGCGTTTGCCACGCCTGTGAGGGTCGAAATACTCACTCCGCTGAGCAGCTCGGCTTCGAATTGATTTGGCAATATCAGATCGGCCTCCCGGATTAACTGCTTGAACGCGGGCACGATGTCTTCCGCGACATACAACCTGCCCTGGTCGCCCATAACGGGATCCAAGACCCAGAAGAAATTGCCTGGCTTGACAGTCGAGCGATACCGCAGATCGCGCGCAATCAGGCCAATCGCATGGACGACTGCGGCGCTGGGAGCATAGCCGGACAACATCATACCGAAGTCGGTCAGGTAGGATTGGCGCAGGCCATCGTAGAGTTCTGTGATTTCTTCCGCAGGTGTCCGTCGGCCTTTGAACTGGCGGTAGCCGGTGTGGTTGCCTGTGAGTCAAGGTTCAAATCATCAGCTCGGAATGTCCAGAACCAGCAGCTGAATTTGCGTCCAACGTAGACGTGGCCAGAAAGACGAGACGAATTTCGAACTTACTGAACTGTACCGTATTTATAGCAGCAACATCACATCCCAGTGACTGAATGACAAAAGTTGCCATGGTATTGCCGACATATCTACCAATGGCGCAAACCCGTTGGTCAACGACTGGTCTTCTCTTGAGAATGACCATCGGGAAGCAGGATGGAGAGACCTACCCATACACGACCTTATCATAACTAGTTAGTACACAAACTTCCAAACCTCAACGGAAAGAGTAGGGGAATATATGACAGAATGGTGAGAATTCGTACATGGCTGGCGACGGCTAGCACTTTTGTTTCCGGTATCGACAACTCGGAAGAGGCCATCTTGACAAGGTGAGCATGTAGGAGCTTCCAAATGATCCGGAAAGCAGATTTCAGTTTGCTTGCATACACCTTGTAGCCGAGCAAGGGGCAAGTGATAAAGAGTAACAAGATATCGAACCCCGGAATTGATAAGATTTTCCCGTAAACATGACGCACAAACCTCGATATCTTTTCTGATAAGGCTGACCAACCGTGGCTGCCCCCTTTTTACATCGGTCTCGGATCAAACTTGTTCCGAGCGCAGGCATTCTGCCTGCGATATGATTGGACTCCCATTGAATTACCCTTCTTGGAATACTTCACTCACCATCGCGGCCGGCTCATTCTTTTTCCACATCCAACAATGAGAGCGACACGGCCGGCTTCTCTCTTGACTACCAGATTACCATGGCCACCTCTCTTTGCCGTCACTCATCGAACCTTTAGACCCGGTCCTCGAATTGCACCACGACCTGTTCACTTGCGGATCGTCACCTCTGCAAGAACAGTGTCTAGCCTGGCTCGCACATTCCCAAGCGACGGCTTCAAGGTGCTTCCCTTGGACAAGCCCATCGAAGAAGAGCGATTCCCGAACCACGATGCCGAAAACTACTACCCTGTGCGCCTCGGTGACATCTTCCAGGCTCGATATCAGAATTGTTAAGATCGGCTTCAGCATCACTTCCACAGTCTGGCTCTGCCGGGATCTCAAGTACGTCCTCCACATTGGTCCATGCCCTATTCCTGATTGTACTGCCCTAGTGCATCTTGCTGACAACGAGGCTTTTACCGTGTAGGGAGAATATCCTTTTGACCCTCAAAGTCTGCACCACTGGAAAAGAGGGCGATAATGAGCTCACCATCTCCCGCCATCTCGAATCACAAGATGCATATGTCGAAATGATGAGTTCAGAGCACCCTGGCAAAGATAAAATCCGCGTGGTTCTCGACGACTTCGAGATCGAAGGACCTCATGGATCCCATAGATGCCTGCTGTTCACCCCCCTGGGGCAGACCTATGCCGGTTTTCGATATTATGAGTGCCCAGAGAAGACTCTCGACATGAAGGCCGTACAATTGAGCATGCTGAAAATTTTGCAGGGCCTGGCTTTCATGCACCAGTCAGGTGTGGTACATACAGGTTTGTCCCATGCTTCGCTCATCAGGTAACCTGCCAGCTAAACAACGTTACAGATCTCGCGCCGGATAACATTCGTTTTGGGGCCAGCAGTGCAAGTCTTGATTCAGGTATGGGCGTGCTGTGAGCTTTCGGAACAAACATACCCCACTCCGCGAAAGATTCTCTCGGATCGAGTAATTCACAAAACCTGGGACTTGAGTACGCCTGTCACTTGTTGGGACCCGGTGATTTGCGACATCGGTCTTGCTCGCTTAGGAAGGCCGGGGCAAAAATACTCGTACTGCTATGGCGATATCACGTCCGGGGATTACAGGGCACCTGAGGTCATTCTTGACATGGAATGGGACCATAGGATAGACATATGGTCTATAGGGGTGATGGTATGCGCAGCATTGTCCGAAGCCTTTTTCACCTGTCGGCTCTGACCTAATGATATAGATTTGGGAGTTGTTCGAAGGGAACACGAACAGTCTCTTTTGTGGAGTGAAGGACGATATTCTTGATGATGAGCTACATCTTGCAGAGATGGTGTCGGTCATGGGACCCCCACCAAGGAAGTTCCTGGAACGGAGTGAGAAGTGCCGAAAGTACTGGGACTGCGAAGGTGAGCGAGACGTGCGCATGGGACAATGAACTGTTCTTCTTATCGGTATGGCATCACTAACAAACGCAGGCAACTGGATCGCCACAACACCGGTTCCCAACCAGACACTCGAGACACGCGAGACACGCGAGACACGTTTAGAGGGGGAAGATAAGGCGCAGTTTCTCAACCTTGCACGCAAGATTCTACGCTGGCTCCCTGAAGAGAGGTCGTCCCTGGGGGAGCTTTACATGGACGAGTGGCTCAACCAATCTAAGTTGTCTACATGAGCACCTAATATTTCACCGCGCATCGGCATGGCTCACCACATCTTCCTGGCTGTTGTTGCTGAGCAGCATTCGATAGTTAAGCTTACTCCACTCACATCATCAATCAAGTTCAGACCTGCGTATGTGGGTTCAACTGGGTTCAGTGTCTCAAAGATGATGGTGGGAATAATCTTCTTCTCGTATGCACGTCGTGGGCTTTCATACCCTCATCGTGAGAGTCTTCTGCTCGTACACCTACTTCTTGATGCACGGCGAGTCGGCGAGAGACTGCCGCTGTTCAATGACTCCCAGCGAGCATTGCATAATCCTGTCCTGTCTTTACTCTCCTCTTCAAAATCTGTATAGTCGTGAAAAGTGTCGCAAGTTCATAACACTGCCCAACAAGCGTCATTGAAATGCTGCTGGTGAATGTAGCTATATCAGTAGTATAGGTCTTATGATAAGTCTTCGCTTCATGATCATTTTTACATATCGTTCATACGAGTTCGTTAGAGATGGCTACTTCTATGCCCCCTGTTGTCGTCTGTCCGAAAATGGCCGTTTATCCCAGTATTGTCAGTTCATGTCTCCTCAACGGCAATAACCACCCTTCTTCAATGTCAAGAATCTCCTGGTCAGCCTTGGTGTGATTGTCGCTGTGCCACTGCCTGTGATCCAGGTGCAACCAGGTAAAGAACATCTATTTTGGAATCCGGAAGCGATGTCCTTCAGCTTCGACAGTCGCATTTTCTGAGAACCAGCTGGAGACGTCCTCGATATAAGTCCAGTTCCTGCCTGTCGTTGCTGGTGTTAGTGAAGGATGGGATGAGAAACGGATGATGGAAAGAATGGAGACCTCCGGCATGAACGCCATAGAGCGCAATGGAAACGGAAAATAAAGGGATACCAAAGAAAGGGATATGAGGTTCTCATTGGAAGGGTGCTTAAACCCTAACCATACCCAAAGCGACGTGCCCGCCTAAGCCGAAGGCAGGTGTGCCAGCAGTAAATTGCATGCTACAGCACCAGAGATCTGACTGTCATGACACATATTCACCATACATGAACCCGTTATCGCCCAAGCCTTTTCATTGCAAAGCCTTGCGCATGCGCAGACGCCATTACCACGCGGTTCCCATATCGTAACACCTCATGACACCATTTCCACCATCGTGCATCCGAGTCTCACGTTTATTCGTCATCGCCAATCTAGACACGTATAGTCAGGGGATGTTCTTGGACAATCAATACACGACATACCTTGGGAGCTAGATAGAACCGTAGGTAACTGCTTCCGGACAGTCCGTATTCTACCAACAGGGGCACTTCCTGGGAGAGGCAGAGCTTGACGGTGGCGGAGAGACCGCTAGCTTTGCAGAAGTTGACCAAATATTTGAGGGAGAAAGTCAGAGAAACCGGCTCGGAAAGGTGGATGGAGACAGCCTGCTCAGGCTTGTCAACGTTGCTGTGTTGTCGGACCGTAACACTGCCATTTCCAATGTCGCCTTGACACGAGAATCGCACACCATCTTTGCTCGCCTCGATAGACACTGTCGATATGAGCCAATTTGTCGCCTCATCGTGTAGAGCCTAACATACCTGACTCCGACATGGCCAGCAAATCGCGGCAAATACGCGAGAACTCTGCAGCAGGCATCTCGATTGTAGCCGCGTATTCAGTGTCCGGAATTCCCAAGTGCTCTTGATCAATATCCATCAACTTGATGTCATACTCGCTCAATCGGTCCGTCTCGCTGCTTTCGAAGACCAGGTTGACCACATCCGGAGCATCTTCGGCCTTGAGGGTGAGGATGTCTTCATTCTGCGCGGCGCGGAGGACTTTCGTCAAGGAGTTGAGGTTGATACCAAGGGCAATGTTGCGGTCGCATCGGTAGGGGGAGAACATCTCGGCTTTGAGCATCATAGAGACGAGGGCGACGTGGGAGTTGTCCATGGCTTGGAGCGCCACACCCGAGTCATTGCAGTCGAAGTTACAATCTTGGACTAGATCTTTGATGGCATCGACGACCTTTCACAAACGTCAGAATTACTTTCGAATCACAAATGCAGTTTCGCACCTTCTTCAGGTTGGCCGCCTGTTCTAGACGTGCTTCCAGCACTGCGACGAAGGTCAGTATGTGGCAGATCGTGACAGAAGGTAGACTTACTCTTGGGAGTTGTGTGTGTGTGATGGGTGAGGATCGAGTGAGGTGTGAGTGCGTTAATGGAACAAGGGCAGGTTGAGGTTTGTTGATTCTGATGATGAGGATTTTGCTCCCACGGACAGAACACGATCTCGTGAGGGCGAGATCGCGTCGCGTTTAGACTAGACCATATCTGGATTAATTGACTTTGCTTGGCATGAGATGCCTCAGCATAGCACGTGACCTTCCACGTGCCTCGTGGTTGCTTACATATTACGTCACTATCCGATTCGCGTAATGCGGCTTTATCGGACGAGGTATTTTCAACGTCGCCGAAGCGCTTCAGACTTCCCGGACTATGAGGTATAGTCTTTCAACTTCTCGTATGCATGGAACATCTCAGTCCCCGAGATCAGCACTCACCCACGGTCTCTTGATGATGTGAACGCGAGATGATCGTATCTGCTACCTCACGTGCGTGATTTCCTGCGCCATGCTCCGAGCGCAGGGCCGCGCAAAGCCCCCTGGGGCACTGGACGACTCGTCCATAATCCCTGTTGTCCAGCTGGAAAGATCATGCAAAAGTCCCAAGTGTCGAGACACTCAGCTCCAGGCAGCAGCATCAACATGTCCCTGGAGGTTACCCCTGGCTATCTCTCAGCCTTGCGAGATCATGGACTCCAAACGGAAGCGACATTTCCGTTCCGTCACCTTTCGCCACTCAACCAGACTGTTGCTGGGCATCGTTCAGTAAATCAGTAAAGGGTCTCTTCTCATTCGGACGCTCCGAGTGGGGTATCATTCCAAGGACGCTCTTGGCCCAATTTGTCGGTAAGTGCAACTCTAGACGAAAGTGTTTCCAGCACATCCGACCCGTTTCCCGCATGCTTCTGCAGAGTCTATCACGAGGCTTGAGTCAGCCCGATCTTGACTACGGCTGCCTGCTCGACTCGCATGTTCTAGGTAGCATCGAGCCCTATGTGGTGCCGCTATTTGAGCTGGTGGCAAAGTGACAGGGCGATATGTGGGCACAACTTAAGAAACGTTACTGATTGCAGTATGCCGGCATGTCCTTTTGTTGGCATGCAGGGCTGGTCCACCACCATGAGAAAGGATCTGCGCTGGGCAGCACAACATGCTTGCCCAGTTCGACGCGTTGCAGGAAGGAGAGTTCACTGAAAGGGAGAAATGTGACGTCCTCTGCAAGGGCAGCAGCCCGGTTGCTAATCATGAAAAACATGCAAAAACACTCCGGAGCTTGTGGCGATATGGTACCATGAAAAAGGTTTGCTGCCCACCGCGCGCAAGACCAGGAAAGTTCAGCCAACGATTGGGATGGTAGTATTGGCAAGAACGTATCTTCTCTATCAGGTATGAGCCAGGCCAGGCACAAGTGATTGCTTTTGACGATTCCGACGCATACTCTCAGCTCTTTCTAATGAAGAGAAGTATGCTATACATGAAACCCAGACCTTAAGCGCCAGCGCTGTTTTTCTAAAGTTGAGCGAACCTCCATCTCTCGGTCCACCTCAATCTATCAAGCGCCCATAGTCATCGAGATAGCTGTGCGAAAGTTAGCCAACCTTATCGGCCACCGTAAATGAATCGCCCGTACCTCTGCAAATAGGGAGATAGTCGGAATTCTTGTATCTGGGACGCTCTTCGTAGGTATCGAATCGCTCTCGTGAAGTATTGTTCTTGGTTTTGGGAGTATTCCACATTGCCGAGACTCATGTTGATCTCTGCAGCCTGTGCAGACATTGAAATTAGCATCGGCGGCGCGGTGTAATGGTCAGGTGCGCATTACCTCAGACAAAAGCTCGCCAGTTGTTCCGCCATCCCTGTCGGCCAGCTCAACAGCCCTGACGAAGTAGTCAACCGCTGGGATGAGCATGCCACGTGCTTCAACGTAGTCCGCCGTGTGTGCTCTGGCATCCGCTTCCATGATCGCTCGCTCTGCATCTCTAGCTTCCTCTGCCGATGAGTAGGACATTCTCTCGCTCATGCTGTGTGGTCGACCACTGCTTCCACTCGACGAGCTTCCTTCCACACGATGTATTCGTGCAAGCGCGATTTGGGAACGGGCTAGCCATGCTTGTCCGACACCTGAATGCTACATGTCAGTCCGAGTCTTGAGATACGTAGCGCATGCGCACCTCTGAGGGCGTCCAAGTCCTCCGAGCTCCTCTGCAATAGTGACAGCCATTGCTCCATGCACCATTGGGCGATATCAGCGACACTGTTTCCATCGGCTTCGTGATACGCAAGTCTCTGCAACGAATTGACAACGAATATGCGATCGTCCCTATGGTTAGGCAGTCGCATGAAGCCCGTCGCTTCGAACGTCCCTATGGCTGCTCTCCCGATGAGTATTCGCTGCTCCCAAGAGAGGTCGGTCGATGTGCTGTCTGAGATGCGCCGAACGTCACGTATCGCGCCATCAATTTGTGATTCTGCTAAGAGATTCAGTCCGTCTTGGAGCTGTGGACTGCTGGTATGGCTGGACATTGTCTTCCAGTGCAACTAATACCAGTCGCTGTCCTCAATCCCGGTGGTGCAGATCTGGCTTGATTGTCGGTAAAAGACTTCGGTCAGAAAATAGAGACACAAAATAAATGTACCGACCTTGACCATCCAAACGGCAAAATGGGTCTGCAGAAATGAATGCGCGTTCCTTACAACGTGGATGGTCCTTGCCAGGACAATGTTGCATACTATATACTGCCTTGATCGCGTGATGTGTGCTGCGGCTGCGCTTCCTTCAGGCAAATTGCTTTGATATTGACCCAAAGCCTGTGAGTATGCTAACGAATCATGAAACTCTGAAGACAATAAGGGAGCCTTGCGAACGAATGTAAATGTATACTCAATGGGCATCAAAAAGTCTGAAAGGCCCCCACCCGCCACCAGGTCATCACCTTCTGTAGGCCCTAGCTCATAACACTCCTCTGCTTGCAGCTTAGTCGTGGCAAATGCGGTGTTTTGAATCCAGCATCTAGGGGTTCACAAAAGCAAGTATAGCCCCAATGGTCTTGCATGACTGGCTGACGGGTCGGTATGGTCTTATGCAAGAGATCATCGTGAAGGACCATAACAGGACAAGTGCCTCTCCGCTAAGATGAGGCTCGGACTTACTTGCTGCAACGATGCTACCTGCACGATGGCTATGAGCGGTGTGGCGAAGAGCATATCGCGTGGTATTGGGGCTAAGAGCACCCAAAGTGGCGGATTACAACATCACATCTGGACAGATATTGGAGTGTCCGGATATCCAGCCGCAGACTAGGCAACACGGTCGAATGTGGCCGGTGAATCGGGTCGACTGTTCGACGATCTTTTCGGAGTATGGATGAACTTCAGTGCGAGGCTAGAAAGACAGGAGCTTCTAGAGGAAGCAACTGCACACGATAGGACCTCCATCGAGAAAATGAGCGAAAACGAAGCGGCCCCCTTGATACGCCGACTTGGGATAATGGAAGGCCTTCCGCGCTTGCCGGCAATGGTGATTATCCGCTCCGCAGGAGGAAGACACTCCTTAAACAAAGTTGTGTGACGCAAAGCCCAGTGACCTGCTCATGGGAGAATATGAGGTCTTTTTTAGGACCCAGGAGAGTTGCGAGATTTAGAGATTGTGGATGTTCACAGGTTGATAGTGAAAGCATTAGTCGGCAAAGGACGACCAGAATGACTAAGTCGGAAAGAGTGGGAATCTGGAAGATGGCAGAGCAGTATTTCAGTAATCCGCAAAGGACATCCCGCAATGATTGATAATGGATGACGGCTCGGCCAACGGTGTCAATTGTCAGCGATATGCGCCCCGTACGTACAGCGAGAGTACCCAGGAAACAAGAAGATCGGTGCCGGAACCGGAGCCCTGACCTTCCGCAAATCCGATACCGAGTACGACCTTTGACGACTATTCTCGTCGTAAGCCTCGACCCCGTTGAACTATAAGCCAACCTGGCGCACCACTTGCCTTCATCGTCTTCTTCTCCATTTTAGGGCCTTCGAATGAGATATGCTTTTCGAATTCATCATTATCAATTAATAATGTACACAAGGTAGTCTAGAAGACCTGTCCATTCGGGCTGTCTAGACCCGGCCGGAGACCCAATGGCTTGACCTTTTCCAAAGCTTCTTGACTGGCGGTATGCTCCGACCTCCTTTGCATGAGTACCCAGGCTCTTTGGGATGCCGCCTCGTTCCCATCAGAAAACCGTGTGGGATATGTTCACCGACCCGAAAAGTTCCTTGTGTGGAAGGTGCCAGACGGTCGACCTGGGAGTGACGCATCCCTTTGTGAGATTCGACTAACAAGGCTTCATCAGACCTGCCCCGATATGGCTTTTGCACGAAATATCAGTCATTCAGTCTGGACCATGATGGACTGTATTGCTAATTAGTTGGTCGAGGTAAGACTATATCGACGTGACCCGTGCCTCTGATCGGGCCTGATTGGGTCTGTGCTTGATGACCATCTGCAGTTCTCGCAACATGCTGGTCGTATTCTCTGCATGCTCGTGCAGCGTGGCGCGCTTCTTGCGCTCCTCATGCAGCCTGTTGAGCTTTTCCTCGCGGCTCATTGGTGTCCATGACATTCTCTTACGCGGAAGGGCCACAGCCTCAAACACTTCCTCGTCTAAGGGGCCTCCGTCAGAGCAACCTCGCCCCTCGCCAATTAGCAGTCTTAGCGCTTCTGCAGGACCTTCATCCACGACAGTCATACCACCCAGACTGCTCGGTGAGGGCGATGCAGGGGAGCGGATCTCGGTGGACGCTGCAGAGAAACGACGTTCAGGATCTGAACTCATACTAAGGAACATGGTATTTCGCCCCTTCTCCCACTCGCCCAGAGTATTGCGTATCTCAGGGCCTAGGCCCTCATATTTTCGAGCAATCGCCATGCTCAAACCCGGGTCATCCTCGTCTGAGGTTAAGGCATTCATCTCTTCCCTCAGGAGGTGTACCTTGGCATGCAAGGACCGGATGGCATTGGCGACAGCGTCAAACCTGCGTAGCTGTGCTCTGGTATGTCGCTTCTGGGGTGTGCTCGTTTCTGCATGGTTGGTCGCCAACGGGGCAATGTCTTCTGGTCCTTTCAGACGCGAATTGTTCCCAAACTCTTCTTGTACAACAGTTGCGCGGACGTCTCGAGCGGCCTGAGACGAAGCAGTCTCAAAGTCCTGCAAGATTCGCAACGTTTTGCGCCACTGACGAATATTTTGCCAGGTGGAACTGGAATGAAGCGCTAATAAATCGCAAAGAAAAACTCTTCTCGCCATGAAATGTAATCGAAATAGGAAGCGGAGTTCCTTGAGCGTGTCCTTGGTGTCGGACGGTATGCTGTTTGCAAATGTGACAGCATCAGTATAATCCTGCATCGAAACATCGTAAATATCATGATAACTTTTTAGGTCCTGTTCCCTCAGAAATGGTTGCATAGCATTATGAGCTTCGACGGATTGACCGATGCTGTATCTTAAAGTCGATCCTAGACAGGCCCGTAACTCGCGACACTGTACATTCGCATTTTGGTCTTCCAACCGACTAATCGGCGGCATAGGGTGGCTGATTTCATACCCTCGGGAGACAACCTCAACTTCCTGAACGAACCGGAGTCCTTCACCCACAACAGTGTCAATATTGTGTGATTCTGTCAGAATTTTGTCCAGTGTTGACCCAGTCGACCTCCGAGTGAGGTCCAGGTACTGGCGACGCAGGAAGTAGATTGCAAGTATGCAACCTACTATCAACAATGAAATGTAGATCGATATCTCGGCAAGGCCTGGCGGTCTGGAGCTCTGGTAGCGCCATCTTAGAAGATGCAGCAAGCACGGTGTTGAGAATGAGATGACCGCTGTCATAAGGGCCCCCCTGACCGAAAAGGTGTTTTCGTCAAATGTATGCTCATCTTGAATCTGGATTCTCGGCTTGGGATCGTCGTAGAGGAGTTGTGACGCGACGATGGCGTAACGAAAACGTTCGAGAAATTCCTCGTTGGCAGCATCGGTGACGGACGCAGCCGTTTGACGCAGCGTTCGCAGTCGTTCTCGAATTCTTGGTAGACCTCGTGGGGCAAAAGTTTGGGCGCAATTCGGGGAGGAAGGCTGTTCAGCGGGTTCGAATGGTATGGCGTCTGCTTCTAGATATTCGGCTATAGGTGATTCATCGTAGATTAGAGCTTCCATGACATTGTTGGTGAGGTTTTGTGAGTGAAACAGAGGATGAGATCCAAAGATGCGTGCAGTCGTTCGAGGGAGGTGAAATGGGAGGCAGGAAAGTCGCGTTCGCTTATGACAGAATGTGTGCAGGAACCTGGAAAATGTCAGAAGCACAAGCCACGAGTTGGATAAGCACGGTGTTGACAACGAACCGAGTCGGGCGCCAAATGACGCGCCGCAGCAGATGACAGCCAATTTTAATTCGGCCAGATTGTTCCTTTTCCTGGGGCCTTTTCTTGCCTGGCGAATAACAAAGACCACCTAAAAGGGGGCTAATCAAACATAGGTCCATGTTTTTCCGGGGTGCAGAAAGTGAAATCTGGGCACGAGGCAGATGTGGCTTGAATCTGGTGTGAGCGGTCGGTCTGTGCCGCCCCGGGCCCGGAATAACGGAGTGCCCGACTGTTGACTGCATGTAACCCGCAAGGCTCGCTCATCAACTCAACGACCCGACACTTCAGCCTCGTCCCGCTAGATGCCTTCCTTCTCTATCTGCCAGGTGCTCATCTGATGGCTGAATACCTCGTAAAGACCACAGAGGCTGCCTAGTTGATGAGACACTGTTCTTGTCAGCCTTGCCATAGCCATCGAACCACAGAAATGTGGACTTCATTTGCAGGTGCAGGCCGTGGTGCACCTTGCAACGAAAATTCAATGCAAATCAGACAGTGCAGTGATGTGGTGAGTATGATTGCCTCAGTATCAGAGAGGCAGATGACCATGCACTACTTGCAAAGCTGAAGACTGCCTCAGCTGCACTGCGAAGTGCGTCGTGACATCTGCTTCTCGCCGCACCCAACACTTGCGCGCTTGCACAGCACAAACATGCTGTTCAATCTCCCAGCCCATCTTTGCCTGCCCTCACTCTCCATCAGCAATTTGTCACGATCGAAAAATCATGGAGTCAGAAAGTACCTCGTTGCCACTGCTCGCTCGTGAGGCCAACACTACACCTCCGCCATCGCCAATGCCATCCATACCTGACCTAAGGACTCTCGATGCTAATCAACTGAGCAAAGTCCCTGAAGCTGAGGTCAGAGCCATAGAAGGCTCCGGACAGACCTACAGCGACATTTTTCGTCGTCTTCAGATCCGCCCAGACAAATACCAAGAGTTCTACAACGGCGTCGTCCGATTCGAGCGTAACAAGCATGTCGCCGAACTCAAACGAGGCTCCGATGCGAGCTTGACGTCCACCAGTCGCATTCTGCTGCGAGCATTTGGCTACATCATCTGGGCGCCGGACTCACAATGGCTGATCGACGACTCCATCCTCAGTGAGGGAGAAGTCAGACTGACGTATTCACGAAAATTAGGACCAGATCATCCAGACAACGCCAGGTATGTATTAGGCTCGCATCTGTCTAAGATCAAAGCAAGTCGCTGATTGTCCAAAAAGATTCTATCCAATCCTCCATACTCTGTGGGTACGAATGCGCAACGTCCTATTTGCTCAGAAGCCAGCACCTCAACCTGGTCGTCGTCGGGGACGACCAGCCCTGGGGCGACCATCTGCACCACCACCACCAGTTACAGACATTGAAGAAGAAATCTATCATACCGCATCGACTTCACATGCTGCCTTCGAACGCGCACGTGCAGAGGCATCACGTAAATTGACCGCGCTGTGGGATAAATTGCCAGAGACAGACACCAGCAACCGTCAATACACCTACGATGAGACTGACAAAGCAATCCTCGAACTGATACTCCGTCTACATGAAGTCCGCGGCCACAGTGACCCACGCATTTTCACTAGTCTATGGGAAGAACGCATTATGCGCATCAACGAACTCGAAGACATCACACCAACCGACGACAACAACGCACAAGCACAATCAGCCAGTCCAGCGACCTCCGCCTGGAATCCAATGTACCTTTCCAACGAACCATTCAATACCCGTGGCGCGCCAATCCGCTCCGCAGCCTCGACCATCCCTCCAACCCTGCCCAGCGTCATGTCAATCTGGATCAGCACATCTCGCCTCCCCTCCATATCCCTATCAGCCTCAGGACTTCCTAACGTGACCCATACCACCGCCCCACCGCAGCTAGCACACCACTGGTTCGATGCGCCTGTCGAGAACGCCGATATGACCCGTTTCATCCAGGGTGTCAACTGGCGCATCGAGCCCAACGCTTCCGACATTGTTGGCTTCGTCTTCAGTTACGGATGGAATGACGTTGTCTGCTTCATTTCGACAGGTCGCTTCGAGACCCATGAGCAGACGAAATACAATGGGAATGGTTACACTGAGGGTGTTACCCAGCAAGAAGACAATGACGTGGATATGGAGGGTGTGGTAATGCAGAAGACAGTGAAGAGCAAGGGTCCCGACGTCGATTTTCCGACTCATCAATGGCAGGTCATTGGTGCTGGTTGGCGTGATTTCCAGAATGACCTGCGGGATGCGGCACGCAAGGGCGTGAAGGTCTGGAGGATGAAGGTATGTGTTGTTGAGATGCCTACTACAAGATGAGGCAGGTGGAAATCATGTATTAGACTATCAATCGCACGGGAGCTCGAAGTCGATCGACTCTTCATGCCCCCAGCGGTAAATCAGCCGAGTTGAGCAAATGGCGCTGAACTAGGTAGATACGAGAGCAGGTTTCATATAGAGAGAAACACACCAGGACGGCAATGCTAAAGACAGAGAATGAGTATTGAAGTCGTGCTTTTCCTTCATGATAATCTCATTCCATTACACAAAAAGGCCGTTACATCAAGATAGTAAGCGGACTGATCACCGTACGCTAAAGACACGATTGGCATGTCTAATTCAACATGAAGGCCACCATCCCATCCTCTCATAGCTCGCCACCATCTGCTTGATGCCTTCAACAGTTAGTCCCTTGTCGTGTTGGTACTGGAATCCCACAACCTTTTCGAACAGACTGCCATCAAGACTGAGGTCTGCGTCCTTGAGTAGCTCTTTTTCTAGAAATGGACTGAGAGGGCCGGGCTTAGTGATGCCCTTTTGTTCCAGCATATCGGCCCAAGGCTGAAGGATGTCCTCGTTCAAGTCGTCCACTACGTGTTCGAGGTTCATCTTTGCAAACTGGGAGATCAACGATCCCTGGAACCCGGTCTTGATATTGAACACCTTTGAGATGACGTCAGCGAGATCGCCTTGACTCGTCTGTCCGTGGTCGACGATGTTGAAGACAGGGACGCCCGTCGGCGCTTCTTCTCCTTTCGAGCCCAGTGTCGGTCTTCTGCTAGTCGTAGGCGACCCGGAAGGAAGGGTCGAGTTGGTGGATCTCCATTGTGCAGCAGCCCACAACGCTCGGGCCATGTCCTCCACATGGACGGTATTGATCTTCAGATCCTCCGTCCACAACCATTTCATTTCCTTCTGCTGTTCTTGGTAGACTCGCGCTAAACAAAGTGCTTTCGCTACGAATTTGGAATCGTACTCTCCGTATGCATGCGCCGGACGGAGAATGACTAGGTTCAGGCCTGGTATGCGCGCCAGCTCTTGCTCAGCTTCCAGCTTGACCCGGGCAAGCTTCAGCCAAGGTTTTAGCTTATCTTGCTCCGTTCGAGGTGTGCGGTTAGGAGCATAAACCATCCCAGTGCTGACTTCGACGAATGCCTTGACCTTGCGCTTTGCCGCCTCTTTCGCTAACGTGACGCTGACTTGCCATGATCGCAATTTGTATATTTCCGGAGTTTGTGACCAGGCGGTTTCGCCAGCAAGATTGAAGACGTAGTCCCAAGTGGCGTCAGGTCCGTCAGGGTGGTCAAAGATGCGGTCCATGGACGTATCGCGTGAGGCGTCGGCTTGTATGAAAATCTTGGGCGAACATGCCTCCTGGAACTCTGGAGCAAGATGCGCTAGTTGGGGCAGGATCTTGTCGACAATGCGGACAGAAGACGCTAGGTTATGCGAATGTATGTACTTTGCGAGGAAGCGACCGATGTATCCTTCGATCTGTCAGTACCTCTCGAGGTGTGGGTGTAGAGCACATACCAAGACCCCCAACTATCAGCACTGACGGCTTGGGAGCGCCCGTGTCGTTGGGCGTAGAGCTGTCATCCAAGGTGGCCATGATTTGATGTGACAGACAGATGCTGCAGAAGGAGAGAAGGGCAAGGGCACCGACCAGTAGAGGTCGTTATCCCTGGCACCTGCGCACTCGGGCGCAGGAAGGTGAGGTGGGCAAGAAAGGATTCGAAATGGGAAGAGGAGGGGAAAGTCAAGACGAGTCTCCGCTTCCAAGTTCGACAATCACAGATCTTGGGGCTGGCACGGCCCGAAGTGGCAGATGCCACCAGCCTGATGACGGAAGTGCCCGTACGCCAAAAGGGTCAATTTATTGCGCAATTGGGGGCCGTGATAGTACTCGTAACGGTCTGCGTATGGGAGAGGAAATGCGCCCACCAAGCTTCAGGATACTAGTGCTTGAGAGAGGAAGAAGTGAGGTTGATCATCTTCTTGATTCTGCACTTGTAGTAGACCTGGGTTGGTATCTAATGTCAGGGGTTTGCCACGAACCGACGTTCCGTATTGAGATGCACAGCAGGCGCGCCCCAAAGTCAGGAGTGCATGAGTGTAACATAGTAGCTGCATATTGCAGACGCAGGTTCATACAGGATAGCTGCATCATGGATGAGAATGATGAACTCGCAGATTGGAGAACCATGCAGGATAAAGCGGAGCCATCCATAGTACCACACACATTTCGCGGATCGCGGCGAGGGCGACTTTCTGCGTGGACCACAAGACAGTGTAGTTGATTCCACCGCACCTGCTGCAAGAGCTACCAACCTACATCACTCAACGCTGGAGGTTGCCTTCCGTCTCTTTGGGGAGAGAGGGTTCCATGGTTTCATCGACGCGCTCGTGTTCGAAAACACTCCAGCCGGCAATGAGGCCGCAGAAGAGCCTTTGTAAAGCGCGACGAATCCTCGAGGGAAGTTTCATCGTGTCCCACTTTCTAGCCGCTCGGAGAAGGCCTATCGCCTACCATAGTACTTCGTGCGCTAGCAGGAAGTGAGTTAATGCATTCCTAGGTATGTATATTGGTACAGAAGTTAAGCTTGTAGTATAAGATACATAACAGAACATAATGGTGGGGTCTTCCTGACATCAAAGTGATACTCAGCCTGTGCTGAAATGGTGTGGGCCAGCTTCATGCATGCACTTTGCCCCGAATCCTTCTGGACAGATCAATCAGGCCTCCCTTCTCGCTTTAGAATGAGGAGGGTAGCCGGCATCCCTGTTGCGATGAGATGCATATTCTGTACCCAGCATTCACGTGCGTGACCATAGCATTCTTCTCGGTGTGCAGAGCTCTCTGTAGACGCTGGGTCCGTATCCGAATGATCACCACGCACCAGCCCACGCAGTGGTAGCTCTCCGTGAACCATGAAATACACAGCGCAGGGCAGAGCGAAAATGGCTGCACAGCGCCGGATGCCACTTTGACACGCATGACTGCGTTCGTATGAAATACTTCATAACTGTCAAGACATTCTCACATCCTTATGGCACTGGAAAAACTGCAATGTGCTGAAATCCACTCATAAACCCCTATCAAAACGCTTGCAAATTGGTATCGTAGTCAACGAGGTGCTTTCCTTCGCGAACCATCAAGAGACTTGATCAAGGAAGCCTACAAGCTTTCTCGTGGTCAAGCAGGGGGTAACAGTACAGATGCCCTTCATTTGGCTGCTGCCGTCCGTGGTTGTTGTTTCACATTGGTCGAGAGCCAACTCTGCGAATGAAAATCAGTCATTGATAAAGTGTTGCGAAATTTGATAGACTTACCAGTCCTTCAAGCAGACCTTCTCCAGTAGTGGCACAGCTGGGCACCACATACCATATTCGGTCCTTCAATTGCGCCAGCCTCAGCTTCTCCGTAACCTCGGTCGGAGTCATAGAGCCGGGAATATCTTGTTTGTTGGCGAATACGAGCAAGAGTGCCTCTTTCATTTCTCGGTCAAGGATGATCCTGTGCAGCTCTTGCCGGGCCTCGTCTATCCGGGCGCGATCGTTCGAGTCAACCACGAAGATCAGACCTTGTGTTCCCGAGAAATAATGTCGCCAAAGCGGTCTGATCTTGTCCTGTCCACCCACATCCCACACATTGAACTTGACATTCTTATACGTCACAGTTTCCACGTTGAAGCCGACCGTAGGAATCGTGGTGACATCCTGATTGAGCTTGAGTTTGTATAGAATGGCTGGTCACTTGTCAGCTTCTTGTTCATGACATGCGGTTGATGCCTCGGTAATTTACTTGTCTTGCCTGCAGCATCAAGGCCCAGCATGAGCAGTCGCATCTCCCTCGATCCGAAGATCTTGCCCATCATTTTGGATATTTGGTTTCCCATGTTTGTGACCGCACGTGTATCAGCTATCGGATTTGTAACGTACTAGACGCCTTGGTCGAAACAATGTGTGTCTCAGGTGTGTGCGGTCGTATGCTCAATTCAGATATGAAAGTGACTCGAAGGATACACGGTTCTGGCTAAGGGCAGAGATGTTGACTGCGCAGGTACATATGCAACAGTTTCTGCCAGAAAACGCGGTGTGATATCTTCTTCTGATTCTCAAAAACCTCTTACGCGGCGAGGAAAATGCTGTGTCGGGTCGGTTGGAGCAATCACTCTGTTGTTTGGCGCGCGTTCTGCGCTGGCGCAGTCAACAGGCTGGTAAAATATTGCTGAACAGACGCGGCGCCGGAAAAGAGCACTAACACATCAAAAGGGGCTTGCGCAGAAGCACTCACGGGGCATTGAACAGAAAACGGACTAGCTTCGCAGGCGGTCGTTCACGCGCGCAGCCGCCACAGTGGCCGCCTCTAACATGAAACTCATACTTATATCTTGAAACATGCTGCATCATCATTTAGGTATTGTGTGCTCCACTACTCCGTTCCTCGACGTCTTTGCTCCTAGCACAAATGCTGTATCAGCAGGTGTAAGTCACAACATAGGCACAAGCTGCCCCGGAGCATCTGTCGGCTTCACCTCATGAGGTGCTGTCAACATGCCTTCAACGAAAGTCCACCCTTCCCTTCGCATAGCGTTCCACTTCTCCGCTACCTTTTTGCTGACCAAGTCTCCAGTCGCGACAGCGTCTTCTTTGGAGTCATGGCCCTCTTCACCTGCTGACTGAATCGTTCTAAGCAGGTACTTCTGACTGAGCATTTTCAAGCCGTATCTGATCGGTAAGCCTCGAGGGTGAGGGTACAAAAGTACCGTGTCGACAACAAATGGGTGAATGATACGGCAGACGTTCAAGTCATTCTCGATGGCGTGGCCAATCAGCGGTGTATCGGGGCTCAAATGCTGGAATAGTAATTCTCTTGCTGCCGCTGGTGATTCCACTTTGTGCAGGTGAAGTGTCTCCAGGGCGGCGTCCGGGCCCGACCCTAGCTGATAGAATGGAGCATTTGCAAACGCTTCCTGGGTCACACCGGAGAATCTGGTATTGAGATCCAGAATTTCTCCGTATGGCCGGACCAGGTAGTCGAGCAAAAGCTTGTCATCAGGCCATGATACGGCAGTGAGTCGAATGACTTCCATACCAAAGGTGGTATATCCCATTTCGCAATCAAACGAGACTGGTTGTCTTCTCCTAATATCATTCTTTGCTGGAGTGTGGTCCCACTGCAAAATGCTCGCAAGTCGCTTTGGGTCTTTCACATAGAAGACGTGAGTGGGTGCTTCAGAGCAGCCTTCGCTACCGGCAGATTTGTTGCAGCAACGGTAGGTAGCCTCAGATTGACCAAGAATTCTGTCGGTCTTTGCTCCAATGGCGCGATAGGGCTTTGCCCAATGATATCGACACTTTCCGTGGCTAGTCAGCTTCCCATGCTCGTCTCTGCCTGGAAAGACCTGAAATCTCGTGCCACATCTGTCACAAGTCTCCCATCCGCTAGCAGCGGCTAGTCCTGCCTTTGCAGATGCGATTTCCTTGTCGCTTGGCTTGCTTGTCACATAGTTGAACTGCTCAAGACCCTCCAGAGGCGTGCGTAGATGCTTCAAAACTGCGATCTGTTCATCTAGAGTACCAAGCCCTGTTGAGACCAATTCGGCTGCGGCGTTGGTGCCAATTTGCTCAGCAACGATCTGGCGTGCGGTGCCGGTCCATATGCTCACAGTTGCAACCCATTCTTCTGTGGTCATCTTTTTGATGCGCAAAACCTTTTGGGCCATTGCATTCTTGTAGATGTTCTCCCCCAGCTTGGTGGCGGCCTCTTCTTCGTCCAAGGCGTATTTGATCAGCTCTTGATTGTCAAGCATGAGAGCCTTCCGCTGATCATCGACAGAAGCGAGCTTCAAATTCTGAACCTGCATTTGCTCATGCAACTTCTGCAGCACAGCCAGCCTCGTCTTCAACATGGCTGGTGCCTTGCTCACATTACGCGGTGTCAGTGTTTCGGTCTTTGTAGGCTTCGTGGCGTTCCGAGCACCTAGTTGTATGCTGTCCCTCGACCTGGGCGGTGATACTGTTCTTGCTATCGAAGCAGGTGCAGTCCTGGAGGTAGACCGCACCGTTGGTAAAGTGACCGCCGTGGAGGCGTGGCCGCTTTTGACCACGGGAATGGTGGGTGCAGGTTTGGGTGGATGTGGTTGATCTGGAAGCTGGCTGTCATGCGCAGCGGACTTGACTGCATTTTCAACACCTTTTGGTCGTGCAGGAGATGCTAGTCGCCGTCTCTTCGGTGGCGGAGAATGAACTTCACCCGCGCTGAAGGGATCATATTCTTTAGCCGGAACAGCAGCATCCTGTACGTCCACCGAAGTTATTGGCGAATCATGTAAGAAGATGCAGCTGGGAAGGCTGCACTCGTACTGTTTAGGACATGGAATCCCTTTGAAAAGACCTAGGGCAGAGAACATGTTGCGCGGATAACCCACAGATCCACGAACTTCTCGACGAAGTGATCGTTCAGGTATTTGCCCTGCTCTCAAGGCCACCTACAAGACTCACTCTGATTGGATCTTCAATTCACCCTCAGACAGCCCACAAGTGAGATGCTTCGTCCATCAAGCACATCAAGTAATGCAAAGCCTTGCGGCGTCGAATCCACCCGCTTTGAGCACACTGAGACGAACCACCCACACTTTAGGTGTAAGGCCAAGCTGTCAATCCCGCCTTATCGCAGAAATACGAATGGCCAGAACGGGAATCTGAAATGGAAGCTAAAACCAGGCAAAGATAAGTGGTTGGAGCCAAGGGAAGTAGTAATCCCGGCTGGCACGCGAGACCGCAAAATATATGAACGTTGTGGTGCCCCGATCGCGTTACACAAAGATACTGTCGAATATCAACCAGACTGCGTTTGCGCGATTGAGTCCTGAGGTTAAACACACAATCACTTAGAGTCGTCCAGATTGCCCAAGTAATTCTGCATCTCTAGCCTGGTATTCCATTCTGCGGTTACCAGCGAAGAGGAGTTCTGAAGACACTGAATCTCAAGTCGCAGCAAAGAGGTTGATATCCTCTGACGACGACAGAAACAACAAAACCGTGTCAGCAAGGCTGTTCTGGGCACCGTCATCGGCCACAGCGCACGGGGACTAAGTACAGCCGACACCTATAAAAGCTGTCCGCACTGAAACTCTGCCGCCTGTATGCAAGGTATCGGCGTCGCGAGCAGCCGGTGACGCAGGTCAAATTTAGCTGCCAATCGGTCGCCACCCCCTGGCCTACCTGGACCACTTTCTCGATTCATCAACAAGGGTATTTCCTAGAGCATCTTTTGAAGATGCCGTCACTCCCTTTCGATCTTCGCAGCATCGTTTACGATTCCAACATGTCTGAAGCTGTTAGAAAACCTGGACTGTCTACTCCGAAGAAAGCAAATCATCTATGCGTACTTGTACATGGGTCAGCTCTTACTACTCCAGAAGCACCTCCAGAGATCCACCGTCACTAACTTTGTTATAGGCTTTGGGGCAATGCGGTATGACTGAAGACTGCCTCGCGGTCCAGACCTCTCTAATACTCCCTGCAGAAGCACCTCAATTACCTCGCGAGCGCCCTCCAAGATCGATACAACGATGGCGAGCTTATCATACTCGCATGTCAGTCCAATCCCGGTTCTCTAACGTACGATGGCGTCGAAGTGGGAGCTGAGCGAGTGGCTAAGGAGATTGAAGACATGGTAGAAGAGTTGGGCAGAGATGGATACAAAATCACGAGATTCTCGATAGCCGGCTACTCTTTGGGAGGTTTGGTCGCGCGATATGCCATTGGACTGCTCTACCACAAGAGGTTTTTCGAAAGCATCACGCCAGTCAACTTCACCACGTTCGCGACGCCTCATCTGGGTGTGAGAACTCCACTTCGCGGCTATCCAAACCACCTATGGAACGTCTTGGGAGCAAGGACGTTGTCCAAGTCTGGCCGGCAGCTCTTCACAATCGACAAGTTCCGCAACAGTGACAGGCCGCTCTTGAGTGTTTTGGCGGATCCCGACAGCATATTCATTCATGCACTGGGAAAGTTCCAGCACCGCTCTCTATACACCAATATTGTAAACGACAGATCCGCAGTCTACTATACAACAGGAATATCGAAAACAGATCCCTTTGCCAACCTCGAAAAGCTCAACATCCACTATCAAAAGGGCTACGAGCCGGTCATACTGGATCCCGACCACCCTTGCGATGTATTGCCCGAGCAAGAGCTTCCCACCTTCTATCAGCGCTTTCGCACCAGTTCGCGAACATTGCTCCGGCGAACACCAATTTTCCTTGCACTAGTCGTGCTGATTCCCATCGCCACCGTGGCATTTCTGGCGAATTCCTGTGTGCAAACCTTTCGCAGTCGTAGAAGGATACGACTCCATGAGACCGGCGATGAAAGGACCGGATTCAGTGCAATACCTTATATGGTGAGAGAGATGCGTGTCGGCCTGGAAGATGCTTTTGAAAATGTCAATGCCGCACAACAACAGGATTACCTTCCTGAAGGATCCGAGGAGATGGCCGAAGAATCAGAAACGCCCTCTGCACTTGCCAATCCTTCTACAGAGTCCCTGGCATCCGAAAAATCGAATACACCTCTACTCAGGAGACACACGTCCACATCAGATAGGCCTTCTACATTTCCGACCCTGGCGTTAACCCCTGCACAGTTTGCCATGATTAAGGCTCTTGACGACGTTGGCTTCCGGAAGTATCCCGTGCACATCCACAACAGCAGCCACTCTCACGCCGCGATCATTGTGCGGACTCCCAGAGCAGCTTTCGAAGAGGGCAAACTTGTTGTCAAGCACTGGTTGGAAAACGAGTTCCACATCTAGGCCCCTCGAACGAGTCGAACCACATCTGAACTGCACCTTTGCAGTCCCTGTGCTGGTGCTGGACTTCTTCAGAAGGAGTCTACCGTGATTTGACGGAGTTGGACGAGAGCGGACTCCGACGCTCCTGTTCAACGATCCATCTTTCCACGCCAGGTCACATCGATGTCAGTGCTGTCCGATATGTCTTGAGATGAGCTTTTCAGTTCTTGGCGATTTATATACATCGTTTGTTATATCTCTGAGCGGGCGTTGGGTAGCAACTACTGTACGAAGAACAGGTCACCTCGGTGCGGATCTCCATGTTATTAGTTGTCACTTCCTACTTGCAGAAGTGTCAAACTTCGTCCTCGACAGACTGGGAACCGTCATTGTGCTTGGACTGGGAGGCTCTGATTGAGTGCGAACTCCCAAACTAGACACATGCTGATGGGTTGCACATGCAGTGTCTGCGCTGTCTCGAGTCACAGCCATTAGTGGTCTGTCAAGACACATGTGAGAATCAACAGGGGTTGTCTGACTACGTACCACAGTCTCTGCTTGACATTCAATAAGCGAACGAACCACGGCTCAACAAAAAGGTCCGGATGTGTGTTGCTGACTAAGTATTTCTTCCGTGGCTGCCGATTATAGCGATGGAGTTGTATGACACAAGTGGCGTTGCGCTTCGACAAATCACCAATGTCACGGTATCATGAAACTGGGACTTTTTGGTGTGAGGCCTTATTGAGTCTGACAGCAGGCACCCATCCCAACAGCACAGTCCTTGTGCCGCCACCATGGGTTGTGAACATGTCAGACAGGGTTTTTCTGGATCCTCTTCAGCCTTCTCGTCGGTCAATGCACGGTGATCGACAGCAGAATCTGCAGAGAACTCTCACCGAGCACCACCGAGTCAACGGCAACATCCACTGCGGCACTTCGCCATCTCCACTGGGAGACTTAGTGAAGGCTCCAATATCTGTTTGTAGTGTTTTGATAACTTTTTGCAGCCTTAGATTTTTCCATGTGGCCATTCCACATGGCATCTTATTCGCCCGACCAAAGGCATATCAGTCTCCAACATGTCGACGTCACCATCATCCTATCAACGAATGCCTGGGGGTATCGATTCCGAATCTTCAAACCACCGTCCCAATCCCCAAAGGTTTGTTTTCGTTGGATATCCACTGTCTTCGGCATCTTTCCTATATCTTTCCACTTTTCTTCAACGCGTCTGAAATTGTTACCTTCCAAGACTACCCACAGGAGAGCACGGCCGAAGTCTTGAGAACGTATATTAAGCCCAGCCGAAGACCTTGAACACAAGTTTCTTCCGGAAGGCTAATCTACTATATACTTCTGTCGGCGTTCGTCCTTATCTCTTATATCGTCTGTCTTTCCTTGCACTCCTGAGCTAGATCGTGACGCACGACAATATGGCTGGCAACATTCCTCACGATCAGGACAACACCCTGTTGTCGCCAGTGACACCCAAGCGGCCGAGAGACACACGCAAACTGTCGTCCCAGAGCGTCACCCGTGCAGATTTGTTCTCCGGCCCTGCTGTCGTGGCGCCGCCGAAGCATCTGAGGTCTCACAGCAATGCACATGAGACCGCCCATGCCATGGAATTGGCAAAATTCCACCTGGCTGAGGCTTCAGACATGCTCACAACTCCTGATGATTCGGGTCCAGTAACGCCTGATGAGTTTGGCCTAAGCACGACAGACAAGTACGCTTTCGCCTTTGATATCGACGGAGTGCTCATCAAAGGTGGTGAAGTCATTCCCGAAGCCATCGACGCCATGAAGGTCTTGAACGGTGAAAATGAGTATGGCATCAAAGTGTAAGCTCCCTCAATCTTCTGTCGTTACACATATGCTAACGGCACGACAGACCTTACATCTTTGTCACAAACGGGGGTGGCAAAACTGAAGAAGAGCGTTGTATCCAACTGTCCAACCAGCTTGAAATGGAAGTGTCGCCTGGACAGTTCATCTGTGGCCACACTCCCATGCGAGAGATGGCTGCCAAGTACAAGACTGTCCTTGTCGTCGGCGGTGAAGGCGACAAATGCCGCACTGTTGCTGAGGGATATGGCTTTAAGGACGTTATCACCCCAGGTGATATCATCAAGGACAATCAAGACACAACACCATTCCGGAAACTGACCGAGGATGAATTGAAGCATTCGGTGAAGCGGAATTATGGGGAGGTGGAGATTGAAGCCGTCTTCGTCTTTGCTGACAGCAGAGACTGGGCTGGAGACTCACAGATCATACTTGACCTCTGCATGAGCAAGAATGGTCGGTTGGGTACACGCTCTGAAACATTCGAGGACGGTCCTCCAGTGTTTTTCTCGCACAACGATATTGTGTGGGCGACCTCGCACAGTTTTTCCCGCATTGGCATGGGTGCCCTCCGTGCCTCTCTCGAGGCTATGTTTAAAGCTATCACGGGCAAAGAACTGAAGACCATCGCATTTGGCAAACCTCAGCTCGGCACATTCGAGTTTGCTACAAGGCTCCTTCAACAATGGCGAAAGGATACCCACGGCATCAACAAACCCCCCGAGACCGTATACTTTGTCGGAGACACTCCCGAATCCGACATCAGAGGTACGAACGAGTTTGACGAGCACAGCTCCGACGAAGTGAACTGGTACTCGATCTTGGTCCGGACTGGTGTCTTCCAGGAAGGCACCCGACCGGCGTACATGCCGAAGATGACCGTTGACAATGTCCTGGAAGCTGTCAAACATGGCATGCAGCGCGAGTTTGATAAGACCTTGAAGAATCTCACCATTGGAGGCTTAGCGCCACAGCTTGCCAACGCCATTGCCGAGGACGATGATGAACCGACCAACTGATGTGATATGAACCATGACGACTGTTACGAAAGCATAGAAAGCATAACCCCAGGGCGTTTCGGGCGCGGCGGAGATATGTCCCGCGCCCCAAGGGCACTCTCTGGACTTTGGCAGTCCGCATTAAACCGGCGTATATAGAGTATGACCAGACAGTCCAATCCACATGGCGTTAGCCGATCAAGCCACGAGGAGCGTTGTTCTTGCAAGCCCTCCCAGGTTGAGATTTGCCACAGCAGTTTACAGTCTGGCATTCTGCCAGTGGGGTGGAAGTAAGGGCCATCCAGGCATTGTCACGTTTTTGACACGAATGATCTTCCTGCAAGGGATGTATTAGTGAGAGAGTCCGGGAAGACACCAGACAAGCTCTCCCCGTGTTAGTTAGGCTAGTCGAAGACGGCAGATCCGACCCGGCCATCCATGGTGTCTTCAGTTCTCTTGGTGCCTGCAGAACGATGATCCCAAAGTATATGAACAAATACCTAGCAGGCACGGAATGGCGTCAAGATGCAGGTAGGGAGCAAGGAAACTTGCCAGGTTGGATACGGCTTTGTGCAGTTTCTGGTGTGACGAAACGGTTTCGCATGAGCAGATGTCGGTACGTAAGGTAGCCTTTTTCCCTATGTTTAAATATAGGATCCGCCCATCAGTGTCAGTCTCGTGGTTGGTTGAGTGCATGCTACAAGTAGGTTGACACGTATCGAGACGACTTTTGGCAATGTCTTCAATTCAAGCACTCGAAGACTCACTTGGCCCATGTTGACTGCTGCAGGATATAACAGCAATTCGATAACCAAGAAAAGTAAGCAACAAACATAGTCTAATTATGCTTCGTACCGCCCAGAAAGACAAAGTTACCCATGCCTTTGTAGCCTGAGAAGCCCACGCTGACCTCCCTCGGCCGTCTCTGAATGAATTGCTGGTGGCTGCATGGGCTTATTATGCAGACCTGTTCAAACATTCTATTTCTCTGCAGAACAATCCCTGACATGCGCCAGGTCGCACATACACCTCTGTCGAATCCCAGGTTGTCTGCCTTGAACCCTTCTGACCCTGTTCCTTGATAAAACGGTTTTGGGGTAGTCAGACGGACCTAGTACTGTAGCAGCACCTGTGGCCGCCCGCCTGTTCATTTGGTTTCGACTGATCGGCACCGGACGCCCTATTGCGCGCTTGGCCAGCCTCTTTCTCTCAGGCTTCAGCTGATCAGATCCTCCTTGCATCGTCACTAATTCAAAGCGCCTCTAATTCCTGAGAATCATCCAACTTTGTGTTTGATTGAGGATTCTTGTGCGTTCGAGCGTTCCGCCTTTGTCGCTTTTCGTTCCTGACGATCCTTGGTTCCTTCGCCGTGCGCGACAACCACGACAAGGCTTGGTCTCACTCTCCGACTCATTCGCCCGCGTCTGCGCCTGCATCTACGAACGAGTTCACTATCCCCGAAAGGCACCATACGCAACTAGGCGACATCGACTGCGCGAAGAACGGACTTGACTTCACTGACAACTCGGCAAAGAGCGCACTGCGCCTGTAGCCGGCATGGCCACGGGAGGCGCAGGGCAGCCACCAAATTCTCCTCCTCAAAACATCAATCATTCTGGACAGCGCGGTGGTGCACCTGCTCCTTCTCCGTCGGCTGCGACTGCGGCGTCCCCTCCTTCCAAGCGCGAGTTGACGTCCTGGTGGAAAAAGTTTCGGAAGACGACTGAAAAGACGGATGAGCAAGGTGAGACATCATCAAGAGGTCTGTCGTTAGCAAACAAAGCAGCGACCAATTTGAAAACATAGAGGCCTCCTCACTCCAGTCAGCGTTGGCTAATTGTTTGACCAGTTGAACACGGCCCACAAGGTATCTTCGGAGTTCCTTTGGCGGAAAGCATCAGATACGCGAACGTTGCGATTTCATTACAGAACGAGCATGGCGAAAGTTTCATCTACGGCTATGTCCCAATCGTCGTTGCGAAATGCGGCGTTTTCTTGAAAGAGAAAGGTACAGACACGACCTTGCACTGGCAGACGAATCTGAGGCTAACGGGGTTGCAGCTACCGATGTGGAAGGCATCTTCAGACTTAGCGGATCTGCAAAGAGAATCAAGGATTTGCAAACAGTTTTCAACTCTCCTGACAGATATGGCAAAGGATTGGATTGGACCGGCTACACAGTCCACGATGCAGCCAACATCCTCCGTCGCTATCTCAACCAGCTTCCCGAACCCATCGTCCCTCTCGACTTCTACGAACGATTCCGTGAGCCCCTTCGAGCAACCCGAGTTCTGGGACCTGACGGCGAAATGCACCCCAGGGACCTTAGCGTCAGCGAGCACAGTGCGGCGGTGTCCGCATACCAGAAACTCATCACGGAACTTCCACCTCTGAATCGTCAACTTCTTCTTTACATCCTCGACCTGCTGGCAGTCTTTGCGTCCAAGTCAGACCTCAATCGTATGAACGCTGCAAATTTGGCTGCCATCTTCCAGCCAGGCATCATCTCGCACCCATCGCACGACATGTCTCCGCGGGAATACAGCTTCAGTCAAGATGTCTTGATATTCTTGATCGAGAACCAGGACAACTTTCTGATCGGAATGTCAGGCACTGCAGTTGATGAAAAGACACAAAAAGATGTCGAGAGCGGAGCACCCTCTGTACGTTCTCCGAAGGCTGTGGGCCGCTCGGCCTCAAATGCCAGTGCAGGTGCGGACAGTCTACGGAAGTACGGTGTACGTCGGAATGTGTCGGTCTCTTCGCGCGGGTCGAGAGAAAGGGGCAGTCCTGGAGTTTCGAGCCCGGGCACTCCGCCAGGTGTGGCCTCATTCACTGGAGGTGGAGGCATATCTCGGAGCAACACTGTTCCGTCGAAGCGATCTCCCGCCATTGCTTCGGGTCGGTTTCAACAGATCAACAATGCTTCAGATTCCTCACCAACGATCAGCTCTCCAATCGCAGGCTCGGAAACACCACCAGCGGCTGACGCGGAGGAACAGGAAGCGAACGCTTCTCAGCCTGCTTCCGCTGTGGCAGAAGAAGGCCCCAGTAAGGCGACTATAACTTCACCACCTATTCCAGGGCCACGGTCTTCGAGTCGACCCAAAAAGCAGCAGAGTCAGTCCGCATATGAGTCTGCAACGTTACCTGATCAGGCCGCCCCCGTCCCGCAGCAAGCTTCAAACCAAGCATCAGTTGCGCCAGCAGGCCCCGTTCCTCCCCGTGAGCGCAAGGTGACCAACTTGTTTCCAAGATCACCCATTTTTGGTCCTTCAGATCCTCAGGGCAGACAGCCGAAGAAATTGCAAAAGAGGCAGCGAATCCCAGGAAGCGTCAATGACAGTGCACAAAGCTCGTTGAATGATCTTCATGGCGAAGAGCAGAGCGCTTTTCATACGCCGCTTGTCTCACCAGACGCCACTAGCGTTGGTAAGATTGACCCTTTGGATGCGTTTCAGGGACCACCTGTGACGAACACAGCTGCCACGCCGGTCAATGAGACGCCAAACCCCAAACAATCTACTAATGCTACTAGTAATCACGACGAGCCAGTCCAGGCAGCAGGACTGAGGCCGCCCAAATCTCCGGCTGCATCAACACATTCTCGCTCATCCTTCACGGATCAGTCTGAGCTGGAGAACAATGACGACGGAGTGCCACGGCCAGGAAAGGAGAAGCGTCGTAGCCGCTGGAGATTTTCATCTTCTGCGAGGAAAGGAGAAAACTCACCTCTGGCGCTGCCGCCACCTATTGGACAGAATGCAGGAGCACGAGGAAGTAATAGTTCTTTAGGTAGCTCCAGGCAGCCGAGGAAGAGCTTCACGGGCGACTCTCAGCAACCGCAGTCGGCGCATGATTACCAGCCCTATGGAAGCGGACAGCAGTCATTGGTTGGGCAATCCAGCCAGGAATCGAATGAAGCTCCAATGGAGACGGAAAAGAAAGGTCTTTTTGGCAAATGGAAGGCCAAAATGTCACAGACCAGGGAAGAGAGGCAAGCAGAAAAGGAGAGGGCGAAAAGTCCGCCAAGGAATGAGAATGCGGCATCTCGAAGCAGTCTGAATGCCTTCACTCAGGAACACTTTGCAGCTCGGGGGAGGTCCTTTGACAAGCCTAGAGATGAGGCGGCGTTGTCGAGTGTTGCGGAAAAGCCTGTTACTGAAGGGAACCCAGCGGCGGATTCAGGCCAAGCAGACAAGCTAGGAGCAGGAATAGGTACAGGCGCAGGAACCGCCTGAATGAGATTAAAAAATCATGACACATGAGACATCTTGGCGTAATACGTTTTGTGAATGTCAGCAGGGCGTCGGAGCATGTTGGACAGGGTACGAGGAAGAAGAAGTACTGGGAGAAAATGGGATGAAGAGTGCCGATATCGAGGACTCGGATGAAGCACAGCATCCACGAGAAACAAAAAAATGGTGTGGATGGAAAGTCGTTCAACGAGGCTACAGTGGTCATCTGTTGGCCTATTGGATCATCATGACAGCAATGACCTTGAAAGAATGCATGATGTCCGTCTTGCAGTGCTGTTACTGTAATCATGATGATACCTAGCAAGCCTGTTTCCAGAAAAAGTGGCATGGTCTTACCAGTGTCGCCCGTCAGATGCAAATTGGTACTGTTTCTTGTTGTCGTCTCGAAGTCCTTCGCACACAACGATAGAGCTTTGTGCATTGTCAAAAAGGAGGTCATCAGCTCTATCGTGCATTGCTACTGGCTTGCCGTCAAGGCACCCGTTGTCGCGAACGCGTAGAACTTCAACTTATATCGTCGATGTACTCCCTGTCAGACGGTGCCACTTTTTCTGGAAACAGGCTCGCCAGGTAGTGAGTGCGAGCTGTATCAGTAGTGAGGAGGATGTGATGCAGCTTAATGCGGCTAGCGGCATCTTTGGACAAGCTCCACTTAAATTTTGCATGGTTGCACTTGCACATTTACTTTTCCAGCCCAGATGCGGAGAGCAGCCAGAATTTTTGGCCTGCGAAATAGGTGAACCATACCTGGTATTTTACGATAGCCCTCATATCTCACAAAGCCTTTCTTATTTGCCCCGTCTATCCTTAGTGAACATACTTATCGACCTCTCAGGACGGGTTTTGGTCTACGAAGTCCACTTCACGCCCTCTAGGTCCAACCAGTTACGATCGAGGATAAAAAGAGGTAGCACGAACTGATCGAACGCATCTTTGAGACGCCATACAAACCCTCACAGTAGCGCTGCAGGACGCACAATCCAAATCTCACAATGGCCAAAGACAAATCTACTCCTGCGGTGGACGCCAAATTGTCCAAAGAGGAGCGCAAGGCGGCGCGCAAGGCAGAGAAAAAGGCCGCGAAGAATGGCGCGGAGCCCACGGGCGTGACGAAGAGCAAGTCCGACAAGAAAGACAAGAAGGAGAAACGTAAGGTTCTCGCCGAGAAAGCCCTGAATGAGATCGACGGCGGCAAGAAGAGCAAGAAAACCAAGTCTGAAGACGATGATGAAGATGAGGAGGACGAGGATATGGAGGGTGATACGGCGAACGAGATCAATGGCGACGACGAAGACGAGGACGACGAGAACGAAGTTGTCAAGAAGAACGAGGCAAGTCTAGCGACTAAACCTGCTGGTCCGCTCGTGCCGTTTGCCAACCCCCTCGCCGACGACAAGGTCGCGAAGAAGGTGTTCAAGTGTGTTAAGAAAGGTATGTCCCCTACCCTCAGAAAGTAGCATTCGCTTTTTCCAGTGGTCTGCCAGGATGCTAATGCATCCGCCATCGCAGCTGCCGCCCACCGCACCCTGAAACGCGGCGTCAAAGAAGTCGTCAAAGCCCTACGCAAATCCGCTGGATCTTCGGGCGAGGCCACCCCTATCGGTGTCGTCGTTCTCGCGGCGGACATCTCGCCTATGGATGTGATTTCGCATATCCCTGTCCTTGCCGAGGATCACAGCATTCCGTATATCTACGTGACTAGCCGTGCTGAGTTGGGGACTGCCGGTCAGACGAAACGGCCAACGAGTGTTGTTATGGTGAGTCGAGATCCTGCGAAAAAGGGCGATAAGAAAGAGGATAGTAGCGAGGAGAGTTGGGAAGAGACGTATAAGGGGTTGGTTAAGGTTGTGGAGCGGGAGGGACGACATGTCAAGATCTAGATCACTCAGACTGTGGTTGGGATACTGTTGCTTGCTTTTGTCGGGATAGGAGAGTGCGAGGCGCTCTGTATCGGCGACACTGTGCATGAGCTGGTAAGATGAGGGAAGAGCGCAGAAGTTGAGGATGTCCTCCTGGTCTACGATGTTGGGGCGATGGATGAGATCGTCAGACAACCGCTTCCTCCTACGCACGGCACCTGTTGAAAAAAAAGGGTAGCCTCTAAGCGAGTCGATGTTAAGGCAAGCAGAATTGTCTTTTCGGGCAGGGACCAAATGATCGCCGAAGAAGAGGACTTGAAAAGTGTTTGTTCTGAAGTCGGGCCTCTCGCGATTTGCGACATCGTCTGTGTGATCGGTACATGGGCGTTAGCTGGCGTCTACGGACATTGCATGGTCCCAAAGTCTTGAGATATCTTGTGCGCGATGCAGTATCTTGCTTGGGTACTTGAGGCTAGGTGTTTTACGAGGATACTTCGTTCCGAACATGTTCAGAATATGCCATCAAGTACTCTTGTACAAAACTTGTGTTACACGATTGCATTCACCACTACCTCGCCATTTGAGCCGTGAGGCTGTCTGTCGGGACTCGACTTTTGGGTACTTCTTGATCGAAGAGAGATGCCGCCGTACATGCTATGCTTGAAGTAATACTGCCGCTGTCTCCAAATGCTTCGTGCTCAAGGTTGAATCGTGAACATGCGTCGTTTAGTCATTAGTTCGTTTTTTTTTGGCCGTAGCTTGGTCGCATGGGCAACTCTTTAGTTCATTATGTCGTTCAGTGCGTCAATCGTAGATGACTCGTGAGCTAGACAGATTCTTCAGGACCTAGACTTCCAGACTCTGATGCTTTTGGGGAGTCTTGCAGGGTTGAAAATCGGTCGCTCAGTTTTCTAAGCAAGGACTTTGGACGGGGATTTCGTGGACTGGTACTACGTTTCCGCAACGGCCTTAACGAGACCGCAGCCGTTGGTGGTAGCATGGGCTTGCCGTTCAGTTCTTGTCTGGAGGGACTCACACTGCGCGAAACCGGAGAAAGGTCTGTGTTAGACCTGTCCGTTTCCTGCAGCGTTGTGCCCTCTGACAGTGCTGTTTCCGTCCTCCTCGGACCATAATGCGACTCTGCATCCAGGTCGCTGGCTCGTCTTCTTGTCGGTGCGTAGTGTGGCTCTTCGAACTTGATCGTACTGGAGCGTTTGCGAAATCTGGATGGTTGTTCGCCAGTCTCCTCCTGCCACGTCGGTAGTCCGTTATTGACCTCGCTTGTAGGTTTCTGTGTTGCACGCCTTCCGACTCCAGGGATATGACTGTGAATACTCTGGGACATGCGTCGTGTCGTTGTTTGCAAGAACCCCTGAGTGCCGCGAATTGACATGTCCGGAGTCAAGTCGTGGGACAGTCTGGCTTCGAGACTGGCGTGGGTGGGCGTCTCGTGCACAGTTGGCCTTTTCTCTTCCGATTGCTGGAGCTTACGCTCTAGGATCTTCTTCTTTAGCCGTGCAGACCTTTTCGGTGCGGCACAAGAGCTAACGCGGATAAAAAGAAGTCCAGCGTTTCCTAGTATGGCTCTGACATTGTCTGGGTTATTAACAATCAGGATCAGGAGATATGTCGGGATGCAAATGCCCACGCAAGTGAGTGCAAATGGGAAATAAGAGTCGTCAGTAGGCATGTTCGTCATACCTGTGATTTGTAGCTCCCGTCAGTACTTGCAACCATAGGAAACGGGAAGGAGCTGGCTATTGGGTACACTGACCATAGATGGAAGTGACAAAGGTCAACGGCAGGTAAAAGAGTGTGACCAACGTCAGTAAGCGGATGTTGTAGCCTTGTTCGACTGTGATTTTGGCCATATTGACGGCTTCCCTGCTTTCGAGGACCGATGTACCGCTAAACAGCCACTCACGGAGTCCGCGAATATCTTTCTGTTGCTGCTGAAACATGATCAAGACCTCCTCCAGCCGGATTATCTCCTTTTCGAATTGTCGTCGAGTATGGACCAACTTCTTCCTCCAATTGTTGTAGCGAGAAGACTGTTCTTTCGTTCCAGGAAACAACGTCTTATGCTCTCCAGACCAGACTTCATCGGTAAAAGTCTCCTTATATGCGGCGATCATGGCCTTTATTTCATTGCTTAGCAGGCCCAATGTCTGCGATGCCCAGAAGTATCGCCGCGAATAGGTATACTTATCGTTCTCGAACAAGAGCTCGTCCCGTAGTGCGCTGTCAAAAATTGACTTGTTTGGTGGTGTTGCCAGCAGCTGTATACTGGAAAGCACCTCCTTTAATCTTTTGACAGCGTCTCTGTACTCTCCAAGGAGGGTGGCGAGGAAGGCATCAGGGCCATTCACGTAATGGTGGTTGGTCTCGTGGACGTCGACGCTGGATTTCCAATCCGGGAAACATTGTATCGAGAGAACATGCCATGGAGCGAAAGGGTCGTAGATATGCCCAACAATGGACTTCCTCTTTCTAGAATTTCGCCGTAGGCTGTGACTCGGCCTGCCAGCTAGTGAAAGTGCCACCACCGATGAACAAGTTGAGAGAGGAACGTTGTCTTCTTGAGGTTCTTCATAATCATCGTGATTTTGCCAGGGCAGCGGCGCTCGGCCATCTCCAATGATTGTATGATACTTGAAGACAAAAACGATTGACCTCTGTCGGCGATGGTCCTGTTGTAGATAGCCTTTGGTGATAGCTTTAGTAGGCGTGTGGTCGTCAATCAGTAACCGGTAGATGCTGTCCATGTCGAAGTGATCTTTCATCGTCAGATGAAGGGCTGCGAAGAGGCTTGAAGGTGGCTCTCTAACGACAATAATCCGTCCGACAGCCTGACGATCCCTTGTACTATCACTATTGATACTCTTCAACGCCTCCCATACCGCAAGTGGACCATCATCCGAATCACCCCGGCTGAGGCGTAGAGGGGCTCCGTCTGTCGAGACATGATAGATATCTGCGTGATGGTGATTTGCGTCTGATTGGTGGTGCCTGTCCTTGAGAAATATTCCATTCTCCAGTAGAGGGATATTACGGAGCAAATCTTGGAGGATGTACTTGCTATAAACGTCCCAAGGATGCGTCTTTAGGTGTTCGATCAGATCGGTCTCCGAGAAGTCCCTCGCCGACAAGATGTCCTGTGCAAAGAATGATTCATCATCCTCACTGTCAGAACTTCCGTCTCCCGTAAATATTGATCCCTTTGGAACATTTGTCTGATGGCGTTCTAGACTGAAAGTACCCTGTCTGGTCGGGTGACTGCCTTTGGAAGAAGATGAAGGCCTGTCACCAGGCCCACGTTCGGATATTGGCAGTGGAGATGTGGTCGGCGACGCTGCCAGTGACTGTGAGATTTCGCGTCCAGAGAATGCGTCCGAAGTCAAGTCTAGCACTGAAGACTGGCCGTTGAGAGCCTGATTCAAAGTCTCATGGACTTTTTCAAAGATTGAAAGATATGCTTTCCGATCAGCCTCTAGTTGTCGAATCAACCTGGAGACATCATTACTATCTAGCGTCATTGGTGGTACAGATTGCTGAGAAAGGTAGCCATCAAGCAGACTGGCAAAGGAGGCTGAGAAAGGTCTGGAGATTCCTCAGGCTCCATATATGAAGGCTCACGAGGCTAGCTTGGTAATGAGTGACGATCTCGCCGCCGAGAGACATTGCACTCAAACCCCCACTTGGTAGTGGACGGGCGACGAGAGATCAACCTTCGACATCAGTGCTGGCTTGATGCAAGCAAGCACATACTGACGGGGCGCGGTCTTGGCTGAACCGTCCTCAGGGCGATTCCCGCGGTAGAAAGCGTGGCTAAGTATGTAGGTTAGTGGAGAGGTTCCATCAGTACCAATCTTCGGCAGAACACCGAGGGGCAAGCAACCAGCAGATTCCTCGAGTGACAACCCGAGATAGCAGGGGATAGCAAGGGCAGCGAGGCAAGAGCGGCCTGTCCGTGACGAGTTTACACGAAAAGACCTGGTCAGCTGAAAGAGCCGCTCGTGAGGCTCAGTCACTGATACAGTACAATAGGGACTTACCAAGCACCTATTAGCATCATAATTGGGCACCTCAAATGCCCGCCATTTGCGATGCAGGACGCCGTGCATTAGCAAAACCTTAGCATGTTGCATAAGTCTTATAGGTAATCATGTGGCGACTTTTGTAGTTGGAGAAGGGGGCTTTTTGTGGTGAAGAGAAGGATCGAGGCACCGCTTGAAGGTTGTACGATGAAATGGCCGTATACCCGACTCAGTTGATCTTCTATACATTTTTCTTTGGCCCGCGCCATGCAGGGCGGTACTGTCTCTATAGTTCGTATCTGAAGCACCTGCTTTTATTTCTTCGGTTGAAGACCGATAGTGTCTAAAACTCCCTCATCATCACCGTCACCTTGTCCAAAGACGTCCTCGTCGTCGGTGGCTTCGTCGCGGTATTCTGCTCGTTCATTTGGAGCATCATCAAAGTAGTCTACTGCATCGTCGTCGGCCCCCAAGGTGTTGGCGGCAACTTGTGCTTCTGGGTCGTCGTTGTACTGATCCGGAACGTGGCCTGTTCTTCGGACAGAATTCCTTACGTTACTCGCTTCCTCGGCCTCCAATTCTTTGGCTCGAGCCATAGTCTGTCGGTAGATGTAGTAGCCTGTCAGAACACCAACAGTGCCTCCTATTACAATACTGGAGTAGTTGACCATTCGATCTCCGAAGGTCATCTTCTCTCTTGTCCTTGCAATGATGGCCAGTCTGCTTCCAATGAAGACGTGGACGAACAGTTTCGGGGTGACAATTGCCGTAGCTAATGCGTACATGGCAGGATGTATGGTCGGAAATGTTGACATTGCTCCATTTGACAAGGAGTATGGTAGTGGGCAGAATCGAATCATGCATAATAGTTTTAACCCGTCGTGTTTAAGGATCAAGCTGAAAGCCGCAAATCTTTTGTCGTTGGCAACCCAACGATCGACCCATTTTCGAAGAATGGTTCTCGAAACGATGAAGGAGCAGAAGGAGCCTGCGACGGTGGCAGTCGCTAGAATCAACCACCCTTCCCACACTCCGTAGACGAAGCCGGCAGTAGTACCACAAGTCGAGTACCCAATGACAGGTGGAAACGCGGTGAAGAATATGATAGTCCACAAGATGGTCCAGCCTCCTGTGGTATTTTTCCAGCGTTCAGCAAGGGGCTCGAGCAAGCCGAAGATGCGTTCGTTGAAGATCAGAAACAATATCACCAATGCATCAAGGACGACGATTCCGATGACTGTCAGGACCCGTTGGAGGAGGGTCATGTTTCCCCATACCGTAACGATGCGTCTCTTGAGCTTTTCCGCATTGTTAATGAGGTTGTCCCGCCAGGCAGTTCCGCGATTTTGTACAAATGGTGAAGTCCGGCCGGTGGACGCAGATCTTCGAGGCGGTTGCCAGGGACTGAGGAGGGCAGCGCGCGGCGATCCTGCATCTGCGTCAGGGAGTGTGATATGCTTTGAAGTCATCTTTCCGGTTGCTGCTCAGTAAGGTCTAGAAACTGGCAGTTGTGGACAGCGTCGGTCGCGGCCGGGTGGACGAGGCGGGAGAGATGTACTAGGTCAACAAGGAGTTGCACATTGTCAGGAAGGGGTTGCCGGTGGTGTTGAACCCAGACAATCGGAAGGCAATGATTGTAATGTACAAGAGCTTAGCGACGAAAGGCAGGCAGACATGAACGATAATGCAAAGGAATGAAACACAATTGTACTGGCTGCGACTCGGCAAGTTGTCAGCTTGTTGTTCCGAATGCAACTTGAGGTCAGTGAAATCGTACAAGGGCAAATTGGTCAGTGCTTGTGCCGTCACCGAGACTTCTGATACGTCATTGAAATTCCGCCCCTATCGATCAATATATTGGGGCCTAAAGCAGTCCCGTTGGTGTTGGCAAAGGCCCGGGTACGATAGAGCCACGGGGGTATGGCCGGAGACTGATGGAAGCAACAGTAAGAACAGGTGTTCGTGTGTCCTTGCCTTATGCTTGGTTTCTGCTTCTGTAGACGCTACTTCGGGTTGACTCATAACTTACAGCTTGAAGAATGGAATGCACGTGTGTGTCGTGGTGACCTTTCTTGGTTAAGAAGTTAGGATTAAGCAGGTGGAGTGGACTGCTTCGGCACCCCAGGAAGAGCACTGTGGCTGCTGTACCTTAAGCCTGTAGGCGTCAATTTCGTCCTTCATTTTGGGCGTCCGCTAGCGAAACTTGATCCACGGGAACTTACTTACACGCTACCAACCCACCCCAGACTTCGTTGTCGCTTCTGTCCATCACTCCTCCCTTTGGGTGCGCATCTACGTAAGGTATCCCAGTCGGCCCTCGTGCCGTATGATTGCCGTCGAACTTCCTCGAGTACTCGATATATCCTGTCTATCTACTCAGGTAGTCCGATCAGGTGTCTATCAGACTCCCTTCACTTCTGGCGATCGTTCATTTACCGCCTACCCCTCCGCCCACAGGTCGTTCGCTTGCCTGTCTCTACAACGGCTACGGTACCTCCACACGAGCTTGAGGACAGTGTTGGCGCATGCGGACTCAGCTGTCGGCACCAGTGACTGGAAGCACTTCAGCCCTGCTCACAGGCGCTGAGCTTCGAGGAAAAGCATGATTTATACAATGCGACCATAACCCGCCGCGCGTACATATCACAGCTGTTCATGCCCGACACCTTTTTCCCGCACGATTTCCTCAAGTCTTACTCGCTTAGACACCCCTAACGACCGACATGATTTCTGACGACCATTACGAACTGTGTCGTCCAATACTGGACGACAACACCATAGAAGATGAAGATAAGACCGACCTGCTGGAAGACTTGCTCAGCAAGCAGGCAGGACTGAGAGGGAGCGCCCTGGAGAATGCGGTAATGAATGCCCTATGGAAACACCGCAATACACAGCGTGGAGAGACATCAGACACTCCCTTACGGCATCAAGTCATTCGAAAGTCGTCTCCAGCGCCCTGGCAAGCCAACCGGGCTCCCACCCCGCTAGGGTCACCACCGCCTCTCTCTTCCAGCCCGGCTCTTTCAGCGGGGTTCCCAGCTGCACGACCGAGCTTTTCTCGACAACGGTCGAGTGCGCACTCTCCATTTGTCTCTCCAAGACCATCTCCCAGGCTTGCTCTCGCCCAACCGATACCTCATAGCCCTAGCCTGAATGCATATGAGTTCTCGGATGCCAGTCCTGCTCCGGATATCTACGGTGACTATGGTCACGAGAACGTGGACTGGCTCCTGGGTGACGAGACAGCTAGCAATGCCTCCTCTACCGGCAACTTGAGTGGTGCCGCGCCTGAATGGGCACCTCAGCCTGATATGAGTCCGTATGACATTCTACGATCTGTGCTCGGGGATCGAAAGACGGACGAAGAGATCGAAGAAGCACTCAACAAGAACTCTTATGACCTGGGCACTACCATAGCTACCCTGCTCGGTACAGATACTGCTGACGCCCAATACACTGCTATTCCGAATAGCGAGGCCAATGTCCTGGTGGGAAAGTCGATGGCGGTGAACTCGGCCCGCCCATCCACACCTGGAGCAGCCAAAAGTCCGATCGTCTGCAAATACTGGTTGGCGTCTGGCTCATGTCTCCGTGCGGATTGTCGTTTTGCCCACGACACTAGTGGTTACTTGTGCAAGTACTGGATGAACGGAAATTGTCTAGCAGGTGACGCTTGCCAGTTTTCCCATGACCCCTCGCTTCTTATCGGTCAGCTGAGCGTGGGCGACACCACCTCCTCACAATCCTTCCAGCTTCAAGACCAGTACGATCAGTTTCCCAGCCTGTCAGGTCAGAACGCGCGAAGCACACTTCAAGCGGGTCTTCTCGCAGGTAACACATTCGTGCCCAGCAGCCAAAGAAATCGTGGTGGGTTAGCAAATGTCGCCCCAAGCTCACGACCACAGTCAAGGCCTAGTTCTCGCCACCAGAATCGTTCCGAGACTCCATCTTCTCTGGCAACGGATGATCCGGATGCTTTTCCGACTCTCGGATCATTGAGCGCAAGAAGAGTGTCAAAGCACCACGGACAACGATCTAGACATGGACATAGTTTGGAGAGAGAGACATCATCCTCGCTGGCTGATGTCGTCCGCATGTCACCATCTCCAGCACCTGGTCAGCAACGCAAGAATGAAACGCCGCGCAAGATTCGAACTTATGGGGGGTCCGAGAGTACAGCCGCCAAAAGAATACCTGAGCCTCAACACATTCCGTGGTTGGAGACAGGTTCACGTGCTAATCAGCAGTACTTAAAATACAGACAAGAAGCCATTAAGCATGGTAGTGTCCGCAACAAGTTTTTGCAGAGGTAAGTGGAAATCCCAAGCACATCAAGGCTTTTTCTGACAGTCGGTGAGTGCTGCACAAGCATGGAATCGAAACGATGCACGGGCAGCAAAAGCATTGTCACTTCGAGGACAGGCTGAAAACGATGCCATGAGAAAGGCCCACCGAGAAGCGGCCAAGGCATTGTACGATGAACGAAATTCACATCTCGTGTCGCTAGATGAAGACGAAGAGTTGTACATCGACCTGCATGGACTTCATCCCGAGGAAGCCATCGAGTATCTCGAGAACATCCTTCTCGCCCAATTTCAACGAGGTCGGCGCATTGTTTACGCGATCACAGGCACTGGTCATCATAGCAAGAATGGCAAGGACAAGGTCGGCAAGGGCGTACGCAACTGGCTCAATGAATGGGGCTATACCTTTCGTGAGTTTAGCGTGCCAGGTGAGCGAGGTGGATACATTGGGGGAGTGTTGGGAATAGATATCACCAGTCATAGACGGCAACCTGTCTCTACGGAGAGCTCAAAAGAAGAAGAGGAGACCTCCCCAACACCAGTTATGGCGACACTCGGCGGCAAGATACAGGTTCTCAAACGTGAGGAAGTGCCAGCATGAGCGTGTGCGAATGCCGCATTCAGCCACAACAAACACAGGCGGAAGGAATCGATACGACGGCTGGAAGGGTCGTCTGCTGGTTCAGCCAGACGACGAGAAATACTGGCTAGCCGCGATAGGATGCTGGCTTGCAGCAATATATGCTTGAATAGGATATATAGCAAGGCACCTTGACTGTTCACCGCCACTGTACGCCAAACATTTTGCCCACTTTCCCCTTGACACCTCTTTCAGCGTCTTTGTTCTCCAGGTATACCGTCTCATGGCCCTTGACCGTCAGACTCAGAAGTTGGTAATCCAATCTGTCTCCTTCCCTGGGCTTGGTCATATGTACGGATACGATGCCCATTCCCTCGGGACCCTCGACGTTGAAGTGCATACGAAGATGCGTCGTGCCGAATCTGTCCGTCTCTGTGCTGTGCGCGAGAGGTCTGGCTCGCGCCCACTTATTCGACGTCGGTTCGCCGTACGCTTTGATCTGTGATGATGGACCCAACAGCGCGCGACACTCGGGGCTGGCTTTGATGCGGTTGACCGCCGCGTTGAACTGGATCGTCGAACTTTCGGGAGCGAAGAGTTCGGTGTACAGAAGGTAGGATATTGTGATCTAGTTCTGTTAGTACCATCTACTCATAAGAGACCCCGGACTACGTACAGTTCCGACTAAACCGGCAGCGACAAGGAGGAAGTTGAATGTTTGTTGGGTGCCGCGCGCCGCTTTCTCGCCGGTGCTCAGGTCGGACCAGTTGTAGCGGCCGTCGTCGCTTGTTACGGTTATTGCTCGTCTGCTTGGGGTTGGACTGGAGCTGGAGCTTGTGTTGGTGCTTGCATGGCGGCGGGTGATGCGAATGGGAATAGAATAGGTGGTAGAGCCGAACGATGTAGAGTCTCTGGAGGCACACGACACTGTGCTTGCTTGACCACTGCGGATGCGGCAAGCTTGCTGGAATGCTCGGGCTTTGCTGGCCATGTCGTGCTGTGCTTTTCGTGGGCGTTGGTTATAGTGACGAGGGTGGTGACCGAGCTTGCAGGAGGTGCGATGCGTGACTACCACTTATGCTGTCACGAGAGGTATCGGTGAGGTCGTGGCTGCGGAAGATTTCAAGGTCAGGGAAGAACGTTTTCCGGAGAAGAAAACCCCCCGCATTGAGCGGGAAATGATGCTTGTCTGACTGGGACGCCTTGACCTGAGGAGCCCTTAAGAGGCTCGAAGGAAAGACTACAGTCTTATAAAGAGACTCACTCGTTCTTTCTATGTCACTGTCACATTGCATCAAGATCTAGAGATGCTCACATCAACATGACCACGAGACCGGCTCTCCCTGACTTCAATTTGGATTGTAGATTCCATCTCGCGATGCACATTGTTATTAACTGGTTGAAGTTGGGCTATTTCCAGTCAATCCTAGAGAGCCCAGTCTGTGTTTGCCTGCTGCTGTCTCGGAAGAAACACTGAAATCATTTTCCATGCGGACGCTGCATCGAAGTCTTGATCAAGTCTGAAACAAGCAACACTTGAAAGTGATGCATATTCGTCTTTCTGCGGGGAACTGGTGACACTTGTATCAAACACTAAAAGTACCACAGACCCCTAGTTGCCGCCAACAGCAAGGTAAGTTATCAAAAAACACTGACTTCTGTCTTTTCTTTCATTTCCAGTCTCTGACCCCAACGACTGGATACTGTGATCAAATCTTCCTCATCCCATCGTCTTGTCGAAGCCAGCAGAAACAGCAACTATGTCCCAAGAATTCAACATCCAGCCGCACTTCGGCACGGCACTAGGCACATTTCTACGCTCTCAATACTTTCGCACACCAGCATATCCAACGCACTCCTTCGCCAATCAAACCGTCATCGTGACCGGTTCAAACGGCGGCCTAGGTTTTGAAGCAGCCCGCCATTTTTACCGACTCAATTGTGCCAAACTAATCCTGGCCGTGCGAACCGTGTCCAAAGGCGAGACCGCGAAAGAGGACATCGTGCGGAGCGTCCAGCATCGCACAGACGGCTTCGAAGCCATCGAAGTCTGGCCCCTCGACCTCACCAGCACTCAATCCACACTCTCTTTCGCCGAGCGCGTCAAATCCGAGCTCCCTCGTGTCGACGTTGTCGTCGAAAACGCAGGCATCAACAACACGGCATGGCAGGTCGTCGAAGGCTTTGAGCAGGTCATTCAAGTCAATGTGATCAACACTCTCCTTCTCGCTCTGTGCCTGTTGCCTAAATTGACCGAGACGAGATTCAAGTATCCCGACTCGATACCTCATCTCGAAATTGTCAGTTCAGAGGTGCATCACTACACCAAATTCCCCGAGGTGAACGCCCCGGATTTGTATGAGGAATTGAACGACAAGTCAGCTTTCAATGGTATGGATAGATACAATGTGAGCAAGCTCATTGAAGTCCTCTTCGTTCGCGAACTCGTCGACCGGATGAAAGCCACCTCTCCAGAGCCGCCTGTGGTCATCACGCTGGTCAACCCGGGATTATGTCGATCCAATCTCGACCGCAGCATGAATGTCGTGGCTCAATGGCTGCTGTACGGGTTTCGGCTGATAGCTGGGCGGTCGACAGAAGTCGGGTCACGGACGCTGGTGTACGGTGCGTGTACCGGACCAGAGTCGCACGGCGAATTCATGTCCGATGGGCAAAACCAGAATGTTGAGCCGTGGATTTATACGGAGACTGGGAACAAGGCCCAGCGGAAGGTGTTTGAGCAGACGATGCGTGTGTTGGATGAGCGGAGATTCAGGGATTCGAAGGCGGATTGGGGCGTGGCTTTGGGAAGTTATTGAGCCAACGTTGGTCCAGCAAGGTCTCGACAGCGAAGTGTGAATTGTGTATAGTAGTGGAAGCTCTCCTCTCCAAAAGTGTCGACTCTATGACAAGAGAATCCTTCGCCCGATCATGGTGATTGAGGATTGGCTCGTAGAAGGGCTGCTGGTCACGGCTTATGAGAAGGAGCCTCGTTCATGGCCCGCTCAATTCGAGGGGATCAATATGTATGCTCTTCCTAGGACGTAGTCCCTAGCTGTATAGGCTTAGATTCTTTCGTCAAGGTCTGCTATAGCACGGTTCTCGTCGAATAGTCTTTTCCATATTGCGTCCTGAACTGTACATGACTGTGTATTCCTCTTAATCTGGATTGATGAGTCTGTATCCTGTATTCCTAGGTCGTTCTCTGACAACCTCGCCTCTGATGACATATTGTCTTTGTCTTCTGTATCATCTGGCCCGCATATCAGTCTCGCTCTACATCTGTATCTAGGCACCCGGTCTGTTCAACGAACTTCGACTCCTCTTTCTCATCCCGATCTGCGGCCTCTGTAAGTCGCTGTGGCTCGGTCGCCGTGCTGACGAACCTCCACCATCATCTACATCCTTTCCGCTGGTCACCGCCGTCCCCAACTCATAACTCTCGCCCCGCTCCAGAGTATCATCCACCACGGCATTCTCGTCACTCTCGTTCAGCGGTGGTGTGCTGGACTCGCTCACACCATACGCACCGCCCACGCTTTCCATGACGAACGGTCCCGCTGTCGGCGCGTCAAGCGCTCGGAGTTCTTCTTCTCGAAACCATTTTGGCATGAGCCATGTGCGGACGATGATGAGTAGGAGAAGAACGATCGGAAATCCGATCGCGGCAATGGTCTGGGATATGGCGAAGGTCGCACCAAAGCCAAGAAGTGCGATGGCCACAAACGCCCAGATGGCTGATCTCCGCTCGATGCGCGCCAGGGGATCGCTCGCATCAGTCAATTCCTTGTCTCTGGCCAGGAAGAACAACTTTTGAGTAATTCCGTTGCCTTCAAGCGCTTGAACGCCCATGACAAAGAACAATCCTGCAAGTACACCCTGAGGAATGAGGTGTAGGACAATGAGCAAAGGTCCAGACATGGTGAAGAGAAACAAAAGACCTTGGGCGAGGTTGCTGACCCGCTGCTCGACGACATGATCTGTTACTCGAACGACGTGACCTTGTGCTTTCTCGTCTACCACTTGCCTCGTGGCGCAAAGTGCAGCAGTGTGAAAAGGTGCTTGCGGAATTAGGCCGTTTGGGAACGGGATGCCCAATAAGCCAGCGACCCCGGTCGTTAGACCTAGGAGGAAGATATCCCAATGGAAGCCAGGTGGTTTTCGCAGGGGAAACTCCGACCCCTGAGCGATAAGAGATGAGACTGGTGACGGTCAGTATCCGTCAAGAAGTGCAAGACAAGTAAGTATGCTTACCATTATGATCAAACCAGAATAGGATGGTTAGCAACATCGCAAATGGAATAGCCAGAAAGACCTCCCCAACACTGATATCCCAAAAGTGTACGAACCAGCCACGATTAGCGGTCGGAAAGAAGGATTTACTCGTAGGTAGTGTTTCCAAACTGACGTTTTGCATGTGGCCTATGTGGACAAATCCGGTGAAGAAAATGATGGTGAGCGGAGTGCCATAATCTTCGATGAATTTTCTCGGTATGCGGTGCAGGAGCTTGCTGTTACCAAGCAAACCGCACATGTAAGCCACGGCCAATACCAACAGACTGACCATGATGGAGAGATATGCACTTGCCGCGCCAGCAAGCCCCCATTGTCTGGTCAAGACCTGGATTCCCTTCTGGAGGTAGATGAATGCAACATAGAATCCGAAGGTGTCACAACTGAATCGCGTGACATAGGTCAAGGCTTTACAGCTGTTCGTGATTGCGAGGATCCAATGCATGATGAGCGACCATATGCCGATCCAAGCCATGAAGGCGAAGTAGTTCGTGCCGCTGGGAACCACGATGTCGTACACGGTGTAGGAGAAGACCGTTATTGGACCCGTCACTCCGACAATGACTAGTGGTTGACATGCGAACAGTGAGAAGACCACACAGCCCAGTACTGAAGATAGAAGAACTTCGTTAACACCGTATGAGTTGTGTGTTTTGGTGAACATATCGAGGGAGAAGGCAAGAGCCGGCAGAATACTGGAGGAGTTGTTAGTCCATTATTCAACTTCCCAAGGATACCGGGTTCAATTGCCATACTTTGCAAAGTACATGTAGACTGTAGCAGGAACGACTCTATAATCCCAAGCATCTTTCCAATCACTCCAATAGAACGGTGCCCGTCTCTTCACGTCGTCGATCATGCCCCTGAACCAACGAATCTTATACCACTTGGACGAGCGGCGGTGGGATGATCTTGTCGTTTGGCGTGTCACATTCTCAGACAGGCGTTGAAGTTCTTCGGGGTCGGGTCGAGAGTGACTTGAGTGGAAGGACGGCCGGCCTGTGTGCTGCCATGGTTTCCTTTGCGAGTGAGATGAGGATCGCCGTCGCAAGCCAGGTACAGGCCTAGAGGAGGAAGGAGTAATGGTCTCTGTCTGAGTGGCCATTGTGTCCGGGGTCAATTATATACATTCAACAACGACGTTATTCGGGGATCACGAAACATGTTCGGGACTGCGCAACAGACAAAAGAGTGCGCGGAGTATCACCGATGTAGCGACAGTCATACAGCCATATCGCGTGGCGACCAAAGACCCAAAGATGTCTGCTCACAGGGCGTTGACGAGACCTTGGCGCAGATTGAAGGTTATCGACAAAAGCTGTTGAAGTTTATCATTAACCGATGCAGTCGGTGACGTGCAGACAATTGGAGATTGAGGATTGAAGGTGCGGAGAAGAACGAAAAGAGCCTCAGCGCCGGTAAGGTCTAAGTGGAGTGGAGAGGGCGGCGGAGGAGCGGGAAAGAAGATGATCCGAGGATCAACGACCGGGCACCATCATTCTGAGATCATGACCAATACTCATACGCCATACTGACTCTATGTAGGTCCATAGTCAATCTGCATTATTCAGCCCTGAGATTTTCCTACAAAACCAGAGTATATAGTTGAACATATGAACAAACTCACCCGTACCCTGTCTAGCACACTTCCCCGCTTACAGCAACAAGCGCAACATCTTGCCACCATGTCTTCACGACCAGATATCACCCTATATACAGACGCTACGCCCAATGGAATCAAAATCTCCATCGCCCTCGAGGAGCTCGGTCTGCCGTATAAAACTGAGCACATCAACATCTCGACCAACAAGCAAAAAGAGCCGTGGTTCCTGGAAATCAACCCGAATGGTCGCATCCCAGCAATAACCGACACCTTCAGCGAGGGGCAGAAGATCCGAATATTCGAGGGTGGCAGTATCCTGCAATACCTCGCCGAAGAATACGACAAGGACCACAAGGTCAGCTACCCCAAGGGCAGCCGCGAGTACTACGAGGTGAACAACTGGTTGTTCTTCCAGAACGCTGGTCTGGGCCCTATGCAGGGCCAGGCCAACCATTTCGTGCGGTACGCACCCGAGAAGATCGAGTATGGCGTCAATCGTTATGTCAACGAGACGAGGCGTCTGTACGGTGTGCTGGACAAGCATCTCCAGTCCTCCAAATCGGGTTTCATTGTCGGCGACCACATCTCCATTGCCGACATCACCTGCATAGGCTGGGTCATGTGGGCGGCTTGGGCCGGCGTGGAGATCGATGAGTTCCCGACCTTGAAGAAATGGGAGGAAATGATGTTGGCAAGGCCGGGCGTCAAGAAGGGTGCCGATGTGCCCAAGCCGCTAAATATCAAGGAGAGGCTCAAGGACAAGGATGCGGCGGACAAGTATGCCAAGGAGTCGAGTTCGTGGATCGTTCAGGGCATGCACGATGATAAAAAGAAACATGAATCATAGTGCCTGCTAAGCATCGCCTGTGCCTTTGAGAGGAGGTGTGTGGCAACTGTAGGATAAGTCTTTGCCAGGATTGACATATTCTCCGCAAGGACATACTAGGATTCAAGTCATGCCTTTTCATGGACAATTCCGCGCGGCTTCCCTGCACCTATTCAATGCAAGTCCACAACTTCGATGATTTCTTCACTTGCATAATACCGGGTCAACAGATCCTGCCCGTTAATCGGGCATTCGCCTGCTCTTGGCCATCTCCAGCAAGTGCAGAAGGGCGCTAGTACCGATTTGTTCGGGATTTCCATATCTGGAATATCTGAAGATGCCGGCAAAGGATCCACAATCCGGACATTCATAGTCTCTATTTTGCTCCCCGGCTGTTGCTTTCAACCTTGGGGGTCTGTCTTGATTGCATCTGCGGACCCATCTGTCTGTCCATCCGGATGGTATATCTATCCGTGCAGAGTCTACAGGATGAAAAGTCAGGCCGATGTGATAATGAGTCGATTTCACTTCTTCACCAACACTCGTACAAAGTTTGGCCTGTACCCTGGCTGCAGCCGTCTTGCCGTTATTGATTGCTGAAAAATGGCGTCGAAACCGGGAGGCCATTTCCTCCAAGGGAAACGCATTATCGTGGCAGGAGGGGGCATCGCGGGGGCGATCTTTGTCGCAGCCTTGGACCAGCTATGGGACTCTTCTCTGCCACGGCCCGTGGTCACGGTGTTTGAGAGGGAGAAGAGCCGCGAGGCTTCTGTCCAGCAAGATCCTTACACGCTCACCCTTAACGGCGGCAATCAAGACGAAGGGCTGGTGGCGCTCCAGCAACTGGGACTTCTGGAGAAGGTTCGCTCAGCGCCCTCGACAATCCTCAACAGCGGCGTCATCATGGTGTGGAGCGACAGCTGGAAATACCTGGCCTCCATCAACCCGAAACCCCATCAAGGCTTACCGGCGGCGACAATGCGTATCACGCGCCAGCACTTGAAAGATATCCTGTTGGATCGGACCGACAAGGAGTCAGCGAAGAAGATCACCGTCGACTGGCGGTACGGGTGTACCTGTACTCGGGCGGAACGGCTGTCATCGTCGACAAGCGGACCTCTCCGGGTTACCATCGCCGACAGAGCACAAGACGGCAGCGACAGATCGTGGACCCAGAACTGTGACCTCCTCATTGTGGCCGACGGACCCGACAGCGTGCTGCGAGGGAGCTTCTTCCGGTCTCAAGACACAAAGCCGAATTACGTGGGCGTTACGCAGATCGGCGGCATCTCGCGTCTACCCTCGGGCCTCCCTCGTCCCATCCACGAAGATTATGGTCTGCAGATGTCCTCGGGAGAAGGCGTCTGCTGCATATACACTCCCTTTGATGACACAACCGTCGGCTGGGCATTGAGTAAGAAAGGGGAGCCCAGACGAGAGGCCAAGGTGGGATACGAAAATGAGCCGAAGGCGTTCGATTTGCTGAAGATGGAGGCCTTAAAGACGGCGTCCATGTTCCAAGAGCCCTTCAGGACCGTTGTCGAAGCCACGGATCCAGCCACCGCTTTCGTCCGCCTGGCCATGGAGAAACACCCTTTTCGGCATGACACAGCCACGGCATCATCACCTCTGTTGGGAACGTCAGGAGCAGTCGTCTTTATCGGCGACGCGAACCACACTCTCAACCCGTACGTGTTGGACGGGGCGAACCTGGCCCTCAAGGATGGCTGGGACCTCGCTGAGCAGATGTGCCGCAACTCACACTCCATCGAGGCTGCGGTCGACGCCTACGACAAGCTCAGCGTCCCTCGCGCTCAACACGTCATACATTTCTCAAAAGAGCGCATTCGGTTTGGCCATAGCACGGGCCTCACGTGGAAGGTGTACAAGTATGGTATGGCCGCCCAGAGAGCCATGGCTAAGAAGGACTAGTCAAGTCCGGCCAATGTCGACTAGTGAGGTTTGTTAGGGGAGAGGAGATAGGACTTGGTAGGAACTGCGCTTGTGACTGTGCAGCATTTGTGTTCAGCGTTCTCGTATTGGCATGAAGACCCGGTGATGTGGGAAGCGAATTCAGACTTTGCACATTGCATGCCCCATGGTGTAATGTGCTAATGCAAGAACGATCATTCTTCCTCTCTTTCGTTTGTGGGGTCCGATGCAGAGAGGGCGCTCCCCAATGTGATTCGCATCCACATTGAGTGCGCCTGTCTTTCTTCCGGGTTGACAGATATTGGTCTCGCATAATGACTGCCACAGGATGTCACATCATCTTCATCATGCTCGAAGGTAGCCGGTGGACCTGTTGTGCTGACAGGGCTGCAGCTTCGCTTCCTTGTACAGTGCAGCGGATAATATCCAAAGATATGAACCTTCCAGAACAAGCGGCAGAAGCTTTTCGGTGGACCTATGGCTCCGTTGGCGTAACTATTCCTGTATGCACCATGACGAAAAGAAGAGCATCTTGCATCCTGCGACACCTTGGAATCACCCGCAATAGTGCTAGCCGATCCACTGCACGCCTACCGTATATAGCAGCCGTCCTTCCCTGGTCATTGCCAGATATGCATCGAGCAGTCGGGAGCCACCCTGCTGCATACACGATGTTGCAGCGGCATGACGGCAACAAGGTGTCAAGGTAAGTAGAGGACGAGCAATGGCTGCAAGTTATTTTCATGCAAAGGCTTGCATACAACGTCGACATTTTGACCGTGATCTCAATGCTTGCTTACCATGCAGCAAGATAGACGAGGTTTCCCGTTTGAGGAAAAGCTTCTTGTGCCACAAGCCGGTCGAATTGCCAATTCGTCTCTTTGGGACAAAGGCGTGGTCGGACTTGCAGGATGACTGTCTGTATCTGCTCACTCAGCAAGTTCAACCATCAAGTTGGAAATGCAAGTCCAAAGCTCAGAATGATTGGTACTGACGGGTAGAATACCTTGCCAATCCCATGGCTGTTAAGGCTTTGGGATGGATGCATCTGCCTGATGCCCTTGATATACGGTCACAATAACACGTCGCAAGGTCCTTGGAAAAGTATCCTCCAAAAGGGAAACAGCATGGGAGGAAATCATACTTTCGAGGTGACGCTCCTGCACATGGGTTCCTGAAGACGCACAAGCCTTACTATGTCTGGTGCATTGACAATGGCATCAATGACGACACAGACATGTGTCGAATGGAGCGCTTGGATATCAGGTCTCCTGGGGAATGGGTCGTGAAGTCGGTTAGATGGTATGCAAACTGTTGGTATGCGGTAGTAGTCCGGAAGTCCGGAGGAAGACAACATCGAAAGCAAGATGGTCGAGTCGACAGGGTAAGCTAGTGACAATCCTGCAAACATCGCAACATAGGTGGTCTTCGGGCATGCCCTCCGAAAAGCTCGTTTAGTAGGATGCTGTGTGTGTCCTCGGGCATAGCTCCGCGCACATGATGACTTTCGTAAGCAAGTCAACCAGTAGTAAGCCCAACACCGTAGTCGTAACCTGGTTAGCTAAGCTGTGGAAAGGAGAATGAGGGGAACACGAATAAAACCATTGCGCATACGTGACTTTCACGTGACTTAGGAGGCCATTGTCACATGCAGGTGGAATTGACGATCATCAAAGTAGTTCTTAATCTGGCATATCCATCATTGACCAACTTTCAGAGATCAATGCATCCGTCAGTGTCCGACAGGACCATGATCCCCTACTCATGACGAGCAAAGAGAATGTACTCGTATCCAGGTCGTTGCAGATCGTCACACTGCAGGAGCAACCACAGCAGCAGCATACTTTGGCAACCCAGTCACTTGGATTGTTAGGGACGACGAGCCGTGTGTGCAAAAGAAAGATCCTTCGAAAGTGTTCTGTACGAGGTACAAGTAGGTAGTTATCAGTCAGCAAGGCGCATCGCCTACCTCCATGGGTAGGCGCACATTAAGTTAGGTTAGGTTATGGTTGTCGATCATAGGTCATAGCCTCCGAGCCTGTTTCCAGAAAAAGTGGCACGGTCTGACCAGTGTCGCTCGTCAAGCGCAAATGAGTGTTGTTTCTTATTGTCGTCTCGAAGTCCTTCGTACACAATGATAGAGCTCGGTGCATTGCCAGAAAGGAGGTCATCACCTCTATTGTGTATCCTTATAGGCTTGCTGTCAAGGCACCCGTTGTCGCGAACCTACAGAACTTCAATTTACATCGTCGATGTACTCCCTGTCAGACGGTGCCACTTTTTCTGGAAACCGGCTTGCCTCGTAGATGATGACTTAATCGCTGTCAGTTCTCTTCACGTCGAAAGGAAACTGAGCTGTTCATCTCGTTCAGCAACACGAAAAACGGAAAAGTGATTGTTTGGGCAGGAATATTCCGTGGGACCAGATCCAAGGGAGTGGGAAAAGAAATGCAACCTTCCATACAGAGCATGAAACGTTCTCAGCCCCCTTCGGAATCGTATCTAAAGGGGGACAAAAACTGTCGCAAAAGGTACGCCTGATCAGCCTGTATCGAAGGCCTGAACCTGAGCGGACCTCTGGAAGTATCATTGGTTCAGGTACTGGATCGTGCTGAACATGTCAAGAAAGGAGGGATGGAAGCATAACCGGAGTACGGGCCTATGTCCACCTCGTGCTCTACGTAGAGTCTGACCCTGTCTGCTGAATGACTGGCTGCCAAAGGGCGAAAACGAGCAAGGGGGTGTGCTAGTCATAGGGCACGGAAATCGAAGGAATTGTAATTTCCAAGCAGCTTATCCAAGCACCTGGACAGATTTGTGATTCAGTAAGCCAACCTACCCACAACGTTAGGCGACAGATCCACTAACCTGTCCTCTCCACGCCCTAGTCAGAGGCACAGGTACAGGCAAGGCCATGGCATTTCCCGACGGCCAGCAGAATAACCCACAACATGTGGCCATGGGAATGGGGACCACGATAATTCATTCCGAACAGCTGCACTTTTTTTTCTCGCGCAGTGGATTCTTTTGCATTTGTCCAAGTGACCCTCCTGGTGCCGACTAGAAGAAAAAGAACCGTACAGAAGGCACGAAGAGGGACGACCGGATGGGAGGATCCATGGAAGCTCCGTACTTACTGTCCTCTTTTTCATCAGTTGACCTTTTTTTTTTCGTACTCGGATTTCAAAGCTGACTCCGGGGCCGAGGGTCTTGCGGCTTTCGCTCATCAAATAGTGATTAATTTTTGTGCAAATCGTCCCAAAAGGGTACTAAGTCAAGAGGAAGAGGGCGGACCATTTCGGCCGCCCAGCCCTAAGAACGATCCGACCGGCTACGCGGATTTGAGGGGCGTTGGTTGGACCAGCAGAGATCTGGCGATTTCCTTTCGCACGAAAGAGAGGGCCGAGTCCGACTGTGCGCGAGTACCCTTGCTCGGCACGGGACCCTGCGATCGCATATCGAGCCATGCCTGGAAATGATCAGCGGATTTTCTGTGCAGTCAGTATGTGGTGGTAAACAATGTAGAGAACAATTGTAGAAGAAACAAGGGAGAGAAAGGAGTGTTCTTGAGATCAAATATATCTTTTGGTATTGATCGTGAGTCTCAACCTCTAAGAGGGAGAACTATCATAGTACATAGAGTAGAGTCATAGAAAATCGGCAGACAAATAAATGTGCTCAAGTCGATGCATCAGAGAAGAAGACAAAGCTCGTTGTTTCCACCAGGCTGGCGTATTTCAGCCACGACTTCTGGTAGTTGCAAGGAACTCCGGCTCCTTCCCCGATGGTCGATGAGCGAATTCACCGCCCGCTTGATCTCTTCTGAACCAATTTGGTAATTCCCAAAAAAGATTTTGCCAAACACCATGCTCGTAAAGACATTGCTGAAACGCTCGGGTATCGAAGTCGCTCAGAGGTCGGAAATCGTTAACTCTCAAAGGGCGGTCAATCAACCTGCTAGTATGCAGCGATTATGGTTGGCTGTTGCCTCGAGGGTAAGTAGAATCCTTCTTGTTCAAAGGCTTCCGACTCGACTGGTGACTTGGCGTCGTAGTATGATGTGGTAGCAATGGCTTGTCGTTGCTTTTCGCTGAGTGTCTCGAATGTGATGGCTGGTGGTGAGGGTGGCATGTGCTCGTCTTCAGAGTCTGAAGAGTCGCTGTCCAGGCTTAGCTCGGGAGGCGAGTGTCGAGAGGCAGTTCGTGTGAGAGTGAGTTCTCCGTCGGTCTCCTCATCGTCTTCCATATCAGAGTCCACCTCGACCGCTGTGACTTCAGCCTCGTCCTCGGATTGCTCCTCCTCCTCGGACTCCTCGACGATTGTCTCAACCTGGTGAGCCTTGGAGTCCTCTTCTTCGGCGGATCCATTAACAATGTTGTTGAACCATCGCTCCTGTTCTTGTTCGGCGTTGGCCAAGTCAAGCATCAAAGAGTCGAGCATGTTGGCGTGTCCGACCAAGAGTCGGAGGTCGTGATCAGGCCGGGCAGCCTCCTTGGAGAGCTTGCCGCGGGCACTGTGAGCGAGGAAGTAGGTTTGAGTGATGCTCATCTTCTGCTTCTTCTGTGGTCGAGTATAGATGGATTGGCTAGATGTTTTGGCTGGAGTAGCAGCAGAAAAGCTGACTGAGGAAGGCATTGTGGTTTTTGTTTGGACTTTCTGAGTCACTATGGTGGATACTTGGTTGGGTGGTTGCTTGGCTTGTATGGTGCTTGCTTGTTGTTGTTCGTAGTGTTCGCTATTGCTATGTATGTTTGCAATGTTGTTGTTTGTATTGTTGTATCTTGCTGATGGAAGAAGGAAGAGGCTGGTTGGAAGGTGAGGATGGACCAGTTCTTTTGTAAACGCTCTGCCTGAGGTACGCTCGTAAGATGGATTTACTTTTACTCCGACCTAACGTAAGACCGACGCGAAGACGATATCCACAGCATTTCTTGGGCCTGATCCCTGCACGAGCTGCGGACCAAAATCTATGCCTGAAGGGCCGAGTGGATACCCACACCATCGAAGAAGATGGATGACCAGGGTCAAGGCACGCTTGGTGTTCGGCCGCGCGAAGAGCAATTCGGCTGCCTGAAAGTCCCCTTCCTGGAGATTTCGGAGGGTTTGTTATGCCTAGCAGCACTGTCAGCCACGGTCTGTGACGGTCGGCTCGCGTTTGCATCCGAGAACGGTAACGAGTGTGGTCTTCGCTCGCTTTCGCTTACACCAGTACTTGCTGATCTGACCGCTCCCGCTCTTACGGCATCAATGACTCTTTACGTCCGTGAATGGTCACTTTGACTTCTACATGTTGTGTCGTTGCTTAACGTTATCTCCATGTGAGTAACACAGGGGGGATCTTCTGGGTTCCTCGGGTCCGGAATCCTAAGCATGCTGCAATCTGCAATTATGACTCCTTGATGTCTGTCTTCGTCTGATTAGTCGTTTCGAGCACCATGATGGTGAAAGAATCGTTATGGTAAACAGCATGAAGTTGCTGAGAAATGCATACCCCACTAGACTGCCAAAGTGACACTGTGACTCTTGGGAGCGTCTTGGTAAGCCATGCGTTGTAACAGCAAGCCTAGAGAAAGTTCAACCATACTCCAGGGGTACCACTCTGTTGCTGAGAATGCTCTCGTAATCCAGTCTCCCTTCCCGTGTTATGGGTACGCAGATTTGAAATGTGACTTTGGTACACCTTCCCAAACGCACGCCTTCCCAAAGAGGGTTGTCTATACAGGCCATTTCCTGGCGGACACTTGACTCATCCCTTTCGAAAGGCTCGAGGGTCACTATTAACCGGCCAGGCAAATTACTGTTACTGCATCAATCATCCTACATGTCTACATGTCTACATGTCACAGTGACCTCACGTTGTAAAACGACTTCATCTGGGTCTCCTCACTAGGTAATCAAGGATGCAGCCCTCTGCGAAGCTATCACTATCCCACCTCATGGATCAAATGCCCATACCAAAAATCCCAGTAATCAAAGCCACTTTCTTGTCGGGAATAAGGTACCATACAAGCGCCCTGTGCGTTCGGGCAGTCCGCCTGGCTTGAGCTTCAGCTTCGAGTAGAAATCAACTTCCATCGAAGGAAGCCGTTCGGGGCTACCCTGAGGCTTTGGCGAGAGCCTAGAACACCCCCTGGTTCACTCCGCGAGCCCATTGTGTCAGCTTCACGCTTGATCTCTAGGCGCCAACCCCGCTTAGCTGACCCCCAAGATCTCGCTTGTCCTAGGCGGTCGTGTCTGTGACACGAATGCCCCTGGAGATAACTTACACCCACGAGGACGGCATGATAGCCCCCAAGTCTATTTGCTCGCAGAATCGTCTGCATGCGTCGTAGTTGACGATGGCTGAGCTTGCATATAGGTTGCTCGTTGCCTGAAGTAACCTATACCTGGCGATCAACCCAATGCTGTTGATTGTGGGATCAACCAACATCACTGCCACATGGTATTTCGTGTTCGTTTACGCTTGTCGTATACGTCGACGACAGTGTAGACGAAGCGTGAATGCTTCACCCGGAGACAAAATGTCTGCCCCGTGTCCTCATCTCAGACCACCAACAGGAAATCAGTGTAGCCTGAACTCCGTCCCAGGCAGAACCAGGGAAATTGCACGTTTGATTGGCCAAGAAGGAGCAAACCTTCTGGAAGAGACGGCCTAACAATGAATCCGTGACCGGTCGACGGTTGCGCCGAGATCTGTGAGCAAGATGACTCGGAGCCCTCGAACGATCTTGTCTCCGAGTCCTACTGATAGAGTTATGACTAGTGCCTGATATAGTATAGCTTCTACATTGGGATGTGCATAAACTGCTCATGCATTCTCGGTCTTGATTGAAGGTCCGTCAAAGGCCGCTTTCTCGTCCGCGTGCTCGGATTTTATGCAAAGTGCGAGCGCCCTTTTGTTCCATAATACATCACCAGTCTGCATACCATGCAATTAAGTCCTGGTCCCTAGACCCCGTGAGTTCGATAGATAATGATCACGGCTTCGGGGGCACGATTATTACTCTCAACTCCATCTCCATCTCCGTCCATTATTGCCCCTTCCGATTTCTGTTCGTGGTCATATGCTGGGTTCCCAATGCTAGCACACGAAGCAAAGTAATCACAATGATTTTCTGACCGAGGCAGGTGTTGGTTGCATGAGACCCAAAAATACCGAGTGCACAATTGAATTGTTGCTGGGCAGCCTGGGCACTGCCTTTGTGCGCGTCAAAGACCGAGGTGACCAATCGCAGGATATCCCCAAAGAGCTGCCTGAGGACGCGAATACGGGTACGTGTGCTCCACGCCATGATTAACGTTACCATGTTTGAAGGCTGGTAGCGATCTCCCGTCTGCAGGTGTCGAAACTTGGCAACTCGCACATGAATCGGATTGTGGCTTCTGAGCCGTGCCTCGCATTCGCAATTCGCGTCTCGAGCTCAATGGGGTATGGCGCGCGAGGAACCAAATTGGGTGCCTGAGTCACCGGAGGGTGGCTGAGGGAAGATCTGGTTGCATCGCCGAAACGCTAACGGGCGCCAACATACATAGTACGCTCTTCGTAGCGCTTGCCCAAAGCAGCATTCTTCTCGAAGGTGCAGGGGGTTGATAAAGCGGGTCCTCACCCTGATGCTGATTGCTCGCCCTGTGGTCCCTGTCAGCTACCTTTTTGACACTTGTACTTTTGAGAATCCCACCCAAGACCTTCTTCCACCACTCACGCCATATCGCGAGCAGGGCTGTGCCTGGCACATATTCTTAGGCCAACCGACAGACGGTCCCACCACCCTTCGTCCAGGGTCTTTCGCTCCAAGGTTGTCCAACCCCGGATTCTGCAGGAGGCTGTGAGGATGCTATGAGCAATGCTTCGAGAAGCTAACCTCAAACGCCAGGTCTATCAAAGGGCGTGAGTCAAATTGACCTAGCATTTGTCATTGACGTCTTCAAGTGTTGTGGTAGGCCCATGGAAGCAGTGATGCAAATTTTGCAAGTTCATCAGTTTGTTGCTGTACAGGCTGCTGATGGACTCATCGTCAAACCAAAAGTCCAAATGAGGCTTGCAAGCATGTGCTCTCTATGCTAGAAGCGGACCATGATACCAGATTCGGATCAACACGAGGTTCGACAGGAACTCAGAGTGATCTGCTCTCAGCCGCCAAATAGCGTTGACGGTAGAGTCAGCCCTATGGAAGTAAGAACGTTGCACTTGGTCGCAGAGTCTGGAACCCTCTTCGCTTGGTCCATCCGAGACGGACGGACGGACGAGGCACCCTCCTCAGACACTATTGCTTACATGATCTGTCATCAACTAGTGAGGTTCCACCGTTGCTGCCATAAATCTGGTCGCTTACCACCATCTTCGGTTCTTGGTTGCCGGCCTTGCTTATGGCTGAATCGACGATTCACAGTTAACGGTCATACTAGCACTCTGATAGGCTCTTTCTTGTCGCTTATCTAAGAAAGCATACTCTACTGGCAGTACTTATGCCAGATTGCCCTCCGGTGTGGCAGATCGTGGTTCGTACACGGCCAGTAATTCCAGTGAGAACATTAGCTGATTGGATGCTGACACGAGGTGTTGACACACTCCTATGCTAAAGGGTCTCGGTAAGTCTGGTAGGATCGTTGAATAGTATGCATTCAACCACTTTCAGACATCCTCAAGGTCTAGGCTGGGAAAGAATCTCACAGGGTATCAGCCTCAGCTCAGCGACGCGAGCCAATGGCATGGCTGAAACACGACTTCAGGCCAGAGCCGCATCTTCCTGGGACCCAACCCAGTGGTGTCCCTCCACCCAGTCCTGGGGTCATTCCGGGGTTGTCAACCATTCCGAGGCACATGTTACCTCCTTGAAGTACTTATCATGCTCACCTATCTGCCACCCACATTCAGGAAAGCTCGTACTCGTAACAAGGCTGACAATCCTCAAACGGCTACAAGCTGCGGCTCTCTGCTTGGTGGAAACCTACAGCACGCCATTCCAAGACACAGCCGTCGGAAAGTTGTCCTTCGCGCAAAATATACCGACCTTTCATGCCGGGCTAAGCGTAGCTGACCGGTATTCTGAACTTTCACGTTTGTCCCAGACCTCGGTAGCAAGTGTTGTTGAATTTAATCATGGTCCAGGGACGCCTGAACGATCCTTCCGCATTTGTACAGCAGTTGCTAGAAACCCTGCTGGTTTGCTGCTCTGAGCCACGGACATGGTCGACACGAGTCATGTCTGACTGCAAAGAATTGCCGCATAATCTCTGAGCAGAGCAATCGACGTCGACCCATTTACAAAGCATCTAGTCGGCGTTGGCTATGGTGGTTCTCCGCCTGCTCCAGAATAAGAACAGCCATGAATTGTCGATGTATCCGACAATGTGAGACTGGACTGTCGTTCAGACCAGAAATACGAGGCCGAGGGCGTCGTAGCTTTGCGACTATGTTCTGTGACAGACAATGAATTCAATAGTGCCCTGCATACAGCATGTTCTCGAAGGAACCGGGCCGTGCTGGAAGTATGTACGGCTCCAGCGACAATACGATCTCGATGAAACGTGGCAATGTGTGACTGACAGAGAGTCCATGGGGTTCAAATGGATGGACCTACTCGGTGTGTACCCGGAGGCTTTCACATATATTCCTGGGAAATGACTACTTAGCATTCAGAAGGGCATCAGATTCAACGGCATCAGTCTCACTGTTACATCGACGACACATACACCCTTGCTTGGCAAAGGTATATCTAAGATATCGTCTCTCCTTCTGACTAAGATGAGGACCAGCACTGGACGATCTGGAGATGCAAGCCAGGACGACCGAGCAGATCCATGGTCAGGTGCCAATAGCAAAGCAGACAGCGAGGACGCCCGTGCCATCAAGAAGACAGCACCATTCTCATTCCAGGGAACACGTGTTACAACGAGTGAACGATAGCGTTGTCTACGAAGATCTCTTAGTGACCATCGACCTCCGTTGAGTCGGATCAGGAGGCCTCCTACAGTCCAACAGCGCTACTTGTCGCAAGAGCCCGCCCAACGGCCGTCCAGTACTCATGTTCCCAACTGTGAGCCTTCTCCGGAAGTCGCCACGCCGGAGATTTGAGGTCGGATAGTGGGGAACGGTCGCGGCTGCCCGCCTGAAGGGTGTACCTAGGTACAATCATTGGTGTTGCCATTCTTTGGACTACCGTGTCCGGTACCTGGATGGCGCCGACTGATAGGGGTGAAGGGTCTGACTTTGCCGCCTTGCTTGCCGACTTCTGATCCATAAACATCGTGTGCGGAATGTCTTGGGGAGTGGCATAGTCGTTTCCACAGATCAGGTAAATCTTGACCATACGGCGTAGAATTGTGTGTCGTTGAATGTGCTCCTCAGCCCTGGCCCGATGCGCGGACTCAGGAAAGAGGTAGAGGAAGACGTCCGAAGTGAAGCCATTCAGAATTAGATTTGCTTATCACGGGACCCATACACACAACGAGATACCATAGACGTTAGAACAGTTTCTGATATAAGGAGAGCACTAGGTTCAACGCGTATACTTACTCGATATGGATCCGGAGCCCTTCATACCTATCGATAGTGGATATTCTTCTATGTGACAAGGCTATCAGCTCTAACGATATAAAGCCAGACTGTAGTCTAGATTCCCACCGTCTGGATCGTTAGGAGTGTTGGACTGTATTCAGCGCGCCCTCCCCCGCCTGGATACTTTGGTTGGCCTGGGTCAGGTCATCCTCGTTGAGCAAGCGTTTAGCTTCTTCAATAAAGCTTTCAGCCAGCAACAACGCTGGTTGCAGCGGCTCGTGTTTGGCTCTGATGGTCTCGAGCCGGTCAATAAACATTCTGTAGTTCTCCATCTCCTGAACCAGCATCTCGTCAACTTCGTAGGCCCTAGCCTGCTCTGGCATGATCTGGCGGCCTTCCAACAGAAGAGACAGTCGGGTCCGTGGTAGAAGCTGCAAAGCGGGGTTCTTGGGCGAGAGCCTTGGACTCAATGGACATATCGCTGACGAGCTCTCTGTAAACAAGACGACATCCAGAGATGGTCGGAATTGTGAACAGGAGCAACCGGCTGTTTCAAAGACACCTGCTCGATATGTATCGGGAGTCCTTCACATATATTGTCAAGGAGGTCAGCATTGGCACACTGAGAGGCCGTTGGATACGACAGGGAGAGAAATGAGAGGAGAGATATAATTGATTGCAGTCCGCTAACGGCTGTCTATATCCTTCGGGGGGTATGCTCTCTGTTTTGACTGTAGCAAATTTTCTGGCGACTGGCTTGCTATCCACCCTATACAGTATTCCACGCAATGCAAATGCACATTTGAAGAAGCAGTCGGCCAGAAGCCATGCTTTTCTTTCTGATTACAAATTCTCTAAGTCGTCCATGCTGGCAGAGTCCACCTTTCTGAACGAGTGAGCCGCGGTGGCTTAGTATTGACGGGCAGCTTGTTGACAAGCCTTGAGCTGTTCCATGTACCAGCCGCAGATGGACATATTTCCTTGGTTCTGGTTCATGCAGTCGGTGAAACTCTTGATATCGGATGCGCAAGGGCCAGAAGCCTCGGTAGCCGAGCTCTGGCTGTACAACGCATTGTCCATTGCGTTACCGGTGTTGGCGTAGGCATCAGTGGCCTGCTGCTGTTGCTCGACAGGAGCAGACGAGCCACCACCGAAGAAGCCACCGATCGCATGGCCGATTGAGGATCCGACCGCGACGCCACTGCGAGTATGTAGTCAGTATAAATCCACTACGTGTGCACAAATTCGTCTCCGGATCCTGATCTGTGCAACTTACGCTGCCGTGCTAGCCATTTGACCGAACAAACCCGGACCTTGCGATGTCTGAGCAGGGGGGTGAGCCTGCTGACTTTGAGCGGTCGGGGCAGTGGACATAGGTCTTTGTTGTTGGTGTGGCGCTACCGACCGAGGTGCGGGAGCAGGCGCTGTAGGTCTTGACGGAGCGGACCGCGAGGGACCTGCACCACCACGGGAACGAGGCATGTTGAAGATTGGTGTTTTGTGTTGAAAGGAGGTTAGAAGTTCGAGTGTTTGTGATGGGTGTTCTCGGGCGAGTGAGTGCAACTGAGGAAGGCGGATGTAGTGATGAACGAAACGCCGCAGGAAGCTGGCGAAGGCCTTCGATGCCAAGAGAATCGACCTAGACCTAACCAGTGTTGGTATAGGCTGGCTCGCTCCCTCCTCGGCTATCCCTTCGATATGTCTACCAGGACCAATGATCATCGCTCGAGGGCCGCACGAGCAACAGTTCTTGTAGGGGTAAAACATCCAGCATGTTTCCGTAAAGGGTGACATTGTTTGACAGAGAGTACACCGCGGATACAACTTCAACGTCTACCAGGTTCAAGCCGGTCGGTGCCTGTGCGGTGAGCACTGAAAGCACATAGATAGAGCTGATGGCCACCCATCTCAAGAATGAGATGCCACAGCATTAGGTATGAATGACTCTACGAAGCCAACGAGGAGTCATTTCTCATTGAACTTGAGGAGCAACAGCGCTTCCAAGATACCTTGGCGAATTAGAGAATCTGCGGTAGAGTCAAAATGACATTGAAAAACAATATACAAAACAAAGCACTACGGAAAGTTGCCCATCCAGTCGACGAAGATGGAGTGAGTGTACTCTCCACAAAGTTCCTGATCCTAGCAATGAACACGCCTTTTAAGGTGGTAAGCTGCTTCCATCCTGCACACCAAAGGATAGACAAGCTCTGCCATGACGGCCAACTACGCTGGGGGTGGTGGAGGCGGAACGTAGTCGTTGCCTGGCGGTGGTGGTTGGAACTCGGGTGGAGGAGGAGGAGCTCCGGCATCTGGCGGTGGTGGTGGCGCACTGCCGTATTGTTGCAAGAAAGAGCTGATACCAGGAGGAGCAGAAGGTGGTGGAGGAGGAGCACCGTAGGCGGCCTGAGAATCGTAGCCAGGATAACCACCGTAGCCGTAACTCTGTCCACCAGGTGGGGCTTGCTGCTGCCATGGAGCAGCTTGCTGACCTGGGGCCGCTCCATACTCTGCTTGAGTGTTACCAGCACGACTCTGCTGCCATGGCGGAAGCGAAGATCCTCCATCTCGGTCTCGTCGGTCTTGTTGCCATGGGGCAGCCGCACCAGTCGGCTGTCTTGCCCAGGGACGTGCATCGTTGCCGCCGCCAGCCCCGTATGAATCCCCTTGATCGTAGCCACCAGGCGCAGCCTCAATGCGACCAACGGGACCATCACCAGAAGGATTGCCCGAGAGTTCTTGCATAAGGTTCTGTGATAAGTTAGCATGATGTCGCTACCGGACACGAAAGACCAATGGAAAGCATACCTCCATCTCCCTGTCGACTGCATCTGAAGGACCAAGACGTCGTTGTGGCCCACCAAACCCTCCTGGTACATTGTTGCGCGCGTCGGTACCGCGCTGTCTATCCGGACAGTCGCGAGCCATGTGGCCGGCATTTCCGCAAACTCGGCAGATAATGTTGGCAGTGAAGTTGCGTTGTTCAGGACAATCGTACTTGCGGTGTCCGATTTGACCACCTGGAAAGGTTAGTTAACCCCCCGATTGTTTGAGAATGCAGAAGCTTACAATTTTGACAAGCTTGGTTCTCATCGTCTCGAAGGGTACCGTTGAGTGCTGCAAGCTCTCGGAGTTGGTTCCTCTTCAGTTCGTTCTGGCCCTCAGGAATGGAAGCAGCCGTTTCGATGACATTGTGAATGAGCTGCTTAGCCTTGTTGACCTTGTCTTCCGTGTCGGCCATGATCAAACAGTGTAAATCTTCTTCCTGGTTGCTAGTATGTGCTGCGTCAGATCTTCCCTTGCCCTCTTTGACAGAGCCTTTGCCTCGGATGGCGATCTTGGCTCCTGATTCGGTTTCCATTTTCTTCAAGGTATTGCCACGAGGTCCAATAAGTAAACCAACTTTTAGTGAAAGAAGCTAAGTGTTAGTCTGTGGTAGTCAAAGTAAACATGGTTGAGGGGAGTGCTCTGGTTAGTGCAGGGAATCGCGCCAATCGGCACAGCTTCAGTGAGCAGGCGATGGCACGCAGCAAGAACGAAAGCAACAAGGGGTTTTGTAACAGAGTTAGAGGGTTAGTTAGCATACTGAAGTTAATCTCGGGATAATCGTTGACTGGCACGTAGACCTTCTCCTGCGTCTTTGTGGGTCGTCGATAGTCAGACGGTGGGTGGTAGTTAGGAATGGTCTTCATAGCCTTCTCGATGAGCTTGTGTCGTTCATCCTCCAGGCGCTTGCGGTATCGAAATTCGCGCGTATTGACTCGACGGCCGAAATTGTCGTACTGCGGTGGTGGCGATGGTGACCTAGACATTGGTAAGAAGTCTGTGCAAGAATGATAGGGATTGGAAAACTGACCTATCTGCGTCGGCAGGGACAACATCATTGATCCGCAGCTTTTGGCTGATCTCTTCAATTCGCAGATGAAGTGTATACGCGTCGAGTTGCTCTGCTGTCATGTTTGCCTGTATCATGGTTGGAAGGCCCATAAGACCTGCGGCCTTGTTCTCTCCGGCCTCACCCCATCGGTTTCGCTTTCTACGCCTCTTCACGCCGTCGTCGGCGGCAGGTTCAGCTGTAGGCCGTCAGTACTGTGACACACCAGAGGGGGAGGGCGGACAACATACCTCTGGCAGGACTTCGTCCACGCTTGCCCGACTCTCCGAACGAAGGAGAATCTGCGGGGCTATCATTCTGCGAGTCACCGTTGCCGTCGCCGCCGAACCGACGACGATTTCCAAGAGGAATATTATTAGAACCCGTGATGCCTTGACTACGCCACGACATTGTGAGATGATGTCGCGAAGACAGTAAGTTTTCGAGTTGTGAAAGCTGATCGCGCTCCTACAAGAAAGGAGCAGCCCGAAGATTTCAGGCGTGGTGTGCAAGTGCAGGCAGGCGCAGTTTCGAGGTCGCTCCTGCAGTTGAAAAGGAGACTAGGTTTCGTGCCAAGCTTTTCCACGTGACCATCTTGGCTCCTCTCGAGTGTCTGGGAAAGCGCAAGTCGCAAGTCGTGTCTCCGCCGCGTACAGTTTCGCGCCAGGATTTGTCTAATCACTAAACGTCTACCACATCCTTGTCGCAACAATCATAGACAATTCCTGGTGGAGTTTGGGCATTTATTGCGTTCGCGACGGCCACAACACTTGCTCGCCCCTCTGCGTTGTGCGCAAAGTCTGCGCGATACTCCTGACACGAACGGGGCTGGGGTCATCCATCACCTTGCATTGAGTATTCATTATGGCCGATTACTCAGAACAAACCCCGGCGGAACTGAAGCACGAGGGTTCAGAAACCCCTGGACTTGCGGCGGAGGGTGCAAATGCACCAGTCGCTCCTGAAACTGCTACGGAAGGTACGCGACAATGTCCACTTGTTCAATCGCAGTGGAAAACATGCATGAAAGTTCACTGACATGACAACACTAGTACTTGAACGTGCTCCTGAGACTACCGCTACGATCGATGTCAATCCTCTAGATGCGCCCAAGTCTCCAGCTGCTGAGGTGGAAGGACATGGTGAACAGGAGGATGCTGAGATGGGTGGTGTCGATGACGATGCAAAGGTTGAGGATGCCGATGGGGACAAGGAAGTCGTAGAAGACTCGCAAGAGACCCCTGCGGCAACCAACCCTGCCGACGGTCAAACTGCACAAGCAAAATCAGCGTTGGAGGCTGCCGCCAACTCACATTTGGTTGCTCAGACGCATCAAATCATTCTTCCCAGTTACAGCACATGGTTCGACATGACCACGATTCACCCTCTCGAAAAGAAATCATTGCCTGAGTTCTTCAACAGCCGGAATCGCAGCAAGACGCCGGCCGTGTACAAAGACTATCGTGATTTCATGATCAACACCTACCGCCTCAACCCAATTGAGTATCTGACAGTGACTGCTTGTCGGAGGAACTTGGCTGGAGATGTCTGTGCAATCATGCGAGTACACGCATTTTTGGAACAGTGGGGTCTCATCAACTACCAGGTAAGGCTCCGCAGAATGCGTGGTACACGACGTACTAACATTTACAGGTTGATCCTCAAACTCGTCCAGCAAACATCGGACCTCCTTTTACAGGGCACTTTAGAGTCACCGCGGATACGCCGCGTGGACTGCAGCCTTTCCAACCCGCTCAGAACACGTTCACTACTCCCGGCAAACCCCACCCACAAACAGATCGTGCGAAATCACAGACACCAGCATCCAAAGCGGACTTGAATCTCGAATTGAGACGCAATGTCTATGACGACAAGGGCAAGGAGATCAAGGCCAGTGAAGAACCAGATAAACACACAAATGGTGACGATGTGACTGCTAATGGCTCGGCCGCAACGAAAGCCATGGATGCAGCTGCACGAGAACCCATCAAGACTTTCAACTGCTATTCCTGCGGTGTAGACTGCACTCGGTGCCGATTCCATTATGCCAAGTCGGATCCAGTTTCAAGCACCCAGAACCCCCAAGAAATCAAATACGACCTGTGCCCGAACTGTTATTTCCAGTCAAGGATGCCAAGCAATCACCGATCCTCTGACTTTGTCAAGATGGAGGAGCCAGCATATTCCCACATTCCTGACAAAGATGCTCCTTGGTCCGACAATGAGACACTATTGCTGCTGGAAGCCTTAGAGACTTTTGATGACAATTGGGAAGCTGTGTCAAAACATGTTGGCACGAGAACCAGAGAAGAATGCGTGCTGAAGTTCCTACAAATGGATATCCAAGATCAGTATCTTGAGGATGGACCTTTGAGTGGCGGCGCGATCATGAAAACTCTGACTGGGCGAAGCCCAATCAGTCAGTTGGACAACCCAGTCATGTCAGTCATCAGCTTCCTATCACAATTGGCCAATCCCAAGGTTGTCGCTGCAGCTTCTGGCCGCTCGATCGAAGTCATGCAAAAGGAGTTACGCGCACAACTCGAGAAGGGCATGGGAGGGACGGAGCAAGAATCGGGTCAGGAAAAGGAAAACGTCAAATCCGAGGATACTATGGAAGTCGATGAGACAGCTGTCGAAAAGAACACGGCTGAGGTAACCGGGTCTGCAGCCGTTGTTAACGACCTTGCAAGCACGGCTTTGGCAACAAGCGCTGCTCGGTCGAGTGGTCTTGCTTCGCATCAAGAAAGAGAGATGACAAGGATGATTGGAGCAGCAGTCAACCTCACATTGCAGAAATTTGACCTCAAGATGTCACAATTTGCTGAAATGGAAGATATCGTGCAGTCAGAACGAAGAGATCTGGAAAAAGGACGGCAACAATTGTTCTTGGACCGACTCGCGTTCAAGAGAAGAATGAAGGACATGGAGAACACATTCCGACAAGCCAGCCTCAAGGGTCCTGAGGAAGGAATGCGCATGATGCAAGAAGCTGTTAACAACAATGCTGGTCAGCGCTTTGGATTCCAAGATGGTAATGAGGGGTCTGATGAAACGGTGACCACAAATATTGAGGGCGCCGATGGCAAGCAGATGGAGCTGTAATAAAGCTCGCACGAAGGTTGTACCTGACTGGCACTGGCGTTCTGGAAGATGGTGTTCAACTGACAAGAAGGGAGTGCTTCTTGCTATGTTTTACCCCAATGCATTCTCGGTTGGTATGTGGTGCAATGGAGATGCGACCTTGGATCACTCTTGTAGAAATAGAAGATTGGCCTTCTTTCCAGGAAATGAAGCAAAACCCTTGTATGGGAGAGGATATTGTTACCAGGAACAATGAGACTATCTTGGCGTCTCCGATGAATATGTCGTTGCGCGCGTTGACACGTATCCTGCATTCTTAAAACCGTCTATTTCCCTACGTCTAGATTGTGATGATGGCTGGCTCGACGAAAGCACTAAGTGGTCGGGATCCTATCGCCTGTGGCAGACGAGGCTCGAGGCTGCCTGAATCATGCATGCATACACCACGCTTGGCTCAGCTACACATTGCCCGCGTCCATCCACCTCTCTCTCAGCTCCAACATCTATCCATGGCACATTTGTGCGACACTTGCAAGCCCTCCATCGAGGGACATGGTTGCAAAAGCCCATTTACGGGTCGGTATGCGTCTAGACCGCACCTAGACAGGGCGTTGTCCGAGGTCTACCAGTCGATGCCAGCGTTTGTCAACGGTCTTAGCCGTGAAGCTGAGAGTCACTGCTGACCGAGCCTGCAACAGTCACTCATCATGGGATCCCTCTGGACTACGTAGGCTGGCAGTTACCAGCCCTCATATTGCAGGCCATTTCCAAGAATCTCGCCTGGTATTCTGAAGATTTGTGCTGGTCTTCACGAAAGAGTTCCGACCATGGGGAGCGCTGCACCTCCACCCACGTCTCCCCGGGCTCACGCCGCCGACAGAACGGCCACGTTTGTTTCTATTACGCTTGGTGTCTTTGTACTCATCATGGTGGCTGCTTTCACCATCAAGTCTTTCCAAGCGAAGACGACACCTCCAGAGGACGCTCGACGTCCGCGTTCTTTCGGGGAGAAAGGCCTCCCAGCTTCCATCCTACAAACTTTTCGGCTGATAACGTATGATGCGAGGTCCGACACAACCGAAACCGATGTTGAAAAGGGATCGACGGACATGAAAGCACCTGAAAGCATTCTTGTCGAGGAGCAGGAGCTGAAAGTACCACGAAAGGCCCATTGCCGAGAAGATGGTACTGCTATCAACGCTCTTGCTCGCACAAATGATACAGAGCTGCCGTCTAAAGTCGATCACTCCGAATGTCCAATTTGCATGCACTCTTTCAGCATGAATGACAAAATCCGCGTACTGCCCTGCAAGCACGATTTCCACCAAGCGTGTATTGATCCATGGCTTGTGGGTTTCAGTGGGACTTGTCCTGTTTGGTAAGCTCTCCGGTCATTGCAGTTGACCGCAACAATGTGCCGCTAAGTTGGCTGACATCGATCGTGCTTGTAGCAGGATAGACTTGAAACCAGAGCCTAATCTTCTCATAACGAAACAGCATCATTGAGGGAAACCCTTGAGGTGTAGTTGTCCCTGAAGCACCCACCGACGGTCCCGACAGGTTCTCTCTCGGTTGGCTGCAGCAAGATCGAAACGGAAAACGAAAGACATGTCTAAAGAAAAAGCCGACTCAAGTAGATTTAAAAGCATGGCGAGGCTGAGAAAGGAAACTGGTCAAAAGTCTAACTAATCACTTAGCGCTATCTGATAAAATTGAATGAAAGATTAGGCGAAAGTGGACAGTCTCTCTATGCAGGGCCAGCGTTGACGTGCATTGTGGGTGGTTTAGGGACTCACTGGGTTCTGTCCCCGGCCCGCCGAAGGGCAATTGCAGCCTAAACGCGCATCATCGAGCGATAATCCCACGCCATTGACGACAAATCTCGCGTCCCTTAACCGTGCAGCAACAACCAAGTCAAGTCTAGCCGCCCAAATAAAGTCCCCCCCAGACTGTTTGTCGAGATGAGGTCTGGGATCCAGGATCTTTGAAGATTGATCCACGCCGAGAAGACCAAGCCTTCCATCTTTTCCGTCATGATCATATCATGGTGCGTCCGCCTAGAATTCAAAATCACCATGTAACTTGCTTGATGTAATCCTGGTCATCGTCCTGAGCGTTTCAATCTCCATGTCAGCCACATGTCGGTCACAGTGAAGCATCTCAATGCTGACTCGACTTTCCTCCTGCGATTCTCGCCCGAGGCCAACTCCGATGCTACAGACTCTACGTCAAGAACCAGCACATTCTCGGTCCTGATTGATCCATGGCTGACTGGTCCATCCATCGTCACTGCTCCATGGTTCGCAAAGACGGAAAGGAAAGTTCCCAGTGCCATCCAGCATCTCTCAGAAATCGAGGAACCCGATGTGGTGATCGTATCACAGAACAAACCGGACCACTGCCACAAAGAAACCCTGCTTCAACTACGTCCGGAAAGCAAGACAATCATTGCTGCTGAACCAGCCGCAGCAAAGACAATCAAAAGTTGGAACTACTTTGACCCCACCAGAGTACACGCCCTCAGGAAATATGATCACAAGTCCAAATTCGGTCGCTCCTTACGAGTACGCATACCGCCTCTATCGCCAGACGGATTACCTGGCGAAGTCAATATCGCTTTCATACCTGCTAAAAACTATATGACCGGCCTTCACAACGCGTTTGGGATCACATATCAGCCACCTACTCACACCAAGGCTACTGCACCCGTAGCCACTGTTGACCTGCCGAGAAGTACGAGATACTTCCACATGCCTCTGACGCCGGCGACTTTGCCACCATCAAGCCCGACTCTGCCTATGTCGCCTCTGGCAACAAGACCGATGTCGTTCGACCAACCTGGAAGAGACCGCTTTTCTATGCAGACCACAGAAGCTTCGCTAGCGAGAAGGCATCGCCCTAGACTGTCCAAGTCCTCGAACACGGCATCTTCGGAGCTTCTGCCAACGTCTGAACAGCCTGTCGCTCGAATAAACCCAGATGCCCATGCTGAGGACATCGTTCAACAAACGGTGACCTTGTTCGAGCGATCGCCACGACTCGATGTCCCTTTCCACTTCGAGCTAGAGAAGCTACCATCCAATCCCGCCAACACCTTACCTACTCCGCCAGACTCTCCAGCTCTCACCCAATCCACACTGAAGCCTGTCTCCACCGTCGGATCTGCTATGTCGCCTACCAGTCCGGTCTTTCCGCATCGCAAATCATTTGCATCTTCCCATTACAAGACCCTTTCCAGTGCATCATCCATGCCAAATATGTCCCCTGTCACGCCAGCTCGGCCTAAAGCAATCTCAATCGTCTATTCTCCACACGGTCTTGCGCTTTCCGATCTGCAACCGTACGTACAGAATCACCTTGTTCGCCTAGGTGCTCTTCCGCTGACGCTGTTGTTTCACTCTTTCGACCGTGCTGAGAACCCATGGTACCTTGGGGGCAACATCACGACAGGTATGCAAGGCGGAGCCCAGATTGCTCGCGCATTGATGGCCCGATGCTGGATCAGCGCTCACGATGAGGCAAAGGACGATCGCGGGCTCAGCGTCAAAAAATTGCGGGTGCAACGGATTACCGCGGATGAAGTGAGGAAGCATCTGTGGGAAGGAGAAGAAGGCGAGTGGTTGAAGAAGAAGGGCTGGAGGTGCGACGTCAGAAGTCTCGGAAGCGGCAGGGAGATGATCGTTGGTCCGGCCAGATATAATATGTAATAATACCCAACCATCTATTAGCGATAGCATCTATTTCAAACCATCTCGCACTGAGGTCTGCAATCAGTTCCTGGCGAGCCTATTTCCAGGAAAAGTGGCACTGTCTGACTGCTGTTGCTCCTCAGGTTCAAATAGATACCTTCCATATTGTCATCCCGGAGGCCTTCGCATACGAGGATATAGCGTTAGTCTTTCACAGCGGGTAGACCATCAGCTCTATCGCACAGCACTTCTCTCTTGGTGTCAAGGCACCTGCTATTGTGAACCTGCTTGACTTCGAACTTGTGTCGTCGATGTACGCCCTGTCAGACCGTGCCACTTTTTCTGGAAACAGGCTCGCTAGGTCCTGCGACAATATAGGACCAGGTAGCGTCCTCCATTGGGTTGTTGCACAGGTCCAATGTGGTGCCTTCATGATCGATGAGTGGTGGCAGGCGTGCATCTTGCTTGAGCACTGGCCTGCATGCTTCGCAATTTAGTCGCCTATGCTGTGGTATGCCTTCCGTCTAGGTGATTGAGGTGGAGGCCAGTCCTCGGACTCAGATACCTGGAACCGCCCAACGGCATTAAGATAACAAGTAAATGCATCTCGGTTGTTCAATAGGCGTCCAGAAGGCGCGACCACGACCTGTGCTACGATAGAGTTGGCCATTATATTCCAGTCTTGAGGGTCGAACCAGTCAGGCCAGATAATCAACCCCGACCGCTCTATTTCCAAGTCAGATGCCTTCGCTGCCGTGAATACATCAACAGCTGAGGCCAGCTGTTCGGTGTCGATGCTGCACGCTGGATGGCATGCAATGCAAAAAATACCTCGTGACGGCAGAGGCGAGCCAGCGGACACCTCGAGGTCGGAAAGGTTAAAGCTCAGTCCCTGAGGAAACCATCTTCGTGCGACCATCTGCATCGACTCGTGGACTGCAGTAGTCACTGCACCATTGTGGACTGTGCCGATATACTCTCCCCCTAGACCAAAGCCTGGGGAGACTACCATGACCAAGACGTGACGATGTTGGTTCCAAAAGACCATCATATTCATACCTCGATAGGGTCTTAGTGCAGTTTCGACAAAATGTGGATCACATTCTATAAAACTGCCAGTAATTGTGCTGATGATTAATTTTTCTTCCTGTTCTGGAGTAACAGCATACGGGAAGTGTATTTCAAACTCGGGATCAGCCAGCAAAGCTTGGACGACTGGATGGTTTCCGACCCTTTCCACAGCACGACGGCTAAGGCGGACATCGGAGGTAGTTCCAGGTTGGATCTCGCCTTCCTTCCTGTAAGCCACCGCCATCAACCAAGTCAGTGTGCCGAAACCGGTGGTGCCAAAGACTACCGCCCATAGCAAGGATCGTAAAAAAGGAACTGATCGTGGAGGACCAACGGGATAGTAGTCAGGGGGTGCTGTAGACCTGTAAGGTTGGTGTTGGTAGGTGCTTCTGTGGGAGTGCGAGAAAAAGGCGGTGGCAGTTTTGAACTGCGCTTGCACAAGACGAAGGGGTAGGCGCCTGCTTGAGGTTGGAAGTTTGAGAAGTCGTTGAACAACATTACGCCTCATCTTGTCTTCGAGTCATCCCGACTCGGATTTCACAGATCACAACACATGAATTGACCCCAGCGCAAGATGGAAGTTGATTGAGGTGGATAAACAGACCCAACACTAGGGATGGAGAAGAGGATCAGTAAAGAATGTGGAGAGAAAGCTAATTAATAGCCTAACTTTAAGTAACTTAGTTATTAGCGTCGCCCGTTTGACTTGCGCTTACTAGTAGTAGCTAAGAGCATCATCATCGACGACGACGTCATGGCCACTCCACGATTGACATGTCCATATCATATCTTTGTTGCCTCATCTGCTTCCACAATGCCAGCAGCAACAACAAGATGAGCGAGGAACTTCTATCAGCGTCTCAGACGGCTGCTTTGTTCGACATACTGACTCACTATGATACATATGCTGAGATCCGCGAGTTCAGAAACCCTGGGAGCCTCGCCCATTATGGCCCGCCGTTCACTCATGAAAAGGACAAGCCTTCAACGGCCCCGACCCTACAAGCCCTTGTATCAAAGTTCTTGCTCCCAATGCCTGGCTTGAACAATCTTCCGGGGAAGTGGTGGACGGTACAGTGTCTCAATATCATTGGAGACTTGGAAAATGCAAATCTCAGTGAAAGCTACGATAAAGGCGTCATAGGAAGCCGGAAGACCATCGCCACTGCCATATCAGCTCTGATCGAGTATCCCGTGCGAGGCATATATGGTGGCATACCTAAAACCGACAACGAAGTCTCGAATTACGACCTCACGAATGCCGAGGATCTTTCTCGGGCTTTCCATGATTTCACGAACAATAGCGTCTATGGGAACGCCCTGGAGGAACTGGTAGACAAGGCCGCTCAGACCGACAGACTGAAAGATCATACACCTCTTACCAAGGCAATACACGAATTTGTGCTTATCAAGTGAGCAACCTTGTCAGACTTTTTCGTGCCCTGCTCCGCTTGTCTTTCCATATGCTGACCTATCGCCCCAGCTTGGCTTCATTCATGCATTATACTCTGATCTTGTCGCCAAAGGGTCAATACCTGCTAAAGTTGATTGACAACGCCAACAAGCTCGTACCTTATCTAGTCGTCAAGCAGACACTAAAGATCGGAAATGTCGCGACTATGATCAATGCCATGATGAAGGTCGGACTGGCCAAAATGAGCATGGCAAGTGTGACCAACTGGATGGGTCTTACCCGCAATCAGGACGAAGGCATGAACCTGATGCAGACGTATGTGGTGACCATCCCGCATAGAACTTCCGTTTGCTTACAGCCTCAGGATTATCTCCACTGTCCTCAATTGGGACATCAAAGACCTGGAAACGCGCGCAACAAAACTTGAGCGGGAGCGTGCCAAACTCGGCAAGGAGGAACTGCAAATCCTCAAAAGCTACACCACAAAGTCTCAAGACGACCAAGACCGCATCCGCAGAGAGAGCCAGACACAATCCATCTCAATAGTCACTGCCATCCTGAAAGACAGCAAATGCCAGTCGACCGAACTGACTGAGCAGCATCACAAACGAGCCTTAGAGTACCTCTCAATACACCTCTCAATACGCGATCGTAAACAACTAATCCAATGCCTCTGCAAATCGAATCCCGACTATTTGACGACTTCCGTCAGAGAGGTGGTCGATGCCTACGAATCTGTCATCCGACGAATGCACAAAGCAATAGACTTATCTTCCACGGTGTCCGACCTGGAATATTTCCTCGGCGACATGATCAAGCTATCTCGAATCCATACCGATAAATCTGGCAAGTCAATCGTGCCCACGGTGGGCGACTTCGTCCAACTGCTGCGCAAGCACCAGCGATCCTGTCATGTCTTCATACACCAGTGCTGCAAGAATGACAAGGAGTTGACAGGTTGGTACCTCGACTGGGCCAAACACTGCGCAGCACAATTCAGGAGGGAGTCACAACCGGGATTCGAATCCAATCACCCAGACTTCGCACAAAAAGGAGCCGGCAACCTCACGCCGCCTCTTCACGAACTATTCAGCGCACTGCCCAAGGAGACCCAGTGTCAAATCACCCCCATCCTGGATTCACATTCAGCATACATGGACAAGATGCACGTCCAATCTAATGCCCGTCTGCAGACCATCCTGAAATCTCAGCCATCAAAGAACCCAGCTATCGCAAAGATCTTCTCCGGTTCGGCCACCAGACCGAACTCAAGAGCTCCAAGTCCCGCGCCCGGGTCTCCCATCGAGCGCACTCACAGTTTCTCGGAAGTACAGCAATCCGAGACAAGCAAATCAATTAAGGAGGGCGCCACCCCCGAAGTATCCTCGTCTCCTGGCCCGGGCTCCTTCCTCGCGCGCTGGCAGGCACTGCTCGATGCCACGCCCATCACGCCCTTGACGCAATCAGGCCCGGTCAAGGCGGCGAGCAGTCCCGAGGTGGTGCAGTCAAGTGCGACCGACGTCGATGGTTCAAAGCTCGCACACTTTGGTTCTGCAGAGGCCAAAGGCCAACATATTCGTGTCGAGGGGAAGGAAACTGAGGCTCGTGAACGACAGAAGCAGCTGAAGATTGTTATTGACGCCATGGGACAGGACTTTCGGAACCTTTTGGCTGAGAAAGGCTGTCATTGGTAGTCGTTGCTCGAAAGCCCGCCCCTGTCACACAAGTGAGAAGACGCACGTACGGATTGAGTTTCTCCTGACGAACCTCGCACCTGTCTGGCTGGAACCTTACAAATTCTCTACTTGGATCTGATCGTCGTTCAATCGAGGTTGGCATTTCGACTTTGCTATGAAATCGATGTCGGCAAACCCTTGGCAAGCCCAGGTACTTTATGCCTCGTGCTGCATCAGGAGCAAGCCGTTGTGTTGGTACGCAGGAAGAATGGGAATTGCGAATATACAGCTATCACGTAGCGGACGAATTGCATGATCCGGACATGCGTGGAGGACACGGCATGCGTCAACCTCGAGTACCGCCAACATCGGCGAGGAGAGTACAGGCACGAGAATAGAAGCAGATTTAGAAGGACAGCCAGGCGACACGAGACACGACCTGATATAAATGTAACATCATCATGAAAGGAGCAGGCCGCAAGCATCCAGTCACTTACTAGCAACATTAGACGTTTAACCATCCTTTCCACTTCACCTTTATCGGTTTGAACAAAGCGGAAAAGTTCAGTGGCTCAGAAGCCCCAAGATCTTATACCTACAGTATGACGACGTACGAGCTCGTCCACAAGATCCGCGATGTGGCAACCTCTTAACCAAGCCCTGAAAGGCCGACCCTTATAAAACCCCAACAGCAAGTCTAGATGTCTCTGGAGTTCTCCAGGTCCAGCACCCGTGCTGTGCTCCATATATTCCGCTCGCCCAATATTCATGGCCATTGTGCCAATATACACCAATTGCTGCCAACAGTGATATTCTCACCAACCCATTCTATGCGACCAATGCCGGAACCATGCATGCTAACCGGCCCAACAGTAAAAAACGCCCCTATAAGTATGCGTCGTAAAACTCGTCCTCTGCCAATCATCGGAGGTATGCATCGTTGCTGAATCGGGTATATCGTGATACTTGCTTGACACCAAAACAAAAAATTGCAACTTCGCAAAATCGTCTCGCAGGGCGAAGAAAATCATCATAAGCTCTTTCGAAACAAGCGACATCGTAGCTTCTAGCGACCCCGTAGCTGTAACAGCCTCAACCTACGCTCCTCGTCTTGTATAGAACTCACGTTTCTGTGAAACGTTGGGCCTCTACCGCCGTTCGCAGCCAATTCTGGCGGACTTGAAGAGAGACTGCCCGGAACCCGTGGAGACGAGCGGACATATGCTGCAGGAGGTTCCGCAAGCGCCGGCGGACTGGGTTGTCGTATGACTGATCCATACGATGGAAGATTCGTTGAGTCTTCATAAGGTGTCCTTGGCGCCGGTGTCTTGACGGCTGTGGTGTACGATGGAATTCTGGCCAGATCCTCCATGTGGTCGTATTGGGGAAAGGGGGTCCGCGCTCCAGACATGGGTGCGTTCTCTTCCTCAGACGTCCTTCGTGAAATTAGCGTACTGTCTGGCAAACCCGGCGTGGCGGTTCCAGATGGAGCGGCTTGATCATTAGGACTCAGTCTTGGATGTGTATTCTGATTCGATGAATTGCCAGTAAAATAGTCGCTGATTGCCTGGGCTGTGCCGGAATTCCTCCTGGACCGTCCAATAATGGTTGCCAAATCATTCTCTTCATCAGTTGGATTGCCAGAATTTGTCATTCGTAGATCTTGAAGCCTATTCTCGAGAGCTACCGGCGATACAAAGGAGCCATTAGTGACAGCCGCAAGACTTGCAAGGTTGTCTGACGATGCGTGACGGCTGTGCAAGTAAGGAGTGCCTGGTCCTGACAGAGCCATTCCTGGAGTTCGATAACCTTCCATATCAGTGTATAATTGATCGAGAGTATGTTGACCGTAAAGAGGTGGGGCTGAATTGGCCAGATCGTTGGCGATAGCAGCACGACTAGCTTGAGATGATTGATCAACGAGATCATTGTTTTCGTTGATTGGGAGACTCGGTGAGATATAGAAGGAGACCGGCAGATTGGCTCTGAGTTCTGAGATGTGCCCATCGGGGTTGTGCAGCTGAACATTAAACTTCACCTTGTGACGGACTTTGATGCCTTTGATATTGCAATCCTGTAAGCATTGATTTAGAGACTTGGGCAGTTCCAGAAACCGCGTAAACTGGTACCCTTCGGCGGCTTCGTCGATGACCTGTTCATCTTTTTCAGGGTCGATTCTGTACACATCTGAGACGATGGTCCTGTCCACCTTGGTGATACCATTGTTGAGAGCGGATACTCCCCACTCCGGATCAACGACGAGTTCCTGTTCTTCCCTGACCTGAGTAGAGACATTGCCAATGACCAAACCTTTGAGAAGGGATATTAACTTGAAGTCGACTTGGACGAAGGAACCGAAAGCGACCGCTTTGTTGGGTATGCAGATGGAGTATTCGATCTTGTTGGGCCAGATATTCTCCACGGACTAGACATCATCAGTCAATTTGGGTGATATGGAGTGGGGCGCCCTTACCATAGCGTGAGCCAGCTCCAAGGCGTTGGCATCGAAGGTGCGAACAATACGCAAAGGTTTACGGATGACGATATCTCTGCCTCTCTTGCGACTGATCTCCGCCTTCAGGCGGTATATTACCCATGCATCTTTTAAGCCTTCAACACTCTCAGGTAGAGACCCTTCCAAAATACATCTAAAGGGCCACTCGTAGTTGTCGGGCGGTAAGATTTCGGATTTGCTCTTTCCGGGATCCCGAAAAGTCCAACTCTTTTCAAAGAATGTCTTCTCTTTGTAGGCGGTGCGTCTGCCAGACATGGAGGAGGTGGATGAAGTCAAATAGCTAAAGACCAGACCTGTCAGTGAATGGTCACGCGAGTAATGCTTGGACAAGCCGTGTAGTCCGAGGCTGACTTACGACATATGAAGGATACCGCTCAATGTCAAGTTGACATGGGAGATGTTGATGGCCTCGGTAAGACACAGAACAACCGAGCCGGAGAGTTCGGCACTCGCAGCCTCGTCCTCGCTTCCTCGAAACACGATGTAGTCATTGTGAAGTCGAATGTCGAAATATTTGACACTGCTACTGCTGCCAGAATATGACGTGTGTGAACTTAAGAATTTCAATGCCATGGCTGGTGATTTGGAAGGACCACCGACCAAATGACGGTCGGCTGGTGCTGGCGATGGGCTGTGAGACTGTTGGTTCAATGAGAGGCGTGCCACAGGCTCATGATGAGTCGAAGTGCATTCAGGTGAATGCCTGTAGTTGCGAAGGCGGAGGGATCTGGTCTGCTGTTGTTGCTGTAGGACAGAATGGCGTTAGAAAGAGAGAGTTTGACGAAGGAGCAGAAAACGAGTGTATAGGCCGAAGTATGAAGTCAGAAAGCATATGACAAGCAATGGCACATAAGGAATTTTCCCTTTGGATGTGCGGACATGAACTGCGGCTCGAAAATTGATGATAATGACATGGGCAGATAGATAGATTATTGGAGATTGGAGGGGAGAAGAACGACTTGGTCGCAGTGGATAATGGCGCAAGAGCCGAGCCTGATTGTAGAAGGGAATGGCCACCGTCTGACATGAGATAAGCATATCGCTTCCTCGGGCTCAGGGAGTGAGATACGCCCAATGGCAATTGCCGAGGGAAAGAGGCTCCCTCTGTCAGACGTTGGCTATTTCTTTCCGCCAAATTGACTTTGGTGCCTAAGATTTCTTCTCGGGGCGGGAATGGCTGATTTGGGAGCGTCACGGTGCCACCCAGTCACCCGTAGCGGGCTTTAGATGATGGGAACTCTTTTTGACGTACCGTTATCAGGCCCTGATCCACTGAAGTTCCTGGTTCCGATGATCGTGTGGCAGCCCTAGACGATGAGGATAACGACGGTAGAGATACGGATGAAAGCCCTGTGTTAGTGGTGGTGGTGGATCTTTCGGTGCTCGTCCTTTGTGATGCGCCTTCAGCTGTCGCCGGCCTTTCTGCTTGTTCTTCCTCTGTCGCTTCTTCTTCGGCTGGGAAATGTCCTGCAGTAGTGGTGGGGATGATTGTTGCGTTATTCTGATGACGATCCTGACGCGAATCTGGCTGTTGGGGATGATGACGACCATCCACCTCGACCAACTCTCTCGTCCGGCTACTGGATTTGATTTTGTGTCGGATCTTTGAAGTCGCTTTCAATGGTGGCAGAGGCCCAAGTGTGGGTGATGGCAATTCTCCCAATATCGCTCGGGTGGAAGCCGATCGGCGAGACCCAAGCGTCATTTTATTGTCTGCCCTCTTTTCTGGAGTCTGTGCGAAAATGTTCCTAGTGCGAGTAGGTACTTTGTCGCCGCGACTTCTCCCGAGATGGCTGCCGATGCTTCACTTCGAACAAGGCGTTCCAAGGTCGACAAGATAGCACGCTGCACCAGGTACAGGGCTTCAGGCACAGGTCCAGACTGGTACCTGTGACTGGGTACTGATAATGTTGACAGGTAGTGTATGCCTGAATCTGCGCACGAATGGAGTCGCCCCTCTTCGCCCGAGGTACCTAAGTCCAAGTACTCCGTATCTCAGAGACTGCTGCAGGCGAGATTTGTTGAGACCAAAGAGATGAACAGGAAAGCATCTGACAGAGATAACGAGATTCTTCACATGCTCTCGATGAGTGTAGGCGTCTGCTTTCACATGGGACTATATCCTCGTGTTGAGTAAGACAGCAGCAATTTTGGCCCCGTTGGAAATGGCCCTCTCCAACTATTTGATCCAACATGTATATGCAGTGTTTGCCTTCAGCAACCCCCCATCGGGTATATATTCTTTCCGGGCTGAATACAATGCCTTTTGCCGTTGTGAAGGAGCTGATCGCATCATGCAGCATCATCAAACTTACAAAGCCTTCCCTCATTCCGACTGGATGGCCCCTCGGGGTACTGCTACGTATCCCACCTCTTTCCAAGTGCTTATATCACACTATCACACCCTGCAGTGACCCTGACACTGCCCTCCCCATGCACCTTTGTCATGAAAATCCGTATTACTTTGGGCCTTACTCAACCCCTCCGGCAGGGGCCGTGCTCTTGATGAAGTTTCTCCTCCTTCCATTCGTCTTCTATATTGGGTCTTTGGCCCTTATCTAACTCAATTCTGCACCCCTCCGCCCGGTTGTGGCGTCGAAGTACATCCTACCCTTCCTCGGCCTAACATATTCACGGTCATGAGGAGTGACCGTCTTTGGACTAAAGGCACGATTTGCCGGAACACCCGTTCGTTTCTCGTCAGAAGGACATACCGAGATGAAATTCATCGTCCCACGGTTGACCGTTTGCTTGCAAACAGGATCTGCTGCACTGTGTTAGGCTGTTTGATCCGATCCACATAGTTGCATTCAGTGTCTGCATTCTAGGTTTGGGGAAACTTCTGCAAACATTTGTGGCTTCGGAGCCGGCATGAAAGGTCCGAATCGCCTAGCTTCGTCATTGAATCACTTCGGGGATTCCAACTTGAAGACAATGTGACCTTAGCCTGCGCTCCTGTAAGGTACAGCAAAGTGGGCGCAGGACCCTTGTTACATGACCCCTGATTCTCACAGCAACCTTTCTTTGAAGACGAGGATGCCTTCTCCCATGGATGGAGTATCGCCTTGAGACAGCACGCGTTCTCCAGCAACATCCCATTGCGGACGCTCCAAGTTGTGAAAGCGAACCTGGTTTCCAATACTCGACTTCGCTCCCAGGGTAATGAATGAGTGTCTTCGCACCCGTTGATAACCTCGATGTCGGACTGCGGGAATATCTAAGAAGTAATAATCCACTACATGCGCATCTTCACGCGAGGAGTGGTGCAGCAGGTACATCTCAAGCACAATGCACGACAGTCAGTCGCTTGTGCCTCGTCAATAGAAAGACATGGCAGCAAGTCAAGGCCCGAAACATCGTAACAAGCTTGCGCGCCGCAAACAACAAGGGGAAGACCGTATTTGAAAAGTCAGCTCGAGGTCCCGCTGGGGATAAAGAATTGTAAACAGAAGCAGCATACCTCAGTACCTAATGTTCAGCTAGTCAGTAACTTAGTCGTTAGAAGGGAGAAAATCGCGGGTTCTTCACGTGCTTGGCGCATGTCATTCGGTCTTTTCGAGGCTGCGGACCAAATGCACATCGAGGAAGCCAAAGACCACCCGAGCTTCATTTCGCGTCTCTTGCCCACCAGAGGAGCCTACAGTCCAGCTCAGAACTACAAAAATGAGTCAAGTTTGTCTCTTAGACTCTGACCGTCTCTCCGCTCTCCTCCGCGACGCTTTGCCATGGAGCGACAACGTATCGTCACTTATGGTCTCTGCTACAAATGGCTCGATCCTCGCCTACGCTTACAGGGACACGACTCCCTCAATTAAAGATATGCGCACACAGTCAACAACAATGACAGCAGCTTATACAGTAGCCTCCGAAGATATATTGGTGTTTGAAGCGCAAAACACAGGTGCCATCTCTGTCATTACACCCATCGCGGACCACATTCTCCTGGCTGTGACCGGGCCTGAACCCAAGAAACCGAAATCTGTGCAAAACGGTCATCTGGAAGATGCTGAACATGCTTCGGTTGGAACTGAAGAAAGCCATGAAGAGGAGGGACAAACCGACGAGGATGAGGGGCACCACCAAATACGGACAGATCTTGAGGTTGTCAGTCAGGAGCTCGCTCGCGTATTGAGAGAAGAGCTGTCGAAGCTAAAGTGGCCCGAGGAGATATGACGGTTCGTCTTCCCAAAAACCTGGGTGATCAGAACTTCCGGCAAACAGCTATTGTCGTTCCAGACTGTTCAGTTGGATGGAGGTTCTGATTGCACTCACACTCTAGAGGCTTCACTCTCAGAAACTCTGGTCGTATGTCATTTGGCCCTGCGCCAAATGCGCGTACCTCACACCAATCCACGAAGTGTGTCGCCATTTTTGACAGCAAGGTTCGTGACGAGTAATGATCTATCACGGTACTTACCAGAAGTACTCGAGGCTGCAAATGATCAACTTCGGGCAACTTTTTCGGCTGAATTGCGGACGAGGAGGACACGCACCCCGCACTGCAAGTCAGCCTCTGGAGTCTGGCCCACCTCTGACCGAGCCAGATTGGCTCAAGCAGCCCGCCCTTGTCACCGCAGCTCCGCCTATTCCTTGCAACCACCTGCGCCCGCAAGGAGCATCACCGCCTAAACTCTATCATCACCCATCGCACTCGCACAAGACCGCACTCGAGCTTCAATATTGGCAACACTCGCACCGCTCTGTTGCGCTCACCTATATGTTTCATACAACTTGAAGACAGCTTTGTTACGGTCACTATGTTGTACGTCTGCATCCCCTCTTATGACCCTGACTCCTACTAATCTGTGTATCGTAGTGCTATCCCTCCACCTCCTCGGTATCCTACAAACCCCAATCTTGCCGCTACAACACTCGAGACAGCGAATACTTTGACACAACGGGAGGGACCTGAATACACATTCCAGGCTGGTGAAGGTCTGCTACGCTCCAAGAATTAAATAGTAATTGCGCTCATCCGAGATCAGGTAGATATGTCCTCCGAGACGACTTACAACTGGCGACCCCTCCTCCACATCCTTCCGAAGCGCCAGTCATAAATCCCAACCCCTTGTCCACCAGTGTCGTCCCACCAACGACCGGGGTCAAGCTATCGTTGGTTTCCTTAAATCCGAAACAAGTGAGTCCGGAGATATACAGAACCACCACAGCTACCAGCAGTCTTCTACGATGGAAGTCGCTGGGTCTAAACACTTCCAAAGAGCCTAAGGAGCCAAAGAAGCTTGAGGAGGTCAAGGAAAAAGAGCCAGAGAAGGAGCCCCGGTTGTCGATCGAGACCACCAGCGACACCAGTAATCCGGCGGGATCGGCAAATGGAAGTCACAAATCCAGTACGGTGAAGGTTTTTGGCGAAGGAAACGCAGCGTTATCGCCTGTTATCAGCAGAGGGGATAATCTTAAGCGGCGGAAACCGAAGAACAACATCGTTAAAAGTAACTCGTCTTTCGTATCTCGTGTGATCCCACATGAATCCATGGCGAAGAAGCTTGCAGAAAGAGACCAGGGAGGGACGTTCTGCTTTGCCAACATCAATCGTGCCTTTCAGTGGCTCGATCTCTCGTCGAGCGCCAAGCAGGATCCCATGACAAAGATCCTCTTCACCAAGGCGCACATGCTATGTCACGATGTCAATCCAGCGACCAAGCACCAGACCCATATAGACGTTATCATGGGATCTTCAGCGAGCGATATCATCTGGTATGAGCCGATGTCCCAGAAATATGCTCGCATCAACAAAAACGGTATCATCAACAATTCGGCTGTGGCCAAGATCAAATGGATACCCGGATCGGAGAATCATTTTCTCGCGGCTCATACGGACGGAATGTTGATCGTATATGACAAGGAGAAGGAAGATGCGCCTTTTGTCTCGGAAGAGTTGGTGGACGAGGGCATCAGCATCGAGGATGAAGACAAGTCCACGTTCGTCATTACCAAAAGCGTCAACTCCTCCAATCAGAGAGCGAATCCGGTGGCTTGTTGGCGGATATCGACTCAAGCCATCACCGACTTTGCCTTCTCGCCGGACAGCAAGCATCTTGCCGTGGTCGGAGACGATGGCTATCTGCGCATAATTGACTATCTGCACGAAAGGTAAGCAAGTTAAGGGGGTGTGGAATATTTGACAAAGTCAAGACTGACATTCGGACAGGTTAACTGACATCTACTCATCCTATTACGGCGCATTTACCTGTGTCTGCTGGTCGCCTGACGGCAAGTACGTCCTCACTGGAGGTCAAGACGACCTTGTGACCATCTGGTCCTTACATGAACGATCAATCATTGCAAGATGTCATGGCCACGACTCATGGGTAACGGCCGTCGCGTTCGATCCTTGGCGGTGTGACGAGAAGACGTACCGTTTCGGCAGTGTGAGCGATGATTGCAAACTTCTTCTATGGGATTTCAGTGTCGGGATACTCCACCGACCGAAAGGGGTAAGTCGAAAAGCCGTGCAGCAGAAAACACCTAGCGATGCTAATATTGATTCAGACCATCGGACGACCCAGAGGGAGCATATCGGCGCAGTCAGTATCGCTGCTACGTCAACGAACGGAGAGCGCGAGCGTTATAAATCGAGTCCGGTCCGACTCGAATCGTACGGGCAGCATCCAGGCCGACGTTGTGGACGAATCCGAATTTCTCAATCATGACGTCGAACCCAGAGCGCGAACTGCTCTACTGCCACCTGTTATGGTACGCTTTCGTCCACTCTCTATTTTCATTACGGTGCATACTGACATTTGCGATCCCATAGTCCAAGAAGATCGACGAACATCCGCTGAGTGGTCTGGCGTTCGAGCAGGATTGTATTATCACATCGTGTCTAGAAGGTATGTACAATGCTGCAACCCGGCTCCGATGTATTATCGTAGATGGGCAACAACGTGTTTTGAATCTGACGTTAATCTAGGACATGTACGCACTTGGGATCGACCTACAGAAGCCCCTGGTAGCAGCCAGATCGACTTGTCGGACAAGCCGCGGACGTGATTGACAGTCATCATGGGGGAAGGACATGCCTGTCTCTATCACCCGATTCTCTGAACTATACACCGTGACGTCTGCCGGGCGATCGAGGACATGCTGTCAAAGACCGCTCATAACGGCACAGCTGTCACGAACCATTGGTATCGAGGGACATTGAGTGGCTGTTACCGATGCTTGCATGCTCGAGAAGACTGTGCCAGGTGACGTGACGACTACACAGACGTTGGTAATGCCCTGTATGGCAGCTACAGTGGTCACAACTCACGTTGTCCAAGACCCGTGACGCAGGCTTACCGCGTCTCTGCATCCGCCGTGACAGGGCCGGATGGTACAGCGATTGCACGCGGACATATAAACGTTGGATGGTGTCACTCTGGACAGAGACCGCATAGGCCTTGTATATACCCTGCAGGTGGAATGGATGACTTGCGATGGGTCTACACTCATCAACTAAAAGAGCCTTGGAAGGCAATAGAGGTGGCGGGCGACAGGCAGATATCTCGCAGAATCTACCAATGTTCACCTTCACGGACCTACCAGTCATACAAGTTAATGGTGCCACGTTATGGCTGAGGTGCGCATCGATGGCTCTCAGTTCATTCCAATTTGTTATGTACACCAGGAACTCCCACGCGTTCGTTATGCAATCATTGTACGAATACCCAATGCAATCATGGAGTGCTCTCCAGCCAATGATCTAGCTTGCGGTCAATGCGAAGCTGAAGCCCAAAATGCCCATTCCCAAAAATGCAAATGCCACACACGTTCCTCTGTTGTGAGTCAATTGTAGACTTTCGGCGAACAAGGATAAAGCGACGCTCGTCATGACACCCGATGTGACCGCGAACATGCCCCCATATACGCCCTCCGTAGGGGCAGCGACACTGCCTCTCTTCGCTAGCTTGAAGAATAACGCCGCTATGCCTGCGCCCAATGGCTGACTTAGGCCACCCAAGACAGATGACCATACAATGGCTTTCAAGCGGGAGTCGAGAGCCAAGTATAGAGGAAGTGACATTGCAAACCCTTCGGTGATGTTGTGTATAAACAAGGCCATGAAGACAGCGAATCCTAGCTGGGGGTTGGCGTGATTTGTCGCATATGTGATGAAACCTTCAGGTGCCTTGTGCAATGCAATAGCGATGGACGTCTGCAGCCCTATAGACATGAATGCGTTTGTAGGAACATGGTGATGGTGTTCTGGACCTTGCCCAACGGAGTGTGACTGATGAGAACCACGCCGTAATCCATGGCCTGCTTCCGGATGGTCATGCTCAGCATGATGGAAATGATGTGTCGAGGATCTGGCGCGGAGTAAGAGTGGCTTACGGTCCTGAGTGCTGCCCTGAGGCTGAGCAGATCCATTGGAAGCCGGAATCTCATCCTGTTCCTCTAATGGTGCGATGTGAGTGTCGCTTACTATATTTGCGACATTGCGGGAGGCTGGCGCGTGTGTGAACGATCCATGGCCTGTACGCCTGTGAAAGACCTTGAAGCAATCCTGCCCGCAGGGATCTGAAAACCCCATACATGGCCCTGTTTCATCACAGTTGTCTTTCCGGCCTGCCACATACTTCGAGAGAGTTCTTGTAAGCGTCTTAGGCATCAAGGAAGGCCTTCGATTGTTTGGTGGCAGGGACAAACTCTGGTTGTGACTGTCGCTACTTGAGTCCTGTCTGCTGTGTTGTGGCTTTCTAGGACTCAAGCTAGTTGTCCGGGATAGCAATGGTGTATCTTCGTCGTGGTCGTGAGTACGACACTTTGATATGGGAACTCTTTCTGCGTGCTCATCATCGTGTTGATGTTCTGCCATCTCTTCTCGACCTTTGGTCATAGTCTCCTCGTCATCATGAGTGTGATCGCAATCCACGACATGTGAAGGCATGAAACGATGTATGACAGAGGAGAGAAATTGAATACCAAAAACACCCGCTAAAAACAGCCCAATCAATATGTATGAAGCGTCTCTCCCTGAATACCCAGCATTTGTGAGGTAGATCTTCGACTGTGGAAGCATTGAGTAAAGGGACGAAAATAACATTACGCCGAAAGTCATGCTTAATGAGGCCGAGAGGAATTGGTCGCTTTCAGCAATAGAGAAGTCGTGCCAACGCGGTATTAGTCGGACCACGATATCAACACATATAATGCACGCTCCAAGGCAGCAGGCTGGGACCGTCAGTCTCGGTGCATCATTCTAGTATAGCGTTAGTCTTACCAACACCGCTGATACATGTCATGATCCATCCTCGAGTGTCGTTGTCGATGGCCATTTTGAGAGGGTTGACGTCGCGCCGGTCGGCATGCAGGTAAGTCTTTGCCGGTAGATGATGGAGCAGGACGAGTCTGGTACGTATACTCGACACCACGTTTACACGTGAAAGAAGAGGTATACAAAAAGTGAGAAAGGTGGATTGGGATAAAGGAAGTCGATGGCCTGCTTGTCGGGAAAGATCAAAGCAGCAGGCGCAGGAACAAAGACTGAGGCGAACAGCCTATGACGATTTTCCGAGGACCTTAAGGTACATGTGCCATGGATTAGATAAGAAAGGCTGCCCAATTGTCTCCCTGTTATAGGCAGCCTTGCCGCCCAAACGATCCACCATGATGCTCCCCACGCCCTTAGAAAGCGGTCGAATTGGGTGGTCTCTGATTGGCTTCGACGGGAGATCCCCAAAAAGTCGCTTCTCCAAAAGAATTTTTGATGCGCGTCGAGGGCGTTTAGCGACCAGCTCGACTATCCGTGTTGATCAGCAGGACCCAGCAAATGTCGAACACCACACTTGCTATCATTGCGGCGGCGTCTGCAGCCGCAGGTGCATCCGTTACTGCTTTGATCTTCTCCAGCTCACGAAAAGATCAACCTATACCGACACCGACATCGACATTGAAAGACGCGCCCTCACCCACCGTACCATCGAGACCTCCCCCTCCAACGCCGGTACCCGTACCTGTGGCTGCGTCGACTCATCCTGCTCCGGTCACGGTCGTCTCACCTGTAGATCCTGCTGGGATACTACGATATGGCTTTCCGGGACCAGTTGCTGATACATTGACTACGCCCTCACATCTTTCTGCTTTCAACCGCTTTACACGCAATCCACATTGGGTAGCTGAGCATTTCACTCCGCAGTCACTCCTCATGAACAACGGTTCTCGACGGAACAGTGTTTTCTACGAAGACATGTCCATACCTCCCATGTTCCGAGCGAAGTTGACCGACTATGCACGAAGCGGATATGATCGTGGCCATCAAGTGCCGGCGGCCGATGCAAAGTGGTCACAGGAAGCAATGGACTCTACATTCGTATTGAGCAACATGTGTCCCCAAGTTGGTGAAGGTTTCAATCGAGATTACTGGGCACACTTTGAGGACTTCTGTAGGGGTCTCGTCAAGAGATATCCAAGTGTTAGAGTCGTCACAGGACCATTATATTTGCCAAAAAGGGATGAACGAGATGGCAAGTGGCGAGTGTCTTACGAAGTGATTGGCAACCCCCCAAACGTTGCGGTACCGACACACTTCTACAAGATAATCTATGGTGAGGAGGCTGCTGGCAGCCCGAACGGCAGCGTGGCGCTAGGAGCGTTCGTCCTACCTAATGCTGAAATCCCCAACCACAAGAGTCTGCGTGACTTTGAGGTTCCTCTGGAAGCCGTTGAGAGAGCCAGTGGCTTGCTGTTTGCGGACAGGTTGCCGACGAACAGACGGAAGCAGCTCTGCCGGGAGGTGAGCTGTGAGATCATAGTTCGGGAATTCGACAACAGTCGAAAGCAATCCAATAGGCCAGCTTTGGTGGGTAACGATCCAAGAGGTCCACCCCAAGTTGTGCAACCTGGAGGGAGATGGTAATCAGGAAACAAGGCTGGTTTCCGAAACAATCGTCGGTCTGGTGCAGGTCATCCGACCGTGTTGGCCATCGTGTTGTTGACTTGAAGTGCGCCGTTGCCAGGCATCATTTTTTTCAGCGACATAGTTCATCTAGCGGCATTGCATGTCAATTGGAGTTCTCATTCTCAACCTGTGTTGAAATCATCACTACATTGCATGCTTCTACCCACCCGCTTGGGAATTCAGGATGCTGCTTTGTACTCTGTCTTCCCTAAACGGACGATGTCTTTTTGTGCCAGTATCCAAACTTTGTCTGTTGCCTCGCCCTGCTCTGCCTTAAGCGCGGCAGACACGGCCGCCTTTGCAATTGTGTCTGCATCTTGCGCCCAGGCGTCCTTCAGTGAGCTATGGACATGCCCCAGAGCAGTCGCCACATATTTCAAGACAGTTTCATCGAGGCCACTCTTCTCGCGCTTAGCGACAATCAGACCAGGACGCACGATTATGGTGTGTTCGAAACCGAGCCCTTTGACATATTCTTCGATTTCCCCCTTCATCCTTGGGTATCCAAAGAAGGATTTTGGATGGGCGCCGGTGGAGGAAATTAGGACATACGTCTTTATGCCTGCTTCCTTGGCCGCCTTCGCCAGTTCTGTGTTCATCTCATGCTCAAACTTATACTGATTGTCGAACCCGCCTGCAGCCGCACGTGTAGTGGCAAGAGCGTAGAACAGTATTGATGGTGGTGGAGATAGCGATGTTATATAAGGACCCCATTTCGTGGTGTCTTTTTCGACGAGTTCCTTGACTGGCACTGTAGCTTCTGACACAGTTGGGGCTGGTCGTCGAGCGACGATGTCAATGCTAGAAAATTGAGGTGCACTGTGTCTCAATGTCGACAGGATATGAGAGCCCTGCAACATGTCAGATACGCTATCAGAAGCGTTCGATACGCCCTACCACCACACCTGTGCACCCGAGGACTAACGCTGTAGTCATCTTCATATATCATTGACGAGATACAGCGATCGGAGTTCTGGATTTGGGCGATCTCGTTCGTCAATAGGATATGTGCGTGCGCTGGCCGCCTTACATTCACACTGTCAACTATCAGCCTTGTCGAGCGCTCGGCCAGCCAGGCGACCGCAAATCGATTGGCACGTCTAGTTTTTCAATCGGAAATCCAGGCCGGACGTGTATCAGTGACGATGCTGCATGTAGCCGAAAGGTCTTCCCTGTGCCATAGGTTTGAGATACAATAATGTCGAGGACGAGGCGAGGTTGAGTCAAAGGTATCACGACATGGGTCCTGAGTCCGGTCTAGCACCCAAACGGCATAGATTACTGCAGTCTTTTGGCTGCCTTGCAGGAACCTCATCCTTTTCCTTCCACTCCAACAACTAAAAGCTCATGGCGGACCTGCAGAACCATGGAACAGCTCACAAAACCCTCGCATGGGGAATGTGCCTATCCGAGATGTCGTCCTCATCTCATCCGTGATTGAGTCATACGCATCACCGATCGCACAGGTTACATACTTGTAGCCTGCAATCCTGTTAGGCATCAGCGCACTAGAGCACGCCCGATACAGCCCGAATCGAAATGGGTTCGATTCGGGCTGATGATAACGGGTGGAATGTAATTCTTTTGCGAAGAGTCGGGGTTGTTGTGTGACTCAACAAGGCTGAAAGACAGGCAGCACAGCGGCTCACATCCTTTGCATGATGTTTCCCTTCCTCTTAGTGTTTTCGCTGCCTGCTGCGCTTGCTTGATAAAACCATCTCCTGCACTCCTGCAAGATCACCCTTCTTCTGATCATCACTGCTCATCTTTCTCAGCAACCGACCGGCGAAGAACCTCGCGATCAATGAGAAAATTCTTGGGAGGGAAATCAGCATCTCCGTGGTATGTCTTCGACCAAGGTTATAGGTCCTAGACTTTGCCTGGGCTGCTTTGCGTGGGTCTTGGGCGCCGTGATCGCTAACTCTACGTACTTAGTATACTAAATCAAACCCCCGAAGTCATAGCTGTCCTGCAGGGGAAATTGACTGATCACTTTTCCGATACTCCTGCCACGATGGAACCAAGCAAGGACGATACCGTCGCAAACTTGGAGAAAATCGATGGAGATGGCCAGCAGCCCAGTGTGCCTGATGTGGCTCCCGGGTCTATCCCAGAAATCAAAGCACTTTATGCAAAACCAGACGCACGAGGAAGGGATCAGTGGGTGACTCAGGAGCCAGCGGACGCCGGTGATGCTGCCGAGAACAGCGAGACAGCTCGATATGCGTTCCTGGTGCGCAAGAGAAAGAGCTACGACAGTCGGAAGAAATATGATGTCGACAGCATCATCGTTCAAAGCCCTTGGTTGAAAAAGTCTTTGGGTGTGATTCTGGCGGGCTACCCCGGTATCACCACTAACCTCAGTCGACTGGTATTTCAAGCCCCGTTTCATCCATTCGGCCACCGCTGGGCCAAATTCGAAGAAATGCTGCAGAGGGATGATTTCGAGGAACCCATGGCCAAGGAGCATCTACAGCTTCTTCACGACGTACTTTTTGAAGAGCTGAAGAACGCCATCGCTGCCAAAATGGACCTCGTCAAAAACAATGTCATCGACTTCGAACACGCATGGACCATATTTGAGCCTGGTGCTTTGATCTACAGCGTCTCCGATGGCAAAGAATGTGTTCTCAAGCTCACCTCTTCCCAGACCCTGATGGACCAGAGACGAGGACTCCGATTCCTGGCACTGAGCGCGTGGGCCGTTGACTGGGATGGCACCAAATTCGGCCGGAATGAAACTCAAGTCACCAATTATGAGTTTCCCGGGACAAACGCCATCACGTCTCTGCGAGCATATCCCTTAGAATTTCACCCTCAGAGAGAACAGCTCATCAAACGTCTGACCATTAGGGGCAGGCTCTTCGAACGATTTGCAGGCTACCACTACCAAGCATATCAAGGTGTCGCTCTCGGGTATGGACGTTGCGGCATGATTCGACACAACATTGAGTCACGCATCATAATTGATTGTGATGCTCACAACCGATTCGTGCCGAACAGGGAGGTCAGTCTCTCACCCTTGACAACGATGGATAAGGCAGGCGCAGTTTCTCGCGTATTGATCAACGGTGACGAAGGAGAAGATGATGACGACTCCGACCTTGACAGATTTGATGATGAGAACGAGTCGAACGTCAATTATACTCCTGACTCGGACGATGACGACAACAGTTCCAGATCGAAGTACAGACGTCTAGGCCCCGAAGAGCTCCTGCTGGCTGTACCATACGTTCGAGGATACGCCCTGAAGCCCAAGATATGGCTATGTAAGTTCTCCAGTTCTCCAAGAAGCGGTGGAAACAGCTTGCAACCCTTGTTGCAGCATCTGATATCTCGTCAGGGTTCTACGTTGATCAAATCGAGCCAATCAAGTTTGCGGAGAATGCGTTCACATCCTTGGTGATACCTTCTCAAGAGAAACAACTCATTCGTGCATTTGTGCAATCCCAGGTGAAGTTTAAGGACGACTTTGACGACGTGATCGCAGGTAAAGGCCGTGGTGTAAGTAGTCCCTATCGTGCCCTCAATGAGGCACGAGTATTACACCTTCTGACTATTACCAGATGATCATGTTGCTTGCCGGGCCGCCCGGTGTTGGGAAGACTTTGACGGCGGAAAGCGTGGCGGAGACTCTCAAGGTACCACTCTACATGATGAGTGCTGGTGATCTTGGCCTCGACCAGGGTGGAATCGGTAAGTCATATACCCTCTGAGGCCGTGTCTATTTTCCGCATCAGCATCTTATTGGCCACCGCTCCTGACGATCTGTAGAGGACTCGTTGAACCTGGTGCTGGACATGGTGGCAAAATGGAATGCAGTCCTCCTCTTGGACGAGGCAGACGTCTTTCTCGAGGCGAGAGACTCGCATGACCTCGAACGCAACAAGATGGTGTCGATCTTCCTGCGCCTTCTGGTGAGTCAAGCTGCTTCTGTTTTTTCTCCGACGATCCACATCCAACTTTGGTCCTGCATGAGACATACATACAGATGCTGATCACGACGACAATACCAGGAATATTACAGCGGCGTGCTTTTCTTGACCACCAATCGCATCAGCAATATTGATCCTGCATTCCATTCACGCATCCACGTCACTGTCAATTATCCCAACCTGTCCGTCGAATCACGAAAGCACATCTGGCAGACATTTCTGGGAAAGGAGAGCGCGGTCACGGAGAAAGACATCGATCACCTGTCACAGGTTGATTTGAACGGTCGGCAGATCAAGAACATGCTCAAGACGGCCAGGATGCTTGCTCGCAGCGAGGAACAAGAAGGTGATAGCCATGGTCATGGGCAACGTGGTCATGCAGTGGAGCTGCGACACATCGAGACAGTGCTCGCCATTGAACGAGGTGCGTCATGGAAGTCATTGGCGTGAAACACTCCGACCCCATGCGACCATGCAGGAATGAGCAACGCAGGCTGCATGGTGAGTTGCGCACCCAGTGTGACCTGTTGGGTGGTGAGTGGCATCAGGCGGGGTTGAGTTTTCTGTTGTCATACCGCTATTTGGCCCCCATAGGCAAAGAGTTATGGTCAAATCATGCGTTGTCGGATATGACGGCCAGCGCTGTAGTTCTTCGCTTCTGCAAAGTGCGGAGTTTCATGTCATGTCAAAAACCTGGCTGTGCCTGCATGGCGATCGTTAGCGAACAATTTTCCCTGCGTTCATGGTCAGTGCGAGTGATGCACAAGTGAACCTATTTTTAATGTCAATGTGGCAAACATGGACTTGTGCGTGTGGAAATCATTCGTGGAAAATGTTCTGTGCAAATGCTTTGGTATTAATTTCAACTATGCTATGTAGCCTATTCAGCTAGGCTGAAGTTCAGGCTGTGCTGTGCGTAGAGCCATTTGCATGAGTGGTAGAAAAACATTATGAACATCGATGCCTGAGGGTGGCGCTGGCTTCGAAAGGAAATGCGACATGTCCTGTCAATGTTGCCTTTTCCTGCTCTCATGCATTTCCCATGCTTCGTAGTAACTCCGTTGCTTTGCTAATAAGATAAAACGTGAAAATGTGGTGTCTTGTCTTCGTGAGAGAGACATTGGTGTTTTTGTTCATGCATCGTGCGTTTTGTGGCGTATCCTTCGTATCGTAAACATTAACTTTCCCTTCTTAGGGCTTGGGGGGTTGGGAGTAAACACGTCCTGGACGGGGGAACTGCTGCAGAGTTCTTGTCGTCCATTTAGTGCTTTCTCCAGTCGCCCCAGCCGCTGGACTGGCAAGCAGCTGTGGTGGTGACGGTGACGTATTGAGTCTCCGCGGCAGGAGTGATGGTGGAGTACTCGACCTCGGTGGAGGTGACGGTCGAGTAGGCGGTGGTGTAGATTGTGGTCGGGACTACCTGGCTGACGGTCGAGTAGGCCGTGGAGTAGATTGTGGTCGGGACTACCTGGCTGACGGTCTTGTACTCGATCTCGGTGCTGTAGATGGTCGAGTAGGCCGTGCTGTATGAGGTGCTGTAGATGGTGGAGAAGGCGGTGGCGGTGACGGTCTCGAATGCGGTCGTGTAGATTGTGGTGGGCTTGACTGAGACGGAGACGGAGGTAGTGGTGATGGTGGTGGGCACGGTGATGGTGCTGTACGCGGTGCTGTATTGAGTGGTGTAAATGGTGCTGAAGGCCGTTACGGACTCGATGACAGTGGTTGGCTTGACTGAGACGGAGGTGGTGGTCACGGTAGCAGTAGCGGTGGTAGTGGCTGTGGCGGTGACGGTAGCATAGGCAGTTGTCCAGCCGGTTGACCAGGCGGTTTCGGTGGCAGTCTCGTATTCAGTGGTGGTGGTTGCTGAGCACGAGGCAGACCATGTAGAGGAGGAGGAGCCCCATTCGCTCCAGTCCTGGCGAGGTTGAAGGGCAGCAGCGCTGGCACCAGCAATGAGAAGACCGTATGTGAGGAACTGCATTTTGCTTTGTGTATAGAGCGAAAGGCTGAAGGTGATTGTAGTGAAGGAATAAGGTGCAAGTGAAAGGCTGATGGGAGCGAAGGGCTATAGGGCTCTCGTCTCAAAGACTGGATTGTTTGCTTTGCTGCTGAGGCTGCTGATGGGAGAAGAAGATGGGAAACCTACATTATCAGACGACTCTTTATACATCAGAGATCAGCGAGGTGCTGTGCTGTCCAGAATGAGCTCACGAGGTTGGTCATGACCCAGTGAGACATTGTCACTCTGGACTACCCAGCCGGGCCGAGTTGGATGTGGACACATCAGAGAGGCGTTGAGGTTGGCAAAGGTCCTAAAGCTGGACTTTCCAGGGCCGCAGCCGGATTCTCTTCCCTCGCTTCTGAGGCTTTGAGGTGCATGCCAATGGGGGAGAAAAGAAAATGGAGAGGCGAGGTGGGTAGCGAGCAAAGGATGTCGTCGAAGGAACGGCAGAGATTTGCGACACGCATAACCAGGATGCATATGGAGCTGGCACAGCCTAGTCACTAGCAACCCAATGCCGTGGCATGTCGTGGCAACCATCGTGGGAGTTCTGGGAGGCTGGAATGGGCTTCCAGGAACCGGGATCAGGGGGAACAATGCCCTAGCCTACGTAGGTAGGTAGTGCCAGTGGTTGGCCGACTTTGGAACCTGACCAACAACAGCCGGCAGAGCCCACACGGGTGTTGACAGCAGACTAGGCCGTAGTATGCGGGGGAGGCGTCAAGCTTATAGCTAAGCTTAAGCCCAACGGGGGATGGCGGATGCTATTTTGGACGGGTGGCACTGGGTGGCCAAGGCTGGGAAGCTAAGAAGAGCTTGACCTGACTTCAACCTGTTTTGGTCCAGATTCCAACGATCCCACTGCCCAGAGATTCTCAGCCTCTCACCACTCACACGGCATTGTAAGCACCTGGAACATATGCCAATCCACACAGTCGGGCATGTCTCTGTGCATAAGGGTTCTCATGCGAGAGTAAAACAACGTCAGCGAATAAGGAACCTCCATCTTGACTTGTGAATAACCCGCTCCAGAAGGGGTGTGAGTTCGTGTTGCCTGTGAGAAGCGCACGGGAAGCGCTTACTGGATGACCGGCCATTCTCTTTTTGCCTCTTTACGGCTTAAGGCGGCCACTGATGTGAGCAGTTCTCCTGGGGTACGCGGGTCATGCGAGGTCCTGTTGCGCTAGACCGGGGATCACAACGGTACCTTGCCCCGAAGCCCAGGCTTTACCGCTTAGAGACACCCACCACGGGTTTTTCCTAGCTCTCCATAACCCTCAAGGATTATTCATCCGCAGGGCAATTGCATGGCGGGGAAACAATGCGGCGTTGCCCAGCCTGACTGATTTTCTTTTTCCTTCCTGGGTCTCCGTAATGTGGGAGACTCAGGATCGCTTGGCAACTGGAGGATTTTTGGACAGGCTTTCCTCTGTGTAAGAGCTTGAAAAGCCCATTCCTTGAGGAGTGTCAGCTCTGCGTGCGCATGTTGTGGCCACATTCTGTGCCGGCCATGTTTTTCACCGTTGACCTGCGGTCCCCGAAACAACGAAGCGGCTGGCGGGCAAGTCCACCATTACCATCCCAGGAAGTTACCGAGGAGACACAGAACAAGGGGACACCGCATGAATGGGTCTGCCACGATGCGGACCCAAAAGTTCATGCATGTCTTTCTACGTCATGTCATACAACTCTGTTCCTCACTTCGTGTTTTTTGCCGTGCCCACAGCGAATAATGCACATCGAATAACGCACATCATCGGTCACCAATGACTGGATTTTCCTCATCCTTCCGTCCTGCCACATTCGGCTTCTCTGAGTTCCGGCGCAGGACAGTGGCTACACCGTGATGATCAGAGACACCAGGAAGATCAGACAGTCAAGAATTTGTTGCGGTGGTTGCACAATAGCCTTTGCCCTGTTGTTGCATCGATAGAAGCGACGTTGAAAGCACTGATCACATGTGATATGGGTGGTCTTTGCTCTTCGGCACACCCACCCGAGCACGGACTTGACGGGCTCGCATGGCATGAACGTACACATGCGTGCCGTGGCCCGTGTGTATGTGCCAAAGGAATATGACAAACGCTCTGTGGATCTGACGCAGGTCTGCAAGTCTCAAAAGTACAAGCGAAGCGGTCTTTCGCCTATCCAATCAGCCCCGGAAGGTAGAGCCATGCATGACTTATAGGAATTCGTAATACAAATGTGTCTTAGTGCTCGTGCAAACACGAGCATTATCTGCAACAGACTCTGCCCGGTAGGCTATAACCATGTCAGACTGCAGGGTTCAACGTGTCACAGGTCACAACCCGCGCTGAGGCGGGATGAAAAAAAGGTTTATTGGCAAGTTGAGGAATGTCGGCTCCGAAGCAAAGTGCGTGTGCTCAACTTTTTCCTTGATTCGCACATATCGCTTGTGAGATCGCTGTACAGCCCTACTCCGCCCGACGATCGAAGCAGATGGATGTGCCTGAAAGAGCAAATGCCGAGCAGGACTACTTCTTTGGGAGAGTCTGTGGTGCCCGGATTAAGAGTGGAACGGTATCAGGGTATATGCATCAAGTCGCGTCGTGCTTCGGCGTTTGGAATTTTCCAGGAATCTCTCACGACAATTTTGGGGTCTCGTCGAGGATCGTCTCCAAGTATAACTCTGCGCAGATGGACAAGCTCCATCTCCAAGGACTTGGCAGCTCTGTCATCTGAGTAACGGTTACATTGAGCGATACGGAAAAGCGTCCTCGGCATGAGCTTCGTGGGCACTGTTCCACCAGGCATGTGAGGGCCTGCCTGCTGCGAGATGACGGTGCTTGCTCACGCCTTCTCGGTCCACAGTCGAAGCCGAGCTTTTAATTCAAAGCAAGTAAGACCCGCGGTTTCGGGACCCAGGCATGATTTTATCTCAGCTTGAGTGCTCGAATGATGAGGGCATCCTTTCGACCACATTCATGGCTTTGTCCTTCAGTGCCACGGCAGACCTCTGCGATCAACTACTGGCCTAGTGGTAGGCCTCGACCTCACTTTGCCAAAAAGTTCGACGGTGCATCGCTTGATAACAAGCATCACCACAAGCCCATACCGAAGCCTTGAACGTGTCTTTGGCGCAGGCAGAGTAAGCACGGCAAACTCGAGCATTGAAGTCTGCCTATCATGTCTCAAGTTGGTGACTTGCGTTGGAGCGATGCTTCGTCTTGCCATAAGCACCACCTTCGGCTCTTCGTTTTTCGATAGCATCCTTATAAGGTGGCGCTGTGGGAGGTTGTACAGGCGGAAGACTGGTGTGACCTTCAGGCAGTTTGTATGTCGCATCTGCATCCCACGCCGAAAGATCACCACAGGCGAGAAACGGAGCAATCCATCGCTGAGGTTCGGTCTCTTCATCTTCGAAGTGAAGTTCCACGATACCATCCTCCCGTAGATGTCTCGTCTGCTTTTCAGAAACCGATGTTGGCGGCTTGGTGGGTTGTGGTATTTCCAGTGCATCGCCGAGCTCTGGAGTCCAGTTCTTGACAGGTGTGTACCCTTCGCAGACAACAAATGCCTCGATACTGCTTGCTCGACTGGATCTGGGCTTCGCAATATGAACCCATTCAAATACCAGCTTGAGCTGAGCAAAGATCATGTCGACATTTCGTCCACGGAAGATCTTGGCCACAAATTTCCCACCTGGCCTGAGGACTTTCATTGCTAAGGTGAGTGCGGAATAGAGCAGTTGAGACTGGACGTAAATGTCTAGGTCGTGCATGCCGGTCACGTCCGGTGCGCCATCGCTGATGACCAGATCAACTCGGTGAGTCTCATTGTGCTGGTCAAAATCGGGGTCAATGGCCTTCAACAGAAGAGGGACCGTGGACGGATGTGTGATGTCGGCCTTGAGTTGAATGATGCCCTCTAACGGTGCCATTGGTTGTAAGTCAATAGCGACTATTTTGACATTTGGTCGAGGTTTTAGGTGTGAGGATGGATTCTGAAGCCTCAAAGAAGCCATATCCTCCTTCAGGTCACTGGATGAAGGATTGGAAGCTGATGGTGCGCGATTCCGAAATTTATCCATCTTCTCAACCCATGCCCTGCGGCCGAAACTTTCGCCTTTGATAAGTATCCGTGATAGTACTTGGCTCCAACTACCGGGAGCAGCGCACAGGTCAACAACTCTGGTACATTTCGAAGGATCTGCGTAGGAGAACAGATCAAATTGTTCATCAATCTGAATTAACTTGAACGCTGACCTTGCCCGCCAATTCTGCTCTTTGGCGAGACGGTAGTAAGCGTCTCGCTTGTCCTTCGATGACTTACCCATGATACCTGGACCATACAGTGACAGCTATCTGGGAGCTCGTGTCTGCCAGGCCGTGATGGATTCCCCGAAAATTGAATATACGGCGGTAGAAGAAAGTCATACTGCCATGTGATTATTGATGCTCGGCCGTTGTCAGTTCTCCACGCAGTCCGGCGGACCATTGCTCATGAGGACGGGCACTCAAAGCCAAGGCTACGGCCGATCATTAGTGACAGTCGCGAAAGTTATATCGCGCCGGAAATCAGTCGAGGCCACTCTGGACCCAGGCACTCGATAAAAGTCCACAGATCCCCTTCGAATCCGAGAAAGCGAGTTACAACAGACATGGCGCCCAGCATGTCGTTGCACAGCGTGATCGCAATCTTGATCCTGTCAACAGACACCTCACCAGAATCCTCCCGACTGTTCGCCAAATACTATAGTGCTCCTCATACCTCTGCCATGCACCCCACCCCTCCGCAGCCATACAGTACCCTCAAAGAACAGAAAGCTTTCGAGAAAGGCTTGCTAGAAAAGACGGCAAAACAAACCTCGGACGTCATTCTGTATGACAACAAAGTGGTAGTTTTCAAGATGGAGAGCGACGTTATGATCTATGTGGTTGGCGGTCAAGAAGAGAACGAGATCCTTCTATACAATGTCATATTGGCGCTCAGAGACACCCTTAGCATTCTACTCAAGTATGTTTCTATGGTTTGATTGTGCCCCGGAGTCAGGCTGATTCACCCTCTCAGGAACTCGACCGACAAGAGGACGATCATGGAGAACTACGACCTAGTGACTCTGGCAATTGATGAGATAACAGACGATGGCATTGTGCTCGAGACAGACCCGGTCATGGTCGCTTCGAGAGTATCTAAAGCACCTGCGCAAGATGCACCGAACATGAAGAACCTTGATCTCAGCGAGCAAGGCATACAAAACCTATGGGAGTTTGGCAAGAAGCAGGGCATGGAATTTGTTAGGAGAAACTTATGATTTGGGTGTCATCAGACTCAGCTGGGCCCGCGGAAAGAGGCTGCTTATTCGGCGTCAGGGACAATACGGCTGTGGAGAACAGTATGGCGTTGCAATTCCAATATGAGGGCGGGAAAACGTTTAGAGATACGAAGCCAGAAGCAGGGGCAGAAGCGGTGTTAATGCCCGTGCAGCAATCCGGGGTTGCCAGTTGGCTTTGGCAGCCTTGCGGGCGCGGCTCTTGGCTGTTTTTAGAAGTCGATCAGGCTGATCACCCCCTAGGAAAGCACGAGTTCTCGGTGAATCATTCACCGACGTCATTTTGCCCTTCCTGCACAAAGTCATACATTTATTTCCATGCGCATGCCATCACTCTTGCTAAACAAATACGCACACTTTCCCCCTGCCTGTTGATTGCTTCGTTCTCTAAGACTTTGTTCTCTTAAGTTGTTTCCATCATGAAGCTGAGATTCTCTTCCTTGGATGTAAAGGTACTGTGACGACTCCTCTATCCCATCCTACAGCACCCGCGCGTGACAATCGTTGACTGACTAACATATTCATACAGGTCATAGCCAGTGAGTTGGCCTCCTCACTCACTGGCCTGCGAGTGTCGAATATCTATGATCTCTCGAGTAAGATCTTCCTCTTCAAGTTTGCCAAACCAGGAAAGCGGGAACAACTACTGGTCGATTGCGGCTTTCGATGCCATCTGACTTCATTCTCACGAACGGCGGCAACTGCTCCATCTGCCTTTGTCAGCCGGTTGCGAAAATATCTCAAGAGTAGGCGCGTAACAGGCGTGGCACAAATAGGCACGGACCGAGTCATTGAAATCACATTTAGCGATGGACAATATCGGCTGTTCCTAGAGTTCTTTGCGGCTGGCAATATTCTTGTCACGGATGCAGAACTGAACGTGCTGGCATTGCAGAGGCAAGTGAGTGAGGGCAATGAAGATGTGGACGTCAAGCTGGGTGGAAAATACATCCTGGATGTAAAGCAAAACTTCCACGGGATACCTCCAATCACTCCCGAGAGAGTCAAGGAGACCCTGACAAAAGCCGTGGAGAGAACGAAAGCAGCGAATGAGGTTGGCGGTAAAAAGGCGAAACGAGCAAAAGGTGGAGATGACCTGAGGAAAGCTCTGAGTGCCGGATTCTCGGAATTCCCACCTCATCTCTTGGATCATGTGTTCAATGAGACAGGCGTGAATGCAAGCTTAAAGGCGGAGGAGGTCCTCGAGAACACGGAGGCGTTGCAGTCAGTCATCAAAGCTCTGGAACGTGCCGAAGACGTCTTCAAGAGCCTAGATGCAAGCAATGTCAAGGGCTATATCATTGCAAAGACGAAGTCCTCCGCTGCACCCGAAACTGGAGACCAAGATACAGAGTCATCATCTCGAGACACACTGTTGTACGATGACTTCCACCCATTCAAGCCTTCTCAATTGGAAAACAAAGTCGGAGTGCGGCTACTTGACTTCGATGGCTTCAATCGAACGGTGGACGAATTCTACTCCTCTATCGAATCGCAGAAATTAGAGTCTCGACTCACTGAACGAGAGGAGAAAGCGAGGGAGAAACTGCAACATGCAAAGAATGAGCACGAAAAGCGGATCGGTGCACTCCAACACGTTCAGGAGCTGCATGTCCGGAAGGCTCAGGCCATCGAGGCCAATACCCACAGAGTCGAAGAGGCATGTGGGGCAGTCAACGGCCTTATTGGGCAAGGGATGGACTGGGTCGATATGGGAAAGCTAATTGAGAACGAACAACAGCGTGGCAACGTGGTGGCTCAATTGATAAAGCTACCTCTGAAGCTAGAGGAGAATACGGTGACACTCCTGCTTGACGAACCTGGCCTTGATGACGACAACGAAGAGAGCAGTGACGAAGAAAAAGAAAGTGATGAAGAAGACAACTCTGAGGTTGAGGCAAGTCCGCCACCAGGCAAAGCTTCCGACAAACGCTTAGCCATTGACATCGACCTCGCACTGTCTCCTTGGGCAAACGCCAGACAGTACTACGACCAAAAGAGGACTGCTGCAGTGAAAGAGCGGAAAACCCTGGAATCGTCTGCAAAGGCACTACAATCTGCGGAGCAAAAGATTGGAGCCGATTTGAAGAAGGGGCTCAAGCAGGAGAAAGCTGGTCTGAGACCAGCGAGAAAGCAGTTCTGGTTCGAGAAGTTTTGGTATTTCATTTCCAGTGATGGATACTTGGTCATTGGAGGCAAGGATGCTCAGCAGAACGAGCTTCTCTACCGAAGATACCTGAAGAAAGGCGACATCTATGTGCACGCCGATCTAAACGGTGCATCAAGTGTCATCGTGAAGAACAACCCCAAAACACCTGATGCACCCATCCCGCCTTCAACGCTGTCACAGGCAGGTTCTTTGACAGTGTGCACCAGCAATGCATGGGACTCGAAGGCCCTCATGGGTGCATGGTGGGTGCACGCGGATCAAGTCAGCAAAACAGCGCCTACTGGTGAGTATCTGACAACCGGTGGCTTCATCATAAGGGGCAAGAAGAACCTACTACCACCTTCCCAGCTACTTCTGGGGTTTGGAGTCATGTGGTTGATTAGCGAGGAGAGCAGAGCGAACCATGGCAAGCACCGCTTGGAGAGGACCGAAAGTATGCTCTCAGGTGAGGCCGAAGCTCTTGCAGATGACGCTCAAGGCTTATCACTAGACGAGCATGATCTGGCCGATGAAGCAGAAACAGCATCGGGGCAGGATGAAAATGTGGTTCCAGACCTAGAAGATGCTGCTGATGATGCTGAGGACGAGGAAAAAGAGGACGCTCAGGCCACGAATGGTCACATTCGGGACGATGGCGAGGAAGATGACTATGAGGACACGGGGTCTGTGGCTGCATCTGAAGCTGGGGAACCAAGAACGAATCCGCTTCAATCGAATGGAAACGGCAATCGTGGAGCGTCAACGGCCGAGGAAGAGGAGCAACAACCAAACATTGAAGTTGGGGTGGAGTCTGAGGATGATCATGACCAAGAGGGAGATACCAACGATGAAGCAGACGGCGACTCCTATGCGCACCCATCCACGCCTGCAACGCGCTCTGAGGCGCAGGCGAAACCCAAGCAACAGCAACTTGCAAGGGGAAAGCGGTCCAAGGCCAAGAAGGCACAGAAAAAGTACGCAGAACAGGACGAAGAAGACCGCGCTCTAGCCATGGAGCTTCTCGGCTCGGCCCGTGGTCAAGAGCGTAAGAAGGCTGTTGAAGAGGACAAAGCAGCACGTGAAGCCAAAGCTCAAGCTGACAGGGAACGACGGAAAGCGCAACACGCAAAAGCCGCCGAGAAAGAACGAATGCGGCACGAAAGGCTGGAAAAAGCCGCGGCCGACGGAAATACGGATCTGGCAGAAGACGATGAGCAGAGCAAGGAGCAGCTCGAGCAAGAGCGGCGTGAGCTTCTAGATATCGACAGACTTGTTCCGCGTCCACAGCCAGGTGATGAACTCATTGCCGCGATCCCAATGGTGGCTCCTTGGACAGCCATGACACGACAGAAGTACAAGATCAAATTACAACCTGGGAACATGAAGAAGGGCAAAGCGGTCAAGGAGATCCTTGGATTCTGGACCGCCCTGGACAAGAAGGGGCCTAAAGTGGTGGATGAAACGAGTAGAGACAAGGAGCGGGTGTGGAGGCGAGAATTGGATCTGTTCAAGGAATGGAGACCCGAAGAGGTCGTTGGTTATGTTCCCGTCAAGGGGTGCAGGATTGTTCAGGGTGGAGGTATTGGTACCAGACCGAATGTGAAAGGCAAAGGAGCTGCTGGTGGCAAAGGAAAGGGTGGCGGTGGAAAGAAAGGGAGATAGAATAGCCAGAGCTAGGTGAAAATGTCCATGAGAGTCGAGATGACACCTCTTGTCCCGATCTAGTCTACACTTAGACAAACACCTGACGCCTGGTATAGTGTAACAAGACGCACGTCTTCCCGAATAATGTACAGACACTTTGAATCCTGAATAGGCGCCAGAAAGAAGAAAGGGGTGCAACACTCAGTCTACCCTCTCGGCCGCAGCCTTTTCTATCCTGTCTATGACCGCGTCCTCAATATCGCGGACCTGGCCCTCTTGAACATCTTTATCCGTGTCAAGCGCGGGCGTTGATGCCGCGCTACTGGTGGCCCTCTTCACCGTCTCCGCAAAAATGATCGAGCACCCTAGGTCATCGAAGAGTCGGAGTACACCAAATAGCGAGTGTGCCAGACCTGTGATCGCAGATCCGATATGGACGTTGTACAGAGTTGCCCGTACGCGTTTCTCCGTGTTTGATCCATTGTCGGGGCCAGCATACGTCGCAATCGAAGTCGTCGGAGCATAAATCGAGGCTTCGAGTTGTGGGTGCACACCATTTGTTTCGGTCGACGAGACAGGAAGTCCAGCGAAGGCGGGCCAGTGGCAGGATATGACGCCGACTTTTAGCACGTTGATCCCGTCTTCTCGAGGCACATTACCAGACTGCTGGATGATCTCGTCAAGCTTCGCTCGAACTTTACCCGCTGGGACTGCCTTTTCCGAGAACAAGATCAAGCGGCCCTCCGGCGAGTAGTGGCGGTATTTCATGCCCGGAGCACGAGGTGCGCCGTTCGCGTCCTCTTCATAGCTTGGATGCGCAGGATCTGAGCCCGGGTCGACCGAGGGCGACGGCGACGATGAAGATGTAGACGAAGTGGAAGTAGTGTCGTGCCGCTTATACCCGATCGCCGTATGTACGAAATTGTTCCCAACAGCCTTGCCGTGCGCGACCAGTTCGGACTGCGAGACGCCGCCTGGCCGCAAGATCAGTGGTGGATCATGCAGGCCGTCGACGACGGTGCTCTCGACGCCGACGTCGCATGGCCCACCGTCTAGAATGAAATTGATTTTGCCGCGTAGATCGTCAAGAACGTGCCGCGCCGTCGTGGGCGACGGTTTACCCGAGGAATTAGCCGAGGGTCCTGCGATGGGTCTGTCCGTCGCAGCGATGAAGAACCTTGCGTACTTGGACGATGGGATGCGAAACCCGATTGTCGATTGCGCCGGGTGGACATTCTTCGCGAAGGACGAGTTTTGTGGTATACCGAGTAAAATTGTCAGGGGTCCGGGCCAGAATTCCTGGGTCAAGGACCGGTAGATCTCGGGGAGTGGTTCGCCTGTAAGGCGCTCGAGGTGTGCGACGGACGAGACGTGCACTATGAGCGGATTATCGCTGGGGCGGCCTTTGGCGGCGAAGATGCCTGAGATGGCGGGCTCGTTGGTCGCATCTGCGCCGAGGCCGTAGACCGTTTCCGTGGGAAAGGCCACGGGCGGCGCGAGGCCGTGTTTGATTGACTCGATGGCTTCGCGGAGGAGAGCGGCGTTTGGGTCTGACTGTGCCGTGTATTCCTGGTATATCCTGCGGTATTCGTCGTCGGATGCTTGCTCGGGCAGGTCGAGGTCCCGTAGGGACACGATGCGTGTGTTGCAGTTGTTGTACGGCATCGAGGACAAGTGTCGGTGGTTGGCGAGGATGGTGTCCATCGTGAGAACTGATCCAGGTTGGACCATTTTTGAGAGAGATGTTGACAGTCGCTTGAAAAAGAAGAGTGGTAACATGAAAGTAAAGATCAACCGGGACGCCAGTGAGATGATATCCTCGTACTTCGACCAGGAAGAATATGCCTGTGGATTCGTCTCGTGAATATCGGCAAGTTCAGCATACTGGGTCCTGCTTCTGTAGCGACTTCGAGGTGTCCCATCATAAAATGACTATCAGGTGGTTGCTCTGCTGCATTTCAAGATCAAGCATTCATTAAAGCGCGTTTCATTAATGCTCGAGGTTGTTTAAAAAAGACAGGCATGAAGAAAAGTGATACAAGAACTTTTTTCCCGGTCACGTGCTCAATTCGAATGTCGCGTGACTCAGCCTTGCGCACCCCCGTCTCGCCACAGCCTTGGCCTCCAAAGAGTGCTATGAGTGCCCGAGTTTGGAATATTTGAAGAGGGTATGTGTGTATTTCGCCTACTGCAACGCTCCTGCTCTACCATACGACACTACATTGAGCACTTCAACAAACGCCTCTACCCGTGCCGCTCATTGTATTGACATTGTCCCACTCCATTCCCGCACAACTTGACCATGGGGCCCACCATCTAGACAGTCGCAGCTCCCTTTGACAGAAGCTCACCCACCAAATTCCAGTATTTGACCCGGCTGTTCTCTCGGAACTTCTTGCCCCAGATTATCATGATGAAAAATGCGGACGAGGCTGCCATTCCGACGAAAGCCGCCGAGATGAAGCAATTCTGGACTCCCATATTCGTGATCCAAGGGGTGATACCATAGCCGATAGCAAAGGACATTGTGTTGCGCACAATAATGACTGTCGTCATAGCGTCTCCGGATATTTCATGGTATGTGTCGATAAGGTAGTTGACACTAAGAGTGATGCCAAAGACGTTGCAACAAGCAAGTGCTCCCATGGCAATCACAAGGCCACTCCAATGCACGTGGTTTGCAGCGCCCACGCCCCAGAGTAAAAGCGTTGCAGGAACCAAGATGACGCAAAGAGCGAAGGGCCAAAGACGTTGTTCAGGTTCCTATATGACTCGTCAGAAAGCTGTATCTGTAGAACTAGGGATCTATCGAAAGAGTCGTGCTTCAATGGCACAGTCTTTCAAGGAGAGCAACACTTACCATAATGCCGTTATTGCGGCGCGCGAGTTTGAGCGTCAACCAATCACTCAATCGACCAGTCACGTACGAGCCGACACACACGCCGAGACATGTTGACACGTAGCTCAAACCGACCATCGAAGATGAAAAGTTGTAAGGAGGGGCCGAGAGAATCAGACTCGCAGTCGCATTGAGGACGTTGAACCAGATCTGTGAAGTGTTAGTATCAGTGTGGTAAGAATTACTCCCAAAGCGTGAGGTGCATCGATGCATAGAAACGGGTCATAACTCACAAGATAGCTTCCATAACTGAAACCCGCGTAGAAGATGACAGGCCACGAGAGGTATCGGAGAGACTGGACAGCTCTTCCAACCACGTCTTGACCAGGTGATGGCTGCCAAAGGGACAATTTCTGGAAAAAGGTCTTGTTGCTTCCGTAATGGAAAGTACCCTTCTCGATACTTGCCAGCTCCGGCTCTCTTCTGACGGAGGCCGATTTCTCCGCCTCTTTCTCATCTCTCGGCTCGCTGATGGGAGTTTGTGTGCCGCTCGTAACCTCCACGATTCCGACCGTGGCCCGACGATAGTTCGTTTCTTCCATGAAGAAGAAGCAGAACACCAGTGCGCACGCGAGAAACATGGCGGGAAAATAGAACACCCATTTCCAATTCATGTCCTGGGCAATAAATCCGCAGATGACTGGTGCGAAGTAATTGCTGCCGGCTAAAAAGAACGCGTAAACGCCCATATAAGTTCCACGCTGGTGTTGGAAATACTAGGACAACAGTCAGTACGATCGAGGGCCGAGAACGGCCATACTTACCACATCGGTCACAGAGATCTCCGGCAGCGCCTCGATTGGTGCTGCAAAGAAACCGTTGACAACGTTTTTGGCAATCCATGCACCATTCGTGCGTGCGTATGGGCTGTCATACGTCAGTCCATGAATTTCGAGCAAGCAACCACAAGAATTCTTACCCCAACATTGTGCACCCGATACAGCCGATGATTGAGAGCAAATATGTAAGACGCTTGCCGTAACGCAACGCGAAAGGCTGCCAGAAGAGTAAACCCCATCCACACAGGAGGAAGAGATATCCTAGTTGATAGCGTCAGTCCACACGCTGTCGTCCGCTAAAAGTCTGTGTGTTGGTGTATCTAACCTGTGCCTTGGTTGAGTGCGCTTACAGACACCCCAGAAGCCTCTGAGAGAGGGACGATGACGGAGTACACGACCGAACCGGAGATACCAACGAAGAGGACATAGCTGAAGCCGGTCAGTGAGAGAAGTTGACTGATGAAGGTATACGTACACGTTGACCGCGATGGTCGACATAAGCTTGCGTTTTGGTGACCAGTTTAGAGGGTCGTCTGGATCATCGGATGGAGTTGGCACAAGCACCACGTCTCCTGTGCCGCCAGCATGCCTTGTGTGCATGGTGTGCTCCAGGTCCACAAGATGGACGGTTCCAGGGACAGTGTCCACAGGGAGGTTGTGAGCTGCCATGGTGGCGAACAGTATGGCTCACGTGCGGTCGATTGTTGAAATTGAAGAGGAAGATTTTCAATTGCGAATGCAAGTACCTGGGCGAGAGGGCAGTCTCAATTTATATGCCTGCGTGTGAGACGGTGAGACCGTGCAAAGGTGCACAGATAGTCCGCCGCTCGATGCCGATATTCCGGAAGGAACCACAGGGCGTCGTTGGGGCGCATGAAGTCCAGATAGTGTATGAAGTCAAGCCATTTAGTGGCAAGACCAAGGCGATCGTAATGGTGCAGGACGAAAGATAAGAGTTGAACCAGCAATTCCGCAGCAGAGCAGGGATTCCATATCAGGTTCGCTGCTAGACAAAAACAGTCTGCACCTTGGAGGCATGGTCTGATGTGAAAGGTCGTTCCAATTGAATGCTAGATAAAGGATTCACATAAACATGTCCGAAAAAGGTAAGAGAGTGGCTACTTATCTGGAGAGTGGCCGGCGGGAACAGGCGCAATGTCGTCTGAATGGTCCGCAGATGACCCCCTGGGGTTCCTGGTGGGACATGGTGGATATGTCCGTGGCATACTCGTTACCCGATCCCCGAGTGGTTGCATGATCGGCATCTCCAACGTTGGTCTCGCAGAGCTGATCAATGAGGGGATTTTGCGCCGGTTTCGTCAAGGATACTTATCAGCGGGAAGAAGAGAAAGAGAGTTCGAGGTACCTCGTCACGGCAGTCAGTCATTCCGCCTTGAAGCCACAGCAAAAGCACGAGACCACAGCTGGTAGCTTGCCAAGTGCCACCGTCTGCTCCATGCTGTCATGGACTTGTAGGTTAACGAGACGATAAAATATGAACTGTGTCCTGACATGAAGCTGTAGCTCGAATCCATTCTTTGAGTATCTTCGGTTTGTAAGAGGCTGCTAACCATGGTTCAAGATTGGAGAGGACTTGTCGCAAAGAAGCGTGCCGAGGTAGCGAAAGAATTGCCTGAAGAATGGAGGCTTTCAAAAGATGTGTTGGACACGATAAATGCCAATGCTGATATAGCAGTCCTTGACGTTCCCGCAAAATGTGGTTTGCTGACCGCAAAAGAGCTTGAGATTACTGAAAAGTACGATGCGGTGGATTTGGTTGCGAAGATGTCAGCGAAAGAGCTGTCTTCTTCAGAAGTGACCCTCGCATTTTGTAAAAGAGCTGCTGTCGCTCATCAAGTGGTTTGTCCTTGCTGCTGTGACGATGAAAGCACTGTTACTGATGAGGTCAGACCAATTGCTTGACAGAAATGTTCTTTCAAAAAGCTTTAGAGCGAGCCAGGTACCTCGACGAATATCTGGAAAAGGAAGGCAAACCGGTGGGCCCATTGCATGGAATGCCTATCAGTCTGAAGGTTGTCAAGCGAGCATGGCTGGGTGTGATATGTCTGACTTTTGTGGCAGGATTCGTTCAACCTCAAAGGCATCAATTCGACAATTGGATATGTCTCGTTTATAGACCGACCTCCGTCCGAAACCAATTCTCCGCTTGTTGACATCCTCTTGCAAAATGGCGCCGTGCTGTATGTCAAAACCAATATTCCCCAGACTCTGATGGTACGTGGAAACTCCCCAGAAGCTAGCATCGTTCGTCCACGATCTTGAACCGCATCGAGTATGGTCGTAAAAGGAAATGAACATATAAGGGCTGTGGTCGACGCATTTTGCGGCAATACAATACTGACGTTCTCCTACCACAGACGGCAGACTCGGACAATAATGTGTTTGGGCGAGTGATGGTAAGAATGCCACGTATGGGAGTTCTGAAGGGCACTGACCAATCTGCTAGAACCCTCACAAACTCAAGCTGAACGCTGGAGGCAGCAGCGGTGGTGAGGGAGCTCTTGTTGCTATGCGTGGATCCATTCTGGGAGTGGGCACCGATATTGGAGGCTCGATCCGTATACCCGCCATTTGCTGCGGAACTTTCGGCTTCAAACCATCTGTCGGTCGAGTCCCGTTTGGTGGCCAAACAAACCCCGTCCTAGATGGATGGACTGGTATAATGCCAGTTGCAGGTCCGTTGGCACGAAGTCCTCGTGACCTGCGCCTTTTCTTGGAAGCTGTGATCAAAACAAAACCCTGGGACTTTGACTATACGGCTCTCGCCATCCCCTGGCACCCAGTCCCGGAAAAGAAGACGCTCACAATCGGTGTTGTCTTGGAATGCCCTACCTGGCTGGTAGCACCCCCACAACTCCGAGCAATGAAGACAGCCACAGACAAGTTGAAACAAGCCGGACACAATGTTATCATGCTGGAAAAGTTCCCTTCGTTCAAAGAAGCGACTGAACTCTCCTGGGCATTTTTCGACATCGATAACGAGATGACCGGGTTCAAACATATTGAGGCGTCAGGAGAACCTATGGTCACATCGGTGGCAGACATGTACACCCTTCCTCCAGAGGGCCGTAAAGTCAAGTCCCTAGGAGATCTGCTCGACATGAACGAGAAATACCTGAAATTCAGGCAAGAATGGTTGAAGATCTTCGTGGACAACAAAATGGACGTCATCCTTGCGCCAGGCGCACACAAGACTGCTGTACCTCACGATACCTTTCGCTATCCTCCATATACTGTCATGTGGAACCTCCTTGCGGTAAGTTTCGGTGGAACGGCTGACATTGTGGAATCCGTGGCTGATTGAGACTTTTCAGTATCCTGCTTGCATTGTTCCGTACCTTAAGGCCGACAAGAGTATTGATCACGCAGATCCGAGAATTCCAGAATGTGAGTTGCATCCTTTCCATCGACATGGTAGAAGCTGCGTCACTAACCCTTCCCTTCTCAGATGATCCTGACATTGTTGATGGCGCACCATGCAGCATCCAAGTCATCGCAAGAGGGGAACAAGACGAGGAATTGATGGCAGCCGTGGAGCTGGTCTCTAAAGCTATTGGTCTTTGATCAGTACATGTTCGACGTGTTGTAGCAGTCCCGCCGGCCTTCTATCAGTGAGGTCTACGATGCCATAATCCGATTGCGACGCGTGACATGAGCTTCAGGTAGCAAGGGCATTGTGGAAAGCGTTGTAGTTAAGCTGGTCAGCAGCACGTGGTCAAGTGCAGCATATGTAGTGTCCCATGGGCAATTCGAAGTGGACAGATGTCTTCCGCCTACCGTTTGCCCTGCAGATTGGAATGATTGGGGCGACATGTCGTGGTGTTCGTGTGGGCGGAGGAAATGAAATAATGAAAGCCTTCTTCCCCTCTGCGATGCAGATGAATCTCTGAAACGCGTTGAACGTGAAAGTTGGGTTCGCCGAGAGCGCCGGGTCGTATTCATGCCTCGTGATCTTTCAGAAGAGTGCTCATCTTTTGGCCTTGGAGAACGATCAACTCGACAGGCGATTGTATAGGCTGAATGCGAATTCATAAGATCACTCTGCTTGTTCTCACCGTCGCACCTTCAAGGAGACCTTTTGGTGCAAAGTCGAAGCCGTCGACAACAGGGAAAAAGCGTTGATGCACTTGTTCCTGCAGGGAATAGGGGTTCCTGTCACGCATGACTTGACAGATATTGCACCGCCATTCAGCGACAGGCAAAAAGCTGTTGACAGGATTTGGCTGATATCAGATGCTATTGTGTCATATGTAGGAGGAATTTCATACCTTTGAGAAGGGTACCGCTCTCAGTTGCATCTCTGGTTCGCCCTCGAGGCTGACTGTTTCTAATAGACAGAATCCCCCAAGGTGTCTCCAGATGTAGAGTAGATGCGTACGGAGTTCCGTACTCTCCTCTTATTAGTGTCTTGCTGCTTTTCTTCTCCAAGCCGTCAGCGACAAGGCGGCCATATGTCTGGCGTCATCAGCAGCGAATGAAAAATTGATTATATCATCGCGCCCAGAGGCACTTCATCTAGGAAGGGAAACGTATCCTCCCAGGTCCTTTCAGTTGAGTAATCGAAACCTGCCTAATCCGAAACAACTCGCCGCTATGAAGGCGGAGAAAGCAGCGGGGAAATGGAGGTGATCGTCTCCCCCCTTTGGGACGTGCTGATACCCAATAAGACTTCCACCTTCCAGACTTTGGCAGGTCAAAACCTGTCGACCTCTACTCATGGCAGAGACAATGAATGAAGACTTTGTCATCTGGAATCTCTCTCCTCAGTGGAACAAGGTGGAGGCCCCTGGATAGCGGTGAAGAATGACTCGGGCGCTTTATAAGTATTGAGATTTGTCTGGTCTGAGTGTTGATCAAATGTAAGCTGCAACATCCTGAAACTGATCTCCAGCACAAGTATTGAACATCTCCTGTTTGAATGGTACAGTTCATAGCAGATACAAAAAGTCGCAGCGGTCACCATCAGGCACGGTTTCCCGATACCAAACGGAGAGCAAACCGGCACAAGGCACTTTCGAGCATGGCTTTCCATCAGGCTTCTTCCTGGCATGAAGGCGAAGCTGCCATTCACAAACGCACGCATGTTGACTACAGGGAAGACAATCCGACCATACCGTCCTTGTATCCTCGCGCAGCACAACAGGTCTCACGTTACCCGTTAATGGCCTTCGGCGCCCTGGATGAGAACGACAAGCCGTGGTGTACAACTTGGGGCTCAGGCAAACCACCAATGGCACAACAGGTAGCACAAAGCGTTATCGGTATCAGGACCACTGTCGATGCATCGTTCGACCCCGTGGTCCAAGCGATCTTCAAGGGGCAGAACGATGGGGAAGTACTCCGCGAGGAAGGCGAAGGAAGATTGATGAGTGGGTTGAGCATCAGTCTCGAAGAAAGAGGACGAGTCAAACTAGCTGGTCGGATTATAGCGGGCGCCCTCAATGCAACGATGGCGACTGAAGAGGGGGCACAAGCGGCCGACAAGAGTGGAACTGGACAAGCAGGGGAGATGCAGCTTGTCGCAAAGATTGACCAGGTATTGCCCAACTGCCCGAAATACCTTAACAAAAAGAAGATCGTCTCTTCAACTCCAAGTCCGAGGCTGCTTTCGACTTCTACGCGACTTGTTGAAAGAGCCGTGAATATCATTCGCAAGGCCGACCTGTTCTTCCTCAGCTCCGCCCACAAGCACAAAGACATGGACTGTAACCATCGCGGTGGTCCGCCAGGCTTCCTACGCGTCCAGCAACCAGAAGACCCCGTCAAAGGCAGCACAATCGTCTGGCCCGAGTACAGCGGCAACAACCTCTACCAAACCCTCGGCAACCTTGAGACAACACCTCACGCAGGGCTTTGCGTTCCAGATTTCGAAACCGGCGATGTACTGTACGTGACAGGAGACACTGAAACTCTCGTCGGCGCTGAAGCCAGTCATGTCATCGCCAAAAGCAATCTGGCCGTGCGCTTGATGGTCACGGACGTAAGACTGGTTGAGAACGGGCTCCCCTTCCGCGGCATACCAACGGACGATGTCTCCCAAGGTCGCTCCCCTTACAACCCGCGAGTGCGGTACTTGACGAGTGAGCGGAGAGACGCCTTCGATAAAGATCCAGGCGACAAGCCTCCGACGACTGCACAACTAATACGAAAATCTCGACTGACCCCAACAATAACGAGATATCGCTTCGCCCTGACCGATCCTGCAGTTTTCGGACCCTGGAAACCAGGACAGTACGTGGCGATGGACTTCACGGACGAACTAGACATGGGATACTCGCATATGCGCGACGACGATCCAACGAGTCTGAACGACGATTATATCCGGACATTCACCGTCTCGTCGATCCCAAACTCGCTCGGTGACCACGGCGAAGAGTTTGAAGTCACGGTGCGTAGGGTCGGCAATGTCACGCGCTGGTTCGAATATCAACGTGAGGGCATGTGCGAGGTTGGAATCAGAGGGTTCGCCGGCGAATTTTCTTTCGACCAGACCGCCAATAAACGTGTCGGCTTCATCGCCGCGGGGATCGGTACCACGCCTCTGCTCGGGCAGATGGATATATTGGATCTGACGCGACTCAAAGTCTGGTGGAGCGTGGGAGTCCGAGATGTCGGTCTTCCTCTGGACATTTTGACTCAGTACCCTGCTTTGAAGGACTCGTTGACGATCTATCTCAGTGGCAGTGAAAGTGTGCTCGATGACAATGAGAAGGAGCGCATTAAACTGCAGAAGCTTGTTGGTACAGGTGTCAAGATTGAGAGGCGGAGGCTCCAGCAGTCCGACTTGACTAGCGCAGAGGCCGGTGTGGATAATTGGTATCTCTGCACGGCGCCGGCGATGAGGAAGGAAGTTCAGAGTTGGCTGCCTGGGAAGTCGGTCGTTTTTGAAAATTTCGATTATTGATGACTGGTCCCCCTTCGATGGCGACGTATAGTGCTAGACTGAATGAGTTAAGACGAAATATCATTCTCTCCATCCGTCCGTTCTCAAGGGTCTTCCACGATGTACTGTAGTCTAGAAGCTGTCACACTTGATGACAAAATAAGCAACAACTTCATACGGATGCGCCCCCCTCAGCTCATCCACCGCCCATCGAACAGCCCCCTTGCCTATAACCACCATCTCCACCCGATCCTCAACCACGTACTCAACAACCCCAGGCTTGCCAATATTGGGATCGGCATGTGCAGCGGGCTTAAACTGCCCCGTGCCCGTCGACACGAAGCATGTGTCCGTATACTTTGGTAGGGCGCCTGGCTCGTGACCAGGTCCGTTAGGCCATGTTCCCGCGCCAGTAGCCCAGACTGCGTCGAGACATGCTTGCGTATGCGTTTGGGGGACGTAGAAGAGTAGCTTGTAGATGGTATCTCCGTCATTCTCACTCCTCGAGGAAGTCGTCGTTGGCTCGGAAGTAGTCATTGTTGTCAATGATATACTGGCTCGCGTCGTTGTTGGCGGTCTACACACAGAGTCTCCAGAGAAAACAAAGGAGCTTTTGGTGCTTTGACAGACTCAGGCAGGTATCCTAACAGTCCGATGCTTGTCCCCGAGCTAGGTGAGATGCTTCCGAAGATATAATCCAGGACATCAAAAGGCCATTCTGGGCATACAATGTGAGATAGGGCAGAAGGTTTGGTTCAAAGTTCCGGACAGAGCCTTAATATAACGTTAGCAACCATTTGAATGTCGAAGTCGATCACCCAACGAGAGGCAACACCATCAACAGTAAAGTTCTGACCATTATAACAGGAAAACTTCAAGACCGCAAGAGCGTTGCATGAGGCCATTACCACAGGAGGACATCGAGATTGAAATCATGTCGAATTGACCACTAGCACGGGAGGACATCACGATGGAAACAATATTGAACTTTAAGAAAATACATTTTAGTGGTATCTGGTGCCTCGTTGGAACTCGGGAAAACGCCGTGCATATCTAAGATGCTAGTACAGTATCATGCTCATAGTTCATCATGACCTGCGTCATCATCGTCGTCTCCATAGTCCGGCATCCCACCTGCACCGCCACCGTAGAGCTTGCTTGAGATCGGGTAAGCAACCTGTGACAACTTGTCATATTGCTCATCAAAGTCATCCTTCTCTGCCGAGTCGGCGTTCTCGATCAGCCAGTCTTGAGTCTCCTTGACCGCTTCCAACAATGTCTCCTTGTCGTCGTCGTCAATCTTGCCACCAAGACCGTCTTCATCATTGGCCTGGTTCTTGAGAGAAACGGCGTAGTTTTCGAGCTTGTTTCTGGCTTCAATCTTTTCACGGACTGCCTTGTCTTCGTCGGCGAATTGTTCGGCCTCGGCAACCATACGGTCGATTTCTTCTGGTGACAATCGTCCCTTGTCATTGGTGATGGTGATAGACTCGGATTTGCCAGTGCCCTTGTCTCCAGCAGACACCTTGAGGATGCCGTTAGCGTCGAGCTCGAATGATACTTCGATTTGAGGAACACCACGAGGAGCAGGAGGAATGCCGGTAAGCTCAAATTTGCCGAGGAGGTTGTTGTCTTTCGTGAGAGATCGTTCACCTTCGTAGACCTGGATCAGGACAACAGGCTGGTTGTCTGCCGCCGTGCTGAAGATTTGGGATTTCTTGGTTGGAACAACTGTGTTTCGAGGGATCAATTTGGTCATGACACCACCAGTGGTTTCAATTCCGAGAGTCAACGGGTTGACATCCATGAGAACAATATCCTCGGTACCAGCTTCGCCGGAAAGAACACCACCTTGGACGGCTGCACCATAAGCCACAGCTTCATCAGGGTTGATACCCTTGCTGGCTTTCTTGCCACCGAAATACTCTTCAATCATTTGTTGAACCTTGGGGATACGAGTCGAACCACCAATAAGGACAATATCGTCAATGTCGGCCTTCTTGACTTTGGCGTCCTTGATGACTTGTTCGACTGGTTTCAGGGTCTTCTTGAACAGATCCATGTTGAGTTCCTCGAACTTGGCTCGGGTCAAAGTCTCGGAGAAATCCTTTCCGTCGTGGAAAGCTTCGATCTCAATACGGGTGGACATTTGTGATGACAGGGTTCGCTTAGCTCTCTCAACTTCTCGCTTGAGCTTACCCATGGTCTTGAGGTCCTTTCGGATGTCCACATCGTTCTTCTTGTTGTAGAGTTTGACAAAGTAGTCGATAATTCGCTGATCGAAATCCTCACCACCAAGATGAGTATCACCAGCGGTAGCCAAAACTTCGAAAACACCATCTTCGATCGAAAGAAGGGATACATCGAAGGTACCACCACCAAGATCGTAGACAATGATCTGGCTCTCTTTGCCCTTCTTGTCGAGACCATAGGCGATGGCTGCGGCTGTAGGCTCATTGACCACACGAAGGACGGTCAAACCAGCGATTGTTCCGGCGTCTTTCGTTGCTTGTCTCTGGTTGTCATTGAAGTAGGCTGGAACTGTGACAACTGCATGGGTGACTTTCTTGCCCAGGTATGCCTCAGCGACTTCCTTCATCTTGCCCAGAACCATGGCGGAAATTTCCTCGGGTGTGAAAGTTTTTGGCTGACCAGCAACCTCGACGTTGACCATAGGCTTGCCGTCCTTGTTGACGACTTTGAAGGGGAAATGCTTTGCGTCTCGTTGAACATCGGAGTCCGCGTATTTGCGACCAATCAAACGTCTGAAGAAGGGATTAGTACCTGTAACCAAACAAAAGAACATGTTTTGCAGACTTACTTGATATCATAGACTGTCCTCGTAGGGTTTGCAGCATACTGATTCTTTGCAGCGTCACCTACCAGGCGCTCTTCGTCGGTAAAGGCCACGTAGGAAGGAGTGATTCGGTTGCCCTGGTCGTTGACAATGATGTCTACTTTGCCATTCTGCATGACGCCGACACAGGAATAAGTAGTTCCGAGATCGATGCCGATGACGGTGCCATAGTTGCTATCGGAGTCATTAAGAGGTGCTTGATCTTGGGCGTGTACCGAGCCGATCAATGCTAAAGGACAAATGAAGATGAGGAGGAGGTAGAACACAGTTGTCCACTGAAAAGCAGAAGAGGAGGATCTCGAACCACGGCGCGCCATCTTGAGAGATCTCAGGAGGCAAAATATGGTGAGAAACAAAGAAGGAAGGAATGGTGGACTTGAACGGAGGATGAATTGGGTGACGGGAAATATTTATTATGACGGCCGAGTTATCGATACGCTGTCCTTTTTGACTCGCCGCTGCCGCAGCCACTTGCACTTGACGCGGTTGCACCCCCGGAACACAGTCGCGATTGCTGCCAAGCCCCTGGAAAACGAAATGCCCCTTTTTGCCAGTCTGGCCTCTCTCTATTTTCAATTTCTATTCATTGCTAGACGTTTCCAAGGTCAATTTCTACGACAAAAGAAAACCATTTCCACCCCTACCTCTTTGAGCCTACCATGTATCATCTGACAGGACGCGCACCAAGATCACAAGTGCATTTTTCACCAGGTCCAAAGACGTCGGTGCCTGAACAGTAAACATCAGGATTATACTGATAAAGCTAATGGTCATCTCCACCTCAATGCTGCAGGCTACGATGTTAGGTGTGACCGTGTGAATGCCGCCGCATACTTCAGTGAGGATCCATATCCATTTGGCTTTGAAGGAATGCAGTGCCACTTTGCCGGGACACCAAATATGCCCGTCGCAGCCTTGTGCGGAGTTGTTCAGCCTTGTGGCGTCTTCGTGCTTGCGAATAATTGAGACCTAGTGAATGTAAGCAAAGTAAGTCACAACCACATCCCTGCAATGTGAGTACGTTGTCTTGGTCAAATACGTGAATCCTCCTGTTTCCATGCCCTGGCGCAGGATTTCAAGGATTGACAGACATGTTTGGGAACGGCAGAGACAGTCTGTCACATTGACTATGGTTCCAGATACGTGACTCATTGGATGTCGAACCTTCGCCACCCAGATGGATACATAAGAGGCCTTGAGTCCGCAGGATTGGCAACGACCAGAGCCAAGGGCTTGTCACAGTTAATCATTCCAAATACATATAAATAACAATCCGCAGATTGTTTCTACCGCGCACTCACCTGTCTGCGAAGAACAATGGAGGGAATATGCTGGGGAGGTTGATTTCGACATCACCGTCTCTTTGAGTACACCGGCTTTTCGCCGGCATCTGAATGCTACGATGATTGAATGGCGTCCCTGATGTGGTACTCGACATTGTCATATTCCATAAAACTGGCTCGAGACTCCAGTCCATTCTTCAGAAGTCGGCCTTGTACAGTGTTCATACCCTCCTGATAGCGATCGGGTCAGTGGTAGCAACATGGACACAAGTTCCGAGGAAAGTCGGACCCTGGCGAAGCGAGTAGCGGCTCTTGAAGATGCACTGCTGAAGAGCTACGAAACTACTGGTAACCTCATTGAGACTATCTATCGGTGGGTACCGGAACCCCTCAGCCATACCACAAGCTTGCTCTATTGAACGAGAATGTTACCCGGCAACACCAACAACCCAGAGTGCGCGTCTTTACTGGATGTCAGTGGAGACGGTGTCTGCCTGGAATTAGACCACGCGGTCACGGAGCATATCGAGATCAATTCAGCTGCGAGGAAGGATCATCGGAGAGGGTTCTGTCCAAGCGACTGAGAGTTAAAAGGCAGACCTCGGTGTCTGAATCCACCGCGAGTATATATCGAACAGAGCCAACAAGCCTGTTTTCAGAAAGAAGTGGCAGCATTTGAAGTCCAGCGGGTTCGCTCCAGCAATTACCTTGACATGAAATTTGCAGGACTATACTGATAGAGCGAATGGCCGTCTCCAGGTCGCAGGTGGATGCTATTATATTATATTTGAACTTGAAAAGTCTCCAGCAGTGCCAGCGTTCAGACAGTGGCCCCCACAAACTGCGGCAGTACTTCGGGGCTCTAACGGCCACTGTTCGAACGACGTCACCGCGCTCCTCCAGTCCTGCGGCCGGTGTGCATCTCCGCATCATCTTTACAATAGTCAATGAGTCGTCTACTATCAACAAGTTCGATTGCACCTCCCGCGAGACAACGCTGCTACTCATGCTATGCTGACTAGTCTCTCTCCTTCCTTGACTTCCTCCCTCCGAAGACTGACCAGACCGAATACAATCATCCCCATACTCAACACCCTTAGTCTCCGAGTTCCCAAACCGCAGCATTCGTACCACACAACTCCCCCAAGAATGGGTTCAGTAGACACATCCCTCCAGCCACACACAACCGGCAGGGCAGCCGAATTTGCCAAAGCCCATTCCTCTTCCAACCCTCTCATTCTCTATGGCGGCTGGTTCTGTCCGTTCGTCCAGCGCTCCTGGATCACATTGCACGAAAAAAAGATCGCGCATCAATACTTCGAGATCAACCCGTACAAGAAAGACCCCGACTTCCTAGCACTCAACCCGCGCGGACTGGTGCCTACACTAGCCGTGCCTGTCGACAAGGCTGGCGAGAATCAAAAGCCCTTATACGAGAGCGTAGTGATCTGCGAGTATCTAGACGAAGTGTACCGAAACCCGCAAAAAAACGGCCCCTCCCTTCTCCCAGAGGACGCATATGACAGAGCCTGGTGTCGCTTATGGATCGACCATATCAGCACGCGCATCATCCCAGCGTTCTATAAGTTCCTGCAGCACACCGAGCAGAAGCCATACTCGCTGGAGGAAGCCCGCAGTGAGCTGCTCAAACAAATCAAGACGTTCGCTAAGGAATGTGACCCCGAAGGCCCGTACTTCCTAGGCAAACAATTCGGCATGGTCGATGTGATGCTCGCGCCCTGGCTGTGCAGACTATTCCTGTTCGACGTATACAAGGGTGGTGTCGGCATCCCCAACGAAGGGAGGGGCGGCGAGGATGAGCAGGTCTGGCAGCGATGGCGGAAATGGGCCAAGGCGACGCACGAGAGGGAGAGTGTGCAGGACACACTGAGTGAAAGGGAACAGTATATCGATGCGTATAAGCGGTATGCCGAAGATACGACGCAGAGTCAAGTTGGGCAGGCCACAAGATCAGGCAACAGACTGCCCTAGGCGGAGAGAGTCAAGCGTTTCTTCCTGCTCTGCATGCACATGTTTCAATGAATGCTTCAGTAACTTCGTTTCTCATTTTGTCCATATCAGGTCTTCTACCCAGTATGAGCCGTGCACACTCAAGTACAGCAGCTGCCGTGGCCGCTTTATGCGACCATGTCTCTCTTCATCGTGACAACTCTCGCGCAGAGCGCAGAGGCATATGAGCCACGGTTCCTACCTCTTCGCCTCCCCTCTCAAGTCGCTCCCCAATCCATACCCCCTGACCTTCTCCCACTCAACCTTCTGCCTCGTTACAGGCAACTGCCGTCGCAAAGCCTTAAAGCTAGTCTCATTCATCCCCACAATCGTCCGATTGACCTCCTCCTGGTACTGTTTCTCCACCGCGGCAATCTTGCGCACGATACTCGCTCCATCTCCCCCGTCCACAGACACGCCGTCAATCTTTTTACTCGTAGTCAGCGCCACATTCCCGTCCTCGTAATAGTGTACATTCACGTTAATACTGCCTGAGAGCGTCGAGCTCGACGCATCGTAAAGGAACTCGCTGCGCCATTGCCCGCTGATGAAATTCTTCGGCGACGATTTTGTCGAGGACATCAGAACCGCGATGCTGTTGTCGTCGGGTGTTGCGCAAACCGAGTACGCGGAGGTAGATGTGGGAGGGTAGTGTTCTGAAAAATGGGCGGAGAGGGACTTCTCGATCGCGCTGATCAGATTCGAATGCTTGGTGTCGTGGGTGTAGGATTGCGGCGCGCTGGCCTTGGACGAAGAATGGTCGAATGCGAAGGATGTCGACGACGAAGTGTCGTAGTACCGGTCTGACGAGGGGAGTTTGTTGTAGGAGGATATTAGGACCTAGACTTAAGTCAGCTTCGTTGTCGACCAGGGATTTAGGACAGCCCCTGTTTCCCTGAGCCTTCAGGGGCGCTGGAGAGGGTCTTACATGATCGCTTGCACCGGGTAGCTTGACGGTGGTCAATTTCTTCTCGTTGTATTGCTGGAAGGCGGGTTTTAATTTGGCTGTGAGGGTCGGGTCATCGACTGATGTGAGTGCTTTGATGTCTTTGACCACGTCTGCGAGCTCCGAGGGAGGTGCACCTTCGATGAAGGACGAGGTGATGTCCACGGCCGAGCCCATTGTTCCGTTTCGTGTACTGGGTTATTTGTGCTTATGGTTGACGATCCAAGAGTGGTATTGTTTGGCGCTGTCAGGGCAGGTTGGAGGAAGATCGTTCAGGGAGTCGCAGCCTGATGTGGGGTATCAGACTCCGTATAGATCTACACTTTTCGACGCGAAGCACGTAATGTTTTTGCAATGAAAGCCGCGATATCAATGTTGACAGTATTCACGATCATGGTAGCTTCCTCATTCGGTCTCCCCTTGATACAGACTGATGTTGCCCTGGGCAAGAAAAATCAAATGTAATACACCTGCGTTGAATAGAACCCCGAAACGCCTCGCTTCCATCAAAAGTGCCCCAGAAAATGTTTTAGTCAATGCTCATGCTCATGATTCCTTCGTTCGTTTCAGTCATTCCTTGCAAGCCAACCTTTTTCGTGCCATTCAAGCTACCTGCGCTGTTACTGCGGTCTCCTTGGTGTTGGCCGTTCGCTTTGGGTGGTGGAGGTTTAGACCAAGCCTTGTCGTTATTAAAGACTGGGCTTTGCGGAATTACCGGACTGCTTTGGACACTCATACCGGGAGAGACTGCGCGGCGTTTGGTATAAGATGGATCAAAATCTTCCTCCCTGCGTCGTTTGTTATTGACGCGGCGCGCCACTTCACCTGCGGTGGGTCCATTCGGGGCCAGCGGCGTAACCGATCTAGATCGTGAACGGTTGAAATGTTTTAGTGCTAAATTGTCTGGAAGTGAGGAGCCCGGGGTGTCCAGAAGTTCATCACTGATCGCGGATGAGCTCTCGCGAGGTAGCATGCCAGGCGGAGGTGTCCGAAATCGGGTCGGATCGAAGCCTTCCCAAAATTGTGGTCCCCCCGAATGTCTTTCTGCTTGACGGCTGAAGCTATCAGGCGCAAGCACAGGTGTTGAATCCATAATCATGTCTTCGATAGAATCTTCCACCGCTTCAGCTCCAAACCCGTTGTTGGATGGAATGATGGGGGACGTGACTTGCAACACGGTGGGATCGTTCTCCTGGACTTGTCGAACGACTTCTGCTTCGCGTCGAGCTTCGCTTTCGATAGGCTGCGACTCTTCGGCCAGCTGAGCGCGAATCCGAGCGAAGCCTTTCGATTTCGGGAGGAGGTTGCTTCTCCGAGTAACAGCTCTGCGAATGACGCCACGAGGGCCCTCAACGCCAGGACCGTCCATATCGGAGGAGGACTGCCCAGTAACAGCTTTGTTGGTGTTGTTATCTTCGCTGTCCGACAAGTGCAAATCGTTGGTACCCAGACTCAAACTTTCGCGCCGAGACTGGATTTGCCGTTTGGTTAGTCCCGTTCCAAAGTAACTGCCGCTGGCATTCTCCACGCTCTTCAATACACCAGGTGACAAAGGCCCTGGTGATGGCTTGGAACTATTCATGCTGACACTGCTGGAACTATGTTGACTTTTCCCCTTTTTCATGCGAGCTCGCCTAAAGCTCATCAGATGTGGTTGGAAACTCATGAGACTTGCTTGTGCAGGAGATGGCTGGTTATTCATCCACTCCAGGCCTGGGCTATTCATGAGACCCGTGATCAGTCCTGCGTTGACCCTTGATGCAGCAGGTGTATTCAGGATTGCATCGTCCATTTCGCGGTCAATAGCCATATCGTCAGAATCAGAATCACTGTCGGAATCAGAGTCAGACCCTAGCATATTAATGCTGCTGACGGAACTGGACAGATTTGTTTTCTCGTTCGACAAAGCGTGCCACAGATTGCTAGACTGATTGCTTGGTGATTCAAGCACATTGTTTGACATGCTCTTTCTTGCGGGTATTTGGATGCCCCTCCCAATGTTGGGTGAAGCATCCGGAGAAGCCTCTGCTAATGTTGTCTGATGCAAGCTTGTGCAGGCTCTCGTATAGTCTAGACCTCGGGACCTCCTAGGAAGCATGGAAGAGGGAGAACCATATATCTGGGAAGAGTCCAATTTTGGAGACAATGGCACTCTGGGAATGTCGGCCCCAGAGGGGTTTTCTGAAGCGACTTTTGTAGACATGTTGAAACTCAGCCCGCGAAGAGGGGTGGGAGGTTTGCCCGGGGTAGAAGGACTTGTGATGGCCGAGTCATCCTTGGAAACTCGTCGATATGGCTCGCGAAAGGCTGGCGAAGGAGAGAGGACTGGTTTGGGGGCGTCTGAGAGGGATCGAGGTTTGTTGGGTGAACCTCTAACGGTGTTTCTATGGGACCGTGGAGTAAGCTCGCCCTCGCTCTGCTCAATCTGTTGCGTCAAGGTTGACTTGCTGGACGGCGACGCACTCCCGACTGGCGGGGCGTGCATGATGGAGGTGGACATTGCGTTATCGTGCTATGACAGCGCCAATTGATTGCTGAAAGAAGACATATTTGGTGGAGGTTGTCGCGCTCACATGTCGCGTTGGTGGTTGTCGCAGTGAAGTATCTGAGCAACTGCGTCCGCTTGTGGTCGTATATATCTGTTGGAATGTCGAAATACTGTTGGTTTGCGGTCGAAGGTCAATGTGGTCGACGGGCGGCTAAACCTGAAGGGACCGAAGTCGCAGTTGTGAAGGGAGGGCGTTTCACGTGTAAAGCAGGCGAGCCGGGCAATTTCACCCGGGCGTGCACTTCAACCACAACTTAGGCACTTCCAGAAATCAAGTGAGGACCTGAACCAAAGAATTCGATTACGATATGCTGCCAAAGTGATCTTCTCATTCCTTTATAAAGAAAATCATATTCAATATTACTATTACTCCCACTCTGCAACGTCCTCAAAGCCTTCATTAAATCGAGCATAAAATTGCCCATATCACATCCTACCAATCTTTTATCCGCACCCCGCAGGTCACCCGTCGTGCCGTGTCACTCCAATCAATTATCGAATCCAGTGGCGTCACACTCTTGACCAGTCAGAAACAGATTTCACCCTTGAGGCTCAAGTATTCTCTCAAAATCGAGCCTTGCGGTTTGTCATAGAACCTGCTTGCATCGGTCGCCTCCCTGGCCGCGGTCATGAGTAATCGCCGTGTCAAGTCTCTGGCTCTGGAGGCCGACGACTATGATGCGGATGACTACGACGAGTACGCTGGTGGTGACGACAATTTTGACAGCGGCGGAGACAGTGAGCTCTCGCCAGAAGACAAAGAACAGATGCGTCTAGGCGCCATCAAAGTCCGAGAAGCATTAGGCTCAGCCATACCCGTATCGGACAAGGAGATCCAGGAGACTCTGTGGCATTATTACTATGATGTCGGAAAGTCTGTGGTCTACCTGAAAAGTAAGGACCTTTCATCACAAACTGATACTCTCTCACATTTCTCTCCAGATCAACACAAAGCTACTCCTACCCCTCTAAAGAAACAGTCGAACGTCTCAAAGAGTAAGTTCGCTCCTTCGTACTATTCAGCCTTACCACTTGCAAGACTTCGATTGAATCGTGGCGGTCATGATTGCTCCGAACAAGGCATTGTCGAAGATGCTGATGCTCGCCAAGAATCTGCCGCATCAGATGCATGCTCGACACCTTTTTCTGCCACGGATTTCTTCAAAGATAGTCCCTGGCTGCATGTCCCGGATCATCGCAAGGGTGAAATCATCATCGAGCCTCTCTACCCACGTCTGGGACTCCTGGGAGGTGCATCGAATGGAGGCAAAATGTCGAAGTTGGCTGCATTGGCCGCCAAACGAAGGCAGAAGGAAAGTGGAAGGTCAGAATCGAGTGCGACAGATGCACCAAGCCCTCAAGACGATTACACAGCAAGCTTGAACAAGCTTCGAATCAGCCATACCAGTAAACCAGGACCTGGCTCAAACCAACGAACAGACTCTTCCGACGCAAGCTCTGTCAGACTCGAGCCTGACCTACAGGACCGGAAGCAGCAGCAAGACTCGGCATCTCAACAGGCTGATGAAGCAACGGCAGGAGAAACACCTGATTTTTCGGTGGCAGTGGACTCCAACATCCGGGGACGCCCCTCAGCATTTGCCAGCATCATGACCAGCCACGATCAAAATCGTCGCCTTTCGTCGCCACATAACATTCTCCCCATCCATGACATTGCTAAATTCTTCGACTTTGCAGATCCAAGTCCTGACGATGTTGTGACAAAGGCACAGACAAAAGGTCGGAATTAGTTCTGCAAAGTCGAGCCACCTGAACAATAAGCTGACAACGTCGCTATTTAGCGCCAACACCAGTCAAACAAAAGCCCAAAGACACACCCAAATCTAAGTCCACACTGTCAAATGGTGTCCAGGACTTGTCAATACAGGACGTGCCCAAAATCAAGAGCAAGAACATAGATGTCATCTCAGAATACAAGAAGATCAAGCGGAAAAATGCGGCCAATTTTGTGGTTATTGGTAAGCCATACATTGTTGTTTGTCCCGCAACATGCTGATATTGTGCAGGCCATGTTGATGCTGGTAAAAGTACCTTGATGGGCAGACTGCTCTTCGACCTGAAAGCTGTTGATGATCGAACAATGGAGAAATACCGGAAAGAGGCTGAACGTATTGGAAAAGGCTCGTTTGCCTTTGCATGGGTGCTCGATCAAGGCACTGAAGAAAGAGCTCGCGGCGTCACCATTGATATTGCCACCAACAACTTCGAAACGGAAAAGACCAGCCTCACCATTCTTGATGCCCCAGGGCACCGAGATTTTGTGCCGAACATGATTGCTGGAGCCAGTCAGGCAGACTTCGCTGTCCTCGTTATTGACGCGTCAACGGGCAATTTTGAATCAGGTCTCAAGGGTCAAACCAAAGAACATGCCCTTCTTGTCAGATCTATCGGCGTTCAGCGACTGATCGTCGCCGTCAATAAGATGGATGTCGCCGACTGGTCTCAAGCACGGTTTGACGAGATTCGGCAGCAAATGGCCGGCTTCCTGTCTAGTGCCGGATTTCGGCCGAAGAACATCGCATTCGTTCCCTGCTCCGGTCTACAAGGCGGCAACATTCTCACAAGGGCTTCAGATCCCAAGGCGTCGTGGTATTCTGGCCCAACGTTGGTAGAAGAACTGGATCTGTCAGAGCCATCCACGCATGCGCTGGACAAACCTTTGCGAATGACCATCAACGATGTCTTTCGAGGAGGCGTTCAGAATCCGTTGTCTATATCGGGGCGAGTGGAAGCTGGTAACATTCAAGTTGGCGAGCAAGTCGTCATCATGCCTAGCGGAGAAAAGGCGCAAATCCGAAGCCTAGAGGTCGACGACGAGCCACAAGAATGGGCAGTGGCAGGCCAGAATGTCGTCCTGAACCTGACGGACCTTGATCCCATCCATCTGAAGACCGGAGATGTTTTATGCAGTCCTGTATCGCCGGTCAAAAACATCACCAATTTCACGGCGAAATTACTGGCTTTCGAACACCTCACGCCGATGAACATTGATGTGCACAGAGGCCGTCTACATGTACCTGGCCGAATCATTCAGCTGGTGGGAGTATTAGACAAGGCCTCGGGTGCTGTGCTGAAGAAGAAACCGAAAATCGTCCAACCTGGTGCTGTCGTCCGCGTTGTTGTACAGCTCGACCAGGCTGTTCCCCTGGAGGCGCCATCCAGGGTCGTTCTGAGAGCAAATGGAGAGACCGTCGGGGCTGGCTTGATTGAGTAAAGAATCGAGATAATGAACTTGAAGCGAACACCATGGCTATTCAACACCATCTTGTGCCTTGTGATCATGAATTCGAGGCAAACACCGGGCGTATCGACTCACCCCTTGTGCCTTGTACTCAAAGCGCACGCTGGGGTCAGCTCTTCTTTTTTTGTCGTTGATTATGGCGGAGATGAGTCTGCTATGGCGTCGATTCTGCAAAGATGCGCCCACAGGCGGGTACAGAGCATGAGACCTGGACCCAAATCGATACCACACTTGTGCCTGAACCTGAAGCAGAACCGACCCTGACCTGCGTCCGAACCAAACAAAACTGGACGCGACCTTTTGGACCTTTGGCTTGTTTTCTTGCGTGGAAAAGTTGGCACTGCTTGGCTCCTACCGAGCCTGAGGACCTACTTGTTCCACCTACTACCGTACATCTATTTTAATTCTCGATCTCTCTCACGCCTCTGGATCCCTCACAAGGCTCTACTGCAGGTGATACTCATCTTGGTGGTGAGGATATCCATCAGAAGTCTTTTGCGTCAGACTCGGGTGATCTATCCACACAGCTTTGCATCTTTGTGCCGTCGGCCCTTACACGAAAGGCCAGTAGTTTATTACCTCTCCTCGGCTACTTCACGTTGAGGTACTGAGCAAGCGACCATCTCAGATTTGAACGCCGTCAGAAAGCCAAGCAGCCTTGAGAGTGAGAAGTCCTGACACTCTGGGCGTACCGGTCCTGCAGGCTTGTCTCATTTCTAGCTCGATGACAAAGACTACGGAAAAATGGATTATCGACACACTTTTGCGTCCAACGACCTTGAGGTGCTTCGGAGCTCTCTTGGACTTCCAGCAGAGTCTCTAGCAAAGCCTTCTCGATGTGGCAGTGTTCGCAGTCGCAATGTCGTATTCGGTCTCGATCGATTTTGAGGGTCTGTCAAGCATCATGGATGCCACGACGACTTCTCAAGGTCAGGTTGGAATTGCAATCTTCGACACGCGGGATCTCACCCCTTCTTTGTCTTCCTCTTCTTCCGTTGGAAGCATGATCACCACCCACAACTTTGTCACGGGCTCATCTCATTACTGTGCCTCTGCCACCAAGAGGTTTCTGTTTGGCGAGACAATCACGATATCCCAGCAAGAAATGTTTCAGAAACTGGAGTCCGTAATCCCCCTCACGAGAAACATTATTCTTGTGGGACATGACATTTGGAACGATTTGAAAGTATTACGATACCTGAAGTTTGATACACGGACATCGATCTTGGGCATTCTCGATACCCAGCAGATCGCCCGTGAAGTTCCTTCAACAGCTGCCAGCTCCGGTAGGCTTCGCAACATCTTGACAGAGCTTCGTTGCCCATTTGATGAACTTCACTCAGCTGGAAACGATGCCAACTTCACACTACGAGCCTTGTTGTTATTGGCAGTCCAGTGCTATGCTAGTGAGACACTCTGTCAGGAAGATCAACGGACGCTAGAATTGATCAGGGAAGTCGCACAATACCCCATACCAAACAGGCGGGATTTGAAAGAAGCCAGGGCACTTAAGAAGAAGATGAAAAGGCTTGAAAAGTCTCGGAAGCACCAGGCGAAGTCATGGGACACTGAGACGAAGGAAAGTATAAGAGCAGAACGAGCAGCCAGGAGGATCACGCGAGAGGATGGCGACCTGCAACTCCTTTGACTTCGGCCTCAAACATTTTAGACATAACCAAATGCAGAAACTCTCGTCTTGATAGAGTGTCGTAACATAAGGACTTCGTTCAGGGATCCTGTTAAATTCGATACATTCACAATCCTCAATCGGCTTCCCATGTGGTTCAGGTCAACCTCGCCTGCGGTGCCTGCGCTCGCTGAAAAAACACAATATACGCCTGCGGATTTTGCAGCCGGTCACCAGGCGACAGCTTGTTCGGATCGACATCGTAGTTCCGCTCGTCGTCAAATTTCCTCCAACACCCCCTGCCCTGGTCCTTGACAAAACTAATATAATGGCCGCCATCTCCACTGTTGCCCAAATGCCTCAACACGCCATACGCGTCGTAGCTGGAGGGTGGCGTAGTCGCCATGTCGACCTGACCGTCCTGATCGGGCATATTCGGTGGACGAGGGATGACAAAGTCGTCCATGGTAAGTCCATAGAGAGGAAATTCAATGGGCGTGTGTATCTTCTTGGCCTTTTCATGCTTCGAGGCGGCAAAACGCTTGAAGTGTATGACCAGAAACTGCGGCAAGCGGGTCAGGATGATCTGCTTCGTGGCTTCACGTTCGCATTTGCAGTAGGGGCACCTCCACAGTTCGGACAATTTTTCCTCCCGACAATAAGAGTTCAAACAGTCGTAGATATGCCCGGTGCCCGATCTGGGGATCTCGATGCTGATGCTGTAAAAGGCTTCGTATGTAGTCGATGTCCGTTTGCACGTCAGGCATCGCAATCTGGAAGCATGCTGCCCTGCAAATAACGACGATAAGAAACTGCGGTCGCGATGCTCGTAGCGCTGCCATTCAATAGGACTAGCGCGCGCGATCTCCATTTTCTCTCTCTGCATCTCTTCTGCAGTCGTCAGTGGTCGTAGCGGCGTACGCTCCCAGTTGACGTTCAAATCTTCGTGCAGACAATCGACCAAGAAGTCAAAGAACTCTTTCGCATCTTGCTGGCGGTCTATAACCCATTCGCGGTTCATTCGACCACAAAAGTTGCGGAATGTGGAAGGTTTGATGACTTCATTGTCCCCCTGCCAGACAGCCTGGATGAGATTGGCGTAAAGCTTGGGCATGATACCGTTGCTGCCTTTCCAGTTGTGCTGAACGTATCCCTCGTATACTCGGTCGTTGAAGAAGGCGGACAGAGGAACTGTTGCAGACAAGCATTGCAAGGTGGAGTTCATGTAACAGGTGACACCAAAATTGGTGAGGCCGGTTCTGGGCAGCCTTCTGCTGCGAACGGAAGTGGCAGATGAGTAGAGGGGTGGGCGGGTGGCCGAGGTAACCCTTGCAAGTGACGGTTGCGGTGCGTTGATGTCGGCTTGACCTGAATAACTCGGTCGAGGGATGGCAGGTGGTGGCCTCATTGGGACCTGTGGTACACTGGGAGCAGCATTAGGCATGTACGCAGCTGGATGGGACGGAAGTGGTCTTCGAGTCGCCGGCATGATCATAGACTCCTGCTGCTTTACTGATGGGAAACGACGCAAGAATGTTTCGTAGTCTGGAACAAATGGCGATGGAGGAGGTGGTTCGTCGTCTGTTGCAGGATACTCCTCGTCGCTAGCGGATTCGTTTCTTTCTGTTGGCGTCACCTCTTCCTCCCTCGCCTGTTGCCGCCAGGCTTCTTGCTCACTTTCATCCAGGAATTTGTGGTCTCGGAGTCGTCTATTACGTACTTCGTATCGTGAATTGGCGGAGACCAGGCGTTGTCGTGCGACGGGCCTACCAGGGCCCACGGCAAGTCTTTGCCGCGTCGTGCCTAATGTGGCAGCCGTCTTTGATCTCGCAAGAGACTGAGATCCCATATAGTCAACCCACGCGTCAATACCACCAGATAATAGTGCAGGTGGCCGTCCGTCCCTGAGGGGTTTCGTGTCATTGAACTCGTAAAGGGTATCATACAGCGCTCTCAATGCCGGGGCCTTGGTCATTGTTGGTGGACCTCTTAGATAAGAAATATCGCTTGTACTCTGGTCATAGTACACGACAATGTCGAATTCGTTTCTCCGCGAAAAATGCGACTGTTCAGTATCCGGTGCTAACACAAGTCGATCCTCCAATTCTTCTGCAGAGACGCCTTCTTTCAGGGAAATAGGTTCAATGCATAATATCGAACTCGACAAGATGTGTCCGTCGTCGAACAGAACCCGTTCTCGGGTGTCGATGAGTAGAACATTATATTTTCTCATGTACTCGAGCAAGGTAGGTGCATCTATCGAAGGTTTGTGAGGCAGCTCGCTAGAACTGCTCTTGACGATCAACGCAGAGTTTACTCCGTTTGGAGTTGTCGGTCTATAGGGGGACGAGAGTTCATCGCGGGTTCTTTGCAGGTGTAGTGAGGTGTTTGATGAGTTTTGCGATTGATTGTAGTAGGTATGCTTTCTTTCGGTAGGTGGCCGTCCGCCCTCCGCAGACAAACGATTGCTATTGCCATGGAAGCCGCCAGGTGTTGTTGTGATTGGGCTATAGGTGGCATCTGGTGGTTTTGGCATTGACATGGATGTCACAAGAGGTACTTTTGGTGGGATTGAAGGTCCATTGCCGGAGTTTGGCATTTGTCGAGGCCCATTCACTCGGGAATTCGGGGAGCCATTGAGCATCGAAGAAGAATGTGGCACATATGATTGCGGTCGGGGAGCGGATCCAGCACCTGGCTGGAAGTCACTCGGCTTGGGCATCGAAATGATGGTTGTATCTTCTTTAGCATTCCCAAATCCCCGCAGACGAGCGAATCGCTGGCTCAGATCGTTAGGAGCTTCGGTAAGTGGCCTTCCCTGCAGTCCTTCGGGCTTGGGCTTGCTGATCGGACGTGCGCGGTCTATCCGCAGAGATTCCGGAAAGTCTGAAGAAGGTCGAGGTACGCCTTGACCCGTTGGGTTGCTATGATCTCCCACCGAGAGAGGTCGGCCTGCTCCTGGCGTCAACGTAGCAGGCACTCCGAAACCAGTAGAATAGACAGGTTTCCTCGACACTGTCCGAGGTTGGGTCCCGTGTCGTGCATTGTTGTCTTCGATCAGGGCTTTGATTTGGGTCATCTGATCATCCATCTCATTCAACCTCCGTCGCGCAGCTCTGTACTTGCTGCTCCAAGACTGGTTGTTATCCCAGAGGCCATAATCCCTATGCTTGGGAATGTGGTTGACAGCGATCTCGAAAGCGCGAAGGTAGTGCTTGTATGCCACGTCCGGCCTCCGGAAGTCGACCGAGTTTTTTGCGGTCGCGATGCATGTTTCGACATCGTTCAGCCACTGCCCCAGCGAGCCGTCCTCTTGGAATGTAGTGGTGGCATCTTGAATGATGTCCTTGATATGCGGAAAGACCCTCTCTGAGCCAGAGCCCGGTTTGGAGTCTTTGTGATCGGTCCAGCTGGACCTGGATGATGGCAATGTGCTGCCTGAAGTGGAAGAGGTCTGGCTCGAGAAAGAGGACGAGGATGCATACGCCGCCATGGGGTCGTCTGCGAAATGTATTATCGAGAGATCATTGCGCACTAGACACGGATCAGCATCTCACAACGTATGAGGTCTCTCCGTTCGAATGTCCGGCGATCTCAAGATCGCGGGGGATGCGCTGGACAGTGACGGTGGCAATCAACGGGATCGCAGGGCCAAGGTGAAATGGGTCTTCAAGCGAAATAGGTTATTGACGGCAAGAATGGATGACAGTAGGAGGATTGGAAAGTACTAGCAGTCGAGTAGATTCCATGTGTGCTTTCAATCACAAGCCAGCCATGCGAAGCGGCAGCGCCACCCCAGAAAGACCTAGAGACCTTCCACTTCCGCCTGCAGCTGCGGCTTACGATGGATGGCTACACAGTAACTTAGTGGCTGAAATGCTGATCCAGTTGCCAGCCTTGCGGGGGAACAAACTGCGGCGAATGACAGACGCCCGTGCCAACTGCGGCATCCCAGCCTGACGCATACTGAGTCTCCAACATGCGGACGGACATGGCAGCATTCAAGTAGTTTTAATTGCTACCACTACGATTTGTCACTCATCACCATACATCAACTGTACAGCAGTTTTTCTGCTCCCTAATCGGACTGAGAACGCTTCTCCTACTTGATCTTCCCGACTTTTATCCAGTACTCAGGGCTACAATCATCCTATAATCTTGGAATCGTTCTACATCTAGTCCACGGCCAATCCAAGCCATGGCCGGATGGTTCACCTCAGGCAATTCTGCTCTCGATGAGCAGATCGAGAAGGCCACATCCTCCAGCTTAGAAGATATCGCCACGAGCCTCGAGATCTCGGACCTCATCCGATCGAAAACAGTGCAGCCTAAAGATGCTATGCGTTCTCTGAAAAGGCGGATAGGCAACAAGAATCCCAACATTCAACTTTCAGCGTTGAAGCTCACAGATACTTGCGTGAAGAATGGAGGATCACATTTCCTGACCGAAATCTCGTCTCGCGAGTTTATGGACAATCTGGTCTCACTACTAAAAGCATATGGTGCTGCCACGGTCAATGAGGACGTAAAGGCCAAAATACTGGAATTGATTCAGACCTGGGCCAGCGCCACACAGGGTCGATACGAGCTATCATACATCAACGAGGTTTACAAGACATTGCAAAGAGAAGGCTTCACTTTCCCACCCAAGGTCGAAATCGCAAGTACTATGCTTGACAGCAGTGCACCGCCTGAATGGTCCGACAGCGACGTCTGCATGCGATGTCGGACAGCGTTTACTTTCACAAATCGCAAGCATCATTGCAGGAATTGTGGCAACGTCTTTGACCAGCAATGCTCCTCCAAATCGATCCCGCTGCCACATCTGGGCATAATGACACCGGTCCGAGTTGATGATGGATGCTATGACAAAGTGACGAAGAAGTCTGGTGGTAGTGGTGGTTCCGAGCGTCGGGTTTCGTTCGCACCGAAACCGACAACGATGCAACCACGCAGTGCACGAGTAGAGGCGAGCAGTTTTGACGAGGATCTTAAAAAAGCTCTAGAGATGAGCTTGGAAGAGGCCAAAGGAATATCAAGTTCAGGCTATGTCCCTCAGTCGCAACCGAAGCCAGAACCGGCAAAGTCCAACGGCGCGTCGGCCGACGAAGAGGAGGATCCAGATCTCAAGGCTGCCATAGCACTGTCTCTCAAGGATGCAGAAGAACAGGCGAAAAAACATGCGGCATCGATTAAGAAGTCCACATCTGACGGAGCGAGCTCTACCCAGCCATTTGTAATGCCCAAGAACGACTACGAACTGTCTATGGTCGAAGCAGAGAACATCAACCTGTTCTCGACGCTAGTTGACCGCTTACAGCACCAGGCCCCAGGCACAATTCTCCGAGAACCACAAATCCAGGAGCTATACGAGAGCATAGGCAAACTCCGACCAAAGCTGGCCCGGACATTAGGCGAGACCATGTCCAAGAACGACGCACTGCTCGATCTACACGCCAAACTGTCGACCGTAGTCCGGTATTACGACCGCATGCTCGAAGAGCGTCTAAGCAATACCTACAACCAGAGAAACCCCGGCTATGCAACATACGGCATGCCATCACCTGGTGTCGCTCCCCAGCAATCAGCCATGTACCCATCAATAGCTGCCGGCCCTCCACCATCCATGAACACCGGCCCTGGTGGCGCAGAGAACTTCTACTTCAGCAACGCGCCCATCGACTCATACGCGGCACCGCCCCCTCACCAAGCGCCATCCATCCCACAACCACAACGCTCATACTCCTTTTCCAGCCAGAAGCAAGATCCGCAACCGTCACAATACCCGTACGCAAACCAGCATCCACCCCAATACAACCAACCGCCATCTCCAACAATGTATCAACACCAACCCGCGGCACCATATCCGTCCCAACCGCCCGCTGACCCGACACCGTCCGCATATCCCCAACTACCACCTCCGGACCCTCAACAAACGCCCATACCGTACGCGCAGATGGCACATATGCCGCCGGACGCCGGGTACCAAGTACCACAGTCACAACAGCCCTATCAACAACAAGCCCAACCTCCGGCTCAGGCCCCTCCGCAGAGCTACCCACCAGCACAAACACAGCAATACTCTCCTCCGCAGCAACAACAACAGCAACCACCGCAGCAGCAGCAGACCGCGCCAGCTTCATACGCGCCCTACCCCACGTACACCCAAGATCAATTCCCTTCCGCGCCTCAGCATGCGCCAGGATACACACAGCAGCAACAACATCAGCCGCAACCCGTCGCTGTGGAGGAGAGTCTGATTGAGCTATGAAAAAAGACAGCATTCTCCTTTGTATGGAAGCGAAAGCGAGTCTTGAATTTTCCGACTTGCTAGCACCAAGTGTATTGGTCTTCCTGAGCAGGAGTTGACACCAGATAGGGTGCATGTCTTTGTGTCACAAGACAATGCGACTGCCGTGCTTATTCTCATTCTCTAGCGCATCATGGCGGTGATCTTTTGCCAGACCTTGTCCAACGGCGCAAATAGCTAGCATCAGTCTTGAGGGATTGCGTCTTTCTGAGCATTGAAACTGGAATAAACCCGGCATGAATTATGATCCATTTGGCCTATCTACGATAGCATTGTTTTCAGGAAGAGGAGATCGGTCAGATCTCGAGATAGTGAATTAGCATCACTGAATAGCCCTTGCAACAGTCACTGCCGTGATTTGACCTGATTTTCCCTCGCTTCATTTACTTAGAAATCCCATGATAACCAATGACTGTCCTTGTACTCATGCTCTATATTCTCCTCCCCAGCCTCGTTCTTTCTCCACACCAATTCGTCCCAGCGGTCGACATGAAAGTGTAGGCGAGACGTTCGAGAGATTCTGCGTGCGACCTCATCCTTTTCCTTGTGGTCAGATCTCGGCTTACTTAGAGGCATTCCAAGTGCCTTGCGCCGACGTGTATCTTCAGTCTCCTGTCGCTCATGACGGGCAAGGCGCTTGGCAACCTCATTTGCCTCTTGGAGGCCCACCAGCTTCCTCTTACCCGGGTACTTGGCCACCAGAGACTCAACGAGACGGTATTTACGCCATTCTCTGTTTCGTCTGGGGTGGTCATCGTCACCATCAATGTCCGTGGTAATGTGGTTTATGATATCGTCCTGATTGTACCTGACACGGTCGCCGACAAACTTGGGTCCCATGTCGATGAGGTCGCGAGAGTAGTTGGCGAATGCCACTTCTAGAGGCACCATACCTGTGGCATTTTCCCAGTGAAGCAACTCCGGTTTGAACTCGACCAGGAACCTCACGATGTCTTTCTGCCCATCTCGAATTAGATTATGAATAAGATAATCCCCACTGGTATCCATTATCTCTAGGTCTCTGCCTAGAGATAGCGATAAGAGTATCTGGAGACTGTCTTGCCAGCCGTTCGGTCCCTCAACCCCCTCGACGAATAGACCTAGGGGAGTCTGGCCCCTATCACGGAAGACAGTTGTGGCAATGCCTTTAGAGCGTTCAAGCAAGAGCGACGTGGCAACATCTTGGTCAAGTATTCGAAGCACAGACCGAAGCAATGCTGGATTCGTGCGGTCAAAGTGGGAAGATCGAAAAATGCTGTGCAGAACATTTCGGCCCGCTTCGTCTTTCGTAGCCTGATTGGCGCCAGCTGCGATTAGCTTTCTCGCAGCATGGTATCGCCTGGCTTCGTAAGCCACCTGCAGAGGAGTCATGCCATGGGCGGAACGATTTTCCAAAGCATGCGGCATCTGATGAAGCAAGTAATCGAGAACTGGCTGAGTCCCGTCCTTGTTCGGTCTTGACAGCACCGCCAAGTGCAACGCAAGTTGATTGCTGGTTGCCAGTCAATCGCCCAGAGATCCTTCAAGACCGCGCTCTGCCTGCATCAATGCCTTGATGCGCTTGTCGTTCTTGCATGAGTCTGCAAATTGCAGGTAGCCACGGAGTGGGGCGTCCGACAAGAAATACTTGGTCGATTGAACATTTCCATGAAGGATTGCTCTCAGTAGGGGAACTCCTATATCATTTCCGACCTTGGTACCACGATAACCTCTGCCGGCATCCGCCCAGTCTTGACGCTTCCTGCTGTGCACGGTGAGTCCTTGATAGTATCTTGGTTTCTCATCCACTGTAGCCTTCGAAGAGTCGACCAACGTCTCAAGGGGCAGCGCAAACCCGGTTGTCTTGATGATCTCATCTATCAACTCGACTCTGCCCAATCTGAGGGCCAGCTCAAAGTCTTCCTTTTCGATGTCGGACACCCTAAGGCTGGTCTCATCCTTTTGAATTACAAGATCGTTCTGAGTCTTGATGAGGAATTTGAGGAGGTGCAGGTCGTTTGTGAAGATCGCGTACCGCATCAAGGATTGTTGGCCGCCGTCGTTGATGTATGCAAGGCATTCTTGAAACCACACCAAAGACGGAACAGACCGACCTTGCGTAAATACCGAATTTTGCGGCTCGGCGTGCCAACCACCAACGAAAGCCAGGCTGGCTTCTCGCTCCTCGATATGCTCGTCAAGAGCGCGGGCACCTTTGCATTTCCATGTTACCATAGTAGGCGGAGATATCTTCGAGGTGCTGCTGGAGGCGACCGCGAGTACATCATTGACTGTGAACGTCTCGTCCACAAGTTGTGCAAGTACGTTGATCTCGGAGTTCCTCTCCAGGCCTTGCTCATTGCCTCGATCAAGGTCACCGTCATTGCTGCCGTCGAGCTGTATGGTGTAATCATATCGCTCGGACTCCTCATCGGGTAGATATTGAATGGTAGCGATCTGGACAACAAGTTTAGCTACCTCAAGATGGCCTCGGAGGACAGAGATAGCATATGGGCTAAAACCCCGAAGGTCCGTGACAGCGACTTGAAGAGGGCGAGAACCGGTCATACACAGCGATTTGACGGTTTCGCCATCACCTATCCATGCCGCCTCGAACAGTCGTAGATACTTTCCTTTCTTGTCTGCATTCAGATCTGCGACTTTGAACGAGATCTTCGTCTGATATGGCACATTTTTCTCGTTGTGCTGCCATTCTTGCTGTCGTAGGCGTCTGTCACGGCCCCCCTCCTTCGTCCTTTGCGGATACAATTCATCGAAGGTCTTTGCACCATTCTCCACAAGCCTCAGTTCCAGGGCCACAAGTTCGGAAAGAGTCTTTCGTACGGCAAATTCTTTCTCGCGGCTGCCTGGTTCCGAATACTTCTTGGGAGATGCAAGCTCTCTCTCGTATTCTTCCACCTGATAGCCGTAGGCCCTTTTAGCTTCGCGCAAGTCATGATATGCTGTCCAATACTGGTATGATTCGGGTTGGTAATCAAGATACTTTTCGTCTTCCTCCAAACCTGTCGGCTTCTCCGGCCGCGCATCGAATGTAGTTTCCAAGTACTGTTCCAGTATCTTGATGTGGTTCCGCACTGCGTCTAAAAAGGATTCCGGCGTGCTCCAGTAAACGTGCACAAAAGATTGAGCTGCTTTGGAGAGAGTATTGACATCCTCGCCCTGGTCGAGAAATTGATTGACCAGACCGACCATTCCCATGTTCAAGGCGACTACCAGTGGTTGTTCGACTTGTCGCTGATAGAGTTTTTGAAAGGCTTCCGGATCATTTGGGATATTGTTGCCACGTCTGTACAGACCATCGGCGAAGGCCTCAAAGTCGATATGAGGTTTTAGACCAGCAGCAAGAAGAATGTTAACTACCTCCATCTTGCGAGTACGAATCGCTGTAATAAGCGGAGATTCGACATCGAGGGTCGGTTCGTGTCCCGATACTGACACAATTCGGCAAGCTTCATAAAAGTCGGTCGCACTTGTGTTCTGGAGGGTCTCCAATATCAATATATTGGCGTTACTAACCGCGTAGTGCAATGCAGAAATGTGGTCCTTGTCAGCTTGAGTGCACGTTGCGCCGTGTTCAAAAAGGGTTTTGACTGTCCTATTGGCTTGTTCTAGTGGAAGTTGGAAGGCCAGGACGATGGACAGAATGGCAGCGCGGGCGTTCCTCCAGCGTGTCTGTGTCCAGAATGGACGTCCGTCGTGAAACGACTCCAAGATCTTGACTGGGAGCTGGATGTCAGCATCATACTTGTTCACGAGGACATCAATGATGTTGCCATGACCACCGAGTATCGCGAGATGAAGAGGGGATAATGGAGCGTCCCAGGCGAGGACATCGACATCGTATACATCTGGGTCGTCTTTGTTCTCGGTCGATGGGTCGGGGTTTGGCTCGATGTCGCCCACTTTCACGAAAGAGCCTTCGGTCATTCTCTCGTGGGCTTCATCTTCGTCAGTCATATCCTCGTCTGCATCGAAGGACTCGCTTTCATCATCTTTCGCATCTTCGGTCTCCATAGCATCAGCTATCACCGCTCTTCGGGCCTCCTTTTGCGCCTCTTCTTTGCTTAGCCTTTCTCTTTCGTTGGCAATACTCTTTTCCAAAAGGTCATCAAGCATTTGCACTTCACCACGATGGGCAGCAATGTGCAGAGCGGTCATACCGTTGTACAACCTGGCAGTGAGCCGAGCACCGTGCTCGATGAGGCATTGCACGATTCCTGAAGTGGAACACATCGCAGCTAGATGCAGAGGCGTCCGACCCGTGTGATCGCGCCGGTTGATGTCGGTTACCATCGGCGAAGAAAACCAATCTCTGACTGCTTCCAGGTCTTGGTCGACGATAGCTTGACACAGTCTGCTACTATGTCCGATGTACGCCATCTCTGTCCAGTCCTCGCGGTGATGGGATTGAAGCTCCCAATTGCTTGCCTTCCAGGGTCGTCCCTGAGGAAGGCGATATCTCCCGAGATATAGCGATGTCCTTCTTCGTCAAGCGCCGCAAAGTCCGCGTCACTATCTGGTTGAGGGCAGAAGCCGCAGCAATCGTGGATGACATCGTTCGTAGAACCAAAAAAGGCCGGATGACGATGCAATATGGTCTTCCTGTCTTTTGGTCTGTTCCATTCGGCGTTCAATAACAGATCTTTCGTGAAGAGCAGTTTCTCAATCTTCTTAGCGTGGTAACGCGGACCATACGGAATGGTGAGGGTATTGTAATTGGAGACTTCCTCGGGTTCCACGAACCATTCGGCAACGTCGTCAGGCTGGACGTCTTTGACATTTCCAGGTAGCTGATGAAAGTTGGCCCGCCAGGGCAGTCGTGGACGACCTCGTTCCTCTCTGAGTTGAGCAAGATATTTGTCCCGGTCATCAGGATGGGGGAGCTTTTCCAAGACCAACAAGCGTGCAAGGCCCTGTACCCTCGAAAAGGATCTTTCGAAGATGGTAGGGTCAATCCGGTCGCGCTCGATTGCTGGCCAATACACTTCAAAGCCGCGATGTGAATACTTGGAGAGTCTGTTCTCATATGGCGGGGATCTTCTGGTGAGGTCAAGGCAGTTTGTCTGCGTCATGAATGCTGCTAGAGCCCGTGGTGATGCCCAGACGTTTTGACCGTCATAAGCAACGCAGGAACAGTCCACATCAAATCCAGTCAACACCTCCGAGATATTCTTATACAAACGGAGAACGATTTGGACATGGCGAGTCGGGTATTGGGACACAATGGTGATGGCATTTTTGGTACGGACTGTGGTTGTTTCGGCTAGTATGCTGTCACGAATGCTCGTTTCGATTTGTTTGATCTTCTCAATAGCGTGCTCCTCATCCAGACCGTACAAGAAGAGGTCGACATCAGAAGCAGGAGCAAGCTCCTCATGATAGTATCTTCGAAGTGCACGCTCTGGTGTGTCAGCACAGTCTGCTCGGAAAGCTTGACTTAGTTACCTTGGATTCATCGTGTGGTGCAACCACGGGAAGCAGACAGGTCGCAACAGCACTTCCAGCAACCACAACATTATTCCAGTCGAGGTCCACGAGGGACGACTCAGAGAAGATGTTGAAGTTTGTTCTGAATTGCTTGGCCGTATTGACTGTTGCGGGAGAGCCGTTGGTCTTTCGGAATGCATCACGGAGAGGGAGCAGGAACATTTCCTTTTCGGCAACCGTCTCACGAGCGAGATCTCTTGCTCGAACAGTAAGCTGTGCAGCATCAAAAACAGAGACCAAGTGATTGATGGTTACAGCAGGATGATTCGGATGCTGCGCATAGACCTCTCTCAGCTTGCTTTCGAAGGCCTTGAAAGGTTGCACCGCGTCGGCCACAGCAGCTTGGGTCTGAGGAAATTTGTTGACACAATCGACAAATTGAGAGGTTGGAACTGGTAAGGGAGGGAGTTCCATGGTGACGGATCGGTATCAGCAAACGTTCTGACAATGGCAGACAGCTGAGTATGTCGACCAAGCCGTCGTAGAATTCAGAACGAAATGGTATCACCAAAGCAAGCCTGTGTTCAAAGCAGTAGGATAAGCGACTAATGAATAGCAGAGTGGGAGATGGGCACTTCGATCATCGTGGATTTCAGACTCTCAGATCGTCCGCAAGAGACAACTTATATCAGGAAACACCGGCGACTTGCTGGGTGGGAAGAAACGACGCGCGACGCATCTGAGCAACAGGCACCTGCAGGAGGTCATAGTTGGGCCTTCCGAATCAAGCGAGCAGCATAGGATTTAGTGACATGAATCTGCTTCAAGTTGCCAGGATTCTCACGATAATGTCTCGATACATAGGCTGAAGTCCAGTCATTAAGGTCTAGTTGCTGCATTGCCGTACCCGAGCTGGAGTTGGGTGCCTAATCTTGCCTAGAGGTCTTTGTCAGTACGCGAGACAGCGCTCCAATAATTCACCGTCTGGTTCAAGAGCAAAACATCTGGTCAGAGATACATCTTGATCTCAGCATTTCATCAGACCAGGTGATGCATCAGTCGAAAGAAATCAAGTGAGACGGAAAAGCGAGAGATGAGATGATGTGGAGGTGGTTGACAAGGAAAGAATGTTGATGGAGAGCGAAACAGCAAGAGAAAGACTTGCGCAGCAGGAGCTCATGCTTCTCTGTACACAGCCGGTACGGGCGAGTATGGTGACCCGTATGCACAACTCTCCACGAATGGCGAGGCTTTGACATTTGGTGGAAATTTTGAGATACATCAGGAAAGCAGCACACGAGCAGTCCAACACCCTCATACGAGGCATCTGACATGATCCTGCTCCTGAGATCGGCAAGGAACACCTGTCAGGCCTCGAAGCTTCCCTTATTCGCACGGGCTCCAGCCAGGATAGCGACTTCCAGATTTTCCACTAAACCGGAGTCATCACTACTCTCAAAAATGGCCAACGACCATATTTTAACGCTATCATGCCCGGACAAACCTGGGATCGTCCACGCCGTGACCGGCATATTCGCAAAGTACAGTCTCAACATTCTTGACCTGCAACAATTCAGTGACCGAGACTCCGAGAAATTCTTCATGAGAGTCCATTTCGGCCCAACCGAAGACACAGCATTCCTACAACCCTCCTTTACCTCTCTGGCCAACGATATCAAGATGGACTACGATTTAAGACCGGTCGCACAAAAGCCCAAAGTGCTAATCATGGTCTCCAAGATCGGACATTGCCTGAACGACCTGCTCTTCCGTCAAAAGACAGGCCAACTCGCCATCGACATCCCAGTCATCGTCTCCAACCATCCAGACTTCGAGCCCCTTGCCAAAAGCTACAACATCGATTTCCACCACCTGCCCGTTAACAAGGACACCAAGGCCGACCAAGAGAACAAGATCCTCGAGCTAATCAAGCAGAATGACATCGAGCTGGTAGTCCTGGCGCGGTACATGCAAGTGCTGTCGCCGAAGCTGTGCGCAGCCATGTCCGGCAAAATCATCAACATCCACCACAGTTTCCTGCCGTCGTTCAAGGGCGCGAAACCCTATCACCAAGCCTATGAGCGCGGCGTCAAGATCATCGGGGCGACCGCACATTTCGTCACGGCCGACCTTGATGAAGGCCCCATCATCGAACAACGCGTGGCTCGCGTCGATCACGCCATGACGCCCAAAGAGCTTGTCGACGAAGGCAGCAATGTCGAAAGTCAAGTCCTCGCCTCGGCCGTCAAATGGTGGTCCGAGCAGAGGGTGTTCCTGAATGGCCACAAGACCGTTGTCTTCAATTGATCTTTGTTATGTGCCATATGAAATCCTTCGATGAGAATGTAGATATACATGTTGGGTATGAGATGGATCTAGACCACAGGATAGACAGAAAATGCCAGGCTATGTCGTAGAACATGTTAGATCAATGGCGGCTGCGACCCTTGAGTATCTGCCCCCTTCACAACTCATCCTTTACAATCCCAGCCGTCTTACCCGTGCCAACGGAATCCTTGACCATCAACGCCATTATATCCACCAGCAAATCACTCGCCGCAACACTCGTGACCTCAGCCACCGTATCATAAGGCGGACTCACCTCAACCACATCGGCGCCCACCAACTTGACCCCCTCAAGCCCCTTGATAAAGCGCTTGACCTCGCGCGTCGTCCAGCCTCCCGACTCCGGCGTGCCCGTAGCAGGCGCAATACTCGGATCCAGCACATCGATATCAATACTGAGGTAAACAGGCGTATCTCCCACAGTTTTTCTCACCCTGCGAATAATCCCATCCATGCCCTCCGGGTCATCAATCTCCTGGGCCTCAATGAGCGTGAACCCAACCACATCCCGATCAATCACATAATCCTGGGGACTGAACAATTTGGTCCTCAGCCCGCCATGCACGCTCGTGCCCTTGGATATACAGCCCTCCCTTGACGCATGCCAGAAGAATGTCCCGTGCGTGATGGCGCTCTGCTCCGACGCGATGCCCGTGTACCCAGCGTACGGATCCCACGTGTCGAGATGAGAATCGAGGTGAATGACACTGATCGGGCCGTAAACTTCCTTCAGACTACGCAAAATAGGCAGCACAATGCTGTGGTCACCACCGAGACTGAGCACGCGAGGATGCGTCCACTGCTCACCCGCCGCAACCGTGGTGTTATGCCACAGTACTTGTCTGTACCCTTGCTCCATCTGCTTGAATGCGTGCTGCGCATCGAACGGCGTGATCGGGATGTCGCCGCAATCCACGATGTTCAGCCCGCCTTCGGTCAGCGGATCGACGCCCCAGACCGTGTTGTAGCTTCGGCCTTTCTTCTCGCGCGAACTCGCGGCACGAATGCCTCGAGGTCCAAATCGTGCGCCTGGTCGATACGATGTCGACGTGTCATATGGGAAGCCCACGATCGCAATGTCTAGAGGCGAAGAGTGTGCCGCAGAGAAACACCGTTGCCATGGTAGATGGGCGAATGTGACGGGTTGAGAAAACGGTAGGTCCTTGTCCAGATCCTCAATCGGGTGCTTGTAATTAGGTCCAACGGGAATAGACGAAAGATCTGGGATGGTATCTGTATGGCCGTGTGCGTGCGCATGAACAGATCCAACCAGAGACAAAAGGCCTGCCAGAGCAAGGCAGAGCTCTCGGATGGTCGTTGTCGACATGATTGTTGATGGTGGAACGGCCTTTCTCACGGCACTTTTGAAAAGTCAAGTCTGCCCTTCCTGAAAATACGACCTACCTTTCTAGCTCGCGGGACTACACCGAGTTCTTATAGTATAACAGATACATGGTTAGCAGCTGGGATCTCCACCCGAATCATGTCCACATGGCGACAGATACGTAGTAAATTGACCATAAGGACACGCAGAAGGCCAAACGTCAACGGACATGTCCTTTCCCCCAGTCAATTTTCACACAGATCTGCCGCTAGAAATGCAGCTGCCATCTCCGTTGTGCTCCACTGGCGGCGCTATTGGGTGCATGATTCCGCACCGATTGCGCCTGCGAGCTATCTCCGGCCAGGCCCTGAATACGACCACGACTAGCTAGATAGGGTCTCCAGAATGCAGGGTTGAAGGTACGAGTAGCACTGGAAGGACAAGTATTTGAAGTCGGTAACAACTGTTCTTCACTCTGTCCGTACTACCAATACAATAAACCAAGTGAGTACGCCTGTATGACTTCCCAATCCATTGGTACTCGTTTTAGGGTATCAAAATTCCAGGTTCAATCCGTGCAGGTATGGCCTGCGATGCAGCAATGCAGCTCCTCGATGCTGCCCAGTCTAAAGCGCCGTCAGTGCTGAGCATCGCTCATCTCCTGTGATCCTCGTGAGACGTCCAAAGCCACTGTCCTCGCATTCTCCATCGTTTTGCCTCGAAAGCCTGTCCTCTCAAAGCTTGGTATTCCTCTCCAATGCGGTTCCTATGCGGATTCACTCGTCCGCATCGCTTTCATCACCATCTGAAAGCGACCCGGAGCCGTCCACGCTCTACGGGATCAACAGATACCCTGTGGCTATGGGGCTTTGTGGACGGGCGAGTGTTAGTAGGTGACTGTTCCAATATCGTCGGCAACCCCTCCGTCCGAACCGTTGGCGCAGGTTGCACATCCGCTGTGGTGTGTTGTGAACTCACTTCTTGGTGGTCTTGATCATGTTCCACTTGTGCACCCTACACACTGACTGCAAGGCATTCAGCCAACACCGATTCAAGTGCCGACGTGTCGTGCGAAGCAGCCCCCTCCCAACCATAGTTGTCACTGCTATCCACATCCATCGCATCCTCCACTTTCTCAACATGTCCGGTAGTGACAGCCTGCGGTGCCCCTGGAGAGGCATGCCACCCCTCGTAATCAAGTCCTGCCGAAGCGTTGGTGATTGCCCAGCCAATTAAGGGTGTCTGATCCCAGGGCAAAGGCCCAACCTGACTTGTGAGCTGCAAATCCGCCATACTAATGAGGTTTCTCGAATACGCTGCCTGAGCTTCGCAAGGCAACAAATCGTCGTCGCGCGTCTTTGAGAGTTTGCCAGCCTTGACCTCCTCCTCTTCTCTGGCAATCTTCTTGTTGTACGCAGATGTCAAGATGCCTCCACTGGCACTGTTCTCGTACCGCGGACCATTCGACCTGACGCGGTCAAAGACCTCGCTAATCATGCCCTTCAGATATGTCTCGGCCGCTATCCCCACATACTCGGCGCACTGAAGCGAGCACCCCGAGGCAACGGCTTCCTCGTAACATATCGGGACAATCCGCGCGTGTATCGTCGACGGGTCTGGAAACTCCAGCGTTTCGGAAAATAGTGGCTGTAGGTACCTCTTGCGGAATTCCAAATCCCAGTTGGTCTTTGTGATTCCCACGGCGGTCGTCGTGCTCGCAGTCTCCGGTGCCTTGATGCGCCCGGCCACGTAATAGTCCTCGTAAGGATTCTTTCTGGCCGCCGCCTCTTCTTCTGCCTTGTCATTCGAGACCGCCTTAAGCCTTCGTCGGTCTCGTGCAGGCAATGCCATCACTTCGGCCTTGAGCCTTTGTTCCCCTGCATCGCTTGTGACGGCCGGTTTCGAGGACGCAGCTAGCGTCGCTTTGTCTGTTGCAGCGCTGACCCATGCCGCCAATCCTGGCTCGGGTGGATCTTTCGTTGTATTGCACAGCACCGCTATGATTAAGGTATTATGCGCATGTTCGGTTTGTGGGGAGGTGTATATGAAGACATCGCAAAGGTCGCCAAACTCGCGTGCATTTAATTCTCCTGTTGCACATCGTTAGATATCGTGTTTCAACATGGGTTGCGTGTTGCGCATACCTCGTATGAACCTCGTCAGCGCATCGTAATATGTGTCCCAGTCATGTCCGATCAACAACTTCAGTTCGGAATACAAAGGTTCGAGGTCGACTCGGGGGTAATTATTCTGCGTCGTCTTTCCCGGCTTGGTCGCTGAACCAGGAGGCCCCTTGATGTTACTCGTAGTCGAGGTCACCGTATCGGAGCGTGCCAGTGCCGCAGGGTTGAACGTCTCTTCGAATGTGGCCATATTGGTGGATTCGGCCTTGTAGGATTCAGGGCGAGCGCCCACGCAGCGCAGGGCAGGTTGATTTCTTGCTCATCCAGGCAACGAGCTTTTCGTGACTGTTTATCGGCCCATGGTCATTCTAGAAATGAAGATGCGAACACGTATGTTTTGTGCGACACGTGGTGATGAGGCTGAAAGGAGTGTGGGGGAACGAGGTTGGAGTGTCGTTTGCCGGATTTGACGTTGAGCACAAACCCAACTTCGAGGGTGTGGTTACTCGTACAACAGAGTTACCTAGGTACGTGAATATCACCACCCCTTGTCCAGCTAATTACTATGATTTATATCTCGGTCACTCTCCCATAATTGCTGGCTTCTACAAGAAAGACAGTGCGAGAGCATGAACAAAGAGTGTGACGCTTGCGGTGGACATACAAAGAGGTCTGTATCAGTAAAGACGTCCGTCGTGTGACCTCCTTTCTCGCCCTCAGCTACACCAGAATCTAGGTATGCTTTGCGCCACTCGAACTTATCAAAGCATCATTAACGGATAGTAACCTAGCCGATAGGATATTTCCGCATGGAATCTACAACTCAAAGCCATCCTGCAGTTCCCAATCATACAAGAAACGCGCTTGCACACTCCGGCCTTTTAGACCTTGAACACCAACAACCACCGTCTCATTTGGCACCAAGTCCACGAAATTGTCCTCAAATGCAGCGTCATCGCCCGGATCAGTAAGCGGCACTGATAGCGTCACTCCCTTGGCTGGCGCGTTGGCACTGATTGACAACCTGTCGCCGGAGTCCGCGACATTGACTGTGATACGCAAGTCTGGAGACATGTGAAGCAGTCTCAGCGGCTCGGGCCAAGAGACCCAGCGCGCAAGTAGTACCGACGTCGTGGTGTCCTCCAGATAGGCAACAACAACAGTCTGGTCAGCATTCGGAATCTCGAGGCTCCCGATCTCTGTGGTCCGATTTGCCGCGAGTGTCAAACTGGGATGGTGCTGGACGTCGCCTGTCAGTGCAACCACAGACCCGGACACGATATCAAACGCCCGGAGCTTGAGCGTTACGTGCACATCCTTGATCATTCCATTAACGGCCCAGATGTCGAGTGAATGCTTCTCTGGCAGGTAACCGGTGGTGATATATGGAGGTTGCTTGGTGACGGTGCGTTCCATGCCGACCACCATGTTGGCCAACGCTCGCTTCGTGATGTAGTATGCAGGTTTGCGATGCAAGTCTACATCCACCAAGGCCCAGCTTGACCCAGGCCAGATGTCATTCAGCTGCCATACCAGCACACCAGCACAATTCTCTTCTCCGGGGCCACGAAATTCCCGCCTCCAGCAGTTATATGCATACTTCATCGCTTCAGCCTGCAGGAACTGGGTGCAGTATACAAAGTCTTGAAATGGATTCATACGAAAGCGAAAGTTTTCGCCGAAGTACATAGGGTAGCGACGCGCATGGCCGGGTCCCTTGTCGTGGATGTCAAAGGTTCGTGATAGAGAGTGCCTTTCAGAAGGGTCGGTGATGGCACGGTGAAGGGTGCGTATGGAGGGGCAAGACTCAAACCCAAATTCGCTGATGAAGCGGGACATGTATTCCTTGTAGTCCTGATATGGAGACAGCTTTCCGTGCCAGACTACAACGTGCCAGAATGGTCAGCTTTCGTTGTCGATAAAGACGGACGGACGGTGATGAAGTTCGACAGATGGTACTTACCATCCCAAACATGAGTATCACCGACCGTACGGTCGTTAGAAAATACTCCTCCGAACGGGCTGCTCTCCCAGTAGGGCACATCACCTCCAAGCTCCTTCACAAGACTCGGTTGCAGCCTCTCGTAAATTTCACGGGCAGGAAAGTCGGTCTGATCCCATGGTCCATCTTTGTCTTTTAAGTCTAGTTGCCAACCCCATCTCTCAGCGAGCATGTAGTCTTCATTGTTTCCGGCCCAGATTGCCAGGCTGGCATGATGGCCCACACGTTGGAGATGCTGCCGATCTTCGACCTCGACGTTGTCCATAAAGTCCTTGGAGGCAGGATAATTCCCGCAAGCAAAGAGAAAATCTTGCCAAACCAAGAGACCTTCCTCATCACAGATGTCGTAGAAATCGTTTGACTCGACTATCCCTCCACCCCATACCCGGATCATGGTCTGGTTGCCGCTCTTGGCCAGCTTCAGCCAGTCGAGGTATCGCTGATGGGTCATGAGTGGAAGCATGAAGTCACCCGGGATCCAGCACGATCCGCCTGCGAAGATGCGGATGTTATTCACCTCGAAGACGAAAGAAGTGCCTTCAGCATTCTTGAGGGGGTGCTGTAGAAGTCGGAGGCGGCGAATGCCGATACTTCGACTTGTAGCATCGCACTCGGCAAGCTTGACGGTGACCACGTAAAGTGGCTGTGCGCCATAGAGGTGAGGATACCAGAGTTGTGGATCAGATAGAGAAACTTTCGTATCAAGCCTTCCCTCGGCCACGTCCACGATGCGGTTCAGGATCTCGGTGCCGGTGGGATCACGCACTTCCACGGTGACTTGCTGGCCGTGGGCGAGATTCTCCACCGTCCCCTTGACAGAAAGCACACAAGTCTTCAAATCTGGCGCAGTCTCTTGACGAATCAAAAGACCGCCGATTCTCTGCTCGAAGGTTTCAAGATATATGGGTTTCCAAGGGCCACAAGTGTTTACTGATGGTCCCCAGTCCCAGCCCTGACCAGGTCAGCCGAAGTCTCCATGTCGATACCTACACGACTAATCATACCCAGTGGTATTGTGCTTTCCGTAGGAACAGTCGCTCTGGACCTCCGAAGTGAACATCTGTGTCATTGCCTTTGTAGCCAATGCGTGCTTTTTCTTCTCTCGCGAATGCAGGGGCGCTTCGGAAGCGGAGCTCCAGAATACTTGTCCCATCCACGCCTCTCAACGAATCAGTCACATCAATTCGATGTCGGACGTGCATGTTCTTGCTGGAAAGAATAATTTTCCCATTGAGATAGACATCGACCACAGTATCAAGGCCTTCAAAGACCAGGACGGCACGAGACTTCGTACTTGCGAAGTCGAGATGAGGCACCTCTGATGTTCGATACGTCCAGTCTGCGTCATTGACCCAGAGACAATTAAGTTCATTGTCGTCTATGTAAGGATCTGGAATAAGCTTGTGGTGCAGGAGGTCAACATGAGCAACAGTAGGAAACTGGGCCACGGGCAGAAAGGAAGAGGCTGTTGATCCGTTCAGAGTGCTGCCTTGCTTGAACTCCCAGCCACGATCGATGGGTATCTTCGTAACTGGTGCCATGTTTGGAATTCCCAGGTTCGACAGTACGAAGCATTAAATTCTCCCGAACGTCCTCCTTTTCGGCGCCATGTGGTGTCATATATGTCCACATGGCATGTTTAGACACATCTGCTTTAGTGGATGGAGTGTCAGTACCGACAACGCAACGCACCTTACCTTGTCAACATCCGTCCCGATGCGGTTGCGCTGCCCAGGAGGTCGACACGTCGAACGCAGTGCCTCATTGAATGTTGCCCAAACATGGCGAACTCTTGCGGATCAACAGCGGGGACGTGACCCCTCTCCCTCGGTTCCCAGCTTCACGAAGACCACAGCCGGTCACGGGGTCGCTTGGGAATTGATTGAGACGTAGACGAGGGTCGCTTCTGACTTCATTGAGACGTAAAGGAATAGGAGAGGATGCGACTCCATACTTGACCGGTCAAGTAGCGTAGTTGGATATGACACGTACTATAAGAAATGTACCTGTCCAGGTAAAAACTTGCCATGTTTCCATCACCGTCGTTATGGCTGGCATCGCGCTTCTTGGCGCCGGTATTTTCGCCACTGATGGTAATCTCGGCACATTCTCCGCAACTTCGTGGCTTTACTGATATCTGCGACAGAGCATCTCCCAGCTCTTGTGTCCAACAAGGCCAACTTGAAGGCCATTTATTCGCGCTCCAAGATCACTGCTGTGACACTTGTAGCAGAGGCGAAGAAGCTCGGTGTGAAAGATGTGGAACTCTACTCGGAGGATACAGCGCACCGCACTCTCGATGATCTGTTGAAGCGCGACGACATCGAGGCGGTGATCATTGTTCTACCAATCCTGGTCCAGCCGGACATCATCCGACGGTGTTTCGCCGCCGGCAAACATGTCTTATCAGAAAAGCCTGTCGCCAAAGACGTGCAAACTGCACGGAAGCTAATCGCCGACTACAAGAGTCAGTATGCCGACAAAGGAACCATCTTCAGCGTGGCAGAACAGTTCCGTTTCATGCCTGAGTTCGAGCTCGGCCGCAAATGGGTAGTCGAGGAGAAAGCAATAGGCGACATTAACCAGCTCCACCTCAAGATCTGGCGCAATCAAGCGCCTGGTGGGAAATACTACGAGAGCGAGTGGAGGAAGGTCCCGGAATACCAAGGCGGCTTCTTGTTGGACGGAGGTGTCCATCAGACCGCAACGTTGAGGTGGATCTCTGGACAAGAGGTTGTTGAGACGCGCGGCTTTGCACGCCAGGTCGTCCCTCACCTTCCTCCTCTCGACACAGTCAACGCTGGGATTTTGCTTAGCGGCGGAGGCACAGGAACGATTTCAATGTCGTTTGCCTCGGCGAAGCGTGCGACCGAGCTCACCATCATTGGAACTAAAGGCAGCTTTTTCCTAACCGATGGACCCGATGGCTATATTCTCACTCTGGACCTCATTTCTGGAGAAAAGAGGACAGAAATCCTCAAGACCAATGGTGTGCAGGTCGAGATCAAGGCGTTCTTAGAAGCTATTCAGTCAGGAACTGCACAGGCTCGATCAGGGCCGGAAGAAGCGTTGAACGACTTGGCAATAATCGAAAGCTTATGCTCCGGCGGTGGAAAGGTCGACTTGTACAAGACATGAAAGTATTCGAAGCATCAAGACTTTCGATGCTCAGCATGATTGCTTATGGTTGCAATGGCCTAGCTTCCTCAGTGGCTCGACCATGGACTGCCAGGAGTCTCCTCCCTGGCCCTTGCCATGGCACCATACAGTTGTCGACGTATGGCAAGTTGGCGCACGAACCCGGAGCTCGTCGTCAGTGAAAATGAGAGAATCAAGCCATTGTAAGAGTGGTTTCAAAGAATTACTCGGCCCGGAAATACTTGTGCACTGACCAATAAGTGTCGAGGCGGCATAAAGTTGCTGGATATATACCTAGCCCACAGCCTTTGCTGGTCTACTGTTTTGCAGTAATCATGTTGTTTGAAGCATGTATCAGTGTCTCCCATCTCTGATCTGCTCTGGTACAGACCACGGCCTTCCTTGTTGGGACACTTACACGATCACCTGATCGGCTAGCAGCGAAATGGGCTGCTTGACGAGGGTGGCTTTGACTTTCCGGGGAATGTGCGGGGTTGACATTCTGGCGAAACGATCTGATCTTGTTTGCGAGGATCATGCGTATATAAATCCCCTACAGCCATGCAGATGAGCAGTGAGACCCAGCAACTGGCTCTCACGCGTCCTCACCACCTTCATATGCTCCACAAGAAGTCACATTGCCATCATGGACGACTATCCAAAAATCGTGGAAAACCCTACCACTGTCCACAATGAGGGCCCTATAGAGGACATCACGCAGAGCCGCATGACAGAATCGCGCATGCAAGCGGCCTTGCTCAGGGAAAACCCTCGCGTCTTTCGAAAGAGTTTTCTGAAGCTGTATGGCTGCCTTTTCGTCGGATACCTATGCTCGGCCACTAACGGTTTCGACTCCAATACTTTTGGTAAGTTGCGCCAAATGCTGAACAATCTATCTCCTAACTATGGCTTTAGGCGGCTTGTCTGCCATTCCGGCGTTCAAAAAGTACTTTGGCATCACCACGAGCAACCAGGGTCTTGTCGCCGCGCTCTACGTTATCGGAAACATCGCCGGGTCATTCTTCGCTGGACCGTGCTCAGACCGCTATGGTCGTCGCGTGGGAATGGCTACAGGGTCCGTCATCTGTATCATTGGTGCCATTCTTCAGACTGCAGGCACAAATCTCTCCATGCTGATGGGTGGCCGCTTCATCCTCGGAATGGGAGCGGTACTCGTTCAGACCGCTGGCCCGAGTTATGTGGTGGAGATGTCTTATCCCAAATATCGGGCGCAGCTTACTGGGGCTTATCAAGCGTTCTTCTTCATGTAAGAAGGACCAAGGTGGTAGATGCAAGAGCTGACTGGTGGACAGGGGCACAATAATCTCGACATGGCTGGAATATGGCCTGAACCATGCCCACACATCTTTGTCCTACCCATGGCGGCTTCCCCTTGCTATCCAGGGCCTTCCCTCAGTTTTCATTCTGTGTTTCATCTCGTTCATCCCCGAAAGTCCTCGATGGTAAGACATTTTTTGTGCCGTGAACCACTAGCGTCACAGACTTACAATCTCAGGTACGTCAGTCAAGGACGACTTGCCGATGCGAAAGCGGTGCTTGTCAAGTACCACGGAGACGGAGACCCAGATGCCTTGGTCGCAAAACTCGAACTACAAGAGATGCAAGAAGTTATTCAGCTGGATGGATCAGACAAGAGATGGTGGGACTTCAGACAGCTCTTCAACACCCGCGAAGCACGATACCGGACCTTCCTGGTCACTTGTATCGCTTGGTTTGGTGAACTGGATTTACCGCCTACGAGTTACTATTTTCCCTTGATGGGTATGTTGGACATCCTGCGTTGGTTGCGGTGGCTGACATGTTGGACAGTCAAGACAGTCGGTATCACCAGCGTTTCTACACAGCTGCTCCTCAACGCTATCCAGACGCCAGTCATGGCAGCTGCAGCATTCTGCGGAATCAACACCATGCACAAATTCGGCAGGCGAAATCTTCTCATGTTTTCTAGCACTGGAATGGCGATCTCCATGGCCATTATCACGGCGTGCACAGCAAGACAAGCCCATCACCCAGCCGTCGGAGGGACAGGCATTGCGTTCCTCTACATCTTTTTGATCTTCTTCGCATTCGCATGGGTATGTCTGCTCCATTCATTGACTAATAGTATACTGATTCTGCTCAGACCCCGATGCAGTCGCTCTATCCTGTCGAGGTTCTCGCATACAATTCGCGAGCAAAGGGCATGGCGTACTTGGCTTTCATGAGCAACGCGGTCAAGGTGATGAACACTTATGTTCCGCCTATTGCTATAGCCAACTCTGGCTGGAAGTACTACTTGCTCTATGTGATCTGGGACGCCTTTGGAGTTGTTGTTATCTACTTCTTCTTCGTCGAGACCCGAGGTTGGAGTTTGGAGGAGATTGAGCAGCTCTTCCGAAGTAAGAACCCTGTCAAGTCGAGCCTGGAGAAGAAAGTCATCAGCGTGGCGTATGATGGCAAGATCACGGATGTCACAGACATCGACGGTGGTCATGCTTGAGGATGGAAGGACAGAACGGTAATTAGTATATGAGCTGGTCTACTTGTATATTGTACAGACCAATGCGGCAAGTTTTCTAACATTGATTCTACTCGCATCTTCAATGCCCTGTGAGGTGCGGCGCACTATCTATCTACCTGGGCGCCGAAGTACATACATATGGACTGCGAGCAACGATGACCCGCACCGAGGAAGCATTGCCAATGTGGTCCCGTGATTGTCCCTCGTACGAAAGCGGAGTTTCTACCACGTGGAGTCGACTCTTCGACCTTCCGTCCTCTCCCTCACTTCACTTAGTAACCGCGGTACACTTCAGCGACATCAGACACCATCAATTTATATTGACTTTGAGATGCGCGCCCGGCCAATTGTTGGTGAGAGACGCTCTAGTGTTGCAGGGGGTTCACTTGTGTGATCGCAAGATCGGAAGATGGCACATCCTGCCCAGGAGATCTACCAGCGCGTCAAGACAGGTGAGTAAGCACTCTGATATTGCCCTCCATTGACTAATATCGCTTCTTCTCTACAGGCTGGTATGTTGAATGTAATGCGCTGGGCATGTGTTACAACTGACGGAAAGAAGCTTTACCTGTCGGAAGCGCCATATCAAGTGTAGGCTTTCAGTGGAAGACGGGCACACGAGACGCAGTGACTAACCGGGAAGAAGGCGACGAGAAAAAGCCCGAATGTCGAAATTGTGAAATCGGCCTGCGGGAGTGTCAATATGACTCTGTCGCAGATACCGCTCTCCAACTCGGCAATGTTGACAGCAAGTTCCGATTCTCAGCGGAACATGTCTGGTTGGAAACCCCGGCAAAGGGTATGTCTTCTGCATCCAATCCGCGCAACGGGTACTGACTCAATCCGTGCTGTAGTGACCTTTGTGCATTCTGTGGATGTTGAATTCAACGACAAGAGTGGCGCCTCAACAGTTTCCACACTGGGACTGGAGGCTTCTGCCATTGCAAGTTCTTGGGAAGGAGTCCAAGAGGGTTGGTAGACCGAGTGTGCTCTGGGACATGACTTCTCTAATCCATACATAAGCAGAGGCCACACCAGCCAGCATGACCGAGATCCTTCAAGATGACAACACGCAGATATTGACCCCTGGGGCGATAGACTTCACATCTCCGCATTCAATCGGAAGCGGCATCAGCACTGAATCTGCTGACCCAGTCAAATCGCTCATGGTGCTGAAAATGTCGAACTCTTCTTTGTACACCCATAGCACGACCATAAGCAATCCTCGTACAGCCCGTCTGTTGCAAAACTACGTCACCAACCTGGCATGTTGGGTGGGTGGCTATTGCCAAACAAAATTTCGCACAAGTGGTCTGACTGTGACCAGCTCGACGTCAACGACCCTCAACGCCAGTTCGAGACATTCGTCCCGTATCTTGCGTTGAGCTGTCCGATCCTCCTGCATGCCATACTAGCATTCTCGGCGTGTCATCTGAGTCGGCTCGACGGGTCATGCGACAATCCCATCGCTGAGGACTACCACGACCTGTGTGTCCAGCGCCTGATAGCTGCGCTGGCAGACCCTTCTACCACTCTTGACAATGTGCTGCCTATATCTACGGTTGTGCTGCGCATGTACGAGATGATGATCTACGACACCGACCATCAGCGACATCTGCGCGGCTGCTCTGCGCTCTTCCAACACAATCGCAGAAATATTGGCTATCGAGCCTTGAAACGGACTGCATTCTGGACATATTTCAGAGAGGAGATCATGGTTGCGCTTTCCACGCGAAAACCAACCACGATACGCCCAAGCAACTGGAAGATCGATATTACTTGGTCGGGAGACACTGATTTTGTGAAAACAGAGAAGATGACAATGCTTACGGCCGAGATCGTTGACCATTGCTTTAGCGAGGATGTTGAAGGCAACCCCGACTATGTCAGACGTTGGGATGAACTTCAAAGCGAAACTGATGCGTGGAAAGAATCCTTACCTGAGACATTCAATCCTCTGTACGTTGTCGAGGGTCATAGACCATTCCCTGAGATGACTTACGCATGCACCTGGCACAGTGAGTTGATCTGTCTCTCCATGAATTCTTGACGGCGCTGAACAAATCTGAAGTGATTGCGATGCAATTCTATCATCTCGTCAAAGTACTTCTTGCCTTTCATAATCCACATCGTCCCGGTGGGATGGAAATCTTACAGTTTCTCAGAAACATTGAGGTGGGCTAGTTCTGAGATTGGATTGATCAGTGTTGCCCTGTTAAATGTGCGCAGGCTGAAACAAGAAGCCATACGCTGCCGTTATGTGGTATGATCCAAACCCTTGACGACCGATATCCGGGTGCTTTGGTGAATGCCGTACAGCCTCTCATGATATGTGAGGTTTGATGATACACCCAACTACCCAGTCCACTGACATTGCAAAGGTGGACAGAGCTTGAAAACACCTGAAGAGCAGGAAGAACTCGTTCGGATATTGGAGCGAATCGAACGGGTCACAACGCTATCCACCTCGCAAGGCGTACAGTCTCTGCGAGGGGCATGGGGATCAAGAACATAAGTATAAGTCAGGATCGTTTAGAGCGCATCATATGTGGCTCGTGACGCTGCTACCTAACAAGGCTGCATCACATCACTCGCACCAAAAAGAAAGGGGAAGCCACTTGTGAGAAGATCATACTTGTCGCGTCAGCCTCGTGAACATTCAATCATCTAGCTTGGTGGCCGTCAGTCGTAGCCCGTCGAGCACCATGTCTAAGCTATCTTGACTTTCCACTTTTTCACCGTAGCATCCGCACCAGTGCTGTAAACCGTGTCTCCCAACCAGACAACGCCATTGACGCCTTCCTTGTGTGCATTCGTCTCCTTGACTCTCTTTCCAGGTTCTTTGAGACTCCACGCAAACAGATTGGTATCCAGACTGCCCGAGACGGCGCCAGTACCTTCTGGATTCCACGCAATAGAGGTGATCTTGGCTGTATGTGCGCTCCATCGATCCGTGACTAAGTCCAAGGACGAAGATCCTGTGAGCAGGCCAGTTACGCCCGTGCTGATCTTGTAGACGTAAATCTTACCGGCCGCAGTGCCAACTGCGACCATCGATCCGTCATGAGAGAAAGATATGGCGGTCAAGGGCGTGGCGGAGACTTGCTCGACCACTGCAGTTTGTTTCGGTGCTTTTCCTGGCGTCACGGAGAACAGCCTCAGACTGGAATCCTGCGAGCCGATTGCGACTGTGCTGCCAGTGGACGCCAACGATGTTGGGGTTGATTTTAAGGGTAGTTCGCCGTCCTCTTCGCCGTCGCTGTAGACGATGACGCTCTCTAGTTGAGCGACCACGAGGAGGCCGTCCGACGTGCACGTCAGTGCTTTTGGTTGTGATGACAATATCGTAGGTTTGCCGGTGAATGTCTTTGCTCCGGCGTCAACCGTTCTCAACGAGTCGTCCCAGCCGACGGAGTAGACTTGGGGATGCTTGCTTGCAGAAGTCGTTGCGAGTCCTGAAATGATATTGGTGTGTCCATCGCCCTCGATGGTGTCGGCGATTCCGGTCGCGACGTCCCACACGCACACTCGACCTTCGGAACTGCCTGTCCACAGCGTTGCACTTTCGGTATCAGCCCTTCCAGGCAGGGAGGTGAGTGCAGTAACGTTCTTCTGATGGCCTGAAATGATTTTGGTCGGTTTGCTGGAATTCGTGTGCAAGTAGTTGAGGTCTCCACTGAGGGACAACGAGATGATCAGACCGTCCGACCTGCCTGCAGGCCAGACAACGCCGACTTGCTGGTCTGACACGGCAGCAACGTCACCGAAGGACCACCTATGCGTGACCTTGCCGGCTTCGACGTCCCATGTCTTCACGGTCCGATCGGCTGAGCATGTCACGAAACTCTGCGAGTCCTTGGACCAAGATACCCCGAAAATGCTGCCTTGGTGGCCTTCTGCGCTGTCCGCGATCTCCGTCTTGGGTTCTCCTGTCTTGCCGTCGTAGAGGTATATCTTCCTGTCGCCGCCCACGCTGAGCAGGTGACTTCCATCTGGAGAGAAAGCCACGCCGTATATGAAGTTGCTATGGCTACCTCGACCGGGAATACCATTGAATTTGAAGGGTGCTCCATGATAGAACACGAGACTCTTGTCATCTCCTGCCGTTGCCGCTCTCAGTGGTCTTTGCTGTCTTATACTGACTGCTTGGACTTGTGCAGAGTGTCCGCTTATTTCACCCACTGTGTTGCCTGAATCCGCTGTGACACAGTGCCCGTAGCGTTGTTTCCCGTCGCCCACCGCGATGATACGCTGGCTGTCACCGTCCCATGCAATGTCGTTTATTCGCCCAGATATGATGGGATATTCTCCCTTTGTTACTCCTGATCCGTTTGCTGAGCAGTCCCAGACCTTGACAATGCCCGAGGCGTCGCCGGACGCGCAGTAGAAGCCGGAAGGCGCAAATCTTGCGACTGTGGTTGCAGCTGTGTGTTGTGTGTATTGGCTCGATATGGCTGGGTTATCGATCGACCGTATGAATATTGATTTGTTGGATGCGTAGGCTATGCGTTCGCCTTTGGAATCAGCAGACAGGGGGGTGGGCTGTCCTCTGGTGGTGGTGGGTAGAGCAGCATATATGCCATCTGTAGTAAAGTGAGCTTTAGGTCACGACTTAGAAATGTGGTACCGACCTGCTGTTATCGACATCTTCTCGCATAGGGAGAGTGTCGTTAGTGCAGGCTAAAAGGACAGTCTGGCCGGGTTTGTGTAGAACAATGTCAATGAAGTTCGCACGTGGAACCCAGCGTGTCTGAACTCCGCTGCTGACGAGGCTGCGTCACATCAACTCTTCGTGGGGGCCTTAGCAACCATACGGTAATAACATTGCTGCCTACAGGAGTTACGTGGTGGTCTATTGTAGCATGGCTACCTAAGTCCAGCCAAAAGTGATCTAAGTGATCTTGTCTGCACCTTCCACCAGGGCTGCCATGAGCAGGCAAGCCCATTGTATCCTCGTAGTGGTCACGAAGACCTTCAACACCTGTAGTCTTACAATTGTTCAAGAGAGCCACATCAATGCTCTCTCAGAGCACGCAAATATCTGCGAGCATGATTGCCATTGACCATCCTAGGCCTGCGCTGCCAACACCTTCCCTTCGGACCAGGGTCGCAGTATCAGCGCGGAGGGGCTGCAGTCGGGGTCTCTCGTGGCAGTTCTGTCATGATTATCGCTTTGAAGCACTCGACGGTGCTCTGATGTGTCCGACACTCTCCTGCCAGGCGGCCCTTATGTTGTCGTTCAATGTCCAAGTCCTCTTTATCATCTGTATCCCAGCTTTTGGAGTTCCGAATCTTTCTTGAGAATCTCCGGATGTTTGTGTACACTGGGCATAAGACCGAGTGCGATCGCTCTTCGGATCGCCTTTGAGATTTTCCTTTGGTTGACAGGCCGTAGACCAGTAGATTTGGAATGTCGGATACGTCCCATTTCGGTCATATATTCGGACATGATTGAAAAGTTCTGATCAGACGTTAACGAATGGTTGCCAAGTCAGAGGGACGCTATGCACCAACCTTATACAGAGAGAGGGGATTAATAGATAGCGCATCGAAGGGATCTGTCGTAGGTCGATGTCGCTTTTTCCATTTGCGAGCTTCGGCACCACTCAAATCATGAGGCGCATAAACATCGCCTGCTCTCCAATTCCGCGACAAATTCCGTGACAGCGCAAATCTCTCCTCCTCCTTTTGAGTTTCGTTTCTCACCCTTTCGAGGTGCGTGCTAGCAGCTGCTGTTCGCTTGAACGTCTCTGGGTACAGTCAGCCGGCACTTGACAGCAGTACAAATGACTGAGTACATACGGGTGAGGGATGAAGCCTGCGCCGTCGCGTTTGCCCTAGATAGCTGCAGGCCCAGGCGAGAACCGAGCTTGTACGACATGAGGACCATCCCTCGCAAAGGGTGCAGTGCCTGATTACTCCGTGTACGGAAGGTAATTGCAACAATGGTGATAATGCAAGGCCAACTCGAAAAGATGTCGCATCTCGCTAAGCAAGAATTGTCAAGGAGTCTCTCGGATGCTGCCGAGGTGAGGCCGGCGACAGGCCCCTAGGCCTGTTTAATGCACCTTACTAAGCGTTAATTGCATCCTTGATTGACGTTGCTGAGACCGTGCTTCTTCATCCTACGGTTTCAGGGTTTTCAAGTTTCTGTATGCTGGGTGAGTACGAGAGGCTCCTTCAATGGAAATTCGCTGCCTGTCGGATAGATTCCAATACGCATGATGGACATTTGTGGTATTAATCAAGTGTAGGGAAGTCTCGATATACGAAGAGAACAACTATTTCTACCATCATACCCTTTGGTTGGCTGGCTCTTCCATCTCATAACCTTCCTTCCCGTGGTCAACAATCTTGGCTCGACATATATACTGGATGCCGAATACTCCCAGCCAGTAATTACCCTGAGGGTAGTCGGGTGCAATCTGATATAACAGATCGCTTTCCCAACTGATGTTGTTGTACACGTTCATGATGCAAACGACTATACTCAGGATCCAGACAACCAGCCAAATGATCCAGTATGCTGGACTCGAAGCTTTGGAACGAAAGCGATATGCGACAGCCCAGGTAACCATGCCAATAAGTGCAATAGGCTTGGCCAGTCAGTAAGCGCGATAAGATGGGATACTGCAATACTCACAGCACAGAGTCTTTCGAATCTACAGGCGAGATTGAGATAGGCTCTCCGATCCGCAACCGTGTTGCGCGGTGCCGTCGCCATCAACCAGCACGTCTGGATGAAAGCCATGCTGCTACACATCAGCCATCCGGAATGCCTCGGGATCGTTGCAGCGTCTTACCTGTACATGGCGAGAAATGGCGTGACTGTGGCGATAAAATAATGACTTTGTCCTCCATAGAGCGATCCCAGACACGCAGACGTTATCGCCAGGGCCCATGCCGGGATGGCGAAGAGGTAAAAAACCAGGTACTCTTGGTTCCTTCGGAGCGGACCTCCGGTTTTGAAAGGTAAGGCTGTTGGTTCATCCTCGCCTGCGTACTCAATGGGTGGCGCCATGATAGAATTGAGAACGATATTGTGATTTTGGATGCGCTTCCGTCCAGAAGATTAAAGAAGGAGACGTGAAAGTGATACAGAGATGAGGTTACAACGGGAGAAGAATCAAACAAGGAAAGCGCCGGCTAAGGCAGGTTAGTAAGCCTACTAAGCACCTGAAACTTGGTGGACAGGAAATTGTTTGCAGCGTTTGTCCAGCCCCCAGCCTGACCAGCCTCCTCCACTCACGCAAGGCTGCCAATAGTGCCTAAATAAATTGCCCGCAACAGTCGGGGCGATCATCCGCACGGGCATCCGTGGCCCGGGCTTTTGAGGAGAAAACATGCAGAGGGATCATGTCAATAATGTGGTCAAGCTCTTTGATCGTTGGAAGCTAGGAGCTGCATGGAGAGAAGCAGCTTTGGGCGGTCAGTCGACGGGCATCTCAGTTCTGGGTGATCTGCAAACGAATGCACGAAGCTGACCTCATATTTGCTCGAATTGCAGGGCGACATAAGTGGGAAGTGGAGTGCATTGGACATTCAATCCCGAACCCCCATCGATCATGCCAGACTCAACTTCACTTGGAAATTCTCCCCTGATGTTCCGACCACACGTTCCGGATGCCATCACCAGTCAGGCAGCGGAAGGAAACCCGAAAGTTGATATACACAATCAAGCTGTCAACCAACATCCACCTTTCGAAGATGGCGTGAGGCTGACCGAAACATTTGCGATGTGATGTCATTGTGTTTCCAACGGTTTCTGTAAGGCAGGTCATCTTCAACATCTCTTCGACTTTTTCATTTCTCTACTACGACAATCACGCACTCGGAGTGGTCCGGATACACAAGAGCGGCAATCCTTCAAGCGAGTACCTCACCTGACCACAATAGCGTCAAGAAATCATGCAACTATAGTATAATCCTCTACGGAAAGTCACAGCCTAATAATTAGCTGGACCCTGTCCCTTGCGAGCCTTGCGCGATATCTATTTGCCCATCTATGTCTCTTGCGCCCAATACGGTATACTGACTTGCAGGGAATCCGAAAATCCCGTACGCCCAGACGCGGGACCAGGCTCCCGCGGAACAACGGGTTGGAACGTTGTCAATTTTTCCCTTAGGCAGCATGCTTGTCGCAACATCACTGGCGCTGTCCTTTGGCACATGCTATTCCTCAGAGCTTGTGTGGTTTGTCAATTTGCAAACGGCCGGAAAGCCTTGACTTCACGGATGCGCCGGGGTACATTCTGTCAACAAGTCAAGATGCTCCAGTGGGCCGATGACAGCTTCTGACAACATGTCGCCGACTAGGGGGTGGAACATGCTTCCCAACGAGAACACGGTGCGCTGGTAAGGTCAGATTAGTCACATGTTGGTTGATGATCTTCGTCTTGCATTGATCACGGCTTCATGTTACCGGCCGGCTGAACGTCTAGTGACGCAGATGTCTGTTTGCATCAATTCGACAGGCTTCTCTCACGCTAAATGCAATGAGCGTACGGCCTGCTGACCTTCTATAAAGATGCACGACATATCCCGCCCACCTGTGTGTTTCTGAATTAATCAAACTACAATCCATCTTTTCCTCTCTTTCGCACTAAAGCGGTGTGCCCAACAGGAGATCGATCGTCCCGATCCTACAAGCTTCATTTAGTTCCCCAGTGACTATCTCTACAGTCAGAAATCAGCCACCATGCCTAACGACGCGCTCCAAAGCAACCCGTTCGTGGTGAACGGCAAGACCGTCGCCATCCACATCACAACCCGTGGATCAGACTGGTACTGGGCTGTCATGGCTATCATGGGCGCAACCATGCTTGGGATCCTTGCCGCCAGTGTCCTAAAGCCCGCCAGAAACCGGCTCCTCTTCTACATCTTCGCTCTCATCACTTTCGTCGCGACACTCGAGTCCTTCAGCATTGCATCCAACCTGGGCTGGACACCTATCAACGCGGAATGGCATCGAACCGATGCTAAGGTCGCTGGCGTCAACCGCCAGATCTGGTATGTCCGATACATCGGCTGGTAAGTTTTATCGCATCGCACTGCAAGATGTCCACGGACGAAATTAACATGCGACAGGTTTCTCACTTGGCCTCTTATCACCACAACAATCCTCTTGACGACTTATACCCCGACTCTCTATATCCTGTGGACCGGCTTCTTCGCCGCGGCTATGGCTGTTCTCGCCCTCGTCGGTGCTCTAGTCCATTCAGACTACAAGTGGGGTAAGTGACTTTTGCCGCTTCGACCCTAATACTTGCAATTCGCTTTGCTAACCACCATACCCTAGGCTACTACGCATTTTGGCTTTTCTCCTGGCTTCTGGTTGGCTACCACCTCGTCTGGCTCCCAAGAGCATATGCTCGCAACCTTGGCGTCGATGTCCTCCGCGCCCACACCTCCATCTCCGCCTGGGTTTGGTTCCTCCTCGGTCTCTACCCCATCTGCTGGGGTGTTTCTGAGGGTGGCAATGTCATTGCCCCTGACTCCGAGCTGGTATTCTACGGTGTTCTCGACATCCTTCTCATGCCCGTAACGTTCGGTTACTTCCTTTTTGTCCACTGGAACATCGATCCCGCCAGGTTGGGTCTCAGCCTCAGAACATATGAGGATCCTCTTCCTGGGGGTCTGGCTCACCATGAGAAATCAGCTCCAGGAGCTACCAACGGTACTATTCCTACTGATCCCATCGCCGCTCGCCCTGATGCCGCCACAGTTTAAGCTGGCGACTGGCATGCTACTACGACTCATCAGACGCCGGCCAAGTAACGAGCGCCTGCGCGAGCGCTTAACGGGCCTAGCGAGAGGAATAACTCCAATGCGACGGCAACATGATACCACTTGTGGTGCTGCATGACAGCCCATACGCATGAATTGGAGGAAAATGAGAGACTGGAATTCTTTCTTTGCGTATCTGATTTCTGATACCCCGCTCGTTTAGATCATATTGATAGTGATATACCTAATAGTAATAATGACAGTCAGAATAATTTCCACACCACCGCTACGAAGCTGTTCTTATGAGGTTCAATTGTTGAGCAGAGCTGTCTTGATTGTTTCTCCATACAACACTGACGATGCAATTGTCAAAGTTCTTGTCAATTTGTCTGCCATAGCTAAGCCGACCTCTCCTAGAATACATAACCAGATGGCTCGCTAATCGAGCCGGGTATCACTGAACATTCGCAATTGCTCCTCCCGATACAAACAACCCCGAGTTTTTCCAAACCACTTCAACAGACTAACCTGCTAATGAAATTGAGTCTGACCCTCTACAGGAGGCACCACAACGCCCCGGATCTGAAACAGAGGACTGATCTAGTTCGTTGGCCAGCATCATCCGGAGCTCCATCTACAACGCTGGCACAATATCCTGAGGGCTGGTTGGCTTGACGAGGTGAAAACAAAAGGTGAGAATAGAGTCATTGGGGACAAGCATGTCAATCTCACTTGTTCCGCTTAATTCCAATTGGGCGCAAATCAAAGTCGAATTCTCCGAGAGTAAAGGAAGTGATAAGCCCTGGTTAGGTAAGATGCGCATATCATGACGATCCCCAAACATATTGCGTTAGCCTGTCCGTTTGAGGGGTTGACGCTGGATTGCGCTGAGCATTTTATACAACTTCCTTTGCTGTTTTGGTCTCGTGCAGAATCGTCGTTTTGGTCTTGTGACATCGCGAGACATCGCGAGACAGCGCCATCGTAGGTCAAGCGTGATGAGTCGCTTCCTCACCCGCGCCCTCGTCTACGGCAAGAACCCCCCTTTCGTCCTCAAGCAGATCCCAAGTCGACGCTCGTTTCACCCAGAACCGCGCTACTTTCAGAGCAGTCCTCACGGCACTCACCGCTTCATTTACAGATGGACAATCCAGGCCATCGCGACGCCTTTCGCCGTTGCATACTTCTGTGACAAGATTGCGGACAGAAGCGACGGCGATAGTGGGTTCAAGCTCACTTTGCCGGATATCGATACCGGGCTGTTGACGGAACCGATCAGAATGAAGACCCAGGTTTGGGGGCAAATGTGAGAGAATGAAACAAGCTTCGCGGGGCGGCGGATGTGATCTTGCCATCATGGATATTGAAATGTCATAGTGGTGTCGCACCGACCAGTGTGGGATGCATCTGCTTGATAAAGCTGCGGGGTATCCTCGGTAGAAGAGGTCAAGAGTCGAACAGTCAGAAGGTCTTCATCGATCTGACATTGTATCTGACCATGAGTGGGAGATGGAGCTGTCTACCTGATTGCGGACTCCGAAGTCAAGCTCGGATGTCTTCGAATGCCAGTATGCATGGCAAGAGGCACCATATAAATGCCATTATATCGATCTCTAAGATGGAGAAAAACAATGCAGAAGAGCTGACTCAATACAACTTCTCAAACCCCTTTCTTTGTCGACGCTCGACCGGGTCGTTAACATCAAAGTAGCGTGCAGTTGCCAGCTGAAGTCATTGAGGCCCCTTCCTTTCTGATTGACCGTCGCAGTTGCAAGGTATCAATAAGGCAGTAGCCTTCGTCCTCTGAACTGCAACAAGATTCAAGATGGCAAAGCTGGTGCAAAGACATCCATCACTGAGGAGTGGAATTTGACAAGGCTGAAACTACATCGGAACTGGAGCATTATTTGTCCGGATGTCGGTAGTGACCTCCGCAGTTGAACTCAATGCCATCACGATTTCTCCGTGTTACGAGCATCAGACCACAAATTGCCCAGTATTGTCGGGGGCGACTACCATTCCTTTCTGTCCTTTAACATGCTAGTCCTAATATCAAACCCTCTCTGAGCACCTCTGGACACATTTCCGACCCAGTATCGCCATGAGATCCTCCAATCTGACCCGCAGTGTGTTCCGAGCACTCATCGCCAACAGACCATTCACCATTCGGGACTGTCCAAGACGGGCCGTCCAGAGACCTCGAATTCGAGTCCTCGCAACTACCTACAATGCACATCAGAAACGTACCTTCCTTGGATTGAACGTTGCAGGCGGTCAGTCCAGTCTGCAAGGTGCAAAAGTCACGCCTGCGAATCTTGAAGTTGCACTTGGGCGGCTCGTGGACTTGGTCAGAGCAAGAAGGAGCAACTCCAGGCTACCAGAGGATGCCCAGGCCGCCGATGCCTTTAGGTTTCTTTTCGCTTCGAGGGTGGAATCGCCCCGGACGTTGACGAGGAACGAGACCTTTCTTGCCATGGAGACATTCAAACATCTACAGGAGCGTGGACATGTCCTGTCTGGTGACGAAACGACGGGCTTATCAGAGGAAGATCTACACAATGTGTTGTTGGCATTAGCATCGTCGACAGGAAGAGACAGGTATCGAAGTGATGCGAGGATTCTGGCAACTCTCGTCTTTGAGGCACTTAAAGGTCGTTCAGCCGCAGTCGAAGACTTGCACTTGACCCCGGAACCAACCCACAATGTAGTGAGAGGCTCGCTGTTGGTGACCTATATCACTGTCTTGTCGAAAACAGGCTCCGCCATCGAAGCCTTGGAGCTTTTGCGACAATCCTCACAAAGCATTGAACGGGAAAGTCTTCCCATGTGGACTGCAGTGCTTAGGGGCTTAGCCAATGAAGGACGAATGCAGGACTTCTGGAAGGTTGTCCAAGAAGTGCAGAAAGAGCTTGGACCCTTTGATGCCATCTCACAAGAGACGCTGGTTACCTACTTCGCTGAGCATGGAGAAATGCACACCTTGCAAAAGCTCTTTGACATACCACTTGAAGAGGGCCAGGTTCCAACGACTACTTCGCTCGTCAAAGCTGTAGACTGTGCAATGCAAGAAGGAGAGACAGAGTGGGCATCACACCTTGTCCGCCGACTAGAGGAACGTACCGACTCTGGAGATATGGCTGGAACGCTACTTTTGTGGTACGCTCTGCATGATCCCGACGTGAGCCACATCCGACAAAACCTGGAGCAAATGGCGAAGTCAGGGGTCACAGATGCACTTACCATGAAGACTCTCAACCGATTGATCGATTACGCTTACTCACAAAATCAGCCCGATACTGCTGTCCAGTATATGCGCCTAGCTGAAAGTCTCGGGTTGAGGCCCGACGCAAAGACATTGTCTCTGAAGTTGCATCACGAGCTCAACCGAGGTGATCGCGACGCCGTTTTTCAGACTTACGAAGCTCTAATCCGGGAGGACATCCCGACGGATCGAAGCGAGGTTCCCGTTCTCAACAAATATATTGCTTCATTGGCCTTTTCGGCAAATCCTGAGTACTCGCATCTAATGCAGGTTGTCGACCACGTTCTGGATACTGGAGCGGATCTTGAAGCAGAATCGATCGCCGGTCTGTGCCATGTCTTTCTCCAAGTGGACGAGTTGGAGGAGGCAATGGGACTTCTGCGCCATCGCGTGGACTCGTTTCCGATGGATGATCGAGCACGCATTGCTGCAGTGTTTCGACAATTTGTCGAAGATCCCACCGTCAAAGACCAGCGTGCATTCAACGCTTATGAGTTGCTCCGTCATGCATTTCCCGAGATAGGAGTCGAAGACCGCATTCCCTTGATGCAGTCATTCTTTGATCGCGGACGTTCGGACCTAGCATGCCTTGTCTTCGGTCACATGCGTCAGCGAGAGGACCCCGAGGCCCGCCCTACTCCGCAAGCCTATGGAAAATGTTTCGAAGGTATCGCCAAATGTAAAGACATTGACGGCCTTCAGATGATATACAACATGCTCAAGCTCGACCTTGAAGTTGAACAGACTACTCGTATACACAATGGCTTGATGGCTGCTTATACGGAGTGCCAGCAGCCCTTTATTGCCATAATCGACCACTTCTGGAAAATCATGAGCTCGCGCGAAGGTCCGACGCTAAGTTCATTTGCTCTTGCTCTTCGCGCATCTGAAAAGTGGGTGCCGCATGGCGGACACGAAGCCAGACATATCATGGCATTGATGCAGAGCTTCAACCTCATCATCACGAAAGAAATCTATGACTGCTACATTGGTGCTCTGGCTGGCCAATCCGAGTTTGAAAATGTTGTCGAATTGATCGAGAAGATGGAAGAAGACATAGGCGAGCCGCCTGATGTCATGACGATCGGGACTTTCTATAACGCTATACCTTGGCAATATCGCAAAGACGAAGTCGAGGCTTGGGCTAAGAGTGCCTATCCCGAGCTTTGGTCGGAGTTGGAGTCGTTCGGTGATGAGATCGACGAGGAGTGGGAAATCAGGTATTTCAAGATTGACAGGTCAATTGATATGGATGATGACCTGCTCTTCGGCCCAGGCGAGTATCATCCCGTGCTCGCTCAAGAGCGCCAAACAACGCTGGAGGCGCCTAAAGTGTAAGGATCCAACCTTGGTTTGTGCCCTGCTGGACATAGCGAAAGCAATGACACATTCTTCAATTGAAATCCTTTTGCAGGCTGTGCACATGCTTACGAAGACATGGCATGGTCGAATGCTGCTTTGCAGGCTCTGGCATTGGAGTCAGCTCAGACTTGTGCTCCAAGATTGCCCCATGCGTGTCGACCGATACTATTCGTGAAAGCGATACTTCAAAGAATCCCCTCTCCATTATCCCGTCTCCCCCAGGCAGGTTTTAGGAGTACTTGAGTGCTGGCACAGTCACCTCACATATTCCCACACCACAAGACCATGAAATCGACCCGAAACGGCACTTTATAGTCGTCAAATTTACAAAAGGTACCACGACAAAAGTCCCATGGGAGCCACGTGATAACAAGCGCCACCATTGATGACCACGAAAAGGCAACCACTACCCATGTCCTTGCGCTGGCTGCTGCAGTAAGCAGACTGCACTGGTCAACAACCCATGACGTGGTAGATGAACCACAACTAAAGAAAGTAAGCTGGCCATTTTGGTAACATTGACCTTACTGCTGCCGTTCTCAACTCGCCAACGCATGGTTCATGTGAATTGCGATGGTTGCTTCTGAAACATATTTTTCATCATCTTCTCACACGGCCGCCACCTACACGAGCCCTTCCGACCCATATCGAGCATCTGCTCGATCCACAGCAGTGCGTAGCGTTCACATTAAGACCCATTTGGGAATCTTACCAACTTCATTCCTGTGGCTACGCTTGTGGCAACAGCAAGACATTTCTTCAGAGGGGAGCCAAGTTCAGTCAGCACGCCACGTCCTCCCCCGCAAGAGCTTCTAAGACCGACCCAACCGGGACATTTCAGAGATCTGTCAACGTTTATGGTCAGCACCGATACAACAAATCGAGAAGACCCTCAGTTCTTGCTGAACGACCTTCCGTGGGAGCTCGGGCATGATGCGGATCTAGCACCTGGCGCGATTATCTGGATAAGGGACGCGTCGGCTTTCACTAGAATCTGCAACCGTGTCCTGCTCGTGCTGCGAGAGAAACCTCAATCTTCCGTAACTTGTCTATCGTTCTGTTGGCACGCGGAGCTTCGGACACGGGAACAACAGACACGTGTCCCTGTAATCGCCGCGGACGCGCGACACTCTCCGACGCAGTCTACGGGGACATCACCTCCATCGACTCGCACATCATCTCCAGCAACACGCCAATCGTCCCCCTCAACGCGGACATCGTCTCCAGCATATCGAGGTCCCGGTTCATTATCGCGACTGTTCGTGGTGGAAGTTGAACTCAATCTACATTCGAAGAGCTTCTCCCCATGCCCAAATATCTACGTTGAATGTCAGGAACTGTGGAATATTGAGCGGGGGATTGACATAGCCGCTCTCAGGAAGTCTCCCAGTGGACAATGATGTCGTTGCGTGACCATGTCATACGAGTCTTCAGTATGTCTTTGGAACAAGCCATACCGGAGTACGATGAAGAGGATGTCGAGTCGCAGGAGTCGGTTTCTCCCATCGTGGTGCCTGACAAGAGGTCCGGGACTGCTCCAGGAAATATTCCCGCTTGGGCCGCTTCACTACCAAGCCAGTGGGGTGATGACTAGGGGCGCAAGGACACCGACCGGCGTGGTGGCGACGGCAGACGTGAGCAAAACGGCGGATATGGTGAGCCCAGCGGGCGTGATGGCTACCCACGACAACACAGTGATGCGGGTCGTACTGAACTTCGTTATCATGAGCAGCGAGATCCGGGACGGAGTTCGAAGCAAAAGTCAGGTGGAGGCATCCGGTCAATTTTGTTTGGTCAGGCGAACCGTCCAAGCAATGATTTGTCTGCCTGATTGTGTCTGGTTATTGGGATATGTATGTCTTTTTACAGGGCTGCGAACGAACACTGTTTAGGTCTCGGCCACAACTTCACTTTAGCTGGGTGGTTGTTTCTTGTTCAGCGGATACGGGTGGTCTCCAGTCCTTCTCCTTCGGCGCAAACAGAAGCAGATGTCTACAGTCAATAAATCAATATAACCTTTGAGCCTTAAATTGAGCGCGACTGTATATGTGACTGTAGGCAAGTAACAGCAGTGTATGTCAGAATGTCTTGCCGTTGGAAACGTGTGACGTTTGTCCATACTTATGCGTCCAATTTGTGTTGCTGTTGACTCGATACAAACCGGAGTATACTTCGTCGTATTGGCATGTGGTGGCGTTGGTGGAAGAACCACAGTACCACGCACCCACCATTCCGGGTTGAAACGCTGCGGGCCGACGAACACGAACATGAGCGTGGATACGAATGTAGATACGAGCATTCAACGTCAGATGGTATGCATTGTACTAGACCCGTGATAGATAGCAGCCTCTGCAACAAGCAATGGAACGTATACCTCGGGTGTCCCAGCGTAAAATCAACCAGGAAAGTACCATTCGTGATCAACCAAACGTCCTCAACAGTGCAGTGGTCTATGTACTAGTTGGGCACACCATTAAACCCAGCACTTCTGGGCTTCCTCTCCGTGGCCTTGACCCACAGATCCAACTGTATATGCACACCATGCGACTTTGTGCTCATAGGCTTGAAGGGATCGAGCAAAGAGAACTCAAAGTTCTGGAACAGGGCCGCAAAGATCCTGTCCAACTCCAGTCGTGCGACCGTCTTTCCGAGACACCCATATCGCCCTGCACCAAAGACCAACTCGATGGTCCTGTTCATCTGGCCGATTTTCTCGCCGCCGTCGTCCAGAGCAGCAGCCTCGAGCCACCGCTCGGGTCTGTACATGTCGACATCTTCACCATAGACCTCTTTCCTGCGCTGCATCGAGTGCGGGCACCAGCACACCTCAATTCCTTCTGGCAGATAATACCCATTGACAGTCTCACCGCCCGGCGGCGCTATCTTGCCTTGAAGACCCGTCAAGGGAGGGAAGATGCGCAAACCCTCTTTGATGCAGGCCTGCAGATACGGCAGACTCTGGGAGTCGGCAGTGGTGAGGACGGGAGAGGACAACCGGTGTGCGTTGGTGTCGAGCTCGTTGACCAGTTTGGCATAAACGATAGGGTTAGTGAGTATGTACAAGAATGTCGTGCGGACAGCGGTTGCCGTGGAGTCAGAGCCACCCAAGATTTGAAGCATGGCTTCGGTGACTATCTCGTCTTGCGTCATGCCGTGCTTGATGAACGACCCGAGCATATCGTCGTGTTGTTTGGCGCCGGGAGCGAAGCGTTCTTTGGCCACTCGTTCGGCGACGCCCAACATGGCTCCCATGCCAGTCTTATCGGTTGATCTTGGCTGCATACCCGACATGAGCTTGCTGAAAAATAGATTTTGAATGAAGGGGAAGTTTGAGCCGAACTCTAGAACGTGCAAAAAGCCCGAGACTTCGTGCACATAGTTGAAGACGTCCTCATTTTTGCTGAGATAGCCGAAAGGCTTCTCGAAAGCAATCTGCGTTAGAACATCAAGCGTGAAGAATTGAGCAATACGAGCGATGTCGACGGGTTTGCCTTTAGCCATCTCTCGCCGGATGAGATTCAGCACATCTACGACCCTGTCCTGGATGTTGGACTCGAGCTGAGGGATGTCCTTGCCGGAATACTGGTCATGATCAGCGACATGCTCGGGTTTGGGAGCACGGTAAAACGTACACCTCGGATCATCTTCGCACGAAGGATGTTATGCTCTTTTTCATCCCTCTGGGACAGCGAGTTCTTGTGGTTCGGGTCCAGGGTCATGGAATCGTACCAGGTACCCTTCCTGAAGTTGGACCGAGGGGCGGCCAAATGAGTCCATATCACGGGGTCGTTCGTAACAATCTTGTTGGGTGCGATGCGCGCCAGGGTTCCTTACAGGGCTTCTCAGCGCAAAGTTGACAAGTCACAAATAACAACATACCATATTTGTCCAATTCATCGGCGCAATCGAGGTAGATCCGGCTACGGTAGGTACTCATGAACAACCAGAGGCCCGAAATGGATGCCAGGAATGGACCCTTGACTTGTGGGCACATCCGATAATTCAGGTAGCAGCGAACACCACTGTAGAGGACCAATAGGCCCAAGCCTACGAGCGCCACCAGGTCTGGTGTCGGTGAAAAGATTGCCATGCTGGACAGTATCTGTAAAGGTCGAATTTCTGAATGCGGCTATGCTGAGCTGACAAGCAGGTAATGTTGTCTTTATACCAACCTCACTCGCTGGGCGGTAATGCGCTGGCTGGAAACCCCGCCCCAGCGCTCCTTCATCCTCCAGTGACGGCAACCGATGTGACTACTATCCATGCAGACCCCTGGACATGAATTGAGCAGTGCACGGAGGCCATGTTTTGATAGGCTTAAGTGAAAGAGAAGTGCCGGCGACAAAAGCTTGATAACTATCAGTTGATATCAGTCGAAGCATCCGATGATCTATGCCTGAAAAGAAAATAGTCTGCCACCATGATTGCCGCGGATGCATGCCTTGAACGTCGAGAACTGCCAGCCGAGCTTCGAATCGATCCTGGCGAGCTCCTCGTGGCTCGGCAACGGCGTAGTTGCTCGTGGGCGGCCCGGGCGTGCTTTTCGGCCATTCCCAGACCAGATCTAGCACCCATGCATGTCAGTTTGGCGTCGGGACGCATATCCAATGGTTGGACCGAGGTGGATAAGGGCTAGAAAACTTGTTGGTCCGTCCTTCAGGGTGAGGTGAAGTGAGGTACTCGTACTTCTCGTTTATGCGATATATCCATGGGATGTCCCGTCAACGGTTATTCTTCAGTTTCTATATAATGTGTCCTGCTGTTCATCCCTGATTGCGCTTCGATCGCGCCCAAATGGACCACGCCATTGAGGCTGAGGACAGTCGCTCCGACGCCGGTGACTCGGGATACAGTGACACTTTAGTCTCAACCGAGTCTCTTCGAACCAGTGTATATGCATATGAGGAGGAAAATGGTCGCACCTGTAAGTCCACAGCCCGGAAGGTAGTGTTGGTTATGCAAGAGAACCGCGAACGCAAGGCGTCATTGCTGGTCAGATGTCTGACAGCCTTTTAGATCATGCCTATCATGCTGGAAAGTACCATGTACCAAATGACGCGGGCGAACAGGAACGCATGGACCTGCATTATCACGCAATGCGATTGAGTATTGGAGACAGGCTGTTTCACGCTCCTGTCACCACGCTCGACGGTGTACTTGACGTTGGATGCGGCACCGGCATTTGGTGCATGGATATGGGCGACGAATATCCGGCCGCGTCTGTGATTGGATTCGATCTGTCGCCGATACAGCCGTCGTTCGTTCCACCAAATGTCCAATTTGAGGTTGCCGACGCTGATGAAGACTGGACATATGGTCATAATCGCTTTGATCTCGTTCATACGAGATTTATGAACGGCTTCAGTGTTAGAAGCTGGCCGCATTTGTACCAACAGGCCATGGAATCTTTGAGGCCTGGTGGTTGGATTGAAAACCAAGAATTAGACGTTCAGGTTTTGAGCGATGACAACACGATGCCAGAAGACAGCAAAGTGCAAGAATGGGTCAGATTGTGGAACGAAGGGATGGGCGTTGTGGGCATGACTGGGAGGTGCGACCCCGAGGTACTTGCACAGCAGATGAGAGAGGCAGGTTTCATCAATGTGCATGTTAAACGGTACAAGATGCCTATAGGGCCGTGGCCCAAGGATCCGGCTTTGAAGGAAGCCGGAGTTTATGGACTCGTAGCCATACTGGATGGTATGCAAGGACTGAGCATCAAAATTTTCACAAACTGCCTGGGTTGGTCGGTGGAACAGCTCGAGGTGTTTTTGGCCGAAGTCAGAAAGGAGTGGAAGCGCCGGGGCATGCATACATACTGGCCTTGCTTCGTTATCATGGGTCAGAAGCCGCCAGCGTCATGAAGTTGGGACAAATTTGAGCCAGGAGCTCAGAGATAATGTATAAAAGTACTGATAGAGGTTCAACGACAAGCGCCGCTTCCATCCACTGCTTAACGTGGCCACAGCTTCGCCGTGCGCAGTAAGACAGCAGCGGTCAGTACATGTCCAAGTTTCCCTGTCTGACCAGGTGATTGTGTGGTCACGCCGGTCGACGAAGCGAGCCGTCGACTTACCTTTGCACAAGCGTAAGTACTCATGATACTTGCTGAGTCCAAACAAGACCTCAGGAGTCACCTCCCGCCATGCCATGTACCTTACCCGAATGGTGACAATTGAAAATCAGTCACCTCATTTGGTGGACTCAACCCCTCCTCACACCCCGCCTATCAACCTACGCCAAGGTAATTTAAGGTAGGTAGGGAAGCGACTATCAGGCTGGATGAGCGGGAAGGACGGGATGCCCATTATCGCCCGGATCTTGTTCCATAGGGTACCTACCTTGCTACCTAAGTTAGCACTGTAGTCCTTATTGATCGGGTCACGCGGGTCATTATCACACCCCCTTCACATATGCATGTGCATCACGACTTCAACCACATCCCGAACAATCCGTCTTCTCACTCCACACCATGACTATTGCATCTCACTGACCATCCCCCTTCTGATCCTATCCTTCTCCCATTGTTCTTGCATTGCACTCTGATGGCTGGTCCACAACATCTCCCGTATCATCGCTCCCTCTCTTGATTTCTACGCACCCTCTATTTATCCTACTAACAGCCACGTCTGGTCTCTCGGCGATTGTATCCAGAGTTGACCTCATCCGTACTTGAAAGCCGCCGACCTTGCCTTCCACCCTCTCACTCCCGAATCCAGGCGGATGCCATGCGAGGCAGGAACCCACCCTCCTGACTCTACTCTTCAAAAACGAGCATAGCATCTCGCGCCTGCAGTACTCTTCACAATGTCCTTCCTCCGTAAGACGTCCGACGCTTACGCCCTCTCCTCCGTGTTCCCGACATATCTACTTCAGTCCGTACCCTTCCGGCGCAAATCGCGACAGTCAAGTACCGACAGCAACAGCTCCGTCGAATCCTATACATCAAACACTACCTGCACATCCTCTTCTTCGAACCCCTTCACAAGATGTCCAACACCCACCCCAATCCCCGCTTCAGCATCCTCCGTCATCATCCCACCCGAGGACAAATTCCTCAACGGTCACAGCTCGCATATCCAATGCGCAAAGTGCTCTACAGACCTATGCCTCACATCCCAGATCATCAGCAAGGGCTTCACAGGCCGGCACGGACGAGCATATCTCGTCCAGGGAACGACCAGCCATATCCAAACCACAGCCCCAGCCCTGCCGAACACATACCAGAACAAATCCATTCCACGAAACCTCGTGACAGGCCAGCACATTGTCAGTGACATCAGCTGTGCCATCTGCGGGAGCGTCCTTGGCTGGAAATACGTCGAAGCCAGCGAAGACAGTCAAAAGTACAAGGTGGGAAAGTTCATTCTCGAGACCAAACGCATCAGAACGAGTGTCTCGTGGGAGGAGGATGAAGATCCAGACTTGGGAGTGACAGCCTACGATGAGATATTGCCTCTTTCACCGCGCGATCTGAGGAAGATGGTGGACGCGCCAGGTTCCGCCAACGCTAAAGACGAACCGGAGTTCGACTCGCAGGACGAAGACGAGTGTGAGGACCTGTTTGCCGGCGTCTGGAGTCCTCAACTGGCCTCCAAGAGAAGGCAAAGAAAAGGAGAGCGCTTTGGCAAGCGTCCTCCAGGTGACCGGATCAATTTGGTTCCCTCGAGCAGCGCCGACACTTTATCATGATTTATGAGATGAGTACGACACCCATCATGGACGACGACATGTGTCCACAGTGGATGCCTCTCAAGAAGATGGCTTCTGCAATTACGATACGAATTGATACCCGCCGGCGGAAATGGAGGACGCTACCTTTGTTGCTTACCTACGATTTGCGCTTTATGGTCTTGATCATTGATTTGACGACACCCTAAGTCGGCGTTACTCGGTTTGGTGTCGGCACAATTTTATCATATGATACCCCCTAATCATGAGGATGGCGTTTTATAGTGCACCTTATGTTTGTTCAGCAATGAAATTTAATGAACGTGACAACAAATATAGAGAGTAGTGGGACATTTAAATCCATTCTCAAGCAGGCTATGAAGGACTTCAACGTGTCCAGCAGCTCGACTATTCCGTGTCGCATTGCATGCGTCCCAGAGCCATCCTTAAGTGATCGTCATGGCGTTGCAGCATGGTTCTGACATTGCTTTGCGTCCACAACAGGTCATCTCGTCCCTGTCAGACGATCCCCCAGCCCTTGGGGTTCTCGGTGGTCCTCACAATGCCTTCCGTCAATCGCAAGCACGAAGCCATCATGACTTTGCAGTATGCACGTGCTCGTGGTGATGGTGATGGTGGTGCGCCGCAGCCTTTACATTGGCACCAGCTAACCCTGCCTTCTTTCCAACCTTGCAGCATGCCTCGTGTCTTCTGAGATTATCCAGCCTAGGGAAGCGTCGCTTGCAACCCAGTCCATGAAACTTGCAGAGCATATGCTGATGTTTCGGGCGGTGCGTGGCCATGTGTCGCTTGAAGTTAGACCCTTCGCCATTCAGATACTGTCCGCAGATGTGGCAGTACATTTTATTTCCGTTGTGGCAGGATGCAACGTGCTCGTCGCGGACTTGCTTATACATGAATGACTTGGGACAGCCGGGGTATGTACATTTGAAAGGTCCTTCTGTGCCTGCCGTGGCATCGGCATTGTTGGCGGACGAAGAAGCAGACAGCAGCGGAGCAAGATGTTTCTTCGACATGTGTCCGGTGAGCGCAGCTTCGGAAGCGAATGTGGCCGACTCGCAACCTTGCCAGGCGCACTTTGTTACGCCTTTGACCTGGTGAATGGCTTTGAGGTGTTTCTTGAGATCTGTACCGGAGGCGAAGGACGCACCACAGACTGTACCGCATGGCATAATCCATTCGCAGGCGAGAGCGGTGCTAGGGGCAGAGATGGCCGATAGTAGGCCTTCTGTGTTGTCCAGAGGATTCTGAGCCGGCTGTATCGAAGGCGCTGGCTCTAGCTTCACGCTTGGTGTTGCTGCATAGTTTGTAGAGGGATGTGCATTTGGTGGAACAGGTGGTAGAGGCATCTGCTGGTGGGCCGCGGCCGGATGACACCCATACTCCAACGCAAAGGTTGGAAGAGGGAATTGTTGAGGCAGACCGGATGGTCCTGTGCAGATCTGCGCCTGTGCCATGCTGTCCCAATAGCGAGCCGGGTCTCCGAAGCACTGGTGGTGCATGGGAATATCTAGTGGAGGGGCCACGAGCTCGGGCTGCATGCTGGGCGCCTCTTGGAAGTTGAGCATTTCATTGTCGTCAAATTGAGGTTCCAGGTCGGCGATACTGTTGTCACCGAGTAGCGGAACAGAGAAGGAAAGCCCAAGGGACTTGTCTTGTTCGAACTCGGTCCAATCTATGCAATCAAAGCATGAGAAGTCGCAGTCTTCGCAAGTGTCGTTGCAGAGCGGACCATGGCTCTGGTGATCGTACTCGGCCTCAATGCAGTCCTTGCAGTTGTCGACGTCCTGGGTTGCCTGGTGGTTGTACTTCTCGTGTTCTTCCACGCAGTCGTCACAGTCATCAACGCAGTCCTCACAGTCCATAGGAGAAGGTGAGCTGTGCAGGGCCTCATTGTAGTCGCTGGTAGAATGTTGAGGGGTGAAAACAGGGTTGGATACACCATCGTCAGTCGAACAGCAGGCGAGAGCACTTGATGGCCGGGCGGGATGGACTTCGTCTTCACCACAGCAGGCAAACTTGTGCGACTCTGATAGCAGTCGTGAAGGACTCCTTGACGAGACCTGACCTCTTATCGGTGACCTGAAATTTTGAGCCCTGGTTCCTAGCCGGGTCTTTGCCGGGAAAACATCGACAGGATTGACATATGACGAGTGATGGAAGTCAGAGGCCGTGAGGCCTTGAGGGGAATTTCTGCCCATGATGGCTGGGTCTTTCAACGAAGCGATACAAGATCAAGATCCCGTGCGTGTCAAACCATATGGTTAGATGTCAATGACGGACGGGAAGGCACATTGCCGGGACTCCAGAAGGATTGTGAGATAGCGTGGGGTACGTTAGTCAAAGGAAATGAACGGGCAATCACGAATTGACAATCATGCCAAGACCAAATTATCACGCTAAACTAGGACTAGCGTAGGGTCGATTGTGTTTTAGCAGGGGGGATGCGAGCCTCGTCTTTATCTTTGCGAGTTCGAACGTGCAACAGTACAATCTCATTACTGAGCTCGACATTATTGGCGGAGGCTCTGGCAACCCATGTTATTCTCAGCAACATGACCAGAAATACTCGAGCATGTCAAAGCCCTGCTTTGCTACAGTTAGGTAGACTTGTGATAGGTCAACGTCTTTCGATGCCATGGTACAACATCTTCAATTTGGGTGTGCTGAACGAGGTATGATATATTAGTCCCCAACAGACATGGGCTGTACAGGTATGCTGCTGCAAATCAGACCGATTCTAGTCATACATATTTGTGGACACCTCAGTACATCGCGGGATACACAAACGATGCCCCACATCCAATGCTGGCGGCTACACATTGCAGCACTTTACCTCACCCAGACGACTCTTCTTGGAGCAGTGCCATGCATAACTGTCATAGATGTCTAGCCAATACGTTCTCTAAACTGCGTTTCGGCGACAGCGGTGGTTCACTGCGAATCCTTGACTTTCTTCACTTCTTCACCACCCTCTTTCTCGTGGAATTCGAGGTGCTTGCGCTTCTTCTCATCCATGTCGCCCTCCTTCATGTCCTTGTCATGCTTTACTAGCACGTTCTCGTCGTCGTCTATAAGATCGCTGTTGTTGTCGATACCCGCCCATTTGACGATGCCATCACCACGGAACTCGGCCACTCGTTGGGGGTAGAACATGTGACAAGTAGGCTTGAACGCCTGCCTTCCTTCTTTCGTATTGATTTTCTTGATCAATGGGGGAAACAGGAGGATCATGTTTCGACCTTCGTCCATGATTGGAGAACGGCAAAAAGAGCAGGAAACTTTGCAAGGGAGGTGATGGGAGGTGTCTTTATTGGTAGGATCATACCAGCCGAGGTCATGGTGACCGTGGGTGAAGTTGATGTCGGACTTGTGGAAGATAGCTGCCCATTGGAAGGGTGCCTGTATCTGTGTCAGCTACACTCATTATATGGCACAAGCCTAACTTACACCATGTAGTCTTTGACAAGTTGTGCAATGGCAGTATTTGGCAGCAAGGGGCTTGTCTCTGCTTAGTTGATACTGAACTTTACCGCAGTGACATTGTCCTTCCCATTTGACGTCAAAATCACCAGCTTTCTCCTCCTGAATGCGGTATGGTTCTCGGAACTTCCATTGATCTTCCTCTCTGTGTGTGGTATCGCCGGCCTGGTGCTGATGATCCTCCTGGTTTTTTGACATGTCTGATGAGTCTGAAGCGTGTCTTTTCTGGCAGGCGAACTTCTGGACAGGTTTGGGGTCGAGGGATGGAGGCTTGCAAGAGTGAAGTGTGCGGTACGTGGGTGTTGTGAAGCAGGTGCGAGGTCTGAAGTGTCGCGTGGATTTTAATAGTAGAGTCAGAGATTGTTTGGAATTCATGAGACGGAGCCGGAGGCGTGATGAGGAGGTGAAGCTACTAACACCGAAAAGTTGAGGGTGTTCTGAGCCGCAAGGTGAATTATGCAGTGGTCATTTTGTGGTGGTCAACAAGTCAATCAATATATGGCAGCGGATCTATTCCCCGATGATGCTGCTCCAAACGTCACATTACGATGGGCAGATCTCAAAGGAGACAGACTTCCTCAAGGGCAATTGCGTGACACGCGAGACCATGCCATGTCGGGCGGGCAATGACCCTACCATTTGGCCAACGTCAGCGTCATTGTCGCGGATGTCCAACTGCTTTCACTTCCACTTTCAATTCATGCCATTTGCTTTTTCCCCAGATCCCGATGCACTTTTCATCGGAATTCAACTTCGGCATGACATCACCATCAGCAATCGCTCTAATGCTTTCCGCCAATCACAAACCACCATCGTTGTGGTATGTTCCGTTCCCCTGTTGCATTTCCATATATGAGCACGCGAGGCGTAGATGGCTTCACTAGGTCAAACATGGCCGACGGAACTCAACGAACAAAAAGGTAATCAAAGACTCATCATTGTTAACTAGCTGGCCCTAGCGAACCCATGGGTATCGTACTACTCGCATTCCGCAAATGGGCCCTCGAGCCTCTGAACAGGCTTTGCCATATGAAAGCCTCACTCAGAAGGAGTTCAATGTCCTTCTCAGTCCACTCACGCGTAGGCAGCGCTTGTAGAAACATCAATATCTCTTGGAAATTCATCTTCAGCAATTGTTCCGACCATTTGACCAGGAATGCTGCGCACACATAGAGGTGAAATTGCGAGAAACCATTCTCTTCCGCCTAGTCGCTTTGTTAGTATCTGTAGTGTGACACTTCAAACAACAGAAGCTCACCATATATGTGTCCCACATCCGAATAACGTTCTTGATACTCAGCTCACGCATGAGCAAACAATTCATCCACCGGAAACTGAACTGCATATATTCAACCTGCTCATTCTCGAAATGTTTGGCCAGGCCGGCATCGATCCTGGTGGTAAGGTCTCGTAAAGCTGCAACTTGCCGGTGTATTCCCGGTTGAGCAACAATATAATTGTCTTGTATACCGTCCAGTAGTTTCGTAAGACACCAAAAAGTGTCAGCTTCGACAGCATCAATGACTGGTCTTGGAAGTTGACCTGGGTCCATGCCGCTCTCAATATTCAGATCCGTGATGTATGTTCCGAGGAAAACTTGCCAAAACGGGGTAGCCAGGTCGTTAATACCTTGAACGTACCCACTGGCTGGATGTCGGATGGCCCATACGTACAATATACGCTCAAGGGATCGTTGCGTAGCTTCATAGCCATAGAGAGGTATATGAGGATTGGTCCTGGGCACATCGATACTGATTTGGTGCCACACCGCCTCATCCAGACCACGACCGCGACCTGTAGTGACAGGCGGCTGCGATGCCAGCCCAGCCAAGCCCGTGCTTGATTCTTCGCGGTTGGCCATGGTACCAGAATTGAACGCTTGCCGGACTGCATCGAGATATTCTTTCCGCTTACGTTCGAGGGTCGCCACTCGCCGCTCACTGTTGGTAGGCAAGTGTCCCAGTAAGATCTGCCACGTTATGGCACGAACTTCCTCAGGGATCCCTGACCACGCTGCAGCTCGCAAATCTTGCAGAGAGACCGAGCTGGCTTGCAGTATCCTTTTGAACTTGTTGATACGTGAAATCCGCGTACTATGAGCCTCCGCTTCTTTTGGCGTTGCATTATTCGACAGGACGGGATGATTGATGAGGTGTAGTGAGTTGGCTGGATCTCTCAGGATGTCTTTGTACTGGGGCCTTAAGATCTTGCCATCCCCCTTTTTTGCGCTTGGGTATGCCAATGGATTCCGCTCTTCGGCAATATCAAAACTGTTCGAGCGGTCCAATGGTGGTATTGGTGATGGCGCTAACCTGGCAGGATTCGATTTGGTTTGAGTAAGGCTGGGATATGTAACTCCCTGTGCTTTTGTTTTTCTGTTTTTTACGCTCCGTTTCCGACGCATGCTGGTTATGCTAGGGAGACCAAACTCGTCTTCATCGTCCTCGTAGACGAGGTCATCGTCGTCTTCGTCAATGTCTCCACCACCCACAACGTCCCAACTCTCACCTAAGACTGAAGAGTTGTACCCACTGTACGGCTTGCGTCCGGGGGAGTTTGAGCCACGTCTGTCTCCAGGAGGTGTTTGCGAAGGGCGTGCTGACGAGGACGGGGGTGTTCTAGGCCTCGAACCCGGTCCGAGGGATCTAAGACTGTTAGCCTGATCACACGATCCCCGTCATAGCCCGACAGATGCGCCTCACAATGAATCGAACTTGAGCATGTCAGCGTGCGAATATGATGCACCGATCACTTTGGTCGACTTTCCCGAGCCTTGTCGGGACGAGGACCGGCTTCGCCAAAAGGGCGAGGACGGTCGCCTTTGTTTTGTTAGCATAGTGCACATGCTGGGATTCGTCCCAGACGGTAGGCGGTTCATACTCTGATCTGTCTGCAACCCAAGCAATAGTCAGCAGAATGTCGCCAGCAAGAGTATTCGAACACATTCACGGGTCATGGACACGAACCGACCTGAACCATCTCCTGCCAACGTCAGTTCATGGGTGCGACGGATGTGGACTGTAGGTTGTTTACCTGCTGTCCTGGCTTCTTCCCAGCCATGGTGAGGGGATACTTCGAGGCCTAAGCCACGGAAGATCACACTATCGTGCCTTCCTTCTTATTCCCTTTGCATGCAGCGGCGAGAACATGCTTGTAGATCCTAATGCGTAACTTGCATGATTCCTCCAGCATGCGGTTATTGAAACGCCGACATGGGAGGCGCTCGGTCGGTGCACCAGTCAACTTTAACCACTAGTACCTAAGCCTAGGTGCAGTAAGGCGGGCAAATGAAAGTAGCCTCGCCAAGCCTGCGCCAAACGCTTTCTCCCTCGTTCCTGGCTCTGACCTCGAAACACTCGGGCGGCCGAACGACTTTGTCGTTCTCTGTTGCAGCACCACCTTTACTCTGCTTCACTTCACACTTCGCATCACCTTTACTTTTGTTTATGCCGACCTGCCCTTACTTTATTGTTCTCCTCTACTTCCCATTGACCGAACCGCCTTCTTCATCACTAACCATTTGATACGACCCCAGATCTTCTAGGCGTCACGTCCTGGACATAGTCTGACAGTGTTCGTCAAGGACACTGCCCTATTCTCTCCTTTCAGTGATTCATCAAGATGACAGAACCAGACGAAGTTGAGGAAGATCTCTTCGCCGATCTGTGAGTGAGACCGTTCCCACCAGCCATATATTTGGATCGAAGACAACTTCTTTGTCCGCTCAGTGCTAATGTTCTGACAGCTACAACGGCGATGAGAATGCTGCGCCCGGCAATGTTGCTGCCCCAGTCGCAACCGAGCCTGAGCCGATGGACATGCCCCTCCAATCCAACGACGGTCCGGGCTATGGAGAAGAGCCAGAGATTGCCTATGATTCAACATCGTTCGATATTGAACCCACTGGTCCCGAGGCTTCATCCAATGACGTGCGAATGCATCAACAAGACCACTACAAGCAAGAGGAGCCGCGAGGACAGCGTTATAATGTTACAATGAAAGAGGACGGGTAAGTGAAGTTTTCTCGCGCGTATTGGCTTTTTTTCCACACTCCGAGATCCTTCCAGGCAGGGGTCCCTGGGAAGTGCAGATGCAGCTTCCCAGAAGAGGAGGATCTGGTGAATGTTGTAAAGATGTTTCGAAGGCAGACCCGCGGCGTCACACATTAGTGTACCCTCAAAACATCACACCGCAACAGCGAAGTCTTGCAATGGGTGGGTGAAAAGCGAGGTTCGCCTGTGAAGACCACTGTCCTTCGATTATGCCTGTGGATCGGTTGCTATTGAAAGGGTCGATGTTCTAAGGCAGTGGGTGCCCGGGCAAACGATTTGCAAATGATCGGAATGGTACTTGTCCGTTGTGGAAAAGTTCTATACAACACGAGAAGGCTTCTCTCAGCAAGAGCAGTACGAGGATTGCCGTTGTGTCATGGGGGCGCTGATGTGCGTCACGTCATTCGTCGCAAGAGATGAGCAGGATTTCCGCCCCAGAACAACCAGTCAAATTGATCAAGAGATGAGCGGCGCCATCAGATATTGAGCCTAGCATCAGCCATAGCTGCTTCTCGCACTCAACTAGCCGGGACGAGTTGCAAACCGAGAGCAGGTCATACAGCCGGAAGAACTGCTGGGGATTCTACCATACAACAAGATACTTTATCAAGCAGAGCAGAGTAACAAAATCAAAGTCAGGCAGGAGATAGATGCTATGAGTGTCTCTGAATCTCAGACAAGCCAACAAAGAATTGTTCTCTGTGCGCTAGTCCAGATCTCAAGATCGATTGCTCGCACAAGGACTTACCAGCCACCACCTGGAGGGCTGTGATGCTATGCGACGTATACGAAGATTCGAGACGACACACAAATCCGCAGTTTCTATGTCTACAGAAACTCAAGTCGGCGGATATAGTCTAGCAAGAGCCTGCGGCGATGGTTATGTCCAGTCATATGGGAATTGTTGGCTATCGGAATGCTGGGAATGTTCCCGTACAGGGCCCATTCTTGGCCTATAGACCCACGTCTGCCTAACTCACATATGGGCTTTCTCAATCTATCTGCAGCCATAACATTGCATTCGACCACGGACGACCTCACAATGAATGACCATAGCTGCATGATCCAGCAGCCTGTGTCGAGCATGCTGTCGTCCACTCCTGCCGGCGGCTCAAAACGACTCATTAACATGTATTTTGGACAGCCTGCATACTATGGGGACTTGAATCATGGGCAATGCTGCATCTTGCCTCTGTGTTTGCTACTTCAACTGCCTTGCTTCTATGCTAGTTATCACCCTCTTGGTTTTATAGCTGACATAGCCATTGCTACAGAAAAATGTTCATTGGTGGACTCAATTGGGAGACAACTGATCGTAAGCATACACCCCCCGACAGCAACAGCCCAACATCATCGCATCTCTATCACCAGCCACACGCAAGCAAAAGCTGACCCCTTTAGAATCGCTTAACGACTATTTCTCGCAATTCGGCGAAGTTCAAGAATGTACCGTAATGAGAGACAGCGCTACCGGCCGCTCACGAGGCTTCGGCTTTTTGACGTTCAAGGATCCGAAGACAGTCAATACGGTTATGGTGAAGGAGCATTTCCTAGATGGCAAGATTGTAAGGCCCACCCAATTTGACGTATCCCCGGATAGCCAGCGGCGGCTTGGTTCCCTTTCTCAGAGCTACGTTAGCACTTCTACCCCGGACAAAAGCTGACTCTATGGTTCCCAGATTGATCCCAAACGTGCTATTCCCCGAGACGAACAAGAAAAGACGGCCAAAATCTTCGTGGGCGGAGTGAGCCAAGAAGCGAGCGAGGACGACTTCGAAGGCTTCTTCGCCCAGTTTGGTAGAGTCGTCGATGCCACATTGATGATGGACAAAGATACCGGTAGGCCACGTGGCTTCGGCTTTGTTACGTTCGACAGCGACGCGGCGGTGGAGAAGTGCTTGATGTATCAACCCTTGGAGATCTTGGGCAAGCAAATCGAAGTCAAGCGGGCACAACCCCGCGGCAAGATGGGCGAGGAGGACGACTTTTCTCGGCGTGGTGGAAGAGGAAAGTTTGGTCGAGATGACCGCTTCGGCATCGACAACAACCAAGCTGCACCTGCTGCTCCCAGTCAAGGTGGCAATATGATGGCAGGAAACAACAACGGCATGACACCACAAATGATGGCACAGTACTGGCAACGCATGCAACAGTACTTTGCGATGATGCAGCAACAGATGATGGGGAACATGATGGGAGGTATGGGCAACATGGGTCAGATGGGTATGGGCCAGATGACGCCGCAAATGATGATGCAAATGCAGCAGATGCAGAAGATGCAGGGAGGCGGTAGTCCAAATCCGCAAAGTCCTGGTAACATGGGCAACATGCAAGGCATGAATCCTCAGATGATGCAACAAATGATGCAGATGCAGCAGCAAGGTGGAATGAACCCAATGATGGGAGGAGGCAATCGTCCACCTATGGGACCGGCAGCGATGGGAGGAAGCGGCGGCGGCACTCGACCTGGCTTCTCTCCACAAGATCAACTCGCCTTCGAGCAACAGAAGTACGAACAGCAAGCTCGTCGACAGGGCAATTTTCCCCAGGGGCCAAAGGGACAACAAGGCTTCCAGAACCAAGGTGGTCCACAGTCCTGGGAGGGTATGTACGACGATGTCCCACAGCCTGATGGCGGACGAGGATCTGCTGGGCCGGTCCGACAACACACACCAAAACCCCCCAAGGGTCCCAGCGGTGGTACACCCCAACCGAGTGCAGCTCCTGCAAACGCGCCCACTGGTCCCAAGAACGCGGGCAGGGGAGGTGGGAACTTCAACTTTCGCGGCAGAGGTGGTGGTCGATTTCATCCGTATGGGAGGTGATGTTACCTCACCACATCTATTGTCTTCATGCCTTCGTCCGTGGTCGACACTGTGGCAGTGCTGGCCCTAGGATGACGCCCAAGCTGGGATCTGCATGCATAGATTGATGATTCTGGTTGCTCCATGGAAAAAGTTTAGTATTGCGAGCTGAGAGCTGGAGCTGGAATTTCCGGGATTAATGAGCTGAGGCGGGAGAGACAGTTCCCTGCTTTTCCGCGTACTTGAGAGCCCTGCCGTGAGACGGAATGGGTTTCAGAGCTTTGTACCATAGCATGGCTGGCGTGCCTGCGTCCAAAATACAGTATCAAGCAGTAAATCACTACTTTCATGACTTTGGAAATTGTAAGACACACGTGAAAATGTTTGTACAACCGTGCCGGGGCCGGGGCCGTCAAGCTGGGTTGAGGTTGCATCGATAGGGCAATGATCCTCACCGGATCTATACGAGAAAGGTATATTGAGGGCTTAGTGTCTGGGCGTCGCTTTACGTACGTAGACCGGACGAACTTCGCAGCGAACATATGGAAAGCATGACAGGCAGCAGCGTTTCCTATGCTTTATGGGAGGCCCGGTGGGTCCGGGGAGGAGATATGCATGTATGAGTGATTTTGCAAGGCCTTAGCATAGTATGTCCCGGGAGCTGGCCTGCATTATACAAGAAGGATGCTGTACAGCTTGACGAAGAGCTGTATACGCATGGTGTATCATTTCCAAGCACCACCACCTTGAAGGGCAGTTGCCAACACTACGACCACGAACGATTGCTGATACTGCGCCCATACTGGGCATCAAAGCCATGGTGTCATTCAATCCAAGCAAAGACATACCATCCCTCCAAGGCAAGGTGATTCTCATAACGGGCGGCAACATTGGCCTGGGACGACAATGCGTCTTGGAAATCTCGCGACACCAGCCCGCCCAGGTCTGGCTGGCGGCACGGAACCTGGACAAGGGCCGAGCGACGGCCGACGAGATCAAGCAGCAAGTCCCTGGGGCTCCGATCAAACTTCTCGAACTGGACTTGACGTCGTTTGAGTCGGTCAAGAAGGCGGCGAAGACTTTTGAATCGGAGTCTGACCGTCTGGATATCCTGATGTGCAATGCAGGAATCATGGCTGCTCCACCAGGGTCCACGAAGGAGGGCTATGAGATTCATTTTGGCACGAACCATATGGGTCATGCGCTCTTGACGAGGCTTTTACTGCCGATGCTGGAGAAGACAGCTGCGCGCAGCGATGCCGATGTGCGAGTGGTCTCGATGTCGTCGTATGGGCATAGATCCGCTCCGCCGGAGGGGATTGTGTTTGGCTCGCTCAAGACGCCGGCCGAGACGATGGGCTCGCTAGAGCGATATGGCCAGAGCAAGTTGGCGAATGTCCTCTGGGCCAGGGAGCTGGCCAGGCGTTATCCTCAGTTCACGGTGGCCGCGGTACATCCGGGGGTGGTGAATACGAACCTTCTTTCGGGTGCAACAGATGCACCATTCTGGGCCAGGATGTTGTTCGGTTCGATGAAAACATTGGGAGTCATAGCATCGGCCGAGACAGGAGTCAAGAATCAGCTTTGGGCAGCGGTTGCGGGTGATGTTCAGAGCGGACAGTATTATGAGCCTGTGGGTGTTGCAGGGAAAGGGAGCCCAAAGACCACAGATGATGACCTTGCGAAGAGGTTATGGGAGTGGACTGAAAAGGAGTTGGATGGGTATGTTGAGTGAAAACGCGAGTGTATGACGAGAGACCTCCTGTTTGCGTATGCTGATGGTATTCAAAGGGCTCCCTTCATGATCCGATGGAACTGTTGGTCCTTTCCGTGCTGACTGATGTGTTGCATGATGTATATCGATGATATAGTGACATGGAAGTAATCGTCGCAACTTACATTATCCTTAAGCTCCATACGTGTGTATCTCTAAGAAGCAGTGCCTTGATCAGTAGAGACATAAGTGCCTACCTCTATCTTCTGCGTTAGATCCCTTCAAGCAATGCCACAGTCATCGGACAACAAGGTGAGCTCATAATACTATGTCGTGAAATTGCTCTTCGCGTCTGTGCAATGTCGACGCGCCTTTGAGGTGTTATGATAGAAAGTGAGCATGAGGCTGTGTTGGAATATGTGGCTACTCAAGACTGTTATTAATAGGTGACGCGGAAAGCTAACAGATTAGCGGCTCGGGTCTGGCGGGGGATCTGTGCTCCAGGCGCTTTGGACCATTTGCGGGCAACATTCTCAACCCCTTTGGAATACTCGACGTGCTCGTCTTATTTCAACATCTATAAGGCGCCCTATATCGGGGGAACGCGTCAATCCTACTGCAGGTACAGAGATGTCCGAAAGCCAAACAGTAAGTTCGTGTACCTGACGGCAACAGAAGGATTTCGGTGCAGGGCATGTCAAGCCCAATAACGAACACCCCCGAGGTACCCACTAACTTAGACTTGCGGGCGTGTCCCACTGACTCCATGACTGGCAACTGCGCCTCGAATGCCACACGCCAAAGTTCACTGATGTCCTCAAGACTTTGAAGTGCACAAACCTCTTTCTTTGGGTGCACATGTCAGTCGCTTCGAAGCGCATCCAGCGTCCAAGACCTACTAGGGCGAAGGATGAGGGTTTGTATCTTTCTCACTGACCTCGCTTACATGAGGAACACAATCACGTTGAGCACCTTACACTTGCGCAGTTTCAACCGGTGTCGCTGAAACACACAGTGAGTGCTGACGACTCATGGTAAACATGGCCTACGAAAAAAACTCTTTCAGGGTGCCATCGACGTCTAAAAACAAACCAAGCCACCACCAACGTGACTTGAAGCTTCCCCATGCGAGTCCTCCCGACCGCTGGAGACTCTCAATGACCCCTGACAGGCCCCGAAGAGCTAAAGATCGAGAACCGAGAATCACGATAGCCACTCATCTCCAGCCATCGCCATCCCTGAGCACGCCACGAGCCCACCCGCGAGGGCCTTGCCCATGCCCGCCGGCCAGCTCCACCACGATTAACGTGTCAGCGCGCTGGAAAATGCATACGATGTGAAACGGCGTCGACAAATGTGGAAACCCCATGCTTTTTGAACATGCGCCGATGAGCCAACATGTTTTGCCTCGTATTATCTGCATGAGACACCCCAGCTGAAAAGCAAGACTTCTTTCCTTCTTTGCATATCAGTCTTTATCACTCACAGTCGTTGTTACACTACACTCGCCTTTTCTCACATTCGCTCTTGACCATTTTTCCTGTCACTCGTTCGACTCCTTATCGACTTCTTATCGAGTCCTTACTGATTCAGGAGACCCAACTTCGCGCATTTTCACCCTTATCTATTCAACGAACCCGGCCAGCGAACGGTCGATATCAGTGAGACTACAACAGAAGTCCGGTCTGGACGGAAGATCGCCTTTTTGGGCTGAAGACTAATTCTTGGGGTTTTTTTGTTGGATATATCAAAAAGTGTACAAAAATGTGGAGGACATCAGTGATAGGCCTGACCTGTCTAGGCCTGCTTCCATCTGTGCTGGGAACGGATATATTGAGCACCAGTGGAGTGTCCGACTGCGCGAATGGAACATCTTCGATCACAATCAACAATGTCAGCATCTCCTTCGATCGATCATCCGACAACATAACCTTCGATGCTTCCGGCACCAGTACCCAAGACCAATATGTCACGGCAGATCTGGTCATCACAGCATACGGAGTACAAGCGTATCAGAAGTCCTTTGATCCTTGTTCTTCCTCGACCTACGTTTCCCAACTCTGTCCTGGTAAGTTGCGCACTCTCCCCAAACTCTGATCCGGTATGCTGATCTTCCTTCAGTGCCCGCAGGCAACTTTTCGGCAAGCGGCACCCAACAAATCCCATCATCGTACGCGACTCTCATCCCTTCAATCGCGTACTCGCTTCCCGACCTGGATGGTACCGCTCAATTGACGCTCAAGAATAAAGGCGGACAAACAATCGCCTGTGTAGAAGCCGGTGTTACCAATGGTAAGACTGTGTCGTTACCGGCCGTCTCGTACGTTGCGGCCGTGATAGCAGCGGGGGCTGCAGCAGTCTCACTCCTAGGCGCTGCTGCGGCAGGTGCGCATCCGGGCTCGTCCACCTCGAGTCCTGGCTTCTTTGAAGTCATGTGGTGGTTTCAGGGATTGGCCATGAACGGCATGCATTCGGTTCCATATCCCACCATCTACCGAAGTTTCGCGAAGAACTTTGCTTTCAGTACCGGTATTATCAACTGGGCTGGGTTGCAGAACTCGATCGACACTTTCAGACAACATACTGGAGGCAACTTGACGGACGACAACTACGAATACCTCAGAAACACCACTCTGGTCTTTTCTGATGGCTCTACTTCCAAAACGACGACCTCGATCGCCAAACGAGCTCTTTCTCTACTCCTCAGAGACGTGACTACCTCTGTCAACAGTACGACCTCCAGCTCAACCTCCACCACAGGGTCCACGAGCACGTCGCATCTCGTGCAGGGTATTGAGGCATACGTCGAACAGCTCACCGTTCCACAAGCCAACACGTTCATGACGATCTTGTTGATCTTTGCAATCTTGATTGCTGTCATAGTCGTCGGCATTCTGTTGTTTAAGGTCGTCCTTGAGGCTTGGTCGCTGTTTGGCACGTTTCCAAAGTCCTTGACCACATTCCGCAAAGAGTATTGGCGGGTTCTGGCCCAGACGATTACTGCTCTTATTCTTCTTCTCTATGGAGTCTGGACGCTATACTGCATCTTCCAGTTCACCCATGGCGATTCGTGGGCTGCGAAACTCCTTGCCGGATTAACTTTGGGCACCTTTACTCTTCTCCTCGCATTTTATATCTGGAAGATCTGGAGCATTGTTCACAAGCTAAAAAAGCTGGAGGGCAACGCTGACGCTTTGTACGAGAAGAAGGAGATATGGAAGAAGTACAAGCTTTTTTACGAAAACTACAAGCGAGGCTATTGGTGGCTCTTCGTCCCTGCCATTATCTACATGTTCGCCAAAGGATGCGTACTGGCAGCGGGTGATGGCCACGGTATGTTTCAGACCGTTGGGCAACTAGCCATCGAGGCTTTGATGCTCATCGTGCTACTTTGGAGCCGCCCGTACAACCGCAAGTCCGGAAACTGGATCAACATCATCATCCAGATTGTTCGCGTCATCTCGGTTGTGTGCATCTTGGTCTTTGTGGAAGAGCTTGGAATTGCGCAGACGACAAAGACAATTACCGGTGTGGTCTTGATCGCGGTTCAGTCCGGTCTGACAGTCATACTGGCCTTGTTGATCGCTGTCAACAGCATCATCACCTGCTGCAAAGAGAACCCACATCGCAAACGTCGCAAGGCTGCGGAGAAGCACCTGTCTCAAGATATCGAAGGCGATGCTTTCTTGATGGAGCCAAACCCTTATACCTCATCGCCATTTGGTCCTTCCAAGAAGAAAACCGACCCTGCACAAGGCTATGAGCCAGTGCGTGCCGATGCTTACTCACGCTTCGGGCCTCGACGAGAAGACAGTGAAGAGAACCTTGTCAAGGGTGCCGCGGGTATGGGCTATTCTGGGTATCGAAGCGTGAGTCATGGCAGGTCTGAGACTGATGGAAGCCCCCCTCCTTTTTCACGCGAACCCAAACTGCCTGATCTGGCTTTCGAGCAGTATCGGCATAAATAGGTACATGATGTATGACTGGGATACTTTGTACTTTTTAGACAGCAAGCGCCTTTGTGGGTATTGGAGACAGGAGGTCTTTGTCATTTATATCTCGAGCAGTCTAGCTTCTAGAGGTGATTTAATGCGTTTCGGCAGCATAGCGTATGGTGTAAAGGGGACAGATATGATCAGGAAATAACTGCATCCATCAAGCAGATTCCGTCCCAAGTGTTTAATCTCCTCAGGCTATGATGGATTGTTTCCAGAGTAGGCGCGACGTCCTCATGTGTGATGCGGAAACCGCGCGGCCGTTTGCTAAGAATGCTAAGCTAGGTATCAGACACCACTGACAGCTGAAGTCGCCAAGAGCTTCAAACGGTCTGACGCCTTGGCACTAGATACATTTCTCTCGGTTTCGTGCCGTAGTAGGAGAGCTAACGGGGACGACAGCTTTGGAACCACACTATCAATGTCTACCATCCACTTTGTACCAGATCTACCCACGTTGGCCACTCCCCTCTCATCTCAAGTTGAAGTTGGAGACACCAGAGCGCAAGCTCTCCAGCGGTTTCCGACATGAGCTTTCCATCATACAAGCTTTTGGTCGGGGCTGCTTTTGTCGTACGGTATTCTCAGATCTGGCCATGTGTGAAAATCATGAAGCCGTTGATGGTTCAGATCCACCAGGAAAGTTGCAGTAGGGAACTGGTAAAAGGCCTCCCTAGCCCCTTCCTGGTTGCCCAGAATGCAAAGAATGCCTTATTCAGCATTCTTTTCACTTGCACTTTCCCAGATTTCCTCACTGCGAGCCAAATAGGGATAGTACTGCATCCCGCTGTCTACTCCTCGAGATCCATGGAGTCGCTTATCGGAACTGATTCGACAGAACGGTCTGATGCTAGTGTGTTGTTGGCAGACAGCTTGACAGGGACGATACCAGATCAGCAATTTGTCGATATCGAACAAGCACAACCCCTGATGCAAGGACTCCCCCATCACTGGAATGCTTGATATCGATCTACATTACATGTACCCCACCCCAGTCAGATATGTTGCCTCTTTCTAGGACTTTTGCTCGGAAAGCCTGCGTGAGTTCGGTGCAGGAACACGGCAGCATACCATCATGAAGGGAAGGTGTGAATATGTGCTGTTAGCGCTGGCATTGGTCATCACCCTCATTCTGATCTCCTTCAACTTCGATTCACTACCATCTCTGCCGTCGATAAGAGGGTCGTCTGAACACGGCACTACAGTTTCGAAGAAATATGCCGTTGTGTCCGAGACCTTTTCAGAGTTAGTTTGAGAACTCCCGCTTGCTTTTAACGACCACAAGAAATCTAACACGCATATCAGCGACTACGTCCCTGGAGCACTAGTCCTCGCACACTCGCTACGCAGACACAACTCCAAGAGCGGCAGCCTTCCCTTCGACCTGATCCTTGTTACCTTCGCATCCGAGAAATACAAAAATGGGGCGGAAAAACACTTGTCACCGCGAGCTCTCGAGCTCCTCGAGAATGCCGGATGGAAGATCAAAGTGACAGATCCCATCAAGCAAGCCTCATTCATCACACCGAGCAGATTCAAGAACAACCTATCCGCTCTCAGAGCCTTTGAACACAGTTCGTCTCCCATTGTCCGCTGTGACCGCAGTCCGCTAACAGTAAAACAGCCGAGTACGAGAGTGTCGCTCACATTGACTCAGACTGTCTCATCTTGCAAGACATTACCGAGCCATTCGAATATACCAAGGGCGCCACGAAGTTCTGGGCTGCAGAGCATTATGTGAAGCCCAACACACGTCGCTTCAACTCGGGAGTTTGGTTCATTGTAAGGCTTGACCTCCTATCTCTATGACTCGTCCCTGGTCACCTTAGCTAATTGCCGCCAAAAGAAACCTTCGAAAGAAACCTTCGACGACATAAAGAACAGCCGTTTCAACAAAGCAAACTACGATCTGAACCTGAATTACCCTATCAACAATCTGCTTATCAAATTCTTCAACTATGACCGCGGGCTGCTCCCTACCGCCTACAATTTGGGCACCAACATGTTGTCGTCGGGGAAGCAGGATTTGGAGCAGTGGGACGCGACGATCGAGCATGCGAGAGTTATACATTATCTGGAGGCCAAGCCTTGGCACAAGGAGGCGTGTAGCGCTCTCATGGACAAAGAGAGGTGCGAACATGCTGTCAGGCTTTGGGTGAATGAGTGGGAGATGGTGAAGAGGGAACTGGGCGTCGGAAAAGACGATTTTCCCAGGGCGGAGTGGCTGTTTTGATATCTGTCGGCTGTGATGAGTTAGGTTATAGCCTGGCTATATCAGCTAAAGTGAGGCAAGTACCTCGCTTACTTTTCAAACGTTCGTATGTTACCCAAATACCATTCGTACATTCGTCGGATATGCTCCGTGAAGTATCTTGGTCGAGCCTTTCCGACACCACCAATGTCGGCATCCGTGCATAGTGACTCACCTCTCCTCAGATTCTCCTCGCGAATTGTGCCAGGGACGCTGCTTTCCTGTCTGCTACCGTCAAGTTCTCTTCCGGAGTTGAGATTCCTCATACGTAAGATATTCACGTATTCCCTGGAGTTTAGTAATCTCCTTGTCTTGAGGGACATCGAAAGGGATTCGCATAGCTGTTCATCTCACGCCCTTCCGCAACGACAAGGCTCCACCCACTTCCACAAGGCTCTCCAGCTACCCAGTTGTGCGCCCAGATTTGTGCATAACTCCTACATTGGATGTTTTGTGATCTGATGAGTTCAACGAGGTGCTTTTAGATTAGTGGATTATCGCCTCTCTTGGGCGCCAGCCTGGTCATCAGGTGCTAGCGGGAACCATAATGCTGGAACGGCAGAGCCTTTCTTTACGTCCGTGATCTTTGATGACTCTGCTCCTTTCTCTGCCTCCTCTCCTCCTTTATCGCATCTCTCCTGCGTACCTGTACACCTTCGACAACGGTCGAACAGGTCGTGGCCATGAGCACAAGACGCTCGAGACCAGACAACACCGAAAAATGGAGGTTGCGAAAGCAACACCCCTGAAGCACAGCTCGGGTTCGACCAGGATGAGTACTGGACATCATATCATATCCTGTCTCCGATCCTAGAATGTCTCACATAGCCACGCACTTCTCCTCGACTTACAAACACACTGCCAGTGGAAAAGATGCAGCGGGATCAGTCTAGCGCATCTATTGCTCGATCCTTCCATACGACGACTCATAAGTCATGGTCGGTCCTTCCTGGATTCAGATCACCAAAAGACTGGTTGATGGAGTCCGTCACAAAAGCACCACAACTCGTCTCACCTTCCACAAATCCATGGCGAGACGGACGAGACCCAGGCAGGGGAAGGCAGCTCGACGACACTTATTACCTTGAATCGACCCACCCAACGCCTCTGCAACCGCGATTTGACCCTTCACGCAGCTGCATGGAAAAGGCAAAGATACCCTCAATTCAGGGCCAGGGTCCGTACATATCTGATAATGTCGGTGGTCGTCAAAACCCGAGGAGAAGATAAGAAAAGATGGGGGAGAGATAAGGAGAAACTCGACACCACGCGACTTTGCTGGTCAGCCACCAGCAGGCCAATGGGATCGCGATTTGCACAGGTGGCCTTGCATGAGATTCGGTACAAAATGGTACCGATCATCGAGACGATCATGTCCATCCCACCAGGTATAGTCTTCGCCGGATCTGCCGGGTGAAACCGCGTAGATGTGCGCTACTGCGAGGTTCATGAGACGACAATAAGACCACCGGGACGGAACATATGGTATTAATAAGGTCTTCAATCCACGGCTTCACGGCAAGTCATCGCAACGCTTTTGTGGTATCCTGAGACATCATATTAATCATGGCCCGCTGATCGAGCATACCTGTGGCTTTCCTATTGCGTTCATGCAACGTACATGGAAGAAGAAAAGAGACACCGACGCACGCTGGGGTATGTAATTCTTTTGTCAACAAAACAGACCATCTACAACTCATGCTCAAACCACCATCTATGCAACCCAGAACCAGATTCTCTCCAGCATGTTGCGAGGATGGCGCTCTGGCCAGACAACGGCATCAAGAGCAGCCTTTCCAGTGTACAAGTCCGCGTCACGCGAGTTGATGAAGTGAGTACGCTTGAAGATTCTCCAGAACAGGTACAAGCCGAAATAGATGGGTACACCGATGTAGTCGGTGATGAATGACTGGTAGGCGAAGCCTCCTGCAATCGAGTCGAAACCGTTGAAAAAGATGATCAGGCTGAAGAAGACCATCGCAGCCCAGCCAAGGTAAGGTTGGAAAGGAGATCGGAAAGGCAGATCACTGCGAGCGATACCCTGAGCCTTGCAAGCGGCATGGAATCTGACGTAAGCAATGTTGATGCTGACCCACGTGAACAAGGTCGAGATGGTGGTCAAATTCTGAAACCAGGTAAAGACCGTGTTGGAGCCAGATGAGCAGGACATGTAGGTCAAGAATCCAATCGCCCAGGTGAACAGAACACAGTAGACGGGAACACCAGCCTTTGTGCACTTGAGGAAGAACCTTGGTGCTTGTCGGTTCTGTGCGATAGCGTACAGATATCGAGAGCCAGTGTACAGGAAAGCGTTGGCGGAAGAAGAAGCGGAGGTCAAAATGACGGCGTTGATGATGGAGGGGAGGACCTTGATACCAGCGCGAGAAATGGCAATCACCCAGGGAGATGCAGCGGCACCAGGGGCACCAGTCTTGATGGCACTCAGCAAGTGGGGGTCGTTGTATGGCACCAAGACACCGATGGCCAAGGATCCCAAGACGTAAAAGAAGAGGATACGCCAGAAGACGCGCTTGACGGCCTTGGGTATGTTGCGACGCGGGTCCTCGGCTTCACCGGCAGCAACAGCAACCATCTCGACACCGCCGTATGAGAACGCCGCGTTGACCAAGGTCGACCAGAGACCGAGGAAGCGACCCTCTGAGCCACCAGCAATGTACGGCTTCATGGCACCAGGGTTACGCCAGTACTGGAATCCAAGACGATGTTGACCCGAAACACCACCCAAATCGATGATGAGAGCCAGGATGAGCAGACCAAGGATTGTGACGATCTTGATGGAGGCGAAGATGAACTCGGCCTCACCGTAAATGGACACAGCGAAGATGTTCAGGCAGATGATCAATATCAGTATGATCGAGATCCAGGCGGCAACATTGATGTGCAGAGCTCCATGCCAATATTGGATGACACTTGATGCTGCTGAGATTTCGGCGCAGAGAGTGATGGCGCAGGAATACCAATTGTTCCAACCGACAGCGAAGCCCATAGCTTCATCGACATATCGAGCACAGAATTGTGGAATGGCACCGGGTAGAGGTAGCCAAGTGGCCATCTCACCAAGAGACATCATCATGGCGAAGACCGCGAGACCAGTGAAGGTGTAACCGAGCAGGACGGAGAGAGGACCAGCTTGAGTGAAGGCACGACCGATACCCAAGAACAGACCCGTACCGATGGTACCACCAAGGGCGATGAACTGGATGTGACGGGACTTCAGACCTCGAGAGACATAACCGTATTCTTCGGCCGTGGCGACATCACCGTACATGTCGGTAGCTTCATTGATCTTGGAGCCTCGACGAGCCTGAGCACAAGACATGTCAGCGTCGATATCATTTCGCGATTTGTCCAACAAGACTACTCACCTCGATCTTGCCAGCTTCGGTTGGGCCATCATAAGCGTCATGTTGGGCAGGGTGGAAATGCTCTGGTGATTCCGAGCCCGACGAGCCGATGTTGTAGTCGGTATTCTTCTCGACGTTATGAGAATCCATGACGGATGGTAGTGAAGGTGATCTGTCGACAAGGAAAGAATACTCGACAACCTCGAGGGTGCGACAGGAATGACGACTTTGTGGACCAAGGGGCAAAGAGGTTCGAAAGTCGGTATGGATGCGGAGGAGGAGGGTATATGTAGGAACACGGTTGCGCTTTGTCGCTGTGTGCAGGACGATTGCGTGCAGTGGCCTGGTCTATGGCATGATCGCTTGCGCCGAAAGCCACACAGGTACGGAGTAGGGACAGGTCGTCTGGCCAGAGAGTGCTACGCTATTGACCCACTGAGGAGGGCGAACTGCTGGAGGATGTGTACAAGGATGGCTAGTGTGTGATATGGTCGAGCAGGGATCATCCAAGAACGATGATGAGGGTCTTGCCGATGGATGATGAGGTGTCCGATTCGAGAGGGCAACGGTTGCGGCGAGGCTAGACTGCGTGGAGAAGCTCGCGAACCTCAAAGAAGGTCGGTATGAGAGTCGAGACGAAGGTGAGCGAAAGAAAAGGCAGTGATCTCCGAGTGACTGCGGGTGTGGACGAGTAAGATGGCAGAAGAAAGTGGTGGCGAGTGAATTGACCTTACTCCGTAACTCAGAAGTCATCAGGCTGATTCATGGATCCTCTTGGATCGATATTGCGACCAACGATCATTGGTGACACTGACAAAAAGGAATCACTGAATCAACCAACGCTGAATCTGGTTGCCAGTGAGGGCCCCAAAGACCCATGTCACCCTCAAACGCAGTCCCACTCACGACGTTACGCTCTTATCTGTGATGGCGCCGGTGCCACTCCAAAAGCTTATTGGCGGGCATCAGCCTTGCATCTTTTATTGCAGTTCGCGTTTGGTGATCCCATGCCCCATGGCCTGATGGACGGAAGGGAAGTATTGGAGAGATGCTAATATTGCAACAGCCAATGTTGCGTTTGCTGTTTTCTGGGAAAAGAACAAGAGCGGGAGTCGCAGCAAATACTCGATACAGCGCACTTACGAAGAAGACGGCAGATCTGAAGGTCAAAAAGTATGGGGTAAGTTTCTACTACGTATTGAAAATACTAAAATGATGGTGCCATTAATCTCACGATTACTTGAGTCCTGCGTTCATGAGGAAGGTGATCACTTGATCTCTTTCTATCCTGTCTTTCTTGCCCTCGAGTCCTCGAGTGCTTGATCTCTCGATTGTGTGACAAGGCAGACCAGCTTGACAGAAATACCTGCATCCTCCCATGAAGTTCTTACCTGCAGTGTCACCCAATTTTTATTTTCGGGCACTCCCTCTATGCAGACAGCCGCGGCAGTCCGTCCCTTCGGCCACTCCCCTAATGCGGACCCCAGGCCCGAAGACGCCTAGGCGTCACACTAAAATAAAGGCAAAACGACCTTCTGGAAGGTGGCGAAGAAGCAACCAAATCACTCAGTTCCGACCCCTTTCCGAGTAGGCGAATCACTACTTTCCTCGGCTCTCCTCATCCTCCGTCATGCAGTGCTGCACATTCCGGGGCTCGATAATAATAGCCTAATCAGCTGTTCGCCTCGAGCAGGCACCGCGATGTGGAACGTACTCGCTTCTCTCGATCTCGTCCTTGCCGATGCTTAAGGCAATCGCAGAAAGGCGTCTACTTGCCTGACCGTGTCTGAGAAAAATCTGCATATCTCGTATTCACAAACTTTGAGCCTCAAGCACAGGCTGCCGCGTCCGTCAATCTTCTCGAACCTTTAGCCACCTACGCATCCCGCCGAACTCTGCCCTGAAAAAGGCTGCCCTTATGCAGTGTCTAGACCGGAGTGTCGCGTGATCAATCCTGCATATGCCCTAAACACGGCAATCAACGCACTCTTCTCACCCAAGACAAAAGGCAAAGCAGTCCGACAATAAGCGCAGCCTTGGCCTCTACACTATGACTTCAAGACACACTTCACGTGTCGCATGTGTTTTCCCACTCAGAAGGAAATCTATGTGCCACAAGTAGCCACATCTATTGCTCCGTAACACTACTGACAGCAACAACTATAGAACCTACCGTTATTCCACCCTTATCTTTGTCCAGCCTGCTAAACACGGATCAGACAAATAAGGCTGACGACCTTTTCCATATCTCAAAAAATTACACACCGGAATGCTTGGCCGTCTCTGCAAATCTGTGATCTTCTGCATTGCCTTTTAACCAGAGTTCCTAGTCGTTCGATGGATCGACGGAGAATCTTGGCTGGTGTCAAGCGACTCTTCGTCTCAATCATCCGTCACGCAACGTCATGTTCAGTCGTTTACGTCTTTCATACTGTGTACAGAATTGAGCCTCGCGTAGATATGCTCAAAACGCATGACTCGGTTCCAGTGTTGAAGTCGAATCTTGAAATCATCATTGCGTTACCAAGGTAAGTTCATGCGGCTCTATCATCATGGTCAGGAGAACACTAGCGCCAACTCTGCAAGGCACAGACTCTTGTGAAGACGTCGTTCTTTCATATGCTCCCTTGGCTCATATCACTGTCCAAATCTCCAGGTGGTTGATCTGTGCTTGGCCATGATTATCGGGACAAGGTTCTGCTCAAGTCTTGACCCATACATCGTCCCATCTCAACATCCGAGATTGGCATGCTGACAGCTCAACAAGTCATCCGTCTATGTGCAGTCTTCTATCCGTGATGTCTTGTCCATGCACATTGCGTCCCATATCCAGTGAGATGCACATACATTGCTTTGCTTACAGCGCGTTGCAGCCTCAAAAGTCCTTCGGTCACGTTGAACAGCCAGGGATACGAATACTGATGTCTTTGACTCCGTAAGTGACGTTGAACCTGAGGTCATTATCACCATGGGCCGATCGCTCTTTCGTGCAGCCTTGAAAGGACAAGCTACAGATCACTGGACAGACTTGATAACGGCTTGACATGTCGTCCTCCACGCTATACTGCCTCTAAAGACAGGCTAGCGAGGCTATCTCGAAATGGTAGTATACAAATTATGTATGCTTTGTGGTAATATCATTCACCCGTGCATTTGAGCAGCTTTGCGAACCAGAAGTATTGCTCAAAAGCCGAGACCAACCAAATGGGTTCAGCCTTTTGAAGGTGCATGTCCAGATGTTCGCATTCATTTGACTTCCCACTATACTATCGTCCCTTCAAATCTCTGACGAGGAACCCAAAATGCTCTTTTTGTTCCTCAGCCAACTTCCCCTTGGTGTCACTAATGATAGTCAACACGAGACTATAATTGTTATACAAGAACCTAGCACGCTTCGACGTATCGCCGGCCCCCTTGGCAAGCTTGCCCATCAATGCTTCAAACTCGGCCCGTAAACGACCTAAACTGTTCGCAACGGGCTCATCGTCACCTGCTTCCGCGCTTAGCATCAGGATACCCTGCAAAAACTGACCGAATCGTTGCGTGATGGCGTGCGGAGCAACAGACGATCTGGTATCGGATCCACCGACAAGAGAAAACGCGGCTGCCGCGCCTCGGTTCGTCGAAGTAGGTACTTTCTTCAACGATTCGAGGTGAAGATCCATGACCTTCTGAAAGCGCGGCCACAGGAGGATGTTGGTATAGTTGATATACGAATCTGCCGCGGGGATCTTCCGCCTCTGCAGTCCAAATGCAAAGTGCTGGTTGAGACGGACACATAATAGTATGCCCAGACAATCATTCGTGTCTTCGACCAGTTGCTTCGTCAGATTGTGGCCCATGGCGAACGTCGGCTCGAAAATGTCTGAGACACGACGCGAGATCTGCTGCAATGTACTCGTAGAAAAGACCTCTGTCACAACGGCGTACTCGGCGCAGACGTTGTCGATCAGAGCGAGGTTGAAATTGCGAAAGGGAACTTCTAGGTAATGCGCCGATTTGGTGTCTTCGACCAGATAGGCTGGCAGAGCCGAATCGTTCTTCGATTTCATCACGTCTTCTCTCCGTCCGAGGCCGAACACGTCGTGATGTTGAGAACCAGTCTTCGATGCGGCGTTCCGCCTTGCTGGGACAGGTTCGGAGCCGAGCAGGTCATACTGGTCGAAGGCATGGAGTTGTAAGGAAGCAAGTGCTTGTTGATAGCGCGCAAAGTGGCTGTTATAGTACCACCTCATGGTGTTGACATATGCCTGCGCAATCTCTTCCCCCAAGACTGCATGATTCCGCGCGAGAAAAGCGTACAGGTCTTTGTACCTCAGAAAGGTTTGCTGTTGGATCACTTGCGCATTGATGTTGGGCGAGCGAAGGGCTTTGATCTGCGCGACGATATAGTCTCGTATGCGTTCAATCGCTTTGGCTTTGAGGTCATCCAGGATAGGCTTGAGATCGTGTAAGGCCTGGACCTGTTCTGATTTCTTCTCCTTAGCTTCGATGATGGCGGATCTTGCTTCAACTTCGTCGAGCGCCCTTACAAACGTCTCGTCTATCGGGCCTTCGGCGATGGATCTCACAGTGAACGGAGAGAGACTAATATCTTCGACAGCAGGACCAAGTAGCTTTTCGACGTTCCGTCGATTGTCGAGTTTAGCGTTTAATTGGGTTGAGCGTGCTTGTAGATTCTCGATTTCTGCAGATACTTGACCAAGTTCAGCCTTGAAGTTGGTCAGGTAGGACTCGACTGTCTTCAAAACTCGGTCACATTCTGCAATGGAAGCATGGAAATCTTCGTATTTCTGTCTGTTCTCTTTGGCCGATACATCGATCGTTCGATCTAGACTCGAAGGCCGCAATGGTGTCTCTTGGTCCACGAATTCTTGTAGACTAAGACCACCAAAGTCGACATCATGTACTGTTGGCGAGCTGGCCCGCTCAGGTTTTTGGCCGCCAACTGTTCCTTTATCCGGACGTCCCAGTATGTTTCTCAACACCTTCAGCGGATCGGGAACATCAGGCGGCGGCTTCTCCTCGAACCGCAAGGCAGATCCATTGGGAAGTTTTGACGGTTGGACCAGAGAGGCTGTGGAAGTGTTTGCACTTAGCAGGTCAAGGGAAGAGGATGACCTGTTTGCCGAAAGAACAAGACCCGACCGTTGAGAAGGAGAAAGGTGTGAGCTCTTGCGCGGAGCAGGAGAGTAGGATCTCGAGGGAGTAAGTGAGCCGCTGGGTGTTGCAGAGCCTGTGGTTAGTCGGTCCAGCCACATCACGACGCTTCAGGCTCAGGTGGCCATCAATGCACATATCAACTATCACGACATTATTTCAATTGACTTCGTAGAATTGCGCATAATCAATCGAGCACCACTCTCTTGGATCTGCAACTGACTACGTGTATCAACACCTAGACCGATTCCACGAGTCAGGGTCAACAGTCGCCAAGCCTGATTGACCAAAATGAGTTAGGCTCATCTTATCGATTAGCGGACATTTGAGACTCGATTTTTTGCAAATTAGCAGGGTCTTTCCAGTGTCATTTGTAATTTCTCGCCCCCGCCCCTCGTCTCTCGCACCCACTTACCAGACTGCACTTTGATATTTTTCCCTTTGGGTCTGGCCTTTGATCTTTCTCCAACCAACACTCATCCAACTCTCTCCTGCTTCTTAAAATTTGTCGCACACCGGCTCATTTCATCCATTTGGTCTTCACCTCCCTTTTCTACTCTCGACAGCAGCTTGAAATCTTCATCATGGCGGACGACGCGCAGGTAAGCCGCCTTTTTATCTGTTCCCCTCCTTTCGTGTGTCGGCGCATGTAGCCGTTCGCAGTCAGAAGCCATCAGGACTTCACATACGTTATTAGTTGATCCGAGGACTAACAACTGATGTTGCATAGCATGAGCACACCTTCGAGTCGGCCGATGCCGGTGCCTCGGCCACCTACCCTATGCAATGTTCCGCCTTGAGAAAGAACGGCTTCGTTGTCATCAAGGGCCGCCCATGCAAGATTGTTGACATGTCTACCTCGAAGACCGGAAAGCACGGTCACGCCAAGGTCCACTTGGTTGCTCTCGACATCTTCACTGGCAAGAAGTTGGAAGATCTCTCCCCATCCACCCACAACATGGAGGTTCCCAACGTCATTCGACGTGAATACCAGTTGGTAGGAGACAGACCCGAAATTCAAGATTGAGAACAAGCGGAACTAATACTCCCTAGCTCGACATCACCGATGATGGCTTCTTGTCCCTTATGTCTGATGACGGTACCACCAAGGACGATGTCAAAGTGCCAGACGGTGAAGTTGGTGACAAGATCGAGAAACTCTTCCGCACTGATGAGAAGGACACCAGTAAGCCTACCATTGATCTCTTGGGGCCTATGAAACTAATGTGTGAACAGACGTCATTGTCTTGACTGCTATGGGTGAGGAATTGGCCATGGATGCCAAGGAGGCTCCCAAATAAATGAGTCGAAGCCGACAGCACGTCTGTGACTCGCTCCAAACACCTACTATGCATGACGAGAAACAATTACGACTTGAGCATTTGGGGGGCCGGGGCCGGGGCCGATTTGCGATCGCGAACATCTAGCAGGCCGAAGTTCGATATCGAGTTTGCCGACAGCTAGGCTGGGCCGTTGATCCGTGACTCGCCTTGAAAAATGATATCCGGATCAGTGACAAATCGATTAGCGCCGGTAAATCTTTTGAAAATCTGGTAGTTAGACGAACAAAGCAATTACCACGAACACTGAATCTCAAAGTGTAGTAGATTTTCAGCCTCAAAATCCAACACGAAAACTCATGAATGTCAAAGACCTGATTGGTGCAAAGCTGATTGTAAAGCCAGCGTCCGTGCCGTAGTCTGGATCTTTTCATGTCTCGACAAAGTGACTCTTCAATCCTAGCCAAATATCCTGCAATCACACTCCTTCATAACACTGCCACCTATTGGTTGTTGAGCGTCGAATAATCCCGCCTGCCATCATGTCTCAGTGGCCGGATATCTCACTCTTTCAATATCATGGCCGAGGATGAACGCTGCGAGCAATGTGGCTCTAGGACTTTTGATATAGATGAGGATGGTAGGACCTATTGCGACAACGGGCACGAGCAGGCGAGGGGTCATATCGTTGCCGAAGATGATGCAGATTTCAGCCAGAGAGGGAAAACCCTGAGAAAGAGAGAAGCTAAAGAGAAGCAAAAATTCTCAAAAGGTGAAGCATTTCCTGACTCTGAGGGCTGTTGCCATTCCCGAGTTGTTGCTAATAGGTCTGTACATGCGCAGTGCTTCGAGGCTCGAAAGCATATCAATTATATTTGCAATGCTGGCAGTACATCCTGTGGAAACAATGCCATACCTTGGTCCACCAGGAAGGCTTGCCAGCTGAACTCTGGGTAAGTTCGCAATCGTACTCCGTTCTATTGTCTTCCCCTTCGGCACTGATGACTTGCGTTGCAGACAATCGTCCGCGATCTATGGACATTCTGGCTAACACAGCTTGAAGACCGTCTTCAAGCTTCGGCTGGTGCCCCCAGTGCCACGGAAATAGATACTGAGGGAGAGCCTGCAACGATATCTGGCAATGAGACGACCACCGATTCCGAGAGCGCAGGAGAGTCCAAACTTGGCAGAAAGCGCAAGCAGACGCAGGGGAGCCCTTCTCTCATAGATACGATCGCTTTGAGCTACATGGGCGTTCTGCTCCTGCGAAGACCAATTGGCCTTGCCACCGTCCTAAGGTATGTATCTCTATCTCCTCTCGCCTTACTTCATCACTTACGATACTGAACTAGGTGGATACAGCAAGAAGACATCCCTTATATCCGTGCCATCAGACACCTACCTCAGGAGATGAAAGATCGCCTGCCGTCCGAATATCACATGTCTCTTGACACGATACGACTCCTCGAACCGGACGACCTCCAGATAGCGATCTTGCGCCGGGCACAGATGTACAACTCTTCGTATGGGATGATCATGCCTCCTCTCAACGTCAATCTCTTCCTTCTCAATTACGTTCGATCATTAGCGCTGCCGCTCGAGGTCTACGCCACGGTTCGTCGACTAAGCGAAGTCACCAAATACGTCTTTTCTTATCCACATGCTGGCACAGCGGCAAACATGCGACGCCAGGCAACTACTTTCCCTGAAGCTCAGTTGATGTCTCTAGTGGTTATTGCCACGAAACTCCTTTTCCCTTTCGATTCGCAGACAGTCAGACGCTACCCGCAACACCCGAACGATCCTATTACACTGCGACTGGACTGGACAGCTTGGCTGATTGCAAAAGACCAATTCGACAAGGTTTCCGAAACCATGACCGAACCGGATAGTCTCAAGTCAGGCTCCGAGATTCATGTCACGGACAAGGACGTTTTCAACCTGTCAGATAAGCAGCTCGATCAATACATGGACTGGTTCCAACGTAGCTGGATCAATTCGACGTCGACACAGGCCCGGCAATCTCAAGAAAATGCCTTAGACAAAGAGATTCTGGACATGTTCCCTCTTCATGACCTGCCAGAACCGGTCAAGACACCCGAGCAGGATCAACAAGCGAGGGCCTTAGAACAAGAACGTTTGAATACGCGCATCCACGAAGTTCAGGGCACGCTCCTACCACGCAGAGCTATCAGCCTGGAGGAAGAGGCTGAGCGAGGCATTGACGTCCTTCGGCCCGGCGAGAAGTACCCGCGATTCTTCCATGTTGACGAGCTCGATAAAACGGACAAAGTGGTCAGAATTTTCCATGAAGAGGCTGCGCGCGCTGCTTGTCTTAGCCTCAAGGCTCTTCTCAGAGCTGTGAACAGATCCGAAGAGAAGATCGAGCGCTGGCTCAGGGATCGAAGGAGACAGGATGTTTTCGGTGACGACACGTCGACGGAGGAGAAGGAAATGCCAGAGACCAGTCCTCCGACTGCATCAGGCACATTGGCCAGGAACATGGAAGGCGTGGCGGAGGATGAAATGCCAGCGACCAGTCCTCCAACTGCATCAGGCACGTTGGCCAGGAACATGGAAGGCTTGGAATTAGGACAGACGCTTGATCCCGATACGCAAGAGGATGTGGATGTAAACGCATATATAGACATGGAACTGCTGCCGGAGCTGGAAAGGAGTCTATCAGGCTTCTAGGATATATGTATGAACAGGGAAAAGGTAGCCTTGATATTCCCGCCCGCGCATTTCTTTTGTACAGTTCCCGCCCTAAGGCGCTATCATTCAGTACCGGCCAGTCCAGTATCTGTCTACCTAGATCTAGGTATTCTGCCAGGCAGAGAGGGATGGTGGATGCGTGTTGATGCTACGACAGTGGATGTAGTAAACCAACCCCCAGAAAGGACTGCACAATAGAGCTCCTCCCTGTTCTGACAACCTTCCGAACGGACGATCAGTGTTCTTTCACTGGCATTGGCTCCATAATCGTTCTCGCTGCTCTTGTCTGCCTAGGAGATCGAGCGATCAATAGAGAACGAGTGGACACATTGTAGCATGAAAGCCGTGAGTATACATACATACCAGGCTACACTGTCGAGCCTTGTCTGCCATCAACAATGAGACACTATTTCTCCCTCTCGACCTTCCCACCCTTGCCCGCCCAATCATCCCAACTCCCAGGATACTCTCCAACCTTCCCACCGAACCCGGCCCGCTGCGCCAATTGTGCCGCCGCCCGACTCCTCACCCCAGCCTTACAATAAAATATCACCTCATCCCCGTCCCCGGGTTTCTGCCACCCAAGCCGATCCTCAAACTCATCCGGCGACAAGAAGAACGCGTCCGACGCCGTCTTGACAGGCAAATTATGACTCCCCGGTATTTTACCCGTGTTTTGTAACTCTCCCGGCTCCCGCACGTCAATCAGTATGCGGTTCGGGCTAGGTTTGTCTGCAAAACCCTGAATGTCGGCGTAGTTGTAGACTTTAGATTCGCCGGGGGCAGAACTGGGGTCGTCTCTGCGCGGGACGAGTGTCGTGGTAAAATGCCGCTTTGGTTGGCGCAGGGGCATTGACGACGGAAACGGGGGTTTCGAGCACAGCCTGACACTAGATGCTGGAAGTATGCGGTGCACGGAACGTGCTGCGATTGCGGTAGTGGAGGTAGCTGCGCTAGACGTCGAGATGCGTTCGAGGCTGCGGGACACTGTGCTGAATGCTCGTTTGGAGGCCATGTCGATTTGATGGCCGGACTGCACCGTATCGTCTTAGTTGATCTAGACACGCAGCAGGAGCTTGAGCAGGAAGGACACAAAATGTGACAAGAAGCTTTGTATTGAATGGCAGTTACTCATATGGAAACGACCTCGGCGAGAAGCAGCAGAATCAATTGAAATGACGTCGATCGGCTGATCTCCGGCTTCCAACGAACGAGGCTGGCATGGCAAGGGGCAAGGACCTTGAACGAAAAGCACAGGCTTGTTCCCAACAAAGTACACTTGCATTCTTAATATGTAGCAAGTCTAATCGTTGCTTAGTAGACATCCATCCTGTTGTCATGATCAGGTCTTGTTGCCTGTCCGAGTCTCCGTCCCTACAACTCATTAAAACTCCTCATTCCATTCCAACCATAACTCCCAGATCATGTTCATTTTTTCCCATGGTTCCGTTGTCCCAATCTATAGTCCTTTGAATCTCTCCCAGCCCGCTGCTCCGTTCTTTGGAGGCGAAGCACGGCCTTCTTCTGCCATTTTTCCACTAACATCACGTCTCCGTCCCATACCTGCGCCAAACTCGGAACTCAGACCAGCATAGCCTCCATCAAGGTTGTAGCCAGTAGTGTTGGAAGTTTGACGAGCTCCGTTCCATTGACCTTGCTGACCTTGCGGCGCATGGCCAACTTGAGCGCGGACCTTGTCGTCTTCCTCACTGTCAGAGGCATAGACTTCGAAATTGGCACTGCTGTAGTCACTCTCTGACTGCATTGTTCTTGTCCTCTCATAGGTATCTCGGATCTCGTGCACGGAAACATTTGCGTCTTTCTTATCCTGCTGCGAAGTGATCGAGCCAATGGAAGACCGCAGGCTACCATAGAATCGAGATTTTCCGCCACTTCCGACAAAGCTTGCCGGTCTGGGGCCCATATTCGGTCGATCTTGAGCGTTACCATCAGCATCCTGTAACACCACCCTCGCAACATGTACTTCGGCGACTGGAGTAGCCATTGCTGGTGTGGAGTACATGCTCTGAGCCTTGTATTGCCCGCGAGTAGGTGAGGGAGGGTTCATATTAAGCGGCTCACGACTTCTCTTGTTGGGTGGTAGCTGCGGAGGGGGCATCTGCATTGTTTGGTGCAGGCTGGATCTGCTCGATTTGTTCGACATAGGACTGCTGTTGTTGGGTACTTGCAGCTGCATGTTGCGTGGGGGCGAGCCCTTGTACCAGTTCTCTCGTTCATCTTGCATCTTGTGGCGTGGCTCATCTCGTGGAGGAGAGAATGTCGACACTGGAGAAATAGGTTGGACTTCGTGGTCTAGCTCGGCCTCGGCTTCTTCGCTAAGACCAACAGGCACACCCTCGTAGTCGACGTACGAGAGCCATGAAGAAGGTCTTGAAAGTCCAAATGAGCGTCCAGGGCGGACATCGAGACCAGTACCAGCTGGACGCGAATTCGGAGATGGGTTGACAACGGAATTAGGTTTCTCAGGTGAGGAAGACCTTGACCATCGCCACGGGTCTTTCTCATTGTCGATTATCTCTTTGCGTAGTTCTACCCTAGAATTGCGCGCACTGTCACTGCCATACAGGGTGACGCTATCAGCCGAATCGGTCCGAGTATGGATAAATGGGATTCTTTTCGACCCTGATTCCCGGAACTCGTTCTTAGCCACCAATGCTGAAGCTTTCATGTTCTTTTCCGTGATGCCTTCGGATTTGTTTCGTTTGTGTCTTGACGTGAGGTTGGGCTCGAGAGGGTTCATGTCGGGAGGCAGTCTGGCGATTTGCTTGAACTTCATGCCCAAGTAGATGTCCAAGACGAGAGAAACAAGAATAATGCCACCTTCGCTGCATGATAGCAGGAACAGAGCATGAATGATCTTGTATGTTATTGCGTCTTCATTGAACAATGTACTCCATCCATATGTATTGTTCGTGTAATCTGCATAAGACAACCACGCAGAGAAGACGAGGAAAGGTATCAATGATGTGTCAACGAGAGCCGCGAATATCATATAGCTGGCGGTCGAAGTAGGAGTTCGTCCGGTGGCAGCTCGGCAGAGGTGGTGGATTCCGTAGATCGTGTGAAGGATTGCAATAGCAGGGGCAGCTCGAATAATCCATCCGACAGTCGTGGAAGTCTTGTTGATGGCGATGACGCAGAAGAGTATCCCAAGAGCACCTAACACGCCGCATGCTCTCAGGAAGAGCTGAACCTGTCGGGCCCTGGTGACTCTCTGCTCTGTGTTGGGATGCATTGGTTTCGCGTTGAGGTTGCCATAAGGGACTACTACATACTTCGAAACAATCAGTCCAACACAACTATGAGGGCGCCCAGGCGTAGAACTTACAGTATCAGGGTGCTTGTTGAAGTCAATCAACGGACCCGTTTGCTTTGGTCTGGAAGTCGTTGGAGCCCATGATGCTTCAGTTGCAGCTTTTGGATTGAATGCACGGCTAGTCGGATTTGCAAAGTTGTAATGGCTGGGTTTGTCGTAGATGAAGGGCGGTTGAACACCCATTCTAGGCGACGGAGGATTGCTGAATCGGAATGTCAGCAGAACAATTAATGATGGAATGTAGAATCCATAAAAAGAGGTCATAGCGAAATGTCACTTGCTCAACTTTGTATTTACTCAACTGGTTGTTGCCGAGCAACCGTTCCTTATCGATAAGCGCGAAGCCTAAAACGCAAGGCTGAAACATGCACAGACCGCCTACAACAGCATGATACAGTATAAGCAGATGAGAATGGGGTCTTGCATCCTCTTCAAGAGGCAACAAAGGTCTGAAAATCATGTAGTTTGTTGATTCTACAATGCAAGTGATGGTATTGCAGGCACTGGCTCAGGTGCTCTTCTTAACAGCGTGAGAGGGGCTTCCGCCTCGCCCTCATTTCACCCCCAACAACACCAGTGCGTTCACCAACTCCTCCACTGCACATTTGACCTGGACCATGCCATCCTCACGACTGAGATAGTCCGGGACGACCGCATCCGACGGCTCCCCACGCCCACCACGATTGAAGCGCCAGACCGGACCTTGTGTCGTCTCACGAACATAAATCCAGTCTTTTCCGGCCCTTTCAAGGTCCTTGGCCGCGTATTCACAGAGACGGACCACTTCCTCGTCATCTTCCGAATCCGGCTCGTCCAAATAGAACCCAAAATTCTTGGCTGACCTCACTCGACTGTCCGGATATGTCTCCCAGAACTCCGGGTCTGATGGCGAGCATTGCAGTCCCGTAGCTGAGCAAGCGTATTCGTATACATACATTCCATACGTCTGCACGTATTCTTGCAATCGGGCAATGCGGTCAGAATTTGGGAAAAGTTGGTAGAGATAAGCCCAGCGGCTGCAGGCCTTTGCGCATAGAGTAACAAGGCCGGCGAGCATTTCAAGTTGCAAACCCAGGGTATTGTAGTTGACAAAATCGCAAACAGTGCTCCTCAAGCGCTTTCCCGCTGCGACAAGCCACATGACCATAGTCTCAGCAAATTGTTCCATGTGGAACTCGTCTTCGAGGTCTACTCGTAGCTCCAGACTGCTCATGATGGTCGTGGCGACGGCGATTACAGGCGAGGCGAAAAGCAACGTCGGTGCAATTCGATCCGATAGACCCGGTTCGTCGAAAGTGCCAGCGATGTATGCGGGCAATACTGCCTTAAGGAAGAGGAATTGGGTTGAGATGTCGAGCAAGTATTTCCCCTCTTCATTGATGTAGTTGAAATCGGCAGCGGCAAATATTTTGGCCACTTGATGCACCAGTTTGGTCTGATCTCCTGCAGCGCAGGCTACTTCGCAAGCCACACGAAGAACTTGGACTGCGTGCTCGTCATCGACGTGAGCTGGCTGCTCTCCTCTGAGGATGAACAGTCTCTCGAGATGGAGAATCTTATCCTGAAAACCCGTCTCGTTCGTATCGACGAACCATGAGTCGATCACAAAGTTCGGGAACGTGCATGCACTGATCTCGAAGACGACATCGTGCATGAAGGATGTCCATGCGGCTCGCTCTCCTGTTGGTGTCTGCTGCCATGTGCGCTTCAGGGCTGTAGCAATCACCCCCAATAATCCTTCCGCAGCCGACTTGTTGAGGCCTTGCTCAAGTGGCTCGTCAACAGCATACTGCATATCTTGAATGGTCCGAATAACGTGGCGAACAATCTGGAGACGGTAATGAACCAAATCTTCGCGTGTCAACAGAAAGTTGGGCGTTCCACTCGCAAACCTCCCACGGAGGGCTTCCAGTGCCAGGACTTGCGGAGCGGTTTGGATCAATGTGTTCGTCAAGATGTGCTCGAATGTCAGATCCTTTAGCGGGACCAGCATAGACGACAGCCATGCTTCCAAGAATAAGTATAACTCCTCTTTGAAGTATACCTTGTCTGCTGCTGCGATTTTGCTGAGCAATAGAATATGACAACGTCTACCAAGCTCATTGCCGGCAATCCGAGAAAATGAATATGTGCCATGTTGAGACATGTAGAGGTCCCAACTATCATTGCCGCTCAATACCATAGTCCTCGCAACTTGGAACCACGTCTCGACCATCGATGCCAACAAATACTCGTCCAGAGCAGGATCACGACCCAGCTGCGTTGCAAGTACTCTTCGCAGCTGCTGTCGAATGTCCAAGAGAAGAGGGTTGGGCTCCCTGCATTTCCGCAGATAAGATGTCACAACGTTGAGAATACTGCTTGTCGTCGAGTCTTCCAGCCATGGCTGTGGGTTGCAGAGCGCAAGCAGTTCGTCTAGGCGTTCACCAGTCAGCAATTGGCGTGCCTGAGACTCCTGGAGAGAAAGGTCAATGGCTTCTGCATATCTCTCTGCTAGGCTGCAGAGCAGTGCGTTGGCATTCTTTCGGTTGTTTTCGTGGGTTAACGAGTCGGCCGCAGTAGTTTCATCGACAAAGGCATCTTTGAGTTTTCCGCAGATCTGGAATATCATGTCCTGAATCCACACAGCAAGCTGATGGAGTTCCATTGTACTCATAGGCTGTGGAACCACTGATCTAACAATGCTAGCCCAACATTTGATTACGAGATTGCATACAGCATAGTGCGCCTTTCCGAATTCGACGAGATTCCTCATATATGTGAGATCGGGCTTGTATCCAATTGGTGAATAATGGTACAAAGTCAGGAGTAGGAGGTAACGGTTTTCCATAGCGGCGAGATCCGCAAGATGAATGGACTTTTCGACATCAACATTAGGACCATTATTTGGTAGGAGACTGAAGACTAGTGACACTTTGCGCAAACCTTGCTTTCGAAGTGTTGCAGGGTCGTAAGCATCGGTTACTGCATGTTGTCCCAGTGTGAAAGCAACCATTTTCAGGAATAGCTGAAAATCTGTATCGTCAGGCTCAGGGACTATGTTTTCGGCTGGAAGCTGGAGTTCGAGAAAGCTGGGCGTGGCCGGGGATGTCTTCCCGAACAAATCGAGCATGTTGACGGTCTTGGTTGAGTAGTATTTGAAAATCTGTCTCAAGAGGTTATCGGCAATACCTCTATTGACTGAGCGTGCAAGCCAGAGGCACCATTGCAGGGCTCGTCGACCAAAGTCATCCAGCATACCCAATTGCTTGTTCGATATGCTCCGTTCTTGAAGGAACACATTGAAAAATGCATTGATTGCGCTGGAGAGCACGGAGAATCCAGACGAAATCAAGGAGTCGGCATTTTCGTCCCCATAGGTCTCGGGGTCGGCTTTCCCGACCACAGAGAAGACACAAGCCAGGGTTAGAATAGTGGAAGCAAGCTTTATTGCTGCATCTAATTGAAGAGGGCCACCAGTCAAATGGTTCGACACGATATCGCTGATTTCGGAGATGCAAACTTGACTGAGGCCGACCCTGTGTAAAAGGAAAACAGTCTCGATTTCGGTTTCAAAGGGCTTGGTGAATGCTGCATCTGATGCCGATCCATTCTGTGAGAGATCTGCGACATAAGCGTTGAGGGATTTGAGGAATTGTACTCTGAATGCTTTGGAGAATGCGAGGATTGCCAATCTCTGGCGGCTTCCTACACACCTCGTTTCGAGCATCTTTCCTGAGGTTGTAGTAAGCCTGGATAGTTGGTACCCGAAGACCGTCAACCGGTTGAGAATTGGTAGGGTGACAGTAACTCCTGCCGCGGTTGATGCGTGATCGCAAGGTCTCTCGAGCTCTTCTAGAAGTCTGTCGATCTGGTCCAAACCGTACGCGACGAAGTCGTCCAGCTCGAGGTCAGTTTTGAAAGAGACGCCATCATTCAGGCAGGCTATCAGTGAGTCGACTGACACTTGAGCCCTTTCCGACACAGCAGCATTGCCATCTGCTGGATACAATCGATCTTCGCCGTGACTGCGAATGCTCGACGCTATTGCTTCGAACGACTGGGCCATCATTTCTTTTGCTCCCAACCAATGATAACCACGCACTGCTTCATCTGCGTCCTGCGCCGTGCCCAGTGCGAAAGCACTATTACCTTGGAACACGCGATTGGGGTCTGCCATGGACTCTATCGTCTTGGAAAGCAAGCCATTAGGTCCGACGATGGGGCTGTACAGTGCCATGTCCTTCAAGGGCAACGCTGCTTCAGGGGGATAGTTGAAGTCCCCAAAGGCGATGCTATTTGGGTGATTTGAACTGTAGTGTGCAGACTCATCTGTTGTGGAGATCCCGGGGGCTGCGCGACTTGCAGTCCCATGGTGGACGATATCGTTGCCGGACTCTTGAATCGGCCTTGCGGCCTGATTCCTTCGAGGGTGAGCTTTAGGGGGACGACGTCGAATGCGAAGTGTAGGGCAAGACTCTTCTTGTAGCGCTTGAGTAGTTTTCTCTTTTCTTTTGCTTGCAGGCTGTGGTATGCGCCTCCGGGCTGGGAATTCTACCCGATCGTTCAATATGCTTTCAGTCTGCTCCAGGTCTCTGGGAGTGCTAAGTCGTTGACTGAGACTGGTTTGGTTGTGGTCAGCATTCCGATACTGGAAACGGTCTACAAGAGGATTGGCGTAGCTGGTTTTGTGCGGTCTTTGTGCGGATTGCAGAAATTGATCCCGAACACGGTTGCTGGGGATGCGTTGGAGAGTTGCCTTGGTCGACTTTTTGAGAGAATCGAGCTGCGTTGTCCTTTGGTCAACTTCGATGCTTGTATTGCCGTTACCAACATCCTCGATCGGGAGCCGCTGCGCATTGAAGCGTGTACGACTTGTGCTGCGAGCGACAGGTCCCTGTTCCCTGCCCGGTCGAGTCTTCCAACGTTCCAATTCATTGTTGATATCCAAGGTATCTTGAGTTGTTGCGAGTCTGAGGTATTTTGTCGACAGATTCTGCGCTTTTGTTTCGGCATTTCCTGCTCTTCGCCTCCCTGCAATCCTAAGGAAGCGTGGTACGTCCTTGTCTTCGAAACCAGGCGCGTCCAGGATAGTCAATTGTTGCTTTTTGTGTCTCTTTTTGAGCTGTTTGCGCGGGTGTGGCTGATTGGCTGAATTGCGGGCAGATGCTTTCTTACGACTGCCAGGATGAGGTACCGTAGAGGTATCATGGCTCCTAACAGTGGTAAGAGATTTTGGTTTCGCCCAAGTCTTTTTCAAATTTTGCTGTTTTCTTCTGGAAGTGTAAGCCTTTCGCTCCTTTGGAGCAAGCATAGCATCAATGGCATCGTCTTCCACGACATCCTCGATCCAAGGTTCTTGGCCATTGACAGAGACGTCATCCCTATCAATCATCACCAGATCGTCCGAGTCACTCTCCGAAGAAGCTTGAAGGGTCTCAGCGTCCAATGACATTCGTTTCTCCTGCCAACTTTGAGCACCCGTACCAATACGCGGTCCCCGTCGAGCTACTCCCCGCTCCAAAGCAGGCTTGACAGGTGAATGGCCGTTCCTACGCTGGACATCTTTGGAGTTTTGTTTCTTGACATCGAGCTTCAACCAAGAAGCTGGCAGTACACCCTTGATCCTTCGTCGAAGAACCTGCGCTCCTTGAGAATCATCTTCTGTGTTCTCGTGAGCAGAGGTGGTGGCATCACCATCGTTGCTGCTATCAGCCCCTGAGTCAGAAGAGCTCAAGCTCTGTAATTCAAGAGGCCTCTTGCTGCGTTGCCTGTCGGAGGACAGTATGGGAGTGGGAAGCGCGGCAGGCGTGGTGTCCCCTTGCGACAAAGCGTGCGTACCGGAGGTTATACCGTCTTGAGACGATAATGTTCCACGCGATCGAGGTGGTGAAGGGGGGACGATGAAGTTCGCACGGACCCTGTGTACTCCTTCCTCTGGAACGTCTTCATCTTCAGGGAGGTCATATATGCGATAGCCGTCATCATTGGTCCTCATTGGAGGCCTCACTGGTCGCTTGGAAGGCTTGAACAATTGTGTGGACCTGTTACCGACTTGAGTGGAGTGGCTTTGCAACAAGTCCGAGAGTGCGGGCAGATCATCGTCGAAACCAAGGTCTGCCGCCGTGTGCAAGAGACGTCGACTACGAATTGGACTCTGAGACTCTTCGTCATGGCTTTCTGGCAATGGGCTGGAAAGCCGTGGGCGGTTATCTGAGTCCTGTGCTTGACTGCTCTCATACGTGTCGGCGCCTTGAGAATCATCCTTCGTGGTTTCATCCGGTTTCGAGGCAGTGATTGGCACGTGGACGGGTCGCAACCCCCTTTCTTTGAGACTCTGCCGATATTTCGCGTCTTCAAGCGCGTATGGATGGAGTTGTATGGGTGCTCGAGGTCGGAAAGACCTCCTTACAACCGCGGCTGCCAAATGTTGAGCTAGGGTCTCATTGATTGGATGGTGAGTGGCTTCAACGTTCGTCGGTAGGAGAGCCTCATGCTCTGGAGACAAGCTTGGGCGAGGCGAAAGTGGTGGCGACGATGGTAGAGATGAGAGAGGACTGTCGGTCTCATCGTCTGCTCCGACTTTGGTGCCGACCAACACGTCATGGATGGTCTGCAAACCCTTGTGTAGTTCATTTTCCAGTCTGGCAGCAGTTGAATGGACAGACTCTTCAGGCTGAGGTACCGGCACTAACAGTGGTCCTCCACTGATAGAATGAGGCTGATTGATTTCAAGATCTTCAGTTGGCTCTCTCGCCACCTTCTCGTGCACACCATTGGGCGCATGCAAGATCTCTGATGAGCTTTCTGGAGTGATAGTGTCATGGTTGGCTGAAAGATCGAGGTTGCCATTTACAGGTTCATCATCCTTCGGCCTTAAGAGTCCATCCACTGACTGACGAAATGGGTGATCTTGCAGACCCCCATAGTTGGCCGTTACCAGTTGGACATCTCTTTCCTCCTCGTCTTCATCGTCAGAGTCTGGCACATAGCCCCGCTCCCTCCAATCGGCCATTGTCGTATTCCATGGTATTTCCCTGTTGAGATACAACTACTATGAAATCTGGACGCGAAACATTCTTCATCTATTCACGTCGACGCGTCGGGATCGAGGAAGCATAAATATTTGATGCTCCACCGTAGTGACGCCATGGCACGTGAACATTGACTCGGAAGATCCTCGGTCCATAAAATGTTGACGAGCAGTTTACAGGCATGCACGGGTTTCTGGATCAACATCTCGCACACCCACTGCAGGGGAAATAGAGGCTCAGGAGGAAGCATGAGTTCGCGACTGGTTGCAGGGGCAATGGTCATTGGCTTCGGGATCCTCAATGGTACTACTCGTCATGCTGTATCCTCAGCGGCAACCTGTTGATGTTATTCCAGGATATATGATCTTCAAGCCTGCGTTCGAAGAGATGGAAATGGAGAAACTGAAGAAAGAGTACAGAACGCGCCGCTGAACTTCCAGCATGAGTTAGTGACTGATTTCCTGCTTAGGAACGAACTGGCCGCGAATCTTGGGCCTCATCTGATTGAGATACCGGTGCAGACCATCAATTCGTCATCAAGGCAGCAAGCGAGCCAAACTGGCTGAAACAACCCCCTTCCTCCGTCGCGGGCCGCCCACGACGAGTCAAGAGCAGGAATGAAGACGATTACCAGATAACCCGATGCTGAATTGGACAAAACACAAAAGCGCCGTGCCACCAGCCTTCACGAACAGGTGCTGATGCGGTTCCGCCTTCGAGTATGGTCATGGCGTGATGTCGCGCCTCATCGCTCGACTCACCAGCATAGCGACGCATGTGATGTACCCGGGAAAGTCTCGCAGCGGAAGTCGAGAGACATACCACTCTCTTTGGTGGTTGTGCAGGCGAGCATTCAAGTCGCCTACCTTGGTCAGTGGTGGTGACTACAAATGCTTCCTACTATGAAAGCACTATATCGAGCCTCCGCAAGGCTCTTCCTCGACTCACAGTTGGTTGCAGCACCAGGTGAAAAGAACACTACTCTCGCACCACGACCACAGGTGGGTGTTCAGCAGTGTGTATTGCAGTTCTCGGATATGTAGGCTGGGTCTCTCCCATGGGCATGTAATTTCAGTCCTTGGACGAATATCGAGGGAATGAGCATTGTCTGCGAAGTCCACTACTCCCATTTTGTGCACTCATTCGATGCCGCCTACATGTTCGAGCGTTTCTCCATCTGACAACCTGGCACATTACTCAACTTCCTGCACGAGAGAGTTGTTTGATGACAAGGGTGCCCCAAAGTATTGTCCGACCCTCTTGCCTAACCATTCTTCTGGAACTCCGAACTTGATACCCTCTTTCGAACTAGTCCATCTAGTATATATTGGATTGGCCTTGGGCACCCATTCTTCCTCTTCGTACGGTGAACCGGTTGCTGCAGCTGCGGCCGCCGCCAGAGTCTCTGGCTTTGGAGCCGCTCCTCTTGTTTTGGATACTTGTGGTTTGAGCTGGGTGGTATTAGCTCAAAATCAACATTTGTCAGTCAGAAAGACGTACCAGACGGTTGAGAGCAGCCGTTTTCTCCTCCTGCACTTTGCGCTTCGTCAATTCTTTCCTCTTTCTGGCATGCTCATCCTTCTTCATTGCCTTCTCTGCGTCGGTGAAGAACTGAGAGCTGTTAGTGCATGCAATTCATCAGCAAATGGTGGTGGAACCTACCTTGCGTTGTTGTGGTGCCATATCAAGTGCCAGTAGGGTGCCTTGATCCTCCGGTCGACCTCGCTGCCTCTTAGTCAACTTAGCCAGATCAGGAGTCGCACTGCCTGAACCCGGTGTGTCATCGCTGCTATCCTCGAGATCATCGTCATCTGCATCATCATCTTCTTCCACTTCCTCGTCTTCGCCCACCGCGATGCCCTCCTGCATCTCCATCTCCTCTTCCTCCCCTTCAGCGTCTTCCTCATCTTCGTCATTGACGTTGGCTGTCGTATCGCCTTCTGCGTCTGACAAGTCAGAGGAATCGTCAACCTCGTCATCACCTGGGTCGTCTTCCATCTCTTGGTCTTCGACAGACTTGAGAGGCCCAACCTTGGCAGGTGTGACAATCAACTTCGGCTTTCCAATTTGTTTGCCATTTGGCTTTGCTGCAGGTGGCTTCAATGTGATCTTGGGAGGCTTGGGCGGAACGTGGCGCTTTGGCGGAGGCGCATCCTCCATCTCGACATCTTCGTCATCCGTTCCTCCCTCAGGTTCGGCACCGAGCTGGTCGAAGTCATTCATCGCCTCTTCTTCTTCCACTTCCTCCTCATCTTCCTCGTCCTCATCCTGTTCCGCGTCTTCATCTTCGTCGTCTTCGATGTCGCTCTCACCGAATTCGGCATAAGTCGGTCTTTGAGGGGCGCGTGTGCTAGTTCGTGCAGCTATAGCTGACCGGCGACTGGACCGTGGTGAGTCTAGTACTTGCCCGCCACCAAGGGTATCCTGGAGTGCTTCGACTTCATTGGCACGCATGACTTCTCGTAATTTGCTTGGGGGAGCCTTGACAGTCAGTTTTAGACTGTGTCGTCGGTCGTCTGAGGTGCCAACTCCTCGCTGCACCGAGGCTGAGGAGGTAGGCGCATTAGCAGCAGTTGGCTGGCCGGCGCGCCGCGGCCTGGATGACGGCGGAGTCGACGCTGCCGAAGAGCTGGGTATCTGGTCAGCTAATTCTTTCCTTTGCCGATATAGAGATCTGAGGATGACCATGATGACTACAAAACGTGGCAAGTGCTGATGATGGATGGATCTGCGTATGATAGAAATTCTGATGCAACGGATGTGACTTCGAGAGGCTTATCGTCCATTGTGGTCAACAGTGAGCCGCCACTCGACGAGCAGTCGCGACGGCGGCTAGGCGTTGACATCTTCCGCAAGGTCCCTCCGATGTTGCTCGTCACTGGCAAGACAGTTCGGTACCATCAATAGCCGGCGAGGTCACGAATATCGTCGATATCTTGCTCATGTCCAGTGCACAGTCTTTCTTGCTGCCGAGTTGGTGCTTTTGGGGATAGGAGAAACACAAGTGCGATACAAAGGTGATTTACTTACTCGTATCTGCCTGCTCTGCGCATTGAGTCGATTTTCCTAGGATCGTAGTCTTCACCACTGCCAGTGTCTGATTCTTCAGGATTGTCGTCGGTGGCATCACTGATTTGACGTCGCACACGCCGGTTTCTATCTGTCATTTTCAGGCTCGGCTAGGCGACCTTGCTCGTTTAGCTCGGCAACCCACTCTCCTGCGCGCGGCGGTTGATCTTGTGAGGTTTTTGCGGTGACCTAAACCCTGTTCCCTCTTCCCAAACGCGTTCTTGAACGTCTTAGAAGCAGCACAACATCCAGACCTATCGCTTGATTCGTTTCGGAATTTTCAGTAGATATCGTTTGTCCAATAAGACCCTAATGTAATGATATATCAAGCTGCCGGTATTAGGGACACACTGACGATATGGAAACGTAGCCAGAGGTATTTTGGATGTGGCTTGCTCCTTCAAATGCGGTATAGCGTCCAGTCGTGGCTAGGGAGGCCTACGATCTCAGCCCCATTATTGTCTTCCCCAGCCCAACGGCGTTGAGCCGAGGCGCAACCTTCATCACCTGCTCACATGCGTCTACACTTTGCGGTCTTGCTCATCAACATTTCTCACGACGCCAGCACAATCTCACGCGAGCACACTCTGACCCTTTGGCATGGCTCCGGATTCGAAGAATATACCTTCAATTCCAGTATGGCAGCGCAAACCAGACGACAATGCGCAGCAGCCAATCCTCCCTAGTGGACCTGTGTCCGACACCGAGTCGACCACCTCCACAGACCTCCCTCTACTCGACCAAGCACGCAAGTTCCTTGAAGATGAGTCGATACAAGACGCCCCACGAGAACGCAAGGTTGCCTATCTCGAAACAAAGGGTCTGAACCCTGAACAAATAGAGCAATTGCTGGGCTCTGAACCACAATCCTCCCCAGATTCGTCTTCAGCATTGAAGACAGTACACGATACCACACAAGACACCAAAGTAGAGCCTCAGGAGGCCCCGGCTAGCACATCGCCCACACCCGCCGGATCCTCACAACCTCAAACAGCCACCCCCAAACGAGACATCCCACCCATCATCACATACCCCGAATTCCTGCTCAAGCCTCAAAAGCCTCCACCACTCGTCACTTTCGAGCGTCTGGTAGACGCAGCCTACGTCTTCGCTGGCGTATCCGCCCTAACGTACGGAGCGAGCAAGTACATAGTTCAGCCGATGCTCGAAACCCTCTCCCAAGCACGGCACGACCTGGCCGAAAGCGCGATCGCCGACCTCGAGCAACTCAACTCGAAACTCGAATCCACAGTATCCCACGTCCCATACATAGCAAGTAGCACCATCCTCCAACGGAAGCCCGACGACGACCTCGAGTCCATCGACTCAGACCCAACCGAGCTCTTCCACCGGGACATCGCAACACAAACGTCTCCCGCACACTCGGGCTTGTCGACCCCCGACGAGAACTCAGCACAAAATCCCACCACCTCCCAGTCCTCACGGCTACGTTCCCTTCACGTATCGCTGTCCTCCTTAGTATCCTCCACCAATACACATTTCTCGGAAGACCGGCTCAAAGAGCAGGTCACAGAATTCCAGGGCGTGCTGGACAAGCTTTCGGCAAGCTACAATCCATTCCAGCTCGACTATGGCGGTTCAGCACTCACAAGCTATACCGACGATAAGAGTAAGAGCAGGAAGCCCGCGTCGGACAATGAGACGGCGAAGTTCAGGGCCGAGATTCGGGCGCTGAAGGGTGCCTTCCTGAGTTCCAGAAACTTCCCGACTGCAAGACCGGTAGCGCCTTATGCGCAGACTGGTAGATGAGGATTGATTGACGGATGGTCGACAAGGACTGACCTACAGTCCACGTACATATACCCGCTGCATTGGTAATCAAGTCTGATAGCAAGATATAATATGTCGTCGGACGCATTTCTTGGTCTCATCGTATTTCTATCTACCACTAAGTCGTACACATTTTTCGCTTCTATATTCCGTCAATGCACGGTAGCCCTACATACATGCATTAAAGCATCTCGTTGTCCAGAGTCCTCGTGCGTAGCATCCGACAACAGCGAAATTAGCATCGATGCTGCAGTCAGATATCTAAAACCCCCTAAGGCGTAGCTTTACACATGCCGACCAACCGTTTGACGCCGACCATCCAGTTCCCACACTCTTCCACCTTGTTTGTGTGCACATCCATCTGGATCTCACTGGCGGTTTGGAAGTCGCGGTTCTGGAGTGCCGTTGCCAGACCGACAATCTGGGCCACGGTGTCTGGCTTCAGCAGATCTTCGTTGTTGAGATGGTCGAATAGGATGTCCAGTCGTTTTTCCGTATCGCGGACCTGTGGCTCAAATGAAGCTGGGGCACGGGCTTTGACTCTTGCCATCTCTTCAGACAAGATCTGGAAGATTGGCTGGGCTGATGACGGAATGTGAGTACGGTCACCCTTAGCTACATGTAACTGTCAGTTGAGACTTAAGACATCCATTGACTCTCACTTACGAGGCTTGCGTGCTGGCGGCGGCGCTGCCTGCTTTGGAGGACCAGCAGGCTCACCACCTTGCCCTGCTTGCTGAGGTGGGCCGCTGCTTGGAGGAGGCCCGGAGATAAATTGCTGTGAAGGAGTAGGCAAAGGAGGCGCTGCCGACTGCTGAGGTATTTGAGATTGCGATGGAGCGCCATATGGACTTGGTCTAGGCTGTTGTGCCGGCTGGGATGGTGCATACGGGTTGGCGAGCGTTGGTGCTTGGAATGATGAGCCTTGCGGTGGTGGCGCAATAGTGGGCCGCCCTTGAGGTGCAACGCTGGGCTGTGAACCTGGCGCGGGTGCATAACGACTTGGTGCTGAGGGTCCATGTGAAGGTGGCGCATTGTAAGGAGATGCACCCCTGGGTATCGGTGGTGACATGATGTTCGGGCCTGTCAATGGAGACGTTACAGCAGGAGGTGCGTATGCATTGCTAGCCGCCGAAGCAGGCCGCTCAAAGGGTGCTTGCGTTGGCCCTCCAACTAAAGGCGAGGTGACTCTGGGTGGTGGCGCTGAGCCTTTAGGTGGTGGCGGCAGAGGTGAGGCTCGTTGGGTGGGTCTGAAGGGAGGCGCTACAGGAGGAGAAGGCTGTTGAGCGGGCACTTGACTGTATGGATTCTGAATAGGCTGATTCGTGACACCGGGTGTGCCTCTCCTGGATGTTGTTGGCGGCTTGACAAATCCTTCAGGAATATCGTTCCAGTTGGACATGTTCTTGTCCTGGGACGGCGGAGGTACGGCAGGAGACTGTGTGAATCGTGGAGGAGGAGGGAACGGATTGGCTTGAGGATAGCCATAACCCTGCGGAGGACCTTGTGGCACACGCATTTGCTGTGGAGGTTGATATCCACCAGCTGGAGCATACGGATTCACAGGCGCTCCAGCAGCTGCGGGAGGCGCGTACGGGTTAGCTGGTTGCGCCGGAGCACCACCGAACGGCGTCGGCGCCTGAGGACTGCTGATGAACTGTGTAGGTGCTTGCGGGGCTGGTGGCGTGAATGTGTTCGTTGGTGGTTGGAAGGCAGACATGCCAGGTAGTGGCTTATTTCTTGACGGTGTCGAAGTTGTTTGAACCTTCGCAGACGGGGCCACGGGCTTCTTCCTCGCCTGCTGGATCCGGCTCCTTGCAACATCTGCTCCTGGATAGCTTGCAGGCAGCAGGTCCAAGTATCGTTGTGCCACGTCCAACTGGCCTGACCCAGCCACGATATCAGCATATTCTAGATATTTGCTGTACAGTGCTTCGAGCTTCCAGTCTCCAGTCTTTGATAGGTCCCTGTCTTGGAAGTTCACAACCTTCCTGAAGATTGTGACCTTCTCGATGAAATCTTGAAGACCATGAGCATGCAATGAGAATGCAGACGACGCGTTTGCGTCTGTGGCTCCGGCTTCTTCATGCTCTTTAAGCTCTTGAATCCAGATAGCGACCACCTTCTCCAACTTGGAGCCAGCCAAGAAGCAGAAGGTTGCGTCCTTTCGAGCCACTGAAGACTGCTCGTCTGCCTGCTCTTCAATTCTGTCTCCAAGCGCTTCGCATAGGTCGGGAAATTCCTGCTCGTCTGCAAACGTGCACAAAGTAGCCATGACCTCTTTCCAATTAGACAGATCGGCGTTATGGACGGTGTCCCAAAGATTCTTGCCAACAATGGATGCGAGAAGGCGAAGGTAATTGGGCCCGCCTGACTGTTTTGCAAAGTATGCTTCTTGGGCCTTCTTGATGCAAGATTCACCTCCACAAATGGCGATCATAAAGGCATCAGACATTCTGTCCTCCTGGAGGCATACATCCAAAGCTTTATCGAACTGTCCCAACGTCAAAGCTCGTGTGATCTTCTTGTCGCTTTCAGATTCCGAGCCGGTATATATCTGGAAGGGATTGTTTGTCCTTGAAACCTTAGTCGCCGCGAGTTCAGACAGGAAGTCTCCATCGGCCGAGCCGGCCCAAATCGATCCAAAGCGTCGGTGTCTTGAGGCACCGTTGACTGATTCTGTCTGTTCTCCTGACTCGTCATCAGCCTGGTTCTGCTGTTTGACCCCGTTCGTTGCTTCTTCTGGAGTATCTTCGAAGCCGAGATATTTGACAATTTGTGCCCTGGGGTTCTTTGACACCAACGTTTCAATGATCTTCCAATCTGCTCGCTCGGCATCTGTTTTGGCGGACTCGATTCTCTCCTCGCATAATGAAGTTACATCACCAGACTGAATAGCCTTCTCGAAGCTTTCTGTTGCGTCACCAACACTGGAGTCGACCTCAAATTTGCTGATGCTGACCTTGGAGGCTCTTGACTTGCCAGGGTCAGCTTGACGAACACTGATAATCCTGCCACCAAATCCGAAAGAGACGGAAACCGGCCGCTCAAGCCATCTAGGAGCTTTGGAAAGCGAAAAGGAAGATGCTTGAGGCTGTGTCTGGACTTGCGAGAAAAAGTCTTCGCCGTCCGCAGCCTGGCTCTGTGTTGTTTGCTCGCTGCTTGGGTTTGTGTTCTGAACTGACTGTATCTGAACCTTGCCGTCGAAAGATGCAGTGGCAAACATGTTTGGGTTGTGCGGATTCCACCTCGTCTGGAATGTCCAGTTGGTCACAACAGGATACTCTCCATAAGCCTGACCCGTCTGAGGATTCCATAGCATGGTCCTGTTGTCTTTGCCAGCTGATAGCAGAAGATCATGATCCTGTGGGCACCAGGACAAAGACAAAACTCCGGACTCGTGTCCTCGTAGGATCTTTTCGGGGGCATTCGAGTTCCTTAGATCCCAAACCAATATGACTGGCTCTTGTTCCAATGGTACAGCAGTAATCAGTCGTGTAGGCTTTTCGGGATCCCAAGCAATAGCACTTGCGGGTTTCCGCTGGTAGTTGTTGAGCGTCAAGCTCTCTTTCCTCGTCTTCATGTCCCATACTGTCACAAAACCTCCACTGCTGCCTGTAACTAGGATGTTGGACACTTTCTTGTTCCAGTCCAAGCAATCGATGTCATCCGCACGGGCGGCTGTGCTTCCGAGCCGTATAGGAGAGTCGAGATGATTCAAGTCTGAGATGAACAGTTCACCTTTTGAGCCACCGGTCGCGAGGAAGTTCGGTATCTTTGGGTTGAATTGCAGTGCCTTAATAGCACCTGTATGTATCTTCTTGTCAAACAGGCTTGCTCCTACGGCGTTCGTGACGAGCTGTTCCGCATCCCATAGACCCAAAGACCCACTGTCAAAGGCGCCTGCAATTATCCCTCTCTTGCGTCCTTCTTCTGCGGGTGTCCAGGCGAGGTCGTGGAAGCTACCAGATGTTAGAAGAGAAGATTCAGCAGACAGACTGGACATTACCCTGATTCAGTTGGAAGTGTCACAGAAGGCTGCAACTCCTGGCCTTGTTGAGCATTGTCAAGGTCGAGATCCCACAGCTCCAGACAGGTCTCGTTACTGAAATCGACGTCGACAGCCCCAGATTTTGTTCCAGTCGCAATCCAAGGTGCTGTGGCATCAGGAGACCACGCGAACGCGGCGGTGCGCGGTATCTCTCGCAGACGCACCATGACGGGAGAGATTGCCAAACACGATAGAATTCAAGGAGCGTGAAAGAGACAAAATCAGTAAGTCATGGGCAAGAAGAGAAGGATTGGCAACACGGAGAGTATGAGATGCTGGTGGACAGACTGTCCTTCGTTGACTGTACGCAACTTCTGGACCTGTGAGGACTGTGCAACTTTCTGGACACCGTACTCCGCAAATACATTGATGAGTGTGGCCCAAGCCGTCATCCCTGACATCCACCAGGACCTTAGCGAAGCGTTAACGGGCGGGCCGCCGCTGAAGACAAAGTACTTGGCACGTGATATCGAGATTTCGTTTTTACGGAATTCTTCATTTCCATGCTGCGACCAGATAGTTGTCGCATGCAGAACTGAATACACAAAGAGGTCTATCATGGCCGAAACTTCGAATCGACCCAACAGCACGGTGTATGTTGGGGGACTGGACACCAATCTCGTCACAGCTGCGACACTCTCGGAAGCTTTTATTCCATTCGGCGAAATAACAGATATAACCCTCCCAAAGCCTGAGGCACCATCCTCAACAGACCTGCATCGCGGCTTCGGCTATGTTGAGTTCGAAGATGCGGTCGATGCGAAAGAAGCCATCGACAATATGGACCAGAGTGAGCTTTACGGACGGGTGATCAAAGTAGCATTTGCCAAACCTGATCGAAAGGAAACGGGAGAAGTTGGGTTAGGAAGCACGACTGCAATCTGGGAACAAGTGCGTTTCATCCGCCTCTATTGCTATTTTCTTCTGCTTTTCTCGTCCTCTTAGTCAGTACCTAACGTTTGCGACACAGGAAGACTATTTGGCCAAGTATGCTGCAGCAGCGAACGAGGACAAAGCCGCCGTAGAGCAGTCAAGAAATGAAAGGCCCGAAGACCCTATGCAAGGACTTGAAGGTCTCGACGTCGCTGGGCCGAAGCCCGAGTGAGCCCAGGGGAACCTTCAAAGCAAAAGGCAGATTTCAGTTCTCAGGGTTCGAGCGTTCAACCAGACAACAAGCCTTGTGTGCCCCGCCAAAGGGGAATGGTCGTGACGCGCAGTCGATTATTGGAAGCTTTGTTCAGCAAATCCAGAGGCATGCGCTGCAGTACCGGCACCGAGGCCGAGACCTCATTCCAGTACCATCACAGACCTAGCCACGGCGTTGTAGCGTCCGGGGAGAAGAGACGCGCTTTCAGTACGGGAGATAAAGCGAAATCGAGCGAGGCTGCGCTTCAAGAAAGGGCATGGGAAAGCAAAGATATGCCAATGACCTATTCATGGCATTCTGACTGGATATATACAGGTCCTTGCATTTTGCAATTCATGCTCGGCAATTCTGATATGGCCTCGGTTGCCATGTTTTACACCTCCTGCATATTCATATTTGCTTCTCCTTCGCCTTAATGAGCTTTCGGTGGGTTGCGGTGCAGACGTAGGGTCTTGTCCGTCAGGAGCTTCTTCGACATAGCGAAAGCAGCAGCGAAGAGAGCGAAGCTGGAATCGTGTGAGCGCGATGGTTTACAGTGTCTTTCGGCATATTTTTGGCACGTACAGGATGACGATACCGAGGGGTATCAACTCCGGAGGAACCTTCTTGAGGCTGCGAATTCTCTGGGTAATGGTGTGCGCTGTATTCATCGCTAGTCAGATAGTTGCTCGAAATGGTTCTCCCACCAGGGCTACCCACCACTCTGGTCGTCCTCCTGCAAGATTTATCAGTCTCTAACCCAGAGCAACCGGTCATTTCGCATGAACTCACCTTCGATCGGAGCATTGTCCGGGTGTTGTGGAATGGTCTGTTCTGCCTCAGAGCCGCCTGACGTATTGCTGGCTGCCTAAAAGCAGCTGCCCGCAGAGGCTGCAACCTCAGTAGTCGTGCAGTGTTCATTTTGGTTGTGGTAAAGGAGTGGAGAGTGAAGAACAATGCTTGAAAGAGGTCACTGAGGTGCAATGATGTCGAAGTTCGTATGCCCTTTCAGAAGCTCTGGCCGATGGAGATGGGCAGATCACCAATCAGCATTCAGGCATACGGGCCTTGGCGGAAACTGCAACTGAACCTCCCTCAGGTGACACTAGACCTTGACATCTTTGAGCTTCAATTCGCGTTTGCTGCAGCCTCCTTCCAACCCGGGTACTCAAACGTGTCCTACTACAGCTACAGACGCCAGTCACTACATCCACAATGGTCGAGATCGATACACCTGATGCCGAGGAGCTCGGAGGAAATGTCACCAAGCCCTTCAAGTTCGTGACTGGTACGATTTCAATCTTCTCAAATGCGCCGCTGGAGCTATTACTGACCTGCTTTTACAGCTGGTTACGATGCTCGATTCCCCAACCAAAACCAGTACGCTCGCACGAACGATTCTCGGCTGTTCTGGGCCCACTAACGTTACCATAGGACCAAGCACTGTTGGCAAAACTATGTCGATTATCATAAATGCGTACTAGCGAAGGGAGAGGATTTCAAGCCATGCAGACAGGTACCGCAGACACGCAGGCATCGTTCAAAATGAGAAGAAAAGCTGATAGTGACAGTTCTTACTTGCATACCGATCACTCTGCCCTAGTTCTTGGGTTGCTAGGTGGAACGACCAGCGAGAAGCCGGAAACTTCCCGGTTGACTTGGAACATTAGATGGCAAGAGACGGCGACGAAGTGGATTCAGGCGACGCTCCGGGAGTGAAAGACGGAGCAAGCACTGTACATAGACAGAATACCAGCTCCCATCCGTCCTTCCAGCATCTTTCTCTCTCTGCAGCAGCAAACCTTCCTGGGCATCGAACACAACCACTATTCTCTCCAACCGCAATGCTAACGCCTAGGTTATACACTGGCGAATGTTCTGACCTCGTTTCATGGTGTCGATACGTGTCGGGTGGGAACACTGAACCTGCCGATCTCAATCTATCAGACTCCCGTCTACTTTTATACTAAAACAACCATCGAACAGCAATGGCGGAAGATCGTCAAAACGGAGTCATATGGAGGATGGCTCGCCTGGTGCTGGGAATTGCCTGCATGTCATGCTTAGCATACTCGAGTGCGGACAACATGGCAGCATCTTCGAGGTACACATTAGGTATGCATCAAGCGGCAGTGTTAGATTTCCCGCGACAGGAACGCACAACGTACGTACTACATGTCCATCACCAATAGTCCTTGTTTGCAGATGCGCCCGCGATTAGATCTATCGAAGAAGTCGATTGTACACATGAATGGCGCCTGATCTTCGGCTAATATGGTACATATAAACACGCATGGAGAATGCTTGCACCTGCCACTCGTAGTAACGTCAGTCCTTACTCATATATGTGAAGGGGAAGCATGAACTCAGATCCGATTCGTATTCGCCATGCTCATTTGCTCTGCCACAGTCGTCAGAATATCGGCAACACATAACGAACGAACCGTTTGCTGCCGATTCGCATCACTTCCCGCATTCCGCACGTGCAGGGACGGGTTGTACAGTGACATCACAGCTGAATGATATCAACCAACTTTTATATCATTGCTTCAACATATTGCATCGCACTCTTTTTCGATACCCATCACAACGAAAGATCAAGAATCATCTCAAAATGGCCGAAGTATGTCGTATCACATTTTAAGATGGCGACGATTATACTGACACGAACCAGCAAGCAAAACAGCAATACATGAACCTGAGCGCGGAGGACAAGAAGATCCTGGAAGACGCTCACAGAAACGCCAGCAACCCTCAGCATCCTGCGAACCCAGAGCATGCTCATGTAAGTCCTTTTACCTCTCTGCCTGTGTTCAATCCATGCTGACAACATCGTGAAAAGCACGGTGAATTCGCGAAGAAGTTGTTTTCAAAGTTCGGAAATGCTGCGGTGTGGGGTGCTGGCGCTACATTTGGTGCAGATACCGTCAACAGTCTGCTTGGGCGGTAGACGGATATCAGTTTGTTGAGTTGCAGCGAGCAAGCGCATGCACCAAGACATCGGGCCGCTGGCATACGGGCTGAGGTTGAGCACACGGAATCATCCTTACCTGCTGTGACATTCTTAGTTTCATTGAGCATGGCACCAGATACGCGCCTGCTCTAGATGTCTTCAATAAACGAGTTTCAAGTGTAACAGTCGCTCACGCATGGCAATACCCTCACCGGTCGTGTGATTTGACTGCCTATAAGTACAGGATCAAATCTTTTAGGCATTGTCATCAAATGCAGCAGCGTCAGTTTTGATCGCAACAGACGTCATGTTCAGGATGATATCGTTCCCGAGAGAGCCATTATCCAGTAACGGAGTATCTTCGGCTGTCACAGACAATGCTTGCGAAATCACGGCACATAGTAGCCGTACGCTATACATCCTGGATGATAGATATTGTTTGAGGGTCAACTTGTCGCATGGGTTCATCGAAGGATCAACTGCTGCTCTGGATCATGGACGCAAGTAGACTGCAGGAATAGTGCATGAAATGTACAACACATAGTGACCACGTGATAGTGCCCTTCAAGTTGCATTGGTAGGTATGATTTGGTCCTGCATGCTCGACACAGGCCGGTCGCTGGCGACCATGATGGCATCTGTTCGATTGGTAACGGAAATGTCCACCATGAATCTCAGATGAAAAGGGACCATAATACCAGTATCGTGCTGTTGGATGCCAATGCCATTGGCTCACGTTCTGGACCAAGCCGACTTTTGCTGCTTGACGGGTCGATTCCGAAGACGTCAAGGTCACCACAGGAATGCTGCTACTTCACAGACGCATTCTTCACACTGATGCGACTGTTTCTAGCAGTGCTTCCAGGAAGGAACTATTCAGTATCTGACCTAGAATGCAGAGATCAAGGAGACCATTCCTGGCACCAATCACCAGTGAACAGAGCATGAAAGCATCAGAGATGCATCTCATATTGTCATGTAGCACCGAAGCTGCGTATCAAGGCATTCCAATATTCGAATATGTTGTTTGTCATGGTGCTTTCATTTCTTGACCGAACTTCTTCTCAGAGCTTCCAACAATTCCGGTCGTGCGTGCAAAAGCTGAGCGGCCTGGGTATAAGCGTACCACTGTCTCGATCTCTTGTGCTTCTCGGGCCACTCTGCCCTCTCTTCGGTGACGGTCGCCTCGAAAAAGTGGTAGCTGGCCTTGGGTGCATTCTTGGTAACGGAAGTCGTAGGTCTCGTATCGGGGATGTGTCCTAGGTCTCTTTCGACTCTGCATATAATACCTGCTTCTTCCCAAGCTTCTCTCTGAGCAGCTGCAGAAGCTGTAGCCTCGTCTAGTTCCCAGCCGCCTTTGGGAAGAACCCAGCCGTTGCGGCGTGTGGACTGTATGAGGAGGACTCTAGTCTTGTCCGCAGATAAGGGCACAATGCCAGCCACCAGCCTCTCACCCTTCGGGCCGTACCCTGACGAGCTGTCAGTCTCAGAAGCAACGGGAAGGACAGGTTATCCAATGGGCATACGTTGATTGGCAGAGCCAGTACGAGAGGTCATAGACAGGTCCTTAGCCATGTTGGCAGCTTGCAGGTCCAGGGACCAGCCTCAGACTTGAAGAAAAGATGGACCTTGGTGTTCTCTCGTTTGTTTCTGGTATTGTAAAGCAAAAGCGAGCGTTCGAAGAGACGGTGAACAGGGCACGTGGGAACACTTTCGAGCTGCTCCGGTGTGTACGGCGTGGCTTCGGTCGGTCTCGCAGGAGAGAAACTCAAGGGATCACAGGTGGCCCATGATGGTGGATGGCAGCTGGGGTTTTGCGATAGAGCGCAAGGATGGGAATCAAGTGCCTTCAGTCCCGTGTAGAACGGGGCTGAGGGAAGAGGGTTGACGTGCAGGACAGTCTGAGAATGGGCACCGCCATAATTTGTAGATTTTCTGGCGCAACTGAATTCGCATCTAGTTTTTGGGGTGGACACGAGCATGAGGCTTGAGCATCGCAGAAAAGCAGTAGCGGCGGATGAGCATCCACACTGGGATCTTTGTCAGTTGACAGCTTCTCTGGTTCGCTGCTCTGCCTGCAGTGGTTCCTTGCCAGTCTCTCGCATGCATTTGATGGTCCCTCGAGGAGCACACGACGTCCACACACGTGCTCAACTTCACGTTTATACTGGTCTAAATGATACCTCCCCGCCTGCTGCCGACGTCCGTTTCTCCCACCATCCCTCACCGTCTGTGTTGCTCACGCGAGCGCCTCCTTTGACCTCTGTGGGGGTTTCTCGTACCAGTGCTTCAGGGGTCCATCCTCCGAAAGCTGCCTCAATTGGCTGGCTCATGACGGTCGTGTGCATATCCCACTCTCTGGTCGAGATGACCGTTTGTTCTCCGGTCAACATCTAATCAGAGCTCGTCATTCTCACGACTTGCAGCACATCAAGTCAGGTGACATCACACTCCTCGCTTCAACCTGCAACCACATTGCTTTTCAAAGGAACCGGTCACGGACATTATCCCATCTTTATAATAAGGCCGCCGCCGGGTGTGGGATTTGCGGATGATCCCTTGCAGCCTTGCTTCCGTATGAGCCGCGTCGCATCTCAGGATCGCTTCAACTGCTGTCATGACGAACGAGATCTCTCTGTTGAAGCCTCTAGGTGAGTCAAGTCGAAGAGTTGCCCATCAAACATGACACCTCCATTGCGAGATTATCGAAGCTGTCGCGTGACTAATCCATCCACGAAAATGCGCCCGACCATCGTCACGTTGACTACTAAATGCTGATATATGCAGGCTACCAAAGAAAGAACTCATGTGGATATTGCAAGAGTGCCACAGGCAGTAGGTCAGCCCTTTTTGTTTGTACACAGCCTCGCCACAAAGTCCATGATGCTATTTCTTCTGTCTTATGCTTATCGCATCATGCAGGCTCATCATTTTATATATCATGCGACAATATGAGAGTTGATCATTATCAGGAATTGATGGACAGGGGTTGGAGGAGATCAGGCACACTCTATTACAAACCTGACCTGCCTCGATCATGTTGTCCACACTATACAATTCGGTATCGATTGGTCATCATGTGTCACCGAAGACAATGCTAATGGCGATAGGCTCAAAGCGTCAGAATTCAGGTCGAAGAAAGACCAACGTCAGCCCCTGAATCGATGGAACGATTTCGTACTAGGACCGGAATATCGGCGACAAGCTGCCATACTGTGTCCTCGAAGTAGAGAGTAGGTCTTTGGGAGATTGAGACTCTTACACTGACACTCATAGGGAAAAGCGACGGACGCGAGACAAGTTCGAACTATTGACTGCTGTTCACAAAGCTGAATACGACCATGTGAAACGTCCTGTCAGCAAGCGGACCGGACAGCCTATTGAACCGGCCCATAGGTTCGAGGTCAGCCTTGAAGGGGATGGCTTTAGCAAAGAGAAGTAAGCACGAAGGGATGAGGATCGGCATCGAAAACTGACGTAACTCAGGTATGGGGTCTTCATCAAGTATCAGGTAGAGATACACAAAGATCCCATCTCGCGATGGGGTGAAAAAGCCTTCAAGCGCTTCCTCTGCAGTGGACTGGACCGCAAGATACTCAAGATTGACGGGAAAACCCTCAAGTTGGGGTCTTACCATCAATGTTATCGCCTGGACGGAAAACTTGTTGCGGTCGCAGTCCTGGACTTACTCCCACACGCAGTGAGCTCGGTGTACTTGTTGTGAGTGCCTTGGTGTCGCTACCACTTTCACAGCTAACGTTGTTCTACAAGCCATGACCCCGAATATCAGCAATGGGATTTCGGAAAGATGAGTGCACTTCGCGAAATAGCGCTGGCTCTAGAAGCGAAGTATGAGTACTACTACATGGGTATGCTCGAATTCAGCTTCCGATTTTACCAAAACTAAACGACATTCAGGTTATTATATTCATTCCTGCATCAAGATGCGTTACAAAGGTACCTTTTCGCCAAGCTATCTGCTTGGTAAGTTATTCGCAAGTAGTCCAGGTTAGTGCTCTACTAAGACTTCTACAGATCCTGAGAGTCTGGAGTGGTGTCTGTTCGATGAAAACTACCGACATGAGCTCGACAAGAGAACATATGTATCACTTTCGCACGACCGCATATATGGACCACCAGGTGAACATATCAAGGAGCATTCAGACCAAGCTTCAGCGTTGCCAGCTGCGAATGCCAATGCAAGAGATGCTCCAGAGACCACGAAAGAAAGATCCGACACCTACGACGACGACCAGGACCTTGAGTTCGACGATGCGCCTAGCGACGAAGAAGACGCCGAGATACCTGAAGGGTCATTATTTGATTATGATATTCCTGGTGTACTTACCAAAGAGGAGGTGAAAGGCCTTGATTTAGACCACTGGCGACTGCTGGTACGGAATGCTTTGGTCGAACTGGAGGTGATTACCCACGCAAATCCTTTTCGGCCCGACATCGTACTAACAAAGCTGCAGGATCTACGAGGTTGGGAAGATTGGAAAATAGATGATCCCGGGTCCATCAAAGGTATTGCTGCTGAAATGATCGCCGCGACTGGCCCCGAATTACTCCAGAATTCTGCCCTTGTACTGTTCTGAGCTCATCTTAAGCACGCACCTGTTGCGGCCCACCCAGCGGGAAGATGTCAGACCGAATCGTTGAGCGGTAAACCAACTTGGACTGTGTCAGCAGAAGACGCTGAAGCTTCAGAGTATCAACATCACCAGGGGCAGATCTAACCCTTTAAGTTGACCTAAGTCGAGAACATTTGTTCGTATGGAGCGCAGCACAGTCATTCGCTGTTCTGGACATTCGTGAATACGCAGTTCTCGGCTGTTCCATCTGCGTGAGACATAGTGTTTGCTTCGAACGGACTGCGTTGCTGGCGTCTTTCGCGCGACTGCTCGGCATCATTCGGCTGGATATGGCTGTCAAAGAGTGAAACCATGGCTTCAAACGGAGGCAGTTACGCTCCAGCAGTATATCAATGAGTCCTACTTCACTCCGCCCCGTCAGTCACTTCCACCTATGGTGCGATGACTGCCCCCACAGATTCTATCTTATCTATAAATGCAGCTTCATCGAGCAGCTTACCACATACCACGCAACCCCATCTCAAACATCAAGAGTCGAGCCAACAAGATGAAGACTTCTTCCACTCTGCTGTTCTTGATCTCTGCTGGATCAGTCGTTCTGGGACACAAGTCTTACTCCGACCACCACAATCCTCATCGACGCTCCAGCCAGTATTATGGTCACTCACAGCATCATGAGATCTCTGCAGGCCATCTTTCGACTCACGACACTGCAGGAAGTTTGACCTTCGAGACGCATTCTCCCTCTGCGCCAATCCTACCGAGCAGACCAACGATTGCGCCTTCGTCCATGCATGATCAAGCCCACTCACCATCTCCATTACCTACTTCACACGTTTTTCCACCAACCACAGGTGGACATCCTTACCCTATCGAATCGCTCGTGAAGCGCACTGTATGCGTTGCAGGCGGCTCGTCTTGCCTTGCGAATCAACTTTGCTGTCCAGCTGGGTCGTACTGTACAACTGATTCGCTTGGAAATGGTGCTTGTTGCGAGAATGGTGCTGCGTGCATCGGGGTGGTAACTAGTATGAGAGGATCTCTTCTCCCAGTACAAACTGCCGCCACCGCTGCATTGCCTGTGCCTGGCGCTGCAAATCTGAAGCGCCCTGCAAAGGCTTTTGTCGCGCTGACTAACTTGATGCGGTTCGGTTTGGCCATGCCGCCACCTGTGGGTTATGGTACAACTGAGAGCACAACAGATGTTGGAGCAAACTCAGCAGCTGCAAAACCACCACTCTACCAGGACAGAGGCGGTCTAGGATTTCACGCGGGCGGTGGTAGTGAAGCCTCGAGTGGTGCCAACATGCCTCGCCCGCTGAAGGTCTTTGCAATACCAGTTGTGTTGGCGAAGCGTCTGTCAGCGGCACCAATTTTCCCTGTGAACAAGTTTCAAGGCATCAAGACGCCACTCCCTGCAGAGGATTGTGGTGCTCCTTTCTGCTCGGCTGCGTCACATGCAATGGCAAATCCTCTGAGATACCCGGTATGGTTGGTTGGTCAAGTCTTGGGTCTGTTTCGCCACACAATCTCGCAGGGCCTATACTACGAGGAGAGCGCACTGATTATTGACGGTTTGGTTCCCGTCTCGGCTCATGTGCCTTTGGACACGGCCAGCACGATGACAAATATAGCAACCATTGCGCAGACAATCTCTGCTGCAGCGTTGCAGGATTCACGCGACGAGCATGATGGCGAAGACGATGCGACAGACAACAACGAAAGCGAAGACTTACGACAGTCTTTGGACTTCAACGATGGTTATGCTCCCACAAAAGTCAACATCAGCGAGAAATTAGGTGGCTATGCACCTGTCAACGAAAAAGCGCTCAACTCAACAGCTTCGTCAATCCAATCCTCCGCTTTAAGGAATGTGCTTCGACAACTGAGGTCGACTGTGAGGAGCTTCGGTTGGACATTCGCCAGCAGATACGCCTACGCTGGGGTGCCATTGAAGCAAAGTGAGGTGGCCAACGCTGGGACTGGCTGTCATGACCTCGACATCGAGGACGAGAGCTCCGACTACGCAAAAAACGCGTGCGAAGGTCTAGGTGTAGGGAGTGCTTTGATGACACTCTGGGGCAGAGTTGGCGCATAGGTCAAGCTCTTGAGAAGTTCACCTCTGTAGGGTTATTCTATTCTGTCTAGGCTCTGAACTCAAGGCACCGGAAGTCAAGCATGTAGAAGTCATCTTCACATACATTCAGACAGACAACAGAGAGCAGCTGATTGTGGTCTTGCCTTTCCATACCCAATCGTTACCCTGGTTGCAGCGTGCAGACTTGCAAGATGTTGACAAGCACCACTAAATACCTACATATTAATCCTTGCTGTCTCAATGTCCCCGGCCTTATCCGAGGAACAGCCGATCACGGTCGATATTTGGCATGTCTGGCGAGGCCAAAATTTCTGGAAGCGGCCATCGATCGGAGCTTCAACCCAGTCGTGTGCTCAATACATCATATGCATCCTGAGACTCTTTGCCATCGTATCCTTCCTCCTTTCTAATACCTCAACTTTGCTGTTATCTGTTCATACTTACAAGATGTTACGAAAGCAACTCTTACGGCAGTCCCGCACCATCTCAGAGTCTCTCTCGGCCCTGCCGCAAGTGCGCCGGTCGCCATTCTCCTCCGCAACTTTCATTTCACCTCGCTCAAGTTTGCCCGCTTCATACTCTCCGAGGATAGCACGAAGATGGCAATCTTCAGAAGCAGAAAAGAAACCGGCGGAGACGCCTGCATCCTCGTCAGAAGAGTCTAAACCTACGGAGGCGCAAGAAGATCCTACGAAGCAGGAACTCGAGAAGGCGAAGAAGGAAGCAGTCGACTTGAAGGTATGCTAGTTCACTCTGTCACTATCCCACTATTGACACTTCTTCCAGGACAAATACCTCCGCTCCGTCGCCGACTACCGAAATTTGCAAGAGCGGACGAGACGAGAAGTAGAGTCCGCAAAGCAGTTCGCTCTCCAACGCTTCGCCACCGACCTACTCGAATCGATAGACAACTTCGACCGTGCTCTTGGCTCGGTTCCTGAAGCGGCACTTGGCAATGCTGCCACGACCTCGAACACCTCATCCTCAGACGCCAATGCCGCCGCTTCGACAGAGGCCACATCGGAGCCCAACAAGGATCTATTGAACCTGTATTCTGGTCTTAGAATGACGGAAGAGATTCTCATGAACGTCTTGAAGAAGCACGGTCTTGAGAGATTCGACCCACTGGAAGGAGGTGGACGCAAGTTCGACCCCAACACCGACGAGGCGACCTTCTTCACCAAGGTTGAGGGCAAGCAGGATGGAGACGTCTTCTACACACAAAGTAAAGGCTACAAGCTCAATGGAAGAGTCGTAAGAGCCGCTAAGGTCGGAGTGGTCAAGAACTCCTAGACAGCAGGTGCCGCTGTTCGTCCTTGCAACACATCATTGCGCAGGTCACATTGACAGCAATGTGCATCATTCAGCCGACATTGGAGTATGGACAATGTCTGACTGTGTACAAAAATTTAAACTACTCAAGCTCAAGAGCTGCGCTCCGGAAGAGGGAAAGAGACGAGATTCTCCCCAAAAGCAATGTTTTTGAAGCTATGGAGTTGTGTTCCAATACTCACTAGAAACGAGACATCATGTGAGGAGCAGATGACGGCTAACATGTTCCGTCGAGGACTTTGCATAGGGGAATTTGTGTTTAGGCGGTAGTGGCATGGATTGCCCATGACACGATATCATCTTGTACTCTTCTCTGTTATCATTACACATTTCTGGCTGTGCCGAAAGATTGAGAGTGGATGGAGGCTCGAAGATCTAGGCTGTCAGAGTAGATAGTCGAAGAGACCCTTATGAGCCTGTACTGTAGCTTTCTTCTATGAACGGCAGGGGTGAGAACAAGTCAAACCTTGCCGTCAATATACCATCGCTGCTCTTTTGAAGAGAAGAATTCTACCTACCAGGATCGAAGCCTGACATTGTGTGCTTCAAGGCCGGAGTTAGCCTGACATTCGTTAAGGACATGTCACCATGGCTTGTACATACATCTACAATAGGACGTCTACGTATCGTGCTACGCCCGCACCGTTAGGCTACAGCATGCGGCAAGGGCCAGGTCCAGGTGGTGTGGATGGCGAGGGTGTGGACGGTGAGGGTAGGGGTGAGGAGGGGATGACAAGGAGGTCAAGACCGGGAAGTAAGGACTAATCACTCTTCTCCAGAGTCAAGCATAAAGCTTGCCAATGATGAAAAGTGTAGAAGCCTCCTATCGATGTTAGCCAACAACAGCAAACGACGTTCATCAAGAATCTGAGGACCCGGCCATGGTAATGAACAAAATCGAGCAGATTACGCGCTCTCATCATGGCACTCCGACCATCCCGCCTCTCCAGACCGCAGCGACAAGTAGCTGGGGCCGACCAGAACGGTGAGCCAGACTAGCATGTCCTGGAAGAGGCGCCTCAGTTTTTGTAAGAATAGAATACATACCTGTTCGGTTTATTTGGGCCAAGGTGTGAAGAGAAGAAAGAAAAGAGGAAGGAAATCGGGGAGGAAGGGGGTATATATAGACGGTAAGATCAATCCAGATCAACTTGTGGGTTTGCGGAAAGTCCATTGCAGCAGTGCCAGATCAGAAAGTCAATAGCAAAAGGCAATCGCTGGACCAGAGAGAACGGAAGGTTTGATCTGATCCTGATCGCTCACTCGTTGAGGGCCTGTGGGATCGGCAGCATCGTGGTGTTGAGGTCTGGTTGAGGAATCAGGCAGAACAGAGAATCGCGTGGTTGAGTGGTTGGAGAACCAGAGAGTGGATGGCAAGAGGACATTGCCTGACCAGAACGTGGACATTGGGCTTCGGATCAACACCATCATGGTGGAACTATCTGGTTGAGAAACAGGCGGAGGAGAAAACCTCGTGGTTGAGCGGTTGGAAGGATCTTATTATATGGTACAGTACCTAGGTATGGATCTCGTGGTGGTATGGTTGCCTTTTGGGCCCACGAGCCTCGCCACCCGGAGGGATGTTCCTACGTGCTGGTAGGTAGGAGATCGTCAGGCGTCGAGTAAAAGGGATGTCGATCCTGATTAAACACGCAACATGTTAGACTCAACGTGCTCAGGTGTGACTGGATGTGAAAAGGTTGCTGCAGATCTAGGGATTTCAGGATGATTTGAGGTAAACGTGCGCAATAGAACCAAAGGCACCAGAAGGTGATCATATGGGGTTGAAACATATCAATTTTGATTTTGGCAAACGATCAAGTTCCAGTAGTAAAGTATGGAAGTGAGCAACACTTACCCGTCAAGATTGGAAGCATGAAGGTAGACCGCAGTCAGCAGCTACTAACACAAAGTCCTCGTGCCTGATGTAAGCAAGAGTAGACAACAATCATCCCAGATGGCTCGAGCTCCCACTCGGCCATCACCTCAACTCGACTTTGAATCTGGATTTCATCTTCGCAGCCACTTCGTCATGTAGCCTGTTGACTTCTTCGTTGGTCAGAGTCCTCTCCAGACTCCTGTAGTTAATCCGGTAACACAAGCTCTTTCGCCCAGAGGTGGGATGGACAAACTCATCTACGAGCTTCACATCTTCGACCAGACTTCCTGCGACATCGCGGACGACTTCCATGATATCATTCTCATGAAAGGCGGCAGGCTGAGTGTCCGCAGGCGAGGCTTTGGTCGCGTTTCCTCCGGCTGCTGCCGCGACACCAGACATTGATGACGATTCCGCTCCAACGGGTGAAGCGCCTGCTGGAGCCGCGTTGATCCAAAAGGCGATGTCCTTGTAGCATGCTGGGTACTTGCTGAAAGGTTCGAATCTTGTGATCTTGCCAGGAGCAAATTGTCCAAGAAACCGTTTGTCTGTGGACCATAAAAGGCGGATGTCAGGGATCCCAAAGAGGAGCATGGCAAATCTTTCAATTCCAACACCCCATGCCCATCCGATGCTGTATCTCAATCCAGCATTGTTGAGTATTGGTTGCTGAACTAGGCCGCAGCCCAGAAGTTCAAGCCATTCTCCATTCCAAAACACCTCAACCTCAAAACTTGGGGTTGTGAATGGGAAGTACGCTTCTATCCAGCGCATCTTTAGTGGCCCAAAAGCCTCTCGTGCCGCGGGATCCAGAGACTCTTTGGCGGCTTTATGAATCTGCTCTACCAAATACTCGAGACTGCGCTTCAAGTGTTTCACGACCAGCTGCAGTTCTACCGGGTCATGCTCGGGCTGTATGGGATTGTTCTCTTTCGAGAACACGGTGGCCTGGTCTTCAACCTCAATGTCGGTCTTAGGCAAAGCATCCAGCTGTCTTGCAATCTTCGCCGTTCGGGCTGCCTGAGCGAGATACCTTGATTCGCCGGGCCCTAGACCCCAAACTTTGGCCCCCTCCATCTGATGAAAGACAGGAAAATGAGTTCGGTCGATGCTGTCGCGGCGATAGACATCTGCACAGATAGTGTAGCCGGTGACATACTTCTCCGCCACGAGTGATTGGAAGGCTGCATGTTGATGAGCCGAAGTGTGCGTACGTAGGAGATGGTCCGAGTTGACATAGTATGTGTCTGTTCTCGAGCGGCCTGGGTGGTCTGCTGGAAAACCTAGGACATCGAAGTTGTCCTTGACCGTCACAACGGGGTCTTTGACCGTGAAATGGTTGAACTCAGGATAGGGAAAGCACGACTCGATGAGATTTCGAGTGATGGTTATAGGATGATCTGGGATGTCATAGAGGTTGCGTCCAACAAGATTCAGGATGGAATCCGAGACATTGCTCGTCTCGTCGAAAATGTATGGAGTTCCTAGGATTTTTGCGCCGGACAAATTCTCGTGGACTATTTTGTTGTCTTGACCCAACTCCTTCAGCCTCTTCTTGAAATCTGCTTGGACGCTGTCTCCTTTCGACTTGGGAGCCGTTTTGTTCGGGTCGACTTCTCGAGACGGTTCGACGGACTGATCAGGGAAGGGACGTTGCTCCTCCGCAGCTAGGTGAGAGCTCGACCATCGTGCCTGAGTGCAGCTTGCCGGGACCGCGAGTCTCGGGCTACCGACCACAAATCTTGCTGACCGGGCTGCCCTCAAAAATGCACCTGTCCTATAGAGGTGCATTCGGACGCGACAGTTCAGACTGCTGCACCAGCCTGACCTATGGACGCGGATATGTTCTCGTTGACCACACGAGGTACGGATAGGTCCGGGGCGAAGACGCAGCAAAAGAGCATGAAGGTCAACAAGAGCAATGTGGGGCCGATAAATGCTTTTGCCTGACTAAAATATTGTCAATATTTCTGCCCCAGATGCCGCTCGTTTGTAACAAAGGATTTGCAGAACGATTGTGGCTGACTGTATAGTTTCTCGGGCTGGTGCTCCAACCGACATCGCTCTCCAACATTCGGATTCTAGCGGCCGAACTCTTTCGTACCACGGCCATTATTCCGTCGATGGCTAAAAGTAATTTCTCTCTATGCGACCTGCTCCTGCGCGCTTGACACGCTCCTTTTGAACCTGACCTTCAGTCGTTCCTTCAATACCTCACTCGGCACTGGGGCTGTCCAATGGAGTCATGTCGAACACAGCCTCCCCGATCGAGAAGCGCAATGTCGAAGCGCAGCCGAAGTCAAAACCGGTTGTGGTGCACTATCCGTTCTGGTTCGGTGGCAGCGCAGCCTCAATGGCAGCGGTAGTAACGCACCCTCTCGACCTGAGTACTTGGACCACCTCTTCTGACAACCGTTTTTCTGACCACGTCGCACAGTCAAAGTGCGCCTACAGACTCGGTTGCCCGACGCCCCAAAGTCCACGTTGGGGACCGCAGCATATGTCTTCCGAAATCAAGGCATACTGGGCCTCTACGCAGGCCTTTCCGCTGCGCTCCTGCGGCAGATGACTTACTCGACTGTTCGCTTCGGTGTCTACGAAGACCTCAAGGAGCGATACGCGCCGCCGCCTACGCCCGACAACCCCAAACCCAAACACTCTCTACTAAACCTGGTGCTCATGTCCAGCGCGGCCGGTTTTCTGGGTGGCATAGCAGGAAACCCGGGCGACGTGCTGAACGTGCGCATGCAGTCGGACGCATCGAAACCACCCGAGGCAAGGCGGAACTACAAGCACGCGTTGGACGGGCTGGTGCGCATGATTCGTGAGGAAGGATTCGCCAGCATATTTCGCGGTGTTGAGGCCAACTCGACACGAGCGCTGCTCATGACGGCGTCGCAGCTGGCCAGTTATGATGTATTCAAGCAGGTCTGCGTCCGCGACCTGGGTATGGGAGACAACTTCGGGACGCATTTCACGAGCTCGCTGGCTGCTGGATTTGTCGCAACGACCCTCTGTTCGCCCGTCGATGTCATCAAGACGCGCGTGATGAGCGCCGGTGGGAAGAGCTCCATATTACATCTCCTGTCCGAAGCCAGTCGGAAAGAAGGCCCCCTTTGGATATTCCGAGGCTGGGTGCCCAGTTTCATTCGACTGGGTCCTCAGACCATTTTCACAATGGTGTTCTTCGAACAGCACAAAAAACTGTATAGAAGTTGGAAAGGCATCGAAGACCAACCTTTGACATAAGATGTTTTCTTTTGGACGTTATACGCTCACCGTTAAGGCATTGTTACGGCGTTCGGGTGTCACGAGCATCACATAGATTTGGACACAGAAGACAACAACGGCTTCTGCTTGGTTACAACCTTGGTTGACCGCGGATTTTGGTGTGCTGGCAACGAATGGTCTGCCAGCATTTGTACATACCCGATTCATCATGCCACATGAGAACGTTGATGCACATATCCCAATATCCTTTTCCCATATTGACGCCCGAAGAGGCCGCTCTAACGTTGCTTCAAGAATGTCGTCCCTTCTTGAGTATGAGCAACCTCCGAACACCGAAACCTGGTCCCCAGAAAACAAGCACAAGATCAATCTTCCATTAGTTCGACTGGCGGTCGAGCAGTGTGGGTGAGAACCTTCTGTTCTGGCGTCTCAAGCTCGACATCCGAGTCATCTTCCGCCTCGACCATGACTGCGGGAAGTGTAGGACTATCACCATGAGCCTTCGGGTCGTAGATCAACGTCGAGCTACGGCTCCGGTGCCTCCTAGGCGATGAAGTGCTCGGAGAGTTCTCAGCAGACGCTCCTGCCAAGGCTTGTGTCCGAGTTTCTTTTATCTTGTGTAACGCCTCCGCGGTGTACTGCACGTTGCTCTCATCTTCGATAGGCTCGCCCGCTGTGTTTGTCATTTTACCGCTTAACTTGTTCAGTTTCGACGCAAGATCTTCTGCATGGACCTCCTTGTTGGGCGCGTCTTCATGTTTCGACTCCCACCCGACTGGAGGGCTAGGTGGTGGGCTGATAAAGAATAATTTGCCGGCGTCCGGCCGATTTAGGTATTTCTTCTCGTCGCCTATTGGTGTGGGCTCCCCAAAGTAGCATTTTGCCACGCTTGTGCCCAGAATCGCTGTGCCATCGATCTCCTGTCGCACACGGATTGCTGCCTCCTCGTCGTAGAATGAACAGATGATGCGCATAAAAGACTTTAAAGGGGAAAATGAGTTTAACGGTGCGATCCCGTTGATGTGTTGTCGAATGGTGGCTATCGATGCAGGGTGGAATATCTTGGGATCTTCTAGTCGCGTGATGAGGAGTGTGTTCGAAGGAGGCGACGGTTGGGACAGTGGCGGTAGGGAAGTGAGGTCGAGAGATAAGGGAGATCGAGATCGCTTCGCGGATATTGAGGGAGATGAGGAGGTCGATATCGGAGGTGAGTCCGTTGATAGGTTTTGTGTCTGGATGGGAGAAGGGGTCTGTCGCTGTATTTCTGCCATGTTGGCTGCGCGTAGTGGTGGTTGCAAGGCTGCGGCGAGATGGAGGTTTGGGACAAGGAGATAGAGATCAATATCGGAGAAGGGATTGCCGGAGTTGTAGGGGATTTGTATTCAACTTGGAGGCAAATTGACAACCCGGGGCGACCGTATCGCAGCAAAGAGGCGCAGCAAAAGTACGTATCAAGTTGGCTTGTTATCCGAGAATGATTTTCAGTAATTCGAGGCTTATGCGCATAGATGATCCTGGAAGTGGCCGGCATCGAAATGACTTCGCCCGCATACTGTCGGCTGATGACATCGTTGCGCGATTCGGGAAGAATGATCTTCCGGGTCTTGGCAGGGGGTTCGCGGACAAGGCTGAGCTTCGAGGCTCATCTCCGCAATATGGCCACGGATATCTCCATTCTTTTCGTCAGCAACAACTTCAAGACCAGCTGACCAAAAGAATGACCACGATGGGCTTCTTGCTATACAATTGTATGACTCGTTCTACATAGCATCATTGGTCAGGACTAAGTTACGGAGTACCGCCCGAGGCGACTTGACCATCATTAAGTGTCTAGCCATTGAGGATCCGTGCCTCGGTTCTCCAACGATTGCGGAGAACAGTCCTCCTATCTTTGCGGCTCCGCCGACGTGAGATACAGCCTTGGTTAAAGTACTGGTACCCCATTGGTGTCCGTCCGAAGTCGGCTTCTTGCCGTCACTTCGTGGCAACGGTCTGACTCGTATATAGCCGCGTGCAAAGATATATGATACTTTCATTTTGAGTGCTGCTAATTCTATTGTCGCCTGATTTGCGTTGACTTAGTTCTCTCCAAAGATATCATGGCACCAGTGGCAACCACGGAAGGGTATGGAGGCCATTACCTCCCGGACGACAGCAGCAAAGGCACCGCATTTGATGCAAAGACGCCTGTAATCAACAATCCTTCTGATGAGGATGTCACGATACATGATCAGCTATATGGAACTCGCAAGAAGATGCGGGTAGTGATGCTGGGGGCGGGTGTTTCAGGGTTGAACTTCTTCAAGTTCGCAGAAGAGAAGTTGAAGAATGTGGAGATCATCTGTTACGAGAAGAACGATGATGTCGGTGGCACCTGGTATGAGAATCGCTACCCAGGCTGCGCATGTGACATTCCGAGTGTTGTCTATCAGTTTCCCTGGCGTCAAGCTCCTTGGACGAAATACTACTCACAATCTCCAGAGATCTGGAAATACCTCAAGATGGTAGAGCAAGAGAACAACTTTATCGAGAAGTACGTCAAGCTTCAGCACAAGATCGTCTCCGTCTCATGGGATGATGGAACGGCTCAATGGACGATTCGTGTACAAGATCTCAAGACCGGGCAAGGATTCGAAGATCACTCAGACTTTCTCATCGATGGAGGTGGCGTCCTCAACAAATGGAAGTGGCCGAACATTCCAGGGCTTCACGATTTCAAGGGCACCTTACTGCACTCTGCACAGTACGACGAGAGAACGGACCTGAAGGGCAAGCGCGTGGCCCTTGTAGGTGCTGGCAGCAGTGGTGTACAGATATTGCCAAATGTTTACGACAAAGTTGAGAAGATCTACACCTGGGTTCGGACAAAGATCTGGATCACGGCAGGCTTCGCTCAGGACTTTGCTGGTAAGGACGGCGCCAACTTTGTCTACACAGAGGAGCAACAAAAGCTGTTTGAGGACCCGGATGAGTACCTGGCGTACCGCAAAATGATCGAAGGTGAGCTGAATCAACGCTTCAGCTTCATCGTGAACGGCTCTCCTCAACAAAAGGCCGCGCGTGAATTCTCCATGAATGACATGAAAGCCAAACTCAAGCACCGACCGGATCTTCTAGAGAGAATCATGCCCAACGATTTTGACGTAGGGTGCCGGCGACCGACTCCTGGCAACGGATACCTTGAGTGTCTCGCAGCAGAAAAGACACAAGTATATACCGAGCAATTAAAAAGGATTACCGAGAAGGGATTCATCGATCCGGATGGCAACGAGCAAGAAGTCGACGTTATTATCTGCGCCACCGGTTTCGATACTTCATACAACCCACGTTTTCCGCTGATAGTGAACGGTGAGGACAAGCTTGAACAATGGAAGAAGAATCCTCATCCTCACGTCCCCTCTTACCTGAGTTTGGCATATGCTGGAGTTCCCAACTACATTCTCTATGCCGGCGCATATTGTCCATCAGCTCATGGATCCTTCTTCCCATTGATTACAGCATATGTTAATTACACCATCGAGCTCATTGAGAAAATGCAAACCGAGAACATTCGATCAATTCGACCGAAGCCTAAGGTTGTGGAGCAATTTCTACGACATTCAGACACTTATATGAAAAGGACGGCTTGTAAGTAACCCATTTACGTGGCGATGTCCCTTCCAAAAAGACTAGGACAGGGATCGCCCAAGGCATCTCCCGTTCGGACTCTTACTAAGGTCACTTACTGATTGTCTTCATCTAGGGTCGGGGCCTTGCAGCTCATGGTTCAAGGGCGGAAAGACGGATGGAAAGCCGGCTGTCTGGCCTGGAACTCGCATAAGTTTTCTTCGTATGCTTGAGAAGGTGCGGTTTGAAGACTTTGACATTGAATATGACGATGCGGATGATATCTTCGGCTTCTTGGGTAACGGATTCCATGTTGGTGAACGAGACGGAAGCGACATCACCTGGTATATGGGTACTCCGAAGAAAGAAGTAGATCTGGAAAAAGTTCGTCGGATCATGGATGGCACGAAAGGCGTGGAATTTGGCATACAGAGGTAGCACTACGCATGGTAAAGACAGCAATACTGTGTTGCCGTCTGCCTCTAATAGTCGTATCGTCGAGACGGTGTTTTCCGAGACAATTAGGTGGTCCGTTCTTGCCGATTTCCTCTCGTGTCCTTTTCCGCGAAGGTGGCGGTACCCAAGACCCTTGTCTTCTTACCTAAAGCGTGGCGTAGAACTGGTGCTCAGGGTAGTAAGTACGGAACTACGCGGGAAACTCCCCTATGGAACGGGATGCAATTAAGGTTGCCAACCACCTTGTCGCCACCCCCACCTTGTCGCCAATTTTATGAATTCGCATATTGTTGTAGCAAAGGGTAGCCACTCATGCATCCTAACGATGGAGAGTCTATAACTTTGTATGGGGATTGCCTATGAACCTGCCGAGTTGGCCATATCGTAGATGATATCTCTACTAGGCAGTGCGCTCAATAACACTGCCGCATCTTCCTCCGTATACCCCCTACCCTATATAACTTCGATCGTATCCCAGATACGCTTTTCATCTTGCTTTCTAAGTCTCTTTGATACGGCTCGCTCCTCGTCCTTTAGTACGTGTTTCCTGATAGTTGAAAGCTTAGTTAATAGCACTTAATAGGCGCTAGAGACCTCGTAATAGGCTCTATTTAGTTGTCGTACAAAAGCCTTGCCAGATCGACTCAATCTTGCCGCTAGTTTCTCGTTTATCTTGCTATACTCGTGCGTATCTCGTAGGGGATAACTATAAGGCCGTTTAGGAGGCAAGATCTCTAGCGTAGTGTATCGATATCGTGAAACTTGAGGCATATCGAGTACTTTTCTAACGTTGATAGGCCAAAGGCTACTACGGCGCTAACCCGCATTGATATATTGAGTTGTTATACCTGATTCCCGTATAAGTTGATATAGTAAGTTGAATTGAGTACGATTCACTTGCGTATCGCCCGCGGCAATATAGCTCTTAAGGTATTTTAAGTAGAATGCCTTTAGCTAACTAAATGGCCCTAAATCGCACGGTTAATAGAGATAAGAGGTATAAGGTAAGAGATAAATCAATAGAATTTAATTCATGATACACTCTACGATAAATACCCCTATAGTGTGACTACCGTAGCTATCAAGGACAAGTATTCGCTAGTAAGAGGTATTGTCTTGATAACGTCCTCGTCGGGACTATAGGATAAACACTATCGTCAACCACTCGAGCGTATAGTCGTTATTGGTCCAGCCCTTCTCTATAAAGCCCCAATACTAGTTAGGGCACTCGTTTAACGGTGGGAACTAATAATTAAGTAGTTAATAGTGTAATTTACCGCGGTGAATGACAAGAGGCCGTATCGTATCGCTAAAGGTAGAGATCGCCTTTATAATCGATACCCAACCCGTAGATCCACTAGCAATTAATATCGAAGGTCCTATACGTCGATTAAAGACTATAGACTCTTTCTGTAAGTGACTTATTTAAAAGCCGATCTCGTCTATATTCTAAAGGTCCTCCGGACGTATATTATAGCGTGAAATCGTCTCGTCGAGGTACTAAAACTAGCCCTCGAGTATATTAGGGATAGCCGCTATTATACGGCTCTGCTCGAAAGACCTATTACGACTACGCTTAAGATTAGGATATCGATTCAAGAATCTTGAAATCTAGTTCTTGCCGAGGCGTGCATTAGGCTCTCTTTGACGCGCTAGTACCTACGCGACAATAGATAATTAGGTAGTATTAACGGGCGAGTATTATAGCTAAGAGTCCTTTATATATTGATATAAGACCTCCTCTTATATCCTTAATAACCTAGCATTTTTTTGCTCTTCCAAACCGCGTAGTGCGCGACCGTCGCGCCTATCACGGATCGTCGATCGTGGTGTGGTTGTACACTTTGCGGCTTGCGATACGTTGCGGAAACGGCCTTCCTGAAAGAGATCAAGGGCCCGTGATGCCCTATCTATCTTAAATAGAGACGGCGAGGGCAATTGGTTGATATATATGAGAGTTTGGTTGACAGGTGGGTAGGAAGGACATCAAAATGCGATTGGCGACAAGGTGGGGGTGGCGGCAAGGTGGTTGGCAACCTTAGTTGTGCTGTGACCCTTGGGAATGATGCCCAGCCATGCCAGCATAGCGCCCTGCGCCGTGCGCCCAGGAACGAATGACGATGGCTTGCGGTCATCTGCAGACTACAAGATAGAAAACGTGCCCCGCTTTCAAAACAAAAAAAATTGATTGCAGAGGCACATTCAGGAACGCATTTCCCTTCCGCTAATAATCTCGTCGACTGCATTTCCTTCGCAGTCATTCGGCCAACATCAGGGACCAGCGAACAGACATCGCTGCCCAACTAGACCCTCATCGAAAGATCTGACCGATCTTCGATATTCGACCTTTTCTCCCATTCAGACTCTCGTTCCCTTCTCCATTGACGAACCCCCGGTACCTTGCTCGTCTCAATCCTTTAATTCCACGACGCCCTTTCGCTTCGTACCCTTACAAGATGTCGGAGATCACACACCCCACGATCAAAGGTAAGACCTAGTTCATTGGAGGGTCTGAAGGTATCTCAAACTGACCACAACCTAGATGGCTGGTTCAGAGAAATCTCCGACATGTGGCCCGGCCAGGCTATGATCCTCAAGGTCAATCAAGTCTTGCACCACGAAAAGTCCAAATACCAAGACGTCCTGGTCTTCGAGAGCAGCGACCACGGAACTGTCCTCGTCCTTGACAATGTCATTCAATGCACAGAGCGCGACGAGTTCTCCTACCAAGAAATGATCACACATTTGGCCATGAACTCGCACCCAAACCCAAAGTCAGTGCTTGTCATTGGCGGCGGTGACGGTGGTGTTCTGCGCGAGGTTGTCAAGCATGAGTCTGTGGAGAAAGCTATTCTTTGCGACATTGACGAGGCTGTCATCCGTGTCAGCAAGAAATATCTGCCAGGAATGTCCATTGGCTACCAGCACCCAAACGTCGACGTCCATATTGGAGACGGGTTCAAGTTTCTGGCTGATCGCAAGAACGAATTCGATGTCATCATTACCGACAGCAGCGATCCAGAGGGTCCAGCAGAGTCGCTATTCCAGAAACCCTACTTTGAGCTTCTGTACGGAGCCTTGAAGGAAGGTGGTGTTATTACTACCCAAGGTTGTGCGCACCCATCCTCCCCACACGTTAACTTGAGTTCAATGCTCTGTCCTACCGAATGAAACTTAGAGGTCACATTGCTAACGAGTATTGTTCTTTCTAGCTGAAAACCAATGGCTTCATCTCCCACTTATCACCAAGCTCAAGAAAGACTGCAAAGAAGTCTTCCCCGTGGCAGAGTATGCCTACACTACCATCCCCACCTATCCTTCTGGCCAGATTGGATTCATGGTCTGCTGCAAAGATGCCAACCGAGATGTCAAGACACCTCTACGAACCTGGAGTCCCGAGGAGGAAGACAAGTTGTGCAAATACTACAACAAGGAGATTCACAAAGCTAGCTTCATTCTGCCAACATTTGCACGCAAAGCGCTGAAATAGACATTGCATAAGGGGATACTATCATGACTTTATGAAAGGCGAGCCAGCATGATACCAGGTCACAATGTTTTCTTTTTACTGATGCTGCTTGGGAACTTTCCTAGCAGTGTCCTGTATGGCCGATCAGTGCTACGACTTGAGGGCCTGACACAGCGGACAACCACCCAAAAACAGATAGACATCAGGTACGACGATCAATGCTATGCTAGGGGTACAGGAGAGCCTCGCAGGATCTGCGTCCCTAGTTGTCGGCCACGGAACATACATGAAGGTGCCTGAAGAGTGCAGCACTCCAGTAAAAATGCAACTCACGTATCATCGTAGATGTCAATTGACATGACTTCACGGTGGGCACATGGATGACATCATTTCAAGAAATCATTCATCATTAGGGTCCTGCTTCAACTCAACAACATATTTCTACGATTTCACATTAAACCATTCTTGCTTTATTCTTCACATACTTCACGTTTAATCTCCAAGTTTTCAGCTTCGAGATATCCAAAACATACCACCTGAAACCGCCACAAAACCAACACGTCCTGTACTAAAACACGCAAAATGTCTTTCACAGCCAACTCACGTGCCCCTCAACTTCACCCCTCAGAGGCTCCTCAAGAGCCAACAGGCCCTATAGCATCCGACTCCCTTGCTGCCGAGTCACTCAAGAACCAGGGTGGCTTTGCTGAGAACGAGAACGCAACTGCATCCCGCCAACCTGGCGCGTCCTCAACCTGGAACACCACCGACACCTCAGGCGCCAAAGTCCTGCCCCCTGCAGAAGATGGCACTACTCGTGAGAAAGCTACTGCCCTAGGGCTGGGAGCTGACCAGAAGGGAGTTACTGGTGTGAAATACGAGCCGGCGGGCAAGGGCGACTTCGATGGTGCACACACGACTCAAGGTTACTCTGGCGGGCCCAATAGCAGCAGCATTGGCGGCGAACAGAATGCCAGACCGGCTGGAGCCTCAGACTTCGGTGCAACAACCGCGACAGGCGACCAGTCTGGCCCAGACCCTAACATTCGCTCCGGTGGTGATGTTACGAAGCAGGATCGAGAAGATGCACAGAACGCTTCTACCTCGGGCTCGACCTCGGGCGTCAGTGCCGGAGTACGACCACACGTCGATGCAGCACCTGGCTACACCAGCACAGTGACTGGTGCAGCGGCACCACCCGGCACGTACAAGCCTAAGGGCGACAATCTCGAAGACGCCGATCTTACAGAGTCCATCCCCAAGACAAAAACTTTCACCGGCAATGTCGGTGGCGAGAAAGATCCAGGAAGACTGGCTGAGCAGAATTTCGAGGCCAGAAATACCGGCCCTGTTGAGCAGTCCAGCGGCGGTGGTGGTGAGAGTGCCGTGGGCGAGGTAGGCGGATCCTTTGGTGCGTTGGAGAGTGAGCGTGCACCATAAGTCTATGATAACAATGAACAACGGCAACGACAACGACAATCACAGCATTCGAGGCATTCCAAAAATGGTGCAGAAAAGATTTCAAGGGCATACTTCAGGAGCCCAAGGAGCATGTGATGATGACAATGGTTCATGGCCTCTGAAGGCGTTTCCATGAACATATGTATGTAGTATCAAATGATTGAAGCAGGAGCAGCCTCTTGCTGTGACGACAATGTGAATGGCGTGCAATTTGCATCATTGATCCCTCCCATGAATATGTCGCAGTAGGCTTGTCACAAACTGTCTGTTCGGAAGATCCATTCGAACCAATGTCGTGTAGTCATGTTGCTTCGTCTTCCCTATTCATCAGCAGTTCTTCTGTTAGTGAGATCTTATGGGCCTCGTACTCATGCATTAGCTGCCAATCCGCTGATGGTCCGGATGCTTGACACAATTCCATTATTGCGCCATGTTCTAGCCCAAGACAGGCCCAGCCAGCTGTAATCGCTGGGTGCACCCTTCTGTTGGTGTCTCTGCGCTCAAGCCTCATTCCCACGCTAGGTGCCCCTTGGAAACCCTGCCCAATTCCCCAACATCTGCTGGCGCGAGGGAGTCGTCGAGTTGCCCCGCCTTATTCGTCTGCGGGGAGTCTTTCCATGCCTGTTTCGCACGGCTCCATGACACCGAAATGCTTCACACGCAAAGCTGTCGAGCGTTGTTGTCTTCTCATCACTGGGTTCAAAGTCTGCTTCTCTAAACGTGAGCACGTCGAACGCCATGCCACCGACCTCTCCCTCCAAGCAACAACCACTGCGTCAATGACACAAACAGACAGGGCTTCAAACCTGTTGTCCCTTCTCTTCGTCTTACCACTCAACCCACCGCCGCGTTCCCCTCCAAACTCACAAACCCGTCCAACCCACTCATAACATCCCCAGCGACACCGCCAGCAATGACACCCTTCACCACAGCCTTCAAAACACTCCTCTTGACCCCACCAAGCCTAGGCTTCCAAACCCCAGGAACATCCACACCCTCGCCCGCCTCCCCAGCCAGCGGCACCCCCCTCATCGTATCCCGTGCCGGCGTATCAATCATTCGTACAGCAAGCACCCTCATTTCCTCCCTTTCAGTCTGACTCACACTCACAGCAACAACGGCATCCGCAACAACAAGCTCTTCGCGGCTCGGATCGAAAATGACGTTCTCCCCAACAACGACGACAAGCAGCGTGACAGGCGGTTTTGTACTCCCACCACTGCGTGAGTAGAGATACCTGCTTGCCATCCAATCATCATCCGCCACAGGATCCTCTTCACCCTCGCTCTTCAGTCTCGGAACCCTCGTGTCCCGTAGAGCGAGGTGCATCGCCGTACTGAGCAATGGCAACGGATAACTCGCGAGTCCATTCGGTGAAATAAGCAGGACATCAATGTATATATGCCAGTGCCACCTCGCGTTGATCACGAGACTGTCTTGTAATCCGCCACCCACAACGAGTGGTTCGCGCAGCATTTCTTCGAGAAAGACTAGATTGGCATCGTCGTCTCGTAGACCGGGGAGTGTGAGGCTCAGTGTGATCCATTCCTGCCTTCCTTTACCACTACTCGCCGCCTTTGTGGTCGCATTGTCAAGATCCATTGCTCCTGCGCCATCCTCATCACCGTCAGGCTTGGAGATGAATCGTGTAGTATTCTGTACCGTTCTCTCAACTTCGAGTTTTACTCCGACGATCGCTTCGCGCCCGTCGCTAAAGCCCACATGTGCGCTGCCATTGACTGAGGGCAAAACTCCTGTCTCGGCGTGGAGGGGCCGGAAGTCAGTTGCTGAGGCTCTGGCGTCGGGACGGATTGGTGGAATAGATGATAGGGAGGTGTGAAGGTATGCTAGCTCGGCGGGCGAGAAGGGAAGGGAGCTCGTTAGGGATGGCATTGCGCTTGATATTTGGCAGTGGTGAGAAGGATTGGAGGATGGTCTAGAGTCGCCCGGCGTGGCACACTCTCGCTCGTGATGAAGGAGTGGCTGAGGCGTGGAGCCTCGATGAGGTCGAATCCGAAAACTGGTATATCGCGAGAGTCACAGTGACAATGGTGCGAGTGGAAGTTCTTGAAGTCATGCTTCAAATGGCTGTTCAAAAAAGTTGACGAACTCTCCCCGCAAAATGCCGGGGTTAAAATTGGGCAAAAGAATATCTCCGGTCGACATGAATTGCATGCATGCCTCACTAATGATATTCTTATGTTCCACTAGAATGATAATGCTAACATGAATACTTCACATAACCTGGCAAAGCTCCATGCAGACCAGTGTCCTGTCCCAGATTTGCTTGTCGTCTCTTCACAACTCATACGCGTCAATGGCAACACCTTCCAACCCTCCGTTAATACCAACAAGCCTAGGCCTGCCAGCCTTTGCACCGTAAACCATCTCCATGAGTTTACCCTTTTGCCTTTCCCGGACAGCTCGAAGATAATCATATGTCCCTTCCAAACCCTTGATCTGTTGATCAAGTACATTGGCACTGTCAATGCTGACAGAGTCATTCCTCCTTACAAGCGGGCTGACCAATTTTCTCCGAAGTGTCTCTAGGTTGACTTTCAGTGTCTGCAATCTGCCATGGTGCTCCATCAGGAGATGCTTGTTGTTCACCGTCCTCGCTCGTACACTCGACAATAGCTGTTTGTTCTTCTCGTACTTCCGCAGCATCGCCGAGTTGGGACCCATGAGTTTAGTCCAGAGAGATGATAGCAGGTCACTCTCCAATCTTTCTTGCGTGTCTGTCTCTCTGACGACGGTTCGTTGCAAGTTTAGAAACTGGCGGTCAATTGATTCGAACAGGGCGAACAGTGCGGTCGAGTGAGTCAACTCGCTGTTGATGGATTCCTCGAGCACATTCACGAACTCATGGAATGTCCTTGTGAGGGTTGTCCTCGTCCTCTGAGGTGAACTCGCACCGAAAATGTCGGTCAACATTTTCCCCAACGGTGTTGGTCCTTTGGACGTTTCGAGCAATCCGCCCCTGTTGAAGATGCCGTGTAAATGGTCAAACACCACACCTGTAAAAGACGCCCCTTGACCGGACGACACACCCTCCAGTTCGCGTTTCGCCCAGTCCATGACAAGCAGGATACTGTCAACGTCCGAGTCGACATCTGCAAAAAACCGTGTCAACTCCAACCCGAGCGTCTTCAAGCTTTCAGACAATTCGTCAAGCGAGCGAACGATCATTGGTGCCGATGTCATGTTTGCGCTTCTGACTGACTCTCCGAGATCCCATACTGCTACACTTGTTTCCTGCAATGCTGTGATCTGCGCATATCCATTCTCCGAGTAGAAGATCAATGGCTCGAAAGACTTTGCCAAAGTCGATACTTTGACCAAATCAGGGACTGGCGGTGGAATTGGCGGGACCAGAATAATGCGTAACAGGGAAGCAAATAGAATAGTCGTTAGTACTGTAAGAAACGTCGTTGATTTCGTCTTGGTCATGGCGTCAATTTTTCTCTGAATAAAGTTGAGGAAGGGTACAAATGGCTCTCGATGCTGAACGTCCGCTCGAAGTTGAAAACGAATGTCTGTGATCAAAGTCAGCATCTCGCCGCGCATAGGCAGTTGGTGACTGTTTACAATTATTAGGATTTTCTGGTGAGACTGCCTCTTCTCGATCATAACTTCCAGTCTTTGTGTCGCGTTGAACTTCTACCTCTGGCGAACGTTCTCGTACTGGCGAATCTGTTCCTGCAGGCAGTGGAGTATTCACCGCTATTGTGATATCTGGATCCCCGTTCATCGCATCTGAGTACAACTCTGGACTCGTCTGCCGCGATCTCGATGGACTTGTCGACGGTCGCAAATCGTATTTTCCATATGGATCCTGTCTGAACCACCCACTCGCGTTGGAGTTTCTGCCCTTGAATCCCGGCGGCGACCAGGGCAACCCATTACTCGATCTGTCGTCAATTTCACTTTCTTCGCGGTCTGATCTGAAGTCCGGGAATACGGGTGAACGGCGTTCTTGTTCTTCGAAGTCTTCGATAGATGCCTCCAACGAGTGATTGTCGTCCGCCATTCCTTCGGTATCGAAACGGTAGCCAGGCGCAGCAGGCATCATGGCAGCCATGGTAGAAACGGTTGAGCATAGGAAGGGATCATCAAGGCAAGGCTGCGAAAGAGGTCAACGCGGGGCAAACGGCCAACAAAATGGTCGCCTTCAGGATCGTCACCCTTGGTTTGCACAAGGATTTTTTACTGATTAGCGATTGGGAGAATCAAAACAAGGACAAAGAGAGGCGCAATCAAAGTCTCAACTCAGGGTAAGATTGAAATGCACGAAAGTCATGATGTTTGATACCATGCAGAAAGAAAAGTCCATCTCTCCAGAATGCGGGACATCTGCACAGCCCAGCCCAACCTCTTTGACACGTTCATCGACATGCGACAGGCATGCAAGCACTACCGATGATGGTAGGCACGGCACGCGAAAGGCAGGGTTGGTAGCGTAGGCTGTACAAGTGTGCAAGAGAAATGTGAGACTCGGAACCAAATGTTGGAGGCTGGGACAGCTGGCAGGTCTCTTGGAGGGGAAGGTGTCTACCAATCAGAACACCAAATAAGGTCAAGACCAGCATTTCTCCATGCAAGGGCGACCGGATGGTTGCGTCTTTAGCTTCTGCCAGATGAATCAATGGAAGTCCATCATTGGAGACATGAAGGAGTCCAGCGAACTCTTGCCTGGCTTTATGGGCTTCTGTTTCGCAGGGTTGCCTAGTTCCGGCTCATGTTGCAGGCAGCATTGACATTCCGCACAGAAAACGAACCCAAGGTAGAATGGTACCTGCACACGCGGAAACAAGACTGCCCAGTATGGCATGTTTGAGCAGAGAAGTAGATGCTTGATTGTTTATCCCTCGCAGCTATTCTGCCGATCGCATGCGAAAACGCAGGTACGCCCAGAAGGTAACAAGGAGCTTATGTACAGAGAGCTTTCCACCCGGACTCTCCGGGCTTTCTCAGCGACTTTCGGTATGCAAGTCCAATGGTACATCAGATTAGGTAAATGTACGCCTTCGCCGTCTTTGATGATACAGCAGCCGATCTTTCCGTCGCAAAAAAATGTGAGGACGAGACAGTCGAAGTCGAACTTTCGCCTTCGCAATTTATGGTGATCGCATTTATTTCTTGGTCTCCTCGCGCAACCAGCTGGTAGAGAGTCAGTACAAACGATGTAGTAATGGACTGTAGATAAACTGACGTGATCAGGTCATTTCGGTCCTTGCCCTTCTTGAGACCACCGAAGGCCATCTTGGTACCAGGAATGTACTTCTTAGGGTTCTCAAGATACTCGAACTGTGGTGAGATTAGAAACTGTGCTCATCATGTAGATTGAGGCGGACGGGCGACATACCAAAGTGTTCTCGTTCCATTCGATGTTCTTTTGCTTGTTGGCATCTGTGTAGGAGAAGCCCTCAACGGAACCAGTGTGGCGACCGAAGAGACCGTGTAGGTTTGGCCCGATCTTGTTGCCTTCCGACTCAACGACGGTGTGGCACTGCGCGCATCTCGTTTTGAAGAGGTTGGCACCCTTCTTAGCGTCACCTGCGAAAGAAAATTGTGAGCCCATATTCTTGTCTTCGTCTCTTCGCACCTCCTTCGCAGCAGCTTCTTGGGTTTGTTCGTGCAGACTCGGGCCGTCGTCATCATCTAAATCGCCTGGAAAGAGTACTGTATATCCCCATGCCGCCATATTGAATGTAAAGATAGTAGCTATAGGTTCGATGCTCGTATGGTTGGTTCTCGATAGGTGTTATCTCTCGGCGGCGTGTCTGTCAGGCAACGGCGGCAATGAGTGTGTAGCGGAGTTCGCGAGTTGATGCAGATGACTCGGTGAGACATTGCTGTTGACGTTCGCTTGAATTTGGAGCCCATGTTTGCGCCCACGAACCGTAGTGAAGCTGCTGCGAAGCTGTGGTGGCCACTGCAGGGGAAAAGACACTTACCGTCCTTGAAAGAGTCGTCCTTGCCCATTGTGAATTCTTACGACTGTAGGTCGATCAGGCTAGTTGTAGGAAAGAATCGAAAGGTGTTTAGACTATGAGCAAAGCTCTGAGGTATGAATAGCGTTGTATGTGGTAAAGGGAAATTGAAGCAAAAAAGCTGAGCGAAAGGGAACCGGGAAAATTGTTATGTATGACGGAGACGAGTAGGCGAGCGAAGCACCACAAGAGCCGGAATCGAGCCCGTTCTTTGGTTGCTTTGGAGCCTCTGAGGCCTTTTGCAATTGCTTGCGTTGCTAGCTGTGGCTACCAAAAGTGGCGCTGTATCCACGTCTTCCGGCCAATTACCGCCACTGCATTGTCATTCTTGGGATGTTCGGGCCTTTTCGGGCTTTGAATCATTTCGGCCAGAGCGATAAAAATACATAGAAGGTCCATATGCCATTTTGCCGAAACAATAATTGTTGTTCTGGACACAGTGTACGTCTGTTCTAGGTGTTCAAGCCCGGTCTACCGTAGCAGGTATGCACACGCACTGTTCGTCACAGCATCGAGAAGACGACACCACAGCCACAAGCAGTCACTATGACGTCTATCTCATTCGTCGGAACAGCGGCAGCAGGAGCTCGGGTATCATGACTACCAACATGGCTACAGCTGATGCAGCGTCACAATATCATCATGCTTGGCTGTGTCGATGTCGATTGCCTGAGGCTCGACACCACCCTACCTAGCCATCTTCATACCTCCCACAGACTCAACTCCCACAATGGAACTTTTCTCCGCATTACTGTGATAGGGTCGCCCAAAACTCATCCAGCAACTCATGCCTCTTCACAGCCAAATCGAAATCCGCATATGGTTGGCCCTGAGCGTATGCCTCGTACAGACGACCGATATTCTGTCCCTGTGTAGGTAATGAGGTCCATTCCTCACCGCCCTCGTCGACTTCGATATCCTCAACCTCTCCCCTTTCAGCATTCGAGAAGCGAATACTAATAGCCTTTGCCATCTGTGGCCCTGCGCTTGCAAACTCAACTGCAAGTTCCCCCTTTGTGCCATATATTCTCCACGTCGACCCAGGATTACCGATGAATCTGTCTCCAGCCCTCAAATGAAAGCTGAATACCGCTGCAGGTGTCCTGTCCAGTCGTCCCTGCAGAAGAATCTGGTCTGGGGTGTCTTTGTCGTAGAGCTCCTCCGACAACGACCCATCATCTTTCATGACATGCATTTGTGGTCGCAAGTTCACGGCCATGGGAGTGTAACTTCCTGGCTTCAGCTCGCCAACGGCATACAGGATGGAATCCAAGATGTGTCCACCATATATGGTCAGGAGGTTACCTCCGATCTTCCTGTCCATGAAGTAGTCATATCGCTCGCTGGCTGCGTTGTTCTGCCACACATGGATTGCTCCTTGGTAGTTGACGCTGTGGATCTCACCCAATGCACCCGTGTCGACGAGCTCCTTGACTTTTCTCGCACTTGGTGACATTCGACCTTGAAAACCCACGATCGTGTTGAGGTTCTTCTGTCTCGCCAGCGCGGCCATCTCCTTTGCTTGCTCCGTCGTTGCTGCGAGGGGCCACTCTACAAAGACGTTACGTCCTGCTTTGAGCGCGGGCATGGCGACCTCATAATGAGTATCGGCTCGAGTGGATACGACATAGAGGTCAACATCGGGATCGGATGCAAGTCCTTCGTAACTGTCATAAGCCTTGGTCGTTGGAGGCAGGTTATGTGCTTTGATGGCAGCCTTTGTAGATTCAAGTGATGAGTTGCACAGTGCAACGATCTGGTAATTGGGAGACGATGCAAGTCGCGGCAAGTGAGCCAAACTTGCCCATGTCCCTGGCTTGCTCGAAAGGCCAACGATACCTACTCGAATGGGGGCCATGGCGCCGGGTTATTAAGTGTTTGTGTTGTAGAAACAGAGGCCCAAGGAGTGTCCGGCTCACATATATCACTACAGGCTACTTGAAGAATGGAACAGTCATTAGTAAGCCTTGTCCAACTTGAGAGGGTGATGGTGGTACAAGACGTCAGTCTGCTGTTTGAGGGATTACAAATAGGGTGAGACTCTGGTAGATATCCTATACCGAGGTCATTCGACACTACTCACTGTTTGCCTTGCTCGCCGTCTTTATCCATCTAGTCAACCCTCTGCATTTCAAGCTTACGCGAGCGTACATATTGACGATGCAACATAGGCCAGAAACGTCGCTCGATTAGAAAGAAGCTTGGTCTGCGGGTTTTGGTTCCCTGGCTTCATCGCGTCCGATGGTTGAAACGCTCATTTCACCATGGTCGTCGAACTGCTTCTCACACAATGCTACTATAAGTCAATTGTCCTTGATTCACCAATGTATCGGCAATCCGTGATTCTATGTCCTTTCCCTTGCATCTAACGCATCGTGATGGCGTCTGCTGTACACGCGTGGCCCCTATGTTCACGTTTCATCGTATCACGTAGCGTTTGCTCTTAGCTCACAATTTTGGGCTCCCGTCCCCTACGTGCACACCACCTGCACGTAGTCAATGTTGCCCATTCTGCTTGGAACTATCATCAATCTCGCAGAAGGCGCGGAAGGTGACCAACTCCTCGCCTGTGCTTTCCACAACCAACTCAGCCGTCGCACCAACAAAATACACATACCCTTCCTTCAGGTCCTCCGTCTTAGGACCGACACTGATCCTGCCCGAGCCAGTCGTGCAGATCAGGATGCTCGGCCCAGAGAGTCCCTCAAACGTAGCCTTTGCACCATCCTTTTTGAGCACAGTACGCACAACGGCGAACTCCTCAATAGGCGGATCGTACAGTAGCGAGTCGCTTCCCGAGCTGTAGGCTTTGTCGTTGAGCGTGACGTAGGGGTAGTCCACGGGCTTGAGCAGTTGCTGCTCCGGAGGGTCGTGGTCGTAAGTCAGAATGTCGGTGAGAGTGTTCACGTCCTGGAACTTGGGCGTGAAGCCAGCGCGGATGACGTTGTCACTGCTGGCCATGCACTCGATGATGTCTCCCGAAATGTATGCGTGAATGTCGTCGGCCTTGAGATACATTGCCTGTCCAGGCTGGAGCTTGACGTAGTTCAGGAAGAAGAGCACAAACAAGCCAATGTCTTCAGGGAACTGGCTGTTGCAGCGCTGAACTAGCTCGCAGAGCTCCTCGGAGGTGTTGACACTGGGACCCGGGCTAATGGAGCCGGACTTGGCAAGCTCGAGAAGGTCCTTGGACCTTTCGGCGACGAGTTTGCGGTCGGATTTCATGAGCGAGCTGAAAGCTGCTTTGAGGTGGGATTTGGCGTCACTGGAAGAAGATGAAGTGGCAACTTCTTCTAAGCCTTTTGACTCCGCTTCGCCGACAAGCTCCCGCAGAGGCGTGATGGTGGAAAGGAAGTGGGCAATCTCTTTCAGTGGTCGGAAGCCGCAGAGGCCTTCGAAGGGGGTAATAGCAAGGGTCATTTCGGGCTTGTGGTTGTCATCAGGGTAGTTCTTGGGGTCTTTGGCATGGAGTTCTCCGGCGAGTTTCTTGTTGGGATGGGCTTGGATGGAGAGTGCCTTGGCGATGGACAGCACTTTGAACAAGAAGGGAAGTTTTTTGTTGTACTTGGCCGTGATATCGGTGCCCATCAAGGCTTCGTTGTCAGACACGAGGTCGATCAGCGAACGGCCGGTAGTGAGATCCTTGGAGGGCAGTGACGGGTGAGTGCCCATCCATAGCTGAGGTCTTGGTCAGATGATTGTGATACAAGGGGCAGACTCAGGGCATACCTCAGCGTAAGGCTTGTCTTCTTGTATAGAAAAGTTGTCGGATGGAGTGGCCGCTGCATATTTGGCGGCGGCGGAATCCTTGCCCTTCTTGCCTTGTGTATGTCAGATAATGATCAAGCCCTGTAGCTATACTGTCTACTCACCCCACTCGTAGCTGTTGCAGCCTATATACCGGTTAATCAGGAATTAGGGGCTGGAGTCTGGATATCAGACTGACCGCATTGAAGACGAATGAGAGGGACCTGCATTTTGGTTGAGCCGGCAGATATAGGCGATGATCAGGATTCTGTGGGTTCGAAGATAAGAAATGAATCTGTCAATCCCCGGATCTATATTCGAAGTCAGGAGAATGTGAAGATCTAGCGGTGAAAGGGGTCAGGTGTGGCTTGCATCAGTATTCTTTCTTGACAGATTGTAAATGGAAACGTGGGTGGGCAATTGGCCAGACCAGCCGATACAGATATTGAGCAATGATCCACCGTTTGACTACGTTGCAGCATCTCCCCTCACAACAGTGCGATGTCCCGGCATCGCACCAATCAGGGGCACTAAGTCACTGTTGCCCTCTCCAAGATACTTGACGATGCGTAAAGCCTCACCATCTCGGGCTCTCCTGTCTCTGCCTTTTTCCTTGTACATATAAACCCACACTTATAATCGGACCTCACAGGCCTGGAACTCTGTCCCTGACCTTGACCGCAGCATGATTCAACAGTCTGGCTAAGAGCGCGTATGCCATACCACCTACTCTGCTGACACATCAGGCGCGCGTCTTCCCGATCGGTGGTCATTGAGTTTGCACGATCAGACGGCCGGCCTCCGCAGTCGTTTGTCTTGATCGCAAGGCTTCGTTGTGCACAGCATTCGCTGTACTACCCACCCAAAATGAGTGGCCGGCCCCGAGGAGGCCGTGGTTTGAGCGGCCGAGAGGGCAAAGAAACAGATCTTGAAAACGACCTGCTTAGCCGAGCCGTCGAAAGTCTGCGGAAGGCACAAAGTTACAACGACCAGTCCAAGCGGATAGGTCAGGACATTATCGCTCTTGAAGAAGAGATCAAAGCAAACGGACGTATGTTGAATTCCATTTGTTTCCCCCCGAATGTTGCTATTGCACCACCTTCGCTGTAAGTCAGGCATTCGCAATTGAGAGAACATGTCCGCCCATATTCGATCGCTAGCGGTCACCGTCCTGCAATACTGTCTTCTATTTGTTCTGTGCTTCTTCGAGTATTCTGTCAAGATCTTTAGTAACGTTGACCATCCAGATTCTACTCCTGATAATCACCGCCGGCTTGATGCACTCTACCGAGAAAACCTGAAGTGCGCAGAGAACGAGAAGAAGGTACACGATGACGAGGATATTATTAACAACCTAGCCATCCTTGCCACTATGAAATCCAATGACGATCTTGCGCCGAGAAACGGTCAACCCAAGTCGCGCAAGCATCAGAGGCCTACAATTGAGTCAGATGTGGTAGTGGAATCTCCTGGTCCAAGTCCTGGGGATGGCCGCCTTGAAATGATGAAGCGGGTCAAAGGTGCTGCTCCGCGAAGTTCTAGCACCGCCAGTCAAAACCGAGCAGCAACCGTCCCCAAGGACGACGGCATTGAACCGCATAAGGGGGTTCAGGCAGAAAAGGCTGGTCAACTCATTTCCGGAATCGAAGTGTTCTATAAGTACCCGAAAGACCAACAAGAGAATGAAGAAGGCGTCGGCATACACGGTATCATCAAAAAAGTCTGGCAGGAAAAGAGACCGTGGGTGGCAAGCCAGTTTCTCGTATGCATGTTATTGACTTAATGCCAGGATTCAGTACGATGTTCGAGATCCTGAGGACGACGCTTCAGGAAAACAAACAGTCCGAAAAGCCACGGCACGAGATCTTGTCCCGATCCCGCAGACCAACGTTGCGACTGCTCAATTTCCTATAGGCGCTACTGTCTACGCCAAATATCCCGACACCGATACCTTTTATCGAGCAAGAGTCAAGAGCTTTCAGAAGACCATCTATAGTCTGAAGTTCGACGAGGATGATAAGGAAATGCTCGTCGACGTACGATTTGTACTGGACCCGAGGATGAGGTGATGCTCGAACAGGTGTTGTTTGGTGGCTGGAAGCCGCCAGTCGTTGCATTGAAGTCCACAGTATTTGACCGAGAGCTTTTTGTCTACTGCTTGAGCTGACCCTTACTTGCCAGATAAGCCGCGCCTGAGTCCGCCCATATCTCGTACACCTTGACCTTGTTGTCCTTATCGAACTCAAGCGCATATGTAAACACCTCATCCCAGCTCTGTCCGGTACTGGTCCAGGTGAACCTAGCCTCTCCGCGACACGATACTTTCAGGACGTCTGGGTCGACCACGAAATTACTGAAGCGCATATTCTCGTATTTGAGATTGGATGACAAGAGCTGGAAGTACTCTTTGAGGCCAGTCTGCCCCCTAAACTCTCGCCCCAGAAATGCCGCTAGTTGCGGCAGGCCATGTTCGAGAGCAAGGACGTCATCGGAGGCAGAGAAGTGGCTAAAAATCTCTTCGGGAGGCTTTTGGTCTGCGAAGGTGTTGCAGAAGCCTAGAGCGGCAGACAGCAGATCTCGTCGCGTCGTTGAGGGCATTTTTATCCTTGAAATCTGGAGCAAAAGACTTTGATATTATGTGTTTGTTCGGCTTACCAAATGCGAGCCGTGAAATTAGTCAAAAGTGCGGAGTGTTGACCGAGGCTCCGATTTCGTCAGCAACTTTACCGTCACAGTCAAGATTCCTTCCACTTCTATCACCTTAATCCCCTCATTTCCCATATCGCCATACACATACACATAGACAACACCCGAACTGCTGGATAGCTGTTGTCTGGTTCGGCCTTGCATACTGTCGTTTTGACTTTCATGATGCGTATTGTTTGAATCTGCATGTGCCATACACCGGCCAACATCGCCCATTATGGCTCATCCCGCCGAAGAACTCCCCTCCCACGCCTCCCCTATGATCTCTCCCATTCCACGCCCTTCAGCCGGCTACCTAAGCAACTGGTCTGATCTTCACGATGGCGCTCCTGCGACGCCAGGCATACCGGATAATCTAATCTCACCTGCTTTCACACCACCGGCCACACCAGGAGCTAGCACCCCTTCGCGGCATCTGCATGCAGAACCGAGATCAATACCCGTGGACACTTCCCTCGATGACCCTTCCACAAAACAACCTCGTTTGGTCGAGAGACTACCGAACGTCGAATGTCTAGTCCGTGCGCGAATCCCAACGACGTCGGGGTCGGAGATGTTTCTATACCTATATCAGAATGACTCCGACAACAAAGAACATCTTGCAATTGTGTTCGGGAATGACATTCGAAGTCGGAGCTTGGATTCTGAGCGGCCGGGCGAAACAGAGATGGACCGTATGATCAGAGGCGCATATGTTGGAAGATTACGACCCGGCAGAACGAGTTCGAGGATTGACCCCGACAAACACAGAAAACCCCCGAACAAGCGCGCAAGAAGTGGCTCGGCGCTGAAGAACGTCACCATGGTTCCCGAAGAACCGGTTGTAGAAGGAAACTCGGCGACGTCTGTGCAGCCTCCACCTGCAACCCAGGATGAACAGAACTCCGAACAGCCCCGAGGCAAGGAGACTGGTCTCGAGCCTCTACTGGAGGCTGTCGAGATCAGCTCTCCTGGAAAAGCTCCTTTCGTGCGGATTCACTCGGAATGCTACACTGGCGAAACAGCCTGGTCAGCCCGTTGCGACTGTGGAGAGCAGCTGGATGAAGCCGCTCGGTTAATGTCTCTACCAGGTTCGTCAGGCGGCGTTATTGTATATCTGCGGCAGGAGGGGCGAGGTATAGGTCTTGCCTCAAAGCTTAAGGCATACAATCTACAGGATCTAGGGAATGATACAGTCGAAGCAAACCTTCTTCTGCGGCATCCGGCTGATGCTAGAACTTATGGTCTTGCAACAGCTATCCTGCAAGATCTTGGAATGGGCACAGATAGCGATGCCCAGAAGCCTGAGCAGGAAAGGGGTATCAGACTCCTGACCAATAACCCGGATAAAGTCAGAGCTGTAGAAGGTCCGAACAAAGAAGTGCGTGTTCGCGAAAGAGTGGCTATGATTCCGATAGCATGGAGAACATCGGGCGTGAAGGGCGTCCGAGGTGCCGAGATCGAGAAGTACCTGGAGACTAAAATTGGTCGAATGGGGCACATGATCCACGAAGAATAGGGTCTCTCGTTGGCCGTGGTCCCAAATCACTGGTCAGCAATGCTGACTCCAAAGGATCTCACAAAACTGAGACAGACAGTCTTGTTTGGGCATAAATATGGACGACCACAGGGCGCTTCTTCTAGGTCCCCATTCCGAGTTTGCAGGATGTGCGTCGGGTTGGAAGAAAGTGCTTGAGTTACGACAGTCTCCAGCGACGAATTGTGTCCGGCAATCACAGAATGCCCACGACCGCACGCAAGAGTCCAGGCAGTATGACCGATCTTCAGGATCTCCGAGCACTCAAGAGGCTTGACCGCCAAATGTCGCATCTCCGCCACCTTTGCTCCTGGCCGTTGCAATGGGCAGGCTGACCCATACATCTGGCCTTCTCTGCCCTTCTCTGCCCGAAACCTGTTTAGGGCCAGAGCACTGGATGAAATGCGTCTCAAGGAGATGCGAAGCCTGACCGACATTAAGAGAAAAACACCATCAGCTAGCGCACGCACCTCTTGTGCCTCGGGCCTCAGTGTTGTGGTGGCGACGCTTTGTGCAAAGGTCAGAAAAGATGTCAAACCTAGTTGTCGTTGTACAGATCAATCAGATGAGAACCTATATAGGCAGGAAGATGACTCGGAAAAGTATGAACATACATATCGGAGTTGCCATTATTGGCACAGAATCTATACACCTGCTCAACCACATCAATGGGAGCGAGGGGCTGTTTATAGCAGAGACAGACATATTATATCATATCATGGGACGAGCTTTGTCGCCATAAGTTTGCGCTTCAGTAGTGTCGTATCATGCTTTAGGCTGTACTGCACTTCCCGACATGAATGATGAACATGGCCGCTGCCAACTTGCTGTCTTGTAACCGCACGATGCTCACCATATCCCCAACCACAACTTCCTCTTCCTCTTCTCTTGTGGTGGCGGTTGCGTCTCCGTTTGCTGCACCTCTGCCTCCACCTCCTCCTTCCCCTTCTCGCTTTGTCGTTGTTTGATCCGTCTCGCAAACTCAGTTACATCATCACCAACCTTCCCACCTCCAGCAATCACATCCCTGCCCGTAATCGGCATATCTCGCCCACCCGCTTCGCGCTCCTTGACAGTCAACCCGTCATCCCAGGGCACCAAACCCCTAACATCAATTCCCTGCTCCTCCTCAGCATTCAGATCCTCCATGCCATGTGCGCGGCGGTACAGTCGCCGTTTCTGTGCGTCCCGAATCTTTTGTTGGCGGGACTCATTCGTTTGGGCTGTAGTGTAGTCGATGTGCAACTTGATTACGGATAGAGACTCCTTGACGTACGTGATGGGGTGGAAGGGCAGGCTGGAGACAGGCGGCATGAGATGCGCGTAGGGCGATGTCTTGAGGAATGTTTGTGTAAGGGTGATGAATGCCAGAATCGTCAATGTACCCTGCGATTATAAGCATTAGCATGACTGGTCCGCAATCCAGCACCATGGCGGCGCATTTGCGTGCTGTCTGCCTGCCGGGCTGCTCCACAGCATGGACGTGGGCGCAAACTCACCATGGTAATCCAAATATGAATCCACCGGTCCGTCAGAAACCAGTGCATAAATGAACCCTTTTCGGGGAACATGTGAGGGTACGTTCTCGTCTTCTGATGTTCTTTCTCCTGCTCCGTCGAACCCTGGTTGTACGCCGCGGGTCGCCGGCGGGCTGCGAGTCGCGAAGGATGCGACGGTGGACGGAATTTGTCTGGTTGTTCGAGGACGATGGGCCCTTTGCTGTTGGGGGGTGGTGTCGTCGTGGAGGATGCTGCGCGGAGGAACATTCTATATGAAGAGGATGGGAGGGCTAGAGGACTCTGTCCGCGTGCAGCGGTCCGTAGACATTGCTGGCATATTGACAAGGTTTTGGCTCGGGATGCCATTGCTGGAACGTACTTCAGACTGGCGATCCTTGAGTGCTGCACTGTAGAAATTGGATGTCGTGCGGGACAGCGGACAGCAGTTTGAGCTTCAACGGATGTACTTTACAAAGTACAACTTTTGGAGTACGGCAGCGATCTACATGAGGTTCTTGGCGGGCCAATCACATCCTGCACGGTACATCGAAGAGATGCTATGCGATTAAAAAGATACAAGTCAACTACGAAGTAGACACCAGACCACCTGAAGACTCGATCATAGGCAATAAGATAGCATTGTTGGGTTGATTGCATCAATTGTGTCTTGCAGACTCATATATGTAAGCAAGGAAAGCCAACGACAGTCTCCTATGTCGCCGTACCCTCTCCATACATGAAAACTTCTAGCTGTACAACCTCGTCATGAGGAGGATTAACATATGAAAAAAGATTGTCGCTGTTCAAGCTGACAATGCTAATTTGTATGGCAAACCAAAATGCTGTCCATAAAAAAGTCCCTTGCCGGTAACTCTGTCATCCGTCCAAAGACCAAAATTGAATGCAATAACCAGACATGGTGGATCTTCAACAAGTCCACTAGACAGTAAGAACTGAAAATCAGAAATAGTGGTATGGCCGTATTGACCCTATTTCAACGCCAATGAACTCAGAACACCTAGGTCCGTAGGTAGGTGGCCAACTCTTTCTCTTTTCGTACAGGATATCAAGGAACGCTATATTGTCGTCGAGTGTGGAGAATAGGAAACTTTTCGGTCAAAGCAAGCGTGGGCGGGACAATGTGTCCCAGGACTATCGGTAGATGGATCCAGCTGCAAAGATGCTGTTGGCAGCAGCGGCTGCCCATTCATTCTCTTCGTAGGGCGGCGTAGGCCAAAGTGCAGGTACATGGTCTTGATCTTTACGAGTCTTGGTAATGTTCAAAGGTAGGGTGGGGTTTGAGGTGTTGGCATTGAATGAAACACCATTCCTTTTGGCGGATGGTGATGGCGTCAGGTAGGCACCTTGCATGGTCGGGTTGCTGGTTATATGGGGTAATGACTGTCGGTTGTAGTCCTTCTGCGCTAGAACAGTACGTTGTGTTTGCTCTTTGGAAGGGACATTGGTATCGAGACGCCGAACCGCACGATTGGCAGACCTCATCGCCTCGTCGAGTAGTTCGTCGGCCTCTTCAGGTGTCTCATATTGATTGATCTGCAGAGGGCGACGTGTCCGTGCCACTGCTACCGTTGATGCAGGAGCATTAGCAGCTGCTGTGGTACTGTTGACGTTCTCACTTGACCGCGATGAGCGTGGGACGGAGTGTGTCCTTTTCAATGAACCTTGGTTCGATGACACTTCTGTCGAGGTGCTTCGTGGCTTGGCCCCTGAATCGTTCCGGTCCAGGCTGTATCTAACGTTTTGCAGTATCTTGTCCAGGTCAGAGAAGTCGTTGTTATTCTCAGGGATGACGCTGTCAACCATGACTGATGACCGATTTGACCACGGGATGTGTGCAGCATTTGCCTCGACATCATCGCCGTTGGGTGACGCCAGTCCGTGTCTGCCAGAGAATCGTCTTGCTCGTTTTCGTAAGTGAGAGAAGAAGCTCTCTTTGTGACCGTTAGGTGGGGAGACAAGGCCACTGTTGGCATTCAACGCGCGCTCAGCGTCTTGGCGGTGGACGTCAGCATAATGATTACCGTGTGAGTTGATCGACAACTGTCTGCCAATCTTCTTCGACTTTTCGTCGGAAGGCTTTGACGAGTTGGGCTTGGACTCGTCCTGAGCCGTGAACGAGGAAGTTGCCTGTGCTGTGACAGCGTTAGGCAACGGCGAGATGGGGCGGATGGATGGTAGTATCGGCATTGGTGCTGCTCCGGTAGGGTTGGTTCCATTGGCCCACGTTGCGCGTTTGTTAGCTTGGGGGCGAAGCCTGCTGACAATACCTTCTGATTCAGGCTGTACGCCCTTGGCAGAGTCAGGATTATGTTGAGGAACTGCAGGGGCACTTTCCCGTGCAATCAGCGATCTCCGGAACCAGGATGGCTTGGATGTAATCGTTGGAGTCTCGACCATGTCCTTCGAGCGGAAACTCAAGTCCGAATGTTTGCGACCAAGTAATCGCGATGACGATTTTGGTCGAAGAGGGTCGACGGCATCTGTGAAGAATTCATGCCCCATGGCTTGTTTTGAGGTTGGACGACTCTTAGGATCCCACATCAGACACCAGGTCACAAAGTTGCTGAAGGCCACTGGCCATTGAGGGGGTGGCAGGATCGTCTCCATGGCGTGAGGGGCCATCTGAGAATGTCAGCAAAGTACCAGGTAATTTGAGTATAGCTGTATGACTTACCTTTGGGAACGAGAACCCGAGTTTTTGCGCCAACTTTGTGCCATCTCTCCATTCACCACCTCCTACACGGCTACCTGACTTGGTATACCAGTTGCCAGGGCTTCCCATGATTTCACACACGCGCCACACTTGGTCGACTTCATTTCCTCCAGGAAACAAAGGCTTGAGCGTGGCCACTTCCACAGCCATAGCACCAATAGCCCAGATATCCACAGGAGCAGAATATTCGCCAGCACGAAGGAGGACTTCAGGTGCTCTGTACCACCGTGTAGAGACGTAAGTAGTATATGGTAACCTGGAGTGGGTTTCGCGGGCTAACCCGAAATCGGCAATCTTGATGGAATATGTCGGAGGTGTTGACGGTGGGGTTACCAAGGATGAGTATCTGCTGAAAGTGGATTGAGAGTCTTGCGGTGCTGAAGAGGTGACGAGGATGTTCTCTGGTTTGATGTCCCTGTGGAAGAAGTTGTGTATATGTATGTGATCGAGGCCAGACAAGATCTGGTACAGGATGCTCTTGACACTTCTAGCATCCAAACACTTATGATCGCGAGCTTTCATCAATTGATAGAGGTTGCCGTCCATGTACTCCATGGCAATATGGAGCTTCTTGCTGAATGGGTCCAAGAAGATATCCAGAGCTGGCACCAGGTGTGCATGTGTCGGCAGAGTTCGAAGAAATATGACCTCGCGAAGTTCCATGCAGGGTGTAAATGATTCAAACGTCTTCTTCATCGTCTTGATAGCCACCTAAAATATGTCAGTCATTCCCGCTAGAACTCAAGTTCAGTTGCCGTACCATGGTATTTCGCCGAGCGACACTGGCGCCATTTGCCCTTACTCTTGCAAGATGCACACTTCCAAAACTACCATCTCCAATTTCCCTGATCACTTCGAACCGATCTTCCAAGGCGGTCAACGTATATGATTGTGGCCTGTGGCCATAGTCGGTGACAGCCATGACTGCGTTGTGGAGTCGTCGTGCTCAAAGCCTCACTTCCAATGCGCTTCGTTCCAAGGATATACCGGCTTGAGTTGTTACTTATGGGACTTGCCCAACGCCCATATAAAGGGTTGCTCGATGACCTCAACACGTCATTTCCTTCTTCACTTGCATTCAAAAGGTCCCAGTGAGCCAAAGGGAGGCGCAACAGAGGGTCGTATAGAGGGCGGTCGTCGGTCGATTGAAGATCGCTGTACTCAGACGTTCACGAAGGTGGTGAGTAGGATGGTAAGTGACGATGAAGTTCGAACAAGAGGATGCTGGTGAGGATCAAGGACCCAGTTCGAAAACGTTGGAGGTCACCAAGACAGCTAGCTCTGGGATTGTCGACTGTCGGAAGGAGACCCGCAAGGGGTGGTGCAAGAGTGGATAGAGGATCCCCTTTCTTGATTGACACCGGGGGGGATCGCTATAGGGTCGAAGGACGTGTGTAGGGGGTGGAAAGTGACAGATGTTTTCGGTTGTGTTGACGATGTGCTCGGACAATTTGCTGCGAAATGGGAGGCGCGCCCTGGCTTGTGATGAATCTGGCAAGGGGCAGATGCGTGAGGCACAGGTGGGAGCGGCGGATGTGGACGAGCCGATGACAACGTGCCACACGGGCTTGCTCACCACTGCGGGTGGTGAAATTACTCTGACGAACACTGGTTTTCCAAGCAAAGACAAAACGACAAAAAGAATAATGGGAATAGGAGATGAGCTTTTTCGCCCATGAGTGATGAGGGAGAACGAGGTCCCAGCGAAACAACGGTGTACTCGTACGGGGTGTCAGCAACGCAGCACCTTGCGTTTGCGTTGCCTGAGTCGACACCAATGGGGTTAGAAGGCTGGAAAAAGGGCAGGCTGTCAGGCTTGGATTAGCCCCGACGGAGCCAATGCAAGCACCATGGTTAGCCTAGCTCTAACTAACCCTTTCAAACCTCCGACCCAAACAACCAGGCCACCATCCGCCCCATGGTCCATCGCTTATCCCTAATATTGTGAGCGGAAGCACCATTAGTTCGCATACCCGTCGGCTTGGTCAAAGGTCAATTGCTTGCCTTTGCGGAAAAATCATCTACCAGGTATAGAAATACAACCAGAGAATAATGCCCATTGCAACACCGTCTTGAGATAAGTTAGGGACTCTTTCACACATCTTACCGTTTCCGAGATCCCAGAGGTCTCCGTTCTGTCTGTTCCTTGGGCTTATAGTTTTTCGGTAGTAATGACAGAACCCCCGGTTATGCAATCTCGCCAGAAATCCTGGGTTGCCTATTTTTTTGTTGTCAGGGCCGTTGAAAGAAGAAGGTCTAGTCTCATTCGTGGATTCTCGCCCAATGCTGTCATGACATCCTGTCACACTATTGAAGGCGAGATCGGTGGCTCCGGTGGACGCTCCGTGAAGCTCTTACTGGCCGTTTTGTGGTCAAGTTCCAATAGGGCCAACAGCCACTTCACGGGGGAACGGGTATGATCTCAATAGTTGGCAATACTCTGAAAATGCCCACACCTTCAGCGAATGACGATAATCGTGTGCACCAAAATCGGTCTCCGCTTGTTTCGACATACCTAGAAAACATCCAGGTCCTCTGGGTCTTTCGCTCGTGATCGCATCTGGTTTCAAATCAGATGACCTTGGCCCACGGTCTACTTGTTTCTCAGAAATCCCCAAGATGCACGGTGAATGGTGCTGCCAGTGTATTGCCAACGGCACTCTCCAGCCTGCAAGGCCACGCCACGTTGCGATGACCAAGATAGCAGCATCATAACTGGATGACTGAGTTGAAGCTAGAGAGGCCGGCTGACGCCCCTGGCGTGAAACCCGTCTTGAATTTCTTGTTCCTGATTCAAGGGCGGACACCCGATGCAAAATCAGGTTTAGAGCCGAACTTGTCCCTGATTTATTCTTGTCGCGGACTCGCGGCAACCAAGAACATGGGCCGGGGCGTTGCTGGTGCCGGCCAACGGGTTTGGGTGACTCGGTGAGTGCTGATCAAATCTGCACTTCCGCTTCGATTGGCTCGAATCTGCAACCACACAGTGGACCTTACGCCAAAAGAGCGGGAAGTCTTTTGCTGGAGCTTCATGCTTTCGCGGCATCGGCTGCCGGGCTCACCATGTGGACCTTGATAGTATTCTGGAAGTTTGAAACGCGGTGAGGATAGTTTCGAGCTTCCAGATGCTGTTGACATCATTTAGAGAAATCGAAAAGGGGCATCGACTTGTCTGGCATATTTGCGATTTCATGCAAGTGAACCTAACAGCCAGATGCTTTGGCTTCTGCAGACATGGACGCCATGGCATGGGGGCATCAATGATCGATGCCGGGTGTACAAAGGATCGACTAACAGTGGGCTGTAGTAGTACTGATGCTGGACAAACATCGCCATAGGGTCAGTGCTGCCACGGAGTAGGAACGTGATTTTTTCCAGATCGAATTTTGTTTTTGCAAATTTGCAAGAGTTGTGGTTGGCACGCCAGATGGATCTTGCGAATACTTTGGGCCACGTCAGATAGCCACGTTCTGTGGTACTCTTTGTCATATGGGAAGTCAGCGTAAGGTACAACGTCCCTGCATCGGTCCTGCATGGCTGAGATGCCTCACCAGCTCTGTGTCTTCATGTGGTACAATCAGATCTCCAGTGTCACAATGCTGCAATTCGCATCTGCCTATCAAGGTGAGTTCCGAATTTATGCTGCAGTTGGAGATTCAACTGTCTGCTCCAACCGTCGTGCTTAGCTGCAGCCAAGCATCCTTTACCGTAGAAGGCAAACAAACATATCCTTTATCAAACTTCAAGACATCAGTAACAAACATCAAGCGTGGTAGGGGGAGGATCAATCGTTGAACGTTTCTCTGTCTGGAGCAGCATATATTGAGGTATTTTCTTTTAGTAATGGTGCTCATTCGTTGATGATACTTCTGAGGACAGTAAAAAAGAAGCGGAAAGGGGTACCACATGGAGGTATTCACATCTTGAAGATCAACAGCTTGTCTTGTCTTGAGGAGGTATTTGAAAGTATCGTTACCATTGACGTGGAGTCCAGTTGTTGAAGCACATTGGTAACATTGGAAAGTGGTAAGTTCGTCGAGACCAGAGAAGTGCTGAACTAAGTCTCGAGGTCTTCACCAGAACCTCATTCTGAACTCATTTGCGACAGAAGCCAGGGTGATAGGAAAGTGAAGTTGAGGCTCCTTCCCGACTTCACTTCACTTTCTACTCTTGGCAAAGAACCACACTTGTATTTAAAGACACTTTCACCAACATGTCTCAAAAGCAACAGCCTCACTGGCAAAGAAAGAAGGAATCGTAAGCCATCTTTCTACTCTTCTTATTCTTCTTTCCAGTACCCGGGGTCTCTTCTCCTTTGTTACTTCATCGAACCAAATCCAACAAATCCTCCAACATGGCCACCACTGTCATGACCGCCACTGACTGGGGATCCAGGTACGCCAATGTTGACGTTGGAAACATGTAAGTCAGTCTGGTCTCTTCTCTTGACCTGTACTCATTTCTTTGCTAGGATCGAGTGCGCCAATTGCTGCAGAAAACAGTTCCGATCACGCTATTCCAACAACCAGCTCTCCAAATTCCAAGAAAGTACCTACAAGGCACGCCGAGGCGGTCAACCAGCGGAACTACCAAGATGCAGAGATTGCACTGCCGGAAACACAATCGAACTCAAGTGTGCTGGATGCTACGTCATCAAAGGCCTGGAGTTTTTCTCAAAACAGCAAAGAAAGAACCCAGATAATGCGGTAAGCAAAACCCTGCTTGTTCTTAAATATGTACTGACATTGCACAGAAATGCATCCCGTGTCAGCAAGCCATTGAGGATCTTGTGCCTGATCTTCGAGCTGCCAACGAGGAAGAGCGGATCAAAGAGGCCTCACAGAATCGTCGTGCCAATCCATTCCCTGGCATGTCCAACATCGGCTCGACTCTCCCAAGCATGAATGACTCACTCCCTGGTTCAGGCAACAGATCTCAAGCACCATCTGGAGGCAGTGGCGAGGTGATGATTGTGCAAGACCGTACCTCAGCTTGGGGAGGCGAATCCGTCACCACAAGCAGCATAGTATCTGGCTATCATCCACGATCTACCTCTGGCGAATCCCAATACTCGACACCACTTACAGGCTCGACGACCGCTACCACAAGAGGTGGATTTCACAAGCAAGGAGCATACAAGGCCTCTGCGTACGACCGTGCCATGACTCAACTCCAACGCGAAGATCTCTTGAGGCAGGAAGCGCAGGCAGCTCGCACCAGAGATGACGACGACGACGAGGATGATGGAGAATGGGAGCTCTGAGCAAGTAGTAGTGCCTGAGGCGGCTGTGCTGGGGCCAGATGGGCTTCTGTTGTGAGGTCGACCTAAGGTTAGAGGCCGCAGAAATCAAAGGAAAGGGTGGATGTGTTCAGATGTCATCATCATGGCGAGTTATCGCTACCGCTCAACCGACAGCAGACTGGGGGCTGAGATCCTGAGGCTTGAGCTGGAGAGACACATCGAAAGGAAGAAATGCATGCCCAGGCAACATATCATGAAAATCAACAGAATGGGTTAGAGTCAGTATTGCAGCATCAAAATGAAAGCTACATATCTCCACCTTAGGCGTGTTTCTCCTCCCTTCCTGATCCGACGAACCATCAAACCCTCGTCTGAAATAACCCTATGACAGATTGTGCGTATACTCCGGCAAGAAGTTGATGTGCACGACGCAGAAATTGAGACATGATCCTGTATTGACGACCTCACTATGCGTGACTAATCCATCCTCATAGGCTTGCGATATAAGGTGCATATATCAGCCTATGAAGATCAACCGGTCTGCAGTTCATGACAAACCCGTTGAGCGGTGCAAACAACGCACAAGGCAAACCGGGCAAAACTGGGCGTAAAGGGCGTCGAAGAGTTCAAGACAGAATTCTCGCCGATGGATGCCGAGAACGACGCTGGCGCAGCTTCGTGGTAGAAGTGCTCTGTAGACCAAGGTATATCCTGGTTAATATGGCTAAAAATCAAATAGCATGATAGTCCGACCGAACTCAAAGAAGGTCTGTTGCAACCTTGTGCCGGTGACGTCGCAGGTTCACTCATGCACAGCTTTACTAGTACTCGGAAGACCCGGAAATATGTGTCTTGTCCTCGGATCTCGATGTTTCCTGCTGGACATGTTGAAATGAAATACGAGGAGTCATTATTACACTGGGCATGAAGAGAGAAAAACGCACGGTGACACAGGGGTCTCATGTTGGCTTGGAGGCCTTTCTGGTGTTGGCGCTCACCAAGCCAACGCGTGGGTGCAATGACGTCTACAAATCGGCTTGTGTTTACCATGACCACAAGCACACACAAGCTTGGTCATTTGTGTCGAGTCGTGTTGCCGATTTGAATAAAGAATTGTGTTTCGTCTATAGATCCAAGATCTCGCTGTGATTCCGAAGTCGTCACACATATGGCCCGTCTGCCCTGCATGGAGGCGAGAAGACGAACTGCGGCAGGGTGGGACGGCCTAGTAAGGCGTTTCTATTGATGGCATGGCTATAGCATCAAGAGTAAAAACGTGCCAGAGACGGGAGTTAACGATAGCAACCAAGATCTTGCAAGTAGTTTGGTTGGTCGTTTTTAAGGGCGATGTTGGTAAACTTGCACCAAGACTGAGTCCGTGTCTTTACGAGTAGGCCCCATTCATGGCTGATCAATTCCTATCCACCAATTGTTCACCGGTTGGAGGCCCATTGACGCAATGCACCTTCTTTAATTCCATAGCCATGCCTGTCCATGCCTCTCTGCCTTCTCTACGTTGGCACGCCACGATCCTCACGAGCTTCCTATCAGTCAGTTGCGCAGCTTGTTGATCTCTATATTCTCATTGTCGCCGAGTACAGCCGCATCTCTCTGTCAACATTGTTCTTGCTGTAACATATTCGAATCTCGACCTGCTGCCCCCAGCGCGTGTAAACTCTTCCGCCATTGCGATAACGACCCCAAGCGACGTGTGCGCGACCTTACTCATTGTCCTACGATTGACGTCCTCCTGCGGCCCTGTTCTTGTCCTCTTACCAGGTTGCAGCCTACAGCCTGCAGACATCGGAAATTCTACTGTGTTCCTTCAAGACCAAGAAACAGGCTTGACGACTGGGCTGCCCTTGACGCGCACCTCTCGTCCATAATCTTGGACTGCTGCAAGTCATTCCAAAAACACTCGGGCTGCGCTTGCACTATATCAGGGTATCGTGGACTTGAGACCCCGCAGAAAGTGTCAAGCGGATGGTTTGAGGACAAATCTTGTGCTCCGCGGGACTGTGGTCTCCCGAAGCAACATGGCTGCCAACATGGACCGCATACCATCTCAGAATGACGGCGCCTACTCCAGCGATAACGGTGACTCAAAGCGGCATCATCCAGCAATGAGCAATTCCATATCTAGCGATACTGCCAACCAAAGAACGAGGGGCTATTCCAATACTTCACGGGACCCATACCAGTTCGATCCTTCAAGACTCCAACAAGCCCGACAGCCTATAAATGAGGCTGTCACTTCAGCCTTCAACACTGCCGACGCCAGTTCTACCAACTCCTTCTCTCCCGAACTGCTCCAGCAACTTACTTCACAAATCACCGCAAGCGTCTTGCAACAACTCAAGGTTGCAAACCCACCCGCACCTGCTCCGCAGCCACCTTTAGCTGGACCCCCGATGGACGCCGCCTCATCCACGGCGGGATCTCCTCCTCTCGACCGAGCTACGGTCTACACTCCTCCATCTCCCTATCGCTCATCTGAAGACACTGGTGCTCACCAACCTTCACCACATTTTCCTCCGCCTCCTTCGTCCACCCAGTCTTCATTCCGCCCCCCTTCACCACCTCCTGAAAAGAGACCTGTATCCCCCTTCAGTCAAAGCAGCCATCTATCCGAGAGCGATGCCAACCAAGAACGGCTAGCTCGACCCAAAGGCCCAAAAAGGATATCTACTGGAGGCGATGCAACGATCGTGGAGCGTGCATGGGGGACCCTATTTGACGAGCAAGGTCAAACGACCGCTCGTCTAGGTCAGTTCCTACGCGGCATTGCTGTCCATCTGATTGAGGACTATGAACCAAAGAACAGTCTGGTCATCACACCTTCCAAGCTGCAGAAATACTACGACGAGACCAAGCTCAACAATGAATTTTACCCGTGGCGAGCTGTCTTTGATGACAGGACGTCGTCAATCTCCCGAATGTACAGGGAGATAGAAGCGCAACATCATCTGGTGCAGGAAAAACTAAATGAAAGGCCCGACATTCCAGGCTTAACCCCGCTAGGCTTCGAGACATGGGCGACGCTGCTTCTCAAAGCGCATCCAGACCAAGAGTTCGAAAGATTGGCAAAGACGGCATTGGAAATGCCCATCAGCAACCCTGACGACAAGAAAGAACGTTTCCCAAAAGAGATTTCGCGTCGACTCTTCCCCACTCGGCCTGACACTGAAGCCGCCTACAAGCTGCAAAAAGCACTGTCAATGCACTGCAACGTGGACCTCGCTTCCCGTCAAGGAAGTGCCGCAAGCGCAGCAGAAACGACTCCACATGCTTCACAATCGAGTCACCAGAATGGTGACACGACGAGATCAAACACGCGGCCTAGTCCAGAAAAACAAGAGGCTGTCACTAGTGCACCTCAGCCAAGTCCAGCCAAGTCACAGTTTGGTGAAGAGCGTCGGAGGCAACCATATTCCGGAGCCCCATCCGACAGCGAAGATGTGTTCGAGAACAGCGAAGACACGCCTACTCCACAACCAATCGAGCGTGAGCGCAAGCCATATGTTGCAGCACCCGGCGGTGGAAAGACTTACGCGGGTGTGGACAAACCAGCTGTTGCAGCGGAGAACAAGCCACCGCCGTCACACGAGTTCAAGCTCGGCCGCTCAAACTCGGTCCACTCTACCAGCAGGAACAATGATGGTTCCAAGCCTAATGTGGCCATTCATCAAAGACCTCCTCCTGCGCCATTGGAAATGGGTGAGACACGTCACCATCGTTCGAACAGCACCTACCACCGAGATCAACCTCGACCTGGCCGCAACCGCTCACCATCAATGACTAAGGAAAACGGAGGCCCAGGCTATATTCGAAGGCCAGAGGCTGATATGCCCTATACGTCTTCACATCACGCGTATACAGGGAACGATCCCTATGACGATGCAAGGCGGTACAAAGAATACGAACAGCAACGGGAACGGCTCGCTAATGACCGCTACGACCCAGCAAGAATGTCTGCCTATGACCCGCGGGAACGCGAACGTGAAAGAGACAGAGAGACACGACCTCGAATGCAGTCTGTTTCAGGACATGATGGACGTGCTCCACCTCCATATTCGAATTCTGTGGCTTCAACGGACGAGGACTATTACCGAGACCGAGGTCACGTCGCCGGTACTGTAGGGTACAGCACGCCAATGTCAATAAGCACCGGATTCCAACCACCTCCATCCACGCCTGGAGGGAGGGATGCGACGACTGTACCAAGGGAGACACAGTATGGGTCGTATCCGTCTTCAGCAGGTTACCCGCCCACCGCCTATCGCGATGGGCGATGACCACAGCTTGATCGAACATATGCTTGTCAATGTTGACAAGACTGTCGTTGGGAGTGGGTCGATCAGGATTTACGTTGCTGGGTGCAATCGAATTGACATTGACAGGCGGAGACGCCGTTTTGTTTTCTTCTGTGTATCATACCACTACGAATGCTGCAAGGACTGTGGGTGCAGCTGATGAATAGCGTTGTTTTGTCTTTCGTTTCTTGATACACCCTTTTGCGAGCGAGCTTTTCTTTGTCATTGATGCTGATGCGATGGATTTGTATATCTGAATTATCACCAGTGTGCTTCCGGGGCAGCTGCTCAAGCAGAGGAGGTTGAGACCGGGCAGCATTGATGGTTTACACAACAATCGTTCGTTTTCATGGGCATATTATTCTTCAAGAGCATGAGGTAGATACCATTGTATTACTAGCACTAGCCCTTATGACTACTGCCATATGTACGACAAGTATCGGCGTCTTTATGACAAACACATAAGTTCTTGGGTCTCGAAAGGAGCCCCCTCTTTAACATAGAGAACACGCCCATGTGCTCCTCCCAATGTCGAATACCAGCGTTTCGCCACGGAAGCTGTCAGTCTATCAAGAATTGACGCCGTGGCGATTGAGGCGGTGGGATTTCATCTATGGCCGCATAATGTGTTGCAACTTCATGGATGAGCGTGGGTGCTTCCTTGTGTATATTCTGGCGTCGTGATTCTTTCTCCCTTCAGTCTCTGATCACCGGGGAGGTTTCTTCATCCCCTACACCTGCACTAATTGCACACCTATACTTAGCCGATGATATCTCACGTAATTCTTGGGAGTGCTTTAGAAGCTGCCGTATTCAGTACTGCACATTTCCACGGAACTGCAATCCAGATCTATCAATGAAGCGGAAAGCCATTCTGCCTCTCATTGCCAGTCATAGATAAGGAAAATCTAGTCTCAGCCTTGATGAATCGGACGTCTGCAGGGCGTAAAGAAGGGCACCTGATTGGACCCAGGTCACAAGTACTCCGGGTTGCAACTTGCATGTAAGATCGGAGAAGGATCATTTGGATTGTTGGAGAGGCTAAAAAGAAAGAAGCATCGATCATGCGTTGCTTAAAAAAACCCAAAATTGGGGGATTTTGGGCGATTATGCGTAATGATAGAATCCGGGCCTGGTGGACCTGATCACTTCAGCGAGCCGTACTCAAGCGATTGGTGCCCGGGCCTTGACTTAGATGTGCATTGCGTGTTCGTAGCCACTCATTCCAGGCATGCTGCCCGCATTCTTCCCACCTCCACCACCACCATCAGCAAAAAGCACCGCCCGCTTCACGCCTGCGATGATTGAGCCTGGAAGATAATACTCGTATTCTACCCGCCCCTCTTATCTTCATTTCCATCATGTCAAGCCTACGGCGACAGTATAGCTATCTCTGCTTCGAAGAGACCTGCGTGTTGCTAAATTGTTGCACTGCTTAATGACGCTACAATTCCTTTCTTCGACGTTTCGATCACATTGCGGCGCAACAGGAAAAACGACGACCGCCGAGTCCTTCACAATGCTCCCCGAATGCTTATGACACCTCCTACCCTCTAGCTATGGGCTACGATCACGCGGAGCAGAGAGAATTAGACCCTCCCGTTGTTGCCTCGGGCTCGAGTTCCGGATCCACCACGAGTGACAATGAAGTCTTGAAAGAGGTTGACAGACCACAAGAAGATGATGTCCTGGAGACAGAAACTCTTGATGATGACGAGGAACGAGAGCCAGGACGCCGTCACAGAAGACACCATGAAGGCGGCATTCTCAAGCTTCGCGCCGCGGACGATGACCTTCCTTCGGATTGGTGGTTCGCATCGACCGCTATTCCTCTCATTGCAGCCACCTTTGCTCCTATGGCCAACATGATATCCATTGGTGCCCTGGTCGTCTCGTGGAGAAATAACGTCGTTGATCCGAGCGATCCCATATACTATCAAGCGACCTCGGTGGGCTATCCGGATCCCACGTGGTGCATTGATCTCAATATTGCTTCACTTGTCTGCGGCTTCGTCGGTAATCTGTTTCTACTCTTCAATTTCACCAAGAGAGTTCGATACATCGTCGCTCTTCCTTTGACCATTGTACTTTTCTATATGGCCGCCGCTATCTTGATTGGCATTACGGTCGCGATGCACCTCCATGTTCCACCAGGACACAACCAAGTATATTCTCAAGGATTTTGGAATGCAGTCATAGCCGCATGCCTCTATATGTTCAATTCGATGATTCTCATGGCCAACATGGGTGGCTACTTCCTGGGTCACTACCCTCAGCACTTTACCCTGACGGACGAACAGCGCAACCTTATCTTACAGACTATGATGTTCTTCATTTGGCTTGGAGGTGGAGGCGCCGTGTTCGCGAGACTTGAAGGTTGGAATTATAATGACGCCGTCTACTTCTGCGACGTGACAATCTTGACGGTCGGCTTCGGCGATATTTATCCCACCACCGACGTCTCGCGGGGAATAGTTTTCCCTTTCTCTGTGGGTGGAATCATCATACTCGGTCTTATGGTCAGCTCAATACACAAGTTCGCCGGCGAACTTAGTACAGTGAACGTGCTGCGGAAGCACGTTGAAAAGAGGCGCCTGTCCACTTTATCAAGGTCTGTGACTGTTGAAGACTTCGAAGACCGCCGGAGGGAACACTTGGAGAACGAAATCGAGATGCAAGGCGAAAAGCTTCAAATATCCGCTCCTCTGCCCAGTCCACAAATCCAGCGCGATCTGGACGCGGCAGCGGCAAGGGCACTGGGACGAACGTCGCAGGACTTTGCAGATCGGGACACTGCCGAGCAGATAGCCGATGGAAGCCGGGTTGAGATGGAGGATCTTGAGCCTATCGACACCGCTCGAGAACGACAGACAGGACCTCAGATCGCCTTTCAGAGTGCTGATATCCAGAAGCAACAACAGGAGGCCGACCAGGAACCATCGCCCCATCAATTCATGGGTCATGACTTTCATAAGGGACCTATCCATCGTACATTAAGATTGATTACCAGACCCGTGACGACTTTGAGACGGGTGAGAACCAAAAACACGAAAGTCGTTCTCATGCGCGAGGAAAGGGACCGGTTCAACGCCATGCGAGACATTCAAGAGGACGCGAGGTCCTTCAAAAAGTGGTTCGCTCTATTCGTGTCTGTTATTGCATTTGGTACTCTATGGTGCGTGGGTGCGGCCGTATTTTGGCAAGCTGAGAAACCCACGCAAGGTCTCAGCTACTTTGAGGCATTGTACTTCTGCTATGTGAGTTTGCTAACCATTGGGTATGGTGATCTGAGCCCGAAGAGTAATGCGGGTAAACCGTTCTTCGTGTTGTGGTCATTGATTGCCGTTCCGACCATGACAATATTGATTTCGGACATGGGGGATACGGTTATTTCAAGCATCAAGCGCGGCACTTTTATCTTGGGTGACATGACCATCCTTCCCAAAAAAGGTCTCTGGCATGACCTACTCAAGGCGAACCCATGGGTATACAGCTGGATAAACAAGAGATCGGAGAAGAGTCGCAGAAAAAAGGGGCTGCCTGTTGGCCAGGAAGGTGACAGCATGCCGCCAGCATTAAGTATTGAACAACTTGCCGCTGAGGAGCCAAGCACGGGAGAGCTGACGCAAAGACTTGCTTGGGCTATTCGTCGGACAGCCGATGATCTTCAGCATGCCCCCAGGAAACGATACAGCTACGAAGAGTGGGCCGAATTTACACGCCTCATCCGTTTCACCAAGGAGGGACTTGCTCAGCTCGAATACGACGAGGAGACCGATGGAGTGGTTGACTGGGACTGGCTCGAAGAGAGTAGTCCCATGCTGAGCGGTCAGACCGAGGCCGAATGGATCTTGGATAGACTGTGCGAGAGTCTGCTCCGATTGCTGAAGAAGAACATGCTCGGAACCGACACTGCGCTCAGTGCCAGTGTGACAGATTTTGCGACATTCTCACCTTCGGGTCAACTGACAAGAACGGACACCGACTTGATGTCCCCGACGTCCGTCAAGACTGAGAAGGGCAAAGACACCGCCCCAGAACCTCCGACAGCTATACAGGAACGCCGGCGACGAGCTTCTGGAGCTGATGCTCTTATGACGTTCTTCACGGGCGAAAGGAGAGGCGACCATGCGTACGCCGAGACCGAGCCTCAATGGAGTCATAGGGCTATAGACAAGGCCAAAACAAGGCGCCGTAACAGCGACGGCCTCAAGGGTCCTAAGAAACGACGAGGGCCATTCAGCAGGCTGGAGCATAGAATGACTACGGGAGCTGTCGGAGGAGGAAGAGGCGGAGCTGGAGTCCGGACCTTGAAGATGAGACATTTGACGGGTAATGGGAAGAGGTTTTCTCCATCGACTGATGATGGGACGAGGTTTTCTCCGTCGACTGGTTAGGTCGTTAGCATATGTACAATGTGGAGTCCGGGCGCTTGGGTTTACGTGTCTTGGGGGCGTCTCTCACTCCAAGGATTGCGAGGAATTGTGTTTCGTGAGTATACCCCTTGGTCGGTCGGCAGATACGTCTTTGGAGAACAGAACGAAAACCGGGGCATACAGGCGTCATGAGTATGGATTGGGATATGGTTATGGTTATGGGATTGCGAAACTGTTGTTGTGTGTCTATATTTGTCCATGGCACGAACATTGGAGAGCACCCGAGGACAATGATGACTCCCTCCTGGCTCATGTTAGATGCCTTGTAGACTTGCCAGATGGCTGGGCCTTCGAAAAAGTTGAACACTGATATATTCCCTCTCCATGCTCTTCCTCACCACAACGGCCAGGACCATAGATAAATTGGGGGTGTTCCCTGCCTTATCGTTGTCCCTACAATCCTTGCAGGCTAGCAACAACGCCGCGGTTCTGCGGGAAAGCGTTCATGTCCGCCCTGTTGTGGGCCGGTGTACCCAGACTACCATGCCGTCGCTGCTGTCTGTTGTACAACGTTGAACAATAGTCCTCGGCAGACAAGCTCAAGACTTGTTGTCTGGCATTCGAAGAGCTCCTTGGTGCAAGAAGGCGCGTCAGATGGAGAGACTGTATACCAACGCCACGATCATCACGGTCGATTCTGAGCGACGGGTCTTTCGTGATGGTGCTATCCTGGTATCTGGCAGTCGGGTATCCGCCGTCGACACTTCTTCCAAGCTGAATGCTTCCACAGATCTAAGCATTCAACGTGTCGATCTAGGCAAGAAGATCGTCATTCCCGGTCTCATAAATGGCCACATCCACCTCATTCAGTCGTTGATGAAAGGTCTGGCCGAAGACTTGAATCTTCATGAATGGGCATCCTGTGCAATCTGGCCATTGGAAGTTGCTTACGAGGGAGACGACGGTTACGTTGCAGCGAAGCTAGCGATGGCAGATATGATGAAGAGCGGCACCACGTGCTTTCTCGAGCCTATGCTTCCAGCCTCGGCAGGGTTTGCGGGAGTTGCAAAGGCCGTTGGCGAGACTGGTATCCGGGGTTGTCTGGTGAGTAGGCCTCTACCCTCTACTATCAACTCGGTCACTGAGAGTATGGGTATAGGGCAAGCTTGTCAAAGGTCCAAAATCAACTCCCTCTGCTGGCATCCGGGACGACAGGGATCGACAATCACATTTGATGACTATCGATACGGCATTAGAGGCACACAAGGATTTCCACGGATCCTACGATGACCGATTGCACGTCTGGATGGCGACAGAGACACCACGCGGGCAGGATGAGTCGGGATTTGCTGCCATCGGGAAAGCATGTCTCGATAACGACATTCGATTGACGGTGCACTGCTCCGAAGCTCCTAAGGACTTTGAAATGCTGCGCGATGCATATGATGCTACCCCGGCTCAGTTCTGCGAGAGGATACATGCTACTGGTCCACACGTCGTGCTCGGGCACATGACGCATCTTGCTCTTGATACCGATCTGAAGATCTTGAAGGAGTCAGGTACAAACGTGGCACATAACCCAACGAGTAACGCCAAACTTGCCGACGGAACCGCACCTGTGCCGCAGATGCTTGAGGCGGGCATCAACGTGTGCATCGGAACGGATGGCGCTCCGTGTAACAACAACCATGACTTGTTTCGGGATATGCATTTGGCGAGTGTCATACACAAGGCTACTACCAATGATGCCAGTGTTCTCTCCTCGGAACAAGTCCTCGAGATGGCGACTATCAATGCTGCAAAGGCGCTAGGCTTGGATAAGGATCTGGGGAGCTTGGAGGTGGGCAAGAAGGCTGACTTCGTGGTCATTGATCCTACTGGCATTCATGCAGCGCCTTATGATCCTTTTCAAGTGGGTGAAGGAGGCATACATCCGTCGACGCTGCTGGTTCATTCCTGCTCGGGAAGAGATGTCGTAATAGTCGTTATCGACGGCGAAGTTGTCGTCAAGGACGGTCAGTTGACCAAGGTGGACGAGGAGGAGATCAAGGCGGCTGCACGAGAAGCCATCAAAGGGATCCGCAAGCGTTCAGGTGTCAGTGCACAACCTATGAAGAATAAGTGGCAGTATATATAGACGTTAAGACTCTAAAATGCATATGCTCTGGTTTCTGATCTATGTACGGTGCACCTTTGAATAAGCTTCGTATCGATCTTTGCACATGATCCTCATTTTCTTGCCCCAGATGATCATGGGGACAGCCAGCAGCGTGAAGAATAGAGATAGACATCCAAGGGATACAAACGTGTTGTACAATCCCAGGCTATCAATCCAAGGCCCTGTCGCGAAGACGATGCCTGCTGCTATGATATTCCGTACAAATGTCACTCCGATAAGGGCGTCGCCTAGAATCTGTGATGGAATTGTCAAACACTATTTTCAAAATATGTAGGAGAGAGCATACCTCTGAATAAGAGTCCATGAGATATGATAAGCTCAGAGCCTGGATCGATGCTTGAGAAAACCCATACAATGCAACACCCACGCATGGGATGATCCAATGAGCGTCCTGTTTTCTGTCAGATGTTGTTCTCATGACGCCACGATGTTGGTGACTGACCTTGGCTAGGCTGAAGCCATACAGGAAAATGCCAGCCGGACCGAGAAGGGCAGGAAAGATAGTCAGGTACAAACGCATCTCCGGTTCGTAAACACCTCCATTCCGCTTGGCCAACTGAATGATAGACCAGTCACTGAGCGGTCCTGAATAAGCGGTAGATATTATGGCGCCGATGAATGGAGGCAGATTCAAAAGCCCAATGCCGATGGTGGTGAAGTTATATGGTGCCGCCGAGAAGTAGTCAGACTCTGTGACTGCGACCACAGAGACCCATGATAGGAAGGCGCCGAATTGAAGCGCAACATACAGAACTCCTGGTATCGTCAACATCATAAACGGCTGGTAGAAGTGGCGAAGGAAGTCTGCAAACGATCCTGGGGTCGTCGTAGTCCACGCAAGGCGCTGGCGGTAGGTTTTGAGTGGTATTGTGCTATCGATTTCGGGCACAGATGTCAGCTCTGATGGTGGGCTTTCGGCACCCTTGACACCCTGCGAAGACTCTTTGTTTTGACCGGCTATTTGGACGCTTTTACTCGCACTAGTGGCTGCGGTGATGCCTACCAGGGTTGTGACGTATTTGGTCTCCTCGTAAAAGAAGACGAACATGAGGAAGTTGATGCCGACGAAAATGGTACACCACCAGTATATCCACGGCCAACCCTGGCTGACAGCACTGTAGCCAGCAACGACAGGTGCAAGATATACCTGTCATCGTTAGCTGTCTTCATACGATGGAGACATCCCGGTTTCGTACCCCTATGTTCATGAACGTGAGGTATGCTGCATTCATCCTCCCTCTCTGATGCAGGAAGAACAGGTCATTGATCTGGAGGAGGGTTGTCAACATAGGTGTACTCGGAGAAAAATACAAGATCAATTATTACCGTCATTTGCACAATTGTATCTGCCACGGCGCCGGCGAGACCATCGAACACGTTGACAGCAACCATGTTCGGGTAGTCGCGCAACGCGGCTTGCCAGATTCCACAGAGGAACAGCACGAACGTCGTGACAAGGTAGACGGGGCGTCGTCCATATTTGATCGAGAATGGGATGAAGAGAACACACCCGAAAGCCAATCCGACACAATTTGCAGCAAAGGTGTTGTTCAAGTTGTCGTATGAGATGTCAAGAAGGGTATTGTAGTCCTGAAACACAACGACCCCGATGTCAAGCCTGCGAAAGAGTCAGTCGTTGTGGGGAAAGAGTCTGTAGTGTACTCCACATTGCAAAGACCATCAGTACGTAGAACGATGCGATGGAAAAATTCACAATCTTTCGTCTCATGGACCAATTCTATCGATGGTGAGTAAAGTGGTAATTCTTCGAGTGACCACCTAGGACGCACCAATGGGTCATTTGGGTCTGTGGATGGTTGGGGATATAGGATCAGTTCTCCATCTTTTCCGTGTTTCAGTGCCGAAGAAGCTGTAGAACATCAGTATCAGCATTAACAACCATCCTGAAGGAGTAGAGTTTCCTACAGTTTTCAAGAACAACTGTTCCGGGAGCATCAACCCAGACGTCGGTAAGCAGGTTGCCTCCCTCCAGGGAAGGAGCATGAGCAGCCATGTTGTTGCCTTCCTTCTAGACTTGAAGTTCTGGAATAGGCTGGCAGAAGGTCAACTTGAAAAGAAGAGGACGAGGGTCTCTTGGAAATACTCCTCCCAACAGCGTGGTGGTACGGAGATGGCCACGAAAGCATAGTGAACGTCCCATGACTCGAATCTAGAGGTGTGACTGTCAAACTGTGTGTGTCGATCTACAATGCCTGCATCAGCTAATGCAACATCTCGTCTTTTGATTGCTGGAGCTAAGCACGGTGAAACGCCGAATACCCTCGATAACAAGTACAGTAAAGGAGAAGTGCGACGGGTACCCTCTTCCCCATGCGCACTGTGTAGTGGACTCATTCAGGCTCGGACCTTCCACATTCCCGCAGCATGTCGAAGCTTGAATGAGCTTATCAGCCTAGGTCCCGACGCTCTTCGCCGGGAGTTGATGTGATTTCAAGATAAGCAATGCCACAATGTCTTGTTCAGGAAGTTAAGGCACAAGACCCACAATAAGTTAGAGCGGGTGGTCGTCGATCACGAACATTGGCACATCTCGGATATCTCCTTCAGAGCGCAGCATGCTACTTCTTCTCGTTGATGTTGCTTATCTGGGATTGCGAGAGAGTTTGGCCGCAGGGATGGCGTTCTTGCACAAAAGCGGTCTGGCCACGTTTTGTCACCTTGTTCAAGGTCCTGGTGAAGACGTCTTCCCTCGTAGATATCATCTTCCTTTGCACTTACTCTGCAGGAGCAATCGATCAAGCACCCATTTTCTAGTCGAACAGTACCACGAATCTTGATACTCTCTCCAGCCTTATCGCAGAATGTCTGCCGATAATCATGCAATCCCATCAGAGCTGCACAGGACCTTTGGGGTATGGTCTCTCTGTGCCATGGCCATTGTCCTGCCAGGGTAAGAGCAAATCTTGTAAAGATAGTAATATCAAGTCTAACGTCGTTTATCAGCGCGTGGGTCTTTGCTGCAAGTTCCATGGTCATTGGTATCTACGGCGGAGGGCCTGCTGTTGAGATCTGGGGCACCCTAGCTGTCGGAGCCGCTCTATGTGTATTCTGCTGCAACCTTGCTGAATATGGCTCTGCATTTCCCAGCGCAGCAGGAGTCACCTAAGCTGCTGCACGTCTCGGTGGACATATGGTCGCATCTGCGTGAGTTCTTCACACCTGCCCTAGTCATTCCTAAGTCTTTATAGTCATATTTCACCGGGTCATTTGAGTCGATCACAGTTGCGTTTATCCCACCAGTGTTGATACTCGTCCTCTCTGAACTCACTTTCACTTGTGCATGCCTTTTCCACCAAGACTATGTGCCAAAGAGGTGGCAAATCTGGTTACTGTTCCAGCTTTTCAACGTCATATACCTCTTTGGCATAAAGTACATGACCACCATCATCGGGGAACTGAATCGAGTTGGCAGTAAGTATATGTACCTATGTGTTGATTAGAAGCCGAACCAGATGCTAATGTGACAGTTATGGTACTTTTCACTGGGTTGATTGTCACTATTGGAGTCATGGTGGGAATGTCCAATGGAGACAGGCCTCCAAATGCGTCAGTCATGAGTACATGGAGAGAAAGAATGGCTCTGACATTCTCATTAACTTAGGTTCCTGTGGACAAGTTTCGAAAATGGAAGTGGCTATAGCTCTCCTGTCATGGGCGCGTTGCTTGGGTTGCTGGGGCCCCTATATGCGTACGGTCCGCCACACTGGATGCTGAATCTAGCTGATGAGGTCGAAAACCCCAAGAGAAGCATACCTATTGCCTTGCTGGTAGGACAGATTGGCAACATCACCACGTAAGAATCCTGATAGGTCTTCACATCGAAGAGTGACTAACATCTTCAGATTGTTTGCTTTCTACGTTGCCGTCTACTACTGTATCGACGATTACAACAGCCTCCTAGACACGACGTTCCCTTCCTTAGTAGGACAGCTTTACCTGCAGGGCACAAAGTCGCCTATTGCTGCCCTTTTCTTGCTACTATTGGTCATTGCACCGTCTCTCTTCGGCACTTATGGGTATATTTAGTACAAAACTATGAAGTATGCAATGATGATGATCATTCTAAACTATCTCAGGGTAAGAGGTATTCTCTTATAGCCCTGTAGAGAGTTTCTAGAACACTCTCAGTAACAATGACTATACACACATAGCAAAGAGCTGTGTGTGTAGAGCAAACACACATAGCAAAGAGCATTGTGTAGGACCTTTGTTTTTCAACTTATTTCTGCCAACATCCGGCTTCTTTGGGGTTACTCTCGGTCAGGATCACTACCATATCAACGCTTCTGGATGAAGGTCGACATTAAGCACAATATACCTGTCAACGTCTTGTACGTCTCAATCGCCGTCAACTTCCTCATGAGCTTCGTCTACCTCGGCTCGGAAGTTGGCTTCAACATTATCATCGATTCGGCCAATTTCTTTTACAACTTGGGCTTTCTCCCTTTACTGGCAGCATCACTCTTGACCAGGAGAAGGTATCTAGAAGCAGCACCAAAGTCGTACTTTCGCATGTCATATACCGTGGGAACCTGCTGCGAAGTGCTCAGCTTTCTGTTTAATGCAGGCTGTGTAGTTGTGGAGTCTTTTCCAGGTTCATATCCTGTAACGGCAGAGAACATGAACTATACCATCGTTTTTGGAGCTGCTGGTATTTTGGCAACGACCTTGGGATGGATATTCCATGGCAGAAAACACTATCTGATCGAGGGACTGGATGGGGTAGATGAAGAGGTCGAGCAACCAACCGAAGTCGTCATATCTCCAAAGGAGCAAGAAGCAGTTGACGAAGAGAAATAGTTGGATAGCGTTCTACGACGGCTGGTTGAGGGACACAGCCTGGTAGCTAAGATGGAAGCATCCCAAGATAAGGGGAGCTACCTAGTAAGGCTAGAGAGGAAGATTGTATAGAGGGTTTAAGTAAGGTACTGTAGCTGGTCACGGTGCCTGTGCGTTTGGGGCGTCTAGGCTTGCTGAGTAGTAAGGGTATAGCCTATAACGTAGACTTTACAGTGGAGAAGTCCTTACAGCATAAGCGGTATTCCTATGGATATCTCCGACTCCTTATCAAAACCATGCCGACATTTGTCAAGTTCAACAGCCATTTGGAAACATTCTAGACTGGCTTCATTGTTGTAGGAAGTCTCCCAGATATATAACACTCTACTCAGCCATCCCCGAGTCTGACATAACCTACATTCGAACATCTGAATTTTCCCACCGCATCAGTTCACCGACGATGTCTGTACAAACCGCCACTATCACCACGACCAAACGCAAGCCCACAGGCCGAGCTGGAATCATCGATGGCAAACTATATCTCTCCCAAGGTATCACACGTAACCTTGCTCCTGCACATGGCAGTGGTGGTCAATTCGACAGTATCCCTGTCATTGACCTCTCTGCCATAGTAGCTCCTGATCCTGACCCAAGTGCACTCGAATCCTTGGTCGCGGAGGTCAAAGATGCATGTATGCGAGTAGGTTTCTTTGTGGTCAGGAACCACGGCATAGATTGGGCTATTGTTGAGAATGCGTTCGAGGCACTTGAAGAGTTCTTCGGCCTCCCTATGGAGAAGAAGATGGCAGTGCATCAGAGCAAAAGTCCCAGCTTTATGGGTTATGAAGAGCCTTACTACACGAATGTCGATAGGCTGAAGAAGGGTGGTAAGTGTGGTGCCTGCTGAAGTCTGCGCCCTATTGGACTGACCCTATTCAGATCTCAAAGAGTCAATGACAACAGCGTACGATCCCTGGACAGATGCGCTTGGTGTGGGCGGCGAGATGCCTAAACTTCTCCTGCGCGAGAACTTATGGCCTAGTGCCGAAGATGCACCCAAGTTCAGACCAGCAATGGAAGGGTACCGCGCTGCCTGTCTCTCGCTGATGAGGAAGCTCGTAAAAGTCCTCGCTCTGGCCATGGACGAGAAAGTGGAGTATTTCGACAAGAAGATCACATATCCTGTCGCTGGCATTCGAGCTCTCTACTATCCACCACAGACTACGTCGGAAGAGGAAGAGACTGGCTTGGGGGCTCATACTGACGTCCAGAGTAAGTCACTCAATACTCAAAGTATCCAGCAAAGGCACCTTGCTCATAATGTCAACAGTGATGACTATGATTGCACAAAAGCCATACAACGCACAATCACTGCAAGTTCTCAACGCAAACGGAGAATGGATCTATCCCGAACTTTCGCCTGAGACGTTTGTAGTGAACTTGGGCGACATGGTCGCTCGACTGACCAACGATACATTTGTCAGTACTGTCCACCGTGTACGCAATGACGGTCCCAATGCTGTTGGACGATACTCGATGCCCTTCTTCTTTGGGCTGAGCAATGACGAATTGATCTCAACTCTTCCTCAGTTCATCACCGACGAAGCTCCCTTGAACCCAAATTACAAAGATCTCGTAACAGGGTATGAACATTACAACAAGAGGATGCGCATCGCACATCACGACCACCCGACTGCTGATGGGAAAACATCTGCTGCTCTACCGCTCGGCATGACCAAGACTGACGGTGTGTTGATGCCAGGCATCTAGGAGAGAACGGTAGCGATGTGTGGGTATTAGGGTAGCGGCTTTTCATTGAGGAAGACAGGGGCCATGCTCGTCCAATTCTTCTAGCATCCACGTCTCTTGCTGCCTCGGCCTCTTGCCGATAACTTTCAATCTGGTGACATTGGTGAACACGGCAACGCTCTACCATACCACATTATTCAGTCGCTTTCAATGCACTAGAACACGTTAGCATACCCCAAGATCGATGATACCATACAGCTCGTACCGGTGAGCAATGTCCTTCCTGTAGTACATCCCCGGGAAATTGATCGACCGCACGCCTTCATATGCTTTGGCCGCTGCTTCCAGCAATGTTTCGCCCAGTCCGACAACCGTAAACACGCGACCGCCCGATGTGACGACCTCGTCACCCACAAGTTTCGTACCGGCATGGAAGATCAAACAGTTTGTCGCCAAAAGTGTTGGTCATCTTAAGCTGTTGGTAATTCGGCTGGAGGCGTGACCACCAACCTGTCGGGACTGAACTGAACTGCACAACATCGCCAGTACGATACTGTCCGGGGTATCCTTCGGCAGCGACGACGACATTACACGCGTATCCGGTCCGCACTGTGATCTCGACCTCATGCAATCTCCGCTCGATGCACGCAAGCATGACTTCTGCAAGGTCAACTTCCGGACCGAGAAGGGGCATTAAGGATTGTGTCTCCGGATCGCCGAAGCGGGCGTTGTACTCGAGCACTTTCGGTCCAGTCGGTGTTAGCATGATACCCGTGAACAGCAGGCCGACGAATTCGCGGTCTGAATCGCACTTCATGTCAGTATCTGTGAATGTCTAAAAGTTGGAAAACATGCTTACCTTCTCTACGTAGCCCCTCGAAGGTGGGACGGAGAATCTCGGTTTTGATCCTCTGCAGAAGCTCAGGTGTGGCTGCCGGCACAGGCGCGTACACACCCATCCCGCCAGTGTTGGGCCCCTTGTCGCCAACATGAATGCGCTTGTGGTCCTGCCCAACAGGGAGAGTGACGGTGGTGGTGCCGTCGGATAGTGTCGACACGCTGACCTCTTGGCCTTCCAGGAACTCCTCTATGACCACGGTGCTGCCAGCTGTGCCGAAGTGCTGGTTGACCATGATATCCGTGAGGGCCCGGATTGCTTCGCCTTTAGTGCTGGGAATGATGACACCTTTGCCTGCAGCGAGACCGTCTGCTTTAATCACAAACCTATGCTCGATAGACTCGACGTAGGCTCTTGCTGCGTGGAAATCAGTAAAGGTCTTGTACTCCGCTGTTGGAATGCCGTGTCTGAGCATAAAGTCCTTTGCGAAAGATTTGGATCCTTCTATCTCGGCGGCCGCTTTGCTAGGTGCGAAGCATGGTATCTGTGCTTCATGCATGTCAGTAGGCGACTTGTCTTCGCAAGACAAGGCACTCACCTTGCCAAAAGTATTCTGCAATGCCACCCACAATTGCTGAGTCGGGTCCGACAACGACGAGACCAATGCGAAGGTCCTGGGCCGTTTTGACGAGCAAGTCATAGTTGTCGGTAGCGGGGTGATTGATGCTTGAGACATTCATGAGATCCCGTGCAGTGCCGGCATTACCGGGAACGACGAATACGTGCTCGACGCGAGGAGACTGTCTGAGTTTCCAGGCTAATGCGTGTTCTCGTCCGCCTTTGCCGATGAGAAGCACGCGTAGCTTTCTGTTCAATGTCGCCATCTCAAGTCGCCAGCAATGATGCCGTACTGCTTCCCATGCTTGATAACTCGGAATTCTCTCGTGGCGCAGTTCGTAGTGAACAATTGCCGCCAAGGCTACCAGGCAACAGAAATGGGCAACCCATGGTACCACACCCCTAACTGGGCGGCTCTGGGATTACGTATGAAAGAGGTAATGGTAGATTCATGGTAAAGTCAGAGCGCACTTGGCTTGGAGGTGAAAATGGCGATTTGAAGAGCATGGGCGTCCCATCCTTCCATGGTTTTTTTTCGCTTGCCGTCCACATTCCAAGTTGGCTGAGTTGTACAAGTCAAGAAATATCAGGTACCAATTTTGGCGCTTTGTGTAGGCTCTTCTCTAGAGTGATCTCTTCCAAGTCCTGGACCTCAAATACAGGAAGTGGCTTTGTCAAATCTGGTGAATATGAAGTTGGTCGGAAATGCTTGATCGGGGTGACCAATTCCTTGCCCTGGGGAGGCGGGGATGCGGCTGTGGCCATTGTTACTGCAACGATGTCTTCCCAGACCTCCTCAATGAATCTGAAGTTGATCGACAGGGGATCGTAGAACTCTGCCACCAACTGCCAAATAGTGTCCAAGCGTTGTATGTTGGGATATAAGGAGACAATCTGTTGAGTGAACCATTGTCGCTCAGGCTTGCACCGAGCAGCGGTCATGCCGCCCAACAGAATGTTAAAAAGGGTGGTATGGCAGGCCCGGCTCATCGTGGGTAGATCCATATTCGAGAGTCGATATTGTAGCTCCAGCAAGTTGGAGCGGACGATGAGGGAGGCCGTGTTGAAATTGATGCAATTTAGGTACATCCAAAAGAACAGGCCAATCTGGTAGCATCTCTGTATCTCGCGATGTTCTCGCGCGCTGAGGAAATGGCTGCTGTTGGGGTCCATGCGAGCGATAGCAGCTGCACTTTCTGGCAGCAAACTTGAGCTGGGACTCTCAGGGCGCCAGGTCAAGGTGCGGCCTGCAAGACCTGCCCGATGAGAGTACCATTCACGGTCTGATCTCCAGTACCTCCTGTCAATCTCGACCACTTCCTTGAAGCGTCCGCCAGATTCGTCGCTGGGTTTTCTGACAAGAACGATCGAGCGGCTGTGGAGGAAAGCGCCAATGATGTTGATTTTGGATCTAACGAGCTCCAGTCAGCATGTTACGGTCTTGCGGCACAGGTGCATTATCTCACACAGCAAGTTCTGCGTCGAGGGCAGCCTGATCAAGGTTCAAAAGTGCTGACATTCGTTGAAGTGCTCGAAGGTGCATCCTGCCACTCTCCCCATCCGCTAAGAGCACCTTGTACTGTTAGTCTCTGGAGAGCATCGCACAGGATGAAATGATGTTCCATCGTACTTACCGAAAGTCGATACAAGAACAAGACAGTCTGGTAGCATGATTCGTCGACTACTTGAGCCGGATCGGCTAAGATGGTGTTCAGCTCAGCCAGGCATTTCGTATGAAGTCGCAGCCACGGTGGCATTTGCCATGACGAGGTCTTGCACTTTTCGGTGGGTGGCGGCAGCACAACGCCTCGGCCACTGACAGGATGATGTAGTTAGCGATGTTCTCGCACGAGGTCGACAGCATGTTTGGCTTCGGAGAAAGAGCTGTTTGGGATAAAGCAACAAAGGGAGGAACCTACCCTCGGAGCATCCCAGAAAGAAATACTGAAGCATATGTCGCAATTGCATAGATGAGGCAGGGTGATGCCTGAATTTGAGCTAGATTGTTGAACCAGGTCCATGAATGTAGCAGATGCGAGGCAAATGGCATGATAGTTTTGAAGTAGAAGTACACGTTCGATTTGATCTCGACATCATATCTCACTGAAGCAGATGGCGTGAAAATGTCGAAGAATTGGGATCCAAGGATAGACAAGGGGGAGGCAACCCAGTCCTCGTAATCTCTGAGAGCGGGCTCCCATGGCTTGACGACCACGACCACATTGTCGTCCGGATATGTCGAATTTGATGTGTCAGTCTTTCGTGCTAGGGTAGTGGGCTCAGCATCGGCACATTCATCAGTGCGATCGACAGCCGAAATTTCTGTCAACTTCGACGCACGGGTTTGCGGGGATGAGCTGTTGCGAGGCGAACATCTGTCGTTCAATATCGCCCTCGTGGTCGAGTCGAGAGCGAGGTCTCTGTGATTGGCCTTGTTCCAGACTTTGTAACGGGAAGAGACATGCGATCGTTTCGCCCAGCTCTTTGACGGATTCTGGGAATCGCCCACGATGAAAAGTAAAGGAGGAGGGGCCCTACTCGGACTCATGGTATCGTGGGGCATCGCCGTCATAACAAACGCGAACTGAAAAGCTCCTTCCTATGGTGTGTCTTTGGCAATCCTGAGGCTGGTAGTCATCATTGCAGCCTTGTCATGTCAGCTGCTGTGCCATTCCGTTGAGCCAGAACATGCCTGAGATGATATCAGGTCGACAGCGGAAACAAGACCGTCGCGTGGAGCAGGTAGTCAAAAGTAGCGACTGTAGAAGGCACGGTTACTCGTCCATCCCAGATGTCGGAGCGTATGCAAGTGATTACTAAGGGACGCTTGACGGGCTACTAGACCAGATCAGGAGATAAGTAGCAGACCACCAGGACTTGGTGTTTGTCGCCAATTGGCTGTGGGACGGTGGATTTCCCTACGATGTTGCAGCCGAGAACTCCTGTATGTCGTTCTAGAATGGACCGGACCTCGCTTCCTCGTAAAAGTATGCATCTCGTCGGCCTATCGTACGCCTTGAATTGAGAGATCCCACTTATCGCAAGCCACATAGGCCTTTAGCGATTACTCAGACCTCGCGATCGATCTTACCCTCTGCGCACTTTGATGCAAAGGTATTTGAGCCATGGATTCGCATGCTCCATTCACGCCATCAGCGACTTCAGGACGCAATCGAGGACCGCATCATGGGCGATACAGCCACGATTGATCGCGGCGACCGTGTAAAGCAGATATCCAGCAACAGTGTCCGCGTTGACGAATTCAAACCTCGTGAAGTGAGAGCCGAACAGCATGGCAAGAAACAGACGCTCCTCAGCTCCATGCGCAAGCATTTCCCGGCGGTGATGTGGTGCCTCTACATGCTATGGTGCGTCTTAGCCAACAACTATGCAAAGACCGCAGGTCAATCGGTGCTGGGCATTCCTCAATTTCGGAAGGACTTTGGCAGTGCATACCACGGCAACTATGTGCTGTCTGCAGGATGGCAGTCAGCGTATTATGGAGCCCCTCAAGCAGCGTAAGTACTTGCCATGAGAACCAAGAGTGCTGTGGCTGAATCTGAGCCAGGGCGGTGATAGGAGCATTGAGTGCAGCATGGATCGCAGACAAGATGGGCCGCCGCATTGGGCTCGCATTGGCCTTCGCCATTAGACTCATTTCCATAACACTCGAGTACATCTCTACCACGAACGAAATCTTCTTCGCTGGACGCTTCCTGGGCGGGTTTGCCACTGGAGGCACAAACTCACTGTGCATGGCGTACATTGGCGAGATCACGCCCTTGGCGCTGCGTGGAGTGCTCACAGCTGCAGTACCGATATCGCTCATCACCGGTGCTTTGTCCTCTGCGTTAGTGGTCAATTTCACTGGCAACCAGGCCAATCGTTGGGCTTACCGCATTGCATTTGTCTCCGGATACGGCTATATGGGTATCGCCGCCTTGATACTGCCTTTCATGCCCGAGTCACCTTGGTGGCTTGCCAGCCATGGGAAGCCAGAAAAAGCAAAGGACACCCTAAGGAGGATCGGATACTCCAGCAGTGTCGATGCCGAGAACATGATGGCAGAGATCAAGCGAGTCCTGGCAAAGACGGAGGAAGAGACGTTAGGTGCCACGTATATCGAATGCTTTCGTCGCTCGAACTTGCGCCGTACCATCATCGCAGCCATGCCGTTGACTATCCAAACCTTTTCCGGGGTGGCCTTCGTAGGCTCCTACAGCACGTACTATCAACAGCTTGCGGGATACAGTACTGCAGCCAGCTTCAGATTGTTCATTATCCAGCAGATACTGTCCGGTGCTGGAAATATCTGCGCCTGGTTTCTGGTGGACCGAGTCGGAAGGCGGAATTTGACGCTATGGGGCATGGTTGTGCTAACCACTGTCCTTTTGATTACTGGAGGTACGTCCAGAAGCTACCACCGATTGAGTGCAGCCTGAACGTCGTGGTTGGATCCGTAAATCGCACAGCTAATGCTCTTAGGTCTTGCTGTGTCAGCCACTCCTGCGGCCATCAGGGGCACGATCGCACTGATCCAAGTATTTTCCTTTGTGTACAACGCGACGATTGGGGCCAGTGCATTCACCATTCTCACGGAAATCCCCACTGCTCGATTGAGGGCTAAGACAGCTTCCCTATCTGTGGGGCTGCAAAGTACTCTGTTTGTAAGTGGCATCTGATCTCGTCGTTCGTTTGCTGATAGGACCATGCGGACGATGTGGGGTTTTGTCCTCCCGTACTTGTTCAACCCGGATAAAGCGAATCTTGGGGCGAAAGTGACCTTCATCTTTGGGGCGCTTTCCGTGCTTTCGATTGTGTACCTTTGGCTGTGCCTGCCTGAGTCGGCAGGCCTGAGTTACGAGCGACTGGATGAGCTGTTCATAGGAAGGGTGAAGGCCACAAACTTCAAGGATGAACGGCGAAGGAGTGGCTCAATGCTGCAGGAATCTACGGGTGAGAAGCCTGGCATAGATGTCTGAGGCGCGGTGCATGGCATGTCTTCCTTGATACGGTGAAAGGACCGCAGTCGTATGCTAAACCACATACTGCCATTTTGTCGAGTGCTGACATCTTTGAAGACATGATATATCATGTGTCTAAGTCTCCGTCGATGTAAGATCGTCCGACTGGCCCTCTTGTCTTCTTCGCCACGTCCGGTTCCACCAGGTTCTCTCCGTGGCTATTCACAGCAAGGCCCTCGTCAGGTCCGTCATCACTATTTATCATGGCGTTAGTGAACGAGAAGACATGATCACCTACCTTTCTACGATGAAAACGAAGTATTCCGCCTGTTCAGGTGCACGAGCATTCCAACCACAAGACTTCTTTGATCACCACAGCGAAGCAGAAGCAAGAAGTGATGTTCAGGGTCGACGACCCTCACTCGGTCGCTCATACCTGACCTTGTGTCCTGCGCCTCTGATGGCATAGTAGGTGCAACAGTCAGGATCCGTCTAGGATTGCAATTGGGGACGTTGGAGATTGTACCTTTTGATGATGACGCAGGGTCTGGGAAATTCTTCTTGTCAGAAAATGGACTAAAGGTCATTCTCACCAGAGTGAAATCAAGGTCCACTGTCTTTACATTCCTTGCCATCCGAGTCCAGCTTGCTCTGTTCTCTCCCACAAATTCCTCTCCTTTCGTACATTCTGCCCACCACAGTCAGGTCGTCTGGCGAGCGTGAGGACGGACAGTCCATAATCACAAATTATGAGGTACACGACTCAAATCCGCAGTCAAGTCGATACAATGCGTCATCGAAGAGGGTTCAGCCCCAGACGCTATTATGCTCAGCGGAAAATCGCCATCTTGTCGGGGAAGCAGAGCTCGCTCGCCGGATGACGAAGGTCACATTGGTCATTTCGACAGTCTACTGTCACCAGAAGGTACGTAGGCATACATCACTCCTCAAAGGCATCAGGACTTGCGGCTATTATGATGAACCAAAGTAAAAAAGCATAGTTCAACTGAGACTTCATGTCACTGAACGAAAACTTACCATCACCAATTCTTTCTGAACGCTTCTGTGCACGATCCTGTTGGCTTCTTTCGCGTATCTTCAAAGATATTCAGGGGCGAATTTCTGCTAACAATGCCGTCTACGCAGGTACGTTCAATGATTATTCTCGAAGCATGTCATCATGCTCGCTAAAGCAGCCAAAATCCCTGACTTTCGTCCGGTCTAATCGTCAAAACGTCGTTTGTCGATCTTCGCAATGGGCAGGATCGCCCATTGTCAATGTCATGACCCTGCTCTAGGGATCGAAAATGGGATTTCGGAGCTTCCCTAACTTTTATTAGCCTGATGTTGATCACTTCCCATCAAGACATAGAGGTAGCCTCGTCGAAAACATGGGGACTCGGAATGGCCTTCTAGCCTCCATCCTGATGACCTGTTCGGGATAAAATTGTACATTGCTGTTGTGGGACATGGTCATAGTAGCGTATGATGGTGATACTGAAGGAAGCATTCAGGGTCTCTACATGGCCGAGAATAATGATAGCTAATGTTGGAGCTTTCCCCTCACTTTGTTATGCTGGGATGATAGCGAGATGCAAGCCCCGCCCCGAAAGTCACACGAGTTTGTCCTTTGTTCTCCTCTTCATCTTGCTGAGTTGGAAAATGGTCGGCCCAGCAAAGGATCACGCCAGTAGGCCGCTGATGATTCTTCGAAGTTGGCATTAACGTATCACACAACTGCAGACGCATGGCACTCTCAGACCATGCAATGTCTTTGCTATCAAGCTGTGTTTGCATGCTTCAATAGAGCGAATACCTGAGTGCTGGCTGTCATAATGCTGCAAGCTGTAAGCGAGGCCATGAGTCAAGGCGAACCACGAAGAGAATGTGAATCACGAGAGAGGAATGCTGGCACGAGAAGCCGCCACGTAATCAAATCCTCATGCATCACGCGTGTGCGAAAGTGCCTTGTCAAGATAGCGACCTCAATGTCAGTGGCTGTTCACACACGGCTGGAGATGCAGAGGTGCAGCAGTGTGGGATGGCCATGTCAGAACCAAGAACTCGGCACAGTGATGGCACTGATGGGCGACGAATGGGTATTCCCCTGGTGATCATAGCTGGGGCATGGCCTCAACCATCCAGAAAAGAGGTCTGGCTACTCCAACGTATCAAACAGTGGTGGATAACTTACTAGACGGTGATCATCATCATCATAGGCGGTACGCAGGCAGACTCGGTCGACCTAAGGAGCTGTCACCGTGCGCTGGCCGCAGCCGTGCGGGTCGTGTCGGACCTTGCCAGCAAGTGACGTCTCTTTCCGGGCAATCCTCCTCTGCAACATGTTTGTGGTTTTGCAGGCCTTCGCAGCAAACAAACGGGGCGACTTGCATACAGTCCGGGCGAAAAACCCTGGATACCATCCTGCGAGTGCTGCAGTGTAACCGAGATGAAGAGAAATGCTCTGGACATCTGAGCACGAACAGGCGGTGGCTGCTCGACTCGCTCCTGCTGTCGCCCACTTTTTTGCACTCTAGCCCACTTCTTTCTCTCGACTCCTTCTGCTAGAGTCCTCTCTCACACCTCTCCCTTGGTTTAAAAGCCAGACATCCTCCTCTCCCCCTTCTTTCGCCCTTCTTCCACCCATCTTACCTCTCATACAGTTGCACAACCACGTGAAAAATACCGTCGACACTTGTAACACCTATTGACACCGTCTCATACTCGCAACTTTCAAGGCCACCAAAACAATTCCAGGACAAACATCCACAGGAGTTTCCAATAATCATCCGGAAGATATCCCAGGACTGCCGTGGTTTTGATTTCTTTTGCTCTTGTCGAGCCAGTTTCCAAGGAGAACCATCCAGGATTAGCAATTTGTGTCGACAGAGCAGCACCAAGTCAACTTATACATCAATTGAGGTATTACCATATTTTCTCTTCTTCTTGCAAGTCCGTGCCTATCCCCTCCCAAGGATTCGAGAGCGACAAAGGAGTCGGTCTTGATTTTCAGGCCCATTACTGGTGGCTTCGGCCCCAGCCTTCAATCCCCTATCGCTTCACAGCGATTTGGGTCGATTGTGCAATGAGCCGATGATCTTGTCATCGCGCCCAGAGCAAAGAAATGAATGAACCTCAATTCCAATTGAACACATCCAGCGGAAAGGCCACATATGAAACCTTGGAGAGACCAATCCTTCGGACAATCCCTGGACTACACCTGGTTTGCAATCGACACTGAGCCCTTTTGGCCCATGGAATATTATCTCCTGGAACAGTACGACAAGGACCTATAGGTGTTATCCCAGGATCATACAACAATGCACAATACATATGATTTTCCAGTATCGCAAACGAGGCATAAGATATGTCATCCAAGGATTGCACAACCAAGGCTTCCACTACCAAGGCTTGCACGACCGCTCAGCATATATTATCCGGGCTTCATATAGTACTGGACTTGGCAACAATTCTCTGGCAGTCGTCCCAGCGATGGATAAACCCAAAAGGATATTGCCAGACATACTTCCCGAATGCCTTCGTGAGTGGTTTCCTGGCTACCTGCACGGTTCTGTGCCGCGACTTGACCTGGATCGCTGGTTTCATGGTCTGCAGGAAAGCCAAAACTCTGCTCCACAATATCCAGGCCAAGGAAGATATTCATTTTGTGAACGGTATATACTCGCCCTGTCACCAGTCTCGAACCGAGCATCCTACTGTGCCCCACGATATCATCAACATCAAGGTTGATGCCGCCAACTTGAATGCGAGTACATACCCTCCAGCGGGCACCACAACCACAATCTGGATCTGACCCAAGGACAACAATGGACTTCCTGGATGATTCTCTGACTACTTGTTTCCATCTCCTTCACTATCACGACTCGTCACAATCGGCACAGAACGCATCGTTGTATATGGTCTGAGTTATTGCTGACTTGTTTCGCACCCACAGAAACCTTTAGCAAGGGACTGCAACTGCTAGAAATGCACTCCAAGCCTGGACAGGGCGACGCGCGCCAGGCCCGAAACCAAGGATCCCGAAGCAGTGTGCCCAGGAACACACACATGTCTTATCCGGAATCCATGGCTTTTGACTATTCCAATAGGGATGACGACTTTGCCAATCCCAACTTTTCCCTGGCCTCATCATCCACTGGTTCACGGCGGTATGCCGCCTCAGAAAGCTCTGATATTTCACCCGGTTTCTACTCTGGCAACGATGACTACTCTTTGCCAACGTCTTCTGCCATGGTCTACTCCTCCTTGTCGGTACCGGACAGCACTTACACAGTCCCTGTGGCTTCGAGTCTAAGCGGTTTCGATACCGACCTGACGTCTCAATTCCTAGCAAATGATGCATTGATAGCGAATGACCATACCGCAATGAGCTATTTTTCGTCACTTTACCCAGGACAGGCCCAGAATCAGGACATTTTGAACCCAGGTTATATGCCAATGGAGGTACCCATGTACCATTCCGGAGCAATGAACAGTCACTATTCCACGGATATGTCCTGGCTCAATCAGCCGCCATTGACGCCACCACCTGAGGATTATGTCCAGGAGGTGTTGCCCCATCACTTCATGTCTGCAGAGCATTTCCAGGACGAGCATTGCCGGATGGACAAGGACGTCTCCATCTACGATAGTAACGACATGTCGAGATCGTCATCATACAGGTCAGACTGCTCTAGCTTTACTCCGCCGTTCTCTACTAACACAGGCCTCGTTAGCCTTCCACGAAAGAACCTGATTCAACCAAGGCCCATTCGATCCGCCTCCGAGCGCAGTGATTTCACTGGACAGCCCAGCAACTACCAAACGGAGAACCGGATATCCAGGGATGAGCCACAAGGAGATCGTGTCAAAGCCAGGAGTGATCCGCTTTACGAGGCCAGACCCGATAAGAGTGGATGGTACCATTGCCCCATGTACAAGGAAACCAAATGCATCCACAAACCAACCAAACAAAAGTGCATCTACAAGTGAGTATAGTCATCACCCGACCTGAAAGGCCTCTCTGACCCTCCCCACGCAGCAAATACCTGGATTCCCACCTGAAGCCATACCGGTGCAAGTTCGCCACTGAACGAGGAGAATGCGAGGACGCCAGATTTTCTTCCAATGCTTGCCTCTTCCGGCACGAGAGAGAGGCTCATGGACTTCACAACCACGGACTGAACCCATTCATGTGCAAATTCCGCGACTGCGAGCGATCTCGGGACGGCAATGGCTTTCCTCGCCGCTGGAACCAACGGGACCACATGAAACGAGTTCATGATTATGTCGAGGATGACTCTCCCAAGGAGCAGACCACTGCCACGGAACAACCCAAGAGGAGAAAGGTCCCCGGAGTGCCGAGCTCTGCCCCAATGCGAAGATCAGGCTCCTCAGCCTATTCCAAGGTCCAGGTGATGGCGGGTGCCTCTGTCACCCCACAATACTATGCCGTGAATGAGGCGCGGTACAATGCTCCAAGCGTGTACCCAGCCCAGATGATGACATGTGCCTTGGATGATGTCCATTTCGCGCCGGCACGTACAGTCTCCAGGACATCGCGGACACTACCATCGCGATCCAAGGGATATCCAGGCTGATTCCTCCTCGTGTTGTCTTGCATAACTCAATTATGTACAATCTTTCAATCCATCATGGAAATGTCTGTGTATCAGTTACAGAAGCAATCTTACCAGTATCGGAATGGAGCCAGCTCACTGCTTATTTCAGGCCACTTTCGTGACGGATCAACAGAACATCGTGCTGCCATTTGGCAAGAATACTATCCGGGTCTCGACTCCATGTCGATAGGAGATCTACAAAGGTGTGCACCAGCCACAGGACAACCTTTTCTTGACAGAACACACCCTCCGGGCAAGGGTAGTCGTTCTCACTGCATGATTTTTCATGTACAGGCCAGATCATTCAATCCCAGTGTTCCAAGGACATGTAAAGCTGTCACCAACGATTTCGGCAAGCAGTGGTCGGGGCGGAGGAAGGGTGCTCACGTTATGGGAGTGTGGATGTGGAGGGGGATGTTGATGGCATATGTCGATAGAGTTCTGGGTGTATATTGCTGATCGTATACGTCGCATCTGTTTGGATAGTCTAGTTTAGTCTGATCTTGATAGTTACAGTACCTTAAAAATGTATTTCTTGCTATAATCTGCGGGCATGAACGTGTACGGTAAGGGGTGTGATACCCAGAAGTTTGGTGTTTGAACCCCGCACGATTAAGCCCCAGATGTTCTGCAAGGCTGCGCTTGAAGAAATACAGTATAAACCTTCTCCAACAAATTTATTTCTCAGTGATGCGTGCCTCCTAAGTTAAAGCCAGTAATGCCAGTGAGTAGTGCCCTACCCATGTTCAACAGTCCCAGCATTGACACCTACAACAGCTCATCATAATCACGGGTCTTCCATGCTCAGGCAAGACCCATCGAGCACAGCAAATCGCCGCTGATCTTCAAACCTACATTTCCGCCGATCCTGCATCGTCCAAACGAACAGTCCAAATCATCAACTCTCACCACGCATCTCTGGACTCGCCGTACGATCCCAGCAAAGTCATACCCTCAGAAAGTCTCCGCGACCAGATCTACAACAGCGCAACACAGGAGAAGACTGCACGTGCCGCGGAATTTTCGGCCATCAAGAGAGCCGTGTCGAGAGACAACGTAGTCATCGCAGATGGATTGAACTATATCAAAGGGTACAGGTACCAACTATGGTGTGAGGCCAAAGCCGCGGGGACACGGTGCTGCGTGGTGCATGTCGCTGCACAAGAGGACGAGTGTAATAATTGGAATAGAGAGAGATTGCGGGCTTGGGGACAAGAGCCAGAACCCAACACAGTTGGACGAACCGGCCAGAATAGCACGGGGAAAGGCGAGGATGTGCTGGGCGAATTGATGCCAGAAAGCCACACAGCCATCTATGGCGACAGAATGCTCGACAAGGAGGATCATGCGTCACGCTCTCGCTCGTCGTCTACGGAAGGGTTCGACGATGAAGACCAACCTCGGCGTCAAGACAACGACGCCATGACCCTCAAGTCCTTATACATTACAGACCACAAGCGCGAGGCTAAGGCTGAGTCCACCGACCGGCCGACGGTCGAGCCAAGGGCCCAGGAGCCCTCCAAACCACAATCATCAGCCTCGCCCTCAACGACCATTCCCATACCATCTCCGACAACCTCTCCGCCGTACACTCCAGCGACACTACACTCGCTCGTAATGCGCTACGAACCTCCCAGCCCTTTCTCCCGGTGGGACACACCACTCTTCACCATCCCGTCCTTCGACACGTCCCCACCATCCCACGACATATGGATCGCACTGTTCCCTCCGCCAGCAAAGCCAACCAGCAAGAAAGCCCTGTCTCAACTCTCTTCGCCCAACACCACTGAACCGCCAAAATCAGAAGAAGTCAGACGGCATGCTGCAACCGTGCTACCTAAAGCTACAACTTCAGACGCCCTCCAAGTGCTAGAGAGTGCGACCATGGACGTGATAAAACACATACTGGCCAGGTCGAGAGAAGAAGGCCTCGATACAGACACTGGTGGCGATCTCAACTTGTCATTACCCCTTGCCGGACCCGAGTCAGAGCACTACGAGACGACCGTCCATATCCCAGCGGGCTTGTCCCTCTCGCAGCCTGTGCTCCAGCGTCTGCGCAGGAAGTATACACAAATCCAGCGTGGAGGTATCGCGCATGGTCAAGGCTACGTCAGTGGCAGGCGAGGCGTGATCCAAGGGTTCGTCGAGTTTCTGGATCGTGAGTGGAATGACGATGATGAGTAAAACAAAAAGTGCACGATATAAATGGCAGAAACCGACGCCGTTCTAGCAAATCGAGGAACCTGAGTCATGCAATGGCGCCAGGAAGAAAAATTTCGAAACGTTGTTCATTGATGCAATCATTTGTATTCAAACCCCATGGTGAATCACGGATCCAATGGATGGGTCAAACGATCGGTTCCTTCGCTAATGCTCTTCGTAATTACCCTCGTTCGTTGAGAGATTGAAATACACATACCAGGCCGTAAAAGGCCTGCTCATAAACTCCAACGCGAGTTTGCCCGGTTCCCAAATCAATCCATTCACCAATATCAATGCAACACTTGATCATAACTAGCCACTGCAATGAGCGCCACGGAAAAGTATGGAAACCGTCTCTTTCTAGCCGCATTAGCAATCGAGACTCATCCTGAGAACGGTCCGTCTAAACAAGGTCTATACGTTTGACTTGAATTAGATCCAATTTTGATCAGTAATGGCGACAATGCTGCAATGTAGACGCCCATAGCCAGTAGTCGGGGGTATTGGCATGGGGAAAAAATCGAAAATCGTTAAAAGGAATCGCGCATAAAGCGAGATAGTCGTGAAGATTGGAGAGAGTTGAGTGAGATGTCGGAGGGGTATGGATAAGGTTCTGTCACCGAGGTCGATGCGGACCATGTGCGGTTGGGGGTGAATTCGGATCGAATGCCCCGAGGCTGGTCGCCTCCCGGGAATAGAGACGGGAAATATTGGTCAGGGCTGACCAGAGTGCAGCGTGATGCTGAAGACTTGAGTAGAATCTTTGGAGGGATTGTTCTGGTGGCCATCGTGCTGAAAATTCCACGTTGACAAACACATTTCAGGGACCTTCTCTTCCGGCAAACTCAGCCGTGCATGGAAAATGAACCCGAAAATCCAATGATATGGAATCAGAGAATCATGTAGTCTCTACAGCGAAACATCGCCAAAGTCTCGCATGAGGCAAGCCATCTGCGCACGCTTAGCTGCCTCGGCAAGAAAATCAGGTGGCAGCTGGCCCGGATTGAGTGAATGACCATGAGCAGGATGCTCTTGTGACATGGAATTCGAGTGCGGATGTAATTGCTGCTGTGGGTTTGGCTGTTCAAATTGTTGTGATTGACCATTATACGATTGTTGTCGTTGTTGAGCAGAATGACTGAGATGCATCTGCTGTGATGTGTAGGGATTCGGCTGAGAATGAGGTCGACCGAAAAAAGAATCCATCTCTGCCGTGGAGGGCGAAGGCAAAGGAGCGTTGAAGTGAGACTGGTGTTGTTGCTGATGCGGCATGAACAGTGATTGAGCCTGGAAATCAGTCTGAGACTGCTGGGCAGTCGGTGGTGGAGGCGGTGGTTGAAGGCATTCACTGATTGGGCTCGGATGCGAACTCGTCGATGTACTCGAAGATTGTGAGTAACTGTTTGTGTAGGGAGGGGCTGTGCCACTGCGTTGCTGTTGCTGGAGATGGGAGATTCGAGCGCTTCTTCTAGGGTAGTTGCTCATCTTGTAGTCTGGGCTCGGTGTGTGTTTGACGGTGTTTCAGAGACAGCCGCTGAGCAGGCGGCTTCTCTCCCGGGTTATCTTTTCCGTGGAAAACGAACGCGATGAGATAGTGTTCTCGTGGAAGGGAGAGATAGGAAGCAGCGGTTGGTCGAAAGTGAGGCGGTGATATGTGTAAATTCTATCGTATAGCCTGAGAGACGAGTGCGCAGGAAGGAAGGAAGGAGGATGCAAGGCGACAAGAAGAAGGTGACTGTAACCTCGCTGAAAGAAGTGCCGGGCGGGAAAGGGTTGGTAGGCGGCTTTGGAGAGATCAGCAACGGCCGGGCTTAGTGATTCTCCAAGTTTCGACTGTTATGATCTGGAGTCGGGCCGCAGAGGTAACTTACGTAGGTAGATTGTACCGGTTAGGCGCCGATGGAGGAAGGGATTGTGTCAGAGGGAGAGTTTCGGAAACGAGGTGGGAGAATCGATTGAGTGAACCGGTGGCTGCGAGATTTCGTGGGGGAAGTGGAAGCACGAGCCTGGAGCACCTTGCGGGGCTGTGATTTATTGGATGGAATCGGGACGGGATGTAGTCGATGGAATTTAGCCGGGGTGTTGTTTTGTCACTTAGGTTGTGAGATTGTGCCCAGGATACGAAGATCATAAGAAGGAAAGAAGAAAAGGCAGAGATAGGCGATTGAAGGTCTGGCTTCAAGATTGAAAATGGAGATTTTGGCAGACTGCGGCTCGACTCTACGCAAGTCAAGTCAAACGGGGAAATTTCGCCGGCAGATGAAGAACCGGGCAGATGCGGGAGAAATAAAAAAACACACTTTCGCTGTCGCTCCGATTATTTACCGAAGGAATTTCCATTCCACTTCTTCGCCCCAGCGACCACTAAGTTACGGTAAAGAATTGAGGATCCCAAGAAAACATGAAGTCTGGATTGAGCGATTAAATTACTTGCCCTTGTCTGATCATACTGGAAAGACCCTCAGGTCGATACTGCTTTGACTGCTTGAGGTCAGGAATATCTTGTATACCTAGGTAGGTCTCAGCCATCCTCAAGAAAGAACGGAATTACCCCGAACGCCAAAGGGAATGCACTGTCCTAAAGAGAGATCTGAATCATCAAACATGGCCGGATGCGGTCAGACCACTGTCCCTCGGTTCGCTCGTGCACGATCGATCATGGTCATCACACATCATCCATCGTTATTCAGCAGGTTTACGTAGGTCCTTCATCACATCATCTCACAGACCTAACGTGGTAAGTTCTCCCCCATCGTCCAGCTCTCCACATACCGACAGTACATCTCGATCCAGCACTCCGCTATCTCCAATTATCAGATTCTCAAGTACCTAGGTTCAAACGGACCGTCAGTGTAGGCAAGGTACGAGGTACATCTGTGCCGTCATCAGGCCAACTCACACGGGGTACAGTAGTCCGGGTCTCGACTCCTGCCTAACATGCCTAGGCGCGGACAGAACGGATCTCGGTCCGTAACAGCGTTTTGGATCGGCAAATGGTCTCCCTTTTTAGCCTGTACAAGTACTAAGTCTGGTCACGTGCGATCGCCTTTCGGGGTTTGTTTTCCGGTGTTGAAGTTGAAAACGATGCGAAATTGCCAAGCCACAACATGGACTTCGCAGGACTTGGTTGGAGATATTGATCGACAATGCTCAAGCACAGCTGTCCTGGCATCGAGGAAAGAAAATCATGCCCAACAGTAATGATGAAGCTGAGGCTGAATCACTAGACCTGTTTCAAGAACCTGCAGACTTTTACCAACCAGAGAAGCAGGCCACATTCACGACTTATACTCTCAGAAATGGTCAAACCCTCAAACTTCGGCTAGTAGGCCATAGTCCTCTATGGGTGTGATATCCTCGCCAATGTATTGAATCATTTCGTTCTGCTAACCTGTACCGAGGGTCATCTGCTTTGGAATGCTGGACAAGTGATAGCACAATATCTGGAGGATGATGCACTGAAGCTCGTTCGTGGGAAAACAGTACTCGAATTAGGCGCTGGAGCCGGGCTTCCAAGTCTGGTGGCGGCTGTCCTGGGAGCGGGAAAGGTTGTCGTGACAGACTACCCAGAACCAGACTTGATTATGAACTTGCGCTACAATATTGAACACTGCTCAACATTGGCAGACAAGTCCAACATTGTAGCGGAAGGCTTTCTTTGGGGCAGTTCGATCGAGCCTATTACAGTTCACTTGCAGCCCGACCCCCAAGGGTTTGACCTATTGATACTCGCGGACATACTCTTCAACCACTCCGAGCACGCAAAACTCCTGACTACTTTGCGAGAATGCTTGAAAAAGTCTGCGGACTCCCTAGCCCTGGTCTTCTTCACACCGTATCGGCCATGGTTACTGGAGAAAGATCTGATCTTCTTCGACTTGGCTCGGGCAGACGGCTTTGTGGTCACGAAAGTTCTGGAGCATACAATGGACAAAGTCATGTTCGAGAATGACCCTGGAGATGAAACACTGAGAAGAACAGTTCTCGGCTACGAAGTTAGATGGCCATCATGACAGGTCGAACAGTCTAAACCTAGGCATGGACGGACAATCTTCGACGAAGGATTCTGTGCTGAATTCGATGCCAACCATTACTAAGGCTAGTCATACCCCGTGGCTGCAATGTAAGGAGATGCCGACGCCGCTCGATACTGCTCTTACCTTGTGACCTTCTCGGTTCCTGTTCTTGTCGACGTCTTGGATTTCGATAGCACACTACGGCCTTCTGCAGACACTTGAGCTGTCCCAGATGCCTTCTTTCCCAGTCAAACTTCTTCCGACGCGGACGTCCTACGTTGTTTCGAGCGGGAAATCCGCAGGCATGGTACGCAGCAGAAGACCGACCAGGCAGAGAATGCAGCACGACCACATGTCCAATAGCATGAAGAGCTCGGAGTGCTTGCCCAGGGTCGATCCGGTTGGATAGTCGTCGACTTCGGGAGGTTTCTCTTCCAAAGACGATATGCAGGAGATTGACACCGAGTATTCGACTGAATCTACGTCGTCGCCAAACAAACGAGCAGAAACATCAACGTCCACCTTGTGTTCCAGCTAAGCGGTTGGCGCTAGAGAATTTCGGGTCTCAGATACTCAGGAAACAGATCACGCTCCCCTGTCATAGCCGTGCATCAATACCGGATGGACTGGATATCGGATTTCACCGCATGATGTCAAAACGGCAAGCTCCAAATGACTTACACTATTCACGTCCCAGTCAACCAAAGTAACGGGTCTGGATCGATCGGACAAATTGTGCTAGGTACATATCTCTCCCCTGCCTATCTAGGTAAAATAGCTTATCAATTCTCACCTCACAGACGCCATCTCGATCCCAGGGGCATGCCTGCTTCCCAACAATGAGCATGTGCTTCGGTTCCAAAGCATCAGAAGATACCACAGTACTACTCAGACGAGTTGTGACATGGTAGAAACAACAGAGATAGTGCTGAAAGTAAAGATGCCGCTGCAAATCAAGCTTGACAAGAAGATCGTCCCTGGGCATGCTGCCCTCCCACGATTTGAGACTGGTTGGGGCCTGGTTTACTTATCAGCAGATACACGATGCCATGCTTGTCTATCAAAGCATTCCAGATCCGAGATTTTCTGCGACACTCTCTTCACGCCTTTGTGTTTCGTTGATGCGGATATAGACGTTCAGAGAACATGTGGTTTGTCTGCATGTCTGTCCTCTATCAGAATCTACAGCAGTATTCAACAGTGTCGTCGGGTTTGTTGACAGATATGCAGGGCATGCTTAATCCTATGCAAGAGAGACGGCGTATTACCGGAGCTGCAATGATCGCGATGCAGCCGACCACGAGGCCGGCGTAGATGCCGTCACTTTTTATGGGGCTTTTCAGAGCCCAGATTAGCCGCATTAGCCACCCATTGCACCTAGAGGAACCTTCAAAGAGCATGTGGCAACTGCAGGGAGATCAGCGTCTTCCACGAGATGCTGGGAAGTTTCCTGACAACAAACTCCAATGCATTCCCAGCCACAGAATGAGTTCCTTCTGCTCATCTTCGGTACACCAGGTACGGCTCTTTTATGTTACGCGAACACAATAGTTGTAATTGGAGACCAATGCGCACGATGTCGACATACTGCAGCCAATTTTCGTGGAGTCCTGCAAGGCATTTTCTGGGGTTGAAAATGCACTGCATGACGGCAATTCTCCCACGCTTGGCGGGCGTTTATATTCCGAGTCGGGGGTTCTTGGGCGCCGAGCGTACAACGACCTCGCAAACGATCGAAAGCAACCGTCGGCCTCAGGGGATCCTTGTTGGCCATCTACAGGTATGGATAGACAATTGGTGGGTTGAAGACGTCTCCTTGTCCTTTATTTATGTTGCAACCCTTTATATCCGTGGTGATCTAGAGTTGCAATCTTTGGAAGCAGGGGAGTGGGCCTGGCGGGCCTCGCCGTACGAAGACTGATTTAATTCTCGAAGAGTCGCTGCTGCAAGATGGCTGGATGAGTTGAGCAGCTTGACGATCTCGGAATGTTATCATATTTGGATTCAAAAGGATCTCTGTCTCAGCTGAAAAGTATCTGGATGCGATGCGACCATGATACAACCTACCCAAGAGATTCCAAAGGTACTAGTGATGGACGAACTCGGGTTCGCTGTATTCGCGGGGCGCCGGCGTCTCTTAAGACTCTAAGCACGAAAACCAAATGCGTTATTTAAAGTTTTGACAGGTTTTGGAAGTCCACAGGGAGCAAAGCGGCTAATGACGAGGCCTGCAATTCATGCACGGAATCCCACTCTTTGACAGTCTTTGATGGCCGCACTTCTCCTCCCACCCCTCGCTAAAATCAACAGAAGACAAACCTCGTCGACCGTCCTATCCGCGTCCAGAAGCATCCCCGTTTTCCTTTCTGCAAGCAGCAAAACTCCATCATGCAGAGTGACCTTACGGACCGCGTTGCTTCTTTCCTCTTTCCTCTTTCCTCGCACTCTACCGTTATCCTCGACCAGTTGAAAGTTCTTTCCAGTGTACAGACTTTACTGCACTCGTCTGATCAACCGACACTCGTTCCCACTCTGGATTTCGTGGATACTGTCCACCCGTCTTTTCCAAGCCGTTTCAACCGTTCCTTTGCAATGCGTAATCTTTAATCATTGACCGGTTCCTCTCTCTTGTGCGACCTGTTTGTACCTGAACAGACAGACACTGTCGTTCAAAGTCCACGCCAACCGAATCAGCGATATCATCCCAGACGGACGCACTCAAGTCAACGATATTCGAGCCCGCCCTTGCTCAGTCTTCCTGATGGCGCTTTGACTTCCTCCTATACCACGAACACTCGGTCGGCCCTCATATAAATACCCAGGTACACGTAACGTCCAAAAATCCAACTGTTAAGACTCCAGACAACACCTTGATTGGTAGCTGCTGGACCGGAACCAACATTCCCTTCGTGGGTACGAGGCAGCGTTGTACTTATCTGGAACATATCTCGAGAAGGACCTCACGGAACTACACACCACTGCTTGAGAATGTCTATACAAGTGTGAGCGTACGAGGGGTTGCTCGTTTCACCATCTGCTTCAGAATCTCCACTCCACAAGTCCTTTTCTGCTACGACCTTTCACCATCACTATATACATTCAAACAATTTTCAAAATGTGCAAGGCTCACGTTCTACGCTTTTGCTGCGGGCATGGCGTCCTTATGGGGTTCGACGTCTGCAGACTGGCACCATGTCCTATCCTCAAGACTACCGGTGTCAAACTTCCACAACAACCATACAAATGTTACAATTGTCAAAACAGGCTATCGAACCTGTCATCAACAATGTCTTCGTCACGGGCAGGCTGTGATTCATCGATGAGTAGTCGAGACTCAGCCTCTTCTCAGGGTTCCTCAGCAAGTCCACCACGATCACCTATAGCGAGGACCAAGACTTCGGCACCTCTTCCCGGGGGCATCGCTCGCCAACCAACCGAATGCAGCATGCTGTCTCGAAGGTCCACTTGGAACGACTCGCTTCCAGCCAAGGCATTTGCTTTTTCGTGCTGTTCATCATCGCACTTCGTCACACCCCATTACATGATTCTGCCGAATCATCTTCCTCACCAGGATCATTCTTGCCCACCTTGTCAACTAGAAGAGTTGCGGATGAGAGCTGACAGGGAAGCTACTGCGTCGGCTAAGGCTGAATATCCCCATCTCACGGGCGAAATGTTGGTCAGTGACGGACGAGTCTGGGAGGATTGGCAGACAAAACCGACACTCGAAGGATACATTGACGAAAAACGGTCTGACGAGCGGCAGATGTGGCTGCATGTCACAAGGAAGTGGACGCAGGACCTGAAGAAGTTGCGGGTACTGGTTGCTGAAGAAGACGGTCTGGGTCTTCTAGGATGAAGCTGCTTGGGCCATCAGTTGAGGCCAACGGTCATGATTTATGAGGCGTTTAAAGAGATGGGAGGCAGGCCGTCAATTGAAGCGATACCCACGGAATCTTGGCGTCAGATTGTGACATGTGTCTGTATGGGGTGTCTATCCTGAGTCAGGCCAGAGCAGGTCCTGTATCTATGACTTGTCGAATCTACCACACACGTAGTGTTCTCCACGAAGTCCACTATCGAATGAAAATGTTGCTGTGATTGTGATAGACTGCACGACTGGCTCGCTAGTGACCGGTTTCCTGATATTGGTCGCGTGTCGAGTTGTTCCTGCCAAGATCCGGGGAAGCGAGAGGTTCCACTGCATTCAATTTGACATTCAACTTTGATTTTAGGTACTTCGTCAACTCAACCTCCACCAGCAGGACATAAGTAGTATGCCGAACTCCCTGTCACGCATAAGTCTGTTGCTATGCTCGTCTTCATGGTGCGTAGAGCGCAATCTGTATTGGGCGGCCATCTGAAGACTTGACTGAAACACTCCGGTCTGACAACTCTCAGACAACATGTGTCTCACAATAATCGTCTTGCTCCGGCCGTCCTTCACGGAACAACAAAGAACATGAGCAACAAAAGTTGACACAGGAGCCATATGCGCCGGCCTGATGTTGTCTCTAGCAAGTGTCTGCTGTGCCATCATCAAGCCAGAATAGAAATTAGCCCCTGGTCTCCCAATTTTCCTGTTTCAACAACCTACGAACTTTTACTCAGGCCACTCTTCTGGACTTCGATCCACAAGCTTGAGTAAGTCGATGATCTTTGTGGTCAATCTTTGTGCAGATAGCGCAGCCCAGGACTGTCTCAACAGACTTACAAGCAGCTGCGGCTGCATTGAGACCAGGCTGTATGCCTTTTTTGTTCAGCACTAACCCGCTCAATGACCATGTGTCTCCTGAAAACGTTACATGTCTTGAGATATTAACACAACCGAGCCAAGCCACAAGCAGGACATCGACACGGTCGGCGGCACTGCCCGCCAGGACCTGATCATAAGTGACACCCAGAAGACACCCAGCGCCGGAGCAAGGGCTTGCCATTGGCATGGAACTTCCCGGTGCAGGGTAACAAAGCGAATTTGGGACTTCTGTATCGCTTCCAGAATGGCTGTGTCCGTCTGATGCTATAGTAAACCCTCGCCATCTGTGTGGAATGTGGCTGCAAGACAAGTCTGTGTATGCAGCTTAGTGCTGGTCTTTGTCGGGCAGTGTTGTTTGTCAATAGACTGCAGGGAGTGCATAAAAGGGAGCTGAGGTATCCTAACATATCTCCTTCTGTCTCCCTATATTCAGCTGTGCAATACTCATCACATTCTTGGTATCTCTTTCTCACGACATCACTGTCAAAATGCTTACCGTTGATCAGCTTTGCCAGTATATTGGCATCAAGAACCCATCTGACCGCTCAACATGCATTGGATATGGACAAGCGAAACCGACTTGCGGTAACCCTGTTGCTGAGCGGTTCCGATTGGAAGCAAGGGCAGCTCTTCAAAATATATGCTATCTCCTTGACGCAAGCGGTAGCATTACTGAAGAGCTCGCCGACGAGTTGGAGAGTGTCGCTGTACTTCTGCATTGCAAAAAGAACCATCGATATCAGGCACCGGCAAAGGCGAATGACTGGATTAGAAGACTGGAGGATATCTTGGTGCAAACAGATGCAGAGAGACATCAACGTGAGACTCGAGCACGTGTCGAACCTCCCCCAGAGGACAGCAACACTCAAGGCGCATCTCATGTAGTTGTTTGCCGCGGCATGGCATCGCATACAGTTGAGGACCTTCTTGCCGAGTTGGCTCGCAGGCTCGCCTCGAGCAATCAGCTTGTCAGCGGTACTCAAGCAGTTCTGGAAGCTCACAGCAGGACGTATCAACAACCACCACACTCCACCTTGTCCTACCAAGAACACCCGCTTGCAGCCACAAATGCCCCTGTCACTAACTTCGCGGATGACGAATATTCGGGTTACTACTCCCAAGACGACACGGACGACGAGCATGCGCCCCCTGAATATTCCTCTCGGTACCAGCCGCCTGAGAGAGCTCGCTCTTCCACGCCACAGCCGCACATGCAACCACGGTCAGCACATTCACCTTCGCCGACAACTTCGTCGTCCTCTGCACGAAGCAGCCACAGTTCTGATTCGTCTCGAGATGAATGCGCCATCTGCTTGTCAGAATTTGGAAGAGGGAGTGAAACATGGCGCTGCGAAACATGCAGAAATGCGACTCATATGGATTGCTTCATTCAGTGGATGGCAAGTTCACCGGAAGACAATGTGAGATGCATTTATTGGTAAGTTCGACCCTTGATGAGGTCTACCATTATCGAATTGAGCTAACCCTATATCCGCAATAGTCGATCACCTGTTCGCACACATGATTGAGATAATTGCACAAACCCTGAAGCGAGACTGGATATCTTGGTCAGTCCGCGTGCACATGGGAGAGGCAGAGGTGAGTGTGGAGTGTGAACTTGGTAGCACTTTGGCATGATTGAAGTTACGAGGCTGGCTGGCTGATCGGAAATCATTACATTGTCAACCTGAGAAGCAGGATAGTGATCGGACTATGGTCTGGTATGAGCGTTTCTTTGATTTTATCGCTTGGGCGGAGTTGGAGCAACGGTGACACTAGGTCCAATCACTGTGTGTAGCAGCATTGGAACATGCATCTTACCAATCGTCAAGTGAGGTAGCTACTGCCCCTAACAACGAATTGACTGTTACCAGGTATGTTGTTCATGCGGACCACTTGAGCATCCGCGTAAATAAGGTGGAGTTGCTGCTCGGGAGTGCCCTGATGACATGCTGCATGCTTAGGTAGCGGGCCCGCCCAGCCAGCATTCCGGGGTCGGCAACTTTGACCTTGGAGACCTGCAGGCACCAGCCATCTTCTCTTGTTTATCACCAAGCTGCTTATCGAACAGCGAGATCCTACATCTCTTCTGGAGTAACCTGACGCAGGTCGTTGAACATTTACAATCACCATGCAACTCCGACAGTTGACAGCCCTCCTTTCCCTTCCAACCGCTATCCTTTCTTTCGTCGTCTTTCCCGAAGCCGAAGTCTTCCAGACTCATTCCGAAGATCTCAGTCTTGCGCTCACTTTACCCGTCCCAAAATACGTCGAATTCATTGAAGCGGTCCATCCGGAGCAGCGCATCCAAATCACAAGGCTATCTCCTGAGCATGTCGAACCTACGGAGGATCTAGAAGATACCGATGACCAACCTCTACCAGTGGTAATCTGGCATGGCCTGGGTGATTCCGCCGACAACAAGGGACTGAAAGAGGTGGCAGAATTGATCGACAGCGTCCATCCAGGAACATATACCTACATTATCTCTGTGGTTGGCGGCGCCGGGTCTGCAGATCGCCAGGCATCTTTCTTCGGCAATGTCACGGAGCAGCTCGAGTCTGTGTGCCACGCATTGGCCGAAGACAATATCCTGAAGACTGCGCCCGCTGTCGACGCCATCGGCTTCAGCCAGGGCGGTCAATTCCTGAGAGGCTATGTTGAGCGATGCGGTGGCTGGGCACCCAAGGTTCGGTCACTGATCACGTTCGGAAGTCAACATAATGGTATTGCGGAGTTTCAGAAATGCAAGAGCACGACAGATTGGGTCTGCCAGGGCGCCAATGCACTGCTGAAGAGCAGCACTGTCTGGTCGGATTTCGTGCAGTCGAGACTCGTGCCGGCGCAGTATTATCGCGACACGAACGATTTCGAGAATTACTTGAATCACTCGAATTTCTTGGCTGATATCAACAACGAGCGGAAGGTCAAGAATGCGACGTATGCGCAGAACATTGCCGCCCTGGAGAAACTCGTTATGGTTGTGTTTGATGAGGATAGAACGGTGATCCCAAAGGAGAGTGGGTGGTTCGCTGAGGTCAATTTGACTTCTGCCTCGGTCACGCAGTTGAAAGACAGGCCGATTTATATGGAGGACTGGATTGGGTTGAAGAAGCTGGATGAGAAGGGTGGTTTGGATTTCCTTGCGCTTCCTGGGGAGCATATGAATTTCAGTGATAAGGATCTCAAGGCGCTGTTTGCCAGGTATTTCGGTCCTTCTGGGAGGAAGTTCGAGAAGCCGTCTAAAGAGGATGGATGGAAGCTGGAGTTGTAGAGCCGGGTCCTTCAGGGGTTGGATGTATTATAGCAGGAGTTGCTTGTCTAGCTTTTATTATAATTGTCGTATAGGACGATGCTTGGGTTGATTTCCTTGAATAAGACCCTATTGACCCTCACGCAACGGGCCCCGGGGCGACACCGGAGATGCCCGCTGCCCCTGACAGTCCACGATACGATTGACCCATGTCACTGGCGGCCTTAGGTGACGTACTTTACACCTCTTACGTCTCCCATAAGTGGAACTGGTGAAATGCAGTATCAGTGCCAGTTTCGACTCATCTCATCAACAATACAAATCAGCTCGAATTGTTGACCACCTTGCGGAACGCTCAAAAATCAAAGTGTTTCGGCCCTGGCAAAGTGTTACTGCTAGCCATTGAAAACTCAACTTGGTGTTGGCAAAAGTCTGTGAAACTGTTGCGGACGTTGATCGCGCGTCCAAGCAAGGCCAGCCTCGTGCCGATCTGACTCAGTATCTCTTTGCTTATACATCATCATGGCTGCCCACAAGGAGACGAAAGCATGGACACGCGACGGCTTCATGATATCCATGGATCCGTCACTGGTGCCCATTGCGTCGCTCAACAAGGCATTTGACTCGGAAGAGATGTACTGGGCAAAAGCGCTGCCCGAGCCAGCTGTACGAGAAACCCTTGAGCATTCCTGGTGTTGGGGTCTATACTCACCTACACCGTCACCACCTGCGACGGCTGATGCCGAGTCATCTGATCACGCCGCAACACTCCACGAGATCGCCGAGTCGGTCCACAAACCCTCACAAGGCTCGGATCAGTCAACGGAAGAGCCGTCGCTGATAGGTTTTGCACGGGCAATCACCGACCGTGTCACATTCTTCTACCTCACCGATGTGTATGTCTTGCCGGAGTGGCAGGGCCAAGGGCTGGGCAAGTGGCTCGTCAGTTGCGTCCAGGAGGTCGTTGAGGATATGCCGCATCTGCGAAGGAGTATGTGCATCACCGGAGAGAGCAAGGAAAGTCGCGCTGCGAAGTTCTACAAGCAGCTGATGAATATGGATGCTATCACCGAGGGTATCACGGTGCTGAGCGCGAAAGGACGGGGAAACACGTTCTAAATAGTTCGCTTGTTGAAGTTCTGGCCACGTCGAAGTCTGTAACATATACTTAAAAGCCGCAAATCCCTGTGCAACGAGATTGAGTTTGTGAAGAGCTGTGCTGCTTGCCAGGTTGAGTCACAAATGTTAGATGCAAGAGGGTCTTGAAAAGTACCTTTCGCATGGTTGCACGAGTTTCTAAAGCTGGATGAGTCTTGTGATGAGTGAGGTGGGTTTGTACGGTAATGTGATGTTAAGAGAGAAGGCACGTCTGGGGCGTCGATCTCGTGAATGACTAATCAAGTACCCCGGCTTGGCTGTCGGTTCACTTCCGACACTCATCAAGCCATCTGCGTATCACGTCCGCTTTCCTTCCCAGCAGATCCTCATACAACAAGACAGAGCCGCAAGATCCCCTGCGTTGCTATGTATGCAACTGGGCACAGTCCAGAAACTGTGAAATCAACACGTTGAAGAAAGCCACATCCTCAAGTTAGCTCACAACGAGTCCAATTGCTTGGGCACTGACAATGTCTACGGTACGACGGCGAAGAAAAACAGGTTGCTTGACCTGCCGTCAGAGACGCGTCAAGTGTGACGAGCGGAAGCCGACATGTGAACGATGTGAGGCCTCGAACATCCATTGTGCTGGCTACGAACAAATGCGTCACATCGATGTCCGCCACCGTCCATTGCCAATCTCTCCCCAATCAACCCAGGAAAGCCCGCCGTCTTCACGCAACGACTCTTCTGCAGTACCTCGTTTCGAAGCGGATGGACTGCCACTGGTTGCTTTACCCAACAATCCCACACCAGCTCAACGGCCGCACGCAAGGGCACGCGATGTTCTTGCTTACCATCAATACCTCTTCAGAACTCTGCCTGTCTTATTCCCGGCTTGCAATTTCCATTTCTGGCGCGACACCCTATGCCAGGAAGCCTGGGAGACCGAGTACGTTTTCGATACCATTACAGCTCTTGGATCGTTGCATCGAGCATTCCTACTCCTATCTCGAGCAGAAAATGGCGAACGGACTAGAGGAGCAGATGGCAGGGTTTTGGCTCTTCAATCTTACACCATGGCTATCCAGGGTTTGTCCAGACATCTGCAGACGAAAACGCCATCCATGGACATTGTCATTGCCGTTGTGCTGTTGATGGCTTATTTCGAGGTACCGTGCGCCTCACAAGACTTTTGTACTGTCCATTAACTTTGTACCTAGCATTTCAACGGCAATATTTCAGCTGCCATACGTCATTTCCACATCGCGAAATACTACTATCTGGTGTCAGGCCTGGAACATGACAGTCCAGAGGCCCTGGTTTGCATCAAATCGTCCCTCCGACACCTGAGCTTCGTTTGTCGGATCGTACTACCTCTTCCACTGCAACTGTTCGATGAACGGAGCGCTTGCAGATTGGATCCTGACGAAAGAAGGTATACCCATGCTGCCGGAAAAGAAAGAAATGGAGCCCTTATCGCCGAGTATATGCACCAACTTCTTGACATCTTTTCCGCAGAAGAATACGTGGCGGACTTGCTTTGGAGTCCTTTCGTCAAGGACGTCGAAATGATCCCCATGGATAAGATCAAAACGGTTCAGGCAGATATCGAGGATTGGAAGAACAGATACAAGGACCCTACTCTACGGTCAGTCACGGAGCAGTACCCTTCAGGCATGAGCCGGCGTGATATCGATGGGCTCCTCACAACGCCGCATTCACGACTGGCACATACCTATCAATCGGCTCTGACCGGCGCTCTGTACCATTTTTGCATGGCAAGGCTCATGTGGGTCATGGCTCGCATCAACGAGAAAGATGAAGTTTACGAGCTTTCTGCATACTTTCATGTGAACGAAATCATACAATTATCACACTTCGCCAGAAAGAGTGGTGACAGTTCAGGTCGAGATCAGGATCACTGGGTGCTCGGTGAAGCATTGGAAGTGGGTTTTACGGCCTTGTTGTACCTAAGTGCTCAGTGTTGTCCAAGCAATTCCTGGAGAGACGCCATCATTCATCGTCTTCGAGCTATCGGTCGTGAGGGGCTGTTCAACGGCACAGCATTTGCAACAAGCCTTACCGTCCTTCGGAATTTTGACACGGGCCCGGCGACAGTCACACCATACCCTGGCTCATCAGACAGGCTCGGGCCACCACGATCACGGGCTATACCACTAATGTTCACGGAAAAAGACGGACATAATTTCATTTTGTATATTCTGGGTCCGTCGCCCGATCGGCTCGATGCCGTGCTAGGAGAGTATGAGGTTCTTTGTGAGGCCCATTGGAAGGTGTGTGAGGATGGAAGACAGACAGAACCGACCATTCGAGACTTTGACGACACTTTTTCTCCCGGACGCCCAACACGACCGGACTCGCACTGGCTTTTGAACCAGCCTATCATCGGCGACTGGATGGACACTTTTCGCAGCTCGGGCTTCGACATGGATCTCGCCATCCATGACCATATCAAAGGCACATCTGTTAGATTGCGATGATATTGACTACTGGACTGCAATGATTATGAAGCCGCCGTTTGAGTTGCCGTTCATCCCGACTTGATGCATTATTGGCCATGATCAACGAATGCAACCGTGTGGAGCCATCGATGGCGACATCGTGGGGAAGTATGGCAGAACCCTTCTTGGTGTACAAGAAATAAGTACTTATCACCACCATACGTCCCTGCAATTGCCTGCGGACTTCACATTATCTGAACTCCTCCGTTGTCTTGCCAAAAAAGAGACGTCTCATTAGTTTCGTTGAAACGAGCCAGAAAGATGTCTACAACTACTACGCTGGAGAAGACCGAGGTCAAGACTTCTACCCCAGACCCACATCAATACGACTTTAGCCGTCTCCAACCGTATGTGCATCCTCCCGAGACGAAAGCCGACCTCCCATGGTCCGAACTGGTCACTCTCGATCTCGAAGACTTCCACCAACCAGGCGGAAAGGAAAGACTGGCCAAGCAACTTGAGCATGCTGTACACCACGTTGGATTCTTCTACGTCAAGAACTATGGTATACCACAAGAGGAAGTCGATCACCAATTCACATTGGCCAAGAACTTTTTCGAGCTTCCTACCGAAGAGAAAGAGAAGTATGAAGTCAATTACAGTATAGCCGACTACAACGGCTGGCGTCGACTGGGCCTTCGCAGCCAGAACAACGTCAAGGACAACTACGAAATGTACAACTTTGCCAAATTCACAAAGGATTTCGAGGGCAAGTACAATCATCCCGACCTGATCAAGGCTCACCTAGCCGAGATCGAGTCCTTCCACCGCGCGCTCCACGCCAATGTGGTGCTGCCGTTGTTGCGCCTGTTCGCTATTGTCCTTCAACTGCCCGACGAGGAATATCTCGTCAAGCAACACACATACGAGAAGAAGAGCGAAGACCACTTCCGATACATGTTGTACCACCCGAGAACGGAAGAGGAATGGAAGGCCAGTGGTTACGGCTCCACAGGCGGACACACCGATCTGGGCACGGTGACGCTGCTATTCCGCCAGCCCGTCGCTGGTCTGCAGATCCTCGGTGAGGACGGCAACTGGACTTGGGTTTCTGCTCAGCCGGGCACCATCACCGTGAACCTCGCAGATACCATCTCTCACTTGACCGGTGGATGGCTGAAGAGTTCGGTTCATCGTGTCGTTGCACCGCCTGAAGATCAGCGCCAGTATAAGCGGACTGGTCTGCTGTATTTTGCTCGCCCACATAATGAGACTGTGTTGGTACCCATCACCGACTCGCCGGTACTGCAGAAGGCTGGTGTCAAGCCTCGTTTCGAGAAAGAGGTCACCATGGAAGAATGGGTTAGAGCTAAGCAGACTTTGCAGTTGAATCCGGATATTGCGGCGAAGAGGTATGCCGAGAGAGGTGATGGCACTGTCGAGGTTCTTGCCGGCTTCAGAGACCAAAAGTATAAGGAGTAGGTAGACCATGCAGCTGATGCATCCTGGCGAAGCTTTCACATTGACGGCCAATGACCCTGCGATCTTTCGGATGTTCTGTAGACCGTAGTACTATCCATCCCAGGCGCCATGCACCCCTCAAGCTCGAACAGCAACCACAAAAAGCCGAGGATACTTGAGACACACCTTTCCGTCATAGAGTGGATCATACGCCTCCCTGATCTTCGCCAGATACATGTCCATGAACTCCTTCCGCTCGTTTTCGTCAAGCGGATCAATATAAGGTCTAAGCCCAGTGCCCTTGACCCATTCGACGATCGCGGCATGGTCGTCCAAGACATGATAGTAACTCGTCTGCCAGATATTCACGTCCTCGCACAACGGTTTGAACGCGTCGTAGAGTTCGGCCGGTGATTGAAACGGGACTCTGCCCCATTGTAGATCCTTCAACTTGGAGAACTTGCCGGATCCAGCGACCGCGCGCATGGATTCGTGGGTCGGCTCGTCGAAGTTGTCGGGCACTTGGAATGCGAAGACTCCTCCCGATTTGAGCGTGGAGAGGAGGCGGGTTAATGTGTCGAGACGTGTATCGGGTGGGAGCCATTGATATACGGCGTTCGAGTACAAAATGTCAACGGGAGAGTCTGGGTCGGGATGGTATGTTTGCAGGTCGCCGAGCTGGAAGTCAATTTCTGGTAACGTCTGGCGGGCTTTGGCGATCATATCCGGGGAGGAGTCGATACCTGTTAGATGCGAGTCTGGGAAATGTGTGCGTAGAATGGCGGTGGAGTTTCCTGGACCACAGCCTATGTCTATGATACGTTTGGGAGATGCCGCTGCGACGGGTATTTGTGAGAGGAGGTCCTTTGCTGGACGGGTGCGTTCGCGCTCGAATTTGAGATATTGCGATGCGCTCCAGTCTTTTTGGGATGACATTGTCGTTGGAGAGCTGTGGAACTGATGTCGGGACTGTGTTGTAAGTGGTGGTATATGATGAGGTCGAGGACACGGGGATCTGGCGAGGCTTTGGGCTGGAGAGGAGCGAGCGAGGTGCCTGGCGATCAGTGTGGTGCTGGTCGTGGTTGTGCCGCGCATTCTTGTTGAGCGTCTAATAGCTGAGCACTGGAATGATCTGTTCATGAGAGATTAGGCCTGATATACTGTTAGTATAATTGACATTGCGCGATTTTCGAGGTTGAAAATGTCTGGACTGACTCATTATGATGTGGCCGATGTCGGGGAATGCCCCGGCAAGGCTCATTGACAAGGCTGTGAGACTAAACGAGCATGGGCAGGCTCGAATGACGCGTGCTCAATATCTGGCAGTGTTCAAGGATCAATTACTACAGTACTGTAACACACTGCGCCTGCCTGGAGAACACGGAGAAGTATCTACAAGGTTTGTACAGATAATCCACAAAGCCCAAACTTGCCAATGGAGCTCTTACGCCTTCGAGGCCGCTCTCGACGCCCTCCTCGCTTCAGCCATATTGGCCTCAACCATGCCTTGCACATTTGGTCCGTCGTAGTTCTTCATGGCATGAACAAGCCACCAGAACGTAGTCAAAAATAGCACACCGGCAAGAATGACCGCATTATAATTCATTGCTGCTGTCGTGGTCGGCAGAGCGTACTACACCATTGTTAGCATTATCCATGATATTGCATATGATGCAGACTTACCGGAAAGCAGTAGAGAATGTTGAAGAAGATGATAAAGCACGTCGCAATGCCATTCACAGCATAGCCCCATTTGCCCATGTAGAATGGTCCGGCGGGCATGTATTTCCGCCCAGTGAACATGTTTGGTGCAAAAGCCAACGCGTATGAGGTACTGCTGAGAATAATGAATGATCCAGCAAGATCCGTGAATGCGGTCTTGCTACCGAGCGTGATCGCACCAAGTCCGATTGTCAAGAGTCCTGTCAGGACCGTGGCTTGAACGGGACAGCTGAGTTTTTCGTTGGCCCGGCTGAAGAATCCCGAGAACGGTACCGCATTATCTCGAGCAAGTGCCCACCACGTCCGACCGACCGTAAGGAATGTCCCGATCAAGCACGGTGTCAGCGACAAGAAGATGATGAATAACAGACCGAAGGTGGCGGCCGTACTACCGGTAGCCTGGTAGTAAGCCTGGGCGAGAGGGAAGGAGCCATTGCTGGACTGAACAGCACTAAGGTCGCTGACGCCATAGAACAGGGCGATGGCGAAGCAGAAGGCATATATGAAGCCGAGGCCGATCTGCGCAAAGATGGCCTTGGGGAGGTCTCGTTTCGGGTTAGGAAGTTCTTCGGCCATATGAGTGACGGCATCAGGAGTTCCAATCGTGAAAGCGCCGTTCAGGACACCGGTAAGAAAGGCGATTCCACCACTCCAGCCGGTATCGTTCTGGAAATTGGTCCATACAAAGCTTGACGTAGCGTGCTTCGAGGGCATCGCTGCGAGGGTGATAATTGTGACGACACCACCTATGGTAACGATGAAGAGACCGAAGTGCTGCATATACGGCAGGATGCCGTTGAAGAAGATGGTGACCGAAACGCATATTATAGTGATCAATAACAGGCCGACAAAGATATTCCAGGACTGAATGACATAGGTCGGATGATACAAGAAGTACATCTGGACGCACAACTCGGACATGATGTAGACGATGGACGCGAGGTCGAAAAGCCAGCCGAAATAGTTGAGCGCGCCAGCGAAAAATCCGATTGAACGTCCCCATTTTGGTCCTGGAGTAATGGACGCCCAGTGATAAACTCCGCCAGAAGAGGGAACTGAAGATGCAAGCTCGGCGATGGATGCGTTGATGAAGGCGTAGTAAAATGCTGCAATCCAGAGCTCCCAGATGATACCAGGTGGTCCGCCATTGTCTGTACAGAATCAGCTAGCCGTTCTTCACAAGGTAGGGGCACAAACGTACAGATACTGACTGCGAGAGAGGTTCCAAGAGCCACCCAAGCGTTGTCCACCGTCAATGCCAAACCACAAATACTCAACAGACCATATTGTCGTTGCAACACGTCTTTGTGGCCAGAAGCATTTATGATTTGCCCGTTCATGGTTATGACGACATCGTCTGCATCGGCAAGATCCTGTAGGGACTGTTTACGTTCTCCATTTGGAAGGTCAGGTCTCTTCTCCCCTTCCATGACGCCGTCGCCCATTGTCGCCATGATTGAAACCTTGAAAGAACGATACTGAATGTGCTCAGGAGAGAGCAGAGCGCCCTGAGCCAGTATTTAACGACCTGATTTTTCGGACATTAAGCGCGGCAAACGGGTCGTAGGTGGAACGTCATGAACTTTTGATATCAGCCCTAGGGCCATGAAGAGTGATGTGGTGATGTAAAAGCTTTGCTTGAAAAGGGGATAAGCAGCACATGGCGGTGGGACTGAGAGCCATGCTTGCCTCTAACCTGCTTATCGAACCAAGTACTGGAGGCTAGTCTGTTGCTTATCGTGCACCGAAGGATGCGCCTATCTTTGAACAGTCAGATGGACGACTAAAACAAAAGATACAAAATGAACCTGAAACAGAGTTTTGATAGGTTGGAGATTAGAGAAACGAAGCCTGGGGATCTGCCGAGAGATTATGGAACCATGTACCTGAGGCTGCCACCTTCCCGATCGAGTTTCACGGACCGACTTCTGTAGATCGGGCCTTCTCCCGTAAGCCGGTTCGACCACTGGTGACGAACACCATATTTGCGATTGGAGAGATACCATGTGTGCTCTCGTGCTCGCACATGGCACATCCAAGCATGAAGTGCCCCACGGTCATGAAATTGACGTTAAAAAAAGGACTCTCGACTCTGCACGGGACAACGGCCATCGGATGTACATTTCCAGTCACAGGGCACTGTTGTCAAGTAGCAAAGACACAATTCATATCCACGTTGAAGTGTTTGCCTAGGACTGATCTTGGCTGCGTTCAGACAGCGTCAGAGCATCTCACAAGCAACCACATACTGCCGTTTTGCCAGACCTGGCACGCGGACTGCCTCTTACCGCAGTCTCTCGAGGCTCGTATTCTGTGACCTGCCTCAAATGGCAGCTTGACATGTTCATCGGTAGTTGTCCACCCAATCAGCCATGCGCTCATCGCGAGAGCCATATTGTGACGTCCCATCCCCTCAAACTCACCATTGCTCGGTCATTGAACCATTGAACGTCCTCACAGTTGCAGATATCATGATACAGCATAGGCAAATTCGGAGACAGTCATCCTTGCAACCAATGACCCTCGATGTACAAGTCAATGATTGCGGCATACCATGAAACTGAGACAGGAGAGTCATGTAGGTAACCCGGGGAAGATGATGCAGCGACCATCACGTGCAATATGTCAACGAAGCCATAATGAACCCTGAATAGGGGTTTGGATAGTATGCCACAAACAGACGCTTCGATACATGGTCAAACAGAAGCGGACGTACGGTCAGAAACGCTGATGAAGAATATTGCCGGGTGGCCTGTCGACGTATGGCCGTTGGTCGTCGACTTACCGCTCTCTGGATAGTCGCGTGATGTCAAGCCACAATCTTCGTTGCCCTAGCTTACCAAACCTGTTGAACCCAGGCATGTTCATCCACTGTCGCGAAGGACATATCGAGAGCGCAGGCTGCACTGAATTGTCATTCCCCGAACGCTTGATTTTGTCTGAGGATATCCCTGGCGTCCTAAGAGCCTCACTAATTCACCGCCAGCATCGCGTCCAGCCACGTTGCTGGATTTCGAGTCGGCAGGCACCAAGCTGCAAGTGAGATCGACACAATCACGATAGTCCTGTCCAGGAAGACATATCGCAAGTCGCTGGAAAAGCGATGGTACAGCCAAGTCGCTCAAAACGCCGGAGAGTATGGAGCCAAGGAGCAGACAATTCGGGTCGAGTCGGAAGGTCTTTGGCTTTGGCGACCAAAGCTGCTCGTTGGTTGCATCATGAAGGCCATCCGCGATGACTGACTGAAAGTATTTGAGCAGGAGGGTACGATTTCGGGATGTTGTCACGTCAGGACATATCCATTGACTTTCCGGTCGCCCCATGAGACGGACTGGGCGCAAGAAGCAATGTTGAGGACTTTGATCTGCTGCACCAGCGCATGTCCGGAAGTGAGACGCCCTGTATCACGACACATTGTGTTCAACCGCGGCTTAGCCTTGTACCGCGATAGTGGAATAATCAAGCAAGGCAGCCGAGTACCGAAGCCTCGAGCCAGTCCTTCCCTTTTTCGTTCAATATTCGAATCCCCGCATCCTTGACTGCAACAAGACGTTTGTTGCTGACAACGGCCAATGGATGTAGACAATCTCCGAACTCATATCGACGAATGTGAGTGCATGCTCCCCAAGATCCGTCTGCCATGACTTGATAACATCCTCGGGCTAAGACGGCTCGACGGATGTTTTTGTACCTCTCATTGGAGGATGATCACCTGGCCAGACCAGTTAGCCGACGCAGCCTCCCCTTTGGCATATTGATGCTTTATATAACGCATGTAGAGTTTGTCTAGAGCTTCAAGTCAAAGCTTAAGACTATATTCGGACTTCCAGTATTCGATATCACCCGCCTGGTGGCCTACATCGCCCCGTCCAAAGCAAGAAACACCAGCGAGATAGTGAAAGTCTATGCCAGAGATTGTGATTCGGCCACAGATCGTCAATATATATAGCAATGCCGCCTAGGAAACTTCATGTCGGCATTTGCGGAGGTGGGTTAGGAGGGCTGACCGCTGCGATTGCGATCGCTCGCGCTGGAGCACAAGTGACGTTGTTGGAAGCTGCTCGAGAGCTGGGCGAAATCGGCGCTGGCATACAGGTGCAGGGTCCCCAGTACTGACACCAGGTCCACTAGCTGACGTTGTCGTTCCAGGTTTTTTCAAATGTGTCTCGTCTGCTCATCCGATGGGGAGTCGACGAGATCATTGGTGATAATCTCATTGCTGTGGATGAGATAAACACCTGGGGAGCTGACAATGAGCTAATTGCTCGCTTTGATCCAAAACTGGGCGCAAAGCAAGCTGGTTTCCCGCATTGGTAGGTGGTTCTGACTCTGTTCTCTTGCTGATATTTCTGCTGAATGTCCATACTGCCTGGTAGGCTTGTCCGAAGAGATCATCTCCACGCAGGACTCGCTGAAAGTGCTCGTCGGCATGGCGTTAATCTGATCGTCGGTTCACGTGTCCAGGAGTTTCAATGCACCAAGACCTCTGTCGAGGTCACGACGGTACATGGTGTCGAGCACACCTTCGACCTTCTCATTGGTTCTGACGGCATCAAATCAACAATTCGTCGAACACTGTTTCCAGATTGGACGCCGCAAGCTGCTTCGACTGTGGCGGCCTTTCGTGGCATCCTACCATATAAAGAAGTCTTTGCCAAAGTTCCGGAAGCACGACAACTTCTCAGAAACACCATGGACGCCTGGATTGGGCCCAACGGATATATACTGTTGTATCCTTTGTCCGCCGGAACGGAATTGAACGTGGTGACCCTCTTCCAGATGAATCATATCGTCAAGACACCAGAAGATATGGATCTGGACGAGTTTCGCAAGCTGTACAAGGACTGGAACCCCATGGCACGCAAGGTCCTTGAGATGGTGAATTACACACAGAAATGGCCCCTCCTCGTCTTGCCTCCCAGGAAGACTTGGTCAAATGAGCACAAGAATGTTGTCCTTCTCGGAGATGCCGCTCATTGTATGCAGAACCACATGGCTCAAGGTGTGTAGTCCGACGGCACTGACAAAATGATCATTGACATGCTTCCACAGGTGCCGCGACAGCGATGGAGGACGGAGCCTTCCTTGGGACGGTCATTGGCGAAGTAATCCGCGGAACAATCGAACTGCCTGAAGCAATTGACATTTACGAAAAACGGCGTATTCCTCGAGTTTGGGTGAAACAACAGGCATCCTTCGTGTCAGGTACCATCAATATGGCTACTGGTGATGAAGCAGCAAGAAGGAACCGCGCTTCTGCCCCAGAGGTCGAATGTTGGGACCACAACGTCGTTCACCCAAGCGACCAGCTGCCATCCGCCTATCGATCCTGGCAGATGTATTGTTCTCCCACCAGTATACCTGGGATTTTGTATTATGACCCCGAAGGAGACGCGGACAATGCTGTATGTGAGTATCTGCAGGAAAAGTCCGAGATGGGCAAGACCACCCTGGTGACAAAGGGTTTATGGGATAAATGGTGGGGTGTCGTCGACAACAACAATCCACAGGCAGTTTGATCGTCAGGTGTATAGAATGGGCATGCTCATGGGTTCATAAAGAGTGTGAACACAACGTCAACTCCATCATGGGCAATTCATCCGTGACGTCTTTCACCTTCCGTCAAGGCATTTTCCCTTATTCCTTCAGGTTGAGGACTATTCGACGCTCGCAGCAGCTACCCTTATTTCAGGCATGTCGACTGTGGCATGAGAGCACCCTGTAGGAAGGGTTTGAATGAGGATAACATCGATGGGAGCAGCTCCGCGGGATATAAGGATGGATGCTGATAAGATGCTGCTTATCGTGAAAGAACCCAATGAGGGGATGGATGAGCAGACTTTAACGGCGACGATTAATGAATGAGGTGCTAAATAGCGAATCATTGTGGGAGGATCGCCAATTGTGAAGGATAAAGATTTTTCAGAACACCCGATGCGTGATCGGCAGGGGAAGAATAAGGCATGTTAGCCTAGAAATTGCGACTGTGGCTGCTTCTAGTGCCCCCGAAGCCTCTAAACCTCCCAGTCAAACTCGCGTCTCGGGGCGGCTATTTTCGGTGTCATCCGTGGAACAACATTTTTTTCTACAATCTGATATGAAGCATCAGCTGTGATAGACTGATTCATCTGCAAAAAGGAGCCATGTCAATCCCAATCATGCGCTGTCCAGTGTCAGCATCACCTCTGCGACGTCTCATAACTTCCCAAACGCAACAAAAACTCCCTCAAGGCTGCAAGTTTGGAAGCAAATCAGGGCCGCCCAGACCACAATCATCATCCAGACAGCTCCGAGTTTCCCACCCTTGTCGTAGTGGCAGATCGCTTGAATCTCCCGGGATCTCACCTTCAACGACCCTCCTTCGGCTTCCGTCATCGTCAACACCAACACCCTGGAATCCTTTAAACTTCTCCCAATCTCTCAGATATATACCTATACGCCATTGCAGCTCAAAAGCGACTACCTCCAGTTCTGACGATTCCTCTGTAGAAGCTTCAAAACCACAGCAAGAAAACTCAGACGAAATGCCTTCAGGTTAGTGCTATCAGTTCTGCTATCCCACAACCTCATTTCCCCACTACACACTGCCTTTCTGCTCTGTCGATCTACACACTATAGCAAAACATGGGGAAAGATGTTTGCAGCTCTTCCAAGTATCATCATCCTCACAGCATGATGCCTTGGAAATGAACTTGTGAAGCTATTTAGCAGCGCCAGCAACGCCAATAGCAATCTCAACACTTTCGCGCGCCGACGCACGTGACCTCTTCAACCCACACAATCCACCCCATTCGAGCTCCATCCCAAGATCAAGGTCTTCATGAATCTACTCCCACAAGCGAGCTACTAACACATGCTCCCAGCCCACGATCACCCCGATGCCTACGCTAAAGCCTTCAACAACAACAGCGCCTGGCGCCGGTCCCTCGCCGAGACCGACCCCGAGCTCTTCGAGTCCCTAGGCAAAGGCCAATCTCCTCAAATCCTGTGGATCGGCTGTGCCGACTCTCGCTGCCCAGAAACAACCATCCTGGGCCTGCAACCCGGCGAGATCTTCTGCCACCGCAACATCGCCAACATCCTGGTGAACACCGATATCAACAGTCTATCCGTCATCCAGTTCGCCGTCCAGTACCTGAAAGTCAAGCACATCATCATCTGCGGCCACACCTCGTGCGGAGGCATCGCCGCGGCCCTGGACAACAAGAAACTAGGCCTGATCGACACCTGGCTTATGCCGCTCCGGGCCATCCGCCAACAAAACCTGGATCTGCTGCAAAGTCTCAGTGAAAAGGAGCGGGCACTGAAACTCGTCGAGTTAAATGTCCGTGCCGGAATTTCTACCCTCCTCCAGAATCCCATGGTAATTGACGCGATGAGCGAGCGTGGTCTCCAGGTGCACGGCCTGATTTATAACGTCGGAACCGGCGAATTGAGAGAGTTGGATGTTGGGGAGGGCCAGGATGTCGAAAAATCTCGGGTTGTTGCCTTCAAGACTGAATAAGTCCAAGGTGCCTTGAAACGGTACGGTCAATGTAACGATGAAGGGCGTACAGGAAAGCTGACAGAACGTCACACAATGTCTAAGCACACGGCAGACACGATCTTATGTAGAGTTAGCGATAGGAGTTCTGTCGACAAGGTAGATGACAGACGATACAAGGGGATAAAGCAAAGGATGAAGCTGAGCTCGGTTGATCAAGTAGAGAATCGTACAAGCAATGAGCAGAGCATCCGTTTGAGCCGGTGTCCTCCTCGTGCCCAACATTACCAAGCAAGAGCAGACTACCACATGGGTGGGTGGTCCCCCAAAGCTCTTTTCAGTTGATCAAAACGATGCCCAACCTCCCTTATCAGATTCTTATCGCCCATGATCCTTCCTATGACCAACCTGTTTATTGGCGAGAAACTCGAGATCTTTGCTGGCTCCCTCCTCAACTCCAACCAAAGTCACATACCAACACACTGACATTGAGCACACGGCGGCTTTGCGATGCCCTCCGAACGTGGAGATGAGTCGATATCCCTTGACTCATCGAAGCCCCCTCTTTCGACACAGCTAAAAAAGAGACGTCATAAATCGAGATCAAAACCATGCCGCCACCCGGATCTGTTGTTATTGTTCTTCTTCGAATAGGTTGAGCGCCCTCCCGACCTAGGTGTGCGGCCAGGAAATAGTTCACTGGTGGAATTGTCAAATTGACCAGTTGCACGTGCAGGTACGCGCGAGTACCAGGTTGGAGGACGATAAATGGCTTGGGCAGTGTCCGGAGTCCGAATCAGACTGTTCTGTCGGGTAATGGTCTGTGTGTTCGATACTCCCAGGGCTTGTCTCTCGTTCCTGTCCCACTGCCTTGGGCGCTTGCGCTCCTGCATCCTGGCTTGGTCAGCAGTAGCTTTTATCTGCTGCATCACCTCTGCTCTCGCTCTGGACTCTCTCAATTCTTCCATGACTTGCGACAGTGGTTTGTTGCGTTGGTCTGGGCGGACATCTTCATCCTTTCCTTGCATCAGCTGCAGCTCCAGGAGGCGGCAGCCATGGGTGGTCATGTAGTGACCAGTATGGTCAAAGACTTCCACCTCTTCAATGCCACGTAGGCACCTCATCTTTGCAAGCAATTTTGTTCTAGCAGTATGTATTTCTTGCTTCCATTCGTTCTCAAGGTGCCTCTCTTCGATCGTGGACCAGTAATAGAACTCGATGCGTAGGTTTGTGAGGTTTTGTCTGTTCTTAATCCAACAAAAGAATTGATGCCATCGCTCTTCCAGGGTTAAGTCCAGCGTGCAACGAATGTTAGGAGGGACTGTGAAGCCAGATCCCATTCTAAGGGACAAACTTCGGACATTCGAGACATTCTGATTGCCGACCGTCTTGAACCACCATTTGCATGCAGCCGGGTCTTGAAAATGGAAGGTGTGCTTCCCGTAGAAATAACGGCTGCCTCCATCGCGGAACTGCTTGCTGACACGCGTCAGACTGAGGTCGACATTGTCCAATAGTACCTCATCACCCGTTTCTTGTGACTGAATATCGTTGCCGGTTCTAATGCTGCCCGCCAGCATACCTTTTCGGTAGAAAGGCCTGATAATGGTAGATGCATCCCGAACGAAGACGAACTCGAGCATTCTATCAGCCACATTTGACGGGAGATCGCGAAAGAAGTCGCGCTTGTCCATCACCATAGGCGTCGTGACTCCCGTGCTCGACGAAGACTCCATCGTACTGTCGTGAGAAGCCGTAGACCGCGACGATGGTGGTGTGACAACAACCATAGTCGATTTCATTTGCAGGGCGATTGTCTGTGAGATATCCTCTTCCTGTGCGGTTGGCGAAGTTCTTGCTTCGCCTTCGAATACTGTGGATGGAGTATTCTCAGGTATTGATCGCAACGGTGAGGATGAATATTGGTGCCTGGATGGAATCATAGCTCGAGTAGGTTTAGGCATGATGGGAATGGTGGACGGTGAGGATGGAACGGGGTCTTCTGCTGAATGGTTCGGGTTCCTATTTGTCGAAAACCTGTAAGTCAGCGGATATTCTCTTCAATCCAAGGGTATGCCACTTTAACAAAGTCATGCCTTGGAGATGGGGCGGTTCAGGTACAACATGGAGTTGGGTGGGCCGGGGCTACCATGTCTGTGAATAGCGCAGGAAGAGAACTCACACGGAAGGATGCGCATCACTGATAGCTGTAGACCAGGTGGTCCCGTTGCCCTCAAGTGTCTGTGGGTGGTGTCGAGTCCGCGCTTTCTTCGAGGCAGGCAGGGTGCAGGGAAATACTGCTTGTAGACAACGGCCGTTTGGGGCTCCGCGCACCCTCCTCGATGACGGGTCGCCAAGAGGATGTCGCCGATGATGTCGCGAACGGCATGATTGTTGGTATATTGCTTGTTCGACACGATCAAGATGATAGTAATGATTAAATCGTAAAGAACGAAATGATGCGATGCGGCGCGACAAGCACCTCGTTGGAATTGGGGCCCTATGGTGCAGCTTGGCAGGTGTGGTCTGGCATAAGGTAGGCCATGCAGTAAAGAGTTCCTTCTCGTCTGTGTCAAAAGTGATGCTCAAGTGACGACTTCACTTCACTCTCGGAACTTTTTGAACGCCTCTGCCACCGTCATCCCACCCTCTACGGCTTCTTTCACTTTGTCGTCGGCAGCAACCAACTTGGGTATCAAGGACAAAGTTTCATCGAGCAATTCTTGAGGGATGACTACCACACCTTCGGTAGGATCGCAGAAAATGATGTCGCCCTAGGTGTTGTCAGCTTGAGCAGACTGACCGTTGCTGCTCGATACTCACTGGAGACACGTTCACACCGGTTATTGAGACTGGAACATTGCGAGCATATGGTGTTGCTTCAGCACTTGTTCCGACCGTCGACCTCCCCAGTGCGAAGATCTAGCATATCAGTCATGTTCTGAGTCATTATGAACGATGGGCACAGAGATAAGAGTGGGAGCATATGTGACAAGAAGGACAGAAACTTACCGGCAGCTCAGAACTTTTTAGTTCAGTTATGTCTCTGACACGGCCACCAACAATGCATCCTGCCACGCCTCTAATCTTCATCCTTGCTGCCATCATACCCCCTACGGCTGCACATTTTTGACCTTCTGGCTGATCAATGACCACAACGGATCCAGATTCTGTCAAATCTACCCAATGACTTCCTTTGGGTATTGTGTTCTCGGCTGGCGGCGTTGAATCTGGTGGGGACTGCTTTGGTACGAGCTTGACGGTGCATGCCGGTGCAATGATCTTATTTGTTGTGTTTTGGTTTGCTGCGGAAGATTGCGGTAAAGCAAATGGTTCTTTGTTCATCTCAACGAAAGCTCAAAGATGGGATTAGGTAGCCTACCAATATCGACCAGGAAGCCACCACGCGCAATTTCGCCTGGTTTCGGCTTCTGGAGTTTCAACAAACCATCCGACACCTAGGTCTGTTAGCATCAGACTATCACTCCCAGATGCCTGTCCTTACATCACAAGCCGAGTACTCGTGAAGAGATCGGAGTTTTGCCTGGAGGCTGCCTGCCCCTGTCGACATTGCCCTCGTCTCTAGAGGTTTCCGACGAAAAGCGTCCACGCGATGAATAGTGCTGCAACAGAACGCTATAGAATGATATCTAGCCTGAAGTCTTGTCCAGCTATACAAATGCTTCTGCATCACGGTGGTGGAGGAGGAATTACAGCCATGTTGGTGAGAAGATGTACTCCGCTCCGAGCTCGGAGACTTCACCACTGGCATATTCGAATGCCAACGGGTTGGAGATTACCGAGGAAGATCCCTCTGGGTTGAGAGTAGGGATTCTATTGGAGTCTTTATCACAGTACATCTACATCTTCAATGCACGTCTATCATCAGGTCTCCGCAATGGATGCATGATGTTTGAAGGTCTGGATATCATATCTACGTAGTACGAAATCCTGCACATTCGGATGGTCTAAAGCATCCTTCTCCATACGATCTTGCATTCAAAACATCCAGTGTCAGGATAGTTTGACGATCGGGGTCGTACCCGGCTGCAAGTATTGTTCTTGACCCTAGCAACAAGACTGACAGAGAGATAGGACTGTAGGTCTGTAGAATACCTGTTGATGTCCTTGTTTCCCGTGTATTCAATGCCATCCACCCGCCTCTGCTTGGGAATAAAGTCCCATGTCGATTTATGTGGTAGCTTGTGCGGTAATTCTTCCCTTGTCGGCTCGATTGAACATGTACAAATCTGGTTGTCGTAGCCGTTCTGGGGCAGAGGGTTTGGCGATTTACGTGATTCGTGGCTCGGCCTAAACAAAGGGTCAGAAAACCGAGAAAAGCGCTTCCTCAGGAGACTGCGAACCTTCCATCTGCTGTTGACTAATGATTGTTAGCATCCCTATCGCCAGTGAAACATGACCACCATACCTTCAAAGCCCAGCGGAGCTTCAACGGCATCCGACTGCCCTCTCACTTTACCAGTTAATCTGTGATCTCTCTCCATCACTTCGCGCATTAGCAGAATTCCGGTAGCTCTCCACGATTTAACCCACTCTGTCTATCCCATATGTCCAATTGTCTTCTCGGCCGCTTGTAGTCGTTCGCGTAATATCGGATCGAGGAAAGGCCGGCACCCTACAACATAGCTCAGTCTTCAATATCCTTTGCTGACCTGTGTGAAAGTTCTTACTGTGACACCGAACATGGTGACCATGATAACGTAGGGTAGGAAGGTCTCGAAGGGGACACCCATGGTGGAAGTCGACCTCGCGGAGCGAGGATTTCTATTGTTGAAGACGGCTGTTGTATTGTCGGGGCTGACAGTCTCCTGCGCGAGGATCCGTACTGTCGTCAATTCTCCCTCACCTTGTTCGGGAGTTCAGGTCGGCCTGGACAACAGCAATAAGAAGATTGTCTATTGTAGTCGGCTTGCAGGTCGGGACTGAAGCTCAATGAGCCAATGCCAAGAGCCAATGCCGCTTTAGCCGGACTTGACGCCGCCTGAACACCTTGAACTGTGGAGCGACCTCATGCTTGTTCACGATCGAGTGCACTCCTTTGCATTCCAATACTTAGGTGCACCGGGCAGTAATCAGGGACTCAGAGTCTGGTCCCCCGAACATACCTACGTCGACACAGAAGCCTCGTGATTGTCAAAATGGGAAATCTGTGATCGACCATCATCCTTCTTGCCAAAGCTGGAATGGCCACGACTGTGCAAAAATGTCTATGTTATCGAGATGGCACGCCGTGCAATGATCATGAAAAGCTGGACGTCGAATGGTTGCCCATATGATCATGACAAACTTAGGTGCGAGGCCGCAAAATCGCTTCATGCGAAGTACCTGGTAAGTTTTGATAGTGAAGCAATGGTACCAGTAAGTCGCCCTGAAATTGTCGTTCACTGACGGCCCATGTCACAATCAACCATCACTTCAGTCACTGCCTCAAAACAACTTACCGCCTCGCCCAACAGCTGCTGCTACTTAAATCTCTGCGACATGTGGACGTAAACAAGACTTGTGTCTTCAACTTTTCAGCCATTATTTCCTTCCCCAGCGTTGACCTCTACCTCCCGGCCATTGCAAACGAGAAGCCTTACCTCCATTCGCACATCATCTTGCCAGTCTTCGAAGATGGCTTCGTCTGTGGAAGACACAGCAATGATTGATATATCAGTACGCGAAGATACCCTGAACAGTGTTGGTCTCGCTGGTCATTCCCGCCTGAAAATTGGAATTGATTTCGGTACAAAGTTTTCGTCAGTCTGCTATGATCGCTGCTCTTCGTCCATTCCCCTTTCAGACTGCCTCTGGGGAGAAGCTCTCACTAAGCTCGTCTTTAAGGCACCATGTCGTCACGGCGAGAGCGAGCAACGATCGAATGAAGTTGCCGTACCCGACGGCCTTCTCTTGTTGCAAACTCGTAAAGAGCATGCGGCGAGCGTCGACTGTACCAGCTGAATCGCCCATGACCACTCCAATCAGGTGATTGAGTTGTCCTGGGTATGCGTATTTCGGTTCAAGAAGAATGGGTTGATCTGCGTCCAGCTTGGTGGAATACATGTATTTCTGGACAGTGCCCTCAATGCGATCGTAGATTCTCAACATTTCAACCTCCACAACATCATCCGGACCATGTCGCACGAAGTCAGATGGTCCACCATCGGCCTTCCCAAGAAGGCGTTTGAACTTTGGCAGATTGGCAAACTCTACATCAGACAGCATGTCATTCTGCCTTGTACGGCGTTCTAATCTGTCTGTCGGCTGCCGTGGTGCAGAGGCAGGAACCTCTCTTTGGCCCTGAGAACTTTCTCTGTTGCCGACTTGCTCTGATTCTGGTGGAGACGTTCTCGTCAAATCATTGGGTTGGGTCGGGGCGTCATTCGTCCGTGATCGCAGGCGCTTCGGTGATTGACGATCATCCGCGCCACCGACTGTATATGAAGCCTTGCGTTTTGAGGTCGCGTGACTGGTAGCCTCGTTCGAGTATGCCAGCCTTCGTCGAGCCCTAAGTTGGTCAGGAGTGTAGAGGTCTACATATCTGGTCCCCGGCTCCTCCCAATCCAGAACTTCCACGCCTTTGCCATAGATTGTGGTCGCTGTATGGGGTGCATTTTCGTACTTTGACAGTCTGTATTGTGTCCAGAACCATTTCAGCCTAGCTGTAACTTTCTCTCTCTTCTGATCGTCGGCTAGAGTCTCGATGCCGGGAACAAGTTTCAAGAAGTGTTCGTCCGCAATGAGTGCATTCAGGGCTGACGCTTCATCTTGAACTAGTGTGCCTTCTGGGCCTTTGTTGGCTTCAAGCCATTCCAGCAGGAAGACCTTTGCTTCAGGAATCCATTTCACGCTTTGCGCTTTGATCGTCGGTTTGAATTGTGCTGTGACCATCGTGGCGAGATCTGTGGACGTGGCGGTTCAGGAGGCTGCTGTTTGCGTAAGGAGGAAGTAGCGTGTGGGCTGTTGGAGAGAAGAGCTGGTTCGGAAGGCAACGACCATAGTGGTGCGGAGCCTTTACACCGTGTAGCAAGCCGTTGGTTGCCATGGCTGATTGTTCTGAGACACAAGGAATGTGCCACCCCGGACAATGACTCATCCATTGAAGAAACCGCAATACCATTATATCAATCAGAATGAAACACATTCATTTCAATCGCACCTGACGGTCCTGCATTCAATATGGAAACAATGGGTGAATTCCAGTTTTTCGAAATGTGTCTGGACAATAGTCCTATTTCTGGTTACTGGAGGTGAACTGAAGCGCCCTATTGACTGTCAATCAATCAATGGCGTGTGCTTGATGAGGACTGAACGCTCCCGGACTAGGCGGCGAACTGCCTCAAGTCGCGAATGGTGAATACAACAGAATGACGCGTGAAAGAAACTGCCACGGCGACGCTCATGTTACTGCCACCGTTGGGTATACTGCCTGGCCCAACAGGTTTCAACGCCTTTCCCGTATCGAACACTGCCTCGCATCGCATGTCAGCACCGTTCCCAGTTTGCAGACCTCTCTCCTTCTTGCACCCGAATTGTAGCATGAAACCTCAATGCTTAGCATTTGGACGGATTGATTCGAATACCATCACACCCAACGCTGATCATGGCTCCATTCGACGAAGACACAGAAATGGTCGATGCCCCTGTGCTCGGCATGCAAAAGCTCGGAATTCTGGACAAGGACAAAATCTTCGAAGATCTCGAACTTGATGGTGACTGTCGGTTGAGAATAGGAGTCGATTTTGGTACCAAGTCCTCCTCGCTGTCCTATGATCGAGCGACTTTATACACTCCTCTTGCACACTGCAAAGCTGCCGACAAAATCTTGAAAGATTACAATGGCTCTCACCGCATCGAGAGTGTTGCAGCGATCCTCCAGAACATCGATGACCCACAGGATACCGTGCTTGTTTTTGGCGCTGCAGCAAACGAAGATCCGTCAGTAACCAGTCGGAAGCTCCTTGGAAAAATTCAGATGATGAAGCTGGACATCCTTTATGAAGGCACTCAAGCTTTTCAAGATCCGGTCATAATCAACATGCTGGAAGACCTTCAGCATCAGCACCGAGAAGTCCTGGACGCAATCTGCAACGGCCCGACACAAGCGCCGTGTCGTGTTCAAGATCCGCTTTCCGGACGATACAACTTCCGCACGATTCGCTCGATTCGCTGCGTGTTTCGGGAGTTTTTGAGGTATTTGTTACAATCTGCCAAAGCTCATTTTGCCTCAAGAAGTGAACTCCAGCCGGCCATAACGGAAATGATCTTTGCGGAGAAAGCTGGCGTAGCTGTTTCCATCCCCACGATATCAAGTTGCCACGACAGCACGATGGACGATCTGCGCGAGCTGTTGCACGGTGCCGGGTTTCCGAAGAGAACATGTCTTCTGTCTGAAGCGAAATCAGCGGCTTGGTTCAATCTTTTGGAACAAGCGCAGGGTATTGGGGCAGATATTCCGCACTTTGCCCGAGAACAAATCTTGATTGTCGCGGATATTGGAGGTGCCACGACTGATGTTCCATTCGTCGCACCGTGTAGGACGGGCGAAGATGGATCGGGTATTATGCTCGGAGAACTCAATGACGGCGTCGGTCCTCTCAATGGTTCCCAGAAGCTCAACGAGATGTTCAAAGGTTGGCTCCGAGAGCGTTTCCCTGGCGGCGTCTTGCAGCTTGCGAAGGCATTCCAAGGGAGTGAGCGGGATCTGTTAGAAGCATTCGCGGCTGGTTTCGAGGTGAAGAAGTGGAGTTTCCGCAAGTCGGACTGCCGAGTCGAGATTCGACCGCATTCAAAGGCTCCTCTTGTTTTGAGAGACTTCGAAGGAGATGATTTTGCCGCAGTTGAAGACAGGATCATTCTGCACTCGTCGGTCATGGGGAAGTTCTTCGACGAATGGCTGAGCGGCATCATTAATATGCTGGAAGAATGCGTTAACAAAGTCAAGCAAGAGCTGGAGGAGTCCGTATCTGTCGTGATCGGTCTGACGGGCTGGGGAAGTTTGCCACCATTTGTCTTGGAGGAGACCCAAAGCCATTTTGGCGGAAGAATCCCTGTACAAATGATGGAAACGAAGAGAACCTCTGCAGTAGCACAAGGTGGTTTTCTGCAGCTCACCAGTCAACCGGTCTTTGACGCGCAGACTGCTCGGGCCAGCTTCGACATCCGCACGCCCGACATTTACAAGCGTGTGATTTGCGAAGGTGCAGATTTGTCAGATGGTCATGGGCACAGTCTCAACGGCGAACTCTGCTTCAGAGACTCCGAATTGCCTGTGCACTTGATACTCGTTGTGTTGAGGGATGAGCAGTATGGTTCAATGGAGACCGCCGGCCTGTTGAAGCTTATGATATCCAGTCTAGAGCAGGGACAATTTCAGCTTGAAAAACATGCGGACGGATCATCGTACGTACGGACACAATACCGTATCCAGCTGCAGTCGGACGAATTGATGCCACGGTTGATGCTGACGGTCCCATATGGAGGTCGTTTTCTCAATGTGTCGGGAGGCGCTGGGCCGGACATGAGTAACCACATGGTCATCAGAGATCTATACGAGCATTTTGCGCACAAGGGAGACGATGACGCGAGGACGATCTGGAATGAAACACAAGGCAAGCGGGCGAATGGGACCATGCAGTTCACGTGCTCGATTGCGCATGATCATTCAGCATGGCATCAACCGGATATCTTTGAGGAGGTCGAAAGTGACATCACGGACAGATGGTGAGCAGGTCTTGAGTGAAAGATGGGTGCTGTCGGTCATTGTACAGCTAGAGGACTCTGGATGCTTGAATGGCGATCGAAAGTCGGTTATCGTGGTTGTGGTGATGGTGATGGAGATGATGTTAACGGCATGCTCGGCTGCGATGTGGGAGTCGAGACTTGTACAGAGTTGTTGGGGGAGACCGCCTGAGAGCAAGTTATTGGCGTGAGGTTTCGAAACCGTCTTGAATGCGATTCATGTAGATTGATGAAAAAATACGCGAAAAACAGCATTGACCCTCGAGTGTTTTCCCATGATGTCTGACAGGGAACACGTCGAGGTTACAATGTCCATTTCCAGCGAATTGGGGACAGTTGGTGCCTTGACGGCAAATGGGAGCATGATGCTGATAGTATTCAGGACTTCCTCCCATAGCATGGGCGAAGGCTACAACGATATGTGTGAAGAAGTCTAGATAGATAACGAGGGACAGTATCTATCAAGGTACCTCGCACGGTGCCACCTGAGGTGTATCCATGATTATCACAGGAAGGTGCAGCGGACGAAGTCATGTGACCGTAGCTTAAGACGTCGCCTGCGACATGTTCAACGGGCTGCGAGGTCGATCGGGTCCTCAACAGACTCACTAACTATCGCAATAAATTTCAGATCACATATTGACGTGTAGCGAGTGAATCTCCTTTCCATATTACACCTCGATCTCGACAACGAGCGCTATCGCGCATTCCCTCACGCGTCGAACTCGAACCTTCCCCACACCTCAAGGGCGCACCGCCCTACCGCAGTCATCTTTGCGCCGAAGCACAAATGACACTCTATCCGAAGGATTCGCTTGCTTAGATCTGGCCTGGTGACTCCTCACAGCGATTTTCGAACGCTCATGGTATTGGTTCAACATTGGAGATAAGTGTTGCGACGTGGATTGCGGCGAGAACAGACTTGAAGGTCGGTGTTGACCACCATATTCATGCCGCCTCTTGTCTCCGAAGACCCGGACGAAGTGTCCAGTCTTGAACAAGACTCTGCGGCTCCTACGGCGCCTTCCTCCCCGCGACCTGATGTGAGTGAGAATGCAGCCGAGGGCAGCGTCGAAGCGGACATAGAGATTGGAAATGAGACGACAGCGTCAATACAGAACGTCCATCAGGCGACAGAGGCAGACCACTCTTCGCATGCGCCCAACCCCGACGACAGTGCATTAGGCGACCAGTTACAAAGGTCCGCTGAGGAGGGTCTAAGCGATGCTGAGGCCGAGCCCGAAACAGGACCTACTCCCCAGACCGACGTAAAGGAAGAGCTGAACGAAGACGTCTCTATGCTAGACGCCGACGCCGACGCCGACCGTGAAGGAAGTGGCGAAGTCAGCGGCAATACTGCGCAAGATGCTGAAACGGATTTAGATGCAGACGCAGATGCGGATGCGGACGCAGATATGGAAAGCGAAGAGCCGGACCAAGAAACTGCAAATCTTGAACTTGCAGACCATCAACAAGACGAAGAACATGCACAGGATGATGGAGCTACAAACAAAGCCGATCCGAGCAAGACATCACAGACCACTCCCGACGATGAGCCCGACTCAAGCGAAGACGAGGCTGAGGACACGGAAACCTCCAGGTCGGAATGCATATTTTGCAAGAAAAGTAGCGCAGGCGAAGAAGGCGCAGAAGCAGATTTGATATGCTCGAGCTGCGATTCGCAGGCGCACTTGCGATGCGCTAAGGAGAAAGAGGTTGTTGAAGACGAAGACACTTCGACCTGGCGGTGTCCTGATTGCGTGAAGAAACCGGCATCGTCGGAGTCTCCACAAGAGCAAGCCGCGCGGTCAAAGAATTCGGCACCACGACTTGTTAGAGACCTGTTACCTGTCACTCGCGGCGTGCAAAGGCCCAATGCACATTCAATATTCGCACAACCCCTTATAGAAGAGGGTGAGGATGGCGGGCGCGCTCTCAGGAAGAGAAAGTCCCCTTCTGAGCCTCCAACCACCGATAGGAGGCGTCGGAAAGCTACACCGCGGGCACAGGAATCAGCGACAGCAGCAGAAACCAAGGCCGAAGCCGAAAGAGCCGTTGCCCACTCAACCAGGAGATCAAGTCAGAAGATCTCAAGGCCCATTGCACGCATTTTGCAGCACCGTCCTTTCGAGAAAGCACCACCACACAAATTCATTCTTGCTTTTAGACTAGATCAGTCGAAGATTGAAGAGATACTGAGCAGACCTCCGCGTCCAGGCAAGAGACGAGGTGGAAGGGAAAAGAAGAAAATCCCAAAGATCGAACCGCCTATTTTTCAACCGCCTGTGCCCAAGTTTCCAGCACTGCCAACTCACAATCTTATTTTCCCTTCAGCATTCACTGACAGGGAGGCCGAAATCAATGCGAAACCGTACGGCGGCATCCTTTCAGAAGCGGAAGCTGACACATCACGGTCACTACCGCAATTGAGAGACCGAGAGATTTTCGAAATTGCGAGGAAAGAAGCAGAAGAAGAACGACGCAGAACATCTGCGGCAGCTGAAGCGGAGATCAACGGGGATAATACAGCAATAGCTAAGCCCAACCGAACCGTGTCAGGTCCGCCTACGAAGATCAAATGCATCCAATTTGGTAAGTTCGTCATCGACACTTTTTATGCAGCTCCATATCCCGAAGAGTACTCTCACGAGTCGAGGCTCTTCATCTGCGAGTTCTGCCTCAAGTACCTACCTTCGGAGTTCGTTGCCTACAGACACAAATTGAAATGTCCTGCCAAACATCCTCCTGGGGACGAAATCTATCGAGATGGGACCCTTTCGGTCTGGGAGGTCGATGGACGCAAAAAGACCGAATACTGTCAATGTCTTTGTCTGATGGCGAAGATGTTTCTCGGGTCAAAAACACTATACTACGACGTCGAGCCTTTCCTCTTCTACATCTTGACCGAATATGACGAGTTCGGATATCACTTCGTCGGATACTTCAGCAAAGAGAAGCGACCAGCAAGTCAAAACAATGTTAGCTGCATATTGGTGATGCCCATACATCAGCGCAAGGGCTATGCGACGTTTCTGATCGACTTTTCATACCTGTTGACAAGAATAGAAGGCAAAGACGGATCGCCTGAGAAGCCTCTGTCAGACATGGGATTGACCGCATACCGATCATATTGGGATTTGACCGTGTCAAGACACTTGCTTGATATAGGGGTGAAGCCCTTCAGTACCAAGTCGTTAATGGCCAGGACAGGCATGACCGCCGATGATGTGATTCACACACTCGAGCGGCTATATGCTTTCATTCGCGACCCAGTGACCAAGACCTATGGCATACGATACGACAAGAAGCTGTATGAGCGCGTTGTGGAGGAATTCGATTCGAAAAAGCACCGAAAGCTGAGGCCACAGAACCTTGTGTGGACGCCATATATCATGGGACGCAGCGACCAAGCTACCTTGGACGGTCAACCTCTTCACGCCATGGCTCCTCGCGACGACGAAGATGACGAAGAAGAGAACGTTGACGGCATCGATGCTACGACCAAAGCTGACCAAGCCCTCGACGCCGAAATAGAGCTCTCACCAAAATCCAAGACCAAATCAATAGCAGCAATGTCGCGGCCGGCATCAGTGGCCGGGGATGAAGCAGATGTCAAAGATCCGTCTCTCGTCAACGACCAAGGCGTCGTCGCCCCAGGACCACCATCAACCGATGCTCTCAACGGCACAGTGTCAACGCAAGTCACACAGCCCGAAGTCAAGGTTAATGGCCTTGTCAACGGCGACTCGAACGTACAAGCCGAGAAAGAAGCCGACAAGAAAGACGAACCCGTCGAGGAACCACTCAGCGGCTACGCCCTTGCATTTCGCACCCTCGCCATCCCTCCCGCCCGCTTCCAGATCGACCCGCCCATCCCGCCGGCCATGCTACGCCAGCGCAGCACCAAGAAACGAACTCAAGCTGCTGCATTCGGCCAGAAAGCCAATGGTATTGGTCTAGGCGACTCACCTTCAGTCCCTGTCGCGGTGCGCAGTTCCCCGCGCAACGCACCGAGTATCAACGGCAGTGCCAGCGGTACTCGGACTGGTCGCGGAAGTGGAAGTCGCCTCACGAGTCCGGACAAAATGCCCGATACGCCTGTGCGCCGGAGTGGACGAAGAAGCAGATTGTCGAATACAGTGGATGTAGCGTCTGCAAATATCGATGGGGCTGTTGATGACGACGAGGACGAGGACGTAGATGACGACCAAGACGCCGATGTCGATGTCGACGTTGATGCCGATGCCGATGAGGATTCTGCGGAAGGCGAAGGCGATGACGACGTGCAAGCCAGTGTAAAACAGGAAGGTCAATCCGAATCTGAAGCACAGTCCGAGTCCGAGTCAGATGCAGAGGCAGACGCGGAGGATGAAGATGTTTCTGTCGCCGAAGGGAGCGTTCAAGAAGATGAAGATGACGATGATGACAACGACGAGGATGCTGAGATCCCTGAGGACGACGAAGATAGTAGTAGTGAAGACGAAGACGATCCTGATGCTGAGGTCGATTTGCCGGATGATGATGACGACGAGGACGAGGATGCCGAAGTCGATGAGGAGGATGATGACGATGAGTAGCGTGCAAGATTCATCTTGTCGTTCTCCAAGTTAAAGTTCAGCTTTCCTGTTGCACATCCGCCCATCAGAGACTATTGGGAAGTAAGGGATTGGACGTTGATACCAGATACCAGATACTTTCAGCGCTTGAGCTCAACATAGCCAAATCCTATTGTTACTCGAAGCAGTCTTACACAGGCCACGAGATTGACAAAGGAAAAGAAGGACCTTGCTAAAACATAAACTGCTAAATGAATAATTGTCTGACTGACGCCGGTTCTGGTTCCCCTTTTTCAGAAGCAAAAAGCCGCTTGTGCACCCACGGCTTGCTCCATTCGCAGCAGGAAAGGCCTTGAGACCAAACATGTCATCTATTTTCAACCCCCAAAGCATAGCTTCAGCGTCCCCATCACATCACTCCCATCTCCCTGACTGATGACCGCCCCGTGGCTTGATGACCGACGTCTCTCGCTCTATGGGCCGGACTCCGACACCAGCGCCAACGCGGACGTCATAACGTTTTCTCTCTCCCTTTCCAAACCACTCACCCCACGCCCTCCCCGCAGCCATCTCCAGCTTCGTTCGATTCATACCCCTCCTTAAACTTCAATTGGTAATTCTGATGTTCAATTGACTCGTTGCAGTAAGCATCGTAAACAGCTCTGTGCAGCACGACTGACGATACCAATTATCATTGTCTTTGACACTCATACCAGCCCAGTACTTTTGGTCTCTTACTGGGGCTTCTTTTGAGCGGTCTGGCCACCACCCATGTACTTGCGAACATCGGTGGCATCAACAGTCTGGCGGCCGAGCCCCTTCACAGTGTCCCAGCCTTGTCGAACGGCAGGTGGCACGTTGGGGTTTTGCACTTGTTGATCGACGTGGGCAGATCCTTGAGTGAAGGCACCTTGGACAAATTGGCTCTGGTGGAATCTTGCTCTCAAGAAGACGGTGTAAATGCCCAACAGCACCCACGAACCCTTGCTAAAGGTCACGGCTGAGAGCAAGAGACGGAACCAGAGAGCAATTTCCAATCCAGCAACCAACATCATTGAGGTGTCATAGTATTCCTTGACAAATCTGCCGATGGAGTTGGCCAACGGAGACTGTGATTTGGCACCTCCAGGCGAGGCGGGTGTGCTGCCTGGTGCAGTCTGGGGAGGGGAGATTGTGGGAATAATGTTGGTGCGAGTGTAGGTTGCAACGTGGAACACTGAATAGACGGTGAATGGCAACAGCGCCAATGGCACCTGTCTCGAGTAAAGCCAGACCAAGCTGATGACTGCAGTGTATGTTAGATCTTGAGCATATTCCCTTTCAGTAGGCCGGACTTACGCAAGTATTGCACATTCTCATCAGAGAGCAAGAGGAGAGCGACAGAGCCAGGGTTTGCACCTGGTCTTACACGGGCACGATAAGCTTTGAATACGACGATGCCGTAGGTTGCGACAGCCGAAACAAAGGCCAGTCTGTAGGTGAAAGCTGCCCATTTGGAGTTATAGTGAAAGGTGAAGTAGGAGAGGCCATATCGGAAGACGGAGAGGAGGAGGGTGAAGTGTCCTAGGAACCACGCACTGATAGCAGGCCAGTCAGCTGTGTCTCTTCTTGACAAAGGTAGTACTGTTCTTACAATTGAAGGGTGGTAGCTAGTCTTGTTAGACGTTCAGTCAACGGTGCGGTGGCTGGAGGAGGAGGTGCCATTGCTTCAAGCTGGTCAGGTAGGCAGCGAAGGAGGGGCGGTCAAGCTTGAGATGAGAGTCTTTGAAGACCTTATCTGGCGAAAGCTATGGATTTGTCTCTGCACAATCGTGGCAGAAAGATATAGCGCAAGGTATGGAAGAAGTAAAGAGACTGGGAAGTGTGAGGTGCAGGGAAACGGGGACCAGTGAAGAAGCTGTTTGAAGCAGGTGAATAGGTAAGTAGGAGAGGAAGGTGGCTTTTTTGTGGGAGGAAATGATGTCAACTCGGGAAAGTCAAGGTGCACAAGCCACAGAATCACTGGCAAGTCAACGTCAAAGGGCCCAAAGTCAATGCCCACATCTCAGCTTGACACAACCAAGTTATTGGAGTCTTTTTTCCTTCCACCATCGATCGCCCTGAGTTATTAAGCCGTCACTCTTAAAGTTAAGTTTACCAGAGCCATTCCTGCACATGTCCACTACCTAGGTAGTATGGTACTGGTATGGCACGTATGCGTAACTGGATTTATCTTCCTTGTCGGGGTCGATCCCCGGAGGCGTCGACGATGGCGTAATGTCGACCCTTTTCTGTTTCTTCTAGAATCACAAAAGGAAAGTCATCGAGTGACCTACATCTCCAGTGGACATTCGTCTCCAAGTCACATTCTACAAGTTCTGGATAGCACAAAGCTTCCCACACGCATGTCAGGTAGGTAGAAAGTCCACAATGACAGGAAAAGATAGAGCTAGAAACACACCATTCCCTGCTGAAGAACATCCCAACCCTTTTCTCCCAGTATCACTCACTCCATGATTTCCCAGGTAGTACAGTCCAGAGCCAGGTATACATGATTGCGGTGATCGAACATACACCACTGTTCCATGTCCACCAAGCCTGGGACCACTACCTTGAGCCGTTGAAACTGGCGTTCGCATTACCGGTATGCACAATCCAAGGTTTCCCTTTTCAAAGTCTTCGTGTGTAAAATCATGTATGTGATTAAGTAAAAAGGGCAACAGCTCCAGTCTGCCGCTCTGCGCAGAAGATACCAACAACACGAGTAGAAAGTGGGAATCGTTGAGAATGGGAAACCGCCGGCGTGGCATCGTCGCTGAGCTGATGTGAAAATAGTCGAGAAATCTTGACAGGCTAGACAGCTTATCGGAGCGAGAAGCCCTTTCTCTTCCCTTCCTTCTCAATAGGCCTGCCTTGTTCGATACGGGCTTTCTTCTCCTCAAGTTCGGCGCGTTGTCGCTCCAATTGTTCTTTCATCTCGCGATGACGAGCGAATAGCTCCTCTTCACTTTGTTGGAGCTTGCTCTCCTTCTCCTGAACCTTCTGCTGGAACACCATCTTCATTTCTGTCTCCATCTTGGCCAGCTTCTGTTCGTGGAGTGTCCTCTCTTCCTCTTGTTTCACTGCAGGATTGACCTCTTTGAACACACTGGGGTCTTGTGAAACACCCATCTGGATGAGCTTGTCAGATCTGTAGTTCTCATACAGAACATTGTTTGTGTTCTCCTTGAGTTCCTCCATATGAGTTCGGATCAACATCTGGCGCAGCTTCACGAAATCGCAGTGTTCCTCGTTGTCCACTTCAATGATACCCCAAGGATAGCGACGTCCGCGCACTTTTCTTCCCTCGGGGTTGGTCACTTCATAGTTGGCACCGACCACAGCGAATGGGACTTTGGACATTATTTCTTGATTCTCGGCAATCGTTTCCTCATCGTCCAGCTCGTAACGTGGGCCCTCGAATATTTGGATAGAATGGTGTTGGATGTCGGCAAGGATCTATACAAGTCAGCATTCCCGAATCTTGTTACAGGGGCTGTACTTACTCGTTGCTTGAACATAGCGACCTCCTCATCCGTCAGGGTATCAGCCTTTGCAATGACAGGGATCAGGTTGACCTTGGTGTGCAAGCGGCGCATAACCTCAATATCCAAAGGCTTCAGAGAATGGCCAGTTGGCTGGATGAAGTAGACACACGCGTGAACTCTGTTGTCAACAATGTTCATCCGGTTCACCTTGTTCTCTGCTTCGAGATAGGCGTCAAATCTTTGTTCAATGTTTTCCACGATCGGCCTCCACGAGTCGTCATTGTTGACGAAATCTCCAAAGCCAGGGGTATCAACAACTGTGAGGCGCAAGCGAACTCCATTCTCCTCAATATCGGCGCTGATGGACTGGATTGATACAGTCTTCGGGATGATGTCCAGGCTTGGGCCTTTGCGTTCGCGTGGAGGATAGAGGGAAGTGTTGAACAAGGTGTTGATCAGTGTGGACTTGCCCAACCCCGATTCACCTGCAAGTTGTCAGCGCTGGGATGTGAGAGTACTTGGGCCTATACGAACCGACAACCATGACGTTGAAATTGAATCCCTTTCTGACACTCTTTCGGTGCCATTGGTTGGGAAGATTGGCAAAACCAACATATCCTGTCAATTTTCTTCTGACCACATTCCGCATGTCGTTGGCAGCTGCAGCCGCAGCTTTAGGGTCTTTGGAGGTGACTGTTTGTGCAGCATTTTGTCCCATTGGGTTGCTTTCCTTCACGTAGGGAGATGCAGGTTTGCCGTTGGGGATACTGGGTGAAGGAGAGGAGTAGCCATTTTGAGACACAGCAGCTGCGGTTTCATTGGTGTCAGTCATGTTCGGTGGTGTGTCAGAGTCGGGTACAGGTGGAGGAGAGTGAAGAGGAAATTGGCCTGGAAGAGTGTCCGACATGCTGAGGTTGGCGTTTGGACCTGACTCTCGGTTCGACTTCAGACCGGCTGTAACAGTTGAGGAAGTGTCCCGTAGCAGTATGCACCGTGACACGGTGCAAAATAAGGTGATTTATGTGGCAGGCGAATTGAGGACGTCGAGGCACGTTGTGACTTGAGGAGAGGAAGATCAGAAAGTTGACGAACCCATTTTGTCAAAGAAGAAAGGTTGGAGTAGGAATCACTAAAGGTGGATAGGACAACGCAACTGGATAAAGAAGAACGTCAGCATACGCAGGAGATAAACAGCCAAACCAACCGCGACAGAGAAGGATGAATAGGATGGGAAGCACGGAGTAGTGACTGCCTGCGTTGCACACGCAGGATACCCGGTCGATTTCTGCGGGTTTACGTGCGTGGAGAAAGAACAACGTACCGTGTTGAATGGAATCTTGGAATTCTACCGGCACGAGGCTGTCCCCACGTGAATGAGTGTAGGAAGGACGTCGATGCGCTCGACGAAGACGACGAAAGAGGTGAGCACAAGAAGAGAAGTTACAAGACTCGTGTGTAGAGGTGTTAATCGCAGGTGTTGGACTATCTTCGTCCCTCGTCGGACTTTGGCTTGTCTTCACGCAACCGCGAAAAAAAGGGGACACGGGGCGCCAAGTCCAGATTGGGAATGGACAGGGAAAGAGTCTTGATTGGGAGGAGATCAAGCTGTCAACCACCCGGAGCTTTTACCACGGGCCCTAGCAGAGCCTAAGCAGAGCCTAAGGAGCCACCAAAGACACGCCATGTCCATTTGACCCCTGATCCTTTCCCCAGTTGGCTGTCAAGCCATTCACGTGTTGAGAGGCTGCAGATTCAGTTGATGCACGAGGAGTTTTATAGGAATTCATCGTGAGCTTGGTGAACTCACAAGCTACTGTTACAGAACTGCTGGAGGTGAATCTCTTTGTTCAGTATTATACACTCTATGAATTGTGATTCCATCCGTCACAAAAACATAACTGTCGCAGCATTTTACATCCCAGGGTATCCTGACTAACATGCCACACTAGGCTGTACCCGTCTGCAAGTCGACGCCTCCAAAGTGTCAGTTCCATTGAACATTCGAACAGTTTCATAAATGGTCGTCCACTCCCAAAGCTCGTACAAAGTGTCCTAGATCACACCTGACCATTCGTCGGAAGAAGAACTCTCCATCTGCTTCAACAAATATTGATACATAACAAGCATCGTTCCGCTCTGGACGCTCGTCCATACAAACCGCGGACCAACTCCTCGAAACAAGCCAGGAACTCCTTCACTTTTGTATATAAGCTTGAGGCCGGTAATCACAGAAGAGGTATCGATGGTTGGCGTCGTGTGAGGTACAGTCCGAGGGCCCGAGTGAAGTGCCCGTTTCTGTACTGTGGCCGCCGACTTCTGACCCTTGGCCACTTTTTCCAGCACCGCAGTCTGACTGTGTTTCGTGTGGTTGTTGGGTGTGATCTGCGTCTGCGTTCTCGTTTTGACCACGTCCAGCGGACAGGTCATGACACCTGCAATGCCACCCGCAGATACTGCAGTCAAAACTTCGAAACCGAGTCCAATCTCTTGTTCTCCAGTCCAACTCTGTGCAAATCTTCGCTCTTGCTCATAGAATGCAAATTGCAGCGCGGAAAAAGGAAGGTCTCGAACGATCGTGGCTTTGTAGCCGGAGTAGAGTGCCCCAAACCCTTCTGTTCGTGCTATTGTCTTCGCCGCGTCCCATGTTGATTTGTAGTTGTAACCCGAATTGAAGAAAGGGTTGTTGTATCGACCTTGTAATTGCAAGCGAGTTTTGAGGACTTCGGAAGGAACGTATACGACTGAAGCCACGAGATCTGCTATGAAACCTAGATTCTGTTAGTTGACATGTCTGAGGAAGAGTGAAGAGGTCGTACCGCTGGCTAGATATGCAATCGACGGGGCAACGCCCCCATCTAGCATGTGTCTCTTGCAGTATTCATAGGACCCGAAAAAGACGACGGTCCCTGGAAACGATCCCAGCATAGCCGCTGTAAACCCTCCATAGAGGCCTCGCCTGATGCCTTCTTGCCGGAAAATCTTGACGTAGGAATCGGATAGACTAGAGTATTTCGGTGGAAAATGAGGATCCCCTTGCTGCCTCGTTTTGACAGTGTCCAACGAGTGCATAAGAATGTCGCCGGTAGTCCCTCCGATACCTCCGGCAAGCATAGACTGCGCATGTGAGTACGTCAGAAGTCGATGGCGCAGAGCAAGTTGCACATACGTGAAGGTAAGGAGGCCTCTTCAACTCGAGGTCGATATCCTCGACCGCAGATTCCTCCGTCATCTTCTGGCGCTTAATCTGTCGTGCGCCGTCGATGTCGTATTCTGGTTTCGCATAGCCATCGTGTTGACTCTGGGTAGAGTCTCTGCTCGAGCTGTCTTGTGAGAAGAGATTCGAAAGGCGAGCGGTTAAGCTCATGGCAGGGCTTTCAGCCCGTAAAGAAAGGAAAAAGCAGGACCCGCGTTTATCGACTGAAATCCACCAGGCGTAAGTCGTGTTCTTGATGTTTGCTCATGACTTTGCCGCAGTTTGGATCATCGACTGAGAAAAGTTTCCAGCGAGGCCGAGTCGGACTTGGCACGATAGAAGCATCCGACGTCAGCCTCGTCATCGCAGACCCTACCGTGCCGCTTTAGAAGCCACCAGGTCGCGTCTTACCCTCCTCTCACCTTCGCCCTCACTCTGCAACTCATTCTGGCCTTGACGAGAGTAAGCTCGGGAAGTCATTAACAGAGTCTGCTCAGGCGGACCTTTCCAGAGACTGTGACTGCATGACTTGTGATCTAGCCATTGTTGTCTAACCTTGATCTAACCTCTAATACATGTAGCAAGAGCTCTATCGCTGTTATACAACATGAGAGTCCTTGGGACGAGGTAACTTTGTATCCGTGTATGTATCCTCCGATCTGCTTGTCAACTCCCGGGAAGACTGGATGCCTCCGACTGTACCAGCCTAATGGTCTGCACAGGCGAGGAAGGCTTCTTTTCTGATCTACCGTTATTTAGAACCAGCGTAGGTCATTTGCGCTCGATTGATGGCGAGAATCAAGGTTCGACGCGTTCCACCTCTACGTCGGGCTTTTTGTGGAAGGTGTCGTTGATCAGCATCTTGGTCATGTCCCTCAACGTTGGGTAGCTTTCCACGAGAGGCCAGATGATGCATGCCAGGGCACTGAAGAATACCCACATGATGCTAACAACGACCCAACCCGTGAAAGCGGCTTTGGTGAAGATGTATCCAGTGCCATAAAAGGTGAACGGAAACAGCACCATCGCCACGACAAAGAATACGGCGCAAGCCGAATAGGCCAGCCGGCGAGCTTTGTGGTAGGATTTGAAATCCAGCGGTTCGATATGGTTGGTCATGAGATAGTCAACGACATCATTCCCTGTGGGGGCTGCGGTGCCAGGAGGAGTCTCTCTGGCTATTTCTCCATCTTTAGATTCTTGAGGGATGTCAGACTTCGTTTCGCCTATCACTGGTTCATCCATGGGAGCCAGTCCAGTGACCACCTCGCGTCCCTCAAGTGGAGCGGTGCCTTGGATCTTTTCCACTCGAGCCAGGTGTGCGGGATCCGCGGAGGTGTATTTGTACGGAAAGAGAAGGGAGAAGACAATTGCCACAATCAATCCTGTGCCGCAGGCGGTGGCACTCCCCGCCAGGGTATTGGGGAGATCGCCTGTGGAGACCGCAGTGATGGCGCCGGAACGAAGTTTTGTGGTGACAAACCAAGCCGTGAGGCCTAAAGGCGAGGCAACCAGTGGAGCCCCGATGGCAGCGACAGTTGACATTCTGGAGGGGAACAAGACAATCAATCCCAAAGGAATACCGCCTCCTCCCACAATAACACCGCCCACTGTTAAGAGCCAGGTGATATCGACACCGCCGGCACTCATCCCGCAACAGAAGGCTGCCAATATCAGGGAGTATCCTATAATGCCGTAATGGGCCTGCTTGACTAAGGTGGAAGACGATGCTGACGGGTTGATGTAGAGCTTGTAAACGTCAAATGTCCATAACGAGGACACAGCGATGAGTTCTGCAGATACCGACGAAGTAACTGCCATGAACAGCACCAAAAGCATCAACGCGGCTCCATTTTTGCCCATCAGGGCAATCGCAGTAGCAGGTGCTGAGAATCCCCCACCGACTTGTGCTGCATTGAGAGCTTCAGGGTAAGTAGGAAATTTTGAGGAACCGGTCAATGCTACGGCACCTAGACCCATTGTCGTGGCGAAGCCGTATGGGATCCCGTACCATGCCAGCTATCTCCAAGTCAGCATGTGAAAATGTCAGGAACAAAACAGTCGGATGACAGTCGAGAGGCGCTCGGTACTTACGCCGCCTAGTAGATATGCCTTCACGCTTGTTTCAGGTTTGGATGCAATGGCACGTTGCCAGTACGCTTGGTCGAGCCACACAGTCGAGAAGCTGCCGAGGAAGATCACGGCAGCGTATTTGATACCAGTACTTGACTGGAACGTGAGCCATGAGCCGTGACGATTTCCCGCTATCGGAGTCTTTTTCCCAGCTTCGACCAAGAGATCATAGACCTTGCCAGGACTTCCGGCGTAGTCATCGGCGGTGTACAAGGTGAAGGCAAAGATGAAAATGGCCACAAAGAGGATCACGGTGTGAAGATAGTCGGCCACAAAGGTGCTTCGAAGTCCACCTTGGATAACGTATGCGGCAACGGCTAATGGGACCTGTATGACAAGGCAAGTAAGTGTATAGTCCACTTCTGTTGGTCAGTTGCTTACAATGAAACAAGCTGCATAGACGTTGACTCCCGACAAGCCAGCCAGTACCTGCGAGCCGCCGAGCACCAGTGTTGCACCGACAACTGTAATACCAAGATGTCAGTATCAGAATCTTCTTGTGTATGTTGAGAGATACTCACACATATTGACGACCCATCCAAAAAAGGTATAAATGCCGTGAGCCACTGCAGCCTTGTTAGTCCATTACTTGGGGCACAATGTAACGAGTGACTAACCATGGCCATGGCGAGCGAGAACGATCTCCGGAAATGTATGAGCTCCGGGTACATCTCTTTTCACCCGAAGCGAGAGCATGGCGAACATGATGACCTGCGACGAGCCCAGGGCAGCATACCACATTGGACCTGAGATGCCGAAAATGTATGCAAAAGTGGAACTGGTGAGCAGTGTAGCGGACCATGTCCAAGCAGAAACAATGCCTGCGACGATGAGGCCAGGCTTGACATTTCGAGACGCAGTGTTGAACTCTTCCGATTGCTTGGTCGAGAAGGCGAAATAACGGTTCTGGAACTTTGTCGTCAGGAGCATAATCACGCTGAAGACTGCGCCAATCCCAGCGATGATGCCATAGCCAATACCGGGGCTGAGCACCTTCAGTTCTGGTCCAACGGAATATGTCGACATGGTATTGATATGGGAATGGCAGCCAACAACTGGTAAGAAGCGACAGGCAACTTTGTCAATTCAGGAGGAGGTCTGCGGTGTTCCTCTAGCAAGATGAGTGCCTTGCATGATCGACCTCGATCTCGCCCATCCTTATATATTCATCTTCCAGGTGAGTCGAGAGATAACGAAGCAGAAGATAGGATCCTTGTCCCAGGGATTGGACTCATCTTGCCTCCCGGTGGATTGTCGAAGATAAGAAATATAGCTGTTCCATACCAGAACTGGAGTTTCGGTGCTATGGTTATCTCTGTCTCCACTTGATGATTTGTTGCAGCACTTGATGTCAAGATGGCCAGACGACTGGACGGGTAATGGTTGTAGACGTTGCCGCCGTTGAATGAACGGCGCCTACGCTATTTACCCGCAGTTGAATATGAATCTCTGGATCTACAGTCGTACAGGATACGTACAATATCGCCCAATCAGGAACAATACGCCACTGCTTCAGACCCACTCAGCATGCATACCACCAAGTCGCTAGAGCGAGACGCTATCTACAGGTCATTATATCGGGAAGGTCCCAAACCAGATACACGGAGTACTTTCCGACGCCGGTGACTACTTCGTCACACCTCCGTGGTGTTGCCGCCGTTGTCGCAGTATCAGCTGTTGTCGCCTTCGTACAACACCACTTTAGAACTGATATAGAGCACTAAACATTGCAGATCCAGCATGTGATATTAGCCGTGCAGATACGCCACCGAAGTCGGTGTTGTCCGTGGAGAAGAGAAGCTGGTGCGCCTTATCGTGCAACCAAACAACGCGAGCTGTTTGCCGCACTCGCATTTTGATGTAGACGAAGGAACCGACCGAGTGGGAGTCTTAGTCTCCTGAAGTTTCCACATGTATTCCACATCCATACGACTGTCTTGGATATAAGTCTTCTGAAGCAGCAGGTTGGAGTAGTCGTCTTTCAAATTATCCTCTTGGAAGCCGTGTAGCCGTTTCCAACTAGTTCAACATGTCTTCGACCTGGCAAGAACGCGCTCAAAAGAAGCGAGAATCTATCTTGGCTGCTATCCCTCAAGAATGGCGACTCCAAGAGCCTCTCCCTTCGCCTGAAGAGCAGAAAGATGTCACTGGTTCATATGTGCAACAGTTCCTGACTCCCAAGGAGATCGAGATTACCGAGAGCGATGCAGTCGAGATAACAGAACATACTACAACCGGCAAGTGGACCGCCACAGAGGTAGTGACAGCCTTCTGCCATCGAGCAGCTTTGGCTCATCAATTGGTCAGTAAGGACCTATACCTGCATCTAGGTCATTGCTAAACCGTGCTTGGACAGACTAATTGCCTGCACGAAGTCTTCTTTGACCAGGCGATTGAGCGTGCGAAAGAGCTCGATGCCACATTTGCGGCTGCAAATGGTCCCTGTGGCCCTCTTCATGGGCTTCCTGTCAGCTTCAAAGACCAGTTCCACGTCAAGGGAGTGGAGACAACCATGGGTTATGTTGGGTGGATCGACACTTTCGAGGGTGTGAAGGGGACTGGGAAGGAGAAAAACGTGGACAGCGAACTGGTCCAGGAAGTCAAAGCACTCGGAGCTGTACCTTTTTGCAAGACCAGTCTGCCGCACACTGTGATGAGCGGCGTAACCTGGAATCATATTGTTGGCTTCACGTTGAACTCACACAATCGTCTCATGACCTGCGGCGGTAGCTCTGGTGGTGAGGGAACCCTCATTGGCATGCGAGGAAGCCCCATCGGCTTTGGTACAGATATAGGTGGAAGTGTTCGGTGAGTGCTTTGTCCTCCAGGATTGAAAATGCCTGCTCATCGCAACTTAGGATCCCCTCTGCTTTCAACGGGCTTTACGGCGTGAGGCCTTCATTCGGCCGTCTACCATATGTCGGCGCCGCCAACAGCATGGCCGGTCAAAACACCATCCCTTCGGTTTGTGGGCCGATGGCGACGTCTCTAGGGGCGTTGAAATTGATATTCCGATCTGTTCTGAGCCAGCAACCATGGCTACACGATCCGGCTGTGATTGACTTGCCCTGGAGGGAGGAGTTGTGCACGCCCCTGCCTGCTGACGGCAGCAAGTTGACATTTGGCCTTATGCCGACTGACAAAGTCGTTAACCCACAGCCTGCAGTCCGAAGAGCCTTTGAGATAGTGAAAAAGCTGATCATAGACATGGGTCATGATGTGGTGGACTGGGATCCACCGTCCCACGAAAAGGCCATCGCACTCGCTGTAAGTCAAATTCGCCGAATTGGCTTCGAAATTGGCGCCTGACGATGACAGTTTGACGCGTTCACCGCAGATGCCGGTATGGATATCTGGTACCACATTGGTTTGTCGGGAGAACCCCTCCAGGAACATATCCAGCGGACTTATGGCACAGCGGCGGGCTCACTGGGTACGCCCAAGACCGCTGACAAGATTTGGGAGATAAATCTTAGACTTCGCGAGTATCAAAAGGAGTATATGGAATACTGGAATGGCACTGCAAAGCAAACAAAGTCTGGAAAGCCAGTTGACGCTATACTGACGCCTGTTGCGCCATTTGCGGCACTTCAATTTGGCGGCACTTTCCACATCGGTAGGAGTTCGCATCTCTCCAATCGTACTTTGCGTGTTCACGGGACTGACATGCACAGGATACACTCCGTGGGTCAACACCCTTGATTACACATCTGTCGTCTTCCCTGTCACTGAAGTGGACAAGACCATCGACCTCTATGCCAAGGATTATCAGCCCTGGGGTGACCTAGATAAGATCAATTGGGAGCAATGTAAGTCAACCTTGACCGAGGCGGGAACAGATTGGCTAACGTCACTTGCAAAGACGATCCTGAAGTCCAGCAAGGCACGCCAGTGGGCTTGCAACTGGTCGGACGAAGACTTCAAGAAGAAAAGATTCTTGGATTAGTAGAGCTGCTGTCGACGGCCCTCGCCGTGCAAAAGAAGAGCTCATAAGTCCATGTCATCAGACAGATCTTGGTTCGGGTCAAAGGATAGCCCCGTTAGGTTGTGTTCGAAGGACTCCGGGACGACAAGCAGGAAAGGTATCTACTCGAGCCCGAAGAGCAATAGACGTCAAACAGTGCCACTTTCCTGGAAACAGGAGCTTGGTAGTTACAAGAGCAATAGTCTAGTCCCCAAATGATTCATAGCTGTGACCCAACTACACGTCTCTTTACCTGGCGGCTGCGAAGCTCGAGTGTTCCAACATTCCTCGATTATTTCCAGCGTCCATCTGGACAGAACTAGAGGATGTTTACCCTTTTCGAACGGAGGCACCAGCGCACGGAAGCGAGGGTATTCCGATTCCAAAGCCAAGCAGCCAGCGGCGCAGTAAGGCCAGGAGGGGAAATTGACCCTCGAATGCTCACGCATATATTCCAGCGCCTGTAGCGTCCGCAAAACACTTTGCCGTATCTCTGGGATGTGCGGGTAGAATCCCGACACAACGACGTGGAGGTAAACCAGGGCACCATTGATATAGGTATTGGTGACCATGCGTGTGCCTTCCTGTATGAACGATGCCGAAGCAGGCAGTGGGTGCTCGACCTTTGCCAGGCCGTCCAGAAGGCGACCTTCGATGATGTTGGCGCGGTGATTCAAGTCTCTCAGGCTCAGTGTGCCGGCTTTGGATTCTTTCTGCTTCCAATCCTTGAGGACAGCAATGTCGAGGAGGGTGAGCATGACCCAGTCTTCGCATCCGAGCGCGGTGCTCAGTTTGTTCGGCCACTGGTGGTACAAGGCGCGAAGTCGAGCGATCGATTGCGCAGACTGAGGGGTGAAGCCAAGGCTGGCGGTGGCGTTTATGAAGCAGTAAGTGTACATGCCGAGGAAGAATTCAAAGGCCGACTTTTCCCCTTCGGAGAGAAGATGGATGGGGATATCGCATTTGACCTCGGGTTCGATCATGTCCGACCCATTGGAGTTGGGCGAGCCGTCAGATACCAGCGATGCAGCCTGGTCAAGGGATGACAGCAGAGCACTGGCCGCGTCGAGGTGCATTACCCAGTCGTTCATGAGCCCTTTACGTGGGATCCAGAGCTGGACAAAAAGTCTCGAATCAGCATGGTCACAGTTTGGTCAGCTTCGTGGGTCGTACGAACCTCGAAGAGAATCAAATGCATGATACAGGCCAGTGCTTCCACCCCGGCTGCCAGTTGACTTGCGCCCGCCTTCTTGGACAACTGGTAGAGGTGAGTGCGCAGACCGGCAACGCTTTGCAAATGCTGCATCTCCAAGTCGTGGTTCGGTTGTGGTATGTCGCTGAGCGGTCCGAGGACAAATTGCGCCTTGTCGCACGCGCTCAGGCAGATGGCGGCCGTGTACAGGGGTTTGGTCCGGAGGAAAAGATTGAGAAGCCAACCTCTGCCATTGCCCCCTGCGGATAGTTCCAGATACGGAACCAGCCTGGGATACTACACATAGTCAGAAGGTTGCGTCAGTGGACACTGAAATGAAGCAAAAGACTGGTGTTTCAATGGCACAGTCTTGCACCAAAAGGGGTACTCACGATGAAATCCAGATAGTACATAATAAGGTCCAGGCCTCGTTCGTCAGAGTCAAATGAAGCCTGGTCCCGATTCGGCTCTTCCTCACCCTCCCCGGTTCCTGGGTCATTATTACCCTTGCATTCCGGGCCCGGCGCATAGGCTTGTGCATTCTGCGTCCCAGAACGTGCGTTGTCCACTACAAAGTATGCGTCAAATGCATTCAGTCGATCCTCGTTCTCCGAGGCCCTGTTGTGCTGGGAATAAGAAGACTCCGAGCTACCGTCTGATGCCACAGGATTTTCCTGAGGCCATATCGAAGACGGCGATACCGACGACGCGAAGGTTGCAAGAGCGTTTGAGGGTAATTGATTGAAGAAACTTGCATTGCACTCGTGCCTATTTCGCTGCGACGAAGAGCTGTGCAAGCGCGTAGTACCAGAGCTCCGAGTGCGTCGACGCCTATAACTCTCCTTGACTTGATGTTTGATGTCTTGCATGATTCTGATCTCCGCCTCGCCATCATCCATCCATTGAGGTCTCGCGGCATATCCGTAACATGTGATTCCACGCAGGGTGCAGGACGAACAACAAGGGCGACCATCGTCGCACTTTTTCTTGCGCACTCGGCAAGTCCAACAGCCTGTCGTCTTCCTCGGCATCCTGTCTACACTTGCCCAGATGGGAGAGATCTGCCACCTTACCCCGGATGAATTGCTATACTTAGTGCATCACTGTGAGAGTTGGAGTCGTACTGCAAATGCCCGAGTGAGGAAGAAATGTAGCAGCCCGTGACTGGGCACAGAAATATGCTTGATTGTTTTCTCCGAATCGAGACACTGTCTATCAACCTCAGTCACCTACCTGGGTATGCTCTTATCGTAGTTCCACTGATAAGACCAATTGGACTCAAGACTACCCCATGTTGACTTGCTCGAGTTAGCCGCAGCCTCGCTGGACTTGACTTATTCAGCCCAGCTGCACCCTCGCATCCGGCGGGATGTAGTCTTCTAGAGTCTTACCTTTGAGGAGGCGGCTCGCGTTTTGAGATGTTGACTTTCCACGACGCCATCTGCGTCGGACCAAGTAGACTCTCACCCGGATGAGTCTTGGATGCCGCTTATCCTTACTCGCGCAAGGCCTGGGGTAAGTATAGGGCGGCATTACACTCGGATCGAAATGGGGTGAGCCGAGAGGCCGTTTTAACTCACCTTGGACGTGAGACAAACATCCCAAGTCAGCCTCGTCATGCCAATTCAACGAGGCCTCCACTGCAGACTCGACAGTCCTGTGGCCCGACGATCAACGAATACAGCACAAACAGGCCTACCCGTCTGTCACTCTGTGGCTTCGGTCTTGCTGCATACAACATAACTGTGAACTGTTCTCAGGTCAATACAACACTCTCATAGATACTCCGCACTCGACAATTACTATCAGTCTAAATGTCTTCTCTTTCCACCAAGATACCAAGGTATCTCCTTGCGACTGTCATCCTGCTAGGTGGCTTCTCCCGCTTCACTCATGGCGTATACACTCCTCAATACTATGCTTTCCAGGAATACCACGCACGAGACGACGGCTCGACGACAGCTCAAATTGTCCCCATCATCGACACCTTGATTGGTCTGAGTCTCCTACTTGGAACTCACGCACTCAGGCTCGGCGCCGCTGTCTCATCCTTGTTATTCGTATCTATCGGCTTGGCCATGCAGATGCAGGCAGGCAAAAGCTATGGCGCGGATATCGCATTGGTCGCTCTGGCGGCCGTTGCGGTCGTCAGCTTGGTTGGCAGGTAGAGAGCGTTGGATGGGTATCACTCGAGGACATCAAAAGCATTGGGACTAAAAACAACTACTGGATGAGTAGTCCTCTTTCATGCGATAGTGAGCAAAGAGTACTTGACTTGAATTTTCCTGATGGGTGCCGTGCACGCGCAAAGCCTGACTCCAAATATCACAAGAGAAGAACGACATCCCCTCCCTTCAGAGTAGAGCTGTAGACACTTGCCATCTCATATCTGCATCATTGGCACTGATTTCGACGACGCTGAGATCGAAGAGGCGAAGAGCCCATTACCAACGTCCCGGAGGCAGGCCATTGTAGGCTCAACTTTTGCCCCAAAAGGAAGAGAGTTTTATACATGCCATATCGCATCCGCCTCGCTAACCGAGCAAACCCAAGAATAGCCCTACAACATCATCTCCAAAGGATTCTCGACCACCTTCTTCAACTCCCTAATCCATTCACCGCCAACAGCGCCATCCACCACTTTGTGGTCGAAGCTGCCGGTGACAACGATCTGATCATCCCACTCGGTGATAGTACCTTCTTCGGTTTCGACGGGAATGGCGACTTTTCGGGTGGTACCGACTGCCAGGATAGCGGCTTGCGGAGGATTGATAACTGCAGTGAATCTCTCAACCGCAGGGTTCATGCCCATATTGCTGATTGTGAATGTGCCACCTTGGTACTCTTCAGGCTTGAGCTTGCCATCTCGGGCCCGTTTGCCAAGATCTTTGACCTGCGAAGAAATCGACTGAAGACCGATGCTGTCTGCGTTCTTGACGATAGGCGTCATCAAACCTATTGGCGTTGCAACAGCCACACTGACATCGACAGTGTTGTGCTGACGGATGACCACTTGTCCATCTTGTTCTCTCCAGCTCGAATTGACAGTGGGAATCTTCTTGCAGGCAACTGCGCAAGCCTTGATCAGGAAATCGTTGACAGACAATTTGTATTTGCCGTCAGCAGCAGCATTGAGTGCCTCTCTGAGTTTCAGTAGCTTGGTCACTGAGAGCGTGGTCGAGACAAAGTAGTGGGGGTTCTGGTTCATAGATTCTCGGAGTCGATTGGCGATCGTCTTGCGCATCGAGCTGGCTGGAATATCCTCGTACGATGGGCCTGCAGCTGTAGGGGAGCCACCTGCTGCTGCTGGCTTGTATTTCTCAATGTCAGCCACTGTGATTCGGCCACCTGGACCAGTGCCCTTGATGGCCTTCAGAGGCACGCCCTTGTCAAGCGCAGCTTTTTTGACAGCAGGGCTGACGACTGGTTCCCGGTCAAGCACGCTCTGTAGTTTCTCGCCCGATGTGTCGGCTTCGACAGGTTCTGGAGCAGGTTCTTTATCACCGGCAGGAGGCGCTGTAGGCGAGCCCGAGTCTGGCTTCTCTGTGGCTTCGGAAGCCTCTTCTTTTGGCGCTTCCTTAGGAGGCTCCTTTTCGCCGCCGGCATCCTCAAGCGAGAAGTTCTCGAACGCAGAGACATCGTCGCTTGACTCTACCATGACCGCAATTGGCTATTATTGTTAGCAAAACCGGCAGACTGCTACGCTGCTTATTTTTTCTTACATTTCCGACAGCAACGTCCTTCTCCCCTGACTCTTTCAAGATCTTGGCCAGAAAACCATCCTCTTGGAACTCGAAATCCATTTGGGCTTTGTCCGTCTCGATCTCGACCAACACATCACCGGGTGCTAATGTGTCGCCGGGTTTCTTCTGCCAGACACCAATGTTGCCGGCCGTCATCGTAGGCGATAGAGCAGGCATGGTGATGACGGTGTGTTGAGGAAAAGCTGTTCCCTGTCAGTCATGTTGTGTTCAGTTAGGATCGCATCGGGGGCTTTGCGCACATTTCGAGGCATAATAGCGACCGAGAACAGATAGGCAAGGAAACGGTTGAGTCCTGATACATTGATTAGCTCGCTCGGGTCACTCAGAGGGCATCGACATACCCTGCAGCATTTTGTATCCTCTGTAGAGCGCTCCGACTGATCCTAGAGCTAGGTGTCGTCTGAAGGAGAAGTCGGGACCCTGATCGGGCCAGCAATGTTGAGGTCGCCATGGCGGAAGAGCAACGGCGGCGGAAGCAGAGCTATTATCCGCAGACGGACTTGTGAAGGGCAAAGGAGTGACGAAGGTACGAAAGACAGCCCAGCAGCAAGTGTTGTAGTAACAAGCTGCGGTGTACACTTTGTTGGACTGTTGGCCGCAGCTTCAAGAAAATGAATGGGTTGGGATGAGAGGTAAAATAACGACTCCACTCCGGTCGGCGTCGGGGAGAGCTTTTCGAGGCCGGAAGTCAAGTTAGGGTCACCGAGAAGCGCAGGGAGCATAGAGGAGTAATAAGGCCGGCGCCATGCCTAGATTAGAGTCCAGCAGGCCGCCCGGAGGTGTGTGGCTTTGCTCCCGGGTGCTGCTGCTCTGCCCTAGCTCTTGACAGGCGATCTATCCACACTTAGTCAGCCACGCCTGCAGTTCACGGAGCTGAGACCTGCGAAACTTTATGTCCCTTAGCAGCCACGGTGCATAGGGGAACAGTATCCCGACCCAGCGATCTGTACATTTTGACTCTGAACAAGACGCGATAACCCCGCGACTCCACGACTGCGATGTGTCCGATGTCTTCTGTCAATCCAAAACTATCGTAACCTCAGCTTGCTGATAGACGTTGTTCCTCACCACGCCGGCCAAATGTCTGGTGCCGAGAGTGAGCCTCGAGAAGCCGACTCCGATCCTGTTCACGAGCCAGAAGACGTTTCGGAGGAGGAGGTTGAGGAAACAGCGCAGGAACACAACGCAGAAGATGCCGACACTACAGACACTCCTGGTCACGCGGTGACGATAACGGTCGAAGATACAGACCCAGATGGCAGACTTTCGGGGCCTGAGGAAGAGGAAGATGATGATGAGGCAGAAGTCCACGGCGATAATTCGACGGCGACGGAATCACAACAGGATTTTGGGGATGTGACCGATGCCCAGGAAGAAAGAGACGAACCCTCGTCAGAAAGCACCGCCGAACATGATGTCCCTTCAATACCTCCGCAGGAGATCAAGGAGGACGAAGTTTTTCCAGTGCAGCAGACGGACGAGAATGACACATCGAGAAGTCAACCTGAGCCCATCCCGCAAACTCGCCCTACGAGGTCTGATTCAAGGTCCACAACGGTCTCGCGTCCCGTGCCTGTCACCTCCATCGTCTTCGTCGTCAGCGCATTGGAAACCATTGGTGCGGCCAAGGAGGTGCGCAGGAACAAAGCGTTCTCTGATGCTGTGCAAGCGGCCTTGTCAAACGTCAAGAATAATGATCATGGAGTCAACCCGGAGATCATCTTCCGCCCGTTGCAAATGGCCACAAAGTCATTTGATGTTCCTCTCCAGGTGACCGCGCTGGACTGTATTGGCAAGTTGATCAGCTACTCATACTTTGCTTTTCCGGTCGCCACGAAAGAAAATGCTGACGGAGCAAATGCGCAACCCTTGATCGAGAGAGCAATCGAGACAATCTGTGACTGCTTTGAAAATGAGGCCACCGCGGTGGAGATACAACAACAAATCATCAAGTCGTTGCTTGCGGCAGTGCTGGATGATAAGATCGTTGTCCACGGCGCCGGACTCTTGAAAGCTGTCCGGCAGATATACAACATCTTCATCTACTCCAAATCGAGCCAGAATCAACAAGTAGCACAGGGCTCTCTACTTCAGATGGTAGCAACAGTGTTTGAACGAGTCAGAGTAAGACTGGATCTCAAGGAGGCCCGCTTGAGGGAGCAGGCAGAAGCAAGATCGGACCGAGCACTTTCTGCGGATACAAACATGTTCGAGCATGTCGGACTTGATGGTCTGAACGGACAGATGGACACTCCTGACCAGGAAACCCCACCCGCTCTGCCAGAAGGGTCGATTCAATCGCAGGAGAAGCTGACCTTGCAGAGCTTCGAGAACACTAAGAACCTGGATGATGCCGTCGTGGCTGACAGTGCGCCTACGACCGTTACCCGAGCCATGAGGGAACGCAAGAACACCCGTTCCAGCTCGGGACCAATATCGCGTACGAGTTTGCAGGAAGACCGCGAGGAGGCCGAGCTGTCTCCAGACGATGAGGACGACATTTATATCAAGGATGCTTTCCTTGTGTTCCGTTCTTTGTGCAAACTGAGCCAGAAAGTCTTGAACCACGACCAGCAGCAGGATCTGAGAACTCAAAACATGCGCTCCAAACTACTCTCACTCCACCTCATTTTCCATGTCATCAATAACTATACAACGGTCTTCACGTCCTCATTTTGCACCATTAAGAGCGGCAACAATGATGAAAGCACCCCCTTTCTGCAAGTCGCCAAGCCACATTTATGCCTCAGTCTCTCACGCAATGCATCGAGTTCTGTATCCAGGGTCTATCAAGTGTGCTGTGAAATCTTTTGGCTCTGCCTCAAGCATATGCGTGTTCTCCTTAAGAAAGAGCTTGAAGTGTTTCTCAAAGAGGTCTACCTCGCAGTATTAGAGAGGCGGAGTGCACCACAGTTTCAGAAACAGATGTTCATGGACGTCCTAGAGAGACTCTCAGGCGACCCCCGTGCGCTGGTGGAGGTCTATCTCAACTATGATTGCGACCGAACTGCACTGGATAACATGTACCAAGAGATCATCGAGCATCTGTCCAGAATATGCAGCACTCCAGTTGCGGTCACCCCAGCTCAGCAACACCAATATCAAGAACAGCAAGCAAAATCATCAAACTCCGAGTGGCAGTCCAAAGGGTCTCTATTGCCGAACCTGACGACATCAGCTCTCAGTCATCCTCCCCATCCTCCGCCCTCAATACCTGTCGAATATGCATTGAAACAGCAAGCACTCCGTTGTCTGGTGGACGTTTTATCGTCGCTAGACAATTGGTCCGTTCAAACGCAGGTCGATCGTGTTAGCGGTAGTAGCTATCCTGTCTCAAAAGGTTCCTTTGAGGATTCTAGAGAGTCTCTCGACCACGAAAGGCCCCCGCCATCGCCGCGCATGCCTGGGGTGGCATCATCAGGTGTCTCAACTCCGGCCGCCGAAGATGATCCGACCGAGATTGAGAAGATCCGGATGCGAAAATCGGCTCTGAACGAGGCCATCAGGCAGTTCAATTTCAAACCGAAACGAGGGATCAAAGCTCTCGTGGCCGAGGGCTTCATTCGCAGTAACACTCCGCAGGACATTGCCAAATTCCTCTACGGCAACGACAAACTCGATAAGGCTATGCTCGGAGAATACCTTGGAGAGGGCGACGAGCAGAACATTGCGGTCATGCATGCATTTGTGGACACGATGGAGTTTACGAAACGACGCTTTGTTGATGCATTGCGTCAATTCCTGCAAAGCTTCCGGCTGCCCGGAGAGGCTCAAAAAATCGATCGCTTCATGCTGAAATTCGCAGAACGGTACTTGACAGGCAATCCGAATGCATTTGCCAACGCCGATACTGCCTATGTTCTTGCATATTCAGTGATCATGCTGAATACTGATCAACACAGCACAAAGCTGAAAGGTGCAAGAATGACTGTTGATGATTTCATCAAGAATAATCGAGGCATCAATGATGGTCAGGACCTGCCTGCCGAATACCTGTCCAGCATTTTCGAGGAGATTGCGAACAATGAGATCGTCCTTGCTTCCGAACGCGAGCATGCTGCTGAGTTAGGTATTGTTGCATCTGCACCATCAGTAGGTTTAGCCTCAAGAGCTGGTCAGGCCCTGGCGAATGTTGGGCGGGACTTGCAGAGGGAGAAGTACGCACAAGCATCAGAAGAGATGGCAAATAAAACTGAGCAGCTGTATCGAAGCCTCATCAGAGCGCAAAAGCGGTCAGCTGTCAGAGAGGCACTATCTCGATTCATCCCAGCCACATCCACCAAACACGTCGGTCCGATGTTCGGTGTCAGTTGGATGTCGTTCCTCTCTGCATTCTCGAGTCAAATGCAAGACGCACAAAATCTAGACCTGATCAAACAGTGCCTGTATGGGTTGAGGTTGGCGATCAGGATCTCCTGTAGATTTGACCTGGAGACACCGAGGGTCGCTTTCGTCACCGCTTTGGCCAAGTTCACCAACCTCGGCAATCTAAAAGAGATGATGGCGAAGAATCTGGAGGCTCTGAAAGTGCTTATTGAAGTTGCCTTGTCCGAGGGCGATGTCCTCAAGAGCTCATGGCGGGAAGTACTGATGTGCATCAGTCAGCTCGACAGACTACAGCTCTTGTCCACTGGCGTCGACGAAGGCGCGATCCCGGACATGACTAGGGCAAATATTCCTACACCTTCCAATGCAAGGAGGGAGAGTGGTCGAAGTCGCCAATCCATGCAGGGCCCCAGACGTCCGCGACCCAGATCTGCCCACAGCTACCGACCGGAAGTTGCGGACGAGACGAAGTCAACGGACATGGTCCGTGGTGTTGACCGAATCTTCACCAATACCGCTAAGCTATCTTCAGAGGCCATACTTGATTTTGTTCGCGCTCTTAGCGATGTCAGCTGGCAGGAAATCCAGTCATCCGGCAATAGTGAATCACCGAGGATGTATAGTCTCCAGAAGCTGGTGGAAATCAGCTACTACAACATGACCCGTGTCAGGATAGAATGGGCACGATTATGGGAAGTCCTCGGCGAGCATTTCAATCAGGTCGGCTGCCACAATAACACCGCTGTGGTCTTCTTTGCTCTAGACTCCCTACGACAATTGTCTATGCGATTCCTGGAAATTGAGGAACTACCAGGCTTCAAGTTTCAGAAAGACTTTCTGAAACCTTACGAGCATGTCATGGCGAACAGCACTGTTGTTACCGTCAAGGACATGGTCCTACGTTGTCTCATACAGATGATTCAAGCCCGAGGAGACAATATTAGATCCGGTTGGAAAACGATGTTTGGGGTCTTTTCTATTGCAGCCAGAGAGCAATACGAAGGGATTGTCAACCTTGCCTTTGATTATACCTCTCAAATCTACAATACACGATTTGGTGTTGTGATATCGCAGGGCTCTTTTCCCGATTTGATTATCTGCTTGACAGAGTTCTCGAAGAATCTGAAATTCCAGAAAAAGTCCCTCCAGGCAATTGAGCTGCTCAAGTCAACAGTGCCGAAGATGTTGAAAACTCCAGAATGTCCACTCGCAAGACGACATGGAAAGTCAGTCCCGGGCGACCATGCTATTGTCGGAGTGAGACAGCCGACTTCGCAGACAGAAGAGGAACAGTTCTGGTATCCTGTACTGATTGCATATCAGGACGTCTTGATGACAGGGGAAGACTTGGAAGTACGATCAAGAGCGTTGACTTACCTCTTCGAAACGCTGATACGATACGGCGGGGACTTTCCCATCGAGTTCTGGGATGTCCTATGGCGCCAGGTTCTCTATCCGATATTCGTCGTCCTGCAGTCCAAGTCGGAGATGTCCAAAGCTCCCAACCATGAAGAATTATCGGTATGGCTATCTACGACAATGATCCAGGCCTTACGAAACATGATTACCCTCTTTACACATTACTTTGAATCTTTGGAGCATATGCTAGACCGATTTCTGGACCTTTTGACCTTGTGCATATGTCAGGAAAACGATACGATTGCCCGAATAGGAAGCAATTGTCTACAGCAACTTATTTTACAAAACGTCACGAAGTTCACACCGGATCACTGGTCTCGGATTGTTACCGCCTTTGTCGAACTTTTCAACCGTACAACAGCCTACGAACTCTTTTCTGCCGCAGCCACTATGTCTGATGCCCGACCTACTCCATCTACTGAGGGAGGTGACGGCCTCAGTATTTCCGGGGCTTCCCTTGTTGACACCCCGACAACGAATGGTGCAGCTCTTCAGCTACCACTCCCTACACCTCCTTCGGACGCCCAGGCAGATCCCATGAGTGTGCCACCAGAGAGTCCTCAAGCATCACAGGAACTGGAAGACTACCGGCCACATTCAGATATGCATGCTCCAGCTCCAGTAGTGACAGCAGCACGACGGCGTTTCTTCAACAAGATCATCACAAATTGCGTCCTTCAACTGCTGATGATCGAGACGGTACATGAGCTGTTCTCAAATGACTCGGTGTATGCTCAGATTCCTTCGCCTGAGCTGCTCCGTCTGATGACTCTTCTCAAGAAGTCATATCAATTCGCCAAGAAGTTCAATGGCGACAAGGATTTGAGGATGGCGTTGTGGAGACAAGGATTCATGCGGCAACCACCAAATCTGCTAAAGCAAGAGTCCGGATCTGCCAATACCTATGTGAGTATCTTGTTGAGGATGTATCACGACGAAGGCGAGGAGAGAAGATCAAGTAGAGAACAGACTGAGGGTGCTCTGGTACCGTAAGTTTTGCATCACGTACGTCGCTCGAAAGAGGATCCAAGGCTAACAGGACTTTCAGGCTATGTGCGGATATCATGCGTTCCTTCATCCTGCTTGACGAAGAAACGCAGCAACGCAACATTGTGGCATGGCGGCCCGTTGTGATCGATGTTTTGGAAGGATACACGAATTTCCCTAGAGACAGCTTCTCGAAGCATCTCGAAACTTTCTACCCTTTGTCTGTTGGACTTTTGGAGCGAGAGGTCGGCCAGGAGCTGCGTGCTGCTATATGGGGCATGTTCCGCCGGGTCGGCGAGGTCCAGTTTGGTATGCCCGAGCTTGCGATCTCACGGGGTCGGGACAATAGTGTCGGCAGCATGAGCAGGAATGGCAGTGTGAGTGCGATGCCGACCAGTCCGTCGCAGTCGGCTAGAGGGTTTGAGTCCGGAAGGAGAGGGAGCCGGAATAGTCGGACTGGAGTGGTGTGACGATACCTAGGTAGGTTGATCGTCGTCTCGGACACTTCTTAGATGTAAGCTTTGCGAGGGTGAAGCGGAAAACTTCTTAGATGTATACTTGCGAGGGTGAACAGGCCTTGTACTGTATCAATGCGAACAAAAACTTTGGGACGGGACTGATACAGTACGGTAATGGCTTTGCCTTGAAATCAATTCTCATGCTGGGTAAAGGGTATCTCCACCTACTCGCCCCTTGTGCATCCAGTCATGGTTTTCTTGCAGTCTCGCAGCCTTGTACGCGCGCCGATAACCCAAAAAATACATACGACGCAAGCGACGACCTGATAGAAAAGCACTCCTCGCCAAACATTACGTAGATACACATCCCGCAGAAAACTGATTCAGCGAACCCTTCGTCGCCGTCCAGCTGCTTGTTGTAAGGCCTTTGCTGACAAAATGACCATTGCATGACGAGCATGGTGTTGATAGGCTTAAACATACACGCTCTGCAAACACACGTTAGTACCATTATCACGATCTAGCATATATATGAAGGGGGAACTCACCTCAGTATACGAATTAATCTGCAATCCTCGTTCCGCCATGTTCTCATTGCACAAGAAATCCAGAGGCATCCACACGAGATGGCCACGGATCTTGTCGAGTTCCTTGCGGACCAAGTCGGCCGGCATATGCGGGTCATGCAGATGGCCTTGCTTGAAATTGGCGTGGCGTGGTGCAAACTCGTCGTAGTCCTTCCACGTCTTGATATGGTTATCTGGGTCGGCGCGGAACAAATGCCGATAGATATCCGTGTTGGTAGTCGCCTGTTGCGTCCACAGATCCCAAACCTTGTCGCCAAGGGGATCGGCGACAAACTCATACTCTTCTTGGCCCGAGTAATCGTCGTTCAAGCACTCGGTCGGCGGCTGGGCGTTGGGGTCCTTTGACGCATCAACCTCTTGAGCCTCGATTAGACCGAGGTGCTCGCGCCAGAGGTGTCGACGGAGCGTCGCGGCGTGGTGGCCTGCTTGGAACGGTTTGCCGTCCATAGTCGTTTCGAGGACGCGGCTGTCTGTCATGACGATGCTGAGCTCCGAGTCGTGGCTGCCCAGTTGAGAGCGGTCGTTGAGGTTGCTTGACCCGCAGATTACGGTGCGGTCATCGACGATTAGGAGTTTGGCGTGGATGTACAGCTCTTCTTGCACGAAGTTGGCCTTTTCCTCTTCTGGCTCGCCTTCCCATGGCTCCTCGCTGACCAGACCGCCGCGTGCCAGCGCGTCCTCGGCAATCGAATCGGTTGATGTGACTGGGTCTTCGACGTCAATGTTCTTGCGGGAGGCTTCGAATTGGCGCTTGCGGTCGATCGTGCGGTGACGTTCGTCTTCGCTGACTTTGTCTCCTCGACCGCCGCCGCGGGAGTCCTTTTCCTTCTTCTCGCCCTCGTACCCGTGGATGCCGGTGCCCATGATTTCCTCAGCCTCGGCTCGCTGAAGTTCTTGGTATGAAACTCCGGATTCTTTCTCCTGCTGGATCAGCCTGGGCGTCCTGTTGATCCGGTCGTACGCGCGCAGGTTGAAGGCGAAGATGTATTTCGAAGGGTCGAGGCCCGCTTTCGCGATCTGGCCCATGATGCTGTGCTCGCCGCGGTTGATGCTCTTGTATTGGTAGTCCATGATGGCGCGCGTGCCGATGGCTGCGTCGTCGCGTAGGTCGCCGGCAAAACCTGGGATTGCGGGGATTATGATGATGACGCGGAATTTGCGCCCTTCTTTGCCTGCGCGCACGCATGCGTTGACGATGGCCCGGCCAATTGTGTTGTGGACTGGGGCCTGCTCTTCGCCTGTGGCCGTGATGAAAAACTGGTTCTCGATGTATACGTAGTGCTGAGCGTTCTCGATGACTTCGGCGTAGGCATTTTGGATGCTGTGGTCGTTCAGGATTCCGCTGGACCAGTCGTCGCTGCTTCGAACAATTTGAGCGTGTACTGTTCCTGCATTTTGGAGGCCTTTGTGCTCGAGGGGACTAAGTGGATGTTCGATATACTCGCCACATGGGAATTTGGGTCGTTGGATCGAGAGTAGGTCTTCGTCGGGATTCGAGCCGTCTGCTCTTGCTCGAGTTGTTAAGCATAGATAGTCGATAGCGTCGTCCCGTTTGTATTTGTCTCGCTTGATAAAGTTCCACCGCAGAACAAAATGTTCGGCGATGTCAAGAACACATTCTCCAACCAACCCCATAGCTACATCATGCCAGGGCATCCGGCCGTACTCGGTCTTGTTCAATTCGTTGTGGGACCAATCTTGGACTGTCTGAAAGTCCATGATTCTGCCAGAATTAGATACGTGTGGAGGTATGCGACATTTGACTTTACCTGTTATTGTTGAAGTCCTGTCCAGGGAAAATTTCGTTGACCACTCCTGATGGGTGCACATCGGCAAGGAGATGCTGGCGCACGTCCCATCTTCCATAACACAGATCTAGCCCACCAATGAAGGCAAGATGATAGTCAATCACGATGAACTTTTCATGATGAGCCCAGTAAAATGTCATGTCTCCAAGATTCTCAAACACATTGTGGTCCGGGTGACGGAGCACGTGAATGTTGCCATGCCCTGGAGAGCCCTCTGGGCACAGTGCCTGCAAAGCATGTTTGGTGTGAGCAGAATTGCAGGTCAAGGCTTGTTGGACCTCCTTGTAGACAATGACATATATCTGGACACCACGCTCGGCAGCACGTTTGATGCATTGATCCAGACGCCATTCCTGGCAAAAGAATGGCGGGCGACGTAAGAAGAGTTCAGGCGAAAGCCACCAGTCTTCGATATAGATGGTCTCTTTGGCACTCTCGAGACCGGCGGAAACAGCCCAGAAGTAATCGCGTCCGTCGACATACCATTTGATCTTGTTGTTATCCCGCTCAGGGAAGAAAGATTCGAAACGATGACTTTCACAATAGGCGGCTCTCTTGGCGTCAGTTTCTTTCTCGTGTTCCTCATCATGACGATGGTTCGGATTGATGATGTTCTTGATCTTGCCGATCTTGTGCTTCAGGTGGCTTGCTTTGGCCAATGTAGAGTGAAACTTGCCGCCAGGTTCGTGAAGCTTCGTGTCTGCCCTCTGTTATTTATCTGGTATACCAGGAGTGTTGTTCGTCTAAGATTACCTGAAAATTTGTCGCGGAGGTGATCCATCTTGATCTCAGTACAGATCACAACCTGTTCTATCGAGGTCGTGGGGGTTCTTCAGCCTCAATTGATGGAACCCGCTATTAGGTAAGGTGATCACGAGCGCAACCAGGCGCTACTGAGGGGAAGAAAGGGAAGGAGAATGGCGACACTTGCGCCAGTGATATGTGTCAGGTAAAGAACGCACGGGAACAACGGATGCAATGGGATATAAGATGGGATTTTGAGAAAGAAGGAAGACAAATTCCTGTTTCTTCCCAATTCCGATATTGGTTTTATCGCGGGAGGTTGGTGTTGAGTTATTGGGTGGTGGTAAGAATACTACACTGCATTAAGAGTCCGTCGCATACTACGTCATTTGCACTACCAAGACTGTCGAGTTCAAGATTTAAAAGACTAAAATGCCTTAAAATGCCCTATGCAGTTGCAGCAGTGCCTGTGTTCCGACTTGGCTCAACTCTGATCAGTGGATTTGATTCTTAGCCTTCGGTGTTGAGGGCTGCGAAGAAAGATAGTACAGGAGATATTACAGAACGCCTTGCTCTATCCAATATGCCGAATCCTCCGATACATAAGCCAGCCATGTGATGGTGTCACATCCATCCAAAAGAACCATCAAACTCCCATACAACATCCCCACGATGTCCAAGACGTATCTCTTCAAAACTTGGGACTACTCCTGACTCGTAGTATTGTACCAGATCGTCCATGTCCGCATCGTCAATATTATTGAATTCTTCAGTCGACCATTTGTCGCATACTTCACTCATCCATCCCATTCTTTTGCTGATGTCGCGTGTGCTCTTTCCCGGTGCAATCTTGCGTAGTTTCCTTCTGACTTGTCCCACTTTCTGGATGCTGTCGCCAGTGCCTTTCGGAAGCATCTCGCCAATCTGTCGCCGTATGGCTGCAGCCATTCTAGGTCCATTGCCGTTGGTCGACACCATAATCTGGAGGGGTCCATCACGGTGGACGCTCCCAAAGTAGAAATCACATTCGGGAGGCACATCGGCAATGTTGGCTGGAACCTTCAGTTTCTTGCAGTATTTCCATATTCGTGTAGATGCATCCGGGTCGTCGATGGCAGTCAAAACCATGGCCACATTCTTCTCCGGTTCAAGGTCCAAGGGTAGAAAGATGCGGTCCACGTGCTTGACCTGGCCATGATATACTCGATATGCCACCTCTTCATTCAGACCTTCGCGAGGACAAACGACGGTTACTTTGGCATCGGCATTGAGGAGATTGACTATGCGGCCAGCCGCCACCTGGGTTCGGGGTCAGTTTCAGCGCCACGACTTGACAGTAATCTCACTCACTTCGCCGCCTCCTACAACCAGTACTTCCTTGCCTTTAATCTGCCATGCTAGGATCAAGGACCCCCCGCTCTGTATGTCAGGGAATTTTGTAGACATAATAGAAGCATGCTGACAAGGAAAGCCGGGCGGCAAATCTGGCGGAGGGTTGATCAAGCGAGGGTTTGCGATGATGAATGTAATGATGGAATGAAGCGAGCCAACGATAAGAGTGGAATTTGCAGTATAAGCATATCAACACGTGACAGTGGTTTTGACTTTCAGATTTTGAGCCTCGTTGCTCTGCTCAAGTGAAGACTCACCTGTGTCTCAATTGAAAGACAGGTGATACTCATGATATGGACTATGAACACTTCCAATTCATGTACATCTGTGCCTCATAGCTTCCTTCTATCCACCCGCTGTTAGCTTCTTCCACAAAACCACAATGAGAGGCGTCAAGGTCTTCTCGGGCAGGTCCCATCCCACCTTGGTCCAAACCATCTGTGAGAGACTGGGCACCTCTCCGGCAAAGTGTGAATTGGGCAATTTTGCAAATGGAGAAATCAGTGTTCAGATCGGAACATCGGTCAGAAATGAAGACGTCTTCATTGTCCAAAGTGGCAGTCCTCACATCAACGACAGTGTCATGGAATTGCTCATTATGATCGCTGCATGCAAAGGCGGCTCGGCCAAATCAATCACCGCCGTCATGCCCTACTATCCCTATTCACGCCAGTCAAAGAAAAAGAGCCATCGTGGCGCTATCACCGCCAAAATGCTGGCCAACCTCATGGTAGTGGCCGGTGTGGACCATGTCATCACAGTCGACCTGCATGCCTCCCAAATGCAAGGTTTCTTTGGCAAACCTGTCGACAATCTGTTTGCTGAACCCATCATTGCTCGTTGGATCAAGGCCAATGTTCACCGCTGGAAAGACGCCGTGGTTGTGAGCAAGAACGTGGGTGGTACCAAACGAGTCACTTCTTTAGCCGATGCTCTTAAATTGAGCTTTGCCCTTGTGTCCACCGATAGAGACCGTTCTCGACCATCACATCATCACAACGCCTTGATGGATAGCACAATCTTCTTCGACGCCATCGAACCACAATCCCTGCGGCTGGAGCATATGATAAGCGAAGAGGAGGACGAGGATCAGGCTGACAACGACTCCGAAGATCCGTTCAAAGGCCCACGACAGAATGTGCTTGCTCACCGAAACAAACGATCTGCAGTCGACGGAGCTAGTCGGCCCAGTCGACCAAAGGCGGTCACAATAGCGTCAAGCCCCCTCGTGCAGACTGTGCGGGTCGATTCGTCGCCTGCTGCTCCCTCGTCGAACGAGCTGACCCGAATCGAGACAGCACCAAGCGCGCGGCGGCCCTCTGAATATGAAGCAAACGAGGCGCACAATGATGAGAGAGCTCGGGATGTCGTTGTGGGTCGATTAGTACAAGGTCATCTGGTCGACGAAGACCACCCATCCCCTGCATTATCAGGCTTATCAGCCTCGATCTCAGGCTTTCCTTCTGACCGCAATCTGCTGGATAGCACTGACAACACTGGATATGATCCCATGACTTCTTCGTTCGTATCAACTACCTCTTCCTACAACCCGGAACACGCACTTGGTGGTACATTTGACGCTGCCGCTACTTCTGATGAAGAGGAGGAGCAAATCAAAAATCCCGATCTCGAGCACACCATCACCCTGGTCGGCAATGTCAAGGATAGAACAGTCCTTCTGATGGACGACATCATCGACAAGTCAGGCTCTTGGATTGCTGCCGCGGAAACGTGTGTGAAAATCGGACGCGCTAAGAAGGTGTATTGCATAGCCGTGCATGCATTGTTCGGCGATGATTCTTTGGAGGAACTGGAAGATTGCGATTGCATCGACCACATCGTCGTGACAAATACCTTTCCCATTGCGCCTGAGCGGGTAAGGGCGTCAAAGAAGTTGATCGTGATCGACCTCTCGAATCTGCTTGCTGAGGCGATCCGGCGAAATCATCATGGAGGTACGACAATTGGACCCCCAAACCCCGGCGCAGAAGCCAAGCTAACTCAATGAATCACAGAGGATATGTCCAGCATGTTTCATATGCAAGAATAAGTGGGAGCCCATATGATTCCAGGGAGTGACAGACACCCATCATGTTGTTGCTGGACAGCCCAGCATGGATCCATCTCCCGTTCCGGCCGGGATGGTGGAGGTGACGACCAACATAGCTGCGGAACCTTCCCGTAGAGGCAGGACAAACCGTTTTGAGCTGCGACGGTCAACGTCTGGTTGGATGAAACTAAATTCGCATAAGTCATGCAGACGGGAATAGCCACGGAATCCTTGTCGACCCTGCAGACATGCCGCAGCCTCGTCACAACGATTTTCGGATTTTCCAGCCACATTGCAATTCGGACTGCAGACGATCATGAACGGTGCAGGTGCTGGCATTTTCGGATTTGTGTAACCCACCCTCCACAAAACGTAAGACGACTACTCTCTGTGGTATCGAATGGGACTTCTTCCAGAATGACGCCAGAATGTGTATTAGTATCATTGGCCTATGCCGCCACTAGGCAAACCCTGCATATTGCTCGCTCGATATACCCTCGACACTTCAACGTCGAGTCAGCCGTTTATGCTGTTGAAGTCTTCTACTGGTACTTCCATAGTCCTACAAGCCGAACGGGATCTTTGCATGGTACCACTCTTGTTGGCCTGGAAATACGTCCACCAATCTTGAAAAAGGCAAGAGAGTTTTTTTGCATGATGTGACCAACTTATCGCAACCCCTGTAACTCTTCATGGCAATGACCCTATAAAGGTTAGTAATCGCCTTGGAGAGTCGGCGATAGCAAGGATTCGGATCCGCGTGTACGGCCTCGCTTAAGGACCGATTTTGGAGGTCAAGCCTTACTTGTAAGGGTTCCGCATGCATTTTGTTAGGTTCGATCGTCACGCCTTGCTCGGCGATCGCGCCCATCTACCGAGATGCTGGAAATCGCACACTGCAGCGATTGCGCTTGTCTCGCCTCGCCCGACTCCCTTGTGTTGAAACCGAGCTTCAATGCTCCCGCTATCATGTAACGACAAGAACGATATATCTCGTGCACTTGACTGTTTGAGCGTGTCAGGGCTGTGAATGAGCCCCTGATCAGCTGTTCTCTGACTTACCCAAGCCTTTCGATCACAATTCACGAGATATCATGTCCCAAACAGCCATCGAAGGTATAGAGTATGCTCCTTGGTATCGACGATGCGCGATAGGCCCTCCACGAACAGGGTATATTGCACTTATGCAAGCTATTTCTAGTACTGACTTTGAATCCTGGTTCGGGTCTGGATTTCTTTTCCATTTGATACTCGATCCCTATCAAGGGCTTCGTGCCGTCTTGTGCCTGGCTGAACTCAAACTTTTAGACTGACGGCTAAGCACATCCCGCCCTGCGCCATGACTTTCTAGGCTGCTTCCACATTCGAAAAAGCCTGGCAGAACCCGCCCATCGGTGCCTACCGACATCTGACGGATATTCGGAAAGCCTGTTTGACAGATCGACAAACCCTGACACTCGGCGGCAGGGCTTGTTGACAAACACCTTGTCGAAAGTACCTCCATCCTCCTCCCTCACTCGTTCAGGCACACCCCCCCCCCCCTTTACTGAATAGGATGTCACTTGAATGGTCTCTGCCGTCCGCATTTGGGTCCTCACGAACGATGCTGGTTCGCCTTTTTCAAAGTGCATGACGCCCATTTCGACGCGGTGAAGGAAAATCGATGTCGCTATCACTCTTGAATGACCGGGGAACATGGGTTGGGTTGACATTGATACCTGGACATACCTTTTCATTTGCTATATTCATATTTCAAACAATTCTGCAGCTGAATGCTGCTTGTCTGTCGCTACCCATTACACATCTTGGACTTGAAATCGAAACAGTGGACACTTCAAACCAGAATCAGACCAACAAGGAACAAAAATGGGATCCCGATCAAACACCGGGGTAAGTCTGACCTCAGCCCTTGCGATGTCAGCTGCCATATTAACATGGCATATCTAGCCGGCGAACACGCGTCCGAACTATCGGTACCGAGAAAAGGACTGCCCGGGTCACGAGTACGTGGGCAAGTACAACGAGGGCCACTGCTCGCTGATCTGGACTTGCGGCAACTGCGGCGAGAAGACGACCAAGGTCTGGCAGTGCCGTCTTTGCGGCTATACCGTGTGCAACATGTGCTATCGGTATAGTAGTAAAGTCACTGGCAAACAGGCAAAGGAGCAGCCTAAGTACATTGACAAGAAGTATGGCTGAGGCAAAAACAAGGTCAGTAAAAAATTTCAAAACATCTTTCCACATATACCAATGAAGTCGAATGGGATCGCTGATGTCAACGCTATCTTCAGTCTCTGAGCACCTGTTACCTCATCTGGTGCCGAGAGCTCCTGGATGCTCCTCCTAAGAGGCTACCGATGCTTCAGATGATCACAAGCGAGTAGTGACAGTAGCCGTGCTCCCAGAAGGATTCGATCACTGCAGAGCTGACGGGTCTTCTACGGGTTCATCACAATGTCAGTCACTGCACAGCACAGCCTGATATCTTGCCGCATCAGCACCAGGGATGCCGTAATGACCACGGCAGAAGCACTTCACTTCAACTAGACATACTTTATGCATGGTCCATGGGGTTGCTCGAACGGGAAACGCATATGTTTGGCCACGGAATATTGCATAGGGAGCGGCGTTTCTTATCGAATATGTTGACTGCAGAAAGTACTTCGGCATGCTTCAGGGTAGCGTTTTCTAGCATTCCCAATTTGAGAGTGTATGGCCTGAGGCAGTATGCGCCTTTCCAAGACCTTGGACTCTCTGAAGCAATGACAATGAAACGAGCATGCCAGTCCTGCCGAGACCGAGCTTCTTCCCCTTCAACAATATCCTTTCAATCTTGTCATGGTGTTCGTATTCAAAATTACTCTTCAGCCTCACCATCGTGTTTCGGACTCGTTAGCCTTACGATCGCCGGAAAGGCATGCTCCGAAGTCGGATGACCGTCGCGTATGGCACAGATAACCTGACTCCTGATCTACAATTCACAAGGCTATCGTCCGGATTTGCGAATAAAAGCACGCCAATCTGGTGTAACAATTGCAGATCAATTTGTCCCGTCACATTGGTGCTGCAGAAACGTACTACTATTCGGATACTTGGCATGATGTACGTTGCAAATCCCTTTAGTGCCTCCCCCGATGCCCCGGTCGATCACAGCCTTATCAAGGCACCTATTACCTGTTTCGGGATAGAATATTCCAAATTACGGACACAACAGATCGTCGTCTTTAGCGAAGGAACTGTCCATCCTCGTATTCAAGAGCCAGCTTGCTTGTAGAATGAAATCGTGGAATTTCCAACTTACTCGTGTCCGGTGGTCTATGTATCGTTGTGTCACGGGATTGCGTGGACAGCCGTATAACCGAGGATCTCGTGAACACCGAATGACGATGCTTTTATGATGGATACCCGCACGACCGGATCCGGGTGACACAGATATATGCTCATTCCATAGCGTAGCAGCCGTTGACGTATCCCATGCTGGCTGAGATGAAGAGCCCCGGCAGGGTTTGCTCATTGTGCAGGTTTCGACCCTGAAAGTCCTCGACTGGAACAAATCGTGCTTGGCTCATGGCAGTCGCGGTGGATCCTGTAAGAAGGAATCCTTTCTTGCGATCAGATTCTTGAGCGGCGCGTCTAGAATACATGCATCATAGAAAAACAAGTGCAGCAGTGCCTTTGTCTCCTCAAACTCCAAAAGGCCAAGTCGAACAGCCATGATGGCCATGTGCTTCGAGAACCATCTTGTCGGTGAGTTTGCAGCTGCACTGGCTGTCTCCATGGGACCTATAAGCCCCAGCTCCTCACCAACCGCGCCCACGAAGAACAAAAAGAACAAGATCTCGACATGTTCGAGTGTGCCTACGTCAGCCATGCGGTCCAGGATTCGAGCTAGAGGATGTCGCAAGTGAGCAAACTGGATTTCAACATTGACTTGCTCCCAGCTGTTGAGGAAGATGATGCGCTTGCAGTACTCCAATCCCAGACATAAACACTGCTGTAAGTCAATTGCCATTATGCTCTGAGTGGTAGCGTTGTGCTGGCTAGGAATTTGCTGGCCGATATCGAAATACAGCGACAGGCACTGACTGGAAAGTGCGAATCGACGCACACGAATCCACCCCTGGATGTCCTCGCTTAGTTTGGTGGCTGTTTGCGTCAACTTTTCGGATATGCTGTTTACTTGAGCGATCTGCTGAACCAGGTGTTTGGCATATAAGGTTTCGCGATGACTTTGCAGATACGGCTGCAGCGAGGTAGGGATATCGGGATGACAAGGATCATTAAGCGACACACATGTGTCGACATGCGAATTGATGCTGGAGCTTGCGAGTGCTTGTGAAAAGCCAGCAAATTGCTGTTCTGCCCATGATCCAGGCTCCCAGTCCGATGTCGCCAACCTAGGACGTTGCAGAAACACATAAGCGAGATTCATGTCGAGGATTACAAGCTGGAAGGTCAAGATCCGATCAAGGCGACCGAGTCCTCCGACCTGTTTGACCAGAGCGGCTATGGCTTTGGCGTGAAGGTCAGCCTCGATGATCTCGCCGGCGAAGAAATGCATGGTTGAGGCGATATACATTCCTTTCAATACCTGGAACCTCAGCTTTGGCTGGGTCATTGCGTCCCTCAGTGACCGAAGGCAGGATACCTTGTGCTGAATTGCGAGTGAGGCCACTTGCCTTCTCTCTTGAGACAAACTCATGCCTTGGATCATGAAGACCAGAGCGCCCGCGAACAGGCCGTGGAGTTGTACCTCGATGGCCAAGGCGGCGCGAATCTCTTCCAACCACATGACTTTTGTTCTCTCCATCCAACTCGGGTTGTCTCCAGATGGGCACACTGCTCTAAAGAAGCGATATTGCCAAAAGTTGATGAGGTCATGCTTTAATGCCGTGATTGGTAGTGCTGCAGCTGAGAAGGGATCAGAGCTAGCACAACCTAGGAGAGAAGACGGCCCGGGAAGATGGTTCTGGCTCGATCTGAGCGGCCTTGACAGGGATGCCCTTGCTAGAGAAGGTGATGTAGCTGGAGACTGTCTTCGAGGTGGTGCTGACTTCTCAAGGTTCTTGCTGATGTTGTCTGTCGGGGTTCTAGATTTATGGAAGGGTGCCGGAGCAGGTCCTCCTCGCCAATTGTAGTCGCTTTCACGTTGATTAGGACGTTCTGTTGGATGCGCAGTCGACCGCCGGTCAGTTTGTGTGGGAGACGCCGGCTTTGTGGCAGGACCGCTTAATGTTCCACAGGTCTGAGGCCAGCATCTCGGGTATTTGGTATCCCGCTTCAGTGCCTTGATTCTGGCCTGCCTTCGCCATCGTCTATGTTCGCCGTGAACATGAGATCTGATGACGGACACCTCCTCAGCGTCCTTCTTGCCAATATCCTCGATTTTCTTGTTGATGAACAAATATCGACCACTTGGTGTGGCGGTACCTTGAGGCATCTCCACCTATATCTCCGCAAATTGTACGGTGTCTGGCAGTCTCTGCATGATCTGGGAAGTGGAGTTATCATCGGGCATTGAGTGGCTATGGCTGCATCTGCAAGTATGACCAGCGATTGCCGATTTTTGAGCTGATGAATCGACAGCGAGGAAATCAGCAACCATAGTCAATCAAGTACAATTCCCACTTTGCATTTTCTTGTCTTGTGTGCCATATGCCAAAGGACTTGATGTCATGGTCGATGTACCAGACTCTGGGACACTGATGTAAGCTCTCCGATCTTCGATCGCCAAGCGACGCCCTTCGGCTACTGCATTTTGCATGTTTGCAAGCCACATACCCAGCGGCGATACTCCGTAAATGTCAGCATAGACCTGGCGAGAAACTTGTATTCGGTGGTTGTCTTCCAAAAGCATGGAACGCGGTGGAATTTGTGGCATCTTCAAGGACGATGGTGGACGTCGGCCAATATTGGTGATGTAACCTTACTTGATGGCAACAGCGACCATAGAACAGCTCTGATGATCTGCAAAGACGACCTTTGTACCCGGGACCAACGAACCGATAATAGGGAGCAGTGACCTTGGCAGCAGGCTCTCAATTGACAGTGCAGGTTGGTATTTTCAACCAGTACGTGCTCAAAATGGCTTTCGGATAGCTGGGAGTGGCGACAGAAATGGTCAGCCTTTCCATCCCTGAAAATGCAAGCCTAGGTCATAGGAAGATATGGTCCAGAATAAAGCAAAGATGGCGACTTTCATTGTATGCCGTGTCCTAATGAATGAACGTGCAATTTCAGTACATACGTCTGCTTGGCTGCATAACGGATCATGAGAACTCTCGACCTTCCAAAACAACCGGTGCAACAAGAGTCCAGCTGTAAATCGCATAGCACACCCAAGCACTGATAATCTTGATCCAACTTGCCCAGTATGTTCGACCAACAGGAGTAAAGTCACTCGAATTCTCAGGATCCATCTTCTGCGTCAACAATGTAGCCACCCAGCATGTCGCCATGAGGAAGATGACATGGAACAGGCTGTAATTGTATTGAGTGCCTTGGCGTTCATCATCTTTCGAGCTCACAGTTGTGTCGTCTTCGTCGTCAGAATCTTCATCCAAAGCCGAGGCAGGAAGCGCTCCACTCTCAACGGCTGCCCTCATGATTTCCCGACGAGATGCAGGCTGCTGAGTGACAAGACCGTGCTCATATTCATCTTGGGAGACTTGAGAATATTTGTTTTTATTGTTCGTACCGATCGCGAATCCTTGTGTAGCTGCCCGCGTAGTTGTGTACGCAATCGTAAGCATTGTCACAATCGCTCCGACCACAACAGTGGTAGTTCGTGCACCACGAGCTCGAATGAGCGGGTTGCAGTTTTTGTCATCAGGTTCCATGCACACCGCCGAGAAAGTCAGATAGGTGCAGTAGGCCGCCACCATGGCAGACTGAGCCAGTCCTGCTTTCGGGTTTGCTTCCTGGATAGAGGGCTGGACACTGAGGAATGTGACAACAAAGATCATGATCAAGTTGATCGTGATTGCCGTGATGTTCATGCTACATCCGCTGCTGGCGAAGAAGATGTACATGACTATTGTCATAGCAAATGCGGCCAAGTACATACTCAGGCTGGAGCCCATAAGCAGCAATTGCCATAGTCGATAATTCTGACCGTCACCGTCATCGATCTTGTCCTGACAGAGTTCGGCCCAACCGTGTGCAAGGTCGACGAGAAGAACCAGACCTAGTAGGACGAAGAGCATGGCTCCAATATAGGCGACGTAGTTGCCCCAGAAGAGGAAGAATCCTTCCGGGATCAAGAAGGATATCACAATAAATGCGAGCCACACCAGTATCTTTGGACCCCAGAAGCCATTTTGTAGACCTGCTCGAGTATCTTTGGTGCTCCGTACACCGGCGAGGAGAACGGAGAGGATAAAGTGGAAAAGACCGAGGGCGAAGTTGATTCTCTGAACAGCGAAATAGCCGTAGCATTCATTTGAGCCGCACTTGAAGTTCATGTAATCGAGTGTAAGGTGTTCAAGTTTTCTTATCGCCCATGGGGTGAGCATTACCCACGCCAGAATGCTGTTAACCAGGAGAATCATGGCGTATGCGATTCTTGTAGCAATTGATGACCGAAACTTGGACATGCCACAAGGTCCACAGAGCATGGAGCATGACGCCGCACCACAGCATGAGGCTCCGACCGACCATAGTGTCGCTGCAGATGGCAGCAACAGTGCTGGGATTGCGAGAACGGCACCCATATTGAAGAGGGAATGAGTCGGTAGTGGCCTCGTGAGAAGATGAGGAAGGGCGAACCCGGTTATTGGGACTTCAGTGTCGGGTTTTATTGCGGCTGATGTCGCCTCAAGTAGTAATAGAAGCTTTATGCGACTCGAATGAAGTTGACTGGAATGGTATGAGGGATTTAGGTGTGGTTGATATCGATGGCGATGGTAATGGCAATGGCGAGGTTGGGTCAAGCGCAGGCGGCACCGTTTGGAAGGTTCGGGACTCGGGACTTGGACTTTGAGGCATTGACGACGACAACCATTGATGCCAGGACATGAAACTGGGTAGGTTAAGCGATGGGTTGACGCAGTGTCCAGTGCGCTGTTCCCCGTTTCCAACTCCACGGAGCGATTGATTGCTAGAGGGAATGCCGCTCGACGCGTGCTCCGAGCCCGGACCAGATGCCGATACCATGGCACGATTGAAGTGACACTCTCAAATGTTGTACCCTGCACACCCAGTTATCTTCCTTGTCCTTCAGGAGAGCTTCATTCTCATCAGTATGAGGGCATAACCCCAGGCTGCCCAGTCAATCTCCCAGCACAATGCTGCTCTCCTCCGACCCTCACAAGAGGGCGAGAATAATTACCGTCATCGCATGTACGACGATTGCACTGGCATGCGGCACAAACGTATGTGGCTCTCCCAACACGAGATATACAACACTGACTGACGATACATCAGTATGGATACTCAATATGGGGTCCTAGTTTCGCCGCACGCCTCAAATTGTCTGCTACGGACAGTAACCTCATTGTACGAATGCCACCCGAACCTAGAGAGATGTACGAATACTGATATGTTGGCAATGTGCAGGGCACCATTGGGAACCTTGGAATGTATGCATTTGGGGTTCCGTCAGGAATGATGGTGGATGCCAAAGGTCCAAGATGGGGAGTTACACTGGGAGTTATCTTCTTTGCTGTGGGATACTATCCAATTGCTCGAGGTATGAACTGGCGACCGCCCGACATCAGGGACAGAGTTGACAAGAAGCTACAGCATACGAGGCTGGTCCTGGCGCATACAGCGTGGGCTTGATCTGCCTCTTTTCGTTCTTTTCCGGCGCTGGAAGCTGCACAGCATTTTCATCAGCTATCAAAGCGGGTGCGTGGCCAGAACGATGTTGTCCGACAAAAACTGACTTTCAGCAGCTGCCCTCAACTTCCCCGAGTCCAGAGGTACAGCAACAGCATTTCCGTTGGCCGCTTTTGGTCTGAGTGCAATGTTCTTTGCAGCTGTCGATTTGCTGCTTCCATCAGGGACCTATAACTTCCTCGTTCTATTGGCAGTAGGGACAGTTGCTTTACCGTTGCTCTCTTTCCCATTCTTGCGTGTTATACCCCCTCAGAGCTACCACAAAGTAGCGCAGCAGGAGCGACAAGTTCTGCATAGAACTCGAGCAGGAGATCCCGAACACCCTCATTACGAAGAACCAGGTGCGCCCCGTCACACCCACAAGACCCCATCCTCAGCAAGCACAGAAACCCCCGACCCAGAAGACGGCCCTGACCCTGACCCTGGGGACGAACAATCTTCCCTCCTTTCCAGATCCTCAGGCGACGATGTCGAAGACCTTGCAAGTTCCAAGCACACGCTATCTGACAGGAATCATGAATCTCCACATTTAGATATCAGAGGGTTTGCTCTACTCCCGCTTCCGGAATTCTGGCAGCTATTCTCCATGCTTGGGTTATTGACTGGTATTGGCCTGATGACCATCAAGTATGACTTATCCATGTTCTGCCCACGACTGTCGCTAACATCTATGCAGCAATATCGGCAACGATGCTCAAGCTCTTTGGAAACATTATGATCCGAATACCACTTCAGACTATATCCAAAAGCGCCAGGCGATGCACGTCGCAATACTTTCCTTCTGCAGCTTCGCCGGCCGTCTGACCAGCGGTATTGGATCCGACATTCTCGTCTCGAAACTCGGGCGTTCACGGTTTTGGTGCCTGTTCGCGTCTGCGATAACATTCTGCGTTGCCCAACTTGCTGGCACTGCAATATCCCACCCAAAAATGCTTGTGTTCCTGTCCGGACTGACAGGTTTTGCGTACGGCATGCTCTTCGGGGTCTACCCAAGTTTGGTGGCGCACTGCTTTGGCGTACACGGGTTGAGCCAGAACTGGGGCACAATGACCCTGGCGCCCGTGGTTTCGGGCAACATCTTCAACATACTTTACGGCAAGATCTATGACGCACACTCGATCAAGAATGAGGATGGCGACAGGGAGTGCCTGGAAGGCAGACAGTGCTACAGCACAGCGTACTGGGTCACTTTTGGCGCGGCGATTCTTGGGGTTGGGTGCTGCCTTTGGAGTATCTGGCACGAATATAAGATTCACAAGCAGCGCAATGGTAAGGAGGGTGAGCGGTTGGACCACGAGAGAACCGCTTGAATTGACTGTTGCTAGACAGCGGAGTAGCATTGCGTTTCCTTCCAGCATGAGCACATAGACACGACTTTCGTATACTGAGGGCCACTCCTTAGTGAGACGAGAAGAAGCTGTAGAGAAGCAGAGATTCAACTGGTGCGGACGTGGGCTCACGGCCTGAACCGCGCTAGGAAGAAATGATATTGAGAGTCGAAAGCGAGCCTGTGTTTGTAATGATAGACATGGTGGTCTCGCAAAGTCCCTATATCCAGCCACGACAGACGTTCTGGCGCCATGAACTCTTCCATGCCTGATTCCTACAAGCCCTTCCAGCCGTGACAAAGCCATAGTAAAATGGAGTCTGGAGATCTCCAACGCCCAGCCAATGCAGTAACAGCACCATTGGCGCAATATAACTCGTAGTATTCTTTTCCGTGCCGTTAGAGCCCATTTTGTGTGACTTTCCGCTGTTGGTTTTCACACCAAGTACCTGTTTCCATTGCGCCTACGCCCTTCCGCAATGCATTCAATTCCATAGCGTAATTCATTCGTGATCTTACACATCTGACACAAACTCGAAAGTCACCTCAAGCCTTGTCTGCGATCGCAGCAGCGTCCGATGCCCCCACTTCAGCTTCGACGGGCGGACTCATTGCGAGTCTGCTCGGAGTAGGTGGAGTATTGGCCGGTACGGCGCTCATTTCGGCGATCTGCTTCTCCAGCTCTCGGATCCGTGAGCGCAGCAGCTGATTCTCTCGAGTCAGGTTGGCCGTCTCCGCTTGGTAATAAGCACTTTCGTCGCGGAAACTGTTTCTGCGCGCATTCTCGAGAAGTGGTGGAGTCCAGTCACCGATTGTCCCCAGACTGGATTCGCGGGCTCGCATGGCGGGCGAGTGGCTTGTACTTGACGGCACGCGGGATATCCGTTGTGTCGGTGTCGGTTGTGTCGAGATGGCGGGATGGACTGGGGGGAAGGAGAATGATATGGAGCGTTCTGAGGCGGGAGTTTCGTCGTCGAGCACCGCAGTACTGTTGCCGGTGACTGCCGAAGTTGGTTGGGATGGGGTATGACTTGAGTCTGTTTGATTATTTCGTAGGGAGTCGAGTTGGAGCTGTTGCTCTCTTATCATCTGTAGCATGCGGTTGACTTGCATTTCCTGCTCTTGTTCCAATTCATTGTGAATCTCGCCTAGACTGTGTTGGCGCTGGTGATGAGGGTCGCCGGTGGCTATGGCTGACCGTCCACCTATTGTCGAAGGACTTGCTGACACGAAGCTGTGGCTTGGACGTCGTGAGTCGCTGCTTACGACTTCACCTGGGCCCGGGAGGGTTGGGTCATTCAGGTTGAGGTTCACTGCGACTTGAGAGCGGCGGCGGTCACTGGGCATTCGTCCAAGTCGCGGGGAGCCTCGATTGCTCAAGGAGGATCGCCGAGACTCATTTGCAGCGTTGGTGAGGGCGGCGGTGGCTAAAGATATAGACGAGGGTCGAGGTGAAGGGGTCTCTTGTCGGCCTGGCGGTGATGTTGCGGTCTGGATTGATCTGGGTTGCATCGGTGATGAAGACATTGATCTCGAAGGAGGAAGAGAATTTAGGTCAGGAGGAGCCATTGAGCAGGCGTCACGAGTTCATGAATGTGAGAAAGGTAATGAAATGGCAAGTCCACAGGCAGACAAATTATGGGATGAGTATGGAAATGGGAGTACAGAGCGCGGCAACTGGCGGCGACCAGGTGACCTTATGAAGATGCTTGGCATGAGAGACGGTGAGGCAAGGAGTTCAGGTAGTTGACGGAGGATGAATCAGCTTTTGAGCCATATTCATCGTTGAGCGACATAAGATATACGAATTGTGAGGTTGATGTACTGGCGGATGAGGTTTATGTCAGTGATGCTGGCGTAAGCTCATATTGTTTTTGTTTCTCTCATATGACTCGCTGCGTCACAGGGTCCTGGGGTCTTGAGGGGAGTAAGTTGATAGAATCAAAATCCATGGGCACATCGAGTAGTAGCAAGTCTTTCAGCCTCAACGTATGAAAAAGAGGCTTCGACAAGACTCGAGGGCCTGAGGTTCTTTCAGATATGTCGGTACGACTAGTAATTGTGGTAGTAGGTACACTACCAGTTGGCTGCCTCCAAGTCGTCTCTCCGCATTCGAGTCTGCTACGTCATGGGTGAGGTGGCTCTACAAGGCAGAGACAGCAACAGCGGCAGAGTACTCGTACCTCTCTAGTAGCAGCAGCAAGCAGCCTCACAAGCATACACGACAACATGTCGGTACTTAGTTCGTCTTGACTATAAAGCACTATTCTCTGATCAAATTGTACGTGCTTTTAGGTAATCCAATCAAGTATTGGAGTACCAAGTAGCCGGGGTTACGGGTAATGCTAGGGCCAATTCTTAACTAGCGATTGCGACTGCAGAGGCCATCTGGGTTCAGTGGGTTGTTTATCGATCGCACGCGCGGGAACAACAAGCAGCGGGATTCCCCCCAGCCACTTGGATTTTTCCATTTCTACCGGCCCTTCCCACTCCCATCCACCAAAAGGGCCCCCCTCATCATCACTGTTTGTTGTTCCTCCACTCACTCCATCATACACAGTGCTGTCGCATTGCTGCATTTCTGCATCTATCGCCACTAAACATCGCACCAATATTTTGTCGCGTAGTCATCTATCACGTTTGTGCTCATCACACAATCATGTCAGGGCTACCCTACCTCCAGAAACTGCGCAAAAGCGATCTCACCGAGTTCGCCGAGACCAGCAAGTTGACAGAGTGAGTTGCACCCCAAAACGCGTCAAATCGCGGTCGCATTCACCAAGACAAGATGGCTAACATGTATGCGACTGCAGTTATGCTTCTCTGAAGAAAGCCGAACTCGAAGTCGCGCTCGATGAGCATCTGCGCACCAACTCGACCACCTACGCCAAGGTACCTTCTTTGAGCGAATACTACAAGCGCCTGAGCAGCACTTCGCGATCACCCATCAAGCGCCTCGCGGAAAAGGTCTCGGAGACGCTCAAGTCGGACGAAGAGAGCACCGCGCCCGTCAAAAAGTCCCGGCGCAAGACAACTGCACCCGCAGAAGACACGTGAGAAGGCACTCCTTCTCCGACAAAACACGTATGCTAATCAATCGCTGCAGAACCGACAATGAATCACCAGTGACTACTCTCATCAAGCAACCAGCAAAGGAGATTGCGCGTCGTTCGTCTATCTTGAGGTCCCAGATGCCCATCCCACCATCACCAGCTGTGGTCACGGATGCTATTGAGCAACAAACGCGTCGCATTCGCACTTCCGTCTCCCACGCTTACGATGAGACCCATATTCACGAATTCTCTGACGCCGCACGCGATTACCTCTCATCGCCCTTGACTGTCACGATCCTGGCCACCTTACTCGAGGTTTATGGTCTTCGCGCACAGGTCTTGCCCAACAAACTGTTGACAGAGGTGCCTGCGATTCCCTACATCAAGTCGACAAAGACAGCCATCAGTGTGCCCGACTTGTTCTTGCTCTTGGACACCAAGTTCTGGGCTCCTTTCTCTCTATGGACCTTGACGTCTCTGATCCTCCCGGCGATAATCTCGTACTTTATCAACCTGCCACTCAAAGCTCATCCAAGTCACTCTTACTCGACACGCCGAGCCGCCGTTCAACACAATGCGCAAATGCAGTTTGACCCATTCATCTTCAATCTCGCCAAGGGTCTGATCGCCTACCTGGTCTATGCACAGCACTTCAACCTGGCTGGTAGCTACCAGCATTTCACGATCGCCACAGTGAATGAAAGCATACTTGGTGGAGTCTCTGCAATCCTCATCAGCTCCGGTATTGGTGCTGCTGTGAGCTTGTACGAAGCCGTGTTGAAGAAGTAAACGTTGGTGGTGGACGAATATAGGAGTAGGAGTAGCTTGGTCGCGATGCTGTTTGCGTTTTACGTCGATCAATGTACAGAGCTTGCCGTTGGAAAAACTGGATTTGGACGAGTTATGAGTCTCCTGAGGCGACATGACACGGGCGTTTTGGGTGTCGCGTTCTGGCACATTGTCAGGTGCTAGTTGGTTTCTTGCTGCTTATACCCATGGCGCTATCCTTAGCGAGTGTGTGTCTGGTGCATACATAAGGGAGAACTACATCTACAGTCGTTGTTATGCTTAAGATCACGCCTGAATTGATGGCGATTCAGTCTCGTTGCTCGAATATAAATGCACAGCTTCATGATGCCAATTCACCATAAGCTGCTTTACAGGTTCCATTTTTATGTCAATAGGGCGGCAAGTGATAGTTCATCCGCATCTTTTTATGGTTCGTAACAACATCTGCCCTCAAGACTGCATGCCTTTCCAAGATCCAGGGACTCGGTAAAGTGTGGGCCTAGAGATGAACCAGATTCTTGAGATTTCTAGATCACCCACACAATCCATCGTGTTGCTATGCTCGTGATCAAGGGTCTGTTCTCTGGGTTGGAACAAGGTCTTTTGAGACCGACCAGAGACCGCGATGCCAGCACCGGACGATGTTTACAAGCATGATGTTGACTTTACGACTCTGGCGCTGCAGTATCCCGACTTTGCGAAGAAACTAAAATCCAATCGTCAACTCGACTTCTCGGATCCGGAGAGTGTCAGACAACTTACGAAAACTCTGCTGCACCGCGACTTCGACATCGCTATTGATTTGCCGGAAGACAGGCTTTGTCCACCGGTTCCAAACCGATTCAACTACATCTTGTTCATTCAGCGTCTTCTGGACTGTACATCGCCTGACTTTCGTGATGGGTACAACCCGGACCGACAGGTCATTGGCCTGGACGTAGGGACAGGCGCCTCGGCCATCTATCCGCTTCTAGCTTGCCAGCAGCGACCTATATGGCTATTCCTCGCCACCGAAATCGACGATAAGAGCCGGATGTATGCGGAGAAAAACATCGCAACGAACATGCTTCAGTCGCGGATCAGACTCCTCAGTACAGATATTACAGGTGCTGAACTAATCCCGAGCAAGCAGCTCGAAAGATTTGATCGAATCGACATCCTCATGACCAATCCACCATTCTACGAATCACAAGAGTCCATGCTCGAATCATCACGCTCGAAATCTCGACCCGCAAACTCAAGCTGCACGGGCGCTCCGGTCGAAATGATCACCCCAGGCGGCGAAGTGTCGTTCGTGAGTCGTCTGATCGACGAATCGACCCTCAGCACGAATAGGACACGCATCCAATGGTTCAGCGCCATGCTCGGCAAATTGTCGAGCGTTGGTTTCGTGGTCGAGACACTCCGACAGAAAAGGTGCACCAATTTCGCGGTCACAGAGTTCATACAGGGACAAAAGACGAGAAGATGGTGTGTAGCCTGGAGTTGGTTTGGCTTTCGACCCAGCAGTGCTGTAGCGAGAAGTGTTGGTTCAGGCGTTGAGAAGAAGTTCTTGCCGCCACCTACGGATATCGAGTTTGACGTGCACGCCGACATGGCTACATTGGAGATCAGAACCGGCGAGGAGATTGGAAAGTTGGATGTGCTTTGGAAGTATGTTCCTGCTAGACGAGTGGGCATGCTGATGAGCAAGGGTGGGGATGTGTGGAGTAGGAAAGCCAGACGGAGGAGGGTACACCAGGATCACGAGATGGCCGACCGTGATGATGATCATGAGAAGGACGAAAAGGACGAAGAACAAGAGCCGGCGCTTGTGGCTAGGATCACACTTTCTGCTGCCGTTGTCGTTGACAGTCGAGTAGCTGGGTCGGCGAAGACGAACGTCCATATCAGACATCTACAGGGGCAGGACTCGGTGTTGTTTGAGAGCTTTTGCGGCTGGTTGAAGAGGAAGATTTCATGAAGCCAGAGCCGCCCCTTAAGCAGCACTCGTCGTCACATCAACAACCAAGGAGAAATGTTCTACCTTGCTCAACCATGACAACGCCGGCCTCTGCGCTATTATTCACATTCTCTACGGTGCCCGCAGCACCTACAGTGTCGGCTTCTTTGGTGTCACGTACCGGTAGCCACCAAACCAGCACCGCTGTTGAGTTGATATCAATCCTGCCACACCCTCCCACCACCTTTCTCACGATTCGCCAGGCCACACCTCACCGCCCGCGAAAATATCAGCCCTTCATCAGTTCAACTCGCGAAAAATATGGTCACTATTAAAGTGAGAGTGAGATATCGTCACAGATGTGACTACAAGAGTCTCTGCACTGATTTAGTAAGGAGATCTAGGTGATTCCAAGTCTGAGTACTAGGTGATCCTGTTCTCCAAAGAAAAGAAACGTCCTACCAGCCACATGAAGGTATTATCACTGTCTTCGGCATTAAATGGTCTGGTCAGTTTCTCTCTATCGCAGAGTTACCTTTTTTTCGACTTTTTGGACTTTTCGAGCGATTGAAGATGAGTTTTGATGATATTTTGGTGTTGTGGGAAGTCCATGGAGGCGGTGACCCGGATAAAACTACTCGCAGTCCATGTACCTCACCTCGCTGCCACGATGCCATTAACCGCCTCGTGCGCAAGAACCTCCCATGGCTAGGAGGTACTCATGTCTTCATGTCATCCACCGTCGCTTTGCCCTTGCAGGCGTCTGTCTAACGACGAAAATGGGTTCCTCCGTGTTTGCCTCCAAAGTTGTTTCGGCTTGTGAGACTCCGGCCTGAAATAGTAAGGGATTGACTGTGGGCATGGCTCTACAAAGTCGGGGCAGATCACTTTTAAGTATCTGCCCTTGTGATGAGTTTGTCGGACGGCGTCACTTGCGATGTAGATAATCTTCTCGCGGTCGGCCAAGGACCGTATCGTCTCGGAACTTTCCTTCCACGGCTTGTGGAGGAAATCTACTTACTCGTGAGCAACAGCGTAGCGCTTGCCGTAGGAAATCTGTTCCCTTCAACATGATTTCGACTTGCATTATCGAAATAGTACGAGGTGACGATAGCCTATACGAGCCGATTCTCCGATAGTGGCCACGGTCGAAAGTGATGAGACACCTCGCAAGCCGTAGAGTGACGGTGGAGCCAAGACGGGTTCAAAACACGCCGACTTCACATGCGAGTTCAATGCGAATGATCCACAACATTCCTATCCCTTCTTACAATCATCAACAATTCAGACTCTCGAGCCTCGAAGGCCGCACTATCTCGTCCAAGTAGAGCCCAAGGAAAGATCGCCGTGCTCGCTCCATGATGCGTCCAAAAAGCTCAGGCGCAGCAACAGGATGACCGTTCCCATATTGGCCGCTTGGCCTGGCAGGCCGGTCGCGTGCGTTGCAACGAGGTCACCACCAGTGTCGACGCACAGCGACTCTGAGTGGACAGCTCTATACTCGGAAATCGAGCGACTGTACATCCGCCAACGCCGAAAGCTACGCTATGTCATGCAATACATGGAGCGTGAGCATGACTTCCAGGCAACGAAGCAGATGTATAAGAAGCGATTCACCAAATGGGGTTTCCAGAAGAACTATAAGCGTTCCGCTGCAATTGCGTGCTCTTTGAAGACAGAGGACGACCGCGGAAGAGTGGCGAGCAGAAAGGCCAGCCCAACCGGAGAGCCGGGTCCCATGCCACCATCCCCTAGATTCGGCCACAGCGATGATCTGGCACTCATGTTCCTGAGCCGTGTGCGAGTATGGAGCGTGGCATTCTTTGAGTCGGTGCAATTCGGTGACGAGCTCCGGGCACCTCAGCAGCATGAGCTGCAGCTTTCCACAAGTCCGCTACGGTCTTCCGACGCCAAGGAGGTCAGCTTCGCTTTCAAGCTAGTGATGGACTTGCTCGACCGAGGCCATGGGGATTTGGCAGGCAGGATGGCCCGGAAGGCGTTCCTTCTGATTGAGCACATATGGCAACTTGAAGGGCCCGCGCTGATGTGGAACCTGCTTGAGATGATGCATCACATGGTGACGCTCCGCCATGCACAGCTCTTTCATATGCTGCTGGCCCATCTCATTGCACTGGCTGATGGCCAGATGCCGGAGACTCATCCGTTCCCCGCCATGTTGCGCGGCCTACGAGAACTCGTTGCCGGTCTAACAAGGACGGCATCGGCGACCAAGGGTTCTCCTTCTTTATCATCCTCATCCTCCGGGCCGTCTTCCTCAACCGGCAACGACGCGAAGCCATGCGGTACGACTCCGGAGCCGGGGATCCCCCTCCACACCCTTCAGACCTTGTTAGAGCGAGCTTGGATCCTCAACGCCGAGATTCTATTTGACCACTTTGATCCTCGCCTGATCCTGCTCTACTGCAGCGTCATCTGCGACTCCTGCTCGATCCTGCCCCCTTCAGGCATTGTCGGCATTGTGGATCAGTGGTTCAATCAGATCAAGGCGCAACCGCTGCTCGGCGTTACAGCCGTAAGTAACCATACCCAGGGACTTCTTCCGAGTACCTCCGTCGAGGAGGAGAGGATGATTCAATGTCTTCTCACTCCGCGAATGGATGCCTCGCCACCCCAAGACTACAAGTTGTTCCGCGAGAGGAGTCTCGCTGCACTATGGGAGCGAGGAAACTCCATTCTCAGCAAGGAGGCCGGCATCCCTGGTGACCCCAGCATGCTACTACCTATGCTGGCGGGAATGTTAACAGCGAAAATCCTTGAAGGTTTGCCTCTGACCGCTGAGCTCAATGCAAAACGGCCACGAATTCATGCGGGGCATCTCGCATGTGCATTGAAGGTCTTGGTCGACCTCGATACCGAGCATGGGGGCGGTTTACGGTCATCAAACCTTGATACCATTGAGCGAATTCGCGCCATGGTGGCTCTCCGGGAATATGCTGAGGGGCAGATGGCTCCCCAAGTCATACGGGATCTGTGGCTGCTGCAGGACGCGCTCACCGCGGCCGGCGAATACGCAGAGGCACAGGCAGTGGAACGAGATGCGTATCGTCGAATGGACCTGTACATCCAAGATGTTTCTGTCGATCCCACGTGAGCACTGGATGCTTATTGATGCTACTACCTACGTCCTGGGTAGGTGCTCTAGTATGTACCATGACAGAATTTGAGGAGTTGGTCTTGCATAGTGCTCCAGCCTGGCGAGACGAGACGGATATGTCCAATGTCAATGTCCTAGCACAAGCCCTCCCCAGACACTCCATACACGCCACGCATCTTGTGTACACGGCTCGAGTGGAGGATAGGCCAATCACAAAAGGCCACCGGCATACTAATACCGAGAATGCATTTTCCTCACACGAGAGAGGAGATCGTTGAAATGTACAGGTACTATGTAACAGAAAACAACCTAACCCTCGGAACCATCAACCACAACAACAACTTGCCCTTCCCCAGGTCGCGGCTGGCGGACCCCATGGACAAGGCTTGGGGATTGCTGGGAGCAGACGACAACTCACCGTGCGGTGACATGAGCTAGCCGATCTGCATCTCTACGGGACCTTCGCCCGGTACGCCGGTATGACTGGGCAGCTTGCTCATGGGGATGGCCAGTGAGCACACAAAGGCGACACCGCAAAAGGCGAGCGCGACTGCGAAGGCGGCCTTGAGCCCGACCATGTACGCCTGGAGAACGCCCGGAAGTACGTCCGGTGCGAAGACATTATGCAGGTCGGTGGCGCCAGTCAGAAGTACCAATGCTGGCTGGACCCCCGGGGCCGTCTTGGGCAGAGTGGCCAGCAGCCGGTTGACAAAAGCTGCTTGGCCCACCGAAGTGCTGAACGCACCTCCAACGGTCTGGAAGAACAACAGGTTGGCCGTGACTGCAGCGAGGTCGTCGGGGCCCACGTTTGCTTGGGCAATGCTCAGTCCGTGCATCATGGCAAAGGCCAGAGTGGCGCCGACAAACAATTGATATCCCACCCATTTGGCGGTCGGGGTGCCGATGTCGAGAGTGTAAATCAGGCCCAGGGCGACGGTCGATAGCAGGGAGCCGACGAACATGACCTGCTGCGGCCGACCGGTTTTCATGACGACGGCTCCTCCGGCCAGGGCGAAAACGGCCGCGGCAAGGACGAGAGGCAGGTTATTGACGCCAGATTTGATGGCGCTAGCGCCGAGGATGCTCTGGAAGTATATGGGGAGGTAGTACAGGAGGACAAGGTAGCTGCCCATGAAGAAGAACTGGTACGGGGCCGTGGCGGAGAGGGAGCGCTGCTTGTACAGTCTCGGTAGCATCATGGCATAATCGCCCAGCCAGATCTCCCATGCCACGAGGGCGATGGCGACAAGACCAAACCCGACCAGGAGACCGATCGTCACGCTGCTGTTCCACGGATGCGAGTTTCCTCCGTACTGAAGAGCGAGTATGAAGCAGGTGATGCTTCCCATGGCCAGAGCCACACCTACCGGGTCGATGTGCAACAATTTGCGCGTCCAAGTGACCTGAGGAGGTGCTGCAGCCGCGGGGAGGTGGAAGAAGAAGAAGACGGCGACGGCGGCGACTCCTCCAATCGGCAGGTTGATGTAGAAGCACCATCGCCAACTGACGCGGTCGGTAAAAGCGCCACCGAGAAGTGGTCCCAACACGGCCGCAATAGCATATGTCATTCCAATCACGCCCATCATCATCGGTCGCTTTGCTGGCGCCACAGTAAACGAAACGATACTGGTCCCGCCGACAGAGAGGCCCGCGCCGCCTAACCCAGCAATGGCCCGTCCCACGATCAAAGTCTTGGAGTTAGGTGCCACGCCACAGACCAGACTGCCGACCTCGAAGATGAGCATGGACACCAGAAAGCTCCACTTGAGGTTGTAGTACTTGTATATCTTGCCGGCCGAAGTCTGAGCCGCGCCAAACGTCATAAAGTATGCGGCGGCATACCATGACACGTCGCTGAGGCTGTGGAACTCGTCCGTGATCTTAGGGATTGCAGTGCCGACGATGGTCTAGAAACGGCGGCTTAGTGTCATGCAGGTCGAATGGGAAGGGAATGCATACTTGATCCAATGCAATCATGAAAACGGCGACGAGAGACGCCCCGGCGAGGAGGACGAGTTTCAAGCCATGAGGATACTGGTCGTCGGCCAGGGCATGGTCGGCCTTTTCTTTTTCCTCGCTAGAGAGTGCCACGGCGGTGTCGCCGTCGCCACTACTAGCGCGAGCTTTGTTTGCGTCGATGGTATTTTGGGTCGAGGACGTGGGCGAAACGGTCTCTTCAACAGCCATGGTCGCATCGTTGTTTCGTCTAGCCGTCATCTCTCAAGGCGGTGTATTCGTTAAGGGGGCCTGATGATGGCAGAAGACAAACGGGATGCAGAACCAAGACAGGTAGGAAGTGAAAGGTGATGGGTATCACGGACAGATATACTTATTATACGAGATGCAGAATAGTCACGACCTGGGAGACGGTAACCCCGTTTTGGACACGACATGCTGCATCATCTGTTCGTGTTCGTCCGAACTCACAAGCCCACAGTATGCTCGGCACAAACATTCGACCGTCGGATACGAAGTTCTCGACGCCTCTCAATGGGTTGCGTGAGAGGTATGTCCTGAATTGGACAGTACTCGAGATGTCAAGGAGACCAACGAATGCTTCGGCAACCAATCAGAATTCAAGAAAAAGTTCCTGCAGGACTGACGCCGATCATGTGGATCGTCATGCATTGGCATCTCCTGCGTTCAGGCGACAACAACCTTGCCAGTGCGAGAAGTTCACACGGCATCTCCAATCTGTGGCTGGCTCCAGCTCCATGACTCTTTCTCGCTCGGAGTCCGCTTACAGTATCAGTAATATCTCCTCTCTCCTTGAGAACTCTACGGAGATCGTCCGCCGCAGGCACAGCGACTGTCCGAGCGAATGAGATGCCGTGAAAAAGTTCCTCCCTAAGGGTTTCAACCACCAGAACACACTACCGTAGTACCTCACATACACAGTATGAATCACAGCCATGCTTGATTGATCCAGTCCAAGCGTTTCGTCAACTTCTCGTCCGCCATGGTCCACGTCCGATCGAAGCCGTGCTCGCTAGGTTCATCATGAATGACATCGAGAATCAGCTCGGTCGACCACGAATTCTGCAGGACGGCTTTCTCAAAGGCTATCGACCCTTCCGGCGGCACGCCTGTGTCGTCCTTTCCCTGCAAGATCCATCTGCCAGATACTCTCGTCAGTCGTCAGTCTCTCACAGATCTAGCATGCAGCTATGCTCTTGTGGAGGGAAAAGGGATGAGGAAATGAAACTTACACTTTCGTCGGCAGACCGTCCGTCTCCAGCGGATCCAGAACCCGAGTGAGAGGATTCGTCCGCGGATCCGATTTAAAGAAGGTACCCAATTTGCCTCGTTTCGCCATCGAGCGCGTAAGCAGTCTGCCCTCCGCGTCGACGCGGGTCGTCACGCATCCGGCCGTGCGAGCCTGCTCGATCTTGCGGTCGAGCACATCGCCCTTCCACAGTGTCCGATCCTCATCTTCGCTGAGCTGGGACTCGGGTGGCCCAATGGTGAAATGGTCCATCAGGCAATCTACCATCGGGTAGACGAGGATTGCGGCGCGGATCTGGGCGTGGTGGGTGAGTGCGAGATGGGCTGCATTGAAGCCACCGGCTGAATTCCCCTCTAGGAGGATATGGTTGAGATCGATGGAATGCTTGCTCAAGGGTGTGTGAGAGGCAATGATTGATGGGAGGGAGGAGTGGACCCAGAGCCAGAGGTCTTCGAGGTCGGAGAGAATCTCGGCGACGCTGGCGGACGGGAGGAGTCGATGGTCCGGTGAGATGAGGATGGCGTTGGTAGATGCCGCGTAGCTGGGGAGCCAGGAGGCCATCATGAAGTAGAAGTTACGTGCGCCTGCGATGAGATAGCCCCCGTGGTAGGCGATGATGAGAGGATGTTTGCCTTCTTTGAGGCCCGGTGGCAATACTATGTCGACTTTGATGGGGTGGGGGCCGACTTGTTTGAATCTGATCGGGTGCTTGTGAGTTTAACCAATCTAGGTCGGGTGTTACTTGAAACTGGTATGGGGGACTCACGTTTCTGTTGTGATCTGACAGTCGGCCCATGAGACGTTTGAGGTACTAGTAGCCATGGTGAATGTGCTATCCTTCGAAGTGTTGAGGATGGGAGTATGTCAAGGATATTGGCGAAGATGAGGAGCACTGTAGTCCTGATGCTGAGGCTGAGGGATTGATGCTAGACTTGCTATGATGCTACGACCCGAGAAGTAGATATATACCACCATCATACTGCCATGATAGCCGTATTATACTTATCATGTCGGGTGTTGTTGCAAAAGGCGCGTATCTCGTTCTTCGCTCTTTGCGACCACCACGACGTATTGCAAATATAACATAAGCAACACGGCTTTAACAAGAACCGAGCCGTGAACTTTGACTCTTTGAGGGCGATCGATTGGCTGCATCGCAAGAACTCAATTCTCAATGGGGTAATAGTTGAGTCGCTATGAATCATAGGTAGGTACAGTGGGGTGATGTTCAGTGGGAGTCATTGTCGTCTCAGTTGAGCGGCGTAGCGCTACTCCGTAGTTGATCATAACTCTCCGCGCACCTTCCAAAACTGCAACATGGTGTTTGTACCAATTAGAATGAGATTATACTTTGTACATGAAGGAGTCCGGCACGGACGTCGCCGCCGATGAGTGCCTGTATTTCAAGATTGGCACGTTTACCATGGCGACTCAATACAGGACTGGACGTCTGTACGTTGACCAGCCTCATTCCAATCGTAATGGACCTCACTTCATTGCATTTCGCTACCAGGACACTACTACGACCTCCGTGAGACCTTTGCTGGGAGGCTACGGGTACTTATTCCTTCAACTCATCAATCTCCCCCTTCAACCGCTCCCAAGCCTCGCCCCCTTCCCAGGCCTTCCCTCGTCCCAGCACTCTTCTCGCCGCACTCTTCGCTTTGAACCTCCACTTCGCCTCGACTTGTCCTCCTGTCCTCTCTCGCTCCGTGGGCCCGAGGTCGCGATACTTGCGCATCAGCCAGATCGTCTTGTCAACGACACTACCCCACTGCTTTTCAGACACGTTATCAAATTCCTCCACAGCCGACACCTGCGTCAGAAACGCCCGCCATGACTTCTCAGCGTATAGCAGTGCTTGGGCAGGTCGGCGGCGCCAAAGACTTACGTCGGCTAGTAATTCGTAGAGCGTCGATGATGAAGTTGCGAGTGGTACGATCTGCGTGTCAACTAGGCTTAGGAACGCTCTGGCTATGTGCGGCAGTTTTGACTTTCCAGGCCCTGTGTCGGTGGCCGGGGCCACGGCAGGATTGGTGTCATCATTTGCATCTGCTGCTTCCGCTGCCGTATTCTCGCCAACGTCCGTTGCCTCTTCCGATCCGGCTTCCTCGTCGGTAGTAGGGTACGCAAAAGTGCTGGTAATATACTCAACCAGCACTTTGAATATCGCAAGATCCACAGCACCCTCTCCTTCCTTTTTGGCGCGCAACTCGATGACCCGTCCCATCGCCTGCACGATCTCCGCCCACGGTGTGCCCGCATGAGGAGGCAGACTCGCGGCAACGGTGAGATAATTATCCCAGATCCGCGCGTCATCTCGTTTCAGCGTCGCCGCGCGCCGTAACGCGCGCAAGGCCTCACGGACGTGCTGGTACGGATCCGGGACACTCGCCTGTGCACCATCATCTCCATTATCGACATCTTCATCGGCAAGTACAATTGAAGGTATTGGCGTGACGGTTGGCTTAGGTAGTTTGAGCAAAGAGATAGCCAAATTCGACCACGCCTGTGCATCGTCATCCTCGAGCTGCACGCACCGAGTAAATGACTGAACCGCGCCTAGATAGTCCTCGAGTTCCAATTGTGTGCAACCCAACGCGAACCAACTTTGGCGATCGATTCGTGATACACCCAACGCAAGCAGATACGCGTCTCTCGCGGACTGAAACTCCCGTCGTTTCGCATGATACCTTGCTAACGACCGCTGAGCACGTGCGTATCTGTTTCCTGACACCGTCCATGCGAGATTGTAGTACTCCGGCTGCCCATCAAAATCGCCTAGGATGGAGAGTAGACGTGGAGTGTCGGCGGGTGAGGGTTTGCGTAAGCTCTCTTCCCCTGTCTTAGCCGTGGTGCTCGTGTCATCGAACACAAGGCCACGCAAAAGTTTCGTGGCTTCTGCTTCACGATCCGTCGCAGCTAGACACAGCGCGACTTCGGCGTGCATGTGCAGACGTTCGTAGATTTCGAGTGCCGTCTTTAATCCGCCCATGTGCGTCCAGCGCGCGGCGAGTTCGGCTTCGAGTTCCCATCTGTATGGCGGTGAGAGCTGGTAAATGTACTTCAGGCGTTCGGCTGGGGTGGCTGATTCGGAAGGTTTGGGCCGTGGGAGGAATGTTGTCGCCGTTGAGTCTAACGTAGGTCGTCCGGCAGTATTACTCTCGCTGGCTTCCTCTGTCTTAGATGGCGTGGTCTCAGCAACAACCTGATCAACCAACGCCTGTAGCTGCAACAATCCTCGCTCTGCAGTCCGGGAGCGGTACCCTTCAATCCGACTTCGCACAAGCAAAGCCTGTGTATAGACCTGCCAATTTGAGGAGCCGCCCTCGAGCACGCGCGTCGCATAGGGCAACGTTTCTTCTCTGATCAGTCCATCATCCGGCGACGTATTGGTTATGGAACTCGCCGTGGCGAGAAGGATGATGCTGTCCACTGGCGAGAGCAGTGGTTGTGGCGCCGCTGGGTCTAGAGATGCTAGTGTCTCGGGAAGTGACTCTGAGATCTTCGTCATGCTTGACTCGATTGGGGCATTGAAGCGGATTTGTTCGAGCAGGGTGTCGTCGTTCAGGGGCAGATTCGTGGGTCTGGTAGGGACGTCTTCTGTCGATGGAGGTTGTGATGTTGAGTCCAACGGATTAGTATGATCGGTGCTTGTGCCGTTGGTTTCTTGCTTTTGCTCTTTCTCTTGTTGCTGCTGCTCCTCGTCGTTGTCCGGTCCAACCTCACCGTCTCGACTCCTCGCCAGCACGACAAGCTGACTCGTCTCCTTCCCCTGGTATTTCGTTCTCTTGCCCAGCGCACCGGTCAAGGCAAATTGAAAGTCCCGCACGCCTGCCGCCCTCGCGAGGTCCGTCCTGGCGAGCGCATCATCGCCATAGTACGTCCTCACCACCGCTCTCTCAACCAGAAACTCGACAAAATGCTCCTCAGCAGCCGCAGCGTGGCCCTCAACTCGCGAGGAAAGCTGGCGCTCAAGGACCTCGGCATCAGCGTATATCCGATCCCTCAGCGTCGGCGATTCCTCCGAGAATAATTTCTGATGCCAAAAGTCCAATCTGAACCGCGCTCGTCGGCCGTTGAACCCCTCCTCGGCCAGCGCGGGATTCGAAAAGATTACTTGGGCCAGCCAGAACAGCTCGATATGCGGTGTCAAGTGGTAGGGCCGGATGCCATCGACAGCTAAGTACTCAAATAGTGACCGTCTCAGGGTCTCGAGCTCGTCGTGATATATTTCTGGGATGATCGTTGTCTCGGGGTCAAAGTCCAATGGTGGGCCTGTGCAATTGGATTGCAGAAATGCTTCGAGCGCCGTGTACCCGATCTTCATGAATGAAAGGTGTGTTAAGGCGTCTTGTAAGAGAAACTTTAGGCGTGAGGTGACGCCGCTGATGAAGGGTGTCTTTTCGGCGTGGATGGCTTCGAAGCCGAGCAGTTTGCGGGTTAGTGAGTCTTGCAGGATTTCCAGAAAGGATGATCCCATTTTTGGGTATGGGTAGAGGTGGTCCATCTTGCCGGACTGTCGAGATCAAAAGGTGCAAAGCAAGGTGACCTGCAAGGACAAACGACTCGTGAAGGGCAGGTTGTATTCCTCTCAGTGAGCGACACCGGACTCGAGGGAGAGTTGCTGTTTTCAGATGACCGTTCGAGGATTGTCGGAGAGTCGTATGCTCATACGCTATTCCGCGAGCTTCACGGTCCCAACGCCTCGAGGACTCTGATAGTACAATAATCTTGCTTCGCAAAGATCTTCCAAGCACGTAAAGTAAGTGATCAAGTCAAGTTGTATTAGAAAATGAGTATGCGCAATCCAAATAGTGTGCGACTTTGCGAGAAAATCAAGTGCTTTTCGGTTTTGGTGACAAAGAAATGGGTATCACAGTAGAAACAATCAGCACGTCCCAGCTCAACCTATACAGCAAGGGAATATGATGCGACTCAAGTATCAACAAGAAATGAATGTCGTTGTATCGTGCGCTAGAAGGCAATGCTGAAGGTTACAGTAATATGCGGGGAAGAAAGAAGAGCCATGTCGCCGAAATTTTTTGGCTATACAAAAAATGGATCAATGATCACGTAATCATCATCTTGTCGAGTCTCTATCATGTCTTCATTTCCTTCGCTGTCCAGATAACTCCCATGCTAATGCCGCTATTGATACACCAAATCCCACTGCGCAAATCCAACTCGACGTAAAACGAGGGTATCCCATCATCCAAAGTGTCCAAATGTCCAGACCCACCATATTCTCGCCCAGGTCTTGTTCTGGCGATCCACAGTTTATATCTTCTTTCCCGTTCTTCCAGCCTGAGCAGCTTTTCTCTTCCTGTACGCACTTCTATATTTGATGCGCCCCAGAGTGCCAACCCCGTACGCGATCAGGAACAAAACAGTCCATGATCCAGTGACGATAAAACCAATGGGGAAAATGCCGAATGTCCTTCCAGGCAAGACAAAAGGTGCAGCGGCAGCAATGGCGGCAGTCGCCACGGTAGGTGAAACCAGGCTAGTTTTGAAATCGTCCTTGAATTGACCGATGACGAACCACGCGCCATCGGACCCAGTGACGTTTGCTGTGATAGGATTACCAGACGAATCGACGGCGTTGAGTGTGATGGCTGGCAGCATGAGCGACATGACTTGAGTGTCGTTTAGTTTGTTGAGGTCCAAGTTGCTTTCGAATGTGCCGAACAGAGAGTATTGCTGAATCTCGGACACGTTGCTCGTATCTCGTTCCTCGACGTTTCGCTTCTTCCTCTTGGTTAATGACTGGAATGTGGTGCTGGCGGGATACATGAGTCCAATTTGTAGGTCGTTGACTGCAAGACCTTCAAAACTTCCCGTGGCCGGGAACATGGAGTAGAGTCGCAGATCTGCCGTGAAAACACCCTGTGTGGCATCGTATTGTATAATGTTGTAGCAGGCAGCCAGACCGGCTGGGTTGGTGACTGAGGTGAGTGAACCCAAGGCATCGACACAAGCAGACGCAATGGTCGCGTTGGTCATATTGTTGGGTTGCGCAACAGATAGAGTTCCGGAAGACTGAGGTTGTGGTTCTCGTCTTAGAATTTTGTCTACATCCCTTCCAATCTTGTCAAAATAGTCCCGTCTTCTGAGCGCATTTGGCAGATGGTTGATTGCCTTGGCTGAGAGAAGATCTGCATGAGTTGCCAGCAACAGGGCGGAGGTGATGACGTTAAACATATGCATCTTGTGTGACTTTTCGGTGCGGGTATGTCGCGTGGTACTGTGAAAATGAGCGAGGTTGGGAAGGTCGTCGAGACCGATGATCAATGCAAGCACTGCTTGTACGTCTAGATCGAAAAAAAAGATAGGCCACGACCAGCGATCGACCCTGTCAATGAGTGTGGTGGAAGCTTGAAGATGAATGAGCGAATGTGTGAGGTAGAAAAGAAAGGAAGATGGCCTGTGCCGGACGGAGAAGTGGTCTGAGTGTGGGAGGAAAAAAGAAGGGCTGGACCAGTATAAAACAGTTTGTGTAAGGGAAGAGCCCCATGATCCTTCCAGGGAGTGTTTGACGGGTTACATTGTGGGTTGGCCAGAAGCATGGAGTATGAAACATGGACCGTCTGATTGAAACGCAGCAGATGGCAGTTGGTAGCGAACCGCTGGCCGTGATGGTCAATACTCTACCAGGAGAAAGTAGAACCTCGGTACAATACCTTTTGGCCATGCTAGATCAAGGGGTAGATATACTTGGCGATGACTTCTTGAAGCCAAACAGCGATGAAGGAGAGATTCGCCCGCAAAAGGTGATGAAGATCTGGTGTAAGGTGTGGGAGGAGAGAATTGTCTTGTGCTCCCTCTCCTTTTACAAGGTCAGAAAAGGAGCAGGGGCCAGGGAGTGGCACAATAGGCTAAAAAAGGAGGCGTCCACTCCGCGCGTCTCGGGTGTGTTTTAGCGTGTAGTTTAACGAGCCAAATGAAACATCCACTTACGAGATCAAGGGCTTTCCAATGCGCCAACAACCGCCAGAATCTACTCCACGAAACAAATACACGGCACATTCAAGGCATCTTCAGAGCCAACCAAGTCCAGAATGACCAGAGTCACGACCATTGGAAGTAAACATGGAGATACGTACCCCTCGTCCGGAACACCGAGTCCTCACCCGACCAGCGCGACGAGGCTGGGAAAGTCAATGCGCGCTCAGACCATCACACATCAAACCCGTCACGTTCAATCCAGAACATTCAACACTGACCACAAGGTCCACAACTGACCAAGGCACCGGTACTCGGCACAGGGCACGATTTCTCGCAGAAGACACGGCCAGCTTATCAGATTGCGATTCAACATGCTCCATTATGATACTAACACTAACAACCCCTTGTTGAAACATACCACCACGTGTGTAACATGGTACAAGCTGCTGATAGAAGCACCGACATCAATCACGCTCGTAAACCTCGAGGGTAGACTGACCACTATACAATACCAGCCACACATATTGCTTTCTGTTCGTCATGATCGTAACCGGATATCATGTCCTCCTTCAATCATCATCTTCAGCCACTTGACCCTTGCACCATTCTCAGAAACTCCCGCACCCTGCCCAACTGCGAATTGCCACTCATCTCCTTCTGCTCGCTGATAACCGCTTGCACCAGGTTATCCAGTAATCCATCCACTTTATCTTCATCCGCTCCTGTACAGAGACTCACAATCTTCTTGTACCGTTCTTCCAGCTCGGCGCTCCTCGCCTTGAGTGTCTTGGCCATCTGCTCCAGCTGCTGATTATGCCGTTGGTAGACCTTGGCCCGCCCACTCAAGACCTCACTTCGCTCCAGACACGACAAAAACTGTGCCTGTTCTTGGGTCATACTCAGAGGGTCGGTCTCGCCGTCAGGGAATAACTGTGCCACCATCGGAAGTTGTCCATCCAGATCAAGCCCTTTATCGGCCTGTCCAACCGCCACACTCTCTTGTATCGGCGAATCCATTTGACTTTGATTGAGTTCCGCTCGTACTTTCGCCGCCGCTTGACGCAGATTGTTGATTTTCTGTTCCAACTCTTCTTTCTCGCGCACTTTGGCTCGTGCTTCATCCAGCCGCCGTCGCTCTTCTGCCAACGATGACCCCGACTCTTTCAGTGCAGCATTTGTTTTGTCCAGTACTTCCTTCTTTTCCTTCATCTCAGCCGCAAAGTCGGCCTCTGATTGTGACAACACGTTTCGTATCGCTAACCAAAGTGTTAGCAAATCGCCACAACATCACGTACAGGCAGGGCTGCTCACAAGTCATGAGTCCTTCTTGAGCCTCCTCGAAGGACTTCTGTGGTGACCCATTGGCCACTACTGGCGCCTCAAACATACTCAGATTCTGCTCCAGCATCTGGCTGTTGACGTGGCTGCCGACACCAAAATCAACAGGAGCAAGCCCACCACGATTGCCAACATGAGGATCTGCCCCCACTTCAATCAACTGATCAATGATTGTAGTCGTGCTGGTTCGTGCCGCCAAATTCAGTGCTGTATCGCCAGCCTTGTCTTGAGCATTGACAATTTCGGTCATGAATCTCGCCAATGTCATTCTACTGTCTTGGGTTTGGCCGTTCGCTCCGTTGATACCGTCAAAAGACATGGACGCTTGAGCATTGGCGCCTTGTTTGATGACATACTCCAGCAGCGACTCCAGATAGTATTTGCCAACAGCAGCTCGTCCTTTCATGGCGGACGACACCGCAATATGGTGAAGTATGGTCCGACCTCGACCGTCTCTGACCTCGATAGTCGAGCCAAGCAGCTCCAGGAGCGCCGGAAATGTGTTTTGGTCCAGATTGTTCCGGGCTTGACAGGCTGCGATCAGCGCTGTCTCACCGCCACTGTTTGCCCGCTTAATGTTGAAACCCTTTTCCAGCAGCTTCCGAACCAGAGGTATCCGAGCCAGTGTTGCCGCCCAATGCATCACAGTATTACAGGAGCCGTCGATGGGAAGTTCAAATTCGTCGCCGCTAAGCCGAAGAAATGCTGGGTGATCTTCAAAGTCTGTCCGCGAAGAATCGAGGAAGAGGTCAAGCAAAAGTTCCTTCTTTTGCTCTTCAAGCGGTCCCGACGGGTAAGGTAGCGGTTCAAGCCCATACGTCACCGGGTCGGATGCCATGAAAGACTGTGTCGGTTGCGAGAAGAAGGAAGCGTCAGCGTCGGTTGCAGTGCCGTCTGCCAGTGACAGGTCCATGGTCCCATCATAAGGTGCAGCCAGAAATGATGATTGTGGTGAAGGTCGGATACGTTTTCGTGGTGGCTCCTGCGCATCGGTCGTAGGAAAATCTGCAAAGCTGGCCCCCTGACTCATGATCCCACCGTTGGTGCCAAAGCTGTCTTGGGAAGTCATACTCGGCATACTTTGCTGACTGGCTCCCTGACCGTACAGACCATCTGTACCATAGGTAAAAGACTGTGATTGAGATTGAGACTGTCTCCGTGGTCCAACCGAGCGTCGGCCATCCATCTGACTCGGTGAATCCATCCGCGTTCTGTTTAGAGCGTGGATAGCGTTCGCTGCTGTGCTGGACATGTTTTTGAAGAATGTGCCTCCTGAAGATTGTGTGATCGGTCGTCCATCACCACCATACATCCTCTTTCTCTGAGCGGCCATGGCCTGTTCTTTCGTTGGTGTTTCCATGCCCTGACCCATGCCCGGCATTCCGTCCGAGGTGATATCGTACTCAAACAGTGGCAGGAGGTGTTGCTCAACGCCATATTGTCTGGCAAACTCGCGGCCTCGCTGGTAATTGACCCAGGTACCCTGATATTTTCCGTACCCGCCTTGGACCTTTTCATGTTCGCCCGTGATCTCTTTCTCAAGCACTTTGGTTCTTTTGCCTTTATCAACCCCAGCGACTTTCAAGATTTGTGTTGCATTCAACCATGAGTCCGCACGACGTCGCATCACGGCTATACCGTTGACTTCCATTTCGAAGACGGAGACATTAGAATAGACGGCCTGATTAAGAGTCAGCATGCAGCCACGAGAGCGATCCTGTCAACGCTCACCGTATAGATCTGTGGTTTTATACCATTCGTATAAAAGGTTGCTTGCGGTTGTGGCGGTGGTTGAGGTTGGGGAAAGACGTTCGCTTCGGCATAGCCGCCATAGTTAGTCGGGGCGCCCATCATACCTCCATTCGGCATCGGAGGACCACCATTCATACTGTATGCCATCTGTTGCTGTTGCTGGTGTTGCGAAGCAGGTCGGGGAAGCGGCGGAGTCGGTGCAGGTGTGGTATTGACAGAATGAGTTTCGAAACTGCCCAGGGGAGGCGGTGGTTGACCGAACGAAGCGTTCATGGAACTTGAATGGCCATGTTGAGGGAATGATGGAGGCGGTTGCGCATATATCCCGGGTTGTAATCCTCCTGCGGCCATCATACTGTGAAAGAAGTATTGTGATTGTCCTTGGTGCTGGTGTCAGGACATATCGGGCGCAGTCTGCGCTATCAAGGTTTGGTCGGATAATCAGGGGACAAGGAGACTGCGATATTGCACCAACCCAACTCTTTCACAGCTGTAAAACAGATGGTCCTGCTGGCAGTGAGATCGATTTCGAGTATATGCGACAAGTCGGGCTGCAGTGACTGCAAATGTGGCCGGTGCACGGGTCGAGATGGGTTTATCGCAGAAACGAAGGGCTCGTCTTCGGCGTTCAGGGATTGTTGAGCAGCCCTCGCGGGTTTGTCGCCGTGAAGGTGGAATACACTCGATATCGCTGCTCGAATACAGTAGCCAGCAAATAAGTGCAGTTCACAAGCTGTGTGGATCGTCACTGGCTGATCTGTGGCTTTGCACTTCCTTTTCGCGCGACAACGGTGTGTCGAAATTGGTTCACGGTCGTATTCTCTGGAAGTGGGGGTGAGGTGTGCTATTTCGCGACGCGTTCTCCTATCCCCTTAAAGTGGTTAGCGCATCAAAGCCAAGGCAACTCTCTTGACTTGACTTCACTTGTCGTCCTGTAGATGTTCTTCTTGTATCCATCTATCAAACATCTCAATCAATGTGTAGACAATCTACCACTCACCCGCTTCGTTACCATCCTTGAGATTTTGATCTGCATGTGCGACTGCAGGCTCAAAATTGGTTGAGCAACGCTGAGTGAGGCAATGCTCACGTACAGACCATTGATTTCATCGCTCTTGTTTGAATGCGTTGCATGCTCTGCTGTCTTTAGCGACTGTTGGTTCTTACTTCTTGCATTTCAGCGATAGCGAACAGCCAGCGCGAACATCGCTGTGTTTCCCTTCCTTTGCTCACTCGATCGATGACCTTGCTGCTCGCTCCGGACTAACTATCCATGGAGCTGTCACAGACAGACAGCATCTGTGAGAAAGCCCATTCACCGAGAAAATATGATACTTATTTGCAAGCCAGGGAGCCCAGTTGATTCGGCCAAAAAGGAAATCCGTCTGGTTGAAATAGAGCCAAGCAGCGAATTTGATGCTGAGATCTGCTCCAGATTCTGCTTTGTCTCTCTAGACCATGATCCCCTGCCTCGCTATACCGCTCTATCCTACGCTTGGGAAACTGCTTTGACCACAGAACAAATAAAAGTGAATGGTGCCGCTCTAGCGGTCACGCCAAATCTGGGAAGAGCTCTAAGATACCTGCGGAAAAGTGACACCACAGTGGCCTACTGGATCGATGCAGTCTCTATCAATCAAGACGATGGGGAGGAGAAGCTGCAGCAAATTCGCCTGATGGCAAATATCTATCGGTGCGCGCAAACGGTCTGCATTTGGCTGGGGGAGCCGTCAGAATCTAGCCCTTTGGGTATGTCTTTGATTGGGGGCAGGGCAATAGAAGGCGAACCTCATGAACTGCTGTGCGGACAAGCCTTGACAACTGAATATGCTGTTGAGTGTGCTCAAGCCCTCAAGGAGATTTTATCCCGTCCCTGGTGGTCAAGACTTTGGGCAGCTCAAGAATTTGCTCTCGGATCTGCCTCAGTCTTTATGTGTGGCCGGCAATGGTTCGATTCGACACAGCTCATTAAGGACGGTACCTTAAACATGATCGTCTCAATATTGAGTATCCGGGGTGTACCTGCAGAGTCGCTCATGTTACTGAAGTATGTTGGGTCGATCAGCTTGACCCAGACTACAGCCATAAAACGACTCTGGGATCTAATGCCGTCGCAGAAGCCTTCAGGAAGGGCAGAAATCTTTTGCGAAATCCTGGATCAATGTACTACCAAGCTGTGCTCCGATGACCGGGACAGAGTGTTTGGGCTGCTCGGGCTGAGCCCAGAGTCTCTGGCTTTGAGTATCGACGCAACCTACGATAATTCCATGACAGAAGTCTTCGAAAGTCTTACGATCAACCTTCTTCGACATCTTGACTCCCTCCTGGTGCTGTTTACGGCAGGAGTAGGACACCCCGGAGATGTAGAATATCGCTCAGGAGTACGAGTTCGATTAGAAGACCCCTATTTGCCGTCATGGGTACGAGACTTGAGACGGCCCAGACTTGAATGGATGTTTCCTCCATGGTACGGAAAATACAGGACTCCTTTTAACGCCTTCGCAAGCAAGGAGTGGACATACCGCTATGCAAACAATCAACTGATGCTCAAAGGGCTACGTATTGGAAACATTCCAGCGGTTGGACTGGGTACGGTCTGCCAATCGCACTTCTATAGGCCAGGCGAGCAGGCTGATGGGCGGCGCGTTTTGCAATCATGGATGGCTCTTTGCGATGTGGCAGGTCGAGAAAGAGGCCGAGATCCATATCCCCACGGCGGCTTCAAAGCTGACGCGTTTTGCCGAACACTTTACGGCGACTTTAAGACGACTATCATCATGAGCGGACGCGGAGACTTCAATTCCGTCCGCCTGCAGGCATCAGATGTGGATGCCATTGTCCAGAGTGCTGACTGGGCAGAGAAGCTTGCTCAGTACAGCGATGAGGAAGGCGAACAGGAAGCATTCTCAATTCCACCCTTTATCATAGGAAGGCGCCTGTTTGTCACGGACACGGGGTACTTTGGCAACGGCGGTGCATGGATCGAGCCCAACGACCAAATCTTCATCATCATGGGTTGCCATTATTCAGTGATTCTACGTCCCACGAACTCGTTGCAGAGCTGCACAACATACAGACTCGTGGAGATATGCTACGTACACGGCATCATGGATGGCGAGTTATTTGACGGCGTTCCTTTTACCGGAAAGTCAGAAGACGAGTCCACAGAGGCATATCTTGAACGGACCGAACAGCTCGGTGACCATGTTATCGAGCCAGTCTGCCTCTGCTGACCGAAAACAAAGAGCGAGCAAGACGTATGATGATAATGCATGAACTTCCATCTCTTCGAACTTGTTTGATTGCCTGAGGAGGCAGACGTGTAATCGTTGGGATAGACCTCTTCACCAGGACTGGTAGGCTCATCAGGCCACAATGGTAATTGCAAGGACGCACAAGGTGATTCTCATAGTCGTCCAAAATAGAAACCGATGTCCAGCCAAAAAGCACAAGTGTCTGGTACTGTGATAGCACGAAACCAGACGCTCTAGGCAACCCTCGAAATGTAGCTAAAAAGTAAGGAGAATAGGAATAATTCCGAGAACACGTGGCCAGCAAAAACTCAGACCTCGAAAGACTGAGAAACCCCACGAAGAATTTTTTTCTACTGCCTGCATTCGAACTCATCTCCGACTTTAACTCAGTAACATAGTAGAGGAGAATAAGAGGTCAGATACTGGAAGGAAGTTCGCCGAGCAGGGCGGAACGCACTCGTCTCTCTAAGCACTAAACCATGTTTAAACTTGTGATCAAGTCGGTTCAGGAGGCTCAGAGCTGGAAGGGAGATTGTTGACCAGTTTCCACGGACTATAATAGATCAAGATGATAGTATATTAACAGTGAATACTTAAGAGAATGAAGGCCATCTTCACTCATCAACATTGATATTGACCTACGACCGAACAGGTTTAGCCTTTGTATGCGGTCTTTAGAACGGCACCGCGTAGGGTGGAGATACTCCATCGTCATTTTATGAATTTCCATTCCTCTATACAACCTTCAACCCTCCCGTCTCAATGCGCATGCGCACACCGATGATGGAATGACCACAACCCCAAGCCACCTCTACCGCGCCCTGCTCAGGGAAGCAACTTACCTCCCCCTCCCACAATGTCGGTCTACCACCAAATCCTACATAACCACATCCTTCCGTCGGTGGACGCCCAAGTACACAACGCCCAAAACCAACACCGGCAACGACATTGATTTCCTCAAACAAGTCCAACTCCTCTCCCGAGGTCGCAAATTCCTGTCGACTCTCAAACGCGCCAATGAAGGCTACACCACCCCGCTCGAGAAAGTCCTGCGCATGACATACGGACGCATCGGGCCCAGACGATACACGCTCCTAAATAAATTCACCTACCCTCCACCTCCACCTCCTCGACCAGTCTCGACTGCGCAGGATCTGTTCAGCGAACTAGAAGCCATACCAGACCTCCAAGACCCAAAAGCCTTGCCCGGAGCAGCAAACCACACACCCTCACCCCCTGGTCTGACCACCACACATGATCTATCTACGGCGCTCCAGGAGTTAAAGGACTTGAAACCAATTCGAAAACGAGACAAAGAGGACCCATCCCCAGAGAAATGGACACTCCAACCCCGTCTCGAAGCCCTCCTGACATCCCAAATCAACATTCAAGAGACCTTTGAACGAACGGGCCGGCGCGTGCCCAAAGTCAAGACAAAATTCAAGCCTCCCGAAACGAACATATGGGGTAAACCGCTACCCAAATGCCGCGAAAAGAACCTCAAGCATGAATGGTACAACAACAATCTGAAAGCCGCGCTACCGCCGCTGCCAGAACCGGAGTACCAGGAATTACACGACATGGTGACCGGCGTGAAGAAGATGCCATGCCAGCCCAAACGACGGACCAGGGCGCGCCAGTCCAGCGACCCCAAAGAGCAGGAATTGCTCGAAAAGCAATCGTCTTTGGTCCTGGAAGGCCCCAAACCAGGGCCGAGACTCAAAGACTTCGAGCATGGCCGACCTCATAAGATTACGCCTCGATTGTTGCGTCGTTTGCTCGGCCGGACCGTCTTGAAGCAGAGTCCGCTTGTCAAGACCACAGATCCTGAAAAGACAAAGGCAGGCCTTGTCTTCACTTGGGACGATGGGTATACGGTCCCTCGTGTGGAGGAGAAGAAATTGATTACACCTACAAACAACACGCAGAGCAGTCTGCTGTTCGGTTAATGACACCCTGAAGGCTTGCACCAGCACTGCTATGAGCGCACACACTCGAAATCAAAAGAAAACTTTACAGGTATTCGAGCCTAGACTCATAGACATCATATTGCTATCCATCATGTAGCCCCGGCTACAATCACTATGCCGCCCAATTCAATGGTATCCGTACGCCTGACCCTGGATTGAGCCACTTCTATCCCATTTTCCGTGCCCATGGTAATACATTCGCTTGCCAAATCACACTTTTTGCAATTCGCTCGTCGCTATGCTGAAATCAAAAGTCAAAGTCGTCAGTCATTACCTCTGCTCATCATGATGGAGCTCCACCCAGCACGGCACTCAGTGCAATGTACCATGTCAGAGAAGCACCACCATCGATCCAGCTCATATCGAAGTCGTCTTGTGTGAAGAAGTCGTATGCTGCTGTAGGGTTAATGTTCGCAAAGTTCGCATATACAATACCTAAATGGTCGTGAGCATAAGAACTTGCAGGCAATCATAGTTGCTTACCTTTCCATCCATCTGTGATGTTCGTCGCATCCCTTACCGCGCCATCTGCAAAGTACGTCGTCCATTCTTCCGCCACAAATTGCTCTGCAGGTTATTAGTTTCGACTCCAATCCGTTCATACGTAGGATACATACGCGTTCTTGTCAACGTTGAGAATGGCATGACCGGAATCATGTGGATGCTAAGACATGTCAGTAAACCGCAGTTGATCTAGTGGTGCCAGACCTACCCTTGAATGTAACTCAGATCAGTACCAAAGTATGTCGTGTGATCAGCCTTGTTCTCAAACAAGATGCCTGTGACTTTGTTGCCGATAAACTCTGCAGGTTGATTGGTATTGTCCGATGTCATGAGGAAGTAACTTTGAAGACTGCGTGCCAGGACAGACAACATCAGATTACCCCGAGCCTCCATCGAAGCGTCACCAATGGTTTGACCCCACATCTTCAGACCATAGGCAAACATGGCATCTTCGGAAGACGACTCCTCATCCTTGCCATCGCCTGAGGAGAAAAGCCCTTTGGCCCATGAGTGACCGTGGTACCAATCGAAAGACCTAAAGACTGGAAAGTACTGGTCCAGCGAGCTCGGGTTCGACACATCGCGAGCTAGTGCATTGACATAGTCTTTGTTGTTGGTGAGCCACGTAGGATCAAGGTAGCCGATGACAGCAGCAGCGTGAAGGAAATAGCCATAATGGAAATGATGGTCATTGTAGTAGGAGTTGCCGAAGTCGTCGCCCGAGTCACCGGTAACATAGCTTGCTGAGGACACGATTCCTTTCCAGTCAGTGTCGTAGAGCAAAGGGTATATGTTCGAATTGTTGGAGAACACTTCAAAACAGCTCTCAAGTTCGAGTAGCGCAGTCTTTGCAAGATCCGGCTGGTCGGCCAAATCGTGCATTGTGTAGACCAACTGCGCGAATTTGCTGAGGGCCTTGCCACTGTAGTACATGCTGTTGAGGTTCGTCTGAGCAGACATGTTTTGAGAAGCTTCCGTGGCAGAGACATTTTGGATTGCGGCAATTGCCTCTGATGTGAGGTTAACAGTAGAGTCGGAAGAATTTGCAGGTCTCCAAGGGGCGAATCCGAGCGATGTAGGAAGTTCGTTCTCTTCCATTACCCAGTAGTCGGCAATAACTGCAGTAGAATTTCCACTGGTTGTTGTAGCTAGGGTCAGGTTTGTGACACTGGCTGCGGTGTCGGACTCGAACGAGTCAAGATGATGAGGTAAGGCAAACATGAGCAGTGTAGAGTTGCTTTTGTAAGCGCCACCTTTGGTCCACGATAGGCTGTACTGAGCTTTGCTGTCCTCAGCATATCCAGCAACAGTACCGGACGTCGGATATGTACCAGCAGCGTCGTCGTAGAGATACTCCATACTATCGTCTGGTAGTTTCGCAATTTGGATGTCACCATACCAATTGGCGGATCCTTGAAGCAATGTGCTGGAGACGAGTTGAAAGTTTGGATCAATACCGCTGGTGGGCATGGCATACAACAGCCAGACATGACCGTCCAGCAGGGTGATCTTGTACTTGAACACACCAGATTTGGGTTGCGCAGACTCCGTGACACTTCCGAAGAAGACGCTGCTCTGTATATTTGGCTGTAGATTGACGTACTGGCCGGTGACAAATGCCATGCCCTGGACGAGTGGCATGGTGAGTATCGAAGACGAGCCATTCGATGCTTGGAGGTGAACATTCGCAGACAAGACCAAAAGCGAGTCCGTGGTGAGGACAGTACTGGTGCCGAATTCCGCAGCTGACAAGATCAGCGATTGGATGCCTAGCGGATTGATATAATATTGGTCTGGAGAGTTCGGAATGTCTGTCTCTGCAGAGCCAAACGTCTTCTGACTGTCTTCGATGTGCGAGATAGCCATACCATAACTCTGTGCATTACCACTTCCTTGACTCCATGCTAAAGAATATGGCATCACAAAAGCAGGGAATTCCTGAGTGTCTAGCACAAAGTTCTGGTAGAATTTGTTCGTTTGAATTGGGCCGGTAGTGTTCTGGATCCCTAGACGTGGAACGGGATGACCACCTTCCTGCTCGATGTTCGACGGAGGTGAAGTAATGGCGATAGGCTCAAATATATCTTGTCCAGAGCAACCCATACTTAGCAAGCAGGTCGCAGTAGACGTCGGCAGATTACTGAGAGATCCTCCTGTGGTCAAGGTTGTTGCTGAAGTTGCGGTGACAGTAGTCGCTGCGGATAGTGTGGTTTCTACCATTGCAGTACCAGTGGACGTCAGGACTGTCGTACCATTTACTGACGTTGTAATCTCTGTTCCGTTCGTAGTGACAGTAGTGTTGAGAACAGTTGTTGCAGTGATCACTGCAGTCGTTTCAACTGGCACCGTCGTCACAGTCTGTGTCACTATAACAGTCTCGAACGTCGTCAAAGGCAGTGTGATGGTCTCGGTTACTGTACTGAGTGGGCCAGTTGCAGTTTCAGTGCCAAAGGAAACATCACTGCTCAGAGGTTGAATCGTTGCGGACGTTACCGTTGGCAGGCTTGTAGGGAATGGCTGCGACGCAGGATTTCCACCTGTCTCAAGGGAGCTGATGATAGTCTATTCAGGTCAGAATTTCCATCAGCTTCGTGGAATAAAACTCACTCCTGTCTGGGTAGAAGTCTGGTTGTTAGAAGTGGTCTCCACTGTCTGTGAAACAGGCACGCTGGTGACGGTGACAGTCTGAAAGCTCAAGTGTGGATCGACAAAGGTAATTGTAGACGAGTAGGATTGTGCATTTGCCGTCATGGGAGGTCCGACTTCATAGTAATGTCCATTTACGCCTACGGGAAGGAGGATGTCAGTTCTGACTCAAGGTCCAAGCCTATTGTTCCAATCCATCGGAAGGTAAATACTGACCGAAAATGCGAGGAGAAGGTAGGGCTCCAGCGAGGAATGCCTGTGATAATGTTAGCAAAATTGGACACCATATCTCATACATGTTTTGAAGGGTCTGGGGGAGTATGATCAAGAGTTTTTGCCCATGTGACAGGGCAAGTGCGGTTAGAGAGATGAGTTGGGGGAAAGCTTTGTGGTAGGTCGGATGAGAGACGGTATGCTTTCGCTGAGAAGAGTGGTTTGTGGACTTTGTAGGATTGAGAGAGCGGTCTTGTAGAGGAGGTAGTGTGTGAATTCGCTATCAAAGCTATATTGAAGCAGTAAGAATCGACTTGGAAATTTTGACACTGGTGGTTGAATGCTGCTGGTAGCTGCTGATGACGACTGGACAACAGACTTCCAGATTGGGTAGGGCATGAGCCGGAAGAGACCCGGAGTGGGAGGGTCATGGAGGGTATCAGAGCATACCAGAGCAAGGCCCGTGTGTTGTAGCTTGTACATGTACGGCAACACCGTGGTCCGTGAGTATGGGCTCGAGCTCGGAGCCAGGAAAAGCGTGGCCTGGTGGACGGCGGCAACTTAATGTCGTAGCGCGAAGAGAGGGTAACCTCGTATGGATAGCGAATAGATGCGAGTAGTGTAGGAAAGTTAGACTGTAGATACGGAGAATGAGGCTGATGAGGGACAGAATGATTGGTTGTAAAAGGACTGGGAAGAGACGAAAGACGATGATCGTGTTAGCTGAAAAGATGAGGAATGTTGGCTGTTGCTAAGCTCGTTACTGCCCTTTTCGTGGACAGCATCTCTTGCTCGCTCCTACCTCGTGTGAGTATACATGACCGGATCAATTGCTTTGTCGCACGTCGTTGACTCTCACGATCAAGGATGAAAAGAGCGAAGAGATTCGTGCTGGCAATACACAGTATGAGGTTGCGGGGTGCCATGCTCCAGTCTGTCCGTCGAGGACGAGGCAGAATGAGTTCAATGCTCACAGCTAGAGCCGTTGACCGTTGCCATCTGGAAAAGACAAGCAACGGCGAGCTTCAGCAAAGTGACCCTTCACCGGGGACTCTGCGCGTTGGCGTTGTTTACAATTTTGACGTTGAAAGGTAATTTCGGGACAGGGACCAACTTGGAGACTAAACAACTAGTTGAACCTCAAATCCTCGGCAATCGGCGATTTTGACCGGCTTCCATCTCGGTTTGACGTGAAGATCAGGGTCAAAGCCAATCACGACGAAAACCTACGTTCCCCTTGGGAAGCCCTTCCGAGGACTAACAAGTACCGAGATATAGTACTTGCCCTAGACTCAATCACCAGTTCGCAACGATTACGCAAGCAGCACGCTGTAAGCACTGGAGGCCAAGTCTGGACAAATTGGGGTTCCGAGGGACGAACGTGTCCACCGGGGGCGTTCGCAAATCTCGCATCGTTTAGCCTACGCGGTACCGAACCATGGCTATATGAGTGATACCAACCAGCATCGAAATGAGCAGCCGGGCCTCGATATACTTGTTGTAGATTACCTCCCTCGGCAACTCGAGCTCAAGAGCCAGTAACCTATACCAGCGGTTTCGCCATTGGCCGAATGATACCTTGCTTCATCAACACCCGTGGCTTGGTGGCGTCCTGGAACGTCGTCTTTGTAGTCCATTCCGGTCCTAGAGGCAAACGAAGGGACCGCTCGTATTGTTGTCGAGACTCAAACGGATGAGGCAGCTCGGTTGCCAGGTATTTTCCGTTTTTCTTCATCTGCTTTTCGTTGATGATGATACGGTCGAGCTTTGCATCCTGTCGCTTGTCTTTTGCTACGCCCTTGACCGTGGTCAAGAATCGTCCTTTCGCCCGCTTTTGAGCCTTTTTGCTGATACCTTCGCCTGTCCAACTTCCCCAACCTGGCAGACCATTATCGATCACCTGGTCACCCTCTTCTTCCTCGAGCTCCCTCTTCTCCTGAGCAAAATCTTGCTCGACTTCATCGGGTCCAGCAAAGAGGGCCTTCGCAAGAGCAGAATTGGCGTCGTGCTCGTCTTCGGACCCTGAAGGGCTGGTATAGTCGTCTTCGAGAGTCGTCTGCGAGACTCGCTTCACTCTCTGGGCCGGTTTGTTCACTTTTGATGCCGGCTTTGGTGCTTCTTTACTTGCAGTGCTTACCTTCGCCTTTCCGACGTTGGGGATCGATTGTGGTTGTACAGATGTCTGTAGTGTGACTGGGGCGCTGGACGTTACGGTCTTTGGCTTCGGAACAACTTTGTCGGTCGGTGGTTGCTCTTTCTCTTCACCGTCGTCCAGGCCATTCCATTCAGTATCGGACTCGCGCTCCTCGAATTCACTCTTTGCAATTGGCATCACTGGTGCTGATACTGCAACCTTGCTGTTGGACCCAAATTTTCGGCGGCCAACAGGTAATCCACCATCAGAAGCTGATCCATCCGTTCCTTCACCGTCTCCCGCACGCAGACTCCGTCGAAGACTCCGTATCTCTGCATCATTGGCTGTTTTCCTGGATGCTTCAGCCCTTTTCATGAACGCCATAGCACTTAATCGAGTCTCGGTCGAATCAGGCACGTCTTCCTCCAGACCGCCAAGTTTGGCTTGGTAATGATTCCTCTCATCCTCGCTCTCCGAGAATTCGTCGTTTTCTGACGACTCGTGTTCCGATTCATCGGAGTCGTGAATGGTCTTGCCTTCAATGCGTCTGCGCAATTCTTCGTCTCGTTTGGCAAGATCCGTGACAGAATGTCTCACATCATCATCCCATGCAGCTCTGCCGGTGACCTTGACGCTCTTTGCCCACTTGCTTTCACGGTGTCTTGCACCCATCCGCTCCTCCGCCCGTCGTCGATCATTTTTCTCTCTTTCTTCCTCCGAATCCAGTAAGCCCTGCGCAGACAACTCACCTCGACGCTCTAGCTCGTCTTTCTGCCGCTCTTTGCGGTGCACACGGCGATAAGCCTTGCTTTTGATCTTTTTGATACGGCGCGCCCTGATCTCTTCACGGAACATCAGCTCTCGTGCCTTTCGCAGCTCCGCTCGCCGAGCTTGTACCTCCTCTAGCGGCAATGTCTTTTCCAGAAGTTCTTCGTAAGCCTGTTCCTGGTCGTCCAGCGAGCCCTTGTTCTGAGACAACAGGCCACTTTCGACCATAATGTTCTGAATCGTGGATTCCAAGGAGTTCATGGGCTGTGATCGGGACGTGGGCCCAAGTTGCTTGCTGTTCAAGGCACCAGCGGCGGCAGGATCCACCAGGGGAAATGCAATGTGCTCTGCTCGTCGATTGTGTTTCACTGTGTCGACCCATTTTTCCAACTCTTTCTTGGTCTCGTCATACGCTGCCTCGCGGTCAAGGCGATCTTGCTGTCTTTTGGCCAGCGGCGGAGCCAGCTTTCCTGGAATGCCACCCTTGTAGGCTTCATTTCCCTTGTCGTCATTGTTTTGCAGGATCTTTAGCGACTGCCGTTGACGAGGGTCTTTGATGTATTGCATCAGATCTGCTGCCGAGATCTTCGACGTACTGAGCCCGAATTGAGACGGTTTTTCTGGTAGATTTTTGTAATCTTGCTGTTTCCTCATGGAACCCGCTGTTGCCCCAGTCGAGAGGCCTTCAACAAAGCTTTGCAACCGAGAATGATCTCCTTCGTCTTCGGACAGACTCAACTGTGACAGCTCGTCCTCGGACTCCTCATCTTCTTCACTGTCTGCCTGTGATTGTTCTTCGGCATCAACGTCGCTCTCTTCATGGACGTTACGCTTTCGCTTCTTCTTTGCTAGTTGAGCCTCTTCTTTGTCGTCCATGTCCCAAGCAGTGGCCAGATCAACAGCCTCATCTCCCAGATCATCTTCATCATCGTCAGATCCCAAATCTTCCTCGGCCTCTTCGTCATCGTTGTTTTCGCCCAGATCTGCGGCTGGAGTGCGAGCGGGCTTCTTTGCTTTTTTGACCGTGCTGCTGCTGCCTCCGAAGGCAAAGTCTGCAAATTTTTCCTCATCACTCTCTCCAAAGGCCGCATCGCTGTCCAGATCGCTGTCTTCATCCTCGTCTTCAACACCCACGTGCCATCGGTTGCCCTCCAGATCAGAACCTTCTTCCATGTCATCCTCTTGTCCGTTGTCAACTTTCCTCCTCTTAGATGATCGTTCGTCGTCATCATCTCGTGTGCGAGGTTCATCGGAATCGTCGTCGACTACACCGAGGCGATGTTGTCGAACTTTGGTGTCATCTGGGTTTTCTCGCTCTGCGATTTCCAAGGCATTGAGCCTGCGATTCTTGGCTGGTCTTTTCTTTGCTGCATTGGCGGTCTTGCCTGGCTGCAAAGGCCTCCCATGTGCTTGACGAGGCATCGTGATCTGCTCGTCACAGTTGAATGTGTTGAGTGCGGCAAGTGGCGCACGTGGTTATTCTACAACTTCGTCAAAAAACTTTCTCGATTCTCGGTCTCGAAATCCTTATCGATAAGACATTAGAGTTTGAGAATTGAGGGCGGCTTGGCGCAACATAAACCTCGGAGGATGGCTGCTGCTTTTAAAAAATTGTATATATTGGCACATATAGTCCTGAATGGACAAAGTCGTCCTGCACCTTGCTCTTCATACTGACATATCAGTATCTGACATCAGCATATCCCACTGTGGCCAGGAGGTATCATCGTTCAAATCGAACAACTCCGCCCCTATGAAATCAGGGAACTGAAAGGCGACATCTTCTGGTAAGGGCAATGTCGGATGGTCCATAACAGTGCCTTCGTGGCTACGGTTAGGTGTACTACTTGTACCATAAACCGGCTCTGGCTGAAAGTTCGGTCGCAACTTCTTGAACTGCGCCGACACAACGTCGCCCAGAATGTGTGCAGCGTGACACGGAAGGCCGATAGACCTAAGCCAACCCACGAGTCGATAGACAAGAGCATCTAGAGCATATATGTCATGATTCGCCGCTCGCAACTTGGATTCGTAGGTATGGACGAGTCGACATAACGTGAGTGCCGAGAAGGTGATGGTATGGTAAATGTGGTCCGTCAAATGACGGGTGCGTTCGTCCGTGGTGTCCATGGCCAGATTGATGATCACTCTCGACCGCTCGATCATCTCTGCTAGGATAGGGCTTCTCATGACTGCCCGGGCAGACTTCAGTGATTGACAGTAGGCGAGCAGGTGAGCGAAGTTGAATCCCATCTTGAGGAACTGAGCCCTGGGCTCATCTGCAGAACGTATAAGTCCCGGCCTGCGCAATGTCCATTGAACTCACCGAATAAAGCAGCCCAGTCTTCCTGCCAGGCTTTGAGAGCGGCCTTCGTGTCTGCCACATTCACCTGCGACCCACAGCACTTTTCGTAGACTATCCAGTACAGCTTGACCTCCGCAACCATTCTTGCTTCGAAGTTGGTGACGTTGTCGGTGTCAAGAATGCGGAGACATCGATCGACCTGCGACTGGTTTAAAAGCGCCTGTCTGCGTGTGCCAACGCAGTATCTGCGAAGAGTGGTCAGCAAGCAAGCAGCACTTGAACTGCGGTCGTGCCTACTGGAGGTGAGCAACGCAAAGGTGATTCCACATGCATAATGCACTATGATGTTTGTGATTGATGGCCAGTCGGACATCGGCCTGAAAGACTTCGTTGAAGAGAGGACTTGCGAGGCACTGCTGCAGAGCATAGCCCGTCAGAAGCCAGCTGTCAACACTCAGAGGCACTTGACCGATTGTCGTTGACCACAGACTTAACACAAGAGCGGCCTGGAAAAACTCAATCGTTTGCGGTACCACAAGCAACGACGATGCAATAAGTCGTTTTGCCTCTTCGAACAAAGTCGGGGCTAATCTGTCGGCAAGCTCCTGCGCTGTATGTCTTACTGCGATCAAGAATATGCTGCATAACAGTAATGGCGACTTCCGGACTTGTAGGAGTAACGCTTCAGTCGATATGTCATCGGTGAACTTTACCCATCGACCATAGTGGACATGGAACCTGGATGTTGTCAGCAATATGTCACCTACATGGAGTGGAAGAAGACGAACAAAGACAGCAAGGAATGTGCGGTCGACAGCGGTACCAAGCCGATAGATATGACGTCTGAGTGCTGCTTTGGATGCACCGAGACTTGTTCAGGCGAATGGACACCAACATCATTGGCAGCATTCCGTATCAAGAATACAGGCGCTTGATCTTGTTCTTCTCCAGACGTAGGAGCCGGCACCCGCGTCGGTGGCGGTAGTGGGTCAGGAGGAGAATTTGTCGAAGATCCGTTGCTGGAATCCAGTCGATTCACCAATGCTGTGACAGTACTTTCTAGTCGCTCGAGCCTGAGGATATTTGGTCAGCTTCCAGAGACCTTTCAGCTACTCCAAACACCCAATAGTCGTACCGTTCATCCACAGAAACAGCTGCACTTATGCCAGTCGTATCAGCAGTAGGCCGCCTTCGATATCGTTGGGAGGCCGAAGCTGGGGTGCTGTAGGCGCTCGTATAGTCCAGGGAACATGGCTGTGAGAGGGTTTCACAACGCAAACAGGTGCCCCGGGCGTTGTCAGACGGCCAGCACCGTGACTTGAGTTTGTGACAATTCTCACATGCTTTAGGGGCTCGCCCACCCCGCAATGGAGGCATTATGCGGGCGTCAATTCGACCATGATGGTCAGTCGACCATATTAGAAGTCGAACTGGTCGCTAATAACAGATTGACAATGAGGATTGGGCACGCGCCCAATTTGCGGCGTACGGGCCCCATATGAATAGGTGCAGATACTCTGCACGATTGCGACATTTGATAAGGATCTTACGAAATCCAGGCGATAAGATAAGGACGGCACCCTCCGGAAAGGGGTCCAGCCTTGCTGAAACTCAAACACCAGTATCACAGTCTGATTCTAGGGGCGCGTCAGGTCCAGCCGGACGTACTTCCTTGATGATCTTCTGTAGTGCTCTTTTGCAACGGACGCATTCCTGCAAAATGAAGTTGCCAGAGTCATTGAAGGACGTTTATGATTGTAGCAATACATGTAACATATACTATTCTCTATGCTAGACTGAAAGGCTGCATACTCTTATCCTCGATAGCCACGAACGTCGATGATATCTTTCTTCACACCTCAGGAACAGCCCTCTCATCAACAGGTGCGATGCCAAACTTGGTTTCTACACCACCATCACCATTGTCGCACAGGCGGTACATCATTTTCCACACCAGAACCACTACCGCTCCGGCAATGGCACAAGATGCGGCAATGATCAAGCCATGCTTATATCGAGGTGCGTCTGTTTGCAAGTCAATTTTGATGTCTTATCTTCACGGTGGAGTTTCCATACCTTGCGTGCGGAACAGCTGGTTGCCTGGGAATCCAGCGAGTTGGATGCTCATCACATATGCAGCCAATGCGATTGGACGTTTGTAGTCTTCCATCTTCGAGGTGAGCCAGGCTGCACTAATAGCTTGCGCGGAGCCCATGCCCATTTGAGTCATGACAACGCCACCTACAGACGGTCAGTATTTGCATGCAGTCATTTTCAGAGTCTGTGCATACCATAGAGAACCCACTTGCCGACAGAGTTGGGTGCCAGTGCAAGCCAGAGTATGCCAGCGGCGCCGAGTAGATAGCCGGCGGCAATGTGGAACCCACGTTCGCGGGATCTGTCACTGCTATAGGCCAAGGATATCGACCACACCAATTGGCAAACGCTGCCCACAGAGTTGAGGCCATTGGCTTGCAATCCGGTAAACCCAAGCGACTTGATGATTGAAGGCGCATACGTGTTCATTGGCTGGATCATGATCATCGACAAGAATGCACCGACAAGGTGTCCGTACAGCCGCCAGTCCTTGAATGTTGCCAGAATATGAGAGGGCAGCACGGGCTTCCCGAACCGCATCGCTTTTGTGGGGTCATTGCGGATGACGCGAGTGACAATGATGGATGCTTCTCGCTCTGTGAAGATGTTGAAAGACTTGCCGAAGAAGGATTTTGGCTTTGCGGCACCATGAGGCAAGTAGAAGTATGCAACAACGGCAATGCAGCAGGTCAGAATGCCTTCGATGAGAAAGAGCCATTGCCATCCTTGCAGACCGTGGTTTCCGCGCAGGGAGAGCAATCCAATGGATAGAGGCCCGCCCAGAGCGCCCGCAACGCTGTTCGATGCCCAGAAGATAGCGAAGCGCAAGGCCAACTCCTGATTTGTATAGTACTTCGAGATGTAAAGGCAGAAACCCGGGATATAACCTCCCTCCAGTGCTCCGATGAAGAAACGAGCTGCGTAGAGGCCGTGTGCGTTCTTAATGAATATCTGACACCAAGTCGTAAGACCCCACAAACCCATGGTTACGGGCAGGAATCTCTCAGGGCCAACATATTTGGAGATGATATTGAAGGGTATCTCGGTAATGACGAAGCCGACAATGAATAGGGTCTGAGCGAGATTGACTTGAGCGTTGCCGACATGGATGTCCTTTTTGAGTGTGTCCGTCAGGGCATTACCAATGTTGGTTCGATCGAATTGCAGGAAGCAGAAGCAGAGAACGATGAAAGGCAGGATGAACAGATCAACCTTCAACAACGCTTTTCTGGCTTCGGCAGGCTCGTATTGAATTTCGGCGTCGTACCCTGGCACTTGTAAGGCTTCTTCTGCAAGGAGATCGACTTCGGGATGGGATTGCTGATATGCCTCGGGCGATTTCTTTTCTGAGGAGGAGTCCATCGTGACGGAGGTACAAATCAAATTGGAAGTAGTTGACGTTGCTGAAGTGTTATGCTCTTAATAGATCGTTGAAATCGCTGTTCTGTTTCCACTGTGGTGTGCTGTAGTGATTCTGGAGACATCTCATTTGATCGCGCGCCATGGCAGATTATATACATCTTTCTGACGAGATGCGCATCTAAGTCTCATGAGATAGTATTCGACGACATGAAGTTATCATGATAGCGAGATATGGCGTGCTGATTGCAATCGACCTATGGCAAGGCTGCTTTTCATATTCGTGCCGCCGGTTTCAGTCAGAACCCGCGGCAGCTTATCGGGCCAGCGGTATGCCGGCGGTATGCCTGCGGTTTACCAGTGAATATGTGCCTAAGGCATGCCGCCGGGACGCTCTGTCCCATCACCTGAACATTGCGACACGAGATAAGGACAGGGGAGCACGGCGTCCGCCGCATAAAAGGAGGATGCAGGCATAGAGGCGTCGATATATATAAATCGAGGTGAACACATCGAGAAGTATTCAGTGTTGTCAACAGACTCAATAACCAGCTTTACCCAAAGTATATCTCACAAGGAGTCTTTCATCCAATCCCGGATCTGTCACATATCAGCAAGAAATCGAATTCACCAAAGCTGTCAATGGAGCAAAATACCCTAAAACGAAGAGGCATTGGCCTTACGGGTGTCGACAAATCCAAATCTTTTGGCGGCTATACGCTCTTCTGTCCACTCACCAGTGATGTTGCTCACCTGGTGGATGTTGATGGCAAAGAAGTGCATTCATGGAAGCTTCCAGGAAGAATCGGGCGACATGCAAGAATCTTGCCCAACGGCAACCTAGCTGTTAACACACTTCGGGAAACGGAGCAGAAGACCAGTGATGGGGGTCCATTTCCCTTCCCTTTCTTTAACAAGTACGGAGGTGGCGTCATGAGCGAGCTGGACAAGGACGGCAAGGTGGTTCGCCAATTCACCGACCCTTTCGGGCATCACGATCAATATCACTTTGGCGATGGTCGCATGCTCTACACGAGCCTCGAGGCTTTGTCGCCTGAAGACTCCGCCAAAGTCATCGGGGGTGTTCCTGGCAGTGAGATCGATGGCATTACCTATGCAGACACGATTAATGAAGTTAATGCAAACGGCAAGCTGGTGTGGCAGTGGAAAGTGTCCGAGCGACTGCCCAGAGACGAATTCCCACTGCAGCCACACTACACCCGCGAACATTATCCCCTGATCAATGCCGTTCAGCCAATGCGCGACGGCAAACATATTCTGGCGTCGATGCGGTCAGTATCAGCGGTAGTCATTATTGAGAAGTCGACTGGCGACATCGTCTGGAAACTTGGTTCTGATGTCCTCGCCCAGCAGCACAACGCGAACGAGCTAGAGAACGGAAATATCCTTATCTTCGACAACGGTGCTTTTCGAACGGGTGAATCGATCCAGTACACCCGTGCCATCGAAGTGGATCGGGCGACCAAGAAAATTGTCTGGGAATACCATGATCGAGCTCAGATGGTGTACTTCTTCACACCGTTCATGGGTAGCGCTCAGAGACTCGCAAACGGCAACACGTTCTTGTGTGAGAGCGCGTTCGGCCGCCTGTTTGAAGTCACGCCTGATGGCTATGTCTGCTGGGAGTACGTCAATCCCCACTTTGCGCCTTACCCGGACGAAGCGACAGCCAAGATGTTCCCGGGCGACTCAAATGCCTTGTTCAGAGCGTATCGATATTCGCTGGAGGAGATTCCTTGGCTAAGGGCAAAAATCGCGGGTAACACTGATCGATTGGGTGGCATTTGCAGGCAGCAGTAGTGTGGTGCAGGGTATTTGAGGCATTGCGGAGTTGGCAGCTTTATGGGTACACATAGCATGGTCTGGCGTAGAGGCGTCAGGCAATTCAAAGAGCATATATCGTTTCAGCTGCATCATATCTGTCATGGATTCTAGATCGTCTACAATCTTGAGTACGTCGCCAGTAGTGTCTTTTGATGATGAAAGGAGTGAGGCGAGGGTGGTATGCACAAGGTGCTCATAACCGTAAAAGCGGCAACACAAACCACTCCAAAAGAGACGAATGAGCTCGGCAACTTTTTCGACTCCGCGACAAGAACAATCAACTTCGAATTTTTTGCGATTTGATTCGGAGCACGTCTGTGGTTTCGTCCCATCTAGCCATGAAGCCTACCGCCCAGCTTTGCGGACGTCTGCGCTTCACGACCAAAGAAGTCGGACGTGGCTTCTACCGAGGAAATCGAACAGGCTCAAAAGGAGCTCATACTGGGTTCGGAGGATATGTCATTGATTGGCGAAAGACCTCGCATTACAATGTGCCGGATATGGAAGGATTCTCTGTAAGATTTGAATGCGTATGGGGTTGTGCCAACGTGGCTGATTCTTCATTGTAGTTGACGCCCTTCGTGACGCTGGAGATGGAACCGACGAGCAGAGTTCGAGAGCATCCCGACGGAACTCTTCACACACCAGATAAAGTCGATGCAATGCAGTTCCTCCGAGACTGGAAGAGGCTCAATACTGAAGAATACGACCGTTACTGGGACTGGCAAGAGGCGGAGGAAAATAAGAGGATACAGGAGGAGGAAGCACTCCGCACACCTGCGAACGCGCAAGTAGATTTCTATCCGGAAGAGAAGCAGCCAGAATCTAAGACACCCTGAAGTCAAGCAAGGATGAGGATGTGCATCTGAATGTGTCGATGTTACAATGCCTGGCCATTTGCAAGAAGGCGTCTCACTCCAGGACATGTCAAATTAACCAGAGGTGTTTGGCAGACACTTCGACCTGAACGATGCGATCGCCCTGCCTGCCGAGCATTACGAAGAGCCAAGCTACTGGCTGTCGAGTGGCAGGTTGCGACACGATTCTGGGCTCAATAGTCAGCATGAGCAGGACGAGGTAACGCCCTTCAAAAGAGGCGGTACCGCACAAGAGGTTGGAACGAACTCAGTCGCAGAGGCGAAATTGTCTTGTCGGAGGCTCATACGTCTACGCAACCATGTGCCGCCATCAGGCACTGGGTCTGCTCGACTGAGACGTGCCACATTTGCTGGAAAGAAGACGACCTCAGTGTTGGGGATGGTGACGAATGGTGCTAGGTATCCGGACGTGGTGGCTGTTCGAATGGTCTTCTATCACCATCGTGTGATAGGCATGGCATGTCGAGGAATGTCGATGAGATGATCTTCGACATCCAACGGGATTGTACTGCTGCAAGAACTTGTATTCTTACGGGCGCATGTCATTGCATTATAGAAGAGAATGCATGGCACGACTCGGTCAGGGAGAGGCAATACATGCTTCAAGATATGTCTTTTTGATCACCACTCATGCCATAGTGTTCACAATTGTGTATCTTAATATACTCAGAATACTGCCATGTCTGCCCCTCTAGAGTAACAAGTCCTGGACATCTTGATGCGTGTCTGACCGTTGATTGTGACCGAATCAGTCTTGGCATCTGAAGTACTTGCGCCTCATGTGGCGTCCTACCAAGCTTCTACTTTACGACTCATCCTTGCTTTTCACGTCGACCCAAGCTTCAATTCACCTTCGTTTCGTGGATCGTGTATCCAGAATAGCCAAGGGGTGTGCACGAATTAAGCTCTGCCAAGTGCCCGTTCAGCTTCAGAGGCTCTTGGCTGACGACGACCTTGTGGGTACTCGGTTTCCCTGTTGATGGCGTGACGCGCGGCACTCTAGCGAAGTGAAGACGTCAATCGTCACAAGAGAGTTTCTGAGAATGATATATATGTCATATGTGATGTATACAGCTAACTGTGAATCTTTTTCCCATCTCACAACAAGCACAGCTATAAGCAAACACTTCAAACACCTCTCTACAAATTAACAAGAAACTCATTATGGAAGGAGAACGCGGAATGTTCGGTGGTGGAGGTCAGCAACCACCCCACAAGAAGGAAGGCCTACTAGGAAAGCTCGAGCACAAAGTAGAGCAGAAGATGGGTATGGGCCAGCAAGGCTACGGCCAACAAGGCGGTTATGGCGGTGGTGGCCCACAGGGTCAGCACGGCGGCGGTCAACAAGGCTACGGAGGCCAACAAGGCGGCCCAGGCCACCACCAACAGGGCGGCTTTGGCGGCGGCCAAGGCGAGTTCGGCGGCGGCCAACAGGGTGGCTTTGGCGGTGGTCAAGGTGGCTATGGTGGCCAGCAAGGCGGCGGCTTTGGTGGCGGTCAAGGTGAATTCGGCGGCGGTGGTCACCACCAAGGAGGCGGCGGTGGCTTTGGTGGTGGTCAAGGTGAATTCGGTGGTGGCGGTCACCATCAAGGCGGCGGTGGCGGCTTCGGTGGAGGCCGTGGAGGCTTTGAAGGTGGTCAAGGTGGTGGCTTTGGCGGTGACCAAGGCGGATTCGGTGGTGGTCGAGGCGGTGGTGGTGGCGGCGAGTTTGGTGGCGGCCGTGGAGGCGGTGGTTTCGGAGGTGGTCGAGGTGGTGGTGGCCGTGGAGGCGGTGGTGGTTGGTAAATCACTGAACATGCCCAGCTGTATAATAGAGCCCAATAATCCTGGGCTCACATCGAAATCTGATGAATGAACTATTACGATGATCAAGTCCTGGCACAGCGTCATTCGGCGCTATTGTAGCTACCTGCAAAATCATGGATATTTCCATAGCATGGCTATTTCTCAATTTTGATTACATGAACTTTGCATCACTGATGATGCAAAGTTCATGAGTATCTACCTACCAGGTACTACAGGTACCTGCTGGTATGTGTGATATTTGCAGGTTGTCGCGTCCAGTCATAAGCTTAGAACTAGGCGTGAACGGAGGTCTTGCTTAGCCGAAGAGCCTAGTGCAGGCCTAGGGTAGCCTAGGGAGCCCTATTCGATGACTGGCCGGGGCGAGACTAGGATGAGGACAGGGCGGCATCACCTCCAACCCTAAACGGGATTGACATATGTCGATGATTCAGCCGTCTGATATTGAACACCAAAACTTCATCTACATCAACTTTTATTCGTCTTGTCCCAATACAAATTCGATATCATACACGATTGAGGGGCCGCGCACCGCGGATCTGTCAAGCATCAAGGCACTTCCGGCCATCTCTGCGTCTTGAGCACGAGGTTCAAGGGAAGGTGAGAGGTGATCGGACCGCGATGCAACAACCTGGAGACTCGTGCCTACGCAGTTCGGTCCGGCACTGCGGCTGGTCGAGTCTTTCTTGACGAAACCCTGGAAGTTGAGCGACCATGGCACCACCACAAGGACAGACTGCCTACAAAAAGCAGCCCGGAACTTTGGCCATATCCAAAGACCGTAAATCGGTGTCATGGACTCCTGCACAGCCACCAGATGCTGCGCCCAACCTAGTCTTGTCGGCTGCTAATATCACCAATCTGCAACAAACGCCCGAGTCGAGTGCTAAGGTGATGCTAAAAATATTCGCTCAAGCTCCAGGACAGACAGAGGCAGTTGCCCATGTCTTCACCTTCACGTCCAAAGATGATCCAAGAAATGAAGCGAATGCTATCAAGGACGCTTTGGCGAACGTCATTCAAGCACAGAAAGCAGCCCAGAACGCTGCTGCTGCGGTATCTTCGGGAGGCCAGTCGGCCGCAATGACTATTGCAAATGCGATTGCTGGTGGGGGACGTGCCGGAAATCTCTGGGAAGACGACGAAAGACTGTTGTCCGATGTCAACCTGCAGCAATCACTCCTGAGAGAAGATCCGGACTTGCAAAAGACGTTTCACGAAGCTAGGAGTTTAAAGCCAGAATCGATCTCAAATACACAGTTCACCGCGCAGTTCTGGTCATCCCGTGTCAACCTTCTGCGAGCCCATGCATTAGCTCAAAACCAAGGAAAAGGCAAGTACAATGTCTTTTCTGAAGTACGCCGGGAGGATGGCGGCCGGTTGCTCAACTTGACCAACGAGCAGATACGGGCGATCTTCGAACAATATCCGGTAGTGAGATTGATCCACGACGAATTGGTTCCACATGGTAAGGAAGTCGATCCTAAGAAAGTCAGGGACGATGTCGACTTCTGGTCGCGCTTCTTCCAAAGCCAATTGTATATGAAACTTCGTGGACTCAAAATCGATCCGACGAGAGATGCCAGAGACAAATTCCTCGACGTCGAGGAGTACCTTAATCACCCCGACGTGACCGGTCTCCGCATAACATCAACTGAGATGCACATTCCCAAGTTTATCGATCTGGAAGGCAACGAAGAAAATCACAGTCAACGCAAGGGCAACCGTCCGGATAACGAGCTACGCGCAACAGCACTTGACAAGGCACCCATTATTCGCAAACTCAATGCACTCAGTGAGAAAATCATGGCTACCGTGCGGCCATCAGATGTCGATTCCTCTGCACCGATTGGCATGACGGAGGCTACATATGAGCAGCTACGCTTGCGTGATCTGGCTGGGGATCCAGAGCAGGAACGCATCATACTGAACATTCGTGACCAAAGTCGCTTCTTCTCTGATAACAGCTCAGGACAAGATGGAACGAACGGCATCGATTCCAACCCGTTCCGCAAACTCGACCCCGCTCGAGCCATCGAAGATATCAATGACGATCTTTCGAAACACTTTTCCCAGCCTGACAACGGTGTGATTCCCATAGACCAGTATGAAGATGAGGACATGGAGATGGACGACGAATCATCACAAGCACAGACAGGCTCATCTCTTGCTACAAATCACATCTTGTCGCTCATCCAGGCACATCGAGATCAGACATCTGAAATCCCACAAGCTTCTGGTCTCAGCACGGCCATATACGACCGGCTTACGATAACGCAAGCGACTACGAATGAATTCCTCCGGCAGTTTTGGAATGCGTTCCTGTCAGGTGATTCGGCGCGAGCAAATGAGATTGCTTCGCTGGTGGAAAGTCTCAACAAGGCTTTCGACAGGATCAATTTGATCGCCGACGACGCTGAGGCGGAGAGGCAGGAGCATATCCGGTCCCAGGAGCACGCTGTTGAAGAGCGCTTCAGGAGAACGGGACGGCGGCATCGGGTCGATTACGACGCTATCAAGGGTGGTGGCGCTGTGGTGAAGCAGTTGCTTGGTCCTGTCATTACGAGTTTGGGGACTGCTGTCCAGAGATATAAGCAGGCTTTCGAGGAGCAGACTAAGGGTGGATGAACAGACGCATCTTTTCAACCCTCGATTTGGGAGCACAAACGACCGCTCGATCCGTTGTCAGCATGGGAATGGCCTGTCTGAGCAAAATTGCCAACCGCTATATTCGACACTTCCACTAGCGCCATCCCAAGGAGCCGACGACGTGCACATCGATGCATACGAGATGGTGGACGGTGCTCCCCGTATCATTGACACAGAAGACAAGAAGGCCACATATGTCGCTCGCCAGGGCAAGATCTAAAATTTACGGAATAGGCCACAAGGGCTGGGTTTGTCGCTGGTGGAAAGCTGATTCACCATGTATTATAAGGCAGCTGAGGCTATAAAGATACTTCAACGCGCTCTTCATGCTTGTAGTATGTATAGTAACAGTGCTTGCATGCTCCGTTCCGTCTGCTCCTCATAGCACATCAATCGCATTCATGACCCGGTGAAGTATCCCAAAATCTGCCTCCCAAACCCTCTTCTAGATTCCGGCACAGAAGCCACGTTATCACTGACATTCCTCATTCCGTCCGCTGAACTTCCCTCCTCTTCCAGGCGTCTCCTCAAACCCTCGTACTGACCCCGTTCCTTGCGACTACTCGACTCGCCAACCATCCAGCTTGGTATTCTCCATCTACCTAAGCCGCCAGGCAACAGCTCGCCCATCCACGCACTTCCGATCGTCCAACCTAGGGCAGCAGGGAGGAGCTGATATGGAAACTGGCTCAAAGCCAATTGCGCAGCGAGCAGATATGTTGTAGATTTGTCGCTGAGGACCAGTCCGGGGGGGCTGCTCTGTTCGTCCGTTGGGCTCGTCGTCACGATCTTGTACCGGTACAGCCTTGGGATCTCATCGGCCCAGGCGCTCAGCGCGGCAAACACCACAGCCGTCAAGCCCGGAGGGATGTAATTGTACACGCCGAAGGAAAGGACTTTGAGAGACAGAGTTCCGACCGGCAGGAGGAGGACGTTCAGCCAGAAACACACGATCAGGAAGCTGGCGTATTTGCGGCTACCCCATAGGCGTTCTAGCACGCGGAACTGGTAGAGTAGTGCGACGGAGAACAATAGCTCAGCGGACGACGTGTATGCGACTTGGAAGGTCAGAAGGCGGGAGAACTGCAGCCACGGCCAGAGGTGTGGTGTGGGTTTGACGGGGAGGAGGTGCTTGATGTCCAGGACTGAGGCGAGGATGCTGGTGCCGATCGAGGACAGGATCAGGAAGCGCGTAACTGGAGTATTCGAGAAGCCTGATGTTGTGACCATCGTGGAAGGCCGGGTGTGCTCGTGAAGAGCAGCACGGTAGTATTGGGCAAGGTCTATGTCAATGTCCCTACTGTGGCCTCGTCGCAAATGAAGCAATAGTGCATGGGGACTTCACTGGGCCGCAGGGATGTGATCCCCGCATCTGCAAGGCTGCGCTTTTGGAGATCGCTAATATATTTTTCAAGACGCCTCCGACTAACGGAACCTTCCATCCTCGCCGTCAACAAGCGAACATATTCTTTCTCGAGATAATTGGCCTTCGGGCCTGAGAGCAAGATGGACGAAGGATCAATGCCTGGTGCGTTCCCTGCTGAGGTACACCAAGCCGTTCCTGCAAACAGGACACCGAAGAGGCGGTTCGTCGGGCGGAGAACCGCAGATGCGCAGGCGAAACAGAGGCAAAATGAGAACTCGTCGGTCGAGGAGACGACTGCTGTGGTTCCAAAAGGTAGGGCAACTGGTATCATCGATGCAAGATCGAAAATTAACATGGCATAGTCCCAAGAAAGACTCCACGCGCCCTGAACCAGGTACCTGCAGAGATCCTCGATGACCCCGACATCCAGGCCGCTATAGCCCTACTGCCTCACAATTACAGCTTCGAGATACCCAAGACGATCCATCGCATCCGAACGCTAGAAGCGAAGAGAGTTGCTTTGCAATTTCCTGAAGGCCTGCTCATGTTCGCCACGACGATATCGGATATCCTTACACAATTCTGTCCCGGCGCGGAGACATTGATCATGGGAGATGTTACATACGGAGCGTGCTGCATCGATGACTACACTGCAAGAGCGCTGGGATGTGATCTTTTGGTTCACTATGCGCACAGCTGCTTGATACCAGTCTCGACCACCAAGATTGCCACCCTCTACATCTTCGTAGACATATCGATCGATATCAAGCATCTAGTGAGCACGTTATCCCGAAATATTTCGCCAGGAAAGACAATCGCCATGGTGGGCACAATTCAGTTCAATGCGACTCTGCATACTATCAGGCCAGCCCTGGAAGCGGAAGGCTTGAAGCTGGTCGTGCCACAGGTCATGCCGCTGAGTAAGGGCGAAGTTCTGGGTTGTACTGCGCCTAAGATCTCCCAAGATGCAAACGTCGACCTGATACTTTATCTTGGTGACGGTCGCTTTCACCTTGAAGCTGCGATGATCGCGAATCCTGACATGCCAGCATATCGCTACGATCCTTATTCGCGGAAGCTGACTAGGGAGACTTATTCCCATGATGAAATGCTGGATATGCGGTCATCCGCGATTCAAACGGCAAAGAAGGCGAAGAAATGGGGCTTGATACTTGGTGCTCTGGGCAGACAAGGCAACCCGCATACACTGACTATGATTCAAAACTACCTCACGAAGCAAGGTATTCCGTACGTCAATCTCCTGCTTAGCGAGATTTTCCCCGGGAAACTGGCGCTCTTCGAAGATGTGGATTGTTGGGTTCAGATTGCATGTCCCCGGTTGAGTATAGACTGGGGTTACGCTTTCCCTCGGCCATTACTTACTCCTTACGAAGCTCTTGTGGTGCTGGGTGCTCAACAAGGATGGGAAGCTGAAGGAAGCACGTACCCAATGGATTTCTATGCCAATCATGGGTTGGGAAGGACTACGGAAAAGCTCGCCACACAGGTGGGCGTCACTGCTTGAGATCATCGGAATGCGGGCGAGCATTGTATCGTCCGCGTCCACATCCAGCAATTGCTGCTCATCACACGTTGCGGTCAGAGTCGTAGAACTCATCTGAGCAACATACCCAACGACGGCCAGGATATGTCCCAGCGCATCACTGCAATCGCCCAGTCACTGTCATATATTGATGTAGCTGATTGGATTCTAGAAGGAAGCCGCTTCGATGGGTTGGCAGGATTGCCATGTTTGCCGGGAAACGGGCTGGATGCGCTCCAAAGGGGGACAGTTTGGAAAGGACAGTGCTGTTGGAGAGGTCTCACACCCAAGTGGTGATGTGAACTCACATTGAAGAGACACGAACATCACCTAAACCACTGGTACAGTCCATGACTTTATGGTTCATGGTGCCTACCATCCTCGATATGGAGGACAACCGGGGAAGGTGGCTGGCTGCTGCCATTGCCACAGTGAAAGAGTGCTCTGCTGTCAGTCAGTCACAGCAGCATAATACGGGTATTAAAAAGGTTTCCGTTGTTCATTTTTCCGTCCTCTATGAATTACAAAAAGTAGTGTGATCCTCGTTGATAGTTCCCATGACGATGCTGAATGGTTCAGTAGCGAAGCTGTCCGGCCGTGCCAGGCTTTCCATAATGAACATATTGCCGAGGTTTTGCCATGCTGTCAAGTAACAACGACTTGTCCTTCTCGTGCTTGTCCCCCTTACCCATTCATTTCGGACCTCACAATCTCGTAACACTCACTCATCGAACCGCCCTATAGGCCGTGGTATGCCTTCGGATATCCATGTAGTTGTCCGCTTCCAAGACCAATCTGTATTTGCAGGTGAACAGCTTCGATGCACAATCACCTTCAAGAATGTCGCCAATTTACCAGAACCCGTCAGTCCCGGGTATTCGAGGCGGCGCAGCAGCAGGAGGCAAAGTATAAGCCAGCTTGCAGCTCAGTCGACGAGAAATCATTGCCTTCAGAGACTCAGTCAAAATGGCCACCAGAATGACTCTGCTGCCGAGCCACATGGTCGATATCGAGCTACTGCGTCATTACAGACCACGGTGCCAGTAACAGACTCCCTGGACCCCACTGGACGCCCTGCTCCCAAGCAAAGATCGGTATCAATCATATCAGTGAACTCTCCGATACCGACGGGCGACCAGGTCAATGCGACTAGCGGCAGCTGGGCAACGCAACAGAGACTGAGCCATCAACGATCCTCAACGGTACAAAGTATCTATGGTAAGATTCTGAATGCCGCAATACCACCCCATACCTTGTAGCTAATGACCGCTAGACTCTCGACAAACAACCCACCTCAGCCCAATATCACCTGGTGGCTCGCCTCATCCATCAAGAAAGGGCCGACGTAATGGCGGCGCAAATGGTAGTCGTGAATCAACACCCGATTTCAGCTTTCCCCCGCCAGCCGGAAACCATTCTTCGGACCCAACTACAGGCGAGGCTTCGCTCGGACAACGGCTTCAAGAGCCCGCAATCCGAGTCACATCCAGAACAAACCAGGTGGCTAGTGAACGAAGTAGTGGCGACTTCTACTCACTCAGCAATCACTCACAGGAAACTCTTATGTCTGAGCAACAGTCTGTCATGTCCGATCACAGGCCAACACCAACCTTCTCCCTCCCTCTTCCACGCAGACCAACAGCAGTAAGAGCGCCACAGAAGCCGCGGGCCGTCAGCCTCCTCATGGGATATGTACAATTCAATGCAACTTTCACGCTCGACGCATCGCTGATTGACCAGTCTCAATTTGAGGAAGTCAAAAGTAAAGGCTTTCTAGGTGGGCAGGCGGGTGGTGGCGTGGTCGGAGTCAAAAGGCCCCGGCCCAACAGTGGCTTTCTGGGGAGTTTCAACCTGAGCAACATTGGCGGATCCTTCAACAGCTTGATTGGTGGTGACGATATGAGCAGCGTGAAAGAAATGAACGCTGTCACCACATCGCGGGCAATCCCCTTACTGTCCAGTCCGCAGTCACTACTATTTGTTGACATGCATCTGGAACCTGGCGAGGAACAAAGCTATTCCTACGTCTATCCATTACCCGCTGGGTTGCCATCAAGCCACCGAGGAAAGGCCATAAAGATTTCATACAACCTGACTGTCGGTGTACAAGGTCTGCCAGGTGGTCGAGACGTACACGCGGTACGACAGGTCAATGTCCCAGTCCGTGTTTTCTCGGGAGTCAACTACGATGGAGACATTTTCGGCCATGACCTAATGCAGCCTCATGTCATTCTCCGAGATTTGGCTCGCACTAAACCAATATTCTTGCCAGAGACCAACGAAGTACCGGAGACTCCTATCGCACGATCCGACAAGAAGTTGAGTGGCGAGTTCCTGCAGTTTGTCGACAAGCTATTGGACCGTGATAGAAGGAGACAGTCGAGTAGTGGCACCATGGTGGAATCGTTCCTCAACAAACAAGATACGCAAGGCCATCGAGCATTGGAAGCCATCGACCGTGCAATACTTTACAGCAATCAGACCGTAGACAGCGAGTCGAGTCCAAACCGCTTTGAAATTACCAGGAATGGTCTACGGGTCGCCGTTATCGTCATTGACAGACCTTTGCACAGGTTGGGCGAGACCATCACCGCCGTCATCGATTTCTCAGAAGCACAAGTCCCTTGCGCCTCCCTTCGATCTACCCTGGAAACTTCGGAAAAGGTCAGTCCCTCGCTTGCAGTCAGGTCAACAGCCACTGTCAATCGAGTGACCAGACGAGTCTATGCCGCACACTCGGAGACCATTCTCTTCGCCAAACGAGCCACATTCGCACCGAGTATCCCTGCAACCGCAACACCAACGTTCGTGACCAGTGGCATCAATCTAGACTGGAGTCTTCGATTTGAGTTCGGGACCATCAAGCCCATGGAGAACGAAGAAGGCGAAAGTAAGCCTGTCACGGATCTGCTTGAGGAGGTGACCAAGGACGAACGTGGGGCGATCAATGTCGCGGTGGAGAACTTGGAGTGTGAGACGTTTGAGGCGGTCATTCCCATAACCGTGTATGGTGATCTTGTCCCAGACGGGGGAACAGGCGAGGACGTCGTGGGGATTCCTATATGAGCTGTTAAGACTTATAGAGCACGAATTCCAGGACCAGAAATGTCAGGTATGCTACCAGCATCGCCGCTCCGATCAACCTGTGTGACCCCACCATGATGACCAGCGCAAGGACGGCTGAAGACGCCCATAACCATATCATCTCGTGGGTATAACTGGATCGGATACTGAGATTGGGGGAGCCCAAAATGGTAACTCCCAGACACAGTGTCAACAAGAAGATGTTGCTTCCGACCGTGTTGGCGACCAGTATTCCAGGGTGGCCACGTGCTCCGCTGACCACGGCAACGAATTTCTCTGGCAATGTGGTTGCGAGGGACAAGAGTGTGGCTCCAAACACACTCTCTGAGATTTCGAACCTGGCAGCCAGCAACCCCGAGGAGTGCGAGAGGATGTAACCGCTCATTGAGAGGGCGATGAACCCGACGAGGAGTTTTGCAAGGTCCCAGATAATCCGACGTTGTTGCCGTCTCCTTTGGCGTAGAAGCGTGACTGACTCATCTGGGTCTGCGCCTTCGTCGCGCTGATCATCGGTAGTGCCTGAGTTGCCGGCAACTTCGTCTGGCTCGTGTTCGATGGTGCTAGACTCGCTGTCTGAGTCTGAATCCGAATCCGAGTCCGAATCTTCTGGCGCGGCCAGAATCCCACGGTAAATCGACCATCCCACTGCAGCGACATAAATACCAAATGCTACCACAAGCACCACTCCGATCGGCTTCGTGGAAACCTGACCGAGTGCCCAGACGAGCACTACCGCTGTCGTCACGGCGAAGAGCACGATGGCGTACCTTTTCGCACTGGCGTCGAATTTGACGACTCCGCTTTGGACGAGAATGCCGAGTGAGAAAGCGCCGAGAATATTCCCGATACAGCTACCCAGGACGTTTCCCAGGGCTAGACGTGGGCGATTTTGAATCAGTGCGGCGACCACGACGAAGAGTTCTTCCCACTCGGCGCCCGCGGTGAGGAGGGAGATGAGTGTTTCGGAGACCCGGAGGCGGTGCGCGAGGCGGGCTGTGGAGTTGATGAATAGGGATGTGCTGTGTTCGAGGGTGTAGAGACTGAGGAGGAATGTGCATAGAGGGTAGACAAGAGCATTGGTGTCGGTGTCTGTAGATATTGTTGTTTTTGTTTCCGTCATGGTTGGCTTCGAGTGCCAGTGGTATGCTATGGAGAGCTTTGTGGAACAGTGAAACCGCACCTTCGTAGGGGCGTCCTAAACTGCCCCTCATTTGTTTTCGACAATCGATTGCGAGTTTGCTTGTATTCGGTCTCAGGCTTGGTGACATGTCGTTGGCAACACATGACGTAGGTACAGTACAGTAAGCAGCTCAAAGGGAAGACGTGAATAATTGGTTAAACCCTTACAGGCGCGGAGTGGCTCCCTAGCCAGTCTCATGTTTCAACGCAACATCGAGGACACCTAAATTTGCATGTCTATCGATTGCCTTCTTACAGTTGTTACACTCTCTATGTTGAACGCTACAGGCTTCTCACTTGGATTGACGTGATAAATGCTCGCAATGTTCCTGTACGACCTCGGGTTGGAGTTCACCAGGCCACTCTCCGGGCGTAACGAGGCTCTCGGAGAAGTTGGACAGTCCTCCGCACTCGGTACTGCACGCCATTAGTGGCACCAACAGGCTAGGGAGGCTAGGTCGTACCCGTCTCTAAAGCGTGCCTGAAACTCCTTTTGGCCTTCGACATGAACGAGAAAGTCAAACACGCCTCACTTCAGATGGTGCAACCAGCTACGCATTTGATATTTCGACGGCGCGAGTGAAGAAGGACCCTGAGCCTCACCGTGTTTTGGCGCCATTCCAGCAAAGCAAGCATAGGCGTTCATGGCCGAACAAGGAAAAAGAGGGTTCAAGCTACCCATAGGTGCATGGGACAGCCACATCCATATCATTGATGAAGTCAGTATTTCTATGTCTCCTCACATATGGCTCTTCTCAGTCTTCTGCTGCTGACGCCCTTACAGGACCATTGGAAAATCAATGACGATGCACCCTTTCACCCGAAACAGGCCAACCTGGACCAGCTGCTGGCATTCGAGCGTACGCTGGGAATAGACCACGTCTGCGTCGTGGCCATGTCGGTTTACATGACCGACAACCGCTGTAACATGGACGGTTTACGTCGTCTCAAGGGCAAGGGTAGGGGTGTCGCCATCATCGACCCGGACACCGTCACCGACGAGGAGTTGGACGAGATGCACTCGGTCGGGTTCCGTGGGGTGAGAATTAACCTACGCACGAGATCCCAGGCCTACGGTCCGCATGTCTGGGGTGAGGTCCTCCCAAAATATGTGGCGAGGCTGCGCAGACTGAAAAGCTGGGTCGTTCAGATTTTTGTGTCGATGGACCAGATCCAACACATCGCGCCACACGTCCCCGGCTTGTTACAGGCGGGTCTCAAGGTCGTCTTTGACCACGTCGGCCATCCGGAGGCTGGCGGATCACCAATATCTCAACCGGGTTGCAAGGAACTTTACGATTTGTTGTCGAACCACAAACAAGTCTACATCAAACTCAGTGGACTCTACAGGCTCCCCGAGGTTCCCGACCTTGATACGCACGTCCGCCACCTGCTCGAAATCGCCCCCGACCAAATCGTCTGGGCCAGCGACTGGCCGCACACGGCAGGGCCAGAGTTCAACCCCGGAGGCAACCCGCAGGCAGTGCAGGACTTCATGGTTGTGGACATTCTCGGTTTCATCAAACAGTGCGTCGAGCGGTGCCAGGGTGACCCCGAGCTCATCCACAAGATCTGGGTGGACAACCCGAGACGACTCTGGGACTATCATGATGGAGATTAAAGACACCAGCAACGAGCCAGACGAAGTAGAGTCACCGTTCACTTGTATGTGTCAGTGTATGTGGAGTGCCCTCGGAAAGCATGTAGCTCCCCCAGGACTCCTCTGATCTGCTGCGGTTTCTATCAGCTTCACATAAGATACCGCATCTATGAGTACCGGAACTCGGCACATCTGTCGAGGATATCCTAATAGCACACGTTTCATGCTCATCGATTTGACAAACAATCACGCAGCTGAGGGTCTAGTCATGCCACTAGCATGAATGCAGGGAGAGACACTAGCAGTCAAAAGTCGTTAGGTGAGGGTCATTCTCACCCTTCGACCTACTCGGGCATACACATCACTGGTTTACTTCCAGGCCGAGGATCGGCTCACGGCACCGACGAAAAGAAGTTCTTGCGGTCACAAGAGCGGAGGAGGGGCTCCCATGGGGGGATTGGGGAGGGATATGCAGTGGGAATAACCTATTCAGGTAGGCCGCGAGGTCACCAGTTATACCCCATTGGCGGAGAAACCCCATGGAGCCCAAGCGCTAACCCTCCCAAGAGCGCCCGACGAGGAATAGAATTGTACACAGTATATAGAGTTCTGGTGCAGGACGCTTTCTCAGTGGTGAATCCGGAACCCTGCCGGGAGAGATCTTATTGAAGAATTCGGAGTTGGAGATGAGTCCCAAGTGCAAAGAACAACCCAACTGGCAATTGATCTACTCAACTCTGATCGACCATATTTAAGCCGTGGACCATCCCACGATTCATGGCCATGGTCCTTCGCTCCTGAGGCAGGCTTTTCTTCACACTCCCTTTTTGGATTTTCACGCCTGAGACGTTGGGCTTTTCAAACAAATACAATGGGCATCAAGCAGAATCTCAAACTGTGGGAGAACCACGTCACCTACATCAATGAAGATGGGTTCGAGGTGTCCAAGATTGTGCCGAGGAAACTTCCTCCCGCACCGTGGAAGATTGTCGCCCGGCGTTTCGAGCCTGGGTGTTTTTCATAGTTGGTCTGTAAGTATCAGTGGTAAACGATTGTGACCGGGTTGTTTCTGACATGTACAGCGCCGCCTGGGCTGCCGATGGCTTCGACTACAACTCAGTGAATCTGGTGGCGACCGAGTTGTCGGTCGCCTACAACGAGAACCTCACACACATTACTTTGTCCGTCACGCTGACTCTGGTGGTGCGCGCCTTTGGCGCCGTCATCTTTGGTATTTTGGCCGACATGTTCGGACGAAAATGGGTCATGGTGGCCAACCTCTGGATTTTGGCCGTGCTCCAAATCGGCACCGCCGAGGGCAAGACTTTCGGGGCGTTTGTGGGCGTCCGCACCATCTTTGGTATTTGTATGGGTGGCATCTACGGTCCGGCTGCGGCCATCGCCATGGAGAATATGCCAGTGGAGGCAAGAGGACTGTTCTCGGGGATCCTGCAAAATGGTTATGCCATGGGATATGTCCTGGCCGCCATGGTCACCATCGTCGGCATGCCCGACACCACATACGGATACAGGGTGGTGTTTTACGCCGGTGCAGGCTTCTCGGCCGTCGTGACCATCATCATCATGTGCATCCCGGAGTCGGCCATTTTCGCCAAAGGGTTGATCGAGGGCAACGACGGCATGACAACGGGTATCAACCCGAAGAAGCGCGTAGCTCTGTTCTTCCGGGACGCGCGACTCGCCGCCCGCCAGAACTGGAAGATGTCTTTGTATTGTGTGCTCTTCACCTCCATCTACAACTGGATGACCCACGCGTGCCAGGACATCTACCCATCCTACCTCAAGGTTCAGAAAGGGTTCACCCCACGTCAGGCTAGTCTCGCCGCCATCCTGGGCCAGTGCGGCGCTATCATTGGGCGCCCGCTGGCAGGGTATTACTCACAATTCTTCGGTCGACGGTTGACCTCCATCGTTGGTATCTGTCTGGCCTGGGCCTTCATCCCACTCTTCACCCTGCCGACGGGCTACAGCGCGATCATGGCGGGCACTTTTTGTCTGCTGTTCTTCGTCAACGCCTCTTGGGGCATCATGCCCATTCTATTGAACGAGTACAGTCCTCCCCAGTTTCGAGCCGTCTTCCCCGGCACGGTCTACCAGTTGGGCAACATGTTCAGCGCCCCGGCGGCACAGTCGCAGACTGCGGCGGCTAGCGACTGGATCAAGAACGGCAAACCCAATTACAGCCAGGTAATGACCATATTTATGTGCGTCCTCTTCGCCTCGGCAATCGCCGTCTGCGCTTGCGGGCCCGAAAGGTTGGGTAGTCATTTCGAGGTCATCAAGCGTGCTGGCGCAGTCGAGAACCCTTCGGAAAAGGAACTCGAGCTACGCGAGAGTTTTGACTCGACTAAACCTCGCTCTCATCAATTAACAACCATAGCCGAGGATAAAGTTGCGAGCAAGGAGCAAATTGAGCTGGCTTGACGTGGCGGTTATTCGATCTGAACGTCTGCGAGTCATCGAGAATGATTCCTATGAAATTGGCATGCTAGGGTTTTCCCGGGCCATGAATGTTGGGAGTATTAGGCAGGAACGACCTACGGTCACGTGGACCAGGATTACATAGGTCTCCTGGTCATTAGGACCTTCTACCGAATACCATACATATTCAGACTCTCCTTTGCTACCCATAATGAATGGGAAGGATCATGAATCTGGCCATGTTCTGCTCTAAACTAGGGTGTGGCTATCCTAGGATGTGCCTAGTACTTGTGGAATCGCCTTCGCTGCACTCACGTTTCCACTGCCCTATAAGACGTATCTGAAGGCCTTGTTCTCCCTGTCAGTTTTGTCGAAGAAACCTTCCAATTCGCCGTCTACTGCCTGAATTTCGCCGTTGGCAAATGCCCTGTCGCGCTTCTTGTTTTCATTGGACATGTACCACCGGAGTATCAAGTTGCACAAGATCTAGAAGCCGTTGTGGTCAACGAGGGAGGTTCTCCACAGAATAGGGGGTTTGAGACTTACGCTGAGACCGAAGCAAACCAGCAGACCGGTGATAGCTGACTGATAAACAGGTGCTTGCGAGGGAAAGAATATATGTGGACCAATAAGGTTGCCAACCCCGAATGCTGCGAAGACCATGGCATTGACAAAGGATCTTTTGCTGTGACCAGCGAAGTTGGCAGCGGTGAGCGTCCAGCTGAACAGATTGGTGACTCCAAAGATGAATTGTAGCCAAGTACAACCGAGCAGAGCCCACTTATGCTCTGGAGTTCGCTTGATGAACCTGATACCGAACAATCCTGCGACGTTGGGAATGTTTGCGGCGATTGAGATCCATATGATTGTGTTAGGGATCTTGGTTGCAATGTAACCGAGGACGGGCTCAATGATAGCCACGAAACCACCTGTGGGCATCTGGAGGAGGACAGTCTGGAGGCCCGTGAATCCAAAGCCTTCAATCAGAGGAGAGGCGAATGCAGAGACACTCGAGTTACCTGCACATTTCGTTAGTCGTCGTAGAGGGGAGGGTGAATGCATCACATACAGATACCGTTGGTGATCTGAAAAGCGCAGAGAAGCCACATTTTCGGATCGACCAATGCCTCCTTGATCTGGTAAGGTTTGAGTTTCTTATCTTTGATTCCGATCTTGTTGGTAGAAATGCGATGAATGACAACCAGTTTCTGGCGGCGGGTCAACCAGCGGGTCTCAGTTGGTGTGTTGGGCACAAGGAAATAGAACACTGCGGCCCAAAGGGTCGTGAGAGCACCCACGAACTAGAGGCGGAAGTCAGAGAGAAACATGCGTTGCAAGGGACAAGGTATGCGTACCAGGAAGACAAGCTTCCAGTTGGAGATGCTGCTGTGGCTGTTGCCGATACCATAGGAGACAATTGAGAGGAAAACGACACCACTTCCAAAGGAGGACTGCCAGAAACTGTTTCGGACGGGTGTTTCCTCTCGCTTGTAGAAAGATGAGGTGATAATCATCATAGTAGGTGTGATGCCAACTTCGAGACAGCCTGAACCATGTCAGTCAATTATGAGTAAGATTCTCCTCGACCATCCTACCCAGGAGAAAGCGAAGGACAGCAAAGCCAGCGAACGAAGAGGCGACGCAGCACATCAAGGTCAAGAAACCCCATAAGAAGATGAGGATGGCTGTATAAAGTCCAACAGGCAGTTTCTGAAGCAACAGGGTCGAAGGATATGCCCACTAAACCAGCATGGTAAGTCCCGTGAGAAATCATCTAGGCTGACCACACCACTCACAAAGAGGTAGCCAAAGTAGTATATACTGGCTAGCCAGTTGTAGTCAGAGGCATCCATCCCAGTGTCTTCCAAGACACCATATGCATATGCATATCCTAGGACAGCATTGTCCAAGAATTGGAGAGCGTAAGTGAAACAGATGACAGGCATAAGAATCCAATCACATCGACGTCGGACAGCCGCACTCTCAGCTTCGAGCTCTGCTTGAGGGATCCTTCGCATTTCCTCGAACCACCCAAGGGCGATATCGACACCTTCTGGGACGACATGTTCAATGCTGCCTTGGTCGGATGCAGTGTTGGTCTGCACAGTCGGCTCGGCACTCGTGAGAGGAATATCGGTCTTTTCCGCCATAACTTCGGATTGTGGACGAAGCGTACCACAGAACAGGATTGATAGAGCGCAAGGAGTTGTGGTGACTCTGATAGTGGACGCGAATCCAACGAGGCGACCGGTGGGTCTTTATATGTTCTGCTCCTCAAGCCGGTGAAAGGACGATCCAGACCAAAGCGCTCGAGACACTATCTCGGCTCAGCGCTATATCAAAAAGTCCCGACCACCTCAGAAGACGTGTAGATAAGCTAGGCCCTGCCACTTGCACAGAGGGAAGCCAAGATGCACAAGCAAGAAGGTACAGGCGATCCTTAGTAAAAGATGTGCGGCACGAGATACCCCTGGCCTTCCAGCCCAGCCTGCATGGCACTTCTTCAGACGCCGTATCTGTGCCGGTAACCCAGTAAGATCTTGCGAAGTTATCGAGCATACCACCTAGCTATGCATAGAAGCCTGCGTCGGGAAGTTAGTGGGCGTTGAGTGTGGTAACAGCATCGAGCTTCGCTGGTGCACGGCTCCCGTCCGAAGGCGAGGAACCAAAGGGAAATTCAGGTTGAGAGAAAGTGGGCGTGTGATGCTTAGTGCTATCAACCTGGTGGATTCACCCTTGTGTAGTAAGTCTTAGGTTGGAAGAAGTGGACCGGGTGAAGGTACAAGCGAAGACCCCCTGGCTGAGCCTCCGCAATTATCGAGAGTGCGATTGGTCCAAATGTATGTTGGGGCACGCGAGGCTATCTTGCCCGGATATCTCGCCGCCAGTTCGGTTGTACCTTCACCAGCTCCACTCCTCCCAGAACCGCACGGGAGCACTAATAACGAAACGCATACCATTTCAGTGACCGTCTGCATGGGTGGAGTAGCATCTAGACAAGGTAGTCATGAGCGCTCTTTTGGGCAAGCGATCACAGACCTCGATACAGGGTCCCTTTCTCGAGGCAACGATTGGCCCGAACAAGCTGTCTTTCGGTTTCGCGACCCCTGGCTTTTTCATGTGCTCAACGCATTCGCAACGAGGCTTGAGAGTACTGAGCTGGAAGATCATCTCATTAAATCAACGTGATGCTTGAGATCAATTGTGCTGGAACGCCGTATGAGGTGAGCAAAGATGTTCTCGTAAGATCAAAGTGTTGTATGTTGATGACCGCTCCTCGATCAACAGGTCGGATTTGAACATGGAACGAATGCTGCCTCACAGATCCACAGCACGATTCATTTTTATACAGATCTCTTTCACAAGAAATGCAATCTGAGCTGGGAAGAGGCGTGCAAAAAGGCACAAGAATATGCCCCTCATATTCATGAACACTATCCGGCCCTCGAGGCTGAGATGCGAGCTATCGCTCAAGGTGCAGGAGTGGCATACGACAACATTTTGGCTCTGAATGTTCGATCTGAACTCGTGTTCGGGGCCTCAATGGATGGCTGCACGAGTATATCGTGGAAGACAGATGACAACTGCTACCTCGGTCAGAATTGGGACGTGAGTGAACTGTGCTCCCACCACACATGACTTGACTAATTGAAGAGCCAGTGGATGGTCGAGCAAAAGCCGAATGTTGTACTCCTACAGATAGATCAACCAGGCAAGCCTGTTATTCAAATGATGACCGAGGCTGGTATGATTGGAAAGATTGGTGAGTGACAGCCTTTTTCGGAGGTTGTACCCGATTACTGAATATAGGCTGGCAGGTCTGAACTCTGCCGGGCTCGGACTCTGTGTGAACGCAATTCGATGCGCAGGAAGCGATGTTAGTAAGACTCCCATTCATCTACTGTGGCGGACGGTCCTCGAATGCACTTCGGTCTCTTCAGCAGTGCAAGCGATAGAAGCATACGGAAGTGCCGGTGCCTGCAACATGTTCATAGCGGACGGATCGAATAACATCGGGGTTGAGGTGACACACAGAACGACACAATTCCTCAAGCCTGATGCGAAGGGCCGGATATTCCACAGCAACCATATGCTTCAGCAGCATCCTGGCACAGATCTTCTCTGGCTTGGAGATACGATAGACCGTGTCAAGCGCATCGAAGAGCTTGCGAATGAACTTGACGGCGAGGTCACAGTGGATGCGATACACAAAATGCTCTGTGACGAGGACAATCATCCATGCTCGATCAACCGAGAACAGGTTGGGGAGAGTGATGCAGCAAGTGTTTTCAGCATCACTATAGATTTGTCCAAAGCCGAGGCTATAGTTTCATTTGGAAGACCGAGCAAGCCTGATCGAGTATTTCGGCTACGTCCGCGTGACATCAGGCACTGATGCATCAAGAGTCGTATACTGCGATGTAAATAGGCATTCTTTATAGGAAAGCTGACAACTTTTGATCATCCCAGAAGAGAATCTCTCCTCGCAAATCTGCAGTAGCTGAGAGAGCCAGATTGCCTATAACGGATCCTGGCTGATGAGGCTCAACAAGTCTCGGTTTGACGATGTCCATATAGACTTTGAGCTCTTGTTCACTCATGCCTGAATTGTCTGATAAACGAGTAGCTTAGCAACCAGCCGCTACACGCAAAAGACGTGTCGTGGTAAACTCACATTCGCCCCTGAAGATGCCTTGGACGAGAGGTGTGTTGACAACTCCCGGATATACACCCACAGCAGTGATATCAGCTTCTTCCAGAGTCAACGTCTTTATGACATAGTTCACTGCAGCCTTTGTTGCTCCATAAGCTCCCCAACTCGCGAATGTTGGCTTCTCCCCAGCGTCTGATGAAGTAAATATCACCTTGCCATTCTGTTTGCGAAGATGGGGAATGGCTGCGCTGAGCTATAGTCCTAAGTCAGTTTTCGATCTTGAGTTTTTCCTTGGAGATACCCATACCATCGATACCTGAGAAACAACGTTGACATTGAATATTCTCGTCCAATCTTCTGATGACACGTCACAAAGTCTTTTCACCGGTGCCATGATACCTGCATTCAAGGCAATAGCATCGAGCTTTCCCCAAGTGGCGAGCGCGACCTGAACAGCCATTCTGTTGACATCGTCTTTGCTGACGTCCCCAACTACATATCGTACCCTGTCCGCCCCAAAGGTTGCCTGACGAGCCTGCAGAGGACCTTCCGAGATATCGACAAGGACGACTTTAGTTTGCTTTTCAAGTAGTTTCTCGACAATGGCAGCCCCGATTCCCATACTGGCCCCTGTCACAATGACAACTGAGCCTTGTTTCATGGTGCTCTTGGAGTAGCAGATTTGCTGGGAGTTCGTAGTTTGTTTTTGTGGAAGGCCGATTGCTCGTGTCGGTTCAATATCAGCCTTCACGTCTGCTTCAAGTGAATTTGAATGTCGTCCAAGGTGCCAGAGGCTGATACGGTCTCTGCGGGGTCTCTCTATCTCAGTGGGTGGGCTCTTGCCTAGATACAAGCTTGTGTCTTGATGATAGAGTGAACTCGAATAGTTCGCAATACCAATCCCGCCAGATCATGTCTTGGGCTGGTGTCGATAGTACTGGCGTTGTCCCACTTACAACCTTGTTAGGACGGCTTCGAACTCAAACGGATCCAGGGAGTGAGGCCTCGCTTGTACCTGCGTGGGAGCATTGAAGACACTACGCTCGTGCATACTTAGCGGTAAATCATCCTTATCTTGCATAGCTAGTCCTGAGTATGGAGCCTCTCAGTACTTTCATCTTCGATTTCGTGGACCTTGAAGCACTGGTCGTCCACGTGAGGTGGAGAACTTGCTCAACATCGGCTGTACCTTCACAGCCACCTCTCAAGACATCGATGAGGATCTAAAGTGCCAACATAACCCCACCGAGACAGATACTGCGATCGTTATCTTCGGAAACCTGATCTCCACGGCTCCAGTCATCCTATTTGATCAAGCAGATAGATACGCTTTGTTACATACCGTCACGTCTGGGGAGGCGATCTCCTAACAAGCTCCATTTTTCTAGCCAACGAGACAATGTGTTCTGGGACTGGCAAAGATAGCAACTCTTCCACAGCGCCATTCTAGGCCCGTCAAATGCGCCTATAGACTTGGAGCGAATCACCGAATACTCGGGGAACTTGGTTAAAGTACGAGAAGTTTAGACAATCGCCGTCCTGCTCTGGATCGAGGTCTTGGGGAGAGTCCACAGCTTTGCTTCTTCGGCTGTACCTTCTGGGCAGCTTGATGAAGACTATTGACTGTTGTAGCAGAAGACCCTGTCAGACTTATTTATGATCCTCTATGTTTGTTCTGCTTCCTAGGTCCAACCGCAACGGGTGCACTGTGTTTCGCTAATCCAGACTTCATTCCCTCGATCTTACATTATCTTCGCGAAGCTGTCATAGTTCAAGATGAACTCGAAGACCTTTACCTCCGATCAATATGACTATCCCGTTCAGGAAGACGAGGCGCCCAGAATTTCGCTGAAGGGAACGGATGCAGCTCCAAGGGTCCATTTCGATCCTAAGATACACTTGAGATTCCAGAAACCGGAGAAGACGTATACGCTTGACGACCTCAAATACAACACGAAACAAGCTGTTGGCCATGTCGCGGCGACAGATCCCTTCCCTCTCTTCACCAGAGAAGCCATTGTCGAAATGCGCCGAGAGCTACTGAGTGAACGTACGATCAAGAATTGCATGACATACACGAGACCAGGCTCTGTGCAGATTCGTGGCGCTGCTCCTCAGTATGCTCCTTTCGTCTACGAAGCGTGGACTCACCCAGAGACAATCAAAGCTGTCTCTACGGTTATCGGCCTCCCAGTCAAGATCAACATTGCCCAGGAGATCGGTCATACGAACATTCAATTGGGCGAAGACGGTCTGGAGAGCCTCAAGAGGTTGACTCCAGAACCTCTTGTGCCGAAAGTTGCTGTTGCAGACATTCCAGAAGAGGACATCACTGAAGACAAGGCCACTGACGTTATTGAGTGGCACAATGACATGTATCCTTGGTCATTAGTCGTCTCTTTGTCGCTTCCTCAAGGCAGAGGTGGTGAGACCGCCTGCCTCTGTGGTGATGGCTCCATTATCAAGGCTCCAAAGCCTGATGTTGTAAGTACTGATCTTGGCCTTCTTACATGGAGCAGATGACTGACGAGCACGGTTAGGGATATGGTGTTCTCCTCCACGGGAACGTGGTGAAGCACAAGGCTGTGCGTGCAGTTGGTGCTGAAGAGCGTATCACAACGGTCTGCTCCTGGTGGCCGGCTGATCCTCTTCTCTATGATGACTCCAAAATCGCGAACACTCGCGACGTCTCGTTCAAGCCTGAGATGTACTACCAATGGACCACCTATCGATTAGAGGCTTTGGCAGCCAGGTGCCTCGCAAAGGCTAAAGAGCTTCATGAGAAGCACGAAAACAAATCCAAGTATTCGGAAAGCGTGGTTGAGCCTGCAGAATTTGCAACATGGGCAAAAGAGCAAATGGCCTTCATGGAAAGGACCTATGACCATATGAAATAGTCAATTGATCAGCCCAGCAATGGCCCAGACAAGCAAATAGACATAGCAAAACGTGGGACAACCAAGTGAGCGTTTGGAATGAAACACTGGAAGCCATGAATCGCATATCATCACACTAGATTGATATTCTCGCTAACAGGAAATACATACCTTTCCCAGTCGTTCCTGCAATAGTGGTTGTCTGCAGTCTCGGGGAAAGGATCCTCTTCTAGGTCTCTGGCCTGCCAGACTTGACTGATAATGGTGCGCATCCGATCAACGTTCGAAACAGTAGATGTCTCCATGGCTTGTAGAACCTTCAAGACCATCAGTCTGCCGTGGAAAGGTCGATGATGCGAGTCATCGATCAAGATCTCATCGTTGTAGGGGTTGAGCTCGACAGCTGCCACAAACAGCGGCCATGTCAGTCCGTTCACAAAGCCTAGGTCAATAAAATCTGACGCTAGCAGGAGAATCTGCTCGACCAAGCTGATCATCAGTGGCGTGGTCGGGTGGGCGTTCTAGGAGTTGTCAGAAAGCTGTATCGGTAAAAACAGGGGTATATCGAAAGACTTGTGCTTCAACGGCACAGTCTTTCGCAGACACGAATACTTACGTATAATGCGCAATTCAGGTAAACCATGGCTGCGAGTCGTTTCATCTTTGCCGAGAGTAGAAGGTAATCGTCCTGATCATTCTCGACGACTTGCTCCAATGACTCCAGCTTATACCTTGTGACCGAGCAAGCGCTTAGGAACGCATCCGAAACGGAGATTTCTGGATTTGCATAAGCGGCCCTGCTCAACTCGTTGATGGTGCAGAGTAGGGCCACAAGCTCAGGGCTACAGCCCATCCAGACGTCGACAACCTTTTCACCAAAATTCCAATAGTCTCGACCAAAAAGGGGCACTTGCCCACATGCCGTACGCCCGATCACATCGTGAAAGGCAAAGAACTTTTCCGCAAACGCCGTCAACTCGTTTACCTCGACTTCCGTCCCTTGCGTGGCTTGTAGCTCTTTTCGGAAGCTTAGTATGTCATGAGCGCCTTTCAAATGGACAACCCATCCGGAATCGCAATCTTGGATGATTTCATATAGGCATAGAATTACCATTGTGACAAGAGTATCGGAGCTGGCAGCCACCTTTTCAGGACCTTCGACGTTGAAGCGATCTTGCAATACTTGCAGTACTTGTGATTTCAATTTCATGGCCGGTAGCTTCCATGCAGGCTCGCTTTTGGCTCGATGACATGCCGACAGCGCCAAAATGGAGAGAAGACCGCTGTTCGAATTCATCAGTGTGAAAGGTAGAACCAGTGAGGCGAACGGCGATTGTGACAACTTGCTTGGTGTCGTCAAGGGGCATAATTTCTGGATGAAGTAGTTCAAAAGCATAGAATGGTCTGCGTCGACAAGACCTGGGATCAGTGGTACCGAATGCGACCGGATCAACGCTCCTGCATAGGAATGGCGAGAACGATAACTGACATCGTCGTCCAAAGTCGCATTCAACCTGGAAGCTAGACGTTGTAATGGAGCACCTCCTTCCATGTTGGCTCGCGGATTGCGATAAGCATTGCCAACATCCAGCGCCAAAGGCTCTTCGAAGGTTTTCGCAAAGTAGTTGAGAAAATGATATGGACGAACGGTCGGAATGGGAGACCAATGTTCCGGTTCAGGTTGAGAGCGAGAGGCATTCCCCAATTTCGACCACACGCCTTCTCTCCCAAATGCCAAACCCTTGGAGATATATTCGTCCTCCCACTTGACTTCTGGCTTGAAGTCGCATGGTCGACAAGCAACCTGACACCGCTGGCACACCGGCCTGGTCTCGTCGCACTTGACCTTGGTTGGATACCGTCAGACAAAAATTGATTGCGACAATGACTTCAACATACCTTGCGGGCTCGACAAGTCTGACATCCTGCACGTGTTCGTGGCTTTGGTGGAAGCTGGTCAGGTCTTCGTTTACGACCCATGGCCCAGTATGAAGGTACAGCCGATTGCTCAACAAAAGTGGATGATAGCTTCATTTGTAGTGCCGCTGAGCCTGCACATGGGCCCCGAAAATAACGGGGGTGTAGTTATCATGACAGTAGATAAGGACGGGGCGGCACTGGAACCGGTGTCCACGTCCTTCGGGTCCGGAATTGGGCGACTCTGGGGTCAGGCTCGATAAGGAAGTCAAGAGGCTGCGGGCGACTCGGTTGGACCTTCACTCTTTGAGCCAATGGCCAACGTTTATTTTCACGATGAGCGCCCATCCTCTCAAGTCAGTGGGCGACCTCACGTCTTTAATATGCTTGAGAGATTCATCGACTGGATCAACGACGAACACCAGGGTGTTGAATGGTGCACGTTCGCAGGAATGGCGCAATAGTTCAGGGAAGCGCAATAGTTCAGGGAGGGCAAAATATGAGCCTCTCGTCCGAGAATGATCAGTAAACCTCCATGAATATAAAACGTACAGAAAGGTTGCGCTCTCCCTGTCAGAACCTACAGCTTCGCCCCGTTTGCCTCTTGATACCTCTTCTTCTCCAACGCCTTGAGTTCTCCTCTCCTAATCTTCCCACTGATCGTCTTGGGCAAGAACTTCGCGTCCACGAATTCAATCTTCCTGGGATACTTATAAGGCGCGGCATGTTCTTTGCAGAAATCCTGCAATTCCCTGACCAGTTTGTCTCTGCTTCCGTTGTCCTTGACATTCGCCGCCGCACTATCAGTAAGCACGACAAACGCCTTGACGACCTCGTCACGCTGGACATCAGGCGATGCGACGACCGCGGATTCGACGACAGAGTGATGTTGTTTCAATGTCGATTCGACTTCGAAGGGGCCTTCAACTCTCCCATTAGTTTCCATGGAGCACTAACGTACTAAGGGCTTGTACAGGGCCGTCTTACCAATTCTATATCCTGCAGAGTTGATCACGTCGTCATTCCGGCCAACGAACCAGAAATAGCCGTCTGCATCCCTACTCGCACGGTCACCGGTGATATAGTACCTCCTACCGTTTGAGAATGTGTTGACTTTATTATCGATTTTGCCGGTGGCTTTGTCGATATATCCTTCGAATATGCCGAAGAACTTACTCTCCTGCTCATCCTTGCCGTTGGTGACTTCGACAGCAATATCACCCTCCTCTCCATCCTTCGTCACGTTTCCCTCAGCATCAACAATCGTCAAAGGTACCCCTGCAATTGGCTTGCCCATACTTCCCAGCTTGACAGGATTTGCCGCTTGATTTGCGCACACGACAACCGTCTCAGTCTGGCCGTAGGCATCGTAGATCTCGATTCCATCTGTCATTTCCTTCCAGACGCGAATCACGCTCTCGTTGAGCGGTTCGCCGGCGCCGCAGCAGTGAGTTAGGGCGCGCGGTCTGCCTTGCTCAGTCTCGAAGAGCGCCCGATTTTCATCGAGGACAAGTTGTCTGTAGACTGTGGGTGGTGCGCACAAAGTGGTGATGGGGAAGTCGTGCAGGACTTTGAGTGTCCTTCTAGGATCAAAAGCCAGTCTGTCATCGTGCACAAATAGTGTAGAGCCACAGTTCCAGGACGAAAACCACGACCACGATGCTTTGGCCCAGCCTTGCTCCGAGAGGTTCCAGTATGTTTTACTGGGGTCGAGTTGTAGCCAGTGTATCCCCGTTAGGGCGTGCGCGAGAGGGTATGAAATTTGTGTGTGCAGGACCATTTTGGGGGGCCCGGTCGTTCCGGATGTGAAGAACGTTAGGGCGGGAGATGTCGAGGTTAGAGCATTGGGGACAGGGAATGTTACGTCTTCCGGAATCCTGGCGAGTGCGGCATGGAAGTCAGTTACCTGTTGTATTTGTGAGGACGGTGCCTTGCTGCCGTTGTTGGCCTCAATCTTGATGACGGTGCGTAATTGCGGACATTTCGATGCCACACTCAGACATTTAGCCACAGATGCTTCGTCCCCAACGAAGGCGGCTGCGTGCGAGATTTGGAGGCGATACTCGATGTCCTTGGCCACCAGGAGAGTGGTGCAGGGGCACAGAACCACGCCAGAGCGTAGACATGCTGTGGCGAACTCCCACCACTCGGGCACACGGGGCAGGATGATGATGCATGTCTCGCCCTGCTTGATGCCGAGGGATGTGAGGAGTGTTGCTATCCGGTGGGATTGGCGCGAAAAGTGAGCATATGTGAGCTGCTTGGTTGAAGTGAGGGATTGGTCTGCCCAGTGGAGTGCTAATTGCGAAGGGTCTCTTTGAGCCCAGTGGTCGACGACATCACGGGTGAAGTTGAACGAGGAAGGACGATGGAGGGGAGACACTGGGACGGCGGGAGATGCCATGGGGGGATTAGGTCTCGAAGCGGATGAGAAGCGACATTTGAGAAATCCGGTAAGAAAAAGTATCTAGGCAAGACCTTGTCTTCAATGAGAATGACTGTAGAAGGTCAAACGTGTCGAGTCCAGGTCGAAGGACGAGGTGTGTTTGTATGTCGAGTACCCCAGGGACCGAGGTATCGTGTATAGTGGGACCGCTTCTCCATAACGCCGAGTAAGGACCGCGGGGACGCGAACGAAGGATTCGAGATTATGGCTTGCGGTACATTCCAAGACACGAGATAGCAATTGCCATGCAGTGACAGATAGTTTCTCGTCCTTGCAGCGCTATTAATAGCATTTGTCTGACATTCACAGCGCAGTGGTCCTTGTTAGCGATTTAGTTGTGTCGTGCTCAAATGCGGAGAAAGGTCGGGGCATGGAGTCCTCCTCATAGGCCATGGCAAGGTGGGAAGGCTGAATCGTAAAAGGGAGACATCAACAACATGATATTAGGGCGTTGGACAGCATCTTCCGGTAGATTATCAACCCATGCACGCGTGCTTTTGAGCTCTTCCCAAGCCATTGACCTATCTTGTCCAGACCTCGGAACAAATGTGGGTTCGCATCCAAAAGACTTTACAGTCTGCGAGTCCCCTTGGCCAAAAACTTCGCCTGAAACGCCATCCGTGTCCCGCGATAGCAATATTATCATTACCAACTCTGCTGGCTCTTCCCTGCGCCAACCATAAAAATTTCGTCCAACTCCCGTCGGGTATCAATGATGACTGTGGCGGTGCGGGCGAGATTTGAGCGTCCTTCGTGCTCTAAGGCGTCTGAGTGGCTGGTATGCGACGCTTTCGCGTTGCATATCGTCATGTCGCCTTTCAATGTGGCCAAACAATTATCGTAATTCAGGCGACAGTCGTTGCTTTTTCGAGAGATGTTCCTGGTTGTTGACTTCATGAAGTTGGTTTTCCAGCTCGTCGACTCGCCTTTTCAGATCGTCACGTTCTTTGACGACCTTGTCCCGTTCCTTGCGCAAGCTATTTTCGTTGTCCAAATATACCATGTTGATAACTTCAAGTTCGGACACACGTGTACGGAGAGTGGTATTGGCGGCAAGGAGCTGATCATAAGTCAATGACTCAGAGTGTCTGTCGTGAGCAGATGCGTTGGTTCCAGGAGGGGAAGGTTGGTTCAGAGTGTGCAGGGCCGGTAACGAGGGCGATGATCCATTCGCATGATGTTCAGGCATAGCCGAGGCGCCATCAAAGAGGTGTTGAGGGGCAATGTTCGGGTCGTGGTGGACGACAGGTGTGCCTGTGCGTGACACTGGTGAATGCGAACGATCAGAGGTCACCGATGCGGCCATTTGTGAGACGCGACGGTGCGTGTTGAGGCCATTGGGGGTGGTAATTTCGGGTTGAGAGGCGGGAAGGCCATTTGGTTCAAACTGCGCATGAGCTTTAGCATATGCGCAAACATCCACAGGTGTCCTGCGATAGCATACCTTCTTCTTGGGTGCTTGACTGGCGGTCTTGACTCGGTTGCGACTTTTTATTACGTCTGTTTTGAGACTGATTGGACGAGGTCGGCCGTGTAGCTTGAGGAAAAGTCCGCAGGCATTGCACAGGACGGAACCAGCTTCGTCGCGCCGCCATAAGGGAGTGGTGGAGGTCTGACAATTTTGACATACAGGCTGCGTGAAGGGCAAATTGTGGTCAGCGCTGGGTAATGAAGCCGCCATGACTTTTGTTGCGGGAGAGCGACAGGAAGTGAAAAGGGAAATGGGTTTGCGATAAGATAAAGAAATTGTGTAGGGCAGCGCAGGGAGGAGCGATAAGTTCACAATCAATGGTCAGGTTGCATTGGAGAGCAAGGAAAATAAATGGGGGTGGACAAGTGGGCGGGAAAAACGGCGTAAGCAAAAAAGCGAGTGGATGGGATTGACAGAAGAAGCGCCAATCCCCGCGCTGCCAGGAAAAAGGCTTGGCATGTTTATCAGCCACAGCCAGCAGAATCACTCACCGGTGCACTTCCTGCGATTCCGGCAATGCCTGGTGTCGGTATCGGCGGCATCATGCCATAGTGATGCAGAGGAGATCCATACGTGGCAGAGAATGACCTGTATCCTTCAAGTCAATCGTGTGGTCTCATCTTCTGTTATATTCGTCTTCATCTGCGCGTACCTCATAGGCGGTCCAGCCGTGGCCAGGGATGTCAAAGATGATAGTCCTGGCAGTGCAGGCCGTGGTTCTGAGTGATAACCCCTCCCAAGGCTCAAACTCGCGCTTCGGTTGTGGAATTGAGGTTGATTGAACAAGAAACTGTTTGCATTCGGTAGTGCCGTCGATGACGGTCGCGAGATGTCCTTGCCATATGCGGCCGAGGGTGGTAACGGTGAGTGTGCTCGTGAATCGTCTCTTCTTGGTGCACTATACTCCCCCAGCCTCGACTCGTTCACCGGTGTAGATGGTGGTCGGTAGGTAGGCTCATTCGGTGAGGCCCGATAGAGCGGTGGTGCGACTGCGGACGCCGTGCTCGCGGTGATACAGAGACCAGAGCCGTGGTCTCAACGGTGATGCTATTTCTAAAGGAATGGACGCCCCGATATCGAGGCAAAGGAACAAAAAGCAGTACAACGCGGTGCAACAAACGAGTGTCTTGTCGATAAAGGAATGTATCGGTCGGGCTGAAGAGAATCAGACGACCGCTATCGATAGACGGGAATCAACGAGACTTTTGCTGATATCCAATACCATCATCAAGATTAGGGGTCCCATCAACGGAGAAGAAGAACATTGGGCCCGCCCGTCAGCCTAACGAGATGTTTAATTGCGCCTTGTCTGAGCTTAGACGCGTCGCTTGAGATGAAGCCGTTGGTGGAGGTTGATAACACGTTAGTCAGAGCAGCATTTGGACCAGGATACGTCAAACCACTTGTGCATTCATCTTCTCCAGTCAAGCCTCTCATCGCTGCATCTCGCGACTAATTCAACACGCTCTGGAATGCTTTGGAACGGAACGGCAGCCAGTCTGGGTCGTACAAAGAGTCGGATACGCGTTGATTCGGCACATTTGGGAAATCTGGGGAAAGGAACGAAATTGCCCAATCTCAGAGTGGAGGTCCGAATTCCGATGCCCCCTTTTCCTGCCGCCTGTGCCACAGTCAAACATGTGTATAGCAGTGGCGGGAATAGCCGCCCGCGGTCAAAGATTGATATTTGACATCAAAGACGTTGACTTAATCCCCATGGATTGACATGACAGACTGGAGGTGATCGTGGATGATATATTTTTGTGCAGTCGGCAGCCAAAGTGGCAGGCGTCATGATCTCCTGTCCACATTCGCTTGTGTTAGATCATTCGCTAGAACGGGATGGTCCCTGCTTTTCGACTATGATAACTGGCGATAAGATAAAAGTAGCGAGACCACTGTCAGGCGTCACAGCAGATGGCCTCTCTTAAACTCGAAATTAATACCTGTCTTTGTCGCACAGATCGAAACCTCGGAGGATTCATTGTATCCATATCGTGGCTGATGATCATGTCTTGTTAAGTGGCTTACCAGGTTCTACGACAATATGGCTTGCTGTCATGATAAAAGCAACTGAACGTAGCCGCAGATGAAGGACGCCATCAACATAGAGACAGAGATCAGTTCGTCAAGTGGCATCAACACGTAGTGACGACCATCCTTCTGATAAGGACATTCAGAGCGACTCGTCCTGCAGATGGACCTGGATAATGTCCGGCTCCGTTGCCGTCAGGCTATGTGGCATGTAAGAAGTATGTCAAGACCGCCATGCACAATGAGAATGGACGTCACATAGTCCGCCGAGAACAGTCGACGTCAGCCTCGCAGATTCGCTGATGCAGACGTCGGAGCGGTGCTGATTGGCAATTCTCTTCAGTCAGTAGTATGGGCACCTTTCGTTCCCAGACGAAGTCCTAATGAGAGTTGAGACGAAGATGTCGGCATGCAAGATCTGCACCTCCAACTGGCCAGTTCTGCACATGGACGAAACAGCGCAACACCATAGGAGCGCGCCCTTGGATTTGAACAAAAGGACTTTGGTCCTATCGATTGTAGCTCATGTAGAGGGTGACAGGAGGGCAATCTAGTTGAGGTTATTCTGTGCAAGTACGTACCTAGGTACCTTTTAATCGAGAACCAAAGGATTCTCCGGCTAAAGAAACGCCTATCGAGTATCGTTCCAGGCGCATGCATGTGGCATTCCGCCAATCGCGAGCCCCCTACGGGAAGCCACGTATTCTTCGCCGCCCCTGGCGCGCTACAGTACCACATATCCAGGCCTTATCATCATCCGAGCCGGAATGCACAACGATTTCCTGGCCCTGAACGGAACCTACCTATGAATTATTGTTAACTACCTCTTACTCTGTTCAACGCATTCCTTTCCTACTAAAGCGACTTTTACAAGCGACTACCCTGCGCACACATATGGACACAACATAGTCATACTAATGCCTCGTCATAGACCAACCTCAGGGTACGCCCGTCTGGCGCAGGCGGACGAAGATGAACCCTTGGGAGACGAGGAGTCTGATGAGGAAACATATAACAACCCACCCTTGACGACGCGTTATGCATCCATACAACCTGGTCCCCGAGAGGGAATGCGCTCCGGAGCCTACAACGATCATCCTCGAAGACCTCCGAGACGGATGAGGAGCAACTCATCCGGAGTGGACATCAAAGCCATCAATGCGAGACTAGAAAGATGGGCAGAAGAGATTGCCTCAAAGTTCAAGATCACTTCAGTCAAAGGCAAGACGCAGGAGGAGGAACATCTAGAGATACATCACTCGGTCTTCCAAGCACCTCCGGGCGTCAACCCCTATACTGCCGAAGAACTGGCTACCTATACCGCTGCCGAAACTCAACGAATGACCAGACAACAATTTGGGGACATCGTCGAAAGTGTCAGAGTCGCGATCGAAAACGGCATGCACCCAAAGATGATCACGCAAGGTAGCTCCGGGAGCTATTTTGCACGCAACAGTGCAGGCAAGGTTGTGGGAGTTTTCAAACCCAAGGATGAGGAGCCATATGCGTCACGAAATCCAAAATGGACGAAATGGCTACACAGAAACCTGTTCCCTTTTGCTTTCGGCAGGGCATGTCTCATTCCCAACTTGTCCTACGTCTCCGAGGCCGCCGCATATACCCTGGACGTTCAACTGAGGACGTACCTAGTACCATATACAGACGTGGTATGGTTGTCCTCTAGGTCCTTCTTCTATGATTTTTGGGAACGAAGAAGCGCTCGGAAAAAAGGTCTACCCGCAAAGCCTGGCAGTTTTCAGGTCTTTCTCAAAGGCTTCAAGGATGCGAACATCTTCCTCCGCGAGAACCCTTGGCCGGATCAAGCTACAGAGTTCCGAGCCGATATGGAAAATAAAAAGAAGAGAAGGCCGCTGGCTAATTGCATGCCGAGCGTCGGCCAATCTGATGATGACGAGCCTGTTCGAATACAGTCACCCATGCTACAGGAGCAGGCACCCAAGTTCTCCTGGACGCCCACCATAAAACAGGCCTTCCGAGAAGAACTAGAGAAACTAGTCATCCTGGATTACATTATGCGAAATACGGATCGAGGGTTGGACAATTGGATGATCAAAATCGACTGGAAGCGCGAGGAAGTTTCCCTTGTGGTAGAACCGCCCAAAATGAATGGATTCTCAGAGGGCGTAGATGCCGCTTTGAGACAGGCATCGCTAAGCCCACGGCCGGAGTCCAACACCTCGAGACCGTATCGAAGGCCTGAGGCCATGGAGAGCCGATCAGCGACTCCGTTGCCCGGAGGAAAAGAAGACGCTCGATGCGCTATAACTATAGGAGCCATTGACAACAGTCTGTCGTGGCCATGGAAACATCCTGATGCTGTGAGTCTTCTTGCCGGCGTGAATGCAACATGCTAACATAGACCAGTGGCGAAGCTTTCCTTTCGGCTGGCTCTTCCTTCCAGTCTCCCTGATCGGACAGCCATTCTCCAAGAGGACTCGGGAACATTTCCTTCCCCTGCTCACTTCGACCGCATGGTGGGGTGAGACTCAGCTGGCTTTGAGAAGAGTGTTCGCGCTCGACTCCGATTTTAAAGAGAGCATGTTTGCACGACAGATTGCCGTCATGAAAGGCCAAGCATGGAACGTCGTCGAAACACTCAAACAGGCTGATCACGGACCACTCGAGTTGACGAGGAGAACCAGAGTATGCGTCTGGGACGACCTGGTCGATGTGCCTGTCGCCGTACCCATGCGCGTGCCTTCGACTGAGATGAGTCGCAAACCACGCCGGTACGACCAGCAGGAAGAGATGGACATAGGAGCGTCGTATGCTTCCGCACCACCTGGTCGACAAATCCCACAGCACGACCTTCTGGGGTCACCTACCACCGAACTCCCCAACCCGAACCGCTTCGATCTCACACGGGAGGACACCGCAGGCGACCTATCGTTTTTGCCTGGTGAAGAGGATTCTGTGAGTCCTCCTCCGGCCATCGGCACCGGGTATGACTCGAAAGATCACCACAAGGAGGCGAGGAACAGTCTCGGCAGCCTTCCTGTCGTGCGACCGACCATGAAGAACAAGAATAGATTCAGCTTTGAGTTTCCCCGCCGCGACGTCAATGCTACCAGGCAGGGTTTGCGAAGGCAGCGGTCCATGTCCACTCGCAGCGGGAAGCAGCCTCCTATACTGTACGAAGGTGACGACCTTGAAGGTGATCTGGGTTATGCCGCTGCCAGTGACATGGAGGCCAACAAGCGCAAGGTCATTGTTGAGCGGTTGGAGACTATCAAGGGCAAGAAGCCCTTTTTTACGTGGTGTTGATACTACCGACTTAAAAACGAATACGCAAGAAAGGCAAGAAGCCAGCATGGGGCGGAATGTACCCTGTCGGAATTTTGTGCATTGTAAACGCCGGGTATGGGAAACGGGGCACCCGCCCATGCTATAGACGCAAAAAAAGCTGGAGGAGGCATGTTACCATCTATCACGACTGGACCAGAGGGGTTATATCTGTATAAGACCTCGTACTTGTGTAGGTATTGGCAAGGACGAGCTATGTCTGCCAGTCGAATGAATCATCATATGGGTGAGGTTGAGGTCCCAATTCAATGGTATAATCTGTCAACGCATGTCTGTGATATCAATCCTGTTTTAACGCCAGTATGGTCTCTTCCGTCTGATCCATCGATCACCATCTCATGACAAGGTCTCCGTAGGACACCGCACCAGTTCAGATGAGGAAGAGGACACCAAAACACGCCTCGTATCGCGCTCAAACTCAGTCTCGACGGGAGCCTCACCACCGGGAGCCTCCCAGAAGCGCCGCCACTCACAAGGAGAGATCATGAGAAGTCCTCTTCCTCCTTCTCAATCGCGTTCTTGACCCTCAACAACAACGTCGTCTTCCACTTGTCCAACTTGCTGAGCTGATCGTATTGGAACAATTTATCCGCAAACGCCTCTTGATCGCCCTCCTCCACAGCGCCCACAAGGTCCGTCAACAGCATGTTCTCCCTCGTACTCGCGAAACTGTTGTCCAATTCCTTGTATTGATCGAGCGCGCGCTTCGTCGCGACCAAATCACCGGCTGCGAGGTGGCAGATGCCCGCCTTCAAAAAGTAATCTTTCACGGACCAACGCATCAAATTGTTATTCAGTGATGTTTTGGCCACCGTCTCGAGTTTCGAGATGGCATTCTGGTAGTCGCCTTCTAATGCGGCGAGGTCCGCGACTTTGAGGTACAATTTATTCGCGAGGGCTTCGGCGTTGTCGCTTTCGTACCATTGTGCTGCTGTGTCGTATGCTTCGAGCGCTTTCTTTTGGTCGCCGATTTCCATCTCGTAGAGCTCTGCTAGATTCTGTTGGTGTGTAGCTGCGCGGCGGAAGTTGCCTTTCGATGTGTAGTGGCCGATGGCCGTGGTTAGACATCGTGCTGCGTCTTGTGGTGAGTCCTTGCGGTAGACTTTGAAGGCTTCGGTCAGGGTGTTGGCCATATCGTCTGGCTCGTTGAGTTTGCTCTGTTGTATCGAGGCGGCTTTCTCGAAGGCTTGACCTGCTTCATGGTCTGGTTCTGTGTGAGTGGCTTATGGTCATGATAACGGTGCTGCAGTGCTTACTCTGCTTTGATACCCGGAATGCATTGGCTGCTTGTGTGTACAGGTCTGCTGCGTTCTCCCACTTCTCTGCTCGTCCGCCGAATAGACTGAAGCCGCTTCCGGCGCCTGAAGCGGCTTTGTCGGCCTTTTGTAATAGTGCTCGAGGGTCGCCTGCCATGATTGGTGATGGCGTAAGGAGGGAGGGCTACGATAGAAGGTTTGAGTGCGCGAGTGTAGGCTGTCAATGTCCAGGTGGGTCGAAAGGAGTAATCTTGTTGTTTGGGGTATATGGGAATTGGGAACTGGTCGTTTATGTAGGAAACAGTGGCATCTATTTGAGGATGGATGAAGTATGAGGAAGCCTTGCGCATGCAACTGGTCACCCCGCGAGTGGTGTATGTAAGCTCGCCCAGACAATCACAATCACCATCTCCAACTCGACTTTCTCCTCACAAGTTTACAGACGCTGCCTTCATTTCATACTATGCTTCAACACAACGAATGTAGATCCTGAGCAGGACATGCCCAGCCATGCCTCGAATTCCGAGACCGTTGAGCATCCATATGGAGCTCACTGGTCCTTGGAGAAGTCCAGACAGAGACAGATTTCTGAAGCAGGTCAAGCACATCGACATCAACCCTCGAATCGCTTCGCTCCTCGAAAAGCCAACATGGTCGGTCGCCTCGCTGATGCCACCAGCTGACCTGGACAAGTCCGAGATCACGCGCGAGAAACTCCACCACCTGCTTCGCCTATCCGCGCTTCCACCGCCAGCTAATGAGGCTGAAGAGTCCGAAATGATGGAAACACTGGCTCAGCAAATCCATTTCGTAAAGGAGATACAGAAAGTGGACACTACCGGCGTTGAACCTTTAGTCGCCATTCGTGACGAGACCGTCGAAGCACAGCAGGAAAGTCAGTTCACGAAGGAGTCCTTGGCCCATTTCCTGGCTCTGGAGGAAAGACGGGGAAAAAGTGGCAGGATACGTCGACGGAGAGACACAGAGCCTGTACCTCCCCAGGACACGAGGCCGAAACGGTTTCTACCTGAAAAGGCCGACGATCGCCTGAAAGACCCATTCGCTCTCAGCGACGACCCTGGTTTCGAGGCGGACAAGAAGAGAGGGCAATACTTTGTCGTGCGGAGGAGTGGGAAGGACACTGAACACCCAGGCTGAAGACGTCCTCTGTGGCGACTGTCCAACAACCTAGGGATGGATGGATACATCGATACTTTTAAGAAATAGGGATTCTGTCCGGCCCCGAGAAGAGCACGTCTCAATGGACGGGGGCTCAACTGAAACGACATGAATATGTGTCACATACTCAGACGACATAGCTTGTCACCCCACGGATTCTTCAACTGCGGATTCTCAACTCGCCTTGGGGGAGCTCCCGTTAACATATCTTGTGAAGACGTTTGGACTTGGGTCTGGCGGTAGTCTGAGTGACAACTGGGACCCAACTTGGCCTTGGACGCTTCTATGCCGATGATCTGGGTGAGAACCTGGACCTTCACTTGGACCTGGACATTTTGGTCGCCGATACTCCGCGCGACAACCTGGACACCAATGGACTTGGACACTTTTTTGCCGGTAGTCATCGGGGAAATTTTGGTCCTTCACTTGAACTTGGACCACACTTTATCGATACGGGGGGACAACCTGGATCATTTGGACTTGGACATTTTTTGTCGTCGATACTCCGGGTACCATCCTGGACGCAAGCGACTTGGACATTTTTTTGCCGGTAGTCTAGGTGGAAGATTCGGTCCTACCTGCACATTTACATACGTCTCGTGAAGACCACCCAGCCATGGCTAATATCCGCAGCATAAACCTTCCTGATACAGGGAAGTAAAGAAGACCAATGATGCTCAAAGCACCAACCCAGCTGGTCTGGGTTGGGTTTCATGCCCCAGGTCCTTCGCTGAGCTGGAAATTCCTTCGGCGGATCAGAGGTGGGCCTTTGCAGTGGACCAGACGGCGCCTAGAGGAAGTAAGGACAAGAAGATGGGCAAGATGCTCGAATGGGTGTGCAGAAAGACAAATGGTATTTAGGTATTAGTGTATCAAGACTGTTCTGCCCCAGGCGAGACACGAGATCTCGTCCGTACGAGCACTCCCGAGTGCACACCTTCTATTTATCGCAATATGCCTGTCCTCTACTATCCAGCATACACACATCCCATTCACAAATAATACCTATAGGGAATACCCTGCTTCATCATAACTACAATCCCGCAGCCAACATCAGGCCGTAGCCCACAGTAATGACAACTCCAAAGGCGAGGATCGAGGACGGTACGCCCCGCGTAAGGAAGTGCTTGACATGGAGGTATCGTACGCCAGTCTCGGGAACTTCCATCATGATTGCAGCTATCACAGAATGTTAGCATAGGATAACCAAAGTAGCATAGAAAAGTAACATACTCATATTGGGAAATCCACTCGTCGGCAAACCCATGGCAGCGCTACACATTAGCGCGGCGCCCATGACCAGCAGATTCGGATGCGGTTCGTTCATACTGGAGCCAACCTGTTGGACAAGAGGTAGGATGATCAACGCCGCGACAGTGTGCGAGATGAACGTCGCGACCACAAGAATAAGCGCGGCGAAAACAACGAGCACGCCATAGATTGAGAAATCCGCCACACCATCCGTAATGCTTTTCGCAATGGTATGCAAGAGGCCGGACGAGGAGACAGCCCTTCCGAGACTCAACCCACCAGCAGCCAGGATGATGATGGTCCACAAGAAATTGTTGAAGTCTTCCTTGGTGAGGATGCCGGTGCCGAAGAACAAGACCATAGGAATGATAGCGATGACGCCCATGTCCCCAAACACACCTTCCAACTGGTGTGAGGTGCACCATAGCACAATCGTGAGTAACGTGACAGAGATGATAAAGTACTGTATGCCGTTCAGTTTGTCCTTCATGGGTCGAATCGGTACAATTGTGGTACCTCTGCCAGGCTTGAACGATACCAAAAGCAACAGCCAGATCAGCACGATGCTGATAATGCAGACGGGCAGGGCGATGAAGAACCAAATGAGCCAGCTAGGAGTGGGTTTCATGTTCTGCAGCGCGATGATGTTCTGGGGTGACGCGATCGGAGAGGCCATCCCACCGACATTCGACGCCAAAGCAATGCCGAGAATCAGGGCCTTCGACATGTTGCTGTCCGCAGGCAGGTTCCGAAGTATAGGCTGGATAATGCTGAAGCACAGCACCGGCGCTGCCACGTTGGATATCCACATACTCAAAAACATACCCACAAACATGTTCGTGATGAGTACCGTTCTCGCCTTTGTGCCGGCTTTGCTGAGGACAAAAGTGGCCATCATCTTCGCAACGTGATATTTCGACAAGGCCGCGGCAATGGTGAAACCACCAAGTAGTAACATGATGACCGGTGTCCACATTGCTGCAAAGACTGCCTTTGTTGCTGCTTTAGAGTCGAGACGTACATGTGGCTTGTCTTCGGACCGCATGATGCGAAGGACAACCACGAGGAACGGGACCAGTAATGAGGTGACGAAAAGCGGGATGACCTCAGTGGCCCAAAGTAATGATACGAAGATGAGCATGGCCAGACAGTTCTGTTGTTCGGGTTTCTTCATGATAGGGACAAACAGCAGGACCATGAATACACCCAGAATGGCGACGAGAGCAAAGAAGCTCGAGCTGAACAACCACTTTGGGCACGTGAAACGGCCCAGAGGAGTGCGAACTTGCTTGGTCTCGACTTGGTCTTTGTCCCCCTGTAATCGGGCTTCTGAAGGATTTTGGATGCCACCCAGCAGAGTCTGCTTAATTCCAAAATTGGCGGCTTGTGCTTTGCGTTCGATACCAATCATTTCTCGCCAGACAGTGTTCCTCTCCCACACGACGTGTTCACGGAGATGGAGTCGAAGTTCTTTTCTAGCCATCTCTACATCGCCCTTGGTGACGACGTCCGCGTAAACCTTTTCGGTCTTGAGGATCTGCTCGTCCACGTGGGTCATGGTCGTCTCGAGGAATGGGTAGGACGGGTTGACCACCTTGTCCATATAGTCCTTCCGGATGTCCCGGTTGCATACCTTGTCGTACTTTTTGGAAGCTTTCTTAAAACCCGTCTGATTGAGTTGGATGAACGACTTCAGTTCGCATAGCGAGACGTACAGACCGATGGTCCTTTTCTTGAGGGTGATGGCTGAATCATAGAGCGCAGACATTGCTCCTGGGTCGGAACCTTCCAGATCCAACGCCAAACTAGGCCTCCTTCTAAGATAGACTGGTGAATCTGGAGCGTGTAGGTCTTCTCTTGACTCGGCCATCTCTGCACGATTGGGACCGGTATCATAGCCGCTCTTGCTCCTTGGCTTCCCGTTGGGCTTCTTCCTGATCATGGCTGTGCGGTCTTCAGCATCACTATCGCTGTCGTCCCGTTCTTCAATACTCGTGCTCATGGTGGAAGCCCTCCGTTTTCGCTGAAACGGAGTGTTGAAAATACTGTGCGATCGTCCAACTTTGCGTCGATTCTCACTCTCGACCACCTCCTCCATATCCATGTCTTCTGTCTCGTGCTTGTAGTCCTCTACATCCTTTGCAATTTGATCCACTTCGCCGAATATTTCAAGCTCTTTCAGTCTATAAAAGGAGCAGACCTTGTCCAGCTCCGAGTCCAACATACGCCGGAATGTGGTGTCTGGGTCCAGCTGGCCACCCAGCAATGAGGTGCTCTCCTCATCCTGAGGCTCGCCGGGAGGTCTGTTTATTTGTTTCTCGAGAGCATAAATCAATTTCTTGAGATTACTGTAGGAGATGTAGTTGCTGCTCCAATCCGGAACAGCATTGAACTGGATGCTGTGGGAAAACTTCATCTCTTCTCTTTCGGCGAGCTGCTCGAGTTTCTGCAGTCGTTTTCGGAGTCGCTGTGCCTCTTTTTCTCTGGCAGAGTCTGAGGGCTGTTTCGTGTGGTCGAGTGATACAAGTTCGACAGAGGCTGCGTCTAGCGCAGGTGAGTCTGAGTCAGGATTATGGGGATTGTGACCTGCACTATTGCGAGGCTGCAGCCCGCGCATTCGACATGGAAGGGAATGAGGCCGTCTTTCAACAGGGACGCGGGGCGGAATAGGGACCAGTTGTCTGAGGACCGGGTCATGTGTGTGGGAATCCAACCCTAGCGGCGATACTACCGGGGCAATGTGAGCCGACGTTGGGACCAACTACCATGCAAGTGTAAGAAGCAGTGGAGCAATATGTATCAGCGCGGCAAGAATGATGCGATAACTGAGAAGTGAATAAATGTGGTTTGTTAACGCGTTACAATCGAGTGCGGGCGTGCGGGAGGTGCCTGGAATCATATTCCCCCTGCCCGCTAAAACACCCCCTGTTCATGCGAGATGCAGTTTGCTCGTTATCAAGGTTTCCTTTTATATGTCAAATGTTAATCAAATGCTTCGGAATTTTTGTGACAGGAACTCTGCCCAACCATCGCTAGTATGCTAAAACTACAAATCCATACTCATAAGGTACACCTTTATTCGTAAAACACCAAGCATCTGACCTCGATGCTCTGTCTGCCCGGTGCATCTGCTGGTGTTTGTGGATCAACAAAAGCAGTGTGAGGAGTGCAATCTGCCAGTCCCTTTTTACCACCGTTCACCTGGCTGAAAGAGTCGAAACACTTGATGAACATGACTTCCTCTGGCGTCATGTCTTTCATATAGTAAAACTTGTGATCGTCGCTCGGTGCAACAGCATAGGTCTCGCCCTTTACTTCATATCCAACCGTCGAACTGGCCGAGTTCGGGTCTGGAGCAACTTCTTTGCCCCGATCGTCATCATCGTGGGTGCCATTTGTGCCATTTGTGCCATTCGTGGCTTCTCTCTTGGGATATAATAGATCGATCTTGACGAAGTCCGCAGGCTTTGTCGTCCTCCAGTCGATCACGGCCAGAGGATAGTCTGAAGCTGGGTTGGCAATGGGTCGCCACACATTGATGATCTGATAGCGCCCTTTCAGCAGCTCTTCAGCCTCGTCGGCAGGCAAATGTCTCCGAACTCGAACCTCCGCAGCGCCGGGCGTTTGATCGACGTGGACCTGCTGTACTGGCTGGCGAGGCGACGCCTTTTCCCTTCTTCTGATTGTATGATCAAAGATGACCACCTTTTTAATTCCAGGTAACTTCTTGCGCAATACCGCCTCGACCTCGGCATAGTATTCCTCTCGAACTTTGGATTCGTCCGTGAACGCTTTCTCCTGGGCAGGGTATTCATATACTGCGAAGCCAGAAGTGTCTGTCGAGAACTTGGATTCTTGCCCACGTATGTCCTCAACTGCTCGTTCGTGGTCGGACAGTTTAAATGAGTAACCAGGGCCGTCGACTTTGCCCCAAGGCTTTACAAAAGCCACATCGCTATCGACGTATGAGTCTCGGTCGATGTATCTGAAGTTTGAAGTAGTCATATTGGCGGCACGACTGTTGACTGTACTGAACAACCGTGTCGTGGAAGGAGATGGAGAAGATCGGTGCGAGACGGCGCGGGAGGCGGTCTTTAAGAGCGGGGCAGAGGCTCTGATAGTTCGCAGCGTGGTGGCGGCTTGCATAGATGGGGGTTATGGGGGACTGGTATCTCTTCAACTGATGGTTAGACTGAATTTCTGCTGAGGATTAAACCCCAGATGTCAACAACGTTGATATATATCTTCTATGGTCAGTGTATTCTGAATTGTCAGCACTTCATGAAAAACGAAAACAATGACGTTGAATTAGATATATGAAATTGGTAGAACTTAGTCCTATTGGGCCAAATGCACTCCATAAAGATGACATTCTTCATTCGCGTGTTTGAGCCGCGTTTAACGAGAGGGTTTTAATGACGCCAGCACCATAAAGTAGAATATTACAAAGCAGAGCCGGATATCGCTCGGAGAGAATAAAGAAAGGAAGTCTGTCCGCCTAGCCAATCAAACCCTGGATTAGTCATGTCTTGGTACTCGAGGCTCTTTCCCCGGGTGGCTTCCGATTCGCACCCTGCTTACTACACAAATGCACCATAACTTCATCAAGTTTATGGTTGTCTGTCAAATGAGCAGAATGTGAGAGTTAGTCGATCATGGATGACTATCCCATTGACAAAGTATACCGTCTACTCGAACCAGGTCCAGTCATCCTCTTGACTACGAAGGAGAAGGATGGTACCAACAATGTCATGACCATAGGATTTCACATGGTCGTCCAGCACGAACAACCACCTCTCCTTGCTGCAATTATAGGACCATGGGATCACACCTTCAAGACCTTGCGCACCACGAAAGAATGTGTCATCGCTATCCCGACAGTCGAGATGGCCAAGACCGTCGTTGACATTGGAAACTGCTCGGGTGCCGATGAAGACAAGTTCGAGAAGTTCAGCTTGTCTACTGCTTCAGGTTCGGAGGTTGGAGCCCCTCTAATCGAGCAATGTAAAGCCAACATCGAGTGTCGGGTCGCAGATACAAAAATGGTCTCCAAGTACAACATGTTCATCCTTGAACCTGTTAAAGCGTGGGTAACGCCTCACCTCAAGGATCATAAAACGATCCATCATAGAGGCGATGGAACGTTTACCGTTGACGGCAAGGTCATAAACCTGCAAGACCGGATGACCAAATGGAAAGAGTATCAAGAATAAGTAGCGTCGAACCAGCCAGTCTACAACTTGTTAGGAAACAAAGGAGCATTCCTCCCACCCCTGAATAAGCCCAACATCTCCTCCCCCATCCATATTTTCCTCGTCTTTGCAATCCCCCCTTCCACATCCGCCACCCGTCCAGCCTGCACGAGCAACCCCTTTCCATTCGCCTCCATTTCCAAACTCATCAGGTAGACTACCGCATCCGCAATCTCAGCAGGATCATTGATTGGGACACCAAGACCACGCATCCTCACCGCCCACTCTTGAAGCGATTCGCCCTCTTTCCGTCCCGAAAGGATGTCCGTCAATGTAATGCCCGGCGCGACGACGGATATCGCAATGCCCAATGTCGCCGTGTCATTCTTGAGTGCTCTCATCAAGCCGACGATGCCATGCTTCGCAGCAGAGTATAGCGGCGCTCCCGCACTGGCCAGATACCCCGCCAAACTGGCCGTCATGACGATACTGCCCCCCCGTTCCTTGCCATTCCTTCTCATATAATGAATCGCCAACCTCACCGTATCACTTGCGGCGTTCATATCCACCATCAGCGTCCGCCGATCCGGCTCCGCAAGTAAACCCGTAGAGTCTACCTCATCACGGAAAAATTGGTCCTTGTACTCTGCAATCCCAGCATTGACGAACACGCCGTCAATTCCGCCGAACTTCTTGACCGCGGCTTCAAAGGCACCTCGCTGCGACGTCCACGAGGTGATATCACATTGTTGGTACAGGAATCTGGATGAAGTCGAGAAAGATTTTGGTGCTGGGGCGCGGTCAAGAACAACGACATTATTGCCCAGGTCGTGCAGCAGCGTTGCTGTTTGTAGACCGATGCCGGCACTCCCGCCTGTTATTAGGATTGTTTTGTTTCGGGGCCCGGTGAGCTTAGAGCGAGTGACTGTGAATGCCTCGACTGACATGGTTGAACTGTTGTCTGATTCGATAGTGTCAACGATAAGATATCCGCTGACTTGCCGAGGAAAAAGTGTTGTTGCTGAAAAAAGAGGGTGTCAGAGGTTGATAAGGCTGTGCTTCCTCTCCCCCGCATTTTTGGCCGGGTCCCGGGATTGCTTGAAGTTGGGGGCCTTTTCAAATTCCTTGCCTCGGCTCTGATGGGTCTCTTTTCGTAAAATGGTTGTCGACTCCTGCCTTTAGGGACTGATTACATTCCGGCGAGATTATTTCCCAAACAGCAGCGCAAAATGACTGGTATCTTCAAGTCGAGCAGTTTCATGTTGGCATGCGTCTCAAGCAAGCTCGATCAGCGCCCTCCGTCGATTGTCTTGTCGCATGCATCCCTCCAAATATCTCTGGTCCGTTTCTCGAAAGTGAAATCCCACCAAAGATACCCAGTCAACTTCCGCTTCAATGCAAGCCAACCCAGGTCTTGTTGGATGACTAGCTGATCGAACCGAACCAAGTACCAATCTCGAAGCTTGGGATCGTCTTCGGCCGCAACAGCACCCATGAAAACAGCCCACAGGATAAGTTTGGAGTACTGACTCGTATCTTCCCTGTTTTGAATTCGAGTCAACGCCACCTGCATTTCAGTCGCAAGTCTGGGCTTTGCAGCATACACTCCGACTGCCGTAAATAGCACTACCTCGAAGTATATATGCAAACCCAGTCTGCATATATCGGAAACCTCATCTCCACTCTCTGCGGCGGCCTCACCAAAGCTTGACGAAGGGTTCGTGACGCAGAGGTCATGCTGGAGCATGAATGCTGACACGCAGATTTCAGCGTATGATAGGTGTCCTGGTGCCGCACGCATAGTCTGTTCAAGGGCTGCGGTCAACAAAGCGGCTCGTCGCCCGAGTCTGTAGACCAGTGGTTGACTCTCCTGCATTTCAAGCCAACCTTCGCCCAAGGCCAACAGGAGCTGCTTTGCTTCCTGGTCGAAGTTGAATCGCAAATTGTCCGACATATATCGGTAGGTACGTAAGGGTTCAAAGAGCGGACGAACACCGTGTACGCTCGCCATCGCAAGGCTGCACCTGTCGAGTGTATCAGTCAGCGTGCATCAAGAGTTGACTTCTGAGTATACGGACACTTGGAGTGGCTGAGAGGTGGCTGGAGCCAGTGCGTCCAGACCACCTCTTGTCTCGACGAGATGACGCAGAACGAAAAAATGCGGCATGGCGGGCTCAAAACGGCCATACAGCTTTGGGTGGCGCATGCATTCCATCATAGGCGACTCAGGATATTTAGTTACAATTGGCGTTTCGATGATGTTCACGCCATTGGCTGCGAGTCGCAGGATGCTTTCGATCAAATCATCTGATGCAGGTCCGGACAGAGCTGCAATGGTTTCCCTGACCAACTTGGTCGAGGTATATTGATGATTGATTCGAACTTTCATCAGATTGTCCTTGGTCTCAGGATCTGTGGACAGCAAGTAGCACACGCTGGCCGCCTGTGCAACGTGCGTATGGAAAGCCAGGTCCGATTGTACAGTTGTGCGTCTCCACAACTGGATCAAGGAGCGCAGTGCCGGACCCCTGATTGTGGGGAAGTTTCCTGGCCACACAATCTGATAGGTATGCTCCAAACTTCGAAGTGCCAGCGGCGATAGTCTACGGGACTCAATATTGTTGAAAGGGTCAGTTGTACTTTCCGAGAGAAGAGTCTTTGGGTGAGGCCAGAACATGTTGTAACGGCTTTTGGTCAGTTCTTGCATCCCAGATTGCTTACCCTCATTGCCCGTGGCTGGCTCTTGTGCATGTGTCGACTTTCGGGCTTTGCGCTTTGAATGGCCGAGTCTAGCAGCATAAGACTTGACGTAGGAAAGCTGAAGTTCTTGTTCTCTTTTGGTTTGTCCAAACTGAGGCACGAAGACCACAGTCGCGTTGTCCCTGATGCGCGTCGGCTTGGTGCTTGAGGCCTCGACTGGGCGCCGGACGGAGCATAAGTGGTCATGCCCTGACAGACTGGGGTCATTGGGGTCAGTGTTCGTGATGGACGCCATGTCATCTCAGGTAGTCGTCATTGGAGCACTGCACAGATGGGTCTTTGCCTTGTGGATGGCGTCGGGGCTCATATAGACTTTAGGTAAGGTCTGAATAAACATATCTGCGGGGTTTTGTAAATAACGAGATGCACGATATGCGAAAACACGTGGTCGTGTTGGGCTTTTTCGAGATCAAGTCTAGTGTATCAAGAAAGTCCCGCAGCCGTCGCTTACACTGTATGCCAGCCAGACTTATGGGCCCGACGGCCAATGTGCTGTGTAATTCGCCGGATCTGAAGTGCCGTGATTTCTTGACTGATGAAGAGGAGGAAGTCCTCTCCAGGTGTGATGAAAGGCTATGTCTGCAATGTCTGCAACAGCCTTCGTTTACAAACACGCGGTTCGTCCAGCCTTTCTTCAATCGACCAAGCCAATAGGAGCTTAGCCCTCGACTTCTGAAAACAGCAAAGGCCTGGGGGATGCCAATGCGATCCATGGCCTGGTCAGCCACGACCGTTGAGTGACTAAGCACAGGCAGCCAATACTGTGCAAGAGCATTGTAGCTCGCTTGCAGGTCGACCGGTGATGAAGACAGGCGAATGAGGCCTCTGGCTCTTTCCTTCTCGAACCTCATTGTGTAATCATTCAATCATGTGTGAATATTGTGAATGCCCTAACTTGGCAGGTGCTCGGTCAGTGGCTTTTCAGTAGGAGGAGATGGTGAAACAGTCGGTACCACAGTTTGGTGGTCGAGTAAAGTGGTTGGCAGAATCACCGGAGAGAATTTGATCCGAGCCACTTGACGAAATTCTCGCGTACTTTGGTAGAGACCAAATTAGGAACTCACAGCCGGTCCGAGCTTCTCCAGAATCTGCCTCTTTCAGCTTTAGCGAACCAATACTACCATTTTCCCCGTCCCTGAGACAAATCTCCTCAATATAGCTTTACAATTTTCACCACCTTCGCATCAATGCTACTGCGGCGGTGCAATACTACAGTCCATCATGAGAGGTTTACCTCACATCGACGTCTTTTGATGCCAATGATAGCTTTTGACTCAATTTTCAAAGACATAAAAAGGTAGGAATGTCTGCGCAGAGTGGTAAGTTTTCTAATCATCATCATCATCATCAACAACACCAACAGCAACACCAACTCCAACACCATCACCAATTCCCATACCAGCACCATCACAACTAAGCAACAGTTTACTACTCGAAGATCTACACCAACATCTTAATACAACCTCCCATCAACTCATTGATATTCCACCATGCTCGTCCCCGTCGCCTCCCTCGCCCTTCTCGGCCTTGCAACCGCTGCACCGCACGCCAAACGCCAGGCTGCTGATGCCAACTTCGGCCTGAGCGTTGGCCTCGAGGGCATTTTCGACATCAGCGAAGTCCAAACCTTCAAGTTCTCCTACGCCAACAACTCAGCCTACTTCGGCGAGATCAAGTACCAGCAATACTCGGAGCCGCTTGTTCTTACCGGCGCCAAAGTTGCCGGGGACACCACCGGTGGCCTGAGCTTCCTGTCCATCCACGCCGCCCCCACAGGCTCTCAGTACGCCTACATCGAGCCAACCAAGACTGCACCTCTGCAATTCACTGTCCCGCATACGGGTGGCGAGATGCCCGCCGATGCTGTCAGCACGGGATTCTACTTCAGCGGTGGTGGCCCAATGTTGTACAATGGCGATAACAAGTTCTGGGCCTGCCAGAACCCTGAGCTCAAGGCTTTGAACTCCTATCAGATCTGGTGGAATGGTGCGGGCGAATTCCCCCTCGGAATCGACTGCAAGGGCCCGATTGGCATGGACCAAATCGCTGAGTCCGAGACGCGCAGCAACTAAGACGTTGTGATTGAGCATTTGAGCGGTCATACTAGCATAGCATTCTTTCTTTTCAAAAGCGCGGTTGTCTGATTTTACTTTGACCATTAGCGATTAGCCAGTTTAGTCTCTAACAATTGCACATATTCATCCATCATGCTGTCTGAGACTACAAACTTAACACCATCTCTTGCTACAAGCCCTTGCTCCAGAAAGCTATACGAGCATTTAGAAACTCTTACTTAGCAAGGAGAAGACATAAACTTTGATAGGAGTCAAATTGGAGGAGTCACCCTGCTATCCAGCCTAGTAAACAGCACCATCATGTTTTAAGAGCCCCTCGATGAACGCCAAACGCTAAACAAAGTATCCCAAGCATCGAGTCATTGCTCACTGAGCCCAGCCCTTGCTCATCTCCACAGCCTTCTCCCAGCGGGCGAACCGTGTAGCGCTCTCCTCCTTCGTGATAGCAGGCTTGAATGTGGTAACGCCCTCAGTGTTCACCACCTTGAGCTCGTCAATGCTCTCCCACACGCCAACGGCCAGACCAGCAGCAATGGCAGCGCCCAGCGCCGTCGTCTCACGCATAGCAGGTCTCTTGACTGGAATGCTGATGAGATCGGACTGCGTCTGCATAGTGAGGTCGGAGTTACACATGCCACCGTCAACAGCTAGTTCGGTCAACTTGTGGCCGCTGTCCTTCTCCATAGCGACAAGGATAGCCTTGGTCTGGAAGCAAGTAGCCTCGAGGGTCGCACGGGCAATATGTCCACGCTGAGTGTACGCGGTGACACCGAAGATAGTGCCGCGCGCGTCATCGATCCAGTATGGGGCGAACAAGCCGCTGAAAGCAGTCACGAAGGTGACACCGCCGTTGTCCTCGACCGTCTCTGCGAGCTGAGAGATCTTGCTTGATGACTCGATGAAGCCAAAGTTCTCGACCAAGAACTTGACGCTGGATCCGGCGACCGCGATACTGCCTTCCAATGCGTACATGGGCTTGCTGTTGCCGCCGAAATCGAAGGCGACGGTGGTCAATAGGCCGTGAGTGGAAATGACGGGTTTCTCGCCGACGTTGTACAGGATGAAACTACCTGTGCCGTAGGTGTTCTTGCCCAGACCTGGAGTGAAGCCCTTCTGGCCGACCAGCGCGGCGGATTGATCGCCCAAGCACCCGGTGATCGGGACACCTTTGAGGACAGTGGAGGCGAGAGAGCCATAGGCGGAGGCATCGGATGAGTGGACGATCTTGGGGAAGGCGATTTTCGTGCGGTCGATTCTGAAGAAGTCGATCAACGACTCGTCGTACTTGAGGGTCGAGATGTTCATGAACATGGTTCGAGAGGCGTTGGAAGGGTCGGAGACGAAGACATTTCGCTTGGTGCCGCCGTTCAGCTTGTAGACCAACCATGTGTCGACCGTGCCGAATGCCAAGAGACCCTTTTCGTATGCGTCCTTGACCTTGTCGACGTTCTCGATCAACCACAGAAGCTTGCCGACTGAGGGGTAGGTTGAGAGAGGCAGACCGCAGATGTCGGTGAGCTTGTCGGCTCCAAGGCGTTGCTTGAGTTTGCGGACAAGACCCTGGTGACGGGTGTCGGTCCAGACAATCGCATTGTACAGAGCCTCTCCAGTCTCTTTGTTCCAAACGACGGTGGTTTCACGTTGGTTCGTGATACCGACTGCCTTGATAGTGTTGATGTTGTGGCCTTGAGTCTCGAATTGCTTGACCGCTCCGTCAATGCATTTCTCGACTGAGGAGACGATCTCCTCAGGATCGTGCTCGTGCCATCCTGGTTGAGGGTAGATCTGCTTGAATTCAAGCTGATGCGAGGCAACAGGTTCGCCTGACTTGTTGAAGATCAAGAATCGCGAGCTGGTGGTGCCCTGGTCAATGGACCCAATGAAGACTTCTGGAACGCTGCCCATCTTGAAGATCTGCTACAACTGTGAAAGAGAGATTGACAAAGGATATCTGGAGAGAAAGGAGAGTCTGGAGGCACTGATGGGGTTCTGGAGGATCCATGGGGAGGGGAAATACGTTGTTTATAAACACCGTGGGGGACTTTTTCCTGACATGTGTTCTGGAGTCAGGATAAGCGAAGCACATGGTCGTATGACCTTGTACCTGGAACTTCGTGTGGGTGTTGGAAGCGGGTCGAGGCTCGTCTCCTCGGTACTCCGTACCAGAGGTGCGTAACGTGGGTGGTATTCTGCTGCTCGGTGTCCAGTGTCCATGGTTTCCCGACCTGGGGAGTGACAATGCCCCGAACTCCAGAGGGAGCTACCTACAATCCAGACTATTGAGGGTCCATCCGGACGACGGGAACGGAGAAGAAGCAGGGTTAGTCGCGTGTAAGATACCTGGGTGGCAAAACGAGTCAGGGGTACAGACACATGGCGCGGGGAAAAGAGTTGAAGCGATACCGAGGAGGAGGCACATGATCTTCTGAAAACGGACTAAACCCATTACCAGCTTGACCTGCATGACATGAGTGTGGAGAGTATGGGAGATAGTGGGAGAAATGGAGGAGAACTCGGGGTTTGCGACCCCGAGGAGAGAAGCAACAAGCTTTTAATTTATTGTTTTTGCCAAGAAAGGCGGAGAATCACTATTTCCGCTCGGTTCCGCGATTAGATTATCGACTCGGCAAGTTTACTCGGCCGGTGATGAATGACTTTGTCTGACGAAAAGTGTACTTCTGAGGGCATCGATCTGGCTGGCGATGTGAGGTTCGTTGAATAGAAGAATCTTGTGTATAGGGTAACAACAATAAGGCTGACTGTGGTAAGGTGTATGATTCTGAGATGACATATACTGATAGGGCTCAATTCTCTTGGTCAGAGCGCAGTAAACAGCAGATCCAGTGCAAGGACAATCGAGATTGATGTGATGAAATTCTGCTGTCATGACGCGCCCACTTTTGGCTCGAAAAACTTCACGTGCCCTTTCTTCATTCAGCTCATGCCGACGAGGTTCCCACCGGCTTACGTTTCCAACGGTGAGCAATATTACACGAGTCTGTGCCGCACATCAGGAGATGCATCCCAAAAAAGTGTGTCAGTAAAACTCAGTCTTCAGCGGTGAGGCCGCGCTGTCACAATTCCCCATTCTCCAGCTTCTCATCCCATTTCTTTCCTGCACTCCAGATGTCGTTTCGACATCTCAGGGTTTTGTGCAGGAAGAACACTTAGAACAGACACACCCCGAGATACCCGGACTGGAGTGTGGCCTTAACGCACGTCGGTATGGGGCCCCGAACCTTAAGCGAGTCGGCACGAGAAGCAAAACAGGTAATAGGCAAGACCGGCCGGTGCGTTTGACGTGCTTTCATTCGCTGGCACATGACCATCCTGGCAGAGATTCCAGGGAGAGTGGCTTTTTCCTCAGATCCACCAATAATTCTTGTTTATTCTTGTTCTAGACTCTATGCAAGCCGTCCCAGCCGACGGTTCCTTTCCTCCATGCGGTGTGGCACAGCTATGCACCACGTATCGGTCACACAACCCGAGCGTATGGTGGTAAATGGAGTGGTATGGAGTGTTATGGAGTCCTGGAGTCGTCTGAGCTCCCTCTCCATCTATATAACTCTGGTCCATTCCCCCATGGGCTTTCATTGTCATCCTCATCCCACCTCCACAACATCAAGTGGCAAGCTTCCTTCCCCGAGCCATCTCCTCGCTTAAGCTCATGTCCCTTTCATCCTCTTCCGCTTCAGTTGAGAAAATTTCAGTCGCTATGGCTAAGACCACACACGAGGAGCGTCCTCATCACCACGAAGCCCCTCGCTCTCAAGCCCCCAGCCGACGCAACTCAACAGTGCCAGGCGTCCTCCCATACTCTGAGCATGGTCCAGTTATCGATCATAAGATCCCTCAAGCTGAGGCTGTGCAACAACAACCAGACCTCGCATGGAGTCGTATCCGCCATTATATGAGAGAACCCTTTTCCGAGTTCTTCGGAGTTTTCATCCTGATCCTTTTTGGTGACGGTGTCGTGGCACAAGTCGTGCTCAGTGATAACACCAAGGGTGACTATCAATCAATTTCTTGGGGCTGGGGGTACGTTTTCCATTTCCTTTCGAACTTTGAGCATCGCTAATTCTCAAAAGTCTCGGTGTCATGCTTGGTGTCTACTCTAGCGGTATCTCCGGTGCTCATTTGAACCCGGCTGTCACTTTCGCCAACTGCGTTTTCCGCAAGTTTCCCTGGAGAAAATTCCCCACGTACATGCTCGCCCAGGTTCTTGGTGCCATGACTGCATCTGCTGTTGTTTACGCCAACTACAAATCCGCCATTGATGTTTACGAGGGCGGCGCCAACATTCGAACCGTTGGTGGAACCACTTCCACAGCAGGCATTTTCTGCACATACCCTGCAGACTTTATGACCAAGACCGGTCAATTCTTCTCCGAATTCATTGCCAGCACACTCTTGATGTTCTTGATCTACGCTATCAAAGATGACGGAAACATTGGAGCTGGCCCTTTGACTCCTCTCTGTCTTTTCTTCATCATTTTCGGTATTGGTGCTTGCTTCGGCTGGGAAACCGGATATGCTATCAACCTTGCTCGTGACTTCGGTCCCCGCCTGGTTTCGTACATGATCGGCTATGGCCACGAAGTCTGGAGCTATGGTGGCTATTATTTCTGGGTAAGTCTTTCAACAATAAGCCTCGAAAACTCGATCGCTAACATTTTCGAAAGGTCCCCATGGTTTCACCATTCTGCGGCTGCCTTTTCGGAGGCTGGATGTATGACACTTTCCTGTTCACTGGAGAGTCGCCAATCAACACCCCTTGGATGGGGCTGAAGCGATTCACTCAGCCAAAACGATCAGTCTGGTCGAACACCTACAACCTTGATGATCTTGAGCATGAGAGCCAGGTTTAAATGGTGATATAACATGACAGTGTTCGCTAACAACGCGAACGAATGGCGCAGTCGGCGTCGTTGAAGTGGAAAGTACGCAAACAAAGTGCGTGAGCATCGAAAAGGGGTTATTGATTTGGGTGAGCGTGGCATCGCTCAATGGAGGCTGCTTTGTACATACGTCGTTTTCAGCATAGGCGTTGATATGACTCAGACGAGTACATGATCCTAGACATTGTCGCACAAATGATGATGAATCTCTTGTCAATATGCTTCTTAGCTCTTCCTTACCCTTTTTGTCTCTTCTGCAATCTTCCATCTCTTCATGCCTGCGAAGCCAGGTATCTAGGGATCTCCGGTGGTTTCGGTCTAGTTCGACAATAGCACAATATGAGTGCAAAGATTCTTGCACGGCTGGAATGTGATTCGATCGATTGGGTAAGGACGGAAGGCATATCATATACGGGTAGCGCATCGTAGCCGACCTTGTAACCTGTTCGTGTTTAATCATCTGCCAGACGTAGCCCCTATCTTAGGCATGGGAGGAGATAAGGGCCAAGTATACTACCGCGTTTGTATATGGCTCTCTTGCACATAATTTCCAGCCGTTCCATATTAGTTCTATCCTAACAAGCAGATGTTCGACGTCAAGGCGCTATAGATGGCGGCGCAGTCGGCTCAGTCGAGACGGTCTACCAATTCCAGCGACTTTGAGGCAGTCACAGAAAACGGGCGCCTTCGCTTGCAACGATATCATATAGACATCGTCGATAGTTCTTCCGTCACAACCATGATCAATAGTAAACATATTGGGCCGTGACGTGAACGTCTTTGTCTTTCCTCGCCCTTCTCTTTCAAGTTTTGTCGATGACAGTGCCATGGCTCCTGGACGAGGACTCCATGAAGGCCATCATCATATCTTTCTCAACCAGGGTTCGCGAGGGAAAGTGGCAATGTGAGGACCTTGAGAAGGCCGTCAACGAATGGGTAGACGGAAGCATCCAAGTAGGGGGAGGAGTGGTTTGACACCTCGATGAAGTAGTGGGAGTGCGGCTGAAATGAGTACATGATGTTGCAATAGAGAAGATAGAGAAGAAGTTACAGCTTCATCGTGCGCAGCGACGCTCCCAGCTGGCCAAGGTACACTCCTGCAACGAAAGGGTCTTCTGACGAGGGTACCACCTGTATATGAGAGACGATCATCCCAGACTGTGATAGTGGATGGGATCTCAACAAAAATCTGAACAGCCAATATCCGTCATCTCGTTGCCTCATGCAGAAGGATGGCATGTGCTGACGATGATAACCACCGATTCGCAAGTCCATGCTGTAATGGATGGTCCCAACCATGTCACCATCTCCCTGTCATAAAAAGGGCATCGTGGCCCAGAATCTTGCAATGTTTTCTTCATCTTACCTGACTCCTCCGTCCAGTCCCAACCCTCAAAACAGAGCCTCGCTCGCACTGAGTAACCCGAGATGACAGGACAAAACGCATATTCAGATGTTTCTCACTTACCTGTACATCGCAGAATCGATCTCGTTCCCATTTCACCGATACTCTGCACCTCGGCACGCTGTGTGCATACCTGAGACCCTATAAAGCTCACACCCAATCTCGCATATACCCCTATACGGGTCAGCCGTCCACGGGGCCGGTGGGTGTTACCGGTATTGCGCGTTACCAGTAAAATACCGCAAATGGGCTGATGCTCAGAGATTTTCAGCCATACACCTGCGTAGAAATGTGTAGAGACCCATCATGGCTACGACGCTACTAGCGTCATTTGCCTCTGAACTAGTGAGCAATCAGGATGCAATGACGGGATCTTAGCAGCGGAAAAATCTCCGTAAAGAGAAAATATATTCAATGCACGTCGGTGTCACGCATCCCGAATCCACTGGCACCACTTCTTCGGTCGAAAAACACCGAGTTGCATCACAAGCGATTTCTCCGCAGCTTGGACCACACCAGCGGCTCTTCATCAACCAAATCTGCACACTTCATCACACTGCCCGCAGATCCGGGGTTTCCACAGCTCATGAGACCAGACTGGAGACCCAGACTTCGGTCTTGTGACGAGCAGGTGCCGAGCAAAGTATCATGGCAGAGTCTGCTGCTGGCAACGTGGACACGGTCATTTTGCCGGTAGATGCAACGGGAATCAGTCAGCAGATTTGCATTGGCTTCAAATATACCAGCTGGATTCCTCCATAATTCCTCATATCGCTGTCGTCTTCCCTGCTGTTGTGTTTGACTAAGGGGTGTAGATTTTTCCTTTTACCTTGCACCAGATTTGAGTCACACATTGCCTGACAGAGGCATTCGCCCAAACACTGACAGCTAGTCGAAATCCTCTCCTTCACGATGGCCTCACGATTCTCGTCAAGACGGCTTCTCAAGCCCTTGGCCTATGGAACAGGTGTGGCTGTTGCTGGAACCACACTCCTTTATGTGGCCTATCGACCCCGAAACGTACCGGGTGCAGAAACACTTGCTCCCAAGCCTCCTCGAAGAGACCAAAACGGCGTTATAATCCCTCCCTCATTTCCCCATATCAAAGCGAGATCCGATCAGATCGCAGACCTCAAGAAGTCCACTTCTGCACCTGCATCCGAAGTCTACGACCTTCTGGTTATCGGCGGTGGTGCTACAGGCACAGGTATTGCGCTTGACGCGGCCACAAGAGGGTTAAAAGTCGCAATTGTGGAAAGAGACGATTTCAGCAGTGGCACAAGCAGTAAATCCACCAAACTGGTACATGGCGGTGTACGATACCTGGAGAAGGCAGTCTGGAATTTGGACTACAACCAGTACCAACTGGTGAAAGAGGCGTTGAGAGAGCGGAAGAGCTTCTTGTACACAGCGCCACATCTTTCTTCATGGCTACCAATTATGCTGCCACTGCAAAAATGGTGGCAATTGCCATATTTCTGGGCAGGCACCAAGGCCTACGATTTCCTGGCGGGCTCTGAAGGCATTGAAAGCTCCTATTTCTTGCCTAGGAGCAAGGCTCTAGACGCGTTCCCTATGCTCAAGAAGGACAATCTCGTGGGCGCTCTGGTATACTACGATGGACAACACAACGATTCGCGAATGAACGTCTCACTGGCCATGACTGCTACTTTGTATGGTGCCACAACTGTCAATCATCTCGAGGTGACTGGTCTCGAAAAGGATGCCAGTGGCCAATTGACAGGCGCCCGTGTACGCGATCTGATAGCCGACAAGGACGGAAAATCAGGTAACGACGATTTCGTGGTCAAGGCCAAAGGTATCATCAACGCAACTGGTCCATACGCCGATGCGATTCAGCAAATGGACCAACCAACCCACAAGGATATCGTGGCACCGAGCTCTGGAGTCCACGTGGTACTTCCCGGCTACCTCAGTCCTCAGAACATGGGCTTGATCGATCCATCTACCTCCGATGGACGAGTGATTTTCTTCCTCCCGTGGCAAGGCAACACGATCGCTGGGACGACAGATGCACCTTGCTCGATTGAGCAGAATCCTGTGGCCGGCGAGAAAGATATCGATTGGATCCTGAACGAAATTCGGACCTATTTGACTCCAGACATCGAAGTCCGACGTTCCGACATTCTTGCCGCATGGTCAGGTAAGCAGTCTTGCAAAGTCATTTATTAGGCACATGAACTAACAACCACTTCTAGGTATCCGTCCTCTCGTCCGCGATCCCAAGGCGAAAAATACCCAATCACTCGTCCGCAACCATCTTGTCACTGTCTCTGATTCTGGTCTTTTGACATGCGCTGGTGGAAAGTGGACTACCTACCGCCAGATGGCCGAGGACGCAGTGGATGAAGCGATCAAAGTCTTCAAACTCCAAACCAAGCCAGTTACCTACGTCCCTGACATCAGTGGCGTGAACGGTATTGACCCGACCTCGAAGATCCTCAATGGAGCATGCCAGACGCATCACATCCGTTTGCTCGGAGCACATGGTTATTCTACGACATTATTCATCAACCTGGTTCAGCACTTTGGCCTTGAAATCGACGTTGCGAAACATTTGGCATCCGACTACGGCGATCGAGCTTGGGCTGTTGCAGCTTTGGCGTCGCCAATCGAAAATTCCGAGCACTACCCTCTCCGTGGCCAACGATTGTCGTCCATGTACCCGTACATCGATGGAGAAGTGCGCTACGCTGTACAGAGCGAATACGCGCAGACGGCCATTGACCTGCTTGCTCGACGCACTCGATTGAGCTTCTTGAACGCTCAAGCTGCACTACACGCCCTTCCCAGCGTGATTGATATCATGGGTGAAGAGTTGCACTGGAGTGCGCAAAGAAAGGAGGCAGAGTGGCGTGATACTGTCAAATTCTTGGGCAGCATGGGTTTGCCCGCCGACATGCTCGAGGTTACCCGCGAGGAAGTGCTCAAAGGCGATCTACCTTCCACCAATAACCTGGCCCCTGCACAAGGTTCGTCCAAGGGAGTGGTGCCTGTAAGGCCGACTGTTGAACCAGTCTCAGCCGCACATGGACCGGTTCCTTGAACATGTCACGAGTTATAAGTCTGTTTGTTTCCCATTGTCATCAGCGTTCTTGACGAGCATATTCCGTGGAAGGTTCTGCGAAAGGAGCGGAAAAAATTGTTGCATGATACCACCAACGGTGCAAGGCGTTTCGGAGCACAGTGAGTTGCAACCCACAGGAACGGTCGGCAGAGAAAAAGCTGCTGCCATTTTTTACAATGGACGATGTGCCCAATTTATCTATATCTATACTATACTTGACACTCATGTCCTGTGATGAGCTGTGCATTTTTGCGCACTGGTCAGTGGTGAATTGATTTCCCAGAGTGGCCTTGGTATCCTACTACTAGTTGTTCGAACCAACGAGGAGTCAAGAGCCGCGCAATCCAAGTGTCGGCTTCAATCCCCACTGGCTTCGACGATATGCAACCTTGGTCTACAGCAAACTAGCGAAAGCTTATGCTAAAAGTGCCGCCAGATTGAGGCTCTAGACCTTGACATGAACCCCCAGGAGACCCGTGCGACACTCACGCCAAACCGAGAACGGACATAATTGGCACCCCAGGCATTTTGCCCCGGGTACTCCGTACAGTAATTGGGGTTCTTGTTGGAGAAGTGGGACTTTTCTCCATTACCTCGTGCCTCGTGATGGGGCAGCTACGCTTTGATCGTCGGGGAAGTGGTCCAGCTTCTCTGGAAGGCCATGTGATGGGCACGTGGATGGGGAGACACTAAGGTATTTCTACCTCCGAGCTCCCGCCATCGAAAACGCGGCTCTGTTAGTATTTGTTTCCCTTGTTCCCTCGTATCGACGGCAGGCCACCCTGCATATCTACCGCGGTTGATCGCTCACTGCAAGTTATTGCATCTTTGACTTCTGTGAGACCACTTGGCGCATATTGCCCTGCACCTTGCAGCAACACAAGTCAAGATGCCTTTCCTAGGGATTCTCGACGACAAAAAAATCCCACATGTTCCCGGGACAGTCATTCTCGAAGAAACTGCAGCTCACTCCGAAAGTTTGACCGGAGGACTCAAGCATGGAACAGGTCGTAACCACAACATCGTCCTCGTCCCCCAGCCCTCCAACGACCCCAATGATCCCCTCAACTGGCCCATGTCCAAGAAGCTGCGAGCTTTGGGCATTACTTGTTTTGGGTCTATCCTCTATGCGGCCGTCACCAGCGCCATGTTGAACGCCGCGTTCGCCACGATCGCCGTCGAAGTCAACACCACTATCTCAGCGCTCGTCCTCGCCACGGGCTACCAAACTCTCGTCGTGGGCGTCACAGGACCCATGTTCTCGGCTCTGGCTCGCAAATGGGGAAAGCGACCGGTGTTCCTGCTCGCGTCCATTTTCTGTCTCGCCGCAGATCTTGTGGGATCCTGCGTCAATTCGTACCAGGGCATTCTCACCTCTCGAGTTCTCCAAGGTTTCGCCATCGCGCCCTATGAGTCGCTGGTCTTCACGTTGATCAGCGACATGTTCTTCGTCCACGAACGCGGTCTCTACGCTTCGTGCATCAACTTCATTCTCGCCGGCATTTCCAACTTGACCGGAGTCGTGGCCGGTCCTATCGCGAACAATCTTGGCTGGAAATGGCTGTAAGTACCTCTCGCGAACGCATCACCAGTGCCCAAGGTCAGCGCTAATGTTGGTTTTAGATACTACCTTCTAGTCCTGTTCGGAGGCATCCAATTGATTCTGCAATTCTTCCTCGTCCCTGAGACAAGCTACAACCGCGACCACCGATACGACATTGACGAGATCAAGAACGACAACCTCGAGGATCTCGTGGCATTGGAATACCAAGAGAAATTGAACATGGAGAAATTAGGCGCCACGCACGCCGAAGATGGAACGCCAGTCACGCAAGCCACTTCTCGCGACGTTCCGATCCACACGTACAAGAAGAAGACGTACGTCCAGGAACTTGCCATCTTCAGCGGCACCTACTCCAACGAGAACCTCCTGCAACTCTTCATGGCCCCGTTCGCCGTCGTGCTCAATCTGGCCGTCGCCTGGATCCTGCTCATCAACTCCATGTTCGTGGTGCTCTATGTGGTCATCGCTTTCGTGTTGTCGCAGTTGTTCGCCTACCCGCCTTACCTTCTCAGTGTTTCGGCCATCGGCTATCTGAGCTTTGGCCCATTCATCGGCGGTGTTTTGGGCTCTGTCATTCTCGGTGTCCTGTTCGATCCATGGATCAAGTGGTGCGCCCGCCGAAACCGTGGCATTTACGAGCCTGAGTACCGTCTTGTGCCGGTGTTCTTGGGTGCTCTCTCAGGCGTCGGACTCATGTTGTTCGGCAAGCTCGTGTCGATTGGCGCTTCTCCGTACGCCACGGCCACGGTGCACGGATTGATGCTGTTCGGAGTCATGTTCACTTGTATCGGTACGAGCAGCTACGCGTTGGACGCGTATCGCGGAATGGCAAACGAGATCTTCATCGCTAGTATGGCGGTGAAGAACATCATTCTGTTTGGCTTCAGTTATTTCGTGAATGACTGGACGGCCAAGGTCGGACCGGCGCACGCCTTCTACGTCTGGGGTGCTGTCGCTTTTGCGCTGATTGCAACCGTCCCCTTTGCCTTCTTCTTCGGAAAGAAGTACCGCAGTTGGTGGGCGAGGCATGCTTTGTTGGAGAAGATGCATGTTACTACTCATGAAGAGTAAGTGACTGGAGAGTCTGGTGAATCCGAGAAGGGGATAGATCGGACTACACAGGACAATGTCTACGAGATGTCGGACGGAAATGGTGTGTTGTCGAATGTATAATGGCCGCAATGTACAATTGGTGTGTCTCTGTGCGGGAGAGTATTTTAGACTCAACATAGAATTCTAGATTAGAATTAGATTCATGGCCATTCGGAATGAGAGCTAAATTATCGTGTCACTTCTCAAGAGCCTTGGTCCCTTCAACCGAGTAAGCCATGGTATGACTTCGTAGCGGTTTCGCCTACTGCCTCGTAGGTCTGGCATAGAGCTTCGTTTGGTGCCACCCAAGCCTGACAACCCGAAGATCCAACCCGGGGCAGCGGTCCAGCCGCTACTCGTGTCCGTTGCATTGCCTTCAAACACGTGGCTCTTGAAGCGAGTCGACATGGGGTACTCCGTATGGAGTATACTGGGGGCCGTAGCATAGTCCGAATGCATACAACGCCACCTCCAACAGCTTCCCAGATGTGGTCGTTCCCCAACGTTGACGAAAGCCGGCCAACATATCCGTTCGCTTGTTCGGGGATATCTTTTCTGCCGAAATACCCCTGAATGGCTCAATTGATTTGGTCCGAACGGGCACCTTACAGATATCCGGGCAGGCCGGTCCTCATGAGTCATGGATACGAATACCTTCTTGGAGGGGTTTTGGTGTAGTAGAGGTTTTGCTTGGGGATGTTTGGAGACACATCTTGTGCAAAGTTTCACTCATTTTGTCGATTTTACGGCATCATTCCTTCTGACGGTCCCAAAGCATTGTCCCAGGCATGCCAATCGAAATCCATTTGCCCCAGGATACCAAGTGACAACCCAGCCGGGTCCTGATCGTCGGACAATGGATCGGGCGCCGCTTCATCCTGTCGTCCGCCTCCTGGAGTATGATGGCTGCTCCAGTGTTGTTGTGATCCAGGACCGCTGGTTATATCGTGTGCGATCCTCTCGCCGCAAATGCATGTGCTCGATGATACAAGGGAGGATGGGTACAAGACGTGATGATCCACACCGGTCTGCTCAAGGGCTTTTCTTCGTGTTCGAACCAGCATGGCCCAAGCGTCTCGACCTGATGGCGACAGCTGCCGTATCGGTGGGTCGTTCTGGCTGACTATACCCTCATCGACTTGGTAGAGTTCGAAGATGGCGTCGATCAAGCCGCGAGATAGGGAGGCGTCGTCGCTATATGGATGCTGCAGTAGGTCGGCGAGTAACAGTGACACGGCCTGCAGAGGCTGGTAAGTGCCCGGGTACATCCAGTGGAAGGGCTCGGAGATAGGGTCGTTACAGACGCGGATGAAGAGCTGGATGAAGGCTTGGGCGTTTTTAACGGCACTGTTGATATCAATGTTAGTCGGTCCGCATGGTTCATAAGTCGGGCGTCTCTCACTTTGACCGAATAACCTCATGTGAGCCTAAGGATGGATCCCTGAAAAGCGGACGGTACAGCACGCAGTAAGCTTTGTGGACCATCAAGTGCACAAGGAGTGCGGCCCAGGCTAGAAAGTCCCCTACTTCCGCATCGTTGGCGTCTGGTCGTAACTTCCACACCCGGGCAAATGGCCTGGTCATGATCGGCCGCGCCTCAATAGCTGAGAGTGCAGAATAGCTCGACCTCGCATTGAGCAGCGTTTCTGTACTAATTCTGGCGCGGTCTGCTACAGCCCTGAGTTCTCTGGCCACATCGTTCACGTGGTCAAGAGATTGGAAGTGGTCCTCGAAATGACATTTGAGAATGTTTCGGATCTCTTTAGTGATTTCATACCGCTGTGACGCCACCTTATAGCGTATGTCCACTGAACTCAGTCAGAGATAAACTCAGTGATTGGGGAAGTGTTCAAACCTTCTCTGTCAAAGCCAACTTCATTTTCCAAGAGGTCGTACTGGGACATTGGATCCGTGTTCGCCATCTTATCATCGATGAAGAGTGGAGACAATCCACTAGAACTGGAACTCATAACGTCTAAATGACAGATATAGTGCCAAAGTCTGCGCCGGGTTTCTATCTCGGCCACCGTGAATCCAGCTTCCGGAAACTGTCTGTGAAGACCCATACCTAGAGCCACTCGGAAAGACGTTGAGATAAAATCAGGAGCGTCAGAGAATTCTTCTTCTCTGACGAACTGACTCTGAGCGAGAATGTATGCAGCGAGCGAGTATATACTCGGCTGACGCGGAAAGCCAGTCAGGGTTGCTGATACCATGGCAATGAAGTAGAGGTCCTTAGTGTCCGGGACGTCCTCGTCTCCTAACAACGACTTGACTCGAGATTTCGTCGCTGATGCTGACGCGGCGAACAAAACCGAGGCCAACAGACATAGGAAGCTTGGCTTCTGTCGCATGATAAGGCTGGGCTCACTGTTGTGCACACTTCTCGCACTCATTCCGTTCCAAAACCCCGTGAAGTCCTCTTCGAACCCTCGGGCGTGGAGCAAAGGCATGAGTGGAAAAACTGTGGTGAAGAAGAGGCTGCACAGCTTCTCACAGACCTCCTTAGTCGGTAAGAGGGCCATGATGCAGGAGATGTTATATCGCTTGCCGCAGAGTTTGCATTTATTAGAGCCAGCCTTTGTCCACAGAACATCATATGAACGGGGTGGTCGAAACTTCAGCCCGGCCCATGGGTTCTCCACGTCCTGTTTGGGCGGCCACTGCGGAAAGGGACTTGAAGCGTGTGTCGGAGCTTCGCCATCGGATGCTTGGTTGTCATTGAACTAGGTCAGTCAGATACTCGCTTTGGACTGTTGTGGAATGGTATTCTGCACTTCTGGAGGGATGGGGTTTGCCCAGTAGGTCAAGCCAATGTAAGTCGAGCGGCCGCCGGCGTGGACTGAGATGGCTCCCGTTTCATGACTACGTGGCCGAACCACAGGTGATTGCGCTGTCAACAGAGTCAGGTATTCCTTCTCACACTGAGGCGAGGAGCAACACTTACGCTCATTCTGAGGCGCTAATGGCCGAGACTGGTCCCTCCGAGAAGGCTCGGCTGCAGCAGTTGACCTGTCGAAGGAGTCGGGAATTGCACTTTCATCGTATATGCATTGCACACCACCAGTGCGACAACGATGGCATGATGGATGTGTCTATCGAGTCACGGTCAGCATTGGAGTCGGAGGCGAGGTTGGGCAGTCCTACTCTGTCGCAGCGGAGCCGCCTTCGTCTGCAGCTTAGGCACGAGGTGACCGGTCTCTGTCGTTTCATTCCGAGTGGGCAAGCGCATGAGATAAGGCAAAATCATCGTGGCAGAAAAAGAGACCAGATGGTCTCGCACGAGGTATATGAATCATGTTGAGTGGAGAAACAGCAAAGGCGCCGGTTGCGACTTGCCGATGACAAAGTACCAAGTTGCATTGACCTCATTGTGCAGCCCGAGGAGCCCCAGCACGCTTACTAAGCTTAATAGTTCTTCCGGCTCAGAGCCATCGACGGTGATATCTCGCTTCAGAAAATATTCTCATTTCTATCGATTCTGTCATCGAGCAAGAAGCTAAGGCTGGACCATGTCACCACCTGTTGATCAATGCCAGGCAGTCTTATGAGGATGAGCGTGGTTGCCTTCAAGCTTCGCCTCGGTCGTTTTCTTCAGATCTTCGCCCAATTTTGCGTCCACTTTCCCGAACATCTCTGGAAGCCACTCATTAGCGACAGGAACAGTATCTAACAGCAGCGAACTCACCATATGTTTGCTCTCTTAGCATCTTGTGAGTGACTCCACTCACATGTGCCGCAAGATTATTGATGAAGCGTTCTTGAGCACCATCCTGCTTTGCCATGAATTCCCACAAGGCACGGGGCTGCTCAAAATCCTTGTCGCTGACGGTAGTGAAGGCTGTGATGGGTGTTGTGACCTCTACCTGGTCCAGAGTTTTCATCATGTTTGCCGGATGTCCGTTCTGCCCAGATCGATGGACTGTTCCTTTGAAGTTCATCGGCTTCAACTTACTACCCACGTAGTTCGGGTCATCTCCGTAGTTGCTGGTGAAGTTCATGCGCCCATCTCGTTCAGTCGGAACATACACCTCGCTCTTGGGGGCGTTCGTCGGCAAGAATGTGTAATTGATACCCAGCCTATACCTTGCGGCATCCGGATATGCGAACATTCTGGCCTGCAGCATTGGATCAGGACTAGGCTCGATCCCAGGCACCATATTGCTTGGGCTGAATGCTGCCTGCTCAATTTCCGCGAACCAATTGGAAGGGTTACGGTCAAGCACCAGTCGTCCCATTTTGCGTAGCGGGTATTGCTTTTTGGGCCAGACCTTGGTCATGTCGAAAATATCGATTGGCGCGCTTGCAATGTCGTTTGGGTGAATGACTTGTACACATACATCCCATGACGGAAAGTCGCCGGTATTGATAGCGTCTTGTAAGTCCAGTATATGTTTGTCAGGCTCTTTTCCTGCAAGCTCCGCACCTTCGCTGTTGGTGAAATAATGTATCCCTTGGTTGGTCTTGATATGAAATCTGACATAGTGGTAGGTGCCATCGGCCTTTGTGAACTTATAAGTGTTTCCACTGTACCCGTTCACATGTCGGACCGACGATGGTAGGCCCCTGTCTCCGAACAGGAACATCAACGCGTGGGTAGACTCTTGGTTGTTTACATGGAAATCCCAGAACATATTGGCATCGGAACTGTTTGTGGCCGGGTTTCTTTTGTGGCTCCTGTTCACGGAGGGGAATTTCGATGGGTTTCGAACGAAGAAAACTGGCTGGCATACTGTTCAGCATCGGTATCACGCCTGGTCAGTATGTGTTCGTACCTGGTTGTTGCAGACAAAGTCTTGATTTCCTTGGGCTGTTTTGATTTTGACAGCGAAACCTCTGAAGTCTCTCACAGTGTCTGCAGACCCTCTTTCGGGGCCGACGGTGGAGATTCGCATCAAGACATCTGACTTCTTGCCAATGCCGTGGGCGAAGTCAGCATCTGTGATGTCCGAAACATCATCGGTGACCTCGTAATAGCCTGTTGCTCCAGCAGCCTTGGCATGAACTGTGCGTTCAGGAATACGTTCTCTAGAGAAATGTGCTAGTTGCTCAATCAACTGAGTACTGGTCAACAGGACATGGCCCCCTCCTGATCCGGTAGATAGCTGCTTGATGGTATCATTCCTGGGCAGTGGGGCACCCTCTGCGAGTGTGTAGTACGGCAGATAAGAGCCCATTTCGTCTCGAAGTTGAACGTAGGGATGCCTCACCGATCCGCAAGCTGGTAGTCCCGAAGGACGGGATCTCTGACATGACAACTCGCATTATATAGGACTGTGTGTTAGCAGCGCTCCGAAGCACTCTCGCGCCCGAGCCAAAGGATACACCGCGCACATCGTAGACCAGACTCGGAGCTGGTATTCCTGAAGCGCAAGGTTATGAAGCGGACTCTGCATTAAGTTTGTGGAAACCTCGTAAAGTGACATGAAATCAATGCCTGATTCCCAGAAAGGTTACTGAGAGGTTCGAATCATGTCCTAGCTGTCCAGCTGTGCCTGATGCTTACGCAGCATTGACACAGGGATGCTTGCCGACGCCGGTGCATCTCGTGCGAGGCTCGTGCGAAGCCTGGTGGACCATGCTAGCGTATATGAACTCAGACGATGTGCATATATCTTGTTGCTATTGGCTTGGACACCCATGATTGTCTTGGTGGCTCAGAGACCTACTCGCAACATCGTTAGTCATCTAAGTCTCCCTATCCGACCATAGCTCGAGGATCGAGATGGGATTCGACTTTAAACACCGCATCCGCTCTCCATACGACAAGCTTGCTGTCCCGGTGTGCCCTGTCGAAATGTCAGACGCATGATGTGTCAGCAGTAGGAGCGAAGACGCTGAATCCAAGGGTGCCAAGAGGTTTTGATGTCTTGTAATGGCAAGGTCGGGCGGCCTTTTGGCGGCTCGTATGCCCTGAATTTGGATAGGCCAACAAGTATGTACGATCACTTCAAGCATTTTTCAACCTCCTCTAGACATAAAACTTCTCAAGGTAGGCCAGCGTCTCATGCTCAATGAGTCTTGCTTCGTATCCCGAATATCTTCCCGCAAAAGATCGAACCTCTGGACCATGGTTGATATATGACTAATACGCTGACAGCACTCTCCCCCACTTCCCCACGAAGGCCCCCTTACCAAGACTGAAGGGTTCCGCGGACAAAAGCTTTTCTTGACGTGTCTCCCCTACCTGCATCCATCACATACTGGGCGGTTGCGACGTCTATGGAATCTCTTTAGCGCACGTCCGAGCTGAAGACCTCAAGGCGACAGATCGTAATGCTGCCTACTGTTAGTCGGCGGTAGCGCGAAGGTCTGCAACCTCAATGGCTATTTCGTTTCTTGGTCTGTGTTATCATGTTGTGGACCCAATAATCTACCCGAACGTTCGGGTCGACGTAAGCCCCTGCGCCCAATATGCCCATCTACTCACCAGCCGTTGTCCCCACCTTTGCAACAACACGGCCTGCTATCGCTGCCGCATCGTCAACGACCTTCAGATGAATGGTTGGATGCCCTTGATAGGGCTGCACTCTCTCCCCCCACTTCCCAGATAAGCTTTGTCTCGAGCCATGATCACCAATGCAGCGGGCGATAGTGGAGAAAACAGTCTCGCCGTATCCTTTTGACGAACTACTTCTCTATATGTACCTTGGTACCGGATGATCTCAACCTCAGATCCGGAGAGGTTTTGCAATTTCCCCAACTTCTTGAGCATTGTCTGAACAATGGCGATATCGATCTTTGCGTTCGGTGGGATCACTACCCTCGGCCTGGCGTTGCTCGTGATTGCATTCACAGGATATGCTATCCGACAGGTGTTTTTCCACCCACTCAGCGACATTCCGGGACCGTTCCTAGCCAAATTGACTCGCTGGTGGCAAGCTTACGAGGTATTCTCAGGAGCAGCCGAGGTAACTGAGAGAGCCCTCCACGAGAAATACGGTAGACCGAACTGTGCTTCCATCAGAGTGAATGGTACCACTAACACGCTACGATAGGGTATCTCGTGCGCGTGGCACCGAACCAAGTCAGCATCTCGGATCCCGAAGCAATCAAACTGATCTATGGGCCTAACTCACGCTTCGCAAAGGTTGGTATTAGCTAGACCATACCAAAAGGCCTTACTAATTGTCTGCAGACTGACATGTACGCCGCCTGGAAGCATGGCTACGACAACATGTTCACGTACCGTGACGAGAAAGAACACGCCAAGCACCGTCGTGCCGTGGGCAACGCATATGCCATGAGCAATGTTCTTGACTCGGAACAGTACATCGATCAATGTTCCAACCTGTTCTTACAAAGACTAGGCGAGATGGCTCAAGCTGGTCAAACGGTCGATCTTGGTCACTGGTTGCAGATGTATGCCTTTGACGTGGTAACTGAGCTTTTCTACGGCAAAGCGTTCGGTCTTATGGACGCCCGCCAGGATTTCGGATGGTTCGACCTTCTCGAGGGAGTCGTCCAAGCTGTTGCTATTGTAATGCCCCTCCTCATCAACCAGTCGCACCTCGCTGACGTTAATTTGCAGATGGGAATGATTCCATACGTTGTGTCATTCTACCACATGCCACTCTGGCAAAAGATATTCCCCAAGGTCAAAGAGGCCAACGACAAGCAGATGAAGATGATCACGGTCGCTCAGGAACGTGTGGCAGAGCGGTTGAACAGTAAAGCCAACAGGAGAGACATGATGGAGAAGTTCATTGAACGACACCGCGAAAGCCCACAGGATATGACCGTGCAGTGGATCGAGATGGAGGCCGTCGTCGCCTTGTTTGCAGGTATGTCTCAGCCCTATCTTATCACTATCCTTTACGCAAGACGAGGCTAACCTGTGGTTTCTGTTACAGGATCCGACACAACAGCCGCCGCACTGCGAAGCATGTTCTACTACCTTCTCAAGAACCCGTCCACTTATGAGACCCTGCAGAAGGAAATCGACAACATGGACGCCCAGCGCGAACTATCACCCAGAATCTCCTTTGCTGAGAGCAACAAAATGCCATATCTCCTCGCAGTCTGCAAAGAAGCCATGCGTCTCCATCCATCAGTCGGTCTTGGCCTACCGCGATATGTACCTGAAGGTGGCCGCGAGATTTGCGGACGTTTCTTCCCGGAAGGTGTAAGTACTACCCACACCATTCTCTTCCTCTTCATGCAGTAGCGTACTTCTTGCTGATATACAGACAGACCCGCGTCGCAATCAATGCATGGGTAGTCCATCTTGACGAAGGTATCTTCGGTCGCGACCCTAAAGCTTTCCGTCCGGAACGCTGGTTTGAAGGTGACCCGAAGATCATGGATCGGTATATGTTCCAGTTCGGATCCGGCAGTCGTACCTGTACTGGCAAGAACATCGCCATTCTGCAATTACAAAAGGTCGTTCCGGAGATTTTGCGACATTTTGACATAACGCTTTCGGAACCCGCTAAGTCGTGGAAGACTATCAACCATTTCTTCGTGAAGCAGGAGGGGTTGAACGTGATGCTGAAGGCGCGGACGTACAAAGCATAAGTAATGCTATTTTGGGCGCCTTGGATACATATTTTGAATAGGTAGCATCGAATAGCTTCAGATCGCCTACCAACAGTGATCTTCATAGCCGTGCTCGTCAGGTCTACGGTGCTGTAACATCATCCATCTGAACATGGGACGAGACCGCCAAGTCGTATCTCGCTTGTCCTGGTTCATCGTGCAGGAAATTGATCCAGGGACATTCTTTCAACTTCTCTCGCACCTCGCTCCAGCTGTGAGCCTCGCATAATTCGATATTGCCTCGTAGCCAGGGCATCAGCCAAGCGTCATCAGCGGTGGTGAAGATCGCTATTGAGCCAATCATGAGCAGCCAGGCAAATATCTGAGGCGGTAAGGCGCTAGGAAGCTTGAGAGTCAGTAGACAATTTCGATAGGTGTTGGGCAGGTATGTATGTCGGGACTTTACACCCTGCCAGCTGAGGAAGATGTGGGAGGAGAAGATCAGGAGACCAAGGCGGACGGCTTCATCAACATTTGAGGAGTCGAAGCTCTTCATACGAAGCAGACGGTACATGACGGGAGCCATTGCATTCAGCAGTACTTCCTTGGGCAGCTGGCGCTTGTGCTCGGCGGCAGAATCGATCGTTGAACAGAACGTTTTCAAGAACGACCATGCTTGGACCAAGTCTGCGTCAATGCCCTGCTCGACCAGTAGCTTTCTCGCTGAAGACTTTGGCTCTTTCGCTGACAGTAATGTCGGGTCATATGGCAATAGGGGTTTCGAAGGATCGTTGAAAAACATTGGCTGAGTGCCATTGTTAAGTGCTATGCTCAAATCACATCTGCCGGCGATCAGCAAAGAGCTCACCAAGAACAATGATCTCCACCAGCGAATGCTTACTTCAGCAGCTCTATGATCACCTTGGTGTTATAGCTGAAGGCGATCAGACCGCCTCGCATATCGACGATCTTGCGCAGTCCTTCCATGTGATGCTTCGCAGTCTTGTAGTCGATCATGAAATGAGCGTGCAGGGTTAGATATAATACCACGAGGATCGTGGAATCCGATATCGTAGCGTTTGAGACTTTCCCGTCTCCTTTCGGCATCGACAGTCTCTCCCGGAGCAAACGCAGCGCCGCAGAATGGTGTACTATTGCACGTCTGGCTGCCACAGGAGTTTCGCCGGTGGTTGTGTGGAATACATAGGCCTGAGATGCAAAGACTGCCGCATGCATGTAGGCAGCATCCGAGGTCCAGAGTTCGATCCACATCGTATCCACTTTGTTGTTCTTGTGAAACATGATGTGTCTTTCCAGAGGGTACATGACTCTCTTGGCTATAAAGGAAACTAGGCTTTGTCAGAAACGAGTGTGGGAACCATGCACGCTGTGGCTGTGACTATAAGCACACGATGGAGAGGTCGACTTACATTTCAAAAGGTCATGTATGACTGATGGCTCCACATCAACGGCGAATTGTGTGAGTGAAAGCTCCGAGATCGCTTGTCTGGGGATTGTAGGGTAGCGCATTCTGATCAGGAGGCCTAAGCCTTCATCTTGATACTCCATGGAGTCCTCGGCATCACACGGAGACTCCATCTTAACAGGCTTGACATTGCGAGTCTTTCCCCGATTCTTACCAAGCATTGCGTGCTTCCTTATGAGCTTGCGCTTCTCGGGCCCGGCTTTGCCATTCTCATCGGTAACCACGAACAGCATCTCTCCTATTCGTGGTGCGTCAGATTCATGTGGCCCTGGTATCCAGGCCCGTCGTTGACGGCCGAAGACTTACTAGGTTTCTCAGGACCAGGCATATTCAGACCCAGGATGCTAGAAGGTACGCTTGTGCACAGTAGCTTCCGTGGATGGTAGATCAGGTTGGTGGATTGAACGATGAGGAGTTTGGATCAATTCGTAATTGCGGCATCCGTGTACCCAAGGGTGCCCAATATCCTTCGCAGTCATTGCTCAATGAGGCTGCACTAGGTCTGTGCAACTCATGCTGGAGGATCAGTGGTAGACAATCGGTGTGCAGGAACGCACCGAGGCCATGCATTTTGCGTGATTTTTGATGTGAAGTCCGTGCCTAATTTCCAAGAGCCTAGCGACTTCTAGGGGCCGATCTCAAAATGACGCTAATGCACGATATTGACTGCCTAATACGGTCTAGCATAGCCTCGCATTCCTAACGATGATTGGTCCGTTATCATCTAGCATACTAGGTTGTTATATACATATATGTCCACTCAATCCTCTCTGGAAGCAATGCCTTCGGTCTCTTGGATCTACATCCAGAGCTCTACTGTGAGGCAGCATCTCTCGCCAAAGTAATACCATGGTGTCCTCCAAAGAACTGCCACCTGACACCACCCCGTTCTTCCCCAATCACTTCATCAAGAACCAGTTCCGTACTAAACATCAATTCCCACCCAAGACCACAAATCTCTCCGGAGAAGTCGCCATTGTGACAGGATCCAATACCGGCCTAGGTCTAGAATGTGCCAACCAACTCCTTGCCTTCAAGCTCTCTCGGCTCATCATGGCCGTCCGATCCACGACAAAGGGTGAAAGTGCAGCAGCCAAGCTGCGACAACAGTATCCCAGTGCCAACATTCTGGTTTGGCATTTGGACATGGCCTCGTACGACTCCATTCGCGCCTTCGTTGCACGTGTTGACAAAGAGCTGTCCCGCCTCGATATTGCCATCTTAAATGCTGGCATGGGCTTTGGCGCCTTCAAAATCGTGCCTTCCACTGGTCACGAGGAGACCATCCAGGTCAATTACCTTTCGACAATGCTCCTAGCCATCCTCCTCCTCCCAGTCTTGAAAAGGAAATCTCCAGCAGGCTCACCTGGACGCTTGACTATAAGTACAGCCATGCTTTCCATCACCGCCAAGTTTGCCAACAAGAACGAAGTCCCGCTTCTGCCCTCGTTCGATGACAAGAAGTACTTCGACCCTATGGACGTCTACTCGACCTCAAAACTGCTTGGCCAGATGTTCGTCTGGAGACTTACTGACGTGGTATCTGCCAACGACGTGGTGGTGAACCTCGTTGAGCCTGGGTTCGTCAAAGGCACGGATCTTCACAGAGACAGATCTGTCGCCGCGAAAGTGTTCATGGGCTTGTTCTCAGCTGCAGCTGCCCGGACTGTCAAAGTTGGCGCCTCGGCCTACCTAGATGCCTCGATAGTGAAGGGCAGGGAGTCACATGGATGTGTGCTAATGAACTGGGAGATCGCACCGTAAGTTTCCTGGTCTTTACTCCCTCGTCTAAATTGTTGCTTACTTATGCAAATTTACAGTTACGCTCCTTTCCAATACACACCTAAGGGAAGGGAAGTCATGGAAAGGCTTTGGCAAGAAACATTGAAGGAATACAGCTTCGTTGATGTCAATGGGATCCTGAAGTCCTTGTAACATCATAGAGCCAAAGGACATTCAACGAGTCAGATTCATTGAAGTCTTGTACCCCTAAGGAGTCTCCGAACCTATTCCACATTTGCTTACATTCCCATCTGATATCGTCCAAATGCCTCAGCCAACTTGTCAAACCCGACCTCCTTCCCGAGCTCGAGTATCGCCAACCCTCTCTTCGTCTCCTGCCCCTCAGCATCGTCCACCACCTTCGTTACAGGCGCACTCTCCCCCTTCGATGGTCCAAACACCTTCGCAGTTTTATGTGCCGCACTATACGCCGGCCACGGCTCTTCTCCGGACACAAACTTCATGAGATCCACCGCGAACCCTTCCGCAGCGGCCCGCTGCTCGGCGGACAGTTTGTCATTGAGGTTCTGGAACAAGAAAACGACGTCAAGAACGTGCGTCGTGCGACCTTGAAACGGGCCCTCCCACGGGTTCGGCTCGTTGAAAAAGAAATTGTAGATCTTTTGTCCTTCGGGCCAGCCTCGTGTAAACGATGTTGTAGCGGCGTAGTACCCAATATCCGTGGCGAATTGCAAGAAGTTGACAAAGGCAGCTTCGTCGTCCTTAGCCGCAGCGGGACCAGAAAAGCCATAGGCGTCAAGCAATTTATCCGCTACCTCAGGTGTTGAAGACAAAGAACTCTTGATTGATGCAGAGAACGTTTGCAGGATGCCGGCCTTCCTGTGGCCTAGCATGAAGCCCATTACGGAGCCCTAGGTATTGAGTCAAAGGGAGGAAAGTCTCAGGCCCAGACATGGACTTACATCAAACTCGCTGTCGCCTATCGCCAGCGCTTCCAACCAGTGTTTACCAGCCATGATCTCATCCTTCGGGTCAGCGATAGCTGCGAATGACGGCCGAACTGGAATAATGTCTCCGTCTACCACAGGTAGAAATGGGATGGTTGGAGGAATCTTGGAGATGATATCCTCCATAGGTATGGAGAGAAGTTTCTGAATGCGGTCTTCAGGACTCAAGGTTTCAAGCCCGAACACACCGAGAACCTGCTGATAGACTCCCTCGTAGGCTTCTAGAGGGAAAGGTGGGACGAGCAGTGACGACCCGCCGGTCACAATGGCACGGTTGAACAGCTTCTCCTTCGAGTAAAAATGTTCTGTTAGGGCGACTGGTTCGGGTCGGTTAGATGGGTATCAGGAGGGCAGTTCGGGGAAAATATAGCATACCTGCTCCAGCACTCTCGCCAATAACGGTGATTTTATCGGGATCTCCCCCAAAGCCAGAGATGTACTCCTTGACCCATTTGTATGCGGTCTTCTGGTCACGGAGTTGATTGTTTGTTTTGTAACCCTGTGACCGCAGCTCCTCGGAAGTCAGAAGACCTGAAAGTCCCAGACGATAGCTAGACGTTGTCAGCATTCGAGATGAACCTCCGGCTGGAAGAAAGGACAGCACTTACTTTATTCCAACACCGATCACCGGAACGCCTTTCTCGCTGGCAAGTTTGACAAGCTTAGCGTGATCGTAATGCGGCCAGGAGTTGGCTCCGAGGATAAATCCTCCACCATGCTGCCAGATGAATACGGGCAGTTTTTGTGAGGCCACATCACTGCCGCTCAGCTTCGGAACCGTGACGTTTAGGTTCAGACATTCCAACTCTGAATGCTTCTCAACTGGCTTAGGCAGCGTGTGTTGGATGAAGGAAAACTCATTGTCGAGTGCTGTTGGCGGATAATATGATGATGGCCTAAGCTACGTGAGCCACGGCTCCCCAACGTCAGGGCTCGATTGAACATACCCATGGCTCGTTGCATCGACCGGACTGCTGTAAGATGACTTGACCTTGGATTCTGCGAAGCGATTCTCAATCGTTGCGTACTGAACCCCAAGGAACTGGTGTACGCCATCGCCCACCTTGCCTTTGATCTCACCGATCTCAGGGTGTTTCAGTGTGGTAGTAGACATTTTGGCTTCGACTCAGATATGAAAATACTCCTAAGCTCTCAGAAGTCCGATATTTGACCGCCTTGGAGATCGATGGCAGCTGTGAAAAGTGTGTTTCTCCTTCAGCCTCGTGGTAAAACAGTGAGCTTAGTATTACCCCACCTTGCCCTCATCCGTCACCAGCCCCACGATTCAATCCCACATTTTTACTCTTTTACCCCAAGTACCGAAGTTGTGGTCGAGATGCCGCCGCGGTGCTGGAGACGATATCAAATAAGACGATACGCAAACCGTCTGGTAATGGCTTTCTTCGTAAGCTGATCCGCAGGCTAGACGAGGTAGCGATGATGCCAACGTTGTCAAGAGTTTTCTGCTGAGGCGAGTGTCCGGACTTCGGATGAGAGCTATTTGCTAGCCCTGTCCTGACGGTTTTGAGAGCTTCTTATGAAGCCAGAAAGCATCCGGCGTCGTAGGCTATATAGACTGCGTCGCCTTATTGCTTGAAGACCTTCTATCGTGGAGGATCACGGATATTACCGTCGAGCTCGTTCGATGGAAGGTATGCCGACGGGTAAAGTCGTGCTTCTGCGATACTCGGGCCCACGAGTTAAGTTCAATGCCATTGTTGTGATATGAACGTTTCAGTGTTGATATCGTTTCTTTGACCGGCCTCTTGAGTAAGTCGGATTTGCAAAGCGCCATGTCGAGACTCAAGAACATCGTCTCCATCATCCTTCCCCTGGTTCCATTGCTGCTGTACAGTCAATCCGAATACCTTTTGAGGTTGGCAGGTCGTGTGCACATCGACAAGGCTCGACTTGTTCGCTGGGAGGATAGCACCGCCCTAAACTCCGGCGATTGTCAAGTGATACATGATGCGAATGCCTGCGAAGATGTCAAAATTCACTACGCATCTTCAACAGCATTCCTAGCGTGCGGGGATCCCTTTGAGCGAACACATTGGTATCCTTGTGCTGGCGTTCGTATACCGTCTCTTCGAGCGGAGTCGTCGTTTCGGGAGCAGCTGTTCAAGCACGATATAAAGACAGGCAAGACCACGGAGCTAGAGCTACGAGGTTTTGAAGGAGATTTTATCACCCATGGTATCGACATCTTCCCAATTGATGAAGGCTTTTCGAAGGTGTGCGATGCAATAACAAATTCGGTTCCATGCTAATGTCAAGCTAGATTCGCATCTTTGCTGTCAATCATGCTCGGGATGGAGACTCTATCGCGATATTTGATCATGAGTTAGGGTCTGATGCTGTTGATCTGGTGAAAAACGTCAAACATCCCAACATCAAGACAGCAAATGGGGTGGCCGCCGTCGGACCAATGTGAGATTGGGTCAAAGCAAACTTCGTGCAGTTGACTCACATTGTACAGGGAGTTTTACCTTACCAATGACCATTACTTCGCTGGCGGGCCTGGTCGTACGTTCGAGGAAACTTTCGGACCCTGGAGCTGGGCCACACACATCCAGTACTGCGAGGCCGCTTCCGAGGTAAGCGTCTTATCAGGTAGAGGCTTGATCGGTGTCCCTAACACATTAAACAGGACGTGTCTTGCAGACAAGTCACAGGGACCTTCCCAGGTGCCAATGGTATCAACGTATGGAAAGATCGACTATTCATCGGAGATTCGCAAAACGGAACCTTGAGGATATTCGACATTCACGATGACAAGAATGTTACCCAGCTTCAAATGATCGTAGGCGTTCATCCAATCGTGTCAAAGGACTTGACTTGCTCACATAGTGATGGTAGGACCTTGGTGCTGCGGCAGACAACATCAACATACTGCCGACGACAGGAGATCCAATCGTTGCAGGTAAGCTAGTGACTGTGATAACGCAGGCCGGATATTGATTGGACGTAGTGTTTCCAACTCTCGAGGATCTGCCGAAATACCTGAGAAATGTGAAGTCTTTGGGAAAGGAACTGCTGGTGCCTGCTGCAGCGCTTCGGTTGGACTCTGCAAATGATTATGCTCCTTCTCTGGCCTATTTCAACGATGGTTCTGCCATCAGTTTCATGACAGCTGCGGCAGCAGATCCATACAACGACGTCTTTATTGGTGCGGGCGTGCTTCAGTATGGAGGCTTTGCCGTCTGCCAGGTGCCTCCTGGCACTTTCGCTTAAGAGCTAATCCTTATGCAACCATTGATCAAGAAGATTCTCAAAGGGGAAGTCGAGTCAGCCCCGGCAACGTTTCGACTAGGTACAATGGAAAGACATGATGTAGGAAGGTCACTGCGACCTGTTGGGAAGATAAGTCGTAGGAAGCACTCCTGCGTTGACACGACTTGTTGTTCCTCCTCGCGTCGTCCAGAGTACGTCATATCGCAAATGATAAGATAAGATCATGACTTCCGGATTTAATATGTCCGCCCCTTCATTCTAACTCTCCTACTTTCAACATCACGATCCATCGCTAGCCGTGCGAACCGCTGAACTATCGCATCAGATCACAGTTCGCTATGTGAGTCATTGAAACTTTGAGACCCTGACGGAGATATCAAAATCCGGCAAAGGCAGCAATGGTGATATAAAGCGCTGGTCGAAGAGACCTTTGCTTGACGTTCCAGATCAGTAGGTTCATCTACTGTTCATCTAACCATGCTCACAATCCATCACCTTCAGCGCGGTCAAAGTGAACGGATCGTATGGCTGTGCGAAGAACTATCCATTCCCTATGACTTGAAGCTCTATCAGCGCAGTCCATTCCTCTCCCCGCCAGAGCTCATCGCGTTGTCACCCCTCGGAGCGGCACCCGTCATTGAAGATCCTATTTATGATACAGCCAAACCGCTCAAGCTGGCGGAGAGCGCCGCAATTGTCGAATACATCATCCACAAACAAGGCAATGGCCGACTAGCGCTGGCCCCTACTCACAATGATTACGCCGATTATCTGTACTGGTTCCACCTGTCCAATGGCAACTTACAGCCTTGCATACAGAGAAGTATGCACTTTCGAATGCTCAAACTTGGACCAGACAACCCCCAGCAAAAGAACGTCGATGCACGGCTGAAGAAGGTCCTCGACCTGTACAATGAGCGCCTGACCGAGGTACCGTGGCTGGCGGGAGAAGAATTCACCGCGGCGGACATCATGAGCGTCTTCTCCCTCACCACAATGAGACTTTTCTACCCTATCGACTTGACACCGTACGACGGTATTGTCTCATGGCTACAACGAGTTGGACAGCGACCCGCGTATCGTGCCGCAATGGAAAAGAGCGATCCTGGATTCACTCCATTATTGGCAGCTGAAGAGCCAGAGCCGTTCCCGGGACTCTACAGATAATCGTCGGAATTGTCAGGCAGCTGATCTACCCGCAACGGTCACCACGAAGACCACGCGCTGTAATAGGCGAGGAAGGCTTATATGAACCAGGCACACAACTCAATCATACACTATATTTACAACCCCAAATCCAAGACCTCCCTTGTCAAAACCTCCCATGCAGACAAACCACCTCGCCTATCCCAGAAAGCCCCTATATACTATGAAAAAGCCTGCGCAGCCGCTTTCCTCAACTCCGCACCCTTCCCTTCCAATATACAACCCAAAGCCCGTTCCAACGCAACCACAAACTCAGCCTGCACCTGCATCTCCATCTCCTCACCCACCAGCTCCCCTTTACTCACATCCCGTTCCTGCAACCCCATATCCCCAACCAAACTCCAGTCAATCAACCCCTCAATCGCACCCTGGAAGTCCTCCGCATCTCTAACATCGATCCCAATCTCCCTCACCGCATCCAGCGCCTTACCATCAGCATAAGGCCACAGCGCATCCCCCCAACCATCCACACACTGTACCCTGCGAGCGAAGATCTCGCCACCCACAACCCCTAGCCCGGGCACAGTGTTCTTGACGTGCGCTACAACACCCTTTGGACCGTCATCGTTCGCTTCCTCGGCCAAACCAAACATCGTCTCATCGTCCGCATAATTCTGCGCCATGCCGAAGATATAAGTCGCTGTTTTCTGGCGGTGTTGCGTGCGCGCAGCCTCCAGCGCTTCCCACACGCGCTTCTCCCCGGCCTGGACTATATCCTCGGGCGTCGAAAAGTTGAATGGCTCATTGAGCAGGGTGCGGATACTCCGCATGCCGAGCGCGTGACTGAGCGGTTTGGCCAGCAAGTGCGCGCAGATGAGGTGCTCGAATGGTGTGAATGACGATGGCGATGTCAGGGAGTAGCATTTGAATTTTCCCTTCCCTGAGGACGCGTCCTTGGCTGCTTCAAGTTCCTCGGCTGGGAAGCAGTATGGCAGAGACTTGGATGATAGCAGGAAATTCAGTAGTTGTTTCGGTGTCGCTGGGTTGCCTGCTGTTCGTGATGATGTTCGTGAGCCCTGTCGAGGAGCTTTATTTGACTTCGCTTTCGTTCCAGCAGTTGGCGGGCCTTTGCGCTTCTGCCCGGCATGTGCATCTACATCTGCACCTGCTTCTTCTTTTTTCGCTTCAGGCTCGGGTTCTGGCTCTGGCTCTGGCTCTTCAGCAGCATTGTTATTCTCGACTTCGCCCTCCTGCTCAGCCTCTTTGGCTCCTTCGTTCTCCTGCTTGGAGCGAGAAGCCAGTTCCTTAGCGTTGATCTCAGGTTTAGTGGCTTGACTCTTCTTGCGCGCCATCTTGACGTCTTTGAGGCAACGTATGTACAAAGAGTCCAAGGCGGCAACAGTAAAAATGTAAGTCAAAAGCTTGAAGGGAAATGGAAGTTACATCATCCTAGGAAACCAAGCTCCAAGAACCCAGTGGTACCTGGTACCTGGTTAGCAGATCCGGGCCCGCGAAGATCGATCTCAGCCTTGATCTCCGAATGTTCCTGGGAAAAGTCATGACGTAAACGTGCAAGTCAACCACCTCAGGTCATTACTTAGTAACTCGCATAGACATTGAGACAAAGTAGCCTCAACTAGACTAAGCAGCCGATAATGAAGTGACTTCACAGATACTCATTCGTCGATTGGGTTTGTGTTGCCGTTGCTCAAGACGACTTGATTATAATGAGCCAAGGCTCGACGAGGCTGAGGTTCCTACAGCATGAACAATTACAACCGGGTTAATCAAAGACTAGCAGACTACGAAGACATCACGCATAAACAGTGAGAAGGAAGGATATTTGAAGATAGGATTCATTGTTCTGCGACGAGTTGCATTTAACTGGAACATTTCTTGATCCAATGCTTGAGAGGTAATCGACCTCATGTAATCTGCAGGAGTCCATGCTCGACAGACATCAAGACCTCAGCTATGCTCGAACCCTCAGCAGAAACCATCTGCCATATGATCCGAGCCATGAGCCCTATGAGCACGAAACTGCTTCATTTGCACACCAACGCCGTGATATGCCTTACTTCATTTGAAGCCATCGTAATAATACCGTGGTTGCGTCTCTCCGTTATTCATGCCAATGAACGATAGGATCCAACCTCATGCAAATATGCAACTCCTTGATAAACTCCTCGTCCCTTCTACAGCTCTCGGTAATCAGGCTGTCTCGCCTTCTTGTTCCTATTGATATGTCGATGCGGATTCACCGGCTGTCGCATGTACGCGTTGTCTTCCTCATTCCCAACATGTCGCTGCTGATTCGAAAACTTATTACCCGCTGGACCACTTGGTGGATAGAAGTTTTGCTGCTGCTGTGTCAAGGCCTTCGGACCTGTTGGTACACCACTGAGGCCTGCTGGCTGTTTTGGTGCTTGCTGTGGTTGGAAATTGCGTTGTCGGTTGAAATTGTTACTTTTGTTGTAGCCATTGCCTCCGTTATTGTTCCAATTCTGATTTTGATGCTGGTTCTGGTTCTGGTTCATATTCCAATTCGGCGTTTGGTTGCCAAAGCCCATGTTGCCATTCCCTTGTGGAAACATGTTCATCCCATTCATGCCGCCCATGCCATTCATCATGTTGAAGCCTGGGTTCATGAAATTCATGCCGTTCATACCGGCCATACCATTCATGCCATTCATTCCCATTCCCATGGCCATGGGATTCATCATAAATGGATTGAAACCTGGCATCATAGGCATGTTCATACCATTGCCTTGCTGCATTTGAGAGAAATCAGGTGGCATCATGTTCGCAGGGAATTCAATCTTCTCTTCAGAGGCATTAGTTTGTTGTTCGCTATCGCCTTGGCCATCAGCTTCCGGCTTAGGCGATACTGCATCTCCAGATTTTTGACGTTTCATGGCTGGTGCGGCGAGACTATCCATCGTATCTGAACCTTCAACATCACTGGCACTTCTTTTCTTAGACTGTCCGTTGGTCGATGGCGGCGAGCCACTGCCATCACGTGAAGTAGGCCTTGAGCCAGAAGCTGAAGGGTCTGCTTTGGGTGATTCTGCTGCAACAGTAGGACTTCTAGATCGTAGTCTTTCATTTGCTTTTTCTGCTTCATACTCCTTGATCTTGGTTTTAAGATCCTCATCGGGCTGCAGCTGCTCCAGACTGACATTTTCAGTCTCGCAGCCTGGGCAAGTGAGATCATTCTCGAGTAGCGCATTCTCAATACATTCATGACAATATGTCTTCCCACAACAAGGTGTCTTCATTGGGTCTACAAACAAGCGCTTGTCGATCGGGCATAGCAGACCTCGATCTTGCAGCTCTTTGTCACCGACTTGTACTTTTTGTGATGCCGCTTCTGCAGCCTTGACTTGTTCCAGATGCTTTTTCCAGGCCTTTTCGTCTGCTTGAGCAAAGACGTATTCTCCTTCAGCGTTCACCATCAGGTGCTGTCTCTGTGCGTCGTCCAGTTTGTCGACCTCTGACTGATCGATCTTCTTCAACATCGAGCGAGGGATACCAGTCGTCCGCTTGATGCGGTTCTTGTTGTCATAGTTGACATCATCATTGGTAGGACATGCTTGTATCCAGTGACCTAATATGATGTTAGCAGATATTTGTGTGCAGTTCGGCGACAAAATTCACCTTTCTTGCCGCAACGGTAACAGATGTATCCGTGCGGTGGCTCCCCCTCTGGGACGTTCATTTTCTTGTTGAAGGGTTTGGCGCCCTGAAGATGGACTCGAGTCTCGTGTGACATCTCTTCTTGTTTTTGCTGCCATTGAGCACCTGTAAGTTGAAGCATAGCTTTGAGTTTCTCTTCTTCTGTCATTGCATTGTCTATCTTCACTGATGTAACAGGTCTGCTGGATGTGGACGTTGTGGGTTTGGCGCTGACGGGAGGCTTTCCAGAGACATAACGAGCGGCGCGACCTTTGCCAGGGGCAGAGGCAGGCAATCTTCGAGCGAGAACAGTAGAGTCTTTGGGGATGATCTCGGTGTCATCTGTGTATTCTACAAAACATGTCAGTGATGCACGAATGATCTAGGCAATATGTGATCTCACCTTCATTGCTGTTTTCCTTGTAGATTTTGAGATCGAAGTCCGTTCCGTCTCCTAGGCGAGAAATGTTGATGATCTCACGTTTGAGGTTCCAAACATCCGTATGAGGGCCGTCGATGGTTACACGCTGAGGTTCTTTCTGTGACTTGAACTTGAAGTACACATAGGACGCCATGGCGACAAGGCCAGACGGTGAGCGCGAAATGAAGTCGAGACCAGCCGCAGGTATTAGGTTAAGCTGACAACAAGCGCAGTGGCGTCAAGTGCGACTGATCCTTCCAGGGGCAAGAAGTCAAGATATGACTGAGGGAGAAGGGAGATGTTATTGAAAAGATAAAACAAGTAATAGATCAAGTCTTTTGAGCGCTGCACCACGCGCAGGCGATCCTGTACAAATCACACCGTGTTTGCAGTGACAATGAGTGAACCAGCCGCCCAAAGATGTCGAGCCTGCCACTTTTTCAATCTCTTCAATTTCACCAATCCTTTCCCTGACGTTAACCGAGCGATGCAGACACACACTATGGGTCACTGGAAGAGTTGAGAGCACTAGACTCAGCAAGATACTCGTGATAGCTGAAAGCGCTGTTTGCGGAGTGTCGGGTGAAGTGAGACAAAAGTAGGCCGACACAAAGAAGCCACCGAACAAATCAAGCCTTTGGTCGAGATTACAAGAATAATGAGACGAAGTATCGACGATAGAATTGGTGGAAAGCAAGGCGAAGATGAGATGATGAGAAGTTGAAGTGATGGAAAGAGGAAGAAAACGAGAGAGGGGAAGAAGAGCGCAGACAGGCAGCGTTTCATCGGATGAAAAGAGAAGATGATCACGTGGGTGGTCCAGGCTTTGCACGTGACTCATTATCTAGCATTGAAGGCTTACGTAAACTGTGGTCCTTTGCTATCCGTACGCCCAACAAGCGACGAGTGCAGGCATTTCTTCTGGAAGGACAATATATTCCAAGTCTCATGTGTTCGAGCCGCATGCTCCTGTGTTGGCGCGGGCTGCCGGACCAGCATAATTCCACTGTTCCCTCATCAAGTAAACGTCTCCAGCTGCTTCATTACTTGAATCAAAACCTCCTTGGTACTTAGATACGCATTCTTCGGATCCTTCCTAACCCTCTGCCACACCTCACCGTGCTTGGGCTCATTGGAAACGCACTTCGCAATCACATCTTCTCGTTTTTCTTCAGTGCCGTGCTGCGTGAGAAATTTCAGGTACCACGCCCAAGCGTCTCCGAGATCGGTGTCAAGTACGAGGGCTTTCTCAAACCAGCTCATGGCCTTGTCTAACTTTCGTTCGGCCCAGAATATTCGTGCCACCGTCACGAATAATACGGGGTCATTGTCAACAGCTTTAATGGCTTCCAAACTCAAGGGTTTGCGCTGTGTTCGTGGTTGGAGACGCCAGATATTTTCAGACCATAGCAATCCAGACTTGGGACACTCCTGCAACGCTTTCGACATCAGGATCCTCGCTTGCTGCACATTGGGCGGTTTTGCTTGCAGCTCGACCCGGACACTTTCCACCCACAAAGCCGCGGTTTTCGGATTCTGTAACCGGCCTCTATCAAGGACAGATCTTGCTTTGATGATAATCCCTGCCTTTTCTTCGAGTCTCGCAGCGAGAAGCCACAAAGGCACCGACTTTGGACACGCCCGGGTGCCTTGAGAATATGCTTCTCGAGCTTGTGGCACCATGCCTTTGTCTTCGTAAATCTGACCTTTTAGCATCCACAATTTGGGGGACCTAGGGAATCGTGTTTCTTTCTTCTCGATCACCGTGGAGGTAAGACCCTGAAGGACCAAGTCCAAAGCGACATCGATATTGCCCCATTGTCGCTCATAAGAAGCACTCTTATACCAGACACGCTCCGTGGGGGCTTGCTGTCGCGCCGTAGCAAGCAGTTCTCTGGCTTGGTCGACCTGTTTAGCATCTGCCTCTAGCTGGACGGCTGCCAGCCAAATCTTCTCGCTATTTGGGTTCTGGTTGAATGCCCTACCAAGCACGCGACGTGCGTCATCGACTTCGCCAGAGTCCCACTTCTCGCGAGCGAGCTGTAGCCATAATACTTCGGAATCGGGACAAGCTTCGACTGCTTTCTCCAATACCTGCCAGCGTGCTTCCTTGGTGCCATGGTGTCTTTCAAGATCGGCAGCCTCCAGCCAGAGTGATTTGCTGGTCGGGAAAATACGCAATGCATAGGCATAGATGGCTCTTGCGGTTTCATATCGTCCTCGTCCGATGCTGGTCTTTGCGTCGTCTTTGAAGATGTCCTTCCGATCATCGTCCTCGTCCAGACCATATCCGAGCGTTTCCCGAATAATGGCGCCGCACGTTAAGATGGCACCCTCTTCCTCACACTTCTCTGCTTCGGCAATCCATTCTTCACGCTTGAGCATGGCGCCTTCTTTCACGAGTGCTTTGACTGCGCGGTTCATGATGTTAACCTTGTTAGCATTGCCAATCTGTTCTTGCAGTCTTGCAGCGGCGATCCAGATCTCATGGCTCGTAGGCACGGCTTTTCTCGCTTTGTTGAGGACAGCCTGAGCATTTTCGGGGCTTTCCAGCCGAGCCAATGCAAGCCACAACTCAACAGAGAGTGGAATATTTTCAGTAGCCTTTGCGAGCAACAGCTTCGCATTTTCAACGTCTTCTTCCAAATTGACAGCTTCTTTCCAAATAGCCACGGACTGTGGTATATGGTCTATAGCCTTCCGTAATACTCGTTTCTTGGCCTGAGGATCTGACTCCAATTTCATGGCCTCGATCCACAGCCTCGTTGAGCGTTCGTTATTCGTGATAGCATTGGCCGCGATGATCTTGGCGTTATAATTGTCATTCAAACGAATGTTCTCCAGCCATGAATCCTCACTTTTCGGACACTGGTCACAGCCTTGTGCGATCATTTTCCGCGCAGAGACTATCTTGCCGGCCAATTCGTCCAATCGCGCGATTGCAATCCAGCCAGGAGCATGTTTCGGGTTGGTCTTGATGACTGACTCCAGCAAGGTTCTTACTCGCTTGACATCGCCAACCGGTATTTCAGCTGCCTGGAATTCACTTGTTTGAAGACTGGTGAGGTATCCTTTCGTATCGATAGAGGTAGCCGTTCCTGTTCCAGCGTCCGCCTGCGCGGCTCGGTCCAGGCGGGCTTTTAGTACTTTGTCTCTCGCAGCACCAATATCCGCAAAGTTTGTCATCGTGCCGTCCTTGTTGTCCGCACTAGCAGCGGTGTCTGCGCCATCTTCTTGAACAGTCGTCTGCAAGTCCGCTGAGTCTCTAGCGCCAGCTAAGACACTATCAGGAACCGCATAGAACCGTTGCCTGAGATTCTGTTTCGCTCTTCGATTCTTCCCCGTCAAGTCACCTGGATCTGGCAGATTGGCCCAATCTTCGTCGGTTAACGTGGCCAGTTTCCTCTTCAGGTCGGTGAACTGCTCCGATATCTTGGGATTGTTTCGGTTGTATTCTTCGAGTTCTTCTCGTTCTCGTTGTTCCCTAGAGGATCGCGAAGATATTACGTCGGCAATCTGTTCATCCACAAGTGGAAAAATAAACCAGAGGTTTCTTTGGTATTGCAGCAGGGAGGTTTGGATAGAGTAAGGACAGAACTGGGAGTATACTAACCTTTGTGCTTTTCGCCGCCTCTCCATCTTTTCCTCCACATCCTGGTATATTCTGTCTGCCTCATCATCGTCTCTATCGTATTGTCCAAAGGCGAATAGTCCGACTTCATTTTCTGGATCTTGAAACCGCTCGTCATCCTGTTCTTCTTGTTCTTCTGGTTTCTTGCCTGTGGCACCGTAGGCTGTGGGTGGTGCCGCGCCCAACTGTTGCGCTCTCTTCGCGAGTGCTTCTTGGATCTGTTGCGCACTGGGGCCTTCTCGAGCAGGACCTAAATCGGATCGAGTAGTGAAGCCTGTCGCACCTCGTCCCAGACCGGCAACATAGTTGTCCGGTGCTTGTTGACTCAGAAAGTCTCGTCGCGACATCCTGACGGGAGTGTGCACCACGGCCGGCGCGGAGCAATTTGGTAGGAATTCGAGTGCGCCTCGCAAGGCTCGTGGGTGTTATGAAGGTCCTTAAGAATTTGGAAATAAATTTAGACCGTGTTCGCAAACAGTTACAGGCTGCACTGCACCACTGCGTTTCCCCACGATTTGTTTTTGAACTCCACCAAAAAGTTTCTACCACCGCCCAAAAAGTTCACGAGACAATCCAATCTTTGTCTCCTTTTGACACCTGCACCAGGCCGTCGCTGTTAAGCCTTCCCCTACATCCATCCGACTTCTTGCCTCTGTCCTCGCGCCCTCCTCCCCAATATGCCCAAAAATCAACAGAAAAGGCGCCCTGGCGGCGCCGGTGCTGGCGCTTCTTCCTTGCCCTACTCCAAACCGTCGTCCAGCGCTGCCACCTCCAACGCAATATTCAAGATGAACACAGATATCGGCCAGCACGTCCTCAAGAACCCAGGTGTCGCTCAAGCCATCGTCGACAAAGCCGACCTGAAACAGTCTGATATTGTTCTCGAAGTCGGTCCTGGTAGCGGTAATCTCACGGTCAAGATTCTGGAAAAAGCCAAAAAGTGCATTGCCGTGGAACTCGACCCGCGCATGGCCGCCGAAGTCACGAAACGAGTGCAAGGCACTGCCCAAGGCAGACGGCTCGACGTAGTGCTTGGGGACGTGATCAAGACCGAGCTCCCCTACTTCGACGTCTGCATCAGCAACACTCCCTACCAGATTTCCAGTCCTCTAGTCTTCAAGTTACTAGCCACGAGTCCAGCGCCTCGCGTATGCATTCTCATGTTTCAGCGCGAATTCGCCATGCGTCTTTTTGCAAAGCCCGGTGACAAACTCTACAGTCGTCTCAGTGTCAATGCCCAGATGTGGGCCAAAATCGACCATATCATGAAAGTCGGCAAGAACAATTTCAAGCCTCCCCCAGCCGTGGAGAGTAGTGTGGTTCGTCTTGTGCCCAAGAATCCTCGACCAAATATTTCATATGAAGAATGGGACGGTCTGCTACGAATATGCTTTGTCCGAAAGAACAAAACTATGCGGGCAAATTTCATTGGCACCACCAGTATCATGAATGCCCTTGAAGCAAATTACCGCACATGGTGTGCGCAGAATGATGTCCCTGTCGACGACGGGCCCGCCGACGAATCGACAACGATGGAGATCGAGAATACAGTGGCCACTGATGATGCCGATGAGGACGAGTGGGATGGCTTCATGGACGTTGATGCTGATGGAGATGAGCTCCCGGCCTTTTTGAAGCAACAGCAACAACAGTCAGCGAAAGCCACTAAAGGCTCCGGTCGCAAAAGGAAGGGCAAAGTCGCCGAGCTGGTGCGTGAGAAAGTCCGCTCCGTGCTTGAAGACAAGACACAGCTGGCCGACAAACGAGCCCGGATGTGCGACGAAGGAGATTTTCTGAAACTGCTCTACAACTTCAACCTGGAGGGCATTCATTTTCGGTGATAGCTCATGGTATGGAAGGCCGACAGTGCCAGAGATTTGCCTATACTGCTTTCCAAACCAGTGAAAGGTCCTCCACAGTGGTGCTCCACCGGGATGATTGAGGTCAACCGTGGCAGCTGGGATCAGTTGATTACAGCAGGTACCTCCTTTTCCCTAAGACCACCGCAGTGCAGTGCTATATGGGACGACGGCTTCGACAAAGGAAGCTCCTTGCCATCCCGCCATGGCCAGAGGATATAATGACCTGTATGACACATTGCACGATTGCATGAGATACCCCAGATAGACAAAATTCTGCAAAGATATCAACACATATCCATGGACGACAACCAGATACCGATCTGTACTCAAACAATCCTTGACTCCAGATTTTGTTTTGTCATTCACAGATGTCTCCTCATTTTTGTTTCCATCTTCATTTTCACCTGTTCTTGACGTTGTCATAACTTCTAGAAGGGCTGTTATCATATCCACCCTCAACATCCCTTTCATGCTGATTTTCACGTTGACTGTCCTGTCCGCCTTGGTCCTCACGTTAGCGCCGTTCATGTCACCCTATCCCTGATGTGGCCTGGGATTGGCCTCTATGTGTAGGTCTTTGTTGCCGGCCACCTCCGCGCTCACAACGTTCAGTGAACCGGCAAGGTCATGGCTTTGACGTACTCCATCTTGGTCGTCTCGTTGGATTTGTTGATTTCCACCGCTAGATCGCTGTCACTAATTTTTATTCTTCTCCAATGCATTGCTTGACCATGATCTTTTTGTTGTTTCCACGTCGGTAGTCCTCCGTGTTCTTTCACCTTCCGTGTAGACCTGCCGTCTCGTCTAATCGACCTTCCATTTGGAAGGTCTTGTTTGAAGAGTGTTGGGGCTTGTCGAAGATCTTGTCCAGCTTGTCCTTCCAATGCGGCGTAGAGGACCCGGACGACGATGAAGACAACGATGAAGCCTGTGGCGAGGACGGTGAGCAGGAATCGCTGCTCCATGGTCCGACAGGTTCGGAAGCTCGCCGTCTCCGTGAGTTCCATCGTGTAAAGGGCTCCTTGCACACAAGGCGTAGACAACATGCGTCTCTGTCGCCGCGACGATATCTGAGTTGTGTTCTCTGTTCAACCTCCTCCGCTTAGTCGCCAGTGAATGCAAGCATGGCAGCCAAGCTGATGCCATTGTTTGCGATGATGTCGTCGTGCGCGATGAGGTACAATCACCTACGCAGCTGGGTTCTGCGTCTCAAAGATTGCTCGTCACCAACACAAACCCTCATCAGTCAAACATCTCAGAAACAACCTTCCTTCTCTTTCGTCTCTCATCGTGCCTTCTTCAGTAAGAGACACTGAGCGAAGGGCTTTTACCTAAAGACTGCTCCTACCCTTCCTACTCCAGTCGTACCTACCTCAGGTCGCCTTCCGCTCAAATCGACTTACCTCAAATTCGGAGCACAGATCTCCTGACATGGCCTCTCTCGAAACACCCACCCCTGAGACGATACCGTACAACATGTTGGTGCCCATAAGATACCGTGCTCAATGGGATCGGATCAACGACGCAATAGGAGTTGGCCTCATCGCCCCAAAAGACATCAAGGCCGGCGAGCTGATCTTTGTCGAAAATGGAGCGGTATTCCTGCAAAATCCAGAAGAAAAAGAGGTTCGACCATGGCATGGCCTTGCCCAGCTAGATGAGGAACACTTCGACAATTATATCCTTCGACTCATCGTGCAGGCGGACAAGAGGGCCCAGTTGATTCATGAATTCATAGGCGACGGAACCGTTAAAGGACTCGACTACCCTCAAGACGCTGAAGACTGTCTGTTTCGCCCAGCGTACCCAGAAGCCATCATCAATCGGAAGAGATTCGACGCAATCTGGCAAGAGAGTGAGGTGTCGGAGAACGTGTTGTGGGATCAAGAGGCGTCGTGGCGATTGATGGGCCGATTCTTTGGCGACACTGTCTGCGTTCCAGATCATGACGGACAAGTCCAGTATGCCTTGGGACTGCTCACAAGTCTCATGAACCATTCCTGCCTTCCCAATGCCACAATGTTCTTCGATGGGTATAACAAGCCGATCGATGAGGACAATCCCATTATCCAGATCAGAATGCAGGCAGTGAAAGATATCAAAGCGGGCGAGGAGGTTACTCGGTGTTATCGTTCCGGCCCAGACACCTTGCATGAACATCTGGATCTGCTGCGGTTTGATTTTGGGTTCCAGTGTTGTTGCAATGCATGCCTTGACGCTGAGAAGGACCCCCTCATTAACGACCTGAGGCAGACGGTGTACGATCTGAAGATTCCCCTTCAAAATAACTTCGATGAGCTATCGTATGCGCAATTCTATCGATGCGGTGGTCTTTGCCTGGATGCTTGTGCCGCCCTAGGTATGGCTCATGAGACCATCCCAGAAATCTATCGCAAGCTCTATATGCTTGCGTTGAGTCAATCCGACGCGATCCGTGCATACTACTTCATGCACAAAGCTCTTGAATGGTATGGTAAGTACCTACACGGCGGCCAGGCCAAGAAGCTCATGCAAATGATGAGAAAGGTCTTGCTGAATGACACCCACGAGCATGCCGTCGCTATCAACGGATATTCCTATCTTGAAGATTTCGACCGGGAACAACCCGAATTGGAGGAGCTGATGTTCATGATGCGGCATAGATCAGATGACCAGACGTACTATTGTTTGCACATTGTCGATGGCAAAGTCGAAGAGCTATCTGCCCGTATCAACAGCTTGGTTCAGGAAAGAGCGGCGCAGGCATTGTTGCGACTCAACGACATCGAAGCCATGCGGCGCGCGGAAGAGATTGCCCGGGAGGAAGCGAAGAAAAAGAAGGCCGAAGAACTTGCCCGAAAGATGGCGCGGGAGGAAGCACAGAAGAAGAGTGTCGAAGAACTTGCCCGAGAGATTGAGGGCGTCTCCGAAGACACGCCCAGCAAGAAGAAGAAGAAGTCCAAATCCAACAAGAAGAAGACAGCCACATCATTAGAGCAGGGCAGCTCCTCAACGAACCCGACCAACTCGACTGCTGAGCAAGGAATTGAAATGCCCCTGATGGATACCGATGTTGTCGAACATACCCGGAAGAAAGAGGTCGCGGATCTCGATAGTCCAGGTGTCGTCGTCACCGAAAAGGCGGGTATGGCAGAGAAGCCTGAACCCAGATCGCCTAATAGCCGTCAGCAAGGTTTTCAAGTTGTCAACACAGTCATAGCCGACTCCCCTACCAACACTGCGATCACAGGCGACAGTGCGAAAACGAAGAGCGACCCCCAGTTCGCTGATGATAAGGCCGCCTCGGAGAAGCAAGTTCTTCGCGATGCCCACTCACCCAATACCCTGAAGACCGAACAGAAATCTCCTACAACTTGTCCGCGAGACTTTGAAGTTGTCAAGATTCCCAGACACGAAGCTCCTACCAGGACTGTAATCACAAACGGGAGTGCAAGATTGGAAGACGATCGTCAAGTCGTTGGTGACAAGACCGCCCCAAAGCAGCGAAGTCTTCGCGTTTCCAACTCACCTGGTTCTCGACACGATCCAAAACCTACCTTCAAGGTAACGCCAGGCGCCTCTACCACTCTCGACAGTCCAGCTGAAGCTGCAAGGTCCACCGGAAGCAAACACAGCAATAGTGTGGTCGCTCCAGGCACAAGCTCGCGTCCTGCCTCCACTCGAGCTCCCAAAAAGACTCTGCCAATTCCACAGCCCCTTGTCGAGCCAGCCTTGCCCCAGTCTCTCACTGTTTCGTCCACCACGACCATCGAGCCAACCGCTGAGCCGCCGATGATGCCAAATCCCCTCTACGACCAAGAAGGAGAGGGCTGGGACATTGTTGGTTCTCACAGAACGCAGAAACAACAAGCCAAGCTCAGTCGCCCTGCCCCTGCTCCTGTGCGGCGTGAGGTCTCAACACCCCACTTTACCCGCCCAGCAGAGGCTTCTCAAAACCGCAGCACGCCGACCATGCGGGTCCGAGGTAAAAATCGGGGACAGGGTCTGCGACTTAAGTTCTGGAGGGAGAGGGCTAAAGAACTCGAATCCAGGAACGCTTTTCTCGAGGCCGTCGCCGGAATTGTGGCCGAGGAGGACGCCTTGGCTGAGCCCTGGGTGTGCCCGTTTGGCGCGAAGGACGGCGTCAGCAAACAAGCCTGGCTTGCCTCCGATGGCAGCAAGGAGGCCCTGCGTCTCAACCCACGAGACGTGGGTCACCTCCTTGCGGCCAAGGATGGCATCGGTGCGCGTCTGGAAGGGTTTATGCTTCGGGCACGTCGGGACTCTGCTTGTGGTCGTCTTCAAGGCGACAAGGCGTTTGTGGACCGTGGTCGCCTTCGGGCACATTCCTTCGGGAATGACGCCTCGAAAGAGGACGTTTTGAAGCTGGCGGAGGTCAGAGAGAGCAAGGAGTTTTGAACTCTGTTGTTGGGGCGGTGTCTTGGTTTGTGTTGGTTGTCTGGTTGCTTGGTGCGGTGGTGGTGCGCGCTGCCCTCAATGGGCGTATGTTTAGAGCGTTTTTGTTTGTTTGTCTACAAAAGAGAATTGATACCCATTGAAAATGACATGAAGTTGCATTTAGCTTGGCGCGGATAAATCTCGGGAAAGGCTCAAAATTTCCCGACGATTGAACTGACGACATATCAAGTCAGGTTGAAGGTTACAACCACAAGAGTTCGAAGACGAGTTCGGCGACGGGAAGGGCATCAGGCCTAACGAAAGAAGAGCAAAGTGAGAGCACCGTGGTCCGATAGCAATAACCTCTCAGCCCAAGCAAGAGTAAACCACAGTTACAATGTCTCACTCCAAACGCAACACCTCATTGGCATTCTTCACAGCGCATGAACGATCACTGCTGCGATCAAGCTGGGGCACACAATCGACCCGCCTCTCACGCGACTCTTTCATCCCATTTGGGTATTGTCGGTTGTGCTTATCTCCAGCGAAGGATCCAGTTGCCTGTGGTGGCGGTGGTAGTGGCACGAAAAGCGACAGTGTAAAAGTCCACCTCTTCTGCCGCGAGTGCGCACTAAATGACCTCATGGCTCAACGGAAAGAGATCAAGCGTCTTGAGCGGGAAGCTGAGATGCGTGAGCGCGACATGGAGGATGAGAAACGTCGTGCTGACGAGGAGAATCGACGACAGGATTTGGAGCGCTTTGAACGAGCGGAAATGGGCTTCGAGGATGAACCGCGTGGAGCAGCTACGAAACAAAAACGCCGGGCGGAAGAGATGCATGCTTCAAATGCACGCTCCGATGCTCCGCCACAGAAGAGAGTCAAGGCAGACAAGGAATCGGAGGCGAGTTTTTGGATTCCCGGGACCGATACAAGTTCGGTGACGAAGACGGCTACAGCGACGAAACTACATGCGCTATGTCCTGCATCTACACCGGAGAGTAAACACGAGTATTCGCTCAAGGGCTTGGTTCGGATCAAGTTCTCAGAGGCCGAAGGGAGCAATGTCTGTCCTAGTTGTCAGAAGGTGCTGAGCAATACGTCGAGACCTATGCTGGGAACGGCAGAGGGGTGCGGGCATGTTATATGTGGTGGGTGTGCGGATCTGTTTTCATCGAGTTCGGAAAGGGTGGCTTGTTATGTGTGTGAGGCGGATCTTAGCGGGACCTCGACCAAGGATCGCGCTGAGAATGATGGGCCGGAAGAGAAAGAGTCGAAGAAGAGCAAGAAGGATAAGAAAAATAAAAGAGATGGAAGTAAAGGACGACTTGTTGAAATCAGTTGTGAAGGGACTGGGTTTGCGGGTGGTGGTGCGAATATGGCGAAGCGGGATGGTGTTGCGTTTCAATGTTAAGCTGAGGAAGGGGAGGTTCTAGGCGGTCTTAGCTGAAGTTCCGCCTAGAGCGTGACTGGCTTAGGGACTATGAATAATGAATGGGTATCTCAGGCGCCGAAATAAACTATCTCCGGGAATCTCCGGGTACTGTGGTCCGATAACAAGTCGTTTTTGGCCAACTTCATTCCTACACTTGCCTCATCTCCTTATCTGTACAGTAATCGGGAAGTCACCATCCGTACTTCAGTGCTCGTTCGCAGAAGTTGCACGTCTCGTTGTGACCTTGCAATGACTGCCCGCATTCGACAGACAGACAGCGGCGTTGGATATTGTCGCAATGTGGCAATCAACGTCCTTACCAGTTCAGTACCAGCCAGCAGCCGTTGAGGTAGTTCAGAGACAACAAGCACGAGAGCCGATCTACACACCACGAAGAAAGCAGGCATGCTCTCGGTGTCATACGAAGAGAATCAAATGCCTAGGCGGTAGGCAGGCACAATTTACGCAGCTATCATCCCAAGCTGACCGGATTCCCAGGTGTACCATGTCGTAACTGTACACTCTCGAATTCATCTTGCACATTTCCACCACCCCGACCATCGAGAAATTCGGTTAGCCAGCAAGCTCCTGTATCACCTACACACGCTCCCAAGGAGGACCAGTCCATATCCAGTGCCACTGACCAGACGATAACACTCCCATCGTCAAGGTCCTGGAACTACCGACGGTCGGAAAAGGACTTTAACTCAAGCCGGTCCAGTCACAGCAACCAAGCTTTGAGACAAACCTACCGTGGCAGTCCTTCGTGCCGAACGTTCACGGAGCAATTTGTGGCCTGGGCCGCGGTGCAACGGCTCCAGCTCAATCCGTTCAATGATACATCTTTCGATCCAGCGTGGGCGGCCTTGGCCCAGTCCGACTATGGGTCGATGAACACCGGCTTGGAAATCTCGATCGACACTACAGTGTCTCATTCTTCAGCGAGACCCGAGGCCACAAAGCCGGTAAAGATACGCCTTCCGCCGTACAACTACAGCATGCATCTCATACAATGCGTTGAGTCAGCAATTGGCCACGAACAGCATTATTTCCGCCGACAACAACTGCGCACTAAGCTGTCGCAGATGTACCAGAATCCCGAGGCAACCCAGAGCAAAGATCAGGGTTGGCTATGCCATTGGCTTGCTATCCTTGCCCTTGGCGAGCTGTACGGCACCAATCGGCAAGTCGGCCCGGCTGATGGACAAGAGACTGACAGGCCACCGTCACATATCGACGACGAACCGCCGGGAGCACAATACTACCATCAATCCATGGCATTTCTTCAACAGGTGGCAGAAAATCCTAACGTGCAATATATTGAAACACTGTCCTTGCTGGCGATATACGCCTTTTCCTTGGACAAGATCAATACAGCCTTCATGTACAGTGGTCTCAGCATGCGGGCAGCTCTCTCTCTAGGTCTACACCGAAGTCCCCAGGATTTTCCTTCAGAGCGATCCAACCTTCCAGAAGCTGAACTTGAGCATCAAAAGCGAGTGTTCTGGACAGTTTACTACCAGGACCTGTAAGTTCTCCAATATTTGTGACCCAAGCAACTATCTTATCTGCATAGACTTACCACAACCACGACTGGCCGACCCTGGGGCATCCTGGACGACGAAATCACAATCGACTACGCGGACTCCAGCCGTCTTGGGAGTGAATCGCTGATGGAGTTCTTCGATCCTGAGGAGTCCAATGCTCACCTAGAAATTATGCGCTTGCGAGGTCAAGCATATTCCTCGTTGTACGGATACGCAGGAACTGCAATAAACCCTTACTCCCATATCTCTTTGTTCGATTTTGATCTGGGGGGTTGTCTATCTCAGCAACATCTAGACAAGATGTTTGAGTTCCATCAGGGCTTACTAACCTGGCACCGGGATCTTCCCGTGCAGTTACAGCTTGCTCGGAGCTGGGACGGATCGCTCTTGAACTTGAATCGAGTGACCGCCAGCTTGCACCTCATCTACCATCAGGTCCGCACCGTGTCTGATTTGTTCTGGAGGTACTTACTGACATATATCTAGACCATACTTGTGCTCCTCAGACCAGCACTGGTCAATGTTCACAATGACTGGTTTGAAGCGCAGACCAAACAACCTGCGACGACAGTCGAAATCTTTCCCACGGGATCGAAATCAATGCTGCAAGCATTTCGCCATACCTCATTGGAATCGGCACGGGAAACAGCGACAATATTACAATGGTTGCAACACCAAGGAGCTTTGGCCATATATTCCTACTTCGATGCTAGCTACGCTTTCACCGCAGCCATCACACTGCACCTAGCGAGACTCACGACCCAGTCCGTGCACACCCACACTGGCCCGTACAACACTGGTCTTACATTCTCAGACGAGGACCAAACGGCACTGAACACCTGCCTGCTGGTTCTTTCCCAGCAGAGGTTGGCAGGCAATGTGCCCGCCAGAGAGTTTGAGAGGCAGCTGCGGGTGCTGGAGAACAATCTTCAAGCACTCCAGGCAGCCTTAACCAACCGTGTGGTTTTGGACGACCTCGTTTTCGATGATTTGGAAGGAACTGACCTTACGACGTTCCCACAAAGTGGAAACGCCAATACTAGTATGCTGGTAGGATCCCACACAAGCTCTTACACCAAAGTTGCTGTGCCCAGCCAATCCTTTTGATGCTACCCAGCAATTCAAGTTGCATACTCAAGAACAACGCTTTTGGGCTCGACAAACACACCTAAGGGCTTGTAGTCGACCTTATATCCGAATGCTTCTGGTCCGCCATATTCCAAGCCTCGCTTCGTGTCTGACCATCGTGGCGAGCAGGTTATACCAAGCACTGTTACCAGCAAGCCGTACCGGAATTCTGGAACTCCGAGAGCACATCCCGATTGTGTGTCAAGTACCGAGATCAGGTCGGGAACCGTTGCGAGGTACTTCTCAGTGCCGTCTTCGGCAATGTGCTTCGCATATATGTTTTCATTCTTGAACGGAATCTTGAGAACACCGCCTTCGGCGACCGCCGGTGCGTCATGTTCCTGCTCTTCTTCATCAGTCTGAGCTTGGGCTATGGTTATCTCGCCATATGAATGTCCTTTGAAGATTCTTCGTTCCACTGCCGTTATCTTTCCACGGAAAAGGACTTTGGCCGTAATTGGGCCGCCGACTTCGTCGATGATTTGTTCCGCAATCGTATGGATGGTGCTTTCCTGCTGGGCTCGAGCCACAGTCCTGCCGATACGCCAGGAGAGTGACAAGGTGTTTATTACTCCATACGATCTCACCCGATCAGTTGTGGTTGGTTTGGCTGCCATTCCGACTCGAGAGCCCATCTCCGAGCAAGAAGCTCGCAAGGCACGATCAACTATCTCATCGTCGGGCGACTTGGTCATGATGATTGTCTTGCCGTCACCAGAGGCAATCGCGCATGGAGTCAGCTGTCCACTCTCATGAACGGCCAACGTTGTTTGCCAGTATGTCGGGTATGCTCGACCCATCCAGTCGGCGTCGATGACGGGTCTATCAAATGCGTGAGAGGAGCCGATAAGAAGTGGCTCGAGCCCGTTGGCTCCTCCGATTTCCAGACCCATGACGGCGTCGAAACTTTTATGGCCCAGATATTCCATAAGATCAGCGACGGCTGTTATGCATTCGGAAGAGTTCAGCCGCTCGATCGACACAGCCGGCGATCCCATCATACCGCCCCCTAGACATTTGTCAGTAATGGTCAATGGAATTGATAAGCCCAGGTACGCACAATATATGAGAGCATCCTGCGACAGCGAGGAGCTATCAATAATTCGGACGATACTTCCAGCTCGGATCTGGTCTCGAAGTTTGAGGAATTCGGCTTTGGGCGAGCCTCCACCAGCACAACCCAGAATATAGCATCCGACACTTAACCATTCAAGATCAGTCTCTGACACGATCCACTCATGGATACCGGTATCAGGATTCTGTTTGACTGTTGGGCGATATGCGTCGAAGTCGAACTTGCTCCTTGTGGGTTCTTCTTTGAAAGTCGCAGAAGGATCCTCCACTGCATCGGAAGCAGCCTCAACAACGATGTCTTCTTCGTCAACGAGCTGCTTGCTCTCAGCAACGTAGTCAATCGACAAATCTCCGACGGCTTTCACGAGCACACGAATCTGTCCAGAGACGTATGGGATTGGAAGAGTGTCCATCTCCACCACAGTCACTGTACTCGGTTCAGCTCCACCTGCCACGGCGCTTGCGACAGCTTGAGTCTTTGCGTCCTCTAGGACCTCCGACAATGCCACATCTGCTATGCTGTAGATGGCGTCCACGGAGCCGCAGACTCTTGATATAGCAGCTCCCACTGCGTTTGCCACATCATGAAATTTAGGCACCACAACTTGAGATACACCTTCGAGCTCGAGGGGGCAAACGACTGACCCTCCACCGACCAGCAGGACCGGCAATGGCGCTGGAGTAAGCTTCAATCGGTCGATAACCCGTTCGAGCATCTTCTTCGTCCTTGCATGGACACGTTGAATAAGTTCAGTAGTGATATCGCCGACCCGTCTTGGGTCCCCAATGTCAAGCCCATTGGCAGCAGCAATATCGGTAGTCGTCAGAACATCACCACCAAAAACTCTGGATTTGTCAGTCAGCTGGTATCCAACCGAGTCTGGCCCTATCGAGACCTCGGCGTCATGTTCACGCACGATCGATCCACCTCCGAGGCCGATCGATTCGAGCTGAGGCATGGGGAAGTTCATTGTCACTCCTGCCACTGTCACATAGGCGGAAGCTGCTCGTGGGAATCCAGATGGCAACAGAACACCACAATCCGTCGTCGTCCCACCAACGTCAATGACGATTGTCGAAGTACGCTCCTCTCCCTGCGAACCTGATTGACCAAGGCCTAGATAGGCAGCACCTCTCATAGAGTTCACGGGACCCGAGGAGAATGTCTTGATAGGTAGTTTGGCAGCGGCGAAGGAGTTGATGACTGTTCCATCGTTCTGGGAGATGAAGAGTGTACAGTCCAGTCCTAATCGTTTCATGGCAGCACGAAAGCCTTGGATTGTGCGTCTTGCGAACTTCATAATGGCTGCATTCAGGATGGAAGCATTCTCTCTTTCCAGAAGGCCGATGTTGGAGATCTCCGAGGAGCAGACAATATCCACGTCCGGTAACCGCCATTGCATTATACTTCGGACCTGGGCTTCTTGGTGAAAGTGCTGATCGATGGGGGAAAAGATGCCTGATATGACCACCGCCTTGATTCCTAGCCTCTCGATGCTTTCGCACTGTTTCAGTACTTGCTCCTCGATGATTGGCGCCTCCTGAGAGCCATCGATATGGAGGCCTCCATCGATATAGCCATGATAGCCATGAAGAAGGCTGGCGAGTACTGGTGGAAAGTCCGAAAATGGAGGGATGTCCTTGGTATAACTCCTTGACAACCGAATGACCGCAACCTTGGAGAGTCGCCGACTATCACGTTCAATCACGGCATTCAAGAAGTGTGTCGTCCCGACGATGAGGCACGAAATCTCCGAAATACGATCTGCGGCCTGCTGTAGCACGTTGCCAACTGCCGCCTCGATTCCATCGCTGACATTCGGGCTTGTGGTCGGCGTCTTGTGGAACGCTATAACTCCACGGGTAGGCTGATGGATTGCATCCAAGTCGAGGAGCACGGCGTCTGTATTGGTGCCTCCGACATCGACACCGATCCTCAAAGTGCGTTTCGCTCGTACCGACCCCATTGCTGGCTGGTTCAGCGCTTCTTACACACAGGTAACTAATTCAAACACCAGACTAGAAGACTGAATGGCAAGGGAGATGACTCTGTCAAAACATCAAGCTTCCAGTCCGGCGGACTTGGTGTATGCTTATGGGACGGTTAATCGACTCTGATATCTGTCCAGTGCAGGAGATAGGCGTGGCAAGCATGAACTGCTTCCGGCTTCTCCACACACAGTATTGTTGAGATCAAAGTCCTTCCACCAAACCAATTACAAACAGATACCTCCCCCGAGTTCCGAAGAACGGCTCTCTTCTTGATCTGCCGGTGTACACAAGGCAAGCTGGTACTGGGATGCGGCCATCTTTCCCCGGCGAAACCTGATTCGCTACGCTTGCCAGCACAGATAGGTCCAAGTCAGACAGATAGGCACGACGCTTTTCTCCGCAACTTTTATTCTCGCCCATTGGTCGACAGTCCGAACAAGATAGGGGACGTCGATCATTTTCGCCGAGTCCTCACTAGCCTGAACAGCAAGGCTGAAGATGCAAGGTTTTGATAGGGACATGCTGGGGAAGCGTGGTCTCGGACCCAATTCCCGGCATCGCCCAGGCCCCCCTCGATACCACATTCATCCCGGCTAATAGCGGAAGCCTTCGCATTGGCAAGTGTTTGCAATAATGCTATCAGGTGTGCGGAATCATGGTCTACGCGTGGCATCCCAGGAGGACAACGAAGACGAGGTACCTATCTCTCAAGATCTCTGGCATTCTTTCCCTATCAACTCCTGCACTGTGTGAAGCTACTCAATGTGGAGGATTTGATCCAGAGCACGAGTATATTTTGCCCAACAGAACCTCGGTGGGTTGCGTTAGCTCTTCTTCTCTACTTCAACCCTGTCCTGCTCAGACTCGCAACTTCGACCTTTGATTCAAGCCCGGCCACCTTCCATTGCCGGTGTCATTCACGATGAAGTTCCCCAAGTTCCAACCACGTCCATTCCACCTCCGACTCCAGGGCGAATCGTCAATCTGGATCAATGATGATATTCGACCACTTCCTCCTACCCGTCGGCTCTGGGATACATGGGCATATCTATCATTCTGGGCCATCAATCAAATCGCACTCAGCAACTGGCAGATCGGTGCGTCTTTGATCGCAGTCGGTCTCTCCGTCTGGCAGACAATGATCGCCGTCATTATTGGAAAACTGATCATAGCTGGGGTCGCTATATGCAACGGAATGGTCGGCGCCACATGGCACATTGGTTTTCCCGTTCTCTCGCGAGGCATCTGGGGTGTATGGGGGTCATACATTATCATTGTGCAGCGAATCGTCCTCAGTCTGACGTGGTTCTGTGTCCAGTCCTGGACCGGCGGCCTCTGCGTGACTGCCGTGCTGAGCTCCATCTTCTCAGGCTTCCAGCACATGCAAAACACGCTGCCTGCGTCTGCAAACACCACGACAAAATCATTCACCGGATGGATCGTGTACAACATCATCACTATTCCAATGCTCTATATCCCCCCGGAGAAGACACGGAAACTCCTCTTTGTCATGAATCTCATCTCGGTGGTAACGCTGATTTCGATGATGATTTATGTTTTGTCGACCGCGAAAGGTGCTGGCCCTTTGCTCTCAGCCCCTGCCACTGCACAGTCCGGCAGCGAGCTGGGCTGGGCCATCGTCCAGGGCATCACGACCGTCATCGGCGGCATTGCTGTCGGCCTCACCAACCAAACCGACTATTCCCGTTTTGCTCGCAGACCGGGCGATCAGATCTTCGGCCAGTGGTTTTCGATCCTGACGCTGGGCACCATCCTACCACTCTTCGGCTGTCTGACGAGTTCGGCGTCGATCCAACTCTACGGGACAGCATACTGGAATCCGCCCGATCTCCTCCTCCGCTGGCTTGACGATGACTATACCGCCAAATCTCGTGCCGCGGCCTTCTTCGCCGGCTGCGGGCTCGTGGTCTGCCAGCTTGCCATCAATACCATCGACAATGCCTTCTCTGCAGGCATGGACTTGGCGGGACTCTTTCCCAAGTACTTCAACATTCGGCGAGGGGCATATCTGGCTCTTGTCCTCTCGATCGCCATGTGTCCATGGGAACTGCTTGCTTCGGCCGGGGTCTTTATCAGTGTCATGGGAGCATGTAAGTAGACACCTAGATGATGTTGTGGGCTATACTAATCCTTGTTGCAGATTCCGTATTTCTTGGCCCCATGTGCGGCATCCAGATTTGCGACTACTTTCTCATTCGTCAACGACGTATGAAACTGTCCGACCTCTACACGCCCTCGCACACAGGCATCTACTACTACTTCCGAGGAGTCAATCCGCGCGCCTTCGTCGCTTGGGTCTGCGGCTGGGCACCACAGTTGCCCGGGTTTATCGCCGACGTCAGTCCCAGTGTGACCGTACCAAAGGCTTGCACGGACATGTTCTACCTTGCCTTCCCATTGGGTCTGGCCATCAGCTTCACGATTTACTATGGGCTCAACAAGGTCTTCCCACCCAAAGGTCTGGGCGAGTACGATGACATCGACTACTTCGGCACCTTCAACAGTGAGGAGGCTGCGAACCTGGGCGTATCGCTGCCTGAAGAGACCATGGGCGAGGACAAGAACCGGGACTTCGACTTCAAGGTCATGGACCAGGAGGTTGCGAAGCAGTAAAGACTAAGAGTAGTGACATATCATGTCAATTGATCATCCGCTCATGCTGTGGGCCCTTGTATACACACAGGCTGCACATCGAATCCAGAGCATGAGTCATGCAACATCAACTCGTCTCATTTTCTCTGTCAAAATATATCGTGATACCTACTCTAGACACTACTGTAGACTCGACAAGGACATACTGGTAAGTGTGCCAACGAACCAAGTGTCCCGACAGAATTCACTCCACGCTGTCGCTAACCCCGCGAACGTGTAATCATCAAGTGTCGTGACATGCAAAAAAGTCTGCCAATGCAGTTGATTACCAAGCACCCGATGCCCGAGTCAACCGAATTCATCCAGACGTTGTCATTCAAATCAAAACGTCTCATTCAAGTCATAACCCTCCTGGACAAGATCCAATTGTCGTGATGACGGTCTGCCCTCCTGGAGATGATTCAACTGCCGTGATGACGGTCTCCCTTCCTGAACATGATTGAATTGCTGTCGTGACGACGGTCTCCCCTCCAGAACATGATTCAATTGCCGTGATGACGGTCTCCCCTCCTGGACATGGTTCAATTGCCGTGATGACGGTCTCCCTTCCTGAACATGATTGAATTGCTGTCGTGACGACGGTCTCCCCTCCAGAACATGATTCAATTGCCGTGATGACGGTCTCCCCTCCTGAACATGGTTCAATTGTCGTGACGACGGTCTCCCTTCCTGAACATGATTCATTGTTCGTGAAGGCGGCCTCATCTCAGCGGTCGAAGGAGGCGCAAACCCCGAACTCTGCCTTCTTCCCGGCCCACCACCAAGCTTTGCTTGCGCACCGCCCAAACTCGTACGTTTCGTCGGACTTGGGATCGCCGTGCCCACATCACTCGTTCGTTTCGAAAACGTCGTCCGTCGAGGTGTTGGTGTCACAGCCGCAGCCGCAGCCGCAGCCGCTGTACCAGGCGTGTCCCACGGATTGATTGCTAATTCATCATCTTCATCCAGTGCCCCATCGTACCCACTGCCGTAACTGCTCAGACTGCTCTTCGGTCTGACCGCGTCTGTCGTTGCGTTTGGCGCGAATTTTGACCCCAGCCCGCCACCCAGAGGTGTGCGGAATCCAGATACGCTTGCGCTCGCGCGACTTCCTGGACGACTGTGTCCTGGCGCGAAAGATGAGCGTCCACTGAGCCCACTCGCTCGAGATGATGGTCTGGGCGGAGGCATTTCGCCTCTCATTGGGGACGGGGGCTGCTGTTGATGTTGATGTTGACTTAGAGATAAGCGGCTCGGTCTTGGTCTGGAGGGAGTGTCTTGTGCTTGTGCCTTCGGATCAGGCAAGGAATCTGACCCGTTGACACTACTGTTTCTCATACCCTTGCGGCTGCGCACTGTGACGGATGAGGGGATGTGGTTGTGATTTCCCAAGGCTGATCCTGACCGTGGGGACACTTTGGGCGGAGTGTTGACTGGAGCTGGGAGTCGCGATCTTGCATTGATTACGCGCTCTTCTAGTTTCTGCATCTTGCCGCGCAAATTCCTAATATGGATGAGAGATGCCGACTGAGGGAGGCCAGCGGTAGTGCGTGGTGGTAAAGGCTTAGACAGACTCTGGCGAATGGAAGACGATGGTCCGGTTCGTGATAGGCCGGGGACTGAGGGGCCGCGTACATGGCCTTTGGGTCGTGTTGTGGAAGCAGTAGTAGCTGGACGTTGCATGGGGCCGCCGTTTGTCATTGACATTCGTGTTTTGGATAGGCCGGGTGTTGTCAAGGGCTTCGATGCAGTTGCGGATCGGATTGAGATGGGTGGTGAGGGAGGTGTTGGTGTGTCGGAAAGTCCAGAAGATGAGGCTGTTTTTGTGGGAGGAGTGTCGAATGTAGGTGAAGAGGCGCTTGTCGTGGTTGGAGAAAGTTCGGATCGAGGCGAGGTTGAAAGGGTACTGGGCTGTAGTGTCAAGTTCTTCTGTCGTCGCATGGAATTCTCCAAGGCTTTCCGCAGTTTCTCTTTAGTGATGTCGGTTTCGATCTTCAGGTCGGAGAGTTCGTCTCGTAGCCTTTGCGCTTCGATGCGCAAACTTTCTCGCTCTTGTTCGCCGGTGCGTAGTTCATCTTCGAGCAGCACACTCCTTTCAATGGTTTGGTTATACTTGGATTCCATATCTTCCAACGATGATTCTGTATTGCGCTGTTGTCTCTCAAAATCGTCGTTGGCAACCTCGATGTCGCGAAGTCGCATTGTAAGGGTACGGTTAGTATCTCGAAGTTCGGTGATTTCCTTTTGCAGAGCGTTCTGCACGTTTGAGGCCTCAGTTTTGGACTGCTTATATTTGGCTTTCCACTCGTCGACTTCATATTGTAAATTTGCGGCCTTGTCTTTGAGCTGACGTTCGCGCTTTTCTGATGCTTCAATATCCTTTTCCAACTCTGCTTCCAATTCTTTGCTCGAGGATTGAAAGTCGGCCAAGTCTGCCTCCAATTGTTCATATTGTGCTTTATAATATTTTAACGAATCTTCAAGCGATGTGCCCGGACCAGGGGGTGATGATGGGACGGCATCAGATGATGGCATTTTCGCGCCGGCTACCACTTGAGGCTTTTTGGGTTATGGTCGCCTTCTGGTCCCGAGAAATCGATCGAGGCGTAGACTTCTAGAAAACCATGTGCCGAAGTGGAATACTCAAGGGGGGCTGCCTGTTGTCGGTAAATGGATTGCGACACGGGGTTGGAGTGGAGAGGTTGGTGTTTTCGTGGCCGTTGTCGATGGTAATGGTGGACGGTGATCGGATCCTGCTGTTGTTAGTATTGTCGCTCCATGCGCCCCGGAGGCGAGGATTGTTGGCGTTGTTGGAAGTTGGATGACTTTGTAGACTGTTCAGATGAAATGGAAATGGCATCAACAAACGGGAAAGTCAATGACACTGCAGGGGTGACGGTGACAGGGGCCGCAGCAACGCAGCCGCCGCCGCAACGCTAATCACCAATCACCCGTCAACTTTATTTAACTGCCCGAAACCCCAGAATTTGAGCCTCGTTTTTATTATTCATCGGTCACCAGGTAACTAGATATGGGTACTAACAGTGATACAACAATGTATTCATAGCTGCTTCTTGCGCTTAAAAAAGGGATGGGTATATATGGCCAACGATATTGTGCATCATGGCTGAACCATCACTTTATCATTTTCCCGTCGTAAACATCGTCCCCCTTCAGCCCTGAACCTTCCACTACTTTACTCTTCCCAGGCCTCGCAATGACAGCGCCAACAAGAGAAAAGATATTGGTGGATCTCAGCGACATACACATCCACAGCGTCACAACACCCGTCACGATCAACTCATCCCTCAATGCTGGCGAAACCGGCCCCATGAATTCGATCGTGGCTGCTTCTCTGACCTTGAGACAATACGTCGAGATTTTCGCTATCGGCATCGATTGTTCGTCCATGCACAAAAGATCCCAGGATGTTAGTCCGTATTTGTCGACCCATCTCAGGGATACTGGTTTGTCGTCTTCTGACAAAGCATACGATGGGTAGGTATACTCTGTCTTGAGTTGTTTCATGGCTTTCAATGTCCCTTTTCGACCACGAATTTCGTAGTTGACATCACTGGAGATGGGATGAAGTGTGCCTGTGCCTACTGTCGAGCCATCCACTGCTGATTTAACGGTGACGGCCGGAGACTTGACTGCGAACGTACGGAAGTCGACGAGATATACTTTCTCTTTGGGATTTTCGGCATTGACGATGGTTGCTTTGTTTTTGCACCACGAATACTGAATTTGAAGTTTGGAAGCTGCTTCAGAAATTGCGTTTGAGAAAGTCTTGTTGTTTTTAGGGATGTCATTTGAGCATTCCATATTGTATTATGGGTATGGTAGTAGGTGAAAGGTCAGTGGTTTCGTGTTAGCTGGAGATGATAGGGGTGATGGCTTTGTTGTTGTCTTGCCTCTGAATAGGCACTACAGGGACATTGCCTTTACCTTTATATACATGTCTCCCAAGAGGCACTTACTCTGTACTTTGTGATCAGCGCGGCTGTGTGTTGCATTAAGAGGCTGCGTTGAAGCATGGCAGACTAACCGCTTCTAGTGCCATACGGCGCTCGTCCAATCAGGCAATCCATTACTATACCCAGTCTATCTTAGTGTCCCCTTAACCCGCTGGGTGGCCTTAATGTTGGAGCACAGCCAACAATATATGATGGCATACTTCCTCTACGAGAAAGCATAATCATGCATTCACTCACCGTCGGGGAAGGTGAAGCCAAGAAAAGGCAAGTTGAGAATGTGACCCGTGACTTGTGATTGAGTCCGGCAAGATCATCAGCGCCCAGCACGACACCCTTCAGCCCAGTTCTATTTCCAGATCAACATTCTCGAAAATTTCTGTACTTGAGGATTAACATTCGCATAACGAATACGTCAAGGTCAGGGCCATAGCGCGAGGAAAGGTAAGAAGGCAAACTGTTTTGAATATGGCATTGCAGCCACGGCTTTGCAGATGTATTATAGGTGGTTAGGAACTTTTGTCTTATACGAAACATGTTCCTACTCCTGGTATGAACAAGGTCTCAATCTGGACCGTAATGCATCTTTCCCAGTCGTCTCACTTCTTCAAGGTCTCGTTCTGGATAATTTCGACCCAATACTCATCTGGATCGAGGACGAAAGCGACATTCTTCATTCTTCCATCGGTCAACCGTTTCTTCCAGTTGACTTTCTTGTCTTCCATAAATTGACATGCTTGGTCAAGATCATCGACACTGATGCAAATATGGCCAAACCCTTGTGGCTCGTCATTGCCGTTGTGGTAGACTTTGCCTTCTTCCTTTTCGGTACCATAGTTCCATGTCAACTCGAGCAGACCTTCCTTCTGGGCCAATGGGTTGACACCATTTGGTGTATCTTCCGGTTTCGGAACCTCAAAATCTCCCGGATAACCCAAGAAGTAGAGTGTGAAGCCCGCTTCCTTTTGTTCGGATGTGCGCAGTAGAGTCATCCCCATGACCTCTTGATAGAACTTCAAACTCTTTTCAGGGTCCTTGATTCGGATCATGCTGTGATTGAAACGGTACGCTGAGGTTTCTGTGGTCTTGATGTCCTTTGTCGCATCAACGTTGTTCTGTCCAATAATCTCCACCCAGTATCCGTCCGGATCGAGGGCAAATGCGATGCTTCGCATTCGTCCATCTGTCAATTTCTTCTGGAATTTGTATCCCGCATCTTCTATCCGCTGGCAGGCGGCTTGGATGTTGTCCACGCTCACGCAGATGTGGCCGAAACCCTTGTGAGGGTCCTTGTTGCCATTGTTGATGGTGAAGCTGGAGTCGTTTTCGGAGCCATAGTTGTGGGTGAGTTCGAGGACGCCTTCGCGGTCAGAGAAGTGATGACCAGGGGAGGCTGATTTAGGACCATCGTACGCTGTAACACTCATGTCAGCAACACACCAGACTGATTGTTCAAGGTGTTCTCACCGAGGAAATATAGGTCGAACTTGTTATCTGGGAACTCAATTTTGTTGACCAGACTGAGGCCGAGCAGTTTGTAGTAGTCCAAAGACTTCTGAGGGTCCTTGACCCGTAGCATGGTATGGTTGAACTTCCATTTCGAGTGGTCGACCATGGTTGCGTATGTTTTTGTGGTAATTGGGCTTGCTCTGAACGAAGGAATCTGGAGTTGATGCGCGAGTTGCTGGAGACGAGATGAGATGGCTAGACGAGAGAACATGTGTCTGTACTATTACTATTGGGATCAATTGTCACGCAAGAGGGGAACCTTTTTGATCTCAGTCAGATTCTCGAGAATTCCATGACGATCATCAACGACGTAAATGCCTACCGTGGAACGGCGACGGCGGAGTCAACTCCGCTCATCAACATGGCCCGGCCACTCACCTTTGAGATTTTGTGATGGTGATGGACCAAAAGTGACGTGGGGCTTCTGAGAGCTTCACTAGTGTAACTCGTTAAAATCATAGAGGGGTAGACTTCGAATACATTCAGCCTGACGAAAGACCAGGTCATTTTCAGGTGCACTTACTGAGAGTCTACACTGTCAGACGAAATCATCTCTACCACAGTATTGTTTCCGGACTTCTCCCCCTCTTCTCGACTGCGACTCTTCCATTTGCCGTGTCGCAGTTCTCCTTCATCACTCATCTTCCGGTGGAATCATGTCTTACTGGGGCACGCGAGTACTAATCACTCACGCGGCCTCCCACAGTTTTCTCTCCACAGCTCACACCTCGGTCTCCTCCACCTTTCCGCGTGCGATCCCCCGTGGTGCCGTGTCCGACTGACAGGGCTGCACACTTATAGCTACATTTTGCTAACATGCCTCTTTGAGTCAACTGCTCATCTCAGACTAGGATCGAAAACCCTTCGTCGTAAAGGCGAGAAGCTTATAATATCTTATATGTACTGTCCTAGCGACCGATTGCCCTCACGTGTACTCAAGTCTCCTCAAACATCTTGACCTCCACATCCTCCGTCATGTCCCTCTCACCAGCCATTCGAATCGCGAGAACGGCTGCTCAGCGGTCGACCTCATTGTTACATGCCATTCAATATACCCATCCACCGAACTGTCCTTGCCATTCCAACCCAAACCATCACCATGCTCCTGCTGTGTTCGGTGAAGCAAGAAGGCGACTGGCCATGCCGGTCGATTACTCGCGCCAAAAAGATTACGCTTTTGAGATGGCAGCCAGCTCCATCCGGTTTGGACCAGGCAGCACAAAAGAAGTTGGCATGGACATGACAAATATGGGTGCCAAGCGGGTTTGCGTCGTGACTGATTCAAATGTCGCAAAATTGAATGCCATGAAGCAGACAATTGAAGGGTTGGAGACCGAGGGCATTGAGTACACTATCTATGACAAGTGTCGGGTTGAGCCCAAGGACAGCTCCATCAAGGATGCCATCGCTTTCGCAAAGCCTTACCAACCAGATGCGTTCATCGCTGTTGGTGGTGGCTCCGTGATTGACACGGCCAAGCTGATGAACCTCTATACCTGCTATCCAGATGCAGATTTTCTGGACTTCGTCAATGCTCCTTTAGGAAAAGGACTACCCATCTCCAAGAAGTTGCTGCCTCTGGTCGCTATACCGACGACGGCGGGAACTGGATCGGAGACCACAGGTACGGCAATTTTCGACCTGGTAGAGAAGCGTGCAAAGACTGGTATTGCCCACCGCAACCTAAAGCCTACCTTGGGTATCTGCGATCCTCTCAACACTCGCACCATGCCAGGGGCTGTGCATGCCTCGTCCGGTCTGGACGTGCTCTGTCATTCTTTAGAATCCTGGACCGCCATCCCCTACTATGAGAGAACACCACGACCAACCAATCCTATCAACCGGCCTGCTTACCAAGGTGCGAATCCCATCTCTGACATCTTCTCACTGCAAGCCTTGAAGTCAACGGTCAAGTACTTGCCACGTGCCGCCAAAGACCCGGAAGACCACGAGGCACAAAGTGAAATGTTGCTCGCCGCAACTCTGGCCGGTGTCGGGTTCGGCAACGCGGGTGTTCATTTATGCCACGGCATGAGTTATCCTATCAGCGGACAAAATCCCGGGTATAAACATTCGGGGTACCAAATTGAAACTCCGATAATTCCTCACGGTGTCAGTGTCGCAGTCACGTCTCCAGCAGTCTTCAGATTCACGGGAGCCAGCAACCCTGATCGACATTTGGCGGCGGCTGAATGCTTCGGAGTGGACATCTCGAACGTCAAGAAAGAAAGCGCGGGCGAAGTGCTCGGCGAAGCGTTGGCCGACTTCCTGGTTAAACTTGGAGACCAGCCGCGGGGTTTGAAGCCTCTAGGCTTCACCAAGGATCATATTGATGGCTTGGTAGAAGGAACGCTCCCGCAGAGAAGAGTGCTGATGCTGGCACCCAACCTTAGCGAAGAGGTTAATCAAGAACGGGAACAGCTGAGAGGACTGTTTGAGGAGGCTTTGGAATACTAGCGAAACCCAAACTGTGGTCTCGGTTGGTGTGTTGGGTCTGTTTGCTCTGTTTGCACGACGTTTCCCCGTGGAGAGAAAATCGCGGGGCAATATGTATGGAGGCCTCATTCCCTTGCGACTTCGGCTCCCCACAGCCCTCTCACGGTCATCTTGCAGTTGCACAAAAGCGATATTGGACGAATCATCTATCGGCTATCTCTGTACTGTACCTCTTTAGCATTTTCTGCCGACAACGGAAAAGCTTGTAACATGGACGCCTTCTTTTCCACAACGTGCTTCAAGCACTGCTTCTACATCCAGAAAAGCCTGCTGGAGATTTCGTACCAGTTCTTTTTTCCTTGTTTCCACATCTTCCCTTCATTCGTCTTTCCTTGTCACTTAAAAGAGCCTTAGACATAGCTTCTTTCTCAACCTATTACATTGGGCGCTGGCTGTGACACTGACACCGACACCGCCATTTCATCTGAAATGGACGCTGCCAATGGCGACACAGCTCGACCTCGCGTTCTTTGCCCTGAGAAACTCTCCCCAGACGGTCTGACACTTCTTCGGAAGACCCTCGACGTCGACGAGAAGAAAGGCCTAACCCCGGAACAACTCATCGACATCATCCCAGCATACGATGCTCTCGTCGTTCGCTCTGAAACCAAAGTCACAGCTGAACTGCTCGCTGCCGCACGCAGACTAAAAGTCGTGGCTCGAGCGGGCGTGGGTGTAGACAATGTCGACGTCCCAGCTGCCACGAAGCTAGGTATTGTGGTTGTCAACTCTCCAAGCGGCAACATCCAAGCCGCGGCGGAGCATACGATCGCTCTACTCATGTCAATGGCGAGGAATGTTCCCGATGCATGCGCCAGTCTCAAGGCCGGTAAGTGGGAGCGGAGCAGGCTCGTGGGCGTCGAAGTCAAAGGGAAGACATTGGGTGTTGTTGGGCTGGGAAAAGGTATGTTCACTACTTCCCCTTCCTCATAGGCTTGTGTATTACAGTGCCTAGCTGACGCAAGTACTGTCGTGTAAGTCGGTCTAATAGTAGCACGCATGGCTCGTGGCCTAGGAATGAACATCCTCGCCGCCGACCCCTACGCCTCATCAGCTGTCGCGGCCGCAGCAAATGTCCAACTCGTCGAATCTCTGTCCGACCTCCTCCCCCAAATCGATTTCCTCACAATCCACACCCCCATGCTCGCTTCGACCCGGGGCATGCTCTCCACCGCTGAACTCAACACCATGAAACGCGGGGCGCGCATCCTCAACGTCGCACGAGGAGGCATCATCGACGAAGACGCACTCCTCTCAGCCCTCGAGTCCGGCCAAATAGCAGGCGCCGCAATCGACGTCTTCACCAGTGAACCTCCCACCCCGGACTCCCCAGCAGCCAAGTTGATCGCACACCCAAAGTGTATCGCGACACCCCATCTCGGTGCCTCCACCGTCGAAGCCCAAGAGAACGTCTCAATCGATGTATGCGAGCAAGTCCTCCAGATCCTAGCCGGTGATCTCCCACGCAGTGCCGTCAACGCCCCTATCATCGTAAGTATTAGTCCCATCCCCCTTGCGCCGAACACCTGATTGACGTTATGATGTGCAGCTACCAGCCGAGTACAAGAAACTCCAACCGTTCGTCCGGCTCGTCGAGAAAATGGGATCACTGTACACTCAACACTTCACGTCCCCGACACAGCCGTTCGGGCGGAACATGAACACCTTCGACCTCATCTATCAGGGCGAAATAGCGTCCATGTCCAGCACGAAACCCTTATTCGCGGCATTGATCAAGGGACTCACATCCCCCATCTCCGACACAGAAGGCTTCAACGTCAATATCGTCAATGCGGAAATGGTGGCCAAAGAACGGGGTATATTCGTCAATGAACAAAAATCGCGGGATCCGAGTACCCAGGCACAGGCGTATAGTAGCCTTGTCACGCTTGTGGCAAGGGCGCCTAGTCGTGCATCTTCGCCTTCGCTGAGTCGACATCCTTCGGAAACGCTCGTTCGTTCAAGTGCCGTGGTGGCCGAGCGCGACGGTGGCATCGGTGGTGGCAAACAGCACATCATCTCCGGCTATTGCAGCGACACGTCTCCATTCATATCCCGCGTCGACCGCTTCGCCACGTCCTTCGTACCAGAAGGCACATTGCTAATCTGTCATAACTACGATTCACCAGGCAAGATCGGCGTGGTGGGCAGTATTCTTGGCCGCGAAGGTGTGAATATCAATTTCATGAGTGTTGCGCCGGCGACGTTCGCTGCTTCTTCCTCCGACAACACGAATGGAGCGTCTGCGGCGGCCAAGGAATCCACCGAGGCGCTCATGATATTGGGCGTCGATAAGGAGGTGGGAGATAACCTCAAGAAGGAATTGGTCGCTGCTGAGGGCGTACTGAGCGTTAGTAGCGTCACTTTGTGAGAGAAGTCACATAGATGCCAGAGGAATCAAGACTTCGAAAGTGGAGCAGTGAACATTCATGCCTTCTCCATCGTACACCAACCATAAGCCGCACGGCGGCGTCTTTATAATACTAACCTGCTTATACTGTGGTACTTCATACTCGAGGTATAGGATGACCTCCCACTCGTCGTCTCGTCCGTGATAACCACAATATAAGGGTATCAATAACACAGCCCAAAACAGTCCAGTGGACAAGATACACCATACACCATATCCAGACTTCCGTACTCATACAATCGCGCCATCAGTGATCCCGTACAACAGCTTCCTCAGACGAAGAGACAAACAGCGTCCCAAAATCATATCTCAGTGTCCGAGAACTCCGAATCAGCGATTTCCTCTGGTACCGTTATATTCACCCCACACCAAGGGGCACGATTCTGGAAGAATTGAAGCCATTGTTCAAGAGACTCGCCAGGTTCCCCTTCAGGGGGCGGCCAAATGATGCCCTTCAGTTCGTGGAGGGTCGGGTGCTGGCGCCTCTTGGTGACGCGCTTTCGCCTGTGCGATCTCCTTGTATAGCCTTTCAAGACTGTGCCAGACCGAAAAAGCGCCCTGACGAAGCCTCCAGCTTCTATGATGCCAAGCGCATCAAGCACAGAGATGCCAGGAGTCGGCCCTCTTTGCGTAGATGTCGACGCAGATGTCGACGCAGATGCCCACGCGAAAGGGGACTCAGACGGAGACTCAGACTCAGACGGAGACTCAGACTCAGACACTCTGCAACCCCTTGTCGTCAGCGTCGGCCCCTAGCCTTTCGCCAAAACCTCTCTCCACCTTCCAATATCCTTGCTCTTCTTATTCCACAACTTCTCGATCTTCTCCATGTCTTTCCTCGACTGCTCAGATTCCCTCTGTTTCTCAGCGACACGCTTCTGCAAAGCATCCGGATCCAGAGCGCGGAGATTGACATTATTGACAGCAGTCTGGCCATTGCCGTCTCCAACCCCACCAATCGCACGCTGTTCTTGACCACCCTGACCAGCCAAGAGCATCTCCATCGTCTTCGAGTGCGCTCCAAGGCCAGACATGGAGGCGACTCGCGCGTGAGCATCGTTCTTACCAGCATCCCATGCGCCAGGCATGTTTACCGCATCATGGTATTCGGCATCGTCCGCCACCTCATCGTCCAGACCTTCTTCATCAACAAGTTCAAGATCTTCGTCATCGCTGAAGCCGATTTCACCATCAATCTCACCGTCTTCGCCATCGTATACGTCGAACTCGTCATCGTCGCCCATCTCACCGTCGCCGTCACCCACGACCCAGACGACACCATGACGTTCACCATGTCGACTGAGCCGGTCCATTCCGCCACCAAGGTTGGTATAGTCGTCCTGTTCGAGCACACCAAGACCCTCCATGGCGCCAACATCGCCAAACTCTTCGACATACATCTGCCGTCTCTCTTCCAACTCCAGGACTTTCTCGCTCTCATCCGCGCTGAGATGGCGGAGGACCCACCCATTCGGCGTGACGAGACATCTCTTGAGTAAATCGTCCTTGCGCTCTCCCGCATCTGCCACACTAACGGCATGTCCTTCCTTCAGAGCTTGCTTCTCCTTGAGCGGCAAGTAAATGTACCCGAATGCGTCGTTGGCACTATATCCATTTCCATCAAGATATTCTTGCCCACGACGCGAATCGGGTGGCAGTTTATACCCAGCCGAATGGAAGCTCGGCGGATTGAGCCATGGATGATCCTTGGACAAGTCACCCGATTGAATCATGGATGAAATGATCTTGGTCATTGGTGAGACGTGTTCACTTAGCAATTTCTGTATCGCGCTTGAAGAGTCGCCATTACCGGCGGTCTTCCCGGCTTCGTTGTAGAGATCTCGCAATGTGTAGGGAGACATCGGTGCTTCTTCCACCTTCGGAACGGGCTCTTCTTTCTGTGGCAAAGGTTCAGGTGTTGCTGGTTTCTCTACCTTGGTGGATTTAGTGGGCTTATCTGTCCCTTTCGTAGATGGCTGCTTTGCGACACTTTCCGCTTTTGGGGTTTCACTTTTCTCCACTGGCTTGGGAGCTGGAGTGTCGTCAGTACTCTGTGCTGTGCTGCTCTCCACCCTCCTCTTTTGCTTCTTTTGTCTGGCGATCACGGGAGCAACCTCTGCAACAGCAGGAGTGGTCGAGGTGCTTGCAGGCTCTTCGTGCTCCGTTGTCTTTTTCGCTTTCTCCTTTCTTTCCTTCTTCTGTTGATTCTTGCTCTTGCCACGGTCAGGTGCAGAACCAACGATACTGGGTGGTGGAGAACTTGCGCGGGATGCATCATGGGAAGGCCGTTCAGACATCGCGGGTGTAGATGGTCTGCTATACTGTACAGACGACAATGACGGCCTTCTAGACCCCTTCTTTACTGCAGAAAGAGGAGGAAACGCACTCGACTTCTCTGTTGCCGCTGATGTTGGAGTAGGCTCGACCGCTTTGGAACTTGTGCCTGTCGTCAACCGTAATGTTCGAGGTCTGAGCACTGACGTTTTGGATGCTTCCGAAGGAGTCGTGATTGACGGAGTGGCAGGTCGTGAGCTCAGAGAGCCGGGGGTACCGACAATACCCGACTCCAACACTGGCGTTGCGGACTTTTCGGGTGCTGCGATTGCAGCAGACGCGGTTACTGGTACCGCAGTTGTGCTGAACGCAAGGCCTGGAGGGAGCTCTATCTTTTCTGGCCGTCTCTGTGCAGCTTTGCCTTTGCCTTTGGCATCTGCATCCTTTGACGGTGTAGATGACTCGTTGATAGTCTCCGTGGTCTCCTCGGCAGCCGGAGTGACTCTCTTGTCCATTTCGGGTTTCGAGCGCGATGCTCGAAGTTTCGGCGAGCCGAAACTAACTTCACTCGCCTCATGTCTCTGTTTACGAACGACAATCGATGCGTTTGCGTCAGTATCGCCCTCTTTAGTGGTTTCCTTGACGGGTTCAGGGATCTTCGTCTTTGGAGTAGCTGAGCGTATACCTAAAGGTAAGATCGGCACAGCAGGGGCTATCGCTACTGATGTACTCGATATGGTTCGTAGCGGCGTCTGGACTCTTTGTGCCGGCGAATCCTGCCTAGGTGGGTGACCGTGAAGTAGTTCAAACCCTGGCGGGATCTTCGGTGTTGATGATCGTTCGAAGCCCGGAGGGATCTTGGGAGTGGATGATCGAACCGCTGAGCTCTGGAAACTTTGGAAAGATGACACCCGCGAATGCAAAGCTGAAGGTAGAGTGTCTGAGCGTATCGGTAACGGCGGGAAGTCCTGGTCGTCAACTAATAAGGTAAGTCAGCAACACAGTTCAACAACAACATAAACTACCAACAATGGTGCAGGACAGTCAAGTTTGACGGCGGCGGCGGCGGCAGCAGCAGGTACGTATGGCAATTGCGCCGGCAAGTAAAGGGAAACCTAGCCAGGCTCTTCGCATCATCAATCTCGTCCAACGAAAGATTTACATGACTCTGACGTAAGCTCCTGAATACATATGTGAGAAGCTGTTTTCTGATCTGCCCGACTTTGTATTCAGTCAGGGAAGGGTACTAACATACATCAATATCTCAATCGTTGGAACCGTGATGGAGGAGGCTTGCTGAAAGAAAAAGGCTGATGTTGAAAAAATGCGATGTGACACCTTCACACTCGCTTTGGATATAACCGTAACCCATGCCGTGACTCCACCAAGCTTTCGCTGTCAAGCTACTAGCTCATGCTTGCTCCACGCTGTTTTGAAAGACGATTTTTGAACCGACCAACGCCAGACGCAAAAGCCATCATGTAAAAGAAGAAATGATCATGTCGTGAAGAGTTTGAAAAAGTCGTCGACACAGAGACGAATCACCATCGACCGTACCCGCCGCCATTGCCGCCATACATCAAACTTGACTGTTGGTACCCACCTTGTTGACCTCCGAAAAGCCCCTGCCCTGTGGTGTTGTTGCCCTGGTTTATTCTCGACGAAACGATGCTCGGGTCCACAAGATGCTCGACACCACCTCCTGAAGAGGAAGTGTTAGCATGTCTGTGCTTCTTCCCCTTCTTTCTTTGTTTGACAAGTCCAGGATCTTGATACGCTCCTTGGTATTGACCATAGAGCGGGTTGAGAACGCCAGGGGCAGGGGCTGACAGTGGAGGCGAACGAAGGGGGGTGTTCTGCAAGGAAAGGAGCAACTCACGCTTAGACAGGTCAGCACCTTGATTTGTCCCACTCCGAGTCCTCGAGTAGACCTCGGCATTCGCATCTTTGGATGTTCCAAAACCAGGATTCGTAAAGTTTTGCCCGTGGGCAAACATCCCGCCACCGCTCACGGGTGGTGTTCCGGCTGTTGGTAAGCCTGGAGGAGGTCCTTGAACGCCACTGGAATAAAAGTTGGATTGTTGCCCTTGGAAGCGATTGCCATTGTTAGCGGCTTTGGAGTCAGTGTTGAAATACCTTGAACCATGGCGTTGATGATTGTTGATTTGTTCGTACTGGGCTTGACTGAATTGCTGACCTTGTCTGTCAAAATTGGACATTTCGAACGCGGTATTCGGGGTCGATCCCTGAGCATGACCAGGTGCAGGAGCGCCTTCTGCATTCAAGAAAGCCAACTGCTGTCGTTGCTGTGGCGTCAAACTGCGGTCGTTCGAGTCTTCTAGAGATAGCGACGGCCGACCAATGGCTCCCCGAGCAGAAGAACTTCTGGGGTCATCCTCTGGTTCACCACCAAGTGCCAAACTCCCAGCAGCCATGTTGTCCTCCCCAAGGATTTCCTCTGCGGTAGAGGTCGCCTGAGCCTCCAATCTTGCACGTTCCGCTGCATCCTTCTCCCGCATAGCTCGACGTTTAAGTCCGCCATATGGATCGATAAGAGGTGGCAAATCATCAATCGAAGCTCGAACTTCGGGGCTGAGACATGAATCATCGTATACAAAGCGGAAGTGCGGTGATACACTGCGCAGAACTGCGTCATACTGTTGTTGGATATGGTCAATCGGCTTTGGCGTTGGCTTGGAGATCGTGGTCTCAGGTTTAGGGGTTGGCTTTTTGGTGGTTGCTTCTGATGAAGGTTGACTGGAGGGTGGCTCCTTCGACGTAGACTCTTCGACTTGCGGACCGGCAAGAGACGCGTGGGTCAGTTGAGGACTAGGAGTTGCTCTGCTATTCGCTTGGCTTGTTCTTCTTGTTCGTGCTATAGGAGCATTCGCATTTGCCCAACTCGCCGTGGAAGGTAACGCGGACCCATCCGTACTGTTTTTTCTACTGTCGTCATCGTCTTTGCTGCCCTGTCGAGCCATAGGTTGGGTGGTAGTGTGGTCCTGAGCGGCGGATAAAGGTCGGGTAGGAGGCACCGTCTGCGCAGGTTGAGAGAAGATCGGAATTGCTTTGGGCTTTACCGCATGCGGTTCGTTCTGTAAAGAGCTGTGTTGGCCGTCCTCACCCGTCTCGTGAAGAAAGCTGCAGTTTTTGTTGTTACACGTCTCACCACGAAGAAAGGCAGAACAGTACTTGGTCGTGCCGAACTGCGCCCGTAGTACACGGTCTCCGTTCAATGAGCCATCGACAGTGCTGATACACAGTGCGGCGTCTTCTTTGCGAGCATATGTCACATAGACACCGATGCCCTGGTTTGCGCCACCTGGTTTGGCTTTGCTCACCACGATCTTCTCGATTTCTCCGTATTGACCGAAGTAGTCGGGACCGCGCAGAGTCTGTAGAAGAGCCTGCTCATCCTTGATTGAGGGTATTAGGCCGATAACATAGACAAGATTTTGTTGCTTGACGCGGACCCCAGCTAGATTTCTTCGAGAAGAGTTTTCGACTTCGCGCTTCTCAGTCTCTTTTCGTTTTGCGGCGGCCTGCTTTTTGTTCTTGTTCAGCTGATCTAGCTTGAATTCCTCAGCTGTCGGGATCTTGTATTGTATTGTCTTTTCATCGTAAGGTCTCCGGCAGTTCGGACAGGTACTCTTTTCGTAGGTGGTCTTGAGACTGTTGAAGCAGAATTGGCAAATCTGGAGTATCAATCGAGTTAGCAGGAGCTGCGAGGTGCGAGGAGCCAGGCGCGAAGATAGCGCAATAACAATGGCAGGTGCGTACCTGATAGCCACAAGGACACGGCCGGAAGTTCTTGTCGGAAAGGTCGAATTCTTCAATGCATAATGGACTGCAAGAGGTCAGCCTGTATACCCACCCTCCGCAGGACTGCGCATCCGTTCTACGTACCATGTGTCCTCCTCATCGTCGATGACTGTATCTTGTGATCTACTCATATTGATGGATGTGATAGATTCACCAAGATAACTTCCACCACTTTCGACACCTGCGCCGCACGTTTCGAATCGACAATGGTCTCCATGCACAGGACAGCAACCTCTCGGGGATTTCAGTCGCGGATCGACAAGAGGTATGAGCGCGTCGTTTGAAGGGGCTTGAGAAATGGATGTAGGAGGATGATTTGTGGCAAGTACTCTATATGCGAGATGAGATGGCAATAACGAAGCAGAAAGAATTAGTGACAAGTCGCGCTATGCCACGAATTAAAACCTGTAAAAGCGGCGCACTCTCGGAACAGTTGCCACCTTGGGAGCTCTCAGTAGTCTGGAGATCGATTACTTCACCAACCTCAATTGAAGTGCGCAGTCTGCGAGAAACAACGCCCAATATGGCTTCAACAAAGGCAATGCTGCGCCTGGCTACTAAGCGGCCACTGGGTGTAGCTTCTCAGTCGGCGAGATGTGCGCAGCGTGCCACATTTTCAAACTCCGCCAAACGACCAGCCGAGAAGGACAACGCCCAGAAACTGAGAGAGGCAGATCCAGATCTCCTTTCGGAGCTGCGCAAGGCCCCTAGAAGGCGTAGGTGTAGCATGTCGAACATGTCTGAAAGGAAACTGACCAAGTGCTAGCAATGGGAAAGCTCTCCGCGCCGATCGTCAACGATGCCGACAAGTACGGGGACAAAGCGCTCCCTCTGCACCAATATGGCCAATACCTCATGTCCTGCCTACCAAAATACATCCAACAATTTTCTGTATGGAAGGATGAGCTATGCATTTATATCACACCATCGGGCGTCATTCCTGTTTTCACCTTCTTGAAAACCCACACGGCCGCAGAATATACTATGATCTCCGACATCACCGCAGTCGACTTCCCTACCAAAAACCATCGTTTCGAAGTCGTCTACAATCTCCTCAGCGTGCGTCACAACTCGAGAATAAGAGTGAAGACATATGCGGATGAAGCGACCCCTGTGCCCTCGGTCACTTCCCTTTATGACGGTGCGCTCTGGTACGAGCGAGAAGTGTATGATTTATTCGGCGTCTTCTTTACTGGTCACCCAGACTTACGCCGAATCATGACCGACTACGGCTTTGATGGACACCCGTTGCGCAAGGACTTCCCTTTGACCGGGTACACGGAGATCAGATACGATGAGGAGAAGAAACGAATAGTGGTGGAACCACTCGAGATGACACAAGCATTCCGAAACTTCGAAGGCGGCACAAGTTCTTGGGAGCAAGTCGGTACTGGTTCGGACAGAAAGCCCGCGCAATTCAAGTTGCCTACGCCTAAGCCAGAGGAGAAGAAAGAAGAGAAGAAATAAGATAGCCTATGAGACTGGAAAGGGGCGTAGTGCACGACTTTTTGAAAGGCTTGGTACTTGCAACGAGATCGGAGAAGGCCCACGTTGAGTTGTACATAAAGCAGTGAAAGGCCAGACCCGCAATGCGGCCGTGCCATAAACAGGAGTTCTCGTCGAAGTGAATCGATTTGTTGTCAATCCCCTGTGCGTCACTTTCGAGTGCTTGGAGCGATATCACACCTGGAGTGAACCATGGCAGTCGGGTCACAGCATCATCTCACTAAACCCAATTGCCACGCCACTCCTCTCCAGCAATCTTCCTCTTCTTTGCGGCAATGCCTTCACTTACACATTGAACCACATCTTCAACATCCCTACCGCGCTTGCGGTACTCCGTCTTCTCCTCTCCTAGAACAGTATCGTCGGCAATAAGCTTGTAGATATCTGCAACGCCTTCAAACACACCATTTGCATGTCTCTCGGCGTGTTCTGTGTCAGTGAGCAGTACACTGGGATCGAAACCACCTTCGTCAACGAATGTTTGATTGATCTCCCGCATCTCGTCGACCCAGCGGTAAGCCTTTGGCGGCATGGTCGTTAAGCCACGTTGCGCCGCCGCTAGTGCCCCTGGGTTGAATTCCTTCAGGTGCTCTTGCAAAGAAGGCAGGACCCCAGCTGAGTGCGCGGTCGTGAACGCCAAAATACTCAATGCGACCATGCCTTTATTCAGCGAGGCGAAGCATGACTTCAGTGCTGATGCAGAACCGATCATGTCGGCAATGAGTTTTATGTTCAGTATATCGATCAGCTCTGACGACAGGATCTCAGAGTGCCTGGAACCAGAGATCACGATTGAGGGACGTTTCCATGTTTTATCTTCACGGAGGGCTGGTGGTCCACCAATGATACCTCCATCTAGGAAATCGACTCCGATGTGCTGCTGGGAGGCCCCTCCATTGGAAATGGACGAGCCGTCAATTGCGTGATTACCCGTGGACGATGGCGCGATTTGGCCGAATAGTGCCCCGATAGTTTTTGTGGTACGGGGACTGATAGCATTCATGTCGATGTAGGTCAAGTTTCGGGAAGCGTTAGGCCTCTCCTGGCGGCGTTTGGCGGCAGTCTGAGAGCGACAAGCTTCATACGCTCTCTGGCCAGTAGCAAATGCATCGCGAGGAGGTACGATGCTGAGAATTATATCTGATTCTGCAACGAGGTCTTCGTCCGTCTCCAGGGCGGTGATCTGTGCAGATTTGATCCGATCGAGTGTATGCTGGCTTCAGCCATGGTCAGAAGTTTTCATTGGACAAATCGTGAGAGTGCCTGCCTTCTCCCAGCACCAACTGTGAGGACTGGATATTCGTGATGGCGGAGCAGGCGAGCCACGCCGACGCCCATGTCTCCAATGGAGAGGATACCAATCGCCGGCTTACTTGAAGAAGAGGTACTCGCCATCGTCCGCCAAGCGTTGTGAGATTGAACAGCGAGAAAAGTACGTATTGCTCGAAGGACAAATAGCATTGGATCCGGATATAAAAGAAAGGGAGGTTCACGTCCTCGACTTGCACTCGAATGCCATCATCTGGTGATGACGCGGCCGAAAGGAGTATAGTCCGAATGAATGACTGGCTTTCTAATGACCCTTGGCGAATGCTTATCTCTACCCCGGTGGAAAGCATCCTGGAGGCCTTTGGTTCATGGTATTACTGTTCTGGCTAAGCTTTCTCGATAGACTGTATGGAGATTGCATTGCATCGATACTGACCTAGGGGTAGCTTTGTACAATATGGGAAAGCAGCCTTAGGTGTACTGGATTCTACTTGTGGCATAGAACAATTCAGGCCGGACCGTTCTGGCCATACTCAGGCCTATGTTCTCCTTCTTTACTGAGTACTTTGGACTGGACCTTGCCCCTTCTCGGCACCTTGTTGCTTGACCTCTACTTTCTGCCCACTACCGGCGTCGAAATAGGGTCTTTCGGCCTGTGGCGTAATGCGAATCATATGTCGTCTCGTCACGCTCTCTTTCACCACGAAATCTCGCAACGCGGAGCTGCAGCAACCAAGGTTAGTCTCTCCCATCCGGCACGTATCGGTCGCTACTCACTGCTGCGTGACACGGTTATCGTAAATGGCAACCGTTCGAGGCTCCCAATGGACTCTGATATGCCAATCCTGGCCATGCTCGATGTGATAGTACAAGAAATTGAGAATCGTGGCTGTCGTTCCCGTATCAGCACATCAGACGGACGGAGAATCTGCCAGGACCAATACTCACAACTTTCTTCCTCCTTCAGATCCACAATTCGGCGCGTGTAAAGCCTGTTGACGTACAACGAATTGGCCTTGGTGACAGGGTGCGTCCGAACGACTGGATGTACGGTCTCGATCGGATCACGAATGTATCGCTCACGGTTTTCATGCACAGCAGCCTGCGAAAAGCCCGAGTGCGTGGCGGATTTACCATGCAGAAACTCGCGAAAAGCTGGGGAGAGAGCATTATACGCCGCCACGGTCGACAGGTACAATGTGTCGCCGCCAGAGTCGGGAGTGTCGAGGGGCAAGAATATTGTTGTGCCCATGCCATTTCTACCTCAGTCAGCACTGTGATATCATATTTGTGTTCAGAACGAGGAAGGGATACCCACATCTCATAAGACATGTCGCTATGCCATTTGATGCTGCTGACGTTGTTTCTGATCTCGTTGTCCACGGCGCCGGCGCTATTGGGGATCAGCTGGGAGGTGACCCTGACAGAGAGTGAGAGCTGAGGCCCATGCAGACTGACACGAAGTCTCGATATACAGGCAGAATCTCCGGATAGTCCTTGATTTGTGTCCCGATCTGGTGGACATGCAGACTGCCAAAATGTGCGCCAAACTCGCGCTGTCGTTCCGGCCCAATGTCCGCAAAGTCTTGATCGCGGAAGACGACGATACCGCGCTCGGCAGCAAGGAGTGCCAATTCATCTTTCTGCTGGGGTGTAAGGTTGCTGAGTTGAATGCCGCGCACTTCGGTGCCGATGGCAGGAGTCAATTCTTTGAAGATGGCGCCTTGAGCGTGGAAAAGTGCGTTCTTGCCCGCGTCAGCGCGCAGGCCGACGTCGATATGCTCGAATTCCTCTAGAGGTGGTTGCAGGCCCGGAGTACAATGTGGTAGGTAGGCTGCATATTTGTACTGTTGAAGTATTAGGAATTTATTTCCGTGATTTGGAGAAGTATAAAGCGTACTCGTTCAGCCTTGTAATCTACAGAGGTCTCTACAGCAAGCTGCGCCTGTTCCTGAACTGTAGCTTTCACGTTCGAGATCGTTTCAGTGGCCATGGTGGTGTGGTGTTTGTTCACGTTGTGGTGTCGCAGTATTCGAGAACGGTCACCCCGTCCGTTCTTTATCGATATGTTTACACATGTTATCTCCGATCTCGTGCCCCTGCGAATGACGAGCTTGTTAATTATAATGATGTGATAGCTCGGCGTACATTGGCGCGACATGGTAGAGGACACGTTAGCAGCCCATCCCATCCAAGATCTTGATCACGCCATTGATAAGAGTAGAGCGCCGGCAAGTAGCGTCAAGGAATCAAGGAGGAAACGTACCTTAGCGTCTAGAAATCGAAGGATTCATAATGAGAGACATCTCTCTACCAGCAGCCAAGCACGTAGTTCGCTACATGACCAGGTTGTAGTAGTCTCGTACACCGCTCGTTTGTCCCCGAACAAGTAATTTTGCGGCCATCGTCCCGATCTCTCACCTGCTCGCCGTGATGAGCCAAGGGAAGGCGACATATTGTGCCACAATTGCGAGGAATTGCAAGAAAGGACAAGTGTAGACCAGGAAGCGAGCACGCCACTCGCGACCACATTAGCCCAGCCTGTGGAAGGCTCGATCCCGGTGAAATCATTGAAATAAGTAATCGCAGCCACCTGAGTCGATGTCTGAACGTGTACATCTGCCGTTTACTGATATCGAGTCCACAATGGCAGACGAAAACGCGAATGGAGGCAGAGAGTTGCAAGCACTACCTGAAAGCAAGAAGACCACCAACTGGTGGCGCCGCGTTGTTGGATTGACATGGGATTCTGTGGAAGGAGATGCCAGAAACAGGAAATATGTTCAGAAGCTGGATACCTTTCTATTGTGAGTGCTGGGAGGGTACTTACCCCAGGTCCTTTGACCCGGGCTGACATACCTCACTTCAGCTCATATATCTGTCTCGGATACTTCATCAAATATCTCGACCAGCAAAACTATAGTAAGTTCCGTTAATACACGAATTTTGTTAGACAGGCACTGATACAAAGGCAGGCAATGCGTTCGTCAGTGGCATGAAAGAAGATGTGAGTCGACATGCTGGGACTTGTTCACACTCCAAGAAATCGTCATTGAGTCTCTTGGACCAACGCATCTCAGACTATCGCTGACTGCTGTGGTGTGTCGATAGCTTCATCTCAACGGCAACGAACGTAACTGGCTTGTCACTTACTTCAATCTCGGTGTGATTATCGGGACGGTTCCTTCTCAAATGATCCAGCTGAAATACGTTCGTCCTTCCATATGGATACCGTCCTGTGAAATCATGTGGTCTGTATTGGTGATGGCAATGGCTGGGGCAAAGAATATCGAGACTGTAAGTGTGACGTCCTCACACTCTGAAAATGGTCCAGGAGGACTCTAACGAGCGCACAGCTCTATGCCCTGCGGTTCTTTGTCGGCCTGCTTGAGTCTTGCTCGTTTCCTGGATATGCCGCTCTTCTGGGAGGATGGTATGGCCCCAAAGAACTCACCAAAAGAGTCGCGATTTTCGAGCAAACAAGCGCCATAGCCAGCATGTTCAGTGGCTATCTACAGACAGCTTTGTACGAAGGCATGAATGGTACGCATGGGCTTTCGGGATGGAGATGGCTGTTCATCATGGATGGGATTATATCCATCCCCATCGCAATCTGGGGGTTCTTCGCCATTCCGGACCTACCACACACGACCAAGGCTTTTTATTGGACCAAAGAGGTACGAAAGTGAGCAGTTCTTCGTGATTTGGGCTGACACTTTACCACAGGACAAAGAATACGGCATCGAGCGTATCGAGACAATCGGGCGAGGAGCTCCCCGCCGTTTGACCTTGCAAGCGTTGAGAGGCGTCTTTCTCAACTGGCGCCTTTGGGCATTCATCGCACCATACCTGTAGGTCAGCAATGCCTTGGCGGACTATCAGTCTAACGCACCCGCACAGATTCGTTGCCAACGCCGCCCTCGGCACGAACTATTTTAATCTCTGGCTCAAGGCTGTAGGATACTCTGTGGCGCAGGTCAATGTGCTTCCAACTGCGGGGAATGCTCTCAGTGTCGTCGCCGCATTTCTCTTCGGTATCATCGCTGATCGTACAGGACATCGACTTCTGATGCTTGTCATCATTGAACTGTTGATGGTTGTGTCAAACATCATGCTCTCGATTTGGCACATTCCCAAAGCTGCCTTACTGTTCAGCTTCTACCTGTCGTACGTCGGCGGGGCTGCTCAGCCGATCATCATCGTAAGTCGGATCTTCCCTGCCGGCATTGCGTTGACTGACATGTCTCTCAGGCTTGGGGTAATGAACTTAACGGACATGATCCAAACCTGAGGCAGCTGCTCGTTGCGACAGGGAATATTTTCACATACACCTTCTCGATGTTCATCCCATGTGAGTTTCCAAGTCGTCCGTTTGAGTTCGTTGGCTGACTGGCCCATTTAGTGGTGCTTTTCCCGACATATGATGCCCCGCACTATAAGTATGGTTACCAGATTCTGATCATGTTCGGCGCTCTTGCCATCCTGGCTGTTTTTGTCTTGGAGTGGCAGCAGAAACGGGAAAAGTGAGTACGATGATTGATCACACCACGACGCGACTAATCCATGTCTTGAAGGCCCACCAGAGAAGGTCGGAAAAGCGCTGTTGTCGAGGTAGGTGTCTTCGGTAAGCTGGACGACGAGAGAGACTCGGACGCAAGGAAGATCGCGTCAAGTTCGGCCGTCGAACCTTCGACAATCACAGAATAGCCACAACGATGGGATGCGTGTAGGGTGCGATATTAGAATCTTGCGAAACCTCACACAAGAATGGTGCTACACAGCCGTACACACGACGCAGATTGGATGTGAACTGGAATACCTCCCTAAGTAGCATGCAATATGGGTCGGATCTGGCGCTGGGGCGATGAAAACATGGAGAGAAAAGCACCACATCATGGCAGCATATAATCTTGTGGCGTGCGGCTTCGGACCCAAGTCCTTCATAGCCAACACTCCTGCATTGCCGTGGCGCAGATGAAGGTGGTCAACGGTGTATGCAAAAGTAAGATGAGAGGGTGAACCGTTCCAACAGGAACCTCGAAAGAGTCGTAGGTATGATGGGTAAATACACCGTCCGTACAGGTCCAGCACATAGGTAAAAGCGGCGCCACTTTCATTTCTTTGTGAGCGATGAAGTCACTCCTTGGAGCCGCGTTGTTTTGGTGCATGTCAATCGATCAACAAGACATGCCGCGCCGCATTGCACCTCGACATGGAAAACGCTCTGATTGACAAGTGGAGATTTTGCCTTACTGGCCATCTATGCATTATCTTCAGCTAGTATGGTTAGGGTGCAGTCAACCATGAAGCGTCGGCGACATGCTCAGCACACATGCTCTCCTCGGTAGATACGATAATGTCTATGGATACCTTTCGAGTCCGCCTGAACTGCATCGATCACTACCAAGCCGTGCCTGTAAACGAATTCGATCCGCCACTCCCCCTCGGCGTCACGAGCGAAAATGCGAAAGAACGACCTCGTATTTCCGTCATTCGCGTCTTCGGCGCCACGGAGACCGGGCAGAAGGTGTTGATGCACATTCATGGGGCTCTTCAGTACACGTACATTGAATACAGTGGTAGCCTGGCTCCCAACGATGTGGACGTGGCTATCCGCACTCTGCAGCTCTCGATCGACCATGCACTCGCCGTCAGCTACCGCAAAAACATCTATGATGGGAAACATCGATATGTGGCACACATCTCGCTGGTCAAGGGAGTCCCCTTCTACGGCTTTCACGTGGGATACAGATACTATCTGAAGATATATCTGCTCAATCCGCTGCATATGACAAGGCTTGCAGATCTCTTGCGTGAAGGTGCCGTGATGAAGAGAGTCTTACAACCTTACGAGAGCCATATGCAATACCTGGCGCAATGGATGTGCGACTACAACTTGTATGGTTGCGGTTACATTGAATGTGGCAAAGTCAAGTTCCGCTCACCCATACCAAAATATATGGACATCACCAATGCCATGCATCAATGGCATGACCACTCCATATCACCAGACTGCATTTCTGAGGACACATATCTTCCGAAACAGAGCCATTGCGCGCTGGAAGTCGACGTACATGTGAAGGACATCTTCAATCGGCGAAATATTGAATCTCGTGATGTCCATCACGACTTTATCGAACGTTTGCGTCCTATTCCGGCCGATGCAAAGTTGGTGCAGAGTATGGCCGGACTATGGAAAGATGAAACCCGACGGAGGAAATTGAGAATGGGGCTCAAAGATCCGAACAGTAGTCCTTTTCCGCCGGAAGTTCTAATCTCCATGTCAGCGGACCCGAGGAATAGGGACGCTGGGGGCTGGATTCATGAAGTAGAATTTCGCGAAAGAGTTAAACAATTGGCTGCTGAAGAACATGACAAAAGCGACGGGCGTAAGATATCATTTGACACTTTCATGAAGCCTGTACCACTGGAGGGGACTGTGCAGACTGCGCTTGCTAGCGTCGACGACCTCTATCCAGAGAAGATTCAAAGTCTGTTGCATCGCACTAGGGATCGGCAAGTAGACCTTGCTTCAAACGGCCACATTCAGGCCGATCAAGTGATTGTCAACGAAGCTCGGGCGGAAAATCTTGCAAATGGCTCTCGCGACGACCCTGAGCAATTCAACGCAACCGACGGACAATCATCGGATCGTACAGACACTATCAGTGACCGAAAGCCCGAGAGTAGTGGATCAACCAACGACCTCGTGAGATCGCCAATCAGTTCATCGGAGTACCAAAAGTATGGCATTCGTGCAGCAGGAGATACGGACGGCCTCGAGGAGGATGCCTTTGAGGTACCCGAGGAATATTTGACACGCAGAAATGAACCCTTGAACGGTGCTAAGAGGGATAGGTTTGCAAAGCCACCGAGCTTCAAGCCGAGGAAGCGACGCAAGCAACTTGTCGATGAAGAAGATGTCCTCCCAGACATCAGCTTCTCTGGCTCGGACGAAGATCCAGACTTCACATACGATGATGACCACTACGATTCCGTTGCCCAGCCGACAGTACAGGAGTTACGAAGTATTCGATTACCACAGAATGGGCTCGATAGTCTCCCAGCGAGTGGCCAGCAGTCTCACAAGAAGCTGTCGCAAGAAGCTCCCATCAATCTCTCCCAGCAATCTAACTTGTCATTTCCTACCGTAAAGAATCCCCATGACCCGGACACGTTCGCTCGTCTAAGCCAAAAGAGCAATAGCTCTCTGAAATCGCCGTATACAGTTCAAACAGTATCTCCGGCATTGTCCAAAACGACCCCGAAAGGAAGAATTTCATCTTCTCAACAGACATTGGTTCCCCCAACCACGGTCGAAAGCGACAAGACCATACGTCTTCCCAGTCTGAAACTTCGTGGCCTGCGAGACACTGGGAGAGTCGCTTCGTTGCTCTTATTTTTCCCTCGTCCACCCACTACGGAAGAAGTGAAGACGAGTATCTGGCAACAGGGACTCCCCGACGTCATCTATCAGGAAGCATTTTACAGCAACGAAGAGGATGTGCCGGAGCAAGCTAGACAGTATGCTGGCCGTGAGTTCAAACTCGAAAGCGCAACTGTGCCGTTCTTGCCCGACTTCGACCCGACCGGAACATCTCTGGCAAATCTGGGTCGCCGGCCGCCGCTACTGCTCGATCACCCCACAGAACAGATCCGAGACAATCAAAGACGGAAACGTTGCACCATCTCTCAATGGACTATTGCCGCTGCGCCTCCGAGAAAAGTGGACGTGGTCTTCTGGCTCCGAGAAGAACAGCAGGCTAAGATGGACGAAGCACTCGCCAGTGGCAAGTCTGCAACCCGAAATAAGCTACTTTCCCAGATTGACGGACCGACTCAGAAGAATCGGTATGGGTTCAAATATTCGCAGAAGCAGCCCAGCACCAGCGTTCAACATGAAACCCAATATATGAGTATCATGGCTCTAGAAGTCCATGTCAACACCCGAGGTTCACTTGCTCCCAATCCGGATGAAGACGCGATTGCTTCTGTCTTCTGGTGCGTGCAGACAGATGATGAAGATGTCGAGAGCAGAGGCAGCCGAGAAGGTATCCACAAAGGCATTCTGACCGTTGCTGATGAACCACACATGGGCAAGAAGATAGGGCGCAATGTGCCGTTCGATGTTGAGGAAGAAACAACCGAGCTTGATTTGCTGACAAGGCTGATTGATATCGTACGGATATACGATCCTGACATCCTTACAGGATACGAAGTGCATACCAGCTCATGGGGATATCTGATCGAACGCGCCCGTGTCAAATACGACCTCAACTACTGTGATGAGCTGTCACGCATGAAATCACAATCTCATGGCAGGTTCGGCAAAGAGGATGACAAATGGGGCTTCAATCACACCTCGACCATTCGAGTTACAGGTCGTCATACGATCAACATCTGGAGAGCTATGCGAGGTGAACTGAACTTGCTCCAGTACACCATGGAAAATGTGGTTTATCACATACTGCACCAGAGAATACCTCATTACACCTTTGCCGACCTGACAAAGTGGTACAAAAGCAAGAATCCTCGCGACTTGGGGAAGGTCATTGATTACTTCTCAAATCGGGTCGAAATCGATATTCAGATCCTGGAGGCAAACGAGCTGGTGCCGAGGACCAGTGAACAGGCTCGCTTGTTGGGCGTTGATTGGTTTTCCGTCATCTCTAGAGGGTCTCAGTTCAAGGTCGAATCCCTGATGTTCCGAATTGCTAAGCCCGAAAACTTCATCTTGGTGTCACCTAGCAGGAGGCAGGTCGGAGGACAAAATGCGCTTGAGTGTTTGCCGCTTGTCATGGAGCCTCAGAGTGACTTTTACACCAGTCCACTGCTGGTACTGGATTTTCAGTCCCTTTATCCAAGCGTGATGATCGCTTACAATTATTGTTACTCCACTTTCCTCGGGCGTGTTGTCAATTGGCGCGGTACGAACAAGATGGGCTTCACAGATTATCGTCGCGAGCAGAGACTGATGGAACTACTCAAAGACTACATCAACATTGCTCCAAATGGCATTATGTATGCAAAGCCGGAGATACGGAAGTCATTGCTAGCTAAAATGCTTACGGAGATTCTGGAGACCCGGGTCATGGTTAAGAGTGGCATGAAAGTGGACAAGGACGACAAGACTCTGCAACGACTGCTGAACAACAGACAGCTCGCACTCAAGCTCATCGCGAACGTCACGTACGGCTATACATCTGCATCTTTCTCAGGACGGATGCCCTGCTCTGAAATTGCAGATAGTATCGTTCAGACGGGACGAGAGACCCTGGAGAAGGCTATTGCGCTCATTCATTCTGTCGAACGATGGGGTGCTGAAGTGGTCTATGGTGATACTGACAGCTTGTTCGTCTACCTGAAAGGCCGAACGCGAGAACAGGCTTTTGATATCGGTGAGGAGATTGCAGATACAATCACGAAAATGAACCCACGACCAGTCAAGTTGAAGTTCGAAAAGGTCTACCATCCTTGTGTTCTGCTTGCCAAGAAGCGCTACGTCGGATTCAAGTACGAAAGTCGAAAACAGACAGTCCCTGAGTTTGACGCCAAAGGCATAGAGACGGTCCGGCGAGATGGTACACCTGCCGAGCAGAAGATTGAGGAGACTGCGTTGAAGGTCCTCTTCCGCACTTCAGATCTAAGTCAAGTGAAGAGCTTTTTCCAAGCGCAGTGCTCCAAGATCATGCGTGGAAAAGTATCAATCCAGGACTTTTGCTTTGCGAAAGAAGTCAAGCTTGGGACGTATAGCGAGAAAGGCCCGCCACCGCCCGGAGCACTCATCAGTGCCCGCAAAATGGTTGAAGACCCAAGGCTTGAACCTCAATATGGCGAAAGAGTGCCGTATGTGGTGGTCACGGGAGGACCTGGTGCAAGACTCATCGACCGATGTGTGGCACCGGAAGTGCTGCTCAACGATGCACATTCGGAGCTTGATGCGGAATACTATATCTCGAAAAACATCATCCCGCCTCTCGAACGCATCTTCAACTTGGTCGGCGCGAATGTGCGACAATGGTATGATGAAATGCCCAAGTATCAACGCATCAGACGGGTTGAAGCAGGCCCGATCACCGATGGCAGAGAGATGGGCCTTTCGAGAAAGACGTTGGAGTCATACATGAAGTCCTCGACATGTTTGGTGTGTCGTCAGGCTCTGGACTCGGAATCGCCCTTGTGCAACAGCTGCTTCCAGCAGTCATCGCACAGTGTGCTTGAGCTTCGGTCGCGGTTGATGAAAGCGGAGAAGAATGTCACAGAGCTTGCGAAAATCTGTCGTTCGTGCTCGGGGTGGGATTGGAACGAGGATGTCCGGTGTGATAGCAAGGATTGTCCTGTGTTTTACTCACGGACTCGGCACAAGGCGGCGTTGGCTAACGAGAGCGCCACACTTTTGCCTATCATGGAAACATTGGAGCAAAATGTACAGGATAGCATGGATTGGTAGCCTTTTTGTGTACATCAACGGGCGTTGCATAGCGAGGGCGATGTGATTTGGAAGAGTGCTTGAGATACCCCAATTGGAAAGAAAGCCTGGATAGCACAGGACGGGCGTAGCCTGTATGGTTATGATCATAGTGTGCAACATAACCGAAAGGTCAATAAATATTCATTGAACTAAAGTTTCTTCTCGGCAGCCAGCTTTGCGAATCTCGCCTTCGTCCTTGCCGCGACTTTCTGCTCATCCCAGATATAAGTCACGCTCTCCTCCTGCACCAGCTTCTGAGCCCAAGCACTGAACCTCGGAGTCTTCTCTTCAAGCAAGGTGGTGATCTTGGGACTGAGTAGTTCGTATTCGGGTTTGCTCAAGGACAAAAGTCGGAGAACGAATGGGCCGGTCAGCGCCTGTAGTGGGCGGCCAAACCGATATTAGTACGCAGATCGATATGACGATCAGACAAAGGGCAGGGAGATAAGAAATCGCATCAACACATGGCATCGGCCAGCTCGGACTTTATAACATGAGACGCAGGGGAGGCGGCAACATACCTCAGCGAGCGTCAACCGCTCATTCCCTCCGAAATATGGCCCGGCAGACTTATCCCAAGTGAATAACGGCTCGATTTCCTTCGCTACAGCCGCGACCAATGCCTCGGTGGCTTCGTCCTTTTCGGTTTCGGTCTGGGCACGCTGCCCAGCCATGAATTGCGGGAGGACCTTGGAGACGAAAGTGTCGACAAAGAAAGACACGCGGGCACGGAGGAGTGCGGCGCCCTCGGCATTGGATGCCGGGAGTAAGTGACTTGGATGTGCGTCGGCGAGGAATTGCGCGACGACGGCGGATTCGGTGATGATGTCGCCGTTGTAGTTTATGCTGGGGACGAGGCCGCGCTTGGGGAGGTTGTCAATATCGCATATCGTAGTGGCAGTGCCAGCAGAAAGCATCGACGATGGAATACTGTAGGAAAGGATAAAAGCTTACCGGATTGACTTCCAAATACCACGGATCGCGGGGTCGGTCTAGGTCGATTATCTTTTCTTCATATTTGAGGCCGAGCTCTTTGATGGCGATGTGAGCTCGATGAGCCCATGGGCAACCTGTGGTAGTACTCCGTGTCAGAATATGTGACGGCTTAAGATCCCAAGTCGCCCCGTTGACAAATCAAATAATACGGCACTGGGTTGGGCGTGGAGCACTTACCATGATTGGTGTATAGGATGATTTCTGGCTCTTTGGAGCCGTTGGTGACATGAGTCCCGTTGGTAGCCATGATTGAGTTCGGGATATGATGTTACTGATGATGGTATTGATGTTGGTGTTGACGGTGCTGGAGGTGGAAGGAGATGGTTTTGGAATTATTAAGCAGGGGGTTTATGAGGAGAAAGTCCATGATGGCACCTTACCGTGCGATTATCTCCGAGTATGGCGCGATTTCGTTAGGCCGCCAACCATCAAACGACGAGGACGAAAGTGAGAGGCCACGAATGATTGGGACCGTCGCCGCCGATACAAGTAATGCCGTATGTTGACTTTAGACTTACCTGTGTACGGACGACCAGGACCAAGAGCTTCAATCTACATAGGTAGGTTTCTTGCGTAGGTATGCAGTGGGCCAAATTCAAGGACATCAGATACTTCGCAAGCGGCCTCTAAGCTTACATGAGTCCAGAGTCTCTAGAGCTTTCCAGATGTCGAAGGTCGATATCCCACACCTCGCCGTCGTCGTGACGCAGTAACATACGCAGAGTTACTTGTGTCATTATGCTAGGACGGGTACTGTCTCCAAATACCGGGCTCCAGGAACTGACTTCTTTCCTCCGATTGATCTTAAGCCTCATATCCGTCTCGAGGGTCGATTGTATAATGGATCCTGACTTCGTGTCTTGAAAACTGACAATCCCAATTCCTTCGCTGAGAGGGACCGAGCGCTTGCGCGGTAGCAACGGACGGCCTGAATTGTCCAGGCTGACAGCCATCAGATCAGGGCTGAATGCAAAGCGTTCGTGGCATAAAGTCCGCCATAGTGGTGACACCCTTGCGCATGCTTGGTGGGTCTGCGGGACACAATGTTTGAGGATTTCAGGGTACAGTTCAACGGGCAAACGTCTGTGCCCAGAGGCCGAGAGCTGCCGGACGCAAGCAACATCAAAAAATGCCTCCAAGGCTGTGAATCCACGGTATTTGTGTTGCAGGTGGTCCCAGGGGGAGAGCGTGAGGTCACGCTCATTCCTCTCGCTGACCGTATCGTTATGCCAGCCGTTCTTCCTCCAGACAGGAATGACTCCAGAACGCCTGATGGTTTTGGTGACGGACTGGGTTTGAACTTCAACCAGGACTGCATTCTGGATCGAAAAGAGCACGACCTGGAAATTCAGCTTGCCACTCTCCAGAACATACGCAACGACTTTGCCGATAGCGGCTTCCGCGTCAGAATCGGTTTCGAAAACTGTATTCGGAACGAGGCTAATGAGCACATCTTCGAACCAATACAAGGGCTCCAGCGGAGCTGGACCAGGCTCTTGATCTTCCGCATGGCAGCCTGAGCCGAAAATCGGCATCAACTTGGGTTCATCTTCCTCGCCGATTGACATCAGGAAACCGTTGGCGTCTTCCGGGTGGCTACCTCCAGAGAAGTTTGCAAGCCTATCGAAGTAGAATTTGCCCGCTGCGAGAGACAGAATGACAAACGCGATTTCGCGAAAAGCAAAGCTGTCATGCCCCATTTCAGGGAGATGACCAAAGTATACCGATCTCGGTTGCAAGAGCTTGTCAAAGACGACTCGGGCGAAAACACGATAGAGAGGTGCCTTGTGCAGCGGCTCGTTCAATCGAATGGGCTCGACCCGGGTCACGGCATACTGTCGATATGTGTTGGTCCACATGTTTCGTTCATGGTCGGCGTCCGGAAAGTAGCTCGGTGGACCGATGCGGGATGAGCCTTGAGGACAATTGTCGGGGTCAAATGCGCCCCAGGCGAAAGCATCCACCAAACGATCGATGGGTGGGATTGCCCAGAGGTCGAATGCGATGCAGTCGTTGATGGAAAAGAGCTCGCAGTCGAGATCAATAAGGTAGATGTACTCGAGGAAATTGTCGTCTCCCGGGTAGAAACTTGTTGGTAATTCTTGAAGTTTATCATCCATGTCATGCCAACTTGAAGGGGATTCCTCCTCATCGATGTCCGACCCTTCTTCGGAATCCTCGTAGTTGCAATGGACACTCCGCATCTTCTCTGAAGTCACAACCAGGAGTCGGGTTTCCAATTCCTTGGTCATACTTTCGTAGAGGGCGCGTTAAGTTCTGAGCCATTCTTCCATTGACAGCCGTTAGTATGATTTCTCCTGGAAATGTTGCGGACTGTGCACCACTCACCTTGGTATTGCTGGGGTTCAGCGGGAATCCCGGCTACAATGTGTTTGCCATAGTATTCTACATAGCTGTCGGAGCTCAGGTAGTATACGAAGTATCGACCGCGGAAACAAATCATCCGCAGACCTCTGGTGACCATGTTGACAGGGTTGGGACATCGATGACAATCACATCAGTATTTACCACAGAGGTAGACGCTTGATCTAGGCACAGCCAAGGCTAATAGTTGTCTGAGTTGATGCAAGGGGTAAGACAAGGGGTAACAGGCAGCAGCGGGATGCCAGGATCATGGCTGACAAGCACCATCCAATTTGCACATCGCGTGCTACACATCGAATTTCAGCGGCATCAATGATTTTGCTATCGTCAGTGGCGTCGATTCCTTACCTTTTACGAAATGGTGATGAGAATTCCTGCGGAAAGATTCGCTGAATTGGATGATGGCATTACGACACCACAGCCCGTGTTGAGCAAGCTGGGCCGTCTGCATTGAAGTCGAACAGAAAATCGAGTGTGTGAAGTCTTTGATTTGCGGTTGGAAGGTCGTAGATGGAAGCTGTTTACACAACTAGGTGGGCTCGGAGGCTATCTTGACTAAGCTTTTCGCTTATCTCACGCTAATCAGGGTGATCGTAGGCATGGAACCCGAGTCAGCGACATGAGAGCCAAGGAGACTGAAGACCTTCGCATGCATCTTGAATATATCCAGCCTCAGGTCAAAATCACTACGACGCATGACTCTGGAAGTTTCGTTGCTCCAGCAAGTTCGCGGAAAGGGAAAATAGAACGCAGTCATTGATTGATTCCGCCGGGGCGTTGACCAAATCTACGGACCCGTTCTGTTGACCGCATATTCCGTGTGCCTCTGCCCTACAAGCCTACTGCCCCAAGGCTCCCTTGACCGCATCCGCACCAGCTGTAGCACCGGCACCGAAGATGGCTGCCCCTCCAAGGCGTTGGGGGACACTCTTCAGGAATTGGCCATGCTTTTGACATGTCAGACTGCTCTGAAGGGGGACCATGCGATGCATACCTTTGGGTGGTCTGGGTGAGCTTCGTTGTTGGGATCCTGCGAGTTCTTGTGGTGCTCGGCGAGGATCTTCTTGTCCTCCTCAGAAAGTGGTTGCTAGCGAGATGTGAGTACATGGTCGTTTGGCATAACAGGATCACTCCTCGAGGTATCCGTACGTCTGGCATGATTGTTTTTTAAGTTGCGTTGCTTATACACGTTGTCCAGGTGATTCGGGTGGAAGTTGAGGTAGGGAACAGAATCATGGGGTAGTGAGGTGAATGTATACTTTCAACATACTTTCAATCACCTCGGATAGTGACGCCATGCAACGCTGTGACGTCTTTCCGCAGGCTTCACTTTTGCACCACGAGTATTGGCAGTCCACCGTAATTCTTCTAAGTTACAGTATTAAGCGCTACAATGCCAAAACGTGCTTCTCTACGTGATTTCATTCGCGGCTAAGATGCGAGTACTTGGGGTATCAGACTTGCAACTCATCAAGGACGTCGTCCTTCTGTCGGGAGTCCCTTCGAACCTCGACCGGCAATATCAAGCTTTCTCTCTGCCTCGGCCCACGATACTACCGCCAGGTGTTCGTCTAGCCTAGGTACGTCTCACTCCTGGACGGTATCCTGGGTAGAAGGGAAGAGGCTTGTTGCAGTTCCCTCTTGTACTTGTAATAGATATGGAATCGAGGTGTCTAGAGATTGCCATTAGTATCATACAACCTTGATCTGATAGGGACCACCGTTCACTCACTGGATCAATCGTCGTTCCGATCTCTCATGTCGCTTGCTCATCTGATCCATTTTCCCTAGTATCTTGTCCAGATACCTGTGTATGTCGTCCATTTCCCGCCTCATCTCATTTCTGAGCTTTCCTATCTCCTTTGTAGTCATATCCGTACTTCCTCGCAATTCCGTCGTAATGTCACTGTCGGACTTCGGTATTTCATCTATTTCATCCACATCCTCTCGAGAAAAGGTGAGCAGCTCCTTCACGGCCGGAAAGAACTTTTTTCGCTGGCGGGCGAGACAGTTCTTGAACCGCTTGGCTCGAGGACGGCCGTGAGCGGGGATATCTGCACGAGTATGGTGAGGGTCGGGCAGGGATCCTTTCTCCGTCTCATCTGCCATAGTCACTGCTGGTAAGCCGCCAGAGTAACGCTGGAGGATGATGCCAAAGATGTCTTGGACGTACGTATGCCACCGTAAAGCATTTAGTCGTTCTTGCGAAAGGAGAAATAAAAGGAAACTCTTACATCATGAGGCATAGCCTTCTTGTTTTCCTACCATGGACTATTCGATCGCAAAAAAGCAGTCGTGGACTCTGTCGCACCGATGGCTCGCATGGAACAATTCCTGCCTTTTTCAAGGGTTACCACGGAAGGCATTTATGTGAACCGACGATTCGCCAACGCTGAGAAGATTCAGACGATGTACCAAAATGTGACACTGGACACTAACTTTTGCAGCTTGTGGTAGACTTGTAGATAGGTCGAAGCGAGGTCGAAGTGGGTTGGGGCTAAATCGTGGTATTACATGCTGCTAGAGGTTTGTCACAGTGACCTAGGTAGTGAAGAAACATGTAGTATCCGTAAGTAGTCTAGCGGCGTATGGACGAAACGAGCGAAGGAAAAGTGGCTAGTCAAGCCGAAGCACCGATTCTGTGTACTGTGGCAGCTCGACACCGATTGCTGTAGACGGACCCCTTTTGGCCCGCACTAACAGCCTCTTCTGTTTCCCTTTTCACGACCCATTGGATCGTGTGCCCTCACCGATCTTGGGGATCCGAAGAAAGTTCACGACCTTATCTCGGTCACGTGCAGTAGAGCTACAGGATCAAGCCTAAGGGGGCTTTATCGGGCCCGGCTATCAGAACACCAATGCATGTGCGATACAGGTTTCTTCGACAATGCGCAGATTGTACACAGCTTTCTGCACCTAACTCAAAGTCATCACCATGTCTTCCATGTCCCCCGCCACTCGCGCTGGCGATCGGCGCCGACTTCACTACCCTCGATCACGTAATGGCTGCTTGACATGTAAGCGCCGCAAGGTCCGATGCGACGAGCAGATGCCGAAGTGTTACCATTGCCGGCGTCTAGGACTGGAGTGTGAATGGAAATACCATGATCCGAACACAGCTTTACTGTCGGAGGAGTCGGGCATAGGACTCTTCGTCGAGACCAACGACGAGCCCCCGCAAGGCGGCACACGATCTGGTTCCGCCGCCATCTTCGACTTCAGCAGACCTGTGACTGATCCTGTCGAGGACTTATCATTATTCCAAGATAATTGGTTTACCGACTTTAACAACCTTTCTCCATCAGGATTCAGCACGCAGGAGCTGGGATTAGTCGGCATCGTTTTGCCCTCAACACAGCCTCCACTACAACCCCGAAGTGCGGCAGGGGCTTTGGAGGCATCGCTGGCATCACAACTCTCCCCCATCCTGGAACCTGTTGAGAATGGTCCTAGGAGCGATTCCGTGCAAGCACTGCTCGACCGCATGGCAGACTGTTCTCCCATGGTCCGGTATGCGATGACGGCGTTCACGGCCATCCAGAGTGATAGCGCCTCACAGAAAGCGAAGGATTACCGACAATGCTATGACAAAGCTGCAAACGAGCTATCAGATAGACTGCACGCATCGACTGGCCCTTTGACAGTCGACAACGACGAACTCAGACATGTTCTCGCCACCATCTTCTTTCTTACATATGTCGATGTATGACTTCTCTTTTCGCTCCATATCATCCCTTTGCGGTTCCTAACCTCGCTGCCAGTTTCTCACGGATCGGCTTGACCTGGCTCATTTGCACCTTGCAAATGCCCACAATGTTCTACAGGCTTTGGAGGAGAGTGCAGTAGGCCCCATAGGTATGTTCGGCGGCTTCTATTGCAATACTTAGATGTCTCTTCTAAGTACTACCTTATCAGAGCAGAGGATCATCTCCTGGATTCGGCTGTTAGATGCCCGCGCCGCAGTAGCTGGTGGAGAAGGAAACTTGGTGAACGATACATCTCCGATAGCTTCGTCGAGCGCCAGATCGACGTCAGCAAGCGAGCCACATATGAGTCGAGATTTTGCAGCCAATACTGGACCGCGGGAGACGATTTATAACATGCTCTGCCAGCCGGGAATCGAGTTCTTCCAAGAAGTCCAGACCATCACCGGCCGCATCGCCAGAATCGGCCACGATCGCCGCAGTCGAGGAAGCGTCGAGGACGAAACCGAGGTCATGGCCATCGCAGCAAACATCCTGAAAGACCTATCCTCTTTGTACGGTCGGAGACCCGCCATCTTGGACCATGCTCTGTCCGAAGCGATCGGGGTGGATATCCTGGCCGAGCCACTTACATTAGCCATTCGTCGGTCGTTCCAGACGTACGTCGCTAACTTTTACACTTGCTATATCCATCTGCATCGGGTTGCCCATCGACACTTACCTCGCTCGAACCTGGTGATGACAGCGATAGGGAGGGTCAAGGACATCATGCATTCGATGGTCAACGACGGTGAATCCATTCCCGTCAATATGCTATGGCCGCTCTTCATGTGGGGAAGCGAAGAAGACGACGAGGAAGAGTCTCAATGGATCCTCAAGACGATGCGGAGTTACCGCCACGCCGCCACCAACGCAGGCATGGCGGCCGAGCTATTACAAGCCGTTCGAACCAGGCAACGGGAGGCAGGCTTACGGGTCGACATCAGTTGCGTCTGCCTCGAGCTGTTTAAATGCAGATTCGCAATCATTTGAGGGTCCATCAACCTGCGAGAGGTGGGACTTGGTTGTGCTCTAAAATGTAACATCACATTGCAAGATCTACTTCCTTGTCGTCAGCTCCTTCTCGATGGGGACCATGGGCGCAGTCAGCTTCATCACACGTTCTTGCTTCTCGGCATCGACGAATCTGGGAAATGGCCGCCGACAATGTGCGCTCGTTTCCGGATACCCGCGCCGCTTCACGATGATCCACTTCATCCCGTTCACGCCGCTGGTCCCAACACCCCATTCGGGCAAACCCAGTTGTTTCTGCAGCACCGTCGCTTCTGCGACTTTACCGGTCGTGTAGAGCTCGTAAATTGCAACCAGGGTCTGACATTCAGTTGTCAGCGATCGGTGCACGGTAATCTGTGGAGAGAAGGATCGGGATAACTGACCTTGGGGAACAGGTTCGCCAGACCAGAGATGCAACCAGCACCTCCAACCGACAGCGCAGGGACAATCCAATCGCTCATGCCCGACAGGGCAACGAATTCCTGGGGACGAAACTGCTCAGCGATCCTAGTGACCTTCGCAATGCCTCCGCATGTCAACTTAACGCCGCATATGTTCGGGTGCGAACCTAGCTCGGCCAACATATCTGAGTCAACGTCGAGCCCGGAGAGGAGGTTCGGGAAATTGTAGATCAAAATGGGTACAGGCGAGCGGTCGGCCACTTCCTGAAAGAAGGCAACGACCGCCTTTTTGGTCATGGCCCAATGAAAAATGCTGGGAACCAGCACTAGGGCGTAGTCTGCACCACTTCTGTGGCCGGCCGTGATTTGCGACATGATGTCTCGTGTGCAGCCCGCAATACAGCCGATGGTGACGGGGAACTTGTCTTTGCCCTGGGCTTTGGCGATGGAACGGGTTCTGCTGACTAGCTGGCTCCGTTCGTCCATGGTCAGTGTTGCCGCCTCGCCGCTAGAACCGGCGATTACGACTGGTCTCTTGTCAATTCTGTCTCCAGGGGAAGGGGACGGTTGGACTTACTGCCGTGTACTCCGGATTTGACCAAGAACTCCAAGTGGTTTTCTTGGGTTGTCCAGTCAATGTCTTGCTTTGCATCGTCTTCAAAAAAGGTCACAGATGGGGCGTGAATCCCTGGCGGGAACGCTTTTGATCTCGAGTCTTCGTAAGAACCCATGACTTGTTGATATGCAGTGCGTTGTCGAATGCCTCAGAAGAGAGAAGAGAAGGAAATCGGAGTACTCTAGATATCTTCATGACTGTCTGTTACAATGAACGCTCTTACATGCGATCGGATGGAAGCATCTACGCGGTCGGATCGAGGTGGGTTCGCTGCGCGTGGTGGAAACGTTAATTGGACGAGCCGATCGGCTCGGCTCGCGTCGAAAACTTGGGATCTTTACGACCGGCTCGGACGCCTATCATTTGTTAGATACCAAAGATGTCTGCGGATAGTGAGATGTCGTCGTGGTATATATACACCCAGTCAATGCATCTGCTCTTGGTGCTGATTGTGGTGCATTCTTTCTGAACGAAAAAGTCGAACGTACATCATGACTGACAAACAAGAGGTCGAACGCACGCCTACGCTGGAGCAACCAGGGCCCTGGGTGATGGAGGATGTGACTATGGTTACGTTGACGGAGGAGGATGTAAGTCGGTTTTGATACGCTTCGAGATGAACATTGCTAATGCTCCTTCCCTAGGACCGTCATATCAGAAGGAAGACAGACATCCATCTCCTGATAATGCTGACGTGGATCTACTTCCTACAAGTCTTCGACAAAGCAGTGTTTGGAACCGCAGCCCTCTTCAATCTGCGACAGGACACTGGACTCACGGGTGCACAATACTCCCTCGTGGCGTCCATCTCGTCGATAGCGCAGCTGTCATGGCAGCCGTTCTCCGCCTGGCTTATCGTCAAGGTTCCACACCGGATCTTGATGCCCTCGCTCGTCCTTGGATGGGGTATTGCGGAAGCATGCATAGCCGCAGCTCGCAACTTTCCTGAACTGCTCGTCGCTCGCTTCTTTCTAGGTCTTTTCGAGGCCGGCTGTATCCCTCTCTTCACGATCATCACGGGACAGTGGTACCGGCGTGCTGAACAACCACTCCGGGTCTCGGCTTGGTACTCTATGAATGGTCTTGCCACTATGGCAGCTTCTGCTGTATCCTACGGCCTTGGTCACATCGATTCTGAACTACTCAGACCATGGCAGATGTGAGACCGTTCCGGTCCATGATGACGGACACTTTGCTGATACTTGCGCAGAATCTTCCTTTTCGCCGGTCTCCTTACAATCCTCAGTGCACCACTAGTCTACTGGAAACTGGACAATGGGGTCACTAGTGCCCGTTTCTTATCAGAGCAGGAACGGCTTCAAGCCGTCAAACGCCTCTCCACCAACCAGACCGGCATTGGCTCGTCCAAATTCAGGTGGGCTCAAGCCGCCGAAGTGGCTATCGAACCCAAGTCCTGGCTTTGGGTCATCATGGCCGTGCTGCCGAACCTAGGATCGGCGTTGACGAGCTTCTTCGGCCCAATCATTATCGCAGGTCTAGGGTTCGACAAATATGAGGCATCACTGCTCAACATCCCATTCGGAGCGATGCAAACCCTCGTCATCGCAGGCGCATGCTGGGTTTCTTATAACATGAAAATGAAAGGTGTTGCTCTGCTCGGCTTCATGCTACCAGTGGTGGTGGGCATCGCGATGCTTTACGGGCTTGATCGGAGCACATCTTCCCGGCCGGCACTGCTCGCAGCCTATTACTTGCTTGCCTTCCTGTTTGCCGGGAACCCTTTGCTTCTCTCATGGGTCGTCGGAAACACCGCCGGAACAACCAAGAAATCTGTGACTCTGTCGCTCTACCAAGCCGGTCTATCCGCAGGAGGCATTGCGGGTCCATTCATGTTCAAAGCCGACCAAGCGCCAGTCTACCGATCCGGAGTCCTCGGTGTGCTAGCGATATTCATCGCATTGATTGCGTGTATCGTCCTGCAGCTGGGAATACTCACCTGGTTGAACAAGCAGCAGCGGAAGAAGAGGATACAAAACAGCAAGAGCGCGGATGTTGTTGATCAGTCCATGCAGAAGAAACTCCACGCCTTTGATGGCATTGAGGAACAGCGATTGGAGGCTTCTGCGTTTGCTGACATAACAGATCGGCATAATGATGAGTTTGTATATATCTACTGAAGAAGCTGCGTCTTGAGCCTTGACAGGAACATTCAGGCACGTTGTCAGTCATTGAACGAGATGAACCGTGGACCAGTACCGTCAACGCTGGTCTTCACCCTTGGAGTTTGGGTTTATGGTAGCAGGAGGTGGGAAAGGAACATGCAGGCTGCACATAACAGTAATACACACACTTGATTCTGATGCTACTGTATCGACTGGACTCTGTTCCCGTGCTTGCGCTTTTCCCGTGAGACATTCGATCTCGACTTGAACTGTGGTGCCGCTTTTTGCTGGCTTAGATTAGTTCTTGCTATGAAAGAGCATTGTGGATTGGGAACAACTCCAATACGGCGCTTGGGCATGGGTCGGGCGACAAGAATCAACGAGAAATGGCGCAACCGGAGTGAATTGTCCTTACGTAGTCATTGTCGAATTCTACTGTACATACAGTTTCTGCACATGGCTTCTATGGAAGCAGGTGCCAGACTTCTCCCTTGCCGCGAGCCTCGAAAAGGAACCGCTTTGCACTCGCAGTAGAACACATGCTACATCACCTCATCTCTGCCCCCGAGCCATCAATGAGATTGAACTCACTCGCCGAGCACGTGCCGCGTAATTGATTGCCTACTAGAACTACTCAGGCGTACGCAGCCTTCCCCAGACAGGCAATCTTCAAGACTGCTTCACTCCGCAGATATCCCTCATCATCCGTTTTAGAAAAATGTGAATCAGGCCGCGCAGGAACACGAGCAGTGGTTCTAGGCCCTATTTAGTTGATGTCCTGGGGAAAGTAACCCACACTGTTGCTAGCCTCCTTCGTTGGGATCTCGGAGGCCACGATTTACGCTGCGCCATTCTACATGCGGTAGTTGCCCGATATGGAACGTAGCGACGTCCGTTGAGGTTTGCCACATGTCCAAGCAGAAGACGAAGTCTAACATTCACCATCACATGTAAGCGTTTCAGTATGTAATCTTGGGTTGATGACGACGTTAAGATGTCGAATAGCGCTAAGCACACAAACACGGTATGGCAGCAGTATATTTTGCGTCTTTGAACCAAGTTACAGTACTTCCCTGCTCCAGCATTCTCTCCAGTTCGACTGGATGATCTCCGGGCTTTGCCGTCCCCCGAGAGCCACTAAACGTAACCTAGACACGTGCCTAGTGAATCAATCGTGCACTCAAAGAATCAACAGGTTCACCGTAGCATTCTGGGTTGCAGCAATACACGTCAAGGTGCCAAACGTGCCTCCGTACTCCGTACGTCATGCATGATTCGCCGGTGAGACTTGGAGACCTGGAGGCCTGCAACTGTTCCTTGTGTTTGTACACATTCAATCCAGCTCGTCTCCGTCTCGCTTTCGGCCACACAATACGCATCGTGGCTGCTCTATCTATGGTTGCGACATCTGCGTACGACCCTCAAAACTCTCCTCAAATGCCTCCCTAACAAATGGGTTCACTGCAATGGTTTTTGTTTGTTTACATCTTCGGCGGCCTGACCTTCATACCACTTTTCGTAGCCTTACTGCTGCTCCATGCATACTACACCTTACCTCCACCGAACGATGACGGACAGAAATCGAACCGAGACCCTGCCAACCTGATCCGAACCGACGATGACAAACTAGCCTTCAAGACCACCACCGACGATCTTGCCGAGAAGTTCCACCGAAAGCACGATTCAGATGTCGCCGCAGGATACTTTGCTGTATGTCGAGAATATGTCCCCGGCGGTGTCAATGGCAAACCACCTGAGAAGCTTACTTCCGCGGGCGATGTCGTCGCACAGGAGTCGCCTAGTGTCTACCAGAGCATGTACAGGAGTATATTCGATCGGTCGCAGAAGCCTACCATCGAGCCCAACAAAGACGGTAACCGGAAGGCTGTCAAAAGAGCGAACAATGTTTTCTACGTGGTGCTGAGGCACGGCCATCTTATGCTCTACGATGACTTACAGCAGTTGGAGGTGCGCTATGTGATCTCTCTGGAGTATCACGATGTTGATGTGTATGGCGGTGAAGAGGGAATACCTGAAGGAGAACTGTGGATCAAACGCAACTCCATTCGGCTAAAAAGGAAAAAGACTCGAGCTGGGGACACATCCAGTTCTATGCCTTTCTTCCTGTTTGGCGAGAGTCAGTCTGAAAAGGAGGATTTCTATTACGCATTGCTGCAGAACCAAGACAAGAGTGCGACTGAAGACCTGCCCGTTATACAAGAATTTGACTTGGATCATATTGTTACATTGGTGCAGAAGCTGCACTCTTCTGAAGAGTTCCTGCAGACGCGATGGCTCAACGCGATGATCGGACGACTGTTCTTGGCCTTGTACAAAACACCGGAGCTGGAGGGATTCATACGAAACAAGCTCGCGAAGAAGATATCCAGGGTCAAAAAGCCCACTTTCATTACGAAGCTGGCGTTGCGCAAAATCGACACTGGTACTGGAGCGCCCTTTGTCACGAATCCAAGGTTGAAGGACCTGACCGTGAATGGTGATTGTACAGTCGAAGCCGATGTCAATTATGCTGGAAATTTCCGAATCGAAATTGCGGCCACGGCTCGGATTGACCTGGGAACCAGATTTAAAGCTCGCGAGGTTGACATGGTCTTAGCAGTCACTCTCAGAAGAATTCAAGGACATATTCTATTCCGGTTTAAGCCACCTCCGAGCAATCGGATCTGGTTCACCTTCGAGCGTCTGCCACACCTGGATCTTCAGATTGAACCCATTGTCAGTTCGCGACAGATTACCTACACCTTCATCCTTCGAGCAATAGAGAACAGAATCAGGGAGGTGGTAGCTGAGAGTATTTGTCTGCCTTTCTGGGATGATATCCCCTTCTTTGATACGAGCGGTCAACGTTACCGTGGAGGCATCTGGCAGAGGGAAGCAGATTCTACCACTTCCACGGATATACCCGATGAGATGCCCGAAGACGAAGCAGAGGCAGGTGCATCAGGGGATAGGACGCCGGTGGAGATGGGCAGAGGTGAGAGAGTCATGAGTATGCCCGTTTTGCCCGACCCCAAGCCATCCAGCAAAATTAACGCCGCAAAGAAATCGGTCTCTTCGCTGAACGAGTTTCTGGGTATGAAAAGTTCCGAGAATGTGGACAAGTCTGAAGTCTTGCCCCCGAGGTTAATGCGGTCAACGTCGTTTGCGAGTGCTGCAAATCCAACCGTGACAGCAGACAACGCAGACGTCGGCAGTCCGACACGAGACTCCAATGCTGGTGCGAAGAAGGAGAGCGTTGCCAACCTTCTCAAGGACCTTTCAGCTAGAGCCACTTCAGAAAATCCATCACCAGCAGGCTCCCAGGCGGGGTCGCCGCCAGTGGAGTCAGCTATGGCAAGGGCAATGAGAGACAGGAAGAGGTCCTCAAGCAGGACTTCGCTAGCAGATGAGGTCCGCGCGTCCGACAATGAGACTGAAACCGGACTGTCCTCTTCACTTCCTGAGGCAACGTCAAGCCGGGCTTCGATTGTCTCCAATGAGACAGAGGACACTAATGAAAGCGACGATAAACCAGCTCGACAGAGATCAAAGAATACCAAAAGTTTCGCGGCGCGGTCCTTGAACAAAGAGGACAGGAAACAAGCCATCGCATCCATCAACGCAGCAGCTGCTGCCGCACATAAATGGGGCTGGGGTGTCTTAGCAAGAAACAGGCAACGCGATGGTCAGTCAGAAAGAGATGAGTCTTCGACACCTAGAGAACCCATGGGCCGGGGTAGGCCGCTTCCGCCACCAGGAACCCCATTGCCGCCACCTGAAAAGCCCATTCGGAACAACTCGTTCATGGCACCAAAGAGGAAACCAGTACCGCCTCCGCGTCTGCCCTCGCGTACAGAGACTGATGGGTCGACGAATGCGCATTCACCCCGAAAGGTGACAAAGCCTCCACTTCCGGAGCGGCGCAAACGGCAGACCTCAACGCAACCTGATGATCAGTCTGAGGATGAGGTGCTTGTCGTTGAAGCTCCCACTGACTCGACACCGGGAAGCCCAGCAGCCGGTGAACATCAAGACGAGTTCTTCGGTCATATGGAACCAGCAGCAACAGCAGAAGAGTCGGTGGCATCAGTGTCGGATGATCATCTTCCAGCCGAGCCAGAAGAGCCCACGACAATGGTGCCAGAAGAACCTGTAGCGACGCTACCAGAAGAATCCACAATAGCAGTGCCAGAAGAGGTCACAACGACATCCCCATCGAAGCCTGCAAAACCGGCTCTACCGGCTCGACCTAGTGAAATTGCTGAGCATCATCCCAACAATAAGGAGGAACTCAATAGACAGGAGATGGGCATGTACACTTATGAATCATGAGAGGTCTGGAGCATTATGGAAATGGAGTATCAGGAATAAAGGTATTAATTGAAGATGTTCAAGTAAACCATTATCTAATAGGAAGATTTGGTCTATCGAACATCCTTGTCACCCGAGTCCGCCACTGTTATATGTAGAGGACGTAGCAGCAACATCCTCGGATATGTGACTGTAACCCTTCGCTCCAGACACAGATGAAGTGTGACTGCGATAAGGATGCAACCCAATCAACTCCTCGCCTGGAGAGTCATAAGTATACCGCCGTAGTTTGCGTGCTCCCACAAAATGATGGAGTCTGGGCAACTGTTCGTCTGTCAACGTGGTTGGTACCGACATTCCGCCCTTGCCGTCTGATGATGCTCTCCACGTCCCCATACCTGCGATCTCAAAAGCAAGCCTTTGCAGTTGCTATATCTCATCCATTTCCCAACCGATTTCTGCCTCGTCGGTGTGGGCAAGTTTTCGCCGCAACTTCCTGGTCGCGGTGGGCAGACAAAGGTTGAGTCCGATGATCAGACAGCCAAAGGAGAGGACAAGAAATTTGCCCAAGGCGGTGAAATTGGTGTGCGTCGTGCTTCCAGCTTTCTGACAGTCGCACATATCTGCGTACAAAGTTGTGTTGGTCCGTGTAAATGCTCGTAGTTACACCTGGCTTTGCCCTTCCGTAACACTAGTTGCAAGCAATACTCTCAGCATGCCATAGTGAATGTGGCTGAGTATCTTGAGGCTCCATGGCCCAGTCAAACAGCTCATCGATCGATGAGCCTGCGGACATGGCCTCAAGCTGATCATCCGCACTGTCTAAGGTCATATTGGGCGAGTTTAGATGCTCAGTGTGGCTGCCTTTTGCTGTGACAAATGGGTTGACATCGTCCTTTCTCCCCAATTTCTCCAGTAGCTTCGCATCTTCAGGGCCTGCGTTGCGGGGTTCGACACCGAGACGTTTTATGCGGGACTCCAAGTGATACAAAGCAACTTCGATGGCTGTCCGGCCGTGCTGAGATTTCCCTAAGGAACGCAAGCAGACAACGGCTTCATCCAGATGCAGCGGACACGACCGTCTCGTCTTGCGCCACTCAGCCAGTTCCACATACAGATTGATGGCATTGTACACCAAGCCCATGCCCAGAGTTGGTGGGAGCCATGAGCCTGACGAGTACAGCTCCTGGACGATCTTGAGACCCTTTCCCGTGTCTCGCTCGATGCTGGATCGAACTCCCAGGTCTACCACGTCCGAGTTGGCCGGCTGTAATCGAGACTGGAGAAGTGTGTTTGATGTGCTGAGGAAGAGCAGGGACAATAGTCCACGGTGATAGTCGAGCACTGGCGAGGGAGCTCCGGGGTTAAAGCGTAGTTCAGGCTCCAGTTCCGAGTCCCATCTCCGTAAAGCCTGCTCAAAATAGATCGATACCCCTTGGAAGACCTTTGCAAGTACCGGCAGTTTACATGAGATGGCTGAAATCTGGCTCAAATGGCAGACCAGCTCCGTACGTCGGACTGCCAACTGCATCATTAGTCGATGCATCTTGGGGCTGTCAACGACTGTGGCCCCAGAGAGATCGTCCTGCACGTGCGTAGGAAAAGGTGATAAGTCGAAGCAATCCAGACTCAAGAATGGTACGTCGTATGGAGTGTCCTGCAACCGTTGCGGCGTTCCAAGTTCCAGCCGCAAGGTATTGTCTCGTACGAAGATTGACCACCACAGTCGCTTGCCTGAGTTCGAACGCTCAACCTTCATCAGGGAGTATGCCGCTGCATTCTCAAATCCCAATCTTTGCGCCAGAAGGTGACCTTGTGCTAACCATATCGTGCTCGTTTTCGAACACTGGTGACTAATAGACATCAAGAGACAGGCTTGTGCAACTGTTAAGAGGTCCGCTTCCACGTCAAACTCGTAGAGTAGCTAAATTGATCCCAGTCAACTCGATTCAAACCATTTCAGCTCATCTAATGATGGCTCTCCAAGATACAAGCAGCCTCGTCAGGCAGGACTCACCTTTACTCGATTGAACATTCTGTCCTGGGCTTCATTCCGAGCCCCACAGCCATATAATCGTAATACCTCCTCGTCAAGATGGGCCATACCAGCGTACATGACTGCTTGAAACAAGAGCAAGCTGACCTTCGGACCATTCTTGCCTACGACAGCATTTAGAAGTGGTTGAAGATCTAGAACGGGAAGCTGAGGATGAATATAGTTGCAGTAACTCGTCAGCAGCTCGAGCACGAGCTTTCGTTCAGGCACCCTGAATGCTCCTCTCCTCAGAAGGTGGACCATATCGTCCTCGGGCAAATGAGGACGTTTGAGGAACGTCAAAGTCGTGTCATTGTCAATCCCAGTAGATGGCTGACGGTCATGATATGTTGAACAAGCTGGAAGCTTCGTTTGTTCGTGTTCGCTCAGCGAGCCATGGTTACGCTGCCCGTCTGCAGGGCTCCATGAAGCCGTTGGCGATGATGTTTCTGACTCATGCTGGTGCTCTGAGTGGTGAAAGAGCTCTGTATTACATCGCCGACAGTGATCTTTCGGGTATTTCCTGCGTAGGCTGTCAGCAGATTCGGGGCATATGTTGTTTGAATCGTACTTGATGCGAGTGTTCTCGGCTGGGTTGCAAGGTATTTGTTGGTATCGACAATTTGAGCAGGGCGATCCGAACATTTGCATGTCACACCTCACTTTTCGAGCTCGACATGTTTCGCACGCCCTCGTAGAGCGCTTTCTCTTGTTGTCTGTCATTTTGGACTGCGATGTAGAGACCGTATCCAACGTCAGACTGTCTTGTGGTGTGGTTCTGGTTGCTGGAATCGGGCAGACGATTCAATGGAGCTATTATGTGACTGCGTCCTTCAGACCGGATATCGACCTCCGCCGTCGATTACCCAATACCGAGATAGGCTTCTGGAGATACCTAAATATGACTTTCCCCTAAAGCTGTAGCGACGATCGAATCGCAGGTTTAATGTTTCCAAGGTTATAGCTTGGAGTCTCCCAGTCTCAAAAGAGACTGACCTCGTCTAACTCTGTCCGCTCGTCAGGCCAAATTCGATGTGATTGCTCGATATTCCTCTGAAGTTTCTCGCATGTAACTGGACATCTTTGAATATATGAAACTAAGAAGGCGATCAAGTCCAATCGGTCAATCGTAGTATACTGTCAAGGAAGCAGCTCCTTTTAATTTACTTGTACTTGAAGTTGTACCTTCGATACTAGCCGCTCTCTCAGACGAAGCCACTATCCCCGGTCACAAGCTCAACCGAGTGGGTTAAAACTTGGGTTGCCGCTTTCAGATTTACCAAGCACATGTTCAGGGATGTACTTGCTCTGGAGAACCCTACTTTATGATTCATCAGCATGTGTGGCCCCAACCAAGGCCTCTTTTCGGCGTCGCTTTTGTCCACACCGCGAATACTCCATGCAAATGCAGTGCAGGGTCCAATGTCGGAGGACATTCTCCGACCAAAAGTGGAAAATTGTGGATACACAAGTCCTGAATCGTACCCATGAATTGACACTCGCCGCACTGACTCGCGCTCAATAAGTCAAGAATTCGGCATCGGTTCACGATCTCCAGTCCAACTCCCCCAAGGGAACTTAATTCGGGAAAGGTTCCCGTAGCCTTGCGGAGAGGTCCAGCAGTTGTTAGTGTGGTTTCTCAGGACCCCAGAGCCAGGCTTTGCGGAGAGGTGCGTTCTGTGGAGGTGGCAAGTTGGAGCGTCCCTGGGAGACCACCACCGCCGCGACCTTCGTGTCTGCTGGTAGATTGCAGAGGCCTACGCCATACGATACACTTCAGCAGACTAGAGCTGTGCCTGACAAGTTAGGTCTTGCAAATCAAAAGCGAGCGCTCCTCAGGACTACAACGACCAAGCATGTCAAAGGTTGCATTAATCACAGGCGGAGGTAATATACTCTTCGTGCTTCTGCCCGTCCCTTTTCCTTCTCAAGTGTTAATGGCACACTTCGCCCTGCCTTTTTTTTGGATAGTTCACTGACGGAGATAACGCTGCAGCATCTGGGCTCGGATTGGCCACGTCTCGAGCCTTTGCTAAAGATGGGTGGACAGTCGCAATTGCAGACTTGAATGTTACAAGCGGCGAGCAGGTTGCAAAGGAGCTCGGCGGCACCTTCTACAAGACCAACGTCACAGACTGGGACAGTCTGTCCGACACGTTTGCCCGAGTCTGGAAGGAGTATGAAAGACTTGACTTTGGTCAGTGATCTCCCTGAATCACTGCCTCGTCCAACTCGTCATCATGACTGTGTTCCGCGCCTAGCTTTGTGGATTGTACTTGTACTAAGTCTTCGATAGTGTTCGCAAACGCCGGTATCGTAGAAAAGGTCGACATCTACAAGCACGAAGAATCGGATGCCAGGGGACTGCCACCCAAGTTGGACACGACTGTGATGGACATCAACCTAACATCTGTTATCAACACATCGTATCTGGCCATCCACTTCTTCCGAAAGAACACAACACCAGGTGGTGCACTGGTGATAACAGCGTCTTCAGGAGGTCTATACCCAGTCCCCTTTCTCCCCATGTACGGCGCGGCGAAGCATGGCTGCGTAGGTTTCACGAGGTCAATCGCCACCACTGTGTCCAAAGAGGGCATTCGAGTGAATTGTATCTGTCCTGGAGCTGTGCGGACGGGATTACTGGCGCAGCACGAATGGGATAGATTTCCGCAAGCTACGTTTGTCCCGATTGAGAATGTTGTCAAGGCAGTGCAGATGCTGGTCAACGACGACACTCTCAATGGTAAAGCAGTCGAGTTAATCAAGGACGAATGGAAGTTCAGGGATCCGCCTGAATTTGAAGATGAGGCCATGAAAGAAGTCATGTCTGTGGACGGCACGGCTTTTGATAGTCAGAGACATTAGCTCGATTCAGAGAGTTGTCAGACAAGATATGATAGTTTGTTCGGCAAACGTAATTCCACGTCCTGGATATCTAGCATACTGAAAGGAGCAGTCTGTATCATCTCAGGCTGTTCTATCAGAAGTTGTGCTCGGAATTTCCAAATGCTTTCAACAATTTGAATGCCCCAGCAACATCACTTCCGGAGCTGGCAGATTCATGGAATGTGCTCAGTTCCTTTTCGCTATCGAACTCATGCTGTGGGTGGAAGGGATCTGGTTAGCACCACTTATGAACAATTAGAGAGCTACACACGTACCAGTGCCAGATACTGAGGCGGTTCAGCCAGCTTTTTCTCCTCCTGAGACATTCTGTTCTGCCTTCCAAAGTACAATTTGTACAGTCTTACCCTCGAAGCATTTGATTCATACTTCTTCAGGTACCAGCCAAGGACATCATGGTCACCAGATGGCCCGCTTTCTGAAGGCAGATCGAATTGGTGGGACGCAATGAGTGATATTGGACCTTTCTCAGTGCCAGATTCGTGCTTTGCAATGTTGGTGTAGTATCGAGTGTCGAAATCTGCAAGGTCGAAAATGCATTTACTCTCCGATGGGACCAGGTCGCTGTGGACAGGAATAGATTTGAACTCGGCTGTCTGCAGGAATGAAACATCTCGTAAAGGATATAGAGCTAGGTATGGTCTCTCTACGGCTTCAGGGTTCGGGGAGGTCGTGTAGTAGCGATAGGCCGACTTGATGCCAGAGGTCTCGAAAATGTCTGGGATGTGTACATCCTCGTACCACTCGGTAAATATTTCTGGAGACAATGTTGAAGATGTGAGTTTTGAGTTGACGTACAGAACGCCAGGTCCTGTAGCCTGTGACGCCATGGTAGCAATGCTGAAGGCTGAGAGCTGTGGTAATACAGAAAGGGAAGATTTGGACACCTTGATAGCTCACTGCACACTGTGGATGGAGTTCGGCAGGACAATGTGAGGCCCCGGTTATCTGTGCCCAGAAGCACCGAGGACGATGTTGCTACTGTACAAGGCGAGACTCTCAGGGCATATGCGGAGAAATGTTATGGGTCAATTTAAAACGGGTCAATCAGGCACGGATGGATATTATCAGCCGGGGTCAAGATAGTATGCGGAGAGTTCAGGCCTTCCAACACCATTGGGGAAGACGCGGGGGATGCCCGGTAAACGAATGAACTTCGATAGTGCTGTGGTGCGACAGGTATCAGACATCTAGAAGAACGGCGGTTCTCGATCGCTGTCAGTGGCCCCTGCAGTGCGGCGTTGTGCAATTCTAATCGAACTTTACGGCATACACTTCAGGTGAGAGCATGGCTGGGAAAGTTGCTCTCGTCTTCGGCGCCAGCGGTGTCTCTGGCTGGTCGTTCGTTAACGAGATCTTGAACGACTACCCCAAGAAAGGGGTCTGGCAAGAAGTCTATGCTTTGACAAATCGACCGCTATCCAAAGAGACATCTTGTTGGCCCGATGATCCACGGCTGAGCATTGTGTCTGGAATCGACCTCCTCAAGGGCACCCAAGAAGACTTAGAAGCGGAACTCAAGGAGAAAATCCCGCACGTCGACAGAGTGACGCATGTCTATTATCTAGGTATGCAATCACCTCATCGTTTGGGTGAGCCTACAGTGCAATGCTAATCAGCAACAGCATACAAAGCCAACAACGATATGCATAAGGAGCTAAAGGATGCCGTAGACATGTTTCAGAGATCGACGACCGCCATGGACTGTTTGTCACCGGCCCTGGAATTCGTCATCCTCCAAACCGGAGCCAAGATGTACGGATGTCACTTACTCGAGAACCATCCAACAGATTACATGTCTGTACCATTATCGGAGAATCTGCCTCGACTCAAGGAACCATATCACGATCTCCTCTTCTACCATCCGCAATTGGATTGGCTTACTGAGTACTCGCGTAGAAAGAAGTGGAACTGGTGCGATACCAGGCCAGACATCATCATCGGTTTTGTGCCGAACCAGAATTTCTACTCACTGGGAACGGTATTAGGAATCTACCTCGCATTATATCGCGAAGTGGAAGGGCAAGGTGCCGAGTGTCCGTTCCCAGGAACGTCCAAGAGCTGGATTGCGAAGAGTCACGACAGCTCCAGCGACATGATTGCTCGACAGACATTGCATCTTTCCCTCACACTTCCGCTGGACAGGAAGGGCGAAGGGTTCAACGTCGCAGACTCACGACAACACGAGTCGTGGAGCACGAAGTGGCCCGATCTGTGTGGCTACTTTGGTCTGAAAGGGACCCCGCCACCGACCGCGGGTGATCTGGAAGTTCGGAAGTACATCCACGAACACTTTGACACATGGAAGAAAATGGAAGAGACATATGGATTGCGATCGGGAATTGCTAATTCGGACCTGACATTCCAAGGATTCGAGTATTTCCTGCTGACGCAGTTCGACTTCGATCGCCAGTATGACATGACGAAGATGTACAAAACGACTGGATTCAAGGAAGAGAGGACAACCATACAGGCCTGGGGAGTTGTTTTTGACCGTATGAGAGCGGCGAAAATCATCCCCTAAGCATTGTGCTTGAATCTGCCGACGTCCCTACAAGTTGACAGAGAGCGTATGTAAAGACTGAGTGTATCGTAATGAAACAACATTTGATACACTGACTATGGTTTAACACTATCCTTTTCCGCATTCCATTATCGTATAATCATCCCACATGCCAAGTTAACAATCATTTCTCCCTATTCGACGGCCGCATCTGGTTCCAAAGCTCATCTAATGCCGCCATGGTTCGAGCAGCGGATCCGTCTTGTTGCTCCCGCGTCGCAGACCTTCGGTCCGTAGACTTATTGGAGTCGTCCGAAGGCCTCGGCATAAAGGCCGTGGCAGGTGTGCTTTTCGGTGTGGGCAGAATTGCAAAGTCATCATCCCGGCCTACCAGATTCGAGAAATCGCCTCGGTCGCTTGACAGCAGCGAGAGGAAATCGAGGTTGTGCCCATTGCTGCCCAATGGATCGTCCTGCATCCGGTTCTGGGTCTGAAACACGGAAGACTGGAATGCGAATGGATTGGAGGAGCTTGGTGGAGGTGACACCGCGGGTGTCTCTGCGCCCATCCATGCTGAGGTGTGCGAAATGGGTATGGGTGGGCCGTTGTTGGTGAAGGCCGACCAAGTTTTGTTCGTGAACATGGGGTAATCCAAGACCGATGAATTGTTGTTGGACATTGAGTTCCAAGCTTCATCCAGGGTAGCCGACTCGATGCGCGGAGTAACGACCACGAAGCCATCCAATGATGGCTGGTTCTGGTTCTGGTTCGTCAGCCTCGTGCCCTGTGAATCCTGGTCCATTGCTGAAGAAGAACCGTCCACTTCTGTGACGGAAGGTGTTGGGTTGGGCTGGCTCTGGGACATAAACCCCTGACCCATCGTTCTGGGTGGGCTTGCTCGGAACGACTGATGTCTTTTGCTGGATGGCGCGAAACGCTCCGTGTCCCCGTCGTTGGTACTTTCTCTTCGAGCTGGGACAACTTTCGTTTGCTTTGGTTGAGGCATAGTTGCCCAGAGCTCCGCAATCACCGCCTGCAGAACGCCAGACATCCTCTCAGCCGGCTGGTATGTCTCCGACATGTCCTCCAAAGCCGCACCAAGGGTCTCCAGATAATGCATATTGGCATCACGGGAGGAGGAGTCCTTGAGCGATGCCAAAGCCGCAACCAATGCTGTGGCTGCTGTCCCGGCATGTTGCAAGCCCGTGACGAAGATTCTCCGGGTTTCATACTTCTGGCGGTGCTGCCAGAAGATACGCGCCACGCGCACTGCATGCTGCGTGCAGATCGTCCGCGACATCGAGGACAGGTGCATATTGGGCTGAGGCGTGTAATCTTCCATATTACCATCGGTGTTGGATGACTGGATATCACCGTACCTTGCGAACGGACGGTGAAGGAGAATCATCGTGACGTGATATTGCTGATGCAGCAGGAAGAATGAGAAGGGTGCCACCCGGATGTTCTCTGGCGTCCATTGCAACGCTTTCGGAAGGCGAGTATAATATATCTCGAGCTCTCGGTTCAAGTTAGCCATCCGCATGAAGACATGGTGATTCACGTTGACGTTATCTTCAAGTCTTGACGCCTGATCCATGAGTTCAGTTATTGTACCCGCGATCTCCATCAGTTCCAGAAGGGACTCATAGACCTGAGTCTCTAGACTCCTTTCCGGGCCGGCAGGCAAAGACTTGCCCAGTCGCTCAAACTGCTGTGAGAGATTATAAGTTTCCAGGTCAGAAGATTTGAGGCTGGTCGGCCGCCCCAAGAAGAGAGCCCAGTACTTGTCGTAGATCACGCAGGCGAATAACGTCATTCTTCCAATCTCAATTTCTCTCTCCGATAGTCCAGATTTGCTTCGGTCGAGGTGCAAGCCAATATCAAAGCACAACCGGTTTGCCATACCAGCATAGAGCCAACCGACGTTATCTCTGCCCACGCTGCATTCTAGGTCTCCAAGGAGCAATAATGCCTGGATTGACGGAATGCCACCTGGCTGCTCGATTTCGTAGTCCAGCATAAACTTGGCCTCTTTGTGGAGTGTGCTTTCTCGGGCGGGCATTGAGATTCTTATCATGTCGGGACGTGTTTTGTCGGAACATCGATAACCTACTGCCAATATGCAAACGTGAAGGAACCCGGAGTAAAAGGGCCCTCCGGTCGCGCGGCACTCCTCAAAGGCAGCTCGGTTTACGACGTGTATCACTGGGTTGTAATGTGTCCAGAACATGTCCATCAGGTAATTGTGCGTTTCGGTGGTCAGTGTGTTGATGATTCTTTGCGTCCGTCTCTCCTGCTCGAGGGCTTGTCGGTGGAGGAGTTCATTTTGCAAATGGAGATCGGAATGGACATGGCAATTGGTAGTCGGTCCGAAGTAGCGCAGGCGCCCGCTCAGCTGGTCGAAGCTAAGGTGACCTCTTGTGGACAACAGCTTGTTGACCATACTTTCATTGCTAGGCATCGACAGGTTGGCTGGCGGCGAGTAGCCATCGGTGGTATCGGAATCGGTGATGATCGCGGCTTCATTTTGCTGCTCGTTGACTTCTTGAGGCTGCGTGGGCTTTGGGTCGGGGTCTTTGGAGACCATCAAAGGGCTTTGCGAAATGTTTCTCTGCACATTGCTTACTTCGACAGTACTCGTGGTTGGATCCGATTGATCCTTCTCTCTAAGCGCTTTCTCGAGTGCCGCGATCCTCTCGTTCAAACTGTTAATATATGCTCTGGAATTTGGTCTAGGAGACAGTCAATTTCTGCACGATCTTGTCGGAGCATCTGACCTACTTTCGTCTCTCGTCGTCATAGTTGATGATGCATTCTTCACCCACAGACCGGCATTGCGTGCATTCAGATTCACCGGGAAAGATAACGCATCTTGTCCTGCGTTCTCGACAGGCAGTACAGGCCACCGAGGCCCGGTGCCTAGGTTTCTGTGCATTGTTGCTGGTTGAAGGTAGCATATTCACTTGTGTGGCCGTTGTCATTGTGGGAACCACCTGCTTGGTAAACGCCAATGGCTGTTCCGGAAGCTCGACTGTGGATCCACCCTTACAGTAATGTCATATCAATCGTAAGTACGAAAATGAGATCACTGCGTGAATGAGATTCCTCAATGTCGACTCCTCGGGTGGAAAAGGACAACAAGTGCGAAAGGAAAAGTATGGAAAAGTAGGGCCAACAGCCACGGAGGAAGAACCAAGGAAGAGGGGGAACGCCAAACGTGCCGGGGCCAGGATTCTCCCCCAGAAGTATCTTGGCTCCCAGGGACTGCCGAACCGAACTCCAGAGGTGCAAAGACCACTAAGGACCCTAGAAATAGCTGCATAAACTCGTGGTCACCAGGAGCATGCTTCTACCAATCCCGTTTCCCCAATGCCCCAGTTGGGGTCACCATTCCGTGCCCTGCGGGGTCTCCATGGGAGCCTGGGCCAAGCACTTGTTCGGTTAGACGTGTCCACAATATACCCTAATGATTCAGGGCGTGTCCAGTGATCGACAGATGGTTGACCTTCAAGCTTACAACTTGTCGGCCCAAGCAGGGGTTGAAACTTTCGGGATGTCTCCAAGGCGGCCCCATGAGTGCTTTCAAATATTAGTCTGTTCAAGCCTATCCAGATTTGCCCAAAGACAGTGGAGCCAACCGGATAACTTTAGCCGCTGTCATTGCCCTTGCACCAGGCGTGGTTGGGCATGCGCTCACGACTCAACTCTGTGCGCTGTGAGGCTGTGTGCAGATCTCGTGTCTTAGTTATCACCAGGTGAGAGCTGACTTTGACGACATTGAAGTCTTCTGCTCATGCATTGTGCCGTCAATCAGTAAAAATGGTTTCTACGAATGGCGCCACTAACGGCACAGCCTTTCAATTCTCCGCGAAGAATCTTCCCAAACAATTGTTCATCAACAATGAATATGTTGCCTCGAAGGGCAACAAGACAACACCGGTGTACAACCCCAAAGATGAATCCTTGGTAGCTGATGATGTCCCTGTCTCCAACGAGGCCGATGTTGAGGCCGCCATTTCGGCTGCCGAGAATGCCTTTCCGAAGTGGAAGAAGTTCAGCGCAGCGGCGCGCAGAGACATATTACTCAAGTTTGCAGCCCTCCTTGAGGAGCACACAGAACCCCTGGCAGAACTGACCAGGATCACATTGGGCGCTCCATACGGTGCTTTTGGCAAGTTCGAAGTTGCTTTGGGAGCCGAGGTAAATACCATTGATATCACTTGTCCTGATGACGCTGACAAACCCCAGGCCTTCAAATATAATGCTGGATGGATCGACAAGTTCTGCGGCGAAGCTTACCCGCAAGAAAACGGCTTCATGCAAATCACTAGACATGAGCCTCTTGGTGTCACAGCAGGGATTGTTCCGTGGAACGGCCCTCTGGCGACAGGCGCTCTCAAAGCAGCCCCAGCGCTGGCCACGGGCAACTGTTTCATTCTCAAGCCATCCGAAAAGACTCCCTTCGCTGCACTCGCCTTAGGACCTTTGATCAAGGAGGCAGGGTTCCCTCCTGGTGTCTTCCAGATATTGCCAGGAGACGGAAGTACAGGTGCCATAATCTCCAGTCACATGAAAATCCGCAAAGTCAGCTTCACAGGCTCCATACCCACAGGAAAGAAAATTCAAGAGGCAGCAGCGCGCTCAAACCTGAAGCGAGTTACTCTGGAGCTTGGCGGAAAGTCCCCTGCCGTCATCTTCGATGATTGCAACTTAGACAACACCGTGACGTGGGCCGTCAATGCCATTGCGACAAATACCGGACAAGTGTGCTTTGCGGCGACACGGGTCTACGTCCAGGAAGGCATCTACGACAAGTTTGTGGAGAGGTACAAGGCAGGTCTGGAGGAGCGGGCCAAAGCAATCGGTGACCCTGACGAAGAAGGTACACTGATGGGGCCTCTGGTGGACAAAGAACAGTTTGAGCGTGTCACTGGCTTCCTAGAACGAGGCGCCTCGCAAGGCACGCTGCTCACTGGTGGAAAAAGGGTCGGAGAAAAGGGGTTTTATGTTCAACCCACGGTCTTTGAAGGCGTGACGTCGGATCAAGAAATCTATAAACAGGAGATCTTCGGCCCCGTGGCTGTTCTCAACAAGTTCAAGACGGAAGAGGAGGTCCTGGAGAAAGCGAACAGCACCGAATATGGGCTCATGGCAGGTGTTTTTACCCAGGACATCAACAAAGCGCTTCGCGTTGCAAGCGAGTTCGATTCTGGCATGGTCGGGATCAACTGCATAAGTCTGACCTTCCTCAACAGCGCATTCGGTGGAAGCAAGCAGAGTGGTTTGGGCCGAGAATGTGGCAGAGACGCCCTCGAGGCGTTCACGGAACCGAAAACAATCATGATCAATATGACATATTGAATAGAATAGTAATGTACAAGAAGTCGGATTCATAAACGTGATTTGTAGAACATCTCGTGCTCTGATTCTTCAGTGATGACGTCTAGATCAAAAGGTGATGGCCATCCTTTTCGTCGCAGTTCCTGCCCGCATCTCATTGACCATACTGTCCAATTCATCAAGCGTTCGAATTTCCACCTCAGGGGCAATTTCGTGCTTGGCCGAGAAGTCGACTGCTTTCTTCATCCGTTGAGGGATGGATGTGCTTTCAGACTTGACATTGTACGCGCCCAGCGCCAGAGCCATGGTTGAAACCTCGAGCGGCTTTCCGGCTATACCTACCACCATGAGCGTACCACCAACCCGAATGATGTTGGGAGCATTTGCATATGCGACTTGAGCGTTACTGAAGACTGCAGCGGCATGGACGCCGCCTTTCGTCAGCTCTTTGATCTTTGACACGTATTCGGTATCCGTCTTGGAGTTGAAAACCACATTGGCTCCTTGCGATTTGCAGACTTCCAGAGTCGAATCGTTGATGTCAACTGCAACCACATTCACCTCCATTGCTTTGGCGTATTGAGTGGCCAGCTGACCCAAGCCTCCCGCTCCGATGACGCCCAGCCATTGACCTGGTTTCAGATTGCAAGAGTCCACGGCATGGAAAGCTTTGATCTAATCAGTGTGGAATTTCCGTGAAAGATACTGAAACAACACTCACAAGTGATACCAGCGCAGAAGAACACCGAACTTGTCTTCAAACTGAACTGCTTTGGTAGCTGAATGGCATTTCGATAATCAACAATCGCATACTCGGCAAAGAAGCCGGGCTTGGTGAATCCCTGTATCTCGGGCTTGCCGTTCAAACATTGCAGATTATGTACCATGCATCCCTCGCACTCGAAGCAACACCCTACAATGTATAGAAAGCCAATAGCATCTCCCACGCTGAAGCCCTTGCCTTCGACTGACGGATGTAACTTGTCGATGATACCCACCCCTTCATGGCCCAGAGTGAATGGCTCCTCGAGCCCTGGCCTGTCTATGGACATGATGTCCGAATGACATAGGGAAGCGGATGTTATCTTGACCAAGATCTCGTTCGATCCAGGCTCGGGGATGGGTAGTTCATTGACAACCACCTTGTTCTGCTTGGGATCCCATTGCCCTGCTTTCATCGTCTTCGCGATCGACCCCATATTGGTTATTGGTTGAAGATATCGTGTCTGCTTGTAAACACACAGTTTCGTTGATGGGTGCTGTGGTCGTGTTCTACTTTCTTGCCGCAGGATCAGACCCTAGACCTAAGCTGACTATAGCATAGTCCTGGCCTGAATGTTCACCCCCATGTTGGTACTAGTCGTTAGGATTCGCGCCACATATTGAATGATTCATCGTCCTTTGCCAGGAGTGGCCAGTCCCTGTGCTCACGAGTCATTATGTACACTAATTGGAGCTAGCCCATGGGGAAACTGTGGAAATTGTAACCAGTGTAAAGTTTGTTTGCACCGGCGGCTGGGAAAGGTGTGGGTGGCACAGGGTGGCCTGGTCTCCCCGCTTCGCTTGCTTGAACCTCGGGTGTCGCCAGGTTCTGATCCCAACCACACGGACGGACGAACGACTTCGCAACAAGGGCATGAGACAAGGTGCCACAGTCCGACTCCACAGCCTGCGTCAGGTCAAGCTTGACGGATTTCACCGATGTCGATCTGAAGCCTCCCACGCATGATATCAGACAGCTACTCCTCAGAACTGAACGCCTCAGATGTACCAAGTAAACAACAACAATCGCAAGCTCCTGCTTCGTGTGATATTCTCCCTTACACTATGCCTCTCCTCAAAAACAGATTGGGAATATCAACCCATTTTGCCCTCAGATACTCACAAACATTCTTCCCTAGTCCATCATATGTGCTTGTAGCACTCCATCCTCGATCCAGGTGGTCGTGCAACATGAAATGCACGGCTCTGATACCTGGGATCTCGAATCGCTCGACACTCTTACCATTGTACTCCGGACCCAGTAGCTCCTTCATCTTCGGGATGGTCAGCAGACTTCGCAGCCAGTCCCATTCGTCTTCCCGCCTGGCGAAGAATCCGACGTTCGCATCTGAAGCTTTATCCCCCGATCGTCCAAGTGCCACCCAGCCCAAAGGTCCCCTTGTAGTTGGACCGAAGGCCGAAATATCAACAGGATTTTTCGTTTCGTAACTCCACTGCCGGGTGTCATAGTACTTTCCGTAGTCTTTGAGGTCGGCCGCTGGAGGGATGTCGATCGACTGATTGGACCAAGGCAGCTGCACACTATGTGGTACTTCTGACTGAGGTAGAAGAGCAGCCCAGTACTCGTAGAACTCTTTTCCGGCTGATTGGCGGAGATCGTTTTCGATCGAAGCTCCTGGACAACTCTGCAGGAAGTTCTCCATACACCACCTGGTAAATCCGGGGACGTCCATTTTTCCCATGCCCACCAGATCCTCGTGTTTTGTCTGGACAAAGATTCTGAAGTCCACAGTTGCCACGTCCTGGTTCTTTGGGTCGTCCGGGCAGGATCCATTAGTTGAAAACTTCAGTACAGAAAATCTTTCCGCATTCTTGCCTATCGACCGCCGAATCTGCCTCTCTGTCCACTCAGCCTTCTGTTCAATGTCCAGGCCGCAGAAATAATAGTGGAACTCTGCTTGATAGCCTCCTTTTGCTGTGAGACCGACTTTGGTGGTGGTTGGAGGAGGGTTCCCCTTGACCCCTGTAACCAGGACCACATCCTTGGCAACTTGCTCCATTTTGATGCCTTCTAGGACAGCAACAACATCAGATCCATAGTATTGAGGCCCTTGGATCTCATACATCAGCTGTGATGTAGCGGTACCAACGGACATCTCGCCCCCGGTATTAGGTTCTTTCTCGAGGGTGAAAGACCCATCGGCGTTGATAGCAGCAATGGGGAACCCATGATCCTCGCAACCGTCAAAGAGGTCCTTGAAGCCGCTGTAGTAACCTCCTGTGACATACGTTGAACATTCGATCAAGTGTCCAGCAACAAGTGAGCTTGCCAATTGATCAAAATCCTTGTTTCGATCCCAGCCGTGCCACCACAGCGCGGCACCCACGGTAGGTGCGGCATCTGAGACTCTTCCACAGATCACGATGTCTGCTCCGTTTCTGAAGGCTTCTGCAATGCCAGCCCCTCCGAGGTAGCATTGTGCAGCCAGCGGCTCAAACGGCCAATCCTCCAGATTTCCCCCGAAACAAATGTTTTCAAACTTCTCGCCTTCTTTTAAGAGCCGTTGAACGACGTCCATTACCTCGTCACCTTGGATCCAGGCTACTTTGAGTGATAGACCTTTTTCTTTGACAGTCTTCGCTACAAGGTTCGCCAGCATTTCACTGTCACTTGCACCGGCATTCACAGCAACTTTGACACCACGTTCTTGCAGGTGAGGTAAAGCTGGACTGAGTGTGTTCATGAAGGATGGGTCGAACAAGCCCGTCCTATCAGCGTCGGTCAATCCTTTGGCCAGTTGCTCCTTCTTCGCAACACCATGCCATGACATGGTCATTTCGCTCATCCAGTCCCCAACAATGACATCGACATCATTGTCCTTTGCAAAAGACAATATTGACCTCTGACGATCTGTGAAACCTCCTGACGCTCCTCCGATCCTGATCGGTCGCTTTTTCTCTGGTTGAATGGAGCCCATCTTCAAGTCATTCGACAACGGACGTATGTTGCTAATTCTCTGGAAGTTGACGCTGCAGTCACAGATCAGTTTGTACGTCCAAGATTTACCTCTACGTTGATCTTGACAAGGCCGGTTTTACTCTACAAGTAATACTCCACAGCCAGTCTCCTCACCACTACAGCCTTTGCCGAAACCTTTGTGACCCAGGTGCCATGAACTTGAGTCATTTGTTCTCGGTTTGGAGAGGAGTCTGACTCTGACACGGTCCATCGTTTGGGGTACCTCAAACCCTAATTTTAGTGGCTGTATTAGGCACATCAAGGCCGCCCGGGGGCAATCTGTCAGGGTGAGGGGTTTTGACCCATCAACGCACCGTGCAAAAGGGAAGAAAGCGCGCTCGTTCTACTCGATGCTCCAGCAATCTCCAAATGCTATTAGACAGTTGCCTGGCTCATTCCCAGCCGCAAATCCTCGGCCGCTGAGGGCCGTGGCTTGCCCAGAGAGTCTCCGTTTCCTACCCTCCGTGAGAGCCTCCCTAGCCTTGACTGGTTCTAATGGTTGATCTATGATGGCCTCACGATCAAGCCTTGCACACCCAGTTGACACCTTGGACCAAATTTCCAGAGAAGTCTTTTTGATGTTCCTCCAGCGCCTTTGATGGAAACGTCCACGAGTAATGGGGGTATCCTGGGTAACTATCGTATTTCACTGGAATACTGCGAAAAATTAGCTCTCGGGCTCGCTTTCCTCTGCAGGGTCGGGCAAACCTACTTGAGACTTTCCAGCTTCTCTCTCATCAGTCTAGAATCGTCACGCAATGTGTCCGTACCACACTCGACTATGTAAGCTCTTCGTAACTTCATGAGGTTAGGATGTAGTAGACACGACGTGTATTTGTCGTCCGGAGGAGCACCATATGCATCTAGATGTCTGTCAACCCACTGGCAGCCAGACCTTCATGGACAGTGCGTTGGACTTACCGAAGAAGGCTTCCATCGCGCTCTTTGTGTTGACTGTATGTTCGGCATGCTCCTCGTAAGATGTGTACTTTGCTTTCAGGTCAGACGGCACCGCGTCAGGATGGACAGTCACAGGGACCATCGCGGCAACTCCGGCGACCTGTGCGGCGAGTCCATCATCGATCAGCCTCAAAGCTGTACTAAATGCCAGACCTCCTCCAGCAGACCCCCCGATCAATGTGATGGGCGCATCGTTTGTTCCAAGCGTTCTTTGACTGCTCAAAGCCCACTTGGCCGCTTCTGTGCAATCGTCTAGAGCTGCAGGATATTTGTGCTTTGGTGATAGACGATAATCCACAGACACGAGCACCATGTTGCACTGCTTGCTGATGAGACGGCACTGGGCATCCTCTCCATTGAGATCGCCCATTGCCCATCCTCCTCCATGGAAATAAAGTCCTAGAGAACCCGTCCCTAGCGCGTTTAGTGGCTTGTAGACGCGGCAGGTCAAGCCGTGGTCATTAATCTGTAAATCTTTGACCTCAACTGAGGTATCTGGGCCTGGAAAGTCGTACTTGGCAACCAACTTGGACAACAGTTCGTCCCAGTCCTTGAAAGCGTTCTCCAGAGGGCCGTGAAGTAGTGGTGCACCACCGAACTCAGCTATAAACTATTTCCCCTACTTGGTCAGTTGTCTGCTACAACGGGTGACTTATGACAGAGTAGGTGGAGGATGTTGCTGCTGACCTCTTGCCATGGCTTTGCGAAACCAGCGTTCTCTGGGTGTGAGTTTGCCATTGAACGAAATTGGGCAGCGATGGAAGACAGTGAGGAGATTCTGGGCTGCGTCGAGACGAGCAGGTATATATTTCACCGGATTTACCGGACCCAAATGGTCAATGTGGGGCAGCAAGTCAAGTTATTAACAAGCAGACGCACTATATCTCAGCCTTCGCCTAAGTAGTATGTTCAGAATATGTTACTATGATCGAATGATCGGGCACGGTGCATACGTATCGCTTGGATCAAACACCTGTCGCAACGCAACTTCGTCCGTTTCATGCTTGTTGCTGAGCTGCGGCTTGTGAATTGTCTTGTTGACAAAGTTTGTCATGTACTTGTCAATGTCGGTGACAAACAAGGAGGCGATGATGGCAACCCCAGCGAAGGCGAGACTGCTCAAGTACACAACCTTGAAAGCGGAAGTGTGAGCATCTTTTGTGGCATTGGCGAATTCGGCAAGAGTTTTGGCATTGATTCCCGGAACAGAATATAGGAAGCATATGGAAGCTTACTCGACATGGGAACGTCATGGTAAGTTGAAGTATAAATGCACAGTGCTTGTGGCTCCGAGAATCTTCATCGCGGCGTGCTATGGCTGCTATTTGGAAATCGTTCTCAAGCACTAGGCCTCATAGCAAAGCAAAACTCTATGGAATAATCTTTGCTTTGCGAAATCGATCAAACGCAGTCCACCAAGCCCCCTTTGTGTCTGTTTCTTCTATCCCGCCTCCCCACGCTTTATGCATTTTCGTCATATCAAGAGGCCGCTCGAAGTTGAACATGGTCATAATGAAGTAAGGAAACCCTCCAAAACTTCGCTCATTGCCTACGCGACCCGTCTGAAGTCCATGTTTTTTCTCCAGAGCCAACCATCTGTCTCTGTTGTCCACAGTGTATTTCACGGGGTCCGGCCCCGATTCATTCGTCGGTGCCACACCTTTCAAACCAAAGTACTCGCAAATGACTGGCCATTTGACCGACCAGGAAGAACTTCGTGCATTGTCTGTTGCGTTGAAGCTCTGGCCAGCGGATACGTCGGGATGTAGACTGGCATAGATGGCAAACCTGGCGATGATGTCTTGACTGCTGTCGTTTGACTGGATTTTCCAGCTCTCCATCGTGCCCGGGAACACGACCTCTGTACCTTCGCCTTCGATGTCCCGCACCAGGCTGAGATACAGGCTCAGGGCTTGAGCCAAGCAGTAGATGTTGTTGTTTGGTACGAATCCGACCACAACGTCAGGGATAATGTCACAGAACGTCCAGGACTTTCCCTTCGACATGCTGTTCAATATGTCTAGTTGATTGTAGTAGAACATCTGCGAGGCGTAGGGCTCTGGAATCCTTGGAAGTGACTCTGATAGCGGAACCTTGTCTTTCCAGGGGAAGTTGTCGATAAGATGGACACCATAGGCCTGAAGGGTTCGCCAATCAGTCATCTTTAGTCATCAGCAGGACGCTTTGTAGGTACGTACCTTTGTCCCCGTGGGTAAGACCACGAACTTCAGTGAGTCCGACAAGTTCTCGACGGCACTCACAGCTCGCTCCAACAAGGCTACATTGATCGAGATTTCCTTCTCAGGGTCCGCGTCCATAACATAGGCGAAGAAGTAGACATGGGTAATTTTGTCGATATCCGGAATCCTTTCTTTCATCGTTGATTCCAACGCACCTTGATCGCCTGCCAGTAGGTCGAGACCCGAAACAACTTGAAGCTTATCAGATTGCGGCCATTGTGCCACCTCGGGGGACAATGGACGGTTCGTCAATGCTGTCACCTTGGAGAAAGTTGTGTCGTTGGGGTATGCATTGAGGATGGCGTTGACAATCGCCCATCCAGTAATTCCGGATGCTCCATAAACCAAGGCATGGTTTTGTCCAGCGCCGAGAGATCCCATGGCTGATCAAAGGGTGTTGCGGTAGACGAGGAGCTCAATAGCGAACCCTCTACGTTGTTACAGGGAGACCGACCAGATGGCGAAGAGCGAAAAAGGGCTTTGGGTTACACTTTCTTCGGGTAGATAAGCTTGGCCAGGCCTGGAGAATTAATGCTCGGCATGATGTGCTTGGAAGGCCAGAAACAACCCAGGAACCTACTGTACCTAGGAAAAGCCTACCCGGGCAGTTTTCTAGATCAACAAATTCATCCCCGTGCGGGGGAGTGGGCATACGGGGGGATCTAGCTAAAAGTGACCTCTGTGGAGAACCAATTCTTTCACGCATTCACATCATGAAAAGAAATCCTTCCTGTGAAAGATGGAATTTTGTGTTCATAAAGCTGAGCCTATGCAACAACGCTCTGGCAGGGCAAGTACCTATCTAGCCACCTTTACCACCCTGCAGTTCAGATCTGGTTTCTGCCACGTCATGTAAGCCAGCATGTTCTTCATCTCGCCTTCTGGATTCCACTGCCAGGCACCATCCGTGCTGATGATGTCGAAATTCCACAAAATGCGAGTGAGGATCAATCTCATCTCCAGGTAAGATAAATTTCTGCCGATGCAGCCTCGTGGCCCCAATGAAAATGGTTGAGCGGCCTTCTTCAGATCAGAGTCGTAAGCCGAATCGATCCATCTCTCAGGAATGAATTTGTCACAATCGGCAAAGTTGGCCGGGTTGTGCGAGGCCGCCCATGAACTAACTGCCACAGATGTTCCCCCTGCCACCCAATGCCCGTCAATCATATCGCCACCTTTCGGAACGGTCCTCAGCAGGCCTGTAGGCACGGGTGGGTGTATTCTTAAGCCTTCCTCCAGACAAGCATTGAGGTATACAAGTTTGCTAGCCTCGTCGTAGTTGATCTCATCCTCTGTCCTGAAACGAGTTCTGATCTCCGTGACCAGTTTTTCATACTTGTCTTTGTTCCAGAGAAGCCTGGCGATCAGACCTGACAGAAGATTGGCAGTAGTCTCGCTTCCCGCCACGATGAAAAGAGCTGAATTGAGGATAATCTCATTTTGATGCAAATCATATTTCTCACGTTGCTTCATGATATACCAGATAAAGTCTTTGTGGTCCGTGTCTTCAATTTGTAAGCGTCGCAGAACCTTTTCTTTGCTGAAGATGAGATGGTTGCGTCTTCGTTGTCGGACCTCCTTCGGGATCATGTTGAGAAGCATTTCCTGGGTCCATGATCCTACAGTGGCAAACCTGCGGGTAGCTTGTTCAATGGCACCAACCTTGACAGTCTCATAGATCAGAGCAACCCAGTCATGGAAGGCACCTTTGTCAAGACAGCCGAATGGATCGCCAAAAGCGAGGTCTCCAATGATATCGAACGTGGTGAAATTCAACCAATTCACCATGTTGAATTCGGTCTGTTGATTCGACATTCGCCTGAGGCTTTGTATGAGCTTGTCCACATACCCCTGGATGATTGGTTCTTGCTCCAACAGGGCTTTTTGGGAGAACGAGTGCGCAAGAGCTCTCCTCTGCCTTGCATGGTTGGCATCGTCTGCCATGGTCAGGGTAGAAGCTCCGGGCAGAGGGTCGACGGAGCCAACATGGATAGGGTCTTTGTGCATGTTAGGTCGCCCTTGACGATGCCCGTAGATGTCTTCCCATGCCTGAGCACTATTGAAGGCAAGCTCATTTGGCGAGACGCGCACGACTGCGCCATACTTGTCATGCAGTATTTTGTTGTCGAGAGGAAGACGACCTCTCATCAAGGAGTATATACCCGGCAGAGGACTGATAGCATTCAACTTGGGGCCAGGGAACTTGGCCAGTGGATGGAAATATAGTCTGTGTACCACCAAACTTATGGTATAAAATGCTCCTAAAATTACAGAAAGCCCAGCGAGGAGAGCAAAGGCGCCTCCAATGCTTCTAGGGTGTGCAAGGTCGGTGGCCATCTTGGGTATGAAGGAAACACCAATAATCTCAGTATGCGTGAATGGTCAAATCCAACAACAATGACTGCTGCTTGTTGCTGTTAAAGTCATATACTCCCTGTGAGTTCTGGAGAAGGTTGGCGACTCTAACGAGTCATGGTATCAGGCTCAGTCTGCGAGTCATGCACGCGAGTCATGCTGGAAAATGTTTGCCGCCATTTCTCCAGAGTTTGGCAACCCCGCACGCGCGAGTCATGCACAGCCGAGGGTGATCCTTCAGCATGACAAGGCTGAGCTAAGCTTAATTCGGCTTTCGATGCCCCTGGACTTGCTCGTGGTTGACGTGAATCGTCAACAGCAGTATTCAAAACCTGTCTGCTATAGCTTAGTCATTCGACCTGCGGAGAGATGGGCGCCTCCATCCACTTCTATAGACACGCCGTTTCTGGAAGAAGTTAGCGTGGTTTTACATCGGCTACTGCTCGCCCGAACAAGTCGAAAAACTCACACGTATGCCGCCGCTGGGCCAGCAAGGTATAGCATAGCGCCAGCAATATCCTCTGGGACCCCTAGCCTTCGTCTAGGGTTTGCATCTTTGAGCTCCTGTTCGCCACCCAGTAGGTCAATGAGTCCACTGGCCAGTTTTGAGGGGAAGAAGCCCGGTGCGATTGTGTTGGTCGTAATATTCTTGGGACCAAGTTCGACCGCAAGATTTCGCGCAAGATGATGTGCTGCTGCCTTGGATGCCGAATACATGATTGTGCCGTGTTCGCCCACATGGGGAACATTGATACCAGCGGTAGAACTAACAACAATCACCCTTGCCGGGTCTTGAGGTGTTCCCGCGTTTTCGAGTAAAGGGAGAAATCTGCATTGAACACGATGTAAGTCAAAGCATGGGAGGTAATCGGAGTACCACGTACATCTTGACAATATTGAATATTCCTCTCACATTGAGATCTAACACTTTCTGGTTGGCCCAGTCAGGAGTAGTCTCAAAAGGACCTCCCCATGTGGCTCCTGCATTTGCGACAAGAATGTGCACTCCGGACTCAATCTTCTTGATTTCGGTTGAGAGTCGCTCAATATCTTTTTCTTGAGCGACATTAGCGGCGAGTCCGACAGCTTTACCCTTAATCCCTGGTATTGCGTTGAGTTTGTCGACTGCCTGGTTAATTCCTTGATCGCCTTCTGCCTTTCTTGCGGTGATGAACACTGTTTTTGCGCCTGCCCTGAGGAAAGCGGTCGCTGCATGTAATCCAAGACCCCTGGAACCTAAGTCAAAGTCAGCCTCCCCTGCATTCGCTAAGAACGGATCGACTGACCACCTGTGACCAGAGCTACCTTTCCGTCCAAGCGGAAAAACTTGTCGAAATTATCCAGCGCTGACATCGTCGTTGTTGTGTTTGATGCATAAGGTTTACAAACAGACAATGTCGGCATAAGAAGGACTCAAGTTGGGCACGGGAGATTGATAGCCGACTACCCCGAGTCTTGGCCGCCAGGACTCCAATTACTCCCTAGAGGCACAAGACCGATTTAGCCTTCGGATCGACCAGCGAGATGAGACCGGCGAAGCATCGCCGAGCAATTGATTTCTGCTGCACATATATCATCGCCCTCATTGTGGCCGCAGACATTGTGCTAGTAGCAATTTATCAACATTGTTAAGAGGGATTGAAGATGGTCTACAAATCACCCTTTCCACTACTGGACATTCCAGAAACCAACATTCTCTCTTATGTCTTTCCCGACGACCAGACACCGTCGAATAAACCCATATGGATAGATGCCCAAGACCCTACAAAATCTTTATCATCCAGCCAGGCTTTGGAATGGATCAAACGTCTAGGCTCATTCCTGGAGCATCAGCGGATCCCTAAGGGCGAGGTGGTCATGATCCTGACCCCGAACCACATCTTCGTTCCTGTCGCCTACTTGGGCATTGTCGGTGCAGGAAGGGTGTTTAGTGGTGCAAACCCCATCTACACTAGTACTGAGATTGAGCATCAGATCAGGAACACTGGGACTAGGTTGATCCTCGTTCATCCTTCTTTGGTTGGAACGGCAGTCGAAGCTGCTCGCAAGGCGGGTTTGGGGAAGGACAGCATCTTCCAGTTTTCAGATCATCCTTGTCAACCTTTTCAGGGCGTTCAAGACTGGCGGGATGTCGCTGTCGACGCCGACCGCTTCTCCTGTGATCAGCTGGGAGAAACTTCGAGACGTACACTGGCAACGATCAATTATTCATCTGGCACCACTGGACTACCTAAAGGAGTTTGCGTTTCACATTATAACATTATTGCCAATTCAGAGCAAACTATCTTCATACGGGACCAGGAACAGCCTTACCAGCCGTCGGCAAGGCCTGAAGAGCGCTGGCTTGGATTTCTTCCACTCTATCATGCATATGGTAAGCATTGGTCGGCTTCTGGCCTAATATCCACCATCGCTAACAAGGACAGGACAACTCTATATGTGTGTCATGGCACCGAGAATGTCAATACCAGTGTACATCATGCAAAAGTTTGTATACGAGGACTTCCTTAATTGCATCCAGAAATATCGCATTACTCATCTCCAGGCAGCGCCACCAATCCTGGTAATGCTGGATAAAAGACCGGAAACATCGAAATACGACCTAAGTAGCGTCAAGAACATCCTGTGCGGTGCTGCGCCACTTTCTAAAGAGCTCCAGAATGCGGTATCAAAAAGGTTTAAGGTCAATATCATTCAAGGCTGGGGCATGACGGAAGTGACTTGCGGTGCTGTTCACGTTCCAGGAGGACGCGTGGATGATTCCGGAAGTGTTGGAGTTCTCGATCCGAATTGCGAATGCAAACTTCTTGACGATGACGGCAAGGAGGTTGCAGCTGGGGAACCCGGAGAGATGCACGTGAAGGGGCCTCAGATATGCTTAGGCTACTGGAAAAATGCCTCGGCGACAAAGGAAACACTTGACGACGAGGGATGGCTGAAGACGGGAGACATTGCTGTGGTTAGAAAGGACTGGTTTTGGATCGTGGATCGCAAAAAAGAGCTCATCAAGGTGAATGCCCTTCAGGTCGCACCAGCTGAGCTGGAGGCTGTCCTGCTCGAACACGAAAGTATCGCAGATGCAGCAGTTGTCGGGATCACCCTGAACAACGAGGAATGGCCTCGGGCATACGTGACGCTGAAGGACGATAGCAAGGGCAAGATTACGGAGGAGCATATCCAAGAATGGATGAAAGACCGAGTTGCGAAGCATAAGCGGTTAGTGGGTGGAATCAGGTTCATTGACGAGGTACCGAAATTGGCGAGCGGGAAAATTCAACGGAAGGTAATGAGAGACTGGGCTAAGCGGGATGCGCAAGAGATGCAGGGCTCGCTGAAAGCTAGGCTATAGGCAGAGAAATTCATCCGGTAGGGAGAAGTGCGTCGTACCCAAACCCCAGTCTGTGCCAGCTGGCACATGTGTTGTTAACCCCGGATATCACTGTCCGGATCCACTTTGCGGCAGGGAATGCTGACAGGAAGACCTTTCGCGGTCCGCACGACTTACCCTGCAGTCGGAGACTCGGCCCAGAGCATTCTGTCATGACTTGGTGCTCTGGACCTCGGCGCTTAGCCATGGCTTAGACATGGTGCATTTCCCCTTGCAACTTTAGCAGGGAGTTCCAGAACAACACATCGAGCCTCACCTGATCGACATCTTCAGGGTCCATTTGTATGCTTGGCTCTCCATCTGCTTTTGTGCATATTGGTCCTTTCTTCGATTTCACTTCTTCGTTTCCAGCTTTGGATCTTCAGGGCGATTGTCAACATGGGCGACGCTAGTACTCCCAACGGTCATGGCCAGGCGACAACCATGCCCAGTGTCGTTCAGGGCGTCAACGGCATCAGCCCAACATATTCCTACCCGGAGAGGACGCCAGATGGCCCTTACAAGGTGCTCAAGCAGTACCACTCAAAGCCTCGAAAACTCAGGGTTGCTTGTGTGGGTGCTGGAGCATCGGGACTCTGCCTCGCCTACAAAATGGAGCGGATGCTAGAACCTAACTCATGGGAACTTACACTTTTCGAGAAGAACCCGACATTTGGCGGAACATGGTACGAGAACACCTACCCTGGTGTCGCGTGCGATATTCCTGCCCATCTATACACTTTCAGCTTCGACCCTAACCCCAATTGGTCACATTACTTTGCACACGGAGACGAGATTCAGAGGTATTTCGAAGACTTTGCCGACAGATATGGATCGCGGAAGTACATGAAACTTAACACCAAAGTTGTCAAAGCACGATGGGATGACGACGACTCTGTCTGGAATCTGACAATGGAGGACCAAAACACCAAGGAACAGTGGTCTGACTGGGCGCATTGTGTGGTGAATGGAACTGGTACGTGACACTCAGACGGAGTTCCGGAGTATGCTTGTGACTAATTATCCCAGGTATTCTAAACAACTGGAAATGGCCGGATATTGAGAATCTGCACGACTTCAGCGGTCCCCTGGTTCATTCAGCCTCATGGAACCATGACGTTGATTTCGAGGGTAAGACCGTCGGCGTTGTCGGAACCGGCTCCACAAGTGTGCAAATTGTTCCTCAATTACAAAAGACCTGCAAAGAAGTCCAAGTGTACATGAGAAGCCCAACATGGATCAGTCCACCCTTCGGCGCTGGTGCCCTACAGACTGATCTCCAGAAAGGAGCTGAGGTGGACCCTGGCCATCGACAGTACAAGTTCACCGAACAGGACAAGAAGCGATTTAGTGAAGATCCACAGTACCATCTGGACTTCCGAAAAAGAATCGAGGCCGAAATCAATGGTCTATTCGGCATGTACCAGCAAGGCTCCGATTTATCGAATATGTTCCGGGATGTCATCACTGCTGAAATGAACCGCCGTATGGGCCCTGGGCACGAAGAACTCAAAAAATTCATCATTCCGAAGTGGTCGCCGGGATGTAGGCGTATATCTCCCGGTGATGGATACCTAGAGGCTCTTGTGAAGCCGAACGTCGAGCCCGTCTTCAGTGGCATCGATAAGGTGACTAAGAACGGGATCCTGACCAAAGACGGCGTAGAGCATAAGATGGACATACTGGTCTGTGCCACAGGCTTCAAAGTTGCCTTCAAGCCTGCGTTCAAGGTGATCAACGGTGCCGGCAAGTCCATTGACGAGGATTGGGGTGACGGTGTCAATTTGTACTTTGGTGTATCTGCTCCAAGGTAAGCTCCTTTCGCCCAATCGTATCCATTCATGCCGCTTACATGCTACTCACAGATTCCCCAACTACTATACGATCGTCGGGCCGGGCGCCACATGGTCTAGTGGGACCCTGTTGCCCAGTATCGAAACGACGATCGAATACTCGGTCAAAATGATGAAGAAGATGCAGCACGAAGGCATCAAGTGCATGTCCGTCAAGCAGGAAGCTGTCGACGACATCTACGCCCACTTTGACGAGTTCCACAAGACGACGGTGTGGCAAGAAGAGTGCCGGAGTTGGTTCAAGGACGGAAAGATCAAGAACCGCATTTACCTGTGGCCAGGCTCGGTATGTTTCTAACCATAACCTCGCCTATACTCCTTGTTACTGATCTTGCTGACCAACGTCGAACAGACCATTCACTTCTTGAAGACCATCAAAGATCCTAGGATCGAAGACTATGATATCACGTATAGACATAAGAATCGGTTTGCGTTCTTGGGTGACGGGAGCGTCAAGGCTACGAATACCAAGGACATCTATGGTCTGGCGCCATATGTGAGAGGAAGTGACCATGAATGGTCAGTAGACTGAGACTACCCATGGAAACTCACGCTTGGGTTCTGGAAATATTATATCAGGATTTTGTTGTCAATTCTGTTCAGCATGCCGGTGTTTTGGCATCTATTCGGACTTATTGTAGGGCAAAACTTCCATCTAAATGGCCAGAGCTTTTTCCTCTTAGCTTCAAGCTTCTATCAGTCATCGGTACAGGTGGCATAAAACATAGTCATACACCCGAGAGAGGGTGATTCGAATTTCGCCTGGACATTAAGCAACGTTTGCAGAGTATACTTTGCTAGTCTATTTTTGCGGTTGGATGTACATGATCAAATGATGTGCTTCAATTTGCTGGAGTATAAGTACATACCCCAAGATCTATAACGCACACAAGAACACCTCATGCTATATTTCTATGCCAGCTGGACATCATCCTGGTGATGGCCATCTTCTTTGACGCCCACTGTCTTTCCATGCATCTTTCGGGCCACGTCGTCCGTTAAATACTGTCCATAGTCGATCGTCAAGCAAGCTGCCCCGCAAGCGAGACAGGCGAATGCAATTACAGCATACCATACATATCTAGTGAGTTGTTAGCAAGTCTTACTGAAACACAATTTGCGGCCTGACTCACTTGAATGACTCTGCGGCAGCGGAAGCCTCGGCACCACCGATTGCGGCGGTGATTTTAGTGTTGATTCCAGGAACCGCCGTGAAGTTCGAGAGTGCCAGCCCCTCGAGCAGTGCAGGCAAGCTACTCTTAGGAAGACCTGCCGCTAGCGCTGCCTTCTCGACTGCTGGGGCGGTGAATTGCGTAAGCTTGTTTGACAAGATGGTTGTGTAGATAGCCACGGCGACACTTGCACCCGCCGATCTAATACTTCCTAGCGCACCCAAAGCTGCACCGATGTCTTCACTAGGCAGTGCCAAAGGAGCCAGGGCCAACGAGCAGGTTTCGATGATACCAATTGAGAAGCAAGCCATGAACATCAAGCCAATGCCTTTATGCTCTTGTCCCACACCGACCGATACCATCGAGGCCGAGAATGTCAGGAGCATGAGACACCCGGCAATCAGGATGAAGCGTGACCGTTTGATGTACTTGCACAGCACACCTCCGAGGCATTGACCGATGAGTGTGGCCGAACCCAAAACACATGCAAGCCATCCCTTGTGCGTGGCGGAGCCAGTAAACAAGTAGGCAATCTGCTCCGGCCACAACACGTTCATGGAGTAGTAGACGCAGCTACCAACCATTGCAGTGACGACCATGGCAAGGTAGCCCTTGTACTTGAAGAGGTGAATTGGCAGTAGAGTGTCGCCGCGGTGTACATACGCATCGTAGAGGACGAATGCCACAAGCGACACAAAGCCAACCACAATCGTCCCGATGACGTGACCAGACTTCCAGGGATACACACTTCCTCCCCAGGATAGTCCCATGATGAACAGCAGCAGACCTCCCGTGAACAGAACGAATCCAACGAAGTCTTGTCGTAGGAACTGCTCTTTCTTGGATCGATTCTTGTGTAGAAGCTCGAAGGTCGGAGGGTGGTAGAAGAAGAAAAAGAGAATGACTGCGGAGCCGGACACAATCACATCCAGGTAGTAGGCCCAGCGCCAGCCTGCTTTTGTGTGCACGACCAGCGATTGAGCGATGACCGGTCCGAAACAGGCAATCTGGAAACTGGAGAAAAAGATTGCGATGACCCAGAGTGGGCGGTGCTTGTTCGGGACCAGTTCCGCAATGGCCACTGTAAAGGAGATCTGGACTGCACCTGCCAGGCCGCTGAGGAGGTTGGCCCCGATAAGATCATCCACATATGTTGCACTTGAGCCAATGATGGATCCAATCAAGGCAAAACAATTACCACCGATGAAGAACCATCTTCGTCCAAAGATGTCCGAGAGACGTCCCACGAGGAGGAAGCCGATAGACAGGCCTAGTGTGTATGCAAGGGCAACCCAGTTGATGTTGGCAGATGGCCCAATGTCTTCATCGATCAAGGCGAGCGAGTTGACCGGCAGGACGAACCCCAAATAGTTGCTGATATTGCCTAGGCAGAGTGCCTTGCCATATCAGCACCATACGCCAGCGCCTTGTTGATTGGAACTTACAGTAAATGTACCAATGAAGCCGATGCTTCGATAGTAGTGCTTAGGGAGGTTTTGGCCCAAGGCATCTTCGTCGATGGCATAGGTATCGGTCTTGATGGCGATATGGTCGATCTCTTTGGTTGGTCCGGCACCTGGTCCAATGTCCGAGACGTGCTGAATCTTTTCTTCATGCATCTTGTCGCTGGAGGTGATCACCATGGTGTGATATTTTCGTCGCTGGACCTCGTGGCACCGGCGCAGTGGTAATATATGCCTACAGTATTTCCCCGAAGTGCCCCGGACTCCAGAGAACAAGCAATGCTTATAAGCCTGAGCCGCCCTGTCAACTTCCGGAGCGCTCCCCGCACTGGGTGCCCAGGGAAACCAATAACCGGGGGAAACGCCCCGCCGGGATGGCACCCGGCAATGTGGCTGGGGAGACTCGACTCGAGGGGCTAGGCCTTGGGGATCTTGGAGAGTCATGCAAACTCAACTTTCTGAGCGGAGCTTATCCCACAGAGCAGCCGAGCCGACTCGACGAGGCCACCAGGATCCAGCGCAATGCGAACCTTCTTTTTCCAATGTCTCACAATAACCATCCCGTTTAACATTGCAGGACTCTACTTACGGCGACACCAGCCTTCATTTGGGACGGCTGGGGGTCAATTTGCTCGTATCACGAGTTTGACAAATGACATAGGCTCGTGTAAAAGCATTGCTGCTCGATAACCAGGGACAGCAGTCGTGCATGCAATGGCATCGTTGTTGAAAGGTGTTGGATTCATAACTGGTGCCGCATCAGGTGAGACGTCTTTCATAGGTTTGCAGTAAATATGCTGATCCGTTGAAGGGATCGGAAAGGCGACAGCATTCTCATTTGCAAAGCATGGCGCAAGAGCACTGGCAATTGGTGACCTGAACTCCGCCGCAATCAATGATACTGCTGCCGAAATCAAAAACAGCTTCCCCAATATCGAAGTCCTCCCGCTCGAACTCGACGTCGGAGATGAAAAGTCCATTGATGAGGTAGTCGCGCAAGCAGCAAGCAAGTTCGGTCGAATTGATTATGCTGTCAACAATGCTGGAGTTGGCGGCGATATGATCCCCTCAGGGGGCCTTAGCTCCTCAGATTGGCAGAGGGTTGTGAACATCAATCTCAGTGGTGTATGGAAAAGTTCGAGGGCAGAAATCCGCCAGATGTCGAAGCAACAGCCGCTAGAACCCAAGTCAGCACTCCTCTAATGAAGCAGGTCCTACATACTGATCTTCCGGGCAGCTCTGTCCGATACAACCGGGGGACAATCGTGAACATGGCATCCATGTACGGTCTCATCGCAACGTCGCTGAACACTCCAGCCGTAGCCTACACAGCGACAAAGCACGGCGTAATTGGCCTGACCAAAGCCGATGCGATCGCATACGCACGGGAAGGCATCCGAATCAATGCCATGTGTCCTGGGTAAGCCATGCTAGTATTGTCCTTGTCGGGCTCGACCACAGAACGCTGACGATGACAAGCTACGTAGCAACACCGCTACTGAAGAACTCTAGCGCCTCTGAAATTATGCAGAGGGAAATTGAGAGGACACCAGCAGGACGAATAGCAGAAATGGAGGAGATTGCCGACACTATTACCTTCATGGTATCTCCCATGAGCAGCTTTATGTATGGCGCCGGTTTGGTCGCTGATGGGTGAGTTCGTTCTATCAAAGTCTTCAGATCGATCTAACGTCTTGCAGTGGATTTACCATCCAGTAAAAGTCTGGGACAGAAGTTTCAAAGTGGCTCGGCTTTGCCGGTTCAGGCATGTAAATGAACGAGGGAAACTGAGTACGACAATAATATTCAGAGATGTCTAGAACAATCTAAAGCCTCTCCTGTCTACCTGTAAAATCAACACCGCCCGCGTCGTGCGAACAGGTACCTGACTTGGTCATGATCTCCCTCTTTTTGCCACGGCTGAAGTACTCGCCATCGTCATGGTCTCGGACATAATAGGCCCAGTCCGCCGTCTGGTCCAATTCTGTTTGACTGTAGCCATTCCCTAGCCAGGCGAACCTGTTGCCGTTATACTCGACCTTGAAATCCTCCCATCGAACCTCACCCAAAGCCTCGATGTAGTGCAGGGTCGAGCCAGGCCAAAGGGCTGTCACAGGAGCATCAGCCTGATTAGCCTTGTACCAGCTTCGGCATGGATCTGCCCAGACAGTCTCCTTCATGTACTCATCTTTGTACTTGATGAAGTCACTCACGGCTTCGGTCGTGGGCGCAAAGCTCTTGATGTTGTGTACTTGGTATCGGTCGATTATGCGCATCATCCAGTCAGCCTGGTACTCGATGGCCGACAGCACCGGTCCGTTGCCGATAGGACAATTGGGCCCTAAGAAAATCAGGTAGTTGGGGAAATCTGGTGCTGCAACTCCGAGATATGATGTCGGTTCTTTGGCCCAGACGTCTTGTAAATTATCACCTGAAGGGCCGATCAAGGGAAAGCGTGGTTTGAATGTGGTGTCGAAGCCAGTCGCGCAGATCAGTACGTCTACTGCGTACTCGTTACCGTCGTCGCACAGGCAACCATTCTCTGTGATTTCTTTGATCTCTCCGTACACCACAGAGACATTCTCCTTCGTCAGGCTCTCTAGATAATTGACACCAGGAGTGAGCCGTCGGCATCCCAGCGACCAGTCTGGAATCAGCTTCTCTTCTAGGAATTTGTTGTTGAGCTTTTGTTTCATTTGCTCGATCATGTATGCTCGAGTATCGTTCTGAGTTCTCGTGCCCTTCAAGAAAAGACTAAATTGTCCGTTCAATCCAGTTTCGACATTCTTGCGGTATTCAAGCAGCGCACCGGGCTTGTGTGCAAAATCATGAAGTTCTTGTGGCGTGAAAACATGCTGTTCAAGGCCTTGCACTGGGGAGACGTAGGTAGGCTCTCGGATGAATGTTGTGAGCTTCTTGACATGTGGCTGAACTGTTGGTAGAACCTGGATGCCAGATGATCTGTTTTAGTTAGCATCACCCGTCCTGGACAGGAGTACTGTCAGAGCTCCTTACCCATTTCCAATGAGTCCAACATGCTTTCCAGTGAGATCAACAGAAGTATCGTAGTTGGCGGTGTGTAGAAGAGTTCCCTTGTACTTATCAAGACCTGGAATTGCCGGCCATCGCCACGCATTCAGAATACCTCCGGCGTTGATGAGAATGTCACAGTAGTCCTCATGGTGTGTGTTGTTAGCCAAGTCGTGGACTCCCACGTGATATCCACCTTTGGCACTGTCCCAGGTGGCCTTCACGACTTGCTGGCGGGTTTTGCAATATCTTCGTAGGCCATGTTTCCGCGAGAACGTGTCGAAATAGTTGAAGATTTCGCCACTACCTGCATACACTGCAGACCAGTCCAACTTTGGCTCAAACGACCAAGTATAGTTATGCGATGGGACATCACATGCACACCTGTATGATTGTTAGTAGGCTTCACGGTAGTCTCGTCTGTGGCTATCATACCCTGGACTACATAGCTGTCAGCAATTCAAAGTCTCAAAAACTTCGCACGGGTACCACTCACTATTTATTCTCCCACCATGTGCCGGCGACTTCCTCGTTCTTTTCGTATATCGTCAATTCAAAATTCCGAAAGCTTCGTTGGAGCTTGTATGCGAAGAGAAGACCAGATGCTCCAGCACCAATGCATATGATCTTGATTCTGCGCTCTGAATGAATGGGTGCATTCGCACGCCTCTTCAAGTCAGGTGTAGCAAGTGAAGGAACCATGAAGTCGGCCATTGTATGTGCTGCTCTGTGGGTGATTCTGGGACTTTGTGACTTCAAGAAAAGACAGACCGATCGCGGTAATACAAGTACATCTAGACGGCCCCAGCAAGTCTAATTGGCGGATCCTCGAAGACCAGGTGCCCGGTGACTCGTGCATCTCCAGTGTCTTTGGAGTGTGCCGAGGTGCATGGGTCGTTGCCGTCTATGACTCGTGTTCTGGAATTCAAAGGGGGTCGAATGACTTGAGGTCATAGCCTTGCATGGCCCCCATAACCAATCATTCAGCCCCACAGCAACGGCAGGGACTCTCGGATATGCACTGGCACTCCACCTGCTGCCATCTCCTGCTAGTCTCAGACCCCCAACCCCTTCTCCACGATCGTCCTCCACGCTTGTGGTCTGAAAAGCAAACCTTGCCGGTCCAGCCGACTCCAGATCTTGCCGCTTTCTCTCGACGGCGATGTGATGGCAGAGATATCGTCGTAGGCTGCCGTGTCATTGCTCCAGGCCTGAACACTCTTACCACGATGACGCTCAAGAAACTAGATCACACATTCACACACCAGCAACTATCTTATGACGCTGAGCCAAACTATCAGCCATACATCCGTATCTCCTTCTTCTTCAGTAAACTTGAGCACGTCAGCTACGAACAATTCCATCGCCACTTTGAAACCGTTCATGCCGACCTCACGGTAGCCAGCAAGGCGTTCAAGGATTGCCATATTGGCCGATATGTTCAGGTACCATCGCTATGCTCGTGGTCGAAGCTACGGACACCTTACTGAACAGTCATCAGTTCCATCAAACGCCAGAGCTAAAAGAGAAAGCAAAGGAGCTTGGCTTACCTCAGCTCGAATATGATGGATGCTCTGACCTCTACGTAAAATCATGGGACCATTGGATGAAGTTCTGCAAGAGCCCTGAGTATACCGCCGTAATGAATCGTAAGTCGACGGAAGACGAAAGCGTTCACCACAATCACACTAGCTGACTTTATAATGTTACCAGCTGACGCTGTCCATTTCATGGGTCTACCAGTCTATGTCATGGTCGGTTATGATAACTTGATCTTCGGAGGGCCAACTCCTAAAATTGGATCAAATGCCGGCGTCACCGAGGAGGATTTGTAGCCTCAGCTGAAAAGTTGAACGTAGTCAATGAAGAAACCTCGCGCCATATTGAGTCATTGCCAAATGAGATGCAACGCTATGCCGGAACACCTGTTCAGTCCGACTGATATGTCTTTTCATAGTTTCGGGGCTGTGGGAGGCACGTATTCCCAGTCTAGCTCGGCATCTGGGTTCTCAATCCCCCATGTCTTTCTCAATGCCCTCGCTCTCTCAGCATATGCTTGATGCCTTTTCCTCGTTTCCTCATGGAGTTTCAGCTGATCCCGGCCAACTTGATGCCTATGTGCGGCGTCGGGGCCATCTGCCACCCTCACAAATCGAGCGTAGGTCCATATCTCTGGCAGCGGAGTGTGCTGCGTCAGCCCCTGGCCGGCGTACATCTGCATGCACGTATCGACTATTTTGGCCGCGGTTTCTGGCACGAGGATCTTCGACTGTGCGATCACATATCGGCCTGCCTTGTTGCCTTTTGCGTCCATCGTATCCGCCGCATTCAGCACCACCAGTCTCAGTGCGTCAATCTCGATTCTCATGGTAGCCAGCCGCTCGATGTTGCTGTCGAACTGGCCAATGTACTTGCCACGCGGCCTCTTGCGAGGATCCTTGCATCGCAGCAGTGCCAATTCGTACGCCCTCTCGCACTGCCCAATCAGTCTCATGCAGTGGTGAATGCGGCCAGGACCCAGTCTACCCTGTGCGATCTCGAAGGCTCGGCCCTCCCCTAGGATCACATTCTCCTTGGGTACTCGCACGTTGTTGTAGATGTATTCACCGTGGCCTTCCGGTGCATGGTCGTAGCCCATGATTGTCAGATTCCGCCTCATCGTCAGACCTTTGGAGTTACTGGGCACGAGAAGCATCGTGTGTCGCTTCCAAACATCTGGGTTGCCTGGATCGGAGCACCCCATAAGAATGTACAGTTTCATTTCCTCGTTCCAGAGTGCGTTGCCGTATAATTTCCGGCCGTTTATGACGTACTCATCACCATCTTGTGTAATGCGGCAGGAGACATTTGTTGCATCTGAAGTTGCCTTGTCCGGTTCGGTCATCGAGTATGCGGACGAGAAGTCGCCGTTCATGAGCGGTCGAAGCCATTTCTCCTTCTGTGCATCGGTGCAGTACTTCGCAAGAAGCTCCATGTTACCGGTTTCTGGAGCGTGGCAATTCATAGTTTGCGCAGCCCAGTACGTTTGTCCCATGATTTCGGCGCAGCATGAATACTCGAGGTTGGTGAGGCCAGGAGATTCTTTGAAGTGGTTGGGGAGGAAAATGTTCCAAAGCCCCTGAGATTTAGCCTTCTTACGGAGTTCGTGCATCAGGGGGGCCGTCTTCCATCGATTTTGGGCAACCTGGGCTTTCATGATCTGCTCGGCGGGAATGCATTCTGTCTCGACCCATTTGTACACCCGATGGATGAGATCTACCGCCTGTGGGCGTAGCTTGGATAATACCCATGGCGGGTAGCGGCTGAAAGGGATCTGATCAGCCAGTTGTGCGTTGTTATATGAGGCCATAGCGACTAGGAAGATGTTGTCAACATTGATATCGAAAGGTCATCGTGAGATCTAGCGATATATATTTGGGGAGGCCTGGCCGGATGTAGTTATCCTGAGAAGTTAGTGAGTTTGGGGGGGCATTGTACCGAAAGTGGCCGAGGCCGAGGCACTCCAATTTGCAGGACCTCGCTGAACCAGACAGCATGCATCTCTCTTTATCAGGCGGAAACACCAAAAGCAGCTGATTACTGGACTTATCTGATGAGTCTCAAATGCTCGTGAGTATCATGGACTGAAATTGTCAGTGTATTCGAAGGACCCTAGCGACAGACCCCCGGGGTAACTAAGGCAAGTCCAATTCGCGATGCCTTGGGGTGCGGTCAGGCACAATTTGCCCCAGGAGCAGTCAGTGCCAGGGTTCAAAGTGTTGATTTCAGGGTCGAACTCCTCATTTACGACGTTCACTGAGGCAATATGTGTGCACATTGCTATTGAGGTGCCGCGGTCCAGGTAAATAAGTACTGGACTGGCGCGTGAGGTCCAAGAAAATTCTCAGACCAGAAACTGACCTGACGGAAAGCCCGGAAGATCCATAGGGATCTCGGCGAAGCACCGAACACCAACTAAGATAGCCTGGAGAACCTTGCCCAGCTTGTGTGAAAGTGGACAAGCTCGGGCGCCAAATCCTCGTACCCGCCATGCACAAAAGTCCCCTGGAAAATATTCGGGCAACCACCACCTACCCATTTCAGCAACCTGGGATCAAAGTCATCCAGCACCTTGTCATTTTTTGCATTAGCGCTCTCCAGGCTGCAGGTCTCTACGTCTTCATACAGGGTCAATACGACTTCAGCAGCATCTGGGTCCGCGAGCTGGGCCAGGAAAGCCTGTCGATGTCTTGCTGATCTTGGAGATGGTATTCCAGGTCTGGTCGGGTCCGTCGAGGATACTAGCAAACTACCTCTTCTCTGACTCGCCCGGTGGAATGTGGATTATTCTTGAAGGTCATGCAGAACCTGTATGCAATAGCACGATCTAAGGAAGATGCGCAAGATCAATCACCTGGCCAATACTGCAGTCTCAGCATGACTCTATCTTCCTGTCCGGCTTGCACAAGTCCACAGTCAGTCCAGCTCAAACGGAGCTTCACGAAGTTTTTGTCCGCCCTCCGAGTCATCGAGAATAACATGGGATTCTGTTTACCAGCAGATCTCTCTTTGATGCCCTATGCGGGCACCCAGGTGTCCTAGCCCAGGAGAGGTCTTCGAAAGAAGAATACCATGATTGGAACTGAGTCAATGGTAGTTTCTGGCCTGTGACAGCGTTGAATGGTTACCAAGCCACTGAAGATGTGCCAACGCCAACATTTCTGCCCGCATTGAAAACGACTGGGTTGCATCTGCTTCCAACGAACATGCCTGCTGTGTCAGGGGGGCCTGGGTCTGTGGTACCGCTGAGTGATGGCCCTGGCAGGCAATACGAGGATGGGACGGAGAGCCTGCGATCTGCCTTCCTCAGTCTTCAAATATCTCGAAGTCTTTTCATCAAGGCGTGGAGGTCGATGGTCTCTTCAGGGCTATCTCTCCTTGCTGGGTTTGAAGACGCCTTGCTGTTCCATCTTCCCCAATGCGTCGCGCACCCAATGTCGACAATCTCTTCTGAATTCGACTCCTGCTTTGTACAGGTTTTGAGGCATGGACACCGAGCGACAGATTTCGTCCACTCGGTGCAGGTCAGCCTGGGCCACAGTGCCCTTGAAATGTTTCTTGTAAAATTGTCTTGAATCTTCGATCTTGTTTCGTTGCTTCGTTTCGTTTTCCCACCCGGGACCATGACCTCCTATGACATGGTACATCCATCCGCGACCAGAGTCCGCCTCAATGTATATTGCATCGTGGAATACCGGCATTGATGTGAATTGAGCAATATAGACTTTATAAGTTGCCATGAGTTGCACAGTGTCGAAAATAAGCCACACAGATAGCCAACGAACGTTATGGAAGACTGTTGAATTCAGGAGTTGAGCACAGCTGAGCGACTCCTCTCGGTGCTCAAGATATAAAGGCTGCGCCATCTTGCGCTTTGGGCGAGCTGCAGCATCAGCAAACATTTTAGTTCCTCATTTGTTGCATCCTTGCTTAGGATTGCATGCAGCCGAGGCCATAGTCACTACAACTTGCATGCTTGGGCAGCAAGATAGTCTCTCATTCTGCGAAAGCAGTAATATCATAGCATGTGCGGTACTTGATGCATTTTGGGCTCCCATCTATCTGACCTGTGCGTGGTCAATCAAGGTGTATATACACCTTCTGAGAATCACTGCCTGACTTGATTGGGCGACAGCGCTTGGAAAGGTCTTCTGGTCGAAATGGTGACATGATATGAGAAATTCGCGGGGTTGTATGCATAGGCGAGGTCGTACGTCCTCGGCAATTGATGTTACTCAACATAGTACGGAGGTATCATGTCCGGTGTCGAAACCCTGGACATCTGGGGTGCTCAAATTGGGGTCTGGCAGCTCGATATCCTGATAAGTCAATTCCTCCATCAGTCCGCTATGCCTTTGGGCCAGTGTCAAGTCGTAAATACCAGAGAGCCTGTTTCCAGAACAAGCCGCACTGTCTGACAGATATTGCTCCTGAGGATCAAATAGATATTGTCATTGGTTGTCAGTCTGGAGTCTGTCGCATACAACAACATAGGTTGAAGTCTTGACGGGGGTAAAGATCTTCATCTCCATCGTCCAGCGCTCTCGCCTTACTGTCGAGGCATCCGCTGTTGTGACCGTGCTTGACCTCGAATTCATGTCGTCGATGTACGCCCTGTCAGACGGTGGTACTGGTTCTTGGGAGCAGCCTCGCCAGGTGGAAGAGAACCTCCGTGTCAAAAGCGTACGTGGCTAGTTGCACTCCGTGGCTGAGCTTTCTTGGTGTTTTGGTGACGGGGTGTATTGCGCGTTCTTTTGGTGCTACACGCCGAGTCTGTTTCCGGAGAAAGTGGCACCGTCTGACCGCTGTATCTCTTCACGTCCAAATAGATATCAATCCCTATTGGCAGTCTGGAGTGCTTCGCACACAACGATATAGAGTTGGCTTGTGACAGGATGGAGCTGACCAGCTTTGTCGTATAGTCCTACCAGCTTGTAGTCAAGGCATCCGTTATTGTCAACCTGCTGGACATTGAATTTGTCTCGTAGATGTACTCCCTGTCAGACGGTGTCACTTTTTCTGGAAAGACGCTCGGTGTGTACAAGCTGCGTCACAAAGCTACACATACAGTCAGCCGTGGATCCCTAGAAACCCGTCTGCCTATTATGTCAATTGGCGATCCACAGTCGCCTGTCATTCTAGACTGATTATATCAACAGCCTTTCACATTTGCTGTTCAGACTGGCGTTCTTCGTACCTTCAGCATTCAACTCGGTGGAAGGTCGGAAGGCGTCGAGGACATCGGGGGCCATTTATGACGGGTTTGGGAGAACCCAAGTTGCAGACGACAACCACCTCCATCCCAACATGTCTTACCCAGCTCTTACCGGCGGCACCGGCCGCAACATAGACATGACACGATCCGAGTCTGACCTGGCGGTCAACATCCGCAAAGCCACGAGTATCGAGGAGACCGCCCCCAAACGCAAACATGTCCGAAGCTGTATTGTGTACACCTGGGACCACAAGTCCTCCTTATCCTTCTGGGCGGGCCTAAAGATCCAGCCGATTCTGGCAGACGAGGTGCAGACCTTCAAGGCTCTGATTACCATACACAAGGTGTTGCAGGAGGGCCATCCGGTGACAGTGAAAGAGGGACAGCAGAATGTGAACTGGATAGAGAGTTTGGCAAGAGGTGTGACTGGCGAAGGCCTACGAGGATACGGACCGCTCATCAGAGAGTACGTCTTCTTCCTGCTCGCGAAGCTGGCATTCCACCGACAACATCCTGAATTCAACGGTCTATTTGAGTATGAGGAGTATATCAGTCTGAAATCAATCAACGACCCCAATGAGGGTTATGAGACGATCTCCGATCTGATGACCCTGCAAGATCAGATTGATACCTTTCAGAAGCTCATCTTCTCTCACTTCCGGGGCGGTGCAAACAATGAGTGCAGAATCGCAGCTTTGGTGCCGCTGGTGCAGGAAAGCTATGGCATTTACAAATTCATCACCAGTATGCTTCGAGCCATGCATACGACCACAGGCGATGACGACGCTCTCGAGCCACTACGTACACGATACGACGGACAGCATTATCGCCTGGTCAAATTCTACTACGAGTGCTCCAACCTTCGATACCTCACCTCCTTGATCACCGTACCTAAACTACCTCAAGATCCTCCCAGCCTCCTCGCCGAAGACGAAGAAAAGCCTGCGCTGCCGAGGCGACCCACGAAAGAGATCGAGCAAGCGCCGTCACCTGTTGCAAAGAATGGCACACCAGATCCGAGAGATATGGATGATTTCTGGTCAAGAGAAGCTCAGAGACAACAAGATGAGTACGAAGCAGAACAGCGACGCTTGCAGCAACAGTGGGAAGACCAGCAGAGGCAACAAATGCTCTCCCAGCAAGAAGCGCAGCGTGCGTTTGAGGAACAGCAGAGAATGCAGGCTGAGCAACAACGAGTTGCCCAGGAACAACTCATGCGTGATCAATATCAAGCTCAAACTCAGGGTCGCATGGCTGAGCTGGAACGGGAAAATCTGAATGCACGTGCACAGTATGAGCGAGATCAATTGATGCTGCAACAGTACGACCAGAGAATGAAAGCGCTGGAGGAACAGTTGCAGCAGCTGAACAACAACTTTCACATGCAGTCGCAGTCGAAGGACGATCAGATCTCATCTCTACAAGAGCAAGTCAACACCTGGCGGTCCAAGTATGAAGCATTGGCGAAACTGTATTCTCAATTGCGACAAGAACATCTCGACCTTCTACAGACCACCAAATCACTAAAGCTGAAAGCTGCTTCAGCGCAAGAGGCCATCGACCGCCGAGAACGGCTGGAGCGAGAAATGAAGACCAAGAACCTGGAATTGGCGGACATGATCAGAGAACGTGATCGCGCACTCCACGAAAAGGACCGTTCTCAAGGCGGCCATCGTGAGGAGCTCGAGAAGTTGAAGCGAGAGCTGAGACTCGCCCTGGAAAGAGCCGAGAATGCGGAAAAGTCCAAGGGCTCGGAATTGTCTTCGATGCTTGCCAAATACAACCGTGAGATGGCCGATCTTGAAGAGGCTGTGCGGACCAAGACCAGACAACTTGAAGACATTCGATCGAAGCACGGCGAGCGCAGTTCGGACCACGAGGCTGAACTCCGTGAAAAAGATGACGAGATTGAAATCTACAAGTCCGGCATGGAACAGGCTTTGGAAGAATTGGAAGAGCTCAAATTGGGCGGTGGTGAAGCTGACGGTGCCCTCGACGGTGCCATTGATGAAGTCATCAAGAGCAACATCAACAAGATCAACGACATTATTGATTCTGTCCTCCAGAGTGGCGTGCAGAGAGTCGACGACGCTATGTACGAACTCGACTCTCCCATGCAGGCTGGTAACCAGAACGCTACGGCACCATATGTGCTGTCGCAAATCGAAAAGGCATCGGCCAGCGCCACGGAGTTCTCGACCGCGTTCAACAACTTTGTCGCCGATGGACCGAACAGTGACCATTCAGACATCATCAAGACAGTGTCCGTCTTTGCGGCTTCCATAGCCGATGTTCTGTCCAACACCAAGGGTCTGACCCGCTTCGCAACCGAAGAAAAGAAAGGCGATCAATTGACAGATGCTGCGAGACAGTCTGCTCTTTCGACCATCAGCTTTTTCCGAAGCCTACAGTCATTCAGATTGGAAGGACTTGAGCCCATGCAGAAGAGCGACGTGGTCATCAACAACAATCACGATGTTCTCATGAAATTGCAGAAATTGTCCAAGCTGGCTGATGCCTTCGCACCCAAGGGCAGCAAGATCAGCACATCCGGCGACTTGGGCGACCTTGTAGACTCTGAGTTGACCAAGGCTGCCAACGCCATCGAGGCCGCCGCGGCGCGTCTATCCAAGCTGAAGAACAAGCCGCGAGATGGCTACTCTACGTACGAATTGAAGGTCAACGATACGATCCTCGAAGCAGCCATTGCGGTCACCAATGCTATTGCGCAATTGATCAAGGCAGCAACGGACTCGCAGAACGAGATTGTAAAAGAAGGGCGTGGTTCATCTTCACGGACGGCCTTCTACAAGAAGAACAACCGATGGACCGAAGGATTGATCTCAGCAGCTAAGGCTGTGGCCACGTCGACGAACACTCTCATTGAGACGGCGGATGGAGTCATTAATGGACGCAATAGCCCTGAACAGTTGATCGTGGCATCGAACGATGTCGCAGCCAGCACAGCACAGCTTGTTGCGGCAAGCAGAGTCAAGGCTTCGTTCATGTCCAAGACACAAGATCGGCTGGAGCAGGCCTCGCGGGCTGTGGGCTCGGCTTGTCGTGCACTGGTCAGACAGGTGCAGGACATTATCAAGCAAAAGCAACGAGATGATGGCGATAATGTGGATTATGCTTCGCTGAGCGGGCATGAATTCAAGGTGCGGGAGATGGAGCAGCAGGTATGGTTTATTCTTCTTCTTGTTTTGTGATGTTAGCATGCTAACCTAACTGTCTACAGGTTGAGATTCTTCAGCTGAGAAATGCGCTTGACGCTGCGAACGGGCGGTTGAGTGAGATGCGTAAGATCTCCTACCGGGAAGATTAAGCTTGCGGAGGGCTTCATGAGCATTGAGTATTGAGCGATGGGCAAGGGCAAGGGCAAGGGCAAGCGATTGTTGAGACTTCTCGGGTTGGGTCAAGCAAGCGACGGACCGGCAAATGTACATTTGTGTTTGTGAGAGAGGCGATGGCATGGCAGAGGTCGCTGTGGGAATGGCGCGTGCTTGTACTCAGATAGCTGAATATGCTGCCATGATGAATGGTAGCGCAGGCCTCGACTCCATACTCGTGCCACGAATGGAGCCAGTCACCATACGAGTTGTGCTGGTGTTTCGGTATGTGCTCATTTGTTCCACGATGTGGTGTTTTATCCTCTCTCTTTCATGGTCGTCGACCTATGCCAACGATCAGATCGGATGTGAGGGCGTGAGCCAGTCTGCGGTGGGATGACCGGTCTGGGATAACGCGAGAGGAGCTAATTGTCAGTATGGTTCTGCGCAAAAGCGGGCACGAGAGTGCGAACGGGAGCCATGTTCATGCACGCCGGATGGTCATGGCATGCTTTCTGCGGGAGTGTTCGTGGATTTTCACCTGTGGCTACACCTGCGCTTTGTTTGGTCAGTGGTAGAGGGCGATTTGGATGCTCGCTCAACACGAGTTCGACGCTGCAATCGTAGGAAAGTCTTCTATGGCAGGAGCACGGCGAGGGAAAAGTAGGCAGTCGATGCTCGACAGTTGCTGCAGTGCTTTTCCAGGAAGGTGGTACTATGCGGACAACTTGCAGGACCGGTGCTGGAGGACTGTGGTGGATTGTTCTGATTTGTTCGCTTACCGCCGATGATGACGAGCTTTGTCAACACTGCAGACGCGCCGATGGAAAATGGGGAAAGAGCTGATATGTAACAAGGTTGACGCTATGTTTGCTGCTCAATTCCAACTTCAAAGCTCAAGCCCTATTTCCAGTTTTCCAGTTTCTCAGTGGCTAATTACATTAAGACCTCAGTCTCTTTGACTGGGTATGTTCAACTCCTTGCTTCAAGAAAAAGCCCATTTTGTGTGTTCCGGCATCATGGTCTTTTGAGTATGGATGCATCTGCAGTCCTGTGACTGAGGTTCTCGACTCCTGCCATGACGAAAGCCCTTGTTCTGTATGCCAATACCATGATCCCGAATGTGTCTGCTTATCAATTCCATGATTGACCTTCCGAATCCTTTGCCCCGGCATTGCACTCTGACAACGAGCCAATGCCATGAAATCCCCAAGTATCCCTGCATGTGAATCCGTGGACCAAGATTCGCAGATGATGAAAGTCGTTCTTCTGCGCCACAATGCCATGATTCCAAGTTTCTGTGCACATCGGAGGTTTGTACGATGTATGTTCAATGCCTTCAGGCGTCGAAGTTGATGAGTTCGCTCAAGTCGAGGTTGAATGGATCGAAGTCGTCCTGGATGACACGGGGATCGAATCCAAGAATTGGTGGAGAAACGTCCGGGTGAAAGTGAAGTGCAAGGGAGTTACTTTCGAAAGCATCTTGTTGTTCAGCTGTGACTGCTGCGACTGAGAGGTAGGCATTGCTGTTGATGATTGCATCCATGGATAGTTCATTATTCTCCTCATGTTCACACACAGGGCCATCGACATTTCCATCATCAGATGGTTCTGGGGTAGTCTCGATGCTGCTTGGCTGCGTGGTCATGGTGGTTGTCTGCGGAAGAGTGTTAGCCTCACATCACAGATGTATGTATCACGACCTACCGATTGTGGAGTGACGGCCAAAGTGAGAGTACCGCATGTGGAAGGAGGGGTCTGATCAGCAGGAGGCAAAACGTCCATCAAGCCTTCGTCACGAAGCACTTGCATGAGATCCCGGCGATTGGCTCTGGGCAAGAGACCTTGATCGTAGCATTGTCCGACAATATCTTCCAATGACAAGTTTGTTTGTGGTGGATATTCAGCAGCAAGGATGTCGGCGTTGAAAGCAGGATTTCGGAACAGGACTGGCTCTCCAGCAGCCTCGCTCGACAGAGTCCATCCCATCTTCGAGAGGTACTTGTCGGCTGGTATGATTGGAAGCAATGGGATTGCGATGGAGAGGAATTTGTCGACTGGTAAGGTCTCTTGATGATGGTCTCTCAGATCAGAGTACGCGCTGCCGAGAAGTGCCCAAATGCTATGCTTGCTCTCTTGACCCCACATTTGGCGCATCAAGCCGGATTTCTGCTTTTGAGGAAGGCCTTTGAAGATAGGGCTGTAGTATGCTGGGAAGAGATATCAGCATCGCTGCACACTCGTCCGCTGGAAGCTGCAACTTACTTCGGTATGTTATGAAAGCATTCAGTGGACGCTTCTGCTTGAAACGAGCGACAACTGCCTTGCGGCGTTGAGCGCGTGCGAACTTGCGTTCCGAGGCGGAAGTGGATGCCACGCTCACATCATCGCCGCTACTCATGTTTGCCACACTTGTCTTGAGCTCGGCAGCAAGAGCAAGCGAGCCGCTCAACGCTGACAACTGCTCAGAGGACAGGCTGTTGAACAAGGCAGCGAAGGCGGACGGGAAGGCGTTGCTCGCGGCCATCTTGAGTGCACGGACTTGCCAACAAAGAGTGGAATGTGAGTGAGTCAATTGTCTCAGTGTGAAGAAGTTGAGGATGGGATGATGATGGAAACGAAATTCGATTTTGCAAGAAGAGAATTGTAAAGGACAAGTGAACTCCCAGCCTCTGTGTTCTCTCACCGCCCGAATTGTCACTCTTGGCTGAATCTCACATCGAATACTGCCTCACCCTCGACTTCTTGCTATTGTTCTCCACTACTAGTTGCGGGAACAATAGTATGCTTCACCATGAGGCTGGTCGAGTCGCAATTTCAGTTGCTTGGCTGCACCAAACGCAATTACGAGCCGACTACATCTGGTCGAACATAGCCATCTGATTGTTGGAGCAGCATTGATGAGCGACAGGTCGACCAAGTGCATGCACAAGAACGCCTGACACCATGGCTGAACCAGAAAATAACAACGGCGACAAGGCCAATACTAGCAGCAAGATCTCGGAGGTAGAGGTGAAACATCGTGGAGTCATCGACGGTGAGATTCATTTCCAATTGCTCAAGGCTTGCATGACTGAACATGTGGCAGGTGAGGGAAAGGTTGTGGCTCCTTGCAGCGAGGACTATCTTGTCTCCCTTGTCCTCGAGATCCTTCGTGCCAGAGCATATCCACTCGTAAAGCTCGTCCGAACACACGACATGCCGGCTCAAGTACGACGTCTACAATTCATATCCACAGAAGTGCGAAGATTGATCCGTTCTCCTGCACTGTTCCCATCACTTTCGGTTCGAGCAAGATTCTCAGCACTTCTTGCGTCCGACGCAAATTTGCAATTCGCTCAGTCAGTCAAAGAACTCCTGCTCCACGACGTTGTCGGAGAGCTCGACCAGTTTGAACGTGACAATTTTACACGCCCAACATACCAGAAAGACAGCAAGGGCTGGGAGAATTTCTATCTGAACATGGCGCCAGGAGCACCTACAAAACAACCAATTCTCAAAACTACCCCGCTGTCGAGTTATCAGTCTGTCCCGATTGTTGGCATGAGGATCATCGGTGATTTCTGCAGGGAAGACCGGCTGCTCCGTCAATGGGTTAGAGAGACTACAGTACCAGTGGATGTGAAACCTGCAGCGACGACGAGATTGCTCAACTTGGACAAGCCAGACGAACAAGAGCCAAACCCAAAACATATGCTTCGGCAGGAGTCTGAGGATGTGTCCATCCGACCGAACCCATTCGGCGAAGACCGCAAGCTGCGTCTTGGACTTCCGAATCATGGACCCGAACCACTGGAGGACTTTACCCCCTTCCTAGGTCGTCTCGAGGCTCCTCCTCTGCCACAAAATGTGCAACCAGCCACCCTGAACAATCCAGAGGTATTGCCAATTCTATCAGTGCGGTCCTGGCATGTTCCAACGAAGCGCATCGAGCTGCGATTTCATAATTGAAGGTGGGCGCCATCCGAACTTCCAGCTCTTCAGCATCCTCAAATCAGGGCTAACATCACACCTGAACCATCCCAGACATCAACGTTGCGACAACATATCTCCCATTGAGCCCGGTGTTCGCAGCCAGCTCGAGAGGGACTACACGATCCAGATGGCGCCGAACCAGTACGTTGTGCTATCCAATATCATGTTTGCTTTAGGTTAAAAGCCGTACGAGGATATCCAGCTATGCCGCAATCGCGAATGCCTTCATGGACAGCCTCATTGACTGGGACGGAATCCGCGATGATGCTGCCATCCTTCGTGCCAGTACTGAAGAGGACATTGCAGAAGCTGCTGGTGCTGAACAGGGAGACTCTGTCGTTGCCTTTGACAATGATGGTGAAGCAGTCAAATTCCAACAAGAACTCGAACGTGTCCTTTGGATGCTTGCGTAAACCTGCAATTGCTTCGGCGGCAATGCATGACACGTCGTCATTGCACTTCATACAAATGCACTTCATGATGCTCAACAAGGTATCTCATGGACCTTATCAAGACTCAACATTGTCACAATCCTGATACAAGCCATGACGCTTGGGTCAGAAACCGAATCGTCACACTGAAATGGTGAACATGGTGAAGAAGAGGGTCGACAGTAAGGAAGGCCTTACACAACATCGAGGGCTACAAATATTGGCGCTCCTGCTTGCTGCCTGGTTATCATCAAATGAGGGCAATGGGACGCATTGGCATCAGGAAAGATGCAAACTGGGCTGGAGGGAGAGATACATGGCCGGTGTCAATAATCAAAAGCATGGAACTTGAGTTCTGTACATGCTCATGAGTCCAACGCTAATACCCATGCGACAGTTGGACTGCTTAGTATTGTCTTTTCCATAGAAGAAAATGAAAATGTGTTTGTCCTTAGTTGGACGAACCACCAAAACCCTTGATGTTCGCTCTTGTCATTTACACTTCCTTGCATACATCTGCCTTGTAGTTCTGGCTGATCTGAAGCCATGGCCCGCGTGGGTGTCATCCCATCCCCCATGCCGGATGTTTTCGTCCTGCGACTGGTGACCACAGACCAGGCACACTTGGGGGACCCAAATTCACGTTCGCAGGAGCCATCGCACCAGTCGTATCACGATGCTAGGCAGGAGTGCGAGGCTTTAGAGGCCCGAGTTTGTACATCTGACATACAGAGTTGTTTTCCAGTCATTGATGATCACATCTGCCCCTCGTAGGAGATAGTACGAATACGAGAATATAAATATACGCTTTGGGGCACCTAACATCGTTTTACCATCACACTTCCCCAAACTGCCACAACCTGCGTCAGTGGCTTCTTCAAATACAACAGGGCCAATGGAGGTTTGCAGAAAGAGCGTGCATGACCGGGTTTGGTGGGCGACAAGTTGGAAGAGAAACAAATAACGAACACTGCATGCAACGACCACGAGGGCGACAAGACGTGTGGTGATAGGGCACGAAAAAACGGCCAAAAGCCCTCATCCCAGCTAGACGAGGGGTTTCTTTTGTCCTTGCAGCATGCCCTGAACCTGGTCACCCTCCATCTACGATCAAGCTCCGCTAGATGAGAATATAAGATGGAAGAAACCGTGCAAAGTTCGGTAGATTCGGTATGTCTAGCTGAGTACGCTCTACACGCAGCGTCAAAAAACCTCCACGAGGAGAACTTCATCAAGACCTTGTTGATCCTCCCTTGACATTGGATTACCCCAGCACAACCACCCCATAATGTCATCCCCCGAACAAAGTGACAAAGCCAGGAGACCCTCCCTCTTCAAGCGATTAGGCAACAAATTGAACCCGACCACCGAAGAACAAGACTCTGCTTCTACCATGTCCGGAGCGACGTTGGTTCAGCCAACGACATCGACTGGTCCAAACATGTCCGGGGAAGAGGAGGCCTCGCTCGGCGACCTCATGACCAGGCTGCCGAACTGCCCCCAGAGGAGTTCAAGATTCATCTGGCACGGTACAAGGCTGAAGCTGAGGCAAGGCAAGAGCAGCAATCGCGGTCAAAGTCTTGGTCGTATTCGAAGGAGTTCTTGAGTAATGAAAAGATGTGATTCGGCTGGTCAGAAGACATGGAGCATGAAGATGAGGACATCCGTGAGGCTGGAATACAGCTTGGAAGGACAGTTCGCGGTGCACGATGGTGGTTGTGAGTGTGGTTTGTGATCTATGGCTTTGGCATATGGCCCTGAGGAGGCGACCAAGCAGAGCAGAGGCGCATCGCCCCAGCGTATGGAAGTAGAACATTGTTCAGCCCCAAGCGAATCTTGCACCATATCCATCACGAGCATGTGCCTGATTGCTCGGTGAGTGTCGGCCGTCGAGGAAGCTTCGTGTGCTTCATTCTCTTGTATGCCCTCAAGCAGTATTGGATGTTTTGTTGGCGCAGAGCTCACTCCGGCAGTCCGACGGTAGCACCATTGGAGCATGACGGCCCCTTGACACCTCCGTCTGCTCATGAATGATATTCGTTTGTGCGTCAGCCTCTTGTATCATGCGTCATCCTGGATCAGGTGTACGTGCATCCCAATCGCTTGCCCAGATAAATGTACCGCATCGCCATTGCGATCCTTTTTCCTGTTTTCCACTTGGTCCTAAGGGTCGATTACACATCCAGAAGGACCGACCACAATTGATGCCTGGTTTCTTCGTGAGCATTGTTTTGCATGGTTCATCATGCTCGCATTTCGGAGCGACTGGTCTTGAGAACAGCTTGCCCCAGGTCTGTTTCGTTGCGAAATTAGCGGCTTCGTCTTCGGGTAACTGCTTATTTGGGGATACTGCCTCCATGGGGGGTGCGTCGTCAACCTGGGGGACTTCATCTACAATTGCTGTCGGACCCGATGCTGCCGGCGCTTTGGCGGAAAAGAACCCCTTCAAAGTTCGCTGACCCTTACCATTGGGAGATGCTGGTGTTGCGGTCTTGGCTTTCTTGACTGGTGGAAAAGGATCCGACCTGTGCGGACGCTTCCCATTGACCGCTTTTGAGACGGTCGACGTAGTTGAAACTGTCATTGAAAGGGCAGGGTCCTCATCATTCTGCGTTGCAGTTGTGGCTTCGACTGTGGATGCGGATGGTAGTGGTGGCGGCGGGAGACCGCTTTCGCCAATTTCGCTCATGGTGCTCTTCGACTTGAGCAAGGACGGCTTGCGGGTAAACATGTCTCGAATGTTCTGTCTCTTGTCGAACTCTTTGATGAGTTTGCCAGACATAGGCAGCAGACATTTGGTCGACCAAGGCTCTTTGCGCACGCCGTCCTCGTACATTCCTGGAGGATTGACGATGTCCAATATGTGTTTCTCGACCCCGTCCACCAGTACCTTGTCTTTGAACACAGCATAGACAGGGCAATGGTCTGAGCCCATGAGACCCTCCTGAATGTTCGCATCGCTGAACCATTCCTTCATATCATGGCTGCAAATGACATAGTCAATCCTTGCACCATAGTTGCCTGGTCGAGCATTCACTTTGGTCTCCCAGCATGTGTACATGCCCTTGCGGTCTTGATGGAATGCGCGGCAGATGTCCCATAAGATCGATGTTTCTCTTCCTTCGTCTCTTTGTCCGTGGACTTTTCCGCCTACAAGCAGCTGGTTCAGCATCCTCCTGGCGGGTGTAGATATCCACTCTATGGGATCAAGACCATTCTTTCTCATGCTTTCTTCCGATGCAGCAGTATCGATCTCTTCACGCGAGATGTTGAGGTCTCCCGTCCATACCACTCTCTTTCCTGCTCTTTCAAGGTTTCGTATTCTGGCATCCAACACGCGCAGGAAGCTTGTGCGAAAGTGCGTTCGTGTCTCATCTCTTTCTGCAGGACAGTAGGTGCCGATGAGGACAAAGGCAGGGAATTCCAGAATGACACATCTACCTTCGGCGTCGAGTGTAGCGGGGTCAAAATCGGCTCCTGAGAGCTGTTCTGCATTCGGGTAGCCACCTATTTGTTCTTCGTCTGGTAGATCCCGGAAGCTGGTAGAAGTATTCGGAGGAGTGAGGATCCCGGTAATGCCTTCTTCTGCTCGAATGGGGGCGCAGGTAGCGTTCTTCGTGTAGATGACTACTCCAGAGTAGCCTATGACAATTAGCAAATCAAGTCGCCAGTAAAATCCCTTCTCGTCCATACCTTTCTTGTGTTTTGGGAGACTCCAGTAGTTGTCCCAGCCAGGCACAAGGACCATATCATCTCGGAGATCTTTTCTTTGTATTTTTGTCTCTTGAAACACAACTATGTCCGCCTCGAGGATGTCAAACATGCCCTCAAAAGTTCGTTTATCTCTCCATGGTTGGTACCCGAAAGGATTGCGGATGCCGTTGACATTCCAGGTTACGATTCGGAGGCCCATTGCTGGCTAAGGAAAACGCCGTCGCTTCATGGTTCGGGAAGGAGAACTGCCACGTCAGGAGGGTGGTACAAAGGACTGCAACAAGTGGCCCAAGTAAGAGGGAATGAGGTTAGAACACAATTTGTATGATTGAACCCGAACCGTGGCATAAATACCCAACGCGCGCGGGCTGATCGCGTGGTCACGAACTCTGACCGCGATGAATGTCGTAATCAATCCAACGGGCGTCGACCGGCGACGAGGTGCAGGTGTACTGCGCGTGTCCACAACAGTGACGTAACAAGTGTCAAGGTGTTCTCCAGGCAAAAAGACTTTGTGGAGGTTGGCCAGGTCTACATCTTCATTTCCATGGCACGAACTTTCATATTCACAGCTCCAATTTGACAAAAGTGTCTTTAATTCAAGTCCATCCTTTTGACAAGCCTTTGCAGCTTTGATTGAACTGTGAATCTTGCATTGAAGCGACTGGAATCACATTGCGCTTCCCCTTTGACCTGGTATCTTTCATCACGGTACCTGCCTGCCTGGATTGCCCCGCCACAACCCAAGTGGCTGTGCGCGACTTACGTTTCTCGTTTCAAAGGACGTCAAATTCATCAACCTCGTGATCAGTTGCACGTCCTCACGATTAACGAGTCGATGTATCTTATGTTGCCGCTACGCAAATAATCTACGATAATCCACCCCGGCCTGGGTAACGGCCAACACCGGACAAGATGTTGGAAAGTTTGGTAGCCAACCTTCTCAACCGCTTTCTGGGTATGTACGTCAAGAATTTCGACCCAAAGCAACTCAATGTCGGTATCTGGTCCGGAGACGTCAAGCTGCGAAACCTTGAACTCAAGCGTGAGGCGCTCGATCAGCTCCATCTGCCGATCAATGTGGTGGAGGGTCGACTGGGCGAGCTGACACTGTCGATACCCTGGTCAAATCTCCGAGGCAAGCCTGTACGAGTCAACATTGAAGACGTCTTTCTTCTTGCTGCGCCCAAGGAGGAGGATGACTACGATGCCGAGGAGGAGGAGAAACGCAACGTAGCTGTCAAGCTCGAAAAGCTCGAGGGCGCCGAGTTGTTGAAGGAACGGAACACGGAGGCCATGAGCCCTGAGGAGGCACAGAAGAACCAAAGCTTCACGCAGAGTGTGGTAACCGCGATTGTGGACAACCTCCAGGTCAGCATCAAAAACATCCACGTTCGATATGAGGATTCTATAGCTACTCCTGGCCATCCCTTCGCGGTGGGACTCACACTTAAAGAAATGAGCGCTGTGAGTACAGACTCTGACTGGCGTCCAACATTCATACAATCCACATCGGGAACGACCCACAAGCTTGCAGTCCTCAATTCTCTGGCTCTGTACTGGAACAGCGATGCCGATTTGTTCGGGACTGGAAAAGGTGGCGACGTTGGTGCAGACGCGCAAGAGATTGACAAAGACGAAATGATACGGCGTTTCAGGGATGGCATCGAGAATACTGGTAACTCCCAATACCTTCTTAAACCAGTCAGCGGACGAGCCGGAATTGAAATCGATAAAACTGGTAAGACGGACAAGCCGAAGATGAAAGCACGGCTACTGTTCCAAGAGCTTGGATTTATCCTCGACGAAGACCAATACCGCGATGCCTTGATGCTTGTCGATCTCATGCATTATTTCATTCGCCATCACCAGTACACAAAAGATCAGCCGAAGAAGAGTCCCAAAGAAGATCCGAGAGCCTGGGTCAAATTTGCGGGAAACGCCGTTCTTGACAAGATTAAAGACCGCAACCGCAAATGGACATGGGATTACTTCAAAGAGCGAAGAGACACACGCTTGCGCTATATTGAACTCTTCAAGAAGAAGAAGAAAGAGCAGAAAATGACCGAGCCGGAAACTAAAGAATTGAACGACCTGGAATTCAAGCTGAGTTATGAAGATTTGCGTTTTTGGCGGTCGCTAGCCCGTAGTCAGCTACGCAAGGAAAACGTTGGAGTCAAGAAGCCTGCGAAAAAGCAGACTTGGGGCCAATGGGCGTGGGGCTCCAAACCATCAGCTGCGCCTGCCGACGGCGACGAATCCGGCATGACGGAGGAACAGCGCAAGGAACTCTATAAAGCAATAGACTGGGATGAGAAGAAGGCAATCGCGGAAAGCGTCGATTTACCCCGGGAAACAATCAAGTTGCAAGTCGAGTCGAGCCTGAAGACCGGCAGTTTCACGTTGAAGCGAGATCCTCATGGCAAAGCAAACGAGATTCTCAAGCTGGTCTTTGACGATTTCCGAGTCAAAGCGCTGCAACGTCCGGACTCGCTGTTGGCTGACCTAGCGCTGGGCGGATTCCGTGTCTACGATGGCACCACGGAGGGAAGTCTCTTCCCACAGATCGTCAAAGTCAAGGGCGCGGAAGAGCAATCTAAGGACGATGCAAAAGGGGATGACGGAGCAGATAGCCTCGAGGACAACACTGATGCGACTGAAGAAGCCTCCGAGAAACAAGATGCCGAAAACACCCTGTTCCACTTGGTTTTCGAGAATAACCCTCTTGACGAAAGCGCTGACACCAAAGTCATGCTGAAGTTGAAGAGTCTCGAATTCATTCACAACCCGAAATTTGTCGTGGAGATAGCGAAGTTCTTCAAGCCTCCGGAACGGCAAATGGAGTCGATTGGTGCTTTACTAGAGTCCGCCGGGGCAACTGTCGAGGAACTTCGACAGCAGACTCGAGCCGGCCTTGAATTTGCCTTGGCAGAACACAAGACCATCAACGCGAACGTGGATATCCAAGCTCCAATCTTCATCATCCCTGAAAGCATCACGGAAGAGAGCACACTCTGCATGATTCTTGATGCTGGTCACGTAAGCCTCAACAGCGAGCTCGTTGACAAGGAAACCATGCAAGACATACATTCCAAGGAGAAACAAAAATACACCGAGGAGGACTTTAAACAGCTCGAGGGTCTGATGTACGATAAATTCCACCTCAAGCTCGACTCCACGCAGGTGTTGATCGGACCCGGTATTGAAGCTACTAGGGCGCAACTTGAACGTCAGGACGATTCTCAGAACATGCACATTATCGACCGGATAAACATGGCTTTCCTCATCGAAAGCTCCATCGTTCCAAAAGCAACCGATATCACGAAGATGCGTATCTCTGGCACTCTGCCAGTTCTTCACGCTTCTATATCGGACAAGAAATACAAGAATCTCATGAGACTGTTAGAGGTCGCCATCCCGAAGTTCGAAGATTCAGGAGAAAAGCCTCATGAAACAGCACCGAAAGCCATCGAGGCCCCCACCCAGGCAGAGGATCCTCGAGCCAAGAGGAAATCTGTGCAACTTCTCGAAGCGAAGGATCTGCCGGTCATTGATGCCGAGTCAGATAACGAAGATGCACCATCCAAAGAGGTTTCTAAACCTAAGAAACCGGATACTCCTGATACTCCTGCCAATATCCATCAGCGTAATTTTGAGCTCAACTTCACAGTTGAAAAGCTACAGGCGTCTCTCTACAAAGCTGATCCGGAGGGCAAGAAGCCAGATCAGCTTTTGGTGGAGCTCGTCGTGGAACACTTCTTCTTCGATTTCTACCTGCGACCGTACGATATGGTTGCCGAGGTTCAGTTGCGCTCTTTGACCGTTGATGACCACATCGAAGAAGAACCGTTGCCGGAGTTCAAGCAGATCATCTCGTCGAAAGGCTTCCAGGCCGAGGAAGGCAAGGACTTGCTCAATGTCAAATTCGTGAAAGTCAATCCAGAATCGCCGGAGTTCAAATCTACTTATGAGGAGATCGCTACAAATCTCGACGTGTCTATGTCAACAATCAATGTCATTGTAACAAGAAGGACGCTTCTGACATTGCTCGATTTCGTGCTTACAACCTTTGCCGCACCCCCGGGTCAGGACCAAGCTCAAATTGATGACAAAGAACACACCGACGTGGCCGAAGAGGAATCTGCGCCTCAGCCGGAACAAAAACAGCAAGACAAGATCAGGATCAAGGCTACCTTGACCAGTATAGCCCTTATCTTGAACAATGATGGGGTCCGCCTTGCCACATTATCGCTAAATTCTGGTGACGTTGGCGTGTTCCTCGATGCTGGCACCATGCAAATCAAAGCAAGGCTGGGCAGTCTATCCTTGGTTGATGATGTCAATCAGGGAGCGCCCGAGGACTCACCCCTGCGCCGCCTGATTGCAATTGAGGGGGATAACCTTGCAGACTTCAAGTACCAGACCTTCGATTCGTCTCGAGAGGACTATCCTGGGTATGATTCCGGCATTTACTTGCGCTCCGGTTCAATCAAGATCAATTTCTTGGAAGAGCCCCTGCGAAAGATCATGGAGTTCGGCGTCAAGTTCGGCAAAATGCAAGCAATCTTCAATGCTGCGAGACAAGCAGCAGCAGAACAGGCTACTCAGGTACAGCAGAGCGCACAGAAGATGCATTTCGACATTCTGGTGTCCACGCCCATCGTGGTCTTCCCAAGGGCCATGGTGGATGAAAGGCCTCGCGACTTGCTGACTGCTTATCTTGGTGAGATATATGCCAACAATAAATTCGTTGGAGTCCAAGGACAGGAGGGTGGACCCCTTGTGAACAAGTTGTCAGCCGGCGTAAGACACATCCGCTTGACAACTGAATTCCACTATGATGATGGACAGTCCCAGGAATTGGAGATGATCGACGCTGTCGATCTGGAATTCAAAATCAGATATCTCGAACATCAAGCCGGCCTGGAAAGACCAGATCTAGAAATTGACGGCTCGATGTCTCCCATCAACCTCCGGGTATCTCAGACCCAGTTCAAACTCCTGATGGAGCTTTCCAAGACCATCCCGGCAGCTTTCGCGACCGAAGATGAGTCCGAGGAGGAAATTGCTGAAGAGCTACCAGCTTCCACCGCCGAACCTGCCAAAGCCATCCAGCAGGAAGAAACCTCGGATTCCACCGAGCTTACTCATCAAGGTCCAGAACTCGGATCCAGTGACGAGACTTGGACGAAGCTGAATCTCGTATTCAAAGCCCCAATGCTCAGTCTTGAGCTCATGCTAGCAGAGGAGGATGAGCCGCTAGAAAATTTCGAGGCAGCCAGCATTTCCAAGTTCTCGCTGAACGAGACGCATGTCAAACTGCGTATGGTCAGTGATGGTGCTATGGAGGCCGAGCTACTCATTCACTCATTCACAATCCGCGATAGCAGAAAGAAAGAGACCAACAAATTCCGGAAGATAATGTCCTTGATCAACACCGACGTACAACAACAATTCATGGCCAGCGTATCAATATCGGGTGGCCAAGACAAGCACATGATTGTCATGTTTACGATCGACAGCCCTCGCATTATCGTTGCTCTGGACTATGTTTTCGCTCTCCAGGCTTTCGCCAATTCAGCGTTCCAATCCGATGATCCTCCCCCAATTGCAGAAGTGGAAGACTTGACTGAGGATGGCAGCGATAGTCCAGCAGAGGAAAATGATCAGAGACAGCTTACAACAACTGATGACGAATCGAACTCTGCTGGCTCAATGAGCATGTCATTCAGAATCAATGTGGTGGACGCTCAGATCATCTTGATCGCCAATCCCACCATCTCCAACAGCGAAGCCATTGTTCTTGGTACGAAGGAAGTCCTTGTCAGCAAACAAAATGCAACAACATTGCAAGTCTCAAAGGTCGGCATGTTTCTATGTCGTATGGACAAGTTTGAAACCAGCCGTCTGAGAATCCTTGATGATTTCAGCATTCACATGTCCATGGAGAACCGAAGTCAAGGCAAAGATTCTTCCATGACCTCCATCAGCATTGAAGTCGAGCCGCTTGTGCTTCGACTCTCCCTACGCGACATTCTCCTCGCCATGCAAATTGTGAGCAAGGCGTCTTCTACACTTCCGGAGCCCAAGGCGCACCAAGACACAGAACCGAAGAAACTGAAGGAGGTGAAGCAGTCCACCAAAGCTCCATCCATCAAACGCAAATCAATTGCAGGGAAGACAATGACGACAGCGCACAAGAGTACCCGGTCGAAGTCTGTGTCGAAACCTGACGGAGCACAGCAGGCGGCCAAAAAGTCCGTGGTCATGAGCAGAGAAGAGATGATTGCCTCGGTCGATGGTATAAGGGTCATCCTCATCGGTGATCTGCACGAACTTCCGTTGTTGGATTGGAGTGTCAAGAAGTTCCAAGTTGATGTTCAGAATTGGTCGAATGCAAGGACAGGAGACGCCAAATTTGACACTTTCATCAATGTGTACAATTTCTCGAAATCAGCATGGGAGCCTTTGATCGAACCATGGAAGTTTGGTTTTCACATGTCCAAGGAACTACACCCTGAAGTAATGTCAATGGAGCTGTATTCGCACAAAAACATGGAGCTTACAGTAACCTCGGCGACGATAGCTCTGGCTTCAAAGTCATTCAATTTCTTGTCGACTGATGAAGACATCCTCTCGAAACCAAGAGTGGCGGATTCACCATATCGAATCCGCAACTACACAGGTTTCGATCTCAGTGTTTGGGCGGATGAGAAGAGCGACAGTGCATCTGCAGCCAAGTTGAGCGATGGAGAAGAATATGCCTGGCGCTTCGAGGACGCTACGTCGATGCGTGAAAGCCTCACCCCAGAAGGCAATGCCGGTCTTGTTGGGGTCAAGCTGGAGGGAAGTGGATTTGATAGTGTCACTCGCATACCTGTCATACGTGAAGGAGAAACGTTATACAACCTCAAACCACGCAAAGACAGCATCCAGCACCGCATGCTGGTCGAGATCCGACTGGGATCTGACAATGTCAAGTACATCACCTTCCGGTCCCCACTGCTGGTCGAGAACAAAACTCAAATACCGATTGAGGTCGGTGTGTACAGTCCAGAGGAGGGCAATCTTCTCAAAATTGAGAAAGTGGCTCCTGGTGATGCCAAACCGGCACCTGTTGGAGCGGCTTTCGTCCACTCCCTGGTGGTCAGACCGGACCAAGGATTCGGCTACGGATGGTCCAATGAGCGTTTGTTCTGGAAAGACCTTCTGAAGAGGTCTACAAGAACGCTTACTTGTCAGACTGAAGGACGCGATGAATCACCTCCATTTTTCTTCCAGATGCATGCCTCTTATGATCGGCAGGATCCCATGACGAAAGTTTATCCGTATATGCGGATACAAATATCGGCCCCTGTGGAAGTTCAAAATCTCCTTCCTTACGACTTCAAGTACCGCATTTACGACAAGAACACGAAGAAGGACTGGACCAACTTCCTGCGAAAAGGAGGAGTCAGCCCTGTTCATGTGGTTGAATTGTCTCACCTGCTCCTTCTCAGCGTGGAAATTGAGGATACTCCCTTCAAGCAGAGTGACTTCGCCATAATCAACAGCAACACGCAGGAAGAATTCCGCCGTGAGAAGGCTTTGGTAATGAAGGATGAGAACGGAGCACAACTCCGGCTCAAACTTCATTACACTAACATTAAAGAAAGCGGAGGTGCATTCAAAGTTTCAATCTACAGTCCCTATGTCTTACTGAATAAGACTGGACTTGACATGAGCGTTCAAAGTAAAGCATTTTTTGGACAATCGAAGACGGCGGCAGCGCAAGGCGCACGTACCAGTTCGGGTCACGGAAAAGCCCTCCCTATGCTCTACTCTTACGGAACCGATGACCGCAAGAATCGGTCTCTTCTGAAGATTGGAGACTCCAGCTGGAGCAAGCCGCAGAGTTTCGATGCTATCGGCAGCGCTTATGAAGTTGTGCTGCCATCTGCCAAGGGCCAATCCGAACTTCACGTAGGTGTGTCTGTTACGGAGGGAGAAGGCAAGTACAGCTTGAGCAAGGTTGTCACGATCGCCCCTCGTTTCATGCTCAAGAACAAGATAGGTGAGGATATTGAACTGCGCGAGCCTGGCTCATCGGATGTCATCAAGATGGACAACAACGCACTCGTCCCACTATACTTCGTGCGACAGACCCCAGAGAAACAGCTTTGCCTCTGCTTCCCCGGTGTCAACAACCAGTGGTCATCTCCATTCGACCTGGCCAATGTTGGCATGACCCATATCAAGTTAGCCAAACACGGTCAGAGACAGAAGCTCATCCGGGTTGAGATCATCCTGGAAGACGCAACACTGTTCTTACACTTCAGCGTTGAGACGAAGCACTGGCCATTTTCGATGCGGAACGAGAGCGACACCGAGTTCTTGTTCTTCCAGGCCAATCCAAATGTCGCAGAAGATGACGAGGAAGACCGTGGTAGCGGCTGGAAGCCTATTCGGTATAAGTTACCACCCAGAAGCATCATGCCTTATGCCTGGGATTATCCAGCCTCGAAGAACAAAGAACTCGTCCTTACTGCAAAAGGCCGCGAAAGATATGTCAAGTTGATGGAAATAGGCAACTTGATACCAATCAAGTTACCTCCGGACCAGCCTGGTGGAAACATGAAGGTGATCGACGTCAACATTGTGGCAGAGGGACCAACGCAGACCCTAGTGCTCTCCAACTACAAGCCATCAAAGTCGCTCTATCGTCAGAAGACAAATGCGACCACAGGATCACAGACAAGCCTAAGCCAAGGGTTTGAGGTCAAGCAAATCGAGTCAGAAATCAACTTCAAGGCCGAACTTCGCCTCGCCGGTATTGGTATCTCTTTGGTGAACACCAAACTGAGAGAGCTTGTGTATCTCACTTTCCGAGAGATCGAGTTCAAGTATGGTGACTCGAAACTATATCAGACACTAAACGCTACGGTCAAGTGGATTCAAATCGACAATCAGCTCTACGGCGGCATCTTCCCGATCCTGCTCTATCCAAGCGTGGTGCCAAAGACTGGAAAGGAAATGGAAACTCATCCTATCTTCCACACTATGGTGACTCGGGTCAAGGATGACTCATACGGCGTGCTATACATCAAATACGCGACTCTTCTCCTTCAGCAGATCACGGTCGAGCTCGATGAAGACTTCATTTTTGCCATGCTTGATTTCGTGAAAGTCCCTGGTGCATCCTGGGCCGAGGAGAAGGAAGGAAAGCTTTGCGACGAGGATCTCGACATCCCGGAACCAACAAGAGAACAGCAAGGCCAAGAAGTCTACTTCGAGCTTCTTCACCTACAGCCGATCCAATTGGACCTTTCCTTTGTCAGAACCGAGCACGTCAATGCCGAAGACAACTTTGTCAACAGTCCACTGATGTTCTTCGTGAACGTTATGACTATGTCCATCGGCAACGTCAACGATGCCCCCATCAAGCTCAACGCACTCATGCTCGAAAATGCAAGGGTGTCTGTTCCAGCGTTGATGGCCAACATTCAGAACCACTACACGCAAGAGGTCTTGCGCCAGATACACATCATTCTAGGATCGGCAGACTTCTTGGGCAATCCAGTTGGCCTGTTCAACAGCGTCAGTTCCGGCGTGGCAGACATCTTCTACGAGCCGTACCAGGGTCTTGTGATGACCGATCGACCTCAAGAGTTAGGTATTGGCATCGCCAAGGGTGCGAGCAGTTTCGTCAAGAAATCTGTTTTCGGATTCAGTGACAGTATGGCGAAATTTACGGGCTCTGTGTCCAAGGGTCTCGCCGCGGCGACCATGGACAAGGAGTTCCAGGATCAGCGACGAATGTCAAGAAATCGGAACCGGCCGAAACATGCGTTGTATGGTGTTACCTCCGGTGGAAATGCCTTTGCGGCAAGCATGGCAAGTGGTATTGGAGGCTTGGCGCGTCATCCACTTGAAGGTGCCGAGAAGGAAGGAGCTTTGGGTTTCGTCAAAGGTGTTGGCAAGGGTTTCTTGGGTCTGGCCACCAAGCCTGCAATCGGTGCTTTTGATCTGGCGTCCAACGTGGCCGAAGGCGTTCGCAACACCACGACGGTGTTCGACCAGGAAGGTTTGGATCGTGTCCGCTTGACACGGTTCATTGGTATGGATGGTATTGTGAGACCTTATGCCCAGCGTGAAGCCCTCGGCCAATTCTGGCTCAAGACCTGTGACGACGGCAAGTACTTCAACGAGGATTACATTGCGCATCTGGAGCTGGAGGGACGCGATATGATGGTCATGATCACATACGACCGCATTCTGATGATTCGGACTAAGAAGCTGAGGATGGAATGGGAGGTCAGGTTGACAGATGTACAGACCATCAGTAAGGAGAGAACTGGTATGAGTATTGGTTTGAAGGGTGGTGCGAATGGACCGTTCATCCCAGTGACGGATGAAGGCAGTAGGAACTGGCTGTACAAGCAGATTGCCATCGGTAAGTTTTGAGTTTCGTTTGACTGAGTGGTGCCAAAGCTAATGTTGACGGCAGCTGTGAATGCTTTCAACGACAAGTACAACGCCAAAGGATGAATGAGACAATGATGACACTGGAACAAAGACGTTTTTTCATTATTGATATTTGCTTCCATTTTCAAGCGGGCAATGGCTTTGGGGCGCTCTCTGTGTGTATGGACCACGCCTGCTTCGCTGCTGCTGGTCGACTTCTGAACCCGATCGAGTTGTATATTCTCTGCCTGTATCAACAGCACACGAGGTACGCAAGTATTGGTTGAGGGGTAATGATAATTCAATTCACTTCGTCCTCGAACCATGGCTGCATCGCAGCACACTCTCATCTACTTGGCGATTTGATTTCTCTCACCGCCAGGCAGTCCAATGTAGGCCATTCCTGATGCAGGCTTCGTGTCACTGATACTTGCATCGTCTTGCACCGTTGTTGTGATGGTGTGGCAGAATTAAGATGCTCGTCACGGCAACTGCGCGACTCTTCCATCCTCTTGCCCCAGCAATGCTCTTGAACGTCAACACGCAACAACATTTGCAGTAGTTGGACCAGTTGCACAGCAACGATCTCAGCAACACTTTGAGCAACATGGCACACAACGTCAATCGCGAAGACCAGAAGGTAAGCCGCCATCCATTCGAGGTGTTGCAAAGGTTGATTGCTAATAATCGCTTGATCAGGTCGTCTCCGGACGTGACGCCAACGGCACCCCCTGGACCCGAAACATTCCTACCGAGGAAGGCGATAAGCCGCACCCACGCAAGTATGTCAAGGTCAGTGTTGAAGATGACGACAAAGAGAACGATGGAAAAGACAAACCTGCCAAATCAGCCAAACCAGCAAGCAAATTGACCATTATGCCCGCCAAAGAACTCGAAGCCATCCGCGTCGAAATGATCGAACAAGCCAAGGAGAATCAGGAACTGCGACACGAGGTGACCATGTTGGAGAATCGCTACGCCAAAGCCTTGTACGACAGACAGTTGTACTGGGAATGCGGAGTGAACTGGGCAAAGCAGGAACTCGCGTGGCGGGCGGAGTTTGCTAGGTTGAACGGACAGGTCAAGATGTTGCAAGGGACGGTGGCGAAGGTGCAGGGGAAGAAGGAGCGAGCTTCTGCTGCCAGTCCTGGAGTGGCCGTTCGTCCTGGAAAGACTGTTGGTAGTGGTAACAATCTCGCTGGTGGCGCTGTCGACCCCGCTGTGACACCAACCCCGGGCAATTGACACTGGGATTCTGCAATTGCTGGGGTGTCCGCCGTGTCACCAACCCCTGGTGGTTGAGACTGGGCCTGGACTGACGAAGGTGCAGCCATGTCTTGGAAATGCCAATTGGAATGCTGTTGGAAAGACTATCCGCTCGAATGATGGTCAACTGGATGGTGAGATGCAGCGAGAACGTCTTTGTCCGGAAATGCGGCACTGAAGAACACGAGTCTCTTCCTTGCTGTTCTCCCTGCATGTTTGGAGGATGTCTTCTGCCGGGTGCTGTCACAGGAGGATGCTCACTAGACGATCAAGTAGCATATCTCCCACTGAAGTTTTGACAAAGCAGAGTATTACATCAACCCACAAAGTGATTGTCTTTTCTGCTTTCCTGCTGAGTAGTCTGAATCTGGAAGTGTTTTGGAGAGAAGAAGGGACCCTGCATGAAGAATACCGCAGAAATCTTCTTGTTGCACGGTCATTCTGTCCAGATCCATCTGCCCCTTTATGGGTCGTCTTGTCTGTTGTTGCTTTCCACAATGTCTGTGTTAGTGATCCACTCAGTTATCTTTTTCAGATTGGTCAGATCCTTATTGTGTGTGACTGCCGGAGCGTCGTTATCGACCCAATCAAGCGAGCCCACGGATTTCCCAAAAAGGTGGTGACGAAACTTCCCGGGCAGCAGCTTCCTTGTTTGGGCTATGCTCGATCCATGCCGACTCTCCTCTGCAGCTGCGGAGGTGTGTTCCCACCCGGTTGATCGTCGGATGAGCACCGAAGTTTCACACTATGGCTTGACGATGCATCGACAAAACGTCTCGTGTCAAAGTCCGTGACCAGGACGGGATGCTGCCAGGATATCTAAACAACGTCCTGGCGAGCAGGCCGGCTTGGGTTTCTGTACGTCGAATCTTGCTCCGAAATCCCTGTACGTGTCACTCACCGTCTGGTGGTGCCTCACTGTGGAGTTTCCATCCGCTTGGCCTGGATTATGCTGCTGATCAAAGCCGTCGATTCTCAATGCCTCAGTGATCAAGCCATGGTGGTGATCAAGGTGGGTTGATTGGCATGGAGGAGCGATGCGAGGCGAGGCCTGCAGGTACATTTTGCGCTGAACATAGAAAGAACGAGAAAATCACCTAAGCCATCTTGATGCTATTGGTTACCGATAGTCTGGTTCGGCCGCTGAGTCCTTTTCGCCGCAGATCTCGTACTGGCTGAAAGGCGAGCGGGATAGCGTTCACCCTAGTCTGTGACAGGTCAGTTGCGTGTGCATGGACGAAGATCCTGCCCGGCAAGGGAGGCCTTTGTCGCTGATCAGGTGTATCGGTTGAACCGGCCATGGATCATGACGGCCCTGCTCGGACCGGAGGGTACCGATTTCCAAAGATCTCTTCACGGATTGACATGACTCTTCAGCTCGACCTCCGTAAGGAGTAGTGAGGGTAGTGGTTCTGGCAAGCCACCTCACATCACCCCCCAATCATATGATTCGCCGGTATACTCTGCCGTTACGCAGATTGCATGTAGGGCTCTGGCATTGCCTTGAACTGTCAACAGACTGGGTCTTCGAAGCCGGACGTTTAAAAAGCATTCTTCCGTGTCATGAGGATTTCCAGTTCCACAACCCTTCACTGTTGCTTTGACAAACAAACGGTCTCTTCCTTCAATGTTCGATATGACAGGTGATTGTGATCAGTCTAACCGAGATGACGGCCGCAGCGTCCATGACCTCGAGATGAGCTTTGTGCATGTGATGACGATCACATTCGTCCTCAACACTAATGGCAGCGACCATGCTGCTGCAATCGCAGGCTCATCAGCAGATACGTCGGAACTTGAAGAGCCAAGCTTGTCCGCTGGGTATCGTCAAGACGGCAATGATGGGCTCACGTCAGTACCACCAATTGTACCAAGGACTCAGACATGCCATGACGCGCCGAGCTTCCTCCCTCATTTGCAGGGCATTGACAATGACAACTTCTCATCAAGTCTACCTTCCCACGATGATCCGAGGCTGATCACCTGGTATCAACACAAGTGGTATCGACGAAATGATGATACTGCACCAGTACCAAGCGGACCACCAAGCCAAACGTTTCAAGAGGGCCAAAGATCGTTCCACCGGGGTGGTGTAGAGCCCAATGATGATTCCATGACAGATACACCAGCAATTCCGACGTCCCAGGACGAGTCGAGCTCAGTCGCCGAGAGCCCTGAAAGCAGTGACGATGTTCCCAGGCGAAGGTGGCTGACACAACGACACAAGTACTCAGAGGAGCGGGGATTCTATATCTGGTATCATCGGATCGACTTGGGTCTGACGTGGGATGAGGTTGTGGCGGCATATCGACGGCACTGGAGAGATCATCGAAGGAAAGGTGGCCTGCAGTGCAAGTTCTATCGGCTTCTCGAACAGTATGGAGTGAAACCTGTGCGAACCCACAGCAAACCTGGTCAGCCATGCTCTGAGGAACAAAGAATGAGGTACGGGGTGTTGAGTAAAACCGACCGTCGGTTCTTATGGATGAAGCATGAGCACTTGTTCGACACCGCCGCTGCTGGGGAACGCCTGCCACTGCCACGTTTGGCACCTCGGCCACCACAGCCCGGACGGGGTCGTAGCAGACCTCGTTCAAGTTCAGCTCCTCCAGGAGCTCCAGGATCGCCAACGTCGTCAGCATCTTCAGCATCCTCAGCGTCGTCGGCATCTCCAAGACTTTCCACCTCTTCACAACCATCAGCTTCACCAACATCTTCCTCTTGCGAGCTCAGCAATATCTTGAATTGAGTGGTTTTCCCTTGCTGGGTTTATAGCCATGTACATAGCGGGATCGACGGAGGTACACATTTGCAAAAGGAAGTCGACAGGGGTTCAAGGGATAGACGAATGGGTTTTGCTGTTGGCAACGTCAAGAATAGGTGATGATACCATGGGCAGATACCTGAAGAATTCCAAGTACTTCGATGGTTCGTGCTCTGCAGGAATGTGCAACACAAGTTACTTGTCATTCTGTCTCTGACCTTTGTCCCATCATTGCCATCCGCGCTTGCGCTCTCCTGACCTTTGCATCACCTCTACGGCAAATCGCAACTGCCTGTTGACCGGCTAGATGTGGCAGCCTCAGCAGTCCTCTTGCCATCGCAAACTTGGGTCACTGCAACTACGTCTCACGAAACAGCAAGGATCTTCATATTCATGCCCATAACTCCTTTCGCTCACTTTCTTCGAATCGCTACCCATCTTGCAACAATCATATGTACAGAACGCTGCGACCCCGAGAAGGATAATAAACAACACCTCACCATACTCAGCCACGGTCTGTTCTAAGGCAGTTCACCTGGTCAGTAATGCACTTGAAGCCTGGTGCAAGTCGGAGGAATCATCCCTGCAACGAAGACGAACGCCAGCATAACATCCAGCCCCTCATAGCCTCCTCCGATCGACTGTTATTACTATACCGGCCCAGATCATGCCAAAGCCTTCCAAAAACGACTTTGTGCTCGTCACCTACCCCGGGGAAAGACCATTACCCCGAACCGTGCCATCCTGATCGACAAGATAGCATTCTGGTGAATGGGCTCCAATCTCGCCGTCATTATGGGAAGTCTACAGCCTAGCTTCAGAGCCATCAATGCAAAATACCAGACACCAAAGCAGGTTAGGCTGCGAGTGCGTGGCATGGCCGATCATGGTTGGCCGATTCAGATGGAGAGGGCACCCATAGGACAATTGATTCGATCGCCGGATGACGAAGCAAAGGTCGAAGCGCCCACAAGAAGATCCGAAAGGAAAGGAGGAAGACTTCCCTATGCGTTCTCCTGGAAAGGTTGATGACATGGTTGTACTGGAGTCTGGAGGGTCGCAAACGCGCTCCTGCATTGCTGAATGCGTCAAGCGGAATGGTGTAGAAAGTGCCGATAGTCGGACCCATGCGCCATTTTCCACCATCGAAGCGGAGTTGCGGTTGCATTTCTCAAAATTGGAAATGCAGGGGAGCAATCAGCACAGTTCAGTATCACTACGGTCATGTGCTGGAACGCCGTCCCAATATCAAGCACGGCGTTGCATCAGGTGGAGGCTTAGGTGGCTTCAATCAATCCAGAAGACGGAGATTGACTGACTCGTGATAATGAGACCCTGCAGAGTAGTCACCGAGGGGACACGAGGTCATCAACCCTGGACCCATGAGCGTGAAGCGAGAGATCTCCCGGGCTCTCCATCTTGAGTCAATCGAAACGGCTCGATACACCGCCTCTGTGCAGTGAGCAATTCCAGACCAAGGGGTCCATGGATCTTTGGGTAGATTCACCCTCGACGCCCACGTCAGAGAGTATAAGTGTATACAACAGGCCAATAACCAGACTCATGTCGACATGGGTAACTGATGTCTGAGGCGTGTCAAATTCTGCCGTGGAGGCGCCAACTCTAGCCACCTCGGTGAATGTATGATGGTGGGACGAAGGAAGCGATGGCTGGATCTTGTGAACCCTGCCATGAGGACGACTGGCTTTGGTCTTGCAGTATACTCCGTACTGACCAAGGTTGACGAGGATCCCGCATGGATATGTCTCAGTACCCGGCAGTTGACAAACTCTCCTAGAAAAGGACTTCCATGACGAACGTGGGTCAAACAGTGGTATGTTGACAGATACCCTGAAGCGCGACTGACCGTATTCGGTGGTCCTCCCTTCCAGCAATCCGTCCATGTTACCCTTCTGCCGTCAACACGGCCCACCCCAGTCATTAGCAGATGGCATGTTACGCAAGAATTTCCTCCGTTAATCCGCGATTTCTTGAGGTCGATGCCGCTGATACATGTTGTGAAACCGCGACCGAACCTAGGTCATACAACGCTATTTTGGCTGTGCAACCAGCCTCGGCGCCTATACACAAGTGGTTATGCATAAAAGTTTACCTGCCTGATATGTGCAATTGAACAAGGTTCCCGTGCAGAGGTGGTAAAAGACCCAAAGGAACTGGCTAGAGGCAATGTCATGCTCTGACTTATCAATGCTGTCATGCGTCTACTGCAAAAGAATGGATTTTAGTCTTCGCGTGATAGGTATGCAGCTGCGGCCTGCGGGACGTTTGTGAAGAGCTTATGGTGGGTTGGGCGCTTATCCCAGCTCTGCCGCGCCCCTGAGGCTTACTACGCTGCTTTGAACATCCGGATGTCGACAGAGCAGCCAAAGAGACACATTCTCGGCCTCTGTCGGGTCACTCAATCTTGGACGGTGCAGGAGGTGCCTCCTATAGCCTTGCTGCCTATGTTTTCCAATCAGGTCACTCGACGATAGCGCCACAGATCACCACACACACCTCTTTCCCAAGCCACTTACTTAGTGCTTCTGGGTCCTTGTCAATGAAGAACCTGTCACAAATCTGACACGGCAAGAGCAATCGATGCATTTCGCACAGTTCCGAATGGTCGTGGAAGACTGCCTGTGCTGTGATGATGGGTGGCAAACTTTCCTGGAGAGCCAACAACCTGACGCTGTCAGCCAGTCTACTCCGACTCAACACGACTGTCTACCAAGGTCCTCCGATCCAGAGGCTACCTCTTCCTTTAAGATTCAAGGGAACTGCCGTCAATATGACAACACGTTTAGCGCCGCCTCGTACAAGGAAACCCCATTGCTAAGGGCCCTTCTTAGACTGCGGACTCGACTATTCCTGCACCAGTCATAGAGACTCTACAGTACGTTGATGGCATAATCTTGGCTACTTTTATCCGAATAGCTTTTCCACGACAATATATCAGTACAATGCTGAGATCCAGACAGAATGCCACGAACCTTCCAGACTCTCAACCTCTTCTTCCTCTCAGCCATTCAACCTACTCCATCGCTTTCCCCAGGACTGTGGCGGTCCTACAACATGGAGCATGATCATACAGGAATCGCTGACTCGGGGGCACAGTGGTACGAGGGACAAAACATGTTCCCGTGCCACCTTCTTCCCGGAACGCTTACCATTGACAACTTGTTTCCACACCACCCTGTGGTAGGGCAAACAGCCGCTATGATAGGCGTCTACACTGGGAGTAACGCAGATCATTCCGTCGATGGTCCGAATGTTGGACTGCCTCAATACCTGGAACAACATGGCGCCAGGGTGTGCCGGTATCCATTGGAAACGCCGTTTGATCTCATGGAGGAAGTGCCTCAGGATTACCACGCCTCCTTGTGCCCTGGCTCCATACCGTACCACTTTCTAATCTTCGAACGCAGGACTAGGTCCTCGAAAATGAAGTTTCCTTGGGAGATGGTTTTTGTCATATGGCGGGTGCCCGTCGAGATCGTCATTGCGACGGGAGAAGGATACTACCATTTCGCCAAATGGCGTATGTTGGCAGGATGGGCGAAAAGCTATTTCCAGTCTGAATGGACTCTGATGCAATCCGAGCTACAAGATCTGGTCACCAGAGCCACTGAGCATGGCCATGAGGTTCAAGCAATCGTCTATCGCCTACTCCTGGGGTCATTCAAGGATATGGAGATTTATCTGGACGGAGACCGTCTGCGGGGCAAGATCGTCCACTGGGTCTCTAAGCCTCGATATATGGAGTTGCCTGCTTCTGTGATATTCGAGGTGCACGACTCATCCAAGATGGCTCGGGACCGCACGCATTACATGCTTACGAAGCTCACACCTAAGGGTCGCTCTCGTCCCCCTGTCAGGGTTATGGATGAGGATCTTACCTTTGATTCTTTCGTTCGACTTCCACCTCTTACCAGCGAACTTTGAGGTGCAACCATGGTAGCTGGACTGGTGTTCTCGGTCGAGCCTGGGAAGGATTGCGCCTCTTCCGGCTGGGTATTTCTACACGTTCAGTCAGAAAGATCTTGGGAGTCAGCAAACTCACAAGGATTTTGAAGCCGTAACCATTGCACACTAGCTTCGGGGATGTAGGCATTTCAACCCGTCAGCGCTAGATATGCGGGGCCGGCCATTCACAACCATATACGGAGTACCTCGTATCATGCATGACAGGGATGTCAAGCGAGGCCGCCCGTGCGGGATGAACTGTCTCCGAAAGTAAATCGCCCACTGATCAAGGCTACTCGACATCCTTCCAATCCCTCCTTCTTGTTCTTCTGCACGCTTGTTGATGCATTGCTCAGGACGGCACCTCCAAGCCACAAAGATATGGCTAATCGTCCACTTCGCACGTACTATTCAAGCCTGACATGGGTGAACTCCTGGCTTGCTAACACTTGGACAACGCCACAAAGGTTCGACCATGTCAAGGGAGTACGAACACGAACCGAAAGTCGAGAATATCTGCCAAATTGGCAGGGGTGAGCTCTTAACTTCGAATGGCAATTCACTTGTCCTGTATACGAGGCACATACATACCGCACATGTAGGTATATGTGACTCTCTAAGTCTGGAATAGCTATTGGCATGCAAGCACAATTCTTATCATGGTTGCACCACAGACAGCCACCTGCACAGTTCCTGTGTTTATTCACACTTGACCACAAGCTGTCACATTTGCGAGTCGCGTCGATGCACCCGACTCCTTATCACAATCTGACTCACCCTCAATCCCAGCCCACTCGTGTCATCGTCACTTCAGTCGGTCATTTGGTAACGATCCAGCGGCAGCTGCTCTAATGACCATGCGGTGTCAAGGTGGCGTGACGGGAAAGAAGCGTGATGTGCTTGGACTGACAAGAAGATGGATAGTTCGTCATTGCCCATTTTTTGGTCGAACTCAACCTCAACCTCAACCTCAACCTCAAATTGGGTGGTGCTTGAGGAGATTGTGATCGAAGTCATGAAAAAGGGGTGTTTGACGAGTTTGTACTTCAAATTTTTGGAGAGTTTGCATAGTTTGTCTTGTTTGTTGCAGCCCTCTCCCTCTTTTGTTGTCAGTTCCATCTCTGGACTTGTACCACATTTTTCGCCAGTACGCATCTGCGCTGATACGACATTGACAGCTAGAACCTCTTCGAGGCAGGCGAGACAGAGACTAACACCTTCACGGCTGCTGGATGCTACTCTGCAGTGCCTCAGATGTTCCCTGAGATGTCCCCTTTCGCAAGACTGAAAACAAGGTGTTGATTTGTTGGTTGTTGTCGCCTAGGAGTCGGTGGCTTGGCTCTAGAACCCCCCAAAAGTCCACCTCAGGTGACAATCCCAGAGGCCTTATCTGACGCTTCTCTGGCCATTTGTCCACTAGGCGGTCTACTTGTTGGGGGTGGTTCCCCCCAACTTGCCGATCACAACTGCCAGAGGGTCCAACCCTGGTCTCTGTTGTTCAAAAGGCCTTATCTCATGCTTAGGCGACGAGGGGGCCTGGCTTTCCAGTGGCTGCGGAATTTCTCCCACGGTTCATTTTCCATCTCACCGTTCATCCACGTTCTGGCCTTGCCAACTTGAAGCCGACTTGAGAGCTATGGAAAATAACGTAAGCGTCCAGAGATCTGAATGCCCATAAAACGAGGTCATGGCAAGGTTCCTCCATGCATTTTTGCCTCGTCAGGCTAAAAAGCCGGCAGACTGTCAGCGCGGCTGAAGAGTTGAACCATTTCACTCGTGTTTAGAGTTTGACAGTGGCCGCCATTTGCCATTTAGTGATTGTCTGGCAGAGTCTCGATCGCAAGTCGCTTGGCTAGCGACCATACCACAGTAGTTGTATGGCCAGTCCGGGGTCTCAAAGGTTCTTTCATGGCCCAGTTCTCGGACCTGCATAATCTCTCCAGGCTGCCACGAAAAAATATATCATATAAGTATGCAGTTTCGGGACTTCCCATACCAGGCACAAGACTACACTGTCCTCGAGCGTTCTTCTACTGAACCTGTCCTCCGTCCGTAAGTTAGCTGCTGATTGTCGTCGCACACTTCAAACCAAGTTCCGACTACCACTCCATTCGTCGCGACTTCAAAAGGATACAGCACTTTTAATCCTCTCCACGATGACTCCGTTTTTCGCAACCCTTCTTGTCTCTGCAGCCGTCATTCTGCGGAGCGTGACCGGTCAAGCAATCAGTATGGATTATCGCGAGCCTCTAGTCGATGTCCTGTCCATCTGCGAAGCCGAAATCCCCAGCTGCACCCTGCTACCTCAAACCGTCCAGGCTCCCTGTCTTTATGCAGCAGATGGTCAAATCATCATCGCAACCACGACGCCAACTGCCACGGCCCAAATATCGGTAAGTCATAAGCAGTAAACGTCTGCCGGGAACGCGACGTCGCTAACGCAATCATTCCGCAGGTCAGCGAGTCCGGCGTGACGAATACGAGGTTGTACGACATCGCTAGCAGTGTTACACCGAGTGCAGGTTCAAAGCCGACTACGGGTTCCAGCAGGGTGGTCACCGTGATGACAATAAGCCCATCATCAACATCGGCGACAAAGATGGTTGAAGCACCGAGGTCGGCGCCTGGAAACGTGGACTTCTTGAGCGTGCTTTTGACATTAAGTGCAATGGCAGTGGCGGAGGTATTTATATGCAAATTAGGCCATGATTAAATTGTCAATACATAGTCCTTTTGCGGCCAGGGGTTCCGCACTGTACAATCGCATGAGCTATCTCAAAGATGGGCCTGTCAAAGTCCTTGTGGATGCTTGAATCTCTCCTACTCATTGCGGTAATTCCAAATGCGGCAGCTGTCCTTTATGGCTTGACGCGTCGAGTGCTGCTGAATGATTTTTTTCTTCCTCACCTGATTAGACGGTCTGTAAGATACTTGAGGTTGTCTTTGAGATTATCCCGGAATCTTACCTCCCAGTCTCGAGAGCCGTAAAATCCAGAGGAGCGCTGTCGTAAGGAAGAAGAAAGAAAAGAAGACGTGAAGGTGGTGCGCGGACTTGACCGAGCAATTAACGCCAAGGTCAAGATCTCGAATTCGGATATCAACGGATATCGCAGTATCAATCATTGGCACTGTCTGTGATTTCACTACCACAGTCTGTTGCTGCTACTTTCACGGGGCAAACGGAAGGAGGGAGCACGGGGCATATACAAGATGGCGCAGAAGAACGTTGTTGTTGTAGGGTAAGCATTGCACACACTTCTCTTCTCCTTTCCTATCTCCCTAGAACACCATGGCCACAGATCATCGCCGGTACAATATTGTTCCATGGCTGACATCTTCTCGCAACACCCAGCGCCGGTGTCGCAGGTCTCACTACCGCACTGTTACTTTCCCGGCGTCCGGGATACAACATCGTCGTGGCAGCGAAGCACATGCCCGGCGACTACGACATTGAATACGCTTCGCCATGGGCGGGCGCGAATTATATGCCGTGAGTGTCCCGTTACCCCTACATGCATCCTGACTGAGGGTGCTACTCCAGTGTATCCGTTCGTGGCACCGAAGCCGCAGAATGGGACAAGAACACTTGGGGACCGCTCGAGGATCTTGCGCGTAATCATCCTGATGCTGGGGTCCATTTTCAACGTACGTCATCGTTGGCTCCAACTTGTGAGACATCGAACTGACTGCCCCGGAGATTGCGAGATTCATAACCGGTCAAAGGACGTCGGGACCGCGACTGCAGAGTGGTTTGCCGAGTTGTTATCTCCGAATCCTTGGTTCAAGGAGGTTGTCCCTAGCGTGAGCAGACCTCAATGAAGCTGCAAAAGCCCACAACTGACGACGCTCTAGTTCCGATCCATCCCCAAAAGCGAGCTTGGCCCAGGAATCGACTCTGCCACCGACTTTACCTCAGTTTGCATCAACACGGCTATTTACCTCCCCTGGCTGGTATCGCAATGTCTGAAGAACGGTGTCATTTTCAAACGTGCTTCTTTCAACCACATTTCAGATGCCGGACGACCGGATGTTCACCCGGCGAAGAAGGTCGATCTTGTCGTCAATTGCACTGGTCTTGGAGCGGCCAAGCTAGGCGGCGTCGAAGATAAGACGGTTGTGCCGGCGAGAGGGCAGATCGTGCTTGTCCGCAACGATGCTGGAAAGATGCTCGATGTCTCGGGCACTGATGATGGCGATGGCGAGGCATGCTATGTGATGACGAGGGCTGCGGGTGGTGGTACGATCTTGGGTGGGTGCTACCAGAAAGGCAGTTTTGAGTCTGGAGTCGATCCGAATCTTGCTGTGAGGATCATGAAGAGAGCGGTCGCGCTGTGTCCGGCCCTGACAGGCGGCAAGGGCATTGAGCATTTGGATATCATACGGCATGGCGTCGGGTTGAGACCTGTGCGGGAGGGTGGAACGAGGATCGCGAAGGAGCGTATTGGTGGCGCTTGGGTTGTGCATAACTATGGCGCGGGCGGAGCTGGGTATCAGTCATCGTATGGATGCGCGATGGCTGCTGTGAAGCTTGTAGAGGAGGCTTTGGAGGCTCGTGCGAAGTTGTAGCAGGTGTTTGTTGATATCGATTAGGATCGCCGGGGCTGGCGGGTCTGAAGTGACCGACCAGGGTAGTGATTGATGAAGGACGATAAAGCTCGAATCCCGATCGGAGCAGTAGTGCAATCAAATCTTTGTGAAAGGCTGCCATGCTGTGAAACTGGCCCAGCAACATTTTTCAATGGCGTCCCGCGACGTATGACCGACCCACTGACTTAGATTTCCCAGTTCGGGCCAGCTTTGCTCATGAAGAAACTTCCCCCTCCCTATTGTAAGCCACGGTGATGCATCCAATGGCTAGAAAATCGAAATTCAATATGCCTCGAGCCAGGCGTTAAACGCATCGAGGTCAACCGTCAGTTTGGTTGAGTATCGGCGAGCTGGGTGTGGGCAAAGTGAAGCTGTACTGATGCCACCCAACCATGACTTTCTATCATTGTGCTGGCGTTCTTTCTCTCGGCACCACTATGTGTACCCCTAGCCGCTTCATGCACTCGACTCGAGTTGGTAGGTGCTGCGGTAGTCCAAATAGAACCAATGCTGCAGAAATACCGGAATCAGATTGATCAAATCGCAGCACGGTACGATGCTTGGGGGGATTTTGAGCAGAGCCCATCACTCTGTGTAGCTGGACCCCCTTGAGTTGGCCAGAGTAGTGCTCGGTCCATACGAGAGGCCTTTCCCGTAGCTTCTCAACCTTGATAACTCCTTTAAGCACGGTCGTACCGTCTGGATCGGTCCTCAAGCCAAATATCATGCCTGTGCACCGCAATGAGAAGAACTCGGCCGCCGCTGAAGTCTCAATAAGCATTATGAGCGCTTTGAAAGCAGCTTTCGTCGCGCTGATTTCCACGGGCTCTAGCTCTAGCGCTGAGGCGAGATAGGCGTGTCTTTGTCTCTCAAATTTCTCATTGCCAATCCTCTCTAATATATCAACATCACCCAGGATGCTGGTCAAGTGCAATGTCTGGTCGTCCAGGTCAACTTCATGTGGATACAACGGCAGCCGGAGAGCTAATTCAAGATCCCATGACCCGCCGAAAACATATTGTACAAAATAAGGAGAAAAGTCATGTTCCTCGCGTCCACCTTTTCCGATATCTAGCAGGTCCATTAGGGGATCCGAAAGCTTTGAGTGTTTGAGCCATGGTCGGGTAAGCGGACGTGAGCTTGGTTCGAGAACAATTGCTCTGTAGCAAAAGCAAGGACTTGTGACAGGAGAAGTGTTTTGTCGCTACCATAATCAATCGGGAAACGATCACCATGGACGGAAATCGACAGCAAAGCGTAAACATGATCATGGAAGTCGCCACACTGACTCTCACGATAATTCACAATGGCCTCAGCCAGGGTGAACCGAATGTCTCCTTCAACATCGGCATCGGAACGCTTGACGCAAAGCGTATGTGCTGGTGTCTTCGGAGACGTACAGATCTGGGGAACGTTTCCGTGACAGCGCACGTATATAGCCAGGATATCCAGTAAGGCACTCTGGGAAAGCTGTGTTTCCCCGTATAAGATCGTCTTGGATTGGGAAAGCTGATATTCTTGCACTACCCAGCAGCGCCTCCAGTAAGGCAAATCGCAAAAGCGTCGAAGACCACATCCAAGCAGTTTCCAGCTGTTGAGGGCCGCAACGCTCTGCAATGTGCGCTGTTCCAGTCTATCCACAGGGATATCACGCAAATCTTGCCAGGATACCTCACCTGAAGATTCCGCAAGCTGTTGCAATGTCCTCTGGATAAGTGCGCCCTCCTGTCGCCTTATAAGCATGTGCCTTGCTCGAGAGTATATTCTGGCCATCAGTCCAACTTGATGGTTGCGCTCAGAATTTGAACTTTGATCAATGCAAATGGCGTCAATCCAAAGCGGTATTGAATCATGGTGTTGTCGGCATCCAAATCATGCCAATCTTTAAATACTTCATGGTCCAGTTCTCTCTCTTTCCCAACATTGTTCACAATACTTCGAGCGCAGTCTTTCTTCGTACACTTGTCCCCACTCGCTCACTAGACTGATTGTATTGTCCGCACTCTTAAGCTTACTAACATGGAAAGTGATATGGAGAAGATCGAGAAAATCTACGGATGGTCCGATATACTATACATGGAAGAGAACATGCTCCATTATCGGCCAGGAGGTTATCATCCTGTGGCTTTGGGAGATACGATGAAAGATGATCGATACAAGGTATTGCATAAGCTCGGGTATGGTAAGGCATCCACGGTCTGGTGTGCTAGAGACAGCAAGTATGCCCATCGTTCTCCCTCTCATACTTGCCCTCGGGGAGGGTGCTGACAACTTGCAGACTCGCGCGGTGGGTGGCGATCAAAATCAACAAAGCAGACGAGTCAAAGCAGACGAGTCAAAGCAACCTCAGGAGCTACAGCATCATCGAGCCCTGTTGGAGCTTGCCAAAGGCGATCTTCGATCGAAACATATCGTTCAACTTTTCGATGATTTCACTGTGGATGGCCCTAATGGCAGCCATCTGTGTCTGGTTTTGGAGTTGCTCGCGCCGCCCGTCGATTGGATGATTTCTGATGAACCAGATGAGTGTTATTACCCGTATGAGCGTCTCGACCCGGTAAACAGTCTCATGATCTCGACAAATCTTCTAGAAGCTCTGATATTCTTACAGGAGAATGGCTATGCACACGGAGGTATAGTAGACCATGATCTCCCTCAACTTTCAGATCACTGGTACTGATGATTTTCTAGATATCAGCACCAAAAATATTGCTTATACTTGCGATTTGCTGTCTCATTTGTCCGAGAACGAGCTCTTGAAAGTACTTGGCGACCCGGAAACAGTAGATATCAGACGAGTGGACGGCCAACCCCTTGCGGAAGGTATCCCCCGCCAGTTCATCAGGTCAACCGCGTGGCCCGGATATCCGCACGACGACGATGATGTGGACGATGATTTCCGGTTTTTTGACCTCGGAGAAGCGTTCACTCAGGACACCACGCCTAAGAAACTCGCTGGGCATGTATGCTTACAGTCGCCTGAAGCGATGTTCACACCCAGTTGTGATCGCAGGACTGATTTGTGGAGCACGGGCCTGACTGTACTTTAACCCTTCCTCTTTTCATTGGCGAGCTTCCTAACATCTTCTCTAGATTTGCTATCTCTCAGTCGGGTACTTGCCCTGGCACATTCATCAGTGGCCTATGAATGACTTGCGCAACTCTTCGAAGGGTTATTTCGATGAGTGGCCGAAAGAATGGCAGAAAAACGCGGAGCGACTGCGACGTGACGCGGAAGAAGAATATGGCAGAGCCTTGCGAGGAGAGAGAGAGCCTCCCGGATTGGAGTTGGAAGTGGAATTCAAGAAATATGTCCCGGAACCGGAATTACAAGTCCTCCTTCCCGTAATCCGAGGTCTCACCCAGCTCTCCCCATCGAGTCGGATGTCAGCAGGGCAAGCTCTTTTCTTGGTTGGAATGCCTCACGAGGACTGCTATGCCACGGACGAAGGGAGAAATATGAAGTCCTATTGAATATTCTGCTATCGCAGGCTAAGAAAGTCTTCTTAGTGTGTAACAAGCCCCTTTCCAGAAAAGGTGGCACTATTTGACAGGCAGTACGTCAACGAAAGGAGACCATAGTCTAGCAGGTTCGCGATAGAGGGTGCCTTGGCTCCAAGCTACTTGCGCTATAGGACAGAGCCAACGGTATCTCCCATGAAGATGACAATAAGGAATGCAATCTACTCAGATTCAGGAGCAACCACAGTCAGATAGTGCCACCTTTTCGAAACAGGCTTCACACATGTATCGCCTACACTCATACTCTCGCACCCATCGCACACAGAGCAGCGTCAACCATCATAAGGTACATGATTACGCATTTCAGCTCTCAGCCAGTCCATGTCAGCACCTCTTCGGATGCGACCTCCTTCATGCTGCCGGTCGGCGCCCGACACCTGGCTACCCTGTCTGGCTTCATGTCCTGGGACGAGATCTCTCATTTTCTCCGCAGCCACTCTCTGGGCATCGCTAACACGTAGAGATTGTCTCATGACTTCCTCTCGGACAACGGCATAGTCCTCTACCCTTTCGCCGAGTGCGTTCTCGATTCTCATCCACAGCTCAACGTCGTATTGTGTCAAGAAGGAGAAAGCACGACCACTTTTCCTAGCACGGGCGGTCCTGCGGACTTGACGTATGTAAGTCTCGCTGTCATACGGGATATCGTATTTAAGGACAAAGTCGACCAGATCCACATCGAGCCTGCAGGCGGCGTGATCGGTGGTCACGAGTAGACTTGCCTTCTCTCGCGACGTCTGTGAGAGTTTACCATGAAGGACTGCTGCCGAGAATCCTAGATTCTGTAGCATGAAACACAGTCGCTGTGCTTCCCTGATCATGCGTGTGAAGATGATGCCGGTTCGTCCCACGTATTGGCCGAGTATGTGCACCAAGTACAAATCTTTGTGCTGGTGAGGAATGAAAACGTAAGACTGCAGGAGTGTGGCAACCGTCAAAGTCCTCAGTGCTACCGTCAAAGTCCTCGATGCCACCGTCAGACCCCCGGAGGCCACCGATATACGCAGAGGATTCGAGAGGCGCGCCCGCTGCAGAGCATCAACCCTGTCCGACGTCTTTGCAGCGTATATGAATGTCCTCCTAGGCGGCAAAAGTTTTAAGATCTGGTCCAACTCGGGCCCAAAACCAGTATCCAAGAGTCTATCCGCCTCGTCGAAGACAAGATATTTCAGCAAACTCAGCGAGAATCTGAACCCTTGAGTGTTTTCCAGATGGTCCAGTAAACGCCCTGGCGTTTCAACGATGATGTGCGGCTTCTTCCCAATGGCCATGGCTTGTGAGATGTGGTGGACTCCCCCAATGAGGACGGCGCATTGGAAGGGTTTGCTGGCACCTAGTGCTTCAATAACCTTGGCGATTTGTAGTGCGAGTTTTCTGGTGGGTGCAAGAATGAGAGAGTGTAGGCCTTGTGGGTGATTGAACAAGTGTTGCATGATGGGCAGGAGATATGCCACAGTTTTGCGACTCCCTGTTTCCGCAAGGGCTATCAGGTCTCTCCCTTCGAGTGCTGGCGGGATGGCCTGTGCCTGAATAGGGGTGGGTGTCTGAAAGCCCAAAGAGCTGCAGGCCTCGCATAATGATGCTTCGATGCCGAGGTCTTGAAAGGTGGAGGGAGGAGTATTCGCGGAGCATTGTCCATCCTCAGGGAGAGAGTTTGCCTGAGAATTCTCTGGAGACGACGCCATGTTCGGAGGGCGACAGTTGTACCTCTACTCGCCGGGGTAGGAAGACTTTTGTACTTCATATGATCTGGATGCTTGCTTTGTGTCGAGTAAGGTTTAAGGAAACTTTGCCGCAAGGTTTGAAAACCATGGTTCAGGGCGATCGGAGAACCATTGTGAGTCACCTTTCAAAGGGATACCATTCCTTGTTGTCATCCTGGAGTCCTTGGGACACAACGATATAGCAAGGGCGTCAGACAGAGAGGAGGTCGTCAGGTCTACCGTGTACCCTTAGTAGCATGGATGAAGCACCTACTGCCGCGAACCTGCTGGACCCTGAAGCAAGATTGTCGATGTACTCCCTCCCCTAAGACAGTGCCACTTGTTCTGGAAACAAGCTGGTCGGGCCACTACAACGACTGAGTGATTCAAATGTTGCCAAGTTGTGTAATGACTGCCAGTAGAGCGAGAAGTACTGTTGATGCATCATCAATGCCTCAGATTTCCAAGGGGGAGGGAGCCACTCACAAGCAGACGAAGTGACAATATACGTCGCAATAACCCAGGCGGCTTCGGCAACCGCAACATCGTCCACATCCCCATGATCACTGTACATGTACCAAAAGCCGATGACCAGACTCAGCACAATCGGCACCGTACCCCAGAACACCACCTTGACCACACTCCATCGCAGTTTGAATTCCAGAGTCAGTCCACCCATCTCAGGATTGTTGGAGTCGGCATTGAAATGCTCGTGAATCCACATCAGCCAGCGGCCCTCATAGTCAAGCTTGTTCCCTTTGTAGCTGCGCCATAGCTCCGACAACGCCCTTCCGGTTTCGTGGTCCAGCTCGACTTCGCGGTGGTAGCCTTTGGCCGGGTCGCACTCGTAGATACCAAAGCCTGAGACTTCTTTGAGCGACAGTGCGCGGCGCAGTGGGTTGCGCAAGGTTCGGTGTGCTTTGCGGATGGCTTGGAACAAACCCTCGGTATCCATGACCCTTCGGAGCGTCTCACGTGGCACGCTGCCGTCACCCATGAAGCCGACAACGATGTAATGGTAGTCATGGAGCCACGGGTGGGCGATGGTGGGGACCTGTGTGAGGTCGGTCGGCGCGGTTTGCCGTTCGATGTCTTCTGGCCTGCTACCCGCGTCATTGTTGTCCCTCTCTGTCGACTTGGGATCATCTGGGCGTTGGGTGTATGTCTGCATCCGTTTGCGTGCTTGGGGAAGTTTATCCTCTGTCCATGTCCTTTCGGTGCCTTGCCAGCCCTATAACGTGCGCCGTGTTAGTAAGCAAGCTTGTTGATAATGGTGGAAGACAAGAGTGCGAATCACCCACCAAGCGAACGTTGACTCTAGCGATATCGACTCCGGTTTCATTTGTTTTGAAGGCGATGTTTTGAGACAATGTTACGCCAAAGAGTCGTAGTGTCTTTTCGAGAGTGTAAATCCGACGCGTCGACCGGGCGCAATGGGAGATGTCCTTGTGCTCGTTACGATTCCATGCAAACCACGTAAGTGCATGATGGCTGAAGCTATCAGTTTTGACCTTGGGAGGGCGGACAACGACTGGCGGTGGCTCAAGGTGGATGGGCTTTGACGATCGCGAAGTGAGAGTCTCATCAGACAGATCTGGTATGGGATGATTCGAGCGCGATGAAGTGTTCTTCGCAGTACATCCGGAGGCGCCTGTAGGTACTCGTGTTGGTTCATTGCTCGTCGAATCGGTGCAACTGTGTCTGGACATGACTTTGTCCATGTTCGACTGTAGACCTTTGGGATGATGTAAGTCATATTGTAAAGAGGGGTGTCTTCTCTGCTCAAGAATATCCTTAGGACTGGACGCCTGATGAACGATGATTCTGGCAGCAGCGTTTCAGATACAGTATGCAGGGTCTCTCGAGAGGGCCGAGCCGAGATTGGTGTGGAAAAGCAGCCGCCCGATAACTAATGCCGTTCTGACAAGTGACGCCGACCCCCGTAACTTAGGCGTTCTCTGCGGGGATGATAAGTGGTTTGGTCGCCCACAGCCACTTAACTTTCAACGCCCAGTGATTACGTCGATGCCTCGAATTTAGGCTCCTGCCTCAAGATGCATTGCTCCATTGTTCTCTCAGTCATTACCGCATCATTGCCTTTCCGTGCCAACGGACTCTAGATCGATCTTCCACTTCTTCGTCCACACGTCCACAGTCCTGTACATCAGACCATCTCCTACTGGATCTCTAACCTCTCCCAGCACAGTACTATCTTTGATTGTCTTGGTGGTCTCAAATCTCGGCCCTTTTTCTCCAATGTCCTCCGCATTCCCTGGGGCAGGCTCATCCGGTGTCGATGCCTTTACATACTTGCGCTCCCAGAATCCCATCAGCTTTCGACTTGGGTCCCTTTCAACATCCTCATCACTAGCCCTCAACCGATCAAGCCAAATTGCAACATCATCAACTTCAAAACTTGGCATGCTGGGGTGAGCCTGCAGCATCGGCACAAGATCCTTTGCAAAGCTAAATGTGCATGGATTGACAATGTGGTAGACGAGCTCTGCGTCTACCGCATCATCGTTTCGAAATGCCAGCTGTTCAATAGCTTCTGCAGCTCGATCGATGGGCAGCCAGCTCGGACTTTCGTCCAAAGACGGCAGACACGACGCGCTGGACGGTAGAGCTGACCGAATCATAAGTGCAATGGCTTCGGTATCGTTCCAAACCGCCTGCCTCGTATCCCCCGCCAACTGTCCGATCCTCAGCACTCTCGCCACGCAGCCTGTGCTCTGATTGCAGCGTGTGTGATTCTTTCCGAGACAAGCTTGCTGCGCCCATACCCGATGGGCTGGGCATGCGACAGATCCGAAACCCGAGCCTCGGCTATCGTCTCGTCCTTGGGCGTGCCGCTCACAGCCGCCACGCTCGAGCAGAAAAAGAACTTGGCCGGCTTGCTGTGCGTGGTTCGCAATGCAACGTGTTCGAGGAGATTATACACGCCCCGGATATGTTGCTGGTCGAACGCATGCAACGGAAGGTTGAAATTGACTGCCCAGGCACTGTGAATAATGTGTGTGAGTTGTTGAGCAGCTCCTTAAGCAAAGTCATTCCCATACCAAGCGAAGGCTGGCTCTGGTCTCCCACAAAAGCACACCTTGTTCTGGTGGTTGTCTGGAAGCTCTCGTTGGAGACCACGGTCTTCCAATGCTCTGAGAACCCGGGTTTGGGCCGATGCGGCGTCTGAAGCACGCACGAGGCAGTATACCCTGCTAATGTCCTGGCGCCTGAGGAGGTTGGCCAGGAGACACGACCCCAGCCCACCGGTCGTGCCAGTCAGCAGGACCGTTTTGCTGGATACTTTGGGCCTGTCGGTCGGATCATGCGTCGTGAAATTCGAGTATGACCGGATCAGGTCCTGCATTTCCTGGATCTCCCTCCAATCCGAGTCATCTTCACAATCACCAATATCGAGCCTCAGTCTGTACAGGTGTTGCGCCAGAGATCTGCACGTTCCGCGTTCGAATACGACATTCTGTGAAAGTTTGGCTTCATTGCCCCCGAGATCGAGTTCTTTCTTGATCATGTGCAAGATGCGCGTTGTCTGCAAACTATCGACGCCTGCAGAGAAGATGTCCGAATCGACCGAGTCCAATGTGACGCCGAGATCGTCGCGGAATTTGGCCATAAGGAATTCTTCCAGCGCCGGAACATCAAGGTTCAACAGGTGGCGTTCGTTAGTCGAAGTCGATACGCCGGCCTCGAATCTCTCATAAGCTTGCTGCATGTGCGACTGGTACTGCTCGTACAACTGTGCGCGGATGAATGTGCCTTTGTCCGTTCGTGGGTATGATTCATCAAATGGTCGGACAATGACCAGGTCTCTAGAGATACGGGAAAAAGTCTCAGCGCGACCGTTTGCTTCTTCGATTTGCGGCCAGATTTGGTCTAGGAACTCTTCGTCACTCAGATTAACAGCAGCCTCACTACGAAACACAATCGCGCCAGGCAGAGCCCTTTGGAACCCAAATACGGCCACCTCCCTCACTAACACACTCTGGCGAATATGTCCCTCGATCGGTATCGGGAGGACTTTCTCACCGTTGACCAGTGTTAAACGGTCATCAAGCCTGCTGACGTGTTTCCAATGATTGGATTTCGCAGGATCAGGATGTCGTGTGAACAAGTCCCTTGTTCTAAACGCCCCTGGTGGATTGTCGGTGTTTGTCGCTACTTTGGTTGGCAGGCCATCGAGTACAATGCACTCGAATAGCCCCGGTGAGATCTCGTCCATCCAGATATGGTCCGCCACGGGCTTGTTCAAGCGCATATAATTCCACTCATCGTCACCTGCAGGTCTTGCCGAGTTCATGACGAATCCCATCTCGGTAGCGCCATAGCTGCCGACCAATTTGACACCTTTCGAGACCAGTTTATCTCCTAATGAGTCCGGGCACGCACTGCCGCCATATATGATGGTCTTTGCTTTTGCGAGTTCAGCAATACCATCGTCCCGCTCCGCTAGGATCTCGAGGACGTATGGGACAGCCCATACCAATTCTGGCTTGGCGACACGGAGTGCGGCGACCAGGTTTGGCCGCGTGACTGGCAGTTGGTGGTTGCCGAAAAACATGATCTGTCGGTGGTAGAGCGCGCGTCCAAATGCAAACAGAGCATGGGAATGGAATAGGGGGGAGATTGTGAATACTCGAAGACTCAGTCCTGTCCGAAAATTCGAGAGAGCGCCGATGTTGGTGACGAAGATGGGCTTAGGGAATCCCGTCGATCCGGAAGAGTGAATGATCCACGCGACCTTTTCGGATTCCTTCTTCGGATCGACTTCACGGACGAATTGTTGAACGTTGAGTGTCAATCGATAGTCTACCTGTTTGATCAATGGCAGGAGATCGAATTGCAACTCAACATGCTTTTGCTGGATGACAGCGTCAAACACCGCAGACGCCACAATCGTGGTACAATCAGTCAGTCGCATGAGACTGACCAAAGCCGGTGCTGGGAGCCTTGTCGACAAGAAAAGAACCGCCCAACCCATGCGGCCCAAGGCTAAGAATGATATGATGGCATCGAGGGAGGACTGAGTAAGAAGTGCTATGGCCGGAGCCTTCTCTTGTGCTGGATCAATCGGCAGCAATCCTTGCGCTTGGTACCACCAACAAGCCGCGTCGACATATTGGTCAATCATCCTGACTGTGTGGATTTCGTAATCTGATGCACCCTTCGCGGGATATCCGAACATGGGTGTCTCGCCACCATCTGAAGCATACTGTCGGAGCAAATGATCGATGGTCTGGTATCTTGATGGCGGCGGGAGCGACACTGCTGCCTTTGGAGCTGTGACGGTGATTGTCGCCATGACCCCATCGATCGAAGAGGATGGGAAACGACAGTCGATGATATCAGACTGGCCAACCATCATGCAAACATCATGAACACAGTAACAATATTAACATACCTACAGTAACAGTCTCGTCGCGCAATCAGCGGTGCCTATAGCCTCATCGCCGAATCGAGGAAGTCTCCACCCTCGGAGGCCTGCCTTAGTCGAATCGAAGGCAGGCGACCGTCACTCGAGCCTACTGGAAAGCCACCAGTAGCAGAGCCTCAGAAAGCTGCATCGCACCGCAGAGTCCTAGGAAATTTGCCTCACGCACGAATGGGACTGATTACCACGAATAATGGACACTCCAACGGTTAATGGCAATGCAACAATGATATAAACAAAGACCGCATAGTATTCGACAGCAGCACCGTCTACGGTACAAGTCCATCGATCAGAACGATGCCCATGACTATTCATTCAGCCCATCCCTACGCTCCATTTTCTCAGCAAGAAGACACGATCTCACGTCTCCGCCAAGCCTGTTTCCAAAAAAATACTTTGCGATTCTATCGCGACTGCCTCTTCTCTTACCTCTTGACACATTGTACGAGTTGGGCACTCATAGTCGATGGCGTGCTCGTTGAAACTCTCCTAAAAACAACACTACTGACAATACTCCTGGCCTCGTCTGATGTCGCCATCGCAAGAATTGACGGTGGGTCCATACCGCCGAAGTCAAGGTGGACCTCAAGCTTCCTGCCCTCGGCGATGCAAATACTGGAAGCCTGGATACCGATCACGCCGCTGCGAGGGACGAACAGACCACATGGCGTGAGGTTTTTGATGCGCCCAGCGTCGTACCTGGCAATACCAGGACAGTGGTCCATTGCAGGTACCCTCAGAGCTTGAAGGGCCTCCGGACGATTCGATCCGCCTTTGGTGGATGCAGAGTACCACAATGATATCTCAAACGCCAGGCACGCGTGATATCCCATGTTGTCTTAACCAGAAGCTTACGAAAATCGTCATCGAAACTTGACCATGGTCGACTTCTCGCAATATGCAGCACCTGCTGAGGAATGGCTAGAGTTCGAAAAGACGTGGAAGCCACCAGTACCTCCACCGTCGGCCACGCCCCAGGAGGTGAGAGATAGAGCCAACCAAAAAAGCGCACAGTTCTTTGCCAATGTGTTGGGACGTCCAGGTAAGCCAAGCTGAGAGGGAACTGCATAGCTGCAGGAGGCTCGCTAATCTGGTGACATCTAGAAACCGGGCTCAAGGTGATTGATCATTCAGTTCCCACCATCGATGGTGCAATAGTCCCGGTTCGAATTCAATCGCCGGTCGACGTTGGTTCAACGAAGCTTCCCCTCGTCATCTCTATCCATGGGGGTGGCTTTTTCCTAGGCAACCTGGAAACCGAAGATCCTCATTGTCGCCAACTTGCACTGCATACCGGAGCAGCAGTGCTGAACGTCAACTACCGACACGCGTCTGAATGGGCGTTTCCAACTCCTGTCAATGATGTATGGACGGTGTTCAACTGGATCCAACAACATGCCGAGACCTACAATATTGACCCCGGTAGGATCTTTTTCTCGGGCGTCAGTGCCGGCGCCAACCTGGCCATCAGTATCGCCCTGAGTGCACTCCAGCAACAGACTTTGAAGCCGGTCAGAGGTTTCATATTGAGTGTCCTATCTGTGGTGCATCCGGACTATTTTCCCAACGAGCTCATCAGGAATGGAAAAGCTTCCCTGGAACAGTGTGCCAATGCACCCATCATCAGTCTCCCAAGGATGCGATTCTTCACCAGCCTTTACAAGCCAGATCCACAGCATCCGAAATTCTCGCCTCTGCTCCTTGATGCGAATGCGTTTGCTGGGCTATGCCCCACGTCTTTCCATATCGCTGGAAGGGATCCCGTCCGCGACGAAGGGTTGTTGCTCGAAGAGAAGTTGAGGTCGGTCGGGCACGTTTAAGCCAATCAACGTAAACAAGCATCTATCAAACTGACCTCCTCTTCAACAAGGTCCAAACAACACTTCAGATCTATCCAGGCCTGCCGCATGCTTTCATGTCGTTGCCAACTCTGCCCTCGGCCGCAAAATGGCGCCAGGCCGTGCAACAGGATCTGAAACGGTACATCGCCGCCTCGTCAGGCGGAGAGCCTACCGTCAACGGCTCTTCCGAGACTCATTGACTCATTCTGAGCAGCCATTAAAGAGAAGTTACACCACTTTCAGCTTCGAGTGGAACCATAGACACCAGACAAATGTGAACATAATTGAACCCGTCTTCACATACTGTGAGCACCACAATCCACCCAGATCCTCGCACCAGTGATATAATCGCTCGCAGAACTCGCCAGAAATACAGTCACCCCCTTAAAGTCCTGTGGCTTGCCCCATCGTCCTGCAGGCACGCCTGAGATGATCTTGTTACTCACCTCCGCGTTCTCGGTCGTCTTTTGCGACAATGGAGTATGGGTCCACCTTTAAATCTCGTCAGCTTCCCTCCCAATTCCTCTTGCGGTCGTCAAGGCTTACCCAGGATACAAGCAATTGACTTGTATATTGTATACAGCCAACTCAGTAGACAACCAATTTGTAAGCTGTCCCACCGCAGCTTTTATAGGCTCGTAGACCGAGAACCTGGTCAACGAGCGCTCCGCGGCCAACGAGGCAATGTTGATGATTTTGCCTCCAAGGCCCCGTTCCGCCATATGTCTGCCAAACAATATGCGATAGAATGTAGACTGCATGATAATGGATTTGAACGACCTATCCAAATTTTCACATCTGTCAGCCAATCCATCGAATACACAGTCTCGTCTCATTTTGTCCCGACCGAGCGTATGAGGTGAAAGCCGCTTACCAACTCGCGATGCTCGTCCGTCTCAGACAATATCGGAACAAACCCGCCCGTGATACCAGCGCAATTGCACAGAATATCGACCTGCCGACCATCTCTCTCCAGTATCTGGGCGACCGTCGTGCGAATCACGTCCGACTTTCCCAAATCACAATCATACACGTCGACCAGACGCCCAGTTGCAGCAGCAAGGTCACTGGCAAATGTCGAGACTTCGCCTGGGATCTGTATGATGATGATATCTGCGCCAGCTTCCGCGAGTCCGCGTGCCATTCCAGATCCAATGCCTCCGTTACCTCCTGTGACCAGCGCGGTCTTGCCGGTCAAATCGAATAGGGACAAAGTACCAACATTTTCTGCATGGCAGATATTCGTTACTGGAGGAAAAGATTCATCCGGGGCGAAGTTGGCCATCTGGATTATTCAGTCCGGTTTGTTTCGCGACGCCTGGCTAATGATGTCGACAACTGCATAGGACCAAATATGAATCAAAAACCACTTAGGTACATAGGCAGGTTGATAATTATACAGACAGTACAGTAAATGTCGCCAGCCGGGCGGTTCCATGTTGCGTACTAAGCTTACTATCAGTATCGCCGAAACCCACTTCTCAGCCTCAGCCCTCCGAATATGCAGTTAGCTTGTTCACGGACAAGGTTGTCTTCTGTACATCAACGATATAAAAAATCGAAGTTCTGCAGGTTCCCGACAATGGGTGCCTTGACAGCAAGCCAGTAGGAATATACGATAGAGGTGATGACCTCCCTTCTGACAATGCATAAAACTCTATAGTTGAGTGCGAAGGACTTCGAGACGACAATAAGAAACAATGTCCATTTGCACCTGACGAGCGACACTGGTCAGACCGTGCCACTTTTCCTGGAAACAGGCTTGCCGGACAAGATTGCCCTCGTCTGACAGGGAGTACATTAACTATATAAGCATAAGGTCCACGGCGTACCGCGGCATGGTCGATGGAGACCTGAAGAACAACCAAACAGGCCTCATCATTCCTTTCCAATTGGCTACCGAGGATGATGAAAAACGCTTCATCCACAATCAACAGCTCATCGACGATCCGCGCGTTCGACCACAAGGTCACATTGTAGCCTATCAATTCCTCGGAGTCGATTCAGACTAACCCAGACTTTCCGGGCATGCCGTCAAGCCTGTTTACAAAAGAAAAGTGGCACTGTCTGACCTACGTTGCTCGTCAGGGTTAGATAGATACCATTCCTTCTTGTCACGGCGGAGTCTGTCGCGTACAAGGACATAGCATCAGCTCTTGACAGTGAGAAGGTCGTCAGCTCTACCGTAGGATCCTACTAGCTTGGAGTCAAGGTACTCGCTGTCGCGAAATTGCTGGACCATGAACTTTATCTAGTTGATGTACTCCCCGTCAGACGGGGTGCCACTTTTTCTGGAAACAGGCTCGCTGTTAACAATGGCATTCAAGAAGTGGCAGCCTACCTCTTTCCGCCGCCTCTTTAAGTTCTTATTGAAAGGCCTGAAGGAAGGTATGCTATGCGACGTGATGGGACTTAGTAAGACTATAGAGAGTCTTAGAATCATACTTGCAGTTAGTCTACATCGTATCTGCGGGATCCTGAAGTCCCATGCCCAACCATTGCTTTTCCCCTGTTACTCCTTCCGGACAATGGATGATGTACGTGAAGAGTGTTCATTGGCCATCGAATACTCCGCATTAAGGACAGTCGACATATGATTTCAGGTTATCGCCGTCCGGTGAGACCTGTATAGGGCTGGAGAATGCTTTCTCGACTACTAGCCACGAGTAAAGTTTGTGGCCGGCCCTGCCCAAGCTTTAAAAAACTTGGAACATTGTGTGCGTAATACCCCTTTCAATATCGCGTCACGATCTGGGCCACACCTCAGGTCGCATGAAGTTTCAGGGTCTAGAGCCTCTTATTCTCATACGTCGTGTTTGAAAGTCGACTTAAGGTACATTACGTTCCCATTCTAAGGCACCGGTGGCCCATGTTGTTTGGAGAAAGCCCCAGTCGCCATGCGCCAAACGTCACGGAAGAACGGCACCTTCTCATCGACCAATGTGGCCTCGTACGAGTCGATGATGGGTCTCTCCCAGACCAGGTCAGCCTCTCCCGGCTTGACCGTCTTCGTTCTCTTGATGAGCTTCCACCCGGGATAAAAGACAACAGCCAAGATCAGCATGCAGTACCATGTGAAGAAGTTTCCCACGCTCCAGAGAGAAGGGTAGAAGACCTGATAGCCCTGCATGATGACCACGAAGGAGCAACCGGCAAGTCCCCACCAAGCGCAGAAGGTGGTGTGCCACCCGACGTATGGCAACGTCTTGCGGTCGATGCCTTGTGCTTCTAGGGCGCGTTTGAACCGAAGGTAGGTGATACACATGTAGATGTAGTCAAGCTGCTGGGCCGCCGTGATGATGTTCACCAGCCAGGTCAGCACCACCCCACTGCCATTGCTGACTTGCAAGAACGACAGGCAGGATAAGGCGATCGAAACGATGAAGCACCAGATCGGAATGCCGTGTCTCGTGACCTGACGGAAGAATTTGGGTGCTTGTCCGTTCAGTGCCAGGCCGTACAAGGCGCGGGTTGCGCAATAGCTGGAGGGACAAATCATCAGATATTCCAGCGGAAGAATGCTGGGGCGCAAGTGACTTACACGTACGAGTTCCCGGCAGAGAAGATGCTGGTGCAGAGGAGAAAGTTGCAGAGATGCGGCAACCCACGGATATGCATGTTGCTCATGGCAATTACATATGGGGATGACCCTGCGCCACTTTTCCCTCCCGATCCATCCCAGATTGCAGCAAGATTAGGGTCGTTGGCAGGAAGCACAATCCCGACCGCGAGAGCCCCCAGAAGGAAGAAGACGGTGAACCGCCAATACATGGTCTTGAAGGCGGAACTCATGTCCTTTCGAGGGTTTTTGGCCTCGCCCGCAACCATGCAAATGAATTCTGGCCCGCAGATGACGCCCCCAGCGAGGAATATGCCTGCCAGCACGCCTTGAAAACGGCCGAGGGCTCCGGTATGTATGTATTCCTTGAAGGGAGCCTAAAGCAAATCAACAACTTGCCTTGAGATGCGCTCAGGAAAGCCTTACCGGGTCATCCCAGTGTGAAAACCCATAAGCGTCATGTTGCGGATTCCCTCCAGACATCTGAGAAGCATTAGAAAGCTGTTGAAAATGTGGGAGACTCCTGCTCCAGTAGCACAGTCATTTGGAAAAAGAATACCGTGACGAGCGTGAATCCGTACACTATGAAAATCAAGAGGATCTTTCCGATCGAAAGCCAAAATTCAGCCTCTCCGTACCATTTGACCGCGAATATGTTGATGAGTCTGTCTTTCCTGTCAGCCTCACGAAGATTGGAGCCCAGAAAATCCGTACGCATAGAGGACGATGCAGATCCCACAGACGGCCGCAAGGGGCACGTTATCCCACCAAAATCCGAGGACGCTGGACAAGGCGGTGATTTCGTAAGGTATCAAAATCGCGTGCATTTAGCTGTCAGTAGAGAAAGCATGATTGAATGGGACATGTAGAGGGCACATATCACATAGATGAAATAGTTCCAGCCGACGGCGAAACCAAAGGCTTCGTCGACCCATTTCCCCGCCATACGTTGGAACGGCGCTGTGACCGGGAAAAAGACGGTCATCTCAGCCTGACAGTTGTTGACGCATACGATAACAGTGCTGTAGTACAGGAACCCGATGAGCAAACTGGCAGCCCCTCCACGCCAGAGACCGAGGCCGATGCTGACGAACAAGGCTGTACCAATCGAGCCACCGATGGCGATGAAGGAGATTTGCCGACTGCCGAGCTTGCGGTGCGTTTGGTCCTGAATCTCAATCACTTCACCCGTTGCAGTCACAGATGCTGTCTTCCTTTCCTCCTCCGGAGCCACCGAAAGCTTCCTTGTGATGAAGTCCATATTCGTCTTGAGGGGGGTCTCAAGAAGGAGATCAGCGTTGTAGAGTTGTTGCACAGAAACTGCTTGAGCGTTCTTTTATCAAAATCCGACTTGCGCATGGGCCGAGACGATTGCTGTGCCTACCAGTAGTCTGGTCAAATATGATCGATCTTGATCGTGAGCGGCACGGCAGGGGTTGTTGTGCAGCGGTTATCACTGGATGAAGGCAAGTTATGCTATCTCAAACCAATTGGCGAAGTGAGTGGAGTGTCTTTCCGCGATACGGACTGTTATGCGTGCCGAGAGCATGGCCGAGGCGCACATCGGGTGGCTAATGCCTTGCGAGATGATGAGTGCGACGATACCATGGAGAGGGATGTCCTGTCGTGAATCTGGCAATTAGTGGTGTGATGAGCACTGTGACTGTCGCTCAGTTCGATACCCTAGAACCGGCCCTCGGTGACGTTCATCCGCATGGTCTTTCTTTGGGTGAGGGTAAGCTATCACTGGATCTTCGATGCGGAGAACGCGGTCGAGTGAATAGACTAGAGGTCATGTTGTCTTCTCATAGGTCATGCTTATCAGGTTCCTTGACTGTGGGGGTGGATCTTAAGATAGCCAGAAATCACCCAAAGTGGAAAGGATGCCAAAGACAAATCCGACGCTACGTTGGCGCCGTCTTTGCCCCTAATGGCCCTCTGGATGAGTTGATTCCGCTGGTCGACTGATATTGAAATGTCATGATACTGAGTTGAGTTCACTGGACTAGGATACTCAACTGAAGGGCCTCGTATCCAATGGGTGAGGAGATAGCTTCACTGATAAGCCAGAGCGTGCGTGCTCCCAGAGAAAAATCTTGCAGCGAAGTGGTATGAGGAGGCGAGCACTGGCTTTTATCAGGTCGCTACTGTAGTCCAGGGAAATTCAGATTCTCGGTCATCCTGTCGGTGCAGCACTGTCCGTTACGGTGCATTTGAGAGTATCTGCCATTCCCTCGAAGATGCAATGTTGATCAGCCCTGATCAAGCATTCAAAGATTCCTCAACCACTTTAGCGCATGCCAGGAGATTCTCTTCGTGCAGTCGTCTTCCGACGAATTGAAGACCTACAGGCATCCCCTTCATCACCACTGGATCGTAAGCTGCATAGTTTTGCTCGTCGTCCGAGTTCCAATGTTCTCTGGCTGACGTTTTGGGTTCATCAACGTCAGGATCCACCTGGGTGATAGGTAACACAACTGATGGGTAGTCCATCAGATTGACAAAAGCGGCATATCCCACATAACTGCCACGCGTTAGTCCGGAAGGGTCAGAACACTGTTGAGTGCCTTACACGGGTGCCTTGTCATGCTCAGTAGCTACTGTGGGTTTTGCAGCAGTCAAGATCAGGTCCATCGGCCGCCCTGTCGTGGATCGTTCCACCGTCGTGTTCCAGCGGTCCAGATACTCTTTCTGAATTACCAACTTGCGTTGTTGGAGCTGCCACCCATATCAGCGAGCGCTATCGAGGTCAGTTGGTTGAGCCATACCTGCCACGTCTCGAATGTCGACAAGGGAGCCGCCCTGTCGAGTATCCTTTGGATCCGAGGTAAGACGGGCTCGCCACTTTTCTCCAGCTCGATGGTAATGTCCTGGCCTCCATCGCTGACGAACAATGTTTCCTGCCTCGTTATGACGGCGGTCATTGTGGGCGAGAACGATCTGTACTTACCCATACATTGACGATATCCTTCTGCAACAACGGATCCCACTTTATGATCTGATGTCCTGATTTCTCCAACTTTTCCACGACCTCTTTCAAAGCTCTCTGAATAGGTGGCTGCGGCCGGACGATTCCGTCATCCCACATCACTCCAGTGCATAGCTTCTTGGGTGCTTCAGCATCCTGCCACGGTATCGGGGCGCATTTTGGATCCAGAAGCCAAGGATTTGAGTTTGCAACAACTCGCATTGCGAGTTCAAGGTCCTGGAGCGAATTGGCCATTGGTCCAATGACAGTATGAATCGTCTCCTGGCCGTCCATCGAGGTGACAACGTCTTGATGAGGAACGCGAGTGTGCTATTACTGATCAATCTTCAACGGCGGATGCTGGATGAGGATGACATACACTTGGACGAAGTCCGTATAGTCCGCTGAAATGAGAGGGACTGCGAATGGAACCTCCAATATCCGTTCCAAAGCCTAGCGGACTGCCGTGCAAAGCTATAAGTGAAGCTTCGCCGCCGCTACTGCCTCCGGGTGTCATGTTTCGACCCCTCGGATTCGTTGTTCGACCGAACAGATTGTTCACCGTCTCGGAACCCTGCCACTCTTAGCAACGGAAGCAGATTTGAACGTCCATTTGTACAAATATCGCGGTAGGCAGGTTTGTCTTCGTGAAGATCACAGCCCCCGCAGCTTTCAGTATTTCCACCAAGCTCGAATCACGTTTGGCAATCCGATCAACCTGTCCCACATATCCTAATGATGTAGGAACACCCTTGACGTTACAAGTATCCTTGAGCGAAATCGGGAGACCATGCAGTGGACCAAAGGGCCTCTTGTTCTCGGTGAAGTAGATGTCCAGCTCTTTGGAACGGGCGACCGCGGCTTCAAACATGGGTTCGGTCAGACAATTGACCTGGTTCTGAATTAGTAGAACGTGATTTGGATAGTTGGTAGACTTCATACGAGCTTGTGAGCGATTGCAGCACGCTTACAGAAGGCCTTGACGACGTCCTCACTCTTCAAAGACCCCGAGGAAATTCTCTCTACCAACTCCGTAGCACGCAGTAGTGTGATCTCATTTTCTGTGTGAGAAAGACAACTTGCTGGCACGTCCATGACATTCAAAAGTTTGTCGTCGACAGAAAAGTCGGGTGGCAGCCATGTCTCGACGAGCTTCGACGTTGCTGCCTGTTTGGCTCTGGAAGTCTCTTGCCATTTTTGGACAGTCATTGTTGTAGGATGAAGAGATACAGAACAATCGACCTTGAAGTGGACTGGAGTTTGGGAGCGTACCGAGGATAATATACTTGCAGCAGCAAAATCCTTATCGGCCATGCATGGCCCTGATAGCATAAGGGAAAGCTGTGGGGGGTCGATCCCTGTAAGCCACGTATCGTGCAGGCGTGACGCCACTTGTTCAACTAGTCAGAGCCATTGCATATCTGTAGCGTGCCGGAGGCTTCCTTCCACTGTTACCGGGTAGGAGCAGAGTGCGACATCAAGAAGCTGCAATGCGCGTTCACGTATACATGTCGATATGATTACCCACTTCTCTTACTCAAATAGGCGTGCACTCTCCTGGATAGCGGTAAATCAGCTTCATCCAGTCCCAATCTTGTCCTGTATCCCTTGCCTGCCATACCCTCTCCACGCAGAACGCTTTCACTGCGAGTGCGGTTGCCGTCGCTCTGCTAGTGTATATCCCATCGAAGACATTGAGGGCCACCGCCCTGTCTTCAGTCTGGCACATTTCGCAAGCTGCAACAAGAGCTGGCCACAGCATTGTCTTCAGCTTCTCAGGGACGACTCCTAAGGTTGATAGCACAGTCCTTCCCATCTCACTCGCCTGTTGATCACAGCCTAGTAAGGATCCAGCCGGGTAGATGATTCGGAATAGGTAGAGTAGAGATGCCAGCTGAAGAGCAGTCGCGTGTGCTAGGAGCGTAGGTCTTGATGCAGCTGGGATGTTGTCGGTGACCACAGGTTGCCAGTTTTCAATCCGCAACTGAAGATTTACGGCCTGTTCATGTCGAAAAAATGTTGTCGAAACACCATCTTTTTCTTGCTCGTCATCATCTTCGGGGAGCAATTCCAGACGTGTATCCTCGGCGAGCTCGCACAGTTCTTCCAAGAGTGGCATCAGGGTGGTTGTCCAGCCCATAAATCGATCTGGTGAAGAGAGGCATTCTTCGTCCAACCACGTCGACGTGCGGATCCAGGGGCGCCGCTGATATGTAAGCGACATTATCATGTCCTGGCGGGCGAGGGCGCGTAGAAAATACTTCGCGATGTGACTGGGGTGCCGGTCCTGCAGGAAAAACCGATCGACGAGTATGGCTGCGCAAGAGAGAATGCCTGATAGGCCCACTTCCCCTGGACTCGTTTTCATGTCCACGATCTTATAAGGTCAGAACGAGAGGAGAAATGGAAGAACCAGACAGGAGATGCGATGGAACAGTGGTTAAAAGCACGTACCTCGAGCCCCGCGAGCTGTACAAACATGCATAAAGCTAGCTCTAGATTTCGCAGCGGGTCTTCCATTGTCCGCAGCCTTGCCAGCGTTCTCTGCCGTCTGCTGAGTGCCGAGATGAAAGAGCCACAGCCAAGTCTGTCGAGATATAACTGGCCGATGGCGACAATTGTATCCCGGATGGCGTCTGGGTGAAGTTGCAGAACAGTCAGGACGTTGGCGTTCATCTCATCGACAAAGTGAGAGCTGACAACCATTTCCCTAGGGTGCCTGCTGAACCACTTGACACGATTGAAGTCAGTACATGCAGGTTATGGAGAAGATACTCTTAAAAAAGAATGCGCATACCGCTTGGACGGCGGTGACGTCCTCCGGAGGAACTATGCCATCAGGTATGGCGTCAGGACTGCGGTGCAGGGGTGTAAATAGCAGGTGCGACTCTTTCGGAGACCGAGGAAGCTCTTTGGAATTCGCCTGAAAGGTAGTTGAGGAAGAGCATCTTATTGACTCGGGAGAAGCAGTCTTGCGCCAGCGCAATTTGGTGGTGTAACCCTCGCAGGTGTGACCCCGCCGTGCACACGTTGTACAGTATGGACGCTCCTCATGACATTTGACCTTTGCGCGTCTGCAATTGATACAGCCGGCTCTCGAGCGTGGCATTGGAGACCGCTGATGAAATGGTGGAAGTGGATTGTAGTCTACTGATAAGCCTAGCGGATGATAAAGCCTCGAGTTATCGAGACCTCTATGGACCGAAGTTAGACCGGTATCGCCATGTCTTTGATATTATGTACTGTATGGCCGCCAGACTAGTATGGACACTTTAACAATGTTTGCCTTCAGTTGCTTCGCATTCGTCCTTCGTATTCAAGAGTCGAGAAGTTTGATCAACTCTTTGAACTTGACCGGCTTTGGCAGGAAATAATCTCCTCCAGCCTCAAACATTTCCCGTCGAGTCGCTTCCGCCACCTGACCTGTCAGCGCGAGTATTGTAGCCGGCTGCGCAGTCTTGTTCCCTCGCTCAAAACTGCGGATCTCGCGTGTCGCGGTGATGCCGTCCATGATTGGCATCGTAATATCCATAAGCACATGTCTGAACCCGTCTCCACCATCGCTGCAGGCATGCTTGAATGCTTCCAGTGCCTCCAATCCGTCCCTGACAGCGACACAGGGGCGTTTAGCTCGCTTCATGAATGCAACAAGCAAATTCAGATTGATTTCGTTGTCGTCAACAAGGAGCACAGAGTTCGGCCCTGGTTGGGATGGTGATACTGGGGTGGGAGTTCTGACGGCACTACCGTCCTCGTTCGTGTTAGGTGGTTCTGACGGGGTATCGGTCTTGTCTGTTTCGACAGCGCTTTCTTTGCCCAAAAGACTCAGAGATGAGCTAGCGTTGACTTCTGTCTGCGAAGCATCGCTGGCCGATCGTGCGACCGAGTCCACATCATCAGACGCTTCCGCTGAAACCTTGAGTCCTGGAGCACTCTCGCTGCTCGGACGGGCTTCTAGCTCGGACGTTGAGGTATTTCGATTCTCGGGAATCGCTTCGCTGACCGGACCGTCGGACTTTTGCGCGGCGGGATCACGTTTCAATGTATCCAGTCTCGCAAGACATCTATGGAGAGCTTTTGCGAGCTTTTGGGGACCACAACTAGCAGAATGTCAGCAGAGTTCGCCAGCATGAGAAGTGGAAAAGAATCTCTGTTGGTTGAGAAGGGCTCCTGGGAGGGAGTCAACTATATAGTACGGGAGTGCACCTGGGTGGAGTCACTTGCTTGGTCACGTGGTTGGCAATACAGGAAGGGCTGGAAATGCATAAGTCTGACAGAAAGGTGGTTGGAACTTACGGCTGTAAGATGACCTCCAGGATCCGGCCAAGGTCGGTCAGCCGATGAATTTCATTGCTTGAAAAGGAAGCGCTTTCGAAAGTGTTGGTAGCCGTGATGATCAGAGGGATCTCTCGCTCAGCCGAGCCATTCCGACCGTGATGCTCCAAGAAATACTGTATTGGAGGTGGCTCGACATACATGAAGAAGTCCGTTGTTATTCCCGTCATCGATTCGGCTTCAATCGTATGCATGCCGAACCATGTTTTTAGCGTGTGTCGAACGGATTTTTCGACAATAGATTTAGCGCCGGCGCCCTTGTTTTCTTCTCCTGAATCTTTCCCAGACGGGCGCCTGGGCTTCAATATGCAGATGGACATGCCAGGGGTCTGTTGCATGACGGACTCCCGTAAGACTTGGCCTCCACTCAGTGGTGACGGGGGGTTGACCATTGGCAACGTTAGCCAAATTTTGATTTCTGTTCCTCGATCTTTCTCGCTTTGGACCTCAATCTTGCCACCAAGAGAATTGACCAGATGCCGAACGATGCTGAGACCAAGTCCAGTTCCGGCTGAAAAACGAGATTCTTGACTGAAAGGTGTAAAAGCATGGTTATGCAGGAAATCCACCGACATGCCCTTGCCCGTGTCCACAACGGAGAGACAGACGGTCTTTCGACCATGACGGGCACCCGCACGCTCAACGGCTGTGAAGCTAATATCGATAGACCCCTCCTCGGTGTACTTCAGAGCATTCCCCAGGATGTTCATAAGGATTCTGCGGATCGCGCCGGGTTGTGTGCGTACCCACCAGTTATCTTGACGTTGGATATCGAGACTGAGCCGTACTTTGGACGAAAACTCATCAGCGCCGCGTCCAACACCAGTGCGAATTTCCTCTATCAACTTAACCCCTCGGCCCTGTTTGGAGTGTATCGGCCGAATCTGGCCCGGCAGGGAGACAGACGGCCGGAATGTCTGGCCAGCCAAAACACTCTCAATCGTCTCTTCGATCATGACACTAAGATCAAACTCCTCTTCCAAAGTGTCATTTGCTGTGGTGCCAACCCCAGGGTCATCGCTCTTGTTGTGTGACTTTTTCGACGCTGGTTCTTTGGAGTACTTCTTCGAGATCTGATTGATCTTTGCATAAGCCAAGACGTGCTCCACGGTGTCAAGTAAAGTTTTTCCACACGTCTCAACGGCGGTGACCATTGATGACTGGAAACTATTCAGCGCCGTGTCTTGAAGAAATTCCACGCTGCCTAGGATCCCATGGAGAGGAGACCGTAACTCATGCGAGATGTTTGCAAGGAAGGTGGCCTTGGTATCGTCCGCGAAAACCGCATTGGCTCGGGAGATCTCGTTCATGAGGCTGCTCCCAAACGTTGTCAAATACGCCAGATCATCCTGTGCCGCTATAAGCCTATCTGGCCTTCGAGACCACAAGAAAGTCCCGGCACTCCAACGTTGCTTCGAGAAGTCCCAGAGAGGAAGCCAAAGCACATTGCGAGCGCCCGGAACAATCCTAATAAGCTCATCTGCAATTGCTCGTGTCGATCGCAGTTTTGCATTGCGCCTGGCCGTCCTATCCCGATGGGTAGAGAGTCCTCCTCCGAGGTAAGATGCCGAGTCATCCTCACTAGCCGAGATATTCCCATCAGGAGTGAAATAAAAAATTTTACCGTTTGGATATCTGCGAATGAAACGTCTTAGGCCGGACTCGGTCAAGCGCAAGCTTTCGATGGACCTTGCATTTGACGTGGAGTCGATCGAGACGTCAAGGGAGTATCCGAGGATTTCACACTTGGTGCCCTTGGAACTGAGCATGTGTGGTCGCTGATCGTTGTCCGATCCGGCGGAATCTGTCGAAGAACTCCTGCTCGATAGGCTGTCTTGTGAGTCCGATGAACTTTCATCATTGGTGACGTCGCGCTCCCTTTCAGTATCAGCGTATTGTTTTTGATGATCTGCGATATCGGGACGTTTTGCATAATTTGATGAGACAGCATCGTAGAAAACCACCCCATCTGCTGAGGTGCACTCCCGGAGGATTTTTGCAGCACGAGTGAATATCTTCTGTATCTCCCCGGCTGCATCAGTTGCATTGCCCGGGCCTGTTGGTCGGACACTGTGGCCGGTATTCTTGGAGCTTTTCCCTGGACTGAATCCTTTGCCATCCCCGAGGTTGGGGGAGTGGTGTTGACCCGTCACAGAGATGGGTGCCTTGTTTGCGCTCACGATCGGTCTCCCGGAGGACAATACCTCTGGTCGCGATTCGTTTGCCATCTCATCTCGCAGTATTCTTGGGTCGGCATCGGTGATAGTCATCCCGAGAAAGTTGCGTTTAGCCGGTACAGAATCTGACTTCTGATCAGGGTACTCAGCGCGTTCTTGTTGTTGGGCTTGAGGATCACCCTTGTCGGATAGACTTGATTTTCCTGTCAAGAAGCGACCAAGACCATTGACCATCGTTTCCCCACGAGATCGTGCAACGTCGTTTCGACTGTACTCCAGATGCGTCATAACGATTTTCGACATTTCGCGCAAGAATTCCAGTTCAGATCTGGTCAAACCATTCCTCGGCTTGTCATCAGTGACGTTGAAAACACCAATGGGAACGCCGGCTTTGGAGATGATGGGAACACCACAGAAAAAGGTGACCCCTGCGCCCGCAAATCCCAGATGGCGATATCGGTCGTCTAGTCGAATGTCGTTGACTGCTAAAGCGGGCGTCGTTAAGCTTTGCCCGTCGGAATCAGCGGAAGTGTAGTGGTCTGGTGTGAGGGCATCTTGAGACATGCCCTCTGAGCGTGGCATTGACGCGTTCCCGAACCAGAGATCGTCGCCCTCGTCATGACCGCCTCGTTCTGACACGAACGATAGAGTTTTCGTTGCCTCAGCGATGATGTACTCACGACTCTCGGAAACGAGAGTGACAATGGCCCTCTTCGCGCCGAGCCTTAGACAGGCAAGCTGCGCAAATGCAATCAAGGCTTTGTCATTCGAACCGCGTAGTCTGGAGCCATCAGCATGGTATTGTTCCGTGCCTGGAGACTGTGTCGACTGATTATATCCGACGGCAGAATCCAGCCATGCCTGATAATAGCTGTTTGTCGCGTAGTCAGAATCCAACAGTCAGCAAGACATTGTCTGGGAAAGCACGAACCGGAGTACCTCCCTCCCTCGTGCCGACTCGGACACCATGTCTAACCACACTTTGGTGGCTAGATTTCTATTCTAAGCGGACGACATGCGATGCTTCGCGAGTTAGTAGTTGGGTGGACGTTGCTTCCGATCGGCGAGCTAAGGCTTGAGGAAGATTTCCGAGGCATGCAGCATCCTAGAAACAGAGATTGTTCGTGTCTAGGGGGTAACCGATGCAGATAATGATACTGTGGTATGTGGTGAAAAAAAGGGCGGGTAGGCGCGTATTGCCACTAAGGGTTTAAGCTAACAGAGGTCCGGAGGTCTCGAACGGGCCATTTGGTTTAGCCGGAGATCATCGTGCCGTTCAATGCCACTCCTTCTTTTCGATCATTAAAGACATGTTTTTCCGACGAGCCGATTATGATGTAAACATCGACATTTGGCGGTTTCAATGGAATTTCTTGATGGGAAAGACCAACCTAACCTCAAGCACCGCCAAGTAAGTGAGTGTTATGCTTATTAATCTCCGTACGGAGTACTTTGCCCAAACTCCAACCGACTCGTTAGGCAAGCCACTTCCCCAGGATTTTCTCAAGCTTGCTACCGCCGACCGAGCCTGTTTCCAGACAACCTGGGACCGTCTGCCCGGGAGTCCCACGATGATCTCCATACGGAGCTACAACAGGCCAGCAGATTCGCGACAGCGAGTGCCTTGACTGAAAGTTAGTACAAGTGGACGGTAGAGCTGATGCGCTTCCTTCTGCCAACGATCAATGCAATATCGTCGTGTGCAAAGGGCTCCTGGACGACAAGAAGGAATGGTATCTCATTGAACCTGAAGAGCAACAATGGTCAGACAGTGCCACTTTTTCTGGAAATAGTCTTGTCGTTTATCGATTCAGGTGAGTGCACGGTAGTATGGCACAAGCTGCGTACATCCTCTTTCATGAAGGAACAGGTACAGATGTTGCACAAGGTGAGTATGTACTCTGCCTTCAAGAGTAAATACAAATCCCAGTATCCACAAAGCGATCTACCTCTCATCTCTATGGAAAATGCCATCCCTTTCACTCAAAAAGTGATTGCGACTTAAGAATTGCCAGGTACCTATATCTTCAAGGGAGGAACTCCAAGAAAAAGCCCCCCTTGGAGATTACAGTATGATTGGGGAATTATGAAGATTCCCAGGCGTGCCAGGTAAAGACGGTGGGAGCACCGAACCCAAGTTTTATTGCCACCTTGGCAATCCCCACAGACTCCAACAATCGAAGCCTAAGGGCCCAAGGCTGTCCCCTATTGGACTTCAGCCTGGTTTTCCAGCACCAGCATGGAACACGGACAAAACGGACTCGGAGCACCCCGGCGAAATCACCGAGTGGCCCATAACTGCCGGACTACTGTGGTGCTTCATGAGGGACGACATATAACAAAACCCAGCTGCCGTTTCGACAACAAGTTCATATTGATCTTGGCTGACTCAGGACGTTCCCGTTGACTACCATTGGAAAACCCACTTTACACTCGCATCAACACTTCGCCTTCTCACCCTCTCAGACAAACACAGAATTACCGCCAAAATGGTCGCTGCCAAACCCAAAGACCTAAGCCAAAACCGAGCTCTCAAAATCGTCAAAAAGGCCTTTGATGAAGGCTACGCCGTCCCAGCCCTGTGCTGCTACAACGTCGAGTCCATCATAGCGGGCGTCCGTGCCGCCGAGGCCAAAAACTCCCCCGTCATAATCCAATTGTTTCCCTGGGCCGTAACATACGCCGACGGCCTGTTGGTCCACGCCGCCGCCGAGGCCGCCGACAACGCCAAGGTTCCTGTCGCAGTACACATGGACCACGCGCAAACACCCGAGATGGTCAAACGGGCCGCTGACCTCGGCGGTTTCGACGGCATCATGGTCGACATGTCGCACTACGAAAAGGAAGAGAACTTTGCCAAAACGCGCGAACTGGTCAAGTACTGCAACGACCGGGGCATTATCACGGAAGCCGAGCCAGGCCGCATCGAGGGCGGCGAAGACGGCGTCGGCGACACCGCGGACTTTGCGCTGCAAGGTCTGCTAACGTCCCCGGAACAAGCGGAGGAGTTTGTCTCGTTGGGCATCCACTGGCTCGCCCCGGCGTTCGGAAACGTCCACGGCAAGTACGGTCCCAAGGGTCCGCAATTGGACTATGACCGTCTGCGAGCCATCCAGAAACAGGTCGGCGACAGGGTGCAGCTGGTCCTGCACGGCGCGTCGGGACAGTGGTTCTTCGACGAATTATATGATAAAGTGATCTCGTGCGGTATGGCCAAGTGCAATATCAACGATGCTATGAATGATCATTTCATCAATGTCCTGAAGGAAAAGGCTGGTAAGGCGCCTCTGACGACGTTAATTGAGGAAGGCACCTTGGCCATGCAAAAGGCCATTGAGAGGCATATGGATTATATGGGCTCGACGGGTAAGGCTTGAAATGAGTAGGTAGTCATTAATCAAAATATTTTATGAGACCCAGAGCATTTAGGCGGCACGCATCATTGTAATCCTGGGTCGGCATTGTGAACTACAATAAACCGCGCGGTCATCACCATCATGCACGCTCAAATCAATTCTATACTTCCTGTATGTAATTTGCAGGAACACTCCTCGTCTCGCCGTTCTTCTCCACGTCGGCCCAACCATCTCCCGTGCCCAAACTTACCAGAATAAATTTCTCCCCTTCAGCCATATCAAACTCGGCATCACTCTGTGCCGTGTAAGGATACAAAGCCTCAACATATTTTAATTTCTTCGCCCCACGTTTCGGAGCCACAGCTGGACCCTGTTTCTTCTTGGTCGTAAAGTTCGACGACGCCAACGACGCACTCGAGTTGGAGTATAATGATGGCGGCCTTTCATGTGCAGGCGTACTTGCGGGTGTCGGCAACTCTTCAAGATATGCCGTCGGAACAAGACCTTCCTTGCCATTTCCGGTTTGAATTCTGGTCCATCCACCATCTGGACATAGTCAGTATCCGCAATGTCCCAAAAAGAGCTTCCACATACCGTCGGGTTCCAAGATCCTGACTTCGGCACCTTCCGACAGCGACACCTCACCATCGTCCCTTGCCTCGTAAGGATAAATCATCTTGCCTCTTGGCCCACTACTTCCATTCGACCCCAAATCAGGCGGCGCGCTCACATAAGCTGTCGGTGGCGGTGCGACAACTCTGTTTCTCCTTGCCCCAGCTGAGCCGGAATCTAAAGTCGACGCAAACGGAGACGTAGGAGCTGTCGACGATCCACCATCCTGGCCAGTCGATCTGACAATACCACCAGACACCGATCGTGTAGCACTTGCTGCATAGCCAGACGAGAGGCTGTTCATTGTATCCTGCCTGGTCAATGGTGGTTGTGAGCCCACACCGTTCGACGCTGGTGTCTCTACAGCCGTCAACGCAGCGGCTTGCCGTTCAGCTTTCAGCTTCTTCCTTTCTTCCTTGGTTTGCTCCCCAGGACAATCGGCCGGTACCTTCATATGACATTTGCTATGACAGGTAAAACCACAGTCTGTGCAGATGAATCCTTTTGCACTCAAACCCCATATACGATCGCCACAAAGATCGCAATTGGTCGGTATCTTAAATGTCTCGGACTTGAAGGCGTGACTTTTTCCGTACATGCTCAAGTCACCGACAACCGAGGTGATCGTGGAGGTTTCCACCTCCGCCGTCATTCTCTTGCGGTCAATTGCATGTAGCTCTTCTTGAACGGCAAATTGAGAAACCACACACAAGACTTCATCCCGCTTGTCTTTTCCTTGTCGGATATTCTGGCGAGCCTTCTTCACGTTCTCCAGGTCACGCTGCTTCTGCGCAGATTCGGTTTTGAGCTGACTGATGAGTGGTTTACTCTTCGAGAGAATGTTCCGTAGAAAGATCTTGGACGTTTCGTCCGTCATCATGTTGTCTGCATCTAGCCAAACTGGAGACGGCTCAAACACCATATTTGATGGCTCTTGCCACTGCACGGCATTATGGCGCACAAACATATTGCTGTCAAGGCTGGGATTGTTTCTGGGTATTTCCGATGATAGATGTGTCATATGTTCAATACTCCGTTTGAGCGTGTTCGTCTCGAGCGCTGCAGCGACCAACCACAACTGGTTCAACTTCGCAACCCGTGTCTCATTCAGATCCTGTAACGAGTCCAGCAGGTCCGGAATATACTCGTGATAATAGCATTCCTTCAGCTTGTTCGTTATATTGATCCCAATCAGATAGGTGTTTTTGGCGTTGTGCATTTCCGCCAGTTGCTGGCTGTAGGCGCTCTGGGCTTTCGATTTTTCGTACCCCGACTCGGTCTTCCTCCTCTTGTTCTCGACCTCTTGACATACTGTGTCATACTTTTGTTTTAGTTTCTTCAGTTCGGCGTAGGACGACTCGCGCTCTTTGACCAATTTATTGTTGTACTCTGCATGGGTCCTTCTCAACTCCTCCAGTTTCCTGGCATTGTAGTCCAGCGGTGTTGCAACTTGACTGATCAAGTCCTGCGAAAACTTGGAGTGTTCGTTGGCACGGGCTTCCAACGTCGAGAGTTGTGTTGTCCATGTGGTGAGGGATGCAGCTTCCAGAGACCCGGGCGTAAGAGCAGGATTGTCACCCACACTCAAGTTACTGGACCTCTTTGCTTTCTTATCATAATATTTCTTTGCCAAAGCCGTCAACTTTTGGCTGTATTCTTTCTCGATGGCCGATCGTTCTTGGTAGAATTCTTGGATTTCTGTGAGCCAGTTTATGCCGAGACCGACCTAGATGACAAGTCTTAGTAACAACGACGGGTTGGTGTGTCGCAGGGAATACTTACCCAGTTGTCGACAGGCTTGTAGCCGTCCTAAGACCGTATCAGCAACTTGTTCCGTCCGCATATGCGCACCCATGCCCACCTTGAGTTCGGCGCCAAAGCTGACGGTTGCGACCTGGGCCATTATGGATGTGGGGAGTCTGCCAGGCGCAACCGCGCATTACTCCATATTCTCAACAACAGTCCACAGCGACCAGGACGATTAACCGGTCTCCTCCAACTCGCAGGATGTTCGCAGCGTAGTTGAGTTGCAGGTCTCGTAGCTCACGTTGAGAATATGGTGGGGAACCTTGAGATAAATAGCCTGAGTGTAAGAGCGGGCGCGCCGGCGTCGGTCTTGGAGTTGGTAGACACTGAAGTTGAGCCTCGTGGCACGGGTAACTTCTGTCTTGGTTTAATTGCCCTGAAGGGTGTGGCTCAGGCACCAAACTGGAGTGCATGATAGGCGTTTGATTGTGGAACTGTAAAAGCAACCCCGCGCCGTGCGCCACGATTCTTTCTCCGAGAGATGTAAAGACCTATTTTTCTGAATTCACTGATCGCAGCCTGAATCGAGTAAACATCTATTCATTCCAACTGCCTCACCCAACAATAGGCCAACGGAAAGGCGGGATATCTTCATTGTTGTGTCGAATCTATTGTGCTAAGAGTCACAACATTTTCAGTCAATTGCTCTCTTTCATTTCAACCACACCACTCCTTCCATACTCGACTGAACCAAACACTCCCCTTGCGACTGTCATCTCACGCATTCCAGCAACCCTACCACGAAAACCCTCCCCTCTGTCATGTCTGAACCGACTTCTGGCCGCTCTCTCGCTGGTCGCATCTCCAAACCCGAAACGATGAACGCTCAGGCCGAGTCCTTCCAACCAAAATCCGGTACCTCATGGGCTGATGAGGTCTCATCCCCTGCTACTGAAGAACCCACTTCCGCCGCGAATTTGAACGCGACACCCGCGGAAGAGGCGTCTGCGCCAGTAGCACAGGTTGACGGAGCCACAGAGCCCTTCGGAGGATCACAACTACAAGAGCCTGAATATGATGTGAACGTCAAATTGGCGGACATGCAAGCTGATCCCAACAATCCCTTGTTTTCGGCTACGAGCTTCGAGCAGCTTGGCCTGTAAGGATTCTGTTTCGAGGTCAAATTCAAAGACTGACTTTACAGTGACGATAACATCCTCAAAGGTGTCATGAGCATGAACTTTCGCAGACCCTCCAAAGTCCAAGAAAAGACCCTCCCTCTTCTATTGATGAACCCCCCTCAAAACCTCATCGGTCAATCACAATCCGGTACTGGAAAGACGGCAGCCTTCGTGCTGAACATACTTCATCGCATTGACCTCAGCTCCGAACAATTGCAAAAGACCCCACAAGCTTTGGTTTTGGCACCCAGCAGAGAACTTGCTCGACAGATTGTGGGAGTGGTCAAGGTCATGGGCTCATTTGTCCCGGGACTCATTGTCGAAGCTGCTGTTCCTCAAGATGCCGCAGCTCGAAACAGAAAGATTGAGGCATCAGTTGTGGTGGGCACTCCTGGTACGGTCATGGACATGGTTCGTAGACGATCTATGGACATCAGAGGACTCAAAATTCTCGTCCTTGACGAAGCCGACAACATGCTTGATCAACAAGGTCTTGGTGACCAGTGTGTTCGTGTCAAAGGGTTGGTATCCTCACCCTTTCTCTGAGTTTGCTTACTGACTGCCATCAAGTATGCTGCCCAAGAACATCCAAATTGTCTTGTTCTCAGCCACGTTCCCCGACAACGTTGTCAAATACGCCAACAACTTCGCTCCCAACGCCAATCAAATGACCCTTCAACATCAAGACTTGACCGTGGAGGGCATCAAACAGATCTATTTAGACTGTGACAGTGACCAAGCCAAGTACGACATCTTGGTGAAACTGTATGGGTTATTGACCATTGGTTCCTCCATTATCTTTGTCAAGGTAAGCACACAGTCCGTCATCGAGGCGCATCAAGCCGCTAACCGTAATGTAGACCCGAGACACGGCACTTGCCATCGAACAGCGCATGACGGCAGAAGGTCACAAGGTCGTCTCCTTGACCGGTGGCTATGAAGGTGCTCAGAGAGATGTTATTATTGACTCCTTCCGTATGGGCCATGCCAAGGTCCTCATCACCACCAATGTCCTTGCTCGTGGGATCGACGTTCAGTCAGTGTCTATGGTCATCAACTACGACGTTCCAGACAAGTTCGTTGGTGGCGGCAAATTCGTTGCGGATCCCCAAACATATCTTCACCGTATCGGACGAACTGGACGATTCGGTCGCGTTGGCGTCGCTGTCACGTTCATCAGCAATCAAGGCGACTGGCTGAAGTTGATGGAGATCCAGAAATACTTCAACACACAGATGACCAAGGTCGCGACTGACGACTGGGATGAATTAGAGGAACAGGTAACGAAGATTATCAAGAGTTCAAGAGCAGGCAGCAACATGAAAGATGGTGCAAACATGCAAATGCAAATGTGAAGAAGACTGAAATGAGTGCGGTAGAGCACCGTTCTCCGAGACGGCACCATTCGGCGACAACATGCTGCAATGGGGATGGAGGCCTTCAGAGGCTCCAAAGCGACATGCTTTGATTGTGACAGAGCAGTAGAACATGGAAGGGATCGATACCCAAAATGGCATGCAGGGCTGAAATGCAGGAGTATTCAAAATCCACGAGTTTCACCAGTCGCAAGACTTTCCCAGCAATTCAGCGATCGCCTCGAGACCTTTTTGATCTTCCTGGTCGAATCCTTGTACATCTGCGCAGTCGATGTCGATGACACCTACAACCTGTTATGCGATCATCAGCGATCTAACCATTGGTATGGGACGAACAGATCGTGACAATTGGACCACCAAGACATACCTTCCCAGAACTTCGAAGAGGTACCACGATCTCGCTTCGACTATCGCTATCACAGGCAATGTGGCCTGGAAACTCCTCGACGTCTTTGACCAAGACAGTCCTACCTTCACCCTCTGCTGCGGCACCACATACACCCTTTCCTATCCGGATTGTCTGGCAGGCGACCTTCCCCATGAATGGACCCAGGATCAATTGCTTTCCTGGGTCGGAAGGATCAAGGACATAGAACCCACTCCAATTCACAGATGATGACGGTGCAGGAAGGGAGTGGTACATGTGCCATAGCAGCGAGGCAGCATTAGCTGTGTTCGCAACCCAATTCCGCTGGTCTTGGACAAGCGACGTCAATGACGAGAGTAGCTGTGCGTATGCTTCGGCTTTACTTAGTGAGGAAGAAAAGTTGGAAGCATCGGCGTGGACCTGGATTATCCAGACTTAGTGATGTCCAGTTTCTAGGATTCTGATATGTCCTTTGCTCACCATGATTTCTTTCTCGAAGGCGTGCTTGGCCAGAAATTTTCATGAACAAATCCACGAACAAGTTGATGAATAGTTGACACCCTCCCGTCCCGGACTGAGCGCCAGGCTCGTGTCAACCTTCGATAACACCCACACTTCAACGTATGAAACCCGCAGCCTTGCCCAATGTGCTGTTGTGTGTTCAATATGACGGACGGAGTAATAAAAGCATAAAGGAACTCGGTGTGGTTTGATCCGAGTCGGGTTCGGGTCATCTTTGACTTACGCTATACCGTAAATTGACTGGGTAACGAGGGACGAACGAAGCCTGATTTCGCCTTGTGGAGAGTGCTGGCCTTGAGATAAACGATTCGCTGCATTCCCATGTGCTCGGGCAACCATGAGGGGCATCCCATATCAAGCGACACCTCCCACTGACCAGGCAAGGCCTCTCGGTCTCATCCTCGCTTCTATCTCCTAGACCGAGCGCAAGATCTTCCCTTCTCGCAGTATCTAATCGCACAGAGATGACTCAAGCGTTGACTCACTGATTGACTATCGACGCCACGGCCCCAACGACTAATTTGACTGCAGAGTCATACTTGCGGTAAGGCTTCGAAACCGAAACCGAAGAACAAGCCACCACCACCACCACCATCAAAGGTCCACGCGGCTTCCTGTCTGGCATCAGGCGGCCACATATATATAAGGCCACCACAAAACAAGGCTATATTCACCAAGCAATCATCAGCACAATCGCAGTCCACAGACATCATTGAAGATGTCGTGTCCCGACTGTTTCCGCGGCGCCGAGCATTCCCACACTCAACCCAAAGGCACCATCGAAACCATTCACGGCATAAGAACATACATCGCCGGAGGCAGCGACCCATCCCGCTCAAAATCAGCAATCATATACCTCCCCGACGCCTTCTCCCTCAAACTCGTCAACAACAAGTTGCTCGCCGACGAATATGCCACCCAGACAGGCTGCACAGTCTACATTCCCGACGTGATCCGCAACGGCGGCATGGATCCCAGCCTCATGCCAAAAATGGAGATGGTCATGCTTCTCAACCCAACCTGGACTATAGGCGGTGTCTTCACCAAGATCTACACCACGCTCACACTCCTCCCGACAATCATCCCCTTCGTGCTCCTCGGCAAGCCTGAGAACGTCTATCCCCAAATCCTGGACTACGCGCGCGCCGTCAAAAAGGATTTGCCGGCAGGCGGGAAACTCGGCGTCGCGGGATTCTGCTGGGGCGCGTGGCCCTCGACAAAACTCTGCGTCGAGACCGCTACCCCTGGTGGCACCGAGCGTCTGATCGACGCCCAATTCAATGGCCATCCAAGCTATATCGTCAAAACACCGGATATGGTGATCGATGCGATCAAGAAATTCAAGGTTCCCTACTCAGTCGCCGTGGCCGAGGAGGATATGCAATTCAACAAGGCCGAGGCTGAGAAAGTGGAGGCGCGGCTTCGCGATGATATTGGTGCGAGTGGTGGGGAGGGAGGATATGTGTATGAATTCAAGGTTTATAAAGGGTGTAAACATGGGTTTTGTGTGCGGGCGCCGTTGGGCAAGACGAAGAAGGAGCACGATGGTGAGAATGAGGATGGGTACCATGGGAGTTTGAGGCAGGCTGTTGAGTGGTGGAATACACACCTGAACTGAATTAAATTGAGTTGAAGCATTGCCACTGCAAGTGCTTGGGGAAATTGAGATAAATTTCGGGACAACTACAAGTATCATTTCGAAGACTAGGCTCATGCATGACAGGGTGACATAAACTTGTGAAGGGACAAGGTATATATACCACGTACACCAGTAGTGTACGTGAGATCATGTCATCATTATACTCAGCACCTCATCCCGGCCATGAAGTTTGCCCAGCAATGCAACAACAAGTCATAAAGGCATCATATATACAACCGCACAAGCATGCACATCCATCTCCAATGAAACGCCCCGCTGGCAAGAAAATCACGCCAACTCAGCAGCAACTTGATCATACCATTTCCCATGAGCCTTCAAGTCGACTGCGCGAATCCTTCCAAGACCATCAACCAAGCGATTGACCTCTTCCAGAAGTTCAGGCATGCCCGCTCTGGCCAGGACCTCAGCCGCACCGGTCGTAGTCCGCACTCTCTCAGCAGTGCCGGAAGCAGACAATCTGGCAAAGACGTGCTCTCGCAAGGATTTCAGCAAGAAGCCGGCAATCTGCTCCGTGAAGACATCTCCTGTCTCGTCGTCCCCGGCTTCTGACGGCGTATATTCTGATGAACTGTGAATGGCGTCTTGGTGGTCTTGTTCAGCTGTCTCTGCGTTTCTCGCCGCATCAACGGCAGCAGGCAGGACGCGACTGACGAAGTTGGACAAACCTTCCTTGGTCGACTCAGGCATCATGTGCGACGATTCGACCAGAGACACAATCCGATTGACGTCGGTGCTCAGAAGGTCCAACGACATCAGCCTTTCGGCATCTTTGGTCCACAATGACTCTCGATTCCGCCTGAGCCGAATCTTGGTCGTCAGAAGAACAGAAGATGTAGCAACCATGTGGAACGCGCGAGCCCTAAACTTGAGCAGGCGGACGTAGTCCATCTGCAAAGTCTCTGGTAGATTACGATAGGATAGATGGGTGTTCCGCAGCACGAGATCTGTCAATGCTCGGGCATATATGGCACCGGCGCTGGTGTTTGGAGCCACAGCGACCTTTGCAGCAGACCACCATTGCTTCGTCCGTCCAAGTACATGTACACCTTCTCGGAGATCTTTTTCAAATGATGTGATCTCATGTTCGTGACCGCGCTCCAGAACGGACTCTGCAGCCAGCCTGAACTGAAAATTGATGTGGTCTAGAGTCATGAGGTCGATGATGTTGATAAGGTCAAATAGGCGATCAATTGTATCGCTGGTAGTGTCGGTCGCAAAGGCCCTGACAATTTCGTCACGACCGGGCGAACACAGTTGTGCAATCATTCCCGAAATGGTTTCGAAGAAATAAGTATATGAAAACATGCCATTTCGACATTGTTGGTTGATCAGGGCGGTATCCAGAAAGCCGTCGATTCTGTCGTAAAGAGGATGTCTTCGGCTTATAAGTTTCATGAGTTTCTCCCGAATCAAGACCGCCATTGCATGAGTCCAGGTCGCAGCGGCATCACTGCTGCCATCTTGCATGCTAGCACGCATGCTTGTGCGGAGGGTGTTCATCAGATCCTTCCGCGCATCAGTCCACGGTCGTTGATTTACCTCAAAGCTGCCGTTGATGAGGATCTCGTGAGCGATTTCACGGTTTGACGGCAGGACTGTCATGATCTGGCCCAGATTGTTGGCGAATGCCGAAGTCTTCAGATCCCTTTCACGTTGATACGGTTGCGGAGTAGCCGGAGGTGTCAAGGGCGCTGCGTTGAGCGTCGAATGGTTCTCATTCACTGGGGTAGAAGCACGAGGAATCTGTTCCACGGTCTTTTGACTCTGCTCGGCAGCGCGCTGTTTCCGAGCCTTCCTTACAGCAAGCCTCACCTTTGAGAGAGCTTGGTCCGGTCCAGCGAGTCTCTTCAGCCGCGCTAGCAATTTGATCTGCTCTTGTCGGACGGCATCAAGGTAATCTTGCGCGACGCGGCCCTCGTGATCATCTTTGGTCGCTTGAAGTATCAAGTCAAGATTGACGAAAGAGCCGATCAAGGTATCAACGAGGACCGATAGATCTTGACTCTTCCAAGCATGGAATGTGACGGAGAAGTCGTTGTAGGAGAAGCACAAAGCATCATTGCTTGCCGGCAAGCCATCCCGAGGAGAGGTCGCAATCGTAGTCATGATATGTGCTTCGAAACAGTCGATGAGGGCTTGAGCTTTTGCCATCAGCTCCTGCTCTTGAGGTTCATTTCCACCATGGCTGAAAGCTTGCACGGGGTGCGATAGAACCAGATATGCACTCAGGAAGACACGAATGGCTGTCGAGTCGTCTGAGCCATCCTCAAAAACTCCAAGTTGTTTCAGAAGTCGCAAGGTGACGGCAGTGGTACGCTCGATGGAGAGCAGCCCGGTCAACTCTTCAAAAGAAATCGCCCGGGCACGGGCGAGGTTCAGCCCCAGCGCACGAAAGTCGGTCCTGACTTTGCTGCTGTGGTATCTCCTCCATGATCGTTGAATGACCTTTACGGCATAGACGCGATCAATCTCCGTTAATACTGAGGGAGCCACCTTCTTTTCCTCAACAGCAGCAAGCGAAGACAACCTCGGCCTTCGCATACCTTGTTGATATATGGACTTCCTGCGTGCCGCCTCGGTGAACTTCTCTGCCATCTCGTCCTTGAGTCTGGCCAACTCTGCAGCCTTTTTCTCTTTGACCTCTTCTGCGACCTTCTTCGCACGGCGAACCTCCTCCTCGCATCGAGCAGTAATGTCGGCCAGCATTTTCTCCCGAGCTGCTTGCGCGGCCAAAGCCTTCTCTTCGCTATACGACACTCCCCGAGCGGCTTTGGCAGCAGCAGCTCTCAATCTGACTTGTTCGGCATGCGCCGCTCTGTCAGCGAGACGTGCTTTTCGGCTCTCAATGATCGAGGCGCGTCGAAGATGTTGTGCGATGTGTGTGCTGTGTGGACCGCCATGGCTGGACCGTGTGGAGGAATGAGACTGTATAGAGGATATAGAACTTCGACGGGAGGAATTGGCAGAGGTCTTTCTTCGCGCACTCGATTTGCGGTAGAAACGAGCTGCAAGTCGAGGTGGTGGTTCAGGCAGGTCTGCGTCGCTGTGCAGGCCGAAGTCCATTTCGATGTCTTGAGGTTCTGAAGTTCTTGGTTCCATTTTTCTTCTTGTAAATGCGTATGAGGGAATGATGCGGAGGACGACTTCGGACAAAGTCTAAGCCATCGAGTATAGTAATCCTGGTTGATGGGGGCAAATGTCTGGAATAGAAGCGAATGGCAAAGAAGAGAGTTGGTGGCTGGCCTTGTTTTGATGCTGCTTATAGGCGGGGGTCCGGTGGCGCTGAAGGCGAGGTGCTCTCTGCGAATGCAACTGACGACAACCCAGTACAAACGAGAAGGGAAAGGGAGTGTAGAGACAGACTGGTGTCGAGAAGAGAAGGTTCAATTGTAGGATAGGATAGGATGGAGATTGAAAAGGCAGGCGGGAGAGTGGGAGGCTGGGACGAGGATCTGAGATTGGAGATCTGAGCCGGAGAAGCAGTGACGATGCACCACCACCACCTAACTTTACCTGGAAGGGACTAACTTTATGGGTATTGGCCGTAGGTATGGGCGTCTTTTGGTACCGGCTCGAACCCCCATAAGCGAAAAGGAACGAGAAGATCCCAGAGAACCCTTATCCCAGCCTGATGGCTCCGGAGCCAGGCCCGGAACCAAGGCCTTGCAAGGACTGCGCACGACCTCTATATGATCCCAGCGTCCGTCGCATGGGCCGGAAAGTGTAACAGCGGGAACTTTCCTGGAGTCCTTGGCTCTCTTGCGTGCTCCCGTCTTTCCCTTCAGAGTCTTCAGACACATGGTTGAGGCTCTATATTGCCGCCGCTGATGTAACTATCACGGGAAAGGAACCGAATTGAGGCTGGAAGAGACTTCATGAGGCTTTACCACGTGTACACGACCCGAAACTTGGGGCACCGGATGGTCAAATACACTCTGCTCGCCTCTTTTTGCCTCATCACCTCGTGGGAAGAAAATCTGCGCGCTGAACCTTCGGAACCGTGATGCGACCAGTCACGAGGACTCTGAAACGGAGACAGCGCTGTCTGTGTGTGAGGGAGGGAAAGTCGCACAGCATTTCATGTCTCAGCACTTGACTCACGGCTCGTTCACACAGCGCCTTGGATCCGGCTGTCAGAGGAAGTCATCACCGCATCACTGGTCCCGGCGTGGCGCTTTGATGGTACAGGTGGTACGAATATTGGTCTCAATGCCAGCTACACGGACTTCATAGCGAACTGATCATGGACTTGGTATCTTGACAGCCTTTGGCAGATACGCACGCCCACGCGCACTGTGCTGTGAGCAATGGAACGTCAAAGATTAAAAGTGAGTCAATGAGGCAGGCTGGTGGTATTCATCCCTGGGCTGTGAAGACGTCGAAATCGACGCTGTAACGACCATGGCTCGTCAGCACCGACAACATGTCAATTTCTATCTTCGTCTATGATCTCAGAATGCATTTTTGACGTGGTCACACAAAGTCAACTCAGGTACTTGAGACATCGTGCTAACCCAGCCCTCCCAGCCTCATTCATGTCGTGTCATCGTCACAAATTGTACAGTAACAACCAGAACTCCTGCCGTAAATACGCCTGCTCAAACCGGACATGTAGTGCAAATGCAGCAGGGTATAAGCCATTTTCAACCCCATTAAGAATTTGCAGTAGGCCACTAGCAGAAGAAATCACGTAAAGTCGACGGTGTTTCCTGCTCTGCCCTCCCTCGCGAGACGTGCCTGCGCTCTTTCGGCTCTCCTCCTGCGGCGGTTGTTGGCATACTCTGTCGCGCCGCTCGTTTCGGTACCAGGCGAGGTAACGCCACTGCCAGCAGGCCCAAGGTTGCTCATCGAAGCTGGAATCGGGGGAGGTATCGGAACATGGTAAGTCTGACCCGTACGTGGATCGATCCCTTGCGTACCAGGCGTAGGTGGTGTAGGATATGGCGGATTCGTGCTGGGGCCTGCATGCGCAACATGCTCAGAATATGTCGAACCCGCCGCTGCAGCTTGATTGTCAGCGGCTTGCTGAGCCTCCATGGCTTCAGTGCGCCTCCAGCGTCGGTCAGCGCTCGGTCCAGCTCCCAGCGCATCACCCTCACTACTGCTGAAGCTTGAGTTTCGCCGCCTCCTGGATGCCGAGGCTGCCCGCTCTCTTCGTTTGGCTTCACGTTGTGCCGCAGCCTCTTCCTCTGTCAACCGTCGCAAAGTGACATGGCGCCCGTCATTGTGCATCTTAACCTTGAGGCTCACAGGTGGGGATTCCAGAGACTCGGTGTTCCTGCCATCTTGGCGCCTGCGGGAATGCTCTCCTACTGCGGCGCCTATTGCTGCACCTGCCAGACCAGCTGCTGCTTCGTCACGCAGATGATGTCTGTGTCTTTGACGACCTGATGTGGTGGTGTACATTTCGCTGCCCGACGACTCCTGATGCAGAGGTGGCACCGGAGGGACGTCAGTCGGCATCGCTGTAGGAGGACCGGGAGTATTGATGACGGGGTCATGTCCCACTGGCCTAATTCTGTTTCTGTCCGCCAGAGCACTTGCTGCTGCGGCACCGACTCCTGCCACCGGCAATGCGCCACTACCTCCTGGCCGAACATTGCTCTCGAGGTCGCTGGTGAGGTCGGATGCAGACTGACTGCCCATGCGGTTGTGACGCTGCCGCCGAGGTGGATTGACCCCATCCCCAGTATAGCCTTGGGCTCCGTTGATTCGAGAAATTCTTTCGTCTTCTATCCTCTGATCCTGTCTCCGTTGCTTTCGATTCTTGAACAGTTGCCGGACAGCAAAAACTGCTCCACCAGTGGCCAGAGCGTCCCGGAAGGTGTGGGTTCCTCTATCGCGCCTTGAAGGAGAGGCTGAAGCAAATGAGTCGGAGTAGGAGTAATTCGAGTCAGAATGCCTCCTCCCGGATCCAGGTGTCAACGGTGGCTGGGCGAGAGGATGAGTTGGCCGCACATATCCAGGACTGCCACCAGCTGGTGTCGTCGGACGTACAGGTGGTCGCCCTTCCTCGATTCGCGACATCGAGTCTGTTGTGGTCACGGACTGATTACCTCCCAGAGCGGGTCGTGGTGGCCGGTACGGACCAGTATCCGATCCATCTTCTCGTCTTGCTTTGCGGCCAAAGAGCTTTTGCGCTGCTGCTACTGTTCCTCCTATGGCGGCCACTTGCATGAGACGGTGCCCCAAGCCACCTTGCCGTCTCTCGTTGATCTTCTCGTTTTCTTCAGAGTAATACGATGTTCCGCTTTCTGTGCCAGTGACATGTGGGCGCTCACGGCGTCCAGAAGATCGTCTCGAGAAAAGTGCCGCCAATCCAGCGCCAGCTGCTCCAGCAGCTGCAAGCGTGCCGACCCCACCAGACTTCCTGCGACGATTGGGTCGAGACACCACTTCTTCACTATAACAACTTCCACCATCATTATCATATTGTGCTCTCCGTCGCTCCGCCAGCCATTCTAGGATGAAATATAGCACAACCAAAGCAAAAACAAACAACGTGTAAAGGACGAAAAGAAGTAGAGGTGAACCGTACACGGTGAGACCCAAGGCAACCTGAGTGATTCCCAGCAGAGCAATGGCTCGTCCTAGCCAGTGATGCAGCATAGCACTTACGGGGATGTGAAGTCGTCTTTGTCGTTTCTCCTTCCTGTGCACCATGCATCCACCGATGACCTGCACCCAGATCAAGACATAGATCGCCAGACCAATACCATGATGTGGATTCGTCAAGCTCCTCTTTTGGCCAACTGCCATAAAGCCCAGTATAATTACGACTGTGCTCAGTAGAAGTGTGAGGATCTGTAGCCATATGTGCATTCGTAGAGCTAATCGTGGTTGTCGACCGTAGAATCGCATCAACAATATCGCAAGTGGAATTATGCCGAGGAATGTAATGGCAGCGATGATCCCGTGAGCTTCGACCAGAGAGTGGTAGCCGCTCATTGTGAAAAATCGGTTTCCCATGCCTGTGCGTTATGAGTAACTGTATAGTAGCGATTTCTTGATTTCTCTTACCATTGTATCTCATTGTCGCAAAGTTCATGCCTACCAGATTTGGCAGTAGGAAGTCATCTCTGGTTGAGTCCCAAGTTCCATCACCGACATGCATTGTATCCGAGCTATATGAGCTGGTCCCAGGCGGAGCGAGGGACGGCGAGGGCGACATGGCCTGTGTGAGTGGACGGACCCTTCCCTTGTGGAGGTTGTCCTCCGAGCTTCAAGAGGAATGGACCATCCAAGATAAGATGTGGACTACTCAGTCTCTTTCTCGAGTTTAGGTCTTTTGTATACAAGATCGTGGTATATGATCTTGGAGCGACGGTGGAATCCTGGTTGTGTCGGAGGAGATAGATAGGTATGGATCTTTTTGTTTACTCGAGTTCGCAAGCGGGGTAAAGTACCTTAAGGTGTTGGTTGGTAGGCGAGCGACAGAAGGAAGCTGCACAACTGGAATGCTTCTTCGGTGTGCTAGACGGGCGCAGGTCAAAGAGTCTCTAGGGTACAGTATTCAGCGTAGTTGTAAATGTAGATAATGAGCAAGGACTTTCTGCGACTTGTCGGTGACTGCCTGCAGGTGCCAAACTTAGAAAGCAGGTTTGGGCCTCAATCGGCGCTGGCTTCGGCCAAGAAACGACCTTGTGGTTGTGAACGGCAACCAACCCGCTACGCCTCGCATCACCAATCACAACTCTCGATTGCTATGAGAGAATACCTTTAACATCTGATGAGATCGACATTTTGATATATCAGTACACGACCAGGCCTTTTGGTAACGTTCTCACCACAAGCGTTCTCTGAATGGGTTGCCCTCCTGGATCCCATTACGACCATGATCAATGACGCTGAGAAGCGGACGGCCATTCTCAAGGTGGTGTCAAGGTACGAATTTTTGTGTGCGAGATGAGCGATCAAAATTGCTGATACCCAGACAGACTTCTTGGATGGATCTAGTATGATAACGTGAATACCATCTGGACACTTGACGCTGATCTCAGTGCAGTGCTATAGCTTGGAGCGCGTCCTTCTATCCTCAACCATGGTTGAACTGGAACCGCAAGTCGACATTGGGCCTCACCATCGACTTCCCCTTGCTAAACGTCGTGGGCTTTCTGTGTTACAGCGTGTCTACCTGCAGCTTCATGTATTCACCCACCATTCGGAGTCAATATGCTGCTAGACATCCGGTGTCTCCCGAGCCCACGGTTCAGTTCAACGACGTTGCTTTCGGTGTTCATGCCGTGGTCCTGGTGGCATTGACTTACTCACAATTTTTCCCGTGGCTCTGGCGATTTAAGGTCTCACCTCGTCAGAAAGCCAGCAAGCCGGTGTTGGGCGTCGTTTGGGGTAGTATACTCGCGGTTTTGGTCGTTACAGCGATAGTGCTCCGTCGTTCAGGCTGGCAATCCCAAGGACCCCAAGATTGGGCTTGGATCGATGTGGTGAGCTTTTCCCTTACCTCCGCAGAAGCTGTGGTTCAGCATCGCTCATTTTCCAAATAGCTCTACACCTTGGGCTATGTGAAACTCATTTGTACCTTTGTCAAGTACATTCCTCAAGTGATACTCAATTTCAACCGCAAGTCAACCGTAGGTTGGAGCATTGAGCAGATCTTGTGTGATATTACGGGTGGTGTCCTGTCTCTGATCCAGCTCGTCATTGATGCCAGTTTCCAGGGCGACTGGAGTGGCATTACCGGAAATTCATTGAAGTTGGGTCTTTCGAACATCAGCATTGCATTCGATATCATATTCATTGTCCAACACTTCATCCTCTACCGTGGCCAGGATGATCTGACCATCAAGGAGGATGACAACCTGGAGCAGCCTCTGCTCGACCCATGATGGGTGCGCGGATGCTTTCGACCCAGGACCGACCATAGCATCAGGCGCATTCCCCGGAGTCAAGTTGGAAGCACGTACGTTACAAGTGGTGACCTCTGAGATCTCAACATCAACATTCGATACGAATGATTTCGCTATTTCTGATGATCCAAAGACAGAGCATACGCTCCATGGGAATTGCAATGCCCGCTCCCAATGTGTGTGTCCCCTACTGCATGCAGGATTGGCAGGACTGTGTAACTGGAGATGTCAACTTCACCTTTTGCCAGGAATAGGCAGCCATCTTCCTGATGAGAAATGATGGGCATTCCTCACACCTCCCAGCACCGGTTTTGGTGTCCTAAGTCACCATGCACTCCACAATTTCAAGGGCATTCAAGGGAGGAGGTGGTCACTGGTCAGTACGTCAATGTTGCAAGCACGACAAGCTTCGCTGCCAGGGCAGGTATATCAGGTGTCTCCCGGACTGGCTTGACACCGCCCACCGGCCACCACATAGGCGAGCCGGAGGCACTTGCATCTTCATTGGCGATGATCATTGATGCGAACTCTAGCGGGGTCATGATCGCGATGGCCGTGGAGAACGTTACTTGCTCGACCCACTTGCAAAAAGTAACTTTTATCAATTTGTGAGACTGGGGTGGTCTGACTTGTATTGTGAGCCGCGAAATATGCATGTACCAGGTCGCACAAGAGGGCGAGCAGCTTGCCGGCTTTGGCGTTGGGCCGGCTGCATGTACAGTACTGTATCACGGCCTCCTTGTGGAAATCCCTTGGGGTGATCGCCATTTGCAGTGAGGGTCAGAAATGCGCCATGCTCCATGTTTCATGGGGTGCAGTCGACATATCTCTTCGCTGCCTACATGTATCTGAACATGAAGCACCTTGTGTCCAAGTACCACTAATACTGGGGTACATCTACGCCCATGCTGTCCGATGACCTTGCGGCAACTTCCATGCACATTAAAGCATTGCACGGACGGCCTAGACTCCGGGTGACTCAACGCCTCAATGGAGGCTTGTCGCGGACGTGGAGGGTATTGTACCGAATCCCAATTACCCAACGGCCAACTAGTGATGGCGCCTTCATGCTTTCTGCCGTCTAAATTGACACTGAACTATACCTGGTTACTATTGTGGAGGCTGAATCACATTATTGCTCCCGAAAGCGAGAAGCTGCAGAACGGGAAGATCTAAGAGAAGTGTGTGGCTCCATTTGAGGCTCCCACGCAGTCTGCGGCCGACGTTTGTACACAGCAAATCATGTATGTACGTGCAGTATACCACGTCCAACGTGTCAGATTCTCATCTTCCTTGCATGACCGACTGGGTAACTAGGTAGTCTCCAGAAGGGAGCCGACCTGGTGGACCTTTGCAAAAGTATTGTCAAGGTTGGTTACGGTACTGTCCACGATAAAGGAATTACAGTCGGTGAACGGCGTCGTGGTTGAACATTTGACGGTTGAGGCACCTATCCACCGCTCCCGTCCAGCAAATGGCAGGCCAGATAGAGGTTGCTCAAGGGTTCGTCTCAGGTTGTCAGGGATGCGCCCAGTTAACCAGAGTAGGTAGTCGGGGCTTGTGCTGCGGCAATTTTCGACGAGTTTCTTGGGCTTGAATTCCCATGGATCGCTTGCTTTTGTAGCTTCTCTTCGAAAGGTAGTGCCCAGCCGTGCTAGATGAAGTAGTCTGTTCGTTGCGATCAATGCAATCTTGCAAAAATACTAACAACAGTAGGAGGAAGGGGGAGCACGCTGGAGGTGCGGTTGTTGTCTCTGCTGCAGTAACTATTTTAACTATAGCAAAAAGCACAGCTGCAGCTACAGTACAGCTTTAGGCAGCAGGAATGAAGAAAGCTACCCCGCGCTTGCCGGTGACTTACGTAGATTCGCATCGTTCACGTTTTGACTTCTTTCGTTTTTCGTTCATTCATTCATCATTCTCGTCCCCTCCATCATCCCATCGACTTCATGCATCATGCCTCTCGACAAGCTACAGAGGAACGAATCACTCCGAACATCAATCATGCACTGCCTCGCTGTTCGTTGCATGGCATCTCTACATATGCAGCTAGTCCAAGAGCCTCAATCGCAAGCGTCGAAGCCATGCATTGATCAACGCCCGAGTCCGATGGGCCCTACATACGCCCACACGCCCACACGCCCACCCTCACTCCGTCTTCCCGTGCCCGACCCCTCTTAGCGTCGAATCCTCAAGCACAGTACCACCGCCGACTCGACTCCTCCCTGGCTGAACAAGCCTCAACACAGCAGGAGGCTTTTTCCTAGCCGCAGAAACAAAGCCCTTCTACAAGTCTAGACTCGAAGCGACCCAGAATAGTTGACCACCCCCCAGCCCAGCCATCAGAATCAGTCATCCAATCGTCCTGGTCAATGTACAATCTACTCGGATGCAGAGACACCTGGCTGATTTTATTATTCATAGCCCAGACCTGCTGACCGTCTTTGCTGCTGTCTGTTCGACTACCCTTTCAAAGGAAGATCCTTGTAAAAAGTCCTACCGTGTTGACGTCCATTCCAACTCCTCCCAACCACTACAGAACGGGAGTCATACGCGAACTCGACAACGGCCAGTGCCTCTCGCGACTTAATTGTGTGGCAGTGCTTTGTCAGACCCTTTTTCGAAGGCTTCAGTAATCTCTCCTTCATTCCCATGGTGATGTGGCCTTTGAGGCTGGACACAAGCCACGTCTCTGTCCCGTCCATTCCGACATCAGCCTCGCGGCACGTCTTCAAGTTTCAAGATCAGCAACCCCAACCTTGATCATCCGTGCAACCTGCACCCCGGACACAGACATTCTCTTGTGACGGTTCCCGGCTCCTTCGGTCGGCTGACAGCGTTATTATACGGCTTTGGAGCCTCATCAGGTTGCCCAAACCCCTCTTCGCTTTCCAAGGATTGCAGACAACGAGTAACTCCTCACTGGTACGCGAACACTCTCTGTTTCTCTTCCATTCCTGTCTACAACCTCCTCTGGGGTCTATTTTGATTTGTGGTGGTTCCCATGTACCTTTCCGGTGACGGTCTCAGCTCGCCTGGATCCAGTAAGCGGGGCCCTGGCAACGGTCGGAGAAGGCCTGGAACGTCCACGGACCACTCGGATTTGAGCCGCTAGCAAATGTCCCTTGCTTTATGCTTCGTCTCCTGTCTTTGAGGCTGCTTTGCCCATGTTGCATTGCGTTGCCATCATGATCAATGTACTCGACATCTGTGCCAAGTTGCGCGTCAGAAGTTGTTTTGTTCTTGTCTCTCTCTTCGACGTCCTTCTGGAAGGAAATACTGACATGGCCGATCAACTAGATACCGAGCTAGTACCAGTCAACGTCTCAACGTCTCGTCGTACTGGGAGTCTCCATAGCGGCTTGACCTAATAACATCGCTTCCTCTGCCATGTGATCCTCCCAGTCACCCATGTCCAACAATTATCAGGATCACTTTTTCGATCTGGAGAGAGATATCATCGCACCCAACAGGTCGCCGCTTTTGGAGGAAGCAAGACCGGTGCTCACGCCTTGTGACAGTCCTCCGCCGCTGGTCCCTGTATATCCGTCATCGGATTCTTCTGACCTGGAGGACGTCGGGGAATTCCGCCCACCGAGACGGAAAATCCGAAAGGGTCGAACAAACGCTTCCTTGAGTGACGGCGTGCTGATTCGCTCAATAGCTCCTAACCAGGTCGATGTTGCTGCGGACGCAGAAAGACATGCCTTAGCATCGGCCAGTCAATCTGAGGCAGACGTGGAGGAGGAGGAGGACTTGGGTGTGGAGGACGACGAGGATATCGAGCCTGAGTCAGCATCAGTTCGAATGTTGCTCGACAACGAATTCGTCCGCCATGCAGCCGTGAAGGCGCCGGATGGGGCCGATGCCATTGCGACTGCTCCATCGGACATTATCAATGACAAGGACGGCGATTTCCCAATGATTTACTCCCCTGAAAGCGTGCCTGTTATCAACGAGGTCAATGGCACGACAGTTGGTCATCGCATCTTGACGGAGCACAGCTGCTCGAAACACGATGGATGCTTTACGCCCCCCAAGCACAAGGCCGCCATGGCAAGCTGTTGGGACACAGCTCCTCCTTCGAGAGAGACTTCGAGGGAGGCTTCGACGTTCGGCCACGGTCTTCGACTGCAGCTCGATACCAATCAAGACCGTATTGCATCCCTTCTAACGTCTCCGATACTGGGAAAGTTCACCATAACCCCTTATGATCCTGATCCAGACATGGTCTTGCCTGCTATGCAGCTGTCGCCTTCACCTTCCTCGCCAGCTGCATCGCCACGACAGAAGCAGACACTACCCTCTCTAAGAACAACCCTGGGAGGGTATCCAACGAGCTCGACAGGCTTCCCCGGCTTGTCTCCTGTTCTTACACAACATTCACCACCCCACTCGCATCAATTCGGCCCGACACTATCCTTCCCCCCTTCGACACATACCGGCATGTCTCCTCCACCACGAAATATGTGGCGTACAACGACTGTCGACAGTTCTATATCCACATCTTCCGAATGTACACCCGCCAGTTCTGCGGCTGCCTCCACGCCCGCCTCATCTATCCTCGCACCATCTCCGGCAGCATCCTCAAACCCACATCCTTTGACACCTTTGCCGGAGGAAGAGACGTCCTCTTTACAATTGCAAGAATTTCGACATGAAATCAAACAGCTCTCGAAGAGACCAACAACACTTTCGGAATCAAGTCCCGAATCTGACCTTGATCCACTGGGGAACGAAGCGTCGAATTCGACCCGCTCCTTCGCGGACGGAATGTATAGATGTACCTATGAAGGATGCAACGCCGCGTCCTTTCAAACACAGTACCTACTGAACAGTCACATGAACGTACACTCAGAAATGAGGACGCATTTCTGTCCGGTCGCAGGATGTCCGCGTGGTCCAGGAGGTCAAGGCTTCAAGAGGAAGAACGAAATGATTAGGTAAAGAGCTCCGAAGAACAACGTGATTCTCAACTAATTCAATTGCAGACACGGCTTAGTCCATACCTCTCCTGGTTACATCTGTCCATTCTGCGCAGACCAACAGCATAGATATCCCCGCCCGGACAATCTGCAACGTCACGTACGAGCCCACCATAAAGATCGAGATCGCGACGATCCTCGATTGCGCCAGATACTCAATCAACGTCTGGAAAGTGGGAGTCGAACCGCCAGACGACGGATTCGGACATGAAATCAAGGTCTTCCGCAATTTCTGCCATGGACCATCAGGACTTTTGCGGATACGCACCATCCATCATGCTCTGGAGATGTTTCAGCAAATTGCTTGATGTGTCTCTGGAATGTTTTCTCCCAAGTTCGATTCTTGTACAGCATTCTTCTTTTGGCTTCTCTGACATGGACTGGACAAAGACAAAGTCCATGTCCATGTCCATGGACACATTTATTATGAAGACCGAGCAGCCTCGGCAAGCTTTTCGATAAACTTTCAACCCAGGGTTCAATCCTCATTATTTACGACGTGACGACTTATTGACGCCAAACATGCCCATTACGTTTTCATATCTCCGAACGACTGGATATTCGTCTGGTTGCGATATATACACATATGTGAGAGGCAAGGAACGAGTGGTAAGAAGACTTGCGTCAGACATGCTCGCGCAAGGAAGATACCCGACAAGCCTCTTTCCAGAAAAAGTGGCACTTCGTTTGACAGGGAACACACCACCAATTCAAGTTCATGGTCCAGCAGGTTCGCGACAGCGCGTACCTTGAGTCCAAAGCAGCAGGACTATGCGGTAGAGCTGACGGACTTCCCGCTGTCAAGAGCTCACGCTGTATCGTTGCGTGCGAAGGATCCCGCCATAACAAGAAGGAATGGTATCTACCTAGTAGTAAAACCTGAGGAGCAAGAGCGGTCAAATAGTGCTGCTGCTTCTTCAGGAAACAGGCTGCAATCACGTTCTCACGGGACGTTTTGCGCAACACCGCATAACACGGGCTTGTATGAGAAGACCTTTGAGCAATTCAAACAAAAGTTTTTCCATCCTACATATTTCATCGTATCCTGCTCCCTATGTTTGCACGTAGCTCTCGGTCCTCAAGGCAGGCAATAAGTTAGTAGACAGAGAGCTTTCTCAAGCACTCCTTAGAGAGGGCAGGCAACTGGAATCGGTGATGTTGACCATCAATTGGAACGGACAGGATGACAAAATGTCATTGAATGTGCCATTCATCCATTACTATACAGTATATGCATACATCCCGGTCGAATTCTACACTCCTTCCTCACCATGACCCATGGACATGGATGTGCACGAAAGGGTATTCGGCGCTGGTTCGATGGTGCATTCCAGCCCGGAGATACATCTTTCCACACACATCTTAGCGTCATGTCATATCCCTGACAAGAAGCGCGGGAGGCCTGATTTCCGCAGTGTGATATCCATCTGGAGAAGAGGAGCCCTGCCGAAGACAACCTCATCGTGTGCCGAAAGAGGAAATACTCGCGAGGCGCGCCTGGTGTGCTTCGCATTGAAGACCAATTGGCCAAGGATCAGCCAATGAAGCATAAGGCTTTCTCTTCCTAGTGTCCTGCCGTTTCTGAGACAGGTATGCCGGTCGTGTGATGAGTCGTTGCGTTTGTGAGCGTCGGCCTCTTTCACGTACGGTCAGGGAATTAAGGCGTTTGAGGGTGAAGGATGTCTTGTCGACGATTCGACTTGCTTGAGGAAGCTCATACGAAGGCTACGATTGCAACCCGGATGCCATTTCACAAATGACCATTGTTGAGAACTGACATCATTTTACATCATTCCAGTAGCATTTGAGAAGTTGTCTCTGAGCCGCGTAGCCAGTGTCTCCGAGGTAGCCGATGAGCCCATGATTTTGTCGATATCTTCCATTGTGCTCGGCTCCACGGTGCCCCACAGCTTCCAATCTTGTTCTTTCCCATGCAGCGTCAATTTCTGTATTACGACGTATTCCGTGATGTTGAAGAACTGGCGTTGGGACATGGAGGCGGTCTTGGCTACCTGAACCGAATCGATACGGACGGTACATTGGCGGAAGGATGAGTTGGGGAAAGGAAGAGGTGCAAGACGGTCTTGGATGACTCTGACACTGGCCCCTGGAAGGAGAGCTGAGAGGGGCCATTTTTGAAGGAACCGCGGGTAGTTGATGCCGATGTATTTCCTCAGATTCCACTCCTCTTTCGCCCGGAGTCTCTTTCGACGCTGGATGCGCGATTTGGCGCTATTGAGTAAACCGGTACAAGCGATCTTCTCGATAGTGCCTGTGTCTCCTGCCGCGAGAGCCATGTTAAAGGTTCGGTGCAGTGCCTTTGCGATTTCGGTTCGGTTGGAGAACTCTAGGGGCTTGTTCATCCTCTTGCCTGTGACTGGGTCTTTAGGTGCGTCCCACCACTGCAGGTAGATTATGCTGGTGACGCATGTTAGTACGCCTCGAGGTGCATACTGAATCTGTATGAGGGCATTGTGTCTTACCTGAAACAGTCCTGTGCTGCGGTCTTCAGCCGAAGCCATTGTATCTTGGCCCGTTTGATGAATGTCGGAGGCAGCCAGCTGGGTAGTTTGGTTGCAGAGGATATAACCAGAGCGCTGGGCATTCGACCTAGATCATCGGGCATTGCGGATGTCTTTCCACCACCTTGTCTGGCCATTTGGGTTTTGACGGCGTGCATTTTAGGAAGTCTGGCATCCCAGTTGCTGATTGCCTTCATTTTACCAACCGTTGCGTCCCTGCGTTGCGTCGTCGAGAATTGACGGGATTTGAGTGAGAGCATTTGATGAGCGCAGAAGAGACATGGCTTCGAGGATCTGCTGGAGGAGCTGAAGGGTGAATATGTCTGGATTATCCTCCTAGGGAGGAGGTCGACCGGGCGCGACATATCTGAACCGTGTCGAGCACGGATGGCTCTAATACTAATGAATGTAAGGGCTGAGATCGTTCACACGAGCATGGAAAATGAAGCTGCGCTCGAGGAAGACCGGGGAGCGCAGATGCGCCAAGAATGGGAAAGCGGCCATGATCCTATGCCTCTTCGGGGCCACGAGTGACGCTGCCCTGATTTTGACGCCGTTCAAGTGCGAGGTCACAATTGGCTGGCATGGATAATGCTGCTCCACCCACGATTGCCATCGGACTCGTTACCGTCGAAGTTCGATTTGAAAATTTGATGGACTCATCGGAGTCAACCGTATGTAACATGAAATGACCATTACAATTATATAGGACGAATTTCCACGGCTGAGGTATGTCGGCAAAAACTGAGGTGAGTAACTAGATATCCGAAAAAATATTCCAGGATCACAGCGACTCAGCGAGTCGTTTTGACCGGCCATTTCGTTTATTTCTTCTCCAAAACAATGACAGAGGCGCACGACGACATGTCATACGTCCGAATGTCAATCAGGTTCAATCCTGATCTCTCAATCAAGCCACTCCATTCACTGCGCGTTCGCTCCCTACCCGCGAACAAGATCTTCATCGAGATGTCCTGCATGGCAGCCTGCCATGGTGTATTTTCGTCTGGAAGCACGACTTCGTCAAGCAGTATACGTGAATCCGCACTCAGAGCCTCAGAAAGCTTGGACAGGATCGTCTGGCAATCCGCGTCGGGCCAGTCGTGCATTATTCGGCGAAGATAGTAGTATTTGGCACCTAAGATTGGGATCAGTGAGAAGAACGTTCTTCCCGGCGAGTTATGCAGATGACATACCTTGGACTGACTGATCCTCAAAGAAGTTCTGCGCCATGGCCTTGACGCCTTCGATGGGTGGAAGCTTGTCTACAGCCTGGGGCAGATCTTGTAGGACGATGCTGCCGTGGAGCTGAGGATGCTTTTGAAGGAGCTGCTTGCACTGATGGCCATGCCCGCCACCAACATCGACGAAAAATGCCTTCTCACTTTCCTGCGCGAAATCACTGGCTGCTTGGTCGAGAAAATCGAGGGCATCGAGCCAATCCGCAGACTGAAGTGCTGTCATGACCGTCTGCAAGGCGCCAAAGTTTTTGGGATGCTGAGTAAGCCATTGGAACGCGCCCAAGTCGGTTCTGTGCCCCTTCTGAAAGGGCGTGTTCGTGTTTGAAGTGATGTCTGCGTAGGAACTTTCTGCGAGGAAAGAAGGGATCGCGCTGGTGGCAGGTCCGCACGTCTCGAAGCTGTTGAGAACATCTGGTAAGTTGAGGAAGACGGAATAGTCCTTCCATCAAGAGACCTTACGCATGAAGAAGGCCTGCTTCTGCTACAGGAGTAGCAAGAAAGTGTGTGAGCTTGGTGGCTTGGTAGTGATCTGGACTTGGGTTCGAGATGAAGCCTACGGACGCCAGGTATCGCAGTAATGCTCCTAGAAGAGTTGGTTTCGCGTCAGGGACGAGTGGCAGAACGCTTTGCCCGGCATCCGAAACGCAAAGGCTAACATACGAAGCAGTTCTGGAGACGCGCCTGATTCTCCGGCAAGTTGAGAAACAGTCACAGTTGATGCGGGATCTCTAGCGAGGTGCTTGAACAGCCCCAGCTGGACGGCGACATAGACCACGGCAATCTGGATATGCTAGATTGCGTGGATGTTACCATTAGCAATGACGCCCTCAAGCCGACGAGTGCCCAGAGAACATTGCCAGGGATGAGGCCAGATGTTATCGACTCACCGAGTTGTACAATTTCATGAACAGATCCATCGGTTTCTCCAATTCTGTCTGAAGTTGTCTCAATTGGTCTAATATATTGCGCTTGCCAACGTCGTCAGCCTCATGGGCTAAAGAACGAATCTGATCAAGGGTGGACTCCATATCGATAGATGCTGTCAGTGTAGCTGGTAATAAGCAGATAACAAGACGAATGGGGATCCCATGTATTTATCTATGCAGAGGTTCGGCTCAAGGTGTTTCTCCATCATAAAGTCTGTTGAGGCCATGGACTGTCCGACCCGAATTTGAATATTTCTGCCTGGAAAAAGCTATATCCGACTCCTCATGTTGCTTCAAAGACGACAATCCGAAACCGAGCAGTCGGACATAGCGCTTTTCAGGAAGCAAGAATGTCACGCTCCACTTCAATAGAGAGAAACTCTGGTACGTTGTCACAAGTTCTGTAGGGGAGAAGACAAAACCTTCTTAACCCCGATAACGATTCTCCAGTTGAGGCCGAGACCGACGTCAACCCTGATGCAGAATATGCCGGCTGTTGTATGCCAGCCCATTCATGTATGAAAGTGTGCTTATCCCTACACGGTCAAGCCTGAGTCGTGATCGCGAAGAATGTATCCAATACTTCGCTGGATCATAGTGAGCCTGTAATAATGACTGAGAGCGAGAGCACTCCGCCAGATATTGACCGTCGAGGTTTTGCTTAGTAACCAGCAGCTAACCCTCCTTGGATTAGCGGGATTGCCTGCTGTGCACATCGCTTGATTGGCCGCAATATCTTGACCCGCCACTTTCGCCTAGAGCTTGTCTGCTCCAGCTTCATGGTCTAAACATCTCGAACTGTTCTACAACGTTTATTGAAGCCTTTTCTTTCCCCTCGCGCAGTGACTGAAGATGGCGGCAAAGAAGGACATGCGGAGGACTGACCTAGGTGAGTGGCAGCGACATTCTAAGGAGGTGACGTTCAACCAGACTAATCAGAGCCATCAAGTCATTCCATATGTCGAGCCAAAGGAAGACAAGTCTGCGGACTTCAGCTCGACCTTTGCGAGTACAATGCCCATGGCAGCTGTAAGTATCATGTATGTGAAAGCGATCGAATGCGCCGGCTGATCTTGTCTGCAGATGTTTATGAGAAACAGGTAAGGAGGGTTCATCACGTTTATCTGTGCGCTACCATTGATCACAACTGTTAGGATGCTTGGCTGGTGAGTTGTTTGTCCATCAAGTATCGAGAATCACGAGCTGAACGGAGAAGGTTCTCTTTATTATCAGCACTTCTGAATTGGCTTGGAGAGACTTCTGCTCAAAAGCAGAGCAATGGTACCCCTGCATATCTGACTTTTGGCATGGCAAGTATGTTAAGATTCAATCTACGTTGAGGGTACATGGCTAACGGATTGCAGTCCTTGCTGTCGCTGTGGTAAGCTCGATTTATCTGCTTGGTAAGGATGGCACTGACGGAGGACGAAGACATATATGCCTCTATTTCTTCCACCTCAACCAAACGCTGGTGGGAGGGCTCCGGCGGCAGGGTCGACTACGACTTAAGTCACACTTTGCATTGGCTAGCTGGGATTCTTGGTGTCTGTACAATCATGTTTTGCATATATCATCTGCAACAGGGAGGTCAGCTACTTCTGCACCAACCACTGCAGCAGCATGTTGGCCGTGTGAAGGAGCCCATAAAAGCAGCCGTGATATGTATTGTCACAACTAGGTACAGGTGGCTCTGCCATTAATGGAAATGCACGGGCCCTTGAGTGACTCTTCACATGTTTGTACCTAGCAAAAATGTTACGATGGTGGCGAATCGTCAAATTCCGGGGGTGGCCGTGGCCCGAAGCAGCTGTTGGGCTTACCTAGAACCAAACTGCCAGTGACTGCACCAGTGGCCAGGCTTGGCGCTACTCAGAGACTGCGCCAGTTTCCAAGTCCGTTGATTTCTCTCCTACTTCCCCTCCCTGCCACGAGTTTCCTTCTTTCACAACACAACCACAAATCGACTCTCCACTCCAAAACCCTCGATAACGAAACCTTTGACAACTCAGATCAATCGACAGTACTACCACCTCAAATCCATCAGGTTCTCTTCGACAAACGAGTTTATGTCAACTATCCAAAACCTCAAAACTTTTGGTAAGCGAACCCCTCCTCTCAGCCGCTTCCGCCAACGCCACGAACGTTCAATACAAAGAAGCCACTCGGTGCCTCGAGCATGTTTGAGTCCAGCGTCAGTGATGGGCTCTACCTGATCCTGGTCGCTTCCGATCGCCACTCCTGGCCAAGCTCGAACGCGCGACACTCCTGTATATGATCTTCTGACTAACATGCTTGTCTGATAGACCCCTTCGCGGAGGCCGACGACGACACTGGGGAAGCGAAGCAGTCCCAAAATTACATCCACATTCGTATCCAACGTAAGAGATGACACTCCGATGCGGAATATACATAAATACTGATCTATGGCTCAGAGCGCAATGGTCGTAAGACTTTGACAACTGTCCAAGGCCTTCCCAAGAAGTTCGACCAGAAGAAGATCCTCAAGGTCATCAAGAAGAAGTTCGGTATGTCGCATAATACTCTACTGAGAGGTTAGTACTAAGAGAAGAACAGCTTGCAATGGCACGATCGTCACTGATAGTGAGATGGGCGAGGTGATTCAGCTCCAGGGTGATCAGCGCAAAGATGTTCAAGAGTTCTTGGTCGCCAAAGATGGCCTCGAGCTCGACGCTAAGACTATCAAGGTATATATCACCCCGAGGCATCCTCTTTGGGTCAGGATCAGGCTGACTTTGAAAAGGTCCACGGTTTCTAAACGCTTCAACCGATATCCTGTGCTATCCTGCTCGGTCATCGAGGACAGATAGAAGCAGTCGACTGAAGAGAAACCTGTTTTTCCTTGTACGATTACTTCTTACCTCTTTACCTTCGGGCCGTTGCAGCGGCCAAGTCACGATAGCATTTTCAGGACGGATCGGTTGTATGTGTTTATGATACCCATGATAGAAATCTGCTTTGGGATGATGAGACGGGACAGGCACCTGACGAGTATCGGGCAGTGGACAGTGGACTGCACGAGCAATGCTTGAAAGTACACGGCTGCTGGACATTCAGAGGGGCGGGCTTTTCTCTCATTGATGTTATCAGTCCTCCTTCGAGGTAGCTTCCAACGGATATGAGGTTATTGTTCTTCCGGACTTGCTCCCCTGTGATTCTCGCGATCCGCACTTCTTCAAAGGTTGTAGGCCTGTGTTGTAGATGCTGGTCACTTGTTCTTTTGCTATCAACCCCTTTGCCCGTATACGCATGAGTGGGACTCTACCGCCTGAACGTTCGTCATTGCCAAGAGATCTGGAAGGGGCACAGGGGGGCAAGGGGACTGGAGAGTTAGGGGCCTCCCAGTTTGAGTCCGTGGTCACGCGTCGACCATCATCCCCAGACTTGATGCTTCATACCAGCTTGTCTTGAGTAAACCACATACAATTAGCTCAACATCTTGATACAAAGACACCACCAAAGGGCGATGCAGCCGCCATAGCTGCAGGTATCGCTTGAACTGGCGGACCCCGACCTGCCCCCTTACACTAACGCGTTGAACAACCCGCCTCCACAGACGACTGGATCTGGCTCGACCAGCCAACAAGGTCCTAAAGATGGCAGAAAGGCCAGTGTGGCGATAAGTGCCCGGTATCCACGAGTAGCCGTCGTCCTCGGAGTACAACCACAATGGCATTTGCCACTATTGCTATGTCGCGCGTTGTCAACCGTCTCAGCGGCGTGGTGGGCCTGCTACACCCTCGTCAGCATCTACAGGCTGAAATACACGCTACCGACAGCACATGGGCGGCGAGAACGTGCCCAGGAAAGCGGATTTCGTGACAGTGTTATTATTGAACGTATGGCTATTGCGCAAATTGCTCTCAGCTTTTTATGGGTAAGTCAAAATATGCCTGTCTCTTCCACCTGCCTGGCTTGTATACCCCAACGTCAACCAGACTGTGTATTACCACGCTGAGGCATGACTGACTGATGGACGGAAACTTGTAGGCCGGCGCCGCAGCGTATCTCGCTCACCTGTTCGTATCGTCTCTGATGTCCCGCTGGCTTCTGCACTATTCACCTTTCGCGGTCCTGGTGCGGCTCTGCAGCCTCTCGATACTATTGTCGTTTGTGTGCATGCAGATCTTCCGGATCTCGGCGGCGTTGGAACCCGACATTTTCAAACTCAGCAGGAGCTTGTTGGCGTGGATCATCAGTTCGATCATTTTGATGCTCGTGTACTTTTGTACGCAGCAGGACATTGCGGTTGAGGGGGACAGAGATGACCGACAACGGCGACAGATTTTGCGGCTCAAGTGTCTGTACGTGATTTCGGCTTGCAGTCTTTTCAGCTTGCTTGTGTTCATTTGTGTTGTACAATTCGACGGGATGCCGGCGCAGATGTTTTGGTTGGAGGAGTCGGTGGCCCCAGTGCTCGAGCGCTGGTCGAAGAGGGAACTCTGATGGAGGTGCCCTATGGCAGGGTCCTATACAATGTATCATCACGAGCAGCCCGAAGAAGGGCTGCTCGAAAGCACGATGTCTGCATCTATGTGCGTCTTAGACTGTATCTGATGATCTGAGTTGTGGCCTTTCGCGGTCTGCTTTCGAGGAGGGGTCCGTGGTGAGACCTCGTAAGGCTACACTCGTGGACAAAAGCCCAGAAACTTCGACGTAGCTAAGCAGATATGAAGGAATTTGCGTTTTCATCGACAATTTTGCCGGCCATTTCGGCGCCGCCGTAATCATTGTTGACTCCGAGGAGATGCTTCGTGTATCGATATTGCGTTCTGAAACAAATCAGCCATCAAGATATGTCTTTGAATTTGACAGTCTTGTGGCAAGTCTCACCATCTTCATGCTCGTGGTATCGGCAGGAGTTCCCCTCTGTCGGATCATCAAAAAGCGAGCCACCCGTGCCAACTTTGATGGCATTGATGACATCGACCGCAAAATCTGGAGAAAGGGCGAAACAGTCCTTGTATGAGGAGGCATCCTTTTCTGACGCTGGATCCATGATTTGCCGTGCGGCTATCCTGCTGACGAGTTTGCGAAAAGGCGAAGATGGCCGTGTTCTCTCATAGATGGGCTTCATCTCCTCAGGTCCAGGTACGAGTCCAGCCTCATGGCAACCTCGGCGGAACTGATCGATCGCCTGATTCTGGAGCTCCTGTAGTCCTATTGTTTCGCAGAGTATGTATAGCTTCTGGCAGGTGAAGGCATAGTCCCATTTGACGTCCTTGGGCATCCATGATACATCGTCAATCTTGCCTTGGTACATCCATTTGACCAGCAGTTCGAAAGCGGTCGGGTCTTCGTCGCGGAGCTCCAGTTTGCCGTCCTTTATTCGTCTATGCTCGCCGTTGATCATGTGGGACTCGTCGAAGAACCGAGTATGATGGATGAGCAGGTTCTGGTGAAGGTGCCAGCTGCGGCCCTCGGATCCTACAACGATCTCCAGCAGTGGGCCGGATAGCAGCCTTTTGCACGCATGGTTAGCGTACTCTGCGCACGAAGCTGGGGTTACACGGGGACTTACTCCGCAAATACCTTCGCGGAGGAATCTCCTATGTTCTGTTGTGGCGTCTGTGGCATCTCAGACTCGGAACGGTAGTTCGAGTAGATGCGCTCGATGGTGTTGGGCGGTGTGGGTGTCGCATCGAAGTGCGATATGGGTTTCGTGGGTGTTTTTAAGACCGGGCGATCTACGCGACCCAAGGAATGACCCATGCGACATTTCTGGGGATGAATATCATATAGACCTTGACGAATGTAGGACGATGTTTCTCATTGACCTCAAGATGCGCTGTGCTTTGCCGATTGAGGGAGCTTAAGTCTGACATGCCATTTATGACCCGCTGATGCGATTCTTGTCGGCATTGTCCCCATCCCGGGGTTGGTCTGACAGCATCATTTCCCTCCTCAAGCATCCGCAGGCAATTTGCTGGACCTAGGCATGACGGCATGAGCGGAGAAGTAGAAATGCAGGCCGCAGGTCGCGTTCGATTGTCCTGTGGGGAAGCGCGTCGCGTTTTGACAGGAACTGGAATTGAAGCGACGAGCACTTTGATGAGAAGTACACACTATAAACATTATTGCTTGAGTGTTATTCACCGTTTCGAATCACATCTATGCCTCAAGTGGTCTACGACAGTACAGCTATCCTTCCTTCTTGTCCAAATTCATCCGACCTCGACCCAGTCTATCAACAACACGAGCCTGATGCGAAGTTTACGATAGGAGAGGTTACACATGCCACTTCACATGGAGTGACTCTGGCAAGCTTCTTTTCTGAAGATTTATCTTCGGCGTTGGACTCTGTGCCAGACGAGATGCCTTTCTCTTCGTCGCCCGTCCTGTATCCTCCCAGCTCCTCGCCTCCTGTTCCAGCAGCGACCAAGAAGCGCAAACTGTTCCAACCCTTTCCCACCGACCTGCAAAAGAAGAGACCGAAGATCGTGGGGGGCTTCTTGGAGGACAGTGATGAGGGAGAGGAACAGCCAGAGGATGTAGGGGCACAATCGAAGCCTCCGCAAGTGCCTCACATTGACGAGCCAACGCTGCCTTCGCTTACCCCCAGCCTGACTGAGGCTGTGACCATGAAAGCAACTGGCACGGCAAACCCAGAAGAGCAGCCAGCGCTGTTCGGTACAACAACATTGCCAGCATTTGCACGACCGTTGCTTCGAAAACTGGGACCGAAAACAGTATGTGTAAACACCTTGTCTGGTGCCAGCTTGAGCATACCGTTGAGGCAGAAGTCGGGATTTCAGTCGTACGAGCAACTAGTCGCTGAAAGATCCACCACGAAGCAAGGTCGAGCAAAGAGAGCTTACTACGGAATCGAGATACACAAACTCGTGGATGACGCGAAGACGCAGCGGCAGTTGGGCGATTTCGAGAAGCAGAGGAAGTCCGAAGAGATTTCTGTCGCGGCAACGGTCGAGACTCCAGCAGAGGTGCGACCCGCGAACTACAAATCGACCGCCTACCAGATGTGGACCGAGAAATATCGCGCAAAGAAGTTTACAGATCTTGTAGGCGACGAGAGAACACACAGAGGCGTGCTTCGGTGGCTCAAATCCTGGGACGATGTGGTTTTCCCAGGCCATGCTAAAGTAAAGCCTGTTCGGGTATACGACGACAAAGACCAGCCGGAGCAACAACACCGAAAGATCCTACTTTTGACGGGTCCTCCTGGTCTGGGGAAGACGACCTTGGCACATGTCTGTGCGAAACAAGCCGGCTACGAGGTGCTCGAGATCAATGCCAGCGACGATCGTAGCCGGGATGTCGTGAAAGGCCGAATAAAGGACGCGCTTGGTACGGAGACTGTTCGAGGAATCAAAGAACAAGGCAAAGCTCGCAAAGCCGGTCGTCCTGTCTGTGTTGTTGTGGACGAAGTCGACGGTGTTACGACAGGCTCAGCGTCAAGCGGTGGTGAAGGCGGCTTTATCAAGGCTCTCATCGACCTTGTTCAACTTGACCAGAGAAACTCGACCCAATCGGGAAACCACGAACAAGGCGCCGGCAGGAAGAAGAAAGGCGACAGGTTCAGGATGCTCAGACCTTTGATCCTGGTTTGTAACGATGTGTACGCACCTTCATTACGGCCACTGCGAACAAGCTCGATTGCCGAGATTGTGCATGTTCGAAAAGCGCCAATTGACAAGGTCATTGCAAGGGTGAAACACGTTTTCGAGAAGGAATACATCGCTTGCGACAATGATGCGGTGCGTCGATTGTGCGAGAACGCGTGGGGGCTGGCTATGCGAAAGCAGAGAGGTCCTGGTTCTCGAGGCTCTGGAGAAGGAGATATCCGAGGTGTCTTGGTTCAGGCCGAATGGATTGCTCATAAGCTACGAGCTTATGGGACCAAGCCAAGACTCACGAAGAAGTGGCTAGAGCCGCAACTGGAGGACGCTCAAGCTGGACAGAAAAGCCTCGCGCGAGGCGGCGTCCGAGAAGTTGTGGAACGAGTGTTTCTGGAAGGCGCCGGATTACCGAACCTGACCACCTCTCTCTCGGCAGAGGATGCAAGGCTCGTGGCTGACTCAAAGACTAATCCTGTTGGTGTTGCGGAACTTCGTAAACGCTCAGCTATTACTGCTCTGCGGGAGATGGTGGATACATGTGGAGATCATGATCGAGTCGTCGCTGACTGCTTTGCCACATACCCAACACAAGTTTACCAGGATGACGTGCAACTCTCGAAGCCTAACGCCAGTTACGACTGGCTACACTTCCACGATTGCCTGTCGAGTCGAGTATATTCCGGCCAGGAATGGGAATTGACGCCATACCTAAGCACGAGCGCCTGCGGCTTCCATCATCTCTTTGCAGCAGTCGACAAGGGGTCCAAAGCTTGGAATGACGAGAAGCCGGAAGAAGAGCCAGTCGATGTGCATCCATTCAGTGGTCTCAAGGCTGACTTTGCCGCTTATGAGGCGGCGAAACAGAACCGAACACTGTTGACGGAATTGCAGTCAAGCTTATCAGGATCGTTGTTGAGACTGTTCAGCTCCGTCGACAACATTGCCACAGAGCTGCTACCGAATGTCGGCAAGATGCTTGCACCCGATGTGAAGCCCGTCACCGTCGGCGGCTCCGGCGGCTCTGCCAGCGTTGCGAGTGTACGCAAGGACACTGAGAAGGTATGCATCAAAAACGCTGTCCGGACAATGCTTGCTCTGGAGATCTCGTTCGAAAAGATCCACGTGGAGATCGAAGGTGGTGGTGCTCATTCGAATGGTGGGTACGCATACAGGATGGAGCCGTGAGTTTCAATTCGACCTGAATTGTGTTCGCATCGCTAACCCATAGACTAGACCGCTTGATACTCTTCTGAGCTTTCACATGGACAAAGAAGGTCAACCAGTTGTCCCGGTTCGATATGCTGTCCGACAGGTCCTGGATCAAGAGCTCCGGAAGGAGAAGTTGCTGCAGAATGCTGCTGCAAACCATGCGCGCAGCGGACCACTGACTGCCACGAGTGCTGTTGGTGAAGAGAATGACAAAGAGAACGAGGCGCCAGTGGTTAAGGCAAAAGAGACGCTGGTGAAGGATTCCAATGCGAAAAGAGACTTCTTCGGTCGTATCATTAATGAAAGTCGACCTAGATCAGCGGGCAACGCAGCGGCAGCGGAAATGGGTAAGATGTTATCGAAGGACGAAGGCCGTATCTGGGTATCGTTCCACGAAGGGTTCTCGAACGCCGTTCGGAAACCGATTACCTTGAAGGAGTTGCTTGACGGGTTTTGAACAAGACACGAGCCGGCGCGTCTGGAACCACTAGGACCGTCCTTCCGCCTACCCGATTCAGCTATGTCTAGCAAGTCCTGACCTGTATTCACCCACTCTTAGTGTAAATAAAAGATGCTAGAACTGAGAAAGGAAGAAAGTTGAAAAGGACAAGAACGAATGATAGACATCACGTGGCCATCACCTTCACATGTCAACAATGACCGAGGCTTCCACATTCGGTCCGTGTCGATGTCGTACTGACGTCCGTACACTCTGACCTCCTGCACATAACAAACATTTGGACTCGTGTCGAGATCGAGCCTTCGACCATGACAGTGTCGTCGTCGAGAACAGCATCTGTACTGACATCCAACTGTACGCCGCCATGGCGGTCCAGTCTAAATTGCTCCCTCCGGGACGCAGTGTCAAGCAATTGATCTCCGAGTTGACATCCCTCTACCTCAAACACCGAACAAAGATCTCTCGGACCGTCTACATCACACTCGTCGTTGCTCTCATCCATCGCATACACAATGCTGTCTCGGAGCAGAAGGCTGCCGCCCGGAGGCATGCTGAAATACGTGCCCAACAGGTCGCTACCATTGGCGACACTGACGATGCGGAGAAGGAACACAAGAAGAAGAGAGTGGAAATAAACCGGGAGTTCTTCCGCAACTTGTCACGGTTGCTCAAGATTGTCATACCTGGCTGGCGGAGCAAAGAGCTGCGGCTCATTGTCAGTCACAGCGTCTTCCTTGTCCTCCGAACCCTCCTTTCCGTTTACGTTGCCGATCTCGACGGCAAAGTTGTGTCTGCGTTGGTCAAAGGCCGTGGTAGAGACTTCATGTTGGGGCTAGTATGGTGGATGCTGGTCGCCGTCCCTGCCACCTTCACCAACTCGATGCTGCAATACCATCAGACCAAACTTGCCCTGTCTTACCGGACGAGGTTAACGAACCATGTGCACGAGAAGTACCTGGACAACATGACATTCTATACACTTTCGGCTCTAGATGATCGGATAAAGAACGCTGACCAGTTGGTCACAGTCGATATTTCGAGGTTCAGCAACTCTCTTGCCGAACTGTACTCGAATCTGGCGAAGCCAGTTCTGGACATGGTCATATACAACTACTCGCTGTCAAAGTCTGTTGGTGGAGAAGGACTGTTCGCCATGGCATTGCTGGTACAGGTCTCTGCAAACGTGATGCGTGCTCTCACACCTCCCTTTGGAAAGTACGTCGCGGACGAGGCTCGATTAGAAGGTGAATTTCGTTTCCAGCATACTCGCCTTATCGACTACAGTGAAGAAATTGCATTATATGCTGGACACGAAGCAGAAAAAGACGGGCTAGACAAGGGATATTTTACACTCATCAGGCATGTCAACAGAATACTACGAAGAAGGTTCTATCATGGTTTCATGGAAGATTTCGTCATCAAGTACTTTTGGGGCGCTCTGGGGTTGATCCTGTGTTCGTTACCGGTCTTCTTCAAGATACCTGGACAAAATCTTCAGGTTGCGGGCGATCATACCGAAAGCTTCGTCAAGAACAGACGGATGCTGCTGAGCAGCTCAGATGCATTTGGGCGACTTATGTTCTCATACAAGGAAATTAGTGAACTAGCTGGATACACTTCAAGAGTCGCAGGTTTGCTGGATGTCATGGATGAAGTGTCAGCAGGTCGTTTCCAGAAGAATCTCGTGAGCTCTGCTAGCATCGAGGAAAATGCCGAGGTATTGAAAGGGCGAGGGACGATCGAGGAAAGCGAGAACATCGAGTTCACGGATGTCCCCATCGTCAGTCCGAACGGTGACGTTCTCATCAAGAAATTGACCTTTGCTATCAAGCCGGGCGACCATCTACTTATCGTCGGACCCAACGGGTGCGGAAAGTCGAGCCTTTTCAGGATACTTGGCGGCCTATGGCCAGTTTATGGTGGAAGCGTGAAGAAACCCAAGTTCGAAGACATCTTCTACATCCCTCAACGACCCTACCTCAGTCGAGGGACGCTGCGAGATCAGATCATCTATCCTGATACGCTGTACGAGTTCCGAGCCAAGAATGGTTCAGAGGAGGAACTGAAAGAAATCCTTGAAACGCTAGAGATTGGGTCTGTGCTGAATCGGCCTAATGGCTGGGACGCCGTGGAGGAATGGCGGGATGTCTTCTCGGGTGGTTTGCAGCAACGCATCGCTATGGCGAGACTATTTTACCACAAGCCAAAATATGCGATCCTCGATGAGTGTACCAGCTCGGTCACCTTGGATATGGAGCGGAAAATGTACGAGACGGCGAAAGGTCTGGGAACGACACTTATGACGGTCAGCCACCGGCGCAGTTTGTGGAAGTATCATAGCATGATTCTGCAGTTCGATGGCCAAGGCGGATACGTGTTTAGCAAACTTGATGCCGAAAGACGGATCAAGCTTGAGGACGAAAAGGAGGAGCTGGATACACTACTCCGTGGCGTCGAAGGGTGGAAGGCCCGGCTTGCTGAGTTGGAGGAATGACCTGGAGAGGACCTAAGCACTTTTTTCCACAACCAAGTTCACGCCAGAGTGCAAAGATCCGGTTCTGCATCGACTTAACTTTTCTCTCCCCTTGGCCACCCCTTTCCGTCGCACACACCTCAAGCATCGTGTGTCCGACCAAAGCAAACGATATATCTGCCACTCGCACGACGTCTTCCGCCTGGGCATCAAGCTGCCTCTTTTATTTTCCACTGCTGGAGTACGCCGTTGCCAACACGTCAACCTTCAGCCGTTGCATACAGCGTGCTCCCTCAACTACAAAGTACACGACTGCTACTTTCCTCATCGAAAACCACTTGAGCCTTGGCACCTTTACACCTCCCTCACAGGACGATGTTGCTGATCCGACCAAACATCGTTTCAATCCCTCCACAACCTGAGTCCCGAGAACAGAAATCCTTCCTGGATCTGCCACCAGAGATCCGGCTCCGCATCTACCACCACCTATTTGATGGACAGGAGATTTTCATCAGATCCGAAGACGACCCGATAGAGCAGAAAAGACTCGAGTACAAGCTTAGGGTGCGGTGTATGGAGAAGGAAGGCCAGTCATTGCCGCACGAGCTCTATCTCCATCAACGATGTCCCTGCTATGAGGAATACGCCCGCTATAGGGCTGTGGGTTCGAACATTATCTTCGCTTCCAAGACGTGTTCCATCGAAGCGATACCGATTCTGTTGGCTGGTGCTATTTTCGATGTCGACATCGATGCCTATACCGGCCGTCCACCTCATCAAGGCATTCCCTGGCTTGACATTCCTTACATTCGACATTTGATGTACAGTCGGAAAAAGCACCGACCATGCCTATTCTGTACTTACCCCAGTGAGACCGTTGTCGCAGGCTGAAGGGGAATGTCTAGGAATCGAGATAGATGAAAATGAATGACTTTCGGGGTGAGAAATATCTCATCTCTCACTACACAACGCTAAACCCCAGTCCATCACCGGACAAGTGCCTGTACCATATCGTAAATCGTAATTGTACAAGGTGTGGGTATCATAAAATCAAATGCAATAATCAATCGTGTCGTCGTCTTCGGCACTGCGAGTCGCCGCACTTAGACGTCCTCCTCCTGGCATTCGTTGCGAGATGGTCAGAGTGCGATTTTCTCATCCGCGAGCTGGGCGCACTCCTGCAAGACATCCCAGAACTTTCCTGTATGCAATTTCCTAGGAATTCTCACGCCTTGCACAAGACCATTCGAGCCTGGCTCTACCTTCGTGACGACCGTCCTACCCACTTGTCCTCTTACCGAGTCCAGCGGGCTATGTGCTCCATCTGTCACAACCTTGACGTCGTACCGGTCGCCATCCTCCTCGTATATGCCACTGGAGTAGCCGAACAAGGCAGCAACGGCAAGCGGATCGTGTAGCGGGGGGCCTTCATATACTTCGAACCACTCGACGTAGCTTTGTGCGAAGAATTCGAGTATCTCGTGGAGAAAGAGGCGTAGTTGACTTGGTTTCTCGGAAGTTCCCTGCAGAAGTCGTTCTCGCACCTCTTTCGTGGCGAGACATTGATGTGTCAGGTCGAGGGTGACGAGGGTAGTTTTCGCTGAGATGACGGGATTCGAAAAGACGGCTTGTGCGGCTTCGGGATCGCAGTAGATGTTGAATTCTGCCCAGGGGGTCTCATTGCCAATTCCCTCTGATTGTCCGAGCGTCTTGCCGAACTCTTTACTTACTTGAGGGCAGAAGTCGCCTCCGACCGCGCCACCCATGATGCTCAGGCTGGTCAACGAACGTTGTTAGTGGCGTCCCCTGGAGTTCCTAGGGGGCTCGACATACCCAGCGAGATGGTGTGCAACCTCCGGATAGGCAGCGAAGAGCAGAGCAGCGTTGGTGCAAGGCCCGGTAGCCACGTACCACGCCGTTTGAGGTGGCTGGGCCATAATGGCGTCGCGTGTAGCCACAAGAAAGTTCACGTCCCTAACGATATTGGTTGTTGGTTCTGGCAGTAGTGTCGTGCCGCCCAGACCCGTGGGACCTGGTTATGGTGAGCACCCGACCGTCTGTTTGTTTGAAAGGGTGGAATTCACCATGAATGTCAGGAGTATCGACTTCTTCTCGGCAGAAAGGCTTCACCGCTCCAGGATACACCTGGACATCAGTCCTTCCCACGGCTTTGAGAACGGCACTTGAGTTGTTCGTGGTGTGCACTTGCGGAGCGTTACCATGAGTCGAGGTCACACCGAGAAACTTGAGGTGCGGGTGATGGGCCGCGATGAGAATGGCAAAGACATCCTACCCAGGTTGGTTATGTTCATGTTTTCCTCAGTCAGAAGACCCCTACATCGTGCCCTTGGGAATGTCAGTAGCCGCCAGGAGGACGTGGTTCACGAATTGAGGCTTACCTGTGTCAACGTCCAACCAGATTGGTATACGGTCCGTCATTCTGTCGGCTCTGCAGGGATCCTGGACCTCTTCGTCGTCGCCCAAAGTATTTCAACTCGAAGACGTAGCAGAACTCCGTGGCAGGGCCCTGCATAACGGCCACCTGCCGGCGTCGACACGTGGGGTCGGACAGGTGCAGTACTCCGAAATTGAAGCTTGCATGGCAACCGAGATAAGATCCCCCCTCCTCCGGACGACTAGGCCAATTGTTTGGTCTCGTGGCGTTGAAAGTGCCGATCTCGTCTGAACCAACGAGCAGTGGCAATCACCTTATCGCTAAAGAGCCTGATAAAGCCAGGCGATTGGAGCTTCAATTCCTTGCAGATAAGGATGCCGACCGCATGGCCTAGACCCCAGCGAAAGCGACAAATATATGTGCCAGGGAGACCTCGAGCACCCTAGAAGTCTCCCCACAACTTTCATCGGTGTCATCTGTTTGTTGTAAGAATAATGACTGCCCACGAGTTGCCATCGAGCAGCGCATCAGCGCCATTGACTGAGGATGTCCTCACACTTGAGAGCTTCGGCTACAAGCAGGAGCTCAAAAGAGGCTTTTCGCTCTTTGGCATGATCGGCTTTGCCTTCTCAGTGTTGACCTGTTGGACTGCACTGGCTGGCTCTCTAGTCGCTGCCATTGAAGCCGGGGGACCTCCTGTCATCATCTACAGCTGGATAGGCGTCTGCTTCTTCTCACTGTTTGTCGCCTACTCATTCGCCGAGATTTGCAGCGCCTTCCCTGTCGCTGGTGGTCAATACTCGTGGGTGGCCATTTTGACGCCGCCGAAATGGGCCAGACTCACCTCTTACTTGTGCGGCTGGTTCATTGTCATTGGTTTCTTGTCTGCAGGAGCTGCGAATGGCTTCATTGGGGCTTCCTTCGTGCTCGGAATGGCACAGTTGGCAAATCCCGACTATACGATTGAGAGATGGCACACGTGCTGTCTTTGTTATCTCGTGTTGATCCTCGCCGCTGCCGTCAATATCTGGGGCCGGCGCCTACTCAATGCGATGGGGAAGATTATGATAACCTTCAATCTGGTGTCCTTCATCGTCATCATCATCGTCATCTTGGCCAAGGATCAGGACAAGGCGACCGCGGCGTTCGTCTTCAAAGACTTCAATAATAACACCGGTTTCTCGAACAGTTATGCAAGCTTGTTGGGGATCCTACAGGCAGCTTTCGGAATGACAGGATACGACGCAACAGCTCATATGACGGAAGAAATGAAGAACGCCCGGCATGATGCTCCCAAGGCGATCATATTTTCAGTATGGATTGGTGCACTCACGGGTTTCGCCTTCCTGATTGCAGCGTTCTTCTGCATCCGCAACCTCTCGGCTATCGAGACGACTTCGACAGGTATGCCAATCATCGCCATTTTCTACGAAGCTACCGGGAGCGTTGGAGGCGCAATCGGCCTGACCACCCTCATCACCGTTATCGCCTTGGTCAGCTTGTGCTTCCTCATGGCCCAAAGTTCCAGAGTCATCTTCTCTTTCGCTCGCGACCATGGGCTGCCATTTTCCGACACTATCAGCAAAGTCCATCCTACGCTTCACGTACCCGTTTACAGCATCTTGACCGTCCTTGTTGTCAACATGGCCTTGATGGCGATCTACTTTGGATCCGTCACTGGATTCAACACTGTGTTGGGCATCTCAACTGAAGGCTTCTATTTGTCCTACATCATGCCCCTCCTCATGCGCATTTGGGGTCGTGTGAGTGGTAGAGGCGAAATTGACAGTGCCTACTCGCTGGGTCGTTTCGGCATGCTCTTCAACGTGATTGGCATCCTTTACCTAGCCTTCGCTGCCATCGTGTTCAACTTTCCGTCAACCAACCCTGTGAACGGCAGCACCATGAACTACACCTCGGCTGCCGTGGGCGTCAGCGGTCTAATCGCTACTGCCACCTGGTTGACGACTGGACGTACACGTTTCACGGGTCCTCAGCGAGGTGGTATCTTGGAAGGTAGAGGACCCAGGCTCAACGAGGATGCTCATCACGTCCATCCTGCTCATGACCCCCTGAAAGGTAATCTGAAGGATTAAAAAGTATAAATGCAGCGCTCACTTGTACAATACCCTGTACAAGCACTTGTCCGGAATGGACTGGCGTTATTGTGGGATTTGGCGGGAACTACGTCGTTCACCTCTGCTGTTACGACATCACGGAGGCACTTGTTCGGAACGAACTGACGACGACACTTTTGATTTATTTGGATTTGATTTTTTATGATACCCACACCTTGTACTATTTACGATTTACGACATGGTACAGGCACTTGTCCGGTGATGGACTGTGGTTTAGCGATTTCGATTTATGATACCCTCACCTTGTACTATTTGACGATTGACGACATGGTACAGGCTCTTGTCCGGTGATGGACTGGGGTTCCAGCGATGAACTTTTGAAGATACCCTCACCTTGTACTACTATGATTGAGCGACATGGTACAGGCTCTTGTCCGGTGATGGACTGGGGATCAGCGTTTTGTTTCGGACATCTACGGAATTCGTCACCATTCTGCAGTCGTCGTTTTACGATGAACCTGCGAATGATGAACGACAAAGTATTTAGAAAGTGCATATCTAACTAATACACTCCTTTGCGCTCATCATCCTTTCAGATCCTTTCCCGCGACCAATTTTCCACCCACAAACACTTTGCGTATTGATCGATCGTCACCCATAAACACCCACTTCTTCAACAAGGCCATATCATCGTGCTCGTGTCCACTGGTGTTGATATTGTCCTCCAAGCCCACATCCACGAGAAGAGCATCGAGTTGCTTTCCGACCTTGAAGTTGCCCACTGTCTGGTCAAGAGCACAGACTTCGGCGCCTCCCATGGTGGCCAAGTATACCAACTCTTCAAAGCTCAACTTCCAAGCTGGATCTCCGGTGTGAATAGTCAGATGCCTCGAGACGTTACTGGCCTGTCTCATGGAGTTGAGGATTGAGATGGAATATCCCGCAGAACAATCAGTTCCCAAACCCACTTTGATTCCCTTGTCCAACAGCTGGCGGACCCGACACCATCCATCAGTCAGGCAGGTGTTGCTGTTGGCATTATGAGCCACGCCGACCTTCTTCTCGGCCATGACCTCCATGTCCCTGTCGGACAGGTGGATGCAATGCGCAAGAATTGTCCTCGGCCCAAACAGACCATAATGATCATACATGTCAGCGTAGCTCTCGAACTTGCCCTCATGTAGCTTGTGCATTTGTTCCACCTCCAAGGGCGTCTCGCACATGTGTGCCTGCACCCGGATAGGATCACTGTCACGATAGAGATCGCCCAAGCCGGTCATCAGCTCCGGCGGCACGTACGAGCCTGCTCGAGGCTGTATGCACGGCAGCACTAGTTTACCTTCTGGGTCAATCTTCCTGATATGCTCGACGACCTTCTTCTCGTCATCGATACTTTGCTGTGTGCTCTTCTCCCAGTTTCCGTGCGTGCTGCCCACGAGGATACATAGTTTGCCTATCACTGCTCGTTGTCCGAACTCCAGACACGTGTCGGCAAGTACGTTGGTCGCGTCGGGATGGATGCTGGAATTGTATGCTACCGTGGTGCTCCCGTTCTCGAGCTCCTTGGCGACCATTTCGCGGTACACGCGATGGGCTTTCGAGGTGTCCGAGTAAGATGCTTCCATAGGGTCTGTCCAGTTCTCGCACCACTCCTTGAGATCGCCTTCCATGCCCAGCGCCATATTTGGGTACTGGGGTGCGTGCATGTGCGTGTCGATGAGACCGGGGAACAGGAACTGCATCGGCTTCAGGTCGATGGTCTCGGCGTTGGCAAAACCGTTGTGTCGGCCACATGCTTCGATTGCGGAGTCGACGTTCGGGTCTAGAAATTGAATAATGCCCTTGTCGTCGACCCCAAGGCTGGCTTTGGGTAATATCTCGATCTCGGTCAGAGACTTGGAATGTATAATGCGCCCGAAGAAGACCTTGTGGGCTTTCTTTCCTTTGCTCGCATCCGGTGCCAGTGCTTTCTCACGAGAGACTGTGTATGGTGGAGGAGATGCTGAGTCAGCCATACTGTTGGTCCTGCCGCGGGAGCGGAAAGAAGAGAGGGAAAGGCAGCGCATGTTTGGCAACGGTTTGGAGGAGAAATGTAGAAGGCTAGAGTACTTCGATTCTGATGTTTTGAAGCCTTCAATCGGGCAGTTGGATGCCTATATTAGGACTCGCTGTTGGTCAATGGCAACCTTTGGCCGAGGATGAACGGCACTGTATCAGCGCTAAATAATGGTGCTCTCATTAGGAAGGTCACTTGGGAACCTTCTTCGTGATGTTCGTCGCACATCTCCGACACGAGTCCAACCGACCACCAGCTCTCGAAACAATAACACCAACCACATTGTGAAATGCTAGCAAGGCTGAAGCCGAAACATAACATGGCTTTCAGTGCCCAGAACCTTGACAAATCAACTAGGTGTTCGAGTTGAGGACACGACATTTCTTCATAGACAACGACGTTGTGCTACATCATTTTTTGAGTAAATGTGTAATGATAACTTTGTATCCTTCCACCGCCAATTCCATATCAGAGATTTTTAAATGCTCGTGGTCGGAATGTGCGACAAGAATGGTCCCTGGACCATACAGGTATCGTTTATGATTACCGTCCAGATGGGGGATATCAGATCCATAATTGACTACCACCGTCTCGAAGCCTAGATTTGTTAGTAGAGAGCAGACAGGTTTTTCATCCAATACCTGTCAAGGGAATTGTGAAGGACTTGCCTGCAATGTCATGATCTATCTCGCTTGGACCTTTACCTGTCGTAAAGTCGATCTTGACGTTCGGGGCAACACTGTGGACAGCGGTCTCGATCTGGCGCTTCAATCCTACCAGATCGTGATCAACAACTCTGACAAAGATTCCAGCAGAAGCGTTCTCGGCAATAACACACAGAGAGACACCGCCCTCGATGGTACCAACGTTAATGGTTGTGTTCCCGTACTTTTCATTCCACGGCAGCTCCAGACAGTCAAGCGAAGCAAGCGCTCGAACAAGCATGGCGATGGCACTCTCTCCTGATTCTGGATATCCGGAGTGACCTGCTTTGCCGTGGGCGGTGAGACGGATGGCTATCTCTCCCTTTTCGCCGCTGGCAAGTTTGAGCTCTGTTGGCTCTCCGAAGACAACTGCCTCCCATGAGAGGCCTACTTGATTGGCGGCGCGCGTTCCCAGGTTGTCAACTTCCTCTCCTACCACGTAGAGCAATGCCACATCTCCCTTGCTGATCTGTGACGCAGCCAGCAGCGATTCCACGGCATTTATCTGGGCTGCGACACAGCCCTTTGCATCGACCGAGCCACGGCCCCAGATTTCATCTCCTCGTCTCTCATAGGGCAGGTATGGTGGCACTGTATCAATGTGTGAAGTCAGGAGGACCCGGGCGTGTGGTGAGGGTCCAATGTAAGCGTATACATTCTCTCTGGTCCCCTGCACTACTTGGACCTTGACCGTGAAACCTTTGCTCCGAAGATAGTCTGTCACGAACGGAGTTACATTGTTTTCGGAACCTGTGGTCGAGTCCCTCTCGACGAGCGCCTTGTGCAGGTCGATGAGAGACGAGCCTGGGTCGAAATGTCGACGGTGGATGGGCGAGTCCATATGGGAGCCAGTTGCGTGATATACACTGCGACTGTAGCGTAGCACAGCTGACAAGAACTAAAGTTGTGCAATGAGAATCGACTTTTTCCTCTTGAATGTCGCGTTGGGATAAAGATATTGAAGGAGCTCCGTGGTTGGAGCCGTAGCAAACCACTCGAGACTTCAAGACATTTTGCATAACCAATCCAGCGAGAGTGTCGGAAGAAGCGTCCGTCTATGTCCCCGGTCTCGAATCAACAATCTGGCCGAGACCAGGAAAATGGCGAGTACTGCTCTGCCATGCAGCCAGTGGACCAATTCGGGAATGCTCAGGCCCAGTCTACAGTCACCTTAAGATGAATCCACAATAGCTGCACGGCGAGCAGAGGGGCCTAGTCGTTTAGATATCTGCAATATTGGCCACTTTGTAAAATCGAGGCAACCCAGACGCAAGTGGCTATACTTTCTATAAACGGGAATATCATCGCTTATCACCCTACGGTCAGATAAGGTAACGAGCTAGGAATGAAGGGATCTGAGATATGGTTGTAATGACTTGTTTGTATCACTTGTGACCGGGTCACGAAGATAGAGTGTGGAAGAACATTCTTGACACCTTAGAACCTAGAGAGCCCAGCGATAAGCCCTATATTTTCCTAGACTTCGAGGTCTGGGTATGGGTCTGGAATCTTGTCGACGATCCTTGGAGCTTTCACTTTGTAGGTGATGTCTTCCCTTGTAGTGTTATAATGGCCCAGATTGGACATTATAGCCTACTGCTGAGGTCCATCCTGATGCCGAATCCTTTTGGTGGTGACTACAGCTACAATCATCCTTGCGAAGACTCACCGCGCTGTCCGATCTCGCTCCTGTTGCTAGGCCAGATGACCAAGCAAAGTGCCCTGCATGCTACCAGACTACAGGATCATGCGTTCCAGTCAAGCCTTTTCTCTAGAACAGTATAAAATTTCTACGGCAAAAGTCCAACATCGACACCCTATCTCACAATAGACAATCGACAACCAATATCTGGCGCATTCCAGACAATAATTCGAGCATGTACAAGAAAGGAGGGAATTTCGGCTTGGGAGAGGTCAGTGGGGATCTGTCCATCGTGGGCGACTTCACCACCATCCCTGTCATCGACGTTGCTGGTGTCTATAGCGAGAACATACGAGACCGCAAAGCAGTGGCTGAAAAGATTCGCGATGCATGTACCCGGGTAGGGTTCTTTTACATCGAGGGCCACGGTATCCCTCAGGAGCTGATCGACAATGTCTTCAGCTTGGGGAAGCAGTTCTTTGCCCTCACCTTTGAAGAGAAGATGAAGGTCTTCGTCAACAATAGACCCAACTACCGTGGCTATACGCCTCTCTTTGGTTCGGGCAATCCAAATAAGGAGGGTTTAGGGAGTAAGTCAATCGACATTCAGTGTCAACCTTTTTCAAACTGGTCTTGGTTTGGCTCGCTTCACTTTGAAATTCGAAGATCGCATTGCAATGTCAACTTTCTAATTGCACTATTGTTACTCAGATGCAAACGAGGCCTTCGACTGGGGACACGACCCCAAGTTGAACGACGACCCGAACGACGCCTTTGTGGATCCTTTCATGAAAGGGGAGAACGTCTGGCCTACGGAGAGCTTGCCAGAATTCGAAGAGTGCCTGTCGGAATATTACCGTCGCTTGCGGTCATTCTCCAGAGTCCTGGCCCGTAACGTGGCTCTCTCGCTCGATCTAGCCGAAGACTTCTTCGACGAAGATCTCGCTCATCCTGGATGTAGTGCTGTCATTGCACATTACCCACCTCAAGCACCCAAAAGCGAGCAATTCGGGCTTGATCCGCACAGCGACAGTGAATGTAAGTACCAGACTACGACGCTACGAAGCTACGATCTCACATGATCATCTCACTCCTGGCTCTTCACTCTTCCCCGGGCGGCAGTTCGGACAAGTGGTTAACGATGCGCATAGTCTTCACGGTACTGGCGCCTGGTGAAGTTCGCGCTCTCGAGGTCTTGAACAAACGGAGGGAATGGGTGTCAGCACCTCCGAGGCACGGTAGCTTCATCGTCAACATTGGCGATCAATTACAGTCGTGTAAGGACACCCCGAGACAAACCATGTACCATAGGCTTGAAAATGATCGTGCTGCCCAGCTAACTTGTTCATAGGGACAAACGGTCTCTACATCTCCACCATGCATCGCGTATCAAACCTGTCCAGATTGGAGCGCTATTCGGTTCCGTTCTTTTTCAGCGCCAACTATGAATGCGTGATCAAGGTATGTCTTCACCACCCAAACAGATCACTTCGTGCCCGAGCTAAAGTACATCAATCATCAGCCTATTCCAAAGTTCGTGCTCAAGGGTACCAAGATTGAGTATGAAGAAATAACTGCAGGAGAGGTGCGTTTGTCCAACCTCGCTGCAGCCATATTTTGACAGCACTCTCGTCGCTGATCCTGACATCCTTTCCAGATGTATAAAAACACCATGATCAAATTTCACCGCATTGCCACAACCCACCCAGTATATTCCAAATATGTCATTGATGGCATTCATGATCTTGCGCAACATGAGTCGCAGAAGCATCTCCGGTATACTTGATAGAATTGGTGCAGGGTTGGCTCGGTTGGTAGAGTCAAAGGTGTTTTATACTTCTGTGCCATGAGTAACGTAAAATATATGGATGGTGGACACCTCAAGGAATGGTCCTCAGTATCAATAACTATACAATGGAGAGAACTCTTTTCCTGCTGGTGGAATGCACAGCTCGTCACTCAATCCTACGTTTCTTCTCGTGTCCCGTCGCATCCGGGATTTCGCTCGGGTGCATCATCGGAAAACCCTTCCAGATAGTCGAAGAGTGGGACAAAACTAGACTTTTCGTCCTGCCGTGGAATGGATTACGAGGCGCTGTTCATAGGCGTCTGTCATCAGCCGGTGACCAACGTTGAAGTTTTCGTTATCTGACAAGCAACCGACAACGTCAATCATGCCCGGTCTTGGTGCTTCTTCAATCGGTACGGACTAGTGTTCGTTTCCGTCTCAGCGATGACTCGATGAAACACTTGCAACCCTGAAAGATACCGTGGCTTGAGAATTGATGATCGAGCATCGGGATCGGGCAGTGGGGCAGCGAGGCATCAAATTGTTGACTGATAAGACTCAAGTGCCTATATTGTCTTGTTAGGGACTAGGTCACCAGCGTATCTGTTGCCACTACCTGCCTCAAAAGTGCGCCTTCGCTGCGTCCACTGTCAACCGCAGCAGAAAGTTGATCTACTAGCCTGACCTTGCGGGGCTTGAGCGTAGCAGGGTCCAGATGCTTTGATATGGAGCTACTCCCTTGAGCAATATGTCGCTGTTTGATGCTGCACGCGCAAGAGAGATGTATCTATATTACAGCTGCAGGCCTTATGTGCAAGAATCTATCGAGAATTCCATGAACTAGCCCACCGCGCCACATTCCAACCAGCCGTTTTAACACGACGACTCAGCTTCGGAATTCGCAGACGACTTGGAACTCGGAACTCGGAAATCGCCGACCTTTTCACCCTCGTCTACATGTATTTCTCCTCCGAAAACTGGGCTGGCGCGCATCCAGCAATTTCGGCGGCCCTGTCAGCGCATGCAACCGGTTTTGCCTCCGCTTATGGTACTTCTGACCTTGATCGAGAGGTCGAGCGTCGTTTCAGTGAGATCTTCGAGCACGATGTCGCAGTGTTTTACGTTTCCACGGGCACTGCAGCCAACGCCCTGGCGCTCACCGTGGTAGCCAAACCTGGTGGAGTAGTTTTCGCACACCGTGATGCGCATATTGTCGTCACCGAGGGTGGTGCACCGGAATACTTGTCGGGACAATTGCGCTTGGCCACCGTGGACGGTATGCACGGCAAGATCAATGCTCACCGGCTCCGGCGACAGGTCAAGGAGTTGGCGGATGGTGACGTCCACGGTGGCCGCCCGGTCGCCATCTCCGTCAGCCAAAGTACCGAGTCTGGAGCGGTCTACTCAATGGCAGAACTTGACACGATCTCTGCCGTGGCCAGGGACTTTAATCTTGCGCTGCACATGGATGGCGCCCGGTTTGCTAATGGCCTCGCCACGCTGGGCTGTAGCCCGGCCGAGATGACCTGGAAACGTGGTGTTGACATGCTCTCCTTCGGAGCAACCAAGAATGGCTGCTGGTGCGCTGAAGCAGTCGTCCTATTCGACCCGGCCAGTGCAAAAGCCGGCGAGTTCATTTACACGCTCAAACGCTCTGCGCAATTGTTCTCCAAGACTCGTTTCATCTCTGCGCAGTTGAAGGCATATTTCAGCAATGACCTGTGGCTCACTGTCGCGCAACAATCCAATTCGAAGGCGAGACTGCTTGCTGAGGCGTTTGCCGGTTTGGATCCCAGTCACGCTCGCCTGGCCAGAAAGCCCGAGACGAGTGAGCTCTTTGTGAACTTAACACTCAACTCATCAGTGCTCTTCGAGCCAAAGGCGTCGTCTTCTGCGAATGGCCCCAATCTCCCGGATTCGAAGATACCGCAGATGACGAACAGCTTTGCCGTTTTGTCACATGCTTCGCCACGACGTCCGAGCACATTATTTGCTTCCGTGACGTGCTACATGCAGCCGCCATCAAGCTTCAACCCTGAAATCGATCGTGGAAGCTAGAAAGCTGCAAAGTCGAATGGTCTGCCCAGTGCCTTGAGCCAAGCGACAGTGCCATCGAATCAGTATAATGCTAGCTCCCACCCTTTATGTTCTACACACTATGGTCAGCTATGCATAATGTGATACATATGAGGCAACGGAGGAAAGGTGGCCTTACCAAGCAGTTCGTTCCAGTGGATATACTCCGCGGGAGGACTGGTCGAGTCGCGTTTCTGCCACAGCTCCAGGAGAAACTCCTTTGCGCAACCGACGTTCCCCATGGCATTCTGCTTCCTCAACTTGTCCAACCATGCGATCACAAAATTGCGATCTTGTTCGCTGTGAGCTTCGCATCCGACGGTGAAGACCGGTTGAAGCAAAGCAACACCAGGACATGCAAAATCGTGGAGAGTGATCCTGCTGATACACTCGATTGCTCGGCCGACAGCGCGTTGAATGTTGGGATTCGTTGATTGGAGGCCCAGTACTCGTTGGTAGATCTTGAGGAGGGTGATGTGATGATAAGCTTTGTCTAAATCAACCAATTCAGATAATAGCAGCGATGCGTCCGATACATCAAAGGTGTCGTGGACCTTTGGCAGACGATTTTCAAGCATTCTTTTGACGTCCAATACCAGCCGATTACCTCGCAACTCGACCACATCGAGGAGCTGCGTACAGTTCAAGCCAGCATTGTTCATATCCTTGATGGCTTGTCTCTCGATGATGAGCAGGTTGAGTTCATCAATGATTGGCAAGAGACCGATGGAGAACCCGTGAAAGTCATCAATGTAGGCATTGACATCACTGGCTGACTGAGTAGACAGATGGTGACGGTCTTGATCTTGATCAAACAATGGAACGGGTCTGTCATTGAAAAGCGTATGGCCTTCATATGTCTGCCACCATCGCCGAAGAAGCGTCCTTGAAGGCGTGTCTCTGGTATCTGTTGTCGTCGAGCTTGATGTTTGGCCATGCTTTCGTCCGACCCCCAGTAGCGCGGCTGCACCTTTGAGGTGTGCCCGCCATGAGTTGGGTTTTTCGCCACCTTCAAGAATCTCGCACAGGCACAATGTCAGAGACGTGGCGATACACACATCACCATGATCGGTCGGCTCTATTGGCTGCTGGCTAAGCTGTCGGCTTAGCAATTGAAGCGCCCGCTGTTTCTGACGTGCGTATGCGATGTCATCGCAGGAAAGTCCCAGTGATTTTCGATGAGCAGCTGCGGTGCTTAGAATGGCGGCTAAAAGAACATTGCCATGACATTTATCGAGTGCCATGGGTATGATGGTGGAGCAAAAGTCCGAGTGAAGCTTCTTGTGCAGAACAATGAATATGACCGTACTACCAGCAAAGTGACAAAGAAGCAGCCGCTGGGCTGACGGTAGATCAATCAGCCAGTCTGGATTTCTCCATATGTGACTCGTCGGTCGACGACGACGATGATGCAGCAGCTGGGACTCGGTAGGTGGTACATATAGTTCATGTTGATCGTCGCCTTGTTCCTTGAGTTGTCGTTCGATACCGTATATGAAAGGCGTATCGGCCTGATCAGTGGCTACATCTGCAAGGTTTGTGTCAAACCTCATGTGATTTTCTCGTGTTTGAGAGTGAATTGGGCGTGATGCTTACCAGAGGTGCTCGATTGTCTCCCTGCCTCTGCCTCTGTCTGAATAGGAATCGCGACGACATTGGCGATTTCGCCAAATGCTGATTTGCCAAATCGGCGACCCCCCCACGAGAGAACCACTTGGTACGAGCAGGTTTGGCCGTTCTCTAGACATCTTCCACACGACGGCCTCTGCTCGTCACATTTGCGACGCACACGACGACACCCTCGGCAGCCATTTCTCGATCTCCGAGGCTTTGAGGTGTCATTGATTGGATTGGGCCGCTGCATGGCAGATTCTGAGACTGGCAGATGCCAGAAGGGCAGGCAGAAACTGCTTCTGCCTTTGGCCCGAAGACCAAGGAGGAATGTAGAGGATCCGTTCCCAGGATGACTATTGGCGATAGATACGTTGATTCTTGTCTCCCTGTAGATAGATACCAGATGACAGGTATTGTTCGAATGTACCTAGGTATCTATGGTGACTTGATAAGAAGTGCCGCGCCTCATGAGGCTACAAATGCCAAACTGGCTCTAGTGTGTCAGCACGTACCATCATCTCCAAAACAAACTGATGGAAAAGCACTAACTTGATATGGAGTCGCGTCGCCCATCAAACTGATAATGCCGTACGACTTCGCGGGATTGCGTTGGGCCTGGCTCCCACATTTGCACTTACCTACCGGGTACGTATTGCGGGTCTGCCATGAACGATGTCAATTGAGAAACCAGTTTTCCCGGCTCCCGTTTTAAGCTCTTTATATCGAGGACACCTAGGTAACCTAGGTATTGCGCTTGAATCAGATCGCGGTACTCCGTAAGGTTATCAAGGTACCTCAAGCTTGCCCCACAGCCGGTATCGAAACGAGACATTCGACAGATCTGAGATAAGTCCTGCAAACAAGCCACAATCACTCACTCATACAACAATTAGACAGTGCAAAGATTGAGGACTGGTTGTGCCCTGCTTTGTCCTATGACTTCGATACGAGCGGAGTCAGCCTGCGTCCAGCTCCGCGGTCGAATCTAAGGATATCTAAAGTGGTGATTGGTGCTGTCTCCTTGCCTCGAGCCAATGGGCCTCAACGCGCTAAGGCTGAGCAACAGAGACAAGCGAGAGATTCATACCGGCAAGATGATCCAACCTGCATTCATTTTACAGGTCAACATGCAATGGCGGCTTCGCTTATCTCTCGCCAGTCAGTGAGCGTGGGCATAAAACTCTCAGAGCTCAGAGTCTTGACGCAAGGCACTGAGAAGCTCAGTAGCTCCCGTTGTTGGCTATATATATGAGTCCAGGTCCTGTTTCGGTTCTTCCTCCTCCAATATATTCGTCATCTTCTCCTTTCCAATTCCTGGAGAAAAGACCAAGGTCATCATGACATCCTCCAACGAGACACACGTCAAGGGCTCATTGTGCCATGAGAAGAGCACCGCACCCGTACTCGAAGAATCTAACAACGTGCCAACCCGAGTTACGAATGCCGACACCACTCGACGTGGCCTCAAAGCTCGGCACGCTCAGATGATTGCCCTGGGTGGAACGATTGGTACAGGTCTCTTCGTCGGCTCTGGGGGACAACTTGCGAGAGGGGGCCCCGCCTTCATCGTGGTCGCCTACATTCTCCTGGCCATATTCGTGTATTTTGTCCTCACTGCAATCTCGGAAGTGGCGGTCTACCTTCCGGTAAACGGCGGCACAATGTCGTACATTGGACATCGATACGTCTCCAACAGCCTTGGCTTTGCCATGGGCTATCTATATTGGTACAGCCTAGGGATTCTAGTCCCATATGAGATCACGGCCGCGGCAGTCGTAATCGACTACTGGAACTCGCCAATCAACATTGCCGTCTGGATCACCATCTTTATCGTCGTCATCGTCGGCCTAAACTTGTTGCCTGTCTCCTTCTACGGAGAGAGCGAATTCTGGTTCGCGTCGTTAAAAGTGCTCTTGCTGCTGGGTCTTTTCATCTTAACGATCATCCTCTTTTGGGGTGGCGGACCCGATCAGCACGGTATCCTCGGATTTCACTATTGGAAGGACCCCGGGGCGACGAACGTCTACCTCGAGACCGGAACGACTGGTCGCTTCCTCGCATTCCTGATCACGCTCGTGTCTGGGGCCTTTGCGTTCACGTTCGCACCCGAGCTTCTCATCGTCTGCAGTGCCGAGATGGAGAACCCACGAAGAAATCTCCCAAAGGCAGCGAACATCTATTTTTTCCGTCTCGTCTTCTTCTACGTTGGCTGCGTCTTTGCGATCGGCCTCATATGTCCTTTCATGACGCTCGACTCACGGCCGGAGGGGTTGGTGCAAAGGCCTCGGCGTTCACGGTCGGGATTCAAAACGCGGGTATCAAGGTACTTCCCAGTATCATCAATGCCGTGATCCTCATGTCGGCCTGGTCGTCGGGTAACTCGTTCCTCTACATGAGTTCCCGATCACTCTACTCGCTCGCCGTCGCAGGGAATGCCCCAAAGATGTTTGCCAGGTGCAGCAAAAGGGGTGTTCCATATCCAGCCGTCATAGCCTCGTCGCTATTTTGCGCTCTAGCATACCTGAATTGCGCCAATACCAGCGCGGTTGTGTTCGAGTGGTTTGTCAACCTCACAAACACGTCGGGGTTCATCTCTTGGATGTGCTGTTGCATCATCTATATTCGTTTCAGGATGGCTTGCAAGGCCCAAGGAATAACAGGCCGGGATCTCCCTTACCATTCATTTTTACAACCCTGGTACGTGACTCTGAGTACTTGATACTGAGCACCCAACCCCGCTGACTTTATCCACGCAGGGGAGCATGGGCTGCGCTGGTCTTCTTTACCTTTTTGTTGCTCATCAATGGCTTCAACGTCTTTTGGCCCGAATACTGGTCGGCCTCGTCATTTTTGACCGCTTATATCGGCCTCCCAATCTTTCTGGCCATCTATCTTACGCATAGGATGATATATCGCAGCGACAAATGGGCCTTTGCGCCCGACCAAGTCGATCTCACAACAGGCCTCGACGAAGCTCTAGCACAGGACAATCCCAACCCGGAGAAAAAAGGTTGGAAGGCTCTGCTACGCCGTGCATTTACCTAGTCGTGTACATATGAGCTTTGGCCTCGGTACAAGGGGAAGCCTTGCCACAGGAAGTCGAGATGAGGCCCTATGAAGAACTGCGCGAGATGTTCTGGTTCAGAATATGGCTTGAGGATATTTGCCCGCGGGAAGATCCGCTGTGATTCATTTGCGGAAGCTGGCTCTAAGGATCAAAGTCATCCTTGAGAGAGTCGCCCCGGAGCCCTACTTATTAAAGGGGCGAGGCCTTACTTCAGTTAGAGCAACCCGATTTGACCTCGCTGACGTCGCCACTTAAAATCATCTCCTTCTTGATCTCTTCACTCCAAAATAGTGGTGTCGCCATCAAGGCCTAGCTGACCAATGTTGCTGCCTCCAGATACGTCATCATCATCATGTCCGCAACCGCGAAAATTCGGCATCTAAGTTGGTAGGAGCATCAGATGCACTTGGTTGCTTCATCAGTGAGAAGGTAAACTTTGGCAGGAAATCACGCAGGACGTGGTAAGGCCATTGGATCTGTGAGAGTACTACCAGGTCTGGCCATTGAGTATGCGAGACTTGAAATCAATTCCGCCGCCTGACTTTCAAACAGTATACAGTCTTTCGACGTCATTGAAAAGAATAGGCGTAATTTGAGCCAACCGTACACAGCTACACTCCGTGCAAAAGACTTTTCTGGTCATTGGTTGATACGTGGCACCACCGAAAAAATTCGGTCCAGTGATTACGGATCAGCGTTCGTGCTCAGATTTGGTGGTGCCGACCTCCGAGTGTTCCGTTTTTGACAGTTCCACCATGCAAGAGAAATGGCCCAGACTGACGGTGACGTACTTCTGGAAGTGATCGGAGCAAATTGCACATTTCCGCCAAAGTTCATCTGATATCTTCCTGGGCCGAGAATCGGACACTAGATCCTCGTAGGACAGCCTATCCATTGCCGGTCTCCCACGTCGAAGATTACCTAGGTAATATCGGACCCAGCGATGTATCGCTTGTGAACGATATGAAGGCAACGACGGTCAGTCTCAAGGACCTTGAAAAACGCTCAGTGGCCTTCACGACCCTCGAAGAGGCATTCGGCGAAGCCTCTCTGGGCATCCTAGTCGTCAACGAAATACCCGCCAGATTCGTAGTCTTGCGGGAGAAGCTGCTATCATATTCATCATACCTAGCGCAACTTCCGCCCGAAGAATTGGACGCTCTCACCGATGCAGCGTCTCATTATGAAATAGGATGGAGTCATGGCAAAGAGGCTCTCAAGGACGGGCAGTACGATACGATGAAAGGTTCTTACTACGTAGACTGTCAGTCTTTTTTCGGTCCCGGGGCTTCAGCACCAGCACCAGTAACAGGCAAATCAGCCACCAGAGGAGCGGGTACTAACCTGTGGCCGCCCGAATCTGCCATGCCTGGCTTTCGAGCAACCTTTGAAGAGCTCTGCACACTGGTGATCGAGATTGGAGTGCTGGTCGCCCGAGCTATCGATGTGTATGCCGCGGGCAAGGATATCCCACATTATCAGCATGGATGTCTCGAGCACATTGTCAAGACCAGCCGCACGCACAAAGCTCGTTTGCTTCACTATTTCCCCTCGGAGTCAACATCGTCGCCACCATCCTCCGAGTCTTCAAACGCATCTGAGTCGGAGTCGGACGACTCCTGGTGTGCCACACACCTTGATGATGGCTGCCTGACGGGACTGACTTCGGCACTGTATTTGGACGAGTCGGGTTCTCTACCACCACTTACTGCAGACGGGGTTGAAAACCTGCCAATCCTTCCCACATCTCCTGACCCAAGGGCAGGACTTTACATCCATTCTCGTGGTAGCGATGTGGTCAAGATCGATATCCCTTCTGATTGCATTGCCTTTCAGACTGGCGAAGCCCTGCAGATGATCACTGGCGGCAGCTTCAAAGCTGTACCGCACTTTGTCCGTGGGTCCAATGCGCCGAGCTCCAACGCGGTAGCCCGGAACACTCTGGCACTATTCATGCAGCCGAACATTGATGATGTGATTGACAAGGAAATGGGAACGACGTATGGCCAGTTTGTGGACATGATCATACAGAGGCATTCCTGACACCCGAACTTGTGGGTATGTAGCATTCCTGGCCGATCTGACTGGCATGTCCGTTGCTTGGGAGGCGGACGTTGGTGGTCATGACTCGGGTCCCAGATTCACTGAGTTTGAGGTTGGGAGAGGCTATCCCTTACCTCATACTCCTCATCTGGCAAGTCCAGCGTTCGGCACTTAATCTCGTAAACAACTTCTCCTGCAGCATATGAGAAAGCAATCCGACGGGAGCTGCAAGCACAGCTGATTCTGGATCGTCCCGTTCGCTTCCCACTCGGGGAGATTACCGTGGTGTGTCTGAGCACCCTCACAGCCTGAAGCCGTGCTAACACTGATTAAAGATCCTGTGTCGAGTTCCTGTCACAGATAGTCTGCCTTGGGGAGCATCAATGACCACACGAAAACTCAGAGGGCAGGAAGATGAAAGTCGTCATGCCGGGATGGCCCTTCCTTACGATCGTCTCCTGGTTGGAGAAATGCGATACAAGCTGTCAGGGGCGAAAATATGAAGAGAAAGCAGGGCCCTCCACCCAGGCGACCGGTTTGTTGCAGCAGTCAGCGATGTTACCCCTCACAATGAAAGAGCTGAGTCTTGCGAGGGAAGAGCCATCCAACTTGACACTTTGTTCGAATGTCTGCTGTATCAAGATTGACAGACCCAAATGCTAGGCTTGAAAGAGGAGACCCTCGCAGGGAAGACTTGGAAAAGATGGTAGGATGCATGGTGTCGACGCATTGCTCTACCAATTGATCTGGGCCTCTTGTTCGCATCCAACACTGGGAATGCGACGTTTACTGGTATCTCAGAAGTCAGGGCGCAAAGGTCAGTATCAGGTACTTGCAGGTATATATCGTCCTGCGCTTGCAGTTTGGCCACGGCCATCCTGTGTTGGAGGAACCTTGAAACTTGTTGGCTCCGCCTGCGCCCGCGCCCGCGGACACCTTTCTATGACACCTACGACTTGACATCTCTGTTGCGCCTCTACAATTCATACGCACAGAAATCCGACCCCCATGGCGCAGGGTGAATATACCGTCTTACCTTACTGTCGGATTTCACTTTACTTGACACTTTGATCGCGCGCTTTTGCGCCTTGACATTCTCTTCGACCACCACGCGCACCTATACCAGTGGACGGAACAGTCACTGCCTCTGTTTTCATCCTTCCCTTACGATCATTCAACAGTTACCTTACACCTGCACCGCCTCGAGTCCCGATGCCTTGTCTCCACTGTCTGGGGCCTCCTTCGAAGTACAAATGCTCCGGATTATACACCCTTTGTCCTCATTGTCTCCACCAATACAGCCTTGTCGAGTCACAATCTCTTTATCCTCATTGCCTCCTCTACACCATATCCGCTATTTCCACGAACGAGCCGACAGCAAGGATAGCTTGCCATACAGCACACACTGTTGACTCGATTCTAGCAAGCGTGTGAACAGCATTATGGGCTCCACAACTCCAACGTCAGCAGCTATATCGGCACCCCTCCCCAAGCCACCTCGCTCTTTGCTCGATCTACCCGTCGAGGTTCGAGTCATGATCTATCGCCACATGTTCGACAACAGCCACCTTACGCTTTTCCTACCTCAGCCTCGTCAAGTCGATATTTATAGAACGCGGTGGGAGCCTCCTCGCAATTGGAATATCGTACCACAAAATTTCCTACCTCAGCCTAGTCGAGTCAATATTTGGAGAAAGCGGTGGGACTTTCGAGGATCTCGCAACGACACCGTACGACAAATGCGAAAGATATGGGGATCAAATATCCTGTTTGCCTCCAAGACATGTCTGACTGAGGCCCGACCAATATTTTTGCAGGCGGCAAAATTCGTTTTCCCTGCTGGTCGCGACCCATGGCGAGAAAATGACACCCTTCAAGGGATTACCCAGCGAGAGGTTCAAATGATGTCCTCAGTCGCATTCCAGGTCACCACCAGCTGGTATGAGCTAGATCCTTGGGCTCCACGGTATATTGACTGCTGGGGAGGCTTGACCAAGTTGAATATCGACTACCCAGACGTGGTGACGGAGATGGAGTTCGAGGTCTGGCAGGTGGATCTCCCTCTTCCTTTTCTCGTCCGTGATAGATGGGTGAAACTGGGTCATGGAAGCTTCCTCGAAGTCATGAAGAAGGCGGCAGCAAGAGATTCAGAGGCAAAATTCGAGATCAAGTTTTCTCTGAGATGCACCAATGAATGGCCGAAGATTCGTGCAGAACTGCTGACGCAGACAGTCTGGGCGACAAATATACGGGAAACCGAGATGATTATGGAGAAGCGTTACGAACCGAAAATGTTGCGTAATCTTCTTGCGGAGTGGAGTGCAGCCGAGGAGATAGCCCATAAGGCAGCGATTACGGAGGTCGAGATGGCGAAGGTGAGGTTTGCCGAGATGGATGCCGAGTTGGCTGCCCTGATCGCTGCTGGAGGCGAAGACGAGACGGAAGACGAGACGGAAGATGAGACGGAAGATGAGACTGAAGATGAGATCGAAGATGAGACCGACGATGAGACCGATGATGAGACCGACGATGAGACCGATGACGAAAGTACGCACGAAAGAGTATGGACGAGAGTACAGACAAGAGTGCGGATGAGAGTGTGGATGAGATTACAAGCAAGACACACCAGCGTGCGGACAAGATTTGAACTATTGTGATGGTGTTGACTACATGGAGTGCTCGGGACGTCATCGAAGCTCTTGTCAAGGCGAGACCTATGGTAAAGAAAAGCCTAAAGAATGATATGCTGGTGGAGCCAGCACGAGATGGTGGGATGCATGCTGGGATGCTGGTCATCAATTGCAGATCCGGGATGCATATGAGCTGATCTGGAGGAAACAGAGTGTCAGAGTCCAGGAGAGCTGTGTTGTGACTACAGCCAACAACATACATGCATTCAGTACTTTTAGAAACCAGTATCATTACTTTCTTACATGTACCCCTTCTCGAGCCACAGTATCTTTGTCTAAGTGTCTAGGGTCTTCCCGAAGTACAACTTATCCAAGTCATACTTCCTTTGTCCTTATTGACCTCGAACTCGTCCTTGTCGAGTCACAAGCCCTTTGTCCTGCTTACCGATCGACATATGATGTAAACTGTAGTATTTTCGGTAATTTGGATTAGTATTCTCCAATATCGGTATTCCCACTATGAGTCTTAATACCTGTGCAACGTCTGGAACCTTGGAGTGTCCTGATTAAATGTCCTTCTGACGCGAGCCATCGTGTACAGTAACGGCATCTGACATGTTTACAGTTTGCCCCTTTCGTGCTGTGATCGCCGCTGGGTGTCGGTTCTGAGTCATGCAATTGATTCAATTTGGTGGTTCAGGCTCACCATACCTGACATACCTTTGCGTTCGCCTCATGAAGAAGCACAGCTGCGACTCCGATGATGGATTCGAGCACAAGAGGGACTAGGACACTGAGCTGTCCTTATGATGGAGGAGTCGTCCACGCTGTAATACAAGTCGTTTTCTGCGCAGTCGACGATATTGCGCCAGCAAAGGTCAGATTATTCACACCTGCTGGTTGTTTCCTAGGTAGCCAACATCAACGTGAAGATACATACAATCACTGCCTCAGATCGAACGACTTCCCCTTTTGGATACTCATTGTTATGGTTTGAGGCTTTTTCTCACTTCAGACTTCATGGATCTTCCTCAAGGAACATTCTCGCTCGAATGTCAGAGTTGTCCTGACTCCTCCTCTATTTGCCTTGTTTCTTCCCGCCACTCGTCTTCTTGGTTGTGTATATCATCAAGGAGTCTGCCTCGACGAGATGGCCTCATCAGCAAAGATGATGCTTCTTACGTTGTGTCTCTGCATTTTGGACACAGCTTTGATCTTGTTTTCATTCGACAATCTCACCGGCACCAACGTCGTCTCTCGACAAAATCTGGTCAATGCTCTTCCGATTATCCTGATGCTCACAAGAACGGCTATCTTGATACACCTTTGGGTACTCGTCCTAGGCAAGGAGCGATGGCCCCGCAAATCTCGGTCCTCTGCTATCGGCAAACACAACACCTCTGCTCGAGAGCCGGTCTCCTTCTTCGGCCTGCCACTTGAGGTCCGCAATCTGGTTTACCAATCTTTGTTCGCTGGTCAGGACATATCCTTAAGGAAGGACGACCACAAATCGATCGTCGAATTTCACAAACCGAGATTCGTTATGCCACAGATTCGACGTGACCGGTCCCTTGGTCTGAACATCCTCCTCGTATCAAAAGCGTGCTTGCACGAGGCAAAGGCGGCATTGTTAAACGAAGCGAACTTCTACCTGGAGTTTAATCAACTCAATACGCTTTTGGAAGATACACTTAGGGGTTTCTCCAAAGACGACCTTCTGAGGGTCCGATCATTGCATTGCGACCACGAGCCAAGATGGTACTCTTCGATGGAACACTGCCACCCCTTGGGGACTATGACTAGGCTGGCCAAAGTTGACGTCCTGTACGCTTTCGACATGTGGTTCGATGTCTTCGATATGAACATGTGGCTGGATGCAATTGACATGTGGCCTGAAGATGATCCAAAGGAGTACTTACAGGCCAACATCATCTCCATACTGCATGATCTCGCACTTGCATGGAAACCGTGCAGACACAAGGCACTGCTTAGGCACTTCAAAGCTCAGGCGGCAAGAAGAAAGGGTATGAAATTGGTCTTCAGAGTTCCCATCCCCATTGATGGCTTCCCAATTGTAAGTGAGGTGGTAAAGGTGGCTTGAACACAGCTGACGACAACTAGGATATCTGCGTGGAACTGATGTCACAAATGGTTTGGACAGAGGGAACGTTAGGCGACGATAACACTCTTCTTCCTGAGCAGAATCTGCCCGGTTTGATGGCGATCTTCGAGGACGTTTAGTCGACGACCTTGAGGACGGACATTCCGACATCTTTCGGTTTTCTTTTTCAAAATGCACACTGCACACTACACTCTGGCATAAGGAACTTCTGCATTCAATTGTGACAGCGTTGGCGTTTGAGAGATTTCTTTTGACAACATCTTTGTATTCGAGTTGTTGACGCGGATCAACAGATACTTGGCTCGCTGAAACTGTGGTAACATGGAACAGGTGACAGAGCGTGGGATATGAGAGGACGGCTGAGAACTCTTGTTACGACGGACTAGATTGATCCATGAAGGTGGCTGGGACAGCGCATTGCTGAAAGTAGACATGAAGGTGTTGTATGTATCATTCAGTGCTTCGAGAAGGTTTTAGTAGTTGAGGACGTGCAGAATGACATTTCCACGCCAGCGGTTCAGGGTCCTTACTACTCCGTACTGTAAAGTAAATCTGCACCTGCCAACCATCGCCGGAATGCAGCATACCTCGCCTAACTTAATCACCCTGCAGCACGTCTAACGATCTGAGCTTATTGTTCGCTTATCAATTGACACTTCTAGGCCTGTTCAGGTACGAGGTCAGATTCATCACATCATTTGGTCGACATTGCCGCTACCCGACAGACAGGGGTCTGGAATTGCATCTGCATCTTCAAGAATGCGTTCATGCAATAATCGCAGCCAGCCATCGGAAGCACCATCAGCCACATCCACCTTTCCCTCAAGCTGATCAAGCACCCCTGCTTTGACTTCGAAACCATCAAAGCTGCTAGTGAAAGCCACAACCCCTAGGCAGCAACACACGCCATTTTGCATGCCGAGTTCGGTTGATGCCGTAACAATGCAGGGCCTGAACTCAATGCGTGAAATGATGGTTACTGGGCGAAGTCGGGCTCACGAGACTTACTGACATTGACACTGACTAGGTCTGAGCACGCGAGAAGTTAGCCGTCGAGAATCTGGAAGCACAGACAGAAGGAGGTCAACCGGAGACAATTCACCACTAGTAACATGTGCACAATGTCTCATGGTTGTACAGTTGGAATCTTCAGTATCAGGAGCATTTGCCGTAACGCAACTGTCAACCTTGGAGCCATCGACGAGATTTTCAGACTATGAGATCGTCAACATGGCCAGATATATGAAAAAACCAGCTTGTCCCCTGCACAGTTTGATTGCAGATGTCATAAAGAGTAATCCAGGGACTGAATAGGGCAGATGCTACGCTCCAAAAGCCCGCAATTTCGGCATCACCACGTGGTGACTGCGGATTAGGCGACGTATTACTCAAGGCCTGAATATCCGCAGACGTTCCGGCAGTGTGTTGCACTTATCCGGACGGGGGAAGCCTTGTCGAAGACCGCCCGGAAAAGCGACACCCCTGTTTGTGTTGGCCTGTGCAACCACGCTCCGTATCTGGAGCCAAACCAGAACCGAATGCAAGGGGTCCCAAATCAGAATGCATCTACCTAGTCAGGGTGCGAATCGCATCTTGTTTCCACAAGGCAATCCTTGGCGTCTGGTACTTTTGCATGGCCCCAGTGCCCTGGTGGCTCAATATTCGAAGCTTCGGGTTCAGCCGGTCATACCACTTCACGAAGACCCTCGCGGCTGTATCGCTCTCCCCGGCTGCTAGTCGTACGGATTTGACAAATGGTGGACATGTCCAAGACTTTTCCACGATGTGCTGGGCTGGGCTGCTGCATGAGCATGGGGCTGTGTGACGTACGTATATGGAGAATACATAATACTGACAAAGCCCTCGCGGAGAGGTGATAGAAATCTTCAAAAGTCCTTTTTGCTCACCATCGGTCGACATACTTCTACTGCGCAAGGTCTTCGAAGAAACAGCTGCCTCAATAGGTCCCGCACTTTACTACAAAAGCCTAGCTTGGTCATTGACTCGGGCTCAAGTCTTGCCATCAAAAATACATCAGTCACAGTAAACATGACTTCGACAGCAGAGTCAAGGTCAAAGTCGCCGACCTGAATACATTTGCTGTACGTGCGGCCTGGTATGCAGCGAAGCACTTCTTCGTCATCGGTTGAAACATCATGTTCCGTCAACTCAAATCGCTCCGCTTCATCCCAATCCACTACATCAACATGCGGGATGTCAACAATAAGTCTTCATGCCTCTCGATATGCTGACGACCACTATCCACTCATCAACACCATACACCCAGAGATCGTGCCTGATTGCGTACCAAAAGACCATTCCGTGTTTTATTGTGCGCGTCAAATGGCTCAGATCCACAATACTGTCATTCGAGGACTGAATGCATCTTGGAATTATGCAGCCCTTGTCAAGACCGAGACCCAACAGGCTGCAGACTTTCTCCGCTTCAACCAACAGCTCTTCACAATGCTTGACCACCACCACAAGGTCGAAGATGACTTCTTGTTTCCCGCGATTGAGAGTATGCTCCATCGTCCTGGTGCGATGGAAGAGAACACCAAGGAACATGCCTCCTTTGCAGAAGGCCTAGCCATCTTCAAAAAGTATATCTTCCAGACCAAGCCTTCAGAATTCAATGGTGTCACTCTCCAGCATATCATCGAGTCGTTCGCACCCACTTTGGTCCAAAATTTACATGATGAGATACCGATGTTGATGAGCCTGCACGTGCTTGACTCTGCAGCACTTCTGAAGACCTGGAAGAAAGCTGGTCGACGTGCCGCCAAACATGCCCGCCTATATACCTCAGGACCTTTGACACTAGGCTGCCAGGACAAGACCTTCACCATTGATAGCGCAAAGCCAGATTTTCCGGAGATGTCTTGGCTTATCGAGGCTGTTGTCCGGAACTGGCACAGCAGGAAAAATGCTGGTGCTTGGGTCTTTTGTCCCAGTGACCTGTCTGGGCAGCGGCGACAAGTGACGACTGTTTGAATTGCAAGGAACTGCCATGATGAATGGTGACGACGACGGTTGTCGGTTGGTTTTGGTCATTCGTTTGAGCAAGCTTGTTGATGTGACGATCTCCTGTTTTATTGTAATATACCTGTATCTATCATACTGTATTTGTATCCCTGTCCTTGAGTAGCTCCGGGAAAAGATCTAGAAGTTCGCGAAGATGACTGATCTGGAATTTGCTCGCCTTCTCTGGTAGTTCAGCCATATCTGGTTCGCGATAATGGACGGTATTGGTCCACCCTCGCTGTGATGCGCCTCGACAGTTCGAGAATGAGTCATCCACATAATAAATCTTGGTGTCTTTCGTTGCGCCAGCCTCTCTTTCGGCCTTTTCGAACATTGCTGGCATAGGTTTGGATACGAGCGGTACCTGCGAATAGTCGCAATATGTAATCCCTTCAAACAAATCTGCGAGACCCAGAAGTTTCACCACCCGGCGACCGTGGGTGATGTATGCATTGGTGAATAACCACATTTTGACCTTGGTCTTGTCGAACGATTCGAGTACCTCTCGCAGCTCTGCATCCGGTGAGAGCAGGTCGTCTAACGGCAAAGCGTCGTCCACCTCTCGGTTGAAGTCTAATGGATCCACCTGATGATGACGAGCGAGTCCGTCGATGGCCAGGCCGTAGTCTTTGTAGTACCGGTCGTGCAGCCTCGTTGCTTCCTCTGCGGGCATGTCGAGGTGACTGACGAAGTATTTGTTGATGAGTCTGGCCATGTGGTCGTGTACTTTTTTACTGCTGTGGTAGAGACAGTTGTCTATGTCGAAGAAGAAAACGGCTCGGTTGTCCGATGAAGAGGAATCAAGAGAGCCCATAGTTGCGGAAAACAGTCTATGCTTTCTAGAAAATGTCTATAATGCAGAAGAAAGAGCGCTAACAATAATGAGAGAATGATGTATGGACTGAGAAAAATGTCAGATATATGTAGATGCCATAATGTTGCCATGTATGACTCGCTGTCACATCATTATTTCATTAATGACTCGATGTTGTCCTCGTCAAATTACACCGAGACCTCGAGTCACGTGTGAAGCAAGGGCTTGGCAGGTTTGTGGTGGCTGGTGATTGCCAGTCGGTCGAATCCAGTTTTGTTTCACTTTGCCAACGCGTTTCGAAACTGCGCTGCCTCAATTCCCTGATCTTCATCAAGACTGCACCTTTGCACAGGTCGCGTCGCTACTGCTTCATCATATCTTTTATCATTCTGCTTTCTCATCGACTTTGTCTTCCCACTGCTATCTGGTCTGAGTACAACCATGTCATTGTGCAGGTAACATTAGTGGTTCATTTGGCGAAGCTCAGACACGCCCCTTTGCAAAAATGTCAGCTATAGCTGGCCCTTTGCTAAACGGCATTCTGCCTCACCCAGGAACATCGCTCAATGAAGCGTCGGAGTTTGAGAAGATACTTAGGATCCGCGATGAGGTCTTTTCTGGAAGTCATCCTAGACTGACAGTGCCTGCGCATGCCCTCAGACTTTCCTCTTCTCAAACTCCTGCCCAGTCGCATTTGAATGTACCTCCTCCATTTCCCACCAGTGCTTCGCCAAATCGTCCTGCGACCACACAGTCCAGGCGTGAAGAAGATGCTACACAAGTTCAACCAAAACCAAATGGTCTTGCCAGCTCGTCTATTCAACCTGCCAGCAGTAATGTTTCTGAGTTTGACCCTATCTTCTTGACGAAATCAGATGATCTAGTTAGAGCCGAGATCCAACTGAAACGACAGAGATTGGAGAAGGCTTTGAAGGAGCAGTTCGAACACAAAAGACAAGACGCCCGCAGAAAGCCTGCGCCCTCCGAGGCCAAACCGGACTTCGACCTTCCAGCCATGCTTGCCAAGGTGTTGAACCCAGTCAAATCCCCTTCTTCCAAAGACGAGGCCGATGCCAGCGATTCCGTCGACGAAAACTCTTTCTATTCCAGTAGAGCCCCCGACTCAACACCCGAAGGGCCGGACGAGTCTGGAGAAGATGCTGAGGATGCTGTGCAAGCTGACAAGCGTTCAGGGCCGCCTGTCGTGAGTGCTGTCATGGGTTCGCCCTTGCAGCAAGGTGCCAATGTTGGACCGTCCGCTAATCTTGCACGCCTACCCCAGTCGGCCACTGTTCAGACTGTTACTGCTGCCGCCAACATGGACTTGGATGATGAAGAGGAAGAAGGCGAGTACTCGCCCCCAGAGGCGACGGCATACCCAGCGTCAAAAATTGGCCCACCCGAAGCTATGCAAGACACTAGAGATCCACGCGGGCGTCCGTTGCGCCGATACTCGGAAAACGAAGACAACGGGAGGAGGCCTCTATCCCCGTCTGAGGCCAATATGCGGATTGTAAGAAACCACATTACCTCCCCTCTTGCCCCCCAACCATCTCGTGTTTCTCCCCTTGCTGTAGCTAAGGACGCGATCTTGTCACAGAATGGCCGAAGACAATCTCAACGGATTGGTAAACCGGGAACTCCCCCATCTCTCGATGACTTTCAAGGACAAGGACTCCCTCCTCGGAAAAGAAGAAAACTCGAAAAGCGCATTGAGAAGAAGGCGAGGCGAAACGGTGCATATTCTCCCGGCGTCAAGGAAGAAAATGTTTCGCCTCCACCATTCCATGATGTTCAACCACTCGGCTCGGGGAGAGTGCGTCCTATGGGTGACCGTCCGATCGTCATCGATGATGAACCGGAGCAAGAAGCTCGTTACATGCCTCCTCCAGAACAACGGTATGTGGATTCTCCTTCGCGACCAATCCATCGTCAAGTTGAGCAATTGATGCCACTGAGTGAGCCACGCGCGTTGTCCAGAGCAAGTGTGAGACCAGTACGAGACGACCAGGATCTGCGTAGGGTCGCCAGCATGCACAACATGCGAACAGAAGCTCCCCGAGAATACGCTGAACCGTATTATGAGACTCCTACACGCACACGAGCCGTGTCTTATGCTCGAGCTGGAAGTCCTGCGATCATGGAGTCAACCCGTCACCCACGCGAAGTTCCTGTCGAATATGATCGTACTCCTCAAGAGGCTAGGGTGGTTCGAACTCCTGCACCAGTTTACCGTGAGATCTACGATGACGCTGAGCCTACCTATCGCTACGTACCAGAGCCTATGCCACCTCCGCCCCCGGTTGAGAGGATCGTGGTCGACCAGTATGGCAGAAGATTCCGCGAGATTGTGCAAGAGCGACCATCGGCTGCTCCTCGAGCAATGTCAGTTCGAAGGGAAGTAGAGCCTTCCTACGAAAACTACCGCTCCCCTCGTGCTGGCTCGGTCTTTGTTGACCCAGGCCCGGAGCGAGTCTACCAGCCATCAGACATGCCGCCGCCACCCACTTATCGCCGTGCAGGAGAGTCCGTTCGTCCTTCAGCGATGTCTGGGTCAGCCACTCTGGAGTACTATGATCCAGGTCCCCTACCGCGGAGCTCCAGTGTTCAGGTCATGGATCGTCCGCCAAGAGCGACTGTGTATGCCGACGACAGACCCGAGTATCGCGAGCCCATACGCATGGCAAGTGTACGACCACCAGAGACTCGATACGAAGAAGTTCAACCCATGGAGATGATGACACGGCCACAAAGTGTTCGCCCTGTCGCACGTGAAGGTAGCGTTTTCCACGATAGGGCGCCGGTCAGTCATGAGTATCTTCCTGTCGAGCAACCCAGATACCGGGCGGTCGAGCCAGAGCAGAGATATTACGACGCTCAAGGCAGGGAGATTATCACCATGGACGGAACAATGGATGGAAGGCAGAGGATTGTGGAGAGGTATTGAGATTGGGAGGGGGGATGGTCATTGAAGTGTGGGCCGAAAACACTTGGAATCTGTGGTGTGTACAATGATGTTGACGGTGTGGATGCTACATAATAATCATAGCCACGAGCAAAGAACGATGGCATTCGATTCATGCAACCTCAAACACAGCCTCCCAAGCTCTCAAGTCTGATCGCGATTGTTTCATGCGTTGTTGATGCAGGTGGATGAGCTATAGCTGGGGTGTTTTTCTTGAGACGACCCAGCTTTCATCTTCTTATTGGCCAGTTACATAATTCTACGCGCCCTTCCTCATGTCATCCCATTTCTTTTCACCTCTTCCCTTTCGACAAATGTTAAGCCCTGCTCTGGCCATCAACATCAAATGCACTAGGGTCATCCTCTCGGCGCTTGGTGAATCTGATCCTCTCGGGTAATTTGTTTGCCAGTGTGGCTTGCACTTGGTGGCAGCTTCTTGTCCAACCATCCTCGAAACACGTCAAGCTCCCCAAGCTGCCGGCACTGCGATGCGAACATGCATTCGACAAGCGCCCGGATTACAATGTGATTGAAGGGATTCAAGATTCGCTACAACAGTCCCTGGAGCCAGAACCGTGGTTGAAGATGAGCTCGATAGGTGTGTTTCATGTTTTCACCGTGGCTGCTTGGGCCGACCTTGCGAGAAATCGAGGTAAGAGGCAGGGCTGCGCCTGAAACTTTGTGACCGTTGTTCTTCCTCTCTACAGGTCCAGTTGACTTTGCTCTTCCCCGTGTTGTAATCGATGCTGGCATCTCACAACACTGTTCTTCAATCGCGAGCGCCCCCCATACCCAAGTTGCGGAGGTACTCTGACCATCATCGTCGAAATGAGAATCGGACCAGCGTCGGAGGACTCACTTGAGCCTGGATGCACTCTCACGTTCTTTGACTGCCTTTCGCCGTCGAAGAGAGATAGTGAGGGCGATAGGGTAGTGCCTCCACAAGGTGAGTCGAAGGCGCAGGCATACGATCACGGAGATCCCGTCTAACGGCGTGCAGGCGTCGAGCGTGAGATGCAAATCATGTATCAACAGCCTCACCTGGTTCCCCCCATGAAACTCACCGTTTACGATGGCTTGCCGACAACTCCTACCCCGCTACCTCCCTCACAACTCTCGCAATGGGTTTCTCAGAGCAAAGCCTCTCTCAAATCGGGACTATCCTTGCGCAAGCACACCTCCACACTGCTGAGCATATCCAGCCCTCGTCCGACGATGCCTTCCACCAACGACTTACCACTTCGCCGTGCAGCGCACGAGTTCAGACCTCTGGAGCTTAGTATCTACATGCCCAACAATCGACTGTCGGAATTGCCAGAGTTTGACCGATTGAGCTTTACCGATGTTGGCGAAATCAAGCTGCCACCCCGAGCTGTGCTTCGGACGCAGTCTGAACACTTCGTTCCTCATAAGGTGTCAATGATGCCAGCACCAGTCAAGCCCGCATCAATGATCGAGCAACGCCGAATGTCTCGTGTGCGACCCGATACCTCATCGACTGTCATCGCCACATCTCGGCCTCCTTCAGAATACGATGCTCTTCATTCACATCCGGTGTCTTGGGCTTCCCTCCCAGGGTTGCCGCCTCCTATCTACGCCAGAGGTCGTTCTGAACCATCCGTCGCTATCCTCACGCCTATGCAAGAGGAGTTCAGTCCGCCCGTCTCATCGGTCACCATTGATGGAGTCGCGCTTGCTTTCCCTAAGGATGACGATCAAGAACCTCCCTTGGCTCCTCATTCCGAACGGCCATCTTCCGAATTGCAAGCCTCAGCTCCGTTCGTACCTGCATCCTCCTCCAGGAACTTCTCCAAACCAACCGAGAACACCACTGCAGCTGCTTATTTCCACCATAATTATCAGACACAAAAGCAAATATCTCATTGGCTGGCACATCGAAATTCGTCTTCGATCAGTACCACAAAGTCATCCTCAACCTCATCCTCTTTCGCCGAACACCGTAGGAAGCGCTCTCAATTCTACCAATTATCTCCCCCAACGCCAAAGCCTCTGCAATTTCCTCCTGCTCAACATCAAAGGACCATGACGGAGTCGACTGTTGCAAGCACGGTGGAGAGCGATGTCTTGTCTTTCGAATATCAAAATCCAACGGACGCCAGTGTGACTACAGCAGATTCCCAGATCCGAAGTGGTACTACTAAAGGCACTTCTAAAGGCTTGCGGCCGATCGCGAGTGGCATCCCGGATGTGCCACCGAGTTATGCCGAGCTCCTGAAAGGAGAAGATAAAGTAATCATACAGGAGATTGGTGGACCATTGCGGAGTCCTGGTGTCGGCGTTGCTTTTTGATTGTCTAAAGAGCCCGGTTGCTCTGAAGAAGTTCTTTCTTGGTAATGATACCCCTTATCCTCGAATTGGGTCAGCTGGTCGACTCCTGCGAGAAACTTTCCAGTGAAGTGCACTTTTTCGCCGCCGTCACGCGGCACGATACCCTTATTGTTTTGACAAAAGTTGAAGACGTACACTCTTTTGTCTAACATGGACTCGGGGACCAGACCTCGAGCGTTGGCACTTGGGAGATGTATTGGTTCCTAGTTGTTACTTTGAAGATTGGCAAGACGTCGAATTGGAATGAGATAGATCCGCTGTGACAGCGACGAGCAGGGGAGAGCTATTATCCGGAAATGCTCTACATACAGTTGAGATTAATGCATGAATATCAAACCACCATATCCAATCTTTTGTGTCTTATCTATGACGGGTGAAGCAGGCTTTCTGCATCCCTAGTACCTATCTCACGAATCGGTCATCCGTAACCTCAACACGTTGTGATTGCGCACGAGTCCTGCGTGCCATCACATGCAGATACAGGTCGATCAAGCCATCTGCATTCCTCCCAGCATGAGCAGCTCTTTCGCTTCGTGGAAATCATGCCTCGTGATTGTCGGTCCCACTGGCATATTGGGAAAACTTCGGTGGGCGCCTGCATGGAGGAGCAAGCGCAGCTTCCCGGCTTTCTACAAGACGTGCATATTCCACGGCATGCAGCATCTGGATGGGTTCCCAATGATTATCTTCGGGTGATTCCTTCGTGGTGTGACATGTGGTCTTTGCTACAAGAATGTACAACAAAGTAGGGCATGGGGACCGGTAGTCGATCGCTGTCTGGATGCCTCCGTGGGGGTAAGAGAACGGGGTGACTCGGGGGCACCTCCGTTCTGTGGGATGCCCTTTAGCCTAGCACTAGCCTTAGTTTTCCCCGACTCAAGTCCGTATGGGGGCCGGTCATTTAGCCTCATTTACCAAATTCAACTGCACATTTTCCTCCACCACAAATCCACCAACGGCAACACTATTAGAAGTCGATCATCACATGCGCATCAAAGAGCAGATATCAGACACTTTTGATGGATCCATCTTGGCAATGAATTGTTTCTACAACGCCACCATTATCCACGAGGTACCTTCGAGGGCAGGCTAATACCCGCCTTCTCAGAAGTACCGATGTTGGTCCCCGACATGGTCATCCGGGGCACACAAGTGGACTAGAGTCGCAATCATCATGTCGACCTCGATCCACCGCACTGTCGGACTTTGTTGAGATAAGGGGTCCCCATATATATCCCCCATGGCGTCCCTCGACTCCAGCTCTTTCTCTCAGTAGCCAGCCCTGCCCATCTTGCCTGAGCTCCTCGCAACCTCATCATTCCCCCGTAAAGAACGACCTGAAGTCATATTGCCACAATGGCGGAACATCAACACAAAGAAGTGATGGACAACATCTCCGAGACTGCTTCCAATGAAGTGGTCGACAAGCCCCAAGTTGTTGCCGTCGAGGCGACGCAGGAAGCTCCTGCTTACATCAAGTCACTCAGCCCCGAACAACGGATCGCCGCTGAAAAGGCCCTCGTTCGCAAGATCGACATTCGTCTTATCCCTATGATCGTTCTCATTTACATTGTGAGTTGAGCTTTGTCTGGACCCTGGAACAGCATATGAACTGACATGGACGTTGACAGATGAATTACCTTGACCGAAACAACATTGCTGCTGCACGTCTTGCTGGCCTTGAGGATGAGCTAAATCTACATGGCACACAGTACCAAACTGCTGTTTCGATCCTATTTGTTGGGTACTTGTTGATGCAAGTTCCTTCGAATTTGTTCCTCAACCAATTCGGCAAACCGGCTGTTTACTTGTCCAGCGCAATGGTCCTTTGGGGTATCATTTCGACGTGCACGGCAGCTGTACAGTCCTTTGGTGGACTTATTGCCGTTCGTTTCTTCCTCGGTTTCGTTGAGGCAACATACTTCGCAGGTGAGTACTTGCTTGCGCTGATTAGCCTGGCCAACCCGTCTAACCAAACACTTTCCAAGGCTGCCTGTACTATCTTTCTGCTTGGTATACCCGCAAGGAACTTGGCTTCCGGACTGCCATGCTATACTCCGGATCCCTTATGTCCGGTGCTTTCTCCGGCTTGATCGCTGCCGGCATCACTGAAGGCATGGATGGTGTTCATGGCCTTCGCGCGTGGAGATGGTGAGTATCTCTCCCGTCTTCTGACGGATATAGCTTTCTGACAACTCTCATAGGTTGTTCATCATTGAAGGAGGAATTACGATCGGCATCGCGGCAATTGCGTACTTTATCCTGCCCAACTTCCCCAAGACGACTCCCTGGTTGAGCGACGACGAGAAGACACTTGCGGCGTGGAGACTCGAGGAGGATATTGGAGAAGAGGATCGCGCTGAGGATAATCATGCTTCATTGTTTCATGGGGCCAAGCTGGCTGCCCAAGATATCAAGATGTGGATCTTGGTGAGTATTTTCACCGTCCTCTGAAGCTTCGTGCTGACTCTTGTCGTGCAGATGATCATTCTCTTTTGCATCGTCTTTTCCGGTAGTGTCACCAACTTCTTCCCCACCGTTGTCGAGACGCTAGGTTACGGCAAGATCAATTCGTTGCTGTTGACCTGCCCTCCCTACGTTTTGGCCGTTATCACCACGTTCCTGAACGCCTGGCATGCCGACCGCACAGGTGAACGCTACTTCCACGTCACCACACCGTTGTACTTTGCCGTTCTTGCTTTCATTCTGGCCGCCGCAACGACAAGCACTGCGCCAAGATATATCGCCATGATGTTGATGGTTCCAGGCGTGTACACCGGCTACGTCGTCTGTCTCGGCTGGATCTCGAACACGCTCCCTCGTCCTGCTCCGAAGCGAGCTGCTGCAATAGCAGCTATCAATGCGGTCTCCAACACCAGCAGTATCTTCGCCAGCTACATGTTCCCCAGCTCTGCTGGTCCGCGCTACGTCGTGGCCATGTCAGTGTGCTGTGCTTCCGCGGCGACTGCGATCATTTTCGCGACTATTTTGCGATTCATTTTGGTCCGATTGAATCGCAAGTTGGACCGTGGGGAGTTTGTGGAGGGCGCGATCAATGCTCCTGTCGGTGGTGTGAGGCGGACAGGCGTATTGGCCGCTGGTGACGGTGTGCCTGCTGAGGCGGCTAGCCACGGGTTTAGATTCCTGGTATAAAGCTTGATAACGAAAGGTCGATACGTAGATATCAAGTAGAACGGGCCTTGATTGGTAGTCCTCACATCGTCAAGTGTACTCCAGACGAAAGATAAGTGATGAGGATCTCAGCGTACTCGGCTAATTGAATGCAACGTCAACCCTGCTTTTTACTCGTACCCCGGACAGAGGATGGCACGCCTAAACCGCCAAGGGACATCTCCCTTATCATGACGTCCGTCCTCACTCGACGACCATGCTTCATACTTTCCTTTGACAGCCATCCACACTTAATACTTCCAGAGAAGGTTTCATGATCTTCGGAGAATGATCTTGTCATCATTCGTTACCTACCTGTGCATACTGCTAATCTATGATATTACTTCAGTCGCTTCAGCTTCGATTCCACAGCAATTTCTGGCCCATGGCACCACCCAACAAGATGCACAACAATCTCTTGACCTTGTTGGTGGTCCTGTTCTACGCAACGCCACCTTCGCCGACGCATGGGCTATCGTAGACATCGTCGACGCCGCATTTAGTCCATCCGCCCCGACCAGATACCGATACCAATTCAAGGACAAATACCCCCAGGAGCACCGGCAATGTATGTACGAGGCTTACACCGAGGTGTTCGATCCAGAGTGCATCTACGTGCAAGTCATTCAATTGCCTGACCATGAGGATCCGGTCTCTGTGGCAGTTTGGGTAGACGCGAAAAAGTATCCCTTCTCGGACACGCAAGGATGGAATGTCAGGTCTGGTATGTATTAACTCATGTCTCTTTTGGCTGTCTTTGCTCTTTTGCCGCTCGCCGCAACACGAAGCGCTGTCGCTTCACCGTGTGGATGGACCCTAGACGATTGTCCTTGCGTCCAGACGCCCTCCTCCTCCGGGCATCGGTGCCACACCATGCAGCCCCTGGCACTGCCATCTCAAACACCATCCACGCGAGATTGTACACTGTACACTGTACCTGACAAAAGTACTAGGTTTACGAGGACAAGGTTCCAAATGCACTCATAAAGACGAAAACGCCACACGAGCCGCGGACTGGGACCAGAAATTCAGCAAAGAGCACAACAAGTACTTGAACGAGGTCTACGGGAGGAATCAATTCTATCTCGCCGCCCTCGCTACACACCCCGATTTCCAGGGCCGAGAGTACGGCGAACAACTTGTCCTCTCAGGACTCCAAATGGCCCCGATCCTAGATCTGGACACGGTCACATTGATTGCCACGCCGGTCGGTGAGCCGGTGTACTTCAGTCTCGGCTTTCGATCTGTTGCGAACATCAGTATCACGAGCGTTGGTGAGGATATGGTCTTTCCTTTTGATGTTATGGTCTATCCATAGCCCTACTACACTCAATACAATCGCCTTGTTCGGGTGGTATGTTTAGTACGAAACCTCAAAACCTTGCCACCCCTCCAACTTCTCTTTGATCTGGCCCTCGTACATTTCAATTCCACCTGGATGGGTCAAGATTTGGACTTTCTGCCCGGGTATGGTGGCTCTGTTCCACCAACTATTTGTCAGTGGGAATAATGTGGGCTTGTTCATCGCGTCGATCATGGCGTCCCAGCTATCCTCGGCATCTCTCTTCGGTTCCATTGTCTTCGCTTTTTCCTTTTCGAGTTTCTCAATGGCAGAAACGACCCAGTCGCATTGCGCTTCGATGATGGTAGGTCCATTTGATAGTGCGGTGGGCGCTTTGAACTGTCAGTGATCGTAACGTACAAAGGAGCACGAGTGGCCTTACCATGCGGAGAGTATACCATGAAGGTATTAGGGAACCCGTGGAAGGTCATCCCGAGGTAAGTGCGGATACCGTCCTTCCAGACTTCTGCTATATCCTTGCCCTCACGATTCTTCAAACCCATCTGTGTCAACCTGTCGATGTTAGCAAGGTTGCTCGAGAGATCATGACGGACACTCACGATCCGGAGAATGAGTCAAAGCCGGTCGCCAGAACCACGATATCGAGATCGATCTGCTTATCGCCGACCAACATGCCGGTCTCGTTGAACGTCTTCAGCGGTTGCTCATTCAGGTCCACAATATCCACGTTGTCCTGGTCGATGACCTCGTAATAGTCCTGTTCGAGCGGGCATCTCTTGGTGCCAAAGAAATAGGGTTGCTTCTTCGGTGCCATGAGCTCCCTCTTTCGCTCGTTCTTGATACGCGCCCCGACTTTACGAGCCCAGAAGTCGTAGACAATCTTGTTCGATTCTTTGTTCAGCAGGACATCAGCATAGTTGAGGAGCTGATAGCTGAAAGCGCCTCGTTGCCAGATATTTTCGAACCACGCTTCTCGCTCTTCGGGCGGCACGTCCAGGACCCCAAGTGACTGTCTCTTGGCAGGGAAGCCGGCGCCGCTCTTTCGTCCTTCGCGGAAAAGTGTGTCAAAGAAGGTCTTCCAGCCCTTCTGCTCGGCATTGCTCAGTTCCCGCTGTTCCATCGGCAGACAGTAGCTTGGTCTCCTCATAAACACGGTCAACTCCTTGGCTTGTTTGCCTAGTTCTTGGGTAACTTGAACGGCAGTAGCGCCTGCTCCGATGATGCCGACCTTCTTGCCTGAGACATCGATATCCTCCGGCCAATATCCCGTGTGATGGACGACACCCTTGAATGTGTCGAGGCCCGGGAAGTCAGGCACATGTCGACGATGGAGCAGTCCGGTACATAAAATCAGGTATTTGGCCTTTGCGACTTGTCCCTGGTCTGTCTTGACGGTCCAGCCGTCGTCAGCAGCCCATCGGGCGTCGATAACATGTGCGTTGAACTGCACATCCTTTCTCAGGTCCAGCACTTTGTCGAGATGGGCGAAGTACGAGCGAATTTCCACGTGGCCAGGAAATCGTTCTTTGAAGTCATAGTCCCGATATACTTCTGGAATGTTCAGTTGGTAGTACGGCCACTCAGAATCAACACGAGCTCCTGGATATCTTCGAATGTGAGTTGAGACCGGACTGTGTGAAGTCGTGCTATTTACCTGTTCCAATACCATACACCACCGAAGTCGCCGCCGGACTCGAACACCTTCACGTTGAGACCGAGCTTGCGGAGTCGATATAACGTGGAAATGCCGCTGAGGCCGGCTCCGACGACCAGCACATCGCAGTGCGCAATAGCGCCCATGTTTGAATTCGTGTCCGACATGCTGGTAAGCTGATGAGATGCAGACTTCTGAGTTGACCTAGGCTGGTTGCGAATACTGATCTGGATGGGCTCGTTGCAATATTTATAAGTCTTCCTTCAGACTGTCGTGAGCAACCAGATGAGTGCCGTCTAGCTCAGGCGCACGGTATGTATCTCCGTCCTGTGGCCTTGACACACCAACTTGACCCGTGATAATTGTGTCGTAGCCACAGCAATGTTGCCAGAGCTCGTCTGATTCTGACTTGCGGTGTAACCGCGGCCGTTGGCCGGTAATCTGAATGCGGGGACCCTGGTGTGATACCGAGGCATACCCGTCAAGATTGCTCCAGAACTCGAGCTATCATGGAAATGATTGCGATTAGCTCGAAGAGTCCTGGTGCAGCCAGGAGTGACACCCCCTGCATCTGTGCATGAGGCACTCGCGAACCGAGCCACTTTGAGGTCAGGCGGGCACGAAGCCGCTTCCGGTGAGGTGTACTTTTCTGATATCATGCCGAAGAACAAAACCTGCGCGCTTAGTACTGTGGGCGAGAAATCTGGGAGGGCACGGTCAACGTGGTTATCACACCTGTTCACCGTTTTGTGCGTACGGTCGCGCTTACCCTGTCAGCGATTGTCCAGCCGTGCCCCCACTAAGTTAGGTGGTTCACCCCCGAGCAAAGCGGAGCTGTTTGGGCTATGCTCAAGCCGCACTGACTCAACTGATCGCCTGTTGCCACGTTCAATTTCTAGATTCTCAATTCCCAACCGCCCAACCGCGCTCCTGCGGCAATCTTCTTTGGAGATCAACGTGTTGGTATCAGGAATGGATGCCATGTTCATCGTTGCGTGCGCTCGACGTAAGATCAACAACCTCGACGGTCGATTGACAACCTCTCCGGACGTCGACTGGACCAGCGGCCGTTTCGCTGGTGCGACAGTGCTCTACTTGCTCTGGGGTATTGTGTACGCCAGCTATTTGATCAGTGCCAATTGGGTTGTTGGGGCGCTGAGCAACGACCCTGCACGTTGTGCCATGTATTCGGGGTTCGCCAAGGGCACAGCATCTCTCGGCCTGTGCATCTGTTTCATCCTAGACACCAAGAATGTCACCTACATGACCCAGGTTATCATGCAATTCGTTCTGTACGGCATCGGCTCCCTGGCTTTGATTTACATGATTATTTATCATGTCAAAGACACCAATTACTTCCTTGAGGAACATGACATCGTTCCTACTCACGTGGTGGAAGAGGCTGCCGCCAAATCACACGAGGGGCTGAGACCATCGACATGAGTGCTCCTGGAGCCAAGAACAACATGGGGTGAGACAGCAAAGACGACAGGAGGCACAGGTAAGTGGGAAAGGGAGTAGGCATGATGCGGAGGAAGTAGATCCTTGACGGAGAAGGAATGAGAGGGGGTTTGGAAACACCGCGCCGTTCAAGGAGGTCTCTGTACCAAGTCAGCAACTTAATCAGACAGTTGGAACCAGTTGATGTTGGACCTGGTGAACGCAGAACACTCATGACATACGATTGCAGCTCTTCAAGACGAAAATGTACCGTCGTTGCGAATTGACAGGATTAGTAAGGGTTATTGGATTATCAGTCATCATACAGCATGGCCACAAGGATGTTGACTAAATGTCACTGGGGGTCCCCTGGGCTATCTTAGCCTAGAGCTTAGGAGTGCCCTCGCTCGTTATATCTCCTATACGGTAGTTTCCAGGCCTAGCAGCCAAGCGATCGATCTCGATCGGGTTGTACGGGGAGGAACGTCGCCGGGCCTTACTTGATTGTTTCTCCACACCTAACGGCAGGACCCCTAAACTGTCGTTGAAGAATATCCTCCCTTCATCAATAAGGATCATATCTTCCAACATGCACTTGCGTACCGCCGAGGACTGTAACGCAAGCCGTGCAGAATCATTGGCACTATATCGATGATGTCTGAGGGCGCGCCGTTGCCTAGGTGGACGATCAGGCTGAGAGTGACCTGTTTCTTCTCGTATGTCTGCCTTCCACATGTCGACACCTATTCCGCATCTTTGGGAAGAGGGGTCGCCGTCAAGGATACCCGTCACATCGAATCTACTAGGAATATGATGTAAGAAGTCTTATCGTGGTTGGGTGAGAAAGTGTTGACCTACTTGCGATCCTTGTTGTGGCTTGCAGTGCCAGTGCTTGCAGTTCAGCTCTTTTCCCCCGCCAAGAAATATCTCGCAAACTCGAATGGCAAAATGTGACTAAGTTGAATACTGTAGTTACTGACTCACCGCAATTCCTCTTCAGCACCATGTTGTTGGATCTTCTTGCCCCTGGGTAAGTCATCGTTTGAGCAGGCGACGAACGCGTTGTCGTACGGTCATACCTGATCCCGTCATCTGCCCCGGTGGTTTTCTTGCTCAATCCTCGAACTCATGTTGTTGCCATCTCGGAAACGGCGAGTGGCCAAAACATCCAACTCAGACAAAACTGATGCTTCGGCCTCCACCCGACCTCGCGGTCGGCCTATGAAGCCAGCTTCTGGGTTAAAGGTCTCGCAGAAACTTCGCGCCCAGCAGGAAAAGCTCTTGCATATCCATGCTACCGCGAAAATGGCCGCTTCAGCACGAACTCGTCTTTCAACCCTAGAGTCTCTCCCCGTCGAAATCATCCAACACATTTTCTTCCATGCGTTCGAGGTCAACATGCCACGGTCGTCGCCATACCTCGCTCACGCCCTCTCCAAGCCATCCATTTACAATGCGCTCATTTTGTTGGCTTATTTCGACGACGACTACGAAGCCCCTGTCGATCCTCAGCACTTCCTCCCGGCGGAGTATCGGCCCATTCACCTTGAAGACAAGATCCGGCTACAGCAAGCAATTTTAGGTTGCAGGTGGTTCACTGTGGATCTTCTCAAGTCACGCATGCCGGTTCTCAGTCGCTTACAGTTGGTGCAAGCATGGCACCGTGAGTACAAGAAAGAACAAAAACTCCTTGCCGACGAAAGTGTCCACTCTTCCAACCCACGAATCCCTGCTCGCTTCACAGCCATTGGAGATCTTCCTGATCTGGACGATGAAGCCAGCATGAATGCACACTTCTTAGCCAAACTCGAGCCTCCATTCTACCATGACCTAAGTGGTCCTGACCGAGTGCCACCACAACGCCCTCGACCTCCGCACTATCGATTAATTGGCCCAATTGGCGATGCCAACACGCTTCCACGGATCATGGAGTGGCGGATTATCTCAGAATCAGGACAACTGACGAAACGACCCGATATTGGAACCAGTATCCTAGCGGCACGCGTCATTCCGGACAGAGTGCTGCGGGTGGCGAAGTGGACAGACCAGCGACTGGAACTCGTCCAACTCCTGCGTCAGGGTATGCGCTTCCTTACTACTGATCATGTCCTTGTCATCTCCGCCGCAGCACTGTTCGATGGAATGGCCACTGCAATCGACGCAGGCAATGAGAAGGCGCTGCTGGTCTTGCTGGAGTTGCACAATGCCGCGATGCCACTGCGATCAGAAGATAGTGTCGAATTCTTTGACAGTGCCAGACCCGGCACTCGAGGTTGGATACGGCCGCACGCGCATCCATTGCCATTACGACTGTTCCATCTGGTATGTGAGCGAGACCGACATGGACACCAAGAGACAGAGACTGAAATGCGACCTACCGGTTGGCCCAACTTGACAGCACGACTCTTATCACTTCTCATCCGTGGAGGCTTAAGCAGCATTCCCAACGACGATCCAGTCCTCACGCGCTGGGCAACTCACACTGCTGAGAACCCGTCGTCCTTGGCAGAAGACGTCCTTCTCGCCCGCTGGTTGATCCGTGACATGGCGGGTTCTTCTGGGTATGGAAATGATGGAGATCCTCGGCTGTTCGTCGATGGGGTGTGGTCACGACCATGGCGTGGCGATGCTGCCGACCGCACGCACGCATACCCTTTCGCTGAACATACCTTCACAGACGAGATAGGCTACTTGTACGAGGGGAGTCAAGCTACTCCTGTGAGAGCACTGGATGGTGGACCGTGCGGGTAATCAAGATCTAGGATCGGTCCAATGCGAGGGTGGCGCAACGAGTCTTGAATATATTTCGAAATTGATGATGAACATGAATATGATGCAGCATGATGATAACGAGAAAGGGAGACAGCACGGCCATAGTTTTGGTTTGGCGAAAAGCATCTGGGTGGTCGCAAGCGCTGAATATGGAGGTATCTTCGGACTTTTGGTGGGCAGGCTCATATGTGATTTGACGCAGTTGACATATTTCACGAGGCCAACCAGGCCTCAAAGTCGATATGTTACCCTATCAATACTGATCCTGGTCCGCTTCGTTGTAGATGAAACAATGTGTCCAGCGACTTGATAGCCAACAATGCGTTTCAGCGGACTCTCCAAGCTAGAGAGATGTCTCTATCCATAAAAGAAGGGCGATGAGCACTCGAAATCTTCATGCCGTCCCATCCTCCAGCCTGGACTGCCCCAGTGGAGAACGTTCTCCACATGGGGTCCAGGGCACAACATCTGGGACCCGAGGCTGCGAACTCTCCACAACTCCAAATTCTCCATGGCCTTCCACCAGGACCATCGAACGCTATGGTTTGGTTCTTTGCCTTGTCATCAAGAACGTCCTTGAGCCGTGAAGCAGGAGGGTACAGCTCGTCTCGAAGTCAGACATAGTATCCTACCAAGAAAGAGGCCAGACACGTTCATGTTCTTCCTCACCCTGCACAGCCAACTATGAAGATCGCACTTGGAAAAGCCGAGGACCTTGCCAGCCGTGCCCTGCAGAAGATTGGATATGACGCTGAAGACACCAAAATTATCACCCATCACCTGATTGATAGCGAGCTACGAGGCTATGGGATTGCTGGACTTGCACGCATTCTTAGTATTGCTGACCGGTTGTCCGGGAAGGCTCCTCTGGGCCTGGCTGCGTCAAACCTGACCAAAGACTCACCTACATCGGCCCTGCTGGAAGGGAATGATGTCCTTGGCTACCTGGTAGCCCACAAGGCGACGTCGATAGCGATCGAGAAGGCCAAAGCAAGTGGAGTGGCCGCCGTTTCTGCCAACGGCACTTACTATACCGGGATGCTCTCATACTATGCCGAGATGGCAGCCGCGGAAGACCTTGTCACTATCATTGCATCGAATGCCTCACCATGGGTGGCGCCGGAGGGTACATACAAAGGCTTGTTAGGTACCAACCCCTTTTGCATTGGTGTTCCCTCGGAGGGCGTGCCCATCATTTACGACATTGGTACATCACGGATCATCCATGCTCAAGCTGTTTTGGCAAAGAGGAAAGGAGAACAGCTACCTCCTAACACGGCGTTTGACGAGCACGGCGAGATGACCACGGACCCAGACAAGGCATTGAAGGGCGCCCTCGCTGTTTGGGGTGGTGCGAAGGGCACAGGGCTAGCAATCGCAGTTCAACTACTGGGCATCATGGCGGGCTCGCCTGCAATGCCACCGGACCTGGCAGATTTTGGATACTTTGTCATGGTCATTGATCCTTCGAGGTTCAGACAAATCGAAGACTTCAAGCGCGAGGTGGGGAACTTGATCACCGCCTTCCATGATGCTCCGACCTTGTCAGGAGACACCCTTAGGATGCCGTTCGAACGATCGAATCGTGTCCGCGCGGAGGCGAGGGCCGGTGGGCAGCTGGAGGTCGACGACATTGTGATTCAGCGTCTTGAAGAATTGATAGCAGCGGCATAGACAATGGATTTCTTGGTCTTCACTCTATGCTAGTCGTCCCCAGATCCTGGCCATCATTCTCCGAGAACAGCTTGTATATGCTCCGACACTCTTGTCCTGCGCATTTAGGATGGTTGACCGCCCTTGCGTAGATGTCCTTGACGACATCTGCCATGACGTGCTTCGCGCCAACGTCGTCCATGAGTTGCACTGCCATGTCTGTCACGCCTTTTGCCAGTTCGGTCCGAAAGCCGCCTTTAAAGTCTTTCGACGCTGATGATCCTGGTTGTACCCCTTTCACTGGGTTCATATGGAGCGAGTTCCAGCTCATTCCGCTGCCGACATTGATGGCGTCTGTAAATCACCCGGTTAGCATGGGGAATCGTCCTGCGGGGAATCGCTTGGAAGAGGTACGACTTGCCTGCAAGGACTTTGGGGTCCAGCCCATATCGTATGCCGGTATTCATGCCTAACGTGGTGGTCAGATGAGTGTCTTATTAGACTCGAGCGAGGGTGCGCGATGAGACAACATACCTTCGCAGAGCGCAACGTAAGATACATTGGCCACGTAGTTATTGATTTGTTTGGTAGCGAGACCAGCTCCAGGCGGTCCACAGAAGATGAGGTTCTTCTCTTTCCCCATGGTCGCCAGAATCGGCTTCGCCCTTTCAAATAAGTCCTTGTTCCCGCCAACCATGAATGTCAGATTTCCTTGTTCGGCTCCCGGAATGCCACCGGACACTGGGCAGTCGATGAAATCCCCAAGGCCGGACGTTTCGACCTCCTTCAAGACTTCGTTCGACGTTCTGACCTCGATAGTAGATGTCTCGAGGAAGAACTTTTTGCGCCCGCTTGAAGATGCCGACAGCAGGCCATTGAATGGATCTGTGAACACCTTTTTGACTGCGTTTCCGTTTGGTAAGCTGGTCAGGACTATGTCCTTGAAGTCAAAAGTCAGCATCGTCGTACCGGTCGAATCAGGTCACCTAGACCTTCACTCGCCCGCAACTATCGGATGAAAAGAAACGCTTGACGCACACATTGCTCTGCAACGCTCTTGGGGCTGTCTGCCACTTCTATCAGTCCAACGACCGACGAGGCGAATTCGTCTCTTCGCTCGGTGTTGAGCTCGCATACCACCAACTTGCACTGCTTGGGCATGGACGCTCTCAGATTCTTGGCCATTCCAAAGCCCATGTTCCCAAGACCGATGAAGCCGTAGACAGCATCAGGCATGGTGCTTCCGGGCGTGGAGCCATTCTGACTAGCTTCGACCATGTTGTATGGATCCTGCGCAGGCAATTTGTGACAAGACAAACATGGCATCTGGATCTGTACCACTGGCGTTGAGGCTGGTAGAGGCTGTCATGATATTTAGACGGTGCCGTCAGCCCCGCACCAAACCATGTGCATCCGGGGAAAGCACCCCTTCTCCAACACCTAACCTGGTCATCGAAAATACGATTTGTCAGTGATTTGGAGATTTCGGCAGAAGGCTGCCATTATTCCTTCCTGAGGAGCTTTCAGCATGTGACGACCATCGATAGATGTCCAGTCGGTAGCCGCGGCCAGCAAGGTTTTCTGGTTCGTCTCGGATTATGCAGTATGCCCGGGGCAGCGCGCCTGCCCCACCAGTTTTGTGAGGCTCTACACAATATAAGACGAGAAAACAACCTGCTTGGAGACGCAATGTACATTCGGAGGTCTACGAGGCCGCATGATGAGGGCTGGATATTGGCATTTTCAGCACGAGTCGAGTCTCGTTCGGAACGACTGCCCGGGACTTGGTTATTGCACCGCGGCATGCAAAACGGCGAAATCTTGAACTATGCGGTGCAGGATGACAGGCCAAGTACTCCGTAGCATGCCTTCAGACACGCCGTGATATGGGATTCCATCGTGTTTAAGAACGTCTGGAAATCCAGACGCAGACCCAGCACTTACAGTAGCTTCTGAGGACTATTCCTGACTTGATGGCCGAGGCCCGTAAGGCTGAGCCTCCTTAGCGACACTACGCCAAAGCGGTCTCCCTTACAGATCTTTTGGAGCGTTGTCAGTAGGAAATGGCTAAGATTCAAGGCTGCTGAAGTGAGGTACAAGCCAATTGATGTGCTCCTCGGGTTTATAAGGCCCGCATCGGCAGTGTGGAGGCCTTAGGCTGACCACGGTGGACTCCGCGTTTGTCAAGTTAACATTTCGACCTCGGGAACCCCTCACAAAACAGCCCAGGGGGATAAAACCCCTGTCATCATCCCACCTCAAACTGTTCCACTTACTGTCAATAACAATTTCACAGACATCAACCGTACAGCCATGGCTCAACTCGAAGGAAAAGTCATTGCCATTACCGGTGCCGGGTCCGGAATAGGTGCAGCCACCGCCCAACTAGCAGCCGCTAGAGGAGCATCTCTGTCACTATGCGACATCAACGAGAAGGGACTGAACCAGGTTGTCGAAGAACTTAAAGGCAAAGGCGTCAACGTGATCAGTCAGAAAGTGGATGTATCAAGTTCAGAAGCAGTGGACAGCTGGATTGCAGACACGGTCAAGCACTTTGGCAAGCTCGATGGCGCAGCAAACATCGCTGGGGTCGAGGGTCCACCTGGCGGCAAGGTCTTCAACAATCTCGTCGACACTACCAACGAACATTGGGATTTCATCATGAAGGTCAATTTGACGGGTCTCTTCTACTGCCTCCGGGCTCAGCTTCGAGTCATGGAGAGAGGTGCTTCGGTGCTCAACGTGGCGAGCATGGCTGGAGTGATGGGCAGACCCGGTATTGGCGCATACTCGACAAGCAAGCATGGTGTTGTGGGAATAACAAGGACGGCTGCCAAGGAAGTTGGTGAGAGAGGAATCCGTGTCAATGCTCTTGCTCCGTACGTCTAAAGTTACCATTCTTATGGATGCTGTGGCTGACACATAGGACTTAGGGGTCCCGTCGAAACACCTATGTTGGATAGATTACGATCGGATGGGGGCAGTGTTGACAGGCCTGTCACGAACACGTACAAGACCTTGCCATTGCAGAGGTTGGGTACGTCCGAGGATATGGCAAAGACGATCTGCTTCGCTCTCAGCAATGACGCTTCTTTCACCACGGGAGCCACGTTCTCCGTTGATGGCGGCGTTGCATGCTAGGCAGACAAATTCACTTGTCGAGAGACTCATTCAACAGAAAACTTGCCTAAACCCTGGCTCTTCCAGAGCAAGTTTGGCATGACAATATGCGTGGCGAGCGTGTCTGTACGGCTTTTTCCATGACATGCTTGTTTTGTTGCAACCTGCCTACGCGAAATCTCCGCGAGGCTCTCATTTCAGGGGTATTCCAAGTTACGTCCCATACAACAAAGTCATTAACCTATCGCTCAGCATATCAAAGAATCAACCATCAAGCTATTCGTGAAGTATGTACACTGCGTTCTACAGAATGGCTAGTAGATCACCCAGGCTTGCAAGTACCTAAGGTACCATAAAGTTACGCATGAAGCAGGGTGTGCTCGGCTTCTCAGGTACTCCAAGGTGAAGAAACCGAGCTGTGGGGTTGGCACGAACACGCCCTCGGCTCGGCTTGGGCGTAGTGGTCGCCCTGGAGAGTCCAAACTTCGGTGACGTCTTCCCCTCGCTCTAAGTAAACCCACAGCGGGTAATCCCCCAAAGATGGTCAACTATGCCTGGAGCGTACAGTACTCGCATTCGGGCTCGGAACTCCTCCCGCTAAGCAGGAATCGTAGGACATCAAGTATTTTGCCCGAAGTTCTACCTCGGTCCGACTTAGCTGCTTAATCCATGCACACCAGCCTTGTCGACTGAGAAAGGTCGTTGAAATCCGTGACGCTGCCCGAACTTTCGACTGTAATAATGGACAAAGCTGGGGACGCGGTCACCATCCTTGGTGCTGGTACGCAAGGCACCAGACTAGCATACATGTGGACGAGCCAAGGCCAGCCAGTATACCTCATCGACAAGGACGAAAAGCAACTCGAAAAGGCAAAGAAAGGTGTTGAGACCCTTAAATCAAATACGCAGAGTCCCTGGGCGACGTCGGGTAAATGGGGTGAAGTCATAACATCGTCGCCGGACGGTTTGTCTGAAGCCGCCTCAAAGTCATGGATGCTTCTGGAGGTGTGCATCCATCAGAATCTGCAGAAAAGCCGCACGGAGCTGACCGTCAGCGCAGTGTCTCCCAGAGTCGTTGAAGCTGAAGCGCACGATTGTCAAGGAACTGGACGAGCTTGCGGGCGCGGAGACGATTATAGCATCGAACTCCAGCAGCTACACGATTGAGGAAATCCTGGAGAACCAGTCGCTTAAGCAGCCCGACAGGTTCTCCAGTTTGCATTGCTGTATGAGCCTTCAATCCCCTGATGTTGACATTACTTAAATACTGACCAACTACGTGATTCAGACTGGCCGCCTGAAACATCTGGTAAGAAGGCCACCTTCTGCGAAAAGCAAGACTTGTGAACTCATGTATCGCCTGGGCCATAGCAATCGAAGTGATGGGCTCAAGCAAGACAAGGCCTGAGATCATCTCGCTACTCATGGAGGAGACCAAAAAGCATGGCTTCTCGCCTTTTCACGTCCGCAAAAACTCGACAGGATACCTGTACAATCGGTGAGTGGAGACAACTGATCGTTGGTGGATCAAAGACTCTGTGCACGAGATTTCTGACGAAGAGCTTGTAGAATATGGGCCGCCATCAAACGAGAAGCCCTCCTTACGCTGGCAGAAGGAGTCGCAACGCCACAAGAGCTCGACGCTATTTTCAAGGACGTGTTGAAAACGCCTAAAGGTCCTTGTGAGCAGATGGACGTGGTTGGACTAGACGTAGTGCGTGACATCGAGCAACATTACGCGGACGTGAGGACCGGAATTCCAGAGGAACCGCGACAGTATTTGCAGAAGATGATAGACCAGGGAAAGCTGGGTGTGAAATCTGGTTCTGGATTCTACGAATATGATAGGAAATAGGTGCTGCCCCTAGGAGGACTTGGGGATAGGGGAACCAAAACAGTTAAGTCTCGCTTGGCCTAACTTACTGGAGACGAAGGAAGCCTAGGACGCCACCTGTTCGCCCCGGATAAAGGGTCACTTAGCGTAAAATGCCGCCAAGACGTCGCGAGGCTGCAGCGACTGTGGATTTATCTTGAAGCCACGTTTAAAGATGCGTTCTTACAATTCTGTACGACCCTTTCACAACGATCTCACAAACCACATCCACTTCTCACGCTCCTCATATTTGTCCCTCTGCGTCCGTGTCAGACTCACTCTCTACAAAACCTCGAGTTTTACTCATTCAGCATCATGGCTTCCAGCGATGACGCCCTCGAAACGTACACGCATCTTCCTCTTCACATCGACCCTCAGACGAAACAGATCACGGCGCTCTCTTCGGACAAGAGTCTACAAGATGCCATCGCAAACATCAACAACCTCCACAACGCCATGAAACTGCTCGAAACACCGAATAATATACCTCCACCACCCGTGCCCGTCAACCCCAAGAGATCTGCGAATGTTCAAAAGCTCAGAGAGAATGCGGCGAACGCTTCTCGCAAAGGGCAACATGCTGATGCTATTCGCCTCCTTGGTGTCGCCATAGACATGGCTACAGCGAGGCCTGGTTGGGAGCCGATGGGTCTTGCTCGAGAAGAACTTGCCTTGATGTACCTCTCGAGGGCCGCTGCAAATGCGGGTGCACAAAATTTCCCAGAAGGTCTCATAGACGCCGAGTGCAGTTTGGAGTGTAAGAGGGGTCCTGGCCAGGGTCCAAACGGTGAGAAGATACCTGGAAATGGCAGGGCCTATATTGTCGGAGGACGATGCTTGATGGAGATGGGTCGATGGGACGATGCTGTCGAGTGGCTTGAACGCGCGATCGATATTGAAGGAAAGGATAACGAAGACGGCCGTGAGCTCACACGACAATTGGCTGATGCCAAAAGCCATGTCAAACACACGGGATGAAGAACAGTCTATGTTGCAACTTTCACGACTTTCATCGATCTTCGGCATCATGGCTACTCAAAACCTACTTCCCAACATTTACCAGCACAACATCACGAGCGGCCCTGGAACAGGCGCCTACTCTGAAGGATAATGCTGGCTCCTCCCAGTGCTGTGCCAATACCCGTGAACAGGATTAGGCTCCCATACTTTGTTCCATATGCCCAGTGGCTCGAAGATACAGCACCTTCTTTCAGAAGCTGTATTCCGACAAATCCACCCGCCACATATCCGATGCCACGCCCCCCGTTCAGCAAACCGAAAATTAAGGCTGTGTCGACCGGTTCGTTGTGGTGCTCTGCTTCTCTTCCCAACTCCTTCACTATCCCACCCCAGATTGCAGAGTAACCACCAGCGAAGAATCCATAAAAGGCAGCAAAAAATGCTAGCAGGACAATACCTCCCGCAGACTGGTTGGATGCTGGTCCCCAGAAGAGAAATACTGGCAGACAAGCGCCAATGGCGGACAGGAATGTTATTGTTGATATTGACAACGGTCGACTCCTTGGCCAGATACCTTTGCCGTCACTCAGCAAGCCAAACCAAAAGCTCGCAAGGATGCTCGGGGCGTTCAATCCTGCCAAAATCAAAGCGCTGTTGAAAGCCGAAAACTGAAGGACTGTCCCTGCAAAAGTGGACAGATATGTCTGTGGCATACCGTAACTGGCGCTGAATATGATGTTGCAGGCTTGGAAGACGTAGAATGTTGGATGACGAAGAAATCGCCAGGAGAGGCGACGTGTCCGTCTGTCGTCTCTACTCAGTTCGAAGCGTGGTCGGAGCAAGAACAATGCCGGGGCGGAACTTGCCAAAGCTATCGCAGACCATATTCGAAGGGTGTTTCGAAATCCCAGTTTCGAAATGAGATAGCCGAAAAGTAGGGGAGTGCCTGCCCCAACGGCAGATTTGACGGACAGCATGACTCCATATGCGAAGCCTTTCCGACGTACAAACCACTCATCGAGGTAAATGGTGCTTGAGCTGAAGAGGAGTGTGCTACCCAGCGCTTGAAGAACGCCTTGAGTCAGGACTAGTTGCCAGACCTCCTTTGCGAACGACGACAAGACCAGGCTTCCGACCAAAAGGACGATGCCTATCGCGCCGGCATGCCTTCGATAGTGAGCGTACTTGTTGGTGAACAGGCCGAACAAGACTGGCATGGATAGGTAGATTATACCCTGTCTAGTCAGCACAATCATAAATCCGGAATCGTCTCAACTTGCATTCAATGTCGTTCCAATGATACCCGTACTACTGATATCGCCCTTCAGATCTGTTGCGGCAGAAGCATAGTTTTCTTGAAAAACACCGTATGAGATGGGGAATCCTGTGAAATGGTCAACCCGTCTGCCGTGCGTAAGAAGTCAGAGGGACTGCCACATACCCCAGACAGGTAGTTGTAACAACGAGCAACCCAGGAGGACCAAGTTGGCTTGTCTGCCATGGTCTGTGGGCGCTGGATGAGCATAGCTGTTGTGTACCTCTTGGTCGTGCTGGTTTCGATCGTCCAGACTGATCTCCTCATTGTTTGCTGTGTTCGCCATCGTGTTGCTCTCCATGTGAGGTTGTTACGATGCTATGACAGTGCCTTGCGGGGTATTTCTCCTTGCTTATATATGTCATATACCATGAATCTGCGCTGTTTTGGAATGAGTAATGTGTCGCGTGCTCAGAATTTGCACACGGTCGTGCGTAGATTTTCCGATCCCAGAGATGTTTATTGGTCGGTTGTGCCCCGGAGTTTGACGTCGCGCCCTTGAACACGGCTACTTGTATGATCGGTTAAAGTCTATTCTGAATGGATCGAGATCGATAACGATGATCAACGCGTTGTTCAGATTGTAAAGTGACCTCGTGAAGCACATTAGAAAATCAGTGACGAGGTGGACTGAGTAGTGAAAACGAGAGGAAGGTCGCGATGCAGAACGCGTCTCGGTTTCAGGCTCGGAAACGTCAACATCACGACAAGTCGCACAGGGCTGGATATGAAGCTGTCTGACGAGGCACTTTGTTGACGCCGCCTCTGGTTAGGAAGCCAGGACTCTCCTGGCGACACGAAAACCGTGACTATGGCGATCGCCACCAACATGCACAGACGTGGAAACAATGTAGGATCCTCTGACACGATGGAAGAACGAAAAGTAAAGTCAGACTCGGCTCCGAAGCACGATGACCTTGACGGCTTGAGGGCCGAGTACCTCGAGGCTCTGGAGGAAACCCGTGCAGCGCAGCGCCGGTACAAGATTGCCGCCTCAACGGCCTGCCGGGCGCAAACTGGAACGGAAGAGGACGCCAGTCACATTACGCCAACGGACGGTGGCAGCGATGCTGAAGGTCCAGCGGCACTGCTCGCGCGGCATGTTGAGTTGCGCCGTCTACGAGAAAAGCATGCCTCGCTCGTCGCGTTGGCAGACGGACTGGAAAGCGCGAAATCTTCGGGAGCAGTCGCGCCATTTGATGCTGGAGTACCTATAAAGTCTGTCAACGTGGTGAAGACACGCTCGGAGGCCGGAAAAGGTATGGCAATCCTGGAAGACAACCTGGCGCGATCTATGCAGGCTCTCGAAATGGCGGTCGTACAGGCACATCAGGAAGCGATGAGGGAGAAAGCGAAAGTTGAAGAAGTCAAGAGCCGGACTGGCGCGATTCATCCGACGGCCCAGCAACATGTTCAATCGATGTTGGCGACGAGACGGGTCTTGACGGCGTGGCTGGAGGAGGGTTTAGAGCTGTGTCAGGGACGGGAGACGCATGCGGAGAGTGAGACAGTGGAATATGAGGATCGAGATACAGTCACGGATCCGATGATCGTTGAGGAGTACGAGCGGTACTTGAAGGCACGGAAAAGGGTTCTTGATGCTGTACAGGCACTGAGCAAGCCGGTGCATGTGCACTCCGGTCAGCACCTGGACGGCAGTCACGAGTTGGTGGCGCCCACAGCCTCGCCTTCAATGATGCGAGGCGATGAAGTGGAGGCGAACGGTCTGCTCAATACGGTTGAGAAGGCTTTGCTCCCAACGCTGCAACGACAGAGGACCGCCCAGGCTCACATTTTGTTTGCGACGGAGCAAATTGATGATGAGATGGCCAAGACGATCAACACGTTAGACAGGCTTGGTGACGAGAGCCAGCTTCTGCAGGCCTTTCCGATCCTTGCGCGATCAGGAAGGTTTCAACATGCTGCATCCGTGCTTGGAAAGAGAGCGTATAACGAGGACGAAACGAAAGACGGGATATCAAAGCGGATGGAACCTTGGATGTTTGCGGCTAATGCGGCGGATGTGGCTTTATCTGATGCTCTGGAGAAAGCGCTGGGCGAAGGAAGGCAGGCGATGGAATCTGTTTCGAAGAGCCTTGCCGAAATACGACTACTGAAGGATGCTGGCTGTGATCACAATTTTGTGCTATAAGTACAATTTCTGGTTTACTGCTCCTCGTTCTGAGCGAAGAAAAAGTTGGCTCCAACGACTGTCAGGCCGTTCTCATCGGCCCAATCTCTGACACCATGGCGCTTCTTGCCATATCCCCAGTGTGGTCTTTCCTCTGGAGCCTGGAGATTCGCCGAGTCTCCCTCCAATAAGACAAACACGTAGCGGTGGGGACCTGTCTTGGGAGGCGGACTGGGAGGGAGATATTCTTCAATCTCTCCTGGTTTGGCTTTCAGCATTTCAACTGGTGGTTCTGGGATCGGTGTCGTCAGGTTGGTGAGGATCCAGTGGCACATTTCGGACATTTTGGGGTTGTCGCGTGATGTTGCGTCCGGGTCGGTCAAGGCCAGAGTGAAGGTTGAATTCTTTGCTTCAATGAAAGGAGAGAAGACGGAGTAGAAGTTGAACACTGGTCTCTTGGAGACGGAGTCCACCGGGATGTCATTGCCCAGCAGGACCCTCTCGTGGGATTTGGGATAGTTGATGTCGATGAAGTAGGACGGTTCGAAGTCGTCGAGGACGTCCCCAATGATGTTGTTGGCAACGAGCGTATCTCTGAGGGTCGAGGTCAATACTTCAGGCTCGACGATGGTAACCTCGGGGTGGGCGGCGAGAGCTTGCTGGTTGTCATGGACTGGGATGGACGTTGCTGTGCCTGCCAGCAGGGCGCCAGCGATGGCGATGGCGAAGGTGATGCTTGTGGTGAGCTGCATCGTAGCTATCGGTATGGTAGTACGATGTGAGTGAGGAGTAGAAGTGCCGATAAGTGAAAGATATCGCTTTCACCCTCGCCCTCTGCCCGTGAGGTAATATCTGTTGATCGTGTGGCCAACCCCGCCTCCGCTTGGAAGCTGCAAAACTAGCTCGAATCCTATCAATAGTTGCAAACTGAGTTGCAGCAGAAGATCCTTTTGGTGTGTCTGAGTAACGACGTCACAGCTTCCGGGCCATTTTCGCTGAAAGCTGCTGTCTGACAGCTGCCTCTACCATTAACGGCACGCCATCTTTGCACCAAATAACTTTGTCATACAGTCCACATTTCCACCTGCAGCCACACTTCGCTCTCCAGAACGCCCCAAGTTGCTTAACCCGCGTTGTTTTCGCTCAGGTTCCTGAATATTGCTACTGCCGCACCATGTGCCTGTCTTTGTCCATCTGATCAAACACATCGCTTCTCTTTTCTTTTTCTCTTCTTCAACCTGTTCCGCAGCAAAGGAATCTCTTGTGGTCTGTGATCATTGTTGACAACAATCCTCAAGGTCCTTGACCGGGCTGCCAACTTACCCCATTCGCTGAAACCACACTGTATTGACCTTGCGGCCACGGTTGTCGACAATGACCACCCTCGGTGACGACCTCCTCCGGACCGTCAACAAGCTACAAGACCTTGTCTTCAACACCATCGGCAATGACTCTCTCGACCTCCCACAAATAGTCGTCGTCGGTTCCCAGTCCTCCGGTAAATCCTCCGTCCTCGAAAATATCGTTGGCAGGGACTTTCTACCTCGAGGTAGCGGTATCGTTACACGCCGGCCGTTGATCCTACAACTGATCAACATCCCTCCTGATGACGATAGTGGAAGCGATGGCGACGAATCGCGTATCCCTCATACTGCGGCCAGCGTGGAGGAACATGCGGAATGGGCAGAATTCCATCACCTACCTGGTCGCAAGTTCAGAGACTTCAACCAAGTGCGAGCAGAGATCGAAAACGAAACGGCGAGGATAGCTGGCAATAACAAGGGAATCAACAGACAACCCATCAACCTCAAAATTTTCTCCCCGCATGTTCTCAACCTAACCCTGGTCGATTTACCTGGCTTGACCAAAGTCCCAATCGGTGATCAACCTTCAGACATCGAAAAGCAGACACGGACTCTGATATCGGAATACATTGCGAAACCAAACAGTATCATTCTTGCTGTGTCGCCTGCGAACGTTGACATTGTGAACTCCGAGTCCCTCAAGCTAGCGCGATATGTAGATCCTCTAGGAAGAAGGACAATCGGCGTCCTAACAAAGTTGGATCTGATGGATCATGGAACAAACGCAATGGATATTCTCTCGGGTCGCGTGTACCCTCTGAAGCTAGGCTTCATCGGTGTTGTCAACCGATCGCAGCAAGATATCCAGACAAACAAGCCCATGTCAGAAGCTCTCAAATCAGAGGCAGAGTTCTTCAGACATCACCCTGCATATCGAAACATGGCAACGAGATGTGGGACACAATACCTGGCGAAGACGCTTAACACGACACTCATGGCCCACATTCGCGACCGGTTACCAGATATCAAGGCCAGATTGAACACCTTGATGGGTCAGACACAACAAGAGTTGGCAAGTTATGGCAGCAAACAGTTCAGCGGCCAGTCGCACCGTGGCTCACTGATATTGCAATTGATGACCCGATTTGCGACCGCTTTCATCTCCTCTATCGACGGTACGTCGTCGGAAATCTCGACCAAAGAGCTCTGCGGTGGTGCGCGGATATACTACATCTTCAATTCAGTCTTCGGAAACTCCTTAGAAACCATCGACCCCACCCACAATCTGTCCGTCCTCGATATCAGAACAGCTATCCGCAACTCCACAGGACCACGACCAAGTCTGTTTGTTCCCGAGCTTGCCTTTGATCTGCTGGTTAAGCCACAGATCAAGCTGCTGGAAATCCCCAGTCAACGTTGCGTTGAACTTGTCTACGAGGAGCTCATCAAGATATGCCACACTTGCGGATCGACGGAACTTTCCAGATTTCCCAAACTCCAAGGTAAGCTCATTGAAGTTGTGTCAGATCTTCTCAGAGAGCGACTTGGACCTTGCTCGGGCTACGTCGAGTCTTTGATCTCCATTCAACGAGCGTACATCAACACCAACCATCCCAACTTCTTAGGAGCGGCAGCAGCCATGTCGTCCGTCATTGCGAGCAAGAACGAAAAGGACAAGAAGGCAGCACAGGCGGAAGAAAAGCGAAAACGAGAAAAGCGCATGAAGCAGATTGGCATGAACGGCAACGCCACTCCAGAAGATGAAGAAGCGGAACAAGACGAGAAGAGCACATCACTGCCTGTCCGGAAACACCCAGCTGTACCGAGCAGGAGTATGTCTCCCGCAATGGCACGAGATCGTGAAAACGGTATGCCAAGTGCTGCGGGAGCTGCTAGCGGTGCTAAAGATTCGTTCTTGAACTACTTCTTTAGCAAAGACAATGGACAACTGGCCGGAGCCCCTTTCCTTGCGCCTTCGGGTGCTGCTGCACGACATGTCAGCCATAGTGTGGAACCGAGCTTTGCTCAAAGCATGCGAAGACTCGAAAGGGGAAGCTTCACGGAACACCGTCAACCCGCGTTTCCCCCGCCGATGACTGATGAGTATGCACAGTCAGAATATGGCGAGCCACCACTTTTCGTGAGTAACCTAATATCGTTGATCATTGTACGAGTGCTAACAGACATTTCCAGCCTGAGCAGAATGCTGAGCCCGTCCTAACTGACCGCGAAGCACTTGAGACTGAGTTGATCCGACGACTCATCAGCTCGTACTTTAACATCGTGCGAGAGACTATCGCGGATCAGGTTCCCAAAGCGGTCATGCATCTCCTCGTCAACCACAGCCGAGACGAAGTACAAAATCGGCTGGTCAGTGAGCTGTACAAGGAGGAATTGTTTGGCGAGCTGTTGTATGAGGACGACGGCATCAAGAAGGAGCGCGAAAAGTGCGAGAAGCTATTGGCAACGTACAAAGAGGCTGCGCGGATTGTGGGAGAGGTATTGTAAGAAAAAGAGGAGAGTGCAAGTGGAAGCGGTTGCTACCAGCCCTGGATGAAGAGCGTTTGAAAGAGTCTCCCTCCTCGAATTAGACTCGACTCATTATCTGAAAGAAAGACCCGACTCTTGTGGATATCATCTCTGGCCTCTGTATGCACTATGGTCCATCCTTTCTGTACCGAGATGCTCCTTGGGTGTCCCCTGTAGGCTTCAAAAGGGGGACTGGCTGTATAAATTGCATGAATGTACTATCTTTTTGTGGTGTTCGGTCCTAGATTCTTCTGTGGATTTGAGATGTCTACGTGCAGATCTTCATGTGCTTCAGCCTTAAAAAAAATTGTCTAGTCAACAGCTACTTTCCATATCCTGATCTTCGCACGATAGTACGTAACCCAGGGCGTCATACTCTGCATTGCTTCCACTGTCTTGTGGCTGGGAACGCCGATCAGGTATGACCCCGGAATTCAGCGACGGCCAGCGCAGAGCTTCTCAATTGTCCGTTTGGTCCATAGCATATGCGGCATGCGTTTCATCGTAACAAGTACTGGACGTCAGCCACGATGACACGTGTAGCGACGATCAAGACAGGCATGGCAAAGTGAGAATATGGGTGACAGAGTTGGGATGGGTATTCGAGGCCGGATCTTTTGTTTCCTCGTTACACAGCGTTGTCATTGCTGCCTGACGACGTCAAAGCGGGCTCGCGAGTCGCGAAATGGCATGAGAACGCATGAGCACATTGCAGGGAACCAGGTATGAGGAACGAAGCGCTGGTACGGAAAGCAGATTCTGGGAGCGGGTGAGGTCGGGCAGACCTTCGTTAAAAGGATGCATGTCCTCAAACCCATGAACAATGGGGTCTTCTTGAGTAGTACAATGAAGCATTGCCCATCGTGACGTCAAATACCAAGATACCTTGCTTCAATTTCGATGCTCGTCCTCAGGAGCAACGCGTCAAGGTCTACTGGGTATGAGGACCATGGCCGTTCAAACCTCGTCAGAGCTTGCGATCAACAGGGATTCCATCCACGTCGAACCGGCTTGCTGCCGGCCCATTCGAGACGGGAACTTCTCGCTTTCGTAGGCCGGGGGTCTGCTTTGGGGATGTAAAGTAGCGATCGTAGTAACTCATACTGGCGGAAGTGTACAGTTCTTGCGATCCTGTCATTATCAGGGTCTTCTTTATCTCTGCATTTCTCGAGGGGCTCGAAATGACCATCAAGCAGGTATGTCTCCTTCGGACGGCTTGCTCAAAGAGACTGGACCATTTTCGTCCTGCCAACCGAGGAGATGTTTGGGAGGAAGTGACGATGCTTGGATGGTGAGAGCAAGGACCATTCACAGACGCCGAAGGAGAATACTGGAATACAGCGATCTTTTCTCCGGCTTCGAGTCATGTCGACAACATCAACTGCCGGCTGTAGGGCTAAAGTTGTTCAGCAGCAGGATGTTCGTCCCTGCCCCCTGTGGTTGGGTTGGCACATGGAGACACAGAGCCATACGTAAGGTCCAAGAATACGTATGATGAGTGGCTGTACCAACCAAGAATTCTCAGGAGTGGATACTTACGCATACTCCCGAAGCATCCAATCTTGTGACGAGGTCGGGAAGGCACTCACTAGAAGTGACGGACGTCGGGTGGCCGACTCGAGCAGCATTCGAAGCGCTTGCTTTTGTTAGTTTGCCAGTCCGTCCGGCAATACTGTCCATAGTCTCTGTGGATGGAGCGCAAGAAGTCTAGCAGTAATCGGCTTGAAAGAAGAAGTTCATAGCGTGGGGTGTGCGCCAACCAGCACTGCGCTTGTACACCAGACACCTATAGCTGTATGTTGGACTCGTTTGCGAATTCGGCCATGGGAGCACCCGCACCTGACCTCGGATAGTGCGGCACCAGATAGCGCACCATCAACGTTAGACCACAATCGAGCATGAAGCCAAGAACTCCTTGCTTGCACAGCTGCGTGCTGCTGTCACTGCCAGTGGCAGGTCAATCATGTCGATACCGAGCGATCAATGGGCTCCCCACCGACCATAGACCGTGCTGAATGATTGCCTCGCAGATGATGTCCGTTCGAAACTCGACTGAGCGTTGATCGAAGTACGGACTGTGATGCTGAATAGTCGGCTTCGCGATGCGAGATGGCGCCACTCAGAAGGCGTACGTAAGTCCAGGTCTCGTCCTGGCTTAGCAATAAGGGTTTAGCCAGGGGCCGGCCATGCATGACCATGATATGTTAGGCTTAGCTGGCAGGATTGAGCGGGGTAGATATTTGGCGCAAGAGGGACCCTCGAAGTCTTGAAACAATGTTGCTGTGGCCGCGGTGATCAGCATCGATGGACGGGCGCGGGGTCAGAGTCCAATTGATTGTTTGGCATACCGTAGTAGCGTATGTGATTCGACCATCTCCGAAGCGAAAATGCCCAAAGCCCGCAACCTTAGCGAGATTGGCATATGAATGAAGCGCGAGAAGACTCGTGCGTTAGTATCTGAACCAGTAGCCACAATCACTCATGATTCATGTGTAACAAAGGTGGAGCGGTTCTGCGCGGTCCTAGGGCACAACCGGCGGAAACCTTGAGTCTGATAACGAGCCGAAGCGTGCCCTCGGGATCATCTGGACTTGAATGGGGTACCATTCCGTCATTCAATTCTCCCCTGCTAGACGCTCGAGTTTGAGCGTATGAACGATAGACTGTTGTTGCTGATCGCCCGCCGATTAACCGAGGAATCGCTGGGTCAAGTTGCACAAAGCACATCATGAAGGTGCTCTGGCGAAAGGTGAGTGGAGAGTCACAATCTTCCCCACTGATAAACCACAAGGTAAAAAGTTGGCGCTACTGCACAAAACCGAATAGCTAGGACGGGCCTTTCCTAATGCCCTCTTGCGTAGCGGCAGATCAGTCATCTTTCTTATCCAGATAACGATCTTGACTAGCTTGGGCATAGCGAACGGCACAATTCGATGGTTGACTGGGATGTCATGGGAGATCCTGAAAGGAAGTGCAGGCTGACGTCTTCTGTAGTATTCGTGAAATCTGCCCAATCCCCCTGGATGAGGATTTTTTCGAAAGCATGCCACTTCTGCAACAATGTGTATGGGAAAAACGTGACTCCTCTTACACGACTTGAGTATGGTTGCCACTCGGGCGAGATAGGAGTGAGAGGTTCAGGGCGTTCCATGCACAAAATTGTGGACGTTGTATGAAAGATTTTCTGCCGATGCATCGTGCCGGGTTGTTGAAGTGCCTCACACTCGAACATACGGGAGAAATGCTGTCAAAATGAGTAGTGTGGCAATTGACAAGCCCTGCAGGCAGTCAGTCGAGGACCGTGGTGTGACCGGGCCATTCAGAGACACTTGACATCCCACGCTCTTTGCTGGGTCCCAATCATCAGCATGTCAGGGCCATGCGCATGAGGTGCCGCAGACCCTGGGCGCAAATTTGATGGTGTCGAGACGATGACGAATCAACAAGAAGGGCGCCATTCCCTGAATGGCCCGACTGCTGGAAACCCTTGCTTAGGTGCATCCCCAGGTTTGATGGGATGAAGAGGCGTAGGTTTGGACAGCGTCTCGACTTGATATGGGCCCGCAATGGCAAACTATCGAACGTGTTCCAATGCTGAGGCATCGAAGATGTCCGCTTCCCACACAGGAGTGCTGTGTATTATCTTTCACACCACACCAGTGACGAGCCACTCAGCACTTATCGGAAAATTGCCATAGTATGGTAAGATCGTGGTCAGCAGGAGCGTAGCACAATTGAGGACCGCTTAGGGCTGAGCCATGGATTGTTGACGATTCGTAACGAATTCAGACGCAATGCAGTGTTTCAGCAGACGACCGTGCGTAGGCATTTCGACAGCACCGTGCAGGGAGGCCGCCGCTATGAATGCCATGCGAGACGGCTTGGCTCATGATCGTCGTGCTCAGTGGTGTTATTTTTACAGCGAAAAAATTGTCTTCGTGGCAGCTTGATGCACAGGGCTTCATGCTTCAACCTGAAATTCTCTGGCCTGACCTTCTCGTCGAGTAGCGGCAGGGTTGCATGAGAGCATGGGATTGGACAGTAAAGGATGGTGCCTTGATTGCGAGGCAAGGCCCTGGCTTACAAGAAATGAATGATTTTGTTTAGCTGCATGAAAGCATGACCGGGGTTGTTGATGAACTAGAACAAAAGCACTCAAAGCCTGAAGAAATGTCAAGTGAGGAGCATACCTAGCAGCTAAGTGTGTGGGTGGTGGGCACTTGGTGGCGGTGGTGGTGTGGGTGGGCGAGTAAAACTTGGAGCTGGACTGGAACAGCCATTTCCTCTTTCAGGCGTGCCCAATACTCCTCAATGCCATACCAGCCAGACACACCTGAACTGCACCCAACTCATTTATCTTTCCATCATCCCTCCCTCCATCAACACATTTCACTTCCTGGCTAGTACAGAAGCCCTGTACTGGTATATCATTGACTCATTACTTTCCTTCCTCCCTTTCGAGTGTATGAACCTGAAGACAGAGAACGCCTTGGTTCCACTCGCACTTTCACATTAACGGAATGACATACAACCTGTCTGCGTGACCTCGATTCACCTAGGACAGAAACACCTTCTCTGCCACACCAAAGGTGCTGCTTGACAGTTGCCTTGCGAAACCTCAAGCCTATAAGCTTTCCGGCCTGCTACTACCATACCAGCTGAATCCTTCCCTCTCTTACAAACTTCCCTTCATCGTCCTTCACAGTCGTACGAACATGGATTTGGTTCTCGGAGACTTCTGCTTGTCCTGTGACAAGCAGACCAACGGCACAGCTTTCTGTTCTTCAGCCTGCCGTCTCACACAACTTGATCACTTCACATTGGACTCGAACTCCTCATCTCTCGGTGACACAAACACCAGCTTCTTCCCTCAACAACGACCCTCCTTATCCATCTCGACAAATGGCTTCTACCTTCCACCAGCGTACGACTTCTCTATCCATCGAACATCCTCTTTCAACTCTCTCTCGGCGTCTTCTGTATCCTCCAGGCCACATAGCCCTAAACTGTCTGAACAGGCACAAAATGATCTGAAAGATTATGTTGGGTTGTTTGATCAGACAAGGACACTCCGTCGAAGAGTATCGATGCAAAGCAATTGATGTGGGAGACGCAGTCATACCACGACACTTCACCTACATGACTATATGGAATACGAGTTGATGACGAGCGAATGGGTACACTTGAGACTGCAATCTTTTCTTTCATGTGCTTTTAGATTGCATGGGCCTGAGGCTATACGAAAAAAGCATGATACGGCGTTGCGGGGTTACACTCTTCACTCAAGGAGACGTGTGTTGTCATTGTTGAGAAGCATTACACACTGATGTTGTTGGATGGTTACTGCTTATGTTTTGCATGAAGCGTTAGATGGCAGGACCTGTGGGTGTTGTGAGCGATATTGTTGTTATTGTGATATGAGACATGGAGTCAATATCAAGAATGCTTTGGTGTTTGATCAGGACTATTGAGATGGATCATTGTTTGGGATTCATGGGTTGCGGATGGGACAACGAGGCCACCAAGTCGGTGGACCTGTATGATGGCTTGGATGCTGGGATTGCATGGTCTTGTCGGGAATTTTTGCTTCACCATGGCCTCGATGGACTCGAGTGTATCATGATGAAGGAGCACAGCACTCACTCTTCTCTCTTTCACAAGTCACTTTCCTACGTTCACTTCAAATCACGACAGGGCGTCAATTTCTATTTGTGTTATGGGAACCAACTCTACTTTGAGACAGTCATATCCATCTTATCATATGTCCCTACATGAGCCAGCGCTCAGGGACCCGAAATGAAAAAAGCCAAATGTCCAAGAGGGCATCTTGTTGGCAATTGATACTATTCACTCCTGCACCCTCGCTATCTTCTGCTCTACCATCTCGTTGACGTTCTTCGGAGTCTATCTCCGCCCCGCCCCGTCCGTTTCGTTGGCCCCTTCCTGCCATCAAACTTTCACAGCACGGTTCGAGGCCAGATACCCGAGGTCGTGAGGCGCCACTATAGCGATCGAAGTCGTAATGACTTGCTGATCCTCTGCCCCTTGCAGCTTTCGACCTCTTCAAGATTCCACTCGATCTGGTCCACAAAAGGACCGGCGCGGTTTCTTTCCCGCTTGATCGATCAATCCAGAAGAACATTGCCGTGCAGGGTAAGTCACTGTGCCGATCCGAGCGACGTCAAGACTCGGAGCGAACACGTGCGCAGCAAGCCGTGTCTTCCTGGACTTCTCCTCTTTGTGCCGTCGTGGGACCTGAAATCTATGACCTGTAGGACAAATGTCTTCGTGCAGGATCTAGTCTCCGATGGGTCCTACCTTACAAGCGCCGATGGTTGGATCGAAACCTTCGGAGTTCGATCTCCCAGCCGTTCTTGGATAAGGTATCCGTTCTCTAGCAATCTGTCGCGTGCACCCTCCATCTCTTCCAAGTGTTGGGGTTCAACTTGTCCAGCTGATAGGAGCACCTGCCCATCACTTTGCTAATTGGGACTTCTTACATGGATGCAGACACAACACGCAAAGTCGTGGATGGTATGGTTTACTGGAAGAGGCGAGTGTCATCTCATCTCAGCACATTCGCTGGAAACAGATACATTGTCTGTCGCCTCGCGGCAAACGAAAGACATTACCATTGATCACGAGTTCTCGTGACGAACGCCAGATAAAGCGCCCGCACGAGGTGTGGGCAATCTCACCGTGATAGATGATAATGCACAGTGCTTGACTGCATTTGGGCATTCGCAAGAGATCCCCGTGGTCATGCATGTATGAGCCGATCTTGGAAAAGCAATATGCTCGTTCCATTCATCATCGCAAGAGTGAATACTATGCGAGGAGGACGCCGCCGCCGCGGCACCGAAGCAGCTGACCACAGAGCCAGTTCTCAGCTCAATCAAGCCTCGCATTGCCAAAAGACGCAACGGGACGAGGCTGACCCAGTCACACCCTCTCTTCATTCATCACTATTCTCGTCGTCGTTCATGGCGACCACCTCCGTAAGACTATCACTAATCATCCCACGCTATGTCGCTCCAAGGGCCGGTCCTTTCCAGCTGAAATTGTACATGTTGACCCATCCACTCCGGAAACCGTGATCAGCCATCCTTCTCAAAAGTTCCCACGCGAAAGAAGTGACAAGGCTGTAGTCTGTCAGCGCACGGCTACCCTTGACAATATGTCACCCATCTGACACCTCGCAGCCTGAACCTTGTCAGCTTTGATAAGCCATCACTTTTCCGTCTTGTGACGCAGATCTCCTGCTCGACCTGCTTTCCAAAGCACTCGGACTTGAACGTCTCACTAGGTGCCCTGAAAGCTAGAGTAAATAAGCAGCCTTAGGCATGCCAGGCACAAGAGGGTGGTCATGGTTCAACCATGCTGACCAAACGGGCTCATCCGTCTGACGAGTATCACAAATCAAGAGTCCCCTTGCATGTACTTCCTCGCCCGCATGAAAGACATGGTCTGGTGCGCATTTCTGCCATCCGCCATCCCTGTTGACCTTTTTTGGCCTGTGCTTTTCTTTTTCCAGGTGTGGAGAAGCAGCAAAATCCGGGGCCGCCAAGCCAAGCTGTTTAAATGACAACTTCCCGGGCACACCCATAGAGCGTGCACAGGCCACTCTTTAGGTGATGTGGCGGCGCCTAGAGCAGAATATTACGAGGTGCAGGGCCTAGTGCAGGCAGCTTTCACACCAATCTCAGAAAAGAGGTTGGTTAGGCTTGCCGCCTATGCCGAGTAGGTCGTGATGGGTTGAGCATGTACCACACTGTTCGGGCCTCCAAGCGGGGTTGGACTTCTTGACTTTTGGTGATCAAGATCACTGCCAGTTTGGCTTTTTGTCTGCAGGGAGGAAATGAATTCCTGTTCACTCTGCAGATTTTAGCCCCCTCGGTTAGATGGTTACACCCTGTTTAGACTTTCTTTTCTGTAGAAGGGTGTCTTCAAGTATGTAGCCGGGTGCGAATGTGTGCGATGCCCCTAATGTTATCGACAACACATCTTGTGCGCTGGGCTTTTACTCTGGCGATTGCGATATTTCCCCTGGAAAATAGATCTCCACATCTTGGCTTCGATAGTCGTTCCTGCATATCCCATCGTAGTTGTATCTTCCTACATATTGAAGCTGGCCACGTCACCAGAGAAGAATCCACAATAACGAGGGAAGTCTTGACAGCTCCATGCAGGCTACCACGCGAGGTGACATCGACAGCAGTAACTCGGGCGGCATGTTCCATTACTTTGCCTGAGGTACGGATTTTTGCTTGGCTCAATCTTTTCAAGGCTGAGCGCAGCGATGCACCAGCACCAGAGTTAAGACATCGCAGGTCGCTTTCGAAGAGAGATTGAATGATGACCACGAGTGCAGTCAGCTGCTCCCCCACGCTATCGCAGTCCAAGAGCCATACAACGCAATTATGGAGAGGATTCGCCAAAACCAGCTCGGGACTGCCCAGAAAGGACAAGCGGAGGTAGTCTGCGCCCCCAAATCGCAAAGGCTTGCACTAGTGTGCTGCAGGCGTACTCTGCCACCAGTGGTACAGCGATAAGGCCAGCTTTGTCGGCTTTGGCAAACCCTTTACGCGAATTTCGTGCTCCTGTGAGATGATGCTCTGAAGTTCGACCGTATTGATTCTGGGAGCTGGAAAGCTCAATTTGAGAGTCGTACTGAACTTGTTGTATACGAACCAGCTACGATAGCCGCCTTTGGTTTCTCAGGGTCAAATGTATACATATCCAGCTGGGCGCAGCATGATGATGATTGCTTTGGGAACTGGGAACGCCCAGTATCATGTGCAAAGCGTCGCATTCACGTCAATGCCTTCTTCTCGGTTGTCTCCGAGTTTGTGGCAACCCCAACCACTCCGTTGCTGAAAGGGGCAGCTTCGGGGATAGTGCCGGATATGATAGACATCAGCAGTCGAAGCGGAAGGTAGACTTGGTAAGACCACCAGAATGGTACCGGATCTTGGAAGTCATATGCATCATCTTGCCAGTAGACCAAGTGGCAGAGTAGCAACATCCAATGATTGAAAACGTCGACAAAGGTGGAGTGAAGGGTGAGTAGCCTGATGAGTGGTGCATACCCGAGTCTCAGGAGATCCTGACCAAAGCTGTAGACTCCGGATGTGTTCCGACTTGGCATCACGACTTCTGAATCCAAAGACTCCTTGTTGAAGGAGAACTCTGACTGAATCCCATCATCATTCTTCGTTCTGGTGGAGGTGGAGGACAAGTAAGCCTGACATAGCTCATCGGAGCCTTTCATCCCTTGGAATAGAAGCATAGCGGTTTGGGACTGGACTGCAATCTCGACAGGTAGGATGTTTTGCACGATTCCTCTGTCAGTGACCTGCTCTTCCACGCAGAAATCTACTCCCAGATGAGTATTGAAATCAGGCCCTTGCTTGGCTGCAAAAGTCTGCATGTAGTGCAGCATTGACTTGGTGAGCGCAGACTCAGGATTCGCGGCCTCGTAATAACCTGCTTGAGTTACAACACTAGCAGCGAAAGCTGTGACTAGACCCTCAACAATGACCGAAAACGTGGAATATCTTGGCAGGTCGTCGGTGATCTGCTCGAGTCTCCAGGAGGATGCTTTGTTGATAGGAACAAGCGAGAGCGCATTGTAGGTTTGACTCAACGACCTCCGGGGAAGCAATGTTCTAACAGAACTGACGGTCACTGCTGGGTGACCTGGGCTGTAAAGCAAGTATTTTCGACGACCACGAGACTTGTGCAAGACGTTATGGACTTCGTCCCGCGATGCGACCTGGTAGATTTCTGGAACAGGCAGACCCATATCTTTGACCATTGTCAAGAATGTATCTCGAGTCGCGAAATTGACGGCATCATCCATTGTAAGAGCAAAACAACGACATTTTGTGGTCTTCTCGATGAGAGCTCTCGCCTGGCCTTCGAGTCCCGGGTCACTGGTGCTTGTGCAGTTGATCCAAATATCGACTCGTCCTTGTTTGATGATTTGCGCCAGGCTTTTGATGTAGTTTAGAGCTCTTGTCTCTCCAGAGTCGGATGACAACCGATGAAACTTGCTCAAGGCTTTTGATAGGCGAACAGGGATTGGGACCCCTTCTGGCTCATAATCGGCCCCGATGACTCTGTGGCCATCTTCATGAAAGGCTCTCGCCAGTCGCAGCCCTTGAGGTGTGTTGATTCCAGTCAAAAGCACGGTCTTGAAAAGTGACCGGCTTTTGATCTTCCGAGGCTGACGGCGGACGAGGTTCCGTGATAGCACCGATGCGCAAATATAGTTCAAGACCAGGAAGGATGTCGAGAGTGGAATGCAAGCAAGGGTGAGTAAGATGAAACCCAGATGCTGCAGATTCTTGCAAATCGACCCGCTTTGCCTGGGGCGCCTGAGTGATTGGGTCGAAGACATGGTTTTCGACCTGTTGTTTCGGATTTTCGGTAAGGCTGGCCAGTTGTGGGAAATGATATGGGGTTGGCGCAGCTTTAGCGAATGCGTAAAGGCCTATCCGCGTATGAAGCCAAATGTTGACATGGTACTTGGTTGGGCTGCCAGGGAACTGAGCAGCAACGAATGTGCAAGTGGGCGACGATATCCTACCCGTTACATGTGAAGCTCGAAGGCGGCATATCCTGATTCCTCAGGTATGACCAGGCATGACCTCATGCTTGAAATTGAGAATGGGCAACGTGCATGTGCAAAGAGACGCGGGATCTTGTGAGCATGAAGTTCGTCAGACATGACTGCTTAGTTCGCAGTTGCATGCGTTCCAATGGAGAGAGTGAGAGAGGTGCCATAAAACAGTGTCAGACTGCACCTCAATTCTACGTCTTCCCGGAGCACATTCATATTTCCTCAGCCACAGGCGTCCGGGGCTACATCCGGTCAGGGAGGCGTTTAACTGGGCGGACACCCCGAGATCCATCGCCATTTAACCGTGCATTGTGGCTGTTGCTAGCCTGATTTCCGTGCAACCTCCCCGCCAATTCATCCAATTAGGCGTGTTATGGCGATCCTTTCCGTTAGAAAAACATCATGACCAGCTGAACATTTGAATTCGCCCAGAGCGCAAAACGTAAAGTAAATGTAGAGCCAAGGACTTGCCAATATGCACATTGCCTTCGATCCCTGTCCCTGCGCACTGTCCAAGCCGTGTTGCTCTGGTGTTTGGTCTTCCCGCACTTGTAGCACAAAGTGGTGACACCATATTTCGTCCTCTTTTCCTCATCACAGACTACCTCTGCGCATCCTCCAGACGATCCAAAAGCGTTTCCTCATTCAGACTGAAGCAGGCCAGCGCGGCGGTCAGCATGGCGCATCAAGGTCAAGCAGCAGACTATTACAATGGTTCAAACAACGGCGGCGGTCAATATCAACAACAAGGGTATCAACAGTATGCTCCTCCTCCCGGCCCTCCTCAACAAAGCTATCAACAGTATTCTCCTCCTGCAGGCCCTCCGCACCAAGGCTACCAGCAGCAGCCACAGCTTCCTCAGGATCCCAAGTATTCCCAGCAGCCCCCGACGTACGGAGCGAACTTTGTACCTCCTCAAGATGACAAGCAAAGCTTCCAAGATACATTCAAGATCCAAAAGCCCAAGTTCAATGATGTATGGGCTGGATTGCTGGTATGTCATGATATTTGCTATGGCAGATCAAGGCTGACAAAGAGTAGCTCATAGCAACATTCCTGGGGTTTGTGGCAGTCTCTGGCCTCACTCTTTACCGGTATTCACGCTACCACAAGTTCAACGGAGGGGGCATATATGGCTCTTCCAACGACTTCTCGCTCGATACCAACACCATCATCCTTTTCGCTTTTGTCCTCTGCATCGCATGGGCGGTCTCCTGGGCTTATTTCCTAGCTGCGCGCGCTTTCACAAAACAATTCGTTTGGCTTACGGGAATACTAAACTGCGCCTTCGCTGTCGGGACAGCGGTCTACTATCTTTACCGTCACCTATGGGCAGCTGGTATCATCTTCGCCATTTTCGCAGCCTTCTCCATTTTCTGTTTCATCAGCTGGATTCCGCGTATTCCATTCGCAGTGGTTATGCTTCAACAGGCCATGGACATCGCTAGGATGAGACGCGTCCACGTTTTCCTGGTTAGTCTCATTGGTGGTATTCTCAGTGTTGCCTTCGCAGCATGGTTCTCTGTCACCCTGGTGGCAGTATATGTCGCATACGAACCAAGCAGCTCTGGCGGCACCTCCAATCCCTCTTGTGCGAGTGGAGGCTGCTCTAGCGGCAAAGTCCTTGGTCTTGTGGTTTTCGTCACTTTTGCCGGCTACTGGATTACCGAATGGCTGAAGAACACAATTTATAGCGTCATCGCTGGTGTGTACGGCAGCTGGTATTTCTGTGCCGGTAAACCTGGTGGTATACCCAAGGGGGCCACCGCAGGGGCATTGAAACGAGCGACAACGTATTCCTTTGGATCAATCTCTTTTGGCAGTCTCATAGTCGCCATCATCAACATGTTGCGTCAAGCTTGCAGTATCGCGCAGCAGCAAGAGGCCGCAGACGGCAATATTGTTGGGTCCATCATGTTCTGCGTTCTGGGGTGCTTCATCGGCATTCTCAACTGGCTTGTCGAGTTCATCAACAGATATGCCTTCTCCCATATTGCTCTGTACGGTAAGGCATACATACCAGCAGCCAAAGACACCTGGAAGATGATGAAGGACCGAGGAATCGACGCACTGATAAACGACTGTCTCGTGGGCCCCGTCCTCACGATGGGCTCCGTATTTGTGGCATATCTATGCGCTCTTTTCGCCTACCTTTATCTCGAATTCACTAAGCCTTCATACAACGATGGCCGGACATTCACGCCTGTGATAATGGCCTTCGCCTTCCTCATTGGGCTTCAGATATGTCAAACTTTCCTGACTCCAATTGGGGCTGGTATTGACACTATTTTCGTTGCAATGGCCTGGGATCCACAGGTTGCCATGACCGACCATCCTGAATTTTGGGAACGCTTGGTGCATGTTTACCCTCATGTCCAGGACCTTATTCACGTCTGAGAACATGGCTTCTAGAATGTTGCGGTTGTGCAGGAAAAGGATGGTTTGCAGCGAAATTTGCGGCCATGGACACGCTCCACGTAGCGGATGTGCAATCCCGCATGCATCACTAGCTATCAGTTTATCAGTCAATACACAATTGACCAAAGAGAATGAAAGATCTCGAGAGCAAGCGAGCCTTTAATGCAGCATATCTAGGCGAAATGCCCCCTTAGCCGACTTGTGATCGAGGAATGTGACATGGTAGCATTACATACTGTAGCATGCAGCAACATGGCCCTTTTTGATATGGTGAACTACCTCCACATACCGGTTATATGTTTTGCCAGGTGCGTATCTCGCGCTAGGTGTTGTACTTATTAGCTTGGCCTCCCCCAAAGAGGCAGCTCCTCAGCCCTGTCTATCAGTTTCTTTGAGATGACGACAGGCGCGACCAGGAGTCTACATAGATAAACTGACTTACATTACTTTTCAGCCAATACTGCAAAGCCGTTTTACACCCCTACCCCTAATCTGATCTCTGATCGCCCGTGTCTTCTGCCCGGTGGATGTCATCGAGCATTGGAACGGTCTTCTCCTTGGAGGAAATCGTTTACCGACCTGCTCAATCTGGACTTGATTGTCGCGATACCGCATGATACCTCACGAAGCGACGCTATGGCTGCGATGCTTCGTCAGTGGCCGCAATCTGCGGCCACAACTCACACTCGATCTATATATCATGGCTAATGTCCACCATCTCGGAGGCACACCTTCAGTAAAAAGACCTCCTGCATCTGTCTCATGATTGACACGCGACGCGAACCAGTCGAATCATGGACATCAACCCTTCCGAATCCCTGGCTACTGGCGTAGTCATGGAGGAAAAGTCACCGCACAACCCTGGTAGACTGGGGAGTGTTGCTACACTTGCCTCACTCGACGAGGCGTTAGGACAGCTTGATATCTCAACGAAAGATGCCGACGAGGCCTTTGCTTTCCTCAGGGACCACCCCAATGCCGTCGAGATCCGCGAAGAGGCAGTCGCCATTCTGTCCGACCCAAAATTGACCAAGAAGCTGTTGAGGAAGATTGATTTCACCATCATACCGTGCATGATAGCCGTGTACTTCCTCCAATTCCTGTGAGTCCTTGGATGCTCCGTACGAGGAGCCCCTGTTCTCAAAGCACAACTAACGGTTACTCTAGCGACAAGACGACCATTTCATACGCCGCAATCATGGGCCTTCGAACGGACACTCACCTGAAAGGTCAAGACTATTCGAATATAGCCATGATGTTTGTAAGTTGTACACCACAACTCAACTCACTTTTCCACTTAGGGCGGAACTGATTTTACGCCTATAGTACATCGGTTACCTCGTGGCAGAATTCCCTACACAATACCTGGCGCAACGCATCAGTAGGTTGGGCAAGTACCTTGGCGTTAACGTTATGTGCTGGGGAGTTGTGCTATCTTGTATGGCTGCCACTACATCTTACGCAGGCTTGATGGTCTGCAGAGTACTTCTGGGTATTTTCGAGGCGCCTGTCGCACCGATTCTCGTCTTGATTATTGCTATGTGGTACAAAAAGGGAGAGCAGGGCCGCCGCGTCAGGTGAGTCATCTTGGTTCCCGGTTGTGCGACTTCTGCACCTCTTCACCCGCCCACCCCGCCCTCCCCCTTCTTTCCTCTTTCCACCACCACCCTTTCAGCAAAGAAGAAGCCTCTACTGACATGCGATTCTCTTCAACAGCTACTTCTACGTTTGTAACTCAATTACACAAATCGTCTAAGTCTCCCCTGGGACAAGTCTCTCGATTTGTTCTCGTTTTTGCCGATACAGGTTGCTGACTGCCTCACAGTTCGGCTCCGGCATCGCCTATGGCGCAAGTTTCACAAAGGGCAAGTTCGCCAGCTGGCGTATCTTTTTCCTGATCATCGGTTTGATGACCATCCTTTTCGGCGGCTTAGTTGCCACATTTCTCCCTGACTCGCCTGTCAAGGCTATGCGTTTCACCGATGCTGAGAAGGTTGCCGCCTTGCTGCGTGTCAAAGAGAACCAGTCGGGCACACAAAACGCCAAGATCAAGAAGGAGCAAGTCATTGAGTCGCTGAAGGACGTCCGGGTTTGGTTGGTCTTCTTGTCCGTGTTGTTGACATCAATCCCTAATGGTATGTAATGGCGGTGTTCGACCATTATGTGGAACATGACTGACGTTGCACAACAGGTGGCCTGTCAAACTTCTCGTCGATCCTCCTTACAACGTTTGGCTACAGCAGTCAGCAGGCACTCATCTTGGGCATGCCTGGAGGTGCCGTTGGTATTTTTATCGTCCTTCTTTCCGGTTATCTCTCCGACAAATGGAACGACCGATCTTTGGTCATGCTCATCTGCTTGATACCCACCATTATCGCTGCCGGTCTCATGTATGGGCTTGATCCGACCGGTGTTCCCCACAACAAGGGTGCTCTGCTCTTCGCTTCTTACCTCAGTGGAACATTTGGTGCTGCTTTCATGTTGCTACTCGCATGGAACGCCAGCAACCTTGCCGGTCACAGCAAGAAGGTCACTTGCAATGCGTTGACATTGGTGGGCTTCTGTCTCGGCAACATATTGGGCACCCAGACGTTCCAGCAAAGTGAGGCGCCAGGCTACAAGAGTGGAAAGATCGCCATCGTGGCATGTTTGACGGCGCAGGTCTGCGTTTGCTTCGTCTTGAGATACTGTAACGACCGCCTCAACAAGAAGAACAGGGAGGCTCTGGCGTCCATGAGTGAGGAGGACAAATCTTTGGCCCGGGAGAAATTGGCTTACAGTGACGAAACCGACCGACGCAACCCATTCTTCATGTATACTCACTGAGCGCAAGTCCTGCGATCCAGCTAAAGATAGACCTGTCGGACTCTGATACTGCCCTCCACGCAGCAAGTACATATGGCTACATAGATCTGCGTATATCACTATCGGAATAGTAAACCACTTCGGTTGACAGATCATCGATTTTGAATGGCATACCTACGCAAGCCTAGGTATATAAGCCACAATCGCTGGCGTGGCGCCAATGCTTATGCTGTATGTGAGCAGGGGGGATACGCACGACCGGATGCGACCTCGCAAAGTCCGACCTCAGGTCATCCTGTTCACAACATCGATTCCCATCCTTCATATTACCACCGTTGGTTAGTCCCTAAGAACATGTTGCTCACAGGAGTTACGCCTGCACCACTCGGATGGTGAGATGGTATATGCTTTTAATAACGCTCATGCGTCCGAATGACTTGGCCGCCCCCGTGATCAACGGTCTGCGCCTCGTGCCGCGTTTGCATCGTGGGACACTTGTTCACATTCTTGGAATCTTACCACGGCGCGAGTGAGTGCCTGGTACGGACATGAAACAATCCCACCGGACCCGAATACCTGAAGACTGCATCCAAACGTATCATCAGAGAAAGTTGTGACTGGCCATTGGACAACCAATCCTCCGGACAATTCAACCCGGGACCCAGAGAATGCCGAGAGTTTCCCCAACCTGTCAACCATGAATCATTTCGCAGCTAGCAATTGGCGTTTCAGGAATTCTCAAAGGGTTACAAACACGATAGCAGAATGGCTACTGATCGATGTGGTCTTCCAGGCCAAGGTGCGGGTGAGGAAACACTGGTTGCCCTGCCATATCTGCTTCGCTGAGCGCGCGTCTGCCATCCGCCACTAACGCGGAGCAACCTGCCAGTGATGAGTCACAAGACATGCTCATGCTCATACATCCCCCGTCTTTGGATGTTTCTTATTCCTTCATCTTGGTCACATGGTCGTTTACATGGTCTTGACAAATCAGACTACGTGCATTCGGCGTTTGGGCTCTATCGTACATGGTAAGAGCGAATGGACTCACTGAGTGGCAACCGCTTCGGGGGCTTAGGCACCCATCCCTGCGTAACTCAGGCAGCACTCATTCGGTTCTATTCGCAGCATATGACCAATACACTTCACACCCTCTATGGATAGCCACTCAAGACCAGAGGTACACCTGTCTCTGAGAATGCAGGTGGCGCATGACCCAAGCCGGCACTGGCGCCTCGCAACCTTTATTCTATCCTCGTCTCCAGGTCGCCTAGGCCATATGCCGAGGCCAGTGGTAAGTCTATGGTTTCGCAAGAGCATTGCGCAGCCTCGCATCAAGCATCATATCCGAAGCGAGCCACTTACCACCTTATAACAACATCACAAGAAGCATACGCCCTTGCTCTTTCTTGCCTGGAAGATTCTGCCTTCGCACCTGCCTGAGTGTACTGACGTGTCTTGCACCGAACAACCATATTTTCGACATGATCATGAAGCATGACTACCTGCCCTCACCTCCGTCTAACGAAGATACAGCATCAGAGACAGCAACTCACAAGAGAAAGATATCCATCAGCATCATGGACGATTATGTCCAGGCCCCATTGTTAGACAGTCTGAGCACCATCCAAAGGGCACGCCGCAACCGTGCACCACCACGAAATGCCAACGGTCAATATTACTGTCGACATCCGCACTGTCAGGGCAAAGATCAAACATTTAAGAGGGTTTGCGAATGGAACAAGCATATGGACCGACACGAACGACCTTACAAGTGCCAGGAAGTGGGCTGCGAATTGAACCCAGGGTTCACTTACTCTGGCGGCTTGCTACGGCATCAACGCGAAGTACACAAGATGCACCTATCGACGAAGCAGCCGCTTTACTGCCCTTTTCCCAATTGCAACCGCAGCTCGGGCATAGGCTTTACGAGGCGCGAGAACCTGGAGGAGCACAAGAGGAGGAGGCATGTGGACGAGCAGATTTCAGAAGAACCCGAGCAGGATGAAGCAGCAACGCAACCATCGCAACCACCGCCATCGCGAGCGACAGAGCCAATCTCAGAAGAGTCTCCGGCGAAGCGAATGCGAATGTTGACGCCAGCGCCACCACCAGAGGTTAAATTTCAAGTACGTGCCATAGCCGAAGTGGCGCAAACGCTCAGAGAACGTGGCATGAACGAGCAGCAACTCCTCGAAGAGCAGCAGTCACGAATACTGGAGAAGGACGACATGATCAAACGACAGGCAGCCGAGATACGACGACTGCAGAACTTTATCAGCGCACTGCCACCCTCCGCGGTGTTCATGTCGACATCGACTTCGCGAGCACAAATGGCGCAGCTGCCTGCTGGTGGCGGCGGCGGCAGCAGCGGGTGATATTGGATAGATTGGTCTCTTTTGTTCTTCTGCAATCGGAGAGGGGACAGCATCGGATGATGCCCCCTGTGTACACTTATTACGGTCGCTTCTCTTTTGTTCGGGAATCAAATATACCCCACTATCATGTACTATGAATCATGTCGCTATGAGTCACGAAGGTCGAGAAAGCATTGGAAAGCACGAAGCAACAATGGTGTGGAGAAACATCCAGGCATATCCAGGCACCAGTGGTGGAAGCAGTCGTTTCAGGAGCGTGGAAGAGAACGATATTGGTTGGACCGGAAGAGTGGCGAGTATGCCGAGGAGTCATCGCATGGAAGCGGCAAATTGGTGAAGAATACGAGGCAACAGGATATCTGCTCGTACACTACGAGTGTATCGTGGCTGTGTAGTGTCAGAAGTACGCGTGGTGTTGTTGTCGATCGTCGTTGTGGTCGTGCTGAAGATCCAAGTACGAGTTTCGCCACAATGAGGCTTTTTGGAGGCCGCGGAGTTGAGAAATAATTCCAAGCACATGCCTTGCCTGCCCGGGTGTAATTTGTGCCGATGCCGAACACTGGAATATGATGCTCACGTGATCAGTTCTTCAGACGACCTACCGTCAAGATGATATACAGAATTTGAGGTAGAATCACAACCGAAGACTACAGCCAGGGACAAGATGCACAATTTCTCAGAGACAGAACTGGCATCGAGACTACCGTGATGGGCAGAAACCATAACTTCTCATAGTGCAGAAGTCCAGCCTAGAGTACTGTCACTACAGAATACAGACTTGCCCAGCAACATGACTGCCACCGAGACTGCCGATCAGTATATACAGAATCTGTCATAGAACCAGTACTTAGGCTACAATCGATTTAGGATTCCGGATGCAGAGTTTCTTCTGTACAGAACTATGACATCTCTGTATCGGTTCGTCCCTGAGCATTGCTTCAGGACAGATCTCCAACATTTCTGCATGGATTCATTCCTTGAGCATTGCTTCAAGACAACGAAATAAATCTTTCTACTACCTAGTATTGGTAGAGTCCCTTTCTTCCTCGCGTGTACAGTATTGGTTTGTCTAACTCTCAACTCCACCTCTTCAAATATTTCTGGAGGATGTACCACCGTAACTCCTCATCCTGTCCGACAAAACTCCCGGCGATCCTCAATATGTCGCCACAAAGTTTTGTCTGGTCCACCATGTTTGGGTAAAATCCCGTGGGCATTCGGGAATTTTTCCCTGCACGACCAATATATATGGTTCGCGGCTTATCCCTGGAGTGAGGGAAGTCGCCATTCTTGTTCAGAGCATGTCTGAGATGGCACTCGACCCCTTGAACCTTTATAGATACGAAAGCTGCAACTGCAGCATTCCAATATATGTCAGAGTACCGGCCGTTGTGGTATCGCAAAGTATTTCTCACAACTTGATTGAGAGTACCGCCCAAAATGTTCATTGTCAGCATCTGCAATATTGCAGCGCTGAGTGTCATTATCTCATTCATTGCCGTTGCTTCATCAATCGTGTAGTCGGATTCGTCCCGCTACCTCAGGAAAGTGCTCCAGAAACGTTCTGCCCACGCTCCAGTTGTCGTAATCAGTAACATGTTTCGTGAACCGTGATGTCAAAATCGTTGCTCCGGTTGTAGGACTCCGCTCCACAGCAGCATCCATGCCGTGACGCCAATTGACACTCCAGTTGCAATTGATCAGAGGTGTGAGCCAGTCGCGCAGACGGTGGATGGCGGCATCTCGTACGGGAGGAATCGGTATGGTCTCGATCGCGGGAACGTGCGGAACCATGCACTGGTATGGTGTAGGCTTCATCATTTCTGGGACCTTTTGATAACTCTCGGGCGTAGGAACCAAAAGCCACTGGTCAAAGTCAGCTGCTGAACATTTCACCAAGAAGACACGACTTACCCGCATCATCAATGTTAACATGTAGGAAGAACCCAGTCGAGCAAAAACATCGGTATCGTAACTGCGAAACACCTCGCACGCCCACGAGGCGCAGTCGAATTTATCCTTATTTGTGCGGTCGCGAAAGAACAAATCCACGGACACCTCGTCGTTGGACCCGAGAACATCAGCCACGTGAATTCCTTGTTCTAGCATCTGCTTGGCTCCCTGCAAATAGTGGGTGTATATGCGACTCATATACGAATCGTCGGGTATGGTTAATGGCAGAACAAGATGTCGAGGTATCCGCAGTCTCGTTGCCTGGTCCTCCTGCGCCACACAAAGATCCCAATTGTTCGGGGCTGGTGTGAATGGTATGGGCGTCGACACCAACTCGAGGTATGGTACAGTGGCTGATGAAGCTTGAGGTGTGGACGACATTGGTATGTCTGTATTGATATGCTGCGGAAGATTTGTCCTTCTTGGGGTTCCTCGGGTGGTCGATTGAGAGCGGCTGGAATGGTCTGATCTGCTCGACGAAGAGACTGCTTCGGAATATTGACGTTGATTCTGGGGTGTCACAGGCGTCACCTGCGGCATTTGTTAAAGACCAGGTCTGTTTGGACGAAAAAATGTTACTCACTTGTGGTTGTCCCTCGGGCCAGCTGGTGGGAGACCGCATTTGGAGTGCAGGGTGCCATGTTGATCGCTCCACCATGTCAGGTTGCTCGGCAAAGGACGAAGGCCTGTCAAATAGTGATTTGGACGAGCTTGCAGACCAGGGCGGTGATATGTACTTCTCGGTCGTTTCTGTTGTCATGAAACGCCGTAGCAGTTCCTCTCCATCCGACAAGGAGCTAGTCTTCAGGGTTGATAGCAAGGACGCGACTGTGGGAGAATCGGGAACTTGTCTGCGCTTGCTGGGCTCCGACGACCCAGATCTGAAACTTGATGCATGACGTCCGCTGTGAGCGTGCAGGCCATCCATATCCTCGGGCGATAGCGCTTGTTGAGTTTCGGTCGACGGAGATTCGGCCAGATCTTCCTGCGTGAGCATTGTGTGGTCGAGACCTTGGTCTTCACTGTCCTTCAGGAATCGCTGAATTGCGTTCATGGATTCGTCTCTGCTGGCACCGCTGCGAATATACTGAAATAGCGACTCGAGGTGATGTGATGGGCCATATCGAATACCTTCAATGAGCCCATCCAAACTCCCCTGGTACGACTTGGACTCATCGATGGTCCGCTGCAGAGCTGCGCGACGTCTCATATCGAGAGACAGGTCAATGACACACTCTGTGCCCATAGTCTGGCAGAGTTGACATGGGGGCGGTCCTCCCGTACACTTTGTTTTTCGCTTCTTGCATGCCTCGCAGGCTGCTGAAATTCGGGCACTTGGTTGTCGTTTCTTCGGCTTTGCTAACTTGGAAGGCTGGCCTTCCTTAGTCGGGTTCATCTGTTTTGCTTTTGGGGACGATGGCATTGTTGGCCTGAAAGCTCATGCATCTTCCCGCTCCGCTAATACATCGCTGCGTATAGGTTACGCGTTGGTCATTCTGCCTGCCTTTTTCTTTCCAACGTTGTTGTTTGGAGTCAATGGCTGACATCTAAAGAATAACTGGGTTGATATTTTGTTCGAAATGCGCGCATGTAAAACGGGGACGATCGTACAGTGTACGACTCTCTAGGACGAAGTTCGAGGCACTGGCGGCAAACTTGTGATTTGTGTTGATTCAGTGTTGACGGAGGGAAAAGGCGCACCAGACTCTGGGCATTCCCATTCGGTGGATTGGACCTAGGTTAAGAGAGCCGGAGCTCAAATTCCTAAAGCGAGGATTGGCTTAGCAAAGGTACCGAAGCAAGCTTGTCCAGACGGTGACAGCGGTATGGGGGGCGCAGATGTTGGCAGCCCTTCTTAAAAGAAGCGACGATCCCACTTAGCTGATCGTCAGATCGGTCAGGACTCAGGAACAACTACACGGGGGAACTACGATTCCTCTTGGTTATCGGCCTTTCAACTGGTGGAATGGAGATCTTACCGGGTCAATTCTGCCCCCCAAAACCTACCTAGGGTATGAACGTCTAATGCAATCTGGGTGCACACGAGCGAGAAGGAAGTTCTAGACTTCAAACTTCGTCAACGGGCCGGATCTGACCTGCCATTTTGGATCGTGGTTCCAAACTAGACTGGTAGTATCGTGCCTAGGTAGGTATGTGATGCGCAGGGGTCCACGTCATGGCCCATGTCTTTTGCTATAGTAATGATTTTCACTATCACGGCAAATGCAAATGGCAACACGGTCGACGGTGTTAATCGGAGAGCCATATGCCAGTGGCCCCTAGACATGGAGATAAGTCGCTAGCAACCTAAGTCGGTCCCAAGAACGCGTGGCGCGCAAGATCCCTCCCAAGTGCTGTACATACATCACACCGCCCGGTCGGTGTCCTGATCTCCTCTCTCCAAGGGGTCTTTTAAGGGTCACTGTCTAGGAGCTGCTAAAGCGTTTAGCCAACGCCACAATCTGGCAGGCTTGGATCATGATTCCGAGGGGCCGTAGAGTTTTGCATCAATCAAACACTAAGGTCCCTAGTGAACTCCCCCGGACACCATGTCCGCCCCTTCATCGTTACCCTGTCGGTTCCGCATATTGCAATTGGGAAAACGTGGGCGACTCGATCGGATTTTTTCTTCGCTCCATGGCATTTTCCGAAGCCTTTCACACCAATTGCAGTGGTCTGATGTGCGTATGACCAATCAACAAGACCCGATCCCAACGTCTAGTACATCTTTCCCAACATCGGCAGGAATCAGATTGGACGTGCAAAGCGCGATACGGATTGCTATTCCTAGAGACCGTGGGGATGCAGACCGACGACCCCGTACGAGTCTTTCTAGGCGTCTTGTCAACCTCGCTTGATGAAGCACCTCGGCACAAAACTAAGGCAGATGATGACGAGTGATGATGGCATTCTTACAAATGGCGAATCCAAAGTCCCGCCGAAAAAATCTGTGCGGACTGTGACCGGACCGTTCCCCGACAATTTTTGTCGCTTTCGCCTCCCACAATGGCATGTTCCATTGTTCCATCGTGTTTGACGGGGTCGTACCCGACACTCGGATTCAAAACATGGGTGGTTCGCTCCCCACGGCAGTTGGTTTACATCTTGGATACGATCCTTTTTTTGATGGATACGAGAACGAGGCCAGTCTTACTTACTGTGTAGTAATTAGATCCAGGGGCAGAGAAGCTTTGGGGGTTTGTTCGCCAAACTCGCTTGGCTCGCCGAACAGCCTTAGAACGTGGAGGTACACCGTAGTCTGATTCTTTGCTTCGAAGGGCTTTTCATCCATGGTGTTAATCTCTCTTTAGGTGGTGGATGTTACGATGAATGGGGCAGCGGGAGCATTGTCGGCAGTATCTATGGCAGTAATCTTTGTGGGATCAATGCTTTGTGGCCGTTTGTGCCACATGCCTGAGCCGTCGCCCTCGTACGACCACCACTCCTGAAGCCGGGAGACGATGGCTTTCTCCAGAGATTCTCGAACAGCCTCGATCTGCACGTCTACCATGTGGAAGGTTGTCAGATGGCCCTGGACCGTGAGGTAGATGACGGTGTGGGCTATGAGCATCCACGAGGTTTCGCATTCGTTCCACGGATCGTTGACGTCGATATGCCCGTGGTTTAGTTCGATTTCGTCCCGGAAGACCGTAGAATCGGGGTCCGGGCAAAGTTTAATCGACAAAGACTCCAGGTTTGTCATTTTGCGGATACTCTTCAAGATCTCGTCCACGTGGTTGTAGAAGGGGAAGATGGCGATAAAGTTGAAAGATCTTAGTGACGTGAATAGCGGATCGGCAATGGCGGAGTTGTTGAAGTGTAGGGCGGTCAGAAGGGATGGGGTGCGCCGCAGAAAGAACTCGTAGGTCGTGTAGGCTTGGAGACTGGACCCTTCATTTAGAGTTAGAGTGTGCCATTTTCTGGCCGTGAGGATGGTCGGGAGCGTGTCGTCGTCACTGTTAACAAAGTTCATTGGGGAGTGCGACTCCGAGGGTGGTCCCGAGGGTGAATGCTCGAGACGTAAGATTTGATAGGGCATATTGAAGGCCCAGGCATCGGTGGTCCATGTGTGAATTCCAGCGAGAGCGTCAAGGACTTCGGGAGGTGCGATGATAGTGAAAGTTGTCAGGCACGGGAGTGCGTCGAGGAGGCGAGACCACCATGCCGGGTGAAAGTGGGTGAAGTGCGATTCTAGTGGTGCTGTTATGGTGAGGATGCGGGATTGAAGGTCGTGGTTTTGGAGAAAGGTGAGCTGTATCGTTTCGTTAGGTTATCCCTGTCTGGCTTTGGAGGAGATCTTCTGGCGGCAGCTTGGTCGGATGGAGGCAAGTACTTACGAGATTGGTGATCTGTAGAGGGTGGACGGTCGAGTGCTTGAAAAGGAATGGTAGGGAGAGTGTGCGGAGGAAGCGACTCGTAAGGGAGAAGTGTTTCAATGGAGGGCTGGGTGAGGAGGAAGAGGAAGAAACATCGTTGGCATTAGGGGAGGCTGATGGTAGCTGATGTAGGGATTGTGGTGCTTTGGGTTTCTGGAGGATCGTGGTTTCGAGCGGACTTGCCGTGTCGAGGAAGGAGACAACCCGGGAAATGATTTCCGTCGGGAGAGTTAGGAGGGCCATGCTGAGAAGGCGGATTGGAGCTGAACGACGTTGACTGCCTTGATATTCTGCGGTGCTGTAAGAAATGGCGTGGAGCTTTTCGTGAGTGTTGTGACAACCACGAGGTAAGTTGATGTGCCGTTGGATGTTGGAGTATGTAATGAGTGACGTCTACACTGCGGGGCTGAGCTGCTATGTTGTGATCAACAAGGAAGTACTTGTGATGATGTGAAAAGGAACTCGGCTGGCAGCAGGGTGCCCCCTCGTCAAGCCGTATGCGATCTTGATATGTACCTCCGTAGATGACTGACAAGTTGTATAAGCGTCTGGAACCCGTATATCTTCAGGTGCAATAGCAACGATAACTCGATACTGTCTGTTGCTGACTATCTCATAATCATGAATGGGGTCCGCAGATCAGACCGAGTCTTGATCAGAGGTTTCCACGTCAATCTTCCTTAGAGACACTGAGTATCTGTTCATTGGTGATACAGCATGCACCGGAAAGAGCAGCATGAATCCTGTCTTGCGTCTTCCAGTATTGTGCCTGGTTGTTATCTTGGTACACATATATAAGAATCATCTTTGGTGGTAGCTCGAGGTGATTGATGGCGTTGACGATGTATTGTGGGGTAAACAATTCTTCACGTGACATAAGTCAAAACGCGGGGATGTCTCGCTCGAAGTGACGTCACAAATCAACCCGCCTGCTATGGCGCACCTTGCAGAATTTCTGTGCGACATACTGCTGTTACGAGCCAATATGGAGTTTGCTCAACTCTCCGAGCCAAGCTTCTGGCTTCGAGCGCACCGCTGGACGGTGAAGACGTGTTACAAGCCGGGTTAGGTCATATCACCATTGACTCACCGAGCGATTCTACCTAGGTGGAAATGCTGAAAGTGTCCTGGCTAAGTGCGAATGAGCCATCTTCCGTGACTACCGTAAGTTATCCGCCGTCATTTTGCTCACATCTGCACCTATAATTATACCTGCAAACTGGAGTTCAACAGGTTTAGAGAGCAAAATCTCGGACTTGCTGCTGTCCGGCGCTTTACGATATTGCGTCGTATAATCGTATTGCTTCCCAACTCGATCAAAATGCAGTCGACGATATCGATGTCTCTTCTTTTCGGCCCCGACAAGAAACCCAGGCTCACCCTGCATGCCTAATGGACCGTTGCACGAACGAATGGAGCCCAAGAAGGTGAGATTTTGTCCTTTTGGCAGCATCTTCTTTCGAAACATGAATTCACGGAGAATTACTGGATTCGTGATGCTCAACTCATAGCTGAACCAGGATTCCGCCGCTGAATTGATCGTCGTATACGCCTTGTCACCGCTAAGGATGAAATTGTGGTTCCTGTGTGGCACGAAACAAAGAAGCGAGAGTCAGAGAGCGAAATAAAAACAGCCGAAGAGCAAGCTCTTCAAGCCTGTCAGGACATCCTTTGGAGTCATCCATGGCAGACAAAGTTCTACGTATTGAGAACAGCCGGTACGAAAGGACCAAAATCGTCTCCGTGCTAATTATGTCGAGAGATCTGCAATCACGATATTCTCGTCAAAGGGTATGACACTGTGGGAGAATTCCTGGTCCACTGGTCCATTGGTGTCCTCATCTACGACCTCCTTATGCCCAGCCTTGCCCAGCCTTGCAGCGGCGCATCACGCCAAAAAGGATTAAGTCCACATCAGCCAAGAGCACGAGACTTCACCTGGAGGGCCTGATCAACACCTCTTTCTCCACATTACCCGACTATGGGGACGAACACAGACTGAGTCGATTGATTACAACGTTGGCTTGGGGGCAGTGCCTGCGAAGCCAGATTCCAACGACGTCATCCGGAACCGTATATAAAGCGTAACAGCATGGACGGAATCGCAACGCCTGGCATGACTAACGGAACTAATTTGTTGTCAAAGACCAAAGCATCACTATGCCAATGAAGAGAATACTAGCGACCCTTTTGCTCTTTGCGGGCGTCCATGCCCTACCTCAAAGCAAGAGAACGATTGAATGGAAATCTTGTCCTGAACTCAACAAACAAATCTTCGAGGAAATAGGCCTGGAAGGTGCACCCTTCGACTGCGCAACATTGCCAGTTCCACTCGACTATACTGATCCCACGTCGGAGAAACTCCCGCTGTCTCTGTTCAGGATCAATGCCACCAAGAAACCCGTCCTCGGCACGGTCCTTTACAATCCTGGTGGTCCAGGAGGAACAGGTGCTGAATCTGCCGTATGATGGCCCAAAGCTGATGGAGAACATGGGAGGGCAGTTCAATATGGTCTCATTCGATCCCCGTGGCACAGGCAACACGATCCCATTCAATTGCACTCCCGCAGACAGCTCTTCCCTCACAAGACGTGAGACTGGAGCCCTAGTCAGTACAAACGTCACGGAACACTTCCTTCATGGTGGATGGGACGACGCTGTTACCAGGGCAGACTTGTGTCAAGCTACCAACAACAAGACCGGACGCTTTCTTGGTACAACATTTGTGGCTCGTGACATGCTCCACATCATCGATGCCCTTGGTGAGGATGGCATGTTACGATACTACGGCTGGTCTTACGGTTCAGCTCTGGGAGAATACTTTGCTGCCATGTTCCCCGATCGTGTTGATCGCATGTTGCTCGATGGGGTCGTGGACCCCAACGTCTGGAAACTGGGCCACCGCAGCAAATACCTGGTCGATGCGGACGCAGCTATGCAGGGGTTCGCTGAAGAGTGTGCCAAAAACAAGAACGACTGCGCGATTGTCAATGCTACTGGTCCTGCAAATGCCTCCGAGATCTTTGAGTGGCTCAACGTGCTACTCGAGCCTCTAGCTCAGAATGCGACAAACTCTGAAGAAGCATGGCAGGTGTACTATGCCAGCAAATCGTACATTTTGTCCCAGCTCTATTGGCCGTCCAGGTGGCCGACGCTTGCACAAGGGCTTGTGCTCGCGTCTCAAAATGTGAGTGCGATTGTCGGAGACACATCAGCGTCGGCGTTATCTACGGCATACAACCACGGCCCGGACTCAGTCGACGGCATTCGCTGCAGCGACGCCATCTTTCAAGTTTCTTCACCAGACGATTACCTGCCCCAAGTCGAATTACAATCTGGCATCAGTGAAAGCTTTTCTGACATTGGCTACGAAGCTCTTTGGACTTGTGCGGCGTGGAAGATGCCCAACAAGGGGCGATACGAAGGAAACTTCACAGCGAAGACCAGTACTCCAATTCTCCTCGTAAATGGTGAGTACGATGTCACAACGCCGATCCAGGGCGCGTACAATGCAAGCCGTCTCTTCGACGGGAGCGTGGTGCTGGCTCATTCTGGCTATGGTCATGGCATCATTGCCAGCCCGTCGAAATGCGTGGCGAACTATATCTCGGCTTACTTCGTCAATGGCACCCTGCCTGACCCAGGCACTCACTGTAAGCCGGACCTGGGACCATGGGAAGCTGCAAATGCTACGGGAGGCAGTGCTTGAGGCCTCGGACAGGATCAACGTGTTCACCGTAGTCAGAAACGGTTGTGACAAGACTGGGTTGGTAGATCACAGGCTTACTAAGTCCAACAATTGATGTCTCTCTCCACCTGTATTTCAATTGCTTGTTCCCAGTCACTCCACGGCCATCGAGAAAAGCAAGTCGACCGCAAAAGTATCCTTCCACTGGCTACTAGGTGTTTGTTCTGCCGTAGAGCAACTGACTGTTGTACTCAACATTGGGACGTTGCGGAAGTACTGCGCCTTGCACCATTGACTGCGCCAGCATGATACAGTATTCGCTGTTAGAATCATTGGCAGAGAAGCACAAGGAGGCCTTGCCATGGAACAATTGTAGATCTGCGCGAGTTGAGGAGACGTTCAGAGCCTTGGTATTGATGAGTATTCCGTCGGGCAACTCAATCGATGTCACGCGTAGAAAAAGCGTGGGTCATTATTGAGGCTCCGGGGTGCCTGAACTATTCCTGATGGAGGCCGATGCAGCGCTCCGGGCACTCCATTTCTGCTCGGCGCCTTCCGTGACTCGCCTAATGAGCTTGCCGTGGATCTCGTCCTCTGTCGAAGCCCACTCAGACGTCATCCCCTTCTGTACTGCACATCTTGCCCTGAGCACCCTAAGCATTGCGACCATCCCTCTGGTAGCTCCCAAGTGTTTTTTTCAGCAAAGGAAAGCCGCCATACTCTCACCCATACCATGGAAGAAATAAAAAATGCCAGGTGTACCGTCAGGACGGGGTTGCGATGCGTGTCGTCGACAGCGGAAAAAGGTACGGACATCCTGCTTGATGGGCATGCAAGCATTCAGACCAGTCGATGATCAATACCTCTAACCTAGAATCGAAATGCACAGTGTGACTTATCCGTAAATCCATGCGCTCGGTGCAAGCGACTAAGAATACCCTGCATCAACCAGGGTCAAAAACGGTTCAAATTCGTCAGCAACAACAGTAACGAGGACAAATCACCTCCCTGGCTCATCGGATCGTCAGCGCAGGGTACAACCAGATCTGGAACATCAAGTGCCTCCAGATCTGACTCTGATTCAGCCGGTCTCCGATCGGGAAGGAGCCAGGGGCAAGCTTCGCAATCCATTTCACCTATCCCCACGAACGCTTACATGCGCCTGGTCAACGTCTTCACCGACAAGATCAAGCCTGCTGCCGGAATACGCTACAACATCTCCTGGACTTTCGGCGGCTACCTCGATTATGTGCCCGCCCATCTCGGCGTCAATGAAGCCATGGATGCAGCTACCGACGCGTTCATGGTCGGCATGCGACGTTTTCCCAATCCCACCTCTGTGGTTGACCTCGCGCCTGTCATGCTGGAGAAATACACTTTGGCTCTTGCAGCTCTGCGAAGGTGTCTAGACGATCCTGCCATAGCGCGGGCACCCGAAACCTTGTGTGCAGTCCTCTTCCTTCTCAATTGCCAGGTATGAGCAAGCTCTTTTGTTCAGGACGTCGTAATGCTCACCCTTATACTCGATAGCAATTCCTATCGCACCCACCGGGTACGACTGCCAGTCACGGCGAGGGAGCCGCTCAAATCATCAAATTACGAGGCCGGCCTGAAAGATGCGATTCTTTCGAAGGACAGATGCTTCTTGCTCTACGTGGAGTCGTCGTAAGTCCGACGTCTTCCTCGCCGGGTCATATGAAGGTCGATGGGACGACTAACCAGTCGTGTCGTAACTCAGTTGTTAGAATCCCTGTTCAACGAACGCATCCACTTCACCGAGCAAGAATGGATTGATATGTTTGCCAGCACGACGGCTGTGGTCACTCCAGAAGGTCTAGCAGTGCAGTCGTTCACACTTTTACCCAACATTATGCGCCGTGCTCGAGTCGCGCTGCAAAATGTCGTCCAATACGCCGCCGAGCTGGATCACCTGCGCTCCAAGGTCGCTCGTCTGCGTGCCGACCTCGAACCATTCATCGTCGACGTCCGCCAGCGACTGGACGCGCTTGGAGAAACGTCCGACCCACACAACTCGGCACGAAACATCCAACTCAACCTGGTGCACTGTCACTACCTACGAACATACGCATTCGGGCTGGCCCTGGTGTTAATGGTGAATGAAGTGCGCATCGCTATGAGCCCGGACCCAGCGGAAGTGATGGCAGAGTCGCAAGCTTGTGCCGTCGAGATCTTACGGCTGGCTCAACTTGCAGACCAGTATCGGCCGCTGGGCGCGTGTGTGCTCAAGTTATGCCTCATTGCGGCGGAGATCGCAGCGAGTGACCTGGCAACCAAGTTCGCGGCCAAGCAGATGCGTCTGGAGTTTGATACGGACTTCAAGGTGCTGCAGCAATGTGATCTCGAAGAACCCAAGTTGATCTGCGGGAGAGCCATGTCGCCATGGTTAGGACTTACAACCATACCAAACGCACAAATGGGTTCGAGGCTTCAGTGACATGAATAGATGATATCTCATGCTTGAGATAATCAAGATACATGATAGGCATCACGGTGCAAGGCTGAAGGAGAAAAAGTATATTGCATATGTGCATTTTTGCATTATGTGTATTTGCATTACGTGCATTAGATATTAGCTTTAGCTACTTCCGGCCGCCTTAGGGCCCTGCTTTTATTGACATCATCGCGTTGATCAATGGGGAGCACGACCATTGTAGTTGACACCGGCGGTGGCAGTGTAGTTGGCGAAGCAGTCGTAGTTGAAGTCGATTTGAGCAATACGCTGCTGGAGCACACTGACCATGGTGTTGAAAGGGCAAAGTCCATCAGGGTCAACGGGGCAGCCAGGGTGAGAGCTCGAGACTGGGACAACAGCATCGTTGCTGAATAACATAATTAGCATGATACATTTCGAGAGGAGTGAAAGGACTTACACAATAAATCGAATCTGCTTGGAGACATTTCGGGCCGGGCACTCGAGGACTTGAGCAGTGAAATGAGTGGCGAATGGCACGATCTTGCTGGCCACGAAGGTGTTGTTGCTGGAGTTGCGGTTGCTGGTGCTCAAGGCAGGGCCATTGAACAGCGCAGTCAAGTTGAAGGCGGTGAGGGTGTCAAGGACGACGACCTCGTGGGTAGCATCGGCGTAGAAGGACTGGTTGAGAGGGAAGTAGGTCGAGGAGTTATCGAAGGTCTCGTTGAGGGCAGACGAGGCGTTGGGGTAAGACTGAGTGAATCGAGCGACGAATTCCTGGAGGTAGCCCTTGCCTTGAGCGGCGGAGACAGGAGAACCGGGGCCGTTGTTGTAGTAGAAGGAGATGTCGTAGTAGTACTCGTAGTTGGCAAAGTCCTCTGCGGTGAACAGTCCGCAGAAGGCCGAGTAGCCAAGAGCGTCGGTCTCGTACGAGCAGAGCTGCAACATAGCAATGGCATCGGTTGGGGTGAGGGTGAGGTTACCGGAGACCTGATCCAAGATTAGTCACGTGAGGGAGCAAGTATTCAGGTGAAACTTACCATGGAGTTCAAACGGGAAATAGTGGAGTTGAAGGCATTGGTGGCGAACTTGGTAGCAGCGGTGCTGCCAATGCTGCCACGGCTGGCAATGTTGGAGTTGTTGCAGACCTCGTAGGGAGCACCGGAGTTGTTGACGCCAGTGGCCTCAACCAGGATCTCAATGTTGACCTCCTGCAGGTACTCGGGAACACCGAAGAAACCGGCAGCAAAGTTCTCAGCAGTCTTGACCATACGATCTTGGGATTCGGTACGGAAAACTGGGATGGCCTTTTGGGCGGTGAAGTTGTTGAGCAATTCACCATACAATTGACGGTACTCAACACCAAGAAGGAAGTTCTGGGCACGTCCGAAGGGAGTCAGCAGCTCCGCACCGAGTTTGTACTCCCAGTTGGCCAAGAAAGCCAAGTCGCCGGAAACGTTGAAGCCGGTTCCCTTGGTGGCGTTGACAATCTTGCTGGCGAAGGTTGCAGGGGCAGCGCCACTGGTAGGGTAACGGGCACCATGACGGTACAGAAGATGGACCTGCTCGACGGAGCAGCCCTTGGGAATCAATGGGCTAGCATTGGGCAGGCCATAGTCGGAGGAGTTGACGGAGTACCATGGGGACAAGTTACCCCAGTACTTGGTGATGTCGATGTTGGAGGTCGAGTTCGAGCCATGGGGCTGGGCAGCGACCAGCGGGAATGACTTGGCGGCTCCGGTGTTGTATGGGTAGAGAGGAGCTGTCTGAGCGGCAGCAGGCTCCACGCCAGTCTGAGTAGGGCCGGGGAAGCCAACCACAGATTCCGATGGGAATAGGGTGCCATTGGCGACAGCTAGGAGATAAGGCGTTAGTATGCGATCAACATGACACTCGATATAGACATACTGCCGGATGGCGGGTAGACGTCGGAGGTCGAAGCGCCAGCGTATGAGGATGCCATTGCGGTGGTGTTGGTGGCAGTGCTGGTGGAGCTGGAGGCCGTGGCGCCTGAGGTGGCTTGAGGGGCGGCAAGGACGGCCTCGGCCATCAGGGCCAGAATAGCGGCAGAATACTTCATCTTGTCAAGCAAGGCTCCTCTGCTAGTCTGTGGTTGACAGTGGACGTCCTGGACAGCTTATCGAAACAAAGCTCTTCTTCGAAAAATTCCAAGCTGTAGCTACAAGCTTATAGCTTTATATCCCAGTCAAGGCCATGAACAATGATGACAAGGTCGTTCATCCAGGCACAGGTGTGTTGGCCTATCATATTCATATATGGTACCATGTGCTCATTGTAACTTTGTACCTGGCAGACGGACCAACTCCAAGGAACTCCAATGGCACCTAAACTGGTCCAGGATGAGCGGATTTGCCGAACTAGCGAGGGCAGGCGTTATGCCGCCTTGTTCGTGCTTGTGCTTGCTTGAGAAAAACTCATCCGACTCGATACAACGCCGACCATGGCAAGCACGTGTATGGGCCCTGCAAAAGAAAGCGACGACTTCCAGAAGAAATCCGCCAAGGACTTCCAGTCTTCCGCTGTGTTGACAGATTCCGATGGGACTAACGACTTGGTGTGTCTCAAACATTATTGTTGACTAGATCATCCAGATCCATCCATCTTGCAGTGAATAGTGAGAACACGTGGGTTCTTACCATCCCAGCTGGAGGGAATCACTACGTAGTATTTTGAGGCCTCGGCAATGTGCCGCCTGGAAGATTGGCGAACCGGCGATGAATGATGATTCGACATTGACACAAAGAGAAGCAAAGCCCCTCTAGAGAGATTGGCGTAGTATTGCTGCAAGCAACGCAGTATCTACTCGGTTGTAGAGTGACTCTTCATTGCTATTGTATCTCTGGCTTAGATAACTGTTCACAAACGTCTGGTAGGTTGGGCAGCACGTAACAAGGCAATGACGAACTATGAGAAAGGTGGCGATGTCATCCCCAGTGATAGGCCGCAGTGGCCCGCTCGATATGGGCAGCGACCTTCTCAGATGCGAACAACCATTCCATAGTCGCCCCTGCTAACGGAGGCTAACTAGAGCTTCAGATCGAACCCCGCTTTATCAAGCACGCCAACCAGGTTTTCACCCAACGTTCATCACTCCACAAGATCACGCAAACGGTCAACCCAAGATTTGTGCAACTTACACATCGAGAAGAGAGGAAAGCCAATCACTCAACCATGATTCTTGCCGGCTAGGACTTTCCTTACAGTACTTTGCCTGTCCACCATGCTCGGAGAGGCTTGCCATAGCTTGATAAATCGCCCGCAGGACGAGACCGGTCGAACAGCAGTACTGCATAAATGGTGTGGCTTGGCTAACATCACCCCCAGATCTGGTCTCTCACTCTTGTACGGAGTATCTGCACATCTTTGGTGACGCGTCGAATAGAATGCTATGCACCTGATCTACAAAGAGCCATTCTGGATGCTGCTTTCGCCCTCGAGATCCTATACGATAGTCCGACTTCGGGGTCAAGTATGGATATGACAGTGCGGTCAATTTTGGATCGTCGTCTTTCACGCCTATACGACAGCCATTTCGTCAGGACTACTGCTGTTCTACCTCACTTGCATCTGACGAAGCTCTCCATCATGGCCGTCATCGGGCTATTGGCATCGTTTTCTCCGGGGATCATTGGACTTACACCGATTACAGGCCTTCACCGCTTCGATGGGAAAGCAGATGCAAAAGGTAAGTCTTCTGCGGCAGAGTCCCAACATGCCTGTCGTCTATTTGCTGGACATGCATGACACAGGTCAGAAACCAGAGATATACTGAAGTTGTGACCAACCTATTGGATCTTGGTTGCATGCAAATTCGACCCTCGAAGTGACTTGAGGCGGTGAATGATGTGAGAGGCTGATATGTACAAGGGCCTCGCGCGATTGATTGGAAGCCTCACCCATCTCCCGGGGCATTCGGCAGCATGGTAATTTGATCGCGAAATCTCGCTTACGACGGTGTCTAAGAGAGATAGATCCTCCCCAGATCGTTCCTGAGATACCAGAGGTCTCCTCAGTTCTTTTCGGAATTCATATTGTCCAAGCTGCATTTGTGGTTACACCATCATCACGATTTGGAATTGGTTTACAGGGGTTTACCAGCTCGACATGGGACTTGACGCGGTGCCTAGGGAAATTTTCTCTCGCATCATCGACACCGTATTAAGCAGCAGCAATACAAGATGGGGCGAAGGTCTTGGGCTTCGCCGCGTCAATCGTAAGTGCTCTCCGGGCATCATCTTCCGGTTACACAATGCATACGCAGTTAACCTGCCCCAGGGTTGTGGGACCACGAGATTCACGCAGCTTATTTCGACCGAACGACTGTAAACAAGGAGTTGGATTGGCACCATTACAATCCAGGAGTTGTTCACCTGTACCGATACGTACTTGGACGGATTTCTTCTCAGCGCGAACAGAACCAGTTCTACACAAACATTCGAGCCACAGTCGACCTGCTGAGCTCTATCAACCTCTCATGGCAGGAAGATGCCCAGACCAAGATATTTGCAGCCATTCGGTGTAAGATTCCTGCTGAAGCATTCGTATGCCATTCTGATGTGGAGGTTCTCGTCGTATTCGGTTTTCTCGGCCTTCTTCGAGAGCCAAAGCTGATGTATTTGGATCGTTTGGAACGTTACAGCATTCAAATGGAGCCCTGGAGCTGGGCAATGGTGACTGTCATCCTACTCAACGACGTACAGTTGGTCAAAGTGTTATTGGAGGGCAAACCTGAAAGAAACGCTCACAAAAATGAACTTCTTTCCGAGCCACTGCGAGTAGCGGTTACTAGCAAGAACTACGATCTTGTCACTTTATTCCTTGAAAATGGCGCACATCTGGGATGCCCACCATATTATGCCCTGTCACGCATCGGATGCAGAACGACCCTTCAATATGCTTGTGTCGCTGGAGATGTCAAGATGGTCGAGATTTTGCGAGGGCCGGAGTACACAATCCAGACGGACTGCTTGACACTCGACGGCGCGATGGACTTTACGGCCGTAGCGATCAAAAATCATCGGGACCGAGAAGCTTCCTATGTTCGAATCATGAAATGTCTCGTGCAGACATCAGACCCTGAACAACAGAAAGGGCTACGAGAGTACGCCATGTACCTGGGGATCACACACGAGCTTGAATCTATCGTCTTGATGATCCTCGGACTCGGGCACGACGTTGATGGCCACGAAGGCCACTCCCCTCTGAAGCAAGCAGCCTCTGTGGGAAACCTTGAGATTGTCGAAATTTTACTTGACCATGGGGCCACAACAAGTTCGGACCATAAACGGGATGCGATATGGTCTGCTTGCATGTTTGAGCAGCCAGGTGTGCTGGAAGTGTTATTCAAGAGAGCCATTACAGTTCCTGAGTATGGTCAGTCTCCCTTAGCGAGCCACCTTCTCTCCCTTGTCCGAGATGGGCCACGTGGTCAGGTGTGGTGTCACAGGTTTTGTCTCCAAGTCTGGAAAACCTGCTGCCATTACGGCTTGGACTTGACCATCGACAATTGTGGACAAAGGGCTTTAGCGCTCGCAACAGGCCCCTCATTCCGGCTGCTCAGAGAATTTCTGACCTCCTCTCTGCAATCTTTGCAATCCTCAGATTCCGTGATGGCTGATGGGTCTGGCGCGTCTATGCGAGCCACGACAAAAACTTCCAATACCGAAACGATATCATGATACCTCAAAAAAGCCGGACGACTTGACTCATAGCGTGGTGACAGCCAACAAATCATGGTGAATAAGAGGTTGTTCATCCGGCGAAATGCTACAGAGGGCAGCTTTTCTGGCGTACTTCTTTGGTGACTTCGAGTGAGTGGGTTGTGTTTACTGTTTTTCTCCCGTCCAAGTGGTCAGGCAGCTTGTTTCAGAGAGCAGCATGGAATACTTCTGGGAGGCTGTCTGGTAAGCCATAACATGTGTCCTGTCAAGCACAGCTCGTGGTAAGGCCCTGCGAGTGCAATGGAGACCGTGATTCGCAACCCAGTTATACTGGATATGTATTCCATAGTCTGTTGCTCATACAAGCAAAGGCTTCAATCAGCTAAATCCTTCGAAGAAGGACTTGTACTTTTAGAATAGGTCAGGCTGTGTGGTAGAGGACGCAAGGCTGAGTTTTAGCGGTGGCGCGGCCCGCAGATCACGCCCGATTTGCCGGGCAAAAGTCAGGTATGCCGACCAGAATTTTTTTGGCTGCGGGCACGTCTTGGAGAGAGTCTACGGCTAGATTTCCAGACCACACTCATTGTTCCTGCACTGGACGAAAGACCAGTTCCGGACATGGAGACCCTCGTCAAGAATGGCGATGGCCAATTGACGATCCACAATCTTCCACCTCCAGCGAAGACGAAGCGAGCACCGACAGGCACCTTGACCGCCGAAAACAGAGAAAATCAAGTACGCCTCGCCGAAGCACGCAAGAAATATGGACGAGGCCGACCAGTGCGCCTGAACGAAGTCAAAGATAAAAAGCTGCGCGCAAATCTCCAACGCATCGAGAACAAATACCGTACCGCAGTCTTGAACGCAAAGGATGCCGAGATTCTCTACGAAAACCAGGAAGGATTTCTGCAGCCCGAATCCGAACTCGAAAAGACATACAAAGTCCGGCAAGATGATATTCTGGACGCAGTCGGTGTCCAGCAGGCGAACAAGTCGGTCGATTTCAAACTCGACCTGGGACCTTATGTGTCGGACTACACACGAAATGGACGTAGTCTGCTGCTTGCCGGGCGTAAAGGGCACATCGCGACCTGCGAATGGCGAGATGGAAAGCCAGGTTGCGAAATGCATTTGAACGAGACGGTACGGGACGCCAAATGGCTACACAACGACCAGTATTTTGCCGTGGCGCAGAAGAAATACACATACATCTACGACCATGCTGGAGTAGAAATTCACTGCTTGAAAAAGTACGTCGAGACCACACACCTCGAGTTCCTGCCCTACCATTTCCTCCTCGCCGGCATCGAAAACAGTGGATATCTGCGTTACACAGACACATCGACTGGCCAGATTGTTGCGGAACACCCAACGAGAAAAGGTGCGCCCACGGCACTTGCTCAGAATCCATACAATGCGATATTGCACGTTGGGCACCAGAACGGCACGGTGTCCTTGTGGTCGCCGAACTCGACGACACCGCTGGTCAAAATGCAGTCCAATGCAGGTCCCGTGCGGTCAATTGCGATAGACCGGTCAGGCCACTACATGCTCTGCGGCGGACAAGACCTCCGCCTGAAACTCTGGGACTTACGAGCGATGAAAGAACTTCACACGTACAAGACACGCCAACCAGCGTCGTCGATCGACATATCGGACCGCGGACTGGCGGCGATCGGCAATGGGACTGGCGTGACGATATGGAAGGATCTATTCACGGGCTTGACGTCTTCTGATCCCTCGAAAGTGCGCTCGCCGTATCTGAACTGGGGCAACGACGGTTTGAGAGTTGAGCGAGTACAATTCTGCCCGTTCGAGGACGTCCTCGGAATCTCGCACGCCCAGGGCTTCAGCAGTATCATTGTTCCCGGCGCAGGCGAGGCCAACTACGATGCGCTGGAGGTCAATCCTTACGAGACACGCAAGCAACGCCAGGAGACTGAGGTCAAGAGCCTGCTTACCAAATTGCAGCCGGAGACGATTGCCTTGGATCCGAGTTTCATTGGGACGTTGGATGCGCGGAGCGCGGAGCAGCGAAGACGGGAGAAGGATTTGGATGCTCCGCCTCTGGATCCATTGTCTAAGTTAAAGGATCGGAATCGGATGAGGGGGAAGAATAGTGCGCTTAGACGGCATTTGAGGAAGAAGGGTGGGAAGAATATCATTGATGAGAAGAGGTTGAGGCTGGAAGAGATGAAGAAGGAGAGGGCGCAGAGGGTGGATGAGAGGGTGAAGAAGGATAAGGTTGAGTTGGGGCCTGCGTTGGCCAGGTTTGCAAGGAGAGGGTCGAGGGTGACTGGCCCGTACAGGCAGACAAGTCTTCTCTCTGCATGATGTTGATGGTTCTGGTGGTATACGTCTTAGGATACCATCCGGTCTTGCGGTATAGAGCCTCGGAGTGGTCGCATGACAGTATAAGGTAACTGGAAGAACAGCCAAGTTGTGATGTTATATGTTTCTTTTCATTTTATTGACACTTTGCTTTTTCCTATCTCACGACGACATCACTTTCGCCGCGAGACAGGAGGCTGCTCACCACTTCCTCTCTGCGCACCAGCCGCCCACCGCTTCCTACTCTCCGCATATCCCGGCGTACTCTTCCATGCGGAGATAATCATACCGACCGTCTCCCTCACACCAACACCATGCTTGATCACGGCACGTACCACAGGCCCTCCCTCGCGGATCTTGTTCGCCTCGCGCTCCATCAAGTCGACGTCCGCGCCCACCGCGTCCGACAGATCACACTTATTTATCAGGAGTAGGTCGCTGCCCGTTATACCTGGTCCGCCTTTTCTAGGGACTTTGTCCCCGCCCGCAACGTCAATCACGTAGATGATGAAGTCCGCAAGTTCGCGCGAGTAATTCGCCGCGAGGTTGTCGCCGCCGGACTCAATCAAGAGTATGTCTGTGCCGAATTTGGCGTGCAGTCCCTGTAAGGCGAGGAGATTGGCGGAGATATCTTCGCGCACCGCGGCGTGCGGGCACCCGCCTGTCTCGATGGCGACGATACGCTCGGGTGTCAGGGCGCCGTGTTTCGTAAGGAACTCGGCGTCTTCGCGGGTGAAGATGTCGTTGGTCACGGCGGCGATGTTGTACTCTTTGCGCAGGGCTAGGCAGAGTTCTAGCATTAGTGCTGTCTTGCCTGAGCCGACGGGACCGCCAATGCCGATTGTAAAGGCGCGGTCGCTGAAGTCTCTGCCCTCGACGAGTGGCATTTCGCGGTGGAGGTAGGAGCCTGGGCCATCGAGGATTTCGTGGGAGTGCCCATGCGGAGCGCCGTTCCCGTTTTCGTGGGAGTGTGAGGGCACGCCGTCGTGGGAGTGTGCGGCCATGATGGCTGAGGCTGGTGGAGGGTGCTCAAGGAGGCGACAGGGATGTAGGCAAGTGCAGTGTTGTTTTATAGGTATGCGGCTTCTCGCCCTGAACGTCTTTCTGTCTTTCGGTCAACCGGACGTGAAGGGAAAGCTTCGCTCGTGCCTTGTGGCCTTGTACCAGCTTCGAATGCTTGAACGATGTCTCTGGATTCAAGGCTGAAGTATCGGGAGGGTATGTACCACACTGTTGTGTTCGGCTTCATGGGATTGCGGGAAGCACTTGATCAAAAAAACTTACTTGTAGCTATTGTGTATCTCGTAGATGCGGGACAATGTCTGTCTAAACAAATGCCCCGCATCGACATCAAAGCCTAATTGCTGTCAATCGGCCGGCTGCAGGGTCCTTAGATGGGACACCGGACCGCCTGTCACTTATAAAGAGACTTTTAGACCATGGAGTATTTGTGATGGAAAGAGGGAGTGTTGGTCTTATATATCTTGACAGCATATGAACAAAGCTCACTGTTTGGAAGCTGCCTCAGAATGACTATCATACATATCGTCTTGTTCAAACTCAAGTCTTCGCTAAGCGATGCGGAGAAGAAAGAGGTATGTCACACTTCCATAGATGCTATACAAGTCATTGAATGCAAACAGGTCTGTGATGACATGTTGTCTCTGAAGGAAACGTGCCTGCATCCGTCAACGAACAAGCCATACATCATCACTTCATCTGGCGGCGTCGATAACAGTCCAGAAGGCGCTCAGGTTTGCGATCGCTGGCCATGCCTCAAACAGTGGTACTGACACGGGGCAGGGCGGGTTCACGCATGGCTTTGTGGTCGAATTCGCATCCCTCAAGGACCGCGACTACTATCTCTCCGACGATCCCAGCCATCTCGCTTTTGGGAAGAAGAATAGTCATAGATGGGATGATGTGAGGGTGATTGACTACGAGAAAGGCGTCTACTAGGTCGAGCACCGAAGAGCCTGCAGATCCCTGATGTTATCGAACGTTGGAATGCTTAATTTGATATAATGTTCGGGTAAACACCCTCGAGACCATCTTCTGCCAAACGCTGGAAATGCATCACGCTGGTCATGTCTTCATGAAACGCTGAACGACTCGCCACAACCGCATTGCTCCGTAATGTTGGGATTCTTGAAGACAAATCTGGCGCTGAGTTTGTCTTCCTGCCAATCCATTTCACTTCCAATAATGCTGAACAATGCTTTGCTGTCGATCAGGACCTTGACTCCCTCTTGCTCAACGACTTCGTCGAAGGGGGCCGGTTTGTCCACATACTCCAAATGATACGCGAGACCAGAGCAACCTCTGTTCTTAACGCCAACTCTGATCAACTTCGGGTTGGGCTGGTCCAGGAGGTTGCGCAAATGAATCAACGCATCCGGGGAGATTTTCATCGCGGCCTTTCGCGGCCTCAGTTTGCTCCGCCTGGGTTTGGCGGACTTGGTCTCTTCTGTCTTCGGCGGCGGCGGCGGGGCCACTGGCTTGGATTGTTGCGCCTCTCGTTCGGGCACGCGTATGCTGGCAGTCTCCGAGGTGCTGTTCTGTTGAGTGGTGTTTTGTCTCAAGGAATTCGTGTCATTCAATCGAGGTCCGGGTCCTGCTATGGACGTATCTGGGACATTTGTGTTTCGTGGAGGTAACGGATAATCTGCAGGGAGACTATGCGGCTGGTATGAGGGAGCAGTATAGAGTTCTCGCTTCGACGATGCCCGTCGACCGATAGAGGAGGAGAACGTCCTCAGCGAGTGAGGACATGATCGCGCCGTCGAGGCTACCGCGAGTGCTCGGAAGAACGTGGCGGATGACGTCGTTGTTGGGATGAAATGCGTCGCAGCCATTGCGACTGGTGTTCTGGGACTGATGGACGTGCAGATTGAGAAAGGTGTTATAATGATAGTCTGTCGAGCATTTGGACCTTATCGGCAACTCGCGTGTGATGTCGAGAGTGTTCGTTCAATTGTAGGAGGATGGAGAGAAAAGAATAGAGCCGCAGGTGAATGAACTTCTCTCTCGCCGAGGTTTGTAAGCCGGGTTTGCACGTAGTAGCCAATCGGAATCGAGTTGATCATAAAGCCTTGTCCGAGACTTGCTGTCACCAGATAGACACTCCTCCCAAGCCTTTGTCTATCTTTCATATACAATCCGCGAAGATCTCTAGGTCTTGACGTCCTGTCGCACGCAATAAAGCATCCCTGAAGTGAATATGCTCGCTCGCCCTTCTGTGCAGACGGTGAGAAGAGCCAAGTCAAGTCCAACTGCAGCAAAAGCCACCTGCCAAGCATCCCGAGGGTTTGTTGTCGTACAATCAATTTCAGCTGTGAATTCTGGTCATCCATGCTCGTGCCATGCCCACAAGACTCCTTTCTCAGAGCGCCCAGGAGGAACCAGCATCGTTGACCATGACTTCTGACCCCGTCATCTCCTCCTCGACAACCCTCAGCTTCTGCATCTACCATGGAATCACCCCTGACTCAATTGTTGAGGCCAGATTCTTTTGAGCCAAAAATCGTCCAGCTCTATCTACATCTTTTTAATGTGCTTGCCAATGAAGATACTGATGAGGATGTGCCCTCAGAAGGGTTTTGGAGGGAGCTGTTCCTTCTCAAGCCGGATAAGCAACGGCTCTATGATATCCTCGCACCATTGACCGCTAACGACCTGCTTCATATGCATGTATGGTCAGCTCATTCCATTGGCTCTATGGTGACACTGCCTGACATGGTTTTAGACTCAAACCCAGGCATTCTTTAGGCGGGCAATCACGGAGAGCAGCTCAGGAAATTCTCCAAGAAGTGGCAACGCACTTGAGGTACGTTTCAGTCAGCCTCAGCACTTCAGGCCCAGAGTTGATTGTTGAAGAACTTGGCAGCTTTTCTATGCGCCATATTCACCAAGAAATATACCAACCCGAACACAGACGTGATTCAGGTACTCGCCGGGCTCGATGCAATTGATAAGTTGATGTCTGACCTGGTCCACTCACTGGAGTCAATCATCCGTCAAGCAACCGACAGTTCTCTACGAACTAAAGCGCTTGATGTCAGCCTTGCTCTCGTGGCAGGCGGCTTCCACACGAGTCTGGTGTCGTATTTCATGCACAGGGATCTGTTCTCCGCGCTCGTGAAGGTACATTATATACTTGGCTTATATGAATGACGCTGATTCTACTAGTACATTCATGACATGGACAAAGATCCTTCCCAAGGCCTCAAGGCGTTTGTTCTTATCGGGGTCTTGTCCAGTTACAACAAGTTTGAATCGCAAAACGTGTATCAGAATCGACTGGAGGATTTTGTCAACGTTGATACAATTCGCTTGCTGGTGCAGAATTTTGCCAGTGCCTCTGCACGACTTCGCGACCAGTATGTGGCCGTACAGGATGATTTACCGACGGCATGGAGTCTGAATTCAACACTTTCGATGGTTGGCCTGCGTGCACTATCAGCAGACGCGAAGAAACCCGTCCCTCCCACCGAAGAGGAAGCCAAGGCGTTGTTCGCCACCACTCCCAACCAGGATGCAGCTTGCATTTTATCTTTGTATTCTTTCGTTCAAGCGAATAAGATATTTGCGGCGAACCTTGTCAATCTACCAGCCGACGAAGATCGAGAACCACCCTTCGCAACCTTCCTGTCCTCAACGTCTTATATCTCTCATCATGCCTATCGGGGGCCTCGCCAGTCGACATATGCGGTGCTGAGTCTCTTAGCCATTCGCATTATGGTGGAAGATCCTATCCTGGTAAAGAAAATTTCGTCATCGGACGCCAAGGCAGTGGTTCGGTTGTGCCATCAAAGGCCTCCCCATCTACCTTTTGTCACAAATGCCAGAGTTCCAGCGATCGCAATTTTGGACATCTGTACGGACACCCTCAGTCACAATCTTCGTAAAAAACTCGACGTCCAACTATACGGTCTTGCTTTGGGAATTATACTACGTATAGTGACACATCTTGAGCAGACAAAGACTCGATTACAGCATCACTGGGCCTATATATGGGGCTCGTTGATCTCATTGATGCGCTTCCTGGCCCAGTACTCGAGCGATCTTGGATATCTCAGGAACATTCGGGAAGACTTGTGTTCCACGTTGGCCAATCTCGCAGCTTTTTGTCTGTCCAAGGGAGACGGATTTCTGCCGGATCCAGCCAGTTTTGACGACCTCTTCTACAAGCTGATTGAAGCGAATGATATTTTAGCGAAATTCAAGCAAGCGTATTGTGATCTCGGGTCACCATCCAGCACGTTGAACAGATCGGTGGAAGCGTTGATCAGTGTTTCGTCGCACTATCACAGTCTGTTAAAGGCACAGCACGGGAGGAAGACGCATCAATCCCCGGCTGCAATCCAGAAAGTGATCAAGGAAGGCTATGAGACACTCAATCTCGAACCTGATGAGAGGCTTGGTCAATGGGAGAGGTGGAGGGAGAATAACTGGAAACCAGAGCTCAAGAAAATGATCCGGGTCGCTGTTGAGGATGCTCGAATACTGTCCCTGACCTGAGTAAGGAGGACAGTGAAGCCATCGACTGGGTAACGCATGCATCAAGAGTGGATTGAGGGTCAGTGCCGCTTGACAGCGAGGAGCCCCAGTGATCGCATGTGACACCGGCATCTGGAGTGCTACGTCTCGATGCCGAACGAGCATCGGGCCGCGGGTTCCACGGGATTCGTGACAGCAAAGCTGTATGGGTCGTCGCCACCTCGCCGGGAGGGCATCGCGCAGTCATTGCACAAAAGCACAACTCCTGCTTGACATGAAGAATGCGAAGCCGAGGGTTCCGCCGACGCAACTCGACACAGAAAAGCTGGTCGGAGAACACGGCGCCGAGAGTGTGGCCGATGAGCATATATAGACAAACTACCAAGTCCTCATTAGGACCAACTTCAACCACGTGATTAGGCGACTCTAGCGCCGGACGTCGCGACAACAGAGTTCACCACCCGCCCGCTAGAAAAGATTTCCAGCGTCGGACACCGTAAAGGCTCCTGAAGTCCTCGGGCAAAGAAGGGGCCCTTTGGCGCGACGATAATTGTACAACCGTACTCACTAGACGGAGTTGCTCCCACGGATGCAGGAACAGAATGTTTACGTCTTTGATACGGGAGCGCAGTCAGCAATTACTTTTGTGCCGCAATTGACGAGATCCTTCCTGGTTAGCAGTCTGTCTGATCACAGCACCCATATCATGGAAGGGCCAGGCATGTTTTTCAATGACCAGACCACTGCAAAGTATCGTCACCGCTAACATCAGCTTTATTAATAATTGCGAGTCTTGACTAGCGGTCAAAGTTCAAGACCAGCTCTATCGCCGTGGCTATGCCCCTCGTCCTGTATCCGTGGGCGAAAAGGGGGCCGATACCACGAAAAAGTTCCAGGGGGAGGGGCACGATTGTGGGCTTTTGGGTCCAGTCGATCGACCGCCCACTAAGTTTAAGGCCCTGCGGCTGATTAGGTACGGGGAGTGTCAATAAATAGAACTGCTATAAAATGTGTCCTCAAGTGTCAACTCCCTGCAAGACGACGCACACACAGCTGCATCTGCATATACAAAACTCCTCGCTTCTTTTCCGGCCAGACATAAGACGATCCTTATCTCTTTTCGTTCCCGAAATTGTATATATCCTTCGTGGTCCTGCACAAATATTCACACTGACCCTTTCTCCGCACAGCACACACACACCGCTCCCACATAAACAATGGCTTCCCACTCGACCAGAGTCGCCAACGGCAGTGCCGGCGGCGCCTCATCTCCTTCATACCTCCTCAATGGCAAGGTCGCTCTCGTGACCGGATCAGGTACGTCGACAGTCTGTGTCTGGCTCGGGGGATTCAGGTTTACCCCTGAACCGACCCCGGGCATGTCATCTTCACCGCAACTTGGGTACTAACTGGTGCACAGGACGAGGCATGGGCCGTGAGACCGCCTTGGAACTCGCCCGCCGTGGCGCCGACGTTGTCGTCAACTACGCCAACTCCTCGAAAGCCGCAGACGAACTCGTCGCCGAGATCAAGGCGCTCGGCCGGGACTCGATCGCAGTCAAGGCCAACGTTTCGGACGTATCACAGATCATCGAGATGTTCGCCGAGGCCAAGAAGCACTTTGGCAAGCTCGACATCGTGGTGTCAAACAGCGGTGTTGTGACATTCGGACATCTCAAGGACGTGACCGAGGAGGAATACGACCGTGTCTTTGCTATCAACACCCGTGGCCAGTTCTTCGTGGCTCGCGAGGCGTACAAGAACCTCGAGGTCGGCGGACGTATTGTCCTCATGGGCTCCATCACCGGCCAGGCCAAGGGCGTGCCCAAGCACACCGTCTACTCTGGATCTAAGGGCGCCATCGAGACGTTTGTGCGCTGCATGGCCATCGACTGCGGTGACAAGAAGATCACTGTCAACGCTGTCGCCCCCGGTGGTATCAAGACGGATATGTACCACGCTGTGTGCAAGGAGTATATCCCCAACGGCGAGAACTTGACCAATGAGCAGGTCGATGAGTATGCGGCTACTTGGTCGCCTATGAACCGTGTCGGTCAGCCTATTGACGTTGCCCGTGTCACTGCTTTCCTGGCTAGCCAGGACGGTGAGTGGGTCAATGGCAAGGTCATTGGTATTGACGGTGCTGCTTGCGTAAGTCTTCCCAGCTTTCCAATCGTGTGTCGCTGCAAATGCTGACCGTTGTTCGTGCAGATGTAAATTCACTCTCACCTTTACCTCCCTAGCATGCGAACCGAATCTCAAACTTCCAAAGACATCTTAGAAAGCGGTGATGCAAGAACCGGAAAGAGCGGGAAAGTTGGAATATGGGAAACCATACTAGCCATCTATGCATACTCTTTGGATTCATGGCTGGGGTGCTTTGAGAGATCTTCTACCAAAAAAGCGCATATGGAGTTTGCATACCTATCTTTGGAGCGATTGCAAAGGGGATTTTTCTTTTGGCTTCAGGTTGCAAGTAGACTTTTTACAGCGCTCAGAGTGAATATTATCCTTGTTAGCCAGTGTGTTTCTGTGTCTACCTCCCCACCGCTTTCGCGACCAGTTTGTCGTCCAGAGCATATGGCTCGCCGTCTTCGCCAAAGACGACATCTTCGGCCAGATACACGAGAATGCCTCTGCTGCGCCGCTCGGCATCTTGCAGCCGGTACAAGATGCGCCCAAACGCATCGGATCTGTGTGACGAGTGCAGTAGTAGATTGTTCTCCGATGCCCAGTCTTCGACCAGAGACTTGAATGTGATTTCTTCCATGTCTGCTGCTGCGGCGCCAGAAGGTGCAGCCGAGGGAATCTTTGCAGCGGTGGGAGGTAGAGCTTTGGGCCGACGCGATCCGAGGAGTGGCTTCCACATTGGCCAACTGTCTGCATCGACTTTGGCCTTTACTAACGACTTGAGCTCGACGAAGTGTTCGAGGTCAAGGTCTTCGGAGGACAGCAAGGTCCACCAGTCGAAAAGCCAGGTGTGCATGTCTGGCGCGGATTTCTTGGACTTTCGCGACCCATTACTGAGTCCCAGTGTGGTGGACTCGATGGTCTTAGGAAAGCGTTTCACCGCCTCGATCAGACGTGGTAGTATGGTTTCGTGGAGGATTTTATAGATAAGCCAAGGGGCCAGGACGGGTGACCATGATGTGATGACAGAGTACGCCGGGTCGGGATCGTAAACATCCCACTCTTTTGCAAGGGCAGTCCGGATACGCGGATACCAGTGCAGAAGGAGAAGAGATTCAAAGTAAGTGGTTCGTTTTCTGTGGCGTGAAGTGATGGATTTCTCGATCTCCAGAAGCTGATCAATCGATTGGAATGACTCGACCAGGTGTTTTGGTTCGGTGAGAGGCTCCCATTCGACCATTTCCCGTCGAAACGGTGTCTCGAGGCATGAGGCTGTGAGTTCTGGGAGTGATAAATCGGAGATGTAGCTGGTATATCTGGTCTGAACATCTTGGAGGCGTGATATAGAGGCATTCCACTCTCTTGACTCATTCGAGTCGTCTACCGCAACTCTTTCGAATGCTGATATGATTCCGTTATAGCGTTGAATTTCTTCCTCGTGGAGCAACAATGCAGCGCCTAGTTGGGTGTCTTCGAGTTCCAGATGTGTCTCTTGCTCTTTCGTGGAATCCCACGCATCTGCAAATGCTTGCAGTTGTAGTTTTATCCGAGACGTCGCCTTCGCGGTCTCTAGACCCGGTGATGACTCTCGGGTCGGGGTTGAAAATCCTGAGAATGAGGTCACCGTCTTCGTCTCTGAACCTGTCGCATCGACTATGATCTGTTTCATAGCCTCCGGAACATGCAGACCCCTCGACTCGATTGCCGAGACCGCATATTTCGCTTTTGGAGGGGCCTTGATCCGTGGTGTACTCGTGCCAGGTGTAGATCCCTTTGATGACGGCTTATCCTTCCCTGGCTCTCTTCTGCGAGGTGGCTCGGCTGTTCCGCTGCCTTGCCCAAGACCAGCGCGACTTGACAGCACCTTTGCCTGGATTGGTGCTGTGATGCCCTGGCCCGCTTTTCCCAGACCTTGACCTGCGACGTAGCCCTGCTTGGCCATCATTCGGGCAGCGAAAGAATTCTTTTGTATTCTGCCACCAGCCCCAAATGCCGACGGTCCTGCGCCGCCTTTCTCCGGCTCCGGTCGAGGCGACATGTCTGATTCAGGTGTCACAGGTTCTGGTTCATCTTTTGCCTCATATTCGCCGATATTGAAGGAGCTGCGGAAGCCACCCATCCCCGTTCCCATTCCCATGCCCATGCCCAAACCCATGGTAGGTCTTTCGTCGTCTACGTCCTCTTCATCTTCATCTTTTGCCTCCTCGTCCCCGGTAGATTTTACGAACCCGAGCCCACGGCCCCTCAGCGTCTTTGTTGTCGTTTTCCTCCGCTTATTTGGGCGCTCATTGTCTGTATCCTCGTCGTCGTAGTCTCGAAGAGTAAAGGGCTGATCGTCTTCCGAGGAGTCACTCATTTTGTGGCTTGGAGTTTGCCGGGGGATTTGATCACTGTGAAGCCAAGTATGCACCGAGTTTGGCACTCACGTACACAGTAGATGCTCGAGAGAAGGCAGAATCATCAGCGGCGCGTTTGGCGCATGTGGCACATGTGCGTGAAGATTTGAGACTCGTAAAGAGGCAAGCCTGGGTCGACAACCGCGATGACCGATGGCTCAATACAAGATGAGTACCAACTCAATGCAATCCCCACGCTGCACACCGCACCGAACACTGTCCCAAGAGTGTTTGTCTTGTGGGTTTCGGTCTGTTCAATTTGATTCTCGCTGCAGCCTCGTGAAAAAGAAGTTGTGCCGAGATTCTGCCAGTTTAGGGCTTTGGGCCGATCCCTCAAGCGCCTAAAAGGGTGACGTAAAGGCAGGTCCATCTTCAATGCAAGCGAGGTCGCGATCTCGATATACATCGGAGCTGCGGATGTATCGCTTCTATCTTTCTTCTTTCCCCAAGTCCCTACCCTCTCTGCTACTTGATTGTAAAACCTTGTAGTTCCAGCTTCACAAACTCGCCATGGCTTCCATGCTTCGATCAGTCACTCGTCCCACAGCACTTCGAGCTGTTGCGACCACTCAACCTCTGCGATCTCTCACAACAGCCAACAAGACCTTTGTCCGAAACAAAGCAACTCTCCCTGATCTTTCCTGTAGGTACCGGATTGAAAATCTCTTAGCGGGAGAACGCTGACCAACGTTGCAAGACGACTATGGTGCTCTTGAGCCTGCCATCTCTGGCAAAATCATGGAGCTTCATCACAGCAAACATCACCAAACCTACGTAAACTCCTACAATGATGCCGCCGATAAGTACGCGGCCGCCGAAGCCAACGACGATATCGCTGCGAAAATTGCTCTACAGCCCTTGGTCAACTTCCACGGTGGTGGTCACGTCAACCACACTCTCTTCTGGGAGAACTTGGCTCCCAAGAACTCTGGAGGTGGTGAGCCTCCCTCTGGAGATCTGGCCAAGGCCATTGACAGCACATATGGAGGTTTGGAAGACTTTAAGAAGAAGTTCAACACTGCTCTGGCAGGAATCCAGGGCAGCGGTTGGGCCTGGTTGGTCAAGGACACTCAGACAGGAAACATCTCCATCCAGACATTTGCCAACCAGGACCCTGTGGTCGGTCGATACAAGCCCCTGCTGGGTGTTGATGCATGGGAGCATGCCGTAAGTGGAATTCGTCTTTCAGACCCTGTCATGTGCTGACACACGGCTAGTATTATCTTCAATACCAGAATCGAAAGGCCGAGTACTTCAGCGCCATTTGGGACGTGATCAACTGGAAGGCTGCTGAAAAGAGGTTCTGAGCGCTTTCACAAAATAACGATTGAACATCACTACATACCCTTGCTCTCCGCTGAGCATCTAATCAATCTACAGACCTTGCAGAGTTGACCAAAATCCACGATCTCTTCTGACCGAATTTCATTCCCTTTATCTATTGATCTTATTCATCTCCTGTTCAGCTCCTGCCCGTCTTGTACCCTCGATCAGATCCCCTACGAATTTGTTGTCGACCGCTTCCTCCGCGTAAGCCAGAGAATCAGGGTACGGTCGCCACACCAGCCAATCTTCCACACGAACCTCCCCCTCAGGTTGCGTCTGGAGAAGGCCTACACTAACATCTATTGTGTCAAGGCCGTGCTTCTTGTAGAAAACTGTTGCGCCGCACCTCACGCAGAAGTATCGACTCAGATCAACGGACGTCTGATACTGGCCGAGCCTTGACTTGTCGGCAAGAAAGTCATTCAAACTACTGCCATCAATTCGAACCAGACGCATTAGGCACGGTGGTCCAGGCAGTAATCTCGAAGCCAGTGACAGTCCGACACGAAGTGCAGGCGTCCATATTTGCTTCGAATCCTGCGGTGCTGCTATTGGACAACTGCTCAGGCTTGGCCAACGAGAACGCAACCTTGTGGCAATGACACCGAGCATTGAGTCGCTCCTGCCGAGATACCGGCAAGATGGTACGTCCTGCTTCCATCAACTTCGTGACTGCTTCGTCGCTGACCACTTTACTTTCTCGGCCATTCCAAAACCTGCTCATATCGGCCAGTTCTCCTTTATTGATCCAGCCCACAGCTCCTCCGTCAGCCTTGACATCTTCAACCCAGAGCTGTACACGATCTAGTTTTCCCTGAAGTCCATCTTCGTCCTCGAAATGGAGCAGTCCTGTCGCAACTTCCCATTCGTGATGCTCGCCGGCTTTATCAATGTTGATGACACTGGCGCCGCATTGTTTGCAGAACCATCTCTCACATTTCGACGATGAATTATATCTGATTAGGTTTCCGCTTTCCCAGATTTTGGTCGATATAGGTGTCGGAATGACTGCCCATGTGGTAAACAGCTGACCTGTCGTATGGCGGCATGAGTTGCAGTGGCACAAGGCAGATTTTAATGGGAACGACGACGATGGAAGCGAGAGAGAAAACGAGGTAAGTTTGCAGTGACAGTGTATCTCAACAACATAATTCTCGGTCGTCGGTTCTTCTGCCATTTTGCAATTCTGCGAGAAATTTCTTATTCGCTGTCACAAGGAATGTCTTTCTAGCTTAGCTGATACTGCTCTGCTGCTGGAATTGTAACTTCCTGGGGGCCGCCACTGCCTCGGTTTGGTGACATGAAGGGCGTACAGAAGCAGGAACCAGATGATTGGTCACGACCGAACAGTGTTCTACACGAGGACCTGGTGGCCGTTCAACTCCGCACTACCGGGGTAACTTCAGCGGCGGAACTTGACGACATGAAGGCATCCAGATTGTGACCTTACATTCCAGATGGTACAAAGGTTGCCCTTAACTCTATTTCAGCGACCTCGGACTCTATAAACTCGGGCTAATAACAACATAAAGCTGTCGACATGGTGAACGTGGAACATCGTTCCCTCTCCTCAAGCACCATCGGCGACCAGTCCGACAGTCCAAGTGATCCTGATCTCCAGTGTCGCTCAGTGAGCTTGCAAGCCATGCTCCTCCACCATGGTCCAGTAGGCCTTCGCGGTCGCCTTGCGAGTCTTCTTCCCGATGAGGATGAACAAGAAGCAAAGACCCCAGAAAAACATGCCGATGAAACCAATGGCGATATATGTGTTCTGCACACCATCGGCCGTTATCCAAGGAGTCACGGCAAAACCAAACCCGAAACCCATCGTGTTACGAATGCAGATCATGGTAACGAGGCCATCGCCAGAGACTTCTTTGTACGAGTCGATGATGTAGTTGATGGCGATTGCACTTCCAATGGGGAATGTGCCGACGATAAACGCCAGACCGAAAGCAATGCCCACCCATGACACGCCTTGTTTGGCTCCGACACCGAACAGGATGCAACCGGCAGGGTGCAGTACGAAGGGGACCACTGCCATCCAAAGTCGGTACTCTGGCTCGAAAATGCCACCCTTGCGTCGGGACATCCACACAGCGAATTTATTAGCAGCAACACCAGCGAACAAACATCCGATAGTGCAACCGATGAACTGTGGCGATTGAGTCAGCACCGGATTTTATCAGGCAGGAAATTGACACAAGCCGGAGGGACTTACGGGAGCAAGGAACATGAGACCGATCGCGTCGGTTGACATGTTGTATGGTTCAGCGGCCAGGACCAAAGCAATTGTGTCAACGACAACGTTGAACCAGGAGAGCACCGATCCGACAAGAATTCCGGCGAAGGTGATAACAGGGAAGCGTAGCAAGGCGAAGGGCATCCACATGTGGCGCAAGTAGTTATTGGGCTGGCCGGGGCGACGAGCACCCCAGAACTTGAGTTTCTGCGCAAAGGATTTCTTGGTACTGGTCATGCCAACTTCAGTCTGAGGAGATTGCGAGGTGACCGTTTGCTTCTCGGTTGTGGTTCCGGTAAATCCCTCATCCGAGGCGCTTTCTTCGACGACGTCCAAAGCTTCCTCCTGGATTGGGGGGCGATAAAACATGGTCTCCTCCAGAAAGAAGAACATGATCAACGTACAGCCAGCTGAGATGATGGCCGCAACCCACTGGATCCATTTCCAGCTGTGAAAGTGTCAGTTTGGAAAACTACAAACAAGCAGGGCAGCTAGAAGCTATGTGAACATACCCTAAATACTGAGCGATGTACCCGGCTGGCACCTGTGATCCGGTCAGCACGTCAGACAGCGACTGCATCAGAGACATCACTTACGGCTCCAAGGAAGGGGATGCCAAAAAGAATCCAGCAGTACATCCCGATCCAAAAGCCTCGGTCGTGGGCAAAGAAGACATCAGACATGCAGACCTCAATCATTGTTTCGATAGGTCCGTACATGAACCCGATGATGATTCGATTGGCGTACCATTCGCCGGTGGACGTGACATACGAGGTCCAAACGGAACAGGCGATCATACCCAACGCGCCAGCAAGGAGACATGGTCGCCGTCCAAACGTCAAACCCATTGGTTGCCACAGAAGCCAGTTGCTCCAGCCGAAGAAAAAGTACTGCACACTGATGCCCTGGTTGAGTGTTGAGATAGGGATGCCTGTTTCCGCTGACATATCCACCTCTGCAGCGGAGAGCAAAGTGGTCATGATGTCGGCCGAAAAGACGGCCAGTAGCAAAAGGCAGGCGCACAGGAGTTTGCGGCCTTTGGACCAGTTGAGCGGATCATCGTACTCGTTGGTTGGCTGAGGCAGGAGAACAATATCCTTTTGACCACCCTCATTATGCTTGACGTGGAGTGTTCCAGCTAAATCGACCTGAATTCGGAAGTCAGCCCAACTCCAAAGGCATGAAGTACTGGGTTATGGGGCTTACCAGATGGACTGTTCCTGGAATTACGTCGGTGTGCATGGTATGGTGCGCAGGCGCCATTGTGAAGTCTTGTCAAGAAGGACAGCACTCTTCAGGATTTGCAATTGAAGTACAACCTACGACCCCGGGCCTGAAGAGTCCACCGGTCATATATACATCAACCGCAAGTCGCTATGTCAATTACTTCACCATCAAGACACAGGCCAAGATTCCCGATACCAACTACCCCGTATCTAGGTGCGTTATCATTGCTCGGAAAGATTCCTGTTGGATCTCTCGTGTTGGTGTTATCGCGCTGGGGGCCCCCTCGCCCACTTTTCGAGAAAGGCAAGCTACCAAGAGGTCCCAACCTGCCTTGTGAGAACCCGCTGCCATTCACCCAGTCTATGTCGAGTAAATGGCCAATCAAATTAGGTGTCTGGCGGACAAGGCTTGCCCTGGGTTGGCTGCCTATCATATTACCCTATTCAGTATGGATCCGTCCTGCTGCCAATTCGCTAGCGTGGATATATTGCTGGATCCTATCAACTCCAACACCATTATCTTAGCGACTATCCATATCTATCCGACCCGCATCGAGAGCTGATATGGGACACGCGTAGCAAAGACCGAAGACGCGAGCTTTGTTTGTGGACATGAGGGGCACAGCTCAAGCTTAGGCAGCTCAGCAAGCTCGAGCTACAAGATGGAGGGGTTGAAAAGGCGCAGAAATGGCCGCGTTGCGAGGGAAAAATCGCTGGTCCTCTTTCAATCTCTTCTTGCAGTATTCCTTGAAGTATCACCACAATCGCAAATATGGCCACCGTCTACGTGAACGGCAATGTTTACACCGTCGACCCCAGCACTCCCACAGCCGAGGCTTTCCTTGTCAAGGAAGATGGCACATTCGGTGAGGTCGGCTCGAGCGCCGAATTGACCAAGCTCGCGGAAAAGACAGGTGCCAAAGTGGTTGACCTTAAAGGCGAGTTCGTCATGCCTGGTATGCACGACGCGCACATCCATATTCTGGCAGCAGCAGAGAAACATCTCTTCAACGCCAAACTTGGCCTGGAAGCAGGACCCGAAGAGATCGTCCACAAACTCACGGACTACAAGTCATCGTGCGGCCATCTCGAATCCGTCGGAAACTGGCTCATCGGCAACTTCTACCACTATGCGCACTTTCCCAACGGCAAGCCCGACCGCAAATTCCTCGACGATGCGTTCGGCGACCAACCGATTGTCATTCGCGAGTACACCACTCACTGCATCTTCGCCAACACGGCAGCCCTCAAGGCCGCACTTTATGAGGACAGCCCGGAGGACCCCTGGGACGGATGGTACGTCAGGCGGGATGACGGGACCATTACGGGTGAATTGGTCGAAGGCGCAGCCAAGAGGCTCTTCGCCGCGATTCCCAAGGGAAGTCCCGAGATGCATCTCGAGGCAATGGAATACGGAGTCAAGATGTTGAACAGGTTCGGCTTCACCGCGGCGCAAGAAGCCTCCGCCAACGCCATCTACCTCGAAGCCGCCAAGAAGCTCGACGACATGGGCAAGCTGACGATCAACCTCGACGCGCACGTCGTGTATTGGGGCGCAGCCTTCAGTCAAGAAGTTCCGGAGACGCTGATCCACAGCATCAACGCTGCGTACAAGTACGAGACCAAGCACTTCAACCCGAACTTTGTCAAGTTCTGGCTGGACGGTGTCCCGTGGGCACCGCATTTCACTCAGTGCTCACTCACCGAGGAGGGCAAGACCGACTTCAAGAAGATTTTGGTCCCGCCCAAGATCTTCGAGGAGGCCATCGAGCGTTTCGACAAGGAAGGCCGAACATGCAAAGTGCACGTCTGCGGCCAGGGTTCTGCACGTTACGCCCTCGACGTCTTCGAGGAGCTGCGCAAGCGCCGCCCCAACGGGCCCCGCCACGAGCTGGCTCACAACATGGACGTCCACCCAGGCGACTTCGACCGCTACAAGCCACTCCGAATCACCGCCGAGATGTCTCCTGCCATCTGGCACGAGCCTACGATGCAACCCGAGCAGAACCCCTTGTCGGTCTACCCGTTCACTCACCTGCGCAAGGCTGGCGCCCTCCTCACAATCGGTTCTGACTGGGTGTTCGCGCCCGAGACACCCAACATTTTCCCCGGTCTGCAGGCTCTCCAGGAGGGCCGTCCGGGCTGGGAATTGGAAAGAGATGATCTGATTCGTATCATTACAATTGACGGTGCAAAGGCTGTCGGCAGAGACCCCAAGGAGGGTACCATCACTCAGGGCAAGTTGGCCAACTTCATTATCTTGGACAGGGACTTGAGTACCGCGAAGGAGATCGGCACGACGATCGTGCTGAAGACTTTCTTCGAGGGTACCCAGGTGTATGACTACGAGAGTGATGAACTCAAGCACTTCCAGGGACGCCCTGGTTAGGCCCAGCAGCCTGGGTGGAAGATCGATAGACTTCTCAAATAGCTACACAATTAGTATGAACCTAGTAAGAATGGCCATGCCCAGAAAAGTGTCACCTCGAACCGTTATTGGTAAGTCACCCACAGTCAGAAAGTAGGAGTTCGCAAAATGTCTACCAACGGCTAGTGATCCGCACGGTGCCTGATGGCCCGTCATATCTTGAACCAAACGGATGCGATTACGGGCGGTGCGAGGCCGTGTGCTCCACAGTTTCGCATTCGTATGTCCGCGCTTTATCACATGCAATTGCGAGCCTCTCAGGTTAAACGTTATATTGCTGACTGTGCTCGCAAAGCAGGTTGTGATGCGCCGATCCGGTGGAAGGCGCGGCACAACAGCGTGGACGTCCAAGTGCTGTACTCCATCTCGACTGCTAAAAGGTTCATTCGAGACACGGCAAAAAACACTGATAGAGTGATAACCAGGGGCACTATAGGTGGCACTAGCCCCTTGCAGTAGTTACCGTATACCCCCAAAAAGGTTTGATGAACGCCTCTTTGAAGGCTAAATCCGGATTGGCCGGTGGATAGATAGCTCGCCATACTCGCTTTGATCTCCGATTCGCAGAATCCACGAAGATCTGAGGTCGGATATGATATCGCGCCGAAGATAGCACGCCCGCAACTCCACGATTGTCGGAAAATTTCACGAGTGATGTTATCGTTATCTTTCCGAGTCCGCAATTGTGGAACAATCCGTAGTCAGTACTCGGATCTTGCCCTGACGCTGTTATCGATGCGGGCTGAAATCCGTACGCGTTATCGCCCGTGCTCGTGTTATTGATATTCAGTGGCGCTTTTCCGTCGCAATCCGAGAGTTCTCCAACCAGGCTCCCAAACGGGCAAGCGAGCCTTGCTATCAAACCTTTGAAACAAATGCTTGGTGGTGGGTCATTAGGCGTACCACCCTTCCATGTTTAGGCTAGCCTTGACTCCGCGTCCACTGCATATACAGTGTACCTCGAACATGTGACAATCTATTGGCAGGGCCAAAATAGATGGTGTCCAGAGACGGGAATGCTAACGACTTGGCAAATATCAAGGCTGAAATTCAGACGCCTGCGCAGCTCGGCCTGGAAGTACCGACAGGGTCGTGGGATGCAATAGCAGTCATCATTGCCGGCGTCATGTCCCGCGAGATGGGTTTGTTCCTGATACCATCAACCCAAAGTCGTTTCCCAACCCTTGTCTGTCATCACATCCATCCAATAGACGTCCGCCATACCCTTATCGATGTGCTCCCAGGTTAGAGTCACGATTTGTATCATCTGCCTCAGCGGTTTGGCTGGGAGTACGTGCTCGAAAGTCGAGAGCCTTGAAATAACGAACTTCCTGGCATCGAGCACTTCGACGGCGCTAGGGCCAGCTACCGCTGGCTCTATGCCCTCCACGAGCCCGTTGGTCTGTTCTGATGCCGACGGAATAGTCAATTCACTGGCCACTGCCACGAAGAAGAATGGCTGCACGCATTTGGTGGCCGACTCAATAGGAAGTGTTCTGAGGAGGTCCACGATTTCCACTGCAAACGCCGTAAGCCTTTGGTTCATGCCATCTGGAGAGATTCTGTCTGGATCATAGAAATCCAGTTGCGCCCGGTCAGTGCCATAATCTGATAGTAGATCCGGGAAGACACGGTATAATTGTAGTAAGCCAGTCAAACGATATAGTTCTGCGATGGTAATGAGATGTTTGACGGGTGTTTGGACGTCTCCTGGATTGATGATTGCTTCCTCTGCAGGTAATTGTAATCCTCGCAGCCTTTGAGCGAGCTCCTCAGCTTTATTGATGACCTTGTAACTCTCGTCAATGTCGGCCAAGGATGTGAAAAGGGGCCGATTTTTGATGCGTTGCCGCTCCTTCCTGACCAGGCGGCCCACCTCAAAGACAAGGACTTGAGCTTCTCTTGCGACTCCTGTCCAGGGATGTGGGAAACTTGGCTCAAGCATATCGTGAGAATCGGAGCTTGATATTTCAGGGCCTTGTGTAAGTGGAAGTGCCACCGAGACGTCACTGACATAGGATAAGAGCATCTCCCAGTAGATCATTGCTTCTTTGAAGAATTGTAAGTTGCGTTTGTTGTTGACTTCTAGGAAAGCTGGCGTCTGTCCGGTCGTCAATGCAGCCATGATCGTGCGGGCCTGGTTGAAGTGTTCGCGGCCAAGATCGTTCGGATTGTGCCAACTGGCTGAAAGACCAAGCATGATCAGAGTCAACAATGACCCTGTCTCGACCTTTGAGTCACGAATATCGGCTTCGACACAAGTCATCGCAGCATGTCGCAACTTGTCACCAACTGTGTGCAGACTCGGCACCACGTCGGACAAACAGGCAGCTGCCATGCTCTGCAGGACGTAAAAGACAGAATTGGAAGTCTGCCATAGTTTCGACACCGTAGATCGGAATGGGTTGAAGTGGCTGTCGTAGCAGGAAAAGATACCTGCCACTTCTTTGAAGTAATACTCGACCAAGAGTGATGAATAGTCGTTCATTCCTCGAGAAGGGTTTTCAGATGAGCTCATTGGGTCCAGCTGGGCAGATTTCCTGATTGCCTCGACAGCAAAAGATTGAGAACGACCACGGCGGATGAGCGATGTTGAAGAAGTGACACCATTATCGGCAATTGACGCAGCCGCGGTGGCTGTCGTAGCAGGTATAGTGATGGATGAGGTGGCCTCGAAGACTTTGGGGCTGGTGTCTTCCCAGTCATGGTCTTCAGCAGTAGACCACGGTACATCGAAGATAGAGTCCGTTGCTAGAGGATCGAAGTCAAAGATATCATGATGACCAACGCTGGTAGTGTCGTCGACAGGAACAGACGTTGAGAAATCTGACTGAGAGAAGGGCTCAGGAGTAGCGACCTCAGTCAACTGGCTATAACCTGGACAGATTGTATTTCTCTTCTGACAGCGGATGCAACGTGGTCGTGTTTCGTCGCATTTTAACTGGGGAAAGAACGCAGGTCAGCAGGTACGTTGCAGGGCCAAGGCATAGTGGTCAACCATACCTTCCTTTCCTTGCAGCGAGCACACCCTGTGCGAGACCTCTTGATGCCACCGCGCATTTTTGCCCTGCTAGGTAATACTATCCAACGTTACAAATGTGGTGTACGCAAAGTCACGAGCCTCTTTCATAAGTCAATAACAAAGACATTTTCCGATAAGACTTGGAGGGGTTCCAGGCCTGGCACAAGGACCTGGACTCAAATAAACTCTTACCTGCCAATGGGTGAGAAGTTAACAGACATCATAGACCAGAGATCAGGGTTGCTTCTTCCTTTCAATGCTTCTCATTGGTCGATGTCAAGCTTTTGAGGTACGGACTGGGGGTCAAGCAGAATGGATTGGAGATCGAATGGGACGACGTGCGATCGCCGCAGTGTCCGTGAGTGGGAAGTTAGTATCGAGTGGGAGATACCGCGAGACGGATAGTCGGATTGGGAAGGGGCTAAATGAGTGGAGGAAGGCGCAATATCCGCCGTTGATACCCGGCCGATACGGTGGGCCCAGGGTTCTTCCGGAGCACAATGAATATTCGAGCAACTGCGCATGTACTGTGGAACAAGAAACAAGGTGTGGTAAGGACACGAAGTCACAATAAAAGGGTATCTGCATACCTAGTAGTAATGCGAGTCCAGAGTCCAATTTGCTAGAACATGATTCATTACATGTCGAGTGCCGGCTCCCTCAACGATATGCAGTCACGAGTTTGGATCAGATCAGATCAGAAGGGGAATGCACCTTCTTCTTTGGTCTCCATGACTCCGTTTTCCACCTGCAGACGGTGTTGTTCGTCGAGGTAAGGTAAGAGGATGTGTTCCCAGTGTTTCTTTCCCTTATATTTCGAAACGGTGTCGTCCCAGCTGCGAATTGCCTCAGCCAGACGACCTGGAATATGAGGTTCTTGAGCAATGACGGTGATCGGTTCGAAGTATGTTCGGACAGTGAACAAGAGGGATTTTGATCGAGGTAGACGTCGCAGGGTTTGGCGTTCGGAGCGGAAATGAACCTCTTCCACATGAAGGTTGGTGCTATCAGACCGTTCCCAGGCTGCATGACGGTCAGCATGCAATATTCTAGTCAATGAATTGGAACACTTACATGCGACTTCACTTCCGTCCTGATCGCCCATACGATGGGACCAGTGGAGGCCATCATCTAATTGAATGAAAAACTAGAGCATAATTGCCTCAGATATTGTCCTGACATGGAGATGAATATACTAGAAGAGACTTACATTGTTGCGGGTGATCGGCTTGTCCACAGTCATTGTCTTGAAGTATCGATTCATGGATTTCATGAGCTTCTCTTCGTAATGAGGAACGCCTGCTTCGATATGCAGAGTGTCCAGAGACATGCGATACTTTTCATGTAGTCGCCAGAATCCTGGCAGACAGACAGCACCAGCGTCCAGATGATATTGTCCATCTGTTCAATATGCTTAGCTGGCGCAATTATGTATCAAGGCTAACACATACCTTCCTCCTCGACCATCAATATGAGATCATCCTGGACCATCAAAGCAGCATGTGCCAAAGCTTTTGCTGCATCAGCTGCGCAACATGTTGTGTCAGTATTCATAACATGTACAGCGAGCCTGTTTCCAAAAAAAAAGTGGCACAGCCTGAACCCCATGGCTGGTCAGGTTCAAGTAGATACCGTTCTTGTTGTCAGTCAGGAGCCCTTCACACGCAACGATATAGCGTTGGCCATTGGTAGCGGGGTGGCCATCAGCTCTGCACAGTGCTTATGTCTTGCTGTCGAGGCTTACGCTGTTGTGAACCAGCTTGACTTTGAACTTGTGTCTTCGATGAAGGTCCGTCAGACGGTGCCACTTTTTCTGGAAACAGGCTCGACAGATCAGTGATGGCAAGCTTACTCTCAGGGAAAGGGAACTGTTCTCCTGTTGCCACATTACGGACATAGTCGCCTTCGAGCTTGAAGACTCGTGGGTACCGGTGAGTGAGGTACATAGCTATTTCTTCGTACGTCTCGCAGCAGGCGTCTCGGACATTTGGGTTGTCGAGGTATTGGACATGACTCTTGAAGTCCTTCTTCAACTCTTGCGCCTTGATGTCGTGATATTCCATGAAGTTGGAATCCATCTCAATCAGATCATCCCACTCGACTTTCCTGAGGCCCATGGTGATGAAATTGGGCCCATGTTTGCAGGGCCTGTATAGTATGGGTGCATTGAGATCCTTTTCGCTAAGATCGAGGGGCTTTGGTGCCGGTGTCTGGAACAGGGGCTCGGACTTTGGCACCGATTCCACGTGTGCTTCTATCAATCATTAGCAAACACATGCGCTGCAGACGATATGATACTGTTACCACTTTTGGGCGCTCTTCGGACAAGCAGAATAACAACCCATGAGACCAGTCCGCCAGCAAGAATAACCCAAAATATGTTGGTGACGGCCTTGGCTTGAGCAACGTTCCATGTCTGCGATATCATCTTCATCTCCGGCGCCTTTGGCGCTCGGACCCAATTACAGTAAGAGTTTTGTGCTGTTACCACCAGGTTGGATGCGGGAATAATAGCAAGATTAACACATCCCAATGATGTGGTATCGCCACGGGCTAGACTTGGCGAACAGCGTTCATTGATGACACGAACCTTGCCTTCAGCAATGTTAGAATGCTTGTGGAAGTATGTCAGGCTATCATCGCCCGAGTTGATAAGGATCCGAGTACACTTACATAAGATCCGAATCTCGTTTCGCGGAGAATGAGGAAACTGTGATGTTCGGAAAGATACCTCCTCACAATGGTCCGGTTGCTGGCACGCACACGGCTTTCGAAGAACGAGTGCCTCGCAAGATAGGATCTTACAGATAAACGAAAAGCAAAAGTACGATGCACATTAATTAGTGCTACAGTATTGACTCCACGGTCTCCCACAAATTCAGGGCCACTGAGGTCTGGGCAGTTGCAGATATTCTACCTCGGCGCATGGGTTTTGCTTCCCCGGACTTCTGCACCGGTTTGATAGTGATAAGCACCGTTCCACGGACTTCCCCGGATTCGATATAAAGGATTATATCATGTCCTGTCCATTCTGCCACTGCAAGCAGCACGCATAGCCGAAAGACAAGCTATTGCATCCAGGGCGTAAGAATGGCAGACATCTTACGCACCACGCCAGACGGATATCGGGAAGTCAGGACTGGCTTGGGATGGCGGCGAATGTTGTCTCCGACCAGCAGTGAAGCGATGACCCAACTTCCTGTCATTGATATGGGTGATGCTGTTCACCCAGACCTGGATCGTCGGAAGGCTGTTGCGCGGAAAGTGTGCGATGCAGCCATCAGCTCGGGTTTCTTCTATATTAGCAATCACGGCGTCCCAGACGCGGCGGTCGGGTCCATCATGACGGAAACGAAACGATTCTTTCACGACTTGACGTTGGAGCAGAAGATGGAGTACGACACGGAGAAGCACGACCACTATTATGGATATTACCCGATCAAGCTGAACCCGAACCAGCCTGCCGGAGCCAGTGAGTAGCACATTTAAAGTCCAAGTCGTTTGCTGACCATAGGAGAGCTTAACGAGGGTATCAACTATGGTTATGAGGCTTCTGTGGATCCGAATGCTGTGGACCAGCAGAACAATGGAGACAATTGGTGGCCTTCGGAAGGTCGACTCCCGGGGTATCGGGACAACGTCAATCAATACATGGGACAGGCTCTCAAGCTGAGTCGATGCCTGCTGCGAATGTTCGCCTTAGGTCTGGGTTTTGGCGAAAACGAATTCGATTACCTCGCAACGCGACCCTACTCGATATTGAAGATGGCTCATTATCCGGGAGAGTTATCTGGAACAGAGGAGCCCTCGTCGATACGTCCCCATACTGATTTTGAGCTATTGACTATTCTGCTGCAAGACACGGTACCCTCGCTCGAGGTCTTGTCCAATACTGGACAGTGGATTCAAGCGAAGCCGATTCCCGGCACGTTCGTGGTGAACATTGGCGACTCCTTGTCAATGCTGACGAACGGGCTCTTCATGTCAACGATGCACAGAGTGCTGAATACAACACGGCGTGCGCGATACTCGGTGCCTTTTTTCCTAGGTGGTAAGTTGACTCTGCAGGCGTACTTGGCCCTATCATGCTCATGGACTTTCAGCAAATCAGGAAGCGGTCATCAAGGCGCTCGACAAATTTGTGACGTCTGAGAATCCGGCGAGATTTCAGCCTATGACTTCTGGTGAATATATTCGGAGGTCGCTACAACTCGTTTACACCAAGCCACACACGGAACTGATTCATGAGACCATTGAAATTCAAGCGCAAGGATGATTGATGACGACTTGAAGACATAGGGATAGTCACAGACTCGCTCTTCCTGCCAGTAGTATCACGGCCCCGGGCCAGAGAAAGACTCAAGAGACGAGAAGAATGCCCCTCTTACACCTCATATCACAGCACAGGCGAAAAGTGCTTGCATCAAAAATATTGGCCGAAATGTCCCTCGCTTGGTGTGACAGGCCGATGTAGACATTGACACGAGGCTAGCCGTGACACCTTCTTGCACTCAACTTCTCTCCGCGCTGTGTTACGGCCCACAACTCTTTATATTTTTCTCTCAACATGGCAATGGCTGCAAGAACGCGAGTGCGGGTTGGATGACAGAGCACGATATAGGTCGCAAATGTCCAAATTGGACGAAATTGTGTCTCTTCGCCACGACAGACAGTAGTTCACCGGGCTTTCTGATGCAAATAAGAAAAGTTGACATATGTTAAGGTGGAACAGTGTGGAAAGCGAGTGGAGGGCAAAATCATAAGATGTACTTCCGAGCTGCGTAATTCTCCCATTTTGACATTTGTGAGTGACATGTGGCAGGGAAGACGCCTTCGTGCTGCTCGACAAGCAAACGATCACAGTGTGAGTGTGAGTCTAAGAGAAAAGTGAGATGGAGATGAAACACGTGTGTTGCTTGCTTGACCCCTGATTTTGGTGATTCAATAGATGATGTTCAACACCACAACTTCTGAATATCGCAGAGCCTTACCCAAGGCCGTTCTGGAAGCCTGATTGTTTGTGCACGAGCAGTCTGCTAATCTGTCATGTCTCTCTCCAATCCCACTCGCCACGGCTCATCATCTCGATGACTGCACGAACACAGCCATATGGTCGATGCTCATGTAGACGTGTCAAATGTGCAATCTCGCTGGTGTCTCCGCCTAAGATGCAGGTACGGCGGCGCCTAAACTCATTTGAGGCTTAGGCGCCTCTGGTGGCTGTCAGCTAAAACCAGGCACACCAATCATGTCTGTGAAAAGCCATGCAAAGGAGTCTTTTTCGAATTCCCGCAGTTGATTCTATTTTCCCAATCAATCAATCCATCTCCACACCTTGTCGCTGTTGCTCAATGCTCACCACCTGCTCATCAATTCTCACTTGTCACCGCGCGTCTACTGCCACTCTAACTTGATTACCTACTCTCTCTCATCAGCGTGATTCTTCTTTTCGAGCCCTCATGTTGTAGGCGCACTTTTTTTCTTTGACTTCAGAGCCGACGTGACTGCACGGCCTCTTCGATTCTTCTTCTCTCCCTATTGTTCCTATTCAACCAAGTGACGATTGTCGCCCTTCCTTTACCGACAATCGCCTATCAATTTATCCTTGATACATTCTTCGGTCGATCTCCTCGATTCATCAGGCCTGCATCCGGAGTACAGGTCGATCCATAAGTCGATACGGAATACCAAAACTTCGGAGGCGCGAACGACCAAATAACATTGCCGTGGCACCTCTTACTTAGAGACACACTTCGGTGGACACAAGGTCGAAATGGATCTTTCTCACAGATATTTTCATGAGTTGGGAAAGCGCGCAGATTCTGTCACCACGGATGATGGCACAGTGTACTCGGTGGTCTATGTCACCGCGTCGCCAACATTCACCGGTGTCATTGGTGGCTATACAACATTAAGTGATGGTGATGATGATACAACCGCGGCAGCGACTGCTACCAGTGGAGATGCTGAAGCGGCCGAAACAGCTTCAGTCGAATACAGTACCAACGCAGCAGAGACAATTACTGCGGCCACTTCCTATGATGCTTTTGGTACTACTTCTACAAGCGCAACAACCGCAAAAAGCGCAACAAGTGACACAGTCGTGGACGCGAGCCCTACAACCACCTATTCACGAAACAATGTCGCTGAAACATCATCATCCTCCACTTCTGCCACAAACGCGTCAACTGCGGCGTCCTCGTCGTCTTCAACAAATGCTGCAAGCTCCGACAACACTTCCAGCTCCTCCAGCTCTTCCAGCAGTGGGATGTCAACAGGAGCGAAGGCCGGTGTCGCCATTGGTGTTATCGCCGTCATTGGGCTTCTTGCCGTCTTCTTACTCTGGTTCCTTGGAAAGAAGAGAAAACAGCGGGAGGCTGAAGCAAACAAAGACAACGAAAAGTCCGCTTACGATACTGGCGCCGCTGCTACAGAAATGGCCGACCGAAGCCCAATTACTGCTTCCCACAATCCTGCTCCACGACTGAGTCTCCGACCTATCTCACACACAATGGGAGCGTTGTTGGCTGCTGGATCTATGGCTTCCAACAACCAGTCAAGGCCTGCTCAGGCTCGTAACATGAGCCCATCACCTCAACCACGCGGACCCAGCCCAGCTCCTAAAGTCTCAGAAGAACGACAGGATCCGTTCGCCGATCCACAAATGAATCCATTTGCTGATCCTGAGAAATCTGCCATGGCTCCGAGCCCAATTGTGGTACCAGCCCCTGTTGCGAAGCCTGCTCCTATCGTCCCAGTTGCGGCTGCTGCGGCCCCTGTCACTCGCAAACCTATTCCCGCGACCAAGTCTGAGGAAGCCTCTGCTGGTACCGGCGCAGCATCAGCTCTCGAGGCGACAACCGCTCCTACGTCGACATATGACCTTGTTACAGAGCCTGCTCCTATGGCTTCTAGTACACCTGGACCTGTCCCAGAAGATGCTTCCAAGGCCGCTCCGTCCGCTATTGAGGCTGCGACTGCTGCTGCTGTCGTTGCTCCTTCCAGCGAGCCATCTCAGGGCAACGTTTACCGCGTTATGATGGATTTCGCACCCTCCATGGAAGACGAACTGGAATTGAAGTCTGGTCAGCTCGTTCGAATGTTGCACGAGTACGACGATGGATGGGTAAGTCCCTTGCAATGACTGAGGCTGACACGATACTGACCTTTATTGATAGGCTCTGTGTATTCGACTTGACCGTTCTCAACAAGGTGTTGTCCCTCGAACATGTCTTGCCGCAAAGCCATCCAAGCCAAAGCCATCACATCTCAACCAGTACGCTCGACCACCAGCGCCAGGACCGAACGCTCCTCCAATGTCTCCTGCCGGTAGCCCACGGAACTTCAGTGCACCGCGACCTGTTGGAGCTCCAGGACGCCCGATGTCTCCTGCAGGACACTCACGTGGACACTCTCGATCAATGAGTGCAGCTGGTCCACAGATGCCGCCTGCTGCGAGATCTATGAGTCCTTCACGAGCATTGAGTCCAGGACCAGGCCATTTCAACCAAGCTCCACGACCACTATCTCCAGGTCCTCGACCTCAACAAAAGCGCAGCATGTCACCAACACCAGCTAGATCGACACCAATGGCAGACGTTACAAGACGGCGAAGCAATTCTGCCAGCATTGTTCGCGAAAAGCGAAACTCCCCTGTTGGACCCTCGAAGCTAGGACCTGGCCCATCGGCGCCCGGCACTGCGTTGTGATTGATATTGCGACGGCAATTGACAGATCTTGTACCACGAAAACGAATCCACAAATGCTTCCAACACACTTGTGCAAACACGTGCTTGACGATTCCGCTATCTTTATGCTTGGTCGGCAATAGCATGTCTTGATGGGCATGTTCCTCTCTTATTATTATTTTAGTCCTCTACTAGTCGAGATTTCCAGCACTTGCTCAAACAGTGGGCGCAACGTGGTTTAGCACTGGCGATGTACGCCCTATGTGGGCTGGTTGATACAGGAGTAGGGTGTCAACACAAGTGAACATAGTGCACATGTATCACGCGGCAGTAAATAGCTAATGCATGCTTCAATAGTACTGATACAAATCTTTGCTACCACTTGATTGCTCCTTGTTAAAACGCCAGGAAAGATAGTACTTCGTATATAATTGTCAGTCCGTGGGTGTCAATTCTCAAACGGCTATGTTCACCAGTGTTTCTTCAGGCCTGACTCTGCCTTGTGCGAGGTGTCACTATCTGCCGGATCATCCAAGAAAGTCAGGCCAGTTTGGTGTCAATGGCTTAGATGGGTCATACCAGATCACGAAGAGGACGAATACCAGCAACACCAACAGAGCACTGCCCAGAGAAACTAACCTCCTTCTAACAGTGGACGTTGCCTCTGAGGTGGTAACCTCGGTAGATCCGCTTGGCATGAACATCCAGGAATAGAGCTTCACATCAGGACCAACATGAGCAGCAGCCACGCACTCTTGAATAGTCCATCGAAGCTTCTGTCGACAACATAGTACATCAGTGTATGCGGCTGGAAGTATGTAGAATGCTCCTTGCCGCATCCTTTAGATGAGGGCGTGCAATGCTGCTTTAGATAAGATGAACCCGAGAAATGCAGCCAAACCTAGTAGACTGCGTACAAGATACCGAAAGCCCCCTTCTTGCAGAGGCCTGGAATGGCGATCGTACCACAGACCCACCACAGCAAACCATAGATAATGAAGTATTTCTTGACCATGGCTGCTGCTTCCACATCACTGATTCCCACGTGGTCTCTGAGAAATCTGAGGAAGCCGGTGGCATCCTTGGGAAGCCAAGGATGAGTGAAAGCGAGATAGGCCAGATATCCGAAGAAGGACAAATGCAGGAACATGCAGATAAACTTCCAGCGTCGTTGCGGCCCAAGTTCGATATCGAGGATTCTTAGCATACGAATCGTGCTCGTCATTTGCAACTCGTCCAACTCTCGCCAATGAAGAAGGACCAAGAGCGCTTGAATCGCCACCCCGTCCAGTACTAGGAAAACGCCAGCGACGACAAGCCAGCGATTACCATTAACAATCACAACTTTGATGAGGACTGCGAGCTCTGTAAAGGCGGCTAAAAGATCGATGCGCAGCTCTTTGTGGGCCAGGACACTGGATCCCAAAGCTTCGTGAAGGATTCGAGATTTTTCTGTCATCGGGTCCAAGGCATGGCTTCGATTGGCCTCGAGAGTCCAGTCCGCTGCTGGCACTGTAGAATGGGATGCATCCTGCCTTTGGCTCATGGCAATATCTCCGCGTCCATGCTGTGGTGTCGTCTGAGAGACTGCATGTGGCACGCTCTGGTCGTCCTTGTCCAAAAAACTTCCGGTCAACAACTTCTGCATCAATACGGCCGAATCGTCACTGCAAAGACCTCCTCGTAGTAGAAGAAGGCCACCGGCGGCCTCCCGGAGGCTTCTGAGCAGTGCCGGACGCTTTTCCTTCACCGAACGAAAAACAACACATCCGAGGTGCCAGAAAATGATGAGACACTCGACGAACGATGATATGGGATTGCAACGCCAGAAGAATCGGCCGGACTGGCTGAGGAGACTTCCATATGGTTGAGTGATCTGGCACAGCTGCAGAGTCAAGAACATCCCAATGACGTTCGCGCGGGTGAACTCATTGCTGTTATCAGAGCCGGCAAGGACCGTCACGTTCGACGGGAGGACAGTGGTGTTCCACGAAGTAAGAGTAGTGTTAGCCATGCTCGATGTGCGTATTATTCAACATCGTGCTACAAAGCGCAGAGACAGGGGCTTTATAACACTTCTTCCGCATCTTCACATGGGCAGCTCGAGGTCAAAAAAGGGGCTTGAGGCTGTAATGAAGACTCAAAGTGAGCCTCAAATCGATGATTTGGTCTTGCGCATACTTACCTTGGCACGCAGCTTCAATTGGCATTGCCTCTATACAAACCTGTTTTGACGAAAGGTTTTTGCAGATAGGGGTATGGTTGTGGTGTTACGTGTTCCAGTGCTTGCCCAGCACCTTGGGAGATGGTGACCAGTGACAGCAGTTGATCTTATCTTATCTCTTGGCGTCAAAAAGTTGTTGGTCCTGCGACTTTAAATTTCCTCCGCGCTCTCTTCCTTCTCTTCTTCTCTCAACTACAGTTCTGTGTCACAACGATCCCTTCCTCCTGTTCTCCTTCGGGAGAGCGGGAAGTGCGAGGTTGATTGTTGCGACGCTCTTCGACTATTCCAGCGGAGCCATTATCTCATCCCCATTAATGTCTAACCCAGTCGACAGAACTGAGATCAACCCGAGACCTTTTCGTGCCTTTCGGGGCAAGGTTCACCTTGAGCTCGCCCTGAGACTGCCTTCGGGCACGAACGGGGCTGAATTCGGTGGGCTGAAAGTGGTGTGTAGGGAGACGTCTTATTCCCAAGCTTGGTGTTGATCCTCGTCGAGGAATGATCACTGGGCAAAACCAAGACTATTGTCTACATCCCCCTCCTGAAAAAACAAAACAAGAAACAATAACTGCTCGCTCTAAGACTTTGTCGGCTGTGCTGTTCATCTAACGCATCTAGGCTGTTCTTGCTTGAATGAAAATGCTCTTTACACCCCAAACTCCGAACCGATGGTGCACGCGACCATCCTTGCAATGCTCACCAACTCGTCAAGCCCTTTTCTCGGTCGAATCCACCTCTCAACTGCCTCTGCGGCTGGGCTACCTTTCCTTGCAGTACAGTGTATCGAATGATATTCTCGCAGTCTTCCGGCCGCACTCTCGCCAACCAGATCAATTGTACCGCCTCCTTGGCCAGCGGCGCGCCATCCTCTTCCTCGTCCGTTCCGTCCATCCTCCGTCCCTGCCTTCGATATATCATCAGATTGGCGCTGTACTTGTGTCCACCAACATGGTTGATGAAATAAATACCCACACCACCAGGCCGTTCGTCATGCACATCTCGATACATGCCCAAGGGTCGCAGTATGCGCTCGAACTCTTTCCGTAAGAGAGGGGCCGACTGTCCACACCGTGCATCGCGCGTCTTGTGGCTGCACATGAGTATCAGGTAGTCGTGCGGGATCGGCTTCGTTTTGAAGGACGTGGATATCGATGCAGGTAGTGGTGTGGGATCGAGTGTGCTGTTTTCGTCGGAGACACGCAGTTCAGAAATATCAGGTACTTGACTCGAATCGTGTCCGTTTTGTGTACTTGTACCCGTACTCGTCTCTTCTCCTGTATCTTGTGCTTGCGTCTGTATTTGCGTCTGTGTTTGCCTCTGTGTCTGCAGTCCCTTCTGCTTTCCGTTCACCGGAGTGACATTCGTGGCGCTCCGCTCAACAACCTCAGTTAACAGTTTGGGGACCTGACTGGGGCCGACCTTCTCAATATACACCCAAGCCGGCAACAAAAGCACATCACTCGTGCCCTCCTCGACGCCGGGGCCATGACACTCCTCGCCGCTCGGCAAGTTACTCGCACTCAGCATGATCTTGCCATTCTTGCGATCCAACCCGGCCTTGCCAACAGCCTGCATAACACTGCCCTTCTCGTCCGTCACATCGCGCACCCAATCCGTCTTGCCTGTGCCCACGACAAGATGCGTACTCCACCCCGTAACATGCCCGTAGAGTTTATCATCCTCGTCAATCGAGAATTTCTTGGGGTAATGCGTCGTACAAGAATCACAATCGCGCAGGCACTCTTCGCCATCGACCTCCGGCCTCGTCGCGGGGAACAGATCCGTCTCGGATTTGGCCGTAGTGAATCCTCCCAATTGGGGCACGTGTGTCGACGATGCGGACGGCGTGAGCAGCGTCTTGGCTTTTCGTAGGAGAGACATTCTTAGAAAGCCCGACCTCGACGTTGGGAGTTTGGGGTGTGTGGGTGTGGAAGAGGACTGGGAGGAGGAGGATTTGTTGCGTATTGAGGGCATGATGAACTGCGGGATTGCGTGCGCACCCAAATTAATGTGACTTTCTTGCGGCGCTGGCTCTCGCTTGCGGGCTTCCTGTGCGTCACTATGCTTTCTCTGTTGGAGAACTCCTAGCACAACGATTGGATCTGGCGTTTGTTAGTTTCGCGTGGAAAAAATAACCTTATCAATCTGGTCTTGTAGTCTTAGCTTTCGAAATAAGTAAACGTCCTGTTGTATGTCGTGAGCGATATTGCAAGGTCTAGGAGACAAGTCGCCTGTGATGGAAGTGCAATTTCAAAAGATTCGGAAAGGAGTTCTTGACCAGGCATGCTCGCCCGAGGGAGGGCCAGCACTTTATCAATCCATCGATTCCTGAACTTTGGAGCCTGTATCCATACTGATCCTCGGTCTTTATGCATCTCTCGCCCGAAAAAATTGTTCGCTTCACCGAGTTTCCCATGCCACATGCAGGCAGCAATGTTATGTTCAGCGCCCACCTCCTCAAGAGTCAAGATACCAGGTCAGCTCGTAGATGGACTTTACGATAGACCCTCCGAGATTGTGCATGCCGGAGAGAGTCCTTTTCTACTATCACGACCTTATCCCCGTGCCTTCTCTCACTCCCATTTTTCACTCCAACACCACATATCACCAAGCCTTATGCAAGCATACGGAGAAACACACGAGGACTTCCTTCCTCAAGAACAAATAGATGATCATCAACAATCTTGTACATCGAAGCCCCCTTGATTTTCGGCTAGTCCTAGCTCGCTATGACCTCAAAACATCCCAAGAATATTTTGTTCATGACACCCAGAGACATGACGACTCTTCACATGTATACAGAGAGGCATTGCGAAATGCATATCGCTCATCGCTCAAGCACCGGCTAAACGTGTATCACCTCTTGAAAACAGCCGCAGCATCCTCCTTCCTCCAATCAATCTCCAAGCCACCCTCGTATATCCGATCAATCACAAGTCTCATCCTGTCATACGCATGAGCATATCGGACTGCACACTCGTCGAACACTCTCCCGATCAACACCCTATTCGAACTGCCCGGATCATCCGCATCAGTAAAGTGCTTTTCAATCCGTTTCTTCAACGTCTCAACGCCTTTACGAATCTCTTTCGCATCGTGCGCCGACAGAACCTTCTTCGCCGAACTGCGCGAATGACTGGGTTTATTGGCGATACTCGCGTAGGAATCCGTCGCCTTCATCAAAGCTTCCGTGCTCTCCAAGAAATCCAACCACTTGCCTAGCGGTCTTCGAATCACCGCATCGACATACTGCGACAGGTGACTGACCTGGTCGCGTTGTGCCCGTTCCGTCCACTCCTCGAGCACGATGTTATGGTGTGTCTTGACCTCATCGACGAAGTAGTTCATATTCTCAATCAGCAGGATGTGATAGTTCAGGGCCTCTTTGTCCTCGGGATCACCGCTCGTCGGCGCTGTCGAATGAGCTCCGCCCGTAGCACTCGCCGGATTGTCTTTGGCAATGAAATTCAGAGACTCCCACATTGCTTTGAGCAATCGTATATAGGCGTCGTTGACAATGAACCGCACTTCAAGTGACTCCTGGTGGGCAAACTCCTGAGGTATCATATCTTCAACGGCCGTGATAAATTCAGGAGAAACCCGCATGAAGGAGATGAGCCCTTTTCTCTTCTTGACTTTGACCTTGGTTTCCTCAATGGCCTTGACCTGGTCCTCGATGAATTTGTGGAAGAGGCCTGTGAGTCGATCATGCAGGCCCCTTAGAGTGCGCGTGATAAACTCCTGATTCGTCTCCTCATATTTGGCCAGGCACTGTTCCAAAGACACAAGTAAACCAACACTTTGCATGTGATCCATCTTTACCACCCACTCAAGCATAGCCTGTAATTCTACAGGCCAGAAGGAATAGATCCCCTCGGTGGTATTCTGAACAATCTTGGCCATATTTCGATCCGGGTCGTATGACTGTTTCGCCTGCAAGTTAGGCAATTTCCGCTGGTCGGGCTGACGAGACGTTACAAGCTCTGCGAAGTCTGCATTCGATTGCGAATTGAGGTGGAAAAAGTGGACAATGAAGTTTTGTTCCTCCGATATAGCCGAAGCCTGTTGTTCAAGCACTGTGTCGAATACGCTCCAAGCCTCTGGCCTGCCATCCCTCTTCTCACCAATTGACTGCCGTAACATACTGCTCTTTTGCGTCCTGACACGTCTTACTGTGAGCTTCCTTGCAGCGGTAGAGGTGAGTGACTCTTCTGCCTTCTCTTTTTCTTGGTGAGTGAAAAGAATTTCCAGCTCCTCGCCTGTAGGCTTGCGGGCAGTCTTTCTGAGGCCCATGGCGAAATCTCGAAACTGGTCCTGGTAGATGCCCTTGACATTGATCTCATAACTGCTGATCAACGTCTGCCACTCATACTGATTGAACTCTCGTACAAAGAGCATCAAGGCATTGTAAATCCATAGCTCTTGTCTGGAAGCATTGTATGCACGCAGGCTCAGTGTCGTCGACGTTCCGGATGATATACTTGCGGCAGCGTTTTCCTCGCTTGTTCGTTGCTCAGCCATTTGAAACATGCCCTTCATGTGCTGATTCAATCGATTTACAAACATCATGCTCTGTTCTTTGTATTCTTCCTTCTTCTGCCTGACTGCAAGCATTTCTCCAAACTGAGTGTCTGCATAGACACCAACCCCTGGCCGATCTGTGGAAGCTGCTGCGGCTTGCCGCATCTTGTTCTGGCGGATGTCCGGGTCGATGGTTAGCATGGCTCGGTAAAGCAATGATAGAGAATCCTCGATTGCTCGTAATCCGTCAAAACTGTCGATAGGTGCTGCTCTTAACGCTCTCAGCTCTCCCGAGGATATTGTTAATGTCTTGAGCAGGCTTTCCAACTCTGCCTGAAGCAGTTTCTGATTCGCAGTCTGTACTTGCAGGCCTTGTCCCTGTGCTTCGATATACTCGATGTCGTCATGAAGAGTGTCAAGTTCGTGGGCGTACAAAGTGAGTAGACCGTCAAGTTCTTCGCACTCTGCAATCGCTCTGTCAAAAGCTTTGGAAAGTTCTTGCACTTTGCTTTCCTGTTGCTCGACATGACCAAGCCAGCCGCTTGCTTGAGCTCGACCAATTTCTCTTCGAACGTCATTCTCGAAGTCGTCCACTTTCTGCTGATCATCCAGCCTCCCTTCCCAACCAAATTCAGTCAGAAGCTCATTAAAGTCACCTCCACGGCCTTCCGTGACGCGAGGATCAATTCCCAGAGACAGGCAATATTTCTCAACTTCCGCTTCTAGCTTCTGTCTGCGTCTCCTCTGAGGTGAACGAGACCGTGCTCTTTCAGGAGACGTTGTCCTCTCCGGTTCCGGAGGTAATTCGACTGCTACAGGGATAGGTTGCGGTACAGGCGTTTCGCTTCGGGCGACATTATCCGAGGTAGCCACCCGCTCGATCTGCACTTTAGGTATAGCATCATTTGGCTCGGGAGATTTCGACAGTGGTTTGTCTGTCTCAGTAACAGGACTGGGGACCTCACTGACCCCAGTGGCCGCGCTGTCAGTGCTCATTCCACGGAGCAAGGGAGCTGGGACGACTGAGGTGATGCCATCAGGCTCATTCGACTGTTTCTCCTGCATCGCTTTCAAACGAGCTCCTGCACCACCTTGACGAGGTTGAAAAGCTGAGGCAGCAAGAGCAGCTTTCCGAAATTGGTTGGCAATATCTCTCCCTGACTTCTTCTTGACCATAGGACCCAACCCAGGACGAAACTCTTCTGGAATTGGTGGAGGTGGTACAGTTTCCGTTGGCTCGGCCGTTACGGGTCCGTTCGTTATCTTACTCGGAGCGTCCTCTTGAACAATAGGCACCAGCGCTGCATTGCTTAGTGGCACAGCATTGTTTGCTTCTTGTTTGACTTCCGTTTCGGCTTTCTTATTGGCAAAATAATTTGCCTCTCGATTTTGGTGTTCTTCTTCTTTCGAGGTCTCCGGTGTTCCCATAGGGGTGACAAAAGCGCTACTGTCTGCACTTGCAGGGCCAGGTTGCTCGGTACCTGAAGCTGCAGACCTCTTACGCTCTCGCAGTGGTGGTGCCTCCAATTCGGCCACTACTGGGGCTGGCACACTCCGCACTGGCACCGTGGGTGTTGGTTCTGGAATTCTACGGTCAGTGGTTGCCGTAGTCGGTCGCGAACCGCCCAGACCCTCGTTCCTTCCCGCGCTACGAAATGAGTCCTGGCTAGGTTGCGGACCCAGCCTTTTGCCGTTCACATCAAGGCCACTGGGTTTAGGAACTCCCAAGCCGTTAGGTCTAAGTGGCTGCGCATCGACAGGAGGCTCGGCTCGTTGAAGAGATGATTGCGAAGGCTTGGACTTCATCGACTGTAGTGGAGGCGGGGGTTGAAAACTGTCGGTCAGGGATGGCGTGCGGCCATCGTCTCGTCTGAATTGAGCTCCGTAAGGCGGCCCTCGAGGAGGTTCCGGCGTAGGAGTCGTCCTTTCTTGCCGCAGTGGTGGTGGCCTGTTCTCGAGCTGCGACGGTGGTCGTGGACCATCTCGAGTTGCAGGACGATATTCCTGTCGCGCAAACGCGCGATCCTGCTCTTGTGACACCACCCTATTGCCATCCCGACTCGGCGGCGGTTGCTGCGCGGTGTATGGAGATTGCGGTCTGTTTGCGCTGAGTGAAGGTACGGATGGTGGTAGGACGGGAGGAGTCGAGCGATCAGACGGTACTGGGGGAGGGGGAGGGGGAGGGGGAGAAAATGCACCCGACCTGGGTGTAGGAGTATTTTGGGCGGATGGTGGTGCGCTGGTAAGCTGTGCTACCTCTTGCGGTGCAAACCCGATGAGTTCTGGCAATTTTCCTCCCGTGTATTTACGGTAGATTTTGATCAGACTGGCGATGAAGAAATCCTTCTCTTTCGGCGTGGGCGCAGCCCAAAAGTACGGCTTGCCCAGCGTCACTGTAAACCCAGTGTTCGAACCCCATCGCTTTTCTAATTGCTGCTGCGGCGTTGCAGGTACCAACGAAGAGTATTGCATGATTGCATTCAACTCGTCGAGGTTCCATGTTTTACCAATGGAGAACGTGCCCGTTGGATTCTCCCGGGCTTTGTGGACTCTAACCTTCCCGGATCTTCGGACAGCGACGAGAATGACTCTGCTCTTCTTGTTTGCCTGCGGCGCGTCTGGGGGCGGAGGCGACGAAGGGTACGAGCCATCTTCGAGGACTCTGACATGTGTAATGTAGGACTCGACTTGCATGCCATCAGGGTCTCTCTTGTTGAAGCAGCTCTCAATGATGCGCCTCTTTTCATCTTCGAATCGCGCTGCGCGTGACTGGGTTGACTCAAGCGGTTCTAGTTGCTTCACACCGGTAGGTCCGCTGGCAGAGCCATTTCGGTTGCCGTTGGACAGCGGCGGAGGCTGTCGAGAGCCGGAGTAAACAGGTGGCTGATTCATTTTGGGGAGTGTCGGTTGACAGCATCGTCCGATCGAGGGGACGAGGAGGCTATCCTCGCATCGTTAAGAGTATGAAGCACAGTGTAGAAGTAGAACGCCTAGCATGAATGGTGGTACTTCGCGTGAGTACCTGGTGAGGTTTAAGTCCTTCCCAGTTGTGTCTCGATACGTGTACCGGTGGATTGCGTTTAGCAGTGGCAGCGTCCGTGGAGTCCGTGATGGCTGTTTAATTGGGTCGGCACCTAACAACTAACAGTGTTGGCGCGGGGGTCGGGGGTTGTGTGTTTCAACCCGGCTTTCTGCGTACTCGTACTGTACTTGTACTTACTCACTATCCTAATCCCACTGTAAAAGGCAATTTCTCGCCAGCAGTGGCATACTCGTGGACCGGAGAAAACAAAGATACAGGTTTGACTCTCGAACATGATGGTTTCGTTATCCCCTACGCAGATCTCATACCAGTCACACACGGGTCGTAACTCGATCCTCAAATATCGAGTCCAGCTCTACTGAAAGCCCTATAATCTTGATCAAGACGCCTTCGCGCCCCAGAATGATCTCCTCGTAGACAGATCTTGTCTGACCAAGTCACCGCCCCAAGACACCAGGCTGGATAAAAGCGGTACAACAAGACCTCCGTCATCGTGATGAAGCTGTCTCTCCAACCCTCCAAGTGCGCCGTAGTCCAAACCAAGATCCCTATTCAATGCTTCGAAGTTTCTCCTCGCAATCACTTCCCAAACAATCTTTCGCTGTTCTCAACCATCCACATCACCGCTTCGTTCTTCATCTTCGTATCACTCAGCTCACGGTTCAGACTCTCCGGTCTCATAATCGTGGGCGCAAACACCACCGCAATGTTCATAGGAGTCATCAGGTTCTCCTTCTCCTGAAGTACCACTCGGGCCAGATGCTGCATGAGGTACTGAAGGGTATCATAGTGCACATTAGGCAAATCCTCCAAGGCGATTTGCATGGCGTCAATTCTGCTATCTTTGTCTGAGATAGCCGTCGTGTCTAGAAGCTTGTCGTACACATCATAGGTGATAAGTGGTACCGGCAGTCGTCGGAAGTATTGTTTCAGACCAGAAGTAACAGCGTGAATGTCGAGATCCGGGTCAGACAGGTCGAAGTCCTTGGAAGGATTCTCAAACCAATCCTTGACTTGTTGTACTTGGGAGTTACCGCCAGATTTGCGGTAAATTCCTTCAACGTCCATGCCTGTAAACATTAGAGATAAGACCATCGCCATGGTGAATGTGATACGAACCTCGAGACTCTACTTCCTCAACACAGCGCTTGACAATGGTAGGGATGTCAGTCTTCTCAAACTCTGCCCGCTGCTCAAGATCGGAACCAAACAACTCTGCATCGACATTAGTATGTTTCTGCCTGACGTCAACAGCAAAAACTTACGTGCAGCCGCATCGACTAGCAAAGAAGGCGTGCTGGCGTTTCCTTGTGGCGCATAGAGTCCATTGGGCTTGGGTGCTGTTCGTGGATTACCACCAAAGAAGCCAAATCCGCTCTGCTTGACCGGTTCTGGGTTTGACTTTGGAAGACCCGGATATTCTTGACCGAGCGGTGTCGTTCCATAAGCACCTGTCTCGGCGAATTGCAGGTCTCGGCTGTAACTTTGCTGTGTAGAAGAGAAAGCACCCTTCAGCCCCTTGGTAACGCCTTTGGCAACCTTCTGTCCCTTTCTCCAATCAAACTTCCTGGGTTGACCCTTTCTGATGTTCACCACATGAGGACCCTGAATCACGGTCACCGGTTCCGCTTCACTCGCTTGCAAAGTACTCGTTGAGTCGATGTTAGTGAAGTCCGTTGACATATTTCGCACGGTGTTGGAATTGGAGTCAACAGAGACACTCGATTTGTCCTTGTTATGCGAGTATATCCCTAGACCGTTCATGGCGGGCTTGTTTGAATCATTTTGGACCCCAGAGTTGGCTTTGTACAGGCCTTGAATCTGGTGCACCAATTGATTGTTGAGTTCGGCCAGTTGTGCATTTTTGGAGGATAGTTGCTCAAATTCCATGAAACTTTTGTCCTTCATCTGCGTCAGGTTCGCAATCTCGTCGACCAGTTCATTTCGCTTCTGGATCGAGTCTTCGATCTGCGGCGCAAATGAGTTCTTCAGTCGTTCGAGCGCTTCTGCAAAGTCGCGCAGCACGGCATTGCTCATCTTGGAAAGGTCGAATGGCTCGCCGCTACGTTTTGCAACAGCCAAATGCTCCGTCAGCACCTCCAGCTCGCGTACCACAATCTCTTTTTGCGTGTCAAGCACGACAATGGTTGATCTCTTCTCCTTGAGCTCGGAGTTGACCTGTTTCATGTTTGCGGTCGAGTCGAGCTGCGATTCAAGCTCGGCAATCCTCTTTTCGCGCTCAATGGTTTTCTGCCTCTCACGTCGCAGCTCATTCCTAAACCACGCGAGTTCATCACGATTTTCCGGAGATACCGAGCTTGGACTGCTAATCTCTTGGCCAATGGAAGTAGGCACTGCAGGCGACCTAGGCCAGCGATCTCGAGATAGCCGGCCAGTTTTGTCGCTATAACTTCGACCATGGCGGACAGAATTGGAGACCCTCCTAAGGAATGATTCATGAGCGCCTGGTTCGTCCGGACCCATTATACGAGCCATGTCTTCGTCCATTGTGAATTCACCCCCCGTGGAATACCTTGGTAAGCCCGGCGACTTTTGACCTTCGAGATTTCGTTGATTGTCGGAGTACATTGTGCTGAAGGATTCATTTCGCGAGTGTGAATGGTCAGCGGGTGGCAGAGGCGGAGCACGAGGGTCAATGAAGGATTGGTTTCCTCCCATTCCAACACTTGGAAGGTCTGTCTGACTAACATTATCCGCCGTGTCGAAAATGCTCTTAGAACTCGGCGAACCGATGGGACCAGAGATAACCTTTCCACCATTTGCTCTGGCGAGATCCGTAGGCTGCATGGATTGTTTTGGGGTAGTGGCGCTTCCGTTCACAACTCCACTAAGGGTGGAAGGGATGTTCGCGGACGTGTTCAATTCTTTCCTGGGTATCGTCTGGTTACGCTTTGCACTGTCCAGAGAATCACCTCTCTTTGGCAGATTCTGAAGAATCGATGCTGCAGGCAATTGCGCAGGCTTGGGGGACTCGTTTACCGCATCATGGACAGGGCTCGACTCAGCCGAGAGCCGCGGTGTCGTGAAATCGTGGTCTTCTGGTGGGGAGCCCACATCGGGTGCAGGCATATTCTTAGTGGTCGTAAACTGCTCCATGGGATCGCTCATAACGTCTGCGCGAGGGGTTGATGCTTCCGACCGAGACGGAGGGGTTGAAGTCGGACCTTTTTTGTTCTTAGGAGCCTCTTGTAGTTTGAACCGTTCATTCAACGATGCCTCGTTAGGGCGAGCAATTTGTTGTGACAAGCGAGGAGATTCTTCCGACGGCCGTGGTCTCTCTGGGACAACATATGGCGATGCGCTTGCAGATCCTGATCGGCTACCAGTTGGCCTTGATCGACTCCATTCGCTCATGTCGCGCGAAGACTGTCGCCCTTTCTCTTGATACGCAATATGTGGGCTAGAAGTATTCGATTTTGAGATTGCATGCTGACCCACAGGAGGTGTCGGTCTACTCGTGAAATAGTCCTTGGGCTTCTCTTCGACCACGCGCGGCGTCATTTGGTTCGCCATACTGGGTGATTGAGTGGTTGGCTGTGCCGAGGGATCAAATGCGAGAGGAATCAAAAATTCCTCGCCTCCTCCTGAAAGATCTGAACGTTGAGACATGACAGACTGTCTGTTGTTGCGAAAGGTGGTCGATGGTAGAGTGAGCAGATCTAAGTTCGATCAGTTAGCCTGGGTATATTAGATCGAATATAGATTGTGTACTTACTTTGGGGCGGAGTCTGCTCTCCTGTCGACGGTCTCGAACTCACATCGCGTAGTTCGCTCATGGTCTTCGCAACCGATGGAACATCGGATGGCGTATCGGGGTAGGACTCGGGGTATGGTGATTGTGTCTCAGGTATGTATGCGGTCTTCCTCGCTTCTGGGGGTGGGATCGCAGGTAAGGACTTGTCGAGGTGGTTGTTTGCGGAGGCTTTCGAGCGCGCTGAGGAACCCTTCGCAGACCTTTTGCGTCTCCTAGCCATCAATGCCTCATGACAATCCATGCAGAAGATACCTTGGGATGTGCGCGCATATCGTAAGTTTTCGATCTTTCTCTTGCAATTCCGACATTTGAAGCAGTTGGCGCAGAAAGCCTGGTCACCAGTCAGGATGGCAAGGTCTTCAATCTTGTTCCCGCAATTGCTGCAACTGTAGGTGCAGTTGTTGCAGATAAGAGAACCATCGCCGAGGAGTAGGAGGTTCGCGTCGGAATCGAGGGCTGTGTTGCAGGTGTTACAGCGGAAACAGTCGATATGCCATCTGTTCCCAGCTGTTCACAGTCAGTACAATCGCCGATACCACTCGAAAGCAGGGATTTCGTACCTAACTCAAATGCTTTGCCTTCTTCGAGTATCTTCACAGAAAGTTAGCAATTGTCAGCCCCGACCGCCCAATGAACCGTACCTGTCCACATCCTTTACATGGGTAAGGAGCGTCATCTGAATCCAGAGGAGACTCCGGGAAAGCCATCGGAGACTCCAACGCTGCAGTCGCCATCAGGTCGGCTTCTCGCAATTCGTACTGCACAAAGGGCCTGCCCGGTTGGCATATGGTGAATTATGTCTTAAATCAAACTGAACCCCGTTTGAGACGGGACAATATAAGTCATTAATAATCTTTTTCTGCCGCGCAAGGAGTGCAAACGACCCAAATGTTGTACATCGACGACTAAGCGATACAGGATTTCTTTGACAGGAAATGTCGTGTACTGTCCGGCAGCTGAACACGACTCTAGGTGGGTGATCGACACGGCTTTCGTGGTGGGCGTTTGTCGGAGGCCCAATGGGTCGAAAATAGAACGCTGACAGGAACAGGCAAAGTACAGGTCGAACAGTCGTGATGTTTCGTCGAATCTGGTAAGATACAGTCGTAGACAATGTCGGGTACGTAGCAAAGTCAAAAGATCGCAGGCGTAAGCTCGTAGAGGCTTGGAGGGTAGGGTTTTTGAGGGCAGTGATAGAGTTGCGCAGACAGGTGCTGGAAGAGGCGATCGCGTCCAGTCAAGTCGATTCGTGAGAAGAAAGGTTGGAATGACGGCCGGTTGTGACGTTTTGGTGCACACGAATAACTCGCGTTTTCTATGCAGGACAACAGCTCATTGAGAAAAGAGAAGAACGGTATTGTATTTCTCTCGCCTCATAGAACGAGAGGCAATGATGGCGATGGTGGTGGTGGTGATGAGAGAGCCCACTACTCTACCTGTTCTTGTTCTTGCTCCTCTCGTGCTAACCTCTGAGAGTCTATTTCTTCAGCCCCCAGTGCAGTGGTTTGACGATTGGGTGGACGTGTTCTTAGGTGTGAAATCAAGGGTCCAGGTCTCTGCTGAATTCGCCCATTCAGTTAAAGACTGCCCGGGCTCCATTGGTTCATTGCAGCCACAATGTCGATGGAGGCTTCGGTGCAAGTCAGACTTCAAACTAAGGCTAGTCGACGCGAATCATGGGCTGCATAGAGGTCCTGAGGGAAGTTTTAGCTGGCCGTCTTTGGTCTTTTAACCCCTGATTCCGTTTTGTTTCTTCCAGACCAACAGTACCTCATCCAGCCTACAAGGCACTAAAAGAGCTTTATATTAGCTTCGAGCGTAATGAGCCTCGCCCATCCTTCAGAATCACAACTGTCTCGTCTCCCTATTTCCTGCTGGAGAAGCCCGCCAGATCCAATGACTTCTCTCCAGAGTTTCTTCGCGACATGAGGATCTCCCCGCCTCCTTCTCTGGTCCCATCCGCTTTCCTCGTGGCTGGAAACAAAATGTGCTCTTTCCTGCTGTCAGGATATTGCAGGAGCACATCAAACTGTCAACATGCCGAATAACCAGACCTTGTGAAGCCATTCTTTCCCTGACTGTCCAAAGATCGTAGCACCGCATCGCTCTGATTCCTTCTTCGTCACACATTTAACGATCCCCACGTGGTGTCTTCGGCCAGGAAAGAGACTGGGGCAGATTACCCAGGCCACTTGCAGAATCTGTCGTTTCATCTGGCCCATCGATCGGCAAATGCAATGCCTCGCTCCAGCCCAGGACCGAACAGCCTTTCTTCCATAGCCTATCCCTTGTAGTTGCTGCACGGAGTGACGACCTCAGGAGTTGACAGACTTGAAGGCGCGGAGGCATGCCGAAACGGCAAGCGAAGTCTGTGCTTTTCGAGTTCAACAGATAACTTCTTAGAAGTACGGTGGTAATAATGTCGTGTTAGCTCATGTTTGCCGTGATCGACAGTGACAGCGTTATCTATGGGGCACTGTCAAATCACACCTATCCTGGCGGTAAACTCTTATGTAGAATGCTGAAAGGGTACACTGGTCAATACGGCATTCAATAGTGGACATAGATGTTTACAGGAACGAGGATGTCATAAATCATAAGGCCAAGGAAGGTCTTTGTTTGATGTTTTTGATGTTTTTGGTTTTGTCTTTGAGCTTCGTGGCTCTGAGCTTCAAGGCTCTTCATTAGCAACCATGCTGCTTGTGAAACACGTTTGACCATGAGGAGTGCTGTGCTCATCCCATTCCATCCAAACTCCCAACATCAATAATCATAGAGACAGTGACTCTTCATAATAATACACCCTTGCAAACCCTTGTTCCCTTCCTCAATCGTCTTCAGTGAGCCCCAAAATGATAATGTTGCCCGAATCCTCAGATTCTGTAATTGCAGGACTTCGAATTCCGTAAGTTCTGTCGATTCTGACAGCTCCAGGAACTGCAATTCCAGCACTCCTATTTCCAACAACATGCTTCTGCATGTTTCCCATATGTTGATGAAGAACTCCATGTCTGTGAGTAGTCGAGAGAAGTTTCTAATTCGCTGACACGTCCGAGATGGAATTGTAGGTGGGCCCTGGCTCCCCAGAGTCAAAGTCCGAGTCTGTTCCTGGCACGACAACTCTGCCGGTATCGCCCAAACTTCCGTAGACTGGGCCTGATGCTCCTGCCACGTAATAGTGGATGAGATTCTTGTCTGTTTCTTTACTAAAGTAATTGTAGAATCTTTTCTCTGGTTTGATGACAGCGTGTAGTGCTGTACAAAAGTTCATGATGTATCGTCTGAGGACAGAGGTGTATGTCGTAAGAAGATGTTCTGCGTATGATGCCAAACGATCTTCTTGAATGGTAAAGAGGGTCTGGCCATGTAGAGTGACACGCGACAGCAGGATAATAAGGATGTTGATGCCAAAGGCCATAATGATAGGCAGTCGGACTGCAAAGCGAGGCTTTTCAGGGCCAAAATCTGTCGCAACGCTTTGAAGACTGTTGTATAGTTGAGTTGTGGTTGATCTAGGGGTAATGATAGGATCATTGGTGATAATAATACGTTCAACCTCTTCCATGGTATCGAGGACAACGTCAATCGTGGCAAGAGGGTTTTGAGTTGAATTTGACAGAATCATTGCGGCTTCCTCGATAGCTGACACTGCTGAAGCATAACTTGACGTGTGGTTGCACCTTGCAATGATAAGAGCGGCCAATGTCATACCAGGTTGAGGCTCTGGCCACTGAGGGTATTGCTGGAAGAGATCGGATAACATCATAACAATAGTATGTCTGTTGTAGGCGGGATGATTGAGGTTGCCAACTCGTTTTTCTCTGGGCTGGCTGATCTCGTCGAACGATGAAAGGTTGGCGACGAGCAGTTCGAACAGTTCGTTAAATTGTTCTTGGCGGGTAATCAAGACTTGTGGATAGGTCTCGAAAAGCATTCTAAGCCTGCGATAACCCAAGGCGTCAAGAGTCCCATGACGGAGGAGTTCGATGGCTGTGGCAAGGTGTTTCTTCGCAGACGCGATGCTGTTGCGTCGCTGAGGCGTTCGTTTTGGAGCCCGCATTGGAGACCGGTTTGGAGAATGTTTTTGGCGCCAAGGTTGATCCGTGTTCTCCTTGCCGTCAGGAATATGTTGAGGGCTTGTGCTTCTATCAACAGGACGTTCCGGTGGCGGTGCGAATTGATTTTCGGGTGCGAATGCCTGAACCGAACGAAGTGGTAGGCTTGGTGGAAGAGCTGTCTGCTGTAGCAATTCCGCATCTGCGACATCTTCTTTGAGAATGTCTTTGTAGGCTCCAGGAGCCGACATGGCCTTGTCCTCGACAAAAGCTGGGACAGGATGGTACTCTTTCTTAAGAGGTTCGGGTGTTGGGGGAACAGATGGCTCCTTGTCTTCAGTAATGACCGGTGTCTGTCGACCAGTCTTCTTGCCGTATTGTAGATTGGTTGTAGCAACGAGCTCCTTCTCTTCAGTCTTGATAGTTTCATGGCGACTTGTGGTCTTGCGATGATGACTTGTGGTTGACGACATGTTCTCTTTGCCGTGTTGAGTGACTGGCGTTTGTCGACCAGATGGTTTCTCTGCAGCAGGCTTATCTTTGGTCTCATGCGGCTTTTTGCAAGATTCACCGCGGGAGCAAGGACGCTGCGAAGGCATCATGGGAGCGATTGGTGTGGCTATGATGCGGCCTCTTCGGACTGGTGCCGACATCAGTGGACGTGCCTCGACTTGTGGGCTTGAAGTCCTGGGCTCTTTCGTCGTCTCAAGTTTGGAGTCCTTGCTGGATTTTTGCGATGTAGGGCGAGAGCCGTGACGTGAGCCTGCGGCTTGTTCGCTTTGATGAGTTGAAGATTGGACTTGTCGGTCTTGTTTGTCTCGACCATGCTCGGCAGCATTCTTTGACGTAGGAGCGGAATGGACGTCTTCCATAGGGCCAAAGGCCAAGTCGGTAGACTTGACTGACGCCGGAGTGTTGCCACGATGTTGTTGCAACTGCTGCTTCGATTGTGCTTTGATGGAAGCAAGCGCTGAGCCTGGTCTTGGGGTTTTTGCTGCTTTCGCAGAAGACCGGTCTGGATTGTGAGGGTCATCGCGGAGTGCAGCTTGAGCATGAGAATTGAGACTACCCATAATCATGCGAGCGCCGGCGACATCGTAAGTTGCGAACTCCCAGTAGACTGCGCGAGAGTTTTCTCGGACCTTGACTTGTCCATCTCTGAGACCTTCATAAATGGCCTTCTGTGCTAGTTCACCGTCTTTGTTACGATCCATCTGATTGCGATATGTTTGGAGGAGGCTTCGTAGCCATACTGGTGCAAAGATACGTGGGGGATTACGTCGGTCTTTGAATGCGGAGCAGATATGGTAGAAAAGACGATGACTGTATCCAGCATGCTTGCAGATGAGGATGACTGTTTCACTGGCGTTCTTTTGATTGACGTTCTTTGTCGAGCCGCAGAGGGTGATCAGCGCAGGGAGCAGGATGTCAAGTTGTGGCTGTATTTGTGTCTCAAGCTGCCTTGTGATGTTTTGAAGAGCACGGCAGCCCTGGGAGGATAGAGTGGTACGCTCAGAGGAGGCAGCTCCGACGATGTCTGGTAGAATGACTTTGACTTTCTCGACAAAGTCCTTTGGAAGAACACTGTCTTCTTTGCGAGTTTCGAGGAGTTCAGAGAGTGAGATCAAGAGATCCTGGCGCTTCTTCCAGGTCTCCTCAGTCTCGGGGAAAGTGAACTCGTACTGCAAGAAGTTGAGGATGTCGACATAGCTTTTGCCGATCATCTTTGCTCTGGTGCTGGCAACAGCGAACCAAATGGCCTTTCCGGCCGTGGAGATTGACTTGTCGACTTTGTTTACTAGAAGAGGGAAAATGGTCAGTAAAGTACAAGTGAAGGTGAAGCACGGTGAAGAGTTCATACAGAACCCCGCCTTGGCCGCACCAGAGCGGCGAGGCATCTTGCCGGCACGAGGCCGACAACACGCCAACATGTTGGCGAGGAGGGTTTGGGAGAGGAGGGCAGCAGAGAAGCAATGCTCACGTTGCAAATGAAGAGGGCGTTCGACTCAACTCGAAGAGGAGAGTCACGTGGTCAAGTGTGTATGAAGAAACGATGGAAACATGGAGGGCATCGCAGATACTTATAGAGGGAACACATACCTGTACCGGAGTTCTTCGTGGCAGCATTGAAGCATCAATATTCGATCGGCGTTGGCGGTGGCGATATGGTGGACGTCGTGGAGGGATGATGAGGAAGAGAAGAGACGGGTGACCAAAGGGCTGTTTGTTTTGGGAGGAGTCGCGCCGACAGTGAGGTAGCCTTGGCATGAAGTTGCCTGCTAACCAATCATCACCACACCGCGCACGGGCCCTCCCAGCCCTCCCAGAGACACGCTTCCCTCCTTATTTGTTTCTTTGCCCTCCGGTCCCTTTCCGACCTCCACACCGACTACGTTACAGCCTCGTCCACTCTCTTGTTTCACGATCGTCACTGACCGTCTGATACATCCACTCCACTATTAATACTCTACCGCCCGTTACAACGAGGCTGCCTGAAGTCAAGGCCCGTTTCTAAGGCGTACGCTGTCCACTGTTGCGTTTGCTCTTCCCCTTGCCGTCCACATACAGCGCGTTTCAGAGTCTTGCTTCCAACATAACACCCAAGTGCATGGTGTGTGATCTTCGAACGAAGCCTACAATGCCTGCCCCGATACCACCCAGGCTGCAACCCAAGCCCACCCTTCGTCTACACCTGGACGATATCAGTCATCCGGCCAGTCAAGTCGCGGCTGCTTCTCTGGATAGTGGGCTCTATCTTGCACGCGCAATTGAGCATGTCATGGCCCACCTCTACACACCCTTCGGGTTGAGTGATATTCCCAAAGTCAGATCGGTCACAGTGGTACTTCGGCCAATGGGTGGAGTCGCATATACGACCGGAATCCCGCTGGATGATCTACACAAAGAGATTCATCTCTCCCTCGACTACGCCCATGGCGTCCTCTCACGGAATCCACCGGGAATTCGTCATGAGCTCTCTGGTGTCATCACCCATGAAATGGTCCATTGCTTTCAGAACAATAGTCACGGCACCGCTCCGGGAGGTCTCATCGAGGGTATGGCAGATTTTGTCCGACTGAAGGCTGGGCTAGCGCCACCGCATTGGAACCGTTCACCCGAGAATAGAGGGAAAAAATGGGATGAAGGCTACCAGAAGACGGCATGGTTTCTGGAGTGGCTAGAAGATCAGCAAGGTTCGGGCACTGTGAGCCGGATGAATGAGACGATGGGAAAAGGCAAATATGACGAAGACAAGTTCTGGCGAGAACTGTTCGGAGAAACAGTCCACAAGTTGTGGAGCCAATATGAGGCTACTTGGAAGGTTCAAGATCAACCTACAGAGTCTGCAGCGTCACGAGAACCAGACACTGCATCACAACCAGAAGTGGTCAACTTAGAGAGGACGGAGGATCATGAGGCAGCGGCAGGGCCGAAAAAGCCTCAGAAGTTCGTCGGTTAAACCAAGGTGGCCTGAGGCAAACCCATCGCTTACTCTTCTTCGCACTGCGACGGTGTCATCGGATGCTCCTATTGAAATCATGTAGCACTAGCAAGTATTTCGGCGTGTCCCAGCAGTCTTAGCATGCCTCCCTCTGAAAGTCGAAAAGTGTTGAATCAACACATTCATGGTCAATAGCATGCCCAAGGCTGACAAGAAGATCAGTCATCATAGGCGCCTGGGCTTTTTCTCAGGACGGCATAAGACGGACAGACGGAATGTGACGCAGGCATGCAAAGATGGCAATAAACTGGGTAGTGACCTATTTCCGAAATAGTCAGTATGGATCTCGGAATGAGTGGTGCAGATAGTGTGGGAAGAGGTATGGATCAGTAAAAAATTAGAGTGTTGTTGCAATGTTTTGTTCGCCATCGAAAAGATTCTCGGGGTTAAAAACGGTTCATCACACAATGATGTTATCATAAAAAGGAATCCTGCTTACCCAGCTATAATCCGGTCGAGGCAGGATCGTACACTTTTCCCAGAACTGAAAGACATAGTGGCAGCTCGTATCTCATGTCATTGCATCTATGTCGGCTGTCTAATCGGCTAGCATGCCATGCCATGAACACCACGTCCGCATTGTTTGACCTTGCACGATGCTCACTGCATTTAATCGAAGAGACCACCGAAGCCTGGCTTGAATCAGTATGCAGCCTAGAAATCAAATGGTTGTACTTGAACTCACCCTCATCTTCACTTTCCTCCTTCTCCTCTTCCTTTTCCTCCTCCTTCGCGGCAGCTGGAGCAGCATCATCCGTGCTAGTGGCGGCGGCAGCAGCAGGAGCGGCAGCGGCATACTTGTCTGGGTTCTCAATGCGATCCTTGAGCTCGTCGATTGACTCCCAGCTGTAGTCGATGCCGAGGGCCACGGCGATGAGTTTCTTGTACCCATTGACCAAGCTGTGGATAATGGATGGAAGAGTTGGGTAGTTGGCAGCCAGAGAGATGGTAGTGATGGTAGCGATGGCAGACGACAATGCCTTCAACAACTGGCTCTCCTCGATATCCAAGACATCTGGGGAGAAAGCCTGACCATCCTCGTAGACTTGTTGAACCTTCATACCGTAGGTGAAGGGCGAGATGTTCAACATGTTGAGCAGAGTAGCCTCTGAGGCACCGACTTTTGCGCCAGCCTCGACCAACTTGAGATCGGTGGTAATTTCAATGGTACCACGAGCAATCTTGGTTGGGACACCGAGGGCCTGGAAGAAAGAGGTCTTGCCGGGTTCCATACCAGTGTTCCCAGCAGGGATGTACACATCGGCAGGAGCGACAGCGCCAGCACGAGCAGGAGCTGCAACACGGTTTGCCAGGATCCTGTCACGAGTGGTCTTCAGGTCATCATTAGTGAAGATGAAGCCAACGTTTCCTATCAAAGTCAGGATTCTCCTTTCTCTTTCATGATGACCAGCAGCGCGATCCGCGTACCTTTGACGTGCGGGAGGAGACGTTCGTATTCCGGGTTGTCGGCGACGAAACCCTTGAGCGCACGACGAACCATGGTGTTCTTGCCCATCAATACCACCGCATCGCCTCGGAGAGAGTGACGGATCTCGTGCATCTGCTGCGAAGAGACATTGTCGACGCTGACCTGTGCCTGCTGTTAATTCTACCATCGGCTATTTCTGATCCGGAGGACTTGCGATGAAGATAGATTTGTACTCGTCGAGCAAGCCCTTCAGCTTGTCGAAGTAGACTGCCTTGGTGCCGGATTTGCCCCCCATGACTTCTTGTGTATGAAGTTAGGATATTTAAGGGCAAAGTATTGTGATTTAGGAGATTGTAGATGGTGTTGGTTGCGGATGAAGAGTCGCTGTTCAAACTGCGCTTTGAGGGTCGTGACTTCCGACAAAAGTTGTGTGCGACAGTCTTGGCAGCGAATCGTGCTTACGTAACCGCATTCCGGGGTGCAAGGTTTGGAGTTCCACAAACGCTACGAGTACATCTTCCGACACAACTATGACTTGTAATCTGCAGGAACAGTGAACGCAGGGCTGAACCATGCAGGGAAGGTTGAATGCTCTCTTCATCTGTTGCAACAGTCTTTCTGTACCAGTAGCCTGGGGGCTGCACCTACGAAAGTGGGAGTACTACGCGATAGGGAAAGCTCCTACGCATTGGAGGCCTTGAAGCATGTCTCAAAATGGGTAACTCTAGCCTCGTCTGACATAGCGTATGCGGACTTGTCACAAGGCCGTACGTCGATCATAGGTAGGGATATATTGAAGACGACGCTCGGCGGACGTTATCCGTCACTCTTCCTCAGTGCTGAGGTGGGCCGTCATACCCGAGATTGTCCAAGATGAATCAAACGCGACCAATGAACAAACAGTGATGCGCAGCTTCATGTCAGGAAGACTAGGCTGCCGAAGCGGTCTGAAAACTTCCCACGAATACTAAACTTGCTGCATACGGTGTAGGCGTCCACCTCTACTCCGTCCTGCGGGGATAACATTATCTCACGGTCTACCTTGTTCATCTTCGAACTTCAATTATCGTGGCGAGTCCAACTGCGAAGAATGTACGATTAAAGAACAATTATCATCGAGCCTCGTCGAAGACACGGTAGATGCGAAGTGGGTTCGCTTGGTAAAGGCTGGTTTCGCCAGGAGTTTCAGCAGATGTCTGCTGCGACCCTGGCCAGCGGCAAAGCAGCGCCCGTAACGAACATGAAATTCGACCCTGCCCATGAAGAAGACGCAACTAACCATTCCGGAGCAAAGCCTCGCGTGAAGCGACTGCACTCGAAAGTTCGCAGCGGCTGTACGACTTGTAAGTACGTATTTCAAGGCTCTTCCTCCTGCAAGCTCCTAATAATGTGAAGAACACGGAGAATCAAATGCGATGAAAGCAAACCAAAGTGCCAAAGGTGTGTCTCTTTGTGTCTTAATTGAACGTCAATGGCACTTACCCTGCCAACAGATGTTTGCAGAGTAATCGCGAATGCCTAGATTATGACATTCCTAAGGCTCGGATATTCGAAGCATCGAAATCGGGTCGACCTGTGCTCGCTCTTGCTTCCAAGAACGCCTTCAATTCCGTGTCTGGTCTGCCGACAAACCAGCCGCTCTCATATCATTTGAGCCCACGACTGGCAGGACATGTGCACGTTTTGTTCGCGGACAAGTATGAAGAACGACGCAGTCTGGATTTCTGGTTGTCGACGACTGGCCCGACGATGGCCAATATTGGCCCCAATTACACTTTTTGGAACACACTGATCCCCCAGATGGCGTGGCAGTATCCGGTTTGCAGGCATTTACTGGTAGCGATGGCGCTGCTGGACGAGGAGCTTGGAGTGTATCGTACGGGGATCAGGTCCAAACTCTCGCCCGTGGCGATCTTGCACTACTATAAAGCGATCAAGATGATGACGGTGAGCAGTCAACGCGACACGACATCTATGTTAGTGGCATCTTTGATGGCTTGGGTTTATGAGGCATTACAAGGCAAGTATCCGGCAAGCTTGCCTGCTGCCGAAGTACACGTTAAGGGAACTCTACGATTATGGGCGACACTCCGCTCCGGATGCCTGGGTTCAAATGGTTTCCTCAAAGACCTTTTGGCGCAAATCGAGCCGGTCATACGCTTGATTGGATCGTATACAGAAGTCAGGTTCGATGATGAGATCGCGTCATATCTTCTCACCGAACCCTCCAGCAACATACCTCGAAATACTGTCCGAGTTAGGGAGGTACAAAAGGCGCCGACTGTCCACTTGCAGTCCCTTGCTGAGGCAAGAGAGATGCTGAAACATCGGGTCCAAGACTTTACTTCTTTGGACTGTGTGACAGAAGGTGCTGCCTTGGAGCAACGGCTGTACATCAAAAGCTGGAGTAGAAGTGTCCGCGAGCACTGCAGCATTGGCCTTGAGTCCAATCTGCACAAACAAGCTGTTCAGATCTTGTTCAACGTGGCAATGGCTTTGCTACCCGAGAGTGTTGGGGGCGCCTTCAGTCATGCGGCGAATCCGGTGGCTGTGGGAAGCATACTGGATGCATATGAGCGCATCATGCGTGAATGGAAGAATGATCGGCCCATTGACGATGCGGATATCGAGCTGACGCTGCTCGCGGCGTTTGAAATGATCAGGGTTCACATTCGAGACCGGGCATATCGACAACGAGCAGACGGACTTCTCTCAGAGTTGCAAAGAGACGCCCAGCATTCCCGAGAATTACAGGCAGTCTTTATGCCTGCATTATTCTGATTGCAATCCGCATACCTTGTGCTCAGCTGTAGGATGCATTACCGCCATGGGCGTCGTCACGGAAGGCTGGCGTCTAAGGACTCGAAGGAAACCCTACGACCTCATCGAAGACGGGGCAATATACCTCATAAATGTTGTAGCAGGAAGAATAGCAAGTCAAAGAAGATGTCGGCTTTAAGCTCCGGCACATTACATTGTCATCCTCAAACACCGTATCTCGGACTTGTGCGACCCATTTTAAATGCTTCATATCGTGTACCATGAAGGACTTTTGTCAAACTTTACCGCACGACATACATTGACTACTGCTTACGACATACCTAACATACCACAGAACTTTCTCCTCATTTTAGACCACAGCGTTTCCTGGACTCCTGATTCCTGAAATCCAATAACATCGACTAGGGGGAAAGAATGTCGGAAATAGACGAGGGGTTTCTCATCGCAGTTGAGGAGGCACGACAAAGCTTTGCTGAGGGTGGTGTGCCGATCGGTGAGTCAAAGTCCAGGGGCAGTGGGGCAGGCATATCCCGCAATAGAGACGCAACAGGGTTCTAAACATCTTCGCAACGACAGGAGCATGCCTGGTCTCGAAAGACGGAAAGGTTCTAGGACGAGGGCATAACTCGCGGGTGCAAAAGGGCAGTGCCACGTTACATGTGAGTCTCCGACACTGCCAATCTTGAAGCAAAACAGAATAGCCCGTCCAGACGATATCTATGAACATCGTCTAAGTCCTTGGTCATGTAGGGCGAGATCTCAGCACTCGAAAATTCGGGACGTCTGCCGGCGTCCGCATATGCCGGTGCGACGATGTACACGACGCTGAGTCCCTGCGACATGTGCACGGGAGCGTGTATATTGTACAAGGTGGCGCGGGTGGTGATCGGAGAGAATAAGAACTTCGTCGGTGGGGAGGAGTACCTGAAGAAACGGGGCATCGAGGTGATAGTCTTTGAGAATAAGGAATGTATGGGATTGATGGAGAAGTTCATAAATGAGAAGCCCCATGTTTGGTAAGTCAGAAGGATTAAGGTCTTGCTCCCGCATGGATCATATGTTGACAGCTTCACAGGAACGAGGATATCGGTGAACCATGAGGACCGAGTACGTTGGTCATTTTCAACCGTGACGGCCGAGTTCTGCACTCTTGAATGTCTCAGACGCCACCAACGTATGCACTATCTAACAAAGCGATATGCCATCTCATACATACAAGGAATTGAAGTCTGTGACGGATACCATGACCAGCCTCCTTCCTGGTTAATGGTTAGGTTCGACACAGGCGGGAACACGTCGATTAGCACCATGACCGGCAGCACAACCATCAATCACTCGTACACCTTTTCTATAATTCAGCCTTCTTTGCGCCGGTGCACCTGTGCACCTCTTCGAAGAAAAACTTCAAGTTGTCCGGGTTGACGCCCGGTGTGATACCATGACCGAGGTTGACGATCCATCGTTCTTGTCCACCACCAAATCCTCGAACCATGTTCTCAACGACCGACGTAATCGCAGTGTGCTCGCCGTAGAGGACCCCAGGATCAGCATTGCCTTGCAGAGTCACCCGTCCACGGGCTGTCCGCACAGCCTCTGCAGGATCGTGCAGCCAGTCGAGACCAACGACATTGTAGCCAGAATCGCACAGTTCGTCGAGAGCATACCATGCGCCCTTTGCGAAGACAACCATGGGCACCACCTCCTCACCCATTTCTCGAAGCCTCTTTGGGAGATTTTCCGAAATGTACCGCAACTCTGGAAGGGCAAATTCTTTGAAAGATATGGGTGACAATTCTCCAGCCCATGAGTCGAATACTTGGATGATTTGTGCTCCTGCGACTACTTGCAACGCGAGATGTTCCACGCAAATCTCCGATATCTTTCTGAGCATCACCTTACTCTCCTCGGAGTACTTGTAGACCCAAGTCTTTGCCTCCCTGAAAAGCTTCGTGCCGCCGCCCTCAACCATGTAGCACAGTAATGTCCATGGTGCGCCACAAAATCCGTATAGAGGAACCCGACCGGCGAGTTTGTTGCGTGTCATAGTGATTGCCTTGTAGACGTAGTCCAGCTCTTTTGCGACATCCACTTTCTTCTTGACTATCTCTTGGTACTGTTTGTCTGACGGCGAGCGTAGAGGATCTGGGAATTTCGGCCCAATTCCATCTACCATTTTTACGTCCATGCCCATGGCCTGCGGTATGACAAGGATGTCTGAGAAGATGATGGCCGCGTCGATGAGCCCGTCATAGCGGTCGATGGGCTGGAGGGTCAAAGTTGAGGCGATTTCGGGCGAGCGACAGCATTCGAAAAAGTCATGTTTTCCCTTCGCTTCGTGATACTCAGGGAGGTATCGACCGGCTACCGCACCGTTAGCGCTCGATCGTTGCTGAGAGCGCAAAAAGCACTGACCGCAGCATACCTTGTCGCATCACCCACATAGGTGGTCTGTCGACCTTCTCGCCTGAGGGGTGTTAGAGATGGTCTTCCATTGAGAAAGAGTTGGCTGACGCACCACGGGCAGCCCGGAGCAAGCGGTCATTCTTTAACGGAGCGAACTTTTTCTCCATCGCAAATAAGTTGCTCTTTATGTGTATGTTCGTTTGCAAATTGCAGACAGGTCGGCAGGATGAGTGCAGTACTTTGAGGTCTTTGTGATGATGTTCACTGTCTCGGACCGCTAACCGAGGTTTAGCCGTTCCTAGTCTCCAGCCTTGTAAAGACGGGACGAGGCTGGCACCTTACTACACTCCAGTGTATCTCGCGGGGTACTAGGTGGATGGAATGGTTTTTGTCCGCTCTAAATGGTCATCCTATGACTGGTCGATGTACCGCCTCGAGTGGTCTAGACATGTCGTATCTACAAGTTCTTGTCAGGTGGTGCTTTCCTGACCCACTGGCGTACCATCCTCGACTTCCTCCTCAGCCTCAATCCCTTGCTCGCCTCGCTTCTTCCTCAGATTCTCCAAGCCGTAGAGTTGTTCGCCCAAGACACTATATGTACCTTTCCCCTTCAGGCCATCCTCTGAAGGCAAGTCGACGTTATCGGAGACCGTAATAGCACCGTTCAAAAGCATTGCAAGGCTGGATCTCTCCCAGCGCAATTCTCGTCCATCCGGGAGTTCCACAGGTTGATCCGTTCCGTCCGCATCCTTACTGATGTTGGAAAACAGCTCGAAGGTCTCGAAAAAATCCGACGTTGGCACTTCTTCCGAGCCAACGTCTCGCATAGATCCAGGCTTGTGCACCGTATCAATACTAACCACAGCCTCCCACAAGGCTGGCCCAATGGTTACGTCGAGAGCATTTCCCCCAAGTTGCAAAGTTTGATGGTGCTGGAGTTCGCCTTGATCGGTGAGGCTGTAACTCAGAAGCATTGGAAGTCTATTTATGATCAGTCTGGCAAAGTTGGGTATTCAAGGTGAACTTACCCTTCCAGTGCAACCAGGAGCAAGCGTGGAGGTTGACGAGCATAGGGCGAGTTTCCAGAAACTGTAAAATGAACAGGCCAGATGTTCGACACGGCCAGTCGGTCCTCGGTACGCTCTTCTTTGTCCAACACTGTGGAAATGTCCATCCCTACAGCGCCCTTGAAGATCTCTTTGTCGAGCAGACGTCCAGTTCGCCAGTGATACGCTGACAAAGATGGTTCACCACTGCCCGCCACCAGGATTTCGGAGTCCCATGGTGGGATGCACAACTTGGTGACAAACTCTCGGTGTCCCAAACAGTAACCTTCAATGACATGAGCTTGCGTGATGCCTCGAGACACGCGAATGTGTTCATCCCGGTCGGCTGTCAGAATGTATTGCTTTCGCTTGAGCCCGTCCTGTACTTCATTGACTGCCACATCTGTCAAAAGAGAGACGTGACCCAAGAGCATTTTGAGCTCAAATTTGGGGCCTTCTTTCTTGGTCTGAGTCATTTTCTGCTCGCGCTGCTGCCTTAAGGCTTCGAGGTTGCCCTTCGTGTGAACCGTCAATTCTGTTGCGGAGGGAGTGAAGGTCTGCTTCAGGCCTTCATCTGCTTTTCCCACTTTTGAAGGAGTCCAATCCTTGCTTGGGTGTAATGGGAGTATGTATACGTCGCCAAACTTATCTCCCACCAAAAGATTCTTCTCGTCTGGGGTCAAGACTATGGCACAAAGTCTTTTCGGCATTGACCTGTTCGGTGTGAGCGTAAGAGTTTTCTTTATGTAGCGATGATGACATACCTTTGACTTTGCAACGTCAAGATGCCAGCAGAACTCACGCTGAACACGTTGATGCATTTGTCCTCGGCCGTCACAGTAATGGCTCTTGCAGCGTCACTGGTTGCAATAATGTGGGTAATGTTCGGAAGCTTCGAGCTCTCTACCTTGGGCTTTCGTCGCTCGCCTTTCTTCCGCTCCGAGATGATCTCAACAGAGTCCTCCGATTCATTTCGAGACAGCCCTGCCTGGCCTTCTACCTCGATTCGACGCCTCTTGGAGGGACGGCTCCCATCACCGTTGGCGTCGGATGGTCCGTCTCCCTCAGTAGCCTCTTCCACTTCCATGGGTGGCAACTGACTCAAAATTGAGCCATCTCTGAGATTGAAAGTGCTGATAACGGGCCCAGCCGCTGCCAGTAAGAAGGGCTGTTCGTCATTCACTGGCTGAACGCAACATATTTTCTGAAAGGGATGCTGATTCATATTCGATGTATTTGTTTGAGGCTATCCCGACGCGCTTCGATCTCTGTGGAGCACACAACAACCCTCGAGGACGCACCACTCTCGAAGAGGCCAGGCAATCCTTCGTCGTCAAATTCTCACCTGTAGTATTGGTAAGAGTGCTGAACGTCAATACTATCTCGTAGGATACTTACAGAAAAAACACAGTATCAGTCGTGTGATCCACCGTAGTGAGGATTTTTGCCGAGTCAATCAACGACGGGACACCACTCCAACTTAAAGAGTGTTTTTTATCCCCAAGTTCTCTTTTCTGCTACGAGCAGGCGACGCGTCCTCCGTATTTAACTCATCGCTCTTACTTCTCTTGTTCTCTGACAGCTCATTGCTTGCGTAAGATCCGTCGCTCAGACATCTAGCCGCATGCGTCCTTCCAAACCGATGTTTCTGATACCTGGTACAATTTCTGGCGTTCACCTACACGGATGAACTCGCCAAAGAACAGTCCAAAACGAGCGTGATCCGTGGCTAAATGCTCGGGACAAGTTGCCTATGCTGCCACCAGACAACGAGGCCCCCGTCACTTACAGCTCCATGGGTCTCCCGCAACGGCAGTGTCTGGTGGCTGCACGGTTACGTGATGGTCATGCGATCGATCGATAACATGCATGCCTAGCAAACCCCATCTATCCGCGGGTGAGACGTAAAATGCATTTTACTAACCAAGCTATTATTCCAGGTGGGACGCAATGACTATAAGCATCATCATGGGATGCATCCAAGGATATCTCCTTGGTCACTCCAGGACCGGAGTCGAATCCAACAAATGATGTTACGTTCTTGCCCATGATGAGCGTGTACCAGCCAAGGACACCTCTTTAACAACTTCAATATTTCCAGTACTTGGGGTGTTGGAGAATCAGCCCAGTCTCCTCGTCAGCCGTTTCCAAGATATGGCTCGCCGGGTACTCGGCGCGCCACCCAAGCTTCTCACCATGTCGGGCAGTAAAAGTACAGCTGAGGGAGATTTTTTGTTAGCACGCATCCACGTCTTTGCTGCTTTCAGCATGAACTCACTGTCCTCCCAGCTGCAAAGGAACGAGCTCCTTTGGGCAGCCTAATGCAGCCCCCATTCCTGTCAGAGCCTCGTCTGTGGCTTCTTCGACCTTTGCATCAGCGATCACTCCACGTTTTGCCAGAGATGCAGCTATGCTGGCATAAAGGTCTTCCCAAGCAATGCTGCCGGGGGACGCCAGGTAGTACCCATTCTTGCCGCTGTCTGGGCTCTTGTCTAATAGAATCTGCCGAAGCAATGCTAAATACAGGGACGTATTGTCAAGGACATGACATACGGGCCACGACTGTTCGTGAGTCAGTGTTGCACAAGCCAGAAAATGTGCGGAAATTTGAGATATCCACTTACTGGCCGACCAGGGTCTACACTGTACACACGTCCTACTGCCTGGGCAGCTCGAACGATGGCGACGGTTTGTATCGAGACGGGGTTGCCGAATCCTTCACCCTCTCCATCTGAGGCAACAATGTCTTAGCTACGATAATGGCATGATGTTTCCGCTTGCAATACTCACACACGATACAGGGCACGAAGATGTAACTGCGCACGCCTAACTCTTCAGCTTGCTCGATGACGGTGTTATTGGTATCGATGGCCTGGCAATATCTTGTCAACAGTTGTGGGATCCAATCCCAGTGCTAGCTTACCGGCTTGATAAGAGATACAGGCGGTTTCTGGGACTTCTGAACATCATACAGATTCGGATCATCATCATAAAGGGGTTGATCTGTCGGTGCACCGGCATGACTGGAGAATATTTTGGCACCGCTAGTCTTCGCAAAAGGTCAGCTAAAGACTGTCACAAATCATCATGCCACTTACATGCAGGAAATGGACGTCCTTGCCTGTCGACTTTTTCAATTCGCCAAGGGCCTTGATCAGAAGAACTTGGGCATCGGAGTAGAATGCATCGACGAGGAAGAACACAACGTCGATCTCTTTCCCGACGATAGCTTCTCGTATCGCCGCCTCGTCCTTGAGGCTGAATGTCAAAGGCTCAGCGCCGTACCGTTTGACCGCCTGGGCTTGCTCGACTGTGCGTACAAGGGCATACAGGTGTTCATATGGCGGCAGATTGGCACTCTTCCATCGGGCAAGCAGAGTCCCGCCGAGGTAGCCGGACACCCCTGTGAGCAGAATGCGGTGCGCCATCGGTCAAGCACCGATCCTCTAACCGTGGAGGGAACTATTAGAAGAGTGGTTTCGAGTGTCACAAACTCTGTACGAGGTACATACCTAACAACTATATATGGGTTTACTCCAACTCATCGGATAACGTTCAACGACCAGTAATGCGTCATTCCGATGGTATCCCCTCACTGCATTACTCAGCTTTTGCCAGACACAAAGTTCCCTGTGCTCTTCTACAGGACGAACGGCATATAGTCGTAATGATAATGAAGCCGATAGTCGGAGAGAATAGTCGAGCATTGAACCGCCTCGAGGCGTTGCCTGCTTCTCTGTCAGCGTTGACTCCAGCATAAGTCAGATCAGTGACTGCGGACTATCAAGTTAAGCTCGTATTCGCTAACACCGGATATTTCCCCACGACTTCCATTGTCTACCGAGGTCACTCGCTCAATACTGTATCATATCTTGGCGATGAGCTAAATACCCAAATACAATCTTAACGATATCTGATGGTCGTCCAGTGTCACCATCATCAGTCGCGACCAACACAGACATCAGGAACCACTGAATCCACCTTGGCTGCACACTAGGAAGTACTTCCAGCCAGCATGGCACCGACCAATGCCCCGCCATCAACTTCCTTTGCGAAACTCTCTTACCCAGCTGCGGGCGTCCTTCTGGTCACCATGTCTCAGCCTGAAAAGTTGAACTGTACAACAGCTGCCGACGTGATCGAGTTGACCAATGTTTTCAGGTGGTTTGACGACGAACCGACTTTGACTGTTGCCATTCTCACTGGTGCCGGCAACAAGGCTTTCTCTACAGGCGCCGACCTAAAGGAATGGCAATCAAAGGTCGCTGCCAATCCTGGCGCTGGTGCAGGTCCAGGAGATGTGAAGGGCGCCATTCCCATATCAAACCGGGCGGGCAAAAAACCAGTCATCGCAGCAGTGAACGGCATGGCCCTTGGTGGCGGCTGTGAGACGGTGGTCAACTGTGACATTGTCATCGCAGCGGACACGGCAACCTTTGGATTAGTCGAAGTCAAGCGTGGTGTGGCACCCTATGCGGGTGTCTTGCCACGTCTCATCCGGACTCTGGGTCTTCAACGCGCCAGCGAGATTGCCCTGACTGGATGGACATACACGGCCCAACAAGCATATAAATGGGGCCTTGTGAACAAGGTTGTTCCTCAAAAGGAGGTTGTTAAAGAGGCTGTAAGATACGCCACTGCAATTGCTGAGAATAGCCCGGACTCGATCATTTGCACACGCGCCGGGCTGAGGCAAGGCTGGGAGACGGCGAGCGTGGTAGAAGCTACAGCGATAACGGGAAAACAGGAGTGGGCTGCCCTACAGAGGGGAGATAACATTGTAGAAGGCTTGAAGGCATTCAAGGAGAGAAGACAGCCGGAATGGCTACCCTCAAAGCTGTGATTCCTCACACGCGCCGCTGTTTCACGTAGTTTGACATGTTCTGTTCCAGGTCGTACCTCTTCAGTTGCTGATAGATCGCAAGGTCCAAGAGTATTCTCGAGGGCTCCGAATATGAATGAGATGTTGACACTTGTACTCCGCTGTAGGAGGCTAGTACGGTGGGGTCCAGGACAATATTCGCCACGGAAAGTCTCCCGGCGGTTTTTCCTGCACTTGCCTTTGACCATTAGTTGCCTGATCATTCACAAAGCCAACTTTTCGGATCGCGCGTGCGAATCCATACTCAGCTACCATCATCATGGCTGCCGCGGATATTGAGCAGATGAACAAGCTCAGGAAGAGCCTAGGTCTTCCATTACTCAGCGTAAGTGGACAACCTCCACCAGCCTCTGAAGGACCTACATTCAAAGAACATTCTCAAAGCGACGACGACGATAGCGATCAAGAGCCCGCGTCCACGTTGGACACACGTGAAGCTGCTGGGTTTGAGAATTGGAATCAGTTACGTGAAGAAGAAAAGAGGCGCATAGAGCGGGAGAAACGGAAACATGAGATCCAAAAGAGGAGAGACGCTGAAGCCAGGGCGAAAAGACTCGAAGGAAAAGGCCTGGGAGATGCTGATGACGATGCCGACGATACGAAAGCATGGTTGAAGGGTCAAAAGAAGCGACAGGCAAAGATCGAGCGAGAACGTGCTGAGCGTCTGGCCAGGGAATTGGCCGAGCGCGAAAAAGAAGCGGCGAACGAATACTCCTCGAAAGACCTTGCCGGTGTCCAAGTGGCGCACGAGGTTGGCGACTTCGAAGATGGCGCTACCGAGCATATCTTGACATTGAAAGACACCGAGATTGGCAAGGATGATGAAAGTGATCAAGAGGATGTACTCGAAAATGCGGATGTTCTCGCCCGTGACAAGCTCAAGGAGAAAAACGAGTTGAAAAAGAAAAAGGTCTATGATGTCAATGATGATTCCGAGAAGGCTCTATTAGCCCAGTACGACGAGAAGAAGCGCAAGGCTTTCACGTTGGATGGACAAGGTTCTACTGTGGAGGAGCGTGATGCAAAGCGTCAGGAGATTGGCGACGTGTTGAGGAACACAATAAGCCTCGACATTTTGAAGCCAGAGCCTGTCTCGGATTACATGGAGATCAAAATTAAGAAGCCGAAGAAAGCCAAAAAGACGTCAAAGAGGCAGAAGATGGTGGATGAGGACGATGAGATCTTTCCAGTGCGGACAGAGACCAATGGCGATGCGATGGAAGTCGATACTGCACATCCGGCTCCGAGCAGGTCACGGACTACGCAGGATAATTTCAATGATGATGATGACCTTGCAAGTGCCCTGGCAAGGACTCGACAGGCTGTGCTGAAGAAACAGAAGCGCAAGCCGGAGGATATAATCAAGCAAATGAAAGAAGAGGAGCAGAACGAAGCTCAGACACCGGAGGGCGAGAATGGAGGGCTGGTGCTGGACGACACGACTGTATTCTTGGACAACCTGTCGTCTCGCCCAAGAGAAGAGGAACCTCAACGCCCCGTCGTGAAATCAATAGAAAAGGAAGAATCACCCGAACCTTCAGAGGTCAAAAACGAAGACGAGGACCATCCCATGGGAGAAGCATATTCCGGAGACAACGCAGAGGAACTCCTGGATAGACTACGGCGCGAGCAGTCTACACACACTCCGGATGTTTCACACACAGGTCTCGAGGAAGAGAAGACCCTTGATCAAGGTCTCGGGGCAGCACTCGGGCTTCTTCGACAGCGTGGTCTGGTCAAGCAGAGCGAGGCTGGTGACAAGAACGCTCTCTACAAAGACCGTCAGACGTTCATCATTCAAGCGCGGTTGCGTGAGCATGAAAATGAACAGAAGGCTCGCACTCAGCGTGAACGGGACCGCCAGTCTGGCAAGCTGACTGGCTTGTCATTGAAAGACCGAGAGGAACATGCTCGCTGGCAAAATACCCACCGAGAGCATCAATCTTCTATTCAAGCCGCCGCTGCCTTCAATCGCGAATACAAACCTGACGTGCAAATCAAGTATGTGGACGACGATGGCAGGTTGATGAATCAGAAGGAGGCATTCAAGCATCTCAGTCATCAATTCCATGGCAAAGGAAGTGGCAAGCTGAAGACGGAGAAGCATATGAAGAAGGTTGCCGAGGAGAAGAAACGAGAGGCCGCCAGTATTTTGGATAGCAGTGAGGCAAAGGGTATGAACAATGCTCAAGGAGCACTAGGCAAGAAGAACAAACAAGCTGGTGTTCGGTTGGGCTGAGCAGGAGGGTTATGTTCATCAGCATAGCGTACTGCTTTCCGGAATATGGTTTCCAGAGTATGCCGTAGCGCACATCGTTAGGCAATTGAGCAGTCACAAATCGAAAAAGTGCCATTGTTGAGGCATACTCCATAGATACTAATGCCAGACCAGCAAGAAGTAGCAAAGCTGTTGGCGGCGTAACGGAAGTTTCAGTGCAATCTACCTTATTGTACTGCCGCGCTCGAAAGGAGGTTTCCACCCCAAATGACCATGGTCAAGCGGCCCCTATCTTCGCGGACGTTGGCTTGAATACCCCGACGGCATCGATGCCGCGCCCTTTGCGACAACGGAGTTGGAGAGCTGCACCTTAGTGCTTCGCCCCCAATTCTCGATTTAACCGGCACCAAAGTTCAGGGATCAACAATTTTTTTTGGAGATTCCGAGTCGAAACAGTCAAGAGCTTCAATCGACTCATTCCATCAAACCCATCTCCTTTTTGACTTGTTGATCAAGCTTCATCTCATCCTCGCCTGTCTCACATCTGATCTTCTCTTGTTCATCTGTCGCTCTATTCTCCCACACCCAATCATGCTCTCCACACTCAGACCGGCCGCTCGATCGGTCATCCGACAACGCCCTACGGCGCAGGCAGTCCGCATCGTCAACGCCTCGACATGGGCCAACATCAAAGAAGGACCACCTGATGCAATCCTGGGCATCACCGAGGCCTTCAAGAAGGACTCCTTCGGCGAGAAGATCAACCTAGGCGTCGGCGCGTACCGTAAGCCAACCACAAGCCCCTAATCACACCCTCGAGACCGCATCTAACGTCTAGATTACAGGCGACGACAAAGGCAAACCATATGTCCTCCCATCCGTCCGCGCGGCCGAAGAGAAAGTCGTCACCTCTAAACTCGACAAAGAATACGCTGGCATAACAGGTGTCCCATCCTTCACCAAAGCCGCCGCGCTCCTCGCGTACGGCCCGGACTCCAAACCCCTCAAAGAAGACCGCATCGCCATCACACAGTCCATCTCCGGCACGGGAGCGCTCAGAATAGGCGGCGCCTTCCTGGAACGCTTTTACCCCGGCGCGAAAGCCATCTACATCCCGACCCCTTCGTGGGCGAACCACAAGGCGGTCTTCAGCGACTCCGGGCTCGAAGTCAAGCAGTACAAATACTACAACAAAGACACCATCGGTCTCGACTTCGATGGCATGATCTCCGACCTCAAGGCCGCACCTACAGGCTCGATCGTCCTTCTACATGCCTGCGCGCACAACCCGACGGGCATCGACCCCACGCCCGAGCAATGGCAGCAGATCAGCGAGGTGGTCAAGGAGAAGGAACACTACCCCTTCTTCGATATGGCGTACCAGGGCTTCGCGTCCGGCGACACCGACAAGGACGCATACCCGATCCGCCTGTTCGTCGAGCAAGGCCACGGTCTGGTATTGTCGCAATCCTTCGCCAAGAACATGGGTCTGTACGGCGAGCGTGTCGGTGCATTCAGCATCGTCTGCGACTCAGCAGAAGAGAAGAAGCGGGTGGACTCCCAGATCAAGATCCTCGTCCGTCCTCTCTACTCCAACCCTCCTGTCCACGGTGCCCGTATTGCTAGCGAGATCTTGAACGATTCATCCCTCAATAAGCAGTGGCTCGGCGAGGTCAAGGGCATGGCTGATCGTATTATCGAAATGAGAGCACTGCTCAAGAAGAACCTTGAGGAACTTGGCTCCAAGCATAACTGGGATCACATCACGAACCAGGCAAGTTTTTGAGTTTACCACAAGCCGGCCCGCCCCATCACGGTTGTGGAAGGTCTGCAAGAAGTCGTATACTAACAAGATTGTTCCTACCAGATCGGCATGTTTGCATACACTGGCCTCAAGCCCGAACAGATGGATACCCTGGCCAAAGAACACTCCGTCTATGCTACCAAGGACGGTCGTATCTCCGTTGCCGGCATCACCACTGGTAATGTCAAGAGACTCGCCGAGTCCATCTACAAGGTCACCGGCTAGAGCATACCCTGGATCCTTTCTCCAGGCGAGGTGCTATAACAACACAAGAAATATGAACCTGGAGAACAGAAAGAGATGGTTCCGCAAGAACAGTCGAGGATCGTGGAACGGACATGCCACACGAGGATCTCCTTGCCAAAGAGTGACAAGGTCTTGTAAATCTATTTCTTTAATCCACTTTAGCCTTGGTATTCCGTACATCATCCAGATGAGCATTTAGAGAAGGGGCGGGCCGGCGCAAGATTCTTGTCTGGTACCAAAAAAAGTAGTCATTTGGGAATTCGGAGATCAACACACAAGTACTCCGTACCTTGATGATCTTGCAAGCGAGATACCTGACCCTCCCAGATGGCTAACCAGGTTAGGCGTAGAATGTCGCGAGTCAACCTGCCAGAAAGAGGATACATAGGTTCCCGTTGTGATCATCGTCCATGATGATGATGGACAGACGCACGTGTACAACGAGATCCGAAAACCTCATCGATGTCGTTTCGTCGAATCACAAAGAGGCAGCAGATGCAAGTCTTGGTTCGGCTGTCCCGAGAATGTGGATAGCTGCCCTGTACTGTGTAGAGTTTAGATGTAGCTTGGAGACGGCTGCTTGCATCAACACCCTTCTTAGCAGGAACCCGAAAGAGCAACTCGAAACTCTCAGGTACATGCTAGCCAATTGACAAATAGCATCTGTAGACTTCGATATGGAGGCGGGCTGAAAACCACGAAAACATATGCTTGTTTGACGTCTGGTTCGCACGACTCGGTTGCAATGTCCCAGCGTGAGCTGCAACACTCAACGATCGCGTGGATACACCGTTCAGTTTTCCGCATGCCCGAGCAAGCCAAGCTGTCGCTAAGGTATCGGTCGCAGCCATGTGGACGCCTTTGTACCATTAGAAGAACGGATATTCGGTATGTCCTTGGTGCAAGCCAACTTCGACAGCGTATGTTTAGTATATCAATAGACCATGATTGGAACCTCCACGTTGATCACTGTATGGGTGCATTTCCGGACAGGCCCATTATGCATCGTTAGATTTGTCACTGTCCTGGTGGAAACTTGCTTGCTGTTTCGTTTAACCAGAATTCCCCAGGGTCGCTACCAGTACGATCCATTGGTAAAGTGACTGGGCATTGATCCTTACCAGGCACTTCTCATTGGCCTCGTGCCTGCTGGGTTTCATCGCAGTCCTCTCGTTCGATGTCCCTTCATGGGCTGGAAAGGTCAATTGTACGATTGGGCCTCCAGTCGCATTCCATCAAAGTTGTATCGGTGATGGAGTGGGGGTTTTGCGAAAGTGGTTCCCGGAAGGAATATCGCACTTGTGGTCGCCATGCTCCCCCAACCCAACACCTCAATAGGTGGTTGTGGCGCTGGACTAGTCTAGAGTAAGACGAAGCCGACAGGACGCCATCTGCGGGTTGACATCACCCACTCCGTGAGGGTCATGCAGGCCCTCGGGGCCATGTCTTGGTCCTTATCTTCCTCTTTTCGTTCCTAGTACCGTTGTAGTTTGACTGGGCTGCAGCAGGGACATCTCAAAAGTGCTGTTACGATATCTCGTCGCTCTTCATCGTTTAATCAATTTGTACCTCGTTGGGGCCTGCTCTTCTCTCATGTCAAGCTCACTCGTGCTCGTCTCGGTAATCGGGAGAGACCCTGAATTGCTTTCAAAGACGTCATTGCGCAGGTCGGAACCAGGGCCGAAAATTTGACGTCGAGAAAAACCCAGGCTTCAACAAAGTTGAGTCAGTCTCAGAGAACGAGGGGCTTTTCAGGTGCCTCCACCACGGTTGCTCCAAGCTAGCATAGGTAGCGACATTCTTCCGCAGTTGGCTTCTCGATTCCTGGCTTCACATGGAGTTGATTGACCATCGGCCATAGAAATATGTTACTATGGTGTTGCACAAGCATGCCGTCAGCTTGCCCTTTCGAGCCATATAAGCGTCGATCTGCCGTATTCCTAGCTCCGTAGCCGGTTTCTGTCGGGGTTGGACCCAACTATGCGGCTGCTTGTGTGGTTTTAGTTTTCGTGCCGGTCTAGTTAGGCTTCTGCAAGGACAGAAGGTTCGCCAAGTGTGGGAGAAAGTGAGTTCGCACAGAAGCCCTATCTCTCTATCCATGAGACAGAATTTCATCCGGTTTTGCGTCCAGGAAGAATGATTGTAGATGGGGGAGCGATATTCAATACTCGTAGGGACAATGACATGAACCATTCTGACGTGCTTCTCGAGGCAAATGAAACCCCACAGGCACCTAGCGTGGCACCTGGTAAGCTTACCAAAAGAAGCTGGCGGTGAACGGGGAGGAGTAGCGGGTTCAAGGGTCAGGGCCAGCTTGGAAACTTTGGGACTGAATACCGCTTGAGCGTACCTGTCTAGGTTATTCCGACGTGCGTGGGAGGGTCGTAGAATTTTTAATCTGCCTTTCCGCTTAGGTGCCAAAGCGTACAGAGTAGGTGCCGACCTCTTTTCTCTCAGCCTTGGAGCTCCCACCTCTTTTCTATCTCCAGTGCCAGCACCGCCATAAACGGAACGCGTACACGAGAGCTTTCCGGCGGCTTGTCGCGCAAGCCAAGGGTCTTGTTCCCACACCGTCCCGCCAGTATTTTTTATCTCATCTTTTTACTCGTATGAGTATATCGCTCGTCGTGGGATTCGCTTAGCCCCCCGCCCTGTCTCTCAACGGCCGTCGATAGTGGTTGATCTGCACCATTAGGGAGGAGGATCTTCGTCCAGGGTCATCTGCAAACTTGCAACATTAAACGCGCAGAACAAGGTCAATTGAGGAAGCCGACTGAGCCGAAGTGAAGGGAGAATTCTCGTGACAGAGGAAGGTGATTTGTGTCCTGATTGATAGCTTGTAAGTACCCGTGATCCTGGTTGCGCATCGGTGGAAAGGCCCCGCCTGCAAGACCCAGTTCCTGATACCGTGCAGTATTCGTCCAAAAACAAAAAGCGATCGACACAAAGGTACGAATCCCAATTCCTTTGTACCGCAGCTTTCTGAACCGTTTGGGAGAGTTGAGTGGGTTGTTTCTGAGCTGGGGGGCTGATCAGCGTTCGACAGTCTGTACGTCGGCTGTACGTCACTTCCCTGTTGAGAACAGAGAACAACACCAAACTCCTTCCATTTCAAACAAAAATTCATCTCTCGACGAATTGACTTTCTCCTTCCATTACACTGCACTCGACTACGCACCGGAGTCATTGATCTTATGCTGACCCGGGGAAAGTGCAGTCATCTACCCGTGTCCTGCAGGCATTAAGCGCCTTGCGCCGTCTGTTGCTTGTCCATCGGAGAATTGAAGGTCGGTGCTCTTTTGATATTGCTTGTCAACCCTTTTGCACCCCAGATATCAACATGCTAACATGACGACGGCAGGCAATAAACCGCCGTCAACCGAAGCAACAATCAACCACGGAGAACAGTACCACGGTTCCTGATACTCTGGTCTGGTCACCGGAGCGTTTGTGACTTTGTCCTACATCCTCGGCTGTCAGAAACGAACGATTTTCCATACCACCGCATTTACCCGTGCTCAATTCTTTCCACCAACAAGATCACAAACTCATTACGATGTCCGACGAAGTAAGTAAACCTAGGGAAACCCGTTTGAGATTGAGGCTGGGCACGAGGACGCGTGGTCAGAAGTGGAAACAACCAGCCACGACGAGCACACATACTTAACGTTTCGATCATGACTAACCCTTTCCTGCTGTACAGGCAGATTTCGATTTCGGCGACAATGTCGATAAAGCCACTTTCGAACAGATCCTCGACATGGACGAGGAAGACGACCGCGATTTCAGCAAATCCATAGTTTTCGGCTTCCTAGAACAGGCAGAACAGACCTTCGGAAAGATGGATACTGCAATGTGAGTGCAACGCCGCCTCAACCTTGTCAAGCCTTGGCCACTGCACAGTCTTGATCACAGTAACACTAACACCTTGCCGTTGTAGGAAGGAAAAAAATCTCCCTGAACTTTCCAGCCTAGGTCACTTCCTCAAAGGATCATCTGCTACCTTGGGTTTCACCAAAGTCAAGGACGAATGCGAGAAGATACAACACTATGGCCACAAGAAGAACGAGACGGGCGAGGTCGACGAGCCTGATGAGGACAAATGCCTGAAACTCTCCGGCGAGAGCATTGCAGAAGCTAAGCGCGCCTACGAAGTTGTCAATGGCCTGATGAAACAATTCTACGCCGAAGCATAACAGCCTCCTAATGCCCTCACCGCCAGATGGGAGACACGATACAAGCAACAGACTTCGATTCAGGCGCCAGGATCTTGGGTGAGCGAATCATTTGGGCAGATTACAACTTCTTATCGACGTGCATAGCATTGGCCGGCGTGGACGATATCCTTCGCTAGGACGAAGCGATCCCTTCCTTTCAATTTGTTTTTAGATCATTCAACTGAAAACTAATACTCCTCTACGGATGACATGAACATTGACTTGGCTCGAGCTGCTGCGGGCATGGGACGAGCGTGGACTGACAGGACAGATGCACATTGCATTCTCATTGACTATGGAATGGAATACCTGTTGAAAACGCTATTCTTGGTTCTCGTTGCCGTTGTGGCATGCCTCGTTCTCACTGACAACACATAACCTTTTAGACTCGTGCCTCCTCCGCGGCCTAACCTAGTTGTTGTTACCATTGTCTCTCAACGGCACTCCTCCAACAACGTCCTCATCGCCATCTTCGCCATCCATGCGACTGCCAGCGCTGTCTTGACCCTGTGCCTGACCCTGTCGATGGGGTGAAGGGGTGCCGCCGACGCCATCACGACCTCCAGGCGATTGGGTGTATGGTAGGACGCCAGTTGGATGAGCTAATTGGGCGGGGAGACCGACAGGAGGTGTATTGATGGGACCTGCCATCTGGGCACGGGGGCCGACAGGAGGGGTGTAAGCCAATCTTGGATCGGCGAAAAGAGGGTTGTTGTAGCCAGGATATTGCTGAGGGAAGCCATAACCATATGGCGCACCGGCATACTGTTGTGGTGGAGGGGGGCCGTATTGGTAAGGAATGGCCATGCCATGATCGTAGAATTGTGGTCCTGCAATATATGGTGCTGGACTGTTGTATGCTTGGGCATACTGTGGGGTGGAAGACGAGGCGGTGGTCTGCGGCGTGTACGCACTTGCAGGTTGCTGGCGATACTCTTCAGGAATGGGATCGAAGTCATCATCCTCCATCATGAGGGCGCGGACTTGTTCTTCGGTAAGAGAGGTTTGTGGTGCACCAGCATTCTGAGGCATGGTATTGTTGTTGTTGGCAGTTTGCGGGTTATTATCGACGTGAGAGCTCGCATGCTGGCCTTGATCGGCGGCAGGAGGGTTCGAGTTCGTTGGTTGCGACATGACAGCTTGCTCGGGGGTCTTCAAAGGTTTGAGAAGAAGGCGCAAAGGAGAAGAGACTGTATGGAGCCCTGACTCGCCTTGAGGAGATGCTGGAGATGCTGGAGGAAGTTGTTGCTCCTGTAAATCTGCTTGGAGCTCCGTTGTTGGTGAGTATGAAGAAGTCGGAAGGAGTTCAAGCTGCGAAGACGATGAAGATCGATGAAAAGGAACCTCAGGCAGTGTCATTGTCAGAGGGGGAGGCAGTGATCCGGACCGCGATCTTGCTACCACACCTGGCCGACGAAGTGACACTCCCTGCTCGTTGTCTGCTTCATCTTCACTGTCTGCGCCTGCACTGGTAACGACTTGTGGTGATGGCGGTTCGACTCGGATCTGTGGCGGTGCATGTGAAGAGGATGGTTCTTGGCTGCCATTGTTTGGATGTTCGCTGCCCCGCTGTTGTTGCTGCTGTCGCTGGACAGGGACAGAAACGAGCTTTGTTGGTGACTGTGCCGGGGTCAAGAAATCTGTGTCGCCACTTGTGCTGTTGCTGGACTGTTGCTCTGCGTTTTGATCTTCAAGGGTATCATAATACTCCGTTGGAGACTGAGGTGCGCTTCCTGATGGGTCTTGCTGTTGCTCAAGCTCGTTCCCAGATCCACTTGGAGTTGCAGGTTCATCGCCTGTCAGAGAGACTTCTCGCCGACTTGGTTGCTGTATATTTTGATACTGTCCTGCATCTCCAAACCCTTCTCCTGTCCGTGACTGCTTGTCCACAGGCTCACGAGGCTTCCCTTGCCCAGGTATCATGTTGCGGAGATTGGGACTTGAAAAGCGCGTCTTCATGATGAAGAGGACTCTCTAGCATGAGAAGAGGTGGATAGGAATACACAAGATGAAGATGAGAACGACGATACTCTCCTCAGAGTACATGACTGAATACCTGGATATTATATCCTGAAGCATGCACAAGGAGTGGTGTTGAGGACAAAGCATACAGTCAGTCTACAAAGGGAGAGACGGGATGATTCAAAGGTGAATACAGACGTGGCAGCGAGCAAACAACCAGCCGGCGATGTCATTGTCGCGCACTCATTATCATCCTGAGGCTCGGCGTCGACGACTTTGCAACGACTAAGCGCGCGAGGCTGAGAACCCCCTACCAGGCTGCCGAGACGGCGGAACACCAGACCTATCACAAAGACCCCTCACAACGCCAAAGTCTCAGCCGAACAAAGAGAGCCATTGTGCTGCAGGATCTCGGCATAAGAACAAGGAACAAAGGACAGATGACCTGGGACAGATTATTATCCGAAAGACATTGAACGTTTGCTGTCAAGCCAGCACGTCTCCTGCAACTCGACGAGGCTGAGTTGTGAACGAGGCTGCATGGACAAGGCTGAATTATGGAGTAGCGGCTGAGAAGGCACGATGCACGCACTTCGCCAGTGGGTGGCCTGACGGAACCTTCCTGTCTTGCGGAAAAAGCTTTGCCCTTAGAGACAACGACAACCATGGAACTGGGAACACTTGTCTCGAACAATCAACCGAGTAATAGAAAGAGGCAACGTTGGGCCCCTCCTCAATCCGCAGGATCGTTCCATCTCCCCCCTGTGCAGGTGGAAAATGTGCTCAACGATGTCAAAGTTTTCCATCACAAGGGAATCAAAAGGTTGTTCTGGTAGAGTATCATCGATCACTTATTTTTGGATTTGTTTCCTGGGGCATTTTGCCTGCAAACTTATTTGGAAGCAGCGGAGAGAAAATCTCTTCACAAAACTCTTGTCATCAACAATCGATGACCATGGCAATGCGAATTGAGGAGCTGAGGAGTTTGGGGTTGCATCCTACACAAACGACAAACTCTTCCAAGATCCAGGATGGTACAGGCAGAGCCAGAGGTCTGGCTCGAGGCTGCCATGCCCCGCCATACATGCAGGTAAAGTGCGCGCATCATGGAGACATAGCTGACATACCAGATCCGTTCCCTTCGAACTGATTGCGACACTATCTTTGCAAAAGGTCATATCGGCCAGCAACGGCGACGGTGACGGCGTCTTTTTGCCCGACTGCCGACCATGCACTATTCTCTATGGACGTCCGAAACAGGAACAGGGACTGAGAGAGAGACTGGTCGACATGGATACACTTTGTCATGGTCGTTCTCATACATGGAACCATTCCCCGCCATCCAACCAAGACCCAGCGTTGAGCAGGTTCGATAACGATAAGTGAACCAAAATATCCCTGAACCTACGATAAACCATCTTCTTATCGCTATCGAGGGCACCAGGCTGTATCGAGCACATGAAGCGAGGATATTTGACATCAATACGTACACAGGTACTCAATGCAGGAAAAAACCAGAGTCTAGAACTTCCACAAGGCTCGATCCGGAAAGAGAGAGATCCACTCAGCCAGAAGACGTCTTGGACTACGTTGACTGCCTTGGAATGGCCAGCCAGTGGCGTGACAGTGCGTCGACTCCAGCCAGGTCAAAAGGCAAGTCATACTTGCATATTGGAAACACTAACCACCGTTACAACTTAGGTCGTATAATCCACAGAAGGACAAGAAGCTCGATCATGCGCCTTCAACGCCTTCCGAGCGCCAACCCTTCGCATGTGTCATTGTTCCGTAACCTTGCCCCAGAAGGACCCAAAGAGATCGACAAGACGAAGGCAGTCATCTGGCAAGTCATGATGCCAGAACCAGTGATTGGACACTTCGTGCAAGATATTGGATCGGCGACAGGTGATAGACAAGTAATAGTGCTTAGTTCTTACAATGAAATTGAAGACTCTCAAGAGATGATCGCTTGCAACTCCCACACCCCACGCCGATGATGAATGATGATGACGATGCGATGCCCACACCAATACTGGATATCCAGTAACACTAACTCCCTCGTACGAGTAAAAGTACGCCTTGCCAGTCCACCATTGGCAAAAAAAGTTCGTTGCATTTGCGCCTTGATCGCCTTGATACCCGTGCGGAAGACCCGCTAGCAGGTTTCCCAGCCACTGCCTTGCTCCAGACCAGAAAGCCCACACCACCCATAACGCCTGTCTGGAAAGTCCCTGCAAGTGATTCATGCAAGGCACAAAATATGTACAGTAGATCATGTCGCCCGAGAGGGGTAGGACAGTTGAGCCGCATGTCAAAAGAAAGATTGACCCTAGTTCGGTAGAAATATCATACAAAAGAAGTTGACAGGATAAAACACAAGTGCGCCGTTGACCAGACTCCAGAGGGGTATCACAAGTAATGAGTCTGACCGATGTTTTGAGCCTCGACGCCCTTCTCGGCGCGCTCGGAAGGGCCGGTCAATCGAGGTCTCCAGTTCCCAATGCATGACTCTCCCAGAAAAGTCAAGCTTGTTCAATAATCGCCGCCAACACTCCCCAATAGTGGGTCGAAAGACTGGACATGTGCCCTACATCACGTATCGCTCTTGTCGGTTATCCTGGACGGCGATTGGCATCGCGCTCCAGTCGGCAGTAACGGGCATGTGATGCGCCATATGAGGATGACGGCCTCGCATGTCGTAGCCAGGGTCGGAAGGTTCCGTGCTTTGAGGTCTGCGAATGCTGCTTCCCGGGTAGTAGAGAGCGGCATGACCACCGTAGCCAGGGTCAGGATAAGCATAATTGTCCATGTTGTTGGCTGCAGGGTGGTTTCCAGTAGCGTTCTGCTGTGCCCAGGCAAGAGCGCCCATGTGAGGGGAAGCATTGCCGCTGCCGCTGCCTGTGCCGGTTGCCGGTGGCTCCATTGGCTGAGGTGGACCACCATAGTTTTGTGGGTGGGACGTGGTTGGTCGTTGTTGAGATGGCCTTGTATAGTTTTGGAGCTGGTGACCATTCATGTTGGGTGTCGAGCGAGCCGAGTTTTGTTGGTAGTCGGATCGCATGTGTGGAGGTAGCGACTGGTGGTTCTGAGGGAGGAATCCATAGTCTGAACTCTGACGATGCATCCCATTGGCCATTGGGGGCAACTCCGAATTGGGCGAAACCGATAGTGGTCTGTCGGCGGGCGATGCCGTAGAGTTTCTGGATGAGCCTGACGTAGACCCGTAGATCGATTGAGTCTGAGGCTGCGTGGTCGATAGTTTTGCATTAGTCTCTGCTGCTGCTTGTTCGATTGTGCCAGTATGATGGTTCTGGTGTCTTGTCAAGGTCGTGCGCCTGGTGAATGTCTTCTGGCAGTTGGCGTATGGACACTTGTAAGGACGCTTTCCAGAGTGAATTCTTCTGTGTCGTGCAAGAGAGCTGGAATCAGAGAACGGCTGTAGATAGGTTAATCGTCATGTACAACGAATACAAGAAGAGACAATCACTTACCTTGCCGCATCGCTCACACATGTGTGGCTTCTCCCCAGTGTGAACTCTTGCATGTACAGTCAGGGCAGATCTCTGAATGAATTGTTTTCCGCAACCAGGAAAGTCGCAAGCGTGAGGTCTGATACCGCTATGAATGCGCTCTGTGTAAAGTCAGTAGGGGACTCCTGGAAGGGAGTGTGGTGTCTTACCATGACGCGCAAGATCACTTCGTCTCGCAAAGCCTTTCGAACATGTACTACAGGCGAATGCTTTTGGCGCGCCTTCGTTCTTTGGGCGCATAGCACCAAAGTTGTCTTCTGCCACCGCATGCTGGGTGTCATGTCTGGGGATGAAGCTCTGTGCATATAGTTGAGGGTTGTGTTGAGGTTGACCCATGTATTGCATTCCGGGGGCATGCATCGCGTGCTGGTGATGAGCCATGGGCGCTTGGCTCATGGCATATGCCACGCCGCCGTCCATGTGCATTGACTGTTGTAGTTGACGTCTGAGTTCAGCGTCCGCTGCAGCAGCATTCCTTGCGTTCAGTAGTCCTCCAATTTCCATTCCTCCCTTGGCAGGATATGGCAGTGACTGTCTCAGGGCTTGCTGATAGACAGCCTCGCTCTGAGGTTTCTGATATGAAGCGTAGTCGAAGCGCTGATTTGCGGTCTGCATTGTGACGTTGTTAGTGATTGTACAGATGGTAAATGTTTCAAGAAGATGGAGAGAGCGATGTTGAAGAACACATTGATCCTCGAAGGATCAGTGCCTCTATAAGTGGAGAGGGTCAGGGCGTCTCCTCCCGAGAAAATCGCCCTAGATCCCTCTTGGCCAGGAACAGTGCACAGTCCCATTACTCAAAATGGGACTCCCAAAATCGATCAGAGGCAATAATGTCACTTACCTGAGGTGATATTGAATATTGCGAAAGTGTCCAAAGGAGGATACGTTTGGAAGAAAAGGTAAATCCTCACTAATCAGTCGCGGTCATTCGATAGGAATGTTGCAATAACAAGGGCAACACGTCTGTGGTATGCCTTGGCAACAAGCAGATTCCCTTCCGAGACAGTCACCTGAATTGTGCTGTTTTTGTCGCCGTGACGCAAGACTGTAGTAGTAGACACTGAAAATGATGCTGTTCTAGGTCTTGTTGGTCGGAGTTGGTATTGCGAGCCGATGTTGCGACCACGGTTGTATAGAGTTCGGTGAATTGGGTATCCGCCGTGTCTGGGTGTTCCTATTCCCAGTACGTGGTATTCCTCTTCCAGGCTTCCCAAATAGATACTTGGCTTGAACCTGGGGTTACTTTGTTCTCTTGTGGAGTCGTCTTGGTTGTTCCCAATGGTGTTCCTCACTCAATGAACAATGGTGTCCGTGGATGTCCTTCCTTATGGGTCAAAGTGCCTTAGATCAAGTGCCCCTCTCTTCAGTTGAAGCGTCTGCAAGAGTCCGATCCGAGCGTATGGATTCGAGGAGTGAAGGATGGGAACGACAGTTGAACACGGGCTTTAGGTGGTCTTTGTACTGAGTATCTGAGCGGCGGTCCGTGGCGAAGGAGCATGAGGCGACAGGGGATCTATGTTTTGCAATTTAGCAGAGATGGACGTCTGCGAGGAAGTGACCGCACTGATGGACAGTGACGGCACGGTTGACGTGAGGGCACACGCCTCCTGTAGAGACCTGCGCCCGGCAATCTCGTGAGCAACGTGGAAGATCAGTGTCTGGTTGTCAGGGCAAGACGGCGGGAGTCTGAGAGCAGTCATGGAGACGGGCGACGGCGTGGTTGATGATTGTTTCTCTTGGTCGCCGCCCTCGTAATCAGAAATTGATTCAATTCCTCTTGGATCATCATCCATTGACCCATTCTTCGAGTCTGCGAGGTCATCATCTGCAGCTTTGGCATTCTGGAACCAGAGGTTCGAGGGGCCCGCTAACTTGACGAATTACATGCATCAACCCGAAACGCAACAGCGGCTTGGCCTGCCAGAAAACTCCAACTGCCCGTCTCCCAGATGCCACTCTTACACACTCACCCAGGAAAGGTTTGAACCTGCATCCAGACAAAAAGGAAGACAGCTACATATGACATCTTGGGCTATCCCTTTCCCGTGAGCTTGTGATTTCATACGCATATCCTACCCGGTCTGCTTCGACATTGGTCCAACCAAACTAGAGGGGGATTCCGACCTCGAGAAACCCCTCCGGTTCCTTCTCCTGGGTGAAACCTGCTCAAGGCAGGGCAAGAGGCACCGCTTCGAGAGTCAGAGATCTTGCAGCATCTTCGTGATCTTCCCTCCTGTCTCCCAGGGTCCTCAAAGCTGCTCTTTCTCGCCCAGTGAGGAATGGATGTCAGTACGGAAAAGGACACGCACCCCTGAAGCTGTCAAACCTAGCCGACAGCCAGACATCTCTCCATGGTCTCCAACCTACCAAGCTTTTCGCACTGACTCCTGAGATCACGAGTCTCGCCATTCATCTTCTGTTCGGGTCGTTATTTACCTTGTCAGTGCTCCTGTTCGGTGACAGCTGGCGTACCTAGAAAGGATACCGTGAGGCTTGAGCTACAATGGAGAATCTAGGTGGATCGAAATGAGCACCAGAGGCTCCAACGGCTGCCCAATGTGGGAGGACAAGACGATGACACGCCTTCAGCCGCATCGTTCTGCCTCTTTCCTCCAGGAGTACCGGCTTCTCATGACCGTCAACCCCTATGGTAACTTTGCCGGATAAGCGACCGGGCAGCTTCAGGACAATCACACCCAGGTGATGAGTTTGTAAGTCGTAACGGTGACCTCAGGCATATCACTTTCGTGCGTTGGTCTCAAAACAAACAAGGCCCACGAGCTGAGCAGCTGGAAATTCTAGCAAGATTGCCCGTGAAGTTGATATCAAACCGGTCTTTCGCACTGACCCTGTCGAGACCAATTTCTTCGCCACTGGTGTGCACAGACCCAGGCACTTTACAAGACACCTTTCCCAGATGCTTGGCCCTGGACCGCGCAATTATTCTCGAATTGTCCTTTACATCCTTTACCGTTCCTGTTTCCTGGGAGAGTGCTCAATTTCAGTAAAACTATTCTCCTCATCTCCACTGGTTTGAGCAACGTGGGCATGTTCTTGGATGGCGGTGACGAAGACCAGACACGGCACAGTTGACTTCGGTAGACTAGGTGCCAGGTTCAAGTGTTTTTGTTTGCGGCATTTTCCAATGTTTTTGTTTACAACTTCCCTCCTGGCTCTGTTTTCATTTGACCTCGATAGGAAATCTGTTGTTCGAGCGCATTGACTGCGATCGAGCTGTGACCTGAGCTCGACGATCCATCAAGAGCCAACTCGCTTCCAGCCCAGTGCGATCTCGATCCCCTGACTCTGTGGGATCTCGCAACGAGCAGACCACAGACATCGTGCGTAGGGAGGAAGGGTCGCCAAGCATCATCACAGACAATTATGAGACCGATCGACGCTGGATCCCACAGCCTTTCGATGCCTCGATGCCTCTGCCCTCTCCGCCCTCCTCAACGGCCGAAGCTCGGACTGTGAACATCAGTGGAACAAGAACTGAGGGCAAGAGCAAGTACAAGCCGATCTTTCTGTGCACAGTACAGATGCACGTCGCTTTGGCCTCTTGTGAGTATCAGCGTCGATGGATCTGTGGCATGGACGATACCAGGAGGATGATATATCTGTGCACCAGATTCAGAAATGCGCTTCTCGCAATACAAGAACAAGTAGCCAGGCCCCTGATGAAATAAAACCAATTGTTTTTGGGCCAGCATTCTATGACATGGCAATCAAAAGAAAGACCCGAAAGGAGAATATGTACCCCTGATCCCTTACAACCTCCCTTCACTCCTTCCAGGCACCAGCAAGCCGGGTATCAAGTATCGAGTATGGAGATCGAGCCCGCCACTAAGCGCAGACTCCCAAGACAACACAACACCACAGTAAGAAAGCTCCCAAGTCGACCAGTCCAAGGACGAACATACAAGAGTAGGCATGGCTAGAAAGCCCCAATCGGACCACTTCAAGAACGAAGCTATAAGCAGTAGAAGTCCAAGAAACCACCAATCCGGCCCCGTTTCTAGTCATCATCATCCTCCTCACCATCCTCATACCTCCCTCCTCGCCCATTGACACCACCACTCGCAGCACCGTGGTGACCAAGCCGACTCGCGGCCCTCGCCTCGTGAATTCTAGCAATAGCCCGATGCGTCTTCGCAAGACGCTTGTAGTCTCCACTCCGCTCATACTCTTCTGCCAACTGCTTGTAGCACTCAAGGGCGTGGACGCCATACTCCTTCTCACTACCGCGTCCTAGTTGTGGCGAAGTAGGACTCAGGCCATCGATACTCCGTCTCGCTCTTGCCATCTCCTTGCCCTCCGAGTTCTGCGAGTCGGTATCTCGACCATTACCATCCTTGCCGATCCTACGCGCAGCACCAGCACCGCTCGCAGCAGTGTGCCCATGCCCATTCGTTCTTACCTCGAACTCATCATCAGCATCCATCGACGTGAGCAGGTCGACCAGCTCATCGATCGTCGCCACAAGATCCTCAATCGCCGTCCACAGCGCGTCGTCAGGCTGATTAGCAATCGTGGCAAACAATTCCAGCAATTCTGCAATGAAGATCTTGCGGCTCATCGCCTCATTCGCCGTCACGGGTTTCGCTTTCAACACAGAATTCAGCGCGCCGATGACTTCTGTCTCAATCAGCTCTAGACTCTCACCATCGCTTAGCGCCCATTCATTGATGATCATAGCTTGCAATATCTCGACAGCCACTTTTCGTAAACCCTCGTGCATGCTGAGACATAATCTGATAGTTGGCGCGACCAGGCTTGGGACATACTGCACTTGATATCCGCCGAGTCTCCGAATGTTGTACCGGCGCTGGTCGTCGGCCGTGGCTTCCCAGCCTAGACTCTCCCAGCACTTACGAAGCAGGTCTGCGCCGGCCTGCCGGACATCGCCAGCGATCTTCCACACGGCGCGACGCTTCTGTTCGGGAAACAATTCTAGCGCGAGCTCCGGAGAAGACACCAGTATCAAGAGCGTGTCGAGAAACGACTTCCACAGGCTCATTTCGAGATTGAACTTGTCGGCATGATCCGGACTCTCGGCCTCCTCGGGGCTGGGAAGATACTGCGCGATCAACAGCGAGGAGAGGTTATTGAGGATCGTGAGTGCAGACGAATGGTGGTAGATATGCAAGCTGAGCCAAGTCGAAGGATATGCGTTGTTCTGCAGCAGGGAGCGTAGTACAGTCAGCGTCGAGAGCACGTACTTAGACAAGTCATGACCTTGGAGTCGTGGAGTCGGCGTTTTCATCTTCGAGATCGTGGCGACCAGCGCCGACAGCTCGAGGAGCGTTTCGTCGAATTGATCGTTGGTCTCCGCTGGTTTGGTCACAAAAGGGTAAGCGTCCGGAAACAAGAGAGACGATGAGCGTCGTTTCGTCCGAGGTTCTTGTGCGATGGTTTCGTACGCGGATATGAGTTTCGGCGAAAATTCATGCAGATAGTGTGTAGGCCAACGCGTCAATTCAGCCACGATTGAGCAGCACAGGCGGACCTGCTCGTGCCAGTCGTCCGTTAGACTGTTGCTGGCCCAGTACGGCAACAACCATCGGACGCAGTTCTTAACTAGGATTTTCTTGTCTTTGTCGTCGACCCATACCTGGTCCATTTTGGTGTAGTTAAGGATGAGAAGGAGTCTGTACAGGACGAGTTTGCCGGTCGCCTCGTCGCAGGAGTCGATAAACTCGACGGCTGACTTCATTACCTCTTCCTTGCTGAATGCGGGCAGCAATTCGGGCAGCCAGGTATGAAACTTTTGTACCAGGAGAGTCTTGCTGCCAACCAGTGCTGCTGTCTCACTGCGCATCATCATTTGCAGTCCGAAAAGAATGGCCTGCATGTCTTCTTTGAAATTGGAACGCTTGTCCTCCTTCGTGTTCGATTGTGACCCGAATCGCCGCTGTTGGTTGGAAGTAATAACAATCTTGATGAATGTCCTTCCCACCTTGAATAGAGCCCTCATATCGCGAGCGCTTTGCGGATCGGACACACTCTGCAGCAGCCTTGTAAAGCTGCGGATCAAGCATGATGCCGCATACGGCGAGCGGAAATGGGACTCGGTGTATTGTTCCACCAGTGGTCCTAGATTGTACCGCCTGTCGTGAACAATCCCCAGAACCCAGACGATGTCGTTGAATATCAGGTCCTCGAATTTTGACTCGCCGGTCTTGTGCACCAGGACGCCAAACAAAGCATCAAGGACGTCATTGAGCTGCTTGACAACCTCAATCTCTGGTACAAAGGGAAGCGTCTGAAGAATATCAAGCAATTGAACGGATATTTGATGCTTCCAGTTGATCAAGCTGACGAGTGTACGATCCTGGGAGTACTCGGTGCTGCAAAGAATTGTGTGGACCTCCAGAGAAGCAATATTGGCAAAGCTTCCCCCGTGGACAGTCCGGTAGCTTTGGTTGTTCCAAGGCAGGGATAGATATGCGCCACGCCCATGCACGATGCTTGAAGTGATTTTGTCATATGCATGAAGGATGAGGGCATGTTGCCCATCACTGACGAATGCCTGCTTGTCCCACAGCGGCATCCATGCCAATGCGAACGGAAAATCTGGAGCATCGGCAATGCTCAATACCAAGTGACTCTCAGGTACCTTTTCAGTTGGGATTCGAAGGCAAAGTGTCTGGTCCCAAGCACCGTCAAGTTCCACAGCATTTGTTCGGAATGCTGTCACAGCGGCACCATTGGAGGATGGATATATACAGTGCTCAACACGCCGTCCAAATGCATCCCGGACTTCCATAGTCAATTGCAGATTCTGCATCGAAGCCGCTTTTATTGGTGCGACATTCAAATCCGGATGGGACAAAAGTGCACCTGGTGTTATGGACGCCTTGCTCAGTCTCAAATAGATGTCAGTCCTTGGCTTAGAAGGTGCCTCCGAGAAGCCCATCTTTTGCGTCTTTGTAACGAGGTGCATAAGTGTTGCATTGTTCTTGATCAGTGTATCTGCATCTGGAGCAACAAAAGGCGTCAAATTCAAGGTGATGCTGGACAGGTGAGGGGAGACGACGACGCTCTTCCCTTGACTGTTCAGGAGCTGCGCTACTCTCTTGTCAATCTCCCGGGGCTTCTCATCTTCTCGAGATGAAAGAGACCATATCGTGACGGTTTCTTCACATGATTGGCCACCTGCCAATATCTTATTGACATTGAGAATGCCAACGCCCACCGTCCGAGGCACTGGAGGGCCTTGAGCCGGTTTCGAACCGTCTTCGTCTTGCTCCGCTATTGACGGCGTTTGTGCTCTATCTTGAAATTGTGGTGTAGCTCTGCCATTTTGTCCGGGTTGAGGTCTCTCACCATTCTTCCGTTTACCGAACATAAGACTAGATCTGCGGCGGTTCAGAGACATTTGCCGTTGACCCATCAATGTCCCATTCCTGGAGGGAGGCCGCTCTGTCGTACGCTTTCTGGCTGTTCGTGGAGGCTCAGGCAGCACCAACTTTATGGCCAGGAACAGACCGTTGTCATCTGCGAGATCTCTCGTGCTGAGGTCCGAGAAAAGAGTCTTCATCCTGGCCGAAGCTACTGAGCTGTAAGTTTCGGACAGTGGAGTGGCTGCTCCGGCAGAATCTCTTCGATACAGAGCCAAACTCAGAGTTGCCGCGTCCTGATCAGATCCCACCACTGATTTGACGTCCAGAAGACAATGATGCAGTGATATGGCTTTTGGATTTTCGGACGGTGGGGCATTCAGGACGCTCATGATTGCTTGCGACTTGGTCAGCTCGATCGCAGAGTCGTCTGATGTCAACAGCCGGCCATGTTGATTGGCGTCTCGGACAATAACAACGCCGCTCAGCATTCTGTTGCCTCGGACCAAATCCCATACAGCTTGACTGCGCACCTGCAGCCTTTCCTGCGTTGTAAGGACATCATTTAACAACTCCCGACGTGCATAGTCCAGCCGCGTGGTAACATCGGACGTTTGATTAAGCAGATGATATTCCCGGCGTAGTACCAAGTCGGGCAGGTGTAAAATATACCATTCCCGGAGGCATGATGAGATCTCGTCCACCAGAGGTTCGGATGATGATGTAGGTGATTCATCGCCAACCTTCAACATTGGCAACGGTGCCTGCGGCTTTGGTTGGCCCTTTTCAGCGACGGGTTGCTCATCCGGCCCCAGTTGTTCGCGAATCTCGATGCAGCATTTTGGAAAGATACCAGAAAAGACTCTCGCATCGGCAGCAGTTCTCCCTCCAGGGGTCAGGGCCGATAACAAAGTGGGCGGCGCGACCAGGTAGCCACGGCACCAGGCGCCATCTTTCCCGCCCTGTTCGATGACATACAACTGGTCGCCAATTTGTAGTGGTAGTTCGGCGGAAGAAGCCGAGGGCTGAAACGGATATATGGCTACCGCATAGGAAAGAGGTAGCGGCTGCCAGGGCATATTCTGGAATATTGACGATTCTGGATAACCAGATAGACGTGGTTACGAGCCGTTGGGACAGTGCTCGGGTCCTGTCACACTGGCATTGGCCGTGACGGCGGCCTGAGAAGATCTGTGCGGAGCGTGGCCAGTGCGCAGAACCTCCTCCTCCAGGTAGAAAACCATGAGATGGCTGTCACTTTGTGAGTGGGATTGTCGCAACAATATTAGGGTATGATCCTTGGGTGTTTGGGAACGAAGACCAGACAGTTTTCATTCACCTTTTGTCCTTTGCGAAGACGCGTCCTGTATCCAAGTTTCTGGAAAAGAAGCTGATCGGTTGGTCGTGTTTCTTAGCTGCAGCACTCGGCTAAATCTGGTTAGACTTGTAACTGCAGCCTTTGTGAGCCACGAGTCCACGACACCTCCGCATCCCAGTCTTGAGTTTATTATTTTTATTTCAGTCTTCTGTCCCACCTGTACAATTCATCCCAGCCCACCCGACATCTACAGGTCGCGAGTACAATCCATCTCCGTGAGGCATTCTTACAACCCTTCTCCCCCTTACCCGTCGAAGATCGTAGGGCACCTTAGCCGTTTGCCTGCCACACTCGCGATCTCGCCTTCTCACCTACGACCAGACACTCTGATCATGGAGCCCGTCGTCAATGTCCTGGTGGACACCTTTCCTGGCCTCTCCCTACCACCCACTCTGTGCCTGCCTTTCCCAGCGAGCTCAAGCGCCGTTGAAGTACTGGACTCGATCGCAAATTTACTACCACGAAACCAGCCACGAACGACGCGATTCATTTTGACGACTACCTCCAACCGACCTATTTACGCTTGCCCTTCTACAACAGTCGCGGATCTTGCCCAAGGATCAGCGTATCAGCCATGCGCCGATACATCGATTCTGCCTTTACGGCTCTCAATGCCATTGGTTGGTGGCAAGGGTGGTTTTGGCTCCCAGCTCAGAGCTGCGGGCGGACGCATGTCCTCGCGCAAGAAACGCCAAAATGCCGAGCTTGCTACCGGTAGTGCTCGTAACCTGGACGGACGGAGATTGAGGACCATCACAGAGGCTAAAAATCTGGCTACCTATCTGGCCACCAAACCCGAGATGGACAAGAAGGAAAAGGAAGAGCGACGAAAGAGATGGGAGCAGGTCATAGATTTGGCCGAGCAACGAGAAGCGGACATGCGTGCTGGAAAGGGAGCGGATGGTCGCCGGAAAGGGTTGAGCGACGAGTGGGTAGAGGAAAAGGAAGAAATTGGCGAGAACGTCAGGAACGCTGTCAAAATGGCCATGGCGGCGAGTCACAATCGGCCGAAGAATGCCGAGGGTGGTGCACAAGATGACGGGAGTAGTGGCAGTGGTGGTTCCGCTCCCGGCAGTGAAGAGGATAGCGATGCAGAAGATGCTATGGAGCTTGACGAGGAAGGGATGACTCGGCTTAGGTTTGAGGCGGAGGCTGGTGATGCCGACGCGCTTTGGGTGCTTCAGCATCGGCTGAATATCCCCTCTGATCTGCTACCCAAGCCCAAACAGCCTGTGCGCCGGTTTGCAGGATTCGACGATGAAGAGGACGATTCCGGCAGTGACAATGATATCGAGGAGCAGGCCACGAAAGGAAAAGGCAAAGAAAAAGTTTTCTGAAGAGGTCTGTCAAGTAATGAGAAATCCGCAATAACCAAAAGCCTACCTTACGTATGAACTCCTGATTCGGCTCAAAGTCATTGGGCTCTGTTGGTCGTGTTTTGAGCGAAGGCGCAAACGTCCACTCAAACATGCTGGACTGCACCAATCCAAGTATCGCGGAGATTCGCACCCCGCATTCTGGTGTTGATGGAGTTCAGCGACTTGCATGATGATCAAACCTTCTGGGGGACGACAGTCACACAGCTGATACGAGGACATGGCCGCTCCAACTTGCCCTTCTCGTCAAGAGGCCAGAAGGACCAGGTTCATGTGTCATTGCTTTCAATCACTTATATCAACGACTTGGGAGACTGATCGCAATTCTCCTGCTTTCGACTTCTTCCACCTCTCGCCTATTGTCCGTCTTGCTGGTATATGAGATATCTCACCGTCTCTGCTCCTATTGAGGCCGATCCAGCAGCATACTTCTGACAGCTATAGTATACAGCAAACACCAACGGAATCCGGCAGCTCTCATCCGCTCTCATTGCTGTTGAGCAAACTGTGTCCGATAGAAAGGATGGCCGTCTCGGTGTTCCCGGTTGTTGCTCTGACATCCCTCGCCCTTCTATCCCTCTACAAGTTCATCGTCCAGCCATTATGCTTCCACCCACTTCGGCATATCCCATCAGCACACTGGTCGATTCCTATATTTGGCGATCTGTGGATCACATACCAACGCTATCGAGAACGCAACAATACAGTCACATATGCTGCCCATGTAAAGTACGGCAGTGTTGTGCGCATGGGGGCCAGTGAGTTGAGCGTCAATTGTGTGGACAATGGCATCAAAACCATATATGCCGGCGGATGGGAGAAGCATGCTTGGTACCCACAGCGATTTGGAAGTTACGGGTAAGTCATCATCCGGAAGATCCTGAGGACCATGTTGACACGAGCACAGAGTTATGAACATGTTCTCGACCATACACCACGCACCTCATTCCCAGAAGAAACGTACCATGGCCAACGTGTTCTCCAAGTCATATATTGCATCCTCCGTACAGGTTGCTGCCAACTCGCACAAGCTGTTATCGACACGTTACCTGCCTTTGCTTCAGAGTCTCTCTGAAACTTCACAGCCATATGATGTACACGATATGAACAATGCATTTGCGATGGACTTCATGTCAGCATATCAATACGGTCTACAAGCTAGCACAAACTTCACACAAGACATCGCGGTCCGACGTAAAATCATGTACGAGTACCACTGCAGACGAGAGTACGAGTTCTTTTCTGCTGAGATCCCCTGGCTGAAGGATCTCACCCGCAAATTCGGTCTGGAAATAGTACCTCAATTTGTCGACGATGCCAACGCTTCGATTGAGGAGTGGAACGCCAGTATGTGTCGCGCCGCTGAGAAATACCTTTCTGCTGCAGCCCAGATTGCGTCCCCTTACATTGGTGATGAACCAATCGTGTATAAGCAGTTCAAAGAGGGCATCAATAGACTACGCGAAAAAGATCCGCTCGCAGGAAAGTCGGTGTCCGATGTGATCCTTCCCACCGTTCGCCACGACGATCTTCAGCAGAACGAGGATGACACGACTACGGCAGAAATCTACAGCGAAATGCTTGACCAACTCGGTGCAGGCCATGAGACATCTGCCGTTGCTCTGACATACCTATACTGGGAGATGAGCAAGAACCCCGATATGCAGAAACAGCTCCATGACGAGGTGTCTGGGCTGACGCCAGCGATCAAGTGGCCCATGCCTGCAGGAGCCGATCTCGCCGACTTCAAGATACCAGAACCCAAACAAATCGACTCTCTGCCCCTGTTGCATGCGATCTATATGGAGACATTGCGCCTACACACACCTATCCCAGGTATTGAACCTCGCATCTCGCCTCACGTGCCTGGTGGAAGCACGGTTGGTTCATACACAGGTATTCCAGGTGGCGTACGTGTCTCATCCATGCCATATTCTCTGCATCGCAACGAAGCTGTGTTCCCTGAACCTGAAACCTTCAACCCCTCTCGGTGGCTATCATCACACACCTCGGAAGAACACCTGAAAGAAATGCATCGCTGGTTCTGGGCATTTGGTAGCGGGGGAAGAATGTGCATCGGCAGCAATTTGGCAACACAAGAGATCAAACTGCTGGTCGCTGCCATTTATACCAACTGGACAACAGAAATTGTCGATGACGACGGTATCGAGAAGATTGATGCTTACAACACGAAGCCCAGGAGCAACAAGCTTATGCTGAGATTTAGGCATGTATAAAGCAGCAAATTGACTGTACGAAGCCGAGTAATGCAGCATCAATGTCATTGAATGACCACCGGCTCCTCGGCATTAGGCATGGGGGATGGAGATCAACACCGTTCTTATGATTGGTGGCCGCCACATTTCAAGATCCTATCCGATAGCGATGCCTCTTGAGGAATGGTGTCAGCATGGATCTCGAGGGTCCCTTGCGGAGGACTCTACGAGTAGAGTCTCTTCTACAAGTACGAGTACCGAATATGTGGATATGCAGTCACAGCAAGTTCATGACCCAACTGTACGTTAGATGCAGAATAAACAACAATTATAATTCAGCTTCTTGCATTCATTCATTCCATTTAGTCTTCTTTGTCGGCATAGAGCACCCATTCCGTGATCTGTGAAGTGCAAAAAGGTCGCCTAACGTTTACTGAGATCGGGTCGGAGAAGCCTGAGGAAGCCCGTGGAATTCATGGAATCTACTCGCTTGGCATGATTTGCAGCAGCAGTTTTCGCCGCCCCAGTTGGCTGTGCCCTGCGCGGCGACGCAAGTGAATTTTAATAATAATGCTCCTGGCTGACTTAACGCCTGCGATACTGTCTGCCTGTGTCTTGTAGAGAACCAGTGTTGCTGCCTCACTTCCACACATCCTGACATCGCGTAGAACTTCAGATCAACGTCCTCCTTTGGTCCTCACTGGCTCGCGCGAGTAGCCGCTAGTCACAGACGGCAACCTCTCCACTCAATCCCCTGCCTCGTCGTCCGTCGTCGCTATCTTTCCTCACACGCCTTTGATCTGAACGAACATCGGACAAAATGGTCAAGGACACTAAATACTATGAGATCCTGGGGGTGCGTGGATGTCCGCTGGGAGCCATTCGAACATTCGCTAACGAGTAATCAAGGTCGACCCTGCAGCCTCAGAGGCTCAACTGAAATCTGCCTACAAGAAGGGCGCCCTAAAGCACCACCCAGGTAAGACTTACTGCCTCACCTCCGGCAAATGTTGGCGGACGTCTGACACGACCCAGATAAAAATGCCCACAACCCTGATGCGGCCGACAAATTCAAGGACCTCTCGAAAGCCTACGAAGTTTTGTCCGATCCTCAGAAGAGACAGTTATACGACCAATATGGAGAGGAAGGACTGGAGCAAGGCGGCATGGGCGGTGGTATGGCCGCAGAAGATCTCTTTGCCCAATTCTTCGGCGGCGGTTCAGCGTTTGGCGGCATGTTTGGCGGTGGCATGAGGGAGACTGGCCCCAAGAAAGCCAGGTCGATCCACCATGTTCACAAAGTCTCCCTGGAAGATATTTATCGAGGTAAAGTCTCGAAGCTTGCCCTGCAAAAATCGGTCATCTGCCCAGCTTGCGAGGGTCGTGGAGGCAAAGAGGGCGCCGTCAAAACATGTACTGGCTGCAATGGCGCAGGCATGAAAACCATGATGCGACAAATGGGCCCCATGATCCAGCGCTTCCAAACCATCTGTCCTGACTGCCAAGGAGAGGGAGAAACCATCCGTGAGCGGGATCGCTGCAAACGCTGCATGGGCAAGAAGACCATCGTCGAGCGCAAAGTTCTTCATGTCCATGTAGATCGAGGGGTCAAGAGCGGACACAAGATTGAATTCCACGGGGAGGGTGACCAAGTGCCTGGTGTACTCGCTGGCGATGTTGTGTTCGAGATTGAGCAGAAGCCTCACACAAGATTCCAACGCAAGGACGACGACCTTTTTTACCATGCCGAAATCGATCTCTTGACAGCATTGGCCGGTGGTCAGATCTATATCGAGCACCTGGATGAGCGCTGGTTGACAGTTAATATCTTCCCCGGCGAGCCCATCACTCCTGGTAAGTTACACCTTGGTGCTTCTTCATTAAATTGGGACGCTAACATTGCACCAGGTGCTATCAAGTGCATCAAAGGCCAAGGTATGCCATCATTCAGACACCACGACTTCGGAAACCTTTACATTCAGTTCGACGTCAAATTCCCCGATAAGACCCAAGTCCAAAATGTCGAGCTTCTGGAACAGATCTTGCCCCCGCGCATGGAACAGAAGCTTCCGCCGCCAGACTCTATGACGGAGGACTTCGATCTTGAGGATGTCGACCCGCGCCAACAGGCACGTGCACAGGGCGCGACGGACGAAGACGATGAGGACGGCATCCCCGCAGGTGCAGAGAGAATGCAATGTGCCTCGCAGTGACCGCTTTGAAATCAGCTTGACTGGCGTCGGCCGTGATGTGACACGAAATAGACGAGAAAAAAACGTCAGATGAAGAGTTGGAAGAGTTTGACGAGATGATGGGCGATCACGAACGCGATTGACGTCTATGCATTAGCCAGCGTGAGGAAATCTGCATTCGACCTACCTGTTCCGTTCCATCATCGATGCAAGCTGCATGAGGCGGCGTATGGGTTGGAAAGGATGGCAATGACACGATATGGCGTTCCGATGGCGTTACCACATGAAGGCGGCGCGGCAGGTATGTCTTATGGCGTCCCTTGCCGGAGATCATTCTCGGGCTGAAGACATTGCAACGAGTTTTCCGAAGATTCTAGATTAGCTGTGCTTTGCATCATAGAGCAGAGGAATGGCACAAGGTCTTGCCAATGATCGGGCACGGCGCGAGATGTCATTGACCAGGAACTGTCATGTCTCAAAGAAATGGCACCGATTGATCGCAACGACAAGAAAAAAGGACGTGATTTCTGATAAAATATGCTCATATCTCTGTTACTGTCGTGTGCTGATTGCGACACACAACCTGATCCGAGTCTCATGTTGCCATTCATCCTGTTTCGGACTCGACCTACCTTCTTCTGCCTCCCCTGGAAACCTTTCTCGAAACCATCAAAGCATGTCACTGTTGGATTGGCAAGGCTTGACGGCATCGGTAGTCAAGCCCTCTTTAAGATAGACTGGCGCCCAATGCAAACCAAGCCTCGCAAGCACGAAAGGTGATGCTTGACTCAATTGGGTCATACAAAAAAGCAAAGACCGGTCAATATGCCAACATCAGGCACTAATTGCATCTCCTTGAATGTTCATATGCGCCAGGTTCTCGTTTCTTTTCGCGACTCATCCCTCTTCTAGCCGCATTGCGACTTCATGAGGCTTGAAAATCGCGACTTATTATGCCTCATTAGAAGTGTCGCAAGGCCAAATCCGTCGAAAGAACGAGGAAGGTTCGTCTTGGCTGTGACGAGGGAGGGCTTCGGTTACTACGAACGAGTCTTCCGTACGGTTTTTAAATCGACCAATTCTGGTTGAGGTGTGTTGAACATTCCGATGGTATCATTATGGCGGAAATCGCGTCAGCTTTTAGCACCAATGCTAGACTCCGCCAAAGATGCCACCATCATTGATCATTGGATAGGAGACTCAAGGCTTGCCGGAAGTGGAATGGCATCCTCCCTCACTTCTGCGATATGACAGGCTGAGGGCAGACGGGCCCTGGCATTCTGGGGTGGACCAGCAGGGGGCCAGCCGAACGACGTCGAGCACGCCATTTTGCTCCTTTCACACAGGTCGATGGTGACGAGGACATTCAGAGATTTTCTCTTTCACCCAGACTCGATTCGTAATTTGGTAGGAATCCACGGAAGTCCCAATACTGCCGTCAAAATTACTTTGAAAAAATGAAAAAGGGCTTGCCTGGACGCACAAGCACGTACACATGGCGGCCGGGATGTGTGGGCAGTACCAATATTCAGGTACGGAGACAAGTAGACGGGAGATCATATCAGGTTCAGAGCAACCGAACTTCGCTTAACCAGGAACAATACAAGACCCAAATAACAAGCCACACAAAATGCTCTCTAGCACGGAATCGCAAGCTCTCATCCGTTGAATATCTAAGATGCTTGAGAATCCCATAACCAAAAAGATGAAGAAAGTAATCATCCATCAAGCTCGAAAATTGGAGATAGCCTTGCGATCATCCGCCTGTCCTCTCGTGTCATATTCCACTTTTTACCGTCCACCTTGGGGTCAATAGATGCAAGATCTGGCTGTCTCTTCCTTTGCTTTCGTCAACCACCACGTACTTGGCCTGCCGAATGGGGCACAGAATCGTCGTTGGGTCCCGTGGCGCTCGTGCGTTGCCGCACCGCTCTTCCCTATCAAGGCTCTCTCCCGCGATCACGACATCGTCTTGGGACCCCCAATTTCATCATAGCCCCAGTCCTTCTCGATGGAAAAATCTCTTTGCCTTCTCTACAAGCTTGTCCCATACGTTCCTTTTCCCAGATCAATGTCCACCAAACTTAAACTGCCTTTGGGTCCTGCCGAGTCCAGATCTGCCCTTCGTTAGTCGGCAGACCGCAGCTGGTGCTCGCTAAGTTTGTCCTGTCCTGCGCGAGTAGAGTCAGACAGGCCGACCCTGGCATCACCGCGTCAAGATTTATATACCATACCTCTTCCCACCGCTGGGGGCGAATCGTCATTTCTCCCACCTTCCCTTGATATCAGCAACCTATATCAAACCAAAGATAACGGCCTCTGGGAAAGGCACGTCTTTGGACCACCTCATACCGTGGAACCATCACCTCCTGTGGTGGGCTTCGAATACGTATACATATTTATTATCCTTGTCCTACACCTGGGACATTCGGCATATCGCCTTGGAAAAATTCGGATTTCGCCAGCAGAACTGTCACCTCGACAGCTTTCTGAAAGCCACCATTCACATCTCATTACCAATACCTATTGCAGCCAGCCAGCTCTTCTCATACGACTTGGCGCATCAAGCCTTCTGACCTAGAGTGGTAGCCAGAATCTTGTCCTGATCCGACGCTTGCAGACCTCGCCCCACCCCTCTTCCACAGGATCTGTCGAGACTAAATAAGGCCCAGCCCTACGCTTGTCCTTCCTTGTTCTTTCAAACAGACCCGTTCGGTCGCACCTCTCATCTATAGACGATCGCAATTTCTATCCAGTCTTTCGCACCGACAGAGACTGTGAAGAGATCGCAATGGCGTCGTCTTCCTCCAAACTTGGCCATGGCCTGGCCAAGTTCTTGAGGCTCGACCTCGGTGAGCGTACGGCTCACAAAGATACCATCACACGAGGTGAATCCACCTACTCTGTCAGTACCGCCGACACATACGTGGAAGAAGAACCAACAACCGGCGACTGGCTACGCGACCTAGTCCCCTCTCGCACATTTTGGGCTCATTACGTTCGCAGCCTCTTCCCCTTCCTCCATTGGATTACCCGCTATAACCTGCAATGGCTCTACGGAGATCTTGTGGCCGGTATCACTGTGGGCGCAGTCGTCGTTCCTCAAGGTATGGCTTATGCCAAATTGGCGGAATTGCCTGTCCAATTCGGCCTGTATTCCTCCTTCATGGGTGTTTTGATCTACTGGTTCTTCGCCACTTCAAAGGATATCACCATCGGTCCAGTCGCAGTCATGTCCACCATCACTGGCAACATCGTCCTCAAGATGGCAAAACTACATCCGGAGGTTCCCGGACATGTCATTGCTTCAGCTCTCGCCATTATTGCCGGCGCCATCATCTGCTTCATTGGCCTCGTTCGATGCGGTTGGATTGTCGATTTCATTCCCTTGACCGCCATCTCCGCCTATATGACCGGGTCGGCGATTAACATTGCCTGCGGCCAGATTCCGACCATGATGGGTATCAAAGTCAAGGGCTTCAATACCAGAGCCTCCACCTATTTGGTCATCATCAACACGTTGAAGTATCTGGGCCACACAAAGGTCGATGCTGCAATGGGCTTGAGTGCTCTTTTCTTGCTCTATGCAATTCGCTTCACCTGCAACAAGATGGCAAAGAAACAGCCCCAAAGGTCAAAGATGTGGTTCTTCATCGCCACACTCCGGACTTCATTTGTCATTCTATTGTACACCATGATCAGCTGGCTCGTGAATCGCCATCATCGCAAGAAGCCCATCTTTGCGATCCTGTCAACGGTACCTCGAGGGTTCCAAAATGCGGCGGTACCAACCATCAACACCAAAATCATCGGCTATTTTGCTAGTGAGATTCCTGTAACGGTCATTGTGCTCCTCATCGAGCACATTGCTATCTCAAAATCTTTCGGTCGTGTCAACAACTATACCATCAACCCGTCGCAGGAACTGGTGGCCATTGGTGTCACAAACCTGCTGGGTCCCTTCTTGGGAGCGTACCCAGCCACTGGCTCCTTCTCGCGAACAGCCATCAAGTCCAAAGCTGGTGTGCGAACGCCGCTTGCCGGTCTCATCACTGCACTTGTGGTTCTTTTGGCCATCTATGCCCTTCCTGCGGTATTCTTCTACATTCCCAGCGCATCCCTGTCGGCCGTCATCATCCATGCCGTGGGCGATCTGATCACACCACCGAGCACCCTATACAAATTCTGGCGAGTCTCACCTCTCGAAGTTCTCATCTTCTTTGCGGGTGTGTTCGTCACCATCTTCTCCTCCATTGAGAACGGTATCTACACCACCATTTGTGTCAGCGTTGCAGTTCTCCTCTTCCGTGTTGTCAAGGCCCGAGGCCACTTCGTCGGCAAAGTCAAGATCCACTCTGTTGTGGGCGATCATCTGATGGAAGACAAGTTTCACGACAACCCGTCCGGGACTGACGACTCTGCACGCGAGATCTTCCTGCCTCTCGACCACCGCGACGGTTCCAACCCTTCGATCCAGGTCGAAGGTCCTTACCCTGGAGTCTTCATCTACCGCTTCGCCGAAGGTTTCAATTACCCCAACGCAAACCACTACACCGACTATCTTGTGGAGTACATCTTCGCGAACACGCGCCGCACCAACACCTCGTCGTATCCACGACCGGGTGACAGACCATGGAACAACCCAGGTCCACGACGCGGCAAGTCCGAGCCTGATAGGTCTCACTTCCCCACCCTCAAGGCCGTCATCCTGGACTTCTCGTCCGTCAACAACGTCGACATCACGTCCATTCAAAACCTGATTGACATCCGCAACCAGCTCGACCGCTACACATCCCCAGAGAGCGTCCAATGGCACTTTGCTTGCATCAACAACCGCTGGACCAAGCGCGCGCTGGCGTCTGCAGGCTTCGGCTACCCCAGCGCCGGCCAGGAAGAAATCCACAGATGGAAACCCATCTTCAGCGTCGCCGAGATTGGGGGCAGTTCTTCGGCCGCTGAAGCCGCAGAGATGGATACCAACAGACGTCTATCACAGTATCCTTCAAACCGTGACGAGGAGAGCGGCCGCGACGGCGTCGTCAAGTCCGAGGACATCCAGCGCCACAGACTCGATAAGGAGTCGACTGACTCGAGCACCGGTGCTAGCAACGGCAATGACTTGTCAAGGGAGATCACAAATAGCAAGGCTTATGCCCGCGCATCGACGAAGAGGGTTGCTGTCGTGCAGGGCTTGAACAGGCCATTCTTCCATATCGATGTCAACAGTGCGCTGCAGTCTGCTATCGCCACGGTCGAGCACCAGAAGGCCTTGGGTCGCGAGGCGGTGCCTAGTGCGGCGGAGTTGAACAGCCATTTGCCGCCTGGGAAGGAGGTGCAGTATTAGACCGAAAATATAGGCAAGCAAGCCTATGTTGGGATGAATTTTGCATTGAATAACAAGAGATATACAGTCATGTACAGGGGATGTTGGGTTCGTTGATAATATATTCATATGATTGTTTAATGGTTGAGAAAGCTGTATGTCATCCACTTGCTGTACTCATCCTATGCCAACGCACAGCACACAATATTGTATCAATGTCAGCATGTGAATGTCTGCAGAGAGAGAAAACACTCGTAATTTCGTACCATGGATATTGAGTCTCGAGGGCAGCAGTACAAGCAACAATAAGTTTGCCATCTAACCTCATTTGAGATGATCTTTCATCCTATCATCTAGCTAGGTTTATCCCTCTCAGCTTAAACACATGATCCTCGCTCTTTTTCTTTTCAAACCAGCCACCCAGCGTCTGAACATCTCTACATATGATCTGCGCAAATCTATTCCTCCATATTCTCAAACAAGAAAGTCGGCGACCCCGGCACAGCCTGTTCCGCCATAGGAGGCAACCCACTCTTATCCTCGCCGACCAACACAACACTTACATCTTTAGAGCCAGTAGTCCGCATCAGCCCTTTCCTCATCTCCGTAACAATCTCGACTTCATCGAATGGCAGTTTCCGCTCAAACACAGCCTCAGGAGCTTCCATGTTCACGACAAGCCTCTTCTTCAGAGCCTGGACAAACGGCATAGCTTTCTTCATCTCGGGTCCTTTACCCATCTTCGCGACCTTGCCGTTCAACTCCTTGTCGTCGTGCAAGGTCGTCTTCTCGAGCATCTCGCGCACAAGATCAACGTACTTGTCCTGCCATTGCGGGAAATTCGACGCGACGAAGATGGTAATACGCTTGGGTTTGCGTGGGTCAAACGCTGCGGATTTGCCCTTGGCCATCTTCTTGGCGGCTAGCGCCTCCGCGGACGTAATACTGCTGGACGTGCCCTTAACGTACTCGCGCGTTGCGGTCAATGAAGGATCTGACTTGGGTACTTCTGGCCATCGCGCGTTTTGGATCGAGTCTTTCTTGCCCAACACCTCGAGCCACATGTGTTCGGCCCAATGTGGTGCGATCGTCGCGATGAGCAAAGACTGCAACTCGACGTACCGCGTCACCAAAGGCCTTGACATAGGTGTACCACCCGACGCACATGCTTCTCGGTAGAAGTCACGAGCGGACTGGAAATCGTAGAGCGCAGACTTTAGTGCGAGCTTGTAGTTCGTGCTATGGGTCATCGTTAGCAATTGCGACAGGAAGTCAGAGAAAGAAACTTACTCCGAGTAATGCTGGTACGCCTCGTGGACCAGCAGGTTCATCTCATCCTCGAACAGCTTGTCCCAGACAACGTCTCCCTGTGTCTTGCGCAGACTCTCGTCCTTCAAGGTTTCCTCGATCCAGTCTTTGAGCGTGTACATCCGCATAATGGCGGCGTTGGCGCCCTTCTCTTCAAAGTTGGCGTCCTCCATGCCGTCACCGGCGTCAGCAAGTGCTATCCGCGTGGCGTCTGCGCCAAATTTCTTCACTGCTTGACTCAAAGTCAGGAAGTTGCCTGTTGATTTGCTCATCTTGTCTCCGTTGAGCAACAAATGTCCATTGGACCGTATTGATCGTGGCCAGTATTCGCGATCGAAAAGTGCGAGATGTATGTACAAGAAGAATGTAAGGTGATTGGGGATCAGGTCTTTTCCGGAGGTCCGCATATCGAGAGGATACCAGTACTCGAATGACCGTCTCATGGTCTGGAGGTCTTCGACTGGGATCCCTGACGATTTCGACACAGTCTCGACATCTTTGGTGCGTGTGAAGACATAATCCCAGACATCGTCAGTCATTTGTTCCGATCTGACATTGAGCGAGCCACGAGTCTTGCCGAACATATCGCCATGCAAAAAGTGTGCAATGGTGTAGTACGACATGTATATCGTACTGTCGCTCAAACTCTCGACCAAAAAGTGCGGATCCCAGGGCAGTTTTGAACCAAGACCATATGTTCTTGCACATGCCCACTGGTTCAACCATTCCAGGTTTGCGACAAACTGGTTCTCCGACTCTTGGGTATACGTCTCAAGACCGTCCTTGGCCTTGACATACTCCAGCACACGCTGTTGCCATTCTTTGTCGTTCTCGCCATAATTTAAGAACCATTGAGGAACATAAGCAACCACACATTCGTCAGCACTTCGGCTGATGACTTCGGCAGAAGGATCTGCGAAAGGGAACGCATCGCCAGACTTGATGAGCGCATTTCGGACCTTGTCTTTTGCCTCGACGACTTTCTCGCCTTTGAATTCGCCTATCAGCAAAGTACCGTTATAGAAACCTTCCTTGTAGGCCAAATCCTTCGCTTCAGCCAACAAGGTCGCATCTTTCGGAGACTGGATCTTCTTTGTCTCAACCAGATATTTTGCTGCAAGGTTGCCATATGCTGGCGTGTCGATAATCGGAATGATCTCGAGCTCGGCCCATTCTTTCTTGATGCCATAAAATTCCGCCTTCTTGGCCAGATCTCTTACAGTCGCAAAATCGTCGGGACTGTCCGAAGGAACTGATGTGACCACACCAGTACCTTTAGTAGCTGAAACTGTCTCCATAGGCAATATTCGAACGCCGTCCGTATGTACTGACAGTGGAGCAATGACCAAGGTACCCACGAATGCAGAACCAGGCAGTTCCACCACAGCCTGCAACTCACTTTGGTCTCGTGGGAAGTGGTCTTGGTCGAAGAAAGTACCCTGGAAAGCCATGTTCCATGCTGCTCTTTTTGTGACGACATAATACTCCTTTTCTGAGACCTTGAAGACACCGTACTTGATCTTAGGTCCGACGAAGCAGCAAGTTTGACCGTACATTGTTTCTGGTCGGAGGGTCGCAGGCACAAAGTAGACGTTCGCGTCCTTTGGGATCTTGGACTCGACCTCTTTTGCAGCCTCCGGCGACCATTCTTTGACCTTCAATTTTATCGCAGTGTACTCGGTTGGGCCCACACCTTCACCTTTCGTTCTGTCGTGGTCCATGCACGGCTGACCGTCCTTGGGACTGTAGATGGTGTATCTCTTGCCGTACAGAATCTTGTTAAGCTCATGTAACCGGTTCATCTGCCATCTCACAAAAGCGTCGTAGTATGGATTTGCGTCTGTGGTGACAAACTTCCTCCGCCAGTCTATCCTGGCTCCAAAGCCGATCAAATCTTGTTGGCATAACGGTGGGAAGTACTGGAGCCAATAATTTGCATCGGCGAATTTGTGAATCTCTTCTTTTGGTATACCCATTGCCAACATCGTCTGAAACTGATAGTTTGCCTTAGTCGTTTTCGCCGCAGCTTTGCTCTTCTTGCTTTTGAACTTTGTGATGTCGTCCTTGACGTTGACGCCTTGGGTAGGTGCGATAGATACGCCATTGGCCTGCTCTTCATCCTCCTCGTCTTCATGAAAGTCCTCAAAGTGTTTCCCAAATTTCTTTACGTCTGAAACCAGTTTGTCTGCACACGCTTTGATTGGCATGCCAGTGCAGTGGAACCCGAGGGGAAAGAGGACTCGCTTCCCGGTCAATCGAGCGAAACCTGCCGTAAACTCGACTTTGCTGACAGTGAAGCTGTGCCCAGCGTGTAGGGTACCGTTCATGTAAGGGTATGCGAATGTGCCAAAGAATTTAGGGTGTTCATCTCGGATCTGCGCAGCCGGCACTGAATTGAAGGGGATCTCGGAGGTCGTAGGAGCATCTGACTCGAAGACTTTGTTCTTCTGCCATTCTTGCTGGTATTTCTTCTCAATTGCGATCAAGACATCTCGGTTGTGAGTCTGACCCGGCGCAATTAGTGTCAGGTCATAGTGGTCGAGTGCGAAGACTTACATTTTCGAGCTTGAGGGTATTTGATGAGCTGACCGTCGGGTCGACTGGTATCTGGGTCGCCATGATGGCGCAATGCAATGAGAACTGACCGGATGTCCGACACAACGCCTATACAAGGACTGCGCAAGATGCAAGGCTCTAGGAAATTTATTCAGCATTCGACAATCCCCACAGACTTGCGGAGTTGGAAATGACTCCGAGCAGACCTGACGGTGTCAATGGTCGACCGTAGGTATATAGTCACGTGCTCGACACATCAGTACTCCGCATTCTAGATACCGATGAAGCATCTCTTGATTAGTATTCAGTCCCCAGGGTTCTGACTCTAGAGTGGAAACATTTCCTTTCTATTTAGTCAGAAACTGTCACTCGGAGAGTTTTGCGAGCGTGTAGGAATGCGGCTTATAGAGGATGGAGCAATCGGGACAATTGAAAGCCGGCAGGTAATGACTGAATGCGTAAGGAATGTATATCAAGTTACGATTTCCGCAGTGGAAATGGAACGACCAGAGGCAGAAGACAGTATAGTACGGTCTGCAGTCATTTGTACATCCATTCGTTTTCCAAAGTACCATGCATCTTGGAAAACGGCGAGCCATCTTCCTCGGTGAGAATGGAGAACTCTCCATCAAAGACATCACGGAAAATTACAAGCCAGTGGGTGACCAGGCTCTCGTCAAAGTCAAGTATTCGGCGATCAACCCAGCAGATCTCACGCACTCGTATGTTGGTCTCTGTGGCTCTGTCGCAGGTCTCGAATGGGTAGGCACTGTGGTTGAGGTAGGAGACTTGTCGTCCTTCAAGGTCGGCCAAGACCTCTTTGGCACGGCCCTGTTTGGACGCCAGCGACCATTGTATCTTGGTCCACATCAAGATTACCTCATAGCTGATGGGTAAGTCATATCTGTGATTCAACCTTTCTTCAATGGTCACGGGCTTAGGTGCTGACACTGGCTTCCAGGACCCAAACAACATGGCCAGTACCGAAAGGTATGAGTGACCACGATGCTGTATCGATTCCTGTTGCGGTCGGGACTGCCGCCGATGCTCTCTTCAACACGCTCGGCTTCGGCTTCCCTGCCGCAGGACTCGACGGCCGTGATGCGACTGGCATTCCCATCTTGATCTGGGGAGGTGCATCCGCCGTTGGGGCTGCCACCATTCAAGTCGCCAAAGCCGCGGGATTTGGGCCGATCTTCACTACAGCCTCTCCGAAAAACCATGAGAGCCTACGTGCGATAGGAGCTACACAAGTCTTCGACTATAACAGTGCCACTGTCGTTGAAGACATCAAACATGCAGTCGCCCAGAGTAGCAAGAAGCTCGCCGTCGTCTTCGATGCTGTAAGTGCTGGCCTAGGCCAACTCGGGGGGTCCGAACAAGAGACTGCCAACAACACGCCCGACCAGGCCAGGCGCTGTGTCTCCGATGATGTCGCGGCAGAGGATCTGCTACTCTCCTCTGTCCTTCCTGTGGATCACGACCCGGCTTGGAAACTCTGTATCGGTATCCGGCCCTATGGTGACTCATTCTTCTGGGGCGATATTGTCTCGCAAAACCCTTCATTTCCTGTTCGAATGAAACAGTATCTGGACTGGTTTGTGGACAATCACCAAGGTTTCTGGCAGCCCATTCTGCGTAACACTATTGTGCAGGGAGCGGAGAAGGGCATTGAAGAGATCCAGCGTGTCGCTGACGGAGGCGCTTCGAGGGAAAAGGTCCTTATTGCGCGTCCGATGTGAAAGTGCAATGGCGAGGGCGTTGCAGATTCATGGTAAATATGGATACCATGTTAGAGAGCTTCCCACAGTAACTCGGCTCCCGCACAATCGTTGTCCGAGCCGTTGAAGATCACGAATCGATCACTCTAACCGATTCGTTGTTTTCTCCTCACCCAAACTTCCCTAGCCGTGCTCTTCAAGGCATTGTCCGCCTTGTCAGCCTCGTCAGTTGATGTAGTCTCATGCAATTGAACCTCCCAGACTGACAATTTGTACTTCCCACGGTCTGACATTCCAGAGAAGAGGTCGAAAGACCAGCCGTGCTTTGAACAGGTGAGCCCAGCGCTGAGAATGACTCCAAAATCTTCAATGTCAAAAGGGTTGCCCTGTGACAGAGGAAATGATGCGTGAGGGCATTTCTGAAGAAGATGGGTTAGTTCTTCCGAGGCGTAGTCGGTCTTTTGTGTGCCTTACTCACATGATCAATAGCATGAAATGTGCCCTTGTACTGAAAGATGAGCACTTGATCCTTGAGACCTCCTCCAACATCAAATGACTCTTGGTCATCAGGTGCAACTGCCAGTTGAGTCATCGCCGAATCCGCCTCCCTAGGAACCTGGAAGACCTTGCATCCTGGTGTAAGGTCTCCATTGCAGATGCGAAGTTCCGACAGGTTGTTGTCATCGTCGGACTCAAGATCGGGGAAAGATGAAGCGAGACCAGCCGAGAACCATTGTGCGCCTGCCCGGGATGGAGGCTTGAAAGGTTTCATCTCCGAGCGAGTTGTGACGATTACTGTAAGGTACACAGAAATCTAAGGTACATGGTCAAAGAAGAGACGGAATGCGCTCGGCGAACCTGCCTGTTACAGAAGACGCGTCGTCGATGTCCATCGCGACAACGACTGAGGGCACTCGTGCTTTGCTTTCTCATATCGAGAGCACTTTTCGTCAAAGCTTCAGCAGCCATGATATCGGGCGCCGGGGAACTGGGCCATGGAGGAGGTACGGTCTGCTAGTCCAGGCTAGCACTCTGTCGTTGTGGTCAGAGGCCAGGAGAGTATGGCTGATGGTGTGACAAAGGCATTGTGCGCAATTGCGAAGTGTGGGAAGGAGGTGTCAGTCAGACCCGTCGAAGAGTCGTTCCTGCGGTAGTCGACTGTTACGGCTGCATCCATTGCACGCTCGACACGTGTCAAATCCACTAACGGCTAGTGCAAGGCTCTCATTGCAAGCTCAGGTTCACAGCCTCAGCCTCATGATGGCCCTCCATTGAAGTATCTCCCTTGTTCTTACTACTGGTCCATGTGTTAGCGATTGCTGTCGATAGCAAGATCTGGGTCGATGTGCTCGTGCCTTGTCAAACGGTCCGCAAGTCCGAAACATCACACGATAGGGAAGAATGGTTCGGTTGATCAAGACTGACGATCTTTCCGTGCGTGTATACGAGGGCCGCAATGTTCCAGGATATGCAATCCTTTCGCATCGCTGGGAAGCTGGCGAGATCAGCTTGCAGGAATTGCAAGGCAATCTCAATCAACACAAGGCAGGCTGGCTGAAACTTCGACGATTTTGTCAATTTGCAGATTACAAGGGCCATCGATTTGTTTGGATAGACACCTGCTGCATCGACAAGACCAGCAGCGCTGACCTCTCCGAAGCTATCAACTCGATGTTCAAGTGGTACCGCCGAGCAGAAAGATGTTATGCCTATTTGTATGATGTGCTACCCAGGGGGGACCTACCTTTTTCGGACTGGATGCAGAGCTTCAGATGCAGCGAATGGTTCGAGCGTGGCTGGACTCTTCAAGAACTTCTTGCGCCTCGCGAATTGATCTTCGTGTGCCGAAGTTGGGAGGAGGAAATTGGCACAAGGACATCTTTGAGCGAAGAGGTAAAAGAGGCCACTGGAATCCCCAAGCAAGCTCTGGTGCAAAGTTGGTCTTTGAAGGACGATCTCGGCAGTCCTAAATACAGCATTGCACAGGTCATGTCCTGGGCTTCTGGCCGTCATACTACACGAACTGAAGACACCGCGTATTCCCTGATGGGTCTGTTCCACATAAGCATGCCTTTGCTTTACGGAGAAGGGCAAAACGCATTCGTTCGACTTCAGCTGGAGATCATGAGTAAATACGACGACTACAGTTTGTTTGCGTGGACTACCTCTCTCCCAAGCCTGTTATCGGCCCGTAATCAGGCACTCAATCAATCTCTGGAGGTCCCAGGCGGGTATAGGTGGGGCGGTCTCCTTGCCCCTACGATTCGTTGTTTCAAGAATTGTAACAACTATCGCCGCGTTTTCATGACAGACGACCACGATTGCTCACGCTCGATCTCCATGACAAGCAGAGGTATTCAACTTCAGGCCCCGCTTCGAAGACACAGGCAAGGCCGCAACGAGTGGCTTCTGCTGCTGGATTGTGGCAGAGAGGGAAACCGGAAGCACCGATTTGGGCTAGTAGTCCATGCAAATTTTGACAGAAAATACGCTAGGCGTCTTCAGGAGGATGAGGGCTTCATAACTGACCTGGTGGATTGTGAAGTCGACACGGAACGGGAACGCTGGTCAGAGTATGAGCTTTGTAGCTTGGTTATGACGCAAGACTGGCCGGGCGACCACGAATGAATTTTGAATACCTCTGTGTACAAGGTACACAATGAGACCTCCTTCTCATACCAAACCCTTTGCCATCCTCCACATCACCCAAGGACACTCCCTCTCCGCAATAGGTTTCCACTCCTCAATAGACTTCCCCGTGTCCACAAGCACCAACTTCCCACCCATAGCCAGCGTCCCGCCACAACAATCGAAAAGACTTCCCAGCTCAAACCCCAACTGCAGCTCAATCAACCCGATCTTCTTCTGCACCTCGTCTTGGGGAATGTCGCCATAGAACAAACTCAGATGAGGCAGATAGTCCTTCTCCGCCCACTGTGATGCCTCGTCCTCCGAAATGCTTAGGCCCTGCCGTCTACACGCCGCCGCGACTTTGATTAAATTGTCGTCCTTCTTCGCCCGTAACGTGACTTTCTTGAAGAAGGGCTCACCGGCCTCCAGCTCTTCAAGTTCAACGATGACTTCGTTGGACTCACGTTTGAATTCCGGCAGAGTTAAGCTGTCGAGCCACTCTTGTGGTTTGGACTCATATGTCTTTGCGGGATCGACGTCCGAAGTAATTGTGACGTGTGGGATGAAGTTGTTCTTTGGCGCATGAGGGAAATCCGAGGGCAGTGTGTTTGTAATTAGATCTTGGATGGATTTGTTGAATGGGTTGTCAGCGCTGGGCGGGATGAGCCACAGCGATGAATGCATCTTCCTTGTAAATTCCAATGATAGTTCAGAACAGGAGACCTGAGACAGTAGTTCGACGCGGGTAGATGGATTACTCGTAGGAATATCTCGTTGTCGTTGCTATGCGCTGGGATAGAAGTGAAGATGACTAAAGGTACAGTACGGGGAAAAGGATGTACGTTAGTACGTCGTCCGGGGTAGGTGGTTGTGGCTACGTAATGGCTACAGTATTGTACCTATGGAGGCTAAAGTACAGTAGGTACTGTAATTGTGTTGCATGAAGTCAATCATCGCAACCAATATTCATTGCACATTATATCTTGCGTCCTACAGCGACATTTGATCGTACAATGTCTTCCTTGTAGACAAACTATGCGAACATCAGGCAACCAAACAAACACTTCGTCGCCTCTGAGCCTGTTTCCAGAAAAAGTGGCACTGTCTGACTGCTGTTGCTCCTCATGATCAAACAGATACCGTTCCTCATTGTCATCCTGGAGGCCTTCGCGTACAAGAATATAGCTTTAACATCTGACGGGGGTGAAGACCATCAACTCTATCGTATAGCGCGTCTGTCTTGCTGTCGAGGCACCTGCTATCGTGAACCTGCTTGGCTTCGAATTATGTCGTCGATATACGCCCTGTCAGACGGTGCCACTTCTCTGGGAACAGGCTCGCCTCCTATTTCCATTCATCGGTTCCTTTCAAAAGCCTTGGTGACCAGATATGTGCAGGTAGATGCTCTGAATCATATATATCGTCCGACAAATCATCACAATTCCGGTGCGTCCCAAGAATCTCGATCAATTTTCATGACAGCCGATTGCTTGTGCGGGAATGAAACCTCGCCTTTCTGGTAAAATCCACCGTCCTTCAGATAATTGATGAATCTGCATATCAATCAGTGACCATGTTCGTTATCTCTTCGCAGGGATCGTACTTACTTCGTGTTATCCACCCTCGGCTCCAGCATCACGGTCTCGGTCCTTGGGTCAGCTAGCCAACAATAGTGCACCAATGCAGACAGCCAGACCTTGAGTCGGTGAGAGCCGCGAAATTCGTCTTCTCCCACCAAAGCGTGTAGGCCGCGAGTGTAATTGCCGACCTCACCACCGAGAAGGCGGCCCAGCCTGTCCTCCTTGACCCAATAGACCTCAAAGTAACCGAACGGTTTGCCATCCCAGCAACCAAACACCGGGAATGAATGTCGACTTTCAAGGCCGTCAATCAAGAATTTCTTTTGCCTCTCTTTCGGTCCAGCCTCTCCCCATGCTGCATTCACACGGGGCTCATTCATCCACTTATGCAGCAGATCTAGGTCGCACGGCCTGTCTGCAAAATTCGCAAATGTCGGTAATGTGGCCACCGAGACACCTCCTGTGTGACTGGCCACGATTGTGGACATGGACCCTGTAGCGGGCAGGAAATGGGGATGAGGACAGGGTTTCTGAGAAAGTGTCGGTACTCGAAATGACAGCCACGACTCCAGGCTAGGTATATAGCGGGCATAGAATGTCTCGCCTTGCCGAGGAGGTTTCGAACGGATAGGATGGCGAATGTGGTTGGTGAATATGAATTGGGTCGGCGGCGCAGGGTAGTATGTTGGTAGATGACTTCCAGAGCTGAAAGGGCCGCCGGGTGAGGCTATCCCTGCAGAAAGACCATCCAATTGAGGAGGCAGCTCATGGTCTGAAGAGTTTTGATTTATAACAATCGTCCGATTTGGTGAGGACGGCCTCGATGGATGAGGAGATGCTTGGGGGAAGGGAGAATGCTGCTGAGGCGCCATGGTATAGAGAAAGATTCTGGCGTCAATCTGCCAAAAAGACCGTCTGCTCACGAACGTCTCGCCCCAACCAGTCGGGAGTCGGACATCGGTATCTGCGCCAACACAGGAATCTTCGCTCGAGATCAGACCCATTCGTTCGAGCTTCTGTAGGGTATTTTTGCCTTTGAAAATGCCTTCCCTTTTGATTTTGATGCGCCAATCGAGTTTTGGTCGTCCGCTTTCTGGAGTCTTTGCAGAAGCTTCTGTGAGAGCATGGGGGCTCGGAGGCTCTTTGTGAAAGTACCAGCACAAGGTTGCCCATAGAATCATGGCAATATGTCTCGTAGGTGAGGCATTATTTCGGAAATCGGAGCTCGAGGGCATAGATATCGAGGATATGAATAGTGAGTCGCTCTGGATAGTAGGTTGGGTAAAGCGGTGTACCACTGTGTGTTTCTGCACGGGTTCCTCGTCTTTAGGTTCTTTCTTCTCCGGGTTCACAGTCACCCGGCTCTTCATCCTCCCGTCTTCGTCGACCTCGTCTTCGGTCCGCAACATGACCGTCCATCCGGGAGGAATCGGGGAATGATGGAGGTCGAGATTGTTCGACTTGAAAGTAAAGCCTCCAAAGACCGGAGTCACCGTGTATATCTGCCCATTGGGCAGGTGTACCTGTTGTTGGACCATCCTTGTCTTATATCTCAGAACATTGCATGGGCAAGGGCCTTGGGAAGATATGTTGGTGGTTTGTTGGTGCGCGGTCTCGAGTCCTCCAAAGAAGTGTCGTCTTTGTGCTTGTCCTTCTAACCGTGACGCATCAGTATGAGTACGACCTTCGAGAACAACGACCAACTTACACTGCTCACGATAACATTGCAGACGAGAAGGATCGCACAACATCAAATCGTCACATATCAATGGCCCACCATATCTTCATTCGCTGTTTCGCCAGGCTCCAGATTCTTCGGTTTACCGCCCAAAAGCCCTGGTTATATCAATGTCTTCTGGGAACAAGAAAGAAAGAAGCATGCACTGTGGAATTGGTTCTCGAGCGGGAATCGACCTGCATAACCCGCCGACTGCAGTTATTAAAGTTCAGTATTACGCACGGGCTAAGCATCAAGTGGCATGAGTGGGTAAAGGTGGCCCCCCGTACTTATGCCATGTCGAGGCTGTCTCCCACAGAACCCCCGCTTGAAGCGCCGAGTAGCGATAGGCGACACAGATTGTGCGACCAGGGGCACTCTTATGCCTCAAGAACGGTAACTTCCATATAGACAGATCCAAATAACATCTAATGTCATGCTTGCACTCTTTGTCTTTCATCATAAACGACCTTGTTGTGTGAACAAGCTTGTTATATCATGATCTCGTAAACGGCACCCTGGTTCTTTGACTCAATCTGGACCTTTTCTCAGGGGCCCCGACCAATGTGTGGCTTCGGAAAAGCAACCTTCGCCTCGGATCTGCCCACAAATCTGCCCACAATGACACAATCTCTGGTGTCCAGGGAGAGTTCGTTCACCATCGCGCCAGAGCCATATTCATAAGGGGTTCGGGTTCGCAGAGAAAAACCTCGCTCAGTGCCCGTCATGCAGCGCTGGTATATTCGGCGTTTCGGGCCAACAGTAAAGGATGGTCTGCCAGCACCCCAACCAAAATGTAAGCGACTATTCGAATCAGAAATCTTCGATCGTTATGCCGATGTCTCTCTCTTTGGCAAGGCGTATAAGATCCCCAGCGACAACTAGGTCCATTAGGCCCATTCCAACACTTTTGTATATCACGTTTCCGCGAGTCAGCCACTCCAGTAAGCCAGGCTCACCGGTACCTCCTAGTTCGATCTCTTTCAATGCGGATTTTCTGATCATCACTAGAGCAAACGTTAGTTGTGTTGACCGAACAGAACGTCAGGGGCTGTTCATACGTAGCTCCCCTATTTCCACGAGGTGCTCTGGTCCCAGTTTCGCTTTGATAATCTCGCCAGCCTCTTTTAGACATGATTCCAGGCTGTCAACGACGATAACCCCTCCTTGCTTAGCATGTTTGTGGTGGTGGTGACCATGGTCAGGCTCGACAGCCAGCTTGAATACGTCCGGGTGGACTTCACACATGTGTGGTGCATATGCACCGATACAGGAGAGATATCTGCCTTTCCGCTGACCTTCCCGTGATGTCAAGAATTCCGCTGGGAACAGAGGGTCAACTGACGGAGTGCAGCAGAAAATGACATCGGCTTTCCTAACCTCCTCCTTGAGAAGCCGTCCATACTCCCCGAATTCGGGGCTCATGCACGAGAACTTGATGTCTTGTCGCCACTTGCCATGGGAGGCATCCTCGATCTGAAAGGCCTTCATCAGTTTGATAGATCTCTCGAACGACCTGTTAATAATGTTGATATGTCGAATTTCGTCGCCTTTGAAAAGCAAAGCTAGTCTGATATGCCAGTAAGCCTGCTTGCCTGCGCCGAAAACTGTTATAGTGTGGACATGCTGCCGCTTTTGGAACAACATAGTGGCCGCCAGAGCTGTGCGGAATGCCGTGAGCTCTTCAGCATTGACGATACCCATTGGATTCCCGGTCGAGTCAAGTAGTGTCACTGACCCTTTGGGTGTGGTGCTCTGAGAACTTGCAATCGACGCCGGTGGTTGGAACGAGGCTCCATCAACCGAGCCCCGGCTACCACTATCAGAGGACGACATAGTAGATGCAGGAGACAACGACAGGGTGGCCATTTCTGAAGCGGGAGAATTGACAGCGGGTGTTCCGGTGACGCTTTGGGATCTGGAGGACGATGTTGATGATTTCTTGCTGTGACTTCCCTGAGGCTCTTCTAGAGAAACGATTTTCATCCCGACGGACGTGCCTGTTGAAGCCGGCATGAATACCGTGGTGACGCCTTTCTTTTTGATGACCGTCCGTTGTGGTTGAAATGATGCGCAGCATGGTGAATTGGTGTCGCCGGTCGAGTATGAATGTAACGCTTCTGCGAGGTTCTGCTGCAACTCAACTGCGTCCTCTTTGACCAACGAGAGCAGTAGTTCGCGGACGTCTGCGTCTGTGAGCACCGTGAGGGGCATGTTGTCGTTGAGTCCTGTGTCGTGGATGATCTTTGAACAGATATCAGCTTATTCCTGAAATGGTCCTTAAAGGTTGAGCGTTGGATTCATTGGTACGCATAAAATTCTGTGGGAGAAGCGTGAAAAGTAAAGTTGTTGATGGCTACTTCTATGCGTTCCTGCCACTCAACGGTTGAATCGTTTGGCCTTGAATGTTATCGTTCCCCACTGATAAAGCGAAGAGAATACCTTGCCAAGGGGTTGAGGTCTTAGATAGAAGAAGTCTATGCTTGCGAAGTACCAATGTCATTTCAAAGTACAGGTAGTGCAACTCTGGCCCACCAATCAGCCCGCGAGGTTTGCGGTGAACAATGCTGAGTGATCTGGATAGCCTCGAGCAGGTCTGTTGCAGATTGCAGGTTGATTGTGTCATTCCATGTATCTACGAGCTTCATTTCATTGTGTCTAATAATGTACACTGCACAGCAGCTGAATGAGATCCACTGTCCCATAAAGCAACTCCGATGACAGGCGCTGAACATGGAGATAAGGCAGTAATATAGAACGTTAGGCAACATGAAGGCCTCACTTCATTTCTCCCCACATATCTTCATCGCTCCGGACCATGTCGTCCTCGCTTAAAACCTTCAGACCCTCCTTCTTCCGGTTCCTCTTCATCTCCTTCTTGGTTACAAGCGTTCGAGGAGTAACCGGCGTCATCGGTGTGAAGGGCATATATGGGCTGTAAGGAGTCTGAGGAACACCTGTTTTGGGGTGCACCCCCAAGATGCTCTCACGACGGTCCAAAAATGTAGTCTTTGTCGGAGGGGCGCTCCTTAAGGACTCATTGTAGAACTGGCGAAACGGAAGTGTGTTGGAACTGTTGGAGGCTGCAGCGCTGCGCAGGGATAACGGGGCTGGAGGGCCTTTCTTCTCGACGTCCTGCGCGGAAGTTGCAGTAGACTTCTGCCCGGGTGTGAGTGGCGGTGGTCCGGGGTTATAGAGGCGAGGAGTTACATTGCCTTGCTCGGAATATACAGAGGACTCGGTAAGAGTGGCCGACCCGATTGGCTGCGAGATAGCCTGCCCGCGAACAGAGATCTGGGCTGGGCGTCTCTTGTTTTGATCGACAGAGTCTCTCCGACCAGCAATCATGGAAAATGGGGACAGCTTGGATCGGTGACTGCCAGCTTGAGACGCTGATAGTGACGGATAATCTTCATCGGGAGTTGGCGCCAAAGGGTGAACGAGAGCTCGCGGTGAACCAGCTTCTTGATTTGAGGTTTCTGGGGCAATAGTTTGCAGTTGGTGAAATTCAGCAGGGTACCGTGGTGAGACGGGGCCACTTGGATGTGGCTGATAGTATGGTGACCTTGGGGTAGGCGGAGCTTGATATGGTGATCGAGGTGTAGAGGGAAGACCTTCATGTTGTGGTGGGAAATAGGGTGTCCTCGGAGTTGTCTGACTGCTGCTGAGGGCTTGCTGAGACCTCTGTTCATCGTGCATCATGACGGCTGCATACAGCTTTGTCATTTCGTCCATGTTCTTGACCTTGTCCGCTTCCAGTATCTTTTCGTCAATCGTCGAGACAGTCACACTCGATTGTTTGCGAGAGTGCGACCGTCCAGCGCCTGCCCATGATTTCAAACTAGCCATCTTCCCAGGGCTCCGCAGTGGAGGTTCGACAGCCGCATTGTGGTGGTTGACCAGTGGTGCCGGTTTCAAGATCTCCATGCTTAGGGCAAAATTGGATGTCTGATGCTTCCGCCGCAGTCGTTTACCGACAAAAAGGAGTAGGACAAGGAGAAGGAGCAACCAGAAGACGTAGGCTCCGACGATACCGGCAATCTCGTACTTGAGTTTAGATCTGTCTCTCAAAGCTCCAGCTGAGAGAGGAGGACCTTCGTCTGGGGGCGGTGCTGGACTGTTGTCGATCTGGACAGTCCAAATACTATGGGGTGCAGCTTTTGCTGGTCCTGGTACAGAAGCAAAAATGAAGATGCAGATGACGGACACTGAGGAAAAGCACCTCATCTTTGTAAGAAGATCAACTCCCCAGCATATTTCCAATCCCTACGGCCTGAAACTGACAACCCCTGGCCGAGAAGAATGTGAAGCAGCTTGTTGCACGCAAAGAGCGCTCCCGGGCGGTAGATGTATCTCGCCATGATCGCTGAAGGGCTGGAATGGAAGCGCTGATGTTGGTGATTGGCAGAGGTTATTGCGTGAACAACGAAGAGATGGACTGCATGAAGCACGCTGCAGGACGAATCAAGGAGGAGAGCGGGGATAGAGGTGCGAGGTGGAACCTGCATTACTCCGAATCCCCTGCGACCGCCCAGATCCTTTAGCTGGAAGCTTAACTGTATTCGTTCATGGCTCCCATCACAACGCCATTCACAGGCCATTCTTAAGCGCCCGGAATATCCAGCACTGTGTTTCTCGAACCCAATTGCACCCACCAATATCACACTGGACATTCGACGGACCATCGCTGTCCCTGTTTTCTGCTGATTGATAAGTCCGTCAAGGAGATATGTATGCGGGTCTGCTCGAGTTCCGGCCTCTTGGATGCTTTGTTCGTTCGCAGAAGCCCACCCATGCTATGCCTTGGAGCCTTCCACATCAGCCTTTGGCCTTGCTGACCCGGCACTGGTGCTCCCGCATCGACTGCTTGTCCATAGCTGCACGGCCCGTAGCCTTCTCGAATCGAACCGAGATGTATGTCACACCATTAGGGGTCGGAGACTTCGCAGGACATATGTGACTGGTTGGGCAGGTCCCAGAAGATCCCTTTGGCTGCACCCGTTGACGCTCTCTCTCACCACTGCTGAGTGAGTCACATATCGACTTTCCAGCACTTCGGGATCAGTGATAGAGAGTGACTGCTGGATGGCAGCACACCAACTTTTGCGATTATTCCGCTTGCCATGCATGCATCGTGATATCGCAAAGCCATATCACATGTGTAGGACAATCGTGTTCAACCTCCTGGATAGTTCGTTATCGTTCACCTCCAGCTTCCAGGACCTGTCGTCGCCCAACCAAGGCCAGCAAATCCGCTGCCTCTACCGAGTGAACTCCCAGAACCTCCAGAATTGACAGCCTTCCGTTTGCCTTTGGTACCTTCGCTGAGCCTGACTCCGTCCACAATCTTGTCCAGGCTCGTCTCCACCACGACACCACCGAGGACCATTTCGCTCAACACAGCATGTAGTGTCTCGAAGCCGAAGATAAGGTCTAGTTCGCACACATTTTCGAAAAGTCTATCGAGTGCTTCGACAAAGACTTGAATGAAGTCAAGTAAAGCAAGCGGGGATTCTGTAGAGGTCGAGATCAATATGAAGTATAAGGTTGCGAAATGCCGATATGTGATTTGTGTAGGTGCATCAGGCGACGTACTGCTGCCGGTAGGAGCCAGCAAAGGAGGCAAAGGCAGGAAATTGCAGGCAGATGCAGGCCGAGCAGATACTAGGGTGAAGATCTGTGAGAGTAATGACTGCTGCGTTGCGGTATCCTGTGGCAGCAGATCAGCGACCACATCGAGTATGATCGGGCTCATCTTACCAGTTGAGAGTAGAATTTGGTCAACCTGGGCTGGCCATTGTTGTTGAAGACAAGAATAGCGTTGAGCATCGCGACAAGGTGTCTAGGAGATGCTGGTGTATGTATGTTCCATGAACTGTGGCGGCCACCTTGACCAACGGCACAGCTGTCGAATTCGAGTAATGAAAGGTCGCAGCCCACTGTGCCGCAATTGGCGATGCGGCACGCATAAAAAGTAGGTACAGCCGCCGACGCCACAATGCGTCCGCAGATCTACAGTGTACGGCGTGTTACGCTTAAGGTATCATGCGCTAATATCCCGTACTCCAAACATTTTTCCTCATTCACCAGAATCAGTGCCTATACAAGTTCATTGCAATCTTCCAATCCTCCAATCTAACCTATTTCCCTCTGCATCGCTCCCCTGGCCATTGATGCAGGAGTACACCTGCTTTCCTTGCCGACAGATCTTTCGATCCCGTCTTCGAGAAAGGCTGGTCCATCTCCAGAATGGCCGGCGCAGGTTTTATGCGTCTTCCTCTCTGTCGAACGGAAAACCACGATATGCCGAGTCGTGGTATTGGGAGACAAAGCCTCCTACACATCAAGAGCTAGCTGCCGCTTCACACTTTTTCAAGCACCATCTCCCATTTCGTCAATGGACGGGCGATACTTGGCGACACAAAGAGAATCAAACCGAAGACCTCTTGGTCCCTGAAGTCATTCTCCTCGGTCGATCCAATGTCGGCAAATCGTCCATTATCAATGCGCTCACCAGTCAAGACCTCAATCGCGTGAGTGCCACTCCAGGAGCGACACAGGTCATGGCAGCTTGGACGTTGGCAGCCAAATATCGAGATGGTGGTGCGGTCCCAGGGTGGGATGGAGACGTTTCTGCCAAAATATCACTTGTCGATATGCCAGGATACGGCTTCGGTAGTCATGCCGATTGGAGCAAGTCTATCATGGGCTATTTGGTCGAAAGAAGGAACATCCGCAGAGCTTTTGTGCTTCTAGACTCCGTCCATGGAGCGACTGGGGCTGACCGCCATATGATTGAGGTTCTACGGGGGCTGGCGATCCCATATCAGATCGTTGCCACCAAATGTGATCGCCTAGTCGCCTATAAAGGATCTCAAGACGAAGTCCGTTCCGCACTGACGACTTTGAGAGCACAGGCGCAATTGGAAACCCATTATGAGTTGGGTTTGGGCGAAATCATAAGTGTTGGATCTATGCAAGTTGCATCGAAAGGCCAGAGGGCGTCGAAGGAGCCCACAACGCCGTTCGGGTTGCAGAATCTTCAATGGGCGGTGCTCAGGGCTGCAGGCCTCGATACTTACGCGGTAGACAAGGCATCGGCGCATGGGGTCTTGAAAAACGTAACTGCAAACGAGCAACCAACCCTACACATTGAAGGTCCAACACGATCTGACACTTCTGTGGTCGTTGAAAGTACAGTCAAAGAAGCAGCTGACAAAGGCGACAACCCCTCCGACCCATTACTCTTGGATCTTTCCATCGAGGACTTCATGCGCGAGATTCTCAACTCGTCCACTCCACCATCATCAGCCTCAACGGCCAAGATAAGCAGCCCCAGAACCCCTCGGTCCGCAGCCAAAGTCTACAGCGGCGTCATGAACAATTTCCTGGCATTACCTAACGATCACGTCGCTCCGATCCCAAACAAAGCCACGGAAGATGACCGGACTCGGGCGCAGACTGCGATAGATGCAGCCCTCCAATATGCTCAGAAGGAGCTCCTTGATGACCCCATGAGACTCTGGGACGAGCCAAAACCGACGAAAACGAACGCAGCATCGAAGGAAGGTCTCCCGATTATACCCGAGATCTCGAAGAAAGCAGATAGTCTGAATTTGCGCAGGGAGCGCGAGCGCCAACATGTCAGCCGACAACCGCCCACTGCTGCAAGTAGACCTACCGTGAAGCGGATCACGCCAGATATGGACGCTCCTGTGACCAAGACCAGGCCAGGACCCTGGCAGCAAACCACGCAAGCACCCACTCGAGCCACACAGAAAGGTGTCACTCACGGTATAGACGCTTTCGAAGCGCTTTTCGAAGAAGAGCCAAAAGGCAGGACACAACGAAACACCGGAAAAAGCGGAAGAGGGCAACCGCGGGCTACGTCTCAGTCCAAGTCGCGTTCCCAGCCTAAAGCGCCTAGTGCCCAGCCTGCCTTTGCTGGCAAGGGAGTGGTTCAAGGCATGGATGCTTTCGAATCGATGTTTGACGAAGGGAATTCAAGCTCGTCTTCCGGCAAAAGGAGGCGTCGATGATGAGACGGGCAACCGAGTGGTGCCTGTTGAGTGTTATAAAATTCGCCTCACACGGCATTCCCTCAAGACTTATCATATCAGCTGTTGTATATTCTGGATCTATCTGTCATAGCACGCAGACTTGTACCAATATGTATCAACAATCCCAAAATGACCACGTATGTGAAGCAGCAGTGTCATGGCGTGAGCGTGAATATGCAATGCGTGACTAAGCCGTTATTCAGGAAATTCTTGTAAGCACAATCTCACAACCTCATGATAACCACACTTTCCCTATTCCACGGCCATAGCTCCTGCTGACAACATGGCGGTATTGGAGGCGGTTTTTGGGGCGACTGTTGCTGTTGCTTTTACTCTCGCCAACAACCACTCCCTGGCAAAATCCTCACTCCGCAACGGTCCCGTCAATCCAAATGCCCTATCCATGGTATATGCATCGTGACCTTCATTCGGGAACTCAACATATTCAAGGTTGGGATTGTGCACCTGATTGTCATCAGTCAGCTTCGCTCATTACTGCTACACAGGTTCGACGTACCTTCACATGATCAGCAAATTCACGGATCCCATCCACAAGCACTTCATTCGCGCCTGCCGTAATGGCAATATCCTTGTCATTGACTTTGAGGTCCTTCCACCACTCGGCTGGTGCATCCTTTGGCGTGTTGTAATTGTCCGGAAGATTCTTCCCTGCACCCATGAAGTTTCTCGACCAAGCCGCCAAAGCGCGGATACTCAATGCATCCTTCTTGATATTTCTTTTGAAAGAATCGCTGGTCGTAACAAAGCTCACCCACGGAGAATAGAAGAACGCGCCGCCAAGGTCCCCTGACAGTGATACTTCTGGCAAAGATGCATGTGGATGGGAGAGATGTCCGAGGAGACCGGCCGTCAGGTTTCCTCCGGCCGAGTCACCAGCTATCAAGATCTGTTCATATGGTCAGCCATTCGAGGACACGCATGGGCCTGGTAAAGGCCTCACCTGCGAGGGCTGGACACCTGCATCCAGCAAATACTTCAGCGCAGCGACAGCTTGCTTGAGCTGCAAAGGGTAAATGCCATGAGGAGCCAGTTCTAACCACCAGAAAATCAGCCCATCCCCAGCCTTTCCGGCTCCGAGAGCATCAATCACATACCATATTCCAACACCATGGCGCGCAGGTCCGAGCCATTCTCCTTGGCCTTGTTTACCACGCTGAGTAGGAGGTCAAAGTGCGCAGGCGTGGCACCAAGATTGTATCCTCCACCTGAACCGAGGTCAGCTTGCTGTCCCTGGGGTATCCGCCCGGGAACACAATCATACCATGAAAATACAATATCGTGTTGCGTGCAGATGCTGGCCCCACAAATAATCCACGTCCACCCTCGTCCAAATCGACGGTCGAAGGCTCGATCTTGTGCTTCTTGCACCAGCTCAGATACGCCTCGCCGGTTGTCTCGCCGATGGCTCTTTGATTCACTTGTCAGTTTGGGAGCCCCCAAGAAATCGGGGTCCATACTGAGTCTGAGGCACTGTCACGAGCTCGAAGATCTGCCGAACTGCCGCGTATACCACATGCTTTCCGTACTCCGGGGGATATGCGTCGCCTCGAGCCCATCCTGTTGATGCAGCCCAGGTCAGAGACGCCACTATTTGTGACAATCAGTGTCAGCCATTTCATCTGTGGAGAGGGCAACGTCAAGCTCTCAAGCAGCTGTCAAACTAGTCCAGTTGAGGTGACTGACAGAATACAGGACTACTTACGCCCCCTGGAAACTGCATAGAGCAGATTAAGGTAATCCGAAGTATATAGCTGAGGTTTCTTCATCGTTATGAAAGCTCCTCGTAGAGCAAAAAGTATTCAAACAACAAATCTACACTGGAAGGATACAGGTAATGCTGTATCTTAGGCTCTGAGGAAGGTTTGTTTGAAGCAGGTTTGAACCCAATTTGGCTTCTATCGTCACTACCGCATGCTTCGGGTCGACCTGGAGGTAGCTCGTATTCCTCGAGTCCCGGGTATCGTTTGCCGCCAACTGGGGCTCTGCACGTTTCCCCCGGATTTGTCAGGGGTTCCCCAAAACGACCCATCAGGACTAATCAAGCATACCTACCTACCTCTAGTATCAGATTTCTTGAACCACCTGGGCATGGCACGACTGCCTCAAGAGCAAAGAAGCAAGCGCTCCAGCGAGATTACGCGTCCGCTCAATGCACGGTACCTAAACAAGCCAGCCATAGCACTGTACGAAAGCTACGGCAGTTGCAGCCTGGTGCTCTCCCGTCTACCAGCATGATGCCTAAGTTGAGGAAGCACTGATTACTCGGTTGTCACTATCTTTGGAGGATCCATGCATACAGTACCTCAATGGTCCCAATGCGGAACAAGATACAGCTCTCGAATCACAAACATGAGTACTACGTATCGCACTCTGCACACCGGCAAAAAGAGCTTCATTCTGCGCCGAGCAGCTACCAACACTGGCTCGGTCTCTTATCTCAATCTGACACGAAACAAAAGTTTGGCTGAACGCTAGAAACATCTAACTACCCGACCATAGTGCATGACTTTGCTTTCCGCCGTCTCTCATGATAAGTCGAAGCCCGCCCCAGCATTGACAGCATACAACAATTTCTCCCTCATAGTCCTGAGGTCCCCATACCGCGGCAACTTGAGCAAATTGACGCAAGTGCTCGTACTCGGCAGTCGTTCCTGATCATCGCTCGAATCGCGAATACTGAACTTCGGATTCAAATGGCTAAACCCCAACAATGGCGCGCGCGGCGTGCTGGTGACGAACTTGAGCACTTTCCTTCGATCCCCCTCGTCCATCTCCTGAAGTGCTTTCCAAAATAGCTGCACAGTAGGATGTTCGAGACCGTCATCGCCAATCGAATAAACACCACCATATTGAGTATTGCGCCGCAAGTCAGCGATATCAAGTTCCGTGCTGTCACCACCGACCAGTTTCTGCAACTCCTTCTGGTTGAACATGGCAAGCCACATTGGCTGGACGATCTGACCCAGACCCTTCAAAAAGGCATCCGTGACGGCCTTCGGTTGCTGTTGCAACTTGTACCTGACGACGCGGTCAATGTAAAGCAGACGATTCGTGTTCGTGACCGGCGTCTTCGAGCCATTCGGTATGAGATCCGTGGTGATAGTCCGGGTAACTTCCTTCCCATACTGGTCCATAGTCGTCAAAGTATCTGTGACAGTGAAGTCGAGCGCAAAATCTGTCTCGACATCACCAGGATAGTTCTTCAATTTCAGCAAGCCCTGGTACAGCTCTTCATCGTACTCCCTCACATCGTTGATCGTCGCACGATACGCACTCTCATTCGATCCGACTGTGGTGCCGCCCGTCAAAGCCCATTTCAACAGGAAGAAACCTGCGAAATTGACGTCAATCAGAATTCCTTCGTACAAACACTTTCCCACGACACGACCGAGAAACTGGAACCGACGCAGAAGTTCGGTCATCGATTTGTCGGACCCTTCGGTTCCGGCCTTGAGTCCATTACGTCTCAGGTACTCCGCCGTTTCCTGGTAGATCAATGGACTGGGATAGAGGTAGCGCTGGGCGTTCTCCACGAACATATGCAAATCAGCGTCGGGATCGAAAGCTTCGCTGGTGACACTCATGAGGAATTCCTTGGTGACACCACCGCCATCAATGCCAGCTTCCGGAGAACCAAACTTATCGATGAACGTGATCTGAATCGGTTCTTTTAAACTTTCACCAAGCTCGTAAAAAGCGCCGTAAGCATCTTCAAAGACACTCTCGCGGTGGATCTCGGCATGATGTCGACTGATGATGTCTAGGCCTCGTGGTCGTCCATCTAGTCCACGTCCTTGTGTGGTAGTAGCGACCGACATCCTCCATTGATCGGGATCAATCGCCCCATCTCGTCTCCTCATCTGGTCGAGACGAATGAATTCGCGGAAGATTTGCACTCGTGTTTCGAAAGGGATGAAGAATGGCAGATTGCGCAGGATCTCAAGGCGTGGCGCCAAAGACTCAAGCTGTCTCTTCTTCCTCGCCTGCTGGCGTTGTCGCTCGATGTGTTCAACTTGCCGTGACGCCCTAGATCGGGGCATATGCGGCTGGCGGATGCCGAACATGGAGCTCAACAGAGCATCAGACGGGCCGGGAAGTGCCCCTATATCCAGTTCAGTAGTTTTGTCAGCGTCTTCATCCTCTTCCTCTGCGTCCTGACCACCGCCAAGTTCATGTCTTTTCTCTTCCTCCGCAGCAACTGCGGGTATGAAGCCAGACATGTTGATCTGATCGCTCATGAGCCAGTGATTGGCGGGTACGAATAACCGTCTCGAGTCTCTTTCGTGAAGCATTCGTAGAAGCCCGGTAACTAGACCTTTCAAGTAGCCTTGAGAAACGCCATTACCTGTCAATGTCTGCTGTTTCTTCTCGGTTGGCCTCGTCGATGGTTGACCTGAGCTGCCGAAGAGAGCAGACAAATTAGCCTCTTCCTCGGCTTCATTGCTCTCCACGAGATCTGCCGCATTCCAGTAAAGAGTGAATGCGAGGTTCTTCAAAAAGGTCGTCATAACCCCGACATCTTCCAAGGGTAATGCGCCCCTTCGCGAGACAGTGCTGGTTGTGGTGTCCCCAGTAAAGCCAAATGACTTTGTCTTTTCATAGGCGAAAAAGTCGTCGTCGTCCATAAACTTCAAGACAAACGTGTAAAGTTCCAGAAAGAGCAGAATTATACGCCACTCGTCTCTCCAACGTGAGACTTCTGTCCTAGAGACTGGGGATTGGCCGATCTGGTTGCTCTCTGGTGCTGCTTCTCTCAACAAAGATAACAGGGTCTTGTAGTTCTGACTGGACTTTTTGAAGACACCAGTCGTCCGCGCTGTGCTCCAGAAATACTGGATGGTCGACATGTCCGTGTCTCCTATCGATCGGACTGAGCCTTGATACAAGTACATCCGGATGTTCTGCGCTCTAGAAGGGAACGCCCGTAACAAAGCGACAGCAAAGTTGGCCAGACGCTTCGCAGAGTTGAATTCCGATCTCTCCCCGTTCGTCCTAGTGGTCTTGTCTGCGCCCATCTCATTCAATACGTTGCGAACGTTGTCCTGTTCCGGTAATCGAAGAATCATCTCTCGCACAAACGAGGGCAATGGTTCCGCGCCTGTTTCGGAGTCACCATACATAGGCTGATCTGCAACATCCAGCCTTGCTGCGACCTCGTTTGCACACTGGCCGAGAAGTGCTGATACGGCTTCGATATATGTGGTCGGACCAGCGAAACCTTTATGCAGGCAATCGTGCATGTATATGACATGAGCCAATTGCCATAACAACTGGGTGGTGTCAACTCCATCCTTGGCGTCTCCCTTTAGATTTTCCACCTCTGAAGCTACGGCACTCGACAAGTCGTCCAAGTTCAGTGCTGTTGCAAGATGCTCTAGTACACCTCTGTCGCCTTGAAATGAGTCCCGGCTGAGTATTCTGGTGGCAAAGGAGATGTAAGCCGACTGCTTGTGGGTTTGAGAGGACGTGAGGATGGCCACTATTGCCTGGATCGTGGGTTCTTGCCACGAACCACCTCCTTGCGTGCTTAGGACTCTCTCCATCGCGTCAAAAAGGATTGCCGGATTGTGCGTAACCTCATCTGGCACCACCTTGCAGAGAAGGGTAATCATCTGTAACAGGCGGGCCCCCTGCGAGGTCCTGAGCGGCGTTGCCTCATGTCGTACCACACTTTGGAGGTGGCGGGCGACAACCACACCAAGCCTCCAAATGGCATGCCGCCATATGGAATCGAGATCAGTAAGTGGTAAGGCCGAGACGGTGTGCCGGAGAGCCTCGCCCAAATAGACTAATCTGATAGTGTCCAACTCTTCCCTGACACTGTCCCTTCTGAACTCCTGATAGCGTAGGAGTAGACGGAGTTGAAAAAGCAGCTGTGCAGGATCTTGATAAGGTGGGATGTTGTCGGCCGTCTCAAGAAGTGCTTCGTAATCCGGGCGTCCAGAAGATCCTAATCTCTCCGCTTCGTTTTCATCCCATCTCTGTCTCCAGAATGCCTTCTGCTGCCGTCGGCTTGCATGACCTCGCCATACTTTCTGTAGCCTTCTTGTAGCGTTCAATCTGTCTCTTTCCTGCTGCCGTTTGGCCCGATCTGCCTGGGCCTGGGTAACAGTCGATGAGGCATTACTTGGTCCAGGCTTTGAGAGCGCAGCCCACGGATTTGAAATGTTCTTTCCGGAGAGGTTGACCTGGCGCGCTTTCCGGGCACTGCCCGTGAAAGACTGATGCATGGCTTAAAGTGTGGCGGGTGAAAGTACGCAAGGCGTCTCGAGTTGGGGGATGGGGTCAGTAGAGTCAGATACTGTTGTTACCAGACTACCAGTGGGGTAAGGAGAGTCAACATGGCCGTTGACAAGATCATCAAGCGAAAGGTGTGTAAACAGTATCATCACAAGGTTAGTGCCATAAGTTCCTCATAGCAGGTGCAGGGAGGCAAAGTAATGGTACTGAAACTGATGGAAGCCATGTGAAATGACGCTACTTTCATTCCGCAAGGCTGACCAACGCATCTTCAACCTGCGGAGATCGACTTCACTCTCCGCTCATATAAATAATCATGCCCCTCGCGGAAACTACTCGACGAGCTCCGCGGGACAAAGGTCTCTAAACGCTTCTCGGCGCCGGCCAACCTCGCACACCATGTCCAGCGACATCCTCACGCAATTGCAAACATGCTATGACCAACTTCTCACCCAATTCTTCTCGACAATAAGTTATCTTTCGCAACGACACCCATTGATCGCACCTGAACCAGACCCAGACGATCCTTATACACACCCTCCAGCCGCGCCCACACAGACCCCAAACCCAGACGGATCTATACCCACTACAGCTGGCACCGTGCCAGGCCCTGAAGACTCTGACCGCGCCCCATATCCGTTACGGCCAGCGGCGCCGCAAGTATTTGCCAATGCACAGCGCGAACTTGCGGAGGATCTTGTCCAGAAGGCACAACAGATTGAGTTCCTGATCTCGAAGTTACCCGGAATTGACAGGGGTGAGGAGCAGCAAGCCGAGGAGATCAAAGTCCTGGTACAGAAGGTGCGAGACATGGAAGAGCGGCGGAAAGCAAAACGAAAGGAGATGAGAGAGTGCGTGAAGCGTCTGGATCAGGTCATCCTGGGTATGGCAGAGAGTATTGAGTATAGTGCTACCAACGGACATGGGCAGAGCAATGGAACATGAAGAGACGGGCTGGGAACATTACTCTTACAAGACCTTGTGGTCGAAGTCCGGACGGCAGCATGATGCTGTTTTCAAAGGAAATATCATTGGAAGGAAAGAAATCCAGAAGTTCAAAGTCTATGGGTCATAGCTTGCCACACCTCCGCAACGCTCACTCGCTCGCTCGAAAAGGGAAACGACCAGAGGCTCGAGTGTCCAGGGAGACTGGGGTCAACGCAATCGCGCCGGCCAGATGAGGGTGCGCTTCAATCGGCTGGGTCATGCCCAGCGTTTGTGCAACACTCAACCTCTATACCATCATACTCCTCCGCCGGCTGGCGGCCCTGTCCGTGCTCGACGTCGCGCTAGCAGTCGTGGTCGCGGCGACAGTTGAGCCGGGCGCATTTGCATCACTCTCTCCTCCTCCTAGGTTGATGCTGACGCTGCTTGGGGGCCTCAGACCTTTGCTCCTACCAGAGCCAGGATCCTGCCTCAAGCTCGCCGCAGAGTTCGGCCGTGGGGGATGTGCTCCAGTCCTCAGATTCGGATGCGATGTGTTCGCCAGTGACTGGGTCTGGGCGGTGGAAGAGGAGGATGAAGGCTGTACTGAGTGCCTCCTTGTTGGTGGCACAGCTGTACTTCGGCGCCTGGAAGTAGTAGTCGCAGGTGGTTCATTTTCTTTATCTTCGTCAATGGGTGAAGATGCTGGCGGATCGAATATACTCAATCGGTCAACAGACCTTTCCAGCTCGTCACTGTCTTGCTTTCCGTCTTGGTTTCGGTCATTTCTGACCACGATTTTTCCTCGATCTTTCTCCTTTCGTTCTTTGTCTCTTAGAGGGCTTGTCGGTTCTTCTTTCTTGTCTCGGGAAAGGGGTAATTCCTTCCATTTGCCTCCGCTTGGCTGCTTTTCCTGCTTCATCTTCAGGATGCTTCCTTGACTTTCAGCTGGAATCGCGCCTTCCGATCCTTCCCTCTCCGTACCCCCCGCAATTGAAACCGCAGTGGTCTCTTTGTTCTTGTCTAATCCCTCAACTGCTCCGACCAGCTCCTTGGTTGGCCTTCTCATCTTATCTCGCAGGTTGGGCAATGCATAACTGACTGCTGGCCTTGCGCGGCGAGAACCTCGGCCAATGCTTCCGTTCAGAACATCTTCAACTGAGTTGGTTATCGCAGCCTCTCTCGCGTGGTGAGTTATGCGAACCGAAGGCTCGGTCGAGGTGGGAGACAAAATGTCTGGATCCTGTGGTGCTGGAGTCTTGGGAGGTAAGTTTTTCGAGTCAGGTCGTCCTTCAGACTCCAGAACAATGTCGTGAACTTCAGGCGGTATTTGGATGTGAGACCTCTTAGCCTGTTTGCTGGTGGCTGATGTTGGTCGCTCCTCGCCATCATCTTTCGAAGAAGACAGTTTGTCCGCCACCCTGACCTTCCGCTTGGCCGGCGAGTTCGTACTCTTTGGTGCCAGGATCTTTCTGTCCGCTCCTGCAGACTTCTGCGGAGATTGCAGACTCTTTTCGCCTGTCTTCTCCTCGTTCTCACGACCAGGTGGTCTTGTGAATCTGGATGCTTTCTTGAGAGCGGCTGGGTTGCTCCAAATGTCTTGTTTGCGCTGGAAAACAAAGTCATCGATGTCGCTGGGTTGCTGGGGCACACGTTCTTCCAATTCAGTCAGATCCAATTTTCGTTTGGCGCCAGACTTCAACAGCTGTTGAGCAGACTTCTCCGGATCTGAATGCTCCTCAAGCGGCATGTCCTGCAGTAAGGCGCTTGTCCGTCGTTTCCGTCTCTTCTCCAGCATCGGAGGCTGTTGCGCCACATCTTCATCGTTCTTGTTTTCGCTTGTTGTAGTGTCGAAAGCAACAACGTCACCGACATCGAAATGCGCCACGGGCGGAGGACCTAAATCTGGTGATTCGGAAGCTTGCTGCAAAGCCTTCTCGTTTCTCAATGCCATGACCTCGGCAGATTCTAATGTTCGTCGCGGATAGAGCTTGTCCTCTGAAATGGGAGGTAACCTGCCGTCCAGCATGTCCCTCTCTACAGCTGCTGCTTCTCGCATTGACTGTCGACTTCTCCATTCCTGCTCAGCCAGGCTTTGCGAGGTAGATATACGACTCTTCCTTCTCCCAGTCTTCGCTGCTCTTTCAGGGATCTGACCCATTTCCACAAGCAACAATGACATCTCGTTGACCTTCGACACAAGTCGTTCCTTCATATCCAGGACTTCTCTTCCCATACCATTCGCATTCCGCCACCTCTCGGCTTCGACATGAGCGGCAATTGCTTGTTCTCTGAGGGAGACATTCTCGGCGACTAATCGAGCACACTCGGCTTCGAGGTTGCGTATTCGTTGTGATTGTGTCGAGTTCACTCTTGCTATCTCGCGATTCTGGCGGATAAAGCGTCGTTTCACTATGTCCCCAGCTTATCAGTACGTGAGATTCCTCTTTTAACACTGATGCCTTCAGAGACTGGAAACATACAAGCATCGATATTCTCAGTTGGTGGGGGAGGAACTTCGTTCAGTTTCGCCATGTCTCGTGCCAGCACCAGTATGTCTCCGTCGGACAGGCATACCAGAAAGTCGAGATTCGTCGAACTATAGCAATGATTTGGGCAAGGTCTTTTTTACCGATACCTCGTTGCAAATATGTTATCAAGCGGCCTCGACCACATTATTCACTGCAGATTGTGTATTTACATTATACGGATTCGGAATAGCGTCGACTCTAGAGCCCGCCAATCAACGCGTCTCTTCAATGCGGCCGCAATTCAAGTCCGCGCTTCGTCGCATGTGCAATACTGAACATCCCCTCATCTACGTGCAGTCCATACGACTTTGAAAATGATTGTATCGTGAACGGACTCAATTACACTACGAGCACCGACTGAGCCAGCGATATCATTCACGACCTAGCGCCGACAATGTCCTACGCTCCGCGCCCAACGAACATCCACCCCCACCCCTCAAATTCAAGTCTAACGAACCACACATCGACGTCGATACCTTCCCTCCGCCAGCCTAGTCAATCACTCCTCCAAACACGGATCAACGCAAAGCGTGCAGAACTCGACAATCTACGCCAATTGCGCGATCTCAGCGCAAACCTGGCGAACCAATTGTCAACTCTAGAAGCGAAACTGACAACCCTAAGAGACGGTACTCAGAGCGTGGCTTTGGTCCTAGCAAACTGGGACAATGTCCTGAGGGCCATAAGTATGGCTGCGAGTATGTATCACCACTCGATCCCCTTCCGCTTCGTCTCCTGGCACATGCTAGCCCGACAGAGATGAGACGAGGATAAGCTAACAAGAACGCTGCAGTGAAAGTTCCAAGACCGTCAGCGCAAGACCAGGACGATGCAGAAACACACCCCGAGACAGGAGATGAGGATGACAACACAGAAACGAAGACGAAAAGACAAGGAGAAGGACATGTACAACCACGAACGACGCAGACCCTACCAGTCCCGCTGGTTAGGATACCTGTGCAGCCTAAGGGGGAAGGCGGTGGATGATCAACCAAAAAGGTGGGAGAGTATTGTCCGGTCAATCTCATAGAGCGAATGACGGGCGATATCGCCTTACGCAGCATCTTCGGGAAGGCTAGGCCTCACCACCCTCAATTCAATCGGCGTCTCGATCTCAAACATCGAGTCAGACCTGTTTCGGAACATTCACGTTTGGGAACCTCAATCACCGCCTGAAGTAATGCATGAAACATCATTACCACCTTTCAACTTTATCGCCTGCGCTAGGTGAATCTATGCTGCGCCGCGAAAGCGGAGGGTGAGACCGAAGTGACCGCTCAAATCGATCCAGTCGACTCTTTAGAGGACCTGCGGAAACATTTGAACGAGGTTTTTCTCCGTGAAGCAGAACACCCACGGAACCGGTCTTTCGCCCGTCCGGCAGGCTTGAGAAACAGCTGATACACATCATGAAGCAAAATGTTTCGAAGAGAATGTACGAAACCACGGGATGACACCATGGCGAATGCACTTCACGCTGACGCTGCAGCAGTGAATTGCAACTTTCTTCGACCCTATATAAAGGCACGGTTCTCCCGTCATTTCGGTCAGATGAGGATGAGTCACACGGTGCCGCGCGCCTTGTCAAGATTCTTGTCCGCGAACGTTACGACTCTGCTGCCGGACTTCGTCTAGTCCACCTCCTGTACATCAAACGCATGTTGCGGGACAAGACTTCAACAGACGACGACGGTTTCGAAACCGTCCGTCGGGTCAAAGAAGCTTCTATGGTCCCTTTTGGTCGATTCGAAACCGCATATGCAGAAACCCCTGGCCTGCCCACGGCACCTTCACACAAAGTGTACTCATCGGAAAACTTCCTACAGAGTGGCCTATTTACTGCCATCGGCTTCCGCCGCAGAACGGCGGTATCATCAAGGTGCAGCCACCACACGGAGAATACTTACAGCCTTACATACGCGTAAACACTTCAGGGTGATATGCCACTGGTCCGCCGATGAGGACCACACCTACAGTCATTGAAACAACTTGGTTACTCACAAATCACATGATGGCAAGATGGAAGCAAACCTTCCAGTGACAGAAAGGACGGGAATCAGCATGTACCAGCCAGTGCAGCATGGAACAGGCTGTGTGATTCCAGGGCGACATACCGACCGAATCGAGGAGATGTTTATATTAGCGGTCGCATCGATAACATTGCTATATTGGAAACGATCCGCTTAACAAGGTGTTGAAGCTAATAGGGGGAGTTACAGAGTCCTGCAGAAGTACAGTAACAACATTTCGATGTTCTCAGAGACGGATAGATTAGCTATAAAGACCTCTAAGAAGACGAATGTTGAGACCGCAAGTGTTTTTTGTTGCGGATTGTTAGGACACGGGGCCAAATTCAAGTATTACCGAGGTTGAACCGGTAATAAACATGTTTTGACAACAAGATAGGCGTCATTTACTACGGCAGAGCATACGGCAGAGCACGCCAGTGCCAACGTTGATTGTTTTAGGCATGCCTACTGGGGGGCCCGTCACACCCAACGCGATATCTAAATAATTTTGTGCGGGGGTAGTCGTTACGCCTAACGGACTCCCGATATACCGCGTTACTTGCTAATACTCGAGAAGTTGGGGAAGCATAATGACTAACTTTGGAATGTGATATCAGGACTCATACAACACTCAGGTGTAACATCCACATACAAAACCAATCCCTGATCCAAAAGCAACACCGGCGCTGTAAAAACTTTTGTAAACATCAATACCCGATGCCAAAGCCAGTCAAGCAGAATTCACGGCTTCCTTCGGACCTTGGGCACTACCTGCCACTTTCGCAGCATTTTGCAGAGCAAGTCTCTTCTTCTGTTTCTCCGCCCACTCGCGACTTGCCTGTCGTCCACGCTCAGCAGCCTCAGCCCTCGCCTTGCGCGCAGCATCTTCTTTTTCCTTTCTATCCTTCTCCAATTTCTCCATTTCAACCTTGTTCCGGGCAAACACTTCCCTGCCTCTAGCCTTCTGCTGCTCCACGTCTTCCTTAGTGACCGATAGCTTTTGACCCGCCGTCAATTGCAACGAGGATACTCGAGGTTTGGCCACCGCCGCGACACTCGTGACGCGGCGCACGCTTGAGTTTGCTTTATTAGTGTCTGGTTTCGCGCTGAGCGACAACGGCCGCTGCTTGGATTCAGGTTTCTTCGTGGGCGCCACGTTCTCCTTGTTCACTCCACCGGCGTAGATGCTCAATCTAGCTTGGCTGGCTTTGTTTTCACGGGGGGCAACGCTCGGTCGGGCCCCTTTTACGGGTACAGGTCGAGCCTTGAAAATCTTGCGTTCCTTCTCAGCCTCCTCTTCACGCTTGAGTCGTTCTTCTCTTTGAGCCTTGAGTTTGGCTGAGATTGCTTCTCCTGGGAGGCTGAAAGTCGGCCTCGTCGGTGCCTTGACAGATTTGGCGACGATGAAGGCGGGTCTGTTGGTTGACAGGGTAGCGCTGGAGACGCGTTTCTTCGTGGTGTTTGAGTGGGATGGGGCTTTTGCTGGAGAGTTGGAAAACGTCAGAGATGGTAAGGCCCAGGCCGAAGATTCTTGCGCTTTGAGGCCATCAATGATAGGTTTCTTGGTGATGATGGGTGCTTTTGAGGTGTGTTTGACTATTTGGGCGTTGCGGACGACGGTGGAGGCTCGAGGCGCCGGGGCAGGCTTTACTGTGACTTTGGAGGCCGTCTTCGAGGAGGGTGTTCGAATGGGCTTGCCTGGTGATCGCTCTGATTTCCTCAATGTGTTTGGCGTCTTTGTTGTAGTCAGGCGTGCTGGTGTGTTTTTGCGGGACTTGATAGGAGACTCGATCTTGAGGCCGTCCAGGTCAGGAATCTTGTCAGAGAACTCTTCAATCGCATCCTCAAGTGCGTCTATCGCTTCGACAGAGTCTTCTATTCTGGGTGTTCGCGAGATAGGTTCCACATTGTAGGTCGAGGGAGACTGGGACACTTCTTCGTCAGAGTGTATCTTGCTGGGAGATCTGGATTTGATGTTCTCAAGGAAGGAGTCTTCGGTCGTGTCTGGGTTTGAGGTTGCCATCTCTGGCGCGGGGGTGTGTATGTAGGGATCGAATTTAGGTGTTTTGGGAGCGTCGTTACGAGATTGTTTAGGAGTCGAGGTCAGGCCGATGATTTGGACTTGCTCAGCTGCGGCGTTCTCGGATTCAAGTTGGGGCTGGTCGTCCCTGGTTCCTGCCTCAACCAGGGCAGTCTCCTGTGTTTGATGGGTGTTGCCCTGTGAATCTTTATATACTGCCTGCGATTGTTCTTCGTGTTCCCGTCGATTGGGTTTCTGCTCAGAGTTGTTGTTCGTGGTGGGCTCTTCCTCCTTCTTATTCGTTGTTAGCGTCACCTCCGAAGCTTCTTCAGGGCTTTGCTCGTCCTCCGCAGTTGGGTAGTTGTCGTTAGTGATGTCCTTCAAGGCTGGTCGGTCGGTCTCTATGTCTGTGCCAACATCTTCCGGAATAGTGTCTGCATTGCAGTCTTCGTGGATGAAGTTGTTTTCGTCTTGAGCCTGAGCTCGGAGGGCAGCACGTGTGATACGCATGTTATGAAGATCTGAAACATCTAAAGTTGTGGTGAACCAACAGGTTGAATGATGGTACAGTAGTTGTTTTACTTTAGGTTCAGCAAAAAATGCGGGCGACGCGTCGGGCCGGGTAAACAAGAGTCGTCGTACGGGTGACAGCCAACAAAAACGCGCGAAGATCGCCAAGAGCAGGGACAGAGGACCACTGGCACAGTGAACGACATGTCAATAATATACACAATTGGAAAGTGGCAATGCTGAACATTTGGCCTATGCTGATTTCGAATAACAAGATACCGTGATGCCTCTAGTTGAAAGAGGACTGACTACAACATTCTCAAAAGACCAAAAGCAGAAAAGCAGCAACCCTCAACCTTACTAGGTAGTAACACAATCCACTCTCAGTAACGCCATCCACTCTCAATAACGCCATCCAGTGTCAGTAACGCCGTCCGAAGGTTGCGCTGAAGATTAACACATTCTCTCCACGGCAATGTCCGTTGTTGAAAGGACCGCTCGATGCTGCCTGCAAAACATGGTCGGACTCCTGGAGGTAGTTTGGCCGAACGTGGCTTTACATGCCTAAGGTTGACCGACCGGCCAGACTCAAAAGGGGGGTGCGAATGGCCGCACTACCCACATCAAATGTACCGATACTACCGCTGGCAGGAGCAGACGCGCTGCCCCAGAGTGTGTGACTCTCCATATCGAAGCAATTGGTTGTGTGGGTGTCATCGCAGAAAGGCCACACAGTGCGATCGTCGAGGTTGCAGAATTTACGCTCCCACGCGTTGGCATAGTGCGGACCGAAGACGTTCGGTCGGCTGCACACATAATCGGCGCTGAAACTGGGGTCGTCACTGTCGAAGAGGGCATATAACATTTTGTTGCTGCCACCCGCAGCAAGTTTCTTGTTGTAGTTGTCTTTGTCGTTGTCGTTCTTATGCTTCTTGTAATTTACCAGGTAATGCGGATTCTTTGCGCTCTGTGGCCATTCTCCGGCACCGACAAAGTCGTCAGTCACGATCTTGGGATCCAGGCTGTTGTTCTCGTGTGAGACACCGGGAGCATCGCTGGCGTTATTACCATATGACAACGGCGGCTTGAAGACGGCGATTGTTTCCGGCCACCATGGATGACCCTGCATTCGGCCCTCACTGTTGCATAGTAGATCATGGTTCTCGTGGTAGGCAGATATAACATCTGGCTGGCCGTTGAAGTCGGGGATCTACAAATCGTCAGAAAGTTGTGTCGGTAAACTTGAGACAAACCGAAGACTCATGCTTCAATGGCTCAGTCTTTCGCAAAGACAAATACTTACGTGGAAATTGGCGCTTTGAGAAAAGTGGTCTTTAGGATTCCAAGTACTGCCGTTCCAGTCGTCGTTATAACTATCATTTTTGTCCATCCAAAAGCACCATGGTTTGTATATATCGTTGCCGTCACTCCCCGTATAAAATGGAGTTATTGAAGGGTATCCCGCCCAGCCACAAAATTGCACAGGGACATCACCATAGATCGTGCTCCAACCTCCATCTGCGTACTGGATTTGGATGGCAGAGATGCAGATAGCATCAATGGTGTCTAGAAATTTTGTGGCGCATCAGAATGTTTGAACGCTAGGCTGGACAGACCGCAACTTACGGATGTTGATTTGGAGGTAGGTTGGACGAACATTGTTGCCCTTCTTGTCTGGTGAGATACTGCTTCCATCAGCAGGCCGTCCGAGAGCCAGAAGAAGCGGTACTCTGTCCTCACATGAAATCCTGGAACCCGCCCTCCAATATTTTACCGCCCGGCTTGGTATCACCTATGTGGTCTCCACGCTCATCATACAATACCACCTGAGGCTTCGACCTGTAGGAATTGTCAGAAAGCTATAGCAGTGAAATCGAGGACATGTTGAGAGACTTGTGCCTCAGTGGCACAGTCTTTTGAGTGGATAAGTACCCACCCTTCGAGGCTGCTCAATAGACTGGTGGATCTATTCGCATTCATCCCAGCCCAGATGCGTACAATGGTGTCCTCGGGAGTACTGTGATCTGGGGGTTCTGGAAATATATGGAGATTCTCCGTTATCTTGCCAAACAACCAACCGCCAGCGGTCACAACAATTGGTATAAACCAGTTAATAGGAGCCAACGACATCTTGGCGTTCGACTTGAAGATATGGGAAGCTGAAGATGCAGATGAAACTCTGCACAAGCCCAACGCAGGTTCGATATACCTTTGAGATGCCGGCTCTCGGCTTGTAGGGATGGGAAGGTCAGAGGAGAATTGAAAGAAGAACAGGGTCAACCAGGAGGATATATAGCTTTCAGTCGTGTGCGATCTGCGTTTACCACAGATTTTGCGAAACCTTCGGAAGACATGAGGAGCACTAGTGGAGGAGGGACCAGCCTGTGCCCAAAAAAGGACTGTTGAGCCGGTGGTTCACTTGGTAGAGCGCGCTGCAAAGCGCTAGCTCGGCACAGACCGTCAGAAAGCCTCCTGCTGATCCATGTTATAACTGTTATACATTATAGCTGTCTGGAGAGCTGATGTCGCGTGCTTGGGTTATATTCGCAAAAGATAGGGAACAAGAAGAACATTCCCTGGTACGAGCGATAGCGGCGGGAGCCCACGATCGGAACCATCGAGTCGCCCTTGGCTTTTTACTTGAGGGCCTACCCTGACGGGTATGGCGAATTGAAAAGGCAAGAAAACCCAGTTCGCGCGATCGGGATCTTCTCACCGATGATGTTGAACGTCTCTGAGCCAAATAGCGAGGAAAAGCAGATCAAAGCGTGATTTGTACGCATAGTGTGGCTCCGGGGATCTTCGAAGTAGAGGCTCGAGACTCTAGGCTATCCTGAGTGCCTGTGCGTGGTTTCAAGAAAGATCGCAGCGGCGAAATTGGCGAGAGGTATCTGATCGTCTAATCAGAAATAGAATTCAAAATTCCAGAAAGTCGTGCTGATCGTAATGTGATTCTCAGATTGAAGTGATTGAGATAAGCGCAAGTGAATGGCACGACTAAGAAATTCAAACTTTCTCGGCGCGCTAATGTTGCGTTTAGAAACGGGATACTACAGTATACATCAATATCATGGCAGTCGCCGATAGGCATCGAGCTGAAGCTGGTCTATAAGGACGGCATTAGGGGCTGGTAGGATCTTTTAGATCTACAACATTGTGTTTGCTCAGCATGGAGTGGGCTATGGACAGAGCGTCTCTGCGTTGATCATTTCTCCACGACTCTGTTGAGAAACTGTCTCTACTTCACGTTGTGTGCCACTTTAACTCCTCCATTTCAGTCTACGACGGGCATATCCTCATCCACTGGAAAATCCTAGCACCTTGACTGGAAATCTGTTCGTGCCGGTTGCGAATTGCAAGAGACGACTCTTCTGCTCCACGTCCCACGTTCAGACGACCTTCCAGAAGGTTTTAGTCACTTCGTCTTGCTCCTGGTAGCCACAGTAGTCCGGGCCATTTACACGAGTCGCTGAGCCGGTAAAACCCTCCATCATGTCGCCATTCTGATTAGAGTTTAGCGATATCCGGAGAAGCTGACTTGGAAATCTTGCAGTCATGGATAGATGACACTGATATTGGCGAGTCTGGTCAGTCGAGACGAACAAGAAGCTCGAGCTCGCGGTTCTGGTATATTCGGTCTACTATTGCTCCTTGTAGCTGCGGCAGTCGGTGTGTTTCTTCCAGTCGTCAACGTTGTATCACTTTGGGGAGCCGTCTTTCAACAAGACGAGCACGTAACTTGCCCACTTGCTGCGCCCAGCTGATGGTGTGTTCTGGAGATCGTCGACCATTGGTGGGGTTGATGCCTGCATTACTTCCTCAGATAGAGGCTGGGGACAGGCAGGCGGCGGCCAGGGATGTGTCGAGGTCGACATATTCGATGAAGATTTTTGTGAACAGGCCATTCTTATGGATCCGTTGATCGAAATGTGCCCCATTGCATGATGGTCGGCCGCTGCTAACTCCACCTGAACTTTCCTGGCGCCGTCCCGCAGTCCTGTACTCCGATCACAAAATCATCTTCGCCAGGATGTCGGCGATATCCCCTATAACAAACTCGAGCTCGCGTTCTGGCATGGTGGGCCTATTGATCTTTTGACTGTGTCTGCTCGGCGACTTTCGCGAACCTAAGGAATCACAGCGGTCAGACAGTGCCACTCTTTCTGGAAATAGACTCGCCGGTGGGTGCCGTAAGTATATGTCGAGGTGTAAGTGAGATGTGATGTCGAGGAGTAATGTGTAGGTGCAGTTCACAGGCGGCAGGCGCCAAACAACCGCCCCCTCTTCGCAAGGAAAACACACAGGGTCCTAAAAGATAGCGTCGAGGTTCGTAGGCTCAGGTACAGGTCTGTAGGTACAGTTCAAGTGCAGATTCGGGTTCACTTCAGGTTCGGGTTAGGTATAGGATCGGTTTTGGTTCAGGCTCTCAACCCGTAGGTGGGTGGTGATGATGTTCGTGGTTTGCCGCGCGCGGAACTGATGATTATGACTGTTATAAAATGTAGGGACCTTGATAAGTACACAACGCCAATCCGACCCGGGCAAGGCCCTCCAAATGTGGGTGCCGTAAAGTTGTGTCGAGCTGTAAGTGAGATGTAATGTCGAGGAGCAACATACAGGTGCAGTAGGTCCACAGGCGGCAGGCGCTAACAGCGGTCCAGTCACCTGGCTTTGCTCATGGCTCGACAGCTCCTCATTCATTCTCCATGGTGAACGTTGACTGAGCAAAAACCGGACAGGTGAACTTTAGACCGTCGGAGTCGTCGCCTCATCGATCTTGACTTTCATCTGACCCGAGGCCAGCCCATAACTCTTTTTGACCGCCTCACTCCCGTAGACCCTCATGCCCTTCTCATATTCAGCTGTGACACCGTCCTTATACCCACCAGCTTCACGCAACAACCTTCCCAACAACGCCGAGTCTTGAACGGCGGTGTTGGCTCCAATACCTCCTGCTGGAGTCATCGAGTGTGCCGCGTCGCCAATGACTGTGACTCTTTTGTCATTATCCCAGTCCGGCACACCACTGGGTGTCGAACACGTGATCTTCCAGAACGCCGCCTCGTTCTCAACCATGTCCTCGAACAGAGGCTTGAATCGAGGATGCCAGTGTGCCGTCAGGCCCTTAGCGATATCAGCGGCCTTTCTGCCCACTATTGTGTAGTCGTCATTCGGTGCCTTGATAACGCCGGGCTGTCCAACCATGGTCCATCCGAACTGTACATCGGGGTCATTCATATCGCCTGCCCGCACGTTCGTCATAATTGAGATCTGTCCATGTGGTTGGGTATTGTCGACAAGCCGAAACACGCCCTCACCCAGACCTTTGAATGCGGTCGTCGGCGCTTGTCCGTGGATGCCTCTCGCACCCGTATCAAACACCTTCAACTTTCCTCCGGACAACTGCTTTGCAACCTGCGACCTGATGCCCTCTCCGCCGATCAACATCGAGCCTTCTACCGACTTGGAGCCATCCGCAAATATAGCGAGCACGCCGTCAGATGTCTTCTCGTATCCCTTGACATGTTTATCAAATTGGATGTACTGCTCACAGCCCTCGAGGAACAAGCGGCGCATATCCCCTCGTGCAATGCCCACGATCTTGCCCTCGCGCGATCCCAAGCTTTCGCCACCCGGGTTTTGACCTATTACTTCGCCTGTGTTGGCGTTCAGGGCGGCGAAGCCGCTGCCGGCGGTCTTGCCGCATGTGTCGTAGAATTTCTGGAATGAGGCTTCGTCGAGCACGGATTCGATGGCGTCGAGACCTTCGGAGGAGAGGCGCAGGCGGTAGCCTTGGCCGCGAAATGTGAGAGAGGCATCGCGCTCGAAAATCACGAAAGGGATCTTCGAGAGCAGTAAGGACTGGGCGAGGAGCAGGGACGCGAGCCCGCCTCCAGAGATGAGGATTGGTTTGACGTTGAGCGGCATTGCGAGTGAGGGCTAAAAGTCGTTCTTAAGCAGAAGTGCGGGGTTGAGCTGCTGCGGCAATGCGATACGAAACGAAATGACAGGCGTGGCTGAGAGGAGTCAAGGTTGTTTGTTCAGCGGCCTAACTACTATAAGTGCTACTCACATGTCGGAGCAGTGACTTCACGTTGTACATATACCAATGGACATTGTCCGCGATGACCACTTATTAGTAATGTAGTCGTGATGTCTATCTTGACGGCCCCATACTCCCCGGTGTCTGAGCGTAATTATTTGAACATTCGGCCCTCGGCGTCACCTACAGCCGCTCAAGCAGTGATGATAAATCATGGGAGACCGTTCGAGGCCTCAACGTCGTCCACCGCCTTGTGGCAGAAGGATGCCCGAAACCCAAGATTCTCTGGCTTGAGATGTGATGCACCACACACAACCGCATAGTCCTAGATATGACGATGCTAGGCTTGTTACAGTGTGAGTTGAAAACTGAGTAGGAAACAGAGTGAAGAACAGTGTATCCTACCAGGCTGTAGTCATTAAAGCGGCATTGTTTGTAAGTTTGCTCGACCACAATCTGGAACTCATCAAACCTACCCAGATACTTGAGTTTCTATACCTCATCTTATTTCATGCCCTGGTAGTCGTAAGCTCGACTTGTGCCCCTATTTCTTGCACATGGTATGGTGATATGGATCGAGTCAATCCATAGTCTCTCGATTATGATCCAACATCCATCGAGACACAACCGATGGCTCGCGCTCGCGCCGATACAGGGAATTTCCCCAAAGAGCCTCACTCGGTCTCTCTGAAAGGTGAGGCAAGCCAAATAATATGAAAGGGTCTATTACAGATTCATTGCTTTGCTAATACAAGTCGAATAGTTCTAAGGTAGGGTTTCCTCGTCTGGTCCAATGCGTTGTTTAATCCAATCTCACCCTCAAAAAAGGCTCTCTCGCCCATCCTTGGTCCAACAACATCCACTCCCGCTCGAAATTGAACATGACACCAAGATCCAGCGGACGGCGTCACTTGCATACCCTTCCACCGCGGCCGGGGTCGACCAGGAATTCATCCTAACCAACAATCTAGGTCTCCCACCGTCATTCGGATCCGCCCACGTTGGCGAGACATTCGCTTGTGCATTATGCGCGAACAACGAGCTTCTGCCTGGGAATAGCACTAAGTCTGTCTCGGGCACACGGATCTTGGTCGAAATGCAAACACCATCGCAGTCTGTACCACTGGAATTGCGTGCTGCTGAGTCTGAAAGTGATCAGACGGGACCAGGTAGTTCGTTGCAGCGCATCATACAGTTCGACCTTAAGGAGGAAGGGAATCATGTTCTAGCCGTGAACGTCACGTACACGGAGACCACATCTGGAGATGGACAAGCAACCAGCGGCAGGGTAAGATCATTCCGAAAGTTGTACCAATTCCTCGCACAGCCGTGTTTGAGCGTTCGGACCAAGGCTACGGAACTGCCGTCGACTGAAGTCCCCGACAAAACGCATGGCCCTTATGGTAGAGCGACGCTATTCCGATACGTCTTAGAAGCGCAGTTGGAGAACGTGTCAGACACAGCCATCGTTCTTGAGGAGAGTAGACTGCAAGCGAAGACGCCGTTCAAAGCCACGTCGCTGAATTGGGATGCTGAAAAGGAGGATGGCGTCGAGGTGCGAAATCCACTGCTCAATGCCCGCGATGTGATTCAGGTTGCATTCGTCGTGGAGCAGGAACAAGGCGTGTCGGATGGTCTGGAAGAGCTCAAAGAGAGCATGAGAAGAGATGGTAGGGCTGTGCTGGGTCAGCTTGCCATCCAGTGGCGGAGCTCGATGGGCGAGCGGGGCTCGCTGAGTACAGGAAGTCTCCTGTCGCGGCGAAGAGTGTCGTGATATTCTTACAGAATTGAGATTTCCCTGCGTATGCGCTACATGTGCATGTGCGGTGCCGAGTTTTATGGCGCATTAGGGTGCATGCATGCTGAGGCCATTCATCCTTCCGTTGAGTGTATGTGCTCTTGGTTTCCGGATGGTCGGCAAGTCTGGCACCATTTCTTCCTGTCTGAATAGTCCATCCTCCAGTTTGGAGGGTGTGCGTGTGATGACGGTATGATAGTCACGGCCTTTTGCTGCTGCACCAAGGTCTGGCCGCTCGGTACTGCAAGGCACAGCAATAATCCGCCATTGGTGTTGCGACGTGTCCGTCAGAATATCCGCCCGGGCAGCAGTGGACGGAGATCGCGGCATGAAGCTTCTTCGATTGAGACTTGATCGAAGCAACCCTGCTCGTCCCCGTTTTGCCGAGATAATGGCGTCAAAGAGCGGTAATGACGGTTTTGGAACATTCTCCTCGCGATCGATGATGAACTCGTTCCAGGCTTGTGTTTGTTGCAACATCTCCATGTAAGCTGCGTGATCGGCAGGGAGACTCCTGATAAACGCCTCATTGTCGAATTGATATACTGCTCCGAGTTTCTTCTTCTGCAAAGGCGCTGGGTGCATGAACTTTCGATAGTTGTAGAACAGGGTGCCGAACCCTCTTGCAAACGCAGCTCGGACCTGATCGGGGTAGAAAGCCGCTGAGCATGGGATTGTGATCTGTGAAGCACATCGATCGTGGATAACGAAGCCGCACCCGGAACATCGATAATACCCATCTTGAGCCTTATCGTCACAGAGAACACACGTAGACGGGCCCTCTGCACCCCGCCATTGCAGGCAATGACCTTCCACCCAGTATGTCCCTTCCACGTTTCTTGCAGGTTGTATGTACATGTTCGGCATAATACTAGACGCTGCCAACGTTGACTGTGCGTATGCTGAGTTTGCATAGGTCGAGCCAAAGGTCGAGCCATTTCTCAATGGGTCGGGATATGAGCCAGTGGAAGGACTAGCATTGTGCCGAACAAACGGGAGACTAGCCTTTCTTATCATCTGTTGAGGCACGGAGATGCTTCGTTTTGACATCGAATCGAAGTGGCCAGATCGCTTCTCGCGTAAGGACGTTTGCAGAGCATATCCAGAGTCATGCCTAGAGGTCGTGAAATTGAACGTATTAGGGAAGCTACCGCTCGTGGGAGACATGCCGTCCGATTCGGTGTAGGTTGATTGCCGTGCAGTCGAGGAAGTCCTGGGCCGTTCCATGCTCTTGCCGTTTGCCGTACCGGAAGCCAGGAAAACGTTCAACATTGGCGCACGACGCAGAGTCTCCGAAGCAGCCTGCGCACCAAATGAGGCGGAGCTGAGGCTCGTCAGTTTGTCCAAATTCGTCGACTTGGCAACAGCCGTGAACACCGAGTCAAGTTCGGCAGAGAAGGCATCGTTCGGGAAGGTCTCGACGGTGTATGCGGGTGCCCCGGGTGTTACACCGAAGCTGTGGTGCAAGGGTACGGCTTGATGCAATAATGACATTAATTTTTTGCGTTGACGTTGAGGTAAAAATGGTGGTGGTGCAATGCTGTGAAGCTCGTTCCTGTCCAGATCTACCAGTACATAATCGTCGTCTGGCAGGTCATATCTTTCGTAGTCACGATTGATGCCACAGATATAAGGACAGGGAGCATCAAGCGCCTGCACCAGTCGTGAAGGAAGCACCGGGATTAAGATGCCAGCCCATTCGAGCGGCCAAATCAAGTCCATGATAGCCTTGCTAACCAATTGCAACATAGAGGTATGAGACGAGAGGAGGACGATCCTGGACTCTGCCAAGACGTATTCAAAAAGGAGTATGATGTTGGGTATGGTGAGTGTCCTGAATAGTGGATACAGGTCGGTTGTTCGACTCCCTGGAAGTTCGTTGGGAGCTTCCTTCTTTGCATATAGTTGAAGTTCTCGTATGGAGGTTTGGACCTGTACTTTCGAAGAGATAGGACAGGGAGCGTCAAGACAGATTGTAGCGACATATCTTTCAAGCGGCTGCCACATGCCGACCTTTGGGGAACTGGCAGGAACTCGTAGAATTTCACCATCCATCATCGGCACAACAATGGCACGTAGCCACTGCCTCCAGAAGTTGGTCATTGTGCTGTCTCTGCCGAGGATGCCATAAGCTCTCGGTATCCAATACCGTGTGTCGCTCGCGGTCAAACCCTGGATCTCCGCTGACGAGCCATGGCGTAGCGGCCTCAACATGTCGGACATGACATTGATCTTCTCTTCAACTGCGCTGATTTCGTCTTCTAGTTGTTCTCTTTCTGGAGATCCTTGGAGGACACCAGGGAGAGTAGCCAAGAGTCTGGACAATTTTGCGTTCTCGATTTTCAATCTTTCCTCCAGAGAGATTGCCATTTCTCTTTCGGCCTCCGACATGTGAGCTCTCCGCCATTCGTCGCACTTTTTCTCCAAGTTATCAGCCACTTCAGAGCTTACAGGAATCCAAATTGTGACTTGCACTGTCGATATCCTCGAATTGTCGGCTGCAGTCATGGAGAATTCATGCCATGTAGACCGTGGCTTTATATCCGCACATACGATTGTGATATCGTTGGGAAAGGCAAACATTGGCACGTAATCTGGAAACGATCCCCGTTTCTGTGCTCGGTCAAGGACCGATGGTCGAGGGTACCTCTCCAGCAAAACAGGTTCGAATGCGCGCCTCAATGGATGTTCGTTGGGTGAAGTGTGGAAAGATTCTGGACTTGGTATGACCGAATTGTAGCTGCTCATTCTCCGGGAAGTGCGTGTGCTGACTTTCCTAGCCATGGAAGGTTGTCGTTTTGTACTGGCCATATCTTTGAACGACAGATGTCTCCGAATGCTGCCAAAGTTACGATTTGGCAGCGGACTGGGCTCATCTGGCACGACAATCTTCTGGGTCTGCACTCGCGACTTTGGCCGAGTAGGTTTCGCTTTATCTGCTTGATTGAATGATAAGTCAAGGAAGAAGGTATCTCGATCTGTTGCGAACTTCTGCATTGCCTTTTCGAAGTCTACCTCGGTAATAGCCGTTGACATCCGATGGGCTGGGGGGCTTTCAACAGGCTTAATTGTGAGGCTGCTACGATTGCTGCGAACTGGACTGTACAGACTTCTGATGGAATGTCGAGCTTCATCCGAGAGTTGAGAGAGCCGTTGGTATGAGTCATGTCTCGAATGGTTGATCGAAGGCCTAGGAGACTGGAGTATGGAAGACTGATCGTTGGCTGTGGTGGTTTCTTCCTGGATAATTGAGTCGATGCCATTGCTGTCGTTGATCTCGTATGACCATCTCGGTTGAGAAAAGGCGTCGGATAGCTGTTGACCATCCAAACCAGCGATCCAGAAATAATCCGCCAGCGGCCAAGAAGATTCAGAAGAATCAATCGGTGCCATAGTACCTGTATCAAGGGCGATTACCAAGAACCAAGATCCTGTCCAAAATCGACTGATGATCTCAAGGCATTCTTCTTGTTGAATGCGTTTTATCGTCGTCTGCAAAGATGTGCTGAAAGCTCCGGGGTTTGTGATGCAGACGTGGGTTGCATTGAAGGACGTAATGTCTATGGCTCGCTTATCATGGTGGGATTTTTCGCGGCCACCTTTATCAGAATGACAACGGACATTCCTTCACCCCGTTCAAGGGCTATTCGTCTGTGCGTCTTCGATATATGCCACTCTCTCCTTGCTCTCGACGGTGAACGAAGAGATTACTGAGTTGGTGAAAGCGAAAGGAAGTTTGGATATCTCAAAGTACACTTTTTGACGTGGATACAGGGATCGGCCCTTTGAGAGGAACTGGAGATATGAGATGATGCCAGTGGACAGGCGTGATAGGTCGAGACTAACGAGGTTTCTGCTGGGTCTGCGGTGTGGTTGGCAGAAAGGCCCAGGGTGGAATTCGGGGATCTGGACTGAAGCAGAATAAAGGGTGCCACTTTTGAACAATGACTAGCACTATCAATATGTCAGGGATTTCCTTCTTTTATGAAGACGTCGCTGAAGCAGTTAAGAATAGGAGAGGCGCGGTGCATTGCACGGGAAGTGAATTGCAGGTCAGCGATGGAGTGGTTTAACGCTGCCTCTGTCATTTACACACCACTTCTCTCGCCGTCTCAGCATGCTACAAGTTCATCATTTGTTGATATCGACGACCAATTGTTGTGCGTAGACTTGATCGAGTTCGTGATACGCGTCTTGGAGGTGTGGGAGCATCGCTAGCCATGACAGGGACCTGGGGAGGGGAAATATTGAGTCAATCGCGTTGACACGGCTGCGCTAATCGAGCCCCAAAGCGCGTTGGTCCAGTTAAAGATAGCAAAGCCACTCCATTAGTTGGTTTCACTCTTTTTAGGCCTTGAGCCCCTGGAGCTTAACTGCACTCGTACAAGGTGGAGGTCAAATTCATCGACATGTAAACCACTGCACACAGGGCATTTCGTGAAGGATGTAAAGAACCATGCTGCGATGGATACAGTCTGGAGTACATGAACGACCTGCCAGAAATCCTCCGAAAGATGCTGCAGGATACTCATAATGGGGAATCTGAGATTTCCATCCTCATCTTCTCTTTCGTCCATGTTCTGCAGGTGTCAATTAACGCCAATGCAGAAACTGCGCCCTGAACCCGAGATGCTCGTATTCTGCAGGTGCGGCATGACCTTTTCAAGATCTTCGTCCTGTCTCCTATCGTACTTTGAACCTCCCCAACACTACCATCCGCCACATCGTTGTCATGGAGCAAGCACTTGATCACCGTGGATGGATTGCTTCGTCGAGACACAAATCGATCTCTTCGACATTCGGTTTTTATTCATCCGAGTTCCCCGCTCACAATTCGTTGCGTCTTCCACTCACACCACCAGGTCAGTCCTAGTGCCATCTCCTCTGGGGAAAGGTAAGGCGTGCCACATGGGTGTACATAATGTACTTGGGGAGCACGAGGGCATGACTGCTCAGTATCATTGCCATCCTAAGTCTTTGAAGCTGTCAATACTCTTCTAGTCATTCAACCTCTCGCAATATGTCGACCGCAACGACTGTGGGCCTCCATCCCAATCCCATACTGACTATCCCTCTCATCTCCTCATCTTTGACCGTCTTCTATGCCGTCGTCGAATCGACCGTACTCTTCCCCTTCCTGGCTGCCGCGAAGGAAGACCCTCTTGCAACCAACAAAGTAGTACGCCTCTGGTGGACCAACTTCCTCCCTCCGGGGCTCACCACAATCTTCGGCATAACCATTCCCACCGTCGTCGGCGGCCTCTATGCTCTCAGACACCTTCGAGAATACAGTCTGAAATGGAAAGTATGTCTGGCCGGGTCTGTCTTCGCAGCAGGTCATTACGCCTACGTCTATTCCATATCTCAGACGATCAAAAATGTGATGGATGAAGAGGTGGAAACTAAGGGAACAACAATCGATCATGTCAAAAGTTGGCTCAAAATTCATCTGTGGCGGACGCTGACCACGGATCTGCCTGCGCTGGCTTGCTTTGGCTATGTGGCATTTGCCGATGAATGAACTAGATACAAAAAGAAAGTTGCCAAAAAAAGGAAAAGGGAAAGGCCGTTACTTACGACCAGAGAACTGCTCCTTTGAGACCCCAATGCCCGCCAGGTCCAACTTGGCGAACGCTGGCCGGCCATGGGATGCTCGACGGACGACCTTTGCTTGCAATGTGACCACTTTCTCAACGTTCACTTCTGGTTTCGGAATCTTTCTCGTTTCCATCGGCGTCTTCTTTGCCTCTTTGGCTCCGGAAGTGACTGCCTTCCCGACCTTCCTCGCACGTGGTGCTCTCTTGGCTCGAATCTCCTTCTTACGCTCCTCTTTCTTGGCACTGAGGATCTCATCAATTGCCTTGTTGAAATCTGGAATTTCTTCTCGCAACGTGCGGTACGCTCCCTTTGCCTTGAGGGTCTTTTCCCAGAAGCGAATCGCAACATGGTCGACAAGGAGTTTCTGCATCACAGCGTCGGGTGGATTCATCAGGTATAGCGCTCGCACATCTTCCGAGTGGATCTGGCCCTGAGTCAAGCTGTTCATGCGCTTGGAAATGTTGTTCACCAGGTACTCGCATCCGATAATGGTGGCACAAGTGCGAGCGTAGTACAGGTAGGTCAAGGCTTTGAAAGATGGGTTCGCAAACGGTCGTATGCCTTTGCCTTCACAACAGGACAGCATCCAGTTGATGATGTGTCTGTGAATGACCACATTTCCCCCAGTGATGGTGACTGATTTCATCCCGGCAGACTTTTGCAGGTTGGCAGTAATGATCTTGTTGATCGCTGGAAACTCATCCTTCCATTTAGTCGCGAAGGTGACGGCAATATTCTTCGGCATGCTCTCGCAGAGTATGCGGGGCTCAGTCGCGTCGTTCTCCTTATACAGGATCGTGATTGTCTCACCGGTCTTGAGTCTACGTTCAGACGACGTGTTAGTATGGTGATCGACGGTCTGACAACGTGTTCCAGACTCACTCTCTGAGTCTCATGGGAGACAATGAAGTTAGAGACGCAGACATCTTGTTGGTAATGTTGGTACGAGATCGTCCGTTCACAGATCGGTGCTATGGTGAACAAGAGAACGAACCAGGGACTGGCCACGGAAGCTGGCGGTCTTGGTCGTCAGGAGATGAAAGTATGAGGATTCTTCCCCGGTAAGGCCGATATATGTTTAGGTACTCATGAAGGGTCGTCAGGGAGGTAAGAGTGGTAAGAGGCTCGGTCGTTGGAAGAGAGGAGGGAAGAGTAGAAGAGTGGAAAGGATGGGAGATACTTATACTTGATGAAGAGTGCAATATTCACAGAAGGTGACAAGTTGATGGTGTTTAGGTCGTTGATTGTACAGTGACAGTTTTGTTTGTGCAAACCGGTTGTTAATGGGTCACAGACAGTGACTGGCGAGGCTGGCCATGGATATACATATGCGTGGAGAGTGAAGGGAGGGAAATGACAGAGTGACGATGAGGTGAACGACTTGTCAATCGCTACACATGGTCAGTCCACTGATTGATGTATACCAAAGTGTCACATTCAGGAGCTGGATCTCCACAGTATTGGATGAGTACAGGGTATCCAGGCGTGCAGAAGAAAGCTGAAAGTTGTTCGCCAGTTGGTCGACAAGGCTGTGATCCGGCCATGGAGACTTTGGTATATCACTTCTCATTCTCGCCAAGTCGATCTACTGGATACCACAATTTAAATGTCTAAGGGTATCGTCTGTTGATAGTAACTTATAAACTTACCAAGTGCAAATGAATGTATTGATATCAGCAAACAGTAAAATCTAATGATACATGGGTAATTGATCATCGTGGCGTAAATGCTACAAGAAAACGGAATGGAAACCATACTGATATACCCCTTGACATATATCCAGCACCTTCAGGGATAGTCAGGAACATCGATCTGCGTGGCCGACGATTGCTGACAATTTCACGTCTTCAATTTTGGTGGCCCAGCCGTGGTCTTCGCCGGCGGTTTTGCACTACCGTTGAGCCTGGGTGGTGCTTTCGTTGTGGTGGAGGGAGTCGACGCCACGGACTTGGCCTTGTTTGTCGAGGGTGTTTGCGTGGCAGGTTTCTTAGCCGGAATACTCTTCGCCACGGAGGCAGTACTGGCGGGTTTACTCTGCGCAGAAAGTTTCTTCGGTGCGGTCGTGCTCGTAGTGGTAGATGAGGTGGTCCTGCTGAGTTTCGGAGGGGCAGCTGCAGCTGGTGCGGGCTTCTGTACGTGCTTCTTGGCCGGGAGAGGTTTGGGTGCGGCGTTTGTAGAGTGTGTCTGTTTCGTCGGAGGCTTTGAGGGTTTCACCGTTAGAGGCTTGACTGGCTTTGCGGCAGCAGGAGGCGCTGATGTGGTAGGCTTCTTCGTTGGTGTCGATTTAATTCCCGGTGTCGTGGTACTTTGCATCTTGGCCGGTCCGATGGCAGCAGGTTTCTTTGCCGTTGCAGCCTTTTGAACGGGTTTCATGGTCGAGGTGTTCGTTTTGCCAGATAACTTTGCAGGGCCAGAAGCTTTCGTTGAAGTCGATCTGGTTGATGCCACGGCGGTGGAGGCATTGCTTGACACCGTGACAACTGTGCCGTAGCGATTGTTCTCCTCTGCTTTCATGGCATCATAGAAGTTCACTCTCACTGGTGGAGCATTCTTCTTCTGTTCTGCAGCTTTGAGATCCTGCCAGAACGTCCCCTTTCCTGACACGGAACCTTGCCGGTTCTTCTCTTCGGCCTCTAGGGCTGACCAGAATGAACCCCTCTTCGCCATCGCGCCATTAGCGACGGGTCTGACACTGTTACTGGGCGCTGCGGCAAGCCTGCCTTGCTGCCTCCTCCCCTCCTCTTCTGCCAACTGCTGCATGAAGTTCTGTTGTTTGCTGGTGATACCTTCCGTGACCATCTTTTGCGGATCCGACAAAAATTGCTGCATAAAGTCGGCGCGGTTGAGCAGCGTTTGCGCCGATGGCGACATGAGCAGCTTTTGCACCGCCATGGCGCCTGACTTGAAAGTGTCTTTCTGCTGGTTAGGATCGAAGAATGAATCAAGCGTCAATCCACTCAGTGAAGTTCCGACGGATTTGGCCCCTTTCCCAGCTTCCACAGTGGCCCTCTTGATATCCTCCGAGCCGGACTGAAGAGCTTGCTTATTAATGCTCTTCCAAAACTTCTGAGGCAGGTCTCCGTAGAAGATGTACAACACCATGGCCAATATACCCATTGGAGCGAATATCTGGAGGAACTCATACCAGTGACTCGCTCGGATTGGGACCTCCATATGTCCGCAACCTCGTAGTACTTTCCCAGATCTGTACTTGGTGGCGCCGGCATCGGCTGGGAACCTGCCAGTCTGGTACCATTTTTCAATCAGCACGTCTTTCTCTCGCCAGCGAGCAAGCAGCCAAAGCTCGAAAGCCTTGTCGTTGTGCAGTGGGATGTCCTTGACGGCAAACCGGCGCCAATGCATGCTCACAGATTTTGGGGGCCGGCCTTCAAGATAGCCAGACTTGAGTGTGAAGATGTCTTGCGCGAATTGGCCCCGTGGAACGCCTTCGTAAGCCACTGTGCAGTCATAGACGTAGTCGACTGTATTCTTAAGCTCTTCGAGACAAAAGTGTAGACCAGTGCTTCTTGGGAGCAGAACATGTCTGGTATCGGGGATACCCTGCTTGTCTGCCCATTTTGTGCTCTTTGCACGAGTACTCGGAGCCAGATTGGTACCTTCAGGGAAGAGTAAGAGCCACATTGGATCTTCAGGTTTGTTAAGTCGTTGTAGTGCGCTTGCCATGTTTGGCCTGTCCTGTTCCCAATTCCGTTTTAGAAAGATGAACTGATTGAACTGCATGCCCCATCCCAAGACCGGAATCTTCTTTAGAGACTCTTTGAGAATGATGTACAGCCTGCCATGCATGCCATTGCAATATGCTATCCACCATAGGTACAGCCAGTCGGTGTAGATTTGATGATTCGCAATGAGTATTAGACGCTCTGGGAAGTCGAGAACCAAATCGCCTTCCACGGACTTGAAAAGTTGTCCACGAACAGATGCATCCCCAGAGACAATGACTTTGGTCGGCGCAAATGTCTGGGTCAAAGTCATGGTAAGCAGTCCAAAAGACTGCTTGGTGAATGCGATCCATGCATTGTACCAGTCTTGATTGACCACGGCCAAAGGAGCTCCTAGGAATTGTGTCAGGTTGATAGCAAGCGCCCCCGACAAGAAATATGTTGATAGAGCCAAAGCTCTTGACGCGATCGAATACTCGCCCTTCTTGAGAGGTACGCCATCAGGACGATCTCCAGGTGATTCGAGCGAGAACCCAGCAGCAGGCTCGAGGGCCGCCATCGTCGTTGTGGTCGGTTAGGTCTTGAGTGCTATTATTCGACTTTCATCATCGTAGCGCTGGTCGCCGTTGTTGCTATCGTTGTCATTAAACCTCACCACAAAGCATCGTGTGACGGCCTAACTGCAGAAGAAAGGCTGGAGTTTCAAATTCGACGCCACCTCTGACGTACCTAGGCCGTCAGTATTATGGTACTGACAGGGATTCATTCATCAACTGGCCCGTTTTCTGACAGTTGGAATGCTGAAAATCGGCTCGGTGGTAGGGCACTTGTGGCGCCTACGCGGGTTGGTTCAATTTCAAAGACTTCGAGCAACAGGCGAATGATGTGAGAGTCCCACCTCTGGCATCGTGGCCTCATCTGCGTGTTTGGCGGACATCAACGATCGTTGCAAAGGATTCTAGAGAGGTCATCCCGGTCAGAATTGTCCAGACTTTGTACCCGACAGGGATCACATCGTGGGCATGGGTGGGAAAGCAGGGAAAACAGGATATCAACCCTGTGGCTGTGCGCAACAACTGGACCCTAGATGACGTTGAACCCGTAAATCCCCCTCCCTCGTCCATGCATTTCGATCATATCAACGTACCCATCCCTACCACAGATCGGGGAGAACAGACTCATAACAAAGCCAATTCTACATATTTACCTGACCTCAATACCTTCCCTCCCTTTTCCTCTCTCTCTTCAAACACATTGACAATTTGTCCCCAATCTCAGTCCTACACAGACTGAGTGACTATTGTCTCAATGCCTAACGTATCCTTTGACGTCTTCTTTGACAAGGACTTTATCAACATCACAGCTACCCGAGGAATCAAAGCTCCCAAAGCCAAACCAGAGTGGAAAGTTCGAACCGTCCCAAAACTTCCTCCTAAGCCAATCGAGGAAGTCCACGACGGTGCTCCACGACCACCTGTTCGCGAGAAATTGACCCATACTCGTCAACCACTTCAAGCAGCCAAGCAGAACAAAGCTGACAACTCCGACGCCACTTCCGAGACAGCTGAGAGAAAGAAGCCAGCCAAACTTGGTCCTAAGAAGTCTGCCACAGCAGCCTAAACAACCATGGCAACTCAATGGGTTCTGGGCAAGGTCTCTGATGCCCTTGCCCCAACGATCTCGAACACGGTGTCGAGTGCGGGCTCCTTCGCAGGCGGAGCCGTGAATGCGGTTGGAAACACCATCAACGGTGTAGGAGAAGGTATCAACGGTTCGATCAAAAGATACGGAGATGGAGTCAAGGACTATGGTAATGCAGTCATGGATTGGACGGGAGCAGGTGCAGTCAGGGCGGGGACTGCAGCAAACCCGCTAGGGCTGAGTGCCAACAAGGCGGGAGGAAAGGTTGCAGTGACGAGCCCATCTATCTACGCGCCACCAAAGTCAACGCCTTCCCAGAAGATGCTGACGACGAGCAAGACAACGGGCACGCCCATGGGTCAGAAGAAGATCGCAGGTGCACCCCAGAAGAAGGCTCTGCCTGCCCCTGGTCCCACGCCAGTCGGTGCCAAAAAGGTCACAGGTGCTGGCGCTCCAGTGAAGAAGGCCGTTTCTGCTGCACCAGCAAAGACTCCCACACATCCCAATCCGGGTGCGTTGAGGAAGGCGCCGGCCGCGACGACAGCCAAGACCAATGGGGTGACAGGCGCAGCTAAGAAGGTTACCGCTGTCAAGCCGAGTACTGCAACTGCCACCAAGACCACTATCCCCAAGTCCACGACGACTGGTCGAGCGACCACAGCCTCGCGAGGGAATCCTACAGCGGCGGCTAACCCTCTCGGCCTTGCCTTTTGATCTTATGGTATGAAGACGATGACATCTGTTTGTGTATTTGTATGAATGTGGAGAATAGATGTCTAAGTGTCGCGTGGGGTGTTGTGGTCCATAGCTATATCATGTTACAACAATATCAAAATATCATGGTACTTTCTCGTTAAATATAAGGCCTCCACTTGACTAATGCTCGCAATGCGCATGACTGCAAAAGTAACCATTTTGTCTATACTTCCTGCATTATCAAAAAGGGATTTAGCTTTTTGATGTTGCTGTCTATCATAAAAACACCAAGTATGTCGTCTATTCAGATTGCTTTCTTCGTTTGATCCCAACCCAGCATTCATTGGGCTTTTTGGAAAAGCCTTCAGAAGACATGAGCTTGGTCTGGTACGGTGTAAAATCGTAGCGGTGGAAGGCGGTGCCTATAATCAGCGCAAGTTCCATATGCGCAACATTTTGACCGACGCAGGCTCGAGGTCCATAGGAGAAGGGGTTGAAGCCGATCTTCTGTCGTGGAGTGAGGTCCAACCAACGGTCCGGGTTGAACTCATCAACATCATCACCCCATACCTCTGCGTCATGATGGATCGTGAAACTCGGGACAGACAATACCGTGCCTTGCGGAAAGACTTGGTCTTGATAAGCAACTCCGTGCTTGTCTGTCACGATACGCGGGAGCCCAATGGCCGAGGTCGAGTGTAACCGCATACCCTCGTCGATGCACTGTCTGAGGAAGCGTAGGTTCTTGACTTGCGAGTGCTCGGCAATCTCAGCGGTCGCAGGAATGGCATCGTCGAGCTCAGCTTGGAGGCGTGAGATGATTTTTCCAGGGTTTTTGCGCTCGCCGTCGAGAATCCAGTAGATGACGGCACAGGCGGTATTGGAGACAGTATCACTTCCTGCAATCAACTGTGTCAAAGCCTCGGAGATGAGCTCATCTCGTGGCATCGGGTTTCCGTTCCAATCCTTGGCTCGGCACAGCATCTCCAAGATATCGTGACGCTGTTTCGCAGCCAGATCTCCCTTTTCGGTGGCATCCAGACGCTTTTCGACGGCTACGACTGCAATTCCATGAAGGTTCTTCACGGATCGTAGGCCCTTATGGAAGAATGGATCTGGCAAGAGCTTGGCGTAGGGTCTGATAGGCAGCAAGAGGCCGAGGGTCGAGCTGACTTCACCTCTCCGGTTGAGCGTTTCCGCTCCGGAGACGTATGTGATGCCTTTACCAGCAACCTCTGCTGGACATTCATCACGACCTCGCTCTACCATTCCAAATGGAGCTCCGAATGCCAGGTCACCGATAATGTCGAAAGCCAAAAAGGTACACCAAGGCATCATGTTCATCTTGGCGTAACCTGACTCGGCTGGATGAGAAGCAATCTTGTCAAGCTGACCAACCCATCGTCTGAGATTGGCGGCCATATGCGGCTCAAAATCTTGGACAGCGGCGGGAGAGAAAGCATGAGCGATAATCTTCCGCTTTCTGGTGTGTTCTCTGCGATCCCGCACGTTGAAAACACCGGGGACGCCTGAAACGAAAGCCGTGTAGAAGTGGCTGCAGACGACATCAGTACACTTCCCTCATTTGACGCGAAGTCACTCACTCTTTCAAGAATCCGTTGCCGTGGGCGTAGACCGTCGCCAGGCCTTCGGGTGTCGCAATCGATACATGATTATACCCTACCCGCACTACTTTGCCGTACTTTCGGTGTGCATAGTCGACCCAGGCAAACTTCTGCCCTTGACGAGCACCAAGCGCAAGCCAGATGTTGCTGAACTTCGCGACAAAAGGACCCGGGATGTTCTTCAGGTGTCTGTATGTTGTCAAGTACGGAAGAACCCAGTACAAAGCAGCCCAGACGGGCAGGAAGGCGCCTAAGAGTAGGAGAGATATCGACAATTCCATCTTGGACTCCGATGATCGAAACAAGCAACAAAGGAAATGGTTTACCTGTAAGGAAAGCACAGAAGTCGTCCTTTTGCGATTCCAGATCCCTTACCATCTGTATATGACTAGCTGCAACAAGGTTCGCTCGTACCAATGTACGACTTGGCCTGCTTACGACTTCGCGGCAAAAGTGGCGGACATTGCAACCTCTCTTGACTTGTAAGGTTTGAAGAAGTCGCGACGCTCCGTAGTCCAGACGTGAAGCCTTATCGAAAGTGGAGGAAGAGAGATGATAAGGGGTTTGTGCTATCGGGGAAAAGCGCAATTGTAACAATGATTGGTGAAACTTCGAGGCAAGGACACAAAAGGACATCAAACGGATGCAACGGAGAGCCTCCTAGAAGAGTAGTCGGTGGCCCCGGTTGACTTATGAGGCCCGAGTACGAGTATCTCAAACATGACCTGGCCATCATTATTGATGAAGTCTTGTACAAAAAGTGTGGAAACCCTCAGTTATCTCAGCGATATCACACAATCTGTCGACCACTATGAGCGCTCGCCTAAAAGAGGAGAGATCGTACTCCGATCAATAGCCGAGATGTGACATCTTGCTTCCGATCAACTGTGTCGACATACAGTACCAGGTATCATCGCGGGGTCTTTGATCACTCTGTATTACATCCTATACCTGTGCAATTGTATGTATGATAGAGACACTAAGCTTTGTCTGCCTGTTCACCGTGGCGCCCATCTTCTCTTCTTGGTAAGTCGTCGTTGAGCTCGGCCGTCGTTGACAGACACCGTACAATACTGCGATATACGAGTAACGCGTCGCGTCTGTATATCTACGAGAGTTCTCTATAGAATTCAAACTCAACCTGAGAGCCGACGAGCCTCGAGGTCAAGCTACCCACACCCTGCAGCACTCACGATGACAGACATCCAGCCCTTCACAATCTCCATCCCCGATTCCTCTCTGTCCGACCTCAAAACCCGCCTCGATCTGGCGCGCTTTCCTGACGAGCTCGACGGTGCAGAATGGCACTATGGTGCTCCATTGTCGGACGTCAAGCGCTTGACCAGCCACTGGAAAAACAAGTACGATTGGCGAGAAGCGGAAAGGAAACTCAACACTCTCCCCCAATATACCACCACAATCGCCTGCGAAGGCTTTGATCCATTGAGGATACACTTCGTCCATTCCCAGTCCGGCACCAAGAATGCCCTTCCATTGTTATTTGTCCACGGCTGGCCGGGCAGCTTCGTCGAAGCCACCAAGATATATGACAAGCTCACATCCCCTGACCCCAGCTCAGACGTCCCAGCATTCCACTTCGTCGCCATCTCCCTGCCCAACTACGCTTTCTCCGAGGGTCCCAAGAAGAAGGGCTTCGCGCTGGCCCAGTACGCCGAGACATGCCACAAGCTGATGCTCAAGCTCGGCTACGACGAGTATATAACACAGGGAGGGGACTGGGGGTTTTATATAACCCGCACCATGTCTCTGCTGTACCCGCAACATTGTAAAGCCACACACATCAACTTTGCCCAGGGCAACCCGCCGAGTTGGTTCACTCATCCAACCCTGGCTCTTCAACACGCCGTCACTCCATACACGGCCGCAGAAAAAGAAGGCTTCGCCCGCACAAAATGGTTCCTCGACGAGAGTTCAGGATACCGCTCGCAACAATCCACAAGGCCGCAAACGCTGGGCTATGCACTTACCGACTCACCCGTGGCCCTGCTAGCGTGGATCTACGAGAAGTTGCACGACTGGTCCGACTCGTATCCCTGGACAGACGAAGAAGTCTGCACGTGGGTGAGCATATACTGGTTCTCGACTGCTGGGCCCGCTGCGAATCTTCGTATATACTACGAGGCAACGCATGAGTGGGATATCCCCGCGACACGGGTCACTCGGGATCGTGCGAGAGAGTATATCGGTGGCGGTGTGAAATTGGGCATGAGCCATAATCCGAAAGAGCTGAGAGTCGTGCCGTCGAGTTGGGCGCGGACTCAGGGCGATACCGTGTTCGAGAAGTTTCATGACAGCGGTGGACATTTTTTCGCGTATGAGAAGCCTGAGCATCTCATCGCGGATGTGAGGGAGATGTTTGGCAAAAATGGTGGTGCGGCAGGTGTGGTTAAAGGATTGGACGGGTATTGATGTTCATCCCTAAAAGTGTTCTTATATGTTTATATCCTTATATATCGGTATCCAAGCAAGCGTTGTCTATGAGCCAGCACGCTGGCTGGTCTTTCTAGGCTTTCACACCCTTTTCTGCGGCCAGCAATCACCAATCAAGAGTATATGACAATCATAGCTTCCCACCCCTTCTCTTCTCGACAGCCTCCCTCAGCACACTGACAACGTGTCCCGGATCCTTTGCCCCAAACACCGCACTCCCCGCGACGATCACATTCGCACCCGCATCAGCCGCTTGATCGATCGTCCCCTCGCCCAATCCACCATCAACCTCAATATTCAAATTCGGGTACTTCTTCCGCAGGGCCGTCACTTTCGGCAACTCGCTCGCCATGAATTTCTGGCCGCCGAAACCCGGGTGCACTGTCATTATAAGGACCATCTACCGCTTCACAATCAGTACCTGATTACCTTTTGCAAAGTCGATACCAAGGGGTTCTGTAGGTGGGTATACATACATCAGGTCTTTCCGCAGCATTATCATCCTCGAGGATATCCCAGAGTACATCGACACTGGTTTCGGGTTTGATTGCGATGCCGGCCTGCATGCCTAGATCGTGGATGTATTTAATTAGTTCTTTAGGTGATGTCGGGCGGGTGGTTTCTTGATCTTCGGGTTTGGCTGCGGCGACGGATGTCACGGCTGCTTCGTAGTGGAAGCAGTAGAGGTCGCAGCCGGCGTCGCGGAAGGTGGATGCCCAGCGGTGTGGCTGTAGGAAGTTAGCTGCAGGTTCGAGGTCGGTGTTTGGGGATTGTAGAGTGGTAGTTCCTCACCTCCGAGATCATCATGTGGCAATCAAATGTCCCTCGTCCACCTGCGGTCTTCGGCCGTTCGACGTGTGATCTTATCTTCGTAACGACGGGGGCGCCAAAGGTAATGTTCGGTACAAAGTGGCCGTCCATCTAATACATACGTGTTAGCCATGGTATCCGGATCACGTATGTGCAACCGCCCGTTTGTCCCGGGGTTGTCCAAGTAACATGCATTACGGCATGCTCTCGGGGACGTACAATATCGACATGGAGCCAGTCACTACCCTGGTCCATCGTATCCGAACATGCTTTTCCCAGTGCCGCGAAGTCGGCGCTCAGTATCGACGGCGCAATGATAGCTGGGGGAGACATCGTAGATACTCTGGCTTTTGGAGAGATAGAGGTTTGGGGACTGGTTGACAGGGTCGAAGAAGCCTATCTGGGTCGAGTTGTGAGGCTCTAGATTATGTGCAGTCCGTTACGTAGATCCAGCTGCGTTGTTTCCGTTCTCTTTTGTTGAATAGGAACAATACTGTCCTGCGTTGCCAGTGCCTGCAGATCGGAGGATCAAATATTTATTGGAGAAAGCAAACAATAGCTGCGTCATTGGCCGGCTCGCCGCAATATGAGGGGCAACCACCTGGCATTGGAGGGGCTGTAGGTTTTAGTTATCGTAAGCATATCAAGCAAGGCTCGAGCCAGACAAGGAAGCAGATTACGTTGCATATCGCTGGCTGACCTGAGGTGACAAGCAAGATGAGAGCTCGCTTGGACACTGAAGCATGGAGATTTGGTAATGAGGCCTCATATATTGCCTACAGACAATAAGAGAATAAATCAAAACGGTGCTGTTCTGAAAGACAACCATGTTGCAAACGCTTGCCAATCCTTCCAATGCTGATCAAAACGAGTGGTACCCCATAGTCGTTACACGCTGGATCGCTCGGCAGCTGGAATAGTGTACAGTGTATCTTCTTTTGTGGCAGTACAATGTTCTCAGTCCGATGTATCAAGCGTCACACGTCCTCAAGACCCGAATCATAGCAAATGCTGACCGCCATAGGGAATCCGAAGCAACATGCGGAATGAAAGCGACCGCGAGGGCAGCTCCAAGCCACTCAATATGATATCATGTTTGATTCATCAGTCGTGTATGCTCATAAGTATTCGTTGGCTCTGCATTGTCTTGATAGTGCTCAGTGTCGTCCGCAACGACACAAAGGGATAGTCCTGACATGGCGACAGTCTGGTGTCAAGGATAAAAACTGGTGGATTTGGCCGCCAAAAGCATCTCCAGCCCCAATAATCATTTGCGAAGTCGTAACACTGGGAGTCCCTCGACTCAAGGCGCCGTCGTGATGGCTGGCGTACATCGAGGTATTGCCACCACTACCGATTGCAGGACGTACAGAATCGATCTCCATATTCTCGGCGCCAATCATGCCAGAAGAATCTGGGTCAAGGAAGTCACGCCAGTCATGGACATCCTCCTCGTCCACAACTGTTCGCTCACGGACATCTTGGGCTCGATGGACAATGTCATGTTGAGCTAAGTTGGTGTTTGTGAGGCGTGTATCGATATAGCCGCGGACCTCAAAGCTGTTGTTGAATCCCAGGCTACCACCGCTCGAGGCGATGGAGCTAAACGATTCAGGGTATTCGGAGATATGGCCGTCAAGGACAATGTCATCTTCAGGTCTGCACCAAACATGGGTGCCCTCGCCATTGTATTGCTGTCTGCTCGCCTTGTTTGGAACAGGTTTGGTTCGGCAAGAACAAGCCGTGCAATTGCATTTGCAACCATGGCATTCACATGGGCAACGGGTCTGAGGTGGTGTATCTTGAGTGGCTCCGATAGACGGGTTAGGCGCCGAAGCAGGCCGACCATGGGCCATGATTGCTCTAGAGAAACAGGATGTAGTGGTTTGCAAAATAGGAGAGAGATCCTTGAAGTCTGTGAAGTATCATACAGGTGCTTTTGGTGTAGCTTCGCAGTTCAAGAGGTATTCAAACAGCCGGCCAGTACAATGGAAAGAGAAAAGTGTTGCGTGTAACTTGTGAAATGGGATGATACAGTTGTGGACAAGAAGAGAGGCAAAGAGGACAGCAAAGACGGATTGTCAGTATAGAAAACAAAGGTAGCATATATACTCGAGGCATTCATAACCAGGCAGCAATCGACAGTCAAGGAGGTCGCCGATCATATCATCAGTGATCAGGTGGAAGCTGGCGCAACACTGCCGAGGCTAGGCGGACAGTCGACCAACGCTCGTCCTGGTCAGGTAATCCAGCCTTCGGGAAGAGTCAAGTGACAGTACACGGGTCGATAGAGAAAGGACCGGGCGTGAGGATGTTGTGAAAGGGCGTGTCGGATACTGCACCAGACGGTAGCCGCCGAGGGGGGCATGACCAGACGGCTGGAGTATACTATAGTAGTGCACGGCAGAATCGTCTTCCACAGCACGTTAGAATAGACGGACCGAATAGAGAAGGCCGTGGGGGTGGTATGTGATGTAGCGATTGACATGATCCAGTGAGTCACGGGAGAGTGGACGTACTGTAGTCGGGCAACGGAACAGTCACGCGATTGCAGTCGATCACGGTATGGGGCAAGTGCCGTTCGGTTCCGAACCGGCTATCATTGATAGACTTGTCGGTATCGAATGGAATTGGAATATGGAAACGGAAATGCATATACAAAGGTATAATGGTGGGGAGGTCTTGTGGTCAGGATCGGAAAGGGAGTATGAGAAGTCAATCAAATTGGTAGGAGTAATGGTTGGCCGGAATTTGCGGGAGGTTTGCCGAGTGGCTGCTTCATCTTCATCTTTTTGACTGACAAATTGCGCCTTGACCGGTGAACGATTGTTGGTCCTTTTTTTTCTGTTCATCCCACGTCGATTTCACAACTGATTCGTATATATTTCTGAACTTTGCATCTCATCGTCCCGCTGCTTCGTCTGCTCGTCGGCTCGTCTACAGGATGGTCGCCTAAACTTTCTTCTATCCGATCATAAGCGCCTATCCACTCTTTTGTCGTCGCCATCATGCACGTCGTCGGCACATTTCGACGCTAGAATATTCCTCTCCTTCTCTACTAACCTCAAATGGTACAAGTCCGGTCTTCTTTGCTGCATGAAAAACTGTCGGCTTCATACTTCCATTTCACGATACGCTAGGGTTGACAACCCGGCGCTTGTCCTGTACTCCGTAGAGGTGCGATATTCTCTGACACGGAAGAATCCCAAGCGAATTCGCATCAAGACCCAAGGGACACGGTTCACAATCAGTATTCGAGCCTTCCAAGATCCGACTTGGGCAGGTGCGAATGAGGTTTCCAGCATCTGATACCGACCTCCAATCGGTGACTTCTCTCGCCGGTCGCTTCTGTTGTTCCTTGTCATCCGACAGAGCCGGTTATGCAGCTTCCAGTCACCCCTCTGCCTCGCTTACCACAGGTACAACTCAATCTCTTCCTTATCGACATAAGACCTCCCTGCCACTTCTATTGACCGAGAATTGCAAACCAACTACACAGACAGACCAAGACACTACTATCGACAAGCGCCTTAATAATCAGCATCATCCCGGGCACCCGCTGTCAGTGGTGTCAGCTCGTCGTCCTCTCATTTCGTCACCTCGCAGCACGCCAAAGGTTTAGACTTGGCCAAGCGAGAGACGAAATAATCCTTCCGGCTGCCTTCCCCACCTCTTCTCATCCTTGATCCATGTACTCGTATTTGCAAACACACTTTTATCGGTGAGCGCCGACCAAAGCATGTGAAGCTCGTCTTTACCGAACCAACACAATTCCGTTTGCCTCCACCCATGATTTTCAAGATTCGCCTTGTTTTTCACGCCAAGGGACAATCATTCACTTTGTTGGCAAGTCCTGGCAGCTGCCGCGTGCTGATGCATACCATGGGTAGATGATCGCGATCAGCTCGCACGAGTACTCGTGTTCCTCTTCCACGCGTCGTTGATGACGATCTCTCAGCTCAGGCTAATCAATACCTAGGCATATTGAACGGGTATCAAGTTCCCTGATTCGCCCTGCAGACGATTCTCTCGAAACAGATACCGATCTTGGTCTTTCCAGATGCGCCTCGGTAAGTCCGAGCCGGTCAACTTCATACGTCAACATCATGATACCATCGCATCAACCCATGCATTTTGCTTGACCAGACAAGAATTCTCAAAAGCCACAGGCCCTGCATAAACAAAGTAATCATTTACAACGACCCTGCATTGGTGATGTACGTTGACTTCTACACCAAGCATCGGAGAGGACAAGAGTCACAGGGTTTGATTCAATCGCTCATGTTCCAGCTCTGCTAGTCTCACCACACCAAAAAATCAAAGCCTTTTTCCAAAGTCAGAGAGAATATGAGCCGCAAACCCATCACTCACTCAGGGTCAGGTACGTGAGGTATCTCGTAGCTTAGACTTTCCTATTTCACGGGTTGTCGAGTTTCCAGAAGCACAGACCTGTTCCAAGAATATCATCCAGATGTGACCAGTGCCTCGAGATTCGAGCACATTTTCTTTGTTTCCTTTTTGCCTCAATCAACCTCCAGTCTCACTTGATGGCAAGGAGAGAAGGAGACAAAGATAGCACAGCAAAGTACTGAAAATCAAAGCAAACGTACTTCGTAATTCGTAAAAGCCAAAGAAGAGTTGCTTCTTCTTTCGTATATATCTTGATGTGGATAATATACCATTATCGTTCTGTCCGTTCATTTCAGAACGTCAAACGTCACAAAGTGACACAAGAGCATGAGTACTCGTAGAGCTATTTGGGTATCACTATAACAAAAAAAGATTCACCGGCAGCCTTCTCCCTTTTTCAAGCCACCTCCGAGAAATAACGTTTACTCGTATGTCTGCCTGACGGTGATCTAGGATCTGGCGGTAATGGTCCACTATGGTGCACGACATGTGGTCGAAACACCGCGTCAACAGGGGGCATCCAATCGTCCAGCCCCAGCGGGAAGTACTCGTAGAGCTGATCCGCGCTTTCGCCATCAGGCTGGAATGGCAGTCCGGATTTTGTAGCGTTGAGCTCTGGCCTTTGCTGGCCTGGTACCATGGCGGGCATTGATCCTTGTCCCATGGGGCCTGTTGAGCTTGGGACACTCGTGACAGACACTTGGTGCGCGTGTAGTCTGGGCCGCTGTACAGATTGATGGGCCATCTGGCCCGGTGAGGTGGTGTTATAAGGACCGGCCTGGCCTTTGTTGTGCAGTGATGGGGAGGGATTCGAGGTCGGAGGCCGTGACGAGTGCCTTGAGCTTTGTTGCTGCGGGTAAGGGCTTCCACCCCCCTCATCGTCGCTGCCAAAATGGAGGCTCATAGGCGCTGTAGTTGTGGGCATTTCTTGCGAAAATGTAAAGGGAAATGTCCCTGGTGTGCCGAGGTCGGGAGTGCTATCGTGGGAAAACGTCGGGACAAGCTGAGGGGGGTTCATCGAGGCCGAGTATGAGGGTGCCAATAGAGCTTCGGCGACTAATGCCTCGCTGCGTAGCGACATCCAGGTGTCATCGCCTGACTTAAAATCGAGGTTGTCATAGGATAGTGTGACTGGTGGTACGTCTTCTGGAGGAGTCTTGACCTTTGGCGCTGAAGTGATCTGTGGAACAGATGTTTGGCTGTTGGATTGTCGAGAGGCTGAGGGAAGGTGTTTCCTAGCAGTTGAACTGCTGCTCAAGGGCAAATCTTTTCGGGCGGCGAAATTTCGAGGACTTCTCCCGCGAACTATAACCGCTCCTGAATGAGCTTCCGCGATGGAAATCTTTCCACCTGTTGACAGTGATGCCATGATCTTCAGGTGTAACGTGAAATGCTGTTGTAGTTCCTTACGACGGCCATTGTTGGCCGTGGCTATCCGGAACTGGAGTCTCTTCCACTGGATGGGAAATGTTGTAAAGTCAGTATCCAAATCCTGCCCAGACATCTTGTCAAGTGGGATGGTGGCGGGCTCCTTTTCGAGTTTATCTTCGGGTTTGGCGGCTTCTCCGTTGGCCGGCGTTTTCCAAGGGACTGAGATGATCTTGACTGCGTTGCCCTCCACTGACTCTGTCGCCGACACTGCCAATTCCAATTCGTAAATAGGTATTCGAGAGCCATCATCGGTGAAGACATATCTCAGGTTTCTAGGCAGTGTAACTGAGCCTGTGATCTGGAAAAGATTCCGTCGATAACATGTGAGCTCTGGCGGAGGAGGTGGGGTGTCGGGTGTGACTGGCCATTGCGACTCGGCCAAAAAGAACATCCCGTGGAGTTGGGCATTGATATTGACCGACGAGCGTCGAAAAGAGTCGTCCAACAGGGTAAAATTATACTGCGGCATGGAAAAGCTCAAGTATTTACTATCGCGGTCTATCGACGGACTCTCGGGCACGCCGTCTGTGTGAGGCTGGTCGAATTGAGCCATTGTACCGTCGGCGAATGGATCGTCAAACCCAGAAGAGTAGCGCTTGAGTAGTGCGGGATGTTGAATGCTTGCGGAAGGCACGAAACTCAGCTCATCACCACTAGCGAGCGCAAGTTAGCATCGACTGACCCAAGAGCTGTGGTGGGAGTGGATTCACCTCATATATGGCTCCGAGTCAAAGTTGGAGTATTGATCTTGCAGGTCCATCACCGAAGGCACACTCATGTAATCGAGGTTTTGTAGGTTCCCGCCCGAAAAGGGCATCGGACTGTGCATATAAGGCATTGCGAGGGGGTCGAAGCCGTCCATGGTCACGGCCATGAAGTGAGTGGAGGTGGGTGCGGAGGGTTCTGAGATGCGCCGAGCGACGGGTAGGTTGAAAGATGGTTATCGAGTAGAGATACGAGTTCTTTTCTGCATTCTCAAGAGAAGAGAAAAGAGTCTGCTCCAGGACAGGCGCCACAACCAAGAGATTGGGGGACGAGTGATGAGGAGGGACACGGGTTAATCAGCAAGCACACAGAGGCGAGGTGCTGTATTTGGTCTTTCTTTCGGAGTGCACGAAGTGAGAGGCGACGGGCGGGACGGACAATATAGAAGCACCGCAATCGATTCGCTGCTGGCCAGATTGACAGATGGACGAATCACGGGCGTAGAGACCAATATTGGTGTTGATAATCTCCTCTACTCGTACAAATCGATGTATTGCGCGAGGTTTGCAGAGTCGATAAATTGGCTGGAGGCTGAAAGACGTGCTCCAAAACCGGGTGGGATACTCGAGGGTATAGGCGAAGGGAAGGGTCTGACAGGTATATAGATTGAAAGTCCATGCACTCTGAGAGTTTAGTTAGTGTCAAGTCAAGATTCAAGACTCGAGGATGAACAAAGAAGAAGAAGGTCTGTGTGCACCTTCGTCCCACTTTAGTTGTTGAAGTTGGCTGCAGCTCTAGGGACCTGGCGTTGTTTTCTGTAGGTGCCCCGTGCCGCCCGACTGTCAGTTTACGGTGGTGGCTGGGTCTTGGTTTAGAACCTTGCGAAACTGTCTCCGCCACCAATACGATAGAAGCAATCAAGTGGCCTTAGTAGCCTTCTAGAAGAAATGGAGAATTTGCGACGGCGCACGCTAATCACTGGCCCAGGAACACTTGCTGCAGTTGAATGCCGGGATGCCTTCAGCAAGGCAGGCCCTGACTCACTACGAGTATGGATAGAGAACAAGTCCTGACGAAGTGCTTACCTGTTATGCGCAAATTCAACTAAAAAGCACGCATTTCCGCCCCCGAAACTCATGCTTCTCCAGGTGTCTCTCGCCCTCGCGCGTATTTATTAGCACTCCCTCGTACGCCAACTAAACGTTAGCCTGCCAGTGGACTGATGATTAAATTCTTCTTTGTCTTCTGTCACCTGCATTTCGAAAGCGGGCCTTCGTTTGCCGTCGGATAACCAGAGACCTTTGGACTCATTATAGATAACAGCGAAACCAAGAACACATGTTGTGGTTTGTCGCTCCAGCAAAAGGAATCAAACGCTGTCCTGAAATCTTACAGTATCAAATCAAGCTTTCCAGGCTTCAAAGGGGCATCATCTCCGTGCCTACCAAAAGTCCAATGGTTCAGGCTGACTTGAATATGAGGACTGCAGCCCTCTCAGCCGAGGTTTGAGCATTCACTGGATGCGTCCCCTTGCCAGTGATGCACAGAAGCAGGCCCTGGAAGGATCATGGAACTTCCTCCACCTCGTTCAGACCTGCGTCCTCGAGAAGGGCTTTTGTACCCGATCGACCAGTCAACTCCGCAGTTCTTAGCTGCCCGGTCAGGGATCACTAGACTAGAGGGGCGTTTCCCCTCCCGTGTCTGTCTTGGTGATCATCGCTGCGCCCGACTGCCTGACATGCATAATAATATCCGGCTGAAACGCATAGGCTTACCGGGAATAGTAAGGCGCCATGACGCCGTTCACCACCCCCCAGACAACTCGGAGAACACATCAGAGACCCATCATCGTGATCTTTCTGTTCTGTCTTGTCTCACCCAGCAGTGCCTTCAAAAAGCAATGCCCTGGTGTCACTCCGCCGAGGGGCGGTATTGTTTGTTATTGTCACACAGGAGAAGGCATCTCAAACCAGGCAGACTTGTCTGTCCTTTTGAGCTGCGCAGGCCGAGGACCAGGCTGATTATGGGGACAGAGATTCTGTTGGAAATCTGGCAGTCAGATCGCATTTCTCTTGCGAATACTGACTAAGGGCCTAGCGAGGAACATGCCGAAAGATGGCGCACCATGCACCATGACGCTTCACCCTCAGTCCACCTTGGTTTCGCACTCTGAGACAGACAGATCAAGGGTTTCTTGCTCCGACACTCCGCATCGGTTCTGTCTGAGGTGCCGGCCACCCTTTTTCAGCTGCCGTGCACGGTGCCTGTCAGCAATCAATTTTCCGATCATACGAGGCTAGCGAGATAGAGAGCCAGGACCAAGTCGCGGCGCAAGCGGCTGCCTGGTGCGCACTATCTTCGAAAGAGCGATTGCTCCGTGCACCCGTTTCCCCTGAACTGGCCTAGTGTCTCACAGCATTGCACTAAAACTGGTTCGGGATCATCCAATTATTGGCCTCCCGGCCTTCCCTCTCTTCCGCTTCCTGTCGGTGCAAGGACAATCGGTTCGGTCCATCTCACCCCAATCCCCATACTTGCTATCTCCGACATTATCAGTTTATCGCAGTCGTGCAATGCACAGACATGGGATATATGGGATATATAAATTCAAGTCCATAGGGTTTCTTGGCAGATCGCCCATATGATGGATCACCTAGACTGACTCGTTATGGTCGTGATTAGTATCATATGTGGAAGGAGCTTGGATCGTGTAAGCCTTGAACCATTCCTTTCTTCTAAGCCAGGCAAACCGATGTGCTCGGATAAGAGTCTCGACCCACGGCATTGAATGCTGCTGAGCCCGGACATCGCTGGAAGACCTCGTTATGGTATATTGCTGTCGTGGCGTAGCTCCAGGCACTTCCAGCCTGGGCTGGATCCGAGGAATTGGTCGTGAATGGGGCGGAAAGTTCTGCTCGGTCACCGATGATAGTGATTGGGATCATGCCAACCAGGTGAAGATGTGTGCATCAACTCAAGCAGTTGACATCATCGTCCATTGCATTGGGTCACTGGAGATCTCTTCAAAACTGTTCGTGACGCTGAAGCCCAAGGACTTTAAACTGTCAAGAGTAAAATCTTCTCGAATCTGTGACAAATTTAGCACCAATACCAATGTGCTCAAGCATTAGGAAACTTACATAATCGAGCAGTACGCTCCGCAGTCCTTGCTTCTTGAATTGACGTATCCCCAACAAGACGAGTCCTTGAAACAGGGACTTCTGGTCGCTAAACTTTGTCGAAATCACTGGAGATGAAATGCATGCCATGCCGGGCTGTTTGTACAATGCTGGTATGTGCTTGGCTATGGTCGATTCTGCTCGGCAAATGAGTATGGATCCGAGTATGCTCTGGTCGCTTGCTCGTTTTGCTCGGATAATTCCGCAACCCTCCTTGTTGCTCATGGCTGTCTGATAGAGGCCTTTGGCCTCGGTCCTGGCACATCGCTTGAGGTGCTCCATCATCACATCGTTGTACTCATCGCCATAGACGAGATCGTATTTCACATCTGGATTCGTCAAAGTTTGGCCCAGACCTTCAGGAGGTGACCATAACGTCAGGTCACGTATGGCAACAGTGGCCACTGAGGTTGATAAGGAGGTGTTCCAACCCAGCTTAGCAAACCATTGGCGGAGTCTCTTGAACTCAAGGGGATCCAGCTTTGGAATGCCCAGATATATACTTGGGAACCTCACCCCAAGCTGGAATTTGATGATGCCCTTTTTCTGGACTAAAGCTCTGACGGCTCGGTCATGCAACGAATGACCTATGGACAGTTTTCGCCGAGCAGGGTCAACGATGATGGCTCCGATATGCCCTATGCCACTGGTCCTGAAATAGTAGGTCGTACAGAACCCGAAGAGTTCCTTCGTCGTGCTGTTCCGAACGACGAAATGAGCTTCTTCCACATTCGAGTCTCGCAGAAGGAAATTACTTGTGCTGGTGTTTTTGAGCGTTGCCGCATGTGTCAGAGATTGGTTTTGACACTGAATGAGTAGAACATCCAATGCCGCCAAATCCCGATCTTCGTTGAAGTTCTCGACCAACCACTGCTGTCTTGACTGAGTAGTTTGAGGCCTTTGGCCCTGTGAGCCAGGCAGGAGCCCTATTGGACTGAGATCGCCGTAGAGAACTTGCACCAGAGCGCGAAGGGCAGATTCCGTAAAGTCATACGTGCATATATAGGTGCCAATCGATGGCTCTGCCACGAAGTCGAATGGTGAGCTGACTGCAACCACCACGCAAGGTTTCTCTTTAGGAGTGCCATCTGGCCCCACTGCCAACTTGCATAGCATGGAAATATGCTTTGCATAGGCAGTTTGGTACATGTTGCGGCCAGCATCTGCGGTGACAACAATGACGCCCTGCGCACGACTCAGGAGATTCTCGTGTAGAGGCCTAACTCCGTTTGCTGTGTAAGAGGTATGAGAGACCTTGCCGTTTCGGTATCTGGTCAATAGTCTCCCAAGCTCTCGGAAGACTTGTTCCCCACTCATGATTGAAGTGTTGGCATCGACGCTGGGACTTCGGCCCGAGTGTGGCATCGTGCCAGCCTCGTTCTGAAGCTGACGAAACAACGCTGAAGCCGGTAACGGTTTGACCAAAGGTGTCAAGAGGAGCAACTCTTCCTCAGGCTTGATTACTCTTGAGAGCGGCACATAGTGCTTTTTGTCTCGAATAACGGTGACGGATTTGTTGTAAGCGGTGGTTGAGAGGTTGGTATGAAGCGGTTGCAGCCGGGTGAGGTTTTCAATCCCGGGCGGTGTAAATGCTTTCTCCCATGAGGTATACTTGGCCTTCATATTGAGAATCCGCTGAACCGACTCCTGCACTCGGAATCGTTCGATCATTCCATTATCCAGACCAGCCCGCAGGCCATTTATTGCGTCTTCCTGGACCAACAGACTTCTGCAGGTCAGTATCAGATCGCAGCCGGCTTTGAAGGCCATGACTGTTCCGCCACTGATACCAATGTTCCGGCTCAAGGCTTCCATTTCTAGGCACTCTGACACGACCACCCCGTCGAATCGCATTTCATGACGCAGTAAATCTCGTACAATTTGCTCCGAGAGACAAGCATGCATCACGTTGACCTGCGAGGAAGCCATAGCAACGCCACCTACCATCATTGAATCAAGACCTTGCGCTATCGCTGTTCGAAATGGAACAAGAGCATTTTGACTGAGATTCTCGAGCGACTCGGTGATTGTGGGCACATCGTCCGGCACGCCAAAGAACTCCAGGTTGCCATAAGACGGAAAATGCTTGCCGCATGTTGCAACTCCGCCTTCTTGGTATCCTTTGATGCTTTCAACCCCAAATGACGACACTTCCTGAGGATCGTCGCCTATTGACCGAACACCAAGAGGTTGGTTTCGAGCATTGGTCAAAACATCAAGGACCGGTCCCAAAATCCAGTTGATGCCACATGAACTCAACTCTTGAGCTGTAGCTTTTGCGATTTCCCTAGCCAGCTTCTTGGAACCGGTAGCTGCGACGCCCATGGCACTGGGAAACTGTCGAATGTACACTTCATCGTACAAGCTGTTGACACCGCCATTTTCTTGATCTAGAGCAATGAGAAGCGGCACGGGATGACCAGCCTGACGGGCTAGGCTCTGAAGATCAAAGATAAGCTGTGTAGCCTGCTCGGCAGCTGTTGATTTACCAGTGTTAGTCAGGGGCTCAAGGAGAAGCGGTAGCAAGCAACGAGCACGAGCAGGGAGGTTCAGCACATTTGAGGTTTTGAGCCTTGAGAAGAATCGAGCCTACGTGATACTTTTCAATCAAGGTCTTGACTTGCTGAGTGACAGAAGTGCCATCAAAGCCCATCATAAACAGTTGGCCGAGCTGTCTGTGATATATAGTCAGTGATGTGGATATTCTGGTAGCGTGGGATGACGGCATTTACCTTGATTCGTCCCACAGTGGTGGTAGATCCCCCGAGAGGGCCATGACCGTATGAAGCAACTAATCGCCCACATATACTCTGATTGGCCAAGGACAGGTTTGATGCAGGCTTGGAGTGTGTGTGAGAAAGGTTGTATCCGGGCAGAAGTCGGTCAGGAGACGAGGACTGATTGACGGAGAAACAGACTACCGGCGCAGTGGTTGGGGCCGCGAATGGCGTAACCCTTGGTGCATGGCCGGTTAGAGAGGCGAATGGCGAGAGAATGGGAAACGTGGGTATCGGGGGACACAGAGGTAATGTCGCATCTGTCGCCAGTTCTGTAGTAACGTTGCCGACGGGTGTGAGAGATATGAAAGAGTTTTGTGACGGATGCCACCCTGCCAGATCCGAACACTTGAGTTCCGGTTGGCGGTAACGTTGCACTGGCACTATGGCGAAGGAAAAAGCCGTCAATGTCACGTGCTTATCTGCCTGCGGTCCTATCTGCCCCGCCATTTGCTCTTCTGCAACCTCGTGTGCTATCTCATCTTCCAATCCAACACCAGGCTTCATCCGCTCACCATCCATCCGATCCATCAACATGACTGGCTATCTTTGCTCGAAGACGGCGGGTACGGCCGACCCTTTCCATGTGATTGATGCAGTGGTTGGATCATACGCAAGAGTATGTACCGTTGCATACCTAATCAAACCCTTTGGTGTCTGGTTAGCCCATCCTCCATGCTACGTATCTCTTCCCATGGCTACACAATCTTTTCACTGGCCGATGAGGCTTTCTCCGCATCCTGCTCTACGATCATCGCATGACTTTCTGCTGAAAAGCCAGCTACGTCAACGGTTTGTCCTTTTCCTTTGATCTGCTTACTCCCTCCTAACAGTTTCTTCCTCGCCTTGGAGTGCTTCTCGCACATTCTCTTGCTATCCTGTGTTCGCTGCCACTGAGTACAGCCGAGTTGAAAACGTAAATCCTCCAAAATGCGCCTCATTGTTCGAGAAGACGGGAACAGTGCGTCCAAATATGCGGCAAGACAGATTATCAACCGCATAAATGCCTTCGCGCCTACGCCAGAGAAGCCTTTCATATTGGGTCTGCCTACGGGCAGTAGTCCAGAGATCATCTACAAATACCTGGTCCAAGCTCACAAAGATGGTGAGATCTCGTTCGCCAACGTTGTGACCTTCAATATGGACGAATACGTGGGAATACCTGAAGACCACCCTGAGTCATATCACAGTTTCATGTATAAACATTTCTTCGCCCATATCGACATCAATCCTTCCAATGTCAACATTCTCAATGGCAACGCTCCCGATCTCGCAGCCGAATGTGCCGCTTACGAGGAAAAGATTGCACAAGCGGGAGGCATTGATCTCTTTCTGGGAGGTATCGGTACTGATGGACATATCGCATTCAATGAGCCAGGGTCATCTCTGCGTTCGCGAACAAGAGTAAAGACGTTGGCGGAAGACACTATTCGGGCTAATTCGCGATTCTTTGGAGGCGACCTGAATCAGGTTCCCAAGCGGGCTTTGACTGTTGGAGTTCAGACAGTGATGGACGCCAGAGAAGTGATGCTCATCATACTGGGAGCGAACAAGGCAGTGGCACTCGCTAAGATTGTTGAGGGGTCGGTAAGTCAGATGTGGACTGCTAGCGCTCTTCAAATGCATGAGCAAGCCGTGATCGTCTGCGACGACGCGGCCACGGATGAGATGCTTGTGAAGACCGTCAAGGTAAGTTTCGCGTTTCTGCAAGATGTTGCCAGCAACGCTAATATATACAGTATTTCAAGAGCATCGAGCACATCGCTGCAGAGGAGGAGGCAAGCGTGCCCACCCCTCAACAGCAGTTGCCGACGAAGGCGGAGAATTGGCGAGGTGCATTGAAGGACCTGAAGATTGACACGGAAAAGAAGGATCAAGCAGAACCAGAAAATGGTGAACTGACACCTGACAGCATGTCCTCAAGACTGGTCGACTCAGCCATTGGCATGAACGATAAAAATATGAGCGATTCCATGTTTGACAGAATGGGATCACGAGTACCGACATTAGCAGCATGAGGTTGAGACATTTCATTGTATGGAGGCATGTTTTAGAATGACATGACTGTAGCATGTATGATTCTGATATTGGGCCGGCATGGCGTCTTGGTTTGCAGGATATACACTTGATCGATCGCTAGCTAAAAGCGGTTGCAACGCCAGCAAAGTCTTGTAGCAATCCAAATTCATTTTTGGTATCATCAAGGTGCTTTCCGAAGGTGCTCAGAGTTTTGCAAAGACGGTTGGTACAGAACCACCCATCTCGACCAGAGTGCTTTTGTTTCGTACCCAGGCTTCAAGTCCTTTTCTTCCATTTTCAACACCGACACCACTCTGCTTCCATCCACCCACAGCCATTTCTGCTGGAGACTCACCCCAGGTATTAACCCAGGTGATTCCCGCTTGTAATTGCTTGATGGCCTGGTGACACTCGTTGATGTCTTTTCCAAACACTCCCGCAGCCAGACCTAACTCGGTGTTGTTCGCTCTCCTGATTGCTTCGTCCAGCGAAGAGTAGCTCAGAATTGTCATGACCGGCCCGAAGATTTCTTCCTTCACGATCTTCATCTCGTCGGTGCAATCACTGAAAACAGTCGGGGTGACCCAGAACCCATTCTTCAGCTGGCCAGGGAGGTTCCCCGGCTTTTCAGGACCTCCACACAGCAATTTTGCCTTGTCCACCTCAATTCCATGTTTGATGTATCCTATAACCTTCTCGTAATGGGTCTCACTTACCAAAGGTCCGAAATTAGTGTTCATGTCCATCAGATCGCCAGCTCGAACATACTCCAACTTCTGGACCAGAACGTTTTCGAACTCTGCCTTCAAATATTCAGGCACGAATACACGAGTGCCGTTCGTGCACACCTGACCAGTACTGAAGAAATTGGCCATCATAGCCCCATCGACGGCTTGTTCAATATCAACGTCCGGTAGAACAATTACTGGGCTTTTACCACCCAGCTCCATCGTCACATACTTCATCTCTCCAGCTGCAGAACCCGCCACCTTTCGTCCAGTTGCCACTTGGCCCGTGAAACTGACCTTGGCAATATCTGGATGTTTAGTCAAGCGAGCACCAACCTCACCAGCACCGTATACAACATTGAAGACTCCATCCGGCAGGCCTGCCTCTTTGTAGACTTCGGCGAGAAATTGGCCATGAAGAGGAGTCACTTCTGAAGGTTTGTACACCATGGTGTTTCCGGCTGCAAGACAAGGAGCAGATTTCCAAAGCGCGATTTGGATTGGATAATTCCATGCTCCAATACCCGCACACACCCCCAGCGGTTCCTTCGTGGTGTACACCATAGCAGAGTCACGGAGTCGGAATGACTCGCCGTTCAGACCGCCTGAGGCAACAAGGCTGGCAAAGTATTCGAGCACATCGGCACCCGTGACTATGTCGACCGTCGAAGTTTCGGAGAATGGCTTACCGGTGTCAAGAGTCTCGATTTTGGCAAGCTCGTCATTCTTCGAGCGAAGGATGGCGACGGCTTTGTGCAGAATCCGCGACCTCTCGACAGGTGGAGTGCTTGACCATGAAGGAAAAGCAGATTTAGCGGCTGATATGGCTGAGTCTATCGCTGATGATGAAGAGGTGTGAATTGTGCAGATGGGCTTTGACGTCGAAGGGTTGACTGATTGAAATGTGCCTGCAGATTCTGAGGACTTCTGCGGCTTACCGTCATAGAATGTATGACGGTCGGGAAGAGACGACTTGAGCACCATCGTGCCTACCGGAGGTAAGACTTTCTGCGACTGTATGGTGTTTTCCTTGATGTTGATTTAGATGCAGTCTCGGCTTGTAGCCTCGTGCGACGTCAATACCGACAATTTGGTTTTGGCTAGAAACAACCCGACTTCGATAGACCTCTGCTTTCACAATGTACGCCCAGGATTGTCAACGTAACGACTCTCAGACACTCAAGTGTTTTCCGGATCCTCCTGTCGACTGTTTGAAATGCAAAAGTATTGCTTACAAGGTTTGTAGCATCATCCAAAACGATCCTGCTTAGACGAGGCGGACGACTACCTAGAGTTTCTAATGACAGATGATAGAAGAGCCTTCCCGGCAGATGATCCTGTCGGCTCACGCTTCCCACCTCCTTATCTCTCCACAGTCAGTCGTGAATATTTTCGCCCCTTGCAGGCATTGCACCAGCGGCAAGCGACAGCCAAGAGGCTCCAATACCGCATATCTACGGAGAACTTAACCGCCACTCGATCGTGTCCCGGGGGCCAGTTCTAAGGGTAAAACAGCTCCTCTTCAGGCAATCTGAACCTGAACATACGCTACTGTTCATCGCTTATGCTTCCATTTCGCCTCCACAATATCCTGGACGGAGCGTCTACCAAATTTTCACTCGATAAGGCCTGAGAGGCACGAGCTTTCCTTTTTTCTCTTCGCCATGATAGGGCAATAGAAGCTCATGTAACCAGGATCTGTGTCCACCCGGGCTGGACTTGTGCTTCTGAGTGGTCAGGCCCTTGGCAGATCTGTGCAATTGCGACTTCAAGGCCCAGTGAAATCAATCACGGTTTTGCCGGGACTGCCTTTAACAGCCTCCTCCGCGCAAAGGACCTCAAGCCAGCCCTAAAATTTTCCGGGCGGTAGTCGTGGACTGATAAAGAATTTTATGTGGGTCGGACTGATACTGATGCTTAGATCTTGTTAACTACGGCTCTATCATTTCATCTAACGGTGGTGTATATTTGGCGATACCTCTTCCTCCAAGGTATTCTGGAGTTGGTCTTGGATTTGCACAATACTGTCTCTCCCTTGCATACTCCAATATTCATCATGACGACCACACAACTAGACCCGTCAGAGGTCAACAGCTATGACTATCTCATCATTGGTGGTGGCACAGCGGTAAGTCTGACCAAAAGCACCATAAGCTACCACAGAGAAAGAATGTTATGCTGCAAAGTCAATTGGTAAATGGATCGCTAATATGCTCGTTTGTCCTTCTAGGGCTGTGTCATTGCTGCGCGGCTGGCCGAGTACCTTCCACACAAGAAGATCCTCCTGATAGAAGCTGGACCCAGCGACTTCATGGATGACCGTGTCCTCGATCTGAAGCAATGGCTCAATCTTCTCGGCGGAGAACTCGACTACGACTACGGAACCACCGAACAGCCCATGGGTAAGTCCTGCTGATGATCTCGAATCAAAGCTCCAGTCCTGACAGTCATCAAGGCAATTCACACATCCGCCATTCTCGTGCCAAAGTCCTAGGCGGCTGCTCAAGCCACAACACATTAATCTCATTCCGACCGTTCGAGTACGACTGCAAAGTATGGGAATCCATGGGTGCCAAAGGCTGGACCTTTCCCATGTTCATGCGCGTGCTCAACAAGCTCCGCAACACAGTGCAGCCCGTTCACTCTCGGCACCGCAACCAACTGTGCAAAGACTGGATCCAATCCTGCAGCACAGCCATGGACATTCCCATCGTGCACGACTTCAACAAGGAAATTGCTACAACCGGCGCCCTCAAACCATCCGTCGGCTTCTTCTCCGTGAGCTACAACCCCGACGACGGCCGCCGCTCGTCCGCAAGCGTAGCATACATCCACCCAATCCTCCGGGGCGACGAGCAGCGCCCGAACCTCAAGATCCTGACCAACGCATGGGTGTCCAAGATCAACGTCACCGACGACAAAGTCACCGGCATCAACATCACCCTCCAATCCGGCACTCCTCTGACCCTAACCGCCCGCACCGAGACCATCCTGTGCGCCGGCGCCGTCGACACACCCCGCCTCATGCTCCTATCCGGCCTGGGCCCAGCCGAAGATCTATCTAGACTCTCCATCCCTGTCGTCAAAAACATCCCAGGCGTAGGCGAGAACCTGCTCGACCACCCCGAAACCATCATAATCTGGGAACTCAACCAGCCCGTCCCTCCCAATCAAACAACAATGGACTCTGACGCCGGCATATTCCTGCGCCGCGAACAGCCCAACGCCGCCGGCGCCAAGTCCACACCGACGAACCCTCACGCCCTGCCTGACTCTGACATCGCGGACGTCATGATGCACTGCTACCAGATCCCCTTCTGTCTCAACACCACGCGTCTAGGCTACGACACGCCCATCGACGCCTTCTGCATGACGCCCAACATTCCGCGGCCACGTTCACGCGGAAAGCTCTATTTGACCTCCTCGGACCCGGAGGTCAAACCAGCGCTGGACTTCAGATACTTTACTGATCCAGAGGGCTACGATGCCGCAACATTTGTTTTCGGTTTGAAGGCGGCACGCAAGATCGCGCAACAGGCCCCGTTCAAGGACTGGATCAAGCGTGAGGTCGCGCCTGGCTTGGATATCCAGAGCGACGAGGCCCTCAGCGAATATGGCAGGCGTGTTGCGCACACGGTGTACCACCCTGCCGGCACAACGAAGATGGGTGACCTGGCAAGTGACGATATGGCTGTTGTCGACGCCAAACTCAATGTACGGGGCCTGAAGGGACTGAGGATTGCGGATGCGGGAATTTTCCCGGTGATGCCGACTATCAATCCTATGTTGACCGTTCTTGCTGTTGGTGAACGGTGTGCCGAGCTTATAGCGAGTGAGGCTGGGTGGAAAGGTGAGGGCGCTGTCAGGGCGATGTTGTAAACGATTTCACGTGAAAGTTATACCGTCTTGGGCAAACTCGATATATATAGGGAAAAAGAGCAAATATACAGCGTTCGTCCAACATTTGAGCCAAAGCTCTCTGTCATTGATCTGAAAAGTAGTCTACTTGCAACGGACAAGAAAGCCGCCGCCGGCTACACGATTCCTACCGTCCTAGCCTTCACTCTTACGGGCATTACGTCTACCTGCCCTCCTTTCGGCTGAAAGAACTCTCAATCACCAAGACTGACACCAGCTTTATCAGCATCCTTGGCACCCTCCTCATGAGGGACAGAGGCCTGGGCCTCCGCCTCATCCGTACTCGTGACACCCTTCTCCTCTGTTGTCGTCGGCACCTCATGTTCTTCGGCACTCTCTGGGATGCGCATCTCCTTCTCAACCGCCTTGATCTCCTCCGCACTCGCGGTCCCAACGTCACTCCCACGATGCTGTTTCGGCATATCCATAGGCGGGTCCGCACTGACTTCTGATGCTGGCACCGCCATTTCTTCCTCTTTCTTGTCTTCCTCCTCCAGTACACTCTCACTGTGCTCAAGGGGCGTTGACTCACTCAGCCGCGACTTCTGCTTGGTAATACTACTTTGTCTCCTCTGCTCCACGAGCTGCGCTTCTGTTGATGGTGATGACGATGACGACTCTGTCTCCGTCGTGGCTGTGCCCTCGACTTCCGCAATCTTATCGACAGACGTCTTCTTTGCACCCTCGGAGGCTAGTTGGGCTGGTGTCTTTGCTGCAGTCACTTCCGTGGCAGTCTCTGGTGACTCGACAGCTACGTCTGGACTTAGTTTGGTCGTCGCGGGTACGGGTGTTGTTTCGGTATTGTCAGGAGGTTTGGTCGGTGCTTTAGCTGCCTGTGCCGTAGCGGCTTTCTTCTGGCCTGCTTTGGCGGCGGCCTCAGCGCCTAGTTGCCGCATCGCGACGTTGAGGGGAGGTTCGCTGGGCTTTTCTGCGCTCTCGCTCTCTTTGTCTTTGGGATCGGAAATCAAGATATGGCGAGTCTCCGATGAGGCTCGTGAGGGAGGTCCTGACGAGGTTGTGCTTGCGGTCGGTCTTACGTGAGGTGGTTCCGCGGTGAGATTCGATGGTGTGCTTGTCATGGAAACGCCGGTATCTGCTGCGGCAATCTGCTCTTTGAGCTCGCCGTACTCATTCCATTCTTCAATCTGTTCTAGGTCCTGGCAAAGTACGTCAGTATTTGCCCGTGTACAGAGATTGAGTAACATACACCGATGATGGTTCCCGCTTTTACGAGGCCCGGAAGCTTTCTGCCCTTGGACCTTCTTCCCCATAGCATACGAGCCTTTTCATCTGTGGCACAATCTAGTGCCCGGAAGGGTATTTTGTTTGCCTTGAGGATTGTTTCTAATCTTGAGGTGGCTGTGATTATATGGGAAGAACCGGCAGTCAGAGAGGTGTAGAGATATAGAGTAGGGTCTGTGGAATAGGATGTCGCCGCCATGGTGGGCGGGTTCTGTGGAGGATGCTTGAAGCAGGCGCTGGGATTGGAAATCCTCGCTCTTAAGGTGAATGAGAGGATGGTGATGAGGAGTGTTGCAACGTGAGGCTTGTGGTAGCAGGTTATAAGAATAGATGGCAGGCGCGTGAGAGCTTGCAGTACTGCAGTCGCGACTAATGATGCGTTAGTTTGGGTAACGTAGGGTTTGATGGTCATTGCGCAGTCGACTCGGTATCTAGTACTAAGCTAATATTGCAATGCATATGGGCGTTGATGTCATCGACGCCAAGCACAATGATATCTATCGATGGCAAACCAGTGAGCAGCGAACGACATGATTGTATGACCCAGTGATGCCAGATCTCGCAAATCGAACCAGCGAGGAAGTCCGCGGATGCAGTCACAGCCAACAGGTGAAATGTACAGTAAGGGAGGCAAATGTTCGTCGTCAACTATCAATAATTCGTTCATTCGATGACGGCTCTCAATTTTTCATAAGGCTGAGTTGTCTCGTTTCGTTCATATATCGTCGTGTTCATGCGAGCAACATCATGCTCAGCCTACGCCTGGTGCCAGCACCAATCCGTGTTAGTCAAACCCTTCTCCGACGGGTATTGTAATCTCTCTCCCTTCTTTCTGTCGATCGATTTTGTGACTCGGCTGCACCTGCGGACCAGCAATCGCTTCCAGCCTCCGAAGTAGACTGCCGTCCGTGAACTCACTCGTGGGTTGCAAATCGATCAGCGGTTTGCCATCAGCAGGTGCTGCTCGTCGACTAGCACTGCGTGCAAGCAATCCGGTCCCTGTAAACCCACGCCCTTCAAAGCTGTCGGAACTACCAGGACGAACAGCTCCCTCCAGAAGGCCACGCGTGAATGCGGAAGGCGGCGCCGAGTTCGTTTTAGAATGTTTCGGACTTGTAGGGGGGTTGCTCCCAGTAATCGATTTCTTGGGTGTGAACTCAATCAGTGGTCTCGAGCCATCGCCTTGAGATGGTCGGCCAACATCCTCCAACAAGGGTCTCACAGAATGAGGTACCGTTGGTATTGATTCCTTCGATCGACTTGTGCTTGGTCGACTTGAGGAGGACCCTGCACTCGGAGGAGTTGGTTCCTTGTACCCAACCAGATTGAACAGATACCAATTGCGCCATGCGTGGACGGCATGATACCACGGAAGAACGATTGCTTGGTCCTTCGAGCTGAAGAAATGAACATAGTTGGCTCCCTCCAGAAATAGGGATGGCTTCTGCTGGCTTTTGAGGGCAAAGCACATCTTTCTCGGGGGTTTGAGGATTTTAATCTGCGCCTCGGTCGGGTCGTAGAGATCAAAGTCCGACAAATGGCAGATATTGGTAGAATCGGTGCCGTTCTTGGATATCATGACTTGTCCATCGTTTCTCACCTGAATCCACCTCTTATCCCATCTGCCCGGCTTCTGCGAATAATACATTTGAACGGTCCCTCCTACGGGTTGTTGACTGGGTGCTCCGCTCTCTCGTAGGTCTAAACTTGTATATGCGCTTTCAGCCTTGATCACCAGGTCGTTGCGCTCATCGGAATCCCACGAGTTTAGTATGTCTCGGATCCTCTCATATCTGCGTATGGGCCTCTCTAAGCCTAACTGAGAGAAAGACTCCACCAGGACTGCAGTCTGGACGTTGATGGGTTCGTGCACATGTCTGGCCACGCAGTTCAAGACGTCCCGGCATGTGCTGGAGGGTGTGATGGGAATGGTGAGAGATGAGTCCTTGTATCGAATTCTTATTCTTCTTGAGCCGGCATTAACTGCTGACATTGGAACATCATATGGGGCCACATCACTTGTGGCCGTCACTGGCAGTGATTTCGCTGCCTTTCCGACACTAATTGATCTGCTGTGGCTTACGGCTGGCTTATGAGGAGGCTCGACATTTGATGAGGCATGGATGTGTCCTCTCTCCTGATCCGAGGGAGTGTATCGCCCAATGACCAAAGTACGGGACTTGGGCTGGTCACTCTCCTGCCGGACCTCTCGCTGAGTGCGCCGCCGTTCTGTCTCGGCTCGTCGCAAAGCCCGCACACGGTCGTCTTCGCCCTCAAGAATGAGCCTAGCCTCTTCCCTAGCGATCTCCAGCGATCGTCGGATCTGCTCATCTTCTGTTCTTGGACGTTGCTCGCTCCGCTCGAGCGGGTTTCGAGATTGGCTATAACTAACTTGCGCATTGTTTCCTATGACCATTCTGCGGCCTCTCGTAGATCCAACTTTGACGTACTCATCGTCCGTAGAGTTATCGGTCGTGGAATGCGGTTGCGCGTCGACCACAGGAGCTGACGCATGATGCGTTGCACCGGTGGTTTGGGGTGCGTTGGGCAGTGGAGTGCCTTCGGCTGCCGACTTACTTGAGCGGCGATATCGCGATGGTAGTCGTGTCAAGGTAGTCTGCGAAGCTTGTGGCATTGGGGGAGGATTGCTGGGTTCGTGCTCTTTGGCGGCACTTCTGCGCACTGAGCGGTAGCGCATGAATTTCTGAACTTGCGATGGCGGTACAGGCGCGACGGGGCCATCACCTTCCATCGTGATGGAAGGCCAGGGGCCAGCGACAACGAGATACCGCAGTGACCGGAAGTATGGGCCAGCTGCTGACCTCTTTATGTCTTGAACAAGTTGTCGCGTGTGTTGTTTTTGCTGGTATGCAGCCTGTCAGTTTTAATTAATGTTTAAGGAGGGGCTGGCTTGTTAGGGACATTGGGAACACACAAAACTCCCCACAAGGTCCATATAATCTGCAGGTACCCGATACTGTGGTACTCTTTAACTAAAAGCCCCCGAGCCCTTCTGTCATCAGCGGCGTCAAAACTTTCTCTCTAAATCTCTTGCTGCAGCGTGGGATTTTCCGGCTTAGAAACCATGGACTCATCGATATAGCACCGCAAACCCCCCAATACCTTCAACTCCTGTAGAAGACACTCTTGCGGACTCACCGGCCACTATACACCACCTGCCACAAGGGCTCCAGTCAGCAGCTCTGGCATTGAAGTATGCAACGTTCTTAAATTGCAACTCGACCAGTGAGACTTTGGCGTGAGGCTTGAGGGGCTCATGCGCGTTGTGGATGGGGTATCGATCGCGGTCTCGAAGAAATTGAGGAGTGACTACCGCATATGATGTTTCGCTAGTTGCTTCAGTCGAGCTCTGCCTGGGCCACAACCCAGAACTTGGGGTTGAGTCCAATGAGACTGGCGACTCTTCTTTGTACAGGTTCGGAGTGCTGCTGGTACGTTTTAGCCGGTCCTGCGGCTTGATAGTGCGTGCAATCCCTTTCTGTTTCCTTTTCGTTGGTTGTACATTTTTACCATCCTCGAGGCTTCCAGCATGTCCGAGGGCCAGTCGCTCCAGGTCCCAGAAGCGCAATTCGGAGTGCGCATTAGCAAACGCTAGGACTGGGTGGAGATCTGGATAGGCTGCCGACGGCATTGAGAGGCCAAACCGAAGATAGAACTGTTCGATTCGTGGGGTCTCGAATTCCAACAGCCTCTCGTATAGAGGCTGGTCCTCAAGCTCTTTCGCCACATCCACATTGGCCACTCCATCAGCTCTGGTGATGATGGATCGCATGAAACCATTTCGTGTGTCGAGGTATTCTTCGACCTTGGGTGCGGTTGTAGAGTCGGGAGGAGGAAGTCGAGAATCAAACCCGGTCACTTTCCAAAGCACAAGCTTGTTCTCGTTTGCGGCTTTTGATATGATCAAATCACCAAAGAATTTTGCACAATCCACAAAGTTGGAATGCACTGCTGAGCTGACAAAGTGAGGATAATATATCGTGAAAACATCATCGGAGCTTCGCTTTCTGTGCTCTGGAGAAATATGTTGCCAAAAGCTTGATTTATCATCTAGGTCAGGTATCGTCCAGACACATATTCTCTGATCGTGACCGCCTGTGACCAGATAGCGGCCACTGGCATGCCAGGATACACACAATACACCTTCACAGTGTCCTGTTGCTTGACCACATATGATGATGGTCGATGATTCGTAGCGGTTTGCATGCCGTCGTAGATCCCATATTCGAAGGCTCTTATCCATCGAAGCGGTCGCGACAATCCATGGGTAACGCGGATGAGTGGCAATGTCATTGATGGTTCCATGACCGTGGCCGACCAATGTCGTGAACAGGTCTCCCTCGACCGCATCGATGACTTTCAATTGACCGGATCCTCCTGCCACCGCCAGAAGAGGTCTCTGTTGGTCAATGTAGCACCATGAACATGAGTTCAGACCAGGGGAGTTGGGATCATCTGTTTCCTGTTGATCCACCAACTCGTGCAACATGGTCATGCTGGCATTGCTCTGAGCGGACAGACGACCAATGTATACCTTTCTTTGGCTGACGACCGCGAACACAGGCTCCTCAATTGGAGGTCGCGAATACGGATAGAACTTGACATCATAAAATGCGAAGCGATCCGTCTCTGGTTCAGATTTGAATTTGTGTTTGAGCTTTGGTAGAATGAAGGACTGTCTTGAAACTGCCTGAGAGGCCATAGTATCGCAACACAGCACCAAGCGGAGGCAAATGTCGGGCGATTTGCATCTCTATTCAATATGATTGAGGATTCAGATGTTCTTCGTGGGAGCCCATACAGAAGAAGTTGAAGGTGGTGGCAGCGCGTGGTTGGTCGTGTTGTTGTGCTTGAAGTTTGCTGGTGGAGGAGAATGCGTCCTGGCTGCCGACCTGTAAAAAAGATTTCTTAAAGTATGCACTCAACTACGAGGCTTAACTCCTGTTCTTGACGAACCTCCTCGCTCTACAGCTGGTCTGCTATAGCACAATAGAAAGGAGGAACATGGACGTCTTATGTTCTTGGCGGCGCAGCCGGCATCAATTCTTTCGACGCGTTACTATAACCCAATCAAGCACGCTTCATCCCATCTTTACGCCCACTGGTCTCTCTAGTCTTCTTCACATCATACAACCAAGAATCGCATAGTTCCTATAGTACAAAAGGGACGTTCCGTATCGCTCAATCCTCCAATTGATCATAAATCATTCATCATCCGCCGCTTGACGCGCTGCCTCTGCTACAATAGCATCCAACACCTCCTGATTTGCCTTTCGGACGCAGTTCTCCCCTGGTGTGTCGGACCCTTCCACAACATCCACGGCTCTGAGCACAAATTTGAGTCTGTGGTCGCACGAGATCGCGTAGGCAGCGTTTGAGATTCTCGATATCTTCATGGGTGCCTCAGGCTTCGAGCTGTCGACCTCCATGGCGTGCCTGCCGTCATCAGATCCCTCCTCGTCATCAAAAACAGGCAGTATGAGCCCTGTAGTTGCGTGAATGTAGCTTGAAATTGCTCCCATGAAGTACTCTTTGTCAGACTTCCCATTCTCTGGCATGGCCTTGAGGACTGCGAAGGGTGCGATGGCCAGCTCCAGAGATTTCAGATGTGGTGCCACTGGCGCCGAGAAGGCTATGTGAACCTTTACGGTGCTGATGACATTGATGAAGATGTCCTGTACCCGGGCTTGCTGCGAGGTTGAAGCCGTTTCCAACGATGAGTAGATGCTGGAAAGGTAGCGCTGAAGCGTGCCTTGGATGAATGCCGAGGGCAATTGGAGAGGGTGGATGTTGTCGAGGGCAAATGTGTCGTACAAGTAGTTCGTCAGAGATCGTACTGCGGAGGGAGAGGATTTCGAGAGGAGGATGGCTGTTGGGTTTCGCGATCTCGAGCAAGACTGTGTCCATGGCAATGACCGGCTGCGCTTAGCAGCGTTGTTGTTTGTTGTGTACAATATGAACTTGTGTGTCGTCTTCTCGTAGACAAGTGAGATGAGGACTCCCTGGTCCACGGATCCATTGATCACTGAGTCTGCTCGCTTTCGTTTTCTTCCAGCATGATCGGACTGAGCCGCTTCGTTGACGTCGCCATCAAGTCTGGTCCATTTGCATTGTCTCAACACGCCTAGCTTCTCCTTCTCTTCCTCAAACTCGTAGTGAGGGCGAGCCTGACTCAGCGCATCTCGAAAGGTATCGGCATGTGTCGAAAGCTGGTATCTGTGCCTCGCTTGTTCGTGTGTTGATGGTGGAGTCAACAAGGCTGTGAATGGCGCCGTCAACTTCGGGATGCTGTGGACAAGCCAGGACGTCTCATAGAAGCAGTTCTCCATTTTGTTCTGCAATCACATAGTGAGGGAACGACCACTCTCTTGCGCAGACTCGACTTATATGCATCAATGCCGGCATAAAAAGGATTCGAGGGGGAAATTGTCCATGTCTTGATTCTCGTATTGCTGACCTTTGACTTTGGGCGCACACCCTGTCGACGCGTAAACACGTGATGATAAGGCGACCGCCATCAAACTCATTTCATCCTTTTCCCGTCCTTCTCTTCTTTCTTCACTCTTTACAACGGCTCGGAACTTCTGCAACCACTTTCCGACACGGCATAGTCAGCAAACACCATGTTTGCCAAAATGTATAAGCAGATGAAGCTGTATGGTAAAGGGGCCATCTGCTTCGATATTTGGCCCATTTTCTTACCTTTACAAGCCGGGAACATTTTACTGACTATCGGCGTTCGTCCGAACGAATTATGGAAGCACTTACGGGCACGGCACGGAGATAGACAAGTCGTCCCTCGTTTGCCGGTCCCTTTCCTGAATTGAATAACAGTTGAAGGCTTGGCTTACACCCCTCAGCGACACGGAAGAACATCACTCCATCGATCATCGTTCGGATACTTTCTTCAAGAAAGCTGACGCTCACCTCCAGTCGTATCGACCGAGGAATTTGAGGTGGTGATTGGATGTCATGTGTAGTGTCGATGCCGTCTGCCTGGAGGACCGTCCAAATCCATGACAACGCTGTGGTTTAGCACACCTTTTCAGCCTCCTGGGTGCATTACAAGAGTCAATGACGAGCTCTTGCCTCTCTTTGCTTGCTAATTGACGCGGGTTTACGAACACCGAGACAGGTAGGTCCATTGATCTGAACACTGCGTCAACTGGATACACCGCCAGCATGTCGGACCGGCATCGTTATGCTGAACATTATATAAAACCGTGCCTTACACCTGTCTTCTGAACATATGTTCTCATCGAACCACTCAAAGCAAAAGCACGAAGTAGCTCTCAATTACCTCAACCAGTTCGTCTTCCCATAAACAGCCTCAACGACCACAATACCACATCACTACTCAGCTATGTCTCACCAAGCTGCCCTCATCCCGTCCAAGGGACAGCCCCTTGTGGTTGAGACCGTCAAAACAGTGCCACCGGGTCCAGGAGAAGTCCTCATCTCTGTCTCGGCCATCGCCTTGAACCCCATCGACTACTACATGCGGGATGCAGGTTTCTTTGTCGCCAGCTACCCAGCCATCGTTGGCTCCGATATCGCGGGCACCGTCGAGGCCGTGGGCTCTGACATTCCATCCTCATCTCCTTTCAAGAAAGGCGCTCGCGTCCTCGCCTTTGGCAATACCTTTTACAAGCAAGGCCAGCCAGACGCCAACAACTACGGCGCCTTCCAGCAGAAAGTCGTGGTTCCTATCGAATCCGTCGCGGTCATTCCTGACAGTCTCGGCTTCGTCGACGCCGCAACGCTGCCCATGAGCGTTGGAGTAAGTCTCCTCATTGTGGACAGTTGCAAAACTGACATTTGCCCTCCAGACCGCTTTGACCGGCTGGATGAACATTGGCCTTCCAGTATCCACGCGTGTTGACAGCAAGCAAGCCGTCCTCGTCTGGGGAGCAGGAAGCAGCATCGGTGCCGGCGCTATTCAGACCGCCAAGGCAATGGGTTTCACCGTCTATGGCACCGCAAGCCCCAAGAACTTTGAAAACCTGAAAGCCCTTGGCGCCAATAAACTCTTCGATTACAAAGACCCAGAGGTCGTCTCGAATGTCATTGAAGCTGCCAAAGCCGACGCTGTGTCCTTGAAGCACGTATACCGAGCGGCCGGCGACATAGGCGGCTCTGACCTCCCGCCTGTTCAGGAAATTCTTAAGGCCTCTGGCGGTGGCGCCATCGCGTCTGCTGTGATCTTGCCGGAATACACACCACAGGTCGAAGGCGTGGAAACGAAGTTCGTCCAGGGATCGGCTGATCCTGAGGAGCGAAAGAAGTTTTTGGCTCGGGCATTCCACGATTTCCTGGCTCCTAGGCTGGCGAAGGGCGAGTACATTCCCGCTCCGAAGGCGAAGGTTGTAGGATCTGGCTTGGAGAGTTTGAACAAGGGTCTTGATGAGCTCAGGGGTGGTGTTAGCAATGTCAAGATCGTTATTGAGCTCTGATCGCGAGGTCGAGTTGGGGTCCAACGGAAAAGAGTCGCTCGTTACAGTGATTAGTTAGTGTATTGATTGCGGACGACGCAATGGTAACAAGGGAAATGGACTTGAAACTAGGTCTGAGATGCCAGCACTGTTCTACACACCCTCGACTGCCGTGTCGGTTTGGTTGCCCATACACTCTATGCTTTGTACTCCTCTTGCTAGTTCACCACCCCAAGTCTACTATGAGTTCGTGACCGAAACAAACACAAATCCTGTGTAACACTCGCTCACGAACAAAGGGCTACCGTGTATCCGGCTCAATAATCCCCATACACCCATTCTTAGCATCATACTCCCTTAATGACCGTACCGCCACACTACGAAAATATGACGGCACAGAAGGATCGTCTCCATCGTTCCCAGCGTCAACGTCGCTTAAGCTGTGTGTCGACCCGGTGCGCACTGCGCCGATACGACGTTCCAATGCAGGAAACGGTGCCACATTGTGCTCGTCGTGCCCTGTTACTGTCGCCGATATCGCTGGTTCCGGCGTCCGCGCAACGAGAAGACGTCCTGAAGGTAACGTGATCTGTCGGAGTGGGGCCCGCGTCTTCTCGAGGTATGCGAGCAGCGCAGACGTAGAGAGTGGGGAGCCGTGGAATGAGAGCGCTTGTAACGATGTGCCCGAGCTTCCCTCTAGATCTGGCAGACCTTCGTCATGATACGGAGTGCTCTCGGTAAGAGTGAGTGCATCAAGCCATCTGAAGTCTTCGACGGACTTCAGTGATAGATTCGCACAGGACTCGAGCGCAAGGTGCCTCAATTTCGCGGGAGTACTACCGCTGCTGTTTGCATCGTGCGATCTACGCGCCCAATGGTACTGCCCTAACCATTGCACAAACTCGTCGTCAACGCCCATGACATTCCGCAGCGTCAGGTCCTTCAGCGCCGGGTTCCTTGCAATCCATCTCTGGAGTTGGACACTGGTGATTCCGGCGCGTTCGACGGTCAGACTTTCGAGACTGGTCAATCGCAAGTTCGATTCGTTCTCGCGGCCGAGACCTGCCAGGCTGTTCCACAGGGGACTGCCTTTCAGGAAGAGAGGTGACGACCAGTACTGCGCTGGCAAGCATGAGTCGTGCAAATAAGGGTGGTTGAAGTTCAAATGGAGATGGCGGAGTTTGGGAAAGCGCGTTGCAATTATGTCGCTCAGAGAAGGGGAGACGATGTTGTAGATGTGCAGGGTTAGCGATTGCAGATTGACGAGGCTGGGTGTTGAGAGGATGGAACAAGATAGCGCGTTTTGGAGTTGGAAGAGTTCCTCGCGGTACTGGACAGGCGTCAAAGGTGGTGCATCAGGCGGCTTCTTGCTCCTCGAGCGCCGTGGCCTGTTGAGGTGCGCGGGCAGAGTTGATGGTATTATGATTTGATTGCGGGAGAGGGAGTCATGGCCCCAGAAGGCGTAGTTGTGGTCTAGGTCGTCGAAGTTCGAGGCGTTGAGGAATGCTAGGATGCCGTGAACTCGTTTGGGGAGAACGGCGAGTTGAAGATCTTGTAAAGCTGAGATCGAGCCGGAGTAGTGTTGTTTTGATGTCCGGGCGAAGGTGAGAAGGCTACTGATGGGGAGGTATGTGAGGATTTGGTGAAGAAGCTCGGGCGGGAGGTCAGAGATGCGCGCTGACGTTGATGCGGGTTGCATGACGGCGCTGGAGCGTATAGGCTACCTAGCCTTTGTGTTGATAGAGAGTGAATGTCGATGAGACATGAGGTGATGTAGATATCGAGGTTGGGATCATGACGGGAAGGGAAACGTGGGGGGTTATAGGCTTATAGCTGTGGATGGCGAGAAGTCCCGATGTTATGTTTTGAGCGGAATCTGGGAAATCAGTCAGTCTTCCCAGCTAGAAAACAAAAGTACAATTTTTCTAGACTGTGAGGACATGGCCGACATGCGGAACCGCAACAAGTCCTCCTGGTGGTCAGAAAGCTCTGAAGAGATGGAAAGTCAAAGGATAAAAACTAATGCCGCCCACAGTGCCGACTTGTGTTGGCCGGACAGTGATAGGTGATGCAGTACCTTAGTTACCCACGAACGGGAGGTCAGTGCCCATCATTTCAAACCCAAAGTGCCGGGACGAATCGCACTTCGGCATCGGGAACTGAGCGGAATGGCCTGGATAATCAATAAATGGGCCTTGATGAAGAAGCTAGGGAGGCTTCCAAGGGGTCTGGACCAGGCCAAGTCCCCATCACGAATTGCCGAAGATCGCGACATGCCGCTGCCATGGGTAGATCAGAAGAGACACGATTAGCACCCGAAAGAGAGATTAATCGGAGAAAGGTACATCAGGCGAGTAGCAGGCGTTCACGCTTCATGATTTCGTACATTCGTGAGGCCGTAAATCGACAACTCCATAGGCCATGAGAGCCTATCCTGGACAATTGCATCGCTAATCCGTCTCTCCGCTACTGTGTAACCATGCCTTCCGGATCCTGAAAACGTCGCAGCATCCACTCACAGATTCAACCAGAGATCTTCCTCCTGTGACACTGCTGCAACCATCCTAGAGAACTTTTGTGCACCATCAGCATTCCCATCATCTTGGTTCTTCTCCCGTCCAGTTACAGCCTCGGCACAACCTTGAGCGACAGTCTTAAGACATCTCCTCCTCGCCGCCACAATCCTATCCCAGTGCGAACGCCATGCTCTCTGTATCGTCACCGCTGCCCTCGCACCTCGAGTCGGCCCTAGCAATCGCGAACACAAAAATGCCAGAGCAGCCAGCACAAAGTCGCGATCGAATACATGCGTGCACCGCTGTGACTCTTGGCCTGTCGCAAAAAGTCCAGAGAATTGCTCGCTGCACCCCAGTCTTCGGAGTCGTCCAGACAGCTGCTGTTGCCCTTTAGCCAACGGATTCTGGTGATTGTTGTACCCTTCATATTCGTCCACAATCGCCTCAAATACTCGGCCATCCGCGAAACTGGTCGTCAAGTTCTTCACCACAAGTCCTTTCGTGCTCGCAACGGCCTGGGCCCACGCCTTGAGCAGTGACTTGTATCTCATATGATCATGTTCGTCGTCATCTCCGATCGCGTGGAAGAAGTCGTTGTCATACTTTCCAGAGACCCGACATAGTCTTTTGATCTCACGCTCGACATCACGACAATCGATCAGCGCTCCCAGTCCCCATTTACTCGTCAACCCCCAGAGTAGCTTGACAGTCTTTTCGCGGAAGCCGTCCACAATATCCTCAGCTTGCACGTTCTGCACCAAGCCACCCATTCCCTTAACGCCTTGCAATGCGCTGAGCGTGATCTGTACATTGTACAGCTTAGCTGCTCGACTGATGCATGGAAACTTCAAGTGCTGAGATAATGGCCACTGAGTCTGTCCTTCGACCAACGACAGCTCTTCCCCTGTCGGCAAGACCACCGTGGTTGTCGAGTCTGCATGATCGAGCATCCCAGACGCGAAGGGGTACAAGAGCAATTCGACCAATCGAGTCAGTCGTACACCATCACGCAAGTCCACCGCCAGATTGTCAACCTGGTAAGTATACTCTTCCAGAGGATACTGCTCGTGGGTGACATTGTACCCGATATGGCTCAGCGCTCGGATTGGATCTCCAGCACTGGGGTTGAGAAGTTGGAAAAGAGCTCTGACCACACCAGCAGAAGTCTTGTAGTTCGAAGAGGGTCGAAACAAGCTTCCACTCACGACTTGCAATGCCGTTGTCTTGGTCATGTCGAGTATCTTGATGACCATCATACTGCGCAGAAGAGTTCGGTGATACGACCATGCCTCCCGGCCCTCTGTGTAGAATTCAGACTTCCCATCCTCGTTGTGAATCAGAAACGCCTCCATAAACTGTCGCATAGAACGCCGGCTTGCATTTTCTCTCGCGCCGGTACTGCACTGTCTCCCAACCACAACTTCCATCGCAGCTCGCAGATGCGTCAAGTCGTACGTGTCAAGCCATAAGTCGATGAACGCATTTCTCTTTCCCAGATCGGTGCTCAAGCGGCTGACGCCTTTCAGCACTTCGCTAGGCACACTAAGAGCGCCATATAGCAGACCCGCCTGGAGTCGTTTGTACAGCACCTCGTTCTCAGCACTGCCATACATCTCCAGCAGACGAATTCTAAACATGCTGCCATCTTCGCCAGACTCCGATGTCTGAGACGTCGCCGCAAAAAGATTGTTGACAAGTTGCGTGATGGCAACCTCCTGGTGACTTAACCAGTTGTCCTCGTACATTGCTGGACAGGCCAGGTCATCCGTGAGAAGAGGATATGCCACGTCGATCATCATCTCTGATTTGAGTGATGGGATGACGAACCGGCTTGGTACTGAGGGCTTTTTGGCGACAATTTGTGGCTCTCGAGCAGCATGGCTTTCGGTAGAAGCTGTTGCCCATGCTTGCTCATGTATAGCCTGGGCATTCTTGATATGCGCACCGATGTTCGTAGGGGCTTTCCATGCAGGTCTTGCATTTCGCGTTAAAGTCTTCTTTTCAGCTTGTCGTCCTGACGAACTTGCTGTCTGCTGGAATAATGTTGAAGCTCGTACTTCATGAGCGGGAGCACCCATGTTATTTCTCGTCGAAGCTACACTCTTGTCGATGTTCTTGCCATTTGTGATGAGCCGATCCTGCCCGGGCGGAACGTTCTCCTTCCCTGGACCTGATCCAACTCGATCCTCCTGAATAACGGCCTCTTGCACATTCCTCTGGGACATCTGCAGCGGGCCTCTTCCTCGCTTTGGTGACAGTGTAATCATCGAGTCGCGTGGCAATCTTGCCCTCGCCTTCTTCTTTGCTGCCATCTGCGCTGCAATGCCTGTGATTTCGATGTCCATTTCTGCTTCTACTCCTGATTGCTGTGGTTGCACTTCCGCGACAGGATTGAGGCTGGCGTGTTTGATAGGCGAGAATATTCCCATGTACATGCTCGGCATTGTCGTGTCTTCGTTGGGTATGTAGATTGTCCCTCTGCGTGGAGGTTTCAGGACGGTCGTTGGCTCATTGTGATCGGGCAGTGCTATCGTAAGGTCTTCTTGCAGCTTGGAAGATGTTGGCGGCCTTCGAGGCATCATGTTCAATTTGCTGCCGGCAGCAGCCATGGTGTGACTCTGACTCTGACTTTGGCCTCTTTTTGTCGTGGAAGAAGGGATCGGTAGCTTTTGCTCATTGAAGTCACCTGGTCGTGGCAATGATACTGAGACACGTTTTGGGACATCTTCTGTTGCCTCATAGATTACCGTACCTCTCTTCTTCGTTCTCGGACGTTGAGGAGGCTGTGAAATCATCGTGCACCGTCTAGATGGCTGGCAGTTGTCGTTCTTTCGGGACTCGGCTGCCGCAGAAACATCCTCATGGATCGCAAATTTGGCACCAATGTTATCGCCTTTCCTAGGTTTGACCACAGACCCTGCTGCATTCCGGAGTCGACGTGGTTTAGTATCTCTAATAAGCGACCCTGATGCATTGAAAACAGAAGTGAACTCGATAGTCGTCGTTGCCGTGATGTCGTCGTCGAAGCTTGGCAATGGTGATGCAGATGTCGGCACTGGACACGGTGTGCCCGAAAGACCGCGAAACATGTTTGCTTCTTTCTCTCCCAATCCAGATACCAGCGCGTCGTGCAGCGTGGGGTTGAAACTAGGACATTGGTATAATTTTCTCAGTAATTGATATAATTGACTTCACCGGAAACACGTTCAGAGTCCGACGCGTCGTAGTCGTAAAAATGAACGTCTGTTTAACTCGGCTGTTGCCGAGCAACCACAAAATTACCCTCCAAAGAAAAATGATCATTTCGCTCAAGATACTACCATAGAATATCTCTCACTGGGGATCAAGCATACTATGGCACCTCCACCGAGCTTGCTTCTTTGTTACGTTTGTGAGACATTGCGTTGCAAGAACATGTCTACTGTTGGCCCCCAAATGCCCAGCTGCAGGACATGGTAACTCAGAGGCAAGGTATGAATTTATCAACCCCTCTCTCTCTAAGAACCCCTCGGGGTTAACGTCATCGATACCTTGCGGCGTCCTGCAGCCTAATTTTGACCAGCGAATGACACCTTCCTGGACGATTCGCATCACCAGCAGCTCCATGGTTAGGCAGCAGGTATTACTGACTATGAAACATATCGAGAGGTAGCCAGCAGACGCTGTGAAGGGTGTCTGGCATCGCAAGTCTGGGCCATGAAAGCTTCGCCTGAACGGCCATCTCAGCAGGATATGTCGGATGACTTGACATTTTGTGGAAAAGGCTATCACAGCACCGTATATCGCCTCCATGGCACAGACACAGTTGTCAAGTGCTTCGAAGGAGCGTCGGCAGAAGCGCAATGCAACATCGAAACAAAGGTCTATGAACGCTTCACGTCAGTGTCCGAGGCGCCGCCGTCAAGTATACTCAAACATTATGGACAACACCCAAACATCCCGAACAGTATAATTCTTGAGCACGCTGGACAAGGAAGTCTTTGGGAATGGTTGTGGCGTGCTCGTGAGTTTGGACAGCTTCCCACCCCTCCAATTTTGTACAGATGGGCACGTCAAGCGGCAGAGGCACTCGCCTTCGCTCATCGTTGCGGGATCTTCCACTCCGATATACATGTCATCAACTTCCTGTTGGATGGAGACTCGAACCTGAAGGTTGCAGACTGGGCTGGGGCGTCGATTAACGGAGGGCACTCTCTCTCAAGGTACCGAAGAGACCATACTCTGCCCGGCACGACCGGTGACAACATTTCGGTGGCATCCGAGATATTCGCCTTCGGAATGGCGCTGTACAACATGATCACTATCGAAGAGCCATACCCAGGTCTTCACCACGAGCACGACAAAGATGAGCTCAAAAGGCGACTGGCTAAGAAGGAATTTCCAGATGCCACCAAGCTTGTCGTGCTTGGTCAGGTCATCCGTGGATGCTGGAATCTGCAGTACAGCTCCATGGAAGAAGTCTTGGAAAGCATTGTCGGTGATTCCAACGCTTTTAGCAGAACCATTTTGTGAAAGACTGACCTCCATTGTTGTGGTACTGTTCGCTGTTCATCTTCGATTCACCAACGTCCTCGGCAACAGATGTCTTCCCCGCATCCCTCAACGTGCCTAATTCCCCTTCGTCCAATCGTTTCCGAGTCTGACCTGATGATTGGCAAAATGTAACAGGCTTTCATCACAAAGAGTTTCCCATATGTAACGACGGTCAACTTCCATTCGAAGCCAGACTTGCATTGACTTACCGACGTGCTTGACGTTGACAATGGGTACAATGCAAACGTTTGATCTATATATCAATGGCACCGAGTGCAAAGGCGGCTCTGGGTACGAGGACGCTCTGAACCCATACACCGAGCAGCCATGGGCTAAAATAGCTCAGGCTTCAACGGAAGATGTCCAGAAGGCTGTTGAAGCAGCTGAAACAGCCTTGGAAGCCTGGAGCAAGGTATCAGGACTTCAACGAGCCAAGTTGATGCACAAACTTGCCGACCTCATCGAAGAAGAAGCCGATACTTTGTCCAAGATTGAGACTTCGGACAATGGCAAGATCCGTCGGGAAACCAAAAGCCAGATGTTCTTCTCGGCACGTAACTATAGGTTCTTCGCCGGCATGGCGGACAAGTTGGTCGGCGAAACGAAACCACTCGACAGTCCAGCAGCATTCGACTTTACCAAACGCGAGCCTATCGGCGTTTGCGCGCTCGTAACCCCGTGGAACAGTCCTATTGCAATCCTCACCAACAAACTCGCTCCATGTCTTGCTGCAGGTAACACTTGCGTCATTAAGCCGAGCGAGTTCACCACGGCGAGCACCTTGTACTTTGTCAAGATCGTCGAACGAGCAGGCTTTCCACCTGGCGTCGTGAACGTGGTCGCTGGTAAGGCTGAGTTGGGTCAAGCGTTGGTGACACATCCTTCCCTTGGACGTGTCAGCTTCACAGGCAGCGTAGGTATTGGTAGAATTATCGCCAAACAGGCCGCCGAGAACATCGTGCCTGTCACACTTGAGCTGGGAGGCAAGTCCGCCAACATCCTCCTGGACGATGCCGAATTGGACCGGGCAATTCCAGGGAGCGTCGCGGGTATCTTTGCCGCCTCAGGGCAGACATGTATCGCTGGCTCGCGACTTCTGGTCCATCGTTCCATCTACGACAAAGTGCTCCAAGGAATACTGGAGCGCATAAAAACGATACGCTTCGGCGATCCACAGGATATGACGACGGACATTGGACCCTGTGCTCACCGGGGTCAGTGGGAAGCTATCCATCGCCATATCGAGAAGGCCGAGAAGGATGGAGCAAAGCTGCTTGTTGGAGGTCGGGCAGCCAGTGAAAAAATGGGTGGTCTCTTTGTCGCCCCTACGGTATTTGGTGACGTTGACCCAGCAAGCGACTTGGCCCAGAATGAAGTCTTTGGTCCGGTGTTGGCGCTGATACCATTTGATACGGATGACGAGGCCGTCAAAATTGCCAACGGCACCAAGTTTGGTCTGGCAGCAGGTGTCTGGACATCCAACATTCGTCGTGCTCACATAATGGCGAATCGGCTTAATGCTGGGCAGGTCTGGGTCAACACTTACAGATCCAGCGCGGCCATGGCACCGTTTGGCGGCTTTGGACAGAGTGGTTACGGCAAGGAACGAGGTACGGAGGCTTTATTGGAGTACACGCGCCTCAAGAACGTCATGATAGACCTGAGTGAAGAGGTGCGGGATCCGTTCACGATCAAACTATAGCGATGGAAACAACTTCGATTTCGTACAAACTATCGCCGTGGTTTCCTTAACCTTCTATACTTCCAAACTCTATAACCACTCGTTCCATGTCCTAGGAGACAAATTTAAGCATTGACTTCCTTGCGCCCTTGTAAGTAATCTTCCCAGACTTGCCCAATATTGTGCTTGTAAATCCAGTCCAGATTTCCTTTCTGTCCTATTCCAAACATCTGAAATCTAGCCTTGAGAATGTCATCAAAGCTTCGGTTGTCGGCCTCCAGTGTTTGCAACTTCTCTCGTTGCTCGGCAAGATATCTGTACCTATACATTTCACCCAGAAAATTAGCCAATCTTGCCTACATCCACGAGGTTGACATATGGCAGACATACATTCCTTGATAGTACGGCAACCGGATCTCTTCGAAGATCTGCAGTGCACTCCTGAGGAAGTTCGAAGGATCACGATTGTAGGTGAGCTCAATGGCACGGGCTAGCGTCCATCCGTCTTCCATACCAAACGCTGCCCCTGAACCGAAGGCACCTTGATTGCTCATGTCAATGGACAACTGCATCGCAGTTTGGGATGGGTGAATACGCACCGTGGAGCGGATGACTAGCATCTCCAATGAGTACCACCTTGTCCCAGCCGGTGATTTTCTCTGGTCCTGGCCCAGCATAGTTTGCGAACTCCCTCCAATTACCTTCTGGTACAGCGGCAATAGCATCCTGAACCCTTTGATCATACTCCTGTGGGGTTTTTCAGCTTGGATCTTGTAAGACAGGGTGAGTACCTACCAGGAAGCGAGATTGTACTCGTTCGTTGGTTGCTGGGATGCCCCAGGAGACTGTCCGACCTGGAATTTCGGGTTCGTGGTAAGACCTCACCGAGAGTTCGAATAGTTCTTCTTCGCCAGGCTTTAGCTTGGATGGGTCGTCGACTCCCGAAAGATACGCGTGACCACCTTTCCCATACCACCATGATGTACCGCGACTAATATCAGGAAGATGGGCCAGGGATGATCGAGGGATTAGAGTACGCCACGCGGTATTGCCTGCGAGACCTCGTCAGTTGGTCGTGGACGGTCCATGAGTAGGGCAGTCTGACCCGTGAAGTGAATCCGAAGGTCAGGATATAGAGTACGTCGGACCACCTATCATTCAACGTTAGCCGCATGTGTGGATTCCAGGCGAATGGGAGGCAAACAGACTGAACGTATGCCTTCGGCCGCCACAACCAAGTCTGCTACCGCTTCTGACCCGTCCTCGAATTGCAGAAGAGCCCCATTTTCTCCAAGGTCTTCCACTGTCACGAGCTTTTTGTTGAATTGGATGACACCTTCGGGTATCTTTGCGAGGAGACCAGACTGAAGACGAGTCCTGCGAGCTCGGATAGCACCTCGTTTATCTTCTTTGGCATTCTCTGGCCATGGCTGCTTCAGTACTACATCGCCGTTGTAGCCATTCCTGACCAGCAGATCTGCATGAGCTTAATTCTTGAAGCATGAAAGGGTACTGCTCACCTTTGAAGAGTGTCAGCTTTGGATGACCCCCAGACTCCATCGGCAGCACCAAGTAAGTCCAGAACTTTCCATGCATTGTAGCTTAGACTGATACCAGCTCCGACTTCGCGAGGTTCTGGATTACGTTCGTATATAGTGACAGAGAGGAACGGCAGTTCAGAGAGTGCGATGGCCGCTGCAAGACCAGCTGGCCCACCCCCAACGATGGCAACAGTAGTAGTCGGCTGGTATGAACCCATGATAGATGATGTCTTGCAGGAAGTTTCGATATATCTGCGAGCATACACCTTATAAACAAGCGTTCATGCCATGCTTACGAAACCCGGCATGTTCCAATCTGTCACCGTCGGCAATGGTGTGTACCGAGCCTTTTGGACCCTGCATCAAGAGACATAGCACGCCATCTTGGGCCATTCGACGTCTTCACCACATTCAGCCCCTGAAGTCTGAAAGCTTCACTCTTACTGGCTGTAAACGGAGAACCCGAAGCCCACTACACGTGTTTGTTGCAGGACGCAGTCGCTCATCCACAGTCGACCTCTTGATGTGTCGAGCTATCTTCCAGGCTGCGCATTGGATGATCCGGAACAGTCCCGCACAAATGAGCAATCAGAGGCTGATACTCGCATTTTCCCCACCTACAAGGTTTGCGGTCACACCGGAACTCCTGATCAATGTTGAAGCCGCAAACATGTTCGCTTCCAGTCATGCCGGTAGTCTAGATGTCTGAAGTACTGGTCCAGAGAGTGGCACCATCTAGCAATGGTGCACTTGCACACCGCGAATACTGTTCGCGCCAATTCGGATCACGCTCTTTGGCGCAGGTATGGCATAATATCTTACCATCCCTGTTCTTCGTAGCCCAGTATCTCGTTAGGTGAATGCCATTACTTGTATAAATATGGTGACAGCAAGATGTATGAGATGCTACCACTGATCACCATACTCTAAACAAGTTTGCTGTCACTGTAGTGGTCCTACATCATTCTCACGTCGTGGACCCTTTGCAGTAAAATGTCGAAGGAAATCGAACCCACCGTGCAGGACTACGATGGCACCAATAGCCCTGCGCCACGGAAACCTCAGAGGACGTGGAAGAGCTACGTCTGGGATTCTCTCGACAAGTCACCTGAGGAACGACGATTCTTGTTCAAGCTCGACCTGGGCTTGGTCACCTTTAGTTGTCTGGGTGAGCTCCGTGTTCAATATACGACGGGCACATCACAGGGCTAACCAAGTGCCACAATGTAGGGTACTTTATCAAGTTCCTCGATCAGTCAAACCTGAACAATGCATTCGTGTCCGGAATGTGAGACAGCATCACTTTCTGTGCCCCTGAGAAACCGAAGCTGACTCTTGAGAAGGAAGGAAGATCTTTCGATGCTAGGCAACCAGTATAACTACACTACCACACTTTGGACAGTGGGTTACATCCTCGGCGAGATCCCAAGCAACATCCTACTTACCAAGATACGGCCTTCGATATTCATCCCTAGCTGCCAGATTGTCTGGACTGTGCTCACTATGTGCCTGGCGCGGGTCAACACTGTCCATCAGCTCTATGCTCTCCGGTTCCTCATCGGTCTAGCCGAAGCGGGCTTCTTTCCGGGTATCTTATATATGTTTGGATCGTGGTATGGTAAGGACGAGATTGCCAAGCGGTCTTGTATCTTCCACGTTACAGGAGCAATAGCGACCATGTTTTCAGGGTACCTCATGACGGCGGTGATTGGTCTAGGAGGAAAGGGTGGTCTGAAAGGCTGGCAATGGTGAGTACTGCCTCATTCCTGGCTACGAATAAACCTAACTGTGAGTATCAGGCTTTTCATCATGGACGGGATCATTTCTCTTCCCATCGCTTTCGCCAGCTTTTTCATGTTGCCAGACTTTCCCCATAATACTCGTGCATGGTATCTGAATGAGAGCGTGAGTGAACACACTCAACATGGCTTGCAAGTCACATATGCTGAAGCATTTCCAGGATGTGACATTGAGCAGAAAGAGGATGGAGCTCGTAGGGCGTGCACAGAGGCAGCCGTACACAAAGGCAAAAGTCCTCAAGATTTTCACAAGATGGCACATCTGGGTTCTACCGCTCATGACGATGCAAGTGTACCTGTCCCATTAGGTACCACAAGTTACTGACGATCAGCAAAGCTTTGGTGGAGGTGCAGGAGGCGTTGGTCAGCCGATCTTTGCATTCTATCTCAAAGCCCACAAAAACCCCAAATACACGGTTGCTCAGATCAACGACTATCCGACCACCACCTCTGCTGTACAAGTCTTCGCTACGCTGCTGTATGCATACATCTCTGATGGCCCCCTAAATGGAGCAAGGTGGCCGGTCATGCTGTTTTCAGCGGTATGTTTGCATGGACCCGTCCTGCCAGGGCCCTACTGATCTTGAACAGACTCTCAGCACAGTCTTTTGGATTTCGCTTGCGATTTGGAACATCTCTGAGGGTTGGAGGTGGGCATGTTATATTCTAGTGGGACAGGTTCTTGCCCTTGTGCCACTCACCCTGACGTAAAGCCCCTTGTTCCACTTCTCATCATCTTGCAATATTGACAACACTACAGGTGGGCCAACGAGATTTGTTCAGATGATAACGAGGAGCGTGCTCTTGTTGTCGCTGCAATCAACGACTGGCAGTATGTTATCGGAGCTTGGCTACCTCTTATCATCTGGCAACAAACCGATGCTCCAAGATATAAGAAAGGGATGCCCACCGCGGTGGTGTTTAGCTTTATCGTCATCGGTTTGATCCTGATCATCAAATCTCTAGCAGATAGAGACCAGAAAAAGTGAGTACCCACGAAGGAGTTTGCTATGAGCAAGCAACTTGGCTGATACTAGGTGCAGGAAACAAAACGCACGCTATCAGCTTGAGACTGGGTTGTCTCATAGCTCGCCAGATTCCGAGGTCGCGGGGGAAAGTAAGTAGATGTGAGGCTGGCTTGTCACGCACATTCATTGAAGCCGCAATAAGTCGATGCTCTGAGTTTGTTGAGGTCACAGATTTTTATACCTGGATTTTTCGTCAGACATTATGAATGTGCTATTTCTGAGGCACTCTTGGATGGGAGATGGCGAGCTGTTGCACGTTGCATTTGTCGACTCGCTCTACATATTACACAATTTACATGTTATCCACTCAGAATAGCCATGCATCTTGCTCAACAACACTTTTGTTCCGAGTCGTGCAGTATTTTCCACATTCTCTCCGGTGAAGATGGCACAGGGAGTTACAGCAGCAACCTTCCTTAGCAAGCCCAGTACGGTGACAATCCTAAAACATATGTTAACGCAAAATTCAGTGGAAGCTTCATGACGAACGTACCTGTTCGCCATAAGGACATCGATGTCTGGTTGTTCGACGAGGTAAACTCTCAGCATGGTCAGTGCCGGATGTAGGCCTTCTCGAAAGGGTTCCCACTGCAGTAAGCGTGGTTCGAGGGGTGACTCGCAAAGAATCTGGAGCATTGTCGCCCTCAGCACGGAAAATCGTGCGAACCAATACAAAAGTTTAAGACGGGTCCCAACCAGGGATGGTGTGCCACATCCTGGCTCAACAGACCAGTCAAAGTCGGTTGGTAAACGGAGCACCCAAGTATCAAGTTGCTGGCGCATTTCCTGCATGACAGGCGTGGACGTCAAATTGGATCTGCAGCCTAGCTGCACAGAAAACCCTTGCATGCAGCTTGTAAGGCTAGAGGCTGCCAGAATTCTTTCCAGTATTGCTCTCAGAGAGGTATCGGCCAAGAAGAAAGTGTAGATATTGCGAATGTATGTTGGCATATTGTTTACTGATTCTTCACATGGTAGTGGTAGCGAGAAAAGCTCCTCGTATTGTACAAGGTTACTGCTGGGGAGCGTGTCGTCGATTTCATTCACCACATCGCTGCATAAGAGTCAGTCCAGTTCGGTTGTACGTTACAGGAAGTCTTCAAACCGTTCAAGATTTCTGCAAACCCAGAATAGTGATTCAATCATGTTTCTTTCATTCCGTGGTCGATTAATGCCCGAACCTTGGTCTCTAGAAGAATCAGCTGGCTGGAACCGAAGGGGATCGATGTGTTGTACCTCGTTATTAAGATATGCAGCATAGTGCAACATGAGTGTAATGTGATGATGAAGTCAAGTAGTCGACTCTTTCTCAACAGAAACAATGCAGAGAAACACAATGTCTGAACGTAATCCAAGCTCAATTTGGCACTTAGCCGGGTATGCAATTGCATAGCTCGTTGGAAGTCCAGCAAGCCGCTGTCCACAGATGCACCTTTCTCATGTGCTTTTGTCATGGCGATGATGAGAAGAATAAGGCATGAATGAAGATTTTCTCCAAAGCCTTGACTGAGGACAGCATTCGAAAGTTTCAACATGGTACTGTCACACAAGATAGGGTATAACATGCCCACGTAATCCTGGAACTGTTGTACAGCTGGCATCACATCATCGACTGAAGCTTGCTGTTCCTGTAGTACAAGATCTGGAAATGGAGGGCGTTCTTCCTCGCATGCAAGTGGAGCTCTGCCGAGATAATATGACCTCGTCAAAGCCTCAGATGAGGAGCAGCCCGCTTTCTCAACAGGAGAAGTAATGTCAGCACTGCCCATTTCCGGTCGCGTTCTTAGGCTATGCTGGGGTGCAGCGACTCGACCGGGTTCTGACCAAAGCTGCAATGGTGAGGAGGCATCGTCGGGTCCACTCCAGTCGCTCGCTGGAGTCGTGCTTCGATGATTCTGGACCCTGGAGGAGAGCTCCAGCTGTTTCAACCTGCATTCTGCCAGGACCAAACGCTCGAGGAGGAGAGTGTAAGGTATTTCATGGCTTTCTCCGTCAGCAGCATCCTTGATTGAAACGGCATTCACCATCGAATACCTTAGTGGACGTTGCTTCGCATAGTCGCACCTGAACCCATGGCGACTGCAATAGCTGCATAAAGGCCAACCTTCATTACATTTGACCTTCTTCAACCGACAGGTTTCGCATGCCTGCGGCAGTGTTCAGTGTCAAGCAATTGTTTGCAGTGCTTGAGGCTTACTGCGGACGCCTTTCTGTGGCCTTCTTTGAGTGACACTGGCATATTGTTGTGTCTGGCGTGTTCAAGCCTTGGCTGGACCTCTCTAGAATGCACCAAAGCGCTCCTGCCTCGTTTACGAGATGTTTGCTCAGTTCGACTCATCATGTGAAAATCATTGTTGCCTACCTTGAGGGTTCTGGACATTAGGCTGTTTCATTCGCGATGCAATCAAGCTTACCTCGGCTCCGACGGGATTATACAATTGTGCACTGCGATGACACCATAACTCCCAGGTAAGGCGTCACACCAAATTCCGAGGTTACGTGAGCTGAAGATATGAAGTTGGATTGTAATTGGTGAGAAGTGGAATGTCCTCCGAGACTTCGTATGCCATCAAGAGTCCAGATTGCGCAAGCCCCCACCACAAATAAGGGCCGGCAGTTGAGCTGGTCCTTTATGATCTGATCAGTACCAGCAGTACGAACGATGAACAATATGCCTCGTACTGAAATCCTGAGGGGGAAAGTTCACGTTGTTGTTGCTGAAACCAGTTGTGCTGGCAGATAAAATGATTGAACCTGTCCGTCGCGTGGCCGTGGTTGGAGCAGGTGTCTCAGGAGTGACAACTGCAGCTCATCTTCTGGCTGAGGGGGTAGATGTTACTGTTTTTGAAAGGGCTCCTATCGCAGGAGGCGTATGGTCAGTGATGACACAAATGGCAACGGTGCTTTTGTTGACCAAAACCTTAGGGTTTTTGATCCTCGCGTTCCCCATGAACCAGCCTACCCGTCCATGAAACCTTCAGTGGCAGAGTCAACCTTCCATGACCAGGCGAAAGATGATGATCCATATCTTCTGCACTCACCACCTGGGTATGGCATCACACATTCGTGACACTTGCATGCTGACTCTTGGCTTAGCCCTGCTTACGAAAGTCTGACCAACAACGTTGCCACAGAATTTCTCCAGCTCAGCCTCAACACTTGGAAGGCTGGGACGCAGGCTTTTGTGCGACATCATGTCCTGGCAGAGTATATCCAAGAAACAGCGGTGAAAACAGGCGTCCATGAGCAGACTCTCTACAACACCGAAGTCAGGCAGGTGTCGAAGGATGGCAATGTCTGGAGGATTCAAACGTCCACATGGGATCCGATCAAGAGGGAATCGGCCCTGAACCCTTGGGTACATCCATACAGATGAGAATTTCCGAGCTGATCCAGTGACTAGCTTTTCGATGCTGTTGTCGTTGCTTCCGGGCATTACCACGCTCCGCGAGTTCCTGATATACCTGGACTTGCAGAATGGAAGCGAGCATATCCGTCAAGAATCCAACATTCGAAGAGGTATCGAAATCCTGAAGGTTTCGACAATCAGGTAAGTCTGCTTGCAGCCGGATCTGGGTTATGCTGACACTTCATCAAGACCGTTCTCATCATCGGCGGCAGTGCTTCGTCTGGCGACATAGCGAAAGAGCTTGGCCCTGTGGCGAAGAAGACATGGCAATCAACAAGAGGTGGAAAGATGGATGTGCCTGAATCCTGGCTACCACCGAACTGCACACGGGTCACCCAGGTCGCTTCGTTTGGTGAGCTGAGCGACGGGTCCGATTCAACCACAATTCCAGGAAAGGTTGTGCTAGCCGACGATCAAGTACTCGAGAACATTGACCGAGTGATCATTGCAACTGGATATCATTTCACGCTTCCATTTTTCCCACCTGAGTACCACCAAGATCACACACCTCCAGCGAAAGCGGACGACAAGGTCTTGATCACGGACGGAACGATGCTGCACAATTTGCACAAGGACATTTTCTACATCCTGGACCCAACGCTAGCATTCACTGGTGTCCCTTTCTATACCGCCACATTTTCATTGTTCGAGTTCCAAGCGATTGCGATTGCTGCAGTGTTTTCCGGCCAAGCCGCAATTCCTTCACAGGCGGAGATGAGGGCAGAGTACGATCAGAAGGTCAAGGAGAAAGGACATGGGAAGCCTTTCCACACGCTGATTGGAGAAGACGTGCGGTATGCTGCAGAGCTCATGGAATGGGTTAACAAAGGTCGTGATCCATCAGAGAAGAAAGTGGATGGATATTCAAAAGAATGGATTGATTCTCGGGACAAATTCGTACTCAGCTATTGGAAGACGGGAAGTAAGGAGAATATTCCTCAAGATGGACAATAGATTCGCAATACTATGCCGAAATTTCTGCTACGCGTGCATTCCCATAAGGATTGAGGCGTGCCTCGGCTAGGTCAATGACGCCTGGTGGTCACCCCTAGTCGTGACCCTGTATATCGGCTGGGGTCCTGCTTGGTGGCTTTAACTTGCTTTCTCCGGCGTCCACCAACCGAGGAGATCCGAACATTATAGTTTGGTCTTCTGGCTGACCAGCGAGGCCGGACCAAAGCTCGACCGAAGCCTCCATGTGAGCCAACGGCTGTGGAAGCTGGAAACGCATAGTGTCCACGGTCAGCCACAGAGCCAAGGTGACGTCCAATCGTGATATCAGAGTTCATTCTATCGTAAAAGATTCTGATCCTTTGTTGTACTTTTGCGGTGCTTGAAGTTACAGCATGTCACCCATCATTACTGCCACTCGGAATACCGTCACCAATTTTGGCATTCCAATCTGATTACTCGCATGCGGTGGAGGAGCCTCCACGGTAGCTACATACTGTATTTCTGCGATCCGTCATGGGTGGACGCAATTGGCCAAAGGTATAGAGCTCATACTGGATCAACGTCGTGAACCGAGTTATACTATACAATTGAGCAGCTTCCTTTGCTTTTGCTCAGGAAGTATATAAACATCCTGCCCTCCAGTGTTTCGGTCTCGCTCATGTCAATCGATCATCAGTCTACTCAATCTTGCAGACATTATTAACCGGACGACATCATGGAGTACCCAATCCACACTGGCTACAACTTCACATCAACCATTCACAATGACATATACCCGCAAATCAACCCTACCAAATCCGATCTCTCTCAGCCAGGGAAGGTAGTCTTGATTACCGGCTCTGGTCGTGGAATTGGCGGTTCGACTGCACTTCGTTATGCCGAAGCTGGTGTCGCTGCTATCGTTCTCTGCGCACGAACAGCTTCGCAGATCGACGAGACTGAATCGCAGATCAAGCAGATTAATCCGGATGTTCGACTCTACAAACACGCTGTAGATGTTACGGACGAACAACAAGTTTTCGCAATGGCTGATGCAGTCCGTAAAGCTGAGGGCAGGCTCGATGTTCTCATAAACAACGCAGGTACCACCGACAAATGGGAAACTATCACAGAAGGGGATATCGAGGCATGGCTGAAGTGTTGGGACCTCCATATCAAAGGAACCTATTTGATGTTGAAGGCTTTCCTTCCCCTGCTTACGGAGACGGCAGAGAAGCAGAGCACTGTTGTCGACGTCCTCAACACGACGACGATTGCTGCCCATCTTAGCATGCCGGGAGGTTCCGCATACATGGGTTCCAAATTTGCTCTCATGAGGCTGTCGGAATTTGTTGCTTCGGAGTATGCAGACAAAGGGGTCAACTGCATGTCTCTGCATCCTGGAGGTGTGGATACTGGGATTGCAAAGGATCTTGGTCCAATGGTCCAAGCTGGTAAGTCATTGCGTGAAACCTCGTCTTGAGTAACGACTGATTTTGTGGTAGCAATGACTGATACTGCCGAACTCTGCGCTGGGTTCGCTGTCTGGCTGACTAAGGGTCAACGAACTTGGCTAAATGGGCGATATGTGGCTGCGACATGGGATGTTGACGAGCTGGAAGACAAGAAAGATGCGATTCTTGACGGAGATAAATTGAAGATGCGTATGGTCGTCTAGCCGTTAGGATTACCAGCTCCCACATTCATTGTTCAATACCCTCAGATGTCAGGCCAAGATGTCTCAATGCCTTCCCGGAGCAACGTTTTGTGAAATTCTTCAAAGTTCGCTTTCTCACTCTGCACATCGTGTGGATGAAGACCAGTATCCAGGCAGTGCGCCACCAACAGCCCGGCGGCTTCCCCAATGTTCCACTCGACTGGATGCAAGCGGTAGCAGCCATTCGTGATGTGCGTTGTGCCAATATTCTTGCAGCCTGCGAGGAGATTGCTTCGTTGCTGTGGGATCAACGCACCGAGGGGAATCTGGAACGGGCAACATGCCACATCGATGTAGCTATCTCCGCCTGTGGAAGGATGTAAATCGATCCGGTACATGCCTACCCCGATACTGTCGGGATACTGCACTGCTCCTCTGATGCCGCGGATCTCTAATGAAAGGTCTTGCTCCACAACTGTTGTGATCGCTTTGATGCGTCGACTCTCTCGGATGTACGGTGCCATCGCAAGTCCATGGTCAGTACCTGTAATATCTCCTCTGAGTCGCAAACCAGGGTAGCCTTTGAGTATGGTCGGAATGGTTGGACTCCCTTACAGCGCGCTACCAGGATCATCGACCACCGTCCGGTCTACTCGTCAGATCTGGGTCAAGCCGAACGATCTGAAGCTGTCGGGGCCACGATCTGTGGGAACGATAGCCTTTCATGGCAATCACCCGAAAACATCACACTGCTGGCTGAGGAACAGACATTGTTCGGAAACTTTTTGCGTCGAATAAGTTCATGGGTATGCCGATTTCCGTGAAGAGCTTTTCCACAGCCACTGAACAGCAGATCTAGTTTGAACCGTTCGATCTTACACGCACATTTTCGACCCAAGTTCCACACCTAGCCGTTAGAAACGCAGGTTTGTTGAACGCCATCCTTGCGTTGTCGTCCTACCATGCCTCCCTCCAGGAGAAGCTGAGTACTACCCACCAATCCGACCAACGTACAGCATTGCAATACTACTACCAGACACTATATTATGTTCAAAAGGCCATGCAGTACCCATCTTACCGCAATAGCCTGGAGTTGATGGCGACTACCATAATCATATCGACTTACGAAATGCTTCAAGGCTCTTCGAATGACTGGCAACGACATCTGCAAGGTGTCTTTTGGATCCTTCGATCTCGACAGATTGAAGTCGAGGTATCAAGCCTCGAGAGCACAACTTGGTGAGCGTGGCTGCAGCAAGATATTTGGGCAGCGCTTCGCGAGAAGCGCAGAACATATAGCACGTGGCAGCCGAGAAAGGCGTGCTCGGATCTCAGCAGCCACGAGCTCGCTGCTCGTTCTCTGTGGATTTTGGCGCAAGTCGTCAATTTTTGTGCTCATGATTCCGTCAATCAATCAGAGGCCCGCCTTCGAGAACGACTTGCATGGGCAGATCAACTTCAGCGCATGCTCCAAGAATGGCGATCGTGCCTGACAGTCGAGTTCTCTCCACTGCCTTCGATGAGTCGGGACAAACCAAAAGCCTTTGAAGCTCACCTCATACTCCCTCAAATCTATGGTATTTCTGCATGACAACGTTGCAAGTACACCAGTCGCGCTAACGTTCACCATAGCTTTGGCGATGCAGGTCCACCATGTGTCGGAGATTCTCCTCCATGCCAATAGACCATGCATAGGAGGGTTTGACGCTTTCCTTAAACGTCAGGCATTGATTGATCCAAGATAGTGTTGACAAAGTTTGCGGCATCGGTCTCACACACACAGAAGATGCGCCGAGCATACTGGTATCCCAATGTGTATTCATAGGTGAGTGAAGCAGATTCCGTGTCGATAATGACTCGCTGCTGATCTATCCTACAGCTGGGCTGTTCATACGAGATTCTGAACAAAGACGATGTGTCTTGGAGTTACTCGACTCATGTTGGAGACGATGCAATTGGCCCTTCATTTCTCTTTCGGCCGAGTTGGAAATGATATGGGAGAGTCCTGATAACTTGTGGGTCAACGGACAGGAGTTGTGACAGTCGAGAGAATACGGTAGAGGTTAGCTTGTCATTGAAGAAGTCTTAGCATCATAAGGTTAGGATTCGACACTTTCCAAAGCCTGACGATCGCCCTTTTGCCTAGTGAGCCTAGAGTTTTCGTTCATTAGTGCAATCCCAGTCTCATCGGGCCATAAACCGAGAGTCCCCGACGCCAGTGTGCCAAGAAATCTTTGAGGCATCCTACTTAAATTTCGCGATCATCTCAAGGCTTGTAAGACACAAACGACAACCGACAGTCCCCGTCGTGACAACCACTAAATCTACTAGTAATCTGCTTTTCTTCCCCGCAGAAATGTGGTGCGACTCCAGCCTTTCGCGTGCCACAGACACCCTTCTCTGGGGGTAATGCAAGTGTGGCAAGCCATGTTTCTTCACCTATATATGAATGGCTCACGCCTCCCATATTTGTCCTGCGTGCCACAACATCGTTCTGAGGTACTGTGCCTGAGTGCGAGCTGCGAGGCCAGACAACTTGTATCGACTGCTTCACAACAACAACAATGACAATCTACAGCGTCCTACGACGTATTGTCCGAAACGATGCAATTCGCGTTGATCCTCCCGAAGTTTACAACTGGCGAGTTCTGGCGCTTACGGCCTCGGTACGTGTATTGTTGCATGCATTGGCAGTGTCTTGAGTTCAACCCATCCTACATCAATAATAGTATCTACGTACTGGTACTGACCTCCGGATCACAGGCGTGTTTTGCAGGCACGATGTTCGGAATGGACGCAGGAATCATTGGAGGGGTTTCTCGCAATGCCTGGCTTCAAAAGATACTAGTACTTTACTGTCTGCCATTTGGTTGAGGACAGCCATCACCGGAAACAAAGCGGACTTCAAGATGTTAGCGAATTCGGACTTGACAACCTTCCCGCAAGCGCCGCCGCCAATCTGTCCGGGAACCTCGTCACTACTATGCAAGCAGGTGCGATTGCCGGAGCTTTGGTGTCCAGTCCGTTGGCAGAAAAAAAGGGAAGAAAGCCAGCGCTACTTGCGGTCGCTATTGCTGGCATCGTAGGCGGTCTCATGCAGGGTTTGTCTTTCGGACATCTGTCTGTGTTTTACATTGGCCGGTGAGTACTAGTGTCCTGTGGTTGTTTGACATGACCATTGAAGATTGATATCATGATCATAGCTTCATCGAGGGCCTCGGCCTTGGTGCGGGCACTATGCTGGCCCCAACGTATGTCTCAGAGATCTCACCTCGAGCCATTCGGGGCTTTCTGGTTGGGTTCTTCCAGCTCCTCCTGGACACAGGTGGGATGGTCGCTTACTTTGTCAATTATGGATCGCTGCTGCACTTCCAGGTACAGTAAGTATCATTGGCAGTCTGTGTAGACCCAGAGATTGGTCGCTAACGATGTTCATGTGACAGGGGAAAGCCACCTGGATGGTACCGCTGATGTTGCAATCACTTGCTCCAGCTTTGTTGCTCATCACCATGCTCATGTGCCCAGAGTCGCCACGCTGGCTTGCATCTCGAGATCATTGGGACAAAGCAACTAGTGTATTATCTGATGTGCGACGCCTTCCACCCCAGCATACGTATGTCCAGCAAGAGTTGCTCGAACTCCGAGTGCAACTGGAGAACGAAAATCGTATCAGGGGCGATACGGGGTTCTGGGCATTGCAAAAAGAGTGCTGGACACAGCCAGGCAACCGCAAACGCGCACTATTGACAATCCTCATCCTTGTCTTCAATCAGTGGTCAGGTGTAAGTCTCTATCTATCCTGACTCGGACCGTCTTCGGCTCAATCACCTCCAAGCAACTTCCAGCTGACATTTTCTCAGACTGGGGCAATCAACTACTATGCGCGAACCATCTTCCAAAGTCTGGGATTGTCTAAGACTACTACTGCTCTCTTCGCGCAAGGAGTCTACGGTATCGTGAAAACCGTTGCTGCGCTAATATTCGCCTTCTTCCTTGCCGACAGCTTAGGCCGTCGAATCTCCTTCATGTGGAGTGGTGCTGTACAAGCATTCTGCATGCTCTTCATCGGATTTGCAAGTGTTCTTACATTTTCCATTCCAGTCTGTGCTAACAGATACAGTATGTTCGATACGGACCTCATGTCAGCGTGAACCAAAGTCCACCACCAGCTGGTATTGCTGCTCTGGCCATGATCTACATCTTTGCAGCAGCGTTCAACTCAGGCTGGGGCCCTGTAGCCTGGGTTTACGTGTCAGAGATTCCCAGCAACCGACTCCGGGCGTACAATGTTGCACTGGCGTCTTTCACGCACTGGGTCAACAATCTTGCTGTATCTAAGGCCACACCCGGTGATGCTTCTGTCGACCCCGTACAAAACGTACTTCATTTTTGGGGCAATCAATGTGGTTATGGCGGTCGCAGGATACTGAATCCCAGAAACGAAAGGAGTACGTCCTCACAAAACTAATTTTGCCCGTAATCTCTATTCTGACTGAATCCAGATCTCTCTTGAGCGGATGGACGAATTGTTTGGCGTTGTCGACATGTCAAACATTGAAGACGTCGGCATCGCAGCACAGCAAGATAGGAAAGCAGAAGAGACGCTGGAAATGCAAAACGTGCGGACGACCAAGGCTTGATGGTCATTGTCAGGTAGAAATTTGGTCTGAGTTTATGTGTTTGGCAGGCTGGTGATCCGTCCTCAGCACTAGTACTAGTATCTCCATAGACGAGCTCCAGTCAAGTGAGTACATAAGTACTAGATATGGGATGAGATACTTTCACAGCATGACCATAAGCTCGAAGCTGGCGAGTTCGAGACGACGGGGCGCTTGGAAAATTCACGAACAGCCATACCGTGCTACCAGTACTATGTATTTGAATGTGCGTGGCAGCCATTACTCTGGAGTGCAAGTAATGTCCTAGTACAGTAGTTAACAAAGCCTAGAAACGTTGCCGCGCTGACCCCTCAAAGTCTGGGACAACCTTTCGACAACGACAATACTAGTATTAGTACTGCAGTAATGTACTACTGTAGTCTCTTGATGAGACTCGTTAGGTCAGTGTAGTACGGAGGTGTACACCGAATACTCTGACCGCGCTAGAGGGAACGACGATAGATTTTTGCAGGCTCCAGGGACTCAGTGTCCGTCGTCGCCTAAAGTAAATACCAGAGCAAAATCACCTAGAAGTTATACTTAAGGACATTATGATAGAGTACTATGTACTAATTTCTAGTTCAGGGCCGTTATTGCGGTAACTCCCTCTAAGTCCTTAGGGATTTTATACTATCTAAACGGACCTATACTTAGGTGTACCCAAGCGATAGAGGGCAATGAGAGTCAGCAATGTCAAGTCGCAAACAGAAGGCTGCTAGAGCAGCGCGAACACCCTTAGGCGTGTTGTGCTCCCGTCTTGTCATTGCCGGGTGGGTGATAGGGCTGACGATTTACTCCGAATACTAGTACCACTACATAGGTATGTAGTACCAGTATGTACTTTCATCTCAATCTCACCGATTACGTACCATACTGAGAGTAATGATGCGTTGAGAGAGTAAATTTTGCCAAGTGGTGGTCGGAAATTCTCCCATCCTTACAATCAGTTACAATCAGTGATGAATGTTCGAAATGACCAAGACTTCACACCCGTTTAGTAAAGTACTGGATAGGTACTAGTATGTATTACTACTTGTATTTAGTACTAGTAATGTACTATGTACCTTTCCGCCGCCAAGCCGTACAGCATTCATGAGTTAATACTAATATGAGATTCAACATTCTTGACTTTTTTCACTTCTTTCTTTTTCTCTTCAGGTGCATTGAAACTGTTCGAGCAAGGTAAGCAGCTATACTCCGACACAGGTCTGGAGGAGTTGGCGCGACTCTGAGGCGCTTCGAAACGGTTCGGCTAGCTCTCAATCACCTCCAGTGCGGTTCTGAACCGGCTCTGAATGGGTCAGTTTCACTTCAGTTTGACCTCAATATGAGTCTTGTCCAGGTCCATAAGTGGCACTAGTACTGATGAATACAGGCTGGACCAGACTCAGCACGTTCTCATGAAACTCATTTTCGAGTAATCATTTTTGAGAGGCAGGTGCGTCGAAGTGAAAAAAGGCAGGCTCGACCGTGGGTGGAATGGGCGAAACACAGCATGGAAATCTCCAACACAGGTAAGGTTAGTTGAGAAGCACAGACCCCGCTGGGACAGCAGCCGGGTACGTGATTCGAGCGCCGGATGTCGAAAATGTGGAGGATGTTTGAGCCGCTCAAGGGCAAATGGTCAGAGCACGTGACCCAGACCGAGAAGTGCTATGGTTGCCTCGACGACCCAGTCAAACCAGATCCAGACCCGTACCAGGCCAATTCAACCGTCTGAGCACCATCAGACCAGCATTAAATCGCTGGCCTGAGAGATTATATACTGTACTACAGTACAGTACCTCTTGCCTGCACCTTTGCAGTTGAGTCGAACCCGAATAAATACGAGATAAATAGTACATTAATTCGAAATTATATGTAAATTAGACCGGAACCTTCTAAGATCTATTTTCGAGACGTATCATCGATTCAAGGCAACGACATTTCTTTCATAAGGATCGAAGACGGATTGATCTAGATCTTGTGTCTCTTTTGTGCGTACTACTTAGTATCGAAAGACTTTCCATGCGCCGATGACCCCGAATGCCCTAAGTATTATCTGGACATTTCCATCCGCTGCAGCTGCGAGGTGTTATGGTAAGAACAAGTCAGAGACTCGCCAAAGGGTATTGTGCAATGAGAAGAGCTTGGGACGCAGTAGAGCGCCCCAGCGTGCATTGACGCGAAACCCAGTTGCTACCAAGATCCCATGTGCTGCAAACAGGAAGGTCGAAAGCAGTCGTTGCGCATAAAACATCGGAACTGACCAAAGAACAAGCAGAACGAATCCTCGGGTTATCGCTGTCGACTTCCACAAATTGACTCCTTTCATCATGGTTTCCAGCAGGTCTGGTCTTGCAACTGGGCCACGTTGACGATACCATGTTGCCCAATGCGGATAGAACCACCACTTGATCAGAAGCCCGTCGTGATACAAAAATAATCCAAGCATCGACCCTGCCCATAGCAACAATTGGTACCGGAGTTTCCACCAAATCAAGCTTGATGAGAAGTTGAAGCACTGGAGGCCTAACAACACAACACTCAACATGTGGATGTTGAAGAGTACAACGCACGCCAGGGGCAAGCGAGGTTCGCAGCCGATGCGACGTGCGACACTTTCCAGAAAGGCGTTGTAGTCAACGAGGGTGTGGAGGTTAGGACTCAACGAGTAGTACTCGCGCTCGGCTTCTTCGTCGTCTCGTGCCCGAGTCGCGTAGTCAATAGGAAGGGTCCTCTTGCCACACAACAGCAACGCAATGTATCTGCTCAACATCTCGGCCATCACTGGAATGCCTCCTTGATGAGGTCTTGCAAAGCCCACGAAAAATAGGCAGTGGCTCAACTTTTCTGGAAAGCAATGCAGGAACCATAAACGTGGGTTGGACGACAAGCTGGTGTTGTCAAGCAGATGGATCCAGGGGGACTTTGCGCGGAAACCAGTGCAAAGCACAACCGCATCGAATTGGCGCTGTTTCGTTGTGCCATCCGACATCTGAAATTGGCACCATCGTCCTTTGGCGGAAATTGTCGGGCACACCACAGCTTCAATCTTCTTCTCATGCAATGCTTCACACATACGTTGGTTTTTCGTCACATAAGTGGCTTGATCGTTGCGGAAGAAAGCATATTTGCAAGTGTCCAAGCACATACGTGCGAGCGTACCATTAAGCACGGGTGTATGCCAGAGGATTCCGCGGAAGAAGCCGTAGGCGTACACGTTCTGTGCAGCACTCATTCGATTTGTTGTCGCAGCCTCAAGGAAGCCGTTGGCAGGAAAGTCGGCCTTCTTGTTCTTCAAGATCTGCTGCATCTCGCTTTTGTCGTTGAGGTAACGAGGTCCGACACAGATTGGGCGACGAAGCCAAACAGTGACATTAGGCGACAAGTCACCCAGCTCTGCTGCAATGTCGGCACCACTTTCACCACCACCAACGACCAACACTTTGAGATTTTGCTCCTCCACCTCTTTCTTGAACGCATCGTTGTACTCAGAAGAATGTATCACTCGCGGTCCGTCGAAACCAACCAGCCCTGGTGGTATCGGATTGGGTAGCTGGTTTGCACCGGTGGCAACGATAAGAGCATCCGCCTTCACGCTTTGTTCTGTCCCGCTCATTCGCCTGATTCGCAACAACCACAAGCCATCGTCAGTCAAGGTTGCGTCGCAGACTTCGGAGTGATATCTGATGTGATTCTCAAGCCCGAAATGTCGCGAATAATCTTGCAGGTAATGTAGGTATTCGTCGGCTGTCGAATATCGTAGCATGGTCGGATCAGGGAAATCAGAAAAGGCCATCGCCCAATTGGTGAGGTGAAGATTTAGGTATGCAGCGGCAGTGGCAAAGACTCCTCCTAATTCTCCAGATCGCTCGAGCAGTGTTGCCTCATGTCCTTGCTCGATCATCTCTTTCAGGACCACCAGACCGCAAGGACCGGCTCCCACAACTACGACATTTTTCATGGCAGATGGCAGACTACTGGTACAATTGTACCTATAGATGTGAAATGCACCTAGGTCTTAATATGGCCAAGAAGGTTGAAGAAAATGTCACGGCCTGTTGCCGTCACATCCAAGTCTTCAGCAGTGGTCCGCTACGCACAGGGCCAAGGCATGAGATCCCGAACAGCTGACCTGGTTCACTCACTTGACGAGACTTCGGCTTAATGATCTCGACTTAAAATATGTACCTGCGGAGGTCCTGGCCAGCCTCTCTGATGGCCAGGGTTTGTTAATCCTTCCAGATCTCGGGCAAGAGAACTTTTGTGTTGATGCTGAACCCTTTCGATGACGCCTGGACCTCTCCAAGTATCCGCTCGGAGCCACCCGTGTTATCGTAAGGATAACGGGCTGCAGTATCCAATTCGGTGATTCCAAGTTGTTTTACGGCATCCAGCAGATCCGAGACGTTGGCTAGACTTGTGAATGTAGGTATTGCAAATGAGCCAAAAGTTGCGGTTCCGAAGAAAAGGGTTGGACAGTGTCATGCCATGACGGATACTGTAAGCAACGTAGAATGCTTCCGGTAAGTAATTGATCAAGTCATGGTGATCAAAGCTGGGAACCAGATCTTCTGTTATCAAAATTCGTGTGTTACGAACCTCCGTTCGGAAGCCCTGCATAAGCCCGTAAGACTGTCATCTAGTGCTGGACCTCCCGACCCGTGTTACCCACCTGAGAGGGTGCGCTGAAGGAGAACGCTACGATGCGACACTCCGAAACCCTAGAGTACCTCACGAGATGTGAGCTCACATAATCATGATCCTATAGTAACTGGCGTAAGACTAGAAATATGGCTTGGGAGCCGCTCCCTCGCATAGTACGACGGATTGGCTGAAATTCACTGCTATGTTTCATCAGGAAACGCTTGTCCTTCAAACTTCTTCTCGGTGTGAAGTTCCCTGCTGGGACGAGAAAATCGAATAGTCGCATCACCGTCTACGGCATTTCATTGCTCATCCCACTCGGAGGCTACGACTGGCCGCGTGTGATCGGTCCACTAGTGACCCCGCACAAACTAGATTCTAAGCCGAGTACGAAGGTACATGCGTGGCCTTTCTCATGTACGAATTATCAATGTCAGCTGCAGTGGCTTCTTCATGACATGGTCCATGAAATTTGAGTTCCTGGACCCTCAATGGTTGATGTGTGACTCCCACTCGATTATCACTCGATGGACTGTAGACCGTAGGAATACTGAACTGTTCTGGTGGGGATTAGCCAGCCGCCATCATTGGGCATCTCGAAATGACCCAAGCTGATCCAAGATGCAAAGGACACATTGTCCATGGCACTCAACAATCCTGCAGAAATAAAGTGCTTGATTTCTCATCCACAATTGTGCTTGGCTTGCTCTGCGTTGATGCTAGGTTTGGAACATAATCGAGAGGTTGTAGACTGGCGGTAGCAACGCTAACGAAGCCACTCCATCCCCAACCTCACCCCAGGGTCCCATGAATCATGAGGGCTGGGGTCTAGTACGGAACATGACTTGGTTGGAGATTTGGCTGTCGGAACCGCAAGATCTCTCGCTTGTGCCTGAAAATGTACTTGCTGGCTACGAAATCTTGTTATTTCAAGATCGGCCTTTGAGGTTGCAACACAGTGCACAAGATAGCCACATTATTACAGTACGATGGCTAAAATAATCACCATAGGCCACCTCGTTATGGCCAGCAAGGAGGCCAGGGACACAGTCATTAAAGTCTTTGAAGAAATCGTGGACTATTCGAGCGCCAACGAGCCCGGCGTGACGATGTATGCTATAACAGTACCAACGCACGACGATGGAACGACAATATACATGATTGAAGAGTAAGGCACTACGCAACTTTGTAGCATACCAGCTAACGTGATAGGTACGCTGACAAGGCGACATCCGATGCACATATAGCCAGTCAGCCTGTACAGAAACTGATAAATCTCTTCACAACGGAGCCAGTGCTGGCTGGAGCACCGACAGTCTATCAACTTGAACCAGTGTACTCATTTCTGAAGCCAGAAATCACAAAAGTGACGGATCCACACATCATCTTTGCCAACATCGCACATAAAGCTGGTGGTGCCGAGCAGTCGTTGACACAGTGGAAGGAAGTCATTTCGACACTAGAAAGTGATGAACAAGGCGCGCTGGCATTTGCGTTGTGTAAGGAAGAGGCCGACACGGACAGACTACACACGGTAGAGGTCTATGAAAGTAAGGTAGAAGACTCCGTCGCCAAAACGAAAGACCTGGGATCGAGTCTGGTTCACGTGTCTTTGAAAATGATCGGTGGCTTTCTCCATAGATAGTTGCACAACGACATGCAACCTTTCCAGTGTCCATGTCGGTCGCAGACAAATGTACCGAGCAATCTCTCTGGCAGACATGCGATTGCGGTAACGATACGAGGCGCCAGGGGTCAAGGGCGAACAGGCAGTGTTGGAGGAAAACGTTTTCCGACGCTAACTGCGAAGACGTTAACCCCTTGGAACCAGTCTGCAGCCTACCTAATGCAAAGCTATCAGAGGCACACAACGCCACACCCCACAAGACGCTATTGTACGAAGCATGCATTGGTCCTCCAAGGAACTGGGCGCTGAACGTATCTTGCATGTCCTGGAAATCCTTTCCCCGTCCGTCAAACCTCTATGCCCTCGACACTGCCCTGGACCGGAGTCCACCTGATAAAATCTGAATGTGGTTTACCCCAAACTCCAGTCTCCCCACAGCCTCCGAAGGGCACAAAAGGCCCGGATTCGTTCCCCGTGGGGGCTTTGGAGAAGTTGAGGACGTTCACCCTTCACCAGTTCCGTGCGCCTGTTAGGGCCGAGTCATTACGCCTAAGTCATCCAATGACATTGGGTGAGGTTGACAATACATGATCGTGCCAAGTGCTTGCAGTGGCTAACATTTCCCATGCAGGGATACTTCCAGGGGCATAAGATGGATTCCATTCGCAGCGTTTTGTTAGGACTTCTACAGAATGTAACATTTCTCCCTAGCAGCATACCAGGTACAACTAGATGAGATGGAGCACGAAAAGGACCAACCGATTGCTTCACAGTGGGTGGAACAACATCCTGATGCACAGAATCTCAATCGCACGGTGACCGAGGAAGATGAGCTTCATGGATTCCAGACAGACCTTGAACATCTGCCTGCGGGCTACTACCGCAGCTCCTTCTTTCTGGGTACCATGTTCGCTGTTGGCTTTGGTCTCTGTGCAGCAGTCGGCGGCTTCGGACTGGCAGCACCGGCCTTGTCGCTGATCAATTCAGAAATCGGCCCCGATCCCAACATCAGTTGGGTGTCTTTCGTGTACACATTGACCTTGTCCATTGCTTTGCTCCTGGTTGGGCGCCTCAGTGATCTTTTTGGGTATGTTCGGGACAGTCTCTGAAATCTGAAAACACTGACCAATAACAGGCGTCGATGGTTCATGATTGGAGGCACCTGTGTGGCATTGATCGGCTGCATTGTGTCTGCGGTCGCTCAATCCGTGCCGACCCTCATCGCCGGAATTGCTCTCATTGGTCTAGGGGCTGGCGCTCAACAGTCGTTCTCATTCGTGTCCAATGAGCTGGTCCCTATGAAATATCGCTTCATGATCAATGGATGGATATACCTCTGGTGCTTTCCGACTGGTGGATTCGGCGCAGCTGTGTCCAAAGCATTCATTCTCTACACTCCCAAGGGATGGCGAACGTAAGCTGACCCAGTCCACACTGCACTCCATACTTGAATCTGACGTTGTCTTGTTTAGGTGTTTTTACCTCCTCATTGCTCTCAATGTTACCTCTGGAGTGTTGTACTTCTTTTTCTACCACCCTCCGACCTTTGGCATGAAACACCGAATTCGCACCAAGTCACAAATGATCAAGATGTTTGACTACGTTGGTGCATTTTTATTTGTTGGTGGTCTTATCATCTTCGAAATCGGCCTGCTCTGGGGTGGTGGAGTAAGTGCACATCTTTGGGATTCGTTTACCTTGCTAAGGCTTTCCTTAGGTCTACTCATGGGCTTCGGCTCACGTCCTAGCGCCCCTCCTGGTCGGCGTGGCAATCATTGTTATATTCGTGCTTTGGGAGCTATACGCCCCACTGAAAGAGCCCATTCTGCCGATGAAGTTATTCAAGAACCCCCAGTATGTGGCAGCGTCGGTTCTGCTTGGACTCGGAGCTAGGTGAGTAAATCGCATGATCCCCTTGACGGTGACTTTTCTAATGCGTGTCAGTGTCTACTACGCCATGGCCATCATTTGGCCAGAAATGGTCGCTGTCCTGTTCACCGTACGTTTCTGCACTACAGATGTCAGCCACACACTAATCTTAATCTTACAGGTCGATGGAGGTGCCAGCATGCGGGCAGGATGGCTCAATTCTATTCCAGGCTTCGCCATTGTCATTGGACAAGTGTCGGCGGGAGCCCTGTCCGCAAGTATTGGTAAACAAAAATTTCAGTGCATGACAGTCTTGTCACTCGGTGGAGCCTTTTTAGCAGGTAAAATCAACTTCGATACTAATTTTGAACCTGTGCTGATCCTTCGAGCAGCCATGGCATACTCTAAGCCCTCGACACTTGTCGGTTCTGCTTGCCTCATCGCACTTGCCTCTCTTTTCATCGGCTGGAACGAGTCTGTCTGCCTCACTAATGCCGGTATTGAGGTTGAAGATCAGCAAGAGATTGGTACAGCTGTGGGAATGGCCGGAAGTATACGAAGCGCCATTTCTACTGTTGCTTCAAGCGTGTATGTCGTGGTTCTCACGAACCGTCTGAAAACGACTATACCCGCAGAGGTGCCCAAGGCCGTCGTTGCAGCTGGGCTACCTGCTTCGTCGGTCGTCGCCTTCTTGACGGGTTTCACGACAGGAGATTTCTCCAATATTCCTGGACTCACCCCCAAAATTCTGGCTACTGGTACAGCAGCATACAAGCTCGCCAGTGCGCATGCGTACAGCACAGTCTTTTTGACCTCAATTGCCTTCACCGGCGTCGCTCTCATAATCACTATCTGGGCTCCAAATGTCGACGACAAGCTGACCGTTGAGGTTGCTACGACATTGCACGAGAAGGCAGGCACGATTGTGGGAGAGGGCACCGGCGCGGGGAAGACCTCGGTCGGAGGCTGCTAGGTTTACCCAGCTGAATCTTGACAGAGATGCCATTTGGCAGACTCATCAAGATTGTCAATATGGTCCTGATGCGGCGCGCCTGGAGACGAACGCATGACTCGATTTCTCTCCTACGCTTGAATGTATGACTCGTACAGACTGCATGTACTTCCTCTATAAAATCAGCTTCTTTCCTCTCTTCAACGCAAATATCACTGTTGACCAAACATATATTTCGAGTCTTATATCAATGATGATGCGAATCACCGAAGGCAATGTCGATATTCTGACAGGCGCGCCGTAAGGCAAGGCTGGGTTTGAAACCTTCCAGTCCTAAATGTGGAGGTCGAGCATCAGCAGTCGCAGCAAAAGGCATGTCAACCGCCCCAGAGGGATTGCAGAGGTCATGACCCCTTCTTGCGCCAAGATGTTTCTTTGCTTTCACTGAAACACGAGGACAGCGCCTAGATCTGGCGATTGAGGGTTCACATAAACTGGCACGTCGAATGAAGACACCAACCTCGGCCCGACAACCGAGGATATTGTTTTCCTCGTCCTCGCCCAAAGCTTGTGCATAGCGCAGAGCTGCTAGTGGTCGATCATGTGCATAAGGCCAAGAACTCCAAGAGACAAACTTGTCGTCGATTGGCTTGTTGCGCAAGCGCAAGGGCATTCGAACAAATACATCATGAGAAGCACTGTTCCTGGTTACCACCTCTGAAGACGATCGCAGCTATGGCGCAAGACAAGACTATGAAGGCGGTGCGTTGGCATCCGGACACCAAGAAGGTTCAGGTCGATAACGTCCCTATCCCGAAACCAGATAATGATCTCATGCTGGTTCGAACAATTGGTTCTGGGCTATGTCACTCGGAGATGGTATGATGCAATCAATTTTAGCGAGTTTTCATCTTTCCATCGCAATGCTAACATATTCTATAGCTAGTTCTTCACGGCACATACCAGTTGCCACAGCCAACGACACTCGGTCATGAGGCGGTTGGTGAGGTTGTCGAACTTGGATCAGATGTAAGCGGGTTCAAAGTGGGAGACAAAGTCGGGTTTCTCAACGGCCTCAGATCCTGCTGGAAATGTGACGGCTGCAAGGTTCACTATGGATTCTGCCGATCGGAAAAGTTCACAATGCAAGGCTTCTCGGCAGCGGATGGCTTTCTTGCAGAATACTGTCTCGTCGATCCTAATGCCGCTTTCAACTTACCAGATGGCATTGATATTGTCAAGTTTGCACCATTATGCTGTGCTGGTATCACAGCGTATAATGGCGTCAAGAAAGCCGACCTGAAGCCGGGTCAGTGGCTAGCGGTGATAGGTTGCGGGGGCCTCGGTCAACTTGGTGCGTGAGACTTGAACTTCTTGGTGTAGAAGGACTGCGCTGACGTATATAGCGCTACGATATGCTAAGGCACTGGACCTGAATGTCATTGGCATTGATGTCAACGACGAAGTACTGGCCACAGCGAAGAAGGCCGGCATAGAGCATACTATCAACAGCAGGTCCACGCCAGATGTTGCTGGAGAGATTCAAAAGATTGCTGGTAGCTTGGCCGATGCTGTGGTTGTCTATACTGCTGTCAAAGCAGGGTTTGATCTGGCGCCAAAGTTAATCAAAATCGGGGCGAGATTCGTCGCTGTTGGGTGTCCTCCGGGGGAAATTAGTTTCAACCCAGTCGAGCTTGCACTTGGGAGGTATTCTTTGCAAGGAGCCAACAACCATGGAACGCCCAAACAATTGCGAGAATGTGCCGATTTCACAACAGCTAATAAGATCGAATGTCCAGTCCAGCTGTTCAAGATCGACGAGATTGGAGACATGATCGACATGATGGAAGAAGGCAGGATGGCAGGCAAGAGACTGGTCGTCGACTTCAGCTGAATGTGATGAAAAAGTAACCTATGGTGGCAACAAATCCTAAAGCCATGCATTAGATGCTGACCCTGTGCGCAATGGACGTCAACATATGTACACGTAGAGACAATTTCTCGAAGGCTTAAAGCTTTGCTTGAATCTTCGCTACATCTCCACTACCCAAGACAATCTCGTCGTTGCGGTAGTCTGGGTTGAATGTCACCTTGTTCAAAGGGTTCAGCACATGTGCGCGATTGAAGAGGTCTTCATAGACTCGGCCATCGTAGCGACCTAGTGCACTATTGACCCAACAGAGCGTTAGTGACCCTTCTTCAACATGTTTGCTTGAGGGACAGGATTTAGTGTGCTCTCACCTATCTAAGAGATAATCTGGCAGGGCCCATGCGTCGACGAGCTTCACAGCATGAGGCCGGATCTTGGTCATGAGAGACAACACCGTGTCAGAAACCTCGTCCAGAGTATCCGAGCTCACGGCGCCAGATTTTTGAAATTCGCGCGCCTCATGGTCCATTGTGTTCAAGGCGAAGAGGCGGAACGGATCCGTTAGGGCGTTGCGTGTGGTTGTTGGTAGCTCTTGCACTGCCGCTGAAGCAATGGCGGTGTGGAAGTTGGACACGAGCATCGCTTGGGAGTATGCTGCAAAAAAACCGTCAGCTATCAATTTGCCCATAGTTTGCTAGGTCCACCACTTACCTCGACTGAGTTTATGAAACTCTACTAAAAGACTGTTCCATGGCCTCCTCTGTACTTCTCTTGCGTCATATGCGCGCGAAGCCTTCGGGCAGCATCGAATGTCAGCAAAGTCATGCGAGGAAGATAAGTGACGATGGTTCCCTCCCAGGGCATTGAAAACTTACCAACCAAGACATACGCCAATTGAAAGCCTGCACAAGGGTCGCATCGTCTTCGAGGACTTTGAAATTAGGCTCTCTGGTACGACTATACAGATAGTCCTTGAGATTCTCCTCTGTCTTGTTGAGAGCCTGACCTTTGAGGGAATGGGCGCGCTCCTTGACCTTCTTGATCAGATACTTAGCAACCTGCTGTGTGATCATCCAGTTATCACCCTCAACGGTAGGCTTGGAGAGATAGTCTGCATTGAGTTGAATCAGGCCAGTTCCGCCACCATACCCATGCCCGCCCATGGCTCTGCGACATGTTTCAATCCCATTTGCCGCGAGCTCGGTAGCGAGACTCTTCAATCCTGCAGATGTGCTATGGAGCTCCATCAATGTGGCCATGTCGGCGTTTTCGGAAACTCGATCACCGTCGGATGCACTGCTGTTCCTAGTCCGCTCATAGAGTTGTCGCATTGCCAGACCACTGTAGTGGAGTGCAAAAGTAGTGGCAAGCAGTGGCAAAATGCGGATTTGGACGGTGGAATAGTCTAGGACTGATAGCGCCGGCCCTTGTTTGTGAGGATCGTCGCGGTCATGGAATTGACGTCGGATGGATAGATAGCGGACGGCGACCGTCACTGCTCGGGCCAGGACTAGACGAGCGTGCATCGCTATAACTGCACGCCCTCTCGTCAACTGTCCGTAAAGTGAGCTAGGATTTTTTGACTTGGTGTACACTCTGGTGAGGAGATCAAGCTGGGAGTATCTCGAAAGAAGAGCACTATGTGGTATTCTATTGATGTTAGAAGAATGAACTAGCAGGAGAGGGAAATGTAACGCAGCTGTGATGGTCGAACAGCATGTACGCATTATCCATCGGAGCGTAGCCGTATTTGGGTCCAATGTCACCGACTATGATGGAGTTTGGTGGTTGATGTGTCTTTGTGTCCCGAACTTGGACAATGAACGGATGTGGCCCATGAGATTGGTGTTTGACGTCCGTCTTCCCACTTTCTGCAGGTAGCAATAACTGTGCTATCACCACAGCGTGAGTAGCCGTCCTACCCAAAGTACCATTCCACCATTTGCTTGCCGTCAGATGCGGACTATGGAGTATAAAATGCTGAGACTGCGGATCCCAACGTGCTTCTGTTTCGATTCCCCGGACATTGCTTCCATGTCCAAGCTCGGTTTGTGCATATGCACCAATGATTTCCCACGACACGACTTTCGGCATCCAATACGCTCGTTGCTCGTCGTTGGTTTGTTCTCTCAATGCAGCTGTAAAGAGTGAAATGTGTAGATGGTAAGGCTGGACATCGTCCACCAGATATTCGGCCATCACAAAATCTTCGTCGTCCCACCGATGGACATCCTGCAATTGACGTAAACGTTTCCCTCTCGCGAGGCCTAGCTTGTAGCGATCTGGACGAGATAGGTTTGTTTGCTGTGTCTTGTCGAAGAGTTTCTCTCTTCTGACGATGTCTAGAATGCGTTGCTGTCTATCAATGTATGTCTTGCCATGCAGATATTGACCAAGTTGGTCGGCATCAAGGTCAGATCCTAGGCGCTCACGCTTGATAATGGTCGCGCCATCTGGCGGAGCCGGCCTCAGCTTGTGAGCAAAATCTGTGTGAGGTGCCATCAGTTCAGTAGTCGAGGGTTCATACGACTGTGGTTGATGTTTGGTCAAAACAATATCAGGTGTTGCCGTAAGCAGTCAGTGCTTGATCTGGCTATCGATGTCTAAAGGTCTTGTTTGCGGGCGACGACGACTTAGTCCCAAGGCATGACTTGGAGAACTGGGGCACTGTCAACCCATGTTCTGGCTTTGTCACGACATTGCCTGGCACCGGTCGTCGGCAATGATATGCTCGGAGATTTGTGGTTGCTCGGCTAAACGTAGAAATTGCTCAATTAGGAAAAGTCCGTTCCTGTCCGTGACGCCGAAGCCATATGGGATCGGCAACACTTGCAGACTGCTTGAAAAGGAGATGCTACAGGGGGTCGCGGCCCTAGAACCTAGAAGACACCAAAATGACACACTAAGACTGTTGGCTCAATTGACCATCACTCTGAGATGCGTTCATTGTTCCTGCCTGCCACAATTTCGCCAGATCAGTACTCCCACATGCTTTGTTCAAATAGGGCCGGCGCCGCTCACCAAGGTCGAATGGTTTCATCACTATTCTGCTCCGCACATCAGGTTCCCAGATCTTGCACTGTCATCCGACTACTCCAAGTGCTTCGAGGGTGTATCCATTGGGATCTCTTCAAGATGTCTTGGGCTCTCAACATCGACTTTGTTCTCCATCATGTTCTGCTCATGAAGACGCTCCAGGGCAGCTGCTGAGACCATGGCATGCTCAGCGTCCTCCATGGCGCGGAGAGGCATCGCATGACCGGTCTTCTTCTTTCGGGACCTCGCCTCCAGAAGCAGCCAGACCGGTAGAGAGGCGAACGAGATGATGGTGAAAGCAATAGTCGAGCATGCGGCAGCAAACCCCGGGACATCTGGATTACATTAATCAGCTTGGCTCATGTGTGTGGACAGAACATCAGATTTGTTGTTATGGTACTCACACCAGGGCGCGTCTTCGCTGGGAAAGATCTGACTGGTCAGCAAAGTCACGTATTGCGAGCAAATGATACATACCTAGGGACCAATGATACTCGCAATCGACAGAGACGCAACTGTAATTGCACCTCCCACCGCTTGTTCTGACGCGCCATAGAGCGTTGTACTCCTGTAGCTCAGCGCAGCTGGTTGAGCAATTGATACGAGATTACCAAGGAAAGCAAGGCCGTAGAGCGAAATAGGCTTGATACCGCCAAAACTCTGGTGCGCTCCAACATATGTCCAGACTGCAAAGCAAGGTATGGCACCAAGTGCCGGAATTATGTAATGCCAGATTCTGTCTCTGGTCCAGTCGGAATGCCAGGACCAAAGGCATAAACAACGATGGCGGCAAAGTAGACAGCTGACGAATACTCGTTTGCTTTTGTGCTTGAGAATTTGGCGAACTTGGAGTGATTAGCTGGAGAATTCGGCACGTTTGAGGAAGAGCGCAATTACCACTTTGAGAATGGTTGGCAAGAATGTTCCCAGGGCCACGGCAACAATCAGGAGGCAGATGTATGACACGAAAAATACATATGTCGATGGTCGTTTCAAAACTGCAAAGAAGGTTCGCCATTCCCATGTCACATCAGTACTGCGAGTAGAGCCTCGGCCAAACCTGTTGATCGCAATGTGGCGCTCTACGAAGTGGTCAGCAGATCAGTGGATGGGTCGCCGGTGCACACTTCTCACCTCGGTCTGTTAATGCTGGTGACGTCTCTGGGAATGTCAGAAGCAGGAAGTGGACTGGTATAGCCATGACTATCGGAAGGAGACCCTCGATAATAAAAAGCCAACGCCAGCTTTCCAACCCGGCTCTTCCGTCAAGCTGCGAAGGTCAGCTATAAGTACTGGAGGGCAGGCGATGAACATACTTTATCGATGCCTACAGCGAGGAAGCCACCGACACCCGAGGCTAAAGCATTTGCTGCATGGAATATACCTATGCGCAGTGCTCGCTCAGTCGGCTTGTACCAGAAGCTGAAGTACATGATGCTTGTCGGAACGACACCTGCCTCAGGGATACCGAGGAAGAAACGGGCGGTAAGCAGACCCTGGATGTTCTTCACGGCCGATATCGTCATTACAATGGTGCCTGTCTCATTGTCAGATGCCTTAGCCGCAGAACATGGTGTTGCCGACTATACCCCAGAGTACCATAATCACTGGGAAGTATTTCTTTGCACCAAATCGCTTCATCAAAAGGTTCGAGGGCATGAGTAGTACGGTGACCATAAAGTAGGTAATTGACACAGACTGCAGGATGTGTCAATGTGGCTCAACAGTGTTTTACTACTAGCATCGGACATACCCAGTTGAAATCCGTACCTTTGAGGTGCAAGTTCTCCTCAAAACTGTCTTTTGTACCGGCATGCATGATGTTGACGAACCCCATGTTCGCACGGTCGAGGTAAGCAAGGAAGTAGATGATACAGCATGGTAGCAGGACACGGCAATCGAGCTTTCTGACTAGAGCAGCTTCTTCGGCCGCATTCCAGTCCTGGATAGCGGCGACATGCTCGACACGGTCTTGACTACTGACTTTAGAAGTCAGCACACACTGGAGTCTTCTCTACAGTGGTTAGGAACAGTATTACCATGCTTTCCGTCCACTGTCTTGGGCCACAGTGCACGCCGGATGGAGTAGCCTCCAATATAAATGCCTTCAGCCTCAACGGACGCCTTGGTCTCAGCGAACGCTGTAAGCCCGAACATCTTGGAAATCCTTCTTGTGAAGTCGCCTGGAATAGCACTCGAATTACAAGGAAGACATATAGAAAGAAGAGAGCAGACTCTTCAAGCACATGTGCCAGTAATGCAGATATGGTGCTACTGTGGACGTCCCCGTGGGGTAACTCAGATAGGAACCGAGCCAACTTCAGGTATTGTTTCTGATAGGCCAACCAAGGCTGCTGTGAGGAGAAGGCGGAGAAATGCCAGCCTGCCTCCATCATCTCGGTGAAAGAGACTCGGTCTTTCCAGATGAGGATAGGGCCCCGGACGGTGAAGTGGCTAACCAGAGCTTTTCAATGAGGCCTGGCCGGCCTTGGTCTCCTCCGTAGTTGGCAGAATTTGGGAGGTCGATACAGAGCCTACGTGTGCTTCTCATTTCGACGCCTGTTGCTCGACCTGGAGACCCCGGTCGTGCACGGAACCCTTTTGACCATGTCAACAACACCCACGGATCCTGACGACAGGATACATTTCGTGCGTCGACATCGAGGACCGAATGTATTCCCCAACTTCTATTTCTTCAGCCGTCTGGTGCGGCTTTCCTACAACAAGGAACTAGTGGCTGTCAAAGACTTGACCTTCGGCTACACTGCCAGTTATGCACAGCTTCTGACAGACGTTCTCAATTTGAGGAATGTGCTACTCTCTGGCTTCAGCCCGGAGGTTGTTGCTAAATTGGATCGAGATGAGGAAGTCTTTGTTAACCTCCTTGGACCAGCCGGATATGAGTTCACCGTGGCCTTTCTAGCTCTGATTGCACTGGGAGCTGTGACCGTGCCAATCTGTTGGTTTCCACGATCCTTCGTTGATGCCTGTACTAAAGATTCTTTGCAGCACCAGATTTACCAGTCAAAGAGGCATCTTACTTTGCCACTAGATCTCGCGCCGTCGCTGTGATCACAGCCAAACGCAGCATCACGCTAGGCCAAAATCTAGAGCAATGGATGCAAGATACGGGTCAGTCTCAGTACAGGTCGATTAGCATCACACCACATATCATGCAGCCTTGTCTGGATCCAGAGCAATTTCAAGTTTCCTCGGATCCATACTTGGACCTCAATCGCTCCGGTTTGGTAATCTTTACGTCTGGTACCACTGGTCCTCCCAAAGGAGGCGTCAAGCGTCGAGGCTTTCTTATTGATGTTGCACTCAGCTTCGGCGATCAACATGGCATCCGGCAGGGGGACGTTGTTCTGCACGTGCTGCCTGTACATCACGCCACAGGTATCACTGTGACTCTTCTACCTTTTCTGTGGTACGGTGGGCAGATTGAATTCAGGTCTGGCGGCCTCGACGTACCGTGGACGTGGGAACGGATACGACAGGGTGGCCTAACCTACTTCAGTGGGGTGCCCACAATATACATGAGACTGATGGCACACTACGAGCAACACTTGTCCAAACTACCGCCAGATCAGTTGGAACCTTACATAAAGGGTGCAAATGGCTTTCGAGCTTTGCTTTGCGGTACGTCAGCGCTTCCTCGTCCGCTGCAGCAGAAATGGAGTAGAATAAGGAATGGTCGACCCATCCTTACTCGTTACGGTGGAACCGAATTCGCGAATGGATTCACGGTTACGCCCTGGGCCACAGGCGTCCCTGATGTATGTATCCTTGCACGTGGCTGCAAAAACACATTTAATATTTGCAGGGCTCGGTCGGTGAAAGAGCGGCTGGAACCGACTTGTATCTCTCAAACGGCGACGAAGGTGAGATCCTGACCAGGAGTCCTATTATGTACTCAAAGTGAGTTTAATTCAGAGATTACGCTGCCAGAATTGACATCGTCCCAGGTATCTCTACGATCGTGAGGCCACAAAGAATTCTATGGATGAGAACGGGTATTTCAAAACCGGAGATATCGCACGCCGGGAGGGAAAGCATTACTTTATCCTGGGACGAGCGTCAATAGATAGTAAGTGCTGACCAGCAAGCAGCAAACCATACTGACCTATGACCACCAGTCATCAAATCGGGCGGATACAAGCTGTCCGCATTAGACATAGAGAGGGAGATATTGGGCTTAGACTACGTTTCGGAAGTCATGATTGTTGGAGTTGACGACGAGGAATTCGGTCAAAGAGTTGCTGCAGCCATTGTGCTGAAGCCCGAAGTGAGCGACCATCTGCAATATTCGTGTCAGAAAATGTTAACACAAAGACAGGGTCCAAAGACATTGACTTTGGAAAAGCTGCGACATGACTTGAAAGACAGTCTTGCGGGTTACAAAATGCCCACCTTATTACGAATTGTTGCCGAGTTGAAGAAGAATGCGACAGGGAAGGTCATGAAGAAAGTACTGGTCAAAGAATTGTTCCCTTCCGAAGGTTCCTCTGAGGTGCAGGCATGGATATCGCGGAAGACCAAGGGCAAGCTGTAGTGCTGAAAGCGTAGTCAATTATGGTCACTGGCCTGAAACTGGATTTGAGTCTACCTAGTCATCCTCATATCTCTCGTTGGACCGGTAGAAGACTCTCGGAAAGCCTGAACAGTTGTCCATGTCCATGAGTTCGGCTCAGCGCACCGCATGTCTCACAACAGCTAGGCACAATGTATTGTACTCTTTGATGGCCTGACTCGCAGGGTCTTCATACATAGTACTCTACAGACTGGCACTCTACAACTTGACCTTTGGCTCCTTTGCTGTCTCTCTGTGATGCACGTAACTGTTCTGGCGGTATGCCGATAATGCCTGTCCCCAAAGCTCGTTTCGGAGCAGACCGTAAACGCCCATTTTCGCTTTACTCTTCCATGTCTCTGCTATTTCAAGAGCGACATCGAACATTTTGTCTGGGTGTGCCACAGCATCCACGATACCGTCGTCGAGGGCGGTGATTCCGGTGAATTTGTGCGCTTCGAGGAGTACTTTCCGTGCCACCTTCGGTGCCAATTTCGACCGAACCAATGTACCCATCCCGTCATGATGGAGGCCAGCATTGACAGGGGGCATTTGCCAAAAGCCTCTGTTTGCGTTCATGACTCGATAATCGTGAGCTAGTGTCAGAAGACATGCGCCTCCGAAAACATGACCTGTGATCAATGCGATCGTGGGAAATGGAAAATCCAGAATGGTAGCCAGCAGCTGACAAGGAGTAATGTCAGAAGGCTCACACCGATAACGTTACCACCACTTACTGGATAAAATCCATCGCTGGATGCAAAGCTGTTCCGCTCGCGTTCGTCTAGGTCCAGTCCCTGATAAATTGTTAGCTAAGAATGTCAATGCTGCGCTTGACGAACGGTGCAGAAGAATTTTGCGTTGTCGCCACGCAAGATCACAGCCCCTTCAGAGTCCGAGCCAAGGCATCGTTGAATATTGTGGTATGCACGTATCAGCTCCTGACAGCACGCGACATTGAGACGGTTCTCGGGGGCCTTGCGAAGCGTGATAACATATATGCCATCACTTCCTCTTCGTTCGACAGTAATGTACTGGTACTGTTCGTCCATCACGATAATGAGATCGTGCTCTGCAATAACATTGGTGACCTGTGGTTGTGACCCAACTCCTGGTCACGGGTCACTGAAGGCTAGTGCAAAGTCCCTCGGCAGATGCAATGATCCAGAGGGGTTTGCTTTGCTCATGGTGGCGACCTAAAAGCCCCAGGACGTAAACCCAGAACGTCGGTGGTTTCCTCTTTCAGCAATTCGCCGATCGAAACTCCGACCATGCATCAACGATTCTCCAACTTTCAAAGATCGACAGCGGACTTTGACCTATGGCCACGCATGCAAGTGTTACGAGCCGATAATCCGAGCCTTGGACTCGTGATGGAAGCAATATCAAGTCGTTAGAGTCAAGAGCCTCAAGTCCATTGCAAGTGCAAGCTGCACATCTTCTGCGCAGGCTTAACATCATGTCAACTCCAACGCAGACGAAACGAAATATTCCTACAACACCTGACGAAACAACGTTTGGTCTGTTCCTCTGGGGAGGCAGAGAAAAATTTGATAGGCGAATAGCAATATTGGAAGCGTTTATCGGCAATCCAATTTTCTCCAAGAAAACAGTGACCACGCCCTCGCTAGCTCGCAAAGATGCATGGACACGAGCGGCTTTCCAATCAAGAGAGCTTATCAGGCTCAAGTTGAAGCATGACTGGCCACACAGGCAGTTCATGGAAGCGGTCAGGTTCACCGACAACATGCTGCCGGTGCAACCTCAGTTCAGAAGTCAGTATTTCACATCAAAGCGCTGAACCAGCGTTGCTAAATGCATGCGTATAGTCTTCATGTCGAATCTGGAGAGCCAGATGTCTGATGCACAGAAAGCGATTTGGATCCCCAAAGCAGAACGTTTTGAGATTTTTGGCTCGTACTCGCAGACTGAATTGGGCCATGGATCGAACGTCAGAGGAATCGAGACGACTTCGACATTCGATCCAGCCACAGACGAGTTCATCATAAACTCTCCGACCACAAGCAGCACGAAATATTGGATCGGTGCCACTGGAGTATGGGCAACCCACTCGATCGTGGTGGCACGGTTGATCGTAAACGGCAAGGAGTATGGCAACCATCTATTCCTCACTCAGCTTCGGAACCTGGATACCCAGGAGCTCATGCCTGGAGTCAAAATTTACGAAATGGGCCCGAAGGTCTTCCAAGGCATGCTCGGCACCGACAACGGCGCCTTAAGATTCCACAACGTCCGGGTCCCTCGAGCACAAATGCTCGCCAGGAACGCACAAGTGCTGCGAGACGGCACTTACGTTGCGCCCAAGAACACAAAACATTCGTATGGATCGATGGTCACTGTTAGAGCTCTGATGGCTGAGATAACCGGTTGGGATCTATTGAAAGCTGTTACAGTTGCATATCACTACACCACCTTTCGACGTCAGTTCGATCGCGACCACAAAGGAGAGGAAACTCCGGTTTTCGATTATGCTAGTGTGAGATATCGGCTAATGCCACTCCTTGCACAGGTAAGTGAAGCACTCAAGGTCACAGGAAATACTGACTGGCTGTCAAGGCAAGCGCACTCGTGTTGGTAGGGCAGAATATCAAGCGTGCCTATGACACCTACACGGAAAATTATCTTTTAACAAATGATACATCTGAGCTTGAGGATCTGCACCTCCAGACTGTGGGTGCTAAGGTCTATTCGACGGAGATTACCGGACATGGAATTGAAACGTGCCGTATTTCTTGTGGAGGTCATGGATACAACGCCTTGTCTGGATTCGGACGCATGTACGCAAATGCAATCAATGCCGTGACGTATGAAGGTGACAATTATGTGGTGGCTCAACAGGTCCCAAGGGCGATCTTGAAGCACTTCAAGGCGTGAGTGAGCACAGAAAGCTATGTGGTTATGGCTAACATTTGATCATAGAAAGACAGAGTCGTCCTTGTCTAGCTTGTCCTACCTCTCTTTCCTACGTACCAGGGAGCCACCAGAACCGATCAAGGTTCATACCACGGCGGATTGGCTCCTGAGAGACCGGCAAAGATTCGTTCTCGAACAACGGCTGGTCACGCTTGTGCAGAATCACATGGACGATACGGAGGCCGGCAAGGACACTAGTTTCTCGACACATGCTCTTACAATGGCTCACGGCGACTTCATTTACTGGAAGGGATTCTGGAATGTTGTTGATCATAATGGGAACGAAGATTTCTACCCATCACTCAACGCTCTGGCACAAGTGGTCCGTATTGTTCTACCAAAATCCAAGGAGTTGCTTGATTAACGATCATTAGTTTTCACTTTCAATCCTCCAAAATGCGCATCTCGCACTGACACCGCCACTGTCGCTGCCTCAAAAAGCGCGGAATCTGCTGGCAGAGGCGTATCGCAATGCGATCAACGATCTAGCAGACAGCCATGTGGCCAGAATCATTGATGCTTATGGTTTTACAGAATACGAGCTGGACAGTGCCCTTGCTCGAGCTGATGAGACACCTTACGAAGCGTTGCTCAATGGAGCCAAGAAGAGTGAAATGAACAATATGCAGCACCTCTGGCCAATGATGGTAGACACAAGAAGGATCTGGCGGGAATTTGAGCAGGACAAGCAGAGAGGACAACAGGCCAAATTGTAGATAAGTCTCATTACCAGGTTATGCGAGGTACAACAAGTACTGTAGTACTGTACCATTCTTGGCCCAGATCCGGCCTTAGGGTCATGCCTACCTAAGACTTCGTCCAAAGGCATTGATCGTCCCCGCAACCCCACGCAACTCCGCAAACATTTCGCTTGAGAAAAGAGCCAAGCCCGAGGATGTCTGAGAACCATCTGAGGGTCCTTGTGGTAATCTCTTCTCGACGGCATATAATGTTCTCACAGAGGATGTCGTGAAGTCGTAATGCAGTTCTCTAAGTTCCGCTGCTACAAGACGATTTCTACGCCAATTGCATCCTTCGCCCGTGCTTGCGAGGCATGTCACCTAAGAAAAGGTAGATCATACCGCTACACATAGTCCCTCCGCCCATTGCTGACGATTCATTAAAGTTCGTTGCAATGTGGGGGACCAGCGGCCATGTGCGAACTGTGCTACGCATGGCGTTACTTGCAAGTAAGCGAGAGGTCCACACATTTAATCACTTCGGTGAGCAAAATGCGAATAATGTGATGACCATCATCGTTGAGTAGGCCCCGACTGAGGAGCAAGAAAACTGCCTCTTCCAAGCAGGGGCGGAGTGAAGCCCAGAATGGCTCAACGACAGTCAATCGCAATTCCGATGTGGGCGACCAGGGTGGTGCCGGGTTTGACTTCTCCCCAGTTCCTCGAGCTACGACACTGCAGGCGATCTCGGAAGACAACAACGACAGCACCTCCGACCAAGCCATGTGCGCACGGCCACCAGACTTGGGCACCTCAACAGATGCGCCTTTTCTTTTCATACACAATCCAGCCATTCTCGGAAGTGGTGTGGAGCTGCTGGAGAATGTGACTTCACCGTCCATTGACGAGTTTCACAATTCTTCGTTTCTTTCGCGATCCGCAATCCTGGGCGACGAGTTCCCGGAACTCGATCATACACATCCCGACCGACAGACGCACGAGTTCAGGATTTCGGAAAGAGATTTGAAAGTTCTTCAGATCCACGGCGTGTTTGACCTGCCTCGACTCGCAGTGCGGCAGCGCTTGTTGGAAGCGGTCATGGAGTTCTGTTGGACATGGATGCCTGTCCTCGATTTCTATGCGATTCGGTCCGAAAGTGGTTCCGAGACCTCCGCGAAGGCAACGTCCATCTTGCTCCTACAAACCTTGATACTGGTGGGATCGTATATGACCGGAGGTCAATACACAAGCACTTCTCTGCAGTCACACTACCGTCGTGTGAAAGCCATCGTCGACAGTGGTGTGGAGCGCAATCCTTACAAACTCCTTGCCGCAGTGTGTCTGATTCAGTGGTGTGCACCAAGTGCTCCGAAGGACATCTCGATGGATACACCACGATTTTGGAACATGTATGCCATCAGCCTGGCTCAGCAGATGGGGCTGCACCGAAAAGCCCTTCGCCCAGGAAAGGATCAAGGACTGAGAAAGAGGATCTGGTGGACACTGTATGCAAGAGACAGCTTGTCGGCATCCGCACATGGCCGGCCTCGTCTCATCAATCTTGCAGACTGCACTGTCGAGCGGCCTAGTATTTCTGACTTCTCCGACTCGTCCGATCCCGGCGCCCGTATATTCGTCTCGTGGGTGTCAATATGCGAGATTCTTCACGACATCTGTCTCTGGCTCTCTTCGAACCCTGATGCCACATTCGTGGAAAAGCAGGCGCTCGCCAACCGCCTTCGCGAGTACATTCAGAGCTTGCCTCCGGAGTTGGGCATCATCGATCCAGACGGTAGTGCTCGCGCATACGACTTCCAACTTGCGCAGCTGCACGTCACCCTTCTGACCGCCATTACCATCCTTTATCGTCCATCATCGATGTTTGATATCTCTCCGCCGTACTCTTTAGCTCTTTCGATTACGGCATCAACCCTGAACGTCAAACTCTTCGAAGCCATCGAACTTCGCAATCACACTCACTGTCTCAGCTCTGCCTTTACATGGTACATGCTTGTTACCGCCATTCCACAACTCTCCGCCCTCTGCTGCGTTCCCAGACTAGTCCTGCAGGCTGGTCATGCGCTGGACACCATTGAGAACGTGCTGGAGACTTTCAGCGGAGTCCGAACGTCTGCAGTCAATAATCTCGCCAATGTAAGGGCAATACGGAAAGCCGTATCAGTGCCAAGGCCAAATCATCCCACTATGCACAATGGAAAGCGAGGACAACAATGGCCGGAAGTACATACGTCTCCGCAAGCAGAAGCCGCTGACTCGACGTCGTTCATGCTCGTTGATCTGCTCAAGCCCTACGGGACTTCGGCGCTGAAGAACTATGAGTCGAACATGGAGGCGTTGCGCACTCTCGCTTCCAGCTCGACCCCGGAGCAGGATCCTGCAAACCCTCAAAACAACCCTCCACCACAGATCGACCAGGGGCCAGAGATCGGCGACTGGACGACCCCAGATGAGAGTCTTATTCCTGTTTCTGGGGCAAACTTTGATATCTCCAGTTCAGATTTTCAGCTTTTGGTTGGCGATGATTTCCAGGAGAACGGCTGGATGCGCGATTGGGTGGATGATTTACAGCTCTTCGGTCTAGATGTATGAGAAGGCCAACACTGGCCGATGTGGGCAGATCGAATTGGGGCTCATGGACTATTTAAGAATCGGGGCGGAGTAGCAAAGTGATGCTTGATAAGGCTGCGTAGATATAACGCGCGTGCAACTCCATGTCGGGCCAACAGCGAGGCTCCCAACGATCATGATTTGATCGCGGTGATAGGCGTGACACGTCAAGAGGGGGGTTCTGGGTCCCTATCTTGAGTTTCTCGTTGGCAGGGGGGCTTATCTTCGTGGACGCGAATATCCGTGCGCGGTTCAGCGCCTTGCAGGACATGGCCGTCAGTCACCACACGTCCTTTAAATCCAAACAATCGTACTTTATCATACTCTGTCGTTGTTACGATCTGAGAAAGAGACCAGATCAATTGTAGAGCCATCAGCAGACATGTCGACCACTACAACGATAGTTGCTCCCCCCGAGCAGCAGTACGAGTACTACTTTCGCGATGGAACAAACGACAACAAACGAGAGATCTTGACAGGCGACAAGGCGGTGGAAACGTTTGAGGAGATCCCTGTCATTGACGTTGGCAATATTTACAGTGAGAATTTGGAAGAACGCCGGCAGAAAGCGGAAGAGGTTGCAAACGTTTGCAAGACCGTTGGATTTATGTATATCAAAAATCACGGCATCTCGCAAGACTTGATTGATGAGGTGTTTGAGCTTTCGCGCAAATATCATGATCAACCACTTGAGGTGAAGATGAAGGAGGATGTTTACAAGTCGGAGACTCTCAGAGGCTATGAGGTACACTACACCAAGACATCCGAAGGCGAAAAAGGTGAGAATCCTGTCCAAGCTGACGCCCTTCGTAGAGAGTCATGGCTAAGTCCGGCACAACAGTAAAGAAAGGATCATTCCTGTACAGTTATGACCCAGACAACGACCCGCAACCGCCTCAATTGTCACCCGAACAGCGCGAGCTATGCATCGGCATCCACAATCAATGGCCAGAAAATTGGCCAGAGTTCAGAACCAAACTTTTATTATATCAGGCCGAGCTTTTGAAATTGTCTCGCGCTTTGCTCCGGACGTTTGCCCTCGGACTAGGCGCCGAGGAGAACTACTTCGACTCCATCGTTACTGCGCCTTTCATCTCAATCATTCTGCAAAATTATGCGACTCGACCCCCCGGTGCGGAAGATCCGGACAGTCTCGGCGCACACAGTGATTTCGAAAGTATGTCAGGTTTCTGATATCGCGAGAGAAGACGCTAATATCAAGGCAGCCTTCACAATCTTGCTCCAGGACATGTTGGGAGGCCTGGAGATCCTTAATAAGAATGGCGTGTACGTCCCAGCAAAGCCTATCCGTGGAACGTTTGTCGTCAACGTTGGCGACTTCTTGCAGAGAATTTCCAACGACCAATTTGTATCGACTGTGCACCGGGTCCGCAATACATCGGGACTTAGTCGCTACTCGGTTCCGTTCTTCTTCAGCTTCAACGCCGGAGAGGAAGTCTCGGTAAGGACCCCACAACCTCTCCCTTCGAATGGGATCGGTCTAACAGAAAAATCTAGGTCGTCCCAGCCTGTACATCAGCAGACCACCCAGCCAAGTATGGGCCAAGAAACCTTCACGAGGTATGTGACACATTTACACTTCGCAAGAACAGCTTACTAACTTTACTCGAAGTACACCGCGGAGAGGCGCCGAATCAAGAAAGAACAGCACGAGCAAGGCGTTCACCATGCGCTCGGATAGATTCAATGATCGAGGCAGCACAGACGCAACTGAGTCGGCATGACAGTAACGACGGGCATGATCTCAAAGACCTTAGCAGTAAGACTGAGCGCTTTCTTGACGGAAACCATAATGAAGTGGGCCAAACATGTGGCGCTCACCAGCATCCAGTGAAGGATGTGCTTCAATTTGGAATATGGTAGTCTCGAGAGCTCTGAGGTTCGCCGGGCAGGCAGGAATCTGTAGCATTGACTAAGGACAACCCATGTATCCACACACATCGCCTCTTGAGATATGCTTCTTCACATTACACAACATAAAAACATTACACAACATAAAGGCTTTGCTTGTCTTGGATAAGCCATGTACATGTCCTGTCCCATTCGAATGAGAGAGATCTTGTGCGCTCTAAGCTTTTCTGGTCTCTCTTTCAGCAAGCTCCCAATAGGCTCTTGTGCTTCGCACTCTGAACTTCTTCCCCCACACGAGCATGACCACAAACGCAAGGCATGTCACCAGTCCGACAAACGCGGCAGAGATAAAGCAATTTTGATAGCCTAGGTTCTCGATCCACGGTGTGATGCCATATCCTATGGCGAATGCCATGGTGTTTCGGACAATGATTGCCGTTGCCATGGCGTCTCCGGAAATACCATGGTAGCTGTCAACAAGGTAGTTGACGCTGAGCGTAATGCCGGAAGTGCTGGTGAATGCCAAAAAGCACATGGCGACAATCAAACCGAACCAGTGGATATTATGGGCAGCACCAACGCCCCACAGGATCAAAGCACAAGGTACAATGGCGGTGGTCACCACGAATGGATAGAGTCGATGTTCTGCTTCCATGATTCCGTTATTCTTTCGAGCAAGCCTAATTTGCAGCCAGTCGCTGAATCGACCAGTGAAATAAGTCCTATTAAGTCGTCAGAAAGAATGTCACGAGAACCAGGCAGGATCACATACGCCGCGATGACTCCGATGCAGCAGGACAAGTAACTCAAGCCAACCATTGATGCGCTGAAGTTGTATGGCGCACCTCCCAAGATGATCGAGGCAGTTGCATTCAACACATTGAACCAGATCAGATAGCTGCCGTAGGAGAATCCAGCGTAAAAGATGACAGGCCAGCTAAGATATTTGAGGATCCGAACCGATTTGGTAACTGGATTTTCGCCTGGTATTGGCTGCCACAGGGACAACTTCTGCAAAAATGTCTTTTTGTGGTATGGCTCTGTGGGTGCGGCCGGAGTGGTAGTCGCAGTGTTCCCCACCTTCTCGTTCGTCTCTTCGGGCATGATGGATTGGGAAGTCTCGACTATGCCAATGTGAGGTCGGTGGTAGTTGGTCTCTTCCATGAAGAAGAACAGGAACACTGTCACACATGCAGTGAATATGGCTGGAACGTAGAACACCCATTTCCATCCCGCGTAGTCGGCTATGAATCCACAAACAACAGGTGCAAAGTATGCACTTCCTGCAAGGGACAGAGAATACCAACCCATATATGTTCCACGCTCATGGGTGAAGTACTGTACTGAAGTCAGAGATACACGGATGTACAGATTCTCAGACTCGACTTACTACATCAGTAACGGAGACTTCTGGGAGAGCTTCGATAGGAGCGGCAAGAATGCCTGAGACAATGGACTTTCCAATCCACTGCCCGTTACCGCGGCAGTATGGGGCCCAAGCCAGACAAGCTATTGTGCCAACAATGGATATCAAGTAGGTCAATCTCTTTCCGTAACGCAAAGCAAAAGGCTGCCAGAAGAGGAGCCCCCATCCGCACAGGAGGAACACATATCCGCTACCAGCGTTGAGATTGGCTACAGATACACCGGTCTCCTCAGAGAGGGGAACCAAGACAGAGACGATGACTGAGGCGATCAAGCCTACCGAAAACGTGTACCTTATTCATGGTTAGCCGAGACACAACAGAGGATGGAAATCAGGGATTACGCACAAATTGACACAGATGGTCGACAGCAGTTTTCGACGCGGCGCCCAATTCAAAGGATCCTCGGGGTCGTTAGAGGGTGTTGGTACCAGCACAATTTCTCCCGTCCCAGCATGTTTGGTGTGCATGCTATGATCAAGGTCGATGAGGTGGACCGTCCCAGGGACGGAGTCATTGAGGCTGGTGGACATGATTGAGGCTCGTCGAAATGGTGTGATTTCGTTATGTAAGAGTACCCAGGAAAACTCCAGTCCATACAGGTATTTATATTCGGACTGGGCTTGATGGACCCTGTTCGTGGTGACTATCGATAGTATAGATCTGGAGTCCCTAGTTGATAGCATGAGAATCAGTTGTGCTATCTATGGATACCGAGGGAATGAGGCGCTTCGTCCAGGTTGATAGCCAAAGACAGCAGTGACCTATCGATGCGAACCGAATGAGATCATCCCATCTCTACTATGAAGCTCTGATTTCTCTCTTTGGTACAGGCGAATTAGGTCCACATGATCGAGCCAGCAGAGCGGAAAATACCCAAAAATGTCAAGCATATTTTAGCCAAAGGATAGCTTCGGCGCAAAGGCCCGAAGCCCTGTCTGACGGACTATCTTGCAAGATGTACCTAATGACACCCTAGACAGACCTGTCATGTTTGCGCCTTTTGTACACCTCCACCAAGGGAGCTAAGATAGCCAAGTTACCAAGAGTGGCTAAAGACGTGAGAGACTGCTGCTAAAAAGTGGCTATCTGGATAATTTACGACTTCCTACTCAGTCTCGAGCACCCAGTAGCCACCCTACGACCTTAGGGTGCTATAGGTTCTGACCTTGGTGGTTGAATAATGTGCTTTGTTCCTGAAGTCTAGTTCACCAGTTTGTTATCTGGGACTTGATCCGAGCTGATCAGCAGACACGGTATACGTGGTCCCACAGACTGGCATGTGGTCGACTGATGCACATCTCGGGATGCCTGAGCAAAACTGGAGCAGCAATCAACATCCCAACCTCAAATTATAACCGACCTATCCGACGCAACGCATTCGCACAAGGATCGACTTGCCTCTCACGCCGAAGCATCGGATGCTGCGAGGCTAGTCCCATTGATTGGCATCCAGGGCTATCACGGCACGACCCAACAGCTCTCCCTTCGCCATCCGTGAGAAGACGTCCCCCAACTCCTTCGGCTTGTGAAGGGTGAATCTCGGCTTCACCACTCCTCGTGCCGCCATATGTAGAACGTCCAAAGCCTCTTTTCGGTTTCCCACCGACGAGGCTGTTATATTGAGCTGTCCAATGATCAGTTTGCCAGGGTCTGCACTCTGGATAGGGACCTCATCGCCCTCAGTTATGCCGAGACACACAAGTGTACCATTAAACCTCAGGAAGTTGAGGGCTTGGGCATATGCAGCATGTGCGGCCGTGCAAACCATCACCCCAGCGGCACCACCGCCTGTAATCCGCTTGACTTCATCTGCCATGGCCTTGTCGCCCTCGGGTCCGCGAGGATATTTGTTGATGGCGATGAATTGTTCTGCCCCGCACTCTTTGACCAAGGACTCTTTCTCAGCCGAGTCAATGCCCAAGATTCTAAACCCCAGCCCATGGCTGCCAATCTCGCAAGCTAAGTGTCCCAGGCCACCTCCCGCGCCAGAGACTACAAACCACTCACCGGCCCGCGCTGGAGTCTTCAGAAAAGCAGAATACACCGTCAAGCCGCCAAAAAGCAGCGGCGCCGCAACATCTGACGGTAGATCGGCTGGGATCGGAGTAACATAGTTTGCAGGTGCTAGAACGTACTCCTGAAAGGTGCCTGGTACACTGTACCCTGATACAGTCGGACGGAAACATGAGCCCTCCAGGCCGACCATACAAGCTGGACATTCTAGACAGACGGAAGAGAACCATTTGATGCCAACTCTATCACCAAGCTGGACTGTCTTGGTGGCTAGGCCCGGTCCCAGCTTGACAACTTCTCCTACGCCTTCATGGCCTCCAACTTGGGTTTTCGTTTTAAGATCAGAGAGCCATTTCCAGCCGTTCATCATGACGGCGTAGTCGGAATGACACACGCCACTATGCGAGAGCCTGATCAATACTTGCCCGGGGCCTGGTTCGGGCGTGTCGACTTCAACGGCCTTGACGGACAGCGTTCCGGGGTTGTCGTAGATAACTGCATGGTGACGACTGGGAGTCGCCATATTTAGAAATTTGTGCGCAACTGAATGGCTGTCTATTCACACCTGATGACTTTTGATATTGCCCTGGGCGATGTTGATAAGGAGTTATCGACGTCCTGAGACACTAGCCGAGAACGCAGTGTGCGTGATGATCTCAGGAGTCCTCTACCTCACTAGTCTAGTCTTAGGAATGTGTCAAACGACGATATTTCGCCACAGGACAATCTGAAATGTCGATGATCTCTTGCATCTCGATTATGTCTCAGCCTTGCGCTGTAGTCGTTCTGCAGTGTACGCTATAGTCTAGATAGCCAAGGTACGGAGAACGGAAACAGACTTGCGAAAGTGCCGGATTCCGAGATAGCTTAGCAACCGGCAGTGCACCCCACACCTTGCCCTTAGGATGGCAATCTGATCCAGTTTTTTGGGTGATCTCCGTGTCACTCGGAGTCTCGGACACCCAGTTTGATCTAATGTTCAGGGTCACGCCATCACGTGGGACACTGAGACGAATTTGAGGGTCCATGTTGACTCCTGCGGTGCTGTCTCTCGTCGAATGTTCTGCTAGCAAGTAAGGCTTACAATGGGACTTACAATGACGGGCAGGTCGTGGCAGGAGATTCGCGATGCGAAAAGAGCTGAGCAGGCTGCTCGCATACCGTCGGAGTGGAAACTCAAGCAAAGTCCACCTGAAGAAACGAGGGACCTCCGTCCTTATGCCTACGAATCAGGCATTCTATCGGACAAAGAGTTGGAAATTACTGATCTGGACGCCACGTCTCTGATCGAAAGAATCGCCAATGGAAACTACTCGGCCGTTGAGGTGGTGACAGCCTACTGCAAACGTGCAGCAATCGCTCAGCAACTAACTAGTTGCTTGACCGAGATCGCATTCGCCGAGGCCATCGAAAGAGCAAAAACCCTTGATGAGCACTACAAAACGACCGGAAAGGTCGTCGGGCCTCTCCATGGTGTTCCCATGAGTTTCAAAGAATGCTTCAACCTCAAGGGATACGACTCGAGTAATGCTTATATCTCGAAATGCTTCAACCCTGCGCAGTATGACGCATACCTGATTGAAATCTTCAAAGATGCTGGCGCAGTCCCTATTGCAAAGACTAACGTAAGTAGTTCCGACAATGCTCGACCTGAACGAGAGCCTTATTCTGCTTGCATGTGCACTAATGCGGTCTGCTGACCTTTTGCTTTTAGATCCCACAAACGATGCTCGTAGCCGAGAGCGACAACAACGTCTTTGGCAGATCCAAGAACCCAGTAATTGCACACCTCAGCTGTGGTGGCTCAAGTGGTGGCGAAGGGGCTCTGATGGCATATCACGGAAGCGCCATTGGCATTGGCACAGATGTTGGAGGTTCAATCCGGTAGGCCAGCCTCTTGAAACCATCAAGAGCATGCGAAAATCGGATACTAATGTGAGATAGGATACCCGCTGCGTGCAATGGCGTCTACGGCTACAAGCCTTCCGCGGGACTTCTTCCAATGCTGAAGTACGCAAATTCCACGTGGCTCGGGCTCAACACGGGTATTCCTGCCGTGTGTGGTCCTCTTGCTCGCTCACTGCGAGACTTGGAACTCCTTACTAGAGTAGTCCGTAAGGCCCAGCCATGGCTTGAAGATCCAGCAATTATGCCCCACGTGTTTGAAGCGGGGGCAGTGGACAGGAAACCTGTCGTTGGTGTGATCTACTCAGCAGATACTCTGACACCACATCCTCCAATTCGGCGAGCGCTTCGCGAGACAGCCGCAAAACTTGAAGCTGCCGGTGTGCAGGTGAAGGAATTTAAGCCAGCAAGCTATGCAGCAATCAACGAAGTCACCAGGCAATTATTTACCCTAGACGGACTCTCATATGCCAAGCGTGAGTTGGCGCAGTCAGGAGAGCCACTGGTGCCTGCCGTACGGACGATAGGACACTGGGACGTGCCTGCGAAGACCTCTGAGGAGAACTGGGCCTGGAATGCGAAGAAGCAAGCATTGCAGAAAGAAATGCTCAATAGATGGCGTGCAGCTGGAATAGACATTGTGCTTTGTTCGGCTGGAGCGCACACTGCTCCTCGCCCAGGACAATGGGCGGATGATTCCTATACAGTGGCTTGGAATGCAGTGGACTATCCGGCGATTATCATGCCAGTCACCCATGTGGACCCGTCTAAAGACCCGAAAGATATACTGGAAAAGCCGCTATCACAAATGGATGCAGAGTTTTACGAAAGGTACGACCCAGAGCTTATGGCAGGGTCGCCTGTGGCTCTGCAGCTGGTGGGACCTAGACTGGGCGATGAACAGTTGCTCAAAGATGCCGAGCTGGTTGATAGAATACTTAAGCAGTAGTCTACCCCATCATAGTAGCTTCAAACAAGGTCGAGTCTTAAAAGGTTATGATACCTTTCAAATAAATCTCGAAGTACCTGCTTTTGAGTCATGATCTCCCTATTCCGTATGACAGGGTTCATATGGAGCAGCACACTGGCAAAGCATGGCGAACAGGAGAGACAGGGTATATTGAGATTGATATGGGTGTGGATGAATGATATCTCTAATCCGACGTTGCGTAGTATGATGATCTTCCCGCAATGCATTTTATGTAGAAAAGGGTTTGAAATGGCCTCTCCCACTTTTGTGGCAGCGTTAATAGCTTGTCCTCACAAGTTCAGTACCGAGTCGATCAACTCAACATCTTTCAACAACTGCTCATCAGCGAGCCTTGGGCCAGCAATCTGGAGGGCCACAGGAGCACCTGCCATTTTTTGTGCGTCATCTGCACAACATCATCAGCGACCTGGCTACTTGAAACGACAGAAAGGTGAACGAAGACGGTAAATACACTGCAGGCAAAGGCAACTTACACATGGCTTCATTGTCCTTGTCTAGCTCGGATTGAGGAGTGAATGATGTATCTCTGGGATCTTTCTCTGGGTCCACAGTCGTGAAGGGGATGATCAAGGCTGGGTACTATGCGAATTGTTAGTAAGAGATTCAGCACTAAACAACCAAGAAGGGAAAATTGAGAAGGGTGTACTCACGTCTACTGCGTTCCATGCAACAGTATAACTGAAGTTGGTCCACTCGTTGGGCGTGACTGCTGTATGAGGTCCCGCTGGACCTAAGACAACGTCCACATTTGCTTTTTGCCACGCATCCAGCATCTGTTTCTGCCAGGCGATCTTCTTTGAGTTGAACACCCATGCTTCTTCCCACGTTTTGCGCGACTTGTCCCAGAAGCCGGACTTAAGCACAGATTCTACCGGTGGTTCACCGGCCTTTTCCATCTCTCCTTTGGCATATGACAGACCATCAAGAGACAGCAGCTCGTGTGATATGTCTCGCATCTCATTGAAGTCAGGAGGAGTAAATTCCTTAATTTCGAAACCCGCTGCCTTGAGTTTCTCAACGGCTTCGTTGATGGCCCGAATGATAGGAGGGTGTGGTTTGAGTCCGCCACTCTGGAAGAATACTCCAACCACCGGTCGCCGGTCTGAAACGTTGGGCTTGGTTTGTTCTGGCACCAAGGACGGGTCGAATAGCCATGGTTTAGCATCACGAACAACTCGGTGCCAAAGGATGAGATCTCGCATCGAGTGTCCCATAGGACCACAGACTGCTGGAATGCCTGTATTCATGCCTACCCAGTTCGATGCTGCGTAGTATATCATGGGGTACATGCCGAATGATGGCTTGAATCCGTAGACACCGTTGGCTGCGCAAGGACATCTGTTATACCACCGTAATCAGTAATGTTCACAACACGAAAAAGGGATCCAATAGAGAACGTCCGACTTGGCTAGCACTAACCTGATAGAGCCAGCAACATCGGTGCCAATACCCAGTGCGCTACCGTTGAATGCCAACACGGAGCCCTCGCCTCCGCTGCTGCCACCAGGGTTCAGATGCGATACGACCGGGTTTTTGGTTTGTCCGAAGACATTGTTGTGTGCTTCTGCAGCCAGCATGCTTTGGGGGATATTCGTCTTTGCGACGAATATAGCGCCCTCAGCTTTCATGAGCTGGATCAGGTACGAATCGTAGGTTGCTGGATCAAAACACCGCGTGATGTATGCATTGCTCGAATCGAAGCCCTTGAAATGGAAGCATTCCTTTCCCCAGGTCAATACCCTGAGACATCAGGCTGTATGATTGCTTGACTTACCTTGCATGTCATCGGCACACCATGTAAGCGACCGATGGGCTTCCCCGTTCTCTTAAACTCTTCGTCCAACTTCTTGGCATCCTCAATGGCCTCCAAGAATCGGATCTCAGTCAGGCAACTGAGCAACTGTTGGGCTACTGCCGCGCGCTTGCAATAGGCCGTTGTGACCTCGACAGCGCTGTAGCTCCCCTTTGCTATTTCGGCAGCAAGCTCTGTTGCATCATATTTCTCAGTGATTTCCACCTCCTTCTCGGTCAGAATACCACAAGTAGCAGCAATTGGTCGAAGGTCGACTGTTGTCTCTGCTGCTTTGAGAGCCTTGTCTGAGAGCTTCCATTCAGCAGGGATACGGGATGATTGCTCAGCCTTTTTGGCTGCAGCAATCTCCTGCCATGGTCTCTGAGAGGCCATTGATCCCATTGTGCTAGAGATTGTTCGAGTTGTACCTCAGGGCTGGATAAAAACAGTATCGAAAGACGACGAGAAGAGCAGCCTCAAGGTTCGATATTACTACCTGCCTTTTATTGGCGGCGAGGAACAATACCCTCTTGTATGGTTTATAGTACAGGGCCCCAGCCTCGAAGATTTCTAGTCAAAGAAATTGGAGCCTACCGGATCCAACAATACAGCGGACATAATCGCATCCTGTCGCTCGTGCGGGAATATCCAGATGTCTGTTTGGTGATAGGAGGTGCGACGATAAGATAGCTTTCCATCGTTTACGGCATAGTCTTGTAGCACGTGAGGCATAGAGTCTTGTCGGCAACTCGGAAACCACAGGCCGAAATCTTATCAAGACACTTTACTTGATGACTTGATGTTAGGGTGAGACCTTGATGCCTCCTTATCGTTAAGCTATCTTAGCGTCTTGGGGAGTGGTCCTGAACCCTTCGTTCAACAACAATTCCGGACATCTGCTTTTCACAATGTTCCGGTAACCTTCCGCCTAAAGGAATTGTTTCTCTTGTACAGGCGACTAGTGTTTGCCACACAACTGTGTTGTCCTGAAATTTGAAAAATGCCTGATGGGTAACCTTTCATCAATAGCCATGTACCCATATGCCCTCAAGTCATGACAAATCTGCGGGGTGCTCGCGCTTCCTACCTTTCCTGCACACGTTTATGTCGGTTGTTCTTGACAAGAGTGAATAGCCGGCTTTGTTGTCCTAGTAGGTCGATTTCCGCAAGCTGTCGCAGACCGGGTGCAACATTCCAACCCACCATGGAAGCTGCCAGACTGCGAAGACATGAGCAGAGAGGAAAATACGACGTTGACTCCATCGAGGCAGTCTTCGCAGACATCTTCTTTTCCCACGTGTCATACGTCGACGATGGCCTGCCACAATGCTTGCCCATGATTGCCTTGTTTCGACGAGTAGGGAAGAACCAAGACCCGGTGATCTATCTCCACGGCCATCCAAGCGCGAGGTTAATGGAAATTGTGCGGGCTAACGAGTCCGAGCAAGCCAGCTCAGATGGTGAGGAAGCGAACGGAAAGCCGAATAGCAGGATACGAGTGTGTATTACGGCCACAAAAGGTCAACAAAGCTATCCAGTTCGTGTGTCGGAAGTTGTACCACTTCTGCACTGTTCGAGCACAATGGCTGACTCTCAAATTTACGCATAGTGGACGGCCTCGTTCTTTCGTCGGCTCCGAATGGACATACCTTCAATTATCGATCTGCGGTCATCCATGGTGCATGCTCCCTTGAGAAGGATCGCGATATCAAGCGGGATGTGATGAAGGGGGTGACCAACCACATCGTTGAGGGCAGGTGGGAGGATGTTAACCCTGTCGCATCATTCCAGGTTGCACTCGTATGTGTGATACGAGTCGACATTCTCAAGGGCGGTGTCAAGTTTCGAGCTGGTGTTCCTGGGATTCAGCCTAGGGATATAACGAAAGACGGTCCAGACAATGAAGTGCCACCATGAACAGGGGTGGTTCCTCTCCGCGAACAACTGGACGAGCCAGTCCCGAGTGGACTGACTGACAATGCAAAAGTACCAGAGGGACTGCTGAGGTTTATCGAGACCAGAAACAAGGCTCAGAGGCAACACGCCCATGCTGTCGCCAAGTGAGGGCGGGTTTGGGGCCTTTGGATGTAATCCTGTAAAACACCGCTTGGAAACGAGGCAAAATGGTGATGCAAATCTTATGCAAATGACTTTGGCCACTGGCGACCCAGAATGATGTTGTACATAGATATGTATTATGCAAGAGAAGCTCTGGCCCTTTGAGGTACCTGATCTTCGGGTACTGTACCTACTACAGTAGGCATCATCTCGTCTTAGCCTTATCTCATTCTTTGCCGGCAGGGCCGAAAACTGCGGGGTTCCCTAAAGCGTAGAGGCTAAGGGTGCCTCGTGCTCTGGGCCTTCCTTATCTTCCCCTCCCCAACGTCCTGCAACTCCTCTCTCGAACATGTCCAAATTCTCAGCGTTTTTGTCACCACTTGTCCACATGAAACGCATTTACTGAATGTCTTGGTACGAAAGCCACCTTTCCGGACGATACTGGGAACTTTGACACAGTAGCGCAGACTGTCATTATCTCAACGTATTTCTAGGAACAGCAGCAACACCAATCGAAGCGCACTGTTTCTGTGATCACTTTGATCGAGCACGGGCAAACGTCCCTGGACAGCGCATAGGAGTGTCTGTACCGCTTCTCTGTATATACTCAACTTCACTTTGATACGACTCATTGGCTTGCTGCGATGCCTTTCGAAACCCTAATGGCCGCTGGGATGGAGCACACCTTTTCTCTGAACCCAGGAGTGATCGATCTTCGACGGAGATCCAAACATGGCTGTGTCGACTGCAAAGCGGCCAAAGTTCGATGCGATGAAGTCCGCCCGTCCTGCGGTACATGTACTCGTCGAAAACGTGTTTGTCGAGGGTATGCCCATAACGCAAACGCAAAGGTCCTTCCAAGGCAAGATCAGCACAAATCTCCACCACGGTCCCCTAGGAACGTTACGATCAAGACAAGCTCTGACCCTCTGACACCAACATCACCAACAATGGACTCGATTACGGAGGAAGACGATACGCGGCAGTCCCCCTGCTCAAACATAATCGATGATACGACCACAAGTCTCGGTCACGTGCAAGAACAGCTATTTGATTCACCAATATCGACTGATCTTATGGTCCATTCATCCTCACGCGCCTTGGATGCGTCCCTACGTCGCATCCCCAAATCGCTCCCCTCGATCCCCGTGGGCACCATACCTGAAGCGGACTGTTCAACGATCAACGTGTACTTCAGGAGGCATCCTGTTGAGCTTGTGATAAGCTCAGAATTTGTCGACGAGATGAACGCTGTCGTTCTTATGGTACTTCAAGACAGCCCTTCGGCTATTGGCGACGCTCTCTATGGGATCGGGCGTGTCTACATGGACCAAGATAGCCAAAGCACCAAATTACCACTTGCTCTAAACAGGCGGGCGAGAACCCTGGCTCGGTTGAGAGTGAAGGACCCGAACCGTGAACTGGAGCAGATGCTCGTGATGATGTTAGCATTGAGTGGGATGGAGGTACTGGATTCCTGTCACCTACCTCAAGACGTTACCAGCTAACTGTGGACAGCTTATCGACACGAAATGCAGGCCTCACGAACGCACATTCCCAATTATCGTTGGCTACGCAGCATCAATAATCAACAAATACCTCGGGTCAGGTCTGGTTCTGAGCTCGCTCGCCAAGTACTTCATTCGTACCTTGGCGCGGCAAGACATGATGATATCGCTGAGTCAGTTGCGTCGCAATGCCATCAGAACGGACACCTGGCTCGACGACACTGCGAAGCATAACGCCGATCGATTCATGGGATATACAGCAACGCTGATGCCGCTTCTTGAGGAGTTATGTGCTCTAGCGGAAGACGTTCACCAGAGCTTAGGTATCACTCGTGGGAAAGGGTATGAGTTGGGGAACGCCACATCGATTCCTTTGTCCTTGACAACGATTTCAATGATTTCGCAAAGGGCAATGAACTTACAGTTTCGACTCCGATCTTGGCGTCCAATTTTCAGTCAGGAGATATCAGCAAGGACTTCAAGGCGGCTGTTAGCACAGGCCTATGCAACCCGCGCTGCTGCTTCACTTATGCTGCATCGACTAGTCAATCCTGCCGGAAGCTCGGAAGAGAGCGATAGAGAAGCTTTTGAGATGGCTTGTGAGATTATGGCCCATCTGAATGGACAACCTGAGGACTTGCGGTTGTCGACCTTCCCTGCGCTGATTGCGAGTTGCGAGTTGGAGAGTGAAGAAGACCGGGCTGTTGCAGTTGAGATCTTTGAGGGTATTTATAATGCTCGAAAGACTGGTACATCACTTCAGACGAAGGACTTCGTCGTCGACAGGGTATGGAAAGCAAGGGATGCAGGCGAGGACTGGGATTGGATGGTCCTGAGTCAAAAGTACCCTGGTGAATGTGTACCGATATAGCACGAAGTGTAGAGTACGGTAAAACTGTGAGCGCTGAGTACCGTGAGCACTGAGTTCCGTTGCATGATATGATATGTACTTTTAAAGCCTCAGAACGTGCTGCCGAGAAGCCTTCGAGGAGCACTCGTCACTGTCAATACACTTCCCAAGTGATCACACACATTGACCAGGACAGATTTTCCTTCTCTTTAAGTACAAAACAGGCCGCGATCGGCGAGTGGTCGCCCTCAAGTTTAGTCAGGGGTATCGCGGTTTACCTATTTCAGGTCTTTGCTAAAATCATGCCTTAGAATACCAAGACGACCTTTCTGGCTTGCTGCTTTTCAAAAATCTCGTACCCCTTTGCGGCCTCAGTAACGGGCAGTTTATGCGTGACAAACTCGCGCACTTTGTCAGAATTGGCAACCAAGACCTCCAGAGCATTGTTGAAGACTCGTCTTGCAGGCGCCCTGCCCATATTGATACTGCAAATGTTAGCTTAGACGAGATTCAATCTGCTTTGTCAGCGAAAGCAGCACTTACTTCAGATTTTTCGCGTACGCCTCGAAGGCTGTGAAGGGCACCTCGCCCTGGTGAAACCCGATGCTCGATATACACCCAGCCGGTCTTACCAGCTCAAACGCCGACTTCAAAGCTGCAGCATTGCCCACAAGTTCAATCACCGCATCTGCACCTCGGCCTTCAGTGGCTTCGAGGATTTTCGCCTTGATATCATCCCGACCCAGCTTCAGAGGTATGGCTCCCCATCTCTCTGCTTCAGCCAGTCTGTCATCCACGGCGTCCACGGCGAAAACCTTGCCCACTTTCTTCGTCAAACAAGTTAATATCGAGCATAGTCCGACCGGTCCACAACCTAGACATACGAACACGCAATCTTTGAGTTCCTGCACCTGAAACATTGGAGTATTTGCGTTGATAGACTCCAACTCGCGCGACTGTGACTCGAAGTACTGAATTGCCCTGTCGGCGCCGTAGTACCCTGTCGGGAAGATGTCGCACATCATTATGAGCAGCGAGTCGTCCACAGTCGTCGGTGCAGGCTGTAAGGTGCCGTCGGCAAAGGGAACGCGCACATATTCTGCTTGCCCTCCGTCAAAGCCCAGACTGCCAAAGGATTTGCCTCTGACGCACCGGTTCGTGTAGCCGTGGAGGCAGAACCAGCATTCCATGCTGATCGGACGTCAGCGACATAGCGGATAAGCATCTTGGAGGCGGGTAGTACCAAGTGATGGTGAACGTGCATACGATCTTCTGCCCGATCTTGAAGTTTTTGACCTCCGGGCCAAGTTCCTGGACATGGCCAACGAACTCGTGTCCCTATCATTGTACCCAGCACATTAGTATACGTGACAACATTCTGTAAATGCATCATATGCAACAACGGGCCCGCTGGCGGTCCTCCCACCATACTCTCTTGTGGATTTCCCATAGAAGTATGGGACTAAAGGACTAGGATTGAGCAGCACCACTTACACAGATGACGCCTGGCTCCATTTTCTGGTGTCCTCGGTAGAAATGCAAATCACTCCCACAGATACCGGCCACTGTGACCCTGATGATGGCGTCCTTCGGCTCGATTATCTTGGGTATAGGCCGTTTCTCCGTCGCCATCTGGAAGGGAGCTTTGAAGATGACGGCGTCCATCGTGTCTGCTGACCCCATGGTGTTGATGAGCTGGCTCTCGCGACAGACGGCCTCTATACCAGTCGAGAGCTGGCTCCCCAAAAAATGCTGCGAACTCCTTTGGTCGGCTCTTGGACCTGTTCAAACGACGCTGGCGCTGAAACGCCTTTCCTTGCTCGTTATGCTCGTCAATCAAGGCTAGACTCACCGCAAGAGGTGCTGACCAAACCCTCAACAATTCGGAACCTACTGAATGAAACGATTCTATCGATCAAAGGATGTCAAGAAACAGTGGCGTCGAACTCAGAGTGGAAGACGGCGGAGAAGTCCAACGGTATGACCTTTTGAGGTCTTGCACTCAAGGCTGGGCATGGCTTAAGAACTGCTGTCGGCCGCAGTGCCGATGGAAACTTCCATGACGGTCATCAACGGCATTTTGGCTTGCAGACGTACGGTAAGGAGAGCATCGGGGGTCACTTAGGGTGCATAAGGGCGTTCATGGGGGTTTGACTGGGTCAGCTGTCCATTCCGAATGCCGATGACCGAGACGAGCCCCTGATTTAGTGCTCGGTGACCATCAGCCGAGGCCTGGATGAAGGCACTCCCCGCACCACCACACCGCATGCACGAGGATTGGGGGAAGAGCCAGCCCATGGGGTCAGGGTTTCAGGCTGCTTGCAGACAGGGAACCTCGCTCATGAAGCATTCATGAAACGTTCATGCACTGTCACGAACTCCCGGTGGACGTCCGCAGCTGGGATTCGTGGGTTGTCGCCAGCCTTAAGGCCTCCAATATGAGATAGAGGAGGCTGTACCTCAGGCGTACCCCGCGCCTAACTTAGCCGCGGCACTGACCACCGATGTTTCTGGGTTTCGGGACATTTGCCGATGGCCGATGTGTACCTACGAGCTTTCTCGCTTCTCCAGTCTTGCACGGCGTGTCTCTAGCTTTCATGGCCCATCCGCTTAGTCGCCATTCTCCTCCTGTCGCACCTCCCTTGGCTTGGGCTTGCTGAAGTCAAATGAATGACCAGGACCGCGGGGCACTGTGCTGACCCAGATTACGTCGTGGGGGGAAGCTGTTTAGTAACCTAGGCTGTTGGCAAGACCTCAACATCGATCAGATCAGGTGTCAACCACCTTCGTACCGTCCAAGTACCGTCTCCCCAATTCACATGACAAACAGCTTCCTGATATCAAGCACGCGACAATTTCTTATTCCATCATGGCGTCTCTCAACCTGCCCAAGGGCTCATCAACATGTCGATTGTCCATCCTCAACACCACATGCGACTTCACAATTCCTCCCTCCCTGCTCGTGGAACCCCCAATCGAGGGATACGACTGGATCAATCTTCCCACCTACTCATTCCATTTGAAGCACGCGTCGTCTGGCGCCGAGATCCTCTTCGATCTCGGATGTCGCAAGGACTGGGAGAACTTTGTCCCTCATCTCTCGGACATCGTCAAAAACCATCTCACCGGCATTCGCATTAAGGAAGATGTCACGGACATTCTTACTGACGGTGGGATCGATCTCAACAACATCTCAGCAGCCGTCTTCAGTCACCACCATTTCGACCACGTCGGAAATCCGTCCAAGCTGCCCAAGAGCACCAAATTGGTGGTTGGGCCGGGATTCAAGGAGGCCTTTTTGCCAGGGTATCCGGCGAAGAAGGACTCGGAATTCCACGAAGCGGACTTCGCGGGACGTGAAGTTCAGGAGCTGGACTTCTCGGACGACTTCAAGATCGGGCAATTCCAAGCCCACGACTACTTCGGCGACGGCAGTTTTTACATCCTGAACGTGCCAGGACATGCCATCGGCCATATCTCAGGCTTGGTTCGAACGACTCCGGACACATTCGTCTTTTTGGGCGGCGATGTCTGCCACCATAGTGGAGTCATCCGGCCTACGAAATCGATACCTCTGCCTGACACGATACCTGAAGATGCTTTTCTCGACAAAGCAATACCTCGACCATGCCTATGCACGGCATTCCTGTCGAGTCATCCGGACGGAGAAAATGGCCGCACGGTAAGTCACAACGTTTGGTTGTCAAACTGCAGGGATCCTGGCTAAAAATTTCCTCGTTTAGACACCTTTCCTCAAACCCACAACAGACCCCAATGGATGGTATCGTGACCCGCCAACAGCAAAGAAGTCTACTCGAGCATTGGAAGAATTTGATGCGCAACCAAACGTTCTGGTTGTCATTGCGCATGACCCGACCTCTCTTGATGTTTTCGACTTTTTCCCAAAACATACTATGAACGACTGGCAGCAGAAGGGATGGAAGCAGGCCTCTCATTGGGGCTTCTTGAGCGAGTTGCCTTACAACGGAAAGACTGTCAGACCAGTACTTGTTGATGGTCTCTACAACTCGCAGGGTGAGAGACTACGGGATCTGAATCTGAAGTGAGAGCATGTAGATGCCCATAGGCCTTTTTCAGTCCAGGAAAAAAACTACTACGACCCCAGCACCAGCCAGAAAGAGAGAGTCGCCTAGTTCCAGTAAGTAGGCAGTGTACAGAGATGAACCGAACATGTACTTAAGAAATTGTTCCAACTGAATGAATGACATCTCAATCTGGGAGAAAATTACCAAGATATGAAGTAAAATCTAGAATTATGGTCAAGTCCCCGGGTTCACAATAAATGCTTTGATCCCTGCATTAAAAGCTTGGGGCGACCCCCTCCAAACGCCGCTCCCGAAAAGAAAAGAAGTTCCTCCTAAAAGAAGTTCCTCCAAAAGCCCTTATGCATCTGCCTTAGTATTAATATGCATAACGAGCCCGTGCATGTCTGAGAACAGAACGACGTCTCAACGCGGTGACGGGACATGCAGGGTCGGACAGAGTGACTGTGGTTGAGCTGGGCACGCAGTCGGCGGTGTCAACTTGTGCCTGGATGGATTGAATGTCCTCAGTACCGATGACAGGGTCAAGGTTGGCAGTAGTACCGTCGGCATTGGTGGTCAGCACTGATCCATAAGACTGGCAAGAGAGAACGCAGTCGTCAGCGGCAGCTTCCAATACTTCAGTGCTATCGCACAGGGTAGAGTTGAGGACGCCGGTGGTGCCGCAAGTGACTTGGTTCAATCCGAGGTCCGCAAGAGTCTGTCCAGCACAGAGGGTAAGCTCAACTCCGCAGAGAAGTGTGCTTGAAGCAGTGGCGGAGGACGTTGTGCTGGTCGTTGAGGTGGTTCCGTCATCGGTGGTCGTGGTCGCACTAGTTGTGCTGGTGACCATCGAGGAGCTGCTAGTAGAAGTGAAGTCGCCGGTTGTGGACGAAGTGCTGCTGGTGGAAGTGGTGCTTGAAGAAGATGAAGTGGTGGTTGTGGTGCCAGTGATGCAAGTTGGGTCATCGATCTGGACGGTGACTTCTTCAAGGGCTGAGCAAACGTCATCTCCGACCACCGTGCCGTTGGCAATGGCAGCTTCGACATCTTGAGGGGTAATGCTCAAGCCAATGACTTGGTTGTCTCCGAGGAGGACGGTGGCGATGCTTGGGTTCTGGGTCAGGAGGTCAGGGACCAGTTCCGCAAGCTCATCGACGGTGCAGGTGACACCGACTGCGCAGTCCGAGGTGGCGACGGTGTTCGCAGTGATCAACTCTGAGTCAGGGCAGATGTTTGCGTTGATGTTGCAAATCGCGGCAGCCGAGGTCGAAGAGGTGGATGTGGTCGCCGTGGCGGTGCCCGATGACGAGGAGCTTGACGAAGATGTAGTAATGCTGATAGGTCCAACCGATACGGAGATGGTAAGTCCCGAGGAGGTGCTCGACGTTGATGACAAGGTCGAAGAGCTAGAAACCGACGTCGAAGTAGAAGTGACCGAGGACGAACCAGATCCAGTGGCTGAGGTCGAGGAGTTTCCAGTGGCCGATGAGGTGAGGGATGCAGTGGTCGATGACGAAGAAGAGCTGGTGGCAGATCCAGCACCGGTGGACGAAGCTGTAGAGGATGCATTCGACGCCGTTGTTGAAGCACTAATGGGTCCGACTGACGCTGAGCTTGTCGAGGTAGCAGTGCCGTTTGAGGCACCAGATGTAGTCGTGGTCGCATTGGAGGTGGCAGTTGACGAGGTGGCCGAAGTGGATGACGAAGAGTTCGTCGAGCTCGTAGTAACTAGAATCACGGTTAGAAAAAGCCCGGCTGCAGAGAATGCTTTGACTCACTTTGCTTGACTAGATAGATTGGGTTGGAGCAACCGTCCGAGGCAACATATGCAGTGACTGAACCATTTGCACCGAGGCAGAAACCTGCGGTGCCTTGCAATTGAGCAGTTTGACCGACAAAGTACCATTCGGTGAAGCCCTCTGGAAGATCTGATGTGCGCTCGACCAAGGAGGTGTCATCGGCTGGAGTACCAAGATACATGCCGTCAGAAACAAGTGCATTGCCTTCACCGTTGAAGACTAGAGCTGCTGAATCAGTGCTGCTGACTGCAATACCGTTGTTGTTGGCGTCGAATGCCAGATATTCTACGGCGACATCCTGTCTCTTGGCTTTAGCGACAGGGGTTGCGACGATCTCCAGATAGAATCCAACCCCGATGGTGACGGCGGTTCCACCAGTAGTCGTTGTGGTCGTGGTCGTGGTCGTGCTGGTGGTGGAGCTGGTGGAAGTGCTGGAAGTGCTGGTGGTTGTGGTCGTGCTGCTCGTGGAGCTGCTGGACGAGGATGATGACGAGCTGGTGGTGCTGCTAGCCGAAGAACTGGTGCTTGTCGAGGATGACGAAGTCGATGTAGACGCGCTGATGGGTCCGATGTTGTTGGACGAGGATGCTGACGAGGTCGAGCTTGAGCTCGAGCTAGAGGTGCTAGCACCGATAGGGCCGACGAGTCCAGTGCCAGAGGTGCTTGCACCGACAGGACCGACGAGTCCAGTACCAGAAGCTGCCGCTCCAGTCCAGTCGGCCCACACTGAGCTAGCAGCATAGTTGGCATTTCCACCTTCATCTGACTCGGGCAGTGGCCACGACCCCTTGCTTGCTGCGGATCCTGTTGGAACTGTGACAGCGGCGGTGCTAGTGGCAGCCAGAGTGGCTGGGAATGGAGCATAAACGATTGGCTGGGTGATGTAGATTTCGAAGTCGAAGATGGTAGCAGCACCGAAGGTTTTGGTCACATAGGCATTCCAGGATTCACCCTCGATGATTTGGATCTCTTCCGGAATCACAGTCACAGATGGCTGCTCTTCGATGTAGACAGTGACGGTAGTGGGAGGCGCGGTGACGGTGACTGGAGCGGCAGCCTGAGGGAATGTCCAAGTGTAAACACCGGCACTTGGAATGCTGCCAGTGCTGGAGCAGAGTGCTTCAACGGTAGTGGTAGGTGCAACCCTCTCGTACAAAGTCTCGTACCATTCGGAACAGCTTTGGTATTCGTCGCCGTAAGCGTCTGTGCCAAATCGACATTCAACGACGTCCAGGAGTTGAGATCCACTGCTCTCGCATGACTCGCACAGTCCACTGCCCTCCCAGCCGGGGATTGGGAGGGGACCACACTCCATGAAGGGCGCCATTGCTCGCCTGGTGACTGTCTCGTAGACTGTGACGTACTCGACGACTTCTTTCTCGCCCCAGCCGAACCCCCAACGCTTGTCGAGGGTTGGGGCAGCAGTGACTTGTGTGAGTGTCGAGAGATGCTCAGAGACTCTGACTGGTTGGGAGACATCGGTGACTGTAGTGCTTTGGGTTGTGGTTCCGTTCCAGGCGTATGGGACGACAGTAGACACGTAGGGGTAAGTGGTGAAGTCGTAGGCTGTTGAACACTTGCCCTTGACACAAGCACTTGTGGGTTGACATGTCGAGACTGCTTGATATTGAGAGGTAACCGTGATTGGCGCAATGGAAAGGCCGGTGGCGCTGGGGCAAGGTTCGATTGTGGTCAAGACATCCGCGAAGACTGCATCAGCAGCAAGCAGGGCCAGGGCGGCCTTGCTTGCTACCATGCTTGATCCCTTCATGGTGGTTGGGAGGAGTTACCTTGGGTCGGAACTGGAACGAAGGACAAGAACGAATGACTGAGGGGAAGAAAAGAAGCTGTGAACTCGCGATGAAGATTCAATTAGTCTCGAGCGTTCAGCGTCGCTTTATACATTGAAGGGCTCTCTGCAGCATCGCACAGTCCAAGCACATCCCAGAGGCATCTATTCTGAGAGATTGTATGTTTTGATTGTATTCAGTCGACAGTTTCCTCTTCCGACAGACCTGACAGGGTTCGATAGTGGTGGACTGGGTGGAAACAGGCAATGAAAGAGCCAGTGCACGCACCTGTTACTAACCCTCACCCACCCATATGTAGCTGACAATGCCATCTTCGGTGTCGTTGATGTAGATACCAGAAGTTTGATGTCAACAAATACAAGCCAACAGTGGAACAAGTTCTCAATAAATGATCTCAGCTCCCTGGGCAAAGCGCTTTGATCGCTCTTGTGCCCGGCGATGCTAACCCCAGGTTGACTAAATTTTAAGTCTCTTGTGGTCATTGCTTCGAGGTCCAAGCGGTGTCAACGGTTTTGTGATGTTGTTTGAGCGAGCAATAGCCGGTCGGAGATTCCACAACACCGGGGTCTTGATGCCTTCGCAAGCAAGCAAGCAAACAGACGAAGAAGGCACAAAGATGGGAGAGACATGGTGAGTTGGTGGTCCGTAAGACGGAGATCCAACAGCGTAAGGCTGAGGTCTCTTCAAGAGTATCAGGCAAATTCAGGGCAGATGTTTCTTCTCCGTGTCGGCTTTTCTGTCGGCAAGCATGTCTCGTCCTCGCGCTGGAGGCGAAGGTTGTGACCTTGTGACTGACTGCCGAGATTATTGGCTTTCTGACGGACTGCAACGGCCGTGCATCACGAGCGAAGGGCGAAGGGCGAATAGTGTTTCTGCACCACCCGTTCTATCCGAAGCATGTGGGTGGTGCAGGTCGACAAATGAGGTTGTCTTGGTGGTGGTGCTGAAGGTGTCAAGGCTGCCAAAACCAACGTCGAAGATCAGTAGTGTCAACATTGAAAGGTAAAAAGCAAGGAAAACCGTTGGATGGAGCCAGAAAATAACCCGGCGCACTAAAACGCAGTTTTCAGCGTCATTTTACGATGGGCCGACGGGGCGACGTCAAAGCGTCACAACTTTCGCATCTTCGGATGTATGCCATTGACGGGAATTGACTATCTCCCCCTCCTCCTTGTATCGTTGTACGGCCTCGTTCTCTATCTAACGCCACACAACATGCTCCATATTTACACTTGTCACACCATGCAGAGCCGCACTTCTAAGACATTGGCAATATTCAGATGATCACCCCAGACTGCCAATGCCTCTTTGAGCACAGCTCTCATGACATCCGACGACATTCAGACGTCCTTTTGTTCCCAAACCGAGTCAGGATCTGCCACAGTTCGCCAATAGACTTAGAGATCAGGACCCATGTTATAGCTGTGGAATCGGCTTCCCAGAAAGTAGCGCTGGACTTGATGAGAACTATCGAAAGGATATCTTAGCCTGCCTAACTGTACATAGTCCGGCGGCTTCGACTCCGCGATATACGCATCCACCCCAATTAGTATTGGAAAGATCTTGGGGGACGTCAAATGCCATTCTACGTCAAGGTCTGTCAGGTCGTTGCCCGTGGCTACTCGAGCTGCCTCTACATGATCGACGATGGTTTTCATAACATGGGAGATTGTTCGACAAGGTTTGTTGACGGGAGATCCTTGATTGAGCTACTTGATCATGGCGTACGAGCTCGTATCGCCCCCGTGCAAGCGATGTGTTTATAGTGCCGGAAACCACTGACCCACGGGCTCACCCGACGAGCACGGCCATGTCAATGCGGCTCCGGGCAGGGCAGGTGTTTGTTGCCGATCTCATGAAGTCAACAAGAGAGGGCATGCGACCCTGAACGTTGACGTAAAGGGAGGAAAAGAGGCAACATGTTTCAGCAATCTCGTCCAACTTGCGAAGCAATCTGTCTCGGAGGCAATGAAGGGGTTTTCAGGCTGGTCAGATCTATCATCACGAGGTTGACATGATGTCAAGATCTCATGAGCCAAGCAATTTGAGTCTGCCTAGAGATGCCTAGCCCATGTAGACAAGATCTCATGAGCCAAGCACTTGAGTCTGCCGACGGATGCCTCGGCCATGTAGACAAGGACTGCACGATGCTCATCCCGGCTCTTAAGGGCTTTGGTTGCTGATCGTCAGTAGTATGTGTTTTCCGAGGAGAGGCTGACGTTCCTTGATTGTGGTCGTGAATGAGATTGCTTGGCCCGAACAGAATAATTGATGCCCATTGAGGCCGACAAGGCCAGGGTACTTCTGACAGTGTTTGTTTATCTCGGGCTGTGTCCTCATCAGCTTGGAAGTAGCTGGTCCCACTGTATCGTGTATGAGAAACGGCAGCATACCCAGTTCTAGAGATCAAATCATTGCTGCGGAAGCGCTGATCATGATGCCAGGCATCTCAAGAGAGAACTCTGCAAATAAAACAACGAGATAATAAAATAAAATATATCTTGGGGATGTCGGACTAGGGTTTCATATACACTGCCCAACTGCCTGCAGTCTGGACGAAGACAAGAACAGTAGCACCACAAACGTCCCTATGAAGCTCCATGTGGCCTCTTACATCGCTTAGCACCACTGAGCCCGCACGGAACACTGTATCACTTCGCAGTTCCCTGGGTGTAAATGGCTGTACTTCATTATCATCGGCATCCATGGAATGCGGGGTTGAACCTGGGGCAGAATCTGCGCCGGGTCAGGGAGCTTTGCGTCTAAGTCAGACCCTGTACTGCAGCCTACAGGTACTTACCTTCGACCAGGTAACTTTACACCTCGCGAGCCCCAGCCCCATTCCCAAGGCCGCAAACTCACGCTTTGCCTGCCATTTGTTCCCCCTCATTCATGCCGTCTGTAAGTCAAAAAGGCTCTGGCCAGCCTTGAGTCCAGACTAGTTGGGGAAATGCAACACTACCCCAATATCTCCTTGCGGCCTCACGGAAACGGCCCCACGTCACGACCTCACCCAATGTAGTGGTGCGTATTGCAACCCAAGATAGGACGTGCTCAGGAGAAGGTTTTGGGTATTCTGATATGAAACGTCGAGCAAGCCCTACGCTTGAATTCCCATCTTTGTGATATCGTCTTTCAAATCTGCAGCACATCAACAATCATGAAGTTGCCACAGATCTCAGGACCAGCTCAGCTGAGTCCTGTCCTCGGCCTTTTCGTTCTCTCATTGACTCTTCTCATCGCGGTATGGAAATGGAGGGCGAACGCACACGCCAGAAAGTACAAGCTACCACCACGAGTGCCAGGCATTCCAATCTTTGGCAACACGTTCCAACTCCCACCATTGAAGCAAGGTGTATGGGGTATGGAAACCGCAAAGCAATATGGCGAAATGTGAGTATCTTGACCTTCTCATAGACGACAGCGTCTGACCATCTCGTCAGGTTTACCTGCAGCATCGGAGGCAAGACATGGGTCTTCTTAAACTCATCGCGAGTCGTGAATGATCTGATGGAGAAGAGGTCTCAAATCTACTCATCACGCCAGCATATGCCCATGGCACAGGGCATAATCTCTGGAGGCAATCGAGTCTTGCTTATGGGCTACAACCAGCGATGGCGCACTCTCCGAAAAGTCATGCATGCTATTTTGAACAAAACGAACGCTCCCATCTTCGCGCCTTTCCAGGACGTTGAATCCAAACATCTTCTCTACGACTTCCTTCATCACCCGGAACTGTGGTACTCGGCGACACAGAGATTCGCAAATTCAGTGATCATGAGCGTCGTCTTTGGTAAACGCATGCAATTGGAAGACCCTCAGATCAAAGAATTGTTCGACACATCCAATGCAATCATCGAAGCAATCCAGCCATCGGCAAATCTGGTCGACTCACTCACGTTTCTGGAGAAACTTCCAAAGCCGCTCCAATGGTGGAGGCCGCGTGGAGAGGCAATGTTTCAAAAGACCATCAACATCTACAGACGCGAGGTCGAGGACGTTGAGCGCAAGATGAAGAACGGAACAGCTATTGATTGTTTCGCAACGAGATTCCTGAGGGAACCAGAGACCAAAGCCTATGGACAGACCCAAACGTACTTTGCATTGGGATCCTTGATGGAAGCTGGAAGTGACACGTCTCGAATGACTATCAGTCAAGTCATAGCTGCTGCTGCCTTGGACAACCGATGGGTCATCACGGCGAGAGAGCACCTGGACAAAGTCTGCGGGAAGAATGCTGAACGCCTGCCAACCTTCGACGACCGAATCGACCTTCCCTACATTACAGCTGCTGTCAAGGAAGGATTCCGATGGCGACCATTCGCAGAGATCGGAGTTCCTCACATGCTGACCCAAGACGATGAATATGAAGGCTACAATTTCCCCGCCGGAACCCTGTTCACTTGGAATGCCACCGCCATAGCAATGGATCCACGAGAGTACGAGGACCCCGAACGATTCTGGCCCGAACGCTTCCTGAATGATGATCTCAATCACCCACTCAAAGGACACTGGAGTTTTGGCCCAGGAAGACGAGTCTGCTCCGGGTACAATGTGGGAGAGTCGAACGTGTGGATCATGGTCGCTCGGCTACTATACTGCTTTGACTTTGAGCCAGTTCCTGTAAGTCCTACTACCATGACACATGTTTCATTTAATTCAATGCTGACTCCTTTAGGGCAAACCAATCGATTCGTTCAACGTCAATTGGGGCGAGTACAGATATGCACCATTCGATGTTACCATCAAAGTGCGGAGTCCACAGCATGCGGCTTTGGTCGAGAGGGAAGGCAGAATAGCGGTGGACACGCAGTATTGAGAGATGTGTGTTGCTATCAGGTGACTGCAATCTTGGATTTCCATACCACATTGACTGCTGGATTGGAGGTTGTTGCATGATGCGGAGGGTCTCTTCACCCCACATTTCCTTCTTCCAGGCATGCCCATGTCGCTGCGGAGAGGTTGTAACCCCACCAATCTCGAGATTCGAGTTCGATAATGCAAGCAATCTGGGGCTCCAGGATGCTTTTTCCATGTCCGATTGGCGCTTTAGAATAATGCACACACTTATCCTTGTGCGTGTCATAGATTTGTCGGATAGTATTATTCCGTTTTCCGCATTCCCAGCAGCACTGGTGAAGCATTGCCAAAATCACACGTGTCGAAGGATTGTGGGAGGCGTTGGAGAAGCAAAGGCCTGGAGTCTCCGTAGAGTCTCGGCGCCATTCCATACCACAACCGATGGCACAAGGTCAACTTTGTGGGGCTGCAACCACACTTCGATCACGGGTCGTACACAGGAGAACATCGTGCCATTAAAAGGCAAAGGGAGCAGCCTGCTTGATCACCGTCCATATAGTTCTTGCCCCTTTCAATAGAACACCTCCTTCTCTTCGATAACCTAAGTTTGAGTCAAAATGGGAAAGCACTTGTCAGTCAACAAGGTAGGTACCGTGGCAAACCAGACCTCTTTCTTCATGGCTGATAAACTGCTCAGGTCATCATCGTTGGCGCCGGGCCATCGGGATTACTGCTCGGCATCCTGTTGGCAAAGGAAGGAGTCAAGGTCCAAATCCTAGAGGCGTCGGACGACCTCGACAAGAACCCACGTGCCGCTCATTATGCTCCTTCGGCTGTCTATGAGCTGGAACGGGCTGGTGTTCTGGACGAAGTCAAGGCCAAAGGAATCCATCCAGATGCCGTGTGCTGGAGACATCCAGACGGTTCGTTCATTGCAGGTATCAAAAGTCGATTCGACATCCCACATCCCATGGTCTGTTTGCCTTTGGATCAACTGGATGTCATCCTGCTGCAGCATTTCGAGGCCCAGCCTACTGCCGAGGTCTTGTGGAAACACAAAGTCGAGTCGATTGACCAGAACGACAACGAGGCAAGAGTTCATGTCGACTCCCCCAATGGGAAACAGACCTTCACTGCGGATTTCATTGTCGGATGTGATGGCGCCAACAGCCAGATCAGAAGATCGCTTTTCGGCGACCTGAACTATCCTGGAGAGACGTTGCAATCGCAGATCATTGCGACTAACGTATATTATGACTTTACCAAGTTCGGATATTGGGACTCGAATTTCATCATTGACGAGAACGACTGGTATATGGCGGCCAGAATCACAAACGATGGGTTGTGGAGAGTCACGTACGGCGATGTCTGGGGGCTGTCGACCGAGGAGTATCTCAAGCGACAACCGGAACGCTTCGAGAAGATTTTGCCCGGCCATCCCAAGCCGGAAGACTATAAGCTCGTCAGCGCCAGTCCCTACAAATTGCATCAGAGATGCGCCGAGTCTTTCCGAGTGGGACGGTTTTTGCTCGCTGCTGATGCGGCCCATTTGTGCAACCCCTTGTAAGTACCACCATCCGATTGACCTGTGTTCTCTACTGATGCGAGGATGATGCAGTGGCGGTCTAGGTTTGACTGGAGGCATTGCCGACGTTGGAAGTTTATTCGATGCACTCGTTGCCATGAAGAGTGGAAAGGCCGACAACAGCATTCTGGACAAGTACAGTGAAGTGCGGATAGAGAAGTGGCAGAAGATCATTGATCCCATGTCCCGAGCCAACTTCAAACGTGTGTGCCTTGATGAGTCAGAAGAATCGAGGAAGGAGTTTTGGGCACTTTGCAAGAAGATGGAAGAGGACGATGAACTTGCTAGACAGATGTCTCAGGGTACGAATGTCCTACGCGAGAACTTCAGCGAGTATATAACGGCATGAGTGGCATGAAGGAGTCCAATAACATCTTCCAACCTGCACTTTGCTTCAAGGTCGGCGATAGCATCTTGGAGTCTTCGGGCTGAAGGTGCTTGGGATGCCAGCTCAAAATGTTGCTAAATGGTTGGCCAGACTTGATTGTATTGTTCTTGTATTGATAAATGGAGTCTCAATTTGTTTGATAGTTAATGACAAAGTCAGGCTGAATGAAGTCTGAACGATTTTCATGATCATGATGGCCGGAAGTCCTTGCCGTTGAACAAATACTAGTCGAGCGTGTTTCCAGAAAAACTGGCACCGTCTGACAGGGCGCACGCCGAAGACACAAGTTCGAAGTCAAGCTGGTTCACAACAGCGGATGCCTCGACAGCAAGATAGATGCGCTGTACGGTAGAGCTGATGGCCTCCTCTCTGCCAAAGGCTAAAACTATATCGTTGTGTGTGAAGGACTCCGGGATGACAATAAGGATGGTATCTATTTGAACCTGCCCAGCTACAGCGGTCAGACTGTGCCACTTTTTCTGGAAACAGGCTCGTAGTATATCTGCTCATGTCGGCCTCGCACTGCGTTCAAGAAGAGTTCTCTCCACGATAGTGCAGCAATGAGGCTATGTTCAAGTCATTCAGGAACCATGACAGGCCTCTCTTCGACCCTTAGGAGCAAGATTGGTTGCCCTTTTGGTGGTATGATAGGTTGATGGTTGTTCCGAGCATTGGGAAACACGACGGCGGGAATCATCTTCGTCATGGCTTGGCAGAGGCTAGAATCAGATGTCCCCCTCAAGCTGCAGCACTAGCAGGAGTGGGAGGAGTATCTTAATCCACGGCGGTGTCCGCAAAAGCAAAGACTGCCTCACGACATCTTTTGTCTACACCTGAATAGGAGGTCAAGGCACTCACGAATCGTGTCTGATCTATATCGCTGATCTGCAGGAGCAGCCTCTCGGTCCAGGTCCCAGGGGGAAACTCAGCACTCGAGTGCCGATTGACACCTGCTGCCTCGTAGCAATCTACCCGACTTCCCACGCGCGTTCTCGAACTCGATTCCTGTCACAACGCCTTCCGCTCGCAGCTCGACTTCAATCATCTCCAGCTTGTGATTCTGAAGTCACCAGATCAAGATCTACGGTTATAAGAGCTACGGTCACAAGGGTCGATACAACGGCAGCAGTCAAGTCCGCAAGGGAAGATGGTGGAAATCTCACTTGTGCCCGGCGGCACTGGCACCAATTACACTGGCATGCTGACTAGAAGCATTGTCTTCTCCGCTGCGCTTTTCGTGTTTCTTGCTGGTAAGGCAACCTCTATAGCAGTGGGGAGCGCGACTGACACTTTTCCGGCAGCCTCTGGGATGACAGTAGCTTCCATAATAGTTCCGAACTGGATAGCATATGACGAGACGACGGTATGGGAGCTCCTTTCATTGAAGCAACTTGCGCTGACACCAGGTAGAACGATCAGTCGATACATTATACCTATGGGCTGCATCAAAGATGTTCCAACACAAATATCCCTCCTCCTTCAATCAACTCCGACTTTACTTCAGCTGCTATGCATTGCATACAATTCCCTCGTTACAACGACTGTCGTGGGGATGACAGGTATTTCTGCAGCATGTGGAGGTCGGTTGGGTTTCTTATGTCCTTCGCAGTGGTCTTGGAAGGCATGACACTTGCAGCCTTCACGATCCTGCTGGTTGGAGGCAAACAGAAAAGGGAACAAGGCTGGGGAGTGCTCACGATTCTCGTCGTACTCGCCGCGTTCGCCCAGGCTATTGGAATGGCCCTGATGGTAAGAGGAACGATTGGCGTTAGTGGGACAAGTGCTGACCGTGTCCACAGGCATATTTGTACGAAAATGACGAAAGATTCTTCTCAGGATGGTTTTTGGACAAGAGCTGGACCATGTGCACCGTCTCCTGGAGCTTCCAGGTCTTATGCGCGATCGCGATCACACTAGCCGCCCTTGTCCTCCCGAGCGAAGGTGGCTACGAATTGATACCTGACCATGCTTGAGATGTGAAGACGTAAGAGACCAAATGAGTGACGCAGAGGGTTGACTTTTCAACCTGCATTGATTCGGCGTTTGGGCAAAATGATCTCTTGTTGTTACAGTATCGGCCAATGGAGGCAGGCGGCTGTTTTCTGGGATCACGAATATAGTTTGCGCAATTCTACCGAGTCGTCACCCATGGCGCTATACACGGGTAGAGGCTGCGAGCATAGATGATGAATAAAATCGAACAAGCAAGAGACTCCAGTAGTTTCGGAAGCATATGATATCTTTTTGTTGGTGCCTTCGGGCAACAGTGATCTCAAAGTGTCCGTGTCCCGATCGTATTTCGTATTGAAGCCCTTCACAGCCACCACATGCGAGCCATATATTTGACAAACCGAGGAAGTCGGAAAGTCACACCTTGGCAGTAGGACAAGTTCATCCGCTTTTTTGTCACTGTTTCACGACTTTCCATACCTATTTCCCAATGTGATGGCGATATACTTCAAAACTGGTCGTGTTACCAATGCGAGTATTATGCAATCTAGCTGCCGGTGGCATGCCGTGGGAAAAAACGTCGCCATTGGAGAGAACGCACTTTCGAACGGCGAACGCTCAGGATTGCGCATACGTATATTGGGTCGCAACAGCTGCTTATTCTGGTCATACTGCAACCGATCTTCGAGGCGTGTTGGTATATAACTTCACCTCACTCCCACCTTGATTTGGCTTCTACTTTCTCGCATTCTCCATTTCCTCTTATTCCAGCGTACTTGTGCTTGTGCCTGCTTGCATTCTTGTCTGCCCTCCCAGCGTCGAACAGCCCAATATGTCGACTCCGATTCCCCAGCCTCCAACGGTTCCCTTTTTAGGGAACGTGCTGGACATAGACCCAAAGAATTCCATGCAGAGTCTGGTACATATAGGCGAAAAATATGGTAAGTAGTCCCACGAATATAAATGAATGAATGAATTCAGCTGAATGGAACAGGCCCCATCTTCAAGCTCACGGTTCTTGGTCGAGAAAGATATTTCATCACCTCCGCAGATCTACTGAATGAACTATGCGATGAGACCAGATTCTGCAAAGCGGTCTCAGGAGCTCTTCAGCAAGTTCGCAATGGCGTCGGAGATGGACTTTTCACTGCTTACCACGGAGAACACAACTGGGAGGTGGCTCACCGAACACTGGTGCCTGCATTTGGCACCATCGGCATTCACGACATGTGTAAGTTCTTTCTCGCAAGGAAAGATATCGATCTGACTTACCCCGTAATAGACGACGAAATGTACGACATTGCTACACAGTTGATCGCCAAATGGGCCCGGGTAGGCCCTGAGCAGCAGATTAACGTTACCGACGACTTCACCCGCTTGACCCTTGACTCGATAGCGCTCTGTGCTATGGGTAAACGTTTCAATTCGTTTTATTCGGAAAAGATGAACCCTTTCGTTGATGCTATGGTCGGATTCCTACTCGAGTCTGGAAGACGTTTATCACGAACGCGCATCGAATCGCTCTTCAATCGATCAGCGGACAGGCAATATCAACAGGACATAGCCACAATGAAAGCGGTTGCGGAAGAGGTCATTGCTCATCGGAGAGCCAACCCTGTCGATAAGAAGGACCTGCTAAATGCGATGCTGTTCGGCAAAGATCCCAAGACAGGAGAACGGTTGAGCGACGAGAACATCATGAACAACATGATCACGTTCCTCATTGCAGGTCATGAGACAACATCAGGCCTCCTTTCTTTCACCTGCTATCACCTCATCAAGAACCCTGATGCTTTGAGCAAGGCTCAGCAGGAGGTGGACACTGTCGTCGGCAAAGGACCCGTAACCTATCAGCATATGTCCAAGTTGCCATATATTGAAGCTGTCTTGCGGGAAACTCTACGTTTGCAACCAACTGCACCGGCGTTCGCGCTTCAACCACTCGAGAATGTTTCCGGACCTGTTGTTATCGGTGGAGAGTATTTTATTCCTCAAGATGCCTCGATTGTTGCACTCCTTCCCGCCATAGGCAGAGACCCCAAAGCGTTTGGGGCAGATGCCGATGAGTACAAACCAGAAAGAATGTATGGCGATAACTTCGCAAAACTACCCCCAAATGCTTGGAAGGTGAGTGCATCATAAGGAAGTTGGAACATTCACTAACAATTACAGCCGTTCGGCAATGGAGCGAGAGGATGCATCGGCCGACCTTTTGCCTGGCAGGAAGCCATCTTAACTCTTGCGCTGATCCTCCAGAATTTCAATATCAGAGCTGATAACCCCAGCTATCAGCTTCAAATCAAGCAGACCTTGACACTCAAACCCGACAATTTCTTCATGCGAGCATCGTTGAGAGAGGGGATCGATCCTGTGCAGCTGGAGCGGAAGATGTATGCTGGACTCGAGGTCGACGACGCTCGTCATAAGCCGAAAGCTGGCTTGACCAAACATACTCAATCCAGCAAGCCCATGTTGATTCTGTATGGATCGAATTCGGGTACCTGTGAGGGACTTGCCCAGAATCTAGCCAGCAACGCCGAAGGACGAGGGTTTGCCGCCAGTGTGAAGACACTAGACGCGGCTGTTGACCTACTGCCCACCAAACAACCCGTTGTTGTGATCACCGCTAGTTACGAGGGCAATCCGCCCGACAATGCTGCGGTCTTTGTAGAGTGGCTGAAAAAAGTCGACCCTGAAAAGGTCAAAGATGTGACCTTTGCAGTTTTTGGCTGTGGTCACCACGATTGGGTCGCAACATTCCAAAAAGTGCCGAAACTCATCGAATCCGAGCTTCTCAACAAAGGGGCGAGCCCACTCACAGGTCGCGGCGAGTCTGATGTGGGCGGAGGAAATGTCTTCGATGACTTCGATTCCTGGCAGGACGAAAAGCTCTGGCCGGCACTGTCGGCAGAGTCCGAGCCTGCAGAGGTTTCCGACGGTCTGGAAATGGAGCTCAGTACCACTGCCCGGGCATCTCATCTTCGGCACAACGTCCAGGAAGCTCTGGTCCTTGCAAATGAGCTTTTGACCAATCCGGATACCCCGGAAAAGAGACACACCGAATTCAGGCTACCGACCAATCTGACCTACGAAGCTGGCGACTACCTTGCCTTGCTACCAGTGAACAATGTAACAACCATCTCCAGGGTGCTGCGACGATTCGGTCTTCCTTGGGACGCAGTGATGACCCTTCGTAGAGGAGCACATACGACCATCCCTACGGAAACCGCGATGGCTGTCACAGCCGTTCTGGGAGCCTACGTCGAATTGAACAGCCCTGCAACAAGGAAAAACATCCTCACGTTGCGCAAGTATGCTGGCGACGACGAGCTGGCCGAGAAACTGGCATCAATCACCGAGCAGCTATCAGTGCTTCAGATCCTCGAGAGATATACGGGCCTCAACCTCCCGTTCTCCGTGTACCTTTCGATGCTGACACCGATGCGCATTCGTCAGTACTCGATTTCATCAACGCCATTGGAGGATCCGACCAAGGCAAGCATCATTTACTCGGTCGTGGACTCGGGCGCAGGCCATCTGGGCGTTGCCACGAATTACCTCAAACGTCTGCAGCCGGGCACGACGGTCCAGCTCACGATCAAGAAATCTCATGCATCATTCCACCTGCCTCGCGATAGAACCACGCCGATCATCATGGTCTGTGCTGGAACAGGACTCGCGCCGTTCATCGGATTCGTGCAAGAGCGCGCCATTCGGATTGCCACGTCCGGAGCCAAGAGCGAGGACTTTGCCGAAGCGATTTTGATTGTGGGCTGTCGTTATCCCGATAAAGATCGGATATATGGCGAACAATTAGCGAAATGGGAGGCCGAAGGCGTCGTCAAATTGTTGTATGCTTATAGCAGAGCGCCGGACAAGTCGGACGGCTGTAAGTATGCCCAGGATAGGCTGTGGCGTGAACGCGAGACTGTCAGCAGGTTATTCGATGCGGGTGCAAGGGCGTATATCTGTGGAAGCAGTTCTCTGGGCAAGGGAGTCGCGGATGCTGCTGCGAGGATGGCCATCGACGGAGCACGGAGAAAGGGAAAAGAATACAGTTATGAACAGGGCTTGCAATGGTGGGAACATCTCCGAGGTGAGAGGTATGCGGTCGATGTCTTTGATTGAACGGCAATTCAGCAAGCTCTCATGAATCGGAGAATTTTGTACAAGGATATAGGTATCTACCACAAAAGGTGTTGACGTTGGGCAGTGATCTTCCTGTCTGGCAGGTGAACCCACATGTTCTTGCCCATTCTCTTGCGTAACGCTTTCACCTCCTTTTCTGCCTGTTGTCTCGATCTCGTCTTCTCTTCTTTCAACACCACACTGATGCCTGTGTTAGGAGGCCTTAGCATGTTGACCCTTCCACGCGCTCGGAACTCTGGCTCCATTCCGTAGGGGCCCTTGTTCGTCCACGCTTCTGCGACGTAGATGTCGGTCTCATTGGGGTTCACGCCCTTCTTGAGAGCCTTCGATGGCCTTTGGGTGGGGAGGGCTCGAGTTTGGCTCGGGTCTTGACCGACAACTGCATCCTCGCTAGCACTGACGGCTCCCAGTCCCATCCCCTTCATTACGATGGCCTCGTTGCGGGCCTGGAGTAAATGTTCGTGGACTTCCTTGGCCACCTTTTTCTTTGAGAATCTCATTTGGAGGATTGCCTCGGCGATAGGTTTACCCGCAATCTGTCGAGCGAGGGGAGCCAGCTTCTTCATTGAAGTTTTGAAGAAATATGAGCGAGATAGATGGCTTCGTTCCGACCGTGCAATTCTCATCTCTTTGTTGGGCCGGCCCCGCCGTCTAACGTCGCGTATGACCATCCGTCGTTGCCACCGTGAGCGTGCAGTAGGACGGGGATTGAGGGCTATGGCCATGTTTTCGGGATTGCGGTCTTCAAAAGGATTGTCCTCCACCGCGGTCTTGTCGTTGTCGACCAGATCCCGACCGAACAAACTTGTAGGAGCCAGCGCTCCATATCTGAAATTCCGCTCCTGATCGATCTTCTCTTGTGCTCGCTTTTGGGCTGCTCGATCTTTTGCTAGTTGTAATCGTTGCTCCGGCGTCAGTGCTTCAAGCGTCGATGTTGGCGCAGCCAATTTTGCCTTTTTATCGGTCTTTTCTTTCAATGCCGTGGGTGCGCGGCATATCGGGGAGGTGTGCAATGATCGCTCAGACCGGAGGGAGAGTGTGGACAAGCGGGTGTAAACATCAACGATGGTTGCGGATGAGTTGCGACATGGTCGAGCTTTCATCTCGTTAGCTTGGATCATTGGCCGCAGTTAGGGATGTAGTACTTGCCTTGACAGACTCCTCGGAGTGCAAGTCGATGAGGGCCCATGGTGACCAAGGTATAGCCCGTCGACAGGAAAGGACTTGGGTCGAGCTGAATTGAATGTTCACCTACGGTCATTGAATGTCAACCATTGGCACTGCATACCTAGGAAGGTCACGGATTTCTCTCGATCGCGAAGTGAATGAAGCTTGGCACCGGAAGAGTGAACCCGCCCGGCAGACCATTCCTTAATTGAACCTTTCCTGCAACAGCCTAAAAGGTTCTCGACCCTGCCTGCATCTGCATCAAAGGTCATACCACACCAGGCCGCGTCTAGTCCTTTGACGTACAACCCGCTCGCTCGGCTTTCAGACTTGAACTTTCGTCTGTGTATGCATGCGCAGGAAACAGTCACTTTAATCCCCTCAGCTGTTTGTTCTTCAGTCCGCGCTCGCCGCGTCTTGTGTTACTGCCCAGCGACCACAGAAAAGTCTTTCAGAAAACCCTCTCTCTCTCATCTACGAGCCTTCGCTGAGTGGACCAGCACACGAGGTCCAGCTCGATGGCCTCAACTTTGATCGTTCAGAACCGTCATTGTGTAAGAGTTGGAGAAGACATAAATCGACGATTTTCCACTGAAAGACCATATCTTTGAACAGTGATCGCGCACAGTCATGGACATCAATTCATTACTCTCTCCTTCAGAAACGCCGCGCTCAATTTCCTTGACGCCAGGCTCGGAAGCTCCTGCGAAATCACCTTTCAAACATGTCCAGCGGTCGCATTCGAACGCAGGCAGCCAGCCTACTGCAGGTTCGCCGTTGTCTCGGTCGATCCTTCCTCCGTCAAGTATCCCGGCTCATGTGAGAAGCCCATCACAGCAACCCGCATACTCGTCACCCCTCATAAGTCCTGTTCCTGCCGGACCCATGTCAGGCCAGTTCTCACGGTCTTCATCTACACAAAACATGGACACTCTGGCGGAGCTTGCGCCGAACCAACCGCATTCGAGATCGACACCGCCCGTCCTCACCAGTCATGATTCCTCCGAGAGCCAGAAATCGCCTGCCGGCCTATTCCCACGCCTCACCTCCTCAGGTGCAACCTCGAACCCTCGCGCGTCATTCGATATCGCCATGGTCGAGACACCGAAGCAGGTCTTACGAGGCGACTATACCGAGACCTCGCTGCCGATTGATTCACAAAACAGACTGTCAGTGTTGGTAGGACATGTGCTGGAGACTCCTTCGTCATTTATCACGCACACAGAGATCATCAGTATCTTGCACCAGGGCTTTGTCGATCATATTTACCCGTCTACAAATCCGAATGCTCGCCGGGATCCCTGGACATACGAACTGCTTAAGGAACTGAGACAGGCCCGCGAGAATTTCGACAAGCTATATGCTGTCGGCGAGGACCAGTGGCTGGATTGGCTTCAGGACGAGAGCATCCTCGCACAAACAGCGGATGAACGAGTTGACGTCGTCAACAAGTGCCGTCGAGCCGTGACCGAAGAGTTTGGCAGCACCCGGTTATGGGTCACATTTGGCGAGTGGGTTTCGCATTGTTATCGATGGGCACTCGAAACCCCTAGCGATGCCGAAGGAGACGCCGGCGTGATAGAACGGTCAGTGGGGCGTGAAGTGTTTGAATGGAACCTGGTTCTCGACACGTGGACGGAAGCGGTCGAGAGCACGAAGCACGACATGGCCCATAGTCATGAAGTCTGGGACAAATACATGACTTTCAGATTTGGAGATACCAGCCAAAAGTTGTCCTCAACCGACTCCACAGCTGCTTTCGACCTCTTCCAAGCTCGACTGCGTGTACCACATGCCGAATGGCAACAGACCTTTCAGACGTTTTCCTCTTTTGTTTCTGCAAACATACCGGATCAGTACGAAAGCATTATGGCTTCCAGCCTCAAAGACTCTGTGGGTGCTAAGGAGATTTGGAACGACCGAGATGCATATGAAAGTACACTGCAAGAAGCGCAAAGGAGAGGTGATCAGACCTTGGAGTACTCGACTTTCGACCAGTATATTGTCTTCGAGCGCAGTGAGGAAGAAAAGGCGAGAAAGCCGCGGAATGCGAAAGCAAGACGTAATCAGAAAGAGCCCGCAAGTGCTGGCTTTGACATGGTCGCTTCTTTGTATGCTCGCGCTGAGCTCCGGTTCTCCTCAACCGTTCAAATCTGGGAGGCTCACCTAGATTACATGTTGGAGAGATCCAAGATTGATGTGCTCGACCTTTTGGCACGAGCCACGAAACACTGTCCCTGGTCCGGGTCATTGTGGAAGCAATATCTACTGGCGTCCGAGCTGAAAGCAGAAGACGAATGTGATGACACCGCCAAGATCAAGGCATTCGATGAGACTGAGAAGATCAAGCACCAAGCTACCAGCACTGGGCTATTGGATGCTGCCGGCATTCATGAGGCGCTGATAGTCTACGACGCATGGTGTGGCTATCTCTTAAGACGGACGAAACGAGCTGATGCTGTGGAGGAGGATGCAGATGTGGCCGAAATGGGCATAAGATCTTCTATCGAGGAGGTGCACAGCCTTGCGTCCAAGCAAGGTCTGTTGCCGAGTTTCGATACTTCCTTCATGTTGCAGCGGAAATACGTTGAGTATCTCAAGTCTCAGCGGCGATTTGACAATGCCAGGGCACAATTTGACGATCTCATTCCCGAGTATGGCACGCACTATAAATTCTGGTTGCGTTTCTACGAATTCGAACTTCAGAAGTCGGTGTCCATGGCCTTCATCCAACAGACTGGCCCTGATCGACTCGGTTCTTTGTCCTCGGCTCCTTTTGCAGTCGGAGTCTTGAAACAAGGTCTTCAGTATCCAGGTCTTGACTATCCGGAACCGCTTATCGAAGCACTGGTGAACCACTGCGAGGATTATGAGGATGCAGATGAATTGCAGAATGTGCTGGTTTTTGTACGAAAGATACGGAAGGAGATTGTCAAGAAATCTGAAGAAGCTCAGCAAGCAGAAGACATCAAAGAGCAGTCACGAAAAGCTGAAGAACAAGTTGCGAATCGAACCCAAGAGGTGGCAAATGCCCTTCATATCGGAAAGAGAAAACGTGAGGATGAGTCTGAGGAACCAGACACAAAGAAGCGGAACAAAAGTTCTGATGGAGTGGAAGATTCGATCGAAGGCTCTGCTGGTGTCGAAGATCAACTCAAGCGTGACCGCGAACACGCTAGCATTCTTGTGCGAAACCTGCCCTCGAATGTGGCAGATAAGAAAGTGCGACAATACTTCAGCAGCTGTGGCACTGTGAAGCACGTGAAGATGCTGAATGAGGAGAACAGCGCTGTTGTTGAATTCGAGGAGGCCGAAGCTGCAACCTTCGCTCTTTCCAGAGATGGTAGAGAGTTCGAAGGCTCCGAGATATCGGTTGTGCTCAATACTGGATCTACCTTGTACGTCACAAACTACCCTGCTGTAGCGGACGAGACATACATTCGAAACCTCATGGGTAAGTACGGCGAAATCATCAATGTACGGTTTCCGTCACTTCAGCGGAATAAGAGGCGCAGGTTCTGCTACGTCGAATTCAAGCAGCCAGGTGAGGCGCAAGCGGCGACCGAATTGGACAACCAGGAGATTGAAGGACTGCCACTCGTGGTCAAAATCTCGAATCCGACAGCACGCAAGTCAAGGGACGAAAACACGGACGAAGGCCGAAAGATTTTTGTTGGCCACTTACCGTTCAAGGCCAAGAACGACGATATTGAGAAACTGTTCTCGCAGTATGGAAAGCTGGAAAACATTCGAGTTCCTCACGATCCCAAGAACCAATCCAGAAACCGAGGCATCGCCTTCCTGACCTACGCCACTTCAGAGCAGGCCCAAGCCGCGGTGGCTATGAATGGGCAAGAGTTCAAGAGGAGACAAATCACCGTAGAGCTGACTTCTGAAGGCGGCAAGAAGGCTTCGAGGACCGGTTCTCTTCGCTCTAAATCACCTTCGGTTGTTGACGGCGATATGGATAAAGGGTCCAAGCCACAGCGCGATCCCGCAGCTGTCGAAGACCGAAAACAACGAACGGTGGCCATCTGCGACGTGCCCGACACGGTCAATGAGAGCCGAATCAAGGCAATGGCTGAAAATATTGGCCCTGTACGAAAAGTCGTTCTCAAGACGAATCATCAAGGTGCTATCATCGAGTTCGACCAGATCCCTGACGCTGGCCGTGCTATGATTGAGCTGGATGGTCATGAGATTGACCCTGGTCGACGCATCCGAGTCACCACGGAGAAAGAAATGCTCCAGCAGAAGGCAGAGCACAAGCAAGAATCGTTCGTCAAGCGTCCCACTGCAAGTCGGCCAGCGCCTGCTCCCGCAGCCGGTGCGGTCAGACGTCCTATGCAGCCTGGCGCTCGAAAGGGTGGGAACCTCGGTCAAAGATCTGCCTTCCTGACGCAAGCAAAGCAGCAAAGTGATGTTGGGACAAATGGCACGTCAGGTGAGGGAAAGAAGACGAACGGCGATTTCCGCAATCTCATGAACAAAGGATGACACTCGGTCGATCGATTGTAATCAAGAAGAATGGAAAACAAGGAGCAAGTGTGCTGACGATGCCCAATGCCCCTCAGCAAAAGTTCTCCCTTGTTGGTATCATGCCAACATATCATATTTCTGCTGTACAATAAAAAGCGTCTTGAGTCATTAATACCATAGTCAAATAGTATGCTGCGAGAAGGGAGATTTTGAACGATTTTTCTCTTCCACCCGTTCTGTACTTAACTACTGTCTAAGCTTCGGCATGCCTCTTTACAGCGTGATGCGTTCTGTTGTCTCGATCTTCTCCGGATAAGTCAATCCATTTTGCTTTCGAACTTCGTCCATGACCTCCATGATAAGCACCGACTCGTCGAGACTCTCGTACTTGCCTTCCTTCCTGCCTTCCAACAAGGCCGTAGCAGCCTCATCGGCCTCCCAGAACATGCCATGGCCCTCGCCCTCGGCATTCTTCTTCGCCCCAAACCCATTGTACCAACCACTTCCCTGACCGGGCCCGGGCTGCGGCCAGTTCTTGTCATCAGTCGTCCCGTCCTTGAGAACGAGTCGCGTGCGAGTAGGGCGGAAAATCGGTGCCCACACCTGCATTTCACCTTTTGTCCCTTGAATGCGCACGGCGGGGCCGGCCGTGCCTTTGCCATCGATGTCGTTAGAGGTTCGGAAGCCGCCTGTGGCAGTGGCGTGCATATCGCCTCCCTCTTGAGGGTCTCGCGGGAAAGTCAGTAGAATGGTAGTCAGCTCGTCGGCGCCCGTGACCGGGTACCTTTGCATGCTGGAAAGAACGTGCGGTGGCTTGCGCGTTTTGGGGTCTTGAGTCAGATACAGGGTCTGGAAAACCCATGTCAAGCTGTAGATGCCCGTATCTAGCAAGATGCCGCCGGCTAGATCTGGATTTACCATCCGGTGCCCGGTGTCGAACGTTTCCTCGGGGATGACGCCAAAGGAATTGTCGGCGGACACACGGATGACTGTGCCCAGTTTGCCGGAAGTGATGGCCTCGCGCACGTAGATTGATAATGGGAAGTACCTGGTCCAAACAGCCTCCATGAGAAACAGACCTTTTGCCGGGCCGTCTCGACGAGTTTCTTGGCTTGCGCTGCGTTGACGGTAAAGGCCTTTCGCAGAGGACGTTCTTGCCGGCTTCCAGGCAGAGCATCACATTCTGGTAATGGTGCGAATGTGGCGTCGCGACGTAGATTATGTCGATGTTGTCGTCCTTGACAAGCTCCGCGTATGATCCGTACGGTTTTGCGGAGGCAGGAGCACCGACTGTCTTCAGGAACTCTTGCGCTCGGGAAAGGCTGGATGAACTGGCTGCGGCGACAACGGCGTGCTTGACGTTCTGGACGTTGCGTGTCGCAGGATCGATTTGGAGGTCCTTTGTGAATGTCTCGGCAATGCCGCCGGTGGCTAGGATACCCCAGCGAGTTTCTTTCGGTACCATTCTCTGCTTGTATTTCGGCGCTTATTTTGAGTCGAAATGATGTGGAAGTTGGTGAATTTATGTTTGACGTTATCAGGAACCCCTCATATTTTGTGGTTTTTGCGTGATCACGATGATGTGGCTTTGCCGCAAACAGTACTCGACCCGCCTTGGAATAATTGGTCCCGAGAGGTCCATGACCAAAGTGTCTGTACATTTCAAGACATCTATCCGGATGATTATCCAGAAATCCGAGAATTTGTGTTGGGGCCAGTTGGAGGTTGACGGTGATCTCTCCGTTGTCGTGACCGGGCTGTGATTGTGTCGCGCGTATCATTCGTTCGATTCTGCGACCAGACTTGCATTGCTGGCTTTGGTATGAATGCATGCTCCAGACTCTTCTGTCAAGGTACCGAACCAGATTGACATGGGCAACTGCTCAATCGGCGAGATTGACTGCCCATTGCTCCGTACCAAGTGAGAAATCCCATCACAACTCCTGCTTGACGGCATCTGGGTTGTCCTATCAGACGGCCAATTCAGGAGTCAAAAGTTCCAGCATTCCCTTGGTCATTCCGGCCTGCTGCGCCCGTTGCACTTCTTCCTGCACTCTTTCGCGCAGCTTCTTGACCTGTCTGGCAAGCGTTTCACTCTCGGCCAGATGTCTGGAGTACAAATCCATGAGGTTCATTGATACTTCCACGCACAAAGGCACGAAACTGGTATTTGTGATGTTTCTCCAGACCCAGCTCATAATGGGTTGGAGTTCATTCTCGGATCGGTCATCGAGAGCAGCACGCAGCGCTGACCGGTATCGAAGGGTGTTGAGGAGAGTGACGATGGTAATCTTGTCTGCGGATTGAACTGCGATATCCAAGGCTGCACGATATCTTCCCTTGTGCAATTCCTTCTCCCAAGGAGCCAGCTTTTTCTGCTTTCCTCGCACGTTTCCTTCGACGATGATGTCGGCATCTTCACCGGCATATTCTCGGCCTCTCAGACGTCTCTCTAGCCCTCGGGGTCGCTTCTTGGCCTGCTTCTTGTCGTACTCTTCGATCGTGCCAGCAATCAAGGCTTCCATCTGTTTCTGCCTTTCCCGCTCTTTGACCTTCTGCTCGCCGGACAACCGGGTTTTGATGCTCAGCTGTCCTGTAGACATACCCACCACGACGTGCTTGTCTTCTCGGGGATTCCCAGAGGCAATGACAGCCAACGACAGAATGGGGGAAGGATATTTTGAGCCGGCGACGACATTCCACCCAGTAGTCTCGAAGACTTTCATATGCCCATCAAGTGCTCCGCTCACAACTCTCGTATCATTTGAAGCCAGGCATAAGGATGTCACTGTCTTTTGGTGGTTCTTCATCATGTGTAAGGGTCTGCCTGCGACAATGTCCAATACCGCGATCTGACTCTCAGCTGCAGCCAGAATGGCTGTGCCAGATGGCATGCAGAGAACGTCTTCAACCGAAGCGATATGTTTGAATGTCATGACCGACCCATTCGGTGTGCGAGGATCCCAGAGTCGAACGGTCTGATCATAACTGCCTGAGACAAGTAGGTTGCTGGATTGACCAGGGAGGAACGCGCCTGTTCTAACGTAGTCGTGGTGACCACGGAAGGTCTCGACGCTGGTTTCGCTTGGGAGGTCCCATAGTCTGACCGTCCTATCATCGCCACAACTCATAAGAGAAGTGCTATCTCTGGGATTCCACTTGACGCTGTGAACCGGCTGTTTCTGCTCTTTCCATGTCTTCAGGATGGCTCTGGAGTTCACGTCAAACACTTGAATGGCGCCTGTCTCGTCTCCTGCGGCAAGTACTCGTCCATCGTACCGCGCTTCGCCGCCGTAGGCTGTATCGTCGAACCGAGTGATGGTCTTGAGGAGTTTTCGTGTCTTCTGGGAGAACAATTGAACTCGAGCGCCAGTGGTGACGACAAAGAAGTCGGCAGGGGTCTGTCCAGCCGATACTGGCTGTGGCTGCGAGATGTGGGTTACCGCATGCTTGGTAGGTGATGGGACGTTCACTGGTGACCTAAAGGTGCGCCAATATGACTGCTCCGGAGTGAGTGATGAAGGCCGCGCAGGTAGCTTGACCTGAGCGAGTGGCTGAACCTCAGCAGCCATGTTGAGCAATTGGCGACATGAGATGCATGGGCAGGAATAAAATCAATGTTGTTTCGCGGGTCACTCACTGATTTTCTGAACGGCGCAGGAAATTTTTGGGCAATTCTTATCTAATCAGCCGAGATTATGCCGTTGATAAGTATCTCCTTTTCGCAGTCACTTCAACTTCACACGGCTTTAATACCTATAGAACCATTGGAGCCAGTCTCCCAGGTCACTTCGAGCTCACTGCTGCTTGTATCGTGCTTAATGCTTTCACACAATACGTGACTGTCGGAACAGTGAAGCAAGGCGCGTGTCCTTCGATTGGCGGTCCAAATATGAGTATCAACCTCAGTGAAGCGTCTTATGATAATGCAGCTAATATGCTGGAAGTGACTGCAGCCACTTCATTTAAGTTAAGTCCTGTTTGACCATTTTACTTACACGATGTTACTGTGAGTTGACACGAAAGAAACAAAAGCCAAGTGTGTCGTCACAAGTCGGGTCGCTCTTGTCACTTTGTTTGCTAAAGATCAATATAAGGCAATCGTACAACCCAGTGAACTTCAACACCAAACCATAACCCCCAGGGAAGTGTGATGCACCAGACGAAAAGCATCCCATATTCCTAGTTTCACAGTTTCATTTCATCGATCGATCATCGTCCTCCCAGGGTCTTCTTGGACATTTCTAACCACTTGGAAACCGAGTATCCATTAAGATGCAGGGCCGAGCATGGCTCAGTCTTATTCACATACTGCTCATCACCACAGTCGTTGCAATCGCCACTCCAGTCAGCGTTGTCCGCCACCCCAATTACAATGCCAATGTCACTCGAATCAGCGTCCACCACAACCCCAATTACCATGCCAATGGCACCAAATCCCTCGTCCACGTCTACTACAAGTATGGTACCACTCCCATACTGCCCGGTCCGTACCATCGAGGTGACGACGGGATCCTGAGAAAGCGTCAGGAGGATGGCACCACGGGCGTCGTTACGGCGGATGATCAGGAAGATGACATGTATTATACATGTCCGGTCGAGATCGGAACTCCGCCTCAAACACTGAATCTGAACTTTGATACCGGCTCCTCAGATACCTGGGTGTGGTCCACCGCTATTCCAGAGACTGAACTTGCCTCCACCTCCGGTGAGACGCTCTTCGATCCTTCCAAGTCGTCCACCTTCCACAACATGCCGGGAAGCACATGGCAAATCCGCTATGGTGATGGTTCCTCAGCCTCTGGAACCGTCGGAACAGATGTTGTCAAAATTGGGAGCATCACAATTGAAGGCCAGGCTGTTGAACTGGCTAATCAACTTTCACGACAGCTCTTGAACGACTCAGTCGCCAACGGCCTTCTCGGTTTAGGGTTCAGCTTCATCAACAACGTGATACCAATACGTGTCCAAACCCCTCTCGAGAACATGATCCTGCAGAACGACATTCCCACAAATCAAGAGCTGTTCACCTGTTATCTAGGATCGTACAAGGATGTCAATGATCCGGATGGAGGTCGGTCCTTTTACAGTTTCGGCGACATTGACGAGTCGGTCATACCCTCTGGCCAAGAATTGTGCTACACCCCGATCAACAACACCCGTGGATTCTGGATGTTCGATTCACCCTCGGTAATCATCAATGGCGAACAGTATGATCTTCCCAAGTACCAGGCCGTTGCCGATACTGGGACTACCTTGCTCCTGCTGCCCGACGAAGTCTGCCGTCAGTTCTACGGCCAGATACCCGGTTCCGAGTACAGTGAAGCCGACCAAGGCTGGGTGTACCCTACCAATACATCACCTAATGATCTTCCAGACTTCTCCGTCGCCGTTGGCACTTGCCCGATCACCATTGACAAAGAGCACATCGGTTTCGCACCAAGCCTAAAACCGAATATGACCTTTGGCGGCATTCAGTCTCCGGGAAATCTTAAGTTCGGCATCTTTGGGGTTATCTTCTTGCAGAACGTCTATGCGGTAAGTCATGCTGCCCTGGTCATCTAAGTACTTTAGCTCACACTGTTTACAGGTCTTTGATGGAGGGAATCTGCGCTTTGGTGTTGTACAACGTGCTGATCCTACTCCAGATGGCCCGCAATCATAATGAGCGTAGACAAGGGATGTGCCGGATCCGGTTCACTGGTGACAGCTGTCAATGTCAGCCGGCTGTCGCTGAAGATTGCCTCCTGATCTGCTAAGCAGAAGACTGGTGTGGTCGACTATGAAGATTATTCCTGTAGTATCGTACCTGCAATTGTCCATGCTGCCACGACGAGGTTCGCATTGGTGTACCAGGTACCTTATTCAGACCTTCTTGTCTACCATGCTCGTTCAGCGTCACTATTCGGTTGCTGAACAAAGGGTCTTCGACCCTGTCAATACTCGGCAGATGAGAACTGTCAAAACTGTCAGTCATCTCCTTCCCACGACCTTGACGTTCCTGGGCTTTCCAGAACCTAGCTGAGGTGTAACCATCTGCCATGATCCTTCATTTGAGCGCTCCAGATCGTGTCAGTCGCGAGTATCCTAGCGCACGTCTGTGTCCCGGGATCCATCCCCCTTTACTATCCCGCACTCTTGCGTGGCTGTCTACCCTGTGCATACGTACTTGTAATTCTTATAGCAACTCCTCGACCCTTACCATTAGTTCTCTCCACAACGTACTCTACGTCCAGTACTGCCGTACCTCATCAATTTTGAGCCATACGTGTTGAAGAAGATGAACGTGCAAAGGGAGGCTCCTCTGTCCTCTACTACTCAGAAGTAGACACGACCGAGGCGTTTACATCTTCCTGCCGCGGCACATCAGTTCGAGCTTTCAGCCACAATGAGGAGGTCTGCGGTGTCTTTGAACCAGGCCCTGGGGCTGATTTTCCTCATCATTTGCTTGATCATCACCACGCGACGAGTCTATGAGCAGCAGTACTTCTCCAGCTTGCTCAGTAGTATCCAGCAACAGGATGAAGCAAAGGAAGTACTCCTGTCTCCAACCAGGACAGACGGAGTTTCGACATCTAGCGAACTTACATCCTCGCAGGTTGTATCTCAATCAGCACCAGTAAAAGCATTGGAGTCTCCACCAACAACACAGACACCTCAGCTGGAGACAGCTACCTCCAACACGATATCCTCAACACAGGTCATCGCTGAGTCAAAATCAGACGCCTTATATACGCAAACATCCTTTTCAGATGCGACGACATCAACCGCCGCAGTAGATTCCATGCCAACAGAGGAAGCGTCCTCGGCACACGGACCTGTGAATGGATGTCCCGAAAAGACAGGCGATGAAGGACTGTTCGCGCAAGCGACGCCATATGTGCAAGCCATCATGAACTCCAGCACAAACTCCAGCATGTATGACATGCCGCGACTGGAGTGTCCTACCATCAACGTGGAGCGATATTCCCATCTGGCGCTCGGTGCCGTTGCCCCAGGAAAGCCACGATATTTCTTCGCCATAAACCTCTTCCAGTCGGTCGCCATCATGCCACAATTGCTAGCTTCGGCGGTAGAGGTCATGCGATTCCTTGGGCCAGAGCTCTGCGCCTTATCCATTGTTGAAGGACGATCAACGGACGGGACATTTGAGATACTCAAAATGTTAGCTCAAGAGATGGAAGCACTCGGTGTGAGATACTTTCTGTCTTGTAACGAAAGGAACCCATGGGGAGGAGAGACCGACCGCATCTCGGCTCTGTCAGAGCTTCGCAATCAAGCTCTGGCGCCGTTGACACACCACCCCGGGCGATATGACATTGCGACAACCATCATCTTCTTGAACGATATTGCACCGTGCTCTGAAGATATCTTGGAGTTGATCCATCAGCGCACCGTGTTGGAAGCGGACATGACTTGTGCAATGGACTGGATCAACGACGGTGTTTCCTTCTATGACATCTGGATATCGAGACAAATGAACGGAGAAATGTTCTTTGAAATCCCCCAAAGTGGTTCCTGGGAATTCTCGAAAAACCTGTTTTGGAATCATTTTGAGAGCCGGTCGAGATACAAACAAGGGAAACCAGTGCAGGTCTTCTCCTGTTGGAACGGTGCCGTCGCATTGAATGCGCAGCCCTTCATGGAGGGCAAAGTCGACTTCAGATCCGCTCACAAAGGAGAGTGTTACTTTGGAGAACCCACTCTGTTGGCTAAAGATCTGTGGAAGTTAGGAAATGGACGTATCGCGATCATACCAAAGGTCAATCTAGGATACTCGGTCGAGGTTTCGGCCAAAGCAAAGGAGTTGCATGGATGGGTTTCCAAACAACCTGGTAAAAAGGGCACGGACGATACAGGTCCTACAGAATGGCATGGGCTTAAATGGCAAGAGAAGCCTCCCGCGTCGATTCATTGTGCGTCGATTGGCACCAATCCAACATGGGAAAAGGGGTATTGGGTACCTTGGGACCAAACACTTCGTAGGAGATAAAATGGGGAGAACGCACGGCCGACCTTGTTGATATTCTAGTGAAAAGCAAATAGCGGGCGTATGGAGTAATCATTCGAGCATCAATGTGGATGTGGGATGCTTGGAAAGAAGGAACATGTAACGATTATCAAGAAGTAGAGAAAGGTTTGAAAGAGTAAGTAGGTTTTGAAGACCCACGTGATTCTGCTCGCACCAGAATGAGAAAATGGGTTTTGTGGCTTCCTACGAAAACAAAAAGAACATTACACAACTCATGATTCGAACACAGGCCATTACTCGAGAATTGTTGTTTCCACGCGAATGGCAAAAAAGCAAAGCGCTCATCATGAGCAATGCAATAATGTGTCCAAAGATTGATAAATGGAGCATTTTGGGCGTAACCACGGCCATCTCTGGTAAAAGGCAAGAAATGGATTCTGCTATAGTTCGTCCCGCTCCAACACAAAAATTTCAGGTTCCAAAAATATATAGACTCTTTTTTTTAGTCAGCACGTGATATAGCGGCTCCCTGTAGTAACCCCACAGCTGCTGTTCTACGCCGGACCCTTCCCCGCATGCGCATGTTGTTCGGCGTAGACTTCTGATATAAGTACCATTTATTGATCGCTCACTACCACGAGTCGCCTTGCGTATATCTACGAAAAGACGCGTGCAGACGTCCGATTCGACAAGTAAACATGGCAGCCTGCATATTCTGCAAGATCATCAAGGGTACGATTGACTCGACCGAAGCACTCCAGCGCCATTGAATTTCAAACAGACTGATGTATCTGCAGGTGACATTCCCTGCTTCAAGCTGTTCGAATCAGACAAGGTCCTCGCCTTCCTCGACATCCAGCCTCTGAGCAGGGGACACGCTGTATGAGTTTCACGCACCCGAAAGTCTGCAGACCAACGGTCATTCATGCTAATCTTGCGCCCAGCTCGTCATCCCGAAACACCACGGCGTGAAGATCACCGACATCCCCGACGACGCCCTGACCGAGATACTACCTGTCGTCAAGAAGATCGCGGCGGCAAGCGGGGCGGAGAATTACAATGTCCTACAGAACAACGGGAGACTTGCACACCAGGAGGTTGACCACGTTCATTTCCATATGATTCCCAAATCGAACCAGACCGAAGGCCTGGGTATCGGGTGGCCTGCCACGTCGACGGATATGGATGCGCTGAAGAAGTTACATGCTGATTTAAAGGCGAAGATGTGAAGAAACCACGACTGCGCAAAACACTGTACATAGGGTCAAGGAAGCGCGTCTGGCAAGAGCCTCACAATTACGATAGATGTCATTCCACTATATGACCACAAGCCCAACCTCTGTACGGCCGACAATGCCTCTTCTCGATGGTGCACTTCACGTTGTCATTTGCAGGATCGCTTTGTCATTCTCCGATCGTGGTCCTCCGAGCGTTGAATCGAAACGAGGGCATCCCGCCTCAAGCACGACCTCGGTGTTTATCAAAACCAAGTTCTTCCTTTGAACCATCAGATATATCCCAAACGCTCAGGATGCCGGCCAAATGTCCCTCTCATTCTGAACGCCGTATACCATAATGGTATCCTGGGCTGCCAAACCCCGTGCTCGATCATATGGACCCTTCCTCGAACGCGTCCATCGCCTTGCGCATGTTTCTGGAGATGCTCATCCCACACATCTGTCGGCCCAAACTTTCTCATCTCGTTGGGGCCTCAATCGCGTGATTCTGGCCGAGTGCCCTACTTCCGTATTGTCTGGCTGAGTATCCTCCCTCGGGCCTTTGCTCGGCCCTGGCGTGCTTCCTTTCGATCCAACAGTGCTGGCAAAGTCTGACTGGGCAAGCTGTCCAAGGAGGGCTTGCGATGAAGAAGACCGTGGGATCTGGTTGAGGGCGATCCATTCTCTTCTGACTTGACTTTTTCATTTTCCTAACTATACTCAAGGGAACGCTGATCTATGAACGGGAAGAATTAATAAGTTGTGAGGTGAGAAGCGAGCATAGAAACGGGGTTATCCTCTCCACCCCCGAAAAATGAAAAGTAAGCATGCAGGTGGACGGTTTGGGAAGTCTTTGGAATGTGTCTAGACATGCAAGAAAGAAAGCTCGTGTTGCGGGCCTTGCTCATTGGGGAGAGCCGAATAGATATTCGGTCTGCTGAATATGTCTGCTAGGCGGCTCAGCGTCACTGTTACCGCCACGTCCACGTCCACGTTCGCTTAAGCGCCGGGCATGCAATCATGCATCGGCCGTTCAGTATATTACATATTGACACATAAAGACCTTTTTCCTGCTCATTCCATGAATGATATCAATCGACATCATCCGCACTGGTGTCCGTCTTTGATATATTCGACGTGGGCGCAACGGCTTGATTGCTTCCCTTTCCATGTGTGGGTGGGTAGAAGTTGATCTTGCCATCTGGGGATATCATACCAGTACGGTCGTATATCGTCCTGGCACGAATGTACTTGTCCAACTTCCAGTAGTTCTGATTCAAGCTCCCGGCAAGGGCGTTTCTTGTTTCTTTGATCTTGTCCGCATCGGGTCCCATGCCTTGTGCAATCCATTCAAAAGTCTTCTGCTGGTACTCTAGCACCTCGTTGTGCCTTTCTGTTTCCAACTCTTTTCGTGGGGCTTCCTCCTTCATGGCATCGTTCTCGCCAGGTATCGGATCCACATACTTATACTCCCAAGCTTCTTCACCGTCCAGCTCCTTGATGATCTGAGACTTGGGAATGAACTTCTCCAGATCATGCACGTCAGATGTAAAGTGAACCTTTCCAGCAACAACAGGATCGAGCCAGCCTCGAATGATCTTCCATACGCCCTGGAATATCCAGGGCGATTTATGTACAAGGACCGCTCCCAACGACTCCGGATAATTCGCTTCGAAGACTTTAATCATGAATTTGACGGGTGTATAATCCATATTGGCCATGCTGAAATGAGTCATGTCGAATACTATACACTAAGAGTGGAAGTCAGCTTGTCCGTCCGCAAAATGTAAGGGTCAAGGTACTCACAGCAGTTTCCACCGGAGGCCTCAAAGCAAGCCTAGCTGTTTCAATCACATAAACCGTATATCGTTCCAAACTCCGTTCTGTCTGTTCTCCTCCTTTGTGCAACCTTACTCGGACAAAGCACAACGGACGTCCTTCTTTATCTGTGCCATGTAGAAAGCTCTTTCCCATTCTCAACTGAGTAAGGAAATCCGTGCCCTCTCTTTTGACTGCTGGATCGGAAGACTGTGAGTCTTCAAGCGCACCACCTTCTCCTCGCAAGATGATATCGTCATCAACGTGCTGCTCTTTACTTCGCCATCGCATTGTAGACACCAGCATGACTAGCGCCTTTTGGACATCCCATTTTCGCGCTCGGAGAAACCGTAATAGGAGGGCATCTGGATGATCGGCTTTGACCATACTCCAGAAGGTGGCACGTATGGACTCGGGGTTCTGAGTCGCAATTATATCCTGAAACTCTTTATACTGGCCGTATTTGTCATCGGAGTCGGCATGGTGACTGGGATCTTTGGTAGGAGTAGCCGATCCATTGCTTGAATCCTTATCCTTCTTCTTGAACAGACCCAACCGCTTCTTGCTTTTCTTCTTATCTTTACCATCTACCTCAGATATCGATTGCGTGTCCTCATCAGCCAGAGACAAATCGGCGACGTTCAAATGATGAGGGTCTTCAACTCCAAATATTTTCAGTGTCGCGGCCCAAAATTCGCGTAGTTTCGCTTCTTGCTCGGGCGACAAGTTGCCGAGGTGTCCAGAGGGGACGGGCATGTCTGTATAGAACGGATCGTAGGTGTCTCCTGGTGGGGTTGCCAAAGTGCGATGTGTGAGGTGGTCGTCGTGGCTGTCGTGTGCCCCGCTGGACTTTGGGCGTATAAAGTAGTCAAGAGCGATGGCGCTTCCAAATGCGATTGCAATAACGAGAATGTATGATGATGTAGATGCTTGGACTGGTCGTGCAAATCTCGGCGTACTGTACAAACTTTTTGACTGGGTCAGAGAGGCTGGGTGCGGGCGTCGCGAGAAAGCCTGTAGTTGATGGCAGATGCTGAACCTGCGCAAGACAGCTGGCTGCAATTTCCTGGGAGCCGCCACACGAAGAAGTGATGGGACAGGCAGAAGCTGACAAGCGCGCTGTCGCATGTAGAAAAGCAGCTACCGCAGAATGATGAGGTACTCAATGCGTGCTTAGTTATAATGCCGAAGCAGCCGTGGATACAGGTCTTTCATGCAAAATGCAGCACCCCCAAATGCCAGCCCGCGTCTTCGTAAGCGGGCGGCAACTCTTAAGGCCGGGAGATGTTGTCATAACGCAGATACGAGCATGCACTTATGTCATCATCGTCATCAATCATCCTTGAGTCTAAATACAAAGTAACAACGATTGAACGTCAGTTCCTGATGTTCACGACAACCATGGAGGCGGGGATTTACAAGTAGGAGTACTATTGTGCAAGTGAACATCCCAATACCAATTTATCCGTCTTATGTGGCCCTGTAATCTGGCGCTCTCCAGGCTTAATGTGTGCATCCCAAAAGTCCAACCCACAAGGCTGCAAGATCAGGGGCTTGAGGCTGCGGTTTCGCACATGGAACGTTGTTGCTCACAACCCTCTCGCCTCAGAACCGGCTTGCCCAATACCCAGTCTCGTCAATCCCTGCCTGGATCGTTTCATTTGCGAACAATCTTGATCTCAGTCCATCTCTACTCGTACCTGGCAACGTGTTGCACACCCCAAATTCGGTCGAGCCCGAGTGTAAGGGATGCCTATCGCCTGTGATACTGGCGCGTTCCTGTTATTCTTTTGCTGTATTCGGTGCGAGCAGCGTCGATCGGCGAGCAGATGTTGCGGGCTCTCCATGAAAGCGACCCGCGCCAGTGCGAGCCCGCTTCCCACTCGATGCAACTATCCCATCCAATTATTGCCAAAGCGATGTGGGAATCAAGAGGTGACTGACCGACTGATAGAAGTCCGGTGCAGTAAAAACACGCCCTCTCGCTCCCGAAACGGACTCAATTAATGTTCATTCGGTAATTCTTGCCCTTATGCCTTCTTGTCGACGACTTGCTCAAGAAAATTCTTGGAGAACCGATTGACCTGCTCGTAGACAACCTCAAACCCATTGTCGGCGCCGTAGTAAGGATCGACAACCTCTTCGGCCTTCCTTTTGCCGCCAAACTCGCCAAACATCATGACCTTGGCTTTGCTCTTCTCACCTTCGCTGTCTACCTTTCGTTGCAATCGTTGCAGATCTCTCAAATTGTTGGCATCCATGGCAAATATGTAGTCGAATGTCTGAAAGTCTTGGGTGTCGATTTGTCGCGCACCATGATCGTAATCCGTAATGCCGTGTCTTCGAAGTGTATCCATCGTTCGAAAGTCCGGAGGGTCCTGTACGTGGTATGCTCCCGTGCCCGCTGAATCGATCTCGCCAATTCGAGGATGGGTTTTGGTGTGAGAGCGGAACACGCCCTCTGCCATAGTGGAGCGACCTTGTAACACGGTCAGTGAGCATATGGCAATTCCATCGAAGAGCTTACAGATGTTGCCGAGGCATACAAAGAGCACAGAGATTTTATCTGTCGGTGTAGCCATGGTAGATATGGGCTGCGAATCGGCAGTGACGAGATACCGCTGTTCGCTCAGTCAATGTTGGGTTTCTTGTTGACCTCCGACAAATGTATAGTCGCCATTTCAAGGCGACAGAAAGAGTGGTAGGCAGACCGTCGCTAGGATAGAGAAGGGTTGGAGGATGTTTCGCAGAAGAACAGTCGACACCGCGTTGAATGTAAGCCCGAAGATTAACCAGCGCGTTGGGCCAGCTGTGTTTATCTTATCGTGAACAGCCGCAGCCTTGGGGCCCTGGGGTGCCTAGTAAGAGCCTTGTGACACCTAATTACAGAGGATCTAGCTACTCACGGAAGACCTATCACCCCTTTTATTGACTTCATATTTCGTTGTCAACGACCTTCTTGCCATACAAGCCTGCTCAGCCATGCGACCTTTTCGAGGATACAGGCCGCCTAGGAATACTTCCACACAAATTCTATCAATGCCTTGTCGACCACTTCAGGATGACTAGAGCTCAAATAGTGCTCGCCGCCTTCCACGACTTGCAACCTTGCGTCCGGTGAATTGACAAACAACTTGATCTCCTCTTCAGCATTGGCGACCGAGTACGCCGCATCATTTGTCCCGTGCAGCCATAGAATAGGACATTGGACTTCACTCAACCTCCCGTGAAGCCCGTCTCGATCTCGGAGATTGACAGTGACTTCTCTGAGACGTTTTCGTCCGTCATCGCCGCTGTAATTGCGTTTCATCTCCTCGTGCCACCACTTGGCGGTCTTCTGGTCAATACCTTTGCCGAAGCCGACGTAGATAGGGAACACCCGGAATGACTCAGGCATCACAAATTCTGGGGTCGGTCTCGTCGAGCTGAATTCCTGGATCGGTCCTCCAACGGTGCCCCAGGCATCGAAGTTGCCCAGCTTCCTCGTGCGCTCACTCTCATAGTCCATGCTCGTACCAAGGGGAATAATGCCAGCAATGCGGCCAGGTTGATGCAACGCCATGCGCACCACGATCCAGCCTCCCTGACTGGTACCCAGCGCAAACACCTTACCTTTAATCCCCAAAGCGTCGAGCACTTGGAGATTCATGATCGCCGTGTCCCAGTAGGTGAAAGTATCGGAGCTGGTTCGGGTTTTGCCGTGACCCAGAGGTTCGATGGCAATAAGGTTCATTGCGTCAAGGAGTGCCTCATCCGTGAATTGGGCTTCATACAGAGCCGAGGTCATGGTGAAGCTGTTCACAAGGACACAAGTCGGTTTTGATGCGTCGTATGGTCGTGGCTGCACATAGGCGGCGTCGGTTCCCCAAAGGTGCGGGACACGGACGGTTTTGATGCTCGCCATGGTGACGAGTTCGTCGCGAGTCGACTTCGAGCGAATCGGCAGGTGCGATGATGTATTCAGGTCGGTGGCAGGCTTTCAAAATAGGCTGTCTAAAGCAGCAGCGTACTGGAAGTCCTCAATCTACACCTGCATAGAGCCAATATGTGCGCCACTGCGAAGACTTCCTGATGAAGACCATTCGACCCCGTCCGCTCCTCTTCCCCGCGCCCCACCCCTTTCCCTTGGGTAGACGTTGGAGTCGCCGAGGTCGGTCAAAGGGTATATCGGCTTCTGACCAGATCATTTTCGGCGGCTTCGATGCCTATTGGCCTTGCTGCCGATAGACCTATGGCTTCCTGACATGAAGTCGAGACAAGAACATATAAGGACACTTAGAGCCAAGCAGAACTCAGACTATGCTTTTATTTGTCGTTGAACAAAGGGCAGTCTAGCGAGAACTTATAAATTCAGAACGCAGTACTGCCGGCTTCATTCTGCAGACTGAGATCATACAGGCTAAAGTCGCCCAAAGAATCTTGGAAGATCCAATTCAGGTCTTCCGGTCCGAGATCCTCATGCCAGGGGTTCCCCGTGTCTGCCATTTGCGGCAGCGTGTGTCCAACCTCGATCGAATGTTCAGACGGGTCATTGGGATATCCTTCCTGGTGTGGGCCCAACTCAAGACCATCAACGGCATTGTTCTGTTGCGAAGGAGGAATGAAACTTGTTCCTGAGACCACTGGCCCATACTGTACTGGATGAATGTCTTTGAAATCATGGCCAGTGAGTCGAGTCATCAAGCTGATGAAGAGACGCAGAATCCAATTCGCTACTGGCCACGATTTTGCCAGTTCACTCAAGGCCAGCATGCATTGACGGGCCCGATTTTCCGCAACCTGACTTTGGATGGCACACTTCCGCCGGATGACTATTGCGTGCATTCCACAGGCTGCAAATAATGCAGGAGCCCTGGGCATGTCAATTTTCAACGCGTCGAAATGGCCAAGATGATACTTACATGTGCACCTGGGCTTGTCTCAGCATCCCCGATGTCAGCAAATCCTCAGCGATTCGCGTCATCCCATCTGCTGCAGCGCGGGCAATCCGATCATTTTGGATTTCCTGGTCTGTTTCGACTATAACACGACTGGGCCGAAACAAAAGAATCTGACAAGTACTTCGAGGGTTATGAGCAAAGCAACATGAGATGCGAGCCCATGTTCGACTTACTAGAAATTGGCATGCAGCATGCTTGACCAAAATCCTGCTCCATCACGATCGATGTCCTGAAGCAGCATCTCTCGAGGCAAGGCTGCTTTCCACCGAGCCAACTCATCGCCAATGGACTTGATCCCGGCCTGGGTATTGGAGCCGTGTGGCCGATATCTGGTCGACATGATTCTTCCAACTAGTCCTACCGTCAGTTGATGGTAGACAAACCCCAGCTTCTACTTACAAGAGCCCGCCAGCTTTGTGATTGCTATCTGATACTGAACATGATAGCTCTTCTGCGTTGCCATGATAGGAGACTCAGAGGCAATGTCCAATTCAAAGTCCGCTTCACACAGCTCCTCGACATCGCAATCGTCGTCATTGATACGGAAAGGCCGACCCAGTGCTGCAGCAGCGTGTCGATCTCGAGTCTAGATGCACTTATTAGCTCGAGACACTTCACACCACAGTACAAATACGTCATACATAGATGCACCAGAATATCCTCTTCCACAGCGATCGTTGTCGTGGGTCCATGCCGCCCTGGGCTGTCCTATATTCCAGTCAGTCGACCGTGTCTCAGAAGGATGAGACGGGCTTACGATCGATGCATCCCCAATGTCTGTGCCAGGCTAACAGCACATCCAAGCCAGTACCAGGTATCCTTCTGGTCTTCTGGCCCCAGCCACCAGAAGCCCAGGAGGAACAAGACAGCTGCAAGAATAACTTTATTCTTTTCGTAGTCTGCATCATACAGTCCTTTTGCCCTCAAATAGAAAACTCGCCTCGCCTGATACCTGTCAAAGAACCCAGCTCGATGGAGGAGGTTCTCATCACAGATGCTAAAGGCAATGAAATAGATCGTTTGCAACGCCAACAAAGATGCCTGATCACGCTCGTACAATGCGGCGAAATGCCGGCGGTCAAAAACTGGCCAGGCCGGATGAAAGTATCTGAAGAAGACAGCGACCAGCTCATCACTGAGGGCTTTGGGAAGAGTCGTGAAAGCGCCTTGAGCTTGCAAAAAAACGTCTTCGTGCTGGAGGAAGGACTTTGCAGGGTCATCTCGACGGTCCAGTCTGTCAGCGACCGACAGTGGTATGGGATAATGGTTCCTGACTTCACTGCCAGTCTGAGATGGATGGCAGACGGTCTTCACCACAAATGCCAGAGAAAAGGTCTCGCCAAGGTAGAGTGTCCTCGACTGTTCGCGAATATCTGGAGTCCTGTCTTCAGCTGGCTGGACTTCAGTCATCCGGGCAAATAGCATCTCGGGCCCGTCCACCGAGCTACACGTGTCTATGCCGATGGCTGACTCCTCAATCGAGGCCAGTGAGGGCATGTGCTGTGGAGCAGCTGGATTGGCCGACAGTAGGGAGTCGACACTCATTCGCGTATGGTCTTCCTGAAGCGACATGATTGTGCTGGCATCCTGACTGGGTGCGATGGTTGATTCTGCAATGCTTGTGGCTTCTGAACGTCTGCGAGCGCCAGCACCCTTATTCCGAACTCTTTGATATCTGCAACAACAGAATCGTCAGCTCATGACCTGCATAAAGTTGCGATGAAACCTCGAACCTGCCTCTCCGTGATTCAATCAGCTCACAAGGCTGCTCCCTCACCCTGCAATGCCAACAAGGCTGTGATTCCGAGACATCGCACTTGACGCGACGCGCATTGCATGACTTGCAGGCTATCTTTGCTCTTCGCGTAGCCTTGGGTATAGTGGGGGACGGAGACGAAGATGGAGCAGTATTCATGGCTATATAGGGTGACCTTCCGGCGTGGAAATAAGTCAAAACTATGCACTCCTGTTCGCAGAAGAGATTGTGCCCCGATGAGGCGTGGAATCAGTCAGGCACATTGCCCACGTTCTATGGGGTTGGGAATTTGTTCAATGGCTTTTGGTAAACGAATTCGCCAATTGCCAATGCGTTCCCGATGGCACGATCAACTGGGGACCCCGAAGAGAATCCTCACGGGGACGATCGCGACTCTGTACCCCGCACATCCGGTGGAAGTGAGTACAATTCCAAGTCAAATTCGTGTGATTGTCGGCCATTGAGGCCGACTTCGGGCCTTGCGGCCGAGCCTCTTTTAGTGTGACAACTTGCTTGCCCACCTTGGACTTCTTTCTCCGCGTCCTGCCCAGGGCCAGTCTAAAAGAACAGGTACCGTTCGCCTAAAAGGTGCACGATGGCCGCAGATCGAAGCCAGACTTTTGATTCTAGAGACACGGGCGTTGGTAGTCCATCAGCGTTTGATGTCGGCTTCTCAATTCGGGTACTCCAGAAGAACTCCACCGAAGCCACACTAGCAATTCTGTGGAGAAGGAACCTGACCGAGGAACCGAGATGCCCTGCAACCCCAGACGTGGTCGGACTCGTGACTCTCCTGTCGTGGAGTGCTTGCCCTAGAATATTCGGTGCAATTGACACTTCAGAGGTTGTATCGTTAAGACTTCATCAACCATATGACACTTACTACTAGCTGATATATACAAGTGCCCAAGATCAAGGTCCTACTACTGGGGCGCAATCCAAACATACCTAAAGCATAATTCAACTTACTTTGCCTCGGCCGCACCACTCGCCCGATTCGTTGTCCCTGACTCGTTTGAAACTATTCTAGGACAATCAGCTGCCACATACTCAATGTGATATGGCATTGCTAATACAGGAAAAACCTCCTCTACTCTATGTTCTCGTAGACTAGCCTTTCATCTGGGGACGGACTTTATGGTCCTGTGGTGTCACTAGCCTCGCTGAGCTTTCGCAGAGTTGACATAATCTGGACGATGGCCTGGGGATGACAAGCAGCACCTTGTCTATGCCTAAATTGCGGCATAACTTTCCAACATGGCTTGCTGCGTCTTCACGGCGTATTTTATGAGCCAAATCATCAAAGCCTGTGAAGTGTTCGACATCCGCATCCTCGATATAAAGTACAATGATGTCGATGTTGAAGACGACGTCAACCGGCTGTTCCAAACATACAATGCAACGACGACCAGGGATGTTGGACCGGCCATCGAGCTCGGAAAAAACACCGCCAAATGTCTACAGAAGAGTCTACAGCCGTTTCACACAATTCGACTTCTCATCACTGGCATGACGTGCACCGCCTGTGTGACCGCGCTCACTGACACACTTGTGTCGCATCCCTCCGTTCACCGAGTCAAGATATCTCTCGCTCTATCGCGTGCGACAGTGGTTTACAACACCCAGGACACCACCTGCGAAGACTTGATCTCGCTAGCTGAAGATGTAGGCTATGGTGCTACTGTCCTGGGTGACAAAGGTCAAGGTTCTGCGGCTCTGAAACTTAAGGCAGTCGAAAGAGAAGGTGAGTTACAGTGTCTCAAGGCTTCATTCAACGGCTGCACTCGTTGGGCAACCGCTGTTGCCATCCTCGATAGGCTCAGAAGCATGACCACCGGTGGTACAGCGCCTGGGAAGATGGTCGATTCTAGTATGCATGCCGCAGTATTCGGAATTGCTTGCTATATCCAGATATCTCATGCAGCATGGATTCATCGAAACGCATGGTCAAACTGCTTCAAGACGAAACGGTTTCGCCTTCCCAGGTTGTCTATGGACACGCTATTGTCATTGTCGCTCCTCCTCAGTCTGGGCCTATCGATTTTCAATATCTTTCTCAGCGCAAAGTCCGGCTCAACACCCAATACGTATTCTTCATCGGCTTCTTTTCTGAGTGTAGTCATTAGTGCAGGGCGCTATCTCGATGTTACACTGAAGAAGCATGGGGCGTCAGGATTTGCAGGACTTTATGGTCTGCAAAAGGAGATGGAACTTGGAGTCGTAATGGTTGAAGGACATCCTGCGCGAACTCCTGAAAAAAGGGACGATGTGGAAGCATTTCTGGTGAGTTTCTCCCGTTCTGGTAGAGTTGCTCTCTTACTAAACTGACAAAATACGTGTCCAAGGCCCCCATGCCGACCACGCTTCTCGCCCCGCTTGATGTTTATCACATTCCGCCTCAAGGGCTGATACCCTGCGATTCCTACATCATCAGAGGCACAAGTCTCATCGCCGAAGCGAACATGACGGGCGAGTCCATGCCTTGTCGCAAGTCAACCGGCGACTTTCTGATGTCCGGCACAAAAAATCTGTCGAACAATCTTGTTGCGGTAGTGACGAAGGCTCAATCTGATTCAAGTCTAGAAGCATTACTCGAGAGCATCGAGAAAGCATCCGAGCAGAGATATGACCCAGCCGCCAATGGAAGCAAGGACAGACGTTCTTATATGGACAGCGCGGCTCGCTACTTTGTCCCTGCAGTCCTCTCGCTCACTTGCATTGGTCTGGCACTCACAATGTACACACTGCCATCATCGATCCGGCTCGCTGACAGGATCAACGCCGCATGCGAAAGAGCGATGGCTACCCTTGCAGCCGCGTGCCCTTGTGCACTGGGCTTGGCAGGTCCTTCCGCTATCATGGCGGGCCTTGACGCTTGCTATGCCTCAGGCATCCTAGTACCAGGTGGAGCTGAAACATTGGAGACATTATCTCGTCTTACACATATGGTGCTCGACAAGACAGGAACATTGACGGAAGGCAGGCCCGAGATTTCGTCCTCGTACTTCGTCGAGCCATACAATTCCGATCCTGCGAAACGTGCCTTGTGCCATCTGCTCCTCTGTGCTGCGGAACGAGATGAGGCACAAGCACACCCTGTCGGTAGGGCGATCTTCCAGTGGTCTTTGACACTTCTCCAGCAAGATTTCTCGGGCATACTCGACACGCTCGTAGAAGCTGAAGCAGGAACGTCCCCAACAAGTAACGTGGAAAGTATTCCTGGAAGGGGGGTGTCTTGTGACGTCCAGGGACCTGGAGAGCTCTGGTATCACGTCTGTGTCGGCAATGATCGTTTCTTGGTCGACCACGGTGTTACGATTCCACCCCGTATTTCGTCTGAAGTGGACATGACCACGGTCCACTTCGCGATCAATGGCCAATACACCGGCACGGTCATTCTGCAGGACTCAATCAGGCGTAATGCTCCGGATGTCCTGAAAGAGCTCAAAGAACTTGGCATATCTCTAACCATGCTGACGGGTGATTCGGAGGAAGAGGCACAGCGAGTGGCAACCAAACTGGAGATTCCCCTTCTCAAAGCCAGAAGTCTTCCAAACGAGAAGAAAGATCTGGTCGAGTCCTTGCAGTACAACTACGACTATCAACACAAGAGTAAACTACGCCACACAGAGAACGTCGTCGCCATGCTTGGGGATGGTCTGAATGACGCTCCTGCGCAAGCGGCCGCTGATGTTGGCATTCTTTTTTCCCTCTCCCCATTATCCAAGCGTCGGTCGTTGGTTTCTTCAACATCTTTAGCTCTTGGGACATCTGCAGTAGACGCCATCATCATGTCGCCAGAGCTCACTGCTCTGCCAAGGCTTCTTCGAATTGCTAGAGAGACTGCGAGACAGGCGAGGTGGAATTTTCTATGGGCCATCGGATACAACGCAATTGCAATCTCACTGGCCATGGGCGTGGGAGACTTGATGGGCTTGGGCCACATCATCAAAATAGATGCGTGAGTATCCTCTATTCCTTCGCTGAAAGGACATCTTTACTGACGTTGGTGTCGAGGTCGTTGGCTGGCACTATGATGGCATTCTCGAGCATTACTGTTCTTGGTATGAGCTTACATTTCCGACAACGGCTTCGAGAATCTCAGTGAACCTCGAGTCTACTTAGAAGCAAGTAGGATCTCTTCTAGACTGATAGTCTTTGTGGCCAACTGCCCTGATACAGTTACGAGATGTCGCAAAGGCCCGCAATTGGTACTTATGTCGAGCCGAAGTGTCGGTACCAATTTTCAATGTTTAGCGATGAGGTTGCCACAAATATAGATAAACATGAAAGCACTGACAATGACACATGCTGGAACATCCACCAAATGACGTCTCCTCGATTGTGCCCAATGACTACAGCGCCACAGCTACACGGTTGGTCTGGTACTTCTTGATGTTGGGTACAAAGGCCGCGCTGATCATGGCGAGGACACCAAAAGGAATACTCACATACCAGACATATTTGAGGGCTCCCGCATAGGCCCATGAAGTTCCTAATGTTGCTGCTTTCGCAATTGCTGGTGTATATCCGGGTGCTGATTCGATGGCTGCTGGGTCGGTCAGGAACGTCGTAACGAATGCTGTAGCATCGGCAGCTGAAAGTCCTGCTGCAATGGCATATTCGGCAACAGATTCGGGAAGCATTGTCGTGAGTTTGTTCACAAAGATATTGTAATAGATGGTGAACCCGATAGAGCCGCCAATCGTGCGAATAGACAGCGACAATGCCGCCGTGGTGGCTAGAAGGGCATCGGGGACAACAATAAGTGCCACCGTAGCACTAGGGACCAGCACGCCACCTACGCCGAAGCTGGCAAGTGTGCCCAAGGCGACGGCGACTTTCGGATTCGTAGGATTCGATACCGCTAGAGCTCCCCCAAATGCAGCTAGAAGTGTCAATTAGTCAGTACTGGCAACTGAAAAGAGAACATTGCTTCAGTCAATGGACTTACTCATCATGGATGCTGCGGCTAGGAGAACCCACTTCGCTTCCAGCTTCGTGGAGAGTAGAGCATTGAAGAAGACTGCTCCCACAGTGGTCGAGATACCATAGCCAAGGCCTTTCAAGCCAATTTGAACTGGATCTGGGCTCCAGATTGTTCCAAATGACAAAGGGAAGAAGTTGATTAGTGAGTAGAAATTCACGCCGGCCACGAAAGCTACGCAGAACGCCAGAGCGACGATTTTCTGCCCTCTGAACATCTCGCCTGGAATCATTGGGTACTTTGCAAACTTCCATTCCCACACCACAAAGCTTAGGATTAGTACAATGCCAATGATAAGTTGGCACAGTACGTAAGCGCCGCGCCAGGAATGAGTGTAGCCTCCAGCTTGAAGGGCAACTAGGCTGTGGTCCGTTCGTCAGCAAGGAAATGGAGCACTCTTGGGAGAAGGTCTTCTCACAAGAGCGTGATTCCGGTGATGGAGAGGAAAGCCCCAACGTAGTCAATCCGAGCAAGGATCATTTTTTTGTTGAATCCTTCCATACGTGGATGTGCCTTGGGGAAATATGTTGTCACCAGTCCGATGAAAGTAATTCCATTCCAAATGAGACAAATCCACTGTCCCCACCTCCAAGTATGGTAAGTTCCCAAGAGTTGAGAGTACATGACATAAGGGGTGAAAGGGATAATGACACCAGTCATCAGGCCGAGGGCAATGCCACGGTGTCGGACTGGCACGATATCAGAGATGCTGCAAGAAATCTTTGTTAAGCAGATGCATCACTCAAGAGCTTCACGAACAACACGTGTGAAAGAAGCTGGACTTACCCAGCAAGAGCAGTAAGTTCGCAAATTCCTGCACCACCTCCACCAAGCGCCATTCCTGTGACAGCTTGTCCAAACGTATGGGCACTCCCAACCAGAGCCTGGCCGACCATGATCATGATCGATCCAGCGAGCGTAATCTCTCGTCTCCCAAGGAGATCTTGCAGGTACCCGGTGAAAGGAGCGACTGCCGTGATAGCAAGCGTATTGGATACTGGAAGCCAACTGGCGTGGGCCGTCGCGTGGAGTTCCGCCTCCATGAATGATAGACTTCCGCCGACGAAGTATAACATGATCTGGGAGCCTATTCAATTCTACGATTAGTCTCTGCTCTGACCCGACATGTACTCAAGGATACACGAACCAACGTAGAGGAAGCCAAGCGACATGGCAGCAATAAGGCTGCGAGCAGTCCAAGCAACCTTGCCATCAGAGTCATCGCCTTTGAAAGCCAGGCTGTTGTCAACATGTGAGTAGTGAGTTTTGAGCTCGTGGTGCTCGACACTGTTATTCTCATCAGTCGCCATTGTGTTGTGCTCCAACTCAATGCTGTTTGGCTTTTCAGACATGACCTCCTTGTCTTCTCTAGGCGATCTTGGAATCAGAAAGACCAACTTGATTTGAACCTCTGATGGGTGATCGGCTATCAATTTATACGACTCGGCCACGTGGACAGACATAGCTTTTATATCTACCAATGTTCCAAACGAAAATACGGATCCGAAAACCCCACGGGGGCCCCTCAAGTCCAGGCTTACCGCGGAAGTGTCCGTGAAACGACTGGACGTTCTGGCATAAAACCTTGAACTCTCTGACCCAGTCATGAAATCCTTGAGCTGTCGAGTCAGCGGGCCACAATCTGTACGACTCAGCATTCCTGACTCATAACAATGCCCTGTCTGGGAGACCACCCACGGCCCAATAATGGTGATTTACTCAATTCACCAAGTCAACGTCGACGAAGTGGAGACATGTCAAGGTTCTTTACTAAAAAGTTCAATGCTGACTCGTAGTATGTCCATGCAATGGTCAACTCTCCATCCCCTGCCTTTGTCGTCAGAGCCCGTCTGTGATATAATTGGACAATAGCCCATCTCTCAGCATCGGCGGTGATGGCCCATGCTTGTCAACAACCCTCTCGGAGTTTACATCATTACTAGCAGCATGCGCTATGTGTGAACTCTGTCCCTGTGGAACGAAGAGCTGGGGTAAAAGCGACAGGCATTCATCATAGCATGGGATATCCTGCCTCAACTCGGGGAATCGCACAAAGAATTCCGACCGCACTGCCCAGCAGCGGAGATCGTTTTGTCGTGCGATAAACTCCTGGGAAAATGAGTACGTGCCTGAGAAGACGTCGCGAGAGAATATATCTTCGGGATTGTGTTGCCAGACGAAGCGAGCCTGATTCCGGAAAGTGTCCATGAATATATTGGTGGCATATCTCGTCGGTTCAAAGATCATGTGCTCGCGCATGCCTGGCCATACGAAGTACTCGACGAGAGGATCGTGCTCCATGAATTTCTGAGACGGACGAGGAGCGAGGAATGCAGGAAGTTCAGAGCTGGACGACGTCTGTGGCCACATCTGTGCCTGTAGGTAAAGTCGCATTATGCGGAGGCATGCCAGCCTTTCAGGAATACCGCAAGCCGAGTATACCGCTTCATCGAGGTGACGGAGCCATAGCCAGCCAGGATCTAGATCATATTGTTCGGCAACATTCTCCCATCCACTCAAAACGGCTCGAATTGCGATGTCTTCGGTGAATTCTACCGGCGTGGGCTCTTCTCTTGGCAGGCCTAAGATGAAGCGGAGGACACTGCCTGCTAGATAGTATAGCCTTCCTTCCAGGCTTCTAGTTTGAAGGATCTCTGTTACGACCATGCTGATGTTGCGGCGGACTGTGGTTTGTTGAGAGATTTGATTATCGGAAGAAGTGCTTGAGGTGACACCTTGACGAGATGCCTGGCACCAACCTTGGCCTCCCAAGTTATCAGCGCATTCTGGTAACAAAAGATCTGCCAAGTCAAAACCGGCCGGCGGTGGTGTCGATGTGGACGTGTTTTGTGAATCCGTATTGTCCTTCTCAAGCACATCCAGAGAGCTCCGAACGCTAACACGGGAACTGGCGACTTTGAGGGACGGACCCAAAATCTGCGTGTCGTCCATGTTGCCTGGTGAGGCATCTCCGTCTTCTGGGAGACACGAAAAGAGCTGGGGCTCAGCAGAACGATCCTTGTCGTACTCTCTATCCACAGCACATTGCGACCCTGAGACACTTTCAACTAATTTTGAAACTCCGCGAAAAAATCCACGCAGTGAGTCCATCTCTCTCCGGTTTGACTTGATCTGCTCGACAAGGTCATTCGTCCGGGCATCGTCTGCATGCGACTCCTGTAGAGTCTTGACCAATTGTTCAAGATGAGCGATGTGATTTTTGGTTTTCTGACGAATTTGCCGTTGCGCTTCTCTGTCGCTCTCTCGCTTGCGCTCGCGTTGCGATCTGCTCAATTTCGGTCTTTCAATAGGTTTGGGTTTCGAAGACACATCCGTCTTTGAAGATTGGTGAGATGGCATTGAATGATGGTACGCTGGCTTTTGGAGCGGTATAGTGTGCCCTGACTCAGAAAGAAGGTGATAATTTCACGCTGAAAGAGAGGCTGCTAGCGTCCAGGTTCAGAGCCTAGAACGTACCTAGGTAGTCACCGAGATGATTTTGGTCTGGCCACAATCCAACTCATCTGGGTTCGAATCCAATACCAATGCAGGCCACTTCGTTGGTACAGCCTGGCTCGCGCTGCAGGCCAGTCTTTTCTGACTGATTTGGGTGAAGGGCCCCTACGACGCTGACTCCGAATTGCCTGTATCACGCCCTCCCTACCCCGGATACCCCTCATTCAATGCCAGCCCGAGGTAATCGGCTTCCCCGGCCCCACTAAGTAGACCGCTAGATGATGCTCACGCTGGGACGGTCTAGGCGCGCCACAGAGTTAAACTGTCAGGTCCAGTTCACTCTCGAGTGTCGTTGCTGGGGCTTCTTCTCTAATCGCGAGTCAGCTTCAATTACTCGTGCAAACTGGAGTTGACGTGGGGAGATACACTCCCTTGCAAAGGGTGTGTCCCTTTGCAGTGGATCTGTCTCGATCTGCTTGTCCAATGCTTGCTACCGTAAAGGGTCCTTACAGAGGAGACTTCAGTGGCACGAGACTTTCCTAGTTGCTTTGGACGAAATGATCATCACCATGGTCCAGCCAACGACAATAGTCATCTCTTGACTCGAACATTGTGAATCGGTTCGAGGTACAATGCATTCCTAATGGCGTGTCGCGCTCCCCATACCAAGCTTGGTGGCCTGGGTTCAGTTTGAGACTTGGATTTCGAGTATGCTACCCTGTCTAGACGTGACGTCCGTAAGTGGCCAGCTGCATAACTACAGCATGAACCGTCTTGCACAAAAGAAATGCATCTTCACAGCCGTTCAAAAACACTCTTTCGCCGTCAACTACATTACATCTTCCACTCCTGAATAGCGGTGTGTGCAGATTTCTACTTCCCGGCGACTAATCAATGATGGCCACTCGTGTAAGACAGTATGAAAGCTCTTCTAGGCGGACTGCGATTGACGAATACTCAGACTCAAGCTACGAGCGAAGAAGAGAAAATGAAGGCAGTATCGAGTAAATCACGGGTGGGCGATTTCCACTGGGAAGGTAAGACTACTTCTCGTGTCGGTCCAAGTGTATTACTGCTAATTCTGTGCAAAGATGTCCTTGTTCCGGAGAAGGTCGGCACCGGTAACACGAAATGGCAGTACCAACGCCGAACCCTCTCACAATACGGCCTCCTGTTCCTCGCTGGCTTGACCTCATTCTACAAGCTTGAATCACCAGCCCTGCGTGCTGCTGCACTGGGCATGTTGTTCCCGGGGGCAGGCCTTGTAGCTGTTGCTACCATTCCCTCACTCATTGCATTCGTCGTTTCGTGTGCCTTGATCCCTTTCGTGCTCTTTGCTTGGTTCGGTATGGGTGGAATCGTATTTCCCATTATACTGTGGTTAGGCACATCGATTTTGGCAGCTGGTCTCGCCAAGGACGCTCTATTGGAGCTGGCTGCTCCCCTCTGGACACTGATCTGTATCGGCGGCGTCATCTATCTTGCCTATGCCTCGCGGGTTGCCAATCGAGCTGGTCAGAAGAAGAGGGAAGCTCGTAACGCCTACCTCGTCGATGAGGTACGCAACAATCAACTCAAAGCCGTTGCACCCAAGCCAGGCTCCCGTGAGGTTGACGAACGTACGCTTCGATTTGTACAATGGTTCATTGAACTCGGTATGACACCACAGGACGATTTTTCGTACCATGATGTGATTGATCAATTCCAAACTTCGGCCATCCGATATCAGCTATATGAGTCGATCAATGTTTTAGGGTTGTATCAGAGCATTTACTGCCCCAACTTTCATGGCTATCTTTCACAAGCTCAGAGGAATATCATCACCAAATCCATGTCCAAGAAGGTTATCGAGTAAGTCTGACAATCCCATGTCCAAGCTGATATTTCCTATGGTCAGCATTTAATAATATGGTGTTCTTCTCCTATAGATTCTGGAAATGGGAATCTATGGCTGGCAAGTTCAACGCTCACGATTGGGACCCAATTAAGAAGGACAATATCATGGTTACGGGTTACATCTTGCAAGCAATTGGAATATATCAGTCGAACACGCTTGATGATCGTTACACGAAACCTGACAGCATGGTCTTTGAGGTTACTGAGTCGAACAAGTATCGCTACAACCTTCAAGGTGTTGCAGAGGCAGTCCATCGAAACATGGACGAGGCGGCGTATTGCCTCTATCCTTGTGAGCCGAACTGGCTCTACACGCCTTGCAAGTAAGTTTTCCACCGACGATGACCTTACATCTGACTCTTTCGTACATTTTGTCGCAAACATGCCTTTGCCTTCTTCAATTATGCCCATATGACTAAACGTTACAGTCTTGTCGGAATCGGCGGCATCGTTCTCACAGATCGGATCCTGGGCAACGATTACGGCGCCAAGTTGCGCGAGCGCTTCGAACATGCTTTGGAGACCGAGTTCACCGATCCAGATGGCAGTATCTTGCCCATTCGCAGCGAGCTGACTGGCTTTACTGTGCGTCTGACTTACTTCATTTCTGCCTGTAGGCGCTGACTGTCGCTACAGATCCCTGGACTGGCAGGTGCTCTTTCCGACACCGTCAATGCCCTTCTTTGCGCCGCTTACCTGCCTCACATCGCGCATCGGAACTGGGCTTTCACAAAGCGTGAAACCCTCCACTTCAATGAAAAGGGTCAACTTCAGGTTCGCAATCTCATGGGTGCCGACAAGCTCGATCCCGGAAATTACAAAAGTGGCGAAGGTGCCATTCGCTGCACCATTGCTTCGGCTGCGGCTGAGTATGGGGACGATGAGATTCGAGACGAGATGATGAGACAGGTGGATGAGGAGCACTACCCTGTCTATGCTACAAAAACGGGAGCCCTGCGCAATAAAGGGTTGAGCACGCTATATCAAGGCACTACACTCAAGGCGAGGTTGAGTAGTTTTCAGGATTGGACGAAGATGGTGCAGACCGGGCCACCAAAGCACATCTTCCAGGCGCCTATTCTGGACCAAGTCTCGTTTCCCGAGGTGCTCGTTTCGAAGTGCTATAGCCAAGATGGAGCAACTGTCGATTTGGTCTTGTACAATGGTCGCCAGCCAGGAGTGTTCACTTTGGGATTCAAGAATTGTCGGCCGGGCGAGAGGTATACGCTCATGAATAAGCAGGAGACGGTTGCGAAAGATGGCAGCGTCAAATTCGACATACTCATCGACGGACGTACTGCAGGCAGGCTTGAGCCTGTCAATGGGAATTGACGTAGATCAGCTTAGCCGAGACAACAAGCATCTCCTTCGTCCCATAGGCGTATCTGATGTCTTTGGAGCATTGAGAAGTCCTGATAATTCACGCAGTAAAGTGTTGCATGAAACTCACAGCATGATACGCTCAAAGTATCGCGAATAAAGCAAGCATTTCTCAGTTGGTGACTTTGTAAATTTCGTATTCCACAGCTGAGCCTCTCTCATCGACAACAAAGTGGCCTTGTCCATTCCAAACACAATCTTCCACCCACTTGAATTCAGGGTCACTTGTCTCAATGATGGGTTGATTGAACCAGTGGTGATCCCCAACCTGTGTAGTTTTGGCATCGGAGGCCCAACCCAGGACTTTCTGTGCCCCCTCGTCCATCTTGAGGACTCCAATATAGTGGATGTAGAGACTGTGACCATTTGATGCGCGTGCTTGTGTCCGCACATCAATGTGGGCAATGTTGGAGGGTGGATCAAGCTATGCATTAATTGGTCGAAAGTCAGAGACGTAGACTGGCACTGGAGATGGACGGACGATGAGTCTACATACCAGAATCCAATCAGCACCTCCAGGCAAGATCTCAGCATCCAATCCTGATCCCTTGACAAAGCCTGAAACGATGGGTACGATGATCCTCTGAGGTCCCGTCTTGATGGCTTTGAGATCGAGAGTGTTCTCCTTGTTGATGTATCCTCTCATAGTAAACGTCTTCTCGAGCTTGGGCGCCATCTTTGCTGCTGGTTGTGACGCTGAATATTCGCTGGTGAGCTGCCGCCGGAATCTGATGGCAATGCTCGGTCGAAGGAAGATGCACTACTTCTCCAGACCCTGAGAAAGATGATGCGGGGGATTCCATCCTTATGTAAGTACGACAACCGTGCATGAGTCGAAGCTTCCGCTGGAATCAAGCCGAGAGGATCGACTTCGGGAGATATACGCCGACCGCCAACACCGGCAGTACATGTCGGTAAGGCTCTCGCGCTTCAGTATCTCAGGCTTTTGCGGCTATGCAACTTAGCCCCTACGCGCGAAGTCTAGATCAGTGAGCTCGAAAAGCGTTGCTCACGCAGCGATGAGAAGATTGATTAGTCCATGTATTTGGTACATGTTGTTGTCAAGGCTGAGGTTGACCGATGTATAACCGGACATCGGAATCCCCCCGGCGTATGTCTTCCGAGCCACTCTTCAGGGGCCCCAGGTTGTCCAATCACAAATAAATGGTCGAATTGGAGATGGCGAGGTACAAACCTGGGGTGCTTGTCGCGGGTCATGGCTGGAGCACACCCCGTCTGGATGTAGTGTCTCCCGAGGTTCCTGAACACCCCACGAGACCCTCCATTACTTACAAGAGAGACTGACATGGCAACTTGCACGTAGCCTCATAATACTCACCCATGAAAAGCGTAGAACAATAACTTCAGGTTACAGTCCATCTGAAAATGGCGTCGGAGTACCTCAGTGGTATCTTCTCGCTGCAGGGCAAATCCGCCATCTTCACAGGCGCGACAGGCGGTCTCGGGTCAGCTCTTGCCTCAGCATTTGCTCAGGCTGGAGCATCAATCATCTCGATCGAGCTCGCAGATGACCCATTGTCAGCAGACTTGAAGAGTAAAATTGAGGATGTGAAAGGCAAAATCACCCAAGTCCATTGTGACCTCCGAAACCCCAAGAGTCTTCGGGATTGTTATCAGTCGATATGGGAATCTGGAGCAGAACCAGAAATCCTGGTCAACTGTGCTGGAGTCATGAAACGCAATCCGTGTGAAAATGCAACGGACGACGAACTGGATTTGGTGACTTCAAGACTCGCTCTCACTACCTCTCCCTGGTTTGCTAACCCTGGTCTTCACTAGTTACTCGACGTTAACGTCAAGTCGGTATACATATCCACACAAGAGTTTGGTCGCAAGCTTTTGTCGCTTAAACGGCCAGGCAAAGTCATCAACATTGCCTCGGTCACATCCTACCAAGCTGGATTCAACACGAGTGTCTACTCCAGCACCAAAGGCGCCGTTTTGCAGATGACAAAGGCCTTCAGCACGGAGTGGGCAAGTAAAGGCATCCAAGTCAACAGCATTGCGCCAGGGTTCATGAAGACTCCTATGACAAGCCAGTATCAGGACAATCAGAAAATGACTGACTACCTGATGATGAGAGTGCCAGCGGAAAGATGGGGTGAGCCGCAGGATTTAATACCTGCAGCATTATTTCTCGCTGCTCCAGGCAATACCTTTACCACAGGAGCATGCATAATCGTGGATGGCGGGTTCTGTGGGAAGTAGGTCACTTTGTACCTCGTATTAGTATCAAGCCGGTTCGCTTTGGGACAGCCTCGCATTTGAGACATCAAGCCGTCGGTGACCTCACTTCATAAGCATGAACCATCATGCAGATTTATCAGGCTGTAGCAGGGCATTGATCAATAGAAAGATACTTGACTTGTAAGTCCATGCCCAGACCAAGATGAACTTGTGGCATCTTCGTAGGTAGTTGGGTGAGAAGAGAAAGGAACAATGTTTGCACGCACAGCCTTGCACGATACGTGGCGGAAGCTGAGATAAGCTGCCTGGAAAACGTGGGTGTTACTGTATGTTTCCACAGCCCACGCCTTGGAAGCTTTACTACAATTGGTGGACATACTGGAGGTCAGTACGGATAAAGGGGTTAAAAAATAGAAACCCGCCACGAAGAGGCTAAGGGGGCAAAGCTGGATCTGGAGAAATGCAGGGGCCTCCCTAGGCTTAAGGGGTTTGGTTGGCGAGGCGATACACTTTTCCTTAGGGTGTGGCTTTGCCGCGACACTCCAGGCATCAGACGCCTCGCTTGCCTCGTGTTTCCATGCACCTCGCAAAGAGAACAGCTGAACACAGAGACTTGTCCAGCCTGCTTCAATTCACAAGGACAAACAATTAATGCGTCACGGCGATATCCCATCATTCGTCCCAAGTCGATCAACTCGGTCGTTTCTTCATCTATAATACAGCTCTCCTCTTCTCACAATCCCGTGCAACGACTGCGCCGCCCACGAATCCACTCCTGAACTCGGTATGGAGTAAACAGATTACCTGCATCGTCCATCTTCTCACCACAGCCCCCCGCGGCGCCCATCTTACCTACACGACGACTCTATCATTGCGTGGCCTAGGAATAGCAGTATCTGACGAATCCAACATCCTCCTCATCCATTGTTTGCACATTCCATTCCACTCGCTCAACACACAGACCACCATCGCTTGACTGTACTCACTCCTTGCTTCAACTCTCGCCAGCCATGGCCTATAATCGGTTGGGCGCAAATGGTTCGGGACAATCCTTGCACAGCCTTGAAGGCGATTGCTGACGTTTGCGCGCAGGCAGCCCTCACCGAGACGGCCCTCTTTCTCCGATCTCTCACCCTCATTACGACTCGAGATCACCCTCACCTGGACGGCCTCTACAGGAATCGTACCCCAGACAGCCAATGCATCTACAGATGCCTACAGCTTCCAATGACCGTCTGGCTATGCAACCGACCTACTCGGTTGAGAACATAAACAATTCGCAAGGACACAACCAGCAGTATGAACAACAATTTGCCCCTGACGGAGATATGGGTTATGGAAGAAATGACTACGTTGTGTCTCCGGAAGATCATCATGACGCCTACTACACCCGACCTTACTCCCCTCACCCACCGGGCGACTATGCGCTCGATCCATATCCCACCCCAGGCGAACCCTACCGAAATGAAAATGATACCGTGCCGATGATACAGCCAGACTCTGCCTACGGGCCCAATCCGTACGCTGCGCCGGCGTCGGACTACGACGGTTATAATGATGAGCCACGTCCAACCCCGTCGCCCGCACCCATACGAAGATGGAAGACGGTGAAAGAGGTACAATTGTTTGATGGTAATCTTGTGCTGGACTGCCCGGTGCCGCCGAAACTGTTGGCCAGCGTACCGCATGCGCAACCACCTGAGAGAGACGAGTTCACACACATGCGTTATTCGGCAGCGACCTGTGACCCCAAAGATTTCTACAATGAACGATTTACCCTCCGACAGCGGCTCTTTGCAAAGCCAAGACAGACCGAACTTTTCATCGTCGTCACCATGTACAACGAAGACGAATTTCTGTTCGCTCGAACCATGACGGGCGTCTTCAAGAATATCGAGTTCATGTGCAACCGTGGCAGCAGCAAGACTTGGGGCAAGGAAGCCTGGAAGAAGATCGTGGTTTGCATCGTTAGCGATGGGCGTGCTAAGATCAACCCGAGAACAAGGGCTGTCTTAGCAGGTCTCGGAGTATATCAAGATGGTATCGCCAAGCAACAAGTCAATGGGAAAGACGTCACAGCTCATATTTACGAGTACACGACGCAGGTGGGTCTCGAGATCAAGGGCACACAAGTCTCATTGAAGCCTAGATCTGCTACACCTGTGCAGCTACTGTTTTGTCTCAAAGAGAAGAACCAGAAAAAGATCAACTCGCATCGGTGGTTCTTCCAAGCGTTCGGTCGCGTCTTGGATCCCAACATCTGTGTCCTCATCGACGCCGGAACGAAGCCCGGAAAGGATTCAATCTATCAACTGTGGAAAGCTTTCGACTTGGAGCCAATGTGTGGCGGCGCATGTGGTGAAATCAAGGTCATGTTGGATCATGGCAAGAAGCTTTACAATCCCCTGGTCGCGACGCAAAACTTCGAATACAAGATGTCGAATATCTTGGATAAGCCGCTCGAATCAGCCTTTGGCTTCATCTCCGTGCTTCCAGGTGCTTTCTCAGCTTATCGCTATGTCGCTCTACAGAACGACAAGAATGGACACGGCCCATTAGAACGCTACTTCGCGGGAGAGTTTATGCACGCCGAAGCCGGAGTGTTCACGGCCAATATGTACCTCGCCGAAGATCGTATCCTTTGTTTCGAACTGGTCAGCAAGCGCAATTGCCGATGGATCCTACAATACGTCAAATCCGCCACTGGCGAGACTGATGTTCCCGACGGTATTGCCGAGTTTGTGCTACAGAGAAGACGTTGGCTGAACGGTTCCTTTTTTGCCGCGGTGTATGCTGTTGCACACGTTTACCAGCTCTTCCGGAGTGATCATTCTGCCATTCGCAAATTCATGTTCTTAATCGAGTTTACTTATCAGACCATCAACATGGTCTTCGCTTGGTTCGCTATTGGCAACTTCTTCTTGGTCTTTCGACTTCTCACCGCATCATTGGGCGGTTCAGGGCCCCTTGGAACTGCAGGCACAATCCTTGGGGTGGTATTCGAGTTCATTTATTTGGGTACCCTCCTATACTGTTTCATCCTGTCCATGGGCAATCGACCTACGGGCGCAAAGAAGTCCTACTTGATGATGGTCATCTTCTGGTCCATCCTCATGTGTTGGTTGACCTTTGCCTCGATCTTCCTTACTGTCAGATCCATCGAGACCGAGGTCGAAGAAAAGGACTTTAGCATCTCGACCATCTTCAATAATAGCACGTTTTTCGGCCTTATCGTGTCGCTGGCAAGCACATATGTGCTGTGGTTTGTGGCAAGCTTTTTGTTTTTCGACCCTTGGCATATGTTTACATGCTTTATTCAGTACATCGTGCTGACTCCGACCTACATCAATGTCCTCAATATCTATGCCTTTTGCAACACTCACGATATCACTTGGGGAACCAAGGGAGATGACAAAGCTGAGAAACTGCAGAGTGTGAACGTCAAGGCAGATGGAAAGGTCGAGGTCATGATTCCCCAGGATGACGGTGATCTCAATGCCCAGTACGATACAGAACTGAAGGTGTTCTCTCAAAAAGCTGTCAAAGAGGTCAAGCCACCAAATCCGGCCGAAAAGCAAGAAGACTATTACAAATCTTTCCGCAGCAATGTGGTTACTGCGTGGATGATTACCAATTTTATCTTAGTGGCGGCAGTCTTGAACACTGCCGGCTTTGATAGGATCAATGTCAAGGACACCGAGCAGCAAAACTCCACTATCTATCTGGCCGTCATCCTCTGGTCGGTGGCCGGGTTGTCCCTGTTCAGGTTCGTTGGTGCATGTTGGTTCTTGGTCGTAAGAATAGTAAGTCTACCATGCATCTTTCAAGATGACCTTTTACTGACGTATAACAGTTCCGCGGTGTATGATAGTCCTACAAGCAGAATGACTGATGAGTAATGAAAATGCTTTTGCACAAAATGGACGATCCATAGTCCTGGCGTTTTTGAGCTCCGACACAGAATGCTGTATATCGTTGGCAAGAGCGTTTTGAATGGCGTCATACCCTTGTTGATGTAACAAAAAGGTCGTGAGCTAGTTTTGATGATTTGGAAACACTTGGCTCTCGCTTCAGGGCAAAAAGCAGTCTATGTATAAACACAACAATCATCATCATGATTCCTGTTCTCTCCTACGGGCCAAGTTCATCAAGTCTTTGACCATACACATAACCCTATACCGCCGCAGACAAGGATCATCCCTAGTCCAGTATCTCTTGAGATGAGCTTGCCCTCGGCATACCATTCTCCAAGAACCGTGAAGAGGAAAGCCAACGAGTTTGTGATTGGGACTGTAAGAGATAGTTCTGAAGCAATCCGTCAGATTCGACCAATTATAGAGCTCATGCAGATGATATAGCCCTGTCATAATGATCTGCGAGAAACATACCTGCTTGCCCGACCAATAAGAAGAACCAAATACTCCCAGTGAGGTTCAGAAGCAAAGGTACCGCATACCTGGGGCTTCTGAGTAATCCAATGACAGTAAAGAATGCCTTCAAGATCTGTCTGGACACCCAAGACCGGTTGGGGTCGCTGATTGATGGGTGTGATGGTGGAGTGTAGTTGATGGCCGCTTTGCGTATGAAAGGGGTGGTGAAGCCCCAGCAGACGCCGACCAGAAGGAACGACAAGATATAATTGAATGGGGATGGCGTCGAGGGAGTGACGCTTGGGTCGTCACCGGATGCAGCCATCGTAATAACGACGTATAGAGAGAGTGAGGAGCGCAGATCGAGCAAGGATGAGGACCAAGGTCCAAGGTCCAAGGTCCAAGGTGGGTGGTAGCTCTCAGGATCAGAGTCGAAGGAAGGGAAGGCTGGCGCCAAGATCGTGTCGGAACTGCCTAAGCTGTCTCTCTACTCCGCCTGAACTGCACTTGGTGGTTGAATGGTTCAATGATAGGCCTGTGGGGCTACAAGGCTGCCAAAGCTCTGACCTTCCCATCCCCAATCACAGACCACATCTTATTCTTGCATCATGGCTACCAATGGATCTGGATAGATGTTGAAGAAACAATCGGCCATCTGAGACAAAATCCACGTATGAGGCCTACGTTGTCATGATGCCGATCAAGATGATTCGACCACGATTTCAAGATGTCATCTCATTTCCCAGCCTCGCCAGGTGCACAGCCGGGATGGCTGGGCTTCCAATTTTGCTTTTGCAAGAACCCCAAGACCACAGATTCCAGACTCCATGTGCGCACGAAATCTGATCCATCTTCGAGAGCAACATCGTGAGAGTAAAGAGTGCTAACACTGGCCCTACTACTGCCCATTGACAGAAAACATTTGTATCTCGAAACAATGCCCACAATCCTCACCCCTCAAGGTTGGGTCAAGGTCGCAGCTCCCCCTCCTTCTCGACCCAAAAAGCGTGTCAAATATGATCCCGTCCGCGCTCTCAAAGGGCCACTGTCATATCTAAGCTGTCAACCGCTACCACCAAGTCCCAACAAGAAAACGACCGGCAACAGACCGCAATATCCGTACGATTTGGATGTACCACCCGAGAAACTGGAACAGCAGTCGAGAACGCCTCGCCAGAGCAGCAGAGCCGCTTCGGCACCACACCAGGTCCAGGAGATACAGTACATCGACGAAGAAGACTACCTAGAGGAACTAGGACTTCAAGGTCGACTTACCGGATCAGAGTCGTCCAGATCGAGTAGGAGCGTGACGCCGCCGCCGCCAAAATCGCCTTCGAGATCTCAGCGCCATGAGCACGACCACCATCACAGTCCTCAGTCTGCCAGATCATACGCACGGCATCGCCCTGTCGAGGCTGCTCCGCGACCGACGAGTGCGTATCACCCGCAGACGCAAGGAGGTTCTCGCGACTACAACAACTATTCGGCGCCGGGGTCGTTTGAGCGGCCACCGCCACCTTCGAATGCGAGGAATATTTCCTATGCATGGTACAATGCAACCACACCGTTGAATTTGTGATGATAATGGGTCGATCTGGGGACGTCTTGTCATGGGTCGGGAAAGTTTCCGCGCCAGAGAGCGTGTTGTATTGTAGCTACACTTTGAGATTGAATGTATACACATAGGCACTGGGAGATATTTGAGATCAAGTATGGTTTCTTGATTGACGTGTACAAATTCACAATGTACTTCTTGTAACCAGGAGATATCTCCGATGCCAACCTGCTATGTTCCATGCTATCTGCATTATGTCCCAATCTTGTAGAAAACGATGTCCAAACCATCCAAAAATATCCTGTACCATAAGTCCATGTCATCCGAACATGCCCATCCCATATGTCCAATCCAGTATGCAGTCAACACTAGTAAATACACTCAGCAGAATCAGATCCTTCAGTCGTCCTCGACAACAACCACACGCTCTCTTCGCGTTTCCACTCTTCGTGCAGGAGGTCGGACAAACATCCGCTGTTGCCTCGTAATGACAACCTTGGTCTCAGGACGATCACCACCACCAACAAAAGTCATAGGTCGGCCTCCGTACGGATCGATCGGTCTTGGTGGACGCCTGCGACTATCTTCCGACTCGTCATCTTCCTCGTAGTACGCCCGTGAGCGGGCGCGGCGGAAGCAGAAGATGCAGAGGAGAGCTAGGAGGAGGACACCGAAGAAGACGCCAATGACGATGGCACCGACAATACCAGGCGATAGACCTGCTTTGTGATGGGTCACCGCGACCACTTGCCCTGCCGAGTTGGTGTATGTTGCAGGAGCAGTATTCGTTGAGTCGCCGCATAGTCCACAATGCTCGGTTGTTTTGGAGGCCGTTGTTGTTGTCGTTGTACAAGACGTGGTCGAAGTCGTCCAGTAGGGTGTTGTGGTGGTTGTGCACGACGTCGTTGTGCTCCAAGTGCTCGTTGTACAAGGCGTTTCAGTCGTGGTTGTCCATCCGTTTGTCGAAGCGAGAGCCCATGCCGTCGTCGTAGTGGTATCCCAATTGTCTGTTGAGGCGAGCGCCCACGCCGTCGTTGTGGTGGTATCCCAATTGTCAGTCGTCGAAGCCAGCGCCCATACCGTCGTCGTTTCCTCCCCAGGTGATCTGACCTCAAGGTCTGACATTGAATGCTTTCACAGGGTGCAAGGTGATTGTTTGAAGATGGTGAAGAATCCGACAGTGAGGTAGCTTCTAGTTGTGAGAGGGAGACTAAATCAGAACGGTTGCTGGCAGGTCATTAGGTAGATGGGCCAGGCTGAAAAGCCTGCATGACGCTCACCTCCTCCAGCCACGCGAAGATTCCAGCTGCACATCCATGGAACTGGTGACAAAGAGGTCTCCATGAGTATGGAAAATGGTCGGCTGGGTACGAGTATTGCATGCATTAAAATGAGGGGCAGGGCTGGCGCCAGTCAACTAGTTTCAGGCTTACCGAGCCTGTAAAGGTAAACAGATCGGTCGTAGGCAGGAACGGGCGGTAAGCGATCCTTAGCCTCGGAACCCCTGTCGCTCCCGCCTGGCCGGGATCCAGGCCCCACGAACTCAATACTCAGTCGTGTTGTAAATGTTGTCGACCGTCGAAGCCAACAACATGAACATGATTGCACTGATGGTCACCATTTTCGAAGTGTGCTCGAAGATGTTGTCGGACAGAGGCCATGAACATACCCGGTGCATGTGAATGATTGCAGCAACTCGTTTCGTCTTTGCAGCCTTGCGCAGAGCTTCATTGTTTGTTTTCCTCTTCATTTGGAACTTACAGCTTGCATGTCTGCGACAGCTTCCTCTCTACTTCAATTCGTCAATACTGATCATGGGCGTTGATTGTCAGCTTCAGAGATGGAACCATGAGCGGCCTCTAATTTCAAAGGTATATCCATGAAGTTGTGAGTGCCATCCGCACAGAAAGCACGCAAGAACAGAAAGAAGCAAGCAGATCGCCGTGGAATCAGTATGGCGGAATTTCCGCAATATAAGAGAGATGTCAATATATGGCAAGCATGCAGAGACCGAGCGCACGTCAGAAAGATCAGACCATGAAAAGCGCATGTCAACAAAGATCAGTACGAGGATTCCGGCCCGATTCTCCTCTGTCATGCAAAACTCTACGTCTTCCTGGATCGATACTCTTCGGGAGGCGGGCGCCGCAGCAAAAGATGTCATGGTCAAGTTGTTGCATCGACTCGACTGAAAGACAAGCAAGCAAGTTGATGAAGTGGAAGAATGAACAAAGGTGACATAACCGTAGGTCACTGCTTTAATCAGAAGGGCTAGGCCAAAGCTAGAGTTGTAAGTACTGTAGGCTCGGGCTTATCTACGGTACAGTATTCCCCGCTGCCCTCGCCCCGCAGGTAGCCTAAGTGACCCTACCGGGCCCTGACTACAGATCTTCATCAAGTGCAACTCCAAATCTTCTGTTCCCGTTGCCCGCCCAAGATAAGACCGCAGTACATTCCTCAGCAGAGCTGCGGGCATCACACTACGCTTGCGTTCAAGCAAAGCAGTATTTGGATATGGCGCCGTCCAGAATCTCTCCCGATCCGCCGTCGTCACAGACACCACAAGGGCTTACGCCTAAACAGATCGCTGCCTTTCAGCGTGATGGATACCTGATCATACCATCGTACCTCTCCCCGCAAACTTGTCAGACACTCTTGTCCAAGACTTACGAGCTGTTGACCGAGTTCCCTCTGGCCGACCATCCCATGACACGGTTTACGACGGGCACGGATGAGGACGGCAACTCTACCTCCAAAAAACATGTTGGGGACGATTACTTCTTATCGTCTGGTGACAAAGTGCGCTTCTTCTTCGAAGAGGACGCCTTTGATACTCAGACTGGCGAGTTGGACAAGCCAAAGGAGCGGGCGATAAACAAGATTGGACACAATCTACATGGTCTCGTGCCTGAATTTGGCCAAATTTCTCATGCTGGAGAGATTGGAAGACGGAATGCTGCTATCGCAAAAGACCTCGGATACAGAGATCCAAGACTATTACAAAGCATGGTCATATGTAAACAGCCGGAGATCGGAGGCGCGGTACCACCGCATCAGGACAGTACGTTCCTGTACACGAAACAGCCGTCGGCTGTGGGCTTCTGGATCGCACTCGAGGACGCGACGGTCGAAAATGGATGCTTGAGCTTTGCGCCTGGAAGTCATCGAAGAGCACCCATCAAGGAAAGATTCGTCAGGGACTCAGATAACTCAGGAACGACCTTCGTATCTGTATCGGAAGAGAACCAGTGGCCGCGGGGATTTGATCACAAAGAGGGTTCAATCAAACAAGAGGAGTACGTGCTCGGAGAGGTCAAGGCTGGGAGTCTGGTGCTCATCCATGGCAACATTCTGCATAAGAGCGAGAAGAACACGAGCCAGAAGGGGCGGATAATCTATACATTCCACTTGATTGAGGGAGAGGAACATTATGATGATAGGAACTGGTTGCAAATACCGGGCGGGCCTGGAGAGTTTACCAGACTGGATGGAAAGTCGTAGGTCATAGGGCCACGGCAACTCCCGAATCATGAACTATCTGGCAGCCAGATAACTTCAATAGATCTGAGAAGCAAGTATACGCATAAAGCCTATACTGAGTTGTTACCGAATTGGGTATCGAAAGTGCAGAGGTTGGGCAGCACGGCCTTTGCACGCGGCATGAATACGACATGACAAGGTGACGTAGTCAAACTTTGAATGGGACAATTCCTCCAGCCCTCACAATCCCATCCCATCCCCAAATACCATGATTAATGTAATATCTGACAAAACTTCCCTCCTGCCTCCAGGTCTGGAGGATTTCATCTTGTTCTCTACCTAATACCCTAGAACCGTCCCCTTGCGCCCACCATGTCTCGACCAAGCTTACAACACCGCCCGTCCAGCGTCGCAGCCGCCAACAAGACAGTCGTTCTCGTGACCGGTGGAAACACAGGTATAGGCTATGAAATCGTCAAGAAACTGGCGACCGAGAACTCCAATTTCCAGATCTTACTAGGCTGTCGAGACACGCGCAAGGGAGAAGAAGCGGTCGCCAGCATGGGTGCACCCCGAAACGTCAATCCTATTCAACTTGACATCACCGACGACAAATCGATCGAGCAATGCTACCTCGCCATCAACCAGCACTTTGGGAAGCTGGACATCCTCATCAACAATGCCGGCACTGCTGCCCGAGAACTCCCTGAGACAGCCACTCTACGTGAAAAGTACGACCTCACGTTCAACGTCAACGTTACTTCCACAGCTGTCTTGACCGACAAGCTCATCCCCACGCTGGAAAAGGCCAGCCTACCCAAGATCATCTTCATTTCCTCCGGACTCGGCAGCATCCAGCGAACACTGGAGCGAGAGAAACCCCTTCCGGTGCCGTGGTACAACGCCAGCAAAACCGCCATCAACGCAATTACGGCATACTACGCCCAGCTATATCCCAATTTCAAGGTCAATGCTGTATGTCCTGGATACCGAGCAACAGGGTTGAACGGCGCGGAATTGACCGAGGAGATGCATCCCAAGCTCGGCGCCGTGAGAGTGGGACAATTGGTGGCGGAAGGGGAGGACGGTGTGACGGCAACCTATTCGACTTCGGAAGGTCCATTACCCTGGTAGTTGGCGTCGCCTCTATTGTGGTAATAATGACTCTTGCTCTTCGGGATGGGTACTTTCCGTTCGAGACGATTTGGACCTCAACATGGCCACATAACGTGGTACTTGGTAGCTCCAATGACAGAACATCCCCCCAAGAAAGCCTACTGCGTCGTTCTTGAAGCCGACGAGCAATCCTGCTGTCACCAGCATGATTGTCCACCGTTTCTTTCGCTCATCGTCTGTGATGTGAACTGTGTTTGCCGAGTCGTCCCCTTCTTTCGTGAGATCCCTCGCGCGTGGTGTGTTCAGGCTTTCCCCGACACTGGCCAGTTCCAACCCAGCAGCGACGATCATGACCGACAGCAGCGCAAGAGGGAACTTGGTCAGTAGATTGGCAAGACTTTCGCCGAACAAGATGCCGAGGATCAATTTTAGCAGGCCTAGAAATATGATGCTCGCTCCTGACCTTGCGCCGAAGCGATATTGCGCTGCCAACCCTCCAGAGCCGTGACAGACTGGCATGGCTCCAAACCAGCAGCCGAACAGATTCATTGCGGCCACGCTGATTCCAACTGATGTGACTGACGGGGTCTGGATATCTGGGAGCAGGTCGGCCGCGAGATGGGTGACGGCAATGATGGAGTTGAGTGTCGTCAGAGGTAGCTGGCCGACTCCAGCGTCGAAAATGCCCGTCTTCCATTCTTCGCCGGAAGGTACCTGGGTGTAAGGATGCCAAAGCTGAAATCCGGGCAGATGGCGGTGACTGTCCCGCGTGAGGCGGATTATCGCAAAGACAATGCCGATGACGAACAGCATTAACGCGTACGGTGTTCGAGGCCGAAGATTGGTCGCAAATAAAGCAAGGAAGGCCAGAATCATCCATAGATAGTTGTCCGCCCAGGAAGGTGATGTCCAGGACAGAGATGATAGTGCCTTGGTACCGGCAGCTATGATCAGACTGAGGCCTGCTCCAACTTGGATACCCTTGACTACGGGGATCGGAATGACTCGAGTGAACCAAGATAAAAGCCCTGTCACGCTGAAGGCCAAGATGCAGGATGAGACAAAGATGCCTGCAGCAGCAGTCTGGCCGGCCGTGAGAGATTTCAAGATTGCTACCGCTGCAATCGCTTTCATCGGCTGAACTGGCAGAGGAATACCGAAGAAGGCTCCTGTGAGTATATTGTAGAGACCGGTGAATATGAGGGTGGTGGTCAGAGAGATCTGATGTCCTTCAGTCAGAGCTATCACGATGGGCAGGAAGGTGCCCAAGTCGCCTAAAGAGCCTGATATCTCGGTCAACGGCTGGCGGCGGAACGTGGACCAATTGTGAGCGGCAAGTTGCCGCAGAGTTGTGTGCTTCATATTGTATCAATGGTTCGCTACCGATACGCCTTCAATGCAAAGATGGGAAAGAAAGAGAGGATGAAGAGATGCCTGATAGGTAAATGAGTTGAGGTTGACTTAATGTGGTTCATATGATGTCGTTGTCCGCGGATTTGTATCACCCGACGATATCTTGGTGGGGTGAGGCTGCGTGTACCTTGGAGTTTTCCCCTCAAGGTAGCTTAACTGAGGTAGCCATAATTGATGGCTGTCGCTAGTCGGATAGGTGTGGCTGATGAAGAAACAGTACCGGGTACCTAACTAGCTAATGCCTATTGAGCCTAGAGGGACCAGGAAAGCAACACCTGTAAAAAGGCGCCGGCAAAAGCTTGCTTGTTAGAGATCGACGTCACGTAAACACTAGAATGGGTGTGATTGGTGCAAATCTCTTAGTCACTTGCAAAGCAATGCAATCCATTCCAGTCCGCAAGGCATACTGCGTCGCGAACGAAGAGTCATGAGATAGTATCTTTAAGAAGCAGAATAATGCAAGACCTTATGCTCGCTGTTATGAAACAGTCCCTGCTCGCTTGTCATTAATTTCTTGTTGAATCTCACTTGAGTCCCCAGCCATCTGCCAAACGACCACGTAAATTCCTGTGGCTGGCGCCCTGTCCACCCTCGAGTCCGTCAACGCTTGCACTCCACCTTTCATTCTATTTCGATTCCTTTGCACAACAATCAAACAACCCGACAGCCTGCGTTCAATTGTTTGGAAGGTTTCACAGAAAACCGAACCATCCGACGCCTCAAACTTCCACGAACCGAACCCATGGAGTCTTGAGAACTCAACCTTGACTTGAGTACCGCAGGCTCGAATGCCGCAGTCCTAGCCTTCACCCCCGCGTGCGACAGGCATCGACTACAGGATACAACTCAGGCTGTTGAGCCCGTCGCTCCCGACCAACATGGCGACAAAGTCCAGAGGACTGAATGCTGCTCACACAGCCGGCATCTTTGCCGACATGACCCTCGACGGTCCAGACATCGGTACCCTTGTGGCAGTCGTCGACCGAGCCAAAAACCTCCCGAACAGGAAAACAATGGGTAAACAAGATCCGTATTGCGCCATGCGTCTGGGAAAAGAGGCCAAAAAGACAAATACCGACAGAAGAGGTGGACAAACACCGAAATGGTAAGCTATTGCCATGAGATACGCCTGTGAACCTTTACTAACCTGGTTCGTAGGGATCAAGAACTTCGATTCCTCGTCCACGACTCCCCCGACTACTACAAACTCAAATGCTCAATCTTCAACGACGACAAGAAGACCGACATGATTGGTGAAGCCTGGATAGATCTGCGGGAAGTTATCGTTCCTGGAGGAGGACAAAACGACCTGTGGCATCAGTTGAACTTCAAAGGGAAATATGCTGGCGATGTCCGGATCGAGTTGACATACTATGACACAAGACCTCGGCCAGAGGTCTCTGAAAGAATGAAGCAGAGAGAGAAATCCCGCTCCAGTGTCGGTGACCCTACAAGCAACTCCCTAGGGTCGCGACAACTCGGACCCAGGGAGATCAAAAGAAGACCTCTTCCTCCGGGACCAGGCGGCTACTCGGCGCCAGTGTCAGCATCTTATACACCCGAGCGTATTCCTTCAGAGGAATTCCGCGAGTTCTGGGACGATCAGATCCAGATTCCGCCGCGACCACCGAAGCAACGAATGCCGGAAACGCCAGATGATGTGGGTTACGGCCTGCCAACCCATGACCTGCATGATATCTATGATCTCTCACCTCCGCCAGAACTACCCTACGACCGGCGACGTCCCTCGTACGATTCCTATAACCAGCACGGAAGACAATCCTCCCCACATGACAGCTTCCTATATAATGCCCCAGACCCATACGAACAACGACCGCTGCCTCCAACACAAACACAGTCATCCCCAGCATACCTCCCCCAGGTTAAACATGTGAATGAAGCGCAACAGATACCCAGTCCTCATTCGCCCCATGATGCAGTCGACCAGACGCAGTACCAATCCTCACCACCTCCCAGAACAACCCCTCAAGCGACCCCCCCTCGACCGGCACAGACACAGACTTGGCAAGGTCGGACCAGCACGTCGCCAACGAAACACGCAGTATACAGAGATAGTCCTCTCCGGCACTCTATTAGCCAGCATGATATGCTTCCACCAGCACAGAGCATACCCGATGCAAGATTCGACGAGGATGTTCCTCCTCCGCCACCCGCTCATCGCGCTTCCATTCCTCGGGCGCCTATGCCGTCAGCGTCACCTAATCAAAGTCCGTACGGGCTGGTGGCGCCACGCACGCCTGTGAAATACGGCTCTATAGAGGACAGGAGCCCTCTTCAAAGGCTCGAACGAGAATATGATTCGTCTCAGCTATCTTCGCCACCCTCTCAGAATTTACAGCGTCAATCTCCTTCCACGCATTTTCACGAAAACCCCTTGTCCAGTCCGTCCGAATTTGCGCAAAGTGGAGGACAAGCTCTTTATAGCGCTTTTAGCGACAATATGGCACAAGCGACGCCTTCTTCTTCCAGGTTCACCAGGCAATCTTTTGGCCATGCACAAGCCGGAGCCGAGACTGCTCAATGGCCGTATGGAGGCTTACGAGAAGACTCTGGCCCTTCGCCAGGCTATGCGCCACCACGAAGAGCACAAACCTTTGATGACTACGGCTCCAGTGAGAGACAAATACGCAACTCCGACCCAGTGATTGTTCGACCACGAGCCATCAGTCCCAATCCCTCACACAGCATACCGCGCAAATCTGTAACTCCCAGCCCCATCACGCCAGACAGTCAAAGACGTCTCAGTGAGATCCCATATAGTCCAGATTCGTACGACATGCTGAACCCTGGGACGAGTCCTACGGGTGAACTTGGATCTTATGTTACGCCAGAAGCGGCCAAAGAGGCGTCTCGGCAGAGAGAGGTCGACAGACTACGGGAACAGGGTCCAATCATCGGCAACGATGGTAGAGTCATTGATCCCTCCGATCACTTGCCTGCAGACACATGGGCGCCTGAGCCGGAGCGCAAGAACAGGAAGCCAGAACATGTCATCAAGATTCGCACACGGGAAGAGGTTAGAATGAAGCATGGTGGAGGCTCTTCTCCAGTCTCTGCACGACCAAGCTCTATGCCAATCTCGCCCTACCATGCCTCCTCCACCGTGGCAATGTCTTCACCATATCAGGCTTCACCATCTGTAAGCGCAATGCCATCATCGCCGCAGGCAGACCCGGGAAGTGGGAGAAACAGGTTGAGAAAACCCATGCCCAGTCGTCCGTTACCAGTACAACCATACCCTCACGCTCAAACCAGTCCCGCCATAATGACAGCTCCTCAAGACGATATCCGACCAAGTCCATCGAGTCAGCAGCGGTATACCATCGGTTCCCCTGCTGCTAGTGGGCCCCCACAACGCCAACCATTGGCAGAGTACCAATCGCCAGCCGTGGACGATTACATTCCGTATAGGCAAACTTACCAGACGACACCAACCAAGCCACCGATCCACACCCCAGGCTATCCTGCAGATCATGGATATGGTGTCGAAAATTCGCTCGCGCATGAGTTGAGTACAATCGACATTGGCCCGTCGAGAGTGGGCAGGACGGCAGTGCGCCCGGCTCGTGGATATCCCGCGTATTGAGACGGCGTTTTGTGATAGTACATGCATTTTCCGGAGTTGGTGAGGCTGGCGTCTGGGCCCGAAATATGTTGTTATATGATCCATAGAATGGTGCATGCACGTAGCGCACTTGGATGTACATGATTCGCAGGATGCGACAGGGAGGGCGGCCCTCCATGAATATAATACTCGAAAGAGTTCATTCACCATCTTCATCATGTGCTTTTCTGATTCTGATAGGCCCTCTGACATCTTCAAGCCCGTGTTCTGGTGGGATCAATTCTCCTCTCTGAAGGATCTCTACTTCCCCATTGCTACGAGCTTCAAACGCCATCTCGCGCAGTTGAGGCATCAATTCGCGCCAACTGGAGACTCCGAGTTCACCAAGTTCCGTTGCCGACAGAGAGCGAGCGATTTCAGAGGGACACAAGGTCTTGGGATATGCACGATTGTCTACGTGCTGTGTAAAACGTTCCGCGAGGTCGAATTCAGGCATTTTGTCGAGAGGTATAGCCCTTGAAATCGAGGTGTCAGAAGTGTGACGGGATGATATGAGGTTGCCATGATGTATCGGGGATGGAGAAACATGTTGCCGATAAGTGCCAATTTATCACCCGCCTCTCAGGTCATGCCATCTTTTACAGGTTGTTCGCCGTGCCTCACAACATGCTCGAACCGCAGAAGTTCGGTATAGATGTTTAGTCCCGGACAATGGCACTGAGCCTCTGTTCATATCCAATAACCCTCATGTCATGCCTGCAATCTTTTTATCTACAACACAAACTGCCTTGCCTTTGAGACGGCCCGACTCAGACAGCTCAATCATCTTGGGAACCTCTTCCAGACCATAAAACACTTGAGTCTCGGCTGTGACGCCGTGCTTGGAAGCCACCTCTAACATCTCCTGAGTCACGCCGCGGCCCCCCAACATTGTGCCCTTGATTGTGATATCGCGCAGTACAATGTCCATGAAAGGCACGCTGACCTCCTGAGGCTGTGCCGCCTGAACCACTGTGCCATGCATGCGTGTGATTGCAGCAGAGAGAGCCGCGGTGGAAGAGTGGTCGCTCACATTGACAGTGGCCTCTACGCCCTTGCCACCCGTCAGAGCTTGCACTTTTTCCACAATCTTGTCTTTACCCTCGCGTGCGTCCAGCAGATGCTCTGCGCCTGCCTTCTTCGCCACCTCCAACCCTTCTTCTCGAGCCTCTATTGCGATGACGTTGATGCCCTTGGCTTTGGCAAACTGGATACCAAAATGCCCCAGTCCACCTCCAGCCCCAACAAGCGCCATCCACCCGCCTTCTTTGACGCCGCTGACCAGAATGGCTCGGTACACCGTGACCCCAGCACATGCTAGCGGTGCGGCAGTGACAAAACTTACATTGTCAGGGATCTTGCAGCTCGCTCTGGCATCCACGACGTGGTATTCGGCAAAAGCGCCATCGGACTTGATGCCCGTTGCGCCCTCTGCAGCTTGGCAGTACTGAGCCCAATCCTGGCCATCGGATGGGTTGCAATGCTCACACTTCCCACATTGGTGAAAAGGAAGGCCAGAGAGGACACGGTCGCCCAGTTGGTAGTCCTTTACCGCGTCTCCCTTGGCGACCACGACGCCGGTGCCCTCGTGCGACATGGTGAGCGGTAAAGGGCCTGGAAATATGCCAGCATGGACCATGAGGTCGGTATGGCACAAGGATGCCACCGCCGTACGGAGCAGCAGATCGTAAGGTCCCAGCTTGGATACAGAGGGTGTCGGTATCTTGTGGATGGCCAAAGGTTTGTTGTACTAGATTATGCGTCAGCACTGGATCTTACCATGGCATTGAAGGCCTTGTAGGGTCAGTCACTACATACCCTGACGACCTGGACCGCAAGCATTTCGCTTGGGATGTCAAGAGCAGGATCCGCCATCGTAGAGAACCCAGCGAGAGATTGTAGGAGACTTTGGAGTTCTCGGTTTGACGTTCGACCTGCAGCACTCTAATATGTTTGTCTCCGGGGTATCTATATCTATATAGATGACACACTCGAGTCCTCGTTTCGAAGAGCGGAGTAAATTGGGGCTGAGTCGAGTCTGGGGTTTGGTTCAGTACCCTGCAAAGTCCGCAAAACGCGGGCAGTGGGTAGGGAAATGCTCCTGGGACCAGCAAAGAGACAGACTTTGTGACAGGTGCTGCGATGAGCATCAAGGAACATTCATCATGACTGACGAGCTCTACTACAAGGTGCCGGCCATTAACTACCGCCGCTGCAAGTATTGGGGTAAAGCTGCCATGAGTCATGACCGTGGGGCTGTTCCCCAAAAGCGAGTCACTATCGCAGCCTTATCGAAAGACGAGGCTGCGAGACTTGAAATGCTTCCAACTCCTTGATATCGAGGTACAGTGTGCTCTCAAACATCTGGAGACTACTCAGCCTCTTCACACCTCGCAATCGGCTTGTGAAGACCTATCTACATTGATTCCGCCACATCCGGCGGCCCTGATCTCCGAGTGTGAGGGTCTGACTCGAACATGCTTCCTGTTCGACAATAGCAGTGCAGGACATGGATGAGCAAGCTGGTCGCTTGGGACTACCTACCCTGACAGAAAAGCACAAGACCATCGTGTCTACGCTCTCGCAACAAGTCGAGAAGTTTTACGCCTCTGACATCCCATTCCGGATATTCCATGGCAGCACCAATGCTACGCGACCCAGTGTTCGCACCTTGAAGTCCACCATCGATATATCATCGCTCAACAATGTCTTGTCGGTATCCACCTCGAATAGAACATGCCTAGTCGAGCCCAATGTACCCATGGATGCGCTCGTAGCGGCCACTTTGCCTTATGGCCTTGTTCCTCCCGTGGTGCCGGAGTTTCCAGGCATCACTGTTGGAGGTGCCTTTGCAGGGACTGCCGGTGAAAGCAGCAGTTTCAAGTACGGTTTCTTTGATCGCGCCGTCAATTTTATCGAGGTCATCCTCGCGGATGGACAGGTGGTGGTCGCTTCCAAGGCTCAAAACCAAGACCTATTCAACGGCATGGCGGGCACTTTTGGTACATTGGGCGTGACGACCTTGTTTGAGATATGGCTCATTCCTGCAGGAGATTTCGTCCAGCTTTCGTATATCCCGGTGTCTGGCATTGAGAAAGCTCAAGACATCATGCAGGAAATTGCAGACGACCAGGAGGTGGGTTTCTTGGACGGTATCATGTTCTATCCTCAGAATGGGGTCGTCATGGCCGGGAAGATGGTCAATCGCAACGAGGCGGACTCCGAGCTCGCCATCAGTACGTTCACGAAGCCTTGGGACCCATGGTTCTATCTTCACGCCGAGCAATCGACCCTCAAACATGCCGAAATGGTCACTAAACTTAGTCAAGCACAAAACAACAAGGTACAGGCCACTACCTACCAAGACTTGGTGCCGTTGACAGACTATCTGTTCCGCTACGACCGTGGAGCATTCTGGACCGGTCGATACGCGTACTCATATTTCCTGATGCCATTCAACCGCCTCACTCGCTGGCTCCTCGATTCATTTATGCACACACGGGTCATGTACCACGCCCTGCACCGCTCAGGTCTAATGCAACGCTTCATCATACAGGACATGGCCGTGCCGAACAAGAACATACCGGAGTTCTCAGCCTGGCTTGACTCGGAGCTGCCGCATATCTACCCGCGCTGGCTGTGCCCACTGAAGACGAATGAAAACGTAAGTATGCATCCTCATCTTGCGCCGGCCGCCCGGTCTACGGACGATGTCTTGTTGAATATCGGTGTGTGGGGTCCGACGCCGCGGGACATGCTTCAAGTGGCAGTCAACCGCAAGATTGAACAAAAGTTGAAGTCCTTGCATGGTATGAAGTGGTTGTACGCGCAAACGTTCTACACGGAAGACGAGTTCTGGCAGATCTACGATCGTAATTGGTATGAGGCGCTAAGGAAGAGATATGGTGCCGAGAAGCTACCGAGTGTGTATGAGAAGGTGAAGACCAAGTTTGACGTCGATGCAGACAAAGGTGACGTGCGACTCGGCATTGAGAAGGGATTTTGGAGCCTATGGCCGTTCGCTGGCTTGTATGGAGTGTTGAGTGTCCTCAGAGGGGGTGATTACCTTAGAAAGAATTGATTGTGTGTTACCAAGGGATCAAAGGACTGTCGCCTGGACGCGACCATGTTGTATCTTCTGTCATATCACAGATCATATAGACATTCTCCTGCTGCCTTCGGAACAATCGATGGTCGGCATCATGGAAACCCCCAAAAAAAAACATTGTGGTGTTATTGAAGTGCCTAAAGGAGTTTCGCTACGACTGCTACAGTAGGTTACTGTAATTAGCGCGCTAATGCACGCGGCCACTTTAAGACGCGTTACATCTCGCGAACTACTTAGCGTGTCGCCGCATCTCAAGTAACCAAATCATCGTCACTCATGCACTCTCCCAATACCAGCAGCTAAACATGGCGTCTAGACCAGAGCTCAAGGTATGTTGATATGCCAGCAACAATGTTGCAATACTGATCAAGTCGTAGGTCGACGACGAGGGTGGCTTCATCCGCACTTTTCGGTCCCTGCCCTCCAAACCCGATGGCGACAACACGATCCGGGTCTTTGACCGTACAGATTGGTACTCTGCACACGGTGAAGATGCCGAGTTCATTGCAAGGACTGTCTACAAAACCACTGCGGTTATCAGGAACCTCGGTCGCACCGAAAATGCCCTTCCTAGCGTTACGATGACGACCACTGTATTCCGAAACCTCCTCCGTGAAGCACTCTTCAAGCTCGGCAAAAGAGTAGAGATATGGGAGGCAAGCGGCAAGGGCCAATGGAAGTTAGTTCGACAAGCCAGTCCCGGCAATCTACAAGCTGTTGAGGAAGAGCTGGGTTCTGGTCTGGACAGTCAAGGCGACAGTGCCCCCATCATCCTAGCCGTGAAGATCAGCGCGAAAGCAGGCGAGGCGAGGAGCGTGGGTGTCTGCTTCGCAGATGCTAGCGTCAGAGAGCTGGGTGTCAGCGAGTTCCTCGACAATGACCTATACTCCAATTTCGAAAGTCTTCTAATCCAATTGGGCGTAAAGGAATGCATCGTGGCAACCGACGGACAGAAGAAGGATCCCGAATTCAGCAAGATACGACAGATCGCCGACTCATGCGGCATCGCCATTTCGGAAAGGCCTGCCGCCGACTATGCCACAAAGGACATCGAGCAAGACCTAGCCCGACTGCTCAAAGGAGAGAATGCAATGGGTCTTCTACCGCAGACCGACCTTACGTTGGCTATGGGTAGTGCAGCTGCATTGATCAAGTACCTGGGCGTGCTGACAGACCCGAGTAATTTCGGTCAATACAGGCTCTACCAGCATGACCTGACTCAATTCATGAAGTTGGACGCTGCAGCACTGAGGGCCCTCAATCTGATGCCCGGACCAAGGGATGGTGCAAAGAGTATGAGCCTGTTCGGCCTTCTCAATCACTGCAAGACCCCAATCGGTGGTCGTCTCTTGGCACAATGGCTGAAACAGCCACTGATGAATCTCTCCGAGATTGAAAGAAGACAACAACTGGTGGAAGCCTTTGTCACGGACACAGAACTTCGACAGACGATGCAAGAAGAACATCTCCGCTCCATCCCTGACCTGTATCGTCTTGCGAAGAAATTCCAACGCAAGCTAGCGAACCTGGAAGACGTGGTGCGCGCATATCAGGTTGTCATACGGCTACCCGGGTTCATTGAAGCTTTGGAGGCCGTTGTCGACGAGCAATACCAGGTACCACTCGAAGCGCAGTACACATCAAAACTAAAAGAACTTTCCAATTTCCTAGGCAAACTGGCCGAGATGGTCGAGACAACAGTCGATCTGGATGCGCTCGATCGCCACGAGTTTATCATCAAACCGGAATTTGACGACAAATTGCGGATAATCCGGACGAAACTGGATAAAATCAAGGATGGGATGGAGGTGGAACACCGCCGTGCCGGCAAAGACCTCAACCAAGACATTGATAAAAAGCTATTCCTCGAAAACCACAGAGTTCACGGCTACTGCTTCAGGCTCACCCGCAATGAGTCCAGCTGCATCAGGAACAAGAGCACGTACAAAGAGATTTCCACGCAGAAGAATGGAGTATATTTCACCACGAACAAGCTGCAAGAGCTACGGCGAGAGCACGACCAGCTCTCGACTGCTTACAACCGCACACAGTCATCATTAGTGTCCGAGGTCGTTTCAGTGGCATCTTCATACGTCCCAGTCATCGAACAACTGGCCGCCATCATTGCTCATATGGACGTCATTGTGAGTTTGGCTCATGTCTCTGTACATGCACCGACCGCTTATGTCCGGCCGAAGATGCATGAGCGTGGTACGGGAGACACAATCTTGCGTGAAGCACGGCATCCTTGCATGGAAGCGCAGGACGATATCAATTTCATCACCAATGATGTCGAACTAAAACGAGATGAGTCGAGGTTTCTCATCATAACTGGCCCGAACATGGGCGGCAAGTCCACGTACATTCGCACCATTGGATGCATTGCTCTGATGGCTCAGATTGGGTGCTTCGTGCCGTGTAGCGAGGCCGAGTTGACCATTTTCGATTGCGTACTCGCTCGTGTGGGAGCCTCAGATTCACAGCTCAAGGGTGTTTCTACTTTTATGGCCGAAATGCTGGAAACGGCCAACATCCTGAAAAGTGCCACCAGGGACTCTCTCATCATCATTGACGAGCTCGGTCGCGGTACGAGCACGTACGATGGTTTTGGCCTCGCCTGGGCTATCAGCGAGGAGATTGTGGCGCAGATTGGTGCATTTGGCTGTTTTGCCACACACTTCCACGAACTTACCGCTTTGGCGGACAAATACCCCAGTGCCGTCAAGAATCTGCACGTCGTCGCTTTCGTTGGCGAAGAAGCAGATAGTAGCAGTGGCGCTGACGGTGCATCGACCAAGCGGAGAGAGGTCACGTTACTGTACAGAGTTGAGCCGGGTATCAGCGACCAGAGCTTCGGTATCCATGTTGCCGAGTTGGTGAGATTTCCGGAGAAGGTGACCAATATGGCACGTCGGAAGGCTGAAGAGTTGGAAGATTTCACGGCCGTGAAGGGTGACCAAAAGAAGAACGACTACTCGAAAGAGGACGCCGAGGAAGGAAGCAAGCTACTGAAAGAAATGCTGAAGAACTGGAAAGAGCAGGTCGAGGGTCAAGACTTGAGCAAAGACGACAAGCTCAAACTCATGAGGGATATGGTCAAGGGTGACGGGCGATTGATGGCAAATCCATTTTTCCAGTCTGTCAAGGCATTGTGAGAAATCGATGTGCGTGGAATGGGCTGGTCTTTAAGCATGGCGTCGGGTGTCAAATGTCTGTGCTGGACAAAGAATGAGCACTGTCACCGTGGCACGAAATGTCAGAAAAGGTGTTGGTACCATGATTGATTCTTTTTGTCTTCCTCAAGACCCCCTAACAGTGGTGGTGTTGGCCATATTGATTTTCAACCATGCTGCTGACCTGACCTGTTCAAATGCAACATACAATACTCCGGGTTATGCCTGGCCTGGCCTGAAAAGGATCAACCTCCCCTGGCTGGTGTCAAGGTGCGTCTACCTTAGTTCTTGGTGTTACTCGGTACATCATTCTCTCCACCGAATTCCTCCGCCCTTCGTTTAGCGATGTGTTCGGGTCCCTCGCCCGGCTCGCCTTGGTCAAAGTCTCCGGCTTTTGTCAGTCTTCCTGTGCCCTTCTGGATGTCGCCGCCTTCTTCGACGGGGATGTCACGGTTGTTTCCTGCTCCGGACACGTGGCTGCCGTACTCGGCTGTGCTGCCGGGGAACTTGTTGGTGACCGAGGTATCAATGCCTGACTCGGTTGCTTTGGATGATTGTCAGTCTCTGAAGGTAGGGCACGTATCCACGAAGGGAAAAGGACGACATACTGCTATCACTGCCACCCTTGACGGTCTTTCCGCCAAAGCCACTGTCTTGTGCGCCCTGGGCGGCCTTGGGGTCGTTAAGGTCTCGCTCTGCCTGTTTGGCGATGTCCATCAGGTCTTGACCTTTATATTCTGCAGACATGGTGGTGACGGTGATTAGATGCGGTTGTGATATGTTGTAGGGGTCGCTGTGCTTAGAGTGTAACCGATCGCGTGCTCTGAAGAATTTTTAAGCCAGGAACAAATTGATTGAGAAATAGCATCTGGACATTTTGTACTCTTTTGCCCTTGATGAATGGATGCATGGCATGCATTTCATCATTAACGTCATAATCTTCTCTCATGCACACTTTGACATCACGGATGCTGCATCTGGTTTAGTGTATCTTGTCAGGCACGACGAGGCTGAGATTCCATCATTTCTCCTTAAAAGTGAGCATTCCACTTGCATATCATGCTATGGTCTGATACTTTGTTTGTACGAGCGTCGGAGGTGGAAAGGTCTATATGATCTGAACAAAAGGCTCGTTGGAACGATGAATGGAGCATCTACCCTCTCTTCACAACTTCGTTGACACTTCTGGTCACAACCCAAGTATCTTCTTGGAAGTTTCCTCGGTAAGGACCAGCCCAGCAATGATGGCGCTGGAAAGAGTGGAGATGATTCCCACTGTGAGGGCACTCATGGCCACCTTACTGATATCCGCTACTCGACGACCCGACAATTGTGAGAGAACGCCGATTTGAATGCCCAGCGAGCCCAAATTTCCAAATCCACACAAAGCAAATGTCACAATCAGGCGAGAACGCACTGAGAGGTCGGCATACTCTGCGGAGCTTTGGAGATACGAGTAGGCAACATACTCATTCTTTCCTGAATGTCAGACTCCTCACTTTCAGACCGGAATGCTAGAACAGGAAACGGGGCTTACCGCGACGACTTTGATTCCAATCAACCGACTGACTTTCAGAAGATCCCCGTCCCGCGAGACTCCAAGGAAGAAAGCCACCGGGTAGAAGACATATCCGAGAATTGTTTCCAACGTGAGACTGTGAATGCCGAAATAGTGTCCCCACCACGTCAAGAGACCGTTGATTAGACCGAGAAGAGAAATGATGCAGAGCAGGTTTGCACCAATGATTCCAGCAATCTTGATGCCGAGCCAGGCGCCGTCGGCAAAGGCGTGAAGTGCGTTGATGGGCCTGTCCTCTTGCTGTTCGGGCCAAGTGAAGGCCTTTGACGTGATTGTTTCCTCTGTCTCAGGGAATCGGAGCTTCGAAATCGCAATCGAAGCGGGGATCGACATGACACAAGAGCAAATGAGCGGCTGGGGAGCGACTCCCAGTCCGATGTACCCTGCAAGTCCGCTGCCGGAGACCGTGGCAAATCCGGAACACATAATCTGATGCAGCTCCGCCCGCGTCAGATACGGAACGAATGGTTTGATCAGGACGGCGGATTCTCCTTGGCCGAGGAAGGGCGTCGCTGCCACCACCGCGGCTTCCGCACCCGAGACCTGGAGGAGCCAGAAAAAGAATTGTCCAATATGGCGGATCGCCCATTGTAGAATGCCCCAGTACATAACCTAAAGTTGGTAACTCTGGTCAGCCTATCACATATCCAGGCGAAGGACAAGAAAGACAGTCTTGAAATGAAGAGTTGCAAGGACGTACCAGCTGGACCACTGCAACGAAAAACACAATTGCGGGCAGGACTCCAACGAGGTAGAAGTAACCTCCTGAGCCCGCCACGAAGTCGTCGGACGTCAAGAACGCCATGCCGTCCACTTTCGCATAGTTGAGGAACGATCGCGCGAGGTTCGAGACGAAATGGAAGATGGAATAGCCAACGCTTGTCCGGAGAACAAACAGCGCGATAACGCACTGTGCCAGGATGCCCACGATGACCGTGTACCAGACAATCTTCTTGCGATGAAGCGAAGTCAACCAGAGCGCTCCCACGCAAAGGCCCAGGCCTACGAGACTCAGCAACCGATCAACTCTTTCGTGGTCGGTGACGTCGCTGGGAGCGAAGGAAACGACGACAAGGACCGCGACGGTCAAGAGACCTCCGAGGGGAGCCTTGAGAGCATCTGGAATCAGTTTGTCGACCGCGGCAGCACATGGATTCCACGCTTTTCGAACCGGCACGAGTATCAGCCGAGCTGGAACGTAGAATGTGATGAGGCGCAGGGCCATGGCAAGCCATATCAGAGTCGGAATGACCCAACCCAGCTGTCGATAGCGAACCAAGCCCACCACCCACCATCTGCAGGGGTGATCAGTATCTCTGCTGCAGTTGTTATCAGGGAATAATGGAGGAGACTCACGCGGTGAAGAGTGCGAAGACCGTCGTATACAGAAGCTTGCCCCGCATAGCATACAAGCGCGAGGATTTTATGCCACCCGCAGAAACTTGATCAATCGTTCCAACATCTGCCGACACTTCTTGCTTTGGTGTGCCTGACAGGAAGGCTTCCTTTCGTTCTTCTGAATATCGCATAGGCGTCTTATCCACAGCCGCCATGCTTTCGACTTCATTTTTCTCGGTCGATGCAGGTTGACCTGCGACGTTGGAAGGGACCATGACAGCGGTGGGGGAAAGATTGACGTGCAAGGAACACAACGACGATTTGTATGTGATCACATTGAGACTGATAGACGAAGGAGTGGCCGGGGTGTCGTTTATATCGTTTTGCTGTCGGCGGACGTTACCTGTATCCACCTCTTCTGGATTCTTCAGAGCTCGCTCGGTTCCGACCGAGCCAATCGGACGCAGTCCATGACTATCAATGGATTGGTACCGGCCTGCAAGACTCCTTTGGGCACAAAACACAGGCGACACTGTTACAGCCTCTTCGACCTCTTCTCTCCTTCAGTCCTTTGCAATAAGCGCACTCTCCGACTTTGAATATTTCAGACAAAGAGCCAGTCCGAGACGGAAAGCTAGGTTGAGCGACACGGAATATGGGCCGAAAGAAGATCATCATCGACACCGACCCCGGCATAGACGATGTGTTAGCAATCTTGCTTGCCCTCTCCATGCCCGCGGAAGTTGAGGTTGTGCTTCTGTCTGTCACCTTTGGCAATACGGATGTGGACAAGTAAGATCAAACAAAAATCTCTGCCTCTCCCCCTATCTCTTCATTGGACGCTCACTGTTGTTGTTTTAGATCTCTACGCAACTTACTGTCACTCCTGCATGTGCTGCAGAAAGAATCCGAGTGGCGGCAGCGGCAGGACCGAAAGAGGAATGTAGAACTCTGGGGGCCAAATGGCAGGAAGCCGATTGTGGCCGTCGGAGCCGCTACTTCACTGGCAGGACAAGCCCACGATTGCGATTGCTTCCATGGGATCGATGGTCTTGGTGGCATACATGAGAAGGTACTTGATCTGACAAGCTTACCGAACAAACTTGCTAAGCCGGGATGGGAGCAGATGCCAGAGTATTCGCCTCCACAGGAATGGTGCAGACTGTTCTCCGATGACGGCACGGATGCGGACAAGGATTCGAAATCGGCTCTGCCATTCGAGGCATCTTCCGTGGACGCTGCGGCAGAAATGCTCAGGATCCTTCAAGAACATCCACCAGACACCATCACCATCGTGGCCCTGGGGCCTTTGACGAACTGTGCCTTGGCCGCTTCAAGAGATCCGGCGACGTTTTTGCGCTGCAAAGAACTCGTCGTGATGGGAGGTGCAGTCCATGTTCCCGGTAACACCACCCCCTTCGCTGAGGCCAACATATATGCCGATGCGCATGCTGCCGCTCTTGTTTTCTCCTTGACGTCTCCAGATCCTTCTTTGACAATGCCTTTGTCATTTGGGCCTGCATCATTCACGGGTCCGGGAAAGAGTGTCGCACATGGCCAAGCCAAAAGACGTCTGAATCTTACACTCTTCCCACTAGATATCACCACGACACATCTGATGCACAAAGAAGACTACGATCAGGCCATGGCAAACGACCTCGAGGACGGCTCTCCACTGGCGAGATGGCTTTCAATGTGCGTGTCGGCGCTGTTTGACAAAGTGGCTAGCCAGAGACGTGCTACCGGAGGTCAGTGTGGATCCAGCACGAATACTGCTGTACAACTCCACGACCCGCTATGCATGTGGTATGCCATGACTTCAGACGCCCTGGAATGGAAGACAGCCATTGATTGTGGGTGGGAAGACATTCGTGTCGAGGTAATCGGTGAGTGGACAAAAGGACAGACGGTCATTGATGGTCGGATGATGGTCAAACACAGCCAACAAAGCCTTGGATTAGAGGCCGGAGAGAGCTCGAGAAACAAAAGGTCATGGTTGATAGAAGGACAAGGCAACAAGGTCAAAAGGATCGTTGGCTCCCCCGGAGCATCTACCTTTGGACAATATCTTCTTGAGGCCATTGTGGGATAGATAGCCCATGTTGTGGACTGGTAACTCCTGATCTCAGTCTAACCCGAAATAGAACTCTTCGAACGGCTCAACAAGACTAGGGTAATTTTCTCCAAGGTCAAAGTGAAGGTAGTCATGGTCCTCCCAATTGAATCCTTGATCTTGATCTTGATCTTGCTCCTGTGTCGTGCTCAGATCCAAAGGACGAAGAATCCCATCCTGGGATTCATCGCCAGCAAAGCCTGAGGGAGGTCTGGAATGACCTGGGGAGACATGACCATCATTATTCACGGGTATTACAGCGTGATGTTGTTTCTTCAGGTCGTCTTCATCGCCGGATTTCGTGAAGGCCATCTCATGGTAATCCGAGAACAAGGCTGGAGACGCCGGAAATTCGCTAGAGTCGGGGAAGCGCATCTCCAATGTATTGCGACTCATGGTACCTAGAATTTCTGAACAGTGCTCTGCAGGCGGGCTGGGATCGTTAGTTACAGAAACCTGTGCCGTTGAAAACACGGGGAAAAGGTAAAGCTTGAGTGAACAACGAGGCCGCTTTTCAAGAATCACTCACCAGAGGTGTGTGAGGGTATCCAAAACCGAACACGCTCCCAACATGAGAAAATCCAGCTCTTCGACACTCTGTAGTTCTCGTCAGCGGTGCCCGTCTTCTGGACCTTGAATTTGTCGGAACCCACCGTTGTCCGGCGAATGGCCGGCGAATGCCAGAAAGAGTACAACAACACAATAGCTGTTTCGGCTTATCAGTGGGATCTCGGCGTCCTCCGTTCTTTTGTTACTTACCAGAGAGAAAGAGGTGATGAGTGGCGAGATAAGGATAACTCAAAAGTCGACGGCGCTGTAACCGCCTGTAGAGACGTAAGATGTGTTGGCCGGCATCTGCCAGAGTCAGGAATACGGCTTCCTCATCCTGTTGACCGGCGTGTCCTTGACCGCGGCATATGATTTTGTGTGTGGTGCCGAGCTTCTGTTTGAGCATGTTCGGCAATTCCATGGAAGGCCTAAACAGCATCATGATAGCTTGCCAGTAATTCATGTCAAAAAACTCTGTCGCGCTTTCTACACCCGTGTCCTGTGCCATCGGAGCAGATGCTCTCCAATCTTGAAGTTTCTGGGCCATGGTGGACCGCCACTCTTCATAGGTGCTGGCAGAGAGCAAGAATGAAGATATGGGCGGCCTAGGTGGTGCTGAGCTCTCATTGGGATCGTTTCGATCGAAAGCGTTTCTGATTTCTCGATTCTGCACGACTTGCAAGATTTCGGATTGTAGACGACGGTATTCGAAATAGTGCTGTGCGACCAGTCTTGATCCCACTCTGAATGCCGGTCTTTGCGTGACGGTTCCTGATATGCCACTACTAGCCAGAAGAGATGGAAACCGAGTGTTTATCACCTCGTCCGCGATACTGAAGGGCCGTTCCGTGCAAGTACATATCATCCGATCAAGCGAATAGACACACCACCAGAGCCTTCTTTTCAAATTCGTGATGGACTCGGAAGAATAAGGGATAGAACTTGACCGGCCATGGGACACTTCTGCATCTTCGCGATAAAGTCCCAGGTCCACTGCGAGCCGAACTGCAATGCTGACGGTATACCATATACCGGAAGCAATCGGCATCATCAGTGCAAGTGCACAAATCAGCAAGACTGCTCGCAGCTCCATTAATGGCACCAAATTATCACAGCGCGACGTTGAGGCACTCAAGTAAAACTCAAGATGATTGACTGCGGCGTTGTAGTAATTTTCTGGACCCTCGGCACCTTCTCCAGATGAGTTATGGTCACTCGTATGCAAGCGGGATGTCGGATTGCAGAGCTGGCTGGAGATTTGCAACCGCTTTCCCATTGCTAGGACGATGTTCAGGACGAAGAGGTCGCCTGGAGCATGCGCCACGGTACCACCGGCAAATATACGGTCAAACAGTTCCATGAATTCTGTCTGGTCCAGGATTGGGAACTGACAGTTTGACCTTTGGAAGTATGGCTCGACCAGTTCGTGCGCAACAGTGCGATCGGGTAATTGAGCAGGCCGGACGCCTGGAATAGCTCTCGCGAATGATGGCAGTCTTACACTTGAACTACCCCCTCCAGCGGGGACCGAATAGATATGTGGTGACTCGGTCGTAAAAGCAGTTTCGGACACAGCATGAGCGGCTTCTTGAGGAGACTGCAAACGGGCACGCTTTGATGAATGGCGGTCGTCAGCACTAGGAGAGCCCTCTCTTCTTTGGGACCCATGCTTTCGCGTCTTGTCAATTGCTGGAGTGAAAGTGTTATTGGTTGGTAAATTGCCCGTCACTGGACCTGCTGGCGCAGGTGCTGGGTCACGGCTAACTCGCCCGATATCCACGCGAGCATGAGTATCAGGTGAATCTTGTGAAGCGCCAGTCCGTAAGTGGTTTTCTAGGTCCTGGACTCGGTTTTCTAGGTGAACAATATAGCTGAGACAAGTCATTAAGGGTTTCGAGGGTGTGGCTGTTAGCATTATAGTCACCTTCTCGGAACATTCCGTCCTGCAATGGAGTCATATCCAACACAGTCGTCTCCCACTTTGGTGCAATTCGTACATGCGGGCAGCTGCTGATCACATCGAATCTTTTTCAGTTTGCACCTGTTGCAGGCTCCCAGCTGCCGAGCTGGGCTTTGATGAGCCTTGCCCGCGTCATCCCCGGCCGTTGAATTCACTCGCATGGCTCCAGTATCTCGGTGCTAAACGACAATGGACATGTGTTTCTGGGTTACTTGCGGCCTTGACCACGGATGCGATCGCCGAAAGGCGTCCTTGGAGTGTCTCATCATGCACAAGCTGGAATTTGAAGGGAGCGAAGTGGCCTGGACTGATGATACAGTAGGAGCTTTCGAGGTGTGAGAGAGATATAACGGCGTAGGCGTGATAAGTAGATGTCCACAGCATCGGCAGGAGCCGACAGCGACGAGTACTTAAAGCGGCTGGCTGAGCTGTCGCTCTTTCTGTAAGCGGCGGGATGCTTACCACAAAGTTCTCGCTCTGCTACTCGTAGATGGATGTGAGAGAGTAGAGTCTTCGAGGTTCGTGCCCGGAGATATCATCTGTCTCACAAGGCTGGGTCAGGGCCGGAGGATAAAGGGTGAAGAAGTTACAGGGCGGCATCAGTTTTGACCCCTAATCGAGGGAAGCCGCTGCGCCGCGTATTCAGCTTTCCCACATCCTTTTCGCGTCTCGTCTGTTAGATCCACCCTGCCATCCGGTCTTCGTGTTCTTTGGTTTCTGACCGAGACGCAGTCAACATCGATCTAGGCTCTTCACCGCACTAATTCGCCAAATCCTTACTACCTGGTAGCTCATTCATTCAGATTACAATTGCAGATATTCGATCATGTACCATTAGGTGAACTCCACCTATTAAGGCTGATCACCACCGAGTCCACCTCATCGGGATCTTCGAAAACCCAGGCACGAGACACCTGCAGCATCACACTTAGCTCCTACAACCTCCACTCTTGACACTGTCCCAACAAGTTGATGGCCTCCCAAGGAGGCCTCACGCGACGGCGTGGAGCAGGAGGAGTATCCTCACCCAACGGAGATGAAGAGTCCTCAAGTCGTGTCGGTTCTCCTGTCCCTAAGAACTTCAACGACCGCTCCCCCGAAACCGCCTACGAAAACAGCGAGAATGGTCACAAAATCGCCTACGACCCTAGAGACATCAGCGAAAATGCGGAGCGCAGCAAGCAACCTAAATTGACGCTGATGGAGGAGGTGCTATTACTGGGGCTGAAAGATAAGCAGGTTGGTGTTTTCGGGACCAGGCTGGCGAAGCAGATGTACTGACGGCCGCTCAGGGATATCTATCGTTCTGGAACGACAACATATCATATGCCCTACGTGGTTGCATAGTGATCGAGCTCGCCTTCAGGGGTCGCATCAGCATGCAGGCAGATTCCGCCCGAAGACGGTTCCCCTTGGCCGACAGAATCATCGAAGTAACCGACGACACCTTGACAGGAGAAGTTTTGTTAGATGAAGCTCTTAAGATGATGAAATCGAGCGAAAAGATGAGCGTCAGTTCCTGGATTGATCTGATGAGTGGTAAGAATGAGCAACTCCCCTTCCAAACCCCTTATAAGAAACTGATCGCGGACACTAGGCGAGACGTGGAACCTCATGAAGATCGGTTATCAGTTAAAACAAGTCCGAGAAAGACTCGCAAAAGGACTGGTGGACAAAGGCATCCTGCGCACCGAGAAGCGCAACTTCCTGCTCTTCGACATGGCTACACATCCGGTGGTCGACTCCGGCGCGAAGGACGAGATACGAAAACGCGTACGGAACGTATGCTCGAATCGCACTGTCGTCCTCCCTCCGTCACAATTTCTTCCTGCAGAGCTGGATTTCAGAATGCTGCGGACCATCAGTATGATCTGTGCTGCTTATGCGGCTAACGTCCTTGAAAATGCTTTGGTGACAATGAGCCACGAAGCAAGAGAAAGAGCTTTTGCACATGTCGATGAACTCCTTGCTGAGTATAGCCAATGGCCGTTCGCACGGAGGGCTGGTGGTGGCCAAGGCATAGGAGCAAACATTGGGCAGGTCATCGGTGATGAGGTGGAGCAGAACAAGGATAAGGAGTTACAACTTGAGGTGAGTCATTGCAGCTGAAACATCAGAGGGCATCGTCAACTAACAATGTGTGCTAGGTGGTCGCTGCATGCTTGAGCGTGTTCACGAGGCTGGACTCTCTGCTATAGGGACTGCTTATTCGGCCTTGGACCGTCGGACACCACAATTTGCCCGTAATGAAAGGCAAGAAAAAGGATGCTAGTCTGGAAAATGAGGTTACCCACCGCTTTAGGCCGGTCGAGGCACGCAGCGACCTAGGCGTACACATTTCGACCACTTTGTCTGACATCCCGGACCCTTTGTTCATGGCCACCTGAGCCATTTCGAAATGAGATAATTCTGTCCGTATTCACAGATTCTCCATCTAAGCGATGTTCTGCATTACTTAGTGTCACTTCCTGTATATTTGCATGATATGATTGTGGCACAGAGGAAGCATGATTTCCATTCAATTCCAGCGCCGAGACGAATGCTGCTAGTCCCTAGAACCTCTATAATATACACTCGAAGGAGAATGTCAACCCCCATTTTTAAGCATTGGCGCTTGCACGATCAGGTTCTTGCACCTCCAACGAAGCAATTTCTTCAATGTCCTGGATCGTCTTTTCAACCTCTCTTGTACTGTACGTTGCCTCGCCGCGCATGGCTGCAAGCTTTCTCAACCTCTGTCCTTCCCTACCAGCCTGGCCGAGTACTCCTCCGATCAAGGCAACAGATCGTAAAGAGTCGTCGTTGGCTGGGATAGGGTACGTCACCCATGTCGGATTTGCATCTGTGTCGATGATGCCAATGGTCGGGACACTGAACAACCCGCACTCGTGCAGGCAGACCTCGTTCTCGAGCGGATTCAAGCAGACGACCAGATCCGGGCGCATCACGGTGTGATTGCCCTGGCTGAAGGCTGGTGTGTACTGTTCAAGCTCCTTGTCAAGGATGTTGACCACCTTAACGCCGCATGATCCTAGAATCTGCTGGCCGTTGGTCAAGGACCCAGGCACCCAGCGGTGGAAAATGTGGTAGCCACCTGCTAATTTCGCCGAGTTCACAGTGATGTCTTCCATGCCCTTGCGTGTGCCCACGAACAGGATTATGCCGCCGCGCCGGGCGACCTCTTGAACCACCTTCGCTGCGCGCCTAAGATAGGCGTATGTCACATCCAGGGAGATGATGTGGATACCGTCTCTTATGCCAAAGATGTAATTGCTGTTCGCGGGATTCCAGAGTGGCGTGGCGTGGCCCAGATGTGTTTGGTTGGCAAGGAGCAGAGGAAGGGTGAGTTCATCGGGCGTCGGTGGTTTTCGAAGAATGGTTGACGGGTCGTATGTCTGGGAGAGATGGGTGCCTTTGCTGGTCTGCTTTTGCGTACGGCGGCGGTGTTGATTTAGTGTTTTGAGATTTTTGAAGGGAAGGTCATCGACAGGCCCGGGAGTTTGAAGGGGCGAAGGGGAGGATTTGATCGCTTCCGGCGTTGAAGTCGGGAGAGGTTCGTTGAAGGCTTGGATTCGAGCCATAATGTGAGCATTGACATCGGCGTGGAGAGATTGCATGGACTTTTGCTGCGAATCGAGTTCTTTCTCGACGGAGATGGTTGCTTGCGTCGGAGGGTGACCAACTGTGTCGAGGATGCTGGAAGGAGCATCTGGATGGCCTGGTATCGAGGGACTTGGCTTGCGGTCTCGTTCTGACTGTCGAAGCTCGGGGTTTCCGATACTTCTGCTATCCGCATACGATCGACTGAGGATTCTCGTCGACCGAGATAGCGCAGTGCGCCCTAGACAAGATCAGCGAGTGAAAGCGCTCACGGATCGCGTGGACACATACCATGACGGGCGCAGAACTGTCTGATTATCATATTGGCTGGTGTGCAACAAACTGCTACAGCTTTGAGACTTTCTAACCCGAAGTTCCAATACTCAATTGCAGAAGCCGGCCGAGCTTGGCGTCGATGGAAACACGGCAGGCAAACTGTGCAAACTCAACAAACAGCGGCAGAAGGCGGATTAGGTATTTTGTTTACCCCAACTTTTGAGATACAGCCATGCAAACACTCTCATGTAAACCACAATAGCCCGCGCAGTAAGCGGATCTCGCTTCCTTGCGTGATGGAGGTCGATACCGACCATCATCCGAATCCTGTTCCAAACCCTCATCACCGCAAAATTGAACTCCAAACACCCGACGACTTGACCTACCTCCACGCCAACCTCATCGCGTCCGCCCAGCAGAAACTCGACCTGCACTTCCCGCCCTCGGCCATACAAAACCAATCACGCGCACAGCCCGCCACTGTCATCACGCTCGATGGCCTTCAGCCTCCTGCCCCAGCGGGCGACTCTCTTCACAAGCCGGACGAGAAGGAAGAACAACCAGAAGACCCATTGCGCGCTCGTGTGCGTCAACTCGTAGACGCGTTCATAACGAAAACATGGGGCGGCGCGAGCAAGAACATTCTCGTCAATGGCATGGACGCTTCTTCTCTTCCAGTGCTATCAGACGTTGCATCCCAGCCCAACGCGTCGGACGGACCTCAAGAAGAACGCGAAGGAATTGATTTCACATACGAGCCCTACGACACAAGACTCCAGGCCAAAGTAGCCGGGTTGTACGGCGAACTCGAGGCATTGACGGCGCAAGTGAGCAAATTGAGGAGGGCCGCGCCAAAATACGGCGCAGATGCATACAGCGACGCCCTGATGGCAGAATTAGCCAGTGCTGATGCAGATCATGATGCTCAGATGTCGGCACTACGAGAAAACGCAGTGGTTGCAGATAATGGAGGCCTGGCCCTCAACGTGCAGCGAGAGGGATGGCGCGACGATGTTAAAGCGGTGTATGAGCATGGGGTGTCCGAGTTGGCTGTTCTTGCTGGTCTCGCCGCTGAGCAAGATGGTTTGGCACCGCGCGGCGCCAGTCTGACCGAGACGATGGGCAAGGTTCAGCGCGCTCGAACTGTGGCTATGGACTTTGAATGAGAGGCAAGCAAACGTTTATCGTCCATCCAGTTGGGACGCATATACTGGGCTTCTATGGCTGATCGTGCGCCTCACAATGGTCTCAACAGACTACCTCAATCGGTGTACGACGTGCTGTTGTGGATGGCAATGCGAGCCTTACCATGAGCACGAGCAAACAGACACCCAAGCTCGAATCACACCTGCGGGAATCGCAAGAACAGGGGGACGATGGTTGAGATACGGACGCGGCAGTCTTCATCGTGACTTGTGCACGCCCATCGATCATGCCCACACTGACGACCAGTGCGCTGAATCATCCATCGCAAGGCAGTCAAAGAACATTGCCTTTCGAAGGAATAGCAACCATTGTGTTGCAGTGAAGGCTGCAAACCAAATGCCGTTGAAGGAGTTGGTCGTGAGGAACGAAGCGACAGGGTCTGACGCTTTGCAGAGGATTGACTCTATTGTCTTGGGTTATGTCTGTTCTCGTAATGTAGATACTTTCCGCATGCATCGGTCCACCGATCTTGCGTAGATGCTAATGAGTAAGGCTGGGGAGGTTGCCAGCTTCATAGCACCGCTCTGCTCAACGAACATCATTAACAACGCAAAATCATATGCAATGGCTCGCTTCGGCATCTCTTGAACACTTTCTCCTGGTCTATCGCCCCCAGAACGCAAACGTGCGCTGAGATCCCGCATCTTTCATGCTGACCTGCGGCGTACGTGCCTATCAGCTGGGGTGGTGGTCCCTCTTCAGCCCTCGGAGGGTTCTAGAGGCATTTTGGGTCCTTCAGAAGGGAGATTCTCTGCATGTGCTGGTGCTGTAGCCAGAGCTGGTGTGTTACCTTGCGTTATTGGATCCTGAGCATTGTCAGTGGGCGCAGGCTGAACGATATCACCAGATGTCTTGCCAGTGATAGGATCCTCCTTGGCCCATTTTGGAGGCTTAGCATATTTAGGGTCCCGCCATGGGCCCTCGTCGCTATATTCACATCCTCCAGTGCAATCGCATTTCCCGCCGAATTGTTTCGGAAGGTTCTCGGCAGGAACCTGGCTCAAAAGCTCGCTTTGATAGCCAGAGCCGAGAACGTGGATTTTCGCGACAGTGATGGGATCGAGGAAGGATTTGACAACACTGAAGACGCTGCTGAAACCCCAGGGTGCGTTGATGATGTATAGGCGACCAAGTCGCTCAGGATAGTAGTCTTGAGAGATGGCACTGACGGATTTCAGGTAGCCGTAGACCGAAGGAATCTTGGTCACGCCCACTCCTTTCATGTCCATGATAGTACAGCAAGTCTCAAGCAATTTGCCGGCCTTGCGCGAGCAAGCTGGAAGTCGTGGATCGGCGACCTTTTCGTATTCGACGACTAGGTTCTGAACCATGCGGTCGGCGGTGGTAATTTTGTACATGGCGGTGAGATCGATCTTTCCGTATTGTTCGATGTATACAGGGCGTCCGTCCTACGAGGACCCATGAGCAAGGAGCCAGAATGATCAAGGGGTACATGTCACTCACCTTGTCCGTCTTATGATAGTATTGTGGGTAATATTGGAACACTTGCTTTCTTTCTTTGTAGTCGAAGTTTCGAACCAGTTCATCGACACCGAATTCTTTCCGCCACTGCTCGTTCTTGACGAACCTAGACTCTTGTTAGCATTGGCTCTCGGGGCTGCTGTGGCCGCATCGCACATTTCTTTGGCAAGCTGGACATTGAACTTGCGAGCTCTCAAAAAGCGCAGCATTGTCAAGGTATCCAATCTCTCCTTGTAGCCATCTTGTTCCAGCATTGCCCTGAGCTGGTGTACTTGAGCATCCTGTTCTTTGGTCGTGTGGCCGGGGTGACCAGGTCGAGCCTCGGGGGCAGTGGTGGGAAAATCGTAGTCGTCGTATTTGGGGTCGAGATCCATATGCGGGTTTGCATTTGCAGCTTCCTTAGATGCTCTCGACATGATGATGGTAGGTTATATCAACAAACTTGGGAAAGACGTATGATTTTGTAAAGGAGATGGGATTAAGGTCTGCTTCGACAAGCAGTAGTCTCGTCAGAATTGAGGAAGAAAAGAGATCGAAGAGGCGCGGTTGAGGGATCGAGTACGGATAGACTTCCAAGATCTCAAGGGTGCTGGCAAGGATTGAGTCAACAGCAACAACAATAGATGCAATCGTTGTATTCGTACACGGGCACAAATGGTAGGGCAAGAACAACAAATGGAGCCCCTCGTCCATTATGACGCAGACTAGACATTTTTCCTGCTGCTTTATCATTTTGGGCTTGGCATGTTTGGTTCGAATGCAAAAGCCTTTTTTAGGAATATCGAACATCAAACAGCCAGTGAGAAAGTGACTCACGAAACGTTCAGTATTTGACCTCCTTGACAACCATTCGCAAAAATATCAGAGGTCGAGCGAACAACGTCATGCAGGCCGACTCACATACGGCGAAATACTGCAGAGATCGGCCGAATTTCTCCATACCCAAAAGATCCTGGTCGAGTAGTGCACATTCAACATCTTAGTCATCAGAAAAACATCCTTGGATTCTTGTACCTGATATCAACGGCCTCTCCGCATGGCGCCCAAATCAGGTAAAGCTGCCGGAGGAAAGGGCAGAGCGGGTGAGGAAGGCAAAGAGGAACCTTTACAGGCCGTCATCATTGCCGACACCTTCGAGACAAGATTTGCACCATTTACACTAGAGAGACCCCGGTGTCTAATACCCGTCGCCAACACACCCTTAATCGAGTACAGCCTCGAATACTTGGCCAGTGCTGGAGTCCAAGTCGTCTACATCTATGCGGGTGCTCATGTCGACCAAGTGGAAACATACATTGAAGCCTCCCGATGGAAATCACACAAGTCGCCGTTCGGAAGCGTCTCTTTCCTCAGATGCATTGCTAGCTCCGTGGGTGATGTGATGCGTGATCTGGACCAAAAGCATCTGATGGCTGGCGATTTTATCATCATTAGCGGCGATGTCATCTCCAATTTTCCCATCGAAAAGGCTTTGAAGCAGCACAAGGCAAGGAGAGAAAAGGACAAAAACGCCATCATGACAATGGTACTTCGCGAAACTTTACCAGGCGTCCACGAGCATCCTGGAGGAATCGTCCCGACATTTGTTATAGATCCAACCAAGGACCGATGCTTACACTACGAGGAAGCTTTATCTGGTGCTCAACCGGCGGCACATGTTGACCCAGAACTCTTGAAATCACCAGAGCTTGACGTCAGACAGGACCTTGTTGATTGCAGGCTCGATATCTGCACCCCTGATGTTCTCAGTCTATGGTCCGACAATTTTGACAATCAAGCCCCTCGGAAAGAATTCCTGTACGGTGTCCTGAAGGACTATGAGCTCAACGGCAAGACCATCCACACATATATCGTCAAAGATCATTACGCTTCACGGGCGGCTGATTACTGGTCTTATAACGCCATTTCACAAGACTTGAAGCAGGGCTTAGTTGCCTCACTCGCGGTCGAGAACAACGTCTTTGGAGACACGCACTACGATCGCTCTCAGCGAGGGGATATTGTTGACCGATCAGTGATCAAGGTGAGGCCGACGAAGCTTGCTGCTGGCGCTATTGTTGGTCCTGACTCCAGTGTGGGAGCGGGATGTCGCATTGCCAACAGTATCATTGGCCAACGTTGTCATGTTGGCAAGAACACAAGTATCGATGGTGCTTATATCTGGGATGATGTCACTATTGGCAACAACGTCACCATCAAGCGGGCCATCATCGGCAACGAGGCCTTTGTAGGTGACAATTGCGTTATTGAAGAAGGTGTTCTGGTTTCTTATGGCGTCAGGATTGCACCAGGGACTACGGTACCAGCGCAAGCCCGGATTTGCAAGCCGCAACAATTGTCGGATGGCGAACAGAACGATCAAGACTTGGTTGGAGCTGAAGGAGGTGAAGGTCATGCATACGTTGACGACGAAGACGATTTTGTTGCTTCGAGGGCCTCACGGCTGCTGTATGGCAAGCCTGAATTTGCCGCATCGGCGTCAACATTGGATTCGGATATTTCAGAAGGAGAGCTGTCTTCAATGGATGGCTCACGAAGACAGAGCTTCGCCACTACCATGTCTGACGAAGACACCAGTGATCGATTCCAGCATGATACTGTGGCCATTCTCCTACAGAGATTGCAGGAAGGGAAGCAAGCTGATGATATGCTGAGTGAGCTAATGGGACTCCGCTTCAGTGGAGGGGCCGACGAGGCACAGGTTCGCAGGGCAGTTGCAATCGCAATGATGAAGCACGTTAATAGCGAGGTTGAAGGCGGTCTTTCTGCCGCTGATGTTTCCAGACATGTTCTCACTGCTTACAACACACTCATCCGACGCAAGGGGGCAGCGCAGACCACGGAAGAACAGGTTCTCTTCTTATTGGAGGCTCAAAGAGACCTAACCAGAAGAAAAGACGGCGGTAAGACACTCTTATTTGTCCTCAAGGATTTATATGATCTGGAGGTATTTGGGGAAGAAGCATTCACCGAATGGTGGGCAGATGAAAGATCAGGCAGCGGAGAGGAGATGGCGGCACTGAGACAACAGTCTTCACAGTTCATCGAGTGGTTGGAGAATGCGGAGAGCGAGAGCGAAAGTGAGGAAGACGATGACGATGACGATGACGATGAGTGATAGAGCAACTGCACAAGACTCGAGGCATGGAAACTCGAACAGACGACGAGGCTTCCACTCAGACTTAACCATGAAGAAGCACTGGTTGCTGCCTGCCAAATCTTGGTCATGTCCGGTGCATCAGGCCGGATCACGAGATGATCAGTATCAGGCAGCTGCGATCATCTCATCTTCACAGCAATCAAACAGTGACCCAGCAGAAAAAATTCTGACGGAAAGAAAATCGCAGACGCAGGGGGGCAAGGCTGAGGCAAAAGTGAATTGAGGGTTTGTCAGAGAATCCAAGGCACTGTCACGTGAAGAGCCATTTCTCGGTGATGACGGAGAACGGCACGAGTGCCACATGGTCGCTACGAGAACTAGATTATTACCTAAAGTACTACGGCGGGCGCCTTTTGCCCGCCTTGTCAACTTAGCGATCGTCTTGATTAACGTACCCGACCTCGAGTCCTACCCCATCTTCAGAACCTCATGGCCTTTCTGATTCCATGTGTAAACCTTCTTCATTGATCATACATTGAATATCTTTCTGCCTTCTGTCTTCACTCGTTACTACCGGTCCAGTCTTACTCGCCCCGAACCAAGTCCGATCGTGAGATTGTGACGTTATTCCTCTCTAATACGGTCATACGCCCTGAGCAGCCTGTCGTCTCACTTGGAGACACGGCTGCCAGTGTACCTAAGCCACCACGACTCCTTCAACGAGGAAAAGGAAGCCAGAAGAGTCGGTGACGGATGCGTTGAGCCAGGCTCCTACCAAAACCCGCAAGACATCTACAATCCCTCTGCAGGGTCCGACCACACCGGTAACTGAGCACGGCTCGCCCCCGCTGCAAGAGATGGATTCGGAGGACGAGTTCATGTCAGACCTGCCGAGCGGGGATGAGGTCGACTTCGACGAAGGCACCCAAGATAGTGATATTGGGAGCATAGGGGGTGGTATGCACATCAGACAACTTCTTCCTAAGTAGCATGCGCTGATCAATAATCACAGACTTCGATCAAGACCAAGATGGCGGCTTTGGTTATGACAAAGATATCCTAACGAACCGGCAGAAGCCTTCTGAGATCGAATACAAAGTACTGAGTCCAAAAGACATACAATTACAACAAGACCGTCAGTTTCAGGAGGTATCGTCGATTATAGAGTTGCCGCCTGAACAAACAGCGATTCTCCTCCGCTTCATGAGGTGGAACAAGGAAAAGTTGATTGAGTCATACATGGACAACCCGGACAAAGTACTTGAGGCTGCTGGGCTGGGACCCGAGTCTGCGGGATCACCGAAGCTTACGACGGTCAAGGGGTTTACCTGCGAGATCTGCTACGAGGACGGCCCTTCTCTACAAACATATGCTATGAAGTGCGGCCACCGGTATTGTGTCGACTGTTATACTCATTATCTCACTCAAAAGGTCAAGGAAGAAGGAGAGGCTGCCAGGATCGAATGTGCCTTCGATGGTTGTCATCGTATTGTTGACTCCAAGACACTCAAGTTGTTGGTCGATCGGAGTGTCCAGGATCGTTATGGCGTTCTACTCACTAGGACTTACGTGGATGACAAGGACAATTTGAAGTGGTGTCCTGCTCCAGAATGTGAATATGCGATTGATTGCCCCGTCAAGAAGCGAGATCTGAACAGAATTGTTCCTACCGTCCGGTGTGCTCATGAGCACAGCTTCTGCTTCGGCTGCACCCTGGCGGATCATCGTCCAGCACCTTGTGCACTGGTCAAGAAATGGATGAAGAAGTGTGAAGATGACTCCGAGACCTCCAATTGGATATCGGCCAACACCAAGGAATGTCCTAAATGCAACTCAACCATTGAGAAGAACGGCGGCTGCAATCACATGACTTGTAGGAAATGCAAGCATGAGTTCTGCTGGATGTGCATGGGACCATGGTCTGAACATGGCACAAGCTGGTACAACTGCAATCGGTTCGAAGAGAAATCTGGGGCAGAGGCACGCGATGCTCAAGCGCGTTCTCGTCACTCGTTGGAGCGGTATCTGCACTACTACAATCGTTACGCCAATCATGAGCAATCTGCCAAACTCGACAAGGACCTGTGGCTCAAGACCGAGAAGAAGATGCAAAGTCTGCAGACTCAGTCCAACATGTCTTGGATCGAGGTACAATTCCTTGACACCGCCTCAAAAGCCTTGCAGGCGTGCCGCCAGACCCTCAAGTGGACATATGCCTTCGCCTTCTATCTAGCACGCAACAACATGACAGAAATCTTTGAGGACAATCAACGTGATCTGGAAATGGCGGTGGAAAACCTGAGTCAAATGTTCGAAAAGCCAGTGAATGAACTTGGAAGTCTCAAAGTCGAAATACTGGACAAGACTACGTACTGCAATCGCCGAAGAGAGATTCTGCTTAGCGACACAGCTGAGAATCTGAAGAAAGGTATGGGGTGTCTAATCTATCCTCATATTCACTACTAACGTTATGTCAACAGACCTGTGGAAATTCAACACTGAGTTATGATGTAGCATGTGGCACAGCGGGCTGAAGGAGCAAAGGAGTTTACACCATCCATTGTGGTAGCTAGGCGTTTGTCCGATGAATTGGGTTGGATGCATTTTCACAGCAGAAGGTCCTTGCTCGCCGTTCAAGGGAGCTGTTTTTCATCGTCTTCAGGATGGTCACATTGGGCCGTAGAAGGCGTCGGGGCAAACATGTCTGACGAAGCGTTCTCCTCTTTTACTACTATACTGTCCAGCATAGGGGAAGATTCATTGTCAGGAATCTCTCAATGACCCAACCAGAAACACAAATATGCCATGAGCGAGTATCATTGCGGTGGTGGATCCAGGATGTGCGTATGATCGGTCGCTTTCCGCAACTTCCGGTACCTTTGAGGGATAAGCAGCACACGAAAGCAGTCAAATAGACTACAAATGAATGGATGCCAGTGACGATAATAAATGCAAACAATATCATTTACTAGAACAGAGCGGAGAATTTTGGACACGTAAGTTTATGACCGACAGCGAGAGGCGACCGAGATAATCAGATATGAACCGAGCCCAGGCCAGATCAAGCCTTTGAGAGCGAGGTCGGAGGACTAAGAAAATGACTGGTCTACCACCGGGGAGCCCGCGGAGACCAACGAATCGGTGACGGGCAGCGCATGAAGCAGGGCCCCTAAAGAGCGTCATTGATGGGATCTGGTCCGCCTACCGACCGACTATGTAATTACTTAGCTAACACCCTGCTAAAGTTTTAACAAATTCTCGGGGAGGCATCTGATTGTCTGCGCAGGCCTTGCCCTGGCTACTGATACTGCTTCGGCTTCTTTTTCACTGTTAACCCTACGGTCTCCTGACTCGTTTGCATTTGTGATTATCTGCCTGTCACGGTCGGCGGAAGTTCTCCGTCACTTTGTTCGGCCTCGTTGTGCCATATATCTGGTTCTTGGAAGAGTGGGCGGACGGGACAAAATACACCTGCAATCGTGGCGACGTCAGCCAAATTCCCAGCGGTATTGACCGCGGAGAATATGACTGCGTCGAGCAGTCCGGATGCAGTCCCTGGCGAGGAATTCGAGTATGTCTGGGAGTCTGGGAGAAGAAGTGCAAAGAATTGACACAATGGCGCAGTTATGAAGCTCTACCACCAAATTATGGCCTTAGCCACAACATGCTCGCCGGCGCATTCGCAGGCATTGCGGTATGATCGTTTGAAGAACATCTTGGATCAGCATCTGACAGACCTTGTAGGAGCATACGGTGATGTATCCTGTGGACTTGATGAAGGTACGGGTGGCCGCCTTTCATGTGCTTGACACAGCTAACCAAGATTCACTATAGACACGGATGCAGATCATAAATCCTGCTGCCGGCGGCCTCTATACCGGACTCTCCAACGCAGTATCGACCATCTACCGGTTAGAGGGAATACGGACGTTATGGAGAGGCATTTCGAGCGTCATTATCGGTGCAGGTGTGCTACAATCAGCAAGAGATGTGGGGTCCAACAATTCTGACATTGCCACGCAGGTCCTGCACATGCTGTATATTTCGGCACATACGAGGTTGTGAAAGAGTTCGTTGGAGGAAACAGAGCAGATGGCAAACACCATCCCGTGGCTGCAGGTACGACCCTTCGATCGAGATCCCAATGCGTGGTGTGTTGTGGCGCCGGTATGCTAATGATTGTCTACCAGCTGCCAGCGGAGCTTGCGCAACGATCGCGAGTGATGCTCTAATGAATCCTTTTGATGGTGCGACTTCTCCCTCTGCAAAATTGAAACGAGTATTCTGACAGCAACACAGTCATCAAGCAACGCATGCAGGTCCACGGTTCGGCGTATCGGTCCGTAGCACATTGTGCACGATCAGTCTTTCGCGCCGAGGGTCTCACCGCTTTCTACGTTTCTTATCCTACGACATTATGCATGACAGTGCCATTCACCGCGACTCAATTTATGGCCTATGAGTCTCTGTCGAAAGTCATGAATCCTCGAAGAGAATACGACCCTATCACACATTGCGTGGCTGGTGGCTTGGCCGGTGCCTTTGCAGCCGGCATTACCACCCCACTCGATGTGATCAAAACATTGCTACAGACACGGGGCATGAGTCAACACGCCGAGATTCGGAATGTACGAGGTATTTTCAATGGAGCTGCTCTCATTAAAAGGCAATTTGGATGGAAAGGCTTCATGAGGGGCTGGCGGCCTCGCATCATCAGCACCATGCCAAGCACTGCCATCTGCTGGTACGTCTTGCCGATGCTTTGCACTTTGAAGGGCTACTGACGGTTGTACAGGTCATCATACGAAATGGCGAAGGCATATTTCAAACGGACGTTGCGAGAGGAGCACGAGGCGCAGATGAACAATATTTGATGGACTTTTGCCGATACGTCGTTGGCGTAATACTCGGATTATAGTCGACTTGGTGGCACGCAACCTTTGTTTTCGGACCTTGCTTACGAGCGATCGAGATACCCACATGGGAAAGCAGCCAGCATCTGGTTGATCTATATTCGACCACGACTTGATGCTTTTTCCTTTTACGAGGCCAGGCGGGTTGTGAAAGTCGTGGACGCATTTGCATGCGAGAGGCGTTACAACTTGGGGACAGGCAGTCAGATTTGATGCACATGGTGTCATGTGTGCCAACTTGTGCGGCTTTGGATAATACTGTATATCTATCAAAAAATGGTGGTGGCGTCCATGAGAGCGCCTTTCCAGGTTCTCGCCTTTAGATAGACGAGTCGGACAGCAATGAAAAGTGCAAAGTGTGCCATGTGCAGGATCACTCTAGAAAAGGCAGCATCTATTCATCATTGCTTGAAGACACGCGGCTCATGTTATCTGTATTGTGGTCAAAAGATGAATCCTGCGAAGGCTCGCGTGACGGGCGTGGAATGGTCATGGCGGACTCGCTTGAGTGACGTAGTCCAGCGGGCAGTGTTGACTTTGGACGGCCTGCCTTGCGCTCCCAAAATTGGCCAGTCCGATTTTCGAGGCTCAGACTCTCCAGACATCGATTCTACCCACAAAATTGGCCTTTACACCTGCTTCGCTTCTACTGGTGTCATGAGCATGTCAATTCGAGTTTTAGAACGCAATTATGATGCGGAGCAAGCCAGCCTCGTCGATGCAGAAGACCTACGATGAGTCCTATCTTCAATGCTCCACTGCGGTCTTCTTCGAAGGCCAGGTATGGACTTGTACATCCAGCTTTTGGGTATTGACTGACCATGCTCATCTTATAGGGCAATGAGGCAGAGGCCCTGCGGTCTTGGAAATCGGCGCTCGATCAGATTAGCTATTACAAAGCCTACAAACTCCCCATGAACTACGCTCCCAAATCTGAGACTGAAAGAGCGCTGTACGACTCGCTGAAACAACTCGAGACACAATGTCAAGAACGGGTCAATCTCCTTGAAACCCTCAAGCTCAGTCGACAGGAAGCGGGGACGACAACGCCAAAGGAGGAAAAACTGTCGGATCGTGGCAATGGGAGGAGACGGCTGGAGAAGCAGAGACTCGACTCGCATACACAATTTGATCGATCTGCGCCGTCATGGTTAGGCGATGAGACTGTACCTCCGCTGCAGATGTCAGAACTCCCGGCAGCCACACCACCGCTTCCCTGGCGGCCTTCATTGGGGCCCACACGAAGCAGTGACACAGTGGCGAGAGATTCAGCATCGCAAAGTTCACGGACTTCGCCTATCGGTCGGCCCCCAACCTTGCCAGTACCGACCTCCAAGGTATCGCGGAGCCCCAGTCCGGATCATGGGAGGAAGACGATGAGAACAACCTTGCGGAGTGAGAAGAAGGGCTTCAGGAAGTATCGATCGGCGCCGAACCGTGACAGGCTCCCAGACACGATGAGGGCGGCTGGCCTGGCGTGGGAGTCTCAGGCGCCTAGAACATCTCAACAAAGTCCACGACCTGAGTCCGACCCTACAATCGAGGCCAGATTGAGTGCTACCGCTGCCCGACGGAGCATTGATCAGGATGCGGTAGCGAGACACGAAGAGCAACGAAGATCCACCTCAACACTCAGCGCCGCTGACACCCTCCCGTCACAGACATGGCGGGATCTTTCACATGGAAGTCAAGCGCAGTCAACGATGCAGAGATCGATGGAAAGTCTCAAAATTACCTCCGAATCTGTCCCCAGTTTGATAGATTTCGACCCTGAACCAGAGAGGCCGCCACTCCCACCACCCCATGGCTCTTCTGGTGTACCGGGAATCTCGAAAGCCAGGACCGCATCCCCTTCAGCCCCAGCAAGACCGGTGGAGATTTCGTACAGAAAGGAGTATCCTCCGCGCACACTCAAGGTCCCAGCACCTCTTGCCAACAATATACTTGACAGGGCCTATCAGCGGCCTGGCACGGCCACAAGCTCATCTGGTATATCTCGAAAGCCTGTTGGTCACGAAAGCACAACGTTCGAGGGTCGAGGACGATCACCCAGGCGAGACAATCATTCCGATACTGAGGAAGATGCCTCCAAGCAGACCCCGAGGCCGCTCAGACGGGCTAGAGCAACACGAACGGAGAGCGCGAAAACCATTACTCCACCTTCCACCGATGCCGAGTCGCTAGAAGATGACGGACCTGGGTCGAGTGAAGAGAAGCGAACGGCCAAGATTCTCAAAGGGTTGCCCAAAGGACTGGATGAGAACGCTGCCAAACAGATCCTCAATGAAATCGTTGTCAAGGGCGATGAAGTCCATTGGGAGGACGTGGCAGGTCTCAATCCAGCCAAAAAGGCTCTGAAAGAAGCGGTTGTCTACCCGTTTCTACGACCGGATTTGTTTATGGGATTGCGAGAGCCGGCTCGAGGTATGCTACTGTTTGGACCCCCAGGTACGGGCAAGACCATGTTGGCACGAGCAGTGGCCACAGAAAGCAAGAGCACATTTTTCGCCATCAGTGCTAGCAGCCTGACGAGCAAATGGCACGGCGAATCAGAGAAGCTGGTACGGGCACTATTCGCATTGGCAAAGGCTCTGGCCCCGAGTATCATTTTCGTGGATGAGATCGATTCGTTATTAAGTGCTAGGAGTGGTTCGAGTGAACATGAGGCGTCAAGACGCAGCAAGACCGAATTCTTGATCCAGTGGTCGGACCTCCAGCGGGCAGCCGCGGGCAGAGATACAACGATTGGGGATGCTACTCGAGTACTGGTGCTCGCTGCCACAAATTGTCCGTGGGATATTGATGAAGCAGCACGGCGGAGGTTTGTGAGACGGCAATATATCCCATTGCCTGAAGCCGAGACGAGGGAGACACAGATCCGGACGTTACTGGGCCATCAAAAGCACGACATGAGTGAGGATGATATCCAGCGATTGGTTTTAATGACAGAAGGTATGTTTGTCCTGTGTGCTCCAGAGAACGAATACTGACTCGATCTAGGGTACTCAGGATCTGACATCACAGCATTGGCCAAGGATGCCGCAATGGGACCGCTGCGCCACCTTGGAGAAGCTTTGCTGTACACGCCTAAGGAGCAGATTCGACCGATCAACATGCATGACTTCCAGGCGAGCTTGATCAGTATCCGTCCGAGTGTGAGTAAGAAGGGGCTTGAGGAGTTTGAGAAATGGGCAAATGACTTTGGGGAGAGAGGCGGTTAGATTGGCTACAATAGGGATTTAATTTGTGTTGGGCGTTGGAAACGATGCATACATCTTGGGTGTTTCGGCGAGCAGGACAGTAAGGATGGAAGCGTGCAAAAGTCTCTACAGAGAGACTCGCGCGAAGAAAGTACAGACGCATGTTTTATGACTCGACGACGATGCTGCTGTATACAAGCATAAACATTCTTGAATGTAGTAAACCCGCATAGGGAGAAAGCCAATGGAGTATATCTTGTGCAAGGCTGCGTTACGGCTGGCCCATGGGGAAATCAAATGCCGAGGTTGATCGATAATGACAAGCCTACTACGTCTGTCAACAAGTCTGTCTCTTGTCCCCCTGAATTCTTGTTGCCCGTCGTTGATAAAATCTTCAATCTTCAATTTCCACTGCCAGGTCAGACGAGGAACGATGCCCTTCAAGGCTTCACCAGTGCTGCCGTTCCTCTGGTAATTCCAGCGACAGCAGGCGATGGCTGCAAATCTGAAGTGATGCAGAGCAGAAATCTTGCTTCTGGAATTGTCATGAGAGAGATGATCTCTACCATGGATCGCTTTGAGCCATCATAAAGACAATGCGATGGCTTCTTCGTGAGATCATCGTGTTCGATCTCCGACATAGTAGAAGGATGGTCGAAGCTATACAGAAGCACTGAGCGAGTCCATCTCCGCCTCAGCCTCAGCCTCAGCAGCCCTGGGCAACAGTTATCAATTCTATCTTGATTGACATTTGACAGCTTTGACATGGGTCACTCTTATTACTGTCATCACCGACCAGATCGCTGGAAAGTTGACGCCTCACTATGAGCATTGGGCGCTGAGCAGCACGCGGAGTACTTGACCTGTGCAGGTCGGCGTCATGGGTGAAGACTGGGTAAGGAATTTCTCTACTCACTTGTGCACCATGAATACCCATAACTCTCCTCACTTGGCCGTGTATAACCCAATAGTGACAACCTCACATGCTCGTCACTTGCTCTTTCACCGGTCGTCACCCCAGTCGAGATGAACTGTGAAGTCGGATCTGGTGGTATATGATTCTGCCGCACCATACTCGAATACCTATCAACATTCCTTCCCCTCTTCCACAACAACAACACTACTCATGCTTTGACAACGACAACCACACTGTTGCACCTGCAATTCTCAGCGCTCTTTACTTACAACTGCCTGACCGTCTTGGTAAGTCTCATCAGTCATGACTTCCTTGTTTACCCAAGTTGCGCACTCACTCCATGGCGTCGTCACTGTTTGCGGCTTCAGCCTCCGAACACGTCAACCACGAACCGTTCGCGTCATTGCACATTCCTGGTGATTGTTACTCCAGAAGCGGCGGTCGAGAAGGAACCGGAACATGTCATCCTTGTCTGTGCTTTGTCTCTTGTCGCCCGGGTGAACAAAGGAAGGCTGCGCTCGAACCTCAAAGCCTTAAATGACAGTGCATTGACCATTTTGCACTGACTGGCAATCTCCCTCTCACATTCGCTCTCTCCATCTACAAAACCCACTCTTGTATATCTCCCCGTCGACCTCGAAGGCTATTGCCTTGGACCACATTCTCTTTCCTTTCCCACTCGCTGCTGCACACGTCAGTTGTTTGAGCCGCTGGTCGGTTATACCGTCGCTCACTGCTTTTCGTGATCAACATAGGTCTTGACACTCCTTTCACCACAACATTCACCTCACGCTCATTGTCACCACCATGAAACCGATTCTATTCAGTCTCGCTGCGTTGTGCGCTCAAGTCGGACTGGCTGTACCCCACGGTAAGTCTCGGCATATCAGACACAACGCAAACGATAGCTTACATCTATTAGGAGGAAACCAGCACCAGGTTCACCGACACGCTCAGCGTGATGTGACCCAAACCTCGACCATTACGGACGTTGTTACTATCACCGCTCCCAATGCTGTCGTTTGGGTTGATCAGTACGGCAATGTCATCTCCACCGAGTACCGCTCTTCGACGACTGCAACCACTTCCAGCACCAGTGTCGCAAGTCCGACAACAACCACATCATCTACTCCCACCAGCACCTCAGCACAAGCTGCATCTTCTACCTACACCTCAAGCGCTGCTGCTACAACCTCAACTGGCTCCACTTCAAGCTCTGCCCTGTCTACCACGGTTTCAACAACTTCGCGTGTAGCTGACTCAACCACTGCTGCCTCCACCACGGCCAGCTCAAGTGACAATGACAGAACCACCTCAAGCAACGACACTTCGACTGCCGGTAGTGGGTTCGGTATCTGCTATGACTATATCACCACGGCAGGATGCAAGACTCTGGCCGAGATGAACACCGATTTCGCCTACCTAGCCAGTCAGGGTTTCAGCACAGTCCGTACGTACGACATTGGCTGCCCTCTGGGTGACGTTGCCTCAGCTGCTTCTACTGCAGGCTTACAACTGATTGCTGGTCTCAATACTATTGACAATGTTGCAACGGACATCGCCACGCTTATCGGCATGTTCGATGGCAACTGGGATTCAGTCAATACTATCGTAATCGGTAACGAGGTCGTCAATGATGGTGGCAGTGCAGCAGCTGTCGTTGCAGCACTTGCAACTGCTCGTCCTCTGCTTACTGCTGCCGGCTTCACGAAGAACGTTGTCACGGTTGACGTCTGGAGTGCCATAATCGACAATCCAGAACTCTGCGAGAATTCTGACTATTGCGCCGCCAATTGTCACGCATTCTTTGATGCAGACACTGTTGCCGCCGACGCCGGTACTTATGTCAGTGGTTGCGTCAGCAAGATTTCTGCATTGGGACTCGGAAAGTCGATCGTGATCACTGAATCTGGCTGGCCGTACCAAGGAGATGCCAATGGAGATGCCGTACCTTCAGTTGCCAATCAAGAAACCGCAATCAGCGCCTTGAGATCAGCATTTAGTAGCAATCCCGGCGGCCTGTTCCTATTCGAAGCGTACGATGCAACTTACAAACAGCCCGGATCCCTGGGCGTTGAACAATACTTTGGTATTTATGGCCATTGATCCTTCCCAACTTCACGACACATCAGAATTCGACGAAACGGGACATCACTGCATAGCGGCGGCGTTCCAATTTGCTTTCAGGCGCCTTGTCGGATTCATCATCTTCTTTCTTCGACCATACCGGCCTTCACCTTTTCAGCATGATACCCCGAGAGCTTAGGCCTTTTTTTTCTCAGTTTGCCCATGTACAACTCAGTTCTTCAGCACAGCATACTGGTCGCCATTCAGCGAAGCGCAGACCTTGCCATCATCTTCCATACAGCATCATAACCAGATAGCCTGGCCGGACTGGAGTCTCAACGGGAGTCCAGAAGTGCAAGGTCTCAAGATGTGCATCGTGGTCCTGCATATGCATGCTGGCCTCCATGGGCACATACCAAGCTGGACTTATCACTCCAGAGGCAAGCAGGCTACATGGAGACTTCAAGCACCGCAATACCATAATCCTGCCCAGGAGTAGGCAGGCATGGCAGATAGATAGCTTAGATAGCTTACCACTTCAATCGAATAAGATACATTGAAAATAGCCTCGTCTCTTCTAGCGAACGCACACGATCTCTTCTCTTCTACACTTGGTCTGGCGCCCTTCCAGGCTAGCATCCCGTCCCATCTCCACCTCGTCCCAGCAAGAGCATGGCGACAATCATGCCATAAAGCCCGAGGACCTCGGCGAAAATGAGTATCAACATCATGGCGGTATATAGACGGGGTTGCTGAGCCGTGGCACGTGCACCAGCGTCGCCACAGATGCCAATGCTGAAGCCGGACGCCAACCCCGCCAGCCCGACAGAGAGACCGGCGCCCAATTGCGCGAAGCTCGTCGCAAGGTGCGTAGGCCGAGTCGAGATTCCGTACGAGATGAGGATGGAGATGACAAGGCCGTAGATTGCAACGATTCCGGCCATCAGAATGGGCATCAAGCCTGTCTCGTTTTTGAGTATTAGCAGCGGAAAGGAGACAGGAAGGTTTTGAAGAGCGCTAAAGAGTTTGGATGGGGGACAAACGCACATCTGATGGTCTGGTCTGGTCGCAAGACGCCCGCAGCCATGACACCTACACCGGACTTCGCTGTGCCGTAGGCCGCGCCAAGTGTGGTGAGGGCAATAGCTGATACGCAGCCCATGGCACCAAAGAAGGGCTGTGCTATTGTGAGTGAACGGGTACTTCATCTGAGTAGTCTTCCGGACGGGGGTGAGGCAACTTACCGAGTAGACTGGGCTTTAGAGAGGGTTAGCGATGTGCGAGACAGACCGAGCATATGCTTGGGAGGTGTGGCCTTGTGGGAGGAATAGCTGGACTTACCAGAGATCAGATGACATTGTGGGAGGATGGTGAAAACGGTGAACAAGCGATATTAGTCGACTGCAGAAGAGCATTATATCTTCAAGCGAGAATGTTGGGGGTTAACATGAGGTTGCAGGAATAAGTGGTGCCTGAATACCTTGACAGGGGTTACCAGCATGCATTCAACATTGAGCAGGCTGCAACATAAGACCCCCTGCCTTCCAATCAATACACTACCGCGGGTGAGCGCCCAAGTTGATTGTCATTGCGTGAAAGATCTGTGATCTAGGGCAGTGCAGAGACTCAAGAAAGAAAAGAGGTCGTCATCTTGTATGCAAGTAACGTCGACCTTCTTGAAAACCACCGAGGAAGACATGCTTGCCATGGGGCGGGCGATTTTTGGCCTCTTTCAACAGACACGTGTGGAGATACTAGGGAGACAGTCATGGCATCAAGTCTCGTGGACGTCGGTCAGATGGTCCCTGATTCAGAAACAGAACATGATGTAGTCATGCAATGTGTATGCTTGGATGTTTAGTATGCTTGAGCGATGTTTTAAGTCTCACGTTTTTGTCCATGACATGAAGATACAGGTTGTCGTCCGGCATTGCAGACCTGGGAAATGCGCAGTTGTCAGACAGCAGAGACAGAGTGGGAAAATTGATCATTCGAAATTGTCTTTTGTCCGTCATTCAACAGACTTTCCTGCTGCGAAGAGTGCTGTCGTGGTGGTGAAAGTTTGCACCAATAAACGATTTGCCCCAAGGCCGACGCAAATGACAAGGCTAGCCTAGGGAGCGAGCCCCGGGGTTTCACCAGGTAAATGTTTATCTAATTGTCCCTGATAACTTGACAATTCAAGACCAAGAATCTCTTTCTATACTTCTCAACCTCTCTTACCATCCCACTCGGCAGATTTCTTACATCGCAGAGCTTTGTTCAGTCTTGACGATCAATTAGTTGCTATGGCATTGCCTAATTTGCGGCGGCTGTTTGTCGAAGCTCGTACAGAAGCCGAAGAGAATGAATACTCCCGCAATGCAGTACGGAGATATGTTCATCTACAATGTGCTGAGAATACTGATTGCTGTCTAGTTTTACAACTTGGTACTTTTCATTTCGTCCGTGGCTGTCTTCAGCCTAGTCGCCCAGCGCATGAGTAGCAGTAAAGCTATCAAATGACCTTCGCTGCGTTGGCTTTTGCCGTTTTACGAGATACAACGAAAGAATGCCACCTCTTTCTATCAAAGTGCTCCAACAAAGGACAACAGCCTTCATCAATCGGTCTCCTCCCCATCACTGCTGAGGAAATCATAGTTCTTAGCTCCTCGGACCAATCGTTTTGCTGGTCGCCCGTCCGTTGGTTTGCCATCACCACCCTCCTCCTCATCGGCACCCCACCGTTCGGCACCTTCCTGGACGGCTTCAATGTCGGCCGCCAATTCTCGAGCCTCTTTGATCTGGTTGGCTTTCTCGACTGAATACCGACCCGTCATTCCAGCGTCGCCTAGCATGTCCTTTAGATGTTTGATCTTGGCTCTGGCTGTCTCGTACGGCTTTAGCTCTTTACCCCAAACTTTCCGAATGCCACATTTCACCAGCCAGCCTTGGAGCCGTTTGATCTCAGCTTGGTCCGGATCAACGTCTACATCGGCTCTGGGTTTGCTCGACTTGGTCTTCTTCTGTATTGGACCAGACGGGTCCTTCTGCTTTCCCTTCTTTTTCGGCTGGGGATCCTCGTCCAGAAGTTCCGACAATTCACTCTCCGACTCAACGTCTGCTTTTTGAGACTCTTCGGCAGCGGTCCCGTTCGTCTCGTCGACTCCTTCGTCCTCCCCAGCGTCCGACTCTGGATCTTTGACCTTCTTCCGTGTGGACGCCTTGGGCTTGGCTGCTTGCGCCTTCGGAGGAAGTTTGCTGGGCTTGGCATTCGAGCTCTTTTCGGCGTCTTCGGAGTCGACGTCGCTCAGAGGTGAGGAAGAATCTTCAGACTCGACTTGTGGTTTTGTGGTCTTTTGCTTCTTCCTGGGTGCGGGCTCTTTTGAAGGGGAGGCACGCTTTTTCGAACGCTGGGTAGACTTTGCAGGCTTGGCTGGTGTCTGCTTGACAGGAGAACTCTGAGAGGCCGGAAAAATGGCCTAAGATGTGTAAGTATACAGCGAAGCGCGCGCTCAGAACCGATCGTACCGATTGGTCCTTGATGATGTCCTTGCTACGCTGTACCCATGCAGCGCTGTTTTTATAGAAACCGTTGTCGAGGCCGAGTTTGTCCTCTGAGGCTGTACGTATAGAATTGACAGTGTATTCAATATCGTTCTTTTGAGCATCCACGACTTCGGCGCGCAGACTCTTCTCAAGTTCATGGTCTGGCGGCATTGAGGTGGCTGAAGCCTCGGAAAGTTCAGAGTCAGACATAGGCGCTATCAGCAAGTCCTGTTAGCTAAAGAGTAGTGATGCGCGTCAGGAGTAAAGCTAGATCCAATTTCAGATTGCGTAGACTCGGTTTGAAGTGATGAGACGCGTCGGTCGGTCGCATTGGGATCTGCGCAAATCAAATGACGATCGTCGCTTCTTTTCTTCCCCGCAAAAGTGAAGTACAGGTAAATAGTGCCTGGCACGTGCCGACCAGATAAAGGAAGTTTATCCGGTTCCTCTTGCACCGGAATTATCGGCCTTTTCAAAAAAGTGCCTGGCGCAGTCTGCCTACTTTCAGTTTATCACCAATCCACGAGACACACTACCATTGCATTCCTAGAAGGGGAGAACGTTGGTTCTGTGCAGAGTTGGCCGAACAGCGTTGATCGCAGAGTCTCCGACAAATGTCATTTCCGTTTCCATCGTCCGGTAAAGCGTCCAGCTCCAAGGACACAACGAGGAATGAACATGAAGAGCCATCCAAACATGCTCCAGGTGTCGTTCTGGACAAGGACGGAAAGCCGTAGGTCACACTCCTTTTGATGCTCCAGGAATTTGGGACTGACACCAGCAGATGCCGCACCTGCACATCCTCCGCCGCATGGATGGCGATGATGAAGTCCTCCCCGGGCAAAAAGTTGACGCCTGCTGCTCCCGTGGCGCAGCCTCCCTCAGATTTCCCACCAGACGTGGAAGAACTCGGCCGGTCGACCTGGACGATGCTACACAGCATGGCAGCCACATATCCAACCACTGCACCTCCGGAAACCCAATCGATAATGAAGCAGTTCATCTCTACCTTTTCCAAGCTCTACCCATGTTGGCACTGCGCCGAAGACTTTCGAGGCTGGATGGCAAAACCGGAAAACGAGCCCAAAGTCCAGGGTCAAGACGAGCTGGGGCTGTGGATGTGTCAAGCTCATAACGCGGTCAACGTCAAACTGGGCAAGTCTGAATTTGATTGCAGTTTATGGAAGCAAAGATGGAAAGATGGGTGGTAAGATGGAAGATGTGACTGATTAATGGAAACCTGAGAAGTTGACGAACCTGTACGATTACGTTATGATATGATACCCTGGGCCATGAGGAGAGGCATACATGGGGATAGATGATTGTTGGCATAGAGCATCAGCGTTGGCGCATCTCCTCTCCTGTCATATTACTATGTGTACAAAGTGACGGATGGACACTACCTTATATATATTCCACGGTACACAAGGTACACAAACGACGGGTTACAAAATTGACCTTGAACGCATATTATCTCCAAGTGCCTTCAACCATCTCAATGACGATAGAAGCGGTATCAAGAATGCCATGCAGAACCAGAGAAGGACAACATCTAAGCCGCATAGGAGTGCCTCATGTCATTGACAAAGCCCAGAGGTTCCACTTTCTGTATACAAGTTCGCCTCCCTTTTGACAGACGACCCCCTGCCTCGTCGTCTCCATCTTTCATATCACACTTTCCTGCTTTTCGCGCACATGCTCCCTCTGTCTTTCTGCTTGTTTGAACGACTAATGGTAGTTGCACATTGCGTCTGGGTTTTCTGCGTTTGCTAATTCACAATCCCGGGACGGTATCTGATCGCATGTCTGTTGTCTACTGTCTATCGTCTGGGCGATGATGGAGCCCCTGAAAACAACACAATTCGGTCTATGAAAGACCTCAGATGATCTGGCATCATCTAACGACTGTACACTATCACCAGCCATTATGCCCATGATTCGAAGGAAAACCAGCATAGCCCTGGCCCTCGGACTCTTCACCTTGATCTATCTGATCATCCGCCTGCCCAACCTCACAAAACCAAAATACGTCTACGGTCTAGATGGCCCACTATACGATCCGTCTCGATTCTCCCCCGGGACCGCCAAACCAGCCGGCGAGAATTACACACGTGTGCTTGTTATGGGGCGACTCAAATCCGAAGACGTAAGCTGGGTGTCTCGCAACCATCCAGACCTCCCGACCAAAATCTACACGGTGGACGAAGACATTTCGGGATTGCCAATGAATAAGGGGAACGAAGCCATGGCATACCTAACATACATCATCGACCACTACGACGACTTACCAGACGTGGTGCTGTTCTTCCACCCGCACGCCACGTCCTGGCACAACAACATCCTCCTCGACACCGACACGTCCAAGACGATCCGCCTCCTCAACGACGCCCACGTCGTGCGCCAAGGCTACTTCAACACCCGCTGCCACCTGGACCCAGGCTGCCCTAACTGGCTGCACATCGACCGCCCCCGCTGGCGGCAGGACCTGAAGCACAAGCCCGAGGAGCCGTTCCTGACCGAGGCGCTCTTCCATGAGCTACACGGCGCCGACGTCCCGATTCCGCCAGCCATTTCGCAACCGTGCTGTGCTCAATTCGCTGTCTCAGGAGCGCGCATCCGCCAACGACCTCGTGAAGAATATGTCCGATATCGCACCTGGCTATTGACAACCGACCTTCCCGACAAGACCTCGGGCCGTCTGATGGAATACTCGTGGCAGTACATATTCACCGGCGAGTTCGAATTCTGTCCGTCTCAGCACGCATGCTACTGCGACGGGTACGGGATTTGTTTCGAAGGCGAGGAGCCACTGCGTGAGTGGCTGGCCCTACTGGCGCAGACGGAGCCGATCAACGAGAAACTGGTTGCAATGTGGGATTCGGGCATCAAGGGCGGGAACAAGTACATGCGTCTTTTGGAGCAGACAAAGAAGCAGGGAAAGGTGCTCGAGCAGCTCCGTGACGACGCCATAAAAAGGGGATCGGATCCCAAAATCAGGGCCATGGAGTGCGGTCGGGAGTGGCAGGAGGGCGATGGATTTTGAGAATCCCAAGTCGTCAAGACAGACGAAGGAGCCACAAATCTACTCGTGAGCGTGGTTGCCTTTGAGGCATGCTGCACATGTGTGCGGCAGGAAAGTGATCGAGCATTCCGGCTCCTTGTTGACCATCCGTCACCCGACACGGGGTATGACTGAAAGATCCAACTACAAGGGTCCTGTACATAGAAAAGGTCAAAGGGTCAAACATACGATCGTGGAGGAGGCCTATCGGCTGATCGAAAGTCTGCAAAAGCAGGCATCTCTATTGAAAAATCATTGTTCCGGACATATCCCCTGGTCTGTCTGTGTGCGAAAGACGAATGGAGTGGTCAATGAGCACATGAACAGAGGACTACCTGGTACCTAAGTACGTACTGTACCGTTCGGAAACATCACAATGCCAGACCGTTTTGGAACAACGACCTCTCACTTACTTCAATACTGCCATATGAGCAGACAAGTAACTACCTATATTCATACATTATTAGCTGCCAAAGACCATGAAACATGCTCAAAGTCCTCTTGCCTTGAGCAAGTCTGCGCAACTCCATGCTGATAGCCCCTCGGAGCGGCTGCTTGCCCTCAAACGCCATTCATAATGCATACACGATACTAGATCGTAATTCCCTCACCAGTACAGTGCCACTTCCGCTCTGCAGCCTGTTTGGCGTGCCTTTCGAGTCGCAGAGATTGGCACTTGATCATTCCAGAGTCCAGTCCAGCCCAGCCCAGCCCAGCCGGACGTGAACCAAATACCTCACAGTCAGTAATTCATCACCATCTCCGCTGATCCAGTCTTTGGATCGCTTGCACCATCGAAACTTCCTGGACCATAATCATCCAGACTCCGATATCCAGGAGGACCTCTATTGCCAGCGTTGTTTCCAGTCGGGCCACCGCCACCTCGTCCCCTGTTGCCGCCGCCGATAGCTGGGCCTCCACCACCACGTGGTCTGGAATTCGAATTTGTGCCATACCGGTTACCAGAGTTGTTGTTGGAGGAGCGATTGTTAAAGTTGGCTTTGCTGATGGCATTTCGCTGCGAGAATCTACCGCCGCCAGGCCGGCCGTGACCTGCTTGACCACCGAAGTCCGAATCATCTTGGGCGTACTTGCGTTTGTGCATTCCCTCACCCGCCTCATAACCCCGTCCACCTTTTTGAGGATGTTTGCGAGGAGCGTTCGATTCTTCGATTTTCAACATCACCTTATCCCCCACAGTAGTTTCGAACATGAAAGCCTTTTCTGGGGCCACAGGTTCCCAGTCTTGAATTCTTGCAGCGTCGACTTGTCTCGATCCTTTGCGGATGGCGAGCACAACAAGCGGGGTAGGATCTTGCGTGTAAATTTGTGTTTCGGTCACAGGAGCCACCCTAGCTGCCCAAATCCGATCCTCGAATCTTGCATAGCCAGTGACCTGCCAGGTAACCTTTTTACCATAGCCGCCAACCTTTTTCAAAACGTCCTTTCTTGGAACATATGGTGTAATAAGGATGCTAGAAGCTAGCAGGCGAACTTCGCCAGAATCGATGACACCGTTTGACTGCCCTTGTATGAGGGTGATAAGCCGAGCCGAATCTGTTTGATTGATCAGATAACCAAAGTAGGAAAAGTGCTCGACAATCTTGAGATGTTTGTTAACACTTTTGGAAGGATTTGGACCTCCTGTCGTGATTGCGTGGTTATGACGACTGATGGCCTTTTGAACAACGTCAACCTCTGATTCTGGTGTGAGCGCCGACTTCAATTCGCAAACGTGAATGACTTCTGCAGTGATGGGCTTCCGCGAGGGCGGTGGCTGATCTGCTGGGTGGGATAGTAAGGATTTGTTGATGCGTTCAAAGTATTCTCGAAATCCTTTGACATGCTTTGGCCGATCTTCATAGATGCGAATCTCTTCGGCGTTCTTGTACGTAAAGACGAGCTCTCGAAGAAACTCCTGTTTGAATCCCATGGTAGTTTCGAACCGTTGTCCTGTCGGGCCCACCTCAGGTTTTAACACGACCAAGTCAAAGTCCAGCTTTTTTGCGTTGCAGATTCTCTTGACAAGGTCCTGAAAATTCGTCTCTCCCCTCCCTGTGAGCAGGACGGTGAGGACATCTTTTGACTGGATGCTCAATTCGACTAGCTGAACAATCGTCTCGTTCCACGAGCCTTCCCACGCACGGGGCTCTTCTATCTCCAGCCCTTCACCTGTCGCAGCCAGAATGCTGGCGTCATGCCACCAGCCACCGTAGGCGAGTGATTCATATGTTTGAAGCATTCCGACCGTCGGCGGGCTCCATATCTGGGGATTCGGTAAGGGACTGGAGAAAAGGGTGTTGTCGAAGTCGTAAACGTGCAATGATTTGATCGTGGGGACACCGGGAAGTTCTTTGCTTTTACACGACCAGCGCTTCAAGCCGGTTATGGAGTAGGAGGTCTTCATCTTAGAAGACATGAGGACATGTATGTTCCGCTGAGACTGCGCTGAGCAGGACAACAGGGATCGAGACAGGACTCGTTGTCATTGACATCGAGAAACAAGATAGATCGACGGTACAGAGAGAGCAAGCCGCATTTATGTCCTTTCGAAAGCTGCACGAGAGGAGAGTGCTGGTGGAGACAATTGTTCGAGATGGGAACAAGTTGGTTCGAGAGGACCGACCATACGATGTCAAAAGAAGTGCAGTCACGGGCGCTCGGCGTGTGCAGGCAAAAGTGAATTTTCTGGGGAAGGATCAAGGTTCGCTACCGGCACAAGAAATACCGACAACCCTAAAGATACGGTCTACGCCTACTAGGACCGGAAGCATCATTCGCACTCACTACCAGCAGCATAGCCTATCATACATGCCTGGATTACCTCCTTCATTCAGATTCCCCTCGTTCTCATCCACTTCGCCAGATGGCTCTCTTTCACGACGACCACGTAGACCAGTCGGGACTTTCACCATGTCCGTCAACTCCGTCCATTTTCCCCCAAGACGCGAAATTCCTTCGCACAGATGTCTCGTTTTGCTCGGTCCAACCCGGTGGTTGAGGAGCCTCCTGTGGTATATCCACGGTGTCATAACCGTCATAGTTCTCTAGAATGGCTGTCAATAATTGCCTGAACACCCTCCATGCCCTATACGCCGATGGCGAAGTTCCCGACATGCACCAGATATATGCCATAGCCTTGCGCAAATAATTGATGACATCTGGTATCTCGGTTCGGAAATGCTGGCAATCGAGAGCCATTTCCAACATCAAGACCGACGTGGCTTGTGCGACATAGTGAAGCAGCCCCCACCAGGGAAGCAGCTGGTAGGCCTCGTGGGCACTGGGACTGTCCGGCAGGATTGCCAGTAGGGACATGCCGGCATGCACGCATGCTCGCGCAGAATTTCGGTTGAATTCTTGTGATGGAAATGATTGGTTCTCGATGACAATCTCGCACAAACATGGCCGGTGCAGAATCATCTGCACGCTGTAATAATACATGGACAGCTCAATCTTGGCTCGGGGGTCGGTGTCCACGGTCACATCGCTCTGGAGGTTGAGTTCGTCGGGGAGTGCCTCGAGCCATTTCCTCAACTCTGTCTGCATTTCGCCAATCTTTTGTTGGACCTCCGACCAGGTCTCGTCGCCCGCCCCGCTATACAGTTGGGGGGCAATCTTGTCACTCAGATGGCAAAGTTGTAGTCGGTGTGGAAAATACAAAGGAGAGATGCCTTGGCCGAGCAATGGAAAACTCGTCAAAGGCACCAACCCACCCGTCATCGCCTGCGAAATCTCCCGCCTTGCCCTCAGAAAGTCGAGCCATACTCGTCTCGAGTCAGTACTGGACATTTCATTAGGCTTTCGTTGACCCTGGCTTCTCCCGGTCTCTGCGCTTTTGGCGAAAAGGGTCGTCGGAGCCGTCACATCAGATAAGAAGATGGACTTGGGCCGCCCTGTGATTTCAGATAGCAAAATCTCCAGGCTGTATAAAGAATGCCACGTCCGGGCGCGTCGCTCCTTTTCTGCATCATTGAGCCCTGGATCTGACACCTTGAGATGTAGGCCAAGTGCTGTAGCGTGCCGCGTGCCATGGCCAAGAACGTTCCATGCTCTGTCCACGAGGTCAAAAAAGTCCGCGCATTCAGATTGGGATAAACTCACCGTGTAATGGAACCATTGGACAACAAGTAGAAGGCAAGTAGGCCTATACCTTGGACTCTTTCGATGTCCGGATGATCAAAGAGAATTCGGTGGTCGAGACCAAGGGCTCGCGCCCTAGCATAGTACAGAAGGTGAGTGTCCCGCGCGTTTGGTTGCTCGAGCTTTGTTATTTGCAGCCATTTGGCTCCGACGGCCCACACAAGATTTGCCAACGCTAGCCACCGGCGTTGACCCCAGCTCGGCATGGGTCTCTGCCGTGGGTATGAAAACATCGTCTGCAAAAACTCCTCGCGAAGAATGAATGGGAAGTTGCCCTGCAAGGCATGAAAACATGCTTCCGACAGGATCAGGGCAGTGTCGGTAAGAGGCCATTCATATGGGTCAACAAGATCCTCATCAACAGCCAAAAGGTCAAAGTCATCCATCCAGAAGCTAAAGTCTGTCGCTGTGGTGATGCGGTGGTCGGCTTCCCCCATGGCAAATTCCGGATGCGTCGTGCTCGCCTGGTTCTTGATGGTTTCGGCAGCCCGTTGGATCCAAGATATCTCGGACATCTTACCCACGAAGCCGGAAGCGCCGACACCACCGTCCAGGTCAACAACATGTGCGAGTTCTCCTTGCCTGCCTGGTGAACCTACACTTGAGGCTGCGCGCTTCTCACCATGCTCGGCCCCATGCTCCGTTCCGTCTTCGCCTCCTTTCTGGAATAAATATTGAGTCGCTCTTCGCTTCTTACTGCCACTGGCCATGGTCAATGACTGGCTGCTTGATTCATGCCCGCTTTCGGACTGGTCCTGTGGATACTGTGATGAAAATGTCAGATATCCAACTCACAACGGGCTATGGAGGTCTACCTTTGACAGAATGTCAAGGACGTCGCCGTGTCTTGACGTGTCAAAGTCGTGGTCGGCTGTCAAGGAGCGAAGAGCATTCAACAGGATGTGGTTTTCACTCTTTAGCTCGTCAATGCGGGTCAGACTTTGAGCCAGATCCCTGCAACAGGTCAATTTCCCGATTTGTAGAAAAGAGTCTTGCGCACTGCATACTTCTTATTGCGTTCTCGCTTGCGGTCCCCATAGAGGCATGGTGCGTTATCCTTGACACATTTTGTACATCGATCTCCTCCGGAGCATTTAGTGCGCATTATCCTGCATCGATCGCAGGCATGTGTGGTTCGCTCCTTGCCAGCGGATGACGATCCTCGAGAATGTCGACCTGGTGGTGTCTGACGTTGACTCGGTGGTTCACCTTTGGCCAAGACCGGGCGATTAGAGCCATGTCCGCGTGATGTCGAGTCCATTCGGACGATGATATTCAACTTGTCCTCCCCGCTTCAGAGCGTGTCGAAAGGAAGATGCCCCAGTGCCCGTACATGGACTGAAAAGTTCACACGAGAATTAACGCGGCAGGAGGATCAACAGCGAACAGAGAACGTTCGGTTGGCGGATGTTCTCGTAAGGTACGTGCCCATACTGCATTGTGACCTTAGCGAAGGCGTATCGTCGATTATCTCCTGTCAAGAAGGCAAAAATCAGAAGATGTGTACAGTCAGGTATGCAGTCCAGGCAAAACGAAAAGGTTTGATTGCGAACAATGCTGTAATTAACATGGAGGAAAACATCCGTAGGTTCGATCACCCGGCCAAGCAATTTTCGGCACTTATTGCAGAAGACAGAGACAAGCAGCCAGACCATCCAAAAGAGTGTCCCTATGCCTGGCCCAAAAGGAACCCGAATATTTACGGGACTGGCCATCATCCGTCAAGTCATGTTGGGGGCTTACCTGGAGAATATTTCCGACTTGATATTTGGAGACAGTCATCGCAGAGTTCGACGAGCATTTCCAGGTGCTGTTGATCTTGCCACGAGATTGCACATGTCGTGCTGCACTGTTGGTGAGTCGTCAATTGGGCCGGGTCCCTAATATGACAATCTAAATGGATTTGATGGGCGCTTTTGGATCGTTCGTAATGCTTGTGAAGAGACGGACATTGAGCATGAACCTGTGGCCATGCACCAAGCCTGGGGCATCGAGGGAATGGAGGACATCGAGAATGTTGTCGTGGTTGAGCATTAAATTGGGTCCGCGCAAAAGAGTTCCGGGGAGGTGCAATTGGTTCCATGGTGCTGTTCTTTAGGCCTCATTGCTAGATAAGGTTCAGGAATCCTTTCCCGCTCTTCTGCGCTCAAAGCCCAAGCTCAAAGGGGGATGTCTAGCTGTGTCGGTATGGTGGATCGGGATCAAGACCGAGAGGTACAGAGCACCCATTGGGTGCGCAATGAGCGACCAGTCCATAGTACTCCTGACCCTCGCACCGCCGAGGCGAGTGCCTTGATGAGAGTCGAGATTGGAAAAGGTATCCTATAGACCGTGAGCTGCCCATGAGAAATAAGCCTCTTCGTTCAAGCCGGAAGAAATGAGTTACTGGACAGTCGGGCACACTAGTTGCCTCTTCCAGAGCCTCCGTCAAAGAACGCGACTCGACGCCGATTCATGATAGCTGATAAGTAAACCTGTTTATCTCAATCGTATTGCATGACATCTTGTTCACGACGACATGGTGTAAAACAAGAGACTTCGACCGAGCAGTCTACAGCTCGTCGACCCATATGTCCCGTCGTGTCATGGTAGATTGCCATACATCAATAATCGACTATGGCTGGTGTATGTTTGCCGTGGTACCCGGGCTGTGCAGCTGTGCTTCGGACGATCCTGGATATGACCTCGCCAGCCTTGGAGAAGTAAAGGACTGCAGATGTGTAGCCACAGTGTGCAAGAGAGTACATCGACAATTGTGTTGCCGAGAAGCCGGAAGATCGCCTAGTGCTGCACACGCGACAATGTCAACAATGACGGTATGCGTGGTGCGCTTCTTGCAGATGGCGACGGGGGGTCGCGTACCTTTCTATTTCTACCTCTCAACAACGTGACCTGGCTTGAGGTTATTTCCAACTTTAGTATTAGGTAAGGCACCAGAGGCACTTTGGGGCAATGACGTTGGAGGGGTTGCTTCTTATCCCTGCGATGGCGGCCCTTATGCCCCTCCAAATTTTCTGTTTATTGAAGCAGAGCCCAAACATCCAATCAATTTGTCCGCATGAGCTAGCTGTGCATTTCAACAGTTTTAACCATTCGTTTCGTAGACCGCATCTTTTCTTCCATCTTCTGAAACAACATACATAACTCAGCACGCTCCAGGTAACCAAGTGTGCTCGGACAATTACACCTTGTATCCTTCAGCCACCCACCTGTCCCCTGACGAGCTCCGAGTGTTCCAATCACCATGGCAAAGGTTGACCACAAGGTCGTACTCAGTGAGTCTACATCCCTCCGACCTCACTTCAATGGTCTCTGCTAAACTCTTGTCCAGTCGTGATCGATGGCTGGGGCATACCGTCCGAGACCTCGCCTCCTGAGGGCGATGCCATTGCCGCCGCCGAGACACCCGTGATGGACGAATTCGCCAAAGAAGGCTCCAAGACTGCACAAGGCTTTACCGAGCTTGAGGCTTCTTCACTCGCCGTCGGTCTCCCGGAAGGTCTCATGGGCAATTCAGAAGTGGGTCATCTCAACATTGGTGCAGGCAGAGTAGTATGGCAAGACAGTGTCAGGATCGGGCAGACAATCAAAAAGGGCGAATTAAAGAAAATTGCGAATATCGAGAAGTGCTTCCAAAGAGCCATCGACGGAAATGGAAGGCTTCATTTCCTCGGTCTCGTCAGCGATGGTGGTGTCCACAGCCACATCGATCACCTGGTCGCTTTACTGAAGGTTGCCAAAGAAATGAAAGTCCCAAAGATCTTCATCCATTTCTTCGGAGACGGCAGAGACACTGATCCCAAGAGTGCCGCTGGCTACCTTCAAGACCTTCTGGACAAAACGAAGGAACTCGGTGTTGGTGAACTGGCGACAATTGTTGGTCGTTACTACATCATGGACAGAGATAAGAGATGGGATCGTGTGGAGATCGGTATGAAGGGTATCGTCTCGGGCGACGGAGAGGACTCTACGGATCCTGTTGCAACAATCAAGGCACGATACGAAAAAGGCGAAAACGACGAGTTCCTCAAACCCATCATCCTTGGAGGCGACGAGAGAAGGATCAAAGATGGCGATACTCTGTTCTTCTTCAACTACCGCTCGGACAGAGTGAGAGAAATTACCCAGCTGCTGGGCGACTATGACCAATCCCCCTTATCCGATTTCCCCTATCCAAAAGATATTCAGATCACTACCATGACACAGTATAAGACCGACTACAAATTCCCCATCGCCTTCCCACCTCAACATATGGGCAATGTGCTGGCCGAGTGGCTCGGCAAGAAGGGCGTCAAACAATGCCACGTTGCCGAGACTGAAAAATACGCCCATGTGACGTTCTTCTTTAACGGCGGAGTAGAAAAGCAGTTCGAGGGCGAAGAACGAGAAATGATCCCCAGTCCAAGAGTCGCTACCTACGACCAAGATCCTCCCATGAGTGCCCAGAAGGTGGCAGACAAACTCAGCGAAAGAATATCCGACAAAAAGTTCGAGTTCTTGATGAACAACTTTGCCCCTCCTGACATGGTCGGCCACACGGGCGTGTACGAAGCGGCAATCAAAGGAGTCACGGCAACTGATGCTGCGATCGGCACTGTGTACGAGACCTGCAAGAAGGAGGGCTACATCCTCTTCGTGACAGCAGACCACGGTAATGCAGAGGAGATGTTGAACGAAGAAGGCAAGCCCAAAACATCACACACCACCAACAAGGTTCCATTCGTCATGGCGAACGCTCCCGAGGGCTGGAGTTTGAAAAAGGAGGATGGTGTCCTCGGTGACGTGGCGCCAACTGTACTGGCTGCTATGGGCTTGGATCAACCCGAAGAAATGGGCGGGACAAGTTTGTTGATCAAGAAGTAAGTGGACCTCGTCGCCTCAAGGTATTCCCAGCAATATCTTTAGCGACGCATGGCCCAGGCCTGTACAGTGAATCTGAGCGTTGTGCTACACTAGAAGCATGAGCTGATGAGATATGATATAGACGAAAGGCAAGCCAATTGAATCCGGAAGCGAAGGAATAGCATCCTCCTGGACTACAGAGCGTAAATTTGTGGCCAGCGCGTGGGTGGACAATGAGACAGGTGACCCCAGAGAGCCTTGAATTTCTGGACATTCGACTCAATTTTGTGCTTGCTGAGCGCCAGAGACGGAAGAGACGGAACCAGCGAATTTCTCATCTGTGATGAGTAGCGACCAGCACATCCTGGGGATTGATTACCTGCTCAATTCCCTGCCGTCTAAGCCAATTCACCTTTCATCGTGTCATGTTCATGGGGCAGAAGGCCGTCCGAGTCCGGTTGTCGCGAACGATCAGGAGACAGGCTAGAGTTTTTGTATCTGAGTGCCGGGGCGACTGTTAGTTGTATTACAGAAAGATATAGCTACGTGGTCTTTATGTGAAGACAGTCAAACATTCCAAATGCAATCATGAAGCCTTTACCTGCATGCCTCGCTGAAACTTTGTCTCAGTTCTCAGACCCATGAGGCTCACGTGACAGTGCATACGCACTAGTCCTTTTCGGAGAAAAGTCCTTCGCCAGAAGGGTCTGAGCTCCAATACGTGAAAAGTGGGTATCTTCTCATTAGTGTCTTTATACACCTATGTAATTTTTCGATTTTACTTAGTTCTTGACCTTTTTTTCTCGTTTAAGTGTATTTAGATATATAAATTAAAAAAAGACCTAAATAAAGAAGTAAAAAGTAAATAAATCGAATATATACTCGTTAAGATAAATCTTTCGTAAGTATTAAGTATTACGATTTTCACTTAAAGTTCTTCGCACTTTAGCTTCTTAATTTAATAACTTTTTAGTTTTAGGGTCGATTTAACTCGGATTTTAAATATTATATATATTAAATATAGATCTATATTATATTAAAAGCGTTAATAAAAATACCTAAAGAATAGCTATATATCTCTAAAAAATCAAGATTTTTTTGAAAATTACGATTTTCTAAAGGTCGTAGTATATAAGAAAAAATTCTCGTACTATAGTTTTAAATCAAGGTATAAAGTATTTAAGAAGAGCTCGGCACTCCCGAAATTACTAATAAAATCGAGTACGTTAAGAGATAGTTAGAGCAATATTACAAGTTTCTATACCGATATCAAAAACTTTTGGGAGAGTATTGCTAAGTAACCGCTAAGAACAGGGTTTATGACGTATTAGAGCTCAGACTCGTTTGGCAAGAAATTCTGCTGAATTTTTTGATTGGCTCGCCAATCCTGCCATACCTGTCTGAGAACTGAGACTACTGAAACTCGTAGCATACTGATGACTTCCCCTTGCAGTTAGAGGTAACACAGTAGCGTCTTTCTTCGGGCCCCACAAGCCGATATAATTTTATACATTTACTAACAACTGCATATGACTCTAGAGACCTTAGTTGATCGATCATATTTGTCCGTCAAGACCACTTACGAATGAACATAATCCATGTTCTCACAACGTACTCGATAATAATCCGTGGATCTTTTTTCGCAACTGTTGAGGTCGCAGCGACGGACGCATTTCTTTCGGCTATCAGCTGTACACCACGATCGCTCTGAGCATACGAAGGGCTTAGAACTTTCTCCAGCTCGGCCTTGCTTGCCGGCCAGGACATCTGATCGTGGATCTGAGACATAGGGGTGGATACATTTGCAGCGACGGGAGCATATCTGAAAAGATGTCATTAACAGAATCGACGCCTGAGGCGGCGGCCAGGGCGGCCTCACTTTCAGCGCGAGGCCTCGCAGTTCTCCCAGTCTCGGCTCGGAACGATGCTCTCACAGCCATGCATGACGCCCTGATGGCCAACAAAGAAGCAATCCTTGCAGCCAACGCTCGGGATATGGCCCTTGCGACATCTGCCTCCGAGTCCGGCCAACTGAGCCAGAGCGTGCTGAAACGTCTCGATCTCTCCCGCCCGGGCAAGTACCAAGACATGCTGTCCGGCATTCTCGATGTACGGCGGCTGGAAGACCCAATAGGCAAAGTTGACCTGCGCACGAAACTCGACGATGGACTCGAGCTCGAACGGGTATCGTGTCCGATCGGAGTGCTGCTGATCATCTTCGAGGCGAGACCCGAGGTTATCGCCAATATTGCGGCGCTGGCAATCAAGTCTGGCAACGCAGCTATCTTAAAAGGCGGAAAGGAGAGCACGAATTCCTTCGAGGCCATCGCCAACGTCATTGGAGCTGCGCTAGATGTTACGCAGGTGCCCAACTCAGCTATCCAGTTGGTCAAGACGAGAGATGTCATTGACCAGCTACTGGACCTAGACAGGTATATTGACCTCGTCATCCCACGTGGTGGAAATGAATTGGTCCGATATGTCAAGGACCACACAAAGATTCCGGTATTGGGTCATGCGGATGGGCTGTGCAGTGTTTACTTGCATGCAGATGCCGACAAGGACATAGCTGTGAAAGTCGTGGTGGACTCAAAGTGTGACTACCCTGCAGCGTGTAACGCCGCCGAGACGTTGCTGGTGCATGAAAGCGTGTTGACGACGGTGCTCCCGGCCGTGGCGACAGCATTGTTTGCAAAAGGCGTATCACTGCGGTGTGATGAGAAAGCCAAAGCCGCCTTGAAGAAGGCATTGCCGCCTACATCGGCAGCTTTGGTACAGGATTCGACCGAAGAAGATTACAACACCGAGTTTCTCGACTTGATCATGGCAGTCAAAACTGTGCCTGCTGTATCACACACGAATGGTGACACACCGGCGAGCCAGACTTTAGGAGAAGATGCGTCTCTTGATCTGGCAATTGCCCACATCAACAGTCACGGCTCCAAACATACAGATTGCATCGTGACATCCTCTTCGGAGGCAGCCGAGAAGTTCATGTCCTCGGTAGATGCGGCTGGCGTGTATTGGAATGCGTCGACACGTTTTGCAGATGGAATGCGGTACGGCTTTGGCACAGAGGTCGGCATCAGCACGAACAAGATCCACTCTCGGGGTCCTGTAGGTCTGGAAGGCCTTACGATCTACAAGTACAAGATCAGGGGCCACGGTCAAACGGCTGGAGAGTACGGTGATGGTGTGGGTAAAAGAAAGTACAAGCATGAGAAACTAGACGTTTGAGAATTTCATGGCGAATGGAAAGAGCAGGTCGGAGCAAAGTAGTTACCACAACCATAGAGGGTTTGTATACCAGTGCGGCAACAATAAATCTTGCCTTTGAAAGGTGACCATGGACGAGAACGGGTTTTATCAATGGGAAATTCTTGGTCATCGTATCCATATTCTGATCGAGCACACCATGCACCTTGGAGCAGCACCATCAAGACCAGGATGCCTCGCACGACCGCTGCTTGAAGCACGCGCTTGATCCTTCTTTTTGCATCTGCAGGAAAAAGCACATCACCGCTATGCCTCGAAGAAATGCGCCGTCCATCAATCTGACCAGCCAACACTTCGGTTTTTTCGTCTTCATTCCCAGTATCACTTTGTCTCCGTTTACACCTTGAAACCCTTCGACCGTCTTCGTCCTCTGGCTCTCTCGAACTTGCGTCCCTTGCTCTCGACGTAAGGCTTCTTGTGGCTGTGGGGTCCGAATCCGAAATGCTTGACCGCCTCACGGGCGTTCTTGGGTCCGCGGAGCAGGACGACGTTGCTTCCGGTAGGGTGTTGCATGGCGAGTTGGTCCAGAGTCAGGCATTCACCGCCGGCCTTCTCGATTCTCGCACGGGCAGTAGCCGTGAACCGTAGCGCAGCAATGTGAAGTTCCGGAACGGTCAACATGCGGTTGTCGTCGGTGACGGTGCCAACAACAGCGATGGTCTTGTCTTTGTAGGCTTTTGAAGCGGACTCGGTAGTGACTTTGCTTGCGATGCGGGAGATGGACATTGGAGGGCGGTTGATTCGCGACATAAAAAGTCTCTTCAGAACGATCTTGTTGAAGTTCGAGTCGGTGCGGCCTGAAAAATCAATTGTCAGTCTCCTGTGTCCGTCTTCTGCTGTTTCAATCGATCTTGTAAACGTACGGGCAAGGAAGCGGTAGAGCTTCACCAAGAGCTTGAGGTAGACATTGTCGCTCTTGGGCGCCTTGCGATGGCTGCTCTTAACGTGATGGCGATCGAGGTCGATACCTGTGCAGTAGAGGTCAGTCTCATCATAAACGTTGTATCAGAATTCGCTTGACCATACCCATGATCGCGATGTGTGCTGATTGTGCTGGGATTGAAAAGTGTCGACGACGTCCTTCAAGTCTCTCCCAAAAAACGAAGAGCGCCGATTTTGCAGAGTGCGCAGTGGTGCGGTTTCCATGCCAAGATTTAAGCGAGCTAGACCGTCTTCAGACTAGTGATTGGATAAAGTCACGTGACGCAACTTGATACCACATCAAATTCATCGTGAGCAATACTTGAATCTCTTATTCTTATCTCATGCTTCCTCCCCGTCTACGGCCACAATTAGGCCCGTAATCCGTGTGAATGCAGGCTCGCCTAGTCTTCGGGACCGGAAACGCTCACAGTCTACGACAGGCTCTTGATACTCCAAAAAATGCCCGTGTCTTGTCTCTAATTTTTTCCTGATCCTTGACTCCATGAAAATGTCCCATCGGCCATGTTATGTCAAGATATACAGTTGCCGACCTGAATAGCCTCCAAACTTCTTAGGAAAGAAGCCGACATCAGGAGCGACATGCCTTCTTCGTCTTTTCTTCGCGTATAGTTGTTCCATGCTCAGACTCGACTCTCTGAAAGGCTCTCTCTCGGTGGTGGTGAATGCTTCTCAAAAGCCATTCATATTGGATCTGACTTTTGTGGAGCCAGCTCGACAAGATAATCTCTCGTCATCTCAAAGCTGAGCCAACTGCTAGCCATACTGGGAGCAACCTTCAGTAGATTGGGCACTATTCCTTTGTAAAGCCCCAAGACTCCCTCCTGTCCAACAATCGTTCGGATAGCATCCCATATTGACTTGTACTGGTACCCCATGCCGGACATGGAATTGATCTGAAACCGGCGGCGAAGTACGTCGAATGGATAAGTGCATGTTTGAGCCACAGCTCCAGAAATGGCTCCTGCGGCAAGCTTCCGATACCAGGCGGGATTCTTCTCACCAGGTTCGGTGAAATAGTGCCTGACCGACTCATACACCATAAAGTTAAGACCGACGTACGGCGCAACGCCCGCAATGGTCGGAATTATGCCTCGATACAACCCAGCCACACCTCCTTCAGTTTTGTACATGTTGGACATCGTTTGCCACATTCCCGGCAACTTGCCCTCGTGTCTACCAAGGGCGGCGAATGAGGCAGACTGTATCGACAGACGTGTCCGTACAATGTCGAGGGGATATGTAAAGGTCACGGATGTAACGCCAGCCAAGCCACCACATAACAGACGTCGGAGCGGGTCGAGATCGGCACCAGGTGTAGGTTCAAAGAATCGTTTGTAGGCGTTGTATGCCCCAAACTGGACAGCGGAGTAAGGCACAATACGTACACAGTTGGTGCCGTTCCCTCTCATGAAACCTCTCCAGCCCTCATCTGTGTACATTTTCCGCAGCGCTTTTGCGATCGACATCTTGTATTCATTGCGACCCACACTTTGTATTTGGTAAAGGATTTTCAATCGTTCCAGGGGAGAAACGACGGTCCGGGATACTGCTCCTGCAACGCCTCCGGCGCAGAAGGCGGCTGTGAATGGTGTGGAGATGAACGCACGCGACCGCGTGAGAAAGTCGTTTGTAGCCATGGCTGTCGGCGTCTACACCGTTCAATTAGAATCATACCCAGCACAGAAGCACCCCGGACACGAACCTCTGACAAGCTTGGCAGGTCCCGTAGTGAAGTTGTACTTTTCGAGATATTACCACTCACAGTCGTCGTTGGATCTTTTTCTCCAAACCCCATGACACTGACTTTGACGCGCTGTCCACGCTCTTTCCGATAGTGGACGACAGGGAAAGTAAGCCTGTGACTCTAACGCAGGAGATACGCAGGGTAACGGGTTCACACCAAGTGTTCTCGTAGTGTTGTCTGAGGCTGTGGAGTCCATGGAAAACTTTTTCTAAGATCCTTGTCTGTACGAAGGCATGGTATGTTGTACAGTCTCTTTGCCCGGTCGCAGATATGGCAGAGAACAAGCCAGGTCGTGTGAGCCTGCTTCCAAAGTCGTCCACGGGTGGAGGCGATGCTGTGAAGAAGTCGTGACGGGGCAATTCGGAGAGAAGCGAACGGAGTCGTCGATCTAAGGATCGGAAGGGTCTGAAATAGTGATTGCAAGGAAAACAGGATTGGTAACCTTGATCGTGAACCGCAGCGCAGAGTCAAAGATGTTATGTCTTGTATAAGTGAATCGCTCTAGCGCATCCATATTCTTCTTCCCGATCGGTGACTACTACGCCCAAGCGTCTGCGTTTCACGATCACCAGATTGCCAAGGATTTGAGAAGCTAATGGTTGCCGCCTTGCCTTTGCACCTGCGACATCTTCTTTTCCATCTCCCCAACCACCACCCTCGCATTACCATTTGTGGCCTCGCTTTACAGTCAACCCATTCATTTGGCGAAGTGCCATCACACTTCCTAAAGTTCCTTTTGGTTTGCCAGCTGGCTGCTTTTCAACATGTCAACCCGATCAGGCACGACCCTGTATGTCACAGGTTTTGGTCATGGCACTCGTGCTCGTGATCTTGCCTACGAGTTCGAACATTATGGACGCCTTGTGAGATGCGACATCCCAGCTCCACGAACTGCATCCAGCCGATTGTGAGTGTTAACGGCCGTCGCACGACCAAGTGATCTAACAGCATGACAGGTTCGCCTTTGTCGAATACGAGAGCCGTCGTGATGCTGATGACGCCTATCATGAGATGCACAACAAGAGAATCGGAAGAGATGACGTTCTAAAGATCGAGGTGCGCTGATTTTTAAGAAAAACATCGTTGCATTCACTCACAGCAGTCTTAGTGGGCCAGAACCCCTCCGTCTGCGACCTGGCGCTATGAAGCTGGACGAGGTGCCCGTGGTGAAGGTCGTGACGGTCCTCGTGACGCCCCTCGTGACGCCCCTCGTGAGGGCTCCCGCCGTGAACGCTCACCTCCCCGACGCCGCTCTCCTTCCCCACGCCGTCGCGACTACTCTCCTCGCAAGGACGATCGCCGTGACCGAGGTGACCGTGATCGAGAACGGGATCGCGACCGAGACTATGACGACCGCCGCCGTTCCCGCAGCCCTGTCGATCGAGACCGTGATCGAGAAATGAAGGATGATCGGGACCGCCGCGACGATGATCGTGATGGAGCTGCCAATGGTGACGACCGAAAAGGTACGATGGATATTGACATTGGTGCTCCCTGGGCTCAAAGCTGACACCCGTATCAGCCGTCGATTCTCCTCCTCCCGCGCATGACGAGCTCGACACTGCCGAGTAGAGCTGGATCCTCAGCAATCATCGGGCGCATGCTTGGACAAAACTCACAGCAGCAAAAGTTGATATTCAAGGACGATAACTGAACAGGTTTTTCTTCAATCCGTCATTGACAGCTTTACATCGGTATCTCAGCAGCAGAGCACGACTGAAAGCTGCAGACAAAGACGAATGGTGGTTCGATTGACTTGACATAGAGATTAGATCGACATCGGTCGAAGGTACAGGATCGGCCTGTACAACGGACGGTTTTTCGGATCAGCCATTACTTCGATAGCGTTGACTCGATCGAGACCTCGATGCGAACAATCGGACGATATCTAGACACGCATGCACCGCCGCTTCTCCCTGCTCCTTGCCCGTCGAGACGCCATGACCGTCAGACCTTGTCATCCGCCGCCCTCGTTGTCCTCGTACCCCTCGCACAATCTTTCGAACATCGCTTACTCAACCCTCGCCGGGCTTTTTCTCACCAGCTTCCAGTCCGTCCTTCGTCCCTCCTCATCCACGATTGTATACCACGACCGACACAATTACTGTCATTCCCCTCCCACCGCGCCCGAGTCACGTCTTCCCCGCTCGCATCATCGTTCAAGTGGCCACTTACCCCTTCTCAACCAGCCGCTTTTCACTTTCCCTTTCTCAATCGCCGTTGTGGCCATTGGTTTGTACCGCCCTGATGACGAAGACGTAACAGTCTTTGTTGGCACAGCCGTTGCAGGTAGGTTGCTGGGAATTCATATCTCGCGAGCCATGCTAGCAGGTACAGTTTGATTGTTTACTAGTAATACATAAGGTTCTTCCAGCTTTGTTGAATTTCGCTGGATTATTCCAACTCGATATGTCCGGGTCTCGTCGCGCTTCAATATCAGATGCTTTCTACTGTCCCCAGCCAAGTGACGCCTTTCATGCCCACGAGCTGAAAAATGATGCTTCGCATCCGTCGCGTACACACCTATCGGCAAATCTCGTGTTCAGCTCCGAGATCATTGCTTGCTCAACATCCAAGTCAATAGGTCAACCTTGGTAACAACAGCAATTGGCTTCAGCCCACTCGCTTTCCCATTACCAGAACCCTCGCCCTGGTCCCGCTCCGTAACGATGGCGGCACTTTGCCACTCGAAAAATCTGTTCAGTGCGCTTAGGGGAGTGTCCTTCGTGATCTCAACAAAATTCTTTCTCTTATGACGGGATTTGTCCTCCTGGCCCTCCGTGTCCTCGCTCAGTTCGCCCGAAAGCGTGGAGTCAGTGCCCTTCAAGTCGCTGAAATCATGTGGATCGACAGTAACCTCGCTGATTTTGCTGAAGTCGAACATGACGTCCGATACTGGAGATTCGCCAGTCGCGCGACTATGGCTGATGCGAGACAGGAGGTTACCCAGCGTGACAAGACCCACCAGGCGGCGGCCCGTGGGGGCAAGAACGGGGAGTTGGTCAAAGCCTTTCTCGCGCATGACTTCGATAGCGGCGGACGCCGGCGAGTCCGCCGTGACGGTCTGTACGGGTTTCAGACGCAGATCGCTGACCCGGGCGCCGTGAAAGCGATCCTTTTGCTTGGTGCTCTCCTTTTTCGACTCTTGGGGAGATGTTGGCTCAGGCGGGGGTGTTGGAGGCAGAAGGTTATTTGCGGCAAGCCAGTCGTCGTCGACGAATTTGGTCAAATAAGATCGAATACTGTCCGGTAGAATAGTCACGATAACGTCGTCCTTGCCGAGTTTGAGGTCCCTGGCCGCCGCAACGGTGGCTGCGAGCGCCGAGCCGCTGCTTCCGCCCACCAGTAGACCTTCCTCTGCGATCAAGCGTCGAGAATAATGAAAAGAGTCGCTGTCGTTAGTCTTGTACCATTTGTCCACGACTTCCTGGTCTAGCACGTCTGGTATGAAGTCGTAGCCGATGCCCTCGACTTTGTATGGCTGATTCGCATATTCTTCGTTCAATTGGGTGGGCAGAGCAAGGATCGAACCTTGTGGGTCTGCCGCAATGATCTTGATGTTCTTGTTGTGCTTGTGCAAGCCGCGGGCCAGACCTGTGATGGTGCCCCCAGTCCCGGCGCCTGCTACGAGTGCAGTTATCGTCCCGTCGGTCTGGTCCCAGATCTCTTCGGCGGTGCCCAGCTCGTGGGCAAGTGGATTATCTGGATTGCCGTATTGGTCAAGGATATGTGCGTTGGGTATTTCTTTCTCCAGTCTCCTTGCGACGCCGATATGTGATTCGGGGCTGTCGAATGCTGCTTGTGTAGGGGTTCGGATGATGGTTGCGTTCAATGCCTTCAGGACTGCAACCTTCTCCTGAGACATCTTCTCTGGTAGGGTGATGATGGTCTTGTAGCCTTTGACGGCAGCAACCAGGGCCAGTCCTATACCACTGGTGTTTCCGGTCAGCCCATCCTCCGCTTTGCGTGCATACCACAGGACTCACGTATTCCCACTGGTTGGCTCTATCAGGGTGTCCCCGGGCTTTATTCGACCCGACTTCTCTGCCTCCTCGATCATCCGAAGGGCAATGCGGTCTTTGACACTTCCGCCTGCATTGAAGAATTCGCATTTCGCGTATATCGTCGCTTCGATACCGAGAGATTGTGGGATCTTTTGGAGTCGGACAAGGGGTGTCTGACCGATGAGTTCTAACACCGAGGCGTGATTGCCCCGCGCATGGAGGCGTTTGTCAGTTGTATTCATGACTGTAAATGAACGAAAGAGTTGTCGACAACAGTTTTCCTGGCAAGAACTTTCATAAATGTAGTACTTCGAACACGGTTTTGATGTCGTACTGGCAGAAGCACGTAACTGCGGTATATGTAGCCGGGGATAACCGACGCGTTCCACCCCCACCGATCTTGTGTCTACCTGGTATCTTTGACATGTGATGTGTACCACAGAAAGTCCCACTACACTATAATCTGGAGGATCGCCTTTGAAGGTAGAGCTACTTGTAAACTGACATCTACATCATTGGCACGGTATTGTAGGGCTGACTTCGGAAAGCAGCCAGCTGGACTGCAGTCAACACAGCATCGCCTTCCCCAATTCTCAGTGACGCATTACCTACCTGTAGCTAAATGCAATGGATGTCTTCTCCATACTATGGTCGTATCCAATTCGTCCGATTACTTCGTGTGAGATACTTGCCAGTCAAAATGCTCTGTTCATCAAATGACGTGTTTCTTAGGTCTGATCGGGGATTTCCTGCAATGAATGTGACCAAGCACCAATGTACCTCGTCGCCTCCTCAGTAGAAATGATCCCAGTTCTGGGGAAAATTCAGCCCTAGTCCCGGGAAGATCAATGCAGTTCCGAAAACTGGTAGTGTGTCAATAATTGGCTAGGTTATCGCGTGATTTGACTTGATTCGTCTTGTTTTGTCCATGAAAACGTTTTGCAGACGATATGGCATTACAGAAACTCCGTGCAATAGACAAGAGCCACTCCTTCGTGATCGCGTAACAGCATGACCAATGGGACTCGTTATCTGGTCCCTGATCCCCAAAACAATCGCTATGGATTACAAAACCACGAGACTGACTGGCTCGTCCTCCTCATCAGGACATCCTGACCAACTCTTCTCCCTCATGGGAGGGCGGACAACCGTTTGGAGGGCAATTTGCCGTACCCGAGGTAGGAGAAAGTCCCTGCCTCCAAACCTCGCACGAGGCCGAAGTACGTTATCGCTATGGCGCTGGGCCCTTTCAGATCGGCGCACGGCGGTATCGTGGTAGGTAGGTGCATGATGGAGTTACAGCATGGGCCGTCATGCCAGGAGGACCTGCGGCGCACCTTTCAGGAATTGGCAATCACAGAAGCTTTGTCGCATCACCTCATTCCTCAGAGCGACGACCTCGTCATGTAGAGCGTGAACCAGTGATGTTTGGACGTGCATCTTTTCTTCTTCCCTTTTGCAGCGGTTTTGGAGGTTCTCGATGAAGGCTTTCTGCCGATTCCGACACTTGGTAGCTGCTTTGCGATTCAGCTCCAGCTCTCGAGCATGCTTATCGGAGCGGGGAGTGATGCGGCTGGAGATTGATTTTCTAGGTCTTGCTGGTGTGTTGCGGGGTCGATACGAGTCGTTGGACAAATCCGAGGTTGCGAGAGATAACCGGCGGATGGCGCGTTGGCGATCGAGAGAGGTGTAGTCAGTCATCGAATCGAGGGAACCATGGCCACTGAGGTCGAGAGAGCCTGACCGGCTGAGAGGCGAATTGGATGCTTCGGATGTTGTGGGGGAGTTATGTAGCTCTTGAGGTTGGACGAACTGAGGGATAACGTCGGGTGGCAGAGTGGTTGGGTTGTTGTCTGCCGTCGGTCGAGAGAAGAGGTCTTGAAAGTCGAACATGGAGGAGGGGTTGTCGAAGTTGACACTCTGAGGAGATTTGAGATTGGAAGGCATGGGAAACTGCCAGAGGTTGAGGTCGTCCGTGAAGGATTGCGATGCCATAGCGACAGCCATGACAACAGTAACAACAGGGAAGAAGCTGAGTGAAGTGTTCTACCACGGTTTGGGTCAATGATGGTTGAATGAAGGCAAGGCTAGGTAAGGTGTCATCAAACAACGATTGAATGAAGAGAAATCAGCCTATATCAATAAGAGCAAGAGGTAGGAAGCATTGGGGATAAAAAGGACATTGTAGCAGTGTCGTCACAGCAGTGGGAATGGGATGGGCAACGGTCTTTGCCACTGGAAACCCAATCCGAAGGATAGCAAAGACTGAGCAAGGCGCGTCTTGACCTCTGAATGAGCATTTGCCGATGGGTTTCTAAACCTCGAGAGTCCCAGCGGATATTTCGTCCGGGGATGGGAGGGATCTCTTCAATTCTAAGAAAGGGAATCGCTCCCCGCATACGACAAGGGACCACAAACTTCAGGAATGGAAAGCCTGGGAGGAAAACCATCGGAAAGTAAATGGGAATCGGAAAACCACTGGTCAAGAGAAAAAGCTTCGACTGCTACATGTGGCTTTGTGTCCTGGTTCCTCTCGCTAAGCTCGCAGGGCAAGTCAACAGGTGGCAGGCCGTGTCCATGGAGAAAGACATGTGGAACGGAATGGAAAGGCAAGGGGAAAAACAAGCCCGATAACTTAGTGGAGGGCGAGAAATGAGCACCGGAGAAAACTGCCAGCCTTCTTATACCAGATAGATCAAGCCCTCCAAAGTCTGTGGATATGCTATCCGACACCTTGAAGTGCGACATCCACCACCACTGATGGACTAAACGATGTCATGGTGCAGAATCGTACCTTAGACGATACGACAACGCTACTCCGTGCATGACTGTCCTAGCCAATTTAGCCGATGTTCCAATGTCTCCCGGAAGTTCGATCAGTTCGCGAGTCAATAACGGAGATCGAGTTCCCGTCTTTTCTCATTGGCTATTGATTCCTACTGGCCTTGTCTTTATTCTCACTCTCTGTCTACTCGTATTGCAAACCAAAGCCCCACGGTTCCTTGGCCACGTTATCAAGGGGAAGCACTGAAGATTTCTCGGAAGCAAGTCCCTCCCTCCCTTCCCTCAAACCAACCGCCCACCCACCATCGTACCAGCTAGCCAGCGGTCTTCCAAGAGACCCAATGTATGCGGGGCGACGATTGACAGCCTTTGTCCCGGAAATGTCCTCAGTGCCGTTGTCAATCCCATGTCACACTGTCACACAACGCACGCGATTGCCGAAGAAGACTGTTGCCACCACGTTTGGCATGCTTAGCAGAGGTGCATATCGCTTTATGGGTCCGTTCTGGGACGCTGGGAGGAGGCGATGCTCTCCGTTTGGGATCCCACCCTCACCCCACTGTCAAGCTGCCCTTTTTGAAGCCATCCACCCCCTATAGCCTTTTTCAACGGTCAATAATGTCAAGAGGCTAAGACCGAGAATCTTGATAAAATATCAAAGTTGCCTCAAAACTTCGATTCATATATCGTTTTTGTGACATTGTATACCCTGCTCATAACCAACAACATCCCATTCGAAGCCGGCTTGTATCGCAAATACGTCGACTCTGTTATAACAATGCCCAAGGCAAAGTCTGCATCCACTGGAAAGGGTGGTGATGGATCAAAACGCCGTACACGTCGGGCATGTGATAGATGCCGTTTGAAGAAAGCCAAATGCGATGGTGCTCTGAAGTGTCGAACATGCAAAGCAGGTGGTAGTGTCTGTGCATACACTGCAAGAAGGGGACGAGAGGCAAGAAGCTAGCGAGTACAATTCCATGCCTGGTGTGAAAGTGGAAGACATTGACAATTCCCATCAGCTATTGCCAAATGCGCGACGTCATGGATGAAGCACTCCAACGACTATACTGGGCTTGTCGGCAAAAAGAAAACTTCCCAGGAGATGTGCCCGATGAGTCACCTGGCACCGTCACCACCGACGCCATCCTCACGGGCCTTCACTTGTCGGGACCGGCTCTTGATGGTCCCTTACAAACAGGTCAAGCCACAGGAGATCTTGAACATGACGATACATATCACCAGATGATTACATCTGTGGCCGAACCAGATTCTCGCAGCAGCAATAACACTACTTCACATTCGCAGTCGTCCCCTGCCAGTCCATCAACGTACAGTCAACGGCTTATCGCTAGCCCTTCCCTAAATTCACAATCCGAAAACGAACCGAACTTCAATATGCATATGGACATGCATCCGCAGACGAGGCAACTGTCGTCTCATGTCCCAGCGCGTGGATCTATTCATAAATTCGCCAGGCTCGATGCAAGCACAGAGAGCTCAGCACACAGCAACCACGCTGGCGATCCATATCTGGATGTTGATGCTTTCCTTGACACAAGCTCATGCACTGTCCCTGCGGTATTCAGACCGTCCGACGATTTCGCTGCGGCTATGCTGTGGGACACTGGTTCAAGCAGATCGCCACATTTCCTTGACCAGCAGAGCCTGGCAGGGGCGGTTGACGAGAGCTACCTAGCTCCTTGGCCAGGATCATTGGCTGCGGCTTATCAGTCAGTACTTGCAGTATAAGTGAGTAACGGCTAAATGCCGCTGGAGGAGTCCATGGTTCTGTTTGGGTGGTCTTAGATTCCAGAGACCTGCAATCAATCTTACGGCTGGGGCACATTGGATATGGGAGGCTAGGTGTTACTTGGCAGCGTTCGTTGGGTGATTATCATTGCGTTCCTTATTGCCACAGCCTAGCGGCCGTTCACGGGCCTTTCCAGGCATCTCGTCCGAGACATCGTTCTTGCACCGAGTATGGCCGTTCATGCCATTCTACCATTCACAGTCGATGGGATTGAGAGCCTCGGACGCTTCTCTAGTTTTCAACTCGTCGATCACCAGCCTCAATCCAACTGTGGGGGCAGAGGAGCACCGGGGGCAGCGGTAGAAGAATCCTTGCAGATGTGATTCGCCACTCTCAAGGGATCTACTTTACACCGGCTTGACATCTACTGCGACACGTCTCGAGTGCTCGACATCGGTTACGGAACGATCTCCAGTGGTGATTAATAAGAATATGAGTACCACGTCCGTCGTCGAGCCCTGAATAAGATCATTATGGTGGGCACCTGTCAGCTTTCGTGCAGCACGGTCAAGCAACCTCGTCGCCACCCTATATGGCTCGGAATACCAAGACACTGGCGTGACCAGTTTCATATTCCGGAACCTTTTGACCCATTGCCGAATATATCCCTTTATAATGGGTCCTTTCCCCAGGCATACGCTCCTCTGGTGGACGGAGCGGCAGTGGCCCGGGCAAATAATGATCTGTTCTTCTCATGGGCGGAAAGTCAGGATTAAGGTCAAAAGCTACAGCATGAACTCTGCTTGCGGATTCACGCCACGAGTTACAGTAGTGAGTCAGCATGCTTTGGTACGAGCGGATCGTATTGACAGTATTTATGGGGATCACAGATCAGGAAGAGGCACGGACAGCCAGCCGCCGCGCTAGACCGCGTTTCAACTCAAGCGGGCCTGGAAGTCTATATCGACAGTTGAGGGGGAGATCTAAAAGAGGGGTTCCTTGCGGCTCGCCTTCACCTGCCACGGTCCACGGATGTGCACATCCTTCTCATGGACAACTTCCCCACCAAGGATTATCTTTCACCAAAACAGGTGGTGTCCCAACGACTCTCCCCAACTTCGACGGAATCATTTCCATTCAGGCACTAGCATCAGCGATAGGACCTTGCCAATCATACACGACGCATACCGGTCGACTCGTTTAGGTCTGTCTCGACATGTACGTACATCAAGTTACAGTAGATATTGGCCCGCCACGCACTTCGCACCGCACATGCCGTTGGCACATGTCAAAGTCTTGGTATGGCTTTTGCCCGTCGATTGAAAACAACTGGATGGTACTGTGGCCCTGGGAGGCTGAGGCCAGACTGAATGATCAGCGCCTTGCAGGTCCTCTAGCAGGTAGGCATGATGTCTACCGACAATCCGAGTGGTAGAGACGGAGAAAAGTCGAGGTAAGACCGCAGCCAAACGGAAAAGTGTTGCTGGATGAATGACATGGCGTCACAACAATTCCGGTCTATTTCCTCGAGCTTCTATTGGGTACAATGTAAGATATACGATGTCTTGCATTGATTTTCACGTATGATAAAGGCATGCTTCACAACGTATTTGTGTACAAGTCATCGTGGCCCGAGCTAAGCAAGTTGAAAGCCTGCATGTAGAAAGCCAAAAAGCCGCTCATGGCTCGCCACTGGTTGGCCCTGGCTGATACATAGTTCAACGTACAAATGTACATCATTACTTACCACTTGCTAGGTGCTGAAACTACTGTCCGCGAGAAAGTCGCGCTGGCTTGTTCCAACTTCTGCTGTCTTTGCCGCGCAGTGATACCTGTCCGATCAGTCACAGGCGTTGCATTGACAATCTGGTCGAAATCGTCGTAATCGTCCCCACCCGAGCCCGATTCCGCGTCCGAGTCAATCAGCGCCGGTGGCTTTGTGGCTAGCACTGCAGTGCCGTCCTCTTTCTCTTCTGGTTCCTTCTTGCGCGAGTCCTGCGGAGAGAGCGACTCGCTGAAGGGCTTGGACGCAAGTATTTTACGCCTAATTTCAGCCATCGCTGCCTCTTCGTCCTCATCATCCTCGTCTGGGGGCAAGTCTAGCGGCACGCCCTGCTGGAGTGGTGCTCCGTCCTCTTCGTCGGAGTCTGCCGCGGCGCTATCGTCGTCCGCTGCGCCGTCCTTATCTTCTTCATCGTCTTCGTCGTCTGACTCGAACACGTCTCTTCTGTTCATGTTGCCTCCTGCCCAGTCATCTTCCTCATCCGCGGGGTCCTTTTGGCGGCTCTCAGAGTACTCCTTCTCGAGCTTGGCGAGCCATGCCTCCTCGGCCTTTTTCATATCTTCTTCATTCTCGCATGCCGCGTACCGCTTGAACAGCTGCGAGTTGATTTCCAGGAACGGTTTCCCGTATGTGAAATGCTGGAGGGCAATCTCCGCCCAATCTTGATGGCCACATATGCAGAAGCACGCGGCTAGCGCTTCGACGCAGTTCAGGCGCCACGGTTTGCCATAGTTCACGGGGTTGGCCGCCACGAGGTAAGGCAGTAGGCGCTCACACTTGCCGCCAATCCTAGACCACGGCACTTCTTGTATGCGCACCCACGAGCATTCCACCACCGCTGCACCGTACTGTTCGAGGAGCTCCTTATCTGCGGGAGACACCACTCGCTTCGCGTTAGGACTGTGTCGGGGGTTTCGTCAACTCATCGGCAACACAACATTGAGAGATGTCTCTACTTACGAGATGACAACGCCCGGATACTTTTGGCCGATGGGTAGTTCGCGCATCATGCCGAAATGCATCAGCCTCTTCCCGCTACATCGTTTCGAATCGCAGTGGCCAAAGTCCCAGCATGCTGCTTTGAAGGGAGGACGTTCCGTAGCGCCACCAGTTTCGCCTTCGAGTCCGCCTGAACGTGCTGTATGTCGAGAGTTGGTCGAGTATTTCTTCGCTTTCCCAGAAGGGTTGTCTTTCTTGTGACGCACCATGTCTGTAGTTGTAGCACTGTATAATTGATGATTTGGTAGGTGAGATATACGATATGCCGGAAGTAAAGGTCAGAAAAATATATGTCGTTAGCATGACCTCAAGCATTATCCACCAGGGTCTCGATAAGCCGCCGCCAAGCGTCTTATCTGCACGTGCTTTTCGAACGATCCGAGGTTCTACCGCTTTTCGATGTTTTGTTCGTCTTGGAACCAAACTCGAAATCGACCTGTATTTCTTACACCAAGTTTGTCACCATGGGTCTAGCTGTCCTGCCGCCAGATCCTGAGGAGGATGTACCTCAGGGCTCGACATACGATGATAGTCCGAGCGACAGTGACACTTCGATGCACGAAGACGGCCGGCCATCAAAACGTATGCGGTTCTCTCCATCAAGTTCCAGGCAGATAGTACTGCCTGGTGAAACTGTCACGGATGAGACACAATGGATGAGGTAGGTGCGGCTCACTGGCGCACACGAAAAACACCACATTACTGACAAATCGACAGAGGCCACGGCACCTACATGACCGACGGCTCAACCATTATTACTGCTACGCTTGCAGGCCCCCTGCGAAAAACAAATAAGCTGCTATCAGTCGCACCATTGCGAGCAAGATATACTCCCGAGATCGGTGACTTGGTAGTCGGGCGCATTGTAGAAGTCCAGAAGAATCGGTGGAAAGTGGATGTCGCAGCACCCCTGCTCGCGCAATTACCTCTATCCTCCATCAACCTGCCAGGCGGTGTTTTGCGCCGACGAACAACAGCCGATGAACTGCAGATGCGTAACTACTTCCAAGAGGGAGATCTATTGGTCGCCGAAGTGCAACAGATTGGAAGTAGCGACGGGACTGCAAGTTTGCATACTCGAAGCTTGAAATATGGAAAGCTGCGCAACGGAACGTTTCTCGCCGTGTCAGGTACCGGTGGAGGAGGTGGTGTTGTTCGCAGTAGAAGACAGGTCTTCACGATCAACAGTGGTGCGCAAGGTGGAGGCGATGTGGATGTCATACTCGGAGTGAATGGATACATCTGGCTGAGCAAGCACATCGAACAGGCCGACGACCAAGGTAGAATGAGCGGAGGCGTCAGTATCTCCAATCTCGATGAGCATGTCAGCAGCGCCATCTATTCGAGCCAGAACGATACTATCGAAGAGGGCACCAGAAAGGAAATCGCTCGCATCTCGGAGTGTATCAGAATCTTAGCCGAGGATGGTGTTAGAGTGGACGAGGATAGCGTCGTCAAGGCTTATGAGGCTGCTGTCGATGCTGATATGAGTGTGATGGATCAAGATGCGGCACGCACGCGGATGGCTGATGAAGTGAGAAGAAGGATTGTGGATGCCGCCCTCCATTGAGATGAAAATGTGTTGCGGAACTAAATAAACAAGCGGACGCTCAGTGCTGAAAACTCGTCGATGTGCACTCTTGTCGACCGCGGAACTCGTGCTTACGTGGAAGGGGCTGTCTCACAAGCTTCAAAGAATGAAAAACTGTGGGCCTTGTTACCTGTATATCGAAGACGCCAAACTCGACTGGAAACTTACAAGCTATGGACGAGACATCGCCCTACGGACCGATAATGGGCCGGCTTCAATCATCGTACCAACCACTCGTCTCCACATACCTTCGCTCCTCCTCGGCTTCAACCTTGGCTTTCTTCCACCAGACTTTATGATCCTTACCTCCTTCGACGGGCAATCGGCGCATGGTTCCTCTCCTCATCCAATATCCTTGATGCTCATTTCTCTTGGTTGCTCCGGGCAAGACACGCCTTACAGGTGCCGAGAGATACCTGCGACCGATGCCTGCCATCATGGGGTCAGATCCTGCTCTGACAGTATGCGAGTCGGGTCGGGGAAGTGTGTACGGATTGGTCTGGACGCTGAAGACTCTTTGTGCTTGAGGCTGGGCTGGGGAGTAACAGTTCGATTCGGTTGAGTAGTGCGAGGACGAGGCGGATGAAGAATTACGATTTCGAATAAAATCTGCGAGTTGGTCTGTGGTCTTAAAGTGCATTGGTAAGCCCTCGGCCTGGACAAGCTGTGGATCCAGCGTGCCTGTGCCGTTGTCGTACGCGAAACTTGCTGGTGTTGCATTGTCACTTCTGTCCGGCGCAGAGATTGGAGGTGGTGGTGGGGGCGGACGTGGTGGACCGAAGAGACTGTCTGCTGTGCCGGGTCTTGAAGGAGCCGCGGCAGTCGTGCTGCGTCGCTCGTTCAACTTACTCCTCTTGGAGTGGGCTCTGAAGAATGGCATGATTGCGGATGTGTTAGCTTTCTGAGTTGCGCGCGGAGACGAAGTTGTGGTTCAATCATCGATCACTTTGAGTGGAACAAGAGGTTTTGATTTTTGGACTGTCGAGGACATGAAATCGAGGACATGACTAGTAGGACGATGGAGTCGAGGCAGAGGCCTCAACAAAAAGACGGCAACTTGCGAACAAAGCACCCTTTGTCTGCGTACCGTAGTAGAACAAGGCAGTCATAGGAAGACGCATTGTTGCTAAAGAAGTGTCTTTCTTTGTGCCTGCCATTGTGTTTCGAGCAGTGGTCAGGTAGCCAGCATCGCATGAGCGGCCATTGCATTGCGCCCGCTTGTGAGTGTTGTGCATTGTCCATATCTCACATAATAGTGTCTAGGCTCATCCTGGCAAGGTTTTCGTGCTGCAGATTACTTAACTTATCCCCCTTTTCTGCCGTAGCGATCTCAGCCTTGCCGCAGCTTGTCCATTTTCAGCCCACGTGAGCCGCAAGGCTGTACTGTGACTCGGCCGATTTTCCGCATCTCCATATTTCGGCCTTCTTTCTTTCTTTTGTCCTTTAGGCTCACGAGTACCAAATAATTATCCCAACACCTTTTTGTACCGAAGATACCTTGCCACGCATTTCGTGAAGGAACATGGCGCAAGGCCTATTGAAGAAAGCGTCCAAGCCGACCACCAAATCCTCCACTGGCATCACAAAGAAAGGATCACGAACCTTCGCGCCGAAAAAGGCCAAATTGGTCAAGCAAGCCAAGATCAATAAGAAATATACGGCTGGTCTGACGGCGCAGACGGAGGCCATGCTGGGCGAGCGTGTCGGACACCTTGAGATGCTGGGTCACGGGCGAAAAAAGTCTGGGGGTGCGGATAAAGGCAAGAGTGGTGGCGGCGGGGGAGGGAAGAAGAGTGGGAAGAAATCGTGAAGATGGACATTGAGTCCACATTCGAAGGGCTCTCTGTCATTGGAACAGTCGACACACGAAGCAAGTGCAGAAAGACACACAACTCTTCAGCCACAGCACGATTCGTTTCCTGACTACGTCGAGCCTGGCTTCAGTCCTATGAGACGAAATCGCCAGGAGGGGCCGCTCGCAAGCCACACGATAAGCAGCCACGCTGAAAACGCTGGTTTATGGGAGGCATATCAAAAGAGCTGCGCCGGAAGATGTAAAAGGGCATAGTACATTGTGTTACATTGAGGTGCAGCAATATGCTACCAGGAGAAAGCTGCGCCGCAGGAAAGAGGGCACTGCCTTGCGCCAAATACTCGGGGCCAAAACTCCATCAACGCACATCTGGTATATCTAGGTTCGGACGACTCCACATTCACGCTTCTCACATCCCGCCCAGTGCTCGAGCGGCTTCACCCCCTCCGCTTTGTGTAATGGCTTCTTGACCCAGGTCGGCCCTCAATTTGCCTTTCCTGCCACCACTCTCACCCACGCCCATCCGCCTGGCAACGTACCTCTGGGCTACCACACTGACAACGAGGCTGAGCGTCTCCTCAACCCATTCGCTTACCCATTCCCGCGGGTCAATACCACCGCCAGCAAGAATCTCTTCAATACTTTCAGGCAAGGTACCCTCTCCACCACTGGGAGCGTCCAGCCATTCGATCCACTGGGCCGGAAGAGCTTGAGAGACTGCTTGAAAGGCAATGCCGTGAATGGGGTCGTGCAGGTAGATAGCGAATACAATTTCCTCTTCGTCCTTGTCGGATGGAGCTTCCTTGATCTGGCCTTCCTGCTCGGAGGCAGACGCCTGGGCGAACATATCTTTCGGCACTGGCTGTGAGATTGCCTGGACTGCGAGGAAGATTTGACTGTCTCTGGTAGGGTTCGAGTCCGAGAGCGTTTCTGTTGCTCGCTTAGCCGCTTGCTCAACGCCGCCCCTGCTGGCGAAATATTCCTCCGCGTAGCCTTCGGCAGATGCTCTAACAAGCTTGCTTCCTTCAGTTGCGCCCCTGATTGCGTTGGTGCTCCGTCTTTCTCCACTTCTCCACCATGGACCATCATGCCATGAACCCAGGTCGCGAGAAGCATCGCTTGAACCGCGCTTTGGACCAGCTTCGTTTCCTCTCTGGACGACCATCAAATCCCCTCCTTCTACTTGCGCCATGACTCTGCTGAAGACTTGATAGATGAGAGGGTCTAAAGTGGGATAGTTGGAGAGGTCATGAGTAATGTGAATCTGTAGCCGCTCATGGGACGAGATCGGCGGTGCAATCGTCTGCAAGATGTTGTGGAATGTCGGCACAGCCATAGATCTGAGCTCGTCGCCTGTGACAATGTCAGCCTGTGAACACGTAGCAGCCGGTCGCGCACATACCAAAGCCTCTGAGTATTCCTACATTTCCTCGGACTTGGTCTGCCCATTTGTGTGCATCCTCGTTCTTTTGGATCTCTTTGACCGCCGCCTGAGCTTGGGAGACTGCAGCAGTGGCAGTGGACAGGATGCCACCCCACCAGCCTCCGCTCTTTGCGGGTGCAGGCTCAGGTTGTAGATCGGCTTCTGCTGAGTCTTCAGTCGATGTTGTTGCTGGCGTGAAGCTTTGATGGAATGAACGCATACTGTCACCAGATTTCCGCTGACCATTATTGCTTGACTTCTCCTCGCTTGTCCGTCCAGGCGGAGGGGTGGGAGCAGAGGTATGGATGGGAGATCGATTGGCAGCAGACTGAGGAGTGGGTTTGAGGGCAGGTGTGCTAGGTCGACTGGCAGGCCGTTGAGCAAGATTGCCGAGTTCTGCCAATAAGTCCTGCTCGGATTGCGAAGACTGGGCAGTCTGTCCGTGTCTTGGAGTTCGCGAAGAGGGTTTCGGCGGGCGCGCGGTGACTTGGGTGCTGAGGTTATCGAGCTGAGCCAGTAGCTCATCATCTGTGGGTGCGGCTTTCTTCGTGGCCATGGTGAAGTTGTTGACGACTGGAATATGACAATTGAATAGAGGCTACGAGCCTACGACATGGTTGGAGAATGGCAACATTGAAGTCGAATCGGGCTAGAGATCCGTCATTGTCACCCCTGGCGCGACTCTGGGGCATTCAATGGACCTCACTCACATGATGACTAATCACCCATGTCGACCAGGCCCCCAACCCTCTCAGCCTTTAAAGCGCAACGTGACAGTCGGGAAGGCGCCCACTTATGTATCAATCGAACAGAACTCTAGACCACGTTGTTATCTCCTCAATCAGGTCTTCGTGCAAACGTGCCAGGGCAACATGACTACTCAAATGCAGCCTGAGATTGTATTATATGACTTAGCTTGCACCAAAAACGTCTGTTTCTCTCCCGTTGTCTGGCGTATTCGCCTGATGCTCAATTACAAGCGAATCCCTTACAGGACTATCTTTCTCGAGTTTCCGGACATTGAACCAACGCTAAAAGGGCTGTGAGTGAGATTGCTTTCCTTCTTGTCTTTCGTTCTGCGTTTCACTCTTTGCTTATGAGCCTACTCCATCCCCTTTCCGTCTTCCTCATGCGAGCCTCAGACTGTCCGATCACGCATGAAGAGGTGTCCTAACCTGGGACTTCCCAGAGGGTTGCTTCTCAACGAAAGCGCGGTGGGATCGAAATCCAAATACACAGTTCCTGCCATCCATCATGTGCCGAGCAACACCTACATCATGGACTCAAGTCCTATTGCACAGTTCCTTGAGTCGAAATATCCAGACCAGCCGGTACCGCTAACATCGGAACTGGGCCGTGAAATCGAGGCCAAGGCACGTGCTGTGGGTGGTACGGCTTTCCGCAATTCGATAATGCCACGCGAGATACGCATCCTATCACCCCGGTCCCAGGAATACTTTCGGCGTACACGCGAGGCTGCGCTTGGGCATCCTCTCGAGGACCTGCTTGACCAAGACAAGGAGGAGGAGGCCTGGCAGGCGGTAGACAACGGTATGCGCGCCGTGAGTGAGTTGATGCAAACGCACAAAGCCGACGGTCCGTTTGTGCTGGGCTCCCGGCCGAGCTTGACCGACTTCTTCATCGCGGGATCCCTACAGTCTGCAAGAATGGTAGATGAGGGTGTATTTCAGAGAAATATCAAGTATCCTGGTTACAAAGACATGTATGAAGCATGTCTGCCTTATATGGAAAGGAGCGATTGAGCGAGTGGAATGGTAGCACCTTTATCTTCTTGGCCAAGATGATCGTGTGGTATAAGAGCAGTCGCACCCGGACAGAGTCATCATTCATCGAAAGGTATGGAAGTTGTATCAGACAAAGCCAGCTTCGAAAGGCTGCGTCCCTGAGTAATTGTCCATATGTCCTCGATGTGTCCCCGCCAAATGACTAACCGCTGTGGGCACGGTTTAAGCTGAGCTGGACTTATTTAGGTGAATCTGAGGTGGCTGTCCAGGACCCCAACGAGATCTGTTCTAGAAGTCGGTCATCTACACTTCCGATCCCGAGTCCGAACTCCGTCCCATCTTTTAAGCAGTTTAATCTTGACATGATTGACGTTGGTGAACAATGCTCGGATGCCATCGAAAGTTTCTGAGAAAGAGTATGTTGAATGCGATGGTCCCTTGTTTTCACTCGGAGATCCTAGGCCAAGCATTTTGAGGTAAGAGGCTTATAAGAGCAGGATCCGTCCAAGCTGGAACAGGAGTCTTGTCCAACTCCAACCATATCCATCTTCTTCTATTTACAGTGTTCTGCAATCGTTATATCAGTACAGATGGATGTCCTCCGCCATCATTGGTACGACCTTGGCGCAGGTGTCGCTGCGTACTCAACCTACTATGTCTATACAAACCAGAAGAGACTGAGCCAAAGCGAGAAGCTCGTCATTGCAAGCTTCATAGCCGTATGTCTTCACCAAGTCGAAGAATATCGTTTTCCGGGTGGATTTCCCATTTCGATGAACCTTGGTCACCAGCACAGTCCTAAGCCAGATCGATACCCACTCAATGCGCACTCTGCCCTCATCACAAATGCAGGCGCGACCTATCTTTACTACCTGCCGGCGATCTTCTACCCGGACTGCGTGTGGCTGGCTCTGGGTCCGATGCTGTCCAGCTTCTCACAGCTTGTGATCCATGGCATCAATATAAACAGATCGATGGGCATGCTTTACAATCCTGGCCTAGGCACCACCATTCTGCTCATGTACCCCATCGGCATTCAGTATATCATGGTTCAGCAAAGAGCCGGTCTGCTGGGGTTACGTGAGTGGGTATATGCCGTCATATCCCTGGTTCTCTTCACCTATATCACTCTCGTCAAATGGACTTTTACATGGACACCCGATCTGAATTCGCCTCACCCATTCAGCCATGCCGAGATGACGAGGTGGGGTTCTCCATCTTTCCTGGTTAAGGACTACCTTGCGTAGACAGTTTGGCCGTGATTGTTGGGAGAATAGCAAAAATTCGCATCAAAGCGAGGCACAGCTAACCTTGACATCACACAACAGTAAGGGTGGACTATCGCGTTCGACGTGTTCCTCAAGGTGATTGGGAGCTATGTCAAAAGGAGTCATGACAGGTGAAAGCTGGGTTGAAGGCTTTTTTCATCAGACCGTCCTCGAAGGTGACCCGGGTTCCGGGGTTATAGGATGAGGAGTCGAGATTTTAACGCCTTCTACCTCGATGCTAGTTTCATAGTGCTCGGAGAGACCAGATCAGACCTTGGACATGCCGTCTAACACTGATCGAAAAGTCGGTTCTGTGGTAGTTGGAGAGTCGATTTGAACTGGCGACCAGAAAGTCTGAAAACCTGGAAAAAAATTCTCACTTTCAAAGTCCGGTGGAGAAGAACAAATTGCAAAAGATCGGATCGAAGAAGAAATGAAGAACAACCCAACGATTCACCTGATGGTAAGTTGTATTCAAGCAAGTCTCAAATTTGCACTCATCCATTCCCGACATCCATCGACGCCATCCATATCTCGTTTACACTCGACACATCGACACCTCTCACTGATCAGAATTCCTGAGACCGGAGGCATCGATCGCTCGTGTGGCAACTTCGAGTACCTAGCACATAAATTCGGATCAAAACGATAACGACATCATGTTCCGCATCAACGCGGTCATTGCCGGTGTGCTCCTCGTTCTACTCATGGCTTCTCCAGTCACGTCTGCCATTCGTCCCGCACGTCAGAAGTACACAAGGAGTTCTTGGCCGCATGCAGCAAAGCAAGGTACTTGCGACACGGGATATGTATGGTCTGTCGTCGCTCCTACTGGGTCTGATCTCGGCGCTACCTGCTGTCCACAAGGCTACAAAGCTGAATCGTCACTAGTCAGTAGCCTGGGACTTTGGACTGTGTTTTGCTGTCCTGCCAACAGCAGCAAACCATCGTGCCCTCCTAGCCACGAGATGCTGCCGGGTAGGCCTCTGACCTGTCCAACACCAGGTACTCGCGCTGGAGTGCTCTGTCAAGGCCTGTAGGCATGATATGGACTTTTGGTAGCCCGTCTCGCCTCTCTTGCGGCGTCCGATATACTGGCATATGAGAGGTAACGGACCTGTCTGGCATATGGAATGGTGGCTAGCGCTGCGGAGATGGACTTTCCGGCCCTGGAATCCAACTTCGTCGTTTGTTAATCAGGGATCTAGCTTGCAGAGGCTAGTCGACACTCAGCAATGAGGCATGAATTTCAGCCAGGTTGAACCTCTTAAGCTTTTCGAACTCGTCACCAACAACACTCATGCCCACCACATTTCTATACACGTCGACCAGGACCAGCTTGTCGTACCCTTTCAGGTCAACAGTATGCTTTCCTTGACCATGGGCGCCGATCTTGTCAGCTACCACCCGAATGACCTGGTCTCGGTCAAGCTTGTTGTTGTTTCGTATCGTAGGTCGAATGGCGAATTTGCAGCCATTTATCGTGGTCTCACTACCATTGCCATCAGGCTCGACTTGGAATTGGGGAGGCAAGACTTCATCACAGAGGCTTTCGAGACCATTGTTCAGAGTCTTTCGCATCCGGGTTATTGGGGTGAGCCTCTTGATATATCGACTTCGTGGAGCGGTAGAATCTTTGGAGGATGCTGAAAGGCAGATTTCGCGTACGATCTCGACGGGGTCTGGTGTTGGTGTCGTTGCTGAAGGTAAAGGGAATCGCACGAATGAGACGCAAGGGATGTCCAGTGTGATGAAGGAAAGCTTCTGGATCGATGCGCTCGACGTCGGATGTTTTGGTCGTAGGGAGTCCAGCTCTGCAAGTATACCGGCTTCGATATCTACCTCTTCATCGCCTCCATCATCTCCATCATCTCCATTGTCCGAATTGCTTTGCGTAGTTTGATCGGCTGGTTGGGCATCCTGGTCGATATACTAGTGTCTTATGAGGATACCATATCAGAACGAAGTTTTCACGTTGAACGTACCTCGCTCAATATATCTGAGAGCTCTTGTATGCACTTCCTCTCCTGACCCTTGTCGCTGGTAACGAATATGCCGACGTCGCCACTGTGGATGCCCGACGCACTGATTGCTGGTCCTATCCGGTTTGTAGGTCTCCCATTAGGCTGGGTTGAATGCCGTGCTTTGTGAGTAAGATATTTGCCCTTATTTTTATTCTTGTTTCGATTTGATGAGTCCCCGTTCTGAGAGGCAATGTCAGCTGGTCTATCCTCTGGTCACCGCATAAGCGCTCTTTAGCTGGGGGATAGACTGAACTTGCCGCTGAGTTTTCATGGCTCATCTTGAGTCGTTTGGCAGATCTCTCGGTAGCATCAGCAGAGCTCATCGTACCGTGAGTATTGTAGCAAAAGCTCTGCCAGTGAAGTATAGGTGTGCTCTTGCGGATCCGATTTCACTCTATGATGAAACGAAATATAAGCAATTCAACCTACGAGGCTCTCGCACAAAAGATGATATTGAGTCGTGTCACGTGCTGAATCACGTGCGCTGATGCCGACATCAACCTTGCATAAGGGCTCAAGGACTTTAAACCCTCTCCATCTCTTGTTGATGCCTTGAAACCTTGATGGTTAAAGCGCAAGCAAGCGACAGAGCGAATGGGTACCTCCACCCTCACTACGAACTTGACTCAGTGTGACACTTTTTTCTGCACATGGCAGTACCTGGTAGAGATGACCCCGTGATGGCCCTTTTACGCGCCTGTCCTCGCCTAGTGGAGCGACCACAGTGCGAGCCGATATGCTTCAAGGTATAGCAGCTTTGCCCCTGATATGCAGGAACGCAAGAACCTGATTGGTCTCTCTGCCTTCGAGCTTGTCAAGGTCAAGCTCGAAAGACCACGATCGTGAAACCTCCATGCTTGGGGTCCCTGGTTATCAGTATGGTTGCCTTAGCCTCGCGTAGCTGGCATTGCATGGGGATATCAAGATAGCCATGGACATTGAGGCCATAAAGACTCCCGGTGGTCATACGCCCGTGCTCTCTTGTACTTCTTGCTTGGATCTGTTCAACGACTTGACCGGATGGCGTCGTTCTTTACCTCGAAGCAGCAGCAGTGGAAACCAGTTCCCAATGGAGGTTTGGGCGGAGTTGGATACTCGGGTGAGGTCACAATTCGCAGAGAAGGCGACAATATGTCGCCGACTTACAGACCGCAGCAGCGACGAGAACTGCCCCCAATTCTGACTTCAAGTAGTAGTCGAGACATGCCAATGACGCCCTCTCAGTGGTCTGCATTGTCAGCGTTAGGTTTCGACGGACCATGGACGCCGAATACAAACGATGGCGTGTGGTCTGGTGTCTTTATCGGTGAAGAGAAGAAAGTGATGTCTTCACTGTTGGTGTCACGCTACAATTCTGCCATACCCTCAAAATCACATCACTCTCTTCCAGAAACACCGGGCAGTGTGAACTCAGAGTTGGATTCGAACCCTGCCGAGCTGCCTGGATCACTGCTGTTAGCAAGTCAAGGTTTCCCACAATCAGAGCCGATCACGCCGCCACCGTCACTTCGTCTCGTACGCCGAGACACTGAAGAGTCGAATATAAGTTCTGCGCCTACGCTATCCACCTCGACTTCGAGCGATGATATCGACATGGAAGCTTTGCGCTCTTTGACGACGCCCTTAAGAAGGAACGACCGACCAGGTGAGAACGCGATGCCGACCTACACTATCAGCAACCGCAACCCTCACGATGCGCACATCTCCAAACCATTTTCTGCGATGGACATCGAAGAACTGCTACAACAATTGCCTCGCTGCAATGCCTTGACGACAAACCAGCTCTGGCTGCCCGCCATGCGGACCCAGATCCAGAACATGGCACAGCTGCTTCATGATGCTGGCGAGATGAAGATCGAGTCGAGCGTCAATGAGGTTGTGTTAAACGAGGTAAGGCGATTTAGAGATTACCGTGCAGTACAGCTAAATGTTTGCAGGACTTAACTGCATTCTCCGATGACATGCGTCGGATCACCACATCGTATCGCAAAATTGTGGAATCCGCAGAGTCGCTTGCCGAGCGAGATTCCAAAGTCTGCCAGGAGCGTCTTAGACTACTGGAAGACCAGGTTGAAGATGCTTTAGAGATGATCGAAACAAAAGACAAGGCAGTCGAAGACCAAGGCAGGGACATCCATGCGCTCAAGCACACGATCCTCGAGATTGTTCGCATCCTGGGTACCTTCATTCAGAACAATGTTGCCAGCTGGGCCGACACCATCAACGAACCACGCAACCAAGAAGTCCTGCAACTGATTTCCGACTACACTCGGCCTGGTGACAATAAGTCGATTCGATACGTACGAATCCCAGATGCTGCCATGTCAAAATATGTCAAAGACATACAAGATTCAAAAGCTCTCGTCAAACAATATCGTGAGGTCCTTCATGGTCAGGTTACTATGATCAAGGAACAGTCCGAGAACCTAGATGTCTACGCCGACAAATACGAGGCCGCATTGCGTGTTGGAAAGCAACGTGATCATGAGATCGTACTTCTGGCGCAACAAAACGAAGAATTAAAGATGCAACTGGAGGACGCCAGGTCTACCCTAGCTCGAAACAAAGAAGCGAATCTCGATGCAGAAGCCATGGCGCAGAGATACGAAGAGTTGCGCAGCAATATGAACAGCCTGAAGATCGCACATGAACTGGAGGTTGATCAGCGGGACGCAGAAATTGCCAACCTACGCCAGAAACTGGGGAGTGCTCGTGAGGAAGTGTTTGCTAGGAGGGAGGATGTGAGGAATATCATCTCACAGACTCGATCGATGCTGCCGAACCCCACCATCTCTGAACCGCCTGGCAAGAGTAGCCACGCCTCAAAGGCATTGCGATTCCTCGGCATGGAGAAAGATAAGTTCAAGAGAGGAGCACTACCTGTGAGCCGCAGCATGATGGCTTTTGCACCCCCCAACGTCGACAATGGACCTTTATCAGCGGACTCGAGATTCTCTTCGAAGGAATTGGCCCGTCCTATTGGCAGACCAGCTCTTCACCAGGTTGCTTCTGATGGACCGCAGGTGTACTCACAGACCACACCCAGCACACCGTTTGAAGATGGTCGTGCTTCCAGTGCAACCACGTTACCCATAGTGCGTCCGAGATCCGATTCTATGAGCGCAATGCAGCGTCATGGGGCACCTTCACCGCCTGTTGATACACAGAAGTCATTGCCCGCACCCCCAGGACGACCACAGGCCCAGCGGCTATCCACTGCTCAAATTGCAGAGATCACAGAATCTATCCAGAGCCCGACCGCAGCACAAGTCGCCACCGATTACTTCAAGAACAGCATTCTTGGTCAAACGGCTGCTCGCCGAGTGTTAAGCAATATCCCTGAGGGAGCAAGCCGGATCCCCGCGGAGTCAAGCGCCAGAAACCTCGACGAAGTCTACGAGGACGGCGACAGTGTCGCTAGCAGTGATCGGGAAGTCTTCAGAAGGAGCATTTGCGCATTAGACATGCTGAATTCATCGACACTCCCTCACAGTGAGACAGAGACAGACATGGATAGATATGTACGTGGTGTAAGACGCATGACAGGCGGAGCGCACCGCGAATTGAACAACGATTCAGAGCCGGAGACACAGACTGGCGTGGCACGTATTCTTCACCTTCGACCCGGTACCAATGACTTGAGGGGAGCATTGAGGACCCAGGGACGTGACTTTGGACGGGAAGAGCGAGTCAGACAAAGCGTCGTGTCTGATGGATCTGGATATCAGACTTCGGACTCTGAACCCATGTCCGTCACGCAGCTGTATCACCAGGGTGGCCGGCATATCCGAGGCTGAAGATTGGGAGAGAGATGATCAATCGGTTCAGGATAGATATCAATTGGCTTTCATGCGGACGACAGAGCTTGGAAACCATCATCATGTTGGATTTGCAGTAATTGAGTGTCTGTGGGGCTGGTTTTGGTTATGCAATCGGCCTTGGTGGAAGACCATACACTTGGGTTGCACGGTGCATTTTTGGTAGGTGTATGGGATAGCAGCACAACAAGACAACTCAACAGAAGTATTTCAGGCAGGCACAGACCGATGCATTACTACATTTGTAGGGCAATCTTTGGTCTATGGTCAGAACCGGTGATTGGCGTGCTCTGAATTGCTGGAAGAACATAGTCGTATGGCCCTTACGGCACAAAAAATGTGTCTGCCAGCCGGTGGCCCAGACGCTTCACTTCTTTGTCATACACGGCGACCCTGTTCCAAAATTTGACTGCTGTAGCTCTTCAGATTCAAACAGATGTAACTCCTCGTTATCTGTGCGGAGCCCCTCGCACATCAAGTTATACATCCCTCCTCGCCGTGGGGAAGGTCACCAGCTCCATCAATGTGAACTTGGTAAATTGCTCTCAGTATACCAATTGCGTTGAACCTTGGGGAAGTCGAAGTTGTATCCTCGTGACGCTGCGTGCCAGACAACGCAGTTGTTTCGGAAGACAGGCTCGATCCTCCTGAATGCCCACAATCTCTCCACAAGCACGCTGAGCCTTTGCAGTACAAGCGAAGCAGGAGATTATCCCCAGCATGACAACTCACGCGTCGCGTCAGGACGGAAGACATGTGAAAGACATCTGAGGAATAACGCTCGAGCGGATGAGAGACCGGGCCGGTTGGGACTGGGGCTACTTCTCTGCCGCCAGTCCACTTCTGTCCGGCTGTAGGTCTGGACTGCAGGGGCTTCCACTCGCCGCGGGATACTCGAATCATTTCGAGCCCCATGTTTTGACAAGTTGCGACGTGGATCGCTGCGTGTAACGGAGTCAGGACGCGACGAGGTTGCTTCTGCCTTGCAAGCTTACTCCAGTTGATAGATGTGTCCGTGCGTCCACGAGAGAGCCGACTAAGTCTCCTCGTAGCCATACCTTCAGAGGATGTCTATATCCCATCAGAGTCTTGTTTTTATGGCATGCTGACTTCATCGTGTGGCTTTTGAAACGTGCCGTCAGGTATTACTTTTCATGCCTTTCCTAGTTGCTCGCTGGCATTTTTCGGCTTGGACTTTTCACCCTTCAGACCCATGTTCTTCGAGACGCGGGTGGAATTGGCGGTGAAGCCTTCGGACAGACTGCGAATCTGTGGCTGAATGAGACGCGAGATGTTGTGGTACCCGCTCTGTGGTATTTGAATGAGAAAATGGTGTATGCAGGCGAGGAACTGGGGAATGCCGCGTGCCATGGTGCGAATCTTGGTCAGAAGAGGGTTTGCAAAAGCCTCGAGGTATGTGTATAAGATCGCGGGTTAAAGGTTGTGTTGGTGGTCGCGTGCGTAGGGTGGTTATACACTGCGTAGTGTAGGATGCTGTGAAATAATTCAGGATAGGGAGTCTGAAGCCCGGGATATAATGAAGAAATAAAGCAGTGCCGCCGTGAAAACCCGACTGAAGACAGAAACCTGCTGCAAGATGATGTACAGTTAGCATGTGGTGTATGGTTTGAAGATCACGTTGGATTCAAGGATTGTGACGCAGGATTGAAATAAGATAGGCGGGATAGGCTAGGAAGGCTCCCTTATCAACGGGGCTTATGGGGCTTATGGGGTTGGAGGCTTGGAAACCCTCCACACGGGCGCCTATCAAAAGGTAGTTTTTCACCGCAGGTTTTAACCACGGAACCATTTCCGACCATGGACTTAAATTTCTATCCTTCTCGATGGCTGTTTGATCGAATTTAGCCGGACAACATCGAGAGCGACTGTTGATCTGTCGCGCGACTGAAGACGCCAACCTGGTCATCCATACATACCCGGTCCTTGAAATTTAGGTTGTTTCGCAAAGTCATCCCAGCATCTTCGCCATGTCTTCCAATATCCCAACTTGCCGATGGGGCATAATCTCGACTGGTATGATCTCATCCTGGTTCGTGGCTGATCTCATCCTCGACCGTCCTGATGCGAAAGTCAAACATATCATCCAGAGCATCGGCGCCTCGTCGGTGCAAAAGGCTCAGGCATTTGCATTCCGTCACTGTCCCAAGTCCAGTCCAACTATCAACGGATCGTATGAAGAGGTCTATGCAGACCCCAACGTGGACTGTGTCTACATCGGAACTCCGATTTCGTTCCATAAGAAGAACTGTCTTGATGCGATTGCTGCCGGCAAGAATGTGTTGTGCGAAAAGGCCTTCACAATAAACGCCCAAGAAGCCAAAGAAGTGTTCGAGGCTGCGCAGAAGAAAAGCGTCTACGTTCACGAAGCTATGTGGCTGCGCCATCGACCGATGATAGCGAAATTGAGGCACCTACTTTACGAGGACAAGGTCATTGGGGATGTTTTTCGCATGTCCTGCGATTTCTTCGACCGAATCGATATACCAAATTTGCCGGAGACATCCAGGTACAAACATCCCAAGCTCGGTGCCGGCACTTTGTTGGACATCGGCATTTACCCACTCACCTGGGCTTTTCTCACCCTCGACCCCAACCCGCCAGACAATGCAGAACGACCCAACGTTCTCGCAGCTCAAGTGCATCAACATGGAGTGGAGGTGACTTCCAGTATTCTGGTCCAGTATCCTTCGTCGGGCAGGCAAGGAGTCATAACTTCCACGCACATGTCCAACAAACCATCTAACCCAATCTGTCGAGTCTATGGTACAAAAGGCTACGTGGATGTGACTGGAGAGAAACCTTCGCACCCACATTTCTTTACTGTCTATAAAAGCAAGGAAGACCACCAGACTTTTGATCAAGGCCAAAAGTACGAGTTTCTACATGTCGGCCAGGGTTTCATTTTTGAGGCAGACAACACGGCTCTTGACATTGCCGCTGGAAGGAAAGAAAGCGCCATAATGCCATGGAAGGAGACGATGCGTGTGATGGAGCTAATGGATGAAATCAGAAAGCAAGGTGGAACGGAGTATCCCCAGGATCACGAATAGATGGTACAAGACCGTGCATATACCTTCAGCCTCGTCACATGACCCAGCCTTGTCGACGTCACATTTCTTGACGACGCGTGACTCGCGCTCGGATTCAAACTCACCCTTGACAACGCTTCTAAAAGTCCCTTGTGACCACTCGATATCCTTCGCCGTTACAAAATAAGAACCAGACATGACATCCTTCTTATAACAATTTCTGTATACTTATATTCCGCCGCGATGCTCTCACGCCTTCTCTCTCAATTCCCTCTCCTCTCCTCCTTACTCAATCTCACTCCCTTGGGCCACACAAACCAACTTCCCCTAACTCCATCCATCCACACTTCGCAATGCCCCAACCCGCCACCGCTATCATGTCCATTCCCTCCACCCCGCAGCATCGACAGTTGCTGCCTCAACCATCCCAGCGGACATTTCCTCCAGACGCAATTCTGGGACACAGCACCGGCCCTGGGTCCCAACACATCCTGGACGATCCACGGGCTCTGGCCCGACCTCTGCGCCGGCGGCTTCGACCAATTCTGCGATGACGCCCGCTCGCACGAGGACATCCGCGCAGTCCTACAGTCCATCAACCCGACCATCACGCGCGACCTGCTGGCCTACATGGACGCGTACTGGCTCTCGCTCGACGGGCGCGACAATCACCTCTGGTCCCACGAGTGGAATAAGCACGGCACATGCATCTCGACGCTCGACCCGGGTTGCTATGCGGATGAGAACCCCGACCTCGCTGTCCTCGACTACTTCGTCCACGCGACGTCGCTTTTCCAAACGCTGGATACATTCAGCGTGCTCGCGGAGGCGGGCATCCTCCCGTCAGACCACGAGAGGTACTCGCTAAGCGAGCTGGAGGAAGCAGTAGAGTTTTCACCGCACGGCTACCCCGTGACATTCCGTTGCCATTCCGGCGAGCTTAATGAGGTGTGGTACCATTTCTCCGTCAAAGGTTCGTTGCGAAACAATTACGACGACGGCACGCATCAGGTCAGCTCGCCGTTTCTCAACGCTACCACCGTCAACCAGATCTTCGTCCCGACAGATCCGGACGGAGCCAAATCAAACTGTCCTGCTCGTGGCATCAGGTACCTGCCCAAGAGCAAGAGTCCTGGCGGAGGAAAGCCTCGGCCGTCGCCCACAAGGACAACAACATCTGCGACGTCCACACCCACCTCACCTCCATTCACTGGCAAGGGAAATCTCGTAGTCCACGTCATCGATGATGATTTGTCGAACGATGCTGAAAGATCAGCTTCGACGCAAAAGGGCTGTTTGATCCGTCTAGGCTACTGGTACTTGTCCGGTACCTGTGCGACGTTTAAGGCACAAGCAGACGTGGTTGACCCGGGCCACTCGCCGCTCTTCTCCTTATCATCAAGCTACTCGCCATGCTTTATCAATCCAGGCACTGGCAGATTCGAGTGTACAAAGGCTACTGCGGTTCAGAGCATCTTCTCCTCGGATTCTCATGACCCAACTGTCCTGTCCTACCACAATAGCACCATTTTCTATGCCGACCATGTCCCACAGAGGTTCGACAAGGTTGATATATACGCGGATGACGGCGATGGAACCAGGAACGTTCAATTGGAAATTAACTGGGTACCTTCATAAAGTCTTGTACATACTCTTTTAGCCATGCAGCTTTGGTCCGATTTCCCTGCAGTTACAAGTTGCCGTCTGACGAGAGGCGTGTAGCGCATGCCAAACCCGGACAACCCTAATTCTGGCCAGGCGAGAGCAGATCATCGCTACTTCCTGCCCAACTTCCCACCCTCCGACCCATCTTTCTCACCTCACGCATTCCTACCCCGAACAGACTTTTCACCATTTCGCCGCCGCTTTGTCGCTCGGTCTTTCGTCGAGACTTGATCAGCTTCTCGACACCTCCACCAGATACGTTGACGACCTGGACCTGTGGCGAGGTCAGGGACCCTCCAGAAGATATTGAAGGCGGTACTCCATGTCCCGTGTCGAGCATGGCACAATCCAATGGGCTCATCACATTGTCGACGTTTCCGATCTTGCTGTCTGTGACCTGGTATTGCTCAAGGCGGAGACGCGCGGAGGGCTTTGAAGACTGCGATCGTGTCTGACTCTGATCTCCACCTGTACCAGCACCTTGCGAAGGCAGACGTGAGCTTGATCGTCGGTGAGCTTCTGCAGCCCGGCGTGCTGCACGCTCTTCCCTGTCCTTCAAGACCTTGGCTCGCAGTTCGGGAGAGCAATCGAGATATGACGTCCTTCTCCTATGTGTTGTCGGCTCGGTTGTGCCTGGCTTAGCACTTGAATTGTCTGCACGCGCTGTTTGCTTCTTCACAGTGATTGGGATGAGGGATGCCAAATTGCCCGTCGTCTTGCTCTTGGGGAGACTTCCGAGGCCGTAGAAAGCGTCCGAGCTGCTGCTCATGACAGCTTCGGCATTGACACTGGAGGTCCAGCTTGTCGGTGTGGAGGTATTTCCAGGAGACTGCGACAGGCCCCAAGACAAGAGAGGTCTAATGCCACCACTGCCTGTGGCTTTTGTCTCTTCATGCTCTGGGACCCTTTCGACGATTTGGCTTGCTCTACGACGGTGACCACCGCGTGTATTGCCGGAGTTTCCCAACAAGCCTGCTTCGAAGTCCTCGAAACTGCCTAGAGCGATTGTGGTCTTGCAGTACTGTCTCAACTCTTTGAGTGCTGCATACATTCGCAGTCTTTCTTCACTCTCAAACAGCTGGTCAAGTCTTTCGTTGTTCGCGTCCTTCGGAGTAAGCGGCTTTGCATGCTGCATTTCTTGATTCCGGATCCGATCGCAGGAGGAGACATAACGTCCGGTCCAGTATTGCAGACTTTCCGCAAAGTATACCTGAGCGCCTGTTAGCCTGATTGAGTTGCCTTGCATCTTGCTTACATGTTTCAATATGTCCTCTGGCGAACTTCCCGGACTCGAGTCGATCGTGGTGGTCAGGGCCCTTGGGGATGGTGAAGAACTTTCTATGGTGGCTTTATTCGCTAAAGCAGAGTCGATGAACAGCGGACGCCCAGAAGCTGACTTCCTTTGTAGTCTACCCAAGGAACGAGGAATGGCGGTATTCTTTATCAGGGTTGTGGGCGCCGAGGTCTTCCCCTTCGATGTTGGTGCAGGTGCTGCTGGTGGCAAGGAATGAGCATTCCTGAGCCTGATTCGATTGGTCGCAGCCTCTCTCTGGACTTGTTTCAGTACTTCCATCTCTTTCTCCGTCATCCTGCTTTCGCCAAGGGCATCACCCACACTGAGCTGGCTCATATCATCATAGTAGCCGTATGCTTGGGATGCTATCACCGAGCTGGGTTTTCTAGGAGAGGGAGTCAAGCTTGTGGGACCGAAGCATGAGATGTTGCTGAGTGTTTGTGTCCTGGGTACTGGCGGACCAATTGGCTGAAGCAGGCGCCTTCTGGGAGTAATGTCCCGAGGAGAGGCTAGCAAATCGTTCGTAGTCTTGGATTTGATGAGACCTCCAAGACGAGGTGAATGGACAGGTGGTGGGAGGAGCTTGAGGCTGTCCGGTTCGGTCAATGATTTAGTGGACCAACTGCGGATATGTAGTTGCTGCTGAGTGCCTGAAAGATCTTTCTGAGGACGCTGATGATATGGAACGCGAAATTCTGACTCCGTCAGCCTTGAGTGATTGTTACAAAAAGATGAGGGAGGAGCCCCATCATTAGGTTGCCATGATGATTTCCTATGCTTTTGATCAGATTGCAGGCTCTCGGCTCCTTGCCGCACTGTGGTGGAAACTGGTCGCCGGCCAGTTGGTGTTGCATGACGAGATGAGCCTGATGTTGGTCTTGGAATTGCGGAAATGAATGACTGACGACTTTTTGCACTGATCACGGCAGGATCCGGTGTCGTCGTCGGTATGGAAATCATGACGGAAGAGATGAAGTCTGTAGACGGGAGGGTTATGTTGTATCGCTAAGAGAATCGTGAACAACTCAGGCTTCGATGACATGGCAGTGACTGGCTTGGTCGCAGGAGGACGTAGGGTGAATCGAGCATCTGCAGGTACGCTGCACACTCGAGCCTGCCGTCTTCACCAGGATATTCAATGCACCTCATTCTGGCATTCCTATAAGCCTGCAGTGCCACCATCTCTAAAGCAATTAGCATGTTACGAAGATGCAGAGCAGCAAGTAAACTGAATGTTAGTAGTCCAGAGGAAGCTGTTTGAGATGATTGCTGTTTGCGAAGGTCATATCACGAGAGACATAGACCATGTTGATAAATATTACGCCCTTTGAGACGCATCAACTGTGCGGCAGAATAATCTCAGATGTCCATCTTGGAATGCACGTTTATCACGCTCTGACAAAGCCTTGGTGACGGTCTGGTATGCAAAGTCATCAGGCGCATATGAAGCCTTCAGAGAACTGTACATCATAGGCCAGATAATGCCAGACTCTTGCTCTGCCATATCAGTCATGAATACGGCTCATGATCTGCATTCGAGAGAGGTGTCTGGCTCAACCACAGCGGTGAATAAAGCAGCTCAATACGACCATCCAGCCCTGAGGATCGAGGAATGTGAAGCACAGTGTCGGGTCGACAAAACTCACTGCCTGTCACTGATCTCGACCGTCGACAGCACTAGTAAGGTAGTCGGCGGGCCACACGAGCGTTTATCCCTCAACCACCTTGGCGGAAGACGTATACAGAATGATAGTCGATGTATTGAATGCGGGTGTGAGATGAATTTTCACGACTTTCGATAGCCTTGTCAATCCCTAAAAAGTTTCTATGCTATCAGAAGACGAGAAAATCGTGATAGACTTTGGTTCCATTGCAGTAGCCTTCCTGGGCACTACTGCACGGCCCTAGACTATACAGCTGTGGTGTCTAGGGTGCCGAGTATGTCGAGTCGTGGCCCCTTTACTCTCTGAGGAGTTGAGGAAGAACCCGGCACCGGCCTTTTCGCCAAGTCATGTAGTCAAGGGACTAATATCTTGCCACGAATCAGATTAGATCAAAGAATCAATCTTATTATCAATCTGATTAGATTCTATGCCTACTCCGGCCTCGGGGCGTCTTCATGTAGTCAAACACCTACACATTTGGTAAATCCACATACAGGCAATGTCAGGAGATATCTGGGTCGCCGACATGCCTCGAACATGTATACTTTCTTGGGACGCAGATTCTGCAAGCTGCCCAGACCTGGGACTGTAAGAGCTGGTCCCACTGGAGGAATATCTCCAGCAGGGTTAAATATGCGGTCCTGCGCTGCTCAGCCAGAGCCTTTATTATGAGTATAATCGCGTTACGGACCTCGGTACCTGAGCAGCCATGGCATTACTTCACAAGCTCCATCTTATCGTTGCCGGGAAGACTCTCGACGAGGCCCGTGTGGTTCAACCCGACGAAGACCCCAATGCTCCAGCAGCTTTGACCGGAGCCTCCCACGACAAGGAAACTAGAACTGGCTTGCCTGAGACTACCACTGAAGTTGCGAGTCAAGAGGAGAAGATCCCAGCTCGAGATGCGCAAGTCGGCGTCCAGAAGATCGAGGCCGTGACCCTAACCTGGTCGAAGAAGTCACTGGCTGCAATCTTGATGGTGTACGTTGCACCCTTTGACACATGCTCCTTAACGCTGTGTATGTCTGACTCGCTACAATGCCCTCATAGTATCTGGCTTCTCACGCTGGTCAATGGATTCAAAGTTACCGTGGTGTATAGCTTGTCTCCTTTCGCCACGAGCAGTTTCCAGTCTCATTCGCTGTTGACCGTCATCGACATAGTTGCAAATGCCATGACAGCAGCCGTGTACATCCCGATGGCTAAGATGCTGGACGTATGGGGACGGGCGGAAAGCTTCCTGCTGATGATGGCTTTCTGCCTTCTGGGCCTGATTCTCATGGCTACATCCCACAATCTTTCCACCTTTTGTGCTGCACATGTACGATATCCCTCATTACTTTGTACCCATCCTGGACACCATTACAGACCTTTGTGGCAGTGCTGATGCATGGACGTTAGGTTTTCTACTCTGTCGGCTTTGGTGGCCTGAACTATACCTGGGACGTGCTTGCGGCTGATGTGACCAACTTGAGAAATCGAGGTCTAGCATTCGCCTTCACCTCGTCTCCAGCTTTGATCACCGCTTTCGCCGGTTCGAGGGCTGCAGCCGGCTTCTACAACAACGTCAGCTGGAGATGGGGCATCGGCTGCTGGGCTATCATTTTTCCCTTTGTGGCGTTGCCTCTGTACGGCGTACTGAAGTACAATCTTCACAAGGCTGAGAAACAAGGGATATTCGTGAAAGAATCCAGTGGTCGAACCTGGCTTCAGACGATCTGGTACATCATCAGAGAGTTCGATCGTGAGTGAGCAAGCAGCATGAATTTCGACTTTGCCTGACTTTCTACAGTACCAGGAGTCATTCTCTTCGCGGGTGGCTTTACCGTGTTCCTCCTGCCATTTACCCTGGCCACTACCGCTCCTCATGGTTGGCAGACCGGCTATATTATCGCTATGATTGTCGTCGGATTTGTCGTACTGGTCATCTTTGTCCTCTACCAGACCTACGTGGCTCCGAACCCGTTCCTGAAACATCGCTTCCTTACCGATCGGACCGTCTTGGGTGCATGCCTGCTGGACATGACATACCAGATCTCATACTATTGCTACGCCAGCTACCTCACGTCCTTCCTGATGGTCGTCAATAACCTGACCGTCGCGCAGGCAGGATATGTTGGCAACACCTTCAGCGCCGTGGCGTTCGTCTTCCTGTTCCTCGCGGGATACCTCATCCGCAGGACTGGCACTTTCAGATGGATATTGTTTATCTGTGTGCCGCTCTACATCTTCGCATTGGGCCTGATGATTCATTTCCGCCAGCCCAATGGATATATCGGCTATATCGTCATGTGCGAGGTATTTTTCTCCGCCGCTGGGAGCGTGTTTATCCTCTGCGTGCAGCTGGCCGTCCTAGCGGCGGTCGATCACCAACATGTCGCAGCCGTGCTTGCTTTGCTCTTTGTAAGTGGTACGACCGGAGGCGCGATAGGCAGCGCTGTTTCTGGAGCCATTTGGACCAACACGTTCGAGAAGGCCCTTGAAAAGCATTTGCCTGCGTCTGCGTTGCCGGATTTGTTGACCATCTACGAAAGTCTAGCTGTGCAGCTCAGCTACCCAGTTGGAAGCGCCGAACGGCTCGGAATCCAGAAGGCTTACGGCTATGCCCAAACGAGGATGCTTGCGGCCGGTACTGCCATCATGGTCCTTGGAATTGTCTGGGTGGCCATGATGAGAGATCTCAATGTCAAGAAAATGTCGCAGACCAGGGGCAATGTCCTGTAGAGGCGCGGATGTCTTTAGCAGTGACAGTACTGTGACCACCTGTGGCCGGGTCCTGCAGACTGACGAGGGGATATTGTGGCTGTGAACGTGGGCGAATTCTGCATGCGAACGCTCGATCAGTGAGGAGCTGTCAAGGTAGATAGCTGCAACCCATAACCCCTGAGCTCAGGGTAGGATATCGAAAGTCCGCGACAGTCGCTACCATGTAGTCAAATTGGCTAGAACTTTGTATTGCGGTAGCCATAGATTACAGTAGGTCCCTTCTAGAAATTCGCAGCTATCAGACACTGCGACCACGACGGCAAAATGGACGTTTCCAAATCGTCTTTTGTCCGTCATTCGGAAAATTTTCATCTCAACCTTTTCATCCAACTCGTTCAAGATTCTCCTTGTACCTGAGTCATTTCGGCCTACCATTGCCCACTTCACGGTGAAAGGAGATGTACCAGATGGATTCCCGCAAGTGACAGTCTAAATTGTCGACATCCTGAGGCTTGTCGATGACAATCTAGGAGTTCACTGGGGTCCCAAGAAGCTCATGCATCCGGCTGATTGGTGAGGTACGTTAGGGCCAGGCGTGGCCGGGTACAGTATATTGGATTGACTCGACGGGCTTATTCTCCAGGTCCTCATCCTTTTGCAAGACTTTGGAACCAGATCTTAAACACAATGTTCATCATTTCTTCTAGCGAGAGAGGTTTTCCTTTTATCTTTCCTGGTCGCACACGCGCTTCTCCAGGGCTTCGTGATACTTTGCTTCTATCTCCATACAGCACTCTCAGCATCCCTCGCGAAAGTGAGCAGAACCCAGACAACTAGCTTCGAGAAATCAAGATTCTCGTCGTACCTACTCGGGCTGTATCGCTATATAACACCATCAAGACTGCTGAGCGGAGAAGACTGGGCGCAATATGTCAGGATGTCCTCCCTTCCCAGGAGTAGGATTATCAATAGATTCTACCGACCTAGAAGAACGATTATCGAACATTCTTCGGCATCACAAAATGCTCAAAGCAGGTTTCGAAAGGACAGTTTCGAAGTACGAAGAAGGCTCAGAGGACTCTTCCCAATCCCGGAGGCGTCTGCTCATCTGCGGACTTCTCGATCTTTACGCCTCTAAACGTCCCAGTGGGTTTGTGAGAGATCCCCGAGACAGACTGAGTAAGGAGCAAAGATCGTTCAAAGATGAGCTGATCCAAGAATACGGTTCCCGGAGCCCCAAGAAACACAAGGAGGGCGATTACCTATGGTGTCCTGTACTTGGTCGATACTGCCACACCAGCGACATGAGACCTACCCCCATCGTTTCTCAGAACATTCCAAGAAAGCTCATTCAGGGGCTTTGTGGGCCATTGGCAGCCGCACACTTGTTCTCGGCTAGAAATGGCTTTTTGTTGTCCCGCAGAATTGAGATGGCTTTCGTCACCGGCCATACTCATTGTCCAGACAGAGGATTCACCTGCAGATAGGCCAGAGTTTGAAGTCATCGCCTTGGATCCGAGATTCTATGTCGGCTGCGACGAGAGTGCACGGGCCCGCGACATTCATGGGAAGAGACTGCACTTTCTCAACGAATACCGACCTGGCAGACAATTCCTGTACCTCAAATATGTCTTTGAGAGACTCATGCAGCAAGATCCACGGGCACCAATCGAAGGACAACCTCAAGTGCTAGTACAGCTGGCAAAGCGAAAGCCGTGGCCTGGTATAGGTTCTCGGTTCACGAAAAGTCCTCTGGTGAAGGACATGGCGCGTCTGCTTGGACTTCGGTTTGACGAGACAATGTGGCAAGACGTGTTAACGTCCGAACCGGACTCTGCGGCCGAAAAACTCGAAGTGCAGGTCACCAAGGCCATGGAATGGACTACCAAGGACTTGCAATGGCCAGAAAGGCAGCTTCTCGGAGGGGAACTGATTACCTGCCTCGGAAGCGAACGCCGCAACAAGCTTGGAGAGCTAAGGGACCCTTTCGAGTGGTTCGACTCGGACTCGGACTCGGATGAAGAAGGGAACGACAGTAGAACTTACTGGCATTAGTTACTTTTTTGCCTGGAAACGTCGTGGCCTGACACGCTTGATTGCTATGGTTCAAGCCATGCTCTTACGTGTCATCAAGCAACAGGCGCTAGACGTATCGTCATATCACAGCGTCACGACCACTTTCTTCGCGCTCACGCCCTCCTTTTGCCTATCAAGTCCACCCTGGACATAATATAGCCCATTGCCCACCACCAGCTCATCCGGCGCAGGCTTGAACGACTCCTCTTCCAAAGCAGCAGCGACATACTCTTGCCATACCTTCTTCGCGACCACGCCACCCTCCTGGCTTACAATATTCCCGCTGCCAATCCTGCCGACCTTGACATCTCCAGGTAGCCCATCCGGCGCGGCGCCAACACTAGCAATCTTGCCGCCACCAAGGGCATGCAGAACCGCAGCATTCTGTTGAACAGTCGTCTCCGACCCGATCGAGTCGTACGCACCAACCACGGGGGCACCGTGCTCTTTCAGCAACGAGATCAAAATGGCCACGATGTCCGGGTTGTGATAGTCCAACACCAGCGATGCACCCAGAGCTTTTGCATAGCTGTAATTCGCCGGCGACACCGTTGTCACAACATCATACCCTGATGCGACGGCGAGTTGAATCACAGATGACCCAACGGACGAGGATCCGCCCCACAGAAGCAGGACTGGCCTTTTTGTCTTCTCCTTTTCAACCTCAACTAGCGTCCAGGCCCCCGGCTCTGTCGTGGCATCTGCAGTGTAAATCTGTTGTGGTGCATCTTTCTTCAGCACCGGGAACTCCAACCCTAGATTCCCCTTAAGATACAATCCCGCCGCAGCAGTCGAAATACTCAGCGGCAGAACGACAGCAGACTTGAACTCGAGATCGTCAGGAATCTTAGCCACCGTCGCGGCCTTGAGTCGTGGATACAACTGAAACCCGCCGTACGCAGGACCATTGGCCATCCCCAGTGCATGCGCGATGACTCGATCGCCCTTCTTGAGGCCTGTCACGTTCTTACCGACTTCGACGATTTCGCCGGCAATGTCCTCGCCTAGGACCGTGGGGTACTTCAGCCCAAAGCCGCCCCATGATTGAATCTTCCAGTCTACCGGGTTGACTGCTACGGCGCGGTTCTTGACGATGACTTCGTCGGCGCTGATGTCGGGGTACGGAGCGGTGCCGACCTCCAGGGGCGCCTTTTCGGCGGGGATCCACGCCGCGTAGTTGATGATTTGCATCTTGTCACTAGGGTATTTACTTGGGAAGTCCGGACCGAGGCTGGAACCCTCGCTACAGAATCAATCACAGCGTCCCGCTGTTTGTAAGTGTAAACGTTGACATTGCATTGAGAAGGGAGTACAATTAGATGAGGTCAATGGCTAGCTTCATCACGACATGACGACCCTGCAGTGTTTATTAGTAATAAAAAAAGGGGGTCGAGAGCACTAAAAGTGCGGGGGACAGTGACAGGTACAAGTACTCAGCGGGCGCTTTAAGTTATCGGGCACGTTTCTTTCCGAGAGAGCGAACCTGGTCGATCTGGGATTCCACGGTTGACAATTTGAAGCACCGCGAATTTTGTGAAGAGGTTGTTTCGTCCTCAGTGACCGTTTGCTGCCTGGGTTGAGGCCGGAGTGACAGCAGTCCTCCGGAAGTACCACAATGTCTGGTTCACACAGTCCCTTCCGTTACGCCTATCCTACATAAACCCTTTCCATCGGCCCAAGCAGCTGTTACAAGGAGCCCAAAAACCCACCCGCTGAAGTGCAAAGCAAGGAAACGCTTGCGAGCGCTATAAAAACCAAAGACACAAGAGCAATTATGACTACAGCTGCATCATGCCGGCAGCCCTTTTGAGTCTCTGCTCCAATTCAGCATGAAAAGTCTCGTGCCGTCCGAGACTCTGAAAGCCTCCAAGAGGCTTTTTCTTCAGCATATCGCCCATGATTGACGCAAAGGACATGACGTCCTTGACTTGCGCCATCACCACCTTGTAGTCCAAGGGCGGCGTGGGTGGCATCCCATCGCCGGCGAAAAATCCGGAAAACGTTTCAAAGGGTGCCTCGTCCTGAAGGAACTGTGAGTCCACATTCGATGTCGTTGGCCTGGACTTTTTGGATGCGGCTTGTTGGCAAAGAAGCTCGCACAGATTGACGAGCTGATTCAGGATGCTCGAGAGGAGTAGGTGGCACGTATATGCGGACCGGATGGATTTGCTGTGCAAGATTCTCCGGACAGCGGCGTTGCTCTTCTTTAAAAGTACAAGCTGGCTCTCGCGAGGCTGCATAACGTCCCCAGCATGCCGTTTGAGGTGAGCCAGCAATTTGATGCAGACCGTCTCTTCGTCATCAGGCGTTACGGGCGACTGGCGGGCGGTGCGGATGAAAGGCGCTGGTGCGGCGGCGATTTGTGAAGGGGGGTACAGTTTCGACGTATCAAGCAAGCCTCTCGACGAGGGTCGGATATCGAGCTGGGCTGGGGAGAGGTAGCGCGTGAACTGTGGCGGACTGAGGCCGGGCGTAGGCAGGCCGTTATTGTTGAAGAAGCTGAGATCACTAGCCGCGGAGAAACTCCGATTGTTGGCCATATCAATCGCGTTCAACGATTCGGTCGCCTCGTCGCAACCCAGGGAGCCTTGATCACCACCGACAAGGAACAACGACCAGTTTGGAACCGGGCAGTCTCCTTTGCTCGATTGGGGTGGGCTATTGCTATTGGCGGGCGATGGGATTGACTGTACAGGACCGGCAGTACCATTAATGACCCAAGGTTGGGAGTTGATGTTCGTGGTAGGGTCTGCAAGCGGTCGTTTCCTCCGCTTCCCTACGACCTTACCCACGCGAGATTCGCTGTAAATGCAGGAGAGTCGCTTTTCGGAGCATCGACGGCAGCCTTCCTTGTTTCCATTACATCGAACCTGTTTGGCAAACGGTAAGATGGTGCAATGGAAAGAAACAGGGGCGGGCCAGTCTTACCTTGGCGGAGAAGCAGTGGTTACAGGCCGCTCTCAGCTTTATTGGTTTGGTGGTCGTCTTGGGAGGGGTGGGCAGAGCTGTAGGACTTGAGGAAGTCGGAGATGAGGATGAGGATGAGGAAGACTCCATTGGTGATATGAGTGACGAAGATGAAGGGTACATCGTTGACGTCGTGGATGTTGTTGTTGTCATTGCCCTTGCGCAGATCAGTGAATGTGTCTCAGCCTGGGAATGCAATATATCCTTGGACATACCCAGCTTGGGAAGCCATAACGAACCAGATGCGTATGATATGGGGAATGCTGGCGAAGGACTGCTCAAACAGTTCGTGAGTGTACAGGGGCGACACCGTAAATATGGTCCGGCAGATATGCTAGTCGTGTATTTGTTGAAGAGCAAATTGCGGGTGTGAAATAGCAGACCAGAAGCTTTTCTAGGGTGATAGAGTGACAGGCGCCTCAACTGATGTGGCACAGGGTCAGGGCACAGTGTTGTATATGCATGACAGTCGTGGCTTTTCAGGTTCGGGTGAGAATAAATGGTTCTTGTACAAGTGAGAGAACCTGAGCCTGTGTAGCTCTTCGGTTATCTCTCCTGGACCCGACAGGGGGCGGGATTTGATAGGCAAGGGCACTACTTAGCCCGTGTGCATGCCCGGTATACGAGGATTCGTTTATGGACCAGCAGACACGGAATCCAACGAGGATGCGGTGGCTGTCAGCAGCAAAGGAGGCAACCAAGCAAGGCCAGGAAGGGGCCAGATAGCAGTCACCTCCGCAATCCTGTCAGACAGTCGGGGTGTTGTTTGGATGGTATTATGGTTTGTGAATGCTTGGTGCTTATGCCACCTGGACGCTTGACAGAGGCTTGTTCATTGTTGCCAAAACTTTCATCTGGTATACCAGTAAGTGACATGAACGAGATCGCCCAGAAAGGAGGTCTTGAGGCCTTAGGGTTTCTGCATGACTTGCTTCTGTTGCTGTGGCCACTTTTCCTCGATCGCAGAACCAACCTTTTGTGGCTCAAGTAATTAGGGGGAAGCCCACTATATTGGACGCCTATCTCAAGATTTCCAGCCATAATCGGGCCGTGAATGGATCACACTGATGATCTGCTCGATAACGTTCAGGGGCAAGCCGATGAGCGATAAGTTAGCGGAGAGGGAAATGAATGAAAGGCTGAACCATGATGAATGAGGCTCTCGTTGAAGTGCTCAGTTCTGAGCACGCGACAATAGGGAGTGATATTGTTGTTGATGCACAAAAGGGCCTCCCTAGCCCCCCCATCTATTGACTTTTTGTGTGTGTGATAAGTACAATCACTATGTGGTTTCCCCCTTTATTTCCATACTTGTTCCTTCCCTCCCTTCTCTTTACCTCTTGCGATTGCATCTCTACTTGTGTTGTTTCTCTCATCTTGTGCATGAGACAACCAAGTCTCCTGTATCATTGTTGTCCTAGTACTTTTAATCAAACATACTCTGGTGTGACATAGGCCAGACCATTCGTTCGTTCGTCAAGCATGATGATCGTCGTCCGTGCTCACTAGGGTATTTTCAGACTATGGGCATGTCATCAGTGACTATCGTGTTTGTCCAACTCATCCCGCTTACGTCGTCTATGTCAAACGAACTCTCGCGTGGACCAGGTTCAGATCAACGTCAAGAACCGCAATCTCGGAACAGGCAAATCCACCAAAGCCCCATCATGAGATAAGTTGGTGGCGTTGTGTTTCCGGCTGGCCATGCGCCCTAAAAAGCCCAAGCGGTCCCCTCGTCTCCCTTCTCGCGTGGCAGCTTATTAGAGTACGACGTACGTCTACACAAAATAACACCACGACATGTTCATGAAGCAACATGGACGCCGTTCATCATTCTCACAGCAAACGTCAATGATGGTCTCGCTAATATTTCTCCTGCCTGACGATAACATTTCTTCATAGGCTTTCCAGGCCTGGTTGATACTCCCCACAGGTCGTCAGCTACGCCATAGTCTGTCTCTGAACTGCCGCGTAGGATCAATATCATCTTGTCCAAATCCTAGGCTTCATTGTTTGACCTTGTCTCAGCCGCACATCAACATAAGATACCCATTGTCGTCGAGGGCTAACCCTGGTATCTTTTTGCTTTTCACAGTTGCTTACCAGATTCCACCCCGAGTTTCCTATTTATAAAGTTTGCAGAATTGGGAACAATTATCAGCCCACCAGGAAAGTTCTCACAGGCGGGTGGCCGGGGCTCGACTACAACAGATGTTATTCATGCATGCAACCACATGTGTGGCGAAAATGTGTTGCTCTGGTATCTCAGGTGGCAGCCCTACTCTACCACGCTGGCTTCAAGACAACAAGGGCTGGTTGTATTTGGTGAAGGTCAAGCATACAACGGCAACATCCCTCGGTCTCAGGCCGCCTATTGCTGTCAAACCCAGAAGTTTACGACCTTCTGTGGCTGGTGGTACGACGCAGTGATAGCTGGGCCTTAGATCTCAGAAGTCAGTGCAGGTCGAATGCAACCACATCTGCATTCTTCAAGGCAACCGAGTGTCATATGCCATGTGCGTTGTGCAACTCTCTATCAGCTTCAGGTTTGCTCCAGTCGGTTGAAAATGCCATCTGCACGTAAGTATCCTCACCACAGTCACAGTGTCATCGTTTTACCAGGCGGAACCCTGGAGTCTTACCTGGCCCTGCAAGGCTTAGCCGATTACCAGTTTCACTGTTCTCGTGTACAAGTTCCTCAACCTCTCTTAACATTAGTCATTCACCTCGGGGCCGCTGGCGAGACGAACGAATCGTTAGGCCTCTGTCCTCGCTGCTACTTATGGGTTGTGCTTACCAAACCAAGGCTAATCCTGTGCTCCGGGGTATACTTCCCCAGACCCAACCGTTTTGGAACCTTAATGACGCCAACTACCTTACCAAGTTACCAGAGATCCAGCCAGCCAAGAACGTGTTTCCACCGTCTCACTCATCTTGTCCTTCGCCGGTCCCTATACCGCCTTCCCTTGTTCTTCCACAAACCTAATACGGACATCTCTGCACTGTTGCCCATGTTTCGTCAGCATGTCGCAAATACGCAACCACACGCCCACTCCAATGGCAGCTCCCTCGCTTGCAAGTGCACTCCGCTTCGGTATGTAGCGCGCCATGATCTCTTTTGCATGTGGCTCAAGCACCGACTACATACTCGTTTGCTGTTACTCGGTGAAGCCACAAGAAAGCTTGGAAGCTTGGTTGCTTGTGGAAGGCGCAATCTTGTGGGTGCAGGCACTGTCTTCCGCGTTGATACCTCATGCCGTCCGGTGTTCGGGACCACACAACGTCCTCTCCGGCCGACTCCAATCTCAAATTCCAACCCCGACATATAAGACATAAGCAAGACGCCATCGACGGATGATCTACTTCCGCCAAGCTTACTCCTGCCGTCAGAACTGCATCCTTAGACTAATCAGAACATCTCGAGTCCCGCTTAACAACTTAACACCGTGCTGAACAAGCCTCAGGGGCATTCAATTGTACTTTCGAACATACCCACATCTACAGAGGCACAAGGTACTGCGTCTATCATGCCACTGTCGGCTGAGTACACAATCAGCTGATCCTGCACGGAGAGGAACAAGCCTGTCAAGCAGACCATAAGATGGAGATCGAGTCGGTACCATCAGACCTGCTATGTTGCCCCAACACGGTGAAACAAGTGATGTTCAAGCAATGAGACTCACAGGACAAGGAACCCCTTCCTTGATGTGCTGATAGACAAGGCAAGCTACATCGGATCCTGCACGAATATGAGGCACCCCGCCCGACGATCGTACAACCACATGTTGAAAAACGCATATGTCTCCTTTTCTACACCAGATAGTTGCTCTCGGGCCGTCCTGAGACGGAGAATCGAGTCGGCAAATTCGGTACAATCAAACCTCCTCTACGTCACAGATACAGGAGACCCATGGCTGATCCTTGATCAATTGTATTGCCCTACCAGACCAGACCCCAGGCTTCCCTCGACGAACCAGATAAGGTGAGCCACGGCACAGCAAGGCGCTCACGGCATAGAGGCAATCCATCACCTCGCTACAATTCGCGCGAATCGTCAAGATACCGTGAACCAACCAACTCGCCCTCAAGAGGAACGACCAGCATTACACCAGCAAGGGACAATTCTAATGCGGGCCCGGAGTACGCTCCTGAGCTTACGGCATAGCATTTCATCTCCATCTCGTTGCTAATGCTAGAATGAAACAATGCCGCCTGCCGCAGTGGGACACCCTCAGCCCTCAACGGCACAAACTCACGCCAGCAGGAACAATGCTGATGTCGGCGGACTCTGCTCCAGGCTCACGGCATAGCAGTTAAAGCTTGTGTCCCTCTGGAAAGCGCAAGGATGAGACCGCAGTCTGGGCTCGTGTAGTGTAGTCCGGCGCTCAACATGAATGGCAGGAATCACGGCGATAGGGGCCAAAGCTGATGCGGCGAAGCCAGGTCCTAAGGGGGCTGATTGATGCACGCCTCACGCTATGCACCACCAGCCACCTAAGCGCATACGATGTACGACCATGATACGACCGTTGACCGCCGTCACAGACAATGGACACTAGCATCGAAGACTCAACAGCCCACCAGCAGGTCTGAACACGTGTACAAGTCGTCTACGAAGAACGGTCCTTCGTTCTGCTCACACACGGCCTGCTGTGCCACAGGCCAGATGCGAGTATGAATACAGTCCAATGTCTTTCGTCTGATCCTTTTGAATGTCATCGAGCCTTTCGCCTCAAAATTCATGTATGCATATTGCAAATCCTACACTGATACTATTGAACTCCAGACACAATGCAACCCACCCAATTGTCCCCTAGACGTGGTCAACAAGACTAAATGCCGGCGCCAGCACCTCGCGTCCTCTGCCCCTCCTGCGCCTGCGCCTTCTGAAACTGCCTGATCAACCCAAGCGGTCCCAACGCACCAAGAGCAGTAATAGCTTTAGCATCGTCCTCATCACCATCATCCTCGCTTCCACCACCGTCGGACGATTCGGCGTCGTACTTCCACGAGCCCAGCTCGCCTTCGTGCGTGGTGCCAAGAGACAACGGTTCAGCCGCGACAGCGGAGACCAGATCATTCGACTGTGACTGTGCGTGTTGGTCAACATGAGCCCCGAACCCGGTAGAACTCTCCTCTGCAACGTCATCTGGGATGTTATCGCGGTCACGATGACGAGGCTTGTGCACGACAGACCCACGGGCTCGTAAAGTCTGTGGCGACACGGCAAAACCGCTGGCTGAAGGTTGGTGGTGAGGATCAAGAAGGAGAGACTGTAGTGGTGAGCCAAGCGGCTGAGGTTGAACTTGACTCTGACCATGGCTGTGATGTTGAGGCCCAGATCTGGGCGTGCTCGTGGCGCCGAGCTGAGGCGGAGATAATATGCCCAAGCCTGCGCCCTGACGATTATTGTGACCAATACCACCAAAAGTACTACCGTAGTCGGCTGTCGGAAAGCTGGGTGAAGGCAAGCCTGGTACTGGTGGAGGCATGTTAAACCTCCGACGCGGGTTGCTGTAAGGGAACCGAACGTCTGTCTTGGGATTGCGCGCATAGTCGTTCATAAAACCCCAGTAACTCTGTTCGAGTTTATTGTCTTTGGACGCGAAATAGTCGTCTCGTAGGGTTTCCTTTGCATTCGCAGTGTCCTTGCCGGCTTGAGTGGCTGCACCCGTCGCCGCAGGCTTTGAAGTCGCCTGAGCAGCTTGAGGTCTGATGGCTCTTTCCATGAAGCCGAATTCTGCGAAAGAGCAAACGTATCCAATCCCATCCACGTGCACAGTAAACTCTCGAAAGAAGTCGATGATGCGCTCACTGCATTTGGGCAGACTGAACCATAGAACAAAAGGTGTGAATATCATACTCAGCACTTCTTCGAAGAAGATGACGACTTTCATCTGGTACAACTCCGAGAATTCGTCCTTCACTTCGACAGTATGAAGTCGACCCTCCCAATGCGCTGGAACGTAATGTGTGAAGTCAATCACCTCTTGCACCGAGAAAGCCGTGTCATAGACCATGTTGTCATCCGGCAGAAGACCACGAGCGACAGCCCATATCGAGCCGAAGATGCCAATGTAAAAGATGGTTGTGCGACCTGGAGTGACCTCAAAGTTGAGGAAATTCTCCTGATCTAACACTGTGGCGAGACCGAGCACTGAGACCACAGCTCCGGACACCAGACTTACAAACTTGGCAGCTTGCACTGTCTTGTCCTTGGGGAACTGGTTGATATATCGTGTTGCAAAAGGATAAGACATGTTGATTCGTCGCTGAAACAAATGATACAATTCATTGAACTCGCGGAACTTCCATTGCGCAAAGCGAGTGTATTCCCTCGACCCAATCTGAGCTGGATTCTTTTGATACTCGTTGAAGTTCTGGAAAAAGTGCTTGGTAATGGCAAACACGGCGAGAAAAGGCGAGAATATCAGGTTCACAATGCCCATAGCAATGAATCGGTTCCGTAACGCTTCAGAGAGGCTCTTGCGGTGTGTGTCTTTCAGGAAAAGAGGCCGAACCTGTCCTTTGTCGTTGAAGACGAAGTCCATGATGCACAACTCAAGATTCCATTCGAGTGTGCGTGTAAACAATTTGCGGTGGCGGAGGAATGGTATCGGTAGTGTCAAGTCGAGAAGGTCCTTGTTGATCATGGCGATCATGTAGTTCTCCCTTCGCATCAGTCTACTGGCAATATCGTGCGCGTCCATTCGTTGCTTGTTTTGCGACCTGATAAAGCCGGTGGACTTCTTGAAAGTGGAAGTTATGGTGGGATTTGAGTCTCTTAAAGCCATCAACCGACTCACAATCTCTTGCCACGATATGGATTGAATCTCTGCCTCCGGAACCCCGAGCAAATACAAGTAGAAGTCATGCATTTGTCTCAACCGGAAGATGTCGAAAAAGTAAAGGACAAGGTTCCACACCCAGACGAAACTGGTGATCCACAGGAGTGCATTGGGTATGAAGCCCATCTTGCTGGCACATTGAGGGATAAGTATCTCCGACATCTTAGTGCTGCCCTTGATTTCTTGGTAGTCGATACATTGTGTGAGGAACAGCGAGAAGCCGATGACGAACGCGACCGTGATCAGATTGAGAAATCGCATCAGCAGGATGGACCAGAATCCATGGCATAAGTAGTAGTTGTAGACATCGAGGAGGAAGTTGTCCAAGTTTGTCACGTTCACCCAGCGGAACATGGCCCTCTCTTTCGGATCAGCATTGGCCAAGTTGCTCCAGAAGGACGGATTGAAGGGCATGCTTCGGGGGACTCCTTGGTTTGGTTCGCCTTGACTCCTCGAGCGTTGATTGCGGCCAGAATTGAGGAATCCGAGATCTCCAGGTGAAGGGAGTCCGTCGGACATCTGACTTGGAGGTGGAGGCAAGGACATGGAATCATGCTCTCTCCCCTCGGCATTGTGGTCGATGAGCAGTGATGCTGGGACATCATCGTCCACCTCTTCGACCTCTAACAATCTGTCTGGTCTCGAACTCCACCTCGGCCGCTGTGACACTCTGTGTTTGTCCTTGCCCATTACTCTCGAGCCATCACCATGTGTTTCAATATGACGGGAGTTGGCCCTATCCGTGTGCATATTCATGTGACTTTCACCGAGATCGTGGAACCCATCTCTTGCAGCTCGAAGCCCAGCCGCGAGCCCAGCTCTTTCTTCAACGTCTGAGCCATCAGTGTCTTCGTCATATTGGCGGAGGGTCTCGTAAATCGAGGCAGAAGCGTTGCTTGAGCCTGCAAATCTGGAGATGAAGTTTGAAGCCATCGGTGGCCGACCAAGAGTGGCACAGGGTGGGTGCGGGGTTTCTCAGCAAACGTACTCTAAGCTGAAGTGATATAAAGAAGGAAAACACGAAACCAGATGTTCACGACATAGTCATGTCGGCGTGTTTGTGCCTGCGACTGCAAGTGCGAACGCTCTTGCGCGGGCACATGACAAGATCCAGGCAGAGATCAGAGGCTCTGGAGGGCGCTTCGCGTGTGATCTTGTGCACGGCGATTTATACTTTGAATAGCAGACAGTCAATCACAACACCCCGAGTACGCATACAATGCTACAAAGAGAGTAAGTGGTTGAGGTACATATATGTGTCGAGATGGAGTGTCTCGCGGTAAAGGAATGCAAGCCGCCGCATCATCAATACTCCGCAGATTGATTTAGGTATGCCAGTTGTACAAGGAAGCTTCTCCGAGTGGCCTTCCCCAGTTAACGCTAAGCTGGCTCCCGGCTCCCGTTCCAGGGGTGCAAACAAACATTTAACAGAGGTGCCCATCATTCATCATTAGTTATGTATCACCACTAAAGACACCAAAGATGTTCTTCACTGCCCTGTATAAGTGCCATTTCATTTACTCCCAAGAACACCACACGTTCGCTTGCTGAACGAGCCTGATGTACCAGAGTCCGGACCCAGGATGCCGTGCTCATAGGAAGAGCGCTGCCATCAGCGAAACACCAAAACATGCCACAAGCCATTGCTGATGATGCTGTGCCTGTAATGTACCGAGCTTTTCCGAAAAGCTCATCCCCACAGCTAGCAATACAGCAAGAAGAATCAATCGATTGAGAACGCCGTTGATAATTTTGAAGCACAACAGCGGTAGCAACCCGCTCATCAGGACGCAAACAGGTACCAAATGCGCTGCGGTGGAGGCTGGAGCACTCGTGGTCGGTTGTCCAGTGTCCAATGAGATCAAATCGTCTTCATGATCCAGAAACTTCGACTCGGGTGCTGAGAGCGGCTTATTTTCCTTCAACCATGCTCGAAACGTTTCCACGTCTGATGGAACTGCCGACGATGACAATCTTTGCACTCTTTGCGCTGATAAAAGGGCCTGGTCTGTCATACTATCAGCTAGATGCAACCTTCGCATTGCACGATTGCCCTACAGTATTGTTCAATCTTGATGTACAGCCTTCCCAAGACTTGCAATCGGTGGACATCCAAGTCTGTTCGGGTCCATTGCCAATTGAGTCTTCGCGATGCCGGCAACATGCTACCGTCAGTCTTCAGGCGAGTTCTGGTATCCGCCATATCAAGAGCAGCAAGCTCCTCTTCCATCTCAGAGATCTCATCCTGTAACTGCAAGAGCATTCGGAAGGTGCTTTTATGGAAACTGCGAAACACAGGTGGAAGCTCTCCTCGAGCCAGCTTGTGAGCGATGAGCTCGTACCCAGACAGAGTCGGACTGTATGTGAAATGCTCTTCCTTAGGGCTGGACGGCGTGTGATTGTGTGTCCTATTGGGGCTTGGAACCCTGATGCCTTGACCAACCGTGTGTGGCTTATGTGTGGCAGGAGGCACATCGGGCCATTTCCATCGCAGCCGTTTGGAAGATGTAGGGGTGTCTGTGACATGTCCTCGGTCTACGGCGAACTCGTCTGAGTCTTCTGGCAGGGCGGGCAACCTGCTCTCGACTGGAGAAAGATCGTGAGGCTGGCAGATACTGCTGTCTCCCATCGAGATACCTGAGTCCGAATGTTGACTTCTTACCGTACCTTCCGTGTCTGAGTCTACCCCAACGTGGTTCGCCAATTCAGACTGTGCTGAGCTGCCACATACCAGTGCTGGTGTTTCTTGGCCATCAACATCCACCAGAAAAGCAAAGACATCTACCGATTCACGCGAGATGCTTTTTTCTGGGCTCGGTCCGTTGGAAGGGACCTTCATGGGAGAAGCCTTCCTATCGCCCTTCTCTCGTACTCTCTTTGATTGTGATGCCCGGCGTTTGCTAGATGCGCTGGATTTCTTATAAGATTCTTGCGTAATGGTAGAGGAGCTGTCATTTGATCCATTGGATCCGCTGGTGACCGCCGAAAGGAGCGACAATTTGGAAGAGTGCGCAGCCTTGCTGACACCGTAGGAATTACTTCGGCGCCTGCGGCCTTGGTCGCGGACCGACACGAACATTCAGGAGTTCAGGAGTGTCTCGACCGGGATCAAGCAGGAAAAGCCAACCCCGGGAATAAAAGAGTGGCGAAAAGCACTGGTGGTACCAAGCAAAGACAGGCTATGGGGAGACTGAGCAGCTCCTCCATCATCGGGTCTGAGAGAGTCGTTAAATGAGAGAGTTTAGGGAGTCCGACAGCAGGAGATATTTGGTGGTATCATGGCCATCCCTTGCCGCAGGTTGGATGAAGGCGGGATGTGACAGGATTCGGGAAGGGAGGGGTCACAAACATGTAACTCGCCTATGGCCTGTGCAAAGAAGCGTGTGCAGGCAAAGTGATCGGCTCGTGCCTCCTGAGTGGCACAAACCAAGAAGGAGAAGAAAGACAGGCTGAAAGACACAAGGTTAGAATATCCAAGGACTCGGAAGAGAATTGCAGGAGCCAGCCATTGAAATGCCCACGATTTCGCTGAGCGAGTCTTCGCGCCTAGAGACGAACTTGTGCCCAACGATGGGCGAACAGGTCAAGGCCAGCGAGACTAGAAGTCCAATGATCATCCGGCCCCCGTCAGCGAACGCCGTCATCCAGGGGTGGCCGCGATTTGGACGTAAAGGTGGATGAGATGAGCCATTGAATGGAGCGCAAGAATTTGTGCGTAGCCTAAGATATCGGATCAGGAAGAAAATTCCCCTATGAATTAGACTGACTGACCAGCCCAATAGATGCACATCAGTGGGTGGTGATAACCTTTCGACTCGTGTTCCATTTGCGCTTTTCAAGCCTTTGCACCAATCGAATATGCTGTCTTGTTGCTCAACGGAGGTGAAAATCAAACATCCATATGCACCGTGGTCGAATTGAAACACAGACATGGGGACAAACATAGCATCAGACGGCGGGTTGCATGCATCAAAATCCAGATTGTCGACGACTCAAATCAAGCCAGCAAAGCCGCTTAAGCAGGGACATGCAGCACTGCCACGGGCCATCCCATGGTGCCTTGCTAGACCTAAGTAGAACGCTTGACAACACTGCGAAGATGACGTAGGAGGTCAGGGGATGAAATACAGAAATAAAGAAGAGTGAAGTCCAGGTCTTGGACAGTGAAGATGGATGAAGTTAACGATGTGGGACGACGTAGGAGGAGAGTCTTGTCCACAATGAGATGAGGAAGACGTGCCTCCCAAACTTATTGTAGCTGCTCGTCGAGGGCCCAATGGTTTCGCATATTAGACTCCTCCATGATTGACCCCAGATCATGACTGAGTTCAATAAGTTACTGCTCTCGCTACTCGGGCATGATAAAGCACGGTACTTCATCCCCAGAATCGCCAATTGGGTACGGGTTCGGGTTCCCTGCACATTTCAGGATGCTTATCCTTCCATTTCTGGTCGACGTCGTCAGGGAATTTCTCCGTTCCCCTAGCCACGAAGCGTAGCGGGACTGTGCCCTTCCTCATTTGCAGGGAAATGATCACACTCAGCCCGTTGAGCATCAAGTCCCTAGCCCGTTGCGCAGCCTTCTGCCACACTTCGACACGTGCATCCTCATCCATGGCGATGACTTCCTCGTCTGTAGCCCAGCGGTCGACAGCTAATTCGACCGAGTAATTCTGCAGGAGCACGGCAAGCACCGCCAGGACCTCGACCTGTGCGAACCGCCTTCCCAGACATGCCCTATATCCATCGCTAAATGGTATGTATGCCCCTTTCGGGGGCCGATATAGCCGGTCGGAAGTGTCGGAAGACTCGTTCACTCCGAGACCATCAGCCTGAACGGTTTCGCCAGGCATCTCCTTCTTCCCGTTCAGGGTGGTGGTTTGGACCTCGCCATCTTCATCAAGCAGCCAGCGCTCGGGTCGGAACTCTTCCAGGTCATTGTCCAGATTCGCAACTGGGTGGACAGGCTTCCCACCAGGCAATGTTGGCTTACCCGCAGGCCAGTATCTCGGATTCCGTTGTACATTAGAAGTGTCAAGGCTGATATATGTCCCACTTGGGACAGTACACGACTTGCCTTCCACGGTGAGCTGCTGATCTCCCACACCCCAGGTGGATTTGGGAATGCCGAGGACAGGCGGTACCAATCGCAGTTCTTCTGCGAGTACAGCACCAACCATGCCACCGAACAATCCAGGCAGGTCTCGCTCATAATCCCATTCCGAGGTCGGCCGACCTTGAAATATGCGGTCGAGATCCTTCTGGACAGCTCGCTGAGATCTCGGGAAAAGCGCTAAGTAGACTAAAGAGAAATGGATCGAGTTCGCCGCGGTCTCGTGGCCAGCAAGAATAAGGACAAACATATTCCCTAGGATTTCAGAGTCTGTTAGAGTCGCATCTTTGCTCGTCTCCGTGTTCAGCTGGTTCTTCACCAGCTGTGTAATGATGTCCATCTGGTCGTTGCTGTCCGCGCCCTCTTCAAGACTCTGTTTTTTGGCTGCCACGGCTTCCTTCATGTAGTTGCCCCATTCGGAATACGCTTCGGTGGCTTTCGTGAATGTCTTGAGCGGAACTCGCTTTACCAGCCAGCGAGGTAGGAGAAATTGGAGAAGAATGTTGTCCAGCAAACAATGGATGGCGTAGGTGTAACTCATGGAATGGCCAGCATCACGGTCATCTCGCTGATTTTGTATCTTGGATTTGTCAAGATAAGCCTCATCAACATCGGCTTTTGCATCTGCAGAAGGCCACTGCAGCTTGCGCCCAAAGCCCGCTGAACTAATGACGTACAGACTGAGTCTCATCGTGTCGTCCATTACACGGTCCACGGTCTGGTTGCCTTTGCCATCAGGACCTAGCCACGAGGACAGCATAGCATTGGCGAGTTCGATACTCTCGGCCCAAACGAGATGATTGTTCTTTTCCGTAAACGGCGGGCTGGTGGCTTTCCGATGCTGGCGCCACGCAGCTCCCTCGGTTGTGACCACGTTTCTGCCATATATGTCCAACGACCGGTAAATGGTCGTTGGCTTGGGGAAATCGTTTCTTCGCGTGGTGATTTGAGAGATGACAGACGCATCGGCAGTGTGTAGCGACATGCGATCTGGCGTCACGACAAGGAAAGTGTCATGTCCCACGCGTTGGAAGATCTCGATGCTGTTGCGATAAATGGCGTCCGGGAGACAAAAGTCCACCCACCGGGTCCATTTTGGAGGCAGCTTCGCCAGGAATGGCAGCCACAAACGATTAGTGATTAGCCACCATGTTTTGAGGAGGTATATTGGAACGACCACGTATGGGATTCCAGATTGTTTGGCAATTTGAACATTGCGACGTAAACTGAGAATAGTGCTGGAAATGTTGTAAAGGAAAAGCAATGCGACCCCGAGAAGGATTAGAGACAGCATCTTGCTGGGTGTGTTGAGTCGGAAAATAGTCTTGCTAAGGCAGGAGATTCGTGTTGTTCTCCCTTGGCCTCATTATCGTTATTCGAGGATGTCTAGGGTGGTCGAAGCAGAGACAGAAGCTGAAGTTTGCCGATGTAAGTAGTCTTTGACTTCAAGTACGCAACATTCCGGCGTTTGAAGGGGGTCGGAGTCGGACAAGGAATGGTTTACGAAGGAGAAGGAGAAGGAGTTCGACGCTGACGATCTTCGAATGGTCACTCGTCAGCATACGCGATGGGAATGAAACTCAAGCGAAGGGTTCACGGGGGGAAGATGCAAACAAATCAGAAACAGACATTGTGGGCATCGGTTATGAGGCTTTGAGATATGTGTCACTCGTGTCACGCCGTCATGTTCTCGCCACGAAGGTTTACTGGAGCATAAAGTGCAATCGACAAAACGTGAGATCAAGGATTCTGGTGCATCATTGATCCGATTCCTTGCTGGACCCCTCACGCAAGTCATGATGGGCTGACGGCTTCGAAGCGAACCGCGCTTAAACAGCTCGCTTCGAGCTTCTTCCGCAGATCGAGGATTTCGGCGCTGGCTTGCCGGACGTTGAGTGGACGATTCGCTTACAGTCTTTGGATCCAACAATCTTCGTGCAAGTCTGCGAGAACCGCGGATAAACTAATAAGAATACTGTATTCAGGGATATCAAAAGCAAAGTAATCAATTCCTCGGGCCAGTACGAGTACAACCAACCATAAAGCCAGTCTGCTCCAGGGTCGCTTCTATAACTTCCCTCCCCCTCTTCCCCCTTTGCTGCCCCTCCGATCTCATATCACTACGCGAGGAAGATAACACCAAAGACCACATGCCTGTCAGTCACCACCTCTTTCCCGTTCCAGTCTCTGCTCCGCGCTCCAGGTTTCCACCTTCTAAGCGGTCGCTGCTTCCAAGTGTGTTCCCTGTGACTCGGCTGCGGGCTTCTCGGTTGTAGCAGCAGCATATAGTGATGATTCACCATGGGCCTCGGAGGTGGCTCGAGTGCTTGACTCTCCTGTGGGCATGGCACCCGTTCCTAGCCCTCCCGCGTTCGAGTGAATGGGCTCAAGTTGGGGTTCCCATGCTTGCAGGTCTTGTTCTGCGTCGGCCAAAATCGTTCTGGCCTCGGCACCATGCTCGAAAGGCTGGCGCACATCTCCTGGCACCACGGGAGTGTCGTCAAGTAGGTTCAGCAGACGACGACCATACTTGGCGAGAATGATCTGCTTCTCGGCTCGCTCAATCGTGGCGGCGAAGTTGATGTCGAAGGCCTCCTTGACTTTTTGACGTGTCTATGGCAATTATTAGCATTCAATCTGACCAAGGTCCCGTTTCCCAGGATACTTACAATGTTCGTAAGTTGAGCTTCGGCAACTAAGTTCTGAGCCTCAGCTCTCACGAGTTCCTGCTCGAGAGTGACTAGCTTTGGGCTTGTGGGTTCTTTGTACTTGAGCTTCTGGATTTCGTCGCTGATCTTGGCCTTTTGATCTCTGCTCGGTTGTACGCTTGACTCGATGTTTCTAATCTGCTTCAAAACGGAACGGTAGTCCTCCAAGTTTTGCGCAAATAGATCTTCCTGTTCTCCTATCTCAGAAAGAATCACACCGATTTTGTCCGAAACGTCCGAGATAGATTCGTCGCCAGTGGACTCGCCCCAGTCGGACAGCTGCGAAGCAATGGAGAGGCGTTCGCGACCTGCGGTTTCATAGGCTCCAATAGCATGGTTCTCGGTTTTGATGAGCTTGAACAGCTTCTTGGAGAGCTCGGCTTGTTGGATGCCGCGCAGGGTGGAAATGGAGAAGGTGTGCTTGGAAGCTTCTTTGGAATGGTCGTCCTTCTTGCGGGATCGGATGGAAAGGGCGCGATTCATGATGGAGGATGTTTTTGAGGATTTCTTTGACTATCTTCAAGTACCGGTGTATTTTGAGTCAGACGCACTTCTAGCAAGCTCTGAATGTGTACAAAAAGGAATGTGAATGAAGCAAAGCTGTGATCGTGCGTGGATGAACTGAAAACAGTGGGAATGCGAGCAACACAACCGGTGACGTATGTGGTTGGAGGGGTCGGCAAGACGACATTCCAGAATCAAGGAAAGCCGCCACCACAATCACCATCGATGGTTTGACAATTCGTTATCATTGTCAAACCTATGCTGTCGATCATCCTGTGGTACTCGAAAATGTAGTCGCACAGATAACGAAAATGAATTGATCGATATTAACTTATACAATAACAAAGCCATCTTGACCTCAATGTACCAGATATCTCCCACACTCCATTCGAAATCATCAATGAGATCATACAATACCGGCGCCATAACTATATGTACTTCCAACCTTGACATCGTGGACAGATTTTTCAAATCAGGTAGTCCACAACCTCTGTTCAGTCATGATACTGTCGACTCCTTCTTCCCTCCCTGATAACCCGAGTTCTGCTCTCACTGCGCCTCGGGTCTTGGTAGGACTTGGTCGAAGAATAATCATAACTGGAGCGTGCCGGGCGTTGGGCCGAAGCTGATCGCCGTGTGACTGTCTCTCGCTTGTATGTTGCAACTTCAGGGCGAGACACATATTCTCGAGATTGGCGACTCTTGTTCTCGCGTTGACGAACGCTTTCTGCTTGACGGGAGCCCTCTCGTTGACGAGGCTTTTCTTCTCGCAGGGCGCCCTCGCGTCGACGAATAACCACCATATCTTCTTTGCTGCCGCCGCCGAAACACATGGTTTGAAAGTACTTTGCGAATGGTCTGCTCAAGATAAGATGCTCGATGAAAGGTGAATTAATGATAGCCACCGTATACACTTGAAATGTAGTTGTCCGAAGTCAGCTGTTTCAGATGATAGGGAAGAAGCAACAGTACAGAACACGGCACCAGGCTGAATAGTTGGAAGAGAGACCATAGGAGACATCTTGCCACATCATATACATCAATATGTTCGTAGCGTGCTCATAGCAGGCAAACAAGGCGTCACTTGATGAGCGAATACACCTTTTTGCTGCCCTTGTCCTTGTTCCAAGACACTGGGCCGACATCATTCTTGTACTGGTGGCTGGGCGAGGGAGATGGCTTCCACAACTCAGGCGGTTGAAGGCCCATTCACCACTAATATCAAACGGCGTCCACACTTCGGTAGCCGGCAAAGCCTCAAATGAAGACTTTTGGTAACATGGGTGTTTCTGAGGTGCGGAGTAGGTTCACTGCATGACGGCCTCACGATCCAGACCTGCATATGCCACGGTGAAGGTGTCCAATGAACCTCGTATCACCACTAGAAATCGAGACCAGGGTCAACACGAATGAAGGCAGATCCCGCCGTTCCATGGCAAAGCAGGTCCAACGTCCTTCCGAAACTGCTTGAGCCGCAAGTGTTAACCAACACCACCACCTTCCCCTGTTGCGACGCTATTCAGACTTCTTACCCTACGACAACATAGTCAATGACCATGACTTCACCCTCCAGCAACCCCCCCGTGACCAGCCCTTTCATGAAACTTCCAACCGAGATCCGCCTCAAAATCTACACGCACCTTTTCTACTCCCGTAAAGAGATCAAGATCGAGCCCGCCAAACCGGCTTCGCAGGGCGCCTTCATCTTCGTTTCTGACACCAAAGAGGACAAGGAAACACCATGGCTCCTCCGCCCACCCACCGCTTCAGGCCTATCATCTCAAATTCTGCGCATTTGTCGACAAATCCACCATGAATCGCTCCCCGTCCTGTACAAGTCCAACATCTTCGATTGCGCCGCCCGCGAAGGTGTGTCCTTACTGTAATACAATATCGGCCTCTCCAACTTCAGCCTGATCCGCCATCTGAGCCTCGACTGGGACCAACTACAGGACTTTGCCTGGTCTCTCGCCAAACCCGAACAACGGCTCGCAACCAGTGGCCTCGAAACTATCGACCTGGCGAGCAGCCGTGCTTGGATCCGCACCGGCTCAAATTCTCTGGGGCACAAGGTCAAGGTCTACGATCGCCACCTGTGCCAGGCCGCGCTCGACATCTGTCAGAAGCACGCACAGCTACGGGTCGTCCGGCAGTCCGATAGCTACTGGATCAAACACAAACCGAGAGAGTTCAAAGTGGCGGGCAAGATCATCACCAAGCGCAAACAGTTCCACAAGATAAGATGGCACTTTCTCACGGAGAAAGGGGCAAGAAGAACACATGATGATTTCAACCATGTTGTAGAACTGCAGGGCGAGATGGCCAGCTTGACTGTCCACGCTACGAGGGATCCAGAATACACGCCGTTGCCCCAGTTCTAAGTGACCGCAACAGGACAAGTGTTCGGCGGATCCACGACTTCTGGACCATCCGTCTCGTCCCTAAACCTCCCGTCCAAACTCTTGAAGTGATATGAACACGAACACATCGTGATATGATCATACAAAAATCAACCCGGCAATCATCTGATTAGGTTATCTGCATCACCGAGAAACCTCTACTGTCTGCGAAATAGCAGCCGCCGCCGCTGCTGCCGATGGAGTCGAAGGCCGACCACCTGCTTCTGTGCTGGCTCGATCTGGCGTAGCTGAATATCGTGGAAAAGCCGCTGCGGTCGATGCTGCTGGATTTGGTGTACCTGGCGTGCCAGAGCTCTGTCTGTGAAGCGGATATGGCGTCTGGGCTTGCTGACCTGAATATTGTCTCGGCGGATAGTTCTGTCCATTGACCATTGGCTTCTGAGGAGAGGCCGACCTCCCAACAAGGTTGTTATCCTGAGCCTTCTGTTGGTAGTTCGGTTGACTCGGTTGGCGAGCGAAACCAGGAGTCTGTGCATGTGCAGTACTCGCTCCATGACTTCCATAACCGTTCTGAAGGGGTCGCTGGAACTGTTGTATTGTTGGTCGCGAGGGATATGTAGTGGCGGAAGCTTGGTATGGTGTTCCCGAGTATACAGGCCGCGGCACCGTCGGGGTCTGGTAATTTTGTGCTCTGACACCGTATGCAGCCGTTGCCGGTACTGAAGCATTGTAACTACGAGCCTGCGTGTTGTACGAGGGCTGTGCCTGGGCATAAGCTGGGCGAATTTGAGGAGTGATAGCTGGACGACTCGCAGCAGCAGCAGTTTGTCGGCTGATTTGCTGTCTCCACGTGTAATCATCAACCTGTCCTGTTCCTGGATAATCGGGCGCCTCAACCAGTATTCTTGTGGAGATATTCAAGTCTTCGAGCTGGTCGCCATCCAACTTGGCCACTGCGAAGGGCGGCAATGACGAGACCAATATGCTTAGTTGATTTCGGAGCATTTCATATATGTCGAATTCGGCGTTTGGCGGTTTTGAGATGTTGCTGGCGAGGCTGCGGTTCCGTTGATACGAACTCAATGTTTCGATCAATGCTGACACTTCTTCCAGCACATCATCTACATCTTTGTCTTCTTTGGTAGGCCCGAAGTCTTCTTCCGGGATTGGCTCGAAATTGGCAACAGTGTCGGCGAATTCGTTGTCTTTGCTTTCTTGCTCTTTCATGTCGCTCTGGGTGTCCTCGGACTGTTCTGCACTGAAGATACTTGTTAAGCGTTCGTCGCCGTATTTATACCACCAATAACGGCTTCTTTCTTGCGCAGCTATCAAGGGAGTCCTCTTTTGCACATCAGAAGGCGTTCTGAACATACTCGTGTTGTCAATGCTCGGAGCGAAACTTGAATACACCGAGTGGAATAGTGCCTCGCCAGTCACTTCGGCTCCTTTCCGCGAACCGTTGGCTGCGAACGCCGCTTTGTGGTCAGCTGCACTGGCAGTGGTTTGTAGCCGCTTGCTCTCTTGGTCCATTTGCTCGCTAGCTTGACCATACGATATCCAAGCCCCAGTAACCTGTTGAGTGAATTTGTAGTTTTTCGCGGTGATGTCGTTCCGGGTCGGATCAGGATACGGTACAAAGTCAAGAGTGCTGCCAACGGCGATATTTTTGGATAGCTGGGGTGGTTTCAGCGGGTTCAGTCGGTTGGCAGGCTGGAAGACGGAGCCAAACTGTCGCTTCGGTAACTTCTGTTTGGGCGCATCACCACCTAGCGTCGTGAAATCGGTGATCTGGAACTGTCGTTTGAACCCTTCCGGCGGATCCCATCTGTAAAACTCCTCGGATACAACACCGTCTTCTTCCGGTCTTCGAGTCTCCAAGCCAGAATACAAAATCTGAGTCCTTCCGTTCGCCTGGCAGGGTACAAGTGAGATGAGATGCCGGGGAGACTCGGTGAGAGGAATGGACTTGGTCACATCTTCACCTTCAGTCTTTATTGTAGCGGCATTCGGTGCTTTGGAGGTCTTGGATTCATATACAGACAGCAGATCGACCAGTTTTGACAGTTGTTCCTGCACCTCTTCTCCTTTGACATCCGACGTGGATAAGTCGTTGGAGATTGCAGTCTTGACAGCGGCCACATCTTGTCTGAGTGCATCAAAGGACTTGTAGGACCCTGCAATGATTCTTTCTTCGATGGTGTCGCTTGAGGATTCGATCTTGGTAAGGCGCGCTCTTTTCAAATCTGGGGCTTCTGTCTCGGACGACTGTAGAGGATAGTTCAAAAGTGAAGGCTTTGTGTCGTGTCTGCGAAATATGTCAGATGAGGGGAGAAACACTTTCAACACAATACATACTTGCGAAGCAGTTGTAACACATTTTCCAAAGCAGCTTGTAATGGGGAGGTCTCGACGGCTGAAGGGGAAGTCGCAACTTCAGGAGATGGCGTGCGTTTGCGTTTCCCCAAGTGAGAAGTCGAGCCCAAGGTACTGTCCTCAGGTTTCGATATTCCGTTGGTTTCTGCCATGATCGCGCGCAGACTTCCTTCGATGTGCTCGACCGGTATTGATGATATATTTTATGGTGTTGAGGGATAATTGAGTGACTCGGTCGCGAGCAGACCCAGATATCTGCTCCTAGCACATCGGAAGGAATGGCGAATCTGTGCACAGGCAGTTGCGAATCTCTTTGTCCTGACACGAAATGCGATTCTGTCGCGATCGGAGGGAGGAACTCGCAGGATGGAGCGCAGTCAGTTTGCAAGGGTCGATCTGCGCAATACAGTCGCAACGCGTAAAAGTCCACGACAACGGCTTCGACAACAACGTACAGCACGCAAGGATGCACCTTCTTGGCGTGTCTAACGATCTCTTCGATCCAGTCAGAAAGACAAACTTCTTATGAAAACTCCTTTCATTCAAGTTTGAGAGGGCGCGATCTGTCCGTGTTCATTGCTGTCCAGATTCGGCTTGGCGCGCATGAGGACTTTCGGCCCGCTTTCACTGCCTATCAAACATGGCTGTGATCCGCTCCTCGCAGCAGCGCATTCTTCGCTGTACATTTGTTGCGACAGCCAGGCACAGAAACTATACTAGTGATTGTCTTTCTGAGAGGGGCTTCACAAGGCTATCTTCGATGCTGATATAGCGACACGAAGCAAAACCACTCGCCGGTCTAGCCGCTTCGAAGTCGAAGCTGAAGCATCAATGGATGGTCATCATCGGGCGCATTTCGCTTTCCCGCTCTCCTGCTGCACTTCAGCACTGCCACCTGCGACAATGTGTACGTGTTCTTGGTATCGTTCCTGGATGTTGTCTTACGCTCTCGCAGGTGCTCACAATACCCTATTCCAACAACCAGACTGTCACACGATCATCAAGAGTCCGACATAGCTCGTCCTCCGCGAAGACACCGAATCTTTTTACTCCTTCTACTCCTTCTGCTCGGGATGATCCGCAACTCAACAGGATCGGGAAGGCAGGAAGCGAGGGGCGCCGGATACCTACATCCTCGATCAGTCTGTACGACGACGACTTCGCAGGCTGGCCCCAATTGAACGAGCAAGGAAATTTCCCTGACAATGATGATGGATTTGCCGAAGAAGAGACTGAAGCGTATGCCGCCACAGAGCTGACCTTGGATTCGAATGGCGCCAGTAGACGGACTGGTAATCAAAATTCTTTCCTCGGCACGCAGCTCGACAATCTCCTTTCCATTTTCATGCCTTCGCATGCTCGCCACAAGAAAGCCGACCTATCATACGTCAATCCTCTTGAGTGGGAACAGAACGTTCGCAAGCTTGAGCATCCGGCTACATTGTCGTTCAGGAAGTCCACACCTCTCCGTGGCATGGTACTTGACTATCTCCACCACGTCGAACCAGCTTTCCGCAACTCAGCAATCTCTCTTGACAGTCCCGACGTCGAACCACATCTTGCGAGCGCCTTACGCAGCGTATTTTACGAGAAGAACCTTGAACTTCTTGCCGAGCTCGGATATGAAGCGACTGACGTGGCAGCTTGGGCCTGGGTTTTCTCTTCGGGGGACGTTGAAGTCGCTGTGCGCCGATATATAGCTCTGGCAAACAAGTCTAGTGGGACACAGAGTGGTCGAATCCCGAAGTTCGTCCTCTTGCAGATCCTGCGCGCTGCGAACATCAGCCAGATGGCCTTCAAGGACCTCATCAGAAGCATTTTGAGCGACGTCCAATGCTGTAAAGAAGCGCAGCAGTATCCTGGATGGCTGTGGACGAGTAGAGTGTGTCTGGTGGTTCGACTTCTCCGACATGCTCGTCAAGCGGCTCCGGATTGCTTCCACGACATCAGCTTGATCATTGAACATCTGTTCTCTGACTTTTACCTAGGTCAAGATCGTCCACTCGAACGCCCTGAACTGAGACGGTTGACACACATTTTCAACCGGTTTCTTTCGCTGATCGCTCTATCCACTTTCAGGACGCCCTTCAGCACGTATCTGATGCAACAAAATGCACAGCTTGCGTTGATTAGGCTCATGGCTAACTTCAAGCCCCAGTTACCCCTGACACGTGAAGGTTATCGTGCGCTCGCAGCTGTGCAATTACTCCACCCAAAGACTGGCCATGAAAGGACATGGGCGGATGCGAAATCACCAGCATGGCCACCATGGCGACGTATCAAATCTGGAATTGAGCAGGATCTCGAGTATCCCGGCAGGGACAGCCGCGTTATGAAGCTGCTGAGGCGGATGAATCAAGCAGGGTACACCCATGGCCTGTGGGACCAAAGTGCTGCTGTTTTGGCAGGGTGGGACACGGACAAGAGCCCTACAATTCAAACACGAGCACTATTGATGCGACAACAGAAGCCTTGGACTACTCCACGGCAGTCAACCAATTCTCTTGACGGCCAGTCTCATGATGCGGCAGAATTGTGGGCCGCGCGGATTCGAGCTACCAGAACAAAACGAGAAGCTTGGGCTTCTTTCTGTGCCTATGAGAAATCTACAGAGGTGTCCAAACGACGATATCAACCGTACTTTGCAATGTTTGACAAGCTACTCGCTCAAACTGCATCAGCATCATCAGGTTTGGGATCCAAATACCTTCCAGGAGACGTCAAGGAGGTGTTCGAAGACCCTACAAATCCGCGAGATCTCATCTATGTCGAAAAGGAGCTTCCTAGCGTGGATCAATTCTACCAGGACATGTTACAGGCCGGCATTTTTCCAGGAGGCAGTCTTTTGAGCAATCTGTTGGATCATGCTCCAAACATAGAAGCTGGTTTGTCCTATATTCACGACAGTCGTTGGGATGCCGTGACGAAAGACGTCCTTCGGCATGCTGAAAAGTATCCATCTACCATCATCCGCGACGCCGTCGATCGCATTCCTGGTCTTTGCTTAGCAGCTTTTGTCTGGTTGTTATGCAGGCATGGCTATCATACGCATTCAACCTTTTCCATCAAAGTCAATCTGTCCAGTGAGGATCAAAACCCCCAGAGAAGCAACCAACAAACTGTCTCTCCCTTGAGATACGCATGGCAACTTCTGGCTGTTGGGAGAAATACTGACATTCGTGCTTGGAACGCGTTTCTTAAAGGAGCTGGAGCCTGTCTTCGAGACGTCAACAACAAGTCCAAAAGTCAATCCCTGTCCCATAGCGATACACGTGTCATGAAACAGGAAATCTGGCGTCTTCTGTGGGACTCTTTACAAAGTGATGCAAAATCGAATATAGATGCAGACCTCGAATCCTTTCGACATTTGGCAGGTATCATGATCCTCCTTGTCAGAGACGTGAACCAACGCCGTCTCCACATACCGTCCCGACGACTTGGACTGCTCACCAAGTCGGTGTTCATGCGTGCCATCTATGGCCATCCAACCGACACCTTCCTTCCGTCTTCGAAGCTTCCCATCCTGAAGTATCCTGACGGAAGCGATCTGAGGCTGATGCTCAGGGTTCTAGTCTCGACTAGTGATGTTGAGGGGATCATAGCTTTGGTGGCGTGGATCAACCAACATGCCGACAGCTACACACCGCAAGACGGACAACGTGCAACGGGCGATGGCGGTCGAGATCAATCTTTGTTCCGCTCGTTATTGTGCATCATCCGGCTCTTCCTAGAAGGCAGTCCGGCAAAGCCCGGCGACAAGGACGGGAATGTATTCGAGACACCCTTGACCGTGAAGCCAGAAATGGTTCGACAGGCTCGGGATCTCTGTGAGCCTCTGGGCTGGCCTTCAGACGAGGAGGTTGATGCCTTCCTTTCACGTGAAACGGACTGGATGGCACGAGTTGCTCGGATCGTGGACAAAGACATTCACAGAGAGCAGCAAAAGGACAGCAAGTCCGGCTTCGACGACAATACGAATGACACCGGAGCGGAAAGCAATGCAGATCATCAAAATGAACTTGTCTCAAACGACAAAGTCAAGATTAGGAAGATAGCTGCGTATTAGTGTTAATGGCTATAGAGTGAAGCTTGTATCGAGTATGCCTCCCAGTATTCCAGAGATGGATCGTTACTCTTACAGTCACTGTTACAAAGTTTTGCACTACTCACAATCATTCGCAGGTTGTGGTAGTAGCACACGGGACGAGGCTGGCTACAATGCTCTACGGGTGGACAAGGCTGTACAGTACCTCGGCATATCCCTCCATGGTGCTTCCAAGTAGACCTCCCTTTTCGTTTCGAACAATACATACAAGCAGGGTAAGCTACACTCTAGTCAATTGATTCTACGTGCAAGAGCACCCTCTGCTCATTGGTCTTGTCGACGCTATACGAGCCTTTCCTCAATCACAGTCGACACGGCACTCATGACCAGCAAACGGGCTTGATTGCCTCAATACTTGTCCTCCGCTGCAATGACAACCACAACTCAATCACAGAAAGAACCGCCCTGGCACGCTGCGTTCCCGGTGCCACGAACAACAGAGCCGAAATCAATATCACCTGAAGATCTTCTCGGACGTCTGCAAGCGCGTGAGCGTGGCGGGAAGGACTTTCTGCTTGTTGATCTACGGCGAAATGATCACGAGGGCGGTACGATTCTCTCATCAATCAACATCCCCGCGCAAACGCTGTACCCGAGTCTCGAGGCTTTGTATGCGCTCGTCACAAAGGCAAAGGTACCCCTCGTGATTTTTTATTGCGGGTCATCTGCAGGAAGAGGTACGCGAGCGGCAGGTTGGCTGGCGGATGTGATACAGGACAAGTCCACTTCCACTTCCACGTCCATGTCCGAACAGGAGTCTGCTGGCGACTTCGTTGTTGAGAGTGTGATTCTCAAGGGCGGGATCAAGGGGTGGGTAAAAGGTGGTGAGTCGTATACGGAGTGGATGGACGGGTTTGATGAAAAGGTCTGGAAGACGAACTCGTAGTTCACCTTCGGTAGTCGCTGCATTCAGCGTCCACACAAATTACCGTATTTGGTGCCGTAACCTGCCTTGGTCTTGTTACATGAAGCTGTACTGTGTGCTATATACTCGGCCTGACCCGTGTCCTGGGATCACCTTGTGGCTGCACCCCGGGGGCCTCGTTGGACACAATCCAAATCCATACCCAAATGCAAATTTAGAATCCCACCTTCACCGTCCTTCAACCCGACTCTGACCATAAACTCATCAAACTCCCTCCCCTCGAGCCCAAGGGTCTTGAGATGCCCTTCCTCAATCTGCAAGAGCACAGGCTTTCCGCCTAACTGCTCGCAATATATATTCCAGAGGCTGGCCATGAAGGACACCAGACCCTCCTGATAGCTTGCGAGCGGGTACTTGTTCGCCAGCCGGTCAAGGCGACAGGCCTGCGACTGCGCCGAGACGTCGAACGCGATAGACAATTCCGAGAGATATTGCGCTCGGAGATTGGTCCAGCGTGGGCCTTCGGTGGTTCCAGTCTCCGGATTGCGGAAGAGGTCATTAAGTAACTCTGTCTGTTCGTCGTCCGCGTAGAGGAGGTCATCGGAAATGTAACCCCATGCGAAACAGTCGTCTAGTCCGGGTTGAGTCTTTTCATAGATACCGGCGCCAAGGCGAGACTGCAATGCTTCCATACTGGCCTGCAGTATGAACTCACAGGCTATTTCCATCCATTTGTCGTTGGGGTGCTGGCCAGTCAGTGCGGAGAAGTCGGCTGAAATGCTCACGAAGCGGGTTAGGAGGTCGAAAAGAGAAGGCTGGTCATTGCATTGTGATGCGGTCTGCGTGAAGATAGGGCGGCTTGTCCATGCATGATAGATTTGATCTTCGAAGTCCTGCTGCATCCTGGTCTCGAAATTTCGTTGGACGTAGTGCTCCCGGGCAACGAGCCATTGGCGACGGGAGTCGAGATTGCGCATCGTCTGGTCATGGAGTTTTTTAGGCGTGTCTGCTGAGAAAGGAGTGGTCTTCGCTGAGCGACTGGACAGTAGCACCAGGAATTCCAGAATGTCAAGATTTGTGTAAAAGTCCGGAGATTTCACGTGTGATGGGTGCATTTGATTGAATATCTGGATGAACGAGTCGAAGATGGATAGGATGCGTGTGGATTCGACGGCTTTGGCTTCATCTTGGTGTCCACTGGAGGCAAGGTCGAATTGTGCTTGAACTGCTTTGTAGAGGGTGTACTCTAGAATCATGATGTCCACGTCCAGTTGCAAGTCTGGGTCGGCGCATCGGGTGTCCGCCATGGTTGAGATCCCTTCACGTGGCTGTGTCACCTGAGGATGCTATCCTGGGCGAGGAAGTGTTCGGACTCAAGAGGTGAGCATGATCGTAATTGTTGATGTTTGTTTTCATTGACATGTGCGGTGCCTCAGGTGTTGACCGGCGATATGTCAACATTTATCAACGACAATGTTGGCGAATAGGTGGAAAGCTCCCTTCTCTAATAGTGATCCTCTTGCGAGATTATGCATTGTCCGTTTTCGACCAGAAACAGTGGACTCAACGTCGAGGTTATACCAGTTTGGAGCGATTAGGTCGAAAAGTGCGGTGAAGATGGAGGAGTTGAGGGTCTGGATGAGGCTTGCCTCGGCACATCTGATACACCAAACCCTCAACATGAAACACCTACGCGAGTCCTCAGATGCAAGCGAGATAGGATGGTTGGAGCAATCAATGGTATCATTCATGATGCGCGCGAATAGGTATCTTAGTTATGTCCAAACGCCATCGCTATGCATAAATCTAGACAAGCGTTACCTCTTCTTTCCCTTGCCTCCTTTCACGCTCTTTGTCTGAGAAACCGGGGCAGCATGATCCTCGTCCTTGATGTGATTGAAAAGCCGCGTCTTGGAAGGAAACTCGGCTTTGCATACGGCACACTGGAATGCTGACTGGTCTGCCGCCTTTTGAGCCGCCTTCTTTGCCTTTTTTTGTTTGGCTTTGCCCATCTTGGGCTGCGCAGGTCCATCGGATTCCGATGCCAATGGGGTGCCCTCCAGACTAATATCTTCTATCTTTGAGGATAGTCCGGCCAGCGGACCCCCGGCCAGCCGTTGCTCAACATCAGATCGAGATGCGTAGTCGTCATCAGTCTCGTCAGAGTCGGGCCGTGATGTGTCCGTCTTCCCTGTTGTGCCGTTGGCTGACGGCCTCTCCTTGGGAGCAGGAGCATCTTCTTGCTCTTCTGCCTCGTCTTCATCTTGGTCGCCAACTTCCATCGGTTGATGCTGCTCTGGCACATTTTCTCCGCTGGCTTCCTCATCGGCAATATCTTCACGGTGTGGTGTTGCTTGCTCGGCGCCCCTCAAGTCTAACTTCGCACCCTCATCACGCATCCCCTTTTGCAACTGTTTCAGCAATTTGACATGCTTCTTGCTCTTTTCGTGTGCCCTGTACTGAGCATCGCTTTTGAAAGTCTTGTCACAGACCACACAATCGTACTCGTGCTCTTCGATATCTGACTCGCTCGAAAAGGCTCCTTCATGCTCATCTCTTGTCCTTGACTTGGCCCAATCTGGTACCGCTGCTGCATCCTCTTGCAGTTTCGCCTGTCGTGCTGCCCTCGAGCGTGCTGCTTGTGCAGCAGTTGCGTCGCGCAGGGCCTTTTGTCGCTCCGCTTCGGACTTCTGATTGTTCTGCACTCTAGGGTCACGTTTCCGGACAAAAGCAACCAGGGACCGGACGGCCTCGTTATATTGCTGGATGGCCTCCTCGCGTATTTTCTTGTTCTCCTTCTCCATCAACCGCCTAATTCTTCGATCTGGGGCATCTGACAACCGGTATTGGTCCTTCCAAGCATAACTCTTCCGTGTCGCAAACCCATTCCAATAGGCATAGAAGGGCCGCACCACGTCGTCGTAATCATCGGTGTCTAGGCCAAACTCAGGATAGTCCATGGAGTCCTGATCCTCCCATTGGCAAGCAATATCTTCCTCTTTCGCGAGCTGCTTGAAGAAGTCATTCAACCCTCCATAGAATCCGCTAGGAGCATTACTGTATTCCATCCGACCATTGAAGTTTATCATCAACTTCAATACCTCCTCGGCGGTCGTCATACGGATATTGTACGAAAATTCGTCCGCGCTGGGGCCGGTCGCTTGGTCTCCCCGTAGGAGTATGTCCCTGTGAGAGTCATACCAGGCTCTTTCTTGAGGGTCGGAGAGGACTTCGTAAGCGGACTGGACTTCGGCGAATAGTCTGGTGGCATCCTCGACGTTACCATAGTTTCGATCAGGATGAAACTCGAGTGCCTTCCGTCTATAAGCCTTCTTGATCTCTTCGTCGGTTGCGGTCCTCTCCACACCAAGAAGGTCATAATAGTCCGCTTTCGCAGGGGTTTCTTCCTGCACCTCGTTGGCGTTGTCGGTGGACTGTCCTTGCCCCATGATGGAGGTGCAATTCAGGAGGACGCCCGCAGAAGGACATCCCCGGATCAATTATTGTGGATGGTATTCTAGAAGGTGGAAAATCAAGCCTTGCAGATGATCGACTGCTGCGTTCTCCAACTCATCAACATCAGGCTGCGCGCAAAATACCTCAGTCACGTGCTCGGTTAAGATTGTGGAGGAACAAATCTCCGATTGACTCTTTAACCGTCACCCGTCTGCCAATTGCCAATTGCCATTAGATCAATTTGACTTTTCCCTTATGACAATTGACGGGCGCCGCCCAGATAAACCAGACAATCGTAGGTGGCAATTTAATGGCTCGGTCGCCCCGTTCCCGCCTATCGTCAACCCTAAGAAACGGCATCGACGTCGGTCTAGAGGCAGGGATATATCATCCGCCCCCCATCCATCCTGGCCCCAAACAAGATTCATCAAGGATAAATACGGCACGAAATCCGGAGAAAGACGCTGAATCATTTTTCGTTTTCCCACACAACGAAGGATGACCATCGACTGGATTTCTCTTCCCCCACCTGACCCAGTCGATTCTCCAGGCTAAGCTGTCTTCCGTTCGACCACTGGGATTATCTCACCGATGAAGTTTGGTCAAGGCTTTGAGGCGGCGCTCGCCCGCGACGAGTATCCGCGCGATTGGATTGACCACGCCATTTCCTACAAAAAGTTGAAGAAGTGCATCAAACGCGTCCAACAGGAATTGGCCAGTCTGGGCCTCGACAAGGAGACTCTTGATGCGCTGTGGCAACATGTCAACACAGGCGGCGCAGAGATCGATGGCCAATTGGGGGAGAGGTTACAATACTCGGTAGACGGCAACGAGAAACTCATCTTCACGCCTAAATTGACTATCGTCATTGATCCTCGAGATGGATCCCCCATGGATGCTTGGTTGAGTCCGGACACCCGACGGATACTCAAACGCCTTGCAAAATCGGAGGATGGTCGCCGCCCATCGGTCGCGAGCATGAAGGAAATGATGCCAGACGACCAAGAGCAGCACCTCGAAACGGTCGAGGTACCACTCACGTCAGACTCGGAATTCTTCCAGATATTGACACGCGAGCTGTCGGACCTCGATCATTTACAAAACTCCGAAAGAAGTCAATTGGAGGTTGAAATTGCTCAACTGGGTCGTGAACTGCGTGCCCTGCGGTCTTCGAGATCCAAACGATCGAAACAAGAAATCGAGGCTTGGAGGACGATTTTTGAGCTTTACACCGATGCCGAGATCTTCATGTCTTCTCACGAGGCTGATGCAGGTGCACGAGATGCGGTGCATGCCCAGAAGCAGTATTCCGAATTCAACAAGGCTCTGGCGGGTCACCAGAATCAAATCCTCCATCTCGGGAAAGAGGGCACTTCTGCGTTGGATCGTTTTCTGCGCGTCAATATCAAGTTGCTCCGACTGATCAAGTTCCAAGAGATCAACAACACGGCACTCAACAAGATCCTGAAGAAATTCGACAAACGCACCGCCCTACGCGCACGGTCGTCTGTGTCGAACACGCTGACGCACTCTCGCTTCATGGCGCACAATTTGGCGAAAGCTACATGTTTCACGATTTCGGAGGAACTTTTGAACATCATTCCACAGTTGAACGATTATTTATGTCCTGTATGTTTCAGTATATCCTACAAACCTATCCGTTTGCGATGCGGCCATATCTTCTGCATTCGATGTATGGTTGTTTTGCAGAGGGAGGAGCAGGACCGGTGCCCAATGTGTCGAGAAGGGGTGGTCTTGGAAGCCAGTAGTGGTGAGTTATATTCCGATATCGGTTGTGCGCGGCCTCTTGCTAACGATTTTGCAGAAAACCTCGACAAAGACCTGATGAAATTCATGAAGAGCAACTTCACGGCCGCTGTCAAGGCAAAGCAAAAGGAAAATGAGATTCAAGCAGGAATCGATCGATGGGGCGCCCAGTATGAAAATTCTCAGAAATGCATCGTCATGTAATGCCGCCTGGGGGAATGTTCACGAGTACACGAATTTTCTACGACCTTTTTGCATATGATACCAGTCGGTAAGCGTCCATAGTCAATGGCAGCGAATGATTTTCACCTTCTCTGCATACGGATCATGATAGACATGCAACAACGCACTCCCTCGTATCGCTCTCGCTTGGCCTGGTGAGGCCTCGCATAATGCATTGGGTGTGATTGGTGGGAAAGCACTTAGAGTTAAGTACCTTGCCCGGGGCTTGGGAGTTGATTTATGCCTAAGATCTTCGCCTTCCTCCCCGCACTCAATTTTCACCATCTGAATTATCTCCCTCAAAGTTGAACCTCGTGGCCCTCGCCGTGAGTGGTGCAGGTAACCGCAACGATTGAATGTATGTGCCAATTCAGATCCGACTTATACAGCGAACATATGTAGGTTCGGTCACCCTGATGACGATCACGACAAGTGCGCACAAGCTAGCTGGCCCTGCCCTCAGATCAGCCTCGCCACACTCTGTGCTCGATGACTTCCTCAGATGGTGAACCTGTCTGCTTGTGCTCGTGATACGAGGGTGACATATTGGATGCCGCTATTGATGGACTGACAGGTGATACAATATTGAACATGCACAATGCTTCATGGTCAGCCATATTGGCAGACACCTGGGGGAGCGATTGAAGTGAAAGCCATAATCCTGCCTAGGATGCTATGGTAAGGCTATTCCGCCGGAGAAATATGTCAGAGAACGAACCTCGTATCATGGCCACACTTGCAACTCGACTCAGTTCCCCAAACCCAACCGGGCTTGATTAGTGCGGGTGGTGGCGGTGGAGGGGGCACAGTACTGGTGCTCGACCCTCACTGGCCCATGTTTGATTCAGCTCTTACGGCCGTCGTTTTGTCGAAGTGACAGCGGTGGCTTGGTCAAGATCAATCACATGGCTAGAGCCTTACGACACAAAGGTAGCTTTAATTGCACTTCGCGCATGCGCAGCGCTGCTGGGATCATCTCCTGTTGCCCTCAGCCTCAGGTAGCTTGACGGTGCTACCATGCTATCTCACGATGTCTAATCAAACAGGAGAGTTCACTGCTTCGATAGGCCTTGCAACTAGCATTAATCTTACGACAAGTCAAACCATCCCTGGAGCTGTCACGATCGCAGCTCTTCCGACCTCGGAAACTTTTAGCTTTACTTGCACTGTTGTGGATACAACTTCAACCCCTGGGGCGGAGATTCAAGACGTTAGTCTTACTGCAGACGTCGTTCTGCCTGCGACAGAGTCGTTAGCGAGTCTTCGCGGCCAAATAACGTTCTGGCTAGGACCCTACAGCCCAGTGATCTCACCCCTCACGCTGACCAGCACAACCTGGAACGATATTGCCGGTGTAGCAAGCGGCGTAGTAGCCGTTCAAAGCCACGATCAAAGCACGACCCACCTTACATCTGCCACGCCAACGAGTGCCTCCACCTCTGCTACCACAACAGCTACCCAAGATCCAGGCAGCTCTCCTTCTTCTGACCTAAGCAAGCAATCTGAAGAGCTGGGGCCCGGCGCAAAAATAGGTGTCGGGTGTGGGCGTAGGTGTTGGGGCAGTACTCTTTGGACTGTGTGCTGGAGCACTTGTATTCCGAAGAAAGCGGCTCCACCGAAAGCAGAAGTCCAACACAGCATCGGGATACGAGAAGCAGGAATTATATGGCAGACCTCTGCCACGCACGCATGGTCGCGCTGAGCTCAATGACGCAACAGCAAAGCATGAGTTGCTATCCGACGATCAGATTGAGAGGATGCCGAGGGTCCCAGTAGAGCTGGAGTGATTCCGTCCGAGAACGCCGTGTTGGCCTCTTTGCCTGAAAGGCCTTGATCTAGCATGTTATGATATAGTTCACTTCCCACTGATGGGTAGGTTGACCAGCATGGGTGAGCGTGGTGGAACAACGATTCCGAGCAAAGAGTTGCCCAGTTCGAGGATATTCACATGTCAAGAGCATGCGGTAATAAGACGCAGAATGGATCCATTTGCCCTTATGTCATTAGCCAAGTGCATGCTCGTTCCAATACGCTTCCGGCGGCAACACCTAGATGACATCAACCAGAACTCCGAAGATCAGCTCCTTTTTCCTGGCGAACGCCGACATCTTATTGTTTCCTCGCTGGGTCAGGACTGTTCATGACCTTGGGTCAATATTCTGGACACACCCTGTCAGCCCATGCTGTTCTTGTCTCCTAATCTGCTGCAGTGTTGCGTCGTTATCTTGCCACCACGTGCCAGGCTGTCCCACCAATGCTCCATTTCCTCCTGGGTGTGGCACATGGTCAGGAAGATGATGGGTTCGTTCAAGTTGATACTCACAGCCCGACTTGAAGGCCAAATAGGGAGGCTGTTCAGCATGAATGAGACCATCCCACATAGTTGCGCTCATCGCGAAGGTCCAGAAGCAGGCTGACCTTACAGCTTTCCTGGCCTTCAAGGTTTGACGACGTTACATGGAACGGTCGTGTTGTCGAGCAAGAGGGTCATCGACGCCGTCAAATGAAAGAACAACGTGCAAGCAACCAACTCGAAATTGATGGGATTGTGATATTCGTCCTGTCAAGTTCATTGCAAGCTGAACCTTGCTTCTGCCAGTACTATCCCGGCGTCGTGGCTATCACTGCTTTGATGCTGTAACGGATGAGCCGTCCGGAGTCCCAGTCCTCAATTGGAGACCAGCTCGTTTCTCCCAACTCTTCAGGAGTTCGGTATGATCTGCCGTCGCTTCGATACCCTCCTGAGCTTGCTTAAAGTACTTCAAGATCAGATCCGGCAGATCGGTCTCGAATTTCGTCTTTTCGAAAACCTCCTTCGCGATGCCCATGTCTTTGACCAGGAGCGCAAGTTGATACCCGGTAGCATATCTCCTGGGTAGTGCGTCGGTCTTATAACTATCGCTGGTCGAAAAGTTGCGACCGGTGCCGACATTGAGAACATCGATCATCTGGACCGGATCCAATCCGAACTTCTGTCCTGTGACAAGAGCATCGGACAATGCGACAATGGACGCGGCACTGGTGTAATTGTTTAGCGTCTTCATGACATGGCCAGCTCCGAGTTTGCCCATGTGAAAGACATATTTGGCCATGGCCTGTAGCACGGGCAGAACCTTGTCGACAGCTTCTTGAGAATCAGAACCGACCATGAGCGTGGCTTCACCAGTATCGGTGTCATGAAGGCGCGCCTGAGTGACAGGAGCATCCACGAGTGCGAAGCCGAGCTCAGCAAGATCTTTGCCTAGACTCTGGGTGTCGTACGGTGAAGACGATGAGGTGTCCACAATGATGGCGCCTGTGGACAGTGTCAATATCAAGCTCTCTAAGCACTTCCCTTAGGGCCTCACCGTACCTTTCTTCAAACCCTTGGCAATACCATTCTCGCCTAGAATGACTTCTCTGACCACTTTTCCTTGAGGAAGCATCGTGATAATCACGTCGCAGTCCTTGAAAGCATCAACACTCGCTCCCGCGATGGTCACATTCTGATACTTCTGCGCAAATTCCTCTTCACGGGCGTGGTCGGCATCTCGCACTACCAAATGGAAGTCCGCTCGTGGCAGATTGGATGCCATTGAGGCTCCAGCCTTGCCGAGGCCGATGTAACCTACAGTCTTGACCGACATCGTCTTGGATGTTACTGTGCGAGTGTGAGTGGTGAGCTTTGTGGCAGCAGAAGGCGTTGGGTGGAAAATTGCTTTTGTTCTTATGGCAGGGTCACTCCGAGGATACTCCCTCCTACCTTTTCTACTCCAAAAGGAGCGCGCATATTCCGCATTTCAAAAGCCAACACAACGCTTTCTTCGCTGGCTCTTGTTCGTACTGCTGCCGCAACCCCGACATTCAACTTGACGAGCATGAGGGGAAGATGATCTGGTCGGAATCCGGCATAGAATGGGTTCAGCCCTTCCATCGTGACCTCGCATGCAAGAGAGCTGACCCCACGGGAAAAGGTGACCACGAGATGGACAGGAAATCACCCATGCGGGTTCACAAACAGGGGCACCGCCTCACCATCCAGCCAAATCACTAGCCTGAGAAGGGTAATGGGTGTTTACCAGGCGACGCATTGGTCCATATCGGCATGGATGGGAATATTCCGCCGTCACTCCCCAGTGGTGATTGGGGGGCTCACCCAGTCTACGCCTCACTAGCCAGTCTTATTCCTCGTAGTCGAAGTCTCTTGTCGACCTCCGCATTACAAGTTACACTTTTCGGGAAGCACAGGTTCACAAAACTCTCCCGAGAGCAGGACAAGTCCTCCACAAATGGCCTTCGCCGTCCGGACTGCCACTGGCATGTGGCTAAGTTCCGGCGTAACAACAGCCCCAGAGATTTGCGGATCGGAGGAGGTTCCCTCGCCCTGCATATGTGTGGGTTTATTCCCCTTTGATATTGCACCACCCCTCGACGTGGGACTACCGTGCACGATCTTGAGCAATCGAATATCTCCCAACTCCAGTCGCGTCGCTGATATTTTGGGACTGAACTCTTGAAGTAACCAAACACTTGTGGCTTGAACATCGCTCGTCAAATCGATATCTCAAGCAAAGATGGGATCAATCGCGCCTGAGCCGCCTCTGAAGGGTAAGCAACCACAAGGTCGAGAAGAAGGGTACTGACAAGCATCAGTCATCATTGTCGGAGCAGGGCTGGGAGGATGTGCCACGGCTCTGGCCATGCACCACGCTGGCTTTGAAGTGGTGGTCTTCGAAAAGGTCCGAGAGTTCTTACGACTGGGAGACTCACTTGGTCTGGGTGAGAATGCACTCAAACTGCTTGATCGGTGGTCACCGTTCCTTCGAGCACGTCTTGTCGGCATTGGCAATAAATCCGAAATGATGCAAATCCGACGCTGGCACGATGGCAAAGTCCTCGCTCAACAACCCTTAATGGACATGGCTGGGTTCATCGGTCATCGAGGAGACTACCACAAGGGTTTCCTGGACGCCGTTGCCGAGAAGGGCATCCCCGTGCACATGGGGAATGAGGTACGTCTTACATCCGCGAGAGCATTCGTCCCGCAAGGCTGACGCCATCCATTCAGGTCATCGACTACGACGACGCCGCCCCGTCAATAACACTCAAGAACGGCGAAAAGCACTATGCAGACATTGTCATTGCCGTTGATGGTACGTCTCTCTTCCCCAATCTCTCTTACTCCGGAGGCTTTATGCTCACGCCAATCTAGGCATAAAATCTCGAGCTAGGGAATTAGTCCTAGGTTTCGACGACAAACCGAAGTCATCCGGCTACGCGTGTTTCCGCGCATTCTTCAAGGGCGACCACCTCCGCGGCGACCCTTTGACGGCTGAATTCGTCGAGCAAGAATGCGTCAACATCTGGATCGGCAAAGACAAGCATCTTGTCCAAAACACCCTTCGCAACGGCGAGGAATTCAACTGGATAATTACCCACAAGGATACCGAGGACATCAAAGAATCCTGGTTTCAACCCGGCGACATGGATGCCGTGAGGGAACTCGTCGAGGATTGCGACCCGCGCGTTGCCGCCATCGTGCGCAAGACCGACTCGTGTCTCGACTGGAAGATCTGCTACCGCGACCCGATCCCAACATGGGTCAGCAAGAACCACCGGGTCGCTCTGATCGGAGACTGCTGTCACCCTCATCTACCGACCAGTGCGCAGGGCGCAAGCCAGGCCACGGAGAGTGCTGCCGTGTTGGCACAGTGTTTGTTGTTGGCTGGTCGAGATAATATTCCGCTGGCAGTATGTCCCCTAATATCCCTCTTCTTGTCCGCTGCTAACCACCAAACCTGTAGACAAGAGTCTATGAAAAGATCCGCTTCCCACGTGTTCGACGCGCTCAGACAAACGGTGAAGACACTCGTGATCGATGGCACACCGCGCTAGACCGAGTCGGTGAAGGCGAGGCCATTGATCCTGATAGCATTTTGATCAAGGTATGTCATCTTTCCCTCAGGAGAGTCCGGCAAGAACACGAACAAAGTACTAACATCGGCCAGAACAATGTACTATACAGCTACGATGCCGAAGCCGACACTGTCAAGCAGTGGCCGGAGATGTCCAGAATTGTGACTGAGGAGCTGAAGACGGGGAAGATCACTCCCTTGTGTTGATGTTGATACCCGAGTCGTGAATTTATATCTAGAGCAATGGAGTGGCAAGAATTGGTCTCCGTAACATGGCGCAGCATTTTATGGCATTTCAATTCAATGATCTTTCACCTTGCAGCACCTGTCTCATGAACGGTTCATTGATCTACACGACATCCGTCCCTTTCTATCCATCACGAATGCTACGGAATCCACTACAACTTCGGACTGACACCGTCCTTGAGCATATTCCTCTTATCCCCGTCCAAAATCTCCCAACCCTTCCCACGGAACTTCTTCCCCCAGATACCATTCCTCCCCGGCGCCAGGATCGAGTTCGGATCCAACGCATCTTTGATCGTCTCATTGAATTTCCTCAACGCCCCGCCATTCCAACTGTACGTCTCGGCGACCTGATCCGCAAAGAGCAAATGCGTCCTGTACTCCCCGTAGCCTTCCTTAGCCGCCTCACGAATCATCTCCCGCATCAGGCCCGTAGCGCGCTGCTTCTGGTCCGCATTCGACCGGTCATAAACGATATTGGCAATGTAATGCATTTCCCGGCCAGCAACGCACATGGTAGGAAATACATCAAACCCATACTTGGCATGCAACTTGGTGATGGTGCTGTGAATCAAAGTCGCGTCCTTGCCCTTGGTCGGCGAGATGGGCGAAAAGAACAAATGCGCCGCATTAGGTTGCCAGTTCAACCAATCCAGCTCACGCAACACGGGGACACCACTGCACACCTGCACGCGCGAGTGTAGGTAGTGATCGTCTGGGACGTCCTTGGGCAAAAGGAACTTGGATCCCTTGATCTTGCCGAACGCTTGTCGAATCATGTCCAGTTGAGCGTCGATCGCGACCTGGCTGTCGCCGTACTGCGTTCCGTAAAAGATCCAACTCACGTCGCCACAGGGCAATTTAGACGCACGCTCACGAATCACGTCCCGCGGCATCTGCCCTGGCCCATCGTACCAGAAAGACCGCGGCTTCCCCGTCACGGCGAGCTCCTGAATTACGTGCCGCAGTTGGGGGATGTTGCCCAGTACGCGCTTCTGGGCGAGTGGTCGGATGATCTCGACAATCTGCGGGAAGTCTTCCTCGCGCGGGAACGTGATCATGTAACTCTGGTGGCCTGTTGCCGGCATCAGCCAGAAGCCCATCTTCGTGATGATTCCGTAGTTGCTCTGGCTGAAAATTCCGTCCACGTATGGTCCGTACGCAGCCTGGAAGGACTGCCATGTCGGGTTGTCGGCGCCGTTTTTGCCAGGCATTGCACCCATGCCGGTCCTTAGAACCTCGCCTGTCGGCAGTACGAGTTCCATGCCGCAGTGATTTGCGAAGTGGTCGCCATACGGAGTGTATCTGCCATATCCATCAATATGTTGACAAAGCCAGGCTAGGAACGGAGGAGAGTCAAACGTACCCTACGCCTCGATCGATAGCGTTGCCCAACACGCTCCCACCACCTAGATCAGGGCAGTCGATCCACAAGGGTAAGTTCCGGCGTTGAATCTCCTCATATAAAGCAAAGTACGATACGCCTGGCTCGACGATGCACGAGGCATTATCTCCGTCAATGTCGAGGATCTTGCTCATGCGCTTGCCCAAGTCGATCACGACAGCGCCGGGAACGCGAGGTCCCGCACCGCCGTAACCGATGTTCCGGCCCATGGAGATCGGGTAGACGGGGATTTTGTGAGTGTTCGCCCATTTGACGACGATCTGCACCTCGGTCGTGCTGGAAGGGTACACGATTGCGCTGGCTATCAGCTCTTCCTGATCGGCTATGTGGTAGGCATCGTGCGTGTTACTGTTGGTGACTAGGTCAGTTTGCTGTCGCGGTCATTGGTGGAATGAGGGCCGTCATACGGATGCTCCATGTACCACCCATCCACTAGAGGTTTATCATTGAGGTCGACATTCTCCTGACCCAGTGATTGCCTCAATTCGGTGACTGCCCGATCGAAAGCCTCTCGCGAGATACCAGGTGGCAAGGCAGTCCGTCTTCTCGAGACACTATCGGGGACTGTCTTTTGGGAGTATAATCTGGACTTGGCGTCGATAGCTTCTTGTGCCAGACGTGCTGGGACACCGCTATATCTGTTGATAAGGTCTGGTATGGAACCATTGGTGGTGGTTGTTGAAGTTGACATGGTGTTGAGCAGGGTGATATTCTCTACGGCGCGAGTGGTATGGAAGGACTCATTATCAGACAGTTATGGAAAGAAAATATGTGCCTTTGCTGCAAGTCTAAGTCACCGGACCAGTACCTCAAGCCTTAGCAGGCTGGACCGGAAATCAACCCATCACAATGTCCACGACTGTAAAAGGTAATCGTGCTCGCCCCACGGCGTTGATATCGATCTCAAGCATGGCGCAACTGTCTGAGTTTACTCCGCATGCCCCTCACATCGTCCATCCTCGAATTAAAAGTCTGTCTCCAGGTTGTGTCTGTCGCCTGGCGTGTTCGGCATAGGTGAAGGATGGGTATTTTCCATGTGGCCCCTGAGCCCTGGACCTGGCCCAGCGCCTCAACACGGCCGGACGGTACAGTAGCGAGACTGAAGTCATGTGCCTTTGGTGGATCGTGACTGACACTCCGATATCCCTTTCTTTACTCCGTAATGTTCTTCGAGAACAATAATGCCCAGTTGCAGGCAAAGTCCAGGGACCCCGCACTGCTGACACGCGGCTGACGATAGTGGCTTGTCATCACCATGTTCCTGATCGCAGAACGCGGGCTGGACGGGGTATGAGATGCGGAGTAAGTATTGCCCTGACAAGCAAGCCATAGGGACGGTACGTTATTATTATGTTCATTAAAGCTTCGTGCAAAGACTATGCTCTCAAAGACGGAGTTCTGCTGGCAGGTAGCTGCAAGTGCCATAAACACCCATTGATAACGACTTCATTATCTTCCAAACAAAATCTTTCTCAGGTGAGCACCCTGGACATCACAGTCGGCTTCGATGGGCATAAAATCCAAACCTCGGAATATCGAGACTTGGGGAACACCATCGCAGGTTGGTGCGGCGCCGTCACCACCATTGGACATGCCGTTTAGGAAGCTATCGATTGCTCTCAATTCGGCTTCATTCCCACCTGCTGTCTGAGGTGCAGACTCGATCTCAAACTTCTGTACAATCAGCTTGATAAGCGTCCAGTAACTGTCTGCCGTCGTTTCGAAGCCGCTTTCGGCAACATTGGACGGGGGCCTGGCTCGCACTTCATCCCAAAGAGTCTTCCAATTGTCGATGCAATTTTTGATGGGTTCGAGTATTTCTGCTGGTCCAGGCGCAAGCGTGGTTGGGGAAAGGCGATTGAGCGGATTTCCGAACAAGTGCTGCCAGCAGTGGGTGTAAAGAACTACAACAGGAATACTTAGCATCGACTGGCTGCGTGCATCACGTTTACATACCGTGAACCAACAACAACATATCCCAATAACATAAAGTCTCGTTCTGGAATGCCGCTGCCAGACTCTGTGGTGAATAGAACAGTGGCTGAAATGCATCGATTATCTTGATTCGTGTCCGAGGAAATAAAGATTTCGTCAACATCTCCGCATAACTAGAAAGCTCGAAATACTCGGGATGACATGGGAGCTGGAGGTCAAGTTCCGAGTAGTTGATGCGGGGAGCGACATTGTAGAAGAAACCCATAGCTGAGTCAAGGGCCAACATGATATTCATCGTCCTAGGTCGCAGAGGTTAGATCTAGTGCTGCCCACAGCGACACCTTGGAAACTGCGACTTACCGAATTCGTACCTCCTTCCGAATCCAATGCTGGAAAGAGAGTTCGTCGGGTATTGAGACAATGCTACTATGCTGGGATTTTGGTAACTTGAACGATCTGGCCACCTGCGACATAATCAGCTAGTCACTCGAATGCCTAAAGGCGAAGTACTGACACCAAGGACAGTGGTGAACCTTTGCCTCCGAGCTCTCCTCCTGGCAGCCAAAGTGCCCGAGAAAAATTGAGCGACGACCATGAGATAGGCGCCCTGAAAAAGCTGAAATTGATATTCGAGAGTCTCTTCATCTGCTGCATCAGAAAGCGAGAAAGCGCCGTACTCATCTCGTAAGCCTGGGAATGAGAAGGTATACGCTTCCATAACATCCAGGAGTCTTTTCATCCATTGCACTGTGGATGGCCGAGAATACATTGCTCCAAGCGCCACGGTTGCCAGTAACAAAGGTGTTGGGACCGTGGTTGGATGGAAAGACTGTCGATGGAGGATTGGACAGTGTCGATGATAGTTTGCAAAGTACAGATTCAGGCTGTTGTCCAGCTCAATATTTGTAAGAAGGTTAATGTCCTGGATGAGTAATGGCAGGTTCTGCGCGGTCTCTGTCGCGAGCTTGTGTGCCGTGGCTATAAGCAATTCTCGAACTTGATAAGCCACAGGCTCGAGCGTCATGGCAGTATGCGAAGTAACGCCGCTGAGACCTCCCGCACTTGCTGGAGGGGACTGTTCCGGTTGTGGATATGGAGGATATACCATGTTAGGGAAAATGCTCCAATATGAGTCGAAATTCTCGAAGTTGATGGCAGCTTCAAAGGCAGGCATATCTGCCCCGATGAATACATCATTTCGTTCGTACTCTTCACTCAAGTGTTCCGTGTCAGAGGAATCCTCGGCTTCGAACGTGTTGAAGTTGTCGTCTTCGCCGACCGGCGTGTCGAGGGCGTCCCGTATAGGAAAGTGAGCGATGAAGTCGTCGCCACCAGGATTGTTGAGTAGGTGTTGGATCGGTATGGCATCCCGACTCTTTGGTCTGATGGAGTCTGCCCCCTTCTGGGGACTCGAGACTAACGAGCACATATTAGGTATGTTCGGTCGTAGTAGCTGGATGTCGACTGACCTCGAACGCATTCCTTACCCAACTCTTGACAGCGGGTACAAGGGGTTTCCTGGTCACATCTGGTCCTCAATTTGACGCATGACAGACATGACGATCGTTTGCGGCCTTTACTTTGACCTTCCGGGATCGGAGCACCTCCTCGTTCTTTGCACCGATGCTGGTGTGCTCGAAGGACATCACTTGAGAAGGGTTAGAGAATTTGCCAGCGTCCAAAAATGTCATGACTCTTACCTGCGCTTGAAGCATTTAGAACAAAAACTGCAAGGGAAAGGTCTTTGAGCAATATCTGGGAACAAAAGTCAGTAGCTTGTACTTATAAGCTAACGAATCAAGCTACTGACGCTGCTGTTGATGGCGCAACATGTGAGCCTTTCTCACGAATGATTTGGAGCATGACGGGCAGTTGAACCTCTCTGTAGGAGGGCGAACTTGCTCCATGATTTGGACTGAAGACAGCATGGCTGTGTTTGGGATTCGGTCATGGGAAGGTTTATGAAGACGACGCGTCCTTCAGGTGATCGGGCCCTGCTATTGAACTCTTCCCATAACGCCCATGTGGCCGGGCCAAGATTGCGAGCCAATTGAGAGGATGTTTGAGGAGGTGACTATGGTGTATGCTGACGGTATGATTGAAGAAGTGGACGGCGGTGAGGTGAAGAAAGAGGATCGAGCAGACAAGAGTGACGAAGATCCTGGAGAATTGGAGTTGAGCGGGTTGGACAAGGTTGGCAGCAGGATTTCCCCGGACTTCAGCAAAAGGTAAGTTACAGTAAATGACTAAGTACTTGACTGGAGCCTTCTAGTAGTAATGACAGGGTAAAGCGAGGCGACCGCCTAAGGGCTGGCTTCACGTGCAATAACTTAGTGACTAATAATGAGCGAGTCAGAGTGTCTACCAGGTAGGTAAGTACCAAAAAAGAGAAGAATTACCTCGTAGTTGGTTGGTACTGAAGAATAGAGGCGGGGACTGACAGTTTTGGGGCGTCTATTCTTGCAGGTTCTGAGAGGAGAAGATGCCTATGAGACCGAGACTAGGCCAACCCGGCCTCTGAGCCAACACAGTGGCCTAGCCCTGGTGGCCTGTGGAGAAAAACAACCCCTCTAAAACAGCCCCCGAGCACACACCAATTCTTCAAATCACCACCCATCTCCAAGAAACCCCTAGATCGGTACACCAGGACGCTGTACTATGTAAGACATCTAGAACTTTTCCACTTTCAGCTTCTTCCCACCTTAGTGACCAGGATAGTCTTGCAGCGGATGCACGATGGCTTCTCCTTCCCGTCCGACTAACTCACAACAGCCATGTTTCAGGTCGCGAATGACGTTCAGCGTGCAGAAATCACGAACGGTTCGGAAATGAAGGAACTCTGGATGCAGCAGCGACCTGCCCCTTCGAGATGATGCCACTATTGCGCGTCCTCGTCCATGATGCCGAAACATGACCTTCCAGCAAGTCGTCAGGAACCTCAGATTTGGCCTCTCCAATGTTTGGTCGACAGCCTAGTTCATGCCGGAATGATGGGTTTCCATTCATGTTAAGGCGCACAGGCCAATACGACAGTAAATGTAATCGTCAAGCGGTGTGCAGGAATTTCAGCCTGATCCACGAGGCCATGTCTGTCTCATCGTCAACGAGTTAGCGCTAACCGGATTCTTCCTTATCACCGTTTCCAACATCGGTGCGATTCCGAAATGTCCCTTTAGTTGATAAGGTCCACACCGGACTGACGTCTAGAATTGTTTCCAATGGACCTTCGACGGGGTCTAGCTCGCTTGGAACTAAACCAACACCAAGGTGGCGCTTTAGTCGAAATCATGAGACCACTGCGCCAACAATCGTGAGGGAGGTGGCACGCCGTTGTCTGCGGTTTCTTGTTTGATTCCATCAAGGATGCTGTGCAATGTATGTTAGGGCAGATTGACTTTTGCAGTATCAAAGTCAAGTCAAATCATCCGGTCCATCTCCGCCTGAAAAGTCAATCAGTGGAGACTTCGTGTACTGAAGTCTACCCAAGTCTCCACGGTGTCGATTTGCTGTTCCACGCAGTTCTGGACTCTAGCTTAAACATACCTACCATAGTACTGTCGGTCACATGAGACATCCACAGAATCATCTGGTGCATGATCCTGGTGAACATGTCCCCTCCTTCACGTACAACATTGAATAGCTTGTTTCGAACATTCTCTCTTGTCGCAGGAGCACTAAAAACACTGCAGCAGCACATGTGCCGCTTTACTAGTGTTGCAGGGTCGCACCTTATGGGTTGCGGTCAAAAGTAGGAGCGACTGACATCCCGCCCTACTTGGGATGATAATGATAAACCCATATGATGTTCGATACGTATGGGAAATCAAGGTATGACGAATGGTCTTTCTGGAAACACGACGACTTCGTATTCTGACTGGTTTCTGCTGTGTGGTGTGCCTGTCACAGGCATGGTTGGGTTATGGTCAATGGATATCTGGTAGGCTTCGGAGGAGAAGGCCTTTTAGGCCCGAGTCGGAGCGCCAACCCCCACCCTGAAGCGTAAGTCGAACGTTCCAATGCCGAAAGTGCAGCCGTGTCAATGCGTTGTGCTTTCTCAATTGGTGAGAACCCTCACAGTGGTTGATTGAGAGGGTATTTTGACTCAAATAATTCCTGCAACTTGCCATCTGTGACGTGTGACGACGTTGAGCCAAAGTATCGGAATGGGGGAAGAAGTCAACGTACTGCTCTTCGGCCTGGGGGCGTAAGTCGACCAGCTGTCTGCAACCACCGTCACCATAATGTTGATCCACATAGCATCGGATCCTTCTATGCCTTCATCCTGAACCAAACCAAGCGTGTGCGTTTGACAGTGGTAGCTCGATCCAACTACGATGCCGTCAAGAAAAATGTTGGTCTTCATGGGACATCTCCTGTATGAAAGTAACTTACAAGTGTTAGGGCCTTCACATCAAGAGTGCGAATCATGGGGAGCATGTCGTGCAGCCAGCAAAGAGTGAATATGGTCCTTGTTCCACTCGACAGGCTTCACTGATGAGGTTGTAGTTGTTAGGACGCCAGCCGAAGCAGGAGAGACTTACGACTATGTCGTATGCGCCCACAAAGCCATAGACCAAGCCTCAATTCCAGAGCAACTTGCTCCAGCTGTCGATGAAAACAAAACCTGCATCGTCATAATCCAGAATGGCGTGGGCAATGAGGAGCCTTTCCGCGAAGCGTTCCCCAAATGCCCTATCCTAAGCTGCGTCGTAAGCAGGATGTTGCGAAAGGCGAGGAGCTGTGACTGACAACAGCGGATGCAGACATGGGTCGGTGCCAAACAAGACAGTCCCGGGTTTGTCACACATATGAGTGCCGAGAACACTCAGATAGGACTATTCCCGAACGAGGATTTGAAGACTTCCAGGGAGAAGGCCACACTCGATAGGTTCGCCTCCTTGCTGAGGGATGGTGGGACGCCTCTCAGCATCGAGGACAACATACAGGTCCAGCGATGGGAGAAGGTCGTCTGGAACGTGGCGTGGAACTCACTGACCGCACTCACAATGCTGGATACCCACTCCTGGTTGAAGTCATCGCCCGACTCCATGCACATGACACGGAAGTTGATGACAGAAGTCATTGATGTTGCGCGAAAATGTGACGTTCCGATTGAGTATGAGCTCGTCGACCAACTTATTGACAAGATCTTGGCCATGCCACCAATTGGAAGCAGCATGCAGACCGACTGTAAGCTAGGTAGACCGATGGAAGTCGATGTCATCCTGGGCACGCCTGTACGGAAGGGGCGGGAATTGGGCGTCTCCATACCGACGCTGGAAGTGCTTCACACTTTGCTGTTGGCGATCAACAGTCGGATGAAACCACATGCTTAGGGGAAAGTGGTGCAAGCTGTTGTATCGAAGACACCATCGACCTTGGGGAGCTGTGGAAATGTACACCCTCTAGAGATAGTCCTGGCTCTTGTAGGGTTCCCAAAAAATGGAGGCTTCGATGGTTGAGGGTCACCCATGGTGCTCCCTCGCTGGACGACAATCTGGACTTAGGGTGTTCGACGTGAGACACTGCTGACAAGCTGAGTTAGCAGTCGAACCCAGGCAAAATCTGCCTGATCACGAAGTTGTTGTTGTTGTTCAGAGATCGAAAATGCTGAGGCACATACACGAAGGTGAGCGCAGGTGCGCAGGCGTGGCAGGATGATGGGACGCGCTCACTCAACGCGTGATCACACGATGGATCAAAAGTCCCTTTTCCTTTGGAAACCGCGTCCTTCTTCTTTCCCTCTTTGTCGCCTCACTTCATGTCTGTTCAACTACACGCCTTTGCGTCCTCCCGCAGCCTTTATCCCTTGATATCGACATGAACCGAGGTTCTGCCATGCAATTCGTTGTCTTTCAGTGCGTGCCTAAGGACGCATTGAACGGCGCTTGCGAGCTCCAGCGAAGAATAAAACTTCCGCTCCATTTCACATGGGCACGCTTCTCTATCGCCCCATCCATCCGCCGTCGACGACGACAATCTCGCCACTGACATACGAACTGGCTCTACTCGCCAACCATACCACGGGCCCTTTGAAATCTTCACATTCACCCCATCTGCCCGCCGGGATCCGTTCGAGAATTTGCCTGGCCCTAGTCTCGTTCTTGATCAACGCCTCATTCATATCGGTCTTGACATACCCCGGCGCAATCGCGTTGACATTGATCCCCTTGCTCGCCCACTCGTTGCTCAAAGCCTTAGTCAACTGCGCGACGCCGCCCTTTGCACTTGCGTATGCTGGCACCGTCAATCCGCCCTGAAAACTAACCAGGCTGGCGACATTGATGATCGACCCGCGATGTGGTCCCGCTCGTGTCAGCATGTACGCGCCAAAGTCGCGGCATAGCGTGAATACGCTGGTCAGATTGACTTGCAGCACGTCGTCCCAGTCACTTTGGGGAAAGTCGTGCGACGGGTGTCGTCGTTGGATCCCTGCGCAGGTCACGAGAATAGAGACGTCGTGGCCATCGCCGAGGATATCACGAGCCAGACCCTCTACGTCCTTTTGCTGGGCAAGATCGGCCGTGTAGATTGTTGCCGTGCGGCCCAGGGCTGTTATTGCATCCTTGGTTTTGGTGTTGGAAGTGTCTCGCTATTCCAGTCCAGAGAGGTGTGTCGTCAGCCTCGTCATCAAGCAGCGCATGTTGAATCGAGTGTATGGCATGCGTTACCTGTACTAATATGATATCCGCGCCAGCCTCTGCAAGGGCCACTGCCATCGCCGCACCTATGCCCCTTGTACCCCCTGGATTGACGTTAGCCACGCATGATACAATCGGAGGATGGGCATACCTGTCACCACAGCCGTCCGACCCTCCAACGAGAACATACCTGGAAACGCAAGCGCCATGTCGTGGGATCTAAGACGGCGAGCAAAACAGTCCCTGCAAGTCTCAAGGGTTTCATCCGCCTTGGCTGGCTTGATATGTCTCTTCAGACTATTGGCCCTTCAGTGGCTGACTCAAGATCCTTGGCGCCAGAAGAGTCTTCCTGACTTGTTCCTCACAGTGGCTTTGTTGCCATCAACCGATGACGGGTGCCTGAGATCATCGTCAACGTAAGAGTATGCTTTGACGAGTGCTGTCATAGGTTCGACGGGTGTATCCCACAATGCGGAGAGGTTGTCGATCATCCGCAACCCCACGAGCGAAACTCGGTCGTATGCCAACCGAGCCACGGAGGGACACGGCGTTGTTTCCGTTGCAGGCTGAGGGATCGCAATCGCTCACCCAATACTCGCTCCCAGTGAGAAGAACCCGACGCAGCCTCGAGACATATCTCTCTTACCAGACTGGAACGGTCGTTATAAGGCTCTTCCCAGAGGTGTGACAATTGGATTTTCGCTTCAAAGCTTTTTCTAATATTAGGATACAGCTCTCTCTACCACTCCCTAACACTCCCATCCGGACCATAAAACTCCTTAGGCTGCCACGGCTTCGTGTCCGCAGCAATCCGTCTCACAACCTCTTCATCAACCTCAATCCCTAAGCCTGGCCCTTTCGGCGCCTGGAGATACCCCTCACGTATCTCAAAAACCGAATTATCCAATAGGTACGTGTTCAGATCCTCCTCCCCAGCCTCTGTATTGTAATGCATCCCCAAACTCATCTCCTGAATCACGAAGTTCGGAATCGCAAGATCAACCTGTATGCACGCCGCCAATGCGATAGGCCCCAAAGGACAATGCGGCGCAACCGCCACATCATAAGTTTCCGCCATATTTGCCATGCGTTTCGTCTCGGAAATTCCACCTGCATGCGCGATGTCCGGCTGCAGGATATCCACGCTTGCGTCCTCCAGAAAGCGCTTGACGTCCCAGCGCGAGTACAGCCTCTCGCCAAAAGCAATGGGTATCGTCGTATACTGGGACAACTGTTTCAAGGCTTCAGGGTGTTCAACTAACAATGGCTCTTCAATGAACAAAGGATGGTAGGGTTCGAGGGCTTTGGCAAGTTGCTTGGCCATGGGCTTGTGCAAACGCCCATGGAAGTCGAGGCCGGCGTCCAACCCCAGCCCCTTGACGATTTTGAGCCGAGAGATCGTCGCGTCCAGGACGGACGGTGAGTCGAGCCATCCCAGATCCTCGGTGGCATTCATTTTGATACATTTCAGACCCTGCGCGATCCGTGCCTTGGCCGCGGCTTCGATGTCGGCGGGTCGGTCGCCCCCGATCCAGGCGTACACTTGGACTTTGTTGCGCACTTTGCCACCGAGCAATTGATAGATGGGCACGTTCAACTTGCGTCCTTTCAAATCCCACAGCGCGATGTCAATCCCGGCGAGTGCGGACATGAAGACTGGTCCTCCTCGATAGAAACCTAGCCTGTATATCGTCTGCCAGATATGTTCAATGTCACTTTTGCCCTTGATCAGCTGTGTGCCAAAACAGTGGGTTGCAATACTGGTGCGGATCTGAACTCACTCTGCTTCATACCCAATGATACGGTCGATGATCTCGTCCAGGGCGCCTTCGATCGCCTTGGTGTGTCCCTCCAGTGTGGCCTCGCCCCATCCGTGATTACCTTGGTTGTCGCAGATCTTGACAAAGAGCCACCGAGGCTTGACGCGGAAGTACTCTATGCTTTTGATCTTGGCTAGATGCTGGCCAGGCACTTCAGGCTGCACGCCGTCGGTGCGGCCGGCCAGGACCTTGAGCTGATCTGTCGCCATGGCTGTGGTTTATTGTGTTGGGAGAAGAACCAGATGGCAGCAGCGAAATACACAGCAAGAGCTAGGTACTTAGAAGAGACGTCGGCTTGCTTAAGACTGGTGGACGAGAACTGGTCACCGCGGCCGTGCTATTTTGGTAGTGTAGCCACTGAAAACAATGCTACGCGAAATCTCTAATGTCATAGAATTGGTAGCCCAGTGAATATCGCTGTTATTGAAGTCATGAAAGACGCAATGCCCCCAATCGACATTGAAAAGTTCATAGTGCCTCGTCGGTCGGCATTCTGCCGAAGATGAGCGAAACAATGATGTCGTAGCCCCCCATCAGCCAAACGTGGGGGTTCAGTGAGGCCTTTGGGGGTGAATGTGCCTGGCAAAAGCCCTCTAGGTCTCTCATCCCCGCCTCTGTTGCCCCGCGAAATTTCACGCTCTGACCTGGGTCTGGCTGCGCGAAAATCCTCGGCCGAAGGATAAAAGCATTGCCGCGAATCGTCCTTACTACTGCCTCAATCCCATACAGATGGCATCGGGCACATCCACGGACAACGTTCAGGTATGGTGGACGGAGTAGGTGTTATTACCTATCAGCACCTCTCAACAACGTGATGGCGTTCCGAAGAAGTTCAGCGGCCTCGTGTAACAATTCCCATCTCGAATCGCGAAAGGCTGCCTCAAGGACCGCCAAAACTCCGACCACATTATTTCTGCCATCTTTGACCGAGTCGAGTTGTTGCGGTGACTTGATTGCACCAACAGTTTGCAAGAAGCCCTCAGCATTTCTGGCCGCAACTTCGATCTGGATCTCGCTACCATCATGCGCCATATTCAGCATAGAAGTGCCGGAGCCATGGGACGTGTTTGCCCCAGTTCCTGGTGATGGAGCAGTTTGGAGCAAACTTGGGAATGCTCGAAGCACGCCGTCCATGGCGAATCCGTATGACCAAACAACAAGCGCCGCATAGTATGACGCCCATGGACGCATAAGCAGATAATCGTCACGAGCGTTATATGGCTTTCTCGAACCATCCCTATCAGGCAACAGCACCAACCTTAGAAGCTGCAAAGCATGATATACCGCGACCTTCGCACCGGGGCCCCTGCACCAATCGAATATTTTGGCTTTAGCCCTGTCGTACTCGGGCTTGGTCACTTTTCGTCCGAACAGTCGTTTTATACCGGCGAAGATCTGACAGTCCCAGCACTCAACGTGCATGGCCATGTTGCTCAGATGGTAAAGAACATCCGCTGTGGTTGTCATGTCGTCTTGCCCGTTACTGGCAGCCTCCTGTTGCCATGGCAGTGTCGCTCTGCGCATGTGCTCGGCGTTCTCGTCGAAATCCTTTTTCCAACATTCTACAGCCTTTGTGAGAGGACTTCTCCAACCATCTGGAACTCCCATACTCTGAGTGACACCGATGCTGGACACTTGCAAGTCTCGTTGGTGCATGTGCCAAGACACGGACAGCAGCCCGGCCATCAGTATCATTCGTCCGAAAGTGTTCGTTCGAACTTTACGTCCTGTCAGCGTCTTTTTCAGGCCGTCGAGGAAGGTTGTTGGCTTTATGCCGTTGGCATGCAGGCTGGATTCGACTCTACCGACTTCGGCGGCTGATGTGGCAGACCACAAAGCATCATCGCATGGTAGAGGCAGGCGGATCTCATGAACAACCATCATGGCTGCGTGCCCGAACATTGTTGCATGAACGGCATCAAGGTAGAATGCTGCAAACGCTGCACGGCGTGTGGCCTCAGCTGTAATCCATCGAGACCACCATTCGTCAGGAGTGGATGGTACCCTGGCAGAGTCCTGATGAGCCGACTCGATGAGCGCTGTGCCTCGGCGCATTAAGTTGATCGTGGTTGCGTGGTGGATGTGAGCACGCTCATGCAACATCCTTGTCGCATTCATCTTTTCGTATGCCTCCAGTAGGAGCAGTGTTTGCAGTACCCACAACTCCGCGGGAGGATGAAAGTTGCTATGCATGAAGACTTGCCACCGTAAGTGCCAAGCGATGAACATGGCTAATCGCGAAGCTGCGTCCGTGACCAGTCGCCCATGAGCTTTGTTGAGATTGGCAGCTCCGATGGCCATGATTGCAAGGAGCAAATACTCGTGAATATTCTCTGCCGAGAATGTAGGCTGATGAAGAATCGGCAACTGAGCGTGGAAATGATACCAGTACGAACCGATATAATGCTGCATTGAGCGGATGCTCAAGACATGCTCATCAGCGTCCATATTGCCTTGGAAAATTTCCTCCTTCAGTCCTCTAACGAATGGATTGTCATTTTCGTTGAAGCGGTCTCGCATCAGCGTCACGAGTGACAGGCGCTTCGAGTGTGACAACAAGCTACTGTCTGCAGAAGGCTGAGTGACATTTGCAGGAACGTCCCCAAGGGGCTGCTGGATCAGTTCAGGGAAGACGTTGTCCAACCCAGCATCGGCGAAATAGTTGGAGTAGATTGTATTTCCGGCCACTTCGGCGGTATTCCCGAAGCCTAGCACTGGTTGACCCGTGAAGGTGAACGGTGCTGTGTTTAGACCAGCTGCATCATCAAAGAGCCAAGCTGTGAATTCGTCGCGAGCTGATACTGGAGAGTCGTTGAAAGGCTGGTCTCCCAAGCTCGGAATTGAGTAGGTTACACTTGGCCTATCGCGTGACTGTTGAGCCAAGTCCGAGTTAGAATGTGTTGATGCGGCATTCAGTATCGCCGGGTCGACATTCTCCATTGTGACTTCCCCAAGACTATGTGGCCGTCGAATTAATGAGGATGAGTTCGGAGATGCGGCCGCGGGCCGACGACCATCTGCTTGGCCCATGTATTGAGACGTGGGTTCGGCGTCGACGTGGGAGCCGTTACGAGTGCTGTGATGCCGCAAGTGGCCATTGTTTTGAGTAGTGACATGTGTTTCCGGGCGCGTCTGCTGGATTATGGCGCGTAGATCAGTGGCCCTGTAGGGGGACTGTGCGGAGAAGGAGGCTCGCCCAGCTTCAGGCGAAACCACCCCATTCGAGGGCGGCTTCGGGGTTGCGAAGATATTTGAGACATGTGATGCTGTGGTGTCCGCTCCATCACTGAACGAAGACTTGGGCGAGAGAGGCTCGTGACCAGGATTTTGGTTTGGCACCGCTTGTTTGGAACGATTATCATGGCGCTCCCTGTGACGGAGGCAGAGATCATTGCGCACGAAGGTGCGCGAACAACCTGGGTAATCGCATTTGTAGATTTCTTTCGGGTTATCTGGGTCATGATTAGCTGGTATATTCGATGCAGATGCAGCATGGAAATACGCACGGTTCAACTGATGCCGATAAAGGTGCTCGGCGCGGGAGTAGTTGCGACCACACCCGGGGTACGTGCAGCCCCATCGACGTTTGCCGGTGAACTCGACGGTGATGGTGGCACCTGGGGTCACCGAGCTGGTGTTTGGGCTCTGTTCGAACGTAGGGTGCACATGTGACGCGTTGAGGGATGGGTCCAGTCGCGGACGCTTTGGCTCTGCCATGACCAGGGTCGGACTTGGACACCAACTACATGGTGCGAGGAGACATGAGGGGAGGAGACTCTGGGCGCAGCAACCATCAATTGCTTGGTTCACACTGTTGGCGAAAGCTTTGCATAACTCCAGCCATGTGTCAAAAGGAGGAAAGGAAAAAAGACCCCAGATATATCGGCTTCGGTTGGAGGTCTTCTTGTTCTTTCCCCGCGTGCTTCGACTGTAAGTAAATCGGGCTTGGCGGCGGAAACAAAGCCGTCTGGGGAAAGTGCCTAGGCACAACCCACCCACATACAGTAAGGTACCTGGTAGGTACCTAAGTACCCGCCAAATGCGTTCCTACCGTACACATCACGTTCTCTCAACCTCAGCGCTCTTCACGATGGCCCATCTTCATGTTCGAGACAAGTCTGGTACGTCAGAGTCACGCCCAGCCCTGTCGCCGAAGAGTAGCGACGCACGACACGCAACGGGGCCTCAAAGGCAGCCACAACCACCGGTTCCCGACCAGGGATCAGAGTAACCATATAATGTCACGATCCAAGACAAGTCGTGATGGCTCAACCATGTCTTGTGCATTACCGCACCGGTCTCGCGCATTAAGTTGACGCAAACCACGGTATGGTTACGAGCACACAGTCTGCTGGTCCTTAAAAGGTACCTGGTCACGAAAATTGATCCGCCTCATTCGCACAATTTGGCTACGGACGTGAAGATTTGAGGGTAATATATATATTCCCGACTTTTATTGCCTCGAATACTTCGCAACCCAACGACATCTGAGTAACTCTTACCTCTCATTCAAAACAACTCACCTTTAGCCATGGCCATCAAGAACTTCCTCAAGCTTGTCCTCACAGTACTTGCCAGCAGCACGGCAGTCGCGCTCCCCCAGGTAGTCGTGGACAACACTTCGGAGGGGGACAAGAAAAACCTCATCGGCGTCATACTCACAAACAAAGCCGGAGTGGGTGACACTTCCAAATTGGCCTACTACGACCCAACCCAGCCAGTCCCCGAGCACACGTGTCCGCGCGACTTTCTTGCGACCCTAGCGAACTGGGCAGAATTCTGCGGTTGGGACGGGGAGACAAAACGTTGCCGTGGTGCAGCTGCCGTACGGAGTCCCACTCTCGTGGAGTGCTGCGGCTATTTGATTGGGATGGAAGCTAAGGAATGGTACGAGAATAACCCGATCAGCGACGTCTCAAAGGATGGGGCAGTGTTGATCGGGGGCCACCCCGAGGCCTTTCGTAGAGAGGATTCACTTTGCGCGGATTGGAAACCCGAGAACGACATGCAGTACGCCTACTACATGTCGAATCTGGACAAGTATGGTCTACGCGATATCCCGCCACACAGATGGCTTTGAATTGTCGCATCTGTCGAAGCGAGGGCAAAGCGGAACCGGATAAGGACGGTCCTCATGATCTACAAACTGACGACGCGGGCTCGAGGTCTACAGGGGTGGATGCTTATCGCCAGGTTGTGATGAGAAAGGCAGGAGAGAGCGGGACTTCATTATCAGAAGCAATGCACAATGATGCCGGCAACAGACTGGTCTTCTACACCGTTGTCGTCCTCATCCCGGTCTGATCTGCTTCATGCCGAAGGATACAGTTCCGTCATCACAAGATGTACGTATGTGACTGTAGCCCAGATGACTATCTTGGGCATTGCCCATGTCAAATATTCGGTAGTCGTGTACAACCAGTACAGTCATGCAACTTCGTTATCTCAAACTCTGAAATCGTCTTGCTGTCTCGCAACGCCATAATCCTTTCTATCTGGGAGGCAACCGAATAATGATGCGACAAACAGTCTGCCTGAAGCTGGCCTTCCCCAAGCTCTTTGTACGCACCAGGGCTCGGTAAGAACAAAACACGCCACCCTCTGCCGCAGAGAAAATGTCCTGGCAACGTCCAACGTCGGCAGAGTTTGATGTCGACTGTGGCTTCTCAGTCCAACTTCCGCACGTACTCCACAGGACCGTCATACACGCGACGGGCTCGCAAGAAATAATCAGCCACACAGAATATCATGACAGCCCCGTAGATCAGCGCAGTCCAGTTCATCTCTGCCACAGTAGGATCGACGTCTCCCGGGAAGAATGCAAAGATGAAGGCGAAGATGAGAAAGACCATGCTGAAGCCATTCAAGAACAGTCCGAGTGGTCGAGAGAAGGAGAACTTGGCGGGCAAAAGCGGCAGATTGTACATACGTCGCCAGAACAGACAGCCTGTCGAGACGATGTACGAGGACAAGATGGCCACCAGCGACAAAGAGGTAATGTTGTTTAGCGCGATGGTTGAGCCAATGTTGATCAAGGCCAACAAGCAGGTCACGACCCAGGATACCAAGATGGAGTTCATGGGGACGTCCCATCCGGGTCGGACCTAGATCTGACGTTAACGGATGTAGCTATTGTGGGGCAATTGGGAAACATACATATGCAAACCACGACGCTCCAGGAATGCCCTGATCACGGGCGAAAGACCAGAGTTGACGAGAGGCCGTTGCCGTGATGGACAAATTGCAGAAGATGGCCATGAAGATGACCAGTGCCGATAGCACGGACGCACCAGCGTATGACTGGGTAGCGGTGTAAAAGACCTGGATGTATGGCTGTCCTGTAGGTGAGTCGATGACATCGTCCAGATTGCCCATGACAAAACAAAATGTGATCAAGATGATCCATCCCATCGTGCCATTAAACACGGTGGTGGCGATGATGCTCTGTGGGAGCACACGCGAGGCATCGCGCAGTTCCTCAGACATGTGTACGGCTCCGTCGGCGCCCAAAAGCGGGATCATGACGGCCAAGATACCAACGATCGCGGAGAGACCGTTGCTGCTCCAGCCACCGTAGTTGTTGAATGTAGTGAAAACTTCGTGGGCACTGGCTCGTGGACCCAAAACCCAGAGGGTGATCAAGACGCCAAAGAAGCCAAAGACATGCACAATCAGAACTATGCCTTCGACCAGCGGCAGGCGTTTGACCAGGAATGTGTTGAAGAAGATAGAGAATGTGGCCACAGCGAATGTCAAGAGTGTGCCGTGCCATCGTTGAGGGACGTAATCTGGGTAATTGAGGATCGCAAGACCTTGGATCTGAGTGCCTGCGAGAAAGGCTGTATTCGCAGCACCCGTTTGCCAGCCAAGGACGCAAAGCCATCCTATGGAGTTGTTAGGCAAGAACACGTTCATCCCCTGCAATGCTACTTACCGACAACGAAGCTCATGAACCGCTGGTACTTTCGGGGAGCGAACTCGGACACCCAGTGGTATTGTCCACCGGATGTTGGCGCCATCGAGGCCATCTCGGCCATGGAAGTGTTGACCGCCAGAAACCCTATCCATGCGACAAGGTATAGCCAGATCATGCCTGCTGTTCCACCATTGATGAGACCGATAATGGAGGTACTGTCCAATCGTCAGTATAAGCTGCCCGTAGCACTTTTGTCGGAGGTCACTGACCCTAAGATGGTTTCCCAACTTGCCATCAGAATCATGGAGAAGCCAAAGATCGACAGGAAACGGAAATTTCGCTGCAGAAGTTAGCCGTCGTCCTGGCCAGATCAATGGGGCAATGCTTACCCTCAGCTCTTGCCTCTTGCCCATACGAAACATGTCGCGCTGGTCATCGTGGGTGCCTTTCTTCTCGACCGGCAGGTTGTCATTTGATGGCTCCGCGTCGACCTGGGACATGTGGACCCCAGTCTCCTTTGGTTCCGCCATGTTCAAGGTGAGATGATGTTGTCGCTGTCCACGAGAATGGTGAAGGAAAGGTCTGATGAGGTGAATGAATGCAGGTCTTGCTTAATGTCCTGTGCTGCAAGATCAAGTTGCACAAGTGGTCTGCAAGGACGATGAGAAGTTATGCGGACCGCAAAGTTCAAGAAGCGAAGAGGAGCTCGGCTGCCATGTGTCAACCGATGGCCATGTGCTTCCAAGACCATGCAGATCCTGACTGTCTAGAGTAGGGTCCTACGCGGAAGGATTCTCACCACTGTCCCCCAAGCGAGACTGGAACAGGCTTGAGACGCTAGGCGCACCGGATGCAAGCCAAAGTTCACGATGCCTTGACAGTCTGTCACCTCAGACAGCTTGCATACTTTGACTATGCTTCGAAGGGTACAGTGCCGAGCAAGATGCAAGGAGTATTCAGAGACAGCGGACGCAGGGGAAAGAGCTGCCAGGTAAAGGTCCAAGGGTATGAGGAAAGCGAAAAGACGCCCCGAAGCAAGGACTCTTGTTTTCGACGTTTCGTGAACAAGCAGACCGCATACTGCGCCAGATCGACCCAATAGTGATGAGAACACAAAGCATAGGCGTCTAGTGGCAGAGACAGGCTAGCATTATGAGTGGTTCCACCATTGTCGATGGAGCCTGGGGAGGCTTAACGCTAGCACTCCCTAAATATTGGCATTGAGAATTGCAAGGTTGGTGAACTTTTCGACATCCCCAGACACCTGTTTCATGCTCGGCACTTGGTTGGCATGGGACACAAGATCCCCTTGCATCGAGGTATTGGTGTGCTCACATTGCTGGGTTCCTGACAGCTAGGCCTTGGACTGGACAGTACGTATTAATCGGGCAGACAGGACAGGGAGCAGGTGGAGCCGAATCAAGTACAAAAGTCCCGAGGAGGGTAAAGGAAGAGGGGGCCACTGGGCCTCAGTGCTGAGATTTGGCTTTGCGATCTGGTCAGACGAGGGTCTTGGCTGACCGCGCGCAGTAGATTGGCAGGCGTCAACCTGTACGTACAAACCTGTTACCAAAAGCTATCAAGTCAATTCGAAGCGAAAGATAAGGGTCTCGCATAGGCAAACGATAAACATGATAGTCTGCATCAGGACAGCGAATCCCTCCCTCCTTGTGAGGCCGTTGAGTCGGCGTTGTTGATACGCGTAGTGGGAATGGCTCGGGGTTGTTGGCAAAGCACTAATGCAACGTGAGGCGAGATGTTGTGCAAGGATCGAGAAGGAGGATGGAGAAAAAGAGGTGACAAGGAAGGAAGAGGAAAAGGAGAAGGTGCACTGGTGTTGGCCAAGACTTTGATCTACGTCTGGCCATTGCCAGTCCCGGGTCTTCACGTTAGTTAGCTTCTCTTCTCACCACTCTTCACACTTCACGCATCATATCTCGAACGAGCAGTCTGTATCTTTGTTTCTCATGCCTCATTGTACAGCCGTTAGCGACCTGTTGGTATCGAAATAATCGCAACCCTAGGGTCACAAATTACGTCGACTCATCGACTGAAAGTGAAAGCGAAAGAGGCCTCGACATTTTTGACACCTCCAGAGTCCAGACTCCAGAGTTCGTGCCGGCCTCATCCTCCCGCCGCTCGTGGGAGCCATTGGATGGTGCGAACTCTGCCGGCAGTAGTGTCCTCTTACGGAGTGCTTGCCAAGTACAGTAGACGAGTGATGGCCTTCTCAGGCCACTACGCCTTGTGGGACTTTGGGCTAGGCAATCACCCATTATTCTCCAGTACCGAGGACGGACCACAGTCCCCGCGAGAATAGTGCCAGTCGTTCTCACTTTAATTTGACTTGATTTTCGCATAGGAAGTATTAGGAACCATATTCGATATCAAGTTGAGCTTGGAATATCTTGTCAATTACTCTGCACCAACGGACGATTGCATGTGAGTTTTCGGGCCTTACCCTCTGTCCGATTAGGTTCCCCGACAAGCCTTGCTGCAAGCCATCAAGTAAGCGGCGTTGGGTGCTTTACATACTTCGAAAGCCAGAGCTGGCCTCCCGGAGGACCTCGTATCCAAGAATCTTGATCATCAAGCACACATGGTACCGGGTGAAGAGAGGTGGTGTGCACGAGCCTTCATCTCCAATCACCTATACAAGCAACGCGCATCAAGAAGCCAATAATGAACCATGGTGCCCAAACTTCTACGACCCCGCTAATGCACGCCAGCAATTCGAAATGATCGTTAAGGCAGGGATTTCATAGGCCGCCACATAATTGACCTTCCTACCTCAAGGACAACACACGCACACCACACAACCTCCTTGCTTACCAGAGGCGTCCCATGCGAGGCCGCACCATGTCCAGCTTGTTGTCAGTGTCACTTCCTTTGCAGCAGATGTGATTGCACGTCTGGAAAAGTCTTCCCATCGCTATCTATCCAAGCCACGACAAGCCGCCCAACCACTTCGGGCACGCACAGAGTCACAGACATCCCTATGGTACTGGGCACTGATCGGCAACGACCTCTGCCAATATCGGCATGCTGGCCTTCAATATCCTTCCCGCGTCTTTGACTTTGAGCCGGCGGTAATCCCTGCTCATCATCCCATCCGACTTCTCCCCCACAACAGAGCAATTGGAAACCGTCTTTGCTTGACTACTGCTCATCCTTGAGCGCCGGCGTTATCGTTTCAATCGGGCTAATCTTGAAAAGCCACAGGCTGCAGCGATCAGGGATTCAGCCATAGTTTGTAGACTGACAGCGCGTCAGGCACATGCTTTTCCGGCCTTTCCTGGTGTCCTTTTGGATTAGGCTGTGATAAGATCAACGATTGTATCAAAGTCAAGGTGTCAGATTCATTCATGGAACACGACCTTCCTAGGATGCTCCCTGGCCGATACCGTTTCGTCTCCTAGCGATGAGCACCGGAAGAATATGATATAGGCACGGCAAGGAAACAACGTGAACCTCGATTGCCCCTCTACTTCAACTAATACCTCATCTCCTTCACCTTACGGTTAAGCAGCATCAACGACCACAGGATGGCGACTCTCGGCAGCGACAATCGATTTTCTCCCATCACGCCAGATGACCATGCGGGCTCTATCTGGATAGCGACCATACTATGTCTGATCTATTCTGTCATTACCTTGACCTTGAGGGGTCACTTGCGATGGAAGATGTATGGGATGGATGACTACCTGGCTCTTGCTGCAACCGTGAGTAGAGGGAGTCGTGATCCTCTGGGGTGATTCTAACATGTCTCCAGGTAATGCAAGTGGGGGAGGTAGCTGCCGTTATGGTAGGCCTCAATCACGGATTAGGAAAGACAGTGAATCTACTACGCCAGAGTGAACTGCAGAAAGCCAGTCGCGTGCGTAATATCAATCTGCTACAAGACTACAACTTACACTGCTCATAGGCAACATTCGCTGGACAGATACTTTTCATCCTATCACTGACCTGCGCTAAAGCGTCGACCTTATATCTCATGATGAGGCTGTTCAACCTCAGTGGACCAAAGGCGAACAGTCAAACCCGCTCGAGGATATTCTACTGGGTCGGCATCGGAGTCCTAGCTGGGATGGCGACCTGGGGACTCTTATCGGTTGTAGCACTTTCGGTCGACTGCAGCACACGACACTTGATTGAGGGGAATGCATCGCAATGCTCCCGTCAGGTACTGCCACTCCAGCCCCATGGAAGCGTCGGGCTAACTACCTACAGTTTCTGCGATGGCAATTGATCACCGCATTCGACGTGGCGACAGAGTGCATCTTGGTGCTCCTCTCGGTGTTCATTGTTCTGCCTGTCCAAATCTCCTTCATGCTGAAATGTCAGGTAGTCGCCGCATTTGGATTTCGCTTACCGTAAGTTGGAATGAAGGACTTCGTTGGTATAATCACTGACGACTCTACAGTCTGGCGGCACTCTCAATCATTCACCTCAAATACATCTCTGATTACACCACCTCCAAAAACCCCGGCATTGCGCTAGTGTCTGCGCTTGTTCTCCAGCAAGTCGAGCTCTGCTGGTCCCTCATCGCTGCCACGATTCCCAACCTCAAGTCATTCGTCAAGAGCTTCAGCAGCGGCTTCGGCATTCAGCTCGACCCTACACTCACGCAAGGTGCTTACGGTTCAGGAAGATACAAGGAGACCAACGGGTACGAGATGGGATCTGTCCCAGGTCAAGGCAATTCGAAGTCAAGATCGGCCAACAGGTCGTACAACGAGATTGAACATCAGGACCCTATTACTCCACTACCTCAGGACGACAAGATCAGGAGGGATCAAGAGTCAATCGACAGTGCTGGCAGTCAAGACCACATCATTCGAAAGGATGTCCAATGGAATGTTCATTACGAAACGACAGAACGCGACATGGCTTAGATCTGCCAACTGATGTTGGGCGTGTATGATATGGACGTACTACAATTGAGAGGTTTTCTACGGGTATGGCGTTGGCGGGTGAAGCAAAGAACTTGAATGTCTTGCAAGCGAAGGGATTTGTTGGACAACTGGGATGGAAGATTCAAGCGCTTTGTCGTGTATCGTGCTTGATGCACATTGTACCATCTAGACATACTGGTTACTGGCACCAGCAGAGAAAACCTTCTGCAAGTAGACGAGGGAAAGCAAGGAAGTTGACCTAAGTTGCAAGTGCTTCGCAATTGGCTGCGCATTCGATTGCTGTAACTTGGTCCGTCTTTGTCTCGCGCTCGATGTGGCTGATCTAGTATCAAAATTGACTTCTTCGGAGTCGATACTTTGCCCATCCGGAGGACAAACCTCAACCTCCCCGGGCCCCGTGATTAGCATTTCCAGCATAGAGGCACCGTGGTCCAAGCACTCACGAACACTGCAGCCAAGGAGCACCAATGCACGTTTTAGTCTTAATGAGACGGTCGACGCTTTGACCACTGTAAAGGGCAGTTTTGGCCTGTGGGATTCGTGCAAGCGATGTCGTGCCTTTTTCTAGAGTAGCATCTTTACTCATCGCTGAAGGTCGTCGCAGAGATCCACGGCAATCCTGTCACAGGCTATCTCGCAGATCGCAGCCTTGCTCAGTACCTCAAGATTGCTCTTTCTGAGGTACATTATGGCCTCTTGGTGAAGCGATTCATCCCTAAGTCTGCCCGTGGTGACTTTGAGAGACCTTACCTTACAGTACCAAGAGAATACCCCAAGGTGGAGGAGGCATCTTACCCCTCAATAATCTCGGTATCAGATTTTGCTGCAAGGACAAGCCTGTTCGCGAGAATATCAACCATGCCATTGTACGCATTGGCGATTTAGGCAGCAAACTCAGCTGTCACTTCGCAAACCTTCCACCTACCTAGCCTGGACAGCTCAGCAACCATACAACTCTTCGACACTTATCTCTGGTTTTGACTTTCCAGGCTCAAGCGCACCTTGACCGTAACATAGACCTTGCTCTGCATTCGGTACAGCGCAATTTTTGTTTACACGTACACTTCGACTGCCAACCCAGTAGGCCACGTGGGAGAGGGCCAGACAGTACACGCTACCACACCTCGCATCACAGGACCTGTACCTCCAAGTGCGAAGCTCCCCTAGCCGTACTGTGACCACACTGCGCCTCTGGGCCTCAGACTCATTGCTACCGCTGAGTCATCTCATAGGCGCAAAATCGGCGAGGTTGCCTTCGCTTCCGGATACAACCAATCAGAGAACACGAGAGAAGTCTCATATCATCACCGGTCAGCCATATCGCAGCCTTGCCACGCTCTGCTAGCGAGAACCCCGCAAGCGGTGGCCCGTATCGAGACAACCGCGCTGGACCTGATACTCGGCGTGGATGAAACTGGCCGGAGAGAGCACGAGCACCAACACGAGCCTCGGCCTGGATTCAAAGGCCACAAAGTGTCCCTGAGACATGTCTGAATCTCAACCCCTCCTCTCAACCAGCAATACCGTGGGCCTAAGCAGTACTCCAAGTTTCACGCTCCGCCGCGCGCGGTGGGGCGACCTACGAGGAGCGGCACGAGCATGCTCGCTGGCATTCTGGGACGACGTGCTCTTCGGAGGAATCTTACACCCGCGCCGGAAAGAGTACCCGCTCGACAATGACAAGTACTGGTACCGACGGTTTGTGGTGGACTGGTGGGATTGGAGCCACGTGTATCTCGTGACGGCGGAGAAATCGGATGGGAAGGAGGTCATTACTGGGTTCGCGCATTGGAGCAGGATTGCGCCGTCGAACAAGGTGAACCGACGCGCTGGGTGGGAGTTGGCATGGTGGGATCCGAGACGACTACTCAAACCTGTATTCAACGCGGCCGTGAAATTCATGCACTGGATCTCGCCGAACCGCGCCACCTCGCCTGAGTTGGAAGACATGGTCGAACAAGGGTACCCATTTCTCGACCATATCTGGCTTGGTGACCGCGAGCAGTCGTGGTATCTGGAGAGTCTAGCTGTCCATCCGGACTTTCAGAAGAAAGGTCAAGGGCGGGCGCTGGTCGCTTGGGGGCTGGAGCAGGCCAAGAAAGAAGGCATTGCGTGCAGTGTCATTGCTGCCGATGGGAAGGAAAAGTTCTATCAGGCTTGTGGATTCAATGTTGGACCCGTCGGAAGGGCTGGAGAGGGAGAAGGGAATCCCTTGCACGATGTCGATGGTGGATTGGTCTTTTTCAGAGACAAAGATGGTGTTGTCGTCGAGGAGAGGGAGCCTGGGGTCTGGATGGAAGGGAACGGAGTGTTTGACTGGGAGGAGTGGTTGAGAAGGACTGCGAAGGGACGAGAGGTGTGAGATGGTCATCATCGTTGTCTTGTTGGATGGTGGGAAAAATTCAGTATTTACCAAGCAAGCGCTGTCATGACAATTGATCTTCTTCTGGAGGCAGCTGGGATCAATGCATTTTACATTCCTCTGTACTCAACCTGATCTGGGTCACTCCGTGCTTGAGTGCTCGAGGCGCTCCAGAGTGTAGACCCAATCTCCGATCACATCCAAGCATGGTTGGGTGAGCTGCAAAGAGTGGTTTTTCATTGTTGAGACGTGCTTTTCTACGCAGTCCGGCGATGATGTCTCGTCACTACCCGAGGACCGCAAGTGTATCAATCCTCCTGATCTTACTACTGTCTATGCAGACTCTTCCCTATTCCCCCCACTCATCTGGGGGCGACGAAAACAGCTTGCATGCCGTGCAGCATCTCGAATAAGGGACGGTCATGACGATCGGGTACGAGGGTTGCATCTTCGACCTGGACCCGGACATTGTCAGCTGAGGCACTCGTGTGATCAAATACCGAATCGAGGGGTTGATTGTGATTGAGCACTCCGGTGCGGCTATGGAGCCGTGAAAATGGTGCTTTTGTAGCAATCCCCGGATTCAGGGAGGTTGAGAAGATGAAATCGACGTCGTGGGGACTTTCTCGTGGTGGGAAGTGACCCCCACGGCCTAAACAAGGACCGTCCCCGGCACCGACCATGCCCGCGACGATACCTAAAGGGATGGTTACATGCAGATGAATCCCCTTCTATGACTGCCGATCACTGTGCGATTGTAGCAATGTGGGGTTGAAGACGATGAAGATTGATGCCCTAACAGTCATTGGGCAATGCCACTGACTTCATCGTTGCAAGGGCCAGACGCACGCTTGACGCTTTCCAACACATCAACACCTTGAACCGTTGATCGCTTACCAGGCATCGTCTACCAGGGCATGCTCCTGAGGTGACATCTGATGCGTTGACAGCGTTGTCTGCCCAGACCCCACACTTTCCCATCTCCTCCTTTTTCTCAACCATCTTCAACTGTCCATGGTTCCTACCCTGTTGGTAGCGAGGACTGCCACCCCCGTCCTCTGCTCGCTCTTATAAAAGGCGGTCTGCCACATTGAGTCGACGCTTTAGTGGCCTCAGACGGTCGCCGCTGTCGAAAGAAATTCCAGCCGCGAATTTCTTCCCTACAGCATGGCCACATCGAACGACAAGACTGGACCAATGGCTCACAACGAAGATGTCGAAATAGGTCGACCTTCCAAGGACATCGTTGAACGAATCCATGGCGATCGCGCTCTTGCGATTGTGGGATCTGGTCGAATCGAACTCACCGAGGAGGATGTAAGCTGAGAAACCTCCACCGGTCAAGACTCTATGCTAATACCTATCTCAGAACAAACGAATTCGCCGCAAGACCGACAGAGTCATTCTGATCGTCCTGGTCTGGGTCTACTTCCTCCAAATCCTGGACAAATCCGTGCTCGGTTACGGCGCACTTTTCGGGTTGGAAACAGACACCCACTTGACGGGCAACGAATATTCTTTCCTGGGTTCCATTGCTCCCATCGCACAACTCGCATGGCAACCCTTCTCGTCCTTTCTGATTGTCAAAGTCCCTCATCGGATTCTGATGCCCGTTCTCTGCCTCGGCTGGGGTATCGCTCAAGCTTCAATGGCTGCATGCCACGACTACAGCTCTCTTTTGGCGGCGCGATTCTTTCTTGGTCTCTTTGAGGGCGGTTGTCTGCCACTGTTCTCTGTCATTACCAGTCAATGGTACCGTCGATCTGAGCAGCCGATACGTGTCGCTGCATGGTACGGCACCAACGGTATCGCCACGATTGTTGCTTCGGCATTGTCATACGGCCTGGGGAGCATCAAATCCCACGTCCTCGCGGAATGGCAGATCATTTTTCTTTTCGTCGGGTTGGTGACCATCCTGTCTGCGCCAGTCGTTTGGTGGTTCCTCGACAACGATATTCCATCAGCTCGATTCTTGACCGAACCCGAAAAGGCACAGGCCATTGAACGCTTGCGTGCCAATCAAACCGGTACTGGCAACAGAGAGTTCAAGTGGTCTCACATCGCCGAACTAGCCATGGAGCCAAAGACCTACCTTTGGATCGGGATGTCTCTGTGCCTGAATGTGGGAGCCTCCGTTACAAACACCTTTGGTCCCCTCATTCTCTCGGGTGTCGGCTTCGACAAGTACAAGACATCTCTGCTTAACATCCCCTTTGGCGCCATGCAATTCATAGTCATTCTCCTGGCATCATACTTGGCACAAAAAGCCAAACTCAAATCGGCCGTCCTCGCCATATCCATGCTCCCGGTTGTTGCAGGTCTGGCAGTTCTCTATGTCCTACCTCGGAAGTCCAGTGAGACGGGAGGATTGCTTGTGGCCTACTATCTGTTGGCCTTCCTCTTTGGTGGGAATCCTTTGATCGTCTCCTGGATCGTCGGCAATACTGCAGGCAGCACCAAGAAATCCGTCATGATGTCCCTATACAACGCTGGCTCCTCGGCTGGCAACATTATCGGTCCACTGCTCTTCGCCAAGAAGGACGCTCCGGCGTATCACCCAGGCTTGCGCAAAACGCTGGCAGTGTTCATCACTCTTGTGGCAGTTGTTCTCATGCAGCTGGCCGTCTTGATCTTCCTGAACAAGCTTCAATCCCGAAAGAGGGTGAAAAATGGAAAGTCTGCTGTTATCAAGGACCATTCGATGGAAGATAGGTATGTCGCCATGGAGGAGGTTGATGGTGGGCAAAGGCTGGGCGACAAGGCCTTCTTGGATCTGACTGACTGCAAGAATGACGAGTTCACGTATATTTATTGATGGATATATCGGCGGTATGGATATTCTGTGGTCGGTCAGAAGCTATTGGGCTTCAATAATGCCATGAGCGTTGCAGGTGCACAACTTTGGACAGTCGTTTCAAGCATTTCCAGCCTCGATTCTTCAGCCCATGTTCGATGTCGTCCGATATATATATATATATATATACACTTCATCTTACATGATCTCCACCGTGGAGCCTTTCATCGTGACCTCGCCTTACGGTTCGGCACGCACAGGTTGGACTAACTTATGTATGCTAGGTCATTTAGCGTGCTTGTGGGTCGACGGCGACCTGGTCGATAGCTCCCCGCATGGCCAGTGAGGCTGCCCGGAGTTCAAGCCGATATCGCAAATTTGATGTACGGTGATTGACCGAGAACACCCACAAAGAACCTCTACGCTAACTGTTACTGGGGCCGATCGCATCATTGGAGATGGAAAATGGCTTAGACAAAATGCTTGACATATTGCGGTGTACTCTTCTTTCCCTTCTTCATGTTTTACCAAACTTTGGTTCTCACAGAGCATGTCCGTCGTTCTACGACCCTTCAAATGGTTTTATCATGAATTTGGCATCGTTTCAATCCATAACACTGGCCGGAATGCCTATCTCATCATCCTGGCGAGGACATGTCGCATGTTCGCCTATGGGACAAATTCCCTCATACTCGGTGAGTGGTGACCCCGCATATCACAGTACCGGCCATGACTGACGTTGTGGTGCTTTTCAGCCATATTCTTCTCAGCACTCGGATTTTCGGACCATAGAATTGGATTGTTTATGACATTGACGCTACTGGGAGATGTGTTCCTGGGTACCTTTCTCACGTTGCTTGCGGACCGCGTGGGCCGACGCAAAATGTTGCTGGGGGGATCATTCCTCATGGTCTTTAGCGGTGTGATATTCGCCCTGTTTGAGAATTTTTGGGTCTTGCTGCTTGCAGCGATACTGGGTGTGATCAGTGTCACTGGAGGCGACTTTGGGCCGTTTCGGAGTATCGAAGAGTGAGTCCGACCATCCCATCGAGTACAGGGTGAGGTGATGACTGATGTTGGGCTTAGGTCAATGCTGTCACAACTTACAACGCCATCGTCACGGCCCGATGTTCTGGCGTGGTACGTCACGACCTCGACCTTAGGATCAAGTATTGGCAGCGAAGCGTCTGGTCGGATTCTTCGGCATTTGCAGGCGCGAGACGGCTGGACAGCGATTGATGCGTACCATGCACTATTTTGGGTCTACACGGCTATGGGGTTGGTCAATGCGGTGCTGGTACTGCCGCTGACGAAGGACTGCGAACTGGAGTCGACCGAGGAGACGTACGTGGAGCTTGCACAAGATGAAACCGAGAACGATGCGACAGCTGAGCAGCCTAGCGTCGATCACGACCTCGAGGCTGCAGCCCGCAAGAGCCGTAACTGGGCAGCGAGAGTGTGGTCGTGGTTCGCGCACCGCTTCGCTCAGATCTCCGCACCCACCAGAGCTATCATGTACAAGTTGTGGTTTCTCCTGGCGGTTGACTCGTTGGCCGATGGCATGGTGCCGTACACACTTACCAACTACTATATGGACATCAAGTTTCATCCTTCCAAATCGGCATTGGGCGATGTCACCTCGATGAGTTACTTCCTCGGCGCAATAGGGGCGGTGTTTGCCGGTCCGCTGGCGCGCAAGATCGGGCTCATCAACACCATGGTCTTCACGCACGTTCCGTCATCGGCGGCCGTGTTGTTCTTCCCATTCCCACCGGTCTTTTGGCTCACGGCTGGACTATTGCTTGTACGGGCTGGGCTGAATCAGATGGACCAGGCGCCCAGGTCGGCGTTCATTGCAGCGGTCGTCAAGTCTGACGAAAGGACTGCTGTTATGGGTATCACTGCGATGATCAGGACTCTGGCTGCCATGACGGGGCCGACGCTTACCGGGTTCCTGGCTGCCGAGAAGCAGTTCTGGATTGCCTTTGTGCTGGCAGGGATATGTCGATTGGCTTATGATTTCGGGTTGTATGCCATGTTTGTCAATATGAAGCTCTATCAGCATGAGAGTAAGGATCATCTGCCCAATGGTAATGGTCGTCCAGTGGCTCAGCAAGATGATGAGGAAGAGGTGGAGTTGGAGAGTTTGGCTGATTCGGAGGACACTCTCGATGGTACGAAATGATCTCGTGGAGGATTTGGCAAGGCTTGGGAAGGCTGCTTGTCGGCTGGTCTGTCAAGGTAAGTTACAGTATGAGCACAGTGTAGGGCATGTTGAAATAGCACTTATTCACGATTGAAGTCGCGTTCAGGGGTTAGGGTCCAGAAGAACGGCTAAGGATGCTTATTTAGTGGTCTTCTGGGGGAAATGGGCACGGCCGATGTCATTATTAGGCAGCAGCCAAGCTCCAGGTTCGCATCTTTCCAGCCACTATTTGCTAAAGGGCCGCCAAACCACCTGCTACAACTTTCTTCACCTCCCGCCTGATTCGTACTCGTATTCTCTTCATTCGTATCCTCGACCAAGTCTCCATAATGCAACCCTTTGACGCGCTCATTGCCCGTCAAACGTCCCGCCAATCTAGGCATCCTTGTCTCCTCGCTTGCTACTTAAGATGCTCATCCACGGCAATGGCATGGTTGCCACCGTTGAGATCCGACGAGCATTGCTGCACGATGGCCGCAACAGGTTGACTTTCTCTTGGTTTCAGCACTCTAGCAAAGGTGCTGTCCTTCCAAGCACGAGTCTCACAAGATGAGCACTTCTATGCCCACAGGTGAACCGAAAACGACTCCAGATGATGTCGGCCAACAGACTGCTATTGCAATCAAGGACGATGAACCACCAGCGAAGGCCCATATCAGTAATTACTGGGTGCGTCATGATCTTCAACCAGACCACTGTGCAGACTCAACTTGCTTACACACCCACAGAGGATCCTCTCCCACCGCACGACAACAGATGGCGTTGCCCTTCTCACCGGACTTTGTTGCGCTGTTGGCGCAGGCACAGTATGTCGGAGCTATTGAGCATGAGCAACGTGCTTACGCTCCTTGCAGGCACTCCCACTCATGAATATCGTCTTTGGGCACCTGGTCGGCAATTTCAACAACTACTTCATCCCAGGAAGCGATGTGACCGAAGCCGAATTCAAATCATCCGTGAGAAAGAATGCGTATGTCAGGCAAGTCTGCCCGAGTTTTGCTGATCTTTGACAGCTTGTACATCGTCTACTTGTTCATAGGCAAGTTCGTTCTTACCTACGTCTCTATGGTGACACCCAACAATCCTGTCACCCGCCGAGCACAAGCTTACCACCACAGTTCTGCTGGAGGACGACAGGGCTTCGGATATCAGCAAATCTCCGCCTCGCATATATCAAGGCGCTCTTTGCTCAACCGATCAGAAAACTCGACGAGATGTCTGCAGGAACCATTACCAATACAATCACAACATCGGCAAATACTATACAAATCAGCGTCTCGGATAAGCTGCATGGCCTGTTCATGTCGATGGCTCTTACCGTTTCCGCATATGCGATTGCATTTCGGTACTCCTGGGCCATGACCCTGGTGACGAGCTCGGCAATACTCTTTGTGCTGCTCGTCTATTGCATAACTACACCTATCTTGATCAAAAAGCTGCAAAGGGTAGAAAAGGCGAATGAGAAGGCTGCCTCGATAGCGGGAGAAGTCTTTGCTTCTATTCGCGCGGTCTTATCCTTGGGCGCACAACAGGCGTTGACGGACAAATACTTCGCCCGTGTTGACGAGGCTAAAACGCATGGCCTTGCTCTGTCATTACAGTTGGCGATGCAGTTAGCTCCCATCTTCTTTTCCATGTATTCGACCTTTGCCCTGGCTTTCTGGTTCGGACTCAAGCTCTTTCGTGAAGGGCATATTGCGAGCATCAGCACAGTCATTATGTGAGTCTTGATGAGTACAGTGGTCGCCTGCTTGACTAACGAGCTTCCAGTGTGTTCTTCTCGGTCTTGATCGTCGTTTCGGTTTTGGGCACGATAGCAGCACCAATCATGGCCATCACAAAGGCTATCAGTGTTTCAACTGAGTTCTTCTCCATGATCGATGCCATCACGACATCGCCCGACGGGCTCACTGACAAGGACATCTCGCCTCACGACGACATTCTCTTACAGGACATTTGGTTCTCCTACCCCACACGACCTAATGTTCAAGTTCTCAAGGGCTTCACAGCCAGGTTTCCCAAGGGCAAAACCACAGCGTTGGTCGGCCCTTCAGGCTCGGGGAAGAGTACAATAGTTGCACTTCTGGAGCGATGGTACGACCTAAAAGACGAAAGCGAAACCGCCTTCCATGCGTCCCAGACCCAGGATAGTGAGTCGAAGCAGGAGATCGTGGCTGATGATCGAGGTGCCATCGTAATAGGTGCCCATGACATTTCCTACGCAAATGTGAAGTGGTGGAGATCGCAGATTGGCCTCGTGCAGCAAGAACCGTTCCTATTCAACGACACTATTTTCAATAACGTCGCGTTTGGCCTCTTAGGGACAAAATGGGAGCAGGAGAATGAGGCTGCTAAGAAAGTACGAGTTGAGAGGGCTTGTAAAGAGGCCTTTGCGGACGAATTCATTCAGCAACTTCCCAAGGTACGTTTCGCCGGCAACCAGGTCATGTAATCACTTACAAGGATTAGAGATACGATACCAAGGTCGGAGAAAGTGGAATCAAATTAAGTGGCGGTCAACGACAACGGCTTGCCATTGCTCGCAGCATCGTCCGAGAACCTGCAATCTTGATCTTGGATGAAGCAACAAGCTCCATCGACGTCCGAGGAGAACGTATTGTGCAACAAGCTCTTGACCGTGTTTCAAGAGATCGAACGACGATTGTGATTGCCCATAGGCTGTCCACCATTCGAAAGGCCGACAACATCATCGTTATGCGTGATGGGCGCAATATCGAAGAGGGTACCCACGAGTATCTCTTGGCCATTCCTGACGGCCTGTATGCAGGTTTGGTCCACGCTCAACAGCTGGAGTCTGAAAGCACCTACGAGGCCCTGAAGCCCGAAAAGTATACCACCAATAACCCAGACCAGGAGTACGCAAGGAGCATAACTGAACCTGACGCAGAAGCTTCGACAACTGCTTACAAGCAAAAAGGCTTCTTTGGCTCCTTTGGACGGTTCATGTACGAACAACGGAGACATTGGAAGATCTATCTCTTAATCTTGGCTTCGGCAATGGGCGCTGGATGTGAGGAATCACCTATCATGCTGAGCTATCCACTGACGTTCAGAATCAGCTGCTTTCTCATTGCAAAGTTGGCTTTTCGCACAGCTCATCCAAGTTTTTCAATTCACCGGAGCACGACTGAAGGAACAAGGGGACTTCTGGTCACTCATGTTCTTCGTCCTAGCTCTGTGCGTTGGTGCTTTTTACTTCAGTCTGGGCTTCAATTCCAATCATGTCTCTGTGGTAAGTTGGGCAAGGCATAACAAGTACAGTATCTCACTCGTGCACAGTACGTCGCGACTGCATACCGACGTGAATACTTCACGAACATCCTACGAAACCCGGTCCCGTTCTTCGACCGCGAAGGGAATGCTTCCGGGTCGCTGATGTCTCGACTGTCCACGGATCCCAAGGTAATTCAAGAACTACTCGGTCTCAATGGCGTGGTCCCCTTGATTGCCATTTTCAATATGACTGGATGCATCGCAATAGCGTTCTCGTTCGGTTGGAAATTGACGCTGGTCACTTTCTTCTCTGCGATGCCAGTGATTTGGATCGCAGCTTTTGTCCGCATCCGATTTGATTTGCAATTCGAAGCATGGAACGCCAAAGTATTTGTTGAGAGTTCGCAGTTCGCCACGGAAGCTATTGGTGCCTTTCGAACTGTGACGTCCTTGACGATGGAAGCTTCAATCGTTAACAAATACTCGGAGCTTCTGCGGGATCAAATTCGCAAGTCAACTCGGAAGGCGATATATGCTGCACTCGTCTTTGCTCTTTCCGATAGCATAGAGCTCTGCGGAATGGCATTGACTTACTGGCCAGTCTTCCTCTCTTGAGTCTTAGCGAGATGCTGATAGAATGCAGGTACGGGGGTCAACTTCTCGCCTCGCATGAATACAACCCTCTTCAGTTCTTCGTCATATACGTTGCCATCGTACAAGGGGCGCAAGGAGCTGGACAATTTCTCAGTTTCGCTCCAGATATAGCTCAAGCTACAGCTGCAGCGAATCGCATGCTCTCGATACGAGGCGAGATCTCCGAGAGAGAAAAGGCGATCGTGAAGGGACAAACGCTACAACACACCGATGTCAAAACTGGTGCAAGCGTTGAGTTTCACCATGTCACATTCCAGTACCCTACACGGGATACACCTATCTATCGCGACCTGAATCTCTCGATCCAAGCCGGTCAATTCGTCGCATTCGTAGGCCCGTCTGGCTGCGGCAAGACCACCGTCATCTCGCTACTCGAAAGGTTCTACGACCCGATATCCGGCTGCATCAGCTTGAACGGTCAGAACGTCAGGAACATTGAGACGGCTTCGTACCGTCGCGCACTATCCCTTGTCGCACAAGAACCCAAGCTATTCGACGGTACCATCCGGGAGAACCTCCTTCTCGGGCTCGGCAAGTCAGTGAGTGACGAGCGAATCGTGCAAGCCTGCAAAGACGCTGAAATCCACGACTTCGTCGTCTCACTGCCCGATGGCTACGCCACGGCGCTGGGTATCAACACGCAGACCGCGCTGAGCGGCGGGCAAAAGCAGCGCCTGTGCCTTGCCCGAGCGCTCCTCCGTGAACCAATGCTCTTACTGCTCGACGAGGCTACGTCCAGCTTGGATTCGCAGTCAGAGAAGCTGGTGCAGGGCGCCATTGAGAGGCTTGTTGGTCAGCGGAGCATGACTGTCATTGCAGTTGCGCATCGTCTGGCAACGATCCAGAAGGCCGATGTCATTTTCGTCTTTGGAGAGAGTGAAGTCGGTCACGGGTCCAGGGTGGTGGAGCAGGGTACGCACCACGACTTGTTAAGGCGGAGGGGCGCATATTGGCAGATGGTAAGCATTCAATTCCGTATGTCTGCTTTGCTAACATGTGGTGGTAGTGTCAAGAACAGGCACTTGATCGGTAAGTGGTTGAGAAGATACTGTACTCTACGACAGCTCCACTTCCTTGTGTATATACTATACTCGCCTTAATCGCAGTCCATCATCATTGCGATGCAACGGTACAGCTTTCGGTCTATCGTCCTTGGTCTAGCTTTCTGCTCGCTCGAACTCCAAAGAATGCAATGTGCTTGATCAGGTGGCTATGCCACAGAAACAAGGAACCCAAATATGCACCGACTCCTCGCTCTGGAACATTGAAAAAAGGAAGAACCCAAAATTAGTTTGTTGTTAAGGTAATCCCTAAGCTTAGTGACCCAGAACCGATCGATTTAGGCCTGGAGAAGTATTGCATGCCCCACGAATTCACTCGGTCGATGCTCCACAGGCGCCTAGACTCAATTCTTCCCGGCATGTCCCCGGCTATCGTTTTCCACAGTGTCCGCGAAGGAACCAGAATTCCATCTTATGCTTGGCTTTTTTGCTAAGCGCAGACCTTTGTAAGGAGCCTTCTAGCCATGTTTTGTGTTCGGCGCCACAGAGGCTCGCCTCCCACTGACAAAGACCTTCATGAGTCAGGCATTTTGACTTTGATGGGGTGTCGGTGGTTCACTCGGCCAGCAACCACCCTGGGGTAGGTTGATGGCTAAGAAGCCTCGCTTCAGATGGAAGTTTGATAAGGCAAGCAGGGACCCCACTGTCGGGCGAGGTCAAGATGTCGCAAGATACCGTACAGTAGGTTGGCAGGCTACCCCGAAGCAATGGTTTTATCAACGCATTCCCGGAAAGATAAGCGTCCCTAGCTTGTGGCACGGCCGTGGCAGGGGGACCCGATACCCGATGGGCGCTGATATCCGCAGCCGCTGGGATACGGCCAACCATCTCAACCACTCAACCACTTTGCAAGACCGGCTGGGCCACACTGGACACACAACTCGTACAGTCTTGTAAGGCTATCCCGTCAGATGATAGCTGTGAAATGTATCTGGACGGTCAAATATGGGGGCCTGATATTGACTTTCTCGTGCCAGGGCGCCTGACTATCACATCGTGCATGGCAGCTCGTGTATGATGGCATCCGGCCTGAGCTGGATGTACGTGTCGCTGTCAAACATGTGGAAGTCGCATCATCGCGTTCTCAAACAACCACTCGTTGTGCATTGTGTTGACGTTTCCTCAGGCATCATCGGAAATACGGCGGTGGAGGCGTCGGTTGCCTTACCACAACTGTCTGAGGCTGAATCTGCGTTGTCGTTTGCATCGTGTTCGTGCCCGGGAATGGCGGTGGGTGTGGATCCAACTCTTCGTCCGTGTCACTCTCGGCCCCAGCCTCGGCAATACTAATCACGATATCGTCCTTGAGAACATCCATGTCCATGTCCTGTCCAGGACCCGCATTTCGTCCCCCAGCAGCGGCAATATTGAGTGGGATACTGCTGTGCAGAGTATACTTCGGCGCGCCTTGCAACCCGTGGAAAGTGAGCGTCATGTCGAGGGTGTACGTTCGTGACAAGTGCCTCCACTGGAGCGTTGGTTGTGAGACGGCGTCCGGAACGGCCAGGTCGAGCTGTGATGTTGCGATGTAGCTTTTACGTTGGGTGTTTTCGTACTGTGGGAGCGGGCGGAAGAGAATGCTGGATTCGCAGACGGATGCTGTTGTCGATTTGTACACAGTCTCGCTGATGCTTGATCTGCGGCCGTTGTTTGCCGTTGGGGAGAAGCGAGTGTGCACTTCCCATTTGATGTCAGCGGTGCATTTGACTGACTGCCTTGCGTCGATTGATGCTGTGTGGTCTATGGAGATCGCTAGCGGGAGGGCAATGGATCGCTTGTTTGTCGTCGGGTCAGTCGAAATCGCCATGTCCGGCTCGTACAGCGTTACTGAGAGCGCGGGCGTTTTGGCGATCTTGCATCGTGAGAGTAAGTCCGGTTTTGCAGGTAGCGTTAGAGGTTGGGATTTGGTGTTTGCTAGGCTTGCGCGCAGCCGTGGCGTGTAGAGCGACGGAACGATCTTGACGGGCTCGCTGAGAAAGCCGACTAGTTTGCCGGCCTGTTGGAATTGGGCTTCGATCCAGTATGAGATGTCGCATTCGCCGCGGATGCTGCGAGTGTCGTTCAGACCACCGGTCGAGGGACGTCGGGTTGTTCCTGAGATTCTGGAGGTCAGTGGCAGAGCGCGTAGTTTGGTGCTGCCACTGGAGGATATGGTGGTGGGTAGTTCGAAGTAGAAGGGAGCATGGTGGGCGTTTTGCGAGTCGTTGGCTGATGTTTGAGCTGGTGCTTGGAAATCGGACGCCGTTTTGATGTCGGTCAGGGTGATGATGTCTTCGACTGCGGACCTGCCGCCGACGGACGATGCGATGATGCCGCGGAAACATAGTTGTACGGTGTCGAATGCTTGCTGGCGGAGTGAGTCCTCAAGAACGCTGAGGCGGCCAGTAACGCGAGAACATTGGGAGTGGGGATAGGGGGGCAGAGCCTCGTCCGCGGCCGCCATCGAGGGCGCCGCTGAGGGCGCTTGTGTGATCCGTAACCGCGCGAAAATCATGTTGGGGTTTCTGGGGTGGTATGACAATGGATAACTTGGTCCAAGATGGATTCTGGATCTGGGGCAGACTTTATCTCGTTTCGTCGGAAAGATACCTTTGCAGTGGTGGGGGGCCCGTGTTGCTTGGGGATAGACTTCAAAAGGGCGCTACGGGAAGGATATTTATCTAGATTACCTAGACTGAGGCTTGCTTTATCTAGAAGGTTTAAAACGGCCTTGCTTGGACGGGTTTCCCATCGTATGGGTGCCATGTGCCAATGTGTCGCACAGTAAAGGCTAGATAGCCAGGGTATTGGGGAGAGACCCATAGGCTCTCAACCGTTCAGGCAGCGCCACAGTACGGATACGGAGTAATCCGCTGGCACCTTTCTTCAGCTGCTGAAGTGATAAGTAACGATGGCGACGTAAGTCGAGGCTGAGGCTGCCAGTGAGGGAGGCATTGTGCCTGCATTGAGTAGCATCAGGCTGGAACATTCGCATAGTCTCACTCAAGATGTTACTCCGTATGTCAGCTGGTTTTGGGTCTGCGGACGTAGAACAACTATTCAGGGGAGAGCTGATGTCGCCCTCGGTTATATGCACTTCGCATTGTCTCTCAATTGGAGATTGGATCTCGACTCACAGGCCGCACGTTGTTGGCTGGATTAGCTGGGACGAATTAATTGCGTGGCATCGTCGGAAGTTCAATCACCGTTGCATGCATTCTTTTGTGGACGTGCTGAAGCCCAACTCACGAGGGAGGATAAAAATGGGTTCTGGGCTGGACTGGGCTGCATGTCATGCAGGGATCACACTTGCCCGTTCCGGTTGTGAAGCTCAAGGGATACGTTCCAGGGTCCTTCATTTTCGCGTAACGGCACGCGGGGCTGGCTGAGGGCCTGAGGGTGCATTCTTGGAGCGTGGCTGCCGAAATAAAGAAAGAGCTCGGCAGTCGACTGCCTCGGGAACTCGCATCGTCTAGGATATACGTGCCCTACAGAGCGACGTGCATCTTACTCGAGGTTCATTGGATAGTCGGGGCGGTGCATCGCCCGAGTATGTGCAGGGCCGTTGGGCGCTCAATATTCCCGGGTTTGAAAATGCAAGATGCGTTGCGAAGTCTTGCAGGTATGTTCCGAGAGTTTTGTTTGATCTGGGGAATCAAGCCTCGGGGTTGAATGCCAATTCCATAGCCTCTGTCCACGACAATCATTCGGAATCTAAATGTCTTGGAGAATGCCCATGGTGCCAATGAAATGCATTAGCGACAGCTTGGACTCACCTCCTTTCGGTTTTAGTCTGTCGCCCTTGAGAAATCTTAACACCTCCTTGCACCTGGAGTGATCTCTTTGAGAACATCAAAGAGATTTCCTGAGTTGGGTACCCTTGAGTCTTGAGTCTGCAGAAACCTAGCCATGCCAGAGCCTCGTGAGTTGGGGTGAGGCCTGGGGGAAGCCTTGCAGCCCCACACGGGCTGGCTTGTGCCTACTGCACCACTGCACTGTAAGCAGGAGCCGCCAATATCACTGTCGATGCAATGACATGGACTGGCACAGTGCGCGTGTATACGGCCTGTTTCACCACCATAACCAGGCACTGCACCTGAAGCTATTCGTTCGGCAGTGTAGCCAACTCAGGTCTTCCCCAGGTACAATGGTCTGTTGTATGAGACAGTGGCAGTATTCAAAGTCCCATAAGTTAGGCTGTGTTAGTCAGCATCCTCCACCGCTCGTTCTCCGCAAAATCTGTGCCAAGCCGCATCTTCCAATTCCGAAAACCATCTTTGTCAGCCTCAACCTGTTTCACAAAGACTCGTTCCAAAGCCACATCTCATCTCACATCTCAACTCATGTCAGCACGTCGGCACCCGCAAATGACCCATCGACGGTGCCCTGGAGCGCCAAAGGTCTGTCAGTGTCTTTGCGATGGCCGACTCTGAAGCTTCCAGTTCGCGTCTAGAACCGCGCAGGGCATGTCAGGAGGTAGGTTGTTATTGTTGTTCCTAATGCGCCGTATCTCGTCTTACTTCTTCTCCTCACATGTAGTGCAACCGGAAAAAGACAAAATGTGATATGCGACGGCCCGTCTGTGGTCTTTGTCTACGTACTGGCAACGCTTGCAGTTTTCCCGCCAAGCGTAAAAAGCCAACCATCCGAAAACCTCAGCTTAAAACGAATACTCGAAAGATTGGCGACAACCTGTCCAGACTGGTCCAAATTCTCGAAGCAGTTTCCCAGACTCCCAGTGATGGCGAGGCGCCAAATGGCAAACGTGAGCTATCCCAGGGGATGCTACGGGACTCGCTGAAAGATATCATCGCCGAGATCAAATCGTCCGAGGATCAACAACCCCCAAATCACGAGCCGCCGGAACAAGCCGATCATCAATATTCTGTCTCCGACGAAGACAACCTCGACGACGAAGACATCGAACCTGATGACAGTATCGCCCTCCCTTCAGCACCTCTCAATCCGGATAAAGCCAAGGCGGATGGTGTTACTGCGACAACCTCAACCGCTGATGCCGGCATTTCCTGCTCGCTGGCTATCGATCTCGTCAACCTCTTCTTCGACAAGGTACAACCATGGCTTGCGATCCTGCACCGACCTCGATTTCAAGCACGCTACGAACGTAAGCTTCTTGCCGATGGAGATGTGATGAAAGGGTTGTCGGTCGAAGAGTCACTCTTGTTCTACAGCATGTTTGCCTTGTCAGCCAGGTTTTCCAACCACCCAGCCTTTCACAACATACCTCCCAACAAGCGAGGACAGACTTTCGCCGAAAGAGCAAGAGACGTCTACACTCAAGCCCGCGCCCTCAAAAACCCGGCTCTTATGTACCTCCAGGGTTGCATCCTCCTTGCCTTTTACTTCTACTCTTCGGGCCCAACCCATCAGGGCTGGATTCTCATCGGTGTCTGCGTTCGCCTAGGATACGAACTCGGTCTTTTTGAGATCGATGATGACGATTGGACACCGGCGACTCCGGTTGATCATGTTGAAAAGGAGGAGCTGAGACGAGCTTGGTGGCTGATTTGGGAACTCGACACCTTCGCTTCGACTGTTTCACGACATCCATACTCGATTGACCGTAAGCGAATGTCAGTAAATCTTCCCATCTCCGACGAAGCTTGGTTTGCCGAGCTCGATGTACCCTCTGCCCAACTCAATTTACAACCAGGCCAGTCATGGCGGTCTCTGCATGGCAGTGCCAACCAAGACGAAAGAGCTTGGTTCCTGCTCGCAAACTGTCTGATGGCCTCATTTCACGACAGGCTCCAGCAGAAACATGACATCTCCCCTGAAGAAAAGTTGACCATGGAGAACGAAGTATGCTGCTTCAAGCTGGCTCTACCTCCATCCCTCCGGCTCGACATCGACACGCTGACTTTTACTCCCGCAACCTACGCCCGCTGCAACTGGATCATAGGCATCCATCTCATGTTGATGGCCACCTCTTTCATGGTGAGTGGGATTGTCACCTCAGACACCGATGACCTCAGTGCGTTAGGACTCGGTTCCACTGCACTGTCACCGATGCGGCAACGCGCCATTGACTTGTCACGCATTATCAGCCTCTGGGATACTCGATACATTTCAGTAGCGCACCCTTTTTTGACCTGTATGATGCTTCCGCCTTCCGCAGTCGACAGCAATCTCTACAAATCACAATCGCTCATTTTGTCTACTCACGACATGGCCAAGCTTGTCCTAGAACACTTTGCTGAACGATGGAAATTGGGCTCGGTAGTCTGGGGTAGGCGCTCTCTCATGATCTGACTGGGCGAAGCTAATATTTTCCAGAAATCGCGAAGATGCTCGAGAGAGGCGGACCGATGACTGCTGAGGGAAAGCAGTTGGTCAAAAGATATGCAGTCTTCTTCCGCATACCCCGTCTTGGTGTTCAGAGCCCCGCGTTCTTGCAGTCTGAGCATGGCCGGACCGGCTCGACAACGAATGATACACCATTGCAGACTGGTCAGGCGGACATTCAGCAGCAGCAACATCAATTGCAACCGACATATCCTTCGACCGGTCTAGCCGATCAAACGAGTATCACCAACTTCGAGCCTTCCATGTTTGATATTCAGAATTTTCCACTTTACGAGACTGGCAATGACCTCGACCTCGGGTTCTCCGAGTTCTTTGGCGGCTATAAGGGGATGGATTTCATTCTTCCCGACTCATGAAACGTTGTTGCAGCAACAACGAGCAACATGCCACGAAACGGGATAATCTCCTGACCACCTGATCACATTGTCGACGATTGACATCGTGCCGGTTGTCTCCCGGCTTTGCATCTGTTCAAGCCTGCAAGAAATTTCGACGCCATTGGTCGTCGACCTTGGAGACCCGCCGCAAGCTGGGCCACGATTGAATTGTTGTGCCTGGCAGCAGATTCGAAAGCACGCTGGCTGTCGTTCTACAGAGGCTTGATCGATCTCATGCCAACGGACACGTTCGTCTGTGACAGGCAACGACGAGACGTGATATTGTCATATCGACCTGGGGCCATGGTGGACGAATCACCATGTAAGTGCCAGCTTGGTCAGATGTTCTCGATACATCCTTAGGCTAATTGCATGTGTAGAGTTCATTAAGCTGGACCTATAGTTCCAACCGTGCATATCTACCATTCAAACAACGGGGCCAAGGACTTTGATACTCCGAGCCTAAGACACGACTGGCTCCAGAACATGTGGCATGAATGGAGACTTCAGCCATCATCAGGTGCTTCTCAAAAATTATTGTTGTGATTCGAGATTGGGAAATACAAAGCTGTCAGACATGACAGGCACAGTGGTGAAATGGATCATCCAAAATTGTCTTTTGTCCGTCATTTCAACATTTTCCATACAAATATCTGAGTGCCGAAGATTCCCAGGCATAATCACCTGCACCTGGGGAGGTACGAAAAGTACCTGCCCAGATTCTCCAAGGTCCTTATCGCGATTCGTGGGCATGAGTGCTCATGGCAACTTCCACAACTTGCACTCACACTCGCAAGCGCCAGAGCACATTTTTGTAAAGCTCATGACTTTCGCTCTCATATGGCAACATTCCCACGGACCTTGGTCAACCGCTGCAAACCAACACGTGGTGTCCAACAAACGGAGATGGCAATGCAAGCACCCACAATGGCGCACCCAGCATCGCACACTGGTGTATGCAAAGCTAACCCGGCATGCCAGTGACCGCCCGCGCCGACGCACGATTTGCCGGATTTCGAGAAGGTCTTCACTGGTATCCTCGACGCCGATTCGGACGCTCAGGTCTTTCATCCTCTTCATCAATTCGGGTAGCGTCGATATCACTGATAAGATGGCGACACCGAATCAAGGTGTAGTGAAAGTCTTGAAGGGTTTCCATATTGGCCGATGATGAGGTGCAGCACGAAGTCCATGGCACCGTCATCAACGGCACTTTGTGGTGTCCTGGAGGATCCCATTTGCAATGTCGATAGCCCGCTGAACCTCGGCCGGCAAGTCCACGTCCCATATCCAATCCATCCTTTGGTCCAGATTGTCCTTGATTTTGGCCAGGTCGTCCCCAAATTCTGGCGCGACATATTCAATCATTTCGCCCATTTCCCTGCTCGTCTTGCACAGTTTCTGCGTACGAGGCCGGCGTACGGCATCATAGGCGCGGAAGCATGCTTCGATTTTGGCGTTGACGGTAGAGGCGGAGGCCTCAGCCCCCTCTCGACTAGGTCCAAGTACCTTCCCAAGCACACCGCTCAGTACAAATGAATCCTCGAATGCCATACCTGCACCCTGACCTTGATGTGGCGTGGAGGCGTGTGCAGCATCACCCATGATCACCACCTTCCCTTTGACGTAGGTCGGGGCTGGTAGATGGTCGAACAATGCCCACCGCTCAGGACGCTGGATCTCGGATAATAGTGCCTGGATGGGTTCTCCCCAGTTTGCAAAATCTGCAATCACCGTCTCCGTGGTGACGGGTTGGACCCAATTGGCCTCCTCCTTCACGGAGGGCGTGAAATACTGACTGTGGTTGACGTTGGATTCGGATGGACGCGGCTCGTGCTTGATGGCCACCATGTTCATAAACGCGCCCTTTTCCACCGGGTACATGACAATGTATCCGTGATCACCACAGAATAGGGTGCCTTTTCCAGGACTGAGGCGACCTTTCGTCAAGGACACAAAGCGCTCTTTGGTGAACATGGCCCGGTACGCGAACTCGCCGGTAGACTGTGGACGCAAGGCTGGGTGACCAGGATACTCTTCCAGCAGAGACCTTCGAACCACCGACTTGATGCCGTCACAAGCAATGACCGCCGACGCCGTGGCGGTCGTGCTGTCGGCGAAATGGAGAACAAGGTTCTCTTCCTGGTCCTCGGCTGGCTTGATTGATCTCAAAGCCTTGCCGAACTGCGCGGTAGGTGGTGGTATGAGTTTGAGAAGCTCGTCAAGAAATCTAGCACGATGGAAACATGCCCTCCCAGGTATTGAGGAGCCTTTATGTGTGACTGTTGTAATCAGGTCGTTGAATCTAGAGATTCGCTGTCAATGGCTGGGAGGGGGACTGTAGGGGAGCCCGGCTTACCCATCTCTCATTCCAATCCGCATATCCAACCACTCCGCACTTTTCGGTCCAAGACTACTGCCAAATTCGTCCGTTTCCACGCCATCGTTGTAGGTGACACATTTCTTGAAACCGTCGTTGATGGCCGGATCGAGCAGTTGGAGAGCCTTGACACTGTTCGGCCCAAGTGCGATTCCGGCTCCTATCTCAGCGAATGCGCCAGCAGATTCGTATATTTGATGTGGTATGTTGTTGTGAGAAAGACCAATGGAAAGGGTCAAGCCAGCTAGGCCGCCTCCAATGATGGCTATGGGAGCCGGAGAGCTGGGCTTCGAGTCTGCCATGATCATCTTCGCTGTGAAAGGTTCTTAGGGAAATCGTACATCATGGGCGTCCCCGCAGCAGATGTTGAGGCCGTTCCCGATGTGCTGCTGAGGTTACACGTGGACGTTCAACCTGTGAAGTTCGGACGACTTGGAGAAATGATGACTCCCCTCCCAATCGTTCTTATTGGTGCCTCTCTCAAGGGTCCAAATTTAGCAGCGGCTTCCTCCGGGCATTGGGCAACTGCAATGGATCTATCCTTATCAGCCCGTGCAGCACACCTGTGAGAGATTCCCTCTGCCGCTATCATCAAAGGCGTCGGCCCGCGTCTTGATGCTGACTAGTGTGTGCTGTATCAGCAATCAATGCTAGACTTTCCCACCTACAGTAGGTATCCATCCGAATTTTTGCAGATAAGCGAGCAAGGCTTTACGAGGTTCCTGTACGAACAGTCAGGGAACATCTCCACGCCCCAGAGCATCGAGCTGGTGTATCGTCTCGAGTAACACGTTACTGCCCAGCTTCGACGATCAATTGCATAGCCTTCTCACCAGTGTCGCAATCGCTGTCGTTAACATGTTCTCTTTTCTGCGAGCACCACTTCCACCCCGGACAAACAATGCGACCAACAACCCCATCATCTACGAACAAGGCAAATCCTCCGTCAATTTCCATGCCCCGGACTCACAATATGTCATGACCCATACCATCCCAGCAACCGACAGCGAGAATTTCGCTGGCGTATCCATTATTCAACCACCATTTCACTATCACATCTATCAAAAAGAGTACTTCCAACTACAAAAGGGCATCGCCACCATCTTTCTCGGCACCGACCCAAACCCTTTCGCGACACTGACCGAGGACGGCCAGAAAACGGCGACCGTCCCAGCCGGCAGATATCATCGATTCGAGAATGCTTCCAAAACGGACGACTTGGTGATTGACATCCATTTGACGCCCGAGTCGTACGAAAATGAACAAAGGTTTTTTCGCAATTTCTTCGGATACTTGGATGATTGCAAGACATCCAAGACCGAGCCGAGTCTCTTCCAACTTTTGGTATTCCTGCACAGTGCAGATACTCCGTTGGCGCTACCGCTGCCGTGGGAAGGGCTGGGGGTCGTCGTCAGTCGGATGTTCCTTATTGTCATGGCGGGCTGGGGAACGTGGATTCTGGGGTACAAGACGAATTATCCTGAATATTACGAGACGGGCAAGTCTAAGTAGTCGATCTGGCCCCCATTTGCGCTTGGGCATTCCACTATTGCTTCGATTGGCCGCAATTGGCAGTTGGGATTGGTGTCCTGTCCAAGAAATCAATCTACATACACTAGTATAGGAGGTATTTCATTCAACGCCACTCACAACCAGTCAAGGGAGATCGAGGAAATGTATGCCCATGCCTGCTGCTCTCAAAACATGCTCAAAGTCGACCACCTAGTGCGAGAAGGGTCTGTTACGATACTTCGGATCATTCTCAGGGGTGTCTGCTGGTGGGAAATCTAGCTCTTCGGCATTGAGATACCAAGAAGGATCTCCTTGACCTGGTAGCAGGGTGACACTCCAGCCGTTCCCGAGCCATCGCAACTTGTTGTCCTCATGTGACTCGAAATCAAAATCCTCCCACCTCGGAGCACGGAGAACTTCCATAGCCTGCAGGATGCTGCCGGGCCACAGCGCCGTGATGCGATCTCCACGACCTCCGTCCGATTTGTACCAGCTTTTGCAGTCGTCCGCGTAGATGGTCTTCTTGAAGTACTCACCCACGTACTCGGAAAAGTCCTCCACTCGGGCACGTTTAGGCGCCATTGTCACGTAGTCTTCCTTCTGAAGTTTCCGAATGCATTTGATGATGTAGTCCCCTTCGGCCTCGAGCAATATGGTCAGGGTGCCCGCTCCAATGCCCGAGTTGGGCCCGAGCATGATGAAGAAATTGGGGAAATCATCCACCGCCAGGGAGAGATATGTCTTGGGATAAGGCGAGAACTTCTCTTTCAGCGTTGCTCCGTGCTTCCCAGTCACGGGAAACGGTGGCACGGAGGACGTGTTGAAGCCGGTGGCGCAGCACAGGACATCGAGGTCGACGTGTCTGCCGTTCTCGAGCTGGATTCCCTTTGGTGTGATGGTTTCAATTTTGTCCGGGATAAAGTCGACGTTGTCTGAAACGAGAGCCTCGAGATAGCCAGGGCCTGGCGTGAGTCGTCGACAACCCACACCAAAAGTTGGGTTGAAGTACTCGAGCAACTCTGGCTTTTTGAGGAGTCGGGTTTTGGCCGCGCCAGCGAACATCTCCACAAACATCTTTGCCATTTCGGAACCTCGTTGGGTCGAAGCGTGGACTGAATTTCCATCCTCCTCGATCGCTTTTCGAAACTTCAGGTATTTCTCGGCATTGGTTGCAAATTCTTCCCTTTCCTCCTCTGTGACTGCGCAGCAGAGTCAGTATGTCTCTAGCATCGGAGGACAAACACTTGACTCACATCCCAATCTCGTCGGGTCTAGACCCAACGATCGCATGACATGGTCTCCGAAGCGGTCCGATATCCAGACTTTGCTCCGTACAAAACAGCTCAGATGTGCTCCCTCCTCCTTTTGCAAGACGGGCACTATCTGAATGGAGCTCGATCCACCCCCAATTACGCCGATTTTCTTGTGACGGAAGTGGTAGCTTTGATCGCCTGCATCAGCCAAAAGAGGAGGAGAAACACGCATCAGCCAGCTCACCTCTCGTTCCAGGCGGCAGAGTGCATCTTTTCGCCTTCGAATGATTGAAGTCCTGGGATATCAGGCCAGGTAAATTCATTCAGACTGCCACGACAAGATATTACAAGGTCTGCCTCTTCCATGAAGGTCTCTCCAGTGGCAGTCTCTTGCACCGACAATCGCCTGATCATTGCACGGTCAGTCCAGACGTCCTAGTAAGCAAAGAATGTTTCTGTGACGACGTACCACTTCTTTATAGAATCATCCCAAGTGCATGCCACCACCTTGTGGTTCAATTTGACGAATCGACGCACGCCATACTTATCCGCCACGTTTTGGAGGTATTCACAGATCTCCTCTGACGACGCATAGAAGCCTGACCACCGCTGGTTGGGCTCGAATGTGTACTGATATGTATGGGCTGGAAGGGAACAAGTTCATCAGCATACTGTAACATGTTTCAAGGAAGCCGAGTCTTCTGACCTGGGATGTCACAAGCACAGCCCGGATATCGATTCTCCCACCAGGTCCCGCCAATGCCATCGTTCTTCTCGTAGATTTGCAAGTCTATGTTCCGGAGCCTCTGAGGAATTCTGACGCCAAGATATATGCCAGAGAACCCGGCTCCGATGACTCTGACCTTTAAGGGTCGAAAGTTCTCCACGGGGTCGTCTTTGAGAGTGAATGGAGCTGGCGTTGTTGTAGCCATGCTGCCCATGTTGGTAATTGCTGCTCGTACTGGACAAGGATGACCGCGGATTGTGATTTGTCACCAACGAGCAAGGGCGAGGCGATGTCTGGCTGCCAGACTTGTCAGACGTGTACCGCGGCTTTCTCCAGAGCAAGTGAGATCTGTCCGGGGCTGTGTCCGCACTCCTGCAATCAATAGGGTCGATGCCCAAAAGTAAATGTGGCTGACGGCACTTTCGCCGAATTGCCGGATCGAATGGTTTGATATTCCTTCGCTTCACGCGTACCGTGATATTACTTATCTGCCGAGAGCTTTAGTTCGCTATCGCGAACTCGACCGACTTCAGTACACGCTTGGCGATAGCGTCGCTATATCCTTATCTCGACTCTTGAGCCTGGGCCCAGCTATCTGGAATATCGGAGCGGTTAGTGGTCGCAAGGTGTTCGGACCGCTGACCGTATCAATTATCTGAGCCTCATTGACTGATCTGCATCAGAACATGATCAGATATGAGGTAGAAGACCGTCGCTATCTTTTGATCTTGGCGTGGTATCCACCACTAGTACCTTCCTCATTTATACTTTGTCCGGAGTAGACTTGGGGCTTATCAGGGCCAGATGTGGTACCTCACACTTGTGCATCCATTGAGCGATGTGGTCACTCGGTACGGAGTAATGGCACTAGCATTGGTTCTAAACGTTGTCCTCATCGGGCCTTGTCGATGTGTCCATGAATAAACACTTCCGTATTTATGAGGCCAACTCAAGTTAAGATCTTGTCGCGTTTAAGTAAGTACTCACTACCTTGATTCTGAGTGAGATATTCTCGTTTCCTCTCCCCTTTAAACATATCTGTCAGTCTTTTTCTTCCCAAAATATAGTCGGTAGTCAACAATGGGAGGGGCACAGGAAGTTACAACAGGATCAGGCATCCAAGAACCACAAGAAGTCGACCTACATGTGCCCGGCACGGAGATTCTCCTCGATTTGGACGGCCACAATCACCTTCAGCATGCAAAATCTGGCCACGGTCAAGTCTTGCTCGTACCGCAGCCCTCTTTGACGGATCCAAATGATCCCCTCAGGTGGCCTAGATGGAAGAAATGGATGGTGAGTCTTTTGCCCAGCAGGTTGCAGTGAAGTACAGCTTTCTGACTATGCGGATGACCAGGTATTCGCCAATGCGCTCCTATACACCTTTCTGGGCTCCAATATCGGCCCTATAATGTCTGGAGGTGCGTGTCTTCTTGGCTCCCACCCAAGGGGTAATGGATGGCGAGAAAGTCCCATATGCTGACCTGAGCGACTTCATGTACAGGCATGGAACAACAATCCGCTTACTTCGGAATCCCCATCGGCCATTTGTCCTGGGCCGCCGGTATTTCGTTGTTGTGCTCCGGGGTCTCGACAATCTTCTGGGTGGTACGTGAACGCATGTGGAGATTTTGCCGTTGAAGTGCTCCGGTCCTGACATTGAGCCAGCCTTTGTTCGTTAAGTATGGGCGAAGACCCGTCTACCTGGCATCGACCCTGATAACTGGAGCTATGTGCATATGGTGTGGAGTGTATGTGATACATCAGCCTCCGAGTGTCGCTAGACCACAGACTGATTGCTTACTGTAGTGCCGCGAAAACCACATTTGGCTCGTTTTTCGCAGCGCGAGCTTTCGTTGGCTGGTTCATTGGACCCATTGAATCCATCAGTGCGAGTACGATCACCGACATCTTCTTCCTCCATGACCGCGGTGAGAAGATCTCTATATGGGGCTTGTCCATTCTGGGAGGCAATGAGATCGGTCCCGTATTGTCGGCGTATATCATCCAGGGAATCGGAATGTCATGGTATGTGCACCGGGCATATGTGTGACAATTCTACCGAAGCGCGAGCTGACGTCTCCTCGCCACAGGGCTTTCTATATCATTGGCATCGCCATAGTAAGTACTCTTCTCTGCGAAAGACTGTGCCAGTGAAGCACGAGACATTCGTTTCCAAGTTTGAATGACACAACTTTCTGACAATTGGTAGTTTGCCAACTCGTTGACGATCTTCTTCACCATGCCAGAGACGGCGTACTGGGGCTCGCGCCCCGAGATTTCTTTGCGTCTCCTCCACGAAGGAGACGGGACTGTCGTCTCAGAGAGCCCAGAAAAAGACAACGCCCCTTCTGACAATGTCTCTGTCGAGAAGAAAGGCGCACAGGTCGAGCCGCACACTGATGGCGCAGTGGAAGTTGGGTTGATGCACAAGCAAACCCCCAAGCGACCGTACATTCGCGAAATGCATCCTTTCCCAGTGGTCAAGAGCACTTTGTCGCTGGGAAAGCTGTTTCTCAGACCATTTGTCCTTCTGACATAGTAAGTGAAGGCCATCGTTTGACATGCATGGCATGGGCTTACACTCTTTCGAAAGTCCGACGGTATTGTGGGCGAGTCTGGTATACGGCATGGCTCTCGGTAAGACAAGCTGCACGCTCGATCCCTTCACGAGTTTCTTGCTAATGAGCACCTGATAGCTTGGAACGTCATTCTGGCCTTGACCATTGCTCAACTATTCGCGCCACCGTAAGCACCTTGTTTCCCAGAGGCCACGGGCATAATGAACCAAGCTGACCTCGTGGCAGTCCATATCTCTTCAATTCAGGGGCGCAAGGTCTCATATTCCTTGCCCCAGCTACTGGAAGGTAAGGCATTCTGACCATGCCAGAATCTTCGATGGATGACTGACTTGAGTGTGCAGTCTAGTCGCGACATATCTTTGTGGGCCACTGGCCGACAAGCTCGCCACGTTCTACACTCGGCGCAATGGTGGAATCCGTGAACCGGAGATGCGTCTCCCTGTCGCATTCATGGCGGCCTTCTTCACATTCATCGGTGTGGCCATCGCAGGGCCGTGCTATGCCCACAAGACGCACTGGATCGGACCCATCTTCGGCTTTGGAGTTCTCAGCATCGGCGCGCAAATGGCCGCCAATTTGGCGATGACCTATTGTTTAGACAGCCACAAGCAGCTTTCTGGAGAGGTCATGACTACCATCTCAGCGACCAAGTCTGTCCTTGCGTGGACATGGTCGTGGTTCATCAATGACTGGATCACTCTCAATGGTATGATGACGGTTTACTTTATCGGTGAGTTCCGTTCCACGAAGCAGGGAAACGAGTCTTTGCTGATTATCGTCCGCTAGCTGCCGCAATCAACATCGTTGTGCTGTCCTCGACCTTCCTCCTTTATTTCAAGGGAAAGCAGATCAGAATCCGGATCCAGCAACGGAATCTGCTCGGAAGATTGAATCTGATATAGACATTGTGTGTGCAGGCCTTTTTCAGGTTAGACGTGCGGTGTTGGGTTCAGTACTGTATCTTGTGGTGAAGCGGGTGGTTGTTCGTTGCCAGGTCGAGCTCGCCCTGAATGGCAATATGGAGAACGTCTGTCGTAGGTTGATCAAAATCGAGAGTGCCGTTGCATCTTTTCATCTGCCTTCTTGGCTGAAGATCTCAGTAGACGTAGTATCAGTCAGCCAACAAGGCGACAGGCTGGAGTAGAGACATTAAACACGTTGGTCGGCCAGATGACAGTAGTAACACTTCACCATGTTCAATCCTACGACCGCCGCGAGTACCACTAGAGTGTTTAAACGCTAAGTGAAACGCCTTCGGACATTTGGCGTACATAAGTAAGTGAGTGAGAGTGAATGGGATGTAAATTGAAGGTGATTAAAGCTTGTGCGGCCCGATCACCGATGCCCGGAGCCGCGCAAGGTCAAATCAGCAGCGATAGCAGACCTACGACAGATAAGTTTGGCACATAATTTCGGATCATTCTTTGATCCTCCGCAGACCTCAGAATCGCTTCACGACAAATAGTGTACATATCACAGTACTTTTACGGAAGTAGGAACCTTCCTATCAACGGCGAAAGTAATTAATCCCTCGAGCGTGTCCAGAAGTCCAGCGAAAAGTCCAAATTCCGTCAAAAACAGACTGCACGATCTTCCCAAAATCTTGCCTGGCACGTTTTCCAGGCGGCCACCACATTACATCCAGTGACCGGCTGATTCGATATTGGACCAGGGGGAACCAATCCGCCAGTAAACGAACGGCACGATGGCTTCCGCCACGACAACTCCTGGTCAGTTGATCACAAAGATCCCTTACGGTTCCGACAATTTTCTGCAAACGTACGATGTTTACGTTGATGACCGTCCATCACACCCGACTGAGGAGTACTGGATCGTCTACATCCACGGCGGCTTCTTTCGTGACGCATTGGTCGACTCGACATCGTTTCATCCCGCGGTGTCGCTGCTCACTGCCGCCGAGAAGACTTCCGTTCGCGGGTATGCCTCGATCAACTACCGTCTCTCGCCGTCAACAAAAAAGCCTCAGGATCGCTCGGAAACGCCGTCGTTTGAGCTGCGCGGTGCGGTATGGCCGGAACATTTTGACGATGTGTGCGCGGGCATCCGTCACCTGCAATCAACATACTCATTTGGGTCCAATTACGTGCTCGCAGGCCACAGCGTCGGCGCAACGCTGGCACTGCTTGCGGCGGTCGACACTGACCACGGCATCGTGCCGCCCAAAGCTGTCTTGGGCCTGAGTGGCATTTACGACTTCCCACTGCTGCACAAATCTCACCCAGAGTATGAGGCGCTCACATTCAACGCCATGCCTAGGGGAGACGAAGTCGCCGCCAGCCCAGTCGCTTACGAGGCGCAGGCATACAAGGCTGCGGGCGTGTGTCGCGTGCTGCTTGCCCACTCACACGATGATGGCCTCGTCCCATGGAACCAGGTCGATGCGATGACGGAGAAGCTGGCGCCGGCTGGCGAAGGATACGTGCGAGTCCTCGAGCTGTTCGGGAAGCACAATGACATCTGGGCGGATGGGAAGGAGGTCTCGCGGGCTGTCCTTGCCACGTTGGCGTTTTTAGACTAGTAGCTGTTTGAGAGTTGATTCGTGTCGAGGAAATCATAAGTAGAGGACATGACATGCAATTCAAAGACCACGTAAATCTCTGCTACGGGACCATGGCGGTACTGTAGTCCTAGGCTCCAACTTGTCGACAACCCTGTTTCTCGAGTACAGCCTCGTTCGCGGAATTTCAACACAGAAACCCTGTGTTACCCATGATTGACATCCTTCTGTTCGCCATTGCGTTTTCAAGGCGGCCACCCCAGATTAGCCTTGGTCTTCGACGGTTCATACTAGTACATTAGTCCAATGCGTAATTGCGGTGTTGTCGTGTCGTCGACCACCCGGCTCGTTTCAGCTGATGATCATTTTCGACCCGAAATACTGTATTGCTCTATCTGTTGTAGCAGCTTGTCTACTGCTTTTGTGTTGCTTTTCCAAAAATTCAACTTCTCTATCGCTTCGTTTGGTTTTTGCTTTTCATTTTACTTTGCAGCTCGCTGACGGGCGCCTCTCATAGGGGGTCAGCGATACAGCACAAACTACCTAGGTACTATGTACTACCTCGCCTCGTTTAAGCGGGCTCTAGCTCGGAGCCAATCCGAGCTAGCACTGGGCCAGCTCCGCGTCAGCTCCGCGTCAGCTCTGCGCCAGCCCGGGCCAGTACTGGTCTGAACCTGGGCTAGCTCGCGCTCAGCCCGGGCTGGTATCGAGCTGGTGCCAGGCTGAAGTCGGGTCTGGGGCTTAGCTCGCTAGGGACCTACATAGTAGCTTGTATTTTAGACCTGGTACCGGGCTGAGACTAGGCAGGCACCGAGCCAGCCCTCTAGGGTACATAGTATACTGTAGCGAGGTCTGCATAGTAAGTAGCAATTTTCTGTGCATTTGTTTATATAGACATTTCAATGGTGGTTTTAAACGGGGGTACCACTTTTTCTACTACATAGTAATCCCCACTTCCATTCACGCCTAAATTTCACGCGTAACATGGTTTCCAGGGGGGTTTGAGCGCAGCTAAGCCTCTAGCGGAGATTTTTATGCTGTATCTTCGATCTGGTCGTCTCATAACCGTACTAGTATTTTCCTGCTCTCAAAGTCGTGTCATTTTTCTCTCACCTACAGATTTTTCGTGTCTCCCAGTCGCACCTTCCTTCCCTCTGCTCTTAGTCGTACCTTCCCCCTCTGTTACTGGCCCACCTCCCGCCTCCTGCATTCCCTCTCTTTAGATTATTTACTATAATCTCTATTCGCATCGCTCCAGAGAAACCAATATAAACGCACTGGCAACAAGCATTATATACTAGTACTAGTGCTACAGTAGAAATCCGAGTACTAGTATAGTAATATCAAGATTCTGGCTCGATCTGTACTACACTCGGCTCGGTCTTAGCTCGAGCCAGACCGAGCTAGGTCCCAGGCAACCTAAGCCCCAAGCTCGGTTGTGCCTTGCGCTGGGCTCGGGCTCAGCTCGACACCAGCTCGACACCAGCTCGACACCAGCTCGACACCAGCTCGACACCAGCTCGACACCAGCTCGACACCAGCTCGACACCAGCTCG